CAAGTTAGCAGAGAAGACGTAGTGGTGGAAAGGTTGGAGGAGAAACTTAAAGTACGTCTAGAGGTTGTAATTGTTTCCGGCAGCCCAAGCGGACCCCACTCGCTAATAGCTGAGCCAATTACAGACTGACCTTTCAATTAATAGCAAGGCGCAGGGCTTGGCCGGCTGGTCCTGCCTCTAACCAATCATGTGACAGATGCAGACGCTGTATACCTTGGCACAGACTCTTTCCGCCTGAACATTTCCAAGTCGCTGTGGTCGAGCCGGCGGCATGAACTTTTCTTGCGCAGGATAGTGCTGCACGTTAGATCCTGAAAGGCACCTACTTGTACTGACGCTGTACTAATTACGCCCGTTCACTCGCCAGCATAGTTTAATCCCCTAAAATCTAGAACACAGCCGAAATCGCATTCAACCACATCTAGGTCAGGGACGCTCCAAGCGCGCAGAGCGCATTACTCATCCGCGATCTCATCGCACCGCTATCGCTTGGGAACATATGGCTTGTTGCTGTGATAACAAAAGAGCGAAGAATGAAGGTTAAAATACTTGTCTTAGCTTCCATTATAAGGGCTAATGATATGTGTTGGGAGCTACTCCGCCTGAAAATACTGCAGCCGGCCCATTAACCTTTACTTCCAAACCGCGAATATATCGTGTTGTTCGGCTGATCTATGTCTATGCCACACTCCCTTAACCATTCTGCTTGAGTTCAAGGACAGCATTTCCACGTCAAATTGATTCTAGCGGCTCCAAACCAACTTGCCTACTCTAGCAAGACTGAGCTGGATCAGATCGGTCTACTTCCACCCTGAAGTAGTGGCGCGAATATGTTAACTTTCGCCCGCGGCCTCGTGTTCAGCAGACTTGGAACATGGAGAAATGGCCGTCAGCATATCATGAGCCTTGAAGCATCGAGATAGGAGCTGGTTCTCACTCTTGTGCTCGCTTCGCGGAGGACGGCCATATCTGGGGCATGTCCATTGGTGGATAGGTACTACTGTATAAGCGAGAGCCTGTTGTCAGCAATGACCTCCTGCCATCCATTCCGCAATGTGACTACAAGCTCGTTGCGCCTATACAAGCAGCGGATACTGAACGAGATGTCCCACCCAGAAACCCTGGAAGTAAACGAGATTCTGCTGATGAGATTGACATCCCAAGCTGCCCATCAAGGGAGTAAGCAAACGACGGCGATGACACAGGAATGATATCAATATAAATGTTGCTGATACTATACTGGCCATCTGTAGCGCTATATTAATGCAAGCAATAATTGCCACTCATAAGTGACACGTGTGTTGAAGTCATAATATAACGAGGTTAAAATATTGGAAGGGTTTAGGGCGTGGCTTTAACCCCAAAAATTTAATAGCCGCCCTCCAGCTTGTGGTCACTAGACGGTCGCGCAATCTAAAACAAGGAGCTGTGACCCATCAGTCAGCGTGGTGTTGTGGCTCAGAGCTACCACCAACTGATTCCTGTAGTGTTGTGGCTGAGAACCACTTCTCGCCAGGTAGAAAGTTGTGGCTGAGGGCTGCCGCCCATGAATTACTGTGGTATCATGACTGGGAGCTGCCACCCACATATTACTGTGGTGCTGTAGTTGCGAGCTGCCTCTCAGCGCTCAATGAGGGGCATTAAAGTGGCCGTTAAAACGGCCGCATAACCTAAAACTCGGAGATGCTATTCCATTAGTTAGAGATTCCAACCACGTAAATCTGTTGCTGTATCTCAGGGTCACAGGCATCCCCGCCGCCGCTAGATGCTATCTACTTCAATATACCGACTTCGCCATTGGTGCTGAACCTGACCGTTGCTCCTTGAAGATGATTCTGTCCTACATCCCAGACCAAGTGCAGCCTCAGACACTTCGCAAGATATATCCCTCCGTCTAAAAAGCCAAATCAGCCAGATTTACCGCAATACCGGCACCCACATCAGGGCGTCATAAACACCTAGCGAGATTTCGCCAGTGAGTCAGCCTGGAAACGTGCACAAACTATTGCGAAGCTACTGTATCTTGATTAACTAACAGCGCTAGATCGTGATATTTACGCACCACAAGTTCGGCAAAGAAAACACTCCAAAGAGGACGGTCCAGGATCAGGGACAGGGAAAATCAGGTCGCAATCTTTCTACAAGGAGATATAGTACTGTTATTGTTGGGAATACAGACAGTCCAGCCTTCACAGGAGGTAGTAATCAGACAGTGTGATTACTCAGCTTCAAGCAGTATTCCATAGTCTCAACTGTGAATGCTGTTTTCAGGCACAGAGGAAAGACTGAGATTGATAGAATGATACCAATCCTGCCCGGGAGCCTGACAGCCTCAACATTAGTGCATTCTGAAGCCGAGGCTTGCTTGCTGGGAAACGTGCCCAAATGATTGACCCCTTAAGCCACTAGACTGTCAATCAGCCGGCCATTGTGATGTTGTTAGGGCCTATAGGCCAATTTAATGCTCGTGAATTTGAACTGGGATTTCGCCAGCAGCGTAGAGGTTCAGAGGCTTAGCTTGAGCGCAGAACTCTGCTCATACTGATATGCATCCTTTGGGTCGCTGATATATTAACAGCTACCGCGGCATGACCGGTCCTTTCGCCTGGACAAGTGTACGGATCAATCTCAGCATTGTTCAGTGTCTTAGGTAGAGAATCTGACGCAGTGGGGGCATGCCTTTCACCCTGAGATACAGCAACACTTTTGTGTGGTTGATTGATTGGCCAATGGGAGGCTTGCGCAGGTTTCAGTTTATACAGCCGCATGTCGACCACCTTTATATACCACGTAGAATAATGGGTGCTAGTGCGTTTTTCAGAATATGCGGTCGCATCTCGGCCGCTTCTATACACTACGTTAAGTGATGGGTACTAGCGCGTGTTTCAAGATATATGACCGCGTATCAACTAGCTTGGTATACCACGTAGAATGATGGGTGCTGGCGCGTGTCTCAGGATATGCAACCACATGTCGACTAGCTTGGTATACCACGGAAAATGATGGGTGCTAGCGTGTTTTTTCAGGATAAGCGGCTACATACCAACCACCTCTATACACCACGTGGAATGATGGGTGCTAGCGCATGTTTCAGATCATGCAGCTGCACTTCAACCACCTCTCTACACCACGTAGAATGATGGTCGCAGCGTCTGTTTCAGGATATGCGGCCGTATTTGGACCACTCCTGTAGACCACGTAATATCATGGGTGCTAGCACAGTTTCAGATTATGCAGCCTCATGTCGACCACCTTAGTATACCACGTAGAATGATGGGTCCTAGCGCGTGTTTTAGATTATGCAACCACACGTTCACCAGCTTAGTACACCACGCAGAAAGCTGGGTACTAGCGCATGTTTTTGAATATGCGGCCGCAATACGACCACCTAGCACCTCGCGAAATGATGGGTACTAACGCATGTTTCAGGACCACCTCTGCATACCACGTAGAATGACGGGTACTAGCGTATGTTTCAGGACCATCTCTGTATACCACGTAAAATAATGGGTACTAGCGTGTATTTACGGATATGCGACCGCAATGTGACCGCTATGCACACCTCACGAAATGATGGGTTGTAGCCGCGTGTTTCGGCATCTGCGACCATGGTTCTGCGAGGTGTGTCACCATCATTCTGCGAGGTGTTCGCTGGAGCTCAGGGAAGCTCTTCCATTGGTTGGTGATATTAACCACATGAAACTGTTGCTGAATGTCAGAGTCAAAGGCACGTCCGCCCTCATCATATTTTCTCTACCTCGTAAACCGCGTGTTGCCAAGCCAAAGCGCCTCACCTCGATTAGTCCACTAATTAATAGCGCCCTTCGAGATTGCCGCGGTACAAAGCAACTATGATAGGGCAAGCAGCCTGAACGACGCATGTCGAGTAGCAGCAGTACGATATAAAGTACTGTACTTCTCCGAGTCCTGAGACCGAAGAATCCATCGATATCGGATGCGGGCATGCATCTTAGCGATTACTTCCCTCCTGTTAATCAGTGTCTTGGATGCCTTAGAGTCCCTGGGACCTCTATTTCCACTGCCGCCCTCCATGGTGACACCGGCATTTCCCCTTCTCACTGATCGCCGGCATCAATGGCAAGAGTGAGGCTTATTGCTTAACGACTGATTCGTACCGCGACGGTTGAGGAGCCCCATGCGTCCCAAACCGATCTCCAGGCGTCCTCGAAGATCCTTCCGCACCAGCACCCTGTTGGTCGGCAGAGTGTCCAGGATAACTCAGCATCGGCATGTTCTCCCAACCTTTCAGCCTGATTGGAATAACCGTCAGGATGGCTGAGCTGGATCCAGCGTCATGAGACGGAGATTCTACCTGATCTCTAGAACGTGGGCCGCAATCGATCTAAAGAATGACGATGAAGATCGGTTGACTGATGAGTCTGACTGATCTGCAAGACGCTTATTGACAGATGTGTCTTTGGACGAGCTTGCTGCCGCAGCTGAGAAGCCCATGTGCACGCTCTTAATGCCGACTCTCTTGCCGCACTCTTCAACACGAACGTGGCTGGCGGCACTTCCGTGTGGACCCCTTACAGGTTTGTCCGCCTGCTTTTCGATAGATGAAAGATCATGGTATCCTTGCAAAATTTCGAAGCAGCTTCGGGCGCTGTTTATCGGACGATCGATAGCCGCGAGGCTACGCGAGGGAGGTGGTTACCAGACCACAATACGAGCTCCAGCCAATCATTTCACAAGGCGTGGGCAGGCTGAAGACAAGGCTTCTTGAAACCCCGGGGTAAATTAGAACCCCAGAGCGCAGGCCCCAAGCGCTGCCAAGAAGTGACCCCGCTAGATTGGGCTATTCTTAGCTCTTTCGAAATTTGGGCCTTCCACGCGGCCGGCTGGAATTTCAGATAACTACCAGCAATTATCCAGTCTCGCAATCGTCCCTATGTTCCGTTGCAAAAACGAGATTTTGTACGATCAAGCGGAGCTCTCTTTCCCAGCATTGTAACGACGAGTACTTGCCACGAACGCCCATGGCGGAAGTTGTCGGGTTGACGGCGGGCCTGGTGGGTTTAACCACCTTCGCTTTCGAATCTAGCAGGACGTTATGGGCCATGCTAGACGAATACAGAAATCAGAGCCGAAATGTCCGCGATCTCAAGCAGGAGCTTGAGGCACTGAATGGCGTGTTGAAAACTTTACAAGAAACGGCTGACCACGCCGATGACGGCTTGGCCGCACTGAAACTCCCATTACTTCGTTGCGGGCAAGCCTGTCAAGACTTTACTGCGATTGTGACTCAATGCACGACACGTACTGGAAAGGATAAGAGCAGTTTTCGTGACTGGATGATGCTCAGGTATCATGAGAAGGACATCGGCGGTGTCAGAAACCTGATAGCGGCATACAAGTCCACCATCGCGATCGCGCTGGCGAACGTCAACATGTAAGTTCCTCCATCTCCTATCAAGGCTCGCGAGTCGGTCTGATGCCTGCAGCCACAATGTAAAGGTAACTCAGTCGCTTCTTGAAGAGTACAAAAGCATGATTGATCGAACGATGTCCGACCTGGAGGACGTTCTACGAGACCGTCAACCACAAACAGTTGCTCCGAAACCACTGCAGCCGGCTGGGTACGTTGGACAGCTGGATGTAGCCGAGGAGAGAGCTAGCCTCGAACACTGTCTATCTATATGCAATCGGCTCTCGGATCAGCTAGACAGGATCCAGGAAGAGAACTTCGCTACTGGCAGCCAACGACAGGGGAATGGAATCAGCGTCGCAATGGACAACCCCAACCAAGCCAGGTTCATCACGACCATGAGAATAAGAGACTGTAAGGCTGGGCTTGCTCTGACCTCGTCCGAGCTCCAAGCACGACTGAAAGAGATCGATGAGCGACTAGCAAAGCTCTCCACGGACTCCCGTCACAACCACCCATCGGAGGGCCTCCACAATGTCGGCCGAACGTCTGACAGAGAAGAAGTGGAGAGCATTCGCAAGTGCCTTGCTATATGTGCGGATGCTACAGATGAGGCGTCGAAAGGTCGTGTCAACGTATTCGAGGATGTGAAAATGTCTGACGACGGCCATCAGGTGATCGTGGCTACTCTGGGCGACTTGATATCAGCAAAGCGCATCACTGTTGGATCGCGATCGGTACAAGTGTTAGGTCAAATGTCCGATGAATCGCTCCAACAGTCCCTCAAGTCTGCTATCAAACGAAACGAACAAGCCGCTCCTCCGAGTCTGACAACACCAGTTGTTGATTCCAAGAAATTTGTGGTGAAGCACGGAGTCGGCCAGAAGCTGGAACAGTAGTACATGTCTCGTGCCATATCAAGATGGGAGTCCAGTGTGGGTGACAGGATGGGTGATTCAAGTTCTGGCGATCTGCATCTCGTCGGACCACCCGAGATCTCATTACTCCATGCCAGAGGAGATCACCGTGGCTGTAAGAGCGAAAACTGCATTCATAGAGACAGTGGGTAGAGAAATGTTGCTCTCGGAGATAGTGCATGGTCCATGAGGTACGTGCCCCACTTGTGGTTCGTGCACGATGTTCTCCAGTGGCTTCCTCGTCTGGGCATCTCGGAGCCGAACAGTATAGCCATTCTGACGGACAGGGTTTGCCAGCTACAACGACGATTGGGTACTATCGCAATCTAGATACGAAAAATCAATGGTCCTAAGACTGAAGAATCGGTCCATATCGCATGCGGGCATGCATCTTAGCGATCGCTTCGCTCCTGCTAATCCGTGTCTTGGATGCCTTAGAGTCCCTGGGGCCTCGATTTCCACTGCCGCCCTGCCCAGTGACACCAGCATTCCTCCTTCCCACTGAGCGCTAGCGCCGATGGAAAAAGCAAGGCTTATTGCTACTGGTTGTGACTGATTCGTATCGCAACGATCGAGGAATCCCATACATCCCAAACCGATCACCAGACGCACTCAAAGATCCTTCCACACCAGCACCCTGTTCATGTACCCAGGACAACTCAGCATCGGCACGTCGTCTCAACCTTTGGCCTAAATGGAATAACTACCTAAATGGCAGAGCTAGATCTAGCACCATGAGACGGGGTTTCTGCCCGATCCTAGGATGTGAGCCGTTGAGCGAATCAATCGATTCAAAAGACTGATCTGAATATGGCGATAAAGACCTGATAAACTGACGAGTCAGACTGACCTGCAAGACACTGTTCGACCGATGGATCTTCAGACGAGCCTGCCGCCACAGCTGAGAAACCTGTGTCCACGCTGTCATTGCTGGCTCCCTCTGTCGCACTCTTCAACGAGGACAAGGTTGGCGGCACTTTCGGCTGGATTCGTTACACGTATGTCCGCCTGCTGTGAGGGCTGTCGTCTCTCCTTTGCCGAGCCCAGATCTAGCAGGCGCATACTGCCCGAAGCTGGCACCTTTAATTTGGGTCTGGATATAGTTGCTTACGTCTGCATTGATGCGCTGTCACAGGCGCTTCGTATGATTGGTACGACGCTCGGGAGCCGGCCCACAGTCACGCACGTGAGGTGGACCATTTGAACTCTGGACAGCTGTCTTTCCGCTGAATCGCACAGGCTGCCGGCTCACCATGCGCCCACCGTACTGGCAATTGCATTTCCCAGATGCTGTTCCGAATGCTCGGAGTCCACGGCTTATAGGAGGAAACTGCTTACCCCGCGATCGACATTAATCTAACCTAATTAGGCCATCGGTAAACAAGCCGTGGTTTAGGCTGCAGCCGTCACTAAGTCGCTGGTGTGGCACAGCGTCTCATCACAAACACTTTTCAAAACCGCAACAGGCTTGATATAGAGGAGCTTCATGCAGCGCTTGAGGAGGAGTAAAGGCTGCGGAAGGAGGAACAAAGGCTGCGGAAGGAGGAACAGCGACTACAAGAAGAGGCTGAAGAAAGGGCATTAATGGAATAGCGACAACACAAGGAAGAACAACGACAATAGGAGGAAGAACAACAACAACGCGAAGCGGCGGATAAGAGAGCTACAACAGAACAGTAACAACACGAAGAAGAACAGCAACAATGCGAAGAAGAACAACGACGACATAAAGAGGTGGAAAGCCGAATAGGCAGTACAACTTTCCCAGAGTTCCTTCATCACTGCCATAATCACCTCTACCTCAGTCTAACCATTCAAAGCGATTCCAGCCAGTCCACCACAGGCACTCCTGCAAATACTGATAAGAAGCTTCAGCCAAACCACATTGTGCCCTAGGATGGCTTTACCACGCACCAGGCCTATATTTAGGATATCTTGATAGAGTCTAACTTCACTAATCAGTGACTCTTTACGTTAATACATACCCTAGAAGAGATAGGCAAGCAGTTAAAACAGAAACAACTAGGTTCCAAGCTGGACCTACACATTTTCACTAACACGGTCATTAACAGACTGGTAACATTGCTGGTAGATTAGATATCACGCAATATAGAGCTCTACTAGCGCCTTAGTTTATGTGGGTTGGTGCATTTTAATAATTATGGCAACACACTAAGTCCTAAACCACCTATTAAGGGCGTACACTAGTCAGTATTGTACCACTAATCACCACAGCTTTAAGCGCAGCACAACACGCTCAGGCTAAGTTCACGCTCCTCCTTGTCTGGACCACATAAGATGCTGCAGCCACATACAGATCAATTTACTATGTACAGCATCACAGGGACATTAGGAGACATGTACCAGGTGCTAATCTATATTATAGAGTTCAAGGCACTACACAAGTTAATGTTAGGTCACATCAACACTAGTTTAACAGTAATAGACCTGGATAATATTATGTAGGAACAGCTTAAGGAGGATGTGGAGCACTAATACCAGCGGCTGGTAGCAGCAGTAATCACACAATTATTCTCCTACATAATCTAGGCTGGCTTGGAATACAGGTGCATATTTACAGGGGTGGCTATAATCTTTGTGCGGGTGCTGGAAGACGACTACACTACAGTTAAGTATGCATTAGCGGTGCCGCATGGGAATGTTAGGCTGGAAACAGAATGGACGGCTAACTTAAAGCAGGCTAATTAACTTCACTTAACAGCGGTTAGCCAGCTCCTGGTATTTAGCTTGAATATAACCCGGTCCTCCCTCTGTAGTGAGCAATAGTGGTAATTAGTAGAAAATCAGCTGAACTAGTGAGAGGTGTTATTAGAAGCGGTGGAAGACAGTATCCTTGAGAGCAAAGTGCTATCATTGGACTACCAACCTCCAGCTTCTGAATAGAATAGCTTGTTGATTCAATCCCCAATATATCAGCAACTCTGTTAATAACGTCAACAATCCACACTAAACCGCGAAGGGTAAAAGCGCCCAACAAGCAGGGACAGTGATAATGATGATGATGATGATGACGTTCACAATCAGGGTTTAAGTGGTGCACAGGCAGATGCTGGTGACACACCTACCCATTTAGTTGTCCTTACCCCTTCGCAAACCTTGAAGGGAGCTTATAGCGGCAGCAAGCGCCAGACCGGTTCTCAGCGAGCCTCAGAACAGCTCACTTCGCCCATGCCTAATCACACTCCTAACCTTAGACTGTACTGCACAGTGTCATGCCTGCAGGGATTAATGAATGTCTTCCCGCTAGACACAGCATGTCTAAATCTCTACCTACATCCATGCTCGGTCGCGCATTATACGCACCACACAATAAACGCGATTGAGTTCTAACGCTAAATATGGTGTGTTCTCTACGAAGGACACCACTTAGAAGAGCTCTTCTTTTCTGGTTACAAGGGCTTTCTCTACCGCATCCAACTTCCAGACTCAGGCTATACAGTGGTGGCCAAGGGCACTCGCCGCAAATTTATCTGCAACCTTCAGTGAGAGGCCAAGATTTATGGACAGCTCAAGACAATTCAAGGCATCCACATTCCAGTCTACCTTGGATTGTTCAAGGTCCCTAGACCATTTCATTATCTCAGCATGGTCCTGATTATATATATGCTGGTGCTCAGCTTTAGTGGCAATTTGTTGAATTTGTTCACACTTATGTGGCAACCTATTGCTATAACAGATGGTCAGCAGCAACAGGCGCTAGCTAGATTAGAGGCAATTCACGCGGGAGGGGTATTGTATAGTGACATTGCAGCTCGAAACATCTTGTGGAATGCGCAAACTGACTAGATATTGTGGCATAATTTTAATCGCGCCGTTGTCGTCCAGCAATCTCCCCTCACTGAACAATGCACAAATATAAACAACGGCCCCTGTCTAGGGAAGTGAAAGCAGAAGCAAGGTGGTGAGGTGGACTTCACTAGCAAGTCTCTTGGTGAGAAGACTAAAGCACAAAGACTACTTAATACCCATGTTGAGATTGAGACCTAACGCATTCACATACAATACTCAACGGGAGACCGATCGCCTATCTAATAGCAGGCAATGAGTAGTGGTGCGATTCTCGGGCTGGGCTCGTTGGTGGAAGCACAGTTATACACTATTTTATGTCAAGGATGAACGATGTTTGGACTTCAACATGGGAAGTCGAAACTCTCCATCAAGCGATGGGAACGATAATGACGGCGCTTGCTCTCATCTGGGCCGATGCAAGATAATACACCTACAATACTTCAACTGCATATCAGAGAATGCTATCATCGTGTCGTGGGAGCTCTCAGCCGAGGGACTAGCACAACACAGACCTGATGGTAGTGGTGCAATCTGGGGTTAGAGGCGATTTCACTGTGGCTGATGTTCTTCGCCTCAAGCACATGTGACAAGTCACTTGGGATTCATTAAAGTTAGGTATACCCAAGTCCTGATGCTCACCAGAACTAATACCCTTTCGCACTCTTGCTCATAACACGCTTATCTTATACAACCTGCTCAATAGCTGCTTAATGTCTTTAATACAGCTCTGGGGATATCAACCTGCTACTCCACACTTCTAGCATTACTAGACTATGCTTGCATTGCAAACAAGCTCTACTAACACCTCTTGCTTATGAAAGCGCGGATAAAGATGCGCGTAAATATACTCTGATGTTGAAACAATACTGAGCTAGTGTATTGAGAAATTAGCTATTGCCACTTACAGTCTAAGATCTCCCCAGCCACTATCAGCCGTGTTACAGTCACGCCCCACCCACATCCCTGTATACACTTAAGCCCGTCATACCGATCATCACGTAGCCTGAGTCTAAGTTAACCATAACTAAGCACATATCACTAGTCTGGCCATTCACTATCTCCACCTCCTGAACATTCTCCTTTAATTGATTACTAGTGTTAGGCCCGCCTTGCTCTAAGGTAAGAGTATATCTGAACACAGAGAACTGTTTCTTAGACAGGTCATAATGGATATACTAATTAAGCGACGTGATGTGGATACCAAGCTATAGACAACACTCACATTAAGGAGCAGTATAACTAGGTAACTTAAGTGTACGCTTGTCCTTATCAGTGACATTACACCTAAAGAAGTCTGGCGGAAAGATATGCTGTGCCCAGACAGCTCCACATGCAGAGAAGTCCTCAGGCAGCTGACAACCAGTACCACTGCTACTTTGAGGGAAGTTTGTGGCTGTGATACACTCGTTAGACACACCTGACCGTCCCAACGTATTGAGGAAGAGCACGATGTTCAACCACAGAATATGTGCCTCCAAGAAGATCAAAGGCTCCCTAACACAGGCCAGCAACCACAGGAAGCTCAAAATAAAGCTCATGAAAGGGACAATATTCCGGTCTCCGATTTTGCTTGAGTTAGTTACAACAGCCAAGTTCAAAGCTTTAAGTGCTAGAAGGACAATAGTCTCAGAGGAATCAAGTCCAGCATCAGTAGATGTCTGTCTGGGGGCTCTCAGCAGAGCGGGTGCCTTGGAATCCAAGTCTGTCTAGAAATCCTTAAACAGTACAGATCAGATGTTCGCATCCTCGACATCAAGTTGTTCCTGGTCTATAGGCTCAGTGGAGGGCCGCTTCTTTTTCACCATGGCCATGTAATCTCTATACATCAGCCATATAGGGCTGTCGTCTTTGCTAAAATCAAGCACAGCAGCGATTAGAGACGCCGCGACCTCTGGGCCTTGTGTTTTCCACTCTGCTGCTGTTTGTGTGATGTGGTCACTGAGTCCATGCAAGAACTTGTCCATCTGGAACTGATGGTCCTGCTCGTTGCGCGACTTCATCATCACCATCCCGAGGGTACTGTTCGGGATGTGGGTCTGATAGTACCGAGCAGGGTCGTTGGCATCCAGCGTCAGTAGCGGTGAGCGAAAGTCCTATCTCTTATGAGCGAGCACACGCCCAGTAGAAGGCACAATCACTCGTGTCCAGTCCTGACACATGGCAGAAAAATCCCTCCACCAAAGCCATGTCATGCCCTCTCGTCGGCAGCTTTGGTCTTCAAAGGACGAAGTGACTACGGAAGGGTCAACACCCATAATATCTTCCGAGCGTCAGGTCTACTCTCACTGCGTCGGCCGCCTAAAAGATAGCCTCAGCAGACGGTACCTCGTAAGCTGAAGAATAACGACAAATATGCCAACCCGAGAACAAGGACTGACAACCACCATTTCGAAGCATGAGCTATTATTTCGAACAAACATCGCCGCGTGCCAACACATAGGTACGTCCGTCACGTCCAGAGAACGGAAGCGGCTTTGCTGTTGCCACTGGTGGACGGTTTTGCTTGTATGAAGGGTGTTTGGACCGATCTCTTCAGCCAAGTATAGGCCCAGAAAAGAAAAAACAGACCCATTCAAAGCCGCTGAGCTGGCCAGCCATGACCTCCTGTCTGAAACAGTTGTCACGATACTCGCTCGGATTCTTCAGCCACCGAGCTAGCAGGGCACCTGTTGCGCAAAGAGTCTTCGCATCGGCTTCCGCGAAGCGAACAAAGACATGCAGGCGGCGAAGAAGGTTCTAGATACCTGGGTGCCGACTTTTCTCCGCCTCGTATTCCACAATCAGGTAAAGCTGGTTAAATCTTTCTTCCGCCGTCTTATTGTTCCAGTTGAGTTGCAGATCCTGAACTTCCGATTAGCAAGTAAACACCGGTACATTCTGACGAATAACAGGCTGCAGTCGCCTCCTGGCTGCCTTTACCAAAGTATCTCGTTCTGTGATGGCTTCAGCATCTGTCCATTGAGGTAGAAGTGACATGTACCTGTCCAGCTCAGTGAATTCCCGCTGAGCGAAGTCCACATAGATGGCGGAAGAATCCATTTTGTCGGAGGTGGGGGGGGGGGCTTTCACCGTTGGCGGAGACATCAGAATTTATACCCATCCTCAGGATCCGTAAAGAAATGAGCCACAAGATAGACTAGGATGTGGATAGCTAAAGCCAGCTGTCACACTCTGATCTTCAAAGGGAAGCTAAGCCGGGCGTACAGGTCTTCGGGTCGCCATATAGCCCGGTCTTGGCGACGTGATCTAGTAGGCGACGCAAGTATGTGCTGTCAGATCACTGTCTGGCCAACCCCAGTGAATGGCCACGCAGAAGATACCGTGATCATCACACCGCCTGCAAGGCTGCAATAATATCTGCTCACCGGTCTCGCGGGATGCAACAGCAATCAAGCAAATGCCGTGGTGGCGTTGCATTTTCGCTCAAGCTACTACTGATGGACGCGATATCGCTGGCAGGCTGCCTCTGACAACAACAAAAGTACCATGCAGTTGAAAATCTAGCCCATCCTGTCCCGCATATCCTCACCGCTAGAAATCTTTAGTCAAGTCAGTCCTTGTCCCTTGTGCCTGATTTCTTAAGCTCCCTAAGCCTGAGCTGTCTTTCATCTCATCCGAGCCTCTCTCGACAATCTTGCACTGCACTGATGCCTTAATCCCTTTGTCAGCACTTCTGCTTTGTTGTGAATGGGAAGAGGCATGTTGTGGCAGGTGGGAGCACACTGGGTGTTGATGTTACCACAAATTTGTTGGCTAAGAGGATATGGGAAAGGATGGGTTCACCTCCAACATGGATTGAGCATGTTGGGACCATTAACTCCCGTGACGGTGAGATCACAGTGCAAACGAAAACAACTTTAACTGTGGAGTTTCCGGACCTGGTTCTAATGGAGCTAGAGTTTGGTATTGTCGATGATGTCAAGACTAGGTTGCATTGTGATGCGTACCTCAAGAGTAATATCTTGAGTAGGGTTAATCCCCAGTCATATCCAGTTCGTGTGTAAGCCATCGTTTTAGAAGGCAGTGGGATTCTCAAAGATTGTTGTTGGACTTGTCTGGGCCCTATTGATGGCCAACATGTCCTGCACTGTGGTAGAACACCTAGGCCAATGCACGTCTCTTGCTTTGAGAAGGTATTGTCTGCTGCAGTACCTATCATAGAAGGTGGTGTTCTATTATAGCATAGCACCTATGCTTACTGCCGATGTCTCAGTAGCAAGCCAATTGAGAAGCCATCTATACCAGAATGGGTTGATGTGGCGGTAACCCAGTTCTGGCCAGCGGCGAAAATTCTGTCTTATCACTCATACGGCGGAGGTGAGGAGTGTGAACTGAAGTTGCTTAACCCGGACGTACAAAGCATCTCTCTCCAGATGACTCAGGAGCACGGTCAAGCGAACCACTTCCGCAACGTGGCCAGGGCACTGGAGCACATCATTCAATACGTAGACTTTTTCCGAGACCCCGGCCTAATCGTTGTTATGGAGTATGCTCCTCGAAGCTTAGGTCAATGCGAGATCATGAGTGACCGAGAATGCGTGACGCTTTTGCTGCACGTACTATCTGGACTCGCCTATTTACACGGCGCTGCGATCCTTCATCGGGACGTCACACCTGACAATATTCTTCAAACCAGCATAAACCCCCCTTTCTGGAAACTGTCGGACTTTGGGTTTTCTAAGAAACTTAAGACTGGAGCTGTCGGAACCTCGACCTTTTGTGGATCTCCGCTATACGTGGCCCCGGAAGTGGATGGGTTGCCACACAGCCTGTATACGGAAGCAGTCGACTTATGGTCCCTAGGAATAGTCGGTGTCGAATACAGTGTTGGATTTGGAAATGCCATTCGAGAAAAAGTCCCGCGCAAGTGGCACACGGCGGTACGTGGAAGAGCCAAACGCAGCAAGCTCGATCCGTATCTGCTTGAGATGCTCCAGACGAGTCCAGAGAAACGTCCCTCGGCAAGTGCTATAAGCTTGAAGCTGAAAGACCGAGAGTGTTACGAGGAGAACAGAGCCCCGACCTCAAGCGCTATGGTGCGGCAGGCTAGTGGAACAGACTTGGCTGAACCAAGCACGTTGGCAACTAGTGAGGACCAGCCACGAAATCATTGATTCGGTCATTTTAGCACCAAGGATTGACAACCTTGTGAAGAACGGTCGGTGGCTGCCTACCGAAGCTGTTGGTGTATTTTATCTATCTTGCTGCTTATACAGGTGTTGGTGCTGTGTTACTGTACCATGTGCCGGACAAAGTTGTCCCTCCGCAAGAAGGCTTTTCCAATGGATTGACTACCGACGCTGGAACGTCTGCGACCGCTTTCGCTTCACAAATGCAGCGGGCGGCGTTGCAGCAGCCAGCTGATAGCCCTGTTACTAGGCTGCAGACGCGGAGAAGCAGATAAGCAATGCATAGGAGTCGGAGCGGAAGGCGGACCTTACCAGCCATTTTCACAGCGAAAGGACCAAGGCACGAAGATTGCTCAACCACCACGTGGAGATCGAGACCTGACTCGGCTCCGATATTCGAAGGCACTCCGGAGTGACTTGAGCAGAGTGCTCTGAATGCTGGAGAGGACAACCCTGACCTGTACTTGTTGGCACCGGATCACCAGTCTGAATGATAATATATGTCTTAATTGCAGCGAGCTCCGATCTTTGACAGGACGATTGAGCTGTTCCTGGAATCAAGAGTAGGTGTACCTGCCTATAACTGCCACAAGGGTTCCGAATGATTCCGATTGTGCAATAGCTAAACAGCGTGTTCCTGTTTACATGCTAGGAGCGACGAGGCGTCTTTCCCACGTACTTTACAACCTGCTTCGCTCTGCGGACATGTGGTGGAGCCGTAAGTAGACCATGTCCATAGGCTATGTGCGACTCACCGGGTGACCTGAGTATGGCAACCTGCTTGGAAAGTGCAAAGCAAGAGACGTGGTGATTGGGACCCTAGTGCAGCACGAGAGTTGCCTCAACCCAATCCTTGGCAACAACCTATCCCATGGCTGGGCGGCCCGAGCCACTCATAAGTGAGTACGGCCTGCATGTGCACCGACCACAACGAAGCGAACTCCCTTGTGGCCCGTGCGTAGAGAGTTCTGGCCTACAGCCCACTTCCAGCATCGCGCCTTCGACGACCGATAAGCAAAGGCACGCCAGGTCTTTCCCACTTCAACTGCAACAACCGTTGTCCCCTGGATCTTCGTGATGATCCAGATGCCACTGCCAATGCCGTACCGCTATCACATTACAATAGAGCTAAGACTTTCGTTCTTTATGGTGATAATCATTTCCTGTCAACTTGGTACTCTGCGACCTCAGGCTTCCCCTTACACTGCCACCATGACTGCATTTTGTGGCCATGTAGCCGGTATTCCTCTTGAAACTGCTGTACTCGCTCATAAAGCCGCAATCAACCCCAGAAACAGGCCCCCAAAGCCGGCTCCTGTCGGGACAGCCCAGTCGCCCGCCCCATCAACAGAGCTCAAGCTAGCGACTGGCAAACTGCTACCAGCTGCCGAGGTCTCACTGCTGTTGGTGGTGCTCACATCGTCATCAGTGGTCGAAGCTGCTTGAGCCTGCGCTGTGGGAGTGACCGCGGCACCGTTGGCGGCGGTAATCACGTCTAAGATATTGGCGGCATCGGTGAGCGGATCGAAGTATGCGGTGGCTCGGCTATACGCCTCGGAAATGCCGTTGCTGTCAGTAATGCCAATCTCGGAGCCGATAGACGAAATGATCGACTTAATGTTGTTGTTGGCCGCCCAGGAACTTGCTTTGGCGAGACTGGAGGAGACAAATTTTTTCATGCTGTGCTCGGCGACGTAGAAGCTGGCTGCGCTCAGGGCGGAGGAGATGATGGAGCTGAAGTCGCTGAGACGCCGGCGACCGTGAGGAAGGTGATGGCGACGATAGTCTTCATGGTGGGAGGCTTGAGGAAGTGAGATAGTCTTTGGGATCTTGGTGGTACCAATGGTGACGGCGGTGCTGGTGGTGTTGGTCTTGAGCTTTATATGCGCCGGGCGGACAACGTTGGTGGCCTCGCAACCGTCGTGCCAGCTTTATATAGGCAAGAGGTACATGGAGGGCATGTCCGATGTTCTCCTGACTTACCACGCGCTGCGGAATAAATAGCAGGAGCCGAGTGCTAGCATCGTGTGGGGTCGAGAGGAGAGAGCATCTCTTCGTGTCTATGCTCGCATTGTGTGCGTGTACAGCGGCCATCTGAACCCACGCCTTCATGCTTGAGGTAGAGTTGTACGCGACATCCGGTGATCAGAACGTGCTCTCCACTATGTTTTCAGGCGGACGATCTGGGGTCATGCTTACCCGTATGAACCGTAGCGGGGACCTGTCTTTGGAAGGTCTTCGCGAGGCTTCGCATAAGCCTCGTCACCAATGCCAAGCCAGTCGTGTGACCGTGGTAGGTGGATCTCTTCCGGAGAACCTCCCAAGCCGCAGTCGGCATCGAACTTCTGTCCCATACGCATTCCTTCCACCCAAGGGGTCATACTGTAGCAATGCATGTGCTCCAGCCCTCGATAGAACCCTCTCTTCACCTGGCGGTATGGTCGTCGCAGGAAGCGAATACTTGTCATGTCGTCATACATTCCGCCCATGGCCAGTTGCCGCTGGCATTCCTGACATCGTCAACAATCAATTGAAGCCGCATTGCAATATGAACATTGATTTTGTCCTGCATCAGACATTTTTAAGCCCACAAGCACCCATCCCACAGCACCCCAAAGCTTTTACATGGAGGAATCGCCAGTTATACCGTTATCCTGCGGCAATTGGCAGCGTTCAGGCTTTACCTGTTCGAAGGCCGCGCGGTTCGCCTGTGGACGTTGTCGCTTGCTCGCGGTCAGTCTTCCCTTTTCAAGGCCACTCTCTGCCTTATTAAGGTACTTGTCTTTAACGTTAATTCCCACGCAGTACTGTGGCGCGGACTGCCAAAAGAATCATTGGTTCGAGCACAAGACGGCATGCAAGTCAGCCCTTAGCAAAATGGAATGGCGCCCACAGTGGGACATCGACCAACGCGAGCCAGCTTGGGCCAGCAGTACCGCCGGTCAAAATTGGCACAATCCCTTCGGTGACCAGAAGTACCTCTGGGGGAACACTCCTGCTATCGACATCCTTCACTTGGAAGAACACGAAGGAGCCGACCATCAGGATAATGTAAAGCTACTGTTCGCTGGTGTGTCAATCCTCACTTACTCCATTACATTGCACTTATTGAGGACACAGCTTCGGGAGATCTTCGGAATGTTGTTAAAACAGTCGAAGCCGTGCCTACCACATTCGCTGGTCGAGTTTTATCTTGCATCAACGACCAAGAATTCCTAGTTGTGGCTCGGAATGTTTGTCTATTGCTGTTCGCACTGGGTATGCAGCATGAGCGACAGGATCCTCAGCCTTCAGAGATGGAGGACGATGCAGAAGCTCTCATTCATTTGTGGTACTCAGCATTTCTACCAGCGGACGTGCTATCTCTCTTTCAGACTCGTGTGCTGCCCATGATAGGAGACGTCTGTGATCGGATCACCAGTGGTGAAGAGGAATCAACTCTGGGTCAAACATGGCACTTTCCATCTGGAGCCACCCTGAAGCTCGTTCTCATGACGAACGAGTGGGTTGCTTTGCGAGATTTTCTCAGTAATCCCCCGGAATTATCGCGGAAAGATGCACATCGACTACGCGCTGCAGTATACTTTGCGCCGGAGCGGGAAGATTACCGTCATCGTTGGTATTTCAACGACGAAACACCTTTCATGCGGATCGCCAAACAGCGTTTCCGCGAGGATGGCCTGTTGCTGCCATTTGGCCATCCGCGTGGCACATTTACTGAGCCTAACCCGTAGGTGAGGCTTAGTGTTGTTTGCGCTCGAAATTGCTCACTTTGTCTTCAGGCTACTCTTCACATCATCCCAAAAATGGCCAATGGATGACAAAGCCGATCCCTTGACTGGCTGGTCAGTCTGGGATGTGCATCGCGTTTCATCTGCTGCGTCGCAGGATGCCTACGGCAAGCTCTTCAAACATCTTCGGGGCGTTATACTCAGCTTTCTCAAACATATCAATACCGGGAAGGCCGACTTCGAAATTTACTGCCTGGATATAAAAAACTTATCGGCGCATCTTACATCCAATGCGTACAACAGAATAGAGGTGCGTTATGTATTGACCCTGGCTTTAATTAGTGGTGACCGGTGCTCTTCACGCAGGCAGCCAATGTATCTGACGCAGGATATTTGGGCATCCGAGCAACCGTTCAAGCCTTGGCTCCTCTACTTCAACCGCGTCACCAGAATCCACACGCGACTCTTATAACGCTTTTCCTAAACGCGGTTATGGAAGTTGTCAAGATGGGCGACGAAAGAGACTCAGCCGCTGGAATAGCAAACCTTTCTGGCTATTTACCATTTCCCCAGCTCCTTCCAGCTCCTTCAAGCAACGACCCGTTTTTACTGCGTCTCTGGGACGCTCGAAGCCTTGTCCTGGAAGCGACCAAATACTTTGAACAGTAGGGCTGCCTTTCCACGACGACTTCTCGGTGTCTAACATTTCCAGATACGAGAGGGTTCATCGTTTTGACCAGGTCGCCCGCGACTTAAACGTCAAGAAAGTCAAAAATCATATCACCGAGGCCTGGCCAACAAGACTGAAGCTTCGTAAGGGGCAGACGGGGTACAAGGAAGAGTTTAACGTCCTGTTGGGCTCCAATCTATCTGGCCTTGAACATTACGTTGAGTGGCAGAGATACGACTGACAAATATCTAGGTCGTTGCCCAGTCAGAAGAAGCCAGTCTCCAGGTAAGCGCTCTCAACTGCTGTCTCGTCGACACTCTCATAGACATTGACAGTCACGATCCTGCATCCAACACTGTAGCTATGCAGAATATCATCCCTGTGATGTACAGGCACTCTTCCATTATTACTGTTCAGCCCCAATACATGCTCTACCATCTTCCGCGCAGCCTTGAACTTGACTGGGCTCTCGATGCTTGAAGAGCTCTGCTGAATCATTGGTGGCACGTCGAACTCTTCTTGTCTTCTCGCCGGGACAGCAACTCCATCGGTCTCACAGATATAGCACACAGTAGTGTGGAATTTGGCGCCGCTGTTCAATCTTCGAGTACGACGACTCCCACCTTCCGATGCCATTTTTCAGGCCGCATGATGCTGACGAGACGTAGACAGGATATACAAGACAGAAAGTCTTTCAAGAAGATTGTATCGATTGAGTCCATAAGGAGAATGTTCGGAAAACCTCCACGACAGTGTGGACAAATTGAACGATGTCGTTGCTTAATACCAGCACTACTGTGGCAACTCGTTGGCTCGAAGCAGTAGGAAGAGTCCCAGAGGTGGGACGGTGAAGAGTCTGTTGGAGAAGCTGGATAGAAAATCATACCGCAGCAGGGAATCCATCCGACCCTGAAAGCACCACAACTTTTCGTGGTTGAATATGTCGTCCAATCATCCTGCTACGCTGCGTTTGAGATTATGCGACCACCAGTAGATCAAAAGGCCCGAGATCGCTGAGCCAATCAAAATACAAGCTGCCAGCCACTGTTATGCGAGGTCTTCAGAGATGGTCTTCATACCACCATTCTGCGAGATGTTCTTCATACAGTACTGTACCATTTCGTGAGGCATAGACAGCGGTCGCTATTGTGGCCGCATATCCTGAAACACAGGTTGCCACCATCATTCTGCAAGGTGTACAGACACGGTGGACATCATTGGTCAAAAGAATCACCCACCGATTGTGGTGTGCGTTTCAGGGTCGGAGATTCCGACCCACGGCTGATATTCTTCGTCTTGTGAGAAACGTACGCGTCACTTCTGGCCTTATTTGACAACGAAACACTCGACCACGAGGCCACCGTCGGCGACGCTGTGGCGAATCTATAAACAAAGACCGCGAAATCGATCGATTTCTTGCTAAGGGCGATTCTAACTACAAAGGAGAATTGTTGCAGTACATACAAGAGCGGTCTACCTAGACGATGCCATAGCTTTCGTCAGGCGCGACTTGCGACGTTCTTGAATACGGGCATGCATTTCAGAAATCGCGTTCCTCCTTCGGACCAAGGCTTCAGAGGCCGCCGTGTCTTTCCGCTTCCTACTGCTTGAACTTGTTGCCATATCGTTATGCACCTTTTTCGATCTCCTCATACCCGGTGAGAGCTGAGTGGAGCGATCTAAGAGGCGCCCAACATCACCAGCCTGGGACTCATCTGAGTCCTTCACGAGCAGGAAGCACTGGTGCCAGACAGCACTGAAGACCGATACATCTCCCGAAAGTACTCGATGAGATTCAGTCAGAGAAGAGCACGTCCAACATCAATTGCAGCCCTTTTGAACCAGTCTGAGGTTGCAACGTATGCTTGTCCAACAAAGCTGCAGGCGTGGCAGCTCGACGCCACGATGGTCTCGCAGATCCCTCGACTACCGTTAGCGTCAAGTTGATTCCCGTTGATGCTTTTCACACTAGTTTCGCCGCAAAGAGTTCGGAGAAATGTGGCTTCCCAAAATTGGCTGGTGTATGCATGGGCTAAATAGATTGTGCACTTTGGTAGGAGTAGAAGTCGCTGCTGTTGAACAAGATACTCAATTCAGTTTCTGCAGGATGATGCAGGACTTATGGCGTAATAACAACACTGCTTTCATAGCAGCCTGCCACATGCCCATGGCCCTTGCATCGGCTGACGTGGCTCGTGACGGACAAGGGAGGCGGAACAGTACATTAGCGAATGCATGCGTTGGCGTTCCCAGCCTTTGTGTTTGATTGGGCTAGCCCACGACGAGAGAATCATGATAGTCGAGAACTTCTGGAGGCAAATGACCACAGCTGTCTATATAAAGAGCGATTGAGCGACCGACGAATTTCGGGTTCTGTGCACACATAAAATGGTAAAAGTACTCAGCAAGCAAGAGGTCACTAGTGACTCCAGGGTCGTGACGACCATACGGGTGGTCGTGCATACGTATGGCCCAAAAGTCGGCAACCGCAGGTGGAATCACTGGTCAATCTATTTTATCCTTGCCAACGGTAGTGGGTCGGTCAGAGCGAATATGCGAGCAGAGTACGAAGGATATAACAACGGTCACCTGGAATGGAGCGATTGTCCTTACATGCAGTCCAACTCTAACATCCACCACTGGGACTATCAGTGCAAAGGCAACACCCAAGTCCGAGAGATCGCGAATGCTCTGTACTCCAAAGGCCGTGAGCGCTATGATTTGCAGGGAGGTAAAGGCTGCAGGTTCTGGATGTAAGTCAACTACACGTATCCTCATTGATTTGCATTTTAATCGAGATTGGCGCAGCTATGTTGCAGGCAAGGACTTCGCCGACCAGGGCATTATCACTGGCGCTGCACCTACTGAGATATGGGGCAAGGTACAGTTTCTGTATCATCATACAAATGCCCCAGAACAGACAGCAGTCGTTCAGGGCAAGTTCTATTGAAAGCACCAGCCCCGGCGCAAATGGGAAGAGATGAGACGGTAATCCAGGGTGGAGAGGAAGCGGGGGAAGGTTGCCCCGCACGTCCCGAGAAATTAGCCTATCTGTCGGGCCCACAGGGCTTGTAAACCCTTTATAGACTCCCTAGTTCCCCCCAGCCTTTGCTCTTCTCCGATCCTACGACGAATCATCAATATAATGGCTATGATCGACAACAATTTCATTCGCCGGCATGTCAATTCTTCAGACTCAATCATCCTCAGGAGCATCCCAGGGGGTAGTACAGTGCTCAAGGTTCCTAAATTTGATGTTGCGATCAAATTTGGTGGGGGTGTAACGGAGAATGAGGCAATTGCACAGGCGACAGCCTTTGCTGTGTTGGATTCGGCCATCATACATGTCCCAAAGGTCCTCCACTTCTACTGCGACTCGCGCACAGGTATTGGATATCTGACCATGGAATGGATCAATGGTTCTCCCATTGATGTACAAGACTGTGTACAGGTCGATGCTCTCCAAATAGCCCTTGATCATTTGGCATCTGTCAACAGGTCCTTTCCTAGACCAATCAGTCTAGGCGAACCTCAGGGCATACTCTGGGAAGATGGTGCCCCAGACGAATACCACACAGTTGAGGGACTAGAGAATTGGATCAACTTGTGGCAACCTACGTCCGTGGATTTACGTGGAGAAGACTTTGTGCTTTGCCACCTGGACACCGCTGCAGATAACATGCTTTAGCGACGAAAGGGCGGGATTTGTCTGTTGGATTGGTGCTCTGCTGGGTATTATCCACGCTACTTTGAGCTGGCGGCTCATTTGAAAAAGGGAATGCCCAACGAAACGATAACGCGGCTTTTACAATCGCCACGAACACCGTTCTCAAGCTCAGAACACAAGCACATGGACTGCTTGATACAGGCCTGCGCCAATTCTATGCTGTATGCGAAGCCGAGGCCAAGCATAGTGCCGAAACAGACCAACCGACGCTACCTTACAAAGCAGCCATCAATCCCGCAACTGACTCAATATGTCAGAACCCCCGCCAGCACAAGTTTAGAACCGTCCTGAACGACCATTACCATGACCACCTGTACTGCTGTCGGACCACTCGTCGTGACATCTTCGTCAGCACTTTTTGTACCTTGCATGAGTGGCCCGAGCTCTGCAGCCCAGCCACTAACTGATTGGCCTGGGGGTTTTTTTTAAGGAATCTGCAGCCTACAACCAGCCGTTCTTGACCATTGACCCCGCACAACATTCATCTGGGCAGCTACGTCACTTGGCAAGGATCTGTGGTCGTGATAAGTAATACGATATCAACGAGATTCTTGCAACTCGCCTTTGCGTTCCTCTGGGTCGCTAGATGTCTCGAGACGGGGCCGCAGACGATCCTTGGCCCAACTACCTATCCAGATATCAAAGTCAAGGAGGCAAGCGCTGCGGATGCCGCCACTATCAGTAATATAACAACAGAGGCTTTCAAGGCCCTTCCGCACTTCCGCTACTTCCGTCAATACTTCGACTTGTACCCTCATGATGCATCCGACTGCCTCAAGGCGGTTTTGAACGAGGCTCTGACTTGGCCAAACGTCACGGGGTACCTCGGTGTCGTGCCGGCGATCGAACCTCCACACGAAGACGTCGCTGTCTCGGCAGCGGTATGGCTACTGCCTGCTTCAGTAAGGGTCTCAGCTTATCGATGACGTTCCAAGCTACGACTGGCCGAGAGAGCTGTATGCTACGCTCATGGCGACAAAAATGGGAGAGCCACTGTACTTTGAGAACGGCTACGAGTCCATCAAGAACGTCACGGTCTACGCACTCGGACCGAAGCTGCCACAAAGAGTGTGTGAACTTCAATATCAATCTAGCTACATACAGACTAGCACTTGTGGCATCCAATCATGTGTATGGCGTTGAATAAAAAGTATGGCACCTAAATTGAAGAACTAGCATATAAATGAATGACCGGCGGTCAATCGGAGCCATGGACGTGGCTTTGAGGGCATTTGAGTGGAACCGAAATCATCATGCCGCCATCATTTCTCTCATCTCATCGTGGGCAGTGTCGCTTCACATACCCTCAGCAGTCGCCTACACGTAGCATTAGCATAATTGGGCGGTTAGGCTTGACAACAACGGTTTCCACAATGGTCAAATCGTGTTGGAATCATCCGCTTAGTCGTTTCGAGGTTTGGTAGACAATACTGACGGCTGGACCATTCTCAACAGACATGTGTATGAGACTCGCAGCTCCACATCGGCTGATGTTCAGCACGCTGCAGTCGCGCTTCGCTCGCACCACATGACTATTAGCACGATACAAACCTGCAGCAAGTCCAACAAAGCAGCAAAATGAAGAGCGGGAGATATCAACCAGACAGCCCTAGCATCAGCGTTTGCGTAGCAAGGTAAAGGGGTCGCGAGTGAGTATATTTGACTTTACCGGTTGAAGAAGTGGGTGGTCTAAGCCCATGCGAGACATCACGCCTTGCATAGAGGCTTCACCTCTGTCCAGGAAGACTGCACCAAGAATAGCTTCGATTGTAGTTGCCATAGATTTCACAGAGACCTGCGTGGTCCCGGGATTCAGGATAACACACTGATCGAGGTTTAGCTGACGCCCAACCCGATCATAGTTAGCATTCGTGACCACATTTTGGCAGATGGAACCCTCCCAAACGCCTGCTTGGTGTCAGTGAGAAGCCAATCGTCAAAAGCTAAGAATGCAACACGAGACGCGCTGAGCCGTGCCTCCGTCGCCACAATGCTTGCTTTAGGACTCAACAGGTAGGCGTCCGACGCTTCCGGCTCGTCTGAGCAGCACATCAAGTGATAAGTATGTCCTTCGCACCCTTGTAGGAGGAAGGCTCACTTTTTCCACATCTTGTACGAGTCGTACAAACGTTCTATTGTTCTCAGCAACTACACAGATTCGAGCCGCGGGCAAAATATACGGTTTTTCTACGACAACCATAACAAGCAGGGTATACTAAAGATCAGCAATTCAGCTATAACAGTTTCACCAGAAGGTACACCTACCTACACGGTACAGCAACAGGAAGATCCGTATCATAAGCTGCTGGAGGTGCATCTAAACACTATGTTATCGTGTCAGACTACTGTCAATGCGGCATAAGGCTGTTGGGGTACATTATTCCATCTTGGCGACCAGGCTGGGGACAATCGATTCCAAATGCCTGCTGCGATCAGTACGTTCAGCGCATTCCTCATACATGCTGATCTCGCCCTCGATCTGGCTCATAATCAAGTAGAGAATGGCCATGAACAGTCGCATAGGTGTGAAATTCGCCCATCGGTGACCTTAGCATGGTTTGTTGGCATGAGCAAGTGTTTCGACTGACTGAGAGTGCCGACAGGCGCTCGGGAGCGCACTGATTCTCACGGCAGCAAGAAGAGATTTTCATCCGGCGCGAGCTCAGGTCTAGCGTTTGTGGTAGAGAAGATCAGCCCACGAAGGGATTCTCATTGACCTTGAACGCGACACCACGCACACCTTGCAGAATGGTGCTTGCTGGCGCGTGTTTCAGGATATGCGACCGCAAGATGACCCCTGCTGCCACCTCGCAATGCCGTAGCAGACGTGCATGCGCTCGAGTTGTGCTCACGCTGATTGGTTGCCATCACCATTCCTCGCAAAGGGAGTGTGTGGAGGGTTGCGTCATCGACCAGACCACACGCCGTGACCCATCATTCTACGAAGTGTCCATAGTTGGTCGACTTGGGGTCGCATATTCTGCAACAAGGGCACACTTGCGGTTTGGCCAAAGACGCGATCCATGCATTGTCGTGATGTGTTTCCAGGGTCAGAGAGATGCCATCACCCCGCCGGCATTCTCTGGCCTGAGCTGTGCCAGTCAGCGGTCTGAATAGAGCCTTCATTCCACGGGTTTGTAGAGGTGGTCGCCTTTCGGTTGCATAATCTGAAACAACAGCATGCTTGCAGATTGTTTGGCATAATCACCCACACATTGTAGTAGTGTCTTCAGGGTTAGAGCGATTCCCAACGTTCCATCGGAGTTCTCTACCTGGATGGCGCCAGCTCATTATTCGAATAGAGTCTCCCATTGTTCCGAGGCAGAGACAAGGCTCGGATTTGTTCGGCTCGGCGCATCACCAGTGCGGTAGTGAGTGGTGAATCGTCTCCCGCCAGTTCACAGTACGTCGCAGTATTGGTTGAGTCGGTGTCAGTTTGCTATGAACCAGATGACGAAGATTTTACCTTTCTTGGGGGATCTCCAGACATGGGAAAACACTTGATGGAATGTAGGTGGCCCTGTCTGACCCCATGCTCCATTGGCAGGCACAATCCTGGACATTTCGATGCTGTTTTCTTTGCATAATTCTTGCACGTCTGGGCTGGGGGCGGAAACATTCTGGATGATGTTGGGCGAACTGATCGGAGAAGATCAACTGACAGCATCTGACTTAGCCTACTTCGTCGTCATGAGCCTTGGAAGGACTGCCAGGTTGATCAGAAACTTATGGCTGGTGTTTTACGCGACGTGTTTGACCAAGCTGTCTTCCGTAATATCGCGAAAGCTGGAATCGAACTGCCCAGAGCCAGACGTCGCTTCTAAGAAGCGCCTGCATTGGCCTCTCTGCGCCGCTGGGTGCCGCAGTCCCAGCTCCTTCACCGGCATCAATGCCCTGCGGCGTGCTCTGCCGCCGGATGATTTGCTGCCATTATACTAGGTAGAGGTCCTTATTCCACCACAAACAAAAGTATTTGCAGAGATGCTTCGGCGATACACTGATGATAGCGATATTCATCAACTTCATAGTTATAGTCTCATCTTAGGGATCAGTCGTCATGCCCATCACCAGTTTCCATACTTCTTCGCCAGAGCAATCAAAGCTCCGTCAACCTCCTCAGGATGACTGAATGAGAGGAAATGCTTGCCACCCTGGACGACCTGTAACTTTGCGTCAGGACTGTTAACAAACTTCTTGATTTCCACTTCCGCGTTCGCAACCGTGTAGACCGCGTCGTCGGTACCATGCAGCCAAAGTACTGGGCAGCGAACGTCCGACAAGCGTGAGTGCAGCCCATCTCTTTCGGCCAGGTTGATTGCCGCCATACGAATCCTGCGACGCCCCTCATCACCTTGATAGTTAGACCTGATCGTATCTTGCCAAAACTTTCTGGTCTCCTGATCAACATCCTTGCCAAAGCCAATGTCAATCAGGAAATTACAGTATTCAAGAGTTGGCTCGAAATCAGGCGTCTTTTCATTCGAGGTCCACGCCTGGATGTTATCCTTCAGTAATGCAGGGCCGTCCCAACATCCCAAGGATACGGTGCGATCATTCTCGTTGTCAAGTGATGTTCCCAAGGGAATAATTCCTGCAATCTGAGCACTCTATCAGCGTGCACACCACAGATCAGTCAACCCGTGAATAGGAACAAACCTTGTCGGGCGCAAGTAATGCCATGCGCACAGTAATCCAACCTCCTTGGCTGGTTCCTAGGACGAAAATCTTGCCCGTAATCTGCAGAGCGTCGATCACTTGGAGATTCATGATTGCCGTATCCCAGTAGGTGAAATTCTCCGACTTGGTCCTAGTTTGCCCGTGCCCAAGAAGCTCGATGGCGATCAAGTTCAACGCATCGGTAAGGTCTTCGTTGGCATACTGACTGTGGTACAGTTCGGAGCTAGTGGTGAAGCTATTGACAAGTACCAGTGTTGGCTTAGCAGAGTTGTAAGGTTTAGGCATCTGATAGGCGGCCTCAATGCCGCCCAAATGGGGAACATGTACAGTCTTGGTGTTTGGCATGATGGCGATATCGTCAACTGGAATAGTGAACCGGTGCAGAGAAGATATTCGAGAAACCATTGACGGCTCGTGCTACTTATAGCTTTGGGCGCCAAAATATTGCAGGCCCGTACGTCCGTTCTCGTCTACCCCGCATCCAGCACGAGCAGGGACAGCGCAACGACAGAGAAGCAATCTTGGCGCCAAGGCTGTTAATTGGCTCTCATGTAGTTGGCGCATGTGCCACAACAGACAAAGTCGCCACTATGGTCCGTGCATCTGACGTTGATCTACTACATAAACGGGACTTCGGTGATTCGTGGTCGCGCCACTCCTGGTACTCGTTAACTACTGCGTTTTGTTACCGCAAATGGAATCCTAACTTCTAGACTGTGAATTGAAGATGCTGTTCGTCACTGCGGGCATCAAGCCATATTGTTACAGCAGTCAAGCACTGTGTACAGTCTCGGATTCCGGTGGATACTCTCGCCTCCAGTCATCCTATTCGAAGTCATCCGATTCGATTAAAGTTCAGCCAAAAGATCTTTTCTATCATACAAAAGCTGTTCACAGATGTAGCTCAATGGAGCGGGCAGAGAACTGTATGGGCGCAAGCGATCGTGAATGTGTACTGCATTCGGGCCGTCGAGGGAAGCCTACAGGGCCGTCATCAGGTTCAAGCCGAGCATTCTAAGACAGTGGCGATGACAATAGCAGTCTCCTTGGGCGAGATGCTCTGGGCATTCTAAATCAGTGGAAAGATTATGCTTCATTCTCAACGTATAATCTAATACTTTGCATTCCCCTCAACATGGAGCCAGGATAAGTGCCGCTCCCAGAACTGGTGGATTGGAAGCTGAGCCCTGTCTAGTCCATCTTCTATCATTGCCCCTAGACTTGAGTCTGTCATCTGGCGCCAGACTTGGGACACTTTACGCTTCCACATTATATCTGTATTCTCTTTAAGCATAGTTTTAACGTTATACCAGGACCTGGTTACCAGTAAAATTTCATGGCAGGCGAGCGCATATTCCAGGCAATCGAGGAACAGATACCAACACTCACCTTGCTGCTTACTGTCAAGCTCACTGTACAGGCCAAACTGTAAGTATCTGGAGAATGACCATACCGTCCTCTTCGTGACACAGTCAACGGAGACCAGGAACCCACCTCGAGTGGTGAATGTCGCATGCGCCCATCCGGATGGGATGAAGATGGCGTTGGTGGAATCAAGCCTATCAACTAAGCCATATTCCAGAAGAGGCATTGTACGAGCTAATTTGGCCTGACTGCCGCGTTCCCGCTGCAGCACTCCCAAGTTGTGACAAGACGGGGGAAACAGGATGATGAGCTTCTGGCAGTCCCCCAGAACTGCCGATATGCCATCCATGCCGTAGTCTGCGAACATCAGCAGGGGTCAAGTAACGACACGCGTATACTACCAATGTGGAGGTCGACATAGGAATATTGAGGAGTGACGTTGATGACCGGAGCTCGCTCGAGAGCGGTGGTCACGTGGCGGTGTAGCTCTGCACATCACACGAGTAGAGGCTTGGACGATGTCGTTGGCGAAAGCACCTCCGGCGCCTTTGGCCTCCAGCATCGTCTTGCCGTCCAGGCTGATATCGTCTATCAGACCGGTCTGCTCGATAATACCAGTCAAAGAGCTGAAGGGAAACAGCGGCTCATCGTAGACGCTGAGGAACTTGTCGAGCATCGCTTGTGTCAGATTGCGGATCTTGATGGGCGCCGAGCCATACTTCCAAAGCAGCTTCACGATGTCCCAGTAGCCCTGCCACCTACTGTCACTGCTGCTCTGCTTGAAGACGAATTGCTCGCCGTCCCAGACCCCGAGGTCGTAATCTGAGTGACCCTCCTCTCGCGAAGATCGAGAAGTGGCATCGAGCCCGAAATCGCGCGTAAAGTTGTACAAAATGTGATTGGCCTTCACAAAGATTGACCCACCTAGCTCTACTGGGAACGCTGGATCATCGAACGCGTTGACTGTGGTGGTCCGTCCGCCGACCCGCAACTCTTTCTCGTATAAGGTGATGTCGAGGGAAAAGTCATGCTCTGACTGGTCTGCAAAGTGTTGCAGGTGGTATGCCGCCGATGATCCGCCGGCACCACCACCAATGATGGCAACTCGGTGAGGCTGTCTTGAATGGGTGTCGCTCGACAACGGTACCTGCGCCTCTTTAGCGAGTCCGGTGGAGGCCAGCACCAGGACTTGGAGGAGGACGACTGGCTGCGTCAAGGTCTGTAGGAACCGCATTTTCGCTATTCCAAGTGAATACGAGAGTCACGTAGCATCAAGGGAGTGAACTTGGGATAGAGCTCGTTTCGACAAACAGCTGCCTGCTGTGTCTTGAGCAGAGGGAATCGTATTGAGGTGACGCAACGCAACGCAAGGCTGTAGCAGAGCCTCGCAGGCCCGACATGACTAAGCCATTCACTGCCTGAGAATCAGAACACAAAGTGAAGATGCGCACTACGGATCGACAGAAATGTGTCAAGAGCCGAGCAAGCTTGTCCGAGTGTCCGTATTGTATTTGAGATTTCGTCGACTTCTCCATGAGCATGCGCATTCACATTGGCAGACCCCGCGTGCCCCACCCGAGGATGCAGAATTCCATATCGAATTACGTCAGGAACTCCTGGACGAAGTATAACGAAGTCGACTGACACGTATATATACTGGAAGCTCATCTCCCCAGGCTCTCAGACGTCTTACTGTACCTAGATTGGCCATATCACCCCACCGCCATCACTACAACCTTCACCACTATCACCAACAAGATGTCGACACAAATCGGAATGGGGGCGTGCTGCCTCTCCGGCTCCGTCCACTCCGGTACCCCCAAAGGCCGCGAAGACAACCTCGGCGGCCTCGACGTCTATGTCACCGAGCCAGAGGACAAATCGACCGCCAAATCCATCGTCTTCATCACCGACATCTTCGGCTGGAAATTCAAGAACGTCCGCCTGCTCGCCGACAACTACGCCAAAGCCGGCTTCACCTGCTACATCCCCGATGTCCACCAAGGCGACTCCCTTCCCGAGGAATTTCTCCAGTCCGTCGAACCACCCCTGAAGGTCCGCGAGCAGGAGGGCGTGATCGACAAGGCAAAGGAGACCGTCGACATAATGGCCACACTTGGTCCGTGGCTTGCCAAGCACCGCGAGGGTGTGTCGGAGCCGCTCATCAGCGGCTTTGTGAACACTGTTCGCCAGATCCCCGGTACGTAGAAGGTCGGCGCCATTGGTTTCTGCTGGGGTGGACGATATGCCATCTTGCAGACACACAGCCCGCGTCCCGAGGGCACGGTCGGTGGCGTCGATGCTGCGTTTGCGGCTCACCCAAGCTTGCTGTCCATTCCATCCGACTTTGAGGCCGTAAACAAGCCGTTGAGCATCGCTGTTGGTACCAAGGACAGCCTGCTTGATCAGAAGAGCAATGAGCAGATCAAGGAGTTCTTGGACACCAAGAAGAAGGATGTCCCATCGGAGGTGCGGTATTATGAGGACCAAGTCCATGGATTTGCGTTGCGCAGCGATTGGAGCTCCGAGAAGGACAAGAAGGCTATGGATGACGCCGAGAAGCAGGGCATCGACTGGTTCAACAAGTACCTGTCGTAGTGGTCTGTCAGCTGCGTGCCATGCTCGCCGTCTGCCACGATTGGTGGTAGCGAATGAAGGGTCCCAATTAGGGTTGCTATGCCTAGCTCAGCTCTGCCTTGTTTTCTTCAATCTCTCAATCTGTTCGTCTTTCATCGGAACGCACTCGTAGTTGCTGGGCATTCCGTAAGCGGTACCGCGCATGAGACAGCGTGCTGTCCTGCTGATCTCCACGTAGTCGACATTGCTGCCGTCAACTTTGGCCCGAATTGTAGCCGTGCCAGTTGGGTGCCCGATCGTGACCGTTCCGTCGTTAGCAGTCCGCGCGAGCATGTTGGGCACAGTTCCCGGAATTTGACAGGCAGCCGCAAGGTTCATGGCAAGCGTGCCGGGTACTGCCTTGTGCGCCTTGCCCATAGAAAGAGCCTGCTGGATAGTCAGCGATCTGAGGGCAATGAAGCGGCATCATACTGACCTGGCAATCTATGTGTCGGTCGTCCGAATTGGATGGGAAGACCATGACGATCTTGGGCACGCTGGGTTTCTTGGGATCGAGACCCATCTTTTTTGTTCCGGCTTGTCGGATCTGGTCCAGTGTTGCCATCAAGTCGGGATTATCGTCCAGCTCAGTCGGCTTCCGCGATGGGTCCCAGCCTAGCTCTCTACCATCAACGAAAATTCCGGGGTTGGACACATCGACCAAGGAGACCGCGAATGTGCGACCATTGACGTTCACAGATTCTGAAGCAGAACCAGTGGGAAAGGTGCTTGTAGTCTTCGAGCCGCCAGGTTTGAGCCACTGAAGGCGAATTTCAGAACCTGTTCCCGGCACTCCAGGCATTTCGAAATGGCCTCGAGGCTCAAAGTTCCACCGCTCTTGTGAGCTACGTTGGTCTAGACTGACCCAGAAAGTGCTCCGGATGATCTTGTCGGTGTTTCTGTTCCAGAGCTCGACTGTTGCAGGGACAGCGTACCGGTACAGGCGACCCTGCGTATTGATGCGAATGCCACGGGTGAGGTCAAGAATGGAATGCTGTCGAAGCTGGTCTACCAGCAAACTTATCTCGACAGCATATGGCCCAACGGCAGCAGTCAGATTACCGCAGTTCCCAGACATATGAGCCACACCGTCTTCGACTCCGACCTGAAGAAAAGTGTATTCTACTTGTGGGAGAGACGGTGGCTCAGGTGTCAAGACCGGATGGTGCAAGACGACTTAATGACATGAGCACTGACTTAGAAGGATGGTGGAATAGGTACCTGCTTTGCTGAGACTGGAGATGCCACCTCCTAGGCCATTCAACTGACGTTGAGTAACATCTGGAGAGCCAAGCAACTCGGCGATTCGCTTGTGTACTTCGTTCCATTCACTGCTGCGGTGCGTCATAGATGGACGCGGAAGCGGCGAACGTCGGTATGCAGTTCTTGTGATGCTGTCAGGGCTGAACGTGCGTATGAGGCCTTCAGTCATCTGTCGCAGGTTCGTGAATCAGTACAGTGGCCAATGGCATGGTGAAATCCTGCTTACAAAAAGGCCTTTTGAAGTCCCACCACGCCACAAAGACAGTGCTTGCTCCTGTCCGTACGTTCTGTGTTTTAGAGACCTTATTGGGAGCGAATAGTTGGGTATATCGGCCACTGATTCTGCCCTCGACAGAATCTCACGACCAAGGGCAGTGTCCAGCACGATCTTTCTGAACGTCGGCGCCATGGTGTCCTCGACGACGCTTTGAGTTCGCTCTCCGTGTTGTCCCAAGTTCGAATCATACCGAGCAGGACCAACTTCTGAAGTCTGCTCGAGTTAATGAAACATCAGGAGCTTGGGCAACTGCGCAGGTGGCGGCCTTGTAGCACCGTAGAGGTTCGCGTATGGGTTGCTTCCAATCTCCGCCTCGATCTTGCCCTCCTGCATACGTCCTTCGCGTGATCATCAACAAAATGCTCTGTAAGGCGACTATGGAGTACTCACGCGTGCCTTGGACCTGTGTTGTCGCAAGCTTCGGCGACTGCCTGGGTCAATGACGGGCTGTGAGTCACTATAGTCGCCCATCCTTGGCGGCGAACGGGCTTGCAAGCTCAGGAGCGTACAAAAGCAGCGCCGCTGGCTTCAGAGGCACCTGTAGAGTCCTTGCGAACTTCAAAGAAATCGCTGAGTGGTGCAAAGACTTGATGTCATCCTTCAAAATTGCAGTGGAGGGCTGCGTAAGTCACATTAAGAAGCCCGACTCCTGATGACAACTAATCTATCAGTGCCACGGTGCCTTGAACAGCATATACAACTCTCTTGAGGAGAAGTGCGAGGCTAGGGGATGGACTCTCGCTGATATTGACCTCCTCTTTCTCTGTGGGGGCTCCCAAGTACGACTATCATCATGCGCTCGCACTTCGGAGCCTCGACGTAACTAAGTCCCACTGCAGGCTGTTCGCAATGAACTGGACCTCAATTGCATGTCGGTACCAAGGAATTTCCGCCAGCTCGGCGACTTTCACCTCTACTATAGTGGGAAGAAGCGTGCACCCGTGTTGACAATCGTCATCGGGGGCAACCATGAAGCCTCTAATTACCTCTCCGAGCTTTACCACGGTGGCTGGCTGGCCCCAAACATCTTCTATCTGGGTGCCGTGGGCATGCTGCGCTACGGTCCACTACGGATATGTGGACTCTCTGGTATCTTCGATCGATCAGACTATCGCAAGCCGCGCTCCGAACGTCTCCCGTATAGTAGAGACGAGGTGCGGACGGTCTGTCATGTCCGCGAGTCCGACGCTGTCCGCCTTCTACAAGTCCGGTCTCCGGTGGATATTGGGTTGAGCCACGACTGGCCACGCCGAATTGACTACTATGGAGATAGTGAGAGGCTGTTCGCAGCAAGGCCAAGCTTCTTCGAAAGTGCCAAACGCGACAGACTTGGGAGTGAACCTGCCGAAGACGTCCTGAACCATCTTCGTCCGCGATACTGGTTCTCAGGTCACATGCATACCGAGTACGAAGCCACCATCCACCACGAAGACGACAACAGCAACAACTTCTTCGAGTATCTTTCTGTTCCACCAAAGATACAGAAGCAACTGCCAAAGTCGATCAGGATACGGGCATTTCCACAAATACCTACGGCCATCACAAATACCACAACGCACTTCCTTGGGCTCGACAAGCCCGGTCCCGCGCGTAAGTTCCTTGACTTACTTGAAGTCGAGTCGCTTTGGGAAGTCGATGATCCGTCAGTGGTGCCATACCTGCAGAAGACGTCGGAGAACAAGTATGCTCTACACTACGACGAAGAGTGGCTGTCCATTGTACGCAGCATCAGCCACGATCTTGACGTGGATGACACCATTCCGGAACTGGCAAGCCTTTCTATAGCGGACGAACATGAAGATGTTACCTCTTCGAGCCTAGACTGGATCCGAGAGAATGTCACCGCTAAAGGTCTGCTGCGAGTTCCCGACAACTTTGAGGTGCATGCACCCCCGTATGACGGCGAGGGAAACATCGAAACTGATGAGCAGCCTCCTGAATATCCGAACTCGCAGACTGAGATATTTTGCAAGATGCTCGGTATCAGCAACGGGTTTATGAGCAGTGACTCCGAGGTGATTGATGATGACTACGTGGTTTTTGAATAGATTTCGTTCTCAAGCGCAATTCTATTCCCCCGAGCTTTATCGAAGTCCTCACTGTCCACAAGTCATGCCGTCAACATCATCCCAACCCCAGCATCACCGTCTCCAAGCACATCTGCGACAGTAATCAAGCAACTGCAGAGGCTTGAGACGGCTTCCTCCCGACGGTCACGAAGTTCGACCCCTTTAACACCCTCCCATCGCCACCCCTCCTCTCCACCTCTTCCGCCAACAAATCCACTAACTTCTCCTTCTCCTCCGCCCGCCACCCCGCCACAACCTCCTTCACCACCGGAATCACGACCAAAATCCCCGCCAAACCCCTGGCCTCCCCCTCCCCAAACCTCATCTCACTCTCCACCTCCCTCACCTCCACCCCTTCAAACCCCGCCCTGCGCACCACTCCCTCCACCCCCTCCCTCGTCCGCCACTCCTCCTTGATACACCTCAACCCGGTCTCAGGCCTAACCTGCTCCACCGCCCACTCCAGCGCCTCAAGATGCTCGCTCCCCGTCCCCGTCGTCATCCCCACCACCCCACCAGCCCGCAACACCCTCGCCGTCTCCCTCAACGCCCCATCATAGTCCTCCAACAGAAAATACACATGCCCACTCAGCACATGACTCACACTCCCATCTTCCACGCCCTCCAATGTCTGCGCATCGATCCTTTCGATCCTTATCTTCTCCCACAGCGAGCGCGCCTCGTCGTCGCGCGCCAGCTGCGACCGCAGCTTCTCGTCGCGCAGGGCGCGGAAGTTGGCGAGCATGGCGGCACTGGTGTCGCCCGCGAGCAGGGTGGCGGATTTGGGGATGTAAGGCCCGTGGGCGGCGATGAGGGCGCTCGTGATGGCGCCGGAACCGCAGCCGGTGTCGAGGATGGTGGTGGCGGTGGAGAAGGGGAGGAGGGTGTCGACGGTGGTGAAGAGGGTGGTGTTGATGGCGGGGAGAGTGGTGGAGGGCTTTGGGTCGTTGGGAGGTGGGTCGTTGGGGCTGGTTGAGGAGCGGGATTGGATGGCTGTGGTGGTGGCGCAGGATGGGGTGGACCGTTGGCTCAGCATGCGGGCTGCAGCGGCGACTTCGGCCCAGGGGTCGTCGTTTTCGGTGCTGGTGGGTTTGGGAAAGGCCATCGCTGAGCTGTTGTATCTCAGTGGCTGATGTTATTAGGGAAGAAATGGCGGATTGGATGGCAAGGTACTACTGAATCGATATGTAGATTTGTGTATGGTTTTACGGGCCGAAGCCCCTCTATATATACCGATACAGCACGGCTTGCTTTTGGTGGTCCAATGTCCTCGATGAGTCCTCGTTGCATCCAGGCGGCGACATTGGAAGTGGCAAGAATGTTTCCGGACTGCAGCCAAGAGTATGGCAGAAAGTCTCCGAGATGTGGTAAATATGCTCAGAGCGACCTCATGAGTGCCGCACTGTGCAGTCTGTGGGCTGCTCTGAAGCATGACAAGTCTGGTGGATGTGTTGTGAGGCATCGGATGATCTATTGGTCCGTTTTCGTCGTCACCGGCTGGGGGTCAACATCCGAAGCTATGCCGTGAGGCCTATCAGACAGGCTGAAGATCTCATCCAGTTGCATGACGGACCTAGTGCCATGACGGAGCTAGTGGCTCCAGTCGGGCCCCTGGAGCAATCAAGCAGTAGGTGACGGTAAGGCTGAGAATGGGGGAGCTGTCGTAGAAGGCGATATGGTTGGGGAAGAATCCGATGAGCGATCAGAGACTGTGTGCTCACTCGCGGAACAGTGGAGAAGTGTCCTTGACTCGACTCAGAGCCCGAAGGTGAGCGGGGTGCCGTCGTGTTGCAAGCAAGAAGGTTGGAGGGATAAAGGAGGGAGAGAAGTGAGGTACACTACGCTTGGCTTGGCGCTCGTCGCGTAGCGGAGACCCCTGATACCAAGCACCAATCTGGTAGGCCAGCCTTACTTCCCTTCAGGTGTAGGGTATATGTAATCGTTAGCATGCCCTCTCCCGAGGCCAGCATCACCGGGCTCTGATGCATCGACACTGTGCCACACTGCTGCCTCCAAATATGCCGCCTCCATCCCGTCCTCAATCACCCATCTCCTTGCCCCATGGCCCACGATCTTCGAGACCTCGAGTGGCCACCTGATCAGATCTCTCCCAGACTCACCCAATCCATCACTGATCCGAGTCACCCATTCTGAAGAGCACAGGATTCTCAGTCCGATCACATCCCTCCTTCTCTTCTCGCTCTCATACCTCCCGCCAAACACTGGAGCCAACAACAACTCCATGCCCATAAAGTATGCCATCAGCACCCGACACACCTCATTATCCTTGTCGACTAACTTTCCAAACTCCATGCCATCACACTCAAACCACACTCTATACACCGCGCAGAATCTGACATACCCTTCCCTGACGCCCTCCTCACATCCCTCCATCGCTTCCTCCACCGCCCTGATGAATCTCCACTCAACTCCCTCCCCCAGGTGCCCATCCATCCCTTTCTCCTCCATCCACGCTCTCACCCTCCCCAACCCTCTCCTCCCACTATCCACCCACCCCTTATCCAAACCGCCAATGCCCACTCCACCATCACCACCCCTACCCCACCTCCCCTCCATAACATCCACATGCGCCCCCTCCCTAAGATCAAAGAAACTCTCAAACCCTCTCTCCCCAATCTGCCCCGTAATCAAAGCACACCCCCTCACCATCGTCACAAACTCCTCCAAGCCATCCGGCATGTACGTCGCCTGAAACGTCAGCGCGTACGCACACGCCAACAGCGCCGTCGCGTGGGCCTGCGACCAACAATTCCCTCCTCCCTCCACAAGACCACCCCCCTGCGCGGAAGACGGCGGCGGCGGCACCGGCACCTCCTGCAGCGCCCCATGCAGTCCCGCCAGCGCATGCGTGCGATGATGAATTGCCTTGGCGTCCAAGCCGCCACCGCCACCGCCACCCTCCCTCACCACCCTGTCACCACGATAGTGCGCCAGCAGCTGCAGATGCGTCGCCGCCAGCCCCAGCAGCGCGTGCATCAGGTACGCGCGCTGCGTCCCCAGCACGGGGATCTCGCGGAGCCAGATCGCCTCGTTACCTGCGGGCAGGTGCGGGTAGCAGGTCGCCAGGAAGTGGTGGTGCAGTCGCAGGTCGGTGAGGTTGAGGTCTGACGGCGAGTCCGGGGAGGATGGGAGGGGGAGGATGCGGCGGTCGGTTGTCGCGGTGCGGCGTGAAGGGAGGGTTCTTCCTGGGTTGTGATGATCGTGTGCGTGACCGGGGTTGGTTGTGGGATTCGGATCGGGATCGCGGTACGAGCAGGGCGTATGGCGTTGCTGGCAGGCGAGGCAGGTGGGGCGGTCTTCGGTGCATTTGACTTTGCGGCGCTTGCAGGTCGTGCAGCCGGTGCGGGATTTGGTGTGAGCGCGGCGGGTCTGGTTGGGAGTGAGTCTTCGTTTTGGAACGGGAGCCGTGGTGGTGGTGGTGGTGGAGATGGTGGATTCGGAGGTTGAGGGGCTGAGCCAGAAGAGGTCTCTGGAACTCATGATGGGCTTTGGATGATGAAAAGATGTTGGCAAGGCGTTTAGGCGTGTTTTCAATGCTCATATGTGGTTGCCTGGCGGAGGGTATCGTGTTGCGTATACCCAAAAGGTTTGTTGGTGTCGGCTTGGCGACACAGGCTGCAGTATTCTTGTGTCGCGGAAAGCAAGCCTGTCTGTCGTAGGTATCAGGCTTTCGGTTGGCTCGTGTCGGCGTGGATCAAGCACATCCAAGCATAGGCCTTTCGAGACCAGTCGTCGTCGAGGCGAAGGATCCACAAACTGGGTACCGAACGGAGTGGAAATCGCATGCAACGTGCGACAAGGCGTCAAATTGTCAAGCGTGGCTATGGACGGTTCTTTGGCTGCTACTAGATAGCTCCGGGTGTTTGGCTAGGATGAGTGAAGTGAAGTGAAGGAGAAGACGATGACACAGGGAAGAGCTGAGCTTGAAGTAAAAGCTGGCGGATCTGATTGGGGAGCGAGTGCGAATACGACGTTAGCTCAGGTGGATCTTGCCTCTTTCGGAGTAGATCGGAATGGTCGGATGTGATTGGACGCATGCTGCACCTTACTGATGGGCCAGGACGCGTATGGAGCTGGAACTTGAAACGAGATGTGGATAGGGAGGTTAGAATTGAGCTTGCAAATGCGTAAAGATTTCACTTGTCGATCCCATGAACAGATTCGCCTTGTGAACGAAAACTCAGCCCCAGAACTGATGCATCGACGCCGCCCCTCCAAGCAACGACGGGACTTGTCGACACCAATGCAACTCCCTTGTATGCTCCGTGAACGCTCCTGATGCACCATGTTGAAATGCCATGCAGACCACGCGATGGTGGTCGTCACTCCTCGACCGGCTTACACCAAGCCTTCACTTGCTGGCCGTAGAACCACGGCAAAAATGTGTCCCTCCACATCAAGTTGCCGTGCCCGTCGATATTGAGCTTTCCCTCAATCGACTCATCCAATATCATCTCAAATCTTCTCACCAGAGTTGCAAAAGACATATACAGCTCACAGTGGGCGAGGTTGATACCAAGACACGATCGCGGTCCGCGAGAGAAAGAGACCAAATACCTCTCGAGCTCTTTCGCGTTCGGTCCAAGCCATCTCTCTGCGTTGAAGTCGTGTGGTTCTGGGAAGATTTCGGTGTTGTTGTGTAGAAACACCGCAGACATACCGACAATCGTGCCTCCAGGAACGCTGTGGCCGCCAATGACTGCGCCTTGTGGTGAAACCACGCGTGACAGCGGCGAAGAGACGCCTGACGATACACGTAGTGACTCCTTGATGACGGCAGCGAGGAGAGGCACATTTGCGAGTGTCTCGTAGCTCGGCTCATCGGTGAGGCTGGGCCAAACGGCTCGAACCTCTTTTCGGAGACGACTCTGTAGGCTGAGGTCTCTCATTAAATGCCACATGCCAACGTAGAGCGTATTGCCTGTTGTATCCGTGCCGGCGAAGATCAGATTCTTGGCCTCCTCAAGCAGTTGGTCTTTCGAAGGGATTGGGCGTCCGTCCTGTGCGGCTGGATCCAGCAGGCGGTGGTAGATGGTCTGATGCGGATACTTCTGAAGCGATGAAGGGTCTGCGATCGCGGCCTCCACTTGTTCACGAGTCAGTCTCGAGATCTGTGCAAAGCCGGATGTATCCGGGAGGAGCTTAGCTGATATTGACGTTGGAAGGGCCCAAATCAGGTTCCGGTAGGAAGGCAGGTGCTTGAAAGGGAGGAACTCAGGGTTGGCGTAGTCCATGGATATCACGATTGGTGCTTGGAAGTGTGGCGCGGAAAGAGCATTCAGCGACTTGCCAAAGCAGAAGGCCGATATGGTGTCGACTGTCAGACATCGCAGGCCGAGATACATATTCGACGACTCCTTTGCCGCGTTGTGTTGCGTGAGGGTGTCGCAGTAGTCGTTGAGTTTCCGTCGTATTAACCCCTGGATACCGCTGACAGCTCTCCTCGAGAACAGAGGTTGAAGGACATCTTTCCTCTGCTTCGCTTGGGGATACTTCAGATAGCCGAATGATGTGCTGTCAACACCCATAGAATGGTAGAGAACCCTCTCCTTGTCCCATCGAACTGCCGGTGCATAAATGTCGAAATATGCTTTGGCACTGGCGAAGTGTAGCTCGTTAGGTGATGTTCGCACGACGTCTCCATATTGCTCATGTAGCTGCGAGAGCACCTCGGTCATCGATTCCTTCTTCCATACTTCGATGTACACCTTCCACCACTCGCTCGCCCTCGCCGCAATGGGTCCAGGGTATTTTGATAGCGGATGAAACCAGACATTCTGCGCAAGGCTCAGAAGCGTCCATGCAACGTAGACTGCCGCGGCCAGGAAGAGGATCGTAGACGGATATAGGACTTTAGAGGAGTGGGGGCCGAGCAGGGGGTATCCGGACGATCCGGTGGGGATGTCGCTCAAGTTGTCCATTTGTAACGATATTGGCTTGAAAGCCTCCAATGCTTCTTTGTGGTCCATAACTGGCCTCTGTCAGTGACTTCAAGCCAGGTCAGAGAGCGACAAACGAAAACCGAGCACGCCCGGACAAGTCGCATAAAAGGGCGGTGCGACAAGAATCGGCTAATATGGGAATACTTCGGACGGACTCCTGAGTATCGAACAATAGCCACGCGTAGTGTCAGTACCAAGACTAACCACTAGCAGACAATGTGGGCTTTTGATGGTCGCCTTGAAACATAAGAAGGGCCCCATGGCACTACTTTGACATGAAAAATGCAGATGATTGGGGCCTCGCGATTGTCGTCAATCGAGAACCCCACGAAGGCAACAATGACGCTGTTGGAAAATTCGCAGTCCCAGGATCTTGTGCCCAATGTCACGGAGCCAGGTTTCGACCTCGCTTCCAACCATCGTAGCGACGGTCAGGCAGACTTACGTGCTGGTGCAGAACAGCCATGGATGGAGATGATGCACGCCGACAAACAGCAAGCTTCGAGTATACAAGATTCCGAGGTCCATGCGCCGAACAAACAAGACACAGACACACAACACACAGACACACAACACACAGACACACAACACACAGACACGCAACACATAGACACCCAACACACAGACGCACAAGACACAGACGCACAAGACACAGACGCACAAGACACAGACGCACAAGACACAGACGTACAAGACACAGACATTGATTGGTTAGACAGTGAAGCGTCAGAGAACGAAAAGTCAGACCGTAAAGAACCAATCAACACAGTGTCAGATACGATAGAGACAGAAGAGCGAAGTATACATGCACCGAGTGCATCCCCAGCAGGCCGCGTAACCCAGCAATTGACAAGAAGCACATATTCTATTGCGCCGTCTTCGGAAAGGATTAAAAGAATCCACAGCCCTCCCTTGCAGAGCCTGTCGAGGAGAACCAAATCAACTAAACAAGTGGCAGTACACTCTGGGAGCAAGACATGGGGGGTTACAAACGGGACTGAATTCGCACCAAGCGCAGACAATATTCCTGAGCAGATTCGATTCTTCGATTTGCACTTCGACAATGTCTCAAAGGAATACCGTGTTACTCGCCTCCGGGGAGATGTTCGCAACTGGCATGATCTTCAACCCGACTCTAGCTGTACGTGCCAGGATGAGACATTCCGGCGCGGCGACCTTGTTCATATCAAGCTGCACGGCAAGAAAGATGTTCGACAAGGAGACGACGTGGCGCGTGTCGATGATATCAGAATACTCTCGGTGGATGATGCACGAAGACTGGTGTTGATCACATGGCTCTATCTTGCAGACGGTCGGTTGTACGAAAGCAATCACCTGCAAATCGTGCTCTGGGATACCATTACACGACGCGCAACCCAGGTCTTCGCCAACAAGGTTCACCCCCTTCAATTGTACAATGTCTGTGGGGGCAAGAAGTTCTGTTCTGCTCAGCAAGCCGAGCAATGGCATGTGAGGAAGGCGCGTGTGCTCAGCCACGGCTACTCGCCTGGTCCTGGATAGAGCCAAGATCTAAGCAGAAAATGATATAAAAGACGGGTGCGGTGCATTTACATGCATGCTAGACTTTTGATCGTTGAGTGAAATTTACTTGTGTGCGCTTGGGCTCTCTCGATTGTAACGTTTCTCCACCTGAGTATGTATTTCAAGACGCTCTGCGACTTCTGGCAAACGTTGGCCGGACAGGCTGATGAGCACCGACGTGAAGGTACCATTCGAACCTGGTTGTCCAGTGTCACCGCAGACGACCTGAAGACCAGATCGAACCTGCTGGCTCTGACATCTTGCCTATTCCCTCATCGACGGCGCGATAGAGTGTACGGCTTGCGGGAGAAGTCACTAGCCGACATTGCCATTCGTGCATGGTCCGTCGGCCACAGTCGTGCTCGACGCCTTCATGAATGGCAATCAAGCTATGGTGCTCCAGACTTTGCTGCTACGGTCCGGACATTGGTGGAAGAGGGAGGCGAAGTGGCACACGTGCATGGTCCACCCACGGTAGAAGAGATCAACCATGTGCTGGATCATTTGGCATCCAGCTGCCCTTACTCTTCACCAGAGATCCGGGCCTCTTTTCAACAGGAGATTCACAGCCCACGCCAGGGGCTCATTGACATGCTGCAACGGATGAGTGGCTTGGAAGCAGAGTGGATGTGCCGTTTGATTTTGGGCAATCTGGGTCAAGTTCAATTGCCTGAAGAGCTGGTAATGAATTTCCTCCATTCTGCTCTCGGGGCCACGCTTCAAGTACACGATGGACTCGTTGACGCAGTGGCGTCGATCATGAGTCCACGTGGAGACGGAGAATCAAGTATGCAATACCAGCATACGGCAAAATGGCGACCACAGTTGGGCACGGCCATCCGTCGTCCGACATTCGAAAAAGCTCGAAGCATCCAGCATTGTCGTCAACTGCTGGGACGACAACCGGTTTACGTTGAGCGAAAGTATGACGGAGAATACTGTCAAATCCATGTTCGCCTCCTGCCAGCAGGGTACGCAGATATCAAGATCTTCTCCAAGAGTGGACGGGATTCGACCGCAGATCGTACAGCACTCATCCCTACGATTCGTCGGTGTCTCAGCATCGGGAAGCAGGACTGCCAAGTCAGCACGGGATGTGTCCTGATTGGTGAGGTGGTTGTCTGGAACGATGCGCAGCAGGACATCATGCCGTTCTACAAAATCCGCCGATACATTCCCCGGGCTGGTCGTCATCTTGGTTGTGGCCGCGACTCACCTCCCCTAGCTGAGGAGCACCTGATGATCGTGCTCTTCGATTGTTTGCTCCTTGATAACGTCGATTGCGTATTCGAACCGTATATGCAACGACGACATCGACTCGCATGTGTTGTGCGTCCTGTGCCAGGACACGCTGTGATCAGTGAGTATACGACGATAGACATGAGCAGCAGCGATGCTACTAACCAGATCACCAACCGACTAGCACATGCGATTTCCCATCAATGGGAAGGATTGATATTCAAACCATCTGAAGCAACCTACTTGACTCTCGAAGGGCACCAGCAGCATCAGGTGAAGTTAAGAAAAGACATGATCCCAGGCTTGGGCGATACGGCCGATCTCGTGGTCATTGGGGGAGCTCATGACGGAAACTATGGCGCTTCCGAGTGGTGGACAACATTCTACCTCGCTTGTGTTGATCTGACCGCAGGAGGCGCAGACGATCCGACCTTGCAAAGCTTCCGCATAGTTGCTGCCGTGTCACGACCTGCCATAACCATCACAGATATGCAGTTTCTCAATCGACATGGAAAAGCGCACTACCTGACGCCTTTCGACGTGGCTGCCACCCCTCACATTGAGACCGAACTTACAGGCCAGCCTCCTCCCACCGCCATTTTCATGCGTCCTCTCGTGGTCGAAGTGGTGGGCGCCGGTTTTGACCGTTTGCCAAACTCACGATTCGAGAGCCTCCGCTTCCCACGTGTGGTCAAGATTCACCTGGACCGATCATTCCGAGATGCTGTCACTAGTGAGCAATATCGGCACATGGCCGAGAGAAGTCAACACAGTGACATCAACCGCGATGGCACTAGCTTCCAACACTGGCTATCTCGTTTGACTGAATGTGTCAATCGTCCGGACACGTCGAGATCCGCATCACGAACTGCTTCAGGGTCGGCAAAGTCATCGCGGAAACGATGCAGAGAGATCGAGGAAGTAGGAGGGGTCAAATGAGAGAAGAGGATCTGCGGATTACCGCCATGACGGCTGCGAAATAGATGAATCTCAAAAATCACGTTACATTGTCTGAGCAATTCTGTGTCTTCAGCAGTTCCACGAACGGATTACCCCGTTCGCATGATAAAGCGAAGGAATCTACACGTTCTATGCCAAGGCCAAGCTTCAATGTCTTAGGTATCGCCACTATTAGCATGTGCAGCATCTTCGGCCATACTTGAAGGACTCTGATATGGAATCTCCAAGTACATACTGTACGCGATCTGACCAATGAAGAGCACAGTAGACTCAAAGCAAAGTCTTCCGTGTTGAATTAGTACTGCGGTATCCAGGTGCACGGGCCACAGCAACGGTTTCTCAGTTGTGGCCCGTGCGCTTGCTGGGTCAATTGAGATATGCATATACTGAGCAGCAGCCGATCGCGAAATGCAAAGAGACATGCTAGAGAAACCTCCAAGGTGACTGAGCAGGGGCATTTCAATTAAGAAATAGCGATCTTGCAGCGGACACCGTCCCGACCCTGAGAACAGACCACGACAATGGGTGAACAAGTCGTCAGCCAGTACCTACCAGCATAGTTGTGTTTCAAGATATGTGACCGCCATGCGCCCAGTCTTGCACACCTCGATTCTAGCGCGTGATTGGGTGATGGCGCAACCTGCGGGCAATCAACCATGTCGATGGCCTGCATCGTGCGCTGAAGGAGCTGAACACACGCGGTGTTGGAAGGTTGTTTTTCAGGGGTCGCACCAGCCTCACTGCAACTTGCCACACGTTTGTCTTCGAGGTTCGCAGACGTGGTCTTCTTACGGCCGCATGACTTGAAACTTGCGCCAGCAACCATCATTCCATGTGGCTATATTGAGATACGATTCAGGGTCGAAGAGACTCCCCTCCTGGAGCTGATGTTCTTCACCTCAGAATGATTCGCACTCGGTCTTTCTTCATCGTGGTTTTAATATGTATGCGCAGCCGCCGTTAATTGTGTCAACATCGACAGGCCATATTGCGCCATCGCGCGGTGTGCACTTGTCTGTCCTAGCTCGTACGACGTTACGACCAGAAAACGCAAGCCGAAATGTTGGTCAAAATTGCCAAAATCACAAGACGCATGCACAATCTACGTCCTGAATCCAACGCAGCTGATCCGAGTATGCCCGCGATCTACCAACAAACTATCGCAGCTATTTGATGCGCGGTCTACGCCGCTCCCTAATGCGAGCATGCATTTCAGTGATGGCCTTTCTCCTTCGAATAGCGTCCTCAGACATCTCTGTCTTCCTGGAAATTGCATTCTGTATGCCACCTGCAACAGAGATAGTCTCTTCTTCTGAATACATTGAACGCTTTGCGCTCCCAGAAGTGGCACGAGAAGACGGTGTCGCAGGACTCCCTCCACTCCTATCATGGCTATGATCCGAAGCGATTTCCTCGCAATCGGCGTTGCAGTCGGTGGACCTATCATTGCATCCGATGCAGTCAATAAGAGGAACGTCATCCCAGCCAGGGGGCTTGGGCGGGATGACAACCTCGAAGGTACTAGTTTTGGAATTGACAACTTTCGGTGGTGGAGCCGGGAAACATGACGATTTTTGTTGGCATGATGACGACGATGATATCGACAATGAGAGCCTTTTTGGTGTCGCTGGAGATTCATCTGCCCAATACCGACAGTCTTGATCATGTTCTGCGTTGCAATTTGAAGCAGAGCCTTCAGTTGCCTGGACGGGGACATGTGGAGGGATCCTGATGCGCCGGCTGACTGCTGGCCTATCGGAACTTCTCAAGCCTGCCGCAGCACAGTATGCCTTGTCGGTAGCAGAATCTTTGTCAGAGGCCTTATCCCACCGAGCTGAGCCGTTCATATCGCTGTCCGGTGCAGGAATGAGATGAATGTCCCAACGATGAGCAACATACTCGGCGATCGTGGCATAGCTTGGTAGCTGCACGCAGCGTGGATGCAAGCACTGGTGTCGCTCGGACCGAAGTTCCTGGACGTGTTTGTCCATGTGAGCTTTCCAGACGGTCGTGTTGAAGAATTGTGTTAGACGTTTTGCATTGGCGCCTGGGTTTCGTGTTCGGCTCATGCAGTCCGGACACCACGCTGGGCGAAGTACTGCTCCCCGAAACATAGCCAAGCTGCATTTTAGGGGCATATGGTGGCTGTGCTGATCGGCGTGTGCAGCCCATGCATCGACATGGTCAATCCAGGTATAGCAGAAAAAGCAGAAGTCGTTGAAACCCCCTACAAGTTCGGACCGTTCTTTGCGGCAGTGATAGACGTGGCGCCACCAGTCTTGACTAGCGGCTGCTGAACGGGCGATGCCACAGGTATCGCAGTGTGAGCGCGAACTGTTGAGTTCAACACAGTAAGTCTCAGAGTTCTGAGAGGCGAACAAGCTCACCAGATCATTCATGAGATCGATCCCTTGGGATCCTCGCAATGATCCGACCTCAAAGAGGGTGTCAGCGAGTCGATCTCGCTCTGGCATCAGGCGTCGGGCTTGTTGGAAATCGGACTCATAAATACAAACGAGATCAGTGCCCGCTTCGCTGGTCCTGGACTGCCGATCTTCACGGAGAATCTTGTCTTTAAGCCTGCGACGATTTCTGTACGCTGTCTGGGGCGTTTCTGCTTGGTCGATCGCAGTCCGGCCCTCCGTCCCACGTTCTGCAGAGCGCATCTGACCCTGCAACCGGGAAGGCACTTCTGGCCGGTATTGATGGTCACGTCGGATGGAAAATCCACGAAAGAGTTCGTGCAACCGTGGCGATTGTTGCTCTAGGCCAAAATACGTTGCTTGTCCATCGACGGTGGAAATGGCGTTCTGATAGTAGCTACCATACGTATTGGCGTTACGATGATCAGCGTGGCGCATCCTCTCGTTGATAGAATAGCCATGTCCTGTGCATATGAGCGGCGTGTCTTGATTGTCACGCCTCGGAGCGACTCACTGTCTACTTGCAAGAGTGCTTCGCGTCGGATCGCGCCCGGGGTTGGCTTATCACGGAAGCCTGTCCGTTGGCCCAAAAGCCCGAGGGCGTTGACTAGCGACGTCGCGGCTTTGGTCTCCCGCTCTGAACTTTCCGTGTATCGGGTGAAGACATGTCGGTCACGCACGTCTTCAGTGTATACCAAGCAGAGGAAGTTACGATCCGGCGGTTTGGACGCTGCACAGACGTCTGACCAGCTTCGAAAGTCTCGCAGTCCTTGCACAGCCAAGAGACTGGCCACGAAAAATGCAACAGCGTTGTAGTAGAAGGGCAAGTCGACCAGCTCGTATAGAAGATGTTCCGGCCTGGCTGCGTTAGTACTTAATCACGCACCATCGGCACAGCCACACGCACTGTTGACGGGGGAGATTGGCGAGTCCCTTGGTATGGTTGCGACACAGATCAATCACCAGCTGCGGCTGGGCATGATCTTCAAACCAGACCTGATACAACATGGTATCCTGAGGCGTCAGCGAGTCTTTCACGGAGGACACGAATAGGAGACCGACCCGATATCGCAGGTTCATCACGTATTCAGCCGACCGCGCTGAAGTACCGATATGCATCAGCATCATCAAATGGAGTCCGATTCGGTATGCCTCGCAACGATAGTCGTACCAGTCATTCTGCCACAGCTGTCTCACACAAGCCTGAAAGTCCATGAGCGTGAAGTTCCGTGTGGGTCGACGAGCGGTGCGAAGATTCAGCCAGTTGTTATCTCCGCCATAGATCAGCTGCGTCGTGATCAGCATTGAATCTGCGCGGCGCGTTGGACCATGTTCTGACCGTTTCGATGGTGTTCTGGATACTTTTGGAGAAGACGTCGCCGGTGCGACGATGCCACGCGGTCATGAAACTCTTCCAGCAGGTGTACGCCGAGTTTTGCGTGATTCGCTGCTCCTTCTCACTGTCCGGCCCGGTGGCCAAGCGTCCTTTTCTACCATCGCAGTACCATTTTAAGAACTTCTTCAATGTGACCAGGTCGAGTGGTGACACGTCCTGGCTTATCTCTGTCGCGAATCTGGCACAACAATCAGTATGTGCACATTCATGATCAGTTCTGACCACTGACTGATCCCACTCCTGAAGCATGCGGCCATAGGCCGCCTCGGTCAATGGTCGAACAGGTTTTTGGACGACGTCTGCTGTGACAGTGGCGATACAGGTATGATAACTGCGTTCATTGCGAAGGCGAGCTTGCCGTGCCCTCCGCCTTGCAATGGCGGGTGAACTTTTCATCTCGATGCCGTCGTTTACGATCGGTCATCCAGAGAAGACAAATTGAAGGTCCTAGAAGGTGGAGGAGAATAGGAGAGGAGTGGGAAGGGGACAGCAACAAGAGAACGAGCGGATCGCGTCTCCTATATACCCCTGATTCGTCTGATCTTACTAGCCATCACAGCCAATAGGAGCAGTGCCCATTGAGATCCGTAGACATCACGACCAGGAGGCAGAGATGGCAACCACGACTCGTGGTACACCACCTACGATTCTGACAGAAGGCTGACGATGTCGCCTTGGATTACAACGGGATCAGAAGTGGCCAGCGGACGAATCATCCACACTAAAGGCGAGGAATACCATTGAAGTTGCTTTTGTTAGGGGGTCACTGTATTGACACCATACAGACACGAAAAGTCGTGGTTCTACACATGGCCAGGGATGGCCGAGCGTAGAAGTCCCACAACTCTCCTCTGCGGCAAGCGGAGGAACGTTACAGCGCCTCGGCCACCACAGAATCCGCAGGGTATGCACTGCCAAGACACTCGCCCATTCCATTGTGTGGGAGCCCATGGTCTTCGGTGACCTTGTCCGCGAGTCGACCACACTGTGCAATGGATTGATGGACAAATCCCAGCGACACGGCTATCTTCGTGGGGTCGACCCATCTTGAATCGTGGTCGGGTGGTGCCCGGGTGGGCTTGGGTGGGCTCCAGGTGGGCTCCGGGTGTGCCGAGGGTGGGCTAGAGCGGCGGGCGGGTGCGCCCAAGGTGGTGGCCGAGCCTGAAGAATTAGCGCTGAAGTACTCCTATTCTTAGCGCCACTAGAGTGGTGAGAAACAAAGTCATGAAAGTTAGACTCTTCCTCACTCTCTACACCACCTAGTAAAGACAGCCCTAAGACAGGTGAATCATCTAACACAGTATTAGTAGGTTTCACACTATTATTAGAGTAGCCTAGATCAAGATTATCACCCATTATCTCAATCTCCTTAGCAGCATCATTATTACTAGCTTCTTCATCACTACTACTATACATCTAGTCTTCAGACCCTCCTGCTAGTAGTAGATAGGGGGGTGGTAGAGGAAGTTTTCCTAGGCCAACTAATAGACAAGACTATAGAGTTAGGAAGGTGCCATACTGAAGATCTACTAATAGCCTTAGAATTAGATTACTAGCTAGTAGACTACAAAAGAAATAAGCAATACCATAAGCTGGCACAGCTTGCTAAACAGCCTATAAAGTAGTGACAACTGCTGGAGTATAAAGGGAAGTGTGACTAATATTTAGAGGTGTATACAGCTGGCTATACTCCTATACTAGTATAGCCTCTTGTTAGTCGCGAATATAATTAGCATCTTAGGAAAGTGTGAGACCCTGCACCTAAAGTCCTAGTTGTGGTAGTGTCTAGGGAGGTTCAGGAACCCTACTAGCACATATGATTCTCTCATCATGTTGTAATTGCTTAAGTTGGGCTTAATAGTGTCACTCATAGTAGTGGCGTGAGTAGTGAGTGGCCAGCTCACAGTGGTGAATTACAGCAGCTTCCTCTGTTACAGAAGATTCACCACAACTATGTTTTAACGCCATCTTATCTATAGGCCTAAGAATCTAGTAAAGGATTATTGGAATTTTTAGAACTGTTATATATATAATTAGAAATAGTGTAAGGCTGTTACTATATACTATAAGACCCTTAGACTGTTAGATAAAGGATTACCCTAGGGCAGCAGTGTCACACTCTTGGCAGTCTAACCCTAGCACTATCACACTCTTGGCAGTCTAACCCCAGCACTGTCACACTCTTAGCAGAACCCTCACTATCGCCCTAGATCGGCTAACTTTAACGCCAACCCTAGCGACAACTACATATACTACACCTTTAACAAGAGTATCATTGGAAAGCCTGAGTTGGGCTCCGCCCTTTCGGGCTGGTCTTGCGTCGCTTACACGCTGTTCGACCTTTACTGAATCTCTAATCTGTAAGCCCAGTCTCTCCTGTATACTCCCACTCCCAGCCCGCCCATCCCCCTACGGCTTCCACGGCCTCGTCGACTTTCACCTGTGCCGATCCGCCCGAGCCCAACACTTCCTGGCTGAGCCCGGCCATATACCGCTGTATGTGTACAGCTTAGAAGGTTACCGCGTTCACCTAACTCCTTTCTAGGTCTTGCTACCCTGCCCGTTTAAGTCCACCCTAATTATGATTTAGCTTCAGCTGTGGGACACCTAATATCCAGTAACTGTCTGTCTCTCCCGCTCCTGGTATATAGAACTGGAGAGTGACATAATATCCTAAGTGTAGGACACCTCAAACTCAGTTGCTACCTGACTCTCCCACTTATAGTATATAAAAGTCAAGATATTCACAAACTTCAGACTATACGACACCTCATACTTAGTCACTACCTAGCTCTCCCGCTCAAGGCATATAAAAGTCAAGAGGTCTATAGATGTTAGACTGTACAACCCCTTATATCTAGTAACTATCTGGCTCCCCCGCTCATGCTACATACAAGTCAAGTAGGAATGGAAGTTGGATTATTATCTGTGGTGTGCATTGTCTGCACCATTGACCTATAGAATCTCTATTATCTAGGCGTTCGCTACCCTAATTGCCACACCAGAATTAGACTCTAATGTGCTCTATGGTGACGGCCTGACCGCTATGGTGACTCTTAAAGCCGCACTAAGCCACGCATGTAAAAGGGAGAAGGGGGGGAGGGGGGTGTACCCTGTTGACTGACAAGGAAGACCCCCCCCTTTGCCCTTCTGCCTATTATACTATCACTGCCTATAATCCTGTGCATAGGTTGTAGCCACTACCACACGACTAGAGCTCCTTCTAGAGTACTTGACCTCTACTTCATGGAGACGTCGCTGTCCTCGTTGACATCCTCACCGGGAGCATTGCCCTTGTCACCCTCGCGCTGCTGCTCCTTCTCCACCTGGGCAAGAGCCTCCTTGACACTGACACCCCATTTCTTGGCCTACGTCTCGAGGAACATCTTCTGCTGCTGGTCCTCTGTATGACACTTGTACTCCATCAAGCTCTCTTGAATGGCGGCGTCCAGCGCTGCTTCTTTAGCCTGTTGCGCCTCTCAGGCGGCCTCCTTCTCGAGCTTCTCTTGAGCTAGCTGATCCGCGGCCTCCTGCGCCTTCTTCTCGTCGGTCTGAGCCTTCTTCTTGGCGGCTGTCTTCTGCTGCTTCTTCTTCTTCGCCGCAGTGGGCTTCTCGCCTTGCTTGTCGGTTGAACGAATAGGACGCAGCCGACGACGGACGGGCGTCGGAGACTCAGGGTCGCCCTCGAGCGTGCTGGGAGCCGGATCTGCAGCTGGCCCTTTGTCCTTGGCAGCCGGTCCTGTATCTTTTGGATCGCCGTCCGGTGCACTCGTGGCGGAGCCTATGAGCTTAATTCCGTCCGGAGAAGATCCCAAGTTTTTAGCGGCTAAAGTTCGCTTTTTGGCACTTTAGCCGTGATCCCGGGAACTTAAATGCCAAAGGTATATTCGCCGAAATGGCACGCGTCGCAGCTCAGTGCAAATAAGGTTATTGCGTTCTTGTGTGCCATATTTAAGACGATTGAATACGTAGTACTAATATCTTTCGACGACTCGAAAATAATTGAAACAATACTACAGATTCTATTGGATTGAAATGGCTCCGTTAACGAGTAAAAAGCGATTCTCCGTTTGGTCCGAAGGCATATTCCATGGTCTACCCGTCTTACCTGACTCATTTAAAGACCTGCGAGCGGTTGTTGTTGGTGCCAGTGGCACGTCGGGTCAGCCCCTTCTCGATGTTCTGGCGACAGATCCGCAACGTTGGAGTCACGTGTACGCTTTATCTAGAAAGCGGCCGAAGGGGGATTCTCCAAGTATCAGGCACATCCCGGTGGACCTGACCTGGGAGCCTGAAAATCTGTCTAAAAGTTTGAGAGACAACAAGGTCGAAGCGTCAGTTCTGAGCTTGCCCGTCGCCAAGGCATCGATATATTGATACAAGTTGTAGCGACTATGTCTTCTACTTCGGATATGTACAGCTCGCAAAATCGGAGGCGAACCAGGCCGAAGTTTTTGGAGACCCTAACGAACTGGCAGATCTTAACGGTAAGTGCCATAATCACGAACGAGTCTTTACTTATTAGCTCATAATTAGGCAAACTCTTTGAGAATCTCTTGAAAGCATTGGACCTAGCCTCAATCTATCCGAAACGGATCGTTCTTCAAACAGGGGGAAAAAACTATGGCGTACATCAAGGACATGTAAACGTCCCGCTTACAGAAGGGGCTCCACGGGTCGAATTAGAGCCGAACTTTTACTACACGCAAGAAGATATACTCTCAAAGTATGTCGGCACACACCCTGGAACGGCCTACAATGTCACTATGCCACAGTGGATTCTCAGTGCAGTTGCGAACACGAATATGACCATATTCTATCCGTTAGCTGTGTACGCTGCGATTCAACAGAAGTTGAGGAAGCCTTTGCTCTATCCAGGAGATTTGGCTTCCTGGGATAATAACCATCCCATTATTACTGGACTGCTCTTGGGCAGGTTCTACGAGTGGTTGGTACTGAACCCTGAAACAGCTGGCGAATCATTCAATATTACCGACGGATCTGAATTCACCTTTGGGAGATTATGGCCAATTTTAGCATCTTGGTACGGCCTTGAGTGGTCTCCTCCGCGGGAAGACGCCAGGTATATTGAGCATGAGACGGCATTTACGCCGAGAGGGTAAGACTGCGCAGTCCTCCTATGGTGGCTCAGCTAATTGGGAACCAAAGATACGGTCCGAAGGGCAAGCTACGATTTTCATTTAGCATTCTCGATTGGGCACGTGAGCCTGCCACACGTCGAGCTTGGGCAGAGCTTAGCAAGGAGCATGGGTTGACCGCAGATCCTCTTGATGATCCTGAGGGCACATTCGCATTCTTGCAGTTTGCACTAGAATTGACGTGGTCGTGGTCAACAAGCATGAACAAGGCACGAAGCTACGGCTGGTTTGGACACTGCGACTCTGTCGAGTCTATGAAGATGGTTTTCTCGAACTTGGCCGAAATGAAGATGCTACCGCCGAACCCGTTACTGGAGTCGTGATATATTCTCTACTGAGTCGTGCTCAAAGTGGTCTATTTGATCTCGAGCGCACTTGAACCGGACTATCAGGTGCTAGCTTCAGTTAGAAAGGCAACCGTTGGAAGATTGTTCTATGTTGCATGTAGCATATATCCTGATACTACTTCGTAAAACAATATCTTAGTGTTAGAGGGCTAGATGACCTAGTCCAAACAATTGAATCTCGACTTCCGATCACTGCAATAGATATAACAGACGAAATTGCGCTTTTACGGATCGGGAAGAATATCCCTGAGACTGGAGAATCGATGGCCCGAAGACATCTGGTTTCTGTATCGTTGGTGAGTATGCGAAGATTCATCGTCCATGCATGGAAACAATAGCACTTTAACCCAAAACAACATACATACAAATATTCGTGCAAATCCAGCAGCGTATTGTGCGCGCAGTAGGACTAGTATCAAACTGGGGGTTTTTTCGCCGAAATCATTGATTCCGGCCGAATGTTCTACGTAAACCTTATATTCGCCGAATTTGAGCGTCCCGATTGTGTGCGCTGTGAATCCTAACAAAGGCTGAATTTTTTTTCGCTTGGGCGAAAACCAGCCCTAGAATCTCAGAAATATTGGGCTTGAGGAAGACCGCAGCCGGTCGCCCAGCATTAGAACTACCAAATTTCTATGCCCACCTAAAAGGGGGATCTGGCTTTAATACCTCTCATTTACTGGTAAACCTCCTGAGGACCCATTATAGTGTGGACACCACCTTCAGCAACGTTAAAAGATACGATGCTTCAAGCTAGTATGTTCTGAAGTCGGCGGAGGATGCCTGGACATAGCTAGTATCAAGGACGTTGCCAAAGGAGGAGCTTTTGATAACGCAGTTAAGCTACCGCTCGAGGCGGCCGTGCTTTTCAGTAGCCCTTTTGACTTCAACATGACAGACATCTGGAAGAATCGGCTGGATTCTACGATACATGGAGCGACAGAAACTCTTCGATCAATGGTGGCATGTTCCTATCTTACGGATTATCGTTGTAACTTCATCGTGGGGTTCAGAGATCAATCAGCTTCGAGGTCCTGGCCGGAACTTACAGCTATAGAGAGCGACTGAAGTCCGATCAGTCTGCGTAGGCATTGGAAGACTACTTGATGGCAATCGTGCGACATGACTTTCGCTGAGCAGGCTGCCCCGGAGGTCATGGAGCACAAGAAGCCAAATTCACGCTCGCCACACTTTGCCCGCCACAACTCATAGGACTTACTATAAATGGTTTAGGAACCTTAAGTACTCGTAGGCGAGTAACAAGGTCGTTCGACATTACGTCCAGGGCAATTATGCCCGTCAAGAGCTACATTCTACTGGGTTGATATCCGAGATATACCGAATTGCTTAGTTGTCGCGTTGAACGATCCACCAGCCCCAAATCGTAGGTATATCGTGCTGCAGATTGGAATTATCCTTAGCTCACCCTCAAGACTTGAAAACTTTGCCAGGAAGAGATGTACCTGGAGCGGGTATTAGAAAAACAGTTAGTCGACGATTTTGACGCTTCGAAAATCGCGAAGGAACTGACACTGTCCTCGACGGGGCTGGAGGTGTCCGTCTTGATGCTGTAGTAGGTCGCCGGAATCTCCTGTTAGAAATGAACAGCCTTTGCCTTCTAAGGAGAAGTCTCTAGTATCGAGAACATTCGCGATCTTGGATCTTACGGCACACTATGGCCTAAAAGTGTGGGCCGAAAAGCTGTACCCCACACCAAGCCAAAGGCCAGGATCAGGGTCTTGGAAGCTTAGCTCAGCTGTAATTTTCAATTTTTGCTGTACGAACACTTCTTTGTCTACGTAACCTTGATAAAGTGCCAGTAAACATACGCCTCCCAAAATGAACCGGATATCAAGCAGAGCATACCAACGACACAAGCGCAAGCGTGCTTGTCGATACTGCAATGCACGTCATATCAAATGCAAAATGCCGGATCGCGATCGGGTTGTCCCTGAGATTCGTTCGGGTCGTCAATGTCAGGCCTGTCTCGACGCGAACGAGGATTGTAACTTAGGCAAAGAGGCAGACGAGCCCACAGAGCGAGCACGCCCTTCTCCGAAGAAAGGGTGTCTGGATCTGTTTTCACAGAAAGTGTCGACTCCAGGGTTAGGGCCCCAAATCTCGCCTCAAAACGCCGCTGTGAATGACTCGGACTCGTTGCAGTTAAGGAGCACGCCCGTGCCAGAAGACTCCGAGATGTTGTTGGTACGTTTTATCGATACAGATGAAAGAGACGTCGTAGATGGATCGAAGGAAACAGACTACAAGGTGATGTACTTCGGAAACGACTCGATCTGGTCGTACAGCTTGCAAAAAGCCCGGCGGACAAAGACAATAAACTCACTTTCTCCTCTCTCGAGTGACGGGCAGACTGTCGAGAGCAACGTCCATCACCCAGTCCCGGGAGCTGTAGACTGGACTACAAGCACTCATATTGATCTCAATGCAGACAACAAGGCCGCAGCTGTACTCCGGGAAACGGGGGCCTTTACCTTGCCTCCAATCGAAACTCAGAGGGAGCTACTTGATGCGTACTTTACGTGGCACTATCCGCTGCAACCTATCCTAGATAAAGACGACTTCATTCGCGACTTTCAGGCGTGTCAAGTGTCGATCCTGCTGCTACAGGCGCTACTCTCTGTTGCTACAACCTGCTGCGATGAGAGTGTAATTCGAAAACATTGGACGGACCGACGCTCGGCTCAGGCAGTGTTTTATAAGCGTGCTCGAGCTCTGTACGACGCCGACCACGAACAGAATCGCGTGACTATTGTTCAGGCATTGTTCTTCATGTGTCATTGGTGGGGTAGTCCGACCGACGTCAAAGATTTCAGTCATTGGTTGTCCACTTCCATTCACATGGCTCAAGTGATGGGCATGCATCGCTCGTAAGTTTCCAGACGAGGCTTACGCACCTCTGACAATGTGCTAGGACCAAGCACTCCTTCTTGCCTGCAAAAGCCAAGAAGCTGTGGAAAAGAATCTGGTGGACTCTATACGTACGAACAGCACGAATAATATGCTCAATGGTTGCTGATCATTGCAGGTCCGTGATCACTTTGATGCGGCATCATTGGGAAGACCGCTCATGATCAATGATGCTGATTGCGATATCGAGCGACTCCGTAAGGCAGATTTCCAAAACGACGCAGGCGATATTCTCTCGACCGCGAACCATTGCATCGAATTGGCGAGTCTAGCCACGCTAAGTAAGTGATAGGTATAAAGTGTGGCTCAAGCTAATCTGGAAAGTCGGGCGAGTTATACGAGTCAAACAACTGACAAAAGTCATCGACGACTCTATTGAGACGGTAGAAACAGACCTCAACACTTGGGAGAAACGACTTCCGTCTACTCTTCGCTATCAAGATGATGAAACATCTGCAGAGGCTAGAGTTTTCTCTGCCATGCTTCTGTTTGCCTTTCAGTACGTCCAAGCTGATTCATTCCACGATTTCCCTAATCTCTGCAGATTTTGCAAACTTATATTGTACCGAAAACTGTCGACAGGAACGGATAGCTCTGTAAGTGGTTTGTCACTGGCATCCGCAAACGCGGTTACCCGGACTGTTGAAGAACTCCTTTCTGAGGGACTACTGTCACGAATACACGTGCATTTGTACGTTATCGTTCCTCATTACTTTGCTGGGCGCTAAGTTTTACAGAATCGCTGTTATATTTGCCTCGTTGACAACATATATAGTATCATATGAGCAAAGCGAAGGCTCACGAAAAGCAGTTCTACAGCACAAGGCTCAACTATGTCTCCTTGGTCTGGCCGAATTTCGAAACCACTGGGGTTTTGTGGACTGGATGTATCGGATGTTCAGCAGCGTTCTCGAGCGCCTTAAGGGCAGTGACGGTACTTATGCTCAGAGAACTCAAGGACCAGCAGAGCCTGTCTCGGGACCAGGTGCACCTATGCCTCTGGCTAGGCAAGGTTCACCCACGACAGTCGAGGTCAACCAATCGAACGATCCAACTATCGATGATACGATACCGGACCACTGGCTGGATCCTTTTCTACCGCTCGAGAACTGTGAATGGTATGAACAAAACTCGGCGTGGCTCGGCTACCTGGATCCGCAGATGGCAGCATGGCCGAACGTAAATTGAGTTGCGAAGGAAGAGGTCCTCCAGTTAGACTGGCGTATCGTCCCAAGGTTGTCTAGGCCTCGATCGCTGAGTGAAAAGCCCATCGGTTCAATGTCGACCTTATACCTCTCCTAAATAACGCCGTCAATGACACGGCAGAGGCCTAGACTACTGACAACGCTCCTACTACCGACAAGGTGAACCGCGACCCAGCACGCTTCCAGCACTCTGATAGTGCACTGTCTTCCCAGCCAAGTGGGATTTGCGTCAACCATTCGACTCAGTAAATGACTTGCTTATCTCCGGGAGTTTCATCGGCACATCCAGATCTTGAAGCTCCGTCTATAGAGAAGAAAGTGGTGTCAGCGGTAAGGATGAGGACAATGCAGCTCCTTTAGCATCGGTCATGGAATTCAACGCAGACCATAAACACGCCTACCAGCATTTGGCAGCTAAGGACTGGAGGCTGAGTGTATCATGCTTTGGAGGAGGCTCTGTAGCCGGGATCTACTACTGTCACCTGATGGCGGAGTTCTATACGCCGAAGTCAAAATAATATTGCAGGTGGAAAGTCAATTAGCGAGCACTAGTACGTGGCCATAACCGATTCCGAGATTGCAGTCGAACCTTTGCACGAGACCGATTGACTACTTCTGCTAGATGAGGACGTTCCGACCTTGAACCAGTTATGGAGCGTTCGACTAAAGTACAGAAGAGCCCCCAACGATAGCTCCTGGACCTTTTGTTTTGTAGCCCGCCTCCTGATGACACAAAAGGTGAAAAGAAAGTTTGCCCCTACCTCCACGCGAAGCTGCAAAGGATCAGACCCTTGGGGACCAGGTTTCAGGTCAAGCTTTGCCAAGAGTGGCGCTGATCATCTAGAACCTGCACAAAAGCCGGCTATCCTCTCCGATCAGCCGCTACCTCCTGCCTGTTGTACAAGACCTCGGTATTTTCTGGACGATACCATTGCCACGGTGCGGCTCTGGTATCTCACAGTCCTTTACCTCTTTTTCGAGGAAGGATCTGGCTGAGGCTGCGAAGAAGCGTGGCCCCTGAATTATGACGGCGCGGGTTTCATGGGCACCCTCTCGGCGTAGCCGCTAGAGCCATGAAATTATTGCTAGCCCACGTCTTACTGCCTCGTCTAGGTCCCAGGCTAACGGAGGCATATCCGATAGGCTCACAAATGCACTATTCTCAGGGCACCACATGGTCCCCGGATCCACCCCCAAGTTCTAAGTTTACATACCTGTTGCGCCATAAGTTTCACGGTATGTACATGCCGAGTCTTGGATCAAGCCAATCTGGGTCATTTCCCGAGCGGCTCCCAGCTTCGCAATATTCCGATTTTTAGCTCAAAGTGCGGTAAAATTGATATACTTCGCCGTTGGCCATGCGACTCTCCTTCCTTCGCTTAAAGCCCAAGCAGCATGGTGTACAAGGTACCAAAAGCTGTTCTCGCTTGTCTTGCGATACTGGGTATCGTGCATTCCAGCTATGCTCAGTACCTAGAGTGGTCCATCTGCACTGTAAGCTCGCACGGCTACCTTCTTCGACGCTGACATCGTTCAGTCTGACTGTATCGTGGCGGTCACCAGTCAAACTCCTTGTCAAGATGGGTTCCGCTGCTTTTGTGTGCACGATCAGATATACAAGGATACTCGAGAGTGCTGGGATCGGAATTGTACAATTCGAGAAGCTCTGAGTATGTGTTTCTCTGGTGGTAAATGGTGCTAACGACCTCAGCGGCCCAAAATATCACAAGCCTTGGCTGCGACTTTGACGACCGCGATCGTGGTGTTGTTGGTACAGTCGTGACCTTCACCTCGATGGCTATTGCGCTAGTCTTTGTAGGAATGCATGTTATGGCTTCTTTCGTCACCCGAATGTGGGGCTGGGCCGATATGATCATTTGGGCTGTGACTGTAAGTGGTACGTGCATCAAAGGTCCGTACTGACGTGGGTAGGTCTTGATGATTGGCAACGCGATATGCAATCCTTTCGGTATGTTTTCTTTCTACTCTTCAGGCCGCTCTAACAAGCTAGCGCGGCATTTTGGCTTCGGGAGAGACGTATGGAGGCTTCCCTTCTCTCATACGACCGCCGCCAATAGAGTAAGCTATTTCGACATCTACGATCGGCACCCTGACAGCTCTAGATTTTCTTCATCGGCGGAGTGATCTATGTTGCCGCTGTAGCTATGACGAAGATGGCATTCCTTCTCTTCTACATCCGCCTCTTTCCCACGTTGAAGTTCGGCCGAATAGCGTATCCGCTGCTTGCTCTCACCTTCGTTCAAGGCACTATCTTCACCTTCCTCTTCCTCTTCCAGTGCAGTCCTATCAACTATGCATGGTTGCAGTGGGACGGTGAGGCTGATGGGACTTGCCTCAACTTTGATATCGGCGCCGCAATACACGCAATCGTCAATATAATCCTCGACTTTCTCATTTTCGCTTTGCCGGTATTCCAATTACGAAAGCTGAACATGTCGAAAAAAAGACGGTGGCAAGTGTTGTTAATGTTCGCTGTAGGATTCTTGTAAGTTTTTCTCCGTAGGCTCAACGAGATCTAACAGTTTAGTGTCACCCTTATCAGCATTGTCAGACTTACGAGCCTGGTGCATCTCGGTGATAGCATCAATCTAACCTGTAAGTCAAGATACGTCTATTACCATACTATACTTACATTCTAGATGACTATATACCTCTCGCCTACTTCTCAGACCTTGAGCTCAACATCGGAATCGCTTGCTTTTGCATGCCTGCAGCTCGCGTTGTAATACGACGTTTTTTTCCTAATTGCGGGATCGCCACAACCGGCCACGACTCCGTCGAGAACAAACCTACAAACAGCCGTATTAACCACGCAGGTCCGTTGAGAGACAGAGGCTACAGCTTGTCGGACTCGGCAGGGTCGGTATTGACAGGAAGTGAACCTACGGCGAAGGTGCCCAAGAAGGTCTCTACAAGACGTCCACCTCAAGATGAGGACTCGGATCAGGTTGAGTTGGTTCCGTACGGACAAGAAGTGTCAGGAGCTAGGGTTTGGACATAGAGTATAGCGAGAATAGATTTGAATCGAAATTTTGTAGTTTGACAGCTTTGTGGCGCGCTTTGAGCGGTTCAGGTCGGTAGCTTGTAGCCCGAAATGACCCGGCAGGAGTAGAGTCAGGTGATGGATCAGTTTCTTCGTTGTCTCACGATGGTCTCTGTCTCTCGAGCCTGTCTGCTGACCGTTTCATTACAGTAGAGAACGAGTGAACGCCAATCGCCCAGGCCTGTATCGGTCCAGCGGGATCATATAAGGCTCTTCGACTGTCAGAATACGGGTTAAGGTGTACAGGCTATAGATCGCCGCCGATATACGGAAGCCAACGGCAGTTGTGGGGCAAACTGACGATCCGAACAGCTAAGACGAGACTTGCACCTGCTGGGAAAATAAGCGAGCGTGCAGACTCAGACTAGTCCAGCTTGTTGACAATCCTCTGGGCTTCTTAATCCTGGGAACGCAACGGTAAGCCCCACAACCTCCCACTCTGTTTGTGTCTTTAACTGGTGTTTCCTTGAGTATATCGCTGCCCTTACGTTCAATCGAATGTCGTCCTCAACAGTGACAACATGAGTCTCATCCGCCTAACGCACGCATTTAGGTCGTGAAAGGGTTGTACTCCACGCCCAGCCTCTCCGCTTCTGAGCGTAGCTTTCTGTTCTTTCGTGTCAAGTGCCACTTGATCAAGCTGGCGAGGCAGATACCGAGCGACGCGAAGACGATTTGCAAGATCATGGCCATTGTGTATCGCGGTGCGTCTCTGTCTGGAAAGAAGTAAGGTGAGATGACGTTGCCCAGGTGCCCGCATATGTTGACGATAGCACCACCCGCTGCTCGCTTCTCGGGGGTCTGACCCAAAGTTGATACGGCCCAGGTGTACTGTAGGGTGTTTGCGGAGAAGCAGCCAGCCGCGTAGAGGAAAGTCATAGCGTATCGAGCCGCGGGGTTGCCAGTCGCAACAGTAACGATGAATCCCACAACCGAGCAAGATAGAGGGATAATGATATGTAAACCGCGTTCCTGCCGACGATCTGAATCCCAAGCCACGTAGAAGGTGCAGAGCGTTCCCAGGACGTAGGGAGGGGCAGTCATGAGCAACGAGGTTACCCTAGATCCAAAGCCTATACTCTCGTTAGATAAGGCTGCCATATACAATGGGCTGAAGATATGGAAGTGGTCACAAGTACGGATTTGCCACATACCTAGTCCATTCACGATCGTTGGGAAAAAGTTGTTGAAACCATACGAGGACGTGATGAAGACGTTCATGAAGAGAAACATGTATAGCTTCATATCCTTGAGGGCAAGCTTGAGGCCGTGCCAGACGGTAGACTTCTCAGTGACCTCGACTCGGTCATCGAGGATCCGGGCAGCCGCTAGCTTCCGCATATCAGGCGTCATATACCACTTAGCGCCGCCACTGTCGGAATGTGGGTAGTTTGGTAGGATGAAGTATGCCGTGATAGCGAAGAAAGCGCTGGCAGCGCCTTCGAGGATAAAAAGCCACTTCCATCCGGCCAGGCCCATAGAGCCGTCAAGACCAGCAAAGACACCAGCGGCGATGAGCCCTGAGAAAGCTTGCGCGAGTACTAAACCGGAATAGAGCAGAGCGACGCGAAGAGCAAATTCTCGACGGGTGTACCAGCAGGCCATTAGAAACACGGCCTACGAGGACGTCAGCTGATAGACTCTCTAGTGCAGAAGATGTGAAACGTACACCCGGGAACAGAGGTGCTTCAACAATACCGAGAACGAATTGAACAGCCCAAAGACCGCCAGCACTGGTACATCCCACAGTGGCGGCCGAGACAGCCGACCAGACGAAAGCAGCGGCAGGCAAGTATACAGAAGGCTTCACTCGTGTGATGAGCATATTTGACGGTAGCTGGGCGAGCATATAGCCAACTGTCAAGACAGCCACGGCAGTCTCAGCTTTGTCAGTACGCAACGTGGGCCAATCATGAAGGTGTTGGGTACCTGATAATCGCCGTCTTGGAGGTTGAGGTCTTCGTCGAAGGTATTCAGTCGCGCCTGAGCAATATTTGTCCGGTTGAGGTAGTTGAACATGTACAGAATCCAGAACTGGGGAAGCATCCACATGTCCAATCTTCGGACAATCAATTTCTCCATCTCCGCCGCATTCTCATAGCCGAGAGCAGCGACATTGTTGATGTCTGCGCATACCGCGGTCGCCTCCTTAAGAGGATCAACGTTCTCCTGATGCATGCCTGACTTCTCACCGCCGACATCGTCGATCTCAACAGAGTTGCCGACTGTTCTGTTCTGTGTCATCTTGGAGGAAAGTGTCTTTAGGTACAAAGACGGCGTAAAGGAGAGTGTGTCAGAAGAAGAGATGTCGAGAACGAAGAGAGCCACTTTCGCATGCACTTATCGGCGTCCAGCTTCTCCGGATTCGCCCGCAACCTCATCAGAAGAGCGCCACTTCAAAAGCTGGAGTATACTATGCTGCCTATTTGAGCATCTTTATCCGAGTGCAACGTAGAGGGCAGAACCAAAAGCAGTATACGGCGTGGATGACTGAAGCGCCGTCCACTCCGCAGCTGTGACCCATCTCTACGACGACAAGGCTCTTGGCGCACGGAGACTGTGCGCTGGGGTCCGAACGACAAGGACCTTGGCTGGCGGAGAGGAGCAGCTACAACAGTGGTCTGCGATGGTGCAATCTTGTCGGAGGGCCAATTGCCACAGGCCTAGGGAGATGATTGGAGCTCTCCGCTCCAATGACTGATCCCTTATTCACCAGTGTTCAAACAACATGACCGTGCCCCCGGAGTCTTCGCTCTAGATAGGCACATAGACATAGACGAACTCGCAACGTTCGCCAAAACGAATATCCTCCCGTCAATCTACGCGTGGACGATCCATCTCTATGCTCGAGAATGCTCTGATAAACAACTGTGATATGAAGGCGGAGGTTTCCTTGACCGGCACGATTTCAGGTACGGAGTCCTCACCAGAGATCAAGAACAGTGATCAGCAAGACGACGTCAGCCAGGAAGCAGGTTCTAGGCTTGGCTGCTGCTCCGCCCGGTTTCTTCCCGCCTTGTTACGCCTTACCAAGCCTTGGCAAGAGCGCCTCCGCCCACTCGAGCGCCGCATTATCCGTCCCGCCGGTGGTGGGCCGTATGAAGCCGACTGTGGCCCGTCTTGCAGGAGACGGTGGAGAGAGACAGCTCCATTGCTCGATGCACGTTCGGATGCGGTGACCGATCCTGGCAAGCATTAAACGGAACCGTGTTCTAGCATTTTTATTCTTCCGTGGTAGCACGAGTAGGCCCTCTTGTTATTTGAGGACGGAGTAACGGCGCTCCTATCACAAGTGGTCTACGTCTTGGCTGCTTTGTACACTGTAAGTGTTGTGTAACATGAGAGCCGAAGGTCGAGATTTCTGTCGGGGACCGAGTCTAATTGCCAACCATGTTCTCGTACAATGGAAGTTCCCATCCTTTCACATTCTCTTTGAGGAAGAACCTGCCGAAGACGTTGACCTTGAAGAACGAAGCAACACTCAGCATCCCATTGATGAATGCAATGCCTAACCACGACGAAGGCAATCCTGCACCCTTCTCGAGCACTCCAGCCTGGACCTGGTCCACGAAAGGCTTGAACTTTCGATCGTAGGCCCGGAATGCCGCCGAAACGTCCTGCTTATGTTCGCTGATCTCACCAGCAAGGACATACGCCCCGACAAGAGCGCAAGTAGTTCCCATGCCGGTGTTCGCAGATGGACAGTACGCAGCATCTCCCACGAGCGCCACCCTGCCGCGGGACCATGACTCCAGCTTGACCAACCCCAAGCGCTCGCAGTAAAAGTCCTTGACTTTGGGCAAGGCGTTCAAGATTTCCTCCGTTTGCCAGCCTGACCCGCGCATGATGTCAACCAACGCCGCCCTCTCCTGTTCAGATCCACGCTGGGCTTGGAGTAAAGACTCAGACGAGGTCTTGCAGAAAAGATAGGACTGAAGTTCGCGTGCGTTATTCCTGCGCGTCATCACGCCTCGCCCTCCCGTCGCCATGTACATAGTGGCAATGTAATCTTCATCCGTCCGGATCTGCCAAGGTAGGGTGAAGTATGCCGTGTATTGGCCATCACACGAATGGAAGCCGTCGAGGCCCATGATCTTTCGAGTTCGTGACCCTATCCCGTCGGCTCCGACAACGAGGTCAAAGTCATCAGTCCTTCCATCTGAAAACTGGACCTCTACCATTTTACCATTGTCCACGAAGCTCGTGATCGACGTATCGAAAACATATGTTGCGCGATCTTTGGTCGCATCGTACAAGACCTTGCAAAAGTCGCCCCTCATGATCTCGTACTCAGTCGTAAAGTCTTGCAAGCCTTTGCCTGACTTGTTCGCCGGAAAGTATGCAATGCGCTTGCCGGAGCTATTGACAATCTGAATGCCCGTCTCTGGAGGCATGTACCTGTGAAACTCTTCTTTGAGGCCCATTCGCTTCAGCACTTCGATTCCGTGTCCGCGGAGGTCGATCTGCAAGCCAGTAACACGCAGTTCTGGATAGCGCTCGAGGACTGTGACGCTGTGTCCAATCCTAGAGAGCCAAAAAGCGAGGGCGTTGCCGGCTATGCCTGCGCCGTTGACGAGTACCTTCATACTGCGGATATCGGTGCGGAAGAAGTGACGTGCTGTTCAATCAAGGGTAGCTCGGGTCTGACGCGATGGTACTCGTAACCAGAGGTGTACAAGTATACCCCGAAGAGCAAGATATCCTCAAGGCCTCAGAAGATCTATAAGTATGAGAGCTTGAATCCGTTTCGGCCGAAACACCAGCGGAGTTTTCTATCGAGCGGACGTAATCGGATATTCAGATACAGTCGATGTGCAGTCTACGGCGAGCTTGTCGACACAGCGCGCTAGATTCCATTCAGCATGAAATAATCGAAATCCAGGTCGAGGCCAAAGTCACCGAGTTCATCCGAAGTACTGGTAGCGGCACCCATACCCAGGCATTCGATTAACGGCAAAGCTGCGACCCGGCTCTGCAGTAGCCTATTACAATATTCCAGGCTGTCGTGTGCAGCCTGTGCCAGCTTCAGCCTGGATGGTTCTCCAGCTTCCAGTGCTCCGGCCTGAGCCAGTACCATACTCAAGAACATGTGGTTCTTGACATTAGTCTCGCCTGAGCAAATGCGCTCGAGCGACTGATCAATCATTCTTTTGAGCATAGCCTTAGCCCAGCCCCGATGGCTATCAGGCTGCGAAGGACTGTTTTCCCGCGCGGATTCTGCTTGGGAGAGCACTTCTAAGCCAATAGTGATGGATGCATATCTCAATCCTTCTCTAAACAATCCACCGCCGACTTGCAGTAGTCGAGAGTATTCCTCGTCTGAAGGCGGTGCAATTATGGCGATAGCGGCATCAAGACTGACTTTCAAGGAGTAGTAGAAGAGTGGTTGCGCCCGTGCTTGATTGGCGAATGAACAGTGAAGCGGTAGAAGAAAGCGGCGTTGCAAATAATCAAGTAGGTTCCGGCGGAAGGTCGACACCTCGCATCGGGCAAGGAACGCGCTAGATGATTTGCACGCATCAAGTATCTCCTTTGTCAGTTCCAGAGCCTCGAGGTACGACTGCTCGGATCCAAAATCATTCAGGAAATGTAATGCCCGCAAGCGAACCGGCATCGAACGGAATAGTAGCAATTGATCTGATGTCATGGTGTACGTTTCAGCCGAGTATAAATTCAAGTTCGTCGTCGACTCATCAAGATCATCATCGTTGATATTGGCAGGTGGCGCAGTGTCGAAATCGCCCACGGAGATTCTCGGGGACATCGCCGTGTCCAATGACGATTGTAGAGCGATTTCCAGTACTGTAGCCCAGAGTCTTCTCCGGAGTTCGGCTTGCAATACGCTCATCGCAGCGAAATGCCTAGGGTCCCGATGCAAGCCCATCTGCATGGCTTGATTCACTAACGAACCAGAAGAGATCCATATCAGATCGCCTCCAATACTGAAGATTTGCCGTGCCAACAAAGTCAAGCAATATACTTGAAGCCCCGTGATGGTCAATCTATCTTTCTCCAAGGGGCCAGAAAGCCAATTTTGAGCAGCACTGATCCACTGGTGTACTTTACCCTCGAGAGCGGTGTCGCGACTCTGGAAGATGCTGGATCCTATCGCAATGACAAGGAAGATTTTCAGTTGCACATCCAGATCGATGCGGTCGCCAGTCCAGAGTTGTTGATATTCATGCCAGAAAGTGGGCACGTGAAGGATTCGATAGACTGATTCGAAGGTCTTCAAGTACGATTTGACCATCGCATCAGACTCACTCCGAGGCGGTAAGTCAAGCTTAGAATTGAGGTCAACGTGGCTTCTACTTGGTCGGCATGCTTTGATTCGGCGTGCTGCCTTTTTGCATTCTTTGAGGAGAATCCCGGTCTGCGTCACTACCACCTTGGTATCGGCACCATCGGAGAAAAAGTTGCCATCCCCAGAAGCTTCTTTGTAGCAAAAGAATATGCTTGCGAACTAAGAGATGATTAGCTGGTGATCACGGTCCGTTACAAGCCGCTTTACAAGGTCATTGCCCATTCTGTCGCTCCACTTGAGCATTCTTGTCTTCTTGAGCTTCACCGGGGACTCTCTACCAGACCTGAGCGTAAGAGCAGAGCTGGCTTCGTTGGACTGGCGTCCACTGGGTAAGGACGGCAAAAGACTAGTGTCTTCTATCCCACGGTGTGCTTGAGCAGAGGCTTGGCCTTTGGCCCCGCCGGGATCCTGCTCACAAGCATCATCTCGGACTTGACGCACAGGCAACGGGGAGGCAGGATTCGGTTGGATTACTGACGCCACGTCGCCCGCGGCAGCACCACGTGGAAAACGGTGCCCCAGGGTGCCAGGTGCCAGAGGAATTGATGGTCCCGGAGCGACTCGAGTTGCGGCCCAATCTTCTCCTGCCAAATTCTTTGGGTAGACTTTGAATATGCATTGTATCTTTGCACCAACACAGTGAGCACATGGCTCATTCCGGTCACATCGAATTTTGCGTCGGCGGCATTCGATGCAGGAGAGTGCTGGGCGACGCCGGCGCTGAATCCTTCGCTCCATGAAGTCCCGGCGCACCGATGCGGATATTAATCGTAGCCGCCGGTATTAGCGACGAATGTGTACCATAAAGCTCAAAACAGGGGACAAAGTTGTCACGGCGACAAAATGATGACAATACATCAGGTTGCAGCTATCTCCGCTTGAGGCGCGGCTAGCGGAGGTAAGCGAATATGCCGAAGGCTTTATGGTGATAAAGCCGCCTACGGCCGCTACGCCATCGCGAGCACCATGTTTTCAAGCTGGGCCAAGATCCACAGATCGGAGACGCGGCAGCCTGCCACGAACTACTTCCTCCGGAGCATGCTCGAGCCTAGACTTATCTGATATACTTGCAACGCCATGCTTCCACCACAATTCTGTTTGGCATTGCCTGTACACGGTTTGGAACACTCAGAATCAGTCTTGAGTGCTGCGCTGCCCGGCCCAGCGTTGTTGCAATAGCATTCGCTGCCGTACTCGACACCAGCCCAGGAGTATCCTTTACTATAGCACAGACTTACGCAGCTATCGACACTGTTGCTGTTCGAGTTAGTGCTGTACGAGCCTAGCGTCCGGGGATTGCCCTGATCAGTGTAGCAGCCCTTATAGGCGTAAGCCATGCCGGTTCCGACAGCTTGCACATTACCAGGAATCCTTGGCGAGTACATGGTGTTGTTGAACAAGCTAATGGCGTTCGATCCACCACACATTTGTTTCTTGTTGCCGCTGCACGGCATGTTACATTTAGACGGCTCGAGTGACGAGCTGGCTCGGTTGATCGTGTCCGCAAGATAACACTCCGAGCCGTACTCCAATCCGAAGAGCCAGTAATTCTTGGCAGCAGCTCGTTGTGCGCAAAGCTCCAGCGTCTGGGTGTTGACGGTGTTAGAGTCGGCATTCAGTGCGCGAGGGCTCGTCTCTGAGACACATCCCACGTACGATCCGCCTGAGACAGTTGGCATCGTCGGCGCGGTCGCTGCTGGAGTGTTCGTCGATGTCTGACTCGAGGCGCTGGCGAAAGTAGTGATAGTCCAAAGACTAAGTCGATTACCGGCTCCACAGAACTGAGTCGTGTCGCCTTTGCAGATCATCGAGCAATTCCCCTCGGACACCTGCAGGGCGCTATGACTGTCGCCGCAGTAGCATTCTAGCGAGAATTAGCTTTGATCCGAGAGCGTGCTTCAGACTAACCTCGAGCGTACTCGGTACCGTATACACTGAAGCCTTTTCTGTGGCAGTATTGTCCGCACAGCTCGTTGGTCATGCTGGTCGTATCGGAGAAGCTGTCGCCCCTGAGGGCTCGACCATCACTTTCCATGTAGCACCCCGTGTATGTCGCAATGGCGCCAGAGCCGAGGTCCGCTCGCGTTTTGCCAGGTTCTGGGATACCTTTGGGCGACAACGCCGTCTTCGTGTCGTTGTAGACGTGAATTACTTGGTCTCCCCCACAGAACTTTCCAATGTCGCCACTGCATGCGATGCCGGGTGACGAGCACGCGCCACTAGTTTGCAACGCGTTCAGGATGTAGTTTCCACAAGAGCACCCCCGGCCACCTTCGAGACCTGCATACACATACTTGTTCTTCCGGCAGTAATCGGTGCAGGCCTCGATCCTCATCTTCTCATCGTTGAAGCTGATACCATTCAAAATGTTGCCACTGTCCTTGACGCATCCGACATAAGCAAAGTCACCTGACATATCTCCGGGTACGGGCAGTTTCCGGGTTCCGGTGTCGTTTTTGCTTGCGACAATATTTGGTTGAACAGGGCAGACTTGCTGGGTAGCCCGAGTGGGACCAAAGATGGGTTCATTGCAGCCAGGTAGCTGCTTTATGAGCCCGGTGACGGTCTCATTGATCACGGGTGGCTGTTCGGGGCAATTTCTGCCAGCATTACCGTCGAGCGTTGGCGCAAAAGGTGGGCAAGCTTCGATCGTGCCACCTCGGTTAACTGCCTTGGGGCCCATGCACTGAGCGATAGCATCTGTTAAGACTTGCTCGTCCCATGCATTCAGGAAGTCTCCGTGAAAGCCATAGCCTGTGGGGTCGCCTTGCGCGAACACAAAGTACCCATTGGGTTCCTTCGCTACGTGGGCAACATCGTAGTAGAGCTCGTAGAATAGATGAGGCAACAGCTTGGGGTGAGTTGGTGGACATGCCCCGTTATCGATCCGATCCAGGTACGCCATATGGCTCTGGTCAGCCTTGTAAAGGTTAAGTCCATCCCAGCAGCTTGGGAAATGAACCTGTGCTCGAAGGCCTTGGGGACAGTCTGTGTTATTCAAACCATTCGTCTCCGCCTGACTTTGTTGATAATTGATGCAGGCGAAGCTCACACGATCCGCAATCGGCCGTTTACCACTCCACGTCATGCTTGTACCATCGTATGATCGAAGACTGGGGTCGCCAGAGACCATTTGCAGCCCTAAGGGAAACGCTATCATCTCGGAGAGGTTGTCGCCGCGGTCGAGGTAGTACACGATGGTGCCACCATTACCGACCTCGCTGAAAGTCCCATTGCTGTAGCGATAGTATAATTGAGGGGTCCAGTACGCGCTCTTATCAGCTTGGACAGGGCATGACGTGCAGTAAGAAGACGTCAGGCTTTGATAATTGCTCGAAACCCCGAAATTGTTCGGACCGGAGATTGTGTGAACATGACCGGACACAAGCCCTGGGTTAACGATAGGATCAACTCTTCCAAGCTGGATACGACCACATGGCAGTCGCCAAAATGCCTCCGCTTGCCTTAGCAGCAGCCACACGACGGCAAACGTAGTGAGATCGTACATCGTGGTTTAGACGGTCATGATAGGCAAATTCTTGTCCATAACGGGAGCAGATCATCAACGTGACTAAATGGCCGTCCATTGTTGTGGCTGGAGAGCGAAGGGGTGGAATGCATTCCACTCACATAATTCGGATGTTCTTGGGAATGTGCAGGATGATATTATTGGCCCGGACCACAGCCAAGCAGTCCTGCAGGCTCCATGCCTGTGGTATAGCAACTTGGCGCTCCTGGGCCAGGGTAAGGACCATACGTTAGATGTTGCAGAGACGCGATGAATCCAAACAGAGGTCTGCTCGGTTTGAGCTGAACCTACGGCGCATTTTGCGGCACTTTTGTGCACTCCGCAAGTCTGGCAAGCGCTTCCCCGGCATCCTTCCCTGACTGGCACCACTCGCTTATCGGTTCCTCTCCACGATCTCAATCAACTCTGCACGATCCCAGTCATTGCCATGGCAAGTCTCACATTCGTCGTCTGCCTCAATCTTTGTCGCCAACTCCATCGGACTACTCGGTCTGGCGTCTCTCCAACCCTCGGCATATGCTTCTCCAACGTTCTCCACAAACTAGAATAATATTTGAGCTCGTTTCCTTGTTGAGCGCCATCAACAGTCCGTTTTTGATACTAACTGGCATTGCCACCATGTCTGCGGGTGTCGAACGAGAAGATCTTTGGCTCAAATACGCCACTGTACTGGTCGGTGGTTGGCGCTGCACGTCTTACCACATGTACAGCACCGACGATCCCGACTCCCAGCGCCTGATCAGCAAACCACACGGTGATGACCCTCTCGGCCGCGTTATGATCTCTCCAAAGGGCTATCTCTCCGCTCACATTGCGCGCCGCGAACGTATGGGACCGTTACCAAGTGGCAAACAATGGATAGTCGGAGAAGACAGTGAGGTCGCACACGTGGCTAGGGGTCTGAGCATGTATTGCGGATATGTCAGTGTGTATGAAGACGAGAAGGGACTATTCTGGCAAGCCAAAGTCGAGGTGGCGAGTGACCCGAATAGGGTAGGAGGCATTGAGGAGAGGCGTGTCCGCATCCTAGAGGAAGTAGCTGAGGGTGGTGAGAAGAAGATTGTCATGGAATTGAGACCGAAGCAAGACATGCTCGCAGATGTAAGCTGATTTTTGACTCCAGGGAAAGCACAACCAGGTGATTGCTGACATACATAGGATGGGACGCCAACGAGAGCCGTTCTGAGATGGGAGCGTTTCGAGTAAGCGGAGAAGGTTTTTGGACCACCGGGCACGAATGGTACAATTGGGCCGATCAGGTTTCTAGGGAATTGAAACATCTCTCCTTATTGTTAGACTGCTTCCAACACGACTTCTGGAATTACGAGCATTCTCCGATACGGTACTGTGGGCATCGAATGATCTCTTAGCTGCCAACTGAAACCGGCTCGACTTCCATATGAGAAGTTGTGCGCCGCACGCGAGCTGGGCCGGCTCAGCCTAGGCACTGTTCGCCCGCGCGGATGCTCGACAGATGCAGCAATGTTTACGACAGCATATGGGGCTATTTGGCGAAGAACTCACCTTCGCTCAAGCCTAAGGTCTGACCGCTGTCGACGGCTATATCGGTAAACCTTGTCTGTGAGGGATCTCTTTCTGGACGCCGCTTGCTGTCCGTGTGCACCGCTGACATAGCTGGCTGTTGGGCTGCAGGAGTGCCTACACTATGAATGGGAAGAAGATCATGCTGGGCCGCGTAATGAGCACTGAGGATCGCGCAGCATCGAGCACAGTTGCGACAGATGGCTTGTGTACCTATCTAGTGATGTCGGATATACTGCTTTAAATATCATCCAAGCTCGGAACAGTCTGCTGCTTCAGCTGTCACGGATAGGCATCGTTCGTCGACCCCATGAAATACCTGAGGCAGAGTGGTCTAGCACCAGGGGTCGACAGAATTGACACGCAGGCTCCGAGAACTCATAGAAGATCACACGCAAGATTCTCTGTCTTTAGTCTGGGAGCTTGCACTTCAATTTGGCCGCCCTTGGTGTTGCCGCGTGTAACTTCACGAAGATCTCCATGGAGGAAGATGGATCACGTTGAGATTTCAGACTCAACGCGCGATTTGTGACGAGAACGTGTCCCGTGGACGTCTTGACATCAGCAAACGGAAGCGAGCTTCCTCACTGACGGCATTCACCCTAGCAGCTGCCCGACCCGACTGGTCACGAAAATTGGGCGAGGCTTTCTGGCCGTAGCGTGCCGTTGATCGGACACGGTCCCCGGGCACGTCGACTCGCTCTCGGAACATCAGGTCGTGATCTCGAGAACATGTGCGCGATGCTATTAGCTCCTCGAAACAAGCAACTCCGCATTTCCCCAGGTTCGACACCGTTCCGTTGCCCGTACTAGAGTCAAATCATGTTATGCTCCCGTAGGTTCTTGGTCTGGGTTGGCCCAGACCTCGCTCAACCTCCTCCTTTATTACCACATATACATCACATTTTCGAGTCGGTCGGACCAGACTTCGTAATCTGCAGGGAAATTCGGGGTTGGACCATCGCCTTTGGTTCCTCCATGACTCCCATCGGCCATAGGAGCTCACATCCCCTCCGACCAGAGGCTCTGCGCCAGGTTACACCAGAAAGTATCCTGCCAACAGCAACAATTGTCGTGATAAAACAATACTTATACAACCAAACAGTGTCCTCGATGAAGTCTGTCCCGTGCACATGCCTATCTCAGCTTACTGAAACGCCTTAAATACGCCAGCTTTCGCTTTCTGCAAACTTTGCCATCTAAGCAGCATCAGACACCATGTCTCGGCGTATCAGCACTGACATCTCCAATGGCAAGGAGGGACATCCAAACCACCACGAAGACATTCTCGTACCTACGTCCTCTCGGTTTGAGAAGCTATATCTCGCTCCTGAGCAGGCTGTCGCTGGCCAGCTCCGCCAAACATTTGGCAACCCGACCCCAGTAGCCCTGGGAGGGTTCCTACTCGCGAACACTCCTGCAACCATCATGCTGATGGGCTGGGGGGGTGCCGGCAGTGACGCTGGCAACGCCTCTGCTGGCACCGGGACCTACTTCTTCCTCGGCGCAGCATTGCTCTACACCGGTGGCATCGGCGAGTGGATTCTGGGGAATACCTTTCCCTCAGTGGTCTTCTTCACTTTCGGTGGCTTCTGGGGTGCTTTCGGTGCAACTTTTACCCCGTTTTTCAACGCAATCGCGGTCTACGAGAACCCGGATGGTTTCTACAACTCATTCGCCATGTTTCTCATCTTCATAGCTGTGCTTTGCTTTCTTTACGCCATTGCCGCCCTCCGCACCAACATCTGTCTTGTGGCCATTTTAGTCTGCTTCACAGTCACTTTCCCTTGCCTGGCGGCCAGTTACTTTGATGCTGGCCGCGGTGAGGCTGGTCTGGCCAAGGAGCTCCGCATCGTGGGCGCCGCATTCGCGTTCGCGACCTCACTGATTGCCTGGTACTTGTGGTTTTCCATGATATTGGATAGCGTGGACTTCCCACTGGCCTTGCCTGGCGGCGACCTCAGCAAGTATACAAAGGGCCGCAGTAAGAAGGACAGTGCTGTGTGAGAGGTGGACTATTTTTTAAAGATTGATGTGACAGGTCAAAGTGTGTCCGCATTGGCGTTGTGTGGCTTTTGAGCATTCCAGCAACGGCGAATCAGAGAAGAGTTGTGGCATATTTTCTCCAAAGCAGCACATAAGGCGCATATTGCTCCTCAGAATGAATTCTTGTGACACATGTCAATACTGGCAGTGGACTCTCTGTGCCGGAAGCATTCGTCTTGCAACTCTTGGTGTGAGCCGGCCCAGCCCAAGCTTTCCAAAGTGCATTTCTCACCACGAGTATCGCAAACGTGTGGATCGATAGACTAACAGCAGTTTAAAAAGAACTGCACATCCCAGAACGGTACAGAGACTCCAAAGGAGAGAAATACAGGATGATCATTAGACATTGACGGCCAAGCCCATTAACTGTGATCCCTTTGCAAGCTCCATCTACTTCTCGCAGCAGAAACCCACAATAAGGGCCACTTTTCGTTACCAAGCAGTATGTCCTCCATCGATGACTAAGGACGCTCCCGTCATGTAGGAACTGGCATTACTGATGAGGAAGGTTGCTGGACCTCGAAACTCTTCCGGACTAGATATCCTCCCCAGCATGCTCTCTTTTTCCCATTGCTCTTTCAGCGAGGGCTCATCTTTAAAGTTCTGCGCCACCATCGGAGTTATGATATGCCCTAGGTACATATCAGTAGAAGTCAGACGCCGGTCTTCGGGTAACGTACCTGGACAAAGAGAATTGACACGGATGCCATGCTGTCCCCACTCCATCGCCAAGTTCTTCGTCAGCTGATTGACTGCAGCTTTACTGGAATTATAGACCGAGCTGATCAAGCCTTTGTTCGCAATTATAGCACTCATACTTGCCACCAGCACGATACTCCCTGGGGTTTTCAAGTTGATCATCTGCTTTGCTACCTCCTGTGCGGTCATGAGAACAGCCGTAAAATTGATGTCCATCAAGTTCTTGACGTCGTCTGTATTGAGCGTCAAAGCCGGCTTCACGTGCTGAATGCCTGCTGCAGCTATCACACCGTCTAGGCGCTGGTACTGCGCGGCGATTTCTGCGATGAGTTGCTGGAGCGCTTCTGTCTGACGAACATCGACGTGGTGATAATGGAGGCTACCTCCTAAGTACACATCCGTACGTTGCTGAACCTGTAGAAAGTCTTCATGAGGTTCTTTGAGGACATCGAGACAGTGTATATTTGCACCGCCTTGGAAAAGTGCCTCCGCCATGGTCAACCCAAGGCCGCGACCACCTCCAGTCACAATAACAACTTTGTCTTGCAGGTTAAACTCCGGAAAGTATTTATTGGACTCGATGCGAGCTTGTTCCACGTCAAATGGTTGACTATTGGTGTGCGAGTCAGCTCGCATGGTGGCGGAGTTGGACTTGGTGGATTTGCTCGTTGTTTGCGATCGGCTATAGTCGGTTCTTCCATTAATGGCGGGAGACATGTTGAACAGTATGCGGAGGCGCCGTCCTGTGAAACTTTGCTGGCTCTCAAAAAGCCTTAAAGTGTACAGGTTTTATATTGGGCTTTATGTGCTTCGTGTAAGTGTTAGATCACCATAGCTTGACGCGAGGTACATAGCTACCTGCCCAGCAGATGATGCAATGGGGGCAGTATCTGCGCGAAACAACTTCGGATGGACTTTCCTAGGGCCCACGTGGGAGTCCTGATACGATTCGTCCAACACGATTTCGTCCGAGATGCTCTCTTACTGCATATTGGCATGTGGTACGTGTCTCTGCCAAGTTTGAGGTCATCGCCCCGGGCTTGAGCGCAGCTTGAAATCTCATTCATTGGCGGGTTTGCACCCGAAGCTGTGGTGGAGAAAGATAAGAGCCCCAGTTGTAAAATTCATCTTTGACCCACTGCTTCATCCTCACCATAATTTTTGCCGAGTATCAGGTCGCGGGAGGTGTGAGCTGTCTTGACAAAAGTTCTCGGGCTCAGATGACAGTTCCTCGCAAGAACGCCCCCAAAAGACCGACAGCCGCAGGTCGAACAGTCAGGGTCGATGTTCTGCACTGAGGAGACCGGTGCAGATTGCCTTGAGAAAGGGGCTCCAGGCGATGCCATGTTTGAGTAACTCGGCACTCATGTGCACTTCCACGTGCCATAATACCTCTAGTTAGATCTTGAACGGTTCGTAAGTGACACCAAGTATGGAACAGCTCACCCACGGATATCAGGTCAAGAAGGCTGTCACCCTAACCTACCTCCCACAGCTTCGAACGCGCTTCGCAAGGTCTCGGATGAAAAGGCCTCTCGGTTTCGAAAATTGAGCCAGCGCGATTTCGTTGACATTGACCCTGTGCATTAGCAAATGATCACAGAGAAGGACCCATCAGTAGCACACAAGCACGCCATCAACCTCAACTTGATGGACGATGTCAACATCCAACTGACAAGTTTCTCTTTCCGAGATCGTTTGGCTCACAAATCTTTCGAGTGCTGCTTGTCACATTGTATAAGACACGGAGTCTCGAAGATCGCAGAGGAGGCCCGCCGAGAGTCTGAATTTCTGGCCCAGTAGCATAATGTGGTTTAGCACAAAGCGAAACGCACAAGCTGGCTGCGGCAAAGACACCATCGTCTGACCGTTTGGAGAGTCGATAAGACTGGTCAAGCGATTCGCAGACCAATGGCGGCTACTACGGGAATGGCCCAGCCGAAAGTGAGTCGTTGCCAGCGCGTTTTCAGCTCGAGCTCCGGCTTCTGGTGTTTTGGCTGAACCTCTGGAGCGATAGCAATACTCCCAAGGATGAGCGGCTACCACTCGCGTGTCAAGCGCGCTCCGTTCTCTTCGACTTGGACATGAAGCCGAGCATGACAGGATCAGGACGACCTAGCAGAGAAGATCAGGCGAGCTTGACTGCTATGGCGGCAGGGTCGCACGCTTTCTTTTGACACGCCGATTCTCGCCTGCAGCCGGTCCACGTTGCACCGCAGCAGCCAATTCGCACGACAAATAATGATCCCGGTACAGCCGGGTACCTGCTTGTTCGGACCTAGCGTATCGGCCGTTGGCGATGCCCAGTTCTCCAACCACAAGCATGTCGCCACAGCCGCCAAAGTCAATGTTTCCTCTGCTCGACGAATCCTATCACCAGATGTTCAGATCTCCTTAAGTAAGTCTCGTTCCCATTGCCACACAACTTACTTATTGACCACCAACACCGTAATGCAGTGCTTGCCGCCCGGTCGGTGGTCTCTCAGAAAGAAGCGGCCTGCCAATCGGCATCGCGGCAGCTGTGGGAGGCACTCTTATCGCTGGGGTAGCCTCATCTACCCCACCAACCAGGGTCTAATAGCGACCGGCGCCATCTAGCTCCAGGTCATCCCACAGAAGACCTGCTCAAGCTCGACAAGCTTCTTTCTGACAAGCTTCTTCTCGCCTTCTTGCAAGCTTAGCGAGCTTGATATGCGTCATACTGCTACGCAGGGGTGCAATCGATGTTGCATCGCCTCTGTGCTACCGGCAGTCACTTGCGTTCGCCTTCCCATTATCATGGCAAACTACGTGAACGTGTCGGACCCATGGTGGGGTACACGTCGCGTGCCTCTTGCAGCTATAAAATGCAGTGTCTCGGTCGGAGGCGCAAGCTCTGTTGTGGCTGCTTGGACGGCCATTTTCTGTCAGAACTGTTCATTGTCGTGCTACCGCCATGAAGCTTTTCGCAACCCTCTCTGTGTTGACGATCGCAGCTCTGTCTGCGGCCAGAAGCCTGCAGCATGTCGGTATGAAGGCCGTTGAGGAGCCGCGTCTGTTGCAAAGGGCGGAGCCTGCACGGCACGGCAATTTCGAACGAAGACAGGACTCGCAGTATGCGACGAACAAGACCGAGAGTGAGCTTCTTGCAGTTCATCGTGGCGGCTGTGCTGACTAGAGTCAGAGTATTCGGTCAACGGAACAGGTATACCTTATGTCGACTTCGATATTGGTGAATCAGTGAGTTAACCGAGGCGCGTAATGGTGCCGACGACTTCTGACACTATTGTAGTACGCAGGTTTGATGCCCATATCGAGCGAGCAGAATTCCTCGGAGCTCTACTTTTGGTTCTTTCCTTCATCGAACCCAGCCGCCGCGAAAGAAATTGTGATCTGGCTAAATGGTGGCCCCGGCTGCAGTTCTCTGGAGGGCTTCTTGCAGGAGAACGGGCCATTCCTGGTGAGTGTGCTTCGTCTCGAGGACTGTCGGGCGTTGAAGCTGATATCAAGTAGTGGCAATATGGTACATACAGACCTGTTCCAAACCCGTGGACCTGGGTGAATTTGTGAGTCAATCACTCCCGCGTATTTGTCCTCTAGCTCACCCTATATAGAACAAACATGGTGTGGGTCGAAAAACCAGTCGGGACTGGCTTTAGCCAGGGCACACCGACAGCCACCTCCGAGGAAGATGTCGCAGATCAATTCCTTGGTTTCTTCAAGAACTTTGTAGATACGTTTGCGATGCAGGGCTATACAGTCTACATCACAGGTTTGCCAATTATAGTGTCTGCAAGTTCCAGCTGACTCTTGCAGGCGAGTCGTACGCAGGATACTATGTTCCCTACATTGCCAACGCCATGATCGGCGCCAACGACACCACCTACTACAATTTCTCATCCCTCATGATCTATGATCCGTCACTCTCATATGACGTGGTGCAACAACAGATTCCCACCGTGCCCTTCCTCGACTACTGGGCACCGCTGATCAACCTTAATGACTCCTTCATGGAGTACGCGCATCAAACGGCCAACGACTGTGGCTACACAGCCTTCCTGGAAGAAGCGCTCACTTTCCCGCCCAAAGGCCCGCTGCCCACGCCGCCCAATGTTTCCAACGACAATGACACCTGCGACATCTTTGACGTGGCACAGTCGGCCATGACCCTCGCGAACCCGTGTTACGACATCTACCAGGTCGCGACAACGTGCCCCTTGTTGTGGGACGTGCTCGGCTTTCCTGGCTCCTTTGGCTATGTGCCCGAGGGCGCATTCGTGTACTTCAACCTCTCGGACGTGCAGCGAGCCATCAACGCGCCCGTGCAGGCGTGGGACGAATGCAGCACCATCGACGTCTTCGTCAACGGCACGGACAACTCGCCGCCTTCGGCGCTCAGCATCCTGCCCAACGTCATTGAGCACGCCGACCGCGTCATCATCGGCCACGGCATCCTGGACATGATACTCATGTGGAATGGCACGCTGATCGCCACCCAGAATATGACCTGGGGCGGGCAGCAGGGCTTTTCTGTCCATCCAGACAAGTGGGGTGATTTCTACGTGCCGTACCACACGGTGGATGATTCGGCACTAGGTGACGCTACGCTCGCCGCCGCCGGTAATATGGGTCGGTGGCACACGGAGCGGGGCTTAACACTCGTGACGGTGCAGTTGTCTGGCCACATGGTCCCGCAGTATGCGCCCAGCGCGGCGTACCGGCAGTTGGAGTTCTTGCTGGGCCGCATCCCGGATCTGGGGACTAAAGGCGCGTTCACAACGATGCCAGACACGAGTTATTGAAGGCGGGTTGTCATGAAATAGGAATAACGTGTAAATTGCCTCAATGACCAACAAGCTGACACCCCACATCTTCGAACAGTGAGTTCTACCAGATGACCATGACCCTCACCTCGGCACTGCGCCTCAATGGCTGCTGGTCCTGGTCCGGCAAGTTGAACGCGCTGTGCGCAACACATTCTGCCACCTGACTTCCCTCACGGTGCGCCTCACTATCAAACAGCTTCAGCGTGTACACCTCGTCGGGCTTCTGTTCGCTGAGCCAGTACCACCAGTGCTCTTCGTCGTCCGACGGAGCGATAGGGAGCATGTTCTCGCTCTTGTACTCCGGCTCGAAGCCCGGCCTGGCCCGGTACATGCGTTCAAACTTCGCGTACGTCTGAGCCTGAGGTTTGCCCGTGAACAGTGTCCGAGGGTCCATGATCGCCAGCGGATCTCGTAACACCGTCTCCAATGGCCGCCAGACGCTCAACATGGCCCAGCGGGGGCCGTTGTAGTTCCTCCCGCTCCAGTCCCATTGATCTCTAACTCCGTCTGCGGCTATTGCTGCGTCTTCTGCATTCAAGATCTCCTGCCGTAGTGCGAAGAACTTCGCTTTCTCCTCGGGGGTCGTGCTCTCTTGGCATGAGTTGTCCTCAAAGTAGCTTGGCAGCATGGCTCGCATATGGCCCCTGGCACCTGCAGGCGTATAATCGCCATGGACTACAAAGAAAGGGTGGAAACTGGCCTTGGGGTCGGCGCGGGGATTATCGGGATTGAGCTGCTTGGGTGAGGAGGCGGGGATATCGCGGACGGTGGTGTTGATTGCTACTGCAGAACGGACGCCGAGTGCCGACTTCAGGAGGCTAATAAGCTCGGGCCAATATGCCGAAGTCATAAGCTCATTGTCGTGGAAAGAGGGGACAGTGGCAGAGTGTGGCGGTAGCAGAGCGGACGAATGGCGGAGAACAGCGAAGGCGTGTTCATTGAGATTGTATTGTGAAAGGTCGTGAGCGCGGAGATCATGCACGATACATGGTACGGCACGAGTATCAGTAGAGCGACCGCTGAAGATGGCCTGGATCTCGTTGATTGTGGGGAGGGAAGCAGTTGCCCAGTAGTTGAAGGTTGCAGCAACCCGAAGGGAACCGTTCTCGGAGTCGGTGGGAGGCAGTGAACGCGAAGTGTCTAACTTGGTGGTGGTTACGGTCGACATCACAAGTGGTCGTAAGCTTCCAGAAGATGAGTGTGACCAGACTGTTGCAGTCTGCTCAGGTGCATTGGACGCTCTTTATGCCTTAGGTCAGCTGGGAATTGAGTTCAGGGGCCCGGACGCCTGACGGCAGGTGGGTAGCTCATTGCGGTAACCTGCTCCAGCACTGCACCAATGGCTGTGCTGATGACGCACGCACTTGGCCGTGTTGCCGGCCGCGCAACAAGACTGGTCTTCGGCCTTGTCTGCTAGACTGCTTCGTATACACATAGCATTGGTAGCAGTCGGGCGCAGTGGCATGTCTAGCCGTTCCAAGCCAGGTGCTCGGCTGTGACTCCTTCTCCAATAAGCCAGCCGAATGGGTCGGAAGTCATGGGATCAGAAGCAAGATCCAGGCCATCAAAGGCTCCTTGGAAAGCATTACTGATTGAAAAGTCTTCCGCAGGCGACCCTTCATGTTCATTTTTGGCTGTATTGTTAGCGCGCGAGGCTGTCCCAGATACTGGCGCTGCCTGAACCTCGGGCGCTATGACAGAGTCGATGTGGTCAGGGTCGATTCCTTCGCCCTGTCTGGCAAGACTCTTATGAACAGAAGCTCGATGTTTTCGGGATGGGCCGCCGCTCCGAGTTCCGATGCGTCTCCTCGTACCAGTGGTCGGAGGTTCACCGTGATGCCCGCGGTCGAGCAATGCTACCAGGTCTGCTTTTAATCCATCACTTGCTGCACAACTGACGGGTACGGTCTCCATTGCACTGAGACACTGTTGTGCAAGCTCTTGTGCTACGTCAGCCGATAACTCCAAAGCCGCTCCCGAGTTGTGGTAGAAGTAAAATATGATCCTTGCACATTGATATGCGCAGGCAAAGACTTCAAGTTCCATGACTGGACAACCATTCTTCAGTGCTCTGAAAGTTCGGAAGATGCCTGAGAGTGCTTTTGCGTTATTAAAGCACCGTCGACGGCACTCGGTGACGAAACCTGGGTCGAGAAGCTGCGACTGCTCCGGACTCAATGCCCCTTCGAGACCAGACAAAACGATGCGATAGAGGTCGCAATAGGACTGCAGCCACCAGATGTGGACCAGTAGATATGGGCACAACCGGGGACTGTAGGCACGCAATTGAATGTTCTTCTCCGAGAGCCGGAAGGATAGAGGCAGCGATGCCTCAAACGCATCAAGTTCTGCAGCCAAGCTTGCCATCCTGGTCTGCAGTTGATCGAGCTCCGTACCATACATTGCTGCTTCTTTGGTTGTCTCCAAGATTCGATGCCGGAGCCACAAGACTCTCACGTACATGCCAAGAGAGCCAACGCTGTCGGACAAAGGTGCCTGTGGCTTCGGCTGCAGTGGCTCGGTTTCTTGGGCGAGATCGAACTCGAAATTACGCTCCTGGCAGGGAAGTTGTATATGCAGAGAACTAGTTGGTGACAATACCAGTTCTCGGATGCCACCTGCCAGGGTGGTGTCGATGATGAATAAAGACCACATCATTCTCCGGCGTGACTCTTGTGCCAAGAAGCAGAGATTTGGAGACTCCCTGTTCAGACGGAGAGCGTATGCGAATCGCGATGCGAGCGCCAGAAGTACAAAGGCGTTGCTGAATCTGCGCTGCTGGGCATGATGTCGGACAAGTAGGATCAGGACCTGGATCTTAACGAGTGATGGTTTGCCAATATCTTCCATGACCAGCTTCTCGGCCTCACGGAGACATTGAGTTCCATAGTCTTTCATGCCTGGACCCATGTCAAGAAGCTGGCACGTCATGCCAATGATGGATAAGACAAGACCTGACTGTAGCAAGTCTGCTTCGAATGCTTGTATCAGGGATGCCTTGTGGAAGAAGGAGTACAAGGGTATGGGGTGAATGTGCTGGAAGAACGCTTCAAACATGCGCATAACCAGACCGTCATCAAGCGAAGACGCCGAAACATCGTACACTCTGGGTGCCGCTGGGGTCGATCCGGCGTAGGTGCTTTGCGACCGGCTCCTCATATCAGTCTCGGCGGACTCGTCAGGACTTAGCATGGACATCCGACCCTTGGATCGCGAGCCTGGCCGGGCTGAGGCTCGCTTCGACGCTGGATAGATGCAGTCGACGCCTCTGAGACGGCATCTTTTGCATTCGGGGAGTTCGCCTGTACAGCGCGCCTTGAGCGAGTGGCAAGCTTCGCAGGCCAATCGAGCCCGACGGCGCTCGGGAGCTGCTTCTGCATCGCCGTCACCTCTCTGGAAAGAGCAGCTAATGTTCAGTCGCGAACATGGACTGCACACGTCGCGCAGGCCATCGCATTTCACTTTGCGTGACCGGCATTCGGCGCAGGTATTGGCGGACTTCTTTGAGAGTTTCTGATGCTGCATGTCGGCGGTAACAGTCCGACAGCCGATAATTTGGCGTCTATTGACACTGTGATGGCGCAAACTGTTGCTGCAGTGAGCCCACGGGACTCTGCAGTGTCTCGGGGTTCTCTCTCGTCAATCGCAGCTTCGCCTGAGCCAGCTGTGTCCAGGCAAAGAGAAATTTCCGAGTGCCGGGGGCTTGGCGTCAGCGACAGCCGCGAGCTGCTCTCGGCCGGCGGCGAGCAGAATGTTTTTTCTGTCTTATCTTCAATCGCCAGAATCCACGATACCACCGGCCAGACCTTCGTGATGTCCGAACAACTTCCCACGTCTCGCGGCTCGGTGTCCACCTTCTTCGAGAGTAGCAGACTTGATGGTGGGACAAACCATGGCCAGCTCGGAACGAATCCTTAGCGAGAATCACGCCATAGGCACCTGCAGCTGCAAGACCTCGCCCCTAACAATCGACTAGACACACTGATTCCTGCGGAACGACTTTCGAACACGGTAAGTTGACGGGTTCATGCTTTGTTTGGTCGTTGATCTTTTAGTGGCCTTCAAACGTAGACCGTGTTTGCTGAAGCCATCAAACTTGCCGACAGCCGTCAGCCATGTCACGTGATCTCGTGAGCGGGGCATCTCCATGTTGTCTCGGAGGCAGATAACGTGGTGGCCATCAAGATATCTCGCATCTTCTTCGCTCGCAGGACAAAATGAATAGTCCACTTGAGGCTCTCAATGGGCATGGCTCGCAAGACAAGAAAAATGCTGCAGTCGAGGCTCTCAGCAGCACCTTGCCAGCATCCTGGTACTCGACGAAGAGCATCTTTGACCTTGAACGCCGAGCCATCTTCTCCCGGCATTGGTTATTAGTGTCGCACGAATTGCGCTTTGGAGGCATTGGAAGCTATGCGAGCTACACGATTGCCGGTTTCCCCGTCCTCATCATCCGTGACAGGGAAGCCACTTTGAATGCTTATCTGAATGTCTGCCGGCATAGGGCGTTCCCAGTCGTGTTGCAGGATGAAGGTACAGCAAACATACTACACTGCAAGTATCACGGTGAGCTTAACAGTTGCGCTTCGAGTCTCCACTGCCGCTGATGCCCAAAGGCTGGTCGTACGGATTGAAAGGCAACCTTGCAAAAGCTCCCAAGTTCGAGTCGCTTTCCTCCTTTGATAAGGACAAATACTCGCTCTTTCGAGTGCATCTCAAGACCGACAAACGTGGCTTTCTGTGGGTCAATCTCGATAGTGCCGAGCAACCAGAAGTACGATGGGAGGACTCCTATGCCGAGTCCGACACGAATCCCAGGCTTGAGGAACTACCAGTCAGCAACTACAAGTACGACCACTCGTGGAAAGTGCCTGGAGAGTATAACTGGAAGGCATACGTGGACAACTACAACGAGGTGAGTCGTCTATACCTGTCTTGCGCTCAAATCTGAGCAGGACGTTCTGCAGTGCTATCATTGCTCCGTTGCGCATCCGGGCGTCGTGGCAACCACAAACCTCGACACGTACGACGTCAAGACCATCAGTCGATTCATCGAGCACTACTCCGATGCTCTTGGCACCGACAACGCAGGCACTGTCGCACCTACTTACTACTTTCCCAATGCGTCTTACATTATAACGTCCGTCTATCTTGCTCCGCTACTGCACCCCTGCTAACAGCAGCATAGTGAGCATTACTTCTACTTGATGCGTGTGGTCCCCATCAATGAGCACCAAACATCGATGGAGTACGAAGTCTTCAGAAACAAGAAAACCTCTGATGCTATCTTCTTGGAGATCGACAAGTTTTTCAAACAAATCGAGGCTGAGGACCGCTTCCTCTGCACCAACGCGCAGAAGAACCTGAACTCCGGTGGCTATGTCAGTGGTCCGCTGCATCCACACAATGAGAAGGGAGTGCTGTACTTCAAGTCACTGATCAAGGATACGCTCATAGAGCATCGTGGTCGGGAGAGGGCCAAGGGTGAGGATATCAACGCAGCTTCGAGAAGAACAGACGATCACAGCACCAAGGAAGAAGAGGCATTCTGTCAAGATCTATGCGCGCCATCACGGTCCGAGCTCGCTTGGTAATAAGACGATCGCGTACATTACATTACACTGCCTGCTGCATGCAACCATACACTCCCTGCCTAGCGTTCAAAATAGACCATAGCCCGATGTTCTGGCCAATCTTCTAGCTATAATACCGTCATTACCAGAGCCTCATGTAAATGCTTTCCATGAAACTGCACAACTCATTTATACAATGCAATGAAGGCAAGGCCCAATCTCGGACATTCCGCCGTATTCCGCCTGAGGGGCACACCATTGCCAAGACGAACGTCCCCTCCGCCCAGAGACATACTCCATCCCGTGCACGCCGTTTGCTCCATTGAGGCGCCATGAGAGGGCAGTAGTGATGCCTTGTGAGACAGCTTTTAGGCTAAACGGACAAATTCTCGTTATTTTCTCCAGACCTCATGCTTCTTTGACTCTACAACAGGCAATCCCGCGCGGAACGGCCATGAGGCCTCTGGACTCCATTTCTCTGCGCGCTATATACACGCCGACTGCTCGTCTCCCGGGCCAGGGTCACCAACTTCACCCTTTCCATACACCTACGGCCAAGACAACGCACCACCAATGACGCTCACTTTCCCCGACGCCCTTGCGCGCGTCCGCGCAGGCGAGTCACCGCACGCCGTCGCCGCTGATCTCTTCACCAGCCTGACGCCAGCGGAGAAGCTTTCCCTGCTCGATGGCGACACCCCTTTCTGGCCAGGCTTCTACTCCATCATGTATGACGGCTACATCGTGGACGAGCCATATGTGTTCGGCGCCGTGGACCGCCTCTCCGTCCCGGGTATACGCTTCACAGACGGCCCACGCGGTATCAACTTGGGCCACAGCACTGTGTTCCCCGTCTCAATGGCACGAGGCGCGACCTGGGATCCGACGTTGGAAGAGCGTGTAGGCGTCGCGATCGGTCGCGAGGGCCGCGCGCAGGGCGCCAACCTATTCGGTGGCGTGTGCATCAACCTGCCGCGTCACCCGGCGTGGGGCCGCGCGCAGGAGACGTACGGCGACGACCCGTTGCTGCTGGGCGAGTTTGGCGCCGCGTTGACGCGCGGTGTGCAGCGCAATCTGATGGCCACGGTCAAGCATTTCGCGCTCAACAGCATGGAGAATGCGCGTTTTCAGGTCGACGTGCGGCTCGAGGAGGCGGTGCTGCAGGAGTGCTTCCTGCCGCATTTTCGGCGCGTGGTCGAGGAGGGTGCGTTGGCTGTCATGAGCGCGTATAATTCCGTCAATGGGGAGTGGGCGGGCCAGCATCAGCATCTGCTGACGGAGGTGCTCAGGAAGCAATGGGGATATGAGTGGTTGGTGATGAGTGATTTCATCTTTGGGCTACGTGACCCAGCGAAGAGCTTGAAAGCGGGGTTGGATATCGAGGCGCCATTTGCACAGCAGAGGTCCGACCCGAATAGGGGTCTACAGGCGGGTTTGGATAAGGGAGATGTCGGTCTTGAGCACGTCGATGCTGCTGGGAAGAGGATTCTGGCCACTCAGCTGGAGCACTTCAATAAACGGGATCAGCAAGAACCAAGTAAGGACGTGGTGTTTTCTCAAGAGCATCAGGACTTAGCAAGGGAGGTCGCCGCTCGGTCCATCGTTCTACTCAAGAATGATGCAGTCGACGGAAAGCAGCTCATGCCGCTTGTGCCGTCGGCGGTAAAGAAGCTGGCGGTGGTCGGAAGGCTGGCAAACAAGGCGAATACTGGCGACCAAGGCTCCTCCATCGTGCGCTGCGCCAAAGTCGTCACGCCATTTGAGGGGCTCCGCGACGCCTTCTCTCAATCCGAAGTGATCCTCAGCGACTCCGGTGTTGCCGACGAAGCTGCCGCCGCTGCCAAGGACGCAGATGTTGCGATCGCAGTGGTCGGCTACACTGCTGCAGACGAGGGTGAATACATCGTGCCAGTGACTGCTGAGAACCCTGCTCTGCTGAACCTCTTTCCACCAGATGACGGGTCTGAAGCCTACAAGAAAATTGGCACCAAGATGGGCAATATGGAGGAACTTTGGTCGTCGACGGAAGAGACCGGCGGCGACAGGACCAGCGTACGCCTGCGCAAGCAAGACGTGGACCTGATCAAGGCCACGGTCGCAGCTAACCCCCGAACCGTTGTTTGCATCACCACTGCTGGTGCGGTGATCACCGAGGAGTTCCGTCAGCAAGTACCCGGCCTCCTCTTCAGCTGGTACAGTGGCACACAGGGTGGCAACGCCCTGGCCGACGTGCTGACCGGCGGTGTCGACGCTAGCGGTAGACTACCGTACGCGATCCCGAAGACAGAGAACGATCTACCATTCTTCGACAAGAACGCCAAATCGATCGAGTACGATCGGTGGTTCGGTCAGAGGCTGCTCGACCGTAAGGGCGCCGAGGCTGCCTATCCCTTAGGGTTCGGGCTGTCGTATGCGGAGTTTGAAGCAAGCGGACTTGCCGTTAACGCAGCTGGCGATGAGAGGATCCAAGTGGGTGTCAAGATCGTCAACAAAAGTACAAGAAGCGGGAGGCACGTAGTGCAGGTGTATGGCACGTCTGCAGAGGCAGGATACCCGAAGCGTGTACTCCTTGGGTTCAGCCCAGTCGACCTTGATGCGGGAGCGGCCATGAATGTCGAGGTTGGGGCTTCGCTGCGGCCCTTGCAACGATGGAAGAATGGCAAGTTTGTGCTACCGTCTGAATACCAGGTCGAAGTTGCCGCTTTCTCCGGTGATGCGTCCGCGCTTGTCAGCGAAGTCAGGAAGTCATAGATACGGGTAGTATGCCTGCAACGGCTCCGATTTAGATCCTTCACAGCTGGGAGAACCAGCCCTCTAGTCACGCCTCAAAATGGTCGCAGGTGATTTTAACAGATTTGCCACGCCATGCAGCGACACCGCTTTGGTAGCATTTGGATAATAATCGAAGACCTTTCGCGATTGGTGCGACTCTGACGAGCATTCTGGGCTACTGGCTGCTGACCCCGGATCGAGGTGCTGGTGTGAGCTTCGCCGGGTACTTTCTGGTAGCCCAGGGTTGCTACACCGCCGTGGAAACGCCTTTGGCAAGATTGACTAGCAATAAACCCAGGTATGGGAAAAGAGCATTTGCCAGTGGGATGCAGTTGACAGTTGTAAACTCGGCAGGCATTGCAGCACCATTCTTGTTCCAGAATCCGTACGCCGCTATTCACTATCCTGGCTAGCCGGCAACGATTGGCTTGCTGTGTCTAAGCACAACGATGTTTACAGTATTGCATTTTCACTGGTGGGCAGTGTACAAGAGGAGACTGGCTAGCGAAGAGATTGCAACATGCAGGGCAAGACCGATGAGGCAGTCGCAGAAATGGGGACAAGAGTCCAAGGTTCTTGAACTGCCTGTGAAGTATTTGGTGGACTGGCGCCGCTCGGTCGACATCTGGACTGCTTTCATCCAGTCGGGGCCTACATACCCCCGTCAGTCTCCAGAATTCCCAGAACCTCCCAAGGAAGCTTGACAAAAGACTGCTGCGTCTTTATGGCGCGTGTTCCCACTCTTCCAAACATCTGGCCTTTTCAAGTATTGACGAATGGTGACAAGTCATACCAAGTTCTTCCTTTTCTACCCTTGCGTTTCCGCGTGAGCTGGACTGGAACGGTCGCATTAGCTGCAACTCTCGCCGCCTCATGGGTCAATTCTTCATCGATCAACGTCTTGTCAGCGAGAGGCATGCTGAAGGCTCGCTCGGCCTCGACTTTCTTTCGGATGTCGTCTGGGTCGAGGTCCGACCATTGTTTGGCGATCCTGGGTGTGTGCTTGATGTACGGTATGTTTTCGGCAGGCTCTGGCTCTTCAACTCCTACATCGTCGTCTGTGTCTGCTTTTAGGTCGACTAGGTCTTGACCCGAATGTGGCGAAGCGCAGAAGTGTTGTGTGCTGGCAGAAGTCGAAATCGCATCATCTGAGGACACGGTGGATGCGGTGTCTGCTTGAAAGTACGAGCCAGAAACGTGATTCAGCCGACAGTTTTTAGCCAAGTGACCACGCTCGCCACAGCGACGACAAAGTCTGCTTTTCAAGACTGGGATAGGAGAATTCGTAGACCAGGACGCAGACGAGGAAGTTAGTCGGGAGGCACTGGCAGTGGATGAGTCGGATCGTGTATTAGTGGAAGCCCTGCCCATGGCATCGCTGGGATCAGAGTTGGTCATCGCCGAAGGTGTGGAATCAGAGTCCCATGATGATACATAGCCGGAATGGTGATTAGGATTCATCTTGCTACCGCCAATATTGGATTGTAGATTGCGCGACATAATGATGATTGTGTCTCAAAAGGCACGGTGCGAGCGTCTGATCTGTTGAGTCGCAGATTTTTGTTTGTCAAAAGGCTGGGGCAGCGTTTTCTGGCACATTTTCAGGCAGTCGCCAGTCAACAAGACTTGTTGCCACATCGTTGCTGTCAACTGAGAGAAGCTTCCATATTTCAAGAAGCAAATATGTTGAGACCGTCCCAATCCTGTACCGTGGCTGTCAAAGAGACGTCAGCCTGGCTGATTCGGGCACACGTAGCTCCTCAGTAGTCAACGGCTCATCGCGTTTTAGATAGAAGCCTTTCATGCCCGCCCCTTCCGCACCTTGGTAATCTTTACTCATGTCATCTCCTATGTGGTGCCACTCAACTGTTGGCATCCTTGGTACAGACTTGATCGATTCGTCAGCTGTCGTGCCCTCCGGGCCTCGCATCGCCTCAAGGCTCTTCGTCCGGTGGGCCTGTTGGGCCTGTAGAACAGCATCACCTAAGGTACGAGCATGATCGAAAATGCCACGATCTGGCTTCTCGTACCCAGCTTCGTAGCTGGCGCAAACAAAGTCAATGTCGTTGCTGGGGTTCCAATCATCGCTGCAACCAGGAGGGGACTTGCCGTCCAGCACTCTCTGCGGTTCAACCGCTCCAACTTTCAGACCAAGGTCATGCAAGACTTTCGTTACCCTGGGATCAGAGTTTGTCACCACGCCCACGATTGGTGGGTAGTTGACGATGGGTTCGTCGTGGCCAGCTCTGACAAGTGGCTGTGCTCGATCTTCACGCATACGCTGGAACATATTTCTGGCGTCCGTAAACAGCTCATATGCTGCGCCAGAGGAAAAGTGCTGATACAAAGCAGCGCCCAGATCATCCGGAATGCGGTTCTCAGGTACGACCTGGCCAAACGTGCGGTCAATTAGTATCTTCCACCATTGCTGAGGATCAGAAAGCTTTTCCTTCCCGTAGTTTGGATACTCGGCGACTGTATCCTTGTAGGCTGACTTGAAAGCTTGGTTAACTGCGTGAGATGAGATGTCATCACGTAGGCCGCAACTTCGGGCGACCTTGAGGTACTGTACGGCAACAGGCTCCTTAAACCCATACAGAGTTCCCAGAGCATCGTACGACCTCACTATGCAGTTTCGTCTGGAGCTCGAGAGTCGACTCGCAGACGTGCTCACCATCGTAACGTCGCGTCCATTAGAGTCATCGAACTGATCTAAGTCTGTTGGTGTCACTCAAATGCTCCGGTGAGGCGAGGTTCTACAGTTGCTTAAAGCCTGTTATCTCCGCACTCCACCTGAAATTTACCCTCGAAGACCGCGACCTGTTCACAGTCACGCAACTCTCTACGTACCGTGTGCACGATTTGGGCAAAGGGCGTCATCCCTTCAACATCTGCCCATCATGCGGAATACGGCGACGACTAGCCTGAAAAGGCCTGCGCTTCGGATGTCCATGTCCAAGTACAACCTCTACAACCTCTCTCGAGCACGAAGTCCGGTCAATCCGCACAGGATACAAAGCTTCTTCAAACAGAAATGGGTGGCCAAATCGGCTCTAAGAAATTACCATGGCGAGCACATTCGAGAACGGCAGTGGCAGCGCATGTTTTCCCGAAAGCTACGATCAGTCGTGCCCATGTCTCCTGACTATCTTGCTTGGAACGATGGAACGGTGGAGTCTGCCGGCAGAGGCTCCGGCCTCAAAGGCGTGCATTCAAGACCTGTTCCCCGGACGCCATACATGCTGCAGACGTTTGCTCCGATGGAGCGGCGGCTGGATATTGCGATCTTCAGAGCTCTATTTGCCAGCAGCGCCCGACAAGCGAGACAGTTTGTGGTGCACGGTGCGGTAACAGTGAACGGCAAGCCGGTATGTTGATATGGCCACCGTAAGATCATGCCCTAACAGATGCAGATGAGATACCCTGGATACCTCCTCAACCCTGGCGACATGTTTCAGGTAAGACCCGAAAGCGTCATGTACGCGATGGGCGCGCCGAAACTAGACGAAGCAAGCTTTACCAAAGTAGTCGAAGAAGAAGCGAGTGAGGAACAGTCCACGGCAGAAAGCTCAGAAGCCACCGAGGAGGAAGACAACCGAACTCCAAAAGAAATCCTCAAGGATCTTCTCACGCAGTCCAAGGCGATTCTCTCATCTGCGAAGGAGGGATTAAGCGCGAAACGCAAACAAGATCTACGAGCACTTTCCAAGAACGTAAGAAAACTGATGTCCAGAGCCGGACGCTCGGAAGTGGAAACAGGAGACGTACAAGCACAATTCGAGGAGATTCAAACACAGATACGGCTGGCGCGTGATAGCAAAGAGTCTGGTGTTGCAAGCTTGCCATCGGAACAATCAACAAGCCAACGGACAGAAGCATCCAACGAGCCTGAGACAGCTGGGAAGGAAAATTCATCCACACCAATCACTATCACAGACGTTAAGGAGGCAAGCGAATTTGGAGGGCAGGACGAGTCTACGCTCCGTCGGGCTTTGCAGGCGTTGTCCATCAACCCGGTCGATGAGTCGAAGCCTTATGGGACTCCATGGACACCGCGGGAGTACCTGTCAGCGTTTGCCTTTATTCCACGATATCTGGAGGTCAACCAGAACATCTGCGCCGCAGTCTACTTGCGCCATCCAGTTGCAAGGCCTGGCATGTCGGAGGTTCCGAGTCCGTTCAATGAAGAGGCCAACGCCAATGCGTTTACTTGGTATCTTCGAAGGAGATGAAGGGCCCGTCTCGCTCGAATTAGCTGGTTGGGTACGCGTTGTACAAAAGTGTACGGATAGAGGCAGGGCATACATCGTCGGGCGCTACACTACTGGATGTACAAACAAGCATTCCAAGATCTGACTTCTGTTGAACATCATCGCCAACGTATGCTCGTGTGCTCAATTGCCTCAAAAGCGTAGCACTTTATTGCAACTGGTGATAAATCTGCAGCCTCGTTGACATAATCTGGCCGGCCTCGGTCTCTTTACGCAAGTTGATTGGCTTATAACAAAATGCTGGATTTGCAATCGGCCATGTTCGCGACTTCTCTCAAAGCTCGAAATATTTGTCAAGTCGCTCACACCAGAAGGTTCACTCTTATGCCTTCGTTTCGACCTTAATAAAGCCCGCGATCTCTCCCTCCCTTCCTCTCGATCCCTTCCAAACCGCCAAGCTGTTTTCCCCTCGCTTCTTCCGCACATTCAAACCCCTCCGCACCTCCCTCTCTTTCTCCGTTGCCGCAGGCTCTACTATACAGCAACGTTCCCTGTCGAAAAGCCCACCCAGTATGGCGCCGCCGCACACTCGGGTAGTCATTATTGGCTCTGGACCCGCCGCTCACACCGCCGCCATCTACCTCTCCCGCGCCGAACTAAAGCCCGTCCTATATGAGGGTATGCTGGCGGGAGGGACTGCTGCGGGCGGCCAGCTCACGACCACGACAGATGTTGAAAACTACCCTGGCTTTCCGCAAGGTATTGGCGGACCAGAGCTCATGGACAGCATGCGTGCACAGTCTGAGCGCTTCGGCACCGAAATCATCACCGAGACCATTTCCAAGCTAGACCTCAAGAGCCGGCCGTTCAAGCTATGGCGCGAATATGACGACAACGAAGGTGACGAGCCTGCGCACACGGCAGATGCCGTAATCGTTGCAACGGGTGCGAATGCAAGGAGATTAGGTTTGGCGGGGGAAGACAAGTACTGGCAAAATGGTATTTCAGCATGTGCCGTATGTGACGGAGCTGTGCCTATATTTCGAAACAAGCCTCTGGTCGTGATAGGAGGCGGAGACTCTGCTGCAGAGGAAGCTATGTTCTTGACAAAGTACGGGTCACACGTGACGGTACTGGTGCGCAAGGACAAGCTACGCGCCAGCAAGACAATGGCCAAGCGGTTATTGGCGCATCAGAAGGTGACGGTCAAGTTCAACACCGAGGCGACCGAAGTCACCGGCGAGGACAAGCCGCGTGGTCTGATGACCGGCCTAAAGCTCATTAACAACCAGACCAAGGAGGAGGAGACACTCGAAGCCAACGGGCTCTTCTATGCTGTTGGCCACGACCCAGCCACGAATCTGGTGCGAGAACAACTCGACTGCGACGAGGACGGCTACGTCCTCACAAAGCCTGGCACCAGTTATACATCCATTCCTGGCGTTTTTGCGGCAGGTGATGTTCAGGACAAGCGGTATCGGCAGGCAATCACCAGCGCGGGATCGGGCTGTATCGCAGCGCTAGAGGCAGAGAAATACCTCGCTGATCTGGAGGACGTCGAGAATCCGCTGGAAAATGAGAACGAGGCGAAGAAGGCCGAAAATGGCGATGAAAAGAAGGGCTTGGAGTATCGGAGCAATCCATTATTGTGAGCGCGATGCGCAAGAGACAGACGACAGCGTTAAAATAGAGTATGAGACCTCTCCAGATGTGCCTTGGACGCATCGCTACTTCAAAAATCAAGATATTGTGGCAAAGATTCTAATGTGTCCGGAAAACTGGCAAAATCACGGCGGAATATAGATGTAGCCGGACGCAGTACCCACAACTTGGTTGCCAGTCAACGTCAGACTCGGCCGCCCGGCTCGGATCCCTAGCTTGCTCAGCAGGAGTCTTGTGAGATCTTCAGGATACGCTCGCACTACCACAAAGTGTTCTAAGATGGTCAGTGGATGTGTGATGACCGTTGAGACTCTAGGACAGATCCAGCTCGCCTTAGACACAGCCCTGAGACCAAGGCATAGAGATCTCTGAAAGTCATCAAGTCGTTCATACATAGCAATGGGCAGCGCAATATCCTGCTCCTTGGCTGCTATTTCGCATTATTGATGTGCATTCCCATTCAACGCCGGACACCCCACGCTCAAAGTTGCACTCTTGAAGCAGCTCTTCCCAACGCATCAGCCCTGCATGGTCCCCCAGAAGTAGTCGGCGTAGAACCACTTCGAGAACTTGGGCTCCACGTTGACAACATGCACATCGCCCTTCCGCCGGTCTCCAACCACCGCCTTCCTGTACTCTCCATTCTCGCCCTCTTCCAACGTGATGCCCAGGCTGCGATACAACCACAGCCGCAACACCATGGGGTCATCCGCCTCTCTGGTCCTACGCGCCCGCTCATCGCCCTCCACGCCCTGCTCCTCCAAATCCGCCAGCTGGGCCTTGAGGCGCTCCAACTCGGCGCTCAAGCGCTCGTTGTCTGACTCCAAATCGTTGGCGTGTTTCGCGACGCGGAACTTCTTGGTGTCGAGCTCCATGATCTCGGCGGCGTGCACGGAACTGTCGTGCGTGTGCGTCAGCTCGCGGTGCTGGGTGCTGAGCGTGGCGTGCTGGCGTGCGAGGCGGCGCAGCGCGTCTTCCGCTGAGGAGATGCGCATGCGCCGCATTTCGGCCACGGTGGTGAGGGAGTCATTGACACGCGCGAGGGCCTGTCGGTCCGGCGCGATGTTGAAGTTGGTGATGCAGTGGGAGATTAGCTGGTGGTGTTGTTAGTGCGTGTTCGGCAAGAGTTGTTGGGCAGGGGAGGCCTACGTCGGCGTGCGACTTTTCGTCCTCGGACTGGTAAAGCATGTTGACGGTCTCAATATGTTCGAGAGGTAGGTAGGATGCGTGTTGCGACAGTGATATTCTCGGGGATTGTAGTTATCGCGAAGTGCAGTCTGGCTGCGCCCGCGGTGATGTTGTGGGAGCGGTTGCCAGTAGCAACCGCCACGGCGAGTTCCTCCGCGCCTCCACAACGTCATCTTGCGCCACTTTTGCTGCTGCCTGCGCCACACTTTCTTTCAACTCGTTCTCGCGTTGCACATGATAGTACTCGATACTCTGCAGATTCATTCCTCCTAGTGACACCCGGAGTCTGGCCTTAGGTACCAGCCGAGAAATCAAGACTCTTGTGCTCCACAAACACAACGACCATGAGTTCTACTCTACCCTGTACGTTCTCCCGTTGCAACATACTGCGACTGTGCTAACCCGCCTTAGATGCTGCTGATGCCGAGAGGTGCGCTTGACGAGATCCTTTAGAAGATGATGTGCCGTATACTGACCACTAGAAGTCCATTGAAGCCTGCCGAGCTGCAGGTACTCCGAGCGCAGTACGACAAAGAAGGCGACTACGTTGGTGTGCAAACAAAATTCAATTATGCTTGGGTGCGTCGAATCACTCTTTCGTGGGAGAGAATTGCTGACGAGACTAGGGTCTGATCAAATCACAAAAAAGAGAAGAGCAACAGCTTGGGGTGCAGCTCCTTTCAGACATCTTCAAGACGACCCCCGAACGGAGACGAGAATGCCTCTATTATCTCGCCTTGGGAAACTACAAGCTGGGCAACTACGCAGAAGCACGACGCTATAACGACCTGCTCATGGAGAAAGAGCCTGGAAACCTGCAAGCAGGTAGTCTGCGCCAACTGATCGACGATAAGGTGTCTAAGGAAGGGCTAATGGGCATGGCTATAGTGGGCGGTGCAGCTGTAGTGGCCGGCATCGTTGGTGGCATGCTCATGAGGGGAAGCCGCAAGAGATGAGAATCGAGTTCTAGGTCTAATAACCACAATACTGGTGCTGTCGAGAGCGGATTTTGGCCTGAGGCGTGCAAGCGGATTTTGATTTCAGGCACATGGTTGATTGCTCCGGCAGTGACACGGCTGTACAGTATATAGATGCGTCCACGACTCAACAGATCTGTTTCCTCTGTGATCACCATGTTCACCATGTCCAACCTCACCTAAGTCGAGTGACAGATTGAAGAAACATACAGAAGGCCGAAGACGGCTGTCACAAGGCTGAGGGGCCCCACAACTCGCGTGGCGACGTCATCGGATTCGCTGGCGACTCGGAGTTCATCACTTGGTGATTCGGCCGTTTCTTGAATCCAGGCGACTCTCGCAATTCACAGCCACCCTGGACTCCAATACCTAGCCTCTGCCTACGCTATTCCTACTTTACGCCACCTTGACATCCCTGGTCTCATTCAACACTCATGTACCTCTTAGACCCATACTAGTCGTCAAATTATCCCGAAGCTGCACCCCACTCTGGGACGTTCGTACAGTCAAGAGCGCAAACGCGGCCTATATCTTTGCCAGCCTAGGCTGCGCATCTGTCCTGCTACATTGTCCGACCTTCTGCATAAATCATGTCCGACGGTCTACGGCGGTTAGAAGGCGAGCGCGTGTTCTGCCACCAATGTAATAATGAATGGGACCGCTCAAGAGGAGGGTTGACCTGCCCTCGATGCAACGGCGACTTTACCGAGATCGTAAGTCCCATCTATTCCGGGCGCAATCACTTCACTGACAGCCCTCAGCTCTCCGGCCAGAATGGTGCGCCCGAAGAAGAAGACCTTTTCCCGGGGCAGCGAGCGGCCTCGCCGCCGCGTCATCGTTATCCTTTCGACTCCCCATCACCAGACCAAGGTCCATTAAGTGACCCGTTTCGAAGAAGCACGCCTTTCGATGACCATAATCCCTGGGCGGATGTACCTGATCCAGAAGAGGGCGACATCAGTACGTTTCAGTTTTCTACACCTGGCGGCGGTCGCGGCACTTTCTCCTTTACTTCAAGAACATACGCCTCAAGAGGGCAGCCCTTTGCCGCGCGAGCCATGACCGGTCCTCAGGTGTTTCCCTTTGGCCCAATGTCTGCTTTCGGGAGCATGGGGGGACCTGGCAACGGCGGCTTCAATAACGACCCAATGCGACGACAAGGGCCAATGGCTCAACCGGCGGATATGCAAGATCTCTTTTCAGTGATCATGCAATCGATGCAAGCTGCAAATCTGAACAACACTGGTCCGAACGGTGAGCGAGCCACTCGAGGTGGCTTCTTCCTGGGTGGCGGTACGGCCGGTAACCGTCCACCTGGCCCGTTTGAATTGCTTACGGCTATTCTCAATCCTGGCGGCGCTGGCAGGCATGGAGACATGGTATGGTCGCAAGAACATTTCGACCGCATTCTCGAACAACTTGCAGAGCAAGGCAATACTGCACCGCCACCAGCTTCGGAAGACGCCATCAAGAACTTGCCCAAGAAGAAGATGAACAAGGAGATGATGGGTGATGATGGACAGGCGGAATGTTCCATCTGCATGGATAACGTGGAAATGGACGCAGAAGTTACTACCCTCCCTTGCAACCACTGGTTCCACGAGGAATGCGTTGTTGCCTGGCTTAAGGAGCACGACACCTGCCCGCACTGCCGAAAACCGATCACGAATCCTGAGAACAATCAGAACCAACCATCAGGGTCACCAAGACTGTCCAGACGCTCCACGCATCTGAGTGATACTATGAATGGACCGGGAGGGGACGGGACTCGTGAAAACCCATGGAGTGTCCCAGCTTCACCAAGCAGCATACGAGACGCACGAAACCGATACTATGGCCGCAGGTCCGGCGATCGAGATCGAGAACCGAGCCGCCGGTCCAGCAGCCCTAGACGTCAATCGCAGCCGGAGCAGTACTATGGCGGTAGACACGAGAGCACCGAGTACTACACGCACCGTCCTGAACCCAGCCGGCATAGTAGTCGTCGACATAGCCGGCATGATCCACCGAGCAGTTCTGGGGGAGGAGTTACAGGATGGATTAGAAATCACCTTCCTGGCGGAGGTGGCAGTCGTTAGGTGCAACCAAGCGCCCGAAATCTAGACAGACGGCTGAGAACAACCAGCTTGGTCTTGTTGAGGACGTAATCGACATGCAGCAAAGTCGTCCTTCGCACCGCATATCATGCTACCCTTTCTAATACAGCAGACGGCAAGACGTTCCAGAGCACGGAGCGTCGGGTGATGATGACAAGACCACACATTCTTACTTAGAGCTACAAGCTGGGCCCGTTTAGGTCTGAGCGATCGGAGTAATGTACTCGTAAGTACTTCTTTCTCTGTACAAAGTACGCAACGCGGTGTCGGTGGCCACATGAGCCTAGCCCTGAAGCCCGAGGCCTGGAGGCTGAAGCCGAGCCATGGCCGAAAATAGTAATTGAGCCGGAGGTAGCCACGTGACGTCACGCACGCCTTGAGTCTCACGTGCGCGAGTTGATTGCCACTCTGCTTTCACATGCTTCGACTTCAAAGGTCCACGGACTCCGTTTTGGTTCTGCAACAGATCATCCCTCTTCCTCTCTCCCGGCTTCCCTTCACCTTCTACGGAATCAGCTGGCGTGTATAGGTCAGGTGTGCTCCATTTGCTCTTCTTGTATATACACTTATCCTTCTCTCTCTCTCTTGCTGGCCGCAGCTCAACAATGCTGGCAGCGTGTATTGTTATTTGTACCCGTCCGCATTCAGCCGCATTGTTACCATGATAGGTACCGAGGACACGCCCATTCCTCACATGCAACAACTACTGACCAGCTACTTGTACAGATCATGTGCTTGGTAGACCATCATCGCAGTTTCGAAAAGTTCAAGTCTTTGCCGTTGTTTCGTTTTGGAGTTTGTACTTGCTGAGGTACCGTCCCTCCACTTCCTCTTCGCAGCTCGGCAACTTTACTAACGTTTGCCACAGAGGCAACAATCATGGACCACCAGTGATCCGGAAATTGTCGCAACGTCTGTCCCGGTACTTCACGCCATGGCAGTCGTTAGTCATCACACTGCTGTGGCTATACGTATGCCGCAATTTTGCCAAAATTGTTGGCCTCGAATCGCCTGAGCCGCTGGCCAACCTGTACAACAGGGCATACTTTCGAGCAACATGGATCACCACTGCCCTCGATGCGGGCTTCTGGACCGCCATGCGTATTAGGAACAAGCCAATCCGTGACCTGGCGTCCATTATCTGCACCGTCTACTACCTAATCGCCGCCGAACAGGCTGACGAAAAGGTCCGCAAAGTGAGAGCCGTTCTTACCGTCGACCACCTCCGAGTCGCTTGGAACAAGCCTACCACGCCGTACCTAAGCTACTTTACCTCCCTCATCAGACCTAATTTCACCAAGTATAAACCTAGAAGAATCCGCATCCCTCGCCCGAAATCGTCGACGTACCGAGAACCCGTTGTTGCTTGGATGTACTTTGATGGACCACTGTCCGAGTTGGAAAAACAAGACAAACTCGTGCTCGATGTTCCCGGTGGTGGCTTCGTGGCCATGGATCCTCGAGTATCTGACGACAAGCTACTGGCATGGGCTGGCAAGACAGGCTTGCCAATTCTCAGTCTCGACTACCGCAAGGCCCCTGAGTACCCCTACCCGTACGCCTTGAACGAGTGCTTCGATGTCTACACGCAAATCGTCGCAACCAAGGGCAGGTGCATTGGCATGAAACCAGATTCGTGTCCTCGCATTGTCATTACGGGTGATTCGGCTGGTGGAAATCTTGCAACAGGCACCACACTGATGATCATCCAAGCGAACCTATCAGCAACATCGTCATCTCGTGGCTTCTTACCATCTCCTGCTGGACTGGTGCTCCTCTATCCCGCCCTCGATATGAACATTGGCTCATGGATGACTGATGACCAAATGGCCTTGATTAGAGCTCCCGGCACAGCCAAGAAACATTCCAACTTTGTCAAACGTAAATCCGAGGACATCGACAGACGATATACTCCTAGCACACCGCGACCCGCCGACGACGATCCGGACTTTGACTTTTTTGCAACACCCCGTCCTAAGCGTCAATCCACCGATGTCGAAGCTCAAAAGACCGCAGTGGCCGAGTCGAAGCCGCAGCCTCTGCGGACGCGTCTGGCAGTGTCATCCATCATCAGTTACTTTGGCGACCGCATCATAACACCCGAGATGATGCGTGCCATGATCATCCTTTATGTTGGACCGTACAATCGCCCGGATTTCACCACCGACCACTTGCTTTGCCCAGCCGTGGCACCAGAGCAGCTGCTCCAGAAGTTTCCCAAAACCTACTTTCTCACAGGCGAGCGAGACCCGCTGGTGGACGACACGGTCATCTTCGCGGGTCGTTTGAGACACGCAAAGCATGCGCTGTTCCGAGAACGACAGGAGATGGGACTGGAAAAGTCACAAGCGGAGTTCCACGAGCGGGATCACGTGGAAGTGGTGCTGGTACCGGGCATTTCACACGGCTTCATCCAGTTCGTCAGCGTGTTCCCCGAGGGCTGGAAGCATATATTTAGATGTGCGAGCTGGATCCAAGACATTTTTGCGAAGCCGCCGCACGCCTTGGAAGGCCCAATGTTGGAACGTCGAGCTCGGGAGGGGAGCCTCGGCACCATGGCGGACCCGAGCGTGCTTAGTCTCGCAACTACGGTCAACGGCAATGCAGAGCGCGGGCCGAAGAGACACAAGCGTACGCTGACAGGTGGGAGCACTGAAGATGAGGACGCGCCATTGGCGATGAGCAGCATCCGACCTACCGGAGCGAGTCCGTCAAAGGCGAATGGGCACGCCACAACCTCGAGAGGAGAAGACAGCGGCAGCAGAAGCCCGGAGCTTGGTAGGGGGCGGGGTGGTATGTCGAGGACCAAGAGCTTGATCAGTCTGGGAAGCGAAGAGGACCTGTTGAAACGGCGGATGAAGGGCTTGACAATGGGATTAGCGGGAGTTAGCGAGGGATGAGTTGTGTACGCATTATAGCATTTCTGGTGGTGGACAGATATCATAACCCTGACACATTGACCAATGCGAAATGTTCTTGCCGAGCCCGTTGCACCTAGGTGGCTCGGGAGACAAACCGAAGAAACGTTGCATTGATGGCATCGCCGGGGCCGTAGAGGCCGCAACCGAGAGCTTTACCCTCATCGCTTTCTTTATACTCTAGAAAGACCGGACAGATGAAGGTCGAGAGCTGAAGATTAGAGTGCCGTTTGGTACATGATACCTGTACTTGCATGTATCAGGCGTGCAGTCCTGGCGAGGCAATCTGCCGGGGATGACTGCCAGGGATATCTTATGTAACGCTGTCGAACGAATCAGCATCAGACCAAGCCTGGCTTTCATCCAGGCGATGCAGTCGGATTCTATCTCAGTACCGATAACCGGGCAGGTACACAGTACAGGTGTTTGTTACCACGAAAGGGGAGACTCTTGGGAGGCACTCGTATTCAGCCCTATCTCGAACTCTCGCCTCGTGTTGGCCTTGGGGTCAAGCGAGACGGGCGCCCAAAAAAGAAAGTTGATGGCGGCGGAGCCACATATTGGCCCCTGCCATTGGGCCGTAGACCATTCGGCCGCAGGCATGAGGCTTGGCATTCAGCCCCAAGTTCGACCACACTTGACCACACTTGACCCCTTAGCTTCCTTCTTCCACCTCGAAGGCGTGTCAGTTGTTGGCTGGTCCAATCTCGTGTGCCTCGTGTTTCGGCTTCCGCCCCATCGACCTGGTCCTGCCTGCTAAGCATAGTCTGCATTCATTTCTCGTTCTAGCTGCAATACGGTACTTGGCGGGCGCCCCAAAGCTGTTTCTCCCAGCTGAAGTCGTTACCGAGACATCACGAACAAACCTGTATACGGACGTAAGTATCCCATGAACTCGGTATACAGAGTACCAAGTACTCTACCAAGGATGACTTGCATCTCGAAACACAGCTCGCCATTCTGGATGGCATCAAAACGAGTCTCGGCAAGCATCACAGGTGACCGTCCACAGAATGAGATCCTACCTGATCCCGGCCAAAATAGCCCCAGCTAGTGCTGATTCGCTATTTCGAGTATCTTTGTCGCGATTCTGCACCCACTGGCTTGTCACTACCGTACGGTAACAAAGTGAGCCAAGTCTACTAGGCGCAGGATTCCGTTTACGAATTGACGGTCCAGCCAAATCCCAGGTGAAAGCTAATCTTGAAGCCTCTCTGCACCACAATCTTTTGCTTGCAGCACTCAGCCCTCCCCGTGTTCGACCACTGGTTCGTTTGCAATCGACAACTTTTCGAATTCTTCAATAGTCTGTCTGTCCTACCCACCGCGATCCATCTAGCCTTGTTCCAAACTCCGTCGTTTTTCGAAGTTGAGCCTGCAAGCTAAGCACACCGCGACCACAATGAAGGAAATATTAGCATTACTGCTCCTCAGGGCGACCTGGTTCGCCTATGCACAGGACATCATAACAACCTCATCAGCCACCTTCTCCAGTGTGACCGCGACAGGCGAAGCTGGTTCCTCTTCGACGACCGAGTCATCATCAACCACAGAAGCCCCAATAACTCACACAGTCGATGTCGGCCAGGTACGCCCTACAAGCAACCTTCGAAGCGCTGCGTGCTAACTGAATCAGGCGGGTCACACCTTCCAGCCCGATGTCGTTCTCGCCCATGTCGGCGACACTATCGAGTTCGCATTCTTCCCCACCAACCACAGTGTCATCCGCGCCGAGTATCTCATACCATGTGTACCCTACGAAATGACCGGACGGGGCAAGGTCGGCTTCAACTCTGACTTCTTCCCCGTGGACGCTGTCCTTGAAGAACCTCCTACCTATAGAATCCGTGTCAATGACACAAACCCTATTTTCTACTATTGTGGCGCCGAAGGCTCGTGTATCAATTGGCAGATGGTTGGCGTTATCAATCCCAATGCAAGCACCAGTCTGCAGAAGCACAAGGATGCGGCCAAGGACAGCTCCTTCATGCTACTGCCAGGCGAAAAGTGGCCCGATGAGTCTACAGACCCCATGGCCTCAGACAGCGCCTCCTCTGCCACTTCCACCTCGGGTTCCGCGGAATCCACCTCGTCCCCTGAATCAAGCAGCAGTGGTGGATCCTCTCTTTCGACCGGTGCCATTGCCGGCATCGCCGTTGGCGGTACCATCCTCGTCATTGGCGCGGCCGCACTCCTCTTCTTCTGCGGGCGCGCCTCGCGTCGACGGAACGCACAAAATGCCAACCAGCAGCAGCCGCTGATGCAGCAAGGCACGGGACCGCAGCCTTTTAACCCCGGGCCAAACCACAATGCCCACATGAGCTATGTCCAGCCCTACCCAGACATGAACAAGCACATGAGCGTGCAGAGTATGAGCATGCACAGTCCAGCCCTGCCAGGCTATGTCCCTGCACAGCAGCAACCAGGTGTTGCCTCGCCACTGTATGGTCCGAGCGACGCGCTGAACCCTGGTGGTGAGCAGCAGGGCCCCTATGGCGGCAGCCCGCAGCACAGCCCCCACATGCAACCGCAGATGATGCCCATCGCGGCGGGTATGGCCCCCAACGCGGCGTACCAGAACGCCATGTAAGTCATCGCCCTTTATAACCCGGTTTCCCCCAAGAGCTGCAGACTGACATACACGCTTCACTACAGGCAACAGCAGCAACCATCACCCTTTTCCTCCTCCCCCATCCCCGGAAATGCCTATGGAGCGCCCATGCCACCACATCCCTCCACCTCACCACCGCCACAGCAGCTAGGCCACTACGGCGGCAACAACTACCACGAGATGCCAGCCGCCCCTGTCTCGGACGCGCAGTACCAGTCACAGCTACAGCCCAGCCCACGCGGCGGCGGTGGCAGTGAGCTTGACGGCAGCGATACACCGACGTTGCACGGCAATCAGCAAAGCGGCGGCGCCCAGCCCGCAGGCGGAATCATGAACTTTATTAAGCAGAATACGGGTGGGAAGTAGATCGATTTCATGCTGCGATGGATGTTGGCGGCTGGGAGGGATAGTGGAGAAAAAGAGCCAAATTTGCTTGCTGCCAGGTCGACTTTACGAATCTCTTTGCCCAAAGTTCGGAGAAGCAAGCATAGGCGGGAGAAGGGATAAGCGAGCGTAGACGAGGGACCGATGATAGTGAGGCTCGGCGGGTCGCTGTTCGTCATTGCGACTGGTGGATCTGGAATGATTTAAGAGGGCCGAATGGCATTTCACCAGCTCGCGGATTCATGTTCAGAAAGACGGCAATGAGCAACGCGCAGCAGATCGGTTGGTGCCTGTCCGCCAGGGAGAGTGAGATATGGACATGTATTTTGGGGCGCCGAGTCATGTTGCACCGCACTGCATTGCATTGCATCTCACGCTTTACGGGAGGAACCTCAGCACACCAGGGACGGCGCGACGACGATGACGGCGGTGGCACAGCGCATCTGGGTAGCTGAACTTCGAGGAATGAGGTCGACAGCGTTGAGGCGATTGGCCGGGGCGTGGCGTGGTGTGCCTTGAGGCCTAGAAAGTACTCAGACCTACTTTACCTAACCTATCTGCCTTGCTTACATTTAACGACTATGCACCTCAAAGTTCAATGTACTTACTTGCCAGATTGAAACTCAATTGCGTTGCGATATGGCTGCCAATGTAGCTGACAAGCTGCCCCGCCCTGTCCTGCCCTGCCCTGCCCGGATGGGAAGTGTCGTAGAATTCTGCGAAATCTCAAACCGGCTATGCTATCAGAATATTCCAAGCTGTTGGCAGAAGGAGCGCCGTTGTACCCTTGCTTACTGTATATCAACATGCTGGCGCTCTTTAGTAGTACTGAAAGGACAATGGTTCAGTTCCGGGAGCTCCTTGAGTCCGAGGTATAAAGGATCGTGGAGTTGCATACAGTGCCGGGCAACGAAAGCTTGATTGAGGGAGTGGTCAAGGAGTGACGGCGAACGTTGCTGGATCACTAGACATGTGCTCTTGATCGAGATCGACCGCGGTTCGAGGTTCAGAGGGGTGTAAGCGAGATGGACGTGGTATTACACGAGAACATATATGGCATGACGTAATCACAATACTCGAATGGTCAGATCAGCAACCGCGGCTTCTTCAACACTCAAAGATCCATGACTGGCTCGATCTCATTTATATCAATTCATGCAATTCGTTGAGTTGGTATATCTCATTAAGAACCCGCCAGGCTAGTACTGAGACGACCTTGCGGCTGTTTCCCACCATGGCTTCACCACGCGAGATCTCGTGCACGAATCTGACAGGCAAGTTCAGCATGAACAAGTCGTTAGGCGACGACCTTGACGCCATGCTTGCATTGCAAGGTATTAGCTGGTTTCTACGCAAAATCATCGGTGCTACGACTCCTGCGGTCTGATATCTGCACCTCACGCTGTGACCCTCGCTGATAGCCCGTAGATCACAGTCAAGGAGTACAAGGACGACCAAGGCAAATGGCATATTGACATTTTATCAGTTGCATCAGGTTTGTCGTCTCAGCAAGAGAATCGCACTCTGGACTGGACAGAGCGCGACCACAAAGACCGCATCTTCGGCAACATGCGGGGCAAGTCGCGAATGTTCAAGACGGGTGACTTTCAGATGGAAGGACCCGGTGGCGAGGACGATGCTGCCTTTCTGCGTGCAGAGAGACTCAAGGACGGCTCGCCCTCCAAGTTCGTTGACGATGAGCACGTGCAGAGTTGGGTGGTCAACCAAGATGCTGGCTATGGTTGGACAGCAGAGCAGGTCTGGGGCTTCGAAGAAATAGATGGCAAGCGCTATCATACACGTCGTGTTGTGGCGAGAAAGGATGACAAGGTGGAGCGTCTGCGGTTGGTATACAACTACACCGGACCGGTTGATGGGAAGGCGGAAGCAGATGCGGACGAGGACGATGGCCTGGCTTACGGCGAGTCATGAGGGATGAACATTTCGCTGATGCGTATGGTACAAACTCGTGATCAGGGAGAGAGAGAAGATCAATGGCCAAGGTGGACTTCTTTGCAGGCTCGCAGGTTCTGACAACCACGTCGTCACTCACTGTTGCCGGCGAGGGCTTCTCTGAGCGCCCAGAGTAAGCCACGACTTGTTGCAGCCGGAACTCCGACTATGATCCGCTACGATATTTCACGAACAATCTACAGAGCCAAAGCTCTACTCGCTTTGAGCAGTCATAACTTTGATACGGTGCGTCATATACATATACACCTCTTATCTGCCGAGAGGGTGTGCCTTGCAGGTCTACTCCCGCCCGAAAGATTCCGCTCTTCTCCCCGCTCGGAGCAGCTAGTAGAACCCCGGCCAATGGGAAATCGATCCTTACCTCGGACTTGAGCTTCAACTCCACCGGGACCGAAGGTAGCCGGGCGATTGGTCTCCGCACCTTTACGCCGTTTACGCAGGGAGCATCATGGCAGCATTACTACAAGCCCGAGGTGCTCGCTTTTCCCAATTTATTGAGCTGCGCAGCTTCCGACAGCGTCTTCTATAATCACTGCGGTCTCGCTGCCATCTTCTGATTCTCCTCTCTTTTCCTTTACATTCCTGTCCACGGCCACCATGTCCCTCCCCCGAAACGCCCTTCGCAGCATCCCCGCACTGACAGCTCGTCGCACACTCACCACCCGCGTCCTCGCCTCTTCCCTCAGAATGTCGCCCACACAAAACATAGCAAAGAGGCGGCTACACGCTACCATCCAGCAGTTCCAGGCCGCTACAGCCGTCGCGCCCACGACCACGCAAGCTTCCCACGAGAAAATCGCTTCCCCGGCCGACACCACCAACTTCATTGACAACCAGTTTGAGGCCTCACAAACCTCGCAATGGATCGATCTCCACGATCCAGCCACCAACAACCTGGTCACCCGCGTACCACAGTCCACCGATGCCGAGCTCCGCGCCGCCGTCGAGTCTGCGCAGAAGGCGTTCCCCGCCTGGAAAGCTACTAGCATTATGCACCGTCAGCAGGTCATGTTCAAGCTTACAGCCCTCATCCGCGAGAACATGGACCGCCTCGCCAACTCCATCACAATCGAACAAGGCAAGACTTTTGCAGACGCCAAAGGCGACGTCCTGCGTGGCCTGCAGGTCTGCGAGACCGCCTGCGGGATCACAACCCAATTCACCGGCGAGGTCATCGAGGTGGCCAAAGATATGGAGACACGCAGCTACCGCGAGCCTCTCGGTGTCACTGCCGCTATCTGCCCTTTCAACTTCCCTGCCATGATCCCGCTATGGTCCATCCCCCTCGCCACCGTGACAGGCAATACCCTGATCCTTAAGCCGTCAGAGCGCGATCCCGGCGCCGCCATGATCCTCGCCGAGCTCTGCGTCAAGGCTGGCATCCCTCCTGGAGTAGTCAACATTGTGCACGGCAGTGCCAAGACGGTCGATTTCATCCTTGACGAGCCCGCCATCAAGGCCATCTCCTTTGTCGGCTCCAACAAGGCCGGCGAGTACATCTATACGCGTGGCAGCGCCAATGGCAAGCGCGTACAGGCCAACTTGGGCGCCAAGAACCATGCCGCCGTGCTGCCGGACTGCAACAAGAATCACGCTCTGAACGCCATTGCGGGCGCCGCCTTTGGCGCGGCCGGCCAGCGCTGCATGGCGCTATCCACGCTCGTGCTGGTGGGCAAGGAGACTCAGCAGTGGATGCCCGAGCTGGCAGAGCGCGCCAAAAACCTTACCATCAACGGCGGCTTCGAAGCCGATGCTGACTTGGGCCCGCTGATCTCGCCACAATCGAAGAAGCGTGTCGAGGATCTGATCGCGAGCGCGGAGCAGGAAGGCGCCACAATCTTACTAGACGGCAGAGGTCAGAAGCCCAGCGACCCTAAGTACAGCGAGGGCAACTGGGTCGGCCCCACCATCATCACGAACGTCAAGCCGCACATGAAGTGCTACACCGAGGAAATCTTCGGTCCTGTGCTTGTGTGCCTGAACGTTGAGACAACAGAGGAGGCCATTGAGCTCATTAACGCCAACGAGTACGGCAACGGTGCCTCAGTAAGTTCACTCCTACATTCTTTCCCCTATTCCGGCCCTTAGCCAACAAATCCCCCCCCGGTTTTCCCCCCTAACAGCCATCCCGGTAACTAACACCACCCCCTCTCTTTAGGTCTTCACGCGCTCCGGCCCCACCGCTTCCCTCTTCCAACACACCCTCGAAGCCGGCCAAATCGGCATCAACGCACCCATCCCCGTGCCCCTCCCCATGTTCAGTTTCACGGGCAACAAGAAATCCGTCGCCGGCACCGGCATGGCCAACTTCTACGGCAAGGACGGCATCCGCTTCTACACCCAGTGGAAGACCGTGACCAGCCTGTGGCGCGCCGAGGACGCGCTCGCGACGCAGAAGGAGACGAGCATGCCTACGCAGTCGTAAAACAACGGACGGTAGTACGACAAAGTAAGCATGTGTGGTGAACATGTGGGGGAATTTGTTTCAGCGACAGACAGAACGAAATTGTACATGCCAGAGGGAAAAAAAGCAACGGGTAGGTACCAACCCTGGTAGCCATGTAAGAAGGGCGGAGTATCCAGGCATGATAAGCATGGTGTGATATTGATTTCAAAGTCTTTTCTTCGAATCTGAAATACGTCTCTCGTTGCAGAGCACCTTCCTATACTAAGAAGGACCCCGCCCATAATGGTGTACAGGGAAATGGCTAGGCTTCGCGGCTCTCGAGATGACTGCCGGACGCCATGCGTTATGCTGCCTTTGTAAATCAATCAACTTTCAAAAAGGTCGGCAACGCAACTCCAGCGTCGCCATGTTTCTCGCGTCACCCTTTCACCTAAGTGCTTTTATTGACTCACTGCCCTTGGCGTTCTCACATCTCCATCTCCGTGCACACCTTACGATTCTCCATCATCTTCGTGAGGTAGTCACTGCCGACCCATTTGCCGTCAGGCTGCTGAACGCAATGCGAAGCAAAAGACCACTACTCCTTGCTACTGCGTGTGGTCCGCTTCTGGACCTCGTCCTTAGCCTTGTCAGCACCAGTGGCGACGGCCTCGGCCGCCTTGTCCTTGGCGTCAACGGCACCCTCCTTGGCCTTTTGGGCAGTTCGCTTGATGTCCTCCTTGGACGGGGCGGCCGAGCCACCGAGACCAACAAGTGCAGCGAGAGAGGCAATGACGAGAACAACAGCACCACCAAGAACGCCGGCGACTTCGGGCATGAGCTTGACAGCCTCAATAGGATCTTTCTGGGCGAGCGTGACGAAGAGATCAAACTTCTCCTTGACATAAGTGACAGGGTCCTCCTGGAAGGTCAGACCACTGGGAGTCTTGGGAATGTCTGAGGGCTTAGGCTTGGTCTTCGACTCCTCCTCTTCCTCAATCGGGCGCTTGATGGCCCAAGTCTGCTCGCGGAGGGCCTTGGCATCCTCCTCAGAGTGGCCAATGTAGATGTTGTCGAAAAGAATGTCCGACTGCATGGTCCAGATCTCGAAACCGATAGCTCCCATGGGTTCGAGGTTCGCAGGAGTATTGTCCTCGAAGAAATCGGGGTTGGGAATCATACGCGCAGACCACGGACCGGTATAGGCTGGGTTGTCGATGTACGGCGCGGTCCACTTGCCCTTGTAGGCAGGGTTCTTCTTCATGGGGGGTTCCCAAGGACCACAACCAGAAGCTTCTTCGCACTTGGGGTTTTGGACCTGAGGAGGAATCCAGTCGCCATCTTCCTCATCATCCCAGTCCTCAGGCTTCTCGGCTTCAGGGTCAGGAATAGTGTTTGGCTCGTCATCCAGCCAGTCGGCAGGCTTCTCGGCCTCCTCATCAACGATCTCAAAAGGAGCATCCTCATCCCAGTCCTCGGGCTTGGTGGCTTCGGGGTCAGGGATACGAGCCTCATCAACCCAATCCTCAGGCTTGGTATCCTTCGGATCGCTGATCTCGGCGGGAGGGTTGATGGCGGGGGTGAAGTCTTCGAGGAGCGAGCCGTTCTTGGACGACTTATCATCAATGAGCATCTCAAAGGTGTTATCCGGGCGAACGATGAGAGTGTAGAGAGTAGACAGCTTGGAGATCTTGGCCGAAGGCGCACTCTTGAAGTGCTTCTCCTCGTATTCACCGGTCTTGGGGTTCTTGTGGTTCAGAATAAAGTGAACCTAGAATACTCAGTAAATGGTCCGTGTATGCTTATGTATTTGGCTTACCTTGTTGGTGGCTCCGCACTTGTCGGGACCAAACATGATCACATAGGGAGAGGTGTTGGCGAACTCCTCCTGGTGAAGTTTCTTGTTGTCACGGAGCAGCTTCATATAAGCACCGCCGCACTCAAGGCCTTTCTGAAGCTTGACCTCGTATTGGACAACGAGAGTCTTGCCCTTGTTGTCGATCTTCGATGGGAACTTGGCCGAGATGGCATGGTGGGCGGCGGGGTTCTTCAGCACTAGACCCTTATCGCCAACGATGCCGGGAAACACAGTAGGCTCCTCGACTGACCACTCGCCGACATAGGCCCAGTCCTCATCGCTCTTCGAGTCCTCCTTCTTAGCATGGGAAACTTTCCACCTCGTGTCCCAGTCATCGGTGAACTGTTCTAGGAAGGGAGCCTTCAGGGAGGTAGGCTACCGATGTCAGCAGATGTCAGATAAATGTCAGGTAGACGTACAGTGAAGAGGGGCTTCTCGACAGCACTGGATGAGGCTTCGGGGACCTCGACAGGCTCTTGAGCATCTTCGGCTAGAACATTACCAGCAAGGAGCGCAGTCGCGCAGAGCGCAGCTGTGGAGAACCGCATTGCGAGTGGTCGACAACGCAAGGATGGGTGAAAGGAGAGGAAGTGTGTCGATGGGAGAGATCGAAGGACAAAGGACGGTTGTGGGGGATTTATTTCCAGACCACGGCCGAAGGTCGAAGAAAGGTGTCCTCTTCAATCGTGTTCCCCAGCAGTGGAGTAGCGACTGCCACACCTGCTGCACCTGCCAGTTTCTTCTTGGCACGCTAGGTCATTGCCGGACTTAAAACGCGATTGACGCCATCTCTGAGTGAATGCCGAAAAGTTGTTGATTCGTGTGAAACAGCTGTAACAAGCATTCAACATGGGTCTCACTGAGGAGGTGCGGCCAGGTGACGAACTGGTCATCTCAGCTGACCCAAATCATCCGGCAAACCTCATCCCTCGGTTATGCAAGCAGTTCTACACACTAGGTAAATCCCCTCAAAACCCCCACCTCCGATGAGCTATTGCTCAGAAGCGCAGGGTGGGTGACGGGGACTGGCGGAGGTACCAGCATCAAGCAGGGTGAACATGTTTTCATCGCCCCGTCAGGTGTACAGAAGGAGCTAATGGAGCCCGAAAATATCTTCGTGCTGTCTTGGCCGACGCCGAAGTACCCTCCTGAGGCGCGCACTTATATTCGCAAACCTTTGGAGTTGAAGCCTTCGGCGTGCACTCCTCTGTTCTTGTCGGCCTTCGAGCAAGGAGCCGGCTGCTGCATACACACGCATTCGCAGTGGGCGGTACTGGTAACTCTGTTGGTGGAACAGAAGTTTGGCCAGAACGCTTGCTTCGAGATTAGCACAATCGAACAGATCAAGGGCATCCCAGCTGGAAAGGGAAAGGGTATGCTAGGATATCATGACACTCTACGGATACCAATCATCGAAAACACTCCCTTTGAGGAAGACCTGACGGGTAGCCTCGAGAGGGCGATGCAGCAGCATCCGGACACGTACGCCGTCCTTGTGAGGAGGCATGGCATGTAAGTCAAAATCACCCGAGTCCAAACTTGTATGATTGACAGAGACAGCTACGCTTGGGGCGACAATTGGGTCAAGGCGAAGACACAGTGCGAGAGTCTGGACTATATCTTCCAACTCGCAGTGGAGATGCACAAGCTAGGGCTGCCTTGGCTGCCATGAGCGATGTGCTTAGTCCTGATCCTTCTGGCAACCGGCTTCGCATACCCTAAGGCTTTCTGACACTTCAACAGGGACAGTCTGCCCCAGTAATAATGCATAAGGTACAGTTCCTGGCGGTCCGTAGTCCATTCTAGAGAGTGCCAGTTGGAAGCGCACAAAATAGCCAATGTCCACTCCCAAAGAGTTCCCAGATACCCAATGACTGGTCATGACTTTTGTACAGAACCTTCTACCGCGCTTTTATGTATATTCGGTCGTTCCCATCGTCACACACCGGCCTTTTGTCCAACACCCTCCATCAATAACTCCGACCGATCTCATACGCCCCCCCTTCAGCCCTGCTACTCGTACTTCCATCCCTATCCTCGCCCGTTAGGGGACCCTGATCCTCATACTCAACCTTATAATCAATCGTATGCATGATTACCCCGTCCGTCAGGCCCTTCACGCTATCACTTGTATCCCCGCTCGGACTCTGTTGGCCTCGCCTCCCACTGACCCGTGTGTCAAGCCTGCTCTTGCTCCCACCACCATGATGGTGTCTGTCATCCCTCTCCCGATCTCGACTCCTCCCCGCACTCGAAATCTCCACCCTCGAGTTCGTGCTCAATCCCAGCCGCGAGGCAAGCTTGCTACCCAAGCCGCTGCCGGCCGCATAGGTATTGTTGCCTGAGTGGGACTTGCCGGCAGAGTGCTCGAGCTCGAAGGCGTCGTTGATCTCGGCCTTGGAGAGCCCTGCGGCCCAGTCGGCCAGGAAACGCTTGATGGACGGGATGCACGCGGTGATGATGCTGAGGTTGAGGGCTACGGTCGTCCAGATTGAGGGGGTCACGGCTGCGAATGGCCGGTCGCGGAGGGGGGCGTTGTAGTAATCGGAGAGGGAGAGGATGGAGATGAGGGTGATGATCGGTGTACTATTTTGGGAGACATTAGCGGAGTCTGTTGGAGTCGAATGTGGTTGTTCTCGATGATGTGGGTCGAAGGAAGGGATCTGCATGGGAGGGTGGTTTGGGCTATAGGGCCGGACTTACACAATCCGCAGGCTGAAGAGCATCATAACCATCCATCTCTTTCCAGGGGTCGTTTGGACTGACTGCATCATAACAATGGGCAGCACGATGATGGCGATGTCGGTAGCGATGTCGCAGACGCGAATTCCGATCTGCATTGCGTACTGATCTATGCAGGTGTCGTTGTCGCTTGGACCAAGAGCCCATCGAGTCGGACTGCACTGCAGACCGAGCGTTATCGCGCTGGCAACACCCCAAAGCACAGACAGGGCAACTACACAGTAGCAAGCCCTCATCAAGAATCTCAGGGGTTTAATGGCGATGACCAGGAGTGTGACGGCCGTTTTGGCGGACGCTAGCGACAAGACGAGAAGAATGTTGGCGGCATAATAGTCCTGGAGAGAGATGTGAGTATCCATCTTTGGTGATCGATAGTGGCACTACCTTGCTCAACGCGTCCAGCCCCGAATCATCGAGTTGGTCTGAAACACGACCCAGTCCATGCTGCACGGCTTGACACACACAGATGGTATACGCAATACCAAAAATCTATTACTGGTCAGCATCAGAGGGAGTACGGGGTGGCGAGAAACTCACAATTGAAGCCAACATCGATATGTCGTTCCAAGCCAGCTTTCTGGTCGTAGCGTACATGGTATACACCTTGACAGATACAGTCAATGATGTGATGATGATCAACGTTGTTGCAGTGACCAAAGCAATCGGCCCGCGGTTGGTGGCAGTAAGCTGCTGGAAGGGATCCTGCAGTGGCTCGTAGATGCCCTTGGGCTCATCGCCACTGGCTATTGCTTCTTCAGACATGTCGTCGATCCTCTGTCGGATGAAGAGATCTATCGAGCAGTAACTATATGCTGTCTATACGAAAGGTGGATGGAGAATGAGGTCTGTGGGCCCAGCGGTCACTTAAGCTCGCTCGTCGCAGCTAAGGACGCCCTCGCGACGAGTCTCAGGAACAGAGCGCTGTCACCCTATGTTGATGAGGTCCGAGACAGGATCCCATGCAAAGCGATCTCTGCCAGCCGGACAAGACGTGCGCTTAGCCGGTACCCTGGGAGCACGAGGGTCTAATGCAGCCAAATTCAGCCACCTGGAGCAGTACTTGTGGATTCCGCTTGATTATGCAGCATGGACATCAAGACTCTGTCCTGGATTAAGTTTCCGGCACAGGAGGTTTATGTGTACTGGCCACGGCTTCTTTGGTGAATGTGATTGACACTGTCACCGGCTGAGCTCGATCAATTGCCACAGACTGGCCCCGACGATCTCTCCGGTCACCAGTCAATGAAGGGACGCAATTTGTTTCGCGCAACCAGATCTCAGACGTTTGATGGGTGCTGCTAAGTCTGCTGCCCGCCGCGAAAGACCCTTGCGCAAAAAAAGCGACGCAGGAACCGTAGGGGATGTATCTGCCGTTGTAACGCTAAAGATTAGCACGGGACGGGGCTCTGCAGATCCAGGTTCATGCTGTGGCGCACAATGGACCTGAAAAGATGAGCCAAGAACGACCCGGATCAGCCCAATATACTGGCAGGGGGTAGCGTGATCAAATTTGTCGATACTGGCTATAGACCAACGAGAAGCCTAGCCCAAGACACGCCCTTCACGATTGTCCATTGTCTATTGTCCTCTGCTCGAGGTAGCCTTCAAGACATATGCATTCACCACCACCTGGAACACCTGGTGATCGAGCGACAGAGAAGATCGAACACTGCAGATTGTGCCCTCAAGGGTGTCAGTCGGCACTTGGCTAGACTCGCGCCAGCAGCACAAGAGATGTTGCTTGTCAGCGCCTCACAGTCCAAGGCCGCAGTAGCTCGGAAGACGGAACGATGGAGCGGAAGTTAGGTAGGGGTCTTGTTCCCAAAAGGTTTGAGCTAAGGTAGCGAGATCACGCATGGGGGAAAGCAATGGCCAAGCGAGTTATTTCGACTCACTGGGGAAGTCTTATACCGAGACGGTTCTAGCGTACGAGTTGCGGCTTCATCGGAGCGAGCATCGCTTCGATATATGAGCCCTTCTGTTGCAATTGAAGGACAAGTTGTATCCTAGGCAGCATACAGGTGGTACCACCGATCCGGGGGCCACGCAAGTACACGCCCCGGCAAACGATGAGCCACATTGTCTGAATCCGTTCAACGAAGAGTATGCGGCGCGGAGGCTAACTCGACCGTCAGGGTTCAAATTTCAGCTACCCTTCTGTTCGGACACGGAACAATTGATTGGTAGGTGGGCAAGATGACAGTTCTTGTGCAACCTGTCAGTCGCTATCAAGGTTACAGCCTCTCGGCTTGGCGCAGGCGATCCTGTCGAGGGTTCGGTTGCCAATCAGAAACTACTGCTGAGACATCGTCCAGTCGCTGTTCGACGATAGTAGTTCTGTGCTGGCGGCCAAGGCTGATCAGATAAGCCTCCATCTTGTCCTTGGTGGTTGACACTGTGCTCTCAATTTGGCTCTCACACAGCAAGCCTGAGAGTATCTGACAGCGGCAGGAATTGAGTCAGGAAGCCGATTCTGGCCCCCACAAGCCGCCCACCATCCGTTGTCTCTTCATACTTTCACTGCCAAGGCATTGGTTTGACGCTAAAGCTGGGATCGGCGCCGGGGATGCCTTCCCCTGGGCTTCCTCTCCAACGGGATCTTCCGTGCCATTTGCTAGCGGCCCGCCCCTTGACAAAAGTACCTTAGCGTGGCACGGGTTCATGCCTACCAGATCCTGCGAAAGGGACAAGCCAACCTTGCAGGTGCAGGTTGCAGGCTGCAGCAGGCACTTAGCGCCCTGCACCCGGGACATCGCTCGTGCAGCTTGTTCTGCGGTAAATATGTACATGCTACCTGTGTTCGAAGAATAGCGGCGAAAAGAGTTCTTGCCCGCTAGGTTTTGCCGTCTTAGCCAGCGACTACCTCTATGTACGGACCGTAATTCCTCCCAGCTCAACCACAAGAGACATAAATTCTTCCGCAGAGTACAGCCCTGGGAGTCTAGAAGCGTAGCCTTCCGAGTTGCCTTCGATAAAAGAGAACGGCCAGTAAAAGCTATACAGCAATACTACTATAGACCCACCAGTTTATCCCTCATGCTCCGTACATCATACGACTCGAAGTGCAATTAGATGTTCCATGTACTCCGTACCGCAGTCTGAACTCTGCCGATCCACGTTCTGCCGTAGCTTTACCCACGAGCTCGTCTCAACAGCCGAGAGTAAGGTGCCACTTCTCTTGCAATTACTGCTTTACGAAACGATCTACACCTAGAAGACAACTCTAGCTGTCCATTCCCGATATCTCCGAACTCCATAGCCAGACTGGAATAACTTGAATACGGAGTACTGCCGCGACCGGATGCGGCAAGCTGTTGTCTTGGACATCGGGTCATAACAAGCGCGGCGCTTGGATGGTTTCATCCTTGGTGTCACTTTAGTCTCGAAGCTTTTGGAATAGTTCCACCAACGCTAGAGACCTCGGCCGATCTTGTTTAAGTCAGAACATCCCGCCAAAAATGTTCATCCCTGCAGGGTGGCTTGCCCCAGCCTGCGGCCATGGGTGGACCCGTCTCAGAACCAGACCATGCCGGCTTGTGCCCAGCTTACGGTTAGAAGGGTCCTCCATCAACTATGGAGTACGGAGTATAGATTGTTACCTCGCTTCACGCATTGCAGAAGGGCATGGCCTAGAAGATCTGTTGCCACGTTTTATGCAGGAGGCTTTTGTACCCATTCCTGTCGAGAGCTTCTTGTGATCTTCGACTCCTGTCATTTTTTTTCCCAGACCTGCGTCCTCAGGTACTTCTACAAAGCTACATTCTGTCCTTTCTTGTATTATCACTCGTTCTTCTGATTCTTGCCCAACATGGAGGTTCACGAAATGCTCCCCGTCAAGACGGCGCAGGTATCAATGACTGAAAAGAGGGGCTACGTTGACACCTATGCGGGTGGCCGAACGGATGGCACGAGAAATACGTCGACCAGAGTGCGAGTATGTACCTACCCCAGGCTCTCGAACCCTCTCAATATCGCTGACCCTCCGAACAGAGACTGTTTTCCTTTGCCCAGATCTTCTTTTTCGCCCTGAGTTACATGTCCTCCTGGGAAGCCATCGCAACCAACGTCGGTCTTATCTTCTACAATGGCGGTCCGCGATCGCTTGTCTGGGGCTTTTTCATCGTCGTCCCCGGTGTGCTTTGCCAGGTAGCCTCAATGGCAGAAATGGCCTCTGTGCAGCCCATCGCTGGCGCCCAATACCACTGGACACACTATCTCGCGCCGGCGTCGTCACGCAAATTCATCACATGGGTGCAAGGCTGGATCACATGGTTCTCCTGGATCTCGCTTTTGGCAGGTGTGGTTAACATTGCTGCCAACATTATCACCACTCTAGTGGGCGCTCGATATCTGGACTATGTCTACCAGGGCTGGCACACCGTCCTGATCATGTACGCCCTCCTCATCGTGCAGGGTCTGCTCAACATGTTTATGTTCTGGATCATCCCGTGGGTCGAGCTGGTCGCAGGTCTTCTGCATATCATCCTTTGGATCGTCTTTGTTTCTGTCTTGGTCACTCTTGCTCCCCGGCACTCAGCCGAGTGGGTCTTCACAGAGAAGTCCAACTTATCCGGTTGGAACAGCGACTATGTCTCGTTCAACCTGGGTATCATCCTCGTAACGTGGGGATTCGTTGGTAAGACGCTTAAAAGCATTCACTTGGAACGCCCTTGCTAATTTGTACCAGGCTTTGATGGCGCAGTTCACATGTCTGAAGAAGTCCGCAAAGCTCGCCACGCTGTACCTCGCGCCATGTTCTGGAGTATCTTGATGAACAGTGTCCTGGCCTTCGCCATGACACTCGTCTTCCTCTTCTGTATGGGTCCAGTCGAAGACGTGATGGCCTCCAGCTACCCGCTCCTCGCCATCTGCCTGAACGCGACTGGTTCCCTTGTTGGGGGCTCTGCTATGGTGGGAGGCATTTTGATCACAGTCGTTGCTGTGTCTCTAGGCTCTGTCGCCTCAGCCTCACGCCTGACTTGGGCGTGGTCTCGCGACGGTGCCCTGCCAGCGTACTTTGCGTACATCGACCCCAGACACCGCGTCCCTGTCCGCTCTGTATGGCTGCCAATCTTCCTCGTCATGCTCCTGTCGCTTCTCAACCTTGCTTCCTATACAGCCTTCAGCGTCATCATCTCTCTCTCCACCTTCGGCCTGTACCAGTCATACTTCATCGCCATCTCCTGCATGCTGTACGCACGCTTGACCGGCCGGCTTGAGGATGGTGGCTGGTCGCTCGGCTGGTGGGGCACGCCGATCAACATCTTTGCCCTGATCTATTCGGCTTACATCGGCATCTTCCTGCTCTTCCCTAGCTACCTGCCCGTCGACTCCTCGACAATGAACTACGCCTTACCCATCAACGCGGCTGTCGTCATCTTTGCCATTATCAGCTACTTCGTCTGGGGCAAGAAGAACTGGAAAGGCTTGAACAAGGAGGTTGTGGATGCTGTGGTGGCAGACTCGGAACGCAACACCAAGGACTAAAGCAACGACTGCGTACGGCATGAAAGGCCTGCTTCTCTTTAGTGATTTCAAGGATAGACCAAAACGACCGGTTGCGATGGTGAATAAAAATCTGTGGGCAGAGATAACTTTCTGAGTTCGCACGTCTAGTGTTCGCGGCTGCCATATAACTAAAACGCTTTGCATAACTTCATCAATGAAATCAAGCTAGATTCAATGGTAGAGAGTGCTCACGTTACGACAACTTTGCCACCATCCTTTGAGTCTTCACTTCGATCTGCCTTCTTACCACCTCCCTCGTGCAGCTCACCTGCGTCCGTATCTACTCGCTTCCCCTCAACCTCATCCAACACATCGTCCAGCAAATCCAACTCGGCCTCAATCCTCCTGATCTCATCTTCAAACCCATCGGCGCTCTCGCCGCCAAGCGCCCTCTCGGCCTTTCCCAGCGCCTTCTCCAGGGCGTCGCCCTCGCCATGCAACGTCTTGGTCTCCTTCTGCACGCGCCGGTCCTGCTCGTCCAGATGGGCGGCGTTGTCGTGGATGTTCTTGGCGCGTGAGTGCAGCTCGTTGTCGAGCGCCGCCGCGCCTGTGGAGGCAAGTGAGGCGTCGAAGGCGGCACGGGCTTCGGCAGTGCGTTGGCTCGGGGTCGGTGGCGAGCGGCTGGCTTGAGAATGGGAGGTTTGGGCGGTGTTGTTGGCGGGTGTGGAGGATGTGGTGAAGACGGAGAAGAGGGAGGACATGTTGTTCGAGTTGTGGGGGGGCGTGGTTAAGGAAGAGTGGTGTGAACTATAGGATCTGGTAATGAAAGAATGTGGTCGACTGGAAAGATATGGTATCAATCGATTGAGCTAATGGCTTTCTAAGGGGCCTGAGGTCTGGCCCCAACGGTTTGCGTTGTGGCCGAAATCTGGTCACGGGCGAATGAATATAAATCTAGGCTGAGAGGCCGGTCAATCTTGGGTGGATTGCACTCAATTTTCTCAGATGTCAAGAATGCCTTCACTCTGGGAACAAGTAGTCCAGGTCGGGATACTGTAACCTATATCCAGTATGGCTGAGGTGTACGAAAGATGACTTTGGTAACCGTTGCCAGGCTGAGGGGGTGAGGAGAGGATGCCTTCCGTTGCCCACCAATCGGAGCCGATATTTGGCCGCAAAGAACCCCACCACGCCGTGGACTGACGACAAGCAAGCGGCGACCATAGCTCGCTGCTATCCCGTCGCAAGTGCCTTCAATGCCCTAATGCTGTCCGCGTTCAAGGCTCAGCCGATCGTTGAGCTCAAGCAACGCGACAAGTCGAAAATCGAATCCATCCTAGCTCACAGCGACCAGCTCCTGGTCGGTCTCAATACTGGTTCCCTCCGCATCTACCGTGTCAACGCGTCGCCCACCCCCATCGAAGGCGAGACACAATCCGACGATGGCGACTCACAGCGTGTACCCTCCGAGTTGCTGAGGGAATATGAGAAGTTTGCTAAATACAAGATTGAGCAACTGGCCATCTTTCGTGAAGCCAACGTCCTCATCTCGCTGAGCAATGGCCTGGTATCTCTGCATGAACTGGGAAGCTATGAGCTGCAGGAGCAATTGATACGGACCAAAGGTGCGACCACGTTTGCGGTTACGAGCAACATTGTCAAGGATCCTCAGACCAGCGTACCGACCCTGGTCAGCAGACTCGCCGTGGCCGTGAAGAGGCGGATCCTGTTATGGGAATGGCACGAAGGAGAGTTGACTGGCGATGCCGCCGAGATTGCTTTGCCGAGTACCGTCAAGTCCCTAACGTGGGCAACGGGCACCAAGGTCATTGCTGGCCTCAGCACGCATTACGAATTGGTTGACGTTGAAACACAGGAGAGCAAGACCATTATCGGACCAGGGAGCATCGGAGGCACGCCAGGTCAGGATACCTCGCGGCTCGGGGGTACCATGAGCTACATTGGTATGGGGTCGATGGTGCCTGACCCGCTTGCCACTGGCCTGGGGGAGAAAGAGATGCTGCTCGCGAAGGACATAAACACCCACTTTGTTGATCGAGACGGCGAGCCGCTTGGGCGACGGCAGATTACATGGAAATCCGCACCTCAAGCTATTGGCTACTCGTATCCTTATCTACTCGCGCTGCAAGATGGTACCAAGGGAGTGCTTGAAGTCAGAAACCCGGAAACATTAACGCTACTGCAATCCATCGAGCTGCTAGGTGCCATTCGCCTTCAGGTACCGAATCCCAACATCAGCCTGGCACACCAAGGCAAAGGCTTTCTTGTGGCCAGCGAGCGTGCTATTTGGAGAATGCAGGGGTTAGGGTACGACGCTCAGATCGATGCGCTGGTGAAGAGTGGTACCTTGGATGAAGCCATCAGTCTGCTTGGCATGATTGAAGAAACCCTGATTGAGGACAAAGCAGGCCGGATGCGGGAAATCAAGATGCAGAAGGCGCAAAGGTTCTTCGACGAAAAGAAGTTCCGCGAATCTCTCGACTTGTTTAGTGAGGTCTCCGCGCCGCCGGAGCGCGTCATCAAGCTATATCCTGAGCTCATCGCTGGTGACCTGGCGCCCAAACCGGACCTTGAAGCCTCATCAACACCAAGTAGCCCAAAGAAAGGCCACAGGAAGACTGCCTCGGTCTTGAGCTCACAGTCGAAGGATGACAAGACGGATAAGGCAAGTATTCGAAGCACGAAAACTGCAGAGGAGAGTGGTTGGAACGAGAAGGAATTGAAGATGGCTGTTCGAGAACTCCAAGCATTTCTGGCCGATGTGCGTCGTCGTTTACAGCGATTCTTTGATCCTGATCAGACTGTCAAGAACCTCGACGAGGTCCAAGAGCTGTTCCAGTCCGAAGATGTACGACGAATGGTCGAGCATCTTTTGGGAGTTTCTGAACTCGATACCGTCAGCCTGGAAGAACAGCTACCAGCCCTGGCCCGACAAGTTGACACAACGTTATTCAGAGCACATATGTTTGCAACACCGTCGCTTGCAGGCCCTCTGTTCCGCATCGCGAATTTCTGCGATCCAGAAGTGGTCATGGCCAGACTTGAAGAGACAGAGCGGTACAACGACGTGATTGACTTTCTCTTTGGCAAGAAGTTGCACCGACAGGCGCTCGAAAGGCTGCAGAAGTTTGGCCAGGCAAAAGACACTGAGGATATGGACACGCAGTTGCAGGGCCCGGGTCGGACTGTGTCATACCTGCAAGCACTCCCACCCGAGATGCTCGATCTGATCCTCGACTTCTCGAAATGGCCAATGCAAGTCGACCCGAATATGGGCATGCAGGTATTTTTAGCCGACACTGAGAACGCCGAGATGCTAGACAGGGCCAAAGTGCTTGCATTTCTGAAGTCTATTGACGAAGCTCTTGCTCGTCGGTATCTCGAACATGTCATTGACGAGTGGAACGATCTCACGCCGAGTCTGCACCAGGAACTGCTCAATTTGTACCTCTCACGGTTAAAAGAAAACCCAAAAGACGAAGAGCTACTGGACAGGTTCCTGACATTGCTCAAAACATCCGCTCAGTACTCGCCAGCAAAGGTATTGAACGCGCTACCCAAGGATGACCCTACATTCTACGAAGCAAGGGCGGTGCTCTTCAGCAAGATGGGCAACCATAAGCAGGCCTTGGAGATTTATGTCTTCAGGTTGGACGATTCTGCAAAGGCAGAAGAGTATTGCAATCAAGTTCACCTCGAGATGGTCAACGAAATTGGTAAGCCCTCCACGAGGCGAGGCTCTACAACCGATCCTACCGACGAGGATCCATCGATATACCACGTCCTCTTGAATCTCTATCTGAACCCCCCGAAAGGCGAGAAGGCTCAATACGGTCCAGCTATCGAGCTAATGGCCAAGCACGGAGCTCGACTGCCCGCCAGCTCAACACTCGACCTGATACCGTCCGAACTACTCGTCCGCGAGCTCGAGTTTTACTTCCGCGGTCGGATGCGCAACGCCAACACCATTATGAATGAGTCGATGATCGTAGCAGGACTTCGCAAGGTGGACGCCGTCCGCGTGCAAGCAGCATTGCAGCTGGGCGAGGGCACTAAATCGGGCGGTCGTTCGCGTAAGGTGCGGATTGACGAAGATCGTGTGTGCGGCGTCTGCCACAAACGCCTAGGTGGCAGCGTCATCAGCGTCTTCCCAGACAACTCGGTGGTGCATCTGGGTTGCGCCAACCGCAAGCAGAGTGTGGTCGTGTCCGCTTAATGAGACTCTGTGTATACCAATATGACATTTTCAGTCGTCCTCTTGAGCTTGTTCTTCACCATAAGTCTCCTCTTCAAGCTCGTCTTGCGGCTTGTCTTTGCTTGAGGATTTGACATCGCGAGCTTTGTCTTCTGCCATTTTCTCGGTGAGGAACTTGTTGACGTCGGCTTGCAGCGTCTTGGTATTGGCGCGAAGTTCAGAGAGGTACTTGGTGCGCTCGGCTGTGGCGGGGTTATCGGCGCAAGCAGCATTGATCGGAATGGTGAACTCGTGAGTCCCGTCTGGCGACGAGTAGTGCGCCTTGACACTCCGCTGTCCTTGCGAGGCCATGTCCGAGATGGGCGCGAGAACTGTAATGATGGTCTCAGATTGTTGCGGATGAAGATCGAGGGACAAGGATGTCCTGTTTTAGCCCCACCCGATTGGCGCAGATGCAACGGGCTTGCAAGTTGACGTGTGCAATTGATTACCCTTCACGTATACCCTTACTTCCTCATATATTCTCCGTGTATTAACAGCTGCTATGGTCGCTTTTGGAACTCGGTTGCGGAGATAGAGAAGGCCCATCAGGAGCTCTAGATACGCTCCAGATACCTCGTGCGAGCCCCCGCCTGCATTGATGCCTGTTCCAAAGTACTGCGCCGGCCGCACGAGCCAACAAAGACCATTGTGATATACTGGGCGTCGCGACAACGCCGCGGAGCGCATTGCTACTCCCTGCGCCTGCAGTGAAGTAGCACTATGGAAGCTCCTCCCTCTGCAAACCGCCGCAATGCGCCACGGTCTCCCGCTCCTCCTCCGCCGACCTCACCTCCTGTCCAGCAACCACCCCGCGCTGTGTCGAATAACAGTGCTCGCCCTGACTCAAGCGACAGTGATGCTTCGTCGTCCTCCAACCTGTCTGTCGTAAAACGCTCACCCTACTCAGCGCAGTTCCCAACCTTTGCCTCGCACGCAAACCCCACAAGTCCCAACCCAGGCTACACTCGCCCATCTGCGCAATATATGCCACAAGATGGGACAAGGAAGAATCTAGGGCCACCGCCAGAACTGCAACGGCATCGACCACGGCAGCACTCGCAGGGCTATTTTGAGCCGTCTTTGCCGTCCGCCTCTCTGGCCAGCCAGTCTGCGATAGCCGACGCAAACATGCCTCATCTCACGCCTTCGCAGATTGCCGCACAAGCGGCGTTCTCGCATATGAATCTCGCGGTACCGGGAACGAACCATTCTAGAAGGAGGTCGCAGACCGTGCCCGTGCCCGACTGGCAGCAGACAGATGGAAGACGAAATAGTAAAGGGTCTGCCACATCTTCGCAAGACGAGACCACACCTCCAGAGAAACCGCAATACAAGAATGGCTTGGTGGGAAATAATGCGGCGACTACAGCTGCCAGTGCAGCCTTCCCAAGGCTGACCTCAGCCAGTCAAGTCTCGCTCGGCGAAGAGAAGGAATCAAAGAGCAGGTTCAAGAAGTTCAAGCCCAAGAACATCACGTTATCTAGGGACAAGGACAGGGAGCCGAAGGAGAAGCCGCTGCCGTCACCAAACAAACTTGCCCCAAGTGGCTTGTCGAGAGTCATGAACGCGTCGACAGCAAGTCTGGCGGACTCGTTATCATCGAATAATTCGTCGTTATATCAACTCAATGCCAACCCTTCACAGGCGACAATCATCCCTATACCTCCAGAAAAGGACAAGCATAAACACCATGGATTGCGACAGAAGCTGAAGTTGAAAGACAAGGACGACCACACTTTGCCTCTCTCATCGGCGCACTCCAATTCCAAACCAGCGGACCTCGATAATCCACAATCACTTTACAATTTTACGCCATCGTCGCCAGGACTAAGCTCTGGCTTTTCCAAGTCTGTTTCAGGTCTGGATCTGAGACATGGTGGCCGCGCGCTCAGGGAGAAGAAGAAAGAAGAGAAAGCTCAACAAGCCGCAGCGGCTTTGCAACCTGTTCAATCGAGAGAAAGTGACACTTCGGAATGGCCTGCGTTAGGTACAAGTACGACAAATCTATCGGCTGGCACGTGGACGCCTTACGCACAGGATCTCAGTCAGACCTTGGCAGGTTTCGGATTGAACAACATGACGCCCGACGACGCCTGGGACTTTCTCAAGGCCAAGCTCTTGAGCGTCTTTGAGGGCGAACATGTGCGAATTACCGTTGAAGACTTGAATAAGTTGGTGTCGATTTACATCCAACGATGTGTGCAGAAGGTGGACCCCAGCATCATTGTGGGGGATTTTGAGGACTTACTACGAACGGGCTTCCTCAGTTTGAATCACACCCTGCGCTCAGTGCGCGACGATCAGCTTGTACCACATCTCGTCAGTATGTGGATTACCGTCTTCACCGAGGTGTTGCCTTATATGCAGGCCGTGTTTTTGCCTCTTGATCAAGAATTCAAGGGCCGTGGTGCAATACTCACAACCCCAGCCAAAGCAGCCGAATTCTGGGGCATGATACCAAATTCGGCCAACAGCGCTCTATCGTCATCGCCACCAATCTGGGAGACGTCTCATGAGATGGTCGCCGCCGGGGACGAGCTCGAAGTCCGTCGGATACTTCTCATAGCTTACCGCGACATTGTGATTCTCCCTCGCTTTGATGTTCTGAAAGCGACATTCTCGCGCCTCAGTCTCGACAGTATCCATGCCACGCTCGCTCACCTGGAGAGCGAGGGACGCACGCGAGGCAACAGTGATCTAAGCGACCGCCCAGGCACTGCGCAGAGTCTTGATCCTACCTATGCCAGCTACAACTCTCAAGCTAGCACCCTACTCAGTGGAGCTATGACGTCTTCTGGCGGTCGCTCTCGCGCAACCTCGAACCTATCCAACGGCAGCAATCCCGCGCAAGACGTCGCATTTCAGTCCTTCTCGTCCCCACAGGCTGCGCGCGCCACGGATAACACGCCTAGCCAGGTCACGGAAACTGTAGGTCGCATGCTGCAGTGTCTCAGTGTGCTCTGCTCTGTTCAAACGGGCGACGACGCGCAGACCAAGATGGAAGAGCTGAATAAGCAGTTGAAACTCAACTGGTTGGGCAGAGGGCGAACGGGCAGAAATCGGAAGGGCTTTGTTGGCACACGCATGAGGACTGTGAGGAGTGCTGGAGCAAGCACTCTCGACGGGAGGGGCACGATCAGGGCGGTCATCGGCGAGAGAGAGGGTAGTCCAACGCCGACACCGACCAGACAGGGGACCGTGAGCCGACAGAGCGATGAGCGTTAAGATGGATGTCAGGCTGCAGTCAGGTCAAGCATCGAGTCGGCTCAAAGATGCTGCTGATTGGTTGAGCACAGGATAACGAAACATGCGTAACGATGGTATGCGAGCTGGGCGCATGGCAAAGACTCTTGTGCTAGAACTTGATACCCAATGTAACAACATTGTTCTTCTATGCAGACCCTCACGTGAACCCTCTCGGCGTAACGCGCTTCTGTTCGGCTGATGGTTAGGGTGCTTGGCAAAGGCACATATCGTTATGCTTGAAGAGGTTGCGGCCGTATATGTACAGCGCCATTGGCCCGATCTGCTCACTCCAGATCCGGCCAGTACACGCACGAAAGAGACTGCCCAATATATTGCCTCCTTCATCTTGGAATACGCTCTCATCCCCATACCTAGCATATCACCGACTTCCCAGCCCCCCCAACAACGATGCCGTACCTGTCCTCTCCCATTGATGGCGCACGCCTCGTCTACAGCGACTATGGCCCCCCTCCTCCATCCGACAGCAGCTCCGCAAATGCCGAACTCAAGCCTTTCCAGCCTTCCAACACGCTCACCACCACCCCACTCCCCACTCTCGCCGAGTCATTTACCCTCGTCTTCCTCCACGGCTGGCCCATGTCCTCGCGCATGTTTACGCACCTGATGCTGCCCCTCTCGCAGAACCACGGCATCCGCTGTGTGGCGCCCGACCGCCGCGGTTTCGGGAAGTCGGAATGGGGTGGTATTTCTGGAGAGGACAAGGACACCAGGCAGGAAATGACGACAACGTACGATACTTTCGCTGCCGATACAAGGGCTGTACTTCAGCACGCGGGGATCGACGGGAACTGGGCGTTCGCGGCTGCGAGTATGGGGTGTGGTGAGGCGTTGCTGGCGTGTGAGGGTTTGGAGGAAGGGTTGAAGGAACGGGTGAGTTGCGCTTTGATTCTTTGTTACCTTCTGCTTGCTCTGCTTTCCCCTTACCTCTTCTGCCTGAAAGATCCGCGATATGACATTTCACCTGCTGACATGATCAATTGCAGTTCAAGGGCTTCATCTGGATGGGTCCGAGTCTGCCCTTTCCGTTGCAGTGCGAGAGCAACCCCACAGCGCCGCCTCGGGAGCTGTGGGACACGATCCTGCAGGGCCTGCGAGACGATCGCGTGGGGTTTGTGCGCGAGGCGATCCATGGCGTGTTTGGGACAAGGGCAGATATGGGGCTGGGTATTGTGAGTCGGCTGCCCCCCGTTTCCTATCTTTCCTGCTGTCTTGGCTGCAGACGTGGAAGGTGGAAGATGGTCGTGCATTGTTGACTAACGATGGTGGGTCGATAGGAACTGCCGGCCACCAAGCCAGAGTACTTTGAGGATATTGTCAAGCAGGCAGACGCATTAGCGGTGGAGAGATGCACAATGATCATCACCGGGAGAGATCTCAGCGAGGAATTAAAGAAGGTTGATCGGAGGGTCTTGGTGCTGCATGGAGACGGCGATCAGGGTGAGCTATAGACTGCTCCTCAACTTTGCAATACTCGAGCAAATAAGGCTGACCAGAGTTTTCAGGTATGCCGGCTTCGGCGAGCGCTCACTTGATCGAGAAACTCGTCCCGGTGGATCTGTGTGAGGTGAAGATCTACGAAAAGGCAGCTCATGGCTTGTATTTGACCCACGCTGGACAAGTGATGGAGGACATTTTGCGCTTTGTCTCGACCGCGAGTCCATCTTAGTCTCGGGACGGACGATGACACGCATGTCGGAACATGTCGTGTTGCCGTTGGCGTGAGGCTTGGTAATTGCTAAGGGATATACGAATACGGCCACATCATGCTGCCGCCTGAAGATCTTGGAAGTCTAGCCTTCATTTGGCTAACACAGAGCGGCATCCCTCGTATATCTCGGCGGGGTTGGAAAAGCGGCAACAGCATAACGTTATCGTCAACATCTGATGTTAACGGACTGTTGGCTTCGATCAAACAGTATATAGGTCGTTCGCGGGCGTGCTGTTGGCGAGATCCACTATGTCTTTCAACTGGTCTGGGTTCGCTTACCCAAGTTCTTCAGCTGAGATCTTGGCCTTCTGATCTCAATTAAGACTCGTGTCTGTGATGACCCAGGTGAAGAGAAAAGCGGCAGATCTCGCCGTGCCTTCCAAAGGGGAGGATCCAGAAGAGCGGAAGCGGGTCTTGAACGTTCTCGCCCAAAGAAGGTACAGACAGCGACGCAAGGAGCATGTGAAAAAGCTCGAGGCTGCCGCAAAATCACCACAGCCTCAGACGACGGCCACATCACCGTCGTCACCAGAGGCAGCTCGGAATGAAGTAGCGTCAGGTGGCGAGAACGGGGCGACAGGCAGCAAAGAAGAATCACAGCCAATTGATGCCTCAGCATTTGAGAAGCTGGACAGAGCCTACCCGCCCGCCGTCTTCGAGCAGGCGGTGGCTACATCAGTTGCAGGTGCGCTCGACGACCCTTTCGCCTACGACTTGTCCTACACAGTCTTCCCCGAAGACTTGCAGCTCTCAACCCAGAGTGATCCATGGCGGCTACCATCATTGCCCGGATCGCCAAGTTGCCTCTCATCAACACACGCCTCATCTCTAACATCCTTCTCCTCCCCAGTTACCGATTCCACCAAGTCTCCCACTTACGACTTCCCGGATGAAGCCCACCTTGAAGTCCTCGAGCTTGCCCTGCTTCGCGGCGCCACCGCCATCGCTTCCCGCCTCGGTATACGCGAGCTGATCTGGCAACTCGATGCGCTCTCTCCATTCAGCGACCCACTGAACAGCTTCGCCGACTACTCTCACCTCCCACCGAACCTGCAGCCAACAGCCCTACAACGAACGCAGCAACACTCGCCCATCATCGACCTCCTCCCCTGGCCGACCGTGCGCGACAAGCTAATTCATGTCCTGTCCGCCCCAGTAGATCTCCGACCCGCTATCGCCGCCACGCCAACGGCGCTTGTCGACTTTGTCTACGACTTAGAAGACAGTGCCGAGGGCGCACGTATCTGGGGAGACGATCCGTACAGCGACCGGAACTGGGAGGTGGGTGAGAAGGTATTTCAAGGCTGGTGGTGGGCATTTGACACCGAGGTCGTGAAACGCTCGAATGAGATGCGGTCGCGTAGGGGGGCGCGGTTGCTCGGACAGGAGCGTGGGGCGGTTCTGGGCGAGGTTACGTGAAGACATTCACTCGACAGGAATTTGCACGAAGGAATTTGAATTTGCTCACTCGTCCACACAAGACGCGGCTGGGCCAGAGCTCCGCCACACTCCATCCCCAATCAGACGACTTCACCGGTTTCGATTACATTGGCTTCAATACCCACAGTCGACTTTACATATACTCCCGAAGCCGTTCCCCTGCGCACGGCTCTCTCACAGATTCTCCGGCGGCTGCGTCACCCTCGTCAGCTGATCGCCATTCAGCGTCTTCAACACCTTCCCCAGCCCTTCATGGCTATAGTCCTTGGCATTCCACATGTCTTTGTGGTAGCGCACACGCCCCTCTTCATCTATCGTTAGCGTTATCAGGCTGTCGACGGCTTTGGGCGTGTGCAGCAGCTTCGGCGTGTATTCGTGTCGCATCTTAAAGATGATTTCCGTGGGCGTGGCGGAAACGACTTCCGTGGCGAGGGTTCGGAGGCTGCTGAAGACCTGAAATAGAGAATCTTGCTATTAGAAGGACCGCAAGATGGGAACGGCGGGGCCACGGAGCTATGACTTGAGCCAGGGACGATGCTCGAGTGCCAGGACCTCATTCGACAGCGAACTGGCACTGCTGGGATGAGACGTACCTTGGGAAGACCGTACCATTGTCCAGCGATCTTGTACCGCGTATCACAGTACGAATAGGGGTCGTCGTAGATGGCTTTCGCGGCGTACACTGGAGGGAATCAGCTGGGAAAGGGGCCGGATATGGCAAGTGAGATGCGCTGGAGTACCTTGCATGTCCTCCTCGCTGGCGCTGCCACCGTAGAGGTTCAGAATGTGCTGCACGATGGCTTGATGCTCCTGAGACAACGGTATCGACTTCTCTGGATGTGGTTCGTAGTCGACATCTTTGCTGACGCCTTCTGGAAGGTCGCCCACATGGCCGGTCAAAACCTTGGCGTCGGGTTTGAGCTCAAAATTGCGGTGGAGGGATTCGGTTGTTTCTGCCATGACGATAGTTCTATATTAGTGGTATAGGAATGGAGGCTGTTTGATCGGGTATCGAGGTTCATGATGGGAAACCGTACATTTTAATGGGGCCATGCTTGTGTATAGTATGACATCACTATTATGTATACGAAGACGAGTAATAGTCCGCGTCATGTCCTGTCTACGAGCAGCACCTTGGGAAAAGCTCACCGAATGGCCCAGTATTATTGTACCAGGCACAAGGATTCGTTTCTATGCTCAAAGTAGCTTTGACCGCAACAGGCGCAGTCGAAGGATGTACGGCATTGTACGTGGCCACACATAATGGGTTTGTGAAAAGAGGTGTGCTGATATTGGATAGCACCGGTTCAAGGTTTCAGGGATGTGGGCACGCAACGAAGGCGAGAATTCTGTGCGTACTTTCTCGTTGTGTGAGAAGAAAGTCTTGATAGTGGACAACGGATAGGGACAGTTTCAGGTGCGCAGACAAAACTTCAGAGGGTAGATCAGTCCATTTGTTGGCCTTTGATGATATCAAGTCTTCGTCAGAACCATGACAATTAGAGAAGTGGCTCGTCTGCTCGTTCATGCGTAACATATTCCATTAGATTAGTGACACTGGCGAGGTCCTACTAGGAATCCGGCGTTTGGTCACAGACAATGCACTGATACCGGCATACAGAGCTCCATACGCCACGAGCTTGCGGAATTTGAGCCCTAGGTCGTGGCAATATCCTGCATTGATAGTTACCAGTGGCAATGACTCCTGAGTCACACAAACTCGTCCTTTGCATAGGCCCAGCGTATAAAGACCGCATTTTACTAAGTCTCTTGAGTTTGAACGTGCTCAGGAAGAGATGCGAAGCAAAGGAGAAGATTTATGTATTGTTGCACAGAGGATGAACGTAATACGAGATTCAGATGTTGATATCATGGAGATCTATTCTCGTAGCTACTCTTAGACTTACCTGTTCTGCGCAAGGTACAGCAGCAGTGTTGTTGAGACCTGTGCTTTTTGGCTTATAGCCTGGACAAGTGCAACTTACTTCTTTGGACCCTTCGGACCTTTAGTGCCTGGCACATGTAAGGTTCCTGAGCCGTAAGACGTGCCTCCGGTCTTGACGCCAGCGCCATTGATGACAGGCATGGTGGTGTTTGAAATTGTTCGATTGGATGTGAAAAGTTGGTTTCGTACGAGTCGTGCGTTCTGTTATTCAACAAGTGCTGATTGTGGAGAAAACATCAAGACCAGGAAAACGCAACGATATTTATGCTCACTAGTGTGCCTGGAACGCTGAGTGCTGGCACAAAGAAGAGACAAGGCTATTCTTGGAAGCACAAAGTAGCAGTAACAGAGTTTCAAGCATTTTGTGACAGCAAAGAGCCATTGTCCATCGGTAACTTGCTGAAGCCTTTGGGTTCTGCAGGCTACAGAAAGCAATTTTAGCGTTTCCTCCAGAACTTCAACTTGCTGCTACCACTGCCGTTGTCATGCTTTTCTTTGCCTTTTGATCTCCTCGATTGCCTCTGATCAAACGCGCTCGAGGCTTCCGGCTCAGAGACCAATGACTGCGAGGCTTCTTTGGCCGCAGTGCTGAGACTCTCGGGATTCGTGGACACGTCCGTAACGGACGGTGATTGTACTATAGATACAGGCCGCTTGCTGCACGATGGCTGTCCAGAGTCGCTCTCGGAGCCGGAACTCTGCGATCCACCGTGTAGTCTTTCACTTCGCCTTGATTTTCCCGCAGGAGGCACCCAAAACAAGTCTCTCAGTTCACTCATGCGGCGGCTGACATTCGCCTGCTGGTCGCTTGAAAGTCTTCGGAAGCGTCTTTCGGTGCGAGATTCTTTTCGGATTTGGGCCACATCACTGGAACGGGAGCCGGTGAGGGACTCTGTGCCAGCTTGCGTATCGGCAAGAGTCTCAGTGCCTGTTTGAGAGTCGGTTGCCGTGAGGTCGCTCTGCTCCATTGATAGCAACGAGCTCGGGTCTGTTGGACGAGGGGGACGAGGAGGTCGCGAAGGAACGTCGATGGGTGGAAGTGAGTCTGTCCACCATTCCTCATCATCGAGCTCTTGTATGAGATCCCGTAGAGGATTTGAGGAGCGAGGTAGAGATTGAGGTCCGCCGCTGGTGCTGTCTGACATCTCGCTTTCACTATCTGGCCCTGACTGCTGTGGTCGAGCGCGACGGCGTTTTGGCCTTGGTGGGCGCTCCACGCGGGATGAGCTCTGGGTCTCTGTCTCATCACCCGATTGCTCGAAGTCGCTGATCCTTCCCTCGGACTTGAGACGTGCTGTCGGGTCTATGGTATGGATCCCCCTATTCAATCCCAATGTCCTCATATTTTCGACACAACGCCGGCAATACATATCCAGACCGCGGCGCCTTACAGTCCTTTCCACTTCGAATCCATGCTCGCAGTCTTTGACATACTCTTTTGTAAACCTTTTCCCATCGGGAGGTAGACCACATGCCTTGTACCTTTCGACTTCTTGGACTGACTCGTATCTATGACATCTGTCACATTGAAGGATTTCTTGGACAACAATTGTGTAGCACATGGCGTCGGCCGGCGATGTCGACTTGACCTAACTCGTCTCTCGGAGTACTGGCTCAGGCGATGATTTTCCTACGTGAAAATTTCTCTTAAGTACTTCGTCGAGGGGTCAACAAACAGTTGTGGTTGCACAGCATGACTGCTACGACCACCGTTTTGACCATATTACTGATGATGTAGAATGGTACTGTAGTAACTTTCGTCTGTAATCTGCGTCGTTTGTTTACTGATTCTTTGGATTTACTGCCATCACTGGGCGGAACACCGATGTTTGTAGCATGTCATTGGAAGATTAGTGAATCACCTTCAGATTCCCCTTTGGTATTACCGTTTTTATGATCCTTGACATATGTTGTGTGATTATGAGTTTGGTGTGTTGCGTACCCATATGATAGTCTCTACAGGGTTGTTTGCTCACACGTTGCTACATGAGTGTAGATAAAAGGACCAAAGTTTCGCTGTACGGTAGTTCGAACTGGCAACAAGAACCTCATACGAATGACAAGTCAAAACACCTGCAGCCAATTGCTCCAAATCCTTTTGGGAGAGATAAAATCCAGCATTAACGAGATGTGCCAATGTTGGAGACAAGAAAATCGCTATATCGGTAGGTGCGGACATCAACTCCAGCCGTTCTGGAGACCGGTCTATCGGTGTTTTATAAGAGTCGATAATGGACGCTTCGTCCTGGACGAGAGAAGACAACCGATCTTGGGACCACCGGAGCTCGAGCGACGCAACTGCGAGTATCGTCACGACTACTTCCATAACTTGATTCCTTCGGAAGGTGAAGAGATGTTTCGAGCCGATTGCGACGAATGCAAAGCAGCTGCCGGGTATCAAAAACATGATTCTGATACCCCATCCGTGTCTTCGTCAGAAGCTGAAGACGAGGAAGCTGATGACGATACGTACCTGGACCTTGGTCAACGGCTCGAAAGACGCAGCGCGACTGAGCGCAGTCCGCCATCTGAGGTCTTGAGACAGGAGTCTGCTGGCTACTACCGTCGTATGGACTCGCGGCGCAATGAATATCTCGCGATGCGGTTTGAAAACCTGCCCCAAGAAGTCAAAGATCGGTTTGAGGCCGAGCTTGATCCAGACCACGTTACTGACTTCAGCCACCCTGAGAATTACCTTTCCAGAACAGGTGCACCGGTCGTGGAGGGGATCCGTCGGGAACAACTTCGTCTTCGTCAGTTAGCCCGATCTCCAAGCATGGAAGGCGACAACGATCCAGTATCAGACTCTGATAGTCACAGTGGTTCCATTAGTCGAGCGAGACGTTCTCCGCGGATCGATGCATGGAGTGACCTCAGCTTGGAGAACGTCCCACAGCAACAGAGGTCATCATTACTGCCTTCGGAGGCTGAATCTGATTCTGGAGTACCGCATGAATTCTACACTGAATATTTCACTCCTGGCATGTCTGATACACACAGGTGGTGCCAGGGTCCCAGGGGTGATATGTCAGAGGGAGAACAGGAATGAGCACGAGAGAGTCTTCCGCGATAGAATGGGCTGGAGTTTTGGCTGCTGGACCGTCATATATTTCACGTGCTAAGCCGTCGACGTGGTAGCGTGCGAAAGGTCTTATTTGTGAACAGAGCTCCAGCTTTCCACGGTGCCCGGCGACGTGGACACTTTCAAAGCCCATAGTGCGAATTCATCAACATCCTTGATCGTTGCTTGAGCCATGATGTCTCCACCGTTGGCATCATTGTAGAAGAGCGGGTCTTTGTCCTGCTGCGCCTCCACCCAGGCGAAGCACGTCTCGGCGGCCCAAAGACCCGTCCTTGCCGTGAACATTATATGTCCCGGGCAGTAAGCAGACCCTCCTTTGAGAATGTAGTACGTGCATTGAACGACGCTGCTCACTACCCATGTACGGCGGCACGACTCTGCCAAGATCCAGGCTTGCCAGGCGGCGAAGTCGCCCAGATTCCGATTCCGATTGATAGACTGGATGAATTGGCTGCTTCGTAGGGCACATGTGAGCATAGCTTCATTCCAGTTCTTGAGCGTCGGCGCTTGTTCCTCCGCCAGTGCTCTCTGCCTGATATCGCCGTCAAAGAGGCGGATTGTTTGGTATACGAGCATTGCCTGCACCCGTGCTAGATGTAGAACAAGCACACAAGATGGCGATAAAGACTCGACATCTTCGATGGCCATGTCGTCCAAGAGGCGCCCAACAAAGTCTTCTATGATTTGCAGAGCAATACCCTTAGTATCTTTGGTGCTGGCATAGTAGGTTGCGCACGCTGTATAGGCGTCCTGGAGGCACTGTGGCATCTGGTCCCGATATGTCTGGGAGTGTATGAAAGGCGTGCGCCCCACGAGCACCCAGACTTTCAGCCATTCCTGCACCTCAAGTATGGCTGTTCCAAGAGTAGAGGCATTTACTTGCTCAAGGCTAGTCCGGTATGGATGATAGACCTGCCATGAATCCGGCGCGACCAACGTCTGATCGAGGTTGTTGAGGCGTTCTTCCTTCGCAGCAGGAGCGGTAGCGGCGACATTGAGGCTGTGAGGAGATCTGTCTGGCGCAGTTGGCTCACGGTGTTGCTCAGGATGGCACGCCCTCGGCGCTACTGGCGAGATTATAGTGCATTGTAGATCGGTCAAAGGTCCACTGGACTCGTCGGGATTTGACTCCGTTGTTTGAGGTCGTCGTGAGAATTCATGACGCGGGCTAGGTTTATGTAATCTTGTTGAAGGATAATGGCAATCGAGGGACCTCGCCAAGCATCGCCCACACTGCCAATGGAGTCTCCATCAGTATCGCAGGAGACACGAGAGGGTCACTACCTCAGCAGCGAGAACTGTCGCTCATCGAAAACCAAAGTAGGCCCAAATGTAATTTGGCGGAGTCGGAACACTTACGGTAGGGTATTGCAAATCACACCTTCGCTTCCCTTTTATGCAAGGAGCACAAGCCTTCTGCCTGGTTGCCGCTCGCTGCGGGGACAGCATACTCGAGGTGTGTGCGGCAAAAGCTGGTCCAACAAAGTTGGGAAGCAAATCTTAGCTTCACTAAACGGGTGGCCGGCAAGGAGCATAGATCACAGAGTCAAGTAAGCAAACCTGCGGACTTTGGAAAACGTCCCGCGGAGTTTCCAGTGGAGTCAAATTAGCAGCTCGTCGCTGCTCGTCCGACGGCGGCGGACCAGGTCAACTGAGCAATTCCGGCCAATTGCCTTGCTGCTTTTGAAAGATGCCTAGTATAGAAGTCCGAGTATGGTGTATCCACCCGAACTCATTGCTGTATGTCAGTCGATCCAGACGACACTAACCATGGAGAAGAATTGCGCTGGTTACTTGAGTGGGCGTCTGGCAGTGTTCGCGCTTTTGGTATACCGGTTGGTGGTCAAGCAATTGACCTGAGACCATCGTTTAATGTTAGGGCGGCGAGATCGTAAGTCCGCTTTGTTGGATAATAAATCCGCAATGTGGTTATGGGGGATACGTTTAGTGTTAGGCTATGCAGAGAGGGTTGTCGTGAGCGCGAGTAAGTCGACGCGAAATAGCCTGTCGTAAGGGGCCCCTTCTTCTTGATGGGTTCCGTCTTGCTTCACGTATACATAAAGAGCAGGACCCAGGTGTGTTCTCCGTTCAGTATTAGAACTTGCAAACTAACACGGTCAGACAAAGATTGCTTGACACGAGTTGCACTATGTCGTTCATCAAGATCAAACACAAGAGACCATACCCTGCCATCCTTCCCTCGAGGCCAGAACTGTCTCAAGAAGGACAGACCATCCTCATCACTGGTGGTGGGGCTGGCATAGGCTATGCGATCTCCAAAGCGTTCGCCCAAGCCGGAGCGGCTAAGATAGTTATCGTTGGTCGCCGCTTGGACGTGTTAAAACATGCTACTGTCAAGATAAAGCAAGAAGTCCCTGAATTCACTGGTCGCCTCTCGGCACTCAAGTGTGATGTGTCCGACCTGAAGAGCACGGAGGAATTGTGGAACGTACTGCATGCCGAGAACATCATCATCGACGTACTTGTTCTGAATGCGGCGGTCATCCAAACCACTGGTCCTCTTATCGGCACAGACCTGCAGCAGATCTGGGACGAGTTCAATGCCAATGTACGTGGCACCATCGACTTTGCCCAGAGGTTCTTCAAGCAAAGTGAGGTGAATCCGAACGGACACAGGAAGGTATGTGCTGCTGTATTGAATTTCTGATCTTCAGTTTGTTGATTCAGTGACAGGCATTGATCAACATTTCTTCTTTCTCGGCATACGATTTCGAAGTCCCAGGTTTCAAGCCGAACTATAACCTGACCAAGAATGCCAGCACACTGGCTATCCAACAGATTGCGAGAGATGTGCCAGTCCAAAAGGCTCAGATCATCAGCTTTCACCCAGGAGCCATCCATACCGACGCCGCACGTGCGGCTGGGTACACTGGAGATTCTTTGCCATGGGATGACGGTAAGTTTTCTGCGCCTTTACCGACAGGGTTCAGTGCACAGCTAACTCTGTGAAGAAGATCTTCCTGGAGCATTTGCTGTCTGGTGTACGTCTAGTGAAGCTCAGTTCTTGCACGGGCGTTTCGTTTGGTCCTGTTGGGATGTTGAAGAGATGATTCGAGGCGAGGTTGGTGTGAAGGTGGCACAAGACCAGTACTTCCTCCAGATTGGTGTGAATGGGTTGGAGGGTACGCAGCCTCAGTCAAAGGCTATCAAGACGTGATTCGCACGCTCTGTTGGTAAAGGAATTTGGCATTGCCTAGACCTTTTCGTACCGTTTGTACGTAGGCTCCCACATTTGAGCTTTAACCCACTGTTCGAGCTCTTCATCGCTCTCTGGAATATGACTGGTCCTCGCCAGACCTTCATCTTGAGCAGCTCTAATGACAGCCATTGCTATCTTGACACTGACCGGTCTTGCTTGGTCGACATCAGGAACCAATCCTTTATTGGCATCTTTGAGCGCTGGACTCGCGTCTGCCAGTGCTCTCACGCCCTCAGCCAGCATCTTATCGGTAAGAAGCTTGGCCCTGGACAGAACAGCGCCGAGTCCAATACCTGGGAAGCAGACGCTGTTGTTACACTCAGCGACTTCATACTTATTGCCTTCAAACTCGACCGGTGGGAAGGGAGATCCAGTAGCAATGAGGGCTTTTCCTTTAGTCCACTTGTTAATGTCGCTAGGCTGAGCTTCGTGCAATCGAGTCGGGTTCGATAGAGGGAAGATGACAGGTCGCTCAACATGTCTTGCCATTTCTTCGACCACTTCTTGAGTGAACGCTCCAGGCTTTGTCGAGGTGCCAATGAGTACATGCGGCTTTACTTCTGCAATAATGGCTTGCAGAGACTTAGTATCTTTACCGCTCCATTCAGAGGCTGCCCTAGCGAACGGCTTTTGAGCGATTGAGAGATCCATCTGGTCCAGTATAAGCCCATCCCGATCCACACACCAGATATTCCGCTTGACCTCGTCCTTTGACTTATTCGCCTCTGCTGCAATGGCAGATTGGACTTGTTCAGCAATTCCACAGCCAGCACTGCCTGATCCAAACACAACCATACGCATGTCGGTCAGTTTGAGCTTGCTGATCTTTAACGCCGCCATTATGGCCGCCAGAGTGACACAGCCCGTGCCTTGAATATCGTCATTAAAGCAAGCAGTCCGCTTACGGTATCTATCCAGCAATCGACGTGCATTCGTGACGCCAAAGTCCTCGAAATGAATGTACGCGTTTGGGAAGAGCTTGTTCGCCGTGTTGATGAAGTTCTCGACCAACTCATCGTACTTCTCGCCCCGGACTCGTGGGTGTTTGATGCCTAGATATAGATCATCTTCGAGGAGCTCCTCATTATTAGTTCCCGTGTCGAGAACAACGGGGAGCGTGCGGTTGGGGTGGATGCCGGCACAAGCGGTAGTGAGGGCCAGCTTGGCCGTCGAGATAAGAATTCCGCCAATGCCCTGATCGCCGATCCCCAAAATTTCCTCGCCATCAGAAACAACGATGTAGTCGACTCCGTTGCCGTCTTGGTCAGGTACGACGAACTTCGACATGCGTTCTTCGACTTCATCAACATGGCCGATGGGAAGGAAACAACCTTCAGGCCGACGAAAAATACGAGAGTAATTCTCAATGGCGTCACCTTCGGTGGGTGTATAGATGATTGAGAACATCTCTGTGATGTGATCCAGAATGAGACGGTAGTAGAGAACAGAGTTCTGCCCAGCCATTGAGGTCATGAAGTTGTTCTTGGCAAGATCGTCGGGCAGAGACGAGTACTGTTGGTAGGCCCGAGCAACCTGCTGATCGATATTCTGCACATTGGTCGGCAGGAGGCCATGAAGACCGAACTCATGGCGTTCTTCGTGGGTGAAACAAGTGCCTTTGTTCAAGAACGGGGTATCCAGTAGGAGACGGCCAGACAACTTCGTCTTCACTGGCTTGTCTTTCCAGAGTGGGAGACCATTGAACTTGGAGTCTGAAGTCATTGTAGAGGATAGCCTTGGACTGGCGCCGATGCGGTTCAGCAACTGGGTCGATCGGATGCGGTGCGCCAGTGGCAACATCGACTGCGTTGACCACGACAGAACTGCGATACTAAAATGCAACTTGTAGAGATATGTGTGGTGCGCTGAAGCTGGAACTCTGTCTTTGACAGCTAATACGTCATGGCCAGTAGGACCTCGTGGGAAGGAGCGTGCGTCGCTGCCCCGCACAAACCTCAGTCAAACAGGTCCATGATTGAGTCAAAAGACATTTTGCACCTGGTCCATTGGTATAAACGCCATGATCGAAGGTTCACAGGCAAGATTGAATGGCGTAGATATTTTTACAGCCTCACCAACGTACGAATGGCGGGGCAACGATCGTTCTACTTCTGCCCAGTACCCCACTGCCATCCACTGCCAAGAAAAGCGCGCGCCTTACCAGGCAACCCCTCGAACGCTGTTAGTCCTCGTCAATGTGTCCAACGCAATAAAGCTGAATCCTATACAAACCTTCAGGTTCAAATTCCTCTCCTGAACTACTGTGTGTTTCGGCTCTGTTCTTGTTAAGCCTATATCCCTCTCGTGTCTTGGAAAAGGGGCCCCTCTCTTGGCATCTGTGAGACAACGCATGCCGTTGAGCTCCTTATCTCATGCCTTCCAATATCTTGTGCATAGGTTCAAAATGGTCTGCTAGAATGACAAAGCGATGCACCCGGACATGAATACGTTCGCCATGGACAGACCCATCGCGGTGCAAGAGCGGGCGCTGACGTCAAGGCTTCGCTGGCGAGCCAAAACATTCTTTTCCGGCAAGCGAAACCACGTCTTCTTAATCGTATCCACGTCTCTGTTGATCTTAAACATCCTTATCCTGGGGTTCTTAGTCATTGTCGGTTTCAGAAATGAAGACAGGCTCGAACCTGTCCGGCCCGAGGGCCTCTCGGCGCCGGAGCTCAGCAGACTTGCAGCTGAGTACGTCCTGATCAACGAGAACTTCCCAGATCCGTGCTTCATCGAGTCCGATGATACATTCTACGCTTATGCAACCCGCAATGGCTCTACCGCCAACATCCAGGTTGCCACCGCTCCAACCAGCAACATCAGCAGCTGGACTTTCTTTCCTGGACAAGACGCCTTACCAGATCCTGGGCCCTGGACCGCCAAACAGCTCCATGACATAGCCGTCTGGGCGCCGAGCGTGGTGGAAGTTGTCAGTCATGAGCCATAGCCTTGCAGGCGCTGCTAACAACCCCCAGAGCCCGACGTCCTTTATCCTCTACTACTCAGCCCTCGCAGCGTCCCACCCTCGTCGACACTGCATTGGGGCTGCCACTTCCACCAGCGCCCTCGGCCCCTACACTCCACTCTCCCACCCACTAGTCTGTAACTTCACCGCTGGCGGCGCCATCGACCCGCAATTCTTCCACGACCCCCTAACACACAAATCCTACCTCCTCTACAAAGTCGACGGTAACGCTGTCGGCAGCGGCGGCGCCTGCGGCAACTCCAACCTCCCCAACACGCCCACGCCCATCATGGCGGCGCCACTCGACCCTAACAATCTCACCTCCTTACTAAACACTAGTGCCCCCTTCGAAGTCGTCACAAACCAGCACTTCGACGGCGCCTACCTCGAGAACCCCATGCTATGGTACCACCCTTTCGCATCACGCCACATCGACGGCTACGAGGGCGCCTACCACCTCATCTTCAACGCAGGCTGCTTCACCGACGCATCGTACCGCGTTGAGCACGTCGTTTGCCTCGCTGATCCGCGCTACGGCGTTGAAGAGTGTAGGTGGCACAACATCCGGTCCGGGAAGGATCGGGTCAGGCGGCCGTATGCGGGCACGTTGTTGCGGACTGGAGACACGCCCGCCAAGGTGGTTGCGCCGGGTGGGCCGAATGTCGCTTTGCGTGGCTGCAAGGGAGAGGTGAATCAGCGGTGGCTGGCTTTCCACGCTGATGTGCATGTGGAGTGGTTTGGAAGCGGGGAGCCGATGGTCGGGGCAAGTAGAAGGAGAGGGTTCTTTATTGCGGAGCTGGAGTATCCGGATACCACCGAGGGGCTGGAGCTGGGGAAATTGCTCAAGCCTCTTGTATGAATCAACTACCTGAACATGATCAACTACCACGCTGTCACAGCAGCTCATGAGATGGTTCTCACAAGAGGCGGCTTTGAGGTCTATCAGTGCTCTCATGCTTGACTTGCCCGACTGACCAACCTGACCACCATAGATAGCTGTGACCCTTTCCAGCTGTGCGAGCACAAGTTCGCTAAGTTATGCTGCTAGTGCGAATTACCTAGCGGAAAGGCAGCGTATGGGTCTAGCCACGAGGCTTCAATCTGAAGCTGCATGGCGCGTCTTAGGCTTAAGCACCTTTGAATACGCGATCAGCTGGACCAGGGCCCTCAAGCACAGGCCCGAGCGCCGGGTAGGATCAATGGCAAGGGCGGACCAGATAAGAAGACTCCAACATGGAGGCGGCATGTAGAACGGTAGAGCGCAATCGATGTCAATCTCGTTGGGTATATCCCTGGTACAAAGTTGTCTCGGCTAAGTCTACCACGACTGGGGTATTACTTCTTGGCACAAATCCCCTCCTCTCCAATAATACTAATCCAAGCCCTAAGCTCTTCTTGCGTCTCTCTGCATTATGAACGAATGTTACCGGCTGGCTGCTCACACACTCACAACACCTTAGCTAATGCTCTCACCCAATTCCCCGTTCATACTTTAGACGGTTTTCACAACGTCCGTATGGCCACCATTATCGCTGCCGCTGCTGCCACCACCACCACCCGAGTGTCTAGCAGCATAACCGCCCGCCGGCACCACATTCCCAGCCTCGTCCTGGTCGAACTTGTACAGCGTCGGCGACGGCCTGCCCTTGCGCATAAAGACGTAGCGCTGGATCCACCAGGGGAGCACGGTGCCCCACTGGTACTTCATGTGGGTGCGCGTGGGGACGGCGAAGACGTAGTCGAGCTCTTCGAGAGAGCGCTGCTTCGTCTAGCGATCGGTTAGTATATGTACATCATCAAAAGGGGAATCATGTAGGTACGCACCTCTGGGAACCAGCTGAAGATCATGAGCAGCGCGAGGATATTCAGCCCGGCATAGAATCCAAAGGCGCCCTGCGGTGTGAAGCTGCGGAGCATGTACGGGAAGGTCAAGGACAGCACGGTGGCCCAGAAATTGTTGGTCGCGACCGCCCAGGACATGCCGATCTCGCGGTGCGAGAGCGGGAAGACTTCGGCCGAGTAGGTGAAGGGCACGGGACCCATGCCCGGTGAGTAAAAGGCATCGAAAATGTAGATGAAGAGTGCGATCAAGCCTAGGCGTGCATCGCTTCCAGTGGGGATGTAGAAGCACATGCCCGCCACGAGCAGGGGCCAGAACATGTCTGTTCGGCGATCAGTATGAGGTATTTTGAGCTGAGTCGGTACTTACTCGGGAAGGTGAAGAGCAGCAGGGCACGTCGGCCGAATGTATCGATCGTCCAGACGGCCGGCCACGCGAAGACGAAGTTGATCAGACCGAAGCCCCAGGATGCGAGCTACAACCGTCAGCAAGTGAACGAATGATGCGCTGAGGGATCAGACTTACCAAAGCAGTGGTGTACGAAGCGCCAGCCTGAACGAACACGGTCGAGGAATAGAACGCCTTGACACACAGAGTCAGCTGTCACCCGCGCCCAAGATCTTTAGCACTCACTATGATATTGATACCGCACATCTGTTGCCCGATCATGACGATACCACTAGCCTGAGTGGCACGTCTGATGCGCGGGATGGTGAACAGCTCGACGAAACGGGTGAACATGTTCCCCTTGGTCTTGATCGCGGCAGATTCCTCCAGGAGCATCTCCTCTTGCATCAACTGCGAGTGGATGTAATACAGGTCTCGCGCAGCTTGCAGTTCCGAGTTGCGCAGCCGCTTCAGAGACTTGTACGCCTGGGCGTGGCGGCCCTTCTTCATGAGCCAACGGGGAGACTGGCTGCAGTTAGCTTGAGCAGACCCGATCGCTCAAGACGGATACTCACCTCCGGACAGAAATAGATACCAAGGACGAGCGGGATAGCCGGGATGAAGGCCGACCCGAGCTGCAGACGCCACGCGATATCTGGCACATCCTTGACGGCCAAGTTGGCGCAGGTGCCCAGGAAGATGCCAAAGGCCGTCCAGACCTGTTGATCGCACCCAGTTAGTACTCTTCAACTCACTCCAGGGTGGAGAAATACTCCAATGGAGAGCATCTCTGGATTCAACTCACCTGCCACGACATGACCAAACCACCGCGCACATTAGTCGGCGCATTCTCCGCCGAGAACACCGGGACCGTCACCTCTTTCAAGCCCATGCCAATACCGAGCAGCATGCGGCACGCGACGAGCTGGCCCCACGTCTGCGTGACCGCCATGCCGAAGGGCGCAATCAGCGAGAAGATGGCGGCGATGAAGATGGTGTGGCGGCGGCCCAGGAGGTCGTTGAAGGGGTCGGAGATCCAGGCCGTACTGCAATCGAGTTTATCAGTATAAAGTGGTTGAGGGCCTTTTGTGATGAGGCGTCGTTGTTACTTACAACAGAGCGATGGCGATGTACGGCGCACTATTGACGAAACCGATGATCCACGTGTTGCGATCACAGTCGTCGGTACAGCCATTCTCCGGCGTGTCGGGGATGCCGAAGTCGATGGGGAAGCCCAGATTGGCGGCGTTGGAGCCGGTCTGGTCCCAGCCTTGGATGGCGGCGGCAATGGAATTCATGACAATGGTGATGTAGAGGATCTTGGGGTGCTTCCAGCGGCGGAGGACCTCGTTGCGGAGATGGGTGCGGTCCGTCTCGTCGAACTCGGGGATGCTCTCGAAGCCGGCGGGGTCTTGGGCCGCAATGGCGCCTTTGCGGAGGAGGGGCAGGATGTCTGAGAGTTGGTTCTTGGTGGCATAGTCCTCGACGTCGGACATGAGCTGGTCGCGTGGGATGCCAGTCAAGGGGTTGCGGATCCTAAGTCGAGTGTGAGCTGCCAGGGCTGACGATGATGGTAGCAGGGTCACTTACTCGCCAGTAACGTTCTCTGTCATGGCGGCGATGCTGGCCTTGCGCACATTCTCGTCTTTCCAGGCGGTGTCGCGAAGAGAGCCACGACGGGCGCCATCTTGCTGGACGTCAGCCTTTTCGGCGTGCACGTCGGGACCGGCGTCTTTGTCCGCCATGGTGACAGCAGGGTGACCGGAATGAGGTACAGGTGAGGTACAGGTGAGGTACAGGTGAGGTACAGGTGAGGTACGGGTCAAATACGAGGTGAGGAACGCGTGAAAGTGAAGGAGAGTGTAAGCAAAAGTCGCAAGCACAACTACAGCGCTTCCACGCCGAAGCAGATGTCACACGAGAAGCGAAACCAAGAAGTCGTACGACACGCGAGCGGGCTCAGCTGTCCTTATGAATGGGGCAGCAAGAATAGCTTCACGTCGAATGGCAGGCAACGGGGCTAGTTAGGGCCAAGCAGGACAGCAATGACAAGCCAGGCTGCCCTGAGTTCTGGGTCTGTGCGACGATTGAACGGGTTCGGAGAGATTGCATATGGCACAGGGCCGCACCACAGCAACTTGTCGAAGCTTTGACGGCCGAATAGGGCACCAAGGCGAAAGGCGCATCAACACTCCGTAATCAGGCTGGGGATTGAGTTTGAGAGAGTGACCCAGAAAGTCCGGGGTGTGAGAGGGGGGCACCGGGAAGGGAGCTGTTAGCCTGGAAGCGGCCTAGCTGTGCTGCAAGCCACACCAGCCAGCAGGGGGCATTGTTGATGAGCAGTCCTGTTGATATGCCCACGTCGCTAAACCATGTGCGATGCCTTTCTGCGCACCGTCGCTCCCTGTCCACCGTCAGAGGGATCGACGCGTCGCCGCAGTTCAAACGTTACCAGAAAAGCCAAATGCGACTCCTGTAGGGTTGTTAACAAATATACCCACTCTTCGAGTATTTTGAGGAGCTTTTTGCAGACAAGCACATTGAAGGCTACCCAAGATTCGTGACCAGTAAAGCTTGCCCCAGCGTCGTTTACTTGGTGGAGTGATCGTCCAGGCTTGGGGCCTGACGCCGCAAGTCTTGTCGTTTTCTCGGCGTGCAGAGTTGGTGGGCCTGACTTCTTGTCCACGACTCCAGACGGGTAGAGACCAGTCCTGCTTACTGCTCAAACGCCCTGGATCGGCAAGTTCACTCCGCTGATGCTGACTGCAAATTGAACTCATGCTACTCATAGCGCAAAGCGCATAATGCGGGGTCAGCTTGGCTACCTGACCTGAGGATGCCACCGAAGGTTCCCTCCCTCCCTGTCGGGGCACCTTTTGGGTCACTGGCCGCTCGAAGTTGAAGGAGGCGAGCATCTATCGCAGCCAACCGCATTTCATCGTGCGCAAGCCACCATCACGCGAATACCACCTCCACTCGGATCGACATGCTGGAAAGGCTCGTGGACACTTATGCGGGGGTGCGAGTACGTGCGAGTATGTGGTCAGCTGATGAGTGAAGACGCTCAACAGTGGCCTATCTCGCGACTTCCACAGCGATACGCCCTGTCGAGCTAGTGACCAGTCAGGCCCGGGGCCAGGGATTGCCTCCGGTGTCACACAGATTCATAACGAAGAGCGTAGATCTCTGAACCAGGCCAAATATGCCTTTTACACAAGTACTCTTAGTACAAAAATAATCCTTTCTTTATTGCTTGCTCAATGGCAAGGCTGACTGCTGGCGGACCCTGTACCCTGCCGCTAATTGTACAATCAAAGGTTTAAAAAGCCACCCGAAAAATGCAAATGCGACCCCCCCAACCCGCTTTGCAATGCTCCCAACCCTGGTGGCAGTAGTAGTACACAATATTTCCCGTACCTTATCGCCCTCGTCTGGCTCGAAGCTCGTCTCTTCGTGGATTCTTGCTCTTCTTTTTCGGCTTGGACGGCCCCAGAGGTACGTTCTTCAAGAGGAACCTCTGCAACTTAATCATGTAGTTGTCGATGTGATGTTGTTCGCCTGTCTCAGTTTCCTCGAGAGCCGCATTTGTAGCCCCGAACGGTCCAGGGGTCTGCGCCTTGCTGGACACCTCAGTTGGCACAACTTTGTCCTCAAAATCGCCATCATCCGCATGCTGCACCTCTCGAGCAGCTACCTTGGCCGCAGCAGTGTCCTCTTTCTCCTCGGCTTGTTCAAAAGCAGTGGCGTTCGCTCGCTCATTGCCAAGAACCCGATCCATGGCTGCTCCGGCCATGTCGTTGTCTGCTACGTCGTCGAGCATGTCACGATAGGTGGTTTTGTTGAGGTAGTCAGTCGTAAAGTCGCCCTCTTGGATTACCACATCATCCAGCAACTGCTTCTGGTTGGCTTTTCGCAAGATATTGGACTCGATGGTGTGCTCCGAAACAAAGCGGTAGATGTGCACATCTCGCGTCTGACCGATTCGGTGAGCTCTATCCGTGCACTGCTTATCCATGGCCGGGTTCCAGTCCAAGTCATAAAAAATGACTGTGTCAGCACCGGTCAAATTGATGCCCAAACCACCGGATCGAGAGGACAGTATGAAGGCTAAGATACGGTTGTCGTTATTGAATCGCTCCGTCAGAAGCTGGCGCTGTTCGATCTTCGTGGCTCCGTCCAGTCTCAGGTATCGGTGGCCATGAATATTGAGAAACTGTTCGAGAATGTCCAGCACCTTGGTCATTTGTGTGAAGATCAGTGCCCGATGTCCACCCGACTGCAGCCTACGCAGGAGCTTGTCCAGCCGCTGAAGCTTGCCGCAATCGTACTGTAAAAGTCTCTTGTCTGGGAAAGCGATGGAGAGCTTCATTTGCGCCTCGTGGAACGGATCCGGCAAAGTAGCCGGTTGTGATTCGCGAAGTGCAACCACTCCGGCATCTGTGATGGCCAAGCTGCTCATGTCGTTTGCAACTACCGCTGGCGTGATGCACGCGTACTTCTGCACTAATGACTCCATGTTCTGTGATCGACTCTGGATCGATTGAACGACGCCAAGAGACTCCACAGGATCTTCGCGGTCCCAGAATCGGGTCATGACTTTTTGACCAGACAGCTTTGCAAGTTTGTCGTACTTGGAATTAAGGACCAGCTTTTCGATCAGACCACGACCATAGACAGGATGCGCATGATGTCGGTATGCTTCTTGATACATCAACTGGTCGAGCTGCTTTAGACGTCGTTGTCGTCCGACGTTCTCCAACGAGACAAGGACATTCATACGGTCCACTCCATGCCAGTCTTTATCATCGTCCACACGACGCCACTGTTTGTCTCGGAGTGCTTTGATCTGGTGGAAAGCATGCCGAAGAGTAGTCTCGCGATAGTCGATATGAGAGATGTGTTCGTGACAGATGGGCACTAGCTGGAGAAAATCCAGGCTAACACGCTCAGAAAGCTCTTTTTGAGTACGTCTTCGCACAAGCAAGTCTTGAATCTCAAAGTCGGCCGCCACCGATTTTGGCATGGCAAAAGATGTGTTGATTGGCCGGGTCTCAAACAGATCAGGGTGATTGCAGACTTTGCGAAGCTGCATCAAGGCATTGATGATGGAAAGATAGTTGCCAGAAGCAAGGGTTTCCTTTGTTTGCGCTCTTGACATGAAGCCATCGTAAAGTTGGCGTTGACGTTTCGACAAACGACACATCTCGACATGCTCGTATTTCAGTGGCATCTGCTTCTCCACATCGGCCTTCAGTCGACGTAACAAGAAAGGCCGAATGACCTTGTGGAGCTTCGAAACTTGCTCTTTGTCTTCTTGATCCAGAACCTGCTTGTTTTGTTCGAGGATGGATTCCACCGGCCGCTTGAACCATTCCGACCACTCCTTCAGGCCAGCAAAGGCGTCGTCTTCTCCTTCCGTTTCCTGGCCGTAGTGCAGAAAGAAGAGGAGCGACCATAGCTCAGTCAAGTTATTCTGAAGAGGTGTGCCGGTCAATAGCAGTCGAGCTTGCGTGTTGAAAGTCATCATCGTCTGCCATCGTTCAGAGCGGAAGTTCTTGATGTTGTGAGCTTCGTCCAGGATCATGTAATGCCATCTCCTCCGCTTGAAGGACTGCTGATCTTGCAAGACCAGTTGGTAGGAGGTGATGCAAACATTGAAGCTGTCGTCTTGCAGCCAGCCTCGTCGTTTGGCTTTTCGTTCTTCGATGCTGCCGTAATATGTTAACACCTTAAAGCCGGGCAAGAATTTCTTGAACTCCATCTCCCAATTAAGCATCACACTGGTTGGCACAACAATCAAGTGCGGGCCCCACACTTCATGAACTTCAGCCAGATGAGCAAGGACGGCGATGCTCTGGATGGTCTTGCCAAGACCCATCTCGTCTGCCAGGATTCCACTGCGACCATTGGCGTACAAATTCGCCAACCAGTCAAGACCTTCATGTTGGTAAATCCGAAGAGTGCCGCGAAGAAGTTTGGGTACAGGCGTTTTGATGTCAGAAGCTTTTTCGTCCGAAATAGCCTCGGAAGCCGCTTCGGCGTGTGGTTCTATGGATGACACAGACTCTGGCGCTGAAGCTTTAGTGACTGTCGTGTGCGGTGAGCCGGCAGTGCTTGGGCTATCTCCAGTATTGTCCGCTGGTGTCAAAGGTAGAGTGTCAACAGCCGATTCGACTCGCGCCTCCTCAGTGGGCTCCACAACTGGCCGAGCTTCCACTGCTGCCTCGTCCACGTCCATTTGCTCGGAATTTAGCACCTCCTCGCCAGGAGCGTTGTCTGTCGGAATATGGTCCAGAGAAAGGATTTCCTCTATCAGCGGCGTTTTGGTCTTGGAAGCATCCGTAGTTTGATGGTCTTCTTCTTCTTCTTCTTCTTCTTCTTCTTCTTCTTCTTCTTCCTCTTCCTCTTGCGTCTCATCCACTGCTCGCGTTTCGGAATCATCCGGAGGGACCTCTTCAGCGGCCTGTTTGAGCTCTTTCTTAGAAAAGAACAAGCCAAGCAAGCCACCTCCGCCATCTTCTTCGTCCCCGGACTCTTCGGCGCTGCCCTCTTCATCGCTGGTCTCGGAATCGAACTCGCTGTCCATTTCGGTCTCCGGATCGGATTCGTCTTCATTATCTCCAGCAGTGCTCGCCGGTTGTGAGCTCATGGCTGTGTCTGGGTCTTTCTCGAGTTCCGGGATGTTTTCGTATTTGGCACGGAGTTGCTCCACCGTCAAATTGCCATCATCCTCTTCTTGTTCGGCGGCAATGCTAGAATCGGAATCCGAGTCAGATATGTCTTCGCTGTTCTCTGACTCTTCGTCACTATTCGCTGTATCGTCCTCGTCGGTGACATCTGCACTGTCCATCATTGGATCCTCCAAATCGCGGTTCAGCATCTGAGTGGTTCGATCCAGGACTCGCTCCAAGTGACGTTTATTTTCTGCTTGTTGCTCCTCCTCGTATTGCTTCGCTCGCATTGCCTCAACCTCAGCAAGGACCGCCTGCCATAACTTGTCCACATCCTTGACGACTGACTTGTAGGTGGTGCGCACTCGCAGCATGTCCTCGAACTCGATTTCTTCCTTGGTTTTGACCTTATTCTTCCGAGCTTTAGCCTCGACATATCGCTTGGCTTCATGTGCGAGAACCTCAGCTCGCTTGCGGTGGGCTTTATTCTCCTCGACAAGCAATTTTCGAAAGTAAAGGGCATGCGCAATAAGGTGGTCATTGTGAGTGAAGTGCTTGTCAAAGTCATCTCGTTTCGCCACTGACTTATCGATTCCGCCTTTGTGCAGCAATCCGCCAGGCTTTTGAGCCTGTCGGACTCGACGGCGTATGAGAGCTTCTCTGTGGATCTGCTCCGGGGTCATGGTATCGTCACCCATCATGTACTCTGTGTCATCTTTCTCTAGGAACTCCTCGAACGTCTCAAACTTTCTCGGTCGAGGTTTGTGAGCGGGTGTAGTGACGGTTGCGCCAGGAAGTTGGACACGGAAATTGACTTTGCGCAGTATTAATTCTGGCGTAGGAGCTCTCCCAGAGGATGAAGATTGCTCCAACTCATCGGCGCTTTGGTCACTCTCATGCTTGATGAAGCCGTTTGTTTGACTGCTAGATCGGCGCGCCCGCTTCTGTTGCAAGGACGCCAGTTGCGCTTCCAGTTCAGCGATGCGGGAAGAAGTGGGTGACATCTTTGCTTTCGTTTTTGACAGGGCCGGCTTTTTCGAAAGTGAAGGACTGGCATGTTCCGTCTTCTTTAAGCCAAGTGAGGGCGCGCGCTTTACCTTGGGTGATTCTGTCCTCTTCTGCGGCACGTTAGCGGGCTGATTCTTCCGAGCCACGTTATAGCGCGGCTTGTTCTGCATTTGGTCTCCCACGACTCTATCGAAGGCAGCGCGAGTCTGTCTCTTGCCAGTATGCGGTTGCAGTTCGAGCGGGATGACATTTGTTCTTCCGGATTTCCGGCGACCATTTTCCAGGAAGGACGTTGGGCCTGCCGCAGTTGACCGTTTCCAGGGAGGTGAGATGGGTCTCGGAGAAAACTTGTGCGTGCCATTTGTATCTGCAAGCTTCCGCTTCTTCGCCGGTGGGCCACCTGTGCTATTGTCCTGGGCCGGGGAGCCATTGGGCGCGTTATCGTCATGGCTGGATAGTGGAGGGGTATTCGCTCTCGATTCACCGTTTGCTGCCGTGATATTAGCCTATGTAAATGAAAATGGCAATGTATGATGGACATACCTTGTGGTTGATGGTCGTGGTGTTCCGGGCTGCCGTTCAATGCGGCGTCCTGCATTGGAAAGATTGACCGAACCGTCGTCGGTCATCGCAAAACAATTGATCCGGCGCCCTCTCTCAGAACATTTGCACGAGATTCCTCCGCGACCAGGCCTTCAAAACCGCTGGTTGAAAGGCGAAAATGTTCCTTGATACTCGCGGATGATCCGTACGAAGTTTGGACGTGCACGCGATAGAGATGGGTGGCTGAGCGGCGTGTAAAGGTGGAGCGAAATTTTATAGATGTGAGCAGGAGCGAGAATGAGCTAAGGCACGAATGCGCAGGCGACTGAGTAGCCCCCAAGAGATGCGCCTTCCAAGGGGGGCCAGTCCCGCCTAAAACTGCTTCCCCTCTGCGCCTAACTTTCAACCAATCAGATTCACCGTCCTCCACCCTGCTTGCTTGAACATCACGTCAAGTCTATCTCGACCGTGACTTTCGCACACGACATCAGTACAGCAGCCACAGCTCTACTTGGCGACAGTAGAGCTCACACACGTCCGCAGCAGTCGCCATGTTCTCTCGACGGGTCGTGTCCGCAGCTGCGCGGTCTGCCCGTTCCACTCTCGGACCGCAATCCCAAATTCCTAGAGCTCAATTCTCAATTGCTCGCCAGCTACGAGCACAAGCAGAGCCCGAAGATCCCGAAGAGGTCAGTCGCAGACGGATGGCATGTGGTGTCAGGCTAATTTGAGGATAGAATGGTGGCTATATCAACCCTCCTGCGATCAAGCGACAGTACCGCGACCCCTATGGCGACTGGCACGACAAGCAAGAGCGGAGAAACTGGGGCGAGCCTGTTCATGAGGACAATGATGTTCTTGCCGTCTTCTCACTATATAATTACGATCACATGACTCCTGGCCGAGCTGGGGTCATGTGGCTCGGTTTCATAAGCTGCATCGGTCTCCTCAGCTACGCTGTCTACTCTACATATCCCGACCGGCCGGCTTTTCCCAAAGAGTATGAAGGTGGGCTTGACAAAGAGTTGGGTGGCATGGGAGCCGTACGGGTAAGTTGATCTGCCGTGAAATGCATTTCCCGACTGACACGACACAGGCTTTCAAGAAAGGTGATGACCTGGAGACAAAGAACTTTGAGATGTAAAGCGCCGGGTTACGCAACATGCTGCCTTCGTAGACATCTATCAGTCCATGAAGGGCGCATAAAATTGTTTTGAGCCCACAAATGGCTGCTCAAACAAGGATGGGACTGTACATATGCAGGTGTCGAAATAAGAAAACCGGCCCTGTGATCAAGCGCTCTTCCCGTTGCAATTTTTCTGATATTCAGGGCGCTCACGCGAGATGCCATATCGACGTCAACGTTATATCTGGCTTCAGGTTCTTATGTATCTCCACTGCCCAGACCATACGGCATCGCACCTAGAGCTTACTGTAGACGTTACATGACCATTGATCTTAACTCAAAGCTGATAAGAATCATTGGGAGCGTAACGTGAATTGGTATTTGTACAGCATTGCCATTCGCAAGGTAAATTATATGCACGATCAAGGCAGTTGTGCCTGGACATATTGCTGCCAATGCCAGCACATCCGACGCTACAGCACTGCCAACTCTGACTCCAACCCCTCCAATGCCGCCTGAAGAAAAAAATTGAAACGAACGATTTTAAGGTGTGGGGGTATCAATACACGTCAACTTCATAATCCATGGGTAAACGCCTCGATCAAGGCAGCCCACCCATATACACGCCCCACACCACAGTGGTGGCCATCAACCAATACCCGCCCACGCTCATGAAGCGCTGCACAGCCGCGGAGATCTGGCTCTCGTCGCTCGGCTCTGTGCCGCCAGGCGCCGTAGTGCCATTCTCCAACGAGCCGTTGATATACGTCATCTCCGTGCCGTTATCGTACTGCACGGTCCTGACAGTCGAGGTATTGACCGGCGCGCCGGACCCCGTGCCATTCGTGACCATCTGCGCCAGCGCCGTCTGGTTGTCATCGGGATCGCAACCACAGACCTGGTACCGCTGACACAGACACGTCACGTTGCTCGTGTGATTCTGCCCGTCCTGGTTATAGTGATAGCCCGCACCGTACGGGTAGCCATACGCACTGCCGTAGAGCCACAGGCCAGGGAAGACGGCGAAGCCCACGAGCGGGAACGCAAAGGGCGCAATACCCCGGCTGGGGCTGCGTGCGCCGGCCGTATACGGCACAGTTGCGCCGCCCATGTAGCGCGAGCCATAGGCGGGACGCGCACCAGAGCCCGAGATCGTGCGGCCGCCTAGATTGCTCTGTGGCGAGAACGAGTATGAGCTGACGGGGCGTCCGCCGCCGCCGGAGCTACCGCCTGAGCCACGGCTGCCGCCGCTGGAGCCGCCGCCGCGACCACCGCCGCCACCCTTACGCTTCTCGAGCGCAGATGTCAGAGAATCGAGGTCGTGGTTGGGCGCTGGCTCGGCGTATGCTTCTGGATCTGGCTCTGGCTCTGCGGCAGCTTCAGCGGCGCGCTTCTCGGCTTCTTCTTCGCGCGGCGACCAGGAGTGAAGGTTGCGCTTGTTTTGTGACGAGTGTAGCGCATCGGGATTGCGGGACACGAGGGCGTCGAAATCTGCGACGGGGGTGGCGAATGTGGTGGTGGAGAGTGCGCTGAGCGCGAGGAGGACTCGTAGGAACCTCATGATGCTGAGAGATGTATGTGTATGTGTATGTGTATTAGGAGTCGTAAAGGTGGGACGGGCGACAAAGTCGCAATGTGTAAATGTAGTGACGTCTCTTTGTTGCTGACGAGCTGGGCGCAACCGGCAACGGCGCAGGAAGTTTTCGTATTCGCTTGATGTTTGCTGAAACGCGACTTCAAACAGTCTGGGGTGATACGAAGATGTCAAGCTCACAAACGTGGCAACGGCAAGTGTATATACAATGCAAATGAGGCGAAGTCCCAGCGAGTGATATGTAATAGCGTAATGGTGTGGAAGGAGACTGGTAGGCTGGGGTAGCAGACCAGTGACATCAATGGGCTATCCCACTCCGCCACTGCGCCGGTGATGTTGGAGATGAGCTCATCACATTGTCATTGGCCCGGCATACGGCCTGGTGCTTTACTGGTCGTAGTCTATGCCCTCTAGAGAACGGCCTCTACGTCGTTTAGATCTCTTCACAGCCACCATATCCATTGTTACGTGGCGATCGTTCGGGCTGGTCGTGCCGGATGCTTGGAGAAGGCCGGATCGTGAGGCATACTGGATCTTGGCTGACTGTTCATTCTGCCTCAGGATCGAGCAACATCGCGATCCCTTGGCGCCTAGGTGAATATGCAGGGACCAGCCTACAGGTGTTGACATGCTTGCCAATTGCCGGGAATGCTTGTCTATGCTGTAAATACGATGAGCTTAGCTAGGACGGTAAAGTAGGATTATACGGATAACAAGGAGCCATAGCCACGTTGTAGACGTTGATCTGAGATCTGGAGCAATGGTGATTGTCTGCAGAATCGGATCATGTGCCGGTCGAGGAAGTGGCAGTGCTATAGGCGAGGGATGGTCAAGGATATATGGTATGTTACAGTGCATAAGGCAGACCGGGCATACTTGGAATGGCTTCTGCGCGTCGCGGCCTTCACTCGGAGTCTTTCTGCGTCGCTTCGTATCTGCAACATCGTTAGTAGAGTGCTATCGTTACTTTTCAGGGAGCGAATAACATACCTCTTGCCCCTGAAAGCCCATACTCCCCAATTACCACAGCTCACGTCTTGAGGATCCAAATCGTTCAGATCCCATCTCAAGCTCCTGAAGCGATTCTCGCCTGGCTCCATGAGCAGATCTACCTCGCCCTTGCACTTCTCCATCACCCAGTCCTTATCTCGCTTCATGTCCCAGTCAGTATATCCCGTGCAGATAATGGGCACCTTTGTTTCCAGCAGTTGTGGGATTGTTGACTGCCACTCATGACTGGACGCGGGATGTCCCAGTCCAGGGTGGTAGAGCATGAAGCAGTCAAAGTACGGGTCGTATGGCGCGAACTGTTGCGCTTCATGCAGTGTGTGGAAGTAGTCCACGAAGGTTGTAATCTTCATTTTGTCGCTCAACCTGTCCTCCACAATCGCACCAAATGGATTCTGCGGTGTACGTTCCGGCAGCGGGAATTCCTCGTCGCGGTTTGCCATCGATTCAGGGCCAATAAAGATCAAGTGGAAGGTGGCTCGTGGGAAGAGGTGGGACAGTTGAACCCACACCTCACGCGGCAGCGACGATTCGGCGCGCGCACCAAGGATAAAAATCCGCACTGGAGGAGAGGCGAGCCGCAGCCCCGAGACATCGACACCTTGTCCGGTACGTGGGGGATGCAAAGTATAACGGAGTGCTGTGAGAAGTTAACATCTTGCAAGGACTGACGGGTTTGGGGATTGCATACCACTCAGCGACTTGAGGCCTTCTGTTGTGAGCCGGCCGCCAGTGCGAATATTGTATGGAGACAGCTCGTGCAGAATGCTACCGAGTGTCATGGGATAGGTAAGCAGACGCGTTGCCTGTCGCATGGCACGATCGGCATTAATGGCTTCAAACTGCCTGGTGTAGAGAAGTGTGTCCCAATTCGTCATGTTCACCAATATCTCCTCGAGCTGGGGGCCAGGATACTCAAATTCGGCGAAATATCGCCCTGAGCGCAGGTCGTGGTCATCTTCGTTGATTTGCCGCAACGTCTCACAGATCTCCATGTGTGCCTCGTAATCATCCGCCCAGTGCTCTTCACAGCAATATGTCGCAATACCACAGTCAGGGCATTCAAAGCTAACGTGCGCTGGTGGCTCTGCTCCAACTTCGTCCTTCTGCTTCCTGCTTTCAGGATCGTTCGGCGATGCGGGTATTCTTGTTCGGTGATGCGCTGGATGTGGACAGTATGCATGCTGTTTCGTAAACAAGTCCCTTTCTCTCATTTCAGGTATGGGCGACCTTGAGAACGGGTGAAAGAGATTGTCCTGGCTGAGTAGAGTCCGTGGCCGATAGTGGCCATACTCGGGGTATTGGACATGTCGTTCGAAATTGTCCTCTTGCTGAGCAGCTGGCGCCGCTGCCGTTGAAGCTTGCCGGTTCCTCTCTCGGAATGCATCATTCTCAATCCTGCTCAGGATGCTGCGGGAGGGTTGCGCGGGTTTGGTCTTGGAGCTTAGCTTGCGGGCTCCCGTCGCAGCTTGGGCAGCCTTGGTGCCGTGTCGAGCGAGTTGACCTCCATTCAGTGTCCTCACACAGCGCACACACGTGTATGATAATGACATATCCATGGAGTCCGCGATGTGGCTGGAGAAAGAACACCGGTGGAAGGTATCATACGAGTCGAGTTCAATGATCACCATTTCATGCCAAGCCCGCAGTCCGCCCGGAGTTTGCAACTTTACTTCCTGCTCTAAGTTCCATTTCACTGCCTGGATCTGCCCGGTTACAATTCTGATCCCAAGCAGCGCCGATGCACGGTCGGAGGCTTTAAGGCCGGTAACTTGATATCACAGAACATATGTCAAGTCTATTTGTACAGAGCGTTCATTCAGAAACAGTTTTCAGAGCAGATGTCGGGCTTCCTCCGGCACCAGCGTATCCAGTATATCGTCGACTTGGGTTACGATCTCCCCATGGGAGCCTTCATACTCCCTGAGCTCAGAGTGCTGCACTGCACTAGCGATATACCTCACTCCACTGATGGGAGCATTCACATCCTTCGTTCCACCCCACATCATTACCTTGTCGTACCCCACCTCCTTCAGCTCAAACCCCCAATCTATCGTGAAGAGCTTCAACTCCCGTATCGTTGGCTTGGACCCCTGTGTAAAAGGCTCGAATAGCGCTCTCAGTAGACCTTGTCTGGACTCCTCGATCGGTTCGCCCTGTAAAGGATCCATCCCACCTAGTTGGTTACTTTCACCTTTCTCCTTCTGCTTCTTCCTCTCTGCCTCCACCGCCTTATCAATCATTCGCTTCCCCCAGCTCGTCCCAGTGACTAGCCTCGTCACTCCCACGAGTCCACTGACTAGAAGCGTCGCCGGTCCAGGCGCGTATTTCACCAACCAGTACGAGATCCGACTCCACCACGGCATGTCACCAAAGCCACCCTCCGCCCAATACGGACTCCCCACCGCTACGCCCACGCTTGTCATCATACTCGCAGGCAGGTCCTTAGCGCATGCCAACGCATACGGTCCACCACCACTCAGACCTAGCACAGCAAACCGCTGTAGATTGAGCTGCTTCACCAGCTCACGGACATCCTCCACCCAGCTAGTAATGGTGTAGTTAGGATCATACGTGCTCAACCCAAAACCTGGGCGATCCGGTGCAACGACCCGGATATTGCGTTTTCGGGCCGCTTTGTGGAGGATTTCGCCCTCCAGGCGCGAGGAAGGAAAGCCGTGAAAGTAAATGAGAGGATAGCCTGTAGGAGAGCCGTATTCGGCAAAGCCCAGTGTACGGTACGAAGAGAGCGTGATGGTCTGCGAGTCGCGGCCTGACTCAGCGCTGCTACTCATAGCTGCAGTAGTCGTTGCACCGGTGTTGCCCCAGGAGGGAACGCGAGGTGGGTTGAGAATTGGTGCAAATCGTCGCCGGAAAGGACGCAACCTGAGAGGGGAATACCTATGCATGGGCTGGTTTGATCGTTGCCTAAAAGTTCGCCGTTGAAGCTTGGACTGGTCGACATATTTATTTACCCCAACTGACGGTTCGAATCCAGGGAGAATGGACACTTGGCATCGGCGGCAGCCTCTGCAAGCTCTGACAGGCTGACATGGTACAGATGGAGTATTAAGCTGATATTGGCGAGGTGGTAAAGTCGACAAAGCCGCCCGTTCGGTGGCCGCGGAGCCCGTGCCGCGTCCGGCGCATCAATACTCCATTCTGGCCTCGTTGCCTGACCTTGGCATGAGCGCGGGTCTACCACCTTCCTTATGCTGTGAGCAGCTTCTGCTTTCGAGCTGACACATAGTCCGAAGCTTTCTCTCAGTGATGCATGATGTATCTAGCTACAAGTCAGGATGCCTTCTTGTGCCACCCTCCTAGATCCGCCCTTCGAAGTGCGGTCTCAGATTCACGACTTGGTGATGAATTCTCCAAATCCTGCATTTAGCAACTGTCTCAAGGGAATTGACAATTGCCGACACATCAAGGACGATAGTGAAAGGTGGTTGCAAGAGATTCGGAGAAACTGTGGCGACCTTGCACTTCTGAAGGCTGATAAAACGCACAAAGGGGACGTGCCGCAATATAATGTTCAACATGGACTGCTCCGGGTCTGCAAGAGAATCCTCGAGTAAGCGCTGCCATAGTTGCGATTCGAATCGTGTTGCTGAGACCAGCCATGATCTTGTTGTTGTTGCTCAACAACTCCTAAATGGGCAGCACACACCGCGGCTTTAATGCTTCAGGAGGCAGGATGGTGATGTCTAGCATAGCTCCCAGACACGCTGACGTTCATCGGTGCGTGCTTCATTGAAGCAGGCGATCCGTTGTGGCACATAGTCTGCGAAGATCTTCAGCTCGCAAATATGGTAGTGGTCTGCACGCGCTAAGCTGTACGTTGAAAGGGAAAAAGAACAGATGTGTCAGTGTTTGGCGAGCACGATTGGATACCCTATCTTAGCTGCCTTTCTCGCACTCTAGGTGGAGTTTGGCTTCGCGACGGCCCGGGTAATTCGGAGTAGATGCCTAGCGAGCCCGGAGGGCTGCCCAAAAGTCAAATCCGACCACCACCTCAATTACCACTAAATCAGGCGCATTGCTCAAGGAGGAGAGCTAAGTATTGGGATTCCCGCTTCTGTTCTCATAAAGTCTTCCTGCGCAGGATACTGGCAGTAGTAATGGCGCATTTTCACTGGATAATATCTACGGTGAGTTGTACAGTCTCAGTCTCGGCGGCTGGTGAGACGCCTTCACTATCCCATGCAATGCTGCCGCATTGCACACGATTCAGTGTGGCCCATGCGGAAAGTCGCCTAGCCACGGATCACCACAAACAGTTCGGTAAATTAAGCGCTCTTTGTGCAACAGAGCTTATGCAGACCCCTGCCTGGGGTATCTTGCCTGGAATGAGGTTCTTTGTCGCGCGATACGCTCTTCTCGACAATTTTCCTTGACTTCGTTTCCGTCCTGCAGAACATCTCTGTGATATGGCTCTCACCCGTCGGTGGACGTTTGCTTTGGTTGTAACATCCTTGCTTGCCTTCACTTACCTACTTTCCAACATCTACGGCAACAGATCGAGCAGAGCCCTGGGTCCTTCACAGCAGTTTTATCCGCCTCCATCTCAGGAGCACGATGGGAAATTTTCCTGGAAGCACCGAGCGGTGCACTTTCCTTTGGAGTCGTACACCCCATTGCCAACGGGGCCCCTCAAAATCCTGCCACGAGTACAAGCAACATTCGACGCTGAGGATGCGACTCTGAGAACTTCGCGATTAGAGCGCCGCCAGAAGGTAGAGCTGGCCTTCAGAAAATGCTGGAATTCGTACAGAGCAAAAGCCTGGATGTTCGATGAGCTTGCCCCTCTTTCAGGCGCCGGACGCAATACTTTCGGAGGCTGGTCTGCGAGTCTTGTTGATGCTCTGGACACATTGTGGATCATGGGCTTCAAAGACGAGTTTGACAACGCAGTTGATGCAGTTCGTCGCATAGACTTTTCTACGTCGACAGACACAACAATCAATGTGTTTGAGACGACAATTCGCTATCTCGGTGGCTTTCTGTCCGCCTACGATCTGAGTGGGGAGAACGCTCTACTAGAAAAGGCTGTTGAGGTTGGGGAAATGCTGCTGGCGGCGTTTGACACTCCGAACAGGATGCCTATCACACGATGGGAGTGGAAAGTGGCGAGAGATCGTCTGCAAGCCCAGCAAGCTCCGGACTGGATGCTCGTATCGGAACTCGGCTCACTCTCTCTCGAGTTTACGCGCTTGAGTCAGATCACCGGTGATGATCGGTGGTACGACGCGATTGCTAGAATTACGGACCTTTTCCACCAGCAGCAAAATCACACAAAAATACCCGGACTTTGGCCAGTGGTTGTTAATCCCCGAGATAAGGATCTCACAAAAGACAGTGGCTTCACACTCGGCGGAATGTCAGACTCCTTGTATGAATACTTCCCCAAAGAGTATGCCCTACTTGGTGGGCTCAGCCCGGTCTATCAGCAATTATACGAGACCTCAATGGCTACAGTAATCAAAGAGATGCTGTTCCGACCCATGATACCCAACAGCGAAGATATCCTAATGTCTGGGGACTTGAGAGCAGACTCTGATGGCTCTTCCGCTCTAGATCACCGGATCCAGCACCTGACTTGCTTTGCTGGGGGCATGCTTGGTGTGGGAGGCCGTTTGTTTTCCAACGACAATCATGTTGCGGTAGGGCAGAAGTTGACAGACGGATGTATCTGGGCGTACAAAGCGATGCGATGGGGCATTATGCCTGAGATTGCGCACATGACCCCCTGCAAATCGCAGTTAGATTGTACCTGGGATGAGGCCGTGTGGCTTCAGGAAGTAGGGAAGCAACATACCACCGATCCTCCCGTCACCAATCTACAAGAATTTGCTGTGACGCAAAACCTACCCGAAGGCTACGCCAAATTCGACGACAGAAAATACATCCTGCGACCCGAAGCAATCGAGAGCGTTTTCATCTATTATCGTATCACCGGTGACGAAAAGTATCGAGACCATGCTTGGGAAATGTTCAATGCTATTGAGAAGGTCACCAGTACCGAATTCGCCAATGCTGCTATTCCGGACATTGCTACAAAAGACCAACCGCGTCAGGATGACAGAATGGAGAGTTTTTGGCTCGCCGAAACATTGAAATATTTCTACTTGATCTTCAGCGAACCTGAGTTGATCAGCCTCGACGATTATGTTCTCAATACCGAAGCTCATCCGTTCAAGCGGCCGAAGTAATGCTTCGAAACGAGTTTCCGTGTATGTGGTCCGGGTACGAGATGCAGTCTAGCACACGGCTGGACGTTGCCAGGACCCATGGTGCTGCCGATGCCACGGCTTCGAGCTTGCCCTTCAAGACCCGGCGGAGCCACGACTGTATGCCTGCTCTATCTGAATAGCTAGCCCGTTGCACAGTATCATCTGTTCAGCGGTGCGCTCTGTCCACATCTCAGTCTTGTGCTGTGTAATGTACCCCAACGAGAATTCTAAGACAAGGAATGCTTATCAAGAAACTCGGAGGCAGTCTCAATCTGTGAGGTGCATTGACCATACCTATTTGAATACCAAGGGGCCGACTAGCGCTTTTACAGCCGACGCCCCGAGATAGCTAGACTGGACGAATTTGAGCACGGGTATGAATTGAAGTCAGTCCGTAGTGAAGTGGGATCGTAGTGTCGCCTCTGGAACGATGAAAGACAGGGAGTATGAGCAACGGAACGCAAAGCACAAGGCAGACATGAGTCAATCTGCTGTGCGCAAGCCTCTGCTTGAATCGGTCTAAGCGCCCCAATGGATGCTCTGCTCCACGCCCAGATTCTAAGTGTACAGTAGGAGTATGCATCCATGAAGCGCTAGCGCAGGTGCCACCGTGCCGCCGCTTAGTTTGGCTCAGGGTGTTCGTTTCGTTAATCCTAGCTCGTCCTGGGACGAAGCGACTACGACAAGGTCTTTTCCCAAGATTGCTTCTGTAATGTTCTGAAGCTATATGCAGTAGTATTAGCGAGGTTTTTGGCACCATGGTACTAGGTGACGAGACCCAGCCGACCTTCCGGGCTCACACCAAGCCGTTATCGTCAAGAATTTGTAACACTGCGCGCCACGAAGCTGCTCGCCGAGCCCAGGAGTCGACCATGGGTCTCGGCTGGCGATGTGACAGCATATTGCCGTGCAGCCTCCGAGGCGCCGTTCCAAGTCTTCAAACACTTCTTCCGTTGGTCCAGCTACGAGCCGCAACGCACGTTCTGGCTCTCATATCCGAATGTAAACGAGCACATCCCAAAAAAACTCGCAAGAAGACAAACCGATGACTTCTATCTGTCACTACCTCGCATCTGTCCTCATCCTTCATCTCGTCCAATTGGTTTCGCCGCAAGGTATAACCGTGCAAGATGACTGGGTGCTGCCTGCTCGCCCCGACAAGGCTGAGTATTTCCTCAATGGCGACAAAATCACCATCGAATGGACAAGCGACCTCTGGACATGGTTCTTCGACTACGCTCCCGACGTTGATCCTACCGCATGCGATCTCTGGGTAACGGGATGGGAGCTGCATCAGTATGAAAACAAGATAGCCCGTTAGTTTCCTCCTGCCCCTTGCCGTCATGCAGTCATCTTGCCTTATTCAACAACCACCGTGCTAATTTGCCTCTGCAGCTCGAGTCAACGTGCAGGCCCGCACTTCGATAGACTGGGTCATCGACATCCCGCCCGCCGAATTGAACGCCACCGAGTGGTGGGTTTTTCGCTTCGCAGCTCTAGGGGCCAGCACCACACTGGAGGGTCTCCAGGTTTCGAGCCCCGGATTCGGTGTTCGAGAGAAACAGCAACCTCCACCACCGACTTCGTCCACCGAGCAAAGCTCATCGACCACGACAGCCTCGGCGACCCCATCCTCTGTTTCAATATCAGAGGCCACAGAAGCAGGGAGTACTGGCGAAAGCAGCACTGGCGAAAGCAGAGACAGCATCAGCTCCTCGTCTGATGGTGATGGTCTCTCGACGGGTGCAAAAGCGGGCATTGGTATCGGCGCCACGGTCGCTGGGCTGTCGCTTCTCGCGGCTGGCTGGCTCTTCGGCAGAAAGAAGCGGGGAGGCAAGCCCCCAGTCGATATGTTGGAGGTATCAACGGAGCCACCAAAACCACCGCCCATGGCTGCTCACGATAATAGATACTGGGGTTATGGTCAGCCGCCGCATTATATGGCCGTTGCAAACCCGATAAATCCATCGTATGCGGAGCTAGAAACACCGGACCAGCCCAGGCTCTCAGAATTAGATGGCCATAGATAGTGGAAATTCTGAGCTCTGATTGTCAATGTAATACGTGATGTGGGAGGGTGGCAAGCTGCATACCGAGCGAAAGCTTCATCTGGCGATTTTGTAGGTAGACAAAGTCACGGAACAGTACCGCGCCCAATAGCGCAACCGTCCGAGACAGCCCGAAGTACAGAGCCATTTCTTTCTTTATGGCCTACCCCACGATCACCATGAGTGGACTGACGAAGAGGGCGATCTCAACGGAGCTTCCAAAGGAGACCCCGACGGCGAAACCGAGAGCGCGCATTGGATATGCAACGCTGTATACTCCGGAACCATGCTGAGGCTGTTCCTGCAATTGTACATCGTTGTTATCACTGTCTCCTTGGTCGGTGTCGTGAGCTTCGCTGCGTTCACCTGGTGGTTGTGGTGCATGATCTGCGTTCATCTCAAGTCAAGCTAGATCTACCTCTATGCAGGCGCTGCAAGAAGAGAAAGGAATGGCAGTAGGTGTGAACAAGGAGCGCCGAACACCGTCTTGTTCTGGAGAGACTGGGGTAGCAATGACTGAGAAAGCAGGCCGGTTCCGCACCATGTAAGCTGCTGACCTGTAGGTGTGGCAGGGGAAGCAAGAACGAGCTTCTGCAGCACTTCCCCCCAACGATACACACTGAGTCTTGCTCGTCCGGTCGTAAATGGCCTTACCTAAGTCGGGCATAGAGAGATATAGAACTGCGAGGTTATGGTAGCATGGATGTCTACTTGGGTGCTGGTGAGGTGCAGAAGCGGCGAACCACATTGACGCACGGGCCAACAGGCGAGATCAGCTTGGCGGGACCCAGTGCCAAGGCTTAAGATTCGAATTTCAATCATGCTCATCACCAGCTTCTCGCGCATCTTTTCTTATCCTCACAACATCACCCGAAATGGCTTGAACGGTACCATAACCCAGCAAGCACACCGATGCAACCATCAAAGACTCCTCATGACCTCGCTTAGCCCCCAAGCCTAGTTCACCCACCCTTGCGCAACTTCGGGGGAAAAACAATTCCACCCTCAGCTTGAATTCCAGCATTCACCACCTTAGATACCAACAAACGTATGCCTTGACCTTGCCGCCACCCCCGCAACATTCACTTTCCAGCTGCTTGCATCCAATCCCACAAGCTCTTCGCCTTTTCCCTTTCACGGGGGGAAAGACGAAGTCACGGCGCCCGGCCTGGCTGCATCCTGCGGCCCCGGACTGTCAGAGTTGGTGGTTTATTATCACACACCGTTGCTAGACTGAAAACAAGGAACCTTCATAGTTCATTTTGATCCCCTTTCTGGGTCCGCTTTCCGCGCACAAGACTTGTCATAGGTTTTGTGTGTGTTGGCTGGGCCTTTTCAGTGGGCAGATTGACTCCGTGCGTTCTACATTGCGATGTATTCGATTATAGTATTGTGCCATGTCGTGCCGTGATACACTAGTTCAGAAAACAGAAAAGGCATCGGTGGGGCGGAACTGATATTACAACCAGGCAGCTAGCTTAGCTACCGTGCTGAGGGGCATTGATTATCTATACAGGACGTGGCGTCAATCGTGTCGTAAATCGCTCTGAACGCTGCAACTGAAAAGAAACGAGAACCTCGCCAAAATACACCGATCATGATCCATTAGGTTTGCCACCGCCGTTGTTCAAGAGTTGGAGGAAAGCGGCTGCATCGTTTGGTGAGTAACCGAAGAATACTGGACCATTGAAGATGATTTGAGTCGGCGGTGCAGTGGTAGTAGGGGCGGTCTGGTCTGCAGAGGGTTTCTGTGTCTGCTCCGCTGTCTTGCCGGCCTCCTGGGTCGGTCCTTGTCTGTTATTGCTGTTTGATGTCTGGTGACCAGCAGGGACCGCCGCAGGCGACGTGAGACCGGTTGGTGCATGTTGCTGTGCACTGGCCTCGGAACCCATGGCACTAGCAGGAATATCCTTGGCGACAGGTACAGAAATGCCCCATGGTCGGCTTGGAGACTCACCCACTCGGACCTCACGAAGAGGTCTATCAAAGTGCGACAGGCGCTGATCGTCCCCTTCGTCTTTCTTAGGAGCGAGGCTCGCATCGCTCACGTTTTCTGCCCACTTCTCAACGTGGTCAGTGGAGCTGGCTTCTTGCTTGACCGGACCTTCAGCTTCAGGCAGGTACTGCTTATGCTTGACGCCAAGCCCCTGGATCATGTTCACCATGCTACCATACTTGGCATCCAGCTCTTTCGCACCGGCTTCGTTACGTTGATACCTTGAGACGCACACTTGATGACTTCTAGGTAGTTCATGTTTGTGATTTTCGAAGTACTTGGCGATTTCCTCGGGTGAGTGCTTGTCCAAAAATCGTATTGGACATCTGCCCGCCGGCCCACTGGCTGTGGTGGGAGAATTAATGGAGACTTGGTCTTGGTGAAATTCGGCAGCGATGGGATCATTGCTCTCAGGTGTATCTGGCAGGCCATTTGTCTGAGCCATTCGTGCGAAAGGACAATCGAGGTTGCCAATACGGCCTTTAGTGGTGAAATCATGCTCGAAATCTTCCTGGTCGGTGGTGTGGTGCGAGACGGGACATTTCCGCAGCGCCGTTCTAGTTCCATTTCTGTTGGACATGGTGACGGCTGTGCTGCGCAGAAGGTAATCTGTATGCTTGACATCGTTAGCAGACACTCGCACAGAGCGATACCGGAAACCAAAAGTTGCAGTCTGATAATTCAGCTAATACATGCATTGTTTCGCTCATCGTCGCCGAAGCGGCTCTTGATCTAGAGCTAATCAAAGTTTTCTCATCCTAGAAGGGTGCAGAACGTGGAAGACGCGTAAGTACTTACTTTAGGGTCGCCGATGTGTTAGCTTGAGGTGCTGAGCCTGGGGATCGAATACGGCTTTGGGCAGGTCCACTACCGTGTACAAAATGCGCAGAGACCAGGCGGTCGTAGCGATGGAAGTGTCGCGTCCAACATGAGCTGTTGCGACGACCGACGGGGATATGTAGTGTGTGTGGTTGAAGAAAGGTGAAGGTGCAACAAACTTGGACAAGGCGCAGTCGATATCGGCCTAGTCGCGCCAACCGCGGACACGTGACTACTTCCTTGTCATTGGCCGACTCGGTACCGACTCCCAGGCCGAGGCAGTGAATGCAGTCCGCACCTTCAGTCTCTCTACACAACCGAAGTAGTTCGAAAGCACTCTTCACTGTGGTTTTTACCTCAATTTCCTATTCCACTACAGCGTCAATACTACTATACTGGCAGTTTTGTTCCAATCCACTCGTGTCACACCCTATCGACCATCCTCTCGCCAGCAGCTGCGACCCAGCCTCTCCGCACTCCCGCACTCGCACCTCGCACCCCGTCTCTGCCCGAGATGAAGGGCATTCAAGTCTCCAAATATGTCTCCGGACCCTCTGAGCTGGAAGTCAAGACGCTACCGACGCCCCAGGCGTCACCGGACAAGTACCTCATCAAGATTCACGCTGCCGGCACCAACTTCTTCGACCTGCTACAGATCCAGGGCAAATACCAACACCAGCCGCCGTTACCATGGGTCGCAGGTATGGAATTTGCCGGCGTGGTGCTTGCAACGCCTACATCCTCTTCCGGTAATACTGGTAGCAGCGTGGTGTCGGACCTAAGCGGCAGCATCAGCACGCAGACGGCGCATAAATTCAAGGTGGGCGACCGCGTCTTCGGTGCCGTGCACGGCGCGTACTCGACCCACATCCTCGCGCCGGAGAGCACCTTGTTCCCAATCCCTGCCGGCTGGTCTTTTGCCGACGCATGCGGCATCTACGTGACGTGCCCTACCAGCTACGGCGCACTCGTCACGCGTGCCAACTTGCAGCCCGGCGAGTGGTGCCTGGTACATGCCGGAGCTGGTGGTGTCGGCCTGGCAGCGGTACAGATCGCCAAGGCGCTGGGCGCAACAGTAGTGGCCACGGCCGGTAGTGAGCGCAAGAGGCAGATATGTCGTGAGTTTGGGGCGGATTTCGTTGTGGATTACAAGGACAAAGCGTGGCCACAGAAGGTGATTGAACTAGCGAGCAAGCATCGTGAGGGGAATGGGAAGGCTGGCGTAGATGTGGTGTATGACCCTGTTGGTGAGTTGAGTGACTGGATGGAGACAATGGCTTGTGGCTAATGAGTGGCAGGGATGATCGATCCATCAATCAAGTGCATTACCTGGAACGGGCGGCTGTTGGTCATCGGTTTCACGTCCGGGCAGATCGAAAAGGTTGCCATGAACAGAGTGCTGCTGAAGAACATCTCGATCATGGGCCTGCATTGGGGCATGTATGCCACGAAAGAGCCCGAGACACCACCAAAGGTTTGGCAGGGAATCTTCGATCTCATCAACTCGGGCAAGTTCAAGCCCATAACCTATACCGATAGGAAGTATAGGGGGTTGGAAAGCACGAAAGACGCTCTTGTGGCTCTGGGCAGCCGGGGCACATGGGGCAAGGTGACAATTGAGATCGAGGACGAAGACAGCTCGCGGAGCAAGCTATAAGAGATATGATCGGTTTCAAAGAGTCAATACTTTCCCATTGGCGCTTCATGTCTAGAGCTACCATCCCAGGATACGGTGTCCAGCCTCTGTAGCATTAGAATGTGACACGAGATGAGCGAGAACGTCCGAAGCCCGCTTCTGCCAATGTTCGTTCCACTAACTCAGCGCAATGCAGTCGATCTCGACCTGTTCCCCACATCGTCAGTGTCTCCGATTCCTACACCATCACTTCCGGGACAAGAAACCTACCTTGACGCCCTTCGGCAACTGCTTGACCGCAATGCAGCTCCGCGCCGGCTTATGGGAGAACCACTTCTCGTACTCAGCGTTCATTTCCTGGAAGTAGTCCATATCGGTCAGGTAGACGCCGCAGCGCACGACCTTGTCGATGCTGCTGCCAGCCTCCTCGAGTATCTTCTGGATGTTGGTGCAGCACTGCTTCGTGGAGGCCGTGATGCTTTCTTGGATCAATGCGCCGGAGCCATCTGCGGGGATTTGGCCGGAGACGTAGATCGTGCCGCCGGCTTTGATGGCTTGCGAGTAGGGCCCGGCCGCTGTGAAAGAAGGAAAATGTTAGTGGGGCTGGAGTGCAAGACCTGGAGGAGGTTGTAGAGGGGATGCTTGGCATGGGGGAAGAGGTGTACCTGGAGCGGCGGCGGAGGAGTGGATCTTGTCCATGGACATGGTGGGAGTGCTGTGGTGGAAGTGTCGAGTTGCTGTGAGACCGAAGAGAGGGTTTGATGCTCTGGAAAGGTTTACGAGGGGATTTGAGGTCCTGAGGCACGATTGAGGGACGCGTGAGGCTCTGATTGTCGACATGGGCAATATGGATGAAAGAGGATAGAAGATCCGGATATAAGCGACAGCAAATCTTAACACTGCAGTTCCAAGCTCTTGTGGGGGATGGAGCGGAGAAATATTGTTGCTGGTGGGGATTCGCGGCGGGGTCCTCCGCAAGAGCAATGACAATGAGAGAGAGAGAGAGAGAGAGAGAGAGAGAGAGAGAGAGAGAGATCAAGAGGTCTTCATGCCATCATTGGTTTCTATACTGAGTGAATGCTTCCGGGGCTCTTAGACGACTTGTTGATAATATCACCAGGTGGAGGATCTGACGACCGTTCCTCGAAATAGACTCCAACGCAGCCGACCCGTTGTTACTGGGCCATACTCTCACCCCGCGACAACACCCACGACTGCCTTTCTATATCAGAGTTGTGAGAATGGCACTCGAATCCAGCTTTGCAAGTGAAGAGACCGCTTTGGTGTGATTGCGTCCAAGAGCAATGAGTTTCAGCCCAGTCGCATCCGCGTCCTTTCGGAACCACCCAGCTCGGGCGTCAAAATAGGTGTAAAGGTAGATCAAGCAAATGATGAGGATGAACACGCTGTCCCTGTAGATGATGATCATGTTGCTGTGCTTCCTTGTCGGTCGCTTTGCCATGATGACATCCATGATTCTTCCGGTTATAGTGATCATCACACCAGGACGAGATGCAGCTCAACTTATATCGAATCCTCCTCACGGTACAATACGGCAGGACGAAGCAGCGGCCACGTAGCATCTTGCCCACTCACCCATGTCTAGCGAGCGAGAAATCAAAGCACCTGCTTTGACTTACGGAGTTGCAATCCGCCAACTGCATCTGACGACGGGCGTGCACGCCGTTGAGTTGCGGTGAACACGAGATACGAGGTACGCAGCGCCACACGAGGTCCACCCGGTTCCAGGCTACCGTCAAAGCATTTCTACCAGATCTCAATGGAATGATAAACGAGCGCACGCATCCATCTCAAAAATTGATTGATGTTTGTCCAGCACCTGAGCTGGTGGTGGCATAAGGAGAGAGCTGAAGCTTCAGCCAGCCCTGAGCAAGGCTTGGAAGTGGCCAGCTGTAAGCGCTCAGCAAGCTAGGCAGTGAAAGTCTTGGCGGGACAGGGGGTCCGGAAGTACAGCCTGACACACATGAGCTCGCTTGTCTGGTGGCTCACCTGTCGAATCGCTCTCAGTCCAGGTTAATTATCTGCTCACTTCCAATCCCACCCTTTCAGACACCCTAAGTATCGACGGAGGTACATGCAACCGTGTTAGTGCTCTTCTCGTACGAGCCCGATCCTATACTGAGTATATCACCGGTACCTGTTGCCCTACATAAACAGCGGTGCTAATCAGAGTCCACTTGTATAAGTTCATGCCTGGGCCAGAAGTAGTACTGCCTTGCCGCGTATATAGATGGCTCCGCAACGCAGCTGCTAAGGCTCGTGTGAGAAACAGGCCACTGTGTTCATTGCAGAAAGTATTGCTTCTGCATATCTAGCTTCGGTTTTGAGAGAACAGCTTCACCAGCAGCAACTCTGGCAGCATTTCCAATGTATTGGGACTGATGAGACTCCGCTAAATTGTCCTTGTGCTGACGTCAAAAGCCTGTGGTAATCAGGCAACCATATGACCGTGCGGGTTGTGGTAACTGCAGTATCGTCGAAATCGCTTGGCAGTGCAAGGCCAGCTTTGCTGATGTTACAGACCGATAGGGTCATGGTAAACGGGCGCTTGTTCGGACAATTTCTGTATAGCCATTTTCAACTGGACCATGCGATGTCAGTATACATGTCAAGAAAGCGGGGTCGTCTCGTCGGCTGGCGACCATGTAATTCAACGACTCTCAGTTGGCCGCTTGCTTGAATAAGTAGGCCCCCAACAGTTGCATACTTTCATTGAAATGCTCCCCTTTACTTGTAATGTAGGGCATCGTGTGCCAGGCATCCAACCGATGTAGCTAGAGCTCCTACACCCTGCATCTACTTCTAAGTGATTATTTGGGCAAGGTTTTGTTCAGTGTTCGTTGCAGTCTTACTGCACACAGCTGACCGAACACCATGGCGAATATTTCAACGTGTCGCATGAGCCAGTGTAAGTCTCATCCTCACTAGCCAGCTTGACCGTATCATCCTTACCAGGAATAGGCAGGCCGAATCGGCTTACCAGTGATGCAAAAGCTCGTACAGGCGGGCTTTGACACAACAGTCCTGAGCCGAGATCAGTCTCATCTAAAAGATCTTCTCACCCGAGTCGCCGTTCACGAAGTTGACTATGACTCGGACGCATGTCTGTAGAAAGCTCTACGAGGCCAGGATGCAGTCGTATGTACCGTCGCCATGTCAGCAATCACAAACCAGAAACGCACGATTGGCTGCCATGGCCGTAGGTGTGAGGTACTTTATCCCGGTCGAATGCAGCATCTCGACGAGAGATCCTGCAGCACAGTGGATTCCAACATTTGCCACAGTAATCGACATACAGAGACACCTCGCCGCTTGTGAACAAAAGATCCAATGATTGGTTATCAATTGCGGCCCTCGAAATCGCGACGAGATACAAAGGCCAGAACTGGAAGGTCGGGGAATGGGAGTCCGAACCTACCACCAAGTCATGGATGGATAAGTTGAACAGTGGAACGGCTTTGGAGCCGAATCATCCCCTTGACGCAATGGTAACTCTGGTCGCGGCTGCCACATTTGGGAAAGGACATTTTGAGGGAGCCTATGCGCATCCCGATAATGAATGGTTGGGAGTCGACACTTTTGAAGGCAATGAGATTGAAGAAGCCACTCGTCTACGGGTCACGGAAGGTAAGTGGGCTGTCCGCTCAGGCACGGACAAAGTGGAGTCTATGAATGATGTAGCTGGTGGCATGGCAGAACAATTCAAAGGTATTAAGAATGACTGCTTACTTCGGCTGAATGAAGACGGGTCCGTTCAAGAAAATCATTGGGTTATTTGTGACGACAGAAACCAAGCAATTGTACGGATGATATTGTTCTGTAGAAGACTAACCTGTTGCAATGTTTGAAAAGCCTAGCCTGCGAAAGCTAGCTGACGACATAGAAGATAAACAAAGGCCGGACGCGTACGGGACTCTGAGTGTGACATACGCAAGCCTTTCACCGAGCATTCTTGACGGGCGGGTACATATGTTTCCATAAATCCACCAAATATGCAGTAAAAACATGGTCGTACCATAAGAACCCAACCATAATATCTGTGAAGATAGACCTCACCTCCTCTCGACCGCAGATAGAGGCTATCATCTTTTTCAACTTTTCAGTGAGCCACAACCCAGCTTCGGACGACAGATGGTCGCGCAGACAAGCGATAGATCCCATGCAGAGGATCCACATCTCCAGCCTTGGCTCCGGTATCACGTACGTGGAGGTATCTTTTAGAAGTTTGTAGAGTTGTTGGGCGGTCGCAAAGCGGTTGCCTTGAGAATATGAGACGGGGAAGATAACGAGGTCTGAATATATCAAAGTGGTGACGCGAATGATTTCCAATAGCTGTACAGCTAGACGTGATGGCGGCACAAATGATGTAGCCTGAGATGGACTAATTCCACGACCGCGCTCATAGGATTCCACTGGAAAGGGGATTTTTGATGGTGTGGGGAGTCCGTGGGTCGTACGGAACTGCCCTTCATCTGCGTTTCCCCGAATAGCCGCAGTCTCATCGATGGAAGTCTCGTGCTGGAGACAAAGAATCTGATAGTGAAGCCAGTTAGCTGTATTTACAAGAGCTCCTGGCCTTGGGCGACCACTGGCTCGGCGTCGAAAAGATTCTGCTGCTCCGGTGACATTTTTCAAAGCCGGGATGAGGTCGACAAAAGGTTTGATATTGTCCAGAGACGAGGCGCTCATGTAGGTAAATTCAGAGCCGAACGTGCTGCTCATTGCCAGCACAGGCTCACTTTGGGGTAATAAACCCTTCAAAATTTTCTGGTCAGGTGTCCACGTGCATTCAAAGACTGGGGCTCGCATGAAAAGCGTCGAAACGAAGAGATCGGCTCTGGATCCTGGTTAGTAGAGCTAAGTCATCATGAGGGTATGACTTACAATGCAACCACCTTCTGAGTAGTTAGTGTTTCAATTGCCTTTATCCCTCCCCTTTCAGTCACGACTCGGTACAGAAACTCGATGTGGCTAAGATCCGCTTTTCTATATCCTATACAATCGAGACTTTGGAAGGTCGACAGTGGGGAAGTTGGATACTTGAGAGGCTGTACATCGAGTGCATCTGGGTTCGGATCATGAAACGCCAGACATAATATGACCCCCAGGATCTGGTCCGAAACGAAATTTGTCGAAAGCTCGGCAATTTCGATTCGCAGGTGATGTAAAGCTTTCCCTTTGATTGCAAGCCAGCTGGGAGATGGGTTCTTCAACCCTTCAGTCCCCATTCTGGCGAAGCTAGAAAGTAATATGCCACTGTACAGGTAGCCATAGTATGAAGCGTCGCTGCAGCTGATCTGCTCAAGACAGATTGGGATGATTTGATATTTACCGTCGCTTTCTTGGTACGGTACGACCTTGGTCCATGTTATGCTAATTGCTACAAGTCCGTCAGCCAGGTCGGACAGAGAACGCCGTTTACAGCCAACGTACACTCGTGCATGATCCCGCGAAAAAGCGGGTTGTCATCTTCGCGTCTTTTTACACCAAAAGGGTTAATGTAAGCCCCGCCGATATTGTACAAACGTGCTAGAGCTTGAAGGTTGGTGCTCGATCGTTGCGCCCCTCGGCGTCTCTTCGAGCTTAGTACGGGTGCATTGTAGGGGTCATCCTCATCAGAAACCGATTGGTCGTTGACGCTCTTTCCTTTAGGCCGAGATGGTCGCATACCGAAGTCTTAGTATCCCATCATCCGCGCTCAGTTGGGGGTCTTGCAGTTTTATGGCATGGTGGTAGTGGAGGTAAGCTTTGCTGACTAACCATCATCAAGCCCTGTCGAAGCTTCTGCAGGAGGGCATGCTGAAAAGTAACCGGGTTGTGGCTGCCTAAAGCGATGCTAGGTTTCGAATACAACGGCTGCGTGGAATAGCAGACCTCACCTCCCAAGTCACTACTTGGCTGGAAATAGCAGCCACTCCAAAGCTCACAGACAATCTTCACTCGACTCGACATGAATAACCTGGCCTCAAACCGCAGCAGTCTATTGATCTCAAGACGGGTCTAGGCCTGTCCCAGTTCGGGCGTCTCCCCGAAGCACGAAGCAAGGAACCCTTCGGGATAGCGTGCACCCTTCGCTCCTCCCACATTCTCGACGATGTCCCTAAATCTCTTCTCATCGTCTTTTGAGAACTCTACCTCCGCGGCTCCCGCGTTGTCCTTCAGATACTTGACGTGTTTCGTGCCTGGGATTGGGATGAAATCTGCCCAGCAAGTCAGCCACAACTTCTCTCCTTTCGACATCGCACCGCGGTCTTTCACTCAGCCAAGAGTGACAGTGGTACTCACCTTCACCCTGGGCCAACACCCAAGCTAAAGCCAACTGCCCAGGACTGCACGCTTTCTCCTTGGCCATCACTTCCAAAGCTTCCACTAGCCTGACATTCCCCTGAAAATTCTCTTCCGAGAACCTTGGATGCATCGTGAACCGTAGATCGTTGGGGTCCATATCCTCCTTCCTCCTGATTGCGCCCGTCAGCCAACCCCTTCCCAACGGACTGTACGCCACGATCTTGACACCCAACTCCCGACAAGCAGCCAACACCCCGACCGCCTCATCCTCGATCTCCAACGCAAACGGGCTAAACTCCATCTGCACCGCCGCAATGGGATGCACCTTGCACGCTCGTCGCAGCGTGCGCGCACTACACTCGCTGAGTCCCAGATAGCGCACCTTCCCCTCACGTACAAGCTCCGCCATCGCGCCCACCGTCTCCTCAATGGGGATTTTGGGGTCGATGCGATGCGCGTAGTACAAGTCGATCGTGTCGACGCCCAGTCGTTTCAGGCTGGCGTCGCAGGCTTCGCGCACATATGCGGCCGAGCCGTGGACGGTCAGGGACCGACTTGCCAGATCGATCTTGCAGCCGAACTTGGTGGCGAGGAAAATGGATGAATGGCGCTCAGGGTGCTGCGCTAGCCATTTGCCGATAAGTTGCTCGTTGTGGTGGGGGCCGTCTGTGGGAATGGGAGTCGCAGTGTCAGCGTGCTGAGCCTGGAGGCTCGGGACAGTTGGACTCGATCATGGAGTTTGATTGGGAATGGGAGGGCTGTGGCTTACACATGTCCGAAGTATCCCAGAAAGTGACGCCCATATCCGCGGCAGCAGTAAGGGTCTCCAAGCTGGAGGCTTCGTCGGGAAGGCCTTTGGGGCTGGGAATCGACATGCCCATACAGCCAAGGCCGATGGCAGAGACAGAAGCATCTCCGAGCTTGCGTTGGGGGAACGAGGGAGCCATGGTCTTTTGCACGGGGGAAGTTGGACTGTCGTTTAGTGGTGGGGTTGGCCGGAGCTGCTGTTGCAGGACAAAGTGCTCAGTCTGCGCGTAGCATGTCGGCTGCTCGACAAGGAGTCCCTTCGTCGCATATAAGTACTTTCACCCAGCATATGAACCACCTCGAAACCAGCTATAGTCACGGCTGCCGGTGGACTTAACGGCCCTCCCCCCTCAGGGAACTCGGTCCGTAATTACCCCGGATCATGCGCAAGGCTATCCAGGGCAGGACGCAGCACGATCTCTCGTTTGCGTTAGCCCACCCGAGATCTGAGGAGAAGCCGGGACCAACCCTTTGAAGCGAATTCGTCGTGAGCGCCTCGAAACCGGACCCGGGGTGGAACGAGTGGGAAGAATATCTCCACGTAGTTGGGCCTTAAGTCCGAGACGGCAAGTGCTGTCCGCGGCTTTTGACTTTTGGAAATCGGGGAACATGCAGATGCGACGGCACTGATACCACGAGAAGAAATTGACTGCCATGATGTCATTTTAGCACGGAAATCTATGCATTACTCTTTCACATGTTCTGCGGTAAGCTGGAGTTGAGTTGAGTTGAGTTGAGACAAGACGGCAAGTAAATCTTGGCAACACGCGAGGCGTCGAGGCAACCAGAATAGCTTGCCCACTCGGCAAAATTCCAAGCGAAAAGGAAACGACTAGAGCATTGTGAGATCTCCAGTGTTATCATTCATACGTCGACCTGTCTGACGGCCCTTCATGGCACGATTGGCAGTCCACAACGCCGCAGAATGCCAACAACGTTATGGAGTAATCCAGCCTTTTACATGACTACACAGTCACGTTCCTGACCTGGTTGTCTTCCAGGTCTACCTGAAGATCCTACTGGAACACCTTGGGTCGGCCCTCCTGCCGGGCGCCGCCCGTCCCAGTACGCCCCCGGCATCTGCTGCTGAGGGGTTCCAGAAGCTTGCTCGTTGTATGCGCTGAGGCGCCCTGACACATTGGACGGTATTCTCCCATGCGGTGGTCGTCCCGTGCTGCCATAATGAGGCGCATTCGGACCTGGTGGATGTGCACTGTTTGAGCCACCGGCAGTGCTGATAGTCCCAGTCAACTGTGAACTGCTACTCATAGGGCTCGCACCCTCACCAGTAGGCCCAGAGCTGGGGTGAAGAGGGCTGCCAACTGGTGGTATATATGGTCTAACCTTCGCGGCCTCTTCATAAGCTGGTGGTGCATCATCGCTGCTCGCATCAGCTGGTCTATTGACAGCCGGGACAGTCGGTCTCTGATTGCGCGGAGGTATTGCCGGTCTGTTCTCCGGAAGGTCTGACTGAGACTGACGTGATCGAGTTGGATGCAATGTGATAGGTATGTTACCCGTCGAACCGCGGGGCGAGGGTGCACCATTGCCCGCCCCTTGTCCAGACCGACGTCTTCTGGCCTGTTCCGCGCGTTGCCTTTGTTCCTCTTCCTCTTGGAGCTGCAGTGCCATGGCGAAATCTGCATCGTGTTGCTCTTGTTGCTGCTGCGGAGACAGAGGTGCGTTATCTGTTTGATCGACCGTCAGATGCTGTGACGGACCGGAATTCGAGCCTCCGGCTTGCTGATGAGAGACGGGCATGAAATCCCCCGAGAAGAACTCATTACCTTTGCCACTTATGTCGACGAGTGACTCCCAGATAATTTCGTCTCGATCAGCATATCCAGCATCTGTGATCAATGTGAAAATCTGCCCTGACTGTGGATGCCTATAAATGGTGCTGAAATGATCATTCCGAAACATGATCGCAAATGACCCCGAGGACAGCGACTGCTGAATGTTCCGAAGCCCATATGGGGTGAGTTGTGTTGGGTGTAGCTTGAAGAAGTTCTTGATGGAGGTGATATCCTCCCAAACACGCTGTTCGTCGGGCGAGAGACCTTCTCGCGTAAGCTTGTATTCAAGCTCATCCTCGCTGAACTGTATGGCCTGTGCGTCCTCGTAAGTTGGGGCTGACCTTGCAAATGCCTGGGCAGCATCGGATTCTGGAATCCAGCCGTGTACAAGCGGCACCGAGAATGCACCATACAATTTGATATCACCTGTAGCTTCGAACGTGCCAGCCCTCGCTTGCGGCGGTTCGGAGCCTGGAACATGGAGCATTGAGTTTCTTGCATCCATGATGTTCGGCGCAGGTGCGGATGGTGGTATAAAACGCGGATTGGCGTTCATGCCGGTTCGCAGTCTCATGAGAAAGGCGTTGAGTTCGTCCACATCAGGTAGCTGCTGGCCTACCATTGAATTCCGGTCAACTAGCTCGTACATGAGGGTCTCAATGATGAGACCTAGCGAGACTTGCTCTCTTGACCGAAGGGCATCATCGAGCGCTGCTTGAGATTCATCCTGGGCACCAAGAATGAGAGCATTCACCAAGGCAAGGAGAGGACACGGGCCATTCTTGTTTTGAGTGAGCATTGAAGACCTCCGTAATCTGCCAGACACGTGGTCGAACCAGTTGAAATGCTTGATTTGATACGTTTCATTGCGATACTCGGCGTTCTTGGCCAGCTCCGCTTCAGACAAAGGTGCTGTTCTAATTGCTGGGCGAGGAGGCTTCGGCGGGGCTGCTTCTTCTGAAGATGGGATTCCGGTAGTACTGTTTAGGGACCTCCCTGGGGGTGGCCCAGGTGGCGGAGCATACTGCTCACTCTGGTGCGGCTGTCCAGTTGGATTTGGTCTGTGGGCTGACGGGGTGCTGAATTCATCCTCATCATCATCGTCAAGCAAAGACGGCTCAGCCATGCGGATATGAGTTTGCATTTCACTTGGTGGTTTAATTTGCTCAGTTACCCCGGATACTGCGCCTTGATGTTGACTGTAGCTCGGAATGCCGGCATTGTGCGGGGCCTCCAGCTTCTGAGGATCTGATGGCACGGGAGGTGGGACAGGCGCGTTCTCTCGCGGTGGACCCCATGAATTCTGGAGGTTAATTTGACTGTCTCGAGGTTCCGCAAAGGAAGATGGGTGATTCGTGAGTCCAACGTATGGCGGAGGGATGGGAGGGGGCGCTGCTTGGGGGGGTGGAGGTGCGTGCTGAGGGGGAGCGGGAGATTCGAACCCTTGCCATGGACCCTCTTGCTCCTGTTGAGGGGGTGCGGGAGACTCAAGCTTCTTCCAAGGATCGTCCTGCTCCTGTTGGGGGGTTTGCATCTTGTGGTAAGCTGAAGGGTCGGGTAGACTGCCTCCATTTATGCTCATCCGCGAGAAGTCTGTTATTGATGCACTGAAAGCTGGATCTCGCATTGGTGCTTTCCCCTTGCCTTCTGGTTGTTGCTCTTCTGAGCCCCAATGAGGGGACGGAGGTAGCGGAGGTGCAGCGACGGGCGGAGCGGGTGCGTCGGAGGACGGGCGGCGGAATGGATTGTTGGATGCAAACTCTGAATGCGGCGCCGAGTCTTCGTGATCGGTGAGCGTTACTGGCACGGGTTTCCGCTTGATTACGGATGGGGATGGTGGCTGAGGAGCGGCTGCGGGCGAATGCCCTCGCGGCCGTAGAGACTCTGGGACTTCTCGCACAGGGCTTCGGCGCGGCGATCTCTCAGCATTCTCTGCATCATCGTCATCCCACCAATCTCTTGATTCACCACTATCGATCGAAGAACGGGGCGTATCTTGACCGGAGCCGCCGGGCCGTAGGGCTTGTGGTATGTTGGTCAGCGAGTGCTCTCGCTGGTGACCGCTGGCCCCGGCCCCGCCTGCTCTCAGCGCATCTGGTAAAGATTGAGCGGGAGGGGACCTCTGGTCCTGCCATGGATTATCGTTGTCCATGTGTGCATTGGTTTGCTGCTGAGGTCGATAGTCTCTTGCGGAGCCGGGCACTGGTGGTACATCCGATGTGTCGACTACCAAGTCCGAAGCGGCAGGCGCGAAGGAATCGGGTTGCTGGTTTTGCGATGGAGAGGATGGATAGGGCAGGGAAGTTTTGCGAGTGACCATAATGTACACTGGACGATGGATGAAACGCAGTCTAGCTCCGTTCTTGCTCTTGTTCTGGTGAAACCGATTCACATGCTCGACTTCGTTGCTGTCGTGCAAAGTCGCGTGGAGCTTTCCATGCTACCGCGCAGAACAAGAGTGGTCGGATTGTTGGGGAGTAAATGTCGATGCCTAGCACGAAGATAGAACACAATGACTCTCGCTCACATCAACCCAGTAACAAACCGCGTCATCCCACGAGTCGCAGGCAATAGCCAACCGCAAACAAGGCGGACTCGGGCAGTGCTGGGGGGCGACGTCAGAATCTGTGGCTGTGGTGGCGGGTGGAATTGTGGCGCACCCCCCGGGTGAGAGGGCTCATGTACCCGCCGTTGGCGGCAGATAGTGCATTGCCATCTGATCGCAAGTCTACCAGGCGACCCTCCGAATACAGCAGCTACAACGCCGGACGTGTAAATCAAATGTACTAGATGCGGTTTGATCTCAATATTCGTGGTTTGCGTGCTTTCAATGACAATCGTATGGCCCTTCTCCTTATCTACACATCTTCGTCGGCACTGACCCAATGTGCCAGTAACGTTCACGGGCCCACAGCGTACTGGTCGCTCTCAACGCATCCAGTTCTACGGCTAGCGAAGGTCGTCGTAGGTTGGTTCGGTGCCGGAGGCGCCACAATCCAGCACAAGTTCTGCTTTTGCGACACGCGCCGCCCTCCCAACCACAGCATTGGCATGGGTTCGAGCATTCAGGACGGACCGCAAAGTTCGGATGATAATGAGGACTCTTTGCGCCAACAATCGTACCAGGCGAATTCATACATGAAGTATGTTGTCGTAGTAGAAGGAACCAGGCTAGGACCTAGCTACTGGAGGGCCATCGCAGAGCAGCGTACGGGCGCCTGCGGCCCTGCGACTGCTCCTAATGTAGCAGATTCTCAGTGTCCTTTAGGTGCTGAGCAATGATCTGAGTCCATCCTCTCGGCAAAGCTCCCACTCAAGTTCCCACCAGACATTGAGCGCTCCTAGGCATGCTCCTAGCTCGGGGGCTCGTCGCACGCTGTACACTGCTGAGGGCCTATGGCTGCTTGTCGTGCCGCAGGATTCTCTCGCGTCAGGGTTCAACGGTTGAAGTGGCACGACACTCAGTGTCGCCGGGTCTTCCCATCAGCGCCGTCGTTGCCCTGCTTGCCCCGTAGCCCACCCTACAGCAGTGGTATAAATTGAAGCTCCTCGCTCTTATCTTGCCAACTGCTCTTCTCTTCTTCTTGATCTTCCCTTCACTGTGATACCTATAGAGTCCCGAGCTGTCAGTATTGCAAGACCTCAAATGCTTTCGTCGAGCACTACCATGCCTTCCAACTTCTCCAGCAATTTCTCTACTGGCTCCGGTAAGCTGAGTCTTGCCTTCTGCTGGTGCTCGTCGCATGATGAGGTCTTCCAGTTACCCCGCACTTGCCAGCAGCTTTCTCGGTGTGGTGTTGATCTCGTCCAGGTCGTTCCACGAAGTCCGGTCCCCAGCCCTCGTACAATATGGATCGCTTCCTCAGCGAGTCTGCTCTCGATGGCCCACAAGTCGCGGGAAGCAACCCGCGTCAGCGCACGAAAGCACCTAACAACAAGTTGGATGCCATCATCTCGCAGTTCGAGCGCGCTTCCCTTGACGCTGGCCGGGTCTGAGCAATGACACCCGCCCCACCAAAGGTTACTCTATGCAAACACCGGCTGCTCGTCGTGATTTCGCTTTTGGGCGTTCCTTCCGCCAAGGTGTGTGCGGGTTAGCTACGCGTCGCATCTCGACCTCGTTCTTTTCGCCTTGTGGCATCAGATCTCGACGAAAATTCATCGCGCGGTGGATTTTCGATATGTGTCGGACTTGCATGTCCATTGCCTACCTCTTTGGAACTTTCTTGCTATTTAGGAGTAGTTGGCCTACATGTTGGATGATAGGATGATTCATGCAATTATCAGAATGCATCGAAAAATTGTGCGAGTCGGTGGTGATGAGTTATTGCGGTGTCGTCTTGCTGGGGTGGATCACTGCGGAGTGATTTGGCACAAATGTGCATTCGATTCGAGCGGTGCAAGGCAACCATTGCTAACCGGTCATGTCTCACCCTAACCCTAAACCATGTGGCCCAGCAGCCCAATCGGGGGAATATCTTCCCTGTCGCGCGACCCGGATGTCTCTAGCAAGCCTTAAAACGAAATCCATAGTTTGGAGGCCCCTACGTTTAGTCCACTGCTCTGGCCTAGCTTAAAAACTCGAGACTGTAAAAGGCTAGGGAAAGGCATTCCAAGACCTCACGAGATTGACGCCCGAGGCTGCAGGAACGCCATCTCACAGGTAGGCAATTTGATGATCTATGTATTTGGATTCCTGGGCTGCCTCTCTACCCTTACAACTGAGCTTGCGATTTTGTACGCGGCAGACCTCGTGTGTGCATCGCTCCTCTGGACACAACTCAAGTCCACAAGAGAGTCTCCCGATATTAGCTTCACTAGACTGGTCGCTCCGTCACCGCCGTGTTTCTCAATGCATCTCATTTGATCTACCACAACCGATCTTGCTCAAGCAGGCTGAACAGGATCCTTATGGTAACATTCCGCCGACACAGCCTTGAGCCAATTACGACCCCTCACATGGTAAGCAGACTGTCGGCCTAGGGTCAGCAAAGCAGTCAAGCGCCCAGAACGTGTCTCGATGAACTCACGATAGCATCAACGTACTCCATATCCCGCGGCTCTGTCTTGTACACCTTCAAGTTGGGGAATCGTCTGAAGAATGTTCCGAGAGTCACGTATAGCTCTGCATACGCCAATCTGTACCCCTACGTGTCAGTTGATTTGTCCCCTCTTGAGGACATAGTCGTGGGGCGAAGAGACTCACTGCATGCCCCCACATTGACGCGTTCCCTTAGAGAACGGCACCATATTGCGATCCAAGTGACGCACCGCCCCTAACTCTAGCCACCGCTCGGGGTCGAATCGCATGGGATCCGGGAAGACCTGCGAGTCGCGGTGCATCGTCCAGGATGACATGCCAACGATGGTGCCCGCGGGCACGAAGTAGCCGTTGAACGTTGCTCCCGGCTCAGGCACGACGCGAGGGAGACGGCCCGGCACGCCGAATGAGAGACGGAGTGCTTCTTTGATTACCGCGGACTTGTCCTTCTAGTCAGATTGGGTCGATGACTCCATGATATGAACTCACCAGGTAGGGGAGGGGCTCCAGGTCAGTGTATGCAAGCGGGACATTTACGTCCGGGAAGCGTGCCATCAGCTCAGAGGTGAGCCGTGCATATATCTCTGGCGTGCGTAAAGTGTGAAAAGCGGCGACCGTCATCGCATTACCCGACGTGTCTGAGCCCGCGAAGATAATAGAGAATGCCTCGTCCGTGAGCGCCGGAGTTGACGGTGGCACGAACCCAGCGGGTTTTACTTCCGGGTCCAGCAAGGTAGTGAAGATGGTAGGTCGCTCCGGCCTCCCTTGATGCTGCAAACGCTCTCTAATGGCATCGATCTCGCGCGCGAACGAGTCTCGCAAATGGTACACTGCTTTGAGAGAGCTGGAGCACGATGTGACGAGTGATTCGGGTAACGCCATGGCAATCTCCCGCAATATCGTCGACAGTTGGAACATCCATATCGAGGGGCCTACTCCAGTAACGTGGCCATGAAATGTCGCACCGAGGTCTTCGTGGTCCAACAAATTGAAGGACTTGTCAAACGCATAGTGCGACGCCACATCCGTCGACACAGCGCGAAAGCCATGATGTAAGTCAAACGGCACGTTGCGATCCAGTGCTTCCTGCACACGGGTGCAGAACGTCTGGACCTTTTCTTGTATCACGGGTTCGAGATACGTGACCATCTTGCGCGAGAACATGGGATTCAGTGCGCTTCTTCTTATGCGGTGGACCTGTGTCGGTAATCAGCCACGGTACCGAGCGGCGCCTAGACAGGATGTCAATACTTCGTGGTCAACAGCTCCAAACGTGGAGAGCGGCACGTTAGTCAAATCATAGTATACCGGATCCTTGGTGTAGGTGCTCCCCACATGGTAGATCCTGTCGTAGTTGGCCGGGTCAGCGAGGTGGATCTCATTAGGACATATCCTGACCACAGGCCCATAGACGTCATGCAAGATTCCGATTTGTTCGAAATATTTCCGTGAGTAGTAGGTCTGATACAGTTTGGTGCAGGCCGCCAATGATGGGCCTGGTACCCGCGCCAGTGGGTGCAGAAAGAGCCGGTAAATGCAGAGACCTCCAAAGTGTAGCAACGCCAAGGTGACGTAGATAACACTACGCTGGCTTACAACGTCTCCCAGGAAGAACTCCATAGCGGTGCAGAAGAGGGTGCCGAAGCCGTGGACCGTTGAAGATTTAGGAGACAGGCTGTCCTCGAGATAATGGCTGTCGTACTTCCGAACGGATTTGCATCATCACGTCGCTTTGACGCCCATCGAGGCTGTCGATGTGGTCAAAGCTGACGTAAGGGGTTGAGTTCCGTGTAACCAGTTGTCACAAATTGAAGGCGCAAGCGGGCGTGGGATTCGTGTGACATCTTCTGGTAGATGCCGCGAGACCATTCGACAAAAGTACAAGTGAATTGTTTTGGTGCATAGGGTCCACGAATCCCACATACACTTGTGTGCAAACAATCGCTTCTAGGGCGCCCCGATGTCTAGATATGAAACGCCCAACGGCTCATACCCTTCCCAGCAAGAACATTCTTCATCGCCTCCATCGTTGTCTTGAGTACGCCTTCCCTCTCATCTTTCGTCCAACACGCACCTTTGCCGTTGAGCCTGCCGCCAGCTCGGGCGTCCAGGATTCTATCCCCACCCTCCAGAATGGCGCTAGCGAAGCAGATGCAGTTCATGTTCCTCTCCTTAGGGTCAGTGTGCGTGGCGTTGGAGATTTTGGACACGATCTTGACGCAGTCCTCAAAGACCGCAAAGCGATTGAGTCTGGCCTTCGGCGGTGATACATATGCCGTCGAAGTGGTTGCCAGATGGCTGTCGAGCAAGGGAAGAAGGTTTTCCAGTCGACGTGCAGTACCTTTTGCCTCCTCGAGGACACTTTTGGCTTCGAGATTCCCGTCATCGGATCTTCTTGTCTCACAGCTGGCCCACTGAGCATCCGTAACATCATAGTCCTGCTGCTTGATTTTGAAAATCATGCAGCCGCCCTTGTCGTTGTTGCCCTCGTCTCTGCCCACGCCCAACCCGGCAGCTTTTCGAGCCTCGTGTGGAGGAATAGCCATACACCAGCTATCCTTGTTGTTTCGTCTATGTCCCCTCTTGAACTTGATACGAGCCCCGATATACCGCGTCCACGATGCACGGAAGCTCCTGGATGGGCGTTGGCCAGCGGGGAAGAAACTCTGCTTGAATTCTTCACAGAGATATTCCATGAGCGGGATCTCCTCGAGACCGCCTAGCTGCTTGAGAACGTTGTAAGAGTGCACCAAAGCGCCCATGTAATGACGATAGACAAAAAGCTTACTGCCGTAATAATGACACGAGTCAAGAATCTCCAGAATATGTGAGCCTGATACGTAGGGTGACTGAAAGTAAAGGTCCCATCGGTTGTGCTTAGCAAAAGCCACGAGGTCCTCCTCGAGGTTCTGCAGGTGATAGGCCAGTGTTTGGACACAACGACAAGGAAAGCAGTCTTTATTCCCAAGCAGGCGTTCAATGCTAGTAGCCGCATTCTGAGCTAGCTTGAGAGCCGTGAGTCGGTAATGAGTCACTGTCTTTGGTCTTTGCAGTGCTAGGACATGAGATGTGTAAGCTTGACAGAGAAGATCCAGACCTATGCTCAACCGAAACATGCTGTTGTCCTTGGTACCATGAAGTAGGGCATAACCGAGGTCGGCGTAAACCGGAGTGCTATTACGGACTATGGCGCTCGGAATGTGCTTGCTCTGAACGAGAGCGATGATGTTCTCGATCAGGGCCGAAATCAGGCGTGGGGCCGGAATACCCATCCCGACGTAGTCCAAAGGCTTTTGTATGACTGCAACGGTCTTATAGGAGCTTTGCAAGTCATGTGCATTGGTCTGATGCCGGACGAAATGTTGTATAGACGCCAAGCGCTCGAGCAACGCGTGCCAAGTCGATGTTTCGCCCGAGGATGAAGTTTGGTCAAGTATCATACAGCATTTCCGCTGTAACTCGGCCACGGTGATGTTCTCATCAAGCTCCCTCAGCCTGCTCTCGGCCCGCAAGAGTATCGCGTACCCAACGTGGGTAACAAAAGCTGCAGAGACAAAGTGGATAGCACCTTCTGCAGCCTGAACCCAGCATCGCTCAACCTCTTGCACAGTATCCTGGATTTCTTGCAGTGCTGAGGCGTACTCGATGGCATTCCCCAGCTCATCGTCGGCAAGAGGGAGATCCTTCTGCGGGCCGGGACACGGCCGCGCGGTATCAACGCGACACTCAGCACACTCATCCAGTGGATCGATTGCGCCTGGAGCGTCCTCCGCCACAGCGCCCTCTACTGCCAAGCCAGCATACAGGTTTCGAAGCTGACTAGTAGGACTGTCTGGCTCACTTTTCCTGTGGTCACCTCTGCACGTCTGCTTTGGGTTTTCGCAAATCGCACACAGGTTGGCGTATATGTTGGTTAAGCTTGCAAGTTAGCCACGTCTATCAAGTCATTCCTTGGCCATACCTGATCGTAAAGTGCTCATGATTAACCGTGTCAGCATCTTCAAGCGACTCGTCGCGAAAACCCCGGAAGTATTTGCTGAGCCGCTTGCGTGCAGCTATTGTCTCGCGAAAGTAGAAATGAATCACATCAGGCAGCTGAGTGATCTTACCAGTCACTAACGCGCAGAGTCTGGCCAGCTCCTTGATCGGCAGTTTTCTGGCGCCCGCGTAGTGCGAGGGAGCGTACTGCACTACCCATGCAACGATTGCACGGGTGCCTTTCTTATACCGGACATATGCATCGAGAACATCCGGTGGAAGCCCACTGAGAGTGATTTCGTGCGTTGGATTGAGAAGCATTTTGCCGCAACCAAAAATAGACGAGCGGGTAAGTCGTATGATGAAAGTTGGATCAGAAGGACTCGTAGGTACCTGCCAACTTCGATATTCACAGCGAAGTGCGACTATTACCTTTGGACGTTGTTCGTCAGATCGTAGCTGGGCGTGCTTTCTTCATGTACCTCTACCGTTGCAGTTCCGCAATTCAGGAACAGATTTCACGCGACTGGACATGGCACATCTGTGCTATGTGATTGGCTTCGACCATAGTCAGCAGAGGTGGACATGACTTCACCAGCGCCCTGTCCTCACTTGCAGTTCAGCCTCGACCAATCACAGTGGGAGAATTCGAGGACCTTCGCGTGGAAATGAGGACCTCTCTCTCGGCAGAGAAGACGCACGACAATCGGGAATATCATCATCGAGGCTATTAACGTGAAATACTTTGCGACAACGATCAGAATTGACTGCTCTTGGGTAACTAGTGCACGAAGAGTGAAAAGGCTATGATAGATGAGTTCAAGTCGCCGGCGTCATGAGGCATCGGCATATCTTCGGTAAGAAGCGCGTTGCTGATAGCATAGCCGCGACGCGGTCGACCAGTCCATTTTCTGATCGTCAATCGTCGGCGACTATGTCTCTAGGTTCGTAGTTCAAGCTCTGATCATAGTATATAGCATCTGCTGCCTCCATCGCGATTTAGCAACATGAATGATGGTTATCCACCGAGACAGAACCTCCTTTCCTATCATCGCCTCGAGCGTCACGTTCTGGTCTCCCGCTTCATCAATCACAGCAAGCGCTAGTGCCTCAGTGGCAAAGACAGATCTCTGATCTAACGTTGTACGAGCATGGTTCGTTGTCCGCAGTGCACTTTGATATACAGTGTCAGCCTCTTTCCCAAAGCACGTACTTGAGCCTCCGCCTCATTTTAGGCGAGGGCAAACACACCTGATAGCGGTCGCAGTGGCAGACCCAACCCCCGATGTCCGAAGTGCAGCCTTGAACGCCGGCGGTACACTGCAATGTTAGCTTTTGTCACCCTCCCTCAGGCTTGTTTGTGTCGGATGAAATAGACGGGCACTACACAATGGTGACAAGCTCTTCTTACCTGACCATTGAATGAGACTGGACAAGCTGATCCGCCAGGTCCTTCGCAAAAGTCTGCTGTGACAGACTGAAGTCCGAGAAGCCAGAAGGCAGCTACCAAAGCTGCTTTCAGTTAGCTTGCTGTTCAATGAACCAAGGCACATAGGTCAAAAGTATGCGCTGCACGTACGAAACGTTTTCCTGGACATATACATGGCTTCTCAGTTGTTCTTGAATAATATCTTGTACAGATCTTGCGATTTGGCACAAGGAATCACTGAGTTGCACAAACCTGCCTTATATAGATACGGGGCTTGTATCAGTGCGCTTATTGGAACCCTACATCAATTTTCAAGCGCAAGCATGATCGACGATCAATGCCTTGCAACCATGGGCTTGCCACAAATTGCCCCGTCCTGTCGTACTTCACGATGTAACCCTTATCTGTACGACATGCCCTATCCCGGGAACAGTAGCACGTAGCGCTGGTGGTACAGCAGAGGTGATCGTTCACCAGTCCCAATCTTTGAAATAATAGGCTGCAGTTGGGGCCAGATTGAGAACCCCTGCTCATGACTTGGGTTCTGCCAGCACAGTAAGTCTCCGTCCGCGCGTCGGCGGACCCTTTGAAGAGAAAGGCGAAAGTTGAAGTCCGCAGTGGCGAATTCAGGGCCATACAGTAAATGCGTCCCTCCATCTCTTTGCAGCGTTGGGAACTTGAAACCACAAGCTGCTACAGACCTAGAATTTCTACTCCAGCATGAACCTCACACAGATCACCGTCCTTCTAATAGCAGCTCTTGCTACCTACGCCGGAGCTTGCGAGAACTCTGACGAATGTCCCCCCTGCTTCTACTGCGCGCGGGGCCAATGCTTTGACTATTGCGTGAAGAATGATACGTCAACGTCTGTAGCCTAAGCTGAGTCCACACTTGACTAATATGTCTACGCAGCCAGAAGTCTATTGCCTCCTCTCGATGAGTAGCTGGCTACGGTGGCCAGGTCATCATGAGGGCCAGAGTACAGAGGAATAGGTCAAATGCCGCGATGACAGTCTATCGCTGAGCCCATGATCGGACGATTTTTTAGTCTGTCATGAATTGATTTCGTTTCTCATCTCTCCTGCTTTGACGAGATGTTACAACGGGTACGATGTCTGTAATATGATAGCCGATCTGCCAAGCCAACACGCCTTACCACCTGGCACGCAGTCTGCTAATCCTTCCTGTGTCCCGCTCATGGCTATGCTCTCCAAGGTCACTGTGGACTTGGCACGACGTGTTGATCCAATGCAGTGTAAGGCGGCAGGAACGTGGTTACTGACTAGTTCATGCCCAAGCTCTCCGGACGAGTGAGTTGCCACTGCTAGGAAACCCCAGGCAAAGCGATCGGGAGTACGACAGAGCCCTAGTCGACATCAAACTGGTTTCTGAGCTTGGCAACGCTGAAAGGTGGGACGTGATAAAGAATACTCCGAAGCTGCTCCACTCGAGAACATGCCCTAGGTATTGGAATTGCCATGTTCACCCACATAGATTTGTGGAAGTGCGATTACTCCAAGGCAGGTCAAAGGGACCCGCATGCAGACGCTCTCCTCAAAGAGAGACAGTTGAGCCGCTCGGTAACTTAAATTAACCACATTTATGCCAAACAAAGATTAACGACTTGGCCCCATTCGTGCATACGAGAGCGCTGATCCCAGCGCCTAGGCCTGATATTGTAGCTCGGGGGCCAAACCAGCAATTGCCAGGGTAACCTGTACCTCTGCAGTGTCGAATCATGTCCAATTGAGTCACTAAACAGCGTGACGCGGACTGGAGCTTCCTCTCCTCCGACTGGGGGCTCACGCTGTGGTATCGGGGAAATGGTTGTGCTCTGCGACTTTCCCGACAAAGCAGTACCAAGTATGACACCTGAATGTACCGAACACCGCTTTAAGGGGAAATACATGATCACAAACGCATTGTACACTTACTGACAGTGGAGCGAGCTGGACAATATGACTCGCTGGGCGGCTTCAGAGTTGTCCATCTGGACAATCCCGTCCAACTCGCTGATCATCACTTGAAGACCCAGCATGGCGATTTGGGGGCTGCACTAGTGCTCTATGTGCAGATCATGCGTCTCATGTAGGTGGGCCCGCTTGCTCTAGCCTGTTATGACATGGATTAGAATAGGAAACAACGGCAAATACCTGTTCATCTGCTTGATGATATTGAGGTACGAACGAGGTACGTTAATCACGGAGACTTGTTTCGCTACGTAGCATTTCCAGATGTAACGTTAAATTTGTCGGCTCGGTGTTCACTGAGAGGAAATGGTTATTCCTGGAAAGCCACACTCTAATGGTCAGGATTAGAGTCAGCCCTGAGGACTCTGCTCGTACACGGGGGCAGTGCCAATGCTCCGGCTATCCACGTCGGCCATTGACCCGATGCCTATAACCCCAATGTTGTTCTTACACGCAATATACATCTCTCCGTCTGACCAAAGCAACATTTCCCCCTCAATTGCAATTCACCTTGCAATTTCCAGTGGTAAAGAGGCGTTTTACAAGCTGCAGCGATGCATTACATCAAGCTTTTGACTTTGTCGCTGAGCACGATCGCCACGTGTTTGAACCAGCCCTTGCCAGAGGCAGCACCCACCAAGCGCGACGAGGGCGATACCTGGAGTTTCACAGCCTCCAGTGGCACCGAGTACTATGTCCTCATCAGATCACAAAACGACGCGGACCCTGCTAACTACGACGATAACCAAGGTGTAACAGTCTGGGAGTCCGCGCTCAATGAGATCGCCATGAATGCTGGTGGGGCCGAAATCGCAGCCTATAATAACCTCGATGACGGGACCACGCTTATCGTCTCTGGCAATATCGTGGATGGCACTTCGTGGCAAAGCGCTGCGACTCTCGCCGATTGGGGTGACATAGTGTCGCAATTCGAATACAGGACGACCCAAGAAGAAAATCCAGACTACCTCTATCTCACGATTGGAACGTCCGAAGATACTGTTTACTTCTTCGCATCCTTTTCGCTGAGCTGGATCAACGGCTGAACCGGGCAACATCAGGCTTCTCTGTGGTAAACGTACAGGAGAGGTACACAACAACGTCACAGCGGCGCTTTGTAATTGACCAACCAACGAATCCAGCCATGGCTTTCTCGATTCGGTCCACACGTTCATTCATCCGTCAATATTACCGTCGATGCACCCAGCAACACCAATGGGTTGCTCGTCAATCGATCTGTCAGCCAGCAAACCTCTCATTTAGCACTTTCCTGCTCAACAGCTCTCTAAGACACGTATCACTTCGCATCTGGTGCTTTCAGCAGCGCGAGACAACTGCCTAAGAAGATGTCGCAGCAATCTTGCATGCCAGAACCTCAGATACTCTATATACAAAAGCTGCAGCTTGTCCATCTGTACTTGCAATCGCCGAGAATCACTTTTCGTGTATTGATGATAACAACGAGTTGGGATGCCATCACCATAGGCAAATTTCATCTGCAGCTAGCGTACGAAGCCAACATCATGTATCTCGAGCATAGTTGATAAACCAAGTATAGTACACATGGACTATTGCAAACAAGCTTATGCTGTGGCCTGCGACTAAGTTCCAGCGTTTGCAGCGCGTGTTATTGTAGAGAAGAACCCGTTGAGAGAGATAGCCGCTGCATCAATGGAATATATCTGCCCGCGGACCCCTTTTACCAATTTCGAACACTGGCATCCTTCCGGGACGTGAAAGGACAGCCAACCTCGAGGTGCGACAAAGAATCTATAGGAAACTGACGAGTATTGCCCTATATGCTCCGATAGGATCTAGTACCACGATGCTTCGACAGTGATAGAAGCACTCTCGCAAGTGACCCTGCAGTACATGTGCTTTGTGAGCTCTAGCGTGTGAAACTTGGAAAAGGAGACAGCCGAAAGGCCAATCTCGTGTGAATACTTGGATCATTCTGGTGTCGCTCTCGCATACAGTGAGACTGAACCCTATCTGTGTCTTCCCACTGGATCTACTGTCTGCCAGCTTTGCCGCTGGATGCTCAGTATGGACACGCCAAGGCTTTTACTGCCTGATATTAGCTCCGCCAAGTACTAAAAAAGTTGACGCTAAACGAGGTTGTGCACCGGCTCGCAAAAATCCAAAAACAATCAACAATCAGGATTCGCTGATGGTCACCCACTCAACTACTAACTGATCGGCCTGTGGTTTAAGTTGCCTGAGCGGACGGGAAGGCCTGTTTTCCGCAGCCTATGGTCGATTGCGAAAGGCATTCGTGCGTGTTTTGTATATATAGATATGCCCTGCTGTTCTTCTCTCTCAGCGACCTAGGCTTTGCGAGCTTGCCTTCACCGACACACACCCTGTTGTGACCAACAGAATTTCACTGACAATCAACTTCAGTGTGCACAGCCGCGCACTACCAGGCACCGGTCTGCTGCGTCAATGACGCGCAGGTATGGCAGCAGGCTGACAACGGTTCACTTTGCGGGCAAAAAGTGGAGAGGACTGACCAAGGAATTGCGAAGTTGGGTTTCCGCCTCTGAGGCGCCTCTTGAAGCTTAGCTTTGAGCCATCCAGACAAAAAAAACTGCTGTCGTCGAAGGATTATGCCTACCTCATATTGAAAGTTGACTACTCGGACGCGTGAGACTTTGTTGAGCTGCCGTCAACATTTCTTGACACGAGCGGCGCTGGCATACAGAAGGAGTATTGCCTCAGCACTCGCAAGCGAATACAGGATGGAAGCCCGACAGAAGCGATAGAAGACACCGAGTCTGCTTGTGTGGCTGCAATAATCTGGCTTTGGTTTGCGTACAATGAGAAAATGGCTGGAAGTCTATTTTAAACCAAACCTCTAACGCTCCGATCGCTATTCAGACTCGACTAGCAGTGCCTTGGGGCCACATTAGTGCACCATTGAACTGTCCCCACCCCATAACCTTCTCACGCAGGAGCGTCGAAACAATCCGTCAACGCCTTGCCAGCGTGTTTGCTCGAGGCATGCTGCTCCAGCGCCGGCTGCTTGGTCGTGACCTGAAAGTCCTGTCTGCAGATCTTGCAGATGATGGATTTGGCTGCTGCGTTCTAACACAACCGGGAAGCCCGGAAGGAATGATTAGCGCGGTACTAGCATTTGTGTTCGTTGCAGTGACATTAAGATAACATGAGAGGCCGGTAAACTGGAGTGGAAGCACTTGCAGACAACTTCCAAGACTGTTGGAGCAGAATGAGATTGTACGGAGGTGGGGAACAGTTAAATGACAACGGGGCAGAGAAAGGGAACATACAGATTTCAGCTGCGAGGTAGGCCCTTTCTTGGTATCCTTAGCATTGCGCTCGCGCTTCTGCTGTGCTCGAGCACCGTTGCCCATTGTGGTGTCGATGGGCGATGAACTCGGTTCGTCAAGTGAAGAATCTGGATGAGCCGCAAAATTTTGCCACGTAATTCGCTGGCGGCACACACGCAAAATAGGGACGGATCCAATCACAGTGGCTTGTCGATAAATGGTTGAGATAGAGCACGAGTCGTCCGTGAGTATAACGTGGGTGTCAAGTTGTGGCAGGGAGGGCACTTGGACTGTCGTTGAACTTGACGCGATAAGGTTTCAGAGGTTTGAAGGAGTCTTGGCGAGTTTGTGGCTTTCTGCCCGGAGATAACTCGGAGCTAACCAGCCGGCACTGAGGTCTTGGCAACCGTACCTTATTCACATACCAGGTAGCTAGGGAGAGATTCAGGTGGATTTCATTTCCTCCACTGGCTATTTACAGTTAATTATCACAAGCTGGCAAGACTTCTAGTGACTGCTGGCGAACGTGCATGGTCGTATCCACAGATACCTTCCGAGATTTCCCGGCTGGTTTTGTAGAGAAACGGGACTCACCCAACTGCGCATTGCAAAGAGTCTACCCAGGACCCGAGCTGGGTTTTCGACCGTAGACAACGTACCTAGCAACACTCATTAGCTTTACTCAAGGTCGTCGTGGGCTGCACATACATCGGCCAGTATGAATGTATCCTCTTATCCTGAACATCCTTCCTCACGCCAGCAAGTATAACCTCGATCTCTTCCGTGCTCATTTCTAACGCCATAGTCCACAGTCGTACAGTGAATCCTTCCAGACCATCGAGCATATTGATCAAATTCCAACTACCCATCTCCTTTAGCTTGTCATCTTTCGGCCAGGTATTTACTGGCCATTTGAATACTTCTTCCTCAACGCCGTCAAACCCAGCCGTGGTCATCCATTCCTTATATTTTGCGGTATAAGAAGGATCCCTTCCTAGCTTCGAACAAGCCTGTATGTACAGTTCATTCCATTGCTGATACGTGGTACCATCCATAGAACCATCATCGCACTTGAGGGGCATATATAAATCCTGCATCTCAATCCAACCCCCTGGCCGTAGAGAATCATATGCTCTTTGGAATAATGTCGGAAAGTCTGCACTCGATGTGAGCAGCATCCGCCCATGAATGAAATCGAACTTTGTTTTGTATGCCCACTCCTTGTCGAAGTCATCCACCACGAATCTACAATTCGGCGGAACCCAACTGGGCTGGATTGGACTCAGATCGACACCGACGACATTCGCCTCTGGATGCTGATCCGCAAAGTCTATGGCCCATGTACCTGTTCCTGTCCCAAGGTCTAATGCTTCATGGACGGGTTCGTCAATGGGGGCGAGATAAAGTTTTCTGTCCAAGGAGCGTAGGAACATTTCGTGCTGCAGATCGAGTCGCTCCTGTTCTCGTGCATCTTCGGGAAGTATATACACGCCATCTCTGTACTTGTGATAGCCTCGGCCGTTTTCCTGCACACTTTCTAGAAGACTAGACCGGAGCGTTGCAGTGTAAGTTGAATCACCTTCGCCGAAGGCGGAATCTATCTCTTCATCGTTATTGGGCTCAATGCCGGTTGCTTCAGCATGTCCTCCTGGATCCATTGTGAAATGGGGAATTTGCAGAGTCGCTTTAGAGCTCACTTTAATAAGTGCAAGACCGTATGAGGGGCCCAGCTTGCGGACAGTGCGACACTTTATGCCCGAGCTGCACTGTCGGCACTTCAGCGGCACTGCGACACCACGGCTTGGGCCCTACACCACCCTGCACAAAATCCCAGGATCTTTCCCCCTTGTCGGACGTGCAGATTTCAAGAACGCCATCAGCGCATTGAACACTAGGAGCCGAGCGATGTGATGATGCAGCCAAGTGCGTTCGATATCTTGACGCCGTCAAAAGTTTGCAGTGCACGCCGCCACGCGAGGTAGAGACCAGAAACGATGTTCGGCTATTGGTCCTAACGCTTCTTGGCCCGACACGCTCCCAGCAGCGGAAAGATCTCCCCGGGACCTAACGGCACACTAGCCACTAGTCTGATGCTCGCCCAGAAGTACACATCTTAGGAACTCGTGGGGCCAGTGCAACATCGGGTAGATTTGACTGCCCTGTCGGATGTCTGCTGAATCGTGCCAACTCCAGTGAACTACGAATCCCAGGAGATCGCAGCCCTCAGGAAGAAGAGCGAACTGGGAAGAGGTCACCACGTGTCACAGGCTTCTCAATAGCCCTTATCGGAAATTGCAAGATATGGCACGGTGGCCGGACTGTCTTCACTTTTGACTCAGCACTCATCCTTCTCTCCCTTTTTGCACAAACGTCCCTCGAGCTACTCGAAGACATGTCTGTTCTGGGACCACTTTCTGGTTCCCTCTTACTCGACTTCGTGCTTTTATTGTTCGCGTTATACATCTCAGCCTGCATACGATCTTATCGTCATCTCAAGCACATCCCAGGACCAAATCTCTGGGCTTGGTCGGTCATACCGCTCTTCTGGACTCACTTGCGGGGCGACATCTTTGACAAATTCGATGATCTCAATCGTCAATATGGGCCTCTGGTTCGAATCGCCCCAAAGACGCTTCTGGTGTCAGACCCAGAAGTTTTGCGCCGAATGTCGGCTGCCAGATCGCCGTACACACGATCTGATTGGTATCTGGCCATGCGCCTGATCCCTGGTAAAGACAATGTCTTGTCGACACGAGACGAGAAACACCACGATGACTTACGTCGCAAGATGGCATCCGGGTATTCCGGCAAGGAGAATCCTTCTTTGGAGCAAGACATTGACGAATGTGTGCTTGACCTTGTAAAACTTATCGACACGAAATATCTCAACTTGCATCCTGGTCAAGTCGTGCGTACGGATCTGGCACGCAAAATCCAGTACTTTACAAGCGATATCATGAGCAAGCTGGCTTTCGATGCGAAGTTTAATGATCTCTCCGAGGACAAGGACAACTTCGGCTACATCCACGAGGTTGAGACAATCTTCCCGAGCATCTTCTGCACCTGCACTATACCAGCTGTTGTCACATTCCTCACCAGTATCGGCTTTCTGAAACTGTTTGCACCATCAGTCAATAGTACTTTCGGTCTAGGCAAGGTCCTCGGCATAACTCGTTCGCAAGTTGCAAAGCGGTTCGACAAGAACGGTAAGCCCGAAGTCGAACACAAGGATATGCTTGCTAGCTTCATCCGCCACGGACTTAGTCAGGAGGAGGCTGAGCAGGAGAGCGTTATGCAGCTCGCTGCTGGTTCCGATACAACTGCTACGGGACTGAGAGCAACTCTGCTGTGCATCATCACGAACCCTCGTGTACATACTAAATTGCTGGCGGAGATCGATCAAAGACGTCTTTCCGGAGAAACAACTTCTAGTAGCAACAGCATCATCTCTGACCAGGAGGCGAGAGAACTTACATACTTACAAGCATGCATAAAGGAGGGGCTCAGATGGTATCCTCCCATTGCTGGAATGCTGTCAAAGAAGACTCCTGCAGAAGGCGATACCTTATGCGGCTACCCAGTCCCCGGCAATGTCAGCATTGGATATTCTGCAAAGGCAGTACATCGGTCTGCAACTCTCTTTGGCCCGGATGAAGACGTCTTCCGACCCGAACGCTGGATTCACAAAGATCAAGGTGGCGACGAGACCTCTGCTGACAAATTGAAGGCAATGGAGCGCAATAATGAACTCGTTTTCGGACATGGCAAGTACCAATGTTTAGGTAAGAGCGTCGCTGCCCTTGAATTGAACAAGGTTATTTTTGAATTGCTGCGTCGATATCAGATCACGCTCGTCAATCCGACGCAGCCATGGGTATCGAGCTGCTATGGCATTCATCTGCAGCGAGACATGTGGGTTACGATACGCGGGCGCAGGCAGACGTACGACGGGTGAGAGTGCAGAGACTAGCCCAACGTCTGGCGGTACTAAGTGAAAGGAAAATCTGTGACGATCCACCGCAGAAGTATCGGTTGCAATATTATCACTGAGTGAGGACAGTGGTGCCTGGTCATGCCGACTAGCACCTGACACAGATAGACTATGATTCAGTACGTAGGCTACTGGTTCTGAACAAGACGTGGAGAGTCCTGGATGTCGATTGGTCTCAGTATGCATCATGTGTGGTTTCTCGGCATCAACGTTATCTGCTGTTCGTACTGGGGGTATACAAGACAAGGTCTTGCGTAACATTCTCATTCGATATAATGAGCAATTCCCGCACCAGCTGAGAGGACTTCCAACGTCACTCTCCAAACTCAAATAGACCTGCATGGGTGTGCTCCTTTACGTGTCAATCATGAGGCCATGAGGTGCCCCAAGATTCTATCTTCCCAGCTCCGCAATCGCACAGGGCCAGTTGACAAGCAACGGTACCCGAGTTTGCTATGATGACACACGACATCTGGCAGACTGATCATCTTACCGACAGATTCTCCCTACTAAGGTCAATGTCATTAATGAATACTACTATACTCGGTGGTAGATCCTCGTCCAGTCGTTGTTTCAAAAAACAAAAGAAGTCAAAGATCATCAAGGGCTCAGGTCGTCGCGGGGAACGCCCAAGACATTACCACGGGCCAGACTTGCTTCCCGTCCTCCGCCTTCTCCAGATCCCGATGCAGTTTCTCGATCCCGGCGGGACTTGGGTCCGGTAGGTATGATGGATCGCCATGCCCTACAATGCCACGACCGATCTTAGCCGTCATCTCAGGATGGCCCTGGAATGTGAGGATCCGATCGGAGTCGGACCGCATGATCTCGTGGTCGTTGGCGAGATCGGTGAAACCCGGTGGCGCGCGCTCGACCACGCGTTTGTGGAATTTATGCAGTCGCTGCTCCGCCCGCGTCAGACACCTCGTGGACATTGGGACTACTTACAAGGAAATTAAAGCCTTTGAACACCTTCGAACCCGTGTGGTTCAGCTGGATCTCTCGCACGCCGATCTGTCGGAGGTGGAATGGTTGGTTTCGCGATTCATTATACGCGCTAGGGCCGGAGGGGGCGGGATGATTCATACCAGCGTCCCAGCCTTTCCATACACAACCGTTCCGCCCAACGCTCGCGCGATGACCTGGTGGCCCCAGCAAATGCCGACAAGTTTCGTGCTGGGGCTTTCGCGCACCGTCTGCCTGATCCAGTTGACCGTCCTGGCCACCCAAGGGTCAAACTGCTCCTCTGGTAGAGTGATATCCCAGGTGCCGCCGGTGAGGATGACCAGATTGAAAGACGCCGCGTCTGGCGTGTCCCCGCCGTCTATTGGCGCGTAGTATTCGATAGCAGCCTCCGGTTGCGACTGGCGTACGAGCCCGGCAATGGAGTCGAGCATTTGCTGGCCCCATTCTGTTTCTACATCGAGAGGATAGTTTCGGAGAATGGCGACCCGAGGGAACGGCGTGGTACAGGCAATCATGTCGATAGAGCAGAGGTGCGAGTGTTCTGTGCAGTTTGGGGCTCACAATAGGAGGGGATTTATCGCTGGGGTTGGGGAGGGAGCGGGGCTCCTTCGGTATGGATTGCGACGAACGCCAGGACAATCGCGTGCGTCCGACCGACGGGGCAAGACGCGCGCACCGAGGTAGATTCTAGCCGCGCCTCGCCTGTTGCGAGCGCGATAGTGAATCGACTTACCGTTTCGGGATCAACACCTTCTATGCGGATATCAGCGTCTGGGATAAGTTATCATAGTGCGTCCCTCGTTTTCTCGAGCACTGCAGATGGACACGACACTAATCATTAATGTCTAGTTCGGTTGCGTCCCTTGATGATTCCCATTTTCCGGGCTCTTCCAGTAGTTCTCGATGGCAGAGTGCATGTTTGCCGTCATCATTATCTGAGGTTTTTTCGTTGTCGGACCAGGCTTCACCTAGAAAATTTGCAGCTATGCTAGCACCAGAGTCTTGCTTGCGGCCTTGGACGCGCCTGTTGCTCCCGGGAAACCTCATATTGACAGTGTGATATACCCCAGGCTTACAATCTGTAACGGAATTGTTTGTTCTCCTTGTCGGTGAGATCATGGAAGCCCTCCTCGCCGGTTTCCGCCACGCTCATTCCCTGGTCAACAATGCCTGACCGTGCCGCCTTGTCACGGATGCGATTTTGGTTCCACATGAAGATTCCGATCGCGGCCGTGAAGAAGGCCGAGGCGCTGTAGATGCCGCAAAGAGCTTTGATCGCCGACATGTAGCGAGGAGCTTCGCTAGGAGTGAACATGAAGGGGCCAATGACATTGCCGGTGGCGTAGAAGAAGAAGTTTGCGCTATTGACCGTCATGCGTTTAGAATGGCCGGCAAAGTTGGCAGCGACGATCGACCAGTTCAGGATAATGGCCGCACCGATGACTCCCAGGAGCCAGCAGCAGGCAGTGAGTGCGAGGCGGTGAGATATGTCGATCGTGGCGACGCCTATGATGCCGGCCAGGGACGGCACGTGGACGATTACAACCGTCAGTACGGTCGTGTTGCGCACGGCAGACGAGAACCAGCCGGCGAAGACTGTGCAGACAAGTTGAAACGCACCACTTGGCAGCTGATACAAGACGTTTTGAACTTGCGAATAGCCGAACCCTTGGAGGAGCGCGCTCATAAAGTTGGCGATGCTGCCGTTGATGATGCCGATAGAGAGTTGCTGAGCCGCGACGCACCAGACCTTGGGATCGAGAAATGCTTCGCGAATCTGGTACCAGAGAATCTTACTGTGCTTGATTCCCGTCTGGTTACCAGAAACTCGCCAGACCGAGACGACCTTTTCCTCTTCCGTGAAGAGTTTGAAGTCGAGAGGGCTAGAAGGCAAGTAGAATAAGGCTACAAGGCCCACGGCGAAAGTTATGACACCGATTACCTCAGAACAATTAGCATGGTCTCTCCATCAAGGAGAAGGTGTGTTTATACCAAAAAGATCAGTTGGAAAGGCTCCAGAGACGTGTCACGGCTATGGCCGAGCCCCCAGGAGATGCCGGATCCCAACATGAGAGCTATGCCGTTGCATCCGAGCCAGATGCACATGCGGAGGGGCTGCTCATCTCTCGTCCAAAACATGCTCGTCATCAGCATCCACGCTGGCCCAATGCACGCCTCGGCGGCCCCGAGCAGGAAACGCAGCGCCATCAGCCCGGCAAAATTCTTTGCGCCAACCGTGGCAATGAGAAGTCCGCCCCAGGTGAGGAGCATCACCGAGACGAACTTGCCGATGGGGAACTTCTGCAGAGCTAGGTTGGACGGGTAGGAGCCTACCATATATCCGATATTCGTAACCGACGCGACCCAGGCATAGTCCCGACCGACAAGGTTCAGTGACTCCTGCAGACCGAACGCGTTGGAAAAGTTCAACGTCTGCTTGTCGAGAAAGGAAAGCAGATAGATGAGGCACATCTGATGTTCATTAGCTTTGTGGCCAGGCCTAAGAGCCATTAAACTGTTACCCCAGGGAGGAGGAAGCAGTCGATCTTCCTCTTGACTCGGCGTGCGATTGCTTCGCGCGTCGAAGGGTCAATCTCCAGCGCCCGTTGGTAATAAGACAATCCAATATCAGTATGGACGTTCGCGGCATGCTTCTCCGAGTCTTGGAGAGCGTCGGGAACCGCGCTGGTGCGGGTGACATTGACATCAATCTTGTCCGTGGTAGCGGCCATTTTGAATGAGAGATTTGGGTCGGGTTTCGCTGTTGAGGCGCCGTAGGGACCTTATATCACGCTACAGCGATCTATATTGCCCTCCAATCAATGCCGCAAGTAAATACCACATTGCGGAGCTCCATCGGGCCAAGTAACTTCCTATCTCTCCAGGCCGGGCTAGTGCCCTTGATTCGAGACTAGAGTCTCGAGAGCGCGGCAAAGTAGCATCGGCATTGATATAGCCACGCACGACGAGATAAGAGTTCTCGGCATTGACCTAGCGAGGCGCAGATCACTTTCTCCATAACGGACTTCAACACCGCACCTGCTCCAAGATAGGACTGCTGAGGGCGGGCCTTGGTGTCTGAAGACGTAAACCGACTCGGTTCTGGAATCCACGATAGAAATGGCTACTCCAGCGCACAGACCTGGGGCGTGTTTACATTTCTGCCCTCATTAGACTGTCTCGATATACCGCTCAAACTCCCTAGCGAAGCGGGGTTGGTTAGCATGCGGCCCGAGCACACGGCGTTCGCGTCCAAGGACTGGCTCATATGACTTACCAGTCGGTGACTGCCTCTCTCCACGACCTCAATTCATGCTCCCTAGTCGCGGCGTAAAAGTCAACGAATTCGTCTCCTAAGATATCACGCGCCACGCTGCTTGAGGCCTTGAACCGCTTCACGGCCTCCTCCAGCGTGTTGGGCAGCAGCTCCAACTCGGTGACGTTTCGAAGATTCGTCGGTGGCACCGGCACAGCCAATTTCTTCCTGATGCCGCGCAGGCCGGCACCGAGGACAGCCGCCATTGCGTAGTGGGGATGCAGGTCGGCGCCAGGAATGCGGACCTCGAAGCGCGTGGCACTGGCGGACGACACGGGTGGCCCGATCATTCGAATGGACGACATGCGGTCCTCCAGGCCCCACGAGACGTGTATGGGTGCCCAGTGATTCTCCACGAGCCGCTTGTAGGAGTTGATGGTGGGTGCAAGGAGCGGCATGATAGACGGAAGCGCCTCCAAGAGGCCCGCGAGAAAATGGCGGCCCAGGTCGGAAAGGTGGACTATGTCTGGGTAGGGGGCGGAGGCGTCAGGGGATTCGCGCGCGAAGAGGTTATTGCCTGATGGCGACAGAAGAGAGATGTGAATATGACCAGAGTTTCCCGGCAGGCCGAAGATGGGCTTGGCCATGAAACAGGGTGTGATGTGGTAGGGGATGGCGATTGATTTTGTGAGGTATCTTCGAACGTTAGTGGCAAGATCTGAAGGGTGAGGATCAGAGAGACATGCTTGAATAGAGCTACTCGATCCGCAGCTTCGGAGATGTCGCTGACTTTGATTGCCTAAGAATCGTGTTACTCGTTTGGCATTGATATACGAAGACGCTGCATCGCGAGGGGCCACTCACTGCTTCGAATACCCCGGGACCGGTCTCGGTGTGCCACCCTTCTAACTCACACCCGAACTCCAGGCTTTGGTCAAATATATCGTAGAAGTACTGTCGATTCATGGCCGGGCGGGAGATACTGTAGCCAAACATGCCCCCGGTCAACGGCCTTAGGTTCTTTCGGCCATTCTTGGCCAGAAATCCAGCCAGGTCCCGGGTCTGCTCTCTGTTGCTGTAGCCATCTTCGGATGGGGTCTGGAAGTTGTGGAACTCCAGTTCCGCTGGGTGATGTGATCAGTTGACAGGCTTTGCAGAGAGTGTGAGGGGCAGCACTGACTTCCTACCTTCGCAGTGTATCCGAGGGACTCTAGCTGTGCACAGATGTCGCGGATCATCGACCGCCCGTCGGCGAAGACCGGTTGATGGTTCGAGGAGACATATCGTAGCAGAAAAAGCGGGATCCCATCCTCCCACGGGATGCGTCTGAAACTTTTCAGATCCGGGATTGCAATGAAATCCGCCGAGGAGCCTCCTTCGGCCGACATGATCTCGGTGTGGGTGGTGTATAACACGTCGTGCATGTCCCAGCCAAAGATGGCAGAGCTCATTCCAAAGCCCTTGACGGCACTCGACAAGAATTTGTCCTTGGCCATGACCTTACCCCGCAGGATTCCATCGGTGTCAATGCCTGCAACTTTGACTCGGGTGTCATGGCGGAGGAGAGCAGCGAGGCCGTCGACGTAGGTCGAAGGCGTGCTGGGTGTATCTGGGACAAGATCCCCCATTATCCCCTTAAAAGACAGAAGCAGACTGACTGCTCAGGAGGAACGAGAGGAAGACGCTGAGGTAATATCACCATCGAGGACATAGACCACGGGACACTCGATGCGAGAACAAGAACAAGACACACAGCTAAACACCTGGGAAATTCTCATTGGGCTAACACTTCAATGCGTCTGGATCCATCACGTACCATTATTGGAGTAAACAATATCTCGGGGGGGGCACACAGTTGGCGCCACAGCACGAGAACCGCATTCTGGCGTTGGTGCTGCCAAGCGCGCGGTCTTTGAAGGCGCCAAAGCTTTGCAGTCCACGGCACCGCGCTCTCACAACCGCTGACCGCGCTCTTGGATTTGCGCTAGTGCGGCATCTTTCAGGAGGTTCCAGTGATCGCCCGTTTGCGTGCCAACAGCCTTGACAGCCTAGGCGGCTACTCGCGCTGTGATGTCTGAAAACCACCTTCAACACTGTAGCAAATCTTTTTTCGCATACAACGCTCAGGCTTACCACAAACCCGGGCAGATTGTGCGCCATGGTCAACGAGACCATCCGTACCATCTCCCCCGCAACGCAAGAGGTTGTTGTTGAACGTCTCGCAGCAACGTTCCAAGATGCCGAACGAATGGCCAAAGCCTCCAGCGAGGCGTTCAAGTCATGGCGCAAGACGCCGCTGTCACAGCGCAAAGACATTGTGCGGAAGGCTCTCACAATCGTGCAAGCACGCAAGGAAGCCCTGGGTCGAGAGCTGACGACTCAGATGGGCCGCCCCATTGCCTACAGTGTCAAAGAGATCGAGACCATGCAGCTTCGCGCAGATTATTTGCTCGACATCGCCGACGACTCGCTCTGCGACCTACCCGGCCGTCAAGAGAATGGCTTCGAGCGGTGGGTCCAGCGAGAGGCGGTTGGCCCAACATTGATCGTGTTCGCTTGGAACGTCAGTCTCCCTCCAGAACAAGGCAGGCCCCGTTGAATACCGACACACGGTCACTTACCTGGCGCTTCTTCAAACAGTTTCCGTTCCTCATCATCGTCAATGCCCTCGTTCCCGCGCTTCTCAGCGGCAACTCGGTCGTCCTCAAGCCCTCTCCGCAAACCCCCCTGATCGGAGAGCGCTTTGTCGAAATCTTCGCCGAGGCCGGTCTGCCCGCCAACACCCTTCTTTGCCTGCACATCGGCCGTCCCGAGCTCCTCAGACAAGTGGTGCAGCAGATCCCGGACTTCCAGCTCATTACCTTCACAGGTTCCACAAAGGTCGGCATCGACCTCCGCAAGGCCACGGCCGAGCGCGTCGTGCCACTCAATCTGGAGCTCGGCGGCAATGACCCGGCATACGTACGGCCCGACGCGGATCTGGCCTACGTGGCGGCGCAGCTTGTCGATGCGGCCGTCTTCAACGCGGGGCAGAGCTGCTGCGCGGTGGAGCGCATCTATGTGCACACAGACGTGCACGACGCATTCGTGGAGGCGCTGCAGAGAGAGCTGGCCACGTATCGACTAGGCGATCCGTTCGACCCGGCGACGAATATTGGGCCTGTGGTATCACCCGCGGCCAAAAATGCAATCGAGAGCCAGGTGGAGCAGGCGCTGGGCATGGGCGCGGTGGACGCCACCCCGGAGAATGATTCTTTTGCGGCACCGCCGCCCAAGGGAAACTACGTGATGCCGCGCATTCTGACAAACGTGACCGCCGAGATGGACGTCCTCCGCCAGGAGACGTTCGGCCCCATCATGCCCGTAGTGAGGGTGAGCGGGGACGTGGAGGCGGTAGCGCTCATGAACGATAGCCATTATGGCCTAACTGCCAGCGTCTGGACCAAGGATATTGGGAAAGGACGCGAGTTAACCGCGCAACTCGAGGCGGGCACGGTGTTTATCAACCGTGCCGACTATCCCGCGCCGGTAAGTTTCAAAGCGTTGATCTATATCTGTTCCACTGCTGACGAGACATGAAGGACCTGGCCTGGACGGGATGGAAGTCTTCGGGCCTCGGTTGCACGCTGGGCCCCAAGGCGTTTGATGCCTTTGTCAAGTTGAAGAGCTTTCACATCAGGATGCAGCACGGCTGAAAACCATTGATTCGGCGCACGTCATGCGTTTGACCAAGTACGGGACGCCTGGCCCATCTAGATGGAACACGTTGCGAAAGAAATGTAGTGCGGTGAATGCCATGACACCCTCTTCCTGACGACAGTAGCTCTTGCCAATGCAATCAATACCAGTAATAGTGAGCAGCGGTCCACGTTCGCGACTATCGGGCTGAGGGTTTCTTAGCTGGCCACAGATATCGAGGAAAGCCACGCTTTACGCAATTCAATGTCATGACAGCGTGGAGATGTCGGGCGGATGCGCGCATGAGCTTAAGCGCGCATCGCGGTTAGCCCGTCTGGAAGCCCGCCACGTAGCTGGCAAAATGCAAGAGCCCCAATTGTTCCACGAGCTTAGGCTGCGGTGGTCCTTAGTGAACCGTAGACACTCTTTTCTCTCTAACGCGCCGGCGGGCGGTTCTCAGGTGGGGGTTTTCGCAGTCTGAAGGAGGGGCATAGCGCACCAAAGTACGAGATGCAATAAAAACACGTCCGATTTACCTCAATCTCGAGATTGTCACAGTCTTTCAGCACAAAACATACTCCAAAACGTGACAAGATGGGCGGCAGACTGCAAGAGAAGAACGCCATTGTGACCGGTGCGGCTGGGTAAGTGCGGTCACCATCCAGGCTTCTCCGAGAACTTTATGCAGGACTGTACTGACGTTCTACTCCCCTGAAATAGTGGTATCGGATTAGAAACAGTCATTCTCATGCTCCAGGAAGGCGCTTCTGTCCTGATGGTCGACGTAGGTGGACCGGCGCTCGAGAAGGCACTCGCAAAGGCCAAGGATGTCGTGCCCACACCAGCTGGGATTCTCGATAGCATCATCGTGGACGTGACCAAAGAAGACCAGGTTGCAGCCGCGGTTGCGCGGGTGGATGCATGGGGTGGCGTTGATGTCATGTTCAACAATGCCGGCATTATGAACCCGAAAGATGGCGATGCTGAGGATGTCGTCGATGAGATCTGGGATCTTACCATGGACATCAACGTCAAAGGGGTGTGGTACGGTTCTAAGCACGCCGTCCGGAGCCTTCGCAAGCATGGTAAGAAAAGGGGCAGCATCATCAATACCGCGAGTATCGTTGCGTTGGTGGGTGCAGCTACACCGCAATTGGCGTATACCGCCAGCAAAGGAGCTGTACTGGCTCTGACTCGTGAGTTGGCCATGGTGCACGCTCGTGAAGGTGAGACCTGGGAGGCTGATCGGGTCTTTTGTGTGCTGACTCGACCAAGGATATCGCTTCAACTCCCTATGCCCCGCACCGCTAAAGTGAGTCTTTGTATCGTAGTCATTGTGGCTGCGATTGTGATTGACCCTCGCTAGTACTCCAATGCTTCAGGATTTCCTGGGAGATGACCAGGCAAAACGGTTCCGCCGCGAAGTGCACTTCCCGACTGGCCGGTTCGGTGAAGCCATCGAACAAGCCCATGCGGTCGTATTCTTGGCAAGTGACGAGAGTAGCTTCGTCAACGCGACGGATTTCGTGGTGGACGGCGGTTTGACCAAGGCGTATGTAACGGCAGAGGGACCTCCTACTGCAGCGCCAAGCAACTTGGGAAAGTAGTCATTATGGCCTCATGCGAATGATATCCAGAGCTGATGTTCCTGCATCGTTTTGCATATGGTCCATGGATTTCGTGCTTCTTTGGGCTGAAGCCACATTTGGTCGAGCAATCTAGTGGTGGCTTCGATATTCCCGAGGCCGATGTTTGCGAACATAGTCTGCAGCCTATCGCGCAGAATGGTCTGCTCTACGGCATCTGAAATGACTGCACCAATCACTGCGATCGGCCAGCATAGACTAGTATTAATGCGTGCTATCGGCGAAAGTTTGGCCAGGAGCTCCATTGCTTCTCTCAAAGTGACCCGAATAAGGTTCTCGCATGGTCCCGGACCGGAGCACTCTCGCGGTAGAGCGTCCAACACGGTGTAGAGATAGAGAAGCACAGCCTTCTGGTAGATCAGGCCTGCCACTTTGACGTCGGGGCGGCTGTCTGGGGCCGGGGAGAATGACAATATGTTTGCTTGAAGTGCACTGAAAGTCACAAAATCATCGGACGAAGGAAAAGCCGGCTCTGTGGCCACCGGAGGCGCGTATGCTCTGATACCCAGGTCGAAAACCCGAGGGATGAGAAGAAGAAGTTGTAACCAACAACCACAAAGGTGACCGATATAATCCTCGGCCAACAGTTGGTGCGCCGCAGCCATCAGGGAAGGGACTAGGATTCGTTGCGTGTTGTGCGTTGGGTTTACCGATATCATGGCGAGTGTGGCAGTATAGGCGTAATACTCGACCAAAAACTTGCGCATCCCTTCTGGGACGCGCGAATCTGGACCATCGATGAACTTGAGCAGTAGAGAGCTTGCGGCGCCGAGATGGTCAAAGACCACTCCGTCAATGTCACCTCTTGCAGTCTGTTGTCTATCAGCGATGTACAAGGGAGGCGGAACATCCTAACCTCGACGAAGCACATGATTAGCGCCCCGGTCGCCAGCTCTAGCGCATGGTCGCCATTGTGTTGGATGTGGTTGTCCAAGCTCGTCTGGAACAGTCGTAGCGACTTGGCGTAGTAGCTGTTGGCTACGGTCAGCTCACTATTGCTGCCCAAACGTGCGCGATGGACAGCGCTCTGAGTCAGCAGGAGTTGAAGTATGAGGTCTTTTGAAAACGCAAGCGGGATTAGCTGCACAATGAACGGGTTGACTTCGGTAGATCCGTTGCCCATGCTGATAGCGGTACGTGCCAGATAGTGCTGAAGGAGGTCCTGCGAGTGCGGCCCACTATTGGGAAACATCGACAGCGGGTGTTCTATGGTGTCGGGCTGTCGCGCTACTGAGGTCCGTCGATTTTCAGGTTCAGAGTAAGTACTGACCTCATCATAGTGGTAGCCGAACTCCTCTGGCTGAATTGTCAAAACCTGAGAACCAGCTGAGGGTCCACTGAGGGCCGCGCCTCCATCCTCGGCCGTGATGAATGCATCGTCCGAGCTTGTAGGGGTGGACCTCGGGTCTGGCTGCCAGTCGTGAAACTGGGGCGTGAAACGACCCGCCGGTCCTATTGGCGATGCATTTGGGCCGCATTCATGGCTGGAGTGATACGGAGGGGTTGCATCCCAGAGAACTGTCTGTGGCCATTGGCAGGTCAGGTGATTGCGCACGCAGCCACGACATTCTGGTCTCGACTCGTCGCACTTCTTCTTACGCCGCCGGCAAGTCAAGCAGCCAGTCTTGACCCTCACAATGGCTTGCCGACGTTCCACGCGACGTTGAGCGGCCATCGCTCATGTTTACGGACATACATCAAGCCCGAGCTCGTGGTTGTTGCAATCAAGTTGGAACGGCTGGATAGATAAGCGTCGCTGCGCCAAGACTGTGGCATAGAGGTCACTGTGCCTCAACGTAGTACGCGAAGAGAACCTGGATGGCCAGCGGTCACGAGCATTTGTTCATACGAGCTGAGAACCGTGCAATACCGCCGCTCTATATAAGTTCGATGACTTGTACACTGCGGACGATGGTGTTGAGCTTTTAAGCAGAAGATTGTCTTGTGGCTAACAGACTTTGGTGGCTTGAGGAGGAGCTGTGTAGTATGAGCTTGTTTCCTACCGAGAGGTCTGCAGCCGGTGATTGGCGTGACACCGAAGAAAGAGGGCTGCTTCGATGCCTGAATGGGCTCAACACTCTCCAAGCAAGGGCGAGTCTCAACGCCTAAAGAAGATCGTCGAGTGGATGCCCATACATCATTCTCAAACTTCACCCAGGAATGCCTTCCCCCCCCCCGCTAACCTCGGAAGCCTATTCTAACTACATGCCTTCAGCCGACTGGATGGACGCATTTAGATTGAATCTGTAGACAAGAGAGAGCCTTGACCTCATCAGATAATAGTCAGTGGTAGGGACAAGGCTTGCTTTGACCATTGTGTACTCGTGTAGATAACAATTCTTGCCTTTACAATTTCCGAGGCAAACTGCCCTGTTCAAGATGCTGGACTGGTCCTTGCTCCACGGGCAGCCTCCAAGTCTTTGTTGCTCCTTGAGGTTGACCTTCTGGCGAGAGTTGGTCGCCCTCGTAAAGGGCGAACAAAATCAAATGGCTCGTCCCGAACGTCTTGGGTAGGCTCAGGACCTGCGCCACGCTTACCAGAGGCTAATACGCTTTGCGGTTGCTGGGCCATTTTCGCTCCACTGGCGAACAGTTGGGTGGTGCTGCGAGGAGTTATGCGCTTAGCAGTCTCTTCTCGGTGTGCGTCCTGTTTGGGAAGCGTGGGTTTGCGATTGTGCTCACGCGATGATACCGGAGGGTGTTTCGAACGTTTGGGCCAGCGCTTGGTGAACGGTTCTATGACTACCCTCCGTGTGCGATCATCGAAGGCTACCACAAGCGAGAAGATAACGATGGCGAGCGATATCGGGACTGTGGTGCCCAAGATCAGCATGTACATCTAGCCTCCGCATAGACTTGGCTTATTCCTTCGAGTAAACTTACAGATGTACGCAAAAGCGATGCCGATGCGGATGCCATCGATCTCGCGCGCACTCATGCCGAATATGCTGATGATGGTGGACAAGGGAAGCTGTGCTGGGCGATTAGATTGCGTTAGGTGTGTATATGGTAGTGGAACAACTGACAAAGATAATGGTGATAATGGTGAACTTTTGGACGTTAGCAGGTCTTCTCCAGCGGACGACCAGTACAAATACGCACCAGCATAATTGTCTCGTTCGATTTTTCCGACTCTCTGGCCATCTTGGTTGCGGATCTTGCCTCGAAGATATTCGCCTGTTTCTGCTTTAGGTCTAGAATCTCGAGGACGGCTCGACCAGCAATGGCGGCTTTCTCGACAAGATCGTCTACAACAGAGTGAAATGCGGCAGGACGCTCTGCCAGGAAGTATGCTATACGTTTAGCTTGAACCTTGTCAATGGTACTTTTCGTTGATGTGCTGTCAGTCTTCTGGTAGCCGCGGGAGGTGTCACCGAGCGCCTGAAGGACTCTGGCTTGTACTTTGGTGATGTCCTGGATCACATGTAGCTCATCGAATATGTCTTTGGCCTCATCAAGCAGACGAAACTCGGCTGTGGCTTGAAAAGGATTCGTGTCTTCGTCCCCTGTCGGCTCCATAGGAACAAGCAGCTTCTCGAAGTGGAGACTCTGTTGGTTCATCTGGACATCTGATCAGCAAGATCTCATAGGAAATTGTCATACAGGAGTCACCAACAATGTCGCCTATTGCTCTTCGATACATCTCGAGGAAGTCGAAGCTTTGGTCAGGCATAAGAGCTGAATCGAGAACATTGGATGCACAGCGATCGACAATGCAGTAGGCGAGCTCCTCAACATTCCTTATCCACCTTCTCTTTTCATAGTCACCCAGATACCTGAGGATCGCCTCACATACATCTGAAGGGTCTTTGGTCGCCTGTCTCCATACGGGTGGAAAGCAGGTCAACACAGTATCTGGTGGATATGATCAGTGCGTCGCTGATTCAGTAGCTTCTTTTGTCTGAACTTACGATCATCCAGCACCCAGAGCCAGAGTTGATCAACCATCAGCATGCGTTGGCTCTGCCACTGTGGTCCGCTATGCTTCCTTGCATATCTTTGGGCGGTTTGATCGGTATCACGGGTTGACGTGTCGAGGGTTGGGAAGTGATATTGATCCAACGTACGTCTCTTATGAGAAGATGAGCCTTTCACAGTATTGCAAAGCAACAATTTTTCTTCTGCGGAGCATTCGAGCGCTTTGACGTCCTTGAGACTTGGCTTCGAGGTTGTTGTGTTGATTTCTTGTGCATGTTGTATCAGTTTTGCAGAGTGCCAACAGGCCAGACTTCGTTCCCAGTGTAGAAAGGGCATCTTCGGTGGTTATCGAATGGAATATAAAATGCACCTGACTAAAGATCACTTACGAAGAACGCGAGATTGTATCGATGTGGCTGCATGAAAGATGCTGTAGCGATGTGTTAGCGATGACCTATCAGTTGAACAGTGAAGCCATGCCAAAACCCTTGTCCGACACTCGAATGCGATGGCACGATGGGCGCACATGCCGAGCATGAGGAAGTACCTTTTCCTCGACACTCTTGTGCTCGGCGTAATGCTGCCGCCTCAAGATCTTCCGAACGGTCCTGCGGATAGCTGAGTTGAGTCTGGGACTGTTCAGTTGCTGCGTCACATCTTCAGCGTCTGGCGGGGCCCTTGTTCGCTCCGGAATGCGTTTGAAGCAGTGATGCATGACTTGCTAAAGAGGATGATTAGAGTTGGCACAGCTGAGATCACGAGGCCCCTTACCTTTGCCCATCTCAGATCATTGGCGGGTAGATGAACCCAACGAAACTTCACCTGTTTCTGTCGTACCAAAAGCCTGTCCGTACCCTCAATCAAAGAGCTTAGAGGCACTCTCCTGAATGCAAAATCACTCTTTCCCCATTTTTCTCCGAATATGCCCAAAATGGCTTGCAGACCAAACGCGGAATCTTGCTGATGATCTGTCGAACGATCGCTTGTCTCTGCCGTAGCTCTCAAATGTTCGTTGATCTGGTCGTCGGAAAACAAGCGTAGCCCATCACGTCGAAGGGCCTCTCGTAGCTCATTTGCGATGGTTTTTGTATGCTCTTTGAAATATTCTACGAATTTGCAGTGGTGTTCCGTGTCGAGACTTGGTGACTGAACGGAGGCTTCAGACTGATATTCCGGCTCGTGGCCCTCAGAATCATCACCTTCGGATAAGGAGTCATGGTCCCAGTCGTTGAGCCCGTGATCGAATTCTTCGTCTTGGTCGCTGAGGTGGATAGGTGAGACTCTAGGCCGCTCATGCTGTAACTGGTCACTGTCAATACTGTCCGTAGTCGAGTCACCGTCCGTGCTTCCACGATAATCTTTGTCCTTATATCCACGCACAACGATACCTTCATCCTCGCTATCGTAATCGTTATGTGCGTCCCATTCGTCATATACGTCACTTCGGTCGTTTTCGTCAGCCTTGTCTTTGAAATCGTCCTTATCCTCGTTCTCGTTTTCATCGTTATCTTCCTCGTCATCAGCGTCGCCTGGGTCGAATTCATCGCTGTTAGCATTATCACCACCGGAATTAGCTTTACCAGGCTCGTCGTTTTGGATAATGACACTGGGGCCAGGTTCGTTTATCGCGTCCGGGCCATCGTCACTGACGTTGCCCGCGCCCTTATCGCTCTGTGCCCTGTCTGCGTGCCCTTCCCCTCCATCACGTGCACCTCGCGTTTTCTCGCCGTCGTCCATGATTCCGAATGACTTCCCCACTCAAAGCTCTGTATGAACTATAGGTTCCAAGTTATGAGGGTTGTCGCTTCTTTTGAATAGCGACACAAATTTGCAAGTCAAAGGCAGGAGCTGAAGTCTTTAGCTGTGAAAAGTACCGCCTGCCCCCACATCTCGCTTATCACCAATGCTAGCTGCAGCTTCATGCAGCTAGTAGGCGAGCATCAAGAACGCCAACTCCCGATCTAATCACACTCAAGGAGAGGGGGTGGCTTTCTGACCGGTGAGTCTTACTCATCGTCAAGCCTGACGAGCTTTGCATTGCAATGCAGTAACTTAGCCTTGGTCAACTCTGGCGACATTATTGAGCCTTGTGGACGACGTCGTTAGGCATATGCGCCTAGCGACGATTCAGCGCGATTGGGTAGAGTACTTCTGTAGAGTCGGTGGCGACAAGATCATGCTGCCTCTGGACCTCGAGCGGCATTTGTCCTCGCATTCACGCCTGATCCTGAATCACAAGCCTCTGGCCACTGTCGTCTTCCTGAGCTTCTCGGACAGGATCCCGAACCTTCCGCAACCTAACCCTCAGCCCCGTCAACTCTGCAACATCGTGCCCCTCCCTGAATACGACCTGCAGCAACGGCCTCCCATCGTACTGCGGGCTATCCACGTTGTTGATGCAAAAATCACTCCACACCTTATCATCCTTCTTCGCCTGCCAGGCTATGCCCCTCCAGATCTCCCCTTCCGGTATGGGTGCCACACTTGCGTATTGCCCCGTAGGTATAAGCTGCAAAGCCAGCGGCTGGCCCGGCCCCTCGTTGAATATCTCGCCGAGGCTGGCGAGCATGTCTGTACCATTGGAAATGCAGGACTTGAGATGTAAGCCACGAGCTGCAGTGTATTCCAGCGTAAGGGATGAGTTGAGCTTGGTCTCTTCACCGCCCACCTCCCCACCATCGCCATCCAGCCTGCTCTCAAACAGGTAATATCCTGCGTACTCCCTCTTAGTGTATCTTTGGCTCACTGCGTCTGCAGCCCGGACGATCTCGGCCGTCACAACTTCCCGGATCCGATCGAGCACGGTTGCAGCCCTATCTCCCGCGCATAAAATCGTGATACCCAGATTGTACTCCGGCACTGCAATGATGATCGTGATGTAGCCCGGATGCCCGCCGCCCTTGGTATAGAACGTCACCGGCCGTCCCCCCTCCAGTATCCGCGCGGTGCGGAAGATCTCCCATGTCAAGCCATACGCGCTGTTCATCCCGAAATTGTAGCCCTGAGGCATGAACATATTGACATTTGGACCACCAAAGTCCGCGAATTTGTATTGCGAGACTATGTGGCGGAGGTATGCCGAGAGACCGTTCGCAGTTGCGTAGAGTCCTCCCGCGGGAATATGGATGCCCAGATCAACGGCCCAGTACCAGGCCCCAGCTGGCGTGAGGGCAGCTTGCTCGTCAGGAGGCACGCTGAAAGTGGCACCGCTGGGCGATGGGAAGTAGTGGTCCAAGATGTGTGTAGTAACGTAGTCCACATAAGAGAGGCCGCTGGCGTTGGCGACGACGAGTCCGAGGAGCTCAAAAGCCGTGTTCGAGTATGATGGGGTGAGGTTTGGAGAGAACAGAGGTCGGTGACGGTGCAGATCTAGCCACAGATCTTTCGTCGTGCAAGGGCGAGAGTAGTTAGAGTATTCAAAACAGCCTGGGAGATGTGGATTGTTAGGGGGCGGTAGACCTGGGTGACTGGCGTTGCCTACTTCGCCTTGCGACCAGTCTCGCGGGATACCGCTGATCTGGCTGGCAAGGGAGCGTAAAGTGATTCCATCCCAGTCAATGCCTCCTTCCGTGGGAGGCGGGCCGTTCTTTAGCTCCGGCAAATACTTCGTGATGGGATCCTCAAGGCTTATGTTACCTGCTGCATACTGTTGTAGAAGCGCATGCGTGGTAAACATCTTCGTGATGCTAGCGACTCGGTAGAACGTGTCGCCATTCACGGGATTGGCACCCGGACGGTCTGGATCAAGCTTCTCTGCGGTGTGATGGTAGGACCACAGGTCTTCGGTCTCTGAAGTCAGAGACACAGAGAAAGACGTGGCTTCGAATTCAGCTTCTTCAGTAACGAGGGCAATCTTGTGTGTTAGAGTCGAAAATGCAACCTGGAGAAGTGGGTCGGTCTTGACGAGCGGTGCGGCTATGTATGACGGGGTCGGGTTCCGACAGCCTGCCGTCACACAGGTTGCGTATAGAAGATGTAGGAGCAGCGTATAAGAAGTGAGAAGCACCAACGGCACCGCCATGGCCAATGTGGCTCTGCACAAACTATCGGCGGATTCGTGCTTCGATTTTGGGTGTCACAAATGGTCCACCAGATTTCGAACGCAAGTTGACTCTTCACGTCACATAATCCCCATCTCTACAGACTCTCTTCACGTCAAACCAGAAGACAAGATAGTATTCAGGTGCGGAAATGGATGCCTGACTGTCGACATCATTCAGTGCCAAGAAATTTAGCCCCCTCGTCCTCGGTCCGGCCGAGCGGTCGGCACGCATCGCAGCTTCACATATGAGTCTGTATGAACAGTAGTGAGATGTAAGAAGCGCGCCCTGAGCCAGTGCTCAGATTCCGGTCTTCAGGCCTGTTCCGGAACAGAACTCGGGACACCCTTGCAGCATCAGCGATGAGCTCGTGCACTTCGTCATTGGCTGTATTCGATCAGGTAGTTCGGGTGGATCAAAGGAAGGGATGCAGCAAGGGCAGACATATATCCTATTGTCATCCAGTCTATTTACCATATCTCTTAGTACCTTCTCAAATCTCATCAGCCATACAAAGTGCATAACACGGTTTATATCCAAGTCTTCCCATCGCTACATCAATATGGCGATAAATATCCAGCACTTTCTGTGTGTGTCATCCCTTAAGCAGCCTCCAAGAACCCTTGGCTTTCCAACAGCAGGACGATGCTGTGCACAATCTCTCGCACACCCTGCTTCTCACAATCCACTGTCATATCCGCCTTCTGCGGCTTCTCGTACGGATCATTGACGCCAGTGAAATTCTTGATGGAATTCCGACGCGCACGCGCATACACGCCGCGCTTATCTGTCTTCTCTGCATATTCCAGGCTCGTGTTGACATGCACGAGGAAGAAGGTGCCGTACTTCTCGACCACCTCACGTGCTTCTTGACGAGCCTCTTCGAAGGGTGCAATGGGCGCGGCAATGACGGCAGCACCGGCCTTGGTAAGCTCTGAGGCCACAAACGCGATACGCGCAATGTTGGTATCGCGATCGTCGCGGGTAAAGCCGAGCTCGCTGCTCAGCTCGTGGCGCACAGTTTCGCCGAGGAGCAGGGACACCGCACGACCACCTTGCTGGTTGAGCGTCACCTGCAGGGCACGCGCAATGGCGTCCTTGCCGCTGTTGGTGTAGCCAGTGAGGAAGATTGTGAAGCCCTGCTTGGCGCGAGGAGGGTTGCTTTCTCTCAGCACCTTGACGACTTCGGGATACGAGAACCACTCAGGGATGGGAGCGCCGACACGCAGGCGACGGCGAAGCTCGGTGCCAGAGATATCGAGCGTCTTGACACCCTCGGGCACCTGGTCCTTCGGCCGGTACTCGTCCGAGTCGGGCAGGTAGGTCATCATCTGGAATTCCACCACATCGATGCCGAGCTCGGACTTGTACTTCTCAACTGCGTACTGGGCATCGTATGGGCCATAGAAATCCTTGCCCTTGCTGTTTTTGCCCGGACCGGCGTGGTCACGCCCAATGATGAAATGTGTAGCACCGTGGTTCTTGCGGATAATGGCATGCCAGATAGCCTCTCGAGGACCGCCCATACGCATGGCCAGGCCCAGCAGGCCAAGAACTGCCATGCCGTTGGGGTAGCGCGGCATGAGAGCCTGATAAACGCGCACGCGCGTGAAGTGGTCGATGTCGCCGGGCTTGGTCAGGCCAACGACGGGGTGGATGAGCACGTTGGCTTGACGATCACGTGCGGCACGCACGGTCAGCTCACGGTGAGCACGGTGCATGGGATTGCGGGTCTGGAAAGCCACGACCTTGGACCATCCCAGCTTCTCAAAGTGCAGGCGAAGCTCGGCTGGGGTGTAGCGGAGTGCGACGTAATCGTAGTGGTTGAGGCGGTTGATGGCCTCGACCTTACCGCCAACATAGAACTCCTGGACGGTATTGTTGAGGAAGACGATGGCGGGATGTTCAGGGTCGCCGCCAAAGACTTCCTGAGCCTCCTTCTTCTTATCGGGTCGGTAGACATCGTCGATTGTGAGAATGGCCAGGTTGCGGTCGTCACGGAAGTCACGCAGGGTGACTCTGGCACCAGCCTTGAGCTTCAAGCGCTCGACGACCTGACCTGTGACATCCAAGCAGATGGGCATGGAGAACAGAGCCCCGTCTGCAAGTCTGAGGTTTTCCACAACGCCATTGTAGTCCTTCTCGTTCATGAAACCCTCCAGTGGGGAGAAGCCACCATTGAGGATCAGTTCGAGATCGCAAAGCTGACGTTCGGTAAGGACAATAGCAGGTAGATTTGCCGCCTCAGCTTCAAGCTCATGGTGGCGGGGGGCATCGCGTGCGAGGAGGTCCTTGAGGACACCGCCGTGGGGAGGATTGGCCATAGTGTAGCTGGTGAGGGGAACTTTTTACTGCCCGGAGGTGGGCAGAGGGGTAGCAATAATTTCACACAAGTGCACAATAACAATAAATGGAACACACCTCGCCCGCCGGGTGTTCGAGTGTATGTATATATGGAGTACTGGGGAGAGCTTTTCCGACCGGGGCGGATGTCGCAATTCGCAGGCAATGAAAACTTCAGGAATAAATTTGCTACTGTTACGGGGAGCACGAATCGTTTTCTTGTGCCTTGCAGGTGTGGCCCCCACGGGAACGGTGATCGGTTGAGGCTTCGGCGAATGCCTTGCCCGCTAGGGTTTACTGGGGCCTGTCACACACGTTCGTTCGAGCCTAGCCACGGCCGCTTAGGGTCCCAAATGTAATCTGCACGAGGCGATCAACGAGTGCCTACGAGGGGGCCTGAACATGCACGGCTTACGGCTCTCGGAGAAAGCCAAGGATAGATATTCACGTCTCGTGCTCACTTTGTTGATCGTGGTCTCTTGTTGCAAGAAGATCTGTATTTGGTGAAAGCTCACTCGAACGGCCAGTCTTCATCTATCTTTATCGGAAGAATCCTTCGCAAAGGGCGCCAGAGCTGAGCTCGGCTCGTCCCCTGTAGATCATCTTCTAGTCATCGTCGCATCGTTGTCCAAGTGCCGTCGTACCGCTCTTGGCGGTCATACACCGCTCCGTATTCATGCAAGCCATGTCCACTGGCTAAACTCATCTTTCCCCGAACGCCGACGCTATGCTGCGAAATGCTCAAAACCGGATTGCTCACGCCTCAAGATTGACACGCTTTAATGCTTCTTCTAAAGCTTCACGTTCGCGCTTCTTCTCTTGCTCCATCAGGAACTGGGCGTACTTAGACTTGGGATTGTGAAGACCGCATTCGGTCTTCTCTTGACCCTTCCATCGGCCAGCACGCTCGTCCTCACCTTCAGCAACAGGCTGTGTTGAGTGATAGTCGCCAACACTCTTGTAACCCTGGTCGAGCAAAGTGTTGTATGGAACATTGTTGGCCTTGATATACTCCTGCACTTGCTTGAACGACCAATTGGCGAGCGGGTTGACCTTGATCATGCCATCGTCCTCTATCTCAATGATAGGTAGGTCGCCACGCTTCCCTCCTTGGCTTCGTCGACGACCAGTGAGGAGTGCTTGCACGCCAAGCTGGCGATTGGCTCTCTGGGCGGGTTCGACCTTGACAAGAAAGTCGTATCTCTCGCCATCGGTCTCCCACAGCCGCTCACCATACCTCGAAGCAAATTCTTGCTCAGTCTCAGCCCCATCAGGTTTGTAGACGTGGACATTGTTGTTGGGATATTGCTCTCTTATCCGGTCAATGAGGGCCAGAGTCTCGGAGAAATGGTGCAGCGTATCGATGAAGACCATGTCAACCATCTGTGGTCGTGGGATGTCCATCTTGGAGAGCATGTCGAGTGTCACAAGTCCTGATAGGCCAAATGCCGTGGTTTGGAAGAGGTTTGGCAGAGTGGTGACACACCATCGTAGGATGTCCTGAGGCTCAAGATTCTGGAGTTGGCGGTTGATGAATTGAAGGTGTGGCTTGGTGAAGTACACCTCAGGTAGATCTATCTCACTGCTCGTCCCAGAATCATAGCCTGAGTCCGCCATCTTTGAGAGAGGAGTCGACCGACCAGAGCCGAGGGTACTGTCCACCGGGGTAGGGGATGTAGCACGGGACATTGTGGGGGGGGTTGGGGTGGCCTGGTCTGCTGCTCTGAAGAATGACTGCACAGAGAAAGGAAGCAGGGGCAAAACAGAAGAGAGATACATGGTGACTTCAACCGTGATGAGGTCTGATATGGGAAGGAGAGGGTGCTCGAAAGTGCGCCATAACTTACAAATCGCACACAATCTTCTGCCTGAGCACGCAATCGTGCGAAGGGCAGCCCCGCGGCCAGCACAAGCCCAACCGCCGACGAGCCCACCCGATTCCAGGCTCTGCGCGTCGGCAAAACAGAGAAATTTGCCTTCTTTCTCTCGCGTGAACAGCTTGGACGATTGCGTGCTTTCGCCGCTTTAGGATTTTCATGCCAAGACCGCTTTCGGCTCAGTGTTGTCGATGGCAATAGACAACATGAAATGCGCTCAAAAATTGGCTTGAAGAACTCTCTGTCCGTGTGATAAGTCGCAGTGTGTTTTCGAGGTCTCTTCATCATGTTCTGGGGGATATGGGCCATTCAGGACAAAAGGCCGTAAAAGCAGCGAACACCGAGATCCGTTGTGAGGTCCAGCGAGAACCGGAGCAATGTTCGGCCCCAAGGCTGATTGGCGGCTGCCGGACGTGGTGATCCAGGACGGCGTCACCGACTTCTTCCATTGGATCTGGAAAGTTGTCTCGATCGGGATACGCTCGAATGGTGTCATTTCTTGCCTTTGAGATGACGGGAGGTGAAGCCGACAGAGCTGCCTCACCACTCGAGTCTGCGTACCTGACACTGGGCCAGCGCAGGGAGAGGACGTTTGACCCGTTCTTGACGTAGCGCATCAGCTTGCCTTCAACATATCCACAACGGCCAACGTGACAAGCATGATTACCTCAACATCGGCGAAGTGGCAAATGTTTAAGCTGCCACGCTGTAGTTGGAGATTATCTAATCAGTAAGAATTCCACGACCGCCAAGGCGATGTTCAGCCTTGTTGACATCATTTCTCCCACATTGCAGCCTCGCCAGCATGTCGCCGCAAATGGTCGAAAGCGGCAACGATCTTCGGCTTTGATGTGGGATGTGGAAAGCTCACGACGCAGGTACAGGTTCTGGACTCCAACTACTCGGCCTGCACACGGCTACGGTTGAAGCTTGCTTGAGCTTTCGAGCCATTCGAGGTTACCAGCATTCACGAGTCGGGAACAATGGCTTCACCTCAGCGCTCAAGAAAGCCGAGTCTGGCAAAAGATTCTCTCGCGAGCAGCTCCTCATACTTGGACGACCACCTCGAATACAAGACGCGTCAGTCACACCAGAGCGGGCCAACCACCAGCATCGATGGAATCATTGAACAGCCAGCTCGACTTCCACGCAACACAATGTCGAGCCTTTCCTTATCCTCTCGAAGGTCTATATCTGCGATCCCGCCCTCACCAGTGGTTGCACAAGAAAGCGGTCCTGTACACACTATCTCGCATACTAATTGCGTGCCGGAACTCGATGACCCTGCTCGTCTAGTCGCTACCATCTTCTACAATGCAGCTGCGCCTTCACATTCCCATCCACACCCGGATCAGTCACCTCAGTCCAAACCAACAGACTTTCTGCCACCACCCGAGATAGTAGCAGGCTCAGCACCAACAACCCGCATAGAGGAATACCCCCTTGAGCCTCCAGCGCCTGAGCCCGAGCCTCTTGACCATTTGTACGGTCCATTCGTTTCTCAACTATGTCTCACCCACTTCCTCTCAACCCTCGACTCCCTCCTCATCCACAACGAACCTGAGCAAAGGCGTCTCACTTCATCCCACCGGTGTCTGGCAACCGACCCGTGTCGTCCACGTATCATGGAAGTCACATTCTCTCCACCGCCCAACCCGACTTATCTGCCCTCTGAACTCCTCTCTAAACACGAGTCAATCTACAAATTCGAGCGGGAATGGAACTGCGAAGTGATCATTCAGCCCTCCAACATCCACCGGCGCTACAAACGCCTCTGCGTTTTCGACATGGACTCCACTCTCATCCAACAAGAGGTGATCGACGAGATCGCCGCCTTTGTAGGCGTCCAATCCGAAGTCTCCGCCATCACGGCCCGCGCCATGAACGGCGAGCTCGACTTCGCGGCGTCGCTGCGCGCACGCGTCGCCCTTCTCAAAGGCGTTCCCGGCGATGTTTTCGAGAAGCTCAAGCCCAAAATCACCATCACGCCCGGCGCCCGAGAACTGTGCGAGTGCCTGAAGCGCCTCGGCTGCACGCTCGCCGTGTGCTCGGGCGGCTTCCAACCCCTTGCAGACTGGCTGGCCGGCGAGCTGGGTCTGGACCACGCATTCGCCAACCACCTGATCACCGATCCCAAGACGAACACGCTGACAGGCGAGCTGCACCCGGACTACCCGATCGTGGATGGCGAGCACAAGAAGAACCTGCTGCTGAGCATGGCGAAAGAGAAGGGCATCAGGCTGGAGCAGACTATGGCGGTCGGGGATGGAGCTAATGATATCCCAATGCTGAGAGCTGCGGGTTTGGGTGTTGCCTGGCGAGCAAAGAGCAAAGTGCAGATGGAGGCGCCGGCGCGATTGAATGTTGGCGAGGGCTTGAGCGATCTGATCTACCTCCTGGGACTTACCTCGGTTGAAGTCGCCGAGCTCTTGAGGGATTGATCTGCGAGAAACCCCGGCAACAGGAGGAGGAGAGTTCAAAAGAGACGTACGTAACGTGACGGAATCATGAAGTAATGAACGTACAACATACACAACCTGCAGAAGCACGATTTATGGAGTGATCCACTCTGAACACCATGAAGGTGCAGCTTGTTGCTGTTACTGTGAGGGCGCCGCCGACGGAGGCTCAAGGTCCAGCTCGGTCCAGTCAAGCTCGGTCCGTTTCAGCTCAGTCGCGCAACCAAGGCGCCCGGAGTAGAAGGGGATTCACAAGCATGAACATACATACATACATACATACCACCAGTAGTATTCCCTTGAGTCATCTCAGTGACCCAACAGCAGAACAGAGGCTTCCAGAGCCCTGCAGCCCTTTATACGTTTGCAATGCAATGATCACGACACCCAAAACTATTGACGATACAAGGTCCCAAAAAGGTCTTCGATGGATGAGATTTCTTTCTTCAAATTCAATTCAATTCAATTCAATTCAATTCAATTCAATTCAATTCAATTCAATTCAATTCAATTCAATTCAATTCAGCATACAGAGCAAGACTTGCTTGTTTGCTTGCTTGCCTGGTTGCTTGCGCCCGCTCGCTCGCTCGCTTGCTAACGACTAACTAACGACTAGTAGTAGAAGAGTTCTCACCCCCATCCCCTCCGCTTAAAAAAGAGGACAACCCGATTGTGAGTTTTACAGGATCATCATCCATCCAGGAAAGCGCTTTTGGCATGTCCAAGATGCAAGTTTCAACACGCCACCCAAATGCGTGCGAGCCACGTCTTCCCATTCCCATATTTTCGCTTTTGATTCCCAAACGCCAGTCCTCCTCCACCGGGGGTATTTCCGTCTGGCGTCATGCGCAGATTGTATCGCATTCGTCCAATGCATCGCACTTTTAAAATGACATCTGTTCCCGATACCTCACCAAAGGGTTCCGGTAACAGCAAGCCTACCCTACCCATCTCTGTGCGCGTGCTAGTCCTAGCGGCCCTGAGGACAAGCTGATCTCAATCGGACGAGCACACGGCACATATTCACGAGCGGCCACCAATCGTCCGACCCCCATCCCGCAGCGTAAGAGCATCCATGTCCACAACGATGTCCTGACCCGCGACCTGGCCGAGCTGTACGGTGTTGGCGCTGTTGATGTCTGCGAACCAGCGATCCAGGCGCGCCTTGGCATCCAGACTCACCGCAACAGAGCCGCTGCGTTCGGCCACGTAGAGGATGACGACGGGCGCAAAGGAAAGCTGCTCGCCTCCCTGGCTGGAAGTAGAGGATTGCGGTGCTGCGGTGTTTGCTGCAGCAGAAGATGACGCCGTGCGCGATGCTGAGCTAGTAGTGGAGCTTGCAAGGGTCACGATCGTGTCGAGGCTGGGGTCGTAGACGATGCCGTTCACCTCGCTGTAAGGGGCAGGGACTGAGGACGAAGCGTCTTGGCGTCTGCGGATCGCTAAGGTCGTGGGCGTGGGGGCTGTGGTCGGCTGTGGCAGATGGAGGGGGTGATACTCGCTGGGCTCGAATTCAGGGAGCATGATGAGAGGTTCGGGGTCCGCTAGCGCAGCGCGCTTGTCGTTGCCATTGTTGTTGGAGGACGTGGAATTGCCGTTTCCTGCATTCACTAGGCTTCCTTGATCTGCACAGGTGACACCGTTGGTAGAGAAGAGGCCTAAGATCGTGGTCGCGTTGAGAGGAATGTTGTAGCGACCTGCGTCGTTGAAGGCTCTTAGAACCGATCGCGACATCGTAGCGGCCCTATACACAGTGCTGCCATCTGCAATGTCTTGTGTAGTACATGTGCTGTCGCCCTGTATGTCACATGTCTTGCCTGTGAAGCCTCTGGAGCATACACAGCCGCAGGCGCCGTCGGTGACGATGCTGGTTCCCGAATTTTGGCAGCGAGAGGCATCGGCTTGGGAGCAGGACGAAATAGAGGCCGCGGCGCCTGTAGGGATGGTAGAGGATTGACGCGGGACGACTATTAAGAAGATTGGGATGAGGACGGCGGCCGCGACGAGGAGGATTAATGCGATGAGTGTTACGGTGAAGCAGGGGACTGTCATACCGCAGATGCGGCGGCGCGAGGTCTTGGATTGCTTTGAGGAGGAGCCGTCGCCTTTCTTGCGCGATAGGTTTGTGGTACTGCTCATGAAGCCCTTCTCGGTCGGCCACTCTGAGCGGGGAGTACCGGCGGCTGGAGCGGGGAACGACGATAGCATGTCGCTCATCGAGGAGTCACGCTTGCCAGGACCCAGGTCGCCGAGGCGCTGTGAAGATGAAGAACCGCCAAACATGTCGAGCATGCCAAGGCGAGAGGCTGTCTTTCCACGGTCGAGGTTGGAGGCGAGTCTAGTGGCGCGCTTGATCAGGTCGGTGAGTGAAGTTGTGGAACCTCGAGCCTCCATCTCTCGAACAGCATCGATGTCAAGGCGTGGTGGGCGCTTGGTTGATCCGCGCTTGGTGGAAAGGCCACGGGTAGGAGCGCCAAGGCCAAGGCCAAGGATAGGTGACTCGGAGGAATGAGACATGGGTGATGTGCTGGCTTCCGGCGCAGTGAGTTTTGATGTGGGAACAGGCGGCGCATCTTTGAGCTCTGGAGGTTCAAGGTCCATGGTGTGCACAGAAGTGGCGTCGTTATCAAAGGGCATGCGGACGGGGCCAGATGGCGAGAAGGTTCTTGGGGAGGCCGCCTTGTTGATCCCCACGGCAATAGCCTGACTAAGAGCGTTCATCGCGTGCTGACGAGTTGACGCTGGTGATATCTCGCCTGGCTTGGGACCTGTGGAGGGTCGGGCAGACGTATCGATCATTCTTGGTTTGGCTCGCGCACTGACTTGTTCATAGGAATCCATGGTGTCCATGGTGTCGCGATTTGAAGGCATAGGGAACTCGAACTGGGGCATGAACTTGCTGCTTGGATAGGCAGGTCTTGGTGACATATCGTCTTCAGGATAGTGCGACTCTCTGGGGGGAGCCTGTTGTCTCAAAGGAGGAGTGTCTTCATTCACAGAAGAGACATATGACTGGGTCATGTTGTACCGGCGGGAAGATAAACTAGGTTGTGGAGGGACAGGTGGCGGTTGGTGCATGGCTGCCTGCGCTTGTGAATCCTGGGATGAGTCCCCCGCCGTACTTGATGCGTTGTATGCTTGATTTCGATCCGGCAGCCTCGTAGCCTGATCCTGTCGGTATGCGGCCGGCACAGCCTTGGTTGGACGAGGAGCCACTCCCACTCCCATAGGCATCCTTGGCGAAGCCTTCACGCTCGGCGGCGGTCTTATTGATGGGTGAGGTGGGAAAGGTGAGATCTCGCCATCACTCATCGGCTCGATTCGTCTGGGTATTCGACTCTTAGCTGGAGAAGCGTGCTGGTTGAGTTGTCCTCGCGTCCGATTCGCATTCTGAATTGTTGTCGGTGTGAAGGGTTGGGATCGTAACGGATCCCGCGGAGTGCTCATGTTGACGAAGAAAACTGACTCTTTATATACACAGAAGAACGATACAGTCGTCGCTATCGAAGCATGGCAGTCAGGTCGTGCAGAGGTTATAGGAGGAGCGCCTGGGCCGGTTCAACCGTGATGATGCTGCTCGCCGTCAGCCTGGATCTGCGACCAGCTATCACGTCTGCGATGACGGCCCGACGGTCTGCAATGGTCCCGTACCTCGTTCCCAACGAATACTCTGGTTGTGTTATTTCTTTCTGGTGCAATTTCAGCGCAGCTGCAACGGGGTTTTCGGCGTCGTGGACACTCGTGGTGAGAAGAGAAGCCTGGTAAACGAAAGGCAGGCAAAGATGGAGCTTCAAGCTCTCAAGACATGAGAAAGGAAGGAGCAGATTGCACAGCAGTGGTGAAACGAACACGCTTCAAGAGAGGAAGAGATCGAAGGGAAATCGAGCGAATGTCGGTCGAGTGGTCAGAGACATGACTTGCATGGATGAACGATATCGTGCAACTTGAGTGACTTACGAGTCCACCTGGGAAGCGATGTCCAGGAGCACCAGGAGTGTCTGAACCCGGTCTGGAGCAGGTTGCAAGCGAGGGACCGTTGTCGAGGTTCGGACCCAATCCCTGCGCTGTGAGCGTGGCACGGGCTGCATCTGGGCGACCTTGAGTGACCTTGCGGAAGATTCTCAAGTGCCAGATTGGTTCACTCGAGGCTGAAACCTTCTAAGGCTGGCTGTAGACAGGACTAAAAGAAGCCAAATTGGCGGCATCCCTGACCTGAAACAAGCGATGGCCCACGGCACTGTGAGGCGATGTTGGTCGCATCACTGCTTCGGTGTGCCCGGAAGCTGTTCGTCCCAGACAGTAGACGAAAGCCAGAGTGAGCATGTTGCGGACGCAAAAGAGTTCGTCAACCTTGTGTCACCCATTTCCACAGCGGTGAAAGAAAAGATAGGGGGTACAGCCAGGAGTTGAGAGAGGTGAGGAGAGGTGACGGGACCATTCAAGAGGTCCGCTGGAGCCCGGGCTTGACAGGGGCCTGGGTGTGATTGGTCTCACCAGGTGTGGCCTATCGTCGCGTGCGCCCCAAGCTAAGCTACTTCGACCCTGTGGCTAAAAGTAAAGAGACCTCATCTCGTTTATTGTTCTTGTCAACCGCACATGGCGCTGTGTCGGGGTCCTCGAATCTGAATCGTGCAGTAGCCGCGCAACTTCAGATCCTCTTATATCGGCCTTTCCCTGCATCAGAGATCAAGATTCGGAAACACTCTGCCGTTGGCCGTCGAATTGGTGTTGCAGCCAACCAGCGACCGTCCGTTGTGTGGACCGCGATGTTGCTGCAAGAGAAGAACGCACGACTGCCGCAAAAGCTTCCGGTCGAAATGAGGTGCAACTGATTGCTGAAACTTCGACTGAGCTGTGTTGCGCGATGACTATGGCTAATATGGCTGGCTGGAGCTGGGTCAGGCCTTAGTGATCACAGCTCAAAGCAACTTTTCCTGCTCATGCACCGCCATCATGACTGGCAACGGTCCAGGCTGCCTGCTATCGCAGTCGCGCATGGCAAGCAGCACGAACGGCACCAGTGGCCTTCGAGCAGATGCCTCGGGCTTGAGTCGTGACTGCCTCATGAGTATAAGGCGGTAGCAACGGTAAGTCCAACTGAACGGCCGGTACGCGTCGGCTGCACTTCACCAACCCCATCTGTCCCCCTCTCCAGCTCTCATGTAATGATCGTTCTGGGAGATGGACGACTCAATTGAAAGCACTCCTCCAGCAGACCATGCTCCAGCTAGATCTGTCCGGCCCGGTCACCAGCCAGGTACACCCAAGCGTAAGATTTGAATCCGGCATAACCGGACACTTGCATACTGACTACTGAACAGCACCCTTTGACCCACCCCGCAGGCGTTCCTCACTACATTTCTCAAAGGTCTTCTCCTGTTCATCACCACAGCGAGCGAGTGACAGCGATGCCCAGTCCCAGGATCTACCTGCCTCGCCTCGCAAGATGGAGCTCCCCCACCCAGAAACGGCCACCCCTTCCAATACCGGCCGCAGGCGAGCACCGCCCATCAGCCCAGATGTCACTCAAGGTCACGTAGCACAGATGCAGAAACTCTTCCAATCAGCAAAAGCTTCGCTCCGCAGAGACATGGCTTTCGCCGCATCCCCGACTGGGTCCATTGGGTCAAGACTGCCTCCAACCAATACCGACGGTGTTACGAGAGACGACTTAGACAGATGCAAAGATTCTGCCAAGACCTGGCGCTATTCTACTGCACCTGGTATACTTCTAGGCCTCGATCGCGACGTCCGAGAACCCGTCCCAGAAGACTCTCCACTTCTACCCGAGACTCAGTCTTCGGCGGATGAGATCGAGTTGACCGCCGAACCTTTCAGCAGTGGCTTCAACTCACCTGTCGATCATGTGCCAAATGACCGTATCCTTGCCAACCTCGGATCCAGTCCACCCGGCCAGTTCAACTCGCCAGTGGAGGAGGGAAAAGAAAGGCTTCGATCTCCGATTCTTACTCCGTCAGGTTCGCTTGAAGGACAGATGAGTGAGTTGCGGGTGGCATCAGATGGTCAGGAGAAGGACCTGGCAATGGACGAATCGCCATTGGTGACTCGCGCGAAAAGATTGTCAGCTTCGGAGATCCCCTTGCCCCTTTCAAGGCCAATGTCAATGGACATGGAAGACGACACCATGCTCACGGAAACGATGGTAGCCGACACCACGCCAGACGGAGCTATATTCCTCTCCGAGCCTGCTAAAGCAGCAGCAGAGTCGGCCAAAGTCAAGCGTGGTATCCTTAGAAGCCTTTTTCCTCATCGGCGTGGAAAACAACCCCAAGAGGTTCATGAAAAGACGGCGGAATCGCCAGCATCGGCGAAGGAACCTTCTGACCATAGAGACACGGCGACGCCTTGTCCCGACCCAAAGCTTCATGAGCTGTTCTCCCGAACGACATGTCCTAATCCATTAGCGCATCTAACCCCTCAGATGCATTCCATCCGTCCAGAGTCTCTCACTCCCGACGCAGCGACGACACTTGCTCAAGGCAGCCCTCATCCGGCAATGCTGGTCCAAATGCCGCCAAGCCCAATGTTCGGTGCTCTACAGCCATCGATACCTTCATACCAACGCGCGAGTTCCACCGGCAGTCCGATGGCCTTTGCGAGGCTCAAATCCCCGCCAACATCTCCTCATCGAGCACAATCTCGACAATCGGCTCGTCCAGAGATGCATGTCGGTCCGGCGGCACCACACATGGCACAATCAAGGAGTGACTTTCAGACCGCAAATGAACACTTCCAGCCAGGATGGTATTACACCAGAGACCTACCTGCAGCAACGTCTCGACTCAACCCGATGACATACTCTTTCTCTACTGCCGCAGCCAAATCTGTGGGTCAGTCAGCAGCACCGGATTCACGTATCCGGGATGCGTACCGTACCGACACATTGACACCACTTGCCAAGCCTCCCAGTCGATACCGCAAAACTGGCATCGCCGCCATGGCAAGCGCTCGTGGTGTCAGTAAGTACTATGGCGACAATCACAGCAGAAGCATGCATCACGCAACAAGATCCAGCACAAAGCGTCGCCACAGGTCTAGAGTACAGTTTCGTAGCAGCCCACCACCTCAGCCAGCAGACATGACGGCTGGCTTACACAAGCGGCGGCGTTCAAGAGACGGAGACGAAGCTTTTGACATTAGAGAGGATGATCAGGTTATGGAACTTGACGATGACACAAGGGCCGCGATTCGAATGAGCCTGTTCGGCTCCGAGACCCCTGAAATGTTACACGCTCGAGAGAGTCTCCGTGAGCTAAGCCCGAACGTTGTCACGAGCCGAAAAGATCACCGACAACGAAAGAAACGCAGGCCGAGCTACTGGGACGGTGACCTAAAAGAAGTCCAGAATAGCCCAGCAGGGCGGGAGGCCAAGGCTGACATGGCTGCTGTGAGAGGCAGTGTGCGTGAGGGTGCCGAAAGGAAGGTTCTGACAAGCCCGCCCAAAGAAGAGGTTGAGAGTCTCAAGAGCCAACGCGTCGAAATCGAAGGGAAGGAAAACGTGTCCACATGCAATTCGATGCGCGACGAAGTCATGTCCTATACTGTTGGAGACGATGACATCTTGACGACTGAGGATGGTGACGGAACCATGATGGCGATTGAGATGGACATGAATTGATTCAAGCATATTTCTGTCTCGGTACGTGAGCTACTGGGCGATGAAATTGGTCGATGAAGTCTTAGGTTGGGAGTATGAGTTCTCGAAAGTATACCCTAGATGAACATGTTTGGCGGTCGACCGTGAGTATCATATACGCCTAGGCCTACAAATCCCCCTGTTTAAAAGAAAGCCAAATCAGGCTGCTTTAGAAGCAGACACCTCTATGAACAATACCATCATCGCCGTCGTTGATCTCCAGCCATTTTCACTTCCCATGTCCCCGTGTACACAGCAGAGAGTGAGCGTCTCCGGGAGGGACCCATGTCATACATGACAGGAGTCATGCGGTGTTGAGACAAATCCTCCTGACCTGTCCAAACCGACGCCTGGCCGTCCATCCTTCTTTGCCACAGTAAGTAGAGTCTCGCGCGCGAGAGGTAGATCTGCAGATGTGGCACAGAGCGGAATTGGAATAGGTCTTGTGTTAACTACAGCGGCTGGGAGAATCCAATCCATGTATTGCTTGAAACCGGTAGCTATGAATTCACTGCATCTTCAGCACACGCGATCTCGGCTCGGGGGCGCGCGGATTCGAGGAAAGCTGGCGGCCCTTGAAGGAGCTCGTCACGCCGGTCCCTGGCTCCTTGTGCTCTGCGTCGTCGTTGAGGGCTCCGGCCTCGTCCTGTTCGTCATCGTGGTCGTGGTCGTGGGCTAGCCTCAGCGTGCTGAGCTTCTCCTCGCCGACTTGTCCGCCGCCGCCAAGGTGACTCGACTGCTCTGCTTCCTCTTTCCTCGCTTCGTTGCCGGCGGGGACCGCAAACCTTTGCCTCGCAGCCCACACTCTAGCCTCGGCAGCCTGCAGTGCGCTCTGCGCGCTCAGCAGCTCTGCGACGGCATCTAGCGACTGCGTGAAGTGGTTTTGCGTCTGTCGCAGGGCTGGCGGTGGTAGTGCCGTGTACCATTTGAGTGGGTCTTTCGGTTTGGACTTGGAGGTGACCTCTGCCGTGAGTGATGATGAGAACGAGAAGTTGAATGGCGCCGCTTCAGGTCCCGGATCAGGTCCTCGGTCTGCATCTGCGCCGGATGGCGTGTCATGCTCATCGAGGAGATCGGCTTCTGTAGCGTCAATCTGTGACTTCTTTTGTGTCTGCGTGGCTGGCTGTTGCTCATTACCATCTTCCGCGCTCTGGTCCACGGCTATATGGTTGTCCGCTTCTGCGTCTAGCTCTTCTGTGGCAATGGACGCCAGCCTTGAACTTCCTTCTCGGATCGTCAGCTTGCGGATGGCGCGCATACGTCCATCGAACCCTTCTTCGCCAAAGCGTCGTCCTGGACCCAGCACCGAGGCGGCATTGCGGTTCGCGGTTGCAAGAGAGAGGTATCCCTGAGAGAGTTGGCTATTGAGCTGGGTACGTAGGGTAGTATAGGCGTCCAGTAGGTTGAGGTATTCTATCAGGAGGGTATCGAGAGCCTCTAGAGCTTCTTCAGAATGTGAGGAGGACTTCAGAGGTGCAGAGTCTATGGCGGCTGGTGCCCTTTGCTCGAACGATTTTCCGGGTGATGCAGGTGGTGAAGGTAGGTGGGAGTGCTCGGTCCCGGTCTTAGATGTAGACATCGATGGGGCCATATGTGGGAAGCAACGATAACCAATATGACTCCGATGCTGCACTACTCGGAGCAGCACTCGTATGTGGTCGGCGGGGGAGGGTCCAAGGTTCACGGCCTAAGCGCAGGCAATAAGGCAATGAACGTGGGGAACCTATAAGTGGTGTGACACCTCACAGATATTAGACATCCATCGTAGACTTCGTCGTGCTTCCCCTACACCAGTTCACCGAAATGTATATATGCAAGTGGTGTGGTAAAGTAACGTGCCTGGCTCGGACTCGTAGCTCGGAGTTTCCAGTCGGTCACGGCCGATCAAGCGAACCTTGACGCAATGCGGACAAAATGTTCTGAGGTTTGCATCTCTTCCTTCTCTGCCACCTCAACTCTGCTCCGGACTTGTGTCGCATATCGTGTCGGATAGCATCGACCGTCAATTACTATTTCATCAACAGGGCGACTCGATTCTTATCTCTCCGGGACCGAGCCTGCGGAGTCTGCGATCAATTCCCACCTCTTTTCCGTCGACCGCGCAAGCTACAGTACTTACGACCAGCGAGCACTCCTGCGGCACATACGCCTCCACCAGCAGCGCTGCCAGTCGATCATCGGATCGCGCGCGTCCCCTTCCGCCTTGCTACAAGCACCGCCATAATGTCGGCCGCCACTGCTCTCAGTGCAGCGACAGATGCCTCTGCTGCCACAGTACGGTCAATATATCGCCAGCTGCTGCGGCAGTCATCACAATTCAGTAATTACAACTTCCGCGAATACGCACGGCGACGTACGAGAGATGCGTTCCATGAACACGCCGGTGTGCAGGACGAGCGGCAACGGCAGGAGCTTGTGCAGAAGGCCCTCAGTGAGTTGGCGATACTGAAGGTACGTACAAACGGTCCTGAGTTCGGCAGAGATGAGACGACCAACCGAAGATCATGCGCAACGGAAAAGATGAGAGATGGCAGACCAGGTGCTAACGTGCTGCAGAGACAAACGGTTGTCAGTCAGTTCTTCCAGCTTGATCGGTTAGTTGTAGAAGGTGGGAAATCGGTGAGTTCTCCCACAAGGATTATTCAATACTTTCACAGCAACTGACAGCTCTGCAGGGCAAAGAGGGTCACGGCGGAATAGTACGGCAGAAGGAGCCTGGATGGACGTGATGGAAGGAGTTCGACGGCAAGAGGTCTTAGGCACAGCCGGTGTACACTACAACTAGACGTCTACCATACCCCTCCCAAGAGTGCAAGCACTGGTGTTCCTATTTCTTCAGGAGTAGGAGTTTGTTCACGCGCCTCGAATCAGCTGTGTGATGTACGATTAGCTGTTTCGTGCCTTGATATCGTCAGCCTTGTCGATAGAAGCTCAGCCTTACATGCTTCGGCTAACCTACTCCATTGGTCCGGCGCCTTTGAACCTCAGGGCTGGTGTTTCTTAGATTCATCGAAGCATCAATATATCTGAATTCGTAACCATATTGAGTTCGAGCGCACTGGTTTGGCGTTGCTAGGCACTTCTGTGGGACTTCTGGTGGCAATTTAACAGCAGCACAGCAACGCGGCGTGTATCCTCGCCGGTGTTGACCTCGTCGGCGCGTTTCAGGACGCGGTCGTCTCGAAAAGTGAAGACTGGCAACGATGGCTCCTGTAAGTCTATGACTTTCCTTACTTATCGTGGGTTTCTGTCAAAAGTCACGAGAACGACACCATACGATACGATACGTGGATGCGCGACCAAAGCGGGACGTGACGCTGCTGTGCCGCGAGCCTAGCGCATTATTCAAGGAGAATGTTGCTTTACGACCCCCATGACTTTGGCGCAGTACTCGGACCTACACGAGCTTCCACGCCGATTCGCTTCAATCGTCTGTCGCGCTCATCTGTTTCGATGGACCTCGCGCATTCACGGTGGTTGTCTTGCTTCTTGGCACTGCTTTGATCCCCAGCAAAGCAACAGCCTTCACTTCACCATGATACCATACCGCTATCAGACAGCTGACATCTTTCGTTCTTCAGCTTCGTTCCTCTCGGCATACCCGCCACCACGATCCCTCGGCCACTACTCGTGCTGGGCGTGCTACCGACTTCGATCCAACTGATGGCCTGCCCGTACGTCGCTTCATCCTCGAACCTATCAGCATAAATCAGGATGCCTCCGTCGAAGCGACTGACCCCTCATCCGCCGCCAACAAGCCTGGCGCTCCCAAAGATGGCTTTCCCTGGCCTGAGCAGCCACTACCCACCTTCTTCGATCAACTGCCGGCACACAACCAGGAATTGATCCGGCGATCGCGCGCTGGAGAGCGCGAGGTAAAGCCCAGTGTCTGGGATCGTAAGGCCTGCGAGTGGGTGCGGTACGAAGAGGCCCGCAAGCGTGGCCTCACAGGCGAGAGTGGCATGCGCAAAAGTCGATACCTTATGGCTACGACGAACGAAGATGGTGAAAATGCGGACGACGCCGACAATGACCCCTCCGATGATGACGACGCTAGTGACGACGAAGAGACCGCTGCTGCCGGCACCAATGCAGGTGACGGTCTCAACAACACAACCACCGCATCCACCAACGGCGCGACAGCCACTAAGACAAGCAAGAAGCGCAAAATACCTCCTACGCAGCTCCTGCAAGATCGAACCTTCTCTGCCACCAAATGGACGCAGATCCCGATGGACAAGGCCGACAAGATGCCCGAGCCAAAGTTCCTGGCTGACCGCCGGGCCGGCATGACCAGCTTCTACAACGCCTCAGCGAATGGTGCATGGGCTCAAGCACAGGGCTACGGAGCTGCGGATGCGTCTGCCGCTGGCACAGGGCCAGGATATGATCTGGGCGATGGAGGCGGGCTCGGCAATGCAATGGGCGGTGCAGGCGCGCAAGGCGGTGAGACTCCTCCAGTAAGGAAGAACATGCCGCCACGGCCGCGGAAGAAGAAGGGTGGACCCGGACGAAAGAAGAAGGAGGTGGTGGAAGCGGAGAGGCGTGCGGCAGAGGAGGACCGAAGGCGCGCGGAGGCAGAGGCACGTGGTGAGACCTTGCAAGAAGGAGTTGGCACAGAAAAGAAGGAAACAGCTGAAGGTGAAGCCGGCAGCCAGACACCGCGCAGTAAGAAGGAGGAGGGTGAGGGCAGTGGTGACGATAGCGAAGGTGAAGGATCGGAGGAGGGCGAAGTCAATGAGGGTGACTCTACGAGTGCCCCTGGTTCAGTTCCGACGACACCGTCGGCATCTGCTGCCTCGACAGGGGTTGGGCTTGGGCTTGGCGGCCTCAACGCTCCAGCCGTCCCAAGCTCACTGTCTCGCGAACTCGCCGCCACAGCAGAGGACGAATCTCCGGTGCCTGCTCTCGTTGCTACAAACAGCACTCCAGCTGGGACCACCAGATCTGAACCTGTTCCTCCTATGGTGGATGCACAGATGACCGATGCCCCTCCCTCGGGCATCACGGCCGACGATGTGCCGCCACCAGCTGCTGAACCTTCGGTTCCTGACACACCTACCGAAGCACCACCCACCACCGTCGCCGATTCTACTGTTGCGTCTTCCACCGATGCCTCCGGCGCAGCTGGAGCGCCCGCGGAAGCCGAAACTACGGCCACAGCCTCCGCAACAGCGCCGATCTCGGAAGCAGAGGCACAGCCCGAGATCTCGGTCCCTTTCGCGCCTGTGGCGGGCGCAGAGACAGCACCCACGCAGGCGACAGAGGATGTCGGGATCGACGGCGGCGATGCGACCGACCGTCCGGCTGAGGACCGGTCGTCTAGTGATACTGCGCCGGCGCCCGTGCCTGCGACGGAAGAAGCGGCGGTGCGCGAGGCGGTGGCGCAAGGCGAGGCTAGGGAGTATGCAAGGCAGGAAGCCGTTGCTGATGTTGTAAGTGAGGTTGAGGGTGGGAAGGAAGCGGGCAAAGGAGGGCTTCAGGCACCGCTCGCTGCGGATGTGAAAGAGACGGGAGATGAGGGCAAGGATGGGAAGATTGATGAGCGGCTGGGACAGTGTCAAGGAGAAGTGGAAATGGATCTGCTTGGTGGGTTAGAGGCAGCGGTTGATGCGCAGCAAGAAGGTAGTTAGGGGGGAGAGTTGGAGGTGAAGGGATTGATAGGTTTCTTGGATTTGAAGATGTTGACAATAGCAGGAGTAGAAGATGGGCCAGAGAACAGTGTTGCGCTGCTGGTGTGGCTTGTTGTTGATCGACTTGTAGACTAGTATCACCACCATCACTGACGGAGCAAATTCGTATTTTCGTTTTTCTTACCGGTCTTCACTGATGTGCCTAGTATGGACGAGTCGGCTACACGTTCAAAGCATCAGGCTGAGCCATAGTTCGAAGGCAATAGTCGTGGGCGGATTTCGGGTGCCGAGCATAATGTCACTTGCAGGTATATAAATGCTGCAGCAACGCGTTCTGGCACGCAAGTCAATCATTTTACCAATGTCGTACAGCGAGTGCCAAAGACTTTCACATCTTTCATAACCTGGAGTCATGGACGGAAAGTGACACTTCACACCTCAGCAAAGTGTTTGATAAGAACGGTAGCCGTGCACTCATTCGAAGAGTTCATCATACGGTTTCGTCTGCACGCGCGAGAGCCGCCGCCGATACTTACCTCCACCATGACCACTGCCACAGCGATGTAACAGCCACAACAGCTTGACTCTCTGCCCGATAACCACACGCCGCTGTCAATGCTCCCCAGACCTACCCCATGCTGAACTCACTATCGCAATCTCTCAGCCAGGCAGTCGAGTGCTTCGCGAGGATCAAAGACCAGGGATCTACAACCCACCTGCCCCAACTCAGGTCCCAGTGCCCCCGGCGCAAACGTCCATGCACCACATAGATCGTCAGGCTCTACCAGTATCTAGGGCGGGCGATCCGGCCTACGATCCCGAAATCCCTTGCTCCAGATCATCGATTTCAAAAACCGCTGGGGGTCTGGACCGCGTTGGTACTCCGTACCCGCCGATCAAAGATCAACAACAATCTGTTGGAGTTCATCGATGATCGACAGGCGGGAGACAAAATACCACAGTGATGACAACGGACGCTTACGGGATGAAGCGGAAATGCAAAGAGCGGCCTCTCAAACTTTGCGGATTCGAGACATCGCTCTCAGTAGTGTATTCACAGTACTGTGGGTGCGGGAGTTATTGTGCGCTGTGCGCTTTACTTCGCCGATCTCTGTCGGCTCGTTGGTGGAAAAGACCTTGTGTACAGGGATGAAGATGGAGATGGCGTAGAAAATGCACTACATACAGATGCGCTATGCATGTTTGTATATGCGGGAGGTGCGTTGATTCTGCAGGTAGTGGCTGGGGGTTTTTGGCTGAGGCTAGCACGGAGGTTTGTCTCCAGTAACTGCTATTGCTATTGGTGCTGGGTAATACCAGTGGCCAGTACTGGACAATTTTACTGTGTTGCTTGTGAGCGACTGATGGAGGACGAGAGACGCGGGACGATACGAAGACAAGCCCAAACGGAATAGTGTATTGATATTGTACAGGGTATGCGCTTGCGAAGTGGGAAGGTTGCTGCGCAAGAGTGAGTGCACCAGCCGGGACAGGATCCTGCTCTAGGTGCTGCTGCTGCTATCGTGCCTGGGGAAGACCTTGTTAGGCACATCAAGAGCTGGCCCTTAAGCGCACGATGCGCTGCCAATACTATAAATGTCGAGGAGTACAAACTGGGGGCCGAAGGATGCGTGAAGGGGCCACAAGTATGCTGGGGGATCCAGGCTGGCGATGTTCCAGTCTGTAACACGTCGACTCCCACCGCACATAGAAGCCAGCTCATCCATGTTCTGACCTGAGTGCGTGCGTGCAGAGCCGAGGCCAGCAGCTGTGGTTCCTTGCGTATGGCGCACGCAGAAGAGACGGCAAGGCTTCACAGCTGTGCTCACTATCGAGTGTTCCCCTCCTCGCGGGACAAGCACTTACAGTACACTGGTATCGTCCTGTCCCGGCTATTCGCTCTGACTCGATGGCGCGAGTAGTTCTGCACCTACTTCCCCAACTGCCAACACTCCAATCTTCCCATTCAACGCTCTCTCTGAAAGATTCCTGACTCGCCCACACTTACAGATAACCATCAACGTCGCGTCTCCGCGACGAATTCCCCACCCCGAAAAGGGCAAAGCCGAACGAAAAACGAAAAACGAAAAAGCATCATAATTGCATTTTCATTCGTTCGCCTCGATTAGGAAGGCAGAGAAAGAAAACCTTGTGCCTGGCAGGCAGGCCAGCAACCGGACCGCTTTGCTTCTTTGCCATGTGCTGCAAAATTCAGGAACAGGCTAGGATTCGAATTTTCCTGGGCTCGGGCTGCCTAGGTGGGTGAAGTGGGTAAGCCATGGCCAGGCACACACCCATACACACAGGCACACACCCACACACACCCACACAGGCCCAGAATAATGGGTCTACCGTCTACGGCACCGCGGCGGGGCGCGGGCATCGGCGCGTTCGGGCGGTGCACCGCCGAACGAAAAAACAAAACACCGGCTATAATTCCCCCTCCCAGCACAGGAATTCCGAAGCGGTGCGGGCTTGCTGCTGGTGCTGGTGCTGGTGCTGTTACCTGCCTGACCTACCTAACCAGGCCAAGTGAGCAAAGTGAAGCCCAGCTACTCCGTAACTGTAGATGGGAATTGTGCACAGCCGCCCGAACAAACAGGAATACTGTAGGAATCAGTACGAAATACTCCCGTAGCTCTGCCAGAGCAAGAACCGTGGTATTCGTGTGCCCTTGGGGAAGTTTTGGAACGCGCCGAGCGTTCAAAGCCCTTCACTTCACCCTCACAGTGGTGCAACACACTGATCACTGGCTTGACTCGTAACACCACACACCACACACACACACACCCCCCGGAACCGAGGCGGGCCAAGGGCAGAGGGCAAGAGGGCAATGGGCAAAGTTGGCAAGTCAAAGCAAAGCAAAAGCAAGAGACGGAAACGGCAGACCCAAGCCGCCGTTTACAGCGCTCCGTAGCTCGGCTCCTCCGTGCCGGGATGGGATTTACGCTCTGGGCTCTGGCTCTGACGCCCTGGGCCCTGTTCCTGGCACTGGCACCCCCGCTAGGTCAAATAAGCTTAAGTTTTGGGTGGTGGAAATCAGAAAATCATAGGCATGGGATGGGCGCGGACGATCTTTCGCTCGATTTGGGGAGGTTTGGTATTAGCGCCCAGGGGCTAAGGGCCATTGGCAGGGGGGTTTGGTCCGCGAGTTGATTACTCCGTCCGGAGTTGGAGGGTTGGGGGCGTTTGTGTGTGTTTTGTTGTGGACGCGTCATGGAAGGGGGAGGGCGCGTGTGGTTCGGGGGCCGTGGGCGGCTGGCTGTGCGTAGGAGGATTGTGTATGAGGGTTTGCTGGTTGGGCGTTGTGGCCCGTGTAGGAGACTAGGACTGGATGTGTTGTGTTAGTGCAATTGTAAGTGCGTTTCCGGTGGATTGGTCGGATGTAGAGTAGAGTAGAGTATCTGAGCTGAGCTGGGTGGGCTGGGCTGACGTCGTGAATGCCGACCTGTCAGTCGACGTCTCCGATGAGAAACCTCGGATGAGAAGCCTTGTTTTGACTCGGACTGGATTGACAGATGCAAGGCCAGTCCTGTCGAGCATGAAGCCAAAATATTGGTTGTCAGTGCCTGGCAGGAGGAGCAGGGATAGAGGGAGCACGTTGGTAGACGCAAGGAACGGGAGAATTTATGTTTCATATCGTTTGGATTTGGAAAAAGACGTCGGTCTATGTAAAATGAAAGTCTGTGCCTCCCCAGCCCCTTGCGGACGCCGGGGGATAGGACACGGTAAGAATCGAAGGATGAAGTCAGAAAAACGGATTCCCCAGTCTATAGTTTGATTTTCCCTCAATCCATCTGCACATGTGAGGCGCACAAAAGCCCTTCCGGACGGACTGTACTTGCGGCCAAAACATGTCGATAATAGGCACAAAGGCCTTTGCCCAAATGTATGTTCGAGAACCAAAGGAAGGAAAGTTTTCGCAAACGGAGCGCCGTGCTATCGCGTTGGGGACTGTCGTAGCGATGTGTGTGAGGTCGTAAGAGGTCGTTGAGTGTGTGGTATGACGTGGTCGTTCATTTCTAATGAGATTGCGAGGCGTACGTGTACCAGGCACGCGTATCGTTGTCAAGTGAAACTTTGTCCGGCAAAGCCACCCTGTCTTGCCCTTTGGTGATTGTTGTTCCCCGCCAACAGAGATTCGGGAAGTTGTGGAGATGTCGTCGAGACTTAATCATTTTAGGAGCAAAATGATCATATAAAAGAATGTATTCGTAAGCGTTGGTCGTCAAGACCGGGACGCCCCCGCTCGGGATGAATGGAATGTCCATGTGTCGACCCATGGAGATTCACCAATGACTGACTTGAGCGTGCGGCAGGATGCGAATACCTGTTGGCAAGGAATATGTGTCGCGGCAGATCTTGCTGCGCTGACTACGAAGAATAAGGAAGACGGGCTGGTCTGTGTCGTGAATGTCTCAAGTTCAAGGGCGCTTACACGCGGAAAGCGCGCGAGTGAACACGCTGGTGGCCGTGCTCGGCGCGCTTGGAGGGAGGCCTGCCACCCCAGGTAGTGGTGGAAGACGCAGCGGGGGCAGAGCTGGCAACAGCGCTGGCGGAGGGCGAAGCAGTGCTAGTCTCTGAGCCAGAGCTTGAGCCAGAGCTTGATGGGGTGCCGCTGCTACCACCGGGGCACATGGTGAGCACGAGGTCAGCGTTGTCACTGCACACGTGAGTGCGGACATCATCAGGCTGGTTGTAGGCGGCATCACAGACGGAGTCACCGGCGGCGCAGTTGATGGGAACACAGGTTGGGTTGTTGGGGTCGTTCGACATCGAAGGCACCAGGGACATGCCCTCATTGGCGAAGGGGTTACCGTTGATGTTGGACAGGTCGTAGTTGATCTTGCCGTCCGCCCAGGTGAACTCGAACTGAGTAGGGTTGGCATCAGCGCTGGGGGCGAGCTTGATGGAGATTCCGTTGCCTTGCTCGCCAAACTGCTCAGAGTAGCTGCCCTGCATTTGCTGCATCTCGGCGTGCTGGCTTTGGCCGACCGAGGCGTAGTAGATGGGGAAACCGCAGTTGTTGACGACGGTGGCCTGGCCCAGGGCCATGGCGGTGGGGGCGAGGGCAAGCAGCACGGCTGCGCCGGTGAACTTGGACAGAGACATGTTGTAGTTGGGTGGAACTGAGTAGTACCTCAAGGAGTGATTGTCGACGATGGTCGTGTATGAGAGGATGTCGTTACAGCAAAGGAATGATGCTGATCAGAGACCTGCTCGAGTAACTTGGGTTGGAAAGGATTGACGGTTGATTGACACAAACATCCCAGGTTGGACGCGGGGGGGGAAGGGGTATAAGTAATAATGGCGGCGGTTGAGGCGCGTATGCTCGAGGCCCAGAGATTGCAGACTCGATTTCTCTGCCGCCATTCTCCAGTGTCCACCGTCAACAGTCTGGACACGGAAAAGGATTGAATTTTCTGGCATGCAGTAGCGTTTGCCATGCTGGAGTCTGCTCGGTCGGGGGGGGGTAGGGGGGTAGGGGGGTAGGGGAGCCAGATGGGCACATCCCGGCCGGCATGGTTCTGAAGCGACCAGCTTGCTGGCTGAAACGTTGACCGACCGATGCAAGTGAGCGGCAATCGTTCCACATCCGCGAGGTGGAAGCAAGCTTGGGTCAGTGGCTGCTTTGGCGAATGAGGGCCTGACCATGATCGGGCAAAGTTGAAAAAGGAGACACGCCAGTTCCTGGTCTAATGCAAGCCGAGAAGTCTGCAAGGGCGGCAAACGCTTTCAGGTCCCGGCGGGTGCTGATTGGACCTCGGGCACACTGACTTAAGCTTGGCCCCCGAAAATGCCGCAGTCGCTGGCGCCCATTTTGCGTTCCCGACCGTTTGGCTAGGCGCTGTTAGGGCATGGCTCAGGTACCGCGAGCGAAGCCCGAAGCCGGTTCCTGGCACAAGCCTTGGTAAAAGCCTAAGAGGCACACGGGCCCGCTCGCTTGTTCCCAAGTTTCCACGTGTCGCGTCGATGATCGTCTTCTGGCTATCGCTGGCTCACATATGCGCTTTGCGTGTCTCTGCTGGGATTGGGAAATCACTGAGACCTGTGATACCTCTGCCAGCGCACATGTCGCACACGGGGCACTATTGATCCAGTCAGGGTACAATTGAAGCCTGCCCTTTGCGAGCTGCCCGATCGGGACTACCGCGTCCAAAACAGCAGTGGAAGTGATGTAGCGAATCCCCGTGCGAGCGCATTCTCCACCCTTGTCGTTGCGCAAAAATTCTTCTGCTTTCCTTCCAAGTGCGCTGGCCGTTGGTCTGAAGTCTGCGCCTTTGCGCTGGTAGAATCCATCCCATGTGCGCGATTCCGAAAACCAATATTGCGCCGATCCAAGTAAGGACGGCCTGCACCGTTAACGGTTCTTCATGTGGCGTTGCCGGCTAGAGTATCCATGCCGAGCATATGGCGTTCATGGCGTTCATGGTAAGCCACCAAACCCATACGATTGCCATCATCTGCGTGCGTAGGATGTATCATGGCGCCCGGAAAGTCAAAGATACATTGCTAGCGCGCTGTGCTGGAGTTTTGCGCACCCATGCCATGCATCTCGAACCGTTGTCATAGACGGGAATTGGATCTCCCGCAGATTTTCAACCACTCATCTTGCGAGCGCAACGCCTCTTCCGGCGCCGTCTCGATTCTGTCGCGATTCTGCGCGCAAATCCAGTACGTTCCCTACCACGGCTGCCCGCTTGTCGCAAAGTCTGCATTGGCCATCATAGGGTAGTATGGCAAGACTTTCACGTCCCAACAGCAAGGAGCTGGCCCGTCACCACGTGGTGGGCCGATGAAAGACCGCTGATGGTAATGATGATGCCAACGTCTGCCGCAAACCTAGCTTCGTAGCGAGCTTCCTACTTTTATGCTGCCGCGATTGGTATAGGTTAATGCATGATAAGGGCTTCCTCGATAGCGTCGCAAGGCGATAGGCTGGTAATCGTGCTCAACGAGAACTCTCCTCGGTGATACTCCTTGGGACGAAAAATGCTCCATGCGAATCGGACATCTGAGTCCCATGCACCTGCAGACACAAGCAACTAACAGAGGAGGAACGCTATGACCCACCGCTTTCTGCAAGTTCTTGAATGATGTGCAAATTCTCGACTTCTGTTAATCAGTGGGTCTGACAGAACTGGGATAGAGGACAGATGCAATACCAAGAATGCGCTCCCGCCATGTCGTGAACATGATGGGTTACTCCTTGGAGAAGCACATGGCAACGTACGTAAACGTCCATTATTGACACGGACGCAGCTGACTCGGATTTGCCATAGTCGGTAGCGAACCATGAATCTGCAAACTCGTTCGAGAAGTCGATCCTGAGTTCTTGGTTCTGGAAAAAGTGGTGGAGAAAGCAAACTCTGCCTGTGACTTTTTCTCCAAACCAAGAAGCTGGACCTCAACGCCTTTTCCCTACTGGGTACATCAGAATTCGCCGTCTGGCATCGGTACGGTCCCGAAGTCATGGTCCCTCGGGAGTTCTCCCAGCATCGGTGCCTGGCGCAAGGTAATCGCTGCGAATCCCACGAGGTTGCACCCAAATACAGGCGCCACACTTTTCCCGGCGTATTATCGAAATCGGGTCCGGCTGAGCGAGCCGTTCTTACAGGGTCAACCATATGCCTACATAGGAAATCGGCATTTTTCTCACCGGTGAATGTCAACTGAACTGCAGGCTTCTATCCAATATGAGTGATCTGCCCGCGAAGCTGAGTAACATTGAGCTGAACACCAAGATCGCATAGGCCGCATTCATGCTGGGGTCTGGCTGACCACCCTGTCGAAGTAGCCTTCATTCTGAGGCTTGTTGCGTGTGATGCGGCCCAATTTATACTAGAGTCGTGAGTGACTCAAAGACTCCCATTTTGACAACGGGATGATCGCTAAGAGCTTGCCGACGGCGGCTGTTGCGATGGTCCAGTTTTAGTTGAGCCAAGAATTGGTAGTTGCCTGGGGTTCACCATCATGTCGATATCTGGAACATAAAGCCACGATGTCGACATAGAACGGACAGCCAGGAATCTCGCTAGGATGTCACGGTCTTGCAGTATTCGAAGCAATTACCAAACCGTCTTGGTGGGGTTTCAGCCATCTTCCAGTCCGTCGCGATAGGCCACGCTTTTCGGGAAGACGCCGTTGGAGCAAGCTCTTAGTCATCCGCCGCTGGTTGTGATCGCAGGCTCATGGTGACAAGAACACATCTCACCGTTGTCGCCACGATTCCTGTGGCATCCTGCTATGCCGGCTATAGAGGTCCTGCCAACACCGACCAGGCACGCGTGAAGCTTGTGGCTTGGCATTGGTTGGGGAAGGCTCCCAGTCCCGACAGCAGGCAAACATTTTCGCAAGCCAACCTGTGTCTTGTCGTATCTCACTGTGGGATGTTGATGAGTACCGCGATGATGCTGAGCAACGGTGGGTAGGTACCGTACGTTGGCCGAGAGGTCATAAGTCTTTGCACGATAGTTTTCATCTCCATCCACCAACTCTTCCCTCGTCCCACCGTGCTCTCATCTCTCTGCGCTTCTCCAACGTTGTTGCACCCTCTCTAATGCGCCGAATCCATTCCGTAACCTCCTTGTCGCTCGCTTTGCCATCACCGTTATCGTAGAATCTGTCTTCGCCACCTCCGTCGAGGAACGATTCCATCATCGCCCGTAGTAGGGCCTCCTGCTCCGTGATACTCGCCACAAGCCGTTGATACATCGCCCGCGGCTGCCACGGCGATAGAGCATCGTCCATCTCGCCTTGCTTCCGTCGCCATTGCGTCTGCAGGCTGGTGTGATTGAGTAGAAGCTGCGCGGTCTGCTGTCGTAAGTGGCTGAGTTGAGACTCTAGAGACTGAAGCTGTTGTGCGGCTGCCAGATTCTGTGTAAGCAGCTGGCTCAGGGGAGCTAAGGACGAAGCATAGCTTGGATGAGATGTTGCCAGCGCGGACAGCTGGGCAGGAGAGGAGGCGAGCTTATGCAGATCTGTGATGGTATGAGAGGCAAGTGAGGCTCCCGACGGCGTTGTGGGAAGCCAGTGATTCTGGTGAGACGGAGGCGGGATCTGCTGGTGCTGTTGTGTGGGGAGAGCTTGCTGCGGTGTAGATTGAGTGGGGTTGGGTGGGAGCGGCGGAGGAGGTGCAGGTTGTGCTTGGGACTGAGAAAGTGGTGTACCGCTTCGCGAGGGGTCGGCTGAGGAAATATGTCCAGGAGGCTTCGGAGGTGGTGGTGGCGGTGCGCCGCTGGTTGACATTGCGTGTGGGGAGGAGAGGGGTGTAGTCTGCAGCGGAGGAGCGGGCGCAGGAGAACCTGGACCAAATGGTCCGCCGTTTGCAGCCATCGCTACTTCTAGCTCGTGCCAGTCGACTAGGAGACCACCCGTACGAGGTGCGTCTGATCAGAGATGGCAGGTGACTAGGAAATGAAGGTGATGTGGTGGTGCATTGGCATCGCCTAGGAATGGCGAGGCTGAGTTGCAGCCTCACATTTGCGGGGACATTTTTGGGACTTCTCTCGCGTCTGAGGTCTCTTTCCACAAACATCCAATCAACCTCCGTACCATCTTTCTAGCCACCAGGATCGGTGATCAATCGACAGGGTTCACGAAGGACTTGATCACGATCTATAATCAGGACCATGGACTATCAGAATCGCGCCGGCTCAAAATTCGGCGGAGGCGGCGTTGCCTCCTCCAGCGCCACGAATGCCGACCGTCGGGAACGCTTGCGCAAGCTTGCGCTCGAGACGATTGACCTTGATAAAGATCCCTACTTCTTCAAGAATCACGTGGGCAGCTTCGAATGCCGTCTCTGTCTCACTGTACATCAGAACGATGGATCATATCTTGCACACACTCAGGGCCGGAAGCATCAGACCAACCTTGCACGGAGAGCAGCAAGGGAGCAGAGGGAGGCACAGAAGGATGGCGGTATGATGATGGGCGTGGGAGGTGTGCAAGTCAAACGCAACGTCGTCAAAATCGGGCGGCCTGGTTACAAGATCACAAAGGTGCGGGACCCTTTGACGAGGCAGGTCGGGTTGCTGTTCCAGTTGCTCTATCCCGAGATTGCCGAGGGCACGGCACCAAAGATCAGGTTCATGAGCGCATTCGAGCAGAAAGTTGAGGATCCGGATAAGGATTATCAGTTCCTTTTGATAGCGGCGGAGCCCTATGAAACCTGTGCTTTCAAGTTGCAGAGTAGGGAGGTGGATCGCAGAGACAGCAGGCTATGGGAATGGTGGGATGAGGACAAGAAGGAATTCTGGTGCCAAGTGCTGTTCAAGACGGAGCGCGATGAAAGAATCGGCGATGCACCTGGTCTGGCTCCGAAGCGATGATCGCCATCATGAACACGACTGGACAGCGATCGATACGAGATCACCCAAGAAAGCGAGCGTCTGCGTTGGTCCACTGCTGCGACATGACGACGACCTTGGCTCAAGCCATGTGGGATCAACTATACATAGCCTCTTGACAGAGCATTGAGTATCAAGGATGCAGATGGACTGCACTTGACTACAATAGCGTCTCGATTGGTCGCTTGACGACATACCAATCAACGGGAAAGTCACAAGGCTAGCTCGACTCGTCAGCACGAACCTTGTGAGAGTGCTGGCAACTGAAGCCTGCAACAACTGCAAAGAGAACGCCACGTCCGTCAAGAACTTTGCCTCAGTGGCGAGCTCGGGTTTTGAATGGCTTGATCATCAAGGAGTAAGAACAAGGTGCCGTCACGCGAACAAGGACGAAGCCTGGTGGCCTGGTTTTGAGTAAATGAGCCAACTAGCGCGATGAATGCAGCCAGCGTTCGCCCCTTCAGGTGGAGGGCCAACACGCCGATGCTTATCGTCATTCTGCTTCCACCGTCGATCGAACCGAGTGCGAATCAATTTCACGGTACTTGAAACTGAACTTCAAGCGCCCGTCCCCTCCCTCTTCCTCATCGGCACGTGCCGGCATCGAAGCAAGATTGCTATGGTACATAGACGACCCCACGCATCTCCGAGGTATCACGAAGCCCATGTATCTAACCCTCGATTCTCCTGTCTATCACAACGAGACCTATTCAGCAGCAACAGGACCCCAGTTCCGTTTCCCCACCACCTCCCCTTCCCAACCTATCGCCTGCGCAAAGTCCCTCAGGTACCGCCACCTCGTCCTCTTCACCAACCCCTTCTTCATGAACTCATTCGCCGTATTGGGAAAGAAGAAATCAGGCTGGTCCAGAAACGTCTCGTCATGCGCGACCACCACCAGAACATTTTCCGCGTCCGCCACATCAAACTCCTGCAACTTCTGAATACTGGCGATCGTCTCGTCCACGTCGTGGTGCACCTGTCCCACCTCCAGCCGTGCGGGCACGAGGAACGGCGCTGTGGGCGTCGTCAAACCCAAGGAGCTCCGCAGCTTGTCGAACATGGCGGACGGGCAACTTGCCGCACTGTCATCGAACGGATTCGGCGAGATCTGCTGGGGCATGGGCAGGAACGGCGACGGGCGCCACTCGCCGGCGTGGTGCGCGATGTCGCCGCCCATGAAGATGAAGGAGTCGGGATTGCTGGTCACGCGCGCTAGGCCGCACATGTGCCCGATGGCATGGCCGGGGCTGTTGAGGAGGTAGAAGCTGCCGTCGCCGAAGTAGTCGTGGGCTGGGAACTGGCCGATCATCATGTCAAAATCGGGTAGAGCCAGCTCCTGCATCTCTCGGCCGGCGTAGTCGCTCTCGAGGAAGCTCTTCTCGGGGTCGGCGGGGTTTCCTGGGAGGAGGTTTGCTTTGAAGCCGGGGCCGACGATCAGTTTGGTGGTGGTAGGGAACTCGGCTGGGTTTCCCGTGTGGTCCCAGTGCCAGTGGCTCCAGATGATAGCCTCAATCTCGCCTTCCGCGCAGCTGACGCCGCCGTCTTCGAGGATCTCTCGCACAGATTTAGCAACGTCAATTCGAAGGTTGAGGTCTTTGGCCTGTTGATGCAGGAACTCTGGGAGTCGGTCGACGTCTTTTCTGATTCCGAGATCAAAGATGAGGCGTCGTGTATTACCGGAGACGGCATCGACGTGCTGGATCAGAAAGGAATAGCATGGTGCTGCGAGGTAGTCGAGGCCTGGGATGGTCGGGGCGACGAGCATGCCTGCTGGTATGCCGAATAAGTGCGAAGTCGTGTCTATGACGGAGACGGAGACGGTGGAGGGGGACTTGGGTATGGCGACGATCCCAGGCCGAACACTGGCGTTTGCTTGGTTGGCCATCGTGTCGGTCTATGCTCTCAATACAATTCTAGCTCGATTGCATCTACTTGTATACTTCCATAAAAGCCTTCGATATACTCTCGGCCGAGAGGTTGGTAAGCCAATCGTTTCGGTATTCCTTCTGCTTGGCGTGCTGTGTAGATCTGCGGGTTGCGGCGGTGGAGCAATTGGTCCGCCAACATCGGCTGCTACAACAGCGTAACTGCTTGACAGGAAAGCAGAGATGCGCTTGATTACGGCCGTATATATATCCTCACTTTCTTAGATCCGAGTAGATGTCACTACGGGTAGAAGCACAATGCCAAGACTTTCACTGCCTGGTAGCCTCGTCTGGTTGGCGACTTCATGCTGCCACCTCATGGGCAAGCAATGTGCTTCCAGCGCTCCAGGCCTCGTGATGCTGTGGTACGCGTTGTGTGGAATAAACGGACACAACTCGCTGCAAGGAGAGGAAGTAGTCCCGCAGCACTAAAAAAAAGCAAAAAGAACAGAGGAATGTGCTCTCATAATAGGAGGTCTCATGGACCCAACTATTGCTAGTACTCCTACTGAGAGATCTTGACTTTGGCTTCTTACGGCATCTTTATTTTTGATTTGTGTGAATTTGCATTCCTCCCCGAAAAGTACCTGGCTAATGGACTTATCAGAAGATAGAGTCACAGTTTGCTAGGCGAAAGTTTTCAGTGGCATCGACTCGACCCCAGGACCTCTGGTGTTCACCTGCCCAGTTTCGTTACAGTCTTACTGCTGTAGGTCTGTGCGATTGTTGGGAGGAATTTCTGATTTTCTGATATTTATGGTTGCTAGGCAGAAGTGCATGGGGCTGGGGCTAGTTGGGCCCGGCAAGAGGTGAGTGAAGGTAGGTGACGGGCAAATTCGATTTAGCGACGATGCAAGCCTAGTACCATAGAGATCATGGAGATATTGCCTTCATCTTATGTCTCTGTGGAGTATCGCCTTGATGAGAACTTACCAATCGAACAAACTGGCCATCATCTTCCAAATAACACCATTCTGGGGGTTTCGAGGCAGTAAGCTTTAGCATGGGCTATGGCGCACTAGGTATAGAGTAGCGGGAGTATACAGCTCGTTCACTGCGAGTGCAGTCCGTTGTAGCTCATAGACAGCCGACCATATGGCTGACCAAGCATATTGACAGCGAGGCAACGTGGCAAGCGAGAAGAAGCAAATGCCATAAAGTCGTGGCTAACATGTCGAAACGGACACGCCACTTCTATCAAGGCGATGACCTGTACTGTGTTTCACGCAAGCAAAACAGAGAGAAGTAGATGTATGAAGCGGACAAAATGTCACCGTCGTCTGTAGAAGGTTTTTTCATAGATCGGAGATAGGCGTGCTCCCCACGGAAATTCAAGGTGATCAACGTGACTGACCGGGCCGGGGCTATCTTGTCCTCCTCAGCAATTGGCAGGTATCTCCAAGAAAAAGGTGGGTTGGGAGGGCGCAAGACGTTCTCGAGAAGGCGTATGCAAGTTGCCTTCCTTCCTATATCCCATTATAAGAACCTGGACCAGTACCTAAGACCGTTCTGACCCCTCCAAGAACCCCACACCATCACAATGGCGCCCTCCGCAGTATCTGATATCTTGCCCTCCACTATCGTCTCCAAATCGGTCCAGCCCGAGAAGGAGGCGGCACACGTCCATGGCATGGAAGATAAGAGTCCGCTTCAGGCCATCTCTCACGGCGATGTGACACTCGCTGGCATTCCCACCTTTCCGTCATTCGCCGAGAAGCGTCAATGGCAACTGGAGCATATGGCTGCGGCATTCCGACACTGGAGCCGCGAAGGCTTCGTGTTCGGCATCTCCGGCCATATCTCAGTGCGCGATCCTGAATGGACCAACTGCATCTGGCTCAACCCGCTGGGCAAGCACTTTGGCCTCCTGAACGCCTCAGACATGGTCCTTGTTAACCTCGATGATGGCAAGGTCGTTGGTGGCAACCGCTCGAGGCCGGCCAATGCTGCCGGCTTCTTGATCCATGCTCCTATCCACAGGCGACGACCCGATGCCCACTCCGTCTGCCATGCTCATACCAAATACGGCAAAGCCTGGTCCGTCTTTGGCAAGCCGCTCGAGATGCTGACTCAAGATGCGTGCAAGTTCTACAATGCGCACGCTTGCTACAACCAGTATGGTGGCGTGGTACTAGCCGAAGAGGAGGGCGAGAGAATTGCCGAGGCGCTGGGTAACGGCAAGGGTGCTCTTCTCCGTAATCACGGTCTCTTGACTGTTGGCCAGACGGTCGACGAGGCAGCTTTCCTGTTCTGGAGCATGGAGAAGGCGTGTGAAGGCCAGATTCTCGCCGAAATGGCCGCCGCGAACGGCCTGAAGAAGGTTCTGATTACCGACGAGGAGGCTGAATACAATTTCAGGATGGAAAGCGACGCTGAGACTTGCTACTGCGAGTTCCAAGCGTATTACGATTATGAGGATCACCTGCTCAAAGGAGAGTTCAAGAAGTAAATATCAGATATTATTGACCACATGTATACCGAAATCCATGCTGCGGCACAAAAATATTCAGGACCACGATTGACGTCACAGGCACTCTGCACTGCACGTGGGACAGTGGCCTCCGCTGCCTGCGCCTGTCCTCCTCTTCATACATACATCGGGGACTCAGCGTCGAGTCGCGTGAATACGATATCGACTGTGCTGTTGGTGAATCATAGCCTGACTTCGGTTGGGTCTCTGGTGTCTGGCACGTCAGTCACCCGCGCGGGGCTCCTGCTAGATTCGTTCCCCACGCGACCATCGTCCTCAATTACACAACCTCGACCCTCCGTGATGGCGGCGTAAGTGCCTCTGATCCTCCTGTATGCTGTATGCGCCGACTGACCTTTATAGCGGTACCGAAATCCTCGAACTGCCTTTCCGCAAGAGTCATTCGGTCGACCTCTCCTCCGCCATCAAATCGTACATCTCCAAACACTACGATCAGTCACCCTCCACGTTCGCCGAAGACTTGCGCGCAATAGATCAATTACGTGACGATGCCATACATGTCAGGGAACCACACGCGTCCGGTGTTACGAAACTGCAGCGCTACGTCGCTCAGCTACAGTATCTGTCGGGCAAGTTTCCAATCGACATCGGCGTCGAATTCCCTTGGTATCCTTCCATAGGATACAACATTCAGAAGCCGGTTCTGCAAAACAATCTCAGATTTGAGTTGGCTAATGTCTTGTTCAATCTGGCAGCCCTATACACACAACTAGCCTTCGCGGTGAATCGCACTAGTTCAGATGGGTTGAAGCAGGCTGCAGGATATGGCATGTCTGCCGCAGGCACTTTGGCCTTCCTGCGGACAAGCATTATACCGGACATGCGGGGAGCGCCCCCAGAAGACATGGACAACTTCACACTGGAAAGCCTCGAGCAACTATTCCTAGCCCAAGCACAGGAAGCCTACTGGCTGAAAGCGGCCAAGGATGGAATGAAGGACGCCACCGTCGCGAAGCTGGCGGCCAAGGTCTCGGACTACTATAACACTGCCGGCGATCTAGCCATCAAGTCAGATGCCGTATCTACAGAGTGGATCCATCACCTGCAGGCAAAGCATCACCACTTTGCCGCCGCGGCCCAATACAGACAATCGCGCGACTGCCTGGAGAAGCGCAAGTACGGAGAGGAAGTTGCAAGACTTCAAGACAGCATCAGATGTGTCGATGAAGGGCTTAAAGAGGGCAAGTGGATCAACAAGGTCGTTCTGTCAGATCTTCAAGGCCTCAAGCAGAGAGTTGCCGAGGACCTGAAGAGAGCGGAGAAAGACAACGATGTCATCTACCTCTTGCCGGTCCCTTCCAAGGCAGAGCTCGAATACCTGCAACGAGCCAACATGGTGTCATCAAAGACGCCAAAAGAAGTGGCCGAAGGTATCTCACTACTTGGTCCCAATCGGCCGTTCGGAAACCCTTTGTTTGAGAAGCTGGTTCCATACGCCGTACACCAGGCCGCGTCAATATACGCAGATCGGCGAGATCGTCTGGTCAACCAGTCCATCATTGCCGACATCGATATCATGAACGGCAATATCCGCGATACCTTGCAGTCCCTGAATCTTCCAGGCTCATTACAAGCACTGGAGAAACCGCTGGGTCTTCCACCTTCACTGATCTCCAAAGCAGAAGAACTGCGTCAACAAGACGCACTTCAGCGGCTAAAGCGGTCACATGAGGACACGCACAGAATCAAGACCAATGATCTGACCGTATACCAAGAAGGCCTTTCGCTACTAGAGGCAGAAAGACAGGAAGATGACCGGGCGCGTGAGCGGTTTGGTACCGAGCGGTGGACACGACCACCGTCTACTGTGGCTCTTGCGCGGCAGTATCAATCGTCAACTGAACTGCAGAATTACCTCAATTCTGCTGCCTCGTCAGACAATCTAGTGCAAGGAAAGATCCGTGATAACGAGCACATTCTCCGCATCATGACCGGCACCGATCGCGATATTGAAGCATACGTTCCCTCATCTCGGAATGTCACGCTGACGCCCAGCATCGAGTCCGCCGCCACCACTCTCCGCTCTGTCCTCAACGAAATCTCCCGACTAGAAAATCGCCGCAAACGAAAGGTCGAAGCGCTCAAGTCGAAGGCGGCCAACGATGACATAAACGCTGCCCTACTAGCTGAAGCCGCCCGTCTCGAGCGCGAGTATCCGATGCAGCCCATCTCCGCGGCACAATTTGAACCTCTTTTCGAGGCACGCCTTGAAACCTATGAGTCCGACCGGAAGAGCCTCGAAGATGAGCAAGAAGAGCAAGACGCGCTACTCTCCCGCTTACGCGAGGCTAACAGCGCTCTTAACAGTGCTCGACAGCGGGAGGCTAGCTCGTCTTCAGGTCCGCTGAAGGCACGAGAGAGTGCTCTACAGGAGCTCGAGACCGCGTATGTGAAATACAAAGAGATCATCAACAACCTGGACACGGGGCGCAAGTTCTACAACGACCTCGCCAGCCATGTCAACCGCTTCCGTGACCAATGCCAGAAGCAGGTGGCCGCGCGGCGCGTGGAAAAGAGCGAGATGGAGGCCGAGCTCGTTAGCGGTGAAGTTGGCCGACTGCGTCTCGAGGAGACACGGCGTGAGCTGCGCAGCGAGCGCGCGAGACAGCAGAAGCAGGATGGTGGTGCCTCTGGTGGTGCCGGCGCCGGGAAGGCCAACGTCAATGCGACAAAGGATGCGATGCATGCCCCAACGCCCACACACCCGCCCAATACACCTGCGGTAGCGAACACAAGGAGTCCCATGCCGCCACAGGGAGTGATGGGAGGTGCTCCGGGTGGTGGTGGTGCGGTGTGGACACCAGATATGGGTATCCGCTTTGGCGGTCCGCCGAGTCAGGCGGCTGGTGCCGCGGGCTACCCACAGCCACGGCGGCCGGGGTCGGGGAATACTCCCTTCACATAGATGACCTGAGATTGCGAGCTTATAAGACTTAACACAGGCAGATAGCATGGATTCGCCCTGCGTCCCTCAATCGACCAGGTCATTGGTGCTGATCTCTAGGCCAGTCAAGCGCGGGGGATTCGCACTGACAATCACGGTGCGGGCGAAACGAGGCGTTCCCTGTCAGCACCGTGAATGTCAACCGCTAATTTAGGCTAGCCGGGCCACTGCTTGGCAAGCCACTCCGCCAACTTGGACGCCGCTATCTTGATGGCATTCACGGTGCTCGCCGGGCAGTTGTCGCCTTCAAAACCATGCTGCTGCACTCGGTGAAGCCCAGCGGGTTTGGTAGTCAAGCTGGCTGGAATGCAGTCTTTGATCTTCTGACAACAGCCTTGGCCTGTGCCAGATCCTGTCCAGCAATCTCATGAGGCACGATAATCGACTGACTGTCATCACGAGCGACCTGTCAACCTCACCTAATCCAGGACCCCGCATTACCTACCATTGAAGCGAGATGTATCCAGACCTGTGGGCTTCAGACCTGCATGATGCAGACTTCGCCAATTTTGCATGGGATGCTCCGGCTTTCACCACGAACGCAATTACACCTGCTGAGCCTCTATCCCATCCGACTGTGGAGTCTTCCCCGGGTTTCAGCTATGATCCGCACGAACCATATACTAGTCATCTCAACAGTGGAGATTTCGATTTTGCTCCTGAATACTTCAGCCCTGACGCCATGCTTCTTGATCACTCTCTGACGATGAAGAACGCAACATCGCTATTCTCCCATTTGCCGGAGGTCCAGGATGCTACCAATAATGACACCATGAACGAGGCCGTGAGTCCAACGCTCCTCATGTCACGCGATGCCCGGAATCAGGCCGAGGATAACGCGGGTAACGCACAGCTTGACGGGGGTAGCAGCGCGCCCGATAACGTGGCTGTGCTGGGTACAGACGTTTCAAGGTCGCGACTTTCCCGGCAACAGCGAAATGCTCTGCAAACGTGGATACAAAGTCACGTGGACTGGCCATACCCAAGGAGTGGGGAAAGAAAGCAGCTAGCAACCGACAATGGTCTTCTAGAGTCGCAAGTTACAACATTCTTCGCAAACTACCGACGACGACGGATGAGAAAGACTGGCAGCAATGAAGCTAATGTTCTGACAGGCTCGTCGGTGGCGTCACCATCCAGTCCTCAGGTTCTTGATGGACACGAAGTGTCAAGTTCGACTCTTGAGTCTCTATTCCCAGACGCCGAGGACGGCAGCCGGTTGAAATTGCTCGACTTCGATGGGGACCGGCTGCAATGGTATCTTGCCTGCTTACCTGACCACAGCGAGCAACCGTTGCCAAGAGTCTATCCGATTCCTATGACATCCGTCATCGACGCAAATCCGAAAGTCGACAATATAATGCCAATGGAGGGGTTACTTTTAGAGTCCCAATTGGAATCATCAACTAGCGCTGAACCCTCAGCGGCCGGCAGCGCATACTCTCGATCTGCCAGCGTCAATTCTCGACCTGGAAGCGTGTACTCTGCCCGAAGTTCCATATCCAATGTCTCTCGGCGTGGTCGTCGAGCGTACGGGGTCGGGCCCAGACCCCCAAGCGCATCCCCTGATGGGAAGCAGAAACGTCACAGATGTCTCCACTGCGCAAAGCGCTTTGCACGACCTTTCACGTTGAAGCGACATATGAAGACTGTTCATCTGACGACTAACACGGTCTGGATCTGTCAGGCACTACGCAACATCTTCGACAATACTCCTTGTTGTCCGACGTGCTACCGGTCTCCAGAACAGTGCACCCATAAAGTACTCCAATGCTGGAAGCGACCCGAGGCAGAGCGTACGTTCTTGCGAAAGGACGAGATGAAACAACATCTAGATCTGATGCACGACTTCACCCGGGATCACGCGCAGAGATGGCAAACCAACAATGATATTCTCGGACAGCTGAAGCAGGAAACAGCTGCTGTTCCGTACACAGGATCCAGTGACGACAGCCAAAGCGAAGATAGCCACTATGGCGACCCTTCCCTCGCCGAACAAGCCATAAGAGACACCGGAGATCACGTAAGGCTTGCGGGAACTCACTCGATGGACATGGACATGGACACGCACGTGGTCCTAGAACACAACGATGACGACGGCAAAAGCGGCGTCGCGTCTTCGCTCATCACCTATCACACGTGGTCCGCCAATACCAAGGACGTTGTCGCCGCGCGAATCGCGCCCCTGCAGACCCGCGCCGAGACCAGCGAGCGCATCGCCGAGCTCGGCACTTTCGTGAAAGAGCACAGCGGCGCGCCACCGTCTCCTCCTCCTTATCCTGGCCTTCCCCAACGCTTTACAGCGAAAGGGCGCGTCATGTACCGTAGCGTGGACAGCGCACGCGAGGAACTGGAGTTTTGGAGACGTGTGCTCTCCATCAATCGCGTGGTTGCCGCTTTCGAATACGCTGATGCTCCCTGGTCCGCAGATGCGCCCTGGCTGGCACTGTAGGGCGGTCGCCACACACCAGCCTCGCAAGCTTGATGCTGTGCTGCGGACTATACGCCCAAGCCCAGGCAGCCGGGCGTCGGCGAATGTACTCCCTTCACCTCAGGAGAGAGATGAAAGAGGTCGGGGCACGAGAGGATTGCGGGATAAAAAACCAGGTAGATAGTGTGTGTGTGTAGGTTCTCATTACACTCTTGAATCGATGCGCTATAGTAGAATAGTAGAGGTATCATTTCAACCAATATTGAGCAAATTTCCAACTTGCAGTGAGCAGACACACATGCGCTGGAAGCTGCCGAGTAGATATTGCATGCCATGCATTCGCCGGGTCGGAGCGTCTTGACCGCCCGCTCCTTGTCACCATGGAACACCATGCATCGGATTCTAGATGCTAAGTGTTCCACGCCCTCCGTCGCCGCCGCGGCCGCCGCCCGCCGCGATTGCCGTGCGCCAGGAATAAGTACCCCCCTTAGAGGTCTCAAGCTTGAGAGGTGAAGGTGTTTCAGTCAAATGCGCGTCGTGGCATTGCATTGCGACGACTGGAATTGTCAGGTTCTCGGAGCACCAGCACCAGCACCAGCACCAGCACCATCGTCGCTCTGGCCCGTGGTGAGTGCAAGTAGGTCACGCTGCGGTGTGCTCGAGAATGGCCACGACGGCGGCGGCGGCGGCGGCGGCGGCGGCGGCAAGCGAGACCCGCCATTCTGTTGTAGGATGCCGGTGCCGGGAAAGCTGGGCCCGTTCTTTCTGATGCCCCATTCATGTAGCTTTTGCCGGTAGGCGCGTTCGCTGGCGGTGAAGCCGCGCTGCTTCTGCATCGTGTCCATGATCTGCCGGAGCGTGCAGTTCTGATCGAGGTAGAGGGAACGGATCACGTCCTTGTGTGCGTCCCACACTGTCGCGCTTTCTGGTTTTTGTTTGGTGTCTGGCGGGTTGGGTTGGACCACCGCGTCACCACCAGCGACGCCGGCGGGGTTGTCGGTCTGCAAGGCGCTGCTGATGGTGTGTAGATAAGCCCTCGTCGCGCCTCGAGCCTCGTACGACATGAGCTCCCAGTCTGCTTGTGCTGGGAGAGGGTGGAAGTCGGGATTGGCGAGAATCTCGCGTTCGAGCCTGAAACCTGTGCTGGAGGAGATGCCGTGTTTGTCGAGGACCCGACTCCAGAAGTGAGACGTGAACGGATGGTCCTCGAGGAGAGTGTGGGCGAGCTTGAGGGAAATGATGACGCGGGCCCAGAAGACGTAGCCGCTGGCTATCCTCTCCGAGAGGGAAATCTGGTCAAAGTAGTCGAGAGCCAGTAGGACGACGTTGAAGGATACCTGCAGCCAGGCCATCATGTCCATGGCCTGCCACAGAAGATCTGGATAAGGCCGAGCAGACACCGCCAGTGGTGTGGAGAGAGAGGGGGTGAACTTTCTGTTACGTCGAGCGTCCGATAGTTTGTTGGCGACAAGGAGAGACTGGGACATGATGTTTTCGATGCCTGATTCGGGTCTTCGAGCGCTGGTTACTGCTGGCGCCTGCGGTATAGCTTCAAGGTGCACCTCACGAGCGAGTTGATCGTCAAACGGCGAGTGGTCCCGAGCCGTCCAGTCCACACGGAACTGCTCATGGGAAGCAGCAATTTCCGATGGCTGGTCTGCGGCAGGAACACTCAGCAAGTGGCCAGGTGATGTGGCCGGGTCCGGATCGGTGTCCAGCCAGGTGATGTACGGAGATCTGTTGTCGACGTCGAGATACTGCAGTAGATCTTCCTCGGTGGCTACTAAGGGCGATTTCCTGATGTATGCTCGAATATCTTCAAGGGTTTTCGGTTCTCTATTGAAGTAGACGGTCCTGTCTCTGCCTTGCTGAGCACCTTGACGATAGAGGTGGCAGATTCGTGCACTATCCTCCTTGTTTAGTCTCTTCCGGAAGGCCCATCTGACTAACTGATCCTTCCACTGCTTTTTCCTGCGACTTTGGTCAGCTGCCAATACTCGACTCAAACCTTTTGGGACGTACGTTGCGAGGAAGTCGTATTCTTGGTGAAAATCTTGCATAATGCGCTCAAGGCTCTGACCCTGAATTATATACCGTTCGTACACATCATCCTTGATCGCTGTCCACGTTTCAGCGCTGAGGTATTGTGCCCTTTTCCGCTGTCGTTGATGCTCCCTAGACATGGCCCAATCATCGCGCCGGATTAAGCATTAGGGATTCATCGCTAACGATACTGGGCATGCTTTACCATATCAATTCACGGAGTCCGGGTCACAGTCGGTCTGTGGTCAGGCTTCACGTGTTCGGTCTCGACATCTTGCCGGCGAATCCAGACCAGCTCACGTGCACTTGGCATTCGATGAGGGGCAATTCCGCCTCATCAGCACGCTAACGCCTAGAACGGATGTTCGGCCATCCATCTCTTTATGGCACCTCTGCAAGCATGTCTGCATAAATGCTTTCTTGGGACTAGATCTCTGCCTCGTCAGAAACGTGGGACCATCTGACTGGCTGTCACATTGGTTCGCATTGACATATCCCTTGTCCTGACGTAGCCGGATCTGCAGCTTACTGGCAGTGCTCTTGCCATTGGCTGCATACAATGCACTGTTGCAGGTGCCTTGGACGATATAGAGGAGAGGCCACCCCCCCAAAAATGTTCTTCCTCAAACATTCCTCGAAGGTCCCTCAGACAATCCGAAAGTCCTTACGAAAGTACTTGTACTTCTGGTCCTGTGTCTCAATCCTTTGCCGTTTACAGTATGGCCGCGCCAGAAGTACACTACCTTATCCACTTCTACGCCTTACTCCTCCTGCTTATTGCCTGCTACCAAGCTTCTGTTGCCTTGAAACTTCAGAAGCTGCTATACCTGGGTATATGATTCCACGGAGTGACGTCCATATAAAAATGTGCTGATGAATACCTACAAGCTATTGCCCAAACCGACCAGATCCACGGTTCTGTTCGTTCGGCCTCGACACGCAGCTTCAAGAGCACGATGGTAGCGACGGTGTCCAGTGGAGCACTCGTTGGCCACACGCGATACCGCACCAAAGGTGATGTCCGGGCCTGGTTAGCCGGCATTGGAACGCAACACAACTAGATGCACAGTATGGGTGCAAGCTGAAATGGTACTTGACCATCTACGACTCCGTTTGCCTTTCTGTACCTCGCTGAATAGCATATCGCCGCCTGTCACACGTGACTGACGACGATATGCCCCAGCCTTGCCTGTCTTGGCAAGGCCGATGCTTGGCACTCCGCATTGCATATCGCTTGGCGGAAACACACCAGATAGTTCCTCACTCTCGCTTTGCATACATTGGCCTACCGGTGTGACTACGGAGTATTCTACAGTTTAGTGTCAGTCAATCACATACGGCTGCTGGTTACCTTCCAGTATGTCGCTGACTAGCATGCCTCCGCGCCTCCATGACCTTATTAAGATACCATTACTCCGTATCCTCACGACCCCGGCGTCGTAAAATCCTCAAAGGCAGGCCAACTCCCCAACCCGCCCGGATCCCCGCCGATCCGCACCCATTCCGCCACACTCGGCACGCCATTACCGCCTATCACGAACATCATGAACCACGCCGGCCCACCCGCGACGTGGGCATTGGGCGGCGCCGTGACCGTGCACGATGTGCCGGTACTGGTACTAGTACTGTTGCTGTTGCTGTTGCTAGTGGAGCTACTGATGCCGGTGCTGGTGCCGGTGCTGGTGCCATTCCCATTGTCAGTCCCGCAGCTGAAGGCCGGGAACAGAGTGCGGGCGCCCATGCTGTTGCCGTGGGTGCTGGAGACGGCGCCCATGAGCGAGACTTTGGCGGGCGTGCCGCCACAGTGCATGGTGAAGGTGTAGGTGGCGCCGTAGGACCAGTCGGTGTTGTTGAGGGCGAGGTTGAAGATGGGGCGGGCGCCGCAGGCCGTGCCGTTACTGACGGAGGAGGAATTGGTGCCGTTGGCGTAGGTATATGGCGCGCTGTCGGATGCTGTGGCGTTGGAAGCGAAGGCCGTACCGGCGTTGGCGTGGTACAAGACCTGGTCTGACACGTTGAGAGCCAATGGCTCGTCCAGGCCCATGAGGTACGGCGGGATGAAGACTTCGACGCGGTATTCCTGCGGGTATTTGCCGTCGAGGTTTTCCGGGTCGGAGCCTGAGACCAGGACACGGCCGTCCATGAGTAGGATGGCCTCGTTGTGGTACATGCGCGCGACCGTCGTGTTGGCTAGACTGCTGATGCGGTTGTGGACCGGCTTGGAAGGGTCGTACAGCAAAGCGTTGAGGTTGGGGTTGTCGCCGAGACCGAAGCCCGCGACGCCTTGCTGGGCGCCGTTCATGATGAGGAAGGTGCCATCGGGGAGCGCGACCATGCTGGACATGACGCGCTTGGAGGGCTGGAGGAAGAGATGGGTTAGTAAATGGTTATGAGTATGCAGAGAGAGAGAGAGGAGCAAAACGTTACCATTCGCTCGATTGCCCAGTTCGCGCCGGGCACTTCAGGCTGGATGGAGACGCAATTGTCGAGGGCATCACCTGCATACGGGGTTGAGCCGCCGCAGATGAGGACGGTCAGAGGGTCTGTCCACGGATATGACTGTGGCAGGATCATTGATGTGCCTTCAAGCGGGTACGTTCGTCCAGCGAGGAAGCTCGTGACCGAGCCCGGTATGTTCGGAAGGGTACGGACGGTTTGGAGTGTAGCCTCGTCGAGGATCCGAGCCTCGTTGTAGTAGCTCGCAAGGATACCGCCGGATGGGAGCACGGCCATGAATGGATATAAATTGTAGGGATCTGTCCTTTGGAGCCAGTCGCAGTACACAAGGGATCCTCCTGGGGGTTTGGGAATGATCTCCAGATTGGGCACCGGCGGTCCATTGCTTCCGTTTTCACCGCCAACAACCAGGATGGAGCCGTTGGCCATCATCATAGCGGATGGATACCAACGACCTACTTGTAACGAGATCTCGTCCACGTTTTCCTGCCATACACTTTGGCCAGGAACTCCTGGTGATCCGTCTGGGGTCAGGAAACGTACACCATATGTTGAATCGTCAGACCAGCCTCCAATATTGATTATCCGTGCACCTTTATCCGGCAAAGTTAGACCAGCAGAACAAAAGACGTCTGTTCGGAGTCCTTCCACTTCTCTCCAGGCCACGTCCCAGCTGTCGATTGCAGATAAATCAAGCTCGTAGGCACCAGTAGAGTTAGGAGGACCAGTGCCATGCTTCTCAACAAATGTCACCTTGCCGTTGCGATTAGCCGAGGTGATCAACGGGATAACCGTCCCTCCAATGAGGAATTCATATACACCTGCCCCGTTGCCCGTGGGGAACTGCCAAACATCCACGGGCGGTTGGGTGTAGTAGCTCAAGAGGAGGCCAGCGCCACACAGAGTCGTTGGGTCACCGGAGCAAGGGAAGCTCCACTGTGCGTCAGGTTGATAGGTGGCACCAGAGGCAATTCGATCAGTGTCATCGCCACAGAAGCACTGTTGGCCGTATTCGAGACCTGCAGCACTGTATCCGAATTGGCCACAGAGTGCGAGGCAGTTCGTCGCCGTCATGTTGGTCCTCATGTCGATCTGGTGCGGGAGGACTCTGGAGTTGCCGTTGTCGTTCAGGCAGCCCTGATAAGCCCAGTTGGCCGGCAAGTTTGTCCTTTGGATGGTGGGGACGGGGAGAATTGTCATATTGCCTGTTGCGAAAATGCTCATGCGGTTGGACCCTCCGCAGACCTCCGACGAGTTGCCCGAACAGGTCATTGCACAGTCCGAGTCTGCATTTGCCAGCGTGCCGGCGTTGATAATGCTGCTACCGCAGAAGCATTGCTTTGAGTACTCCAAGCCGACGACCGTCATGCCTTGTGAGGCGCAGGTTTGAACGCAGTTTTCTATTGTGAGGGCGTCATTGTCCGGTAATTCATTCATCAGGATACGTCCGTTGGCATTGTCAATGTAGCAACCTCGGTAGGTCCAGTTGCCCGGTAGCTGTGCCGCACTGGTAGGTGTCGTCGCTGGAGCTGTGCTGGATGATGTTGTCTGCACCGTGGATACACCAGATTGCGTTGAAGCCGCAGCTAATGCGCTTGTAGTTGTCGCGCTTGGCGAGCGTCCAACATAAGTGAATACGTTGAGGCGGTTGGGTCCACCACAAACTTCGTCAGTGTTTCCATTGCAATTCATATTACAACCTGCGGTGCCGTCCGCTGCCGGGCCGCCGCCGTTCCGGTACTGATTGTCGCAGTAACACTCCTGTGAGTATTCGACCCCAGAAATGTTGTAATTGCTCGCAAAGCAGGCCTGTTGACAGTTCTCCTGAGTCATGTTTGCAGGACCTCCAGGGACTGGCATACCGACGGAGAGGGTACGAGCAGTCACACTGTCAGTGTAGCAACCGAGTGGCGCCCAGTCTGGTGCAATAATGGACCTGGCACCCAGGACGTATACATCAAGTCGATTAGGACCACCACAGTACTCTGAACTATTGCCATTGCATATCATGTTGCAGCCAGCTAGGCCATCAGGAGCAGGTGCGCCGCCATTGGAGAAAGTGTTGCCGCAGTAACACTCGCCGGAGTACTCAACACCTGAGATAGTGTAGCCGTTGGCAGCGCAGACCGCCACACAATTGGCGACGGTCATATTCTGGACCCCCCCCCTGCACGGGGTATCCGTTGACGAGCGTTCGCGCCTGGACCGAGTCGGTGTAGCAGCCTACGAAGCCCCAACCAGGAGGACCGGCATTCGTGGCAGGCCCAGTGGGCTTCGCTGTAATGGCATCGTTGTGGAAGACGTTCAAGCGGTTGGGACCGCCGCAGGCTTCCGTGGAGTTCCCACCGCATGGCATGTTGCAATCACCAGCGTTAGCGGTTTGGCCAGACGCTCCAATGAAGTTTGAGCAGTAGCATTCTCGGGAGTATTCAACGCCAGCAAAAGCGTAGCCGACGGTGTTGCAGAAGTTGACGCAGGATTCCTCGGTCATGCCATCATCGGTGTATGATTTCGCAGCCAAGGCTCTGTTGCCAACGCTGTCGGCGTAGCATCCTTTCGAAGTCCACTGGCCAGGAAGGTTTCCAGCGATTGAAAGGTCACTTCTCTGCAAGCTTCGACGACTGGGGGAGTTGCCGTAAACAAGGGTTCCAGCTTCAGAAGTGGTCAAACACGCAAATAGAATGAAGACTAGGGAAGACGCAAAACGAATGGACGTGGCCATCATGGCGCATAGAATGAGGGACTGAAAATCAGTAACGAACGTCTTTTGGTCAGGACAAGAACTTCACACTCGACCTCACCAGAGCCACGAATTGAGCGCGTGAGACTGAGTTGATATGTATGCATATCGCCCCGCAAGCCTCGTTCTCCAGCCTGAGGGTTGCACACGCGTCTCATCTCTCCCAAATTGAGCCAACATACCCTGCGAGAATGGTCGACTGCAAGCCATTGTCTGAGAACTCGTGTCTAGACATACTCAAAAGAAAGTCTGGATCAGCCTGGCTTTGGGCGTGAGAAGAACCGAAGCTTTGAGGGTTTAAAAAAAAGGAGAAGCCCAATCTGGGGGGGCATAGCAAGGCCAAATCGTTGGTGATTTGCCAGATGAACATTGGCTGGACTGAAGGTGGAAATCAACCAGAACTTACACCGTGCTGTGGGAGCAACGAACAAGGAGGCAATGGGGTGAAAACATGGTGTTGTTGACGACTGCGAAAGTTCAGTGGCTTGGTGCTTGTTGATGCTTCTCCTTAACCAAGCTTCGGGGGCGCCATAGTCTATTGACTTGTGGCTGAAATCCTCCTGAGGCTCGAAGAGGTTGACGGAACATGAACCGGCTAAGCGGCAAGGCAGCCTCCCCCCACTACCCCGGAATGGGGTGCGCCTGGGGTACTCTACAACTGAAGACTAAAGCTATCCAGGTTTCTAAGTCCACGCCGCCTGAATGCGCGACGCGGAGGAGAAGTAGGGTAAAAAGGCATGCGGACCGCTATACTAACCTTCCTGTGTTGGCTGTGTATTGTCGAGCATCTCGCTTCACATGTCATTAACATCGTTGCTGTTGTCATTGCTTTTGCTTTTCATTGACAACCCCCAGCCTTTAGTCATATAGACACATGTACCACGCTTGTACGTGCTCAGCTCTACGGCTGACCCGCGTCAATACCACTGTTTTGCGATCATATGCCTACAGCTACAACGGGCGTGCTTCATTACCCGCCATCGAAGCGAGCTGGGGCTGAACGAGATGGTATAGCGACCGGTTACCCCTGCACGCTGCTCAAGTGCTGTTGTCTCTGGGCCATTTTCCTCGTTTCCCGCGTTCACAACCACCACCGACGCATATTTGTTCTACCCATCAGTAATCGTAGCCATATCCACTGCCATCATACCGTCTCCTCACACTACCCGCCACGCTCTGCATGTCGGCGCTCTGTTCGGGATTCCTGACCTGCAAGCCACCACCAGCAGCGGCAGCACCACCCTGCCCTCGCTGCTGCTGCGGCGCATGGGCCTGCGCCGGCAACTCATACCCACCCGGCATAGGTTTGCGAGGGATGACCCCGGGACTTGGAGCCCGCAGAGGTAGCTCATGCTGCTGCGGCTGCTCGCCCCAGGCCGCGCGCGGACTCACGTAATCCTCGCCAAGTGAGCCTGGTAGAGCCGAGAAGCGCTGCTGGCTGGGCAAGCCCTGGAAGCGCGTTCCGGCTGACTGTCCGGTCGGGCTGCCAACATCGTAGTAGCTTGGCACACCGCCAGGTACGTTGTTGCCGGCGAAAGGGTTTCCGCTGTCATCGTAGGGCGAGTCGGTGCCAGATCTGCCTGGTGCGTGGACTGTACTTCCGGTGTCACGCTGCGAGAGCGGGACGGCAGATGTCGGCGTGGCGCTGTATGTGGTGGGAGTCCCGCCGCTGGTGGAGTTGTCGTCGTGGTTATTGTAGTTGGAAGGGTTCGCTAGGGACAGGCGGGGAGGTCCAGCGGTAGGCGTCGTAAGATCCGTCGTGGACTCCGAGCCGAAGGGTGGGGCTTCGGGGTCGAAAAACTTCTCGTCAGTGAAATAGGGGTTTGTAGCGTTGGTGAAGGAGCCGCTGTTATTGTAAGCGGTGGGGGAGTCGGCGGGCATTTCAGCGACGCCTTCAGGAGGTTGAACAACCTGGTTGTTCACCGCCAGCTTGGGCATGTCTGTGGTACCTGCAGTACTGTCCTCAAACATTCTACCTGACGGATCCATTTGCCATTGGTCTTGGGGAAGCTCGAGGGGAAGCTCGGGCATGATGGATGAGCGGGACATGTCATCGCGCGAGACCGGGACAAAGGATTCAGCCTGTGATGCTGTAGAGCCACGATGCTGGTGTCCTGGCACGCTATCGATGTTGCTCCAGGTCTTGGAGAGGGCGGTACTCGTTTTCCTCGTATGACCTTGTATCTGTGCGTTGGTGCCGCTCGAATCTTGGTCGCGAATATTGAACTGCGCCACTGCACGTAATTTTCGCGTCACCCAATTCGAGAGGATCTTGCCACGCTGCTTCTCAGAGAGGCGAGACCGAGGGAAGTCGCCATGACCGACGAAACAGACCGTGTCAACGATAATCTGATGCTCATTGAGCACAGCATCAACGATGACAGGAACAAGGGATGCCAAGTAGGCTTTGCGGAAAACTTCCACGACCACGACGATCAAGCCGCCCGCTTGGAAAATGGCAGAACCACCGGGAGCGATATTGCGGTGTGACTTTTCGATGCTGTTTTCAATGTCAATAGGGAAGTGTGAGAGGCCATTGATCTCGAACGTTTCGCCAATATTGCCGAGATGGAAGAGAATCTGCATTTCGACAGGCTGGTTGCCAGGACCAATAGGTCGGGTGACGTTGTGGAGGAAGCCTAGATCACCGGTTCGGACATAGCTGACATTAGGATCACCTCCAAGTATACGACCGTTGAAACGCTCTTCGTCGAATAAGTGCTTTGACATGTAGAACGATTTGGCGCAGGCTTCCGACTGGACCCAGATCTCACCATATTCGCCCACATGGCAAAGCTGTTGCGTTTCGGGGTTGACGATAGCGATGCGAGTCGATACCGGAACCATGCCGGAGTCTTGAACCAAGAGAGCTTGCGGATCATTGTCCGGATCAGTTGGACAGATAAGACCTCGCCGGAGCGCCCTCAGATCCAAGAAGAGCTCGATAGGCTCGATAGACATGTAACTCCGAGAGGCAACCATGGGATTTAGCACATGCGAGAAGATGGTGTTGATAGCAGTTCTTTCTAAGCCGCTCTGTGCAAAATGTGTCCTCACCTTGGCATAGAGGTCCTGCCGGGGTCTGCTCTCGGTCGAAATCATCAAATTCTTGAGTTCGTGCAACATGAAGCCTTTGCCCGCGACATGACCCATGGCAAACTCCAGCATCTGGCTTGTAGCGTAGGTGTCCTTTACCTTGTACCGCCCAAGAGCATGGAAAAGCGACATAGGATTCTGCGCAAAGTCGAGTGGCGAAATGAGGTAGGTTCGGCTGCCGTTGTATACACCCATAAGGACAGTGTGAATGAAACCAATGCCAATGGTGCTACGCACGCATCCGAGAACCGGCTTTGAGCTCGTCATTTGACATGTCTCTTTTTGAACCTTACACATCCCCATAAGGGTATCATGACCAAGCTGAACAGATATCCTTCGCTGGTCAGGGGTCCAGTAGGTCCAAATGACGACAGGGCTGTTAGGCGACACCCAAGCTTTATTCATGGTTAGACCGAGATCTCTGCATCCATGGGACTGCTTCGAAGGCTTGGACGTATTGTAGACGTTGGGTATGTGTACTTTGAGATATTGTGCCGACTGCTTCAGATGCTGCGACACGATCTTCTGCTTGAATAGCTGATCGACGTCATGGTTGACAATCACAGCCTTGACTCGCATATCGGCGACAATGTGCAGAAAGGCTGGTGCATCTTCTGCCAGTCGGTTGGCGTCAAGTGGCGCTATGGGTATGGCTATCACACCGAGCACCATGCACGCGTAGAGTGCGAACACATATTCCTCAGAATGGGTGTACATCAGCACAACATGATCTGCTGGTTTGACTTTGACTTTGTTCTTCAGGTAAATGGCGACGGAGGCAACCCTGAGGTCGAATTTCTTCCATTGGAGGGCCTTACCCTCCTTGCCTCGGCCGTCAATCGTGCAGTAGGCCATCTCATCCGCTTGTCGAGCAACTCGCCACTGCATCAGGTCGAAGATGTTGCTGAAGTTGCTGAGAGACGTGGAAGTTCGGTCGTCTATTACGACTTCCCGATGGTCAACACCTGACCACTGCGTTTCTTGCTCGTAGAGCAATTCTTTTCTCGCTGCGCTTGCAATAGGTGACCAGACACCGCCAACAGGATCATCACCAAAAGGTAGATTTTGAACAGCTCTTTCGACCCCAAATTTGACATGTACAGCTGGTAGCGTGCCATTGTCGAATTCTCTCCTGCATAGCATATTCCCAATCTCTCGCCGACCATTTTTCGTGACCCGTGGCAAGTCACTGGGTGGTGTGACCAAGACACAATATACTCGTAGGTGATGCTCTTGGTACAATATATCCATCGCTCGCTCAGCTAATGAGTCAAGCAGCTGGAGGTCAAGTTGCTGGGGAGGTCCGCCGGATGCTAATGGAGCTGTCGACGCGTTTGGTGATTCTAAAACCACGATCGGTAAGTGCTCCTCATTGACAAAGCAGTCGAAAGCCGAGCAATCATGAATTTTCGGTACGTTTTTCATAATGCTCATGATCAAGTGCTGGACGAAAAAGTAGCGATGCTCCTGGACCTGAATACCATGCTCAATCCACTCGACTCGCTGGCGCAAGCGATCCTCGTAAAGGCCAAGAACATAGACCCTGCCCTCGATCACGCAGCCCAACAAGCCGGTGCGTAGGAATTCGAGGTCCAACGCGGTGGGTGTGGGATTGCCTTCACGGAACAAGAATGGCCGGGCGTGGAAAATGTTCTCGGTATGTCGCGGCAGCGCCCAGAAGCCACCAGAGAGTGAGGGTGAGTCTACCCAGATCTCACCAATGGTGTTCTTGCTGCACAAAAGTCCGGACTCAGGGTCAACGACCGCCAAGGTAGCGTCAGGGATTGGATAACCGAAAGCCCCGCATCGTACAGCATTCGGATATGAACCCGCTTTCGCCTGTGCTTCAGAGCCCATGGCTAAGACGACAATATCATTTGTCTTCAGCGCCTCTTTGTCAAGAAGTACTTCTGCCAACTCTTCTGTCGATCTCTCCATGCGCGAAGGCTGTTTGGGGCCACCTCCTAGCAAGCTGCTGCCAAACGCAGAGTTCTTGCTGGTCGAAGGCTCGTCTTCCTTCTTTTCATCATCTTGCTGATCATGATCCATCTCATGGGTCAGCTCACAGCCCATGCGCTCCTCGCCGCCGAGCCAGTCGCGCATACTGATGATCATGCCACCATGTTCAGGTAAGCAGAGCATTGGTGCCACGATCTCTCGTGCCCGGGGGTTTCGCAATGGCCTCAGCCAGCGATCCGCCAGAAGTTCGTGAAACTCTGGGTCAACAGTCAACGTGTCAATCATGCAGAGTTTGACAGAGCTGAAATTGGGCTCGAAATTCTTCTTGAAGTTTCGCGTGAGCATTGGGTCAGACTGATAATTGTAGGCTGCTCGCTTCAAGCCGGGATAGTCCGCGACCATGAGCGTCGATCGATACCGAGTGATTAGGTTTGCGTACAAGCCTGGGGTCTCAATCGCCCGCTGGTCGAAATATATCACTGTATGGCCGCCGTATACGTTTAACAACACACCTAGAATCATACCAACACTCTGTCTCGGGTCGAGATATGTGAGTATGGTTTCCGCTGTTTTTCGCCCGGTCATTAGGTGTCCGGTCTTATCCCGTAGAGCTGGATTAAATGTATCGCCTTTGGTGTTGCTTGTGGCTGACGTGACCATGGCGCTCAGTGTTGCCATTTGATGCATGATGGTCTTGTGACTCATGACAACACCTCTAAGGTCACCCGTCGGCGCCGTGGAAAACTCGATATATGCAAGATCTGGAACCTCGAGCACCGGTTCGTCTGCCTTCTTCTTGGGGTGATAGCTGCCAAATTCGTTCGTCTTCCACCATTCGACGCCCCGAGGCCAATTCAGTTTCGCCGCCGTGATGTCTCGTTGGAAGTTCTTCAGGTTAGCCTCGGTCGTTAGGGCAAGATGAGCTTGTGTTGAAGTCAGTACCACATTCAGACGCGCATAATTTTTGAGGTCGTTGATGGGCACTGCGACGACACCGGCTATGAAACAGCCCATCAAAGCCACGACAAATTCGATGACCTCGTTTTCGGTATAGATCAGAGCAACCCGATCACCCTTGTACAGACTGCTCTTGTCCCGCACGACCTGCGCTACTTTTTCGGCCCGACTGGCAAGCTTTTCCCATGAGATAGAGACCATCTCCTTGCCTTTGGTGTCCAGCACCCAGTATGCCGACTGTTTCGGATTCGTTTTCGCGCGATGCCGAAGGACCATGGCAATGTTTTCGAACCTCGACATCTCAAACGTCGAGTCATGGGGGTCACAAATCGCGAATGGGACTTCTCGAGGTTCGAGAGGCATCTGGTGGACTGCAGCTCCTCCCGCAAGTTCTCCGGCACTGAGTAGTGGCGGGGCAACTTGTGTTGTAGGCGATGTAATTTCACTCTGCGAGTAACGATGTGGTCCACCGCCATAGCCCTCCTGGTCATCCCGCTGCTGACCGGCGAAGTCGGAAAAGTAGCCCTGCTGAGAATCCAGCATGGTGGAATTCCTACCGTCCCCACCGTTGTAGGCTTGCTGCTGGTCTGGGTTGAATGCGTAATGCTGACTCAAAAGAGTCTGCGTCCTGGAAGTATCTGGCGCCTCCCCCATCAGCGTCGATGACCGATTCGAGAACGAGCTTTGACGCATAGAGCCGCCCATCTCCCTCTCTTGAAACCGATTTACATGGCTCACGGGAGCCTGATTATAAGGGGGCTCGTCATAGGAATCACGCGCGTTGCTCACTTGCCGCGATGCTGGCTGCGAACCTTGCAGGCTACCCTGTCTGGACGAGCCGCCGGGTTGGCCATGAAGAGCCGCCAACGACGCGGCTCGCGACCCATCAAGCGAAGCAGGGTGATCGCTGTCGTCAGGAGAGTGTATACGAAGACCGCCGCTCCGGGGTTGCGGTACATCCTGTGGAGATAGAAATTGGCTCAAAATCAGGGTTCTCCTCTTTTCATAGCCTTTTCGTGTGATGTCGCCTTCTTCGAGTTCAGAATCGAGCTGTCGGAGCTGATCCTCGAGCTCGGGGTTGGAATTTGCCATGCTTCAGCGCATGCTCTGTGTGCTCGAGGGGGCGGCGCGAACCCGGCGGAAGGGCGGTCGACTGCGGGTGCGATGAGATCGCGGACTCAACAGGAGGTATCAGGGGGAGAGCAAGCGAGTGACTGGAAGATGCTAAAAGGAGCTTGAGAGGCAACAATCGTAGCGCACTAACTCATGGCAGATGACGATGCTGATTCGCGGCTATAACCATGTTTCAGATGTGTGTGCTGCCCTCTTTTCAGTAAACGGCTGCTGCCCGCCATTCCGCTTGCCGGCCAGCGCTGAGTGGCACTATTCTCGGTGTGGGGTAAGAGACTTCGGCCCACGCCTACGGCTCATGGCGGACCACCCTAGCGACTTATGCGCGCCGTCATGGGGGCCCCGATATGTCTGTCGATACACAGTTGAGAGCCGCGGTCATGTCAAAGTTTTGAGTTGGAGGGGTCTGGAACGGGCACGTCACTAGTTGTAGATTCCAAAAAATGCATTGCTATCGCAGCTGTTTATTCTTCTGGATGCTCTCGTCCTCTCTTCTAGAAGGGCAGATGAACCAATCCGAAACATGACGGCCAAACAGGAATTCACTAGCTGGCTGTTTCCTACCAAGGTCGAGACGAAGTCGGCCCCTGACGTCAACGCTCAAGCACCAAACACCGCCGATATATCTTTCCCCAGAAGCGATGGCAAGCCTGTTGTGATTGCCTTCCTGCGGCACTGTGGCTGTCCGTGTATGTACCACAAATGCACCTTGGTGATCTGCTAACAAAATGTAGTCGCGGAGAAAACTTTCCTCCTCCTGCGAAAGCGAGCTGAAGAGAACCGAGATGTGCAGTGCATTGCTGTTTCTCATAGTGACAAACCTTCGACCGACAAATGGGTTGAGTCGGTAGGTGGAGCTGCCAACGTGCAAGTCATCGTGGACAGCGAGCGCAAAATATATGGCCAATATGGTCTGGGGGTGGCTAGCTTCTGGCATGTGCTGAACCCTTGGAGCCTGGGTGCGGTCTTTACAATGGCTCGTGAGGAGAAGATCGCCAACCGACCGACCGAGAGTGGTACCCGCTGGCAAACAAGTGGTGTTTATGCGGTCGATGCTTCCGGTGTGGTCAAATACTCGCATCCGTCTGCGACGACAGATGATCTTGGTGATCTGGAAGCTGCGGTGAAATCGATCAAGAAGTCGACCAACATTTGATCGGGTTCGGGGTGCAGGTCGGGTAGCAGCAACGGAAACGTCGCCATTGTATAATGTGGTAGGATACCGGCAGCGTACAGAGGTCGCTTGCTTAACATAAACTTATTCAATCCGCTTGACTTTCAAGCACGGTGAATACGGGTCCGTTCAACTTAGAACGACCGTTGAGCTTCGTCAGTTCGATCAGGAAGACAAAACCCAGCAGCTCGCCGCCGCAGTTCTTGATCAAGGTCTCTGCCGCGGCAGCCGAGCCACCAGTGGCAATAAGATCGTCGACGACCAGTACTTTGCTGCCGGGCTTCACTGAATCGCGCTGTATGGCGAAGGTGTCTGTTCCATACTCTTTCTGGTACTCGACTGTCTCGAGGACACCTGGTAGCTTGCCTGGCTTTCTCACGGGTACAAACCCTGCATTAAGGGCAATGGCCAGCTGTGGCCCAATCAAGAATCCTCGAGCGTCGAGCCCAACGATGATGTCGGGCTTGTTGGCGCCGAGTTTTTCTTCGATGGTGAGGAGAAAAGCCTGGATCAAATTGCGGTGCAAGTTGACATCGGCGAAGAGAGGGAAGATATCCTCGAACAAAATTCCAGGCTGCGGGAAATCGGGGTACTGCTTCAGGCCTGCATTCAGGCTCTGTCGTAGGCTCAGTAGCGTTTCATGACCGGTGAGTTGGGAGGCTGCCACATGTTAGTGGGGGTTTTTGGCGAATTCTGCAAAAAATAATCTGGCACTGACCGGTGGTGGTGGCATTGGACTGCTGTCTCTGGGAGCCATCTTGAGAGGCCGCAGAAGTGGTTTGAGAGGTCATGACGAAGAGAAGAAATAGATTAGGGAAAAGACGGTGAGAGCGAGCGTTTATAGGGAGAAGCAAGCACGGTGCGAAAAAGGTGACTGTGAGGAGTGCGGCGCAAGATTACACGATGCACGTATCCATCGCGCCAGCCTGAGCGATCCATTCTTCCATCTCGACATGCAGAACCTAGTCGACTAGCCGCTCACAGCTCCGCCCGAGACGAATCAATCGCGCATGCCAGGCCGCCGCTTGAGTCCAAAGGTTGCCGTCTTCGACCTCTACAAGCCGGTCTGCACCGGAACAGCTCCCTGCCTGACCTGAGACTTGTCCACTCGCTTCTACCCCTCCGATTCTGCTGTTCAGATGGCGCCATATATGACTGAACATGCTCTGGTGGCTTGATTGCGGCACCACCCTCCCAAGGCGGGCCCCACCTCTATCTGTTGGCTGTTGTCGGGCCTTTTCACATGTGTCGATGCTCTACAGGCTGGATCATGACATCCATGATCCGAGTGCGTGCTTTGTTTCGAGGTGGGGTGTTGCAGCGATAAGTCTCACTATCGTTACAATCGCTACCGTCCTTGTTTAACCCACTTCCAAGTCACCCTACGCTTCTGCCCAGAGTTGAATCGCACAGCAGCGAGGCTGACCAGGCACAGCCATCTCCTGGAGTCATTTTAGGCTCACAGTTCCACCCATCTTCTCTATCGGGAAGTGTTGGGCCTATTCGACGCGTCACGATCAATCTTGAGCAGAGCGCGTGGTTTGGCTGACTCCCAGCTCTGTCTCACCTAGACGTCCTGTATGCCCGGCTGTAACCTGCGATCTGATGATCTGTACAAGCGCAAACGACGATCATCTCCTCGCTTCTTCTTCGGATCTGCACACCCTGCATCGAATACTGTTCTGGAAGTTTTCTACGCGCCGCGCCTTGTTGATCATGAATTTTCCCGACAGACCGAAAAGGCGGTGTCGTTGAAGCATTGACTGCCAAACGTCTCAAGCCTGGTTATTGCGGAACCGTTTATACCCACTACTGCAAGCCTAGCCTTCTCATTGTTCTCACAGGTGTTTGACTCAATACGTGGCAAGGCGCTGTTCGGCCTATGGTGGCACCAATTAAATGCAGTAGGCAATTGATCTGGTCACCCATCGCTCAGAACTCCGCAACCACCAGATGACATCGCAGTCCGTCAGAAGGGAGGAGCCACCGGACCTTTGCTTGATAGTTGTACTAGGCTTGTTGATCGGCATGTCAAATGGCACAGCAGGTCCACCATGTCAGGGAGATTTCTTGGAAGCCGCTGGCCTACCAAGTAGAGCAACGAGCATGATCGCTGCAAGGATGGTCGGAAATGCTTTCCTCATGGCCGACCTGCCAAATCTAGATTTCGAGACTAGACCTTGAAACATGATCGACTTCGTGGCCCATCGGAATGGCGGATACTAGACAATGCTCTTTCTGACAAGTCCAGGCTCTTGGTTGGATGACAGTGCATAGACATGGCTGGACCTGATCGCCATCACACGTGGAACACGGGACAACGAAACTTGACAGGATATTCTCCGGGGTTTTGCAAACCGAGATGGTGTCGATGCGCCCATACATGTTGATGATGCTGACCTTCACATGTCTATTCGTGAGTTGACGTTTGTCCATGTGTCCAAATGACTGTTGGGCTCAGACATGGTCTCCTTAGCGTGTAGCGCCATTCGAGATAGCCACTTCCAGGCTGTTGCGACCAAGACGAGTAGCTGTGAGCCGGAGCATGAGCTTTACATGTACATGTACATCCGTTACTGCCTGTGTGGTGCCGGAGTTGAGCCGGACCCACAAAAAAAGTTGCAGCAACTGCCCGCAATCCTCGACACCACCTCAATGTGCACACTGCCCAGTGTATGGTACAGATCTAGCTCAGCCAGGATGCCTCGAGTCGACGATGACATCGTGTTCACCCTCTCCGACAATGATGACCTCGTAGGCAGCGACTATAGCGAGCCCGAGTCAATACCTAAGCCAAAATCCAACAAGCGGAAGCGAGAAGAGCAACCCGTCAAAGCAAAGAACAAGAAACCGAAGGTGCTGCAGGAGGATCAAGAAAGCGACGAAGAAGACCAGGGAGTCAGAGATGATGCACTTGACTCTGATTTCGAGTTTGAGATCGGAGGCAATAACTTCGATGACCAGGTGGAGGACTTCGACGGATGGGGAGGACCAGGCGCAACGCAGCAAACCGCAACCAAGCGAGGCGTTGACCTCGACGACATTATAGCGAGGCGGCAGCAAAAGAAGACTGAGACTCCTCCGGCGCGAGAAGCCAATGGTTCCGATGGTGACGAACACTCTGATGAGAACTCAGATGCACCGCTTGTTGAAGATGCGGATGCGGATGCAGAATCTGAAGATGAAGTAGCGTCTGCTATCGATTTCGAAAACGACGAGCTTCTTGCCGACGATGCCTTCGGTGCAGGTGCACAAACAGAAGAATCTGATCCAGAAGAGGAGAATTCAGCTGACGAGGGCGACGACGGGGCAACCTCAGACAGCGACTCGGTAGCTTCGCCTACGGCGCACCCAGATGATGATGCCTCTGACTCCGGAGCCGAGACTGACGATACCACAGCGGACTCAGACGCCGATGAGAATGCCAAACGCGCAGCATTCTTCGCGCCCGAGGCCAAAGATACTGCCACTTCTGCAACGAAATCATTTCAGCAGTTCTCTTTGTCACGGCCCATTCTCCGGGCCGTCTCTACATTGAACTTCACCAGTCCGACACCTATCCAACAGCGGACCATTCCCGTTGCTCTTCAAGGCCTTGACGTCGTTGGTTCAGCCGTGACCGGATCCGGTAAAACTGCCGCTTTCCTTCTGCCAATCCTTGAGCGACTCCTCTACCGACCTCGTCGTGTTCCTACCACTCGCGTCGCCATTCTCATGCCCACCCGTGAGTTGGCTGTGCAATGTCACTCTGTTGCAGTCGCTCTCACCAAGTTTACCGACATCACCCTTGCCACTCTCGTCGGTGGTTTTTCCCTCCGCGAGCAAGAAGCCACGCTCAAGAAGCGACCTGATATCATCATCGCCACACCGGGCCGTTTCATCGACCACATGCGTAACTCTGCTTCCTTTACTATCAGTACCATCGAGATTCTCGTTCTCGATGAAGCCGACCGGATGCTTGAGACCGGATTCGCCGACGAGCTCGATGAGATCCTCCGTACCCTCCCCAAATCACGCCAGACGATGCTCTTCTCCGCTACTATGACGTCTACCATCGACAACCTTATCCGCTTAGGTATGAACAAACCAGTCCGCGTATCAATTGCATCAGCCACAACTACAAATACTACGCTCACTCAAGAATTCGTCCGCCTCCGACCCGGCCGTGAGCACTTCCGTCTCGCAACCCTTGCCCTGCTCTGCTTGCATCAGTACACCACTCGCACGATCATCTTCTTCCGCCAGAAGCAGACTGCACATCACACCCGCGTGCTACTAGGTCTACTGGGTCTCAAAGCCGGCGAACTCCATGGCAGCATGACGCAAGAGCAGCGTATCAGCGCCGTGAACGGCTTCAAGGACGGCAAGATCACCCATTTGCTAGCTACGGACCTTGCATCCCGTGGCCTAGATATCAAGAATGTAGCCGCGGTCGTCAACTACGAGGCACCACAAACGCACGAGATTTACGTGCATCGTGTTGGGCGAACCGCCCGCGCAGGCCGAGAAGGCCGCGCCTGCACCATTGCGGCGGAGCCAGATCGCAAAGTCGTCAAAGCCGCCGTCCGCGCGGGCCGCACGCAGGACGCCAAGATCGTCTCCCGCGCCATGGACCACACAGAAGTGGAAGCCATGCACGCGCGCATCGAGGCGCTCGAGCCGGACATCGAAGAGGTCCTCAAAGAGGAGAAAGAAGCCAAGCTGCTGGCGCAAACGGAGAACGAGCTCACCCGCAGCGAGAACCTCATCAAGCACCAGGACGAGATCATGAGCCGGCCCAAGCGAACCTGGTTCGAGACCGAAAAGGACAAGCTGGAGGCCAAGAAGCGTGGCGCCGAGGCGCTGAATAACCCCGGCGGTGTGGAAGTCAAGGTCAAGGCCGAGAAGAAGAGACTGAGCAATAAGGACCGCAAGCGCATGGATGCGAAAAGGGAGCGAAAGGAGGGCGGCGAGGGCGCCTCGGGGGTAGGGAAGCGGAAGTTGCTTGAGCAGGCGCAGCGTGCCAAGGATGCGGGGAAGAAGAAGCAGAAGAAAGAGGAGAGGATGAAGACACCGGGTGGCGGGTCGAGAGGAGCGGCAGGAAGGGGGGGAGGAGGCGTGAAGAGGAGTGCCGGTATTGGCAAGTTCAAGGGTGGGAAGGCGAAGGGGCGGAAACCGAGGAAGTAATTGAACGGTTCCGATAGTGCTTCCATTCTATGCCGGAACACACACAAGTCCATCCATCTTACGCGGGCCACTATTCTCCATCGAAGTATGTGCTCCCCGTTCTGCGATGTTGCTGCCGCTGCTGCTACGAACTGAGAATCCAACACAACCTCTGTCGCCGTCCAAGATCTCAGCCTCGAAAACTTCTTTCTCCTTCTTCGTCCACAACCTCACGTCAATCCCCGCGTCTTTATTCCTTTTTTCCTTTCCCAACTCCGCCCCTCGTCGTGACTTGTGCGAATACTTGCTGGGCTGACGAGTTTGGTCGGCAGCGAGTCATGGGCTGCGAGCATCGAGGCTGACTTTCGCGGAGCAACGAGCTCGGGTGGTGGTTGTTGGGGCCGATGCCATTGAGTATTGAGTGCCAGCAGACTGGGCCTGGTCCGTCAGGTAAGGGGGGGCCAGCTTCGGCGCCAGATGTACGTCAGTTCAGGTCAGGTCAGCCAGGGTAGGCAAACAGGTTATTGGGGAGGATGTGGCATTGCTGTTTGCTGCTCGCTCCTCTCGCACGTCTATGACTGATTCACCATATCCTTTTCCTTTTCTTTTCCCTTTCTCCAGTATTGACAGATCTCTAAGAAACGCCTTGATGGTCATGAAGTCGTCACCCTTCGTTCTCCCTCCGTCCTAATCCTAGTCATGCAACTCGTCCTCATCGGACTCCCAGTCGGCTGAATATCCTTTGTGGTGTGCCGGACCTTGATGGCCCTTCCTGGGCTGACCCTTCATGCAGCACTCACACGGCCTTGAGGAGACTGTCGAGTGCGAGGTCACGAGTTGGTGTCGAAGATAGATACCCTTGCAATTGGACTGGATGGGGATGAGGTTGTGGAGGCCGTCACGATTGCAGACGCGACAGCGGCATTCGGTAATGGATGTGCGGTTGAGTTCGCCTTGGCAGGTGCGGCAGCGGTGGAGGGTAATGCGTTCTATCTGAATGCACATTGTGATTTTGAGGGGGGAGGTGGGAGATGGGAGCGTCTTCAGATCGAGGGGAATGCTTGAGGCGATCCAAAAGTTGACGACCGATGTGGGGGATACGCAGGGGTACTTCAAGCCAGTGAGAAAAGAGCCAAATGGCCGATCAATCTTGTCGCAAAAGAACAGGCGCTACAATTTCGGTGCTATGGCTAGATGCATGAGCGGGATGGTCGATATTTAGGCGTCGAAAGTGCCGGCTCTGACTCTGACTCTGTGGTGGCCCTGGTGGGAACCCTAACAGGAAGCCTGACGTGGCGCCGGATGCTCGTGTGCTTCCCTCTTGAATGAACGAAGTTCGGAATATTTAGCCTTGAGTGGATCGGAAAGGTCTCGGGAGAGCCAATGTTGTGGCTTCGGTCCAGCAGCCTTGTAGTCGTCAACGCATCTTAGAGTGTGGCTCCAATTACTCTTTGGGAAAACAGGCCAGGCAGATCCACCATAGATGATCTAGAAAAGGAGCACTATACATCTTCTGGACCGGGGACAGCGACGAATCTGGAAGGTAGTGGTCTTCCGTAGACTCGGGATGGTAGTGCCCACGTGGAGTGGTGTGCACACCCACGACGTCAATCGGCCGTAGCATCTGAGTTCAGAGGAGCCGGTGGCAGATGGCGCCATGTGTGGGCTGCAGGCGTGTGGTCATCTTGGTCATCTCAGCTGCACGTGGTTCAAGTGCAGCTATGATTTTGGATGGTAACCAGTCAGAGGTCGTGTTGCAAGGTTCAAGGCGTACACTCGGTCGACCCCGGTGCCAGTCCAACTCCTAGCCTGTCTTGAGGTTGTCTGGCCAAGGCTCGGCTATGCAGACGCGAGCAAGCGCCACATACGCCACATACGCAGGTCCAGCGCCGCAGCGCCCGCACTCGCTAAATTTAAGTGCCGACCACGGCTAAACAACAGTTAAACTTTGGGGGGTGGGCTTGCGCCATTTTAGCACCCCTCGTCGTCAGCTTGGCTGTGTTTGAGGCTGCCCTCGACTGCTTCTGGAGGCGTTTCACGAAGGGTGGGTGGTATCCAATGGTGGCTGACTTCATGCTTTGCGACTTTTTGGTTTGCTCGTCGACAGTGCCTTCTGACCATGTTGTAGTTGCTATTTGTGGTGTTTGTAGGAGTCTCGAAGAACACGATGAGACGTTGTCCACAGTATATAGCATGGCGAGCGACCACAAGAGTAGCCGTAGTAGACAGCAACAGCGCCTCAGTAATCGTACACGAGAACGATAGTGCAAGCCACCAAAACTCACCAAAGAGCCCCGCCAATCAGACTCGGTCGTTTCATCAGCCATGGCCATGATGCTGTACACTTACATGCGTCGTCGCAAGACCGTCGAAATTGGCACTGCAACCAACGCCGCGCCGCCCTCGTACCGCCAGCGGAGCCATAGCAGTGGCTGCCGTATCGAGGGTGTCGAGAAAGATATCACCTACACCAGCCAAGACACGAAAGCCTGCTCAGACAATGAGCGCAGCGGTGACGAAGCAACGGGCATCATCAACCAGTCCATTGCGGTCTTCCCCCAATATGTGGCAAAGGAGTCCACCACACTCATCATGAAGGAAGACTTAGTCCCATACCTGCCAGGCTCTTTCACTGTCTGGACCGGCAACGCGAGGTTGTTCGAGATAGACCGCGAGCGGCCGTCCTTGACGCATCGCACCAACATCATCGACGCACAGTCTCAAGAGCTGGTGATGGCGGTACGAAAGAATCTCTGCAACGTCCCGGTCTCCTTCACTTTCGACGATCCATGCGGCAAGCGCATTCTCGATCTCCAGGGCGAGTTCTTCGTGCCGTATTCTGGCTCCAAATCGACAGCCCATATGGTCAATGCCGAGACTGGGGACAAGATCGACCTGACGATGAAGGGCTCGTACATGAACCGCCACGCCATCATCAAAGATGAAAGTGGCCACATTCTGGTCCGCATGACCAGCAATATCTTTGAAGCTCGAAATCTGGTGGGTCACCGACGGACATATGAGCTGACGGTGCAGGCGGGTGTTGATCTGTCGTTGGCAGTTGCAATGATCCTATCTCTCCATGAGCGTGAGCAGGCGCATTGATTTGGTTCTTGTACAGATAATGAGCGTTCAGTTAGCGGCTTTGATGTTTGATGAGAACACAGAAATACAACGGTCCCCATCTACCACCGCTGCCATGATCCGGAAGCACGATCCGCCCGTATCTCGTCTTCTCGCTTAGGTTATCAAGGACATCATCGTCCACGATTTCGAATTCATACTTCTGGCGACATCGCTCTATCACGCCATCATTTTCTTCGGTCGAGAGCGAACAGGTAGCGTAGACCACTCGACCGCCGACCTTGACCAGCCTGAGAGCCCTCATAAGCAGAGAAACTTGGGTTCTGGCCAAGGTCTTTGTGTGGGACGCTTTCCAGTTCATCATCTCCTCGGCCACCGGATTCCCGGCGTATTTGTGCAACACATGTCTTTCCGATGAGCATGGTGCATCGAGAAGAATGCGATCGTACTCATTCAAAGGGAATACTGCACGTTTGTCGGTTCCGTCAAGTTTCAAAACCTTCAAATTGAAGTCAGCGGGAAGATATGATTTGAGATTGGCAGCAAGCCGCTTATTGCGAGACGTATCGAGCTCATTGCTATGCAGGGTTGCAGGGCGATGCTGAGCAATCACTATAGATTTGCCACCGGGCGCGGCACACAGGTCAAGGACATGATGCTCGGCGCGAACATCCAGGAGCTCTGCAGCGAGCACCGAGGCCGCGTCCAGGTTGTAGTGACTAAGCAGACCAGAAGGGGTCTTCCTTGGAGGTGGGAAGGTATCTTTCTCTCCTTGTAGGCAGGGAAGCCGTGTCGAGTTGTCGACAGCAAGCGACTCGAGCTCAGTTGCAATGGCCTCATCAGGTGCAAAAGTGTTTATGAGAGCAGCATGTCGTGTGGGAGCCAGTAGTGCCGGAAGGAGCGTCTGCTGCCACCGCTCCTCCCCCCATATCGAAGCGTAATAGTTGTTGAATGCGGCAGCAGCCTGGGTCGAGCGCTTCTGCTCTGCCTTGGTGGGCATTTGGTCGTTTTCATGTGCAAGTCGAAGATACTGACACGGCTCGCGAGATGAAGTTCCGGTGGGTGTGAGAAAGTGACGAGGCTGCATGCCAATCCCTGCAAGGCTGAAATGCCAAGACTGTCCCTCAACTTCGCTTCTCGTAGCGTGCTTCTTTTCTTCCTTTTCACCGCCATGACACAGTACCGATCATGTCGATACCGACCAGACCTACTCTAGGCTCTTACTACTCGGAGTCATCACGATGGACTGGGGACCCATGCAACACCATCTACTAACTTGATATCTACTAACGAGCGCCACCTATTCGAGCGTGTTGCTGACCAAGTCCGCAGCGCGGCATATGTTGATGCCAATTTTTTCGAACGCTATTTCGCGTGGCCTGCTATCATGACGAATCTCCCGATGTACCTCATCGGAACGACAGATGGCATGAGGATGATGGACCAGTCCGTACGCTCCAGAAGGTGGGACATGACCTTTGATGAGTTCATGCCAGAGAAGAAAACCCCCCTTTTTGGGATTTCGGTACTTCTGCCATTCGTCCGGTTCGTATATATGTTGCCATTGAAGAGTGTTCACGTCGGAAACATCGACCAAGGAGCCATCTTCCACACACGACGGGTTCTCATTCCGACTGCTTCCAAGAGAGGCACCTAGAAAGGACTCGACTTGAAATTACCAAGGACTGCGTATCGGACCTTTAACTTAGCCACGCCACGGTTATATTCAACAAAGGCCAACACTGCTCCTGGTGTATTTCCTTCGGACGCCCTCAACAATCTATTCCAACATCCAACCTCCTCCTACCCAGTGATAACGGCCATATTCCCCTCCAACCATACAAACCTGATGCCCCAATGCTGCACTCTCCACGTACCATCCCATTGTCTCTTGACATCGACATCATACAAGCCTCCACTAACGAGCCTCTCCGTCTTGGACGGATCAACGCCTTCGCCCGGCCGATAATGGAAAGCCTGGGCAGACGCATATATCTTAGCCTTCCCTTCTCCGGCGTCCCGCGCGTTCACGCGCACATTGCTGACGAAATGCGTCGTGTCGAGTGGGCCCACGCTCCGAAAGACGTTAGCGATGATGGCGTCGGTGCCGCTGTGCGTGGTGCCCATCATGGTGGCGCTGGCGCTGCCGTCGGTGACAAAGGCGGACTTGAAGAGGGAGAGGTCGTTGGTGTCGATGCCCAGTACTGCGCGGTAGAGCGCGTCTGTTATGGCCGCCGCATCTGAAGGGGAGGGCGGGGTGATTTGGGAGGGCATAGACATAGTGCTTCGACGATTGGTGGCTGCTCTGGAATTTGGAGGTCTCGTTGGACTGCTCAGTTGGGTGTTATCTTTGATTTCCTGTAAGGTCCGCAGCTGTTTAAATGCCCTCAAACGCAGTCCTCTACCTTCGTCGACCGACGATCCTTCGTAGTCTCCCCCTGAACACGCCATCGTAACGCCGTAACGCCGCACAACCTCGTCCTGAAGCTTGCGCCCCAGCCCCCGATACCAGGATCCTCCCCGTTCCAATAACAGCGACGGGGCCAAAACAAACTCATTCTCCTGAGGCTTAACTTTCGGTGGCTGAAACGACGTCATACTTTATACCTTTTACCTTTTCACGGCTCTTAGAATACAGACGAGCAAAGCCCGTACGATACCGGACTCGACGGCACCGAGTCTACCATCAACCATGGCTAAGCAATCTCGCGAGTACCAACAAGCGTCAGATGCCGGATGCAGGAAACCACCGCCTGCCGAAGTAGTCCGTAGTCTGTGTCTCGGCGGTCTTTTGGGGGTAAAGTGCGAACCGGTGATACTGTAGCAGAACTCGCTTAAATCCGTCTGCCACGATCGAGCCCGCGTAAGCAAGAGGGTTGTACGAAAGGAGCGAAAGGGGCGAGCAGCGCGAAACACTATCTTGAACTATCTTGAACTATCTTGAACTACTTTGGGGGGGGAGTCATTGTTGGAAGTTGTTGTGGCAATACCTCCGAAACATCGCAATCGTGTGGCAATCTCATCAGTCCTTACGTGCTAGAGAAACTCAAGCGAAAGGCGCCGCCAAGACCATATGAGGCAGTGAATGCTCGCTTAACTTCTAAGCAGGTACTAAGTTAGTAACGTGCAGTGCAGTGCAGTGTAGTGCATCCAACCCAGGGGAAATTGAGCTACCACTCCGAAATCGAGATACAGCTTCGTACGGCAAGCGCACAGCGGTACTTGTTGCGGGTCCAGGTCTTCAGCGCCGCTGTGATTACTGCTTCTTGAGTTGAAGGACGGTATATCAACGTGGAGGAAAGGGTTTCGTCGAACGAAGCGGAAATATTCACAAAGTGATAGCGACAGGTTTCCCCCCTTATCTACCACGGTAATCCTCAGGCTCTCTCCGATATTCTCGTACGTACGATACAAATGTCATACCCCCTTCGACGTCCTCGCAATATGCTCCACCTCACCAACACTCCCCTCCTTACTGCTCCCCACCATCTCATCCTCCTCTTCCCTCTTCCCCTCCCGACCTCCCCGCGCCACGAAACTCGCCCTCCTCGGCGCCACACTCTCCCCGTCAAAGATCTCCGCAATCTCCTCGAGCGAATGGCCCTTTGTCTCAGGGAAATAAAACCACGTCGTCACAACGATAAAGCCCAGGATGATGCAGAAGACAATGTAGTAGCGCCACCCGATATTGTCGAGGGCGATGGGGTTCACGAACGCCAAGACTACCAGGGAGCCGTAGATGCTGATCATTTCAACCGTCAGGCCTTTGGCGCGGAGGCTGTAGGGGAAGATCTCGGTGGGGTAGCCGAAGAGGAGGGGCGTGTAGCTGTGCGTAGCGCGTTAGTATTTTTGGAGGGTGGATGAAGGAGTCACAGCGAGAGCTAGAGAAAGGTGGGGGGGAAAGCAAAAGGGAAAGGGAAAGACTTACGCGATGTCATAATGGAAGAAATACACAAAGATGAACACCAGCACGACGATACCCGCGGCGTTGGAGCCCGTCATGTCAAAGGTCGCGCTGCAGGCCGTCCAGATGATGAAGGACGCCAGCATGCCGAAGCCGGACCACAGAAACAGGGTGCGGCGGCCGAGTCGGTCGACGAGGAAGGCGGCGGAGGCGGCGGCGACAAAGTTGAATATCTGCAGGAGGCCGTTGATGAGCGTCTGCGTGTCCGGGTCGGTGATGCCGATGGTGTCGAGCACGAGCGTCAAATAGTACGAGATGACGGCCACGCCGTTCCACTGCGCAAAGGCACCGACGCACACGGCGATGATGGTGCGCTTGCGGTTGCCCGGCGTGGCCACGAGCGAGGACCATTTGGTGGTGGAGGCCTGTTTTTCCGACTCGATGGCTGCTTCGATCTGCGCCATTTCAAAGTCGATGAGCGGGTGGGATGCGTCGCCGCCCACGTGGTACTTGGTCAGGATCTCGCGGGCTTGTGTGGCGCGGCCGTTGGCGACGAGCCAGCGCGGGGATTCGGGCAGGACCCAGAAGAAGGCGATCTGCAGAATTGGGTAGGCGGCCTGCAGGATCGAGGGGCCGCGCCACGCCCAGTCTGAGTTGGAGATGTGTTTTTGCGTGCCGTACGTGGACCAGGCGGCGAGGATGGCGCCGAAGTAGTAGAAGGTCCAGAAGGCGGAGGTTAGCTTGCCGCGGTGTTGGGGCATGGCGAGCTCGGCGATGAGCATGGGCGAGGGTTGCGTCACGAGCATGCCGCCAACACCAACGAGGAGGCGCGAGATGACGAACATGGCGTAGTTGACGGAGGCGGCTTGAATGGCCGAGGCGATGACGACGGTGAGGCACCCGAGGAGGAGCGTGTAGCGTCGGCCGAGCTTGTCGGAGAGGTAGCCCACGAAGGGGAGGGAGACGACGGAACCGATTGATTGTGCAGCCTGTAGACAAGTGAGTCAGAGGCTTGTTGATTACAGAGGGACGATGTAGGGTTACTCACATTCACAACGCCAAGTACGGATCCCTTGGGGTCGTTGAAGTAGTTCTTCCACGAGGACGTCGACTGTAAACCGTTCATCATCGAGCCTGTGGAGTCCGTCAAGTCAGCCTCTGGTCCGGTCAAAGAATGTCTTGGAGGTGAAACGCACCATCGTAGCCAGCCACAGCAGACGAAAGCAGTGGCACAAGAAGAATGAGGTTGAGCCTCAACAGATGCGGCACCTTGAACCAAGGCTTGTCGTAACGAGGCAGCACTTGCGCCAACGCCGAGCCGACGATTTCTTCGTTCTTCACCATCTCTGACTGCCTGCTGACTTAAACTTATAGAACAAAAGGTGTTAGATATCGCTGCTGCTGCAGGAGATGGAGGCGAGGACATGGAGGAAGGGATCATCACTCCATCTTTATAGCCCCGTAGCAGAGTGAGCCGTCAATTTGGCTTCGTCCCGGGGAAATGCCCAAGGTCTCGTGGTTGTGGAGTTGCCCACATGGGGATGGATATGTCTTAGCGGGTACTGGGGCAAAGAGCGGGCAGGAATCCGACAGCGCAGGCGACGTGCACTGGTTTGAGTGAAAGATGGAGAAGCCTATTTCCCCAAAGCAAGAAGCCCTAGAGTGCCCGGGCGTCTGTCGGCCGCCGCCGGCGACCCGATGGCGGAGCGCTGTCCCCGAGGAGCATTTCAACTTGATTTTAGCCGAAGTCGGGCAGAATTGGATGTGGTATCGTGGTCAGACCAAAAGATCCTCAGCACGCCCCAGGCGGACAGGGTCCTCCGCGCCTCATGACATCCAGCCGGCACGCTCGCCGGCGCCCTGCGGAGCTTGAACGCCCGCACCCCGAGGTTTCACGCTGCATTACTTGCTCTGGACCAAAGTCGACAGACCGCACGAAAGCTTCGGTTGTTCACGCGGTATGGCGTGCCGGTGGCCGTGCTGTATGATAGGTTCCATGATCCTCTACGTAGCAATAAAGCAGGAACCTCATACAATTCCTAAAACGTCAAACTTTCGTAGATTCCATTCCCTTTGCATACACTCAGTCACCTGTATTCAGATCGGCCAAGATGGTCCTCTCAAAGCCTGAAAACAAGCATGTCATGAAGCAATTCGACCTGCATGGCAAGGTCATTGCGGTTACTGGTGAGTATAGGTCAACAGTGCTCATTGGTTCCCCGCTAACGGCACTGGAGGCGGTTCGCGAGGTATCGGCCTCGAAGTGGCCAGAGGCCTTGCCGAGGCAGGCGCTGATGTAAGTCCACATACCAGCTTCTAAGTGCACATCTGATAAATGCCGCCATAGATTGCAATCATCTACAGCACTTCCAAGGACGCTCCCGATACAGCCGCTGAGATCGCGAGTGCCAGCGGCGTCAAAGCCTCGGCGTATCAGTCCGATGTCCGGGACGCGAGAAAGATCGAAGCCACCATCCAGCAGATCGCCAAGGACTTTGGTCGGCTCGACGTGGTAGTCGCCAACAGCGGCATCGCCGACCACTACGCGGCTGAGGACTGCACGCCGGAGCAATGGAGCGAGATTATGCGAGTCAACTTGGACGGTGCCTTTTACACCGCTCAAGCCGCCGCCCGCATATTCAAGGCCCAAGGTCATGGCAACGTCATCTTCACGGCATCGGTCAGCGCCATTTTGGTCAACGTGCCTCAGAAGCAAGCTGCCTATAATGCGTCGAAAGCCGGTCTCGTCCATTTGGCCAAGTCGCTGGCCGTCGAGTGGGTGGACTTTGCTCGCGTCAATTGCGTGTAAGTCCATGGCATCGCGACTCCGGACCAGTACTGATGGAGTCATAGCTCGCCGGGTTTCATCGCCAGTGACATGTTGTCTGTGCACCCTGAAGCATGGAGGAAGAAGTGGTTCGAAATGATTCCCGCCAATCGTGTCGGTGACGCCTACGAGCTGAAAGGCGTATGTCAGTCTGACGCTCACGTGTTCAAGTGCTGACATCACCAGGCATACGTATTCCTTGCCAGCGACGCTTCTTCCTACATGACCGGAGCGAATATGTGAGTATTTCCTCGGCTTCAGTCTTCTCTGGCCTAACAACACCAGGGTGATCGATGGCGCGTATACTCTGCCTTGAAACTTGTAGAGGCAGATCTCAATTCTCAAGAGTCGGCTTCGAAAAGTCCTGGATTTCAGTCCAAGCATCCATCGAGCTGCGACGACTAGAAACCTCCCAGGTTTGTCATGAAGTCGTATGCCGCCGATTCCTGGAAGCCATCATATCCACCCACGATATTGGGATCGGTAATGGGCCACAGAAAGCTATGTAGCGCATTGAGTTGAGTTTGTGGAGACTCAGTGAGGTTCGGAGGAGTATTGTCGCCAAGCCAGCCGCCCACAAGGTTCAGGACCGTGGAGTGACAGCGTGTCGCTGCCGAGTTGAGGCGCGACATGTCTAACATGACAGCCAGGGCGCTCAGGATCTGTTGCCTCCACACAGGAGCCGCTTCGGCTAGGGGGTCATTGCGAAGGCAAATGACAGGAATGAGAATGGCCTGGAATAGAAAGTATAATGCATACCAACAAGCCAAGACGTTTTGCTTCTCTTGTTGCCAGTAGGTGGTGATTAGATGTACTGACTCTGCAGCTGTATCAAGACAGCGTTGAATCGCCGTGTCATCCCATGAGGAAGACGGAGCGGAATGCTGGGCATCCTGGGCGCGTGAGACCATGCGCCGGACAACGTAGGGCCGATACATCAGGATTCGCATGTTTCGCCAGCGCCATTGAAGGATGGCATGACACAATCGATATCTGGGCGCCTGAAGCACGTCTTGGCCAAAGTACGAGGGTAGTTCGCGTAGCCATGAGCCGAGAATGTCATCGTCAAGTTGTAACATCTCTTCGGCACTCGGGAAGGTCGAAATGAGCCGCTCATATATCTCAGATGTAGCTAGGTGGAATTTCGCTTGGCACCGTACGTGGGTGTAAAGAGTTGTGCCTTGTGTTTCGGCCGGCAGAGTCTTGGTAGACGCCGTAATGTCACTGTCTGAGACGTTCAGCGGTAGTTGTACTTCGATGCCATCCTTGGGAAGGTCCAGAGGTCTGCTAAAGGTGATGATTGCACCCACATCGAAGATGTACAAACAATACCATACTCTCCGACGTGTTTCGAGCATCAGCGGCTTCGAATGCCAGTCCCTGAACTCTTTGTGAAGACCAATGCCCAAAGCCATTCTTTTGGCTAGACCGAGGTAGTTGTAGCCCGAATTTGGCTTGTTTCTTTTCTGGACGTAGTTGGAAATCAAAGTCAAAGCTTGGACAAGAGTGATGTTTCCTGTTTCGAACATATCGATGCTCATTCGGGCCTTAGCAGCTTCGAAGAGCGCCAGATCGATTTCCGGTGCCGTCTCCGAGGCTGCAAAGGCGCCCATAGTGGCCACAATGTGGAGCAACACCTGCCACGAGTTCCCTTTCGGTCGTGGTATAATCTCCATGAACTGTGCTCTGAAAGTGGCCTCGTGTATGATTGGATACGAGATATGGTAAGTAGAGAAGTAGGCATCGACGAATGGCTCTAGTTGGGCAAGTGTGAATAGGACTGGAATCGGAGGGGTGTTGCTGGCGGTCTCGTTGTGCCCGTTGTCGACTTCAACGCCTGAGTCGGCCGAGGCGTCATCAGCAAGGCGAAGCAGGGCAGCTCCGGAAGCAACGCCCATGTAGCCTCGGGAGGATCGCTCAGTCAAACTGGCCATGCCATCAATGAAGCGGTTGCCGCTCCGCACGCGCTCATCCCAGTCGAAATCGCCGGCAGGCGGCGTCTCCATGGAAAAGGTAGGACTTGGTCCTGGATGACTAGCCGCTGGACGATGCATGGGTGGCTGTGGCTGCCGCTGTTGTAAGGTACTGTAGTCTTGATAAGACGGTTGAGGAGCCGAAGACGCCATGGTCGACGTGTTAGAAGGATATACCGCGCCCGCAGTCTGCGAGAACTGCTGCTGTTCCTGGACAGGTATCGATGTTGGATTATAGAAACTAGGGGCTGGATCGTTGGATGTGCTTGTGGCCCGCCGCTTTCGAGGGTTGGCCGACTCATGGACGGCAGGTGAGCGCGAAGCTGACTGATACGAATGCAGAAGTTCTTTGGTTCTAGCCAATTCATCTTCGACCTCTGTGAGATGCTTCCGGGTCAAGGGAGTTCGGAAGATAGATTCGTAAGTGCATTCACTGTTGGTCTTGACACAGTTGGCACAGGGCTGGCTTCGGTCGCACTTGGCCTTGCGCCTTCTGCACTTGGTGCAAGATTGGGGTACCGCTTCGCGAATCTCGTCCATAGTGATTAGACGAGGATGAGTGATCGTGATCAAGGTCTATGGGCGAAAGACAGCGCCCCTGTCAGAAATGTGGCATCGGTCGCGGGCTTCTTGGGTTGATATTTTGCCAAGCTTAGGAGTGCGCTGTACATGTCCTCGTCGCGTCGAGGATACTGATACTATGCGACATCATACAGTCCGAGACAATGATTCAGAAGGCGAGTTTTGTGAATGTTGTGGTCTGATGATCAGGATGATAAAAGCAGTGAAGCAGCTGATGGACTGAGTTTGAGGTAAGGTTTAGGCAATGGCGAAGATTCAGGGTTCCTAGGCACTGCCCCTAGTGTCTGAGGAATACCTACTCCGCGGTTGTTATTGAAGTGCTGAATATCAACAGCTCTCCTAGGGCCTGAATGCTCGATATATGCAGCGACAGCTATTGAGAGCTATGCTCGTATTCTACGCACCGCGAAACGCTCAGAGTGAGGGGAGCTCGATGACGACTCGGCAATCTTGGCAGATGGATGGGCCCTACTTAGCTCGAGCACTTGGGCAGTATTCGACAGACGCGGCACCCACGATACGATGCAGAGGAAGTGGTAGGTGAATCTGAGCTCAGGATCATCTATCTGCAGGTATATCCGCCATCTACCACAATGTCGGCGCCGGTAGTGTACGTGCTTGCATCTGACGCCAAATATAAATAGACACCCTTGAGCTCGCGGGGATCTGCGTCTCTCTTCTGAGGCGTCAGCTCGTACCAAGCCTCCTTCATCTCGAATGCACAATCGGCTGAGATGGCAGTGTCAATATAGCCCGGGCTGACGGCATTGACACGAGCAAAGCCGGCCCACTCTACCGCCAACGACTTGGCTAGGTGGATGACTCCGGCTTTGCAGGCGTTGTAGCAAGCTTGCTGTTGCGGAACCTAAAGATGTCAGAATAGTAGCAAGAGTGGGTGCTAGGGGTGAGACTAACATTGGCGGCATGTCCTGACATGGATGCGGTAAAAATGAGGTTGCCGCTGCCTTGCTTCCGGAAGATCTCGCCCGCTACTCGAGCACAGTAGTAGGCGCCGTTATCTGAGGAGTCAGTACATGTCTTCAGTGCATGGCCTGCGACTTACAATCGACATTCACCACACGGTGCCAGTTCTCTAGCTTATCATCCAAACCGCCAGCCTTGGAGGGGATGCCGGCATTGGCAATCATCACGTCAAGCCGGCCAAAATCCTGGACGACAGCATCCACGGTAGCTTTGACCTGATCGTACTCGGCCACATCGCATTGATAAGCCTTGGATTTAACGCCAAAGTCTTTCTCGAGCGACGCGGCAAGCTTGCTCGCGTTTGTCGACTTGTGGTACCACAAAGCAACATCAGAGCCGGCCTCAGCTAGACCGCGGGCAACTTCATATCCAATACCACCTGAGCCGCCAGTGATGATAGTCACCTTGCCTTTCATGGAGAACATTTGGAAGACCGAATCGGCCAAAGGAGGGTTCGGCCATCGCTTGGAAACCGGTGTTCCGAGACTGCCCATGTTGCTGGTGGGGAGATGAAGTCAAAGCTGGGACTGAATGACGGATAGAAGGGAAGGTCAAGATGTTATTCACGCTGCTGAACAGTAGAAGCAATCCTAATACTTTCCTCCAAGCCGCCGTTCATCAGCAGGCATACCTCTGGGAGGACGCGCTGCGCGCACCGCTCAGCTCCGCGTGCCACGCTGTCAGGCATTGCACTCAGTGGGGGACACCCAGAGAGGTCGCTGTACGGTCTTCACATGACTGTCGTGGACTGCTGTGCGCGACGTGATGTACCGGGGTGAATTTGGGAACTGTTGGGGTCTGGAAGGGGGCGCGGAGTGGATGCCGGTCACACGGCAGCGCAACGGCGAAATGAAGTGAAATGGGTCTGATCTTCTGTATTGGCCAATCATATGACGGTAATCAGAGTGTTGTCGTCTGGGGTACATCGCGCTGCTGAGCACCAAAAAATGCCGTCACGGAGGAGAGGAGGCCGATGCAGGACACAGTCGCCCGCGCCTCCCACTGGACTCGGTCGTTCCACTCCCTGACTGTAGCAAGGTGGCTGAGAGTGCGGAATTGCCTGGTGACCAGGACGAACACAAGCTGGAGGTCTGCAAATCTGGAGATTGGGGGCTATTCCTACACAGAGTGCAAAACCACGAAAGCTCTCACAGCTGACCCAGAGCTGATTGATCATTCTTTCTCGACAGATGGCGGCTGACAGCGCGATGGACGAAGTCTATGCCGAGCTCGCTGCCAAAATCTGGGAAGTTGCCTCGTCTCGATATCCCAGGCGGACACTCGTGGGCATCGCAGGTCCTCCCGGCTCAGGCAAGACCACAATCGCCGCTCACATTGTGGCTCGCCTCTCTCAAGCAAAAGTGATCGGAGTGGCCATGGACGGTTTCCACTACACGCGCGCCGAACTAGACGCCTTCCCCGACCCAGCAGAGGCGCACAAGCGGCGAGGCGCACCATGGACTTTCGACGTTGACGCAGTCCTCGACCTGGTACGTCAACTGCACGCTTCCACCCTGGTTTCCGACATCGAACGTGTCGACATCTCCGCCCCGTCCTTCGATCACGCGACCAAAGACCCTGTGCCAGGCGACATCACCATATCAGCCGCCGCCAGCATCGTGATCCTAGAAGGCAACTATCTGCTATTAGACGAGCCCAAGTGGAAGGCGATTGGCCCGCTGCTCGACTTTCGGGTCCTGGTCCATGTTCCGCCCGAGGAGGCCCGCGTCCGCGTTGCCAGCAGACACGTGGCGTCCGGGATCGAGCCTACGCTCGCGTTGGGCGAGAAAAGATTCGACAGCAACGATGCCATTAACGGAGACCTGATCCGCGCGAAGGCGGTCGCTTGTGATGTGATGGTCGAGAGCATCCACGTCTAGGGACTTTGCGTCCGCCCGATCAATGCCTGCGGACCGTTGACGTCCGCTTGTCTCCTCTCCGCCCATGTCTACCGCGGGGCAACCATACAGTACGACATGCCGAACGTGGAGATCCTTGCCAAAAGATAGCGGACTGCAGGGGCCTACCACTGTTCGCAGCGCACACTTTTCAAGTATTCCAACATCGGCCTCGTTCCTCAATTTGCTCAAAGCCGACACCAGATCTCGAACGCTGAGCGGTGTCTCTCAGCCCGTCCCGCTCTGATAATCCGTCTATACCTCAACCACGAGACCATCATCATCACCATCACTATCACAATCCCCACCCCCCCACCCCAAACGCCATCGTATCCCCCGACCGTACACCATGGGCGACGCCGGCAACCCGAGCTTCGTGCTCCGCGCCATCAAGGACGTCGCACTCGAACCCATCGCCAATCCCGAAATCATTGACCCCTACGACGTGATCGTGCACATCGGCCAGACCGGAATCTGCGGCTCTGACGTACACTACTGGCAACGCGGCCGCATCGGTGACTTCATCCTCAACTCGCCCATCGTGCTGGGCCACGAATCCGCCGGCACCGTGACCGCCACCGGCTCCAAAGTCACCAACGTGCGCGTCGGGGACCGCGTGGCCATCGAGCCCGGCGTCCCCTGCCGCCACTGCAACTACTGCCGCTCCGGCAGCTACAATCTGTGTCCCGACACCGTCTTCGCCGCCACGCCGCCGCACAACGGCACGCTGTCCAAACTCTACAAGACGGCCGCCGACTACGTCTACCCGCTCCCCCAACACCTCACCGTCGAAGACGGCGCGCTCTGCGAACCCGTCGCCGTGGCGGTGCAGATCTGCAAAGTCGGCAACGTGCGCGCGGGCGACAAAGTCGTCGTCTTCGGCTGCGGGCCCATCGGCCTCCTCGTCCAATCCGTCTGCAAAGCCTACGCGGCCGCAACCGTCATCGGCGTCGACGTCAGCCAGGCGCGCCTAGACCTGGCCTCGACGGTCCTCCAATGCGCCGACGGCGTCTTCCTGCCGCCCAAGCCCGCCACTCCTCCCCAAACTGCCGACGAGGAGTGCGAGTGGTCCGCGCAGGTGGCCCAGCAGATCAGAGACCGCTTCCCGCAGCTGGGGTCTGAGGGCCCGGACATCGTCATCGACGCGACGGGCGCGCAGCCCTGCATCCAGACGGGCATGAACCTGTGCAAGAAGGGAGGCGTGTACGTGCAGGCGGGCATGGGTCGGGAGAACGTCACGGTCCCGTTGACGAACGCGCTGATACGCGACCTGACGATCCGTGGCTCGATCCGGTACACGGCGGGGGTATACCCGCGGGCGGTGGAGTTGGTGGCAAGTGGTAAGGTGCAGCCGCGGAAGCTGATCACGCATCGGTATAAGTTCGAGGAGGCGGAGGAGGCGTTTGAGACGGTGAGGAGGGGTGGGGAGGGGGTGTTGAAGGTTATGATTGAAGGGGTGAGGGATTGAGATATTGAGACCCTACCGGGGGATCAAGATTTAGAGGCTTGCTTGGGGAGCTGGAGAATGAACAATCAGTTGGAAATGGGGCCCTGGTGGTGCTCAGTGGGTAGAATTGTGAATGCATTTTGTGGTGTCCACGTACCGGCTTGTATACCGCGTTAGACCATGCCATGCCATCCAACGCCCTGGGGAGAGGTTTGTATAGCCTTTGTTGTGGACGTCACCGAGCTGCTTTTGAGGTTCACCTGTATTTAGATAATCCTCGGATCTGCCGTACACTTACTTACCACTGCCATCTCCATTGCAGATCGACGAGGTCAAACGACTTTTGGGTGATACAACCCTTCTCGAGCCTGTTGCTGCTCTGATACCTTTCCTCCTAGCGACGGCGGGTTCTTTGCGGGGCTCTGGTTTTTCGTGTCTGCTGCCCTACGACTAGTACCTGCATCCATGCATGCATTAGCCCCAAGCAAGGTGCCAACGGTACTAAATAGGCCACGCTGATCCCGACACCTACCTATCCTGCTACTGCAGCAGGCCCCGCTTGGCCGCGTAGCCCACCTGCTACAACACCCCGCCATCCGGCCCGCGGGATGGAATAGAGAGGGGTAACCTCACAGATGACATGAAGCAGGCGGACTACAAAGCAGCAAAAATTGCAGCAGCCAGCCAGGCCCCATCGATGCCATTCTGAACCCCCTCCTCCCAAGCCCAAATCATCATCATCATGACAACCCTCCCAACCCGCACGGTCGCCAACGTCTGCATCCCAGATACGCCCCTCATCAGCGCGGCCGCGGCCTTTGCGCAAAAGCACAACAGCCCCGCGACCTACAACCACGTGCAACGCTCCTTACTCCTAGGCTTCATCATCGCCGACCAGCTCTTCCCCAGCCGCGACCGCGAAGCCCACGCCGTCGCCGCCCTGCTGCACGACCTCGGCTTCCCGCTTGGTCATTCTTTTTCCAGCACCATCATCAGCAAAGACAAGCGCTTCGAAGTCGACGGCGCCAACGCGGCGCGGGAGTTCCTGAGACGCGAGGGCAAGGCGGGCGAGTGGGATCGGCATCGCGTGCAACTGGTGTGGGACGCGATCGCGCTGCATACGATCGGGAGTATCGTGTTTGAGAAGGAGGAGGAGGTGCGGAGCTGCGCGTATGGGATTTGGGCGGATTTTCAGGGGCCGGATCGCGTGGTGGGGGGATTGTTGAGTTGGGAGGCGTATGGTGCTGTCGTCAAGGTACGTAAGACCATCATGATCTCCCGGGCTTGCCCTGTCCTCCTGATCTCGCAGAGAGCACGCATACATGCGTGTATGTTATCCAGTGGCTTTGAACTGACCATATAACCCCGGGAGCGGGAACGAAATAGGAATTCCCCCGCCTCCAGCTGATGAAGCACCTGAAGGACAACATGTGCCATCTGTGCGTGACCAAGCCGGACACGACCATCGACAACACGGTGGGCGAGTGGGGGGAGAAATTCGTCGAGGGATATAGTCGCGTGGGCAAGCGGGCGTCGGATATGCTGCAGACTTGTGATTTGGATGACATTGAGCTGAAATGAGATGGGTTGGATTGGATTAGGAGGGGGGCATGGGTTGGTGGGAGGATGCCGAATCGTGGATGAGTTTGGATGGCTTTGGAAGTGGTCGTGCTGCTCGACAGGGGTAATAAAGATGCGCGAAGGCGTGTTTGAAACTTCCGGTAGATAGAAACGGAAGAACATCGAAGTGGACGAGAAGGCGCTGGGTAAGAGATGTTTGATATGGTTAGATAGTTCATGTACATGATCGTCCATTCATTCTCGTGGCTCTTCATCTAACGTGATCCTTGAACCCCGTCAGCCAGTTCAATGCAAGTCACCCACCCAACCATGCTCCCTGTCAAGTGCGAGTATATTCAACTATCGTCTCCCACAGGTGATAGGCGTCTGTACCAGCGAATCTATGCACTCGTCACATTGCAAGCCAAGTGCCCGAACCCATAAGAAACTTGCACAATTGGCTGACGGCGAATGTGCAACGAAATCACAGATGGCCGGTCTTTGACGGATGAGCAGCTATAGAGAACCTCGGGTATGTCGCGGGTGTCAAATTGCCTATCAGATTGGCGCAGTTGGGCGGAAAATTGGTCTCGGTCAGGTCAGAGGGAGTGGGGGTGGCCTCGGCGGAGAGGCCCCACGCTTCACGGTCAATATGCAAGGCGCTGTACTCAGGAGAAGCAGTACTGCAAGTGTCACACAGAGTCCCGGATATGGATCTTGGCCCGTCTGCTTTAGTCGACGGCACGGCAGTCCATATCCGGACAAAGTACGTGTGTTGCTGCTTGCGGATCGTCGCCTAGATACAGCGCCTCCACAACCATTACAGCAGCTGCGCTGGAGCGTCCGTACCCGGACGTACCATGACTTGATTGTCACCAGAATGTCCTCGATCAGCCACTGGTGGAGTTGCACTCATCAAAGGCTGCTGAAGACGGTGCTCGTATCGCCGTTCGGGCCGCCACCATCGCCGCAAATGGACCAACGCAGTAAGCCTCGCATCAGGCTAACTTGAAGCCAACTTGAGATGCGACAGGTCACATCGACTTGCTGACCGACAGAAGGCTGATTCGGTACTGACGCACCAATTTCTGGAGGAGCCTCCTGTGCCTTCCTTCTAGAACTTCTCCCGGCAGAAACGATGCAGAATCTCGCTAGCGGATAGACACAAGCGGCAATTTGAGCCCGGGCGACTGAGAACAGCTTTGCTTCTCTGAGCAGGTCTGGCAAATGGGAGGCCCAGGTGCGCACTCGCAAGTGGCAGGCTTGTCGAGATCTTGCAAATCTATCGCTTGGGCTGCCGAATCTTGAAGGACTGCCGCCGTTTTCCATTGGTGTTGGATTTAGGTGAGAAGGTGAAGGGGTTTAGCGCCAAGACTGAAAAATTGGAGCGATTTCACCGCTCCTGCCTTGCCCGCCTCTCCCGCCTTGGGCCTCGTTGACAATCCGGGGTGTGCTCCACGGTCACCTAACTTCACCGCGTGAACGCCACGGTCACATATTTAGATCTCTTTACGCCATTGTACATAGACCTCTTGTTCTTCAGCTTCTTCCTCCGAATTCAAACAATGTCTCGCAAGCTCAAAGTCGGTATCGCCGGTCTCGGCCGCATGGGCGCTCGTCACGCTCATCACTTCCACGCCCTCACTCCTCGCGCCGATCTCATCGCTGCTTCATCTCCAGATGCCAGCGAGCTGAAATGGGCCAATGCCAACCTTGACGGTGTCAACACCTACCTCAATTTCGATGAGATGCTCGAGAAGGAGACTGGTCTTGAAGCTGTTATCATCGCCTCCGCCACCACTGTCCACGCCGAGCAAGCCATCAAGGCCATTCGCAAGGGTCTCCACGTTCTCTGCGAGAAGCCTCTCAGCACTAATGTCGAGATCGTACGTACAGTGCCCCTGTGATTATATATGACGACTAACGACATGACAGTCTCAATCAGTCGTTGACGCTTACAAGGACTCGCGCAAGAAGTTCCCCAACCAGAAAGTCATCTGTGGCTTCTCCCGACGATTCGATGCCTCCTACCGCGACGCTCATCAGAAGATGAAATCCGGCTTGATCGGCCGCCCTGCCGTCTTCCGCTCTCAGACCTGCGACAAGCTCGATCCCTCGGGCTTCTTTGTTGAGTACGCTCAGTTCTCAGGCGGCATCTTCGTCGATTGCTCTATCCACGACATCGACTTGGCTCTTTGGTTCTACGGCGAAGACTCGATCGTCAAGTCCGTCAGTGCAGTTGGCATCACCGCTGTTTCACCCGAGCTTCGAAAGTACAACGACCGTGATAACGCTGTTGGTATTGTCGAGTTCTACGGTGGCAAGATCGCCTACCTCTTCTGCAGTCGAATGATGGCCGCCGGTCAGGAGGATAGTACCGAGATTATCGGCACCGAGGGCAAACTTGCCGTCAACACTCAGCCTCAATCTAACCTGGTCAACATCTACGAAGCCTCTGGCATCCGCCGTGAGATTCCTCCTCACTACTACGGTCGATTCCGTGACGCCTTCATCACCGAGGCCAACGAGTTCACCGCCTGCTGTCTTGACAACACCGAACCTCCATTCCGTTTGGAAGGTGCAGTCAGTGCCGTTAAGATCGGCTGTGCTTTGCAGGAGAGTCTACTCTCCGGCAATAAGATCAACTTTGATGAGGTCGGCCGCCGCATCCCGAAGCCTCAGGACGGCCAGTTGAAGGCGAAGCTGTAAGCTAATACGCTGAGCGTATCCCATTCAAATTTGCATTATACGGCGTTTCGGGCCGGGCCATCGGAATTCAGACACGATAGAAGAGTCTAGAAAAGCTAGAGATAGACCTACTGCGATCATCTCGCCAATAAGTAATGATAGACAGACGCCTGTTCAGGCGCACCATGAATCTCAGCCTGCGTTTGCATGACCACTTTTTTCCACCCAGTCCTCTCTCCACCAAGTCTTCACACCTAGACCTCCCTCCTGACAACTTCCCCGTTCGCTCCTCTCGTTCCTCTCCACGCAACCACGATCAAACGTCTTGTAATCTAACATCAGCGTTGGAGAGGAGACAGAGTGAAAGCAGTTCGACTAGAGTGCGTACCAACAGCCCTGAAGTGGGGGCCCCTATGCATTGACTACCTAGTAAACTTTTGGGCAATCATGCCATTCCCATCCCCACCTTCACACCTGAATCCGTCCACAACGCCTCACCATCATCCATTCCAAGACATTTTGTTTCCCGAAATTCAACCCATCAACATCATCACAATGCATGGTCCATCACAACTTGACGACCGCCTTCCCCAAATTCTCCCCCCTCAACATGCCCACAAACCCCTTGTCCGCCTCCTGAATCCCCCACACATGCGTCCTCGCCTTGAAGGTCCCATCCTTCAACCACCGCCTCACCTTCTCCTGGTGCTCCTGCGCCCACTTGGGCCCCATGTCCGCGTCCCCGACGAGGAAGCCGCGCATCGTGAGCTGCTTGCCCACGACCTGCATGAGGTTCGTGACGCCGTACCTCTCGCTGTCGTCGCGCGCGTTGTAGTCGGAGATCATGCCGCAGGCGACGATGCGGCCGTGTTTGTTGAGGCACTCGATCGCGGCCTGCAGCTGCTCGCCGCCGACGTTCTCGTAGTAGATGTCGATGCCCTCCGGCGCCAGACGCTTCAGCGCGTCCAGCGGTTTTTCGGACTTGTAGTTGAAGCCGTCGTCGAAGCCGAGGGATTTGATGTACTGGAGTTTCTCGTCGGAGCCGACGCTGCCGATGACGCGGAGGCCTTCGTGCTTGGCGAGTTGGCCGACGAGTTGGCCCACGGCGCCGGCGGCCGAGGAGACGAAGATGGTCTCGCCCTTTTGAGGTTTGCCGATCTCGTAGAGCGACGAGTAGGCGGTTAGGCCGGGCATGCCCAGGACGCCGAGGTAGGTGCTGAGGTCGTCGGGGCCGTTGGTGGTGTCGAGTTTGCGGACGCCTTTGAGGAGGTCGCCGCTGACGGCGACGCGTTGTTGGACGGGGAGGCGGCCCTGGACGAGGTCGCCGGCTTGGAAGTTGGGGACATTGGATTCGAGGACCTTCCCGATGCCGGCGCTGAGGATGGGGCCGTTGAGTGGGAGGGCGGGGAAGTAGGATTTCTTCTCGGGGGAGCGCAGGAGGCCGCGGAGGTAGGGGTCTAGACTGCTGTAGAGCATTTCAAGGACGATGCCATCCGCCGGGAGCTTGGCGGCGTCGAGGCCGACGTCTTGGACGACGACGTCCTGGCCGGGCACGGGGGCACCGTCGGGGATTTTCTTGAAGATGAAGGAGAGGTTTTCGTTGTCGGAAGACATGTTGGGTGCGTTTGGTGCGTTTGGTGTTGTAATTGCGGTTGAGTAGGGTGTGCTGTAGGTGAGATGTAGTTGATTGTAGTTGAGAGTTTGGAAGGTCTGCAGATCTGGGATGTTTTATACTGGTGACGTAGGGTGTGCAACCAGCATATTTAATGCACTGATGACTTACGAAGCAACTCGTCGTGTTTCAGGCCACGACCGATGGATCTGTAGCAGACTCCACATCATTATTAATTGCAGTGATTGCAGCATAGTACATGCTTGAAAGAGAGGGGTCCCATCGGTTGTGGCGTTGATGCCTCGGTACCGGGGACGGTGGGGGCCATTTAGCAGAATCTGATACAGCACGGTGTGGAAAAGTGACTTCATAACGACGCTTCTGGGGGCTTCGGCCGAGAACACGGGTCTGCTATAGGCTCCATGACAGTTGACAATTGACAGTCGAGATCGAGTCGCGAGTCAGTACGAGATTCCACCGACTGGTGACACGACTGTGATAATCTGCAAAAATCTGCCAGACTGCAAGCTTTGAGCCTCGGTGCTGTGAACCTTGTCCGGGGGGGGTTGACCCTGATCGTCTCGGGGCGTGAGTACCGCTTCGGTGCGTGTGGCCGATGAGTTGGAACACAATGGAACACATCTCCGGTGGGAGAGCATGGCATAACTGGTGCAAAATAGAAGAATGACTTGATATGCTAACGTTCTGTTATCTGACAATAATCAGTTTGACTGCCCGACATTCTGACCGATGTTAGTTAGCCCATGTAGCCGCCATGCGCCACAGTGAACGCCTACGCCACCCAGCCTGGGCTAGGGCCTCGGGTTCCGCTCGCAAGTCATGGCCCCCACCGCTATGGCACGGTATGCTTGAGCCGTATCAGCCGCTTCGCCAATTCAGTAAATATATGTGAAGCACGCGAGGTTTCGTCAGCAGTCAAGAGAGGCATTCAAAGATGTGCTGCGTTCCAACGGCGTCGTTGGGCTTATCAAGAGGCTTACCGCAACCTCATTCTTGCGATGGACTGGCTGATAATATACGTGATCTTCTCCGTTGTCCTCCATCATCCTACGATCGTGTCGCCCTTGTTATGCAGGAGTAGGACCGATCCCGCTGAACGCCTTGCCAGCTAGATGCTGCCCCTTTGCATCTCCAACTCGGCCTTGGGCTAGGGTTGTCCCCGGGTATACCGTCCACGGAGTATGCGGGGAAAGCATACCTAATCATCCGGCCATTCAACCTCATTAGTTCCTACATACTGCTTTGGCACCATTGCATGTAGAGCCATACCTACCATGGGCTCCCCCAGATTACGCGCTAGATGGCCACTTCCCAGAAACAGCCTCCCCAGCAGATCGAGACCCATCACCATGGCTTCATCGACCTTTAAGCCTTCCACCATAGACGATGGCTATAGACTCTCCCCCTCCCCCTTGAAGAATCCATTTACCTCCGACCATGTCTACCAGCGCATCTTGACATGGTACCTCCCTCACGACATATACGACCAAATATCCCCCAAACTCGAGCAATTCGCCGCTGAATCCATCTCCCCACAAGTCAACGAATGGATTGCCAATGCCGAAGTGCAGCAACCATACGTGAAGCAATACGACGCCTGGGGCCGCCGCTACCCCGTCGACAAGCTCGTCACGAGTGACGGCTGGAAACGACTGGGTGAATGGGGTGCCAGAAACGGGTGTGACCAACCTGACCCTCCATTCCCTCATCAACTAACATCCGTCCCTTCAGAGTCGTCGCCCACGGCTATGAACCAACCTACGGCCCTCACCGCCGCATCATCCAGCACGCACACAACTACATCTTCAGCGCCTCCTCTGCAGTCCGCTCCTGTCCCGTCTCCATGACATCCGGCGCCGCTCGTCTGCTCGGCAAACAACTTCCCTCCCTCCCTTCCACTCATCCATTCCACAAAGTCTACGCTCACCTCATCTCCCGCGACGACCCTTGGGTCTCGGCACAGTGGATGACAGAGCGGCCCGGCGGCTCTGATGTCCAGAACTCCGAGACTATCGCCGTGCATTCTCCCCTCCCCAGCAAAAGCACCGACCACGGCACGCTCGAAGAAGGCGACTACCTGCTCTCCGGCTTCAAATGGTTCTCCAGTGCCACCGACTGCGATATCGCCTTGATCCTCGCTCGCACCGCTCCGAGCGAACCGCTCTCCCTGTTCCTCGCGCCCACCCGTCTCACCACCACCGACGAACAGGGCCAATCCTCGCAGATCACCAACGGGGTACGCATCCACCGCCTCAAAACCAAAATGGGCACGAAAGAGCTCCCCACGGCCGAGCTCGCCTTGCACGACACGCGCGCCCATCTCGTAGGGCCAGTCGGACGCGGCATCGCCACCATCGCCACCCTCCTGAACGTGACACGCACCCACAACGTCTTCGTGGCACTATCATGCTGGCGCCGCGGCCTGGACATCGCCAAGGCCTTCGCGCGCGCCCGCGAGACCCTCGACCAACCTTTGTGGACCCTGCCCATGCACCTCCGCCTCCTCGCAACCCTGGAGCTCAAGCACCGCGCCGCCTCACAGCTCGCCTTCTTCACGACCGCGCTCCTCTCCTACGCCGACAACGGACACCCCACCGACACAAACCCGCCGCCCTCGCTACCCCTCCCCACCCCCGGCCCACAAACCGAGATCCTCCTCCGCGCCCTCACCGCCACCGCCAAAGCCATCATCTGCAAGACCGGCTGCGCCGCCCTGCAAGAATGCCAAGAAGCCCTCGGCGGCGTCGGCTACCTCGACGACCCGCACGACGTCGAGTGGAATGTTAGTCGTTTGTACCGCGACACCGCCGCCAACATGACCTGGGAAGGCACCACCAACGTGCTGGCCTCCGAGGTCGTGCGCCATCTATGCAACGGCCGCAATCTCGAGGTCGTGGGCGGTTGGGTTGGCAAGGCGGTGGGCGAGGTGCGGGAATCGAGGCTTGCGGAGGGGCTGGCGGCTGCTTGGGCGGTGCTGGCGCGGAGGCTTGAGGTGGGGAGGGGAGGCGGAGGAGATATCGGTGCGGCGCTGGCGGATGGGCGGCAGTTGCTGTTCTCGTGGGGCTGGCTGGTTAGTGGCGTGTTGATGGCGAGAGATGCGCAGCGGGACGGGGATGCCGTTGCCGTAGAGTGTGCGAGGCGCTGGATTCTGCAGCCGCATGGAGATTTGGGGTATGGGGAGTGGGTGCTGCCGGACGTGCTGGAGGCTGCGAGATCGGCTGTCAAGGAGACAGGGAAGGAGAGCGAGAAGCAGCAGAGGAACTGGGACTGTAGGATCGTGTGGGGGTGTGATCTGCCAAAGGATGCGGCGCTGGGCTACCGGGCGCCGGTGGGGAGTGACAAGGCGAAGTTGTAGTGTTACGGTCTGTTCACCCAGTCTCGATATAAAGGGAAAGGCAGTCAGAATTGGCCTGAGGACAGGTGTGCACAGCGCGCTCGGCAATTGGTGGTTGGTGCTGCTATGGTGATAAAGCTGTACATACAACGCGACTGATTTGGAAAGCGATAGAAGAGATCGGTCTGCATCGATCCACACACGGGTCGGTCTGGGCTTCACTCGGCCCTCGTGTCTCCTCCTCTCGAACTCCCAGACCTCAAGCCTCCATTCCCCAACTCTCACACCACCCCACGCCAACCCACCCGCAATCCAATCCAATCCCACTCCATCCTCCTTTCTGCTCTTTCTAGCCGTTCAACCTACCCCACCAGCGCCCTCACAGCCCCCTCAACCTCCACTCCCGTCCCACAAACCAAGCCACCCCTCTCCTCCACACCCCCGACCTCCCTCTCCAACACCTCCCCTCCATCAACTGGATCCACCGCTTTTCCTCCAGCACACTCCACCACCATCGCCACAGGACACAACTCATACAACCTCCTCAACTTCGCCTTCGTCCCCCCGGTCACGGGACTCACGTACACGCCGTGCCCTTTACTCAGCATGTGCGCCACGTCCGGCACGAGGCCGCCGCTGTAGCGCAGCGTGTATTGCTGTTCGATATACTGCGTGATCAGAGTCAAATAGCGGGGGTCACCCGCCGCGGCGCGGAGGTTCGCGGGCGCGAAATAGCGGGTCTTGATGGAAGGTGGCGGGCTGAAGCGGATGGATCGGCGGATCACGAGGGCGTTGCTGGTGTCGGTGTCGGTGTCGGTGTCGGTGTCGTCGGTGGCAGAAGAGAGGGCGACTTCGAAACACGTCCCGCCCTCCCCGGTGGTGCCGGGGAGGCGTAACGCGACGAGGACGGACGTGCGCGGACCGCAGACGCCGAGGAGGGCGGCGACCTGGTGCGTGCGCGGCGGGACGCCCAGGGCGGTGGGGCCGTCCCAGACGCCGATGATGGTGCCGATGGTCCAGTTGGGGGCGATGATGCTGCTGCCGTCCAGGGGGTCGAAGGCGACGGTGTATAGTTCTGCCGCCGTGCTTGAGGCAGCGGCGGTTTCTGGGGTGCTGGTGCTGGTGCTGGTGCTGGTGCTGGTTGAGGGTGAAGAGCGCTCCACGGGATCCTCCTCGCTGCTGGCGGTGACGATGGCGGGGCAGCGGGCGATGGCGTCGCGCACGGCCTGCTCGGCTTGCACGTCGACGTTGAGTTGGTCGTCGCCGAAGGCGTTGGCGGAGCCGACGGCCGACACGTCGTGGGCGCCGCGCAGCGTGCGTGCGACGGCTGAGATGGAGGCGATGAGGTTGGGCAGCACGGATGTGCGGAGGCTGCTGCGGTTGGAGGATGGGAGGAGCGTGTTGAGATACTCTTCCAGGGCTGGGTGGCTGCTGGAGCCTGGCCCCGTTGGGTCGGACATGTTTGAACACCCTGACTGGGTACGGATGTATTTGTTGGACGAGGTGATGGAGGAGCTGTATATGGTTATACCGTCCACTTGCTCAACGTCCAGACATGCACTTGTCAGACCGCTCTGCGTCTCCTTGAAAGACTTATAACAGCCACAGTCCAATCTGATATGTATTTCCTCGGCAACGCCCAGATCAACGCTTTTTGTGCTTTGCTCGTCGCGCCCGCCGCTCGGCCAAAAGTGGGAACCCGCTGAGAGCGGCTGCTATCAATCGGGCTAGGCCGAGCCTGATCCCCTGGCGGCTCAGCCTTGCCGCGCCCCGTCCTCAAGTCTATTGCACTGCTTCCCTCTCTTCTAGCTTCCTGCGCTACCCTCGATGTGTGAATGGGCGGAGCATGGAGGAGTGAAAAGGTACTGGTCTCTTTATTCGTGCTGCACGAATCTCGAACGGTGCTTGACTGGTCGCTGGACCGCTATGAAGCCGTGTACGAGTGTCGTGGTGTTCATCATGGCGGGAATCGAGTAGCGTGCAGGTCCGGAGCCAGGCAGAGCCATTCGTTCGGGTTCTATCTTCACTTCGGACTCGCACAGACAGCCGGAGAACGCAGACAGGAAGTAACAAACAAGTGTTGATTAATGCTTTATCTTTCCTTCTTTCCTATGATGTTACAGTACCATCTTCTTGAATAACCACGTTCTTATGACCTACCCCAGTATCCACCCACATATTTTCCTTCCCATCACAGCCACTGTAGCATTTCGCGCGCTTGAAGGGCACATACATGCGACTAATCCTGACGAACCACCACTCCAGCCACTCCTCTCCCGGCTGGACCATTGGCCGCCAGCAGGCAGTGCACCGCCGCTCGCCCTCCACCTGCGTAAGCCTAAAGTCGTCTAACGCCCCCAGCACTCTTGCCGGGGTGTGCTCGGGCATGAAGTCGCGAAGGTCGTCGCGCGGCGAAATGCGCTGCAGCTGACGCAAGACCACCTCCGTCAAGGAAGGCATGCTGGATGACACAACTACGGATGAAGGACCTTTGGAGCGCTGAGCGGCCAGTGGGGAATTTGTGCCAGGCCAAGGTTCTTCTTCAGCTTCGACATGTAGGCCAGCGGGGGTTTCCGCCCAAGGATTGGCAGTCGTGCGAAGGTTGCTAAGGCTATGGTTGCGGGCGAGCTCGAGGACCTCGAAGGGCAAGTACCGAAGCTCGTTGTTGCTGATATTCAGATTTTGGAGATTGACGAGCCGTCGAATACCAACGGGAATGGATTTGAGCCGATTGCCACGCAGGCTGAGATACTGAAGGTTTTCCAGCTCCAACAGTTGACAAGGCATCCGGGTGAGCAAATTGTTGCCTAGAAGTATATGGAGACGAGTTGCGAACGATCTGCCGGTGTCGAGCATGCCGGGGACAAGGATTGGTTCTTTGGTTAACGTCGCCAGTTCAATGACCTCGTCGGGCAGGTCAACGAGCCCCATTCCATCGAAGCTGATATCTTCTTTGCCTGAATTCAGATGCTGGCGCACGATATCCTTGACTTGTTCGCGCTGCGGCAGAAACGCCGGTGTGGTAACCAGATCGCTGATCCGTGGAAAGGACCTGGTAATGCGCTGGTTGGTGGCCGACCGCTGCTCGACAACGAGCTCCTCCTCTTCCTGACCTGTCCTCTCCTCGCTAAAGCCGTCGCTTCTTTTTCCCACCAGAACGCCCTGGTCTCCCAGAAAGGCCTCCTCCATACTTCCCAAGCTGTCACTGCTCAATTGATCTTCGCTGCCCATCCAGACACCCGAATCCACATTGCGCTTGAACTCTCTCTTCCGATCATCTTTGCCAGCCTTGACGCGGTGATTCCACCAGCTACCAGCGTATAGTTTTTTCTTCCGCTTACCGGACGCGTAGCTCTCGAGCCCCGGAGCAGCTTCGTCACCAGAGAACAACGCGGGATCCGAGGAGGCGGCTGATTGTGGCAGCTCGGTCGTATCCCAGTCTGAGGCATAGGACGAGTGTGTGCGTTTCCGGGTCAGGAGGGAGGGGCGTGTGGACCGGCGGGCAGTGAGTGAACTGGATGGTGGTGCGGGGAGGGGAGGCAGTGTCGGTTCGTTGGACTCATTATCGGACATGGTGAGTGGGCAGATGGAAGCACGGTACAATGGTGGTTCATTCGTGCTGGAGCCGGTTCGGGAAACAGAAGCTGTCGCTGGACAAGCTTGGTGTGGTCGCGTGCAGGTTTCGGCGCGTTGACCAGGGTCAGGGCACGCGTGCGGGGGAGAGCCTGTTGAGCGTTATGGCCAACAAGGTCAATTCGAGAGGCAAGTCGGCCGCATCAGGGACGCGTGTGATCTCAATCAGACCCCAGGGTCAAGGACGAGTGATTAGCCGGCCAACAGAAAGTTGTCTTCGTTGTACGCGTGGGAGCTGGACGGGGTACTAAAGGTTGGTGGAGCGCGTCGGTCCGGGCATCTTGGCTAAGTGGAGATTCTTCCACGCCGAGCACACGTGGGCGCTAACCTCCCCTGGTGCTTGAACGGACTGCAGTGCTATATTACTTTTCACGAGTGATGAAGACATTGATTTGGCGTGCTCTTTGTGTCTCACATACATGATATACTAGTCACTATAGCGTTGTAATAGCACCGCTCGCTATGGTTAGATAATTGGCGAATGGAGGCGCCGGGCCTGAGCCCGGACGAGTGCGATAAATGGCCGTGAAGAAGATCATTCAATCGCATTTCAGACTGTGGGAAACTCATATTCGCCAGAATAAACACTGCATTTGAGGCCGCTGCTAAGTTATTAATCAACTCATGAGCAGTTCGTGCTGACACTTTCAAACATTGGGAGAGGACATTGCGCAACGCATGGATCAGCTGGCTCCTTGTAAAAGCCCAACTCGGCAGCGAGTTTGCGAGCAGATCGCGGCGGTCTTTTTGGTCGTGAAGCGGCTCGTTGCAATTGCGCCGTACCCGTCCCGGACGTACGACCTGAAGTGCTGGCTAGATCTTGCGAGCCCTTGTCTGCTGGCGTACCATTCCTGAATATCGCGGCCACCTTTTCTTGCCTCTGCATGGTAGGGCGCTGTTTCAAGTCTATCATCTTGTCAACATCGGAAGCTGTATCAAGCTCGCAGCCCCTGTGACAGAGCTGCACCTCGAGAATGTCTGGCAAAAGCTTCCAGAACCCGTCATTCGCATCCGCCATACACTGGGAGCACTGTGCGGGAAGGGCTTTGGGGAACTGGAGTTGCTCTTCGGGTTTCTTTTTGGGGCAGTATGATAAACCTCCCCAGCTCTTGGCAAAGAATGGCTGAATGGAGAAATCTCTGTCTGACTTCTCGGGCATGATGGCGAACCCGACACAAGTATTGGGATCGATGATTGGCAAGGTGTGACCATTTGAAGCTGCGTGACGAAGCCATAAGTTCAAGTTGGCGGAGACATCAAGCACAAAACTTAGTGAGCCGTGTAGACCGGTGGAGTAGAAGAAGCGCATGAAATCCATTGTTGAATCCGCCCATATTCGCCAGAAAGGTTGATAAAGCTGGAACTGGACTTTGGCTGAGCAAGACGAGGCTATCTCCGCCCAGAGGCATAAATCGTCAGGTTTCGGTCCTGAAGAGTGGTTTCCCGACATTATCAGCAGTTCTCCGGCTGCCGAATGCTTCTCAGGACGACTGATTGGTAGATATTGGTCAGCGTAGAAGTCGGCTCCACTATCAATAAGGCGTCGTGCGACGACCGGAAGGTTGCCTTTCGTAGCACATAGCAATAGGTAGTTTTTATAGGTTGTCGCCATGATCGGTGAGCTTGCCTGAGCAGCCCATAGACGCGGCTCGAGTCTCTCTCGGAACCAGACATCAATGCCAAATTCAAGCAAGAGCCCTTCAGCATCGTGCGCAAGATGGAGGCAGTCTTTATTTAACAAGTTCAAATTGGTAGCTCTGGCAAGATCAAAGACAAGACCAGGAGCTCCGCCAGGGGTGCTGAGGCCGTCTTGTTCTTGGTGAAAAGAGCTTATCGACGAAATCGCGGCTTTGAACCTATATATGGCTTCAAGAAGCTGTTCTTCAGTTGTTGAGCCGGCGTTGGTCCTTGCAAATATGGTCATGTCTTTCACGACCCTGACCATAACCGCATGAAAAGCGATGCTTCGATCCACTTGGGATTTCTGCCATATTTTGCAGCGTAATAGCTCAGCATCGATTTGACTGAATAACAGTTGCTGCGGAGTCAACACGCAACGGTCCATGAATTCTCTGCCAGAGGGAGCTCCGGCTAGAAAGTCCGCGACTGAACGGTGCGAAAACTCGAAATTCGTAGCAACCAAGTCCCGAGCCAGATCCCGGTCTACCCCCGCGTCCGTCCGAACGCCAGGCCAACGTTGAATTCTTCCAATTTTGTCCATAAAGTATGGGTAATGCACAAGACTTTGACCGTATCGAGGCTTGAGTAGCCCGCAACAGATGTCCTGGATTCGGTCCTCGAAGCGCAACATGTCTGTTCGATAAGTCTGCTCATCAGTTCGCCACCAGTACTGCTCTTCATCGCTGAAAACTGTCTTCCAGATCAATAACGCACGATGTAGCAGGAGGGGCTCTCGCGGAAACCGGTTATCTTCGATGTTAACCCTGTCGTCAGAAGCTAAGCACAGTCGCAAATAGGTGGCCGTCTCCGCTTTCACGGATTCGGCGGTCTCTTCTCGTCTGGAAAGTATGTTTTCGTACAGATTCATCATACCACGTGGTAAACGCATGAGCAGGTCCTCTATCTCCGTTCGAGACGCGTCAGCGGTGGCATTCAATAGAGTTTCAGTTGCCAGATGCGCCCACAGGAAGACCCCTTCTGATCTGTCAACGATCTCTTCTAACAAACCTTCTGCCGAGAGCCCGGTATGTTGTTGGTCAGCAGCGGGAAGCTTGCCGTTTAGTTTTTTTCGTGCATAAGTCTTGATGTCTTGCTTTGTAAGATCTTCGAGCCTCAGTTGGTGTACAGACCGAAACTTCTCTGACCACGGTCGTTCTGGTCGGCTTGAAGTACAGACCTTGATGCGCGACTTGTCAAGGCTAGCCATCCCTTTAATCAGGTCCAGAATCTTGTCGTAATCAGATGGACTTCCAATTTCGTCCAGCCCGTCAAGAAATATGCACGTTCGGCTAAATAACTCATCATTGCCGAGGAGAGCGAACAGAGTCTCTTGAAGACTTCTTTCGTCCCAATCGCCGTACTCCTTTACAAGCCGTAGCGAAGGATTTTCGGCCAGCAGCCAATCGATCGCAGAGGCGTTTGAGGAAAGTATACCATGAATCAAGCAGAACAGCATGCCTTTGTAATTCTTTTGGAGAACATTTCCTGCCGGGAGCCAGAAGCCGTGCTTGAGTACGAGGCTGGATCGGATGTCACACCCCAGCGAAAGTAGCTGGATGGTGGATTGATCACTCCATAGTTTTCTCATCAATGTCGACTTACCAGAGCCTGCTTTACCCTGTATCCAGAAGTGAGTGTCTGTACTCAACAGCCAGCTAGCAAAGCTCCCCTTAGCATATTCGCATACTGGGTGGAAGATCCAGTCAAAAGTCGACTCGGTGTGATCTTCTATGGAGTTTATCCGGTCGTGCATCTGGCTATATCTCAAACTTTCCAGTAGCCGCGACCGACTATGCTCCCGATCGCGCTCAAAGATTGCCTGACGGTGTATTTGAGCTTGCAGATCAGCTTGAGCTGAGAAACCACGGTCAATATCGTCGGCGATCTTCAACTGGCTTCCAGATCGCTGATGCGTGTGCCTACCGCCTGCAGCATCTTTCTCGACGATTCGTCCAAGTCGTGGAATGCAATTTCTGACCTGGAGATCAGGGTCTGAATGTCAGATCTAATCTACTTGTCAGAACGAATCAGGCAACAATCATTTCGAATGGACCGTACGCCATGACCGGTATCAAGCTCGCCGTCAGCCATTTCTGGGAGCTCTCCAGCCTCAGTCTTGCGTTCTCAATTTTGCTCGCCGAACCTGTCCAGACGGCCTTGATGGCGAAAGCAAAGCGGCGACCATCACGCTGAGTTTTCAGCTTCTGGAGGGTTTCGCGCAGAACAGCTGCATCCTCCGAACAAGTCTGCAAGATCTGTGCAGCAGTCTGTCTGGATTTGCCAATGGGAGCCTGCGAACCGGGCTGCTGAGACAAGTGCTTCGTGTCATCCAGGAGCTTATCAAGATCACCTAGTCGTTTGCCGAAATCGTCTATGCCCTCAATTTTGCCTGTCTTGTAGATCTTGTAGATGACTTGACCTGTAGAAGCAGCAGCCTGGGTGAGTTGGATCACGTTGCAGCTCAGAGCGAAGGCAGAGACTGGATCCATGACTCTTCTGCCGAAGTACCAGGATGTTGGTCGTAGGTATCCCTTCAACGCTCGGGGCAGGTACTTTAGGAGGACTGTTGCAAAGCGAGCCGTCCAGGTTCATAGGCGCATGCTTCAGAGCCTCAACTCAGCCGCGATTTAGGCACCCACGGCGGTGAACGCCACGCCAAGATCTTGGTCGAGCTGGTGCTGATCGTGATCATGTCAAGGGGTAACATGGAATGAGAAAGAGGCCTAGACTGCGCGGGTGAACTGCCGGTAGGAGTGCCATTGATCGATTGGCCACCGAAGCGATGATCAGAGAGGGCTACTGCAGCCTAGCTGCAACGCAGAAAGAGGAGAACGCTGACAACGCATTCTTACATTGGGTCACGAGGCTCCGAGGATCGGTTTCCGACGGGGATAGCTCGCCTGAGAACAGAGGCGCGTTCTGGGTGCGGCTATGAGCCTAGGCAATTGTGACATCGTTGCCCGTTGTCGTAGGGATGTCTGATCAGCACCTGAAGATGAACCGAGGAAAGTCCAAGGTAGGGAGCGGCTCAGGGACGCATGAGTCGTGGGTGTAACGACGTTCGACGCGGGCTTGGGCCAGGTAAGCAACAACCTGTGAGTGAGCCGCCTCGCTACCAAGCCTTGCCTTATTCAGGTGCCATGGGCTGGTATCCGTACTTGCACGATGTGCCCGAAGATACCCGACTACATAGGGCAACCACGTCCAAAGGCGACTTCAAGTTCGGCCGCGCTTTCATTGACGATGCTGCGGCAGTCGTCTTCCATCGAACATAGCATAAAAAGTCATTCTCAAAATTGTCTCTCATTGCAAATACATGCATCTTCTCCTGCCGAAAATTCACCAATTGCTGACCTGCTCGCCGAAACATTGTTTCGTATCGCTCGTCTCTTTGTGCTGGTGCTGGAGATCCTTTTGTGCAGCGCCTGAAAGCGATGTCATCATGCGCATGCGCATGCCCACGCGCCTGAAATAACTCCAAACAATCATCAATCGTCAGATTCTTCTCTTCCTATCCAGTCTCCAGCGGTGCGCGCATCGAGTCAAGAGCAGCGACACCGGCGCCCCGGGCGCAAAAATCTGCCAAATACTCCGAAGTCTAATAAGGTGAAAAAAGGGGGCCTTCAAACTCGCTGGGAGTCGTCGAAATGGTGGGTTAAGGTGGGGTATCAAAGTCAGAATTGAAGAAAAGGTGGTTCTGCCGCTGGGCTTTGAAAGAAGGGGTGGCACCACTGGGGCGCACTGGCTGAGATCGGCATCGGCTGTGACTGGATATCATGATGTCCAGAATGCAACAGCACCAGCGGCGACCACAGCAAGAACGGCATCCAGCTTCAGGGGCGCAACACCGCTGACAGTCTGTGCTGGTGTGGCGACGGCAGGCGCCGTGGTCCTAGCAGGCGTGGACTCGGCGACGACCGGAGAGGAAGACTCGGCCAAAACTGCAGACGAAGAGGTCTTGGAGGGAACAGACCAGATGGTGCTAGACGAGGTGGTGCTAGCCCAGGTAGTGCTGTTGGACGAGGGCGGCGTGCCATACATGGTTTGGGTGTGGATGAGCTCGAGGGTCTTGGTTATAGTAGTGGTTTGCTGTTGGGCGGTCGAGATAGCGGCATCAGACCAAGAGTTGCCTTGCGCCATGGCGGCTGACGAGAACGCCAGGGCTCCGATGACGGCGGTGAAGCGCATTGTGATAAGGTTTGGGTAGGAATGTGGTGACGGAGTTTACAGCGCAGATCTGTTATTGCGTTGCCTAAAAGAGCGTGGGCGGACTGTAACGGCTGCGGTGCGCGGAAAGAGTGTGGTGGTGCTGAGCGCTGCTCGGATGGTCTTGCTATGCGATAGCGATAGTGAACGGAAGAAGCGATCGGACTGGCGATGCGATGCGACAAGAGGGTTGCGCGCGCGACAAGCGATAGCGAACTGAGAGGGAGCTCAGGAACTCGTGGAGACGGCTTCTTAAAGAGCGAGAAAACGTCTGGGATACTACCGGTTGCAACCCAACAGCAGAATCTGCAGTGTGCAGCAAGGTGGGTATGGAGGGTTGTGAGTGAACAAGAAGAAACAAGAGAAAGGAAAAAGTCAGAGGCGTGCATACAGTATGTGTTGGGGTGGAGTCAGATGAAGCGGCAGCGGCAGTGGCAGCCAGAAGCAAACGGGGCCAGACTGGTATGGTAGCCATGGTAGCCAGCCAGCCAGTCAACCAGTCAGCCAGATAGCCCCAGAGGTAGGCGGGTCGCAATCACTGCACCGGCATCTCATCTCATCTCACCTCATTTCATCAGGCCTGCCCTAATACAACCTCCTCCGTAGCGGGCGGTCTCCCCGGTCGCATTATCGCATACCGCGCCAGGAACTCAGACAGGAGCCCGTCTCAAGTTTCCCGAGTCCCCGGGGGCATCTCTCAAGGCTCAAACTCGCTCGGCAGCAAAACGCAAATTTCCCGAACCGCAACAGCACAGCGCCCAAGCGATTTTACGACCCAGTTTGCAGTGCTAGCGGAACCAATCACGGACGACGACTGTGGCCGAAATGAAATTTGTGTGCCCACCCCCGCCGGGCTGAGAGTTTACAAACAGGTTACCCGAATTTTTGGCGGCTTGCGATTTTGCGGTTTGCCGATTTGCGACGGCGCTCTGATTGGCTGCGTCCCCTGATCGGCCGGGTCCGTTGTCACTCCTGGCGAGTCTCGTTTCGCAGCAGCTTTTAGCTGGCCGCTGTGCAACAAGCAAAAGCGCCTGAGGTCTGTCTGACATTGCTGATTCATGCGCGCCCAGCTACCGTAGATACAGTATAATACGGGTTGAAGTACGGAGTACTGAGACAGACTCTCTCTATCGGTGGCAGCCAATCTACGTAAAGGCATCGGCACGCAAGATAATTCCATCAGCCAACAGAATCAAGCATCCACATTCTTGGGACAATCGACTGGCGACATCATTCGGCGTCGTCCTGACAGCTTTGACGGCGTTTTGACGGCCCGGCCGCACGCACAGCCTGTACTGCTAAGTACTGCACGAGTAACTCAACTTCGTCCGATCTTGTTGGCGGCGAGAATGTACTTGCAAAATGCGACATGTGTTGCAATGAGCTGGGTCGCGTCGTGTCGTGTCGCGCACACGTTGTCATATGAATCTGGGCTGGGTATAAGTAGCTGCGATTCAAGGTGGGGAGCAAGCATCGCTCCGCACTGGGATTAGTGACTGCCGGGCGTGGGGCCCAATCTCTAATGGCCGTAGAAGTACCGTAGTCTAGGCGTTGCGATTAAGAAGATGGGGCGTGCGTGGTGATGGATGATGGATGCTAGAAGGTGGGAGGGTTGGTTGGGCGATACCATGTAGGGACGGACGCGGGATACACATATAGAGAGAGGCTTGGCGCAGGTTGTCCTGTTCCTTCACGACGAGCGGAGGTGTAAGCGTCCGGTGGAGGGTGGTGGAGACCCCACGTACACGATCAGGGAGACAGTGGAGTTTTCGCACCTTACGGAAATGGTCACGCGTGGAGTCTGTATGGAGAAGGGTTGAATAACGTGCGTTCCCTGTGAGATGCAGAGAGAAGCTGTGTAATCGTGCAGTGCAGTGATAGAAATGGTCCATAAGCAAATGCGAACACACCCCCACCAAACCCACAAGTTCGCTTCTTGTTACATTATTAGGAACTGTACTATAAAAATGAATCGTCGTAAACGAGGAGCACCGTGCAGGACTTACCAAACGCCTAACAGCCGAAATTGCTGTCGCCCATGACATCGTGCAGACTGGGGTATTCTTGTGCGCAGGTAAATCGCAGACCAGACCAAGTTGACCCTCTCCACCAGCTTCGTTGCTCTTTGTATACGGCGCAGTGATCAGTCTCTTTCGTCAACCCCCATTTCCCCTGTCAACACTCACCCACCGACCAGCTCGCCGTCTCACATCATGTTCGTTTTGGACCGCTCACACCTGCTGCCCAGCAGTCGTAGTTGTGGTCGTGGTAGTGTGATGGGCGTCATGGCCAGTGGTGACACCATTGCTACCATCAACACCATTATTCGGGTGATTGCCGCGGGTATTCTTCTCACTGACATGCGCAGCGCGCTCCTCGGGGTCCTTGAAGTGCAGACCTAGACGGGCGAGGTCGATGCCGCGGTGGCCCCAAAGGAGAAGAGCACCGAAGCCTGGCTTGGCGAGAAGATCCAAGATACCCTGTCATCTTCGTCAGTAATGGTTGTGATGTTGTAAACAGAATGGAGGACCTACGTAGAAGATAGCCTCGGAATCCGAAGCAATGACGTTGCCTCCTTCGGACAGACCCCAGGCAATGGGGTAGAGACACCACAAGCCGATGGTCCATACGCCGCAGATCACGTAGGTTCGGTGGATGTCTGCACCCAGAGCTTTCGCGTACGTGCGGCCCTCGAAAACGACCGAGTATGCGACGAACAGGAAGGCGGCGCAGCCGAACGTATAGAAGCCCCACTTGTAGCTCGACTTGACCAGGGCACCGACGAGACCGGTGACGATCATAATCTCATTCATGAGAATGACGTACAGGATGGTTGGACCAGGCAGACCGCAAGTCAGAAGCAGGTCGGCCAACAGCAGCGGTGTCGTAACGAACCAATCAATGTAGCGCACGTAGAAGATCTGGCGCATGTTGCCCGAGACCTTGGGATCCGAGCGCTGGAATTCGACCTGGATGGCTGTCCAACCCAGATTGGATCCCATGGCGAAGTAGGCAATGGCGGCAACCAAGGTGATGGCTGCGGTGATGTAGTGAAACAGTCTCTGACTCCGATGCTTGCGGAAAGAGAGTCCCATGATGACAAAGGTGCTAACGGCCATCACCGCACAAACGGCGAAATACTGTACGATTGTCAACATGGCACGATGGTGCAATATGGAGCATGCTTACCCAATCACTTCCGCGGCTTGTGATATGGTTATTGGTGGTCACCGTGTTGGTGAAGCCATTGTGTCGAACAGCGCCGTTGGTCATGTTGGCGGTTGTTCCCGTCCTTCTGGGAGAAAGATGAGGTCTCTTTGGCAACAGTGGGTAGGGCTGCTGGGTTTGGTTGAAACTACTCAGGAGTGTAATCCCATGGGTAGGGGAGGTCAGGGTATAAACAGTAGAGCACAACTCAAACCACTGATGCTAGCATGACGTCCGTTGATCGGCCGGTCGAGGTGATTCGAATTTGCGGAACATTGGATCGAAGGACCGCGTCAGTAATCACTTTGCCCCATAATGTGGTTGGACCGGCATGCACGAAAATCAAGACATGTCAAGACCTCCCTACCTTTCCTAGTGACAAAGCTTGGATCTCCTCGGTAGGTGCGGCAAGGCCGGGAGTGAAGCTTGTCTGGTGATTGCTTCATTGCCGGTATGTAGCGCAAGTAACGCAGCGGGAGTCATGATGTCAATATCCCGTGGCGCAGCGGTAGTTGGATCAGTGGCGGTAAGCGATCCAGACTTCCACGACGGTTTACGTGTCAAGGTTTCCCACGCCGAATAGCCGTGAAGAGTAGACGTGCACGCACTGATTATGATGGTTTTGGTAGGATGCCTTGGGGATTCGTTCGCAGTTCTCAGCGCATGCATATCCTTTAGTGCAGGGATCAGATGACGTTGGCATATTCGGCCTCCCCAGCCTTTACCTGTCAAGGCGGCAAAGGACTAGTCATGCCGTCCATGACTAGGAAAGTGGCAGTCGCTTGATAGCGGATCTAATCATCCGCCTATGATCGTGACCCACAGCAGGCGGGGAGATCATCCGACGCTGAAAGCACACTGGCATCCTGCAGCCCAATAGGTTTCGAAGTGCAGTTCGCCTGGCATCGTCGGCGTCCAGGATCACAAGCGAACCTCCGTGGCATCCATCGTAGGAGCTTCCCGAACCTAAATGTCGCCAGTCCGGGTCTGCCAGGTCTTCACGGAAGTTCCTTGGGGGAGGTGTGGTCTAAGGAAGATTCCTCATTCTCCGGGCGATTGCCAGGGAGGACGATGATGATCGGGACTTAGCTGATGGTCAAAGCGTATTTGAACCAACCGCACGACAGTCGTGCGTTCTTGTGGGGCCAGGCCGGTCTCGGAAGTTGCTGCTTTTACCACAGCCGAGTGCACCGCCACGGCTCCAGGCAAAGGAAAAGCCGAGGGCACATGTCTATGTCTATCGACCTAACTGATCCTCAAGCCCAGGTACGCCGATCAGCCACAGTGTATAGAACAATGGCGACCAGCAGCACAATCAAGACAAGCAGCGTTCTCACCAGGTCGAAAGGTATTGAGCCGTCTTGATCGAGGCTGCTAACCACTTTTCGCTGGTGAACACCCGTACTCCACGGCTTCACCATGCCTAGATCATCCAGGATCTGGGAGGCTGTGATTTTACTGCCTGCCAAAACAATAGGAACGCCAGTTCCAGGGTGTGTACTTGCCCCAACGAAGTAAAGGTTCCGAATACTGGCATGTTTCGTTTTGGGCCGGAAACTCAAGACGTTGAAGAATGAATGGCTCAACCCCAAGATCGCGCCTTTGTCAAGATTGAAGCGTTCTTTCCATGATGCTGGTGTGTTGATGGACTCGTGTATTATGTGTGGCCGTAGGTCGACTCCGATACGTTGTCGCACAGTCTGCAGCACGGCAGTCCTGGCTCTGCTGACCATGCCGTCCCAGTCCTGACTGCTGATGCCACGATCGGCTTCACCTTCCAGCAGATGACCACACGGCACAAGCACAACTATGCTGTCCTTGTTGGGAGGGGCTGCGGAAGGGTCAATTCGTGAAGGGACATTGACATAGAACGACGGTTCCTTCGGTATCTGCTGTCGTTTGAAGATGTCATCGAAGCTGTCTTGATATTCTTCCGCCAGAAACACGTTATGGGTATGGAGCTCAGGTATTGTTTGATCAATTGACCAGTAGAAGGATATACTGGAGCAAGAAGCCGACTTCGCAGAAAGACTCTTGGCTTCTGTCGATGTGGGTAGTAGATTGTTGTATGCATAGACCAGGTCGGCATTCATGAGCACGATGTCGGCATTCAGAATCTCTCCTGATTGTAGTGTGACGCCTGTTGCAGAACCAGTATGTGCATCGACATTGACCTGCCGGACCGATGTGCCCATACGGTAGTCGACTCCAAATCTTTCACCAACCTTTTGCAGAGCAGCAAGCACACTTTGAAACCCGCCTTCTGGATACCATATGCCCTCCGCCAGCTCCGTATATTGCAATAAACTGTACGTTCCGGGAGCTTCGAACGGGCTCATGCCCATGTACATGCTTCCAAAGGTGAACGCGCGCCGCATGCGCTCTGTCAGAAAGTAGCGCGCGGCTCGTTTCCATATACTCTCGAATGGGTGCAGCGCGAGCAGATAGGGCAGGAAGCTCGGTCTTGCCATACTGAGCAAGCTGGTGAAGTTCTTGCGCAAGACATGCTCAACACTGGCCTCATAGTGGATGTGTGCCTCTTGCATCCACGCAAGGTATCGGTGGAAACCGTCTTTACCTTCCCAGCGCTCAATGGTATTCTTCATGCGCGCGATATCGGTGGACAGCTCCACGCACTCTCCATCGCCAAACCAGACATTGTAATTGGGCTCACATTTGCGGAGAATAACTCCCTCGTCTTCAAGCGTGGTGTCTAGGTCGATGAAGACTTCGCGGAACATGTCTGGGAGGAGGAGTAGGGAAGGGCCTTGATCGAATCGATAGCCATCTTTGTGGATGAGACTGCATCGCCCGCCGGTGAAGTCATTCTTCTCAACGACAGTCACTCTCAGCCCAGCTTTCGCGAGACGGGCGGCGCTGGCAATGCCTCCTGCACCAGCGCCTGTTATGTGTTAGTGGAGGGTTGTGCGTGAGGGTACAGAAGGTACTGACCAACGATTATGACACTCTTGGGCTTGCTCATCTCCACACTTCTGTTCTAGAAGACCCAAGATGCAGCTCCGAGCTCCCCATTCTGGATGCGTCTTCTCGTTGTACTCGGCGCGGGAAAGCATGTGCGCGACGAGGTGTGGCGCACGCGTTGTGGTGGGAAATCAATGACGTTCATGACAAAGCTTAGCTCGAGGCGGCGGGGCCATTTCCCTCAACGATACTTGTACCACACAATCAGCATCTTGAATACCGAAGAGATGATGACGGAAACCCGGTCGTGCATACCGGTGCCGGGCGAAGGAGTTGAAGCTCGAAATCAGAACCCCGCAGACGCGCTCTTGAGTCGGGGTTGCTGCCAAGTGAACATCAGGCAGTGAAATTATATTCGCCAGGTAGATAATGCCTGACTGGTTACATTCCCACAGCCGCTCCCCTGCTGCCAGCCATAGCTTTCCAACCGACCAGCAAACGTCTCAGCCTTGGAACACTGGCTCGGCCTTTTTTACCGCCACCTGCAAAGTCCAGTGGCAGGCCTCGTTCGAGGCGTGACTCGAGTACTCGACCAATTTCCACGTAACTCTCAACTGCCACTCGAATGCCGTCTCTTGCATAACGAGGCAACGACTCAATGGCGTCCCGTTCATTGGCGTATATCTCGAATGCTGTATCCAGGATGCGTTTGCGTAGTTGCGTGATCTCAGTGTCTGAAGCTCTGGCGAAGGACCCTTCCTTGAACCACTCGCTGGGAATGTAGCAGCGACCAGCACATGCGTCTGTCGTAACATCTCGCGTGATGTTGATGTACTGCAGAGCCCGACCCATCCTGGTTCCAGCTTGGATACACCGCTTGCGGGTCTCCGCATCCTGTTGGTCTCGGTCTGGGGCGTGGAAGTATACGAGACTGAGGCAGAGCTTGCCGATTGTTGCTGCAACACAGGTAGCATACCGTTCCAAGTCGTCGACGGTTTGGATTGGTGCACGTTTGGTCGAGCTGAATTCCAGATCGATTTTGAAGCCCTCGAGGAGCTCGTACAGTGGCTTCGCCGGCAGTCGGTCCACTGGCAGCAAGCTAAGCACAGATTGGGCAGCAGATGGGAATCGCAGCAGTGTTCGCTGCACCTCTGTCGCACCTGAATCCGTTCCATAGGCTGCGTCTAGGAAAGAAGTGAAACGTTCGATCCACTGCTTCGCCTCTTCAGCGTTTGGTGCGTCGTCGATCAGATCGTCTGCGACTCGGCAAAACCCATACAAGAGAATCAGATCTATCCGCAGTCGGCCGGTGAAGACTCCTGATGCGAGGTAGAAGCTCCTTGACTTCTTTGCCAGAACATCGAGCGCGTTCGTCAATCCATAGAGGCGGTTTTGATCATACTTTGCTCTCGAAACGAGCAGACTCTGAACCATCAACAGAGGTGACGGCCAGGTCGGCACCGTCGGGAACAAGTTGGGGAATGCATCTAGTATTGCAATAGCATTGTCGAATGCATACGCGCCCCAGACCACAAGTGTGTTAGTGACGAGAAAGAAGACTGCTTCCTCGATCTCTAGGTGTGGCCACACAACAACGCCAAGCTTGGTCCCAGATGTGATGCTCCAGGTACCGCGGTGCAAGGCGATAGTGTCAACGACCCATAGATATAGAGTGGGTATCCAGATTGGCAACCAGGTCTTGCTTCGAGGTAATGCAAGGAGTAGTGGATAGCTCAGCGACCAGAGGAAGAGCAATACTGGAGAAGCCCATAGAAGGATCAGCTTCATGTAGGTTCCCTCCTTTCCTTGAAAATCCGGAAGCAGAGATAGCACTATAGATGCCAATAAGACTCCTTGGCCAACATGGTGTCGAAGGCGAAGGTCATGCGCGCCAGGAGCAGTGTCATTTTGCAAATACGCGGCGAAGAGCACAGGTTTGCTAAAGAGGATCTGGAGCAGAGTCGTCTGAAGCTATGTCAATGGTGAGGCAGTCCATGTGCACCGCACCACTCACGATGTAGGTCTGAATCACGAAGAAGAACAGCTCCTCAGCAGGAATACTGAACAGCGTGGGTCCGATAATAGCTTCGGGAGGATATGCTATCCCAGGATCAGCAGACAGCAAATGCACGAGTATACTTGACATACACCAGACACCCGTTCGGATGAGGTAAGAATCCCTGTCGATACGTTAAGTATGTGGTAAGATGGCATGTGAAAGGGCACTCACCATGGTATCGTATACACCACAGCTATGGTAATCAGGAAGCCGATCTTGTACAAGTCGCGCTTGGTCAACAACGGCTTGGCCACCACTGTCAGTACCGTGGCAACCGGTATTGTATACACGGCATGACTGTAAGACAGTTAATCGAGACTCCGCAGCCTAGTTCCGGAATTCGAGGACATACACTGCCGCATAATCGTACATTGAGCTGTCTCAGCCGGTCGACAATGCAGAGTCTGATTCGCTGAGGTCATAGACTCTGGAAGCACTCTCCGGCCATATCAAACTGTGGTACGAACTGTGGAAAACCAGCAAGGACGGACAGCAACCGAAAACAAAAGACGCGCGACTGGAGGGAGCGTGCAGTATGTACAAGAGAGGTAGCGATGCACCAAAGACAGCAGGACCGCGTGCTCAACGTTTTGCTGCTGATGCTGCTTCGCGTGGGAAGAAACTCCACCACTGGATATGACTACTTCAGCCACATTGCGGTCCCTGGAACCGGTTTCCAGGTCGCAAAAGCAGCATGTCGATCTGCGAGGAGCTTGGACTCGCATGTGACAGGTGGCAGCTCGGGCGGCTTACAGGGATGTTGCTTCATAGAAATGCTGTGACGACATTGTACAAGGTGGAGAAGAGGTACCTTACTTTGGTTGAGCTTGAACCTCAATGACTGACGTTGGCCGGACAATGCTATCGTCAGATACTCTGATACAATTTCGCCGCCGATGTGGTGTGATCTGTAATTAATTGCCGTCCAAGAAAAGGGTATTGACTCTGGTTGTCCACGCCATCACGTCACAGGTCTATAACTCCGAAAAATGCACAGGTCTTGAAACGGTCCTTGTGGTCGAGGGTTTATGGGCCTGTTTCGATCTCTTTCGTTCCAATATTTGTCTCAGCAACGATATGCGCTACAGTCCAGTGCAATGCTCATTCAACGCCGGCCGTTGAGCTCGACGCCACTTCTTGGGAAGCGGAAGAGGGCGGATGAGCCTCACCCATATCTGTCCGGCAACTTTGCACCTGTATCACGGACACGGCCTTTGACGCCTTGCACATATTCTGGAGAGATCCCAGAAGAGCTTCACGGAGGTGAATATGTGAGGAATGGAGGGTCGCCAGTCTCTAATCAAGATCTTGGAAGAGATGCTCACTGGTTCGATGGCGACGGGATGATCTCTGGAGTGCTGTTTGCCAAAACCCCGAATGGTGTCAGACCCGAATTTGTTAACCAGTACGTCTTGACCGATGTATACCTCTCAACAGTCTCGTCACCTTCATTACGAAAACCCATCCTCCCCAGCATCGCCACTTTGGTCAACCCAGTGGCGACCTTCATCAGCATAACATTGCACATCTGCCGAACCCTACTCTTGGTATTATTATCACACTTGCCAGGATCGCGTCAAGCAATCAAGAGGATCTCGGTTGCTAATACGTCTGTGCTCTTCCATGACGGTCGAGCTTTGGCAACATGCGAATCTGGGCCTCCAATGCGCATACGCTTACCAGATCTCAAGACCGTTGGCTGGTACAACGGCAAGACGGCAGAAGGTGAAGCTGGCGGCGAGGACGGCGCCGGCTTCGGCGGAGATGGCATGCTGGGCTTTTTGAAAGAGTTCACTACCGCACATCCCAAAGTCGATCCAAGAACGGGCGAGATGATTCTCTTTCACTCCACCTTCGCACCGCCTTATGTGCATTACTCGATCGTTCCCGCAACGCATCCACCAGCAATACCGGTGACACCGCTGGAAAGGCCATTGCGTCTGCTGAACGCCAAGGTGCCAGGTATCAGCTCGGCAAAAATGATGCATGATTTTGGTGTTGGTCAATATTCAACGGTCATTATGGATCTACCATTGACTCTGGATCCAATGAATATGATGAGGAACAAGCCAGTCGTGGCATATGATTCATCGACCAACTCACGTTTTGGCGTGTTCCCACGTCATACGCCCGAGCAAGTGCGGTGGTTTGAGGCTAAAGCTTGCTGCATATTCCACACAGCCAACACCTGGGAAGACACATCTTTCGACAGATCAACTGGTCAGATGAAAATCAACACGGTCAACATGCTGGCATGTCGATTGATGTCTGCTTCTTTGGTCTTCGCAGCCGGCAACCTTCCCATCCCGGAACCCGTAACAGGCCTTGACATGGAGGAGGAACAGTGCCGGCTCTATTATTACCAGTTCGACATGACTTCACTCAGCAACGAGATCACTCACCAATTCGCCTTGGCTACCATCAATTTCGAATTTCCAAGTACTCGAGATGATCGAGCTATGACCGAGTGCAGATATGTCTACGGTTGCTCGACATCTGCCGGAGGATTTGGTGCGGCTCTGGGCAAGGCTGCAAAGATTGATTGTCTCGCCAAAATCGACGCCAGAGAATTGATCAGACGGGGCAAGAAAGATCCAAGTCTAACACCCATCACTGGCCGCGTCGACAACAGATCCATGCAGGAGATTCTGGATTCCGCAGACCCCGATGATCCAATAAAGATCTTTCGTCTGCCCTACGGTTGTTTTGCGCAGGAGCCGCGGTTCGTTCCGAGAGCAGGTTCAACAACGGAGGATGATGGTTGGCTCTTGACGTACGTCTTTGATGAGGCCCAGCTCGATGAAAATGGTGTTTGCTTTCCAGATGCCAAGAGTGAACTCTGGATTATTGACGCCCGAGATATGAAAACTGTGGTAGGCCGGGTTTTTTTGCCACAAAGAGTACCGTATGGCTTGCATGGTGTCTGGTGCAGCGAGGCCCAGATCTCGAGTCAGCGTCCACACGAAACCATTCGAAGCATTCACGAGCAGGGACGCATAGATAAGGGCGTTTGGTCGAGCACTAGGAATTGGCTTGAACATAAGCTTGGCTGAGCATATCAACGGCGCTCCACAGAAAATGGTCAGGACTCTCCTCGACTAGATAATGTCACAGATAATAGTGCAAATAATCAACTTCCAAATGAGAAGGAATTTATTCTACAAGCCAGAGAATGGCCTGTGACCTTGAGAATTGCTCGTTTGAACTCGTGCCAAGCCAGCCTCGTCGCCTTGAACGTAGCCTTACGGATCATAGATTCTGTCAGAAGCTTTGCATCATCAATCGGACCATTCAATCATCTAGATTCGTACTTCCTTCCTCTATTTGCACCTAATCATCAATGGCTGTACCGAGGTCTGTACAGCGCTGCGCTGCACAGCAGCTGCGCACAGTTAGCTCGACCGTTCCTAGAACAAACCAACCGCAGCCTGGCCGCCATATTTCCAATGCGCTCAGACAGACCCTCCCGAAACAGCCTCTGTCTTCGAGATGTTTACAACTCCGGCAGTTCTCACAGACTAGCGCCCGAAAAGTGAACATACAGAAGGAGAAGTCGCAGCACAGGACAGGCGTACGTATAGCTCTGCGAGGTAACGTGGATCCTCTCTGACTATTGCGGGATAGCCTTTCTCATTCCGAGCAGCTGCGTTGTTCGTTGGTACCGGCTTGGTCATGATATTCTACTTCCAGTACGAGAAACAGCGATTGGAGCGAAAGAGAATCGTGGAGATGAGTAAGGGCTATGGCAAGCCTAAGGTGGGAGGGCCGTTCCAGCTGCGTGACGTGGATGGCAAAGAGTATACGGAAAAAGACCTATTGGGCAAATATACACTGGTAAGCAGCAGCAGCAGCAGCAGTCTACTCTGATGACGACTGATCCATTTTAGATCTACTTCGGCTTCACCCACTGCCCGGATATTTGCCCCGACGAGCTCGACAAGATGTCTGAAGCCATCGACATTATCCAGAAACAAGCCCCCAACGCGCTGCGTTCGATCTTCGTCTCCGTTGACCCAGCGCGCGACTCTCCCGAGGTTCTCCGTTCCTACGTTGATGAGTTCCATCCCTCGCTCATAGGCCTGACGGGAACCTGGCAGCAGGTCAAAGAAATGTGCAAACAATACCGCGTATACTTCTCAACACCGGCGGAGCTCAAGCCTGGCGAAGAGGACTACTTGGTGGACCACAGCATTTACTTTTACGTGATGGACCCAGAAGGCGACTTCGTGGAGTGTATTGGAAGACAGGACACACCGGAGAGTGCGGCGGGCATTGTGCTGCAGCATATCAAGGACTGGAAGCGCGAGGGCAAGCCTATTGACACCACGCCGCTACCATACTTGACGCAGAAGGCAGCTGTAGCAGTGACTCGTGCTTGAGTCGCCGCCTTGTAGGAACACAGAAGGTCGTCGAGTCCGGCAAGTTCAATGCATTGTACCATACAATCCCAAGCATGTACAAGACCAATCAGTCCTCCACACCAAGCAACCATTATTCAATGCAACTTCTCAATGGATTCCGACGCCACACCTCGCTCCTCTATATAGTTAGTACTACACACCTACATACCCTTGCCCTGCAAGGTACCACCCCCTCCCCTCCTCCCCCTACAAAAAAACAAGCTCGCCCCATTCTTCACGCCGTCGCTCCAGCCGGCGCAAGCCGCATAAAAATCCTAGCCACTCAGCGCGCACAAACCACCATCCATTAAGAAACCACCCCTTGAAACCTCGCCCGCATCACCTTTCGGGCAGGCAACTAGCTGCAAGCGGTAATATGGGCGGGCTGGGGCACCGCCGCAACTGGCGGTGAAGGGGGTTGCGTGGCAGACGGAGCGCGAATCAATGCGAGAAATTTTTCTTACGCTGTCGGCTTTTGCTGAATAGGCCCGCGCGGGGGAGAGAAAGAGAGAAGCGGCTGTGGTAATATGTGTGTGTGTGTGTCTATGTGCTGGCAAACATAGACAGGGGTGGCAAAGGGGTCGGCTTCCTGGATTGAATTGCCGTGTGTGAGGGGATGGGGGGGTAAAGATTCTTCGCTCTGGGCCACAACCGTAGAGGGGTTTGGGTAGGCGTAGCCGGCGAGGACGGATAGGTGGCCGGCGCTGCGAGGTGACGTGCGAGGGGTGCGATTGGGTCGGGTGCGGGCGGTCGCGTTTCTTTGCTGCTCGCTCGCGCGAAAGGGTCGAGTGTTTTTTTATTGTGAAGGCAGTGAATGCTGAGCTGGCCACGTAGATTGATGACATAAATCTATCTGCAGCTACAGCTATACGCGGCGGTAATCACCATCAACAGCGCGCCGCTTCCCCGCTTGTATACATTGCTGGGTCTCGCTACCTCAGGGTCCCTCCAACCTCAGCATGGCTGACGCAGACGCCGCTGCCACAACGGCGCAGACCAACGGCAATACCACGACCCAACCTCAAACGCAGTCGCAGCCTTTAGCACCATCTAAATCCACCTCCCTGCTCGATGCGTCCAACTTCCCCCAACACCTCTCTAGCGAACACGTTTACATCGAACTGCGCTACGACCCGCTCTCCACGCCCGCCGCCCTCCACTTCACGCGCTCCCCCTCCTGCGGCGCCAACGTGCTCTTCCTCGGCACGACGCGCAACAACTTCGACTCGCGGCCCGTCTCCCGCCTCTCGTACAGCGCGTACCCCGCACTCGCGCTCAAATCGCTGTTCGCCATCGCCGAGGACGTGCGCCAGAAACACGGGCTGGAGAAAGTGTACATTGCGCACCGACTGGGCGAGGTCGCGATCGAGGAGGAGAGCATCGCGGTCAGCGTGAGTAGTGGGCATCGGGGCGCGGGATGGAAGGGCGCGGAAGAGGTGCTGGAGCGGGTGAAGCAGAGGGCGGAGATTTGGAAGAGGGAGTGGTTCGCGGATACGGGGGAGGGGGATTGGCGGGCGAATAGGGATAGGGATAATGCGGGGAGGTTGGTCAAAGAGGAGAAGGGGAAGAAGGCGGAGGGGCCTACAGACGTGAGCAGGGAGTTGCAAGTGGATGCAACGACGTCTTCGAGCGCTGTACAACAGCCAGAATCCGATGCTGGCCAACAGGGACCCACGAGCGGTGAGCAGGGTTCGGCTGGCAAGGCAGACAGCGCTGGCTCCTCGAACCGGCATCAAACGAGTAAGGAGCTGGATAGCGATGTGGCCGATTACATTGCTGCGCTGACCCAGAAGCTCAAGATGTGAAGCGAGCGCTCGATTTGAACACGAGTCAGCCAGGTCGAAGTAAGTACTTTGCCGACATTCATGCGGCAAGGCTTGCTGCGCTCTTGACTCAAGCAACAACCCACCATTCTCGATGGTGGTGTAGTTGGCTGAAAGAACACAGGCAGTACACAGCGGTTAGGCTTCTGCCACTGTTTGAAATCGCACAGCGAGAGTTTCAGGTGCCTATCTCCCACGGAGGAATCCGGTCCCTCTGACCTCTAACAATACGAACCTTCGCCATTCCGACCGGTTGAGCAAGCACCGGACTCAGCACAGCGAACCCTCAAAGAAGTACCGACGCATGAGAAGAAAGGGACGATATACAAGCGAGCAAGCCACTTACCGAAACGACAATCTTCTACTGCTGAACTCCGCGTGAGTGGCCCATCTTCGCCAAGTCTAACTTCATGCTCAGCTCGACGAAGCGCCCAGACGCATTGCTGCCACAACTCGGAGGTCAGCAGGATGGGCAAGCTGAACGGACAGACAACCACGCTGACATTGGACATTGCTCATGGCGACAAAGCAATTACATCTGCCGACCTTCTCGGTGCATGTGTCCGTCTGACCTACAGTGCTTGGGTGTTTGTTGTGCATTCTCCCCGCAGCTGCAAGATGGTTCAGCCGCTGGGGGATGTCAAAGCATCCGCGAAACTCAACATTGCAATGCCGACCTGGAGGTCTGTTTTGATGTTGGGGTCCTGGAGTCCATGAAGTGACAGCTGCTTCGGGAGCCGTCGCCATCCACGGTAATCGATTATGCTTTGGCCCCCCACAATGGATGAGCGCTGCATTATGAGATGGCATCGGCGCCGATGTGCCGTTGGTATCGATGCCGGACGGCCACACAACACGGCATCGAGCTGGAGTTGCGTGGACCGGACCTGGGCGGACAATTGACAGCCAACCGGCACAGAGAGTCTTGACGTGTGCATTTGGCTGAAGTGGGAAAATGAGATAATCGTGCAGCACTCGAAAAAAGTCCGATGGACAGCTTGGCACACGCTCTACACTCAATGCGGGCATCTTGTGTGTTCTCCTTTCTTGACGATCTAGACCTGAGGAAACAGATCGTGGTTTGAGCTTGAAACCGACCTTGTTATTCCTGGAGCAAACCAACATCCTACAGTCGGGAGAACAGAACCCGACAACTGGGATTATGGGGCCTCGAAACATCGAATTTGGGAGACCCAGCGCAAGGCTCCGCAGAGTCGGGTCTAGCCTTGAACCCACAGCGGGGGCACCACGATTAAGCCCTGGAGCTTCGATCCCGGGCGATCCAAATATAGGCCAGATAGGCTTGAATTGCCCCTGTCGTTTTCCGGGGCCAAGCCTAACAGCCTCGACAGCTTCTCGCACGTTCGTATCCTCATCGGGGCGGCGTAGACGCCACAACGGCGTGTAACAGACGCCGACTTGCGACGAGGCCTCCCGCCGATATCTCCAGAATACTCAGGCACACCGGTTGGATCCTACAGTATCTGCCCGCGTGCGGTCCTGTGATCTTGGCTTTGGTTTCAAGCAGGCTCCGGTTTGGGCGCCTTGTGAGCATACTGCAGACGGCAGACACGGGAGAGCAGCCTTGTATGAGTGCACTAGGGTCTTAAGCGAGGGCGGTACAATTGACTGGATTCAGCCGGGGTGTGCTTCCCACCAGCGCGGCACGTAGTGTACCAATTCATGCTTTGCAACGTGTTACCGGCGTGAACATGCGCAGGCTAGAAGTTTCGGAGAGATGGTTCGGGTGTCTAGTGGGCAAAGACAATCTACAACACTGCCAGCTGCGTTAGGCTAACCTCCTGCGACGAAAAAGGGCGAAATGCTCGAGCGACATGCATGATCTTGGGTACTGGTCCGTGCAAGATCTGGGCAGCAAGCGCGTGACAGAAAAGGGCGAAAGGGGTCGGAGCACTCGCAGCGTGAGGCTCATTTACAAGGGTGAGCCGATAGCCGGGCGCTCACTTTTGCTAGGCGGGCTTGGTTTGCCTTACCATCCCCAACTCGTGGCTAGATGCTGTTCATCCAATTTGCCTGATCGCAACCGTCGAGGCCAGCGCACAAAGCTTGGACACCTACGTGTTGATAAGTTTGCTACCCAGAACGTTGGCGATAAGCTCAGCCCTGCACGATAATGCCGTCGTCGCTTAGTTGCAGACTACACAATTCAGTCACATGAAGCGATATCGGTACGTACCGGGAGAATTATTAATATGCACCTAACGACTGCCTTCTACGTAGAGACGGCAATGGTCCGCGGACTCTGAGGTCACCACGCAGCGGCAAGCACGCCATCAATGCAGGTCAAATTACAGCCCGCAGGTGATTAGTAGGAAGCTCCTCCAACGCTGTTTGGATACGATGACCCGCGCCTTTCTCCTGAAGATGTTGCAGGCCTCCCACGGATGCGCACGAGTGGCAAGACGCAGTAATTATAATATGGCAGATCACTCGTAATGATGGGACCTATTTGCGCGTGCTCCTTGTGGTCAGCCTGAAGGAAATGACAGGGCAGACGCAGTTAAGATTGGGGCTCCATCGGACACCGAACGATTGGACAGGTCTGAACGGTCGGGGAGAGACCCCCACCAGACGAACTCCGCTCGCTAACAACTTCACCGGACATGCTTGTCTTCTTTCGGACTTCTTCTGCTGCTCTGCGCCATTTGCCCCCTTGCACATCACACAGCTCCTGTGCCGCGACTGCACGTCTGTTGGCAACTGGCAACAACCGACTGAGGATTCGGCGGCCTGATCATGTATGAGGAGATGCAGGTAGATACTTCATGGACGACGAGCTCCATAGTCGGAGGTGTAGCTCGGAAGCCGATTCGGCAAACTTCTTGTCTGCTCCCCCCAGCCTCGTCTAAACCAGGGGTAGCGTGGTAGAGATTCGACCGCAGCATCAACTCCAAAGCCATGGTTCGGGGCTAGGCGCGCTTTGCGAAAGCTGATTCCCTTTTTCCTCGTCCACCCCCAGAGGACTCCACCGGCCCTTTCGCTAGCCAGAGTCCACAGCTCACAGCCCGTGGACGTGGAGCGTCCTTCCGCTCCTCAGCCCAGCTCTAATTCTCCCTCGACAATCGTGTACACCATTATACACTTTGTCCTCGTCATTCTTCATTTCACTCACCTAGTCCTTCGTTCTAGTCCCCCACTGTGCCCCGGCCCTCCTCCTGCTCCTCCTCATACCTTCTCCCCATTCCGCAGGACTCCCTGACTCCTTATCCGTAATACTTCTCTTGCACCCACACTCGTTCGCCGATACCCTCCAGTCAACCTGGCTGAACAAAGGTGGTCGAGCTGGGAAGTTGCCTCCGGCTACGATTCTCGGTCTCGACACACTTCAAAACCCGCCTCTGTCTTTGGTGAACCTCCGCCAGACAGCCCACGCAACCCGTTCTCCGACCGCCATCAATTCGGCGCGACCTTGACACCCAACACCATGGAGGACGACGGAAGGGAGGGCAGTGGTCAAGGACTGCTGCGTCCTCTATCGACGCCCAACCTCGCATCTCGTTTCCCCTCGCTTCGACGCATCAATTCCACCGAGCCATACAAGCACCGGTCACTACCTGCCGAGGGCGGCCCCGCAGAGGGCTCTGACCGCGCCAGCAGCGAGATCACCTTCGCCGTGCTGTACGATGATGGACCTGACTACCACGTAGGCCATTATGACGACCAAGGTTCGATGCACTCGACCAACAACAGACCCGACTCAGTCACCTCCTTTGCACCCTCCTTCCGAACCCGCGACTCGCGCATCCCCAGCGACGACAACGACTTTGTGGCCAACCAGAGGCTGCTTGCAGAAGGATACCTCAATAATCAAGATACCTCCTATGACCCCCATCGTGCGCGCTTTAATACTCAGTCCGAAGAAACACTAGCGATGAACACCTTGCATAATTCATATTCACCTAATGAAAAGAGACCTATGTCCCTGCGTACCGGCCAACAACAGTCTCAGCACTCGAGGGAGTCGTGGTGCACCTGTGACGAAGACCACGGTCACGGCATGCAATCAGCGGATCCTCAGAAGGTTGATCTGGAGAAGGGCCCTCCTACACCAACACCATTGCTGGGCAAAGACCAGAAGCCCGATTCGCACAAGGTACGTGATGATCGAACGCGTTGTGTTCGTTGCTAACAACCCTCCTAGGTCGACTTCACTGGCCCCAATGACCCGCTCAACCCCAAAGCGTGGCCAAACAAGAAGAAGTGGGCAGCTACTCTGGTCACTGCCTCCTTCACCTTCATCTCACCTTTGGCGTCGTCCATGATTGCGCCAGCACTGTCACAAATGGCTGAAGAGTTCAACACTGAACAAGGCATCGAGACCCAGATGATGCTTTCGATTTTCGTCTTGGCCTATGCCGTTGGTCCTATGTTCCTTGGTCCCTTGTCCGAGCTGTACGGTCGTGTGCTGGTCCTCCAGTGCTCTAACGTCATGTTCTTGGCTTTCAACACTGCTTGCGGCTTTGCGCAGACCAAGGAGCAACTCTTGGCTTTCCGTTTCCTCTCCGGCATTGGTGGTTCGGCTCCTCTTGCCATCGGCGGTGGCGTGCTCGGTGATCTCTTCAAGCCCGAGGAACGTGGTAAGGCCATGGGCATATACGCCATGGGTCCTTTGCTCGGTCCTACCATTGGTCCTCTCGTCGGCGCTTGGGTTGCTGAGTACTCTGACTGGCGATGGATCTTCTATGCCGTGTCGATTGCTGACCTGTTCATCCTGGCTGCCGGCTTCTGGAAACTGAAGGAGACCTATGCACCATACATTTTGCACAAGAAAGCCAAGGCAATCCGCAAGCAGACCGGCGATCAGAACTACCGTGCTGAGAGTGAAGGCGATCTTAACACACCTGTGCTGAAGAAGGTTGCCTCAACCATGGGCCGCTCCTTCAAGATGTTGTTCACCCAGCCGATTGTCCAGGCCATGTCCGTCTACATGGCCTTCTCATATGGTATCCTTTACCTGGCTTTGTCAACAATGCCCAGACTCTTCCACGGTCCTGCCCCTAACGGATACGGACAAGGTCTGGGTATCTCCGGCCTCCACTACATTGCCCTCGGTCTCGGTTTCTTTATCGGCGCGCCCGTCTGCGGCAAGACTTCTGACAAGATGTATCAATACTTCAAGAAGAAGGATGCCCGCGGTATGGGAAAGCCCGAGTTCCGTATGCCGGTCGTCATTCCCTTCTCGTTCCTTGTCCCCATCGGCCTACTCATCTATGGCTGGGCAGCGGAGAACCTCGTTTTCTGGATTGTACCCGACATTGGTCTGTTTCTCTTTGGCATGGGAACCATTGCCGCATTCCAGTGCGTCACCAGCTATCTCGTCGACACGTATGCTCGCTTCGCTGCTTCCGCAGTTGCTGCCGTTACCATCCTGCGTTCGCTCGCCGGTTTCTCATTCCCACTGTTCGCTCCTGCGATGTTCGAAGCCTTAGGCAATGGTTGGGGTAACACAGTCCTCGCCCTTGCCGCTGTTGGCATTGGAATTCCAGTACCCATCATGCTCTGGCTCTTTGGCGAGAAGCTGCGCAAGCGATCCAGCATGGCCATGAAGGGCAAGCCTCCTGGTGGGCCAGGCGGCCCAGGCGGTCCTGGCAAGGGACCTGGTGGTCCAGGAGGACCAGGCGGACCAGGCGGCAAGCCAGGCATGGGACCCGGTGGCGGTCCTCCTGGAGCTGGTAAACCTCCTTCCGGCCCTCCGGGCCCTCCTCCCACCTATCCTGAAGGCAAGGGTCCTGGTCTCAGGCCATGAGCACAACGCCACGGCCTCACCACCGAGGCACTGAATTAGCTTCTCTCACGTCTTTGACGTCGATGCCGACCGACTGCTTTCATGCATGCAACGGAGTTGTCTTCAACGACAATCACACCCATCAAGTCAGCCTGTCACGTATCCTGTATTTTTTTCATCATCTCCTATTCCACCTCTACCACCAAGTGTGCGATCCATCTGGAACCATTTCATATCATCATCATCATCATCATCATCAGGCACCGGCGTGCCAACGAGCGAGAACGGCGTTACTGAAGGCTTTCGAGAGCTAATGACACGGAAAGCGGAATATGCGCGATGGCCCGCGCTGGTTCGGCGTTTTTGAATGGACTGCTTGTTTCCACGACCTCCTTGATTTCATGTCCGAGAAGAGAAGAGCAGGCAAGTGAAGTGAATTGACGATAGACGAGGATGAAGAGGAGAGAGTAGTAGAAGAGAGTGAGACAAGCAAAGATTCTGACTGCTGCTGCACTGCTGTTGTCACTGGCTTATCGCTCCACTGGCAAGGGCGGCCTGACGGAAGCTGACCTTGCATCTCATGCGCCTCCCGCTTACTATATGGCCCCCCTTGGGCCCCTACTTCCGGCTACACCTCACGCGCCCGGCACCGAAAGGAGCTGCACAGAGGTCGAGAAAACGGACTGCTGCATGCCAAGTTTGCATCGTTGGGTGGGGGCCGGCGAGGGTTAGGAGAGAAGGAGATGACGACCCTGGACATACTACCAACTATTACACCATCCTTACACATACATATACGCGCCTACCTATCTTGCTCTTGCTCTCGCTCTTGTCCCGTTGCCGCGTCAACTTGTATTGCTTGGTCGATTCAGGTCATGAAAGGAGCATGAGCATGAGCATGTCTGGTCAACTCCAACGTTGCAAGAATGGGATTGGAAAAAAAAAGCTCAGCAGAAAAGCCTCAGCGGAACGGAGAGAGAGACAGAGAGAAGAGATAGCCAAAGGGCTGATATGAAAGCAGCTGGTTGTGGTATTGTGATGTGGGTGGGAAACGTGAATGTGGCGCGCGAGCACGTATTAAATGCTTTTATCTGGCATTATTTAATGAATGGTGTGAACTACTCAGAGAGAGAGATGAGATGAGGAAATTATTTCTTTTTTTGCATTTGCAAAACTGGCATCAAATTTCGTCTCTTTATCTTCTGCTGGTCCTTCTTGTGTGTCACTTGCTTGTAGGAGCTTCGCGACGTGTGTGCCTTTCGGGCCGCCATACTATTCCTCGTGGGAGCTCTTGGTTGGTGTTTGCAGTGTGCCTCTGTTTAGGGTCTCGAGTAGCCGTAGCTGCACCTGCACCGTAGAGCCCGGACAACACGTCAATCACTACGACGAGCATTGGGGAGCGTTCGTTGGCGGTCTCGCAGAATATCTTCGCTAGTCACTGCACTGCCGTATAGAGCTTGTGAGTATCAGCGAGGCCACCAGCGCTATGCTACCGCTCGAAGAAGCCGCCATCGCCATCACTCTCACTCGCCTCCCCTGCATCCAGCGCCATGCCGCCATGGTCGTCATCGTCGCTTGCCGCGTCCGCGTCAGCGGGGTCGATGGGCGCGTCCGTCTCCTGCTGCCAGGTAGGCCGTGCTTCAGAAATTCTGGCTCTGACCGCCAGATCCGCGTGAGCAGCATCGTCGCCAGCAGCGTTCTGCCTTTCCCTCAGTGCATCGAGTTTCTGAAGTTGAGCCTCAGTTACAGCCACGGATGTCCAGGCGTCGTTGTCGGCGGGGACCTGCATGACGCCGACGTCTTGCTCATCAGGTTCCTTTTTTGTTCCTGCCGAAGGATCGGCTGTGCTCGTGTCAAGGATTGCACGCACTGCATGCCAGTGGGGTGGTCGGAAGTCGTCCGATTCAGATGCATTGGAGCGGGTGTTGAGTCTGACGACCTCAGGGTTCTGCACGCGGGCCTCGAGCATGTCTGCCTTGCGCTTCTTGTCCGATGTAGGCGCTTCGGTAGGATTATTTTCCCGCGAAGGAGCACCCGCAGTGCCGGCGAAGAGACTGATGTACTTCTCACCCAGCGGCGCGTAGATGCAGTAGAGGAGGTCTGTCTCCCTTGCCCTGACCTCATCGGCTAGCTCTTTCATGCTTCTGTGCTTCTTATCACTCGCTGAGGCCTCCTTGTCATCCATTTCTCCCAAACCGCCCTCGGCCTCAGCTTCTAGTGCGGCGACCGCTTTCCGTGCCTTCTTCAGCTCTCGCTCAGCCTTCTTACGCTCAAAGAAGCGCACCATGTGATATTTTCCAAGCATCTTCTTTTCCTTCGTACCTCTTTTCGCAACTTTCGCACCATTTACACCAGTGCCCGCCGGACGACCTGCGCGGCCAGATGACTTAGCCTGTGCCTGCGTATCTATTAGATACTGGAGCTCCCGCTCTTTTTCCATCAGAATGTTGGCTGGCAGCGTGGCAGCTGAGGCGTGCGCAAGCTGCTTACGAAGAGAGCGGATGCGCGTGGAGGGGTTTGATTTGCGGGATCTGGTGGTGTGGGCATTGTTCTGGCCATGAGGCTGGTATGATCTGGAGTAAGGCTTTGACTTCGGCGCAGAGGTACGATCACTGTTGGATGTGGATGGACGGTAGGACTGCCTCCCATTTCGATTGTAAGACCTCTGATCGCGTTGGTTCGAGAAGTCCCTATTTGAGGGTGGTGGTAGCCCACGAGCCGAGCGATCGGGAGACCAGGTCTCGGTGCGGCGCTTTTTGGCGGGATGAGTGCCAGACATTGTGGTGTCTGTTGGTGTAACGGGGACCATAGGCTATTTCAGCCCGATGTCAGGCATATAGTACTAGACAAGTCGAGTCGGCATGGTTGTAGGGAGTAATTGACGTGGGAATGAAGACAAAATCAGACCTCTAAGGACTGCGGAGTAGAAATGATTCTGCCAGCTTCACCGCCTTCGGGGTTGCCTTACTTACATAATAGACTTTGAGCCAATCAGGTCGTCTTTGTTTCGTCTTCGATTAGATGTCGGCTCATCTACACGCACTCGATTCATTTACAACCCGCGCATACATTGTACCGACGCAGGGAAAGCTTCAAACGCCGGCTGGAGCCGTGCTCGAAGCTGTACTGCACTGACATGCTCCGCAACGAGACCCTGAAACTGCCACCATGGAGACGGCGATCCGCTTCTCCCAAAACTCGCCGTCTGGAAGCAACGACCAGCGCTTCCTCAGCGCCGATGTGACCAACAAATCATTCAAGCTTTGCCGTATCACCTCGCCGAGCTCCAAAGCCTCCCCAGTGGTCCGATATGAGACACTCGCCTCGTCCACCAAAGTGCCTCCCTTTCGTGCATTTGACTGGCATCCTCACCCCGAGCACGAGAATCTTGTGGCCGTTGGACAATCAAGTGGCGAAGCAACGCTTCTGAGTATCGTTGGTCCAGACCAGCCGGATCCGGGCAGCATCTCCTTTCAAGTCAGGAGTCAGCGCCCATGTAACGCAGTCAGCCTCTCTTCCGGGCACCTCCTCGCGGCTGGTCTCGACCGCGTCCGCACAGATTTTTGTCTTAATGTATGGGATTTCTCCCAGCGGCTTTCTTCAAGTTCAATGTCAAGTCCATCTCCAAAGAGCCCAAGCTCCATCAAAGGCTTTGCAGAACCCCTCCAACGGCTTGCATCTGGTGATGCAATAACAAGTCTTAAATTCTTCCCAACCTCGCCTTTACATCTAATAGCGGGATCCAAGACCCAGTGGATTCGTCTGTATGACCTGCGAGAAGCCAATGCCGCATCAAATACTGGTTTACAATTCAATACTCGTTGCGTGCACAACCTGGCAATAGATCCACGGGATGAGAACTTCATTGCCTCATGCTTTCCAACTGGGGGAGATCCGAGTATCGCCCTGTGGGATAGACGCATGATCGCTCGCACCAGTGTAACATCCACATCCTATGCCATACACGAGGGTCGGCAGCCCGAGTCATCCTTGGAGCTAAGCAACGCGATTGATACGCCAGCCAATATCTGGAGCTTGCGATTCTCGAAATCCAAGCGTGGCTGCTTGGGTGTTCTGTCCAGCACAGGCCAGATCAAGGTGTACGAGCTGGGAAAGGATGCAGTCGTCGAGGAATATCGACCCGTCGACGAAAATGAGAGCGAGTGGGAGGTTCAACTCCCACAAGAGGTCTTTTTGGATAGATCGCAAGATCTTGAGAAACCATACACCAATACATCTGGTAAGAAAGATGAAAAATCACGCGTCGTATGCTTTGACTTCACGACTTGGCAAGACAAACATGGTCAGCCTGGTCTTATCACGCTCAGTGGAAATGGCGAAATCCGGACCACAGCAACATCGCCCATTCCTGAACCCACAGTCTTTCATCCGGCAGGGTTCATCATGCACGCCAACACGTACTTTCAGGGCAGTCTTCAAAACTCATCCCCGACATCGTTTTGGCAAGGCATCGAGAAGATCAAATCCAGAGCGGAGCTGCTCACTCCCCAGGGACAGGAGGCAACCGATTTTAAAGCCAGGAGTGAAGCCTTGAGCAAAGGGAAATCCTCCTTCGAGGTCCAATCACGTCAGGAAGATCTGGGTTTTCGTGAAATCACCACCACCATACCTGACCTCATTTCGCTCACCTCAATCGCCCAGGCTCGCTGCGAGGCTGGCTACATGCTCGACCCCACCATTAACAAGAGTCTCACTGGCAATAATCGGTATTTGAATCGGTTCTGGTCTTGGTGCAAGTGGGCGCAGCAGCTGCACACAGCATCGGTTCTCAACCAAGATAACTTGGATCTCAGCTACCTCGGGGTGTACAGCATTTGGATGGAAGACTTACCCGCGTCCGAGCTGGCAACCCGTAGCCTCGGTCCATCACAGGTTCCAGCCACCATGCGCTTATCCAAAGCGATCGAAGGCCTCGTCCGCCGCTTGCAACTTCCTGCGATCCGTCACATTACCACAGAATACCACTTCAATCGCCAGCTCTGCCTGTATATCTCCAACCTGGCCTGGGGATCTAACGAGCTTGAAAGCTGGGCTGGGTCCCTCACGAGCCGTAGTCAGCACTCGAAAGCCGCTTTCCTAGCCCTGGTCTCCGGCAACCGCGACCTTGCTATTCGTTCGTTGCAAGCCAGAGGCAGCAATCAAACTCACCACTTCATCGCGCTCGCGATCAGCACCAACACAAATCGCGCTCGCAGACCCGTTTCAACGCAGGATCAACACAATCTCGACTCGGATGAAGATTCCTCTTCTGATTCCCTTCCCGAAGACGATCAACACCGCAGCACACTCCTCGCCTCTGCATTAGCCACAACCACCGACCCCTTTGCCCGCGCCCTCCTCACCTATCTCAGTAAACCGTCCTGGCCCAGTGTCCTCGCCCAGAGCAGCACCCTTCCTATCCGCTACCGCCTTACCATCGCCCTGCGGCATCTCGACGACTCAGCCCTCACCACATACATTGGCGCACAGACCAAGGCAGCCATGCAAGATGGCGATTTGGAGGGCATCTACTTCACCGGCCTCGGCAGTAATAAGTCTTTTGAGCTGCTGCAAGGCTATGTCGCGCGCTTCGGTGATCTACAGACCGCCGTGTGCGCGCTAGCTACGACGATGCCACGCTATGTCCGCGAGGAAACTCTGCTACGCAAGTACCAGGCCATGCGGCAAACGTACCGGCACGAGGTGCAGAGCTGGGGAGGTGACTTTATGTTCCGGCGCGTGGCGTTTGACGTCGAGTGCACGCGTGCAGCCAGGGATAACGTGACTGGCCAGAAGTTGATGAAGGCGGCCCCACCGCAGATCAGGCTGGTATGTCAAGGCTGCGCGAGCGGGCTGGCGCACCATGAGGCTGGAATGGAGGATGAAGGAGGAGGTAACGGGATGAAGAACGAGAAGAAAGGCAACCCATTGTCTCCTGCAACTGCAGCGGCATTGGGCACCGTGTGTCCAAGGTGCGGACGGAAGATGCCTCGCTGCGGAGTCTGCGATGGACATCTGGGGCAAGAGGACAGCAGTTTCATGAAATGGTACGGCAGAGAGGGGAAGGGAAGCGTGGATGGCACCAACGTGAGCGAGCGCATGGCCGGCAGCGTGGGCACCATCGTTGGGCTCGACGGCAGGAAGGAGCGGGATCGAGACCAGCACGGATCGGGCTCGAAGGCATCCTACGCCGGCAGTGCAAAGGTGGACGTCAAGAGCGCCACAGACAAGTTGCGGGGTCTCAGTGTTGAGACGCCGGCCGTGGTAGATGCCGAGGATGCCGACATCGGTGACGGCCAAGAGGAGACGATGCTGGAGGAATTGCGCCGGCGCGACGACATGATGGCCCGCTTCATTGTCGTCTGTGTCAATTGTAACCATGGCTTCCACTTCTCGCACGCGCGGAAGTGGTTTGAGGGCGACGTTGAGGCAGGCACGCAGCCGCACCCCTACTGTCCGGTGCCGAAGTGTGATTGTCTTTGCTGGGAGGATGGGCTGTAGGAAGACATCGTTGTTGACTTGGAACTCGTGGTTGGGTATGCGCGCCGCCGCTCCGTGCACACTTACAGCAGGAGTCCATTGGTCTTCCACAAGCTCACTTGGTAGACAGTAGTACTGCCCGAGAGATATTTTGGTTTTAAATCTGATTTGACTTAGATTAAATTCGTATAACGGTACAACGTTTCAAAAGTCCTCGGTCATCGCCACACTTCATCCATCATCTAGGCTATGCTTCTGTGTAGCCTGACGAATATTCACAGTATACCGGGTCCGCGGGGCGCCGTAGCTCAACGGGGCTCCGAAGGTGGCTATCACTCTCTCACCAGCACGCGCCCCCAAAATCATGGAAGGTCCATCTTTGACATGAACCACGATTCTTGAAGCATGCGACATCAGGCTCAAATGGCAGCACCATATCGTATTTAACGTGTATGCCATATAATCTCTGATAATGCCATGACTCCGATGTTCTCGTGTCGCAGTGGTGGCGAGTAGGAGTAAGCCGGACTACTTCTTACTTTGGAAACGGTTGGCCTTATGAACCCAACACAGCCAGCGGACCCACCGCACCGCTTTCGAGCGGCCGCTGCGGTTCCTCGAGATGAGCTGAGATGAGATGAGATGACACGATGTAATCTCGCCTCAAACAATCTTCCCTTCAGGTCTCTGCTTCTGTTGACACGTTCAACGCTCTCTACCAACCCTTCACATAACCTACCATGAACATCATCATTGCCGGCGCCGGCCTCGCCGGCTTAACGGCCAGCATCGCACTCGCCAGCAAAGGCCACACCGTGACGGTATATGAGCGGCGCGACGATGACGACCTGGGCATCAGCGCCAGCGGCATCCAGCTGCAACCCAACGCGGTGCGCGTGCTGCGGCGCTTCGACATGATGGACTCCATTGATAGCGTGACCGTCAGCAATGGACACACGGACCTGCGCGACTTCCGCACGGGCGAGACGCTTGCGCTCGTGGATATGGAGCGACGGGGTGGCGTGAGGTATGCGGTGCGGCGGGAGATGAAGCGTGCGTTCATCAAAGAGGCGGAGAAAAGGGGGGTGGTGCTGCATAAGGGCGTTGGCGTAGAGTCTGTGGGTGAGGAGGCGTCCAAGGCTGTCGTGCAGCTGAGCGACGGCTCGAGCGTCTCGGCTGACCTCGTGGTCGGCGCGGACGGCACGTGGTCTCGCGTGCGGAAGTCGTTGTTCCCGTCGTACCAACCCTCCATATTGTCGACGGTTGTGTTCCAGGTGCAGGTCCCAGACGATTACATCCGCCAACACCCGGAGACACAGGCGGTAGATCGTAACAACCCGGCCATCTGCCTCTGGGGCGCGCCAGGTCGGGTCAGTGTCACTGGTGCTGGACCAGCTAAGGGTCCTTTCGACCTCCAAATGATCGATGTCGATTACCCGATCAGTAAAGATCCGAATCCTAACATTCGCCTGGGTTGGGTTCAGGACATGTCATGGCTCCGAGAGCGATTTGCTGACCATGTACCTGGTTTTGGGATGATTCTGGATAGAGCTGAGAGGTATTACAAGTGGCGACTGGTCGAAGTGTCTGGGTTGCCGTCATGGTCGAGTAAAGGTGGCAAAGTTGTACTCATCGGCGATGCATCCCACGCCATGACTCCTTACGCTGGACAAGGTTCAGCAATGGGCATCGAAGACGCGGCAGTCATCGCCGAGCTACTTGCTGATGCGAAGCCCGGGGATGATCTCCGAAGTCGCTGGGAGCTTTATGAGAAGCTTCGCCGCCCACGCTGCGAGGCTGCACAGAAATATGCCGCCATGATTGGTAGGTCCTGGGCCGCCAGAAGCGACAAGATGATCGCCAAGGTCCGACAAGGTCTCCTCATGACCAACGATCCCGCGTATCTCAGTATCAAGCCGGACAAGAACGCGCCATTCCACACGGCTCCGTTTGAGAAGTGGTTGGATCTGTACGATGCTTCCGCTGAGGTCGAGAAGGCGCTCAATGGCACCGATGCCGTTCAAGCACGTCTGTGACGCAACCCTGCGGCAGAATTGTGCTCATGGCGAGTACGTCGGAGGTGCCACGTAGTCTGCTTCCGGCGGAGGTTTGACCCAGGATGGATCGAGCCTTCTGGACTCAAAGAGCTCCGCTAATTGGTTGTATCGTGGCTCTTCGTTCGATAATCGCCGAGGGTATTGCGCTTTACGTTGCTGTTGGCGCTGTCGTGCTCGACAGATGCAGGCACAGCTTGTGAACAGGATGAGGCAGGCCATCAAGATGCCCATGAAAGCCGCAGCGCTCAGCTGGCTGTCTTTGCTAGCCTCGCTGGTAGCATCCCGAGGAGAGTCGAAGGACTGGTGGCCAAGAGGCTGGATTGATGGTGCCATCCCAGCTGGTGTCTTTCGCGGGATCTGAGACTTCTGAGGAGGGGCGTCTAGAGTCAATGTAAGATTTTATAGGATAGAAGGGAGAAAGGAAGATGTAGAGATGTAGAGAGCTCAAGTAACAAATCACTGAAGTAAGCAGATCCACCTGCCCAGAAAAACATGCATCAGACGTATGCGAAGGCCTCATGCAGCGCTGTGTTTCGTGGTCTTGAGTAAGGCCATCCTCGCTTCGCCCCCGCGCCACGACTTTGCAGCGGTTGTGCAAGTGAGTCCATCTTTGGCGCATCCGGCGCTTGAAAACTCCTCGCAAAGGCATGGACCAGCTTTGAGACCACGCAGAGATCGACTGCGTGTCGGTTGTAACAGACTAGCGACGCGCTTCGTTGGGTCCAAAGGTCCTTGCAAGTAATCTGAGATCTCGGTCTTAGGCTCGTAAGGCATGATCCTGCGGATTGGTATTTGTCCGATCGTGCAATCCGGTGTGCAGAGCAGGATTTCAACCCCGGATACTCCGCTATGGCTAACGGCGCATGCACCCAGGGAATCTCGGCGCATAATGAACCACATTTGCGCGGATCAACATTGATGCTGTCCAGACAAAGACAGCCCCCAACTTGGGCGTCGTCTGGCTAGCATTTACAAGCCCCATAGATGGATGGAACTTGGGGCACCCGGCTGCTCCTTCAATCCTTCGCGCCTAAAATCGCTTACATGCCAAGACATTGTCCCTGGCGGCGTGATGTGGCTGCAGCCTCGTCGCATCACATGCTCAGCCTTGTACCGTCCTCGGCTCACCGACCACCAAACATCCCTGCCAGACCCGACCTACAACATACGGCGTACTTTTTACCACGACTCACATTCTGCACACCACGCTCGCCTCACCTCTTCTCCCGCCACCTAATAATCGAAGCTCGCCGAGGAGGGTCTATCCCTCCAAGTCGCGCGATTCACCACGTGGACGTCTGTTCCCACGACTGCGTACTCCCAAACATGGAATCACCACTAACGCCCCTCTCGCGCACGCCCTCCACGCACAGCATCTACGCGCCTGGCTCCCACCGCCGCTCGCATCCTAACCTCTCACACCTATCCCTCGCGCCGCTGACACCGCGCTACCCCATCGACCCTGCCGACTACCTTGCCTACACAGACCCCACCACCTCAACACTACACACCTCAGCCTCGATCTCGCACATTGCCTCCCTCCCTTCGCCCGGTGGCATATTAAGCAATACCTCACCGACAACACCACGCTCCCGCGCCACGAGCCGTACGCGTCTCAAGCGCAAGGCCAAAAGCCACGTCAGCGTCGTGCTGCCACAGACTCAGACGGAGGGTGATGCCGGCGGGCTGCTACAGCCATCGTCGTTAGTACCTAGCGGTGCGGTCAGTAGCGCCGGGTACGGACACAGCGTGCTGCGCGCAGCGGCGCAGCAACCAAAAACCTCAAAGAGTCATACCCATCTAAGCAGGCTGAGCGTCAAGCGTGATGCGAGCTGGCTGGTACACACGGGCCTGGCGCTGACGGAAAGTGGGCGGGAAAGTAAAGGACAGAGCTGGCTCGGGAAGCGGGACTCGAGCACGAGTCTGGCGGCCTTGAGCACCGTGAGTGTCAGCGTGTTGGGTAGTCCGAGTGAGGAGCGAAGGGAGGGGTTCGTTCGGAGTGGAAGGCAGACGCCCGGAGGCGGGAGTCGGCCCGTCAGTCGCTCGCGGAGGAGTCGTAAGGAACTGGCTATGACGTCAGTTGCTGTGCTTGCCGGCGATGGAGCCTACGCGAGCGGGATTGATGGTGTCGAACCGGACTGGGCGGATAAGGAGACGCAGGCGGAGTTGGCGGCGAATGAGGTCGGCTGGGATGGGGAGGTGTTGAGGGAGGAAGAGGCCGAGGACGATGAAGAGGACGAAGATCCCTACGGTGAATTGAACTTCGATGGCCATTTCGACACCGAGAGCGACATCCTGGATGAAGAGGAGGTTCGGCGGGAGCTCAACAAGGGCGGGCTGGGTAAGTGGATCGAAGGAGTCGTCGATGTGTTCCTGATGCTGGAAGACGATGTCCCTGAAGACTTTGACGCGGAGAGCAGGCAGGGCCTAGAACAATCACGCACCTTAGCGGGCGAGAGTGCGCGCCGGGGGCCGTCCGAAGATCAGCAGGAAGATGTGAAGCCGGCATGGGATGACGGGCGGGAAGAGCAGGATATTGAACCTCCGCCACAGCAACCGCAGGGCATGTGGGACGATGTTCGATGGCTTTCCAATGTTGTGGTGAGGAATCTTTGGTCCTAATAAATTTGGTCTTCGCTATCTGAAGTCATTCGACACGAGAAGACCGTCTCGATTCAGAGACGCGCTTTGCGCGTGAGGGTGTCAGATCAGTACCGGCCTTCACCAATGCACATTACCAGCTCCAGCATGAAACGCAGCGACCGTTGCCTCTTCATTTATGTTCCCCAGTTGTTCGCTCCTTGCTAGGACCATCATATTAGTGCAGCAAACACCTGCCATTTCAATAGTCCATGTTGCACAGCATCGTTGAGCCGCTGAAAATGACGAGCATACTCATCTCTGAAGAATCCCTGTCTCGGAACCAATCGACTTGATGAACCGGGCCTAGAGATCCGCGTTTGTCTCACTTATCTCGTCGCCAATGTGATCGTCCCACAATCACTGCCAACGTTTGCTCCATCACTCCTCATCAGAGATATCAAAACACTTCATGTCCGGGGGTCGGCGGCCGTACTTGCGTCACCAAAGCTTTCTTGATCAGGAAGGCCAGTGACTGTACGACGCACGACCTACAGGTGTAATGTCTGCGACGTATGAACCTCTGGGACAGTTTTGTGCCAGTCGGACCAACATTCATGAAATGCTGCGCGAATGAGATGTCGAGTCCGAAGAACACTGCAGACAGCATCATTAATCCAATCCATCCTCCAACTCCTGCTAGTCTTGGTTGCATCATTTGGGCCTTTCACAAAGCAAAACAACTGTAGTTAGCGCCAAGGCTTTCACTGCCTAACAGTAGCTCCGCCAAGTATCAATAAAAAGTTTACGCAGCTCGCAAAAATGCAAAAACAATCAACAATCAGGATTCGCTGATGGTCACCCACTCAACTACTAACTGATCGGCCTGTGGTTTAAGTTGCCTGAGCGGACGGGAAGGCCTGTTTTCCGCAGCCTGTGGTCGATTGCGAAAGGCCTTCTACTTGTCGTAAAATATGAAGATTTCATTTTTCTGGTCGATTGTGGCACTCACAGTTCGCCATCAGCACCCTTGCTGCTTTGAGGGGCATGTATCACGGCCTTGGAGCTATCTGATACGTGGGTCGTAAGTGTTTTGGAGACGGTGCAATAGCACTCTACCGAAAGGCCGAATGCTATATCGTAAAAGTAATGTAAGAACGGGGGAGGCGAGCTTTTTAGGTCTGGGCAGGGGTGGGCAACCTCGACTTTCTTTCTTAAATGTTTCTTTCTTCAGAGGACGACATCAAAGCATCTCAAACCCCAGTAGCGCATCTGAAACGCCTATAGCCTGCTCGGGACCGATATCTGATAGAGTGTAGGCGGCGCCCATCCAGTCAAAGAACTGGGCTGGCGCATACTGTTCTGCCAGTTCGGTGGCACCTTGATCTATGGCGCCGACGTTGTTGTTGTTGTTGTCTGTGCTGCACAAGCTAAGAGCTTCAAGACCGTTTGAAGACGCACCGATTCTGCCGGCATCGACCCCCTCCTCGCTGGGCCTCTCTTGGGTGAGCATCTCATCAATCATGCGAATGACGGTCTTATTCAGCACCAATGACTTCAGGCGTTGCATTCTGACTTGGACGGCCTGCACAGTCTCGGCGCTGATTCCTGGCACAGCTCTGCTGGGACCGTCCGACGAATCGTATTCCGCGGTTAGAACATCTGTTGTGAAGAGTTCGAAGACATCCGCGAGTATTCCCGTTTGCTCCCATCGCTCGGTCATGACAGCGAGCGTGTTGGAACAGAGTCTGATCGCGTCGAAGATCTTCTTTGGGCTACAGACCTCGGTCCTAAACTTAGGTGGCGTAGCCCACAGACAATACAACATTGTGATGCCGATCGAGAATTGACTAATCAGCTGTGACCTCGTCAGCGTTTGAGCCATTCTCTTGCGATGAAGCACATTACCCCGAGAACTGGATATGGGACGACCCTTCGCGCTTGGAACTGGCGGAAGATTTTCACGGTCTCGATGCTTGCTCTGATGGACCATTCGCCAGCGGGACCACGGACGTTGGACTTTGTCGGCATATGTAAGTAGAGGAGGCAATGGTTGTAGACGAGGATGTGCCAGCGCGGGTCGGTCACAGAATTCGTGCTGTCCGAGACCTGCTCGAGCTGCAGTCTCCAGTTTTCCAGCTTCGTCAAGATATAAAGCCTCCATTCGGCCGCGGAGTCGATATCGAAGTTAACTCGCATAGTCACGTTAAGAATCTCTGATTGAATCTGGCTCAGTCGACACCGGTGGAGTGCTGACGATACCTCCGTCCTTGTCATAGGTTCATTCAGAGTAAAGGTACCATCTAAAAGAGCTGCCTCATTTATGTCGTCGAAGAGCTAATGCTAGCATTAGTACTGTTCTCCACATGCTTCTGGTACGTACCGGAACGGTGATGTTGTCATCAGCTATCGAGAAAGGAAGATGCAGAACACCGCTGGCTAATCGATCGAGAACATACGCCGACCAGAATACTCGCCTCCGTAATTGTGCCTCAAGATGCGCCGCAGCATCCGTCTGCTGTGGTTCGGCTTCGAAACTGTGGAGTCGAGCCACAATGCAACGACGCATTGCAGAAGAAACGGCAAGCGACACCTTTTCCGTCGAAGGAGAAAAGAGGGCGTGCAGGGCTATCAGTAAATCCGCTTGGATTTGTGTCAGTTCGTCGGCATGGCGATATACCGCGGGGAGGAAATTTTGAACAGCATAGTCGTAGGCTTTCTGCGGAAATTAGCCTACTTGCTGATATCTGGTTGTCGGCCGAACCTGTGATGCGCGGGAAACGCAAAGAGACACTCTCGGGTTCAAGAGCAGGCTGACTGCGAAAAGCTTACAACCATTAGACAAAAGTCTCCTCTGAAACAGGGTCTTACCATATGGACCATGAAGCCTTGCCATAGATCTGGCGAAGCATCATTGATGGTCCTCATTTTCCAGTTTCTGTGCCATGCGCAGAACGTGCTCTGCAATAAGAAAGGGTATTTTCTGTTCGCATGTGTAAAATAGACCTCAACCAAATGTTCCTCCACTTTAGCTGGGAGAGCCTCCGGCCTTATACTTGACTGATACACAAAGTGTTCGAGATCATCGGAAAGATCTACAGGGTTCATAGGTTCTGGTGGACTGTATGCAGAGCTCGTATCTCTGCCGTGCCACGATTGAGCTTGTCGACAACCATTGTGAGAGCTTAGTGGCGAGGGATTGGTACATCGTGAATGCCCTGGCTCGGAATTGCTGACACGATCCGTCTGAATCGGTTGCGCGTCGGCTGGATAGTGCTGCCCATCATGATCATCTGGCGAAGACCCAACAGTCGCATTGATGGGAGAAGTGGTTTGAAGTTGGGCTGAATCTACCTCTGACACCACGTTACCAACATCAGCATTGTCGAGTGCCTCAGATTGCGTTGGCCGATTCAAACTGGTGGTTTCTCGTCCTTCGAGCTCGCTGAGACGCCGCTGAAGAGACTGAACGTAGCTGTAAATGATCAGACAAGGCGGCCTGTCTTCTGCTACCAATCAAGAACCTACTCTGCTCTATACCTGGCACGTGACAACCCTGGCAAGGTCGGAGAGCATTCTGTCGTTTGTTTAGCTTAGCCAGAAAACAAATCAGTTCTCCTTGGAGCACCGACATACCTGCATTCGCGCTCTTGCAATTCGTGCATGGGTTGCTACCATCTGTGTCGCACTGAAAGCAATTTCGCTTAGCCTGACCCAGCTACGACGGAGCCGTTGAGCCCTGATGGTGAAGCTCACCTTCTGCTTACGGCGTCGACATCTTTTGCAGGCCAATACTTTCCGTCGTTTGAGTGGTCGATCCGTGCCGACGAATTGGGGTCGAGCATGGCTGTGACCGTTTGTGAAAGCGCTGTCGGGTGCCGAGACCGACAATACCTAGCAACCTCGGGTTAGCGCGCGCTACTACACTGCAGTCCTACGACTGACTTGAGACCTTTGGGCCATGCCTACACACGTTAGGAGAATGCTGTGAGTCTAGGAGTCGCGAAGTCCGCTCGGACAAAGTCCCAAGATGAGTCGGAGAGCGGAGAGTGCGATGAGGGCCCACGTTATCTACGGTATCTCGGAATTCTCCAACCCGCTATCTAAGAGCAACGCAAGCACGAGGCAAGCGCGGGCCGTCCGATATCTGGATATGAACGGTAGTTGCTCGGCGCCACCCCCGCCTAAATTGAAGCCCATGATTGGGGATGGCAACAAACAATATGGAGAAGTGGGCTGATCGTCGGTGGGCCCGCCGATAAGGGTTGCGGCAAGTGCATATCTCTTTCGCACTTCACGTTCCCGACGGTGGTTGCTGAGGGCAGGATGTACAGTAGGTCGGAGCTAAGTTGGGTGTAGGGCGAGGGCTCAAAAGCATCCCACGTGCATGTAGAGACGGATCGAGCTTCAGGTCTCCATTACGAGCGTGCCTGTATAGCATTACTGTGGTCGAAGCTTCATACCTTGTTACCTACTTATCATCTCAAAGAGCGCCTTTCGGTAGCATACTTTCAACATGGCGACCAAAGGGGCAACTGAAAATGTTATCGATCAGCCGCTCGATACAACGTCGGAGTCTCTCGGGAAAGACATTGAAACCTCACGGTCAGTCCCAGGAAAAGAAGATGTGGCGGCTGTCTTCGCCAACTACTTCAATGGCCACGATAGCTATTCGGAAGAGGAAGCCAAGCGACTACGATGGAAGCTGGACGTGCGCCTCATTCCCATACTGTGGTTCAATATCCTCCTGCCAGCCATGGATAAAGTCAGCCATGCCAAAGCAGCCGTCTATGGTCTGCAAGAGGATCTCAACCTTGTGGGCGATCAATACAGCTGGATAGGATCGATCTTCTATTTCGGGTACATGCTATGGTGCTTCCCATCAGCAACTATTCTACAGAAGCTGCCTCTGGCAAAGACAATCGGCTTCGCCATGCTACTATGGAGTTTCGTGTTGATCGGGATGGGTTTCGTCACTTCCTTCTCGCAATTACTCGCATGCCGATTCCTTCTGGGTCTTTTGGAGGCTCCCGTTGTTCCTGGGAATATGCTCATCATGGCCATGTGGTTCGTAGCCTAGCCGCCCGATCGGCAGCGGTCCCGCCTGCTCATGGATGGAAACTAATACCCGCATAGGTATACTAGAGCCGAACAAACACTGCGCTATGGCTTGATGTACACCGGCCTTTCAACGATCTTCACAGGTCTCATTGGCTGGGCTATTGGATATATAAGGACCGACAAGTTCTACATCTGGCAAAGTTTCTTCTGGATCTGTGGCGTCATGACCTTTGTCTATGCCTTAGTTGTTCTATGGCTCCTCCCTGACAGTCCGGTCAAAGCTAAATTCATTAACGAGAGACAAAAGGCCATTGCCATTGACCGTGTACGAGCCAATCAAACTGGTAAGTTCTAGCAATACGACTTCCTTCCACACACGAAAGTCCTCAATCTTACAATCCTCTTCAGGAATCGAGAACCGCAAGTTCAAGAGAGCACAGCTGCTGGAGGCCTTCATGGATGTTCGAGTCTGGCTGATGGTGCTCTTCAATCTGTGGATCAGCATTCCCAACGGTGGTCTGACGAACTTTTCCGCCCTCATTATCCAAGGTTTGGGCTACAGTGGACAAGTTGCTTCCCTGTTGACCATTCCTAACGGTATTTCTCAGACCATTTCCAGTTATGCGTGCAATTGGGGCGTCTTCTTTCTCCTCAGAAAGAATCCCAAGCTTCAAGTCCGTGGCGCCTCCATTATACTCGGATGCATTCCGGGGTTGATCGGTACAGTGCTGCTTTATACGCTACCAACTGACGCATACATCGGTCGACTTGTGTCCATGTGGGTGGGCTACTTCTACCTCGGTCCTTACATTGTCGCCCTGAGTCTTATTGGTGCCAACACAGCTGTGAGTGATTCCTCCTAGTGTCTCTCTTCACTGGTTTTGATGGGCACAAAATTGACAGATCCGATCTAGGGACACACAAAAAAGGTCACCGTCAACGCCATGATGTTCATTTCCTACTGCGTGTCGAACATCATCGGCCCGATGTTCTTCAAATCTGGACAAGCACCACTATACCCTCTCGGAATCGCTGCCATTCTGGTCGCTTACGGTTTGGCCATCATTACTATTGGGATCTACATGTTCGTTTGCCACAAGGAGAACATGCGACGCGATGCACTAGACAGCGCAGCTGGTGAGACGGTCCATCTCGATACAGACTTCAAGGACAAGACCGACAAGGAGAACCTGGTACGTTCCACCGCAAATTCTTTGTGTGAGAGTACATTCCTGCTAACTCAGAGGTCTTACACAGCACTTCCGGTATGTCTGGTGAGTTTTCGCGACGAACGGCGATGGTTGGAAGGTCGACATCAATAGTGACGCCAGCAACCCTGTCTCTGTGAACAGAGACAGCTCTACGTGGAGCAGAGAGCGCAGTAGTCATAGCATTGGGCAAGAGACTCCTGCAATGAGATGATCTTCCGGTATTCAAGCCCACGTCGTTCGATCATGTCTCTCCGCTCGCAAGGGTATCGCAATTTTCTTCCAACTAGGACTCAGTATTTCTTCTCCGCCACAGGCAGGACACGGTATCTTATCGCCCCGATAGTCAGACCAAAATACCCTGGACATTTTCAAACACCTGAACTTCTGTCGTAGCCTCTGTGCTTTATAGCTGTGTCCGACCGTAGTTTCCTCATTTTCGCGTCGCACCTTGGGAGAAAACCAGAATTTGAAAGCAGTAGACTTGCAAGTACTTGCACAGTTGTGCGTTGGGAAGCATGATTTTCTTAATGCTAGACTCAAACCACTATCCTATCCTATTTGCTTTGGGGCCTTTAACCAGACCCTGCCCCATGAGCAACTTGGTTTGGTCTTCACCAAAGATACCCATCGTTGCGGTCTCCAAGAGTGCGTCCGCCAGGTAGGCTCCTGAGAAGCGGAATCTGGCATAGCCCAGATCATCGTCAGGCAAAGTGCCATTGGTGAGCGCACTCGAAGCAGTGTCTCGTTCGATCACTCCCGGATACGTGGTCTTGAGCTCCTTGGCTTGCACGTGCTTCAAGTATGCCGCGATTCCGCCCTCTTGGAACATTTTCCCAAAGTCCTGGACGGCACGTCTCTGACCTTGCAATGCCCAAATCGGCTGCAGGTGCCAGACAATGCCGTACTTCTTGGAGGTCTCCCATGGAAAGTCCCTGACCTCCTCGGGACTCCAGCCGTTCTTCAGCCAATCGTATCCGCCAGTGTAGCCAAATCCAAACTTCCGATTCGGATGTACCGCACGCACACCCCGATGGAACGCATCAATGTCGGAGGGAATGGGGAAGTCCATGCGTGCCCACGTCACTTCGCCGAGCCCTGCAGCAAGGAGGGCTCGCATGATGACTGCATCCACGGTAGGTTTAAAGCGGTAGGAGCCGTCTGGTGTGCGTGCTAGATCCCAATCAAAGTGGAGTGTTGAGTAGGGTTTCGTCCCGAGATGTTGCTCCGCTAGACTACGACGTGCCTGAATCGAAAGCGGTTCAGCTGCGCCCTTGATCGCTTCCTGGTAACACTTTACGCCTTCTGGAGAAGCATCGGCATGGGCGGCTACAGCCTCGTCGAAGGTAGCCAGTCCAGCAGACGCAATCCAATCTTGTTGCGCCTTCTTGTAGTCGGCGCCATCCTTGAGAGCTCTCGCGAGGACGGTGGCGAGTGGCTCGACCTGCTTGGTGACTCCCACAACCCAAGCATGATCGCGCTCGTCGATAACTGAGGTGATAAATCCCGCATGGTCGGTGTCACAACGGCACATGAGTATCTGGAGTCACAGGTCAGTTGCACGGAGCTCGTCTAAGGGAGGCAGGCCCAGAACTCACGGTCTCGGCCCCGAGAATGTCGATTTGCATCCTGGCCGCAGTCAAGCGGGACAGATATTCGCTGGTCGGGACGACTGTTCGAGGGTCACCGGTAGTGAATTTCTTTGTTCCTTTTCAATGTCCAAGGTCAGCGTTGAGTCCTTAGTCCCATAACACTGACAGGGCGGGAGATATACCTATAGCTAAGTCGTCGAGATGGAACATGGCTACTCCAGACTCCACAAAAGCTCTAGCCAGCTTCATCGTGTGCGTCAGGCCACCAAAGCCCATGTCACCGTCCGCAACAATCGGCATCAGAAAATCCAGATTCTCCAGACCTTCACGTTCGTCCTTGGGGTATTGCATTCGAAACTGCCGCTGGCGCTGGTCCTGCCACTGCAGGGCACGAAACGTCTTGGCCACCTGCGCCGGGACCGTATCCCACGGATAATCTGCGTGGTCCATTCCGGGCTGGCTGACCTGGTCGTAACCACAGAGTGCCCCAGACACATATGCGGTCTGTTGGTTCTTTGCCATGGCTCCTGCCTGAAGGGGCCCCGTGCAGCCAAAAGTCAAATCGCAGGTGCCGTTCCGTGCATGTTCTTCCAGCTGACTCCAGAGCTTCAGAGCCATGTCACTGGAGGGATACTTCTGCTTTATACTGCTGCGTAGAGCAGCAATGCGTTCAGCAGCATATGGCCTAAGCAATAGTCAGACATCGTAACGATCACGAATACTCTTCTTGACCGCCACATACCGTTTCAACTGTCGTTGTTTGTCGCTTGATTCCCACCACGCTTTGATTTCGGATACTTCCTTGTCAAAAGCAGCCTGCTCCTCATCGAGAGTCCATCTATGGCTCGGCATCGTGTTCTGCTTGCTCGGTATGGTTGTGTGCAGAGGTGGCTGCTTCCCAGGCTGCGAGATGGCGCGAAAAGTCGTTCAAGGCCTATGATTTCACCTGGGGAAAAAAGAATGGTGGTCCTTCGTTGATAGCATAGATGAGCTGCATGTTGGATGTGCGATGTGCGCGGCACGCGTTCGTGGAGAAGTCGCCGCTCTCCCGAACATCTCGGATCGCAATACTTTCTCCGAGCAGTCCACATGGGCATGCCAGTCCCACTGATGCGTATCTTTGCTGTTTTCGCAACACTTGACTACACCTCTGAGGATGTGGAGATCGCGTCTGGCGTGGCCCAGACGCGAAGGGCAGCGCCAAGCCATGAACCCCAACGTCGTCTTGGTAGCGCTAGGACTTTGAAAGTCCGATGGGATCGCCGACCGACCGGTGCATCACGCTGGCGACATGCACAGGCAAGCAACAGTGCGAATGCAGCCACTATGGCATCAGCTGCTGGGCTTGAAGGGCTTCCAGCTCGTGCGAATGCCGCAATCACTAGAACTATCCGCGGAACGTGTTTATCAGCTCTTATCTTCTTACAGCGACTGTCCTTGGACTCGGCATAAACAGCAGCCTGAGTGCTCGCCAATGATCTGACCAGGGTACCAGCTACTGTAGTTGGAAACAAAGACGCCTTTGCTAGACGGACTTGGGCACCTCGTACGGTCTCAACCACCGAAGGCACTCTCATGATGGCCATCACAGGGCAAGCAGCAAATCCAGCGCCTGAGCCGCACATCGATCTGCAAAAAGGATGGCCTACACCGCGACTCCTACCAGCGAACAGTCTACGAGCTGCGGCAGAAGCAGTACTGGTGAACCCGAAACGCGCAACCGAGGCACTGCTGTACGGACCCAACAAAGGCGACCCAGCCTTGCGGAAGGCCTGCGCAGAATGGTTTCAGCGCCTCTACCATCTTCCATCCTCAAGCGAGGCCAACTCAATTGACCGCATCTGCATCACTTCCGGTGCATCGGCGAATTTGGGCTGCATAATGGCGGCGTTCACAGATCCCGTCTATACGCGCCGGATCTTCATGGTCGAGCCAACATACTTCCTGGCGTGCACCGTCTTCGAGGACTTCGGCTTCCAAGGTCGGTTAGTGGGCGTTCCTGAGGACGAGGAAGGTTTAGACGTCACTGTCTTGCGCGAACGCCTGGAGGCTGCGGATCAACAAGGTGACGCCTCGGACCTGCGACGCTTCAAAACGCTGCCTCAATATCCCAAACTCTACAGACACGTGATCTATCTGACCCCGACGTTCAGCAATCCTAGTGCCAAGACATATTCAGTGAAGCGAAGAGAAGCCCTGATCGACCTTGCGAGAGAAAAGGACGCCCTCATCATTACAGACGACTGCTATGACTTCTTGAACTGGAAAAGCACACCTCAGTCGAGTCAGGTCCAATCCAACGGCAACAGTAACGGTGCCGTTCATTCTTCAATTCCTCCAAGACTCACCGACATCGACCGCACCCGGCCCGGGGGTGACCCTGTATGGGGCAACACCGTCAGCAACGGGTCGTTCTCCAAGATCATGGGTCCCGGCATGCGCTGTGGCTGGGCCGAAGCAACGCCAAAATTTATCACGAAGCTGAATCAGGTGTCAGTGAAGCCAAACCCACCCAGGGAAGCGCGGTAAAGCGTGCTAACTTGAGAAAATAGTGGATCGACGCTTTCGGGAGGTGCGCCAGGACAGTTCTCATCCGTCCTGATCGAGCACGCTCTCCGCACGGGCAGCATGGAAGACCACATCCGCGACGTGGTCGTACCCCTGTATCGACAGCGTGCAGCTTCCTTGCGAAAAGCGGTCGAAACGTACCTGTGCCCGTTCGGAGTGGTTGTGGATGACGGCGTCTCACGGGGTGGGCACGACGGCGGCTCCCACAACGAACTCCACGGCGGGTTTTTCCTGTACCTGCTCTTCCCAGAAGGCGTTTTGGCGGATGCTGTAGCGGCGCATGCGCTGAAGAGTTACAACGTCAAGTTCCTGGCCGCGGGTTCAATGACGGTGAGGGGGAGCGGCACGTCCACGGACATCTTGCGAAGAGGTGCTAGGTTGTGTTGGGCTTGGGAAGAGGAGAGCGTGCAGGTCGAGGGCGTCAAGAGAATAGCTTCGGCATTGGCTGATGTGACTGCTGAGTAGAATGTGCTTTGGTCATGTCGTCCTATGTATTAGTGGTTTGAGGTGATGCGGTTCTCGTAGAACCGGCGTTGCAAATTGGATCGTTCCCCTCCTCTTTATCTATGACATCCAACGTTTTGGATTTGGTGGAAGGGGTTGCTCGATAGGTAGGTGGTTGGTTACCAGAGCTCATGGGTCGCTTATAGCAAAACAGCAATTCCTGTATTCCGCAGTCCGCGGTCGATCGAGAAAGAATCACCGGAGTTGGATCCTGCGGAACGAAACTCGCATCGACATATTCGGAGAGCGCGATTTGACGAGCTGCGGTTCTCATAACATGACATGTGCTGTCGATGTACTTCCTGGCCAGATCAGCCCTTGTTACCCTCGGCATCAAAACTCAGGAGACGGTTGCCCACCATCCGTTGAGCGGCTAGTCTTCTGGTTGTGCGCTATGCATGTAACGTACAATGCCCGTTGAGCTGTCCATTACTGCACAAAAACGCCGCTCTAAGTGAAAAAGCGCTTCCTAAAAGAAGATGATGGTCACGAGTGGACGCTTGCCTATCTTCTTTTCCCTGACTTCTTTGTCCCGCTCGGCGGCCTCGACCATCGTCGGTGTTGCGAGGCTGCGTCAATCAGCTATATTTTGTCGAGTGATCGGGTGCAGGACCTCGTTACCTCGTAGAAAGGTCTGCTGTGGTTTTTGCGACACTCTTCGCTGAAATGCTTCTCTTGGCAAGGATTTTTGGCTTGCCTCTTTTGCGTGGCCTCAGGCCGTAAACCCAGCTCTTATACATCTCAACCACGACTGAGCCAATCTCTACTACGGTCTGATTGAACTTCGAATCTTCAGATGTGATTTCTTCCTCGACTGCACGGGATCATTAGGATATCGATTAGCTGGCGTCGACGCTATGAACGAACGACACGTTTGTGGGAGTTCGGTACGCCAGAGATCTGTTCGGCAACTTGAGGCATCTCGAAAGCGGATAGCTCGACGCCGCCGCTGTGGATGGAGACATCGAAGTGCTGATAGGTAACCATTGCTGAGACGATATGTGCTAAGGAGCGTGGAGTCAGGTCGCAACGGCTGCTCTCAGTTATAGCTGCGAATCATACGAGGATCGATGCGAAAGAATTCAAAGTCGAGAAGATACCTTACCTTGTCACAGAATACCTGCCAAGCCTACCGCTGACTGGCCCGCCCACGATGCTCCACCCGCACGAGGCTGGCTGGGCACAGGGGCTGACAATGTGCATGAGGGCAAACTCGGTTCGCAGAATGATCAAAGCCTGCGCTTCAGGATTCAGCACTTCTTTAAGAGTTTACAGGTAAACATCGAGTAGAGAGTTATTTGTTGTCCGTACACTCAAGTGCAGGAGACTATTTAGTTATCTCGATTGCCTCTAACGGCGTCGCCCTCACTTGGTCGATCACATCTCTGTTGCTGAACTGCACCAGAGACATCAAGTACGCTTCCCAGACCCCTTATCAATGCCTCATGGTAGCGTTTGTTCGGCAGTCGTACTGCTCTGACCTTCTCGGCCGTTGATACTAAAACACACTTGCTCAGGCTTTCTCGCCATCATCGCGTAGTAAAGTCCTCTACATTCGCCCTTCTCTCACAATGTCCCGCCACAGCATACCGATCTCAGGCCTTATTTACGCTGGCAGATCAAGCATGACCATCAAAGTAAGCCTTCAGGTCACGTTGAAGCTGTGTGACAAGGTTCAGTCGGTTCCATTTAGTTTGGAGCGTCTCCTCATCATCGGCGTCGTGGAAAGGGCTGAGGCTTCGAGCGAGGGTTTCGACGGTGTTTGTGATCTCAGTCTGCTGCAAGTCTCTTCTTGATGCGCTAACTTGGTGGCCGTGAGGGCTAGCGATGGAATCGTTGGCAGAGTTGTCATCGTTGTCGGTCGCAGTAGCCGGCTTTGCGTCATTGTCATCATTCACGGTCACACCCATATTGTCAGCATTGTCGTAATGAGAAGACATGCCGCTGTATCCGGCACGGTCATCTTGTTCTTGAGCACCAGAGTGGTCTTCGGCAGGAGTAGCATTGTCAGCTTCGTCGGACCCAACAGCTTCTTTTATGTTTCGACCGGCAGCAACGTCCGAAGCGGGATCGTTGGCCACATCCACAGCGTGATCAATTATTTCAAAGCCGTACGAGATGCTGTCGAGAGGCTGGCTCTGTTCGTTTCCACCTTCCGCAGCCGCGGATACACTAGAGCCTTGGGAAGAGTTGTGGTCACCCGAGACTGGTCGATATGTGCTGGTTGAATTGTCTTCGGGCGAGTTCTCTCGAGGCTGCACGATGATCATCGAGCCAGTGCCACTGCTTCGTACTGAGTCCGCAGATCGAGTGGTGGTCGGAGTATGCATTGAGGATTGGGCTGTACCATCGTCGGTGTGGCCGTTGATTGACAGTCGAGGAAATGGGCCTCGAACAGGCATCGGCACGCCATCTTCCGAGCTGTTGGAGAAAGTGCCAGCCTGTACTGGAGCAGGTTGGGAAATCTGGGCTTCAGCAGTGAGTACCTCCGCGTCGAGGCCACCCATTTCAGAGTCTTGGGCTCCTGGGGCACCAGGGTCGTCGGGGCCACGAACAACACTCGCAGGGCGGGTACCGGCTCCTCCGGCGCTCTGTGCATTGATTTTGTTGATTTCACTTGCATTGAGAGGCTGAAGAGTCAGTGACCATCGTAAAGCTTCGGTCACCGGCGTGGGAGGAGCAGTATCGTGACTCTTGTAGTGCTTGGCGCGGCCGTAAACACACACCCATGTAGCGCACCAAACGCATTCGAACTCCGGGTAGTTGTGAGAATACCTACCGACAGGCTGTAGGGCCGCTTCTTGGCGCTGCAGGTCTTCAGTCGTGACTTGCTGAAACACATGACCGCGACGCTCTTCGCTAGCAGGTAGAGGGGGATTGATACCAGGATGATGCACACGATAATGCTCCTTTCTGCGATTCCAGAATGCCCAATTTCGGCAGAATGTGCACCAGAAGTCATACCGCTTCTCGCCTCTTGTCTTGAAGTCGGCAAGAGCTCGAACTCTGCGAGGCGCGGGCTTCTTGACAGAGCGTGGCTCGGCGTCATTAGACTGGTCTGAATTGTCGGTGGCAGCATCTTGGGACTTATCACCCCGACCTTGATCTTCTTCATCGTCATTGTCGGGCTCTTCTTCAATGTCGTGGTGCAGATCCTCGTGAGGCAATCGCATCGTGTCTTGCCCGTTCACACCTTGGCCAGACATGGGAGCGGATCGATTGCTTGTATTGTTGTTACGAGAAGTTGATAAGGGCTGACCACCAGTAGGCGACATGCTGTGCTCATCATCGAGATCAAAAGTCGCATGCTGTTGACGAGCTCCAGCGCTTCGATCCTCTTTCGCTCTATCGCCTCCATCGGATCGGATATTGTGGTCAAGTTTCGAACGCTTCAAGAGGTTCGTGACATTGTCCGCATAGTCGTTGTCCTTACCATCATCTTGAGTGAGCGATCCTGAGATGGAGTCGTGATCTCGCTTTCTGGAAGGAGCCGCAGCCAGAGGCGCAGGCAGGTAGCGGAAACCAAAGTTGACGTAGCCAGCACCACCTCCTGACAATGGGCGGCGGATATCTCTCGGTGGGGCAGGCTTAATCAATGGCGCGAGTGTGGGTGAACCAACCCTAGGAGATGCTGAGGTAGACGCGGCGTCGGTTGTGAGATCGAAGTCAAAGGTTGCAATAGGAACGGAACTGGAATACCGACCGCCATAGCCAAGGTTGTACAGCTGAAGGTGCTGAACGCGCGGAATGTGGTCGACCCGGCTGCGATTGATCTCGTACTGGAGTACACGCACGCAAAGTGGATGACGGTTATTGAGAAGGTGATTACTGAGAAGGGCTTTGGCTAGAGAATGTGAGTACGCAGGAAGATATGTTTCGCTTGCAACTTACGAAAGCTCAGATCGAGAAGTCGTGCGCTACCATCCTTCTTGAAGTGGCTGAGTTCCAGTGTCCAGAACTTGCCATGGAGAAAGACTCTTCCATCGCAGAACGCCTTGGTCAAGAGTTGACCATCTTGGAAGAGCTCGAATACAAGGTCGGCATATCGACCGAAGTCTGCAGCAGTGATGTTGATCTGAATGGTGTAGACTGAGCCAGGAGTGACAGTGACTGAGCATGACGTATGAGATAATCCGTGCGGTGATTCACGGTTTTCTTTCAGCTTGCCTATTGGACAAACGAGTTAGCTGCCCTATTCACTGAACAGATTATGATCACCGTGAATAACTTACGACCTCCCGACTGCAGACTAACATCAAAGGCTTTGACGATAGCCATCTTATCCGATGCCTACCACACGGTAGCAGCTTCAAGTACTCAACGTGCTATATTCTCGAAAGACTACATTTGCGTACAGCCGAGCCCAAACCAGTACTTCAGGCAGTGGAGGGGCATGCTTGGCAGGGCAACCAGGCAACACGCTAGTAGTCACGACACCGTGGCAACGAAGCCAATAAGAGCATCACGGTGGGGTCGACTGCCTTTGAGCTGACACTCTACAGCATGTTCTCCGTTTGTTGGTGACATCTGAAGCGGTCGGAGCCGGATGGATACCCAGATACGGTCGACATCGATCGGATCCGCAGCTACGACTTCAATTTGTACTTGTGCTCATTCATTACAGCACTACCTGCAAGTATGGGTCGTGCAGATAGAGCAACTAAAATCATTTCAGTGTCGCAGAAGTAATTTTTGTGCGCATCTGTCGATGGCCATGGAGACAAAGCTCCTGTTAGGATCTCAGCCCAATCTTTCATTTGCCTCTGACCATGGCTGACGAGGCATATCAAAGTGTACCAAGCATGACTTTTAAAATATCGAGCAACCGTTTTCAGTATTCTCACTCACCCACAATATTGTATCTGACTCCTCATACTGTTTGGAGCGCGAATGATCCATGTTCAGTTCAGCAAACTCGAAGGGGCTTGTTTGTTGCAAAGCGCTTTATTTGCATCTCATCCAAAGTGTATCTGATAAAGTGTATCTGATTCACAATTCAAAGACCTCATGTTAGAACAGTACATAACGCAGTCATCTGCAATAAGGCAGTCTCGAAAGCTTGCGCGAAGATGCCATACCTCGTCTACGCGGCAGTATGGTATATCGTGACCTCTATCACGGCGCCGAGCAAATTAAACCAGGTCAGAGTTGCATTATATGCGCAACTACATTTCGCAATCATTATATCATATCATAGCAAGAACCACACCTAGACAATACAAACACATTTGCCCTAGTCTCCCGACCCCTGATAAAACCTATCATCCCGATTCCCCAACCTAAATGCATGGTCCGGATCCTCCATACCCTCATGAGTACTGGTCATATATTTTCTAAAAGCCGCCGACATGGCCACGACCTGCCGCAGATGCGACTCTCTGATCTCTGGCACCACATCGTCAGGACTCTTGCCACGCTTCTCGCCCTCGTTCTTGGCGTCGAACGTCGCCAACGCGACAACAGTCTGGAACGCGTTGCGGATCTCGCGGCCATTCCACTGCAGCGTCCGCACCTCATCGCTTCGCTTCACGTACTGTTTGGCATCGTATTCATACTCGATACGGGCGCCACCACGGCGGTAGTCATCTTGGAGCTTGCGGAACAGGGCGTCCCAGATGTGAGCGCGGGCATCGTCGTCTAGTGGGCGGTAGCCGAGTGCGATGTGGATGCGGGACATGAAGGCTTCGTCGATCTGGCCGACTCGGTTGGAGGTCAGGAACAGGATGCCCTGGAAATAGTCCAGCAGCCGTAAGAAAATGGAGACGATGCTGTTGCGCTTCAGGTCATGGCTGGAGCGCCGCTGCAGGTATATGTCCGCCTCATCGAGCAATACCACAGCATTCCAGATGTGAGCATTCTTGAGGAACCGTGTCAAGTTACGTTCTAGGTCTTGAGGCTCGTGACCCAGGTCTGCTGCCGTGATGCTCACTAGAGGCTTGCGGGTGAATTCGGCGACCGACTCGGCAGTCAGAGTCTTGCCCGTGCCTGGTGGGCCATGTAGTAGTATAACTTGACCCTCGCCTTTATTCTGAATGAAATCAGCGCTGAATAAATTGGTCTGGCTAGCCTGGTCGGTGTAAGTCTTGACAAGGGCCTTGATGGCGTCTTTGTTCGACTCAGGCCGCAGCACTAGCGACTCGATGGCATCGTCGCTGAGCTGTGGCTCGACCAAGTACTCTACATCAAGTAAGTCTGGACATTGTTAGTGCCACAACCTTCCGTAGTAAATCATACATCCTACCATAGTTGCGATCTTTCAGTATAAAGCCAAACATCTGATCCCAGCAGAGAAGGTATTGGTGGTTGGTCAAGGTATCAGTCTCACTGGGAACGATGTTGTCGTAGTCGCTGTGCGTTTCTGGCGGATAAGAAATGCCGCCATCCACACTAGATACGCAATGAACACATTCGCACCGCGGAGATCTCGCACTTGCACCGGGTTTCTGAGCTTCGACAACGATCACATCTCTTCGATCCCATGATGAGTATGATGAGTGATAGTCGCTCCGCCTGTGGTTGCGATTGCTGTCTCCAAACTCGCAAGCATGGCCAAGGTTGTGCGACAATTCGGTCCACGGTCTGTCAAAATGATCAATGACGACTCGAGCTCGTACGTGCTGTTCGCAAAGATGTCAGTCAACTCATGTAGGGACCAAAAATATAACATACCTTTGACGTTCGTCCTGCATGTCCAAGTCCAGTGTATTCCATATATGCCGGTCCTTTGCAGCATTTGAAGAACTTCTGGCCACGCTTGAGTAACCTCTCCCGAGTCGCACCCCCGTCAATAGTGTCCTGAAACTCTGCAGGAAACAGCGGCAGAGATGTAATTTCTCGATCACTGTCGAAGACTGGGACCGTAATAGTCTTGCTGATACGACTGATGACTTCGCCATCGAACCACATTCCCCAGACCGAAACTGTGTAAGGCACCGCCCTCAGAACTTGACCGCGCCCTGAGAACTCAACGCCTCCGTCAACGGTGTCAACAACGAAAAGATTGAGTATGTCCCTCTTTCGGACGTAGACATCGGTACCGGGCTTCAACAGCAGCCAGAAGGAGGCGAAGTTGGTGGTCGGAGTCTGGCGAGCCCAGCCTGCTTCGGCCTGCGCGAGACCGATATCTGGCTGCTCGTAAAGATATTCTATGAGTAGATCGATATGTTTCCCGCACTCGCGCTGGTATGCCTCAGGATGCCGAGCACAGCATGCGTATTTGCCATCCTTGTAGTCAATGAGCTCCTTCTTGTGATAGTAAAGGTCTCTGAAAGGATAATTGAAAATACCAGCCCGGAGGTTGTCGGCTTGTTTGTTCTCCTCGTCTCTTCGGCGGCGATGGTCATCGACATCCTCAGCAGAAGTCGTCCAGTAATTTGCAACTGCTCCAAGTGCGTTGAGTAGCAGCTTTGAATGAATCTGTACACTTGGTAGGTCGACCTCATCTCCTGTCTCAAGCTTGTCGGGTTCATCGGCCTGGCCTTCACCAGCCACAGGCATGTCCGGATCGAGTCCATACATGCGCGAGGGTCGAAGATGCCGACTTGGAATGACACGGTTTCGAGGATATCGTACGGCATGCTTCTCCTCTAACACTGGTGCGAATTTCGCAACTCTCCATAGGCCCTGGATGATTGGTTTATCGGAAGAAAACGAATGTAGATAGTCGAGGTCCCAACCATGTCTTTCCTTCCGGAAATAGTCAACAGTATACTTGATTCTCCCTTCGTAGTTGACCTCGGCGCGCTCGTCAATTGCGGAATTTTCCAGATCGACTCCTCGTCCTGCCTGCCTGATTGACGTCTCAGACTTAGCATGAATCAGAAGTCTCTGGGGTCTTGTGTCCTCCACGATGTCGGACTCAGTATGCGATGAATCATCTGCAGCATGCTCTAGGGCAGGAATTTCATCGAGCTCTTCGTCCTCGACTGGAATGTTGCGCAGATACCGGCGACGTCTCTGGCGTGAGGATCCTGGCAAATTTACATGGAACGTGAGTGGTGGCAATGGATGTAGAGCGAAGTGCCAGTATTCAGGTCCGTATGCCGCGTCCCAGCCATTCTTCATCAAGAATTTGCCTGACTTTATTCGCTCCCGTGTACTCTTGTTAGCTGAGGGCAAGCGCTTCTCAAGAACGACTTTCAATTTCTAAGCCGCTTAGCTTCGGCTTTCAGACTGTGGTGAGCATGGACATACTTCCCACGTATCACACTCGCTCCAAGGAACCATGAATGATTTGCCCTCCGAATTCTCTATGATCAGCAAGCGACTATTGACATCTTCATGGTTGTCATGGGCGCTTTCCGGCGTGCCGTTCAAGGAATCCAGCTCTACGGAAGGGTCTAGGTCTCGTGGCACCGCATCAGAGGATTCGCCAAGGGACCGCGATGCTTCAACAGTCTCTTGATCAGGCAGCTGCGGTGTTGAAGTATCAGGCTGAACGACTTCCGCCTCGCCGTCGATCCTCGCCATCGGAGTCGACAAAGAAAAAGTCGTGCTAGACACCGATCTTACCGGTGCCAAATCTCAAAAAGGGGAGAAGCTTGTCGTTTGGCGTGAGCCTGGCTTGCTACTGATCGCTAAGGTGCTGCGCCGAGTGGAAGATGTTGGGGGGCGTCAGGTCTTTTATCGTCCGTCGAGGCCAGGCGATCGTGGGGGCGAAAGCAAGCTCGAGATGGCTGGGGACTTTGGTGAACTAATCCTGCAGGGGCCTTTCGGCCCCGCGTGCTTAGGCGAGCAACAATTGGGGCGGTGCCTATTTTACGGGCTGCAGCAGATATCAGCCGTCTACAGAAGTCTGCTTCAAGCAATCATCAAATCTATTCGCATGGCCCATAACGCTGTGGTCGCATCTGCAAGTTCGCAAATAAGCGGCGGACAGGTCCAGGAGCTGGCGCCTGCGCGATCGGGAGATCAAGAGGCAGGGACGGCCCTCCAGACACGAGCCGGCGACGCTGGAATCGGAAGTAACGACCAAGCCTATGCGCACAATCAGCAACGACTTCGTCGACTGTATGACACCAGCGACCAACATGAGGAAGGGTAGGTCTCAGATCGCTATTCAATTCGCACCGTCTCGTTTTAATGAAGTATACAATAGAGATGGGACTTTTGACGTCGCCCAGATTGCTCGCGCGGAGTTAGAGAAAATATGCGACGAGGTGACCGCGAGCATCCAGGCTTCTCAACAGTCCCGCTTCCGCTGGCGCAAGGCAAAAGCCGACCAGGCGCTCAATGACCGCCTCCATTCAGCCATGAAAGCCAGCGATGATAGTCCGTTAAACGTGCACGAGATTGTTGGCGAAGTTGAAGGAGGATGGAAGTCAACTCACGGTAAGGTGAGTGAAAGCACGCACAGCAGAGCCGAGATCCATCTTAACCACTTACTGAACAATCGTCTTGTAGGTCTACAAGAATTTCCAAAGATTTTGCGCATCCCTCCAGGCCCACGAGAAGGTCTTCGCGATCTTTCCCAGCGAGACAATGTATACGTCAGTACTGTCCGGATGCTTGTCGCTTGTCGTTCAGGTGGGCAGTAATCCCCCTTGTAGCACTTCGCTAGCCAAAGACGGATATGCTAACTCTGTACACAACAGGCCAGCGTCAATCACTCCTCAATTGCTGAGACACTATCGCAGAGCGTTGCGGACATCAGTGACAAGGTCGCAAGCTGTGCCATTTATCTCGAGGTGACTCCGACAGACTCGATGAAACGCAGGCTCGCCGAGATATACGCGCAGCTATTTCGCTTCTACCGTGATGTGCTCAAATGGTACCTATCATCGTCAGCCTCCAAGGTGTTTGGCAGTCTGAACGCGACCATCAAGTCCCGCTTCGACGAGACAGTGCAATCAATTGAGGGTCAGATCAGTCAGATGGTGCGCGAAGGCGACATCGCAGCGCTCGCAATCATGCGAGTTGTGCAGCTCGATCAGTCCGAAATCAAAGCTCAATATAGCGACATCAGATCGCTCTTGGAGACCGTTGTTGTCCAGCAACGACGCAATTATCAAGACAACGATGATGCCCATATAGGAGTTAAGGTTCTCGAGAGTTTGGGTTCTGTGTACAAGGCTATGGCGACCCGAAGGAACAGGGAGGCCTCCCACGGGAAAGCCACCCTAGTCTCTCAAGGTCGAATTGAGGAGGGTGACTCTTCAGGGGAGATGATGTCTACATCAAACGATGAGGCCAACCAACTCGCCCTGCGATTGCAGTTGTACGTGGTTGGCGACGACGGCTCAAAATCCCTCGCACGTGGTGTTTCACGCACCAGCGAACCCATCATCCCACACAAATTGAAGTCTCTACTGAACGAGAACGAGCATTCACGCACACTCTGGATCTCCGCCACGTATTCCGACCGACTGAACTGTACTGCGCGGACCACGGCGCTCGGCTTCGTCGCGGCCGCATGGAAAGCAGGCGCCCCAATCCTCTCCCACTTCTGCGATTCGCCATCGAAGCGGCTCACAACCCCATACGTCGGGAGCCTTGACGCCGAGCAACAGGCCGTGCTTGGCCTGGTATACAGTCTGACGCGGCAACTCCTCCAATTCTCACATTCACCGCAGACCCCGCTCGACCTCTCCGAGGCCCGTTGCGAGCGCTTGCGATGCGATGTCGACTCTTGGCAGGAAGCACTCGAACTCTTTCGTGAATTGCTGGCGGCTACACCAAGCATCCGCTTCTGCCTCATCTACGGATTCAACAATAACGAGTGGGCGAAGGGAGCACCCTGGCTGCGCGCTGTGCTTGACATCCTATTCCATCACCAGCAGGACCAAACAGGCCGGCATTTCCACGTCCTGCTGGTGACTTCTGGACAGTCGAGATTGCTGGGCGCAGCGATAAAGGCTTCTGATCGCCACATTATACAAGACGGTGATATTGAGTCGGTGTAGGATATGATCAACTCTCCTTGGATCTATCCTCAACGTGCGTTGGACTGGACCAGGATCAGCGATTGTGATGAGAAGGAATCTACATGTATCGCATCTACTTCAGTCTTCATCCCATTGGCGAAATACTTCTGCTCCACGATCGACCATGACCGCAATCGACCTGGCTCCGAACCCGCCGATCAAGCATCTCGCTCGACTAGACACCGACTCAATCACACGATACAACTCCCAACTGATCGAGGGAGGATCATTGCAGGCAAAGCGAGCGTGTTATGTGCGCACCGCAAAGCTGAAAGAGAGTCCGGATGTTGTTGAGGCTCCCCTCGTCACAGTGCCAAGGCTTATTGATGCCCTACCGCTACGGCGGACCATAACATGCATGTAGCCTCAGACGTGTCAGGTTCCAACAACATCGTCTGAACCATTGGTCACGAGGCGGTCGGCGAAGTGGTCACACTGCTCGCCGTCCCGCCAACGACACGCGATGAGATGCTTGGATCTATGATGGTCGAGAATCGGGTATAAACAGGTTCCCCGGCTGCTGCCTTTCGCCACAAATCTCTTTTTTCACACGAATTCTCTGCCTCCAAGCAAATGAGCAAGATGAATCTTCCCAACCTAGCTCCGCTGCTACTTTGCACTCTTGCCATCTGTAACTCTGCTCTCGCGTGGGGCAACCTCGGTCATCGCACGGTCGCCTACCTCGCCAGTCTCTACCTGACCCCGGAAGCCACCACCTTCACCAACCACCTCCTCAACGGCCAAGACATCAGCGAAGCCGCTCTCGTAGGCTCTCCTCCAGCCCCCACCTCACCCCATCAGTTTTCCCCACTAACCACAACCCCACAGTTCCCAGACAAGATCGCCCACATCCCCAGCTTCGCCTACACACGGGGCTGGCACTACATCGACGCCAACGACGACCCGCCCCGCACCTGCGGCATCAACATGACGCGCGACTGCCCGTCCGCCGCGCCTGAGGGCTGCGTCGTCTCCGCCATCGCCAACCACACCGCGCGCGTCATGGACACCGATTTGACCCGCTTCTTCCGCGGCCAGAGTTTGCGCTTCGTGCTGCACTTCGTCGGCGACATCCACCAGCCGCTGCACACGGAGAAGGAGGATCGGGGGGGCAATGGTATCGAGGTGGTGTTTGAGGGGAAGCGCACGAATCTACATAGTGTGTGGGACACGCTGATTCCGAATAAGTATCGAAAGAGGGAGGAGTGGGGTGGAGGAGGGAGGGATAGTGAGGAGGAAGCGGCGTTTTTGTGGGCGCAGGAGTTGCATGCTTCGGACGAGGATCAGGGTGGATTGGACGGCGAGTGTGCGGATGATGCGGCGGCGTGTGCGCTGGAGTGGGCTGGCGAGGCCAACACGTATGTGTGTCGCTATGTGCTGAAGGATGATGTGGAGGGTGTTCAGGGCATGGATCTGGCTGGTGGCTACTATGATGGGGCGACGGACATTGTGGATCGCATGATCAGGAAAGGTGGGAGACGGCTGGCTCGATGGATCAATCTGATGGCAGAAGCTGATGCAAAGGTTGGTGAGAGTCGGGAGGATGAATCTCTGGTGGTGCAGGACCTGTGATTTATGTGAAGACTTCATTTTGACGTCTAGACGATAGCAGTCATCTCAGTGCGTATTGACCTTCCATAGACCTATTATTAGCGCCATCGCGCATCACAAGTCCCATTTGTCCATGCCTCCACATCAAATTTGAAAGTAGACAGCGTGCTGTCGAGATTCCGCTCGGGGAAGAGGGTTGTTGACCATCGCTAGTGGCCACCTCAATCGAGTGCGACGACGTCTGCATCTTTTAGAAGACCACTCTGGCCTCGCTTCGGTTTCGCAACCTCAATTACCTCCCCATCGTCCTCTGAGTCAAAATGGTAGACTATCTCGCCATCTAAACCTTTCGTCTTCTTGAGAGGTGCGGTGGATGACTTCTCCTCACCAGTCCGCTCGCGCTTGACAGGTCGCGAATCCGATTTGATGGCCTCATTTGCCTGCAATCAATTAGAGCTGGTCTCTTGTCTACGCCGCTTCGACTTACACGACGTCTGCGCTCAAGCTCGATGAGTTCCTCGCGGGTCAAGTCTTCAGGAGCACGCTCCTCCAGAGGGACCGGGCTCGGCGTGCGGTCTCTGAGCAGTAATGCCTGCAGAGCTCCTTGACAAGTAGGTCAGAGACTTTTCATCATTTCATACCAGGAGACCGCTTACTTTTAGTTCTGTATTTGAAGATGAACTTTGCGAAGGGCCACATATCGACTGGCTCGGTATGGGTGATGCTTGGTCGGGTTCGACCAGCAATAGGCCGATGGCTTGGGGGGTTAGTCCGGCGTATGCAAGGATGCTGCTGACTCTTACATAGTGGCAACATCTAGAGCTTTTCCCTTCAAAGCCTTCTCTGGGACGCTCTCAACCGTCTCCAGCGCTGTGGCGTTGTCGTTGCTATCGGCTTGACGTGTACGAATTTTGCGTTTGCGATGCATTTGTATTTCTAGAGTTCCAAGTGCACCGTACTTGTGCTGCCACTCGTTGAGGTTGTCTTGGGCTGTTTGCTCTCCTATAAGCGGTGAGGAAAGCCTTTGAAACGTGGGATAGCTTACTTGCTTGCAGATCAGCGAAGGCGTAATGCAACAGTCTTGCGCCAGATCCCGCACCAGTCCAGATACCCTCTAGTATGTAGGTTTTCGGCCGGTGGAGACAGATGCTCCAGGAGTGCTTGCCATCGATGTAGGCATAAGCCGCCACCGTATCTGCCTTTCCCCATTCGAATGTTGGATGCAAGGTAATTTCGAAATGGAAGTCAGCCTTGGACTGCACTTCGATGTACTTGACAGTGGTGTTGTCTTGTGATGGCATTTCCTCATCTTCGTCATCGTACTCGTTGGCTTGGACGTCTCCCATCATCACCCTCACCGTAGCGTGATCTAAGATCGCCATCAGTGTTGGCGCTTGGTTCGTAAGAATGAGATGTTGACATTCATTAACGCGGAAAGAGCCAGGTTTGAGGATTGAAGAAAAGCAAGTCAAATTAGTTGTTGATGCAAGCAAGCGATAGAGTCAGCATCACTGCATTTCATGTCAGGCTGCGGTGGCAGGGTAGCTACAGGTGAAGTGGTTGGACTAGTCCAAGGCAGGCTTAGTGCGCAAAGACCATTCGAAAGAAGGCAGCACCTCTATCATTGTCACCTACCTCGTCAGCGTGCCACGTCGATATTATCCTATCTAGTGAGCGTGGCATACTCACCCGAGGCAGAATGGCATAAGAATGGATTTCTGCGTCCATTGCGTCGAGCACAAGGTACCAAGACATTGTCAGTCCAGCCTTGCTGAAAGCACGTTGCAATCCTCCATGATTTCTCTGACAGAGTCTCATCGCTGGCATCAATTCGACATCGCTCTCAAGAAGAACTTATAATATTCATCGAGAGGTTCGGACCGCAGCGACATAGGAGGCTGGTGCATTAAGAGGATGAACGATGCCTAGTCGTCTTCAGAAACTTCAAGAAGCCCCCGTGCGACCCCACGGGGTTGCTCCACACATGGCTCTGAGCCCCCCACCTGCTAGAAATATTACCCCTGCGTATCTCACGAATTTGCCGACACCGCCTTGCAACGCAATTCCGACATCCTTTTCCGAGTCCACGTGCTCCTCTACTTGAACTACCAACAACCGGCGCCAACCTTTACCGACGCCGGCCATACGAGACGGGGTCAGATTCTAATGCAGGTGTGGTGTCGCCCTTTCCGGGAGACCACACGTTCCGAGAGCAACAACCCCCAGATTTCCGCTCAAACGATCATTCGGAATGTATCCCGACATAGTGCCCCGCTGCTCAACCACATAGATCTCGAACAACGAGAGCTCGACCACGGCTTGCTTGAGTCATGAAACTCTTGGACCCGTCAGGGTGTTAAGTCATTCCGGCATTCTTCCCCTCATGCATGCTGGGCATAGCAGCGATCTCCGTCCCCCCCACATCTACCGGGTCTTGGCCGGCTGCTTGTCCAAGCGCTTCTCCGACGAAGCGGCACTGATCCGTCACGACGTAACGAAAGTTCTCAACCGTAAGGGCGTTTGGTCTGAATCCTGTTCACACAGGCAATTTAGGCGGGGCGTACTCCAGGTAAGCTGAGACGTTCGGGTGTCATGACATGCTCTGTATTCTACGGACCTGCAAAAGCATTCTAATTGCGGAAGGCTTGCACTGAAGCTGTTCTTCTCGTCTGCACCCGTGGCGGCTGCTCTTTCACTTCAAAACCATACGCTTACAAGACATGCTTGAAAAGCGGACTCTTGTCTCCCATGTCAAACAGCTCCTCCTCAGTATACTTGGCTTTGTACTCGTCCACAAGCTTCGCCTTCCTGGCATTCGCAACCCTGTAGCTCCACTCAAGGAGCAGAGCAACAATGAGTCCAGAGCCGCCGAAAGCCAAACTGAGCCCGAACCCGGTAGGATACTTGGGGTTCTCAGACTCGAGGAACATGTAGCTTCCGACGATGCCCCCGACATTCCCTACGCAGTTCATGAGCGCGATGCCGATGGCGCGGCGGGACGAGGGTGCCAAGTTGTTGGCGTTCCAGGACGCTGCGGCACTCTGGATCGGGTAAATGCCAGCCATCGCAAGGAAGATGGAGAAGTAAGCCACGCCGCGTTTGGCTTGAAGTTCGCCGTCCAGTGAGGTGAGGATCGAGTACGCGACCGTCACAATGGCCATGGGAATGGCGACGAATGGCATTCGCCGGTAGTACCGATCCGAGAGGCGCGCGAAGAGGATGGCTGAGATGGCGGCGACGACATAGGGCGGGGCCGAGGTGAGTTGTGCGTTAGTGGAGCTGAAACCCATGGCTTTCGTGATGGTGGGGAGAGTGAACTTGATGCCTGTGCACGCTTTAGCCCGATTCCCGAATGCCAATCCGAGAATAATCGAATAAAGAGAAAGCACACATACCATACGACAAGGCACTCTGACAGATCAAAAAGTACGCCTGCACATACACCCTCCAATTCTTCAACACCTTCACCAAATCCCGCATCTTCCCACCAGACTCATCCGAGAATGCGCCACCCTGCTTGATGAACATCGACAGCTCCAAGTACCGAATCTCATCCGGCTCCAGCCAGCGCGAACTCAGCGCGGGCGTATCAATCAGTAAGAAGAAACAGCCGACGCCGAGGCAGACGGTCGCGATGCCTTCGAGCAGGAAGATCCAGCGCCAGCCTTGCAGGCCGGCGACGCCGTCCATCTGCGCGATGCCGGCGGCGAGCAGGCCCGAGAAGGCGCCGGAGAGGGCGGAGGCGCAGTAGAAGTAGGAGATGCGTGTGGCGAGGTCTTTGGGCATGTACCAGTAGGAGCAAAGGTAGATGGCGCCGGGAAAGAAACCGGCTCTGTTTTTTGGGAAAGGGGCCGGGTGGTTAGTGAAAAGGGCCTTTGGGCGGGAAGGGGTAGGAAAGAAATAGAAAGAGTGACTCACTCGAAGACACCGAGGAGGACGCCTGAAGTCTTGTCAGTAAACGGGCACGATGTGCGATGAGAAGGGGGTGGGTTCTTACGAGTCACCATCAGGCCGGCAAAGTTCTGCACGATGCCGGTCAGAGTCATGACGATACCCCAACTGACCACCAGGATGCCCAGATAGGTCGACGGCCGCTTGAACTTCTTGAGCACCATGTTGGAAGGGATCTCGAAGAGGACGTAGGGGATGAAGACTGCATTGGCGCAGGCCACCGTTAGCAAAAGTTTCTCAACACCGGAAGCTCGCTGTACACCGCGGTCTCCGAGGGCACGGTCTCTGAGCGTCCGGCTGGGCAAACTTACAGATCGATAGGACGATGTTATACTGCACGCCCGTCATCCCCAGATCCTCGATCATGCCCTCGATCTTCGCATTGCCGATATTGGCCCGGTCGATATGGCAGATGAGATAAAGCGCGGCCAGCATGGGCACGAGACGCACATCAACCTTTTTTTAGCTAACCGTTAGCAATCTTTTCCACCGATCACTTTTGTGGCACGCAGCAAAAGAGCAAGGCAGAAGAAATCTTCTTTCCGCACCTTTCTGAACACCTTCCTAATCTTTTCCTCTGGGAACGCCTGAAAGAACTCGGCGTCCTCGGTGCTCAAGCCCGTGACGCGAAAGGTACCGATCTCGAGCACGCGCGCGGCGCCGCCCGCGGCCTCGACATGCGTCGCCTCTACGTCCTTGACATCGATGCTGGCGCCGTCTTTGTCCTCGGAGTGCCTGAGACCCATCTTTGCGAGACACCGTCTTTGTTGATGTCCTGGTGATCGGCCGTTTATTCGATGTATTTGAGAAGGCAAGTGGACTCGAAAGACGGTCCTGTCCGAGTCCTCGCAGCTCCCCAGTAGGGATCATATATACACACATTCGCAGCCCTACCTCCTCTCGCGCTTGACTCCGGGGACACTGGCGTTACTACCCCACCACTTCCACCTGTCCCCCGCACAAAGGCGCGAAGGGATAGCGATTGGAGAGAGTGAAGGTCGTGGGTAGTGCCATGGAAGGATGGTGAAGATCCACTAAGCTCATTGCAGTATAACTTTGGCTTTTTTACCATAGCTGCGTCTTGGCCTTGAGTCCGGTGTCTGCTCGTGTCTTTTTCCGGTTGTTGGGGGGAGGGGAGTGCGGAAATAATCCTGGTCACTTTGCAGGGTTTTTCCCCGAGACGATGTGGAGGGAATATGTATACAGTACAATGGAGACCTTGCATCGTGCCCCCACCCCCAACTCGATCCGGGGTAAGCACGGAGACACAGACCGGTCGGTCGGCCGCGAAAGCTTTAAGCCGGCCACAGGCCCTTCGTCTGCGTTGATCATTCCTAGAGTATTTACGCCGCTTAATAGCAGCGATGAGATACTACCTCGCATTCGCCACGCCAAACCCTCGACTGCGCCTGCAAATAAGGATCCTCGGAAGCGGGAGGATCAAGATGTCGTTGTTGCTGGATCGCTGAATTGGATAGACATTGAGATCGCGGTGCCTCATCGTGCCACAGCCGGGAGGGGTTGAGATTGATAAAAATAAATTAGCAACACTTGCAACAGCAGGAGCGAGACGATGCGGCATATCTGAGAAAGGCTTGAAGCAGACTTCGGTTTCTGAAATTTCGAAATGGTCAAACGGGCCTCCTAACACAGATACACAGATGAGTTCTAAAACGTTGTATCGAGATTACTGACGCCATACAGATATAGCCTGCTCATGAATCAACGTAGAGTCACCACCTCGACGTCGCTATCACCTTCTGTGCCGCCAAATTCGACAAGAGGTTGCTCGGTCTGGTCATCGGTCTGGTCATCGTCCGAGTCGATATGATAGACATTGCAACCATTTGGCCCCTTGCTCTTCTTGAGAGGCCGCATGGGCGTCGCGTCCTTCAAGTCTCGCTCACGCTTGATCTTCTCATGTTTAATCTCCCCGTTCGCCTGTCACTGTCATTCGATGTTCGTGGGAGTCAAACATTTCCTTACTCTGCGCCGTCGCTCGAGTTCCATGAGCTCTTCACGGGTAAGCTCCTCGATGGGACGATCTTCTAGGGGAATCGGAGTCGGAGAACGATCGATGATCAATAGAGACTGTAGGCCGCCTGCAAAGTGTCAGACGACAGTCATACAGCACACGACACCATACGTCTAGTTAGATACTTGAAGATAAAGGTTGCAAAGGGCTCGTCCTCGACCTTCTCAGTGTGTGCAGCTCTATGCCTGCGTTCAGCTGGAACAACCTTGTATCTGGGTAGGACAGTGAGCACCCCGAGCCCCCGACGATGAGGTGGTACTTACGTTGTCGCTACGTCAAGAGGGCGGCCTTTCAGGCCTTTCTCTGGAATGGGGTCCGATGATCGTGGACTGACTCTGGCTTTGCCAGAGCTCTCCGTGTAGCCACACAGTTTCTCACGATACATCTCAACTTTGATACTGCCAAGATTTCCGAACATCTCTTTGAATTTGGACCTGTCATCCTCGACTTCCAGATCGCCTGATCAATGTCAGCCTTGTCACTCAACACTCGGATGGCAGGCTTCTTACAAGTCTCCAGGTCGGCGAAAGTGAATTGTAGCAACTTGACATCGCTACCACTCCCAGAATAGACGCCTTTCATAGCGCCGCGTTTTTTATGTCGTCTGGGACACGTGCACCTACGGATAGCGATGCCTGTTACGTCTTGACCGTCCAGACTGACACGCGCGCTCACGACGTCGGAAGTTTTCCAGTCAAGGTGGTAGTCGATTTCGCATCTGATCTCGAAAGATGCTCCACTCTGTACCTCGATGTACTTCAAGATGGTATTGTCCGGCATCGACTCCACGTCGTCCTCAGGATCATTGTATTCGGTAGCCTGATTGCCCTCACACATCACCTGGACAGTGGCATGGTCGAGGATGGCCATTTCGATTCGTGGTCCTCAAGCGGAGCTGGGTTTTTTCGACTGATGGATTGTTGGTCGCTTCGTGTGAAAACTGTGGTAGTTCTGAAGAGGAGGCAGGTACAGCAAACGAACAGGAGTTCTGGCGCTATACCGTAACGAGAGAAGCGACGATCGACGAAGTGGGTCCACTCGATCAACGAGCCGCACCGAACCCACTTGGCACGCCGGCCAATCAGATTGGCAGGGCTTTCCACGTCATCCGAGCTCTTGAAGTTTATCTCTCTTCTCTGGTCGTTGATGTTGTGCGCTCCCACGTGCATGTCACTGTCGCTAAGATGCTGTCACGACTCTTGCGCTACATCAGAGCTGAGCCTTTGGCCAACACTGGCTCCGTTGCGAGAGACCTGCTGGCCAGCGAGCGCACGTTCCTCGCATGGACAAGAAGTGGCCTAGGCTTCATTGCGCTCGGCATAGCGCTGGAGAAAGTCGAAGCCTTTGCTGCCCTATCTCCAACGTTACTGCACTTGTCAGACTCCAGAACCAAATTGGCGGCGGGAACCTTGGTCGGTCTTGGGTCCGCAACGGTTGCTCACGGCACGGCCAGATATTTCGGAACGCTCAAGGAGATAAAACAAGGACGGTTTAGACCGAATACGGGCGGGATCACGCTCATGGCCATTACTAGCATTTCCATAGGTTTTGTCGGGGCCATTGCCGTCGCATCCAATGATCAGGAGGAGAAGGACAAGATCATTGTATAAAGGTCTCTCTATAGGCTTACGGTCTATCTTCCGCAGCGTCTCTATGCCTGGGCGGTTCCGTACGCATCCGACCTCACCGATTCGATGTCGACATAGCCATACATATTCATCTTGGTGGCGTCCTCAGCCATACGCTGGCCCCACACACCCATGTCCTTCATGAAGGCGTCAACATTGTCCTTGACACTCATATCTATGGGCTCCTGGTCGCGACCGATCTGCCGAATTTGGCTCCCGGCAATGACGTTGGTCAGACCAAAGTTATCTCTGTCGACCTGCTGATCGATGGCACCTGAGGCCTTGCCATCCAGCAGCGTCTTTGCAAGCCTCGGCTCCTGGCACAGAGGGCGAGCTAGGCCGACACCATCGACAGTCTTCAGTGCGTTTGACATACCATCGACGGTCAGAAAGCCACCTGTGATGTACGTCCGGGTTTTGGTCAAACCGGGGACAATCTTGTCAGCAAACTCGAGGAAGAATGCTTCGCGTTTCCTGGTGCTCTCCCGCTCGTGGTGGAAGGCAAGACTCTGATAAGTACCTCCGCTCAATTCCACAAAATCAAATCCGGCGTTTTCCAACAGATGGCATAGCTCCTTGGCTTCATCTGCAGTGAAGCCACCCTTTTGGAACTCGGCGCTGTTGATCTTGATTCCAATCATGAAGCCCGTCGAGGCTGCCGGCAGCTCTTTCCGGATTGACTCTGCAATTTCGAGAGTAATCCTGGCACGGTTCTCCAAAGAGCCGCCATACTCATCCGTTCGCTTGTTGGTCGTCTGCGCCAAGAATTGGGCAAGAAGATATCCGTGTGCGCCGTGCAACTGGATGCCGTCATATCCAGCCTTGTGCAAGAATACTGCAGCATGTGTGAAACGGTTGATGATATCTTTGATTTCGTCTTTGGAGGCAGCATGGGGCTTGTTGAACTTCATGCCCATGATCTCACCCTCCAGCTGAACGTCACTGGCAGAGACTGGGTCCTTTTGAATGCGATTTTCACATTGTCGGCCAGGGTGGCTGACTTGGCCAGTGATGAGGCTGCCGTGAGCTTTTGCCAAGGTTGCGAGTTCCTTGAAAGCCTCGAATCTGGGACCCTCAAACTTTGCCTCCAGGGGGATGATTGGGTTGCCGGCTGCCTCCAGCTGATCGTAAGCAATCATTATGTTTCCGGTCCTGGATGCATGTCAGCGAGAACAGGGCGATCTATTGGTCACACTTACAGTATATGGCCAATCCCTCCTTCGCCCCATCGCTTGTAGACGTTCTGCAGCTCTTTGGAGGGAATGCCACGTTTTTCCAAGTTTTGGGCATCCCACGACGACAGTCTCTCGGTCATGGCTGCTTTCAGAAAGCGGTTGGGAGCCGTCTTACCGCTGAACTCGAAATGCAGCGGCTTGCCGAGAGGCGAGGCATCTGTGGTGTCGGAAGGGACTCTGCGCGTCATGGTTGTTGATAAGGGACTTGCGTTGCTAATGTTGAGCAGGCGTAAATGGTGGCAGTTTCATCTCGCAAATCGATCGTACAGGACCTGAGCGTTGATTTATACCTTGCCGACAACCCGACTCTGTCCAGACGGACTCCGCAGATCCGCTCCTGCTTGTTTGCTACAAATCTATGCCTTACTAAACAACATATCGGGGTACCCACCTTTTGTGAAAGGTCGGATCGTCATCAAACTCTACACGTCACGGTATTTGCGATAGTGAATTCGGAACCCCTGCCTAGAATGCAGAAATTTCCTCTCGCAGCGCAGGCGAACCTCGGCAGATAGTTCTGGACGTTTCGTCCGTCCGTGTGGTATCCAGTGTTGCTTCACCGATGTGTGGTGTGTGGTGTCTGTTTTGCAGCAGTGGGGTGGCGGCGGCGAGCTCGGCGAGGGCGGTAATGCATTGCGTCTTGGCCTCCACGCTTCACACAGCCGACTCCAGATATGCACCAGCGATTGGCCACTGCTGCTCGGCAGATATGTAAGCAGATACTGCTGTAGCTCCTGGGTAGACATTGCTGAGCAGACCACCTGTACAACTCCAACTAGTAGACCAAGGAGCCTGCATTACGGTGTGCGTATAAGGGGGGTTTTGCACACCACCGGTTGCACTTGCCCTTCCGAGGTGAAGATCTCGGCATTTGAGATGACGTCAATGCTGAATCGAACTCGACCCCACCCAACCTCCTCGAACCCCAGTATTCATACCACGCGGTTGATGTCTGACAGAAGACGATTACCCCAACGATTTGGTTATTCAGACAATCCATCATGGGCTATGGCGATATCCGCAATCGGAGCGACTTTACTCAAGCGCTCGACAAGACTGAAGACTCCTCCAGCATCATGGTCATCTATTCCTCCACTTCGTGGTGTCCGAACTGCAAAGCCGTGGAGCCGAAGATAGATGAGCTGACCGAGGAATTTGGTAACGAGAAGCATGTACTTTGGTAGGTCTTGCGATGGATAGCAGGCCGCTCATCTCGGGCAGTCCTACTGATCTTTCCAAGGTACAAGATGAACATCGAGGAAGCCGAAGGCGTCGCACAGGAGTATGGTGTAAGCGCGGTGCCGACGTTCATGCTGTTCAAGGATGGTGACATGCTACCTGAGGAGACAGTTACCGGTCCACATCATAAAAGAGTCAGAGCGATGGTCGAGAAGAACCTACCCGGGAAATGATGCTTCGTCTAGATCTCTGTACAGAAGTATCATCTTTCTCCCGGTCGAGTTCAACATCCACATTCGCAAACGGTGCTTTCCATAAACGGGCCCCTCCTTTCCAATCGACGTGCTTGGGTGGAGTATGCAGGAGTTCGGGCTTATTCATGCTGTTCTTAATCTTGGCCTCCGACACGTAGTTGCCCTGGATAACCACACACAGGAGCAGCCACAGCGGCCTCCAAACGGTTAGCAGCACCTGGAAACGGGCTGCATTGATGTAGAACCCTCTCCTGTTATTCAGATGTCTATCATCGCTACCGGTAGAAAGGCTTTTGATCTTGACGACGAGACTTCAGACCCCCAACCCGATATATCATCCGTTCGTAGGTCTCCTGCCTTCAGAGTCATTCCCGTACTGCACTGTTATTCTCGATCATCGCAAAAGCCGCCAGCATGACTTCTCAGGCACACTACTCGTTTGAACGGCTCGACAAAAACAAAGCCCAAGTTTGCTGTCACTGATCCGGATCTCAACGGTAGAAGTGCGAGAGAAGCCACTTGCAACATCCTAAGCCATCTGTTCAAGAGTCTCTTCGGAAGGACTGGCCCCCACGGCCCAGCCTTACCAACGACACTAGCATTCTTCTCGTCGTCGACCACCAACTCGGCCTCCTCGAGCAACCCCATCCTTCTCCAAAACTCCTCCGCCAGCGTCGCCGGTAGTCTTCCGGCTCCCGACCTTAAGCATCACCCAATGCGTCGCCAACACCCTTCCACCACACTCTAACCGTCACTCCCATCGGAATCTCATCGAAAATCCCGCAGCATAGCACCTTTACAATGTTGTCCGGACATAGCTGGACCTTGACACGTCGAAACGAATGCCTCTGCTCCGGCACGCAGGCTCTGAGGACACTCTGAAAGTCGTGCAAGTAGGATCGAGGCGTGAGACATGGGTGGAGAAGAGAGAGAGAGAGAGAGAGAGAGGACTTCGGCGCGCGTGTGCTTGTTCAGACGGAAGAGGTAGTTGGGTGTTGAACTGGAGTGGGGGAAGCGGAAGTAGTGAGCAGCAGCTTCGTGACGATGTTTGATCTGGCTTTGGAGATGGAGGTTGTCGGTGACCGGCACTTCGCGTCTCGTGGAAGTTATGTTCTGCTAGATCTGAGTGCAGATCTCGAGGGCGAGATCCAGGAGGGAGGGTGGTCATTCTCGTGGAATGGACCCGGGTATCATGTCGGGGCTTGCTGTGCGTTATATTTGTTCATGTTGGTTCGGCGGGTAAGCGAACACGGTCGCGGATCTGCTTGATGTGTCCGGGCGCAATCGAAAGCCGCATGGCATCACGTCTCAACTGCTGCTCGTTCAGATACTGATGTAAGCTGCTGCACTTGGTCTGCTGCTTGGCTCTCTCCGCCGCTCACACGCCGAGCCCGTTGAAGCTCGTTCAGTACCAGTTCGGGGGTCAGTGCGCATATTCACTGCAAACGACAGCCTCCGACCCGCCCGACAAGGCGTTCCCACTCCATCATATGAGCCCTAGTCTTCAAGTCAGCACTGCACACCGCCACAGGGTTCCCGCAATTCATTCAACATACCCAGCCTGCATATACCACGGGTAGTGCGACCAAGCCGTACACGCCCCACGCACCGAGTAGCACATCGCCCGCTCGGACGGCCGCGCCTGATCTGCCTGCTGCAGGTTCTGGCCACCACCACCACCACCCTCCTCATCGTCGACAAAGCCCGCAGGCAGCTCGACGCGATCGACCTCCATCCAACACTCCCTCAGGGACGCATACACGTCCCTCGCGCTCCCCTCCGCGCCCAGCACCAAGATGCGCTCAAAGAGGTTGCGCTCCTCGACATTGCGCCGCCCGACTTGGGCGTCGAGGTCGTCGACGTGCACGACCGCCGTCAGCGTCGGTTGGCGGAACGTCAGCGCCTCGGCGCGGATTTGGCGGGAGACGCGGAGGAGTGGATTGGGGCCGTGGATGGGCGCGGAGGGGCATTGAGAGGCGGGGATGGGGATGTAGGTCGGTATGGCTTCGGAAAGGATTTGCAGCCGGATCTCCGTGGGGAGGGTTGTTAGTGAGGGTTTGCGGCGGTGGCGGTCGGGGAAGGCAGCGGTGTCCATTGAGTCAGGGGTAGCGGTCGGCGGGGAAGTCATGGTGAGATTGAGCAGTGCGAGAGACATGACGGCGAAGAAACGGTTCTTGACTTGTTTTTGTTCAGGTGGGATACTTTAAGCAGCCCCTGCAGAGCTTGTTTGCTGATATCGCAAGGCACGCTGAATGTCAGAGAGCGAGGAGCTACGAGGAGGTCAGTGCCACCAGAGAAGACATCAGGTCCAACGTCAGAGCGTAGCCTCATTACACCATGCATTACAACCTTTCCCGCGCCATGCCGCATGTCATGCGGCGGGTATTGCGCACTCGTACACCCATACGTTGCCAAATGTGGCTCGAGCTGACAGCCCGAGTCTGGCTTACGAAGGTTGACGCGTGACTAGGGATGCGGGAGGGGCCGAAGAGGGTGTGAAGTGGTGTGCCTGAACGAATGTCTTGGCATATTCACCACATCAGTGCGCGTAGTTGACGGATGAGGCATACCATACGATAATAATTACATCCTCGGCTTGTGCGGAAAAAGCGAGTGAGATGGTAAACAGCTTCGTTGTCCAGATAAGAGGATACATTGGCCTAGAACCTTGCCTGCACCTTGGTCTGGGTATCCTGCAGCGCCCACTCACTCCTAGACTTCTTGCTACGGGTCTTGTCAACTTGTTCGTTGGTAAAGCCACGTGCCTGAGTTGCAGGGTTGTAACCGACACCGGTCCGCTTGCCGACCTCGGCATCAGAGACTGGGGTCGCGACCTTGCCGTCTGCGCGCTGATACACTGTGCAGACTACTGCACCGCCGAGACCCAAGTTATGCTGCAAGCAATACTTGGTGCCCTGCACCATGCGATTGTTGGCCCATCCACGGAGATGCCATGTGAGCTCGGCACATTGTGCGAGACCCGTTGCGCCTAGAGACCAGTCAGGACGTGTACTTAGATGCTGAGAAGGACAAAGAAATCTTACCGAGAGGGTGGCCTTTAGAGATCAGGCCACCACTAGGGTTGATGAGGTACTTGCCACCATACGTAATACCACCCGCACGGACGAGTTCGTGGGCCTTGCCGTGCTCAGATAAGCCCAAAGCATCGATGACGCACATCTCGTTGGCAGAGAAGCAGTCATGAACTTCCACCACCGACACATCGTTGGAGGTTATGCCGGCCTCCTTCAAGGCAGTCTTACCAGCATACTTGCTCATTTCGTAGCCAACAAGATCAATAGCGCTACGCGAAAACAAATCAGGAGAGTCGGTGGCCATTGACTGACCAGCAATGAGGATTGCCTGTTCCTTAAGATGTGGCCGTGCATCGAGGAACTCCTGGGAGACAACAACGACAGCAGCACCGCCATCAGAAGTGGGGCAGCACTGCAGCTTGGTCAAAGGCGCGTGAATCATAGGCGCCTTGAGAATTTGCTCGAGCGAGTACTCGTCCTGAAACTGGGAGTACGGGTTGCGCTTCGAATGCTCATGATTCACACGTGCAATCTCGGCAAAGTCCTCAGCCTTAGCACCAAACTTTTCCATGTATTCCCGGCCAGCGTTTCCGAAGAGCTGGGCAGCCCCAGGCGCGTTTGTGACTCCTCTTGTCTCCTTGAGCATGGTATTGGTTGTACCAGTGGGGTTGGCACGGTCGTTGAAGTAAGCTTGTAACGAGCCCGGATTCATCTTCTCGAAGCCAACAACCAAGACACAGTCGGCTGCGCCATAGGCAATCGCCTGGCGGGCCATATTCAGACCGGTACTGCCAGTCGAGCAATTATTATTGACATTGTAGATGGGGATCTGGGTCATTCCGAATTGGTAGAACACCCGTTGACCGCAGGTGGAGTCTCCGTAGCAATAGCAGGCCACGCCTTGGTCCACATCATCGTATGAGATTTGAGCGTCCAGCATGGCCTTGATACCAGCTTCGAAGCCCAGCTCAGTATAGTCGACCTTTCCACGTGGCTTGATGAACTTTGTCATTCCCACGCCCAGGACATAGGCGGGTGCTGCTTTCCGGGGAGCCATTGTGGCGGTTTGGGGACGCGATTGAGAGGTGTTTCGAAGAGCACGGGGTCGAGTCGCAGTAATTTCGGTTGATACAGAGGTAGACGGTTGGAGGTCGAGTATTCAGCTCGGTGATGCTCGAGTTGATGTTTAAAGAACCACCAGAGCCATCCACCACTTCCTCGGTCCACCTGTAAGCCTCCCGCTAGGTTGCGGAGAGCGCAGTTGGGCGAAGTGACCGAGAAGTGCCGAGGTTGGTAACAGCGCCTCTCATTGGTGACTTGCGTTAGTCATCATCTGTGCGTGAATGCGATTCACTGCCAGCTGCAGGGGACTGGAGAAACGTTGTAGGCGTGCTTCCATCACCGTAGCCGTCACCTTGTACTCCACCGTAGTGCTGTGACTGGTTCCAACAGTAATTTGATCCCGCCTGCAGTTGTTGCACCTGGCATTTTGTTACTGTTCAGAGGCCCTGCCTCTGACCACCTAACTTTGGTGTTATATATATCGTATCCACCGTCTCGACGTCCCCTGACTGTTTAGCTCGTTTGGAAGGTGCTTGGCCCTCGCCTCGTGCCGCATGTCGTACCTTCGGCGTGGCTTGACGGTGTCGTGCCCGGTTGTCCCCCATTGAGAGCGACATGACCTCGACTTTCCTCCGGAAACCTGAAGGTTGCTCAGGCCAGACCGTTACCGTGCTCTCCGTCCATGGGCATCTCAGACACCAATCATCGATGCAGACAAGCCTTGTTGTATGAACGTCACAGAGCTGCAAGCAGCCTGAGGGGCATGCGCCAAGCGAGCCTTGATTGGGCGGGTCGGCAGTGGATAAGCTATCCTTTCGCTTTGGTGGGCCGTTGACTCCTGGCCTCTTCCCACCAATCCACTGCCCAAGGGCGCCGGCGAAGGACTCCACACCCAACTGCACATGCTTGACCGCGGTGTGCTCGCTTCATCTGCGCCCATCTCTCTTTCTTTATGCACCCCTCCAACTGCCGGCTCCTTGGTGTTCAGTATCTTCCAGTGGCAGCAAGGTTATGACAGTCGCTTTGGCAGCTTTGAAATCTGGTCTTGATCGCGAGGACACCGCAGTCGATGGCCTAGCTGTGTCTCAACAAAGTCGTTACCCCTCCAAACAGTTGGGCCGCCAAAGACTTGAGTGAGCATAAGCATTGACCTCACGGCGGGGCCCCGAGTACTTTCAGAGCCTGAAATCGATTTCGAACTCCTCTGCGGACAACATTAGCATCGAGTTGTGAACCACGTCGGCGCCGCTCTCACAATCTCATCCCTACCCCTTCCTCAAGGGTCCTCTGCTCGAAACAAGCAGGAAGAGGGGAGGCACATACAAACACCGAGGTTTCAATGGGGCGTGGAACGCGTAGAAACGCTCTCGGTCCTTGAGAGGCTTTCTTGCGTTCCATCGGGTCCCATCGCCCATCTGCACAGACAAGTGACTGCCGTGCGTGGCAACCTACCCGAACACACAAGGCAACGCCTGCGGAGCGCTACGGTCTTGGCACTCCCGCGACAAAACCGTCTTCGACCATGAATCATGCCAAACCTGTCGACCAGTCTTTCACCATGGCTGACCCACGCAACATGGATCGAGACGCCTTCGTCTACTGGACGAAATACTGCCGACAAGGCCTCGCGACAGCTCCTGCATCGATCATAGCAATTGCGGCCGGTGTAAGTTCTCCCAGACCTTCAACTTCTTCGTTGACTAACTTGTTCAGTCCCCGCTCGAGAATGTCAAGGTCCGAATGCAATCGTAAGTCTTGCTAGTTGTCTCCATTGATGCACAGCTAACTCCCGCAGACGCTACTTCCCATCTGCCATAAATGCCACCAAATATCTCTACAGAACCGAAGGCCTGCGTGGCTTCTGGGTCGGTACGTCTATCCTGCCAAAGTTTAACCAGCAACATGTACTGACACTCTTTCTCAGGCACTTGGGCTCCTTTGGCTTCGCTCACACTCACTCGCACTCTAACCTTCTCTATCTACCGACAAGCGAAGTACCAACTGGATTCCATGATCGAAACCGTCACAGGCTCGTCGCCGCTTCAACATGTGAACCGAGCTGGAACCTACCCAACTTTGTCCACCATCCTCTGTTTCACTGGCTCTGGCATGATCGCTGGAGGTCTCTTGGCCCCGTTCCTCAGTAAGTTTCTCCTTGCCAAACTCTCCGAATTCTGCTGACCTGTCCAGCCCCCGTCGAGTTGATCAAGAACTGCACTCAATCTTCGGTCCTCATGGCCTCTGGTTCCAAAACCTCCACCACCGCTGCCAAGAACGTCGGCCGTGTCTCATCCATGGATTCTGCTCGACAGATCATCGCCGAGAGAGGAGTCAGCGGCCTGTTCACCGGATTCCGTCTGCACTTCTACCGTGACGTCCTTGGCACTGGCCTCTACTTCGGCATCTACGAGACGCTGAAGCAATCAATCAACAGCGCCTACGGCGCAGACAAGGTCAATGCTCCCGGAGCTGTCATGTTCGCCGGCGCTGCGTGCGGTGTTCTGTCGTGGACGATGGTAAGCCACATGCCCCTTTTTACAGCTCCAACACTGAAATTCTATAGACCTATCCCCTCGACACGATGAAAACCCAGGCCCAGAACCGGCTGGTCGGTCTCGGTGCCAAGGCTGCGGCTGACGCCACCAAGGCGTCGGCTCGCACCCTGTCCAAGTGGAAGGGCTTGGAGATGGTGATTCTGCGTTCTGCATTGCAGAACATGATTCAGATGTCGATTTTTGAATACCTGAAGGTGCAAATCGACGACTTGGCGTTCAGCAGTGGCAGTAAAACATTGCCTGAGATCGAGCGTGAATTGGGAAGAGACAAGAAGAGAAATAAGTAACTCTTCTTGAGATAGTGAATGACGAAGAAATTCCACAATGTTGAAAACGGAAAAAATTAGGTCGCTCATATTTGCCGGTGCCCTCCCCGTGTGCATGTCGTTGAGATTGAAAAGGTCACTGATATCTGCGAGAGGCCTCCCCGTATACACATCATTTTCTTGAGATGGGTCTTTGATGTTGGTTGATGCCCTCCTCATAAGCCTGTTTTGATATCTAGCTAGGCCGTTTATATGTAGTGGTGCCCTCCCCGTGCACAATAAATTTACAATCAAAGGGCCGCTCCTGAATACTGGTGCCCTCCTTGTGCGCACACATGTTGACAAAATCAAGATGGCCGCTTATAGTTACTAGTGCCCTTCCTGTATACACATCATAACCTCGTGCTAGACCGCTGATATTTCCTGAAGCCCTCGCCATGTATATATTGTCAAGATAGAAGAGGCCGCTTACATTTGCAGACGCCCTCCCTGTATCACGTAATCTCTCCTTGAGAAGAGCCGTGGGTATTTGTTGATGGCCTCCCTGTTGCCATCATACTATGCTTCCAGCCGAGGACCAGAGATCGGGCTGGAATGGTTCGAGCTGTGTAGCAATTACGAAAAGCAGCTGCGCGTTGGACGGCACCGAAGACAATGATATCCTATGTTACGCTCGAAGCAGTCATTTGCGGTCATCGACTCCCTCGGTCGCAGGACTCCTGAACGTATGAAGCCCGTCAATAACAGATCTTGCGTCTTTACCGAACCGCTCTGTCTTCAATTCGGTGCCAACAGAGCGCTCCAAGCCGGGGCGATCCGTGCCGCTGGTCTGACTCTCAGCCGCGCGCTTGCCGCCTTTCTTCTCCTGCTACATGCACCAGATCGCGATATCCATCGCCTGACCCTCCGCCTGGTCTGTTAAAGTGGGCACAAGGCCAGTGTGTAGCTGGCCCTGACGTTCCGCTCTGTTAGTATCGCAGTAGGAACGCATACATATGCGATATCAAACAGCAGGTAGTGGGTATGAGCAGTGGAGATCTGAGTACGAGAGATACCGCTGCAGTCACGTTGTCAACATGATCATCGAAGCTCTGGAGATGGCACTAACACCCGAGATTCATGGCTGCCACTCTTGATCGAAGACCACGGCGGTTCTCTGTCTCATAGCGAAGCCTGTGTTTGAATGCATCGAGACCCAGCACACCCTTGACAGCCATCACTTCTATGTGGTGTCAGACGAGAAGATGATCTATGAATCATCGACTGAGATGTCGGAGTTGGTGTTGACGTTCGGCAAGGAGATGATGGTCTCTGCGAGGGTTATGACTTCCTGTTAGTATCTGCCAGTGCGCTCCCAATGTCCGCAAGTCCATCCTCAGCACACGCTGCTTGTCATTGCTGATGCCCTTTTGTGTGAGCAGAGGTTCCAATATTGGAACGGGCCGTCAGGACATGGCGTTCTCTGGCGATACTGTCAGTTGCTTACCTGGATTACTGTTGTCATTTCGCGTAAATGAATCCCTATCCAACCGCGGTGGAAATAGTAGCCGAGCCTGTGGCCAACAATAGGGGCCCGCTAAATTGCCGAGTGGCTGTTCTTGCCGGCGACGAATGCATCTCACTCCGCCCCGCCCACCGCCTAGGCCTATCTTTACGCTTGGACTCAGCACTGCCGGTACCTGTAACCGTTAAACCACCTCGAGCTTCGTGCTAACTGTTCGCCCCATTGCCCTTTTCATTGCCAGTTCGGCGTCGGCTTCGGCCGGCCATCGACCAGGAGGCAAAGGCCGCATGACACTACTGCTGGGGCTGAGTTCTAACTCGCAGAAGTCGTGTGCTGTGCTGTTCGTACGGTATCTCGCTGCCAACACCTCTGCTTCACCCATCACGGTTCGGCTCAGATGAATTGGTTAACGGCAATGATGATGCTATCCATTGTGGTCAGAAGGCTTCGTCATCCTCACGCCAGATGGTTGCAAACCAGGTCTCGCAAGGGACTGCCTGTGCAGGATCTTACCAGCATTAACGCACTTCAGAAGGGGGCCGAACCTCATTGCAGCTTTACGGTCCGCTGACACAAACGGCCTAACCAAAGGCTGCTAAGCTTCGCATCACTGATCCCAGTACGGCACAAGAACACTAACGAATTTATATAGTATCTGCGCCCCCATTGTTGGTCAAGAAATTACTAACAAGAGTTCAATCCTATCCTGACTCCTTCGCAGCCTTGGTCCGGATAAATACTTCGTTCCAGTCCTGTCAAGCTCGCATCTCCATTGAGTCGGTTCTGCACCTACTCGATCTGAATATCTTGCTTATATCGTGATGTTGCCCGTATTATAGGTCCTCATCTCAACAGCTCGGCCCGAGCCACAGTTGGGGAAAGGTCTGCACTATCCGCTGGGACAGCGACTGCGCTGAACTTACAACATGGGCGACCCGTCGAAATCGTTCCTCAGCACTATCCGGTCAAAGCTAGGGAACCGGCGGTCTCACAGCTCACCCCCCGATCCCACAACCCAACGAGGTTTCCCTAGTTGGGACGACTTACCTCAACATAATCCCCCGAACCCAGTCCTTGCTCCTCCGCCCGTACCTATTCAGCATCCTATGCGGCGAGGCCCAGAGAACCGTCCAACACCACCGCCGCAGACCTCACACTCGTATGCCCGTTACGACACTCGGTCATACCAACCGGCAAGCCAACCACCCCGGCACAGTCACACCGTTCCAAAGCAAGGCGCAAGGCACGCGCCGCGCGCACCAGCGACACCGCTGTTGCAACTTCCCAAGCCACGGGCCATGTGGCGACGCTCGCTGGAGGACATGTCCCCAAGCAAACGAATGGCCGATTGGAATCATGATGATTTCGATACGAAACGAATGACGGTGGATCTTGCCTGTGCTTTGCCGCCTCAATATCTCGATCAACCTCCCGATTACGCTGCTGTTGAGCAGCCAGCCAGTGAGCTCCGTCGTTCGAACCCATATCGTGATCCAACTGAACCCTACCGTTGGGATGCTGCCACGAAACAAAGACAAAATGTGCAACGTAGCACCAGAACGGAGCACAGCCAATATGCCTATCAGGATTACTACGGCTCTCAGCCGCGTCCCTCTCGTCAGCCGCATGATGTTACTATTGATCACTTGCTCGACCACCCCATGCTTCGTCGCGGCTAATCGAGTCAAACCTGAGGAATGCGGCTACAATTTCGGGCGCAGAACCCGGCCGCGGAATGCGGCTCAGACCGGCAGTTCAACACGTGGTGTTGCGACTTACTCTTATCTGGCTCCATGCATCGACCAGCGCCGTTCGTTAGAGGGCTTCTACTATCCACGAATAGGGACATCACAATCAAGGGTGCCAGACAGGTGGAGATTTGGAGTGAAACGCCCTGACGGTCTCCCTTGGGGGCCTCGGAATGTGCAACAACGGGTGTGGGCCTGTGCGAAGCCCTTGCCATGACGCGATTCCAATATGTCTCTCAACGCGACGTAGACGCGTCTGCTGCTCATCTCGAAGTCTCCTTTTTTCCCCAATCAACACAACGGTATATTATCACTTTCTGTCCTCAGAGTACCTCAACCTCAGGCAGACTACAACCAACCATGGCTCCGATCAACTATAACCTCGCTCCTTCACCAAAACCCGAACGCCACAGCCTCTACAGACGTGATATTCAAGACGGCTCACTCGTTAGCCTCATAATAACCGTCATCATTCTCTCTATACTCTTTGCCGGAGCCTGCATATACCTCTTCCGCCTACTCTGGGCGAGATTCTCCCGTCCTCAATGGGACCGGCGCAGACTCTCCGGCATGTCCGACAAGCTCGCCGACCTCGAGCCGTACTCCGAAACCAACAAGGACCAGGTCTCCTCCGACCTGCCCATAGACAGAAAACCCACCCGCCCAAGGTCCTACAGCGACGAGCTCTGGTCCTCCCAAATGGACCATGAGACTCCCGAAGAGGACGACTCCAGCACCAGCACCACAACCAATACCACAGCAAACTGGCCACTCGCGCGCCATTCCCAGAATAACCGCTCGTCCCGCCGCTTTCGCTCCGCTACCCTCACAACGCAGCCACTACGGATGCATCCCGTGCAGGAGCACGAACTCGAATACTGCGTCATTAAGAACGAGCATCATTCCCCACGGCTGGGTCACGCGAGAAGCAAGACGGGCTGTGAAATACAGACCTCGTCGGCTAAGTTGCTGCCACTGCGGAGCCATCCCGTCGACGCGACTGCGCTACTTGACTATGGCGGTGCAGTCCATGGCCATGCTGCGAAGCAGAGGGCTGCGCGGAGGACGAGCGTTGGGCGGATCTGAGAAGCATGGGATCTCACATGAGAGCTACGTTGGGGGCAGTTGTGCCCGTTGGGGCGGGGTCGAGCGAATATCTACTCGGGAGGAAGGAGTCGCTATATTGGTTTGAAGGACAAAGGGGGGCGGATTTCTGGCTTACTTGCAACACTTCTTCTACTTACAGCCGGATCCAGAAACAGCTTACTCGGGATCAGAAGAACAATATTTGCACATCTACTTCGAATGGGGGTATGGGGCGAACAGCATCGAGGCTTGCCCATTATTGATAATGCCTTTTATGACAGAAAAGTACCACTTCTATTACCTACCGTGCCATATACGCAGATGAGTATTTCCGCACGTCCAATCTTCGCAGTAAATCCCTGCGGTCCAAGATTAGTGAATCTCCCGGCCCCGGCCCCAGCCGCCCCCTTGCTTCCGACCTTGTACCCCCTCTTGAGCGCGGCCCCCTTGAATCGTCGCCAAGCCTGGCACTCTCTTGATGCTCCCTCCGCTATCTGAGGTAGATAGACAGACAAAGAGAGAGAGAGAGTACTGCTTCACCATTGACTGAACCGTGCTCTCGATGTGTCAGCCAGAGTTTAGTAGGTTAGATCTCATGGTTCCTTGAAGTGCCCAAACAACGGAGAAAAGGACATTACGGAATCAAGACCGCATGAAATGCCCGATCAGCAAGCTAAATCATGAACAGGTGCATCTTATGCCACTGGTACTTCAGACCACACAAAGGTAGGTGCATGAACTCAAAGATTCTAGAGGGATTCGGCTCACTCACTCCCCGAAAACAAAACCTGGGGAAAAGCAAGAAAGGTTCCCAGCGCACATGTCCGAACTGATGATGGTGGTGGATCGGTGGAGATGGGAGACGGAGGATGGGGAAAGACGCGGATGTGCCGAGCGGCATATTGATATCGGGCGGGGATCTTCGTCGTCGGCAGGAAGACTGTCATGTCGCGCGAGGGTTGAAGGTTTTGTTTAAGAGGGGAAAAGGCTTTTTGGTCGTCCTTGTAATACAAGTCCGTGATCTTAGACGGTGGTGTCGATACTGATTAGCAATAGCTGCTTCGGACTTCATCGAGAGACTGCAAATCGTTTCTATCACAGAAACATAGGGGACTTGCGAATCGAGAGCATACCTAATACAACTCGATAGCAGCTGAGGCTAGCGCCACGGCGGGACGCTTCATAGCTTGCAGACAAGCTACATCCAAGCTCAGACACACACTCTGTGTGTCAGTACACAACAGCACACACACAAGCCAAGTCTCGACCTCAAGTCACAGAAACTCGCAACAATGGCCGACGCCAGTACGACCGCCAACGAAGACTCCTTCTTCACGGACTTCATCAGTAAGCACCGACCCGACCTGAAACCGTACGAAGAGCTCTACAAGCACCTGCACCAACACCCGGAGCTCTCCACACAAGAGAAAGAAACCGCCGCCACCATCGCCTCCCACCTCGGCAAGCTGTCCAGCAGCCACGACAATGCCTTGGACATCCGCACCGACATCGGCGGCCACGGCTTGATCGCCATCCTATCCAACGGACCAGGCAGCACAATCCTCCTGCGCGCCGACTTCGACGCCCTGCCCGTGCAGGAGAAGACGGGCCTCCCCTACGCCTCGACCGCCACGCAGGTCGACAAGCGCGACGGCCTCACCAAGCCCGTCATGCACGCCTGCGGCCACGACTTCCACGTCACCTCGCTGCTCGCGTGCGCCGAGACCCTCCTCACGTCCCGGGCCCGTTGGAGCGGCAAAGTCATCTTCCTCTTCCAGCCGGCCGAAGAACGCGGCTCGGGCGCGCAAGCCATGGTCGACGACGGCCTCTACACGCCCTCCAAACACAACTGCCCCGTCCCCGACGTCGTGCTCGGCCAGCACGTCTTCCCCATGCGCGCGGGCCACGTGGGCACCAAGCACGGCGTGGCCATGACCGCAGCGGACTCACTGAAAATCACCGTGCACGGCCGCGGCGGCCACGGCTCCATGCCGCACCGCACCATCGACCCCGTGGTCATCGCGGCCTCGATCGTCGTCAAACTGCAGACCGTGGTGAGCCGCACCGCGCCCCCCAGCGAACTCACCGTCCTCACCGTGGGCAGCCTGCGCGCGGGCGAGGCCGAGAATGTGATCCCCGCGCTCGCGGAGATCAAGTGCAACATCCGCACCACGAGCGACGGGAACCGCAGGCGGGTGCGCGCCGCCGTCGAGCGCGTCGTGAAGGGCGAGTGCGTCGCTGGAGGGTGCGAGCAGGATCCCGAATTCGAGTACCTCAACGGGTTTCCCCTGACGCTCAACGACGCCGACACGGTCGAGAAACTGAGCAGTGGCATGCAGGCGCATTTCGGGGAGCGGTACGACAGGGACATGGCGTTCGCGCTGGGCAGTGAGGATTTCGGGATTTTGGGCAGCAGCGTCGATCGGCCGTACTGTTTCTGGTTCTTTGGCGGGCATGAGGGGGAGGAGTGGGATCGGTTGGAGGAGGAGGGGAGGCTGGAGGAGAAGGTGCCGACGAATCATAGTCCGTTTTTTGCGCCGGTGTTGCAGCCGACGTTGACGACGGGCGTGGATGCTATGGTCGTGGCGGCCATGTCGTATTTGAGGAAGAAGGAGTAGTAGTAGAGGAAGGGGAGGAAGAGGGATGGTGTGCTGGGCTGGGGGAGTGGATGCTGACAGTCTGTACGCCCACACAAAGGAAGAAACGAAGAAAGGACTCGTTTACGAGCGTATGTGACTGTGTGTGTGTGTGTGAGAGAGAGAGAGAGAGAGATCACCTCATATGATGATATGCTATGCTATGCAATGTTAACGACTCAATTCATGCCAACCCCTTCCATAGCCACACCACCCCAAGATGCACTCCGATACCCTCGTAAATCCACCACTCTAACCTGGCCTCCCTCACAGCTTCGAGTCCCCCTTCCCCTTCTTCTTCTCCCCATCCCTCAATGCCCCCCTGTCCCCCTCCGTGACCTGCGTCTCGCTCGTCTCCGCCTTGAGACTCACCGGATCCCCCAACATGCTCGGATTCGCGGCCTCGGCCACCTCCTTCAAACTCTTGCCATCGCCTTTCCTCTGGCTATCTTTCGGCGCTTGCCGCTGCTGCTGCTGCTGCTGCTGTTTCTTTTCATTGTCTTTGGGCGTTGTTGGCGTGTCGGGAGAGCCAGAGCCCTGGAGATCGTGCTCGCTGGGCGTGGTCTCGGATTTGATGGAGATGGGGTCGCCGAGGGCGGAGGGATTGTGCTTGAGGGCCGTGGTGGCTTTGTCTTTGAGGGGGGAATTGGGGGCCATGTTTGGACGAAAGGACGTGCAGGCTTTTGGGCTTGGTGGGTTGTGGGGACGGTGAGGGGTGGGGGTGCGGGTGTTCAAGGGGTTATGAAGACTATGGGAAGAGTAAGGGCTTCGAGAGTTTGAGCAGGTGGTGCGATATCAGCGTTGGTGGTTTGTTGTTTAGAGAGGTGTATGTTGGGTGGGTGAAGACAAGAGAAGGAAGAGAGATATGACATGATATGGCATCACCTACTACTCGGCTCCCCACACCCAAAACAAGACATTTCACATGCGAGACTCGAGCCTCTGGCCTCGGTCTCCGCGCACTATATTTCTGGTCCCTGACGTCTACGACACGCATCGACGGATCGAGAGCCGTTGGAGATCAGCACTGATGTCGAGAATCGGGCAAGGTTTCCTCCTGGCACTGAGATACATGGAAGGGAAAGACAAGAGGAGCATTAGCCAGCTCTTCGTTCATCACGACTCCATTGCATGAATGAGCAGGTACAGTTCTGGCTAGCAGTGTGAGGTGTTCCTAGGAATGGTGGCTTGAAAGCGCTCACGATGCATGACGCCTTGATCCTGGAATGCACCCCATGGCTCCACTCATTCACTGCCTGAGCCAAGACTCTACGACGCGGTACGTGCAAGGCCACAGAAAACAGTGAAAGATGGAGTACAGCTGTGGCATGATTGATATGAAAGGTTTTTGCAAGACTTCCCCTGTTATCTGCGGTGGCTGGGTCAAGTACCATTTCTAACTATGCTTCAGTAACCTTGCGCCGTTGTAATATGCAACACCGATCTGCTGTTTCTGGTACGACATAAGTAAGCCACCAATAAGATATGCATTTCGAAAGAAGAAATCTAAGCGAAAACCACGTCGAATCGGTAAGACCCTAGAGCGAGGTTGGTCGGTTGAGCTGCACGACGACCGTAGCCTTGCGACCGTTGACGTGATCGAGATATGCATCGAGTTCGTCATCCTCTTCGATGAGATATGAGATCTCCTGGCCATCTGCACCCCTCTCCACGCCATCAATGCGACTGACGACCGCGTTGGGCCATTTCCGCTCCAGCAGCCGACGAAGTTCTTCAACCGATCTCGATGTCAAGGTTTGAAGCCAGACCTTATCTGCGCTGTGGACCTGCGACGTGGGATGGGGACGGATATAGACCGCGGTAGGATTGATAGCTGGCGCAGTTGCAAAGTTGTCGGCAGCTTCGAGAAGACTGGGGTCGATCTGCAAATCGGACAAGTCTTCAGCTGTAGAAGCGAACTGATATGCACTACCATTCTGCTCAGGCACAGGCTGAACAGCCGCCAGCTCGGTTGCAGCTTGTGCCGCCCGTGCCGCTTTGGCGGACTGAGTCTCGACGTTGACATCAGTAGTGGTTGTGGGAGCCACCCAACGACTGCCTCCTTTGGCCTGATCATCGCGCAGACGCTTCATGACATCTCGACACAATGCTTCCAGAGCTTTCTGTTTCTCCTGGAACTGAGGATCGGCTTCACCCTGGACAAACACATTTTGCAGAACAGGGCTTTCGGTAACCCACTGGTCTTTCAGTTCCTGCCAGTGTTCTGCACCTGTCTCGAGCTTGCTGGTGAATTTGTCGGCTTGCAAGGTAGCGTAGAAGGCGTTCCGAATCTGGCGGCTCTGCTCTGGGTTGATGCCGAGCACATTCTTGGCCTCTGCAATGGTCATGCGGCGACCAACGGAGCGAATCCGCTTGGTGACATCTGTGCAGACGACATCCAGTGCAAGCTCTTTCGATTGCAGATTGGTCTTGTCGTTCCAGAAGGCTTGCTGTAGCTGCTCATTGTTCTGGATGAGACGAGTTTTGATATCCTGCCACTTCTCTGCACCGGCGAGAGTCTTCTTGAATAAGCTCTCCTCCTCGCACATGGCTTGAAACTGGTCTCTCATTGCGCGATATTGTTTGTTGTCCAGACCGAGAAACACCTTGCTTTCGTCGAGGGTGGTCTCGGAAGGAAATCGCGGAGGACCTGGCGGGTCGGCAGCAAGACCGGCATAGCCTTTGGTACGACGACGACGCTTTTTATTCGCCCACTTCTCATCACTTTCAGCTTTACGCTGGTCGTGAAGTTCCTTTCTCTTGCGCAAGATTTCATCCAGATCCTCTTTGGTGACATTGTCATCTGTTGGCGACCTGGCGTCATCCACATGTGCAATGACGGTTGGTACTTCGGCGGCGTCGAGAATTTGATTCTGGAAATCGGATAGATCCTCGGTAGGAAGGCTGTGTGTCTTCATGCCGTTGGGAATGCGCAGGAGCCAGCGGTTCTTCGCTCGCAGCCGCATCAGCTCACGCTCTTTGATCTCGTAGCCTTCTTCATTGAGAGTCTTGAGCATTTCTCGCTGAGTATAGTTGGCCTCCCACAGCTCCTTCACGCGTTCGACAAGTTCTGCATTGCGGTGGGCAGGGTTTTGCTTCGAAGGGAAACCCCATCTTCGGAACTGCTGTTGAAAAGCACGCTTGGAGGGATTGAAGTTGTAGTTATCACGCATGTGCTGCATGATCTCCTCCAGCGACTAAATAGATCAGTACGAGACGCGTCTCCGGCGGGGAGTGGCGGCAGCTAACCTTTCGCTCCTCGATATAGAGCTTGTAGCACACATCTTTGTGCTGCGTCCACTGGTAAACCTGCAGTCGTCCATATTAGCACCGATGCCGACATTGCTGTGATTAGGTATCTTACCATGTTGAATAGATGGCGCCGTAGTGGTTTTGGCTACGGTGGTCGAGATGGTCGCGCTCTGCTCGAGAAGGCGGAAACCTGCAAAGGCCAAAAGCGCTGTTCAAAGAAGCTCGTCTTGGCACAACCTGCGGCCCCGGTGAAACATGGCTCCGATACATACGGCAGCTCCTCGGCTCCTTCCCACGAACATCAGATCAGTAATGCTCGGAGATGGCGGGAGAACAATGTGCTTCGATCCTTAAGCAGGTAGGAGTCAAGAACGAAGCGGCGGCCGCATGCCCGTGAGGTGTGTCGCCTTACTATATCACATTGTTGAGCTTCTCCGAATCTACAGCTCCTGAGCATCGATGCAATGATTTTGTGGGCAAGGCATGCTGCTTCACCACGTCCGGCGTCCAAGCTTCTGCATGGATCTAGCCCGTCGATACGCACGTTGACTCACTTCAAGATAGTGCAGCATACAACGCCAGTCCAGCACACCAGGCACTATCCAGGTGGTGCTGAGCCAGGTCATCACAATGATCTACTGCTTTCGGTGAAACAGTACATTCCCAAATCAGAGACTGGGCCGTCCTCGAATGGGCTGACGATCATCGGAGCTCACGGCAACGGCTTACCGAGCGAACTGCTAGAGCCTTTTTGGGATGACTTCTACGAGCACGTGAGGTCGAAAGGACAGCATATCCGGAGCATCTGGGTAGCTGATCAAGCGCATCAAGGCCAGAGTGGTATTTTCAATGAAGAGATTCTCGGCAACGACCCCTCCTGGTTCGACCACGCTCGAGACCTGCTGTATCTCATCAATCTTAAGCAGAAGCAGATGCCTCAACCCTTATTTGGTGTTGGCCATTCCATGGGTGCAGCCCAATTGGCTTATCTCGCAATGCTACATCCGAGTCTGCTGCAGGGCCTGGTGCTTATGGACCCAGTTATTCAGCCCACGAATCCAGGAAGGACATCGGGTATCGCGTCGACTTACCGAAGAGATACATGGCCCTCGAAACAAGCTGCTAGAGAGAGCTTTGCGAAAAGCAAGTTGTACCAGGCCTGGGACCCCAGAGTTTTTGATAAATGGATTGAAGCTGGTCTCCGTGAACTACCCACCGAATTGTGCTCCGATGCTGCACAGATAGAGGGCTCCGCTCCGGTCACACTGACAACGACCAAGGAGCAAGAGGTCTACTCTTATTTGAGACCATTGTGGAAAGGTGTTCCCGGAACAGTACCTTTGGAAGACCATGAGAACTATAGCGACTTTGACCCTGAGGCTGTGGAACCGGACTTCCCCTTCTATCGACCAGAGGCATCTATTTTGTTCCGGAAGCTCCCCGAACTGCGACCGCCGACATTATACCTCACCGGCAAGCACTCTCCACTGGCAGGGACAGAGCTGAATAGGCAACGCCTCGAGCTAACAGGATCTGGCGTCGGTGGTAGCGGCGGCGCAAAGGCCGGATGTGTCTCGGTCACTGAGATGGATTGCGGCCATTTCGTCCCAATGGATGAGCCCATCAAGTCAAGCGGGTTTGCCGCCGACTTCATCGGTGTCGAGGCAGCCAAGTGGCAGCAGAAGATGCAGCTCTTCCAGCAGCAATGGAAGAAGGAACCAAGACCTGAAAGTGTTATGCTTGACGACGAATGGCGGCAACGAATCGGTCCCAGAGCTCCAAGATAACGTAGACTTCATCAACTACAGTCTATGTCCCTGTCTCAATAGCTGAGCGCGCCGCCACATCACTTGCCAGCTGGTCACTCTCTATTCACTTGAATTCCTCACTCACCTCTAAATGCACCACCGGCGTTGGCTTCACAGGCAGGCAGGTTGTCACTATATCATCAACGTCACTACAAACACACAACCTCTGACACATACGCTATCGCTGTTGGCAGAATTCTCCTCCGCTACTTCTCGCCCTTGAATATGTTGCGATCTTCTTGTGCGCCCTCCCCACACCTTTACCAAGCACTTCCGCACAACAGTTCATTCCAGCCACATCCAGTCTACAGCCAGCTTTTGCTGCCGTCATTCTTTCTACTTCGAACACTGTCCTATTTAACTTGACAAGATGAGTCCAAACAATCAGAAGAACAATGCTAGCAACGGCGGGAACGGCAGCAAGCCTAATGACAACAGCAATCCGCAATCGCCGCAAACTCCTACACAAGAAGAACTCCAAGAAGAACTCCAAGGTAAGTAGCCCAAGCAGCCATGAGATAATTTTGGCTTGTATACCTGCTCCTCCCCCCTCATTCTCAAAGTCCATTTCTAGTATTCACCAAACATATCTAATTATCTACAGCTGCCCAAGCCCTCCCTGGCCTGCACGGCACAGGCTCAGCACCTCTAATGCATCATGCAGCCGCCGACAACAACGAGCCCGAGGCTACGACTACGCTTCACCTTCCCTCCGCCCCTCAGCATGCTCCTGCTGGTGTTGAAGGCGCTCTTACTATTGCTCCCGCCCGTATTCCTACGGCTGTCAATGCCCCTGTCACTGCAGACGACGTGCGGGAACTGCTCCATGCTCTCGAGATGGCTGATGCACGCACATACACCTTCATAACCCGGAACATCCCGAGCAATCTCCGCCAGCTGCAGATAATTGCTCGAATATACAACAACATGGGTCCTACGAGAACACTGACTAATGCGATCACCACCCTCGAGGATGCAGACTGGAACCTTGGCGAGGCGCTCCAGAACTGGCGTCGGATCGAGCGCCTCCGAGGTCTCCCCGCCGAAGCCCGCAGACAGGACCAGCACAACTACATGCTAGACCGCAGCGGCGCTCGTGGCGGACAGCGTTTCCATCCCTAAAAGCTCGAGCTCGAGGTCCGCATCGGAGACGGGAACACGGACAAGATGTTCAACCACTTGGACAAACACCCGATCTTCGACAAGGACTCCCCATTCGACATCCTGCGCCTCAACCGCGAGCAGACCAAGTTTCTGGATCGCGAACTCGATCCCATTCCCGCCCACCCCCCGCCAAAGAGGGCGCTTGGTGGCAAACCCTCGAGAAATGGGATCTCGAGGAGCGCTACCTCGCCCGCAACCGCGCCGCGACCAATTTCCCCAACTGTTCCGGCCTGGCCGACGAGCACAGGAGCCGGTGTGGTGTTCATGGTCTACGGTGATCCGGCAGGCGATTCTCACAGCAGCATGTCTGGGCTGTCCCCCTGCTTTCTTTGCTGCTTTCTGTGTTCAAGCACTGGCGTTCAGGATAGAGTGACCACATGACAGAGTCACAGTTTTCGTTCTACCATAATAGCATTGACGCTTCTAACGTCCACCGTTGCATGGGAGGTAGCTCATGCCTGAATCCATACCTCCTAACGTGAAGCTCATCCGTTCGTGACGTCCACTTCGCCCCTCGGTTATCAGTCCGAGACCGAACGCCTCCAGCAGGACCTGAATCCCACAGCTTCACATGGGATATATTTCTTACAGGCCATCCCGTTTCTGCTTTCACTACTTGCAGTGTCTCAGTGGAGTGATGGTTCGTTGCTGACCTGTAATATGGCCAAGATGCTTTGGGACCGCAAAATATTAGAAAGTTAGGGGAAAGTCCATACTGGGAGGAGCGCAGCAGCGAGGAGCCTATAATAGGGGGAAACGGCTTGATTAGAAGGAGGAGACGATCAGCTACCATCTGACTCGGAGTCAGCGCTGTCAGACTGAACTGCAGCAAATACACGTCACAAGATGGTCTGAGTTCATGCAGCTTCGTCAACTCTTCACTTGAATTGAGCTTGAGCTTGAGGAGTCTTGTTGTCTTGTTATACGATCACGAGACAAGCATGCCCTCGCTCTCAAAGTCGTGGTTTACTGACGGCAAGGCTGAATGAACGGGCTTCAATACATGTGTCATCTCTGATCTGTTAGATTCTCTGGCTAAACCCTTGTGCGCTGTCTATGCGCATGCAGCACCAAGTTGGGTATCATTGTTCGTAACGCGTCTCATCGGGACAGAATATCCTTGAATCAGGACAAAAGGGTCACCCGCACACTACAGCAGCTTTCGGAACCTGATTCACAGTGTCGACCACTTCAGGCTTCTCTTCGCGATGCAAAGGCTCATCCGATTGCTTCAATCGCTTTTCACTCTCCGCTTCAGCTGCTGCTTTCTTCCTGAGTTTCAAAGAACCTTTCGCCAGTGCCTCTTCGGGTGATGGCCGCACGTGCGGTTGGCATACCCACCAAGGGCGACCATACTTCGCCAGTGTCTTCTGGGTGGCAGTCAGAGTCTCCTCGCTCTGAGCGTACTCAGAAGGAGCAGCTGTTTCTTTCTCGGGTTCCGCAGCTTCTTCGTCCAGAGCCTTGCGCACGGCCTTCTCGAGGATCAAAAGGACTCGTTCGAAATTGGCCATCTCGCCCACTCTGCACTTTGCTAGAGCGTCCCTGATGTCCGTATTGACCGAGACGACAGATCTGAGCATGCCGAACAGATGACCCTGCATTGGTCGCAGATTAGGGGATGCAGCAACTCCACGATCTCGTTTTCGTTTCTTCGACTTCCCTTGTTGTTCGGTGGACTCTTGAAGCTCTGGTACCTGGATCTCAGGGGTGTCATCACCCGGCAGATACAGTGGCGCCCTTTGAGGCGGCTCCTGCTCCAAAACATAGCGGTAAATGATATCCAAGTATCGGCGGAAGACGCCATCGATCCTGTATCCGCCCTTTCCATCAGCGCCTTGCCAATATTCTCGGCTGTCCGGATCTGAGGGAGGACCCGCGAAGACAGTTGGGTCCGCCAGGTTCGCCTCCGCGCTCATAACGCCATCGAATCCTGTGGCTTCTAAGCAGGTCTTTAGATCGTCATGATTAAGGATGTTGCCATTGGCGAAAAGTACTGTTTCCGGTGGCAGGTTTTCCCGTAGATACCGGAGTATTGACCAGTCAGCCAGACCGGTGTTGTGGCCCTTCTGCTCCCTTCTTCGGCCGTGTACTGTAAGTATGCTGGCACCAGCAGACAGAATCATCTTGGCATAGTCAAGGGTCTTTTCCTTTGTTTCCAGTATTCTCATCTTCGCAGTCACTGGGACTGACAAGTTTTGGTGTAGTCTCTTGATCAGCGCGGATATGGTGTCCCAATCTTCCTGCAAAAAGGCACCGTATTGGCCGCTTCTTGCAATGCCCTGCGGACAGCCCAAGTTCAGGTCGACCGCGTCGCAATAAGGTGCTGCATACTCTGCTGCTTCTAGGAACTGTTCCGGTTTGTTTGCGCAGAATTGTACGAATAATGGCCGATCGATCTCGGGGTTACCATCCAGCCATCGAGGTTCGTCTGAAGGCTCTTTCAAAATGAGGCTGCTTCGCGTAGGCTGGAAGTGCTCGTCTCGGAATTTCGCTCCTTCCTGAAATAGGCGCGCATGCAGCATGGGACTGTATGCCAACAGGTCTTTCGAGGACTCCTTCGGTAGATATGATCGACTCAGCATGCGCCAGGCCTGGTACCGTCAGCATCTAGTGGCAGATGTACTTCAAATGAGACTCACAAACTCGGATCGATCCACCATAGGGGCCAAAATCATTTTTGGACTTCCTATGCTCTCGTAAAATGCTCGCCCATGAAGTTTCTTCGTCTGCGTTGTAGCCATGGTGGGCGAAGTCGTGGAAGTTGTATGAAAGAGCGTGCGGGCTTTGGGAACTGCGGCCGCCAGCTGCGCTTTCACACCGCCAATAAACATGAAATGAGACAGTCTTCACCGCCGCCCACCTTTCTATCCGCTGATACCGGCTACCGAGTATGTGTGCCAGAAAGAAGATCGCATCATCAGTCAAGATCCAAAAATTGTCTCCAACACGCCTCAAAACGGCTAGCCGAAGTTGGCTGCCAAGAGGTACCACTATCGGCCTGGACGAGCCTCGACTCACTGCAGCCATACATAAAATTCCCCCTAATCTAGCCATCACTTTGACGACTCACGTGCCATTTGAGACAGCTACATTCGTTGACTCAAACCTCCTAGGTCTCAGTCTACGAGACCAGGCGGTGCTACCCCAAGTCTCTTTCCAGTCTCGCCTTGCACAGCCACATGACTCACACTCAATCTCCATCTATTTTCTGGCCAGTACTCCCAAAGATCTTGTCGACGCGATCGAAGCGATGCCATACCACCTCCTCTGTATCTCCGGCTACCCGTTTGAAGTATCTGATGCGATGCTGCGGCACCCAATCCTCCTCCGTAACTTCATTCAGCCACATCGATGCCCGCAATTCCTTGTTACCGCCAAAACGGTCGAGATAGCCAACGACGAATTCCTCAATCTTAAGACTAGGATCCCAGCGTATCCGGTCGAGGACATCTGTAAGTGTCAGCATCCGTAGGTGGATGATGTCGAGGTCTACACACCTTGGGCAGTCCTCATCTTAGCGCCCTTCTCTTCGGATGCCTCGCGTGTCTGGTTGCGGGAGAAGTCGCCTTTCAGTCGCCGCCTAGTTTCGTCATCAAGTACTGCCTGCACTTCTTGTTCCTCCACACGCTCCTTGACTTCTTGCTGCCCGATTTCTCGCAAGTGCTCTTGCGCTACGCGTCTGAGTATTGCTAATCTCTGAGCCTCGGGGTCTGTCGATGTCTGCGACGATTCTGATCCGTGGTTGTCCGCCATGCCTGTCCGATATTCAGTGGGGAATCTTCTTTTCGGGCCTGGAAACCAAGGACTTTCCATTGCTAGAGGCCAATTCCCATCTATATAAGGCTCCGGGACCCCCTGGTCTCGACTCCTCGGCTGCGCCACAGATCCACTGGGCCCGGCTCGTAGGGTGAGTCATACCGCGGGCTATGATGGCATCAAACATATGAGGACCAGACGATGACTGACAGCGCGATGATCTAGCCCTGCAGTACCTCCTGCAGGAGGCGTTAGGAGTTGAGCTACATTCCCATGGGCCATCTTCTACAATACATCCAACTTTCCGGCAGTTGGAAGCAAAGACCAGGTAGTGGGAATCCACTCTCATCTTGTCGTTGCAACCCACTTCGACTTGCTATGACGTCTCTATTAGACAGGGCTGTTCGAACCGGCGCCCGCATGGTCGCCACGTCACCCCTCGAAAGGCGTACGAGGTCGAGCATGCATCTCAGTCTGGAATTCAATACGGCTCGAATGCCAAGCCTTTCAGGGGTGGGAGCCTTGTTCTGAATCTTCCCTCTCTTCTCTTCCTACACTGGATGCTGCTGTTGATGTCTGGCATGAGCAAGAAAGAAATATTGTCCGGACATTCTGGGAGTCAGTGGCCATGTATAGCTCCAGGGCTGAATATAGCTGACTCAATGCGAAATCGCTCAGGCATCTTGAAGAACCATGCGGCGTTTTCTCTCGCGATAGCGATCAGCGACCGCTGTACTGTAGTCAACCAGGGGCAAAAATTGGTACAGAATCAAGCCTTGGGATATTTGAGAAACCCGAAGTGCCACTCAGATGGCTATAAACATGACTACTGCTCTCGAAGACAGGCACCTACACCCTCCTCGCGCAGATTTTCCTACTTCGGGCCCCCAATCAACACCTTAATGCCTTTCCCAGCCTTAATATCTTCAAAAGCCTGCTCGGCCTCCTCAAACGCGACCTCCCTCGTAATCAGCTTCTTGACATCAATCTTCCCACTCCCGACCAACTGCACGGCATCCCTGTAATCCCCCTCACTGTACCTGAAACTGCCACTGATCTTCAACTCCTTCAAGCACGCCACCATGATGGGGAACGTGCACTCATCCCTGCCCATGCCACCCTGCACATAACTGCCGCCGTTCCTCAGGACATGCATCGCCGTCTGCACGCTGGGCTCGGCGCCAGACGCATCAATGGCCACATCGGCGCCCAGTCCCAAATCATGCTCCTTGACCATCCGCTCCGCGTTCTCCTGGGAGCTGACCTTCTCCGGCATGAACACCCCCGTGGCGGCGAACTCTTTCGCAAAATCCAACCGCGGCTGCTGGATGTCGACCGCGATGACCTTGCTCGCGCCGAACGACTTGGCGACCGCACAGCACAGCAGCCCGACGGGACCCGCGCCGAAGACGACGACGGAATCGCCGTTCCGGATCCGGCTCTGCTTCGTGATATGCACCGCCACCGCCAGCGGCTCCATCAGCGCGCCCTCCTGCAGACTCACGTGGTCGGGCAGCCGGTAGCAGAAATCCTCCGGCAGCACGTAGTACTTGGCCAGCGTGCCGTCGTACGGCGGGGTGGCGGCAAACTTCATGTCCAGACACAGATTGTACAGCCCTTCCTTGCAGCGCACGCAGCGGCGGCAGCAGACGCCGGGCTCCATGGCGACGCGGTCCCCCTTTTTCAACGTGGTGACTTGGTCGCCCACGGCCACGACGGTGCCGCTGCTCTCGTGGCCCAGCACCATGGGGTCTTTGACGACGTAGTGGCCGATGCGGCCGTGCTGCCAGTAGTGGATGTCGGAGCCGCAGATGCCCGTGTAGTTGACTTGCAGGAGGACGTCGTGCGGGTCTGAGATGGAGGGGATGGGCCGGTCTTCGAACTTGACGGATTTCTCGCCGGCGAGGATGAACGAGTTGTTCTGGAAGTAGAAGTGTCAGATGGGAGTAGATCAGGAGGGGGTCCCTGCGCGTACCTTTGTCTCGGTCTGTGTAGCCATGGTGGGCTAAAGTTGCTGCTGCTGCTCTGAATGCTCTGAATGCTCTGTGACGTATATTTCTAGCTCAGTTCAAAGCTCTCTGTAGATCGCTCTTTCGCCGAGCTAGAGGTAAGGCAACGGACTACAGCTGCGTATAGCGAAACGAGATAGAATACAACAAGCAACCAAAAAAACTCGTTTCGTTGCAGTCGGAGGTACCACCCCCCTCACGTATATATAAAATCCGCTTATTAGCCTGATTGTTCCGGTGGAACATGCCCAAGTGTTTAACTGCGGGGCAGCCAATGGTGGCTCGTGTTACATACAAACCCACCGGCGCTAACCCCTCCCACTCCGCTTCATGCCCAGACTGAGGTACGTCAAGCCAACGAACGGGCGGGCCCGGGGGAAATGATTTGTTTCCCGAGAGAAATGGGAGGCTACATATGCACTGGTCATCATGTTGATCAAGAAGATCACGAAATAGTCAAGACATACTTCCATGCTTGCGGGGAAATGAGTTTTGAGTAGCTTCAATCATTGCGCCCAGTCGTAACATGGCTGACAGGCTGAGATTGTGTATACAAAAAGAAGCGGGCAAACCCCGCGATTATCCCCGACCGGCAACCTCAAAAGGGCAGGTGCACCCTCCCTTGCATTTTTACTGCCTGGTCCTCTTCGCCCGCATCAATGGCCTTTCTCGAGCTGCACAATCTTGTCCGCATTTAGGATGCCCAGCGGATCGAACGCCTGCTTCAACTTCCTCATGGCATCAACCGTGTCCTCGCCGAGCTCCTCTCTCAGGCTCTCCCTCTTCTTCAATCCTACGCCGTGCTCGCCCGTTATTGTGCCTTCCATGTCGATCGCCCGCTGGACCATCCTGTGCACCACCTGACCAGCTGTTTCTTTCTCGGCATCGTTGTACAGCAGAATAGTGTGGAAGTTGCCGTCGCCCACGTGTCCCACAATTCCACCGACCAATCCGCTCTTCTCGACATCGTCACGCGTCTCCTGGATGATGTCTGCCAGCTGGCTGATAGGCACCGCAACATCCGTTGTCCAGACATGGTCGCTGCTATCCCTTCTCAGAGCCATGACAGACCACAATGCCTCCTTGCGAGCGGACCACAGCTCCGCCGCCTCATCGTCGTCCTTGGCAAATTCGAATGTCTTGCTGTTGGCCAATTTCCGTACAATGGCAATCTGCTCCTTGACACCCTCCTTTGTGCCCGCAAATTTGAAGAACAGGCTGGGCGCTTCGGTCCATGAGCGAGATGTGGTACCAGCCTTGTTGATGCACTTCATCTGTACATCATCCAAAATCTCCATGCCCGCGAGCTGAATGCCTTCTTTGACAACCTTGGCAACACACTCGGCTGCGGCGTGGATGGAAGGGAATGTTGCGACTGCGACGCTCGTAGACTTGGGGAGAGTCGTGACTTTGAGTGTAGCTTCCGTGACTATACCAAGCGTACCCTCGCTTCCAATGAACATTTGCGTAAGATTGTAGCCAGCACTGGACTTCCGTGGGCGACGGCGGGTCTTGACAACGGTTCCGTCCGCGAGAACAACAGTCAGACTGACGACCCAGTCTCTCATCGTGCCATATCGATACGCGTTGGTGCCGGAGCATCCAGTGCCCACCATGCCACCGATCTTGGCGCCTGGGCCTGGGTCAGGCGGGAAAAAGAGACCGTGTTCATGTAGTTCGTCGTTGAGGTGTTCCCAGCCGAGCGCAGGTTGCACAATGATGTCTAGATCTTCCGGATGAAAGTCGAGAATCTTGTCCATACGGGCCAGGTCGATACAGACACCGCCCCTCGTCGGCGCGAAGTGGCCTTCCAAGCTGGTGCCGCCTGACAGCGCTGTGACGGGAACCTTCCTTTGGTGGCATACTTTCATGATCTTGCTGACCTCCTCGGTCGTGCCAGGATATACCACGCAAAAAGGCACCTCGTGTTCCTTGCGCGAATATGAGCTCCATTCCGAACCGGCATGAGTCTCAAGATCTTCTTTTGCGGAGCTGACGTTTTCCTTGCCGACAATAAGAGCAAAGTCAACCCATGCGGCCTGCAGTGTGGTCGTACGTGTGTCATGCTGCGGAGGTTGTGCATCCTTGAGGGTCGTGGTGGAGGTGGAGGGAAGCGGCCGCGGGACTCGTTTGCCAAAGCTGTAGGCCGCAAATGCTGTGGCCAACAATGCTGAAAACGTGTTAGCATCAAATGCTTCCACTGGGGAGGACACTTACCAATGCTCAGCATAATAGAGTTGGGCACCCAGCTGGTCGACCTGACCTCCCTCTCCCGAATATACCTTGACTCATTGGCGCGCTCGCGCTGTAGCCGCGCATACGTGCTTCCTTGAAGGCTGTTCACGAAGTCAGGAGTCTTTGCTTTCTCCTCCTTCTTCTCTTCCTTCAGCCACCTACTGCCATGGAACGACCGACTGCCCGCAAGCACGGACTGGAGAAATGGTGATGACTGTGCTGCGGGCTTTGCCCGGACCGCACGGAGGCCTGCTGCGGCCAGCCTGTAGGAAGGTAGGCTCTGCATCTTTGACCTGAAGCAGCTCGAGAAGCTGGAGAGAGGTCAGTTGCAGCGCATCCTTTTGTAGGCAAGTTGCTGAGGCCCAAGGACGAACGATTCTCGGTGGCGGGGATGGAGATCTTGCACCATAGCCGATGGCCAACAGCCGAAAGATCGAGGCGTGCGGAGCTTTCTCCGCAGTTGAGCAAGGCCGCCCTGCAGAATGCCAAGACCAGTCTTCGTCGCCTAACCTGCTCCATCTAACGGCTACGGGAAGAAGGACGAGACGACACACCAAGATCTCATGGTACGCGACGCTGCGGTCAGCCATGCTTGCCCGTTTCTTCGACGGCAAATTGCCATAGCCGCGCTACAGATTCGACCCCGGTACTTGTAGCTCAACGCGGGGCTCGAAGTCCGCCGAGCATGAATGCTGCCTCCATCAACGCTATCTCGCCCATGCGAGGTAAGCATCAATGCGCCTGCACAGTCGGAACCTGCGGTGCTATGCTACCGTTCTGCTTCGCCGCGTCCTTTGCTGCCGCATTCTTCGCCTCCTCCGCCTGCTGCTCCCGTATCTTCTTCAGGAGTTCCGGGTACCACCTTTCGCCCACGTCGGGATGGCTTTTAATTCGATTCATGAGGGTTGCCTCGCCTAGCCGTGACCACATGCCCTTGATGAAGGTAAACTCGATATCGTCCAGCTTCTCGCCCCGGCGATCGAGTATCTCTTGTCTTAGCGCTTTGACATTTTCGGGAATATTCATGCTCTCTGTGCTCGCGTCAGACAATGGATTGAGTAGTAAGCACGGGGAAGGTACTCACCAAACGTAGCATCGTAGCTCACGCCCTGGAAGAACGGAATACTGTATCTCGCCCCCAATCCCCTCTGCGGACTCAACACCCGATGGGTCGTGCTCTGGCACACGCCCTGAGTTAACGCCTCCATGCCCTGACCGATGGCGACCACGAAAGTTCCATCAATCGGCACACAGTCGATCCACTTGCCATCTGCATTCTGCACCTGGAGCCCCCTGTGGTTGCTCGCTTGCAACAGGTAACTCGAGAGCATAGAGTCCTTGTGCGGCCCTACACCCTGCGCCTCCACCGCCCCATCAACACCCAACTCATCCAGATCCGGATACTTGACAATCTTCAATTTATGCTGCTGCGCATCGTCAAAGAAGCGATCGAACGCATTTGCCGGCATGCCAATCGCCTCCGCACACAACGACGTAAAGCGAATAGACATATCCCCCATCAGCAGCATGTACCTCTCATAGATCTCCTTGAAGCCCGGCAGCGCCGCCTCATCCGGCCACAGATTTGGCGCCAGCAAGTTCCGGTACAGCGGGTCTCCCGGCTGCGGCACCGGATGGGGCGTCGACAGATCGATCTGCTCGCGCCAGTCGGTCTTGAAACGCGTGATCTCCATGCCGAGCTTGTTGTAGCCGAGGAACGACGGCGCGTTGACCATTTCGCACTTGAGCTTCTCATCTTCGGGGAGTGAGAAGAAGGACTTGCCTAGCGTGATGACCTGTTGGATGAGCTCTGACGGGATGCCGGTGTTCTTGATGTAGAGGAAGCCGACTTCCAGTAAGGCATGGCGGAGGTCGGCGAGGAGAGCGGGTTTGGTGTCGGGGTTGTCAGCCAGCGATAGATCGAGGATGGGGATGCTGCTGAACGACATAGTGTTCGATGCCGCGTCGTGCTGCTGGTCAAGGATGAGAATAGGATGCAAATACCTCCAATGTCCTAATGCGAGTGTTTAGATGAGCCCACGCGCCCTGCAAGCACGCCATGGCGACGTCGGAGATGCTCGCCGTGTCCTGGTGCGGGGGAGCGTGAAACAGCATATTCCGGCCAACAGGCGTGGCAAATGCAGCTCGAATCTGCGTCAAGAACACACGACATGGAAAGACATACCTTGTGACCTCCAACTCAAGACTTTGGGAAGCGATATGAGCCAAGATGGGTCCAGGACCATCATATCGGAGAGGAGGTCTTGGACATCCACTTGCATTAAATTACCTTTGGTGGTCACACACTGAGCTCACCAAGTAAAGCATTAGCAGAATGGACAGGGACAGAAAGAACAAGAAAGGTCGGACGACTGAGTAATGCACTTGATCCATTATCATACGACGAATGTACCAGATGGTTTGCCTGGCTTCATACCTGTGTCAACCTGTGAGCCCCCAATGCGCCTTGCTGATATTCAGGACCACCGGTTCCCGTGCTGCACTCGTCTATCGCCCATCGAGCCTCCCAATTCAAAGAATGCTTTGCAATTATATCCTCATCGGCAGCATCCAGAATCCGGCTGCAATGGAAAACCTCACGGCCCTTCACTCATCACTATCAACCACTCTCATACTTCGGCCTTGACCACTCTGTCGACCGCGCATAGTTTTGACCACAGACGTCTTGACACTTCCCACTTTGCTCTTCAACTGTGTCCTTTTTGTACCGTTTTGCTCCGTGACTTCTTTCTCCAACAAAGCTTCTGTGGCCGAAGTAGTCGACACAATCCGTCTACCGCTTCTGCTCTTCTGTATGCCGGCGGCTGCGCTGGCCTTTGCACTCGTCGCCGCACTCGTCGCTCGCTCCTTCGCCCCGTTGACCATCCTCTTCAGTTTCGAGGGGTTGCGAGCCAGCCCGGTGCTGGCTTTTATAGGACTAGCAGATGAGCCACGGACGGCTTTCGCTACAGCTTTCGCCTTTGCTGTGAAAGTTGTAGTCTTTTTGGGGCTGTTCGAGTAGATTCTGCTTCGAGCTTTGGTCGTCTTGACTTGCACTTGCGTTTCAGTCTTCCGCTTCTTCGTGACCTTTTCGACCGCGTCCCCAATGGCGTCGGCGACTTTCCTCTTAAGGCTCTTCTTTTCTTTTGGCTCGTCTTCTTTCTCTTCGCTCTTCCGCTCATCCTTTTTAGGTCTGGGACCAAGAACACCGCGGCAACGTTCCTCACCGCATCTGCACTCCTGGACATTCTTCTGGCTGAAAGGATCGAAGTTGTAATCGTAAGTTAATTCTTCGCCGGTCATAATTCCACCTTCGCCGGCGAATAGCGCCATGCGTGGCTTCCCGTTGACAGTCCACTTCTCCATGCGGCAATTTGGGTTACATGAATGATTGACGAAGCGTGCAATAGACCCCTTCGTCGTCGCATCAATGATCATGTTTTGGTCAAACAGCATCAAGTAGTAGCACTGCCACAATGTTAGCCTCACCAGTGCTTCCATAAGAGGATGGCATACCTCATTGTTTTTGTATTCTTTTCGCATCCTCCTGTCACACTCATCCTGGTTGATGACCTCGCCCGAATATTCCACGATGACCTGGTTTGGGTCGAATGTGCGATTGCTTCGGACGCCGTACCCACGGGTGTCGGTCTTGATCACCTCCACACCAATGTTGTACTTCCCACCCTTCTTGACGCGTTTCCTGAGGTCATCAAATGCCCGATTGCCGCACTGCTCGGCAGTCAAGTTGCAGTTCTTGCTGTCGCATTCGTAATACATGTACCTATTCATACAGTCTTGGTCGCATCCAGTCTCGGGAGTGCAGATACAGGCCGAATACTCCATATCTTTAATGACGCGCCATTCTTGAGCAGCGTCGCCCACGAAGATATTCTTGTTCGACTTCCGCCACTCATCCGGCTTGGGCTGTCCAGGTGGCAGAGGCGAGAACACATCGAAAGGAAGCTTGAAGTCACGACCTTCATTGAGAAGACGCTCGCCGAAGAACATGGGTAACGGCAAAATCGAGTTCTCCTTTTCGGCGCCAGCATCTCCAGCGCTTTTCCGTTTGCCTTTAGTACCGCCATGATGGCGGGCGTCAAACTGGCGCTTCTGACCCGCGTAGAGGCCGGAAGTCAGCCACTTCTTGTCCTTAGGAGCGCGAGGTGCTTTCTTGCTGAGAGGCGATGTCGTGGTAGTCTGTGGGGCAAAGGGCAGAACGTTGTCAGTGACCCGCCGCTTCTTCGCGATGGGCTCATCTGCCACCGCTGCGCCTTGCTCCATGGCACTCCGGGGTCTCAGGCTGCCTCTAAGATCGCTGGTACGGTCCTTGCGTTTGCCCAGGACGGTTTCGGCAATCCCTGAAGCAAATTCAGCGGCCCTGCTGAGTGTCGGAGCTCTGGAGGACCGGCGTGTGGCATTCTTCTCGGCCATCTTCTTCCTCTTCTCCCACAGCCGGTTATTCTGTTCGATTTTCTTCTTTTTGGCGGCGGCCTTAGCTGCGCGTTCTTTTTCGTCTTCCGAGTCTTCCGAGTCTTCTTCTGCCATGGTATTTACAGTTTCTGTGCTCCCCGCTACCTTTGGATTTGTGGATTTGGTGAGATCAGCCTTACTACCAATGTTGAAGACGTCGCTCATATTCCATGGCAAGTCTAGTGCGTCGACACCTTTCTTGAGCAAGCTATCCTGGCTTGCATTCACGCTATTGACAAGAGTCTCCCCGGACACTGTCCTGTATTGCTCTTGACCCTTCTTCGCCGAGGACAGTCGGTCAATAGCTCTGCCCTTCGACATGCGCTTACTGACGCGTCGTCCTTGTGCTTTCAACAAATCCTGGCTGCTTGCCACACTGGATGATTCTGTTGCAGTCTCATCAGGGGTAGGGAGTTGCAGGGGAGGCTCCGTAACCTCAACTTCAATAGTGTCGGATGTGTCAGATGAATTTGAGCTCAAAGCTCGTGAAAGACTGGACCGTCTATTGGATTTGAGTTCATGCTGTTTCGGGGACGCAAGTGCTGCAGCAAAGCTGAGCAGGGTCTGACGGAGAGGCATGCTTATGGAAGGCTCGGTTGTTAAGTAGAGATCCTGGTCTTGATACACGACGCGTTCAAAGAAGTGGGAACGCGTCTACAGTATCCGCATGCAGAGTCGAGAGTCGAAGGTGTGAAAGATCATGAAGCAAACGCGTAAAGGGTGAGGTGTTGTGGTACAAGTCGTTAGAAAGAGAGGAGAGAGTCGAAGATGTGCCGCACTTTGGGAGAGGCTGGGACCAGACCGCAGACCGCGACCCACCAATCGCCTCCACGCCATTTCTGGTCGCATATCCCTGGACGACAACATTCTCGCTGAGTACAACAGATACTCCGGTCTCATTATGCTCACAGGCCATCTACATGTCTGTGCAGTCCATGGGTCCTATATTATTGTACAATATTACTTGGCCTCCAATTTCTGCCGAGATTGTGGCCCCTCAAATCCCCTTTGTGTTGATACAGGCCGCATCTCCATGCCGCCGTTTTGTGCTTCGGGCACAAGAGGAGCCTGACGTCTACCCCGTCGCTCCCCGAAGCGCTGATCTCCTTCTTCGTAGTATTTCTTGAAATGTAAATATGTCGGTGGCCTCGCCCTTCCGAGTACTGCCAGCCAATTCTTCAAGAAGTTACCTTGAGTAAAAGGGCGATGCCTCTCTGCTTTTGGGAATCTCCTCGACGCCAGATACTCCCTTGTTGTCTCGCCTTTGCCCATGAGCATGAGGTGATAGACCCACAGCGCCGCTGGGTACGGAATCGCCACTAGTCCGTAGATAAACATGGCAAAAGGTACTCGGCACCTACTGATGGCCTGACCAAATGCAATATTATGTTGGTTGCCGTAAGCAATAACGTGGCCCAAGCTGCCAAATGAGAGCAAGAGCCCAACAAGAGTCGCTGTGCTGATGAAGCCGAAGAAGTAACGATAGTTGCGGCGGCCCATGCAGTTATTCAACCACACACAGTGGTGATCCAGTGTCTCAACGCAGTTGTCACAAACACGGCAGTGATAGCAGCGTGGGGGGCGCCAGATGTTGCAGGTTTTGCAATATTTCACCGGTACGTCCATGGCAGCCGTCTGGGAAGTTGCAAGCCTGACCATGACCCAATCATTGGTGGGCGGTCCAATAGCAAGCGGATCCTCTTTCCCGGTGGGAGGGAAAGGATGGATATTGCGGGGGAAAATCTAGACATGGTTAGCTGAATCGGAACAGTCAGTGGTTTTACTTACTCCTGGATCGACGGTGGACGCATGGATAAAGGATGATAAACAGAGAAAGAAGAGGTAGCCGAATATTATAGGGATCGCTGGTGATACATGATGCCACAGGAAAGAGGCTCTACGCAATGATTAGCTTCTTCGAGCGTACGTTGAGCGAGCGAGGGTGGACTTACGAATAAACAAAAAAGAGAATCGCCGGCAGGACGAGCACAATGCCGGTTGCGATGTTGACGGGCCGGTCACGAGCGTTCTGCATACGTCCTCCCCACCAGAACACAGTGTTGCCCTCAAAATACTCATGGTTCTTACCCAGTGCACCTTTTGCTGTTGAGGGAGTCTCATTCCCATCCTGGCGTGCGAGGCGTGGCGACCCTGCACTTGAGGAGAGTGGTTGATGGCCTGGTTCCATACGGCCCTTGCTGGCCAGGCTGAATCCTGACCGGAAAGATAGCGGCGACTTCTGTGGCGCATCACCTGCTTTCTGGGCAGCTCCGATGTTCAAGTGCATTGGGCGGTTGATGGCCTTCCTAGAGCCATCCACTAGCCCGGTCTCGCCCTCCTGTTGCGACGCGAAGTCGTGAGAGCCAGTCTCGTAGTGCTCGGGCACTTCTGACTGAGTATAGTCGGTCGCGATCGACTGGAGTGGTCGATGGCCTCTGGGCATGGCGTGCCTGCTAGAAGCAACACTTCGATCATCCGCATCATCGTATTGATCTCCATCGGGTATGGGGGCCGGTGGCTGGACTGATTTGTTACCGCCTGGGGGACGACGAAATCGTTGCGCTTGCAGCTTCTGCGAGCTCATGGGCCTAAAGAAGCCCTGGGCTGTCAAAGAAGGCACATGCGTTCGGCTGGTTGTGCTGACAGGGCTTTGAGGACGGCTAGATCCAGTGTTGCTCGACGGCGCAGGAGGAGGGTTTCTTATGGTACGATTGGCGGGCTGGGTGATACCGCGAATGTGAGAGAAACCATGCTGCGAAGCAGAAGGATTTGGCAACGTTGGTTGGTCCAGTCTTGCGCCAGTTTGCGGTCTTGAATGGTAGCCATCTTCGGAGATGGCAGAGGAGATCTCGCTGAGAGCTGTGCTGGGACGTACAGCCATCGCGATCAACAAGCTGTTGACCGGTGACGCAGGTCTTGTTCGTGTCACTGGTGTGACCTAGGCTGCATATTGCGGAGGTAGTACGGTAAGACGCTAGTGGAAGGATTGTGTAGAGAGCGTAATGTCGCGTCAGGAAAATGAGCGAAATAGGGGTCAGAGAAGAATTAATAAACGACGACGAGATGACATGAGAGGTGGGAGCGGACGTCGTCGTGAAGCAGGTGGCTGCCAGGATGCACCCCTGACAGGCAATTATTGAGACGTGGAGAGGATTCGTCGCAACTTCCGGACGGATGCGCCCGCCAAGCGTAGCAATCAACGTGATTGAGTTGGCAGCCCTAACCCTTCCCAAAAACAGCTTAGCTCCCAGCTGCACTCAGGACCTCCAACGTCAATTCCTCCAGTCGTATGATACACTTACCCAGCTTTGAATCTCCGCTCCTCCCTCTCTCGAGCCTCGAATACCGCCGACATGTCATTCATTATCCGACGACAAGCTTCAACGGTTGCTGCCGCGGCCAATGCGGCCAAAAGCGTCGGCAAAAGCGCTAGCGGCGGTGGACCCGAAGATAAAGTGCTGAAGAAGGGTGCAAGGAGGGATCCCGAGCTCTATGTATGCGGGCGGAGGTCATGCAGAAACTGGACAACCTGCTGATCAGAGTCACAGATCCTTGCCGCTGTCATGTCGGGCGCCTTCGGTCTCGCTGGCTTCTACTTCGGCCGCAAGCCTACGTCTGCTACCTCGCAAGCCGAAGTCTCCGTGGCCAATAGCTCTATGCCTTGGGAAGTCGACCACGACCATGAAGACCACAACAAGCATTTCAAATACCAATACCATCCGAAAGGCGACCGCAGCCAGGCCCCAAAGAACGCACCGAGCGCTCTTAACACAGTCGTAGTCCCCAATGTGACATTACCGAAGGTAAGAAACCATAGCCAGCCACACTACAGGCAGTCGTATTGACGATGGGACAGGAGCTGCACGACATGTTCAACAAGTGGGGCAAAGATGGCTACTAAAGCTCGCAATTCATATTCTGTGCTTGCTGTGTTTTGGGTGAGTACTTGCGAAAGGCTTGAGGGCCCTTGTGCAGGGCACGACCTGTACATATCCGCAGAATCAGCCTCAATCACATTTTCGAAGCAGCATTTGAATATCTTTCTTTGCCCTTTCTCTTGATTTCGATATTGTCACTCTGAACGGTCGTGCAGTGTAGCGGGTACAACAATCTTTGCTCGAGGAAGCAGCAGGTGAACCAGCCGAACACGACTTTGGTGTGGCTTCGTCCTTCGGAGCTGGACCTACGCGATAAAAAGCTTGCCTACCATTACCTGGTCTTCTGCAATCTGAGTTCCTCTCACAGCTTTTCGTTTTCCTCAAGCGTAACAGCTGCGCGTGCGCATTTCATTCTAGCATCTGCTCATGTTTCCAGTGTCTCGTTCGTGCTGCTTCGAATTGACAGACCAGATTCCATCATGTTGTCAACTGACAGAGATTTGGCAAGCTGCATCACGTTGGCTAGGAACTCTGTATCAGCAACTGCATTGTCCCGTTCCGGCCAGCTAATGCTGGAGACATAGTTGCTCAATTGCATGGGACGGATCAACCCTCATATCTTTGCATCAGCACGCGCGTGACCAAATAGTCCATGTTCCTGGAAGCAAATACTCACGCGGGACGCACATATTGTTGCGTAAGGTTCTCGCACTGCAAGCCCAGCCACACCCTCTGGTGCCAGTTCTCCTTAGCTGCCTGACCAGCGAGACTACGAAGCGTCAGAACAACCTCGAGCACCTTCTGTGATACCTCTCCTGATTCGACGGGGACAGGCCACGACTGATCAATTGGCTATTGCAACCTGGGGTCGCCTATATTTCGCACCTACGGGCACGACGAACAGTCGCCATGTAACATCAACGAATCAACGAGACTAGTTCCAGCTGTTCAAGCGTAGTCTTTTAGCCTGGTGCAACAATGGTGATACAGCATCCGAGCTGTACCTGCGTTTTTATTCACACTTCACTCTGTTAAACGCTTGACACCATGTCAACGCCGTACTCGGTAGCAATCAATTCCTGAGAACCTCGATGCAGTTTATTATATGCTTCCAGTTCCTACTTATGTTCAGTGGCTCAACAGGCGACCTGTCGCTCAACTTGAGATACCCCCCAGCACTGCACACAGCACAAGCAGGCAGTGAATTGAACACTAATGCTGCCTTGGGATTAGCGTGGCTCCGAGATAAATCGCCAGCAGGCCAACCATTTATCACCTTCCGACTGATCCAGTATCGTCCCGACGACAGACGGCGAGTGCTCTCCCTCAGCTGTAAACTGTGTCGAATGCATCACAACCTCCAGCTCTCAGCCTGACGACCTGCCATGGCATTTACTCGTGCTCAAGACCTCGCCATGCTGGCCGCGATTCTCCGACCTCCTCCCCAGTCTCTTCCAGTTACCTCTCGCAGCCTATACAGTTTCAGGCACCCGAAACACTCAAAGAACTGCTCATCATCTCAGCGGCGCGAATTCTCCGTGCTCAACCGCCCATCACCAAACTATCCCGGCCATGTTCCGCTGACCTCTATCGAACGTCTCGGCCTCGCTGTGGGCTCTGCCTTCACGTCACTCATTGACCCTTTTCGTCACGACATGATCGCTGCGTGTGGTGAAGCGACCGCTCAACCATTTTTCATCAGTTATCTGAAAACCCGCATGCTTTCCGACCCCACCGGCCGGCGTATCCTTCGCGATCGGCCGCGGATCACGTCTAAAACCATGCCGCTTGAGATGCTGCGGCAGCTTCCTGAGAACAGCGTGGGGCGTACGTATGCCGCATGGCTTGACCGTGAAGGCGTTACACCCGACACTCGCGATCCAGTCCGCTACATTGATAATGAGGAGGAAGCATATGTAATGCAGCGGTACCGGGAGTCTCATGATTTCTATCACGCGCTCACCGGACTGCCGGTCTTTGCGGAGGGGGAGATTGGACTGAAGGCGTTTGAGTTCGCGAATACGGGCCTGCCCATGACAGGCTTAAGTTTGGCGGCGATAGTGCGGCTGAAGCCAGGAGAGAGGAAGAGAATGTTTGAGATATATTTGCCTTGGGCATTCAAGAATGGCTGGCGCGCGAGAGATGTTATTAATGTCTACTGGGAAGAGGAACTGAAGACGGATGTCGGCGTACTGAGACAGAGGCTGGGTCTGGAACAGCCACCAGACTTGAGGGAAATGAGAAAAAAGATGAGGGAGGAGAGAAGGAGGGCCAAAGAGTTGAAGAAAGCACAGCGAAGTGCTTGATGTGTAAACATGTCGACAGCCTGGAGCTGCTTTTGGGGGGTATCACGATGCATACTGTCGTCCCGCCTTCAGACCACCTATTCATGATTCGTTGAGAAGATCATCGAGGTCATCTTCGTCCCAGCGACCTTTTCGCACAACCTTCATGTTTTCCAGTGTTGGACCTGTCTGCTTCTCATGCTCGGTGAGACTGGCCAACATCTGCTTCAATTGTTCTTCATTGACCTTCTGCTGTAATTGACCAGACCTCGCAATCATAATGAGTCTGTCCTCGACCATCTGCGCGCGAGACTCTTTGACCATTCGGATTCTGCCTAAACGGTCGGCGGCTTCGGGCTCGAGGATCTGGTTGAGAATGGACGAGCGCTGTTCAGTCTCTCGCTGCCTGCAGAATAATCAGATCTCGCTCGCTGCTGGTGAATCCGCACCTACTTCTTCTGCTCCTGATCATCCTCTTGACCTTGCCCTTGCCCACCTTGTGACCCTCCGCCTTGTTGCTGCTTCAGCTGCGCCATGCGGGCGGCTCTGATCTGCGACCGATCAGCGGAATCTTACCGGCATTCAACATGAGGCCATACCTGTGCCAACTCATCATCGCCCATCTCGAACCAGCGTAGCGTGTTTAGACCACGTGTTTAGGGAACGAAATAGAAGCGGTTCTTTGCGCCCTGTAAAAATGCAAGCGGGGCAACCAACGGCCTGTGACTTTGCAATGCCCCGTCACCTGCTGAAACCAGTTAGATTGGGTCAAGATTCTAACGCAGTGGCGTTCTAGGAGGAGCCGGACGAAGCCTACGGGTCTGGGCAAATAGGCTTTGGACATGGGGGTCTGGAGCCGCCCACGAGGCCTCTGACAGGCGGCGCAGCCGCTCAAACCGGTGGTCAGTGGTCGAGATTGCCAGGCGGCCGCAGGCGGAGCTCGGTCGGCGCGGGTATGGCATTGGGGTATACCCACCACTGACGGCGGCGGTATCTCGCCTCGCTGCAAGTCAGAGTCTGGTGAGTTTGCTCTCACGTCTACCTGGTCTCTATCTCCTGTCTTTTGTGCTCGCCAGCCTGTTCTGCTATAACGAGTCGCCAGGCAGGGTTCTCAGATCTGAAGAGGGTGTACAGCAACAGCGGTTGCGGTGTACAAGGTTGTTCAGCTGCCCCATTCGTCATCATATGCGCAGCTCACCTGTGCACCCTTCCACATACAGACCGAGCGTGATCTTACACGACAGCCGCAATTTTCCTATCACAATGCGTTCGCTGTGAACGGACCTCTGTATCTATAGACCCAGATTCCTGTCAACCAAGCCAGTCATTCTGTGGCACCTGCCCTTGCGCAGCAATGGAGTCTATGGCTATAGCCTACCTCAACACTCCCTCCTACCTCGACAACCGACCAGTTTCTCTCGGGCCACCTCCCTCTGGCTCGCCGCGTCCTTCTCTCTCGAAGGCCAGATCTACTACCGATCTTGATGCTATTGCTACTGCGCAGCGAATAATGGAAAATGGCCCTGACTCGTCCTTTCGAACGCTCGCCGACCCGCGCACTGCCAGCATGACTGATCTGTCCAAGACGGGTTCGCGGTCTCCTAGCGACAGGCATCCGGACCTTAGCAATGAAGTCTCGACGCTGAGTGACAAGCTGGTGAGCGCTATCGAGCATAACTCCGTCCTGGATGAGAAGCTATCAGAAACGCGTCGCGAGCTTGAAGAATCACGCGCCCGGATAGCGAAACTCGAGGCAGAGGCAAACGAGCACGAGGAGAGGATAAGAAAAGGCGAGCTGTTGACCAAGGGTGCTGCAGACGAATTAAATGGCAAGCTCTCCGCAAACCTGGCGGAGGAGAAGAGGCAGAGGGCCCTTATACAGCAGGAGAAGCGAGGTATAGAGAGCGAGCTGGAAAACCTGACTGCGTCACTCTTTGATGAAGCCAACAAGATGGTTGCAGCCGCCAATATGCAACGTGAGGCAACAGAGAAGAAGAACCAGCAATTGCGTGACCAAATTAAGGATGGTGAAGCTTTGATAGCTTCCCAGACCGAGCAACTGACCGAGCTCAAGACTTTGATGCAACAAATCGGCTCCGATCACCGCAAAGAGTTACAGTCGCCGCGTTCTTCGCTCGCACCCTCCAGCCCAGGCGTCGCTCGAGAAGAAACAGATCTCACTCGGCTCCTCGAAGCTATGAACCTATCTCCCGCTTCAGCTGACGACACTGAGATCGCCCCCTCTCCATCTACTTCGCTGACTCACCTCCTTCGTCCAGAATGTCGGACCGATATCCCGGCCTACGAAGACTTCAAAAATCTTGTTGCGACATCTCACCCTCGGAGTCACAACCCGTCTCATGCTCCTTCACGTGCAGGTTCTGGCTCATACGGCGGGCTCAACGTAATGGGTCTCTCGTTCGCCAACAATTCAAATCCTAATCTCGCCTCTGCCGCGACTTCACAGTCTAAGTTGGCCTCTGCTCCCTCGATCCCAGGCTCTTTCTCGCCGTCTGCCGACTCTTCTGTCGCCAAAGGTCCAGTCCCTCTCAAGGACACTCGTTTCTTCAAGCGCATCATGGCCGAGGATGTGGAGCCCACGTTGCGTCTCGATTTGAGCCCCACAATATCCTGGCTCAACCGGCGCAGCATCCTCGCCGCGATGGGCGAGTCGAATCTGATCGTGGAACCAATAGCCGAAGCATCTCTGAAGTTGTATGGCAAATATACCTCCTGTGCAGTCTGCGGCGAGGGGCGCAAGGCGGGTGAAAACCCCCGCACGCACGCAATGCGTGTCCGTGAGGGAGAGGGCGCGACCAAGTGGAGCATCTGCCGGTTGTGCTTGGAGAAGGTGCGCGGCGTTGGCGACCTCATCGCCTATGTCCGCATGATACGTGAAGGAGTGGTGAAGTGTGGAGACCGCAAAGAGGAGGAAGAGGCTTGGGATGAGCTGGTACGTATGCGCGAGCGATTGTTTTGGGCACGCATGGCTGGTGGAGTGGTACCAGCATTTGTGCCGAGCAACAAAGCCAGTCCCGTGGCTGGACTCGGATCTGCAGCAAGGACCAGTGAAGAAGGATTAGGGCGGTTCCCGAAGAGTCCGCTTGGTCAAAATGTTAGCGAGCCGCAGAGCGCCACTGGGTTCCGGACGCCGGAAGAGCATTCGAGCGAAGACCCGGTGTCCCGTAGTGATTCTCGGGATTGCGACACTGCATCGTCCCAGCTGCGGACAGAAGAGGAAAAGAAAGCGGAAGCCGACGCCGCCGAGCAGTTGCAGAAGGGTTTGGATGAGAGTCTGACGACCTTCGACAATATGCATGCCAATAAAGAGCGAACCACGCCAACAGGAGACGTGCCGAACGGTCAAGAGCCAGACAGAAACACTGCAGCGTCCCCGCCCATGACGCCTCAGCGACAGCAGCGGGGCCACAATCCACGCAGCAGTAGCACTGGCAGCGGCATGAGTTTTCCCAAGATCAGCATCCCGAAGATCCCGGAAAGTTTCTGGGCTAATCAGGTCAACACCCTGCACTGAACTGGTGGAGGTGCTGACTCGTCTTCGATGGGTGAGATGAGGATGAGCAAGGGGTAGCCTATCTGAGACCTTGATTTCGAAAAGCGAGTTGGCAGGTGGTCTTTTCAGGTTTTCTTGGTAGTGGAGAGGAGACAAAGCAGCACACCGCCGCCCTTGAGCGGCAGAGAAGAACGGCGTTGAAACGGCCTTTGATGGCGACTCACTGACGTCAACTTCACGCCGTGCAGCATGCTTCATTACTTCGAGGGGTTGGAAAGCTGAAAAGCGCGACTGAAGCACTGGAGGGTGGGGGTTTCCCGTGGACTCACGATCAGTCAAAAAGGCGGCTACTGACCGCAGGAGGACTTACATTGTACAGCTGTATACTAGGGCCCAAAGACGCAGAGGAAGCGAGACACAGACGCCAGGTGTTTGTCAGGTACCTCGCCCAGACGGGTAAAGTGGTCTCGGGAGACCTGAGTAGCAGGCGACGGTGGGGAACGCATTGTATCAATACATCATCACAATTAAAGACTTGCCATATTATTTGAAGCTGAGGCCCCCTTCAACGTGGAGGTGAAGTTGGTTAGGGGGGAAAGGGGGGGAGTCGGCTCGGTGATCCTCAGTCGCAGTCAGGATCGAAGGACCTCCTCCCGTGGTCATCTCTGCAATAACACCGTGTCCTGCGACACTAATACCTACTCTCTGTAACGTCCATCACTCCAGCGTGGCGAAGCGGGAGTTCCCGTCATGGCAGTCCTACTAATTTCGGTCCGCTCCACTGGCCGATTTCAGTCGTTTTCTATGTCTTGGGGGAATTTGGTTGCCTGGTTGCCTTGCCAAGCCTTTCCATCCATGCCCGAGTTTGGGGCGGGTCGTTCATTGCTTTGTCGTGCTTCTCTAGGCCTCACCTCCATCCTCCCTTCTCACTTACTCTTGAGACGTTTTGGACAGCTGGTAATTCTTACGGTTTGTTGCTCTTTTGTTTTGACGTGTTGGTGATGTGCTCAGGCCTTGTCTTCGCAGGAACAATATGGCGGGGATCTGAAAAATTCTCTGCTTGGAAGCTCTGAGCTCGTCTCGATGTCTAATGATCGTGAAGTATTATAGACTCCTAATAAAGGATCTTTGCCGCGTTCGAACTACTGTCATCAAGCGCTTTATCTTCGTCCCGCGGCCATCAAGTTCGCATAGAACATGAACAAGGTGAGTGACACTACCGCGGGCACAAATGCGTCCTGTAAGCTGCTGTCCGAGTGTTTTCTCAGCCACCAGATCACGAAGATCGAAGAGCCCAGCGCCCAAATAAGAATGCAGAGGCAGAGTCGGGAGTAACAAAAGCGCAGGGTCACATGTAGGCCCCAACCCTCGTGGCCTTTCCAGTGCTCCAGACGCCAAGGTACTTTCTTTGGTATCGCATCCAAGTGGATGCGGTCTTGGCCTGGGTATGAGCGATCTTCCAAAGTTCGAGAATGCTTCAAGGCCCACCAGTTGGTGTAATGCTTTTTGAGGTCGTTAGAGATCATGTCCTCGCGGCACTGTACATCCGAGCCTTGGTGGCGGTATTCATTCGTCGTGGGCAGGGATGATTGCGGGTTGCATCGCACTTGCGGGCCGTTCGAGACGAAGGTAAACTGGGAGCGCGTTAGTTGGTCTGGTGCAATCAGTTCGTAGTCTTACCTTCTTGATAGAGACCCGGTCTGGTGTCGACATAGTGGCTAACAGAAACAGTCGTCCCCATACCTCTGTGCAACGAAGGTACAATGCCTGGAGAAAAGCATCGTCATCCTCAAAGTTTCGAGCGTTGAATTCGTGTAGTCGACAGAAGACTTCGCCACCAAGACACACATAAATGAATTCGCCATTCCCTGCCTGGCGGTGCCTACGTTCCTCGACGCTGATGGCCCTTTCCGAGGAATAGTTCCATGGCGGTCTCGTGCGCAAGGTCGTCTGTGAGGTTGACTGTGACGCAACAGGTATGCGACGAATCGCGTTATAGGTCGGAAGGAGTGACTGGCTGTTGCTTTGGTCAGGGTGATTCACAATTGGCCTTGTGGACACTCCCGACCCTAGTCTGTTCTGGACCGTATCAGCATCGACATGTTGTCCAAGCGCGTCTGATTCTCTAGCTGATCCCACATGACTGGGCGAGGAGGATCGCTCCAGGAGCTCGAAGACTGATTGGTCGGCACCGGACTCTTCTATGCTGATTCCATCATCTACATCTCCAGACATAACAGTTCGGCATTCCCACGCAGTATGGTTTGATGCATTTGTGTCGGCCTTTTCTGTATCATTCGCCGTAGACGCAAGCGCTGGCGCATGCCAAAACTTGATGGGAGGTGTTCCAAGGTCGATTCCCCGGCAGGATGATAGCACCGACAAAGTATCTTTGAGACGACACAGGATGTAGTGTGCGAGATGCAGCAACCAGAGGCCAGGATTCGAAAGTAATGCGCCAGTTTTGACGAGCTTTAGTAGACGTGCGACCATGAAAATGAGGACTATAAAAAAAGTAAGAACCCACGCGAACGCGGCACGACTCGGTTTAATTAAGAAATTCGGGAATATCTCTCTGCCGACGTCGTCCTCAATCGAGAAGATTGCGGAAGTGAGAAGGAACGGCGCACAGATCTATTGGTCTTTGTATCAGTCGAGGGGTGGCAGAGCTTGTGATTCAACCCGCGTACCATGAGAATTCTTGCTATGGCTCTGTTGTCTTCTGCAAGGTCTCTCTGACCTTGCGACATTTGCAAAGTCAGTCGTCGGCATATCTGCAAAAGGCCACAGTCAGACGAGTCACGGAAGAAATTCACAAGGCTGGCAAGTGCAGGGTGCTCACAGTCTTTGACATCGTGTGTGACTTATGTTGCAGCCAAAGAAGCCGCTCTTGTGTTTCCAACATCAGTTCGAGGGTGTCGTTAATGGACGAGAGATGGTATTGCACCGTTTCGGAGGCATCGTCAAAATCTGCAGCATGGTTCAACTCAAACCTATTACAGGCATGGTGAGTACGTTGCAGCGACCCAGACAGGTCTTTGACCAAGATATCGAAGCCTTCAAGCCGTTCTAAGCTCCGCTGGGAATGTTCTATACTCCTTGAGATGTGCCCGATGTCGTTCGCGTCTATTCGATCCCACATCTACGTTGTTAGCATATGTCGAGGGCTACACGTAGTGACTTGCCTTCTCATGATCGATAAACGCGAGTTCTAGTCGCTGAATCACCCAGCGCCATTCTTGTAGACTTTCTCGCAAGCGAAATTCCAAAACAAGCAAGAACCATGTTCTGGGATCTATAGAGTCCGGTTCCCCCATTATGGCATCGACTGTCGGTGTCAGCTCGTTTCGCTCCAATTGCGAGTGCGACGAATCCAACTCGGAGTCAACATCGCTGAGGCAGTACGCCGTCCACTTCCAATTATCAATGCCGATTACTGTGCAACTGAATACACAGTCGTAAATGTAGGAAGCCGTTTCACTTTCCCAGTCGAGAAATGTTACATCTCGAACAATGCGGAGTGGCCGTCCTTGCTGATCGACACGGCCGTCCAATTTTGGACCTTTGGAGGATCGCCACGCAACAAACGGTAGATGAAAAGAAAGCTCGAATGTTTGGAAGCCCTGAGGATGAACCTTAATTCCAACGTAAGCTTCCCGACTTAGGTGTTGGTAGAAGGCTGTGCGAAGCGGGCTGACTTCGTAAACTGAGGCTCCAGCCATTAGCGCAAGGATAGACCATCGATCCAAATCACTTATATAAACGATACGACGTTCTGCATCACGGGATTTACTCTCCAGCTTTTCTTCTTGGGCTTGCGTACACTCCGCAGGTGAGGTCGGGATTTGGTTGCTGCAGATATTCGTGACATTTGGGACATCCGTACCAAAACGCGTACACGAAGAAGGGGTGTCGGCTCTGGAACTATCGCTCTTCGACGTAGAATCAGAGTCCCCCTGTCTCAGATCCGCTTCAGTGGAAAGACAGCGAAAGCGAGGCCTCTTGAGCAGACCGTATAGTTGCCTGGCTGTCAATGGACCCCAACGCTGCCTATGATTTCTGGCAGATTCGAGAGCTTTGCTAGCCCGACATCCATCATCAACGACAGTAATCTGCTGAACCTGATGATCTGCCGCGAGAAAGTCGTCCAAGCTGGGACGCCCGAACAATCGAGTTAGCAACTTCACTGCTGGTGCACCGCCCAGAGGTAAATCCGGGTCTTCCATGAAGAGCTGAATAATGTGTGCATCCTCCAGCTCGGAGTCGATGAATGTACCGATGTGAGGCTTACATCCGGTATCAATATTCCGGGGCTTCTCGAATTCTGGGAGCCAGAGCCTCCGAGACATAGCGGTCGCTTAGTGTATGAGATGTCGCAGTTCGCAGTCACTCCAATGGTGGGTTTGGGCCGTCGCCACGTTCTTGCTGTCCGACGAGTACCAAGCTCGGATGGTGGCAGTCCCAGCAAGAAAATGATTCAGTGCTGCACCGATGCAGCAAGAGAAGCCGCCGGATGTCAAGGTTTCACTACGTCGTGGAGTGAGCCAACGAAGTCAGAGTCCATCAGATTTATCGTGCTGTTGAGGAAGGCGGGCGCTCTAAATCTCAGGCTGAATAACAGATGGGGGAAGATAGACACACCAAATCTGTGGTTCAAGCCCATTTTACCCTGCATTCTCCAACAAAAGTGAAGATCGTCAATCGTCGCGCCTTCTGCGTCGCCCATAGGAAGGAATAAAGGGCTGTGCGCGTGGCCTAGTCTCGTGTTGGCTGCCCATTGGGCAGACCACCTGGGCGTTGTTACTGAGCAGCTGAGAGGAAGCACCCGGGCGTCACATCACAGGTCAGGCGACATCACCGACAGAGGGGTATGCAGAAGTTGGACAGCGGCTTACGACAAGGCAGACTCGGTCCGCAGATGGAAGCCACCCTCGACACTCGCATGTCGGGCGTAGCCAAGCATCCCTGTCTCGCCGATGGGGGGTGGGCATCAATGAGCCTTGCATGCTAGCATACTCCCTCGAAGTCGTCCAATGCGATATGCAACGTGGAAGGGCAGAGTCAAGCCGAGACTGCCGAGTTGCCAACAGAATTAATTGGGCAGGTCTATCATAGCGCGGTTGCCTGCCAAGCAAAGCAGGTGTACCAAGGTAATTATTTCGTGCGATCATGATACGGCGATGTAAATCTGGTGTAACTTTTGTTGATGGTGCGGTCGAATATGCCACCGACTCGAGGGATCTACAAAGTCGCTGCTCTACCTGTCGTAGCTTGGTAGTCGCATGACCTGCCCAACGCCTCTTCCATGACAACGGAAGCCTGAGGTTCGTTTCTTCCCGCCGTGCAGTGTCTATGCAAGGTATTCTCGATATGGTAGGGTGTTGGAATATACCGGTGACCGTACAGAAGATATTGAAGAAGTTGTTGTATCCGTAGCAACATCGGTACAAAAGCAACGCCCTATCCTGGTCCGTAGCAACGAGGTATATGCTCCAGCACGCGTTGAGAAACCAACAAGATTGGTTCAATAAGTCTCCGCCCGCTCCGGCTGCCCGCCACCTACATCCTCCTCGTCCTCCTTCGCCAGGCTACTAGCACTAGCATCGTCGCTGGCAACGCTTTTCCTGTCCCTCTGTCTGGGATCCAGGCTCCGCCGCCTCGAGGGCGGCACCCCATCAGCCTTGAGCATCGGCACTCCGGGCACCGGCGGCGGCGGCGGCGTGGCGGCGTTCCCGGCGGGCGGATAAGTCAGCGCGCGCTTCTTGATATCCTGCCCATGGCCACCGGGCGTGATACAGTCGAAACTCTCGCTGATCTCGGGCCACAGCTGGAGGATGGTGCGCTCAAAGTCGCCCATGGGATCCTCTGGCATGTTGAGGGTCTCGATATCCTCCTCCTCGCCCTTGTCATTCCTGCGCGTGACGCGCTTGTGCCAGACGACGTTCTTCATGGCGCCCGCGGGCCCCGGCAGGCTGCGCTGGTGCGGCGTGTCCGGATCCGCCATGTCGCCGGACATGACCCAGCCCTGCAGGGCGTCCGAGTCGTAGAAGCCCTTGTCGTCGTAGCCCTTGCCGCGCTTGCCCATGCGGATGCGCACGCTCGAGTGGAAGGATTCGTTGGTGTTGACGAGGCGGGGCTTGGGTTTCGGGTGGCTGAGCAGGCGCGTGGCGATTTTGTCCGTCATCCACCAGAGCGTGCCGTGCTGGTCGGCGCGCTCGGATTCGGTGTATTCGCCTGGAGTGCGGATCTTGGAGCCCCCGAGCCGGAAGAAGAAGGACATGCTGTTGTGGATCTTGCCTAGGCCCCAGGGCCGTCGGGATGGCATTTGCGCGTTGGGGTTGTCTTTGCGGAGGCGCGCCACGGTCTTCTCGTGGCTCTCGATGCTGAGGCGGACTTGCTTCCAGACGTAGTTCGCCTCGAAGTCAATGAATGGATCTAACTGCGAGACCATCCAGCAGAGGGTGAGGTTTGCCAGGTCGGTATCTGGGTACGAGCCTCCAACGTCGGAATGGACACCTGGAAACCACGTCTGCTTGAGCTTTTTCGGGAGTGCTTGTCCGGCTGGCTTCTCCCAGATGGTAGGCGAGTATGCCCTGCGATGCTCGTCCAGTGCCAGTGCCTGGAAGGCGTATTCGATATTGGGCTCGACCCGGGTATTGACGAATGAAAAGTCCGTTGACGGCGGCTGTGGCAGCAGACCGATCATGGGAATTCCGAGACCGCCAACCGTGTCCCAAACGGCGACTGCTTTCACCGGGATATCCGGCCTCGTAAGCTCGAGCTCCAGCATTTTGCGCTGATACTCTGGTGCGTCAACTGGTGGCACATGACCGGGCCACGGATAGTCCGGGTACTTGGTCCTCCAGTCCGGCTTAAGTTGGTTCTGCCAATCCTCGAATATGGAATCGAAGTTCTCCAAGCCGGTCGACGTCAACAGCCCAATCGCGCGGATCAGAGATGAAATGGAGCGCGCTGTGAACGCGCCCCGGGAGAAGCCAATGATGAAGATCTCGTCCCCGTCATTGTAGTTCTGGCAGATGAAAGAGTAGGCTTCCCGGATGTTTGTCCCCAGGCCCTCACCTGTCGCGCCACCAACGTACTTGACCCAGAGGGACCGCGATCCCGTCCCAACTCCGTTCTGATAGAAGATGATTTGAGGGATGCTGTCGCCATTTTGATCCACACCGACAGGCTTGATGGCGCGAGCGATGCGAGTCACGTTGGAGGGGATCTGATACTGGCCGTCAGAGTCCATCCACGTGCCATCACAGCACACGATAATTCTCTTCCTGCCCGCTGAGGCCGTCGACATTCTGGTGGCTTCTTCCCTGTTGCTCGTACGTGGATTGTAGGGGCGCTGATAGCCGGTCCGTAGCTGCAATAGTAAAATCCAAGATATGTTCCGCTAAATCGCTAATTAAATGATCCAAAGCAAATCAACGCAATAGAGCCATCAAGGCTGGCGAAGGGGCGAAGCGAGCGAATGCCCGTATAAGAGGTCAAGAAATGAGGTCCCCAGTATGGCTCAGCCGCGCTTCGCTAATATAGGGCGCTCCACGACCCGACCGGTGACAAGGGAAGACGGAGTCAGTGTGTGACACAAGAATGCATAGCCCGACGAAAGAGAGGTTCTCTGACAGTGTGGCCTCCAGCGCCACTTGGCGTTGTGAGTGGACGCGTCGCTGTCGCTGGGTACTTTGATGGGAGCTGAGATGTGGTCTGTATTGCACTCAAGAAGCAATACGGATACTACTGTAGTGTAAGGATGGGAACGAGGCGGAGACGTCGATCCGCCAACCGGGCCGTGGCACGCCTAAAGCGGGCGCGAATAGGGGGCTGCTGAAGCCTCTTAACGCAGCCTATTCCCGCAGTCAAGTTTTAGGCCCCCGAAATAGCAGCATCAGCCTTGTGTGTATGGGACAGGGGTGGGACGGTGAGATTCTCGTTCGGTGTCTTGTTCTTGCGGTGTCTTCTCGTTCGACTGAGACCTGTTGCCTTATCGGTGTGCACCCGCTGACAAGGCAACCATCGCACGGGTCAGGTGGACGTCAAATCAGGAGCGAAGGGCAATGGAAATGAGTCAGCTTGTACACACCCTCTTTCTATCTACCGGTACAGCAGAAAAGGGATCACAATTTGGACTTGGGCCTAGCACCCTGGCTCCTGATAACGCCATCGATGAGACTCATGACCTTTGCAAGCCTGTCATCCTCGAGTCGCGGAACCACCACCTGCACACTCAGCGCCGTGCCGAGGTAGACCTTGCGATCCACTGTCTTCTCATCCCACAGCTCACGGCAGCGGTCGTCCCAACTGCCCACCGACTTGCCGGACAGTGGTTTGCCCAACTCGAGGTCAGCCGTGGTCACGTCTCGGACGGGAATGGTGCCACTCGGGTAATCGAACAAGATGATGCTGCTGGTATAGCCCACCGCATTGTAGCGTTCGATCTCCGGCACCGGATGCGGCGCAATGGGACAGACGATGGCGTCGATTCTCCGCTTTCGACGGCCGTGTTCATCCTGCGACAGCCAGATCTTGGCCATCTCCCGCTCCAGAGCAGCCCGTTGAGCCTGTAGACCCGCCACATCGACCAACGAGCGAGGCTTGCCCCTCTTGAAGCGCGTAGACATCCATGGCACCATGGGCTCTTGGGTTGCCTCGATGAGATCGGCCATCGTGTTCGCCCCATCTATACCCATAAGTTTGCTCATGACACTCTGCGCCGTCTTCCACGCCTTTGGCGACGGAACCTCCACCACCTTGATGTTGGGATGGTGACCCAGGCTCGCGGCCACCTCGGAAAGAATCTTGTCAATGGGCGGCAGTGGTGTACAGTTTCCATCACTCCTCATGATGCCAATAACCACTTCTCCTTTCTCACCACTGCCTTTGATCGGTCCCGATGCCTCACTCCATTCCCCCAAAACACAATCCTCCCCGAACAAGCTCGACCGCGGAACCAACTCCTTCATCACGTAGTCCACATCTGCCATACTCCGTGCAATGGGTCCCGCGACCGCCTGCACCCCCGCTCTACCAACCCCGTCCAACCCCACCTGCGCCTGTCCCCCATAAGGCAGCCGACCCTGACCAGGTTTGAACCCGTAAACCCCATTCACCATAGCCGGAATCCTGATACTTCCCCCAATATCCGTCCCGAACCCCACCATCACGCCCTTCATCGCCACCACCACGCCCTCCCCCCCCGAACTCCCACCCGCCGTAACACAACGGTTGACGGGGTTCATCGTCCTCCCAAACACATTATTCACGCTATCCAAACTCGCCAGCGTCTGCGGCACATTCGTCTTACACAGCACCACCGCCCCCAAACTCAACAACAGCTGCACGAGCGCCGCATCCTCCTTGGCGGGCTTGAAGCACAGCGCCGCCAGTCCCGTCGACGAATCCACGCCCGTGACGTGGAAAGTGTCCTTGACGCTGACGGGCAGGCCGTGCAGCGGGCCCAGCAGCTCGCCGTGCCGCGCGAGGTGGTCGTCCAGATACCGGGCGCGGTCGGCCGCCTGCGCGAAGAGCGGCTCCGTCAGGCAGTTGGTGAGCTGGTGGGCGATGGCGGCGCGGTGGGCAAAGGCGTCAGTCACGGCGGCGGCGCTCAGCTTGCGGCGCTGCAAGGCGGAGAGGAGCGTGGCCACCGTGTAGCCTTCGGTGATGTCGCGCTCGGCCGGCGAGAGGAGTTGGCTGGGGATGTGCAGCACGGATTGTGGGCCGTGTTCGAGCTTGGGCGGGTCATGGGGGAGGAGGGAGGCGGAGATGCGCCATTTGGCGGGGATGAGGGCGTCGCGGGCGGCGCGCTTGCGGCGGGCGATGTCGATCCAAGGGGCGGAGGTGGTGAGGAGGGCGGGATTGTCGAGCGGGTAGTGCATTGTGTGGGTTGAGATGTCCATGGTGGAAGAGCTGATTTGTTGGTGATGGGCAGGCTTTCCAGGTGTAGTGGTGAGAATGTCGTTGGTCTGCAAGTGTGGTGTGCAGCTCGAGGACAGATGCTGAGCCGCTCACGCTCTCCTGGAATCGATGTTCAACGGTGGGGTTAGTTGTATTCGATTACAATGTAAGCTGTCTGCTGCAGTAGTGTTGTCTCCCGTCTCAACTCCTCGGCGTCCATCTCCGCACAGTTGGCTGCTCTTGACTTCGAGCCTCGGTTGGAGCCGCTGGGGGGCTATCAACCCAGAATGGCTAGCGACGTGCTCGATATAGAAACTCGCAGCTTTCATCGGAAAATGTCAGCGGGGGTCTGACGCTCTCCCAAACCTGACCAGCGAACGTCACGTCAAGGTCATTTCAGACGTCTTGACCATCAACCAGTCATCGGAATTAATCTACTAGGACATTCGGACTCTCTAGTGGATGCTGGCACGAATGTGTTCAAGCATTGGCCAGCGCCTTACAATAAGCTACAAGCTATCGACATGGCTGCCGCGTAGGTCTGCTCATAGGTTGCTACACATCAGACTCATCCGCCATTAAGTCTCGTGGCAAAAGAGCTTCAACCAGAGAGTAACAAGGAAACCCCTTCGTTGTTATCAAATTGAGAATGCTTCCGGGCGCGGCCGTCGCAGATCATGTTCGTTCGACGCTGGCTTTCCGCTGCAAATGATTCTCGCAGCATCAGCATAGACGGCAAAAGGGCCTGGGAGCAGCACGGAGGACTAGTAAGTATAACAAATGCAACATGAATCCGTTGCATGCAATGAGTATGCTAAGAGTTATCGATTGTCAAGCTGTGTCTCTTGTATGTCAACCGCACTCATGCTTGCTGCAGCTGGCATTGTCTGACAGCTGTATTGCCCCTGAACTCCACGCTGAAAACAAAGCCAAAGTAAATTCACTCAACGCTGAGAATGCTCCCAGCTGAACCTGACTCCCGACGCCATCGCTGCATCTCCTGAGCTTGACGATATTGTCAGTGGCACCTTCTACTCGTCATCCTCGGAGAGTGGGTGCTTCGAGCCAGCACCTGGCCCCAGCTCAGTGTCGTCTTCGGAATCATAGGCACTCGAACTGCTTGAGCTGTCAGGGCTGGAAATTCTTGGACTCCGTGGTCGAGGTCTGGCTGGCGGATCTTCTCCTGGTGGTGAATCCTCTCCTGGCGGCGGATCCTCTCCTCCATTTGGATTGCCTTGAGCGGCCCGGCGCTTCTTAGCAGCCTCGACCTTCTCCTGATTCTCACGAATCAGCTTCATCAGGGAGCGATTATCGTGGCGCTTGCGCTCCTTGGTGGCTTCATCGTCGTCAGACTCAATCCCGGCATCGTAGTTCTCACCGTCCGCAGCAGACTCATCGACATGCCCCTGCGCTGTACGTTCCTTGCTGACAATCCAAGAGACGAGCGTGGCAAGGCCTTGCTTCAGCTCTTCACGCTGGTTGGCCTTGTACTTCTCCGCAGAGACCTTGCGCTTCTTATTGAACCAATTCGAGTCCATGGGAATGCCAAACTCCTCGACATTGGGAAAGAAACGTCGTGATTGTGTCGCGACGGCTTCCGCAGTGCGTTCGCCCCGAATCGCGGCCGTGGCACCAGGTCTCGTACCCACAAAGGCATCGTTGAGGCCATCAGCCAGTTGCTGAATCAGCTGGTCACTCACACCGAACTTAGGCGCGTTGGCAGAGTTGCCGTGAGCCTGCTGGTGCTTCTCAAATGCGTTCTTGAGCGACTGATGCAAAAGGGCATTCTCGATTGGGAACCACACTTGAGACCCTTTGCGAATGAGCACACCCGTGGCTCGAGAGAACGGCTGACGACGAAAGGCGTTGATCTTCTTGATATCATCTTCCTTGCTGAAATCGTACCGTGGCTTATCTTTGTCCTCGGAATCCGTGGAAGAGTCGTCAAGCCTCGGCCACTTGTACTCTTTTCGAGAGAAGGAAACGGCCTTGTACTTGCCGCCGGTGATGTAATCGACGGTGAAGTACTCTTCGGCAAAGTACCGACCAGCTTGGAGCGGTGTGCGATCTGGTTCAATCAGAAAGCCAAAGGGACGTTTGCCACGGTTGTCTTCGCGGAGTGGTGGCAGAGGGACAAGGTTGTCATTGGCAGGGTCGAAGTCATTGACGCGCCGGAAAAATTCGGCTTCCTGCCTCCAGCTGTTGTCGGGGACAGGCGCAAACGTACTTTTTGCAGACGGCATGGGGAGCTCTTGCTGCAAAGAGTCCCTGCGCGTCTTCTGGTCTCTCTTTGCTCTAGCGGCGCCAATGCCCGTTCTAAACCAGATGACGATGGCATGAACCACGTTGAATTGCACATCCTCGGACTGGAGGAACAGCTGCAGAGAGCGCCAGTCGGCACGGCCTGTGAGGGCAATGAGTAGTGCAAGACGTTCGTCTTGACGTTCCTGCTCACCGCTGGCCTTTCGGATCACCTTCGTGCCTTCTGGAGATCTCATTCGGTCGAAATTGACGTGCAGGCGGTTCAATGCATCATCATGGCCCCTCCATTCTTCGCGAGCCACGTGCATATCCCAGCCGGCGAGGTGGAGCAGGAGCACGGCTTCACTGATGGAGAGTGTAGCGCGCATGGCGCCTGGGAGTGACAGGATCAGGTCACGAAACTTGACCGCTGCAGCTCGACGTTCATCCTCGTGGTATGTCTCGCTGGGAAGGTCATCGATGATTCTATGCGCCTCATTCGTGTCGGTGGGTGTGACGGGATTGTTCGCAGTCGCTTGAGGTAGAGCTGGAGCCACAGAGCCTGGCAAGCCGCGTCTCTGATTGATCTCTGCCAGCAGAGAGGTATGTGCAGCGTCAACATCCCAGTTGTTGAGGATAAGATGCCGAAACATCAAGTGACGATGCACGACGTGGGGTTGCAGGAGTCGGCGCAGCACTCGCTCATATGCCAGGCGCTGTCGTTGGGTTGGTAGGAAGCCTGGCTGGCCTGGACCGGATTGTTGCTGTGCATTCGCACGACTAGGTCTCCCACGAACCATGGCGAGATAGAAGAGGAAATGAGGACGATAGCAGTGAAGATAAAGAGTCAAGGAGCACAAGAAAGATAAACAACTCTTGTCCAGGTACCCTGACACGCAGAAGAAGATGTGATGCGTAGCTGATTGATTCGAGGTGGTGATTTGATGCAATGCTGGAAGAGTGTTGTTGAAGTTAATGGGGAGAAAGAAGACAGAAGCGCAAGGAAACAACGCGGCGCGATGTGTGCTTATAACATGTAGAACTCTTGGCAGTGTCTCGTCGTCACGGTGTCACGCTTAGTGACAACAGAGGAGATAGGCGGATAGGCTGGTGACCTGCCTTGTAGCGGCCAGAGTGACAGCAGCACCACAAAGGTGAAGTGCAGGCAGGACAGTGACACATGACGGATTTTGGAGCAGAGGAATTGAAGTGACTGAATAAGGCTGAAGACTGATAGCGGCTGCGGTTAATTCCTATATACAAGTTATAGAGCGTTAGAAGACTGCAGGAGTGGTACGGCACGATATGCTGACAAGACGACCAGGCATGCTTTTATGCAATTGGAACCACAGTCCAGAAGCTTCTGGGCAAACTGACCTGTTGGACACAAACAGTCGAGTCCAAACAAGGCAGCCATAGCAACAAAGGCCTGCAAAAGGTCTGCTAGTCGTGCTGGGACAATGGTTTAGTGAGGACGCGAAGAGACCTCTTGATCTCCATTGACATCATACCAGACGCATAGCAAACTTACCGCCGAGCACTCGCGGCATCGATGTGACCGAGCTTTCCAACGCAGGGTTCTCAGGTGTGGAGGAAGAGGATCTCCAGTTTCACCCAGGAATGCCGTATCACAGCCGCGATGGTGGGCGGTCGAGGTCTACGGCCGCCAGATCGATGAATGACATTAGAGCGATGATATGGAAACCTGGATGGTTCAGACTATGACTTTTGAGAGTGTTTAATCGTGGCAGAAGAGTTGTCTCGTAGAAAGGGCCAGAGGGGTAATCAATTCCAATTCGTGCAAGCTCGTCGGTTTTCAGCTGTTTTGAGTGATCATGAGCCTCTGGAGATTCGCATGAGGCTCGATGAGGCAAGGTCTGAGAGTAGTCTTGCTCAGCCGATGATGGAATTGCAGACGGTGTTGATGGTTTCATGGGATGTCGTCGACGAGATGCGCTAACCCGAATAGGAAGCAGGGCATTTGAGTCGAACTTCTCAGGACCAACGACCACATCCCACGACTACAACCCTGCAATACCCTACCCAGGGCTGCAGCCGTCATGAACGCACGCTAGAACTACCCTTAGTTTGGCGTCCCTGTAGGAGATACCATGGCCATTGAATCGCCAAAACGCAAACGAGGTGATGAAAGTCCAGGAGGAGCCGGCAAGCTGACACCCTATCCTATCCTGCAGTCGGATCTGCAGGTCAGAGAGGAAGGCAGTCCCAAAACGGCTGTCACAAAGGGCTTTCAGAGATTACAGATTCAACAAATCGAAAATTACGAAGCAGAAGATGCTGACGAGCGTGAACGGAAACGAAGAGTCTGTTCAGCTGAGGAGATTGACGAAACTCCTACATCGTCTCCGACGCCTTGCCCCGCCCCGGAGACTACTGGGGTCCACGGGAAAGCTGAGAGTGTGTCTCCAGCAGTACCGTTCACTTTTACCCACACAGATTCGCTGCCAGGCCCGCCTAATACAGACACTCGACCCAAGTCGCCAGTGATGTCCAACGAGGTCAACGAGGTCAACGAATTTTACTGGCATGATTCCGAGATTACGGGACACGATCCAGTCGATCCGATGGATGATGGCTATGGTATCAATGGAATTGGCTTCAAGCCTACGCCAGCGATAGCCTTCCAGCGCTCACAGCGGCGGAAGCAGCAGCTCATTGAGTACCGGAATCGTGAAGCCAGAGAGGCTAGGCAGAGACGCAGCGAACGAAGGAGAATGGGGTCCGCAGAGGTCCAAGACACATCGGTATCAGACGAAAATAACAAGACCAGAATTCAGGTCCGATTCGAAGATGGGTAGAGTTGAGCCAACAGGTAGGCGAAGGTAACCCGAGCTACCAATCGAGAGGTCTCAAAGTGTGGAAGACCTCATATTGTACAGCAGAGGATATTGTATCAGCACCTGCCAGCATATAGCAAAGCGACAGATGGCCGGTTTCGTTACCAGAAGCGCATCTCTGGCCACAGACCATGACCCGCTACGTCAGTATTGAGCGCCAGAATACTGATCCTTGGACGCGCTTGACAGGACTTGGGGCAGTCATTCTGCGCTCCGATCCATTTCTGTTACAGCTCACCACCATTTGGACTTCTTCTGCACCTCTTCCGCTTTGATGGCCGCCTCTGCGGCCGCAGCCTTCTCTTTGGCTCTTTTCTCATTGAGCATCTTCATTCCGGCAACGGCCGCGGCCATGCCTTTGGCTTCCTCCAACCTCCGCTGCTCGCACCAATAGTACATGAGTGAGGACGTAACACAAAAGCCTCCAACGGCCCAGTTCGTGGTCGCAAGCATCGATGCAAGGCCTGAGAGAGTTAGTCGCAACATCAATGACCCACGAAGAGCATGACTCGCCTTTGAGGATGAATCGAAGTCCACCAAGCGCACCTCCTGCTCCGATGCCTACCATTAGAGAATCTCGAGCACAGCCCGTCTGGTACCACGACGGCCGTCCCTCTTTATTGAACTGGTCGAATCTTAATGCGTCCCACCACCTCGGCTCAGCAGGCTTCCCGCCTGCAGAATTGAATGTCCCTCCCGGCAGCGTATTGACTGGATCTTTGGGGTTGCCAAAAGCTTCCCACATCTTGCCAGCCTGTGTTTGCGGAAAGTCATGTTTCGGTCGTCTTCTGGGACGGTCACCTTGTTGTGGCGACTCGTCGCTGGGTGTGCTTTGCGCTTGCCTCGTATCGTCGGCCATTATGTAGCAATCGAACAATATGCGCAGAGGTGCAGCTGCAGCCAGCAACAGGTGATGATGCCGACCATAACTTTCGCGTCCGCATTACACCCAGAGTGGTTTAGGGCACAGAGAAGAGTGGCTCCTTGGTAATTTAAATTACTGTACGATACCAATATTTCCATTAAGCGCGTCGCGTGTTGAACGCGTCGCAGAGCGGCCCCTCATGCACTGTTTAACCACCTTACCTTCTACCTCCGCTGCTCTCACGTTTAGACCTCATCTACGATCTCGGTCCACGGATTACACTCGACAGCCGCGGCCACATATGCAGGCGACTCAGACGCCAATTAAACAGTCGCCATGCCCGTGCGAAAGCCCAGCAAGTATGGCAACAACCTCAGAGCGGCTAAGTCCTCGGTCCGGTCGCAACGACCCAGGACGATTGAGGCTTCCGAACTTCGATCGACCGAGGGCACATCCCAAGATGAAAAGATGCAGGCGACCAGGCTTGCAAACAGTATAGACGAGGCTATGGGCTTTCCCAAATTCGATTCTGGAAAGAAAAGAGTCGGGTGGCTCTACAATATGCACAGTACCTCGATAGAGGACTCGAGAGTGCCGGGCGGTCGTGCTGGTGTGGACTTCTACTTCATTGACGATAATGGCGACAATTTCAAAGCCACCGTTGAATACGATCCTTACTTTTTGATCGCAGTCAAGCGCGGACGAGAGCCAGAGGTGGAGGAATGGTGTAAACGCATGTTTGAGGGCATGGTCAAGACAGTTTTGAAAGTTGAGAAGGACGACCTTTCGATGCCCAATCACTTGCTGGGATACAAGAGAACGTTTCTTAAACTCACATTTCCTAATGTTTCCGACCTGTTATCCGTTCGGAAGGTCATCATGCCCATTGCGGAGAAGAACAAGGACAAGATCACCGCAATGGACACCTACGCCGAAGTAGCAACTGCTACCGCTGGATTCGATATCTTTGACGAAGAAGCTGTCCAGGATAAAAGATCAAATGCCATTCTTGAGGCCAGCGAGTACATTACCGACATTCGAGAATACGATGTGCCATACCACGTCAGAGTTACTATCGATCTGGACATCCGGATAGGCAAATGGTACACCGTGGAGGCGAAGCATGGGCAGATATCACTCACCTGCATCGAGGAGCGACTGCAGCGTGCTGACCCCGTGGTCCTGGCATTCGACATCGAGACCACGAAACTGCCTCTGAAATTTCCAGACGCTGTCATTGACCAGGTCATGATGATATCGTACATGATCGATGGACAAGGGTTTCTCATTGTCAACCGCGAGATCGTGTCGGAGGATATTGCAGATTTCGATTATACACCTAAACCTGAGTATCAGGGGCCCTTTCTCACCTTTAATGAAAAGGACGAACGTGCTCTCCTCGAGCGTTTCTTCGACACTATAAAACAAGCGCGACCGACAGTCATTGCGACTTACAACGGTGACTTCTTCGATTGGCCTTTCGTCGAGGCGCGTGCGAGTGTGCTTGGGATCGATATGTACGCGGAGATCGGGTTTCGCAAAAACAGCGAAGACATCTACCAGAGCAACTATTGTGCCCATCTTGACTGCTTCGCGTGGGTGAACAGAGACAGCTATCTTCCTCAAGGGAGTCGAGGCTTGAAAGCTGTCACAGTTGCGAAGCTCGGCTACGATCCTGATGAGCTCGACCCCGAATTAATGACACCCTACGCCAGTGAACACCCTCAGATCTTGGCTGAATATTCAGTCTCAGATGCGGTTGCGACCTACTACCTCTACATGAAGTATGTCCATCCATTTATCTTCGCTCTGTGCACTATTCTGCCCCTAAATCCAGATGACACACTGCGCAAAGGTACTGGCACCCTTTGTGAGATGCTCTTGATGGTGCAGGCAGAGAAGAAGAACATCGTTCTCCCGAACAAGCACAAGGAGCCTCGAGAAGCATTTTGGGGAGGCCATCTACTCGACTCAGAGACGTATGTTGGTGGTCACGTCGAAAGTATTGAGGCTGGAGTATTTCGAGCCGATATTCCGGTCAATTTCGCAATCGAACCCGAAGCTATTGACGAATTGCTACGGGATCTGGACGACGCTTTGAAGTTTTGCATCACAGTCGAGGAAAAGAAATCATTGGACGATGTTACGAATTATGACGAAGTCAAGAAAGATATTACTGAAAAGCTCTTGAGCCTGAAGAATACACCTAATCGACTGGAGCGGCCCCTGATTTACCATTTGGATGTCGCGTCCATGTATCCCAACATTATGACCACCAACCGGCTGCAGCCCGATTCTATGATCACTGAGTCCGACTGTGCTGCGTGCGATTTCAACAGACCTGGAAAGACCTGCGACCGTCGCTTACCATGGGCATGGAGAGGAGAATTTCTGCCCGCCAAGCGAGATGAGTACAACATGATCAGAAGAGCCGTTGCGAACGAGACGTTCCCTGGCAAAGGCCCGAAGTCTTTGGTGCGAACATTCCAAGATCTGAGTCTCGATGAACAGGCGTCAATTGTACGGAAAAGGCTACAAGACTATTCCAAGAAGATCTACCACAAGATTCACGACTCGAAGACCATCGAACGAGAAGCCATCATTTGCCAAAGGGAAAATCCATTCTACGTCAACACCGTCAGAGATTTCCGTGATCGAAGATATGATTACAAAGGCAAGCAAAAGGTCTGGAAAGGGAAGACTGAGGAGCTTAAAAGCTCGGGTGCTCCTGCTACAGAAGTTGAGGATGCGAAGAAGATGATTACCCTCTTCGATTCTCTGCAACTAGCGCATAAGGTCATCTTGAACTCATTCTATGGCTACGTTATGCGAAAAGGCTCCCGGTGGTATTCGCTCGAGATGGCTGGTGTCACCTGCCTCACAGGTGCTCGTATCATTCAGATGGCTCGTGAACTAGTAGAGAGGATTGGTCGTCCACTCGAGCTTGACACAGACGGCATTTGGTGCATGCTACCAGCTACGTTCCCTGAGAACGTTCTTGTGACGCTCAAGAATGGCAAGAAGTTGGCTGTCTCATACCCTTGCATCATGCTCAACCATCTGGTGCATCGCAAGTTCACTAACCATCAGTACCAAACGCTCTCCGATCCGAAGACGCTCAAATACGAGACTCACAGCGATAACTCGATCTTCTTTGAGGTAGACGGACCTTACAAGGCCATGGTTCTTCCTACGTCCTTGGAAGAAGACAAGAATCTGAAGAAGCGATATGCTGTTTTCAATCACGACGGCAGTCTTGCTGAGCTGAAGGGCTTCGAAGTCAAGCGAAGAGGTGAATTGAGACTGATCAAGATCTTCCAGACGCAAATCTTTAAGGTCTTCCTGGATGGCACTACTCTGGCTGAGGTTTATAGCGCAGTTGCCAGAGTAGCCAACCGCTGGCTTGATGTTCTCCACCAACACGGAACTACACTTGCAGACGAAGAGCTGATCGACCTTATCTGTGAGAACAAGAGTATGACGAAGACACTCGAGGAGTACGGAACACAAAAATCCACGTCCATCACAACTGCGAAGCGTCTAGCAGAATTCCTTGGTGAGAACATGGTGAAAGATAAGGGTCTTAATTGCAAATACATCATCTCGGCAAAGCCTCGCAACGTTCCAGTCACCGATCGAGCCATTCCTGTGGCCATTTTCTCGGCCGAGGAAAACGTAAAGCGCCATTATCTTCGCCGTTGGTTGAAAGAGGATCCTCAAGATATGGACCCCAGAACTGTTATTGACTGGGACTACTACCTCGACCGTCTCGGCTCAGTCATTCAAAAGCTTGTTACGATCCCGGCTGCTCTGCAGCGAATCGAGAATCCTGTGCCTCGTGTTGCTCACCCCGAATGGCTGCAGAAGCGCATCAATACAAGGGATGACAAGTTTCAGCAGCAGAAAATGACGGACCTGTTCAAGAGGGAGAAGAAGCCTCTATCAGAGGTTCCGTTGAATCTGCTCGACCATCGACTGCCTGCTTCAGGTGATGTTGAAGACGTCCTTGACCACCAACTCAAGCCTCGAGTCCAGCCGCAACCGACTGTGCAGAAGCGCAAGGCAGTGGACTCGGCCAATGCCGATCCGTTCGCGTCGCTTCCTGCTAAAATGCCGGACATTGATGAGGACTATCCGGCGTGGTTACAATATTCGAAGCAGAAATGGAAGATCCAGAGGCAAGCTCGAGCTCGTCGGCGGCAGCTCTTTGGAGAACGTACCAACGTGACCACCGATGCTATTGGGAGCTTCTTCCGCAACCAAGCAGAAATGTTGTTTATCAATACGTGGCAGGTGTTGCAACTTCGCGACGGCGACACACCCGGTGAGGTCAAAGCTTTCGTTTTGATTGGCAACAAGATTCACACCCTTTCGATCAAGGTGCCACGCGTGTTGTACCTTAACCTGAAAGGCGAAGAGCTCCCTGACATTGAAGTTCCAGATTGCGAGGTTGAGAAGGTGACCCACACATTGCCGAATGGCCATCCGTCTGTACACCTGTTCCAGTTGACCATGAGCGAAGATACCTATCTCCGAGAAGCCGAGAATGTGTCGCTGCTCTGCAATCATTCCAGCGTCGAAGGTGTCTACGAGCAGCAGATGCCTCTATTCACACGTGCGATTCTCAAGCTGGGGAACCTGTGCTCGTTTGACGAGAGCCAAAAGGGTGTACTTGGAAAAGGCCTCGATCAAGGCTTCGATCTCTCATCCCTGATCAGAAGCCCTGCGCAGTCGTCGTACGTGGAGGATCCTGGCATGATGAGCTACCTTTACCTGTACCACATCGCTGCTGGTGAACGCCAAGTTTTCGCACTCATGTCAACTGCTCGCCTGGAAGCTCACATCATTGTGCTTAGCCGTACACGCGACGTACAGGGCCTGCCGAATGTCGAGAAAATGTACTCGGAGCAACTACAGCGCAAGAACCAAGCCGCTGCGGAGGCAGGCGAGCCAATTCCTGCACCAGTCTTTGATTATCAGGAGACGTTGAAATTCAAGACATCCCAAGTTACAACGAAGCGCAAAGCTCACCTTGAAATTGCCGACATCATCAAGAAATGGAAATCGGAGGAGACGCGGCCAACTATGCTCATTATGCAGACTACGCAGCGCCAGCAAATCATGCACGACATCAGGATATTGAAGGAGTATCCAGTCATCAATCTACGGACGGACGAGGTGGATGCTGATTTCCCACCACTTGGTTGGCAAGCTTTCATTTTCAAACGTCTCGTTGGTCATTATTTGACCATGGAAAATTGGCTTTCGCATCTCGTCGAATTGGCTCGATATGGCGACGTGCCTGTTTGTAACCTTGAGAAGGACGATCCCCGATACCTCATTGATCTGGCATACGCACGCCGCCTGCAGAGCAACAACGTGGTCTTGTGGTGGGCGGGCAATCCGCGGCCAGATCACGCCGGCCATGAGAAGGACGACATTCTCGGTTCTTTGCAGGACGTGGTTGAGATGCCGAAAATCAACAATGCTGGCGCGTACACTTCCGTCTGCATTGACGTCGAGGTTCAGAATCTGGCTATCAACACCATCCTCACATCTTCGCTGATCAACGACCTTGAGGGCTCATCGGACTCGGTTGCGTTCAATCCGGCTACTGATGACTTTCCATCCGATGAGGCTGGTGGCATCGCCAAAGCTCAGTCAGGGTTTGCGCAGGCGTCATTGCAAGTGCTCCGGGAGATGGTCAAAAGCTGGTGGACTGAAGCCTGCATGGGCAATCGTCTAGCCGACCTTATGGTTCAACATCTGGTGCGGTGGATTCAGTCGCCAGCATCCTGCTTGTATGACCGGCACTTGCATTACTACGTGCAGATGATGTCCAAAAAAGCGTTTCAGCAGCTAGTGACGGACTTCCGACGCGTGGGTTCTCAGGTTGTCTACGCCAGCCCGACACGCCTTCTGCTGCAGACCTCGAAGCAGGACGTTACTAATGCGTACGCATATTCGCAATACATCCTCAAAGCCATCAAGCAGAAACCATTGTTCAACTTCATCGAGCTCGCAATTACAGACTATTGGGACGTTCTGCTTTGGTACGATCCGTACAACTATGGTGGGAAGGGCACGTCTGAGATCGATGAGCATACAGATGACCAGCGGCTGGACACCGTTGTCTACTGGCAAGTTGCGCAATTTTTGCCCGCGTCACTTCAACCAATTTTCGAGGACTGGATCATTGAGTTCATCGAGACCATCCTTAAGTTGAAACGCCCGGAGGCTAGCCAGGAAGTTGACGGTACACCACGGCAAACACAGCTTCCTCAAAACACTTTCATCAGCTTGACCGAAGACCCCACTAGCACGGTGGTTACGAGCGTCTTGCAAGATGATTTTTCCAAACCTTTGACGAAGCAAATCAAGGCTCTCATCCGTCGACAGCGGGATGAAATGCTTCATCCTGAGCTAGAGACGGACTGGCACTTTCCATCACACCTGCCGGGCGGCAGTCTTGCTCACAAAGATGGTTCGCAGCGGAGAAGAGATCCCGTGCTGGAGCTTGTAAAGGCGCTGATGCAGATGGTCTCGCTCTCGAAGCCACTTCAGCTCGAGGCTCGGCTTTTGCGCAAAGAACTACTGCAGCTCTTTGAGGTACGCGAGTTCGGGACAGAGGCTCGTTTTGAGAACCCAAGCAAGAGCCTTCAATTCGATACGCTAGTCTGCGACCAGTGTACTGCTCTACGCGAAATGGACTTGTGCCGCGATGAGGATGTCATTCCAGCTCCCAATCCAGAGGACCCATCGCAGATGGTAGAGAAGCCATGGAACTGCCACAGCTGCGGAAACGAATTTGACCATCATGTACTGGAGGAGGGACTGATAGCTCGGGTTGAGCAAGAGATGGTGAGGTGGCATACGCAGGACTTAAGGTGTACGAAGTGTGGTGGGCTGCAGGGCGAGGATAGTGCTCTTCGGGAGCATTGCACGTGTGGTGGTGAATGGGGCCCAAGTGTGGACCGGAGCGGCATAAAGGAGAAGGTGAGAGTGATGCAGCGTGTGGCTGATACCTACGGTATGCGGCTCTTGACGAGTGTCATTGAGGGTGTCAAGACAATGGGAATGGTGTAATGGCATGGATGAAGCGCTTGACGAATTGTGTATGCATAGCGAGGTGTTGGCTAGAACATTTCTGGCTGGTCGCTTCTGAGCCTGTTGTCAGATCGAATGATATATATATATATATATATATATATATATCTCAAACTGGCCACAGACATTTGGTATGTTGTGGGGACACTGGGTAGGGAGGATGTAGCTGGTGTAGGCGGTGGTGAGGCTCGCTGTCAGGCTGAAATCCGGGGGGCGCCGCGGTGGTGTCCACTTTGCGGCTGTTGGACGCCAAGGACAACCGCCTCGTCGTCTGGCTAGAGGGGTACGCTTCCATCTTTAACTCATCTTCACCCTCCGACAACTTGCTCGCCATCTGTATACTCACGTAGACACCTTGAATTCATCTATATCGCATCGTGGTGACAACTTGACAGCGCCATCCTCACCACCGATCTGAATCTCATCTCACGCCGCCCTGTCGCGTTCACACGAGCAACTCCTACACCCCTCAATCTATTCACAGTTCCGTTCGAGATCTACACGTATCTACATCGACGAAAGCTGGTGGACCCGGTCCTGTCCGGCGAACGGCATCGAGGCCGCGAACTACCGCCCTCGCCCCTGCCTGCATTCTTCTACGACGCTTAAGAGTGGAGGACTGGCAAAATGGAGAATGCTCCTCAAGCGCGGCCGGCGCAGGCTGGCTCTCAGCAGCAAGCCTCCCTGATCAGACCTGAGCAAGTTTCTCGACTTCCACAGCTCACTCCTCAACAGAAGCAGCAGTATGAACAGGCTGTGCGAAGGTTCTGGGAGGTTATGAATTCGACACCTCAAGGAGAAGCGCGCCATAACGAGGCATACCAAAAACTGGTCCAGACTTCACAGACTCTCATGCAGGGCATGAAGAACTTCCAAGCCGCTCAGAAACGCAGACAAATGCAGCAGCAACAGGCGGCTCAAGCGGGCGCCAGTGGAGGTCAGGCAGCAGGGCCACCAGCGCAGGCACAAGCACCGTCCCAGGTACAGGCGCAGGCGCAGGCTCAGGTCCAAGCCCAGCCACAACAGCCTGCTCAGCATACCAATGCGCTGCAGTTCAGTCAGCTGCACGCTGATATTCAGGACAAAGTCAACCAATTGACCTTCTACTACCCTCCAGCCATGATCGAGGGCACGAAGCAGGCCGAGGACTGGCTCAGGGAAGCCAAAGCCCGATATGGTCAGGCACTCCAGCGCATGCAAGTTGCAACAGCAAAGATGGATGAACTCAAACGTCAAGTAGCACAGCGTCAACAGCAAGGCAATCCGCTGAGCCAACAAGAGCAAGAGGGGTTCCGTAATAAGCTGTCACAGTGTCAAAAAGCCATTACTGAATCACAGAGCTTCATGGAAAAGTTCAGGCAGCAACAGCAAGACTTTCGCCAACAACAGCCACAACATCAATTTCAAAAGCCGCAACAGCAACAACAAGCAGCCCCAGGAGCAGAGACACAGACGCCTGCTTCAGCCGGGGGCATGCAGCCAAACGCGCAAGGACCTCCCGCACATTCGATCAGCAGTGCAGTCTCTGCTGCTCGAAATCAACAGGCTCAATCAGGCTCTGCCCAGGCAGGTAGCCCTACCAACCCGAACGCACCTTCACAACCCAACCCTGCCGCAAGTGCGACCCCCATCAAACCCGAGAGTCAAGAGCAATCTGTCTTTGCAGCACAGGCACAGGCTGGCGCACTCAATCAATCAATGCCGGCTCCTCAATCAGCTGGAGCTCGACCTTCCAGCCAACACCAACCGCAATCCGCCCTCCAACAGCACGCCTCGCAGCAAAATGTCCATGCGCATCCACTGACCGCCAACCTCAACGCGTCCAAGGCTCCGCCCGCCGCAATCACCAAGAATCTCCAAGTGTCCGATCCGCGCCCAGTGCAAATGCCTCCCTCACGCCCGACTCTGACTGGTGGCGCAGGCGTTGGTCTGCCTGGCCAGCTTGCGCAGCCTGCGATTGCCACCCTTCCTGGTTATGTGCTTGAATCATCTGAAGATGGGCGACTGTTGTCCAAGAAGAAGCTCAACGAACTTGTCCGCGAAGTTTGTGGTCCCATTGGCGACGGTGATGATGGGGATGGTTTAACTCCTGATGCTGAAGAGGTACTGATTTCCGCGCCTCTTTCACCTTTCTGTCTTTTTTTTGAATGCTTCAACTACCTCTACTAACACCATGCGCACAGATATTTCTTCAAGTAGCGGATGACTTCGTCGATGACCTCGTAGCCGCAGCATGCAAACTTTCGAAACTACGTGGAAGCGCCACCCTCGAGCCACGCGATCTGCAGATGGTGCTGGAGCGGCAGTACAACATCCGCATCCCGGGTTTCTCAACCGACGAAGTACGCACCGCGAGACGTCCTCAGCCGGCAGCGGGCTGGGCGCACAAGATGGCCGCGGTGCAAGCGGCGAAATTGACGGGTGGTGCCGGCGGATTGAATAATGCCTAGAAGGCCAGGCTGTGCGGTAGAGACGGGAGAAGTATGACTCTGGAGGTGCAGGCAGTCAACTAACCCCGGCATGGTGGTTGATGAACTCATTCGTAATGGGACTATGGAAAACAGAACGTCGCGGAGCATCTTACAGGGCCGCGCAAGCGATCGTCGATGGCGTGGGAGTCAGAGACATCATTTCCCACAATGGTCTGCATTATTGGTATGGAGGCATAGCGCATCTGGCAGCACGGGGAAGGCAGAGGAGGGACGTTTGGCATTTCGTCCTTCTCCCATCAACCTGCGGAATCATTACCAAGTGCAGTACAGACAACCACTCTCCGACTTGGCTTTCAAGTCATTCAAATCAGATTCCAAGCCTACCTTCTCCACTCAGGTGGGATCTTATGCGCGTCACTCCATGCCTTGATTGTGACGGTGAAAATCATCCCTATCCCACAAGTGCCAGTGAGTGCTCTTTCAGCGAATGATTGTAACTGTAATTGTCTCGCTGCTCTGCTCCCCGTGGTACTTCTGAATTGGTTTCAAGCTGAACTACGGTTCGTGTCATGGAAGTCGCACGGGATAGCGGCGAGGCCTTCGTGCTCATATGTCCATGCATACACGTCCAATTTGTGGCATGTAGATACAACCCCCTACCGGCCATGTCAGATGTCAAAATATCAAAATATCAAAGCGACAAGAAGACCCATGCAATATCGATCATTTAATCGCTCAACCGCTCAATCGCTCAATCCGAACCGAATTCGTGAACGCCTCTCGCTCAGACAAAATGGAGTCCTCAAGCTGTACCGTTACCGATCCCCCTCTCTCCTCTTTCCCTCCTCCTCCTCCTCCTCCTCCTCCTCATCACCATAATCCTCGTCGATATCTAGATGACATTACTCTGGTCATATTCCCCCTCCGGCACCCTATTCCTGTTCCTGTCCCTCCCCCCACCCCCATCACCACCCCTGCCATCATCATCATCCTCCTCTTCCCGCTCCGTTTCTGTCCCATCCAAAGACTCCGCCGCGTCATGAAACACGCCGCTCCCACTCCCACTACTTGCGAATCCCGCCTCTTTATACGGAATCTCGCTTTCGCCCGGATCCTGACCCTCCTCCTTCCCCTTTGATAACTCTCCTGCTGATGCTGCTCCATCGCCAATTCCTCCATCGCCATTCCCCGACTGACCTCTCCTTGACTCTACTGTTGACGCTTCTCCTCCTCTTCCTCTTCCATCACCATCACCATCACCATCACCATCACCATCATCACCACCAAAAGCGACCTCCCACCCCACAGCATCGCCCTTCAACTCGTGGTTGAAACTCACGCTGTTCCTGGCGGCGGGCAGTTGCGTATCTGCTTGTCGATACTGTTGCTGGTGCTGGTGCTGCTGTTGCTGATACCACTGCTCTCCATCCCTACTGCCATCGGTCCTCACGGTGTCACTGTCTGCACCGTTCATCGACGCCCGAGAGTCAACGACATACCGCGAAACGCCACCACTGCCGTTGACGCTGGCGCGCTTGCTGCTCTTGCGGGGTACTTCCAGCTTGGGCACCGACAGTTCCACCCCGTCACTGGCGTCTTCTTGCTGCTGTTTCTGATGTTCATTGCTAAAAGTATTCATTGCTTTGGCGTTCCCATTCGTCCCCGTACTCTTGACAGTGCCGCTCGCATCCCCATCTCCACTCCCGACTAATTCGCCACCACTAGCGGCGCCCGCCGGGCTAAAAGGGTACGGTGTCTGGCTGACATTGCTCTGCCGCACCGTGACCCTACCCTCACTACGTTGGCTGCGCCGGCTGCGCTGGCTGGGCGTTCTTTGCACCACTCCCCACTCGTCTACGTCCTGATCCCGCTTGTGCGTCGCGCCAAGCGAGTCCGATAGCAGCTCCGGCTTCGTCACGTACCGCACCACGGTCGCCTGGCTGGCGCTAGAATCGACGGTGCGCAGCGGTGGTGGAATTGGGGCGCGTCGAGGTTGCTGCTCTTCTTCGCCTTTCTGCTCTTGGTGATACTCATGCAGATGATCGTGCCGCTGATTGTACACACGGTCGACATCATCGTTGTGGTACCACGAGCCGGGGCGTGTGACTTCGTCGTGAATCATGTATGGGCGGGCACGGGTACGTGCGTCGGGCGAGGCGGCGGGTGGGGAGGAGTGGTATTCCTTGTCGAGGGAGGAGCGGGATGTGCGGCGGCGGAGAGTCGGGGAGCGGGATGCACGAGAGCGGTGGTTGGTGGTGGTATGGGTGGGGCTTGTTGCGGCGTCCTCGATGTGACGCTTCGCGCCGCCTGGGGTGACGTCTGCTTGTCGATCTGCGCTTTGGCGTAAGGATGCGTTGCGTGATGGGTTGCTGGGCTGTGTAGAAGAGCTGATGGTGATGGAGCGGCGTTTGGAGGTGGAGTTGGCTTTGGAGAGATGCGAATGTCGGGAGGAGCGCTGGGACCCGGAGATAGAGATTGTGGAGGGGGCCACGGGCGTGGCGTGTAGTGGGGAGGGACCACGCGAGTGTGGATATGGTGGCTGAGGATGGTGATGGTGGTGATGCTGCGGATGGAGTTGCGGGTGGAGAGAAAAGGCGGAGGGAGCGGCGGTGATGGGAACTGGCAAATTGATAGGGCTGCCACCGGCACGCGAGGCATTGGAGTCGAGGAAGACACGGAGATTGATTGTGTTTTCGCCAGCTGCGAGTAAGGGATGTTGGAACGCATTGGTGTCTTTCTTGTTGTCACTCTTGCTTTCGCCCTTGGCCTTCTTCTGAGCCTTGCCGTTGTCGTCACCTTCCTTGTCCTCTCCTCCCGTACCGCCCCTCTCGCCATGTTCACTCGTGCTCCACGTCGTGCCCGGCAGCCAGACGAAATCATCGAAATCCTGCGCCAGATCCGCAAAGTTGAACCCCCTCCCCCTTTCCGCCGGCTGAAATTTTTGGCCAACTTGGACATCCAGGTCCAACAGTTCCTTGTGGACCGGCTTGTAGCTCATCATGCGGTTCACGATGGCCGGTGGGAACTCGGCATTGCTCAGACCCATGAAGCCCGCAACCACGGGCTTGATATCCAGGTCGAGTCTCACATCCTCCAGGCCCTCGTAGCCGCCCGAGCCCTTGGTCAACAACACGACGAACGTGAACTCACGGGGCAGGCCCGACTTTTGCAGACGGTTCTCCTCCAGCGTCCACATGATCTCGGCGTCCTCGAGGTCATACTGCCGGCCGAACCAGGAGTGCAGGCCGCGCATGGATCCCTGAATCCTCATCATCTCGAACAGTTTGTACGAGCCGTTGATGCCACCCGAGGGGGAAAGCGTGGCGTTCGCAGGCCCCTGAGAGACGCCTAGTGAGCCTGCCAGATTGAAGTTCCAGGTCAGCGTCTCGGGCGAAATGGCGCCGAAGAGCAGGTGCGGCGCGTGTCGAAGGAAGCGTGGCGGTGAGTCGCGCAGCGAACGCATGCGGTCCGGAGGGAGGGCGTCAGAGGAGCGGATGAGAGCCGTGCTGGGGTTGGCGACCGGGTCGGTGTGTCGTGTCTGCGTGCCGAAGTCGCGGGCGTCGGTCTGGCTGCTGACGCTGTGAGCGAGTTTGCTCAATGGGCGGTTGGCACCGGTGGAGGAGTCCTCATCGGCACGGTGCAGGGCGACGCTGATCTCGGCGGATTTAAAACGGAAATGAGACTTGGATGGGTGGAAGACAAAATTGATGGCCACGAAGCGCACGTTTTCGATCAAGTCTTCGGAGACCATGGGAGAGTCATAGAAGCCGGACTGCAAGCGCTGGATGTGAGCGGTGATGTAGCTCCCGCCCGGCAGCCTTCGCTCGTAAATACATTTCTGATTGACGTTGAAGCGGTAGTCGGTGCTGTTCGGGTCGCGGGATTTGCGCGCGACGGTCCGGGGCGTCAGGGGTGAGGTGTGAGGCTGGGCGGTTGACGGTGGCACCGAGGTGTTTAGGCGGTGGAACCAGGATGACATTGTGTTTTCGGTGCTGGGAAAGACGGACAACAAAAGGGTTACATGGTCATAATGAAAGCTATGAAGCTATGAGTCTATGTGATGAGAGAGGTAGGGTGCCCGGGAAGCTCAGCGCCGGGGGAAAGTGGTGTAAGAATAGAAACGAGGTAGTGGCCACGATCGAGGGTGGTTGGAAAGCCTGACGCCTTGTCCGGGCTTGATTGGCTCTGGGGCCTTGTAACAGCATGTGCGTGCGCTGACAGGCAAGCAATTCAGCCTTGTTGGTAAACCTCAGTTACTGACGGCTCAAGGATTCATGGGGGAGCAGCTTGTGCGAATTGTTGATCGACCGGGTATATGTATATTTGCAGTGGAAAGAAGTTGCCGCGAAAGCTGCAACGCAATCTATCAACATGAAAACCAACATGGTATAGTATAAACCCCAAGATTTGAAGCCTTTTCCAACCATAGTCCTGCCGCTCGAGGAACAATCCTTGGTGCGGCTATGTATATGCCCACCACCGCGGTCGTGTCTATTTGCGGGCTTCTGGCAAGACAGCCAGGCAATAAAGGTGAACTCAGTTTCTGCGGCTTGGTACGCCTCGCTGACGCCGAACGATGCTCAAAGGCCTCGTGTGGTCTGATGCAAGTCCAGATCGTAGAGAGACGCCAACATCGAAGTGGCTAGTGCACCGAAGCAGGGGGGATGAAGAGCCCAACGCATGGAGTTCGGTGCTGTCCCGATCCTCAAACGAGCCTCTACTGGCATGGCTCTCAGTCTCAACATTCAGGTGGCACGAAAAGCGGCTCCAAGGTCACGCCGAAGAAGCTAAAGCTGGCTCCGAGACACGCGCTTGAGAGGACGATCGACCTTCCGGCTGCCTCGATCTTGTCGAGCCTTAGCTGTAAGAGATCCGACCCCTCCAGCGAATTCCAGACGATGCGTGCACATGGACGCGCCAGGCATTCAATCGGGCTGTTGGAGGCTCTTCGCCTGGCCGCATATCACTGGAGTCGCAGTCTGCCAAAGCCCGGATGATCCACTCGCTCCTATCTCAGGCAAGGTCCCAATGCCGGAGAGCGGAGAACTCATCGCCACGCCTCAATCGCACTGCCCTCTTCCCACGAGTGAAAGTCGTCCGCCAGTTGCCAGCTCTGGATCTGCGGAGCCCCGTCCCCTTGCTGCGTGACCGCAAAGGCAGTTCCGGTGGCAGTCATTGCAACATCGCCGTACAGCTTTTCATTGAGGGTCGAGTTGGCTAGCTGGGTGGGAGATGCGTAGTACGAGGACCAGTCATTCTCGGTGCCTTCCCATGTGTTGACTTTGATCCCGGATGAGGAGAGTGACAGGACCTTGATCCAGGATTCAAAGCCAGCACTGACGTTGCTGTATGAGGAGGCGGCCGCAATGGGGGAGCCTTTGGAGAAGGCGGCGTAGGTTTGCACGTTAAGGCGCCAGCCGGGACCTAGTAAGAAAATGTGTCAGCGTGTTCGGTTGCATCTTTGAGACGGGGATCTATGACTCACTGTCCAATCCCGCAACGGATTCTTGATAGGCAGCCAGAGTCATGTTGTGGTTCTTGGCCTTTTGGTAGTAGAGATTGATCTGGTCTGGTAAGGTAGGGCGGAAAAAAGGCTGCAATGCAAGCCCAGTGCCCACGGCCGGGTCGAGGTTATTTCCCAGTTGGTTGAAAGTCCAGCCGCCGCTTGAGCTGAAGTTGCCCATTTGGACAAAGCCATTGTTGTCTTGGAAGGCAACATACGTCGTGTTCGCACAGCGCGCACATTGGTTGTACAATGCCGCAATGCCTGATCCGGGCGTCACCTTCCACGACTCGTCTGCTATCGTGCCAGGCGTCCATTTTCCACTTGAGGAATCGAGAATGGTATCGCGGAGGACATCATTCTCGTCGACGTAGAAGATGCTGATCGCCAAAGGAGAACCGGGACGGGACACAGCAGCTGCAAGAGCTGAACCGTTCTTCGCCGACGCGCCGATCGAGTCTGTGCTCCACGACGACTGCTGAGACGTCGAGCCAGCCGTCATGATCCGGCCACTGTCGTCCTGATAAAAGACCCATGTCCGGTTTACTGACCCGTCTTCGGTAGACGCAGCCGCCACGGAGCGCTGCAGTAATGACTGGGCAGGCGGTGTAGATGGCGTCGAGGAGCCACCGCCAGAAGACGAGCCATCACTGGAGCCGCTCGACTCCCCCGAACTGCTCGAGTCACTTTTATTGAGCACCGTGCCCAAAACACCTCCCAGAACCGCCGCCAGAACGACTATTGCAATGACAGCAAGAATGATGAGTATTTTCCTTCTTTTCCACCACGGTCGAGTCGGAGGTGCTTTGTCTTGCGCGGCATCGAAAACTGCTGGCGCGAAGTCTGGTTTGCTGTGACTGTCGTGGACTGGCATGTGTTGTCCGCTGGGATCGTCGCGGTATGGGGAGTATTCCTTACCCTGAGCCAGGTGAGGAGGGACGTATTCTTTGCCATCATCACCCGCAAACTGTAACCCATCTTGCCCTGCTACCGGGCTGCTGTCTGCCTTTGGCCTCTGCTCGGCTACCTCTAAGGTGCTATAACTGTGATCGGCACTGTTCATCGTGAGGGCCGCGAAGGAGATCCCTGATCGAAGGCACGTGGAAAACGCAAGGAGGACAGAGAAGCAGATTCACCGCGGTAAGGGGACTTACCTCAAGCCCGTCGCGCCCTGGACTTGTCACTACTGAGCCAGCGGAGTGACAATCATGCCATGATAGGGTTTGCTAGGGTCCCAGGAACTTCCTGGAAGCTCGAGGCAGTGTCCGAAATTAGCCCCGAACGCGTGCCGTGCATCTTCTTCCCATATCATAAGGCTGGCCTAGATCATTGGGTACCTGGTGAAACATGCAGGAGCTTCCCTGACTGGTCCAGGAGACGGGAGGCTTCGATTTGACTGTTTGCGGCCGTGGGCGCTTCACCTTTGGGGGCTCTGTTGACAAGGTTCGGCCCCCATCGTGCCGTGTGCCGCTGTCATCTTAAGCTCGACAGGCTCAGGGCGGCAGGAAAAGCTTCTCGCAGTGGACAGTTCGGATCGTTGTGAGTGCGAAGCGGCGTAGCGACATTGAAAGAATTCCTGTGGTGACAGCTCGACTTCGCTGCTAAGGTAAGCGAAAGGGCATGTGCACGCCAAAAGCCCCAATCGCAAACACAACCACTCGAATCGAGGTGTCGTACCTCAGCATTCAAGCTGAGCCTTTTGCGGAACGGTCATCAAGCATTATGTTTGCAAGGCTGTTTACTCTCACCATGTTTCCGCCTGCGCGCTCAATTTGCATTACGTTTCTAGCCTGCAGTATGTGACATTGATTCGGATTTCGTCTACTCCTCGGCCAGCGTCTGGCCTTCCGCCAGACCCTGAACAACCAGCTCCTCGCCTGTCGCCCTCCTGTACAGGTCTCTGATATCATCTGTCGTGGTCTCAAAGTGTGAGCTGGCATCGTAGCTCTTGGAGAGATAGATGTGGTCATTGAGCCCGCTCTCAAGCGGCTCGTAGATGGGAATGGGCTTGCTGGTGAAGATCTCCTCAATCTTGCCCAGGCGCTCCAGACCGGGCTGCAGCTCTAGGTGATGGTTTGCAGACGTCTCGGCGATGGTACTGACGATTGCAATGTAATACCCTCGGGGGCAGACATTGTGGGCCGACGAGACGGCTGCGATGTAAATGTCGTGCTTGCGGCCGACTTGCGACTGAGGAATGATGAGCTGGAAGGAGTCCGAGTCGTTAGTCTTATCGACGGGATGATTGAGAATGCAGATGGCTTTGATGAGATGTCCCACAACCTGGACTTTGTCGGGGAAATACGAGGGGTCGGCAATGATCATCTTCGTCTTGGTGCTGAACTTCATCCCGTCACCCTCCTCGCCGCGCTCCTTCATGGTTGCCTTGATGCCGGAGACTTTGCCACCCTCGTACTCCACCTCGTCAATAGAGGTGTTGAGCATATAGGTGCCACCATAGATGGCAGACAAACGAGCGAAACCTTGAGGCAACTCGCCAAGGCCGTACAGAGGATAGATGTACGGCGACTTGCCATAGCGGGCCATGGAATTTGCATAGAGACGGATACGGCTGATGGCATCAGTGGCCATACCTGGAGAGTTGAGGTATTCATCAGAACTGTAAAGAGCCATAGAGTGGCCGATGAAGTCGCGAGTGGTGGCCTCGAGGCCGAACTTGTCGTACACGTCCTTCATGGAGGACTGGTTGAGGTTGAGACCTGGTCTCTGATTAGTATCTCATCCGCCGAATTCCTTTGACTGCTACTGACCACCATGAGTGCTCGGATTGTTCTCTTCGAATGCCCCGACCCACTCCAAGAACTTCTTCGCCCGTCTCTTCTCGAACAAGCCCATCAGAGGAGAGCTCAGGGCCTCAGAAGCCGTGGAAGGGACTTTCGCCACAGTCGCTCTGGGTCCAGACCCTTGCTGCACGAAGCTGCCGGCAATCTGCCTGAACTCGAGGTATCTTGTAACATTGGTAGAGACGAGAATGTTCGTCAGCTCTCCGTTGGCCATCAGCAGCTTTGGTACGAGATCAACGTTCCAGTCGTTGACTCGGCCGTACTTCTTCCACGGCTCCTCCCCCTCTTTGAAGTTGCCATATTTCTTGAAGAGCTGTCTTCTGTCAGAAACCTGTCGCTGGGTTGGAGAATCGCACGTACAGCCTCGATGTTCACAGACGCAGCTTCTCTGTCATCAGTCAGCCATTGCACCAGCACGCTTCTGTACGGAACTCCTCATACCCGCCATAGTGATCATTGCGATCAATGTGTAGCACCTTCTTCCCCTTCACACTGAGAACACTGTGAGAGCGTTAGGACTTCGCGAGAAGGACAGCCGTCGAAGGGACACACCCGGAGAGCACGCATTCGGTCAAACCTGCCACATGTCAGTTCATCTGGCGGGGCATCATGTTCTCAGTGGGGTATGCTGCTTACCGGTGCCGAGGACGACGACATCATATTCGGGGGCAATCTCATCCATAGCGAAGTAGTTTGATGCTGGGTGAGCCGCAATCACGGAGAGAGGCAAGCTAGCAACGTCTACAAGAGGCCCAGAGGTGTCGGTGAATGAAGCCATGCGGCGGTCCCCGCTTGGCAATATCGATCTGCAGCAGCCTTGCGAGGCTGAAGTTCGGCATACGATTATAGATCAATCTGAGACAGAAACCTTTCATTTGTCGGGAATTGTACAATGTCCACCATAGTGTGCGGCATCCTGAAAATGCAGTCTCTCGCTCAAGCGAACGAACGCTGAAGCATACGGGACCCGCCCCCAGACGCATGCGCCCTGACCCACCCCTCATTGTCATGTTCCTCACTCATCCAGTTCCTCTTCTGCCAACAAGTCCTTGAGAGCTGTTTGGTTCAGTAGGGTGTTTGCCTCAGACCAGCTCTCATAACGGTCCCGCAGGACTCTCCGAACAGTATGCATCGTTTTCCGGACCTGATAGGAGTGGTTAGCGGAGCTCAGGGGTTATGACTCAAGGTTCAAATGGCAAATAGCAACTGTATCAGGCAACCTTGTGTGAGTTCATGTTCGCAAAGATTAAGCAGTCTTTGCGATCATTTCGGCGAGTGAAAGTTGTAGTTCATCGTGGAAACACCGTCATAGAGAAGTGAGGGGATTGCATACCACTTTCAGACGCTGCTCGTTCTCAGTGGCACCGTAGCCAGCTCTTGTCCGTCGCAACTCTCTCGCTCTCGTGTTGATCTGATTGGCCTCCAATATGCACTTCCAGTAAAGCTTATGAAGGTCTTCGAAGGATTTGATCGTCAGCTCCATGTATGACCATGCGCGACCGTGTTGGGCTTCGGCGGCGGCCGGCACCATAGGCTGTTTCCTCTCGTTGAAAAAGCCCCAGAGGCCATGCTTGTCGGAAGTCTTGAATAGGGCTCGTCGTTCGGGACTGATGATAGGTATGGGTAAGTCGTATTTGTATACCTCGGTCTTTTGCTTCGGTGGTATACTCCTGATCGCAGATACGCCTCTCTTCTTGTTTGGGCCGGTCGTCCGCCGAGAAGCTGATGTCGGTGAGGTGCTAAACTCTCGAGGTGCTGAGCTGTGAAAGGAGCTGGCAGTCGCGAAAGCTGGAGCCAGGAATATGGGGACACTGAAAGGGCGCAGGCGCGCTGGTACCGCGGCTACGACAACCATTTGTGTCGTTTCTAAGCACTGCAGACTGCGACAGTCGTTGCGAAGGATAATTGGGGCGAGTGCTGAAATGGGGGCTTCGGGAGTGGTGTAGCAGAAAGAGCCTTCGTACTCGTACCTCTACACAAACCTCGTGATTCGCCAAGGCTCGACCAATGTACCGACGTTCTGCCGACGTTGACCACACGGTTCACCTCGTTGGCACCGAACATACAAGTGAGCAATAGCTGCATGCGCGAAAGGAATCGTGCTCTTCTCAGAGGCAGTTTCTTTGATTTTTGATTTCTTTTATCTGTCAACCACGTTTGCTGCTCCAAGAGACCGTGTCGATACAGAAAGAGTAGACTATGCTCTCTGTCGAAAGAACCTCTGCAACATCAGTCAGGCCCTTGCCATCCTCCCTCCTTAGACCAGTCCAAGAAGATGCCTCTCACGCGCTGGAGTTTATTCATGCGGTAGCTGATCGTGACTCGGAGATCATTCTCTAGCGTAGTTGACGAGAAGACGGCCTGCATTTCGAAGGCCAGATTTGGATTGATTGAGATTGAAAGTAACATCGTAATAGCCATTCCGAGGCTGCCCAGCGGAGGGCTCAACCTCAATGCTCTTGATACGCCGGAAAAGCCCAAACGCGCGGGTCTGATCGTCTAGCCAGTGCTTTTGGACGAACGTGGCCGGGTCTTCACCGTTGGAGGAGAAGCCGAAGATCTTTTGGCGGCAGCAACTGGGGGCCTCAATTCGGAACTTGAGGCAACGCAGCTGCTGGAATCGGGAGATATCCAGCCTGTAACAGCGAGCCTTGCACATCCACATCTCGTCGATGAAGTTGAGCTTCCTGGTAAAAGCCTCGATGGCTTCAAGCGTGCCAGGCATAAAGTCCGCGCGTTCGAGCAGTGTCTGGTCAAGATAGACAGTGGTACGCTCCTCAAGGTATGGAGTAGCTTCTGAACGGATAGTCTTGCATGTTTGCAACAGATTACGACTTGCACCCTCGATGACTGCCGTCTGCTGCGTGTTGAATACTTGGTCAGAGTCGACTTGGAGAGTGGGTTCGGCAAAGACGTGATCGTAGATCATGAGTCGGACTTCAGGAGGCAGAGAAAGGAAGCCGAGCTTGGCTGGACTGTAGATTGACGACATGTTGAGTGAACAAGCGTTTCGAGATGATGCAGCCACTTTGTGTTGCGGTGCTATTGATGCGTGCTTGGTTAATCACAGAAATCAAGACTTGCAAACTAGGCGAGAGCAGCGTTTGAAGCAGTGTCCATCGGAGCCTGTCGCCTTTATCACGGTGGCTGTGTATGAGATGACATGATCTCCCTTTCCTTTGTCTGAGAGTGAAGTCAATAAGCAGGGAAACGCAGGCAGAACGATTCACATGAGACAGGACCCCGCCGCTCACAGGGATGTTTACCATATTGTAAGACAGCTATTCAGACAGCTGAGAGTTCCTGGCTGACTAGACCATGGCCATGCCCAGCTCAATGTCTTGTCTATACCTAGGTAGGTACGCATTTGCTGAGCCAGCAGGAGTGCCGCTAAGCCTTCGAAAAACATACGGCTTTTGGTCAAAAAGCTGCGTCTTTGCCGATACAGGCGGCTGGGCCCATCAACTTCTCAAGACACACTCACAACGTCTTCCCATAAACTCATCTAGATCCACTAACGAAGTAGAAACAGTCCTTGCTGATCCAGCTACTACACCAGCAGCCACCGGATCAACAATATGAACGAACTGGCTGGTGAAAAGAGCTTGCTTGCGCAGGCACATAGCAGGATGCCAGTGCGGTACCATTCGTTGAGAGATGGTTTAGATGCGATACAGGACCAGCAGGTCGTGAAGGGTTGAGTGTTGGTGTACGCTCTCGGCTCTTGAATCTTACAGGCTCGGAGCTTCTGGGGCGGCGGAGTGCCGCCCGTTCCACGGCAGCTCTTGGCTTGGGCTTCTCGGATGCCAAAGCTCCGGGCATCCATGCCATGATCTGTACTGTGGTATGTCCTTGCGAACGCTTCATCATACACATTTCGGTCGGTGCTTCGTCCCGGCACTTGTGGCGAGCGGCAATTTCCCGCCGAGCCACAACATTCAGGCGAATCCGCTTCAGCTTGCGACTCCTGCATATGCATGCGTTAGTCACCCCCAGAGCTGTTGGTTCTACAGTACACCGACGCATGAATGGTTTGCCCAACGCACGCCGGCTGCTCGCCATGATGTTTTCTTCGAGGCCTTGAACGGCCCTTCACCCAAATGTCCAGCTAGCAGCACCGCAATCTGTTCAATGCTCCATCTTCGTCCTGACGTTGTGGGGCCACGACTTGCAAGGCCCCCTGCCCGGTTCCAAGCGACCTCTCAATTGCCCGGCGCTTGAAACTGGGATCGAATCATGTTATGTCAAGGCCGACTCTAGCTAACTGAAACCGTGTTGCTAGAGTCATAAGCATTGTCTAGTATCCGGTTTAGGCTTTGCCTAACGGTCACGATGATCTTGAACCTGTTCCTAAATAGCCCACCTACAAGCGGCGACGAATCGCGAATTCTCGGCCTCGCAACGCCTTCTGGTCCTGCGCAGCAGGTGAACATCGCTATATGAAACACTGACACCCTGGTAGGGAAGTATCTTACTCTTCTCAGGTTATTCCCTCAAACGTCGCCTGGACCAGCTGCATCCGGTCCCCTCCTGATTGCCGCGCCCCCTGGTCAGCAACCTTATACTGGTCGTGTATATTTCCATTTCTCCAGAAGCAAGCTCCGCATTTTTGCACAGACAGGCAGTCATGGCTTCTACCTCAGCCTGGGGCCGAATGCATGCCACATCACTTCTCCTACTCCTCCTACCATTACAATCAATAGCGCAGACATCGTCCACCCTGACCGTCTCAGAGAACGGCGACTGTGGCAGCGATGTCAGCCAGACATGCCTAGGCTCCCGCTTCGGCAACTGCTGCTCCTCCAGAGGCTTCTGCGGCTCCACCACCGACTACTGCGGCGCCGACTGCCAAATTGACTTCGGGACCTGTTCATCCCTCAACGCGACTCTGATCAGCGCCGACGGAAACTGCGGCGCCAGCGACCCCGAGGGCCAAGTATGCTTGGGAAGTACATTTGGCAACTGCTGCAGCCCCCGGGGCTTCTGTGGTTCAACATCAGACTATTGCGGCACGGGCTGCCAGAGCGGGTACGGCAACTGCGGCTCCAACGACGGCGAGAGCACCACCAGCGTCGCCGACAGCGCAACGAGCTCCAGCGCGGCATCAACGGCCGGTCAGGGTGCAGTAGAAGCAGCCACAGAGGCGCCCGCAGACACATCACCTCCCCTTCAGCCAACTCAAGAAGGCATCTCAACTGGCGCAAAGGCCGGCATCGCCGTCGGCGCCGTCGGCGCAGCCGCCCTCGTCGCCGGCGCTCTTTTCTTCTTCCTCCGCCGCCGCCGTAGGCAAGCCGTTCCAGGCACCAAACTGCCAGCCGACGACGACGCCACGATGAGTCCCAGTCCGCCCAAGTCCATCGGCGGCGAATCCATATCTACCACCACGGCATTCTCGCCCACCATCTCGTCGACGGCCATGACGGAACAACACCCTCCCATGCCGATGACGCCATACACGGCGAAGGACGGACCTTCCGCGCACGTCTCAGAACTGGCTGAAGCAGGCGACCGACGAGTCGAGCTAAATGCTGGCGACAAATCACCCGCCGTGGCGGAGTTGGGCTTCGATGCCGCGGCGGAGCTGCCGAGTGAGCGATACTCGAGGGATCTGGGGAGATAGCAGTGGGAGGGGGGGAAGGTGTATACAAGTAAATGCTGACTGGGGCATTCTCGAGAGACGCATAAGCTATATGATAGTATTAGTTTCCTTGAGAACAAGTCAGGGACGCTTTCACGCTTTCCCTAATACTGTTTACACGTTGTGTAAGATTCATGACCGCGCGGTGGCCCGTTGTGAGGATTGATAGACAGATAGATAGAGGGGTTTTTCTTAATGATCACGAACGATACTCATTCATACACCTACCTCGCGAGAGGTGCGTACGTAACGTAGACAATCGCCAACGGCGTAAAGACCGAATCGTCGTTTCTTGTGGTCCTCTCATGCATTCAATATGGGTGTCAGCCGGTGCAGGGCATGAAGTTATATCTCCTTCGGTGTATCGTAGGTATGCAAAGCGTGCGCGGGTTGGAAAAGCCAGGCGACGCAACGCAATGAACCAATATGAAAGAAGACCCCTAGTGGTCAGCCCCCGTCGCCGCCGCAAACCATGTGTATCATTTCAGATGCTCAAATCCCCACCAGACCAGACCAGACCATGCTGTCTCAATGCCAACTAATGCACGCCAGTCCAAGCATCGCGGATGCCAGGCCCTTTCGATCCGCCTGCTCCCAATCATACAACCGTACACACATACATGCATATAGACAGAACCAGAAAGACACGCCCAAACAAAGTTCATACTCCAGTCATGATCACATCACATCACTGCATAACGCTGACAACACTCGTCCCCTCACTGAACCTAGTCCTAAACACACGATTCGCATTCTGGAACATGCCGTCCTTGAGACTCACCACGATGAACTGACTGCCCATGAAGCGCGTCTTGATGAGTCTCCCGATGTTCTGCGTGTGCGACAGGTCGAGCGCGGCGTCCACCTCGTCCAGGATGTACATGGGCGCGGGCTTGAACTGCAGGAGCGCGAGGATGAGGGAGAGGGCGATGAGAGATCTGTGACAGAATTCATGTTAGTTTATGAGGGATATGCAGGGGAGGTGGAAACGTACCGCTGCCCGCCGCTCAACTCGGCCAGACCCGTCTTCCACACCTTGCCCAGCATGACTTTCACCTCGAGACCCTCGCCGATGCGGGAGACATCGCCGTCGATGGGCTCGAGCTTCGCGCTGTTGTTGCCGGGGAGCAGGTCGGCGAAGATGTTGCCAAAGTCTTCGGTGACCTTGCGCCACGTCTGGAGGAGGGCTTCTTTCTTGTATTCTTCGATGGTGATGATCGTCTCCTCGATCTTCTTCTTGTCGCGCACCACCGTCCGCAGCATGTTCTTCAGTCCCGCCTCCTTCTTCTCGACGCTATCGATCATGGGCATGACCTTGGGGTTGATCTTCTTCTTCATGCCTTGGAATCGCTCGGTCAAGTTCTTCATTATGGCGCGGGACTCTGCAAGATTCTTGCCGTGGAAGTCGTACGGTGTGTTGGGCTTGCCGAATTGGTCTTTGGTATCGTGAATCCAGTCGTGTTCCTTCTCGAGGGACGCAACGTGCGATGCCGCTGCTGCGGAGTCCTTGGCTAGCTTTTCGACGGCGTGGGATAGCTTTTGCGCCTCGAGAGACTCTTCGGTGACTTGTTTGGACTTCCGAGATTTGGCGGATTCGAGTTCTTGAAGCTCGTTGTCAAAGGAGGTGAGTTTGGCTTGCTCTTCCTGTAGCTCGGCTTGGGCAACATCGTGCGCTGATTTTGCAGCAGCCTCTTCTTCCCTCAATGATGCCAACTCTTCATTCTGCGCCGAAATGCCGCCTTCGACCTCCGCGAGCTGTTCTTCCGCTGCAGCTAGATCCGACACTGCCTGCTCAGAGTCGAGGCGGGCTTCTTGGAGCTCCTTCTGCATAGTCTTTATTGCTACTGTGGTCTTGGACAGGTTCTTCTTGAGATCAGCAAGAGACTTCTCCAGCTCTTTGAGCTTGCTGTCCTTGTTCCTGTTGAAGTCAACCATATCCTTCTCGATACGCTTCACATCCTTCTGAGCTTCGGCTTGAGTCGTCTTCGCATCGGCCATTGCTTGTTTGAGTTGCACTATGGACTCTTTCATCTCTTCAACAGCTGCAATAATCGACGACGATGAATTGCCTTTGATCTGCTCTTCTGTAAGCTTGATCTCATGAGACTTGAGATCAAGTTCCTGTTTGACTGCTCGAATGCTTGCCAATTTCTGCTGTTCACTCTGCATCTGTTGCCGCAGAGTGTCAAGCTCTTGCTGATGTTGCATCATGTTCTTCGTAACTTCATTCAGCTTCTGCAAGATTACCAGGACGCCGCTGGAATTGGGCGAGCTGCCACCAGACAGCGTTCCAGAAGGATCATAAACGTCCCCTTCAAGAGTCACACTCTTTAACCGCACGGAAGGGTCGAATGTAACTTTCTTTGCTGTTTCGGCATCTTGGCAGATCAGAGTTGTGCCAAAGACGAAGTCCATGGCGGCTGAGACTTCGTAGTCGTAACCGATCAACGAAAGTGCCAAGTCGACCTTGCCAGGAGCGAGCTTTTGAGCAGCACCAACCTTCTCTGCTGACGCTCTAAAGGCCGAGATCTTGTTGAGTGGAATGATAGTGACTCGCTTCTTCAGCTTGCCCTTTTGCAGAAGTTGTGTGCCCGTCTCTGCGCTATCGACCACGACATTGTATAGTCTACCACCAGCACAGATCTCCAAGGCTGTGCCGGCCATCGACTTGTCCTTGTCAAGTGTGAAGAGCTGGGCAACCAGACCCTTGACTTTTGACCGATCGAAGTTAGGTGAGGGGTCGCTGTAGTTGAAATCCACATTAGCGACCTTTCTTTTCAGTCCATCAGCCTCTTCCTTGAGTTTGCGAATGGTCTTTTGTAGCGTCGTCTGCCTCTCCTGCATCGCCTCTTCTCGGCCAGGCTCGAAACCCATCTTTGAGAGATCGGCCTCCAACTTCGCAGCTTGCTTCCTGAGGCTGTCGAGACCGTTGATGAGGCCAGCATTTTGATTTTTGGCTTTCTGTGCGCGGGGTTCATCCTCCTTGATCTGCTTCTCAAGATGCGATATCTTGAGCTTGGCTTGCTCTTGCTCGGTACCGGCACTGGTGACTCGGTTCCGGGCCTCCTGTAGCTGCCCCTGATATCCACTCTCCTGACCCTCTCGTGAAGCAACACCAGTCTGTAATGTTGAGAGCAATTCTTCTTTGCTCTCCATCTCGGCGTTCTGCGCATCGACTTCTGCCTTTGAGGAATCGTAATTGGCTTGCAGCTTCTCGAAAGCAGCCTTCTTCTCAGCGACTTGCTTTTCAAGCGCTTTGACCGATTTGGCGACATCCTTTTTCCGCGATTCCTCCTCACTCAGACTGCTCTTCTTGAGGTCAAGAACTGTCGCCAGCCGAACCAGTTCGTGGCTGTGTTCTTTGACCTGATTCTCCAGAGCCTGGAAACGACCACCTTTGCGCATTTCCTTCTCCCGCACAGCGCGGACACGCTGAGCATCCTCTTCCAAGTTTTCGATCTCGCGCTTGAGTTTGACAGCATTGTCCTCAAGATGTTGCATTTTGGCACGCTTTGCTTCGTGCTCGTCGGTGGCTTGTCGCATCTTCTCCCCTCCTCTGACGTACTCTGCTGCCACAACCACTCTAGTGAGGCGCTCGAGCTCGCCCTGAGTCTTCTGGTAGTCAAGCCACGCTCGCTTCTCGCCGCGCAGCTTGTCCAGTTTCGGTTCGATTTCTTCTTTGAGGAGCCCTTCGATCTCCTTGACCTTCATCTCCTTCTTGGCCATGGTCTTGTTGGCTTTGTCTTTGCGGTCCTCGAACATGCGCGTTCCAGCAGCCTCTTCGATCATGGCCAATATTTCCACCGACTTCATGTTCAGCACCTTCGTGATTCGTCCCTGCATAATAATGAAATTCGGATTGTTGATATTCAGTCCGACGCTTTGGAACAAATTCTGCACGGTCTGTTGCTGTGCGCGATGACCGTTGATCAGATATTTACTAGTGCCGCCCATAACGATTTGCCTGGTTACGCTGATTTGCGCATACTCTTCGAAACCAATGGGGCTTTTGTTCTTGTCGCCGTTGTCAAACACAATCGTGACGCTGGCCTTCGTGACACCGGCCTGGCCTCGCTTGTATATCAGATCCTGCAAGTTTTGTGCTCGGACTGTAGACATATTGTTGATACCAAGGACGAAAGCGATGGAGTCGAGGATGTTACTCTTTCCCGAGCCATTGAGGCCGGTGACGGCATTGAAGGAGTCATCCCAGCCCGAGATTACCGTGCGAACCTGGTAACTCTTGAAGCTAATGTGCGTGTCAGCGATGTGTTCGCGCGTAGGAGTGCGATCTGCGCATCTTACCCATCGATGATCAACTCAACGATCCTCATGTTGGCGGTTAGTGGCGTGCAACGCGCTCGTGGGTGACCTGTGTTAGTACGCGATGTCAAGGGAGTGCATGACGCGCCCGAAGGGTGTTGCAGGCTTGAGGCCGGTGTGCACGGTTGGCCGCACCTGAGTTTGTTGATAGATCTCCATTTGGGGAAAGGCGTGCTGCTATAGAGGCAGGTTTGCCGAGAGCTAAACCATCTGCGATGTAAGGTTAGTGGCTTTCCCGAATTGGATATTTGGGCAGCTTTCATAGGCACCGAAGCACGTCAGACTGCATTTTAATTTCAAGTTGCTGGGATGTTTCTCTTCCTCCAAAACACCGGGCGTATAGTTTGCACCGCCTTCCAACGCTACCTTCAAGAAGTCACTAGAATAGCAACGCAGTTCTGTGATTTACTATCTAGGCGAGCAGTGATTTGTGTGAAATACCGGACTATCAACACAGATGCTGCACAGTCCGATTTGCCGGAGAGGGTGACTCCCCTGCACGGTGGGCGGAAGGCCGGCCATATTACGATAATAGGAGCTGGCCTTCATCCAAAGGACGGAGTGTGCCTCGGCCCCTGGTGAGCCTGCTGTCTCGATGGGTATCGGACGTTCCCTGTCAAAAGTATGCCAAGTACAGGGAGCCAGTCTCGAGAGGGCATCTTCCATTTTCGTGCCTTCACAGAGATCCCATTAATGCACCTCTGCCCAACTTTCATGTCGAAGAGGCCGGCGCAAGCCTGTTGCAAGATGCTGATGTCGGATCCTGTCCGTCTCACTGCTTGCCCTTCCGACTCTCCTTGACTTCCTCCACGACCTTTTGTACACCACTGATCTCGTGTGCAAATCTCCCCAAGAACATGCCATCGACGTACTGACCCAGGCCGTTGCCGCCATTTGTCTTCCCAGACCACAAGCCAGGTCCCGCACTACCACCATAGACAATCCTCGTATCCCCGGTCCTGCTCTTGACACTCTTCACCACTTCTCGGATCGCCTGCACCACGGGTCCAACGAAGTCGACGCCTGCAGGCTCCGCGGCACCAATTGCCCACACTGGCTCATATGCCAGAATTATAGGAGCCTCAGGCGGAACAGCGTTCAGCACGCTCTGCACCTGCGGCGTCAACTCCCTCATGGCACCGCCAACGGCCTGACTCAGAGGCGCGTTGAGATTCGGCTTCTCAATCTCGCCAATGCAAACAAGCGGAATAAGGCCGTGAGCGCACGCGGCGGATGCTTTTGCAGCCGAGGAAGCGTCGGTTTCGCCTACAAAGCGCCGCCGCTCAGCGTGATTGAGCTCGACAATGCGGACACCAAGAGAGGTCAAAGCGGGTGGCACGACGAAACCAGTATAGGCGCCGTAGGCTGGGAAAGGCGAGACGTCCTGGGCGCCGAGGTACAGGGGCCATGTCGAGGGGTCGGCTGAGGCATGCTGAGAGAGGAGCTGGGAGCAAGGATAAATGGTAAGGAAGTCGGGGATGAGTGAGAAGAGGATATCAGATGGGAGAGGCAAGATGTTGTTGGCGGGATCGAGGAGAGACTTGAGGTAGGACAAAGTACGTTCGGGGGTGAAGTATGCTTTAGTACTGGTGAGAATGAGCGTTGGAGGCAGGGAAGGGTAGGAAATTGACTGCGAGGTCTGTTCGGACATCTTGTGCAGTAATTTGTTGTTGTGCTATGGGAGCTTTGGACGAAGGCACGAGATGGTGTCGATCCAGGCACCTTGTAAACAGTGGCAGTGAATTTCCGGGGAGGGGTTCAACGCTCGTGTTCTAGAAGAAATATTCTGCTCCGCACGTGGGCCGGTATCCCGGTTTGGGCAACCCGCGGCAGCCCTCTTTGGAGAGCGCGGACTGGTATGACGCCTTGCTTTTAGCGATCGGGGGTTGTGCCGATGGGCGGATAAAAAGGTCGAGGGGCAATGGCGATGGCTAAATAATGGACGATTTGCTTGTAAAAGGAATTTTCTTACCTGTCTAATACCTATCTTTGCAACAGTCAGACATCATGGCAGCCAATGGAACTGGAAAGGCCCCTCTTCGCATCGTGGTAGGCAGCGATGATGCTGGCCACACATACAAGCAGGCCCTGAAGGAGGTCCTCTCAAAACACGCTGGAGTGGCAAAGGTCCTGGACGTCGGCGTGCTTGAGGCGGATGACAAGACAGCCTACCCTCACCTGGCTGTGGATGCGGCGAAGAAGATCAAGTCTGGCGAGGTAAGACTGTCGCATCGCCGTAAAGATTCCCTGATTAACATCTATAGGCTGACCGCGCGCTTCTCATCTGCGGAACCGGACTCGGTGTTGCCATTGCAGCCAACAAGGTCGCCGGTATCCGCGCTGTCACTGCGCACGACCCCTTCTCCATCGAACGTGCCGTCCTTAGCAACAATGCCCAAGTGCTGTGCTTCGGGCAGCGGGTGATTGGTATCGAACTGGCGAAAAAGCTGGTGCAGGAATGGATTGATCTGCGATTCGATGAGAACAGCAGCAGTGCTTCGAAGGTCAAGAATATCAGCGAGTACGAGGAAAAATTTGGCGAGCTATAGAGGATTATGAGCGTGGTAGTGAAGTAGCAGTATTTGCTGCCTGGGGAAATTGTTCGGTGGCTGCGGCGGAATTTCCGAACCACCAAAAGCATTCAATCTCTTAATGATACGTATGTCAAACAACACTCTAAGTATTGACAATGTCTTGACATGTCGTCTGGTGTCTTCACGCACAATGTCCAGGCCTGGAACAGTCGGCGAGCAGGCGCGACTTCTGGGCGTTGGCAGCTCCAATCAATTGCTAATCCAACGGCGTCTTTCTGCGTCCATGGGCTTCTCTGCCTCGGAAAGCTGACTTCGGTCCATCTTGGATCCCGCTATGCACAACATTCTAGGCTAAGTTCCATCTTCTCATAACACGTGCTCCTGATTGTAGCACAGTATTTGCGTATCTTTTGTCCTCGTTAGCAATTCGCTGCCGTGCCCCTGTGGCCGCAAAGACCCGCGGCGCCACCAATTCCGCTGCCTGCTCCAACGGTATCTTCAACTGCGTCGCGCAATGTCCGCGCTTCGTGACCTCGGGAACGAGCATTTCAAGGCCGGAGCCTACAAAGAAGCGGAACAGCTCTACACAGAAGCCATTCACTCGCACTCGCGGTCCGACCCCAAGGTCTTCGCCAACCGGTCGCTCACACGCATCCGGCTGAACGACTGGCCTGGTGCCGAATCCGATGCGCGCAAGTCCCTTGAGCTCTATGCATCGCCCCCGTTCACTTCGGGCAAAGGCGCCGTTGCCCCTCCTGCCGCCATGAAAGCACATTACTATCTAGCACAAGCTTTGATAGCGCAGCGACACGTCTCCGAGGCGCTGACAGAGGGAATGACTGCATACAGAATGTGTCTGGATAACGGTGACAGTAGCGCGGAGTTACTGAGCCAGTTTGTGCTGAGGGCGAAGCAGGCGCAGTGGCAGGCAAAGGAGACAGGGCGTCTGCGGGAATTAAATGCTGATCTACGTGTTATCGAAGAACTTTTGGAAGGCCGCTTACAGGAAGACTTGAAAGAGCTTCAGACCAGGTTAGCCGACGGAGAGCTAGGGCAGACCGGGTTTGAGGAAGAACGGAGGATCTTGGAAAAAGAGGCAGAGGATAGGAGAAAGAGAGTGAGGCAGGGCATGAGCGCCGAAGGGAAACCCGAAATGCAAGAGAGGGTGAGTACTCTCGGATCGACAGACAGACACTTTACTAATTCAAAGCAGAACGTGCCAGATCACTTAATCGACAGCATCACATTTGAGATCATGCATGACCCGGTCATTACACCCTCAGGAGCAAGCTACGAGAGGGTCGGACTCCTGAAGCACCTCAGGGCGACCGGTTTGGATCCGTTGACCAGGGAGGCATTGTCTGAGAAGCAATTATATCCCAATGTCGCGTTAAGGAACGCATGTTCTGACTTTCTGGAGAATAACGGCTGGGCGGTAGACTATTGAGTAGTCTTGTCCGAAGTCGCGTTCGTCAATATGTGAGAAGGCATTGCACTGCATAGCGAGCGACGTGAGCATTTATATGGGCGTTCAATTAGCCCACTGGCTGTATGAACCCAGCTTGACCTGGCTTTCATCTTATACATCTATTCTGTAGCAACCAGGTCATTGCTAAGCAATTAACACTGCATGATGCAGTAGGCAACATACCATACTCTTCTCTACACCGTCAGCCCGCAACTGTCCACATGCAATAGCTTCGCAACCCTTACCCTGCATTGCCTGGAAAGAGCCGCGGCTGTCCGCCGTCCGCTATTCCTGCCCCACCAATCCAAATGGACCGCTGTGAGCATGACATCAACCTTAAACCTCGCTAACACCAACGTTGAGGTTTCACCGGATCCAACCCAACCAACTTTCGCTGCCAGTATTTCGATCGAAAGACCATTTCTCCTGCCCGTATTTCCCGTCTTCGTTCCGCATAGAGAGCCATCCGACCACCCACCAACAGCCAACATGCCTTCCGCCGACTTCGAAGCCGCCGTCAAGGCCTCCAAACAGCTCAAGGCAAAGCCCGGCAACGATGAGCTGCTCGATGTACGTCCCTGTCCTCCTCACACTACAGCCTCACCGGCTTTTGTGATATCACTCCCACCACACTCTCAGCCGACCTGTCGACGACCGAAGCCTACGCACAGAGGAAAGATACGTGGCATGAGAAAGACGCTAACACCGATGAACCCACACAGCTCTACGCACTCTACAAGATCGCCAACGGCGAGGACATCAGCAAGGCCGCTGCGCCCGGTACGCCTTTTCCCCCGCCGATGATGCTCCTCACCTCCCAGATACACCCTACACTCTCACCTGTCCCCCCACACACACCCCACTCCACCCCGCCCCAAGCGCAACCACACACAACCACAAAAGCTAACTCCACCCCGCTCTGAAACAGGCATGTTCGATCTCAAAGGCAAAGCCAAGAAGAACGCCTGGCAGAAGAAGGTCGACTCCGGTGTCTCGCCGGCCGATGCCGAGAAGCAGTACGTCGAGCTGGTCGAGAAGCTGAAGACCTCGTATGGCTATGATCCAAGCAAGGCGCCTGAGGCGGTTGGTAGCTCTTGAGAGTATCGCGGATCAGAAACGGGGGTGACGTTGCTGAGTAGTGCGATATCGGTGCACGAGTGGCTTCGAGGGACGAGCACTGCATGAATAGCACTGGAAGGCGGAGCAAAGCAAGCTAAAGCATGGATATAGTTGAAGTACAAATCACACGTTTGAAAGCTAGATGTGTATTGCGATAAGGCATTGATGCTTTCTCTGCTGACGTATCACGCTATGAATGTCTCTTGACTATTTCTGGATTTCCATTTTATGGCAAACTTCGCGCTTGAGGATACCATGAATCAATTGTCTTCGTGCCGTGGCAACTGTGCTGGTTCTTCAATGAACCCGTAGACAGTAAGACTGTCGGGCTTCCACCTTCAAGTGGCAGCTTGCGACCAGGATCGATGTTTGGTCGGGCTGGCTGCGTCACCTAGTCCAGATCCGAACACTGGCTAAAGGAGTCCTCGGGAATACACTCCAGTACGTAGGTCTCGCCCAGCACGTGAGATGTCCAGCTACCAGCTCCTGGATTTGAATTCAGAAGCAGTTGTCCCAATGCTCTGCGAGTTGCGTCGGAGTGCGGAAAGAGTGAAATACCTCTCGAAGCTCGAGCTGCGTATCCACCTCAGCCCTGTGGATATCTCGTCATACTCTGTCCTGCTGCCACATAGCAGAGGGGCGCCAAGCACTCGAAAGCGTGACGACAAATATGTTAGCACACGAAAACGAGCACACACGGGTGCCGACAGGTTTCGCTACCGCCTGACTCTTTTCGAGGATCTGTTGATTGACTGGAAGTCCCCGCCCCACCATCGCCGCCGTCCATGCGGCTGAGACATCAGCCGACGAGGGTCTGGTAGCATGCGACTTCTGTCCTGCAAAGCAGCATGTCAGCATCGGAGGATTTGCCAGTTGCCATATGACATTGCGTCTCTCGCCTGGCAGCTTCAGCAAGGGTGACTCGCCGATAATACTGAGCTGCTTCTGCTTGTAGGCTGGCGATCGTCCAGGATGCTTGCTGAGTCGTTCCGCCATATCGTGCAGCTCAATGATGGTGTCAGTTAATGATTCATATCGGACGACTGACCGAGCTCCTGAAGTAGCTTCGTGATAAGGTGCTGAGATCGGTTACGGTCTGTGCCCCAGCTATCCTTGGGCACTGGACTCACAGCAGCAGCAGCAGCGGGAGCAGCAGACCCAGCAGGCTCGGCGGAAAGCAGGTTGTATGCAGTGTCAAGGTTGGCCTTCGAAATGGGTAGGGGCGAGTTAACCTCAACTTTGCTCTTCTTGTGCCATGCAGCGGAAGATCCGACAGCACCGCTACCCGTAGCTTCAGGCTCATCGTCACTGATCTCGATGATTTCATGCTTCCTCTTTTTGCCAGGCATGGTTGCCGTAAAATAGCGGCTCCTTTCAGTCGGTGCTGGAAGTGTCAATATGAGGTCGAGAGTGGAGGCAACTCGCTGAGGACGCGGTGGCGAGGACGAAGGACCATCAGCTGACAAAGTCGGAAGCCCTTGACTGGTACGCCGATAGCCAGGGATCACAAGTGTTCGTAGACCTGACGGCGTTTGTGGGCTACGGTCTGAAGAAAGGGGTTGGCTTCAGGTGCAAGGTTCGGAAGGTGAAGTTGTCGAGTACAAATAATGCTGAAAACTGGCAGGTGCGTCCCATCAAATCACTTTGGCTTCACTTTCCTCGCCTCCACTTCGCCTTCTCAATCGAGTCTCACAGGAGGCTTGAGTCCAGCGCGAATTGCGCCTCCAATCAGACCTGCGCCACGCGGCCGAAAATCTAGTGCTGGCGCGTGCGGGTTAGCAGAGGTCAGATGGCAGACGGCGTCTTGCCCTTGATGTTCGTAAACAGGCCGAAGAGCTCTACTCAGCTCCTTATGCAGACATTCTTTGCAGAACATTCACAAAACCACTCTCAATTCCTCACCCATCGGCCCTGACTCTTCATCTGCGCCTCAACAGCCCGCCACAACTCCTCAACAGACTCTCTATCCTTCCACCGGCGCTTCAGCCTCGTATCCTGGTCCACAGCAGACCCGTGTGATCGTTCATCCCACCGATCCACCATGAAAGTCTTGACGTTACTACCCCAACCTTTCACTTCACTCGGCACCGGTTGACCTTTCTCCCCGACGTATATGCCAAGCACTCTCTCGAACAGTGCCTGTGGCTCTCGCCATTTGTAGCTTCGGAACTGCCAGGTCTGGCCAGTGGTGAAGACGGCCACGACGCGGTCCCAGTATTCTGGTTTGAATTGCTCAGGGCCATCGACGAGAACGAAGCGGAAGGGCTTTTCGCCCAGGTTGTGCAGCTTTCTGGTCAAGTGGAGCAGGTTTGCGGCACCCATGTTTGCCAGCCGCTCGTGATCAAAAGGCACATAGAGACCTTCTTCCAGGAAGGCCTTAATATTGGACATGCGGAGTAGAGAGGAAGCGGAGGGAGAAAGGAGAATTATAGGGTCGACACGTTTCCCTGTACCAATCGCAGGTTTCGCGGCGGGGTTGTTGACGGTACGAGTAGGGATCGCTGCTCGTGGATCGCGACCTTTGTCCTTCTTCGGTAGGAATGTGTCCTTGTGTTTCCGGACGTGTGAGAAGTCCTATCAGCGTTAGCCAGTATTGCGCAACCTCCGGGACTGCACCCACGGTAGGTTTGATTCCGCGCAAGACAGTGTTGCGATCGCCCATCTTGCGCTCGCCATTATAGATTGTCTGTAACCGCGCATCGATCACCTTGACTGGTCGTCCGTTGACCGACGTCTGCGTCACTCCGACTCCGGTCCCTGAGACCACCGGCACCGCACCTGTGGCGGCATCGGCTGCAGCAGTCACATCATCGGCAGTCGCTTCGAGCGGCTTCACAAATTCGGTTCCTTCTGCGCCATCCAGCCACGATACGAGCTCAAGTTTCTCAACAAAGTTCAAGTGCTTTGCCTGCTGACCTGCGGGTAGCTTCGCGTTGAGATCGGTAAACTTCTGGAGATACTCTTGGGGTGCATCATCCTTGCAAAGATATGCTAGGTAGATACTCCGTAGGTCGATTTGGTCGCCACTTGACTGTGTGAAGCGAGTGATGTTATCAAGAGGTAGACAATGCGGGGAGGGAACGGCAAAGTAGAGGTGGGTGGCTTCGGCGAGCTCTGAAGGAGATGGCTCTGAAGAAGGGTCGCTTGAGGTTGTGGGAATCGGGAGTCGCGTGGCTGTTACCGCATTGCGGAAGAGGTTGAGCGCATCCATCCCTGCTGCTGCAGGACGAGTGTCGGCTGTAAATAAGAGACCTGTAACATTGACAATATGGTCTGAGGTCGGAGACAGTATTTGGGTCATTCAAATGCGCGTTGGCATCGAAGTTATTGCAAGGCTCCGCAGCCATGATCCGAAGATTTGCCGGCCACCGTCCAGCGGGCACGACTCAGTCCGGCCACTAACAAGATAACAAGACATGCACGCAATCTGAGGTCGGTAAAAGGCTCGTGAAGAGCTCTATGTGATTATGCTGGATATGGTGGATTCGCATCCAATCTAGCAGCGCTAGTGTAAACTATACAACTCTTGAAGGCCTCGCCTCACGCCCGTCCTCTCGAGGCGCTGGCCCGTCACTGATCAAGCCTCTATAGCTCGAATACTTCCTCCTTCGGGGTATCAATCCAATTCAACACAGCTGGAATGCATTCAAATATGCTGAGTAGATGCTCTTGATGATGCTGTCGTAAATGTCGCCGTCGCTATGCAGAAACAATCACTAGATGAAAGCCAATATGATGCTCAAAACGCCCTCGTACAATGCTGAGAGGGTTTCATCAAATATCTCTCAGAGCATCGGTTGGCGTGAGCCGCATGCTTTTCGACACTGTTCTCGACACTGTTCAAAGGTGTAAAATGCAGTGAACGAGAATAATCGTCGTGGGAGTTGTATGCAAGAGTCGTGGGTATGTGTAGGGAAAGGGAATCATTGTGAAACTTATTTCGCTGACATTAGCCCATCAGCTAGTGCTGGCGAGACGTGTTGGATCGGCTGAGCGTGCCTCGGTCAGGACCAGGCGAAAAGGCTCTGCTGCTAGCAGAGAGCTCGAAATCATGGTCTCGGAGGACAGCCGAGTAGCTAGGATTACGGATGAATTTGGGGACGGAATCCTGTTCGTTGTTAGCACACGCTGGACGAGATGACACTTGGATATGACTCACGCTAGCCATCAATTTGAATACGGAGGACTTGGCCTGATCGAACAGCTCAACAACTTCGTCGAGGCTGGTACGCATTGAGTCCTCGTCGGCGTCGGTCCGGATCATCCGGCTGTCAAGACGATTGCGCAGTGCGTGATCGATGTTTAATTCTGACGGTGCGCCAGAGGCGAGATAGGAATTGTAGAGACCTAGCTGGAGTTAGTCGAGGATAGCAAGGCAAGTCTAGTCAAACCCACCATAGGCAGCTGCGAGCGTTTCGCGGACGGCTTCGGGCTTCTCCAGCCGACCATTCTTTTCCAAGTGGCGATAATTAGCAGTGAACTCGTCAACTTCGATGTAGAAGAGGAAGTTCTCCTCGCAAAGTGATTGTCGAAGGAACTCCTTGAACAACAGTCGTAGACCTGCATCTTGCAATATGACTTGTAGTCGACTCATGTTAGAGTCTTTGGGCATACCCTTCTTCTCCTTCTGGTCACGGTCCCGACTATCTTCGCTTTCTATGCTGGACCTGCTTCCGAGCCATCCGCATATTCTTTGCCCTTTCTCTGTCACGGTATAGACGGCGTATTTGGTTGGCTGGAAATAAGTGGCCATGGGATTAAGCCGGGTGTAGTTGCGGTCTTCGATGACCGGGGCAATGAGCTGGTATCTGACAAAAGATTCGGCGATTTCGTACGTCTCACGGCGATCGATGGTGGTGCAGCAGTCCAGGAGCCAGTCCGAAGCCGCTTTGCCAGTGAAAGAGTTGTTGACTGTTTTGTCCAAGATCCTTCGCTCCCGTGCCATTTTCACACCAACAAGGCCAGACGAATATTCCGCGATCGAGTCCGAATCAGCTAGAGAGGTGGTACTCTTGAGATTAGGGCCTTCTTGACCGATAAAGCGGCGGAAGATGATTTCAACGGTTCCCTTCTCCTGATTCAACTTATCCGTCTCGGTGTCCCGCTCCAGGGCTACAATCTGCATCTGAGGCTTCTTAATCAGATGCTCGATGTGTCGAGCAACGATACCGTTGCGTACGCAGAACCTCTGGAGGATGGCGGTACCCTTGGCGGTCAATTGCCACACGGCTCCCTTAGCGACGAAGGTAGTCTGGCTTTTCGACTCGGAGGACTCTATTAATCGGGCGTCCACAAAGCGCTGACATACTGAGCGGGCCATTTCCTTGGCCATAGAGAAGGTGGTAGTAGTGGTGGTGACAACCCATCTCGAAGGGTTCTTGGGGTCCGGTATGCGATTGGATTGAGAAAATTTGAGAGACCCTAGGTTCGTAATGGCCTCTTCGGACAGAAATGTGTCTTCTACCCGGGAGAAACGGACTCTATGAGGGGTCAGAGGTAGACTAGTGATCAATGTAGAAAATAGATCCTTGAAGTCTTTGGTGAAAGGCCGGTCGTCGTCGGTCATGCGCAGGATCTTGGATGAGGTCTGGTGCATGCGACCATGACTACGATCGTTGGTTGACATGGATGTGAATCCGTTTTCTGGAACGGGGCTTGGGAGTTGACTTCGCCGCTGCGCCAGATTTGTAGACGGTAGGTCGGACGGAGAGGAGGGCAGACGGGAGAAACTAGGACGGGAAGAGGCGCTCGAGTTGGCCTGGTTCGAGAGGCTACCGGTCGAGGTGGCGGATCGCAGGGAAGGAGTGGGCGTCGAGCCCAAGCCGGCTATACTAGCCCAAGCAGTTGAAGTTCGTTCTCTTGCGAGCGAGGCGAGGGAGCGCCGGCTCTTGCTTTGCGAAATGGTACTGTAGGAGTGACTGTGCTGAGGAGGAATACGGTAGGACTCCAAGCTGCCGGTTCCTGATGATGGCGTAGTGGTAGAGGGTGGCAGAGCAGCAGCCAGTTGACTCATAGAATTGAGGGCGGAAGCGGGTTGTTCGGGCATGGGGAGTACATGTACAAAGCAGCATAGAGTGGCATCCGGCAGAAGCAGGGCACTCAAACCAGATCTGCTGGGTGCTACTCTAACTTTACAGGGCGTACCCAGTCAGGAAGCACCAAATGATGTGAGCAGCGGAGGAGAGATGAGCGCGAGTCAAGCGTCAATCGTCCAGCGTAGTGAGAAACCTGAGTGGAGCGTGGAGACGGGCTGGTCTTGTTTAAGGATCAGGCCCTTTAGTGCGCCGCGACGACGTGGGCGGAAGGAGCCTGAGGGAAATTCTCGAAAGAGTCCGCTTTCGGCGCCAGGGCGAGAAAAGGTTAGACGGCTGGCAGCTATTAGGATGCTTTGGGGACCATGTATCAGCCAACAAAGTTAGGCGCTCGTGGCCTGGAGTCTTAGCTAGGGGTAATGCGGCAAAGTTTAGGCGTGGGGTGGGCTGGTGGATGACGACGAACGGGTAAAGATCGCCCACCAACCACACCGTCGCCGAGCGAGGGGTGTTCGGGAAATTGATGACAACTTACGTAGTAGATAGATCGCGGGTGGAGAGCATGAGCCTTGGAATCAATAGAGCTGTGCAAGAGACGAGGAGATGAGGGCAAAGAAGGGATGATGGATGGCAATGTCATCATGATTCTGCTTCTGAAGCCTGATGCTGATGTTCACACGGTCCCCAGATCCCAGCAGACCACGCAGCAGCTGCATGGCACATCCTAAGGGGGTAGCAGGCCAGCAGCAGGTGGCGAGTGGCCAATGGATCAGCGAAAATGCACTGGACGAAATGCCGATGCGACAAGATGAGCGGCGAGCAACGTGGACTGTGGAGACACCGATGTCAGCAGGGGACAAGCGAACAAGGGATTGCCGGGCTGTAGGTTACGAGCGCACGAGGGGTCAATTAATGATTCTTTTCGGCGGCCATCACTGGCTGCAAGCGACGGGCCCCGGAGGCTGAACCTGCCAAGTCTAACCTTGTTCTGCCCCTAAGCTTAACTAGGATGTGCCTCTGTCACCTGCAGGTCGCCTGCAGCCAGCCCTCAACCCACGCGAGCCACCCTCCCCCAAGTTATCATCAGCCTCTACACACCCTCCATGACCATCGGCGTCGAGGTTATACCAACATCATTCTTCAGCCAGTCCACACCCTCGTGAGTCGCAGATCATCGGACATGGTATCCGTCGCCTGAGTCGTCACCTCGTCATCTTGCGGCGGAGGACAGCGAAGTGTTCGATACGTGGTTATGGTCATGTGGTCGGGAACTCCAGCAGCCGGCCTGGACTAGCGAAGCGACTCGCACGCCTCCTGCCGCTTCTGGTTCTTTATCGATATGGAGCGCCTCAGTTCGCGTTCAATTTTCGGCCTTCGAAAATGCCATTCCGTAGTTCTCCAACTTCGCAACTAACCAGCACATCAGTGGAGCTGTCGCCATCAGCGTGAATCTAGCTCAGCCCACGATTCGAGTGTCATCTGTCGACATGTCGACAGAGCTTTGCGAGCAACACACCGGCATCGTCCTTCGGCTGATATTCAAGACATGGTAGAGAACTTCGCGGTCTTCAGCATGACCGCGATCACTTCCACACCCCGCTTAAGCACAATGCAGCTGACAGGCCAGCTGCACCGCTGCTCACGTTGGCTCTTACGCGCAGATACATGAATGATCGCCTGGCTCCTGGGCCAAGCATCCACGCATGGTAGCGACTCTATTACGGAGTGCTACGGAATGCGCAATGCTTTCTTTCACTATCCCGGACATGATCGCTCTACTAGCCTTCTGACACATCACTGCTTTCAAAATTCGAAACTTGGGCCTCGAGACCCGACATGTTTCACCGTCTGCAAGGGCACCAGAATGTCCCAGTCCCAGAACAGTCAGTATAGTCCACCAGCAGAACGGGTAAGTGTTTCCGTACGCCAGATCCCTCGCGCAGTTTTGGGCTCACCGGGAAGTGGCCGGAAGGCCCCCAGCTGATCCTCCTCGGGCTGTGAAGTCTCCGTTTATACATTACTTGTCATGCTGTGCTGTTGGTGTATTCAAGCATGGTTCTACAAAGAACGTCAGTACGATAGTGCTGCCTATGACACGGGCCGTCGAGCGCGTACCTGTTCGTCTGCATCAAACAGTTTCACCGCCGACAAGCAGGCCATAGCGAGCGAGCCGCAAAAGCTACCTATTACTACGTCCGAGATGAGCAAAGCTTGCTTTGGTGAAACACTCTAAGCCAGCCCCCAGTCACGAAAACCACCAAATCAAACTGTGAGGTTCGGCAGGGGTACAGGCATGTCTTCGCAGGCGGCTTGCCTGCCTTGTGCCCTCGCAGGCATGCCTAAGCCACGTGGCCGCCAGAAAGCTAAGGCCGGCACCCCTGAAGCCCTGCGACAACATGTGGTTCGGTAGTCAGAGAGGAGCTCGCTAGGGCCGATTGCCACCTTCGAGAAATTTTCTGGTCAATTTCCAATTTCGTTTCAGCGCGCACCACCTGCGACGACGGACAGTCATGTCGGCAGCCACGACGGCCAATCTCCTGATTGACCTCGCTGTCGCTTTTTTCAACGAGGCCGAAGGGCAGCCTCTTCAAGTCATGTCGGCAGGATTGCAACAATGGACGGCAAGCGCCAAAGCTAGTCGCTCAACTCCGCCGTCTACTGCATAAAGCCACACCGCCCGTGTCTTGCGGCGGGTTACGGACTTGTCTTTGCGCCGACTCTCCTTTGACCGCCTCGGCTCTGCAGACAGGTTTCCTGTTTGTACCCCTCAGAAATGACTTTGGGCACATGATCCAGCTGGCGAAGCAATTCGCATCCATGTCTCCTAACACCGCTTGTTGCAGGTAGGCACAGGTGTCTTCTGGGATACCTGGGCCACCAAGCCCACATCTTGCTGCGAGCAGCACCACGCTATGCTCGCTTGTTGCACACGAGTGAATTCCTATGACTACGCAAGACCGTCCTCTTAGACTTTGCGCATGATACCAAATGTACGGACGTCCGGGCACTTTGCTTTGGTGGCGTCCCAGCATGGGGGACTCTGGACGGTGGCTGCGTTGGCCACGATTCCAGACCCAGCCAACAGCAATGTTTCGGCCGCGTTCCCTAGAACCCGGCACGTCTTCGCATATGTGGCTTCGGCCACTAGACAAACCAGCGTTGTATAATGTGCCACAACATGCAGAGTGACCTACAGGGTACAGGTAATCCCTGACCATCAATGTCCCGCCATGTGCGCCTTCCCACGTGGCCGCCGTTGAACAATGTTTCTGACTCCACCAAAAAAGAGGCACGCCACATGGCAAAATTCTCCTTGTCCGTTCCATTCCTAGCCTCGTCAACAGAAGACAAACTGCGACTATCGAATGTTTGCAAACGCCCAATTCCCGAGCAAATTACGACACCGACACTGGAACTGCCGCTGCACATCGTCGCTGGGTACCAGTCTTGACTCCTTGTGGGGACAGTGGAATCTGCGCCCAACTGTACCTGGTCAACGTTGGTACTTCCTCTGTGCAGGTAGATCCCATCAATCTTACCACGGGCCACCTCTCATCCGGGCACCGTTGTGTGCCGCCTCGGATTATCGAAAGTCGACCTTGACATCAGTAGCGTCTCTGCCCGCAGCTGTCGCCTGCATCTCTACCCAAGCAATCCACTCGTAATCGAGATCTCAGATCGTGAGGAAAGGGCTCCACGGTGTCCTCGAATCCGAATTTCCGAGATGCAGAGCTGTCATCATTATGAGGTACGTCCTTGCAGAGCACTTGGACCACTAACCTGAGCGGTGTAGTTTTCTCGCCCGATGTCACATCACATCTATCTCGGCTCTTCCCCGGGGCCAAGCATCTGACTGGTTCTTCCGGTATCACTTTTGACAGGCGACCCTTGCTTGACCTACAATAACCAGGGTTTCTGATGCCTATAATTACTGCTGAAATTTTGCCCGGCGACGCTTCGCTCGTCCATTAACTGCTACTATGATGAGCACAGGGCTTCACATGACTCGTGCGCCGCTTCCGTTGGTTGCATGACTTGTTAACGATTAGGTGTATGTATAGTAGACATGGTATTTGTTCTTGACCGGCAATCTATTGCAAGCGGCATGATTTGCGAAGCTGATGTCTGCAAAGCCTCGAGCCATTCTCGATAGCTCTACAGCACCTCACAGACCGCCGCGCCTCAAGTGTACGCAACATGGTCGCTGACGGCCTTTGGCAGGCAATGTCGGCCTACCCAGATTATTACAAACCCTGATTGCTCCAGTTGCAGGCTGATCGGAGCCCGGAGAGCAAGTAAGTGTGGAAGACTCCGCCCGGGGCACAATCTGGACCGGATCTACTCGACGTTCCATGATGCGGCCTATGCTGCAGTAGAGGTCCACCTTCTTTCGGACAGCTTCTCAAAGGCGGCCCACAAGCATCTCACATCACTCAACAGTACATACACGATGGTATGCCTGCTACAGAAATACGATGTGCCCACCAACCACTGCCACCGCCATCTTCAGGCCAATTAGGCAATCCCACACTCCAACAATAGCACATCTTACCGCCAAGCACCAATCATGTCTTGCTGTCTGACCAGCTGCGCCTCTGATTACTGTCTCTTACCGCAATCACCCTATCGACCCCATAGCCCCCAGAGGCAAAGCAAGCAGTCTTCACGAGGCGACCATCTTCTAGTGAACGAGCAGCGCTGCAACCATGGACCAACAGCTTCTCTCTTTAGGTCTTTTGTCTGAGACTTACGAGGGGCCAGGATTTCCAACTGGCTCCTGTACAGCCTGCAGAAGCCTCCACAGCGCATTTGCCTTGCCCTAATTCTGCCACGACTTCCCAGCCCCCACCAATTTTAGGCAAACAGTATTACTTCTATTTCCGCTATTGCTGTAGTCACACAGCATTCTACGAGAGTAGTATCACACGGACACTCGAGTTTCGCCCTCCTAGAGGTAAATATATATGTATCCCGGGCCATCAGCACTTCAGAACAGTCTCCCATCCACGACAACAACCACTACTCTACTCACCTATTCACCAAACCAATCACACACACAACATCACCCTCCAGCCATCTAAAGATGTACAAATCCCTCTCCCTCCTACTCCTCGCCGCCCTCGGCGCCACCGCCACCAACCAACCCTGGGAAGCAACATCCGCTCCCTCCCCACCCCCGCCACCGCCAGCACCAGCACCACCGGCGCCCCCCGCCCCAGAGTCCTGGAAAGACACTCCCGCCCCTCCCCCACCGGTCCAGTACGTCCACGCGACATTCCAGGGCGCCAACCCGCCCGAAGCGCAATACACGCGCAGCATCCCCGCCGACGGCAGCGAGTTCTACACGAACGACCCCCTGTCCATCAGCCACATCGTCACCGACGGGGGGCCATGTACCTTCTACGGCGTCGACGGCCTGGTGCTGGCGAAGCCGGCGGGGGGACTGGTTGATGTGGGCCCGCCGCAGACGATTACGAAGGCGGTGTGTAAGGCCGCGGGCGGGTATAAGGCGAAGCGCTTCAGTGCTTAACAACCTGACCTGAAAAGGGAGGGGTTAGTGGCTGTTGGCGGGGCCGGTCGGCGTTTTCTCCTGGGGGGTTTTCTCCCGGGGGGAGAAAGGGAAGGGTCTTTGGGGGTCTGATGCATAGCGTTGGGATAGCTTGCATAGCATAGCATAGCATAGCATAGCCGGGGGGTGAAGAGATGGACACGGATCTGGGATTTCTGGCGCGGTTGCATGGCATGGCGCCCTATGGGATCTAATCGGCATGATGAGCATCGAGCAATAGCGGCATAAAGTATAATGGATAATGTCTTGAATGAAATGGTAACACATCAGGGAACTGAAATTCATCAATCTCTTTTGCTCCGTTTCTAAGTGTGAGCTATAATATCCTTCCCGGGTAATTGTGTCCATCCTTCAACATTCGGGTATTGGTTGACACAAAGGTTATACCGGCGGTACAGCGACGATAGCCGACGGCATACTTCGTACTGATTGCACACCTGGTTCCACGGTTGAGTTATCGAAACGAGGCACGGAGATGGACTCTTCGAAAAGCCGGTCTGATCGGTCGTTGTTATCGTGGAAGAGGTCTAGGATCCTGGAACCAGGGGCGGAGGCTGCTCTGGAAAAGGGATGGCCGTTCTCGTGGCCGACAGCGGTCTGCTTGTGCATTGCCATCCGAAGGCACTGCAGCCCACTCATCACCATGTTTTTGATGAGGGTGCACTCATGTATCCGAGCCTCATCGCTGTGTGGAGTACCCCAAAGTGGACAATCGCTACGTACGCATCGCCACTTCTTCCAGAAGGCATTGTTTATAATTTCAGCGCCGTGGCAAAGGAGCGCGGATCGGGCGGCTTTTGTGTACCTAAGACTACCATCATCGTCGCCGAGATCGTTCCCAGCTGTCGAAGACTGGCTCTGTCGTGTAACTTGATGAGCTGATCTTTCCCGGTAGGTGGAGATCATCGAGTCCATCAATGTCTCAATGGCACTTTGATGAGTTACAAACCGCAACGACTGAAAGGCGGAAATGCTGAGAAGCTCAAGGTGGGCCAGGAATTGGGCCATGTCGCCGTGTGCGCCACGACCAACACTGGCAAACTCCCAGTCTATCTGTGCATGGTGAGCTGAGGTCTCTATGAAAGAGAGAGGTACTTACCACTCCAATCTTCATGCTCTTCTTGTCAGTACCAGTTTCAGACTCACCAGAGGGAGCGGAAACAAGTATTGCCCCCGTCCAACAGTCTCCAAGAACCAGAGATTCCTCTTCTTGGTTATTTTCCCGTCTGAAATCATCCACCAGAATCCCGAATAACCGCGCAGCCTCATCGGCGTCCACAAGATCCGGGAAGCGCTTCAATTGGTCTCCAACAGGCTTAATGGCGCCTTCTAGAACAATATCCCGAGCCGCAGGATTGCTCAAATCTTTCCCCATCTCACTCAGTAGCATTCGAGCCTCAGCAAGAGTGCGCGGGCTGTGTAGATCCGCGAAGAAGTTCCCCAGTCGTTGGCCGAGGTTACTGAAGGCAGCCTCGTTCGCATTCCAGACAGCATGTGTGGCGGCGTAGGTCGAGCTGGTGCCACCAGGAAGGCCGCCACCGAGGTCAGTGAAAACGTCGCTAAGATTGGGCAATTCGCCGAGGTCTGTCATTATCAGGACATCGTGGTCTTCATCGTGCTTCACCAGCTTAGGGATCGATACGAGAGGGTTGTTTGCCAATACACCGAGTCGGGGTGTGGTCTGGTCGGCACAAGAGAAGAGCCGCAGCAGGGTAGCTTCGATTTCCTGGCGACGGACGTTGAAAGGCGCTTTTGGACCGATGCCCGCGATGAACGGTGGAGCGTGCTTCAGAATCAGCGAGCGATGTTCGGACCAAAGTGGAGCTGTGTCCAGACGGTCAATCATGGATACGATGTTGTCTCTTCGAGTATCGCTAGGTCAAGGACCTGTCAGTGATTCTTTTGGTGGCGTAGAGGACGACATCTTCGTCGAGAAAGGTCTTACTCCGATGCTGGACCGCTCCGCCGATGACCTTCAATGGTTGCTCGGAAAGTCTCATTGATCAGTCCGCCAGTGAGAGGCGTCGCGGAGCAGTCGACACTGGGCCAGATTAGTCGAAGGTAAGAGTGGATGTTGAACAAGGGCATATCGAAGCTAGATTAGCGGGCCGATCCTGAAAGATCGATGCCGTGCTGGTGGCGAGGCTGAATTTAGTCTAACAGAAAAGCCGATATAAAGATGGGTCAAGCGTAACAGAAGGCTAGTATGTCTACATTATGGGAAGGAAGAGGAGATCGAAGAGTGGCACTCACGACTTGCCGTTGTTGCCTTGTCAGAAGCAAGCAGGATGGAGGCGAGCGACGCGCGGGGTGACTGCCTGCTTCATCCAATGGCAGCCCGTCCTGAGTGTGGGTGGTGCCATGAACCTGAACGGAGTTCTTTACAACCGGAGATACGGTAGCTGCTGGAATGCTAACGCGCATGTGAGCAGGGACATGGCTTCGTGATACCTGGAAACAAGGCCTGGATGAGACGCGGCGTTCAGGCCGAACCCAAGCCTCGCTTCTCGCTCTCCGAAAAGAAGATGACCATCCGCCACAGCTTCTTCACGAGCTGCTCGGCTTCTTCGTCCAGAGCCTGTCAGGATGTTAGCATCATCCGCATTCATAGCAGAACAAGGATAGGATAGAGAACTTACCCCTTCAAGCTCGCCCACAATCTCCTCTGCTCCCTTCCTGGAGCGCAACCCACCAACCACCACATCGACCAGCATCTGCTCCTGTACACCCAGATACTCGACAATCTTCTTCTCCACGAACGGCTTCAGCCGCTCTTCGATGATTCCCTCGTCCACGAACTCCCACTTGACCTCCCATCCCCACAAGCCTCCCTTGTCGGTCGGAATCTCCTGCGCCAGCTGCTTCGCCGCCTGCGCTCTCTCTTCCTCCGACATACCCTCCGGCTTGCCAAAGTCGATCTTGACCAGCTCGCGCTTCGCTGCGTCCACCTCTTCGTCTTCAAGCAGCCCCTCAACTTCCGCCACCGTCCGCTTATTCTTCTCCTTGTCCGACGCCTGTTTCTGCGCCGCCGCTGCACCCAGACTGAGCTTGAAGCGAGCAGGTTGCTGCTTCCGTGCCTCCTCCTCGCGCCGTCGTTCCTCCACTTCACGATCCCGCTCCATTCCGCCGAGGAACGCATCAGCTTCACCCCTGGCTCGATCTCGCTGCCGGCTGTCTGTGTCCCTTTCCCTCCTTTCCGCTGCACGGTCCGCCTCATCCTGTCTCCGCTCCCGCTCTCGGTATGCACTGCGCTTGCGCATCCACGCAGAACGGTCCGCATAATATTCGTCAACGCCGCGCTCCTTCTCACGCTCGTCGTCCCATTCTCGTAGTCGCCGCGCCATAGCTTCCTTCTCCTCGTCTAACTTGGCATCTCCCTCCTCGTCACGTGCTTTCTCGCGTTCCAGCGCCGACGTCCGTGATCTCTCGCGATTGAGCCATCTCCGCTCCTGGTCCAGATACGACTTCTCCTCTTCAGACTGTTTCTTGGCCTGGCGGCGCCTTTCGAGTTCCGCATCCGAGGCGTCTGTGTCGGAATCGTCGAATGCCGATGCAGCGCTGATACCCGTGCCATTGACGAATGTGACGCCCTTGACATAATCACGAGGTACCTGTACGCCAAATGACTTGGGCCCGGAAGGCGGGTTCAGACCACCGGACCTGTCTCTCGGCCCAACTGGGATACCATTTGAAGAACCGGGGCCACTCGGCGCTGAGGGAGGCGGCGATCCGAGGCGTGAAGGCCTTCCGTTACCATTCATCATTCGATTGCGTTCCTGGGCCTCGATCTCTTCTTCGCGCTTCAGACGCTCCAGATCCCGGCGAACGCTGCGATCGCGAAACGCGGTAATTTCTTTCGCCACGGTCTCGCGCATTTCAGCGGGTATGTCAGACAGCTCGTCATCTACGGAGATAGGGATTGTGATGACGGCTTCACCGTTGGCATCAAGTCCGCTCCCCATTTCGGTATCACCATCGCGATCAAGCGTCGAGAGCTCGTCTTTCTGCGGCACGGTGGATGGGTGCATGAGGTCGTGGAGGACTGCAGCGAGAGCAGAGGAGGCGTGGTCAAGGCGCATTTGTTTGGCGTCCTCATCCACGCCACCAATGGATTCCTCGTACTGGGAAATGTAGGTGTGAGAGTTTTCATCGGCAATGACAAGGAGAGTAGACGTCTCAGGTTCTGATTCTTCATCATCTTTCGTATCGTCTTCGGCCTTGGCTTCCTTTGGAATCTGCCGCTTTGTGGGCACCCGAACATCTTTAAGCACCTCGATCGCTGTGCTGAGACTCTCTGGATCCTCGTATTCAGCGAAGCCAAACTTGCACGGCTTCTCTTCTGCATCCGTAGCACGTATCCATCGCCTCAGATTGCCGGCCGTGCATAGGATGCGCTCAATGCCGGCGTCGCCGCCGCAACCCTCTGTGATACCACCCACGAATACGGTTTTGATGATCTCTTCTTTTGTCTGAGGCTGTACCTGAGTTATCCTGTCCCTGTCTTGACCTCGTGACTCAGCACCCGAACCCAGCCCTCCTCGTCTGCCACCTCGATCATCGCGACCATCCAGGAGGGACGACTTGGCTGGCTGTGTCGTACCTAGACGGATAACTGGCGCGGAGAAGTTGATGTTGGGCATGTTGGCGGGTGGTTGAAAGTTAGTTGGGAAACCAGCAGCACGACCATCGCTGGGAGTGTCAGCTTGCTGCATACCGGGCGGCGGTGCAGTTCCCGGAGCAGCCATGCCTGGAGGCGGAGCTGTTGATGTTAGCTTGTAACTTGAGAGATTGAGATCCGGATTCATACCCATGCCTGGCGCACCAGCATAAGCCCCATATCCTCCAGGAGCACCATAAGAGCCTGGCGCTTGGTATGGGTTGTACATCGTTGGCAAGGGGTCTGGCTGGGGTTCGATGTATGCGCTCGAAAGGTAAGATGCTGCTGCGCAATACAGCTCTAGATCCACGACCTCGCAAGCGGTCTACACAACGCCGACAGGATACACAGCTTCTTGTCCAGTGGGTCACGCGGATCGTACCCAGGTAAGCGGAAGGCAGATGCAGTTGAGATACGTTCGAGAAACTTTCACGCGCGCATGCGGGCGGAGAGCCGCACCGTGCAAGGCTGCGATAGAGCCTCGCTTTGATTACACCAAAAGTCCATGTCTTGCTCCCGTGGATCGTTGGACACTACTTATGCCAAGATAATGCACAGTAATACATTCATCTCATATGAAGGAGACTACATGCCTGCCCAAGCTCAATCCTCCCAGTCCTCGAGACTGTGCGAGCCATCGTTGGTCCGCCCGAACTTCTCTTGCGTAAAGTCGTCAACCGCCGAGTATGGTCCGAATGGGATGCTCTTTCATGAGTGCGATGGACCGAAGACTTCTTCGCAAGTGATGGAGAGTACTCCTGTCGCTGTGCTCTCGCGGAAAGACCAGTGGTATACCAAGCCCAGCCTCACGCCACGACAACACCATTGTCCATTAGCTCAACTCATCGTCTTTCTCATCGTACATGCCGTCTTCGCCTTCCTGACTATCCTCATGCCCATTCTCCGGTGCCTATCGCTCAGCTCCCCAGATCTCTTCGTCTCTTCAGCCTTAGATAGGTGCGCAACAGCCAAGATCCCAATTGTATCCGTTAGTGGTCTCGAATGCGGGTATAATGGCAGGCGTAACGGAGTCAGTCCATCTGGGACGAATGGTGGTTGATTGAGAATCCGCGAGGGTAGTTGTAGGCTTTCTCCTCGGAACCAGATTTTGTGCGAATTTCTCAGTGAGATTTCGCCCACAGGAGGGTCTCGGTACATTGAGCCTCCAGCCTGCGCGCATCTGTTTCAATGATGCCTCTAAACAAGCGATAACGGCAGTAGATGCCGTACTGATCCCAGCTTGTCGACATATCAACATTATGGTATCCTGGGGGCTTAATGTCCGGATCTCTAGCTCGTGCTGCCAGCATTGAGGTCGACTTTTCGTCGACAAGCGTTCTGCATCGCATAGTCTCGGTAACGTAGGAGGAGGTCAGTCTCCTGCACAACACCTTGGCCTCCGAAAGTGAAGTGTACGGCCAGCGCGTCTGTCTCAACAGCAACACTTTTACCCAGCTTTTTGGGTAGATTCACCGTCAGCCATTCCTCGTCTACCGTGTCCATTGGCAAGTTGTCGAGGACCTCGTTCGAGTAGACGCAGATAAAGTTGATACTCAGTCGCTTATAGTCCGTGATCCAGGTTTTGTGGAGTTTGTAGGCGTCTAGATTCTCGGTCGCCAGGTTCTCCAGGAAGGAATAGTGTTCTTGGGCAGCGATACCCCATGATAAGACACCAGTTCCCCAAGTTGCATACTCTATCTGGGCAACGGGTGTACGGTAGATGTCCGTATCGTCCGGAAGTCGTAGCCAGCGGTGACCCTTGTAAGGCGAATCTTGAGTCCAGTCAAAATAGTAGTCGTCCGGACCGGTCCATTTCGGGTATGCGTCCCACTTCCACGACACTCGCTTGCCGAACGAAAGGATCGGTGGCTCCCATCGATCGAATTCTGGGAGGTATGGGTGCATAGCACCCGTCCGGTAGTGTACCCAGCCCATCAGTGGCGAGTTGATCATGTTGGCAGAAGTCACCAGGTATTTCGGATGCTGAAGCTTCAGGCTAACAACGCGCGGAATAGCATCATCTGCCATGAAGACCTGTGACGGTGAGCGAGTCTTCGATAGGTCTGGAATGTACATACGACATCATCGTCAATCTTGACGTAGTAGCAATCGCGCTCCAGATGGCCCCAAGCGTGGCCATAGCCTTCAAAGCCAATACCTTCGTCGCTGAGGTCAATTTTCTTGTACCGGGGTTCACTGGCGAGGATTTCCTCTAAATACTCCAGGTCGTCCTCTTTGCCGGTGTTTAAGACCCAATGGACCTCATCTAGCCAGCCTCCGTTGTCAACGAGGTTTCGCTACTCATCGCTCAGTACATGCGTGACCTCGGTGGAAAACACGTACCTCAAGATAACATCTCAGCATTTCCACGCGATTCTTCCGGCCATAAAAGACCAGGGCGACAACCTTGACACCTGAAGGCTTGACAAAGTCCTTGGACGATATCGATGTCGCATACGATCCTCCTGCGAGCGGGAACGCAAGTTGGCCTTGTTCATCGTGCCCCCGGCCCTTATAGATCAAGGCGACAAGAGCAATAAACGTAAGGGCACCGATTGTCAGGATCCAGCGTGGACGAGCGAGAAGCGCTCTTAAGCCCGCCATATCGCTCAATTACACAGCACGGTAAATGACAGGTCCTAACCCGCTTCCGGGTCAGCTGGACGCACAGCTATAGTCAATCTAGCGACATGTTGCTCGAAATATGCCTGGCGTTATCAGTAAGCAGTTCTACGACTGGAATCAGCAGCTGGGAAGCAGGCTACTAAAGCAATCTGCGAGCGGCAAAGTCGCGCTCCCGCGGTTGAAGACACAACCCGCGCAGTGGCGAGCTAGCCCATTCCTGTCCCAGGGAATCGCATCACAATGACAGGGCATTAGCAGTGTCTGAGAGGTCGGCTAGAGCCTCCCGCCCCTCCCGCCAAGGAATAACTAGACGCTTGGGCTGGGCTGGTGCATTCTGTGCAAAGGGCGAGGCAGCGCGGCAGACCCGTCCACTGTCGCGAAGGTCACCGACTTCAAGTCCGCCAGTCGTGGAGATCGCCAAGTCATGTTAGCGACGTTGCTTCCACGAAAGCTTGTTGGGGGTGACTTTATTGGCTAGCCCTCGCCTAAGAAAGCCTGGAGTGGCCCCCTATCTGAGTAAAAGATGGAGCAGTCTCGGACTCGAAGAACCTGAATTCGGAGCAGACATTATTGGCTTCATTGAGGGTTGTTGGTACCGCCACTACACATGCACGATCGATCTTGCTGTTATCATCAAAGCTGTTCAGTGCAGTATCAGATGTCATTTAAAGTCGGACCACATGGGGCGAGCAGGGATCCTCGTATCGCAGCTATAGTAGGAGACGATGCTCCGCAATCAACTTCGCGTGACGGGAATCTCAGACTGAGGTGGAGTCAATATACAAGTATGGAGTTTCCCCTAACGTCTTCACTTCAAGTGCGGTGTATGCACGCGCTTCTACCAGCTCCTGCGTCGAAGTTCTAACCTATGTTGCAAATGTATCTGGTGCTTTCTGTCTGGCGAGTCAATGCCAATTGAATGATGTTGAGAGCTTCAGGCAAGCCTCAGGGAGCTCTAGAAGCCTGCCATGGAACTTAGGCTGACCTGGGCACGATGGCTGGTTCCGCATTGGCGATCTGGGAGGATGGACGGCGAGGAAGCCATTGGTCCTCGACGTTGCACAGGTCGTTTCGTGGATGCAGCTGCCGGTAACGTCGGAGGCGGTAGCAGCCACAGCATGAAGCAGGCGAGATTAGATGCAGATGGCCGGAGTGAGTTAGTGACCATCACTTGAAGCAGAAGTGGGAGAGGTTTGCTATTGACGGGAATTCTGGAAAGTGCTGCAGTGACGGAGATTGAAGGTAAGTGACTGCACAAAACGCAGCTTCCCCGTGCAACGGCTTCTAACAAACTTGATCCGCGACAACAAACCTCACCTGTCCGCTCTCTTTCGTTTCTTTATCAACGCTGGTTCTAGTATCAGTATCGGTCGGCTTATTTTATGTCGTCTTCCAAGAACTTCTGTCTCTAACCAAGCACGCGCACACTCGTTAGTTAAATCACCACGGCAGACTTTTTCATCGCATCCTAAACGACTCCTACTCTCTAACATCATCGACATGGCCTCGTCACAAGTCAAGATGGTCCTCATCAGCCTCTTCCTCCTTGTTCTGGGACCGGACTTCGTTCTCGCCACCACTCCTGGCTATGCCTGCACCAATGGTCTTGCTCCCTGCGGCACTGGCTGCTACAACCCTGCCGCCGCCGAATTCTGCTGCACTGATGCTTCGACCACTTGTAAGTTTTCCAAACTCCGCCACTCGCATCTCGAGACTCACAATTACAGGGGCTTGCTCGTCGTCTTACGCGATCGAGAATCCTCAGACCAGTCCAACCGTCACCTCCCTCCTTACCACGACAGAAGGGACCATTACTCGAACACTTTCTCTGACGATCAACGACCCCGAGAACTCTGCTGTCCAGCCTACCTCAGTCTCAGCCAGCTCTATTCCGGCGATCAATGACTTGCCTGGCAGTGATTCCGGATATCTTGCTTCCGGTTCTGTTGCATCAACACCCCCTCCTACCTGTATCCCATCCACTGTGACGGTCACGACTGTGGTTTTCAGTACCGTTGCCTCCCTCAGCACTAGCCCAGGTAGCAGTTCCACATCGTCCTTCACGAATACGACAGTCGGCTCTGAGACAGGTCTTACGTCAATCACTGTGCAGACAGAAACACAATCCATTCTTATCTCAACTGCCATCACACAGCCATCTACATCCACCGATGTTGAGGCCACTACGGAATCTGCGTCAGGTAGTATTGATGGAGGTACAGCTGCGAGCTCGGCTACGACTGGCACCGGCCAGCCAACGCCATCATCATACAATCCCTCAAATAATCGCGGGTGTGACACCACCATTCCCTTCACCTTGGGGTTGTGGATGCTCTTCATCGGCGTCATCTTCGTCTAAGCTTGTGCAGGGAACATGGTGGCACAACACTGGCAGATTTGATCGACCTACTTTACCAATTGCGGGTTGCCGATATTCTGCGTTGCCTGAACATCTGAATGGTAGCTCTGTCCAGAGTTTTGCGATTGTAGCAGACAATGCAAGGTAGAGCGGGTCAACAGCCCTAATATGAAAATGGTTTCAAGTACATCAGTACAACATGTTGTTTAACGTTGGGTCATGATTGGCAGTTGACCGCTGACCACTAGGATAAACGCCGATGACGGGGTCCTTGACCCCTGTCTGTCGAGGCTGACCCCTCCCGTTGATGCGCTTCACCGCCTGGCCCACCCTGCGATTTTTCTGCCAGCTTGGGGAAGGTTCTACGATTTAGAGTCAGAAACCACACCACCAGCTGTCCCTGTGCAATTTCAAAACTTCACGGTCACTTTTCTTTTACAACTTGTTTACTCGTGCTTTCCGAAACGTCTGTACCTTATAAAGCACGTTGCAACGAACTGCACTGCTGTTGCAGGTCCTAGTGTGAAGCAAATCCTCCAGTCCACCATGCCTGCGCTTGACAGTCCAATGCTCAGTGAGGACACCCGCGTCCAGGGCTACGACCCCTTAATTCCTCCTGCCCTCCTACAAAGCGAAGTCCCCGCTTCTCAGACCTCACAAGAGACTGTGTCCAAAGGCAGAAGAGAATGCAAAGAGATCATCCACCAGAATGATGACCGCCTTTTGGTCATGGTCGGTCCCTGCTCGATTCACGACCCTGCCACAGCCCTTGAATACGCTGGCAGGCTCAAGGAACTGAGCTCCAAGCTTTCCGGCGACCTATGTATCATCATGCGAGCTTACCTCGAGAAGCCCCGAACCACGGTTGGATGGAAGGGTCTCATCAACGATCCTGATATTGACGAGTCTTACAAGATCAACAAGGGTCTGCGAGTCTCAAGACAATTGTATGCCGATCTGACCGACAGTGGCATGCCCATTGCCAGCGAGATGCTCGATACTATATCTCCGCAGTTCCTTGCTGATCTCATTTCACTTGGGGCCATTGGTGCCCGCACGACAGAGTCTCAGCTTCACCGGGAGCTGGCATCTGGCTTGTCGTTCCCGATCGGCTTCAAGAATGGTACGGATGGGTCTTTGGGTGTTGCCATTGACGCTGTTGGAGCTGCAGCAGCAAGACATCATTTCATGGGTGTGACCAAGCAAGGTTTGGCCGCGATCACGCGGACCAGTGGCAACGAGGACGGCTTCGTGATTCTGCGAGGAGGTACAAGAGGTACCAACTTTGACGCGGAGAGTGTTAAGGCTGCCCGGGAAGCTCTGCGGAAGAAAGGCCAGAAAGAAGTCATGATGATCGATTGCTCACACGGTAACTCCAAGAAAGATCACCGCAACCAGCCCGGCGTCGCACAAGCCATCGGTGACCAGCTTCGCCAGGGAGAAGACGCCATTGTAGCAGTCATGATTGAATCCAACATCGAAGAGGGCAGTCAGAAGGTACCGCCTGAAGGTGGGCTGCCCAGTCTCAAGAAGGGAATTAGCATCACCGATGCTTGCATTAACTGGGATACGACAGTCGAGGTCTTGGAGCAGCTAGCTGATGCGGTGCGCGTGCGCAGGGAAGTCAAGAATCAAAAAGCCAATGGAGCTGTCAATGGCACCAACGGACATTGACGATCTTGCAATGCATGACTTGACGATGGCACGGGCGTTCTGGCGGGGCTTGATCGACTAGAGAAAAAGTACCGTGGCACCACAAAGTTGTTGGTGCTATGTAGACCGACACTCTTCTCTACGCAGATCCATGGTGTAGTGTGCAGCAGCAAGCCATTGCACATAGCATAGACGAATGACAGGCAACGTCTGGTATCTTGTGACTTCGTATCGTGTCGTGCGGGTCTAATCTCGGCCTTGTTCACCTTGTGATTATTGTTTGATCTGCAGCTCACCTGCAAAGGGCAGCCTTGAGTTGCATGCGCCGAAGGCCCGGGGGCCACCAGAGCCTGGGCCTTCCGCGAATAGCAACGACAGGGTCCTCGAAACAACGTCATAAGGCGTTTTGACAAGCCCCTTGTGTTGTGTTTACTGGGCATGCAGTCTCCATTACCCGCTCACGTTCTGCTTATTGCTGCATAGTTCCACATGATACGACTCGCCGCATGACCATGCTCGTCGCGCCTGTTGGAATGTGTGCTATGGAGATGAGCAGGAGCGAACTGTGCCCATAACATCTTGACAACACCACGGCCATATCCTAGACCTCTTATCTTCATCACCTCATCACCTCATCACCTAATATCCCTAAGTTGTCATAAACCTTCTGCCCAGATTTATATCCTTAAGGTTTGCATCCGCCCACATCCGCTAAGACGTCTTGCCTCAAACTGAACGTCTCGTGCATATTACACGACTTTGCGTCTCTTCTAGCTAGATTGCTTTAAGGAAGCCTTCCCCATCCGCATACCCAGGCGAAGCGCTCGTAATCACCCTCCGTCGCTGGTGAGCGTATATGCCTCCAGAAAGCGATGCAACGAGCAGGACACCCAATGCTGACCCGAATACCGACGGAAGCAACAATGGACGTTCGACATTTGTCGACATTCCCCTCCAGCCGGGTTCACAACCCTCGTCGACGCACGAAAGGGCTGGTCCTCGCATAGAGAAATGGAGTCTTGGCATCCTCAATGACACCAGAACTGAAGAAGTCCCTGGAACCGTCCTACTGCTCGCATCTAAGAAAAATGAGCCGCTTGGCATGCGCCGAGAGTCCCCTGACGGACGTCGTCAATCTTCCATGCCTCCTCAAGACTATCAGCCTGCCCAAAGACAGCCGACCCAGGAGGAAAAGAAGCGGACAGCGAATGGAGAGATAATCCTGGATCCCCAACCAGATGACTCGCTCAATGACCCTCTCAATTGGCCTATGTGGCGACGAGATGCAGCGTTGTTCAGCCTAGGATTCTACTGTCAGTTCCCTGCTCTCTTCTAGTCCGAAAGAAGGACACTTATTTGTTGTGCCCAACAACGAGCTCACCATTCCACTGTCCTAACATTTTCCTGATCATTCTTACTGACATCACCTGGTCCAGGCATGGTTGGCGGCGGCATGACACCTATCCTTGCCGCGGGTTTCAACGCGGTTGCAGAGACCTACGACGTGACCTATTCGCGAGTGGCTCTGACCACAGGCCTGTACATGATGGGTCTGGGGGTGGGCTCCGTTGTCATGTCCCCGACAGCCATCTTGTGGGGCAAACGACCAGTCTACATTTTCTCTTCGATCCTCTTTCTCCTGACCTCCATTTGGTGTGCGTTGTCCCCCAACTTTGCCAGTCTAGCGACAGCGAGAGTTTTCCAGGGTATCGCAGTCAGCCCCGTTGAGTGCTTACCTTCTGCTACCATCGCCGAGATCTTCTTCCTACACGAGCGAGCTTACCGCGTGGGTATCTACGGTCTTCTGCTGCTTGGAGGCAAGAACCTCATACCCCTCGTTTCGGCTGTCATCATCCAAGCCAAAGACTGGCGCTGGGTTTTCTACGTCGTAGCAATCGTTGTTGGTTGCTGCACCATAAGCCTCTTCTTCTTTGTCCCTGAGACATTCTGGGACCGAACTCCTCGACCCAAGTCTCGGAGTCGGAGACCGTCCTTCCATCGCAGAAGCACCTCAAGGCTCGGCCGACCCCGTACAAGGTCTCAACCTCGGTCGGAGCATGCGGAGGCTGAGGGACAAACAGCGCCCGACTCGCCGATGACCGAACGACAGCAACGCCTTCACGATGCCAACCTTCATGCACACTTTGAGAGTCCGTCTCGGGATAGCTCACGCCGACTCAAAGTTAAGCCATCCGGTATCAAGCTTCCACCGCCCGAAGCAGCTCCTGCACCAGCTGAGTATGACTACGGCCAGCTTCCCCATCTCCACAACATGAACTCACCGTATTACAGCAACATCGAGAGCAAGGACTATATGTTGCATCACGCACCGACAATCGAGTCCCAGGCGCCAACTCAAATCTCTCCTTCAGATGGTTTCTCCACGCCAAAAGTCTCGGAGAAAGAGCCTGTACCTGAGCGTCCACAGTCCGCGCGCAGCGTACCACAGACTTCTGCAATGATGCGATACACGACAGATCTCAAGAATTCGCCACCAAAGGGCTACAGGGATACTCTGAAGCCATGGAATGGTCGCCTTGCTACGACCAATTGGTTCCGGGCGGCCTTTCGGCCCTTCATACTCTTCGCCTATCCATCAGTTCTCTGGTCTGCTCTGGTCTACTCTTTGTCTGTTGGCTGGCTCATCGTCCTCTCGGAATCAGTTTCGCATGTCTATGCGAATCGCAGCTCCTACAACTTCACCTCTTTGCAGGTTGGTTTGGTCTACCTAGCGCCCTTCATCGGCGGCATTGGAGGCACCGCAATCGCTGGCAAGGGGTCCGATATTGTGGTGCGATACCTCTCCCGGCGCAACGGCGGGGTATATGAACCGGAGTTCCGCTTGTTGATGGGCATCCCAATCGCAGTCACAACTGCAATTGGCCTCATGGGCTTTGGATGGTCAGCCGAAGAGAAAGACAAATGGATTGTGCCGACAGTCTTTTTCGGAATCATTTCCTTTGGGTGCTCTCTTGGTGCCACCACGGCCATTACCTTTTGCGTGGATTCATATCGCCAGTTCGCCGGCGAAGCATTGGTGACGTTGAACTTCAGCAAGAACATCCTTCACGGTTTGGTCTTCAGCCTTTTCTTTCCCAATTGGCTTGAACATGATGGAAGCAAGCAAGTGTTTCTGATCATTGGTGGAATTCAGATTGTGTGCCTGCTTTTCACGATCCCAATGTACATTTTTGGCAAAAGAGCCAGAATGTGGACAGTGCGACAAGGCTTTATGACTCGATTTTAGGCAGCACATGGCATGACCAGCATCAGCATCGGCAGAAGCAGGAGCAGGAGTATGACATTCAGCGTTCGAAGGAGTTCGCACTTATGCTAGGCGTGGTTATACTGCATGTCGACAGGGGCATTAACGATGAGCATCAGTGGCTGCATTTAGATCAGAGGTTGAAGACCGACGTCTGCATTAGACTGGATGGGTATCGTCAAGGCGTTATAGTCGATAGAACAGATTGAACACGACGACTTTTGATGACAGAGACTTGTTAGCTTGTAAACCACCGACTTAAATGTGGGATGTTGCCGTCGATGACTTGATACTATAACCTTTGCTGAATGCTACTGAGACGAGGGCGATGTTGCGACTGTGCAGTAGCGTCCGTGCGGAAGCGGGGGAAAGTTCTAGGGCTAAGTTCCGCAAAAGCTAACCAGAGCCGTGCGTTGCTGATACTTGTACTGTCGTTTGTCACCTGTTGGTATGTTTGTGGCGGTGTGCCTGGTGAGGGGAAGAGGTTATCTGCACCGTCCGGACAGGGAAGTAGAGGTGTGGCCAAGCCTCGCATTGCCGTAACGGTACCTCCGTAGGACAGCGAAGGCACCAGCTGGATTGTTGGCTCGAGATACGAAGTCAGTAAGCAAATTTCCATCCTGTGCATCTGGGGGGCGCCCGCGGGAAAGGAAAGGGACCCGGGGGGGGCAGCCAAAGAACTTCCATGCTGGTTTTCTGGGGCAGGGATATCACTCTCAGCTCTCTCTCACACGACGTCTCTAGCGGCGAGGAAACACTAGAGATGAAGGGAGAGGAGCGGAGGGTTAGCTGGGGATCTGCAATGCTGGGGCCACTGGCAGCGGGAAAGGGGTGATCATCATCAAAGGTGCTCTGTACCATCGGTTTTCGTGGACGAGTGATCGGGAAGGAACCTCAGAGGTACGCTGCAAACATTGCACATATTCTCGCTTTCCACTCTAAGGATTTGTAGGAAATATGTTGACATGGCCCCCGGGTCTACCAAGTTTGTGCAGTATGGCAGTGCAGTACTTTTGTCTGCTACTGCTACTCCGTACACTGGCGTTCGGCTACGAGGCCTCAAATACTCGAATACGTGAGGGCTGTGGGTGGGCACCCGAACTGCCAAGGCGTACTTGGTACCATTTGCACGCCGGATCTGTACAGTAGAGCGACGGCGCGCGCGGAGATCCATTGGTTCCGCCAGGACAGTATTAGTAATGTGACAGTCCAGACCGGACAGATCCCAAGAGAACACCAGGCTGAAGGTAGGCAGTAATTCGGCTGCGTCACTGTTTGCTGTGGGATAGGAAGGTATTCAACAAGATTCATTCTCCTTGCACGTTCAGTCAAGCGAGTCCTCCCGGGACGTGACCTCCCCGCTGGGATTTAGATGGCCGCCTATTTTTAGCTGGGCTCGTTACTCCGTGGCTTGCGTTGGTTCAACCGTGGCACAACTCAATGGTTCGGTTCTTTGATGCATCGTATTTTTCTTGTCTGGAAGCGCAGGCGTAAATGAGGGTTGCCTAATGTGCTGCGTAGCATTATTGTACGCGCGATTTTGGTTCCCCATGGTTGATTTATGACGAAAGGACTTTGTCAGAATGAACGTACTGCACAGACTGCCGTCTGGTCGTGTGGCCTTTGTGGAGAGACCCGGCACGGTTTGACGCGCAGTCACGCGGATGCGGTTCCATGCCGATCCCGTTGGCCCAGGGCAGGCCTCTTCGATGGGTTTGGAGTTTTCGAACTTGGGTTTCGGTTGAGCTCACTACTCCGAACCAACTACTATTGCCCAATCTCGCCCCCCAGCTAGCAGTTGGGGGCCAGCGAGCGTCTCCTGCTTTGAATGTGGAGATGGACGTAGTCATCCAAGGCAAGGCTGATACCGCTAGAGGTGCGTCTGCATGCCTCTCGGCTCTGGGCGAGGCAATTCTCGCAGATTATGTCATTCCAGGGCAATCGGGTTGAACCCTGGTTCAGCTGGACGAGGCAAGCGTCTCACAAGGCTAGGCTGGAGACTTGTGACTCAGGCAGCAGTCACTCACGACAGGTCCGACTATACCACTCATACCTCATTGTGGTTTAGTCGCCCATTTAGTTCGACGTGCTGGAATCTGCTCTGGCACGGCTTCGATCGTTTGCATGTTTCCGCGATGATGGGAGATTGGCAGACGCTGCTCCGCGGCCATGAGACCATGGCTTCGCCGAAAGGACAGACTTTATCTCGTATCCCGTGTGGCCATGGGTTGACATCCGAGCGATCTATCCTAGGGACTTGCTATATCGACCGACTAACAACGTGAAACGTCGTTTTTTCGTTTACCCTATTGGTCACTGTCGCTCTAGCTGGACGCGATTGGATACCTCCTTTGCGACCGAGAGTCATTACCGGCCACTTTTGCACCTCTGCCGTGGGCTGTGCTGTCTCCGAACCATATAGTCAACTAATTTTGCTCGTTGATCGCGACACATTGTCCGTCCTCGTCCACATCTCGTGGCCATAGCGACGAAGTCTTCAGAAACTTTCGGGCACGAGGCCGGCGCCAACCAGGTACCCTCGAAAGAGGTTAGTTCACGACCTCCCTAGCCATCTGGTCTCCTTCACATAAATCTAACCATAGCACAACCCGGTTAGCGATCGTCTCGGACTGCAACCGTTGCCCAGTTCACTTAGAACTGCATTTCGTCAACGGACAATGTCCAGCAGCCGTCACAGTCAAGGTAGCAGTCCAGGGCAGACTCACCGTCCACAATCAGGAGAACGCAGGACAACGACCGACCGTTTCCTCCGACCAGAGGACGCATACAATATGGAATCTGGCTACTTCGGAGCGTCAATGTCGCCTTGCGTCGGTTCCAGACACGGAAGGAGCCCAAACACCTTCACACCCGGTGTCAGCGTTTCAACTGCCTTTCAGCAACAAGGACATACCCAAAGCTCTACTAGTGCTCAGCAATACCGACATGCTGAAGTCTCCCGCCACGCATCTACTTCGGGATCATCGCATTCCAGCAGGCTGCTGACGCCGTCCGATGATTTGGCGAACCGCTCCAGACATTCTCCTCAAAGTGCCGACTTGATACACCTGGGCCCTCAGTACAGTCTCGCAGCCACTCAGCGCAGTTCAGAACATTTGTCAAAAGATAAAGGCAAGCAGAGAGAGAGCGAGAGAGGCTTGAGCAGGAAGCAAAGTGCAAGTTCAAGACATAGTAGTGGAAGCGAGGGAGGAAACAGGAGAAGTGGAGGTGGAGCAGCCGGCGAGAATCTGGTCTCGGGAGTCTTCATCCGATACTAGACCTGTTGTCGACTACAGCATATGCTATACAGCACATCCGAGGGGCGCAAGTAATCGCGCTCGCCAGCCCAACGTACGACGAGATCGGCGAGCTGAGAGAGCACATTTTCATCTTACAAAACACCACTCCCATTTGGGCGCAATCAGCGGCGTCATACAGCAATAAACCAAACGTTATCAATCACTTTGTTAAATCTAAAAGTGTTTCTTAGAATTCCCAATGATCGTCGCGGTGTGGTAGAAGGAGAACAAGCAGGGCCAGCGGCCGACGTCGGACTCAAGTTTACCCGCTACCGACCGCCAAGCCTGCATTTCAGACCGGCGGGCAAAATTTCTTAATCGTCGGTCGCAAAGTTGCTGCACAGCTTGGGGTGGTGCATACGCCGGCGACTCTACCTCTCTTGACACTGAGACAGTGCCTCTGTATCCTTAGATCTCTCGTTGAGAATAGCAAGCCTGCAGCAGGAGTCTTGCCGTGCGCGCATCAGAGGCCAGCCGATCGCGGCCATTCGAAAGTCCCGCGCAGAGCTCCTACCGCTGCAAAACATTTCCACCATGGCCGACCACTTGCTTTTCGAGAGCTCTATGGGCTACTCACTCTACAAAGTTGTCCACAAGGCCGATGCTGTCGGCAACAGACTCAAAGAGGTCCAAGACAGCGTGCAGGACCTTGCCAAATTTGGCAAAATGGTTGACCTTGTCAGCTTTCTGCCTTTCGAGTACGGACTACCAAACCTAGCCGGCTGTGATCTTGTGTTAACTAGAGAAGAACAGGTAAACAAGCGCTTGAGGAGCTTCACGACGTCTCCGAGGGCATCGCTTCGGAATTCCTGCGAGCTTTTCTCGAACTGAACCTGCCAAGTGGTGGAAAGAAGGGCAAAGTAGTCCTGGGTGTCTCGGACAAGAATCTGGCTGGCAGCATCAAGACGCACTTCCCAAAGATCGAATGCGAAACCAGTGACACCAATGAGGTGGTGGCGGATATGCTACGAGGCATCCGCCTGCATTCGGAGAAGATGATCAAGAAATTGCGCGAGGGAGACACAGGCACCGCACAACTTGGTCTCGGTCACGCCTACTCCCGAGCAAAGGTCAAGTTCTCGGTTCAAAAGAACGACAACCATATCATCCAAGCCATTGCGATTCTCGACCAACTCGACAAGGCCATTAATACCTTTTCTATGCGCGTTCGCGAGTGGTATGGATGGCATTTCCCCGAACTGGTCAAGATTGTGTCGGACAACCACAAGTATGCCCAGACGGCGTTGTTCATCAAGGACAAGAAGACTCTCACCGATGAGAGCATACATGATCTTGCCGCCATTGTGGATGACGACGAAGACATTGCAAAGAGCATCATCAATACAGCCAAAATCAGCATGGGTCAAGACATCTCACCTACAGATATGGAGAATGTCACGCTATTCGCACAACGAGTGGTCAGCCTCGCCAACTACCGCAAGACACTTTACAGCTATCTAGTGTCGAAAATGAGCGTGGTGGCTCCCAACCTCGCCGCGCTCATCGGCGAGATTGTCGGTGCGCGACTGATCTCCCATGCTGGCAGTCTTACCAACCTTTCCAAATACCCGGCATCTACGGTGCAAATCCTTGGTGCAGAGAAGGCGCTCTTCCGTGCTCTAAAGACCAAGGGCAACACCCCTAAATACGGCTTGCTCTACCACTCATCATTCATCGGTCGCGCAGGCCAGAAAAACAAGGGCCGCATCTCCAGATTCCTCGCGAACAAGTGCTCGATCGCATCTCGAATCGACAACTTCAGCGAAACCCCAAACACAGTCTTTGGCGCGGCGCTGAGGAAGCAAGTCGAGGAGCGCCTAGACTTCTACTCAAGTGGCACGCAGCCTACAAAGAACGAGACCGCTATGGTAAGTACTCACATGCCCATCTCAAACCACATTGCGTGAAAGGGTGGCGTCTAACCCGATGATCAGAAAGACGCCATGAACACAGTCCTGGCCCAACTCGACCTCGACGACGAGCCCAAAGCCGACGTTGACGAGGAGATGTTCGACGTCGAGCCTACGGCCGTGCAGAAGAAGGAGAAGCGCAAGAAGGACAAGTCCGAGAAGAAAGATAAGGACAAGAGCAGCAAAAAGAAGCGCGAGTCTGACGTCGGCGGCGCCGATGCAGATGCCGATGCCGATGCAGTCAGTGACAAGAAGCGCAAACACGCCGACGTCGACGGCGAGGGCGAGAAGAAGAAGAAAAAGAAGAAGTCCCTGTCATGATGATCGCTGCACCCCCTTCCTCAACGGCGAGACTCCTGTGTTCGCGACGAGATTAGTGGGGTTCTTTGTATCGATGTAATTACCTTTGCATGGCGCCCCGGCGAATGGCGAATGGCGAAAGGCGGATAGGTAGAATCCGACATTTATGAATGGGTTTCACACAGTTCAAGAGTAAAAAAAACCGTGTCAAGATAGCACAGCTGGCTTTGCAAACGTCTGAATTGATGTCATGGTTCCGCACAACATACGCATTTTCATCATCCACCAAAAGTGACTTTTATCATCTCATCTACCGAACATTCTAGCCCTGCCCAACAGCAAACGGTCTAGAACAGTTGTCCTCTGTTCCTGCCCGTCTCCAAAGCAGCCAGCCATACAAATACCCCGGCTCAAATCGTCCCGCCAATGACAGCAGATTAGCAGATCGACCCTCTCCCACCCCCCTCAAGCGGGCTCCGATTGGGCGCGGGGGAAAGAGATCGACATGAACGGATCCGTCAGATACCGCAAGGCCTTCGGAGCAGTTTTTTCCGACCCATGTGTTTCGCTCGTCGAAGTGACTGTGGGTAAGAACGTTGCACACATACAAGACCTGTTGTTACGTGTCTGTAGGAGGTTGCAGGTGGGTAATGGGCTTCCATTCTGCAGCTCCATACCCCTGGGCCCAATAAGAGTTTAGCTATGGGGCATAAATGATGTGAATCGTCGAATCCCTGTGCCGCACCCGAGAATTTACCCCGCCCCACATGGTGGCTCAGTGGTCGGAATTGCAATCCCGTTCCTGAAATCGAGATTCGAGTCGCCGGCAATCGACCTCATTCTGCAGCGCCAGGACGCTCTGCCTTTGAATTTGCTGGTTCGATACGTCCTAGCGATATGGTCATTGGTTCCTCGCTCAACGTTGTGCCGTGGCAGCCCTCACTGACCTAAATGCGCAACGAAATCGGGGTCCGATACTTCAGGGCTTCAAAGTCTCGCCTGTTCGCGTAGTATTGGCCTGCCCGGAGCCTCTCCACTGTTGCCTATCGCGATAACTACACACTCTCAGTGAGTGTCGCCTATGGCGCCCAAGGCTGACGCCGCCGTTCCCATCACGCCCGGTACTGCCCAGCAGACGCAAATGCAGAGTCGCTTCAGCGCTGGGCAGCCGTATCGACCCGTGGAGGTTCCTCCACGCGTGCGAACCAGCCATGCCTGTGACCGCTGTCGAGAGTTGCGCGCCAAGTGCTCCAACGGTGTTCGGTGCGTCAAATGCACCAAAGACGACGCCGTATGCACGTACAGCGATCGCAAGCGAGAGCGTACCAAGAAGTCAGTACCTCGATGGTCAAGAGAAGGACAGCTATACTGATAACGAGTCAGAGACATAGCCAAGAGCAATCAGCGGATCGTCGAGCTGGAAGACGACAAAAAGATGTTGCTGTCCGTCTTGAAAGGCCTGACGGACTCCCCTGACTTCGAAGGCCAGAAGCATCAGGATATCCTAGACCTCATTGAAAAGGTTTGCCGCTGCAGTTGCATCAGATTCACCGTCTTGTCGGGCACTAATCCCCCTCTAGATGTCGGACCAGCCTCCAGAAAGTTCGCGGTCGGGCAGCCTGGGCCTCAGCCAAGATCCAGGAAGTTCGAGCAGCGGCCGGACGTTCGAAAGAGCTCAAACGACGGATACCTCGCCGATGCCAATGGGCACGGATGATTCTCGCGCTTACTTCAGACGTGCTGGCGAGAACCTTGTCAGGTCTGACATTGGTTCGCCCGACAGACAACGAGAGTTATCATCGGCCGTCAACCTCGACGCTGGAACCGGTATGCCAGGATATGTTGGTAAAATGTCCGAGGTCTCCTGGGTGCAACGGATTGGAGCATATCTCGTCGGTGTGCAGCCTTTGTCATATCCCGACTTCGCCTCTACCCAGATTGATATGCAGAATCTTGACGCCACAGGCATTGCCTACTACACCGATGACCAGAATTTGCTGGCCATCGATGAGGATTACGTCGATCCGCATCTGTTGCCGCCGTGGCAAGTTGTCATGGTCCTCACCGAAGCATACTTCCATTCTTTGCAAGGCGCCTTCCACTTTGTCCCGCGTGAGCAGTTTTATCAAGATTTGAAGAATGTGTACGATGCGGTGGGTGAGAGGGTCGTTCCGACCTGGGGTCAGCGGAGCTGTCTCGCACTGGCCAATGTGATGTGGGCAGTCGGCGCTAAATGGATGCAGATGACACATCTCGAGCAGCATACCTTGTCGAGCGTACACCATGATTTCTCGGAAAATCATCTAGTATACTACGCTCGCGCACGTGCGCTTGGCCTAGACCACCGAATGCAGTTTGACCACCCGAGCATCGAGTTAATACAAGGTTTGGCCGTTCTGGGACTGTACCTGCTGGCCAATGGCAGCATTCAGCGGTAGGTCTTGATGGTCGGAACGTGGATTGCAGGCTGATGATCACATGCAGGGCTTCGAGTCTGGTTGCGCAGGCTATAAGGCACGCCACGGCTCTGGGACTTCACCTCAAAGTCACAGAAGGGGTCATGTCAGACTCGGAATTGACGCGTCGATCTAGACTCTGGTGGTCTCTCTACCGCATCGAGGTTTTGCTCTCGGAGACCACAGGACGGCCGAAATGTTTGCATATTGAGGACATGACTGTTCCTTTCAGGTCGCTGTTCTCGAATGCAGGCGAAGGCTTGCCTGATGTACCAGGTAATATCATCGATGCTCCAATATCCGACAACGATTCCGCCGAGGTTTGGAAGGCTTTCATTGGGGACGGCACAGAAGTTGCACGTCGATTGAAAGGCGGCGCGATACCCTGGTCGAAGCTCGTACCGCTCGGCCTCAACATGAGCGAGACTCATTTCGCCGCAAGCCTTGAGTTGAGTGGAATCAGTGATAAGATTGGATCCAAGATATACCTCAGCCCGGGAGACTTGACGTGGTTCGATGTTCAGTCCACAGTCAAAAAAATGGAGAGAGAACTTGAACAATGGCAGGAGCATCTACACCAAGATCTGCAAATGGAATCCCTTGGGCAGACCCAGATTGATCCACGTTCCAGTCTGGAGTTGGAGATGTACTTCTGCAGTATACGCATGATCCTATACCGGCCTTTCATGTGCGAGATCCGTATTGATCAAGAATCCGCTGGAAGCGCCGAGTTCAACCGGCTCTCTGCGCGTGCTGGGGTCACTGCTGCGATTCGAATGCTCGATGTAATGCCCGATGACCCGATCGCAGCGGATGTTGCGCAAGTTCTCCCCTGGTGGGTTCTTTTGCAATACGTTTGTCGAGCCGCGGCAATGTTGCTTCTGGAAATGTGCTTGAACATCCAGCACATGCAGAATGAAACGAAAGAGGTTATGGCGGCTACGAGGAAAGCGCTGAACTATCTCTGGATCCTGGCGCCGGAGTCAAAGAGCGCATACCGAGCGTGGAATATCTTTCGTCCGCTGGTCGATAAAGTGGCGCAGCGATACCGTCAGAACGTGTTGGGAAATCTGCCCTTGGATGCTCAGAAACCACAAGGTTGGTCACGGGATGATAACCAGAAAATGCATCAGTGCATAGCCAAAATCTTGTGGTAGCGGTCGCCTACTAGGGAAGACCGCATTCTCTTCGAGTGAGGGCGACCAGTGGCGGCTCAGCGAGTGTCGCTTCCGTCAGTAGGTGTCTGAGGCATCCATGGTCAGCGATTTATCGGCAACGTACAATCCTGGTCCCCACCCAAAGGCTCTGTTTCACGCCTCGACATCGACGCCAACGAGAGCGTGGCTCTATCACAGCATCACCCTTCGAAAGAAATATCTTGACGATGAAAGCGGGGGCATGAAGTCGTTCTATCGACCTTGAAGGTCAACGACAATAGATTGTCAAGAATGTCCGCACCAACAATTCAATCAGAGGCAGAAACCGATGTTGGAGAGGTGCGGCCGTCGTCAGTAGGTGGCAGGACGTCATCGGAAGGATCTGTCTCATGAGGGGTCGAATTCCGGCTGGCAAGTCACCAAGATACTTGACGAGGGTGGAAGCGTCCCTATGGCACTGTTGAAGACTCCACTTCGACGGAGTAGTGGGTTAATGGTGGAGGGGAAGCGAGCGGACGTCGCTAGCGGAGCCGCGTCGAGTTGAGCCAGGCACACCTTGAACAACTCTACGAAGAGTGCTCACGCATGGATGTCGTTGCTGCCGGTAGGACCCACACGCTCGCATGTATATTGTGTGAGAAACTGCACCACGAGGGTCTTTCCGCCTTCCGGAGCTCGTGCAGTCAGTCGCGCATGCGCGCAGCCGTTAGGAGGCTTGGTGCCACCAAGGAAGCCACGACCACAATGTTCACAGCAAGCGCGCACTTTTCGTCCTTTCGTCGTCCTCGAGCGCGTAGGTGGGCTGCCTGCGTTTTCGGTGTTTGAAGCTCTAGGCTCGACGACTTATAGCCTGCCAGGTTCTCTTCAACGGCATCGTCATCAACCCTCCCGATGATGGCACCTCAGTACTCCTCAATGACGCGCACCGGCCATCCAAAGGACGAACACCCAATTACCAATCTGAAATATGGAGATGAAAGAGGAGATTTTATGGAGATGCTTCCCTTTCGAGACATGGCCATGCAGACGGATAAGCAGAGCCACGGGGAGCGCGTGGATACGCAGCCGACTTTCGTCGATAGAAGGAGCGGAAATGCCATTTCTGTAGTAACGGGGACGACCAAAGCATGTCCTCCGCACGGAAACTCCCAACGTCAAACGTGGCTCTTCTCGAATGAAACAACATGAAGCTTCCTAACCAGCTTCTCCCGCTCAAATCCCACCGCGAAAACTTCATCGCGCACCAGAAAACTCCAACACTTGACTTGTGTACAGTGTGGGCGCAAGATTCCACAAGGCTCCTGGAGGAGACGAGCTCAGCGGACGTGAGGACTACAATCGCATTGAACACCTAGGGGTGGCGTAGAGGTCTACAGTGAGAAATGCGCGATAATCACGAGATTCATGTGGCAGAAGGAACGTCTGTAGAGACACTACAGCTCTGCCCGACGACGACTGCCCAGAGCAAACCTCATCCGTCCGTACCTGACCACCGAGCGGCATCAACGACAGGAAGATGTCCTTTATGGTATCGACAACCGCTGCTGTCGTTCTCTCACTCATGACTTGACCCGTCTGGGCTCGTCCCAATACCAGCCATATCCTTCAGTTTGGACTGAAGGTTGTGTAGTGGCACGAGGACTCGCTACATCTTTCATTGACGCATTTCTGTGCTTCTGGGACTCGCCTGCATGCGACACGACAGCAAGGTCCAAGATTGCTAGCCTCCATGCTCATAGAAATGACCTCTTGCTTGACAACTATCTGCTCCTCACCGACTGCATTATGCAATCCTCCGACGCAACAGGGACCGAATATGTTCCCTGAGATCCATTCAACTACAAGATGCCGATTGCGCAACACAACGTCACCATAATTGCAATATTAGGGGCCCACAGGCCTGCCTCGAGATCGAAATCATCACTTATTGGTTTCGGGAGGGAGAGGGTCGCTCATCCGTTGTAGGAACCGGTTGGAGAGCTACACGATAATGGCACAAGTGTGCGGTAGGTCAATTCGGGGGAAACCTTGAAAACTAAGTAAGCAAAACGCGAATGGAGGAGCGATTGGAATAGCTTGCGCCCCAGGAACGCGTCAAGCTGAGTGGTAAGGTGAAACTGTGGCCCTTCGCATCCGCTCAGAGACCCAATGTTGCGAAGCGGATGCGGATCACAGTATCGAGAGGGCGCAGCTGATTTGAACTGGTTCTTTCTTTGAAGCAGCATAGAGAAGAACAGAACCCAAACATAAAGGAATTGCAGGCGCGTCGCAAAGAAGGCTGGGCTGGAAACAGGTCTCCAGGCCAAACGCATTTCGACACCACATGCGCTGGCAGCGGTCGTGCACGGTCTCGATAATGACAGCCACACAACGAGGAAGGACCACCAGTGATGGCCATGGATGATATCATGTATCCAAGAATGCTCCAGATAGATTTTCCTCTCACGCGCTTTATTGAGATCATACTGCACAAGCGATCACACGTACGCCTCCTCCCGTTCCCCTTCTTGCCAAAGTCCGATCTCCTGCAAAGGCATGGGAAAAAGCAGGAACAAAGCACCCGTCTCAAAACCAGATTGCTTGTCTCCGGATTGATAGGCTTGAACCTGCCGGCAAGCCCCCACCCAGGAAATGTAACTCCGTGCTATGGAGTATCATGGGTTCTCCCTCTCCCACCCCCCCTTCTCTCTCTCTCTCGTGACTCTTCTCCACGTAATGTTTAGAAGCCCCCCATGTACCCTCCCCGAAGGACCGAACGGAACTGCATGTACAGTACCGTGGCTATTGCGGCTTAGCCTAAAGTCTTCTCCAGCACGATCCCTTCACTCTCAGTCAGGGATCGCAAAGTCCGAAGTGTGCTTGGGTGGGGGCCCATGGCTTTCTAGAGAATTAGTGGAGAATTGGAGGATGCCGGGTGTCCCTAAGAACGGTCTGTATTGGAAATTCCTGACTCCCGCTAGTAGTGCTGTAGTAGTACGATGATGGCAAGGTCCTGGACTGCATGTGTATGGTCAGTGGGCACAAGGGAAAAGGGAAAGGGGAAAACGAAAAACAAAAAGCAAGCAAGCACCTCGCCACCATGGATAGAAAGGTGCCTGTAGAGGCCGGACGATTGTTTACGTCGGTATCCGGCCGGCATAGAACGCAAGCAGGTCGGCGATCGTACAGGAGTCGGTCCACGTGTGACAAGGCTAGGAACAGAGAAACTGGTGGTGGATAAGAAGTTGGATGCTTATCTCTGAGAGAAGGGCTTATATCTCCTGATAACCAAATATCAAATACAGGCTACATTTAGACAGCATTTCCGTGTTGACTCAATAGGCTAATGTAGACAGATCCACCCTACAATATTTGACATCGGTGGTGGCGGCGATGTGTGCAGGCTAAGAGGGTAGTAGAGTAGTCGCAACAATTGTGATGATAGATGTATTAAGCTCGATGGAGACAGTCATCATACTCTACTCCGGACGCAGAATGTAGCTAGAAAAAAAAAGAATCAAGGGTGGTGCCGGCAATGCCCATTCCTGTCGCAGCTATCACAGCTCGACTTCGCGGCTATGCTTGTACTAGCCAAGGCTCACCGCCAACCGCAGCTACATCCCAATCACCGAAGTTATGTGAGGAGGGGCGGTGGAAATCCATCTTTGCGGACGCGCTTTTGTTGTACAGGCCTGGCGTTGGCGTGAAGGACGCCATGCGTTTCAGGATCGAAGGGTCGTCAGTGAAGTCGCGTTCTGCTCGGAGTGTCGACGCCTGTGATATGGGTGATATACTGCTGTCGTGTATGAGAGGTTCACTAGGAACAGAATGTGTTGAGAGACCGGACAAATAATCCGATGGCGGGTATGGGAATATGTTATTCTTTGTCGATAGTGGTGGGTCGCCCACCGCAGTGTCTTCGCTATAGTGGTTGAAGTCGAAGAAAAGGTCGTCGCCCACAGGTCCGGAAGTGTGACGCCACGAGCCGGGGTTCAACGACGGGACTGATTGTTGGTCAGACTGCTGGCACGCTACGGCCGACTGGAATTGCTCCACCATGTTTTCTTCCTTGTCAGCGATAGCTTTGGGTGCGGGCAGCTTCAAGGAAGTGTCAAGCGGTGCCTGGCTTGTTGGCCTGATGGGTGACAGGTGAGTCGACGGCATCCTGGGACGAGGAGAGGAGACAGCTCGAGAATTCGGTGCAAGAGCAGAGGCCACGCTGTCGACCGACATTGGCGAAGGTGATATAGCCTTGCTGCATGTCTCCGGGCGTGTCTCATCTAGGAGAGGCCATTCATAGCCAAGAGCTTGCAAGATGGCTATCGTGGATTCCTTGGAATCCTCTGCATCGCGTGGCACTGGAGGGTTGCCCGGGAAGCATTCTCCGTCGACTGTGGCCCGGTATAGTTGTTGGACTGCTGCTTCCAGGACGTCTTGCATCTTAAGGAGGCTTGTGCCATCAGCTTGAAGGGTCTGGCAATGGGATCTCATGGCACGTACTGCTTCTTCGCATCCCTTGTCCTCCAGGCAGCGTATACACAGTCTGCCTCCATGTCCGTGCATGTTCTGCATGGTCTCTGTCCATCACACTGTACAGTGCGTTAGTGAAGTTGCTATATACACGGTACTCAAGAGAGGTACGTACCTTGGCCTTCCTGAGCCGACACCTGTCACAGGCTCGAGGCGTCCGCCTCGCAGGTCGACTTCTCTTGACTTGGCGGTCAATTTTCTGTACTTTTTCTTTGGGCTGCATCATAAAGTCACGTAGAGACTTGTGTGAAGTACAGTTATACAATTCTTGGAGGGCGCCTCAAACCTAGGGTTGGCTCTCCTGATGTTGGCCAAATACCTCGTCACCGGCCAGTCTCATCTGTCGAGAGCCTTAGCGATTTAAGGAGGCTCAGCTCAGGCTCGAGTCGCAGGTTTGCGTCATATCACGAGCCACATGGGCGCGGCGGTACGATCTTCGTCTCACTTTACGGCAATGTTAGCCAAGAGGGTTGGGTCTCGAATGTCCCACCGAGTTCTACTTTGACGTAATTGTGCACTGCGAACCGTTGCAGCGTGCAGGAGAGGCAGATCTTCTTCCCAATTGGGATGGTGGACTTCTTCGCTTCCAGCTACACACTTAGTCTTATGCGTAACGGACAGCCGTGCGATATGCGAAATCGGAAATAAGCTCACATTCCCCCTTCTTGCAGTCCTCCGCGCACCACCGGGGCAAAGGAGGTCCATCGGAAGGATGGTAAAGATCAGGCACGGACTCATCACGAACTCGGCTACTCGTGCTGGTGGAACCTGGTCGAAGCCTGAGATGTGCAGCTCGGCGCAGAGGTCCATAGCTGCCAACTTGAAGATGTCTTGGGTCCAATCATGTAGGCCGGAGCTTCGCATTTGGAGTGTCAAGTGGAGGCGCGATTGAGGGTGCCAGCATGCCTGGATATCACAGCCGCAGGTGGTGATCGGTGGAGCATCTACGTTGGTCATACGAAGTCAACCTCAACAGACTGCCCTGACCGGCACTTTTCTGCTGGTGTTGGCCTCGCGTAGCATGCGTTTGCCCCCCCTCGGCCGCCGGTCTCCCTCAAATCTGATAACAGGGCGTCAATGAGCTGCCAGCCGCAGTGTAGCCCAAACATTCGGAAGAGCTCGACGTGGGGCGAGCTCTTCCAAGCGAGACGTCGGACCTCGGATCCTGGATGTCTCATTGGTTGCAAAGGGGAGCGGAAATGCCTTCTCCGGGCTCCTCACTAGCCCGGCGCCGCCTTGCATATCCGTACAACATTCATTCAGAGAGACGGGTGGGGCATGGTTTTCATCATTGTACCCCTCGCTTTGGCCTTGTCGCCTATGTCGGCCACGTCCTCGGGACTGCTCACGGCTGCCGATAATAGCCATGGAGAATTTGTCCGGCCAATACGGGTTGCAGGCACTTGCTGGCGCAGCATTCTAGACTGTCGCAAACGACTACCTCAAAGTGGCGGCCTTTTAAGCGATGTGCAATCGGCTTTGCAATCCCACACCGGTGGACGCCTCCCATACTGCTATAACTGTCCGGCTCAGTCCAACTCGGTAGTCTGTCGTTGCAGGCGAGTCAGGTCTCCTAATCGAACTCAACGTTTTATCCTTCTCATCGATTCACGTACCACCAAATGAGCCAGCTTGGACCGCCTCTCGGGCTTGACGAGCGAATAGACCTCCTAGACCGTATCGAAATTGACATGCAGTTCATCGACCCCGAAGAGCTTCACTTCTCCCTGCCGTCCGAGCAAGACCCTTCCCAACGTTCCCTCGGCTCCTACTCCTCCGGAGCCTCACATGGCTCGGCTGATTTCGATTCCACCATCTTCTCAGACCTCACCAATAAAACAATGCTAGACTCGTCAATCAGCTATACAGATACAAAACCGGCACTCGACCTGGACGCTCCGGACGCAGACGACGGCACCACGAAAGGCTACACGCCCCACCGAACCTCCAAATCAAAACGACGCACCACGAAGTCGTCTTCTTCTTCCTCCTCTTCCCTGAAAGTGAAGCCGCGCAACGGCCAGCATGCGCGTGAGCTGGCGCGCAACCGCCAGGCGGCCGCGAACTACCGCGCCAAGCAGAAGAACCAGCTCGATGCCCTACTGGAGCGGGCGCGCGAGGAGGAACGCCGCATGGTCAAGCAGAGGGCCATGGTCTACTCGCTGAAAGACGAGCTGTGGCACCTGCGGAACGAGCTGCTGGCGCGGCAGCAAATTCAGCTTTGTGGCGCGTCGGGGTCCAATAGTGACGATCTCGGCGTTGCTCATACTACGCAGCAGCAGCAGCAGCAGCAGCAGCCTCCGCCGTTTGAGGTAGGCGCGCTGTCTTCATTTACGTAAGTGAAGTTGTACGAAGTTGAACGGTCGAGGACCTTCGACGGTGATACTCCAAACGTGTAGGGAAGTGGCTTTTGTGAATGTTTGTAATGCTTGGGTAGCGGTGCTGCAGCTGTACAGATACACGACCTGTCAAAATATGACTTTATCTTTCGTTCATCATCACAGGACGCTGCCTGATCGAGCTGAAAACCCCGAAGGCATGGACGTTCTCTGCGCAACAGTCTAAGTCACCGTAAAAAAGAGGTCGGCCTGGCTATGTCAGTGTTGCCTGGCAAACATCTCCCGCCGCACACCTTTCCCTTGAGCACACCTCGTAGAAAATATGTCAACAAAAAAAAGCCGTCCTCTTCCAGGATCGAATTCGTCCTCCTCAGCTGGCACTCTCAAAATTGGGCCAAAAAAGAAGATTCCCTCCCCAGACCCTCGGTGTTTCTTCCGAGTTCTCTAGGTCTAGCGGTATAGCTTCCCAAACCCCGGCCGAGCACCACTGGGCAACTACTTTGCAGTTGCATGTGGTACCTAGGGTGGCTCCATTAGTCCACACCAGCTGGGTTTGTGGCGAGTCTTCAGATATAGGCTGTTAGGCTCTTCGCTACTCGGTATATCTTGCGATGTACTTGTCACTACTAGGCGGCTAGTTTCTGCTCGATTGTTGAAAGAAATTCTGTTCAGACAATATTTAACCAGTTGCTCGGGGAAACGAGGCTGTGCGAGGCTGGTGAATTGATGTCAGGGTCAGGCAACGAGGCGGCGAGTCTTGGCAGTAAACGACAAATGACGATTCCTTTGTGCTTCATGTTACCACGCACATCTCGCTTGCATAGTCTCCGGTGTCGTAAGCGGTTTGTGCCGCCATCTTGGTGATGTCCTGGGTCGCTTCCCACATGAGCTCACCCGTCAAGGCACTGCACTCTGCATATCGATCCAGGCGCATTTCTCGCGCGGCCTGGAGTCCTTCTTCGGGCATCACGCATTCGTATTGCTTTCTACCCTCGTCATCTGTGATGACTTTGGCTGTACGGAGATCGCGCTGCAGCCCGAGGAGCATAACAGGTATTGAAGAAGTTGGATAGTGCTGGTGGTATTGTGGCATCCAGTAATTCTGGACATTATGCAGAGACGCTCGAGAAGGGATCGCATAGGTGAGTATCAAGAGATTTGGTGAGTCTGGGAAGGGATCAATGAAGAGAGGCGAGGTTGAAGGATGAATGGTAATGCGGTAAGGCCGAGCGAAGAGGAGAACATCAAAGGACAGCGGACCGTGCAGCGCCGTTGTATGCAGTGAGGGCCGGAGAAGCGAATTCTCGCCGTTGTCGGAAGCTGTTGGGTTGGACTGCTCGGCGCCAGTTGTGACCAGGGTAGTCTGGCTGTCATTGGGCAGTCTTCCCTGAGATTCTGAAGGCGAAGCCACTAGAGTGGTCTGGCTGTCGTTCGGCTGTCGAGAGGTTGCTGGTGAGTCCTGCGTGCGAGATAGATTCTGGCGCGCACTCCTGCCTACTGAGGGATGCTGGACGTGGGGCAGACGACTGAACATTGTCTGTCAGCACGAGAAAGGGCGGACTTGAGCTGCCGCAAACATACGAGAGAAACTGAGCCTTACCAACACCTGGTGAGCCCAACAGCATGATGTCGATCTGAGGCGGGTGTGGTGGTCTTGGTTGAGCCATGATGGAAGACCTCTACCATCGAGCTCGATGACTTACTCAGGGCGGAGCATCACCAGGTCATGGTTGCACCACCAATGTCACTGCTGGATCTCAATGACATGCGGTTGAAATGCAGCTTCATCGAGAACAGGCCCATTCTATGATGTCCTTTGATGAGAAGCTGTCGTTGTGGATCTCGGACTGATCTGTCACGGCATCGGAGAAATATTGCTCCGCACTGGTCGAAGTGCCGCGGCTCATCTCTCTTGGACCGAGCATTTGAACCCCAATCGCGGATGCGCTGACACTTCAGATCGGACATGAGAACATGTAGGTCAGCTTTATTGTCGCTGGGTATACGGTGAGCCGCTCTTCCTCGTGTCTTGCATTGTGTCGCGTCCGCACTGGCGTTCTTGACCTGAGGAGGTCCTGGTCGGCTTCGCCCCCCGCATCACGCAGTCCCGAGTGCGCTTACAGATAGATATGCGATTAACATGTACAAAAGTCCGTCCTTTGTCCGACCCAATCCCTCTACCAAGTGGACGCGCGACTACCAGAGAATGGCTCTCGATCTCCCCCGACTGGAGACGACTGAGAAGTTGAGCACGAGTGTGATAAGGATATTAGGTGGTAATCCGAGCAAGGTGAGTCCAAGCATACCTTACGACTTCATAAATGTCCGAGCAAAGGCCTGGACAACTAGAAGATATCCACCTATTCTTTGAAAGACCCCGGCGCGCTGACACATTCCGTACAAACAGTTCACACTCCAGGGTATGCATCTATGCGCATTCACTGCCTGGCCGTGACTAACTCTTCCACAGGCTCCAACACCTACCTCCTCGGCACCGGCCCTGAACGCATCCTCCTAGACACAGGCGAAGGCCGAGACTCCTGGCGAGATGCTCTATCCTCAACTCTCAAATCCGAATCCTGCACCGTCACCACCGCCCTCCTCTCGCACTGGCACCACGACCACATAGGTGGTGTCTCGGCCCTACGAGCACTCCATCCTAACACGTCCATCTCTGTCCACAAGCACAATCCCACATACGATCCTGGAAATTCCCAGCTCGATACCTCCAAAATTAGCCCTATAACAGACGGCCAACGCTTCCGCACCCCCTCAGGCTTCGAAGTCCAAGCCCTACACACCCCAGGCCATACTACCGACCACATGTGCTTCGTCGTGACTGCCTCGGCCTCGGACCCCTCGGAAGTTGGCGCCATATTCACAGCCGACAATGTCCTTGGACACGGCACCGCCGTCTTCGAGGACCTCGCCACCTACCTCTCCTCGCTACACATCATGAAGGACGCTGTGTCTCGGTCCTCCTCTCCAGTCAAAGCCTTTCCAGGCCATGGTGCGGCCATCCCCGATGCCCTCGCCAAGATCAGCGAGTACATCGAGCATCGGCGCATGCGTGAGCAGGAGGCGCTGAACGTGCTCAAGTACGGGACACCCACGCCGCCACCGACGGAGGAAGGTAGTGAAGCCGCCGACGTGGGCGCGCTGGAGGTCATCAAGGGCAAGGAATGGGGAAGCATGGAGATGGTCAAGGTCATCTACCGCCACTACCCCGAGAACCTATGGGAGCCGGCAGAGAAGGGTTTGCTGATGGTGTTGGCCAAGCTGGAGGCCGAAGGCAGGGTCGAGAGAGGGCCGCAGGGCGGTTGGATTGTCCTAGAAAAAGCCGCGCTGTGAGCGTCCGGGACCAATATGCGCAACAGCGAAGTGTATAGAATAACCCAAACCACAGTGAAGTAAACAATAAGCATACTGACAGAACCAGTTGTTTGCCTGGCCCATCTCACCGATCTAATAATCCCTGGCGGCGTAAGAACTCTACCACCCCGTCACCCACGCCCTCCGGGCTCGGCGTCTTTGCGCACACGTCAGGCTCAAAGCCAAACTTGTCTCTCAAATGGTCCCTCGTCGTCGGCCCAATCGTCGCCACCACATATCTCCTCGTAGTCTTGCCCACCAAGACGCCCCCTTCTTCTTGACCCCACCTGTCCTGCAGGCCGTCCCTCGCCTTTCCCTCCCCATCCAGGAAACCCAGACATCTCAACATGGCCTCACAGCCCTGCGGACTAAAGACCACGACAACCACCACCGCCATCTTCACTTCCTCCTGGCCCCATCGACTCACCAGTCCGGCAAACTCCGTCTCGAACGCCTCCCTCACCCCCGTCGAATACACTTCCCACTCCTCAACCCCCACCCTCCTCCCCTCTCTTACGCCACCGCCCACCCACTCACTCTCCCCCTCGGCCTCCCCCAGCACCCTCGGAATGACATCACGCCTCACCTCCCCCACGAGAAACAACAACGGCCGCTTACACAACCTCTCATCCCCGCGCTCCATCCTACTACGCGCGTACGTGCCGCTCGCGGGTCCCACGAGGGGGATGAAGGGCAGGCGCGGGGCTTCGTAGTACGTGAAGAGGCGGTGGGCGTGCAGGGCGTTGTAGTGGCGGAGGATGTAGGAGGCGAGGGCGGCGCCGTTGCCGGTGTGGGCGCCGAGGATGGCGGGGTGTAAGGATGCGAGGGTACAGGAGGGGAGGAGGGCGTTGAGGGAGCGGGAGGTGGCGGGGCCGACGACGTAGAGGGGGAAGGGGGTGTAGGGGGTGGGGGTCGAGGGGGCGTCGTTGGTTCGTGGGGGGTCTCGGTCTGGGGCGTGGGCAGAGCGTTGTTTAGCGAGAGGCTTACGAGCAGGGGCGGAGGTGAGGGGGGGATACACGTACCAATGCTTCCATTACCCTGATGGTCCGTAGATTCGCGATCGAGCTTCCGCACAACGTCGCTGAAACCCTCGACGGCGCGCTGGCTGGTGAAGATGATGCCGCCGTACTGCTCTGTCAGGCGGCCGCTTCGAAGCAGGTCCTCCAACCGTGACAAATTCGCCGTGTTCGCTCGGTGCTCCAGCACGGGCACGAAGCGGGGCTCAAAATATGTAGAGCGTGAGCTCGACGAAGTGTGCTCGGGGACAGAGAGCTGGGAGAAGTACTCTTCATAGCCGTCCTCTGGCTGGGATCGGGTTTTGAGAAGGAAGACGGGGATTTTGGCCATGGCCACCCGGGAGGGTTTCTGAGCCGAGCAAATACACGCGCCGCGACCGCTGACGCCTGTCCTGAGGCGATAAAGAAAGGCCGTGGCTTTTCCGGGAGGGCGAGGGTCGAGGTTGTGGTTCGGTCTGACCGTAGCCCATTCCTTGGTGGTCGCCCGGGGATTTTTGCTTGCACTTCCCCAGCCAACTCAGCTGATCCACTTCTTCACTTACACAACAGAGAATATTCCAAGTCCCTGATATCGTCGGCCGGGTCGTCTCCTCATGTATGTTGTTTATGTTCTGGTGTGCAGATGCGACCCAAGTGTGAGGAAATGAAATATATTCGCTGTGAAAAGATGATGTGATGTCATTGTGAGACTGGAGTTTATATTCACCAGAAGGCTGAAGCCCCCTATCTGCGCAGCTATTGCGCCGTCTTTATCGCCCGACTCACAACAACGAGGTGTGGATGCCCCAAAACGCGATGGGGCCTAGTTTACAGACATGAGGTTGCATAGCCAAAATGATATTCCTCCAGAAAACCCCCATGACAAGTTATTGTCCACCTGGGTCCTTGCTGTATCGTGTTCAAACCCAGCCGTGGGCAGGTACCGTCTCGAAGCTCTAGACCGCGGGTGGATGGTCGGAGCGAGCTCTGATTGTTGTGAGAAGAATTGAAGGGCTGAGCTGCACCTTGACCGACTGAATTCTGCCCACAGCTGTCTCCATCATGCGGCACAGAGTTTCAACTGTTGGGCAGCAAAAAAGGGTCGAAGCTCCGAGGTTGTCTTCATGCAGCGGACTCGCTTCGCATATATATTCAAGCCAAAGCGACACAACATCGATGCACGGCCGCAGTCCAAAAGGACGAGGTCGACACTCAACCAACCAAGCAGGGAGCATCCCTTCCTCCCTTCCTCGCGCCGCAGCCGTCTTGTGTCAGATGCACGATGACTTCGTGGGATGAACAGACCACGCGACCATACCATGACATGTTGCAATGGGCGAGTTTAGCAACAAGAAACGATTGAACAAAGCATCGTTGGGAAAAGCAAGCCCGTCCAGACTGTGACGCCGCATCCGCTGTCAATCGCACGGGCGACTGCAGAAACGGATCACCTTTGGGGAATCAGGCCTTGTCGGCTCCGTGTGCCACGGTCGCACACCCGCATTTTGACAGTTTTGACGGCTTGTGAGACAGAAGCACTGGCGAGCCTGCTGATTGTCAACTCGACGTTGGGGCAAGCAGCGGTACATTGGCTGGGCGAATGTCATGCCACGTTGTTAGTGCTGTCCCGAGGGCGGGCGTAGCAAACTGCAACCAGAGGTGTGTGTCTTGCACCGTCTGTTTCCTGCATACAAAAGAGCCCGATGTTCTCGCGAGTCGTGGCGTCTCCATCGGTCTTTGTCCTATCAGACCTGCAGTCGTTAGAAAGAGCGTCCGGTGTCTGACGGCTACTGTGGTCGAGTGGCACTCTTCAAGGTGCTGTTGGACCAGAGCCAGTCTTGCATGTAAAAGGGCTCGAGGGGCAGACTCCGGAAGTTCTGGTGCCTGCGAGGACCTTGAGGACGACTGATTCGTGTTTGCTTTGCGGCACGGTATGCTGCCACGGCCTGCCGCTAACGGGGGTTCAGGTTGTTTGCTCTTCCTGCGCCTCATTTCTCCAACCAACCAACCAACCAACCAACCCGCGCACCGTTGCCCGCGATGTGGACGGGTTGTATTCATCGTTGAAAATCCACGGTCAGTTCCCAGTTCAGCGAGCTAATCCATGGACCGTGGCAGCCTTGCGCCGGCGCTTGTCGCACTGCAGCTGTCATATTGCAACTTTCTTTTCCCCAGCGTCCACTTCTGTGCTCCTAACATTCCCCCCCGGTCCTTGACCAATTCGGGGAATAAATTGTCTCGCCCCTATCCAGGCCATCGGAGCTAGTATGGACGTTGAGCGATGAAGGCGGATTGCGCATTGCGCTCGGGTCAAGCCAGTTGCTTCCCCCCGGCCAGAAAATAGAGTGTCATGCCACAGTTCCTATGCACGCGGAATGCTATGTGACAAGTCGCACCTTCGTCACAGCAAATCCACACAAGGACGATCTGCAGGTGTGGATGTGCCGGTAGAAATTCACTTACAGACCGCTTGTGCAATGATGCTTTGCTCAAGCGAAGCAATCCCCCCCCCCGCGACATTGGGGCCGTGTCATTCCCCGTTCCGCTTCGAATCAGCCAACCGACACTGCAAGCATGATGGAAGCAACATAGCTTGCCAAATAGACCATGCCACGAGGGAAAAGGGAGCCTCGCGCGGACAGCGGCAGGCAGTACGGTACGGTCGAATCCACAATTATGCTAGGTACATGTTTGTGACACCCAGAGGGAACAAAGATTTGAAGGAAGCCTATCTGAAAGCCGGCCGTGAGCTGCCTGCGGGCGGCGCGCGGGCAGTCTGATCATTTCCACTTATCAGGCGTAGGGAGGATCGAGATTTGAGAAGAACAGTCAAGGCCCCAGCTGCCTAAAGTGAGTGAAGTGATCGATTGCGGCAGAGCGGCTGCTCCTGAGTGGATGGTCGGATTGTTTGCTGCTGCTCGAGCCTTGTCAGGGTGCAGCTATATAGACCATTCAATTCCAATTGACAGTCAAAACGCCTGTGACACTCCGCCCATTGTGCTCACAGACTCTGTATCATACTGCACATACCTCTTTCGGCTTTCTTTTCTCGTCCGAGTTTCTCACCGCCATCGCAGCCATGCCACCCGTTGGACCACGAGCGCCCAAGGAAGAATTCATGCGCGCTTTGAACCTCAGCACCACTGACCCGCACCACGAAGGTTACTACCGAGCCATGAGAGTAGGTGATGAGCCTTGAGGACCAAACTACTCATTCGGCTGACGCGAGGCTTAGGACGAAGCCATCACGGTGTACAACAGACTACAGGCAGACCGTAGCAACCTTCTGGATCCTCAGCAGCAGAACCGGAGCGTTCAACCACCCTTCTTCTGGCATCACATCAGACCTGATCGTCGTCGGGAAGCCATCATCGAGACATGGCAGCAGGCCAGACCAGGCACAGTACAGCGAAGACTGTTTGACCATGGTTCAACCGATGGCGAACACTCTCCGAACTGGGTGACCCTCTGGCTGCTTTACAGCGTCTTCCGTTCCAGAGATGTGCGCAACAACCGCAATCGTCGGGCTGGAGATAGCGGCAGTGGTGGCGCAGGTACGTTTGATCTGTATGTGTCTGAAGCGTCGAGTTGCTGACATCGATCAAGGACACAGTGGCGGTGGTGGGGAGGCTAAAGTGTATGATCCTGCCAGAAACGCATATCGGCCAAGATGATGGCGAGCTCGCAGCCTGTTGAGGCTGGTCTGGATCGGGTCCCCGGCGCGGTGCGACTTTGATTGTTACCGTTCGACATGTGACAGCAGTACACTTAATCATCTTCATCATCCTCTTCGCCTTCTTTGCTCTTGTTCTTGGTTCCGTTGTTGTTCTTTCGCTCGTCACGCAGAGCCTTTGTAACCTTTTCGTCTCCGCCTTCATCTTGGGTTTCGTTCCAATCCACATCGTACTCGGAAGCCACAGCCTTGATCTCTCTTCGCATGGCATTGGCTTCTTCGAGATATCCCTCCCAATCCTGCAGGCTGAATCCTTTGGCCTGGTATAGCTTATTCTGGCGTGCACTCACGGTAATATTGAGAGCTGAACGGTAGGAGACTTCCCGATTGTGCCATAGAAACCACATGTAGCCTCCAATTAAGGTCGACAACCCCACCAAGTACTGCAGACGTTAGCGATCTTGGCAAGGAAAGCGAGGGGTTGGGGACGATGGCGGGACTTGGATGGACTCAAGCCAAATGGTGCATGGGGAGGGACGTACTGTGACCGGCTCCATGACATCCCATCCAAGATCAGTCTCGAACGTCAAGCGGTAGACAATATACCAATATCCAATCAAACCACCACATCCAGCGAGTGCAATTCGCTGAGCTCCCCTGTGCGCTGCCTTGTCACATTCCTCCTTGATGGCGGCCAATTTGGAGATCTTCCTGGATGTCCGGCGGAGTCGCTGTCGTAGATAATAGGTACGGTCGTTGAAGGAGGGAACAGCAACTTTGATCACTCCGGGGCTGCCTTCGATTTCAACCTCGAATTCCTTTGCGCGTGCTGCATCGCGTATGAAGTCTCCTATTTCCGTTGACGGTGACCATCGAACGAACTCTCCCTCATCTTTACCTTCGCCTTCCCGTCCGGCGCCGCTGTAGCTCTGAACGCTGCCATCACTGCCACCACCACCCTCGGTATCTGCCTTTTTCCTCGGCTTGATCTCATCGTCTTTCGCTTCCATCGCTCGAAAGGTCACGCTTCTTGTTGTGCTCTTGGAATCTTGAGGATCTGGAGGTGGCAGCTCGGCCTGGATTAATCGCTCTAGATAGGAGAGCGGTTGTTGGGGGTGTACCAAGAGCGCAAGAGGAGCCACATCTTTCCGATCCGTGTTGTGGTCGACGGTGGACAAAGGAAGCACAAGTTTCAGAAGTCTCGAGGGTGTCGTCAACAGCTTGCCTGTGAAGGTGAGCCAACATTGGTACGAGGGCGGCCCGCGATATATGGCCTACCTTTAGTCATGGCGCCGGCCGAGCGCTGGCGGCGCACTGGTGGCTGGTCAACACCTTCACGATGCCAGGGACGCTCTTGCTGTCGCTTCTTATGATGTTCAACTTCGGCATCGGGTTCTGAGAGCTCGTCTGCGTTCGCTTTCTCGTGTAAGCTACGCGCTCGGGCCTCGGACGTTATATGCCTGCGGTCTTGCGGAACACGACACGGTATGGAAGGACGCTGTGGATATGCATAGGGTTTGACCGTAAGAGATCGTGCGTTTTGCCCAAGTGACAAATGCAACAAACGCGAAGATCGGGACGGCACGCCAGTAAATAACGCGCACTTGAGGGAGGCAGCCATCGCGAAGTGCGTCAGCTACGGACAAAGAAGCTGGAATTCAGTGAGACGACGCCCTCCGCCTGCGAGGTACTCATGACACGGATGCTAGGATGGGGAGGGCCGTCCATAGACTAGTACTACTACCGTTGTGATGCGTTAATTAGGGGCTTGCTGCGCCTTCTACCATCGGCTCGTGACGACTTCCCAGGTTTCTACTGCTCCGCGTACTTTCCTCATACGTCATTTCGAGCCTCAACACTGGTGGAGTCCATCTTCCTCCGCCCGCACCAATCAAAGAAACTTGGCGACCAGCCGTCATCATGGTCACCCGAGGGAACAAGAAAGTCGATGAGCTACGGAGCAGACATGTACAATCAAGGAATCAAATTAGGCCTCGTTCCGAAGGGCCCTCTACATGAAATATTTGGATCTGTTCATATCATCCAATGCTTGTTCGTTCCTGACACACCCAAAGTCGATGGTTCGTAGTCTTGAAAAATCAGCGGTAATGCGGAGTGTGAATCGCTTGCTAAATTTGACACTGTACAGTTGCCTGTGGACCGCTCGTCTAGCAGATTTTGGGAAAGAAGAATGGGAAACAACCGGCCGTGAACATGCTCTCGAGTCATCAGTCATTCGTGTCGTTGCGTGATAGTCGTCAAATCGTCTGAGATGCACCACGGTTTACCTCATGTTTCGTCGTGGTGAGGATTCGGTCAATACCGACGTTGGTGGTGTCGGTTGTAGTTCGTGCTGTGCCGAGAAGAGGTACTTTCGACGCTGCTGCCACTGTAGCGGGCAGAGCGAACCGATGGGGGCGCTGGCCGGCGGGTACCGAAGTCGGGGCTGCTTCCTCCGCTTCGACTTCCCACACTATCACTAGCGTAGTGATATGCACCGCCTTCCAACGAAGAATTGCTGTCTCGGTTGTTGTGCCTTCCAGAGCCGACGGGAACAGGATTGCCTTGAATGACTCCGTCATGGGCAAAGCCGGTAGGGTACATGCCATCATTGGCAGAGAAGCTCCGGCAAATGTTGAACGCTATCAACGCTGCGGCCTCTCTTGCTGTCTCCTGAGAGGATTGGACGTGAGGGGTCTGGTATTCTCGGTTGTTGACCCTCACGATGCATCGGTATCCACCGCTGCTGCTGGGAGATACCGAATACTTGGGCTCCGGCCAGTGACGGCGCTGGCATAGACCTGATCACATTCAATGTTAGCACCAACATATCGCTTATGGCCACAGGCATTAGGCCATAGGCAGGAACGAGTCGCGAATGGTCCAGTTCAGCAGCCGAACAACAGCTGTTCGACAAGGATAGCTTTGAAAATGAGGCTCAAATGCAAGGCGGAAGTAAGCCACCAAGGAGACATACTGGACAGGTAGTGACAATGCAGCATTTTGGATATTGCCGCCCAAAGGGATGATACAACAAAGCCAGACTTGGTCGAATCTCACTGGCCGAGGGCTGACACCTTCAACACCAAGCCAGAAATCAGACAAATTTCCTGTGCTGTGTGAAGCGTTTCTTTCAGAGATTCCGACACTCCAAACACCACATGGTATTACTTTCATATAAATTGCAACGTGGACATTGAGTTAGTGCTTGGGAGCGCGAGCTTCCATCATGTGTGCTCGACCAATATATGACACGCCATTTGTTGTGCGGGCCTTTGACCACCTGCACTGACAGCACAGCAAAGTGGAATAAGCGGCAGCTGCGTGGGGCAGGCCCAGAATTTCCACTGTGGCCAAAAAGCGTCTCTCATGGCGCAAGACATTGGCTGGTCGTCTGCAGAGCAGGAAAGACTTGTTTTTCGGGACGTGTTAACACGGTTGCTGCGCTGGCAGCAATTTTCACCAGTGCTGCAGGCTTGACGTTCGGCCGCTGGAGCTGCGCCTATCAAGACCAATGCCGATGTAGATCCAGACCTCAAAGCTGATTCGTGAGGGTCCAGAAAACATGCCGATGACCCATGGAGGCCCATGTTTCTCTGCTGCACATCATCAGTCGTAAAAGCATGTTCAAGCAAGAGGGGCTTGACCGGTCCTGCGACCTTTTCGCAGAGACACGTTCGTTGCAGCATGTCATTGTTGTTCTCGAAGCCCGTTCCAAACTGCCCTCATGCATACCAGGGTGGGGCAGTGCGCTGGCTACGCACGCGGAGGCCGAGCTTTTCTCCCAGGAAGCTCGAGCACAGCTCAACTAGGAGCGCCCCGGGAACGATGACTTTGGATTCCGAAACATACAATCTCAACATGCGCACGGCTAGCGAAATCTCTCACTTGCGGCGGCCGATGCCCGTGACAGAGTTCTGGGACCTGAAAATTTGAACATTCTGCTACACCTCCGACGGGCAGCAAGCTTCGTAGCTCTGGACCGCAATTGCCCTCAAGCGAGGTGGAGACTGGCCTTTGAGGGAGTCTTATGCAGGAATGTGTTGTCAAGTCCAATGGTACGCCGATTCGCGAGGAGGGAGTATCGGCGGAATAAAGGCCCAGGTTGGACAAGGACCATGCTCCAAGCGCCGTACTTGTAGGCACACGGGCGAATCTGGCTGTAGCAGCATGGGAATCGTAGTCTTTGTTGTGTTGGCTGCCCAATACCCTATATAGTTGTCTCCAGTATATATGTGCCACTGGTACCGTGACCTCGTCGCAGTGCAGGATGGCCGACTTCATCACACAGTACGCTCGATCACAGGTGACAAGAGCGGGGACCGGAGGGACGACAGTCGCGGTTCCTGGTGGGTGAGGGGCGCGCAGCAAGGCGATTACTCGTGAAAGCTCGGGGGCCACGGTGCTCTGCACTTTAGAGTGCTTAAGCGTGCAGGTAAGCCCACATCTTATGCAGCTACAACTGGCACTTGCAAAGTTGGCGAAGCTCTCTCCTCGGCATCACGCCCCATCGAACGGTCGTTTGAATGAGATGCTGAGCAACAGAAAAACAATCCGCCAACCACGAACACGAATGAGTACGTTATTGATGCAGGATGGTGAAGACTTGCTCAACGCCGTGTCTTCAGACACCGATGTGGAGCCTTCTACATCTTTCATCGCCTTGGTGGTGCCGCACGCCATCGTGCCTGTCGATCCTCAGACATCTCAACAATGTGTCTTTGCGGTAGTGAGTACTACTCCTCCTGCTGGATCCCAACATCCACCGCGGCAGAATACTACCAGGGTTGCTGCCCACTCCACTGGCGTAGCCCTTCTACGGAATGATGAGGAATGGCAAAAACCGGGTGCATCGGCTTCACGTCCGTACCGTCGTCGAAAGCCGCTGGATTGGACTCGGAGTGGCTGGTACGCTTTTCGGCCACCCTCCACGAAAATGCGCTGTCAAATTGACTGATCTCGTCCGACGCCTGGTAATAGTGGAAGTGCTTGGTTGTGCTAAGACCAGACAGTGTGTAACAAGTATGGTAAGAATCCGGTCGCCTATGCGGGTTAGCGATGATTGACCGGCATCATCACGCAGTCTTACTTTGAAGGCTTGTCTCTCAATCCGCCTGGAGTAGCTTGGCAGCAGCATATGATGTAGCGTGCGAGGCCCTCGGAGCTATACAGATCGCCTGCTCCTGGATTCACGCCGTGACCATCGTTTGAAGAACTTCCACTGAGTGCCGCTTGAACTAAGGGCCAGCAGTTACCGAGCCAGTGACTGTAGCATCCATCAACAAGCTTGTTCGTCCGACCTGCAAGACCTCCTTCAGGTGCGTACTGACGGGAGGACATCCAGTAAATCAGAGCATCCAGATCTAGATAACGTCTCAAAGTCTTGTCCGGCGGTCCTAGAAGGCAAAGGCAGCCGAGAGCGCAAAAGACATAGGCACCGTGTGCCTCGTTACCAGGAGTCCCGGAAATTCCGCCCTCGTACGTCTGACATCGGGAAATGTATGTTCCCAGTCTGTCATTGAATGTCTTGAGCCCGGCGTCTCGAGCGGGGGAGTCGGGTGGAAGTTCGATTGGTAGCGACAGCAGGGATATGACAATCAGGGCGCAATATGCGCCTCTCGTATCTTTCTCGCCTCCCTCAGAGATCTGGAAAGCCCCATCCGCTTGCTTCAATCGGCCAAGCCAATGCCACATCGCTCGGCGGTCAATCATTCGATATGCGCTCTCGCCGCCGGCAAGAGCTATGCTCAACAGGGCACCGTACGTAGTAGCGAGGTGTGAATCGTGGCCATGGCCACCTCCAAACCCACCACTCCTATTCTGCAGGGGATAGAATGTTGACATCACCCTAAGTAGTCAGTATGGTGTGAGGAGCCCAATCCGCCACATGATGCGCACTGCTCATGGGCACGTACTCACCTCTCCCGCATAGGCATGACATCTTCACCCAAGAAATACAAAGCCATCAGGCCCCAGTAAACGAGCCATGGCCGGCTAGCATCCAATCCGACATAGGGGGCTGGGAACACAGACAGGTTCTCGTGCAGAAAATCAATATGGTCCTCTTTCCGCAGCTCAGGTAGGCCAAACTCATTGAAGTCAAAGGGGCTGCGAGTTGGGTCGCCGGCCGCGCGAAGCAATGGTAAGCACTCCTCTAAGGTCTTCTGCTGTGCTTCTGAGGTTTGAGTCGTCAATTCATCCTGCAGTGGTGGAGGTGTCAGGAAATGATGTGGCACAAGCGCAGGGAAATCGTCAACCGCAGCCATGGAGATTTGAGAACTTTGTCTAGGCGTCGAGTCTGGGGAAGACGGCCTGGGACTCTGACGTGGAGATCGAGGAAACTTCCTGACCATGCGAGCACGTGCCTGGTATCGACGCATGGGTCAGGTCACTGCACTAGTCAACTTGTTGACTGTGACGGTCGGCACCACTTTCCCTTGGACGCTGGCTAAGTGCTGTAGCCACCGCGCACGAATCCCTTAAGCATACCTAGTTCGTACTCTTCTTACGATGCGCGGCTCTGGCGAAGCTACCCAGCAAAATAGATAGAAGGGCTTTGATGGTAAAGCTGATTGATATTTCCTTGGTAGGTGTTTTCGGGCAACCAGACAATGACATCATCTCAGACACCGGTATGGACTGACCTGGCACCTCGACATATATACTGCTAAGCATTGAGCATCTTGGACATACATTAACGAGACTTGATACTTTAGGTTCCGTTGTACGTTGAGAGTCTCAAAAGGAAAATGTCTATAACGTAGAAGCTGGTGACAATGTTCTCTCTAGCCCGATAATAGAGCGATCAGAATTACTGCAACCTCATTCTTCGTTGAGAGACTGACTAACAACCCACGCAACACTTCGCCGTCTCGTCATAGGTACAAGACCTGAAAGTAAGGGACGGGACATAGCGGTGACGGTGGCACCAAAGAAGACGGTGAGCGATCTAAACTTCCGGCATTTCACAGAACGGTCACTGCAAGTGACAGCGGGAAGCTCAGGGGAACGTCTTCGAACGTCGATGACAGCGTTGCTCCCTTGGAAGAGCGCATTTCGTGCTTTGAGAAAGCGAGACGAACGGGGAAGCATCCTCACCGCCTATCGACCTGATACACGCCATGTCAAATTTTGAGTGCGCACTCGGGCGCGGCGCACACCGGCGAACTTAGGCTCGTTGGGCTGTTTGACTCTTGCATTCATTGTCAAGCATTATCTTCAGGGTACACAACACATTGTTCATGGATGCTGTAGATATGTTGTAGACAACAACGAAAGTAAGAAGCGACGGAAGGCGTCGCCGACCTAAGGATGAGTGGGCCAGCGCACGAGCCATGGGATCCAATGACTTGCATGAGGCCAGCAGCGCAGGGGCCATGTCTAGCCAATGACTCGCCATGCATTGTCTCAGCTGGTGGAACAGTAGAACGGTGAGGCAGCTCGGTCATGCAGGAGTCTGGCACGACAATTTGCTGGTCAGAGGGCCGTCGTCTCACCCAGCTGCAGCTTCTGCACTACCGTGGGCGACGGGCCCTGTGAGTCCGTGAGCCCGTGCGCCGCAAATTGGAACACCCAAGATGCCATCACAAACCCCAGGGGTAGGTCTGTCTAGGACAACGCGTGCAACGGCATGATCGCTGCCCGGGGACATGGCTCTTTCAGACAGTTCCTTGCGACGAATTGTAAGCCCTGGTCTTGTCAGTGGTGGCGCAAGCTGGACCGAAATGGCCGAGCGTAAGCAGGCAGTCAAGGCCCCTTGTACCCACGTTCAGAGGCCGTTCCGGTGCTCGTAGGCAACGTGCTCTTGAAATAGTATGACACCGTCTAGTTAATCTCAAGGGTTGGGACCCGTCGAGCAGCCGAGTCCTTGCTTGAGGGGGACATGTTTGCATAGCGGCTTCGAAGGTGGGGGAATACTATTACGATTCGCGATAGGCTTTGTGTGCAGTAGCATTGCGGCTAGTCGGCTCTCAACCCAATCAAGGTATCTGTCTGACAAACAAGCACCCGGCCAGCACGGCGGCTGGGCGAAGTGCGGCAAATCGCCAGCGAGCATTCTGCACCGCTTCCCTGCCCGCTCCCACCGACTCGTAAAGCCCAGACCGTGGGTGGCAGGACTGGCCCAGAGTCAGCCAAAAGTCCCCGCCTTCGTGGGTGCGGCTTTACCGCCGATCCTGCACCTCGCTGCACCACTTCACCGCTCTTTTCCCTCATCTCCAGACAATGCCACTCCTGCTGTGCTGCCCTTCTGTCGGTCTCTCCTCCTCCATCCAGCTTCTCAGCCCAATCTAACAGCTGAGAAGTTGTTCTTGTCACCACGCCAGAATCTTTCGCAGAAGCACATACTTGTCTAGAGGCTCGTGCTGACGGCCTTATCCATCCAACACTATGGCCGGCATTGGCCTAACGCATGATGATCTCTCCTACGATTTCGACTCGAGAAACCCTCAGTACCTTCGAAGCGATGCATGGCAGGTCCCAATGAATCAGGTACATACGCAGTCAGACCCACGCCGTGCCGTTGCTCCAATCCAGACAACACAGAACCATGGCCTGCGACAGACGCCTACCGCCGAACACCCGATGATGGAAAGCTGGCGATACGGCCAGCAGCAACAAGCCCAGTCTCAGCAACATCACCAACAACATGCCATCCAGACCCAGTCACAACAGCACCAACACACCTCGCATCAGATCGATTACACCTCATCACCACCCTATGACATTCCCTATAGCAATGTCTACACCTCGTTGCCAATGGGTCATCCCCAACTTGCCATGGTACCTGTGTCCCAATCTCAGATGATACCAGTCGACCAAAACTACTTGACCATGGACGGCGGTATTGAAGGCATGCCACAAAATTGGGCTGAATTCCATAGCGAATTGATCCACTACTCGACCACTGATGTTGGCTTGGCCGTCTCGCCATACCACCAGCAGACCAACTCGCCGACTGGTTCCCACCTCGAGGTCCTGTCGCAACCGAGCTCGAGTGACGAGGCAGGATGGACAATGGTCGAGGCAAGGCACTCTTTCGACTTCAACGAACCCCACTACTTCGTTGACCCCAATCAAACCGTGCACAACAGGACTCTATCTGAATCGTCGTACTCGGACCTAGACCAGCAATGCGGTACCTTCATGTCCAACCTCGACATGGGCCCTGCCCAAGCGGTCTATTCCCCGACTACCCTGTCAGACAGCGATTATGAATATACCCACCATGTACATCGTCTGTCCGTCGATCACGGCAACAACCAGGTTATGTCTATCAATCCCTCTGCGATGGTCCAGCCGATTGCGATACCTTCCGCCGAGTCTTCGTCTCCCATTAGGTCCCCTGGCTCGCAAGGATCCGCCGGCTCTCCTGGTAGGAAGGTTCAGCGGAAAAGCCTCATCGCTGCCAAGGGCACAGACAAAGTGACAAAGAGATCCTCCACCGGTGGCAAGCCTGATACCGAGAAGCGCGTTGGTCGCAGAAAGGGACCTCTTCGCCCGGAGCAACGGAAACAGGCCAGTGAAATCCGGAAGCTCCGAGCATGTCTTCGATGCAAATTCCTCAAGAAGACCTGTGACAAGGGTGAGCCTTGTGCCGGCTGCCGACCGTCGCACGCTCGTCTTTGGCAAGTGCCCTGTACCCGTATCGATATCAAAGAGATTGGATACTTTCTCAAGGACTGGAAATTTGACTACGAGCGACACATTTCTCTTGGCTTCTCCGTTGGCAACATCAAGGGGTTCTCGGATACCGAGACGACATTGTGGGTCACTCATGGCTATGGCCACTTGCTCCCTGTTACTGCTCGCGAAGTGTATGTTCGCGATGAGAACTGCCTGAAGATGGATTGGATGGAGGCCAACCGTGACCCCAGTGGCTATGAAATCTCTACTGCGAAATTGTCGGCCGGCATGGAAGGCATCTCGACTACCATGCTGTCAGACTACCTGGATCGCCACATCGACGGGACCGGAACATTCGAGAACTTTGTTGACGACTACTTCGAGGGCACACCCTTCTTATCGCAGATGCTGAAGACAGCGTACCGCTTCTACTTCCGCACCGGATCCAAGATCATCAAAAAGGCACTGAAGCTTATGCTTGCATACAATCTGACACTCCACATCACCATGGTGGAGGGTGTTCCCGACGAAGAAGGTCTCATTGGCAAAATCGAGGAAGAGACATCGAGATTCTATGGCAAGACCATGGCTCCCGTCATGATCAATTTCCAGATCAAGTGTGCCATGGCCGACATGTGGCGCGAGCTGCATAAAGACGTCCTCGAAGAGCTGTCGTCGCTTTACTCGAGCGTCTACAGTGGCGACAAGCTGAAGAATTGGCCAACAATCTTCATCCTGGCTTCGGTCCTACTCGCGGTCTGGGAGTGCATGCAGTTTGATTGCCACTACCGTGTGCCCGACAACTCGGCAGTGGAGAAATTCTGTAATGACATGGAGACGACCCCAGTCGGCGTCATCATTGGACTCTTCCAGGCCATCTCTCAGAAGCTTCCTGCCCTGATTGACTGGGACACTTCCAAGCATCACACTCTGCTTGGTTCCAACAACGACGTTTGCAACACCATGAGTGAAGTGCGCGAGCATGTTGGCCGATATGGTACGTTGATCTTGTTTCTGACCCCTCACAATGCTAACGAATAAACAGAAGCCTACCTGCGCGGTCGTCAAGATGCCAAATTCGACCGAAAAGATTTTGACTCTCTTTCCAACAAATTTCTCTCACGACTCGTCATTCGGGCGCAATAAGCACTGCGCCCTTGCCTTCGCACAAAGCGAATAGGCCATCCACGATTCAACGGCCATCGTTATATGATTATGAGATACCATGCCCCTGATTTATGATCGAATCCAGACTAGAACGACGAATGGACTACGACCTTATGCAGCGACGAGCGCATCACTCCTCTGTTTTCGACAAATAAGTTTGATTTATATGGCAGCGATTTTTACTATGTTTTAGCGAGCATCTGGAAGCATACTCACGAGCTCTGCAATGGGTGGGATCTCGGTGGCAGGGGTGGGAAATAAGGGGCGTGGGAAAGCTAGGGTCGAAGATCCTGGGTCGGTCTGTATCAGACACGACCTCGAAGTGGCATCAGGTGGAGTTGGAAAGAAGCATGCGAAAGCGTTGGATCTTGTCTACCTACATATTGCAACGCTTGTTGAGTGGCTGAACCACGTCGGGCAAGCAATTGAGCTCGTTCAACTCTGTTCAAGATTACCAGAGTTCGAATTCAATGTCACTAGAATCTACTTCTCAACTCTTTACTTCCACCGCAGTTTCCAGGATGCTTTGTTCACTGGCATTGGAAGAGTTACCCACTGCTCTGCCCTGCTGTACGAGTTGCCTCACTCCAGCCTGTAACACTATCGTAATCTTGGCAGTCACCGCTTTCCCGTTAAGCCAACTTCCTTCTTTTTGCAACAAAGGCCTTGACATTACTGTGTCCAACCTTTCGATTCTTCCTCTACTGACTGTATCATAGTCTGGGCCCACTCATCTACGTGGAGCTTGTTACCAGATCAAAAACATCTTGACGTCCTCAAACCTCATTGTTACCAAACAGCGGCACTTTTGCTAGTCAAAGGCAATCACAACTTCAGACATTCTGCTTCTGCTTAAGGGCTCCAGTGGTCACCTCACAATTCTTTCACACAGCTGTCACCCATCACCTCTTGCATCAAAGGCTGTGTGTCATGCGCCTGACTTAGATATATTTACTAAAACCACTCTTTCACTCGGCAACTCCGCTTTGAGCACGCTTTATTATTTCTGCGTCCAACCCCACGGAAACGTTAGTTGACTAGCACTTCTGTTCAGCCACCACTACGAAGCGTCGCAATACTGTGCGCCCGAGTTTACTTTTCGCCTTATCGACTTGCCAAATACAATCGTCTGCCATGCCTTCTGCAAGTGAAGAGACCCCTAAGCAGGAGCCCCGACTCCTCGTTGTCGCTAATCGACTGCCTGTCACGGTCAAGAAAGGAGCGGACGGCAAATATGAGTACTCAATGTCCTCGGGAGGCTTGGTCTCCGCCTTCAGCGGGCTTGCAACATCCATGAGCTTCTTATGGTACGGCACTCCCGGTATGGAGATTCCCGAAGAGGATGTTGAAGAGGTCACCAATGCGGTCAGGGAGCAGGACAACAACTTCGAATGCATACCCATCTTCATGTCCAACGAAATCTCCGACAAGCACTACAATGGCTTCTCGAACTCTATCATGTGGCCCCTGTTCCACTACCATCCCGGTGAGATCACCTTCGATGAGGATGCCTGGGAAGCCTACACCGAAGCCAACCGGATCTTCGCCAAGCAGATTGTCGGTCAAGTCCAGGATGGCGACCTCATCTGGGTACAGGACTATCATCTGATGCTTCTGCCACAGATGTTGCGTGAAGAGATTGGAACCACAAGGTCTAACGTCAAAATCGGCTTCTTCCTGCACACCCCTTTCCCCTCAAGTGAGATCTACCGGATCTTGCCCGTCCGGAACGAAATTCTCCTGGGCATTCTGCACTGCGACTTGATCGGCTTTCACACCTACGACTACGCCAGGCACTTCCTCAGTAGCTGTTCACGCATTCTCAACCTCACCACCACTCCAAATGGTGTCGAATTCAACGGCCGCGTCGTTAGTGTCGGCGCCTTCCCAATCGGTATCGAGCCTCAAAAGTTCCGTCAGGCGCTGCAAAAAGAGAATGTCAAGAAACGCATCGCTGCTCTAGAGGACAAATTCAGAGGAGTCAAGCTGATTGTGGGCGTCGACCGGCTAGACTACATCAAGGGCGTACCGCAAAAGCTGCATGCTCTTGAAGTCTTTTTGACGGATCATCCTGAATGGGTCGGTAAGGTTGTCCTAGTGCAGGTTGCCGTCCCGAGTCGGCAAGATGTCGAGGAGTACCAGAACCTGCGAGCCGTCGTTAATGAGCTTGTTGGCCGCATCAACGGCAAATTTGGCACCATCGAGTTCATGCCTATACACTTCATGCACAAGTCAGTCAACTTTGACGAGCTTGTCGCCTTATATGCTGTGTCTGATGTCTGTCTTGTCACCTCAACCCGAGATGGCATGAACTTGGTTTCATTTGAATACATCGCCACTCAAGAGAAGCGTCATGGCGTCTTGGTGCTCTCCGAATTTGCTGGAGCTTCTCAATCACTCAACGGTAGTGTGTCGGTCAATCCTTGGAATACTGACGAGCTTGCCAATGCCCTTCAAGACGCCGTTACTATGAGTTCCGAAGTTCGCAGTGCCAACTTCGCGAAGCTCAGCAAGTATGTCAACAAGTACACTAGGTAAGCTTCCTCTTCTGAAAGCTCGATATCTCTCGACTAACCCCGTCCAGTGCCTTCTGGGGTACATCTTTCGTCGAGGAGATGAAGCGTATATCGGCCCATGGCGAGAAGAAACTCAAGCTCCGTCGTGCTTCCCTTGCGCGAGCGCCGAATACTGAAGGACATGAGGCCCCCCAACCGGAAATGAACGGCGAGGCCAAAGACGTACAGATTGATGGCCAGGCTTGAAAGGTTGCCGCGAGCTAGACCAGATGCTCGACATATGTACGACATTTACGTCGCCGACATTGGTTTTTGAGAGCCTTGCAAGGCGTTCTCTGAACTTCTGTGCTTCCCCAGCGCGCATTTGCAGAAGCACGGCATGATGGTATGAGAGCACGAAAGCGTTACGCAGGCTGTTGCGGAGTCAGGAGTCCTGGGGATAAGACAATAGATAGAACTATGGGCATAAATTAACGAGCCTCAAAGGCCGTCGGCCTCCCATTCTATTGTGTTTGTACAGTTTCTCTCTATGCATCAATCTCCAGTCTTGCCTCCATCCACCAGGTTCGGCGCCAGCCCTTAACTAGCGGCACTCGTGCCACGGACTGGCACGTAATTTTCACAAAATCCCACAACCAGCCCGAAATCGATCATCTCGCGCGCGCTCTCTCTCTCTCTACACAATCGCTTCTTGCAGCGTCGTCGTCGTTCCGTGCCTCAATACACCCTCTCGAACCTGCACACCCTCCACAATACTCTTCTTCTTCATCGTCTCCTTCCCCGCCACCGCCGCCGCCCGCTCCGCCATCCTCTCCCTCAACCCCACCCCAAACGGCGTCACCACCTGCCTCACCACATACCGCACCCTCACCCGCTTACTCGGCTTCCCATCCCCCTCTCGCCTCCTGCCCTGCAAACGCTTCCCCTCCGCCAGCCTCGCCCACCTCTTCGCCTCCAGCTCCGTCTTGACGGCGTCGCGCTCCGCGGCTTCGCCGGGCGTGAAGGCGCTGTAACGGATGATGTCACCGACGCGCAGCAGCGAGTACGGGTCGTGCACGAGGTCGTGCGTCTGCGTGAGGAAGGATTTGCGGAGGTGGCGTGAGGGGAGGGAAATCGTGCGCGTGGCGTGCGCGGTCGAAGCGTGGAGGGAGGTGACGGTGGCGGTGAGAAAGGGGCCTGGCGTTGTGGAGGGGTTGGGGGCGCGGGAGAGGAGGTCGGCGGCGGAGAGGGGTTGAGGAGGGGAGGATTGGGTGGGTGCAGGTGCAGGTGTTGGTGCTGGTGTGGTTGCTGGATTTGTGGGGGACTGAGAGGTGTTGTGTTCGCGGACGGCGCGAGTCGTGGTGAAGGAGCGGATGTTTTGGCTCGCTGATGGTTTGGTAGGCTGCGATATGCATGGCGTTGACGAAGGTCGCTTGGAAAAGGTGGTGGTGGTGCTCTGGTTGAGCGGCCGGGAGACCTGCGCGCAGGCGCGGCAGATTGAGGTAAAAGTGGTTTTGGACCTCATGGTCATTGTTTTCAAGTTACTGTGGACTTGATGTTGAAAGCGATATGCTTGCAATGAAAGAAGTGTACTTTTTAGGGAGCAGAGAATTGGTACAATCTGGAGCTTGATGTCCTGGAAATTCGAGTCGCGTGCGAGGCTGCAGAACAGCCTCGTGGTTGCGGGCGGATGGCCTCATCGATTAGAGCAACGACAATGAGGGCGAAGCAAGCTTTTAGTAATGCTATCTAGCCTGAATCATCTCTACCGATGTGACCTTGATATGTCTCACAGCACCCCCGGGAATCCTCCCGGTCACTGTCGACGCCGTTACTCCGATGCTAGATCAGTGAAGCTGAATCTAAGACGCCCAGACATCTTTGCCAACACCCTCAATCCAATGACCCAAGTCATTGACATTGCTATCCCACTCCTTCAACCGCACTCTCATACCTTCAATCTGGCTCCGCTCGAGAACCTTGGGTTGGACCCAGTTGATCTTCGCGATCCCAGCTACCTGATCAATCTTTCCTCGCAGCAGACCGAGACTCAGAGCTTTCATGATGAGATGCTCAATCTCATCTGGCTTGACCTGAGTCTCACGACTGATGGTGTCGAAGGTCATGGCTCGATCGTGAGGTGGTCTTTTGAAGACCAGCTCTGTCAACGCAGCCAGAGAGATCTTCTGGTAGAGGAACTGCTTGTGCGAGGCAAGCTGTTCGTCTTTACCAAGATTATTTGACAAGCGGTCAAATGTAGCCAGGTCTCCTCGGTTGAAGGCGAAAAGCAGGTCTCTTAGCCATGACTGAGAATGAGGGGCTTTGAGAGCATCTAGAATTGGATGCAGCAGCAGCTCGCCGAAGTTGTAGATCTCATTCGACACCAGAGCTGCTATCGAGAGGTTATAGGCCCGGTGCTGCTGCTGTTCAGAGTTTAGGTCGGAATCGGATATACAAGCGAGATAGAGGAGTGAGTTGCGATAGTAGGAAGTGTAGTCGCCCTTGGTAGAGAAGTAGTCGGCGTTGACACGGTAGAAAGAGGCATGAACAACGTTTTCCACAAAGTCGAATTTGTCAAGCGTCTTCTGTGCTTGATCTAGTTGATCTCGAGCCTTGACTGCTTCATCCAATCTCAGGTAGACGCTTGCTAGCTCTGTGGTAGCATAAACGTGGGCTTCTTCGGACTCTGGCGTGTCCACGCGCTTCGCAAGGGCTTCGAGAAATTCTCTTCGCTCGTCGTCATCTGGAAATATTAGTCTGTCTGAACCAGTGGATGGAGAGACGACCTACTCTGGCATTGTTCAGAGGCAACCAGAGCCAATTTGACCAACTTCAACTGGTTGATCTTGTCCGCGAAACTGATGATGAAGGTGTTGTAGATTGGCAATTGCTGTGATTTGCTTTCGGGCGTAGAATAAAATTCCAGTAATTGATCTGTAAGCTGATGCCATAGTTTGCGCTCCCATAGGTCCTCAAACGTTAGGAATAGATGCTGAATGTCTGCGGGAGCCTCATCTCGCTGCTCGGCGAGGAAATTGGAGATCGTTTCCGGATCTACAGCTTTCGACATGATGACGGAGTAGAGTTATCGGAAGGGAGGAGACGGATTGACCAGATCGAACGAAGAGTTGTGGAAGGACTGGAGTGGCCGTCGACCATGCGCAGGCAAACCAAAGAACGCGACTGAGGCTCCGCCGTTCCTGCAGGAATGCCAAGCCCGCATCTCAGAGCTTCCCCCAAATGACATCGAGTCTCGACCGACGTTGTTCCTACTTGCCGCAGCTCTTACATGGTCTGATTTTACGTTCACTACCGACCTACCGAGGCGCCTGTGGGTGCTGCCACCATCATGCACACTGGTCAAGCGACGATGTGCGCTGTGCGCACCGCCCGCACATCCCTCAAGCCCCATGTCCAGCGCCGAAACCTCCAAGATATAGCTATCAGCCGGACGGGCAAACCCATCATAAGAGTGCAGGGCGGTAGATCGGCACTCGGAGGAAACACAGCGACAGTCTTCGGAGCTACAGGTTTCTTGGGACGCTATATTGTCAACAGATTGGCGAGGGTAGGATGTCAGGTTGTGATCCCTTACCGTGAGGAGATGGGCAAGCGGCACCTTAAAGTCATGGGAGACCTAGGACGTGTTACCTTCATTGAATACGATCTCAGAAACACTGCTTCAATCGAAGAGAGCGTGCGCCATTCCGATATTGTCATCAATCTGGCCGGCAAGAACTACCCTACCAAGAACTTCAGCTTGCACGAAATCAATGTGGAGGGCACCGAGAGAATAGCAGAGGCTGTTGCAAAGTACGATGTAGACAGATTCATTCAGGTCTCGTCATACAATGCCAGTCTCGATTCGCCGTCAGAATTCTTCCGGTCAAAGGTAAGGTGACAACTACATCGGGAGATACAGTGCTGATCTCTCTCTAGGCTCAAGGAGAACAAGTCGCTAGGACCTTGTTTCCGGAGACTACCATCGTCCGGCCCGCTCCATGTTTTGGTTTCGAGGACCGACTCCTTCACAGACTAGCCGGTGTCACAAACTTGTTCACGGTCAACCATATGCAGGAGCGATTCTGGCCTCTCCATGTAAGAATGTTTGACCATCTGCAGATATATGCTGACTGATTAATAGGCTATTGACTTTGGTGCTGCGCTACAAAAGATCGCGTATGATGATACCACTGCCGGCGAGACCTTTGAGCTGTACGGACCATCTAACTACAGTATGTCTGAGATCGCAGCTCTGGTCGACCGCGAGATTCTTAAGGAGCGTCGGCACATCAATCTACCTAAGAACCTGCTCAAGCCAGTGGCCTACTACCTCAACCGTCTGCTCTGGTTCCCAGTCCTATCCGCAGACGAATTGGAGCAGGAGAGCCTTGATCAGGTTATCGACAAGTCAGCCAAGACGATCAAAGATCTGGGCATTGAACCTGCTGAGCTTTCCGAACTGACATATCACTATCTCCAAGACTATCGCAGCAGCAGTTTCTACGACTTGCCCCCCGCAACCGCGAAGGAGAAGCGCGAGGAAAAGAAATATCTGCATGTCATTGACGACCAGTAAGCAGAGGGCGAGCATTTCCCTGGTGGTAGATTGCAGTTAACGGCGAAGTCGACTAGAAATTGTACATAGCCAAAACCAGATTCGAGCATTATTTGAATGCTTCAGTACTTCATCGTATAGAGGAACCGGTTATCCTCAAAGTACAGACTATGACAGGTTTCTTGTAGACTCTTACGAATCATGGAACTGGGTTATTCGAGCATGCTGATTACCTGTCGCATCTAGCCACTGCCCTGATTCGCCATGCTGTAACACTACCAAGTAGCACGGATGCGGCAAATATGGCTCCGCCAGGCTGCCGTAGCATAGTTCCACCGCACTTCCGCACCAAAAATACGGCTTGACCCTTGTCCCACACCATCTCTCCGCCCTCACATTGTGTCAAAAAGCTATACAGCTCTACCAGCGAGCCAAAAAGCAATTATGTCGTCAACGACAGGGTTCGAACCTGTGCCTCCGAAGAGATATGATAACTCGAAGTATTACTGCCCTTGAGGACAGCCAATTCAAGTCATACGCCTTAAACCACTCGGCCACATTGACTTGCGTATTTAAGAGGCACGGATCGATCCCAGCATTTGCGCTGAGCCTGAAGAAAAGAATGAGATTTATGTGTCTCATTCGTTGACATTTTAGGCTTAAGTTTTGGGGTAAATTGTATATATCTCTGATGTCTTGCTGGCCGAGTGAGGGCGCCATCCAGCTACCCGATTAGGGGTCATCGGCGCTCCACACGCCTTAGAGTACTGCCAATTCTGGGGCTTTGTATGCCTCCGCAGAGCGACATTATAGGCAACTGGGAGCTGCGGCTCCGTCACTCGGTCGGAGGCATGTATCCAAATCAACGTTCCGACTGGACACCGGTTGCGCAACCTGACAAGCTATAGTCCAACTGTAACGCGACATCTGCTAGACGCACGACATGTGCCGCAGATCAAGAATGATGTGGAACAATGATGATGGCGACGGTCAGGTGTTCAGATGACTCGTCCAGGCCGATCCCCAGATCTGGCGCTATCCCAGATCCGTCTCACATAATGACTCCAACCACCAACCTCACCCTCGCAGCGATCCGAGACCTTGCCTCCGCTATCCTCCCACCTGCGGTCTTTAAGAACTACAGCTATACCTTCTACCAATCTGTCAAACCCAATAATCGACACGAACACAGCCATATCCAATCAAAGATATGAACTCGCGACCTCCAATCAGATACTACGCACCTATCCTCCGAACCCCTCGCTGATCGCCACCGATCCTATCACCCTTACTCCTCCGTCGCAGATGAGCGAGGCAGAACCAATATGGGATTTTGATTCAGCGATCAATCTCCTCAACAAATTCTCGCTGCCTAGACTCAATCTCGACGATTTGACACATCAGGTCGAGGCTAGTGGGGTTTCTCAATCCCAAGATGCAGGCGGCTTGGGCAATTTTGGCACTTTGTGGGACTTCCTTGGGAGACCACACACCGTCCAAGATGTCATAGTCCCGGAGGAATCTGAATTAGAAAAAGAGCCCAGCTATGCAGACGTCTCCGTCGATGGCCGAGCCATTCGCTGGCGAGACGAAGTTGATGGAGCTGATTTGGAGGACAACATCGAACCTCCCAAACCCACGGCTGCGAGCCTACGTACTGCAAAACGAGCCGCCAGGAGGGCAAGAGCTCGCGAGCGCGCTGAAGGTCTCTCTGTGATTCCGAACGCAGACACCGATACCGGCACAGATTATGAGAGTGCCGGAGAGGAGCTCGAGGCTCTTCGAAGATCACCCAATCGTGCTGCTGTCATCGACAGCATTCTGGGTCGCTCGAGACCTGCCTTGAATGACTCTCCACCAACGTCGCCTTCACCTCCGAAGCTCAAGGCAACTCCTCAGCGGGACTGGCCCGTTTCTAATCCGTCTCTGTGGACCGCTCCGGGCATCCCGTCACCGTCCCACACGACTGTCATCGCGCCCCAGGATGGTTACACCATTCAGGAGCGTAAGCAGAAGCTAATCGCTTTCCTCCGCAAGAAGCATCGCGAGCAGGAACGATTCCTTAAAACCTCAGGACTAATGTTGCCTGAATTTACGACGCTGAACACTTCCAGCATTGGCGTACATGTCTTCATTGACATGTCCAATATTTCGATCGGTTTTCATGATTGTTTAAAGATCGCTCGCGGCATCGACCGCGATATCCGAGTCCGACGCATCCCTATGGATTTCCACAACTTTTCCCTCGTTCTCGAGCGGGGCCGACCTGCCGCTAAGCGCGTGCTCGTGGGCTCCGACACCAATCCTGCAGTCCTGCAGGCAGAGTCTCTTGGCTACGAGACCAACATCCTCGAGCGCGTGCACAAAGCCAAGGAGCTGACACCGCGCCAGAGAAAATACGCGGCACGCTCGGGCGGTGAAACCAGTGGGTCTGAAACGAACACCGGCTTCACCCCCCGAGCTGCCGCCAAATGGGTCGAGCAGGCCGTGGACGAAATTCTACACCTGAAGATCCTCGAAAGTCTGATCGACACAGACAAGCCAAGCACGATTGTGCTCGCGACCGGCGATGCCGCCGAGGCCGAGTACAGCGGCGGGTTCTTGAAAATGGTCGAGCGAGCCCTGGCCAAGGGCTGGATGGTCGAGCTCGTGAGTTTCAAGCTCAACACTAGCTCCATGTATCTGCGACCGGATTTCAGGGCCAAATGGGGCCCGATGTTTAAGTGGATACAGCTGGATGACTATGCTGAGTATCTCATCAACGGCCAGGGTTATTGAGCAAGAGGGACGGACTGGCACCTCATGCTGCAAGCACGAAGCGTTGCAGGCGGCTTAGGCCTGCGAGTATCTATGGGCCGCCTTCGAACGTTGCATTCGCCCTCAAGAGGCAGATGCGCGGGATATACATATCCGCCGTCCAAACCACGGTTCCTGGCCACGGACAAATGTGGAAAAGCTAGCAAGCAGCCAGTTTCATCCCTTCACCAATACCACTAACAAGTAAAGAATCAATGACATCTTTCTCGTGAATAACTGAAGGACTATCATAAACGCCGTAACGGCACCATTCCTTTCTCATCATGTACAATCTCCCGCGTCACACCTACCCTGGGCCGAACATAGCCTGTTTGACTCTCAAGCCTCATAACCAGACCTCATCTAACTCATAACCATAGCCATGACCATCATCAACATCAAACCAACCCTCACGGTCAGAAAGCCCTAATTCCTTGCCCCTCCATGCCCCCTCTTCGATCCCTCGCGCAACCCCCAACCTCCAGCTTGCTTACAGCAGATACACCTCCCCACTCCCCTCCTCGAACATAATCTCATTCCTCTCGCCCATCTCCCTCAACAGCGCCCTCGTCTCCGCCCTACCAAACTCCTCCTCCTCGCCATCCCCTTCGTCATCCAACACCTCATTGACTTTGGCGCGAATGGCATCTTCGCTCGCCGCCTCATCGTCGCCGCTGAACAGGGCACTGCGCTTCAGAGGCCCCAAAATGGCGCGGAAGCGCACGAGGCGCTCGCGCGAGACCTGGCTGGCGCCAGCGCTGCCGCCGAGGCCCGGACCGCTGCTGGATTGTTGCGTCTGTGATTGCTGGGTGGAGGGCAGCTGTGATGAGGGCATGGAGGAGGCGATGCTGAGGTTCGAGAGCTGGGATTCCGCCCCTGTGGGTTTGCTGCTGCGGGATGTGGACGCTTGGTCTTCAGTGGTGGCCTCGTCATCTGAATCGGCGGCACCTTGTTGAGCCTCGTCTTCGTCGTTTTCGTCATCATCCTCGTCTTCTTCGACGACGCGTCGAGAGCTGCCGTGGGCGGTGCCATTCGCATTCGTCCTTGCAGATCGCTGGCTGCGCGTTGCAGGCTGTTCGCGGTTTGCTCTTGGAGCCGTGCCGCGGTACGCGCTATCGTTCTCGCCAGCATCGTCTCCAGCGTCGTCATCGCTGCTGCTGTCCTCGTCGCTGTTCATTTCTGCGTCGCCGTCCGCATCCGCGTGTCGTGTCTTGCGTTTCTTCCTCCTGTCCTCCTTGACGGCCACCTCTTTGAAAAGGGCAAAGCGGAGGACTTCTTCCGCCACCACTGCATCGCCCTCTTCGACTCTCGCACTCAGCCGGCTCTTGGCATGTGCAGTCGACAGACGGATAAGAGTCTCCAGTGTACGTGCCGTCATGGGACTCGTGCGCCTCTTGTTGGCATCGATGTCCTCGTTGCGTAGGTCGCTGTAAGCACTGACGATATAGTCACTCGCTTCCTTGGTCAAGATCGGCTTGCATCGACTCTTGGCGTATTGGATGTACTTCTTGATGAATGCCATGCTGATTGGGCTGACGTCCTGAGGCTGTGCTCGGCGGCCCCTACCACCTCTGCGACCCCCGGCAGGAGCACTGGCAGGTTTGAAGCCTGCATGAAGCACAGGATTGTACTTCTCGTAAACTTCAGTGCTCTTGGCTTCCTGGCCCTTCTCCTCCTCGGCTCCGATCCCGAGCGTCTGCCCACCTGTTTCGCGGATGGGTGCACCCTCCTCAAGACCAGGAGGACGGTACGAGTGCATGCGAAGAACGTGCTCACTGATGCGTCGATCGCGCGTGTCGTCGATGTCATCTGTGACGACGAACAGCAGATCGAAACGCGAAAGGAGTGAATCTGGTAGGGCGATGTTCTTGTGTGGGTCCTTGTTGCTGTCGTACTGGCCAAATATTGGGTTGGCAGCCGCCACGACGCTGCAACGAGCGTTCAGTGAGGTGTGGATGCCGGCTTTGGCGATGGTGACGGTCTGCTGCTCCATAACTTCGTGGATTGCCACGCGATCGATGTCGGACATCTTGTCGAATTCGTCAATGCAGACTACTCCACGGTCGCCCAGGACCATAGCACCGGCTTCGAGACGGCGTTCACCCGTCTCTTTATCAGAGGTCACGGCAGCGGTGAGACCGACGCCGCTGGAGCCACGGCCAGTGGTGGCGATAGCGAGTGGAGCGGTGTTGAGTACGAAGCGTAGGAGCTGGGACTTGGCGGTAGAGGGGTCTCCTACCATGAGGATATTGATATCACCACGTAAGTGAGTGCCGTTGGGCAGATTCTTCTCCATGCCTCCCAACAGCATGAGCAGGATGGCCTTCTTGATGTAGTCGTGACCAAAGATAGAAGGTGCCAGACTCTGAGAAAGCAGATCGAAGACGTTTGCCTCTTTGCTCACCTTGTTAATGTTACGGACGTCAAGGTCGGTGATTGTGGCTTGGGCAATGCCGCCGCCCGATTTCGACGACAGCAGCACGACATTGTTGGCGAGGACGAGTGTGCGGAAGATGGAGGAGCCAGCACCTGCGTTGCGGTTGCCTAGCGAGCGGAAGATGCCAACGAGCTGGATGCGGTCGCCCGGCTTGACGCGATCCACCATATCATCGTCCATAATCACATCGACACCGCGAGGAAGCTGGCCGGCGGGCGCGCGCTCCGGCATCTCCTGGATCGATATCGTCTGATGGTCGCGGTACGTGCAGTAGCCATACTCTGTGATGAGCTGCGATCGTGTTAGCCAATGTCACATCTCCTTCAGGCACAAGAAGAGGAGGGGGTCCTGACAGGGTTCTTCTCGTCATCCTGCTGCGGGTAGACGCTCGAGCTGCCAGGTTTGTCGACGGTCATAGTCTGATCGCGGTACTCTCTGAAGTGGAACATGCCCTTGTTTTCATTCCAATGCACGCTCTTCACCACCTTCGGTCTCACCAGACTGCATCGTGTGACAATGCCTTCCAGACACACCATGCGGTTCAGCAATGCACTGTTCAACGTCCTGGGGTTGCAAGCGTTTTCTCCAAAACTGCCGGTATACGCCACGTAGTACATGGCCTCAGGATCCGTCTCGAACGCCGCGCGATTGGGCAGCGTGTCAATAATGTTCTTCAGCGCTTGGTCAAATGCTAAACTGTGATCGAAAGGGTGAAAGAGGATGCCATCGGCGAGCTCTCTGTTGTGACTTCGTAGATCATCGAGCGACACGGTCAACCTGCGCTGGTGTCGATTCAGCATCGTGACGATGTCGCCGCGGTAGGAGCGGGCTCGAGGGTCTGTGGGATCCAGGAATTCTGTGGCGGCGCGAACGCGATCGCGGACCGCTTCGTCGCGGAGTTGCATCGAATCGAGAGCCATGGCTGTGGTTGCAGTGGAAAAGCCGGAGACTCAAGATCTGATTTTGGGATGTAAGGTCGAAGGGAAGCGTTGATGAAATGAGCGCCCCTCCTCGAAAACGCGGTCAACGCGTCCAGAACGCGCCAAGGTATTAAAGTGGGTTGCGCGAAAGTGCTTGCATTAGCGCCAGATTGCCATCCCGACCGAACTGTATCCAAGTGCTACGAGTACTCGTACTACAGTATCAACATGCGGACCTAGAGGAGTCCATTGACTTCTTGTGACCGCTCGAACAGAAACGAGTCTGTACATTGATATTGAGATGTATGCGCCTTTTCTACGTCGCCGACTTCTCCATATCCTTCCCATAAATCTTAGTCTGCTGTTCCGGTTCCAGCTGCACCTCCAGCACCGCAGATCTGCCACCCTTCACTGCTTCGACGGCCTTTGGCAGCTCTTCGAGTAGCTCTTTCACCGTTCTGACGCAGCCAGCCCACACTCTGCCTCCGCTTGCTGCCTTCGCAATGCCGGCATAATCTGGTGTTGGGTCGAAGCTGATGTTTAAGGCCCGATTGTCCACCTTGCTTCCCTCGCCGTCAGGGTGCACGAGCAACATGCTCTTCCTGGGCGCATTCCAGCCTTTGTTGTTCAGTACGATCGTCAGGACTGCGATATCGTATCTTTGCGCGATCCAGTAGACGGATCCCGGGACGCTAAACAGGTATGTACCGTCGCCAACTACCTGGCAGACGAACTTGCCTTTGTTGGTGCCAAACTTGTCTCCAGACTCTGTATTGCGGTGCTCGTAATCAGTTGCAAGCTTGATACCCAGAGCACCACCTCCTGACCAGCCGAGGCCACCGCCGCCGCAGTTGATCCAGGTCTTTGGTAGGACAGGAGCAAGTTGATCAGCAATGAAGCCGGTCAATGTGACGGCTTCAACAGCGAAAATGGTGTCTTCGGGCACTGCTGATCTGACCTGGGCAGCCATGAGGTGAGGGTTAATAGGAGACTCGTGATCTGATGGCAGATTCGCCTTGGCCTTGACACTTGCTTGTCTTTCGTCAAAGCTCTTTTGTCGCCTCTCCCCAGCAGCTTTGTGAGCGTCGTCAGACAGCGTGGTGGACACTTCGGAATTTGCCGCCAGAAAGTCAATAATCTGGTTGAACGCCGTGGTCGAGTCTGTTTTGAACCTGGCAAAGGCTTGAATGTAGAAGACGGGCATCTGCTGCTTCAATGGGTCAACGTCCAGATGGATAACCTTTGTCTCTGGCTTCGGCTTGCGTTGTGTCGGAATCCATGGAACATCACAATCCACAACTAAGATGAAATCTGCTTCGCTGATGACCTCCTCATTGACGTACTTCAATCCAAGGGACGCCGGATGATTAGCTGGAAAGCACATGTCGGATCCACCAGTGTCCAGTACCCTCAGTCCCGGAATCTTGTTTGCCAAAGCTACCAGTGCGGCGACCGAGGACGCCTTGCGACCAGTGAAGCCAACGATCACCAACGGCTTCTGGGCCTTGACCAGATGGTCTGCGACCAACTCGACAGCCTCTTTGGGGAGCGCAGCTGGAGCGACGCCTTGCCAGACCTCTTGCTGCAGCTGATAAGGCTCAATGTCTTCCTCCATCGCCTCCCGTGCGCCATAAAGATAGACTGGTCCTGTGGGGTCACTGGTTGCAAACTGCAAGGCGCGGTTGACCATTTGCTTGACGTTTGCCCCTCGCTTGATCTCGCCCGTGTACCGGCAATACTGCGCCACTATTTGCTTCTGGTCGGGCACATCTTGGATCCAGTGGATATACTCGGTTCTCGACCCACGATACTCACCATCAATGGTGTAGGGAGATAGGCCGGCGAAGATCAGGATAGGGGCTCTCCCAGCGCTGGCGTTATGGACAGCGGCGCCGAGGCCTTGGGTGCCGACGTCGACATGGACAATGACGCATTGCGGCTTATTTGTTAGGCGCGCGTAGCCATCTGCCATGGACATGGCCACCATCTGCACGAAAATGAGCGTCAGCTATGGTTGACCTCGGCCTAAGGTACCCGAAGATCGTACCTCATTGGGGCAAGTGATGATGCGCGGAAACTGGCCTTTCTTCTCATTCTGCCCTTTGACGATGGCTTCTATGATGGACGGATGGTCGGAACCCAGATTGACAAAGCAGTGAGTGATACCCGCCTAGTCAAAGTGTCAGTAAGTACGGGAGGAAACCGGCGGATGGTGTTGTCGTACCTCCCAGATTGCTTCAAAGAAGGCGAACGATGCCGTATAGAGCCTGTTGATTCTTTCAGTAAGCTCTGTAAAGTCCTAGTCCAATCACACTTACGGCTTTCCCACGGAACCCATGATTGTGGTGTTGACTCTATCGGAACTGGTCCTAAGCTCTTTCGATGAGGCCAACTAGGGTAATTTTCAGCCGGTCGGACGAGAAGATGGCCTGTACTGTAAGGGAAGCTCAGCACTGCTGGAGTCGGTCACACCGTAAGTCTTCTGCTCCGACTCATACCAGAAATAAATTGGAAGAGGCGGGTCAGCATGTTTATAGTCGGGGAAGTCGGCAAACGACAGCGGCTTTGAGGCCGCACTCTCGCTTTCCCCACGGCACGGATGTGGGGCAGGCAATGGCAGTGAAAGTTGATCCCCGGATGGCGATGTCGGGTCATGGCGACTTCGGACCGTGCTGTTGTGCTTGTAGTGGCTGTTTGCTGCTTGGAAACTCCATTACAATGAGGAGGCGCCACACACTTGGTATGTTAGTTGACGCCTGCACGCCTTTCTGGGCTACGACCGCGACCGTCCCTGATTGCACCGTGGCCGCCAACGGCGTGAAATGCGGGGAAAGTGATGGGCCCCCATCGTGCTTGTGAAGAAGACATGGTGTACGGTAAGTGAAAGTAAGTCTCACGGGAATGTATATACGATGTGTACGTGAGCTCAAGCTGAGGCTCTGCGTGGCATATGCGGTCCAGATTGCAACCGGCGAGTCGTGTGCGTCCTTGAGCCGTCGAGTAATTGGCTACGGCTGCGAACCCTCCACCCCTGCCACAGGAGCCACCAACGTGTTCGTGATGTCCTTCCAACCTGCTCTTGCTTTACGTGGATCGAAAATGAGCCTGAGACAGTAGCTGGGTATCCTTCTCAAAAGCCACCGTCACCCTTCACGCGCTGTACAGCACCTTTCATCCCTTGCAGCCAGCTAAAGCGTCCCGGATCCACACCTATTGCCCCCTTTGCCATCTTGCCCTCCCCGTCGACCCAACAACCCACCAGTTTATCCGTATTTGGATCCCCCTTCCGCACCAGACCGTACTTGAAAGTGTTTTGGTTCCTTCTGATGCCCTCCAGCCACTTCCCCACGACCAGCGGGCTATCCAACATGACATTGATCTCCTGACTGTGATACCAGCTCTGGCTGTCTTGATTGCCAGAACCGCAGATGCCAATGTGATCATCCACAATCATCAATTTAATGTGGCACGAACGACGTTTGAAACTGTTGTGGATAGGCGCCACCTGATCTTTGGCGATGTAATGGTAGATATCGAGGTTCTTGTGGTGCTCCAGCTCAAGCATGGTGTACAGCTTGTGGGCAACACCCTCGTTGTGGCCGCCCTGCAGAGGAAGGAGCTCCCCAGAGTCATTGTAACCCAGGCAGGTGATGATGCTAATGTGGACACCGCGTCGGGCGGCGGCAACGAGCTCAGGCAAGAGGTCTTGTGCGTTGAGATCGGGACTTTGAATCAGAACTGACTTGGTGGCGTTTTGGAGCGCGGACATGAATGCCTTGTTCTGAGGAACCTTAAGCGACGCGAACGATGGTGTACCAAACGGAGGCCGGGATACCATCGCCATCGGAATCGGATCATGCATCGGGATTGGGATAAGGGGAGTCATGATCTCGTGTGCCTCTGTCGTGTCCGGCGCGTTCGCGACAGTGTCATTCGCCTTGACCGTGTTCAGGTGCCGGGCCACCATGTCTATCCGTCGTTCCTCCTTTTCTGGGTTCATGGCGGCTATCGATCTCAGCATCTCGCTCGCCAGATCTGCATCATAGTGCGGTGTCGTGGAAGTGTGCTGTTCTAACGTCGTCCTCGAGGCATCTGCTGCTGCATCTGTCAAGTCGATCTGTCCTCTGGCCGCGTTGGTACTGCTATAGACGTCAATCATCGTTCTCGAAACGGATCGTGTATGTGCTTACTGGTAACTATTGACCAAGCTGCCTTCCTTATCAAATAAGGACCCATGCGCACCGAGCTGAAACGTTGGACCCAATGACCCTGTTGCAGGGGCATTGAGGCACGGCAGAGGCGGGACGAGTGGATCGTTCCAGGTAATCAGAGCAGTGTCGTAAAGCGAATCAACTATCGGACCCTCAAGCTGCACCGCCATCTCGAGGTTGTCGTTGTCTTGGATGTTGTCACTCTGCACAATGCCAATCTTCCGATCGACGATCATGAATTTCGCGTGGAATGTTCCTAGTATTGGTCGGTGGTAGTTGATGACAGTGAGGTCAACGTTCGGTATCTCACGTGGGTGAGGTAAGCGGATAGCGCCATTGGGGTCTGCATATTCTGATTCTGATACTCGCTGATGATTTTTCATTACCTATCCTTGCGTCAGCTCGGGTTGTCACAACTGTTGGCAGTGCGCTTTACCTGCTTGACGTTGCCTCTATCGTATATGACCTTCACCACAACTCTTCGGTCGGCTTCAATGCATCTTCTGGACAGTTCTTTCAGTGCGTTAGCGATCAGACTCGCCGCTTCTGAATGCATCCAGTAGTTTGTCGCCAAGAAGACTTCATGCTCGGCCCTCACTATGAGATTGGACATGTGTCGCGCAATGTCCGGAATGGTACTGATGATCGTCAACGGACACACGCCATGGCTGCCAGTCAGAGATGGTGAGCAGACATTGACCAGTGGGTCCGTCTCGTAGGTGCTGAGTACATCGTGGTAGATCTGTGGCGTCTAAGTATGTGGCTAGCCTCACCATCAACCACAGACATACCTTTAGGAAAAGCTGGCTTGGCCTACTTGGGCCCCATCTGCCACATTCGAAAGCACGCTCGAAGTCAGTCGGGCTGACTCCATTCGCACCAACGGCAGCCTTTGCTGCTGCGGCCTCAGTAGATGAGCCGTACAGCCGCTTGGCAACATCTGAGGGTGCCTCAGCCGGGTTCTTGGCTAATTCGGAGCTCACGCTGTGTGGGCTTCGACAAAGCTCGTACACCTGGTCTGATACCATCTCAGCTCAAAGCTTGTTTCTGGAGTAGATATTAAGTGACAGTGAAGAGTTGATTGAACAGACTCGGGTACCAGTTGTAGCACAGCACGAGTCTGGGCAGGAAGATCTGGACAGTCCCGCTGACTTGCAACTCGGAGCAGCCACTTTGCTTCATAAAGCTTTTGGTCGTGACAAGACTTCAGGAACTGGGCTTCTCTGGATTCTGGACCCTGGCGTGCGGTGGTTACCGCTGTGCCTTGTTAGCCGTCCCCTCGCCTGACGACGCGCAAGCCTGACGCGGCATTGGCGCCAGGAGAATAAAGCCACATTTTAGATTTTGGTCAAGGAACCATGTCCACTGGGCTCTTATGTCATGCAGCTTGCTGTGCCCGGGCACCGGTTCGTTTACGGCCTGGCGGGGAGAACGAAAGGAACTTTTGGTTCATCCTTGAGGGTTGCATGGCCGGAGATTCAACCCCAGACGCGAACGAGGACCTGGGAACCCCAACGTCATCGGTGGTACAAACAACCCGCACTAACTCTATGGCAGTCCACGATCTCATCTTTCCTGCCGCAGCAGCAGCGGCGTGAGGTTGACAGATCGGGTTGGGGGATCCGATCTCGAACGATGCATAAGATGTTGTTAATATACTATTAGCTAATTCGTTGCTCCTCGTCGCAACTTCACTTTATGCTAGACCGTAACAACATTACGCAAACCAGATCTTTTCCAGCAAATGCAAAGGGCATATCCTGCATGCCTTGCTGTGCTTTGTAGCATGGCCATCTCAAACGCCCCCCATTTCGTCGTGATTGCTATGCACATGTACAACCTCTTCGAACGCTCATCTAACAAATGTCATCTCGGTCACAGCTGGCCAGACAGAACAGCCTCCGTTGCTGCAGTTATGTTAGTTGACAATATCACTCAGTATGGATCGATTGACACTTACCACTTCCAATATATGCTCTCTTGGCATCGAGGCTGCAGTTGAAACGCCTTTCCAGTTCTTGCTTCACGCCCTTTTTGGTGACCGTCATCAGATCTGCTGTCCGCAGGATCTCCCGAATCTCGTTCAGAAGCATGTCGTCAGTCGGCAAGCCAGTAAGATCGGCCATCTCCATGTCTGCCACAGATCTTGCTGGTTGAGCGCCGAGCATCTCTGAAGGCGCGAACGATATGCGAGACTGGCTGTACCCAGTCGGCATCCCATACATACTTGGACGCATGTCAAGCTGAGAGACCGAACGAGATCCAGCGAGCAGTTGCTGCTGGTCTCCCGCTCCTCCTCCGTAGACAGATCCGGCGGGATAGTACGACTTTGTGCCGTAGCTATAACCGGAAACTTCAGATCTAGTCTCGTCTCGTTGTGTCTGGGCATCCCAAAGCTCCGCCTGATACTCTTCCCATTTCTTCTTCGGAATGGAGTCGGGATCAAACTTGCCTTCGTCAGAAATGAGAATCTGCTTGCCCTTCTCACCCGTGACCAGACGTGTGTTACCCCACGAGAAGTCATCCATGTGCCAGAATGAATACAGAGGCAAGCCGAGCGAGAAAATAGGCATCGCAAGGACGTAGATGATCATCCATCCAATCATCTCCCATTTTCGTCGAAGGATGAAGATGATAGCTTGGAGACCGTAGATGGCCGCAAGTAGCACGAACGCCATCAACGGCACGACCGACGAATTGAGCGCCAGCAAAACGATCAGGTATGTAATGTAAGCAACGGCCACAGGCGCAATGATAGTCGAAAGAAGATCTAGGAAGACGATGAAGCGCATGCTGAAACAGCAGAAGCCGCAGAGCTGTTGCAGTGGGATCAGCTCCATAAGGTTGTGCACCGTACTGTTGATCCAGCGACGACGTTGAGACATGAACACCGTCCAGCTGTCAGGTGCAATAGTCCAGGCGTGAGCGGTGAAGATGTACTTGGTCTTGAACTTCGGATGGTGCTTGAGGAGCAGCGTTGTCAGATATCGATCCTCTCCCAAGTGAAGCAAATTCTTCATGTGCAAAGTGTCGACTCGAATTTCCGAATAGTCCTGGACGATTTCCTTCGACACAAACAATGGCTTACCAGTCTCCGCAGCCCGAATTCGATACATGCTGAAGCAACCAGGCAAACACGTGACTGATCCGAATAGAGATTCGAACGCCTTGGTAAGGTTGTGCGATATATAATACTCATACACCTGAATCATAGTAATGATCGATGACTTGGAATTGCTCAATTCAGTCTCACCGCATACCGCAATGATTCGGGTGTCGTGGAGGAACGACGACAGCATTCGTGTGGCCGAATCAGGCGCAACAACGGTATCAGCGTCAATTTGTAGCATGAATTCGTAGAATGTGGGGTTGACGCCAATGATGTTGCGAATCTGGTGGTGCATTTCGAGCTCCAACGGATTCATCGGCAGGTTGTAGTGAACTCTGTTGAGGAAGCGCATGATAACCATTTGTGAGTCTCGTTTGCCGCGATTGCCAGGACGTGATACCTCGGAAGGTTTGCCAACCTTGACCACAACCATGAATGGAACGATGTGGCCCTGAACCTCATACAGGCCGGAGTAGACTTTGCCCATGTTGTGTTGCTTCAAACCCTCGCCGAGGGATTCAAAGCTCAATGGCTCCGGATCAACAGTCTCAGAGACACCTAGAATATCTAGGACGATGCGAGGAGTGGGGCGATCGTTGCCTTGACCAATGATCATACCATCGCAGACGATGATGAGTAGCTTTCGCTTGTCATCGTACTTCATGCGAGCTGCAGAATCAATGGCGCGACGAAGAGAGTCTTCGTCCTCAGTGTATGCAGGCACCTGGCAGATAATGAACTTGTCGAGGTTCTCTGGCACCGTCTTCCGGCTGAATTGCAGAGCCGCAAGAAATTTAAAGCCGATGACTGAACACAACAGGATAGAGATCGCAAGCAGAATGTACCGAGCGAACAGACACTGGGCCGAGTTTCGCGTATCGGTGACGCCAACGAAGAACAAGTTGTCGAGGCAGAGTTGCATTCTGCTCTTCTCGGCTGCCCCAATGCTAAGAGCGTCCCAGTATCTTGACACATCTTGCCCGGACCTTTGCTGGAATAGTGAAACGACAGCATCACTCATGAAGTTGGTGTCTACATCGGTGGGGAGATCTTCGCCTTCCGCGACCTTGATAGTCCTACCACCCTGAATATAGGTGGTGAAATCATAGACCCTCTCATGGATTATAGCGATAGACTTTTGTTCCGTAGACAGTTTCTTGACATATTGAGGTGTATAGCCGATGTGACCTTTGTAGTAGTTACCCTTAAGCATCATCATCTGCTCGAAGAACCAATCTGCGCGGGGGTCATTGGTGAATGCCCTAAAGTCGTGATACCTGCGATTTGGGTCGTCGCCACTGATAACATTGGCAGAACCGGTCGTGTTGGTGCTTGTATAGTCCAATTGCACGGAGGGATCTATCCGACCGTCCTTGCCTTGGCATAGCGCCGAGACTTGAACTGGGAAGAGGCCTGTCGCATCGATGCCAGCATAGTTTTCCAGATCCTTCGTGGGGACAATCGAGGGATAGTGATTTGGCATAAATGCACCCAAGTCGAACACGACGCCCCGAATAGAGACGTAAGATGATGCGCTGCCTTTGCCATTGTGAGACGATAGTTCTGCAGCCGAATAGACGTCCTGCCGTGGACAAATCAATTCGGGCATCACCACAATGAAGAAGCAGGCGAAGAGGCAGGAAAACCAGATGAGGAGATTGATCGCCAGCTTTTCTCGCCAGGCCACTCGAATGTCTTTGCGGGGCATACGGCCGATCCATTTGATGGTGAAGTCCGGGATGTACCATGTGAGCAGGTAGACCAGGAATAACCAGCGCTTTCGCTTGCCGCTGGTGTCTAGGACATCGACTTCTTCCATCCTCTTTTTGTTGCCTTTCTCAGCCAATTCTTCTTTGGTGTCCATGTTGCGGAACATGTCTCCTTGGTGGAAAGCAGAGGCACCAGCTTCAGATTTGGAGTCCACTTCCTTGCTACCGAAGTAGCCACCGCCCTTGGTCTCATCGCCGTAGATGTATGAACCAACGCCGGGAGTATTGTCCGAAGAGTGCAGACGAGCTTTTGAATCGGAAAACGGGTTGCCTCCTGGCGTCCCAACAGACATGCCGTCTTCGTCAACGCCGTAGAAACGTGCAGCTTGCGAGCCAGTCACAGCAACGGATGCCCAGCATCGCTCGCTCAAGAACACGCCCGTCGTGCCGATCTTGACTTCATTGGCAGGCCAGTTCTTCGCATCGAGTACAAGCTGCGTCTTCTCAGCATCACTCCCCACCACACCAGTGTCCACATCGGCCAATCCCAGGAATTCGCCAAAGGGCAAGAAGGTGCTGAAGTCTGCAGTTCGCAGCCTTTGGCTGATCTCAGCAATGCCGAGGATCTGGACTTGTTGACGGACACACTTGCTGTCAAATTGATTGGCAATGCGGCGATCGTTTGGCTTGAGACAGAAAACGAAGTAGTTGTTGACATTGTGGCCCGTCAAAGATTTGTTGATGTTGTCCAATGAAGAGAGAAACTGAGAAGCGGCGCCGTGGGAAAGACCTCCGGCACTTGTCTTCGTTCGTCTCAAGCCAGTCTCACCAGTCTGCGACTCTGTATCTTGCGGCTCAGGTGAACGGTCGGCCCTGCGGCTTGCAAGGCGTGCAAGCTGATCGTGCTTCCTACGAGCCATGCTGGGTTTGCGCAAAGGTTTCGAGCTGACTTGTGCTTGAACTATAGCAGTCTTGTCTGCTGAGTGCGTGACTGTGTTGAGCGCCTCTTGACCGAACAAGTTGCCGACAAAGTCACTCTTGGTGGATCTCATCAGGTTCATGAGATCGCCCGAGACAGTATCGCCATTCGACTCAACGAGCCCGTTGACTGGATACTCGACCTCTCCAGCGTAATGTCTTACGGTGAACGACGCTGCCAAATTCGTGGTGGCGAAGTTGCTTCCAGGAATGACAGAGGTTGAGCTGCTGACAGTAATGGATTTGTTCTTGTTCTCAAATTTCTTTCGTAGGCTCTCCAATAGCTGCATGTCTGATCTGCCGCGTTTTGTCTGGTCGTCTAGAATTGCCAAAAGCCCATTCGAGTGCCTCAGCAGACCTCGGACCGCTTCCGAATTGTCGAAGTAGCTGGTAGCAGGCACGCTAACTTCTTCCCGCTCCAGCATCTCAGCCGGCTTCTCGAAGATGCTCTGGAGGCAGATATTGTACAGACTCTCCGACGCAGCATTGTTCAGGAGCTGATCCAACACAGACCCCGTAGAAGGCTGATCGGCAAATCCAGGAAAGTCGATGATAGAAATAGTATTGGCCACAGCTTCTTCGGCTGCACATGTCCGCTGGTTAATGGACTCGATGATATATGCGACCAGGAGAGCATAGAGAGTTCTGGCCAGCTCATCCGCGCTGTCCCGCGCGCCCTTGGGGTCGAGCATGACGGTCACGCGCTCCCTATGAATGGTCTTAGTCTTGTAGCGGAGCGACTCTTCCAGCTCTTGGGCAGAAAGCCCCAGGAAAGCGGCCACGAGACCCAACGTCTCGGTGTTTCTCACCACAGTCACACTCTCGCCGCCTTCATGAGAATAGCCACCACTCTCCTCAGCAGCGGTGGTCGTGGCTTGACCTACACCAAATTCCAGCTGGCCGATGTGGAGAATTGCAGCCAATACCTGGCAGATCTCTGCAATATCCGATCTTGGGAATTCGAGCTTTCGCAAGGCAGTCTTGAAATGTTGAAAGCCTTCAGTGTCATTCACGCCGACTTTGAGCTGTGTGGGGTGACCAAGATACCTCCATCTCTTCTGCGCTGTCGATGCAGACCGATGTAGGCCTGGGCCCCCAGTCCTTACACCAGCCGACTGGTCAAGGCCAAGGTGTGATTTTTCGGCTGCACTTGTACCGGCCAGAAGATAATACAGGACATGGAAGCTTCGCTCGCCAGTAGGGACTGAGGTGACTCTGCTGCGTTCCAGGCGATGGTCAAGCAATTTGCCACCTATGAGCAAAGGGTTTGTCGACGAGCCATCGTATTGGAGCTCGTAGAACAGACCGGCTTTCGAAGCCGTTTGCGTCGTTTGAGACTTTGTGGTCGTGAGTGTATCGAAAACGTAGGCAGCCAGGGACAATTTATTGGAAAGGGGTGTCGAAGAGAGGCCGAGGAAAGATGACAACAAGTGAGAACGAATGGTAGTCTTGCCCGAGCCAGACTCTCCAAAGAAGATGACTGACTGGTCCTCGCCTCTGGTACCAAGTCTCGTCCAGGCACGTCTTGCTAGGTCTTCTGCCTCAGCCGCCGCACTCCCATCCTTCCCACCATTTGGGCCCCTGGATGCGGAAGTGTAGGTATTCAGACAGATGAGCGCCTGAGAGGAGAGCTTTGCTGTTGGTAGAGAAACATGAAAGCGACTGGCGAGATGAGCAGTCAAATGTGTGTCGGACTGCAGGTGCGGAGGCAAAGCAGGTAAATTGGGTTGAGCATGTGCAGGCTGGCTCGCTGGGAGATTCATGCTTAAGTGCGAGGCAGCCATCGTTTTTCACTGAGCCTGTGAGCAACAATGGGTTCAGTATTCTCAACGGACGCGGTCGTCGAACCGTTCCCGGGTGAGTCAAAGGGTCAACGCATCGAATCGAGGAGGGTCTCGGAGGAGAACGTCTGGAGCGGAGGTGTGTTGGGTGTGGCTCTGGGTGGCGCTCCTGAATACAAAACGAGAGACTGGGAATGATAAAGGAGTAACGACAGTGTTACATGAAAGGTGATGCTGCTGTGTAAGGAAGAAAGTGAGGAGAGCGCAGCAGCATAGGTCGCACCTGCCAAAAACTGATGGGTCGAAGTTGTTGTCAAGCACACCAGGGGGGATTTTCGGACGCGTCCGTAATTACAATACATTACAGAAGGTCAAGGTCTTACCCAGACTGCGGCGCAGCGCCTAGCTCTAAATCGAGGTCTGGGGCCTGGCCACTCCCGACCCGGTTTTTTGCATCGTTTTCATCAGTAGCGAGACATCGACGACTCTCTTTCATTCGCTAAGCAGATTGTCTATTACCGGTATACAAGAATATATGCAGGACTTGCCACTCACGACCCAACGAACATTCCACGCAACGATGAGTCGACGATCCGCCGGACTCTACGACGCGTTGCCGAAAGTTTTTCTGGGTTCCCGTGTTGACTTCAGGAGACGGGATCGCCTGGTCTGACCTATCAGAGCCATCCCCAGAAATTGATCTCGTCTCCATTCGTACATTGATCGGTCAAGTCTGGCATTGGAACCACGAAAAGGTTGGCCGCAGTACTCCAAAACGAAGTTGCTCACCACCTGCCATGTGTTGGCGGCCAACAGCTGCGGTGTTTGTCCTCGTGCAAAAGAATTCGTGCGGCGGAAATATGCAGCGGGCTGCAGTATGCTCCAGACGGTGGCCAATCGAGGCGCACGAGAAGTTTGAGACATACATTTTGCCCAAGACATCTGAGACTAGGGCCCGCGGACTCCAGCGACCCGATGAAGATCTGACCGAACAAGGCTGGCTTCCGAGGTCATGTCTCCTGCACTAGATCGATTGGAAGACAAAATCAAGCATCGCATCACTGTTGTGGGCATCTGCTGGTCGGCGGCCAGCAATAATGGTAGACGTAGGAGGCCCATGTACCACGATAGCTGCGGCTCGCCCTGATCCGTCCTGGTAACAGACGTGTCCGCAGCCTCGGGATTCTGGTTGCCCAGGTTATGGCTGACCAGGTGGCTGTGGACGACCCGCAATTGGTGGGTCTGGAGGCCTCCTTGCATTAGGCTCCTAGTTTTAGAAGCTTACCCCTCGAACCTGACCCCAACCAGGCCGGCTGGAGGCGCATCTTTGCTTAGTTTTGGTCTGACAGGTATTTACCGTGAACTACGGGCTTCGAATTGTTGCACCACATGGGCCATTTTCGTTCAACACCCGATACTTCCTCATGGTATCTACTACGGCCTACTCCTTTCGTTCTCCTACACCCACCTTCGCTCTGTTCATTCGCAGAGAGGCGTTTCGTGCCTACTGCGTTGCTTTCGTCCATTTCCAGCGGCAATTGATCTTTCAACACCACCCACCCCTTTAATCTCCCCTCCTCGACCATTTCCCTCGTGCCCAGGTCTATAGGCGGCTACCTGCATATAAGGGACTTCTAAAGAGACAACATAGTATATTGATCAAAGAGGTGGCCAATTGTTTGGTGTGACTGCTATCCACGATCTATTACGCCCTGTTGGCGAGCCTGCCCGACAGGGGGCGCCACGCCGTCAACAATGGCGAATCGTTACTCTACATACTCGAACACCTCCTCAGCTGTAGGAGGGCCTCGGACAGCCCCTCAGCATTCCACGCAGGTCTCGACGACAACGCTGTTGAACTCTCTTCACGCCATCTATACGTCTGGGCAGACCTATCAACTCGATGTTAGCACGAGCCTATCCGTAAACACTTGGCTGACCGCAATCAACCCTGACGCTCAGGGAAGGACCGGCGGGACAGTAGATGTCGAGATTGCCAGTCGAGCTTGGGAACATGCCAGAAGACGTGCTGAGGATGCATGTATCATTCTCGGCTCGCTTCATCCTTCGACACCGTCTTTACTCACGTCGTTCCTTCAACTGGTGCCCCTCGAGACTCCTTCAATCACATTTACGGCCCTCAACGCGCTCCGACCGTTTCTGCATTGCATCACGCCTCAAAATGCATCTACCGGACGGCATTCTTCCCTGGCTGTCAGCTATAATGTCACTCTTGTAGGGAAGGTGAACTCGGTTTCCCTGGCACTTTCAACTTCCGGTATTGATGTGGGCAAAGGACTTACCAACATTCCGGCAGAGCAAGGCTACCGAGCCTTCGATGTCTTCTACTACCTTTTGTCCTCTGCCTCAACACCTGCCGAACGCGAGTTCCTCGGCTTGAAGCACGCATCTAAATATACTCTGCTCAGCAAATCGGGCACTTACGACCCACCATCATATCTTCCCACAGCCGATGATGCCGCAGCCGCTGAAGACATGCGTTCTGCATTGAAGGCCATTGGAATCAGAGGTGCCGCCTTCCGTGGGCTTCTCTCGTCGCTCGCCGGCCTGCTGAAGCTAGGGGAGACAACTGGCTTTTTGCTCGATTCGGATGCTTTGGAAGAGATTTGTGAAGATGTCGGAGGGCTTATTGGCTTGGAACCTGAAGTCTTGTCTCAAAGCTGCAACACCAAAGACCGCGAGGTCTTCATCGCTGGCATGTATGAAGCCTTGGTTGACTGGGTTCTCTCCAAGGCCAATGAGGCAATTGCTCAGGAACTTCGTGCAGGTGCAGGTACTCCTGACTCGGCTTCCCAGCCTGGTGACGAGGTCAGCTTGACTGTTATCGAGATTCCAGGCGAGGCATTGGGAAAGGCTGTGGCATTCCGAAACATTTTCGATGACACTACGGGTATCAACTCTGAGATGAAGGACGATGGCGTCGAAATTGTCACCGCGGGTCATTCGGTTCTCAAGGAAATGCAAGCCGCCGTGGCTGAAGTGGAGGCCGATCTGGGCATCACGGGAGGTCCCGCTGCCCGCGAACGCGACCACGACCGCGATCAGCGTCAGGGCGTTCTCGAAAAGATTGGGGCCGAAGCCGAGGCTGGCGGGTTTCTCAGAACTTTGCTCTACCCAGTTGAAGCCGAAGGTATGAGCTTCGGCGTCAAGGGTCGCTTCGATCTAGCGACTTCGCTCGCGAGTAGCAGAATCTGGTACCAGCTTTCTCTGCATCCGACTGACGATGCGCCGAGCTCTTTGGCCAACATCTCCTCCTCAACTGCTGCTTGGTCGGCAGGAGCGGTCTCTCGACAGCTCAGGGCATGGAGATTACCCGAGTGGGCCAATCGTCGCAACAAGCATATCGACTTCACTGCAGACTTCGATGTGGACGAGTTTGTAACACGTTATTCAAGGCTGGGCTGCCAAGAAGGCACAGATGGCGTGGAGAACTTCATCCTTGAGCGTGGCTGGACCAATGGCGAAGTCGTCATTGGCAAGGAGCGTGTCTGGATGAGGGAAGCTGCCTGGTGGGAAGCCGAATCCATGCTAGACCTCAAGCCCGAAGAGGCGGGTTACGAAACAGCCAACCCGTTTGCCACAGGATATTCTTCCAACCCTCCGAACAATGCCAGTGGCTTCTTCCCTCCTATGGATACCATGAGCGTCGAGGACAGTCGCGAGAATCTGCTCATGCCCAACGATCGAGCCAGATCTGTCGCCCCAACGATGGCACGAACGGTACATACAGTTGGAGGCGACTATGGTTTGGGGCCCAAGGGTGACGACCATAAAGATCAGACTCTATACTACGATCCTGACCTTGGTCGATATGTCGGCGAGTTAGATCCAGAGTTTGGCGACCCACGAGACATTCAGACCAAGAGGACCACTTTTGGCCGCCAGATGTGGGTGTCTCTTGTCTGGGCTGTTACGTTTTGGATCCCTTCCGTGCTCCTGAGGTTCGTCGGTCGGATGAAGAGGCCTGATGTGCGTCTAGCATGGCGTGAAAAGGTCGTGCTCGTGCTACTAATTTTCCTGATGAATGCTACCATCATCTTCTACATCATTTTCTTCGGCAAGCTGTTGTGTCCGAATATGGACAAGGCCTGGAATGCAAGGGAAGTTGGCTACCACCAAGGCGAAGACGACTTCTACGTCAGCATACACGGCAAGGTTTACGACATCACAAAGTTCGCTCGGGAACAACACAGTGACACCGATATCAAGACTACCCGGGACGCGATGATGCCATTCGCTGGCCAGAATCTCGACGTCTACTTCCCGCCTCCACTGAACCTAGCTTGCCCTGGACTCGTGGATGACGATACTGTGGTGCTGCAGCACAATGCGTCAGACGCTGTTGAGAACCCAAATGCTATCCACACATCTGGCAATCTCCAACCAAATCCGACAAGTAAACTGCGAAGCCAGAACTGGTACGATCAAACCTTCTTGCCTGCTATCGAGGAATACTACAAGGGAGACCTGGTTGTCTCAATCGGTAGTATCAAGAAGGAAGCAAAGGAAGACAATCGTCAGTGGATCAGGATTGACGAAAAGATCTATGACTTGACCGACTACTTCTATACCCTGGGCGTCATGGATAACTACAACACGTATGAGTTCTTTCCTGAGGATGTCACCGACATTGTACAGCAAAATCCCGGTGAAAATGTTGCGAGTCTCTGGGGCTCCAGTGTGCCTTTCCAGAACAGCCTCAACTGTATGAACAACGCATTCTACGTTGGCAGAACGGACTTTCGTGACGAGCCCAAGTGCCAAGTCAACGATTACATCCTGCTTGCCTTTATGGTCATTCTCTGTACAGTTATTGGTGCCAAATTCTTGGCCGCACTGCAGTTTGGTTCAAAGCGCCGTCCCGCTCCTCAGGACAAGTTTGTCATTTGTCAAGTTCCTGCCTATACTGAAGGCGAAGACCATCTCAGGAAGTCACTAGATTCCCTTACCGCTCTGCAATACGACAATAAGAGGAAGCTTATATTCGTTGTATGCGACGGCATGATTGTCGGTGGTGGTAACGACAGACCTACACCCAAGATCGTCCTTGACATCCTTGGAGTTGACCCCAAGATCGATCCCCCCGCTCTACCCTTCAGGTCTATCGGCAACGGGAACGAGCAGCTCAACTATGGAAAGGTTTACTCGGGTCTCTACGAGTACGAAGGGAACGTTGTTCCTTACATTGTGGTTGTCAAGGTTGGCAAAGAGTCTGAGCAAACCAAATCCAAACCCGGCAACCGTGGGAAGCGTGACTCTCAGATCCTTCTGCTCCAGTTCCTGAACCGCGTCCATCACCGCAGCCCAATGTCACCTCTCGAACTCGAGATGTTTCATCAAATCAATAACATTATTGGTGTTGATCCGGAACTGTACGAGTACCTTTTGATGGTTGATGCCGATACCATGGTCAAAGAGGACTCCTTGAACCGCCTGGTTGCTTCTTGTGCCAACAACACAAGGATCGCTGGCATCTGTGGTGAGACCAGTCTTGAGAACGAGGACCGAAGTTGGTGGACAATGATTCAAGTTTACGAGTACTACATCTCCCATCATTTGGCCAAGGCTTTCGAATCCCTCTTTGGCAGTGTCACCTGTCTTCCCGGATGGTAAGTCCACCTGCATATCTGCTAGATATCGGAATACTAACGCAATCAGTTTCTGCATGTACCGACTACGAACCGCCGACAAAGGACGCCCACTTATCATCTCCGACAAAGTGGTGGGTGAGTACTCCGATTGCGAGGTCGACACGCTTCACAAGAAGAATCTGCTGTCTCTTGGTGAAGATCGTTACCTCACCACCCTGATGATGAAGCACTTCCCCGGCATGTCGTACAAATTCGTTCCCGACGCTTATGCCCAAACAGCAGCACCCGAGAGTTGGTCTGTTCTCCTCTCCCAGCGACGACGATGGATCAACTCAACCATTCACAACTTGGCCGAACTCGTCTGGATCAAGGAACTCTGCGGCTTCTGCTGCTTCTCGATGCGTTTCGTTGTCTTCATTGATCTATTCGGAACTATTGTTCTGCCCGCCACATGCGTTTACCTGGCTTACCTCATCTATCGTGTCGCCACTGGCACTGGTCAATTTCCTCTGCTGTCTTTGATCATGATTGCCGTGGTATATGGTCTCCAGGCCATCATCTTCATCCTCAAGCGCCAGTGGCAGCACGTTGGCTGGATGATCATCTACATTCTTGCCTACCCTGTCTACTCGTTCATTCTTCCCATCTACTCCTTCTGGAAGCAAGACGATTTTTCCTGGGGCAACACCCGTGTCGTCATCGGCGAAAAGGGCAACAAAAAAGTCGTCGCCACGACGGAGGAGGGCTTCGACCCACGCTCCATCCCTCTCCAGCGTTGGGACGACTACGCCATGGCCAACAATCTTCCCGGCCGCCGCGGCAACGCCAACAACGGCACAAGCATCATGCACGAAAAAGGCGGCTTCCAAGCCAACTACCACGACGACCCGGGCATGATGGAAATGGACGACATGCGCAGCACCTTTTCGTCCGTGAAGCCGGCCAGCACCATCCTCGCCGGCTTCCCGCAACCGGGTATGCACAGCAACCCATACATGGCCCCTCCTCAGTCCCCAATGCCCTTTGGAATGAACCCCCGCGCCAGCACCATGACAGGCCTGACACCCTTCCGCGACCAGCCCAACAGCCTGCACGGCCGCAATATGAGCATGCTCAGCCTGGGCAGCCAGCAACAACTCCCCGGCGGCGTTCCCGCGCCACCTTATCAGGACAATCCGCGCAGCCCCTATGCGTCAGGCATACCCTACAGCGCATCGCGTCCCAGTCTTCTCGGCCTCAACACCGACGACCGCCGGGCCTCGACTATGGATTTCCGTGCTGGGCCCGGCACCAACGGCCCCACGGACGGCGAACTCGTCGACGCCGTGCGCGCTGTCCTCGGCGAGGTTGACCTGGACAGCGTGACGAAGAAGCAGGTGCGTGCGTTGGTGGAGCAACGCCTGCAGCTGGAGGTCCCCGCGGGGGAGAGGAGACAGTTCTTGGATCGCGCCATCGATAGCGAATTGGCCAATATGTAAAGATGAGTGAGGCGCGAGAGATGTGTATAATGATGACATGGGAATGGGGGAAATCTGCGGCAAGCGGTTATGTGTCTGGCGTCTTTCGCATTGGCAGATTTTGGGGGAGATTTTTTGTATATGCGCCTGGGCTGTCTCATCACCCGCCAGCAAGCGAGCAGCGGAAAAAAGATTCGGAATCGTTTTGAGCATTTTTCGAATAGGACCCGCGATCTGGATGATATACGTGGAGCATTTACATTAGGAAAAGTAGAACGCCATCTCCAGAGGTCAACTTTGGCTATGGCCAGTCAGATAGTAGTAATCGCACGAAGGTTATGTGTTCCCATCAATGCCAACCCTCTGCGGCTCGATTGGAGAATGTGCCATGCTCTGCGCTGCTCTGTAATGGACCTGCGTGCGTCTCGCTTGGGTTTTTCGCTACATGATGGATTGTTCATGCATGAGAAGCAAGCGGACTTTGCTCTCAGGCGGACGATCAAGCAACGAGGAGGCAGCGAACATTTTTATAACTTCACGATCATGGTGTTGTGGACGAGGAGTTGAGGAATATAAACGCACATTGCCTGGCCGGGTGCGTGTGGCCCAACATGCAACAGCCATATCACCCAGCAACACACAATGCTGATTATTCGATGAACCTGGTAGCTAGCTAGCAAGCAAGCAAGCAGTAGAGACAGCGTACACGGCCGAGCCCTGTTGGCCTCTAGTAGTAGTCATAGAACAATAGTGCAGCACAGAGAGAGACAGGACTTCGAATACCAACACGGCTAGCGACACTGATTCTGGAAAGAGAGTAATGCGTAATGTCAGAGACAAACGTAATCGCAAGATGAATGTTGCCCATGCCTGCGGTGTAGTATTGGGAGACTGCTTACGGCACGTCGAATCTCGCGGTGTCTGGGACGGGTTCTGAAGCAGCCACAACCTTACAACTTGCAGGCTGACCTGGAGGTTATGCAGAGCACGGAAACGGGAGAAACCTCGCGTCTGCTGGAAAGACACACAACTTAAATTATAAGCGGAAAACTCCATATTCATTTCTATGCCTATCCACAAACATTCTCGAGGAGACGCTGGCAGCCTGGTTGGGCATGTCCACCGACCCAACGCAGCCATAGTCGATACTGGAATTCGACGTGTTTCGTTTCAAAAGAGAGACCTCCGCTCAATGTGCTCGGAAACAAACAAGGCGCGAGATATGCGCGAGTCCATCACGTATTAAGGTAGTCTAGACGATCCCCTAGCAAATAACACCCATAGTACCCGTTGCTTTTTAGATGAACAGAATGGCAGCAATGATGGCGCTGAGACCAGTCAGAGGAGCGCTGGGGTCGAAGATGGATGAGTCGGCCGCGCTGGAGGAGCTCGAGGATGAACCGCCGCTGGAGGTGCTGCTGCCGTTGGTTTGAGAGTTGGCCTCGTTAACCTTGCACGAGGTCTTGCCCTTGATGATACCACGGTCCGATGCACGGTTGAAAGCATTGCAGAGAGTGTCATCCTGGGTGCTAGACTCGACGTTGGCGCCGCCACGGACATCTCCCAGAGCGGGGAAGGTAACACTGACGACTGTTAGCGGAGTTCGAGTGAATGAGAGATAGAGACATACTTCTCGAAGACACCACGGAAGTCCAGCGCACCGGCAATAGTCTTGAGCTTGGGGAATTGGTCGACAGCCTCAAGCTCGGTGTTGTTGGCGACGAGGAAACCACCACCGATGGTGGTAAGCTCAGGGAAAGACAGGTTGTTGAGGCTGCCGCACGAGACGAAGGCAATGTCGTTGCCAGTCTCGGTCAGGTTAGGAGCAGCAAACTCCTCAAAGCTGCCGAAGTAGAAACCCATGGAGCCACCGACCTCAGAGAGCGAAGGCATGCTAATATCGGAGGTGTTGATGAAGGTCAGGTTGGCTGCGCTCTCCAGGTTGGGGAGAGAAATCTTGAGGTCACGAGAGTTGGCGGCGAAAGTCAAGCCACGGGTAACGTTGCTCAAGCTGTTGACATCAACCTCGGCCAAGTAATTGTTGTTGTTGATGTTCATGGTTCCAACAGCCTCGAGTTCGATGCCGTCAAGGCTGGTGAGCGCGGTATCGGAGATCTCGACGTTGTTGGCACGACGAATACCCTGGCCGAAGTTGAGAGACTGCAAAGCGGGTAGAGAGATCCATTTGATGCCGTTGACGTTGGTCAAGGAGGTGAACTGCAGGCTGGACAGGATTGTCAGACGCTCGAGATCGAAGACGCCGCCAATCGAGTTGAGCTGGTCAGAAGAGATGGAAGTGAGTTGAGTAGCATTGTTGGCTCTCAAATCACCAGAAATGGCTTGGACGCCGTTGATCTGGAGAGTGCCGGAAGCTTCCTCGGTGATGATGATATCTCCGTCATATCTCTCGCAGTTGGCGAGCACCTGGGCATCTGACGAGCTCGAGATCTCGACCGAGGGACCATCAGGGCAGTCGTCACTTTGTGCTATTGATCTTATCAGTACTGTGCAGCACGGTGGTGGAGTGATGCTTCAAAGGGGTCGTACCGATGACAGCGCCGGCGAAGGCAAGAGTGGGAAGGATGAACTTCTTGAAAGCCATTGCGAATCTATGTTCTGTTCGAAAACTGCAAAGGGTTAGCTGGGAGTGGTCGCTGTGGATGAGTTTGAGGCCGAGAGATTGGTGCTAACAGTTGAGTGTTTGGTGAGCACGTACCAGGAATGCAGTATTAATCAGATGAAGGCCACAGGCACGAAGAGGTCCGATACTACAGATCAGACGTAAAGACTGTGATGGTCTCTGGGTTGGTAAGGAGAAGTTGTGTGGATTGCAAGCGAATGGGTTCCACGGAGCTCCGATTCAAGGGTGAAGCTTCCAGTGACTGATGCTCTTTCGGAACAGAAGGCGCGACCCGAGAAAAGCGAGGGATGTCAAGGTCGACAGTGCAAGGTGACAGGCAAGAAGCAGCAACGATGGACTGCGATATTATGAAGAAGAGAAAAAGTAAGTGGAGGATGAAGTTGGCAGTCAACACACACAGGTCAAGAGGCAGGAACACGCAATGGAGACGACGGGGTGCGCAGGGGAAAAAGACAAGAATCGAAAGAGGCGTTCGGCGTGGTTGGCGCGTCCGGCCACTCGCAGCTGTGCCAAATGGAGCTGGTCGGCGGCTGTGGGTCCAGATTGACATTGGCATCGGCAGCAAGCATGTATCGACTAGGCCCGAAACAAGCATGATCGTGCCCTAATGTGGGCTCCCGGGGGCTCTTGTACGGCTCAGTACCATTTGTTACCAATCGTTCTGGACAGGAGTCTCGCTGCATGAGTTCCTCCACTCTCGCTGCTATTGTCAAATCACCGCCACGACGAGCCCTCCCGTGCGCCATGCATCCCGATATCTGAGACACTCAACGCTTCATCCTGGCCTTCTATATTGCCACCCCGGCCTCGAACTTTTCCGTCCGCCAAAGGGTTGCCCTTGCCCCCCTGGATGTACGTAGGATTTCGTGTGGCAACCAGTCCAGTCTCTACGGAGGAACAGTTGTAAACCTCCGTACAGAAGTGCAGAGGGGGGTTGGAAACATTGCAGGAATCCATATGGTCCACGAACAATTCAAGCGAGATGCTTGTCTGCCCCGAGAACCCGCATCCTCTGACCGGGAACCCATCTACGGTGCATGATGTGTTCGAAATCCTCGTTCAAAGCAAGAATGTACTGAATCAACAGAAACACCAGCGCACGGCAGATCTCGTGCTCCGTGTCCCTCTTTGCCCGTGGTTGCCAACATTCTTCTCTGCGGCTTGCCGATGTTGCAGTCCCCGCCCAACCTCATCATAATATCAGGGCCGCAACCTTGCATGTGCCAGTCTAACACCTCCGCAAACCCTCGGCTCGAGCCTCAATCGACCGATAATAAACATATCATATTGGCGCCTTTGTCGCCTCTGCTCATAATTATGGGTCCGTGTGTCTGGTTTGCGTGCTCCCACCGAGACACTGGACCACTGGCAAGCTTTTGAATATCCCCCGGCTCAGGCTAGCCGGGTACTGTGACAATACTGTTACTTACTTTGCTTCTGCATGGGTGTTGATATGCCAATCCCTTTTCGGCCCTTCCACTCTCGATACCTACCCTCTCAAATTTCAAGAGATTGTTGTCTACGTAGCCAAGCGCTTGATCATCCATCATCGTCAACGTCAACAACGCTGGCGGCCACTTCAAACACAGGATGCCCACAAGAGTCCTTACTTACTCATCCATGAGGTAGCCAGATTACCGCAGGAGTTCAGCCTGTTGGGGAGCACTGCATCCGTGGCAGCATTCTCAATTACATGTTTTAAGGTTTTCCTAGTGGTGCTGGATGCCCGTGGCCGCGTAACGCAAGCCCGCGCCAGATATTTATGGTGTACACAATCCTATGCACGAGCCAGAAAGTCGGATCAGCATCTAAGGATACACAGGTCAGTTCTTATGCTCCTTCCACGGTTGCTACCGTCTGCTGCTCTCGTCCGTGTCCTACCTCCGCCACAAGGCGTCAGATGTGATGATGCCATGAATCGCGGCATCCACTTGAGTCACGTGATCTTGGTCACGAAGCAGTAAGCCATTGGCCGGAGTTATGCGGACGTGACTGGCCAACGCGTTCAGATGATTATTCAGTGCGGAAAAGGCATCAACCTCGCTGCCTCGTTTCGTTGCATAAAGACCAATTGAATTGCTTAACTCCCGAAAGAAGCAGATTCCATACTCCGTATCTTTCGCTCGTCTGCTCATTGACCATTGCATGCTTACCTTGCGTTCACTTAGCATGTCTTTGCGTCGCTCTACCCGAGTGGCAAATACAAGCATTGCAACTACGTCTGACCTTGCACTTCCAGCTAAGAAACGCTCAGCAGAACGCGCAGATGACAGCACAACCACCAAGAAAGTCAGACCTAACAAGTCAAAGCCTGTCTCACCAACAGAGGACGAGGAAGCCGTCTTCAAAAAGCCCGCTGCCCCGGCCACCCCGCTCCGCAAACGCCGCGCCGCCGCCCCAGACACCACTGTTCCACCGCTAACCCCGACACCTTCCCTTGTCAACGTCCTCCGCGCCCCCTACAGCAGCGGCGACATCGATGACAGCACGCCGCCATCGGACGACCGCCCCGTCGAGCCGCACATTACCAATGCCACCCTCGTTACCCCGGGCGGCACCCAATCCGTCGCCTACACCAACGGTCTGCCGGATTCCTCCCCCTCCAAGACCGGCCTGCCGCGGCCCATAGGCACCACCGGCTCCCTCCTGGACCAAGCCTGCGCGCACCTGACCAAAGTCGATCCACGCATGGCGCCCATCATCGCCGCGCACCCCTGCAACGTCTTCTCCTCCGCCGGCCTGGCCGAGCAGATTGACCCTTTCCGCTCCCTGGCCAGTGGCATCATGGGCCAGCAGGTCAGTGGCGCGGCAGCCAAGTCGATCAAGAACAAGTTTGTCGCGCTGTTCAACGACGATGTCACCAAGGTTCCGGTCTGGCCAACGCCTACCGTGGTAGCAGCGACGCCGATTCCGAGGTTACGCTTGGCGGGGCTGTCGGAGCGGAAGGCTGAGTACATTCAGGGACTGGCACAAAAGTTCAGGGATGGGGAGCTGACCAATGAGATGCTGATGAGGGCAAGTGACGAGGAAGTCATGGAGCGGTTGATCGCTGTGAGGGGCCTAGGGAAGTGGAGTGTAGAAATGTTTGCTTGTTTCGGGCTGAAGCGTTTGGATATTCTGTCGACAGGTGACCTGGGGGTGCAGCGGGGCATGGCTGCCTTCTTTGGGAAAGACGTCAAAAAACTGAAGGCGAAGGGTGGGGGCAAGTGGAAGTATATGAGCGAACAGGACATGCTCGACAAGTCGGCACCGTTCGCTCCGTACAGGAGCTTGTTTATGTGGTACATGTGGCGCGTTGAAGACGTGGACGTGGATGTGTTGCAACAGTAAAAAGGAGCTCTATGCGCCTCTGTCGATTCTCGTGGCTTCAGACAACCGGCATACGGCCGTCCCATAGTTATGTACAATATGCATGTCCGATCAAGTGTGGCGAAGGCCAGGCACATCCGACGCCCACCTAGTAGTGCTTCATGGCTTGCGTTCAATTCCTTGAGATCTTCATCGCCTCGAGATCCACTCGTTCCTTGTCTGCAGCCTCTATTTCTTTGATGATAGGCGTGAGGTAGGGATAATCCTGAGTATGTCAGTGGTGACCTCTGGTATGACCCATTCGTCCTTACCTCTTCTGGCTTCGTTTGTTCGGCAGGAGACAGCAGCTGGTGTGAAAGCGAGCACTGGACAGGTTAGTAATGATGCCGGGTTCATTGGTCCTCCTCGAAAATGTACCTGGAAAGCTCTCCTTAGGCGGAAAACGCGGTCGTATGCCTCCTTGGGCGGCAGTCTCTTGAGCGCAAGCTGGACTGTGTCATTTTCTTCCGGAATCAAGTCATCGGCACGGAGTCCTGGAGGTGTGTCAGGCAGGTGGCTTCATCGTTAGGTGTAATGATCATACCCAGTCGTCTGTAACCAGAGGCATCGGCGTACCAGTTGGCCAACGGCATCATCCATCTCTTCAACCAGGGTCGGCGAAGGACGTAGGGAGCAAGAGAAGGGCCCGACATGGTAGCTGAGGCTGTGGTGGTGGATTAGAGGACTGATCTGAGGTCTTCAGCGCAGTCTGGAGAGCTCTTGCTCGAATTCGGGATTGAGGCTTGGCAGAACTTAGCGAGGGAAGCACAAGCGCGACTGCATCATTGCTCTCCGCTCTTCTGGCGCCCTCATCCCCCAACCAACTTCATCGATACCTACACAAGCTGGCCTCAACGCCGTACAGTCCCTTCGAGTCTCCTGTACTCTGATCCGCTCACCTCTAGACGCTGCGTTCGCTGTCTGTTACCTATTGATGGCCTTTGTCACCGTCTGACAGGCCATTTCGGCTGGGCTGTGGCTGGACCCCGCTCCTTCCAATCCGCCGACGGTGAAGCGGAGGCCAGCACCAAAGCCCTCCACGTCGGCCTACAACAACCTCTAAAGCTCCCAAACGACAAGAATGACATTCAGAAAATGATTGCTTCCTTTTGAACGACACCGCTTGACATGTCCTTCGACCGCGACCACGCTCCCCAACCAGTTCTCCTTCCCCCAACACCTCAATATGCGACCGACCGTCGAGACGAGCCAGTTACTGCCACAAGCTTCAACACCATGCCTACTCCACCTTCAGACCTGCCCTTGCTCTCTCGAATACAGATATACTCGACATCGGTTCCGAAGGCGTGGATAAGCCCTATCTGTGGCGCCGGCGCGGGTCTGGCTTCTGGCATAGTGACGTGCCCTCTCGATGTGATCAAAACCAAATTGCAAGCCCAAGGCGGCTTTGCTAATAGAAACAAGACACAATTTCAGACCTCAAAGCAGCTATACCGTGGAATTTTCGGTACTGGATCGGTAATATGGAAGGAAGAGGGATTACGAGGCATGTACCGTGGGCTCGGACCTATGCTGATGGGATACCTCCCGACATGGGCAGTCTACCTCACCGTCTACGAGAATACCAGAGACTATTACTACGATCAATGTGGGAGCTGGTGGGTGGCTAGATGTTATTCGTCCCTGACGGCTGGGGCTTGCTCAACCGTGCTTACCAATCCGATATGGGTCATCAAAACCAGGCTCATGTCACAAAGTACGCGAGGCACCACTGATGGCATGCGGGCACCATGGCACTACACATCCACCTTGGACGCCGCAAGGAAGATGTATCGAGCCGAAGGAATGAGAGCCTTCTACTCCGGCCTCACTCCAGCTCTCCTTGGACTGACGCATGTTGCTGTACAATTCCCATTGTACGAGTGGTTCAAGATGAAGTTTACAGGCTACGGTATGGGCGAGCATCCGAAAGATGGCCATAGCCACTTTCTCGGTATCTCTGCAGCAACCTTTCTCAGCAAGGTTTGTGCTAGCACGGCGACATATCCACATGAAGTGCTTCGGACTCGGCTACAGACGCAGCAGCGTCAAGCAAGCGTCGCCAGCTCGGATGGTATGCGCGCGGCACAACAATACAAAGGAGTGATTTCCACATGCAGAGTCATGTTGGCCGAGGAAGGCTGGCGGGCATTCTATGCTGGGATAGGGGTCAATCTCGTTCGAGCAGTACCAGCAGCGATGACGACTATGTTGACATATGAGTACCTGCAGCGTGGCATCCAAGAGATGCAAGCCGAAGGAGCGGAGAAAATGAAGCCGCATGATGGCTATTCTGTATGACCGTCAGCTCAACGGCACCGCGGCACAGTATGTACCATGTGTTTGCGGGGAGCAGGGCGTTCACAGCTCGATACATAGTCAACAATGGGTTGGCAAAGGCTTCCATATACCGTGAGGGGAGCTATTTTCTGCGTCACTGGTCGAAATATCGACGTCAAGATTGAGGACGTGGAGTACGGCGTCTGGCCCAGATCATACGAAGCCTTTCTGTCGGTGGTAGGCAAGCGATATCGGAATATTGGTGTACGAGGTACGGGATTGGTATCAGGACCACAAGTTGGAGGAGACAGTCGGTGGTCAAGTGAAAGGGGTTGCCGATGTTATTCGTCAGGAGAAGACTAGATGGACTACACGGGCTTGTCAAGCAGTCTGCAAAGGGCAACGCAGATGACTGTATACATGCATTCAGACAGACACGATATGCGAGTTTCCAATACTAAATGAGATTCGCGTTTCTCAAAGCGGTTCACCACGGCTGCAAGATCTGATTTGCTATCTGCATGCATAGGCCTCTTCCAATCCGGCTCTTCACCCAGTGGCAGAAATTGCCAATTGTGATACCGCAATCCTCAACGGCTTCTCTGCTTACAACCGATGCCGCCAGAGTCGTGTTGATTGCAGCTTGTTTCCTGTTGGCATCTCGAACCCCAACGACTGGCTGCGGATGATCGACCGGACATTCGCGGGTGATTGCAAGCCGCCCTAGCCACGAGACCAGCGAGACCACCTCATCTCACTCTCAGCGACTGCAACTTCTTTTTCTGGGACCACCGAACACCTTCAAAATATCCTGGTGACTGCAAGTGAGCAATAGCAAGTCTCGGTAGTCAACAATGCCCAGAACGCAAAGACTCTTGCCGATCCAAGCAAGGACTGGTGCAGAATTCCAGGTTCTGCAGACGCCGATCTTGGTTCTCGGCCTGTCTGTTTCAGCAGACGCGGAGCTGTGTTTGGCTGGTACCTTCAGGCACCATCTGCCGACGCGAGACCACTCGGCGGAGCTTGTTCCGACTGCCAACGACCCATCAGAGGTGCGAAATGCCATCCATGGGCATCGCCTTGCTGGGATGGCAAGTCGTTTCACATTGAAGTGGGGATTGATGGTAAGTCATGAATGGACCAAACAGACGACCGTCACTGCGCTGGACCACGGCGCTGGAATCGCTGCCGGCCTTAGGGCCCTGGCTGTGGTCTGCTTGCAGGCCAGGCTCGCAGGCTCGCGTGTGAGTGCATGTATACTTTCCTTGTCCCTAGTCCGTCGGAGTTCCCTCTCAGTGAAATTCGAGTGTATTCTGGCTTCAGTTAGTCAATATGGCTCTCAGCAAGGCGGGATCACTGAATCTCATCAATGCGACTCCTTTCGACTGGAGTAAGATATACGACCATTCATATCAGATGTCCGAATGGGACTTCCCAGAGCAGGTTAAATCCGGCGATATTGTCAGCGTCGAGGTTGACTGGAGTGTACTGGGAAGTCGTGAAGACTCCGCAGGGGAAGCATCCTACAGCTTCACGACAGATACTGGAGAAGACGCGGAGCTCCAATTCAAGGCGACCTATGACGGCAACAGACAGTTCCACGTTCTCTACGAGAACTCGTCGACATTCGGCAACCCACCAGGGTCAACGGCGGACCTCCAATGGTCAAAAGATGCCCCCAATCCCTATGTGTTCTCAGGCCAACAGCAGGCCTCGTTTGCTTCTACAAATCCGTAAGTGGCCCCCAACCATTGCAAGTGGCGAAGCGACAAGGTATGGAGCAGGCAGAAAGTACGCACTGCTTTGCTCCATCTTTCAACGCTGGCAGTCTTGATTGAGCAGTGACTGACCAAGCTCAGGCCCTCAGACTGGATGCATCAGAATCTTCCGTCGATAGGTTGCCAAACACTCTCACGCCTGTGCCTGCCCGCCTCCCACAATTCCGGCATGTCTTCGCTAAATGGAAAAACTGCATTCGCCACGAACGAGAATACCCTCTGCCAAAACACGGACCTCCTCGGTCAACTCAGTGCCGGCTTCCGCTACTTCGACATACGGCCCGTTATCGCTTCTGGGTCATTCGCAACCGGCCATTACTCTTCTGTCTCCGCCGATGGCATCGGCATTGACCTCCCTCCCCTACCTTCCGGGCTCCCCGATTTCATATCGAATCCCATAGACGACATCACCGATGGCTCCTTCCAAGGCGGCAACGGCCAGTCCATCGCCTCCATCATCTCGCAAATCAACGACTTTCTAGCCAACAACTGGGAGCTCGTCATCATCAACCTCTCCCACACGATGGACACGGACCACGACTACGTGCGCCTCTCCCAAGACCAACTCGAAGACCTCTTCGAGCAGCTCCTCGGCCTGAAGCACCGCTTCATCGCCCCCCAGGACGTCACGGACCTGACGGCGCTCCCGCTCGAGGACTTCATCAAGGATGGCCCCGCCGTGCTCATCATCCTCGACAACGCACAGGCCGGCGAGGACATGAAACCGGCCGCGTTCGCCGACCAGGGCTTCTACACCGACGCCCACTTCCCCGTCTACAACCAATTCGCCAACACGGACAACGTCGACGACATGTCCCGCGACCAGCTGAAGAAGATGAATGACGAGGCGCCCCAAAAGAACGACGGCGGCCTCTTTCTGCTGAGCTGGACACTGACGACGCCGCTGGACATCCGCGCCAGTAGCATGGCGGCCAACGCACGGCTGTTCGCGGATGTCTGGCCCGTGACGCGCGACAAGGGCAAGGCGGACAGAGTCTTCCCCAATCTGGTCATGGTGGATGGCGTTGGGAGGAAGGGCTCAGCAATCAAGGCCGGAGGCGTCGCTGCGCTGTGTATGGCGGTCAATAGCTGGGTGAATGATGATTGTCGCGCCAAGAAGCGCTGAGATGTGCGAATGTGGCTTCTGGGTGGAACTTGCGCTTCGCACGCGGTTCGAGGACTGGTAGACGAAAGATTGCGGTGCGGACTATATGCTCGCCTGTGATAGCTTCAGCATGAGACGACTGCTCCAAGCGGAGAGAGTGTCGGCCTGCGCCAGGTCTGCGAGTAAGGCCATTTCGCCAGTGAGCTGTATTGTTAAAGAGTCAAAATGTCTTGGTGCAGCGAGACTCTCGTCGGCGCGCTGGGCGCAGGAACCACGATTGTTACTCATCGAATGCCCCCGTGGGAGGGGTGATTCGTCCGGTGAGTGGCTATCTTCTATTCGACATAGGCAGGATACAACTAAAGGCACAAAGAGCATATTTGGCGCCACGCCGCAAGAGCTGTCGGTAGGGACGACGATGGGCGGAGCGCAGGATCTGATGAAGAATCTAGGGGAAAGTCTCGAAGGTGGGTTGGAATATGATGATGAGTATATATATGCTACATGTAGCGTTGTTGGGAGGTAGTTGAGCGCGGTTTCGAATACTCTGATCCAGTGCCCGTCGGGTTATCACTGTATGCTCACTCCTACTTCGAAAACTTCACAGCATCTCTTTGCCGTGGTTCTCGCTTCCACGGACACCCATTTCCGCGTCTTGAGATATGACATGCGCCTGCGCCTGCCGCTGCTTGCCCCTAGACTTACACGGTCCATGGAGAGTCACACATGTATGCCCAGGATGGGTAGGAGTGAGAAGGTTTGGCCTATAGCTTGACTCCAGCCCCAAGTCCGTCAGATTGAATGCCCAGAAGGCGTGTATGACGATGAGTTGATACTAGGCTTATTTATCGGCAAGTGGTTTCAAGAGTTGTCATTGAGAATCCGCTCTCATGTAAAAGGACGGTGTGTAAGCCAGCGACGAGTTGGAAGAAGTGACTTTGCTTGCACGAGCACGAATCGTTGTGCTGGCTGCCCAGCCGATTGAGGGCACCAGAGCACCGGCCAAAGGGCGGAGTCCAGCACATTGCGTCTCATACAGAGCTTTGACCTGACGTCGAAGGCTTCCGGCAGCGAACCATAGGGGCATGATGCTGATAGCGTGGAGGTCGCTTCGTGGAAGGCGGTGTCACGATTGGTTTGACGCAAACGTCCACTGGGCCTCTCAAAAGACCCTAGACGGTTATTTGGAACAGATAGGCAACCCGATGGCTTACAAGTCGACTTCCTACTTGCTTGCGCGACGGCAGATGTTGCTTGCAGGTGGACCATCGCCACCTTTGGGCCCCCATGTCAGGCTAGGCCTACCATTCGGAAAAAGGGCTGGCAGTGCGAGCACATACTCCTGGCCCCAATGTGCCACTCAGATGTTATGCACTGTTCGCAGGCTCAATTTTCAAGAGCTTCGTAGGACGAGAAATTGTTGAGGGCTAGACGTAAGTATCTTGGCGTTGGTAAGGCTGAGAACGCCGGTGGCTTCAGACGAGTTTAGGACATTACTTTGCTAGACGGCAACCAGCATTCGCTGCCGCAAAACCGGAAGAAGTCGTGATCTGCAGGCCAGTCTTTGTAATTGACAGGGAACGGTCTTCTGTTGGGCTTGTCCCATGTGGAACTCGTGCGAGGAAGTGCATACCGTGTTCAAGAAGTGTCAGTGGGATAGACTTCCGGGTCCGTGATTCCATGATCAGATCCTGCCGAGGTCGTGGTCTGAATGGTAATCACTATTCGTCGATTTCACTCTATCGATCTGTACAGATATGGATGCAAAGATCACCCGCCATGAGCTTCTGAGAATACGCGCCATATTGTGGTAAAAGCTCGAGGGTTTTCAGGAGCCAGATTCTCCGGTGTCACTGGCCAGTACTGTGCAATTGTCAAAAACTCCCAAAATGTAATGGGCCGAGCAAAACGCCTCGAGATATCGGGACGTGTTCGTCCAATCATCGCATGGATTGCCCGATATGTAAGCCTCGTGATTGGTAGAGACCATGGCATAAAGCTTGAAACGTTGTGGGGAAGCGGGATACTCCAGTAGGAGGGTTGAGTTAACATACTTCTGACCGGACGTACCTAACAAGGCGGGTTGAGGGTGGGTGGCATGGACAGAAGCCATGTGTGGAGTTCGGTACCTGCTGAACCAATGAAGACAGCTTGAGCCAGCCAGCAGGTAGCGCAAACACCTTGAGTGGCCATGCTGGAGGACAAAGGTTGGAAGTATACCGGTTCCGCAGACACATAACGGCTGCTACGGTCGGGGTGATTGTCAGAGCGCCGAGAAGGTCGAAGACGAGCCACGCACTGGATTCGGAGCAGAGTACAGCGTTGGAAAGTGCAAATACATACGGAAACCGAGCGAAATCGCTGCACGCTGCACGCTGCACGTCCTGGCTTAAGTAAGAACCTATTCCTTTGTGAAAGGACGTTAGTCATCGGGGTATTTGCATGGAGAGCCGATCGATACATTAGCCTTGCATCGGCAGTGTCACAGCGTAGGGTAGGAACAGGTAAATAGCAAGCAAAAGTGGTGGGTATTCCCGTCATCGCTCAGTCAGAATCATAACTCTTGCCTTGAGGGAGAGAAGGGAGCTCGAGAGCCATTCCCAGTAATTCCAGCAACTTGCAGTTTTGCTGCCATTGCGAAGTTGCAGAACGCGCGAATTTCGGCATTTGAGGTGCCGCTACGATCCGGCGAGAACGCGTGGTGACCATGGTGATCGTGGCGATCTACCGGACAACAGACGTAGTGCATTGGACGGGATCGATGGCCCTAGGCTCGCTGTATGTGGATTCCAGGGACTGCGGAGTAGGCAGTGGTCTCGGTGCAAATAGGTGTGACCCGTGTATCGACATGTGGCTCGACTCGAGGAGGGAATCCCGATATCCTGGGTCGTCTAGAGCGGATGAAGGTGGAAGTGATGAGCTTGTCGATTCGTTGAGGCGCAAGTTGACACCTTCTGACACTAAACTTGATCTGGCAATTGCCGCGGCAGCCTCGTTTCGCCGGCGCCGAGATCCCGGACTCCGCTGAAAAGCTGCAAAGCTGAACCTGAAGCACCTGAAGCACCTCGAGGGCTGTCAGGCAATCTCTTCCGGTGCATGATTGTATTTTGGTCTCTGTCTTTGCTCGTGCTACTGTCTTACAGTGTTACAGTGTGGCTGTTCAGCACTTCGAGTCCTTCGGAAACAATATCCATGTCTCTGAGCCGTCCTGCAGCAGTGCACATGAATAAGGACCGTGAAGCTTGTACTCTGCTACACTGCACAGGTAGAGTTCAGAAAAGATACGATCTAAACCCCACGAGGTAGCAGCATCTGCATGAGCCATTGGTCGAGGGCCTAGCAGCCATCGCCGCTCCGCTTTTCGCAGCACTCGTCGATCCCGGCCCTTGCTTGCGGCGGCCTCATAAGCTTCGAGCCACACCACCAGCCGTTCAAATACTCGCACTCCAGGCAGATATATATGCCGCCCAGTGGGGCATGCATATGGTTTGGAAGCCTGGGTGGCCGCGTCGCAATTGAACGAGCTCAAATTCCCGGACACATTTCCCATCCCCCCGCCCAAACGACATACTTTACAGCTTTGCCTGCTACGTACTACTATTGCTCGCAGATCGACGCTCGTCCACTGGTCAACGCACTCTCGCGTTTCTTGCTCCTGGCTCATCGAACTTCTCCGAGATGCAACACACCCGTACGTGCGCACTCAACCCAAAGCCATGAAACGGTGTGCCCTATTCAGACTTTAGGCGTCCCCCCGCTACTGCGTACCTGATCCAATGGCCGGCCAGGTTTCCCATGCTGCTTTATCTTTGACCTGTCAATCCTGGGCCCCGTCCTCCGAGGTTGAGTTTGGCCGGTCTGTGCGAGCCCCCCCGGCTGGTTCGCTCCCCAGCAAACCCATAACACTTTTGAGACGTACACACTCGACCCACCAAGGGATCGTTTCCAATTTGACCACATGTTCACTTGGTTTGTGCACGTACCCTACAGGGCTGTCGAGATGCCAATCAGATAGCACCGAGAACGCTCACCTCTGCACCTCTCGTGGTATGACGACGGCGGCTTTTACCCAAGCTCTCTCCCCTGCTTCCAACTTTCTGACTTTCTCCATCTGCAGCGATGCCGATCGCAGACTAGTCGTACAGCTAACATTACTACTTCCTCTAGGTACTTGAATCTCTTGTATCCTTAAGCTCGATCCTTCCCCTTCTACATTCCTGGTCTAGACCTGGCGAGTCCGCTATCAATTACTCCGCCGAATATACAGTAAACGTTATCAGCAACTGGCAAATTACCGATATAGAGCCATGAATCTGTACGGAGCCGATATCATGGGCAGTCAGCTCGTCGATGTTCCTTATCTCACGTCACAATTCAACTTGGACCAACCACCATACCAAGTGCCAGATCCAAATTCGATGGCCTCATCTATCAAGAGTGAATCTTTCGACAACGTTATGGGTGGAGCATTCGACGATTTTGAGCTCCGAGCCGACCGATCACTTTCATATTCAGGAGCATCTAGCCAGTCATTGTCACCTCAACCTCATAAACGATCGTCATTATCTCTGTTGCCGGAGCTATCGATGAATGGTGACTTGTTCGGACCCAGTAGCGAACAAATCTCGCCCACCACCTCAATTTCCCTTTCACGCAAAGACTCTGTTGATGAGGACCACCGAGCAGAGGTAAAGCCACCTACGGGCACGCTGTCATAACTGAGACAATACTAACGTGGTCGCACAGAGACGCAGGGCGCAGAACAGGGCCGCGCAGAGGGCTTACAGACAGCGAAAAGACCAGAGTCTGAAGCAACGGGAGAAGGAGGTGGAGAGCCTTCGGGAGGAGCTGGACAAAGCTCAACGTCTCAATCGAACGTTGTGCAAAGTTGTCGCTCTGCTCAGAGAGCGACTGAAAGAGCCTGCCGACCCTGAGGAGCCTTGACACACTACAGCATTTCACTTCTAGTACATTTCTACATCATCACATGGGAGGGACATGAATTAATTGTACGTTGGGAAGCGCACGGGAGTTTCAAATCCACGTCTGCGGGACGACTGGGAGGGCTACCGCAGGTTTTGCGTGTCGCAGAGGCGGGGGAACCATGATCCAGAACTTGGCATCCAACACCCATACTATGTAGAAGAACCCATCAAGACCCAGGAGGTCACCCAGCGAGAAGCTGCTCTCAATTGCGACCGTGTCACTGCTGGGGAGGAAAAAGTGTGGGCACCTAGACGTTTAGGCCTTCAGTATTGATTACCGAATCCTCGGGGTAACTTGTATAGACCCTGCACCGCGGATCAGCTCCGGGGCGATGTCGCTGCCGGTCATCGCTCCCATCTCGTATCTCGTCGGCTCTCGGACTCTCCATCAGTCGATCCTTGCCAAGCTTTGAGGCCACCTTGAGCTTGGCTTGAGCTCTATCTCAAAGCACCGTTCTGCTCTAGCGTGTCCTGGCTGGACCCTCTTCCGAGTCGATTTGTCAACATCGACAATCTCCCTCTCGCGATTTGCATCATCTCGGAGTATTCTCGTACATTACCGGTAGCGGTTCCAGTCACCCACGTGCGACCGCTGGACGTTCCCGACACAGGCAACCTACCAAGGCATGGAATGACCGTTAGCTGGCTTCGCTGCCAGCCCCTATCTCAAATGGCCGCCTCCACCCGGCCCTTTGCAACCGCAACTAAGCTCTCGAAGCAGCTCTCTCTGAAACCACCGCAACCTCGAGGCTCAGACGATGAGACGAGCCCGCTGCTCGCACCACCTCGCAGGCAATCAACCTCGGAGTTTCCCGGAGATGCCGATACGGAGGAGCAGGCCGACTCGGATGGCCTCTACCCTCCACACTCATGCTGGACAGAGGCCGAGGGGTGGATGGAGGGTGCGAAAGAGCGCGCCGACCCTTTCAAGACGAGACATTGTCGCGTCTATGAGAACATCCACCGCATCCGACGCGACATCATTGACAGCATCGACGACCCTTATTCTCTCGATCAGCTCAAGGCTCCACGTATGAACATAACTGTGGTCCGGCCGCTAGTTGACGAATACTATGACTCACAGGATCTCTCCATGATCTATTGCCTGCTGGTGAACCGATCTCAGTTTATACGGGAGCATTCCTTCGCCGCCTACCACCAGACCGTCAACCTTACGAGGGCGCTTCTATGCGAGATTGTTGCCGAGAGGGTGCTCCGCCGCTTCAACGATCATTCTCCTGGTCCGCGAGGTCTGCTCAAGCTAGCTACCATCCTAGTCGCCGGTTTTGACCCATTCCAGAATGCCCCAGAGGAACTCCTCAACGACGTCGACAGCGACCACAACATCCAGTTCTTCATGCGCGATCGCGACTGGAAGAACTCAGGTGAAGGCAAACTCACTGCCCTGGAAGTGGCCATCGTCTCGGAATCCAAGAACTTCCTGGCCAGTGGTGCTTGCCAAAAGGTCGTGGATGCGATCTACAAAGGATCCGTGGTTTATTCGCCAACCAGCTTCATCGACATCCTTCCTGACCGATGGAAAAGTCGTCCTGTGAGCTTGTATGACCCGCGCAAAGCTCCAGTCCTCAATCAGTACCGCTTGATGGTTCCAAGGACACGGAAGGCGATCGAGCTGGTCCAATTTGTCATCCTGCTTGCTTTGTTCTTGAGGGTGATGCTGAAACGCCAGTCTCGAGAAGACAATGACCAGACCTTTGGAGTAGACGAAATTGTCTTTATGGTGTACGGTGCTGGCTGGGTAAGTGAGGCTCCCCCCAACGACAATCCGCGCTAACCTCCAAGGTTCTCGACCAAATCGCCTCCATCTTCGAGCATGGATGGGAAGTATACACCCAAAACCTGTGGTCATTCCTCGACGTGCTCTTCTCTATGATCTTTGTGGCATACCTTGGTATACGACTCAATGGTTTCCGCCTGGCCGACGAAGCCGCTGCAGGAGCGCATGCTGCCACAGCCTTCGATGTTCTTGGCTGTGGCGCACCTGTACTGATCCCGCGGCTGGCATTCAACGTCATGTCCGAGAACATGCTCTTTGTTGGATTACGAGGCATGATGCGTGACTTTCTCACACTAAGCGCCCTCGCCATCTGGTCATTTGCTGGCTTTTTGTTGAGCATCAAATGGCTTCATAACGATCTGCACAAAGTACGTGCGGGCTCCTTGACAATTCTTCGCAGCACTGACAATGCCAGAGCTGGGATATTGCCAAATGGATGGTGTGGATCTGGTTCGGCCTTGATGCCACCGGAATCGAAGAGTCTGAAGACTTTCACTGGTTCCTGGGGCCCTTTCTCATGATCACCTTCACTTTTCTAGGCAACACCCTCTTTCTCACCATCCTCATCTCGATGCTCTCCAATACCTTCAGCCTGATCGTCAAGAATGCCGTTCAGGAAGTTCAGTATCGCCGAGCCGTGGTCTGCTATATGGGTGTCAAAGCGGATGCGATATTCAGCTACTGGCCCCCATTCAATATTCTTGCTTTGGTCATCTTGCTACCGATGAAGCTACTTGTCACATCACGCCAGTTTCACACTATCAACGTCTTCTTCATCCGCATTTTGAATGCTCCATTACTACTTCTGGTCGCCTGGTACGAGCGCCGGACAATGTGGACTACTTCCGATAAACGGACTAGGCGTCCAACACGCATTGATTGGGGAAACCCGAATGGGCCCCGAGCTCTGAGCAGCAGAAGCTGGCTTGAGAGCCTTAACACAGTCTGGGACTTCTGCCGCTTCAACGCTCATGGTGACATACAAGCAGTTTTCGACATCACACCGCCGCATAAAAGCCCTGAACAAGGCCGCAATGGCGATGCCAACTCCGGCAACCCCAGTGAGAGCGCTGCGCAGAAAATCGCTAATCAGTTCAAACGGCCTTCGTTGTCTGGGCGCAGAGTGTCTTCGATAGGGCCCAAGTCTCGCAGCTCGGTCAGTAAGAACACCAAACCGGCTCAACCAAGCCGTCGCTCGTCTGATAAGCTCAGGCAAGAATTTCCCGACAGCGGCTCTGATGGGTCTGATGAGGATGGGGCACCCCGCGGTCACAAGCGCCCCAAACGGAGCGGAAGAGTAGATTCCATCATTGATTATAGCGACAGCAATGGTGCAATGCAAGAGGCGAATGTGAGACTCAATCAAATGGAGGAAACGCTGCAGAGGCTAGAGATGATGATGCACCAGATGATGGGTGGAGCCGAGGATGGTGCTGTTGATGAGGATGCCGCGGGCGAGAGTGAGAGAACTGACAGCCATGATAGCCAGGAAGCTGAGAACGAGCTGAGGAAAGGGTACTCGCAGTAACATTTGCAAATATGTACAGCAGCGGCGGCGGCAGCTTTGGATAGCGCTTCGCTTGCTGTAGATGTCGCGGTAGGATCTTGGGTTGGTACAGAATCGACTTGCCTTTCCTTTCACGACTCAGCCAGTCACTCGAATGGCTACTCCATGTGCGAAGTCTTCCTCCTGCGCTCGCGCTGTTCTGCTCTTCTGATCTCAATTGTTGTTCGAACATGCCGCGGGATCCCTCCCTTGCCTCAACTCTGCTACCGAAGCACCACTCATGCACTCGGCTGATCTAAGCCAACAGACCTTGCTGACAACAATTTCGACATGCACGTGAAGATCCGCAACCGACCCCACCAACTCAAGCGTGTGAAGTCTGCAAATACGCTGCCCCTTTCGCGGGAATATCATGCTGCAACGGTATCGAGCCGGACTTGTCCACCACTGCACTTAACTGGCATCAACGAAGGCCATCATCGATCGTCGCCGCCCTCCCGTGTGCTAGTAAAGCATCGAAGTTCCGCAACTCTCACAAACGCCGGGAACATGAGTTGAGTCTTCTTCTCTCTGACTCTCATCATAATCACGAAATCAAGCCTCCCAACGTGTTCCAGGGAGTTGCCTGCCCCGGCCATTCGCCGGCGATATAGCCCTAGGTATAGTGAGCAGACCATAGCCGCTGTCGTCCACGTCACACTCGTCCAACCCCACCTGGAAATTCACCTCCTCCGCGGTTGCCACGTCCCGCTTCGTTCGTTGGTGAGTGGGTCCCGCACCGCCCGTTCCGGCGCCACAGGGATGATCCCAACTCGTCGTTGATAACAAAGTCCTGACTGCAATCAATCGAAAAGCCTTTCTCGAGCGGAGCAGCAGCCACTGCGACGACATATCGTTGTTGCCTACTTTGGCTGACGGTATCGACAGGAGGCAAGAGCCGGACTGGACACGACACGGAAAGCCCGGCCTGCAACGAACATCGTTTTCTGCTGTGTCACCCATTCTTATCGCTGGCTAGATAGACCCTTGCCTCCGCCGCTTCGTTCCTGGCCTACTCCCTCCAAACGCAGAGACAACAACCCGGTTCATCCTAAATCTTACTCTTGCACCGGAAGTGACGTCCCACGCCTGGCAGTGTGGTTCTACAGCTGCATATGCAGATGAGGGCCACGCGCGTCCGGCTGCTCCTCCTAGCAGCCATCCTCTGGCCCGTTCTAGCCACAGCGACAGCTCCACCCACGGATGGCAGCGACATCCGTACAGCGACGACAGGTGATCCCATCCCAGCAGCCGTGCGCAGCCGATGGATGGCCCGCGCCAAAGCCGCGCTGGGAGAGCTGGCGGGGACGCCATGCCCGTTTGCGGCGTTTGGAGCGGCGGTGGTGAACCACACTGCGGGGCCCGCTGATGACGATGGTGGGGAGCTGGTTTGTTTGGGCGTCAATAGTGTGAGGAGGGATGGGAATCCCACGCTGCATGGTAAGTGTGTTTTATATATGAATTGTGGGTCGTGTTTGATGATGTGAGGAGAGGTGGGAGGCGTGACAGGACGGTAGCAATAGCAAAAGCGAGGCTATGTCGGGTGTTGGCCAGGATCGTTTTGTTGCGGTCCTCTTTTCACAGTCCCTGTCCCTGTTGAGACATTCCTTGAACCGGCGGCCGAATAGACTGCCAGCTGACATTCCTCGCAACAGGCGAAGTCGCGGCCATCAACAACTGCACCTCAATCCTGACCTCGCCTGATGGACCCTACAAGTACAACGGCCAACAGGCGCTCGACGCCCTCACACAACTGAGTCTGTACACAACCGCCGAAGCCTGTCCGATGGTAGGTACACTTATTTATACCTTCCACCCCCTCCCTCCGCCTACCTTGCCTCTCTCCCTGCTAATATTACCTGTTCACTCGATCTAGTGCGCCTCGGCAATAGCCCAAGCCAACTTCGCCGAATACATCTTTGCGACGTCCATCCCGGACCTGATCTCCTGGGGCTGGCCTCAGATCTCCATTCGCTCCCTCGAGGTCTTCGAACGCTCGGCCGGCGTGCAGAGGAGGCAGGTGACGCGCATCGTGCAGGGCGTGCTGCGGGAGGAGACGGATCCGCTGTTCCAGTGGCAGTTTCAAGCGCGGGGCGAGTGTCCGCGTGGCTGTGCGCGGGAGGGGAAGGGGGTTTGCGGCGCTGTTAAAGAAGACGGGGAGCATGATGAGCTTTAAGAGCTCCGCGGTCGACAGCGACCGAAGGATTAGAGCTCATGATAATGATGACGCGCTGCTTTTTGCCAGGAGGTTCAGTGCACTGCCTGCAAGTATGAAGCCGCATTGGTCCTTGCTCAGCGTATGCTTGACGGGTATGGTGAAGCTCTGACCGTCCTTCTTGGTGACCTTGATGCTGACATCGCCCTGGCCGCCATTCTGCAGGACATCGTACAGGCCTTCTGTGTCCACCACATCATTAGCGCTGATCCTGTCGTAGTCGGCCTTGTCGGCAAAGGTCAAGGGCACCACGCCCTGCTTCTTGAGGTTCGTCTCGTGGATGCGTGCGAAGCTCTTGGTCAGGATGACGCGACCGCCGAGGTAGCGGGGTTGCAAGGCCGCGTGCTCGCGAGCTGAGCCTTCGCCGTAGTTGTCCTCGGCGACCACCAGCCACGGCTGGTTCTGCTCTTTCCACTTCTTAGCGAGTTCGGGGATGGAGCACTGGGTTCCGTCGGCATCGTAGGCGACATTCGTCTCGCCGGTTTCAGCATTGACGGCTCCGATGAGGGTGTTCTCCGATATGTTGGGCAGGTGCCCTTTGTACTTCAGCCAAGGCCCTGCGGCGGAGATTGTGTCGGTGGTGCACTGGCCCTTGACCTTGTAGAGGACCTTCAAACCTGTGAGCTCGCCTTCCCCGTATGGCTCAAATGGGTCGAGGATGGCAAGACGGTCGGATTCTGGATCCACCGCGACTTGGACACCGGCGTCGGGCGAAGCTGTGGTGGGCATGAAATCCGGGTTCCCGATGGAGAAGCCGGAGCCGGGCAGCCGAGTGCCTTTTGGAGGCTGGAACTTGAATTCTTCGCCTGATGGTAGAGGGATCGAGTCCGTCATGGGGTTGAAGGAAGTGGAGCCAGAGTACGACATGGCTGTCACGAGCTCAGGGGAAGCTAAAAAGCTCATCGTCTTGCGGTTGCCATCGTTGCGGCCAGGGAAGTTTCGGTTATACGAGCACAAGATCGCGTTCTCTTCGCCCTTCTCCACCCCGTCGGTTCGTTTCCATTGCCCTATGCAAGGCTGGGGAGATGTCAGTATACTTTTGTCAACATAGGGGAAGAGCAGTAGGTGATCTTATGTTGCGACTGAGACCCAGTCTCGCACGCAATAGGGAGGCTTCTTCAAGGGTTTGTGTAGAACTTACACCACAAGCGTTGGCAAGGACAGTGCCGCCGGCAGCAGAAAATGTTTGGAGGGTATTGCTGTCTGCGAGAGTGGCCCTGATTTGTTCACTGCCGGGAGTGATGAAGAAATCAGACCTCGGCTTCAAACCAGCAGCATGCGCTTGCTTAACCAGATCTTCCGCTCGTGTCATATCTTCATAGGATGAATTCGTGCAAGAGCCGATCAGACCAGCTCCAAAAGTTGAAGGCCACTTGTTGGTTTTCACAGCGTCCTTGAATTTGGACAGCGGCGTCGACAGGTCCGGGGTGAATGGCCCATTTATGTGTGGTTCCAGTGCTGAGAGGTCGATGGTGATCTCCTGGTCATACCCAACGCCGGAGTCGGCCTTTAGAAAGTTGTATTTCTCTGAACCATACGCAATACCTTGTACAGCATCGACGATCGATGTGCGACCAGTGGCATTGAGATAGGGGACATGGCTGTTGGTGAAGGGAAAGATAGAGGTTGTAGCTCCCACTTCGGCGCTAGAAAGAGTCAGTGAAGTCCGGTATGAATCGGAGGCCAGAGAGCAAATTTACCCCATGTTGCAGATCGTGGACATGCCAGTGGCACTCAGAGTGTCGACGCCAGGACCATGGTACTCGATGATGAATCCTGTGCCTCCGCGAACGGTGAGCTTGCCGGCCAAATACAAAATCACGTCCTTAGGCGACGCCCAGCCATTGAGCTTGCCTTCTAGCCTCACCCCCAGGATTTTTGGGGCCTTGAGCTCCCAGGGCGCGTTGACGAGTGCATCGACAGCATCGGCACCGCCGACACCAATCGCAATAGCTCCCAAGCCGCCGGCATTGGGTGTATGGCTGTCGGTACCAAGCATCATCAGACCTGGGGCGGCATAGTTCTCGAGCACCGACTGGTGGATGATGCCCGCGCCAGGAGGCCAAAACTCGATTCCGTATTTCTTTGCAGCCGACTCGAGAAAGTCAAAGACCTCTTTATTCCCAGCGATCGAGTTCGGAAGATCAGTATCAGCGCCTTTCTCGCCGACGATCATGTGATCGCAGTGTATGCTCGCCGGCACCGCTGTGCTAGACAAATTACACGTCATAAACTGCAGTATGGCCATCTGCGCGGACGCGTCTTGCATGGCGACACGATCGGGCTTGAGCTTGAGGTTGGCATTGCCGCGGATGCTCTTGCCATTGTCGGTGTGCTCGAGCAAAGACTCTTCAGGGTTGTCGAGGTGGGAGTAGAGGATTTTTTCCGCCAAGCTCAGCTTCTGGGAACCAAGTATCGAGCGCACGTCCTCGAAGTTTTGCAGGATTTTCTTGTAGGGAGGGACGGCAGCTTTGCGGCGCGGCGAGGACTGGCTGGCCGCGGGGACAGCATAGGTGCGGCGAGGGACTCGGGCGCGGGAGCCGAGATCGAGAGGGCAGCGAGCACGCAGCGGGGCAGTGCGCTGCATGAGGCTTGCCATGGTGAGGAGAAGAGAGGAGAGGAGGGTATGTCGCTATCGTTGACCAGCTGTCAGAATGGTGGTCGCTACTCCGTCCCAGGAGAACTTTTGTGATCCGCGACCGGCGTTGGGTCCCAAATTCTCTGGAGAACTGGGGCAGCATTCCGCCAATCAGAAAGTGTCTTTTACAACTACTGCCTGTGATCGCGGAATGCTTGCACGGGTGCATATTGAGCCTTGATTCTGGACGTATGGACAAGCAGAATTATTCAGCTGGAAGTTGAGAGATGGTTGGTCAGCGTCGAGCAAGAGCACAGGACCAGGTACTTCCACATCTCCTTCGCCGTAACCACCTCCTTTCTCGGACTAATGCTTCGCCCCAACTTCCTCCACCGAATACTCACCCCGGCGCTTGTACCCTACTCCCTCAGCCCCTTCGAGCTGGCCATCTTGACGCCCGAGCGGAGTCCAGTCCAACCACCTCAGCGTAGTCATGGCGTCCTCGCCACCTCTAGCATAAGTGCTGTAAGCATAGTACACCTTACCCGCCTCTCCCCCCTTGCCCACACCTCCATCCTTAGGCTCCCCACCCAACACAAAGATGCTATGACCCGGCTGTTCCCCCTCGGCGAACCACGGCATCTTCCTTTGCTGCCAATGCTCGGCAGGTTGGAAGTTATAGTGCGGGTTCTTCTCTTTGTCGACCGTCACCTGATAATCATAATTGAAATCCTGCCCGTACGAGCTCACCCAGCGGAAGCGATCAAACCCCATCTTCTCCTTGTATGCTTTGATCTGCTCTGGCTTGGCCCGGCTTACAACGACGAGATTGGTGTTGTGCGAGCGGAGGTGCTCCAGTGGCGGGATATGGTCCAGGAAGAGCGTGCAAGATGAGCAGGCTTGCTCCTGGTCGGGCGAGAACATGGCGTGGTACACAATCAGCTGCTTCCGATCGCCGAAGAGGTTGCGCAGTGACAGCGTCTCGCCCGACTCGGAGTCGACGAACTCGTAGCTTTTATCGACAGCGACAAGCGGCAGTTGGTTGCGTTGCTTGGTGATTTGGTCACGGAGACGCGTCAGCTCTTTCTCCTTCTCCAGGAGCGAGATGCGCAGTGGGAGGTAGTCGCTGTAGCTGCTGACCTGATGGGTTGTTAGTGGGTGACAATGTCGTCTCATCGCGGAACGACTGACGTCTGCAGTGGCCATGGTGGTGTTGATTGCCCGTCAAGGTGCGGGATTTGACGTATGAGCTGCTTTGATGGACGGTACGAATGTAGCTCTCCTTTGGACACTCTCAAGCGATCTTTGTGCACTATCCAACGACCTTTTATACCTCTTGACTTACACTCAACCCTTCTCTGACCACTGGAGCGACTTTTGACCGACTCTGAAAATCGACGTTTTCGCATAGCTTCGATGTGCAAAGATACGGGACCCTTGAAGCTTCGAACACGAGCGCGTGTCCTCGTGCTACCAATAGCGGTGTGCGGGGAAGACATGGTCTCACGAGATGTGAGCGCAATCAGGTGATTTGATTGCTTGGCTAGGGGGTTTGTTGCCTGGCGCTGCCTGAAGCTGTAACCGAAGCACAATGCTTGCGGACGTAAGAAGTGCATCCGGCGTCTCTTTGAATGGCTTCCAACGCCGAACAAAGCCAGCAAAGCAGCGAACACGCTGTCGCAATGAGATGAGCGCGGATGCCTCTTACACCGGTGAGCAATTTACACGACTATGTGGCAATAATGCGTCGCACTCTCGACTTTTGCTTCATGATCAACCTCCTTGGGATGGGGGGGCATACATCATGTCGTGAAAAGCGTATGACGATGCCATATTGACGTCTGGTGCATTCGCAAGCAGGTCGTAACCCATGTTCATGCTCCAAAGCATGTCGTCCTCATTTTGCCAGCCTCCATAGGTCGCGCCGGAGCTGGGGCTGATGCCATACGTATCGTACCCAGAATTGCTTCGAGGCGGCCCTCCAAACCCGGGAGACTGCTGGAACTCCTGGCCTGGTAAAATGGGTGCTGAGAAATGACGCCCGTTGGGATCTTGTGGAGGCATAATAGGCGGTAATTGGTGACCCTGGCGTAGATGACCTGCGTGCTCGCCATTCGGTCCCACATTGCGCCGTAGCAACCGTTCGAACCCGTTCGCCATACTGTACACTATGTGGTTCGCTCCTGCTTTAGACTGTCGCATTGTGGTGATGATGGCTTCAATAAGAGGTCTTGTTCTTGTCTCGACATCGATCGTAACTCCAATGAGTTTCCATCGAGGTGACATCTTGATCAAGAACACCACTGCGAATGCAATCATGGTGTGCAAGTATAATGGCACACCGACCAGGGACTCTTTGATATCGCCTCGTTCAAGAACAATCTGCAAAATCTTGTGTGCAGCTTCAATCGCATGCAACGCAAGAGGCCGAAGTGTGGCAGGCAGGTCGCCGATCGATGTTAGAGACCGGCCTCGCAATGAAAACGAGTTTAACATCATACTCGCAAAGTTGTAATGCAAGTCAACGCCAATGGCAGGATAATCTCCAACATGAGGGTCGATTTGCAGAAAATGACGGAACTTCTGACGCCATCTCTCAATCTCCTCGATGAAACGGGCATGTGTGAGCAACGTGACATCGTCTCCCTCGAGCAATCTTTCTGCTTCGAGCCCAAAAACATTGTACGCCCTGCTAAGAATAGCGAACAACGTAACTTGCGAGAGGACTCGGCGATCTGATAACGTGCACTCTGGGGCACTCAAAAAGACGTCAGTCTCCTTGATTGCCTGTAGCTCTGCCGTTACTGGTGGCCGCCCATAGGCAATTGAAAAGTGGTGATCGAGAACGTAGAGCAAGTACCACAGTCGAGCCTTCTCGAATGATTGCTCCCTCTCCTGCGGAGTTTGCTTGTGAGAGTAGAACGCCTTGAAGAATGCCTGGTGCAGATTGAGTTCCGTTGCCATTCGAACACAGTGCCCGCTAAGTTTCCAGCTCAAATCCGGCAACCAGAAAGCTGCAATACATAGAGCACGGATGTCCTCGAGAGTGTGAAAACGGTCAAACATGCTGGATGCAATGAGGTCGCGCAACGCTTTCGTGCACTGGATATGGATCTTCTCCTTACCAGGAACATGGAGCGAAGTTACTGACATGATGGCAGTGAAGAAGAAGGTAGACGACTCTCGTACACTGTCGAGTGTGCGAGCCTCTGAAATAGTCGCGTTGAACAGATAGCGGGACAATGATGTTTTGTAGCTGGACTGTGTCAGTAACGCTCACAACAAGGCGAAGTCACTCACAGTTGAAGCATCTCTTCGGCCTCTTCGATCGAGATGATACCCTGAGAGATCAGATCCGACTCGACTTTGCGCCGCGAACTCCGCTTATTGGGGTCGCCGCGAAGTCGAGCACGGAGAGTATTCAACTGGGTAGCCTCAAACAACCCCTCCATTGGCGCGCCTGCTATATCATGCTCTGCTTTCGGCTCGGGCTCTCGAGATGGTTCGCGGGTTGTCGGAGCAAGAGATTCTGGCATCCTTTGCACGGGTTGCTGTGGTTCGGAGTAAGCCTCGAGGTTTGGCATCTTGAGCTTGGCAAGGATGTCCTCGGTGGCTCGCTCCAATCTCTGAAAAGCAGGATGTGTTTGCCTGAAATCGTCAATACGTTTAAAGACAGAGGTGGTTGTCGGTTGGTGATCAAGACTGACCCGTCATCATCAAGACTGACTCGTAGACGTTTTGAAGTTACGCACTCCAGGCCCAATCGCTGACATCTCGAGCAACCTGAGTCTCCCCTCTCGAGCGAGTCGCATTTGACCTTGAGCTTCCGGCACGCGAGACAAGCTCTTCCCTTACGAGTGATTTGGCTATCACCGCCAGTCATTTGGTCCACGCTTCTCTTGCGTGAGTGAGTCGGGGATTTGCCATCATTAGATTCGGCCAGCGATGGGTGTCGCGCAATGCCCTCTTGCGGTGGACTCGACTTGATATGGGGGGCCAGCTGGTCTGCCATTGTCCTTGACCTTCACCAACATTCAGTGGACTGACGATCTGATATTTTCATGTCGTTAAGCTAGACGCGCTAGAGATAGGAAGCTCAACAAGGCACGGAGCTTAGAAGGCCGCCCATGCTTCTTGGCGCCGCCCCCCCCGCAGCGGAGCTCGACAAGACACCGCGCCGTCAGCCACTGCCGGCCGGCAGCTAGGAACTCAGGCAATTAGTATCAGTAGAATATGACTACGGAGTACGGAGGCTACTGCTCGTCGCCACCTTCGCTAAAATCGACTGCTTGGTCTGCATACAGCATCCATTGCCCACTTTGGATGCTTTTACGCCACAGCTTTGTCACTCCATCGCTTCCTCCAGACATCAATATTTGGCCTTGACCATCCCAAGCCACTGACCACGCATCGCCATGGGCTGGCAGCGTAGAAGAATGTTGGATTTTGTAGGTGAAAGGAAGATCCGCCGCTCGGGCCTCTGCGGCGTTGTTGTTCATGCTGGAGTTCGATCGTCCAGTGATGGCAGATGTCAAGGATGACTGTGGGGGCGGTCGCCGGCTGCCACGCCCGCCACCTTGCCCTGATCTCGATGAGGAGTCACCATTCTGGACATATGCCTGGGACTCTATCACTGCAAGCTCGACGATTCTGACAGATCCGTCTTTGCATGCCGTTGCAATTCTTTCTGTGCCGCGAATGTTGTATGATGCCCACGCAACGTCTCGGACTAGAGCGGGATGCGTGGGTAGCCGAAAGGCTTCATGGAAGGTCAATCGATGAGATGCACCGTTGCTTTCGCCTGTCGTCGCAGTAGAATCTGCCTCATTCCTCGAGTGGTATATCTTCACCTCGTTCAGGCTGGAAACCACCAGGCTCATTTGCTTGTCGTCGTCAGATAGTGAGTTGATGTATGGCAGAGGCACTTCATTTTGGTCCCATCGAACCTTGAAGCTGGACTCGTCGCCACGGCCAGGTACGGAAGAGGAGACGTTGAATTGATCGAGGAGTACCCATTCCTTGAGATCATCCGGTGAGGTAGGTTCGTAGACGGAAAGTAATCCTTGACGATCAATCAACGCCAGATAGGTGTATACATGATCGACTGTCTTGAAGTCGAGCGACGCAAACGGAACCCGGGGCGTCGAGGGAATCGAGGTAATCAAACGGAATCGACGACCAGTATTGAATCCTTGCGAAACATCTTCCCCCCAGAGCTGAAATTTGAGATCCGCGGCAACTGTCCCTATGTAGCTTCCTACCGTGGGATTGACGAACTTGGCCTGCTTGCTGTCAGCATAATATTAGCTTATGATGCCGGCGACTCACGTCTCGAATATCCGCATCATGAGCAGTGAACGTTTCAATCAAGGTTCGGTCGCCTGTCTTCGGATCCCTGTCCCACACTTTGACCCTGTGGTCAATGGATGCCGTCAGAAGTCGCGAGCCGTCATAGTTTGCGTGCAGCACTGTCACACGGTCATCGTGGCCAGGCTCAAATTGCTCGACTTCCATCATTGTCAAGTCGCGTTTCAGCTAGCTCTTCATGATGTCGAGGTTGGGCGCCTCTACTTTTGCACCGAGGCTCTGCGTGTTTTCGGTGTTTTCGGTAGGAACGACCCGCAGGCTAAAGGCTCGAGCGATACTAGATATTGAATGCAGAGCTGGTCACCGATATAGCATTTACCAACTCTTGGACTAAGCAGCACATTAGCATATGTCTAACCCAAAATGAATTAGCTGAGGCTGAGCTATTGCTGCCGGCGCCACGTTTGGCCGAGCAGCTCCATGAATTGAACAGATCAATGAGGCCAGGTTTCTTCTTTTACTGTGCTCATCTATTCAATGCATTTTGAGACTATGAATTCATCGTCCTATGGCTGAGATGACTGCTCTCATTTTGCATCCGAACTTCACGTCTCAAGGCGACTTTCCTTGATACTTGAATCCGCCCCAACTTGGATTCCGCGCCCTCTTGGCTTCAGCCTCGAGCCTCAAAGGGCCAAAGATCATGGCCGCCTCATTAAGTCGATCAGAGACGTGGAGCCTCCTTGCATTATTTGGAATTTGTAGCGCAATTCTTGGGAATACTTTCCAAGGTGACGGCGCACCATTGGTGGCCTCTTTGGCTTTCTCAGGAGTGGCCTTTTCCTCGACATATGCCTTTGTACGATGGTCGGGGCCTTCATTCATGAAAGCGGGACTCAAAGGCAAGGATCTGGGCAAAGCGATTCCGAAGGACATGTGAGTTTTCTGAATGCAGACTGCTGACAGGCGGCTAACGCTGTGTCCCAGACCAGAGTGCATGGGCGCTGTTGCATCGGCTGTATATCTACTGGTCTTGATAGCGTTCATCCCATTCGCTTTCTATAAGGATATTGTGGCTGCTACCTCAGGTGGCGGGAACCGAGACGTCGTCCTGACAGTCAATCAGATCGAGACCGGCCGATTCTTACAGCGTTTCCCTCATTCAAAACTTGGCTCCTACCAGTCGGTCCTCAACACTCTTCAGGCAACCACCATTCTTGGGCTGGCCGATGATATTCTGGATCTTAGATGGCGACACAAGTTTTTCATTCCAGCAATTGCTTGCGTACCACTATTAATTGTGTACTATGTCGACTTTGGCGTCACATCGGTTGTTATTCCAAACTTTCTCGTTCCCTACATGCCCGGTCATACGCGCCTTATCGACCTGGGCCTCCTTTACTACGCCTTCATGGCCGCTGTGTCAATCTTTGCGCCAAACTCGATCAATATTTTGGCCGGTATCAACGGTCTAGAAGTTGGACAATCTCTGGTCATTGCCGGCCTTCTGATACTGAATTCCTCGCTATACCTGGTTCCATTCCCCGGCAACCCAGTTCTCAACAACGGATATGCAACACATCCTCACCCAGCGACGGAGTCTCATCTGATGACACTATACCTGCTACTCCCATTTGTCGGCGTTTCCACGGCATTGTATTTGCATAATCGATACCCCGCCCGGGCGTTTGTCGGCGATACCTACTGCTACGTTGCCGGCATGACATTTGCTTGCGTTGCGATCATGGCTCATTTCAGCAAAACCTTGCTCCTGTTGTTTATCCCCCAAATTGTCAACTTCATCTACAGCGTTCCTCAACTTTTCAAGATCATACCATGTCCGCGGCATAGACTTCCAAAATTCAACGCTCGTACTGGTTTAAGGGAGCCGAGTGTCACAACATGGGAATCCGAGAGACCTCCTAGCAAGGCCTTGACCACAGTCTTCCTTTTGCTGGAGAAGCTCCGACTCATGCAAGTGACAATCGATGGGAAGACGAATCGCATCTCGGAGACTAGCAATTTGACGCTCATCAATCTTTGGCTTGTCTGGAGGGGACCACTGCGAGAGGATCGCCTGAATAACGAGCTTCTGTTGCTGCAGATCTTCTGTGGACTGTGTGGACTATTCATTAGGCATACTATGGCTCTCCTGATATTCAGCGCCGATAACAGAGGGAAATACGGGCACAGCTTTCCGATATGACAGCGAATATAACAAGAGCAGTTAAATGCGCTCCATATGACCGTGACGTCTGCTCTTATGACCCTTCTAACTGGGAATATCAATGTCTCTCGCGGTATAGGGGTCGGAGTCCAGGGCCATGAGGCTGAACGTAGTTCCTGGCGGTGATTGGCTCGCTGCCTCCGCACCTGCTGCCGGCCATCCAACGCGGGCCATGTCAGCAGTGTCAGTAATGCTCGCTTCCCGTTCTTCATCTGTTCAATATAATCTTCAGGCCGATAACGAATCTCTTTCACTGCTTTGTCTACCCAATTCATCCCTCGCTGCTGATCCCTCCGAATCGAACCAGAACCAACGCAAGGCTCCCCCACTTCGATACCCCGCCAGCAACTGTTTCGGCCCTACAGCCCCGTGTTTCTCACGGCCTACGATCGCTATACCTCTTGTCTGCCAACGCCAACATGGCAGAGCATACTCCGAAGCCTCAGATCCAACCATGCAGGTACAAGACTGGTATGAGATGTTACCGGGATCTGATGCGCAGGCCGGTTGACATGTGAACGTAGGCAAGACGTTAGGAGCTGGCTCCTATTCGGTGGTCAAGGAATGTGTACATATCGACACTGGCAGATACTATGCTGCGAAAGGTGAGCTGGCTACCAACGATCTGCTATGAAAATATTTAATGTCGAAGTCATCAACAAGCGACTCATGGCGGGCCGCGAGCATATGGTGAGCCAACCTCGTTTCAGAGCCAGACCACGATACTAATTGGCTTCAGGTGCGGAACGAGATCGCGGTTCTCAAGAGAGTCTCAGTCGGTCACAGAAACATCCTAACGTTGGTTGACTACTTCGAAACCATGAACAACCGTGAGTTGGGCATACAACCATCTGTCAACTATGGGCTAATCCTTCTAGTATATCTTGTGACCGACCTAGCATTGGGCGGAGAGCTCTTCGATAGGATATGCCGCAAGGGCTCGTACTTCGAGTCTGACGCCGCAGACCTGATCCGTGCAACCCTGTCCGCCGTCGCTTACCTCCACGATCATGGCATCGTCCACCGAGATCTCAAGCCAGAAAACCTCCTCTTCAGAACACCCGAGGACAATGCAGACCTACTTATTGCCGACTTTGGACTTTCTAGGATCATGGACGAAGAGCAATTCCACGTTCTCACCACCACCTGTGGTACGCCCGGCTACATGGCACCGGAGATCTTCAAGAAGACCGGCCACGGCAAGCCTGTGTGCGTTGCCCATGCATCTCGAGTCAACTTATCTCCCTACTAATACTGTTGCAGTGATATATGGGCTATTGGAGTTATAACCTACTTCCTCCTCTGCGGCTACACACCCTTTGACCGCGACTCCAACCTTGAAGAGATGCAGGCCATCCTCGCCGCCGACTACTCCTTCACGCCCATCGAATACTGGCGCAACGTCTCCGAACCAGCTCGAGACTTCATCCGCCGCTGCTTAACGGTCGATCCACGCGCGCGCATGACCTCACACCAAGCGCTCCAACACGCCTGGATCAAGCCTGTGGATCCTACCTCACCCGAAACCCCAGTCGGCGGCGGCCAAGATCTTCTTCCGACAGTGAAGAAGAATTTCAACGCCCGCAGAACGCTACACAAAGCAATCGACACAGTCCGCGCGATCAACAAGCTAAGGGAAGGAGGTGGCCTGATGCATCAGCAGGCGGATCAGATGAGTTTGGACCCGAAGCCTAAGGAGGAGGTAGTCGATGGCTCAAAAGTTATCAACGAGCAGGGCCAGACACAGAGTGAGGCGGCCCAGGGGGGAAGTGGTGATCCGATGGAGATCGACAGTAGAGGTCATGGAAGGGGTCAGACGGAGGAACAAATTCGGACACAGGAGGCGAGAGTGCGGGACACTGTGAGCGCCTTGTGGAACAAGCGATAGAGCTGCTGTGCCAGGGATAAGACAGGGAGGAAGCGGGCTCAGGATAAAATGCTACTGAAAGTCTGACAGCTGCTACGGCTGAGACCTGCCCGTATGGTCAGGGCATGAATGTTACAGATGAACAGGACGACGAATGGGTCTATGTCGACAGGGAGATACACCACGAATTACTGACACCTTGGACCTAATTGCGGTACGTGACGCGACGCTCGCGAGACACACACAGTACAGCGAAGACTCATGCTCTAAATCTCTTTTCTCATTCATGGGTATCTCAGCTGACATATCAACCGTAGAGCTAGCGCCCTCCTGCCCAATGCAATGCTGGAAGTTTTTTCTCTTCCTGGACTTCCTTGTTCGTTTGTCTATCCGTCCGGCACGCGACCAACTTGCTTGTTCTCGCTGCCTGCCCGCTCGTCCCCCATCCCCTGCTGGGATTTTTTTACTCCATCTCCGGCGCGCCGCCGCCAGGCCCACCCTGCCGGCTCATCTGGCGCGCCTTCAACAACTCATCGCACAGCAGGAAATTGCTCGTGATGCCGGCGCTGCTGGAGATGCTGTTCCTCAGCACGCGGTAGCTATCGAAAACACCCTCTTGCACGGGATCCATGGGCTCGCCTGTCGTCAGATCCAGGCCCACGACGTTGCCGTCGGCGAAGCCGTCCTGCAGCGCGGCGATGGCGTCCTGAATGTCGTGGCCGCTGTTGGCCGCGAGGGTTTTGGGGATGATGAGCAGGGACTTGGCGAAGGCTTCGATGCCGTTCTTTGCTTTGCCTTTGACCTGCTTCTGGAAGACGTCGGACATGAGGTGCGCGGCGGCGGCGATCTGGAAGGAGCCGGCGCCGGGGACGACGCATTCGTCGACGATGGTGTTGTAGACGGACCTCAGGCCGTCGCGCACAGCGTCGGTGATCTGGGTGATGGTATGTTGATTCGGTCCTTTGATGAGCAGGGTCACGGATTTGGGGTCTTTGACTTCTTCAACGAACGTGTATTTTTCCTCACCAAGTGTGTGCTCGTAAACTAAGCCCGCCCAACCGAGCACAGAAGGGTCTAGGTCATCGACGCTGTTCTGGGCTTGGCCACCACAGACAAATTGTAGGCGCTCCATGTTGCGGCGCTTGGCGCGACGAAGAGCCAGGATACCATTCTTGACCAGCACGTCGAGGGAGAGCGGGTCAATGCCCTTTTGGTTGATGAGGACGAAAGACTTTTTGGGGTCGTTGCCGCAGACTTCGTGTTTGAGGGCGACGATCTTCTTGAGCTTGTCATCGACAAATCGACGTTCCGAGGCGACAAGCTTGTCGCGCTGCTGGGCAGAGTTGTAGTAGAAGCTCGAGTTGATTTCCGTTTTTTCGTATTCTAGAGAGACGTTGAGGGTGAGGATAAAGGCATTCTCGACGCGCTTGGGCATATCAGGGTGACGCGCGCCATGATCGAGGGCCAGGCCGCGGATGAGTTGCGTGTCAGAAGCGGTGCGGTGCTGCATCTTCATGATTTCAATCATGTGCAGGTCGGGCTTCTCAGGCTTGCGCTGGATAGCGAGGACGGCGTCGACTATCGAAGGGGTGAGCTGTTCTGCCAGCGTCTTGTTGATCTTAGTGGACAGTGACGTCCGCGCAACGGACATCAAGAGTTCTCTGTCGATTTCCCTTGTGACCTTGAAAGAGTCGAGGAACTTGAGCGTCTCGTCTCTTGCTAGATCGTACCCATCGACAATCACTCGGGGGTGCAGTCCTTCTTGGATGAAGCGGTCCGCCTGCTTGAGCATCTCGCCCACCATGAGCACAACCGAAGTAGTTCCATCACCGGTGATATCGTCCTGAGCGGTGGCAGCTCTTGCGATCATGACGGCCGTAGGGTTTTGTATTTGCATCTCTTTCAAAAGCACCGCGCCGTCTTTCGTAAGTTTGATCTGACCCGAGCCATCCACCAGCATCTTAAGCGTACCTGACGGGCCTAGATTAGATTTAAGGACATCTTGTAGGCCTTCGCCAGCGTTGACATTGGTTCTGAGCGCTTCACCTCTCCGCCTGCTTTCGGCCTTTGGATTCAAAAGTTGAGTGGCCGACATATTGTATGTTCAGGGGCAAGGGCCCTTGGTAAACGTTCTCGTAGGCCACTAAGTTGCGATTCTTGTCGCTACTGGCGGAGAACGATCGCTGGGAAGTGATGGGATTGAACAGTGTTCCTGTTGATCGGTTTGAGTCTCCCCGCAGGCAACTTTTTGATATTCGCGGTGGGTCTCTGCCAAGACATAGCCTTGGAGGACCGCTACCTCAGCCTCATTGAGGGGCATTGCTTGTGCTCTTGCTTCTTTCTTCGAATCACAATCTCCCGTGTGTATATTGAAGAGTCACGGCATTGAAGCAAGGACTGAGGTATACATTTTTGAGTCAGATTGTCATTCGAGATTCTACCTGATCATCTCAAAGATATCTCATCTCTGCTCTAGGCCTTGTCTGATAGCAGATGGCAAGGTCTAGCTGGCTTGTGAATAGCCCTGCTCTTCTACTCTACAGGCCTTTTCAGAACCGGATAGTACCGGCCGCGTCAGTACGCAGACCCATAGCCATCAGTTCTTCCACTGGCTGCTTTTCGTTCCACCAGCTGCCAGAAGGCTGACCTCAGGCGCGTCCGGCCGGTCCAGGACCAGATCGCCCTTCTGCATGACACGTTGATATGCCAGCCGCGCAGTACAGTCACCGAGCCATCTGAGCAAGTTGCCAAAGCCTTTGAGACTAACTTGTGGTCCGAAATAGCGCTGTGTGGTGATGATAAATACTGTCAATATGTCCGCCAATGTGAATTCCCCAGCAGCCAGCCACTTGTTAGCTGCCAGTCGATCGTCAAGGTGTCTCAGCGCAGCTTGGAGGCACTCTTTAGAGAAATGCTTAATCATAGAATTGTCAGGCCCATCTGCCGATTCTGTGAACATCTCGGTAGCGAAAGCCGGAAACAACAAGCCACTGGCTTGGTGGAACCGGTACAGGTAGTCTGCATAATGTTGGTCGAACGGTCGTGTTAGCTTCTTCGATCGACAGTAGGCTTCAATCGTTGTTCTCGTCCTTCATCATCTCTCGCCGAAATTGCTCCGCCTCTTCCTGCATCTCTTGCTCAGACCGTGGCTTCCTATCCGAATCAGGGCCAGCGGAGAAGGCGCGATGATTCTTCCTTTGCTCTCTCGCCTGCTGCATCTCGAAGAAGGCTTTGCCCAGATTTCCCGGCTCACCGTCCATCATGTCATAGATTGAGTCTGCACCGCCTTGGCTATCAAGATCGTGAGGTTTTCGTGGTATGATGTGTACGTGCACATGGGGAATCGATTGCCCAGCGTCGATACCATCCTGCACAGCCACATTGAGTGATGAGGCGTGAAAGACGCGTTCGAGCGTCCGAGACACTCGCTGAACGGACAAGAACAAGTCTGCGGTTTCCTCTGCCGTGAGCTGTGATAATCGCGGGACGCATCGTGTCGGGCAGACGAGCACATGGCCTGGCACTAACGGCTTGAGGTTTACGAGCGCATAGCTCAGTCTTGTTGGCGATAAATGGAACACCTGGCTCGATATGGAGAAAGGGCCGAATTTGAGACTAGAGATGAATTTCCCGACAGCCATGTTAGCCTCTTTCGTGTCTGCTGTCTTGGGCGGCTCGGTGATCTTCTTTGAATTGGTACCGGCACGCATACCTGACGGAATCGGTCAGGGCACTTTCAAATACCTGAACGCCTCCCGTAATAGTTTTTATCTGATCCGGTTGATGGAGTTCGTACCTAACGAAAGAACGAAGTAGCAGTTCGGTTTGCAACTAGCGAGAAGCAGGTGTAGTCATGCTCAATATGCAGGGCAGGGGCAGATCTGAGCAGTACCGGAGATTGCGGAGATGGTCTCGGCGGCTTGCGCCGCCTTTTCGCGATCTATCCGACAACCTCTACCACAATTTGTGCTCATGGCGCCGAACCGGTTTCGTTGCTGCTTCCCTTCGCGGTGTTTAGACGTCTGTGCACGATATGCCGAACCAGCGAACGAGTTTCGCGTACCAGGCGGGTCGAGCGGGCCATGGCAAGAACTCCGGGTGCCGTATCTTGCAACTCAATCCGTTCACCTGTGGTGATGGCTCTGATATCATCGCCCTACAGCACGGCATCTTTCTCCCTCGAAGTGGCTGAATATATGTGAGATATGTGGAGATTCCCAGCTGCTTATTCAACAGCAGGACTCGTTGAGTAGGGCCGACCCACGAACAATATATATGGACATGGTAAGTCGACGATGAGCTGGTATTACTGTCCAGCTCTCAGAAACTCTCAAACCTGTCGTTTCCGTCCAGTCTTTTCTAGTCTTGGGATTCGTCGAACCCGTCCGCTCATTTCTACTGTCACAATGAAACCGTGCAACCTTCTGTCCGGACTTCTAGCTCTCGTCAATGCTTGTCTGGTTGTTGGCAGACCCTCAAACTCCGGATGTACACGTCTGCAAGATGGTAGCGGCCCAGTCCCCATCCCAGATACAGCCAAGAGCTTCCAAAACTCGTCACTGTTTTCTACGTTTGCAGTTCAAGCACGTGCACCGGAAGGATGGATGCAAATGTACTCGAACCTCAGCAGCATTACTGGCACCAATACCACCGGCTATCTTGGCTTCAGCCTCCTCGAGTCGTATGACACTTCCCTCTGCTCGGCTCGGTGCTTGAAAAAGAAGAATTGCATAGGCATCAATGTGTACTTCGAGCGGGCGCCAACCGTCATGCCTGGGCTAGCCTGTTCAAACCCTGCCTCAACAACACTGATCAAATGTGCATATTTCGCCTCAGTCGTCAAGAAGGACACTGCCATCAACTCTGGTTATAAGGAGAAAGACTTTGATATTGTCTATGCCGGAAGCAACGCATAGTAAGCCTCCCTGCATGGGAACGATTTGTCGCTCTACCCGAGAGCTCCGTGATCTCGTTTGTCACAGGATATATTCGAAGCAATCTGACTGGTCTTCTAGTATGCAACAGTGGCTCGATGTCAACAAATCAACAAACTCGTCAGTCCCAAGAACCAACTCGTCCACCACAGTGACCAGAACGTCGACGACTGCTATTACTACCCACTCGAGCTCGTTGCCTGACTTGCCGAGGCCGAATTCTCCAACAGCTTCTAGTCTGTCTCGGAGCTCAAGCACTGTGACTCTTGGAGGAGGCACATCCACAGCTGGATCGCTTACATCTAGCTCAATGCAGCGTAGCTCGCAATTCACAATCTCAGGAACGACAAATGCTGTATCTTCAACCATTACGTCGACTGTATGGTTGACCTCCACTAGCATATCATCTTCTGGAAGCGTTCCATCCGATAGTAGCAGCTCAAGCACTACTTCTACGCCGTTTCCCGGCGGTAGCAGCGGCACTGCAATTCGTACCTCATTGACCATCTCCGGCCTGACATCGGCGATCACATATTCATCAGTTTCAGCGACCTCAAACAGCCCAACCACCTCCTTCAGTCAACCTCGCTCAATTTCAAACTCCTCCACGGATTACACAAACCGCTTCGCGTCGTCGACCACAGGTGTCACTGTACCTTCTTACTCTTCTTCCTCCACTGTCCGTTTCGGCCCGGCCACGACTTCCGTCCCAACCACTTCTCCACGCCCGAACTTGGTCACCATGACTCCTGCGTCTACCAAATCTCCTGCCTTGTCGACTGTTGTATCGTCAACTGGTGCAAGTCCGTCCCATCCGCACCAACAGCCGCACAATTGGAATGCTTGGGCCGGCTTCAATGGCGCATATGGACACTGAGCGACATTCCTTGGCCGAAATGGTGGCGGTATCAGTGCTGCTCGGAGTCGTGACTTGAACGGAATGGTGGGGATGTGTTTCGGCTGGAAGGCTTGTCGATTTCTCTTTTTCTGGGACCACTTGTAATCAATAGCTTTCGATTCTCTCTTCTCTTTGTTGTTTGATCATAAGCTTCATCGGCACATCTGCCCCACTTCAAAGTGCCGCAGGCACCTTGTCCACGATCGGACTTATCATTTTTGCAATAGCCTCGTACGAGGAAAAGAGTATGCCACCTGCAACGACGGTTCGTCCAAGCCTCATGGTGCTTCCTCGCCAGAGGCCCTTGACGCCGTAGTCTTTGATGATACTTGTGAATGCTTCTACGATTCCGGCGCCTCGAACACTCTGAGCTCGGGTCTTGAGCGTGTCGAAGGGCTGCGTGGCGAAAACAACAAGTGTACCCGCGACCGCTCCGTTGCCGAATATCGTCGCCGTATTCTGAGGTATATCTCTGACCCTCTGAAAGTCTTTGAGGATATTGTAGACGCCCAGCCTAACGGCGGTTGAGCTAGCCTGCTTCATGGTCGTGGTAACATATCCACGATACAAGGACTTCATCAAGCCATGTTCGGCTACGAGCGTTTTCGTGCAGTGCCACGCACTGCGGAACCGCTTCTCGTTGCGCGCATCGTCTATCAGCGCGGTCTTGATTCTCTCGCTTGGCGTGACCGCGAAGGTGCTGGCGACAATTCCGGATGAGATGCCGGCTCCTAGGTTCCTCAGAGGAGACAGAGTGCCGGTGTCGGGATCCTTGAACTGCTCTTTGATGGTGTCGAAAGAAACACAGCGGATGGCGTCCTTCGCGATGGTCCCGGCGATCATGGTCGAGCAGCCCTTGTACAGCGACCGGGGACCTTCCTTCTGGATGACATCCCTAAGTACGGCGATGGGGTTGCGCGCGGCGGTGGCGCCTTCGTCCTTGAGCTGTACGCGTGTCTTTGCGAATTCAAAAGGGTAGGTGATCGAAATCTCGACGCCGCCCGCGAGTCCTCCCGCAATCAGAGAGACAAGCGGAGATTTGCTTGCATTTGTATCCCCAGACACCATGACGCCGATAAATGCTCTGTATCCAAATTAAGCGCCGAAAATCGAAAATTAAAACCGCGGTCCCCAGCAATGGTTCAGACAACGCCGATTGGTAACGAATTCTTGGAAATTTCGAGTATGAGTCAGGGATAGCTGTAGAGAATAATGCTTCACATTGGAAGCTGTCGAAGAGCGGTCGAGGTTCGGGGAGGCGGTCACTGTGACGTTAGCCTCGGCTCGGGGCCGGTCGGAGGGAACTCCGTTAGGCCTGGAGGTACCCCTATTGCTCAACGCCTTGCGCCGCGCGGGCGGAATAAAGGCAGCGGTGGTCATGTTAACGCGAGCACTATGGGAAGCAGATGATATGTCTAGATTTGGGCCGACTATGAACCCACGGAGTGATTTCAAGCCCTAGTAGAGGACCCTTAAAAATCGTGCTGTTATGGGACCCCCCTGTGAGAGGAATTGCAACTCATGTCACAAAGTCCCGGCCATATGAATTATTTGTGCTTGATATTGGTTTTGCACTCTGCGACTGGTGCTGAGAAAAGACCTACTGTCCTTCCACTCGAATAGTCCTCCATTCCATCACATCGCTCCGTAGTATGCCCCCCCCCCCCCTGGCGCTCCCTCAAATGCCGGAATCATTGCCACTCCTCTTCTCCGACGAAGCGCTCTCGTTCTACCCAAAGCTCTGCATCAGGATCCCCAGCTGAGGGAACGATGAGTGTATGGTCGAAAGTCTCGGTAGGCACAGGATAGACGTCGTGCCAGACTGACATACGGTCAAGGTTGACGAGCATGATTTCTTCATGGCCGTTTCCTAGCACCAGCTGAACAGTGAGGCATGCTTCCCATTTCCTCTCCATGTAGAGGTGTGGGTTAATTGAAACCACATAGGTATGCCTGCTGAGGATGAAGCGTACGAATCTAATATGGTCACATTTTCTGGGACGTTTTGGCACTCTGAGGCGGAATTCGCTCGGAGCATCGATCGTGAGGCGCCTTAGGTTGCTGAATTTGCCGACATGTTTTTTGAAGTCAGGCAGGAGCTCGGTCTTGGTAAGAACAATTGCGGTGATGTTAGCCCATTTTGCAGGATGGACGTCGTGCCAGGTGAAATAGCAGATAGACGACTGACTGGTGAACTCGAATCTGTTATGAAAGTAGAAGTGGCCACAGGCTTCGCTTAAGATTTTGCTGCATGTCAACAAGATCTGGCATCTCTCACCAGCGGCAAATTCTCCTTCGTAGGTCTTGAGCCAGCTGCAGACTTTTAGCGTGTTTCCTGCGAACAGCTCATGGTAGATTGAAAGTCGAACTTGCTTTGGGAGGTCTAGGAAGAAGAAACCGTGTAGACGGCGGCATCGGGAGACGGCTTTTGCGCAAGCTGTGGCAGAGAGCGTGGACATTTCGTCGTCTTCTGGAGCAGCAGAGGTGGTAAGAAAGCTAGAAGTTACGGACCGTAGTACAGATCCAATACCGCGGAGTGCAGCCAGCGTTGGCATAACTAGAGCTGCATTCTAGCTCATCAACTGGCAGCTGTAGTATCTTGGAGCCGCAAGGTTGCAAGTGTGCAAGAAAGAAATGCGTGACGTCAGAAGCAATCGATGCGAGGCCAAAGTGAATGAGAGAAGCATCAACGGAAGCCACGACATTTGCATCTTCCCGCCTCGACTTACTGCAGCCTTCAGACGACCGCAATACCCCATTATGACCACCGTCTCTCCTCACCGTCGTCCTCCTCGACCGAGACCTTTCATGTAGCGGCTACCTTAGAGAAAGGGCAAGATTTCAGCAAAGGAGTGGGAAGGGTGCTAGTCCGACTGACTGTTCATGGAGCTCCTTAGTACCTTGAAGGCTGCGAAATGTGTCAAAAGGGTTCATCGACAGGGGTCGAAAGGCCCTTGCAAAAGTTGCAACCACGACGACAACCATAGACCGCGGCGATGATATGTCTTCACCCCCAAGAGGTAGGTATATGCTGAAAGGGGGAACAGTCGTATGGGTCAGCTACTGATCTGGACATGGCATGTAGTTTCCATGATGTCGCAAGTTAGCGAACACTACCATGTTCGTGACTTTAACCAACGTCGAATTGGATTGAGAGGCCGACAAGAGGATACAGTCCTCTACACACGAGAGAAGGCCGGGGGAGGAATGGAGAGGGACGTTGGGCTTGGAAATGCACCTAACGCTTCCTGGCTTAGCCCTATCTGATAATGCGGGTTGGAGATCTGAGAGACAATTTTTTGATCTCCAACCGTTCTGGCGACAAGACTGCCTTTTCTTCCTCCGTGCAGTTGTTGATGGCCTTCGCGACCACCACGATGCCAGCCCTAAAGAAACGCAAACTCAGTCATGAGTCTGTTGGTGATGACGGCGATTCCACAAGCCATTCGAATGTGCAGAACGAGCAAGTACAAGCCACCCCCACGCGAGCTGAGAGTGCGGGCAGCAACGATGAGGCGAAGAAGGAGCCAAAATCTTTTCAAGAGCTTGGAGTCATAGACTCGCTCTGCGAAGCCTGCATGTCTCTTGGCTACAAAACCCCAACACCGATCCAGGCCGAGTCGATACCACTTGCCTTGCAGGGACGAGACCTAATCGGCCTGGCAGAGACCGGTAGTGGGAAAACAGCCGCGTTTGTGCTGCCAATCCTGCAGGCACTCATGGCGAAGCCACAACAGCTACATTCACTTATACTTGCACCGACGCGAGAGCTGGCGTTTCAAATCTCCGAAGCAGTTGAAGCACTTGGATCCTTGATCTCGGTCCGATGCGCCGTACTCGTTGGTGGAATGGACATGATACCGCAGTCTATCGCACTAGGGAAGAAGCCTCACATCATTGTCGCAACACCCGGTCGGCTTCTCGATCACTTGGAGAACACCAAGGGCTTCTCTTTGCGGCAGCTGAAATACCTGGTTATGGATGAAGCCGACAGACTTCTCGATCTCGACTTTGGTCCTATTCTCGACAAGATCCTGAAAATCCTACCCAGAGACGACAGAAGAACGTATCTCTTCTCCGCAACAATGTCCAGCAAAGTGGAAGCATTGCAGAGGGCGTCACTTCAGAACCCGCTACGTGTCGCCGTATCACAAGACAAGTATCAGACAGTGTCGACTCTGATTCAGAAGTATCTGTTTGTTCCGCACAAGCATAAAGATCTGTATCTCATTCACGTCTTGAACGAGCTAGCGGGCCAGACTGGAATTATCTTTACGCGTACCGTCAACGAGGCTCAACGGATTTCGATCCTACTGAAAAAGCTAGGTTTCTCTGCCGTTCCTATTCATGGGCAACTGTCTCAGCAGCAACGTCTGTCGGCGCTAAACAAATTTCGAGCCAAATCAAAGAATTTGCTTGTCGCTTCAGATGTTGCCGCTCGGGGTCTTGATATCCCGTCGGTGGACCTAGTGGTAAACTTCGATCTCCCCCATGACAGCAAGACTTATATCCATCGAGTTGGTCGTACAGCGCGTGCTGGAAAAAGTGGTAATGCGTTCTCTTTTGTGACTCAATACGATGTCGAGCTCTGGCTACGAATTGAGAACGCATTAGGGAAGAAGCTGGAAGAGTACAAGGCTGAAAAGGAAGAGGTGATGGTTCTGTCAGAGAGAGTCAACGAGGCCCAGCGTGCTGCTATCTCGGAAATGAAGGAGCTGCAGGAGGATCGTGGCAAGAAGGGTGCCACCTTACGGCATAAACGCACAAAGAAAGGAGTTGGAAGAAGTAGAGACGATATGGACAGAGATGAGGGTTAAGTCCAGAAAATAGCGGTTGTGAGCCGCATAATTGATAATATGCAACAAGGCATTCTTCCGCAGCACTCTGTCTACCGTCGCTTTCTCCATGAGTCCATGCTGACTTACGACTTGGTACAATCATACTCGTGACCCTTCCAAAATTCAGCCTCGCCTCCCAGGCTGCGTCTTGGCGCCTGCGGGGAGATTTTTGGCACGAATTTCCAATGCCCTCCGGACGACAGCAACTCGCGCTCACGAACGATTTCTCGAAGAACGTGTGCAAAACCTCACCCGCAACTCCAATTCCTGACAATCCTGTTCTGACCCGCCGCTTGCAAAACTTATAGCAAAGTATTCCGCGGGCAAAGCGGCCCACGAAGCATCAAGATGCAGGCCCCAGTGATTGTGATGAATACTGGTGCTGGCGACAGACAGGTCGGTAAGCAGGCGCAGATATCAAACATCACGGCAGCAAAGACGGTCGCAGATATCATCCGGTCATGTCTCGGACCAAAGGCTATGCTGAAGATGCTTCTCGATCCTATGGGTGGTATCGTCTTGACGAATGATGGCCACGCCATTCTACGAGAAATCGAGGTAGCCCACCCCGCGGCAAAGAGCATGATCGAGTTGAGCAGGACTCAAGATGAGGAAGTCGGAGATGGCACAACGACGGTCATTATTCTAGGTATGCGCTTCAAAACGATCCCCTAGGCTTTCACTGATCCATTTGCAGCCGGCGAAATGCTTGCACAGGCCCTCCCCCAGCTCGAACGACACATTCATCCTGTTGTAATAATACAAGCCTACAAGAAAGCCCTCGCCGATGCCCTCGCGATCATCGAAGAAATCTCTCTTCCCGTTGACATCTCCAACGACCGCCAGATGATTTCGCTCATCAACTCTTGTATCGGTACGAAGACCATCTCCCGCAACGCAGACCTGATGTGCAGTCTTGCCCTCAATGCCGTCCGCATCGTCGCACAAGACGCTGCTTTCTTCTCCAACGCTACTGCCTCACAAGCAACTACCAATGGCGTATCCTCCACCCCACAGAAGAAGCCACAAGAAATCGATCTGAAACGCTATGCTCGCATTGAGAAGATCCCTGGCGGGGAGATTGAAGATTGCCGCGTCCTCGACGGCGTCATGCTCAACAAAGACATCACTCACGCGTCCATGCGTCGGAGAATCGAAAATCCCCGTATCGTCCTCCTCGATTGCTCTCTTGAATACAAGAAGGGTGAATCGCAAACCAACATTGAAATTACAGATGAAGCGTCATGGGAACGTATCCTTCAAATCGAAGAGGAGCAGGTCAAGAAAATGTGTGATGCCATCCTCGCGCACAAGCCCGACCTCGTCATTACAGAAAAGGGTGTGTCGGATCTTGCTCAACACTACTTCGTGAAAGCTGGAGTCACTGCCATCCGCCGGGTGCGCAAGACAGACAACAACCGTATCGGAAGAGCTGTGGGTGCCACAGTCGTGAACCGTGTCGACGACCTCGTTGATTCAGATGTCGGTACGCAATGCGGGTTATTCGAGATTTCCAAGATTGGCGACGAGTATTTTACCTTCCTGACGAAATGCAAGAACCCCAAAGCTTGCACCATCCTCCTCCGCGGCCCCTCAAAAGATATTCTCAACGAGATCGAGCGGAACCTTCACGACGCTATGGCTGTCGCCCGGAATGTCATGTTCGAGCCCGCCGTCTCACCTGGTGGCGGCGCAACCGAGATGGCTGTCGCCGTACGCCTGGCACAGAAAGCCAAGAGCGTGGATGGCGTCATGCAGTGGCCATACAAAGCCGTTGCGGATGCCATGGAGGTGATCCCGCGCACGCTGATCGAGAACTGCGGCGGCAGCCCCATTCGGGTTCTGACGCAGCTGAGGAGTAAGCACGCCGAGAAGCAGCACAGTTTTGGCGTCGACGGCGACACCGGTGCCATCACAGACATGAAGCGCGAAGGCGGCATTTGGGAACCCACTGCAGTGAAGATGCAAAGCATCAAGACGGCCGTGGAGAGCGCCTGTCTGTTGCTACGAGTGGATGAGATCTGCGGCGCCAAGAGCGCGCAGCAAGTGGCTAATCCTGGCGCTGGGGGCGGAGATGACTGAGCCTCCAGGAGGACGATGATATGAAAAAAGGAGACGACTTGATGTCCGTTGGTCAGCATTGGGAGGTGTAAACCGGAGGGGGCGAGGGTTGAGGGGAAACAAGTGCTCAGGCCCGAAGATCTGATACCCACGTAGTAAAAAGCATGCCTGATGAAGGACACTTTTGACAAAAGATGCATAGAAATAGAACAACCAAGACATCAATTCCCGGGACCCATTCCGGTATTGCGCCGGTTGTCTGGCACGGTGCCCGTGCCCCTATCCTTCTCTACCGTTCTTCTCTCTCTCTCTCTCTCTCTCTCTCTCTCTCTCTCTCTCTCTCTCTCTCTCTCTCTCTCTCTCCTATGAACAAGATTGCAACGTTTTTACCTCAATCGGTGGTCCCGTCTCTGGCACAACGTGGGCCATAAATCATGATGCGACTGCACTAAAGTATGCCGTTCCCTCTCGGCGGCCCCGTCACTCCAGCAGGTCTTTCCATGACCCGGTCCGGTCTTGTCGTTGTAGGATATAAACATCAATTGAGGCCCTGCTGCAGCATGTCCAGAACGACCTTGTCCGAGCCCCGTCTCGTCAGCTCAGCCCAGCCCAGCCAAGTCTGTATAGCGCCCCCTCGTGGCCTCAGCCCAGCCCCGTAGCTTGAGCCCCTTCCTGCTTGCCGTTCCGCGTCTCCCGGCTGCCTCTTTCCTCGCTCCTTAGGCTTTGAGTGGCCACTTCCCCGGAGGAGCGATGCGTGGGGTTGTATCTCATATCATGTCATCGGTGTCGTCGTTGCCTCAGAATCGTTACGTGCAACCCATATCTTTGGCTGTACTTGCGCCTGCTGCCGCGCCTGTTGTCTCTGGTTTGTGCGTTGTCAAGAAAGAGTGACTCACAAGACGGCCCAGACAGGTTGAGATGACTTTGGCCTGCCAGACAGACAGCTGGGAAAGTTCCTTCGTTCGCTACGAAACGTCCCATAGCCATCTCCCCATCATACTACAAAGCAGATAGGCGGCACACTTTCCCCACGGCCTCGTTCAGCAGTGTCTATATCGTGGCACTAGCACATGATGACGCCCAACTTCCGCGGGATCCTCAGCGGCATAGGCGCGGATATCGACGCGCTCCTCTCACGCTCCTTCTCCTTGCCCTTCCCATTCCCACTGTTGGCAGCGTCGGCCGCCCCTGGCGCATTCTCGTGCTCCGGCTGTCCACCCTGGGTCCACGACGTCGGCCGCTGCGCTGCCGGCATGTTGATTTTGCGTGGTATCCGTCCGCCGCGCGTGTTGACCTGCTCAGCATAAAACGCCAGCATCGGCGACACTTGCACTGGTTTCTGCTCGGCGGGGTTACTGCTCCCGCTACTGCTGCTCTCGGTCGGGCTGCTGTCAAGAGATAGTTTGTCCGCGGAGCCTAATACCTCGTCGATCGAAGGCTTCTGCCGTGACGAAACGGGGGAGGTCTTGTCCGGCGCGGGCTCAGGGTGGGTTATGAGGCCCTGTAGAGGATCCTTGTCGTCTGAGCGGGCGAGTCGGCCGCTGGAGAAGACTAGCTGTGCGACACGGTAGGTGACGCCCTCGTGCTCGTCTAGGTGGTCACATTTGGCGATCATGTTGCCGATACGGAGCTGCTCGCCGTCGTCGAAGAGTCTGTCGAAAGCTTCGGGTCTCTTGGGCCTTGGGGGCGCGGGCGGCTGGTTGACTGCTTCTTCGACAGGGTCGTCGCCACACGTGCAGAAGCTGTTCTCACCAATGCAGACTTTGGGCACGACGCCGTCGCCGATGTGCTTGAGCATTAGCTGGAGGTAGCGGCAGGCGGAGATGCGATCATGGTGGAGCGTGGTCTCTAGGATCCACTTGATGGTGAGGCCTTCATCGTTGATGAACTTGAGGAGCCGGTCGGCGGACCTAGTGCGGATCTCGTTGGTGAGTGGGTCGAGATCGAGGATGGGGTTGATGACCGCGGCTTCCTCCGTAACGGGATCGAGGACGATGTAAGTAGTAGTGCCAGTGAGTCGTGAGGGAAAGGCATGAACGACAGGCTGGGGCATGGATTGCGGATCGATGGGGCTGGTGAGCAGATCTTGTGAGGCGGGAAAGGTCATGGTAATGTCGAAAGAGTTGGTGTATGCGTGTGGTCGAGGACCAGGCGCGGAGCGAAAGAGGCCGTTGATAGAGCTCACAGAAGCAGCCCGGGGAGGAACAGCGACGCGGGGACGTCGCGAAGCTAACGAAGAAGGTTGAGAGTGGTCTGGGCCCGGGCTGGGAAATGTTGATAAGGGCGGGTAGTTGAGAAAGGTGGCGGACGCCATGTCAGGCCGGGAGTTGTTTGTGGGAGGGAATCGCCGCGGTCTCGCCAAGCCTCCACGTTGAGCGTTGGGGGCGGCCGATCACGAGTACTCCGTGAGAAGAGCAGGAATGTATAATTAGATATCTTCAGGCTCGGGTAGGATGCGGGGGACAAAACCCGAGCATGTTCAGGAACGGATCGAGAACCAGAGAGGGGGCGGGAATGGTAATCAGGATCGCCAACCATACTTGTAGTTTGAGAGCTATCTAGAAGATTGGTCTGGCCTCGACCGTTGGCCGGCAGCATCCCGTGCTGACGTAGAAGATCAAAACGTTATACCGGGTCGAGGCAGGCCTGATGCCAGTGCAAGATAGAGCGTAAGTGGGCACCCCGTAGAGGAGCTGAAAAGGTGAGAAAGCCCGGAAGTCCGTAGTGATCGGGAGCACGAAATAAGCCCGAAAGAAGGATTGGCGCCGCAGTGTAGTCATTTACCGGATCAGGTAGCCACAAAAGCCGCATCTGCAGGCTGTACGAAGTGGTCTGCAGGGCGGAAGCTAAGAATGCGAGGCTCTCCCGATCACGGCGACCAGATGGGGCCCCCCTGGTTTCTTGTCCTGAGGGTGAAAGGTCCTCTAGACAGTGGCGATGGGATTGAGCAGGATGCTGTTATACAGAGCGTGCGGTCCCATCAGATGTCAACCATGGCAATCGGCAGCTCTCCTCGTCGCTGTTTTCCGGCTCAACGCGATCAGTGGGCCCGCTAAGGTCCAACAGCCAGACCATTGGAACTTAATGCACAAGAAGGCATCGAGCACGTGCGACCGAAATAATGGAGTCCTCCGTACATGAAGTGGATATGGAGGAGCAGTAGTAGCAGCGTAGGAGATGCAGTCGATTGATTTGCTGCCTGGATATCACTGCTCCTTAGCTAAAGCATTACACCCTCGAATGCGTCCTCGTAGGCACGCCACAGCCAAGGGCTGTCAAGCCATTATCAGTACCATATTGATCACCCCTTACTCCGACACTCAGTGCATCTTCTCGAAAGTCCACCACATTCGAGGAATCAACCGCTAGAAGCCTCGTCCCGGAGGACCAAACGATTGCCCAACGGGAAAGCCCGCCGTCTGCGAGTGACTCGGCAAAGGGCTGCCAATATCGCCAACACTGCTGCGCGGCTGTGCGTTGTCCTCGGTGAATCGGATGACCTGACCCCGGCTCTTGTCCATCATGACCTCAAACGATCCTCCGCCGTTCTGCGCATTCCCTTCGGTGTCGCATATGCCAAGCATTTCGTCCATCGACACTGGTGGCTCACCTGGCGCCTTGAGCATCTCGAGTTGTCGCAACACGCTCTGAACCGGATGCATCACCTCACCTGCAGCGCCAAGTTGCCGACAAGCATCGACGAGCATTAGGCGAACCGAAATCGGGCGTGGCAGATGAGATCGCGAGATGCTTGGAGGTCCAGACATCATTGGTGCCCCGAAGGCCTGTTGACCCCAACCCGGTCGGACTGGACCTGGGGGAGGCCCCCAGCCGTGAGTAGACCCAAACCCTCCCCACCCGTGATTGAATGGCTCCACCTTCGGCTCTGCGAAGGGCGATGCGAATGGCATGCGCCCCGTGCCAGGCGCGCCGAGAGATGGTAGACTTGCTCTTGCCTCGGGGGGTGCGGGAATGGGATCGTCTGAGTCGTCCAGCAGCGCTTTACTGCCGAGTTGAGTCGTGATCTGCTCCACATCTTGATCCGCAGACCGCTTGATCTGCTTATCGGGCGTGGTACTAGACGGCCGAGCGATTGGGCCTGGGCGGCCAATTGGAGCAGGCTGAGATGAGGTGTCCGTGACGTTCGACCCAGATGCTTGTCGAGAGTGCGACGGCTTGGACGCAGTGGGCTGCTGCGGTGCTGCCATCGGTGCATTGACAGGAGCCTGAGAGTGGAAAGGCATAGGTTGTGGCGGCTGGAAGTGTCTTGGGCCGTTGAACGCCTGTGGGTATGGCATTCCATTCGGCAAGAACCGCGGGTCCCTTCCCATCGGCGGCGCTCCTGGCGGCCCGCCATACACGGGCATTTGCGGCATCATCCCTGGCATCATACCGGGCCCACTGGCCTGTCCACTGACTCCAAGTCCAGGTAGGCCGTTCATGTTGAAGGCGTACTGATTGCGATTGTGATTGTTCAACGGCGATCTTGGCGCTGAGGGTTGCGGATGATGCAGTACCGGTGGCTGACCCTGGGTCCGAGTTGGATGGCCTGAAGCTGGTGTATGAGGCACCGCGCTCGCAGGCGAGACTGACAGCTCGGTGCTGGCCTGCTGCGATCTTGGTGAGGAGCCGTGAGACTGGACGGGCTGACTGCTTGGCTGTGAGCTCTGTCGGTTGCGGGCAGGCGTAGGCACTTTTGGAGGAACAATCGGAGTAGCCGGCTGTATGTTTGGTGAGTGCACCTGAGGCCCAGGACGACTCGGAGGTGTCAATCCAGGAGGTAGTGCGATCGGTTGAGGTTTCGTGCTTGTGGGTGGTCCAGTTCGGAGGTTGGCATCCTTTGCTGCACCCTCTCGCTCTCTGCGGATTTGCTCTTCCCGTGCTTTGCGGTCCTGGGAATCTCTGGCCTTTCTCTCACGAGCCTCTCTCTCACGAGCTTCGCGCTCTTCTCTCTCTTTCTTCTTGGCCTCTTCTCTCTTCAGTCGTTCCCTCTCCTTGGCTTCGCGCTGTCTCCGCTCGGCTTCGGCTTGGCGTTCCTTCTGCTCCTGTTGTCGACGTGCCTTGTCGGCTTCTTTCTTGAATCGATCCTCTTCCAAGGCTTTACGTTCCGCCTCTCGCTTCCGACGTTGCTCCTCTTTGCGCTGCCGCTGCTCTTCCAGACGCTTCTCTTCTGCCTCCTTTGTAGCCGCCTCTTGAGCGGCCTTCTCGGCTTCCTTACGCGCCTTCTCCTCATCACGAGCAGCCTTCAGAGCTTTCTTCTTCTCCTTCTTCTTGGCAGCATCTCGAGCTTTCTTGGCTTCCTTCTGAGCCTGGGCTTGCTGATCCTCGTTGAGTTCCTCAATTAGAGCTTGTGTTCGCTCCGCGGCGACTTTCTCTCTCCACGCCGTGAGTACTCGTTGTTCGAACATTCGAGCAGCAAAGATCTGGAACATGCGTCGTCCTTCCTCCATACGCTGTTCCTCGGTCATGGAATCCTCCTACACAATTTTAGTTTAGAGCCTACGACAGGGAAGGGGATTGCTGACCATTTCATCGCCTTCGAAATCATCCTCTTCCTGACTGTCATAGTCCTCATCATCTTCTTCTTCATCGTCATAATCGTCCTCATCGTCTAATGGGGCGTGATCGTGACCTTGATGAATATCTTGATGAGCCAAAGCAGAGGAAGGGAAATGAATTTCTTCCTCACGTTGCATGCGCCTCTCGGCCAGCTGCTCCATCATATCGATGAAGTTCCGGCCTTCATTCTTGAGGAGGTCGTCAGCAACCGTGAGGATGCCATCTTTGATAGTCAGCCAAGATCCATGCCAACGGTTCGGAGGTGGATCTGTACCTTTGACCTGAAGTGAGTTGCCGAAATGGAAGAAATCTGCGGGTCCTGGGGGAAGGTCGTAGTCGAGGTCTTCGTCATCCTCTTCTGAGTAATCGTACTCCTCCTCTTCGTCGTCGTAGTCATCCTCATCGTCTAATTCGTGGACTCGACTGGTTGAGAATGCACCTGGTATTTGCTGCGGATGCCGCCGATAGGCTGTCGCTCTCGCAGGTGGCAATGGAGCACCTGAGCCAGGAGTTGCAAATTGCTCGAGCTCCTCATAATACGCATCATAGAGCACTTCGAGTTCCTCCTCGATGGCCGTTCGTTTCCGTCCGCAGACTGAACAGCTACACGAGTGCTTCTGCTGCTCCTTCATCTTTTTCAAAACAGCCTCTTTCTCGATTCTGACCAGGTTTCGACGCTCATCCTCACCAAGCTGCAGCCAATACTCCTTGATCTGATCCCGCTCGGTTTGAGTAGTTGGATTCCATAGATCGTTGCTCATTCGGTGAGCGGATCGTAGTGCAGCGTTCGACACAGATGATGGATGCGGTCTAGAAAGCGTGGTCGATGTACGGGAGACAAGATTCGAGTTGCCGGTTGCTCCCCGCTTTTTCTTTGACTTCTTGCGTTTGCTAGTATTGAGCCATGAGCTATTGGGTGGGGAAGCTAGGTGATTGTCGTAGTCGAGGTCCTCATCACCGCTGTAGAAATCCTCCTCATGGCTGTCTCCATCTACTTGGGCTTGCTGAGCGTCGTTCAGTAAATCTGGATCTTCGGTGAAGTAGCCTTTGGGTGGTCCGCGTCCGGCTGGTTGACTTGTAGGACCTGGAGTCGGAGCAGAGTGCCCATTGGTGAGGCCATGCTGAGCGGCCCGTTTTGCGGCCTCCTTCTCGCGTCTCTTTTGCTTTTTCCGATTGATGGCTGGGGCGTTACGCTCACCTGCTGATTCGGTAGTGTCGCCAGTCTTGGAGTCGGCGTCAGCAGGGTGTCCATTGACGAGAGATGAATTCGGCGATGCAGCTTTTGGAGGTTCTTGGGCTGATGTGACTCTGTTTGCAATGTTCTTGACCGGTTGTGGGTTTGCAGTGCTGGGTTGCGGACGACTTTTCTTTGCTTTTGAGGGCATAGTGAGCGCCAAGTTGGGTGGTCCCCAGCAGGATAAAACTTGTACTCTTGCTCTTGAGCAGTCCGAGTCCTTCTATGCAGAACACATGTGGTCGAGTGAGGCAACAATGGTGGGGTATGACAGGGCTCGAAGGGAGGTTTGTCGGGAATAATGCGGCACAATAGTGCTGAAATGGTGCGAAAGAGGATAAGAGTCAGCGTACGCAGGATCTCGCGAACAAGGGACTAGTCGTAGCTGATGCGTAGGAAAGGGTGGATGGAGGACGGCGCTGGCGGGTGGTGGAAGTAGGCATTGAAGTGCAATCGTGGGGCGGCAACAAAGGCAGGAAGCACTGCACTGAATGGAAGCATCGCCAGCGGTTTCCTCGCTCGCCTCCTCAACGGCAGCCGGGCGCCGCAGCCTCCAAAAAGCATCTTTTTCCAACCTGCGACACTTCACTTCCCACTCCATTTGCTTCATCTACATTGTTGCTTCATCTTCATTTCTACGCTGGAGTCTTCAACACTTGAACCTACATTTCCGACACGTCCCGTAAGCTCGCATCGCAGCCACAGCCTGAATCATTCCGCCAACCACGACGTCACCCTCTAGCTCGAACACGCATTCTATTTCTGACACACTGCGACATATCTGTGCTGCGCACCGCGACCCCACTGAGCATCATTGGAACTAGTTTCACTTCTCATTGAGACTCTACAGCAGATGTCTACTGCTTGAATTGTGGACTTGCGCTCGAGCTATTTATCAGAGTGGTTTGCCCGTTGGGACCTCCTAATCTGCCCAGGCGCAGACGGCACCAACCTGCTGCGGAAACCCGCCTCATTGGGGTTACAGCCAGTTACACCAGCTCCGGTTTTCCTCCCACCGCCAGCTCACATCCTCGAGCACCCCGCTTCGCTGTACTTCACTATCTCTGCGTCCGGGCTGCATTTTCATCTTTCCTTACTCCCTGTCTCAGAGCCATCATCCTGCGACCAACCACCCACTGAGTTCCATCCCTCTGGAGGCTGTGCATCAGGCCACAGCCAACCATGGCACAAAATCAGACACAGCAGAATGTTATGCGAAGGTATGTCTCTGATGCCGCTGAGTTTTGCAACCGGCATTCCTGTCACCTCATGCCTCCGTCATCATGCGCCGTCTCGACCACAAGTCGGGTCACCCACGCCCATCTATTTCGTCCAGCTAACCATACGTCTACAGAAAACTAGTCATTATTGGTGACGGCGCTTGCGGAAAGACCTCTCTTCTCTCGGTATTTACTCTGGGATATTTTCCCACCCACTACGTCCCAACAGTCTTCGAGAACTACGTTACAGATTGTCGAGTGGATGGGCGATCGGTTCAATTGGCTTTATGGGATACCGCTGGACAGGAAGATTATGAACGACTGAGGCCACTCGCCTACTCCAAATCACATGTCATCCTTATCGGCTTCAGTGTGGACAGTCCCGACAGTTTAGAAAACGTACGGCATAAGTGGATTGAGGAGGCCCGCGAACGATGTCCAGATGTACCCATTATCCTTGTTGGACTCAAGAAAGATCTTCGTGAAGATCCAATGGCGATCGAGGAAATGCGCAAGAAGAGTCTGAAGTTTGTCACTTCTCGGGAAGGCACTGAAATGGCACAGTCGTGCGGGGCGCGGAAATATCTCGAATGTTCTTCCCTGACCGGTGAGGGCGTCGACGATGTCTTTGAGGCTGCGACCCGGGCTGCACTCCTCACTTTCAACGATCGAAAATCTGGCGGAGGATGCTGCACGATTCTATGACCAGATGTCCTGGATATCTTGGATGGGCTCATTCTGATTTTCACTATGCTTGTCCATCATTGGAAGCGATTGGAGCTACGGAGTTGAAAGGAATCTGGATAGCAGCTGGGCCAAAGTCATCACACCATACCGCCTCAGCCGATCTGCAAAAGTGTCTCACTTCGTTTAGGGAGGCCGCTGTGAGATTTTACCGGAGGAGAAGAAGCATTATATGGCGTCCAAACACGCATTCTAGCCATGAATTTCAGTTATAGCCTGTCAGCCGATTTCATTGTTTCGGTGTGGTTGTCGACTTTGCATTAGACGAGAAGAAGTCTCGAATTCGGAAACATCTGTGCCTTACAATATTTCGGCCTATCGGAGCATATGGTCGCAACAACACACTATATGTCGCATGTCTTTCAGAAGCGCTCCAGTATGTCAAAAACTGCACCATCCACCCATGCCTCTTCCTGAGGCAGGAGCAACCTTCTTGCCCGTGGCCAATTTTAGTACACAATGTCGGATTCCGACTCTCTCCAGCATCCGTTGTAGCACCTGCTCCTCCACAGAAAGATACAAACAGCCTCACCTGCGGCCATACACCGTTTATAATTTATGATCTTCTCACCTCCACACATATCCTTCCTGCTCCCCTCCGGGAGCACGTCACAGATCCATGTTCTTCATTTCCACCTCTTCCACCCCTCATCCCAAATCCGCGCCTTACTCCCTGCCCCCAACCCGCCCGTCGAGCCCACCCACTCGGCCAGCGGCCGCGCATACTCGATGGGCACGCCCCCACCCCTCTCAGGAATACTCCAGGTGCCCGTCTTCATCATGGCGCGCCTGAACAACTTCCCTCCATCGCCGACGCCCGTGCGTAATTCCTCGTTGGCCGCGTGCATGGCCTGGAACTGGCGCATGAGCTCCTGCTCGCGAGACTTGCGCCGGCCGTGGTAGTACAGAGACCAGGCGCGCTGGATGGTCCAGTGGCGCAGGGCGCGGTTGCGGGAGAAGCGCAGGGGTCGGGGCGTGAGGGTGGTGGGGTGGTGGAGGAAATGGCGGATTAGTGCTGAAGAAAAGAGGTTTTGGTCAGTCTATATGGTTCTGCGGGATGTGATGGAAGAGGGCTCGCCAGGGAGGGTTGGGCGGCATACTTATTCTCCTGTCGGGACGGTTGCCTTTTCCTTTCTTCTTGAGAAGAGGTGATGAGGTGGAGAACGGTGCTGATGAGGACGCAGAAGGTATTGGTTGTCGGAGACTTGAGAAAGTCGACTGTGGCATGGGTGTAGGTCGGAAGGGGATCTGGAAGGCACGGGCCAGTGCCGTACGTATTGGATTGTGATGCATCTTGATCGACGAGGAGCTCTGACTTGCAGTGGCTACTCTAGAAGATGTAGTTGAAGATTCGCCTATGCGAGGAGAAAGTCGAGATGAGCTTCGGGGAGCGGCTTGGCGGCACAGCCTTATGGAGCCTTGTCAAGCATGATCTGTCTCAAGGGCTGAGCTTGCAATAGCTTCATTCAGGTTCTCCTTCGATGATTTAGATTCAAAATTTGTGAGAGATGTTCATGAACATGTTAGAAGATGCTACGTGCGCTAAACATTGACCCCATACTGGCTGCCACCTATGGAACAGCTCCTAAGTCGCAGCAATGCCATCCGGGATTCTCCCCACCTCGACATCGTTCTGCACGATGCTTCCGTTCTCCTTGACATCCAGCCCATTCAAGGTTGGGGCCCCTGCTACTTCTTTTGTCTCTTCTTCTAGAGACTTCTCTACGAACTTTGTTCCGTTGAGATACCAGCTGATCCCCTCCTTATCACCCATCCGTTCAGCAACAGACCACCCATCACCAAACCACCCAAAGTCATTGCCATCCGCGGTGGTCATGTCCCAGTCCTCCCACCTGACCTTCTCCAGCGCCTTTACGGCATGTATACTACTGCCTGGCCACAATGCGGAGATTCTGCCCTTCAGCCTATCTTCTGGCTTCGTGCCAGGAGGACTGCTCTTGTACCAAGAATTGCATTCCGCGCTAAACACCGTACGCTTGAAGTACGCATCGCAATAGTTGGTGAAGTTCTGCACCACTTGCTTTTTCGGCATGACGGTGAGTGTGTTTCCCTGTGCCAGCTTTTGCAGTATCTGCCCGATATAGAGTGCAATGGCCTCAATAAGGATGATCAAGTTGCCGTTGCCCACACCAGCATTAGACCCGAGGCTCTGAAAGAAGTTGGGAAACCCATCAACTGCGAGGGAAAGATATGTCTCTGGCCGAACCTTGTTGCGTTCTTGTAAAACCTTGCCGCCCAGACCAATGATGGGAAAGCGGCCTTGGAAGCTGGTGTCGAAGCCGGTAGCGCACACGATGGCATCAACAGCGCGATGCTTGCCGTCCGTTGTCCATATGCCTGTCTCATCAATCCTATCGATCTTGTCGTGGACGACGTTGCACTTCTCTTCGGTAAGGGCCTCCAGATATCCTGGACCGGGTGTCAATCGCTTGCACAGCGGCGGGAAACTTGGAATCAGATGCTCCGCCACCTCCGGCTTCTTGCTCAGCCGTTGCTTCATATCTGCGTCGAACGCCTCCCAAGCTGCAGCGTGCTCCTTGGTACCTCTCTGCGTGACGGCGTAGCCTCCCTGCATACCGCATTCGAGGGCTTTGCGGTATTTGATGTATGCATCAGGATCTTGACGCCAGGCCGCTTTCTCCTCGTCAGTGTATGTGAAATTTCCATCCTTGCCGTCGTTGCGCTCGCGGACCAGCTCGTGCCCAAAGCTGGCGGCAATCCAGGTGCGGCCACGGACGTAGTGGTCCATAGATTTGACGTGTGGAAGCAAGGCAGGTACGAGCTGGATGCCCGAGGAGCCAGCACCAATAACAGCCACAGTTTTGTCCTGAACGAGAATGAGCTGGGGTCAGGAGGAGGTAAGTTGAGGTGTCACCTACCTTGGGGTCAAAAGAGGTGTCCCAGTTCGCGCTGTGCAGCCTGGGACCCTTGAAACTCTGCAAACCTGGAATATCGGGCCATTTCCATTCATTTAGAGCGCCAATTCCGGTAATGAAGACGTCGCCAATGTCCTCGATAATCTCGCCAGTGTCTGTCTTTTCGAATTTGACGTGCCACTTGCTGGTAAGTTCGTCCCATCGAGCCTCAACGGCCTTGTGTTTGAAGTGCATATATTTGCGCAACCCATATTTCTCTACTATGCGCAGCCAGTATTTTAATATCTCTGGCGCACCAGCATAGAATTTCGTCCACTCAGTCGAGCTCTCGTATGACAGTTGGTACGAGTGAGCTGGGATCTAGGGGTTATGAATGTCAGCAAGCTGCTATTTACAGATAGCCACACGACGGCATGTACATCCTCTGTTGAGGAGATCGGAGCCGTCCAAGCACGGTCGCAAAGGACCAGCTCGCTCCAGCAGAGCGTTGGCGAACTTACATCTAGGCGACGTCAGTAATCAAGACACACCCATGTCCTAGTCACTCACCACACGCGCAGCCTGGGTATCGATTTTCCCACCACGTTCCACCAGCGTCGTCGTTCTTATCATATATCGCGAGCTCGAGGTTCGGTACATATTTTGGAAACTGGATGGCAGCGTTGATACCTGATACGCCAGCGCCAATATAAATGACTTTCAGCGGTCGGGGCTCGTCAATGGCACGCTCTGATATGAGTGGGTTTTTGAAGTCATTGAGTGACTCTTGGTAGCCTACGGAACCCATAGTGGAGGGAATAGGGAGATGGAAGATCAGTGCACGAGGACGGGCGAAGAGACGGCGAGAGGAGGTTCTATGGAGGACGGGGGCGGTACTGCGGACCCTATATGTAAATGGCTAGATCGCGACGAAACATCATAAGACGGCGAGGGTCTTGCTCTGTAGCGAAGTAACCCTCTCCACGCTCATTTGGCCGATGGGGTTCTTCCGCTCAGAGTAGCGCCAGATAAACCCAGCCTGCGCCATTGTCACCGAATGCTCTAGATGCTGGCCGCCATGCGAAAGGAGGGTCTGGTATGTTACCCCACATCCTCGGCAGTGGGCTCTTGCTTGAGGGTCGGATAGGGATCCGGCGTTGGCCTACCTTCCGCTTTCGGCTAGGTGAGGCGGAGAGACCCCATGTTTTAACCCCGTGCCAGCTTGTTTTCTCAATTCCGCGCTGGCCATCCGGGCAGAGTTTGCCAGAGGCTGAATTTACCTGGGCGATGCTCCGCAAAGATTAGGATCGGATGTGGGTGAAATCCGTGGGGCAAGCCCCAAGTTGGGGTCCGGATACGTCCCATTTTTACCTGCATGTGTTGCTTGGGGTCGGTAGTTGTGCATGGTAGCCAGATACGTAGTGTCCAGCGTACAATAAGGTGGAGGCCTTCGTGACTTGGTTGGCGGTAGAAGGACAGTGGTGTGATCTTAGCACACCTCGTTCATGTATCTGGTGCGTGAGAAAATGGCGTCCTCTTGGCGGGCTTGGCTCGGTCGACCTTGTTCGCAGTCGCTGCCTCTTAAACCGACAATGCGTTCCCGTGAATAACGCTGCTGCCTTGGCCCGGCTTGCTAATGACGATGGCTTCCTTGAGCGTTTCTGCCGTGATCTTGGGGAACTTCTTGTAGTAGTATTCCTTCTTCAAAGCCTCTTGCACCGCGTCCACCTTATCTTGCGGCACTAGATGTACCGTGCACCCACCCCAGCCGGCTCCCGTCAGGCGACTGCCATACGCCCCAGACTTCCTTGCTATCGAACACATGTCGTCGATCTCGGGACAGCTGCACTCGTAAGTTTTGGCGCAGGACTCCTGAGTCTGGTTCATCAAGTCTCCAAGTCGGAGCAACTTTTCTTTGTCAAGGGTGCTGCTCTGTGACAAGGTCTGTCGGAATGCCAATACTCGTCTTGCTTCTTCGAAAACATGGAGTGCTCTTTGCCTGAGCTTGAAGCTGTCCGCCTGAACAGGGAACTTTGACATGTATTCCTTTTCCAGATTCTCAACCGATATCTCTAGGATCTTGGCTATTTCCTCCCGAGTATAAGCGTCCTTATCAAGCCTCGATTTGACAATGTCGATGACAGCATCGACTTGATACTTCATGGTTTCCTCAAGCTTGCCATCTTTCTTCATGACTTCCTCCTGGAAGTTACGCAGACTGAAACCCAGGGAGCTGTGGTCAGGGTTGAGAGCGATGTCGAAGAGCTTTGCGAGTACGACCGATGCCAGTGTAACCTCGACGACTCGTAGGTTATAATGCTTGGGTGCTGTGACCGCCTTGTCCGACGTAACGAAGGATTGAGCAACAAGTATGGTAAACTCCGGATCCGCTTGTGGCACAGGAACATGCTCGGCGGCGAACTTGGGCCAAAATTGACAGTACAATAGGTAGCCTCTTTCCGAAAAGATGGAAGCCGCCTGATCCATCCCTCCAGAGTAGACACCAACACTCCTTTCTGATACGATACACTCATCCAAAAGGTCCTGTTTGGTCACTCGTAGTCCGTTAGCCGCCATCACGGCGAGGGCCGACGCACAAACGAAAGCGGCGCTACTGGAAAGGCCACCACCGGCAGGTACATTGCCATCAATCAGAAGCTTCATCCCTTTTGGCACAAAGTTGTCACCGTGCTTCTTCCGTAGTGTCTGAAGAGAACCACTCACACCAGCCAGGAAGTAATTGCTCCACTTGTGGTTCTGCTTGTCGATCGTCACCTCTCCTGATTTGGGGATGATGGCTTCTTCTTTGGGATATTTGCTGGAATTGACGTTGGCGATCGAGAACTTAGGCTCTCCGCTTTCCACAACCTGAACCGCAATCAGGACGTCGTTGACGACTGCTGTTGGCAGAACGTTGTAAAGGGAATAGTCGATATGTTCTCCAATAAGGTTGACCCTCCCTGGGCTTCGAGAAACAAAGTCTGGCTTCTGATCGTATTCCCTCTCAAACGTCTTCACCAGGTTACCAAACCTCTGCCTGTACTCCGAGGGTATCCCATTCGGTGTACCGTCACCATACACTTGCTCCAAGCTATCCACCCAAGGCACCTCGGCAGCCATTGTAGGCAGGAAAGATGAAAAGTACTGGTTTGCAGAAGCTGACAGTGTGCACGATGGCAGCGACCGAAATTTCGGGGCTAGGATAAGGTGTATCTCAGGTGGTACTGTGATGCGAAGACTAGATAGCGACGACTTACTGCTGGGTTGGCAATCTCCCAGGTTTGATATAGGAGCATGAAAAGTACTCGAGTGTTGAGTAGTGCACTCAAGATAGTGTGAAAGCCCCGCTTATGTTGAGCAACTTTCACACAAGGTCACATTGAACACTGTAACTAGGCGGAGACTGTCAGGTGGAAACCCGAAAGCATGCAGGCACGAGGGGCGGCGTCGTTGCATCTCGCAGTTTTCTTGGCAGTCAACGTCATAAGGCTGCGAACTTCGGATTGTCAAAGTGCAGGCGCCATCGACACTCCACCACGCCACTCACGCGCTGGGCTCGCGTTGTCTTTGAGCATCAAAGCAGAGGTCCTGCAATCAACCTTAATCCTTCCTCCATGCTGTTGAAGCTGGAGTGGTAGCAGCGCGTTCTGTTTAGAGGAGACTGTCGTGAAAGGCCAGGCAACGTTTACCTCTATCGAACCTCCCAAAGCATGAGTTCAGACACCTCGGAACCGGTGCTCCTGGAGAAGCCAAACGAGGAAGGCACACCTCGTCCATCCCCATTGTCCCGTCAATCGACTCTCACGCCTAAGAAGTGCTGGATCTGCATATGTGACGCGACAGAAGATGATCCCACGAACCCCCCTACCTGGCGGACGCCTTGTGCCTGCAACCTCACCGCGCATGAAGCCTGCCTCCTCGACTGGGTCGCCGACCTAGAAAACCCCAAGAAAAAAGACCGTCCACGCGATGGCGTGATAAGGTGCCCCCAATGCAAGACCGAAATCAAGATCACGCGACCCAAGAGCTATATCCTAGAATTTACCAAAGCCTTAGATCGCGGTCTGGCTCTCGCCATCTATCCGGGTTTGGGCACAGCTGCTCTCGGTACGATATTTGCAGGCTGCTGGCTGCACGGCTTCATGTCCGTCTACGTATTCTTCGGTCCCGACCATGCCGTAAGAATATTTAATAACGCTACGAATCATCAGCGTCTCGCTTATGGCCTTGTCCCCATCAACCTCATCTTCTCTCGCACCAACTTCGCCGACTCCGTACTCACCGTCGGAACCTTTTTCCTTTTATCTACTCAAATTGACCCTAATCGATTCGAGATTGATATGACATTGTGGCCACCCCTCCCATCAACGGTCTTCATCTGCCTACCAGCCATCCGGAGAGCTTACAATTGGCTTTACTTCAAGACATTCGCCGATCTCAATCGCAAATGGCTAGAAGCTGTACAACCTGCATCTATTCAACCTGTGGAAGGTCAAGAGCAGAACCTGGCTGACTTGGCCAACCAAAATGACCCCGTGGACGGCGAGATGGTTTTTGAACTTGAGGTTCGTATCGGCGAGGACGAGGACAACGATAATGAGGAAGATGAACACGTCCCAGCAGCCGATGATGGTGCCCAGCAGGGTGAAGGTCCAGGTGCTGCCAACAACGGCAACGACAACGGCAATGGCAACGCTCATGTTCACCACCAAGTGCAAGAGATCGTAGAGGGCATAGGAATCAGCACTACAATCCTCGGTGCCTTGGTCTTTCCGACCGTCGCCGCCGGTATGGGCCGTTTACTCACTTACGCTCTACCAAAGTCATGGATGTCCAACGCGAACATGATGAACGGTCGGCCGGGTCTGCTGAGAGATCAGTGGGGGAGGAGTGTTGTGGGAGGTGCCATCTTTATTGTGTTGAAGGATGCTTTACTGCTGTACAGCAGATGGAAACGAGCACAGACGCACAAGATGAGAAGCATAGTAGATTACGACAAGAAAGCGCAGAAGTATTTGATGTAGGCGGGAGAAGTCTCCGGGGTGGGGAATGAATGCGCAGGTGTCCGGCGCAGGGCAGATCGGCAATGGCGCATTCTGAGTACCATGCTCGCGCAATGAACAGAGATACCCCCTTTCTCTTCTCTGAATGGTTCGAGAGAACGGGTTGACCGGGTTGAACATCTTGCTCCTGTCTGTCTTGGATCAGCTCCTCCTATTCCACCGCCGGACCAATACAGCCCCGCTACTTGACACCATCTGCAAAGCTATAGAACAGATACGAAGTCCCCCCGATCAATCAAAGCACACAGGTGTCACGTGTGGAGGGCCGACAGCGAGGAAACACTCACGTACTGTTAGCACCAGGTCGAAGCTTCTTGCATTCACCAAGGGTAGTCAGTGGCAGTCCAGCAATTAATTTAGGCATGCTACGCGGCGCGAAGCGAGCAAATACGAACGAAGCAGAGCACGGTAAGACTCAAGAGTACGGGAATTGCACAGGTATCTGGATTCCCTCTCTTACTTGCGCATTAGAGATCACCATGTGATGGGGAATAGGCTTGGCGAGACAAGGCAGAGGTTTATTCATATACATCCCGAAGGAACATGTTACACAAGTGGGGAAGAGGGCCTAGCTCTCCAGCTCACTTTCCCTGTTTTCGTGGCCGTCATTAAGCAGTACACAATATGCTGAAGGGCGCGGCTATCTTGCCCCTCTACCTTTGCTAGTCTGTCTCACTGCTTTCCAACAGCCTTGCATCTGCTCACAGCCCCCATTGTCAAACTCCAATGCTTATAGCAGGAAAGCAGCACCGACGGCGCCCAAGAACATGGCACCGGCAGCGTTACGGCCGGCGCCCGAGACGCCGGTCTGCACAGCCGGGGTTGCGGAAGCCTGCGAGGCGGTGGACCAGGTGATGGAGGAGGCAGCACTCTCGGTCACGGCAGCGGTGGTAGTCACCATAGTGGGTAGCTTGGTCGGTGGGGTGGTGGTGGTTGATTCGGCGGTGGTAGTCTCGTTCTTGCCGCCCCACGAGGTGCCGTTGTGGCCGCCGGCGTAGGTAGGTGCGACTAGAGTGCTGGAATCGGTCTTGCTGGGGCCGCTCCCGCCGGTGGTGCTGCTGCTGGAGGATGATCCGCACTTGTCGTTGGCGAGGACGGAGAACTGGGTGCTGTATTGGAAGATGCCGGTGCCATCCTCAATAATGAGCATGCCGTAGCCGGTCGAAGTGGCCTGCTTGCCAGCGGGCAGAGAGCAGGGAACGTCCCATTCGTAAGAGGCCGCGCCGGCGGGGACCTTCTCGACGATGGCGGTCTTGTCGGTCACACAGTTGGTGGAATCGCCGCGGCAGAGGACGAGGGAAACGGTGGATTTCTCATGGCCGGTGGCATCCCAGGTCACCTTGTAAGATTCGCCCTGAGTGACGGGCTGGGATGGAAATTAGTGAAAAGACACTTGAAGGCAGTAGAGGAACGCACGCTGGAAAGATCCGGGGTGAGGAGCGCGCCAAAGGTTGCGTCAGTGGGTTGAGTAAAGGCATAGGCCAAGGGCGCAAGGGCCGCGAGAGCGAAGATCGACTGCATTTTCGGTGGATATAGTTGTTAAAGAGTGACTAAAGTGAGTATAATGAATGACAGGGGGGAAGAATGTGGTAGTTAAAGAGCGACTGCTGATTTTGTACGCGTCCTGGCGACAACTGAGCGATGAGAAGGAAGGAGAGGGGGATTAACTGAGAGACAACACGGGGTAATCTTGATCGAATTGCCACCGCGCCCAAGTCAGGCGGCGCCATCGCCTTTTCCACGCCGCCGTTTCCAAGCTCGCAGGGAGAGAAGGGTGTCGGAGATTGCTAAGAGGATCGTTCCGTCGCCAGGGCCGGTGGGGGCGGCCTGCAGGTACGGAGGGTACCACCCAATGACACACAGCAAGGGGCATGTTTGGGCTTAACTCAACTTAGCTGACTTAGCTGCTCGCTTTGCCCCCATGAGCTGGACGCTTGAGATGAAAGGTTGCAGTCGGCGCCTCCCCTGGGAAAAGGATCTATCGTTCTTGCTGTGTGACACCATGGACGCTACATCGAATGTCGGATTTGCCGGGGGGGTGTTTCTTCTGCAACTCAAGCCCAATGAGATGCGTGGATCCCCGCTGCAGGCCAAGCACGAGGTTGCCTGGTACGAGCCTCTGGCAGGCCTAAGGCAACAAGACCCATAATTGGACTGCGTCTGGGACAGTGGCGCTTCGGTACCTGGCTGACACACGAGACTCCTGCGTCAATAAAACATGGCCAAATATTGGCCTGCTGCGTCTTTCCGAGACAATCCTGTCCGCAAGCAGCGCACTCGGACGGCGCACTCAGACTATTTGTGGCTTGTACACGGGAAATACAAGGCCAAGGGCAATGGGCTGGCCAGATCACTCGAGCCCGGGGAGCCTGCCTGTCAACTCCGTCGAACCCTTGTGGTCAAGACACAGCCTTTTCGGCTTGTCATCGCTGCGTGGCTTCTTCGCATCACCAGCGGCATTACGAAGAGTCGAGGAGGCTGGTAGCGATGCTCGAGGCAAAGAGTACCGAGACGATGCCTTCCCCCTCGGGACTGACCAGAGTCTGCGCTAAGATATTTTCTCAGTCAGAGGAGAGACACATGTAAGAGGATCGGGGAAGGAGAATAAGGGAATGACTCAGCCTCGGTGAACGCACAGCTAAGTTCTAAGCGACAGACAGCGCACCGTCAGGTAAGCGTGGAGTCCTTACCTGTAGCTACGCTACACCAGCCCAAGGCTCAGGCAAGCCGTATCAGTCGTACTTCTCTTGTGGACTTGTATATTCGCGCCCGTAGATGTACCCAGGCATCCGTCGTTCCCAGCATCAAGATAGATCTCACCCGAGTACCCGCACAAGATGTTTCTCATCCGGCGGAGTTGCAGCCATAACGAGCCGGCCCTTGTCCCGGGTCATCACGTCTACAATGATCACGCCTTGGATTGTAAAGCAGTATGCTGTGCAAGAGGATGTTGATCTTTTTGAATTCTTCGGTCTATTTTGAGCAACATGGTCTATGTCTATCGCTCTTTGCCGCTTGCCAACACACCCTTGCTCTCTCTTTCAAGGGTGGCAGGCTAAGATGCCGTCATTTTGGGTATCGAAGAAGGCGACGTTGTGAGCCTGATATCTGACGAGAAATGAATTGAAACCAGTCCGCTTTTTTGAAACTCCGATAGCAATGCGTTTGGACGTCGTGATTGCAACTCCGAACAGGGATACAAAGCAGATTGTAAAGCAATTCGTCCAATTCTCTATTCTTCGTCCTCGTCAGTAAACACCTCCTCGCCACGTCTGTATAGATTGTTAGCATGGTGTTCGACAATAGCAGGGATATAGGAACAACTGACTTTCTTCTCAACATCCTATCCTTTCTCTTCTTGCGCAGCCTGAGACAGTGTTAGCGATCATATCAAGAAAAGGTGATTCTGTTTGACATACTCAGAGGCGGTAAGCTTCTTAGCCTTCTTCGTGCCCTCGATTTTATTGCCCATAGCATCAAACTTGTCCTCCTCGTCATCATCCTTGTTGGCGAGACGGGGACCGGATCCTTGGCCAGCGACCCAGTTGTGTCCACTGGGAGCCATCAGACCGTCATTGACAGCCCAGACTTCGTTCGTTAAGGACTCAGTGAACTAAAATAGTTAGCAACGTTCAGATAGCGACAAGGAGGTACTCGCCTCAGCGTTATGTGAAATTATCACGACGCCTCCCTCGAACTCCTTGAGGGCCTTGGATAGAGCGCCAAGGGAATCGCGGTCGAGGTAGTTGGTCGGCTCGTCGAGAACGATCAAGTGAGGGCGCTGCCATGTGCAGGCGGCAAGCACGACCTTGACACGCTGGCCACCGGACAGACCACGCATGCGAGAGTGAGAGATAAGCTCGGTATCAAGACCGAAGTTAGCAGCATGAGCCTCAATTTCCTTGCGGACCAGGGGGCGGAACTGGCCGGAGGCAAGGGCTTCCTTCTGATCGACCTCGGCAACCAGCTTCTGGTGAGAAGCCAAAATCTCGTTACGAGGAATCCAGGCGTTGTCGGCAGTCATCATAGGAGTCCACTTCTCGTTCTTCTGGCCAACGTTCTCACCAAGAAGGAAAGAGCACTCGTACTCGTAGGAGTTCTTGAACTTTCTGCGAGAGTGAATGCCAATGACACGACGTTGAGTACCTTCGATCTTGTAGATCTTGTTCATGGCCTCCTCGTCGTTCTCGGTGATGATCTTGTTGGCACGATCCATAGTCTCGCGATCCTCACCAGTCTGGAAACGCCACTGAATATATTCAGAAGGAGTCTTGTCGAGATGGTGATCAATGTGAGCAAAAGCGTGCTGCTTGATATATGCAATACGGATGTTCTCGTGCTGGTAGACTTCACCAGAAGTGGGAATGAGCTCACCAGTCAGGACATTGACGAGAGTAGACTTGCCAGCACCGTTAGGACCGATGACAGCAATACGAGAGCCCAGAGAGCACTGGAAGGTAATGTCCCGAATCTGAGGCTTGGCGGTGCCAGGGTACTGGAACGACATCTTGCTGACACGAACAATAGCCTTGGCCTTGGTCTTGACGCCCTCGAGGAAACCGGGCTCGGGGAACTTAAACTCGAGCTCGGAGGCACCGAGTTCGAAGTATGAACGAGCTGAAGGCACACGTCTGGCGAACTCGGCGAGGTTACCACGATAGCGCTTGAGCTTGAAGCGCTCGTAGTGGATAACGTGCTGGATGACATTGTTCAAGAATTTCGAGTCGTGAGAGATGATGATGGAGGTCGATGGCGAGGTCTTCAGGTAATTCTCAAGCCATGCGACGTTCTTGACATCCATGTGGTTGGTAGGCTCATCCAGGAGCAGAATGTCGGGCTCTTCGAAGACGGCGCGGGCAAGAGCCAGCTTCATCTTCCAGCCACCGGAGAGAGATGTGATAAGACCATCAAACTGCTCGGGAACGAAGCCGAACTCGGTGAGCTTGGCCTTGATGTCCTCATCGGTCTTCTCGATGTTGACCTGCTTAAGCTTCATCTGAGTCCAGGCCATGACGGTAAGCTCAGTATCAGCAGCGTCGAGATCGTGCTCGACGAACACGGTCTTGACTTCGGACTGCTTGGGGAAACCCTCGACTTGCTCGTTGTTGATGGCACGCATCAGAGTGGTCTTGCCAGAGCCGTTGGGCCCCAAAAGGCCGTAGCGCTGGCCACGCTTCAGGCGCAGGTGCGTCTGATTCAGCAGGATCTTAGCACCATAAGCAAGGTTGAATGTGCAGTTGCAGAGATCCTCGCCTTCCTCCTCATCGGGCTCAACTTCAGCCTCTGCTTCCGCACCTGGGGCAGTCTTCTTGCGGAGGGACTCAGTGATAGCCTCAGCATCGGCCTCGCCAACAAGAACCTCAACGTACTGCTTGACGTTGGTGGCCCAGTCGGGAGCCTCGTTCATCTTCTGGTCAATGAGCTGACCAGCGATGGCTGAGATGTAGAGAACGGTAGCCTCGGCTTTAATGGCCTCCTTGTGCTTGGATGACTCGAGAATGGACTTGAAGAGACCGGCGACGGTGGAAACCTCACCAGCAGTGGAAACCTCGGGCCAGGTGCCGTCATCTTTGACAGCGCCCACACGCTTGAGGGTATCGAGAGCCTGCTTGGTCTTTTCACGAGCCTCAGGATCAGCCATGTTGTCGTGATTCTTGTTGAGCGCAGGCATGAGCTTGGGCAAGAAAGCTGCAACGATCTGAGGATCTTCGACAAGCTTGCACATGTTGTCAACGATGACAGCGGATTTACGCTTGATGGCAGTCTCGCGGTCAGCAAGACCACGCTCAAGGAGGGGAACCATGATGGCCAGCGTAGGCTCGTGCACATCGGTAACGAAGGTAGTGGCGCCCAGCAAGTGAACAGTCTCCGGGACGTTCTCTGGCTTAGCGATACACTTGATCAGCTCAGGAATGAACTTCTCAATATCCTTGTTCTCAATGAGCTTGCAGATCTTTTCCATAGTGCCATACGCCTTCTTCTTGACTTCAGGCTTGGTATCCCACATTGACTCGGAAACGATCGGAATCAGGGTAGGGACGAGGAAGGTGAGCTGGGTTGGTGCAGTTTCGACGAGAGACTCGATGCAGTCCAGTCCGGTCATCTTCTCAGGCCACTTCTGTGCAGTGACGATCGAATTGCGGATGTGAGGAAGGGCGGCTTTGGTCGAGTTGGGGTTAATGGTTTTGATAATCGCGAGAGCGGCCTCAATAGCCACATTCTTGACCGAAGTCATCTTGTCACCAACACCGGCAAGGGCGAGGGGAAGAAGAGAGATCAGATGAGGCTCGAAAGCAGGGGAAATGGCGGAGTGCGACGCAATGGCCTTGATGCCATCGAGGGCACGCTCGCGAGCGACGGCATCTTTCTTGTTGGAAAGTTGCTTCGTGAAGGTCTCAACGGCCTTCGCAGGGATGACCTGTTCTTCGATAGGACCATGTAGGAGAGTGGCAACGTTCAGCGCTGCTGAGTTGGCCTCATCCTGAGCTTTCGAGACGGAGAGCTTCTTGAGTAGCTCATCGAGGGTAGCGAGAGATTTGGTGGTCTCCGCTTTGGTAGCCACGGGAGTCGAAGTCATCGTGTCAACCGCGGGCATGCTTTTCTGGTTCGTAATAGAAAATGGAGGGGTTTGAATTCGTTGAGGGTGACCTGAAGAACGGCGGTCTAGGAGTAAGCCCAGGAAACAAGGGGTTTGCCCTAGACTAGGCGCTTGTGCGGCGAGTCTTGGGTCTATTCGTCTATTCGTAAAAAGAGAGAGAACAGTCTATGTCTCTGAGAGAGAGGAGACAAAGAGTGAGAGGAGAGATGTCGTAGAGGGGTATCGTAAGAGGAAAAGATCAAGAGTGGCGGCGGGCGACTTGGACGATTTTTATTATGGTCGCCGTCTCCCAAATTTTTTTCTCAGGCAGACTCTAGCGCCTTCACCGGACCCACTCGGCTGTCACTCTCTGTTGGGCTTCACCCGGGTTTAATCGACACTTCAGTGTTACAGATTGGCCCACCGCTCGTTCCGGGGCCTTCTGAATGGCTAATGAGGACTCATACATGGCTACTAACAGTATGACTCAGACAAGGTACTTCTCGGTATATGTACAGGCTGCAATCAGGAGAGGAAAGTGGTTGTCACAGACTCGCCCCGGTGCCCCAGACCGCTCGTTATCGTAGCGCTATCGGTATCAGGGTAGGGCAATCTGAGGGGCACTCGAGGGGTTCGGAGGCCTGCCTGGTGTTCCGCCCAAGGATCGCTCAGCCCGGCTTGCTAATTTTATCGCCACCATTCTCACCCCTGCTTGTGCTGATCCTCTTCGCAACAAGAACAATTGATTTCTGCTTACTACTGAAGTAGAGACGCTACATTAATGGGGGCGCCACGTTGAGTCGTGGCGAAAAATCATTCGCTTAGCTATCGATAATGGACGATAGGGGCTGGAGGGGTGAAGTGGATGCACTTTCGGTGCAGTGGCACAGCGAGGCATATCTAGAATCTTTCCCCGGAGGAAGGGTGTAGCCAAATTGTTTGACTTTCTGGAGAATGCTCAATACGACCGTGGTGACTGGATAGAAGGAGTCCTAACAGTTTTCGTGGATAAACGCTCCGTATGAGCCCCAACATCGGCCGACCTAGCCGGTGACAAGATTTTCCAGGGCCGAGAATTTGCCCACCGCGACCTGTTGCCGGTTTGACCAGGGCTGTGGCTTTCCTTCATATCATTCGCTCAAATTGATGATTGTCCGGCTAGATGGCCATCGGGGTGGCCCTCTCTGTCGGTCGTTAGCATCGCGAGATGAATGTTGGATCTTGGCATCAATTAGCGAGTCACTAAGCGACAGCACATCCTCGCCACGACTGTATCTGTTGTTATTGAAGATATGGCCTAAAAGAAACCCTGCTCTCTGCTGTTCAAGCAGTCCCCCATTGCAGAAACAAAGTCATCATCATGTCGTCTCAGAAGTTTCGTAAACCACAACGCCAAACATGTTAACCCAGTCGAACAACATCTAGTCATAACGACGATGACGTCTTCTGCGGTCATTGTCGCTGTCGCTGCTGCTGGAACTGCTCTCCCTCCTCCTTCCACTTTGCGAGCGACGCACAGATCTAGACCGGCTGCGTCTTCGGCCGTCAGCATCGAAGTCGCGCGAATCGCCGTCACGACGGTCTTTGTCCTTTTTCTTCTTTTCACGCTTCTTCTCCAGCTCATGTCCACCGTATGCTTGACAGAGTTAGCAGGTTTGTACCATTCAACAGTCCTACAGTCTTACCTCCCGCGGCTGCACCGATCAGAGTACTCAAGCCGCCTTTGCCAACCTCGTGGCCAGCGAATGCTGGGCGTTGTTAGTACAACCTCTTTCAGACGGTGAGGGACGTACCTCCGATAGCACCACCGAGCAATGTTGCGCCCACCGACTTTTCAGCTTCATGGCCATGTTTTTCTCGTCCAGATTTTGAGCTCCTTCTGGAGTTTGAGCGATCACCATGGCTATGAGGAGGGGGTGCATAATATCCAGGTTCACCTGCTCGTGGGCCACCATGATGCTCGTGGCGACGGCGGTCATCGTAGTCGTCGCGATAGTTGCCCAATTGATCGTTGCGTGGCGGGCGATAGCCATCGTCACGAGGCGGCTGGTACGTATTGTATACCTGAAACATTTGATCAGTAAATAGACATAGTCGGTGGTGCTTGGACCTACTGGTTGCTGAGGCTGAAAACTGGTCGTGGAAGTGTAGGGGCTATATCCCTCATTCGGGCGACCTCCATACTGAGGCTGTGGCTGATAGCCTTGGTGAGGAGGCGCATACTGGCCGGCGCTGCTTGGGCGCTGATCGCGATAGTAATTGTCACCCATTGCGCAGTCGACAACGATGACTCTCTACGTTGACGCTAAAAGTTGGGGGATGATGATGAGCAATAATGACGAGAAGCGAGGCAATAATGCATGCGCGCCCGGTTAGTATGTGCATGCTTGACCAAATCTTGATGGCGGCGGGGCTTGCGGGATGACTTCATAGGTAGGTGTTTCCGAAAAGGCCCCCGTGAGATCCATTTCGGCCAGACCCTGGCTCGCCTGGTTGTACCCGCGACGCCACAACGAATCAAAGCTCCACTCGGAATTCATGATCTTGCACGAAGGCACTCCTGGATACACACAAGTACAAGTATGTATTTCCCGTTCATCGTCCGGCGCGCAGACGTATGCTCTGAGACAGGGTTGATTCACGGGCCGTCCAACCCGATAACCTCCAGCTCAACAATGGAACGGCGGTGAGTGTTAGGAAAGTCGTCCACGAACTACTTCACACTTGTAGCAAGCCTGAGAGATACACCTCATGCGGCATAGGTATCTACTGCAGCGGTCCGCGCGCGAATCCTCACTACTGTTATGTATAGGCGATATGTGGCGAATCTAGTTGCTTTCTGCATTGCTTGCGGTGCAATGTAGCGATGCTTGGCGATCGGCGAAGTCTCGGCATAGCAGTGCGGAATGATGTCCGACATTTTTATATCTCACTGCTTCGCGCCTCTTCAGAAAACTGCGCTGACCTATCGATACGCGAAAATCTCTTGATGTCCGACATCCGTCACATCCATTGGAAGACTAGCCTTTCATCTGTTGCTCGGGCCTCATTGGCCGGTACCTTGCAGCCGTCCCACTCTGCTCGGCATATCCCATCTGCTCGCCCGGTAGTGAAGGCCGAACCACGTCTAGCAACAGGCACGAGCCTCATGCAAGTTTGCAATTCCACGACCATATCGCGGATTTCTTTCCAGGCCCACTCTTCAAGGTCATGGCTATCAAAATGCGGCACCAGGTAAACATGTGGACTGATGATATAAATACTGCCCTCTTCCGTTTTGTGCCCACCTTGCCACTTGCTATAAGATAGAGTCTGCTCGTTGACTCGCTTTACCCAGCCATTCGCAGTTGTCCTTCTATTGACATTGACCTGTTGCCTTCCTTTGACCATGTCCGGCTCAAACAGCGGAGCCTCAACAGAGGGCCACAATGCTGTCAACAATCTCGACCTAGAGAAGCAGGACACACACCTGACCCGAGCAACTACGAGAAGAACGTTGGAACGCCATGAGACACGCCCGACACAAGGAGCGTCGGATGTTCTGGACCTTCCTTATGGCACGCTCAATGACTCGGCCGATCTGCACGAGTTCACCGAAGAGACCGCCGAAGGTATTATCCCCAAACGAACTATCTCTCGAGTGTCTGGCAGAATTGAGGATCATGAGTTGGTGACCTTCACTATCAACGATCCGGAAAACCCAAAGAATTTCAGCAAACTCAAGAAATGGTATGGCTCCTTCGCAGTGCCTCGCTGTCAGCACTAACGATTCCAGGTGGTGCACCATGGTCGTTGCTTTTACCTGCTTTGTTGTCGCTTTCAACAGCTCCGTCATCACGGCCAATCTCGAAGGCGTCTCCGAGCGCTTCAACGTTTCCAATGAAGTTGCGCTGCTCACAATCACCGTCTTCGTCATCGGATTCGGTGTGGGCCCACTCGCGTTTGCACCTTGCTCCGAACTGTTTGGTCGAAAGCCCGTCTACGTCGTTACGCTCGCTCTAGCCGTCATCTTCATCATTCCTTGTGCAGTAGCACAGAACATTGGAACACTCATCGTTTGTCGGCTCATTGATGGAATTGCCTTCTCAGCACCGATGACTCTGGTTGGAGGAACTCTTGCCGATCTCTGGAGGAATGAGGAGCGCGGAGTGCCCATGGCCTTCTTTTCAGCTGCGCCTTTCATGGGGCCAGCGATAGGTCCACTTGTCGGAGGCTACCTAGGTACTATGGGCTGGAGATGGTTGTATTGGATCCAGCTGATCCTTTCCGGCTTCGCCTTTTGCCTCATCGCCTTCACCGTCCCCGAGACTTACGCACCCACCCTTCTTACCAGAAGAGCAAAGAAGATGCGCAAGGACACCGGCGACAACAGATTCGTCACGGAAAAGGAGCTTGATACCCGCCCATTCTCCGAGCAGCTATGGATCTTCCTCATTCGGCCTCTGCAATTGCTCTTCCTGGAGCCCATTGTCCTCTTCATCACGATCTACATGTCAGTGTTGTACGGCCTGCTCTATATGTTTTTCATTGCCTATCCGATCGGTAAGTCTCACCAAGCATGCTTTTCGTTCCCTACTGACCATCCTGCTAGTGTACCAAGGCGGCAAAGGCTGGTCGCCCGGCTCGACGGGCCTCATGTTCATCCCACTCGCCCTCGGCGTTGTTCTGTCTGCCGCCGTTTCACCTCTCGTCAATCGTCATTACTTGACCCTTGTCGCCCGTGCCCCGAACAACAAGCCTGCTGCCGAGGCGAGACTCATCCCGATGATGTTCAGCTGCTGGTTCATTCCCATTGGTCTCTTCATCTTCGCGTGGACTTCCGCACCTTCTATAAGCTACTGGGGGTAAGTTCCCTTCCGTCCCCCTTTGTTGATTTTGATGCTTACTTTCCTATTAAGGCCCATGATGGGCGGTTTCTCCGTCGGATTTGGCTTCATCTTCCTCTACAATTCGGCCAATAACTACCTCGTTGACACATATCAGCACCAAGCTGCAAGTGCGCTCGCCGCCAAGACGTTCCTCCGGAGCTTGTGGGGCGCCGGGGTTGTGTTGTTCACGCGGCAAATGTACGACAGGCTGGGTCTACAATGGGCGAGCAGCTTACTAGCTTTCTTGGCGTTGGCATGCTGTGCCATTCCGTACGTGTTCTATTTCAAGGGCAAAGCGATCAGAGCGTACAGTCGATTTGCATTTGCAGATAATGAAGAGGAGGAGAAACGGTAGGGGGGTTGTGGCTTGCAAGAAAGAGAGGAGAGGAGAGAGACCATGGGTGGCACCTTCTTGGAGCATAGGCTAATGTGGCTGTAATGGATGCCCGTACCAAGAAGCTTCTGGGTTTTGCGATGGAGTTCAAGGGATACAGGCGTGCTGCAGGAATTGCTCGCACCTGACTTGCTAATATATGGAAGTCTCGATTTGTTTTGCATGGCAGCCGAAGGTCTATCTAATGCCAGTCAGTAGATGATAGAGCCTCGACATCGAGAGCGGATCAGGTCACTATGTTATAGACTGGCCAGAATAATGAATGCGCCAGCATTAGTTCAGCATTGCCGTTCCTGTGTCAGTAGATGGACTGTAGTGCCGGCGAAAAGTCGCTTCCGATTTCGGCATAGCGCGTGGCTCCTACCAACAACGCGTTGAGATGTCCAGCTCCTCCTGCCAGCTTCCAACGACATGACAACCCTTCTATAAGCCCCCTGAGGAGCGACATCCCTGGTCTCCGTCTGCTACTTTTACCGCTTTGTTGCTGCATCCCTGAGCATAGCGAGCAGGCTGATGTCCACTTGTCGTGCAACCGTATTCCGTCTATGGATGCCCGCAGAACTTGACCTCGGGACAAAGGAGGCCACGAGTTTGCGCTCACTCGTGCCTTCCCCTCCTATGCATTCCCCATATGGCTTCTGATCCGCTTTCACTACATCTCCCCGCGAATCCAGATCCCCGAAATGCGGGGGTGGCACTGATGTACCGAGAGCAGCTTGCTGACCCGATCATCATCGCCAGAGCGAAGCGAATCACTTATGGTCCTCGTATTCGATTCTCTTGGAGCTGACTATACTAGATAAGCTGTCGACAGTTGTCTTCAGCCTATTGCTACCAAATCTGCTTGAGTCCACGTCTGATCAACTAACACCAGCACCGCTGCTTGATTCTCAACGCTGCTTGAATCTCAACGCTGACATGGCTGTTAACGGAACCAATGGCGTGAAAGGAGCCCATGGAGGCAATGCTCTTTGCAGTGTCGACGAATTCGTTGCTCAAAAGTACGATTTTGTCGTCGTTGGCGGTGGCACCGCTGGCCTCTGTGTCGCAGCAAGACTGACAGAAGATCCCAATGTGACTGTCGGTGTCCTCGAAGCCGGCCAGAACCGTATGGACGATCCTGCGGTCTCAACGCCAGGCCTTTACCCCACCATGATAGGACGACCAGACTATGACTGGTGTATGACTAGCATTGAGCAACCTACTGCAGGTGGCAAGGTCTACTCTATGCCTCGAGGCAAACTCTTGGGTGGCAGGTAAGTGCAATCTCAGTCCTCCAAGAGTGCAATACTTAAGTCTTTCCCATGTAGTTCTGGTATCAATTACCTGATGTATGTTCGGGGATCGGTGAGTTCCACCATTAAGAACAGCCATGTCGCTAACCAACTTGTACAGAAAGGCGATTACAATGGATGGGAGTCATTGGGCAACCGAGGCTGGGGCTGGGACGGTTTGGCTCCTTACTTCCGAAAGCACCAGACGCTCGACAAGACCGAGAACAAATCTAGCAATCCGCAGTTCATGCCAGCAGCTGGCGGCGACAAATATCACGGCACCAACGGGCCGATCCACACTTCGTTTAACGACTGGTACTCGCCATATGAGGAAGATTTCGTAAAGGCGGCGTATGAAGTGACTGGTAGCCAGAATACCTTGAACGATGCCTGGAGTGGTGACCATATGGGATTCTACAGCTCCCTTGGCGCCGTCAATCGCACTGACGACCCTGGTAAGCGAAGCTATGCTGCGACTGGATACTTGCGACCCAACCTCCAGAGGCCAAACTTAAAAGTCCTCACCGAGGCCCAGGCGATTGGAATAACGGGCATCAAAAACGGGACCGCTGATGGTGTCGAGTTCATTCACAAGGGTCAAAAATACTCGGTTGGTGCGAAGAAGGAAGTCGTCCTGAGTGCGGGTGTCATCCAAACTCCACAGCTGCTGGAGCTGTCCGGCATTGGTGACGCGGAAGTGCTTCAAAAAGCCGGCGTGGAGTGCCTTGTCGAGAACAAGGCTGTTGGAGAGAACTTCCAGGACCACGTTCTCGGTGGCCTGTTGTATGACCTCAAGCCTGGTGTACCATCTCTGGATGCAATGCACGGAGCAGAATTCGCCAAAGCCCAGCAGGAGATCTACGAGAAGACTAATGGCGGAGTGTGTGGTTCACCTGGGATGTTGATGGGCTTCGTCTCTTACGCGAGTTTGGTCTCACCGGAAGAGCTTGAGCAGACCATCAGCGAGATCAAGCAAAAGTCCTTGGCCAAGACCGACTTCGCCAAAGCTCAAGAGAAGGTCATTGTGGACCAGCTCCGTGATCCAACCTTTGCCAACCTCCAGACGTTCTGCATCATGTGTCGTCTCGATGTTGCCAAGGGTGCGGATCAGACCCAATTCTTTAGTGCGCCACCGCCCGGCACCGAGCAAGTGTCGCTGCTGATGTGCTTGGAACATCCTCTTTCTCGAGGTACGGTCCACATTACGACGTCGGACCCACTGGCTCCTCCACAGATTGATCCGGGCTATTTCCGCAACGAAGTCGATGCGAAGATTTTAGCTGCTGGCATAAAATGGATGGATCAGGTCGCCAAGCACCCGTTACTCGCAAAGCAGATGGGTAAGAGAGAGTTGCCGGCGGACCAGGCAAGCCTCGACAGTGAACAGGAGCGCATCGACTATGTCAAGAACCACATCTCGACGCAATATCATCTGATTGGTACGGCCGCGATGGGTGAGGCCGTGGACGACCAGCTGCACGTCAATGGCGTCAAGGGCCTGAGGGTCGTTGACGCCTCTGTCTTCCCGGGCCACGTCTCTGGAGTAAGTTCACGGTGCCCTTTCTAAAATACAGTTTGCTAACCATTGTCCAGAACATCATGTCTACCACCTACGCCGTTGCAGAGAAAGGTGCCGATCTCATCAAGGCAGATTGGGGGATCAAGCAGTGAGAGCCCGACTGGATTGTTTAATTCGCAAACAGTGCTACCGTGTAGTTTTTACGTTGTTATTCCTTTACTGTGTTACTCAGGTAGATGCCCTGGCTCGGACGCACGACTGCAGGCGACCTGCTTGCCTAGGCTAGTTGCAAACAGGCTAAAGGGCCGCTCGTCAAGCATTGCCTTCCCCACTGCAGGGGCACGATCCGGCAGATCTCGTACGCATGGATGATGCCGACGTCGATGCCGACTCCATAAAGCTAATTTCAACTCCCCTGCCTCGTCGCTTGCGTCGCCTAAGATTGAAAATGCGGAGCAACTAAGTACCAAAGATTGTACCGGCACTGTCGTGATTCCGGAGCCGAGGAGCCAGCTAGGCTATAACATGAATCCAGGCCACGCTTGTGATGTCCAGGATGCCGCCATTCTGGACGACGAGCACGATGGTACTTCTCGGTGCTTCACTTGCGGCAGTGGCTTCTCTGCTGATAGCATACAGTCATCCCGTCACGAGTCTCGGCTTTGAGACTGACTGCAGTGCATTCGCTGCCAGCCTCGCCCTTGAAAACTCCACCATCCACTTTTCACAGCACGTCCCTGCCGGCAGCAACCTCACCTTCCCAGACAATCCAGAGACATGCACTCGTCCCTTCCAGCTCGTGCCCGTTGACATCTGCCGTGTCGTACTGTCCGTCGCCACTTCCTCTCGATCCAGTACCAGAATCGAGGCGTGGCTTCCACAGGCAAGCAACTGGACCGGACGTGTGCTTTCCACCGCCAATGGCGGTATCAGCGGCTGCATCCAGTATGAAGACCTTGCTTACGGAGCCTCACTTGGCTTCGCTTCCCTTGGTTCAAACGGCGGCCACGATGGAATGACAGGTGTCCCTTTTCTCAACAACGAAGACGTCGTTGCCGACTTCGCCTGGCGTGCCCTACACACAACCGCTCAAGTTGCTAAATCGATCGCGCCTCAATTCTACTCCCAAAATTACACCAAGTCCTACTACCTCGGCTGCTCGACTGGTGGGAGACAGGGATGGAAGTCGGCACAGTCGTTCCCGGAAGATTTCGATGGCATCGTCGCTGGTGCACCCGCTCTCGCCTTCAACAATCTGACGTCCTGGTCTGGCTCGTTCTATCAGATCTTCCAAGCCGCCGGTTCGGATGGCTTTCCACCGATGCCTAGTTGGCCAAGCATCGACGATAGTATTCTCGCGCAATGTGATGCTCTGGATGGTGCGGAGGATGGCATTGTCGAGACCGCTACTCTCTGCAACGCCATCTATCGTCCGGAAGCATTGATATGTGACTCCTCCACCACCAATTCCAGCACCTGCATTACCGCCCTTCAAGCCGGAACCATTCGCACGCTTTTCTCCCCGCTCTACGGTAAGGACGGCGCCCTGGTCTATCCTTCTCTACCTGCCACTCCAGGCGTCGCTCAACTCGCCAATGCGTTCTATGGGCCTGCGCCATTCCTGTAAGTCAGCCCTTGTCTGCATCCACCTGCTTGTCAGATCACTACTCCTGAATAAGCCTTCCTCTAGGTCTAAACGTACTCGTTCTCTATCATCCAATGAAACGCTTGCTAACAACCCCAGGTATACCGTCGATTGGTACCAGAACGCCGTGTACAACGACCCCAGTTTCGACGTCGCCAAGCTGACACCCGAAGACTGGGCCTTTGCCTGGTCACTCAACCCCGGCGACTCCAACACCTGGTCCGGCGACCTCTCTGCCTTCCGGGACCGTGGCTCCAAAATCCTGCATTACCACGGTCAAAACGACGGCATCATCACCCCTCTCAACTCCGAGAGATACTACGATTACGTGTCGCGTACCTTGGCTACCCCAGCAGAAGAGCTGGATGACTTCTACCGCTTCTTCAGAATCAGCGGCATGGAGCACTGCGGCGGCGGCCCAGGGGCGAGCAACATTGGGAATTCCGCAGCGGGCATGGGCGCGAGTCTGGAACCGCAAGACAACGTGCTGATGGCCATGGTGAAGTGGGTCGAGGAGGGTTCCGCCCCGGACACTGTCACCGGCGTCAAATACGTGGGCCAGGAAGACCAGGTCCCAGGTGCCCCTCCAGCTGAGGGCCCGAGACCAGTCGAGTATGAGAGGAAGCATTGTCGATACCCCTACAGGAACGTGTTTGAGGAGGGTGAGTGGAAATGCGTCTGAAGAGGGAACGCCCTGTGGAAGTGAGAGAAGGAGGCGGGCAAAGGTCAAGAGCCAGTATGGATTTCGTCACATGAGAAACCACGATTCCCGGTCTGAAATAGTCAAATGTCCATGTAACGAAGCTCTCCGCTCCGAAATGCTACAGCATCCCAAATGAAAAAGGTACAGGGGTATCAGAATCGCTTGAACGCTCAGAGATCAACTGTCCCTTCCACCCCTTCATGCCCGCTTCACCGCCAGACATTGTCATCCTCGATCATGCTTCCATATCTAGGGTCCTTCCTAGATCCACTCGACCCCTGAGCATCATCGTCCTCATCATCACTGATCGCATGCTCAGGTGGTGGACGGTCTGCTGGGACTTTGCTCGGTTCGAAGCCTTGCGTTCGCATATCTACACCTTCTTCTGCACCGTCCACACTGTACGTTCGTACGAAGTGCTTGGGATGGCCTTCCGGAGCTGTGTTCCAAGCATCGCCGCCCTCTTTTCGTGCGCGGACACGTTCGGCCTGTTCAGCTTGTTCGTCTTCGACAATGAGGTCCACCAGCTGATCGCGATTTGTATGCGAGTCGGGGAGCTCGTTCGGACCCTTCTGATTGTCGGGTTGCAGGTCGTTCTGAAGTTTTGTTTCGATAGCTCCTGCCCTTGGGACTTTGGAAGAACTACTGCGGTCTTTGCCCTTGCTGATGCTTTCTCGCACTTCGTCTCTACGCCGCCTTTGGTTGTCCTTTGTTGGCTGAAATAAGTGTCGATTGGTGGCTGTTGTGATCAGAGCGGGATCTCGATGCATCCAATCGTCTCGTGTTGCTTCATGCGCCGTCACGACAGGGTAGTTCCAGTCGCCGAACTCCAAAGCGCGAGCGTTGGTGAACAGCCGTTCGTCTTCGGCATCGATGGCAACCTCGATGTCAGGCTCAGTAGCACGGTAGTCGATGGCGTGGCCTCTGGATTCGGGCGCGGGTGGATTACTTGCCCCCGCTTTTACCAAAAGTGGCGTACGACTGTTGGGGACGGACTTGGGGATCCAATATTTTCCTTTGCCGCCACGCTCGTAGCGCATGCCGTCTTCCATCCTGGCTATACGCGAGTGAGACTCCTCGTGAGCAATGATGTGATCTCCAGAGTCGAACGTGCGGTAGTCATAGTGCTTGCCTCGGAATGTGAGCTTGGTATCCTCGATAAGATCGCGAAGACCAAAAGCGTCCCTGATAGCAAATATGATCGGCATGCGAGCGGAAGATATGGTATCATCAGCATAGTCATGCCAAGAAAAGGCGTACCAATGCGCGACGGCAAAGAGTGGCATCTCGAAGCAGATTACAGCATCTTGGATTGCAGCTGCCAGATTGTCGGCTGAATAGCCAGGAACGTCACTGGGAATGGCCCCCAAGAACTGTAAGATCGACAGGAAAAACCCTTGCCAGTAGGATGCAAAGATGATGAGTTTAATGCACAAGAACTTGGGCATGGGTCGAAATGGCTGAAGGTCATCGGACATGCATACCCAGAACATGGCCAAGGCGTAGAGACTGATTGTAATGGAGACATTGTAGATGATACCGGACCAGAGGTACCCAGAATCTAGGCTGATGTATCCCTCTTTGTATGTGTCTGTCAATTTGAAGATGATGGTCGCAACCGCGAGTATCGGCTTGAGATACGCATATTGAAGAATTCCTCGCTTGATGGCCAGGAAAGTGTGAGGGTCAGAGATGTCAACTTTGGAGCAGTAGAGACTGATGGGCCAAGGATGTGAGACGGGAGCTCTTCCATGCATCATTATGATCAAAGATCTTTCGCCTCCAATGAAGTTGACCAGCAGTTGCAAGAACGTGTAGATCGTGAAGGCCTCGTAAATGTCGCGGAGGGGATCAAGGTAGAAGGCAGCTCGTAGAGAGATGACAGAAGCCCATGAAGCGGCCGCGTAAATTGGCACCATGAGCAGGATGCGGACAACATAGCGTTGTAGGAGGGGCTTTCGGTAGTCTAGATTGGTTCAGTTAGTGAAGAGTGATAAACTACAAGAGGAAAGACAGACTCTTCAGTTGTAACCACATAGACACGAATGAGATCAGACAGGCGGCCAGCGAAGCAACACCAGCGACGATGATAACGGCCCGGGCGAGTTTGTTGCCCGAGCCTTTGGGATCTGATTCTTCGCCGGCGGCATTTATTGGGCCCGGAAACGTAAACATTGCGTTCTGCCGACCCCGGTAGAGGATGGGTCAAAAGAGAAGACAGAACAAATTAGTCCTCTGACACATAGACGCCAGCACCCATACTCAGAAACGGAACATGGAGGCAAAGAGAGCGGGCAAAAAAGCCGTTGCCTAAGGAGGGTGGATATGGCAGCGGCTCCTGGCAGTGGAAACGGCGCATGACGATCAAGGTGCAAGCACGACCGAGTTCGTACTTGTAGGCGACAAGGCTGCCTTTAGCCCTGAATAGGAAGGCTCAGCCCTATAGGTGCCTCGAGTGGGCTGATTCCTGACGGGCTCCTCTGGGGCAGCGAGAGGAGCATATGTTCGTAACGCCTGGACGGTTGTATGCAAGTACCCGGCACATCAACGTCGCATGCCCTTGCGACATTCTCTTTATCGACAGCGCAGTCTCCCTTCAAGTCTCCCGGGTCCTCTGTCGCCGCCATTACCGCCAAAGGAACAATCCCTATCAGCGCCGCAGTTTGCCTGCGCTTTACCAGCCACGCTTTGTGACTTCGTCGCAATCTGCATACTTCACGACTTCTTTGTTTTGTCCCGCTCGGGCGCCCACTCGCTCTTGTTCCCACCTTCACGCAGCATTGTGCAATCAATCTTTCGTGTCTAGCCACTGTCTGGCGAATTCGCCCCGCCGGCGCGTCCATCGACTGTATCTGATTGACACCGCATCAGGCGGAAGTTGCGACCCATCAACGGCTCATACCCCTCCATACGCTTCTGTGGTCGAGCATCTATTCGGTTGAGCCCATCCGACCCTTGCGGCCCTTCAGACCGGCATCTGGCCACCCGCGACCGCCTATGTAGCGGGCTGTCACCGATTGTCCTGGAAGCGGCCGGTCATGGACCCTTGAAGGCGCTGAGGCCACAAGATGTCCCGGTCCAAACAACAACTTCCACACTCTCTGAAACATACAAAAGACGACATTGACTCCACAGTTCGGCGTCTGGATGATCGCATAAGGCGTCTCGGCGATTCTACACTGCCTAAGCAGCCATACTTGCTATCCGTACCCTCAGACGTCCCATACAGGCACAACCCACATTTTGTGCAGACCTGGTATGTGGGAACGCCGTTCAAGAAGCGAGAGGAGCAGCTGCAGTACATGAGCTTTCTACCTCATCAAGGTGAATACGAAGATCTGCTCAAGGTCGAGGGTGTTTGGGCCGACGAGAACGGCAGTTTCCTGGACAGCGAACCTTCTACGCGACCAATTTCTCGCGCCGCGCCCTCAACACCCACAGACCAGACGAATCGAAAGAAGATTAGCCTGAAGGACTACAAGAGAGAACGAGTACAGCCTGACTCCGAGAATACACCTTCAAAAACAGACGAATTCAAGGACTTGAAGCCGGCCAAACTTCAGGCACCAGAGACAGACATGCCTTCGCGATCGCCGGAACCGCCTGTTCGAAAGCCGGTGAAGCAAGAGCGAGGACGAAGCCCGATCCGAGCCGAAGACAAGAAGATACATCCACCTCGACTCGATGGCCATGCTTCGCCCCGTCCGAAAGATACCACTGACAACCCACGACCCTTGAAGAAGCAGAAACTGTCTAACTCCCCGAAACCCACTGTTGAGTCACGCACCGAGACAGACGTTCAGAAACGTATCCCAAAGCTACTCTCGCCGACTTTGCCCTCATCCCCAAGTCACGATCACGCGCTTCCGGATCTTCTAACGCCCGATCTCCCGCCCTCGCTACTTCAGGCCTTAGCGACACCTCCCCCCTCGAGCAACGGGGATTCAATTCATCAACATCATCGGTCCGAGTCGGTTCGCTCTATTCTCGGCATCATCAATGAGGAAGGGCCTCGTTCCACAGAAAAAGGTCCACAATCTGGTTTGCTCGGTGGAAGTAGAGTACGCTCGGATAGTCAGCACTCAGCGCGCAGTGCTTCATCCGTTACTGGCAAAGTCCCAACCGCCTCGAAGGCTGGAGGAAAAGGTGGAGTCGTGACTCCGACTCACAGCCGAAGTCCAGGTCCCAGGCAACGACATATTATTGTGCTTAAGTATGGCAAGAAGAACCGCAAACGGGTTGAAGCCCTTCTCAAGTTTAAGTCAAAACCGAAGGTGGTGTCCAGGGCGGCGGACAACACAGATTCATCCCGCCGAGACGGCAAATCACTTGCTTCGAAGGACGTTGCAAATCCATCGCATCGCGAACGAAGCCCTGAGCGTCGGATTCCCAGGGCAAAAATTCCTGCGGCCGAGCCGGTGAAGCGGCCGTCAACCCCCCTTACAAATGGCCTTCGAGACTCGAAACACTCTGCCAGTCCCACGAGTAAACCACAAAATGCAACACCTACTTCCAGAACCGCACTGAAATCCACCGCCATGCGCCGCGTTGAGTCAGTCGAAGGCAGCAACGCAGATCCCACCACGCCAGGCGACAAATCTATCCGAAGCTCTACACCTCTTTCAACTGAGCGCTCTTCCCGGCCACCCAAAGCATCTCCCCGTCCCGCCTCTACACCCTCTACCGTCTCTACGTCCGATGAGGAACGCATCGCCTGGTCTCGGCTCGACCGCGACCGCGAGTACTTTGCATTGGGCCGCAAGCTGAAACACGAAGGGGCCGACTTGTTGAACCATGCTGCCTCTGCCACCGACATGCACAAGCCCATGCTTCTGATCATTGAGGCATTGTTGTGTTTTATGCTCAACACTGCTATACAAGGTTACGTCCGGCCTCGTGTGGACCCCGGTTGGAGCACGATTCTCGGATACTACAACTTCGTGGTACAGAAGACGAGACATTTTGCACACCTGCACGGCTTGGTGGTGCAGCTAGGCGCCGTGTGTCGAGGCCATATTCAGAAGGCGGGCATGGAACGACTGGGTAGGGATCCGCTTCCAGAGGAGATGGCAGGGGCGGCGCCAACGCCCGGATCTGATGGAAACACAAAGAGCGAAGATCACGAGGGCTATAAGCGTCGGTATCTACTCTTTAGAGAAGAGTTGATTCAGAATACGGAGGAGTTGCAGGCGAGCTGGCTGAAGGGTAGCAGGCTATTAGGTATTGAGGTCTTGCAAAGGGAGTATCCGGAGACGTGGCGTGGGAGGAGCAAGGACTCTGGCGACAGGGGAAAAGAGAAGATCAAGCCAGAGAATGGTCTGGCCAAGGGTTACTTCTTACCGGTCGATCCGGTGACGAATACCTTTGAGGCGGCGGAATATGCTCTGAAGATTATGGGCGAATGGGCGGATCGTGAGGATGTGGATTGGAGAACGAGCGTGCGGCTGTGACAGCGGCTACTGAGGGTTGATAAGCACAAGGACCAGCGCGAAATGAATGCTTTGATGATGATATGACTGGGGTTGGGATGTGCTCAGAGGGATATTGAGGGCATAATCAGCAGGTCGGTGAAAAATGATTCGATGTCGATGAGTTTGTGGCAGATACACAGTGTGGTGCGAGAGCTAGCTGCCCGTAGGCCCGAGAACCTAGATGCGAATGAGATAATGTCTCTCTTCCACCATGGTCGCGATCTCGATAGACCAGCATTTTCTGCTCAGCAAGTTGTGCAGTAAGGAATTCTCAACATAAATTAGACGGAGTCTGAGCATTTGTGTAGGATGATTCGGCGGCTGCGGTTGGAAGGGAAAAAGCGGTGTTCAAAGACCGATGTTGAAGCTGGGGAGCGGAGCCTCCGTCATTCTGCTACGTAAGAGTAGAGAGTCGAGTCTCAACTGAGGAGAATATCATAGCCATCCTGATTGATCCGCACCTCGTCGCTAAGACCATACTTCCTGCGGACGAGCTCAAAGATAATCAAGCCTGCGCTGGTACTTGGCACCTGTCGCATCGTGTTCCAGAGGAAGTGGTTGTACAAATACCTTCGCAAGTTGCCAAAGGGTTTCGCTTCCAAGTTGCACTCACGCCATGTTTCCTGGTAAGCGTGATAGTAGGCTTTGAGCATTCGACCGCGCGCGGCTGAAGGAGTCTCAGAGAAATGTTTAGCTTGTTCGTCAAGGTGTTCCAGACGTTCGAAATGGTGGGTCTGAATAAGGGCTAGGGGATGTAGGACAAGCTGCTGAGCGACCGAAGCAGATATGCCTGCCAAGAAGAGGAAGGCAGGTTCGAGCGCATAATGTGGCCGAATAATCGGCGTGAAATGCGACTCGGTTCCAGGACCAGGGCCGCGTTTCTTCGAGATCTTGTCGATAGCAACCTCTCCCAATGCACCGTAGTACCAGTTCACAAATTTGTAGTAGCCCTGACTCTTGATGGTCTCAAACGTACAGAAGAACACACCACTGCCCACGGAGTCTTTCACAAAAGATAAGCCCCATCCCGCAAAGATGCCCCGGAGACCAATATCGTGAAGTTTTCCGCGGGCATAGTGCCACATCGACTTTCCGTCATAGTGCTGTTCTCTGCGATCGAAGCGGACTTGGAGGGCATCGAGAGGGGCGGCGATAAAGGACTGGATGCCACCGGCCAACAACCCAGCAGAGAATGTTGCCGACGGCGGAGGAGGTGGATAAACTACCTTTGACGCTTTGCCAGAGGGCTCATGCATTCGACCAAGGATCTGCAGGTAAGAGGTGTAGAGCGCCGCGCCGACGGTAGCATTAGCGAGCAAAGGTGGAAGAACTTGTTCGGGCACAAAACGCCATCCATAAGTTTTGATCGCGTGGGCCAGGATCCCGGGAGTGGTCGCTCGCCATGAGAACTTGCCGGAGTTGCTCGCGGGATTGAGAGATCGAGCATAGGCCTATACTGTCAGTTGGTACGGTAAGACAAAGCGCCTCTACGTACCAGGTAGTCCACTCGCGTCCTGAAGAATGCTTTGACAGGCGCTCGAAAGTAGAATGCTATCGTTTGAGCTGTGAAAGCGCGGACACCAGCCGCTGATGCGCCGGTCGCTGCATTGGTGCGAGGTTCTTTAGGTGGTTGCTGCTGGCCAGGAAGTATCACGGGCCCGATATCGATGCCTTCGAAGTCGGTGGGATCATCACCGAGACCAGACATTCCTTGACAGCACGGCCATCTCAACACAACATGAGTTCGAAGGCCGAAAAGCTCGATGTGCCTGTGGGAAAGGAAAGTGGGGGTCGCTGAACGTGCAGTTTGCCGGCGCCGTGACTTCGACGTGACTTTCTAGTGGAAACGTCATTCTGTCATTTGAACGCGGAGCGCGTTGCCTCATCCCGCGATTTTCTAGACTTTGGGGCCTACGCCCTCCATCTTTCCCTTTCGCTTTTCTTCCCAGCTCCTATCGCGTCGCGAAGGCTTCCATCTCCTCGCAATCCACGTGTGATTGTCCGCCGTCAAGACACATCGTGTCAATCCTACCTACCCGGATACTGGCAGCACTCGTCCTCATCTTCGCCTCGGCTGAGGCACGACGCTCACGATGAGCGAAATCACGATCGCCGCCGAACCCTTTTTCGACCGTCTCGCGAACCTCTACAGCATCTGGAAGAATGATAAGAGGAGCAGCGATGGCCTCTTCAACGGCGCCGACTCCATCGTAGTCCTTACCGGAAAGGCGGAGCAGGATGCTAGCATCTACCAGAAGAACAATACCCTGCACTTCTGGTTGCTTGGCTATGAGTTCCCAGCTACGTTGATGGTCTTTACCCAGGCCACCGTGTATTTTGTCACTACTGAGAAGAAAGGTCCGTTCATTCATGTAGCTTCAATCGCGCAAAGCTAATTCTGGCACAGCTAAGCACTTGAAGAATCTCAAGAATGGCAAGATCCCCGTCGAAATCCTCACTGTCGAAGCGAAGAAACCCGAGACCCGCACCGAAGCTTTTCAAAAGTGCATTGAAGTCATCAAAGCTGCAGGCAAGAAGGTGGGCGTCATCAGCAAGTTCGACGCCACCGGTCCCTTCGTCGACGAGTGGAAACGTATGTTCAGCGAAACCGCAAAAGAGCTGGAGGAAGTCGACATCTCGACTGCCTTGTCCATGGCTTTCGCCATCAAGGATGAGAACGAGTTGCGCTCGGTGCGTAGTGCCGCCCTAGCCTCCAGCGCCGTTATGTCCGATTATTGGATTGAGGAAATGTCCGATGTGCTCGACGCTGAGCGACAGATCAGTCACAGCAAGTTGGCGGATGGCATCACTCGCAAAATCGATGATGCGAAGCTCTTCAAAAAGGTCGCCAAATTGCCAGAAGACTTCGATATCGGTCAGCTGGACTGGGCTTACGGTCCGATCGTCCAAAGTGGCGGCGAGTATGATGTCCGTCTGGCCTCTCAGCCCGTCACCAACAATAGCAATCTCCATTCAGGCTGCATCGTCGCTGGACTGGGGCTACGATACAAGACATACTGTGCAGCGGTCGCCCGTACCTTCCTGGTCGATCCGAGCAAGTCTCAGACTACCAACTACAAGATCTTACTTGCTGCGCATGAGGCGGCTATAGAAGCGGCCAAGGATAATGTCCCGGCCAAAGACGTCTACAACAAAGCTCTAGGAGTGATCAAGTCGAGGAAGCCCGAGCTCGAGAAGAACTTTGCTAAGAACGTTGGTGCCACGATTGGTATTGAGCTGAAAGATGCAAACTTCACCCTGAACGGCAAAAATTCGCGCGTACTGCGTGACGGCATGACCCTGAGCATCACGACGAGTCTGTCGGATCTGACCAACGACAAGCCACAGGATAAGAAGGGATCTAATTACAGCCTTCTCTTGGTCGACACAATTCGTGTGACAGCACGGGAACCAGCCATTTTCACCAAGTCTGCGCCAACTGACCTGGACAGTATCGAGTTCTACTTCAAAGAGGATGAAGAAGAGTCCAAGCCGAAGAAGAAAGAAGAGAAGAAGCCTGGCCGAAGTGCTGTGGCCACATCGAACATCAAGTCTTCCCGCCTTCGAAATGCGAATCGTCAAGACAACGCCAAGGAGGAGGAAGATCATCGTCGAAAGGAGCATCAGAAAGAACTCGCGCAGCGAAAGCAGCGCGAAGGCCTTGAGAAGTACAGTGAAGCCACCGGTGGGCTGGATGGCGACAACGAGAAGAAGTTCAAGAAGTTCGAGTCGTATCGAAGAGACGAGCAGCTCCCTGCTAGAGCAAAGGATCTTATCGTCTACGTTGACACGAAAGCATCGACAGTCATCCTACCGATCATGGGCCGCCCCGTGCCGTTCCACATCAACACCATCAAGAGTGTCAGCAAATCAGACGAAGGCGAATACACTCAACTTCGGTTCAATTTCCTGTCTCCCGGTCAAGGTGTCGGCCGCAAAGACGATCAGCCTTTCGAAGACCCTCAAGCTCACTTCATCCGGTCGCTTACTGTGCGGTCGAAGGACCAAGATCGTTTGTCTGATGTCGCAGCTCAGATCACTGAACTTCGGAAGGCTGCCGTACGTCGTGAGCAAGAGAAGAAGGACATGGAAGATGTTGTCGAACAGGAAAAGCTGGTCGAAATCCGAAATCGACGTCCACTCAAGCTCGGCGATGTCTTTCTCCGACCTGCTCAGGATGGAAAGCGTGTCCCGGGAGAGCTTGAGATTCACCAAAATGGTCTTCGCTATGTTTCGCCGCTGAGGAATGAGCACGTTGATGTCGTATTCAGCAACATCAAGCACCTTTTCTTCCAACCTTGCGTCGGAGAGCTTATCGTGCTCATTCACGTCCACCTGAAGAGTCCCATCATCATCGGCAAGCGCAAGACCAAGGACGTGCAATTCTATCGAGAAGCTACCGACATGGCCTTCGATGAGACTGGCAATCGCAAACGCAAGCACCGATTTGGCGACGAAGAAGAGTTTGAGCAGGAACAGGAAGAGCGCAGACGTCGTGCCGACCTAGATCGCCAGTTCAAGAGCTTCGCCGAGAAGATTGCCGATGCTGGCCGCGAACAGAATGTTTCTGTTGATATTCCTTTCCGGGATCTCAGCTTCAACGGTGTGCCACATCGCAGCAATGTCCTTATGTCGCCTGCGACGGACGCACTGGTTCAGCTTACGGAACCTCCTTTCACGGTCATTACACTAGATGAGATCGAAGTTGCTCATCTTGAACGTATTCAGGTAAGTGCCCTACTCCGATTTGCAGTTCAGTGGCTAACAATTCCCAGTTCGGTCTCAAGAATTTTGATCTCGTCTTCGTCTACAAGGACTTCAACCGCCCGCCAATTCACGTCAACACGATCCCGGTAGAGTCCCTCGATCGTGTTAAGGAGTGGCTTGACAGCGTCGATATCGCCTGTACCGAAGGTCCCCTCAACCTCAACTGGGCTACTATCATGAAGACTGTCTCAACCGACCCGCACAGCTTCTTCAAGGAAGGCGGTTGGTCGTTCTTGACTCAAGACTCGGATGATGAGGGTGCCGAAGAGTCCGAGGAGGAAAGTGCCTTCGAGATGGATGATGCTGAGCTTGCCGAGAGTGCCAGTGAGAGCGACGATGAGTCCGACTTCGATGACGACGCAAGCGCTTCGGATGATGAGGGTGAGGACGAGAGCGGCCTCAGTGATGAAGGCGACGATTGGGATGAAATGGAGAGCAAAGCTAAGAAAGAAGACAAGCGTGGCGCGGCTGACGATGATCACGGCAAGAAGCGCAAGCGCTGAAACGTGATGATCAGGCTTTGGCGACTCCGACAGAGCAGGGCCTTCCAGATCTGCGAGCTGCGTCGCTGAGAAGACTCCTTGGGAGGATTTTGTGTGGACGAGGTCAGACCGGCAGACGAAGCATTGGGAGGTACAAAGGTCTCCTATTCTGGAATGTATCACTTATTTAGCAGGAACGCTTTGAGAACATGCATCAAAGCAATCACAACCACAAACTCAGAAGCATTGATCTTGGAGCGAGTGTGCGTTTTACACCAGTTTGCATATTGCGCCTGCTTGGGATTGTGATGTTGTTCTCACAGGTACTTCAAAGTAGGTGCGTCCACCTAGTTATATGCTCCTTCGCTCTTTCCTGTTTGGCTGCCTCGCTTCAAAGCCGCTGCTGTCTAATCACTATCCTCATCCTTTCATCACTTGATTCCGCAATCTTCTCTGAGTGTGAGGCATGACTGTCGTAGAGGGTGAAACCTCTGACAAGTGCTGTCACCAAGCTCGAACAAGTGCTTTCACCCGAGGTAAGCGACGTCTTCCGGGGAACTCTTCCTCCGCATACACCACACTGCGTACCTACGATTACCTACACGAACAGCTACGCAAAAGAAAGAGCAAAGAACATATCCCTATCTTGATTATAGTCAGACTGTCATTCGCAGTCTTTATGCAAGCTATTGATTCCAAAAGCAGACTTAAAAGCCATGACCACCAACGCCTCGCAGCCGATATGCCAATCGATCAATAGAGTGAGCCACAGCCCATCAAGAGAGTTCCCGATCCTTCGTACACCATCCTTCAAAAGACATGACCTGGTTCACCTTCCCCTGCCTGGTTGCACTACTGAATGACTACAGCACTCATTCGAAACAATTTCTTCATAATACACCGTCCACAGTAGCATCCCTGAGCCAGAAGCCTGCTTGTCGTCTAGCGATAAGCGAGCTTACGATACTCGACTCAATGTCCGCAGCTTGTTCCACCTGTTTATCGCCCACAAGTCTTCTCGCCAGGCTAGAAATTATTGGACTCGTTTCATTGGCATTACGAAGGCGGGATGAGCTCGAACATGATCTTAGCAGAATCTATTGGAACCATGTCGACGAACTGCGAAAGTCGCCTTGTCGATCCTAGATGTCTCGAGGCTCAGTGTCCGGCGACTTAGAGCTGCCGTCTGGGTCGTCCTTCTGTGGCTGCGTGTGGCTGGCGTTGCCGGGACTATGCAAAGGCCGCTCAGAGTGCAATATCTCAAAGTTGTTCTGAGGGCTGACGAGGCCAAGGGAATCATCGTACAAACCAGCAGCTAAGTTCTGCCATCGTTCCTCCGTCCCGCCGATCAAGGATGGAGGCATGACTGGCAATGGCTGCCCAGCCCAGTGACCAGGAGCATAAGCCAAACCGCCGTTATGATCGGTCGAATCATAATACGAAGGCCGCGTTTGGAATCGACTGCCCTGCTGCATCAACCTCTCACCAGCCGCCAACCCATAGCCTGGAACAATGAGCCCCTGGTTCTGGACGGGAGGTCTGTGGCCGGCATAGTTCACGCGCGTGCTACCAAATGCAATCCTCGGATCATACATCGCGCCGCGGTACTCAATTTGGTGCTGCCAGTCTTGGTGGTATCCTTCGTATGGCTCATCGATATAAGACGACCGCTGACTGCTCATCTGGCCGGAAGGTAAATATCTACCATTTGGCTGCAATGATGGCTGCGTCGGCGGGATGTTGCTCGGCTGAACAGGCATTCTTGGGGCTCGCTGTATGTTGTGCTGGGGAGCCCGGCCTGCAAATCTAACGTTGGGCACCTGTTGCACACCACATGGAGTATTCGGTTGAGTGACCCGAGGCAAAGGCGGTACGGAATTGACCTGGACGCCATAGCTGAAGCCCTCTGAGAGACTAACAGTGGGTGGCCCACGATTGCTTGGGCCACCTTGCGAACGGACTTGACCAGCACCATTTGTTGTACGTCTGCTGGGACCCACACGGCGGTTGGATGATGGCCGAAACTTCTGGCGATGTCTGGAAACTTCCTCAACGTCGTCGTCATCGTCTTCTTGATCGTCTTCCGAAGAGCGCCTACTCTTGCGCTTCTTGCCTTTGTTTGGAGCGGATTTTACGGGACGATACATATTGTCCTCATTGGCCATCTTGTCAATCTCACGGCCACACGCCGCCTGCATGTAGTTCTGAGGTCGAGTTTTCTCTGGTGCACCCGATCGACCCGCTCGGATGGCTTTTTGGACATCTCCTGGCAGAGCCTCGAAAATGCTGGCCCCAGTCCAACCCTCCGACAAGAAGATGCGCAACATCTCACCCCAAACATGGTTCGGATAGAGCTCACAAATTTCTTCGAGAGATAGGCCAGCAGGAAGAATCTCTCGACTACTATCGTAGCCGAGGTAAGAGTGAGACTCTCCACGACCATCGCTGCCTCGACCTCTTCGAATTCGAAGCCGACATCTGGTGACCAGTCTCTCGGGATCGTTGGGGTCAAAATAGCCCATCCAGTTGCGACCTGAAGTCATACCAAGGTTCGGGTTTGAATCCTCGCGACTGCCGATTTCGAAGATCTCGTTCGGGTCCTCAGGCTGCCGCACAGCCAGACGACTGGCACGGTCGGGGCGTGGAATAGCTGGACGTTGACCGATAATGACATGACCCTGTTGTGGATCTGGCTGAAATCCTTTGGTCATCATCGCGTATCTCATGGGACCTGGGGTGAAACCCTTGGAGCTTGTACCCTTGCTGAGAGTCGCAGTATCACGAGCAGCTTGTGGCTGTTTGGTGTTGCCAGAATTACAAGCCTGGGCGTTTTGGTTTGAGTCCTGAACAATGCGAGGATCTCGAGGGGTATTGCTATCCGTGAATGGCGTCAGGCTGATTTCGAGTGTCTGCAGTGGCTGCTGCGATTCATCGCGTTGATCCGGCGCAGCCAGCGGGACACCCTGAGGAAGAAATTCCTCAGGGTCAGGGTAGGTATGCTGCTGTTCGGGTTGTGGCTGCCCTTCGATGCTGGAGACCACAGCAAGTTCATTGCCAAGAGGAAAACCCTCCTCCCCTGACTGGAGAGGCTCGCCCAAGAACCCACCGCCAATAGCTTGGTTGTCGATTGGAGGCATAGCCCGCTGATTCAACTGGTTGGACCCGTCGAAAGTGTCAACGTCCGTATGGTTGACGTCGTTGTCATTGAATTCGGAGAGGACTAAGTCAGGGAGGTCGAAGTCGCCGGGGGTATAGGGGAAGACATTGTCGGGATTCTGGTCGACTGGGCTATCATAGCCATGACCAACCTGGTCTTGACCGACTTGGTGGTTGGTATTGTTGTTCGAGTCACTCATCGTGAAGTTGTGCTGTTTGTGTTCACACGCGTACCACGGAATCGCAGTTGATGGGAGTCTCTGTCACAGACGGTTGGTGTCAAGGGATTGACAAGAGGACTTCGATTCTCGGAGGTCAGGTTTAGTGGTTTCGAAGTGGTGTGTTGCGTGGCTATCGCGATGCCCACAAGTTGAATGGAGGTGTCGTTTGTCTTCAGAGGGCTCGATTGCCTCTGCTCTGGTGCTATCAGGGTACCAGAACACAGACCATGAGAATATGTGAAGTGTGGATGTGGATATGCACGTGGGTGATGACCAGGAGCAAACGATGAGGAAGCCATCATTTATGGCGAGGTGTGATACCTTTGCGGAGAGGCTGGCAAGGCACAAGGCAGAACGTGACGGACTAACAACGCGTTGTCTAGGCGGTGTGATGGCTGCACCTCTTTAGACGTTGCCAGGCAGGACAGCTGCAAGGCAATCAGCCTTTGAGTCAGTCACTTGCAAGACACAGAGCGAGACGAGCAGAAGTCTTTGTTGGATATGCCGCAAGCAAGCGAAGTACCCAACAACCAGGCGAGGTAGCATGGACTGTGACTCGACGAGTCGATATTGATCGAGGCAACTTACACTGGCACGAAGGAGTCATGATCCAGGACTCTGGTATGCTGTTGAGGTGTCAAACGACAGTCAAGTGTCAAGGGCGTATCCAAGCTCTGAATCTCGTGATCAGGTCATCTCCCCACTGAAATATGTAATTATACTGCAGTGCGCAACAGCAACGCGGCAAGTCTACAAGGTAAGAATGGAATATAGACGCCTGCAAAGGCCAGCGAGCACACAAGGTGGTCCTTTGGTCCTTGTATCATCTTCATGACTGCCCTAGATTAAATTATTGCTTCAGAGCAAGCTTTGTGTCAGATTTGGCAGGCGCAGAAGCTGCAGCTTCATGTAGCCTAGGTGGCGGCGCAAGGACACAGCGGATTGCATTTGTGGAATAGCATTGCTTCGAAGTCGGTGTACATCACCATGGCACGTTTGGAGAGACGTGGCCGAGCCCAAAACCTTGGCTTCACGGTCTACACGTTGGACTGCGAGGGTCGATAGACTCAGATCGATGACTCGTCCAGTGCTTCGCCCACCCAGCGGCCACGCTCGGACTCAAACGCCGACATGTGCGTGAATAGATGATCACGCGCTGGAGCAGCTTGGAGAGCTACGTATAGTTCTCGATGGGATGTTCCGGATCGCGGCCGTCGGCGGAGCTCCGTATATCTGTTGTTGGATGCTTGAGAATTCGCCAGCTATCCCACTGGGCTACGTTTTCATCCTAGCCTTGAGCAGCCTTGGTCCAGCTGCGTGACTGGAGGAGCTCGTCCTTTACGAATCAATCCAGACGCTTCATATGCGTGCAGTTCCTCTCCTCAACAGCGGCCTACCCTATGTGCTAAGCTGCGAAACAGCCCCTGGTTGCAATAGATGAAGGGATAAGCATTCCTGTGACTCGTCGATGTCTTTGTGTGCAACCAAGGGGGGCCATCCGAGAATTGATCAATTGCCCTTTGTCCACCGGTCTGCTCTACAGCTTCGTAGATTGGGCCACAAGTCTACCAGAGAGCATCAGCATGTTCGCGTGTGACAAGGTGGGACGCGACTGCCCCTGGAGCTCGCAGCCTTGCGTGCGGAGAAGGTTTTGTCACGCGCCAAGCCGACGGTCTTGGAGGTGCGACCATCACGGTGTCTGAGCAGCTTTTGATGTGCTGGGAAGGGAGCAACGCAAGCGATGCTCTAATGTTGGTGTCTGGCCTTGTATCATTATGCAGGGGCGAGGTTTCTCCAGCTACTGGCATCCTCTTGCCGCCATATGCACCTTCCTTCCTGCCAAAAGCCTGGCCGCGGACGCCAAGCAGTGGAAGGCGCCGCTAAAGCTCAGGAGAAGCCAGCGACACTCGTCGTCTACAATGTGGAAGCGGTGAATCCGAAATACTTGGGGGTGTTGGTTTTCGCCATGTTTAGATGGAATTGCTTGGGCATGTGCTTTTGCTATAACGCTGACGGTTCCTGCAGTGTCCAAGGTCCCATCACAAGTCCGTTGTCCGATCGAACGACCACTGCTTCTTCCCTAGGAGCCCAGCTCATCGACATTAAATATGAACACCAGACCAATACGCTACCATTTCCCCCAAGTCAAGCCGCAAACTCGCAGCCCTCCCATGCCTCATCGAATCTCTGTGCCTCAGGATTAGGAAGATCGGGCACCGACAACGCTTGCGCCATCTGAAGCAAGAACATCCCTGACTTCGACGGCGCCAGAAGCCCCAACAACGATGCATCAGTCTCCTCATCTCCCACCACCTCCTCGCCCTGTCCGGCAATTCCGTCCTCCTTGGAGAGAAAATCCCTCGTCGAAATCCCCGCGCTCGCGAAATCAGCCAGCTCCTTGCGCACTCCCTCGTCGAAGACCGTCAGAGTGACCTCCCGCCCGGCAAATTGCTTGACGATGTCTCGCATCCCCAATCACTTCAGCTGCGTGTCTGTGAAGGTCCACCAGAGCTGGTCGGCGCTCAGGTGCTGTCGAAGATGCGTTGCGTCGAGGCGTTCCATGAGGTGGTGGCCGGGAAAGTTTCGCGTCAGCTACTCGGCCGTGAATACGTCTTCCAGGGATGTTGAGTCTGGGGGTATCATGCTTACTTGGGTTGCGTCACTGGTCTGTTGTTGTTGTGGCTGTCGCTGCTGCTGCTGCTCCCTCTCGGCCTGGTTCTGGTGAATGTGTTGTGATGAAGTGGCTGATATGGTGAACAAGAGGGAGAAGAAGAGAGAGTTGCGCCGATGGCTCTGTTGCTAAAGAGGTTGTTGGCGTGAGAAAGTTGTTCAGAACAGTGAGAGCGCTGGTGCACGCAGAGATATAGGCCAAAAGTATTGGCCAAAAGTATTGCTGTGGTGGCTGGGAATCTTGGATGTAGTGAATGACCTATTGTCTCGCGCATTATTCACAAATTTCGTGGATGTGAATATAAAATCACACCCCATTGTGGTTTACAAGAACAACGGCCAACAATACACGACTGATCAAGCATCAAGACGTTGTTGAACACACGAATAGGCACATGTGAAGTGAGATTCAAGGCAGAGGTGAACGATAGCTTATCTATAAGCAACTGAGGCGTACTTGACAAAGTCAGCCGCTCGGATTTCACATCATGAGGAGAAAGATGAGGAAAGCAAGGGGGGGGTTCTTTAGTATTGACGTATTGATTCCACAGCAGGTGGCATGGCCTGGATGTCCTTATCTCAGAGTAGCAAACCCAGAATACAATGCTCATTTGTTACATTCTGCATCTTGGCTCTTGGTTGTGGCAAGCTCTTCAAGTTCAATTATTGTCGTCACTTGTAAGCTGACAAGAACAACGAGGCACTCTGCAGCCCTTGTCACGCAATGCTAGGCATGTAAGTTGTCGAGTGCTGGATCTCCGCACGCTCGCGAATCAGGGTAGTATTCGAAAGCCGTAAGAAGGTCGCCAGGCACCTGAGACTGAGAAATCTCTAGCAGGCAAAGCAGCATACGCTCCTCTTGCGAGAAGATCGTTTGCAGGAGGGATGGAGGGAATCGATTGCGGAGCTGACGTGGCGTGAACCAGTCCATTAGCTCATGCGCACCTACTATCGCCAGTTGCTCGCTTGTGAAGTGCTTGAGCGCATATTCGGGCGAGGAAGGTTCATCAGAGTCTGGCATTCCGAATTCGTCCTCGAAGGAGTAGGGGACAAGAAGAGGCCTAGCCATTTGGGCTGTATAAATCTCAACAGGAACAGACCTCTGACGTCTTTTGGCAATCTTTTGTCTCTTATGCACGATATTTGGTCGGTAGCACTCCCGTTGCTCCTCGAGGTAAGCGAAATTGCGCTTGTGTGGGTGGCCTTCGAATGTGGTCAGTGTCAAAGCTTCGACAGGGGAAAGGAGAGGGGTGTGAGCCGGCGCATGGTGTGACGGAGAACCACCATGGGTATGTTGAGAGCTCGTAGAGCTGATAGTGCCTCCGCTCGAAGCATGGGACAATGATTGGGCTTGTCGCTGAAGGTCGTCTTCGAGCTGGTTCGGTGTTCCTCGAGCTAGGTATTCATCCATAGGCTTGAATCTCACTCCTGTGTCGTTACAGATTCTCATGTAGTCTTTTCCGTTGTGATGGACGGCCATGAAATTCTCATTCCGCATCATGTTGGAGCTTTCGCACCTTGGGTTGGAAAAGAAGGGTCGCGGGAAGTCGAATCGTAGAAAGATGTTTCTGCACCGCTGCAGAACCTTGAACGTCTGATCTAGACTCGATCAGTGAGCCTAAGCATTAAAGCGTTTGTGGATGATCTGATCTACATGAACAGGAAGCTAAGGAATGTTTCTCGCTCTGGAAGCGGCAATAAGTAGGCATGCCTGGTAGTCACCAGTGTTGACCAGGCAAGACGTATTCAAGCATCACGAGCTTTGATCGACCTTGTCCACATAGTGCACGACACTTAGATCAAGGGAGGATGTAGACAAAGCCTGATGGATGGGGCTATAATCAACAAAGGCACCTTGAGGTTGCCTTTGTTGAACGCTTTCGGCAATTAACAAAGAAGGCAGGAGCCATCGAGGCCCCTGGCCGCTGGCCGCTACTGGTGGTGGTTAGGCGAGTTCGCGGCAGGGAAACAGCTTTCTGAAGCATGGTAAGAGGTAACAAGGCGCGGACCGAGTGGCAATGGGAAGTATTGGTGAGGTGGGAGTTTTGAACGTTAGCGGAAAGACAGCTGACAACATCCTACGGAAGGGCCGACTATCGCATTTGCTACCACAACGCCCGTTCTGTCCGGACGAGCACTTATCCGCCATCCATGTTAAGTTCGACCCGAGATCGACCCGAGAGACGCCTCTCTCATGAAAGTACTTGTACACTGCGTTGACATCGAATCGGTGTGCAGGCCGCCGCGTTGGCGCGCACACAAGGTGAGAATTTTGAATATGAGGTCACGGCACCTGGCCAGCCCCTTATTTCCGGCCATTCCGACTCTGATCTGCTGGCTCTGCTGGCTGGGTTGCGCGGCCGTTGGTCCTGTTGATGCCAGTAATGCGCGGTGCAAGACGTGGCATGGTGGCCGTAACTGGAGTGATGTGCTCCGTAGGCTGCGACATGAGAGAGAAGGCGAGGCTGCTCGAATCGTTGCCGGTCATCTGTTGCCGAAAGGCTAGAGGCTGAGTGAGCGGCGAAGAAGCGGTCGGGACGGTCGGTCTGCTGTAAGACTGCTGCTGCTGGACGCCAGGTCTGCCAGTAGTGTAAGGCTTAGGACGAATGCGCAGCGGAACATTTCTGACCGGTCCAGCCACATGGTTCGGGGAGTCGAGTTGTGAGGCTGAGGTAGTCTCGCCCGCTTGGGTATGGTGTGGTGAGCGTGTAGAGGGAGAAGTTGTGGGTTGCTGAACCGTAGGGCGTATCTGAGGCATCTGCAGTCTCTCCACTGGAATCAGCGTCCTGCCAGGAGCTCGCAGTACGGGTACGTCGTATTGCGCAGCAATGGTGCCACGACTCCTCGTGGGTCTCGGATCCTCTGCAGTAGTAGTGGTCGAAGTTGCAGAGTTGCTAGTCATGGTGGGGTGATTCGACAACGGGTCGTCCGGAGTGCTGTCATGGGATCCGACACCGACAAGACCAGTTGCATGCGACTTATTAAGATCGCGTAGAAGACCGTCGGCCTCATCTTGACTGATGATGTGGCCGGGAGAGTTGAGGTAGTCCAGCAGGTCGCGAGCGGTCTGCGGCAGTAGTGCAGGTCTTCGGCTTCTGAGATCTGCCGTGATGGCGGCTATCAACAACGAGCTGACGTGCTTCTGCCAGACAGCATCACGATCCTCTCTGCAGGCTTGCATTCTGACAAAGACGCCCTGGGGTGTCTTGTTGTAGTCCTCTTCAGTGTAGGTACACAAAGCTGGTAGCACCTGACTGCCGATCCAGTAGTGGTCGTCATAGTCGTGGTGGTTGGCGGCTTCGAAGCTGGCGTAGTAGTCTTCCCTCCAAACCGTAATGATGGAGTCGCCGCGGAGAGGGTCGCCGTCCTCCTCAAACCAGAGATTGTTGCCCCCGAAGAGACTGACTAGACGCTCGCGCTTGCTTGTCCAGCGAGCTTCTTCGTCCATCTCATCCCAGTCCTCGGGCTTGTCCATGTCAAAGACGATCGAACTTCCCTTGTCAAGCTTCGGGAGGTTCTCACGAACGGCATTGCGGGCGCTGGCTTCGACAATGCATACGTATTCATGGGTCGATTTTACCAGACCTTTGGATGGATGACGAGCGCAGTCGCACTCGGTGCTGTGTATTGTTAGATGTCACAGCTTACAGATCGGGAGTCAGTATCTTACCTTCCCACGACCATATGTCTGGTGCTGTCCATGTCTGCGATGCTTGAAGAGGGGGTGGTAGGTACAGAACAAATTTCTGGTGCAGCAGAATGGGGAAGAGGGATCGCATGATGGAGATGGCACTCACCAAGACTTGTGATCACCGCGGTGATTCAAAGACAGAATGCTCAAAGGGCCTTTTTGGAAGTTATTGCGCAGTTGATCAAGGAAAGTAACCCACGCAATTGTGAAGGCAGCGTAGCATAGACAGCACCCGCTATCACCATCAAGTTGGTGTCATGAAGGAGCGGCTTGTCTCTCAGCGACCCTTAAAGTTATGGACAACGAGAAGTGCGGGATATTCAAACTTGCGGCCAGATATGAGCAAGGTAGGACTGACGCTTCGACAAAGGATCACCAATGCCATTTCGACTGGCAGGACCAGCTCATGAAATGAGAACAAAGTCCAGCTGTTTGTATCAGCCGCGATAGCAGCCTAGCTGTCAGTGGCTCATAGGTCTGAAAGGGGAATTGCCGTCCAAGACTCATGAGCTGTTGGGATGCAGGAGCCCTCGGCATCAACCTGCCGTGGAGAGCGCCGCAAGTGTGTCGCCGATACATCAAAAGGCCTGGAAAGGACGATGTGAGATTCAGGTAGGCCTTTGAGGACCCAGAAGCAACAAGGAGGGAAGAGGGAGATGAGGTTGGAATCAAGACGTATCGGTAACGTTGGTACAGCGATGACTAATAAAAATTCATACACATGAAGCGGCCGTCCCCCGCTTCCGATCATGTATCTCCGATAGATCCATGATATCGATGAATGTCAACTGCTGCATCGTGAGGTGAATTCCGTGTAGGAGGGATATGTATTTGACATGTGGATGCCCACTTGCCAGTTGACCTCGATCGTGCCTTCTACATTGATCTGCTCCTTCTGACTACTTACCAGATCTCGAACAGCAAGCAATCCCAATGGCCGAATCCAAACCTAAGAATCTATATGCCAATCTGGGCTCGAGTGGCCTCAGGGTATCCAGAGTGATTCTGTGAGCGTCTTCACGTAGGCTACAGTCAATGACTAACCACAACGAGCGGTGCTATGTCGTATGGCACACCAGATTGGCAGGGCTGGGTTCTGAATGAGGAAGATTCGTTGCCCCTGCTGGAGCACGCCTACAAGTCAGGCATTCGTACTTGGGATACAGCAGACGTCTACAGCCACGGCAAATCCGAGGAGATCATGTAAGTCCGGTGAGACGACACTATCGAGTCCTCTCGACCTACATCTCAGTTCAGTTTGCAGCATGGTACCTAACTCAGCTGCAGTGGCAAGGCCATAAAGAAGTACAACATCCCACGCGAGCGTCTGGTCATCCTCTCAAAATGCTATTTCGGCGTTGACCCCGAAAACATCGGCCTCCAGCCTGGTCCCTCCACTGTCAACGATGGTGAATTGCTCAACCGGACCGGCCTGTCCCGCAAGCACATTCTAGACGCCGTTGATGCCTCCGTTGCCCGTCTCGGCACCTACATCGACGTTCTACAAATCCACCGCCTTGATCGATCCGTGCCCCGAGAAGAAATAATGCGAGCCCTCAACGACGTTGTCGAGTCCGGGAAGGTCAGGTATGTACCTCTCCTGTCTTCGCATCTGCTTATCTCTCATCTGACACTCCTGTAGGTACCTTGGTGCCTCCAGTATGGCAGCATGGGAGTTTCAGGAGCTGCAGAACATTGCCGACCGCCGCGGCTGGCACAAGTTCATCAGCATGCAGAATTATTACAACCTGATCTACCGCGAAGAGGAAAATGAGATGATTCCCTACTGCAATCACATCGGTGTGGGCTTGATCCCTTGGTCTCCAGTGGCCCGCGGCGCACTGACTCGACCCTGGCATGACCGCGAGGATAGCCTCAGGGAGAAAACCGACCGATACTTGCAGGTACGCCGAACCTTCTCAGGGCTCGTTGTCCGCTACTGACCGATCCTCAGGTCATAATGAAGAACCGTGAGGACAAAGTCGACGAGGAGATCATCAACCGTGTCGAAAAGGTTGCCAAGAAGACAGGTTATAGCATGGCACAGGTGGCTATTGCATGGTGTCTGAGCAAGAAAGGCGTGTGCCCAATCCTAGGACTGAACAAGAAGGAGCGCATAGACGAGGCGGTAGCAGCCTGTGATATCGTGCTCGACGAAGACGACATCAAGTGGATGGAGGAGCCTTATATGCCCAAACGCCGCCAAGGATATTGAGCGTCTCGATGAGAGACCGAAATTGGCAACAGAAGACGCCAGCGGCGGCTGAGACGTATGCTGAGGTCTGCACTCACACCCACAAAGCGCGGAGGATTGGACTGCCGGTGGGCCAGTTGGACGTAGGAACATTGAGAGCTCAAGTAGTCATCAGTCATTGAAGTTGTTTCCTTATACAGCAGCCACGTCACCAATCTGGAGTGATATCGCAATCAGTCAACTTTTCCCTCCAAATTTCTTTCGAGACACCAGCATCTCGGAGAAGAACCTCACAGCCGTACCCTGGCCCCTATCCCTCTCCCCTCATACCAAACCCTTTCACTCCACCTTCCGATTCTGACGCCAACCTCAGCTCTTGCATCAAGCTTGAGGTTCCCACCAAGCGCCTCTCGTACCGTCCCCAACTGGTCCAGTTCCCACTCGACAGGCATCTTGGGCGTTTCGGCTTTACCGCGCGGCACGTCGAATGGGAGGTCGTAGTCGATCTGCGCGATCTTGGTGCCGTTGTGGAAGGCTGAGGCGGAAATATCGTCAATTGCCAGGGCGATCGGCGAGGCGAGCACGAAGCTGGTGGTAGAGGAGAGGATGTGCATCTTGAGGGGTCAGGTCAGTAATGGGGTCGAGCGAGAAAGAGTGATGGAATGAGGGTCAGCGTACGGTGGCTTCACGGATGAATTTTCCAAACACCTCGGTCGCGTGAGGGGCCGGGATCGTCAGATTTAGGCCAATGTTCGGAAGGCCGGGGATTGAGGCTTCGTGGGTCTTGATTGTGAGGGAGGTGTTGTAGCCTGAGAGAAATTGACTGATCCATTCTCTTCCAACCACACTGCTGTCCCACCTGGCGCAGACAGTGATGTCGTTCATGCCGGGAACAACATCGGCGGCACTCCACGCGTAGCCGACAAGTGTATCGTTGACCACGACGCTAACGTTCACGTGCGGGATGTGGGCCGAGTAGTCTGTGGGGTTACTGATATTGGCGTTAGCCTGTAGGGTCAGGGTCTTGCGGGAGGAGTCCACCACTTTAATGTCAGAGATGCCAGGCCGTGAGAAGCTGCTGCGGTTGATGGGCTTTACGAAGACGCTTCCTTGAGCTGGTATGCGGCGGACAATGAATTGCCCAAGAGCTGTAGCAGTATTCACATCAACTTTCCCTTTGACTTCGAGGGAGACGCCTTTGCCACCGAATATCAGCTGCTGTATGACTTCTGTAAAGACGTCGTTGTCAACAATCTCTAGCGGAGCATTTTCGATCACTGATTGAACAAGGAGGTCGTCATCCATCTTGGTGGCGTTGGCGGCCTGCCACTTTCGCAGGTCTAGCTTGCCCATGATATCGCCCTTGTAGAAGACGTCGGCGTTGGCACGGACTCGGTCAACATCCAGGTTGACATTCATGTCTTGGGGTAAGCCAACAAGAACCTTCACAATTGCGGATATCGTGGGTCGGGAGTCTTCAGCGAATGGGTCGGGGAGGCTAAAGTGTGTGTCTGCTAAGGTGAAGTTCTTGATCAAGTTGTCGAAGGGATGGGAGGGCAGGGTGAAGGGTAATGTAGTATCCTTCAAAATCTTCTCAATCCAGCCGGGCGTCTGGTGAGAATCTTGATCACCCCCCCTGACGTATACTGTAGCATCCTTGCCAGCAAGATAATCTGCAACGAGTCTGTCCAGAGGAGAATTGCTCGATTTCGGGCAAGCCCTAGTAAGTGCCGTCGGGAGTTGCTCGATCAAGCCGGTTACCGAAGCATTCACCATCTGTCGTGGGAGAATCTGAATGACTGCAGTTGAAGCAGTGGCCAGGCGCAGGTAGTCGGCCTTGCAGTCGGGCAGTAGAATGTCGAAATTCAACGGCGGTACATCGAAGTTGACTGGATAGTCATTCTTGACGGAGACCGTCGTCTTTGCAAGAACTCCACTGGGGTGGCCAGGGTGCCCGAATTCAGCGAACCGTAGATTGGTAATGTTGTACCGTGGCTTGGCTGGTACATCATCGCCTCTGAAGTGCATCGATTGTTGAACGACCTGCGTACCGAGGTTGATGAGGCCGCTCCTCAGAGGCACTTTGGCAATAGCTTTGGCGTTCAAGTTCTTCAAGTGTCCATCTAGGAAATCTTTCGCGATCTGCCTAATTCCGTCCACCTCGCCAGGTTCCAGGTCGGCAAGTATGTCCAGGTGATTGTGGTGGTTCGGGCGTATATTCATGATGACAGAAGGGACCGTGGCAGAGCCCAGCAAGACGTCGCCATAGTCTGGGAGGTAGATTTCGAGCTTGGATTGACCGCTCTTGACCTCACGCGCAATCCAGGTCGCCACCTTCCCAAGATCTCTGACCGACTTCTTCTTCACCTTTGACGAGTCCAAGTACAAATCGCCTTGTAATCGCGTCTTGATACCTAGTGAAGTGAAGGAATCGATTGAGAGCTGCTCTGGCTTGAAGACCAGCGCTTCTTGTGCATATTCCTGCGCTATTGACGGCACAGCGAAGCCGATGATGGCAATGACAGTCCCTATGCAGAGGATGGTAAGCGCTGCTATCGTAGGCCAACGGCCGTATTTCTTGCTCTTGCCATCTGACGATGAGATTGATTCAGGGTGGGGCGTAGTCGTTCCGTTGGGACGGTCATTGTAGGATGTTTGGGACTCTTCGTCTTGACGAGAGAGTAGGGGCGTGTTCTCGGAGGCGTCTGGTGAAGCCGGTCTTGACGACATGGTCGTCGCGGGCCAGGCAGCAAGCGCTGCAGGAGTGTCGACTCAGTGCATCAATTGAGGGGCAGCTTGCTACCATTCAACATGTAACGGCGAGCTAGTGATAACTTCACGATTGCTGATAACTTGTAGTAATCCAAGAAACACATTCAACGAACCTATAGGTGAACGGATGAGAGACAGGCTACTGGCGCACGTTGAGATGCAACGCTACGAGTAGCATTGTACCTGCAGCACGATCTGGTGCCGAGCATAGTACGTCACCCGGAGCGATCCAGCCCCAATGCCCCATAAGCCGGGCAGTTGCCGGATTGCTCACATGTTTGTAACACAAATAGACCATACGTAGAATGTTCGTTGGGTTTTCATGTACGTTTCATTCGCACTAACATCTCATGGTATCATAAAACACATCGCTTTTCAGCTCGATAACCAGTCAAGAAAATCAGGGGTGAAATATGTGATGACGATGCCCGCTCCTGCTCTCAAAATCCCCTCTGTGGACTCGAATGCCATAGTTTTGAGGTCGAAAACACCAGCCTTCGCTCCCGCGTGGATCATGGCAAACTCACCGCTGACCTGGTAGGCAGCGATGGGTAGATCCTTGGCCAGCTCCTTCGCATCAGATATGATGTCCAAATATTGCGACGCCGGCTTGACCAAGATGATATCTGCACCTTCGCTGACATCTCTGACAATAGCCCGGCGAGCGAGACCTCGTCCACCAGGAGGGAGTTGATAACACTTGCGATCGCCAAAAGAAGGGCATGAACCCGCCGCATCCCGGAATGGCCCGTAGAGGCAGCCGGAAAATTTGGCCGCGTAAGACATGAGGTTGACTTGATGGGACAGGCCCGACTCAATCAGTTTCAGCTTGATGGCTCGGATACGGCCGTCATTCATATCTGAAGGAGCCACACAGTGGGCACCAGCTGCAGCATATGCCATTGCCACGTCTGATATCCTCTCAACGGACATGGCATTGTTAAGCGATCCGTCTTCTCGTAGAATACCACAATGACCGTGAGAGGTATACTCGCACAAGCAGACATCGCAGACAATGAAAAGCTGAGGGAAATGCTGCTTGATGATCTGTATGCCCTTGATCACAGGTCCTTCTGGGTCGTCGGCGGAAGTGCCTAGAGCATCTTTTGCGTTGGCTGCGAGTGGCACACCGAACAGAATGACCGATTTGAGACCTTTGCGGACGAGAGGCGTGAGGAACGGTACTAGCTGATTCACGCCTCGACGATGCTGGTTCGGAAGTGAAGGAATCGCTGTGACTTCATCAGGGTCATCGGTAATGAACAGCGGGTAGATGAGCATCGACTGCGAAACGTGTCAGTAGAGGCATATCACGACGAAACGTAAATGCGCACCTTCGTCAGTTGCCTCTCTGCTTGCCATGCCCGAGACAGAGGATGGCTATATCCGGAGTGTAGCTGTGAAGAGATATCGCCCGCAATGCTTACGCTAGTAGCAGCTGTCGAGTTGTAGGAACGGGCTTGCGAAGGGCGCGAGACTGTGGACTGGTCGTCGCGCTGTCTGGGATCGCGGAACGCAATGTCCTGAACCAGGCTAGAGAAAGACATTATGAAGCGAGGCTGAAAAGCTTCAGGCGACAAAAGCGGCTGTCGTTGTGCGTAGCTGTCGCCACAGAAGTTCGAAGTTCGGGGCGAGATCTGAGTGCACTCCGCAGCTGCCGTGCAGGTTTCCGTAACAAGGTATGAGCACGGAATATCAAACAGCTTCGACGTATGAGTGCTGGTATGTGAGCTATTCGCGAGGGTCTAGCAGCATGAAATACAAGTGTTGTATAGAGGCCGCTTCGAAAATAATATTCGGGGCTGCGAGCGGTCAAGTCAGCGGAACTGAGCGCGGCCTCAACTCGCTTCAAATGCCGAGGTCCCCATTGGTCGATGCCACCCACCCTGCCAATCGTAAGAGCAACTGAGACATAGTGCTTCGGTAAGCAGCGACAGCGGGTTAAGATCAGCTACATTGCCCTTTCGATTCATAATGTGGTATTTGGGCACACAGAGGACCGGGCCGAAAGTAGATTGGAAGCCTCTTATTCATTCTTATAGAAACGGGCAATATTCACTGCCTGGTGTGTACACTTCCGACTTCGGCTTACCGGCGGACCCTTGCTCACTTATACAGTCCTCGCTATCACACTTTACTCCCTGTTGATTCTGTATCTAAACCCTTTCCGCTCTGTATCTCACTGTATAAGACCATGAGCCCATGACACCGTCGCTATGCATACATCGTGGAATGATTAGAGCTGAACCTCGTTGTTGAGAATGGTAACCTCTTCTCCTGGTTTGAATGCTGGGAGACCAATGTACGGACATCCGTCGCAACGGAATGCATCTCCAAGACTGCAGTTGCCACAGCTGCCGACCTTGCCCTGCACAGTGAAGTCGACTTCAGCTAGATCATCAGCTTTGAGCTTCATGGTGTTCAGGTCATCATCCGCTTTCTGCCTCTTTGCCTTATCTTCTGCTTCTAAGCGGGCTGCTAGACCACAGGTACAGTCCTTGCAAGCCCTCCTCCTTTTCGCCTTCGGCTTACACTCGCTCGCTAACTTTGGTTAGTCTGACGATCTGGGCTGCTGGAATTGTAACTTACGAATCTTGATAGGTCTTTGGAGGTCTTCGTCTGCCATCAGCTCATCTTCATCGATCAAGTCATCGTCTGAGTCCTCCACTTCATTGGTAGTGCCATCATCAAAGCCCACTCCGGCCGGAATCGACTGGTCAGTCATATCCTGACTCTTGCGCTTGCCATTGAGAGGCAGCGAGACTGAGCCATCGCTTGTGCTTTTCACACCTCCAGCGGCTTCTGCAACGGCCTTCTTCTTGCCAAATCGTAGAGGAACAGATTCTTGAGCACTGTAATCTGGTTTGACAAATCCTTTACCAGATTCATAAGTGAGTCCGGCAAGGATCGCCTCCGTCTTCTCTGCTCCCTCTGTGGCACCGTAGTACCCATCTTGGCTGTGGAGTATGGCACCGCCCTTCATGGCTTTTGCTAACAGAGAGAGGACGTCCCTACTGATCAGTGACAGGCTCTCGCGTCTTGAGTCATCGGCATCGGACAGGATCATGACTACATCGTAGGTAGCTTCTGGTAAGGAGACCAAGCCCATGGCGAGACGATCTAGCATCTGCATGTCGGTAACGGATCGATCATGCATCTGAAGCACTTTGGTCAATTTTTCTTGGTGGGATGACAACGATGGCGGCGAGAGCAAGAGGGTTCGTTTCGCAACTTGCGGCGGGACAGCCTTGCTGGGCAGGACGAAATCATCAGAGGTGTCCATAACGAATGAAGGCGCCATTGTGAATGTTACAAGCAGGAGTTTGTGGCTGTTGCAATACTGAGAAACAAGGTGCAGTCAGGTAGGAGGCAGTGGAATGATCCAAAGCGGATAGGAAAATGTTGCAAGAATCGTACCAGCCGCTTAGAAATCGGCAATCGGCGGGGCTCGCCCCAGTCCAGTCAATCAGCGCGCTCCCAGACTTAACGCCTGCGGCGGTTCAACGGGCAAGGCTGGCGGGTGCTTTGGACGTTGTACCTGGATGCCTAAGGCAGATCTACCATTTATTGATGGATTTTATTGCCTACGTTGACGTCCAGGTTGTGGTAACTACCGACGACCACCACAGTGGGAGGGCCCCGCAGTGAGGTCACTCTGATCACGTGGGAACATCCACCTTGACCCTGATTCTTCAGGTCCCGTCGTGATAGTGCAACTAGCGAACACTCTGACTGACAGTCTCAGCCACGATTAGTTACCAGGTCATGGCTGCCAAAATGTACAGGCTGTCATTATCGTGAGCCTTGTGCGAAAGTGTTGCGACAGCAGCGCGTCAGCAGATGGTCCACCGAAAGCACCAGAAACCCGTGAGACCCGCAATCAACCCACCACTCACGCCACGAGGCTTTGGCTCGACGGTCTAGCAAGAGCCGACCACCTTGCGCTGTCCAAACCGAATCTCGCGGCCAAATGATGGACGGACCACGTTGCTAACTTACGCAAAGCCGGTGGTTCCTGAAAGTCGTAGTCGAACCCTTTTGAATGCGGAAATGCATAAGAGGAGACAAAGCGCTAAGCGAAGACTCGACCCTGCGGGCCAACAGCGTCCCAAGGGGGCAAGGCCCTAAAGCACGTTGACTTCCGGGGAAGGGATCCACCAGAGCCCACCGAACCCCCAATGATTAGCTGCAGACGTCTTAGCCACTATTGGGGTGTCGTGTGATGCTGCAGCTGTGCAATGGAGCATCGAGTTAAAAGGCGCTCAGCGTGGCCTTACTAACAGCTTTCAACGACCGAGCGTAGACCTTCAATTCCGAGTCCTCAAGTCTGTATGCTGTAATAACCATCCCCTCTCTCTCTTCCCCTCTCGTCTTCCCACCAGGACCGGATCACCAAATATCGACAATCGTGTAAGTGCAAACTGCTCCTCGCTACCCTAGCATTCGTCTCGTGATCGGCAGGCGTGGTCCGAGCTTCGCTTCTTTGAACTTCCTCCGCGACCACGCCATAACTGCATTGTCTTGCCTGCTCACGCTAACATCTCTGTCTTCTACAGCAGAACCACAAGAATCGTCCCTTCCGATTCCAACGTCACTCACCATCACAATAACACTCCCAATCACCCATTCGACTACCCTTGAGCCTTCTCAACCGTACCAGTAGGTAAGCACAACCCTGCCCCACGTCCGATGATATCAGCCATGGAAAGGGGTCGATATGCCCCTCGCCCAACCCAACTTCATCCCAAACCATCATTGCCATCCACCCCACCACTAACGCATACCTCAGATATGACTCGCAGCAGCAAAGCCAACGATCGCAACCACGCCGGCCTGGCTGACGGTAGTAAGTTCACCCCCCAGCCTGTGCTGAAGCAACCCTCATCCGGAACACCGTCCCCCTCGTTTTCTTATCGTGTCAATAGTGTTCCGAACATGAATTCATAACTGACGTGCTCATTCAAGGTGCTCTTCCCGAAGATAGACTTCCTCGCTACTTCGCGAAGTCGGGCTTCAGCGACGCCGACCCCTCTAGCATCAAGAAGCACGGCGGAGGTCGTGGAAACTGGTAAGTCTTCCGGAACAGTCTTCTGCACCTCGTAGTTGACACTTTACAGGGGCCGAGAGGGCATCGAAGCTGAAGACCTTGGCTACAACATCAACAACATCCGCCGCCGCTCCAATTCCTCTACTCAAGCCCTCGGTGATTTCAAGACCAAGTTCGAGGTCAACGAAGCCGATCCAGTCTTCGAGGAAGAGCTGCATGGACCCACAGAGGAAGACGTGGAGAAGGCTAGCATGGTCTCGCTCGACAAGGAAGACAGCACCGACAGCTCCCGCTCCGTCGACGGTGAGGATGCTGCTCACAAGAAGATGTAACAACACGATACACTACGATTACTGACCATGCCACATCGCAACCAGGGCAAAAGTCTTGTGCTCCTTCTCAAAGAATGGATTCAGACTTGAAATGGATTGACAGCGGGCGCTCATTCAGAACGATGGTAGGGATCCGCGAATGACCTCGAAATTCGGAAACAAACAATATGTATACCAGCAAAGCAGGCGAAATGGATTGCGGCGGGTTGGTCATCTTCCACGACTCACACGAGATCTCAGAGAGCCTCGTTGTTCTTCGGTTGCTTATGCACTGCATCCGCATAACCAGCACACGTACAATATGATAATACTGGCGCAGCCGTCAGCTATTTTCCAGCATGGTCTTCCTATCTTACATCGCTTTTGCTGAGCAGTGACTAATAGTGTAGACCACGTCATTAGCAATTCGGATCCGTGTTGAGTGTGACTTGTCCTTAAAGTGGCTGCAATGGGGAGTGCCGAATGCCACGATTGTAGCTTCCTGGCAAAGTTCTATGCAGGTACAAAGTCGTTAAGGAACGTTCACCCGTCGGGGACACTATCGTGACAATGAAAGGCCTCATAGTGGGAGAGGAAATCGCTGCATCGGTCTTTCCTCTCTTCCGAGATCGCCAAACGAGGCAAGAGCGCGAGACCGTGCAACACGGGAAAGAGACGATGAATCGATTGAAGATCGTAGTTGGTAGGTTGGAAAAGTCTTGATGTACATTCTATTAGATCCGACTTCCTAGACCAGCATTGCGAATTATCATCTAGTCACCTGCATCACTCTTGGTCTTGACCTTCTCCATTTGCTCCTGCTCCAATCTCCTTCTGTGCTGTATCCTTCGTTCCATTTCCTCCGTAGTCTCATAGTCAGCCCCAAGCTCCAAAGACTCCTCACTCGAGCTCGACAGAGGGTCTTGTGTGTGGTTCCTTTCTGTTTCGGCCTCCTTCTCGCCTGTACCTTCCTGCTTCTCTTCATCATCGGATTTCGCCGCTGCCTTTGCGGGCTTTGTTGGGGCGAATTTTGACTTGACTCGAATGCTCTCACCGTACTTGTAGAAGACGAAAGGAATGGGCGCAAGCAACAGCGCCACGCCACCGACCAAGCTTCCTCCGCCACCCACTCCCAATGCTTTGAACATCTGATTGGTGAACAGAGGTGCAGCGGCACCGCAAGCCGAACGGCTGATGGTATTCGCGGCCATTGCAGATGCGGTATACATGAGGTAGGTATCCGTAAGATAGTTGAGGTAGGAGACGAAGATGAGTAGAAATGAAGTCGATAGGAATACCCCGGCCAGGGTCGGCACAAACCAATGCACAGAATTGTAATTGGCCGACCACGCAAACCAGAACATCGAAATGGCAAACACTATGCCGCCCAGCATCGCAAGCGGTAGGCGATCTTCTGCTTTGCGGGGATGTCCAGCTTCGATAGCCTTCCTGTCGCGGGAAGACTGGTAAAAGACGATGCTGCCACCCAGTACTGCGCCACAAACGGTGCCGAGCAGTGGCAGCTCACCGACACCAGAATTCCATCCTCTCATCTCTTGGAAGACGATTGGATATATGCTGAACAACATGTATAGGAGCGTGTACACAACAGACACATAGATCGCAACCAAGAAAGAAATCGGGTCAAACAGGATCTGCCACGGGCGAAGAAGAGCGACGCGGAAGACCGATGCCAGAGATCGTCCGTGGGCTTCGGCGGGTGCGATAAGATGGCCGTATTTCTCAGGGTCGAGCGCCCGAAGTCGACGGGCTTTGTTGAGTAGAACCACGGGCGGGTAGGTTTCGGGAATGGTGAACATCGGTATAGCTGTCGCACCGCCAAACATGATCATTACATAGAACGTCCACTGCCAACCATGGTCACCCTTGGTCAGCTCAAGGAAACCAGAGATGACTGGTCCAAGGGCTGGTCCCACAAAAGTCATCATGCTGAAAAGAGCCATGGCGTTGCCTCGCTGAACAGGATCCCAAATATCGGCCAGAACCCCTGGGGCATTGGTAAGAGGCGCACTGGCGAAAGTGCCGGTTAGAAGGCGTCCGACAAGGAGAGATCCGAAGTTTGGGGCAAAGGCGCATAGAAAGTTGAATGCTACATAGGCCACGAATGAAACGTAGAAGATGTAGCGGCGCCCGTAGAATTCGGATAGAGGTGCAAAAATCAATGGACCAGCAACATATCCCAACAGAAACAACGTTATTACCAGGCCTGCTGCCACCTGGGAGACCTGGAAATATTCTGAAATCCCTCTAATAGAACCGGATGGACTTGAGGAGGCAAAAGTAGCGTTGACGACCATTAGCACGCACACAATGGTAATGCTATCGGAAAGGCTCGGTTAGCTTGAATTGACAATGGAGGATGGGAGGAGGCTGAGCCTGAGAATGGGGACGAGCTCGATGTGGTGGTGTACGTACTAGTAGCGCCGCCCAGTGGACCATTCTTGGGGATTCTCGATGTCGCCAGGCGCAAAGTTGATGTGTCCATCTTGGTTTATGTGAGGTTCAACGGCAGGATCGAGTTTGCCAGAGCGGTATGGCTTTGCCGTTGGCCGGCTCAGGAAACGTTCGAGGCCATTCATGCTGGGAGTTGGCGAGGCTCAGCGTTGGCAGGTTGAGAGGGGATATTTGAAGGGGGTCTGATAAGACATCAGGTCGGCAGGCTTTAAACCCGGCCCGAGTCGAGAGGTATTCGACGACATGTTTTGAGTTTCGCAAAATAGTAGATGACGATAGAGCGGCGTTGGGTGGAAACTCTGCCTCGGGTCGCCGGCATCCGCAGCCGCAAGACCGTAGTCGCTTGCTAAAAGCGACGTATGTACAGATGAGCTCCATCTTACGAGACCGGGGATATCAGCACAATTTGCCATAAGAGGAGTATGATTATGAAAGCATGTATTTTAGTTGACTCTCAAGTGGCCGGAAACGCCGGCGTCAAAATCGAGAGGTTCTTTCGGCCGATGATGGGGTCTCCACCTCGGATCTTCTAAAGCGCGAGCTACGAGTCGATCTTGCTTTAGCTTCGCACGCCGCTCAGGCTGGAGATTTCGTATGCATGGCACTTGGTTTTTCGTGTTGCCCATTGTCGCTTGTTTCGAAGTGAGTCACGTCCGGGACCGCCCAAGCAGGTCAGAGTAGGGCAGACATCCCAATGCGCAGGGCAGCTATTGACTGCTAGCCATGGCTAACGGAGCTAAATACTCAGCAGGAGGCGGTTTTTAGGACGTCGCCAATGCCCTGTCGAAGCGTTCGAATCTGTATATTCAACCATAGGGAGGACATGGGCCGTAGAGATTCGTTCCACATACGTTACGCGCGGCTCGGCATACCGCATTTAAAATCCGATATAGCGGCGAGAATTGGGATATACGAAGGCGTGGCTATGCTGGTGTATAAGCAATCTGGCAAGCTGCCTAGCAACGGAGACATAATTGAACGGTCAAAGACCGACATCAAAGTCCGAGCTCGATCGAAGCGGGTAGAGGTACTCCCAGGAAAGTGCAGCTCACAATTAATTGAGTTGTCGTGGGCACTTTCCAAGAAATCACGAGCCTTGTGTTCCCAGGTAGCCAGCCTTGCAGCCTTGCCAAGAGCCGTTCCTGGAAGGAGCGTCACCCGCTGCGGAGAAGTCGACGCGTGAACAGAATCAACATTGTTAGATGTCTGCAGTCTTGCTTTTCTTTTCATCGATTGGATAGTCCTTCTCCTTCCCTGTGGTATCTTCAATGCTAAGCGCGATTCCTTCATAATGTTTTCTCCCGAAGCCGCCGGACATACCCACTTGCTGCGGTCCAAGAGGACTCGTCAGGCTGCTGGTACCGAAGATTCTATCAAACTGCCCCAAGCAAAACGAAAACGATCAGCACTTCGACGCGACACATTTGAACCTTTAGCTGATGCTAGTATCAACGAGCTTGCTGGGCAAGCAAAGTCGACGGCAAAGCCTAACGGCCACGCCGACACCTCCACATCGAAACCTGTTGCTCTTCAACCAAAAGAGTTGTCGTACAGAGGACCAAAGAATGAGAGAAGGGCAGATCGGGAACGAGCGACGACGACCCTGACCAACAACGATTTCTACACCGTCTCTGAACTACCGTCGCTCCCTCAGCAGGTTCGTGAGCTCGATAAACACAACAAATCCTACACATGTACCTTCTCCATCGAACATGGCTACGCCATTGTCGTCTCCCACAATGAAGCCATCATTTGGCCGTACCACTCTAGCGCGGCCATTCCTTCATCACGAGATGTCATTGCCGTTCCCCTGTCGTTTCTGCAGACTTCTGAATCCGATCCTCTACCTCTGGCGGCCTTCACTGCCCGCTCCGCGACTGGCGAGCCGGGCCTTCTGGTTGTCTCTGCAAGATGGGGGACCGTTATCTATTGGGATACTCTCACCAGTGCCTCAACTGTCATGCCAACGCGGACCTCAGGAGGCGTACAAGGATCAATTCCAAGCTTGGGCGGAGAGACCATTCACGACTTGGTCAGTGCCGAGCCATCTGGCTTCATAATCTCCTTCAGCCACGGCCGGCTGGCTCACATCTCGCTGCGCGATCAGCTCGGAAGACCTGCCATCGGTGTGCAGTTCCTGCGCAAGCCCCCAAGCAGTAGTCTTCTTGGTGGTATTGGCGGCAGTGTGCGAAATCTTGTCGGATGGGACCGCAGGAAGGGCATACCCATTGTCAAGGCCGGTGCTGCCACCAAAGGCCAGCGAGACATCGCTGTCATGACAGAGAATGCCGAATTCGAAGCTTGGGACACGAACTTAGGAGTCGGACACACCTTGACGTTGCATCAGAACTTTCTGGAGGATATCAAAGATGCCATGAAACCATACCTTCCGCCCGAGAAGGCCATCTCGCAATACGACGTCAAGGTTCTCGATTTTGAGTTGGCTCGCCCAAGTCAGGAAATTGCTCGAGGTGATGAGCCGTCGACTGTGCCACTGCTTGCGCTGGTCTCACTCTCGGCACCCAGTGGTACGCAGTTCTACATCGTTGAACTGGTCGTCGGCGCGCAGGAAAACCTCATCAGAGTCGTTCATCCTATCTCGTGCTATTCTACTAAGCTACCAAAGACGGAAGACTGGCGTCCACGCCTCTTGGTGGTCAAGACGACCGCTTTCGCCATTTTCGAAACGGTAGTGGTCCTGTTCTCGCTGTCCAAGATTCATGAATCGCCATCTTCCCAACTGTTGATGGAACGGCATGCCTTACCTGCGCCTTTTCAAGATGCCATTCGTCTCGACGGAGAAAAGTCATATCGATTCGTTGGCTTCTCTGCCGAAGAAGAGGGCACCGACGCCTCATGCCTGCTGGCTGTGTCCAAAAAGGGACTCCTCCGAATTCAATCACACAAGAATGAAGCTGAGATTGACGTTGACGACTATGCAAGCAAGATTAGTGCGAGAACTCGTATCGAGCAAGCTATCCGCTATGGCACCGAGAAGGAAAACCCGCTAGATCTCAATAGCCCCTCATCACATTCCTTCACTCAAGGTGAGGTAGAGGTAGCGGCCTTGGAGATCAGTGACGACATCGTCAGATCTAAGTGGAAGTACCTACCTCCCAGTGGTCCGTCAATCAGCAAGCATTTGAGTGATCGAGCGAAAGCACTCAATAGCCTAATCCACCATGTCATGAAGTACTATCGGAACAAACTTTCGGGCGGCGTCCGGGACAATCTGATGTGGGACGCGGAAAAGATCGCGGCGGCTCAGGCAATCTGGAAAACACAAGAAATCATCTGGCGCAGATACCCTCAAGAGGACCGCGAGATGCCCCACGTCGAGTTCTCTCTGCGAGCTCTCCACGAATCGCGACAAGAGTACCCGAGCGAGGAGAAGGGTCAGGTTGACGCTGTAAGGCACTGGATGCTCAACAGTGTTTACAAGTGTGACAATCTACTGGTTGAAATCGTCGACTGTATCAATGAGCTGCCAGACTTCGATATCACCGACCCTCGCATCTTTGGCGAGTTCTTGCTTGAAACAGTCGACATCTGGTGTGCTGCGTACTCGGCAGTCTTCAAGTTTCGCCAGGACAACGCTAGTCAGTACGGTTTTGGCGACAAGGCTATCAAGGATGGTCTCTTCCTGGAAAGCTATCATCTGGACTCTGGTCGGCCCTGGACTTCCAATGTCCAACCCAATCATTATGCCTGGCAATTACTCGACCACGTCTGCAATTACCTGGGCGAATGGTATGACTATGAGGCTGGATCCGCCAAGTCAGCAAAGAAGAAGATGCCGGTCAGTAGTGATGGCAAGGTACACGACCCTCCACCTCGTACGCTGATTAATGAACTGGTCGCAAAGTTGCCCAAGCAGTGCGACATTTTCAATCGTGTCACTAGTGAAGAAATAATCTGGGCTGCTACTGAAGAAGGAGGCCGGCATAGCGATCGTGTGGAGAGACAGGCTGCTATTGATGCAATCCTTGCAGAGACACAACCCAGGCTCTCTGAAGCCGTGCAAAGAATCTCCGAATTCAACATGGAGGGAGCCATCGACATTGCAGAACGGCTTGCCGATCCTCAGCTACTTGTCACGTTGACTTCGGACTACCTGAAGAGATTAAATCTGGAAGCTATGGCTCACCCCGAGACGGCACAGAAGAACAAGAAGAGGATAGACGACGTCCAAAAACATGCTGAGACATATTACAGCACTTTCGGGAGTCAATGGGCCTTCGCCAACTTCAGTCGCAAAATCGAAAATGGCGAGCTGGGAAGTATACTCACAGAAGCACAAGACAATGACGGCGAGAAACAAGAGTATGTCACCAAATTTCTTCACCGGGCCACCAAGCAAGGTCAGCAGATCGGCAAACTTGCTTGGATCAATGATGTTGTCGGTGAGCAGAATTTCAGCCACGCTGAACGCGTCTTGGTGCGCGTGGCCGATGAGGAGATGGATATCTACAATAAGAAGACTGAGCTCTCGCTCGCCAAGTTGGTCAGCCTGGCAGCCGCCGAAGAAAACAACAACGTGCGCAGCATGCCTGTGCTCGACGGCATTGTCACATATGACAACAAGCTACAGATCGTTGATATTCAGCAGCAGATCACCGATCATGTCAAACTCGTCAATGGCCATGCTATTGATGCAAAAGCCGCCGAAGATATGGCATTCCAGACCTTCTCCACTCGCATCGTCGCTAAGTACCCTGGCCTGAAGCGTCTACTGAAGTCTGCGATTGCTGCACTCCTGGCGGAGCAGCCGCTGTCAGAAGAAGCTCTAGTCGACTTTCTTACACTCGCAGATCCTGTCAATTATGAAGAAGAACCAGACAACGATCCAGAGGTGTTGGGCCGAGAATTTGCACTTGCTCTACGTGTGGTTGATCTAAGCGATTTACCGAACGTCCACAAAATTGCTTTGCGTCAAATCGTCTGGAGGCGCATTGCCATCCGCGATGATTGGACGATTCTCAACAACTCGACCGGTAAAGGCGACGCAGAAGTCGCGGAGACTCTTCACCAGACTGCCATTTTCCAAACACTTATCTACCTCGGCGCCGAAGTTGCCAATCTATTCGGGAGCGCAGGTATTGCGGCGGTGGCAGCGCGTCTCAATGAGCAGATCGTGGCACCGGATGTGATTCTGGCGGACAATGCCTTCCCAATCGTACTGCAGCGCCGTTTCGAGGGCGTGGAGAAGGACAAGGAGGCAGTGCGGAAGGATCTGGAGAAGGAGCAGGAGAAGTTGAGGAAGTATGTAGACACAGCCCAACTCGAGCTACACTTTAGTGGATTAGTCAATGATGCGAGGGAGGAGATCAGACAGATGATTGATGCTGAGGGGGAGGCTACTGCGGAGGGACTCGAGGGAGAAGGCAAAGACTAGAAGTCGGCGACGATGGTGAAGATGCCACACTCAAAGGTTGGTGAAGAAGAATGGCGCATACTGTAAGGCATCTGACCACTAATGCGATCTGTCGGATTATGGAATGCCAATAATGGCAAGAACGAGCAGGCGAAGCGTTCGAATTACTAGTAGCGGTAGCGTGTCGTGAGCGGGTCGGTTGAAGAGGCAAGCCTTCGCAAAGGCCAACCTGAATCTGCGCCAGATGCACGCACACATCACGAATGAACATGGCTCCCTTTCTCGTGTACAACACACCTATTTCACCGAAGCACGATCTTTCCCCGTCCTCGATCGAGACTGCCGCACCATTTCCTCCCGCATCTGTAGCTGCTGTGCTTCCTTTGGACGGCGAGTGACTCGTTCGTTCTTTTATAATCTGTGACGGCCACCACCTGTAGCCCACAGTCGACAAACGACAATCGAAGATCATCTGTCCACTAGTCTCATGAACATGACCAGAAGGGGGCCGGGTGCGCTGGTGCGGAATTAGAATAGACAGAAGTTATGAAGGTAGCGAATATAGATGTTTCCGGTTCTGGCTTTTGGTATCATGCTCACAATCAAACTTCCGCTCTACCTCGAGAATATATGTTTACGCATCTGACGCCCTCTCAGGTATTTAATGCGTGCGTGAACTAACCTAAAGTTACTGTCTAAACTCGGATATACCCTCCATGTAGGAGGCATCTGCAGTAGAGAAGGACTTCTCCTATATGCCCCTGCAGCGCCTGTCAAGCACTTGAACTTTCACTTAGCCGCGTTCTCACTCTCATCAGAACCTTTTCCAGTAGGTTCTTGCCCCACTCCGCCTCCTTGCCCTCGGCTGTTGCGGCATCGAAGCTGATGCCCCAAATCCTGTCGTCCGGACTTGCCTCAACAATGATCCTCTCCCCAGTCCCAAGGAGTACGAGCTTCAGATCTTCGTTCTGACTGAATTTGGCGTGATTGGCCTCTGCGACGATCGCCTCGCAGCGCGAGTTCCATCGTTCCTGATCGAAATCCCGAACCTGGCGACTCAAGAGCTTGGCCTCACTTGGGTGTGTTGCATTGGCTATCTTGGTCGCGGTCTCTTCATCGCCCATGAGCATGGCTTTGGCGTGCATTATGACCTGCTCTGTGGATCCGAATTCTTGTCGAGGCCCAGATGGGTGGTTGACGTCCGTAGCGGTCCAGACACGGGCGGTGAACATGCAGGGAAACCACTGTTGAAAGCAGACGTGAGGGTCAGGGCCTTCGTAGCCAAAGAAGTAAATATGTGTTTTCGTTACTTTAGGTGGTAGCTTGGCGGCTTCCAACAGTTGAGGCGGACACTTGTAGGGGTTTCCTGACGCTAGTGATGACGGATGGTTCGCGGCGGGACCTCGTGCCTGGACAGCTTGAGTGGCAAGAAACATGGTGTGGATTCTTGTCAGTGGTTGCTAGAGTTGTCCGGCGGACACGTATGCAGACCACCCTTGGGAGGTCTATTCGTCAGTTGCGCATGCAAGAAGCGAGATGAAACCAGGGGAAAGCTCGTTTGGACGACGTAGGCAATGAAGTCGAGCTTGCATCACTCCTCGCCTCCGGTTCCTTTGGTCTAGATCTAGACTTTCAAGATCCCCCGCTTCAAAGACACTGACAGATTCGTTTGATCTATCAAGGTAGGTTCTCTGACTATGTAACCTTGACAACGTTTCAAGCCACGGAAATGACAAGATGGCTGCTCATGGTGAGTCCTGGCTAACCCGGGGGTTTGGGACTTGAAGTTGTCTTGTCGGTGCCCAAAGACTGGTTCACAGGGAAGCACGTGGGCGCATATGTTCCCTGGCCTCCAACTTCGCTGCAACTTTCAATACACTCGGCTCCTGCAAGACGGGTGAGTAGAGGAATTTCACCATGTGTTCTCGCAAATCGTCGTAGCTGTGGATGCCCAAGAGGTTGCACAAATTGAGTACTCGAACCATGAAGAACGTTTCGGTCCCCTCGTAGCCCGGAAGGTCGGCAGCAAAGACGCCAACCATGGTGTTAAACAGGATGTGGCTAAGCTGATCCTGAACTAGCGCGGGTAGTGGGTGATTGTCGACTCTTTCCAGCTCCGGGGTGAGTCCCAGTGCCGGCGCCCAGGACTTGAGCGCAAAAGCCAGTGCGTTCTGGAGCTTCAAAACGTTCAGCCGTGCCGTTTGAAAACCGATCATCGTGCAGGCGTGGGCCATTAATATCAACAGTGTGCAACGTACAACTTCCATGCACTTTCCCACTACATCGAGTGGACCGATATTGTTTTCGGGAGCAAGTTTGAGAAGCCGCCGCAGGACAGCGCGAGCCTTTCGACATAACCATTCCGCGTCAAAGCAGACGGCTACGGGCGAAAGCCACACGACCTTAGCGATAGCAACACACTCGACAATGTCAGTGACGATCCCAGCTAGGGCATCGCTGAACATGCCCTTCCGTAGTCCATGGTCAAACATGGACCCCATACGGAGATCCATCGTGCGGGACAGATCAGCTATGGCGTCTCTTAGACCCAGTGGTGCAGCTCTCACCGTCAACGAGACTGGTGATGGGTGCCAACACCCTGAAGAAACGCCGCTTTGAAGTAACCAGCGTATTTCACGTTGTAGTGCTGCTCTTCGCTCGGGCAGCAACGGGCCAGGGTCGAAGTCTTGTGGCAGAGTCGGCGGCTTGCCAGTGGACAGCGCCAGCTGATTGTCAACATGAGCGCAAGATTCGGAAATCCAGTGGTCGAAATGCTGCGTGAGGTCGAGAAGGTGATACAGCTTTGCGACGACGCGGAGATGTTTTCGCGCTGATTCGTATTCGCCAGTTGCTGTCTCAGATACCACAAGGAATAGGATGTCGAGTATGGTATGCCTGTCTACAACTCCGGTCTTCCCGCTCTTGATCAGTTCTTTGCGCAAGTGATGTGAGGCATGTCGTCGGAAGGAAATAGGTGCCTGTTCTTGGATGTCTTCCCGAAATATCTTCTGCATGCGTATGCTGAGACAAGCCAGGAAGGCATACAGATGATGTGGCTGATGGATGGATCTTTGAATGACATCAGCAATGGGAAACTGGTTGATGTTGTCTCGTATATGTTCCGGCAGGTAGGCGAGCTTATAGTTGTTACCGGAGAATCGATAGATTTTCAGGCCATGTTGTAGTACGAGATGTATCTGACTGGAAACCCGGACTGGCAGCTGATTGAACGGGTCAACTTGATCGTGGGGAGAAAATTCACGGAAATACGGCTGCATTGACAGATCATTGAAATCGTCGTCTTCCTCTTCAGGTGAGACTTCAGGTGATGGCTCGGTGGCCGAGACCCCTTCAGTTGAGACGGTAATGACTGACGTCTCGATCTTTTCAGGGTCAGGAGGCTGAAGCTGTTCCTTCTCGACTGGCGTCGATGCTGGAGAGCTGTTGAATGTGGGAGATGAGTGATCGGAACCTGGTAACGTAAATGGTGTCTGTACTTGATCGACACCGCCAGGGCTGAAGACCGATATCCCAGATGGAGAGGCTGGCGATCCGGCATCATCGGTCGAACCTCTGCTACCAGTCAGATTCATCGTGCTCTGTGTTGGGAACGGATAACTACGAGAAACATACCCGTTTATCTCCCCTTCGCGTTTGTTCCATCCTCCCAACGCTATTCGTCGAGCAGATGAGGACGACTTGTGAGCGGATGTTGCTTTGTGAGCGGCGAGTCGCCTATTCCGGACCTGCTGGGCGTGGCGATTTATCTCTTTGGCTGAACTGCCTTCGGATCGAGACAAAGACTTGGACTTGGAATCCTTATTGACGAAGAGAAAAAGTTGCGGAGTTGCTGACTCGCCGTTGCGGCTCTTCATCCTCCATGAACTCAAGTAACAGAGCAGGCGATTCCTCGAGTGGCTAAAAGATCGACATATGCTGGAGCAGCTGGGCAGCAGACTGATCGAGAAAGGACCGCGATCGAACTCTGTGGGGGTTGTGATGTTGAGATCCCGGATTGGACGCTGTGAGCGTAGGGTTGGCAAGGAGCGAAGCTGACAGGCTGATGATTAAGCAGATGGGACCGAAAAAGAAAGAGGTGAGCGGCAGTCGGCGTTTAGACAGAGTCCGTGAATGGGAGCTGGCCTTGTTGTTGCGCAAGGTGAAGTTGAGACGATAGCCAGTGAACGAGTTGCAAAAACCTGTCGACAGTAGAGTAGAATGATATGGGAATGACGTTGAAGGTGGCTGATGGTGGCCAACAGCGACAGACAGGCACCGGACAAGATTGATTCGCTCCAGGCGGGGCACTTTCGGATGTCGACTTGAGCTATGGCTGCAGCGCTGAGAGGATGGCAGTACTTTGTAAGTCTGTGAGAGAATGATAGTCGATTAGTGATTACAGCAGCAGATGGTGGATGGTCCGGTTAGACAGGAATGACTGAAAGATCGCAAAGGTGAGGGTTTGCCACAAGACCCCAAAGCGGGCTTGATCGACGCCGAGGCCTCCCCTTCCTCTCCTGAAGTTACGGCGACGCAGCGTCCTTTTCACACAACGTGGTCAACGGCGATTGTAATATTCCTCAAACCTACGCAGGCGGTGACGCGGCTGTTGCACTTGTTCAGTATCGACCTAGGTAGAATGGAGGTGATGTTAGGATGCGGCGTGAGCCCAGTAACGATGGTTATGTGGTAGAGTGCCGTGTTATAGGCTATCTTCAGGCTCTTCGGGCAACAAAAGCTTAGCAAGGGCATCTAAGTTGCAGCCACCTCCGCTGTGATGAGCAGCTCCTTCCTCTTCTCGCCTGGTGCCCCCGATTCTATTTGTACTCTGTATTCGCACCTGCACCTGCGCCTGTCTCGGGAATCTGGAAGTCTTGGTCTTGCCATCATCACCCCGGGCGATACGGACGGGCAGGACCCGCCAGTAATGCCTCTCCAAAAAACAGTACGCCACTTGGAGACCCAACTGGAATCGTCGCTGCAAGGTACCGCAGCAATGATAAATGCGGATACCCCCAGGCTCCAATTGAGTACTGGCGAGACTGGCTCGGGCAGTCGTGCGGGCAGTAAGCAGCTGAACGAGAGCGGTAGTCGAAGTGCGGGGACGCCAGATCTGCATATCAATGCTCGCTTGCTAATGCCTGATATCGTCGAAATGTGGTACTTCACAGCTGATAGACCATTGTTTCAGTATTGGCAGAGATGGTGGGCTGTTTTGCCAACAGCCAACCCCGGCTAAGGAGGCAATGCAAGGAGGCAATGGACCGCCTACAGGCTGGCATACCCGTGTAGAATGATAGGCCATCACAAAGTTCTTTTTTTACACGATCCTTGCTCCATTGACGGGTGTCAGCAAGCCAGTCATGCAGTTGTACCGTCGACTATAAGCGCAATTCTACTTCGGACCACAAGAGGCGAAATTATTATTGGTTCTTGTCGAATTTCGGGATAGGTGCCGATAGTCAAACGTCCGTCTCGTGTAGTGAGAAACCACCGAAGTCTTCGCATTGGGGGCGACGATATCGGCGAGTTCAGACCGGTTTGACCGCGAATGCGGCGCAGGCGGCAGAGACGTCGGTACTTGGGAAAGCGGAATGCATCATAGTTAAGTCCTAGTTAGTCCACCCCCACCTGCGCCCAGTCATTGGGCAATGGATGCCGGACAAGAGAAATCGGACATAATGTGAACACACAGAATTTTGCTTCAACAACCGGCACCAAGTCGGACACACAGCATCAGTCTTTGTGGTCTAGGTACTTCTACCTCCTCCAGCGAAGAACGTCGCAAGCTAACTGCTTGCCAGTGGTATGATTCTCGCTTAGGGCTGTACAAACCCTGAGTACTCTTGATTGCGAGAGGCCCCGTAAGTCGTGCCCAGTGCCTTTAAGCATTGGGACCAACATCTGACATTCATCCAGGTGTTCGAACCACGGCAAAGACCCTTCTTTTTGTCTTTTTTTTGGACATCCTGAAGATTCTGAAAGCCTCATAGGGCGGTGACACCGTGGGGTAAGACAAGCGGTGAGTCAAAGGAAAGTGGTGGAGATGACCGGGGTTTTGCTTTGGCTCAGGGGCCTAAGCCTCGCTAGGGTGTAAGTAACAGGTCGACGAATCTGTTATGAATCTCTGCAATGGTCGTCTAGTACTTCCAATATGCTGGGGTGTACTGTATGCATCGGGGTATCAATGGTGGCGTCTAGGGCATGCGTTCATCCGTCTTCCGCCTACTTTTCTGGAGGAGGGTTCCCGTTCTTGCCATCGCTGCTGTCTGTACCTGCCTGCTTCCGGTCTGTGTCGATTTTTATCGTGTTACCCTCATCCTTCTTGCTGCCCCTCATCTTTCCCATAAGACTTGCCGTCCGGCCTACTCCCATCTCCAGGTACTTGCCAGCCTTAGTGTCATGCCTTCCCTCAAGGTGGCTTTGTTCATCATAGCTTACGTATTCTTCGCCTTGTGGCCCGTGTGGTTTGACACCTTCTTCGAGATCGTCTTCCACCTTCTTGCTCACGGCCGGCTCATCCTTGACGCTCGATGCTAGACTCACATCTGCACTTCCCGCATTCTGTGGTCTGAGCCCCAGCTCTTTGGTAAGTTGTGAAGTGCCCTCGCTCAGAACGGCCCCAACCGTCAGTGCTGCGCCGCCTTTCCTGTTGCTGTCGAGTCCCCCGGAATGACTGGCTTCGGATTCTTTGTTTGGGTCCTCGCCCTTCCAGTCCGCCGGCTCGGCTTCGGGCACTGGCTCCCCCACTTTAGGCTCGTCCACCACCTTATCTTCATGGCCTTCTGGGTACCGCCAAACCACTTTCAGCTTGTCGAACGCACGCACACCCTTCCTTGCGCTACCTTTGATGCCATCCATAGCATCCCATTCGATCTCAAACATACCAGAACCGTGACCTTCAAAGCCACCTTCGAACCAGGCGTTAAACCAGACATGAGCAACAGATGTAACCATGGTTAGACCGGCATAACTGGCCTTGTTGCGCCGCTCGAAGTCGATGTTGACGTCGCTGGTAGGCACAATAAGTGCCCCTGCGGGTCTGAGGATGACGGTCTGTGTTGATCCAATATACGTCTTATTGAGGTTCATGCCACTCGACGATGGCGATGACCCATCGACAGGCGACGTAATCATCTCCTCGTCCTTGCGAATCTCCTTTGGTTCCATGGGTATTTGCTTGGTTGCGATGTGGCCCTCGTCCACAACCGTCTTCTCACTTCGCGTGAAGGTATGGAAGTTGTGGATCCTCTTACCTCCTTCCACATATCCCTCTGTGGCCACCTTGACGCCATCCCTCAGACCCCAGACATGTACCTCCACAATCTCAATTGGCCTCTCAACATACTTCTTCTTCATCTCATGTGTCCATCGATCCACGTACCTCACGTACCTCAGTTGACTTGGTATACTGACTCCCTGCCCAAAGCCGGCCCGCATGCGCCGTACAGTGAATCTCTCGAGCGCGTCCTCTCTTTTCCAGCCTTCCTCACTGATTAAATAGCTGCAGCTCACTGTTCCACTTCTTCCCTTTCCAGCCTTACAATGCACAACGGCCACCCTTCTCTTTCCCTCTGATCCAGTCCCTTGAATCCAATTTCTCATCGCAGCCATGACATTCGGCATTACAGAAAAAGGTGGCGGGTGGTGATCAGGCCATGGAAAATGGTGGATACGCCCGTATACTCGGTCATCAGGATAACCAGTGCCCTCGGCACGGAACTCGAATACTGCCCAATCCTCCCCATGCTTGCGGTCTAGGAATGCAACTAGTTGCTCGACAGGGTTGCGATATGCCTTCTTGGGCCAAATGGATGACGGGCCTGAGGTGACGACGACTGCAGGCACAAAGGATTAGCGACCTGTCCCAATGCAGCCACTGTTGGGGATACGCACTGTTGTCTGTGACATAGCAAAGATCGAGGCCCGCTTCCGGGTGACGGGCGCGTGGACCGGAGACGATCTGGCGAAGGAGTGAGGCCTGCAAATGAGCCCGGTTAGTTGATGACTGCAAATGTACCGTGTAAAAGATGGTGGTGTCATACCATGATAGTCCCAACACTGAGAAGCGTGGCAGTCTGAGGCTGCAGAGGGCGACGATTTGGTCAAGGCTATGTCAAGCCATCTCAGTGCAACTCTTGAATTCAGTCCTGGCTCAGTCTACAGCCGTTCTGCTGCACAACCAGGAGCGCGTGCGCAGCCAGCGCAAGAAACGAGGAAGGTGATCAGTATTGCCAAGTGACGTCAGATGGGTCGATCTAAGGTCAACAGCGCCGCTCATGCGCGTCACAAGCTCGTGCACCTCGGCGCTAGAGCTTAAGTATAGACTAGACTAGACGAGGCTTGTAGGCGGCAAGGCAATCCTATACTGGCGGGGTGTACGAGCATTCACGGGGCCGTTGTTTGAATCATCTCTGGTAATACAAAATCGTTCTCTTCTGCTATCGGTGCTGCTACTGGATATGCACAAATCCAGGATGATACATTCACATCGGGCTAAGCCCTCAATCCAACCATTTACACAGAGTCCTCGTGCTACCATATACATTGCCATACCCACGTAGGTGTCTCTAGTCATACATATCATTTCATAATACCGTGTTCCGCCTTGCCTTCTACCGTCTTTCATCTTGGCTAGTCGTTCTGAAATGGGAGTGTCCGTGGCCATACGCCCCATGATTCGTCGCGTGCACCCCTGGAGGTGGCGGAGGGCCTTGAATGTGAGGCGGCTTCTGTTGGCCAGAAAGTTGTTGATGATGGTGGTGAATCTGATGCATCTGTGCAGAGGGTGGAGGCCCAGGTGTATGCGAAGTTTGATAGGGGGCGTGCTGTGGTGGTGGCGGCTGAGGTGTGTAGCTTCGCTGGACGGGGTCGGATGAATATCCAAAGAGTCGCTGCTGGTTCGAACCAACAGGCTGTGCTGACAACAGCTGAGCTTGATGGCCATGATGGTGTTGCTGCTGCTGCTGCTGCTGATGGTGGTGCTGCATGTGCGGCGGCTGATGCTGTGGCTCAGCTGGTGGCGCTGGACCATAACGATTCGGATCAGGTCGATAGCCAAAAGGATCTCGCTCACGCTCAGGAGCACGCATCTGTTGCTGTTGGACTTCCAGTTCGCGTTGCCGCTGTATCGCTTGTTCATGCTCCCGCTCCCGCTCCCGCTCCCTATCGCGATATGGATTGGGGGGATCGCGTTGTTGTTGCTGCTGCATCGCCATATGCTGCTGAATTGTCTGCCGCTGTTGTGTGCCATAATCAATTGATGACCGGTGATGGTGTAAAGCCGATACCGGCGTCGAGCTTGTCGGTTGGGAATGATTTGGCGGGCCAGCCCCAGCGTGCTGTAGCTGATGCGTCTGGGTTTGCGCCTGTTGCGAGTGAGAGAAGCCCAGCGAGCTTACGCGAGAGTGACTTGTTGGACCAGCATCCGAGAGTGGCCGATAAGACGATAATGATTGCTGCGGTGGAGGGGAAGGATTTGAACCAGGATGTGAAAGTGGGCCCAACAGCGATCGACGATGATCCGAGGGGGGTGCTTCGACTGAGCGAGATGCTTCCATCCGTAGACCGCTGCTACCAGCAGGTGGAGGCACCACAGAGTACTGGGCAGGGCGGGGGGATGGTTGATGACTTCGCTGTTCACCCAAACCGCTCTGCGGACGGGGATCGTAACGTCCCATCCAGTCCTCATTTGGAGCAGAACTAGATCCATAGCTTGACTGTTGCTGCTCACGAAGAGGATGCGGTCCAAGGCCTCCAAGAGGAGTCCGGATGTTTCGGTCAATATCCGCTGGGCTGCCATCTAATCTGAAATGATTTCTCAATGGTTCAAATGGAGAACCATGGTGAGAAATGGTCTGCGGCGACATACCCGACTGGCGTTTCTGAGAGTCCAATGACGAGCGCTTGTTTGGCTTCTGCTCGGGTGGATCGTCATTGAGCAAACTGGCGATATTCGACTTCTTGGCAGGAGCCGGTTTGAGAGGTTCTGTTGGAGGTGCTGGAGTTGGATCAGGCCCGCTCTCTGTTCGTCGCAGAGGTACGCTACTGGCTGGGGGAGGCGTCGCAATCTGAGGCGGGATCATAGAGTAGGGTCGTGACATCGGATCCAGGTGTCTGAGAGAAGCAAGATCTCGAGCTTGCTCCATCGCCGATGGTGCCCGGCCTCCGAGGCTACCACTTCGGCTATGTTGTTGCTGAGCCAGACCAAAACGCTCATTGTGGATACTCGAGTTGAGTAGAGACACTTGAGTTTGGGCATGAGATTGTAAGCCTCCAATGTCCCGAGGTGGGCCAAGGTTGAGCTGTCGCGGTGAACCAGCAGAAATCACGTGACCTAGGTCACCGTATCTATGCTCTCCAGGACGCAATGGGTGCTGGTGAGGAGAGTTGTCTCGAGACAAGGTCTGATGCTGCAAGCCAAACGGGGGGTTCTCTTCTTTGAAGAAGCCACTCCTCGGTCCATTGTGAGGTTTGTGTGAAAGACTGACTGGACGTTGCAATTCTTCAGGTTTGGACTGCGCCAATACAGGATCTTGCAATAGCTCCCGGTTCGGTCGAGTCTTTGTCACGAGGTCTCCAGTGAGGTTGCGCTGAACGGCGTTGGAAGGGAAGTCTTCAGTATAGCTGGTTTTGACTGCCATTGCAGCGAGATCCGAGTCAGGAGCATGTTGGTCAGGGAGTGGTCGTCCGGGCTGAGATGAGGCAGTGGAAGGAGTTGCCTCGTATCGACGCTTGGTCTGTACCGCTGGACTTGGCGGTCGACCCATCGGCTCGTTATTGGCACGCTTGATTTCTGCAACCTTCGCCATCTCTTCAAGATCTGTCTTGCCCTCGGCGATCTGGCGATTGTAGTGGTTCTTGATCTGTTTGAATAGTCAGTGTTGGTCAGATGAGACGTTCGTCTTTTCTTACCATGGTAGAGGTCTTAGTTTTCATGAACTCAGCTATGGTTGCAAAATCTCGTCCATAATAAGAGATGAGCTGTGGAAACTTTTGCTGTTCCGGTACAGACCAGTAGCTGGTTGGTTGATTGGATCCATGGCCAATGATTGCAGGCATCATGCGCTCGGTTTCTGGCACACCATATTGAGTTATGTCCGCTTCTGCCAACTTATGCATCTCCAAGCCAGGCATGAGATCAGGTTTGACAAGGTTGTTCTCTGCGCGGAGCAACGTCCGGCTTCGATCTTTCAAGGCAACGACCTTTTGTGGCGATGCTTCCACCATGGTGGTAGGCACAAAATTATCATGAGCGGCCTGTGCAGCTTGTGCGGCTTGTTGTTCGGCCTGAATCTGGGCTTTGGTGCGCCTGCTTTTGGTGGTAGTTCCTCCTTTCCGACCACGGGGTGGCTTTGCTACGCCCTCAGCTGTAGCATCTTTTCCACTGACAGCCAAGCGTTTGGCGGCAGGAGCAACGGTGGAAGGGTCGCTGTCCACCGGTGTATCCCCAAAAGTGGGCGCTGCAGCTCTGCGTGGCCGACCAGTGTCTGTGACCGCGACAACACCCTCTTCACCATCTCGGTAGACCAATTCGGACATAAGCGCAGTGGATCGAGGCTTGGTCGCTGCTGCTCTGCCTCGTCTCCTCTTGGGTTGAGCACGTCGCCAAATGTCCTTGTATTTAGCCTCACCTTTAGTCAGGTAGTAGTGGGTGATGCAATCCTGGTAGGAGCGCTCGGGCAGGGCTTCTGCAATTTTGCCCCATTTCTTGGGGGTCTGACAGTATGCTTGAATGAAAGCAAGTTGTTCTTCTGGTGTAAAGTCGTCCTCCGGGGGAAGATAAGCAAATACTTCCAGTGCGAACTCTGGTTGAATGAGCTTGTTAGTGTCTTCGAAATGCAGTAGCGCAGCTTCGTTCGGCTCGAGCATCGGTGGCACAACCGCTTCGTGTTCATAGTTTGGCACCGAGCTTGAAGCAGCCTCTCTCTCTCTCCGCTCCTCTTCTTCCTTCATCGTCTGCTGCGAGAGTGCGATCGCGGCCTGGAGATCAGCCTCAGTGGTGTTGCGACCTCCACGAGTACGCTCATGGTTAACCGAGGGTGTTACCGAAGGTGCAGCAGAAGGTGCAGGAGATGCAGGTGCAGGGCTTACATGAGTATCCCTTAAAGGAAGCTCAAGACCTGCTACTTCCTGCTTCCACGAGATATAATTCTTTCGGTACTCGTTGGACATGTCCTGTAGCTCATCCAGCCAGTCGAAGGCCTCTTGCTCAAATCGCTGTCGTATCAGAGTTGTCACAGCCTCATGCTGAACTTCATCATCAGAGTTGTCGAATACGATCGGCTGACTATTCTGTTTCTTCAGATATGGTAAATCTTCGACAGGTGGAGTTGGTATAGGATTTACGGGAGGCTGGCGAAGAGGTCGTCCACGCGGTTGCGGGTGCTTGACCTCGAGCTTCTCTTGTTCTTCGGAAAGCTCCTCAGGAGAAGGTAGGCCAATCTGCGGTTGATCCACATCTTTCATCGGCTCATCCGCCACATGTTTGCTTTCAGAAGATTGTACAACAATGTTGTTGGCAATCATGTTAAGAAACTGTAACTTGATCAAGAGTCCGCGGACGACAGTGTCATGAAGTAGAGGTGGTGGCTTCCGAGCTTCGAGGGATTTGCGTTCCTTATCATACTTCTCCTCCGAAGCAGCAAAGTCGTCTTCATCAAAATCGTCCTCGTCGGCTTCTTCGTCACTGGAGACAGGTAGTGACATGTCCACATCTTCAACGGCACCTTGATCACTGGGAGCGCGATTCGCAACACGAACATCTCCGGTAGAACCCGACTTTGTTGCCGCTGGAGAGGGTCCGCTTCCAGCCATGATCGAGGGAGGATATGTGCGAGGTTTTTCGCCTGACGGTGGAAGTATGGACTGCGATCTCGGCCCAGTAGGTGCGAATGCTGGCCGATTGATAGGACTCATGATGGACGGCTTTGCGCGATTGTATTCAGGCGATATCCAGGATCGGCTGGACGTGCCTGCTTGGCTGGGCGGCCACGGGCCTTCTCTGGCATCTCGGCCGACATCTCTCTCGCGATCCGAACGCGGACCAGTGGGAATAGCAGGGCCACGAATGTCGCCCTGCGCGGCTTTGGGAGTCAAGAAAGAATTGCCAGAGTCAGATAAGGGAGGTCTGGATCGGAAGCTGGAACCGAAGGATGCTCGCGGACCAGACGGCACATTAGGAGGCATAGACTTATCAGGCGTCTGGGCAAGTGGCGGTTTTGGTTCGGGCTTCTGTTCCATCTTTTTCGGAAAGAGCTCTGTCGGGGATGTGTTGGAAGCGACTCGGGGAGGCTGCAACGGAGGTTCGGGTTTAGGCGAATCCTGAGAGATGCCGGATTTCTGGTTTTGATTGATGGTTTGATGAGCTCTATCAGCCTTGGGCCCGCTTGGTGGCTGGAATGATCCCTGCGGGACCATAGGTGATACAGACTTGGTCGGCGGTGGTCGGGAAGACGGGGGCTTCTCTGATGGCGTCGTGGCAGGAACTGACGGTGGTGGTCCATAGTCGAGACCGGCTGTCGCAGATGGCTGCGGTGCTGGCTGTTGATACGGACCTGTGTGCGAGGTTTCTCTGCGAAGTTCGTTACGTGGGAAATAATCTGGCTGATCGGCATCTCGTCGTGCGTCTCGTGCAAGGCTATTGGAGGTAGTTACCGCAGACGGTCTTCGAGTCATCTCAAAGTCCATTTTCGAGGAACGGTCTGACGGCCCATAGTGCCCAGTACTGTTGGCAGGACTTGGTGCTCGCCCACCTGGCCCGCTGCTTATGCGGGCTGGAGATTGATCTCTCTGCCAAATATCATGATCGCGCCGTTCTCTACTTCTTTCGCGACGATCGAAACGTTCGGCTCGGTCGATATCACTGCCGGCAGGTCTGCCTCGATCGTACTCACGCTCACGCCATATTCCTTCTCTTGACGGGCTCCGGTTACTGAAAAGATCCCGCTCACGCTCTCGGTCGCCCACGAACGAGCTTCTCCCTCGATTTCGATCCCAGTCTCCTCGACCTCGACCACGAGCCAAACCACCGCGGAATGACGGATTGCTGTCGCTTTGTCGGCTTAACAAAGGAGGCAGTGATTCTCGTGAATCTCGACGAGCTTTCGGGGGCGAGGCGGACCTATCCCTCGGGGGATATGGTCGAGCGTCGCGAACAGCAGCAGATGGTCTCTCAGGAGGGCCGAGTTCACGTTCGCGACGAGACCAGTCCGGCCGGTCGTCGTCTCGAGTGCGATAGGGTTGAGCGGGACGAACGTCTCGTTCGCGATCTCTATCACGATCGCGCTGACTGTTCCAAGTGTCGGCTCGACTTGCATAGGTGCCCGCTCCTCGGCCTCGAGCAGGTGGAGGATATTGATACCCACCTCTGAAACTATCGGCACGAGGCCCTCTTGGCGGATCACGATCTCCACCTGGTTCACCAGGGCCGCGGTAGGAGGAGCCACCTAAGGGAGCGCCGTAGTTGGAAGGACGACGATCATATCGAGGTGGAGATCGGTCGCGCGCAGGAGGTGCATAGCGCGACATTGGATGAAGGAAGGCGGCAACGGCTGGGTACCTCGGTGGCTGCCTCCACGCGCATCAGCCAAAGTGGGTCCTCGTTAGGTAAGGTTTGGCGCTAAGTGCGGAAAAAGTGTAGCACAGGCGATCCAAAGAAAGAACAAGCCTGGACAGGGCAGGCTCCCCCCAAACTCGAGTGCCGAGAGCGTCGAAAGACCGTCAACTGCTGCGAAGCCCCGAAGATGCGGCGCTGAAACGGTCTGCGGTGGATCGACACGCTACCGAGTTGGATTTGGGTAGGCAGCGGACGGCTAGATTTGTGCTCGCAGAGACGGACGCCTCAGAGATTGCCCGATTGACACGAGCACCTGATCTTGGCTGAAAACACGTCGCGGTTGACTACCGATCTGGTTCGGAAGCTGCGAAAAGGTCCTTGGAGAACAATTTCGGATTCGAAAGTCAATGTGACAGATTCGTAGGGGATACTCAGATGAAATCGAGACCGGTCGGAAGCTGGCGCATGCCAGTAACCCGATGCTGAACGAGTCGCGGTCTCTTGGATAAAAGGCGTAATTGGGAAAGCGCAACCTCGATGAGCGCCAAAGAATACGGGGATGAGAAATTTCAACTGCCCGGTGGCACCAGAAAGTAGCCCTGCTGCACAACACCAAAGAGTAGTTGAACCAGGGAAAGGAAAGGAAGTAAGGGATTCGCTGACGAAGAGTAGTGTGAGGAGGATGAGATGGCAGAGATTCGAGAAAGCCGATGGGGCGGCGCCTGGGATGTGACACTCTGGGCACCCGTACTCGCCGTACCAGTGCCCTTGACCACTTATTAGCGGTAGCCAGTTAAAACTCCGGGCAGGTGGCACTCGTCGCCCCACCTGCCTTGGCAAAAAGGTCCTGGAAGGATTTGTACTGTTGAGATCTTGTCCCTGGCTATAACCATCACTACTAGAATTGCCATGAGTGCCGTGCCGCCAACTAAAGCCACGGATGCCGTACTGGTACCTTCGGAACCAGTTCCCGAAGATGTTTCCCAAGTCCGAGGCATCGACTGGACTGCTCTTCCTCCTGAGCATCGGAACATTGTTGCGGACTTTGTCAACAACCTTACCGGCCAAGGATTTCAATCGAGTTCTATAGGCGATGCCATTGACATCATCAATGATATGGTCGGTCAACCCGCTGGCAGACAAGATAAGAACACTTTCTGATCGTAAGTAGAAGGCGTGGAAAGACCCAGAAACGGGCGAGAAGACTACCATCTTTTTGGGCTACACCTCCAATATGATTTCTTCTGGTCTGCGAGATACGTTCCGCTATCTTGTGCAACATCGCCACGTATCTGCGATCGTAACAACAGCAGGTGGCGTCGAAGAAGACTTCATCAAGTGTCTCGCTCCTACTTTTCTCGGTTCGTTCTCTACTTCCGGCGCTGCCCTTCGAGCAAAAGGTATGAATCGCATTGGCAACTTGTTCGTGCCCAACAACAATTACTGTGCATTCGAAGACTGGTTGATTCCCATCCTTGACACCATGCTTGAGGAACAAGAGGCGGCATTCAAGGATTCCGGCGAACGATTCACCTGGACTCCCAGCCGTGTTATTCATCGCCTTGGAAAGGAAATCAATAACGAGGAGTCGGTGTACTATTGGGCGTACAAGAACGACATACCGGTCTTCTGTCCGGCACTGACAGATGGTAGTTTGGGGGACATGCTGTATTTCCATTCCTTTAAGGCTTCACCACTTCATTTGGGAATCGATATTGTGCAAGACATCCGGAAGATCAATACCCTCGCAGTTAGGGCAAAGCGGACAGGCATGATCATCCTTGGGGGAGGCGTTGTGAAACACCACATTGCTAATGCGAACCTCATGCGCAACGGAGCTGAAAGTGCAGTCTACATCAACACTGGCCAAGAATTCGACGGCAGTGATGCCGGTGCACGACCAGACGAAGCTGTCAGCTGGGGGAAGATCAAGACCGATGCGAAGAGCGTCAAGGTAAGGCAAATTCGCCACCTCTATAAACGCCGCTAACTTCTTCAGGTCTACGTCGAGGCAACGATTGCCTTTCCATTGATTGTTGCCTCCACATTCGCGAAGCCCGACGCAAGCGAGGATGGAAACATGTGAATATTATGCTGCCAGAGCCCCCTGCCGCCCACTACCAAAGGCCATGTAGGCTTGGATGCAAAAGATCCGGTGTGGGCGTAGCTTTTGGACGGCTTCGAAGCGAGGCTGAGCCACTCGGAGACACAAGGCCGGGAAATGATATGACTCAAGGAGGCTCGCAGGCCGGGTGTGTGACCACAGTGGGGGCTTGCGAAAGGACTGCGCAGCCGTGTGGAGGCCAGGCGCACACTAGGCTGCCGGACCTGAGAGCCCAGAAGCTTTAGCCTTCGAAGGTCGGTGCAGCGCCTGTGGCATTTGAGTAGTTTCGATCGAACGACAAAAAGCGTGAAGGCCCTATGATGGAGCAGTGGGTCTTTAAGAAAGCTGCGTAAGCAACTGCACCACTGTGCGAATCCTAGTAGGCGCAATCCAGCTTCAGCAAGCCAAAGAGCCTCACTTTTGGTCCGCGAGTCCAAGCCCTGGTAGCCCCAGCGGCGATTGGTCCGCCCCCAGCTCACCGGTCCCGCAGTGGGATAGGCGGTTTGTCCATGCTGGAGCCTTACTCCAAAGGATGATCCGTCCTAGGCACCTGCCGTGGACTCACGAAATGTAAAGCCGTGGACCCGTCTGCACTGGCTGTGCCTTCAGCAGCGAAGCAGGGCTGTCAGCCAGTCCAGTAACAATATTTATCTCCTCTTGTGTCGCCTTCACTTTTGCCCGACTTCGCCTTTATCGTGTCTCACACCCCGCTACCATCTTACCCCGTCTTCTTGACATGTAGCGGTACGCCCCATCTGTTCCTGCCTGACCGCCAGTACCCAGCCTGTATACTCCGGTATCCATTAACTGAGTCACTGCCTTCTAGCTCTACAGTCATTGTGACTCCCACGACTGACACCAGGTGAAGCTGCCCGGCTTCCAATCATGGACAGCCAAATCCGATCTCCAGTGCTCATGCAGCACATGTCTCCGCCTCACATCCTCACAAGTTCGGAGACCAGCCTTGTTCGATCTATGCCAGCGTCCCCGTCCGAGGAGTCTCCTCCGCCTGCAGATATCCTCATGGCAGCAACAGTACATGAGCCCGTGCTAATGCCTTCACTGACGGCAGAGGCCCGTGCGGCTGAAGCAGCCCCAGAATCGCTGGAAGGACAACCACAGGCCGAGAACGATTTGAGACCTACAGATGTTACACACAATACAGAAATAACTCCTGAAGGCAGGCCACAAGCTATTGAAGAGCAATCTCCAGAGTTAACCGACCAACCTCAGCAACCAGTGCCACAAGAGGAAGAAGACTCTCGGGTGGCAGATTCCCCATCAGCCGAGCAACCCACAGAACCCTCACCCCCCCAATTGTCAGAATCGACTAGTGAAGAGTCCCCTTCTCCGACCCCCAATCACCCCGAACAACCTTCAGAGCCTGCCGAGGATGGCGCTGCGCCTGCTCCGAGCCCGCAGGAAACAAGCCCAGAAGAGTCCGAAACAGCAGCTCCTCCGCCACAACCTGAGGTGCCAGAATGGGTAACATGGGAAGACGATCTCTCTACACCAACAGAGGAAGAGCTGGAAGCAGTCAAAGATTCTGAAGCCGAGAATGACGCTACAAATGTGGCTGCATACGAGAAACACATGTTTCCAGACCATGACGATCCCGATCAGAGACCATACAAGAAAGTTCGGCTGAGCTGGATCATCAAAGGTGTGCGAGGCACAAGAGAGCGGCCCAATATGGCTCGTACCATGAACTCTCCAGCTGCGTGCATCGACGGGCTTTACTGGACGATTAAATTCTTTCCAAGAGGAAACAAGTGCTCTTCGCTCAGCGCATATATTCAGTGCAGCAAGGATAAACCAGAGCCAGACAAGGAGGTAGTCGAAAGCACATTCGCCTACTTCGAAGGTCCTCCAGATGCTGATTTGGGTAGGACTGCTGAGCCTACAAGCCGTATCAAGGTCGAGGCAACACCCGTTGTCAAGCCCGAAGACAAGTCACCGCCGCAGGAGACGACTAAGGAAGCCAGTGCCAGCAATGATACCGCCAGCGACACCGATGAGATCCAACCGGCAGTGACGTCGAGTCTGAGTGAAGAAGACAAGGATTTCCGAGCTTCCGCTCAGCTTGGCATGGTCATGTACAACCCCGAGGAACCCCGGACTGCGACGTATCACACATCCGAGCATCAATTCAATCCAAACAATTGCGACTGGGGTTGGACGAACTTTGTGGGCAAGTGGGAAGAGATTCACATTCGCCATCGAGGAGAGCGCCAACCTCTTCTGAGGAACGACACTATTGGCATTGACGCTTACATTCGAATCTTTGACGACCCTTCTCAAGCGTTGTGGTGGCACAGTTCGGATTCCAATGAACCACTCTGGCCTTCGAAGTTACTTGCCGGCTACCTTCCAATGGGTACGCCGCCATTGTACCACAGCCCTGCAGTGGCGTGTATCACAACTTGGATGCTCCTCGCGCCTTTCCGGTATGTTATTCAGAGTGTTGACACCGGCAAGTGGCGGTCAGACTCACAAATCAAGCCTCGTCCATTTATCGCTCGTCTACAACAGGTAGCCCACCAGATGCGCCATCTGAAGGACGATGTGTATGTCAATGTTTACCCAGCTGTCGAGACCCTCCGGCAGTATGGCGAGACCTACAATGACGTCCTGAGTTTCTGGGAGGTTTTCCGGCGAGCGATTGAACTGGAGCTTGATGGTGAGACAGAGCTGCTGCGACAACTGGCAGCCATCTTTGAAGTGTCGGGCCAGCAGTATCATCTGCCTGCTCTTCCTGTACGTGGAGTTGGTGATGTTCAAACTGCACTTTCTATGATCAAACAGCCAGCAGATCTACCGTCCACGGGCCCCGATTTCCTTCCTCTGATGCTGGAACGCGAGGCTTTCGACAAGATTTCACGGGAATGGAAGATGTATCACGATTTGATCCATTTGAACGATAATATCACACTCCCCTTCGGCCAAAGCACGGACTACACGCTCTACGGGTTTGTGGTTCATGTTGGAGCCCGTAACTCGGGTAGGTTTTACAGCATTCTCCGGCCTAATGGCCCCAATACCAAATGGCTTGCTTTCGAGGATGGAGATGGAAACAAGATCTTCTCCTACACACGCAACACGATCAAGGAGTACGAGGGCTTGACTGGTCATGAGCTCGACAACTTCAACTCGACAAGACAAACCGCCTATATGGCCTTATACATCAAGACGGAGCGCCTGAAAGAGTACCTGCCTGGCAAGCTTGAGGACTACAACGCCCCACAGTGGCTTATGAACTCCGCAGAAGACGTGGAAGAAACCCCCGAGACCATCGCATTCGAAGTATATCACGATACAGGTGCAATAGGTCGTCAAGGTTTACTCGACATGTTCAACCTCAAACAGTTCTCTGGAGACAGAGGAAGTTTCCGCAGCTGGGCACTACCATCCAAAACTACCATTCAAGAACTCAGAGAACAGCTTGCTTGCTCCATGGGTCTGCGCAGTCCAGAGCACCTTCGTGTTCTCAACATGACCTATGGCGAATTAGGTCACTACGATAATGCCATGTGGGGACAGCTTACTCTGACATCTACTCTGGGAAGCTTGGCTACCGATGTGAGACCGCTCTGTCTCTGGACCTCGACTCTGCAGACCGAAGAAGATGTTAAGCTCTTCAAGATGCCGGAACCCATCGTGCCTGACAAACCCTCCGAGGAATCCTCCAGCGATGAATCCAGGGCCGATGCAGCTTCAGAAGAGGCCACTGCAGAAAGCGCTGATGATGAGACCAGAGATGATACTGCTCCGAGGGAGCCGGAAGCAGAAGCACCCGCCAACGAAACCAGAGACGAGTCTACTCCGAGGGAGATAGATGATGAAGCTTCTCCAACGAATCCATCTCAGCCGGCCACCAACGAGAATGAGATGCAGCCTCCTGCGGACGGCGTTCAGCCTGCGAGCGATAATGTTCTATCCCGACCTGCTTCTGATTCTACCGCTGGCGAGAATGCGTTTCAAGTAAATGCGGGGCAAGCTGCCAGTCAGGTCGCCGCTCAAATTGTTCTTGCACAGGACAATAGCAACGAGGTCGCTGCGAATCAATCTTCTGACGCGGTCGCGGCAGGGGTCGCCCACGAGGCATCCCCGCAAGAGGCTGCAGCTACAAGCGAACCTGCAACAGTGGTGTCTGCTGTCGAAGAACCTGCGGTACCACAGACACCTGCCGAAACGACCGAAGCTCCGATTGCAGAGGCACTGACCCTCCCATCACCAGCAACGGCGCCTCAGGTTTCAGACACGCCGTCAATCAATGCCTCAGATTCCCCAGAGTCCAACGTAGTTGCCCCAAATTTGGAAGTGGTAGTAGGCGAGAATTATACCGCTTCTGACGCGCCTGAGACACCTCGACCTGTCGAACACGGTCACCTTATCGATGCTGTCCTTTCGGAGCCAGAGAGCGCAAACGACGCGGCTGTCATTGAGCAAGTTGTGACTCTAGTGGCTGGCGCCCAAGCTACTGTACCCGAGCATGGGACGAGCGCCGAAGACGAAGCTGCCATTGCCGCTCTCATCGCCGCCGATGCTGCCGAACTAAGCGGGAGATCTGTCCAGAACAGAAATCCTTCCAGCGATGAGTCCCCTACTCCTGCCCGCGAGACAATCGAGCCTCAACCACCAACTGAAGCTGCTCCCGAAGCTCAACTAGATACACCCTCACCCCCTTCACCGGAAGCTCCCACCACTGTTCCTTGCACTTATGCTTTCCTCCAATTCTTCTCTCCCACACAGCAGACCTTCACCGTCCACCGCACCTTCTTCGCTGCACGAAGCGCACCGGTCCGCTCCACGATCCGCTCGCTCCTTTCGTACCCGGAAGATCGTGCATTCAACGTATGGTATCGGACGACGGCCGTCGATGGGGCCAAGGTCGGCGAAGGCGAGACTTTCTACGACATTCAAGCTGTCGACGGCTTCGACATCATTGTTGGGGATGTCCTTCCTGAAGACGAAATCAACAGACTCCGTTCCGAAGGCAAGTTCTGGGAGCCTTTTGGTCTGTCGAAATTCCTGCGCATGCAGCAACGACGCTATCCATACGCGATCACAACCTCAGAGGGTGCGGAGGTCGAGATCAAGGAGTTCGGCGGCGAGTATTACAAGGGGCCGCTTGCGAACGGGCGACAGCACGGCCTCAAATGTGAGCTTATTTACGCCAACGGTCAAAGCTATGTCGGACCCTTGCAGTGCCAGCAGCGTCATGGTAAAGACGGCCGAATGACTTACCAGAATGGAGATGTGTATGAAGGCGAGTGGAAGAATGACGAGCAGCACGGTCAGGGGACATTTGTGCAGAAGCGTACAGGCAATAAGTACGTTGGCGGTTTCCGAGATGGGAAGCGATGGGGCAAGGGCACGACACACTGGGAGGTGGCAGACGAAGAAGCGGACCTATGCCAGATTTGCTACGGGGAGGAGATTGATGCGCTGTTCTATGACTGCGGGCACGTGTGTGCGTGTGTGGATTGCGCGAAGCAGTGCGAGACATGCCCGATTTGCAGAAGATCGGTGCGACATGTGGTGAGGATGTGGAGAGTGTAAAGAAGTGTGCAAAGCGTTTGAGCGTGGCGCCCGTTGTTTTTGGGGATAATTGACTATAGCTGGCTGAAGGATCGGAGAATATTGGAGCGTCTGTGAATTTTTCAAATTGATCTTTTTGCGCCTGAAGTTACATGGCCGACGTATGATGGCTATTTGGGTCTGGCTTTGAGGGGGAGGAGGGGTTGACGGTGTTTGAGGATTGAATGATGAATGGATGATGATGGGACCACCGGCAAATGTCGACACCAGCGAGCACGAGTTTTCGTACCCACGGCTGCGTACGTACCTATCAAGCGAGAACTCCTCCAAATCTTGATTGACTCTCGCGCGCGCAAAAGAATGTCGCTGTAGAAAGAGGGGAGGGGATGAAACGGCGGCAGCATTGCGTGATAAACCATGTCTTGTTGCGTTTTATCCCCTTGTCTATGCAGTGCAGATCATGGTATAGCATAGCATAGCATTCCGCTCGAGTGCGCAACTGTCAAATGGCGGAAGACCCTGGTCCTCGACTGTAGATACAATACAACATCTTCTGAGGAAGGCTATGACTAGCCGTGTTTTGTTCCATACTCTTTCTCCCTGTCCCTGTGCTATGCTCTTGGATGCCGTTTCCTCGCACGGTACCGCCTCTGTCTGTCGTTATTCCCTCTCGCTCTTAAAAGCGACGTTTGCGTAGCCTTATGAATTGATTTTTGGCGTTGCTGGTCGGTTGTTTCCCGACTTCTGTTCCCCATGACGTGGGATATCGTCGCCTCGCTGCAGCAAGCCCATTGAGAGTAGGTAGGTAGAAGCCTAGGGGCGATGAGGTTGAGGCATTGGTACGTGTGCACCTCTTCTGCAGCTAGCAGCCGCCATTGTCGTACTGCGTCGAGGCAAGTGCGATCCGAATGTCGGTGCTAGAATGACAGGTGACGTGATCAGACGCGTTCCTATCCAACTGGCAAGGCCCGCGTCCATGCTACCGGCAGTAAGACAACGAGTTGCCTTGTGTCCAGCTCTTGTGCTCCTTCCTCATCACATCATCAACTACCTCCCCTCCATATCAGTGTCGTCAAGGCTACTCAGCTCACCTTCGAGGTCCCAAGCTCCGTCGCCGCCGGTACCACCTCCACTGCCCAGCATGGGAAAGTCTACTTTCCGGCTCTCGATGCCCTCGGCCGCCTTCAGCAGACTACCGACTGCACTCTCCAAGATGCCGCTCGCAATCTCCAAGAACTCTGCACTCTTGTTGCTGACCCGCAGCGTCCATCGATACTCCATCAGGCGCCGCTGATAGAACTCGGCCTCGTCCTGCGAGACGGAGGTGACGAAACACAAGCCGGCAAAGGTACCGATGAGGGCAAAGTTGAACTTGCTGCAGAAATACCAGAAGCTTTGCAGGTGTTCGGGTTTGAGACGATTGAAGAAGTCCATTGCGCTGATGAGGCGGGCCTTTGCGGCGGATCGGCAGATCTGAATGAGGTACGGATCTGTCGAAGGACTCAACGAGCGCAGAATACGGCGGTGCAGGGTGATCTCGGTGGCGAAGTATGCGAGATGCAGGTAGCCGACTGAAGACAAGACACCAGAGCGGGTGGCATCCATCCGCAGGTTTTCGGGGAGTTCTGACCACCACGTCTTCAGGCGCACCTGAATTGGCTTGGCGCGCTCGAGCACGGCCTTGGTCGGGTCGTAGGAATGTGTGATGTCTAATTCGGCTTGTAATGAGTACAGCTGTTCAAGGATGGAGCTGAGCATTTTGGAGAGGGAGATGAGCTCATTGAAAAGAGTACGGCCCTTCTCCACTTCGGCGACAATGTCTTCCTCCTCGCCAACGGCATCGTCAGGAAAGTCTTCGGAGGACACAGGCTGCACGGCCCAGTTGCTCAGAGCGATGTGTGGTGGGCGGGCATAGATGAGAGCAGACCAGGTGTCTTGATTGAACAGGGCCCACGCAAGCCGCTTACGGAGGGCACGCTCCCAGACGGGAATACGCCAGGAGGAACAGTCGAGATGGAGGCCTAGATCTTGGCCGATGGCGACGATCTGGCAGGTGAGTTGCCACGAGCTTATGCTGCCGGGACGCTGCAGTAGAAGCAAACCCGCTTGGACGGTAGAGACTTTTGGGCGCTGGGAGGTTTCTTGCAGAGAGCGAAAGGCAATGTCTTCGAGGAGGGTGATGTCGGGTTTGACGTGGCCGCGGAGTTCGGGGGAGTATGACCACCAATTCAGTGCGAGAATGTAGACAGCGGCAAGGAGGGGAGGGGAGAAGACACGGTATGAGCGGGCGTAGCGCTCGAGGTACAAGTCCTTCTGCAGGATAGGGAAGCTGGGATGAACGATGCGGAAGTAGAGGCGAATGAGGGCGGAGCCGTGGGGTGCTACAATGCTCTCGATCTGGTCGACGTCACGCAGATCTTGGGATTGGTTGGGCTGGTCAGCGTCGGCAAACTGGTGGAAGAACTCGGACGGGCCGACTTTGCGGAAGGTGCCTTGCTCGGCGACGGCTTCGTCGTGGTCGTCGTCGTAGAGGCGGAGGTCGAGGAGGGCATAATCGTGCTCGTCGGTGGGGCCGATGTACTTGGCATATTGCTGGATTTGCAGACTGGTCATGGTTCAATCAAAGGCAGACAGGAGACAAGGTTTGGGAGACGCGACATACCCGAGTGTTTGTCTGGCCAGGAGGTCAGAGGTGTAAGAGGGCGCTGGTGGGTTCAAAGTGGAATGGTGAGGAGCTCCGTCGGGCAGGTTTCTGTTATCAAGAGAGGCTTGGGGTCAGGGCTTAAAACTTCGCGGATAATGATAAAGGAACTGCTCAGCATTGGAGCATCTTACAGGTGGTATCGATTGGCCGCGGCCTCCACGTTGATAGCCGCTCGCGTGGCCGGGGTGGTGTCGGCCGAGGAATCAGTGCCTGGGCTGGTAAAGGTGCAGGACTGCCGGTTTTCGAGACAGGTCATACACGAAGTTGAGCTGGGGAGGAGCGTGCAGCGGGTCTGACGTCGCCGGCACGCGTCACAGGGCACGGGGGGCGGCGTCGGCACAAAGTCGACGGGCGGATCGGCGTGGATGCTCATGCTTGAGGCGTGCGATACACGGGACCTGCATGGTCCAGTATCGGTGAGGTGTAGACTATGCAGACGGCGGTCTTTGTACTATCTATCGCGTCCAAGCGTCGAAACGTCAAAACCCTGGTCGCCGGTGACGAGTGGTTAAGCCTCGGGGCAGACCCGCATCCGCCTGCAACACGACTGGCAGTTCAGCCCACGGCCACACTCCCACGCAGCTACATAGAGCCCTGGGGCCGGTTCAGCAATCTATCTCGTAACGATTGCTTGAAAGAGGAGCCTGGCGAGTGGCCTTCCCACCACCTTGGTGCCCATGGGGTCGCATGGGTCGCATGGGTCGCATGGGCTATCTGCGCTCTTATCGCGACCTAATCATGCGTACCCTGATTGGTGGGCGGCTATAAGTGTTACACAGACGTCGACTCAGATCTTTCGAGCTGTTGGAGCTCCGAAGCCTTGTGTCACCAGCTCTAGTCTAGGCTGTTTCAGGTAAAGGCCACCGTGATCAGTCTCGGTACTCCTTGTCCACCCGACGGTAGTGTTCCGACACATACGATCTGTCATCGTCTTCCTCGCGGTGTCGGTGACGGCGACGATGCCTCCTGTGCCGCCTCTCACGCTCCGGCTCCGGCTCCGGTGATGGTGACCGAGCCGGCGATGGTGCTCGTTGTGGTGAGTATGGCCTACTGCGTCGATCGAAATCCCGATTGATGTCCTCCTCATAATATCTCTCCCGTCGCTCGTAGTCTACTTCCTCATCGTGGTTTTTCTTATGTCGTCTCTTACTACGAGACCGCGGAATGGTCCTGCTGACAAGACTGGTCCGCCCGTCAAAGTCCTCGTCCAACCGTTCACCGCGGTGGTCGATCAAATACTGTCCAGCCAACGCCGCTTCAGTCCCAGGGCGTTCGTGTCGCCTCTCCGTGGCGTCATGGTCTCTGATCTGCGTTTTGTGGAATCCGATGCTGCGTTCATGACGCCGAGTATCAGACGATGGAGAATGTTCATGTCGGAAGGCGCTGGGCATCCGCCGCGGAGCCATCGGTGCGTCTGGCATGTCCCGTTCCACCTCCAATGCTCGGCCTCGTTCTCGGCGACTGTACACGCTCCGTCGATCGTCCTCGGGGTCTTCAGTCACCTGAACTTGCATCATCGCATCAACAATACTTCTGCTTCTTCCTATTGATTTCTCTCTCGGTCGGGGTGCTGTCACAACCTCGTAGTCGTATCGACCACGTGGGCCTCCAGTCTCAATGATGATCGCGCCAGACTCGCTTCGCTCAGGCCGAATGATTTCCCACTCAGTCAGATCTCGATCCCTGCTATCAAGAATGATGGCATTGCCGGATCTTCCATATGGCTCGTCTCGGTCAACAAAGTCGTACTCGGTTCTGGTGTTATGTCGGGGTCTAGGTGCCAGTGCCATCTCTTGTTGCCTGATGCTGCCATGATCACTCTGTGTTGATATCCGCTCAAGGTAATCACCGGATCGTCGTGGCCCACGTTCATCATCGTAACCGTAGTCGTGTCGCCTGTAGCGGCGGTTATCATTTTCAGCCTCATAAACATCCTGATCCCGGATACGGGATTTGTAGACAACTTTGTACTCTCGGTCGGCCATTCCGCAACATTCATCAATGACTTCGTATCTACCGCCGTTTCTGATTCATGAAAGGTTGTCGCGGCGAGTGTCAGCTGAAACACGCCTGAACGCCTCGGGCTGCACAATGGGCGTTGGCGGGCTTGGAAATGACGTCGTCTGGCAAGCGGCCCAACGCCAACTCATCAATTGGAACGGCGGTGTGTGAGGGCAAACAACGTTCGAAATCTCTAGGAGAATCGTATGCTGAAATTTCTCCAGTGGTATCATGCTCAAACAGGTGGGAAGGGCGTGAGGCTGGTGATGCAGCACCACAGCAGCGATTTCATTCCTGTTCTCGGAAGGGCCTGCTTCAGTTGAAACGAAAGGCGCGACCATGTTTATTGTAAATCTAGATAGATTGGCAGGTGCCAGCAATGCTGGGAAAGAAGATGCAGGATACAGATGCCTTGCTAAAGACGTCCACTCTCATACTCTTGTCGGATCTTCCATTGATTCTAATCGACACTTCATCGACGCTTCGGCGATGCAGCAGCTGGCACGGCTTCCAACCCAGGACCCGCCTCGCCCCAAACGCCCTCTTGCCTCCTTGCCCAATCATTATAGAGCGTACAGGTCTCCAGCACCTCCACCGGCACATCATTCTTCATAGCTTGGAGCTCGTCCGCCCTCTCAATGAGCGAGGTTACCATTCCCGCGGCCAGATGCCACGCTAGATGGCAGTGAATCGGCCACACTCCGGGATTGTCGGCCTCGTACTGCAAAACCACATAGTTGGGACCAATGTTCGGGTCACTCGCGTTGGCACCGAAATGCATCGCTTGGACGTCTCTCCTCAGAGGGTTTATGGGGTTCGTAATCGTTCCGTCCCACTCTCCAACACCCTGAGCCAGAACCTGGAAGTCGTGGCCGTGCAGATGCATAGGATGAGGTGGCAAGAATTCGGAAACGAGAACAAGCCGAACTATACGTGCCGAGTACGTCGAATAGACATGATTCTCAGGCGGAAACGTTGTAACGCCGTCCAGAACCGAGTGCAGGAGTGGCTGGCCATAAAGATTGGAAGAGTCGAAAGTTTGGTTGTTGATAACATAGCGAAGATGGCCCGCCGGAAAGAAAACGGCATTCAGGTGTAGACTTAGCGTGAGGTCGGGAGCTTGTACCGGCATAGAATAGACAGGATGAAGCAGTGAGATGTCACCAGTATCGCACACAGGGTTGGCGGGATGAGCAATGCCGACTGATTGAGGAGCGGTTTCGGCCGGTGCGTTTGGATAGGCGATGATAGCTAGCGCATCGCTGTCCGCTTGGGTGTCGGAGCATATCTCGCTGTTTGAAGCTCGAAGCCAATACGATTGCGTTGAATCTGCCGAGGCCGTAAATATCACATCGATCCTTTGCCCAACGGAGAGAACCAATTTGTCCACTTGATGGGGCTCCACGGGCACGAAATCCACAGCCATGACAGTGAAGGCATGACTGTCTAGAGAGACCGTGAAGAACGAGCTGCTGCCAGTGTTGACGAAACGCATCCGATAGGTTTTGCCGGCTTCTACATCCCACCGCTTATAAGGCACGTTATCCGTGCAAGGGGTACCATCCGTGATATCAGTGCAGGGGTACCGACCCGCGCCCGCTAGGAGATTCGAATCCGCTAACGGTCTTATGTCGTCCAGCTGAGTAGAAGGCCCGAGAGCCTTCTCGAGCAGATCAGTAAAACAACCATGGTACCAATCAGAGATCAGAACCGGACCCAGATCTTCGTCATACTCAACGTGATCACTCGGGCCATGAACCACGATAGGTCCGACAATGCCCTGGGTATATTGAGCAGAGACGTGTGAGTGATACCAAGACGTTCCGTATTCATCTGCCCGAAAACGATATGTTAAGTTGTGTCCTGGAATGAGCGGACACTGGCTGGTTATTGGAACACCGTCAAACCAAGGTGTGCCAGGCATGTTGAAACCATGCCAGTGAATACTAGTGGGCTCCTCGGGGTCTCGAATGTCGTTCACGATGTTGACTTCAACCCAGTCGCCCCAGTTTGCCTCGATCAGAGGGCCTGGAAACTGTCCATTGACCAATATTGAAGCTCTGTCCACACCATCAGGGGCGATTGTAGCGCGAGCGATCGTGAAGTCGTAGTACCGTATCTCCCCTGTATCGGGAACATCGTGCTGTGGATGGGTGCCTTGTACAGTTCTTCCCTTCCAGGGGCATTCCCCGCCCTACAAGTCTCAGCAGGGGAAAAGATACCTTGGGAAAACCATACACCAACCCAGCGACTGAGCCCTGATACCCCATGTGAGCCAAGGGCCGCGGATAGGACAAGAGCTGTAATGAAGTACATGGCAAGTATGCTGATTGGCCAAGCTGCAGCTCACTTCTTGAGGACACTGGCACGGCCTCTGTCGTAACGATGACAGCCGGCCATCTTATATACATAAGACACTGATGAAGAATATCTCGGCGGCTGCATGTTGCACCACTAGCCGCAAGACTCATGTCAAGCAGCCATGGGCACATGTAGCAACACTAGCTCGACTAGGGCTGATGGCGCGCTGATAGATCTCCCGCGTTTGTGCATCTGTAGGATGAGAAGAAGTAAGGTAATATAAGGCCACCTATTGATGCGACTCGACCCGTATTCGGAGGGCCGTAAGTGCACGTGTTGTAGGGAAGCGTTTGCGCATAAACACGACCCAGGAAGCTCACATATTGGGTGCTGAACTAGGTAACGAGTGAGTCCTGTTGCGACCTTTGGTGGCCGGTCTCGAGACTGTGTCGTCGTTCTTAGGCAGTCGACATTTGGTCTGGACCAGATATCAGCAGTAAGAAGCGAGCTCTGACGCGTGTAGTGGCCAGCTAGCAGTGTGCTGGATACAACAGCAGGTTCTCGCAGCAAGACGGACCTGTAATGTCAATTCATCTTGGACAGCCCTGCTCACTTTGCTGTTCAGCCTCGCTAAACGAGCAGCACGCCTGATATGATCATTGTGTGAATGTCACGAGAGGAACGCCGACCTCGGGAAGTCTGGACTCGGCGGCTAAGAGTTTCAGTCGAGGAGAGGAATGCGAGCCGAAGGGGGTGGTGGCCTATCTTCCATCGCAGTCCAGTCATCTGCGAATCACCAAGAAAAAATGCCTATTGCCTTGCGAAAGAAAGGCTGGCCATTCATTTAATGGGCGTCGACCCTGGGTTAAGCCTAAGAAGGCCTTACAGTGAAGCGAGGCGATTTGAACTGGAGCAACTAAGAGAACAGGGGAAATAAGAGCCAGATCTGTCAGGCGGCACGTAAGATCGTCTGAACCACGGACAGGCTATGGTAATCCTTCAATGTGATGTGGCATCCGATCAATTAATAGGTCTGGCCAAGCACCGCCCGAGAAGACCCAATATCAGAGCCCGCAGACTGTAATAAAGAGTGACTGGAGAAACCTCCAGTGTCAATCAGGCCCATTCTCGTGGTTTGCGCAAGACGTCCATTAGTTCGCGTTCCTTTTCGGTCGTAGCGTCGGCTGGTTCAACGGGCTCTTCGACTCCAGTACCACACACTGGGTGCATGTATTCCCATCGTGCAGTCAAAGGGAGACTCATCAAAATGCTCTCAATGCGGGCACCCGGCGTCCTGAGTCCAAAGCTAGTTCCTCGATCGTTGATCAGGTTGAACTCGACGTATCGACCGCGCCGAATTTGCTGCCAGATCTTCTGCTGAGGTAGATACGGCATGTTCATTCTTTTCTTCACAATTGGGAGGTACGATGGCAAGAAAGACTCTAGACCACTCACACAAAATTGGAACAGATCCTCTTGGGGATTTTTGGCGGAAGGTTGAGTAGTCGCATCGAGATCATCAAAGAAGATGCCACCGATGCCACGCGATTCTCCTCTATGTGGAATGGTAAAGTAGTTGTCGCACCACTTTTTGAACTTAGGATAGTAGTCCTTATCGTGCTTGTCACAAGCGGCCTTGAGAGTCTTGTGGAAGTGTTTTGCATCCTCTTCGAATAGGTAGCAAGGCGTCAAGTCCGTCCCTCCTCCAAACCACCAGTTTTGGGGAGCGGAGCCAGTGGCATTTACAGGATCTCGGGGGTCGGAAGTTTCGAAGTAACGGTAGTTCAGGTGGACGGTAGGAGCCATAGGATTATGTGGATGAAGCACGAGAGATATACCGGCTGCGAAGAAGTTGAGCTTCTCGACGTTAGAATCCACAAAGGTTTTGTGATCGGCCCTCATCTTCTCAATTGCGGACCGTGGTAGTTCGCCGTAGACCACAGAGACATTGACACCCGCCTTTTCGAAGACGTTCCCGTCTTGAAGTACGCATGAAATGCCTCCGCCACCATGCGGTCTATCCCACTCGTCTCTCTCGAACCTTTTCCCATCGATGTTCTCAAGGGCAAAAACGATTCGATTTTGGTGTTCCTTGATCAGAGCTTCCATTCGAAGACGCATCGGTGAATGTCTCGTTATTGGTGTCCTCTTCTTCGTAATCTCATCAACCTCGGCAAGAGAGGTGGTCTGTAAGGGTGGGCCATCCAAATGAACAGTGTCAGTCGAATACGTAGAATAGAGAAGAGTTGCGAATGTCGTGCACGCTGCAATGGTTGCGAGGTATGAACGCCTTGACGGGCGTAACGTCTGGTGGATCAATGAAGGGCGAGAAAACAGGGTTCGGTTCGAGGAGAACGAGCGTCTAGGAGTACAAGAGCAGTAGCTCGTTGGTTGCAGTCGCTGCGGGCGCAGTGCTCGCGTGGCAGGTCGGACGGACATTGCTGCCTTTGATGCTGTATGGTGAGAGGAAGGATGGACTAATAGAACACAAATGCAACGAAAAAACTTTTTGGCACCATTTTATACCGTCCGGAACGCAAAAGAGGTGGTCACGCAACTGGTAGCTTTGGGAGAATCGCGTGGAGGTGGACTGACTGATGAACATTGGGCTCGAGGCTGCATCATTGGCACCCGTGGCCTACCGTACCGTACTGCAACTCCGTTCGACGCCCCGCGACAGGCGCCCACACCTAGGTACTGGGTTGAGCCACGCTCGGGCGTAAGTCGTGCCGGGATCAGCCAGCTCGGACGGCTGTAGGTCTCACCGTATGTGACTGGGGCTGAAGACATCACGTGGCCGCCGACAAAGACGAGGTGTTGCGGGCGACTGACCACAAAAGAAGACTGATAAAGAAGAGTGTGGCCAAAAGACCTGGTGCCAGCTGATTGGAAATCCGAGTATAGATAGCTGTAATGGGAATCTAGGCGACCGGGGTGACGAATGTTGGCAGGAATGACTGTTGCACTGTAGCCTTATTGAGTGCCCGTGACTGGTTCGCCCCGCATTGAGTTGTTGCCTGGGCTGTGGCCGCTTCACCTCCCACTTCTAACCATCCTCACCGACACCTACCAATCTGTCCCTCCTCGTTATACCGATCGCCTAAAATACTATTCGCATCCGACTACCTCCCTATCGACGACAAACCTCACCATGCGTTCCAAGTTCAAGGATGAGCACCCGTTCGAGAAGCGCAAGGCGGAAGCGGAACGCATTCGTCAGAAGTACTCCGACCGTATCCCTGTAAGCCGCGCATTCTCTTTGTGAGTTTACCTGTCGCTGATGGTGCTCCAGGTCATCTGCGAGAAGGTCGAGAAGTCTGACATCGCCACTATCGACAAGAAGAAGTACCTAGTTCCGGCCGATCTCACTGTCGGCCAGTTTGTCTACGTAATCCGCAAGCGTATCAAGCTCAGCCCTGAGAAGGCTATCTTCATCTTCGTTGATGAGGTCCTTCCTCCTACCGCTGCCCTCATGAGCAGCATCTACGAGGAGCACAAGGACGAGGATGGCTTCTTGTATATCACGTAAGTCGTCCCCCCTTCCAATAGGGTGACAGCACTAACCGCCTCATAGATACTCGGGCGAGAACACATTCGGTCAGGAGTGATTGACCTGCGGAGTGGACACTTCCACAGCCGACACGATTGCGAACGAGACGAGACTACTGATACCATGATGCGCGTGGATTGCGTTTGGACGGACATGTGCTGATACGGGAGTTTGGGTTTCATTTCTACCCTTCGACCGTCCACGACGATCACATCGATACTGGCAAGAACATCGGAGCCAAATGACAGGGTTAGATCAGAAATGAGGAGGTTTGAGGAGCTAGCTTGAGACCAGTCCATCATGCTGTTAGACAAGCATGCAACAAGAGCGGTTGTTCCTCCCTCCAATTGTTCTTCCCAGCTGTCATCTGTTACCCTTCTATTGGCATATCGACGATTCTGCCACCAACCAGTTCTGTTCTTTTAATAGTGCGCTAAGCGTTCCCGCAAGCTGAGCGTGCCTGTAGCCATGCTTTGGTGTTCCTGTGGTAGTCGCGGTGACTTAGAGCGGTCCTCAGACCCGCCTAGCCTCAGGGCTCAGGGCTGTGATGCAAGACTTGCCTTTGAGACCTTCTTCCCGTCACACCCATCCTCATCTTTCATTTCTCCGTGTGTGCCTTGCCTGTTCACAGACCAGGTCTTCTGCTTGGGGCCTCTTGAGGCTCAGTTGAGGGTAGTGGATTCAACCTGCACTCACCAGCTGTTCCTTCTCGACGATGACGAAAATCAGGTCTTCCGACTGGACTTGCAGTGAAGGCGCAAGCACGACTTGGCCCCTTCCGGTCCATTCTGCACCAAGTTGTGATGGCTTCTACCACCGACCTACTTCTGTGACTTACCTGAATTTGTCCGACGCACTGACCATGCCAAATGGATCTCTCCAGAAGCTACGTTAATCTGCTCGACGATCTGGACTTCTTTTCACACTGGCTGAGCTGACGCTCGTTCGACCAGTCGTGGCGGGTTTTGTCCATCGTGAGTGTGGAAGGTGCGGTGGGTGCTGTTGCTGCGGCGGGGACAACGGCCGACTGAAGATCCCCCAGCGACCCAAATTTTACCAGCCAGATACCACAAGCACTCGCCAAACGACTAGCCAGAGATCATCAACCACGCCTGCGACTGCTAGCACTGCTGCAACCTCATTTGTCACCGCAGGCTGGTCTCCTGGTGGTGAACCAGACGCAAAGACCAGAATAAGCATGGCGACAAAGTCGAAATCTGTCAACGAGAGCCGCAGCCCGCAGGTTTCCCGACCCACTCCTAGAAATTCGAGAACATTCACAAGCCCTCGCAAACCCGACTCCCATACCCGCTACACCGACAACCCTCCTCCTTACCAATCCAAGATCCGCCGTTCTACCTCTTTTACTTCGCCACTCGAACTCGGAGACCCTTCCGTGTTGACCCAGCGGCCCGATCGTCTCACCAAAAACAACCTCGAAGCACTTCTGAAAGAGTTGGACTTGGAGAAGACGCCCCACGTCCCAAACTCTGCATCCTCTAGCGCTGCGGGCGACCCAGGACCGACAATCCGGCAGGCTTCCAGTACTGCTCGTAAGGCTATGCCGAAGACAAACTTCAAGTCCCCAAAAAAGTCGGATAAGAAAAAGTCCAAGCCAGATCCTGACTCTCACCCTCTGAATTCATACATTCCCTCCGCAGCGATGTCACGCGAGGATGCTCGCTCAACTCCAATGGAGGTCGATAGCGATCCACCTACCATGAACGGCTCCTCGCAGCCTCCTACACCCTCGCATGACGCTCCAGGCGCATTCCCCGGTGATGACCCTGCCGGTCGCGAAGAGAAGAGTCCTACACCCCCTCCGCATCGAGTGCAGCCTACGCCAAAAGTCGACCCCGAAGCATGCAAAGCTGCCGGCAACAAGTTTTTCAAGGCTAAAGATTATGACCGTGCGGTGCAAGAGTATACCAAGGGTAAGAACGAATCTGTTGCGATTGTTGTATTGTGCTGACCAATTCTAGCCGTTGACGCGGATCCTTCAAACGCCACATATCTCTCAAACCGTGCAGCCGCCTACATCTCAGCAAATAAATACGATTTAGCGCTATCGGACTCATTACAAGCTAACAGACTTGAACCCAGTAACGAGAAGATCTTGCATAGGCTGGCCCGAGTATATACTTCGCTAGGCCGGCCACAAGATGCCCTTGACACTTACTCTCGCATTCAGAATGCCTCTTCTACCGACACTGCCGCTGCTCGCAAGGCTTTGTCGTCGATAGAGGTTGCCGAGAAGCAGATCGAGGCGGAAGATGGCAATGGCAACATGGCGTTATGGAGCATCGATCAAGCGAAGCAAACGCTCGGTTACGACACACCCATGCCTCGAAACTGGCAAGTTCTACGGGCAAAGGCTAATCTCAAGATTGGCACCATCAATGCTCTCGGAGAGGTCCAAGGTCTCACCCAAGGCTTGATGCGTCAGAATCCGAACGATGCTGAGGCTATTGTTCTAGCGGCTCGTTCTTTCTATCTGAAGGATGAAAAGTTGGGTGGCAAGTCAGACTACGATCGAGCTGAGCAGTACTTTCGCCAAGCTCTCTCGCTGGATCCTGACAACTCCGATGCGCGAACCTGGCTACGGACGATGAAGAAACTTGATCGCGCTCGCAACGAGGCCAATGACATGTTCAAAAAGGGTCGCTTCTCAGATGCCGTTGACATGTATACTGATGCTGTGAAGATCGACTCGAAGAATCGCGTCACAAACGCCAAGCTCATCTGCAATCGCGCTCTTTGCCGGATGAGGCTCAAGGAGTACGAGCTCGCCCGAGACGACTGCGACCAGGCATTGAAGCTCGATCCTACCTACACCAAGGCTAAGCGAACAAGAGCGAAAGCTACTGGTGAATCAGGCGATTGGGAGCAAGCCGTAAAGGATCTCAAGGCTCTGTCAGAGGAGAATGCAGGAGACCACGATATCGCCAAAGAGCTACGCAACGCTGAGCTCGAGCTGAAAAAGTCCAAGCGCAAGGACTATTACAAGATTCTTGGTGTAGACAAGGACGCCGGCGACAAGGATATTGAGCGTGCGTACAAGAAGAAGGCTGCTCTCTATCATCCCGACAAGACCCAAGGCGACAAGGAGAAGGAAGCCATCTTCAAGGACTGTCTCGAAGCCAAGGAGATCCTGACCGATCCCCAGAAGAGAACCATGTATGATCAAGGTATCGACCCCAACGATCCCACGAGCGGTATGGGTGCTGGTGGCGGCGGCTTCCCCGGAGGCATGGGCGGAGCTGGAGGTGTGCAGATCGATCCCGAGATTCTCATGCAGATGTTTGGCAGTCAGATGGGTGGTGGAGGACGTGGTGGAGGATTTGGCGGTGGTGGAATGCCACACTTCTCCTTCCAGCAGGGTGGTCCTGGCGGTATGGGTGGCGGACGAGGTGGCTTCCCGTTCTGAAAGCCCACACGCATTGAGGCTTTCATCAGAAATTGCGGTTACGGGCGATCCCTGAAGCAGAGTGACCTCCGTCACGACTCGAACGATGCATCTTCGGAACTTCATGAAGGCACGTGGAGAATACCTGTACCCTGCTAAAAAGGAGGTATGTCCCAAGATCACAAAAGCTCTTCCTTACATTTCGGCAATGTGGTTCTTCACTCGGGAGGGTCCGGAATCAAGATACGACATGCTGTCATTGGCCGTTGTCGCATCGATTCAAGGGGTGCACGACTCGAGAACTGGTTTCCATCAAGACAACAAACGGGACACTCGATGGGCGGGCTGCGTCGTTCCACCAGGCCTCAGATTTAAGGATTGAAACGACAACAAAGACTTGACTCCAGATGGAGTAATTGGGCACCACGACACTCGCATAGCGCGGCGTGTTCAGAATGGATGAATGCTGCGAGCTTCGCGTCTCGCGTCTCGCGGCGTACCCGCAAGCTGATAGAGGCATACATTGCATAGGAATGGCGTCTAATATCAGAGCTTCAGACCCTGAGTCAGGCAGTAGAAAATAAATACCTGGCGGTTCCCAGCATAATTATTCCCTTGGCTTATCTACTTCTGACGTGGGAGCTAGAGATCGAATGATTTCTACATGGTATCTTCTCGTGACAGCGAGAGAAGGCGGCAAGAACTACGAAGCCTGTTTTCGGTCAACTCACGTAGAGTTGAAATGATCATAACTTGAGCGAAGGCTCGGTTAATGGTTTACTGGCTTCTATTTCGCTGCTCGGTCCTCGCGCCAGCTGACCCCTCCCGGAAAGAGGGGCGCATCATAGTAATCTCAGGCCTAAGCGTAGACATCTCGATGACGACATCTGCTGCCATGTTTCGATCCTCAATCGATCCGTGGTAAGTCGATGAGGACAACGGCGATGCAAACAACAGGTGTCTGAGGTCGTCTGTCGCACCGTGGGGCGCATGACCTTCTCGTCTGTTGCTGTTCCACGTCTGGACACTGATGAGAGTGACATGCAGTGGGACAGGCCAATCGAAAGGGCAACAGCGTATGTGGGGTGTTATGCGTCTCCGCCTTGCGCAACGCTTGCCAGGGCAGGCTCATCTGCTTTGCAGCGGCTAGGAGTAAGGAGTACTCCATGGTGGCAGGCCATGCTTATAGTGGTGAAGAACGCTTCCAGGGAGCCGTCGATGTTGCTTATGGTCGCTTTCTTTCAAGAACCACCAGTTCCCTGCTGCCGACCAGCCATGATCACATCTCCATATTCCTGCGCGCTCCATTCTCGATCTACCACAAACTCCCACGCTCGCACCATCTCGTCCTGCGCCTTCTTGGTCTTCCACTCGCCAGGCTGCGGGCCCTTCTCATTCTTGTTGGTGCCGTTGTACTCACCGCCGTAACCTTGCTGGGCGAAGCTCAGACCCGCATTGCCGGAATCTGTGAAAGAGGACATGTTGCCGGGTTCTTGTGCCCCGTTGGCACCACCAGCGGAGACAGGCCCATTGCCATTGAGTGCACCTGTGACGGCGTCGGCCGAGGCGTTGCCTTGAGAGCGGGGAGGTGATAGTTCACCAGGAGCAGCGGCGTTCAGGTGGTCATTGCGAGGTGGTGTTTGTGGAGCGGCGTGCGAGGTGCCTTCGGGAAAGAGATCGACTTCGGTGTCTTCCATCAAGGTGGCCGGCGAGGTTTCTGGCGTATTTGTGCGGACTGGATCGAAAATGGAGATCTCAGCGTATGGAGAATTTGAGGATGCTGACGGAGGAGGATGCGAGGTTTTGGGCTTTTTGGATGGGTGGTCGGTGTTCGAGAAGGACATGATAAAGTTGCTGATCGCGTTGGAGATGGGCGTACTGCAGGTGCGGGGTGGTGCGCCTTGCGGGGTGGGTACGAGGCTCTCTGTTTTGGGGGGCCAAGTGCTACGGAGGGCCAGCTTGATGAGAATGTGGATAAGTAACCTGCGATTTGATGACTGACGTGAAGTCTTGATAACACATTCCTACTGACAAGGATTTGGAAAACCTGCACGGGCGAAGACAGCGCGCCAGAGCTTCTCACGTATCCGCCCGGGTGGTTGCCTGGTAGGGCTGGAAAGACCTGTGCAACCAGCTTGTTGCCTTGCTGACTCTGATTAATTGCTGAGAGCATTTGCTAACGCCGGATCGATAGTTCTCGGCCTGCGGTAGTCCTCTTGAGTGTTGCGAATATTATACACCAAGTCGCGCAGCACGCGTGATTAGATAGTACAAAGTAGAATCCCACTCTTGTGAGCACTGGTGCAGTCTCCAACGTCAACACGCAGATCATCAGACTGTGCGTGATAGCTCTCATCGCCTGCCATCTTGGACGCCCTTCGTCTCGCCAGCAGAGAATAACGTGTTGATATTCAGATCACCTCCCGACGAGCAAGATTTATCGCCGCAGCTCACTCAATATCGACTCATTAGCCAAACTCGCCTTGATTGTTCTTCCATGGCTCCCAGTTTCGCTAATTCAGACTCTCGCACAGCCAAATAGTCCTCTACCAGACTCTCGCCCAGAGCGGCCTTGAGCACGGTGCTCTGCTTCAAAGCAAACAGACTCTCTTTCAGGCTGTGAGGTAGCTTTTTGGTAATGCCCAAGCGCGCCCTCGCCTCATCATCCATCGACGAAGGATCGCCTACACAGTCGCGATGTTCCAAGATGAGCTCCTGCCGAACACCATACAACCCAGCAGCAAGCAGAGCCGCGATCGATAGATATGTGTTACCCATACCGTCAATTGTTTTCAGTTCCCAATGGCCTGGAGCGATGCCACGCAAAGGAACTTCCTTATTTTGATAGCCCCACGCGACGTATTCCCCACCAGCCCAGACACTTGACGCAACCCGACCATAAGACTCCTCAGTGGGTAATGTGAAGGCAAGAATGGCGGGTAGGTGCTCCAGTACTCCCGCCAAGAATGGATCAGCATAGCGTTCAACGACACCAGGACCATTGAGAGAGAAGTGCGCATGCTGCGCTGAACCTGCAGTCATGGCGTATGGGCGAGGATACATCGTGGCCTTGAGACCATGCGCCTTTGCAATGTTCTGGATGACACTCTTGGCTTTGTTGAGCATGTCGACAGCCTTGACAGGCTCAGTGCATGGTAGGGGAAATTCCCACTGCCCAGTAGCGTTCTCTGCATGGAATTGGAGCACAGTGATGTCAATAGAAGCTAGAGCGTCCACGATCTCTTCAACTATTGGTAGAGTGTCCAGGTCAGAGTAAGTCAAGTTGCACCAAGAGTGTAGTGTATGCAGTGGCTCGAAATCGATTATGTCACGCCCGTTGGTGGCAAGAACGGGTCGGGTAAAAACGATCTCAATCTCGAATCCAACGAGGATGCTGATGTCGTACTCGGACTTCAAGGTATTGACTTGATGTTGTAGGGCCCAACGAGGGCATCGATCCCAATGCCGGCGAACAGGAGTGTCAAAAGTGTCTTGCATCCACCAAGTCTGGACAGTAGCAGAAGGTGAGGAAATCCCTCTATTCAGCGACAGACTGGATAGATCAGGGAGCAGCAGGAACTGTCCAGTCGTATTCATGCCGGTTGCCGGCATATCATCCTGCAAGAGTCGGCTGATAGCAACAGTCGTGTAACATAGCTTGCCAGAGGTCAGTTGCTTTCGAAACTGGTCGAGTGGGACCATTCGCATACGCATCGTTCCTGTGTAGTCGCACATCTGAAGCCAAATGTACTTGAGTCCCGCATTAGCTTCAAGGAAAGCCTCGAAAGCGGCAATGTTATCGGCGGAAGTGGGCAGGGATAAATCCTCTTGGTCAGGGGTTGCCGTATGTGGATGACGAAAAAGTGCATTTTCCTGCACCGGCGTTGATGTCTCAGCCCTGGAAGCAGGGGTTGGTCGTGAACTGCTCTGTATCGACGACTCAACTGCGGTACTAGCGTACGACATGTAAGAACCTGGCTTTGAGCTGCCATTGACAATCGTCCTAACACTTCCATGGTTCACTTGGCCCAGAGCCCGCATCAGTTCGGGAAATCTTCTTTCTTCATCGAGCTTGTACAGGGTATTTGAGTTCCAAAACATGATATCCACTGCCATATGAATCGCATGAGGGATTGAGATATCTCCCTCAGCAACGTACTCGAGTAAAACTTTCTCCAAAGTTGCGCGAAACTGCTGGTTGGCCAGCCAGTATGTTTCGGGATAAAAGTGGCCATCTGTGCTCCACAATATCTTCGACGTAGGCGAAAGCTCTAGAGCTTCTCGCAACATCCGCTCTTCGCCCTCTCGCGAGAGCATTGGAAAGACTTCACCGATGTCGAGCCAGGCATTGCTGTATGCTGAGGCTAGATATCCCGCTTCGCGAGTGTAGGGGTACGACGAATGAAGAATGACGAAATCGACATGTGGGAAAGCTTCGATTAACGGCTGCATGTAGGCGGGATTGGCTTTCACCAGGTTGATGTCATTGTCACCAAGACCAGTGTGGAATTGAAAAGGGAGGTTCTCGCCATCAGTGTCAACCAGCTTGTCCAAGACATCGCAGACGGCTACAACGAGATAGTCGTTGACCTCTTTTCGCTGAATGCGATAGTTGTGGTCGCGTACAGCGCTTTGCATGAATTCGTGAAACGCTGTAAGCAGGTTTGATCCGGTCAAAGACTGATGCGGTCTGAAATTATTTCGGCTGTCCAACGCCACGTCTAGACCACTTCGATAGCAAATGACGGATTTGAATCCGCGAACGTCAGGATCATTGGCCAGAGTCCTAACCTGGTTCCTGAAGACGGTATTGAATCTCACAAGGAATGACTCGGTCTGCGAAATGTCCCAGTCAGCATCGAGGCCAACTTTGAGAAACCCAGCTGCGATGGCCAGTTGCTCAAGAAGCTCGGTGGCTATAGCTTCGATGCGGACGATTCGGTAGACGGAAGAAACCATCTGTCTGTGCCATTTGTAGGGGTAGACGACCTGTGGAGAAAGGCCGTCGTCCATCAGGATCGTATGTGTGCCCTCCAAACACTTCTTGACCAGAGAATGATAGTCACGTCGAATCCACTCGTACCGGCAGGCTTTAACGTCTGATGCCGTACCCGGACATTGATAGAGGTCGCCTAGCTGCTTGATTCCTCGAATATGCGAGAGGCTTGTGTGGACATGGTCCAAGAGGGCATGACCTTGTGCCTCGGATGTGATGCCCTCAAATGGATGATCCGCACTGCCGTAGGCATTGTCTTCCGTCAAAATGTTATGTGCATGGTTATCAATGACTGGGTATGTCCTTATGACTTGCCGCAGGTCTTCTTCGGTGGCATTGTCGATGTCTGAGATGTGGTGCAGACTTGGATAGGTTTCGGGAGCGGGCGGCATGGTGGAAGGAGCGATCGAGGGTTTTAACACGTCTGTGGCTCGATGGTGAAGTATTTGAGACTTCGATGCAAGCATACGGGAGGCCGTTCAGGCCAGCCACTGCCGGTTGATCACTCAGCTTATTGGGGTAGCTCTGATAATGTGCTTACAGCCTACAAACAATCAGAAAGGAGGGGTCGCAGCGATAGTGACGCGTCCGTAAGTCAAGAACAACAGGATCGAGGTGCGAAGACAAGATGTGCACAACGAGTCGCTGGTGGTTGGAAGGTGCAACGTGCTTTCTCTGAACCGTGTTGTCGCGCGCCAGGAAGGCAGGGCAATGATAAGGGACGGGCTTTACTCCGTACAGGCTCGACAGGGTCTCTGGGGCAGCTTCCACTTAAGCTTCCGCCAAGCCGTTGGTTCACTACTTCGGACGGGTTGAACCTTCCTTCTTCGCCCGCTCCGCTCGCCATCTCCATTGATATGGTAGATGCTGCTATTCGGCCCCCAATAGGTTTACGACCCATCTCATCAACTGCTATGTCATCCATAAAAAAGCGACCGCTCTCGCTGGACCGTGCTGTTACTCCTCCCCCAAGCAAGAAGATCCACATGGCAAGCAACTCCGCGCACGTGGCCTCGGCGATCAATCCCCCATTGATCAAGATCGTCAGTTGGAACGTCAACGGTGTAAATGCTTTTCTCCAGAAGAAGATCTCATTCTCGCACAGTCCCGCCTCTTCGCTACGGCAAGCCCTTCGGACTCTCGGCTGGCCCCATTTCCTATGCTTGCAAGAAGTGAAAATTGCTCCGTCCGACCTGGCCACGCAGAATGGGCTACGGCAGGCCGCCAACGAGAAAGCGTTGCCCGAGGAGCCCACGTACGAAATTGTCTACTCTCTACCGCGAGATAGGTACAATGCAACGGGTTTTGGCGGCAAAGTACATGGTGTGGCTACCCTGATCCGGAAAGATTTCTATGCTTCTATCACGTCGACGAGGATCCCAGAATGGGACCGGGAGGGCCGAATTCTACTCCACGAATTCCAAAACCTAGTCCTCATCAACGGCTATTGGATCAACGGCACCGCTAATTCTTACCGTAGTCCACACACGGGCGAACCGGATGGAGATCGCCACAGCCTCAAACTTCGCTATCACAGAAAGATCCTCAACCAAGTGCTACAATATGAAAGAGCTGGTAAACTTGTGGTGCTTGTCGGAGATATGAATGTGGCTAGAGCGCACATCGATGGCTACCCCAACCTTCGCGAGTACCCTTCTCAGCATGTCCTCAATCGAAGAGATTTCAATGAGAAGTTTTTCGGACCTGAAGGGATGAATGGCGTTGATGTCTTTCGCTACTTCCATGGCAGCCAAAGGAAGTACACTTGGCACCATGCAAGCTCGCCGCATGGCACAAAATGTGACCGAGTCGACCTCATCATAGCCAGTAAGGCATTGGTCGAGGACTGGGCGGCTGTTATCGATTCCGACATCTGTGATGACGCCCAAGCAAAACAGCACAGTGACCATGTCCCGTTGTGGCTGACTCTGGATCTTTCCAAATGCCCACTCTTCGAGGTCAGAGAAATCCTAAAGGCATCATGAGTGACTCCAAACCAGCGAAAAGGCTGAGGCTCCCAGAAATCCCAGGTCCTTCACCTCCCTCGATCGCCACGGACCCATGAGACAATTCTCCCAGTCAACATCTGCACAACGTTAGCAAATCCCAACTTGGTCGTTACATGAACTCAACGCAAAGCACTAGGCGTCTCTGGAGTACATCCTGACAAAGTCATGGACGTGCTGATGAAATTGGCCTGCACTGCGACTCAAGTTTTCGGCTGCTTACCCCACCGAAAATCTGCAATGGTTAGAACAATGGACTATGCATTGAGTCGACGGGAACCAGAACTTACCTTTTGGGATAAACCACGACTGGGGGCTTCTTTGGCCAGGCAGGCTAATCCTCAGCTCTGGGGGCCAACGATGGATAATGTGCGAAACCTTTCACCAAAATCAGCCATGAAAGTCACGAATCAAGCCACTGCTCACATGTCCGCCACCATCTTCCACCTCTGCGGCCTTCCACATGCTTGCTGTCTCCATGGCCAGTATTCGAGTCGTTTTGGGCCATTCAGGATAGCCATTTGACTTGGCACGGTTGATTAGATCGATCAGATCACCATCTGAAGGTCGAAGGTGCCTTGGGTACGCCCACAGCTTTTTGACGATAGCAATGAGAAACCGAGTTCGGCCATGAACCACAGCTGATTCCAGGTGCTGGAAATTGACAACCGTGGTGTGGTCTTCGGTATCAAGTAAGGCCTCGAGTGTGAAAAGTGCAAAGAACTGCATTGCTTTGTTGTGGATTATACTGTCGATAAAGGCTTCTCGAAGGAGTTGCTTGTTGCATGAGACGCTCGGAATGTCACTCTTTCCCCTTGCCACGACATCTGAGATGTGCTGAATCAGCTTCAATTTATTCGTCGTCAGTGGCTGCCGGAGCAGATCATCTGGTATGATGCCGCCAAAATCGAGAATGGGGAAGGATACCGGCGTGAGTGAAGAAGTGGTATGTTGCGCCGATAAAGCCACCGTCAGTGGCGTCGAGATGAGGTTCAGTGGCCGACGTTTCTCGTCGCGTAGTCGAATGTTCAACTGATTCACCGGCTCAAAATCCGGGACTTGGTCAAGGAAGGCCCGTATTCTCCTCATCTGTCCTCGAGAGGGACCATCTGCTGAGTGCCAGATGCACATTCTCAGAACGGCATTCATAAAGAGTCGTCTATGAACGTGGTGCAACTGACATTGCCCAAACCACGAACTCGAGAAGACAGCCTTCCGTATCCTTTCCTGCATGTGCCTCGAATTCGACAGTTCGAGGTTGGCCAGGTGGGCATCCAGCCTGGGGTCGGTGTTTCTTACCCGTAAGTTGTCGGAGGTATGGGCTGGGAGAAGAGCCTTGAGCGCAAGATCTTTGGTGAACTCTAGATACGACGGCAATACCGAATGTAGTCGTCGGTTGACCAGCATCAAAGATGGTTCCAGGGAGTGTTCCAGTACCATCACCAGGAGTTCGGCCGGAAGGGAGTCGAGGCGAGCATTGCTCTGTTCTGGGGCCAACGGCGCAGCTTCTGCCTCCAGACGGAGTCGCTTTGTCGCCCTTTCCTCGCACATGATGCCATTATCCGTCCAAGATCGTTTCATTGCGACGGTTGAAAAGGGAAACTTTGACGTGCGGGGTTTTCAAGAATATATCATATGCGCTGGTAGGGCTGAAGCCTCGAGCCAGCCATCATCACCCCAAGAGCGAGCAGCTGGGATATCCGGATGCGGTCGACTGGACTTAAGGAACGTGGGGACATACATGAGTGGCGGACCCTGTTGCTGCATATCCATCACAGCGCGCGAGTTGCGAGGCTCGCGTGTGGAAGCGGAGCGCTTGGTAGAACCCTCCTGCGTAACGAGGAACTGTACAGTACTGAAAAGGATGGATCCAGGCTCGTCGGAAGCACGAATACGAAGCGAACGATCCAACCGAAACGGGCAAATGAGCGAAGGAAATCTGACGAGGCGGCCCTGGTCCTGGTTCCACCAGGCTCGTTCAGATGATGCTATGCCCACCCAAGGAAGCAATCGGCAGGGATACCACTTGCTCGCTCCTTAGCGGGGTCCCCGACCACAGACTTAGTCCCCGACCGCTATTATCAATGACAACTTTTCGTTGCCCCGCGACTGTCTGCCAGCCCTGGCGTGTCTGGTCAGCTTCGCAACTCGGTCAAAGCATACTGTCGAGGAATGCAAGTACACAGCTGTGTATGTCAAAGCAGCATGCAGGCTTGTTCTAAGGATTCCACTATGCCCATCCAAGGCTTCGGGAACCGAAAGTGGGGATTACTTTTGGGCCGTGAGGGAAGCGAACCGCCAGCACGCTGACTCTTTTTTCTAGTCGATGATGCACACTGATTCTCCTTCAACTATCTCAACATCCACCTGTCTCGAGTCTTGAAACAGCTCGTAAGCATCGCCAGACTAGTCAAACGCACTCTTGCAACTTTGCCATGTGGCTATCCCGCCGAAATCCTTCTCCAAGGGACCAAGCCAATCGTACCAAGACTACCCTAGTCAATGCATTGCCGCAAGAATTGCTGTGCTTGGTTATAGGCTTCGTTTACCAAAGTCCAGGATACTGCGGTCGCACCTACAATTTACTCCCAGCCTCTACGGTTTGCAAGGCATTTCGCAGAGCAGCCTTACCGCTTCTCTTCGAAACCCTTTCCGCTGTTGTACGAGACAAGGATGGTCAACGAGCACATCCATATCTCGGCAAGCTTCTTGAGCATACTGAACTGCTCAAGAATGTCAGAACTCTTCGCCTGAGAGCTCCACTTCACGAAACTATCTTGACTCAAGACCCGGCGGACGTCGATCGACGTCGTTGTGCGGATCTCGATGCTATCGAGAGAGCTTTGCACTTCATGCAACAACTGAATTCCATCAGGTGAGAGCTCTGCTTTGACAATTTAGACCCATGTTTGGCACCATTGGCGCAACCGTTGATTTCGCGACCCCCAAGTCTGGACGAGGCTTGCGAGTCCAGCCCGTTCGTGCACGTGCCTGGTTTTGCTCGGATTCTTACACTCGTATTACAGGTACTGTGGTTCGCTTTCGGTTTGCCTGGACCTACTGAGGCTTACTCGATATCGATCTAATATCCATTTCATACTGGAATCTGTCTTCACACACGACAATACCGCCCTGTCTTTCGAAAGCTTGGGTCGGGCGGTTGTGGAACGCTACGTATCCTTGGGCACTTTGGTAAACATCAATACCTCAAGTGGGGAACCACGCATGATATCACTCTCTCCGGATGTTTGTAGCTCACTCAGAGCTCTTCTAGCATTGAGGGTAACTTCTGGACCGACCAATCCTCATGACTCGTCTCCTGCCACGCAAGTCCTCGAATCCCAATATCTGCATACCTGCTCTACTCTGCGTGAGCTGATCCTGTGCCACGGAAAACCCGAGACCGGCCTTGACCCTATCAACTTTAGTCGCTTCAGAGCATCGGTTCCGTGGAAACAGCTCCGTCGTCTTTGCTTCAAGCATTCTTGGATGGTAGCAGGCCTTCGCAGGTTCAATTTGCCCTTGGACAATCTACGATGCCTGGAGATTCGGCTCGACCCTGATCAGCCAGCCCGCAACCGCAGAGCATTTCATAGTGACTGTCCTTACAATGGTGGCAGTCTCACAATACCCTATGATGACATTCCATTCTTCACGTTCGACTTCTCTTGCGTTCCAAAGCTGGAGACGCTGGACATCGAGGGTATCTGCAACCATGTTCCTATTGCTAACCTGATCAGTCACTCACTTCAAGCACTCAGGTTACATGGTCATCATCATACCGCATTAACGCTCAGTCAACAGTCCCAGCGCTCTCCCGCAGACCTTATCATGGTAAGTCATTTGGCGCCAAAGGTGGAGAGTCTTGCCCTAGATGTTGGAGACATCTCCAAGCTTTGGCACAATACTGCCATTCCAGGGGTTGACGTCGAAGTCGAACAATACAGCTTCTTTGCTTCTCTTCGGGGTTTCAAGCACCTAAGATCGCTACAAGTGTCTCCGCCATACGTATCCAGAACAACAAGTCAGCGTCTACTGAATCTGGATCCCACACGCAATATAGACTGGGGCGTTAGGCAACAACAGCCCATTACTGATGCCGATGCCGTTGCCATGTTTGAGCGGCTACGAGCGCAAATTCCCACACTGGAGCATTTCGCGATCGTGCCTTCGGAGAAACGATTCCGAAGCGATCTGGTAAAGACATTCAGGCCATCGCTACAGGGTGTTCCAGACCACACAGAATTCCAGCCTATGGCTTGGTATATGGATCGATGGGGTGACAAAACAATCCTAACGACGCGACAGGCGCGCAAGAACTACGAGCAGCGACAGATATGGGTGGGCGAGCGGCGAACGAGGACGGAAATCAAGCGAGACGCATACATGGTTTTCGACACCGACGCACCAGGTGTTCGAATGGGAGAGTGGGTGCTCGACAACATCTGCATCTAGAATGAGCTCGTTCCGATGACGAGTGTATATTGTCGAACGCAAAAATGCGTGATCTTTGCACGTGCACACCATCGGAATGGGGAACAACCTTCGATGTGCTCTCAACGACGGTTTACGGTGCAAGCCTCACGGCCAATGACAAGTTCATGCGACATGGTTGAAGGTCTTCTCTGACGGACGGCTTCGTGGCGTCGTGCGGTTGTCCAACTAGGATGAACAATGACATGGCGCGCTCGCATCAACGAAACACTTAAAGTCGAGCAACCAAGACCTGCAGATGACCAAAAGCCCAACACAACTAAGAGCGCCACCGCTTCATGAGCATTTGCCATTTCCAGACGTTTGTGCGAATGCGAACGAATGGCTGTCAGCGCAAACATTCCCGGTTTAGCGTTGGGCTTTTTAGCGAGGCTCGGGTGTCGCCAAGCGTCGTTTAGCCACAGTGGATGGATTAGTTTCCTCAAGGATGCTACGAGCTTACTCGTACAGCATGGTCCTTGCTGCAACTGGCCTCAGGGACCGAGCCGATCACCAAACGGCAAACGGCAGTTTTACTCGTTTGGGTAGGCACACTGCTGCTGCTGTCTCCCATCGTTTGGGACATGCCGTGGATGGCCTATGATACAGCCTTATCTCGTTTCGTTCGCCGGAATTGTGGAAGCTCTCGCGACTTTGTTGCTGGTGCGACTTTTACCCCCTTCACATTCGCCTCGGCGGCCGTTCCGACAAGGCCTCGTAAAGCCTTTGCTCACTTGGTCATTGACAGACCGCAACCAGCGCCCTTTCAATGCGCATCGCCCGCTCACTAGTGGTTCCCTTAATACCAGCTCTAGCTTTACCGTTTGGGTATATGCAGATCGGCGAAGCACCTTCGCCATGATCAATCACTGATCCTGCCTCTTCAGAAGGGGAAGGGTGCTTGCGCGCGAGAACTCGAAGATCAGGTCGATCTAGGGAAGTGAACTACAAGAGGCGTGGCCCCCGAGTTCCGTTCTACTGCGGTAATACTAAGAAGGCACGCCAAAAAGATACAAAGCTGCAGACGACTCGGGTAAGTGGATCGAGTCGAGACCGATTATTCGACTCCGGCTGTCAGGCTTCAGAGAACGATACTCGGTAAAATACCTTTGGACAACCACTACTCAGCAATCCCTGAACGCTCCGTGCGACTCTGTTACGGCCCTTGGCTCTCATGATCGCCGGCATGACGATCACGCTACGAACCGAGCAGATGGACCCAGAGGTGACGTCGCAGAGAAGCAATTTTGTTTGATCGTGTGCTATCAATTTTCGACAGGTTTTGTTGAAAGAAGTACACATTGGACACCGGATCACGTGGTGCTCATGCTGACTTGGGGTCCCCGCCTCGCGAGACGACCGACCTGAATCCACTGCCTGAGGACCAGCCTGTTCCCTCCCCCTCAACGCCTCCTCACCCGCATTATTCATCAGTACTGTCCTGCAATGGTGAAGGTACCTGTCTTTGAGACGAGGTATTCGTTGACGGCAACGTCCTTGCCAGACTCCTTTCCATATCCGCTCTCCTTGATGCCTCCAAATGGTGACTCAGCAGCCGACGAATTGCCAGTATTCTGCACAAACGCATTAGCATCTCACGTATGAAACAGCAGTATTCAAAGACTCACCAAGCCAATCATACCAGCCTCCAGGTTTTCCAGCATCCTCCAAAGACGGTCGACGTTCTTGGTGAAGGCGTAGCTCGCCAATCCCATTGATGTGTCATTCGCCCACTTGACGGCCTCTTCTTCCTTCTCAAACTTATAAATGCCGGCCACGGGTGCAAAAGTCTCTTCTCTTGACATCAACATGTCAGGCGTCATGCCGGTCAAGATTGTGGGATCCATGAAATATCCACCCACGCCCTTGCCCTCACCACTGCCCTCGTCCGCTTTGGCGTTCTTGTGCGCTTTGCCGGTGCCTAGCACCAGCTTCGCACCGTGCTTGACTGCGTCTGCAGCCTGCTCTTCAGCCTTTGCAAGACCTCGAGGCGTTGTGACTGGGCCCATGGTCGTGCCATCTTCCGCGCCATGACCGACCTTGAGCGCTTTCGTCTTCTCAACAAGGATTTGGGTGAATTTGTCGTATACACCTGACTGAACATAGAGACGGTTGGCAGTGATACAAGCTTGTCCGGCATGTCTCCACTTCAGCGCCATGTACTGTGTTGCCGCCTGCTCGAGGTCGGCGTCGTCGAAGACGATAAAGGGGCAGTTGCCTCCGAGCTCGAGTGTGCACTTCTTCAATCCCTTGGAGCACAGCTTGGCAACGAGCTTGCCGACACGGGTACTGCCAGTGAAAGTGACCTTCTTGACATGTGGGTGCATGATGAGGGCTTCAGACAGAGACGGTGTGTTCTCGAGAGAAGTGGTGAGGACGTTGAAGACACCAGGTGGAAAGCCAGCCTTGGTGGCCAAGTGGGCGAGAGTAAGGCAGGTAAGTGGTGTTTCTGGGGAGGGTTTGACGACCATGGTGCAGCCAGCAGCAAAGGCGGCGCCGGCTTTGCGCAGGATCATGGCGATGGGGAAATTCCATGGTACAAGGGCCACGGCCACACCGATGGGCTGCTTGATGACAAAGGTGCGGCGGTTGGGAGCCGAGGGCACAGAGATGCTGCCTTGGATGCGCTCTGCCTCGCCAGCAAACCACCAAGTAAAGCCTAGGGAGTAGTCGAGTTCGCCCTTGGCCTCGGCGAGGGGTTTGCCGGTTTCATAGGTGAGGATCTTGGCTAGATCGTCTTTGGCGGCAGTGATGAGCTCGTGCCATTTCATAAGCAGCTGTGCCCGCTGGCGAGGGTTCATAATGCTGTACTCTTTGAAAGCTTTGTAAGACGACTCGACGGCGGCGTCAACATCGTTAACGCCGTTATCGGGGCAGGACGCCCATGTCTTGTCGGAGCCGGGGTCGACAACGTCAAACCGCTTGCCAGATTTGGCCTGTACCCATTTGCCATCGACGTAAGAGTCTTGGTGGAAGAGATCCGGATCGGCGAGCTTGAAGGGGAGACTGGAGGTGCCGTTGGTAGCCATTCTGCGTTTCTTGTGCGGTGGTGCCGTCTCGATGGGTTCGAAGGGTATGTGAGGGCAGAGGAGGGCGCGAATCGCTTGTGAGGTCACAAGTGAGGAGGCGGCTCAGAACAGAAACATTATATAGAAATTCTGCATGTGTCAGTGAAGGTGTGGTAAGTCGACCCCGCACCTTGCTACCCCCAATGCAGCGTCTAAACAGATTGGTGATTCGCTCATCGTGCTTTCCCGAGGTCGCTGATGTGCGTAACAGCGTCTCGAAAACGCCAACGTTCGCGCGCGTTTGGAGAAGTCGACTCCGTTTCTCGGGGACGTGGCGCCTTGAATTTCGGAAAGACGCGGATTTCTTCCCTGTAAGCCCAAGGACGACGTTCTTTGCACCTGGTGATACTTTTAGAATTTCGACCCGGTGCGCTTTCCAGCCCAGCATAGTGACGGAGTTTGAAGGTGGGGTGTAGAGCTGGCCAGACGCAACCCCACCATCGTATACCGATCACCCCTGCTCTGCATGGGACGCGGCTTCCCCAGTAACTACTCTGGGTTAAGACATTGCCAAAAGAAGTCGAATCAAGCCAGGAAGTACAGCAGACACATCGACGCACGCATCTGACACGGATATTGCGAAGGCTCGGTGCCTCTCATTCACTGCCTGAATGCCATCAGCCTTGCCAAGGCTCCGGGTTTCAATTTCTTTCGTGCTTCAACAACTGAGATTCATCGCCATCGGTGCAAATCATTCAATGCTGACAGCAAGTCAGAAGCCCGCGAGTATGTGATCGTTCAGCATCTCTTACTTCGTCAGAGGAACATGGCCTCGATCAAGACGACAGTCATCTGGGCGAAGGATCAGCTGCATACCTTACAGGAGGATTTTCATGACTTCAATCCTGCTGCTGTTAAGCTCTTGCCCCGGCCATCACCTCTCGAGTTTTCAAAGATTGTTGGGAAAGGACAGCCAAGTCTCTTGAAGATCTACACACCGCATGATGTGGCTTCTAGCTCGCCGCCATGGCCAGCATGCTCATGGACACGCAAAGACCTAGAATCGAAGGTTGTGGATACAGTCGAAGTTGCGGTGACGCCGTATGGCAATGCCGATGCACTGGTCAGTGTCCCAGACGATGAAAGTGGTCCGAATCAGGTCAAGATTTTTGTGCAGCCGGCGGCTGTTCAATTGACAATCACAGAGCTCTTCGAAGAGTTGTCTCCTCAAACAAACCCAAGGGATGGCCCTGCACCTCCTGTCTATTATCTGCAATCTCAGGATTCAAATCTGACAACCACACCTTTGTCGCCGTTGCTCTCGGATCTGCCTCAAAACTTCGACTTTGCCGTCGACATTCTTGGAGAACCAGATGCACGAAACATTTGGATCGGAGACGAGCGATCCGTTACTAGCATCCACCGTGACCCTTATGAAAACCTCTACCTTGTCTTGAGAGGCAGTAAGACCTTTCGATTATGGCCACCGGTCGACGAAATCTCGATGCCCACTCAAAAAGTACGAACAGGGAGTTATAGATTCAGGCAAGAGGGGAAGGTTAGCAGATTTGAAGTTGATTTGGACCCAGATGGTGAAATACCCTGGGTCGATCACGATCCGCTGAGCATAAGTAGCGAGGAAGTGGGAAAGATGCGGATTGTAACCGTTCAGCCAGGCCAAATGCTCTACTTACCCGCGGGATGGTATCACCACGTCTCGCAGGAGTGTGGCACATGGGACGATGGGTCCTTTGCCCCCTGTATTGCCATCAACTACTGGTTTGACATGGATTATGAAGGTGAGAAGTTTGTCATGCGTCAGCTCATGAGCCGCTTGGTGAACCTGGCCAAAGAAATGCCGGCAGATTCGTAAGATAGATGCTTGAGGCGCGTACTACGCCTACATGTACCAGGTTGACGAGGCTGGGTGGTGCGGGGACTAGTCCGTAGCCGAGTGTCTCCAATCGTGGGAATCCTCTTTATTTCTGCTGGTAGCCTTGCGAGAGAGAGTTGACCTTGCACTTCAAACGGCTTGCACTACCCGCGCACATCATCATCAGTATCATAGACGACACTCACTGGCATCATGCTCGTCTGAGATATCTTGTTTCTTCTCGGTCCGTGTAACCCTCGGACAGTAGATTTTGCCCGGCGACTCAAGGGACACGAGTCGACAACAGACTGGTCGACAAGGTCATCCATCGGCCATTTGCGTCACTCGCAACACTTGCCTTCTTGGGCCAGAATGGCCGACAAGGATATCGAAGAGGCAACTGTTGTTTTCTGTAAATCGAAGCGTCAGGCGAAATGGTACGCCAAAGACCGACAGACGCTGTTACAGTTCGCTGAGGCACAAGGTCTTAAGCCCGATTACGGCTGTAGGAGTGGGGCATGCGGAACTTGCGAAACTAAGCTCGTCAAGGGAGACGTGGATGGTCCCGAGGGGGATAGAGATGGAACGATCCTCATTTGCAGTTCAATGCCTATGAGTGCAGAGATAGAGTTGGAGCTATGAGAAACCAATTGCTTGGTGTCATGTCGGTGAGAAAGTCAATGCTCTCGAATCAGGTAGGAATGTGTCTTTGCTGGGTCGAGGAAGGAGTGATGAAGGTGGGAGCAAAGAGAAGGATGCTCTTGCCAAGACTATGTAAGGCTGGCAGCTGCAACACGTCGCCGGGGATTTTGGAGCAATTGCGTGTCGGTGCTTGCCTGCAACCATTCCATCAACCACACATCTCCCTCTGACTCCCGAATCGTCGCGCGTCACCATATACCCGACAAAGCTCATCATCTGCTACGCTCTATTATATCGAGTAATCCATCACCTGCGTGTAGCTACTGTTAATACTCTCTCGAACCAGCACGCCTAGATATCCTCCCCTTCATTGTCCTCTCACAACATGTCGGACGGGCTGTTAAAGGCGGACAAGGATTGGTCCAAAGAGGCTGATAAGGTCATTCCGGAATCCGAGTCCCTGGCCAAAAAAGATCTCCAGAAAGCCATCGACAATCTCCTCCTCCTAGAGAAGAAGGCCAGACAATCTTCAGATCTTGCGTCAACTTCTAGAACGTTAACCGCCATCGTCACAATATGCAAGGATCAAGGGGACTGGAGCATGCTCAACGACCAGGTCCTGCTCCTCTCCAAGAAGCATGGTCAACTCAAGCAAGCTATCACCAAGATGGTACAAGTCGTTATGAGCTTCATCGATGACACCCCGAACATGGAGATCAAGCTCAGTGTCATCGAAACATTACGGACAGTGACCGAAGGCAAGGTAAAACCAACCGTTTTGCGCATTCGAACTTCTCTAATCGTGCTAGATCTTCGTTGAAGTCGAGCGTGCCCGCGTTACCCGAATCCTCTCTAATATCAAGAAGAGCCAAGGAGATATCACTAAGGCTCGCGACATCCTGTGCGAGCTTCAGGTTGAAACGTTCGGTTCTATGACCCGTCGTGAAAAGACTGAATTCATCCTTGAGCAAGTTGCACTGTGCATTGAAAGCGGCGACTGGACACAAGCTCAGATCCTCTCTCGCAAGATCTCTACCCGCTACTTCGCACGCAAACCCGCAAAGACGCCAGAACAGCTTGAGGCTGACCGCAAGAAGAAGGAGGAAGAGGATAAAAAGCGTCAACCATCTGACCCGCCTGCAGAGCCCACGGAAGACGATGTCACTGACCTCAAGCTACGCTATTATGAGCAACAAATCACGCTCGCGAAACACGACGATGCTTATCTCGATGCTTGCAAACACTATCGTCAGGTCCTGGATACCGAGTCGGTGGAAAAGAACCCTGAGCAACTGCAAGCTGTCCTTCAACGGGTCATCTACTTCATCCTGCTGGCACCCTACGATAATGAGCAGTCAGATCTCCTTCACCGTATCAATATCGACCCTCGCAACGTGGCCGAAGTTCCCAAAGATGCCGCGCTCCTCAAGCAGTTTACCATCAGCGAGCTAATGCGATGGCCTATGGTCGAGCAGCAGTATGGCGCACATCTCACCTCCACCGATATCTTCGGCAAAGATAAATCGGTTGAAGATGACAAGGCGTTCTCGCGCTACGAAGCTCTTCGCCATCGAGTCATCGAGCACAATGTGCGTGTTGTTGCTAAATACTACACCCGCATCACTTTCCCACGCCTCACCGAGTTGCTCGATCTCTCCGAGGAAGAGACCGAAAAGTACATTTCCGACCTTGTTACGAAGAAGACCGTTTTCGCTCGTATTGATCGTCCCGCTCGGATGGTCGATTTCGAAGTCCGCCGGGGTCCCGATGAGGTTCTTGACGAGTGGTCGGGCAGCATGAAGGGTCTACTCGGTCTCCTCGAACGAGCAGGACATCTTATACAGCGAGAAGAGATGATGGCTCGTATTCAGCCTGGTGCGGAAGGCGGCAAGAAAGCAGCAAAAGCTTAAAAGGCTTCCGTATCCGAGCTGGACAACGCAGCCACTCGTTCTTGAGGTGGTACCAGCGTAGTAAGTGCGGACATCGTCTCGCCAGGATCATCCAGCCCTGCAGGCTCGCCAGAGTTTGTGACAGCTGTAACAACCGGCTAAGTATATGATACCCTTCGCAACCGAGATCAGAGCAGCGGAGATGCCATTCACCTTGAAGATGACTCCTCATTTCCAAGCACCGAACGCTGCGATCGTGCACTACTGCTCTAGAGGACTACCTGACCAGCATGTCGGAGATCCGAATCCTGGACGGCATGTTCAGAGTCAATGAAATGACCACGAATTCGTCTGGTCAGGTAGCGACGGTCGAGAAGCGCTACACACACCGTGGGGATTCATGCGACGACCATACACCTCCAACGTTGTGTGTTCATCGTCCATCATCAGCATTGTGGAAAGGGCTGTTTACGCTGGAGGTGGGCGAGCGCTATCCTGTGGGCACGTCCCAGGTCTTGTAACGCCGTTGGTGAGACTGTCCCAGCGAGCGACTTTACAGAAAAGCGTAGGTAGATCAATCCGAATTCTATTGCTCTTCGTCTACAAGTACTTTCCAAACCAATGCCGCCCTTTCTCCGTCCCCATCACCAAGGGTCGCTCCTCGGTTCCTCAAATGCTCAGCCAATCTTACAGTTAAATGGCCGTCCTGCAACTTTCGCATGCTCTCGGATGATCATGCTGCTGCTCGTCGTGCCAACCACAAAAATGGCCGCTCCCATAAGAACATTGCAAACGTTCAAAACCGTCAAGAAGCCCTTCCGCCAACCCCAGGTCCACCCGCCTCTCTTTCGGAATCCCACCCCGCGCCAGCTCTTCGGGTCCGTCTCGTAGTTCATCATCAGCCAAAGCATGCCCTGCAGTCCAAACGTGAACCAGCTCCCGAACAAGGCGCCCGTCAAGCCGATAAGATCTCCAAAGATGGGGATGACTTCCGAAATCAGCCATGCGACGAGCCAGAAGACGAAGGCGAGCCCGATCCAAATACCTCTGGCCTTGAGGGTCTTCTGGTGCATGACGTCCTCTTTGCTGTCCCGTAGCAGACGCACGTACATCCACTTGACAACGATATGGCCATTGATCACGCCTGCGATCACTATCGTTGGCAGTGCTACTCCAAAAGCAACGCGGCGCCAGTGATCGCTTGCGCTGTTGAGGGCTGGATTGGCAACGCCATCACCGGCGAAGATGTAGACGACAACGGCAGTGACCATGTACATACTCGTATCGGAGATCTGAAGGAAGGCCAATGCTTTGGGGAACTCACGAGGGTCCTTGAGCTCGGAGATGAAGGTGAAGAAGGCTACATGCGCAGCGTATGCGAACACGATGTTGCAGACCGCGTTGAAGGCTTGAGCAAAGGAGACATCTTCACGCGGCCAGAGGCGAACTTGTAAAGCACCAGAAGGAGAGGCGCTGGGACGTTGAATGCCAACCGCGATCATTGTCGTGACGACGGCAGCGATGATGGAGAGGAACGAGGCGATACTCTGGTACGACATGTGTCGCAGGGTTCGAGGAATGGTGAGAATGAATGAGAGGAGGAATCCCGCGAAAAGGAGGACCACGCCGCAGATGGTGTGACTGGGGCCAATGAGAGCATCCAAGGCGACTCCGAAGGAGATCAGATGAGCTCCCATGATGAAGACCACGAAAACTATCTGGCCTGCCATGACCATCTCTTTGCCGATGCGCCCAAACAGCAGGGCTCCTGCATCCGCCATGGAATGGATGTGCTCGTGGCGTAGGCGGACCTGGCCGATGACAAAGCCCGTGTAGGTCGCAAGGGCACCGAAAAAGACGAGAAGAAGGATGCCCAGAATGAGACCTAGAGCAGCAAGCGAACTTGGGAGGGCGAGGATGCCGAGAGATACCGTTTCAGCAACCATGAGCATGCCAGCGCGCCTAGAATTGTGAGCTTGGAGCATTCACAGGAAGCAGTAACGAAGTAACGTGAACGGAAGCAGTGGAGAAACACAGTGACGGAAGGGTATTGACTGACCACCACGACAAGCTCATATACGTCACCCCGCCCTCAACGCCCCCAGCGAAAGGGTTAGCGGAGCCGGTCTGAGGCTCTTCTTTTTCTCCTCGTACGACACTGTCTACGCCTTTTTCGAGGCGTCCGTGGTCTGCGTCCATCACCGCCTCAACGGTGGAATCAGTGGCAGCCGACGCGTGACGGCTCTCCAATCGTGTGGCGTCTTCTCTGTTCCTGCTGCCGGGAAGACCCGTGACGAAGTGCGCGAGGACAGTCTCGCGGACGGGAATGGTGGTCGGCACTGAGCTGGCAGTGTGATTTGTGGCGTTTTCGGAATCCGTCTGGAGTGGATTCACTGGGAGCCGCGTTTTGGGATGGCAATAGCTCTTGCTGTTGAGGAAGTGAATCCTCCGGTATGATCGAGGATATGGAAAGCTCTGATTGTGATAGAGCCTCGAGGGAGACGAGGAGAACTTGAGACAGGTAAGTGTAGAGCAGGAGCATGAGTGGAAGATGATCGTCCGGAGTACTTGTATTGGCTTGATGAGACAAGAGCACGGAAGAGGAGGAAGAGACGAGGCTCGAACTGTGTACATGCAAGCTTGTTGATATTCATTTCTGAAAAGGCTTCCGTGTGTTTGAGGACTGCTGTTACCATCCTGCCGGGACACGGTCGCAGCTGTGGTTGGGGAACCAAGAATCTGCACTTATAAGAACCTCAACAACATCAACAACAAAACAACAACAACAACACCAGTTGCCACCGTCAGAAAAGCGAAAACGCGCCAGAAACAGGGTAAAACGGGCCCTTGTGATGGCTCCAGCATGAAAGAATGCTTTGTGTCCGTCGAGAGGGTATTGAAAAGATGGTGCACACTAGAGAGGAGGTCCTCATCGTAGTTGCCCCATGAGATTGTTACCTAGACTGAGCACGGCTCTGGAAGGTGGTGCAGTGTACAGTCGCCAGGGCAGAAGCGGTCGAGACGCACAACAGGTGCGCGACCACGGAGTCGACTGACTCGCAAGTAGAGTAATTCAAACACCCTTCCGATGTGCCCTCAGACGACCTTCCTCTCTCCTTGCTTGCTCAGCACAGGGTTCTCTCCCTGACTTAGCTTGGAATCAGACTCGAGGGTATCGGCCGGACCATCTGGAAGGCCGTCAGTACGCTTCTTGATCAGCTTTGTGGGTGAAAACTCACCGTGCCTGGAGTATAACTTCCTCTCATACTCGCTGGCAAAGCCAACTTTGCCAGACTCCACATCCTTCCGCGTGACATTCAGTTTGCTCTTCGGCAGGCCCATACTGGCAAGAAAATGAACACTTTCCTTCCATTCCACTTCCTTCCGCTGCCTGCTCCATCTCAACTCTTCTCCCATAATGTCGATCACATTCGGAAGCGATTCAAGCGCCGCCTGGGCATTCAGGAAGCTGAGTCTCGTACGGCGGGCAATAACGTCCACGGCTCGTTGCGCAAATTCATGTCTGACCGCGTACCTTACCTCGCCATCGATGAAAGGATACAGCGGGCTCAACCGTTTTCCTCGAACGGGAAACCTTTCTTCAGTCGGGCTCGCCAGTGCGGCCACTGTCCATGCCCGGTCACCATAATTTTCTGCCAGGTGCTTCGCAACTTCGGTTTCAAGGCCAAAGTGCTGTATTAGGTTGATAAACAATGTTTTACTGTATCCATGAGCACCGACGAGCCGCACCTGGTGGGTCTGACATGTTCCATCAAGGGGTGCTGCGTCGTTAATCATCTCGGTGCCGGAGATCCTGGTCTTTGTGGTGATGGCTTGAGTTTGCAAGCCAAAGATTTTGATGGCCTCATCAACAGCATCCTCAGCCATCTGACGATATGTTGTCCACTTGCCGCCGGCACACGTCAAAAGTCCACTATCGCTCAGGGTTACCAGGTGATTTCGAACAAGTGACTGAGTATTCTTCGCTTTAGGATCCTTGACCAGGGGGCGAATACCGCTCCATGCGGCCAGCACATCTCCTCGTCGCACATTGATACCTGGTGCGAGATAGGCTTTGATCTCGTTCAAAATCCAGCCGATCTCGTCCTCGCCAGCGATTGGTTGTGGGGTGATATTGCATGGTGCATCCGTCGTGCCGGCTATAGTATTACCTTGCCAGGGAAGGAAGAAAATGACTCTGCCGTCGCTGGTGCTGGGATCGATCAGGCCCATGCTGTTCTGCTGTGGGCTGTAATACCCTGGCAACACAACATGCACTCCTGAGCTTGGTGCCACGATCTCCTGAACTTTCTCATCGTCCATCTTGCGAATGGCGTCGCTGAAAGGACCCGTTGCATTTATGACACCCTTCGCTCGGACTTTGAAGCTTTTGGCTGTTTGTCCATTCTTCTCTTCGAGCACGTCTTTCACCCACGCTCCTTTTGTACGTCCCTGCGCATCCTTGACTAGATCCGTGACCTCAACATGATTGGCAATCGTGGCACCATAAAGTCCGGCGGTTGCGGCGAGACTGACATTCATTCTTGAATCGTTATGTGCGCCATCATAGTAGACCATCGCTCCAACCAGATCGTCGGACTTGAGCATTGGGAAAGCTTCGATAGCCCTCGATTTGGTAAGAAAGTAGCTCTTCTCGATGCCCTCGCTTCCAGCCAGGAGATCGTACGCCTTAGCTCCAGCCCAGAAGTACGGCGCTTGCCACCATTTCTGCATGGGAATCATGATTGGCAGCCATTGAGATAGGTGAGGTGCGGTGTCCAAGAAGTACTTGCGTTCACGTAGGGCTTCTCGCACAAGGGCATACTGGTTGTAGTCCAGCTCCCACACGGCTTTCTCCAAGTAGCGCACACCCCCGTGCACCAGTTTTGTCGATTTTGAGGAAGTTCCGGAAGCAAAGTCGTCTCTTTCAACCAGAGCAACCTTGAGGCCGCGCGTTATGGCATCCAGCGCAATACCAGTCCCGGTAGCTCCTCCGCCAATGACGAGCAGGTCGTATTCCTCACCCTCAGCGGGAGGAGAGACTGAGGTCGGAGTCTCCTCGAGGGTATCGATACTCTTGCTGCCAGCAGAACTGGCTATGTTGGTGAGACTATTCCATCCTTTCTTGGCCTCGTCTTTCACATGGCTTGAGCTTCCGCCGTCTTCCACGGTTCCGCCGCTTCTTTTTAACTCGGCTAGCATAGTGGCACGAGATCGGAGGTGAGGAAAATGAGGAGGGAGAATACTTCCATCTTCGGCGGTCTTCAGAGGTACAAGAGCACCCTCTGATCCTGGAACGCTGATGGGGCGGTAGGCAACGTAAAAAGCGCCGGAGGCGACCGTTGCAGCGGCTGCGGAGTAGAAAATGGGACGCAAAAGTCGACGGCGGGCGATTGAGGAAGTCATTGCTTGAGGTGAGCAGTTGCGTCGGCAGGAATGGCCGCCTTCGAAGTCTGGCTGCGTCGAGTAGAGAAAAAACTCCTCGACCGGGCAATGGAGGACTCAATGGTGGCAGCTACGTCCTTCGACGCAGATAGAGCCTGGTCTTCGAGGGCACAGTCGCAGCTTCCCCAACTTCTATTATGGCACACCTCTCGAGGCGAGTACGGCCTTGTTCTGACGCAGCTGCGTCGACGGAAGGGGCGGAGTGAGTTTTTATCTGGAAGGAGGGACTCGTGCACAGAAGAGAATGCCATGCGCCACGGGAAGCCAGTGCTGTAACCCCAGGTCAGGTCCAAACCTGCAGCGTCATCCAAGCCTGTTTTCGGACATTGCGACCCGACGAGCTCGCTTCAGCTTGAGCTAAAGCCTACTGCAGGCGGAGGTCATCGGCACTCAGCTGTCGCTTATGAAATTCCAGCGCCGCTCGGGCTTTCGACACCGAGTCGACAGGGGCTGAAATTGCCCCAGCGTGGGGAAGCCCAGCCAATGCCGGAGATAGTTAGATCAGGCAGTGAAATGCTACCTAGTACCTATTGAACCGTTGTACGGGCTACAGACCCTAGTCCAACGCCATTTGTGATCAAGTCTGGACTTTTACTCTTCTTCGAGACTCTTCAAGAGTTCCCGTTGACTCCATGTTCAGCGGCTTTCTCCAACTTCTCCAGATCGACCTTTTTCTCTGTCACGCCGCCCAGGCGCAATGGTGAATTAGGGGTGGATGCCCCCGTGGGGCTGCTGTTCAGCCTGTCGAGAGCCTCCAGCTCAGCTTCAGAAAAGTTCCTCATATGCTTCGGTCGGAAGGGTACTGGCGTTGACACCCGAGAGGACAGGAACTGGAAAAATATTAACACCATACTGTCTGAACCCATGTATCGGACTTACCGAAGACGCAGCGCTCAACAACGCAATCAAAGAGGCTTGAACAACATCCTCATGGATGCCCACACCCCACACCTTCTCGTGTGAGTTGGTCGCCGTACACTCTATGTACGTCGCCGCTCGTACATTCTTGCCCCCACCGATGGCGTGCTCGTGGTAGTCGGCGACATCCAGATCGATGCCTAGAGAGTGCAGCGCATTGGCCAAAGACGAGATGGCACCATTGCCTTGACCAACAATCGGGTGCTGCGCGCCGTCAATGGCGACAATGCCAGCGAATTGTCTTTTGCTGCCAATGCTTGTTGGTGTATTGGTCGTATTTTGTGGCGGCTGTCCTTCCGAACTGACTTGGTCTGGCTTCTTCTCCTGCCGCACCGCTGAAATGTTGTAGTCGATGAGGGTGAAACGTGGGTTTTTCTTCAGGTGGTACGCCTCCTCGAACAAGACCTGAATTTCCCGAGGCAAAAGCTCTCGCCCTTTCGCGTCGGCCTCTTTCTGCACAATCCTGCTGAATGCAACCTGCAAACCTCTTGGTAGATCTAGCTCCAGACTTCTCTGGATGACCCATGCCACTCCTCCTTTTCCACTTTGGCTGTTGACTCTGATAATGGCCTCGTAATTTCGCCCAATATCCTGCGGATCCAACGGCAAGTAGGGCATCTGCCATGGATCTTCACTGCCCAACCCGGCCTTGTCACGACTGACAAAGCCCTTTTTGATGGCATCCTGGTGGCTGCCACTGAAGGCACACACCACCAGCTGCCCACCATACGGCCATCGCTCATTAATGGGAATCTTGGTGCTCTCCTCGCACACCCGGATGACCTTTCCAATATCGCTGAAATCGATCTCCGGGTAGATGCCCTGCGTATACAGATTCAAGGCCAGCGTGACCAGATCAACATTCCCCGTCCGCTCGCCGTTGCCAAACAGCGTGCCTTCGACTCTCTCCGCGCCCGCCATCTGCGCCAACTCGGCCGCCGCCACCGCACATCCGCGATCGTTGTGCGGATGCACACTGACCACAAACTTCTCGCGCTCGGTCATGGTCGTGCAGAAATACTCGATCTGATCCGCGTACACGTTGGGCGTGCTCATCTCAACCGTCGCGGGAAGGTTGAAAATGAGCTTGTCGCCCTTCTCGGGATCCGGGCCCCATGCTTCCTTTACCGCCTCGCAGATGCGCACCACAAACTCCGGGCTTGTGTCGCTGAACGTCTCCGGTGAGAACTCGTACAGCCACTCCGTCCCTTGCTGTGCGGGGTCATCTTTGGTAATACTCCGTGCATACTTGGTGCACTTGACCGCCAAGGCGATACTCTCCTCCTCACTCATACCGAAGACGATCCTCCGGAAGCACTCGCTGGTGGCCAAGTACAGGTGTAGGATCGCCTTCTTCGCCCCAGCCAAGCTCTCCACCGTCTTCTTGATGAAATCCTCGCGGCACGGACTCAGGCACTGCAGGTACACATCGTCCGGCACCACACCCTTGGTCTCCACCAGATGCCGCGTGAAGTCGAAGTCGGTCTGGGATGCCGAGGGAAAGCTGATCTCAATCTCCTTGTAACCTAGCTCCACGAGCATCTTAAAGAAACGTAGCTTCTGCTCGCCGTCCATAGGGTCAACGAGGGATTGATTGCCATCGCGCAGGTCCGTGGCCAGCCACCGTGGCGGCTTGTCGTTGGTGCGGGTAGGCCACTGCCTGTTGGGTAGGTTGAGGGGCTTGAATTGACGGTATTTCTTCCACGGTTCGCGGAGCCTAATGGTAGTAGAGTCAGCTGCATGGGAGTGGATTGTTGCTCTAACGCATGCACGTACATCGGCATGATGAATGGTCTTTCGCAAGTGATCTGGTCCGCACGCCCAGTGTTTGTTTCAGTATTGTGCAGGAGTACTTCGGGTGTTGTATGAGGAGGCAATGAGTTCGTTTCAAGCAATACAAAGCGCGACCAGGTGCCACTTCTGACTCACTGCGCGACCTCAGAAAATTGTGCGGTACCCGGCGGGCAGCGTCGGTGAGTGGGCCAAAATTTGCGGGACACTCGCCAGCATTGGACGCGGGGTAGTTGGAGACGCCATAAGCGTCTCGAGCCACCGCCTGCACTTCACTACCGCCTGAATCAAATGCAACCAATGTAGCGTTAGGTCTCGCGAATACTGGCTATGCACGCCTTTGCTCTGCTAGCTTAACATACAACCTGTCTGACCAATGTCTGACCAAGCTATACTTGTTCCTGATTCCATACTCCACTCTGACCGACGAGGCTCTACCGCGCCCTTTATCTAACACTGCTGCCGACTATTATGTGCGCCCTTGTCGAATCGTCGACTGCAACAACTGCCAACAATCGAATATCTCCAATCTGCCCAAACTGAGGCAAGACAAAGACACCCGTTATTCCTTTCCGGCCAAGCCTTGCCCCTAGACGTTGAGTGAAACTCCATGATTGCTGGCCTTCCGCTTTTCATCAGAAACGCCGTCAGTACTGCCAGGCGAGTCTGCGTCGGAGCTTGCCTCATCAATGATGGCATGATTTCCAGCCAACTTCTGGATCATGGCAGGCGGAGTGATATTCAACTTCACGTCCCTCCTGACTCCGGCATCTGCCGAGCAAGATCGCTTCCTTTTCGACGAGCCCGAGCTTGAACGACCACGTCGAGCAGTCAACACCCCATCAGCCATATGAGGAACCTTGGTGCTCGCGACTTTGGTCGACACTGTCCCATGCTTGTGACTGTCAATGGCATTGACTTGCTCATCCAAGATCCAGCGAGTGGGTGCAGCGGCAGGCGCAATCCCACGATGACCAGATGCTGCATTGGCAAGACCTTCGTTCGGAGTCCCCTCGGCAACGGACGACCGAAGGTTGAGATCGGCCGCTGCGGGAGTGTTGACCGGAGCTTGGACGCCAGAGCTTGAACTCTTGGTCGGACTCAGAGCGTAAAGGAGTTGCCCTTTCTTGGTTGGGCTGAGGGCCTCGATGAGCTCTTCAACCGTGGCTTCATCCATGTGCTTTTGAAAATCCCGTCGTGGCCACGTGATTGACATTTCAGTTTCAGCTCGGCTATACTCTGTACCATGCGACGTATAGTCCGGCATTGACTCGTCCGTGCTAGTCTTCCGGTTGACTGATCTCCATCCGATTGAGGATTCCGGACCAGGAGCGATGAACGGGTCATTTGGTCCGCTCAAACCGTGAACATTAATGCTGTGACCCGCCGGAAGAGTGCCGAACCGAGAATCTGCGCTTGGTCCAGATCGGAAGGCATATGCTCGATATGGCTGATCAACCTTGCTCGCAATACGCGCCCAAACGTCGTCACGACTTCTGGTAGATCGTTGGGGCGAATGGGCATGCGCTTCATGGCCAGTGAGACTGACAGTGCGTGTGCTGATGGGACCAGGTTGCCGTGTGCTTTGGGTCTTGGTCTCGAAAAGCCTCGCGTTAGGCCATGCAATACCAGAATACTCGAGAACATCTGCGCGTTACGTGTCAGTCGCGGTCTGCCAGAAACGATGCACTCACCTTGGGGAGCGTGTTGGAACGAGAAGGCAACCACGTCTCGCAATCCGTCGAACGTGATCTTGCATGCACTAGCTTGCAGGTCACTCGCTTCCCTCAACACGCCTTCAGTGAGGATGAGTTGAATCCGACCCACTTTCTCTCCGGGCTCCCAACGGGGCTGCTGTAAGATTTCGGGATGGAAGACTGGGAAGGCGAGTTCTGCGTCTGGTTCATGATAGCGTCCGTCTGTTGAGTCAGTGAGGATCTCAAATCAGATCGTGACCGTACCCTTGACTTCTGCCGCACGTCAGCTACCTTCACGCTCACAGTGCAACCATATGGCTTACCAATGACCTCCGGCCAGACATTGCCCTCCCTAAAGACTCGAGTGCTGGGTCGGTGTGAGCATGCTAGCCTACGAGCACTTCGATGCTTACCTTTGCAAAGCGCCGTCAATGTATAAACGAGCTTGGAATGCAATTGGCTCATCTTGAGCTTTACGTGACTTGAGGATGGAGGAGGCGCTTGGCCGGGCCCAGCTATGGATAGAAACTCGGAAGGAACTGCCGACAGGAAGACTAGCGATGAAGCATGTAAGGATGGGAGTCTTGGTCATCGACTCGTACTTGGTGACGAATGGGTCTTCTGGAGGTGCCCATTTGGAGGCGGCAAGTTGACCTGCTGGTAGTAAGCTCAAGTCATGCAAAGCGTGCCAGCAGCCCACCTTGCTGGCAGAGGATGTGGCATGCCGTGTTGAATTCTTGAATTGGTATGCGGGATTGTCCTGGAAAGAGCAAGACATCCCAGCTCTGATATCTCATGCTGTTGGGTGGGTAAGCTGGAGGATAAGCTGAATTGGTATAAAGAACGCGACCCACTACAACCTCCGCAGCTGATGAGCGAGCCTGGACACGAGCAATGGATGATGCATGATCAATCGAGAGTCTGACTGCTGGGCGCGGCTGGTCGCAGCTAGCTAGTATGCTCCTTCCCCAGGTGGAGGCAGGTGTTTTTCATGAGGAAGGCGGCACCACTCAGTGAAGCTTTCGGCAGGGGAGCCGTAGTCAATTGAAATAAAAGGAAGGAATGATCTTGCGCCATTCGGAGCCAATTCAATTCGCTTTGCACTTCATGGTAGTGCCCATTAGTCCATGATCAAGGATCCATCTGTGCGCCGTATGTCCAAGCATTTTCTTGAGGGTATAATGACAGTAAGCTTCATCAACGCCGTGAAGAATGGACGTCCTTTCCGCCCCTAAGTCAAAGCTCGAGATCCTATGCAGACATTTCACATTCGCATCCAATTGAAGCATTACCCGCTAATTCCACAACGAGTCCCTACTCGCCCGTCGTATCCAAAAAGTCGACACCATTCATGCCATTCTCAAAGTTGAAGGCATCATCGTTGGAGGTGTTGAGAAAGCTGTCAAAATCAAAGTTCTCCAAAACATCGGTATTTTCCAGAGTGCTGAAGTCGAGGTTGAAATTTTGATCGGTTGAACCAAAGTCGAACGAGGCGTTCTGCGACATGTCCGGTTGTTGCATCTGGTTTTGGTTGGGTGGCATCTGGGGAACAGGTGCAGGTGGCGGAGCTGCGTTCGCCGGGGCGGCTGCGGGTTGACCTTCGTTACCAATGTTAGTACTCGCATTGTCACCATGGGTTGAAGTCGAAGACTCACTGTCACCTGGAGCATTTGCCTGCGAATTCTTCTTGGTAGGCTTCTTCTTGTTGTTCGCAGCATTGCCCGTGGCTGCACCGTCATCCTTGCCCTTCTTGTTCTTGGGATTAGCTTTATTGGTTTGGGATGGCGTTGGTGGAGCATTGCCACCGCTCTGGGCTGGAGAGGAAGCTTGGCGGTTTGCATTGCCGGCTGGAGCTTGAGGAGGAGGCATTTCATTGCGTTGACCGGGAGTGCCCATCGGTTGCTGTCCACCCTGAGATGGCTGCTGAGCCATGGGCTGGCCGCCCTGGAATTGGGCACCCATTCGACCTTGCATATTCATCGATGTTGGTGGACGCATATTGGGCCCACCAGGTCCTGCCATGCCTTGCTTGTCGCCCATGAACATGGGGTTGAAACCATCACCAGGCATGGAGCCATTCATGAAGCCCATGGCCGCAGGTGATCGGCCCTGCATATTCTCGCCGGCAGATGGAGAGCCTGGCAGGCCACCAATCTGAGGTGTGCGCTTCATCTGATCAGCCGGGTTGGGCGAGGTACCACTCCTGCTTCCTGATGGTGACATCCCTGTACCACCCATCACACCTGGCATTGGAGCTCCGTCGCGCTGAACTTGGTTGTCTTGCTCTTGCCGGGCCATCATAAGTCTTTTCTTGTTCTGCTGCTCGAGCAGCATCAACTGCATTTGGTAGTCTTGAAGAGCGTGGTTGCCGCTTTGCGCCGCAGGGTTGCCTTGCATCTGACCTCCCATGCGGCCCGAGTTGTACATTTCCATGGCGGCATCGCTACCAAATTGGCTGACCATCATTGGCGAACCGGCATTATTCATCATATTCATGCCGCCGTTGGGTGCCATGCCGGGCTATGCGTGTTAGTCAACGTCATTAGGCTGAGTATGTTCGACAGCTTACCTGCATCGGGGCTTTCTGGCCCTGCATGCCCGCGTTGGGTCGGAATTGTGGATTCATATTCTGAGGGTTGAAGGCATTCTGGATCATCATACCCTGAGGCACACCTCCGGGCATGGGTCGGCCATTTGCCATCATGTTGCCGTTGAATTGTTGTTGTCCTTCTAGCCTAGGGCGTTTCGATGGAGATCCGCCGTTGTCACCTTCAGCAGGTGTGCCAGGACGACCGTTCATGTCGACATCGCCTCCTTCTCTTTGCATCTGTTGTTGCTGTTGCTGCTGCATCTGCTTCTGTTGCATCATGTTCTGCATCTGTTGAGGAGTCCTACATGCAGTTAGTCTCGATCGGGCGCGGATAAGACGTGGATTTTGACTGACATTCGCTTAGCCATCTCGGCAGGCATGGCACCACCATTGACCATGCCATTGCGCATGTTGGCCCGCATAGCGTACTGATTCGCGTTCATCATTCCGGGTCGCATCATCGTCTGGGAATTCTCTCGCATACGCTGCATGTTCTGGCAGTTGTTAGATCATGTTCCCCACGAAGCTTCGCAGTCGATTGAGTGGATGCGTGACCTCTCGATGCGATCTAGACCTGGGGTGAACGCAATTCCTTACCTGAGCGTGCATCAGATACTGCTGAGCTGGTCCAGCGCTTCCCTTTCGGGACGCATGATAGATGTCGAAGAAGATACCGAACCACTCGAGTAGGAAGCCAGTGCCTTGAGGCGAGCTGCTCGAGAAGGCAGGTCGAGGGAGATCGTCGGGGATATCCATCTTACTGTCAACATCCATGGCATCACCCTCGACGCCGTTGGCTTCGCCGTCCTTCCTCCGCCCGGGGCTCTGTTTAGTCGCAACTTGGATTTTAAATTTCTCCGGCTGCTGAGATAGGGTGCGGGCGACATCATGCATTCCAATCTTGAGGAAATATTCATAGATATAGGTGTTGAGCATTGCTCTTGTCTGGTCTGAGGGCATTGCCGATTGCGCGGGACTTCCATCCGGCATCATCATCATGCCGCCGCCAACGGGGCCACCTGCCGCCGCGGGATTTACACCGGCCATGCTCATGGTAAAATGGAGCGTGTAAGCGGCGTCGGATTATTGCTTTCGTTGTTCGTCTGAGGATAAAGTCGCAGTCGCCACGAACTGGCTTCGTGGTGTGATAGACAGCCTGACTAAAGAGGGTGCGGAGTCGGTCGCGCACGTACTTTGAGCTAAGACTTATAGGTGAACTCTCAGCATTGCGACGGGACAAGAGGACTCGAAATGTACAATCGGGCTGGATGACCGATGTAAAGAGACTGCGTGCGCAGCTAGAGCCACGCTCCTGCAGCAGCAACAGGAAGAGGGTTCTTGGATAAGGCAGGACCGAAGTAAGCAGTCGGGGGCTCGACCAGTGTCAAGACCAAAGTCAGGTGCGCCACAAAAGTGAATTATCGCACAAAGTAAGGTAAGACAGATCACAAGGGATAGTCCTTGCGCAAAAAGGATAGAGATGTGCTTGTATTTAGATTCGTGGATGGAATATGATCGAGTACGAGTGAAGGGACCGGTGTAAGTGAGGTCTGCGGCCTGGAAAAGAAGATGCGCAGGCTGGGCTTGGGTCGTCCCCAGCCGTGCTGCACAGCTGGTCGCCTTCTTTCCATCGCTGGCGCGACGGTCGCGCCTCCCGGTATGAGACTTGCGCATCAGAATCTGTCACGCTAGAGCCTTGGCACCCCTCAGATTTGAGCACCTCGCCTTTCCAGCATGCAATGAAATACCTCAACATCGCTAGAGCCTCGTGCTTTCTTGGACGCGGCAACGGCATTCAGCGCGTCCGCTAGCTTGACGAGCCATGACTGACCACTTCTACTGCCTTTGGTGATCTTGACATGTACTTTTTGCTACAGCTGCTCGAGATCAGGCGTGGTTTTCGTTCAGGGGCCAACATGGCACGTGACTGCCACAACCCCCTGAAACACGCCCCTTTCTGAGCTGCCAAACCTCGCCGGTGCAATTGAATTCATCACTCGTCGTCGGGAGGCATTTCATCTTCAATGTACCGTATCAGTGTTACCCGAATCTCTGTGGTGTCGTTGCCGCGAAGAACGTCACTGACAAACCGTGCCTCGATGGCCATTTGCACCTGTGAGTTATAAGTACTAGCCAGCAAAAGCATGAGCGTTTTCAGACCATCTCAAGTGCTCCTCGTAATACTCCACAGAGGATATTGGAAAACCAGAGCTCGTCCTGCGCTTTGCCATCGTCCGGCAGCTCAACGAAGTCGCATAGCGGATTCTCGTCGAATAGCAATGAAAACGACTTATTGTCCGCCGTCCAATTCGTCACCACGGGTGTGATATTGAGAAACATCTTGAAGCCAACCTTTGTAGCCATGAATTAACATGGAACTGATGGCACAGGCCTTAAACCTACCTTCGAGATCATGTCGGCCGTTTCCCTAAAGTTGCCACAACGAGGAATATTCGACTTGGACAGGAAATCCTCGATTAATCGCATCCCGATGTTGTAGCCCATCTTGTCAAGCTGTTGATTGACTTGGACATAGTCGAACTCGTAATCCCCACATAGCTGGGCGACAATGGTGCCATATGTGAGTGTAACTAGTTCGGCATTGACCTTGTCCACTCGAGTCCTGTGTGATGTTCAGAGACCGTCCTCGGACTTGAGATTAAGACTCACTTCCAGATACTGTACACGTTAGCCAGGGGAGGGGTGGGCATCAAGATTCAACACACTCTTCGCCAAGGCGCGCAGCCTTTTGCGTTGAAGTCATCGCCGCTCTATCCGAGACGATTTGGACAGAAGAATGCGGCTCGCCGAGTATGCTGTTCAAGAATCCATGTCGTTGGTGTGATGAGATGAAAGCAAGGCGTGGTGATGCGGCTCAACAGGTCAGCCCTACCGGCAGCCGGACTATCTTCGGGTTCAAGAAAAGTGGGTCCCTATGATTTGGATGCGGAGCGAAACTTCACTGAAAAAGACGCCCGCAATGTGGTCCAATTGTGCCAAATACCAGTGCCACGATCTCTGCCGTTACACCGATCAGTCATGATGCCTTCAATCAAGCGACAAGCCTCCGATAGCTTCAGTGGACCAAACCATTCCCTCGTGAAACGTCAAAAGTCCAACTCGGATCTGAAAGAGAATGGCGCTCTTGCAGTGACCTCGCAAGGAAAGGGGAAAGATGGCGCCCTCATACAGTTGGTAAGCCTTGCCTTGAAAGTATCTGCTGAATTGTCGGGGCTAAACTTTTGGATCAAGGTCGGCTGATATGACGGTGGTGTACAGGTTCCTAGAACAAGCGGCTTACAAGCCCCAATAATGGAGTTGACAGGCCATTCCGGTGAAGTCTTCGCCGTCAGATTTGACAAGAGTGGTCAGCATCTTGCTTCTGGCTCCATGGACCGGACTATTAGTAGGTTTCATCGCCGGATCCGATAGAGGTAGGCTGACTGATATAGTGCTTTGGAATACGTACGGTCAATGCGAGAATTACGGAGTTCTGACGGGTCATAAAGGCGCAATCCTCGATCTGCACTGGTCACGCGACTCACAAGTATTATATTCGGCGTCCGCCGACATGACAGCTGCCAGCTGGGATCTCGAATCCGGCCTGCGAATACGGCGACATGAGGGGCACGAGGAGGTTATCAATTCACTCGACGTAGCGCGAAGAGGAAATGAGATCCTGCTCACGGGAAGCGATGATGGCTGCATAGGAATATGGGACCCACGACAGAAAGCCGCCGTCGACTACATTGAGACCGGTTTTCCCATCACGGCAGTGGCGCTTGCAGAGCAAGGACACGAAATCTATTCCGGTGGCATTGATAACGACATTAAAGTGTGGGACGCCCGAAAAATGGAGGTGATTTATTTGTTGAAAGGTCATACTGACACGATCACATCACTCGCGGTATCCTCGGATTCGCAGACGCTCCTCTCCAATTCACACGACTCTACTGTACGGACGTGGGACATCAGGCCTTTCGCACCTGTTGACCGGGCGGTGCAAACCTACGATGGAGCCCCTGCAGGGTTTGAGAAGAATCTTATCAAAGCGAGCTGGTCACCCAAAGGTGATAAGATCTGCGCCGGTTCGGGGGACAGGACTGTTGTGGTTTGGGATACCCGTTCCGCCAAATTACTGTACAAGCTTCCAGGGCACAGAGGTACAGTCAACGATGTTCGCTTCTCGCCTGCTGGAGAGCCGATCATTGTGTCTGCTTCAACGGATCGGAATCTGGTGCTGGGGGAGTTGGGAAGGTGAGCACCGGGTGAGCACCGCAAAGTGGGCGGATCCAATGTCCCAGGACATGGGAGACCGCGTTCTCTGCAGGGTTAGGATACCAGAACAACGCGATACAGGCGCTGAAAGCGAGGCGGACATGACCGGGGTTAGGCAGGCACGAGGCAATCGCGCTAGTGAAACTCCACCTTGTTTCAGACGCGACCCCCCGCAGGGTCAATCTGCACTCGTGGCCACCCAATCTTTTGTTTGGTGGTCTTCGTGCATTTCATCTCTGGCGACAATTTGTCGTGTCTTCCGCACTACTCACATTGTGTCTCTCACATCCAACGATTTGCTGTTACGCAAAGTCTGCATCGTGAATATGCAAGCACGATCCCGAATATCAACTGAACTCGACGCGAAGATGGGTCAACATAGCTGGTATTTCTCTATCCCAATACACCATCAAGATCAGGCACTCGCCTCAATTTCTACTGCTTTTGCGTATCGTCGGTGCATTTTCATTCAAGCTGGACTTGTTCATTCTAATTCTTCTAATCTGTTCACTTCTTCACTACGAATACAGCCCCGGTCGGCTGACTCAATCTGATATGGTCAACCCACAGCCTGTATCCTCGGAATCCCATACGGAATCCCATACGCACGAGAGCAAGTCAACATTTGTCCCTCTGTTCCTTTCCAACCGATCGATCACGGAACAGGCTCATCCGCTAGAGGCTGAATTCGAGTACCTTGGACCAGCCCAGAGGACAGGAACCGACCTCTCTGTCCTGTCAGAAGCTTCAGCCATGCCTCAAGCACAAAGAACCCTCTTTGGGGAGCACCAGCCTTCCCATTCGGACGTTTCCTCGTCATTGTCATCGTCGACCAAGACTACCAAGCCTCGCTCCAAAGCAACCCACTCCAAAGCGAAAACACGCCAGTCTCCATCCCGTACAGCTTCGAGTCGTACAGTCTCAAGTTCACGCACCAAATCTTCCTCCCGCCCACGCCGCAAAGTAAGCTACACCGTGCGCCTCCGCGTGGCTGTCGAGTCCAAACTTCGCCTCACCATCGCCTTCGGCTTCGGCTCCTTCGCGTCCCTAATTATCTACATCGCCCTCCTCGTCACCCACACCTCGAGCGGCATTGCTTTTCATGCCTTATCTATTCTGCTTCTCATCTCTCTCCTGGGCGTGACCATCCACTCTCTCGTCCGTTTCCTTGCCCTAAACTCCGAGCTCAAAGCCCACCGTCAGCACCGTGCTGGCCTCAAGAAAACACCCTCTGCCCGTGGTTGGAACATATCTCGGCCTCTCCCGCAGTTTATTCAGTCGAGTACCCTCAACGAGAAATCTGAGTACATTGGCCAAGCCCACGGCGGCCACGAGAACGATGAATTTCCGGTCTTCGGTGGCGCAAACAACTACGGCACCGACTACAACCACAATCCCTTCGGCGACGAGCATGACATCGAAGCCCAGCCCGCCATGATGGAGCGTCTTGCCCACCCGCCCCCTGTGTACGGCAACACGCGCACGTCTGTCGTAAGTCTCTACACCTTCTGCTCTGTGCCTCTTGCCTTTTTGCCTGCCCTACCCTGTCCCTATTCGTTCGGTCCCCGGCCGCCCCCCTGTCTCTTTTGCCCTACGTCGCGCCTATGGCCTTCAGCGGCCGACTTTCGTAGCCAAACATGCAATTCCCCCCTTCTTTACCCCCAATTTCCCCCATATTCCTATCGGCCTTATTAACACCAACATTAGCGTCTGTCCATCAATCCGGCCTCCCCAACCTACGCCCAGCATCCCGGCGTCCACCCCGATCCCAATATCACCGCCCCCGCGCCCACTCTTGCCCCCGGCATGGTCGGCTGGCATCCTGCGTCTTTCCGCTCCGAAGGCGGCATCACCGCTGTATTGGAGCGGCGGCGGAGGGAAGTGGAGGAGCGGCTGGGTGGCGGCGGAGAGGTATTGGGCAACAGGAGGTATGAGCCTCAGCCTGCGGGTGGTATGATTTAAGACGTCGCAAAGGCAAGGACGTTTGAGCGGACAGCAAGCCGAACTGCACTAGGGACCTGGAGACAATGGCCCGTGGCAGGTTCTTAGTCGCTGTGAGCGTTACTCCTGGATTGCAGGCGGCTCCGCTGATGAGAACATTTTCTTCGTTCCCCATCTAGCTTATTCTATTTGGAGCTGGAGTTCCTGATGTCGATACTGCAATCGTTGTGTCTCGGTGACTGAGCTCTAGCTAGAAATGTTGTGTTGGTGGAGCCATCCTTGTTTCCGCGCGCATATCCTCTCACTTCAATCGCGTGTCTTCCCGATAAAGCACCTGGCCGTTCACCCTGCCATCCTCGCCGCCGTTCTTTGCCAAGTCTCCAGTCAATGTCAAAAACGCCGCCTGCTGAAAGATCCGAGCAGTGTTATTGGCCAATGAGAGCATCTTCATCGCAAGCTAGGCAACCTGTGCCTTTCTTTAGGTTTCCTCCTTGGTCTCCTTCTTCTGCGCGCCGCTGCTCTTTCGGAATCTCTTGCCCTTTTGCTCCCGCTTGAGAGCCTGCATAATGGGGCGGTCAGCATCTTCCACCATCTTGCGTATCTGCTTTCGCAACCTGAGCTCATGTGCGGGCAATGACTCAGCGTTCTGGTGACTCTTCTTTGCGAGAGCAATACTGTTACAGTCTCGGGTGATGCGATCGACAATAACTTGCAGCGTACCAGTTAGCGAGTTCACGGAAGCATGCAGCAGCAGTTCGACTTCACCATGGACCGCTTCGGTGGCACTACGGTACATAGTTCCCCTCACTGTTGTGACGTGATCAGCCATGGCCTCTTTCATGCGCTGGAAAGTGCCTTTTTGCCGATGGTGCGGCACACTCTGTGTAGCCTGTAGCCATGTGCTTGCTGATGGTCTCACGGAAGGTGCAGTTCATCTCGCGCTGTTGGACTGCTATGGTCTCCTTGATGCCATTGACTGTGAGCAAGAGCTTGTGTCTGTGGTTTGCGGCTTGATGTCGCGCATTTGGATCTCTGCATTGGTCACACCGTTTTGGTTGGCTTTGGCTTTGAAGGCGTTGTGTAACTTCGTGAGTAGCTGGACACAGTCACTATTATGCCGACTTAGCGCCGTAGGAATGGTGTCGCCGAACGCACACTCCCAAGATTGCGCAATGCCGAAGGTCATAGGAGTCGTCATGTCTTCGATGAAGTCGTAGTTGATGCGTCTGCTGCTTGTGTGGAGACCGCCCTTTCGCACAGTAGCTCGGTATGTCTGGCAGTTCATCGTTTCCCACTTTTGTGACGTTGATATGACCTGAGATACCTTGCCATCGGTTTGCGACGGTGCTTTGCCGTCACTACATGTTCACAAGACCATAGCTCAAATGATATCCCACTTGTCTGCAACCATTCTGGTAGCCAAATCTCGTGCTCATCCGCTGATCTTCCATGAGTCTGAGCCACGAGTTGTAAAGTCTTGGCACATTGTGTTCAGGGGTCGAAGCCTCGCTATCACGTGATCCGCCCGCAATGGCTGGGTCACCGTGCCTGTAGAAGGTCAGTCACAGGTGGTGCATCACTCCAACGATCTCAATAGATCGAGAACAGTCGGGATGAGTGGTGACTGTCAGTTCCGTCTTTCATAGACTCCCACTGTTCCCAAATAGGAAAGGTATGTACCATAGACTTATAAGTACCTCCTTCGTTCCTGCTACCATTTGACCGTTCATACCATCTCACACCTCTCGCGTGCCATTCGGAGATAGCCTGACGAGTAGCAGCAGTCACACTACCGCCACTACCCCGGACAGGTCTACTAGCCGTTGCGGATCAAACCGACTGACCTCAAATCTGTGAGTCCACTAATGGATCGTCATTCGAGACCATTGGAGGGCCTGTTCGTCATTCCTGATCCGCCTTCGGATCGTACAACATCTATAGACACAGCTGTTGCTTCCACATCACCCGGGGACGATGCTACATAGGTTGCAAAAAGGCCGGTCGGCGACAGCCCAGAACTTTTCCGATTGTTATTGATCTCCTATCCCAATTTGACGCCACAGGAATCTCTCCATGTTTCTTATGAGCTGAGAAGACAGATTCGTTGTCTCACACCCTCTCTCGAGTTCCAAGATTTGACCAACGCATCGAGCGTGCTTGCAAGTCTGAATGAACCCCAAAACCGGTCCTTCGCGCGGGAAACTACAATCGCAGTCATCGGCAAGATGGGTGTGGGTAAGAGCTCGGCAATCAATGCCATCCTCGGTCACTCGGAGCTAGATACAACCGTCCAGACTAGGGCTAGAACGTCCGTGATCACAGAGTTCAGATACAACCATGATCCTACTTGCCCCTTCAAGGCAGAAATCGAGGCAAAATCCGCGGACGAGGTGAACGTGGTGTTGAAGACGTTGCTCGCGGACTTGCTCTATTTCGAAAGCATCCCTCTCCATGAACGCTTGCTCGAGAGCGAGGCTAAAAAGCCGTCGCGGTCTGCGCAATAACTTCTACACGTGATCTATCTGCCCAACACTGGAACTCAGCACTCTTCCAACTTCTCTTACGGATGATGAGATATCCGGCTGTGTCAAGGGTCTGATGACGGATGAGGCTCTCCTTCATTATATGGGGAAGACTGTCCTGACAGGTAATGAGAATGTCCAACTGTTCTCGAAGAGTGTCCGATCTTTCATCAAGTCGCAGGGTTGGCCACTGATCTGAGTTGTTCGGATCTAGGTTCGTGCACAGGCATTGTCCACCGGCGCTGTTCTGGTTGATCTTCCCGGTCTGCAAGCCTCTATCATCGCTAGATCGGAGTTGGCAGAATCGTATCGAAAGAAGGCTAAGAGTCTGGCTGTTTATCAACATAGTTCGCGGTCTGCAAGAGAAACCCTTCGACCGATGTGTTCGACGACATCGTAACAAGTCAACTCATCATGGACGGGAAGCTCAATGATTTGGCTGTTGAATCAGCTTCGAGGCCATGTCAAACAACGTTTCGACGATATGCTCAAGCAATCCAAGGGCGCTTTGCGCTTCGAAGTCGAAAAAATCCTCGAGGAAGCCTGTGCAGCGTACAACGGCATCAACAAACTGGCGAGGAGTCGATCAGACCCGACACCCGATGAGCCCAAAAAAATCATGAGGATGCTGAAATGGCAGTTGCAACAGGCGATTGATGCACCACCGACGTACTATAACGACGACAGGGAAGAGGACCGGCAGAGAACGCTTGAGAGGATGGATCATCTGGTTATGATGATCAACGACTGAGATGTTATCGGTGTCGGGAATGACATATGTCGAACACGGAAGTTAGTACAGCGACATGGCCAACGGCGTAAAGCAGAGCCTGCGATGACACGGTTGCAGCTTGAGCAACGCACAGTACGGTGGTCCTGGGTATGGCCGCCAGATAGGCTGCAAATAGCGGTGCTCCCGGCTACTTGATTTCCCCACTCAGAGTCTCTGTGACCCTTCAAAGAAGATACAAGTGAGCATATTCCGTACTCGGTCACATGCTCGGATCGAAATTGGCCTTCTGGCTACACAGCGTATGTACGAGCGTAGTTCGAGATTGATTACATCCTACAGTGGAAGTCAGTCTTAGCCGGGGAAGGAAACCCCGCTATATGGGCTAAGCAAAGGGACAAACCCACAGCATCGCGCGCAAATATACATGATCAGTCTCGGGATTACTGAATGAAGATCTCGGAACGACGAGACAGCGGTCAAGCGAGCGTAGCCCCTCTGCGAACGAGAGCTGCCAGGGAAACTGCCGTCTGGAACCCCCGGTTTAGGGCCTCATAGTGTGCATGCACGCTAGATTACGCGAGGCTCCAGGTTCAGCCCCAGAAAGATCCGTACATTGATTGATGTGCTTTCTCCATTGGGAAACATTTACATGCAGTGTTGTACACCTAACCTCATTCTGTGACCGTACCTCTCCGCCCATGGACCCCGCTGGCCAGAACCGGCTTCGCGGTATCCCACGGTCCAATCACCACGTTCTTATAACGCTGCAAACCTATCAACCACCAGCTACAGGCGCCCATCATGAAGACAGTGCTGCCGCCGAAGACAACAATTCCCGTAAAACCCCGGAAGACGACGTGCCATAGCCAGGAAAGGCAGTACCCACAGTCTCCATAGGTGTGAGTGTAGGATTGTGAGAGGATCAGGTTGAGGGAGGAGGTGGACAAAAGGATCAGAGCGGTAGTGAGAAGGACGTGCAGAGGCAAAGAGACGCTGCGCAAGTGACGGCGAAAGACGGGAAAGAGGCCGAAGACTTGAATGCTGAAGAGCGTGAGGCTGAAGACGGAGCTCGTGGATGGGAGGCGGGAGGCGAGAACGGTGGATGCCATCAAGGCAGCATTGGTAGAAAGGGAGGAGGGAAATGGCGGGGCCTGAGAATGGGAGGTTGCCGGAGTCGAGGGCATGGGTCTTGTCGTAGAGCGCGTTGAAGCTCCAGACAGAGTCGATGGTGTGAGACTCCGGTAGTCGAAGAAGAAGATGTTGATTATGAGAAGCCAAGTAGCTAACGCCCAGATAGAATCGGAGGATGTGGATTTCGTGAGCGACTTGAGAATAGGTGATAGGCCGAGAAGGGCGAAATAGATCAGCAGGGCGGACTTGAAGGTCTTCAAACGCGCTTGGTTACGTGCTGAGATGGTTGTAAGGGTAGTGGGAGATCGTGATACAATGGGCGATGGCAGGGTCGGTGAGCGTGCTTGAAGTGATGAAAATTGCAGCCCTTCGATTGGTGACATTGACTGCATTGAAGATTTGGAGAGCGATTGCCCATGTCCATTCGGTTGAAGTTCCTCATTCTTGGCTGCTAGGTCCGAGGTCGAGAGACTCAGGCCCAATCCCTTGCCACGCAGTTCTCCATTCACATGTCCGTTGATATGACCATTTCCCAGTGTTGGCCCAGCGTAACCTCCAGAGCTTGTACTTGATACTTCATCAACGTCGGTAGGAGCTTTCGAAGTGACAGGGCCTCGATAAGCTTCATCCTGGCCCAGCCATCTATCCCAGAGGACCCAGCCAGCGAGTGTAACCACAGTGCCCCATGTGACAACGGTCGTAGGAGATAGTCGATCCTGGTAGATACCAGCGTATGCGCAGACAAAGATGGTGACGGAGCAGACGTGTTGGACGATAACGGTCGAATCCGCTACCAACGGCCAGAAGTCGTAAGGGCGTAGGCGTGGATTCCGTTGGAGGTGATCGAGGAAAGTCTCGGTGTCGGTATAGTTGTCGGGAAAGCCGTGTTGCTTCACCCAGAGCAACTTTTTCCATACTCGCGGTTGTTTCCTCCTCCTGCTGGCACTTCTCCGTCTTTCTTCAGCTAAACGCGCAGCGACAGGCGGAATTGCCGGTGGCGCACGAAGGGACGCTACAGCGGGACGAAGGGCTGCCGCTGCCGCCGCCGCCGCCGCCGAGCCATTGATCTCGGTGAGTGGCTTGAGGCGTGGCGGGGAGAATGTCTTGTAGGCATCTTCTGGGGCAAGGTGACCGCTTTCTGGTGTGGGCTGCTTTGGCTGTTTGAACGCCCCTCGGTTGGGATGAGTCTCGACGGGGACAGGCGGCGGAACAGGTGACGGCGCCGGAGTGGGCGTTGTTGCCCTACTGGCCTCAACGGATTGTTCGGGAGTCGTCATGGCTCCCTCTCCGCGCCCGGGAGCATCTTGTTGGGCGGCCAGGCCGACGCGCGACCAACTCGTACTCTACGATGTTACTCGTGTTGTGGGTCGCGGCCGAAGGCGTTTCTGACAGCCGCAGACACGGAAACATTCGTTGATAGCATGCAGCAGATGGTAGTGGTGAGTTAGGAGAATGATCGACCAGGCTTGGCGCGGGCCCCTCAGCACCGAACAGCCAAGCTGGAGGGTTAAACCTAGCGTGGACGACACCCCCGGGCAAGGGCCTGGCCCGCTGCATGACTGATCTAATACGACCGCTGCGCATCTTCGGACGAGGTAGAGTGTTGTACGAGCGAGCCGCAAGCGCCCTGAGGCGTACACTTCTGGAAATTTTTGCTTAGCACCCCGATGCATCAAGTCGATCACCATTGGATGACTGCGCTTCTCTTGATTGTCAGAACATCGCCCTCGCGCCTCACCGTTGGAAGTCCTCACCTAGAGGCATCTATTATGTGGGTTGCCTAATTCTTGAAATACGGTCAGCTGCGATCGAAACCCTCAACACCTACGCCCATGGCCACCAAGAAGTGTCGCTCGGTCTGATCTCAGGCCCGATCTACTCTTGGAACAAGCTTACCTAACCCGACTATGAGCCGCACTAGGCGTTGCAGGGATATTACTCCGCTTGTTGGCTGATCTTTCCGAGCTCTTGCATACTCCTACTCGAGACCGTTCTTTGCCATCCATCACCTAGCGGATTGACGGAAAGTCCCCAAACGAGGTTGACTCTTCTGCTATGGAAGGCTTTCGGCGTCAGTGCTCTTCAATGGTCAACGGTAGCAATAAGCACCCCCCAGCGCATGTTCTAAGATTTCATCGCTCAATGGTTTCCTACCAGCTCTCTGGCGCCTTGTAGGGCGACAGCTGTGAGTGGCTTGCGACAGTGCGCTACCACTATCGCGGAACGGGCTGCGAGCATTGGGATCCCTTGCTTGTCAGTCATGGCCCCCATGTGCCGGGGTTGCGGATACTATCAAACAAAGCTCCGCTCCTCGGTGAGGACTAGCTTCTACTGGTCAAAGCATCTAATTCTGCGATGCTGGCCACCGATACCCTGCAGTCATTCTCGGCAGCCTTATTGACTAAGTCAGTGAGGTCGATCATCAGACAGATTCTGACCTAACCAACATGTCTAGTCAAGCGTGCGCCAGGCTGTACCTAGACCTCGGGTGCGACCCCAATGTACGAGCTGCAAGCTCAGATTCGCCCGTGTTGAGGACATGATGGGGGCTGAAAATAGCTCACCCCGTCTCTTGCATTGAACACGAACCATGCATCCAATGACAACTTGAGACTGTCTGGACCATCGATGCTCCGCTATCAGCAAAATGGAAGTCAAGCTTCCGACTACCGCAGTGCCCAACGCTTCAAGCAGCAGACAGGGCTCTGATATGACTTGGCCTGAACATCGCCTCTCTCAATATATCCGATTCTCATTATCCTCCTGTAGGACGCACCTAGTCTGTTCTTGATCAAGTACGATCGTATTCATAAGGTTTACGTCCCGTCGCCACAGTCGCTCTCAAATGCGAGCTGAACCCCTCACCCAGCTTAGCGAGCACCCCGACTTTTAAGGCAACGGGCAATACAACAAGTCGAACTCGCTGTTGCAGTTCCTGATCATCATACGAGTTCCAGAGCAAGTGCGACCGATGTTTGGGTGCTCCCCACCGGCATCTGCACGTTTGCGACACATCTTTGGGTGCTCCTTACTCAACCGTGCGCGCCTGCTCGCCTTGACGAAATGGTGTATCACGGTCCTAGCAGAGGGTGTGGCGTGTGCAGGAAAAGGCGAGTTAAGGCAAGTGCAACCAACCCAGTCTACTGCCGTGTGAGTTAACTCTCTCGAAGTGCGACGAGGTCAGACCATTTTGCGGAAATTGCGTCCGAAGGCGGCAACAGCAACTCTGCGTTTATCGCAATTCATTTGATATAGTTGGAAAGGAAGGCAGGCGTGGTAGCAGAGACTCCAGATCATCAAGCGAGGGCCACACCAATACTCTCAGTGAAGATGAGGCTTTGGTTCGATATGGTTTGTAGTTCCGTCCAAGAGATCCTCTCGTCTGATCTATTTCCCAGAGCCGAAGGTCGTCATCCCTTATTCAGCGCTCCACCACCAGAGCCGTGATGGTGAGTTCGAGTCTCTATGTTTCTTCTTCACCAACTATGTCAATATTCCACGCGAATCTCACACAAACCTGTTCCTTGAGGCTATCCTGCCTTTATACAACTCCGTCTCGTCAGAGTCACCGCTCCGACATGCAACATCGGCGGTGGCGGTGGCCATCGCGGATTTCTGGAGAACGATGGGTCCGTACTCTGGCAATTCTCGCAAGCCATGGGCCAAGGCGGTGGCTGCCACCAGAAGTGCCATTTTCGATCCGAATCTGGCGCAAAGCGATGAGCTACTGGCAGCCATCTTCATGCTCGACTTCTACGAAGGCCTTAATCGGCGTTACGTCAATATGCTCGAGGACCCTGATCTACACCAAAAAGCTGGAATGGCGATAATGCAAGCGCGCGGTGACAACAACCTCTCGACCGACATCTCGAGAAGGCTCTACTCTGCGTTGAAATCAAAATATATCTTCAGTCATTTGCAGTCAAGAAGACCCGTCGACCAGAATGACGACTTCATCATGAACCAACCCCCGGAGCTCTCAGAATGGCCAACTTCGCGTCTGGACCGAGTGATGGTCGACTTATCAAATGTACTTGCCAATCTTGAGGATTACTCCAAAAGAACCATGTCTTTCGCCGCCCTGCGACTAGATTCCGATGGCGTCTTCGACACGTTATCAGCGGAGGCACTCCTTCGAGAGTGCTTCCGGATCAAGCAGGTCATGAATGAATGGCGTGACAATGTCCCTAAATCATGGCAGCCTTATCGTATCCAGGATCCGGAAGAGATACATTACTCAATTCGAGCAGTTGGTCTCTACAACGGCCTTTGCGATGTGTACAGCTCACACACGGTCGCGCAAATGATGAACTTCTGGAGGACTATGAAGATTACAGTGCTTCGTCTCATCAAACACCTCTCCTGGCTGGTTGGGGTGCAGTTCCTACTCGAACATGTTCCAACGGATGCCGAGATCGATGAAGAAATACAACAACTCGCTGACGAGATTTGTGCGTGTGTTCCCTTCCATTTAGGCAGTCGAACGACGGTGTCATACCCACACGAGCCTCAAAGATACCCACCGGTACCAGATTGGCTACGGGAATCGGCAGATTATATCGATTCAATGGGAAGACCAACCATCAACACCGATGCCGATCATGCTCGGACTGCTGCGTCAGCCGGTGGTTGGTTCCTGCTCACTCCGTTAACCACACTGATGGAATATTACCGACCATTTCCCTTGACTCCAGGCGCTGATGAGCGATCAACTTTGGAACCCATGAATTTAAGACAGGGTCAGTCACGGTGGATTATGGGACAATGCAGGAGGATACACAAGATTTACTTGATACCCTGGCCATACGGACCGATCGAAGGACGCGGTGTCGGAGGCTCCCTATCGCTATCATCGTCTTGGGGACCGAAAGATATCGGCGCACGACTTTACTAGTCCCACGAATTAATGAATGAACATTATTGCAACTAAGAGAAGTAACATCACAGTGGTAGTTGAAGTCTCTGTCGGGAAAACGTCATTCCGTCCCCGAATGCCAAGAGCCAAGAGTTGCTTCCCACAACTTGAGTAAACTGCGTTTGACGACTCGCGCGACTGCACTTTGAGACCACAACCACCACGATCCTCCCTCCTCCTCCGATATCCTCGAGCTAGCGACACTGCGTCAAGATGACCAAGGGTACTAGCTCCTTTGGCAAGCGCCACAACAAGTCGCACACGCTGTGCAGAAGGTAGACGATTGCCGCAAACGACAACGGAGAACCTTTCGGCTGACGGTCAATAGATGCGGCCGACGTTCGTGGCACGTTCAGAAGAGCACTTGCTCTTCTTGCGGCTTCCCCGCTGCTAAGATCCGGAAATGTATGACCTTCGATTCCAAAGAGCTGGGAAACAGACTAACGACAGACAGTCGAGTGGAGCGAGAAGGCAAAGCGTAGAAAGGTCACTGGCACCGGCCGCATGCGAACCCTTAAGAATGTTGCTCGCAAGTTCGCCAATGGATTCCAGACTGGCACGTACGTATCCCTCGATCGACCACAATTTCAGCATGAGGAGTTGGGAATCTAACAAACATTGCAGACCCAAAGGTGCGCGGGGACCATCGAAAGCCTAGATGAATGTGGTTGGCGTTTGATCTGAAACTTCCGACGATACATAGCGTGGGAAAGAGCGTGACTACGAGAGACTTACGGACACGAGGCTGTGCGAAAGGAGCCAGCATGAGGAGAGGAACGACCAGTCTCTCGAGGTGAGACGACACGAGAGTCGTCACATTTCAGTCAAGGCTCGCATGCTCATGGCGATGGAAGGGCAACCCGCGATTTCTGTTCGGGGGCTCTTGCCCAATTCGAAATTCAGAAAAGGTGGTAGTCCGAAAATGAAATCTTACAAGCAACACCCAAAAATCTTGCCTTCCTACCCACCACTCGATCCCCAGATGCCTGAAGCAATTCCGTCCACCCTTGTTCCGTACTTGCTAGATAACCCGCCTGACCCATGCCTAACTCTCGTAAGCTCGACATTGAGCACGCCTGCACATTGGCTGTTGATACGTTACCTCTTTGCCGCACTACAGGGCACGTCCACGGATGAGTCACGCACGGAACCCAAAGGTCATGAATCACATCAACAAGGCGCTGTTGTGCTTGTGAGCCTGCTGCGCCCACCGGATTTGTGGCTCGAATTGGGCAAGAAAATTGTACGTCCGCTGCGGATCAGAATAGTTGACGCTGATGTTGTGTTAGGGCCTTGACCTCGCCAAACTTGCAAAAAACAAGCGACTCGTTTACATTGATGCATTTAGCATCTACGAAGGCACAGCGTCTTTGCCCATTCCAGCGACTAGCCTCAAATCGCTCTCCCTGGATGACCTGTTTAGATCAATTAAGCATGGAGTCCAGTCATGCACATCCACACCCGCAAAACAAAATGGCCATTCAAGAAGAATAACGGTCATCATTGATGGAATCGATTTCCTTTTGGCCTCTCAGCCGCATGCGACTTCTGTGGCCTTGCAGCAATGCCTGTCCAGAACTATGTCACTCTGTCACTCGCTAGTCATCAGCTCTAACGCGGACTCGCCTCTATTGCATAATCGAGAAGATTCATCCACTTCGCTAGAGCGTGGACATGCTACCTGCATCACCTCCATGGCTCATCAAGCATCCCGAGTTCTTCAGCTTCGAGGCTTGGACACAGGGGCCGCACGAGATGTTACTGGAGTCTTGCGCATATCAAAAGGTGGCAATTGTGATCCAGATGGACCGTCGTCAACGATGGCCGAGGGCGAATGGCTTTACCAATGCAAGAGCGACGGCAGTGTCCGAGTGTGGCTTCGAGGCGAGTGAACGGCTCTCACCATGGTACCCCTCGGCAACCCTTTCCTCTGATCAAGGGTCCTGCATGAGAATATTTAGCCGTTATCGATAAGCCTAGATCGACGACAACCAGCAGCCCAGCTTCTCTGGAAAACCTGTTTTGCAGAGTCTCGATCTTCAACCGCCAAATAGCGAGTGGCAAACATACCTTTAAGGTAGCGATGTGTGCTCATCGATCCCTGCGCTACACAGCCACCATGTGGACCAGCCACGCCGTCACTCTGGTCCCTGCATCGTCTGTGGCGTTCTTGCCCACTCACGTCGCTTCGCACGAGCTTAGCTTGCGCCTGAACCCGTGTTTATGAGAGGAGAGGTCCAGATCGGCAGTCCCAGCGACGTTCTAGGGCTGTTCTAAATCGAAGACATCGCTTCGCCTGCCCATACAGATGCCGTTGTACATGGCTTTTCCTCGCAATGGCGTTTGCTCCGTCAGGGTCCTAAGCGGTAGGAACGGCTGGTAGTTTCTGCCCATGCATTGATGTTTCCGTCATCTCGAAGCGATCGTTCTTCTTCACTTCTCTGCTTGCGCAAAGGTACATTGATCATGTATTAGTAGTTGCCGACCTGTGATCGAGGAACCAGGTTATTGTGGCTCTTCTTCACCAGCGACCATCGCAATGTCTGAGACCTCTACTGATATCCTGGGCGTACTTGTGTCGGAGGGCTATGGCATCTTCACACAAGTTACCTCCATCCTCGATAGCTTGACACAAAGCTCATTAACTCCGACCTCGACAAGCGCCTTCGCGTCTTTATCAAGCTCTGTATCCTCCGATGCCTCTTCGGCTACACCAGCTTCCTCCACCTCCACATCAAGCACGCCCAATACTTCTGAACCATCGGTAGCCGCTGCATCTACCGCAGCTTCACCTACTGCAGCGGCTACATCGAGCACTCCTTCAAGTGCGAATGCAGCTGGAGGCGGTCATAGCAACAAGATGGCAATCATTCTCGGCACAGTGTTGGGAGCTTTAGCACTTGGCCTTCTCATCCTTGCCATCTTGCTATGTTGTCGCCGAAGACGTCGGCGGAGCCGAAATGGGTCTGTCCGCCACAGCGCTCTTCTTCCGGCTGACGATGAAGTCAACGGATGGAGGCAGCCACAATTCAAGGAGGGAAGAAGTTATGAGTCTAGCAAGGAATTGACTGAAGGTGGAGCCCCGCTCATGACGGAGCACCCGGCCTACCGAAACAGTCACGAGAATCCTTTTGTGCCGGTTCCACCCCCGCCGAGAAGGAGTGCTCCCAATTCCAGAGCCGGCCTGACGGACGGGAACGTTCCTGGAGATGCTCCTTATCTTATGGAAAAGGGCACCGGCAGGCCCATCGGCTTGAACGAGAGTAGGTCACGAAGCAGATCGGGTCATGGTAAAGCCCTCGCCATGGGAGCCGGAGGTGCCGCTTTTGGCGCAGCCGCATTGCACCATCACAACAAGAAGCGCAACTCTGCTGGTGACGACTCACCTAAGCATACCATCAATCGGAAGCCTGTTCCAGTCAACACTATCAGCGGCGGCGAAGCCTGGCCTTATGCATATCCTCCACCAATTCACAACCCGGAGTTTGGAGGAGCTGCTGGCGTAGGCACACCTTCGCGGCAAAGTTTGGAATCCGGTCGCGGCCGTCCAGGACGTGATCCCGCTCGTGCCAACGCGGCTTTCAATAACGAATATCGCAACTCCTCAGGCGACCGACATCCTGTTGCTGCCAAAACAGCCGCGGCCCTCGGAGCCGGCGCTCTCGGCGGAGCAGCCCTTGCCCACCACCGCGACAAGAATCGTGAAGACTCTGACTCCAGTCGCATGTCACATGATGCTACCCTCGTCGCTGCAGGCCGGCAAGCCTCTGACACCAGCTCTGACTCCAACAACCACCGGTATTCTGATGCAATGGCCCGTCAACAACCGGGCATTCACGAGCTCCCTTCCAACATCCCACCAACGCCTCCTGTCCGCGAACACCGCAATTCGGCCTTCGGTGCCGCTGCTCCTCCGGCCGCAGTCGGCAGTTACTTCACACCAGACCGTCAGAGCGGATCGTCGCACTCTCGCTCACGTTCACGCTCACGTTCGCATTCGCAGTCATCGAGCCGGCCAGTGTCCTTCCCAGAAAACCCTGATGATTACCACTACAAGAGAGAGTCACATCCACCAATTCCATCTCGCTCACCTGCCCGGCAGTCTTTCGTTCCTTCTGTTGGCGCCTCGTCGGATTATGGAGATATTCCTGTAACGTACAATCCCAGCTCGCCACCATATGAGAGAAGGAGCCTCGTGGGCGATAATGGCTACCCGCATATGGGCGTACCACGGCGAAAGTCAACTGCTGCGTACGAATATGATCATGATGACGAAGACTTGAGCCCACCGGCCGTACCGAAACCATTGGGTGGCAGTGACGAGAGCAGGCAACCGAGCGATGACAGCACATGGAGGCTGAGCATGGGTATGCCTGGTGGTTGGCAACGAGCGGGCATGGAGCAAACGCCGCGGGAGAGCATGGATGGGTGGGTAAGCCCCGTGAGTCCCGTGGGTACTGGCTGGGAAGCAGATCGGAAGAGTGGAGGTAGCGGAATGGGAATAGGAAGATTGAGGAGGCCAATGGTGGAAAATCACGGCTACGAGAGCCACGCCAGCAATGGAGTGGGGAGAGCGCTGTAAGCTCGCAAGGAGTATTACGACGGACGTATTCAAAGGAGCACATAAGGCATATGGCGATGCGGTTCCGGTGTTGCATCTGTACAGGCATTAGTTCTGCGTCTAGTTCGCGTCGGGTGTCTATAGCACCATCGACCACCCCAATGTTCATATCAACACATCTTGACCATGTCGAGGATCGACGAGTGATGTTCATCATGACTTGCTGCTTGTTTGAGGCCGCTAGTGAGCCTAGGATCTTTGTTCGTTCTACTTTCCAGTGCTATGCATGCGTACAGCCTGCTCCGCCAATAGTGATATTCCGTAAGCTCTTCCAACTCCTTCTTTGCCAATGTATGCAAGTACCCGTTCGGATGCAATGAACAAAATCCCAGCCAGAACCAGATGTGGTTGGCTTACCCCAAAACTAACTCCGTGCAAAGACCTAAATGCATCTATACAACTCGTAATTGTTCAGGCTTCGATGGCGGAGAGACTTAATGCAATAAGTCGCTCATACCACGCGGAAGCCGACCATTTGGACTGACTGTCTCGCTGTTGCTCGAGCCCGGCCTCGATGGGGTCTCCTCTTCTGCCTGTGCAGGAGGCGTGCTCCTCATCAGTGCCGGTGGCGTCTCAGGATATGGACTAGATCCCGCAGAGGAGAACTCCATCTTTAAAGGCTTCGATAGTTGCGCATTGGACAGTGAATCCCGACGTGGCGATAGGGGCTCTGATGCGAGATCTTTCTTGATCGGAATGGAAGTCGGCGCCGACTTAGTCACCTTGCTCATATTCATCATGGATGGCTGGCCCGAATTATGCTTCTTGGACTTCGAACCACCAGCACTGCGCCTCCCGGATGCTTTGACTGCGGATTTTGCCTTGGGTTTGTTCTCTTTGCCAGACAGAACCTTGTTGAGTGATGGACCCCACTTGCTGGCAGCAGGTCTGATACCGGATGGTCTTTCATCGAAGACAAGAGGAATGTTGATCGACAAGCTCGGTTGTGGAGAGAATGTAGGATTCTCCAAACCATAATGCCTGGGAGACATCGGAGGTGTAGCTGGCGCCTTGAGCTCGGACTGAATTAGTTTCTTTGGGGTTGGTACGTGAACGCTGGCGCAACCTCCGTTCAGTTTTGATTTCTCCAAGTCCGAGTCGGTGTAGGCTTCGGCAATGTCGGGCGAAAGGTCATCCCATTCCTTTAGACAGGCACGTTGCGCAACTTCATCGGCGTCACCCCGAACAATGAGGTCCCAACAATCCTCCAGATCTTTGCCGGGTGGGGCAGGATCGCGATTGATCCATATTGTCGTTCCCTCCTTGCGATCTCGAACAATTTTGCACATCTCGGCTGTAATCCGTCGTACAGCTGGGATTTTCATACTGGTACCAACAACAATTACAGCATCAGGCCGGGTGCGGAAGTCAGCCGTAGTAACAGCGCCGATTGCTTCATCATCTGGATTATGCTCGTTGTACAAGACAATGCGTGGACGCAGCCTTCCAACTCCGTGACTTCGCTTGCCAGCATGTTCAGTACGAATGTTGTCTCGGGTCAAGCATTCAGGACATTGGGGTGGAATTGAACCTTGGAAAAGCTCTTCTTCGAAGTTGGAGATTTGGCGGCATTTCTGACACATCATCTTCTCGAGGCCGCCGTGCAACTGGATAGTTTTCGGCCAAGGCGCCTTATGAGCAAGCGGGACTGCTGTTGTTAAGGGTGGAAGCTTGCTTTCAAGACCATCAACATTTTGTGTGTACAGCCGTAACAATCTGCCTTCAGTCGATAGTCTGGCGAGCAATCGGTGGAACAGGGTAGGTTTCGCATCCTGAGATAGCTGAGACAATTTGCGAACCATCTCGTGAAAGGAAGAAGTCGAGGAGTCGTCCTTGTAGACGGAAGCGTCGAACAATTCTTTGCCAGAACTTTTGAGCTTGTGCTCGGCCCTTAGGCTTCGAAACAGGCCGTGGGAGGAGCGAAAGTCAGGAATGCCTGCAGATACCGAGATACCAGCTCCAGCGATCACTACGATCTTCCTCCTCTTTCTGAGAGCTTTCAGTAACAGATCTAGTGACTGCTCGCGGTCGTGAAGTGCTTGCGCTGTTTCTGACGTGAGATCTAGATACTGAGTCGTACGCATACGTGCCTCTAGTTTCCTGCGCTTACGAGCAGGCGGCATGTCTTCACCTGCATCTTGGGAAAGTGGTGGGGTGATGTCGCGAAAGTCTGGAGGTGGAGAAATGTCTCTGGGTTCGCTCAAAGGCGACGAGGGCGGCGATGAAGGAGCCTGAGATGAGCTTGGTAGGTCTGTAAGCTCAGAGCAGTCGGAGAAGTCATCGTTATTCATTGCGAGGAAGAAAGAAGTGGTGATGGCGAGTAGAAGCTGGATGTGCGGTGTCGGGGAAGGTGCTATCGAAGTGCTCGGATCGCTGCATGTGGCTGCGCACTTTCCGAACTACTGCAGTGAAGCAATCAATGTTCGTTCAAGCGTGCGATGATATCGACGTCGACGATGCTGGGTCGCAGACTGAGACGTTGGCACGAAATGAAGAGATGAGGAGGAGGTGGTCGTAGCCGGCAAAGTGGAGATGTCAGCGATTCACCCTGCAGGTGCCAGTGGTGGGAGTAAGCGGAAGAAGAAGATGGGGGCGCTGGGGGGAGGAAATGCCTCTCGCTGAGTTTTGGTGCCTGGATCTGAGCGCTAAAAAGGGCACAATAAGGCTGTTATTGCCTGCCGCCATCGGCGATGCATCTTCCCGCATTATCTATACAGAACCATCAGACCGACGATGTACAGGCAAGCTATCGTCCGGTGTTACCCTTTGCACCCAACGTTAATTTTCAACTGATCTACTGGTACCTCTCCTGTTCAAGTGTACTCGATCACAATGCTCGCAGCAATAGGCGTTGCCCCGGCTACGGGCGGCGAGATAGGCGTGTGGCTTGACCCCTGGCCTCTTGCGTAACGCGCCCGAGGAAAGGACGATCGGTGGATCGTCTGGGCGCGTGGCTAGACTCCACCTGCCGCCCACGCCCCAGTGTCAGAAAACGACGGGGACCTCGAAAGCCTCCTCACAGCTCAAGGCTGTGGTCACGAAACCCATCTACCTCCCATCTTGTGGGTTGGTACATGCTACAATACTTTTGGATCCGAAAATTTGTTTGCATCAACTTTGGATGAAGAGCTTGGATAACACAAGCCTGGCCGACGCAGATGGGAGGTTTTAAGCAGCTTGCCGATCCAAGAAATGGAGAACGAATTCAATGCCGACCCCTTCTTCAACGATGGACCCCTCCAGCAGATTAACGAAGGTTCACTTCAGCAGATTGATCAAATAGATCCTGCCGGGGTAGGCATCGATGCGCTTAATAATGTGCCCTTACCAGTCAACCCTCTCATCGTTCAAAGAATCCTCAATCTCCATCAAGGTGGCTCTTCGACTCGCCTCTGCTGGTCACGGCAAGGTCATATCGCAAATATATCTGAGGACGGCAGCAGTATCGACCTACACTGCCTAGTCTTTGACCGGACCAGGCGTACCTGGGTTGTTGGTGCAAAGCGAACTGAACATGTTGGACTTGGTGAATTGGCCAGCCTTGCCTGGAGTCCTATGGCAACCGACATAGCCGTTGTTGACACCCGAGGACGTTTGTCCATTCTCCGACCCACAGGCACTGCTGCCAATCGTCTTTCGGAAGTGCGGTCTGGCACAATAGACGACATACAGGATCTAGGGCAGGCTATTGGTATGGGATGGCTCAGCCAGGACAGAGCAGAACGCCCTAAGCAGGTGGTTCAGTTCACGTCTAAGCAGGAAGGCGGTGATAAATGGGTTCATAACCTAGTCAAGGCCATGCCGATGCAACCTCTCTACCAGCGAGCCATTGTTGTGATTAACAGGCAAGGAACAATGGCTCTTGTCTACGAAAAGCCGGATTCAACATTCGCCAAAACAACCAGTCAACTTGCTCCAAAAACTGATACGATATTCACTCATGCAGCATTCTCGCCCACTACCGAAGGCAAGCTAATGGTTGCTCTTCACGCTCACGACGGAACCCTATCGGCGTATCATGTCTCAATTGACTTTTCCCCCATGAGACAGGACCCAGATGCCTTGCCTTTACTGAACTCCCAGCTCGCCGCCAGCAGATTCCCACGGATCGGCAACACAAGCATTGATGGCCAAATGTACGATTCAGACTCACAGTGTTTGACACATCTCGGTATTATACCTACCTCGGAAATAGAGAAAACGGCACCCCAGCCACCTACCGTGTACGGAATCTACGCCAACATCAATAAGAACATGGGAGCTACCGATGGCGGGTTCATTTCATCTGGTACCATCCGTCGTTGGACGCTGTCCTCCGTTCATCAGACTCTACTGCCCAAATTCAACCACCTACCCGACAAAGCCACTAACTCCGCACCTGTCTTCACAACCTCCGTTCAACTTCTTCCTGAAAAAGAAGAGCAAGGCATCACTAACGCTGGTGTTCTTGACAATGGCCAAGGTCTATTTATCACTACTCTCGATGGTCGGACTGACTTCCTGGCTACCGAAGATCTCTCCTCTCTTTCCTTCGCCGCGTCCGAAAACACGACATCTTCCCTCGCTCAATCCGGCTTCAATTTCCCGCTGCTCTCAAACCAAACCTCAATCTCTCTCTCACCCAACGTTTGCTGCTCTGCTGTACTGTCTCCAGCTTCCACCGTCTCTCTTGTCCCTGCGGACTTCCACCCTCCTACTGCCGAGTCCAGCCAGTCATTGGATCCAACCTCTTCCTCAGCCGATGCCGCCGCAGCTGTAATAGTCCTCTCATTCGCCCGCTCATGCTGGACAAATTCCAACATCGATGACCTCTTATCCATGGTCCTACACACCTTCTCCGCCAGTATGGCCACTCCTCTCATCGTCTCTCTCTATCACACACTCTTCCGCGAGGGCGAGTTCATGCACGAGAAAGATTCCCGCTCAGAACTCGAAAAGGTGGTCCAGAAGCCCGTCCTCACCAAAGTGTTCTCGTTTCATTACGGCGTGGCTTTTCTTTCCATCAAAGACGTACCACCAAGTTCACCCATCCCGCTGTCTGCACAGTGGGTGTGGGTGGCTGCTAACCTTAGATTTGTTGCGCAACTGCTGTATATCAGCATACGGGAGGTACAGAACCCAAGCGCGGAGCCAAGTTCAGAACTTGTGGAGATGGTGTGCGGCAATATCAAATGGACACTTGATCTGGTGCGATATATTGCGGCGAGCATCTTTGAGGTATCAGATCGAGAAACTAATCCGGAATTCTTCGATAAACCTCAAGGTGGGCATGTCGTGGATGGGAGTCAGGGGCTCGTGGCATTGCTGCTGAATTGCCATTGGAGCAGGCAATTCTTCATCGCAATCGTGAGAGCGATGAGAGTGTTGTGTAAATTGCCCGAGCCGAGGAGTGCGCAACAGACTGAGATCATTCGTACCATAATGCAGTGGAGTCAAGGAAAAGGATTGAGTCTGATTGCGGTAGAGGCGCTACTGGATCCGAGATGGAGTGGATGGGCGGATAATGAGCTTGAAGGAGATCTGGCCAAGATCAGTTCCAGACAGATCCGAATGATGGCAACTGGGGTGGTAGAGGGGGGATTCCAAGGTACGGTGAGGAGGGTGCTGGGAAAGCTGTTCAACGTTAAAGGTGGAATGAGGGACAAGGGAGCGGTGGACAGATTGAAGTTGTGGAGTCACAAGGTGGATTTAGGTTGGGTACTGCTGGACGATGAGTGGGAAGGAGCGAGACCAGAGGGCAGGAAGAAGAGAGTGTTTGATGTGCACAAGAAGAAGGTCATCACGAAGGGAAAGAGAGAGATTATTTCCGGAGAGTCAGGCGAGGAAATGATCAAGCGATGTGTGAGGTGTGGGCGGCACAACGAGGACGTCAATGGGATGGGCAAAGAGTTCCCGAGGCATGTGGCGGGTTTGATGATGCGATGTGTTTGTGACGGGCCTTGGATCGTCGAGCCATGGGCAAAAGCCATCACCTAGATAAGTTCGGAAACGGAGGTAACGCAAAGTCTTGAAATTCACTCGAGCGAGCAGTGGGCGATAGACAAACGTAGTCTGGGTACTGGGTTGCAAGTCGTGTTCGTTCCTGTGACCAACCTTTCCATATTACTGCACCGCTTGAAAGGCTGGTATCTTTGAAATTCATTTTGATTTCATAAGTTTGACCTGCGGGATGGTATCGTAACTTGCATCTTGCAGATCATCAACGCCATTCGTTGATGCAAAGCCGGTCCCCGCTTCCAGGTACGAATTGCTTGCCGTCCCCTCGAAGTCAACCAGAACCATCAAAATCTGGCTCCCCTCATGCTGATCTTGGTCACCTCTTACAATAACTCACAACCGCGTTTCAAGCCTCAGCCTTGACAGCGTACTTGCGCACCGGGAAGTGTGTCGTCCGCTTCTTCTGCTTCTGGGTCACTCGGCTGGCGTCCTTGGGGCTCAATCTCCGGCGAATGGCGCGGGTCTGCTTGGCTCGGAGGTCGAGAGGGAGGTACTTCTTCTTGGAATAAAATTGGCGCAGAGAGTGGCGCTGGTTGGCGTTGATGACTGTCAGGACACGGGCGATCGACTTGCGGAGGTCGTGGCTAGGAAAACGTTAGTCCTCTGCTTTGCATCTAAACCCCGGATTTGGAGGGAAGCGGGCACGGCGCACATTCTGGTGAGTTTTGATGAGGCACCGCCAGCGATCTTCTGGACGCGGAGTTGGCCCAACTCAGTCTTGAGCTCATCGAGTTGCTTCGCGAGGTCATCCTTGGACTTGCCCCAGAGCGAGGAAGACTTGACACGGGCGGTGGACGACTGTAGAGCTGTCAGCGAATGATACTGGGCATTCTGAGTGGATAGTATACCATTGTGACGGTGGTGAGTCGGTGTCGTTGGAAATTGGCGAAGAGTGTAGGTCGCTGTTGCGGCGTCGACTGCGGACGACAAAAACGCAAGTAAAGTGCGACGCTTGGCATGTCAATCTTGGCAGGCGCCATCTACCAATTGCATTGCGCCTATCCCCGGGATGAATTCAGCGGCAAGGCTGTGGTTCAGCCCCGTTGGGTTCCGCCTGTCTCAACTGCATGTGAAGGTCGAGCAGGAGTAGTTGAGTAGACACCGCTCATTCCCTTAGGCAGCGCTCTCTCAGTACTGAACAAGCGTCAATTTTCTGCACCATTTTGCTTTCCCCTGCCTCTTATTTGACATGGCGAGCGGCACGGGATGGGCACAACTGCGTCAACAGATCAGAACACTCGAAAGCCAGAGCGAATCGCTGTTCCACACCTATTCACAGTATGTGTCTGCTGCAAACCTACCCGAGAAACCCTCGGAAGAGGAAGTGAAGAATGAAAGCGATCTATCAGAGCTCTTTGAGAAACGAGAGTCTCTAATCTCACAACTATCTCGTCTTCTGGATTCCGAATCCGCCCTGAATACCTCATCGCTCAAACAGAACAACTTGTCCAGACATCGAGAAGTTCTCGCGGAACACCGATCGGAGCTACGGCGACTCAAATCCTCAATAGCAGAAGCGCGAGACCGACAGCATTTGCTGACGAGTGTGCGCTCGGATATCGACGCGTTTCGGTCATCAAACCCAGCGGAGGCAGAGGCAGAGTACATGTTACAAGAAAGAGGAAGATTGGACAGCAGTCACAATGTCATCGACGGTATCATTTCGCAGGCGTATGCAATCAACGAGAACTTTGGACTGCAGCAAGAAACCCTTGCCAGCATCAATCGCCGAATCACCTCGGCAGCGGCACAAGTACCGGGAATCAACGGCTTAATCCAGAGAATTGGCACAAAGCGAAGGAGAGATGGCATCATCCTTGGTTCCTTTATCGCTTTCTGTTTCCTGTTGTTCTTCTGGATTCTGTGACAGGCCGAAAGTCGAAGTTAGCGACTGTTCAGAGATACCCCGGGAGCCACATTACGGTGCACGTGCGAGCCGTTTAAAGGAAAAGGGAAGTTTCAAGCATAGCATGTGCACCACGACATTTATATTACCTGTCCGCTCCTGCGACCCTTCGAGCTTTGTATGTCAGTATGGACAGAGTCGCAGAGGTGCAAGCAGAACAGGACACTGATCCTTCCTCGCAACAGACCTTCCAGAGCAAATGTTTATGGTATCTGGCCCGGGACATTGGGCGGATACTCCACATGCTGACTCATTCAACCTCAATATCTTTTCGCTATTGTCATGCGAGATGGAAAAGTCATGTGCATTCGACCGGAGAACCTGTACCGTGAGCGAGCAAGAACGCGACCTAGAGCAAAGGTCGAAGCCAAAACGCGGGGCATGCCATCAAGTCTGGGACATTAAGCCTCGCACGAAACGTTCTCTTGATGCACGGTACGAAGCGATCGAAGCTATGGCGCAGATATTGGCTGTGTGCTCAAGGGAGAACATCCGGTGGAGTTTCATTATCACGGAGGCGGTGAACGACAGTCCGGTCCTGAATCACTCCAGCCGCACGAGGCAATAAATGGAAGGCAGCGATCAGTCAGCAACGGCCTAAGACTCTCGCTTCATCTTCGGTATCGACTTTGCAGATCTGGCAGATACGGAGTGCAACAGCGAGGGTAGTGACTTCTCTCGTTTGAGGCCCAGTTCAGGCTCGTCCTGCCTCTTTCCAGTCAGTACCGACCTCTTGGGTCGTTTCTGTCTACAACCATCCATGTGGCCACAAGTTTGACAGGCCAGCTCACATGTTCCGTAAACTCATGCCTTCTGACAAAGTATACATATCAGGGCCAGCCATTCAGACGCTTTAAAGGACCAAGCATACCCGCTTCTGCAAGCCTCTTCGTATTGTAGCCACTTTGAACTTCTTATCTGGCAACCACTTAGGTTGGACTTTGTGGCTAGGGAGCTCCTGTTCATGAGGCCACGCGTCTGACTTGCGTTGCCTAACTGCACCATGCCATAATTAGGGGAGGCCATCTAGACCGCCTCGCTTGGAGAGTCAGCAGTCGAAGCCGGGGTCGTAGGGCGGGCGTTTTCAACCAAGAATTCAAGGTTGTGACGCTGAAGTGCTTGTTTGTACCCCTAAAAATGCTTGGTATAGCTCCTTCAACCAACGTCCGCCCTTTTTCGGGGGTTTGCTGAGGTCAAGACTTCGAGTTTTCTACCGCTCCCCTGCTACCCAAAAGGCAAGTCAAGCACTCAAGCAGGCCAAGTCGGTCAAACTCCTGCCCATTACCACTCTCCATGCCGCCCCTCCGCGGAGCACTGGAGTTCGGTGTGTGCTGGTGCAGCTCTTGTGAAGGGGTGTCTCTAATATCCTGCGCTGTACATACGCTTGCAGCAAGAAGCCGCCGGCTCGTCATTGCGACATAAGAGCCTTGTCCCCTGTAAACGAATGCTTGCACTTGCGCTCCATTCGCAGCTTCTGCTACTCCGTGCTGCTCCCGCTCTATCTCTACAAGCTTTTGAGCCATTTTTCCCTCCACCCCATTCCCTTCCCGTTTCCCCTCTCTTTCCGCACTGCAGCAAATAATGAATCTATGCATCTTCAGCTAGTAGCATTACCGGCCCATCCGGCGTAGCGGGATCCTGTTTGCACTCCCCAATCTCCACCCACCCTGACTTCATCATTTGGGTTTTTGATGACTGGACACACTAGACTGCCTCGAGTCGACTGATTCGCCCTTTCGGGCTACAGCATCAGCATTCATACTACATCGCATTTTAGATTTTTTGAAACTCGCGATCGTCACTCAGTCGCTGCGTCAGCCCCCCCGTCTACCATTCCTCGAATAGTCCTCGCATGACCTTCCGTGACGTGCCCTCGCTGGCGGGCACAAATTCCGGCACTATGGTTGCGCTCGAATCATCGTGAACAGAATTTATGCGAAACACATGCACCCCCAAGACCCCCAAGACCTTATGCGTGGACTTTCGCTGGGCTTGATCTTTCTCGCCACCGCTGGGCCGCCACAAGGCGAGCAAGAAGAGTGTAAAATAATAATCGAGGACCAAACTGACCTGAGATCTCGGCCTCCCTGCCCTGAATGCTTAACTACCTTCGCCGCCCCAACTGCTTAAATATTATGGCTGAATGACTCTGCAATCTCGTTCTTCTGCTATATTCCTTTTCCTGCTGCTACGCGGCCTGAGGTGATACACACCTTTTCGTCGCAATTGTGTTGCATCATTACCATTCTGTATTCACTGCCTCAAAACGCCACTTATCTGAGTAACGAATATATTTGTTGACGAGTCAACGCCATCTTGTTGCGAAATTCACTGGCTCGCTTGCCATTCATACCTGTGTACTTGCTTTCGAGAGACAATTCCTGAGAAGATCTCTGCGCTTGCTGTTTGCGACAGTGCGCTTCGTGCCATTGTTTAAGGCCCTGAGAGAACAATGAGGCTGTTTGGTTGATCCATCTTGTATCTATGTTTGAGAAGCAAATCAAACCACGCAGGACGTGAATTCGTTCTGCATAAGAACAGGCTGCAACCTGTCGGAAGTCTTGCGAGTCGAGAGCATCTCGCGACAGGACCACCACCAACAGCCATCATCCGCGCAACACGACACTCGTTCGAGCGTCGCCTAATACAAGTCCGTGAGATCACTGAATTTCTCACATCATGTGCCTCTATCACACATTTCACTGGTCTTGTTGCCCCGGCACAGCAGCGCCTGCACCATATTACATGCATGCCGAATGCGAGGTCGCTCAAACACCACGCAAACGCGGAACGCGATACAAGAAGTGCCGGATCGAGCATGTCATCCTGGATGGCGCAGATTACGGCGAGCCGTGTCCGAAATGCGGCCAGAAAGCCTCCGATCGAGAGGAGGCGACCGAGGATGTGCAGATGGAAAGCCTGCCAATGGATTCCGCAAGTTGCTGTGATTGAACGACCGAGGAATTTCAGTAATCGAAACCACTACCTTATGCGACAACAGCTTCTGCCTTCAGTGGTGTCTGGACGCCTTCCTTGCGGCGGGGCGGCTGCGAGCTCGTAAGCGGCTTTTTGGGAGATATCATCGCACGCTCCTCTTCGACCAATCGTTCGATAGCTGAGTTCAGTCCTCCAACTTCACCCTCCCAAGCATCACCGCTTCCGGCCCAACGAATCTTCGCCGACGAATCGACCAGATACACATACCCAATCTGGGAATTCAGCAGACCCATGGCGTCACGTACGTCTTCTGTGAGACCCCGCCGGACATCCCGCGGCAGTTTGATCATGAAATATTTATCCCAGCGCTCTTTTGAAATTGTTTTGCGAAGGCTGTTGCGGAAAAGTTTGACGAGGAGGGCGCGAATCCAGTCCGGTTGCATATTCACGTCGATACGCTGGACTTTCGGGCCGTAACGCGCAACAAGGCGCTCGAGATCGGGATTGCTTTTCGGACCGATGAAGGTGTCGACTTGCTCCTGGGCCCAGTGACCAGCTTGCATGCTGATGATGGATATTTTACCAAAGAGAGCGGGTGCAAGATTCCGCCCGCCATCAGGGCCGTCTCCTTCTTTAGATAGCGTTGCCCCCCAGATGTTGGGGAAGTACAAAGCCTTTTCTCTTTTGAACAGTCGAGGATTTGATTGAAACGTCTTTCCACGGTAGTGATCTGCACGTTTCCATTCTTGAAAGTAGGGTCGAAAGTAAGATCGTAGCAAGACTCGCCGCTGCTCGAGAGACTTTTCGGGATTTTGTAGGTCGAGTTTTCGCTGTTCGGCCGTCCGTTTGTCCACTGGGCTATTCTCACCCGCTCTAGGTGGCTTTTGTAAACCCAGAGGACGTGCTAGGACAGAGGGCGTGAATTTTTCGCCGCGCTCGCCTTTGGGAATGGGAATGCGCGAGATGGCAGAGAGATGCTCTGGATTACGGTCGAGGCCGACGTGAAGAGGGATCCCTGACTTTGAAGCGACTGTGCGATCTTCGGTAGGTCGCGGAGGCAGGTGGCTCGAAGATGCGAAGCGAATGGACTTCAGAGACCTCCGCGCGAAATGAGAGCATTGGGAGTGTGGCCGTTGCGCAAGGAGCAGGAAGATGTCCAGCGCATCGGATTTTGGAGCCATGCTGCACAGCTATACGGTCAACGCGTTGAGATTGGGGTTGGTGTTACTGTCTGCTCATGATCATTGCCTAGCAAGGAAGGAACGACTGAAGGAGCTGCCGCAGATCGCGATATGCACGTAATTCCTTGGCATTGATGCGCGTAGGAGACCTCCACCAATGTATGCATGGGTTTATCTACTCCATCTTTCATCACATACAATATCCATCATGTAGACGACATTGTGAGGTCAATGCCATGCATTGAGGGATGGTGGGGACATAGTGGATCGCTCTTGCTTGAGAGTTTTGTACAACCCTCGCAGCACCTGGCCTCAGCTCCTGTCTGTGACTTCACTCTTTTTTTCAGGTGAGACTTATGGTGACTTGAATGACCTTCAACATGGATGCAGCTGCTTCGACGATTCTCTTTACTTTCACACCCTCTCCTATGCTATTTCATTCCCAGCATCACTACCATGGCGTCTCAGCGATGGAAAGACAGAGAAGACTTCTTCCGCGACCTGGAAAGACTTGATGAATTCAGCGATGATGAGCCTGGACAAGACAACTTGCAGAACATGCCAGCGGCTATAGTAAAGCAACCCGCAGCCACCCGAGATGGACCTTTGCCAGCTGCCCACACAGCCCGACCTGTACTTCGACCGTCCACAGCCATTCCTGACTCGGTTCCAAGTTTAAAGCTCCCATCCTCATCAACGCGATCCGGACCGGACAGAAGACCTGCAGAGTTGATGCGCGTTCAGACGGATAGTGGCGTGCCTGAACGAATCGAGAAGCGTAAGCTCAAGAACACGACTAAGCAGACTCCAGATATCATCCCCGAAGGGCAGCAGCTTTTTCCAGGACTTTGCTTCTACTTTGTTCCGAACCGAGACACACCTTACGTTCGGAAACTGAGGGTACAATTTGCTATCGCCAACGGCGCGACATGGGCGAAATCTTGGATCGCGTCTGTGACACATATCATTGTGGACCCGAACCTCTCTTTTCAACAAGCTGTGAAGGCTCTGCCAAGTGGTGTAACTCCAGAAGGCATTCCTCTTGTCAACGACGAGTGGCTTACAGATTGCAGCTTACGCCAACGTGTGTCCGAAGTCACTCAGCGTCGTTTCCTCGTCAAAGGCATGGCATCCCCATTTGCCATCGTCGAGCCTTCAACAACCATTCCTGCCAGCAGATCCTCCAACGGTAACACTAGTTCGGCGGCTCTTGCAAAGCCAGCCACACTCTTCACGAAAAAAGCAAATCTGCCGCCTCCCCCGCAAGTGTACCCTAGCCGCGTACCAGAGACGGCAGAAGACATCCATCGTGGTGACGAAACCTCATACGACGAGCTTGATACGCTGATTGCTGAGCGTCGAGAAATAGACGAGGACGAAACGGCCGCAATGGATCTGGTTCGTAGCACTGACCCGTCGTTCAAGTTCGAGGGCGACTACACGACTGATTTCCCGCACACTTCAGCCGACAAATCGAAATTTCAATGCATGATCAAGAACGAGAGCGGCGGCGATGCAAACAATCCAAATGCGAAAACTATCAGGTTGCTCCAAAAGATGGCTGAGATCTACGACTTGAACCAATCAGTCGACGGATTCCGGGCTAGGGCTTTCAGAATGGCTGCAACAACGCTGAACAAGCAAGACTGCTTAGTCTTCACGAAGGATCAGGCCTTGGCACTTCCAGGCATTGGCAAAAGCATCGCCGAGAAGATCGAGGAGATTGTGCACAAGGGCAGTCTTGGACGACTGAATCAAGCCATTTCAGACCCTTCATACCAAACATTGAATCTGTTCCTGGGCATCTATCACGTTGGCCATCCTCAAGCTGCAGCCTGGGTCGCTGCGGGCTATCGAACGCTACAACAGCTGCTCGAATCAGCGGAGCTTACGTCTAATCAGAAGACTGGAATCGAGCACTACGATGATTTCCGTCAGCGAATCCCTCGAGATGAGGTTCGGCGGCATGGCCTGGTTGTCGGAGAAGCACTGAAGAACATTGATCCGGCCCTAGAATTTGTCATTGGAGGCTCATATCGACGCGGAAACAAAGACTCAGGTGACATTGACATCCTCATCACGAAAGAAGGGGGCGAGCTAGGCTACTTGAGAACCATCATAATGGAAACACTCATTCCGCACCTCAAGAAGACAGGGTTCATCGTTGCCGAATTGGCTTCTGGACATCGAAGTGACAATGAGGTTACCTCCAAGTGGATGGGAGCTTCTTGCTTGCCTGATGTGAAGATTTGGCGACGATTGGACCTGCTCTTCGTTCCATGGGCAGAAATGGGAGCAGCTCTATGCTACTGGACCGGCAATGCCTACTACAACCGCAGTCTTCGCCTGCTAGCTGGTCAAAAAGGCATGAGACTCAACCAGCATGGCCTATTCAAGAACGCAATGCGTGGACCAGGTCGTGTGAAAATCACTGAAGGTGAGCTTGTCGTCAGCCACAGCGAAAAGGAGATTCACGCGGCTCTGGGAGTGACATATCGGCCACCTGAACATCGAAATCCTTAGAATACATGCTTACGGACTAACGAATCTCGACCATCATATCTGGAAGTACGACAACATTCTCGAGCAGTCAGTATGCTTCTCGAGACTAATTATCGACTGCATCAGATCCTCGCCCTTTCCTTTACTGGTAATAGTCTGCATCTCGGCTTTGAACCTCTCCTTGACACCGGCAGCATTGACCCATGGCACGTCGTCAAGCTGTTCCTTGATACTCGAGCCATCGGACAATTTTACCTCGACACTGGCAGGCTGTCGCCTTTCGGTTTTCATGCCTTGGTCGAACTCGTCAAGAGGCGTCACGGAGCACTTGGCCACCAGGTCGGTGATCTCTCTGTCATCGAAACGCTTGAAGAGCTCTTCTGAAGGAGCGCCGTACAGCAGGATGGCACTCACTCCGAATTGGATACTCATTTTGGTCTGCTGGACGGTATCGAACTTCTTGGCAGGATTGTCACAGCCAGGATAATTCTTTGCGGCACTGGTCGATCGAACAATGATCTCTTCAACCTTTAGGCTGCTATCCTTTGATTTCTTCTCTCGGTATGATTCTGATGCTTTCATGGCAACAGCGATGGGCGTCTGCGCATAGTTGCAGCCAGGGACAGGTTTGAATGTGACTTCTATCAGGCCTCGACCAATTTCACTCCTGGACAACCACTCCAGGAACTTCGTTTTGGCCGTGTTGCCCACGTCGAAGGCTGCGAAGAAACCTGCCTTGCCCTCTAGTACATCCTCGCTACACTGCAGCCCAGCTTTTGCAACATCAAAGGCTGTGATTCCTGATGAAGCGGCAGTGCCCATTTCGGTATAGATCTCGACACCGCCTGTCCAAGCCCATTGGTTGAAGCCGCTTGCCATGTTGGCAGCGAATGCCAGTGCATTTGTTGCAACATCCTCGGAGTAGTCCTGGAAATTGGCGACGATGGCAGCGGCCGCCGCCCCGAAAGCGCCGCAAGAGCCGCTCGGCCGGATGTGCTTGTTGTAACCTTCGGTCTGCTGAAACGAGGAGCCAAGGAGGGCGGACATCTCGTATCCCGCAATAATAGCTTTAAGAGTATTCTCGCCGGAGACGCCATCTCGTTGGCCGACTGCTAAAGCGGCTGAGATGACCATGCTGCCAATGTGGGAGTTTGAAGGCAGGTGCATATCATCGCGGATGGCACTGTGGGCGAGCAGAGCGTTGCAGAAAGCCGCCGTCTCTGCACTGACGTTGTCTTTGGTAGCCCAAGTGAATGAGGTGCCAGTACCTCTTGCCTTTGCGTATTTGGTAACCTGGGGTGCCCATGGCGCTTGGAGACCTGCGGATACGGAACTGAGATAGTCGAGGAGTGCGAGAATTGCTTTCTCTTTGAGTTCGGGCTTGAGCGGCTCGGTTGCGATGCGGTGCAACCGACGGGCACAAAGCCTCGTCAAGGGAGAATTCTCAGCGGTTGAACCCATGCTGTAGTCGAAGAGCTTGGTGGACAGAATGAGAAACCACAAGGAAGGAGCGACCAGTATATAGTACTCCAACAGCTAGCCCCACCTACCCCAACTGCTGCACTACCGTGTACACCTGGGATGCGCCTTCCCCACCTCATCTCACCTGACCGTCGCTTTCTGAACCCAGGGGCGCATCAGGAGTCAGAGCCGACCAGATTCAGCTTACACCATGTAGCAGTTATGGAGTTGCTCTGCTCATGCTAGTATCACTGCCTGGTTTCTCCAACGCCAAGTCTCGCCGACTGTACCAATCAAATCGTCCATCCATCTAGCTTGGCATGAAATATATCGACTTTTCAGATTCGTACTCCTTCACAAGTAGATGGGTGCATCTCCATAATTGCAGCATCTGACAATCAATCCACTCCAAATCCAACCACCTTGCCTTGGAACGTTGGTCATGGAGCAATCTGTCGCCGACGAGAGGCCAGCTAAGCGACTCAAGACCTCAGAGCTGTTGGCCACCGATGAAGCTGCTCAGAATGGGACATCCCCAATTGAGCACGGCGCAAATTCTTCGCCAGAAGAGAAGACTATCAACACGCGAGAAGCGGTAGAGCGGAAGGAGCAACTAGTGGGCATCACTGCATTCATCAATCCCCAACAGCAAGCGTTGGCTGGCATCTACAAGAAGCGCTACACAGATTTCCTGGTTAACGAGATTCTTCCGAATGGCCAAGTATTGCACCTCAAAAGCACCACTGTTACGAAGAAGATTGCGGATTCGGCCAAACAGCAGACTGGTCAAGGACCAAACACGCAAGAAGCCCGGCAGAATGGTGATTCCGCCCAAATCTCCGACGCTCAAGGAGAAGAGAAGTCCAACGTGAAGCAAGAACAGAGCTCAGAGATATCCGAGGAAGACCGGGCGAAGCTTGTAGAATACCTTGGTGAGACTGCCGTTGCCGAAATCCTCGCTCTCTTCGCCGCCATTACCACCCATCCGAAGAAGCGGGCTCGCGATCATCCATTCGTCAAGACATCCTTCACGTCTGATCGAACTGTCCGCACCGAAATCCATCAAGCAATCCGTCGGATCTTCCATTCTCGCATCGATTCATCAACCAACAACGAAGGCATTCTCGTTCTGTCCGCTGCCAACCCCAATTTTCGAAACAATCACCAATCTCGCGTTGGCAAACTCTCATGGATCGAACGCGGTGGTGAACATTGCCACTTTACGCTCTACAAAGAGATGAAGGACACAATGGAGAGCATTTCGTTCCTAGCTTACCTCATGAAGAAGAACGCCAGGGATTTCCAGATCGCCGGCACAAAGGATCGGCGAGCGGCCACAGTGCAACGCGTAAGCGTATGGCGGGTGGAGGCTGAGCGAGTGGCCGCCCTCAATCGTAACCAAACGATGCGTAATGCTACCCTTGGTGACTTCGAGTATCGTACATCTGGGCTTCAGCTTGGCGACTTGTCCGGCAACGAGTTTGTGGTGACGCTGCGTGATTGTCGCTTTATTGATGGAAGCAACGATACTGAAGCCATCCGGTCGTCACTGCAGGCATCACTAGCCAACGCACGCACCGACGGCTTCCTCAACTACTACGGGCTTCAACGATTCGGAACCTTCGCTGTGCGTTCTGATGTGATTGGCTTGCAGCTACTTAAGGGCGACTTCGAAGGAGCTTGCAATTCCATACTTGATTATCCCACATCCGCACTCAATGAAGATGATTCGACCGTTGGTCGTGATGACCGGGATCGAGCACGGGCCATTAAGATATTTAAGGAAACCAATAGCATCAGAGACTCTTTGGCGGTGATGCCAAAGCGGCTGAGCGCTGAGACAGCTGTGATCAGGGCATTGGGCCGGAAAGGAAATGACTTTCTGGGCGCACTGATGACCTTGCAGCGGAATATGCGGCAGATGTACGTACACGCGTACCAGAGTTTGGTGTGGAATACGGCGGCCACGAACAGATGGCGGCTATGGGGCAACAGGGTCATTGAAGGCGATCTCGTGCTCGTGAAGGAACACAACGACAAGGATGCTGATGGAGCCGCTGCAGACGAAGGCGTTGACGCCGACGGAGAGGTTGTGATTCATGCGGAAGGAGAGGACCGAGCAAAGGGCGAAGAGAGCTTCGACCGGGCAAGGGCTCTGACACAAACAGAAGCCGAGTCTGGAAAGTACAGCATTTTTGATCTCGTGCTGCCACTTCCGGGTTTCGACGTCATTTACCCTCAGAATGAAAGCGGAGGGGACTATTACAAGGAAATCATGGGCAAGGACGGCCTTGATCCCTTCGATATGCGCCGCGGCCAGAAGGATTTCAGCCTCAGCGGTAGCTATCGCAAGATCGTTGCTCGCATTGGCGCAGATTTTGATGTTCAAGCGCACCGCTACACCCAGGATGATGAGCAATTCGTCTTGACGGACCGAGAGGCGCTGATGGGAAAGCGTACTGACGAGAAGAGACCGGAGGTGGAGGATGGGGTGCCGGCAGCTGAGGAACAGAAGACAGCAGCTGTATTGAAATTCCAGCTCGGCACAAGCCAATATGCGACAATGGTGTTGAGAGAATTGTCCAGTGGTGGTTTGGAGGAGTACAAGCCAGGCTTCTCCGGCGGAAGATAGTTGGAGCGCGTTGAGACGACATGGTTCGAGAAGGCGGTGTTGGGAAGGTCAGCCCATTCCGACCTCAGATTGTGGGTATATGGCTCTGGTGTGATATAGCCGGCGCACCTCACGCAACGCCTGCTACTTGCAAAGAGATTCAGGGGAGGTATTGGAAGGAGTGAGGTAAGGCTGTCGGTCTGAGATGGCAGTCAAGCATTTGGTCTTCACACGGCTCTCAATCCACCAGCGACGGTACCTCGAGAGCCGGCTACTGATGATCTTCGTGGAGGCGTTCATCAGCTAAGATTGGCTCGAAAAAGTATTGGAAAAAAATAAGGCACTGCATCTTATTTCGGGCTGCCAGGGCGTTCGAAAACTAGGCATCTACTCAGAAGAGGCCTTCGGGCATGCACTGAAAGCACTTGGCTTATTGTCTTGATAGATTCGTATCGACATTCCACTTCCTCCTTCTCTGGTCACTCAACCGTATATGTATATATACAAGGAACGAAAGCCAGACGTTGGCGTTCTGTTGTGACTCGACCGGTCGCCACTGTTCTTCCTGTTGGTGCTGCTGTTGACGTTCTGCAAGCTCGAGCACGTCCACCCTCTCACCCCGGCACACTTTCCCCATTCCAGTCAACGGCGTTCGCAACTGCTTTCTCCTCCGTCGAACCCTTCCATGTGTTGTGACCCCGCCATCCAATGAAAGGAAATTAATTCAAACTTCAAGTCAGATCAAATCGTCGTGGTTGACATGCCTCCGTAATGCTCGTACTCCCGTTCTCCAAGATGTTGTAATCACACCCGTTAAACTCCGATGAGACCCCTTTGTCGACAACTCCAGAAAATGTGCTGAAACCAACATGGATACTCATCTCAATTTACGTGCTCGTCACACGATCATGCCTGTTTCTCGTTGCTAGACACCCTTTTCCCTTCAGGATGATCCCCTTCCATCGATGACCCGCCCAGCTCTTGTGCTGAGCGACCTTCCAATCTGTGCCTCTCGTACACTGCTCACCTCAACGTTGCTTGACACTTCTGACCTAGCGTCATCGAACAACTGCTCGTCTCGTGCTCTACCCATCATGGGATGACTGGCCGTGGGCGATGCCGGGCTGTCTTGCGCTTCTGGTGGGTCAACGAAAGGCGACGATTCGGGTCCATTGTCGATCGGGCTGACGGGTGACATGACGTCGTTACGGAAAGGGTCGTTGAGCGAGCGAGTGGAGACGGGAGTCTGAATATTCTGGGTCGAGGCGCGGGACGCGTTGCGAGACAGTCCACCTGTTGCAAGCGCACCAACGCCAGCGCCGGTCGCAGCTCCTGCGGTTGCGCCAACGGGCAGTGACCGACCGCCATTGGCAGGACTGGGGGATATGTAGGGTGGTGGCGCCGTCGCTGTGGAGTCGGGTCGGGGAAAGGGATCGGGTGTGGTTGAGGTCATTCCTGAAGCCATGGGTACGGTAGATGGCGGCTGGATCTGCGAGACGGCATCGCGATAAGGAGGTGCAACTTCCTCATCCACGCTGTGTAAGCTGGGAGTAGCATTATGTGTTGACCGAGTCTGGCTTCTTTGGCTAGCGGTTCCACCACTTCGCAAGCTGTTGGAGCTGCTGAACCGACCGCCCATGAGCAGCTCGGCGTCGAAAGAGAAGACACGCAAGTGGCGAGACCATTTCTTCTTGGGTGCTTGTTTCTGTTTCTCAGACACTGGAGTGTCGGGTCGCCGTCGACGTCGGCGAATGCAAAAGAATAGTAGCGCTATCAGAGCAAGCGTAACGACAACGACAGGGACGGCAATGGCAGCTTGAAGGCCTGAGTTGCAGGAGATGCCAGTGCAGGAATCGTTGGAGGTCTCGGAGGGATTCTCGCCATTAGCACCACTGGCGACACCGGAAGATCCATTCGTTTGTTCGGCGGCAGTGCTGGCTGTCTGGCTGGTTGAGGTTATTAGAGTTGAAGCAGCACCTGAGCTGGTCGTGGCAGCTGAAGATTCGCTGCTGTCAGTTGTGGTGGTGGTAGCTGCGCCGGTCGGTGAAGTGGTGCCACCAGTCGTCTCGGTGAAGATGGACTCCATTGAGCTCGCAAGGCCGGTGACACTATCGAAATCATTTCCCCCAATAGTGGCAACAGTAACATCGCCATTTGGTTTCGTGAAGGTGATGGTAGCAGTACCCGAGGGTCGTGGGCCGGCCATCACTACGGGGGCCCGTCGACTCCAAATCGTCGTAGGTTGAGAGAGGTCGAGACAGTTTGGTCGAGAACGTCAAACAAGGGAAGAAGGGTAGTCCCGAGATACTAGACAACCATGTACTTGAATCTGGGACAGTAATGAGGCGCAGTTTAGGATGCAGAAGCAATACGAGGGGGCCAGCGAATTCGACAATAATTGCAGGGTCCAAATCTATCGCACTAGGGCTTGACGGTGTGAGAGCTGATGACGCTCCTTCCAAGCGTGGAGCACTAGGAAGCTGTTGTCTAGAATGAGATTAAAAGGCTGCTGGCGCGTAGCTTTGGTCGTCAAATCGCAGGGACTTGGGAATGGGCATGGGAAAACGAAAGGCTGGAAGAATGTCGTGGGCGTGAAAGACCGACAGCCGGAGGTACCTGCTTGCTCGGTGAGCCTAGTGTCGTGGCTGTCGTAACGGCGGGGGGGCCAGCAATGAGAAGGAGTTGGCCAAAAAGACTGGGCATGATTTGGCTTGTGACGGACCTCCGAGCATGACCTGCCCGCCCCTTCCTGCTTGCAGCTACTAGGCTCTATCTTTAGTTAAGCGACTCCTATAAAGTCTTGAATCGCCCCGTAGTCGTCAACGGTGGCTTTGATGACGATGAGCAGTTGCTGCAGCAGTCAACGCACATTGATTTTAGTGCACCCCGATTCCACGGCACCGTGCATATCAGAACGCACAGCATCAGCGGCAATCTGGAAGGGTATGCACGCGATCTGGCCTACGGACTCCGGCCACGGCAGAGCAGACGGACTGCAGCTTCCCAGCGTTGTCCAGGGGCCACGTGCCCGTATAGGCAGCTTGTGGAATCTCACGATGGGTTCGTGTCTCGGCGGGTCGGCACTTAGCAATGCCGACCCTAAGCCAGGTGGGGTAGTCGACGCCCGACGAGGCTTGTTACTGCTGCAGGTGAAGACAAGCGTCTTTCATCCTCAGGCTGGTGGCGGCCGAGACTGGCTTCGCTATTCCGCTATTCTCAGCTCTGGCAGCGAATTGTTTTCATTCGAGGCAATCACGGAGTACATGTAGCGTTAGTAATCTCATCAGCCATCAGACAGTACTGGATTACGGTGCTGTCAATATCGTTCGAGACATCCCATTAACGCTACTACGAGGTCGCCCCTTCCCAAAGACCAAACCACAGGCCGCCACCAAACGAGGCTCGAGGTCGAAGTAGGGCTCCCGCTAAACTAGATCACCAAAAATTATCCGAACTGACCATGACTCATGAACGCAATGCTTTCCCTATCAAGAGTCTGCCTGTAGACTCGCGCAAGGACCATGACTGAAAGCATTGAACTTCCGCCCAAACATTCTTAGCCACGCTCACGTCACGAGTAACTCGGCTTTGTCCCCAGAGGCACTGGTGGTGGTGGGGCCGCCACTGTGTTGCCATGCATACCAGCTGGTTTCTTGGGCGGAGGAGGAGGTGGCGGCTTTCTCGATATCGATGCCGTCATCTCTGGCCTTGGACTCTGCACTGGTGGACTCGTCGCCGGTGGCTGTTGTTGCCAGTGTTGCGGAGGCTGCTGCGGTGCTGGTGACTGTGCTTGTATTTGCTGTTGTTTCTCTTCTTCTTCGCCGTCTAGCGGCGCATGCTTGTCGAGGAAACGTTCGAACCGAGATTGTAGTTGATACTTGTTGTTGAACGACCGACCACGCTGTTCAGCCGCAGCAATCGACCCGGCGTGTTTGTCTCGAAAAGCCGAAGCAGAGCGAGCTGCTGAGTTGGCGGTACTCGCGGCATTCTTAGCATCGTTGACGGAGACTGACGACGGATCACGGTGGAAGTTTTGAGCGGTAGTTACAGCAGATTGTGTTTGTTGTAGCGATGGCGGTGATGCTGCCTGAGCTGACGGTGAGTGGGCTTGATTTGCACTTTCGGTGCTGTTCATCCGCGAGAACCTAGACTGTAGTTCAGAGAGGCCGTTCCCCCTAGCGGGTGATTGACTACTGCTTTGCTCGTTTGCCCATGGGTTATCCGCGTTGGACGTTCCCGACGTTGTTCTGTTTATCCCCAGATTGGGAACACTGACACCGGCTTTGCCCAAACGGTTCACTGCTGATTGATTTAGGCTGGGGACGCTCGACGCTGGTTGAGGCGGTGAGGCTGTCACCGCTTCGTATGACGGAGGTGGAGGGGTCATCGACTCCGAAGTATTTTGTCTTGCTGGAAGCCTTGGGGGTAGACCTGGCTTGAGCTTGGGCGGCTCGGCCGCAGAAACATTGGGTGGAGGAAGTATACCACGATGCACCGGCGGTGGGGGTAGATGGTCCGTGGACAACCCTGTTGTATTTGCCCGATAAGGCAGTGGAGGGCCGCTTCTCACTTCTGGCTCTGCCGCAGGTTCTGCCGCAGAGCCCTGGACCGCACGATTCGCGCTGGCGATCTGCTCTGGAGTGAGAGGTGCTCCAATGCCACCGCGGTGAGGGGTAATTTCGTTGGGAAGCGCCGCACCACCATGGTAGTTGACGTTCTTTGGAGGCGGACCGAAAGAAGAGGGGTCTTTTAGAGAGGCAAGCGGTCGCGATACATGTTCCGAAGCAGCGTTGTCCCCAGGCTTCTTTCCCTTACCCATCCATCCCGCCTGTTTGCCGATTAGAGTGCGAATTGCGACTTGGAAAGGAGCTGCATACCACCTGGTTGACTCCTTTGAAGTCACCCCGCCATGATTCTTTTCCTCCATCTTTGCCTTTGGGGTGCCACCCACCCTTCATTATACCCTTAAAGTCGCTCATTGCGGTCGTGTGTCATACGCTCCGGGACGAGAGGTCGGCCGAGCACTGTCAGGAAGTGGCTAGGAAGGCTCCGGCGGTGACGGAAATCAGTGGGAGAATGATTCTCTGCACAATAGAGATGTATTCAAGTGATCGAAGAAGGAATTGGGCACAGCCACCCGAACATGATTCAGCGCAGGCAGTCAAGTGGGTAGGCGGAGCGCACTCGCTGACGTCGAAACCAGACGTTGCCAAGCAAATCCGCTCGGCGTAGGCAGAGCCAAATTCGACTTAAAGTGCTACGCTGCGCCGGATCATGAACGATGACTTTGAGAGCGTGAAAAGACTGGCATTCTCTGTTCTTCCCAATTACTTGGTCACCATTCAGCGTCCGCCCGTCATTAGACTGCCAATTCAATCACAATCGACAAGGTGATCCAGGTCTGCAGAACAGCATTTCCACCCCGAGGCGTGCGAATGCTGGTTGGACACCTACCAGCGGCTTCCCTCGATGCAGAGCATCACATCCTGCAAGACCCTGTGCCTCGCCCTTTATCGTAGCCCTTATCCTAGGCCACAACGTAAACTCCATGAAAGACATCGAAAACTCCCTGGATGCTAAGCGATCTGCCCCTTATCGCTATTTGTAATGCGCCAAACGCCTTACTTGTCGTGAAGAAATGCCATGAAAAATGCTTTCCCGCTATGTGTACACAAGTTCGAGATTCTTTCAGCTGCCGGCCATGGAAGTTGGTCGGTTGGAAGTCTAGCCGCCAACGGCGGATCAATGCATGCTTGCCTTAAAAGTCATGGACAGTCGTCAATGCAGGTTCGTCATTCGCGTACGCCAAGCATTGCTCTGATGAATATTGTGCTGTTTCGACAGTATTCAAAACTTCGATGAGATCTCCTAGAAGAAGTGTGTATAGACCTTTGAAGACTCGTGCACCTCCATTTCCTACGGAAGGGTTAGTTTCGATCTTAGATATTCCGGCGATGAGCTTACCATCTTGAAAGTGTTGAGCTCCTCCTTGATTTGCTGGGCAAGCATTGGAGTTAATCGGTTGCAAGTTGCTATGTCGCCACGACGATCATATTCTCCGCTAGGCCAAGTATCGTGAAATTGAATACGAGGGCTGAACGAGATGTTCCGCATGGCCTGAGCCAAAGGCGTGGCCGATTTGGAGTCCATGCTAGCATAGCGCGTAACGGAAGCGAAGTAATCGTCATGATCGTTACCCTCGATGGCAATGGAGTCGGTTCTACGGTGTCCAGACCGTGGAGGATCATCGTTTGGTGTACTGGGGGCGCTTGATCGTGGTGAGTCGTTCATATTGGGAATTTGAGGCAAGCTGAAATCCGGACCTCGACTGGTATTCAGCCTGGGGGAGGGCTTGTCCGAGTCAGTGCGCTTGAGGATGCCTTTCTTGACAGCAGCTAGGACCTCTGCTCGTTCTCGTTCACCTCCAACAATGCTGCGACGAGAACGATTGTCACTGGACACGGTGCCACTGTCCATTGACAGCTTTGCATCGATGGAGTTCCGCTCAAGCTTCGGGAAGCCCGTGCCACCACCGACTTGATCATGAGGGTCGACATTAACGTTCACCTTCTCCCGTTCGGCTTCGACTGTCACCATCGAAACCTGAGCGGCACTGGCTTGATTGACCGGACCATCAGCAGCTGGGACACCAACGACCGACTTGGGTCGGAAGAGTCCAACGAAGGAGCGCGTCCCCTTCTTCACACCCTTTCCCATCTTTCTCAGCATCACCGAAGCCGACGAGGCTGTGGACGAGATGGAAAGGTTATCGGTAGATCCGGTGAAGAACCGACCCTGGCCAGAGTAGATGCTTTCACCAAGACCGGCGGCTTCTTGCTTCTCGGCAATGCGGGCCTGCTCAGGCTCTAGCTCATCCTCGTATTTCGAGTTACGCTTGGTCGACCGACCGGGGTTGACTGGCTCCGCAGGCTTTTCTGTCGCCTTACGAAGTTCAGCCGCGCTACCGAAGGAGAAAGCTCTCCTAAGCTTTGATTTCGACTTCTTCGCATCTTTTTGACTTACAGCAGCCAGTTGTTCAGCCGCTGGGCTCAGAACGACAGGGCGAGTTGCTTGCAGTTTCCTGTTCTCGGCTTCAATTGGTCTAGACAGAGGAGATGGGTTGCGTCTCGGAGGTTCAGAGGTCCGAGGTGTAAGTAAGCGGACGTCTTGCTTTGCAATGTGTGTGGGCGGCTGGGACGTAACAGAAGGTTGCTGGGTAGTGGCTGAACTTGGCCGAGATGAGCGAGCAGATCTGGAGGACGAAACACTTTCGGAACTAGCTGTGTGTGTATGAGCCGAAGCAGGTCGATGTGCTTGGGGCTGACTGGGTTGGTTGGTGGTTGCTCCTGGCAGGAAAGCATTAGGGTGCGGAGAACTCGAGTCAGACACGTCTCCGCCATGCATGAGGCCAGCAGTCTCGATGCTCCCCAGGCTTCGTCGACGATATCTGGCGGCAAGCTCGGAATTTTGCGACCGACTGAGGAGCATGTCGTCGGCGCTAGTTTTCTGACCAGCGTTGGCAAATGCCGAACCTCGATAGGTTTGATATTGATTCAAGGATGGGGAGCTATTTGATTGGACTGGATGGCTGTAGAGCTGGCCCGCAGCGGCATTGCCAGGGTTGGGAGGTGTAGCACGATGGACAGCAGACTCATTGGTATCAACTCTCTTGACAGTCCTTCGATAACGATCAGGTGATGGCTTCGCAGTGGTGGCTCCAGGCGAGACTGTACCGGATAGAGTCGACGTCGGGAGGGACAAGTCGAGTGATGGCATCTTGCTGAAGTCGAGGGGCACAGCCGAGTCCAGTGAAGGCAAACCAGAGACCGAGTTCGGCTTTGCTGGGTGAGCTTTTGGTTGTGTCACGCCTAGGGGTTGACTCTGTGGTAGGACCGAGGTGGACGCAGATCGAGCAGAATGACTCGGCTGGAATGGCCGTGCGTTGGGTGCAAGTTGAGGCGTGGTCGTGAAAGCATACGGGGCAACAGGACCAGTATGATGGGTTCCCCGATAGACAGTTGCCGTTGGGTTATTATTATATCTTGGCATGTTGGCATTTCTCGACGACTGCGAGCTTTGATGATAGCCCCCTGAGGAAGAGGGTCGGCCTGGCATCATGTTGACAGTAGTTTGCGGTGGTAAAGTCTGAACCAAAGCGGCCATCTCTTGACTAGAATGGGGAAGCGAGCAACTTCAATGCTTCGAGCTCGAAGGGAGGAAAGGAGCGTCGGACGCTCGACAGGAGGAGTTGATGAGGCAGATCAGGCCGCGAACCTAGAGGGATTCACGCGTTAGTAACTGAGACGAGGATGTGCTAGGTCCGGACGAGGAAAGATGCGGGACATGGCAATCTCAAAAGGGGTCATACCGTGTAGCAGATTCGTTGCCGAATTGTTGAGGTAAAATGACAAGGAGGCTAACGTGCAAGTCGGCACGGTCGACAATATTACCGTAGAGAAATATGTGCAAGGTATACAAAATTCGGACTGGACCAAGGCCGGGTCGAGAGGAGAAGAGAAGCTTGAGACTAAATAATCATGTACTGGCAAAAAAGGTGGGACAGACGAGAAGCGAAAGCGAGGAAGAAGATTGGTCTTCCTCAACCCGACAGCTCTGTCGATAGAGCCCAGGAAAAAGAGCGTCGAGGAAAATAGAGCAAGGTGATGAGGTGTGAAAGATGAAAGTTGGAATGATGGTAAGAGGCGTGGTGAAGTGGAGGAAGGAGGAAGGTGACTAGGGAGGAGTCGGTTGGAGGAGGCTCCTCTCCTGAGAGACAGGTGGCGGCGGGTTAGACTGAGGGCGGGAGATTTAGTCGTGACTGCGTTGGTCTTAGCCGAATACCACAAGGGCCTGCGATCTTTGCCGCGCCCGCGAGTTGCGTTTGGGGTGTTTGTTTTGATGGTGAAAGCTGATGCAAAGACGGCGGCGATGGTACAGGCTGACAAGAACGAGGCTTCTAGTACTGAATATGCGGTGCAACGAGTACAGACGAAAAAAAATAATGTGTGTTTGGCTAAGCAGGAGAGCAGTGCTTCTGCCTTTCAACAGGCTGCAGATTGACCGCAGCGCGCGCCCGTACCCTTGTGGCTCCGAGCGCCGCCGTGGAAAATCAGGTGGAGCAAAAGGCGCAGCAGGACAAGCATCAATTCGCAGGCATTTCGTCTTCGACACGCCCCGCTATCTCACCCTTGTAGCTAAAGCCTATCGCCAAAGTACAAGGGCCATCCTTTCTCACCTGCCGACTTAGACGAGAAACCGTCCTCAGATGAACCAAGTTTGTAGCGAGAGGATCTCCGGGGCTGATGATGTAGTCGGTTAGTGATCTATGTCTTTCCCAGCTTCCGCAAACTTGTTGCAAACCTGGATCTTCCACCTCCTGGTTATCAACTCGCGAGTCGGCGAGCACCTCCTGCCATCTTGGTCATGTTGGGCGTATCCCCTGAGCCAATTGGACGCCCGGGAACCGTCGTGATAGGCAGAGCTAAGCCGTTTCTCGCCTGGGTGGGTACGTATTTTAGGGACATTGCCGCGGCCACTCTCGCTCTTGACCCTCGACAAATTGCAACGTTCTAATGTTATGTTAATGCTCAACATTGGTCATCATTCGACCTATGCAGCGATTTGAAACCCGTACACATACCACCCTTCAGATGAGCACTGCCCTAGAGACTACTGTAGTGTACCATGGTCGTTCCTCTGCATAAGCCAGGGTATATCAGCTGGCTGACGACCCGAATCCCCCACACTATCAAGTAGTCGATAAGTAGCTGCTGCACGTAGACATCACCATGTCACCTCAGAAGGCTTAGGTCTCTGGCTTGAATCAAAATGTCTGCCCGGCGCGTGCTCGAGGAGCTGGTCACGCTTCATCCAAGCATGCCGTGCGACAGCTTCTTGACTATGCAGATAGCCAGCATTAGCTCTGGAACAGACAAAGACATTTATGCGGCGAGTGCGGTCTACTTGTCATCGGAGATCCGATTCATATGCACCATGCCAGGCACAAACTGTTTGTAGCCTATCGCCCACACCCCTCCCTCTCTTTGTTGTCGGATGGCGTGCATAACACGGCTTGCAGAGGCACCGGAATGCGACCGTCCGCTCTACGGCCACCGCGCACCTGGCATGGAATGCGTTCTGAATTAAAGGCTGGACCTGCACAGGCCGCATAAAAGTACGAGGAAGGACCTTGGCCTCACCGCTGCCGTATCTCTGCCGCAAGAGGGTTGGCTTCATGCCTATCTTGACATGTGGTTGACACGTATGTGCCTCTCTCAAGAAATTTCTTACCGACAGCCCCAGACATGTCCAAAAGTGCTGCAAGAATTTCGCACACGAAGGCATGGTACAAAGTGTGCTGAAGGCGCAATGTACCACCACTGGGCACTTGCTCGAGCCTAACGCTCCCTAAGGATACCCCGGACTGTCAGGCCTGGCGGCATCGCGTCATTCACGCCCGCAGCACATGCTTGGGCGAGCGGATCAAGATTGCCCTGGCGATCTAACACCCTAAGATTCCCCCCACAACCTTGACCCTGAATTGGCTCTGTTGACTGCATTCTGCCGTTTCCCACAAAGGCTCCGGTAACACCATGGGCAGGGCATTGGTTGTCCCCCGCAGCAAGAATCTCCCCCGACTTGATAGCTGACGATAGACTTCGCGACCAGGCAAAGGCTGCAAAAGTCCCTCTCACTTTCAACAAGCATCGCCTAACTTAACGAATCACAGGCGGTTGCGCAATGGCTTAAACGAACTTCGAGCCCCACAACGTGATTGGTGCCTCTGTCCCCCTGAAACACTCACTCCATAAACTTAGGGACGGCATATCCAGGGAAGTTGGTAGGTGGTGAGTGATGGCGGTGTATTCGGGAAAGTTGATGGATGGTGAGTAATAGCGGTATATTCGGGGAAGTTAATAGGTAGTGGCTTTCACGTTGTAAGTGCAAGAAGAGGAAGCTATCCTTCGCCCCACGCTTGTTTTCACCCTGCTTCGATATTCAACGCGAACGACGACGGGATTCGTGATCTCTCGGTTGCTTTTGCTGGATGGAGCGAAATCATTCGACGTTCGGAGGTTTCACCATACGCAACCTGGCCCCGCCGTTACCCATGACGGCTGCCTTACGCGGAAGTGGTCCTCACAAACCCAATGAGAGCTGGCCACGACTCAGGCGACCCCAACATCGACCACCGGCTCCTTTCTTCTCTCATGTACCACCAGGTCCGCATCCGTTCCATTCTGACAGTCCAGTAGTGAGACCCAAGCGTCCTTGATCCCCTGAGTCACGGCCCATTGATGTTTCACGTCTCACCCGAGTGTCCACGTTTCGGCAGCTCGCAGTTACGATGGATATCAATCCCCACATACTGCAAGAGATCGCAGCTGGCTTTGTCGGATATCCGATATTCGTCGCATGGTTCTGCAGCCAGCCATTACCGAATTCAGGGTACAGCCATACACGAGATGTTTACCCAATCACTATACATTCATGGATTTTTCATCGTTGACTCCATCTCCAACGACCACCACGGCATCATCTCCCTCGGCATCCAAAGACCCAGACATCTGCTGGCGTTAGGATCCTCTGGGTGACCTCAATGCAGTGATTCGTCTGCTGACCGTCAGTACATGACTACCCTTCTTGCAGCATGACCGGTCTACTCTTTCCCTGCTTGACAATTCTCATCCGCAGATTAGCCCTGAATCCCCCTCTTGCTTTCCACGAGTTCGAGTGTTGGGGGGACGGCCGCAATGCGTCTCGTGATCTTAAGACGTTATGTACTTGGCAACAATTTCACCAGCAGGGACAATAGTGTCTTAGAGCCATTAACATGTGAACAAGCTGAGCGAACCATCCGTTATTCCCACTTATCGTTGTACACTCTCCACCGTCTTGGATCAGTTATCATCAATATCGTTGCTCAATGACCAGTTTCTCAAAACACATGGCATTGCTTTCACGCCCTTTGATGTGTCGGAGGATATATGTATATTAGGAGCGGTAAAGTAGACACAAAAAAAGCCCGAATCAATGTCCCGTTTACGATGCATTGGTTCTTGCACCAAGTGCTCCAACGCCTGTGCTTTTACAGACCATCCCCTGCCGCAGCTTCGACAGGGAGGCCTGTTGCGTGAGCGTGAGCACCGCTTCTATCCTGATCGTCAATCACAAAAAGAAATTCATGTACACGAACTCGTCAAGGCCCGAACGAAGTACAGACCCGAGACCTATCTCCCTCTTGGCCGAGGTATTGGCCCACTTTTGTGTGCCAATGGACTGCCTGCCACTGCCACGTTGGTGCTCATATTCATACTATTCCGGCGGGGATCCCGTATACGACCACCTCGCAGAGGTGTTTGAGTGCAGAAGACACACACAAAATCTTTTGGAGGATGTCTCGCATCAAGCCCAACACACTGAGCGTGCAGCCAATTCTGACAAGAATCACTGGCGCATGTAAGTGAGGGCAATCTCGAGGAGATGAAAAGCAGACTTACCATTGCATCATTGTTCCAGGAACATCGTCTGGAGACAATCCACACACGCATCTCGTACTTCCGTGGCTGGCTTGGCTACCTCTATCAGTGCTCGGAGTGGCCATATCTGGATCCGTGATTGTAGTAGGACTGGCGTTGAAATTGGCAAACTGCGCATGCGGCACCGGCGGTGAAGAGTTAAATTGTGCTGAGGGCCCATTTGCCAAAGACGCATCGTTGCCTGAGCCGGTACGCGAGCGGTCCTCTATGATTGCTCGAAGAGCTTGCTGTGCATCGCCGGACGTAGAGTGAAGTTCTGATTCTGACATGGGGTCCAGGATACCGACAGGTTTTCGTTGACGATTCGCTCTCGATGTGGTAGATGAGGTGCGAGATGACTGCCAAGCTGAAGAATGCGATGCCAGAGACGAGCTTTTTGAGTGACCGAGGCCACGTGCTTGGTCCCCATCATCGCCAAATGCAAAGGAGTTAGGTTGAGACCGTAGCTCATGGAAGTCAGTCTCGTCCCTGGAACTGATGGAACTCAACGAATCAGACTCATCAAGATCCATTGCTTCTTCCTCCGGAACCTGGGCGACAACGGTCCTGGCTACACCGTTCTCATCAATAGCAAGTGACAAAGATGTACGCTTCGAGGCCTGTCTAGCATCGAACATAGACTTCAGGGGTGACAGACGCCCACTCCTTGATCTGCTCATCGACTCGGGTGCATTTGTGAGGGAACTAAGGAATGACACATGACTTTGCTGGCGGTTATGTGGTCCACGAGAACCCACTCCGGAGTGCGTCACACTTCTTCTCAGTCCAGGTCTATCCTTCTTGACAGGTGATACAGGCCGTCGCAGAGCCTCCATCACGGATCGTGTGATCGAAGGTTGCTTGGGATCACCCTTCTTGGCTCGCTTAGCCTCCTGCTCTCTCCGTGATTCTTCGATTTGATGATGGTATGCAGGTACCTCGCGTATACTCTTTGCCACCGGATACACAGGCCGCTGGTCATTGGCGAAACGGCGCGCCGGCGAGCTGAGGAACATACTGGGATTGTCATCTCGAGGACGAGGGGCAAGAGGGGACGTGGTGAAAGGTACAGCGAAAGTCGATCCGTCAATGTAATTTGAGGGTACACTGGTGGTAGTTGGTGGTAGGTCGTAGGACTGTTGTTGTGAGGTCGAGCTGGGCAGGTATGATGGTACAATGGTGGAGCTTGAGTTAAAGGACGCCGAAAAGTCGGCCTGACTGATGGCGAAGGGATCTGTGTACGGAGGCAGTCCATTGGGATCATCCATGCCCATGTTCGAATCCCAAAACAGACGTTGTTGGGGATATATTGGAGCGGTGACTGGTCCAAAAGGCGAATTCGAAAAGATATCAGGTGAGAATTGCAGACTTGGAAACATATTGGGTGACGGATGCATTACCCGCGAAGGTGTTTCGGGAGGGGGAGGAGGACCCATGACTGCCCGTTGTGGTGCATGGCCTGTTGAAGCCCGCCGCTGGTCGGCCATGAAGCGAGGAAAGTATCTGTGTTGAATGCACCTGGATTTGCTGAAGTGCAGGAGAATCCCAGTTCCGCATGCGTGGGGCACGAGAGCAGTGATGGTTCAGTGCAGTTGCTGTGTACTCAATGTGACCACGGCGATATTCCTCTTGGATCTTGAAGTCTTGACTTGTGAGTCGGAGTATGCATGAGTCCCAGGGCTGACAGAATAATGTCTCGTGAACCCCCGAGGTTGTGGCTTGCTTGAAGATAAACGTGGTCTTGACGTACAACGGTACTGAGCTTCGGCCAAATGCCGTTTTGCTCGAGGTCGGTACTGGGATCGATGGCTATTCGGCAGCTTACGACTGCGCCTGAGTGTTACTCACGTCTGTCGAAAGCCTTGGGACCGAGGAAAGCGAGATTGATTCGTAGGTGATCGATGTTGCATGGGACGATTGTAGGTGCAGCGGGTGCGGCTTTGGGTTTGGATACCTGAGTGGCCCTGCCGTTGTTGGAATGTAAATGCTCAACGCAGGTGTTTTCCACCTTAGTTTTCTGCGAAGCAAGTCCAGTCTACGTCTCCAGCTCGACCACCATGCAGCACAAGATCGCAGTTCCTCTCAAACCCTCGGCTGCGGTCGACGAGGTGCGGTCATTTTTACGAGAATAAAGTGAGGTGGGTCTGATTGGCTATGGAGAACGGGCATGTCGAGGGCAGTTCGTTTCCACTCCGGGCATCTGGCAGCCTTAGAAGTCAAGATTAACCAGCCAGAAGCATAGCAAGCGGAGCCGATCGCAAAATGAATCCACCTCCGCCAACCGGTCGGGAGCTGAAGGGCTTCGGTGGATGCAAGGTGGAAGACTTTGGCAGGGTCGGAAGCCTAAGCTGCGTCCTGGGCGCCTGACGAGCACGCGATTAGGCGTCGCTAGGCTGGGTGGCACCACTATCCGGTCGGCAGAGGCGTTGCTGGCAGCCTATAGTTGGCAGTCCAGCTTGGGTGTCAGGGACAGGTGCCAAAGCTAGATGCCGACGCCCTCGTCTGGGCGCTCCTTATGGGTGATCGAGTTGCCATGCAAGTGCCGAACTTCCCTCTAAAGAATGGCTTCCCTGCATTATGAATTCCGCAGCGAGAAACGTGGAAATTGCAATGTGGGGGGGATGAACTCAAGATTTCCATGATCTTGTGCCTACTGTCACAGAAACATTGTTCAATGGAAGTTCGGTCAGCCATGGTGACGACCATGTTGGCACAAGTTCCGTCCAAATCATACTGGTTAACGCACCGACTTCCAAGAGGTCGCCGTTCTAGGTTGATAAAGACCATCCTTTCAGCCAGGGCGGACAATATCGGATCACGGTGCACCGGAACTCTGCCGTGTCTCAATGTTGATCCTACCGATCCTGGCGGCCGGTGAATCGAACATCCCGCCAACTGATTAGCGGCCAATCTTACCATGCTAGAAGAAGCATGCAGCAAGTCCGGACTCGTAAGAGCACTGAGAATTGAACGCAATTGAATCGTTGCAGCCGGATACTCCTATAGGTGCCTGACTAGAGGCATATGATAGGTTTGTCTATTTCATATCCTCAAGATTCGTCATCATCATCTATCGGCTCGACAATGAGGTTGGCCCCTTTACCAATCCGCTCCCCAACAGAGCCACCACTCTTCAGCTCAAAGACTTTTCTGGGCATTGGCGAGACGAGTTGGAATCCAAAGGAATGCTCATATCCTTCAGGCTCGTTAATAGCCTCCCCTGAGCTCGGACTTGCATCAATCACACCGTGACAGTCCACATATGCATACAACTCTTCCATCTCAGCTTCTGCTCGGAATTTCCGTATGACTCGGTCGCCAGATGGCATCCTGATGCTGATTCGTATCGCATCACTGCTGTCTGGCCCAGGCTCACTGGGGAGAGACTGAGCTCTCCATTTGCGCCACTGTTCAACCTGGCGGCGACGATTCTCTGCTGCCTCTTGCGTGGCTTTGGCCTGGCGCTCCGCTAGCTCTTGAGCTTCTTGCTCTTCTCGTCGTCTTCTGACTCTCTCGCGATCTTGTGCCAAAGACCGTTCGTAGGCAGAATCTTGCTCCTCTCGTAGACTGCGAGAAGCTTGTTGCTCTGCGCGCTGGCTCCGCGCGGTCCGTAGTTCGGACTGTTGTGCAGTGATGGCACTTCCTAGCTTTGCTACAAGCTCTGAAGGTGTCATAGGACCAACTGCTCGCATAATGACTGTCATGCCGGATGAACCAGTTTCTGCCGACTGACAAATAAGTGCCACAAATGGAAACTTGGTACAGTTCAGGCTTGCAGACACCTGATACGCCTCTGCATCCTGAACATTACCACCCCATAGTAGGAGCTCGTCCTTGTGCGATGACAAGAACGAGGCCACCTGTTGGCTAAGTAGCGTTTCTCGCACCCAGGTGGCGTTGTCATCGTGATCTGGAGACAGCAGAGTGACCAAGAGAAACTTGAGCTCTTTCTTCGCATTGTCCAGTGTAAGATTAAAACCTGACTCAACGAATGGCAGGGCATGCTCGGGGTACTCCTCTGAGAACTCCCGAATAAACCGGGCAGCATTGTCGGCAGGAGCAAGTGCTCTTCTCGCTGGTCTCGACCGTCGCGTAAGTAGACGTGACAATACTCGCGAGATGAATGACGGTACAAGGAAGCCGAACGGTGCGAAGACGGTGCTAAAAATTCGATAGACCAGATTGAAGGGCACGAGGAGGGCCGACAGCATGAATGAAGGTTGTTGTTGGGTCATGCCGGCAGCGCTGGTATCTACTTTCTCTACCCGATCTTCAGGCGGTCTCGAAGACGCCGACGAGTGGCTAGATGATAGCAACGACTCATACTGTAGGTTTGAGGTTTGCCTCGAGGACGCGGCGGGTAGAGCTGCACGAGCTTCGGCGACCGGGTCTGTGGTAGGTTCGCCGTCGAAGAAACGAGCAATGGCTATCTGTACGTTCCACTCGCATCTCTGTAGTAGCGGAATGGCAGCTAACGGATCTTGATCGGTCACTGCAGTGTACGTTTGCAGAGCCTCTTGCTGCGCCGCAGTGAGCTGTGAGATGTCGGGCGTCGACATGGTAAGAGCAGAGAGAGAATCTCAGCACAAGGTCACGATTCTTGAAGCGCTCGGTACATTGCTTCGGATGTTACAGTCGGCAAAAGGGAGTCGCCGTTCATGGACAAATGCTTGCCATGATGATAAAATGAATAAATTACTTGGGAAGGCCAACCTGGCGGAATTACTGCCTCTCCCTATGACATCGCTACCCGCAGGCTGCTAGGCAGGGCAGACCCACCGACGGTGCGGCCTCTGGGGGGCGGAAGCGGAAGACGCGCTAACTAAGCTTCGCGACTGGCGAGGCCACTTGGAGCTGAGTGGACGATGGTGCATGCGGTCCCTCTGTCACCACCTCACTCTTCATCCTCCGCCCCAACTTGCTTAAGACACGACTTGATCAAGCGACTGGCGCGAGCTCGGTGACGCGCTGAAGTATTGTTTGTCCATCTCTTGGGTATTTGTTACCAACATGTCCGAACGCTTGCTTGGTTGCTCATAATACGCCTTGCGCAACTGCGCCGCTTGAGTGAGCCCCTCCACTTATAATGAGCCGCTCTGGAAACCTGCAGCTGATCCTGCCAATTCCCAGTGTTTGCTACGCTTCCATGGAGCCTGCTATCCTTCGAAAGTCCGCCGTCTCCAACTGACGACCATGGCCACCGCAACCAAGAACACATCCGACGATACAAAACGTGCGACTCTCCCTCCCCGTGCCTCTCCATGCTTGATTATGTCTCGGAACTATCGCCATATATCTGATAAGCAATCTAACAATCGATCTACTAACAGGTAACCCAAAAGATACTCTTTGTCGCAACGTGAGGATATACGGCAAGTGCCGCTACGAGGACAAAGGTGACAGGAGGAAACCACGATCGAACTACAAGATACAAGAGACTGACTGAGCCGAGGTTGCGTCTACAAACACGGCTCTGACGATGGCCAAACCGCTACTGCCAACGGAGTCCAATCCGACAAGTATGGTCGCCTTTGATACCTCACCATCTGTCAACCCTGCTGATGACCGGGGCCGCAGTCAAGCGAAGAAGGCGCTCAACGTAGACTCCCCAAGTTTTACACCCTCACACCTTTCGCCAAATGTGCCTGCAGGTGGTGCTGTGACGACACCTAAGAAGCTGCCGTCAATATCCCCTAAAGCGGCGAGTGCGGCACCTTTCATGCCGAAAGCCATCATCTCAAGTACATTCTCCATAACTTGGATCTCTCGAATCTAACTGACATTCGCTTCAGGGTCGAGTAATGCTACTCCTTTTCGTCAGGACTCCCGAACGCCAGACTGGCACGTCTCCGAGGTGCAAGAGTTCATCCCAAGGAGCAATCTTGTGAGTCGCCCAACTACTTGAGCCCAGGAGGCAAGCTGATATTCTCGGCTCAGGGTAGCGAAGATGCAACAGCCCACGCATACGAACCCCTGCCTCCTGCACCTCAGCCTAACCCGTACCTTGACGCTTCTCTGAACGGAACGACCTTCTATCAGAACGCGCCGGCTTTTCAGCAACCCGTCCTATACCATCATTATGCACCCATCGGACCATATCCGAGCAACCTTCTCCCATACCAAAAGACCGTCCACGACTTGTTCATTCCCAATGACTTGCGCGAAGAGATCCACAAGAAGAATGCCGCTGCACTGCAGACCCTGCCGAATTCTCAGCTCCCAACGCATATTGAAAACTACCACTCTTTAGTACCGCTTGACACGAATCATCACAAAGGCTCGACCATCTTCGGCGGCTACAACTCCTGGGTTTACAAGGCCCAGTCTTCACAGAACGGCCAGTTTTACGTGATCCGTCGAATCGAGGGCTTCCGGCTGACGAACGAGTTATCGATTCGGACTGTACAATCATGGAAACACATCTCGAGCGCCAGCGTGGTGAAGATTATCGATGGCTTCACAAACCGCAATTTTGGAGACAGCTCGTTGATCATCGTGACTGACTACCACCCCCTTTCTAAAACCCTCGCGGAACAACATCATCTTGGCCAAAATCGGCATATAAGACCACGTAACACGAGTTTGGATCAGGTATCAGAGTCGACGATGTGGGCTTACGTGACGCAGATTGCGTCTGGATTGAAGACAATCCACAACAGTGGACTGGCCGCGAGGGTGATCGATACCACGAAGCTTTTGGTAACGGGCAAAAATCGCGTCAGACTAAACGGTTGCGCTGTGCTGGATGTGATTCACCACGAAACGCAGGCCCCACTGATCCAGCTTCAACGGCAGGACCTGGTCAACTTTGGCCTGGTAATATTATCGCTTGGGTCGAACATGCCAGATGCTGGCAACAACTTCGCTCGGGCAATGGACCAGTTCAAACGATTTTACAAGCCTGACCTGCAAACAGCGGTGGTCTGGCTGTACAGCGTGATGCAAACACAGGAGAAGACAATAGATCAATTCGTCAATCTGATCTCTGGTCAGATGATCACTGCCTTTGACGGCGCTTTACACAACGACGACGTTATCCACAGCGAGTTCAGTCGGGAGGTGGAGAATGGGCGCCTTTTTCGGTTAATGGCGAAACTGAACTCTATCAATGAGCGACCGGAGTTCGAACATGACAGACAATGGTCCGAGAATGGCGAGCGATACTTCCTCAAGCTATTCCGGGACTACGTCTTTCACCAAGTGGATGCTCAAGGTCGACCAGTGGTTGACTTGGGCCATATCTTGACGTGTCTGAACAAATTGGACACTGGAACTGACGAGCGAGTGACTTTGGTCAGCCGTGATGAGCAAAGTGTTTTTGTGGTCAGTTACAAGGAGCTGAAGAAAGGCGTAGAGTCAGCGTTTCAGGATCTCACCAAGGGAGGCCGTAGATTGCACTAGCAGTGGGAAGGATTGGACAGCCGCTGGTGCTGTGGAAAAGGTTCTAGAACTGCTCCAAGCTTGGATATGGTGAGGCCATTTTGTTGGCGACGATTTGCAGCCTTCAGCATCAGTAGAAGTTTGACGATAAAAAATCGAATCTCCATCAAGACGCCACTTCCGTTCTCTGGGGCGGTGCTGCTTGCTTTGATACGGCGTGTGACGCCTGCCAGCCCAACATGAAGGGTCGCAACTGCGCTCGAGCCAGTGAACATTGCTTTGGTGCACGTGATGTATTCTGTGGCACTGACGAATGCATTCACTCTTCGGCTTGTTGGAATGGATTTGCGATAGCCTCGGAGCCATCCACGGGCGAAATCAAGACCAAAAGCGTGCCTCGAGCAACAATCAAGCCCAGCGATCGCGTCCTCTCGTTGCCCTCGTCATCTGCAGCGCCAGTCAGTATCAATGTCAAGACATCCTGCGGCTTGCCTGCCTCTCATGGTCTCTTTGACATCGTCCAGCACCAGATTCATTAGCTGGTCGTACCCTTTCAGCGTTCCTATGACTGGAACATGTCAGCCAGATCTCACTCATAATGTGGGGCAAACCAACTTTCCCTTCCTCCGTTGAATTTTACATTCACCTCCTTGTTGATATACTTGTTCAGGTCGAGAATGTTCTCTTTCTTGGGTTTCTCGGATTGGGAGCCTTGGTGGGCACCTCCTCGAGATGGGCCACCACCACGACCGCCGCGGCCCCTCCCTCCGCCGCCTCCACCTCTGAAATGCCCTCTTTCTGACATTATATTGAGTCAATGGCTCCGGAGAAGATGAATACGGGGCAGGCAAAGGTTTTGACGACGCATTTTGATGGCATGAAGGTAAAGACTTGGCGAATACCAAAGAGGTGGAGTATCATGATACCCTAACCCTATCAGGGCTTTGGCTACAAACCGTCCTCAGATGCTGGCAGAGGCTGCCGTTGTTTGAAATGATCATGGAGTACATCGCGAATGTGGCTCGCATGAACCTCACGAAAGTCATTTTGTACTGAACGGCAACTTCATCTTCAGCTACGGGGTTTCTTTTGCCATTGTTCCCGCCATCAGAGTTGTCCTACGAGTTTCACTCGCCTGGTGACCCTGATCTCGTGGAGGACTGAAGTCAAAATCGGTGGTACCTGGGTGCCAGACCGCCTGTGGCAACAAGACTGTCAAGATTATGCCACCACTCGGGCGTTTCTCTTCTTCCCAGGTTCTTGCTGCCCCTAAAGATGTAGTGATGATTCTAAGCCATCGACGGTAGATCGTCGGTTTGACCGATATTGAGAATGTTGGTGATCCGCTTGATGCTAAGCATGTAGAGGCAGGCCACCGAGTGGCACTTTGTGGATGCTAAATGGCGAGAGGTTGAGTAGCCCACTCTTGTCCCGAGAACTTACAGGTAGGCCCTTCGGTGCTAACGGGGGGGATCGTGGATGATACTGAATCCCAAATTAGTCAAGCATTCGTGCGACTGTCCTGCATATTCATAATGAGGGGACTAGAGACAGCCAGGCACTAGTGAGGAGAACACTTCACTATGCCTGCTAGCCAGAAAGTAAAAAATGGTCTATACACGAAGACGACAGGGCAACAATCACGTTCCGAGAGCAGAAGGCTTCACATGGCGCTCTTTACCGATTTGGATATGCCAGTTTCGAAAATATCCCTCGGCGTTTCCTCGCTGTCAATGGCTTCACTGGGCTTTTGTAGACTGGGTGAATCTCAGCTTCGCGTGCGAACGAACATCTCATTGGATCCGCGATCTAAAGATCATAAAATGAGTGTAGGAAAAGCACACTGCCTTCACGATTCGGTTGACGTTCATGTGAGATTCTTGGTGACGATTCCTTGGACCAGAGCCTGAAAGCTTAGCTAACGCAAATTTAGCTTAGCCTCAGCGGAAAAAGGTCTAACCCGCGGTCCAATTAGAAGCTCTACTGCCTCCCTGGCCAGACAGGACGTTCGGACGTTGCAGCGGAATCGGCAGGTTTCTAGGGCGTGCGAAAGCTGACCACGGGCGTGCAGTCCCACGGTTTCCAAAAGAGCTCTGAAAGTTGAGGGGAGTGGGATAGATACGAGTTCAGGTTGATCAATTACCTATGATGCCAATCGCTCCCTCCAAATCGCCCGACAGCCGTTTGAGGGATTCGATTCCGAGCCACGAACCACAGCGGGCGCACCTACACCTGCACACGCGGCCTGCATAGCTCCTGGAATTTGGAGAAGTCCAGACTCTGCCTCGACTACCCAGGCCACGAAACACTCCCGTCTGTAGGCGGAGCCTTCTCCGAAGCCAGTCGACTTCCCGCTCACAAGGCAGCTTTATTGGGCATGCTCCGTGCTTGCCGTTGCCCCTCCCCTTCGCGCTGGCTTGCCGCTCCTACCGATGCTCGAACTTCCGAGCAAAACCTTCCCTTCCCGCCTTTGCGCCTTTGCGCCTCCACCTCCTCGTCAGCTTTCCACCCGCGCCCTCTCTCCACTTTCTCCTTCTCCTCTCTTCCGCCTTACCCTCCCCGTCTACACTTTGTATTGTTCTTGTCGCAAGTTCACTCTGTTTCCCTGCCACCTGCGGCCCGTCAACATACCACTCCGTGATTCCCGAAATTTTTGGTACTAGTTTTGCCCCTCCGCTCGACCTCCGCTCCAGCTTAGTTGAGCCGGTCCGCCTAGCCCACATCGAGCTATTAGAAATCGCAGCATCCTCGGTCGCCGCCGGGCACCACACCACACCTCACTACACCGCCTTACACAGCTGTCCAACGCCTTTCGAGCGCTATGGCTACAGAGCCGACTGCTCAGAAACGGCCGAGGTCGCCGACTGCGTCTGATCAGGCATTGCCGGCTCCCAAGGTGCAGCGGACGCATGGGAACCAGCTGCAGATCAACTACCTCGCCAGACAACACAAAGAGACTATTCCTCTCGTCACTGTCAATGAGAAGCTTCCGGAGCTCCTCCGACTTGTTGGCGAGTACGATGGCGTCCTCCAGCGACACGAATCTATCGCCGGCAATTTAGGCGCATGCCCTCTTGGTCCAATCCTCCTCAAGCGCTTCGACCGCCTCTTCGATGGCCCTCCACGTATTCTAAAATCCCACGCTCGCGATGCAAATGTCACATGGCTTGACGTCGTTGAGTTTGCGCAGAATAAGCCGGAGCAATTCAATCTCGAGAAGATGCGCAACGGCGTTCGTGTGTGCCAGTTCTATACCAAGCAGTGTCGGGTAGAGATCTCTGAGGAGGATTTCGTTCTCATCGCCAGTGGTATGCCTCAGAAGCTAATCCCGCCACAACCCATCCTAGAGGACGAAGAGAAGGAACTGGGAGTCATGGATCTCCTCGACCGAAATCTCGGGCAAGTCATCCAACTCGCTGACCAAGGTATGTTTCCCGACTATGTACTCTGAACACACACTGACCATGTCTAGTCTCCGCTCGTGCCCGTCAGCTCATTCATAAGATGAAAAACCGACGTACAGCCATCCTATCACGAAGAGAGACGGAAGGTGCCAACGCCCCTCAAGCCCCACCACTTCGCTCAAACGGCTCACCGCATGCAGAAGCCAACGGTATTGCTGCGCAACCAGTCCGCAGCGTCGAGGCTGCATCACCGACCATGGGCTTCACTGCCGTCAATGTACGCCAGTCGATCAGTGAAGCTCCCAAGACTAGCAGCATTACTGCGGACGACCTTTTCCCCACTTCAAGTGCTGGCAATGTGACCTACATTAATGGCAGATCCATCAAAGGAGCTTCACCTACGGAGCGAGCTGAAATGATGAAGAAGTTCATGTCTTCTAGTGATCGCGAGAGCGGCGCCCATGACTCCGATCGCCGCGCTTCAATCGGGACTTCGTCACGGCCACAGCCACTGAATCAGCCTTCGGCAAACCGACCCCGCTCCGATTCAGTCGACTATACTGGCAGACCTATGGAAAGCAACCCAAATGCTCTTGTTGCCATTCCCAGCACACCTGCTCAGCTCATGCCCCCAGCAAAGAGCCCCTTTCTCGAACGAGATGATGGCGGACCTTTCAAGTCCGAGATGGTGAGCAGAATGGAATCCATGCAACGAGGCGAGCGCGTCATGCCACCGTGCGACCGTTGCCGACGGCTGCATATGGATTGCTTGAAGAATCTAACCGCCTGTATGGGCTGTACCAAGAAGCATGCCAAATGCTCTTGGAAGGATGTTCGACCAGATGAGCTTCAAGAACTTGAGAGAGGATTGGATGGCGAGCATGATAATCATCGGCGAGAACCAATTCCCGACCACACCTCACCGCCCCGGACGATCGCCGAAGTGACGCGACAGATTGAGGAAAGCTCGCGACCACCTAATTCTCTGTCTGCTCCACCAGAACAGAAGGATGAGGCTGGCGATACTGTCATGGAAGATAGTGCTCCACAAAAGGATCCAAGTCCCCCACGTGCAGACCCTCCTTTGGCAACCGAAGCTCTCCGGCCGCCTACGCCTAAACCTTCTCCTAAACCCTCGCCGCCAGCGACAGCACCCGCAGCAGCACCTGCTCCAATGCAGTCTAAATTCGACGTCAAACCACCAGCCTTTACGCAACAGCTCCAGGACGCAGCAAGCCGCATCTCGCCACCTCGCTATCCGCAGTATTCTGCCTACCCTCCGAAAGATTCACATCGAAACATGGATATTGACGAGAATGACGAGGGCGATCGTTTACAGGCTCTAGCCGCGCAAGTCTACCGCTCGGCTTCTCAAAGTGTGAAGCCGCAAGAGTCAAGCCAGGCGTAACAGATGAAAGTTCTTTTCGTAGTACAGCAGTATTATAGCGGAGACGTTTGACTCATGAGATATGAGGAGGCAAGAAAAAGGTTGCTTCTTGACACCGACCACCTTGTCATCCGCATAATGATGTATATATTGTGATCCAGCTCCACGCGGTCGTCTTCTGGAAATCACCCACGCTGTGCCTTTATAGCGGGGACTTCTCCGGCTATACACTTGCCCGGCAATCGGATCTGGGGCCCGGTATGCGGGGCGCTGTCTCGTTTGAACATTGCCGAAACTGCGCTCCCTCAAACCGCGCCCGCTGACCATAGTTGTCAAGCGAGTAGCAGTGCAGGTTTGAATTCACGGCCTTGCACCCCGATTCTATCCGGTTTCGGGACAATTTCGTGCTAACGGAGCTATATAAATGCAGCCGGGTTGTGTGATGCTCTTATAAGCAGCATTTCCAATTCGTGGATTGGCCGGAACACTGCGTTTTGGTGCTGCTTCCGATATTTAGACGCTCAGGTCTCTATAGCCATTCAGATAACCCTTGTCTTCATCGATTTCTAGCAAGCATCCGGTTCACCATCTACTGGTAAAGTCGGACAGAACAGCAGCCATGGATCCTGTGCGTACCTTCCCCGGATCTGGAGCAGATGTCTGCTAACTACTCCTCGCAGTCCCAAGTCAAAATTCCTGAGCTCAAGAACCTCACCATTGAGAACATCACCGAGAATGTAAGTCGTCCACTCAACAGCACCTTATCGAGGCCTCAGCCTCTCCTCTGACTCAAGTCCTCTACAAGACTTGCACCTTTTTTTCGGATGATGGAGCTGACATGGTCTCCCTACCGTCAGGTCATTAAAATCAACTCCAACAACCCCTCCCCACGCTTCAAATACATTCTCGAACGTCTCGTGACCCACCTTCATGACTTTGCGCGCGAAACTCGGCTTTCTACAAGCGAATGGATGGCCGGCATCCAATTCCTGACAGCGACCGGCCAGATCTGCACCGATGTTCGACAAGAATTCATCCTCCTCTCCGACATTCTCGGCTTGTCACTTCTAATCGACAGTATCGACCACCCCAAACCCCCCTCAAGCACCGAGGGCACCGTCCTCGGCCCATTCCACACCCACGATGCCAACGATTTGCCCCACGGCGACAACATGTCTCATGATCCTGCTGGCGAGCCCCTACTCGTCCTCTGTACCGTCAAGGACGTCTCTGGTGCACCCATCCCAGGCGCCAAGATCGATATCTGGGAGACTGACTCCAGCGGGAAATACGATGTGCAGCACGCCGATCGTGCAGAGCCCGATGGACGGTGCGTGATGCGCTCCGACACCGATGGCAATTTCTGGTTCAAAGCAATCGTGCCTGTGCCGTACCCGATTCCCAACGACGGACCGGTTGGTCAGCTGCTTCAACGACTGCAACGGCATTGTTGGCGACCTAGCCATATGCACTTTATGTTCGAGAAGCCCGGCTATGATCACTTGATCACCGCACTTTACCTGAGAGGTGACCCGTACGAGACGAGTGATGCGGTGTTTGGAGTCAAGGAGAGTCTGATCATCGATTTGGGCGTGGTAGGCAAGGAGGAAATTGAGAAATACGGGGTAAAGGAGGGGACAAAGTTGTTGAAATACGATTTCGTGCTGGTTGGCGAGGAGGAGAGCAAGAAGCTGAGAGAGGAAAGGAGTAAGGAGGCATTGGAGAAGCTAGGCAGGCGAGTTAAGATCGTGGAAGGGCTGCCGGTGCCAGACGTCGACTGATTCAGGTAGGCCAGTTGGGAGCGTGGTTTTAGAGGGAGTAAAAATACGAGGAATAGGGAAGGCACTTGTCAGAGACTAGAGAATGATCACCAAGAGGGTGCTACGACTTGGACGGCATATGACAGCCAGGCACGCAAATAATGGCAGGCAGCTCCTTCAAATCCTATCTGCACAGCCTTTATGCTTCGATTGGACGGGGAAAGGTGTGAGGTAAAGTCGGGGCAAGCACGAGGCCGGCCACTGAGATAGGCAGAGATGGCGGATGTTCTTTCCTTACTCGAGTCCAAGAAAGTGCCTGTTTCAATCCCTCATTTGTCCTTGCAGCAATTGTTGACCAGAGTATTCAGTGCTTCCATGGCCTTCGTCGTGTATAGCTCCATCGATGTGTACTTCTGCGGTCCCTGTCCGTCAAAGACCTCCATCGAGAACCATCCTCTGAAGCCTGTCCCCAACACCGCTCTCGTAAAGTCCTCCACAGGAAGGTAGCCGCCATCGTAAGGAAGCGGTCGATAGTCATGGCTCCATTGACCTCGTGGTCGCAGTCCGTCCTTGTCGATCTCGTTGGCAATGGGGGGAGTCATCTTGTACGCATCCGAAACTTGCAACAGGAAGATCTTGTCCGCAGGGACTGTTGCAGCTAGGTCTTGAAGACTCTGCTTCCATCGCTCCTCCACATCAGCTGTAGTGCCATCCTTTTCGACCAGGCCCGATTCTGTCGTAGGGTCGGCCCATTCACCACCTGCAGACTGGAAAGTGTCGAGACAGAGGCCGAGGTTAGGTCGGTTGGCTTTTCGGACTATATCCCAGACATCCTTCCAGTCCGGAGCGTGGGTAGCCCAACACCAGTTCTCATAGGCGATGCATTGATTCTTCTTGGCCAGGATATCTGCAAGCTCTGCGAGGTCTGCTGCGAGGTATTCATGGTCCCCTTCGATGTTAGGTGCATCCGAAGACCCAACCTGATGCATGGTTAGACTAGTTCTCGAGACCCTCAACAAATCGCACCTGGAGCATGTCCGTTCCAGCAGCCTCCATAACCAACGACCAACCTTCGGCTCTCTCAAAGGCATCTTTTCGCTCATCGGAGTCTTTGGGCCATCCCTCAAAATTGGCAAATGGCTGCAACATGAGAATGTGAAGGTGGTGCTGCTCACAGAGCCTTCGGATGTTCATGCCGATCTGCTTGAGCATGCCGTAGTCCTTGGGATCAATTTCATTGCCGCTAAGTTTCTGGCCGTAAGACAAGATATCCGGCATCGAGAGCTCGATAGCCTCGAATCCAGCTTCGGAGATGGCCTTCAATTTCGCAGGCAGGTCATGATCCTGGCTATGTCCAATCGAGCACTGTGGTTTTATGTCAGCGTAACTGACCTCTCCTGCATCGTACCGAGTACAAGAGAAGACTACTCACTGTTGCATAGCACGTTGGTACGTGTTGTCCATCGTAAGTCACCATTCTGGACGGTCGATAATTTGTAGTCAGCGTACAGCAGCCCACCGAGATGAGTACTGATGGCGTGCAAGCATCTCGATGAAGGTACGGTATTTATATCCGGCCTGACGTCAGCGAGGTGCAGGTTTCTACAGCACGAGCACCCTCTCCATGAACTCATCTACAACGGCACCGGAGACGATAATGTTGCCCTGTACCATCATATGTCAAATATGCGAAAGCCAGGCATGATCTGCAGAATGAGGTACGCTGCCGGCTCTGTGAACGGCTCCGTGAATCGAGGAGGATGACCGGGCCGCGAGCGCCAAGAGGCAGTGAATGAGAGCGGAAGGGAGCTTGTTCTAGGCTCGTCAACACCACCAAGAGCCCCGGTTCTCACAGAGTCGAAAATTTGGTGGCAAGAACGATCCCATCAGTTTGCAAGGGGGACCCCATGGAACATGCGCCTCTCAATGGCAGGTCTTTGATCTCTGTCAACCTCGCGTTCATTTGAGATCCCACTTTCCTCCATCCCTCACAATGTCCACCGCCGTACCCTTACCGTCCAAACTCCGTCTGCCCGCCTCTAAGATCGCCGTTGTTACAATCGTGTTCCCCAGTGTTGGTAGACCCCTCTTATCCAACTCTTCCAATGTCACTCTGCCCTCGTTCACCCCAGTGACGCCATCTACAAACTTCTCAAACGACACGTATCCGTAACCAGCCTGTCCTCCGAAGTTTCCCTCCTCGTCCGGTGCATACCGCATGTAGAACGGGTTGATCCACTTGTTCCCACTGTCCGCAGCGCTATCGCTCTGATCTGCGACCACTTCATACCCTCTCTTCGCTTGATTGACATTGACCTCGCCTTGGCTGGCGATGTAATGGAAGTGTTGCTGAGAATGAACACCTGCATTTTGTGGAGCGGTCCAGCTGGCGGTGTAGATACCAGTGGCGCGCTTCCCAGGCTTTTCAGGATGGATCCAGTCCACCAGCAACGTGATTGTATCTTCTGTACCTTTGACGCAGCCGACACCTTCGGCAATGCCTTCACTGGCACTGGCGCGAACCGTTTGTGGTACCCACCCCAGTGCACCCACAATCCAGGCGCAGATGTCGATATGATGACTGTTGAGATAGTAGGAAATATCAGAGTCTTTACCCGCCCAGGCTTTGAAGGTTGAGAGCTGGGACTTGGGCTGTGACATGTATGAGTACCAGTAATTGAAGTCGCCCAAGTTCTTGGATCGATATTTGGCATCTGTATAGGCAGGATCGAAGCGTTTGTGGTGCTCGATGTAGACGTAGACGCCATGTTTGCGCGATAGATCGAGGAGCTCGAGATGGTGTGCAAGTAATTGAGTTGCTGGCTTGGTGATCATGACGTGGATACCCCGTTCAATGGCATACTTTGCGATGGGATAATGAGTTGAATCGGGGGTGAAGATAGTGATGGCAGACCCTTTTGGGAGAGCTTTGATCGCGCTCTTGTAAGCATCGGGGTCGGTCCGGTCGTCCGATGGGTAGGAGGTAAAGGTGGTGTCGAGGTTATTGTAAACGTTTGTGATGTTTTTGCTGAGGTGATCACGAATGGCAGGAAATTTGGAGCCAGAAGTGCCGACCATCGACAGGTCTGAAACTTTGCCTCTACGACGAAGATCGAAGAGGGTAAGGCCAACAACGCCGACTTTCTTATCTGAGGTTGAGGCAGATCCAGCCACGAACCCAGTGGTCTAGGTCTGATCAGTCAAGACTCTTACACGAGCAACTTGAAGTGGTTCAAAGATCGTCACTTACATATTCGCCAGTCCCAACCATCAACACCGCAGGAGGCGCCATTTTGGCTTGAGACTGTTCTTCTCGAAGAGATGTTCAATGCAATGGGAAAGCCCCGGTCATGTAGGGTCTTCTGGTTCAAAGAGACGATGTTGGATATCATCCAATTGCTGAATCGATGATAATTGAGGCCTCTTAAACGGGAGTGCTCGAGGTTTTCTAATACAGTTGTGGCATTCGTTTCAGGCAAGAACGCCGTAGTTGCTGGTTGCCCCCAATTTTGATACTCCAAAGTTCGCGGGTAATGATTGCCCCCACCTTCGCAATGGGAAGGGGCGGAGAGGCTGGCTGTAGGCAAACGCCGATGGGTAGTCGTCGGCGTTTGAATTCTCAGCTCGATCGGAACCGGAGATCATGATAGCAGGATGAATACGGAGGACTCGCGGCAGAACGATACGTGCCATTATAATAGATATTCACAGTTACACATAGCCTCAGATGCTCTACTCTGAGCACTGCCGCGCTGAGGGGTATATGGAAATAAATCTTCAAACACCTGACAACGCCATCGCTCCCAAAGATCACGTCAAACATAGCTACCGGTAACTTTTGATGGTGTTCCTTCTCTTCTTCAGCCATATTATTACACATTTTCTGCGAAACGACTCCTGGTACTGCCTCGACTCCGAGCACTGACACGACTGCCATCGTGGTGCGCCAGTGAGCGTCCAACTCCGTCAGGATGAAGACCAGGAGCGAAAGGAGGCATCGGTGGAGCATCGCTCATGGTCGGCGTTTGCTGGATTGGAAGCCTGATTGAACTTGGCGATGGGCTGACAGTGACCGGTGTCCTGGCAGGACTGGGACGGAGTGCACCGGCGACTTCAGGTCTGCTCGAGGCGACCGAGGTCTGACTTGAGGTGCGAGCGCCTTGTCCAGCGAAGTCTCGCGTCGAGCTTGGGCCCGCCTTTTCCGCTTCGCCATCAGTGCCAATGATAGGACTGGCAGGATAGGGGGGGGTATCTGCGCCTGTACCGCCGTAAAATCCACGACTGTCACGATAGAATGACGAATCGGCCAAGCTATTCTCATTCCGCTGATGAGTGGCAGGCCCAGCGGCCCCGAAAACACCATAATGGCCTCCATAGCCATCACCTCCCGTGCTGAGAACCGGGTCAATTTTGCGACCGGCCAGTTTTTGGAAACCACGTTCGCCTTCAGGTGCCGTTGAAGCAGTCTGGTCAGTTGTAGCCGTTTGACTGGACATGGGCCGGAACCGGCGAAGACTGCTGGCCAAAGTTGCCGTCAAAGGTATCGCTGATGAACGTTGTGACATGCCTCGACGGACGTCCTCGACGGACGTACTGTCTTCCTGGGCCATCTGTTCAGGCAGACGACCTTGGGCTTTGAGTTTGGCGCGGTAGCGCCTAAGTAGGAACAATATTAAAACAAGTATCAGTGCGAGACCGGCAATGCCACCAACCACTCCACCAACCACTGATTGCTGTTGAGGGGTCAGTGCTGGGCCACTCCCTCCACCACCACCACTAGATTCACTCGATGTTGCTGCAGGTGCCTCTAGGGTGGTAGTGGCTGCTGCACCTTCAGCTGTGTTGCCGTCAGAACCAGTTGCAGACACCGACGAACTTTCTGCCGTAACTATTATTCCTGACGGCTCACTTGAGCTTCTGGTGGAAGTTTCGCGTCCGGACTGTGAAATTGTGTCCGTTGGAATTAGCAGGACTGCCGGAAACAAAGTGCCATTAAGGTATGATACCTCGAAAGTGGAAGTTGTCGTGACGGTGACGATAGTGTCGGCGGAGGCGAAGCTCGTTGACGTACTGTTTAGAGCGTCGGATAGTACTGACCCTGCCGGGCTCAGTACCGATGTCGTAGAAGAGACAATTGTAGGCGGTTCAGTAATAGACGCTGTATCCGTCAGACTGGGCATGTCGGTAGTTGCAGTAGCTGTGATGTTGGCTGGGATGGTGACAGAGCCGAGATCTTCAAGCGCGACGACAGTATCGCTGGAAACAGGAGTTATTGTGGTAGCAGCGATGTTGGAAGTGCCATCGTTGACGTTGATGACTACCTCGGGAGCCGCGATAGTGACAGTGGCTTCGGCTCTGCGCTCGTGCTGGACAAACGTGGCCCTGCGCTGGCAATCCGATAGTTTGGTGGTAGAGGTGGGCGCTGGTGCGCCACAGCCATCCGCATCGTTGCTCCGGATGCCCATCTCTGTTGTGAAGAGACCCTCTGTCGCCCTCGAACTAGGATCACGCGGTGATCGCATGTCAGGGTCTTCGATCCTCATCCTTTTTGATGGCCTCTTCATTTCTCATGACTGGGATTCGGCGGGGCAACAGAATGCGACTTGGCGGCAGTTTTTCGGTATTTCGAACCCGGGGATGAGAATAAATCGTATGTAGGTTATTATTGGGGGTCCTCGCTCAGAGTTTCGAACCAGCTGCTGCTCGAGCAGGGAACAGTAGGACCAGCCAAAGGCTTGAAAATGAAGGTGGGTGTAGCAACGCTTCGAGCAGCTGCGAAAGAGGACGTTAGGGCGAACGTCGGCGCGGGAATGTGGCTGCAAGCTAGTAAAGGAGCGGCAGCTGGCACGGGGCACAGCAATATACGGTTAATTAGGTGCTGTATGTATAACTGAGGGCGGCGTTAGCGCTTCGCAGAGGTTGTATAGAAGTGAGACAGTGAGGGGTTATATGAATCATCGGTATCTGCAAGCGGGCTGCGGGTCGGCGTACCTCAGGCGACTACTTGCATGGTGGCAGCAAGTGACTTTTCCAGACACCCAGATGTTCTCACAGTTTGTGAGTGCAAATGAGGCGGTAGCTCAGGACCAGGAGCTCTGGATTTGCGTTTTCTAATAGCGTACCGGCGTTGTTATGGACTGGCGTGGATCTCCTTTGCGCTGCAATTGCTAGGATCGCGGTACGTGTTCAACAGTGCGTATGTAGGCGAAACGTCGAAGACAGATTGTGATCAGAACGAATGACGATACTCAAGTTTGTACTAGGACGAGAAGTCGATCCGATGGTGAAGTAAAGGAGCGAGCGCAGACTGCGCTGGTGATATGACAGCGGGAGCAACAGAGCACCGAATGGCAGTGGGACCACCCAGTAGTTTTGAGCTGGTCAAAGCCGTCAGTTAACAGCGCACAGCTTGATTTTCAACGACGAGACCAGAAAGACAAGATGGATGGGCCGGCGGCGGCGGCGGCAGGGAGGCAGCTGCAAGTAAGCGACAGGGCGAGCGACAGACGCGCAAGACATGGCTGCTCGCAGGCTCTCGGCCATGCTCCACCCCAATTCAGGATATCATTTCCACTGGCTGGCCCAGCAGCGACCAGATGTTGGCTTCCTTGTTAGCTGCGCTTAGCCCGCACTGTACCTGCACGCTAGGGCTTGCTAGCCGGCAAATGTTGAACTCTTCGCATGGTGCACCTCGAACGCAATCAAAATCGCAACCTAACCATCCTCTGCCACCAACCATCTCGAGCATGGTCGTTTGGCTACGCATCAAGCCCCTCTCGACTGGCGCAGAATTCATCAATGGAAGATTACTCCGTATCATCGTTTGACACAACTTCAACAATTCGCTGCGACGATGCATTTCCGCCCGCAGCGCCGCAGCTCCAGGCTCGTGTGTTAGCCCAAGGTATCTTGACAGCTGTGCTGATCTTCGATCGTCCAGCTGATCACTGATCGTCGCAGAGCCTCATCCCACAACATTAATTGTCAACGAAACCAAAGGCTGTCTGCTGTATAGCGTGTACGGATTTCGCTGGTACCTGCGACAGCCCTGTATCGAACGGCCGGACAACCGCGGCTTGCCGTGGCTCGGTTTCAGTCCCGTCTCGCTAACCTTGCAATCCCACATGGCAAAAGCCTCATTCTGCAACCCAAATGAGCACCTACGCGGTTATTTCATTGACTACCAACACTGCTTGCAGACTGCTTGCAGGGCTTCCGTGTGTCGCAACTCAACAGTCCCAACTACCAGCGCCCTGAAGGTTCTGACATATTTTCGCAGGCCCTTGTTGCCTCTTGAAGAAAAAATCTCGATGCGATCTCTTAGACCCTGCCTATCTTCTGTACGATCGTCACCCCAAGGACTCCAATCTCTTACTTCACACCACGGCCAACAAGCCCATTAGTATTCTCTCCCTTGTGTAGCTTTTTTCGATCACCTGGACAGTACCACTTGACCGTCCTGGCGGGTAGGGCAGCCAAGCTCACACAGTCCATATGGAACCACTGTCCGAATTCACACTATTTAATCGTTAGCCGTCCTGCAGAGTTGCTGTAGAGGGTGTCGCCTTACCTTCTCGTCTAGTTCGCAGCAAATCATTTCTCCATAGCTCACATCCCCACAGATGCAGTATCGCTCCTCGTTGGGATCAACGAGCTCGGCCCGTCCATCAATATCCACTCGAACTTCTGGGGATGTGTTGCTGGCTGCTTTCTTCTGCTTGCCCGGTTTATTCTTCCGCTTACTCATGCTGACTGCTGGACCACCATCCTCATTGGACCGAGTCACCGTTCCAGGCACTTCTCGCTTGGGTCGACGACTTGCCGCGGTCGGCAAGCCACGAGGTGAAGAGTCAGCTGCCGGAGTCTGGCGGAGGGACAGAGAAGGCGTGCGGCGGCTTGCTGCAGCAGGTGTGGCCGACGTTCTACGGGACGCAGCTCTCACAGTGGTAGGAACTGCATCGATCCCCGGATCTCCGGTATACTCTGGTGGAGGGGCTGTAGATTTCCGCGACACTGGCCGCGAAACTGGCTGCGAGGGAGGAGGAGGTGTAGATTCTTCCGTCTTCGGTGCAACAGAACTACGAGCTGTGCTATCAGCCCTGGTGCCAGTTGCAGGAGTCGATGACTCAGATGTGTCGAGCGGCTGAGGTGCCACTGTGAGCTTAAGTGGGATCTTTATCGTTCCAGCACTCGGCTGAGGGGTCTCCGTGGAGGGCGCAAGAGACGGCAATGGGGATGGCTTGGAAGCGATCTTCTGTTTCTTCCGCTGTACATCTGACTCTGCGGAGGGAGACGCAGATACGCCTACCTCTTCGAGTTTTCGCTTCTTTGCAGCTTTCTCCGTCTTCTTTGACGGACCTGCGGTGGCGGCCGATGGTGTGCTTGCACTTCTGTTCAGAGAAGCCAAAGCGTTTGACAGTGGACTGAACAGATTTTTGAAGGCGGACCCGATATCGCCAAGTCGTCGTGCTGCAAGTTCAGCTTCCTGAGCTGCAAGCGCTGCTTGCTCTCGGGCAGTATCCGGTTTCTTGTCCTTTTTCGGGTCAGGTTTCTTCGTCCGTGTTTTGGGTTCCGGTGTAGCTACCACGATAGGCGTGGTAGCTTCTGTTTGCTCTTTTTCAGGTTTGGATTGGAGTGCATGGCCAGAGGTGCTAGGTGTGAGCTGGCTGCTTTGACCAGCTTTTTCAATGTCGACAAAAGGTATGCCATTTGCCTGAGCTTCAGCTTTCGCGCGATAATAATTGTCCCATCCACGTCCGCGTAGCTCCAACTCGCGTCGGATCATGACTGGACTGGGTTCCCAAGTGTGATTCTTCTTCATCTTCTTTCGCAGCTTGTACATTTCGAACTCTGTCAGACGAGTCCATGGTCGATACTTGCTTCCGAGTTCAGCGTCTTCAGGAGGAGGGGTAGGCTTGCGATATGTAGCATGCTCGCGTGGGGCGCGTGGTGGCCGTTCCACAGGCACCGACTTTTCAATTTCTTTCGGTACCTTTGGCTGCTTGAGTTTGAGAAGCGGGCGTGGAGGCGAGGGCGGTGGCGACTCCCAGTCCGAGACTTCCGTGCTTGCGATGGCCTCGTCAGGGTCGTAGGGTGGGAGGACCTCGCCAGGAACAGTGACACGTCTGCCTCTTGGCCGACCGAGGATCGCTGAAGCGACGGCACCGCCGCGGGGTGGTTTCAGAGTCAGCCGTGAGCCAGGTTTGATTTCTCTTCCCATTCGAGAGCGCTTTTGAACCGAGGTGAGGGGTTGTGGAGTGGGATCTCGCGAAGGCGGCTTTGGGATTGCATTAAGTTTTGCGATGATGCTCTTGAGGCGGTTCTGGTGTCTATCGGCCACGTCAAACAAGCGGCTGGCTTCAGCGAACGCGGATTCTCGAGCGTTCAAGGCTGCGTCGAGTGTTGATATCGCCTTGAGTCGCAGGCCTTGAACATTTGGTCGCATTGAAGGCTCGAGGCTAGGGATTGATCCATATTGCTTAGTCAAGTCGTCGATTATGATAGTATGGTTGTGATAGATCTCATCGAGGCCACGGATCAGTGTCAAAGATCGGATCAGATCTGAGGGAAGGTATTCGGTATAATCGAGGAAGTCGGTTACGGCCGCCTGCGCGTCAGGGTCGACGGTACGGTCACCCGCAATGTCAACCATCGTGCCCATCGATTATTGCTCTTTCTTCTCCTCTTCCATCTGGTCAGGCACGTCTACCTGAATAAGGACGTTTTCGATATCGTTGAGGCGTGCGCGTTTCCGGTTTGCTGTACCACAGGCGACAACAATGACAACAGTAGTGACGAAGGTGAGGATCAGGACAAGGAATGGAATAAGGCGGTTTTCGGTATACTTTAGAATAACCGCCACAGGTCGAAAGCCCTACCTCAAGTTGTTAGTGATGTGCTCAGCCATGTATGTGCCAGTGGTGGCAGTCGCACCGGCGCTCACTGTGGAGAGTGAACGTTTCAGGTATGTTAACCGAGGAAGATGTCTCCATATGGGAGCTAACGGCATGTGGATAGACTTACCTTCCGGGACATTTCGCTGCACTGCTTCTTTCCCTTCACTCTCTGAAACTATCCTGCCTGATGCATAGTCTTGTTGGTTATCATTTTGCCGGTCGTGACTGCCGGAAGACCGAGACAGAAATGGAGTGTATGCAACGAAACAAGTGTTTGCCAAGACCAGAAGAGCTGCAGGTATTCTGTACGACCTGCTTCTCTGTACATTGTTTGCTATCCTTTCCTCCATGACCAACGATACAGTGCATCAATAAAACGTCACAATCTTACATCTTACATCTTCGCAAATCTTCCACTTTCACTGCTAGTTTATGGCATGTTACACCGTCTTCTTCCTGGAAGTTGAACCACTCAAGCACTGGATCCTGGCTATCCCGCTGTTGTCAGCCTATCAACGCCAGAATGGGAACATCAGCCCAAGCTAGGATCGCAGAGTTGTTCAAGAACGCCCCTCTCCCAGCCCCTCCACCTGCTGATGTCAAGACCTACGCTGAGCAAGAACTTGAAGCCCAAATGGCCTCTCAATCAAGCTGGAGAATCCCCAACGAACCGCAATATCCCCGCACGCATCGTGGCCCAACACCGAAACCTGCCGACAACTCCCATGTCCTGACCAGCTCTGATGAAGACGACGACTATGTTAAAGCGTTCACATCGAAGCCACAGATGAAACCGACTAAACCACAGAACTCCAAGCAGCAATCTCAAGGTCATGTGAGGGTACAAAGCGGCGCAGATGAACACCAAAAGTATGAAGGGGTTTCCCGCCCAAGTCCACCGACAAGCGACAAGCACGGTAAGTCTGTTACGGGCCACTTCTGTTCCTTCAATCTAGCGGCGAAATTTCCATACAAGTACTTGGATGACCCCAACGGGCAGGTATCGAGACATTTCTTTGCGAACGGCAAGTTCTTTGAGCGGACCTGGGATCTATACTACCTTCACGGCCCTGAATCGAGTTTTACTCGACCTCTCATACTACTACCTTACGAACAAGTTCGGACGTTAGTTGATGAAATTGCACTGACTTTGAAAGCCGACGTGGCAGTGCCTGCGTTTCCGTTCACCCTCACGTTTTTCGATGACGGCACTCCTCAGCCTCAGTTGCTATGTACCTGCAGGTCTCGTGCAGACATAAACGAGATGCAAGATTCGATCCCACCCGCTGCTCCCGGCCATGGTGAAACTCCAGTGGATGCCTCAGAGACTCTCCAAAGCTCCTTTCTCGCATATAGGCTAAAGTGTGAGCGTGCTCAAGCGGGCGCCAAGCGCAAGAATGCTTCATCCAAGAAGAGGAAGAAAGCTGCCGGCCGTTCAGTGATCCCACGCTGGTGCCATTCTCTCAAACGCGCTCAACAGTATTTTGGCCTTCGACCACCTTACGCCGAGGTTGCGATACCTGACGAGTCCATGACATGGGACGAGCAGGCATCCTTCTATGAGCAGCAGGCTAAGATTGCTGACACCGATCTGGAGCCTCTCAATATTTCCAAACCTGCTCCATTCCTACCAGCCATTGAAGCGATCCTCATCTGCATCGACGTCGAGTCATACGAGCGTGAGCACCGCCTCATTACCGAGGTCGGCATCAGCACTCTTGATACACTGGACCTCATAGATGTGGCGCCCGGACCCAATGGAGAGAACTGGAGGAAGCAAATTCGTTCCCGACATCTACGCATCAAAGAGCATGCGCATCTGAGGAACACTGATTTCTGCATTGGTGATCCGGAAGCATTTCAATTCGGTGAATCGGAGTTTGTAAGCCTCGACGAAGTCGGAGAAAAGATTGATAGCTGCTTCGAGTGGCCCTTTTCTGTTCAGTACAAACATGATGGCAAGCTCAAAATCGAACAACAGAGGTGGGACAGTCTAGTTGAGGAGGCCAATATTACGTCGCTCAACGATGAAGTCGCCTCTGGGCATATATTGGGAGGTGATCGTGACACTGGAGAGGCTGCTATACCTGCCGGTGCTGATGCTGTGGGAAAGCAAACAGAGCTTCCGCAGAAAGGCGTAAGAGACCGTAACATCCTCATTGTTGGTCACGATTTCGGCGCCGACCAAGCGTACCTGGAACGACTCAACTCGGCTATCTTTGCCACTGCTACTCCTACGACGTGGCGTCATGGCGTCGACCAACCCGACACAGAGGCAGTACGAGGTAAGAAAGCTCTCGAGTCGATCCGAGAAGGTCTCGACACGGCCACTCTCTACAAGGTACTTTTAGAGGACAAGAATCCCAAAGGCCTGGCAAAAATTCTGTACAACCTCGACATTCGCAGTTTCTATCTCCACAACGGCGGCAATGACGCTCGGTACACACTTGAAGCACTCGTCGCCATGACCATCAAGGCCCGTCAGATGGATGATGGGACTGTTGCAGAGAGTGCTTGATGAACGCCGCCAACGGGTGTAGGCGATGCTCAACTCTATGGCGATCCCAGATGAGTGTAGTTGGGCCGAAACGATTGCAAGGGCCCATCACGAGGCCGAAGACGGGTCCACTGCATGAGGCGACGGCGCTGACCGGCGACTTGAACAAAGCCGATGGACTTCCAGAGACTCGGACTCAGAGATTTGCTGAAGTCATGAAGTACACGAAACGAAGCAGCTGGGCACGACCTTAGAGGAGAGCAGGTGCGAATTGACCGTGGCAGTGGTTGAGATCTACGGCGGGGAAGGACTTTGTGATTGGGGGTCGATGGAAATCCCAGGCTGTGCACTCCAGGTGCGAACCTAGTGACCAGGTCTGTGGCACTGGCAACCACTCACTTTGACGATTGATGAACTGTTTTTCCCAATCATAGCAGCAGCGTTGGCTTCATTGGACAGATCTAAACCTTTCAAATCACAGCAACTTGGTCTGTCCAGGACGATTTTCACGGCAGCAGCTTGACTTCTTTCACTCGCTTCTTTCACTCCCCGAACAGCCATGCATCCATAGTCTCAGCGGGCCAAGTTGCGATGACCCGGTTCGGGAAACAATGCCTGCTGATCCTCGATGTTAGGGATAACGTGCCTCAAACTCCGCTGGCAGCACTGATCATGTAGCTTGAACTGGTGTGATACCCCACCAGTCGATATACCTCCAATAAGCCGAATAATCAGTTCGGTACCGTTGTGCTGACTGCCGGTTGGTTAATCAGAAAACATGCACTAACGTGCAGTGTTGAGTAAACAGCGGGATTCGATGTCTCAGGGGTGGTCAGAGATGAAGATTCACGCAAAGGCGCTCGGTGCCGACTTGACTCGGTTCCGGTGGGCACCCTGGTTTGTAATGCACCCTTTCCGTGTGTCAATTGGCGGGCATGAAGGCGGCGGCAGCTCAAATGACAGGTCGCTTTCGTACTCGTGAAGAGGAAAGAGCAACCTCGGCTCCCCCAGATCTTGGCATCATGGACTCCAGCTCCCCACGACGGGACGACAGCTTTCATCCAGACCACGACACAGTACTTAACCGTCTTGCATTCCCGAGCCTGCAATCATTGTACCACTTCCAAAGCTTCAATTGACCTAGCATCATGTCTGTACCGTACCTAATGACCGGAGGCAAGGATGCCGGCCCGGCATCGACACGTATTCCGCCCATTGCGAGGCCCTTTGTCAGCGATAAAGCCAAGAAGACCCTCGACATTGTATGTTCTACTCCTATTCGGTCTGATTTCCCGGAGATAGCTTGCTTATGTGATCTTATAGGTGGAGAAGTTCGTAGAGGAAGACTGTATTCCCGCCGACGCCGTCTACGCTCAGCAAGTCGGCCATGGTAGCACCAAGGAACGCTTCTCTGCTCACCCTCCAATCCTCGAGGACCTCAAAAAGAAGGCTCAGAGTCTCGGTCTCTGGAATATGTTCCTGCCCAAGAACCACTTCAAGGAGGGCGCCGGCTTTTCCAACCTCGAGTACGGTCTCATGGCCGAGTACCTAGGCAAATCCGATATCGCCTCTGAAGCCGTCAACTGTGCTGCCCCAGACACTGGCAACATGGAAGTTTTTGCAAAGTACGGCACCGAACAGCAAAAGCGTCAATGGCTCGATCCTTTGCTACGCGGCGAAATCCGCTCGGCCTTCCTCATGACCGAGCCTCAAGTCGCCAGCAGCGATGCCACCAACATTGAAATGTCTATGAAGCAAGACGGTGATTACTGGGTCCTTAATGGCCAGGTACTGGAAACCATCCCCTGTCCTTCTAACGTCGCTAATGAGCACAACAGAAATGGTGGTCATCCGGTGCCGGCGATGCGCGGTGCAAAATCTTCATCGTCATGGCCAAATCATCTCCTAATAACCCTGACAAATACCGTCAGCAGTCAGTCATCTTTGTCCCTGCCGATACCCAGGGTGTGATCGTCCGCCGAGTCCTGGGCGTCATCGGTTACGACCACGCTCCCCATGGCCATGCGCAGATCGAGTTCAATAATGTCCGCGTCCACAAGTCCAACATGTGTCTCGGCGAGGGCCGCGGTTTCGAGGTCGTGCAAGGTCGCCTCGGTCCTGGGCGCATTCATCACGCCATGCGCAGCGTCGGTGCTGCAGAAAAGGCATTGGAGTGGTTCCTGGCACGCATCAACGATCCGGCGAAGAAACCTTTTGGGCAGCTGCTTTCAAACCATGGCATCATGTTGGAGCGCGTCGCCCGTTCTCGGATTGAGATCGATGCCGCGCGTCTTGCAGTCTTGAATGCCGCCATCAAGGTCGACGAGGGGGACGCCAAATTTGCTTTGAAGGAGATTGCCGAGGTCAAGGTGCTCGTGCCCAACACGCTCTTGGATGTGCTGGACCGTGCGATGCAGGCTTACGGCGGTGCAGGTGTCAGCCAAGACACGCCGTTGGCTGCCATGTGGGCCAACGGACGGACGATGCGTATCGTTGACGGGCCGGATGAGGTACATATGTTGCAGCTGGGGAGAAACGAGGCCAAGAGAGGTGGCGCGCTTCTCAAGAAGATCAGAGCGCAGCAGGAGAAGACAAGGCGGCTACTGGGAGAGGCTGGCATAGAATGGGAGGATCGTCTGGCGCTCAATCGGGTTATGGGCGGCAAGGAGTCGAAGTTGTAAGGTTGTATGCTCCGGCAAGAGAGGGAACGAAAATATGGTCTATGGTCCGGGCTTGCATTGTCGTGATTCATCCTAGCTTGATGACTTTCAACTCTGGCATGGCCGCGTCGGCTCAGTTCACAACATCTAGAAATCGGTTCACATCCCCCGCGAACTCTTCAGCCCATTGATATAAAAGACTATGGCCGCTAACCGGGTAGATCTTCAGCCTTGCGTCTGGAATCATCTGCTGCATCACAAAGCTGTTGTGGGTCGGCATCATGTAGTCATCTGTGTCCTGGCCAATAAACACCGGCAACTTGATCTCTACAGTGATCGCAGGACGATCATAGCATCAGGACCGGTAACGAGGGAAGGCATGGGCAGAGAACGGGAGGAACGAGTACCTGAGGGAAGTTGCCTCGTATATCGTCACGTTCCTGCTTGGTAGGCACGAGTCCTTCTGCCTGACTCCCAACTTCCGTTCCCCCCTCATTGCTTTCCCTTCTCTTGACCTTGATGTCCCGTTGGTCATCTATACTCATGCCTCGACCCTCTGTACCGCCCCTTGTTTTGTCCACCGTTGAGGGAAAAAGTTGACACCAGCGTATCAAGATTTGCAGCATTGAGACTCCGCTGTTGGTGCAGGAGGGCCTCTGAGAGACAGACATTGTCACGGCGCGGCTAGAATCGCTTAAAGCTGCTGGTCCATCTCAAAGAGCTTCATCAGCTGAGAACCGCTCCTTGTCGTCAAGAGTGACGCGATAGTCAGCGGCCACAACCCCAGCATCATCCAACAAAGCGATAGAAGGATTGGAAATAGCGCTCGGGGGGGTTTTTTGAAGTGGCCCGGGGCGGGACTCGCGTGCGAAGGGCCGGCCCCTCTTCCGCGGCGTTAAGAAGTCACCGATGCCTCGCCTAGATATGGAGTCCACTTCCTTCGCAAAAGAACATTGGCTCCTGCCTGGACATCGTCGCCATGGCATGCATATGTGCCGGCGAGATCTTCCCGCGATAATGCAACCATTCCACAGCACTAGGCTATCAATGCACCTTTGCGGTTTGGCGGCTTCTCCTCGTCTCTCAGCGTTACATCTTCGCTGGCTACCTTTTCTCTTACAATATCACTTGTCGATACGTAAGTCAACATCGTCGCCAGTGCTTGAGATCACAGCATGGTGACTTCAGAAAAGGAGTTGAGCTCCGGCACCGCCATCGAGCCTGTCAACAATGGCTCATCCTTGCATGGCCCTCGATCGGACAACCCTTTCCAGAATACCTCCATAGCCTATGAAGACCAGGCAGTCGTTGACAATCAAGGCCGACTGAGACGACTGTTCAGCTTCGTCCAACTACTTGCCTTTGCCCTAACATTTATGTCGAGTTGGGAGGTTGTTGCCATGTAATTCCACCCCATCCCAACCCGCTGTCGTGTCTCACAATGCGACAGGAACATGGGAGCGACCTTCTACAATGGCGGATCGCGTGCATTGGTCTGGGGCTGCTTCTTGGTCGTCATCGGGTCGCTGTCCCAAGCTCTGTCAATGGCTGAACTGGGCTCTATCCTGCCGATTGCGGGCGCTCAGTATCACTGGACCGACATGCTGGCTCCTGAGAGCTCCCGTCGCGTCATCACCTGGTTCCAGGGCTGGGTAACATGGTTCGCATGGGTATCTGCTCTTGGGGGCAGCTCTTCTGGCCTTGCTTTCATCCTCCAAGGGCTCATCGCTGAGAATATGCCTGGCTATGCCGAATCTCAGCAGAGTTGGCACTTGACGCCCATCATGATCGTGATCCTTCTCACCGTGGGACTCATCAACTCTTTCGCCTTCCGCATCGTTCCATGGCTGGAGCTGGCATCCGGTGTATTCCATGTCATTCTGTTCTTCATCTTCGTGGGCGTTTTTGCAGGCCTGGGGAGCGGGAATAGTGCCGAGTTTGTTTTCACAGACAGCACCAGTTATTCTGGCTGGGGCAAGTTTGTAGCCTTCAATGTCGGCATGCTTGTGCCAGCCTGGGGGTTCATCGGCTTTGACGGAGTCAACCATATGTCTGAAGAGGTCCGAAAAGCACATCACGCTGTTCCACGAGCCATGGTCTATACCATCTTGATCAATGGGTCTCTTGCGTTCATCATGGCTCTTGTCATTATGTTCCAGATGGGCAACATAACTCCATATCTCGAGTCTGGCTATCCGATCATTCCGATTTTCATGACGATTGCTGGGACTCGGGCTGCCAATGCTCTGGTGTCGGGACTCATTATTATTACCTACTGCGTCGTTGCTGCCTCTTTGGCCTCGGTCGGTCGAATCACTTGGGCGTGGGCGCGCGATGGAGCTTTGCCAAAGTACTTTGCACGAGTCGATCCAACCCATAAGGTTCCGGTCCGCGCTTTGTGGCTGCCCATCGTTATTGTCTCGCTGCTGTCACTGCTCAACATTGGCTCGACCGCCGCCACCGCCTTCTCAGCCTTCACTTCACTGTCCTCGCTTGGGCTGTACAGTTCCTATATCATTGCAATCAGCGTGCTCCTCAATGCACGTGTCACTGGATTGCTCGGCGAGACCGCAGAAGCACGCGTCCAGTATGGCGAGTGGCGGCTGCCTCGGAAATTAGCGGTTCCAATCAACGTCTATGCTCTGATCTGGACCCTGTATATCACCATCTACCTCCCATTCCCAACAACGTACGACGTAAGCGGGACCAACATGAACTATTCGCTGCCAATCTATGTTTTCGTTCTCCTCTGCGCCACTCTAGGGTGGTTCTTATGGGGTCGCGCGAAATGGCCTGGCCTCAATGCGAGCGCCATTGCCCTTGTGCGCAAAGAAAGCTAGGATCAAGGGACAGGGGGTGTCCGCGCTGGCGGAGCAGGTGATGTGCTTGAGGCTCTACTGACCAGTGAGGAGGCGATGGAGCTGGACGAGTTCGAGATGAACTGAGCGATGAGGTAACAGTGATCATGCTAGGATCATAGGGACCTCAATGAGATGGGCCGGGAGTCGCAATGGGGAACCCTCCATATATCATGTATGTCGACCTTGTCAGGGGATAGAGCTGGATATGCCAGCATTCGGTGAATCCTTATTCTTGATCGGAATTCGATCTAGCAGCGATGACGTTGTTGTGCCGGGGATGCAGTGTTGTTGTACTGCAGAATCGCACATAACGTGCTCGCCATCTAGCGAACCACAGTGGTACGCCGCAAGAAGGCTCCTTCCTGCCCGCTATGGCTCTCCCACATCCGCTTCTCCAGCTCCGCCTAGGTACGTTCTTATCACTCTCAACCAACTAATCACCGCCCCCCCTCTTCTTCATGGCCGGGGAGGAAATTGCCTCTTTACGTTCTACTCCACTGGTGAAGGTCTTAAAAGCAGCAACTGCCCCTATCCCAGAAGTCACTTTCCCATCGCGCCTTGGCGGTCCTGAGTGGAAACGAATCTTCCTGATGCCAAGTTGGGGGCGGGCCACCCACTGCCTGGCAGCGAGCGTCGTTTGGAGTTCTGGAATGCGGATCTCGTCAAAGTCGCAGGCAAAACACGATGGGCAAGATGTGAACGGTCCTGCAGCTTTCGCCAGCGATCACAGGCGCTAGACAACGTGCGAGTATTCTTGTTTTGAACATGCGTGACTACCGTCAGCCCCTTGGCAAATATGTTGTCCTCACAGAGATAAGACGTCGCAGGCACGTTGGCTTTGCTCGGTAGACGCAGGGAAACAAAGGCCAGTTTTCTTGTCGCTGATCAACACGAAGTATACCTGCCGTGAGAGCCGGTGTTGAGGGGGGCCGGTTTGTATCCATGCTTGCTTCTGCCCATGACTGTCTTGGTCACCCGTCAGGAGGAAGCGAAAGGATGCAAATGAGCGTTGCATCGCAAGTCACACCATTTCAAAATGGCGACCACACACACATCCCGATCTTCGCTTTACTTATTCTGCTCCTCATCAGACGAGCGCAGGATGTGGCCACACACTACTCCGTACAGAGATTGCGGTCGCCGGAATGGGTTTAAGGGGACGACAGTCGAGGGCTTGGCAGGCCCATGCGGGAAAGCAGGGTTATGTTGTTCCCGTACATTTGGCTAACTGCGAATGGCTTGCTTGCAGACCGCTCTCGATGCGGCCGTTGAGAGAGATCCTGGCTCACCCTCGCCTGTTCGATCGTGGCGCTCGTGTTTTGCGAAGTCGAGAACATTTGATAAGCAATTGTGCGAAAACGTGGTTGCCCGTCTCGTTTTGAGTAGGCAGCTAGGTATGCACTTTAGGCAAGCACGATGGAACGAAGGTAGGAGGTGAAAGACGATCAAAGTCTGGTTCAAGTCGAGACGTGTGCTATCTCTGGGCGAATGCTGTACATGTCTACCCTGAGCCAGTATGCGTATGTTTCAATCCAAAGGTATTATAGCGCCATCACGGGCGTTCACATCGGATCTCTGTACTGTAGGATTTTGCAGGCTCTCCAAAGCCGCCACCACAGTCTCGTCTCCAGATCTGGATTCTCTCGTGGCCGCCATCAAAAGTCACCTCCCTCGATCCGGGGTATCAACATCGCTTCTACCAAGTCCAAAAAAAAGGCGACCGACCATCTCCGCAATGCATAGACGAAATACAGCAAACTCGACAACTCATTAGGGGACGATGTCTGTATCGCTTTGCAAACCACCTCGCATCTTTATGCGTCATGTAGACTTCAACTTCATGTATGTGCAACAAAAATTTAATGCTTAACGCTCAGAAAGGCAGCTTTATGAGGCTGGGTGGACCTTGCCCTTCTTCTCGAGGGTATTGGTGAGGCCAGTGCCGTTGAGATAGGCCTCTGGGACCTCTGGCCATTCATCGACACCGTCAAGGATGGCGAACGCCATACCGCCGTTCATGTGGGTCTGGACGTGGCAGTGGAAGAGCCATGCACCTGGAATCTCGACATGGTAGCGGAGCGCGATCCAAGAGCTGTTGCCCTCCGCCGGGCTGGTGGTATACCCGTCACGGTCTGCAATAAGTTAGCTGGGAGCGTGGAAACAGTTCTGAAGAAACTTACAAGGTGCGGCCTGCAGGTTCAAGGCAGTGGGAGGGAGAGTACCAGAGGCCTGGGCCTCGGCAACAGATGCAAATGGGAAGTCACCAACACCCTGGCCGAGAACGTAGAGCTTGTTGGCGTGCTTGTGCAGAGGGTGAGGTTGGGCAAGAGGGCCAGCAATCTTGATGATGAGATCGATCCATTGGCCCATCTCAGTACGGATGATGACCTCGTCATTCGGGACATCCTTAGGTTGCTGGAAGAGGAGAGGGGTCTCGTCCTCACGGGTGACATTGAACGACTCCTTGCCCGTCAGAGTCCAGGTGAAGGGATTTGTCAACTTCTTGCTGGTGAAGACGAAAGTTTGGTCAGGAGTCTGGGCCATCTCACGGGGAGGGTATGGAGCAGCCTTGGGAGCGGCGAACATCTTAGGGAGGGTCGAGTTGGTGCCGGCATAGTTCATGATGGCGAGAGAGTCGCCCTCGGCAGCAGCACCGACGGAGCCCTTGTAGCTAAGAGTGGCGAAACCGGAGATGATCTGGTTAAGACCCTGGTTGGTCACACGGATGGTGTAGTCGGCAGGCGTCTGGTCCAGAGGAATCATGCACGAGATACGGTCGCCGTTGTTGATGACAACAGTGTCAACGAGTTGGGGAACGATGTAGTGGCCGTCCAGCGCATAAACCCAGAACTTGTGGCCATCGATGGTATATTTGAGGAGCTCGAAGCCAGCAGAGCCGATGAAGGTCACGGCAGCATAACCCTTGGAGCCATCGACCTCGATCGTTGCCTGCTCACCCTCGGTGGGTTCACAGTCGAAGTACACATCAGATGGGATGGCATTGACATCGAAGGTGAAGTTGGCACCCTGGGTCTGAGGCAGAGGTGGCAGGCAGCCCTTGAGCGTAAGCTGGTTGACCTCACCAGACAGGAGGTTGTTATAACGAGGGCTGGTCAGAGCGTTGATCTCATCTTGGGACTTGCAGATGCGGGAGCCCTTGCCGTTGATGATGATGGCATCAGCGCAGGCGATATCAAGGTTGCCCTGGATCTCAGCATCGTGGAATTCCTCGGATGTGCGGGACACATAGTCGGACACGAAGACGGGCTCAAGGGTATCATCAGCAGCAGTCAACTGCTTCTGAACTTCGGTATCGTTGCTGATAAAGCTCCATGGGCGCTTAGCATCTGACTTGGGCTTGATAACAATGGCTCCCATGCAACCATCCATGATCTGAGAGCGGTAGTGGGCGTGATACCAGTAGACACCAGACTCATCAGCCTCCCACTTGTAGAGGAATGACTCGCCAGGTTGAATAGGCTTCTGAGTTAGACCTGGGACACCGTCGGCCCAGGGAGTCTTGGCCTGGGTAATACCGTGGAAATGAATGGTGGTCTCGGTCTCGAGGTTGTTGTGGACGAGGAACTCGACAGTGTCGCCAACGCTGGCCTTCAGGGCAGGACCTGGAGAAGTGCCATTGACCAGGATACCCTTCTTCGAGTCACCAATTGGTGATACATCTTCCCAGGTGAGGTCAATCTCAAACTTGACGGTGTCGGCGCGCTTGGAGAACTGGACGGCGTGAGGAGCAGCGATAGTATTAAGAGCGAAAGACAGGAGGGAGACGGCTCCCACTAGGCGTGAGAAGACCATCGTGCGAAGTATATGATTGAACGAATGTGTGACAATGGATAGAAAAAGAAAAGGCTGAGAGCCAAAGAAGAAGTCAGAAGTATATATCAGAAGTATAGACAAACGAGCGTCGGGAGTACTATGGGGAGGGTAAGATACCAGAGGCGGGATGAGAGGCAAATATGGCAGTGCTGAAAGAGCTGGTAAGGCTTACCGGGACTGCGCGAGGACGGAGCAGCAGGTCGGTGGACTGGTGGAGTTGGAAGCAAATCTAATTTGATGGGGCCGTGGCATGCTTGAGACTGGGTGGATGGTGTCGAGCTAATCCGCCGTGGCCAAACATTGGGCTCAGGACCGGCTGGGCTAGCCGGGGTCAGGTCAAGAGTCTCGGAAGCTGCTTAAGATGGCAACATCCAAACCGTATTGGGACGGAGCTGAGCCGTCCCGGGGGGCGGAGTGGAGCGGACGAGGCCGAGAGCCGTGTTGATTGTTCGGAAAGAAGCGCCATCAGCTGTCAGTCTTTCGTTGCTGTATTGGAGTGAGCTTTGATGTAGAGAGAGATGGTTGTACAAGCACATCGATGTGTACGAGGGTGGGTGCATCATGTCACAGACCTGGATACGACGGCAGAGGCTCTGGGGAAACTGCATGTTAGCGAAATGACTGTGATAGGGGGCAGGCGTGGGTGGGCTGAGGACAATTGACCGAAACGCTGCCAAGGCACCAGCCTCCGTGGACCTGCGTTGTGACTGGACAGGACACTAGCCCTCCAACCCCATTGCGCCGTCTTTCGGATTAGCTTTATTCTTGCGTTTGCCCTGCCAAGGACTCCTTCGAACGTATTTTTTTTCCCGCGCTGGTGTTGCTACAGTCTCACCGTCGCGGGGCTGACAGCTTCTAATAAAAGTCCAAAGTTCCGAGAGTTCGTCGCCTGACTCTGAGTTAAGTTTACTCCGTACTGTACCCCGTACGAGCTTGACCGGCAGTCCGGGTCTCCTCCGCGCTCGTCTGTGAAAGGCCCATCAGCGGTTGCGTTCTTTTGGCTCCCGCCACACTCAGAACATGTGACGTGACCTGCATGGAACCACATCAGGCGCGCCGAACTAGCTTCTCATGTTGTTGCGAACTCCCGCCCGATAATTGGTCGTTTGATGATGCAGAGTTTGTCCTCAAGTGGCCGGGTCCTGCAGGTTCTGGTGTTAGGTTCGTTTACCAGCCTCGGTCTGTAGGCCAAGGCTTGCTCTGTCCGCAGCTAGGGTCATTTGAACCGGGACCGCACTCGTGAACTCTTGTCATTCTCCTTCTGCAGGTCATTCACCACATTCTTCGCTTGTCCCTGCAAATCGCAAAACTCTGCCCTGATGCATCATTCCCTGCATGGCGATCAAAGCGATCTCCTCACAGCACTCAGACATGCCAATGTTTGTTTGTGATGCAAACAACAACGACTCGTTTCTTCTAACCTCAGATGGGCTTGCTTTTTTCTTGCTTTCTTTTTTTCAAATTTCAACGGCTGTTATCAGGTACCAGCTGGGGAAAGTACAAACTGGATATGACTCTTCTCTTGCCCAACTAAAAATAGATTCTATGAAAAAAGCTTGGGCTGACCACCTGCGACAGGCTGAACAGCAGGCCAAGACCTCGAACGATACGTGCGGTGGACTGCTCCGGTCTTCGCCATAATCCATTTGGCAAATAAAGTCTGATTCACAGGCTCCTGGATGAACCGGGTCGGGCTGCCTTTTCGCGATGCCTGAAGCTGGTTTCAGAGGGCATGAGCCCCCTCAGATCGACTGCTCGCCTCCGATATCGTCCACTGCTCCTGCCTGCCTCCTTGCCACCGTAGATTTACAAGTAGGCCACACCAGGCTCTAGCTGGTGTCTAGACAGAGGGGCACATCGCAAGTCAGTATCGTGAAAGTTCTATGTAGCGATCCTGCCCCGTCTCGACGTAACTTGGCACCTTGACGTCCAGACAGGTGTGACATGAAGCCCTGCCTGCCCCCTGACACCTGTCGATCATGCACATATGCAAGATTGCAATTCTCCGAAATGTCCTCCCTCGCGTCACTCCTGACAGCCATTGCGTTGTCACTACGCCTGCTGTACGACATGCAATTCGGATCATTGTCGCAAGCCCCTTCCCGAGCGATCACACTCACTCCTGAGTTGGCTTGCAGCTGCAATGGGTGGCCTTGCTGACCTCCCGATGGGCGGTGAATGCAGACAGTCAGGCACTGGCGTCTGGGCATCATTGTGTGCCGATTACCAGGCTACTCTTTATTCCAGATCTCGTTTGCAATCGCCCCGTTCGTGGCGCCCGCAGCTAAAGGAGGTCCCACCGCTCGTATCTGCTGACGGCTGTCGCCCAAGTGCACATTTTTTCTTTCTTCCCAGCGAACCAAGCCGGTCAGCTCATTCGGAAGCTTGCAGCACTCCGGGTCTCTCAAGTGCCGAGTCATACAAATGTTACCGCGTGTCCCACGCGAAACCTTTGTTGTTTTCTGATGCTGGACATATCTCATCGCCCCAAGACCGAGCGATAGAACTCAATTAGATCACTAACGAGCTCCTCAGTCTTCTCGTGCATAGCAAAGTGACCCCCTCGCGGATGCTGGCGATAAAACTTGAGGTTGACCTGTTTCTGCGCCCAGCTGCGAGGCATCACGGCCAATTCTCGCGGGAACGCTGAGATACCATACGGTACTTTGATGTACTCGTTGAACCACTTACTCTTCATGAGCCCCTCATAGGTGTTCTCATGATACATCATAAAACCCGTCGTGGGACCAGGAAAATAGTGCATCAGAGTCCAGGTGATGATCTCTTTTGGCGTCCAGGGGTATTCGTCAGACCAGACCACCAGCTTATCATACATCCAGGCCAGCATACCCACTGGGGAATCGTGCATTGCAAAGCCGAGAGTTGCGGGCCTTTGTCCTTGAATTGCACCATAGCCATGGTTGGTTTGACGGAACCAGGTGAAGTGTCGCTCTAAGGCCGCCTTTTCGAAGCCGTTGACCTCTGGTTGCTCGTCTGGATCGAAAGGGCTTCCGGGCATCTCAAACTGCGATCGAGTTTAGTTGACATCCTTCCGTGCTCGAAATCGAGGCTCACCATGTTCGTGTGTATCGCCAGTGTGTTCTCTGGATACAAGATTCCAATACATCTTGAGATATGGGAGCCCCAGTCTCCGCCCTGCACTAGAAACTTCTCATAGCCCAGCCGTAGCATGAGCTTTTGCAAGACTTCTGCAACCTTTCTGAGATCAAAGCCTTTCTTTTTTGGATAGCCACTAAACCCGTAACCCGGCAGCGAGGGCGCAACAACATGGAAACCCTCGTCATTCAACCTCTTCAAACCTTTAGATACCTCAATGAAACTGCCCGGCCAGCCATGGATGAAGATCAGAGGGACTGCGTCTTGCTTTGACGATTGAGAATGAGCGAAGTGTACGTCAAGTGAACCGAAGCCGTCAGAAACCTCAATCTGAGTCATGAACTGGGGGATTTTATTGATCTCGGCTTCCTCACTTCGCCAGTCATACTCAGTACGCCAGTAGTCGACGATATTGCGAATGAAGGTTGAATCAAGACCATTCTCGTCTCGCCAGTCCGTATATGAGGGTGCGATACGAGCGAGCTTGAGTTTTTGTTGCAGGAGGGACAGTTCCTCTTCGGGAATACCGATCTTGAAGGGGGCTATTGATGCCATCTTGGTGATGTTGGGTGAACTAAACTGTAGGTCGTTTCCTTCGCCTTCGTCTTCGTCTTGGTTTCTAAGATCTGGCTTCTTATACCGAGACACGCTCCGAGAGTACGACTATGATGCAGGGAATGACTAAGACATCTCCAGGTTGAGTCCAGAGCGCGTATAGCAAAGGACATGGAGAAAGAGCTCCCGGCGAAAGTAGGCCCGAGACTGACGTCACTCCTGCCAGTCGAGTCGAACCATTGGCATGGCGTGCCAGACTGGTAAAGGGGAACGATTACTCGAGTAATTAGACTCCACAAGCTCATCTTCAGCAACTTGAATCCGTTGCTTCAATGTCCCAGCACCCTGCTTACGCTTGGCTTATCGTGTTGCCGAAGTATCTCTCTCAGCAGAGACAGCCCTGCCCTGCCCCGCCCCAGCCCCCGCCTGCGGGCGACTCTCACCAGGTCCACGACATCAAGAACTCCAATAAAGCACAGAACAGTACAAGGGAAGTCAAGCTTGTCTTCTGACCAAACGTAGCGGCGAGTATCAACTTTAGCGATATCAGCAGAAACCAAATTGACCTGCCGCACTCCGGGTCAGCAGCCTAACATAATGCGCAGCATGATGCTGACGTGGAATCAATCTCGGACAGCCGAGGTTGGTCCAAGACTGAGATATCTCTACTAGTGGCCAGACATGCCCAGTTGTAATAGCATAAGCGGAGGTTGAACAGCATTATTAGCACTGACTCGTCTCACCTGGATACCTCTGCTTAGCAGACATACATCGTTGTACCCGCGAGTTGAACACGGTGACTTTGCCTCGTTCCCAGAATCACAACCATGGATCCCGTTATCAGAGCCAACACCTTTGAGACCTCACGCGGCACGTTCCATTACCTTGCCACAGGTCCTACTACTGGGCCCCTCATGGTTCTCATCCATGGTTGGCCTGGCCTCGCCCTTACCTGGCGTCCACAACTCCTCTACTTTGGCCGTTTCGGATTCCATGTTGTTGCTCTTGACATGTTGGGCTACGGACAGTCCCCCGCCCCTCATGGCGACGCCTCCCTGTACAGCTGCGAGTCACTCGTCTCTGACCAATTTGCACTGCTCAAACACCTCGGTCGTCACAAAGCAATCTGGCTTGGCCACGACTGGGGTTGTGGCCCACTCTGGTCACTCGCGGCTCACTATCCTGAAGCATGCTCTGCCGTCATTAGTGTCTGCTGTCCCTATCGCACTCTCGAACTGGGCGTGCAGCACCTCATCTCCATCGCCAACCGTGACTTGTACCCGAAAGTCGAGTACCCGAATGCGCAGTGGGATTACATGATTCTATACGAGAAGGCCGGCGATGAGATCACCCGGCAATTTGACGCTGCCAGCAGCAGGGTGGCGAAGCAGATCTACCGTCGTGCCAACCCCAGCAGATTCATGAAGCCCGCGATTACAAGCACGGTCAGTACGCGAGGAAGCTGGTTCGGTCCCGACGTGCCGGACACTCCGCTTGCGGACACCACTCTCGACGAGCCCTTGTACGAGGCTGTGACGGAGGCTCTAGGTAGGAATGGCTGGTGGGGAGCCACAGCGTACTACCTCAACCACGAACGGAACGCGGCGTATAACAAGATTGACAACGTAGTGAATGGCGGGAGGCTCGAAATGCCGGTCATGCACGTGGACGCGAAATACGACTCAGTGGCCAGCGCAGTGCAAAACCCTGAGCTGATGACAGAGATGAGGCGCTTGTGTGTAGATATGCGGGAAGCAGTCTTGGATACAGGTCATTGGGCTGCGCTAGAGAAGCCGGACGAGTTCAATGGGTACTTAGAGGACTTTCTGAGAGACAAGGGCTTGCTGCCGACTGCCGTTGACGGGAAATTGTGAGCTTCACGATTGGACCGTAGGCAGCAGGCGCAAGGTGCAGTGGCAGCTGCGACACCTTCTGACACTTGCATCGAAGAGCATATGAGAGACCAATGCTTGGGCGAAGCTATAATAGGTTCATGCGATAGAATGGCACTGAAATTCCTTTGCTATGATACGCCCTTTACTCCTCCTGGACTGAAACTCGGCCACTGAAATCCCACCACGCCGTCCTGAGGCCATGTCAAACCTGTTGATGCTAAATCCCTGCTTGCCTGCAGTGCTAGACGCAGTTCACGCACCTACAGCAATCTCATGCGGCTGCTCCAGCGCCTGTGCGCCATCTTGCTCCTCGGCGAGTACAGCGTACTGCTTACCGCCCTCGGCCTGGACCTTCCATACGCCGCTCTTCTTGGGTGCGCTACCGTGCTGCTTACAGCAGGGACAGCCTCTTAAAGTCTCGTACAAGTTGCCCAGCTCTTCGTCCTTCTCACCTTCCGTCATGGCAGTACGCAACACGTCGTCTGCGAACTGCGGTGGAGAGGGTGGCTCGGGGCGGTCCTCGGCTTCTCCATCGGACCAATCTTCCTCCAGGGCAGGGACATCCTCGGGAGGCGGCGATGGGGCTTTCTTGGGTGGTGGACGTGGGCGCTGCGCCGAGGCAGATTCGAAGCGAGTCAAGCCGAGACTGGTGTCTTCTTCTTCTTCTTCTTCCTCCTCCTCCCCCTCCTCCTCCTCCTCCTCGTCTTCGTAGGGGTCCTTCGGAACGTCTTCAAACTTGGTATTGTTGCGAATAGCAGCCTGAGGTCTCTGTGGGGTCACAAAATCTGCCGGGTCTATGTCATCGTAGTCATCACTGCTGGTTGATTCCTCGTCTTCGTAACCTTTAGGGATGACTTTCTTCGGTGGAGGCGATTTGCGACGTTTTGAGCCGCTGCCACCATTACCGTTGTACTCTGAAGGCCGGAACTGGGCTGAGTTGCCAAAGGAGACTCGACGGCCTTGCGATTGAGGTTGTGGCTTGGCCAGAGAACCTGTCTCGGCGACCGTGACCCCTGCACCCCCGCCAATGCCGGCGGTCTGCTTATCATGTTGAGCAATCTCGGACTGGATGACGGGCTGGTCTTCGTCAGGCTTCGAGTTGTCAAATTGGTTGGCAACGGATTCGTTTTCGATTTCGACAATCCGGACGAGGAGGTTATCCAGTGCAAATGCGTGGCCAAGGACCATACGTAGGTTGCGGTCAGGCCGATTTGCGGACAAGGCAAGCTTGCAGCGAGCAGAGTGCGCAAGGGCGTACGCCATCTTAGGATTGGGCTTTTCGGGCATTGCACCATAGATCTGCGGCTTCATCTTCGGGCATGGCGGGAATGGCGGCATATTGGGCGGGCTGGACTATTGATTGAGAGGTCGTGAAAGAGATGTTGAAGGACCAAATTGACAGCTGTTGAGCTGTTTAATAATCAATCGCCACTGCGTTCGGAAGAAATATCGGCGGTAGTTGAGAATAGATGCGGAGGCGTTTGACGGTAGGGAGGATCAAGACGATGAAAGATGATATTGAGGTGAGCTATTGACAAAGGCGAAGCTGTCGAGTGAAGCGACAGCGTGGTTGTGGTGCTGTTTATGGTGGTATGCCGCCCCGCGTCCTTGAATACGCCAGAACCCTATTCTCCAGTGGTCGAGGCCTGATCAGACAGCCACCCGAGTTACTCGTGCGTATAAAATCGCAGGGACAAGTTCCTGTTCTCACGAAAGTAAATGTGCTGCGAGTGAGTCACTCGACATGGTGGCGACCGATAACGAAAGACGTTGACCTGGCTGAAGATCAGGGCGGCTTGCCTGAAGTCAAATTGTAGTTTATACGTGTACGATGAGGGGATGACAAACCAGTGCCCCACTCAATAACGGAGAGAACGAGTTCGAGAATTCGCTGCTTACTCAGGACGAAATCGCTGTGATGGAATCTTCTTCACTGGACACTTTGGCCACAAAGCCTTCCGGCTCGAGCTTGATCGCCTGGGCACGTTACTACAGCTTCAGAGACTCGTCACAAAGATCCGAGTATCGACGTATGATGTCGTCATTCATCAGATAACTGTTGGAGGACTATGTGCAGAATATTCAATCAAAGCTATAAAACTGGGGTATATGCAAGGTTGGTCAATGGTGTCGTCAAAGTGGTTAGCATACCAAGGACTGGCTTGGTTGCATGAAGTAGACTGGTGGGTAGGGTTGTTCGTTGGCATTTCGAAATGGAGTTTAGCCGTTTGACGATGGGTAGACCTTGACACGAACCACGCAGGAAATGGCTAATCTTGTTGCCTGTGGTAGAAATTCTTGGATTGCTCGTCGTTGTACTGGGTAGTCATACGTGGTTCCAAGCAGAGGAGGCAACGAGTGCGGCTTGGGTTGCCAAGGGTGACAGGAGATGAGGCTTTCCAGAGCACTGCACACCACAGTGCCTTCTGGGTGTTCGAGGCCACAAAGTGGACCGAGGTAGACAGAGTTGACAAATTCGGAGCAAAGCGCGCCTTCGCCGTGAAGTCGAGCTGCTCACGCACCAGATACGCTGCGGTTCTTCCTTCTACGAGTGCTTTGCGCGGGTGTTCTGCTGAGCTCCTTGGGGGATGGGGTCGCAACTTCGGCGAATTCATCTTCGACGGTGTGTTTGATGGATTTGCGTGGAGCGCCGCGTCGACCTTTCCTCGACCCCAATCCAACGCCAGCAAGAAAACACGATCGCAAGGTGGCACCGATGTAGACGAACAGTAAATTGCCGTAGCTCATGGCATTCCATTTGGTGACATCATAGTACTGGCTGAATCCACCAGCTGGGAAGCAGGCAAGCAGGTGACCAAAGTCGGCGACAAGCAAAGTGAGAAGCACGGCGCGCCAAACTTTGAGGTCGTTGGTGGACCGCAATACAAAGAACTCGTTGATGGCGAAGGCCAGATAGAGATTTCCCAGTTGCCGTAAAGCGACGTCTGTGGCAATTGGCAGGCCGAGTATCTTAGAGGGAGTGGTTTGCGCATGGGTCATGACGAGGTAATCATGACCAAAGAACGCGGCTGCCACAGCTCCCAGTAGAGTTGTGATAGGCTCTATCCACAGGAAGAATATCTGATAGTATTGAGGTATCGAAGGCATCTTGGCTGCTGTGGGGTTCGGGGTCGCGTGAGGCCGCACCTGGCGGTGTTCGGTGTTTGTAGAGACTGAGAAGGGGGTAACTACCTGGCAGGTATAGGAGCGGTAATCGATCTGGCTGGTGTTGAGAATGATTGAAACGTTCGATGTGTGACGCCGATGCGAACGAGATGAGGCAGTGGATGGGTGGAGAGAACGTGCAAGGATGAGGGTACAAGTAGCTTTGTTTTGATGTCCATCCCCAGACAGGAATCACGACCTAAACAAATCAGCCGTCGCCTTATTGGTTGCGCACGTAGTGGACCTGCGAGATTGCGATCAGCAACATCACGCTCTCCAGTTCCTCATGGTCCGCTGTGGGTGGTAGCTGGGCCGATGCGGGTGCGGGTGGTGGCGCTCCCATTGTCATCAAGGTCCAGATGAGACCCGAATCACGGCGAATATGAAGCATTTGAGGTCTGTGTGCAATCAGCTTGTGCGTGGTGATGAACTTGGACCATGCGGCCAATTTCGCTCTCGAGGTTGGACCCTGGCACTGGAACAACATCCGGCGCAGACGACCGGGCTGCAGGGGCCAAAGATTCCAAAGTCTCCGCCGCCGCTGGGTCGGCAAACACTCGCCCGCGGCGTTGCTGAGCGCTGACTCTGGGCGAAAAAAGGTTGCTGTACCGAGCTTCTCTGCTTTCGGATCCTTTTCAATGTCAACAGAAAAAACTTTGGCACCATTCAACGTCCTTGTCGCTCTTTCCAGCCGTACGGCCTGCCCTTCCTTTTCTGTGTAAGTAACTGTACAATATCAACGGCACATGCGCGCTTGAGCTATTGAGCTTGAAGTATTGAAGTATCAGCTTTCAGCAGGCGCAATTGTCACTGGGCGCATTCAACTGCTGGACGGCCACGATTCACCACTCTAGCGGCATCCATGTTTTGATTCATTGCCTATTGTCCTCTTCTAGCCTGGCAGCGGGCTGCTCTATCGATCACCACCAACTCAGCAGCCGATGAAACATGGCCGCCACTGCCGATATCGAGTCGTCGCAGGGACTCGCCCCTTCCAGACGAGCCTCGCTTCGATTCCATCAGAGGCCTCGCACTGCATGTGGAGATCTCGAAGCATTCACAGCGCCTACCCTCCCTCGATCCAAGACCTCCCGATGGTCCCTAGGCCCAGCAACAATGAATCGAGATGTGCACGATTGGATCTCATTCATTCGAAGTCAAGAGCATGAAGAGTGCGCCATAATAAGCCCAACTGATGCGCAGCACGAGCAAACAAGATCTACTTACAGTCGCTCAGCCTCTTTCGCTGGATTAACTGCTCCAGCTCACCAGCGACGAGCCTCGCAACTTGGCCAATCCTTTAAGCAGGGTTTATCTGAACTACGCTCCCTTGGTCGTAGAATGTCCTTGACCATCCGCGGGAAAAATGCGAGGCATAAGGAAGATAGGGTCGAGCACAGACGACCTTCGACACTAGCTCCCTTCAAGTCCGACGAGAAAATGATGGATATCACAGAAGCTGTGACTTCCAGACCTTCGACTAGAGGCTGGCATGTTCGACAACCAAGTTCCCGTCGCCGCCCGTCTCTACCTATGCTCAACTCTGCCACCTTTCACCAATTGACGACGTTAGAAAGTCCCTTGGAGCAAACGATGCCTCCACGGTCCCGCGGCCAACCCGTCCTTTCAGACCTGGTATATGGTGGAGCTGGAGCCAGAGCTTCGGCAGCCGCGCAGAACGAGAGACTGAATGCTTCGAGAGCTACTCCACTACCCCCATATTCGCCGCCTCACAAAGAGGTGATTCGGGATTCAGAGAGCGGCATTGGTATTGGACTTGACGAAGTGGACTCACGGCGAAGCTCAGCTTCCGTTCAGCCTCATCCTGTTGCCCAGGACCCGGCTGCAGTTTTGGCGACCGAACTCATGGAGTCCGTGCTTTCATATCTGGATCTCGAGTCATTACATCAAGCCACTCTTGTCTCTCAGCGATGGCGACAGCTCTGCCAGTCGCAAGCCGTCTGGCGAGATGTGTTCGTCCGAGACTTTGCTCCCAAGCAACCAATGCCTTATTGGGAGGGTCAAGTTCGTCACATCCCCGGCATGGGCAAGAACAAGCCTGGTCAAGACTACCATCTGTTGTACAAGGTTCGGACCCAGATCGACAAGCGGTGGGACAGCGGACAGGCTGCAGCGATTTACCTGAATGGACACAAAGACAGTGTCTATTGCGTACAATTTGATGAGGACAAGATCATTACAGGATCTCGGGACAATACCATTCGAGTCTGGGATGCTCATACCTATCGTTGCATTCGAAAGTTAGGCCCACCGAATAACCATCGGGAAAGACATCGGCAGGACAGGCCACCCGTCGAGCCGTCCGGAGTTGTGCCATTCTTTCAAGCCGACATTAGCTCCCCAGATCCAGTCGGCCCGGCTCTTGATGCATGGCACCAGGCCTCAGTCTTGTGTCTGCAGTACGATGAGCAGATTCTAGTTAGTGGATCATCTGATTTCACCTGCCTCGTGTGGTCTATCAAGGATAACTATCGTCCTCTGTTCCGTTTGAGCGGACACACTGCTGGCGTGCTTGACGTTTGCATTGATCGCAGGTTCATCATCACCTGCTCGAAAGATACTAGCATCAAGATCTGGGATCGCACTACGGGCAGACTGCTGAAGACGCTTGTCGGTCATCGTGGACCAGTGAATGCCGTTCAAGTGCGCGGAAACTTACTTGCCAGTGCTAGTGGCGATGGCATGTCTAAGCTTTGGCGACTGGAAGATGGACAGTGCATCAAAGAGTTCCAATCCAAGGATCGCGGATTGGCTTGTGTCGAATTCTCCGAAGATGGTCGAACTATCTTTGCTGGGGGCAACGACAAAGTCATCTACGAATACGACACGGTGACGGGTCACAGATTGCGCGAGCTGAAAGGTCACAGTGATCTTGTACGGTCGCTGCATTTGGATTCGGCCAACTCGCGCCTTGTTAGTGGAAGTTACGACTCTTCTATCAAGGTATGGGATGCCAAAAAGGGCGAGTCGGCCGAGGACGGGGGTCTGAAAATCAACTTTGAGGGATGGAGTTCTAGCTGGATGTTAGCCGCGAAGAGCAACTACCGCAAAATTGTGTGTACGAGTCAGGATGGAAGAGTGGTTATTGTTGATTTTGGCTATGGCATTGAAGGCATCGAACTGGTTGAAGCATAGCGACAGCAGCATTTCTTTGGGCGGAAGTCAGCCTCAGAGGTATTTCATTTAGCGCGGCGCTGGGGGCACAGACAACAGCAGACGTAGAGCAGTCTCGTGGGCGTCATCCTTTCGATATCGATATCTGGTAAATGGTACAGCATTGGAATTGCTGCACCCATATCGACCATTGACGGCGATACAACGGCGATAGTCATGGTGTATTATTGCGTCATTGTTTTCCGATGCAGCCCAGATCCGCTCACAACCGCGTGTCCTCGTAAGCGAAGTGACCCATGGCTGTCGAATCACAGATCTGCATTGTAGCGCTCGCACCATTCACGAACAAAGGTAAATACGAGTCGGTCGGTCTTTCCCATCATTCCCCATGCTATCGATTGTCGTCTTATTGATATCATCTCGATCGGGCAAGCACGATCTTGTGCACTGAGTTACAAAATCAATAGACGCGACTGGACTTCACAGAACGGTTTGACAAGTGGTGAAACCAGGCCGCCGCCAGTGTTTGAAAAAGCCTGCGGGCCATTTTTGGCGGCAGAGCGCGGAGCGCGTCAAAGGCGCAGGGCTTCCTTCCATTTGCGCTAAAGCGTCAACCTCGATTTGTGCACACCACCACACTTCCACCTCTTCATCATCTTTCCTTCCCACGCCTGCACACCTTTTCTACACGACTGTGTCGCGCTATCTATCATCTCCTTACACCATTCATTCTCACATCCCGCCTTCTCTTGCTCTTCTGCCCCTCGACACGACAACCTGTCAGCCTGGAGCCGATTCATCCCTGTCGAGGTCAATTCGCAATCTCAACCAACCTGGAGCCACGCCGACCCTGTCGTCAAGCAAATTCCGGTGACGCACAACAACAATACCTCAGCATCCGTTGGCAGAGCTTTCTTCGTTCAATATCAGCTTCCACAGTCATCCTGGACTCGTCTGGCGCGACGCAAGTCCACTATGGGACCGCGTGCGAAGCGCAAAACTGCGCGCAAGTCGGCGGTATCTCAGACAAATTCAGATTATGAAATGGCCGAGTCCTCGCCTTCTCGCCCAACAAATAAAAGGCGAAAAGTGAGTATCTTGATCGTGCCTGCTCGGACATTTAAGCTAATCGTAGCAGCTGAACGGCAGAGCTCCTGACGGCCGGCGAAAACCCCCTTCCTCTGAACTAGATCAACCCGATGGTGATGAAACAAACGACGAAAGTGAGATTCTCTCTCAAACAGAGCTCATCGATTCTGTTGTCGCATATCTGTCCGTGTCTAAAGACCCGGTTGTTGTTGCCCAGTTGTATGCCAATGACATACAGCAAGGCGATAGCCAGAAGGTCAACGCCTTTGCCAAAATCGCCGGAAGAGACTGGACATACTTCGTTCGTGACCAAGCCGTTAATATCGGCCGTCCTCCCGATGATCGTCAATCGGTCAATGGGGTCGGCGCTTCAAGCCCAATCCAAGATATGAAGGACATGCTTCCCGTCCACATCGACCTTGGTCCTAGTAAAATCGTGTCAAGACACCACGCATCCATCTTCTACGATGCAGAGTTTCCCGAAGGTGGCGGCTGGCATGTACGTGTCAACGGTCGAAATGGCGTTCGGGTCAACAACGTTCTACTGAAGCGTGGCTCACGACAGCAGATCACATCTGGAACAGTTCTCGAAATTTCTGGGACGCAGGCGATATTTATAACTCCAGGCGATCCTGTTCAGATCCATCAACATTTCATTGACTACGCAAAGAAGATGTCGACAGGCGAAGCTGGTGTGTCTCTCGAGGCAAACTCCGACCAACCCGACATACCTGTTGCTGCTCTCGGCTACCACTCTCTAGCACCGGCACCACCTGTCTTCAAGCAAGAGCGTGCATCTACACCGCCTGCTCAGCAGATGGACATGAGAGGACAGAGAGCCGTCTTCGACAGTAAAGCCACCACGTCGCCTATGTACGGTCGTGGCATGATGATGGAAAGTACTCAAGAAATTGACTACAGCAAAGACTCCGCCAAAGACCTCAAGCCACCCTTCAGCTACGCAACCCTAATCGCTCAGGCAATATTTTCCAGCGAAGAAGAAAAGATGACTCTTGCCAACATTTACTCTTTTATTGCCGACAAATATGCTTTTTACCGTCATTCCAACAGCGGCTGGCAGGTTCGTACACACACTAGCTTTTGATTACATTCTTGCATGCTGATTTGCTTAGAACTCCATCCGACACAATTTATCTCTTAACAAAGCCTTCCAAAAAGTGCCCCGACGGACTGACGAACCTGGCAAGGGCATGAAGTGGATGATTGCACCCGAGAACCGACAAGAATACTGGAAGAAGCAAGCAAAACGCAACGGTGGCTCAGCACCATCATCGCCTGCTTCAAACAAAGACGTGAACCCAAACTTTCGTGGCCCCAACGGGCAGAATCTGGGATACGACACAACTATGGTGACCTCTTTCTCTGCGAAGGATAGTCTTGGTCCACCACCCACTGGCGGCAACAAGCTGAACTTCCAGCCTTCATCCGCCGGTCATGTCGCACCCCATTTCGCGCCCGTCCCTAACTTGGCTCCACCCATGCAAGCTCGGCAGGACGCAACAACACCTCAACGCCGTAGGACCAACACCGGCGCCACCCTGCCTGAGTCAACCCTTGATGATTCACCTCTTCCGAACCATACTCGCTCTACGCCTCACCCCAATGGACCTCCCATCTACACTCTTCCTTCCTCTGTTCCACCACCACATCGGTCGCCTACCAACCCAACCTTATCTTCATCATATCTCGACACTCCCTTCCACCACTCACAGCATTCCATAATCACTCCTGCGCCTATGCGCCAAAACCCCCGTCTCGCACCTCCTTCCACTTTGGTGGCCCCTTCGAAGTTCATGCCTGAATCCTCCCCTGCCGGGCCTGGCCTCTTTTGGAAAGGCATTATGGGTGTCACTCCGGGTCAGGCCGTGCCGGACTTGAGCCCAGTCAAAGTTGAAGACGTGGACCGTGGCGTTAATGGTCGCGCTCTTTCGAGCGAGGCCGACCGCCGTGTCATGAGCAGTAGCCCACCGCCAATTGATGCTATGGGTAGCCCTAGCAAGCCCGCCAGAGGCAGTCAATTCACCAGTTCCAGCGCGAGAAAGGAGCGTGATCCCGAAGATCGAAGTCGGAGCGCCAGTGCTACCGTCAGTGCGCCACTGGGGCGTGGCGGCAGCGTTGGGACACCGGTGCCAGGCGTGCAGGTGGGCTTCCATGCGAATGCGAACGCGCAGGTAAACAAGACTGGCTCTACACCGGACAACGATGAAGACGACGAGGACGATGCAGACGGTGGATTTGATCTTGCTAAGGGCTTTGCGCCTATAGCAAGAGGAATGAGTCAAGGGCTGGGAAGGAGGGTTGGTGTTTGATCTGACTCGCCTCTTAGGGATGATGATTTGAACGTGTTTGAAGTCGAAAAGTTCGAAGATGTATGTTCACGACCTGCAACGACCGCATTGTGCCACTTCTACTGTACGGAGTATTCTGAGGCGGAAGGGGAGTTTCAGGAGTTTCCGGTTCAACTCGCGATTGACTGGCACGCTGATCTGCTGTGGTAAGAAAATTTCATTTAATGACTGCCCCCGATCTTGGGCGTTATCTACACTTGCGTGGCCGGTTCTGGTGGTGCTTGCCTACTCAGCGAGCACTGCCTCTGCTTCACGTGCCTGCTGCCTGGCGAATGTCATGACGATTCAATGCTCTTGTGTGCAGCAGTCTACTCTCATTGCTCGGAGACCCTTTTGTGACGCTACGCATTCGGCACCGGCAGTCTTTTTCCCCAGAGCATGCCGCCATTGACGTACGCTGTGAATGCGATAGGGATTGCTGCGCGGTGGGCATCACTTCGAATCGACACCTTGCTGGGAATGATGATGCTTCCTTCTCCCTAGCAACAATGACCCCCTACAACCAGTCATCCGCAGCCGGATTTTCCTTGTTCCTGCCATCACAGTCCAACTGTGCCGCTGTCTCAGTGTCCCTGACCCTTTGCAACCCTTAAAACTGTCCTTGGCCGAAATGCCACCTACCAATGGGAATGCTTAATGATAACCGAGGTCAAGCTAGGCCTGACGAGCGAACCTCCACAAGCGTCCCAGGGAATCCAATACCAATCCTCTTAAGGCAAGATCGTGAACACCGGCAATCTGGAGCATACTGTGGTCTATCAGCAAGCCTATATCCCATGCGAACACCTCCAACTGTGATCAGCCTTCACGTCATCGAAAGAGTGCTTGCGTAAGGAGCCCACCCTCCATCATGGCAGACCAGCCGATCTACATCCCACCGCCCAATCTGCGTACAAATATGGACGACTTCCGAGATTTCATCAACGAGCGCCTCTCCCTGAAGTTGAAGACTTACGCTGAACTTCACCGCTTCTCCATCACCGACTCAACGACTTCTGGCTTGCCGTTTTCAGCTTCTGTAACATTCTAGCATCGTCCCAGCCGTCCCACGCCATTGATGACAACGTTCAAATCGACAAGTTTCCTAGATCCTTCGAGCACACTCACATGACCTTCGCGGAGAATCTTTTACGAGGTAAGGAAGATGCTGTAGCTGTTATAGACGCCGACCGACGAGCGGGATCTTTCTCCACCACGAGAGTACACATGGCGACAACTCCCACATTTCTGGCTCCAAGCAATCGAAAGACGTGGTCGAGAACGAAACGGCATCATCCCTCACCTTCACACGCGTTCCTTTCGCCACACCCTTCATCGTCATGTTCAGCTCTGGGACAACCGGTACACCCAAAGGAACTGTACATTTACAAGGCAGACTAATACTCAACGGCGCCAAAGAACACATATTCCACAACAACTTCGGCTCTCAGGACATCCACTTCCACTATAGCGGTACAGGCTGGACACTTTGGAACATCTCGCTCGGTGCCATGTTCGCGCAAACTGCAATGCTGCCATACGACGGCTCTCCATTCTACCCTTCTCCTTCAGAACTCCTGCAGGGAGTCTTCGCCTAAGGAGTGACTGCCTACGGTGGCTCACCACAGTTTTTCTCCGAGTTGCAGAAGCTTGACATTCGCCCTCTACCGCGAGAGTATGCTAAGAGCATGCACACACTGTTGAGTACGGGTGCACTGCTCACGCCTGGAACGGCAAGGTGGCTGGCTGAAGCGTTCGGCCCGGTATGTCAGATTGAGTTCTCTGGTGGCACAGACGTTGACGGCAGCAGAGAGGCAGATGTTGGAGAAGTTCGTCAAGTTCCACGAGGTAGAGAAAATGGTGGACGGATCAAGTGGCAAGGGAGATGCGAAGCTCTAGCTGAGCTCTGCTGTGCTGGAAGGAGGTGGTCGAGGAAGGTGGGGGTGGGGGTTCGATTGGGGGTGTACTTGCCTTGGGGCTAGAACTTCCCCTTCGTCTGCCACCCAGTAAGTGCCATTCGACGCTTCTACATGAGTAAGCTGTATGATAATCTGCCACAGCATGGTTTCCAGCTACCGAAGAATGACGGCATTGCTCGATTGATACCTGACTGAGGTAAGGAGGGTTAAAAGCAGGCGTCACGCTAATGCAGACCGGGCTGGGTGGAGTCGGCCAAGTAGGGCCCTGACCTTGACCTTCTTGAACCGGCCGATCTGCGCCTCATCTTCACCATCGACACTCACTCCTCTTTGCATCTTTGACTAGATGATGGCACCTCGCCGCCCACATCGCAAGTCCCGCAATGGTTGCCAACAGTGTAAGCAGAAGAGAGTCAAGTGTGACGAGGTCGGACCTCGATGTGGCCACTGCAAGGCTCGAGGTCTGGACTGTCAATACGACCGGGCTCAGCATTTATCCACGGACCAGCACTCGACTTTCTCAGAGCATCCCCAAGTACTTGAATCCTATACACGTTCGGATCGTCACATTCAGGAACTCAGCCTGATGCACCGCTGGACTACTACAACCTATGACACCATTCCCACGAAATATGCGGATGACAATAGCATCTGGGAGACGGAAATGCCTGAAGTCGCCTTGCAACATCCATTCCTGCTGAACGCTCTCTTGTCTATCACAACATTCGAGCTCAGCGGACCTCCGGAGACAGCTGCTGCAGATTATGTTAAAGCTGCCATGGATTATCGAGATCTTGCTGTTCATGACCTACCAGACCTGTCCTCCACGACCACGGCCGAAACGAACGCCGCTCTTGTCTATCTCGAGCCTCTGATTCTGCTTATGATCTTGGTGTCTGTCCAGCATCAACCTTCCACCACCTCTCTCTTTGACATCCTACAATTGTTGACCAGATACCTCACCCTGATGCAATCAATTCACTCACACCTCAACACGAGTTCAGCAACTCTGGCTCATCACCCTCTCCATCAAGCTACAGTCACACAAACGGATATACCTTCACAGATGCTCGATGTTCTCACCTCCACTACATTCCGGAATCTCGACGATATGAACAAGTCTCGCCCAGAACCACCCGACGAGGCTCCGTTCAAGGTCCGCTTTACAGCCACCTTGCATCAAGCATCATGCAAGAAAGCCCTCTTCTGGCTAGAAGAAGCATTCACCCATCTTCCATGCCACAGCCAGGATACGCATGACTTTAATGGGCGCCGCTTCCTTGAGCACTGTCTCGGTTGGGTCCAGCTAATTGACGGCGAATACATAGCTGCACTCCGCGAAGGTGACCAGGTTGCCATCCTCCTCTTTCTTACCTGGACCGTTCTGGTGCAGACACACGGACATCGATTCTGGTGGGCGCGCAACCTGGCCACCAAGCTATTCCAAGCTATTTCGGGCACCATAGACGAAGGCACCGCTCCAGTGTTGCACGAAATCTTCTCGTGGGCGCGGAGACAGTTGCACCAAGTCCAGCAGGCTCATGTTGAGCCGCATGCCAACTTTCCGATGCCTGCACAATAGGACCTGATGAGGCCGGACGCGCCGCATACCAAGACCCACTTTCCGTCAAGACGAATGGTCAAGCGCTCTATACGAAGTATCGGAGATCCCAGCGGTGCATATGTCCCAGAATGGGCATCGGCGGATCTCGGATTTTCACCGGGGCTTGGCTGAAAACACAGTGCCTGTAGCGGGTCGTCAACGTCAGTCGCTGCGATTTTCTATTGTCGTAAAAGGTCATCAGTGCATAATGAGCTACGAGTCGAGCGGATCACGTCGCTGTCCTGGCCCTGGAACCTTCCTGCAATCAATATCCAGTTAGCAGGCATCAGGGCATCAGGACTGCCAAGACGCCAAGACTTTCACTGCCTGTGCTTGGCCGTTGGCCATAGTGATTATGGTGATTAGTGCTCTCTATTTCCACGGTCTGGCACCGTCTACCTATTGTTAATGCTACTAGCGGCACCTCTGGGTATTCATTCTCATAACGTCATCTGCCTGGCCACCTGGCGAAATCGGAAACTGCTCTTCTCTTTCAGACCTCCGCTACCACAGAGGGTCCGCTCTACTGCTGAGGCTGCCTCAACAATCCGCTTTCGTATCGCCTCAGGAATCTCCGCGCTATGGTTTCGTGTAAAACGAGGTCTGCACGAGATCATACGATTGCTCGAAGACCACCGCCGGCTGGCTCTCGCATCAGTGCTCCCCGCCGTAAAGGGTGTGGTTGTTTGCTCCAGGCAGGCACTTCCGTCGTTCATGCTGGACGCTGGTGGGACAACTGAGGGCGATGACTCCTTTCGGCTCTCTGGCCGATCTTGAGGAGTCTGATGGGCCTGCGACTGCAGTGCTTTACGGCGTGCTAACGTATCGGACTCGCGCTGGACTTCGGCTTGCAGCTCACTTAAGTCCTCCGCAGATTGCCGTTGGCATTCTTTATCATCATCAGCCTCGCCTCCGTCGCTTCCATATTCGGAAAGGGAGTAACGTCTGGCGGCAAGGCCGCCATTTGCTTCGACATCCAAAGTTTCGACTTCTGACCGGCCCAGACCCGGCAGTGAACCCTCTTCAAAGACAACCGACCGCCACCGTGCTGCCTCAAATGATCCCGCCGCCGAATCTCCACTAGACGGCGTCAGCGAGCTGATCTCCTCAGCTCGAGGCGCCTCTACCACAACTTCCAGTTGACTCAGCGAGGGACGGCTACGGCCACGTCGACGGCGAAGCACATCTTGCGAAGGTGTGACGGGCGGGGGCTCCTTATATCCTAGACAGGGACTCCGGTCGATGAGTAACGTGATGGTCGTGGCGTACTCGTCCATTCTAGTGGACAACCACTAGTCGTGGATGTTCGGGGCGTCTGACAAGCGTCTCGATGATTTCAAACCGACAATAGATCGTCGCGTGATGGGCAGTAACGGCGACGAAAGCACAGCGTAATGGTACCTGAGAAGTGATTCTATGAGCAAAGTTAAGGTTGGCGACAAAGAGAAGAAGAACATGAAACCCTCCTCTATCTGTATGTGTCTGTTGGCCGGGCCGGATCAACAGCAGCCTCGGATCCTGAGTTCTGAGGAAGCGAAACAACATATCTGCTTTGGTGGGACCCTCGTGGGATGCGGCTGCTCACTCCCAAAGGCTACCAGCCAACGTTCTCCAAGCTCCAAGCCCCCCATCTTCAAGGCGCAAGTGCGAAAAAACAACCCACGCCAAAGGCAACAGAGTTTCCCGCCGTCCCGCGCCGCGCTGCACCGTCCAACGGCTCTCACACCATCAGGGTCCACCACGTTCACGCCGTTTTGCTCCAGCACGGATCACCATCCCGCCTCATTACATCCGTAGAGTGCCGCGCCATGTCGTGACCCGCTCGGCATCGACCAGGCTTGATGACGCACCCCCGATAGCGAGATGAGTCTACTCCGTACAGGTGCAAGCATCTTTGTCACTTCAAGGCTCGACCCTCACAACTTGCGCCTGTTTCCGCCGCCGCCTCCCAAGACCCGTAAGCCCATTTTCCGCTAAAGAGAAAATCGCTTACGGAGATTTGTTTGATAGAAATCGTCGAATCAACCCTACGGGAATGGATGAGAATCGCGGGCCTGGGCCTCGCTAGGGGGATTTTCTCTTGCTCGCCTACAGACTTGGTGAAACAAGCGGTAGCTGTCTAGTGCCGCCAAAGGGCGAGTCGGCAAGCCGTTTGGGCGAGTTAATGTGCATTATTTATCATATTGATTTATTGCGAAACAAACATTATCCGTACAGTATTGTGTGTCAGGTACCCGTGGGAACGCCGTCGCTATGCTATTATCCATTGTTATCCCCGCCATGCATTTTTCAAACCCTTCATTATGTAGGCGGAATAGACATGTACTTCTTCAAGAACTTCCCAGAATCCGCACATACGCATCTTCAACCTCCTTTGCAATCTCCAGCAAAGTCACAATGGCCACACTGTGCGTCGCCTCGGGAAGACGGTCCCTGTGCAGACCGATCCACTCGAGCGGCGGCGTCGCCTCACCCATGTCTCTCAACTGCGGGGTGTCGATCACCGGCGGCTCGAGGGCCACATACTTGAATTTGCTGGTCGGCATGTTGACCACGGCGGTGATCTTCTCTTTCCCGCTTCCCTCGGGCCCGTCACCTTGCTCAGCAGTGATCTTCACGGCAGGCTCCGGTAGCGGCTTGCCGGCACGGGCAGCAAACGCTCGAGAGTGCGTACCCCACATGTCGCGAATAAAGGAAATGCGGCTGTAGTTCCATCCCACGTCCACCTTGCCCTCAAAGACAGAGCGGAAAATGTACTCGATAGTGTTGGAGTTTGCTGTCTGCCATGTCTGCATGGACGACACCAGACGAGGTACTTTGAGAATAGTGCCACCTCGAGATCCAGTCGCACGCTCGATGACTTCCGGAACAGACACTTCGCCCAAAGCTTTGGTATTAGGTTTGTTGATACTCGAGAGGGCAACGCGGACCTGGCCAAGCCGCATACCCAGACCACTTTGCACTCTTCCCTGAATGACGGCAACGGCAAAGCGAGCTTGAGCGTCTGTTGCTTCTAGCTTTAGAATCTGATTGTCGAAGAAAGTGTTTGGGAAGACACCGATGTCGATCTCGCCAATTGCAACTACGACGTCCGTATGCAGCGAAAAGTTGTCTCTGGTGGGTGCTTCCTCCTTCTCTTTGATCTCGGGCACAGGCGTTGTCCAAGTAGCGGTAGGGTACACCGACTTCCTACGTAGGTGTTTGTCAAGTTCTTGCAGCGAGGCTTGGAACGACTCTTTCTTGTCCTCAATCAGTCGTTCGAATGCTTGCATCAAAGCCAGACCCTGTGCGCCGGCCAGAGTGGTACAAAATCCTTGCACCTTGCCGCCATTCAACATCGCGACCAACCGGTCATTCTGACCAACGTCTTGTCTTACATTGTACATCAAAGCTTCAAAAGTCGATATATCCACAACGGCGAAAGGTTGGTAGTCAAAGACAGCCTTAGCGCGGAGATGGTGGAAGCCAACAGATGCTTGTACGAGAGGTGCCCGTGTGCTCGTTGCGATGTTTTCCGGCCATCTAATGGATGTTCTTACGCGGAAGTTTGCCAGTTCAACGAAGCCACTCATGCGACCACTGCTGTCAATTGCTATTTTGTCGAAACCGATGCACAGGTTCTGCTCAGCATCAGAGTTCTTCTTCGATGAGGCCCAGAGTTTCGAGATTGTGAACACAGACTTGCCCAAACCTGGTCCAAAGTCGACTTGCATATTCAGTTCCTGCAGAGACACGATTGCGTTCCAGGGCAGTGTTCCAGAGGCCGTGATCTGCTGATACCGCTGAATGGCAAATGCTTGCGTATCTGCCGTGGCCGATACCGGGGTAGTGGTATTCTTCGTGGCACGAAGCTCTGCTGGATACCAGATCTCACGGAATAACAAGAAGTCCTGGAGCTGTTTGGCGTTGATGTCCATCTTCATTGGACTGACATTGACGATCGCAGAAATTCCAGTCGTCTGGCTGACGTGCTTACTGTTCATGAGCGACACAACAAACGAGTCGAGCTCGAAGCTGGCCGTGGATTCTCGGGAGTAGACATGCTGAACAGAGGTCTGCAATTTATTGAAGGTGGTCAGGATCGAGAAGAAGCGATTCTGATCGGGTCCCTGCACGGTATTGACAGTCAAGAAGATTTCTTCGAACTTAGCTGTGGCTGCAACCCTGGCAATGGGTTGACAACTTAGACTGAACTCTTGTCTTTGGATCCATAGACCAGCGTTCAGCTTCGCCCGTCCCAGGATTGCGTTGGGCTCAAGTGTGCCATCAGAGAGATATTTGTTCGTTGTCTGCTGAGCCGTGGGTGGTGGATTTTTGGGTTTGGGAACTGTGTTTTCATCGCCCATTAATTCTTTGATGCTTGACGAAATATCCAGAATGAGAGGCACGACCGATGGATACAAGGTGTTGGAGGACGCGGCAACCTTGAGCTCCGTGCTTAAGGTAGGGTCGTCAGTGCCATTATCATGATACTGCACCTTGATCGCTATTCCAGGGGCCTGAAGTATGGCCTCGGTAGCGTGGTGGTCTCCATGAGTAGCTTGCAGGTAGCGGCCGGCTCGAGATCTCGAAGATCCCTTGAGCATGCCAAATGCGGATCGAGGATGATTCTCTTGCCGCGGGCTGACATGAACTACAGCACCGGCAAAATCGGCGTCTACCGCGAGCCACGCGAATCGCTTCCGCCCCAGCAACGCTCCGCTCTTACGCTTAGCCTCAGGCGTAGCGTTGGTTGTGCTGAGTTGGATGCTGGATTCTCGTAACTGCTTGCTTGCTCCAGCGAGAGACTTCTGAATGAGAGATGCTGGAAGTACGAAGTCAGCACCCAGACGCAGCTCGAGAGCCTTGCCCTTGGCCTGGAAAGCCAGACGACGCTCCTTTTTCGTGGACACGTAAGCAGTACTGAAGATGACTTCTGGCAGTAGCGCGGAGTTCGCTGATCTCTTTGTAGGGTCGTGAAAATGTGGCACAAGCTGGAGTTGTATCTCGGCCATTGAAAGACGAGCCGAACCTTCCTGCCGCGTCTGCAGATCCACTTTGCGAATCGAGAAGATCAGATCCTCCAATGTGCGACCGGGAGTAGCAACTGTTGTCTCATGCAGACCCCACCGTATCTGGATTCGATCGATGCTGAGCGCTACTACCGAATCAAACAAGTGAGTGGACGTATCGTCCGCAGCGAAGTCGTCTGCCCCATCGTCTGCAGAAGCGTTTCTCTCAGCAAGATGTGCCAGCGTCAAACGACGTATAGGTTTAAGGTTCTTGGCTTGTTCGGAGATGGTAATCGACTTGATGCGTTCCTGCAAAAACGTTGCAATGTCGACGACCAACGATGCGGTCTCTTCGTACATGTCAACACGGATGCCGTGACTCGATACATTGTAGACCTGAAGATGGTTGTCCTTGTCGTCTATCTCCGTGATGCCCAACACCTGGACACCGGTACTGAACGTGCCGTAATTTTGTCGACTATACTTGTTCTTGCGAAACAAGCCCACCGAGATCTCGCGAATGCTGACGGAGAACTGCGGCTTCTCATAGACTTTCGTTGAGTCTTTCATCATGTTGTGTATTTTGATTGCACTACGCCCGACCTCAAAGTTGAGATCCGCTGTCGCATCAGAGTCTAAGAGCGACGGGGCTTGGCAGTGAATTCTTATGCCTGCAAGGGTACCGTCAAAGCCATAACGAAGTACTGTCGGTGGTTTCGGTGCATTTCCACGGACTCTGGCAGAGGCAGAAGACATTAAAAGTTTGTCAAGTCTTTCCTGGAGTGAGGTTGCATCCGCTTGAATGCTCTTTGCAGAGTCAATGAAGCCTGGCTGGTTGACAACATCAAAGCATGCTCTGACAGCTGCCGCTTCGAATTCGATTTGCTCAATAGTAGTATGGACGCCTAGCATAGTCGTTTTATCGCCCACTGAGATACATAGCTGACCATTGATTGGTGGCATTTGAAGAGTGGAAGGTTTTTCGTAAGCTGTGTCCCATACGCCTCGAAAGACGTGTTCGTGAGACTTGAGATCGAAGTTGATCGTCATCTGTCCGTTCCCTCGGGGTATGACCGAAGTTCTTGCAACTCTGCCATTGATCGCGTATCGAAGTGCAGGTAGTAGTACAAGATCAAGCTTGTAGTCCTCGAGAAAGAAGGCAAGATGCAGTTGAAGCCTGTTCGCCGTCATAGGCTCTGTTCTGTCAAGCCTTGGACGTTTGGCCTTGATAGGACTTGATAAGAAAAGCTTGTGAACTTGAGAAACCTCTTTGTCGACCACAGCGCTGGCTACACGCATGACGAAATTTATATCTTCTTTCAACTTGAATCTCAACTTGTCGCAGGCCGCGCCGAGCCTAAGGGTGCTTGCACGACGTCCCAAGTCGTCCTCCAATGGAGGAGGCGCGAATGAACCGCTGACTTTGGGCTGAGTAAGTTTCCACCTCAACAACTCTTTATCCAAACCAGCTACTCGGGCCATTGCGGCCGTAGATGTGACTGTGAAGAAAGCAGCCAGAGCGCCTCCTGCAGGAGCGTTGAGGAAGGTCGTCGTATTGAGGCTCTCCGCCCCGAGCCTAAGCGTTATGGTGGGTGTCTTTGCCGACAGGGACACAAGGTCGGTGCAAACGACTGCTTCAATCGCAAATCGGTCCAAGGAAGTCTTCTTCGAGAGCTCGACCTGTTCAAGTTGGTTATGCGGTTCCGACGACCGAATCATTTTCATCAGACTGCTGGACAGCTCGACAAGTTCCCAATTGAGGTTTACTGCAAATTCGGCAGTGTAGGCCTGGACCACTACTTTTGTGTCTCCAGCTTGATACAAGCCGCGGAAACCTGGGTCGAATGAAATACCAGCTTCTAAGCCGTTTAGAGTCACGTCGCTTTGCGAAGGACCAGGATCAAGGATCACGGACATATTGCCCATGACTATTTCGAGACACATGTATCTCAACGCCGCGGTAGAGCCATCGATTTTGACGTCTTGACCAAAAAGCGCAGCCATGACCGGAACTTTGTGAGCCGGTACCGAGTCCCACGCTCGCCAGTCCTCGAATGCTTGCATCATCTGCTCGCGAGCGCCGTCTTGCAGCTCGACTCCGCTGCATGGGCAATCATCAAAGGTTTGTGCTGCTGCTTCTCGGATGGAGCTGGTGAAAATCTGGCGTAGTCGAACAAGAATCTTCCATGATTCGCTACTTCGCACGTGGTCGTCAGTACTTCGTAGGACATAGGACGGGCGCGTCAAGAAGACAGGGTCTGAAGCAGCAGTTGCTGCTTGGGTTAAATGATATACCAGATGTCGTGTCTTCAGGCTGTCATCGAGCGTAGAGAAGGTCTCCACGAGACCCTCGATCATTGTGGTGGTCCGATGAATGAGCTGAGCCATCTGCTCAAGCTTTGAGGCGGCAACTTGTGTGGCGATCTCGGCGACCTGCACCATGCCACGTAGTTGTTCCATGGAGCTGAACCATATACCAAGCCGTGAAACGACCAAACCTGCATATGCTGGGCCATTTCCTTCTGTAGTGTTCTTGTTACTGACATCGATGGATAGATTGTCTAAAGTAGTGTGTATCAGTAGGCCATGTGTGATGGGGCGATTGGCATCCTCGATAATCTGTTTCGTGATGAAGCGGACATTGGCACGGCCGCGTTTCAAACGGATATCATACTGATCTTTGTAGATTACTGGCGGTATATCCTGGATTTCCCCCGCATGGATAAATCGGATGTGAGCGTACGGCAGCCGAATGTCGAGGTCGAAGGTTTTACTGCCTTTCATGGGCCTAAGTTTTTGCATCACAAGCTCAATGACATCCCTCTGAGCGCCGTCGAGACGGTCCAAGGATGTCTTAGGCTTAAGCTCGTCGACTAGACCTGCTATGCCCGAGAGAAGCGCCGGTGTGCAGAATCCAACAAGGCCTTGTTCGAGGGACAGAATCAAGCCCATGTGTCCTTCACCTTCATCTTCCGAGGGATCATCCTCGGCAGCGGGGAATTGTTTTGCGGTGCGCTGCACGACCGTAGGTGACAAGAGAAGCGTATCTGGCATATCGGCACTGCTCGGCACAGCATCTTGGAGAGTAAAATGCGGAGCAGTCCATGGGCTAGAAAGTGTTACCGACGTGGCTCCGATACCCTGCTTCGCAGCTCCTGGCTCCTTCGAGGCTGTTTGGAACAGGCTGTTGCGAGCAATGGATTTGTCAAGAAAGCTACTCTGTTTCTTAACAGAACGAGCGTCGCCGCGAGTATTGTATTTACTTCCCGGAGTGTCCAAAATTTGCTTGTGAGAGCTGCTCTTCTTGCCTAGACCGTTTAAAGACGATTTTGACGATATGAAGGAGCTTTTACGGCCAAGCTTGTCGAGCATCGGTTGACGCTCAGCGAGATCGGTAATGTCCAGTATCGGCTCGGGTATGGTAGGCGTAGGCATAGATGGCGGATTTCTACTCCACTCGGACCTGTACTCGGTTCGCGATACACCCGGGACGGTAGGTTTGTGCAAAAGCCAGTCCACTCGATGCGTGCGCTGATCAGAATAGCGGAGGTGAGCTTGTTGCAATGCCCTCGTTCGTGCTAGATTGGCGGTTTTGTCCAGGGTGGCGAGCCGAAGAGATGTTCTGAACAAGCCAAATGTTTCAACCTCATGGTCCGGAATCTCATGGTGTCTCAGGGCACTTTTCAGCTCTGCTGCAGCGATAAGTATCGCTGGAATATCGACATTGATGTGCTTCGCGAAGTCACGACCCGCCCAGTCATCAAAGTCGACTGTTAATGGAGTTATTTCTGCCAAAAATGCTGTAGATTCAGATAATATCCAAAGCTTGATTCCAGCGACTCGTGCACGTACAAAGTTGACGTCGAAAATAGGTTTTGAAAGCACGTTTGGCAGAGCGTTCTCAAAGTCGTCAATGGTGAAGATGAGGGATTGGACGCCTTGAATCAGGGTTCCGAGGAATTCGGAAGAACACTGCCCAGATATGAAGCCAACGTCAACGTCCCAATGGCAGGAATATGTCGGCTCGGTGGGAGGTGCACCGAAAAGTCGGTGGCCATAAACAACGACATTTTCGAGGAAGACCTGAGTGCTAGTGATATCTGGTTTCTGCCCGGGCCCGTTCACCGTCTCGATACTGGCCTCGATTGGGCTTGAATTGACTTGCAGATCCATGTAGTAATTTGTGAACCGCATATCTGCCTCCACCATCAGGATATCCGCGCGAATGCCCTTGCGGCGCGTGTAGATGTTTGATGGTATCAAGATCGAGGTCTGGTCAGCTCTTACGGTTAGGATTACATCAAGGTCGTTCTCTTTACTGGTCGGTCTTTGCATCGCAGTCTCCGGGCGATCTTTCTCTATTAGGGCTTGATACTCCTCCAGCGTCCTGAAGTGTAGGTGATCACCAAAGTAATTCTCCTTGACGTTCATGAAATAGCGGATCAGGAAACCATGGAGGTGAAATCGCGGACCAAGGCCTGTAATGTTCATCAGGAGTGAGTCGCTTAGGCCGGGCGACATGGACGTATAGTAGTTGTAAGATCCATCCATTTCGAGACCTTTTAGAGTCCCCATGGTCTTCAGGTCAGGCACATACTCATCGTCGACAAGGAAGGTGTGTAACGTGTTCCAGATCGGACTTGAGATATTGAGATAGGCATTATTCCCGTTCGCTTTGAAAAGAACCTGGCTCTGTCTTGGTGCGTAGTACTTCATCGGAATACCGACAAATCCATTGAGAAGTTTGAATCCGAGAACGAGGTACGCATTTTCATTGATATCAGTGGGAGAGTCAATAATGTTGAAGTCGTTTGCGTTGAGGTACAGCTTCAGGTCGGTAAACACGAGGCCAATGTTGTAGTTGTACGGCACGAACGTCATGAAATCTGCCTTTTGCCCAGCGGTGAAGTCGCCTATCAGGTCGATAAGTAGAAACATATGATCTCGAAGGATAAACATTTCCAATTGATCACTCTCGATATTGAACGTCCACTTATGCATGTCATTCCAACCAAGCGGATAAGGCAGATCGCAGGTGATCTTGTGGGAAGGGCATCGCCACAACAAGGCATGATTGACACTGGATGTGGCTCTGGCATCGACGACGTTCATCTGCAGTGTGTTTTTGTATCCATTGCCGTCAGGAATCATGGCCATGTCGTATTTGACGGTGGTATCTTTACCGACAGTGAAGGAGAACCATCCGAAAGGTCGAACGTCGGGAGCCGTAGCCTTTTTGGCAGTCCGTCGAAAGCGAAAATGCGTCCGGCGCTCTCGCTGACGTCGTAGCATAGCAGCTTCGCGGACAGCATGAGCTCTCCCACGCCAATGCCAGTCCTTCGATTGTTCTCGCATCGGGACCCTTAAAGAGACGTCCTCAGCGATATCGACGCGGATGTTCATTGTGGTATAGATGCGTAGATCGCCCGTAGCCGGCGCCTCGGCAGGAGTTGCATTACGATAAGCATTGGGAAAGAACGTAGACTGGATCTCTAGTCGGAGGCGATCAGCCCAAGGGCCATAATTGACATCACCTCCACGAACAGTGAGATGCATGCCATAAGCGGGAGGAACATCGCCGTTGAGATCGTAAGAAGCCACTTTCTCGGCCTGAACAGCGTCCCCAGGTGGAACAGTCCCTTGGACATCCCAGTAAAAGTTGAAATGGATTGCAGGGCAATCTACAATCGTAGAGAAGCGGGCATAGTCTATATGGGACCATGCTTCATGGTCGTCACGGTCGTTCTCATCCAGATAGCGATCGAGACCATGCCACACGTTGCCCTCATCACTGTCGGCGCCGAAGGCCTTATAGGAGTTATGGGATCTGCCAGAATAAGATGCCGGGCGAAAGGATTCGACGGAACCGTGGAAAGGAGGAACTAGTCTTCTGAGGTGTTGAGCAGCCTCATGTCGTCGTTTGCGAAAGTCGAGGTGAATTTGCCACCAACGTCGCTTCCTGTTAGGATTGTCGATGCCTTGGATGATTCTCTCTGCAGCAGCCATTTGCGAATGACGGAACTCCGGGTTGGGTTTCATCTGTATCAACGGATGCTCAATTTCAAAGTCAAAGATCTGACGAAAGATATCCTTGTCCACGGCGGCACCACCGTCAATATGACCTTTGGCTTTGGTAAATGTTGTGACCACGATAGCTCTTGTCGATTCATTACCGAGAGATATGGCGCCTCTGCTGACTTCTACGCCAACAGGAAGGACCGCTAGGATAAGAGAATGGAAGGCATTGACATGTGCTTCGCCGATCGGCGTGTCGCTACCAATCGACTGGTCATCCTCAGCATCGGCATCGTTTCGGCTTTCCATGGGAGTGAGGGATGGACCGTCGACCGATGGGGTTTCCTGCTTGGGCGAGGACCGGCTTGAAGAAGAAATAGGTACATGTAGCTTCTCCGCGACGCGCTTTGCTGTGGACCTAGACGAGGGACCGTCAGAGCCTTTGGAGTCGTCTGGTCCATTCCACGAGGGGTCTCCTTCTGGTACGCGCGAGCCCTTGTCGGCGGCAGCGATGATCGCATCGTAGGCAGGTGTGCGATTGTACACGAACCATTCCAGGCCAGTTGCGTTTATGGCGATCCTAGCGTCTGATCTTGCCCCGGGCTGAACAGTATTGTCCTCATCGGACTCTTGACCATTGTCGCTAGCCGAATCTCCCGATTTGGTCTCGTCATCCTTTGAATCTTTCGTTCTCAAGGGCTTGAAGAGGTTGACCTGACGTGTAGAACGGAAGTAATACCGCCAGGTGATGAACCCTTGTTGAATGAAGATGGTTTCGTTCTCGCCATGGTATCTGACTCCTTTGAAGAAGATTCGGCCGCCGAGCAGAGAGATCTGCAACGACTGTATATCTACCCAGACTTTGAATTTATTCCAGGTGTATGCTCGGAGGCCATAGGATATGAGCGTAGCGAGGACTCGATTAAAATAGAATAGAAACCAGTTCACAAGCTGGCGGTGTTAGCCATGCCTTTTAGAGGACAGGAGTGTTAAGACTCACGCAGATGCAGACAATCAATTCAATCACCCAGGTCCTGAACAGGGTCAGTCGAACCACTACCAATGTCCCGGTCGGCGGCGCTTACCAGTTGAACGTCCCTCCGCCCCGTGGGAAGAGATTCCAGGCCATCGTGCAAGCTCAACGAATGCATCCATGTCTGGTCTCAATCCGGGGACAGTTAGGCATGAAGCGAAGAGCGGCGGAAAAGTACGAGTGGCCTCGAAAGCGTGTGGTCGAGGGCAGCTTGCGGTCCGGAGTAGATGAGTTGATGCGTTCTGGGGAAACCGCGAGGCAATAGGCTAACTCCTAACTCCTGATTGCTCCACCAGGAATGCAGGCAGTGAATTGAGTCCAGTGGGTGGTTAAGATGCCATCCAGTTGATTATCTATATCGTGACAGGCAAGCGTCTGCCATATGGGGTATCTGTAAAACCAGCAGAAACCATCAACACCCTCGTCTATACCTTCTCCGAGGCACCCTTCGCATCGAGCTCCTGCTGAGCTCTCTGCACGCGCTTCGCTTTCTTCTTCCGGTCCACGGCCTTCCGCCAGCCTTCGCCCCAGATCGTCGTTGCCCAGACCATGGCAGCACTCACGACCAGAAAGCCTGTGCTGATTGTACTGAACCATCCAACACCCATGGCCTCGATGGCTGGCAAGCACACCGCCGAGCCGGCAGCCGCGAACAGATACCTTATCATGTAATTTCCCGCAACAACTTCTGCGCTCATGCCTTTAGCCTGCATGACGTCCAAGCAATACGTGTTTAGACTTGGAAAGCAAAATAGCTGCGAGACACCCTGGATGAACATGGCCGCCACAGGCAAAGGTACGCCCCCAACCTTTTGATCTACTGACCAGCCATAGACCAGCATGCAAGCTGGTGTGACAATGCCAATGAAAGCCCAGCAGGAGCGTAGTCTATCCTCCGGCACTCGCTTGTTCTTGATCTTAATGTGCTTCTTGACAATAAAATCCGCATAACGGCCACCGAAGAAAGTCCCCAAGAGGTACCCGCATCCTGGAGCAATATAGAAGAGACCCGATTGAATAGGCGAGGTAAGGTTGAACCGGGGGTTGAGGACATAACGTATGGGAGTCAACAATGAGTACATGTTCCAGACCAGACTAGATGAGGCGAGACCGGCAATGAGCAAGTTCGGATAGCTGAAAAGCAGGACACCAACTCTGATGGGAGAGGTCCAATGCATGATACGCTTGTAGCGCTGGGTAGCTGAAAGCTCTTTCAGCTCCTCGATCTTCTTTTCGGGAATGGTTTCGGGCAAGAAGAGGATGACCAAGACTGTTGCTAGCCCGCCAAGCGCGGTTTGCAGCCAGAAAATGTCTCTCCAGGTACAAAAGGTGACAATAATACCGCCAATGAATGGTCCAAACGCAGGTCCAATCAGGGTGCCACTTAGAAACGCGCTCAGCGCTGTTCCGCGTTCAACAGGGGCGTAAATATCGCCGATGCAAGCATTTCCCACGATCAAGAAAGAAGTCCCTTGATAAGCAGTGAGCATGCGGAAGACGAAGAATGATGCCAGGTCTGGGGCGAGGGCGGTGCCGATGCTGAAGACGAAGAACAGAGCGGCAGAGATGATTGAGGGCCACCGACGACCATAAATGGTGGAGATCGGACCCCACAAACACGGTGATATGCCCATGAAGATCATGTACAGGGCGTTGGACAAGTTGATGATAGAACCCGAAGTGTTGTATGTGGCTGCAACTTCGGGTACTGCGGCCAAGATGGTGGTCGATGAAACGGGAGACAGGAAACCGCACAAAGACAGAATGGCAGTGATGGCATATTTGCGGCGCGGCGAGAATCGTGTATATTGCTCCGGATTGACCTCTTGAAAAGTGGTGCTGGTTGTTGGAAAGAGTGTGATGTCGTGATGGGATATGTGAGAGCGAGTGTGCTCGAGTGAAGGTCTCTGGTCGGTGGAGGCCACGTCTGCAGTTGGTACGCGCCTCAGATCTGTGGAAGCAACGGATTGCTTTTGTCGGTGTTGCTGCACGGTGCGGTGTGCGTCGGCCGTTTCCACGCTATCCTCATGATGGTGAAGCTCGCCCGTCATGATGAAGGGCTAGAATCTGGAGTCATAGGATCCACACAAGGCTGGATCAGTACAAATGAGTGAATCTGGATGAATTGCGGCGCGGGAAAAAACAATGCCATATGCGAAAGGGCTTAGCATATATAAAATCAAGTTCAGGAGCCAAAAAATGACTCAAGAAAACGGTCGATTGCAACCCCTGCCATGCGACCAGTAAGACAGTTCACCTCTCGATCTGGCGAGGATGTTAGCAGCATCTTCAGAGGGCGTGCCACGGCGTCCGCGATCGGCTGCGACGCCGCTTCCGCGAATGGGGAGTCCTGTAGTGCTCAGTAGCAAAATCAACAGAAAAGACTTTTCAGTTCATCTCATGCCATAAAGAGCTTAGATGGGCCTCGTGTGCCGAGTACCGTCTCGAATCCCTGCAATTGGAGAACGGCTGTCGGAGAACCCCCGCTGCCTATCTTTCTCTCCACCTGTGACTTTTTGTCGATTCTAGGATCAGTGAACCATAAGCCCTAGTATGGATAGGTCTGTCGACAGCCCGTGAGATTCGAGGCACGCTATCGTTGATTGTAGTGCCTAGGATAGCATTGCAAAGACAAAGAGTCGTACGGAGGACTATTCCGGAGGTGGAGACAGCAACAGGCACGATCAGATAAGGGAGACTGGCACAGTAGCCCTTTCCGGATGCTCGAATCGACCGACAAGCTATCATGATGGTGCAGATGCACAGTGACACACCGCCTTGGATGTGCCAGGCAAGGGCTACGGTTTGTTCGTGCGGTACTGAGTCGGCAATCCTCCGATTTGCGGGATTCCAACCCGGTCTTCGGAGGGTTGCTGCTTATATTCCACTCCATATGATACCTCCCAAGTATCGCGATAGCACTGCCGGCGGATGACCAGAGCAGGTGTTGTGATCGTTCCTGCTGAGTGTGTTTGTGGCGCAGTCTTCTAGCCACCTTTCCTGGAATGCAGTGCCAAGGAGACTGTGGCTGCCTTGATGCCTTCGTCGTCACTGCCTGTGACTCATGGCACGGCAGCGACGTACATGTACATAGATCACCAGTGGAAATCAAAGACTTTGGCTGTGCAAAAGTGATTCGCTAAATATCAATTCGAATTGTAAACCACGACCCGTCGTCCTCGCTGGAAACCTAGTTCGCTTTCATATATCAGGACTTCCGCTCCTTGCCCGTACCCTGGTGCTCCTCCTCGGAGGTGTGCCGTCTTTCTGTAACACTCCACCGTCTATCTCAAGCTCATTCCTGACACTATCTTCAATCCTTTCCACTGCCTGCCTGACTTTCGCTCCCGTGACGTCTCTCTTGCCCTTGACAACCTTGGAAGTCACTTTCCTGGTCACATTACGGCTCTTTGGCTGGGGTTTTACCACTTTAGCTCCTTGCACGCCTGACTTTGTGTTTCGTTTCGAGCTAGGTATCGAGGTGGATGTCGCACGCTGCTTACGCGGCTTGAGCGTCGGCGACATAGGGATAGGCGGTGGCGGATGCTGCATATGCGGGACCGTAGCCATTCTTGAAGAATAATGTGCAGGGAACGCAGGCATAGGAGGCACATCTGCATCCGGCGAGTCTGGAGGTGAGAGTGCCTCAATGTCAGGTGCGTCAGGAAGCACAGATGCCTCGCGCTCGTATGGCTGCCATGGCTGAGTAGGTGTAAGGTCGCGCATTTCGGTGTCAGACGGCGTGGCGGGAGAGATTGGAGACGGGGACCTCGAGCGATTCTCATATGCTGGTGTGGAGTGTCTGTGCGATACAGGAGAGAGAGGTTCTGGCTCAACCGACTGTCGTATGCCGTGTTCGTATGTGTCGCCGACTGGTCGGGGAGTATCTGGTCGAGATATTGTTGTTGCAGGAGTGTGTGCAAGTCTCTCGGGAGATCTCATAGGGGATCGCATAGGTGAGCACAATGGTGGAGCTGGTGTTGGAGCATCCTGGGGAGAAAGGATGGAAGGCGTGCTGAGGGCGGTCGCGATTTGAGGAAAATTCTCTTGGAAGACTTGAGGTTCTTTGATGTCCGAAGGGGGAGGCGATCGACCCGCAGTCGCTGCATCGGACCAATTTTCTTGAGGATCAAAAATTGCCGCAGAACGTTTCACGGGAATCTCGAACAGTTCCTTTGACGTGATCGTGGCACTTGTGGCAGCATGGACATCCTTGTCTCGCTGGGCGCACCGACACGCACCGGTGGGACATGCGCATTTGCTACCACATTTGCAGCCACATCCAGGGTTGGATGCTGTCCCATTGGTGGCCATTCTGCTGATGGATATCGGATGCGGACCAGCACTTTCTTCAGTATCGTAGTACGGATCGGGGACATGGTCCTTCGCAATCCCCACCTGTGTCATTTGGCTAATGTGTGACGGCCTTGCATGATGAATGTTCGGTGGGAATGAAGGCGTGATGGGAGCGTAGTCAATGTTCATAGGTACGTCCTGCTGGTCTTCTTCGATAGTGCGCTGCGCATGGGCGTTTGCTTCGCTACGTTGACTCTGCGGACGACAGCCGGAGCAATAGCAAGATCCCGGACCGCACGTACACCTGCTCTTATCCCCGCCACAGTGGCAGCCTCCGAAAGAGCGATCCGCAAGCGACCCCAGCGAGAAATCGTTGGGGAGATCCGAGTCGTCAAAGAAGTCGTCTTCGTCATCGTGGCCACGCTCGTGCTGTTCCAACATTTCGACGACCTTGCGCCATGCATACCACTGCTGCTTGCGCGGAAGATCCGGAGAGACATCCTTCAATGCTTCACGGAAAGCATCATTGGCGAACTTCCCAAGTTGGCTGTCTTCTGGTAGTTGGTTGTGGAACTCAAACCCCTCGTCAACAAGCTGGGATTCTGTGGGCGATGTTGCTTCGTACAGATGGGACTCGTAGGAGAAAGTTCGAGCTCGACTTTGCTGCTCGTTTGGATGGGCGTGATCCTGATCATCGTCTGAATCTGTGTCGACCTCGCCTCCGTACGATGCGTGCTTATTCAAGCCCTCGCTCGAAAAATCAACCGCCACTTCGTTGGGGCCCAAAGCTCCGCTGGTCATTGGACCTAATTCGGCGACCTCAGTAGGTTCGAAGCCAGAAGGCTCATCGTCTTCTTCTTCTATTGAATCGGAATCGTCATCAATATCGCTGAACAGTTCGGCATCGGTCACGGAAGACATCGATTTGCGAACACTGATATCAGATGCCCCATGGTAATCCTCCTGGGACCCATATCCAGATCGTGATTCGGGAGTCGTATGGTGCGAGCCACGCCCCTCGCTTGCCGTGTAGGAAGCTCTAGGCAGAGACGCTCGCTTCAGTACCGGTCGCTGCTCTGCAAGCACAGGAGCTGCAGAATCATCGTGTACCGCGAGGAATGGGTCAGAAGGCGCCATGTATTGGGTATTGACTTCCCGTAGGACTTTAGCTGCCGGGTTTGTGTATATTTTCGTGGCCAACATGTCGATAACACAGTTCGAGCTGTTGCTACCACGGGGTTGCGAGATGTTGGCTCGAGGTTGTGCCAAGATAGCTCGATCCAAAGCGGCGTCCTCCATAACAACCAACCTGGGGATTGTGGAATTGGAGGATGAATGCATGTTTGGTAAACTTTATCGATGCGGGAGCGTGTCAGAATGCATGATGTTGTCGTTCCGGATATCTGCCGTTGTTAGGTAGACAAGGCGCAAGGGGTGCTGGAATGTGACCAATGTGGGGCGGGCGAGACCGAACAATGGACCGTGCTGCTTGCCCTTCATTCGTGCACACTCCTAGTGTTCAAAGGCCTCCTTCCAGAGACGCAATAGCTTTGACAACATCAGCTTCAGGTAGGGGTTGTCCAGAGTAAGACTTACAACCGGATGTAGCCATGCATCCGATGGTCTCGGGACTCCTGTCTCGCTTTTGCGAATAAGACCTACGCTGTCAGTTTGGAGCGTTGTAATCAATCATGACACATACTGTCGCCTCCTCCTTGGGACGCCCGAGGACGCCAGTCATGCCGCGAATCAGTAGTGCCTCTGCTCCTTTGTCCAAATTCGCCACTTCGAGAGCGCCAATGTGTTTCAGTCGTCTGTCCCTCGGCCAGGGACTCGAAGGAATCTTGAAGATGAACTCTTGCACATCTTCGAAACCATGGGCCTCAAGCTTTGCTTTCCAGCGTTTGGGAGCATGGCCGGAGGCGCCGATTTTCTCGCCAATCTCGAAAAATGTTTCAGTAAACTGCACCCAGGCACTGTTTGCCGGTATGGTGTCATCATCGCTTCCTGGCTCAGGGAAGGACGAAGATAGCTCAAGGTACCCTCCCGGCTTCAAGTGGTGAAAGCTCTGACTTATGAGCCTGTCCCAATCCCGGATCGCAAGGAGAAATTCACGGCCATGAATAAAGTCGAATGTGTCGGGCCGAAACAGCCAGTCGCTTTCCACATCATCAATTTCGAATGAGCAATTAGGAGGCACCCATCGAGGCTGCACTGCGGCGACATCGACTCCGATGACGTTGGCTGTGGGGTGCTTGTCTGCCATATCACTGCAAGGTCAGCATACGAGGGCCAGGAGGTTGTGTACAACAATGACTCACATTGCCCATATTCCTGAACCTGTTCCAAGATCTAGAATATTGGCTGGTTCTTCGGCTATAGGCGCAAGATGCAACCTGTCGCCGAGAATCAGGCCAAACTTGCAATGCTGTAGATCATTTCGGTCTTGCTCCTGTTCATCAATAGGTAGACCGTACTCGTTTCGGCCAAATGCCGGATACGTCCTGCCGTTCTCCTCGATGCCACGACGGATGTCTGATGCGATGCTGGTTGCGTACTCGGTGATAGATTCAGCGAAACCCTCGTCCGGAAATGAGTCGACTTCTATCAGCTCAGAGTCGTCATACGACATGTTGTGCTATATTTGCGTCGACGGCTTGATCAGCAGTTATTATATGCAGAAGTGTCGACCCCGCAAGCGAAACGAATCGTGTTTGTATCACAGGTAACATTGCACCTACCGTGGAATAAGATAGACGGGGGGTCTCGTGTTACTCCAAGTGTTAGGATCATGACAAGCTCAACGCTTTGTCATTAGCAGCGAGGGCTGACCAGTACAGCTGGCATCAGTAGAAGAAAAGTTCCGGAGCGCCTTCCCGATGTGATGCTGGGCAGCGTGGCACCTGCCTGGAACCCTGCTGGCGGCCGTGGGCAGCAGGGCTTGATGAGGTGGCACAGGTTCGATTTCATAGCGCCGCGCTCCAATTAACGATGGGAGAACTCAGGCGATGCAAGAATGACCAGGATGGGCTCGTCAAAGCTCCATCCCTGGACATTGCTGCAGCTCTACGAACGCATCTGCGGTAGAATTGGAAGAGCCGCCGCGGAAGCAGTAGGCGAGTGCTTGGCAGCCGCTACGCCGGCATGAACGTCACCTCCTGTCAACACCTAGCCTGCATTATTCCATATTATCACTCCTTGGCCGTCTGATCGCCCCTGTTGCTCCACATGCAGCTGCTACTGCTATCCTGCAAGCAACCTTGACAAGCCCGAAGCACCCTGTGGCAGCCGCACCTTGCAGGAGTCGCTGCCGGCGACGTTCAAAGGGTTCTGGATCACCTCCACCGCTCAGGGGGTAGCGTCAATGGATACTCTTGCTCACTACTAGTTTACACTACCGCCGCGTTCTGCGAACAATAGGAGCAGAATGAAGATGCGAAGCAATTGCATGGCTTGTCAAGGATCGACTACGGTCGACTTAACAGCCCGTATGAAGCAGACACCGGACAGCACCATCACGCCTCGGCCGCAAGGGAAACATTGGCCTCATGCAACTAAAGCCTTTCCCCGGTAGCGGGCGGACTAGCTGCACATAGCTTATCGAACAACAGTCGCAGAGAAGGTGAATTCGTGATATCGCGCTGCTAGCTCACATACTTCATCGTGCTTGTGGTTTCTCTATAGCTTACCATCAAGATCAACGCGCTGTGGCCACCTGAACGGCACCTGACCATGGACCTTGCGGCGTTTCCCTCGGAGGAGGAGCTTCACTCCGCCATTCACACTCTTTCCGTTGCAGCTCAAAGTTACAGCCCTGGCGCCGATGGCACGCAGTCACGAACCAAGCTGATTGCTTGCGCGAAAGACCTGATCAGTCGACTGCGCAACCCGATGGATATGGCCGATGTCCATATGGCAAACGCCATGGAGCTCGTCTCTATTCGCACGTGTCTCCACCTCAAAGCTCTACATGCGATCCCCTTTCCCGGCACGGCCACTCTCTATTCGATCGCTGATTCCACAGACGCTAGTGAACCACTCCTGGAGCGCCTGCTTCGTATGCTTGTTTGCACAAACTTCCTCTCCAGTCCAGCTCCGCGCGTCTACGCGCACACCAAGCACTCATACGCTTACACTCTGGTCCCTGGGCCTGGCATGTTTGTCAGTTGTTGCGCCCACGCCCTGACCAGCTGACATTCTCATCACATAACACAGTTCCAGCTCGTCTACGATGAATCCTTCCTTATGATCGACAATCTGCACCTCTATCTTAGTGATAAAGGGTTACATGAGCCTCTCGATCAACGCTATTCGCCATACGCATGGAAATCCAAAGCTGAGGGCATTCCTATCTGGGAGACGTGAGTTTCCCTGCACCGTTGCCCCCGGTATGACGGCCGACTCGACAATCTCCACCCTCACATCATCTTCCGCCAAGTATGGTACAGGGCACTAACATTCTCTGCTCCAGTATGGCACGTCATCCCGAGCGGCTGCATGCTTTCCAGGCCGGGCTGGCACATGCGGATGCTTCAAGTAAGTCTTGTCTGAACATGAGGAGAATCCGTTAGACAACCTGGGTGCTTGGGCTCTACTTTGCTGTCATGGGCCGCTTCTCTCTGTCCAGCACTGCGCACCCGGATCCTCTTGTCCTCGCCCAATTATTAGTCTTCCCCGAACATGATTCTTACTTGGACTTCCAATGTCTATAGTTCCACTGCTGGGCTACTACGACTTCGAGCAGCTCGCTACCGAAGATGAGGAACGCGTGGTCATGGTAGACGTAGGAGGTGGGACGGGGCACTGCATTGCGGACATTCTGGACGCCTATCCGAATCTGATGAAAAAGGCAGGAAATTTTGTGCTGCAGGAGCTGCCCGCGGTGCTGAAGAAGGCCGACGAGAACCAGAGGCTACCGAAGGAGGTGATGAAGATGGAACATGACTTTTGGACGGAACAGGCTGTCAAAGGTACGATGAGCCCCAGAACGCGTGCGTGCCTGTCACTCAACCAAGCACAAACAGGAGCAAGATCCTATTTCTTTCGCCGCGTCCTCCACGACTACTCCGACAGTTTCTGCACGACCATTCTCAGCAAAATCGTACCCGCCATGGCGCTCGATTCGCGGATATTGATCGCTGAATTAATGCTTCCAGAGGAGGTAACCACTAATGACCTGGGGATCGCAACTTTTGACATTACAATGTTTAACATGGGCGGCAAGGAGCGGACCGAGGCCGGCTTTAAGGCCTTGCTCGAGAGCGTGGGCTGCGAGCTGGTCAAGGTGTGGAAGAGTACGTCGGGCTTGGGCGTCATTGTAGAGGGGAGATTGCGGGCGATGGAAGAGAAAGCTCTAGATCAAGTTGTCGATCAGGTTGCGGGACGAGAGGCAGTCAGAGAGCCTGATCTGCAGCCTGCAGTCAATGACACTACCGGGGAGACTGATGTAGGAGGATCCAGGCTTGCCTAGGAGACGCCAGGCGCGACGGACGAGACCAAGATCAACGGGGAAGGTGCCTCTATAAGCCACGAGCGCTCAGGACAAAGTGAGCACGCATTAGTCCAAAGTGTCTAGAACTGACCTCACTTACTGTTTTCATAGGAATTTCAGAACCAATCACGGACCCACCGAATCTACGTACAGCTGTTTTAGAGATGGGTCAAACATACTGGGAATCGCATAGCCACTGTTAGGGCGTCGGGTATCGTTCAGCTGCCCCTTATCAACGCCAAAAGTCAGATGCATGATCTCCTGTCCATCTTGATCATTGAAGCCCGCGTTCCATTACTTGCATCACTCCTTCTCTTTTTCGCGCTCCCTCTCCTTGTCCTTTTGCCCTCCAATGCTGCCACTAATGCTATCATTCCGCCCGTGTAAGCCAGTACCACCCAGCAGACCGCTTCGTACGCTGGCCCCGTCTCCGTACTTGCTACCTATGTAGCTGTTGCGTTCGCTAGCTAGGGCAGGCGCCTGAACGCCCGACGCGGAAATCAAGCTTGCGCGTTCTGGGTTGAGCTTGGAACTTGCATTGGGGTACGGGCTGGATACGTCGCGGATCGACGCGTTGTCTGGTTGACCATGGATGACTGTGCCGGAAAGGACGGATAGAGGGAGCGATTCACGGCTATTGCCAAACATGGACGCTGGTGGGATGGCTTTGACCGAAGCATTGGTATCAACGCTATTGCGGCGACGACGCTTTGAAGAAGAGGCCAAAGTAAGTATCGATGCGTCGTCGGTCAGCACGTTGTTCGCTGTCGCACTTTGATATGTCGTTGGATGGCCGTGAGGAGCCAGATGGGCCGGCACAGCAGTTGCTGGCTGTGGTGCACTGTACAGTTGTGGCAACTGGTTTGCCGAGTATGGAGTATTGAGGGCAGGAGCCGTTGATTGAACTGTTGTCAGGGTGGTCGTCATGGATCGTAGCGATTGGGTGGGCGAAGAAAATGTGCTGTTACGATCGCCCTCCGTACGAGGAGCGGTCGCGCTCGTTCCAGCGCCCGAAGGGGCGACATCTGAGATCGCAGTTTCGGCATTAGTCGCCAAAGTAGGAGGCCGTGACTTCTGGGCCGATTGGCTTTCACGAGAAGGAGATATGGACCGCTTACTCTGAGCCAACGAGCTGTTGCACGAGCGCGAGTTGTCTACTGGCTCAGAGAAGGCAAGGTGGCCGTTCTGAGACTCGGCACGTCCGGACAAGGGATATGGGTTATTCTTATGGACGCCATTTTTGCGCGTTTTGCTTGTGTTATTAGATTGAGTCGGTCGAGACTGGCTCGCAGGGTCGTTGGAGTCTGCGTGTAGGCTCTTGAGGTTTGCTAAACGCTTCATCCAGTTCGCAAACGGTCGTCGGCGAGCATGTCGATCTGCAGCCGTGTTTAGAGCGCGGTCACAGGAAATTGAATCTTGCCTTACCGTGTGCTCTTGCAGGGCCTTCTGTGGAAGCCATTTTACGAATGTTGTGTGTAGGTGCGTAGGGAGAGTTTGAGTAGTGGACGGTCGATCAATATAGCCTCTGACGAGGTCTGTTCGCTGGACAAAGAGGACTACCGATCGATCGCGGGAAGACAGTAGTGGCTGCAGTCGATGGAGATGGTGCCTGCTGGACACATGAAACACGTAATAGCACCTGGTTGCACAATCGACGAGGTGCGTGCTTTGCCTTCAAGCAGGAGAGTCCATGCCGACCGGGGGGCTGGAGTTGCTTGCAGGTGTACGGAGTTTCTGTACAGGGCTGCTCAGCCCCCAAATCCACTTGCCCCCTTTCAACGGTCTGCACGTGGCAGCGTCCCAGGAGAATCTTTATTCCGAGTTCCGCTCCCTATGCCGGCATTCCTGCCCCGCAGATCCGACATCTCTCTCTTGTCGAGACCCCACAAGTCATCGACAATAACATCCTCAGACCAACGTTCCTTCAACATGGTGTACTACTTCACGTCCACGGCAGTCGATCCACCGGCGTTTATTTACGTGGGCAAGGACAAGGTCGAGAGTAAGGCCCAATAACACATTCGTTTTAAACAGGACTGAAACATCTTCTAGATGAGGACTTGATCAAGTTTGGCTGGGATGAGGACATCTGGTCTGTTATCCGATCCACGGCACTGTGATCTCGGCGTCTAACTGCTGCAGGGTACGGGTTGTTGCATGGTTCTGATAGCTGGCTGACAAGATTCAAGTTCCATGTCGACAACTTGTCCAGCGCTCATGTCTATCTGAGACTCAAAACTGGAGATGCGTGGTCGTCGATACCCCGGGCTTTGCTTGAGGATTGTGCTCAGCTCACGAAAGCCAATTCCATCGAGGGTAATATTGTCACTTCGACGGAAGCCAGCCGCTGACTTGTCCAACAGGGAACAAAAAGGACAATGTTACCATAATTTACACTCCCTGGTCAAATCTTCGCAAAGATGCATCGATGGCAACTGGACAAGTATCCTTTCACGACCAAAAAAAGGTCAAGAAGGTTCATGTGGCGGCTCGGGAGAATCCCGTTGTAAACCGGCTTAACAAGACCAAAGTCGAGAAATTTCCCGACCTGCGCGAGGAGAAGGAATCCGACCTTCGGGAGAAGCGGAAAAACGAACGCCTCAAGCGGGAGGAGCACAAAGCCAGAGAACGGGATGAGAAGAAGAGACGCGAGGAACTCAAATGGCAGAAAGGTAAGCCTCTGAACTACATGTGTCGCATCGACTCGGTTTCGGGCTCGATGGGCGTCATGCTTCCCAACTTCCACCTTAGCGCTGCCCATGGGTAAACACGATCCCATACTCGGGCTGCTCTCGGTCTCTGAGTTAGTGTCAAGATCTTGCTGCTGCTTGTGCTTCCCTTTACCGAGTTTCGTGACCCAAACATCAATGAAACTGCGACTTTGTTTTGGGCTGACGTGGCATACCAGCGCACGCCTACGACGACCTCATGAACGAGGACAATATGGTCAGTAACCAGGATCGAGACGCCAGTTTCTACGACGACGACTTCATGTAAGGCTGGGCATCCGTAAACCGGTATGAAGCGGCATGAAACCAAGTCGAGCGGTGAGCATAAGAGTCCGGGGGGGCGGCCTGCAGGTGGGCTTCCGGCAAGTTCCCATGACCGCCAACTTCTGTTGTCGTTGCTGACCGTCCATCAATCCAGCAATCTCAATAAGCTTGCGAGTTGGAAAACCTATGATGAGGTTTACAAAACGATCAAGTGAACTCAAAATGGGACGATTGTCGCATCACTTGAGTACGTCAACGGTGACTCGTATACGCCAAGCTTGGCACGTCGTCAGCTCTCCGAGCCGAGTATAGTCACGAAAAGGTAATACGATGGCGGTCGCCCGCCTGAACTCCGGGAGCCTTGCAGCCCAAAGTCAAAGCGAGTTCGACTTATCATCTCAAGGGGTGGGGTCCGGGAATTTTAATCTTTTGCTGGTTTTGGCTGAGATACCTTTCTCCCCCCCCCAAAACCCCACCGCACGTGCGTGGGACGTCACGGTTGACCTTCCGCTGGCTTGAGGTGGCATGTTTGCTGCTGACAATTTTTATTGACAAGCACGATTTTGGTAGTTGCAGCATGCGCTCCATGAGATGCCAAACGAGAGGACGCCGACAAGGTCTTGTAAACGAGCTAATGCACGCACTTCTGACGTATCCAGTAGATCTGCAACCACTAGCTCACACCGCATGCGCGTTTGTTCTACACAAGCTCTGGTTTGATGTACAAAGTAGCTCCCGATCAGCGCACCAGTAGACTTGACAAACTTGTCTAAACGGCGAGAGTCGGCTCGCGGTGCCAGATCATAACGCAGAAGCCAGCAAACAACAAGCCGGGCTATATGAGACCGCCCGAGTGTCAGAAAAGCATTTGTCGAGGCGCCTGCTCATTGTTGAACAGGAAGCCTCGGGTCGGAGTTGCCGCTGTGCGGTACTAGACGCACTCGAGACACTTTTTCATGCATGACGCGATAAGACGACCATGCGGTTTCCTGAAGCTTCTTTAAAGTTCAAGGGCGTTTGGGGGCGAGCATGGAGACTTTCGGTGGACGGAGGACGAGCTGGCTCACAAGGGTCGGCAGTTGGGGATGGGTTGTGCTAATAGCCAAAATGCGTCCTTGCGCGTTTCGGTTATGCAAGCCGCGGTTCAATCTTTGGCATTCATATCAGGGCAGCATAGTTCCCGACTTGGGCTGGGAACCAGTCATCAAACTACTGCGACGAGTCCACAAGCTGTGGCGTGAGTCTGGCGGTACTCCAACGACCTCCCAAGCAGTTGCGCACGATGAGACTCTTTGAAAGATACCTTCACCCAGTACTCCGTAATCGCGAACCTTCTCGAAACTACAATATTCATCACACAAAGTCTGATTGAGATGGCTGTTAGATCCGAAACGCATCCAAATGAGCCGGGATGTCAGCATGGCAATACCCTGTTTGATCCAAAAGAGGACGTTTTGCCGAGATGCAGTCTGCAGTGTCCAGACGAGTCGGAACTATGAAAGGAAAAGAGTACTTTTGTTAGACCGCAACTAGTTGGTTAAAATGCTCCAGGTGTGACGACGTTTGCGGGCAATAGCACATACCAAATATGGCGCAGGCTGAAGATCCTCTCACGATTCACTGTTGGCTGTGGCGGGTGTGAGAGCCATGATCGCCCGCTACGATGAGCACGGTAAAGCGCATGACAAGGAACAGACCGAGATTCAGATGGTTGATGAGGTCACAACCAGAGTTGTTGACTGGACCCCTTCTCCTTGCAGCTGAAGGACATGAGCAGCTGCAAGCCAGAGAAGCAGAAGGATTCAACCACGGTTTCCGGATGGATCTGACCCGGCCCCGAACTCTACGAGATCCAAGCCCATGCAGACGGGTTCGTGGCAGGGTGCACCTCAGCCAAAACGCCCGAGGTGACTACCTCGCTGACAGGAACAATGGCCAGCACTTAGACAGAGAGAAGAAGCTGAATGACGGCCCTCATAGAGGGCTGACTGCGTGCACGTGGCTGGATATATATTTCCATCCTTGTTGCGGTGGTCGAGAAGAAGTACTATAGCTTCCGAAAAAGATTGGCCAGGGATAAATGGGATTGTGAATCTTGGCTGCAGGCATGGAGGTGTACCTTAGGCAGCCCAAGCAAAGATTGGACCGATGCAAACAATCACTCGGGTCGTACTTGCAATAGCGTGGCTCCAAACAAGCTCTTGGTAATTCCTTGATCACGGAGCGGAAACGCGTGGATAACCATAAGGCAAACCTTGGTCGTAGAAGGTCAAAGGTTCTTGGAATTTAGTACTCCGTACTGGGCACGCCGAAAGAGTTACACAAGAGGAGCGTTTGGCAACGATAATCAGCCGATGATGGTCGGGCGACTCCAAAACTCAAAGAGTTGGAGAAACGAAAAGACGTCGGTCTTATGGTGCAGTGGTCGGACCAATCCTCCAGTCAATTGCAAACAGCCGGCACCTGGGCGCTGGTGTCTCGCGGTGGGTGGGACGGCCGGGATCGCCTCGAGGCAGCAGCCTGAACCAGCGAAAGTTAGATATCTGGCGAATGCCCGGTTGGTCGCACGCTCGCCAGAAGAAGTGCAGAGCGTTGAGTTGGTTGCTGGACTATCTGTTGTTGGTGCGGCCAGCAGCTGCCAACTGGGCCACAGTCGGCAGCCATGCTATGTATAGTCGCGCAAATGATTGGCTCGTAGGCGAGCAGGGAATTACCCTTGGGGCTCGCTTGGCTTCGGATGCTAAAGCGGTAGACAAAGAGGCCGGCAGGTTTGTCTGTCACAGCATACGGAGTACTGTAATGACAGACGGTGTAGCGTGGAGAACGCTCCAAACGTGCCTAGAAAGTGGCTCGCGTGGATCATCCGTGATTACGGAGTACGGAGTACTACCACACCTTGTCGGAGAGTGATACCATCGCGCCCTGCCCTCCACCCTCTCTCTTGGCGCCCGTCAGCGGGGACTTTGTTCGTCGCCGCCTTGCCCTGTCACAGGAGCCGATCTCTTGGGGGTAATGGACTTGTCCCGCCACTACGTATGCGGCGCCATTCAAGTCAGGCCAATGAATGACCCATCCAAATGTGCGCATTGTGCTACGTAGACCAGGAGAGCGTGTGTGACCTGATACCCGTCAAATCTTCGGTCGTCGGAGCCGGTAAGGTGGGATCGGCCTAGCCTTCACGCCCAAATGATGCAGTGCACCAAGAATAATAAGCTCGAGGGGCCTCCAACGCCGGCGGAAAGCCTAGCCATGATTGGCACGCGCTGAAGTTGAAGCACGAAACCCAGAAATTCGCAAAAAGTCTAACGAAGAAAGCTAGAAGTTACAGCACCCCTCTTTGCAGGAACCCATGTATCACGCTTTTTGTGGTTTGCTTGACCCTTCAAGGGAGCATCAGCCTTCCCCCTTCCCCTTCCCGCTTCGCTCTGCCCTGGTCTCATGTGCACCGCAGCCGATGTGGGTAATGACATTATGCTTTGCAAGTCATCTTCGCTTAGCATTTAGGATTTGCTACACATAGTGCCACTCCCTCGCCCGGTGGAGCCACCCGGCCGTAGGAGAGCAAACATACTGGCGGCACTGCTTGACCTGCTGTTCCATCAGGCGATCGGTGAGGCTCTGACTGCATGTTAAAAAGCTGATGGCCGGCCACAGTTCGGACTTGGTTATCCTCTACGCGGCATAATAAGTCTGATCTATCAATATTATCTAAGCATCGTTTCCGTCTCCCCATCTGACCGTCCGCCATCTATTAGACGTACACCATGACGCAAACACCCACCGTCGAGCAAGCATTAAAGATGGTGCAAGACAATCCCAATGGCACCAACAATGCTCAGGCGAGGGCGGTACTTTCGAAAGAACTGTCCCGCATCTGGCGCAACATTCAAGCCCAGCCCACCTCTTATGTGATGAGCAAAATCGAGTTCGCTGTCTTCAACTACCACCGCAACTCTCCGGACTACAAGAACCCCGTTGCCCAGCGTGCAGTCCAGCGCTTTTGGGACAACGTCTAGAACCGCCAAAACGATGCATCATCACTTTCGATCGAGGCACTGCCACGGGCTTCACTCAGGAGGGCCCAAACGAGGCAATGGTGACCCTATGAGAGTCCCAGCCTATCAACGACCACAACTCGACGACAAGCTCCACCACCACCTTCGAATCATTTGACAAATGACCAGTCAAGTCACAATGCAAGCCTGCCATGCATGCAGTGCCGCCGGACAGCCAACGTCTCGTGGTCATAATCGGCGTGGGGGTGGTCCGCATCTACGATGGGTCAATGGAAAAAGGGCTTTTGTGCCATGAGAGGGGCAAGGAAAAGAGGATTTGTCGCTGGCGACGTCCCCTGGGGAGGAGTCTTAATGCATGCAGGCGCTTGGATGGTCCAGTCACGGGTTATGGACGCAGATCCGAGTCTGCTGCGGTACTCTCCGACTGTTACACGAATAGCCGCCACTCACAGTTTGTATTGGAGCGAATGTTTGGGAATTATTAGCGCGAATAGATGCCGCAATGCGCAGCCGCATTCAGTGTTGAACATTAGCCGTCATGGCTTCACACCTTGCATACCAGGCTCCTTCTGCATTGTGATCTGTGCTCTGTACCCTGTCAGGGAGGCTAGAACGCGGAGGCTGTCCCGTCCGTCTAGAGCCTTTGTCGTACGAGAATACGAGCTCGTCCTCCACATCCGGACATCCAGCCAACGTTAGGGTCTTCCAAACCCCTGCGAAATTGTGATCGGCCGGTGTATTAGTGGATCGAACCTGACCTTTCCGACGCAATTGCCGTTGGCAGTACTCCGTACCAAGGAACTTAGAAGCTTCCCGTCGCGGTGTAATGTATCGTCTTGCCCACTAAATCGACCAGTCACCACTTGCACGTTCCTGCCATGGTTATTGCAACGGCAATCGAAATGGCGGGCTGCGACGGTCGCGTCAGCCTTCTTTTGTTGAGACGGGAGCTACAGCTTTGAGAAATGTACCTGAATTCCTGCACCGACGATTCTCGGTCCCAAAGAACGTGCAGACATTCTCCGACCAGCATCACGTTCATCATGGCGACCGTGCGTACAAAACATAGTCTGGGCCAGAGCCTTACATTTGATGTCGGCAGCCGAAAGAAGGCTTCCGTCTCCGCGGATTTTGGCCGGCGAACGAAACCATGTACAATCTGGCACTGAGTTTGGGGTTGGCTACAATGGCGGCAGCTAAAAACGAGAATCTCAAGGATGGTTTGAGCAAAGCCACAGACCAACGTCAGCGCCTTTCGCGATGGAAGGTCGCAGACGACACAGGAGTGCGGGTAAGGAAGCAATTCCAAGACCTCGGGGTTTAGCTAACAATGACTAGATGTATGCACGCCAGGAAACCATCCTACCTCCCTACACTCTGGATGCGATCTGCGATGATTTCGATGGCTATTTCTATGGTAAAAAACGCTGCGAAAAGGAGAGGCGTCATGCTGAAAGTCCCTTCAGTCTCAAATCCGGGGAACTATACCTGGCAGTTGCAATGCACGTAAGTGCTTCATATGACCCGCTTTACTCGAGTCGAAATGCCCTAACGAGTGGAAAGAACAACATACAACGGTGCTCAAGCCAATTACTCGCCCTCCGAAAGCTTTTCTGAGTGTATCGACTTCTGCACCACTCTGAACAATCAAGCTCGCGGCGCGTGTATCGGTGTTAATTTCAACAGTCCGTACGTGGGGAGCGGAGACTGTGTTACATACTCGGTGGTGACAGAAATGCTTCCTGCATTTGAAGGTGGTGGAGTACAAGAGGCTGCGTTGTTGATATTTGGCGATGACGGCACACAGTATGCAACTGCGCGGCCTTTTACTGCAACGAGTCCTACATTAGATTCAGTGCCAGAGACGACAAGCCCGTTTGTCTCCATCAGCATACCCGAAACGCCCAGGACAAGTCCAGCACCCAGCACTTCCGAGACTTTGTCCAACTCGCCGCCGTCTGCCGATGGAACAAGCTCCAGAACTTCGACTAGTAGCTCCTCGTCGACTACCAGACCATCCGGAACACCTTTTACGCATTCCTCTTCATCCTCCGCGACGGTGTCCGGTGAAGGAACGACTACAACAGAATTCACACCTCCTACTTCACCAACAAGATCGCCTAGCTCGCTTTTGTCAAGCTCGACCTTAGGGGCGAACAGCCAACCTCCGCTGCTTGGAACGTTGAGCAGTAGCTGTAGCACAACGGCCACCACCAGCACCAGCACCATTACGCTGTCATCTTGTCCGCCGGGCGTCGGCTGCGGCGTCAATCCCACAGCTCCACCGTCTTCGAGCCATGCAACGACCTGGGATACGGACTTCCCGCCATCTCCTACTCCTTCGGTCCCTCCAGCGACTACAGGCGCGAATGGACAGGTGACGGGATTTGGCGCCCTCCCAATCACTGCATACGAAGTTCAACCGATCGTTGTTTGTAATGAAGTCCGATGCGATACATCGGCCACAACGAGCACAGTCTTGAACTATCGGACTGAGCTCAATTGTCTCCCAGAAGTATGCTCTGGTCAAGGTTTCGAGGTGAATACGCTAGTGGACGCTCTTTTTGCAGCACCCACTTGTCTACTGCTGCCATAATATGATAATTCTCTGCTTGTTTGGCGAACTTCGTGGAAGCCGCACCGGCATGGGTAGCAATGGATGCAATTTCGATTCAATTTGTAATTAGGCTAACAGACACTGAATCCTGCCACCTGAAGTCATATACAACCACACTAAGGTAGCCAAACCACTGGGCTTTGTACTTCTGGACGTAACCGGTGAACCTTGGACATGGGTGCTCCTACATACTCTGGAAATCCTGTGGACAGCGACCGGCGAGGCACTACAGGTGGGTGTTCGCACGATGGTCGGTGGGCGTATCAAAAGTTTGTCTAGGCCAGAAGGATCCAATGCCCCATCGCTCCGATGGCCACGAGGATCAGCCCGAGAACAGCATCTGAATGGCGTCATGGGCGAAGGTCAGGCAGGGGTGGTGAAGTCACTTGCCATTCTCGGACAAATCTGACAGCTTTGGTTGGGCTGCGCGGCACAAGATGGCCTTGGCATCGGGCTTTCCACGTGCGGCAGGAAGTCTCTATTGACCTCCCGCCATCGGCTCAACGTGTACACCTTTTCCTAATTGACCACGACTTGATGCATTGCGTCGCTCTTAGCTGAGGGCAGCCCAAAATGAAGCATGCTTGTCTTAGTCACCTTCCTCGCCGTTCGTGGAGGTCGGCGGCCTCTACACTCGTATTGCTTGTCCGGACTGCCGAGCTCCCTTTGACGCAGCCATTGGACGTCGAGAAACCAGCAATTTGAGCCGCACAAAGACTCGAGGCTACTTGTAACAATGAAAGGTTTGGTAGTGCTAATACGGGGCTGCCAGACTGTCGGTCGTTCGCCGGCGGGTCGATGCCTTCCGCATGCGGGTACAGCTTCTTTGATGTCCCAACATGTCTTTGTATCTCCCAGTCGCTATAACCCGACACCACAGTCGAAGCAAGATCTGTGTTCAACTGACCGTCTTTAACGTGTCTGGTCAATTGCGCCTCTCACAGCACAGGTTTTGACTTTTTCTCTCTTTCCCGCACCTATCTGTCTACGCGACAGCAAGTTACGTTAGTCGGCAGACGAGATGATTTTCTTTTTACTTGTTAGTGCGTTGATCCACGCCGTCATCATCAGTGCACAATGTGATCCGACAATAGCCACTTGTCCGCCAATCGTTGGCATGGCAGCAAGAGAATATACGATCGATTTCACCAAGGTCAACAGCCAACCACCGAACTGGACACTAGCCGATCAGGCTGTCGTCAAGTATGGTGGATCCAACGGTGCCGAATTCACCTTTGCTAAGCGTACTGATGCACCCTACATCTGGACCAGCTTTTACATGCTTTTCGGCCGTGTCGAAATCACCGTCCAAGCGGCACCAGGTCAAGGCATGATCACTGGCGCGGTTCTGATGTCTGACATCCATGATGAGATCGATTGGGAGTGGAGCGGAAGCAACTTCAATTCAAACACAGGGAAGGTGCAGACCAACTATTTCGGCAAAGGCATTACAGGCAACTACGACCGTGGCACCCAACCCGCAGTTGACTCACCAACAGCTAAGTTCCACACCTACGTAATCGACTGGACACCTGACGAGATCGTATGGTCAATTGACAGCAATGTCGTCCGTACTCAGAAGAGTTCGGGCGCAGATGCTGGTGCTTATCAACATCCTCAGACCCCCTCCAGACTCCATCTCGGTATCTGGAATGGCGGCGACAAGGACACCAACCCTGGTGTCGTACATTGGGCTGGTGGATATACCGACATGTCCAAGGTACCATATACTGCATATTTCAAGAGCGTGAAAATTTCTACCCCAAACCCCTGTTCGAGTTGGGAATTTCCCGCTGGGTTCAGTGGTAAGTGGCAGGATGTCAAATGTACCAACCAGACCTTGACCCCTCCTGTCAAAAACCTGCCTTGTACGTATAATGTCACTACCGGCGATTACGGCTATGGCATCGCACAGAAGCTTGGAATTCCATTCCCCGACCTCGAAAAAGCAAACCAACCTATCAACTGGGATAAGCTCGAGCTCGGTAAGACCCTCAAGGTGCCTGGCGGCAATTGCTCGCAGGGTGCTGGTACTGTGCCACCTCCTTCAAACCAAGATTCACCATTCAAGAATGGCACAAACCAGGTCTTAAATACCACTGTCGCGGCTCCATCTACCACACCACCGTTTGCCAACACTACTACGCCCTATCAGAATACGACCACCGCGGCTTTTGGAAATACCTCTGTTCCAATCACAACGACTCCGACGTCTGCTTCGTCGAGTGTCTCGAGTGCCAGCTCTACTTCTGCCGCTTCTATGGCGCAGTATATTTGTCAGAAGGGTGACTATGGCCATGCTATTGCGCAGAAACTAGGCTGTAGTTTTGATGATCTCGAAAAGGCAAACCCAAATGTCGACTGGGACAAGCTGTTCATCGGCCAGGTCCTCAACTATCCCAAACCAGTCTCTTCTGGTATCTCTAGCATACCTTTCGCCAACTCCACTTCTGCTACACTTACTAGTGGCACGACGACTAGCGTTGTAGCTAGCACTACTACGCCCATTCAGACCATCTACATGGTAGCCAAGGGCGACTACTGCGAGAAGATCATCGAGAAGCTCCAGTGCAACCAGGCCGAATTCACCAAAGCCAATCCTGGCATAGACTGCAACAAGGTGACAGTGAGTCAACCAATCACCGTACCAACAAATGCCCCATCGTGCTCGGTCTGCAATGTCAACACTGCAAATATGAATACAACAACGACCAACACCATGACCAATGTCCACACTGCGACAGTTACTGGCTCCACCGATGTCAAGCCTGTTGGCTCCAATGCCACCTCGTGCTACACATATACTGTGGCGAAGGGTGACTATGGTGTCAAGATTGCTGAGAGCTTCGGCATTACCTTTGCCGAGCTGGAGAAAGCCAACCCCGGTATCAATTGGGACAAACTGTGGATTGGTACTGTGTTGAAAATTCCCGGCATGCCGACGAAGAAGCCTGCAAGCGGTGTCGGTAGTACAACCTGTCCCGCAAGCTCAACACCTGCCAAGGCCGCATCGGTTGCCAGCAATTCGACAACTCCGGCAAGCTCTGTGGCTCCCACGGCAACAGCGACATCTACAACGATGCCCAAGACGACATCAGTGTCGACAACACCTGCTTCACAACTAGCTAGTGCAAGCTCAACTACTTCAATTACTCCGGCAGTGCCCATGACAACTACTGTGGTTATTCCGTGCCCGACCTGTGCGGCCACTACGATTACTATTCCATGCACGGTATGCATGCAAAATAACACTACAAGCACCGTGACGAGTACGACTCAGCCCTTCGCCAACACACCGGCGACGGTTACTCCATCAACGGGAGTTTTGCCACAGAGTGCCAACTCCAGCACTTCCACAACCACGTCTTCTCCTCCCCAAAACACCACTGGACCATGTTTGACGTACACGGTTGCCCAAAACGACTACTGTATCACTATTGCGGACAACTTTGGAGTGCCGTTTCCGTCTTTCATGCAGATGAACCCGGGCATCGATTGTGACAAACTCAAAATAGGCCAGGTCTTGGTTATTCCACCAGGATCGACCAAGCAGCCTAGCAAGGGCGTTGTATCTGCAACCGATTGCAAGTTACCTGCCACCCTGGCAACGACGAGCACGACCGTACCTACCAGTGCCACTATGCCACTCACCTCTAGCACCGTACCTCCTACAACGAAAATCACCACATCTGACACTTCGACATCTTCTGGAACTTCCGCCAGTGTGCCAACGACTCCAAGCACTAGTGGATCGACGACATCACCAGCCACAAGCAGCTCTTCAACAGCGTTTACAACGATCTCGACGATGAGTATGCCGCCTGACTGTCGCCACGACAACTGTTTGCGTAACATGCTTGACGTTCGCGTTGCCCCGTCGGCCATTCCCTTCTGCCAAGGGTATACCATGACTAGGTCAATGGCTCTGCCAACTTACCTCGCTGGCTGTGGCAATGATACAGTCCGAGTAAGTAGCGCTTGCAGCTGCATCTTCGGTTCAACGCCAGCGCCTCCTCCTAAGACGTCGTCGTCGTCTCAGAGCACAACGACACAAGTGACGACAACTACTTCGTCGACTACGTCAACTTCAAGTACTACTAGCTCGCCGACCACGTCCACATCGATAAGCAGCTCATCGGGGACACTGCCAGTCACGGGCCCTAGCACCAGCAGCTCAAGCACGTCAAGCACTTCTGCCTCTCAGAGCACAAGCACCACGCAACCCACGATATCACCACCAAGCACATCGCCCTCAACTTCCAGCAGCACTAAACCTACAAGCTCCTCTCCCAGCACAACGCCATCGACCTCATCTTCCCAATCAACGTCAAGCCAGCCACAAACCTCTCCTCCTACGACGTCTTCATCAACCTCTAGCATGTCAACGAGCTCTTCGTCATCCTGCAGTACTTGCTCCACAAGCTCCTCATCGTCGTCAGTCTCTTCCTCCACTACTACCACAACAACTACTAGTACTACTACCACCACCACCGCAACTACTACACAAGCTCCGCCTCCAAATCAGCCACCCCAAAAGCCGCCTCCTGAACCACCTCACCAGCCTCCTCAGAAACCACCAGGGAAGCCCCCAGGTGAGGATTGTGATGAGTTTGGCAACCCCCGTGGCGGCAGCGGCAAAGCACAAGGTGGCGCGCATGGTGGCGGCGACGGTGGTGGTCAAGGGGGTGGGCAATATGGCACGGGTCCCGGCGGTGCCGGTGGCAATCGAGGAGGTGGACAGCAAGGCGGGCAGAGAGGTGGGCATAAGAAGAGAGATATCGACTACAGTGGAGACAATGTGGACGAGGATGTGACCGGTGATCATGCAGGTGAGGCCTCCTATGGCTACAGTAGGAAGGCGAATGCTGATTCTCATAACGAGGACCGCGATTATTACAACCAGGGTGACTTGGAGAAGCGCAGCCCCCGGGGCGGAGGTGGTGGAGGCGCTCGCGGTGCGGGCGGCGGTGGCAGCCGTGGAGGACAAGCCAGCGGTGGTATGGGTGGTGGTCGTGGAGGCGATGATGGCGGCCGCGGAGGTGGTCGTCTGGGTGCAGGTGCTCAAGGAGGTGCTGCTGGTATGGGCGGTGATTCTCGCAAAGGTGGAAAGAGCGGTGGTGGCGCTCGCGGAGATGCAAAAGGACATGCAAAGAGTGGTGGTGGTAGGGGCAGTGGCGGCGATGGCGGCGGTGCGTCCGGTGGATCCCCAGGCAGGGATCAAGGAGGTCGAGGCGGCGGTCAAGGTGGTGGCAAAGCAAGCGGCGGTGGTGGGCAAGGCGGCGGACCACCAGCAGGCGGCTCAGGCGGTTCAGGCGGTTCAGGTCCACCAGCAGCTGGTGCGGGCGGCGCAGGAGATGCAGCTGCTGTCGGCCCACCTCCCGCAGCAGGTGGTGCCGACGACGCAGGTATGATGAAAGCCAAGCGCTCGTGGCACCAGTACGCTCGCGACGCATCGAAGCGATGGGCCTACCCCGGTACTGCCTACAGAGGCTTCGGCAATGTCGACTGGAAGCCCAAACCTGCTGACGGATCGGCAGGTACGGGCTCCGGCTCCTCATCAGCGAACACCCTCAGAAGCTCGAGCTCGGCACCAGGTAGTGCGCCTCCGCCGGCGGACGCCAACGCCAATGCCAACGCCAACGCCAAAGCGCAGACTTCTCCTGTCAACAACAGCAAATCCAGCCCAACTAAGGCTTCCTCCAGCGTACAAACCCCCACGGCCTCTCCAAATTCAGGACCGGGAGCAGGATCGGGAGCAACACCTCAAAATCCCATCTCAGGAAGTCTCCCGCCTGGTGCCAAAGCTGGCTCCGCGCCGCCCGGCACCGCCGGCATATATGTAAATCCCGACGACATTCCCCCGGATATGCAGCAGGCGGCTAACTACGCGGGCTTCAAGCGCGATGACATGCTCATCGGGTATGCTGATGTTGGCGCAGATGGCAATGAGGGTGGTGAGGACGAGGGCATTGTCGTCTTCGAGTACGGCGCTGATGGCGACGTGAACGCCGATGACGATGACGATGACGTTGACGACGACGACGACGGTGCGGCGACAGCTCTGAACGGTGACGATGAGGACCGGGCCATGGCCACCCAGAGCGAGGACGACGATGGAGTCCTCCTTGACAGGCGTGAGCATCAGCCTGCGACACGGCTGATGCGCTTAAGCTCAAGTGGCGCTACCACTCATCACGAGGCGGGCGATTGGAAGCGGCAGGTGGAGGAGCGGTTAGCGAAGAGGGGGAAGCGGGTGCAGAAGAGAGAGGCCTAGGAGTGAAGGGGGGAGGAAGTTTCATGGAGATGATGACATGGATTGTGAGGGGATGGTTTCTTTTCTTAATGAGGCGCGTTGCGCGCTTTCCTGGCAAGGTCAGTGTTTGGGAAAGTGTAATAGGGACAGATTGTCAAGCTAGTGAGTAAATATATCGGTCGATGTCGGACTGCTTGAATGTGTATGTTTCTCGTCTCATCATCATCATTCTTCGCGTAGCAATCGATGCCAGCCAACGGTCTCCTGACGCGACATATCTTCTCGATCCAGCTCTTGCGAGAGTCCGTAAGTATACACCCGCATCATGTCGCCTGCGCGGCCTTCACCTTGCCCTGTCGTATCAGCTCATCGACCTTGGGCGGCAAGACCAGACTTCCCCTTTCATTTCGGCGGTAGAAGTCAGCGACCACGTTGGCGGTCTTTGCGGGGAGATCCTCGTGCACGAAGTGGCCTGCCTCCGGGAATACCTGCAGCTGGTACTTGCCCTGCATCTGACCGATCATGAGTTCTTTGTCCAGGCGGTCTGTGCCTGCCAACAGGAGTAGTTTGCCGCCTCGAGCCTCGAGAAACTTCTTGGATAATCCAACGAACCAGTTTTCCCAGAAAGGTTTGGTGGCGTCTAGATCGGTGCGCCAGAGGTACTGCTCTTGACCGGCAGAGGTCTGGGCGAGTTGAAGGAGAGGAGGGACGCTGACCCGGGCGGAGGAGCTGTTGCGGATGGTACGTGATCGGATGTGCCATTCAATACCGGAGGCGAGTGAGGGGAAAGCGCGGGGTCGGGTGGAAAGGTAGGATTCCATGGATTGCAGGGCATCCATGGCGGAGCCTTCGACGACGTCAAGAACGCCGTAGGCGAGGAGGGAGGAGCCCAGGAGGCGTTGATGGGCAACTTGCGTGACGACGGCTCCGCCGAGGGAGTGGCCCAGGAGAAGGATGTCGGGAAGTTTGGGCCAGGAGAGGTGTGTCGCGGTGGATGTGAGGATGAAATGAAGATCGGTGGCGAGAGTGGCGAGGGTAAGGTCAAGCGGTAGAGATGGTGGGCTGGTGGTGTAGCCGTGTGAACGTGCGTCGAGAGAGAGAATTCCGGCGGTCGGGAGGAGTGAGCCGAGCTCCGAGAAGAAAGCAGCAAAGGAGAGGCCGGAACTACCGGCACCGTGATGGGTGACGATCAGAGGGCCGTTGCTGCTCGGCGGAGTGAGGTAGGCGTGGTGTATCAGGTCAGGATGCTGTGAATTGGGGAAATGGAGGTCCTGTGCGAAGAAGTCTTGCCAGGGGAGCGGGGCGGAGCGGGATTTGATGGCTGATCTAGAGGGGTCAGATGGTCGAGACAAGGGGAGTTCAGACGTACGCTTTGGGCCGTTCGAAGAGGTTTCTGCTTGGTGAAGGAACTATGGTACCGGTGGAAGAGGCTGACGAGGCTGACGAGGAGGAATCATTGGGTGAGGTGGCCCGTAAACTGGAGATGTCATCTTGTTCTTCTTCGTGTTCGTCGAAAATGATGGGCTCGGGGGGTATGCGATTGAGTTGTGCTTTGGCGAAGGAACGCTGTAGGTCACTCATGACGGGGAAGGTACAAACGCGATCAAATAAGGCGTCGAAAAGTTGGCAACGAGGCAAAATGGCATGGACCGGATTGTGTAATCCGATGTAGCACCCAGGTGACAGTGCCGCAGCGCTGTCCGCCCCCACGCACGCCTTGAGGCCGGCTAGGGAAGCCCGAGAAAGATCTGCCTACAGGGATCTGTCGCCTAAAGGTGACCCGAGCTTGAGCTTTGTTAGCCGAGCAGCAGGCGCGATGAGGGCGTAGCCTAGCCAGAAACTCACAATGGAAGCCATACGGTATGGAGGAGGGCCAACGGCAGGAACAGATTTCACAGTCGAAGCGCACGCAATTAGCTTCTCGACCAGATCTTTCAATACCAGGAACTAGCAAAGAGTTCGCACGAGGAGGGTATCACATGCCCGAGTGGTTTGCTGATCCGTACAAACCCCAACCTCCACTCCGCACTGATGACGTACAGATCTAGAGCTGGCTGCGCAAAAGCATCCTAGGTCCTAGGTATCCACGCTCGCCGTTTTTTCCTGCTGCCTTGCTTCTTTCGCAATTGGACTTGTACCTATCCACGAGCTGTTCGTTTCCCAGCGTGAGGTATTTGACCGTCCTGGTCTCCACTGTATCATTCCACTCTGTTGAGATGGTCTCGCTATGGAAGAACTCCGGTGAGAGGGAAGAGGAACATGCCGAAGGCGACCAGCAAGCTCGCCCTACATCTTCGTCACGTAACGACAATGCGAGCCAGTCCGAGGACGCGACCGAGCGCACAAGACTGCTCCCGAGGCAGCAGCCAGTTGGAGGATACCTCAATCCAGATGATCCTGCCGTAAGTGTTGAAGCACCCAAGTCATCCCGGCTCTAACCAGCTGCAGGTCAGCCCTTACAACCTTTGGAGTGTGCGGGCTCTGAGATGGTTCGAAGTCCTATTTCTTATGATCACCTTCATCTGGTGGGTCATCTTATTTGTGTCTATCTTCGTGAGCCCTCCCGGCATGCACTCCAGAGGCTCTGGCTTCTTCGATGTATCATACACGACTCTCACCGTTGGCAACATCTTGGTCGCACTCCTCTTCTTCGCCGTCCCTTCTACGCCAATGGGTGTGCTGAGCATGGTCATCTCTTTACTCCTCCTTATCAACATGATAATCATACTGGCTGCGCCAAGGATCAGGCTTGAGGAGGGATGGCCGGGCATAGCCTCAGTCGTCTGGGCTGCCATCATTGGTCTGTACAACATCCTAACCAACAGAACGGTGCGGTGGGGCAAGCATGAGGAGGAGGAGCGCTTGACTGGCCGTCAGGAAAATCGACGGACTCTGAAAGAGTGGTTGGCCGTGTTTTTAGCGACTATCCTCATGGCGATCTTTGCTGCGGTTGCAATCTTGCTGACCGCCACCCTCTCCCTGCGAGCTCGGGACGCTACGCTCGAGCCCCCAGGGAAGCGCTTCTTGGTCGACGGCGACAAATACCAAATTCATCTGGCTTGTGTTGGCAACCAAACCTTCGATAAGAATGGCGATCCCAATCCCACTGTCTTGCTTGAAGGAGGTTACATGCCAGTCGAGCACTCCTTCGAGGACTGGGTTTACAATGCTTATAGCAACGGCACCATTGAGAGGTATTGCTACTGGGACCGTCCTGGGCTCGGCTGGTCGGACAATGCTCCCTCGCCACACTCTGCTAGCATGTCGGCCGATGCTCTGTCAGAGGCTCTGGCCGTGTCGGGCGAACAAGGGCCTTGGATCTTGGTTTCAGCAGGTATTGGGGGTATTTACAGCCGCGTCTTTTCCGCCAGACATCCACGAGCTATTAGCGGAATCATGCTCATCGACACTCTGCATGAGGATCTCCTCTATCGAATCGCCGATCCAGGTCACGGTTTCATGCTTTGGGCCCGCGGCTTTATCTCGCCCTTGGGCCTCGATCGGTTGGCAGGCGCCATCTTCAAGGGTCGGTCCAGGGAGGACCGTGTCTGGGGCAAATCGTCGTATCAAGGCGGCAAATTCATCAAGAACAAGTTGCAGGAGAACTTGGTGGCCGACTCATTGACCAAAAATGAAGTCTTAAGCTCACGCAACATTCAAGACCGCAGCGTACCTCTCGTGGTCATCACTTCAGGAATTCACTTGAAGCAGGACAAAGACTGGGAGCGGAAGCAGGAAGATCTGACGAAAATCACAGACAATTTGATTGACTGGGAAGTCGTGCCCAAGGTGCCTGCCGAGGAGGTTTGGCGCACATACGAAGGACGGAAAGTGCTGGAGAAGCAACTTGGAAGACTGTACAAGGGCGAGAAATAGTCTGCTGGCATGGACGGCAATGCAAGGGCGTTGGGACGGGAAAGGCATATACGAACATCTAGCGCGGCGTTGTATGGGTAAATTCGGTAGCAAACAGACTGGTGACAACGTACTAGTACAGTAGCTGGTGACAGAATCGTTTGGCATGATATACTCGAATAATCCGCCGTACAACTGCTGAATGACGCAAAGGTTGTCGCCTGCCGGAACACCGACTTTCTAAAGTCCGGCCTGTACATCGAATGACGACCGACCCATCACGTCGCGTGTTGCCTCTTGCTTGCCTACAGTCTGTCCTTGTTGCCTTCCAGATGATTCGACTAGCCTAGGCTTACACTGCTTCACTCCTCATTGAAACCGTCTTGTCTTCATAAACTATGATTCCTCTACCTTTGGCTTCTCGGTAGCATATCGTCCACTTTTCCCACCTGCAGTCGAGCGCTTAACATCAATCTCTGTCGAGATGCTACTGCGTTTCGAGTCCAAGTTTGGTCAATTTCGACTGAACGTCGAGCCCTCAGACACATTCGGGGCTCTCCAGAGTAGGGTAGGTCGTCAGCGCCCTCAGCAACTGCCCCGTGGAACTGACCCAATCCAGATCCTAGCGAACCTAGCTCCCAACGCCGACCCCTCATCTGTCATACTTAGCAACAAGCCAGTCAGTTCAACAGCCAACACAGAACGTGAGAGAAGATTAGCAGACCTTCCCAAGGTTCAGGTACAACAAGTCGGCCTCAAGTAAGTTACTCCCGATAAGTCGGGGCACAGGGTCGTTGACAGCAATAGACATGGCGACAAACTCTTTATCGGCTTCAGCGAACAGGAGCAACTTTCGAATGGGCATGCGAATGGCACCGTGTCAAATGCACCACGAAAACTCAATGGCACCATCGCCATACCCGAGCCCTCGGTCCCTGTCATAGCACCCGATGTTGCTTCCCCAACATTAGTCAAGAATCCTTGGGAGGCTGTTAGACAGACTCCTCTGGACGATCGACTGGACAAGAAGGATGGCAAAATCAAAAGACCTCGGGATCACAAGATGTGCCGACATGGGCCAAAGGGCATGTGCGATTACTGTCAACCTCTCGAACCTTACGATCAAAAGTACCTCGACGAGAAGAAGATCAAGCACCAGTCTTTCCACTCGCACTTGCGCAAGATCAACCTAGCCACGAACAAACCAGAACTCAAGAGTTCCTATATGCCACCCTTATCAGAACCATACTTCCGAGTCAAGAAAGACTGTCCCTCAGGGCACCCACCATGGCCAGAAGGCATTTGCACCAAATGTCAACCGAGTGCAATCACTCTGAAGCCCCAAGAGTTTCGCATGGTCGATCATGTCGAGTACGCATCTGCCGATATTGTTGACAAATTCATGGATTTCTGGCGCAAGTCGGGTGCGCAGCGCATTGGCTTTCTGTATGGACGTTACGAAGAATATGAAGAAGTGCCGCTAGGAGTCAAGGCTGTCGTCGAGGCCATCTACGAACCACCTCAGATGGGCGAAATTGATGGCGTCACTCTACTCGAATGGGAAAATGAAAAAGACGTCGATGAAGTCGCGCGTCTCTGTGGCCTGGAGCGGATCGGTGTCGTCTTCACCGACTTGATGCCCCCGGAAGATGGCGAAGGTCAGGCTGTGTGCAAGCGACACATCGACTCCTTCTTCCTCTCATCACTCGAGATCGCTTTCGCGGCCAGATACCAGGCCAAGTACTCCAAGCCCTCCAAATGGAGTGAAACTGGTCGCTTTGGGTCAAACTTTGTCACCTGTGTAGTCACAGGAGACGAAGATGAGACCATCACGATCAAAGCTTACCAGGCGTCCAACTCAGCAGTGGAAATGGTGCGAGCCGACATTGTGGAGCCGTCAGCAGACCCATCCGTAATGTTGGTGCAGTCAGAGGATGATGAAAGCATAACGGGCAAGGCTCGATACATTCCGGATGTGTTCTACCGCCGCATCAACGAGTACGGTGCCAGCGTCCAAGAGAATGCGAAACCCAGCTTCCCCGTCGAGTACCTACTGGTGTCATTAACAGCCGGCATGCCCATCAACCCAAGGCCAATGTTCTCGCGGAACACGTTCCCGATCGAGAACCGCGAGGTTGTGGCGGCAGGACAAGATCCACGCGACGTTGCCAAGCAGTTGCGAAGCTCAAGCGAAGAAATCCAAGCGGTGTCCGACTTCCATCTGCTGTGTTATCTCCATGGCATGTCAGTGCTGAGCAAGGTAAGTGGCTAAGAATATGGAGGATATTGTGTGATTTAATTTAACGTTTTCTGCAGGAGGAAGAAGCAATGCTTTGCAAGGTAGCGGCCGAGCACGACGTTGCAGACGCGATGCAACTGGCGCATTCGTCCGGATGGAAAACGCTCATGGCAATCCTGGACAACTATGGTGAGCGGCCCCTTAAGCGTTCATGGCTTTCTGCGACAGACGAAGACATTCAACGGTCGAGCAGCCCTTCGGAACAGCTTGCTAAGCGATTCAAGCAGGCTAGGATTCAACCCTGAATGATGCCTCTTGCCTTTAGTAGCAGGCCACCGACCGACCGAGGCAACGGCCGACGTAGATGTGAGATGCTGGACATGGTGAACGATTAAGTGGCGTTAGTAGCTTTGTGACATCGGGCGAAGCTGCCCGTTCTTGCATAGATCGAATTGAGAGGCTCAAGATACGGATCTGGAGCGGCGGATACGACGCAAGCTACGGAGTACTAGAACACACCTGCCTTTTCTGGGGAAGGCCAAGCTGGCAAGGCACAATGTTGAAAGACGACTGCCGCGATCGTCTCTGGATGACTTACATGAACAAGATGCAGCTTGTGAGCTCGCTTGAAATGGTTGCTGGCATTTTTGACGACACAGAACGGAAATCGCACGGAAATCAGTAGTAATTCGCAAGTGAGGGGCAGGCCCAGGCCGTTTTGATGTCAGGGATCCCGCCCCAGGCACCACAGATGAATATGCAAGCATCATGCACGGTCCCAGGCTCTGTGGCTGGATCTGCACTCGAATTCGGCGAGTGATCAGCCAACTTCGATGCTGCATCTGACTTCGAACCAGGCCCAGGTGACTGCTACACAGCAAGACGGATTCGGCGAGCGGCGGGTATGCAAATTACGCGCTTTCGCAGTACGCCGTGATCTGACTGAGGCCGAGCGTTCTTCTAGATTCTGTGGTGAGATTTTGTGAAGCTTTGACAGACAGGGCGACAGGACACGTGCCGGCCTGGTCCAGTCGGTGTGCGGCCCCTTTGACGATAGGGAGAGCATCCCGCCCCTCCAGCCAGTGAGCGAGGGGCAGGCACCAAGCCAGCAGGACTTCTAGAAGAGGCGTGGAACCAGCGGAAGCCCTGGAGAGAAACTGGAGCAGATGATCATGGGCCTACCCCTCTTGGCTTCATGGGCGTGCTAGACTGAAAGCACAGCTGAAACTCTGCTATGACTATGCCCATAGGGCGTTAGCCTACCCCCCAAGCAATTCAGCGACACCTGTGATTCATCGGCTCCGTGGTCTCTAGTTCGCGTAGCTTTGCCTCCGCAACTGCTTATCCACTTAGAGCCCACGGTTTGCTGGCCAGGGCTGGCTGGTGGCTTCCTTCTGCGAAGCCTGGTCACTGCTTCTTGCGCTGGCCTCGCTGCTCGCTGCTCGATGCTCGCTCCTCACTGCTGCTTCCTCGACAAGATTGTCGATACTGCGGTCGCTCAACCCACAAGCACTCCCTGTTCCAGCTCTCCCATCTCCCACACTGCCCGAAAGCTGCGACCGCCAGCACCTCGCTTGTTCCGACCTCGATTGTTGCTCTTCGTGTAAGCACACCGGCGCCCGCTTCGCATTGTTGCTTGGACCGCCACCTGCGCCGTCTTTTGGCCTCCTTGTCCTCCCATTATTCTCGACTGCACATGCAGCTTGCCGCAAACTCGATTGTTTGACGTTTCCAAGCGTCCGTCGTCCCGACCTCTCGCTTCTCCGTGCGATCTCGAACACCTTCCGACCCTCCCCACAATTATTCGCCTACGAGCTTCCCGCTCCAGATCTGAAGCTCGACAGCCCACCGCAAGCGCTTTCCGCACGACACCGCCTCGTGCGGCGCGTGTGCTCGACAAGTGTAGGGCCGACTTTGCATTTTGTATCAACAGCTTTTATTGAACATACCAGGTGGCGACAACGCCCAAGCTGCGCTTTTCGCGCTCATACAGCTCCCGACGCCCAACAACTGTCCAGTATGGGCACCTAGCCCGAATGCTGCGGTGACACTGACTACCACTACTCAAAGCCTCGAGTACAGTGGCTATACCCGACTAGAAACATGGACCCCGCGGCGTGTCGAGTCATCTACATTGATGACCGCTTCAATACCGAGAGGTGGATCTCGAGAGATGGCCTTACCACTCCAGCGACCCCCCAAAAGGCTTCTCCCGATCATGAATTCTCGAAACTCCCGCCTGACCTACAAGCTAATGTAAATGCCTTCTTGACTGTATTCAACCAAGGTTTGCTCCCCTACTCCTCTCATGCGCCAGCCAGACTAACCACACCTCCTAGTATTCGTGTGCCATTCAGGCCGATCATTTTCAACCAAACTCTCGGAACTGCACGACCAGGTCAAAGCCGAGTGCACCCCCATCATCGCTTGCTTCGACGTAGGCACCGAAAACCGCCAAAAATCCAGATTTGAATCCCATGTCAAGCTCAAAACTCCACCAAGGTTGCCCGAAGCTGCCGCGGTCTCTCCTGACTCGCCCCCACCGTCGCCGACACTACTGCGGCGCGAAATAACCTTCTCCTCCGAATCGGACGAGTCATACGGTCTTCAACTGCTAAGTCGGATAGCATCGGACTTGCAAGTTGAAGAGGGTGTCCAGCTAATAATACCGGTGGCGATTGTACAACCTCGACGCAAAGACTCTTACGATGTTGCGTTTCAGCAAAACCCTACCAGTAGTGTCTCCAGAGCGCCCTTCGGCAGCGAGACGGAGCCTGTACCACTAGAAGACGCTTCAGACTTTGTTGAGCCCGCGTTAATGCTGCAATGTTTGGAGGCGGGCGCAGTTGATGTTGTGAAAAGTCCTCTCGATAAGGCAGGCATCATGGGACTAACAGTCCACGCCTACCGAATATACAAGAATGCGAAAAAGGATGAGGCGAGCTTCATGGCTTCTGCGCGGAAGCGGAAGCAGTCTTGGGTTGGTGTCGAGGAAGAGCAACCTTATGCTTACCTGCGAGAAGCCATGGTCAAAAAGTTATTGAAGGGTATATGCGACCCACAACATGTTATTGAGGACTATCAACACCGTGGTCTTGACGTGGAAAAGCATCGACAAAACGCCATTGCAGAGGCTATTGGGCAATGGGGCTTTGATGGCCACAACTTCTCCGAGGATGAGCTGGTCTATGCGGGCTACTTCATGCTTAATCATGCACTCCAACTACCGGAGCTTGACGAGTGGCGTCTGCCCAAAAGTAAGTTATCACACCGTGGCTGGTGACCTTCTGCTAATTCGTACAGCCAATCTGCTTCGCTTCATGCAAGGTTGTCGCGTCGCATACAACTCCTTTGTGCTGTATCATAATTTCCGCCATGCTGTCGATGTTTTGCAGTCAGTTTTTCACTTCCTTGTTCAGATTGGAACGCTCCCTCCGTATCCCAACGGCGCCGACCAGCCACCGCAAGCTCAAAACAAGTCTCCGGTAGCCAAGCTCTTGGGCTCGTTCGAGGCATTGACGCTGCTTATCTCCGCAATTGGCCACGATGTTGGTCATCCTGGCGTTAACAACATGTTCTTGGTCAAGCTCAATGCGCCGTTGGCCCAGCTGTACAACGATCAGTCTGTTCTGGAGGCTTTCCACTGTGCTGCATATTCTCAAATCTTACGGAGGCACTGGCCAGCAGCATTTCATGACAAGGCCATCCGCAAACTCATGATCAGTACGATTCTCGCAACGGACATGGGTGTGCACTCAGACTATATGCAGCAGCTTGGCAATCTGCAGGAGCGAATACACGAAAGCAAGGCCACCGATGGCTGGTCGCCAAAAGACGTCGAGTCTTTCCGAATCCTCACCTGCGGTCTATTGATCAAGTGTGCCGATATCAGCAATGTTGCGCGGCCATGGTCTGTGGCCGAGAAATGGACCTATCTTCTACAGAAAGAGTTTGCTGCTCAAGGCGAGATGGAATCGGCCGTGGGCATGGAGACGACGTTGTTCGGCGGTCCGCCAGAACTGGGCAATATGCTCAAGCTCGCCAACGGGCAGATTGGCTTCATGACGATCTTCGCACATCCACTTTTCGCTAACGTTGCCGACATCATACCTGCCATGAGCTTCGCGGCCGATGAGATTTTGACTAACAAAGGTGTCTGGTTCACCCGTGCCGAAAAAGAAAAAATGAAGGCAATCATCCGCAAAGGTACGGGATTCGGAGATGGAGGTCAAGTGAGTCCAAGAAGCCTGAGTCCTAGTGCAAGGAAACATGCAGACCGGACAAGTTACTTTCCGTCGTCACCCTTGGCGAACAAGACCGAGTCACCACGTGGATCTACCGGAAAAGGTGCTTCGGTTACTGGCGCAGAGCACGGCCAGACAACGCCTAAAGACGGTTCTCGTCGCTCTTCCCTACAAGCGGTGGCGGGCGTGGCGATGCCTATCGGCAACGAAGGCTCTCGGAGATCTTCAGCCCAATCAGCTCGCGGCCGGCCATCTTCCCGAGACAAAGCGATTAATGGGGCTCACGATGGTAACGGGATTGCGTTCAACGCACCCGGGTTTTCAGGAAGCAGTGAAAATGAAGACCCGAACCGTGCGCGCACAGGGCACGATGGGACCACCTCTCCGGAAGAGCTCCACGATACTCGAAGAGACCAGGCTGTGTCCATGCGAGCTGGTAGTGCCGCTCTGCCAGTCACGGAGAGTCCGGAGCTGAACCATGCGTCCCACGTTCCCTCGCCACCTCTGTCGTCTTTCTCATTCGCCACCTCCAGACCTGATGAGGAACCCGTGAGGCATTTCGACCCGGAGAAGGAATATCAAACGCCAGAGGAGATGTCGAAGAGCTTGCCAACTGACAAAGTTGCGAAGAGGCAGCAGAAGGAGGCATTGCGAGAAGCACAGGATCGCATACCAGAGAGCGAGGCGAGCACGCCCAGTGGCCCTGTGCGATCTACAAATCATGATTCGAACGCCCTAACACCCAGCCACAGCACGGAGGCAACAAGTTACATGTCGGAGAAGAGTGAAGACTCACCACCAACGAAACAAAAGAAGGACTTTGAGGCGAAGCGCGCTCGAGCCATCTCTGCGCCACTCAATATGACGAGTCCAAATTTGCGAAGCAGTTTCAGTGTCAGCAGCACGCAGAGTGGAAGTCTGGCTAGTGGAAAGATGGATTACCAGAACATGATCAATGGAAGTGACGGGCCCGAAGGAGAAGGGCGAGATCGAAAATCTAGCACCCGCACAATCGGCAGGAAAAGGTCGAGGATCAAGATGGGCCTCATGTTTTGGAAAACGAAGGAAGAGAAAGAGCGCAGCCGGGAAGGCAGCGGTGAAGGTGCGGCGGACGATGGTGACAGTGTCACTCGAGGTGGTGCGGTTAAGGGCTGCGATGTGTGATGGAATGTCAGAGCCAAGCCGCGATGAAGCAAGGTATGTCATGAATTGATCTGTTCATGATCGGTTGGAATCGCGATCGTCTTTGCCATGCTGGCAACCACAGACCCCAACCGATGGAGGGAACAACGCGGTCCGCACGTCCAAACGATGCCGATGTCAAGACCATGCTGGTCTTAGTATCATCAGCTTGAGACCTGCAGACCCGGTGTCTCAGATATGGGATATGCTATTACGTATGAATCAACAGAGCTTACGATGGGGGGCAACGAGTGCGGCACCGAATGAGGAGTTTCTGAGGGAGGCGGCTGGTCAGCCGTCCGGCCTCAGTTGTATCGCATACTGGGAGTTCTATCATCGGCATGATGCGAAGGCGACGAAGAGGAAGAAGAGGAAGGTGATGACGAGATGGTTCTGTGACGGCGCGAGTTTACGTTAGTCCAAGTGCAGTGCAATCAGAGCGAAACGACATTCCACTTCCGCCGGAGGCTGTTTCCTGGCATCTCCTCCTCCTCGTGTCTTGTGCAGCAGCTGCACTCTTTGTGGTCGGTGAGGCAGGAGTGAGTTTGAGATGGACGTTCAGACGGCGCGACATGGCTCTGGGCAGCTCTCGGCTCATAGTCACACACTGCGCGCTGACTTCACTGAGCCTTCTTGGTTCAGCTCTCTCCTACTTCAAGTTGGCGTTCCCGGCTTTCTTCCCCTCCTTCTGCTGTCGCCATGGTCTTCAAGGTCTTTGAAGCCATGCTTGGTTCGAATTTCGCCGAAGGTCAGGTACCCCATGACACTGTCGACACTGCGATACAGCTTCCCGAAGATGATTCCAATGGTATGAAGCCGATGCTCCAGCTCGCACACTGGGAGGTCAAGAACCCAGACGAAAGCGACGCTCAGCACCTTCCCGCGATCCTCTTGGCTTGCGACAAGTACGACTGCTTCGAGACCTTTCGGTACTTGCTCACCCCGGTCTGGGTGCGGTGGCTAGAGACCTATGTTGACAAGGCGCTACCCGATCTGAGGATGCTGATGGAGGCGATTTGCATGTGCCTATCGTTCGATGATAGCGATCGTTTCGAAGACCGCATGGAACTTCTACTCACGAACGGGTCTTCGATTGATGTCCGGAGGTACTCTGCACGGTCGCCGCTGGTGCAGATCATGCCTGCCGATTTCCGTGGTATGGAACGAAGTCAAAAAGAGATCAATAGATTTGCTGACTTATCCAGATGGTCTTATCGCCGCTCAAGCCCGTGTTCTTACTGGCAGTCGCACGTGGTTGCTGGAGCACCTGGGGTCTTTTGCCCCTTGCCTGATGTCCCATGACCCGCCCTGCGCCCGAATAGAGCGGCGACTTGGACGTATCTACCACTCTATTGGTAATACAGCTTCACCGATACCGACGACCATGCATGGGACAATACATACATACCGGCGGCTTTAGTGCGAGCATGGGTGTGCCAAGTCAGAGCGTCCGCGTTGTAGGCGCTGACTCATGATTCTCCCCATAGAACGAAGCAAGCTATTCCCATCGAATATCGAATAATGAGATTCAAAATCATAGCAAACATGGTTCAGACGTGTGTATATGTGTGTGTGTGTGTATTGCTTCGCCCTAGATCGGCGACAAGGCAGGCCAGCAAGCCACTGCCAAGACCAGGCGCGAGGCTGCATACTCCTTTTTTTCCTTGTCTGAGGTGCCAAAGTCAGGTTCTGCGGTACGGGGGCCAGTCACGCCATTCGAATGCCTATTCTGCTGTGCTCGACCTCAGCGGGCCTTCACGAGCACATAGAGACTGGTGGAAGTGACTGCCACTTATTCGGCCGGGTCTGCGTGTGGCGGAGTCATGGTGAATCCCAGACGTGTCCTCGGAGCTACATAGCTGGCTGTATTTCTTCATCCTTTCTGCATCTTCCGACACCACTCTTTGCCACTCCCGCATCTTGGCCAGGCCAAGGTCTTCCCTGACACTCTTACTTTTCACCTCATTACTCACCTCACATACTTCAGCACTCCTTTTGGCTAAGCTACTGACTCTCCGAATCTCCTGTCATGTCTAACAACTTCTTCCGCAACGAACACCCTCGTCCGCCCTTCACGCCTCCACAATCTACCACACCTTCGGCACCTCTCTATCTCTCCGCCGGTTACAGTCCGACTCATCCATTCCAGATCGGGACTCCGCCACCGCCGCAGCCTCACTCCGCTCCTCCGACTCACATCAATCCTAACCAAATCCATCGCCAGAACCCGAATCGCATACAAGATCATATGATGGAACAGCCGAACAACCATGGTCTACACACGATGTCGCCTAGAGTACCGAACAGTCCAGTCGAGCCAGCGCAGCCGCCAAGGAAGAAACCCAAGGTCGATCCCGGTGCCGCATCGGCGACCATTCACACCCTCCAGAAACAGTCACCCAAGCTGCCCACGAGTGCCAAGCCACCGATACCTCCCCTACCCATATTCGACATCATTCCGGATGGCCCTCGAGGTGACGCCGTCATTCAGGTCGCTCTCCCCACAGCTGCCGCTGCCGAGGAGACTGCCAACACCTCGAACACCAACAAGAAGATCGTTCTCCTACGAGTCCACTCCCTCCTCTTGACCTTGCACTCTCCATTCTTCCGCGACCTGTTCTCTGCCGAACGCACTGGAGCGGTCTCGAATGAACAGATTTATACCCAGGCCAACCCATGGGTACTCCCCGGCGACTGGGATGGTGCGGCGTTTCTTGATTGGTGTGTCATGGTGTGCAGCAGGAGTAGTGTGTACGATGTCGTCGATGAAATGGTGCAGACCCAGCGCCAGGCGGATGCAGGGAAGAAGGGCGACAAGGGCAAGATGGGTCGCTTCCCGAGAGTGGTAGCGCTGGCGCAGAAGTTGGGCTGTGCGAAAGGCATGAAAAGCCATTGCGCCATGCCGTTGTGGCGGTATTTCGGGCCGAGAGGAGAGGCGGATGAGCAAGGGTTGAGCTCGAGAGGCTTAACGGTCCTGTAAGTTCCCCCTTGCCTCTTGCGTCGTCGTGATATCTGTGGTGCTGTGAATGGCGCGTGAATGAGGCAGGTGGGGGCTAGGGAATAGGCGGACAGGGCAACCAGGTGGGTGGCAGTGAATGTTTGTCACTGACCAATTGAATTGACAGAGATGCCATTGCGATCGCGTACGTCGTCGATGACGAGACTCTCTTCCGCCGTGCCACCGAGTATGCACTGGTCCACTTCGATAAAGGTCAATGGAACCAGGATATCAGCGGTGCCTTAGAGCGCGTCGTGCCCGCCACACTTCTGGGTAAGTCCAGCCCTCAGACTGAGCGGCCATGCTACTTTTCCCTCGTACCTTTTGCTTCTGATGATGCCTCAGAACTGACATTGACAGACAACATTCATCGAAAACGCCGTGCCACGCTCTCGGCTCTCGAAAAAGACGCCTACAAGTCAGTCACAGCCATCCACAGCAAGGTGGAGAGTCTTAATCCCTGCAACGGCGCCATGGAAAAGCTCGCCACTTACACGCTCCAGCTCTGTCAAGTCAAGGACGGCGCGTACGAGTTGGCGGCCACGAAGATGAGCCTGGCAGACGTCTGGGACGGTCTCGAACAGGCGGCCGAGGAAATGCCGGAGAGTACTAAGAAGTGTAGCAAGGGCTGTGAGGGAGGGTGCACGGTGGATGTTCGGGAGGTTTTGGCTCAGGCGGTGGAGGAGAGTAAGGAGGGGGTGGAGGGTCTCTGTTTGCGATGTGTAAGGGATGGAGAGAAGGGTTTGAGGATGGACAAGGACGAGGCGTGGACGTGTGAGCACGAAGAATAGATGCCCATCGATACTAGCAGGTGTCACAAGTGAAGCTGGCGAAGTGACTGCGCAGAATGCAAGGCATCGACTTTGGCTTGTGGGGGGAATAATTGAATGGGGGAAGGGATCGCTTCGTATGCTCTAGCAAGAACGGTTGGACCAGCAGCACAGAATCTTGGTTTGGCAGTCTCGTCCAAGTCGCAGACGCGGAGAATGGGAGAGCATCGATAGTACACATGGTAGAGCCCAGAATTTCAGACTAGCTCGTCCCACAATCTGAAAGGCTCTATTGAAGATAGGGGTGGCCACTTCTCTATGAGGGAGCTGTAGAGACAGCGAGGTTGCCGTCTCTGTTGGCTGGCACATTTTCCCCAGAGCCTTGAAGTGCCGTACGGTCTGTTGTCTTTGGGCAAGTGAAAGCGCCTGGCCTTTGTAACACCGCAGCCTCGGCCGCATGTTGCTCAGTGAATGAAGAGGCTGGTTCCCAAATTGGAAGACAGTCGAATTTCTGATCTTTGCAACTGTGTCAACCCTTACTACACTTGTAGTTCCGTTCGGACCCATACTTGTCCTCTGACACGGAGATAGCGCAAGCATCTCAAGCTTTTGGTCCGCACACACTATCGCCGAGGAACATTCCTGCAATGACTGCCATTACTTACCGGTCCGGATGTGCCGAGAAGATGGGCCCGTGGCTCTCTTGGCCTCTTCGCGAGTATTTTGCTCAACATCTTCAGACCGATGTCAAACCCCTTCTGGACCAGGATGTTAAAGTGCAAGACATCATTTACGTTGTGTACGTCACAAAAGATGCTATGTTGTTCTCGAGGTCCACAAAATACGGCTTTACTCATTTTGAGAAGAACGAGCTCAGCATCAAGTGCAAGGAGGAGCTACCAGGATTTGTACCGGCGGACCTCTTCGGTATGGCCCTATCGTTTCGAACTCTTCATATGGCAGGTGCACGCTGATCAGGATGTAGACTGGCTACAGCAACGCCGCTCAAGTGAGCTTCGAGTCCTGGAGGAACGAGTATATCGATGTGTCGTCGAATCTATGGAAGCTTCGACCACAATCCCCGCCCTCTGCGACACCACGAGACCTTGGCTCGAAGCATTTCCGAGATCGACGAAGTTCCATGCAGCGACTGCAAGCAGCTCTGCAGCTTCCCTATGGCAGAAGTGTTTCGTGCTGTGGCGGTCAAGGGCCCGGACGACGTTTCTGGTTTGTGTCTCTACTGCGAGAAGGAAGGCAAAGGGCCACAGGAGCGATGTCAGCACCCAATCAGTGCCTAACTAACGACACAAGTCGTTGGATACGAGATGAGGCTGGGGTGTTCCAGACATCTGTGCCTACAGGGTAGTTGGAAGGTTCGATGGGACAAAGGGGTGTCGAATGAAGTCGAGAGGTATTTGGCAAGTCAGCACAAGCTAAACCTAATTGAGACTATGCGCTCCCTGATGGCATCATCGAGTATGGCACGCTGACAGACAACGTGCTCCTCTCTCGCCTCTGTACACACTATCTGATGCGACTGTCCAAGTTCGTACAGGTTGCTGCCATGAGTACAAAGGCAAAGCTGAACGTGCACGACTTCCCCCGACCGCCGTTGCTGGAGAAGACCTCTCGGCATTTGGTCATCAAATGGAAGTAAGCGAGCCTACCTACACTCCTCGCTCGCCCTCGAGGCTGTCAATTCTATTCCTCTTGCTATGGAACTATCCAACATCTGACCTGTCACAGCAATGAAATAGTCGCAGACACCAAAGACGCATACTGGGCGTTAGAGACCACGGTACCAGTCCCTCCACCACCCCTTCAAGTCAGCTTTACTAATACCAGCTCGTCTCTCTCCCTCTAGCACCCTCCAAGTAATTTTCCACCTTCTCCTTTCCACCCACTCCGACATCCCCCCGTCCCTCTCGCGCTCTCTCTCTCTCTCTTATCACACCACCCACACTAACCCCCTCCTCCTCTTCCCCTCCTTCCAGCCTACTACATCCCCCCCACCGTCATCCCCACCGCAACCTTCACCCTCACCCCAATCCCCAACAAATCCTCCCTCTGCGAATGGAAGGGCCGCGCCACATACTGGAACCTCACGCACAACAACCACAAATCCAGCGACAACGCCTCCAACTCGGTCTCCAACCGGATCTGGTCCTACGAAGAACCAACGCCCGGGTTCCGCGCCATCAAGGGCTACCTGAGTTTCTATGCCAGTGGCGTGCCGTGGGAGTGTTTCGTGGACGGGGAGAGGGTGCAGCCGCAGGACGGGGATTTTTATGGCGGCTGGGTGACGAGTGAGTTGGAGGGGCCGATGAAGGGCGGCGCTGGGACTTGGGGGTGGTGATCTGAGAGGTGATTGGTAGGAGAGTAGTGGTGAGCGTGGTAGGATGGATCGGAGGGAAGGGTGGGAAGCTGGCCGGGGTGGATCATATTGGGGGCATGCCATCGACTTGGGGGGGTCGTGATACGGTGATGTAGGTAGATCACCAAAAGGGGGAAAACGAAGACTGTTGGTCTCATAGGTTGCTCCTGAATCAAATTTGACTTTGATGAGTATGATCCTACAGTATGTGCACAACTCCTCAAACTCCATGCAACGTTAATTCCTCGACTCACTAGTGATGCTCACTCTGATGGCCGTATAGCTGTGCACTGTGCGCTCGAAACCGTCTTCCAATCTGGTTCAGACATGTCCTCATCCTTGCCCCCAGAGCTCTTTGTTTGTCGACTCAATTTAGCACCGCTGCAAATAATTGCTCGGCACAAGCCCAAGGCCACCGATTCGACTGCCCTTCGCACTCTCCCGCACCTCGGCTTCCCACCAGCCATCGTCCTGGAGCCTCACGACACTCAGAATATCGCCCTTGGCGAAAGTAAGCTCCTCTGGAATGGCCGCCGTGTACGAATACATCGCTCGAGCTGAGAAGTGGTTAGGATCGGTCGCTTATTCGTGGGAGCTCTTGAACTTACCATAATACAGCACCTGGGGCGCTCGTCCCGGCGGCGGTCCCATGCTTTTACTTCTAGTCCGCCCCATGTTTCCCTGTGGCTGATGATAGTCGCCATAGCTGCTTCCCGGGCGATTCATCTGGGCTCGGCTGCGACCACTGCCGCCATCACCATAACGTGCGACATCCTGACTGGACAGCTGCATCTCCATCCCCGAGCCTTGACGCACGTTGCTCTGAGCTCTCTGTCTGGACCCCGCATTCGCATATGGGTTCGGGCTTGCTGCGCGCTGATATGATTGTGGCTGACCTTGCATCATACCAGGTCCTGGGGAACGAGCACGCATTTGCGGAGCGCCACCATATCCAGGTTGGGGGCTCGCGGCACGAGGAACCATACCTGGACCAGGAGAGCGCCGACCATCGGCCATGGCGTTACGAGAAGCAGGTCGTGAGGGCGTGTTCTGCGTTGTTGGTGGACCAGAGCCCCATTGCTTGGAGCGATCAAGCATCTCTTTCCGAGTATGAGCGGGTTGAGGAACACCAAGTACAGAAGATTGGCTTCGAGCGTGACTGCTAGGTGCTGCCGACGGTGTAGGGCCACCGAGATCATATGCCGGAGGTGGCGTGCGGCCTTGAGCATGGAGACGCTCACGACCTTCGGCGCTGAGGCCAGGTCGATCGGAGGGTTGAAAGTCTGGGGCTGGTGACTTTACGCCATGGTAGCGATCAACGGCTTGGCGGGTGCTGGCCTGTTTGGATGGGAAGCCGCCGTTGGAAGAGGATTTGAGGTCTGCCAGAGCTTGAGCGATGGGATCCTTGGAGACATCTGATCCAGCCGGATTAGGTGGCTGGTTGAATCGTCCAGGACGATGGTTGGATGATGCACGCGGCGTAGACTGGTGGCTGTCAGGATTGCCAACGTCGAAAACATTGTTACCAACATTGAGCTGGAAAGATGCACGGGGGTCTGCAGGCTCTTCGCCCTCAGGTGCCATATTTGCAGCGTTCCGATTGAAGAGATTCCGTCCTGAGTTCTTGGTCGGGCTCGACTGTGCCGAAGAAGTTGAGATGTCGGAGCCATTCAGATTGATGCGAGAGGTAGAGGCTGGATTCCATGTGCTTCGTTTCTGGACATCACTTTCCTTCTCCTTCTTAGACTTGCGGCGGAAAGGGCTGTTGGAGAAGAAACCCGATCTCTTCTTCTGTACTGACTTTTCGGGTGAGGCCATTCCCGGCAGTCCGACGCCATTGATGGGGGCCTGCTTCACCGGAGAAGTCTTGCCTGACATGGGTTCGGCGCTGGTGAAAGAGCTCGGGTTGGAATATTCACTGTGATCATCTCTGCTGCTTGGTCGGTCGCCAACAGAAGAAGGTACGGTGTCGGCTCGAGATGGACCATCTGCGCGGCAGAACTGGGTCATGCCTTCCATTGGGTATTGGTTGTGAGGAACAGAGCTGACAGGACCATGCTGGCTAGGCGAATAATCAGGAGGAACATTTGGATCGGCTGAGCGATAATTCAGAGGCGCCGGTCGGCCGCTATTAGCTTTGACAGGAGTGATGTGCTCCTCGGGCTGCGCTTCCTCGGGTTCTGCTGAGTATCTTTGCACAGCCTCGGGCTCGGTGACGGCAGCAGGCTGAGAAGAATGAGACCTGAAGGCCGGGTTGGTGGTTCTGGCGAACTGGGCAACTGTGTAATCGTCGTCGTCTTGGGAGACTTCGGATGCACTATCGACGTCACCTCGACAGAAGTTGATGTACTTGGGAGGGTCGGGTATGACTTGGCCAGTTCCACAGAGTTTGATGAAGCTAGAGATGTCCTTCTCGACTTCGCACTTTTCCAGAGCCAGCCGGATCTTTTCGCATGATTCATCGTCGGTAACGCAGACGGTAGAAGCAATGTTCACAAAAGCCCAGAGTGAGTTCTTGGTGAAGTCGAGACGCTCCTCTTCTAGATCCTGAAACTTGTCGCAGGCAGCCCTCCATTCCTTGTTCCATCGACCGGTAGTCTCCTCCAGCACCTTGACGGCCGATTCGTACTCGTTGGAGTTGCTGGCCATATTGATCTGGGTCTTTTCGAGTTTGGCTTTATTCTTGCGCTCTTCTTGACCCATGACCATGTGTCCTTGGGCAAGGTAGCCTTTGATACGAAGACAGTCCTGCTCGTACTTATCGCGGCATTTGTTGACGTGGGCAGTCTGGGACTGCTTGGTCTTCAATAGCTTCTCGATACCGTTGTGGACGATCTTTCGTCGTTCTTTCATACCACTGGCAAAAGCCGCCAGCGGCTCTTCGCACTCTGACCTCATCTGCTGGGAGATCAGAGCATGTGACTTTCCCATTGCTTCAGTTTCGCCTCTAGCGACGTCCAGACCGGCTCGCAACGTGCCTTGCTCGACGCTACCGAGCGGTTTTCTTGATAGTTGAAGCAGCTTTCTCGCGTAATCTTCTTCAATGGCTGCTCTAGCAGAATAGAACGAGCGAATCTCGTCATTAGTCGTCTTCCCGGACACCATACGAGTCAAGAGGGGATCAACTCCGGCATCCTCGCGACCCCAGAAGTTGTTCGCAACTGTAAGTGTCAGTGATTGAGTCTTTGGAAGAGGAACTTGACATACAGGAGCAGGGGACCTTTGGGCCCGCATCTCCCGCGATTGACATGGCCGCCGGCATGGTGCCAGCACTTGGTAGAATGTTCGCGCTCGAGAAGGGCAGTCGGTCGGTAACAGGGCGGTGCTTCGCAGCTGTAGCTTGTTTGGTGTTTTGCGGCCGTCAACAGTCGCACTAGTAAGTTGGAATACGCACAAAGCCTCGGGACAATTAAGACGCTCGAATGTTCAATAAGCGATCGCAGGAGACGAGTATCCAAAAGAATGGAGCTGGCGGTGACGTGCCAATGTGTTGATGAGGTCGTTGCTACAGTAACGAAGGGGAGGCACCCCCACCATCGCGCTTGCCGCAGCCCTGCAAACTGTAAGCCTTCCCAAGCCTTGGCAAAGCCATAGTGGAAGCAGCTCCATGACTTCGACGCTCGTGCTATATACCTTTCGACATGGACATACCGAGATGCGCGAGATGAAGATCGAACTTGTACATGGATTTGGTCTCCGAGTCGTTTCTTTGCCTGCCAAAATCCCAATGTTGATAGCCACGCATCTTCTCTTCGCCGCCGCCAATCCTACCTTCCATTCGACTGGCAGGACGACCCAGACCAGGACTCCAAGACCCGTGACAATCACAGCAAGTCACAGAGTCCTCTTTTCCCATCACCTCTCCTCGTGTAGGACGCATGAGACATTCAGTAAGACTTTTGTGAACACGATTAAGCTCTATCCTACTAAGTACACTACCACGCCTCCGCTCCTGACCTTCACCCGGCCACGCAGTCAGCATGACAGCGGCGTCAGCAGGAGTCAGTTGGTCTTCCCACACCATCCCCTTCCGAAACGCGCAGACTATGTCATGGAACCCCGGAGAGCACGACTGCGTCCATTCAGTCGACCCTCCATCTATTCATACATGCCCGCTTTTTCCATAACCGCAATCCCAGACAGCCATGAATAAGTACTTGTTGTGCCATGTCATTTCCATCATGCGGTGCAATTAATCGTCTTCTTTGCTTTAAGTTTTCTTTTCTCCGTTGTGGCTCCAATGGCCTGTCGACTGACTCGGGTTGGTGCGCTTAGCCGCTCACCTGTCGCACGGCGTGTTGCATGCGCTGATGCATCGTGCTCTCCTGGCTTACCACATCCCAGAAGCCCAAGCTTGTGTCCTGCTGCAGAGACAGTCCCAAGATAGTCAACCCCCATGGGTGCGGTCTCTGTACAGCCAAGCGCTCATAGATCGCACGACAGAGCGGCTCCCGGAGCTCTCGCTGCTGGTCCGTGACATTGACCGATCCCCAAAGGTTGAGCAATAACTTGCAGAAGTAGTCGGTGTGGGTGTTGGGGAATCGAATTTGATCCATGAACGAGCCAGCGAGATAATAGCGGTGCTCGTAGCTTAGCGCATAAGCCAGCTTCGTGAGGAAGATAGCATGCGTGCCGGCGGGATCAAACCTGCCGTCATTGGCGCAAGCTGATTGGCCGACGTACGGCACAAGAGCATTCAAGACTTCAATGCTCTTGAGCGGCGAAGCCATGGTCGCAGGCTTATTTTGATCACCAAGTGCAGTGTTGATCTGCTTGATAGCAGCTTCCATATCGCCCTTCTTCAACGCAGCGTCAATCGCGTCAACAAGCTTCTCATCTCGGAGAATCTGAGCAAAGTCCACAGCCAGTTCTGGCTCCTTCCTCATCTCCTCTAGGCGCTCGATTTTCAGCCCAGGAGTCATCGGGTCTGGTAGGTCTTGGTAGGCTGCGGGACGCGAAGTCAGGATAAGGTTTCTCAGCTGAGGAACTTCATATGCGACACGACTGCACAAGTACGAATAATTGGTGCAGAGGAACTCTGGGAAGTCGTGATGGAGGACCAGCATGTTTCTGAATATTCCTCGGAACATGTCGACCAGTACTGGCTGCGGTACTCCAGTGCGGACGGAATCAGAGAAATAACTGAGCGACAGTCCAATCAGATCCCGGTAGATGATCTGCCCGGCAGCATTGCTTGGCTTCAACAACCCAACAACAAGCACGCGGTTGAGAATGAGACCCATCCAGCTGAAGGAGAAGTTTGGAAACCATGCGGGTTGGAGCGACTTCAGCGTACTTCCGAAGACCTGCATCATTTGGTCATGCTCGGACGTTTCCTCGAGCTTGAGAGGTGCATACTCATACAGCATGGTACTTAGCAGGCGGTTGAAAACGCGCTGGTGGAAGTGAACGCCATGCATGACTTGATGATGATTGACGACCAACACCAGTAGAGACAGAATCGACTCCAAGTATGCGTGTTTACTCATTTGAACTGCGCCATTGGTCTCGCCTTGGAAGACGACAAGTACAACCAGTAGCCGGGCCAACGCATCAGTCGGCATAAAAGCGTTGTCGACACTTCCTCGATTGCTCGATGCTTCGCGCTCGAATGCTTCTATGCAAGCGTCGACAGCAATGCGGAGAAAGTCGGCAATATCTTCGGTGTTGTTGATGATCTGTCCCTGGTGCATATCACGTAGAAATGCACCAGTGGCGCTTGGATCCGGGGGCAAGTTCTCAAACATGCCGATCCATTCGTCGAAGATATAGCGCATCTGATCTTGCTTGGCTTTCGCTTTGTCGGACACCGCGACCGTAACAAGCTCCGACATTCCGTGGACGCGCAGCTTCTGGTTGATTTCGACTGCAATCTGCAGACCGGGGTCCTCCTTGATCCAGGCCGACATGGCCACCAGACTGTTGGCAAAATCAGCGCGTAGAGCCTGTGGCTCGTCGAGAAAGAGGGTCTGGTCCATGAGATCTGACAGCATCTGCAGACCAGGGACCTGTCGCTGATTCAGAGCATCCGCAAGGTAGGCGTCTACACGGCTGAAGTCCATCAGTCCGACGATTACAAGAGCGGCCACAACATTGGCACTGGCGAGCAGGATAGACTCGTTGTTGGTCATCCAGCGAAGCACATCCCGGATGATCAGCTCAGAAAGTTGACAGAGCTTCGACAAGAGGAAAGCCAGAACTTCGGCCTCAAGTGGATTGTTGGGAGGCTTCGTGGCGAAGATATTACAGATCTTTTCAGCAATCTGCCGAGCGAGCAGATCAGCAGTCGGTCTGGTTGAAGATGTAATGACTATCAGGATCTGCCGGAAGTCTTGGAAGATGGAACTGTCCTTGTCGATAACCTTCAAGCGTTTAGCATCTGAGCTTTTCGCAGCCTTCTGCAGGTCTTCGACCAGAAGAGAAATTCGCTCCTGGGGTGGGATATTGTCACTGACACCGTTAAGTCGTGGTTGAGAAGAGTTTGCGAGCACCCTAGCATCGTGAGGTGCCAGCGGGCTTTGGTGAGGCATCACGTGCTGATCCGCAGGAGTAGAGAGATTCGGCATAGCAAGAGTTTCCTGCAGGATATCGGGAATCTGGCGACCAGTCGAATCCGTGGACGCATTTTGCGTATGGCTGATGTTGTTTCCATGCACTCTGAGCGCGAATTCTTCATACACAGCTCGCTGAGACTCGTTCAGACCACCAAGGCTCTGTTTGTACGGCTCGGGGATCCAGGTCGACCATCTATTGACAGTGGCATTGGCTGAACTGCTGATAAAATCTCGGCCACTACCTTCTGCCAGGAAGCGGCGGCGCTCTTCGACTTCCTGTGAAATAACAATGTCGATCTCTGGAATTGCACGCTCGATAGCAGCAGTCTCAACGAAGCTGCACGCAGTGTCAAGATTGTCGTTAACGCACATGAGAATGGCGCCCTCTGGCATGATGGGTTCTTGAATATCATCATGAGGACGACGGATCCAGTTAGTAATGCTCATGCGCAGCGGCTCCTTGCATGTAACGAGAGCCAAGCTACCAGCAAGAGACTTCACCATGTGTCGAGCAGCAGTCTGGTATTGCTCGGGATCGTGATTCAGAGCATAGTCCTTTGCGATGAGTTGGGCAGTCGAGATGGAGGCAATTGTAATGGAGCGCTCAACGACAGGTGCAATGATCTCCTGGATGGCTTGATCAAAAGCACGGTAGATGATATCTCGAATAACTGCTTGATCGGCGGGTGTACCAGAGGGTGGAGGGTACTTCAGCACTTCCGCAAGATTTGGCAAAGTAGCCATGATATCCGCAGCAGAGAGTCGCTCGCGAACACCGCGATTCATTGCTCCGTTGAGCGAAAGATCGTCGAAGTTCTCAAGGCCTTCAACAGGCAGAGCTGAAATGGTCGGAATCTCCTCTTCCGGCTGCGTTCGATCGCGCACGACACTAGCAGCCTCGATCTTCTTGATGTCGAGCTTGAGTTCCTTGCACAGCACTTCAATCTCAAACTTCTGGTTCAATTTGAGATCGGCGAATTCGTAGAGCTCCTTCAGGACTCCAACAATCTCCATCAACCATGGGTTAGGAGGCTTGAAAATCATCGACTTCGCGCCTTGGGTGAGAACCCGACAGGTGAATGGAATGACCATTACCAGTCTTTGGGTCTCATGGCCCTCTACTAGCAGATCGACAAAGTAGATGTTCTTGTGCTTGATCGGCTTGTCTTGTGCCAGGGTCAACGACCCGAGCCAGCCACCCAGATTCTTTAGTTGTGTCCGGTCAGTAGAGTTGGTGACAGTGGTCTCCGCGTTCATTAGCTTGACGATGCTGACGAAGGTCTCCCGAAGGACTTCGGACATAAGGAAAGAGTCTTCAAGGAGAGCCACGAACTGATAGTACATTTCCTGGTTATTGGGCTCCAGCTTGGCACGTTGCTCAACCAAGTACGCAGCGAACCATTGGAAGTTCTCAGGCGACAACGAAGTTTTGACATCTCCAACTTTTGCTGACATGTTGTCTTTGGATAAATTGTTGATCACAAACAGAACCTTCTCTTGTGATGCACGGTCTGGCTCTTGGAATCTGATGTTGGACGGCGGTGGGTCGGCGTTAACAGACCGGAATGCACGGCCGTGGTCAGCCTTGCCCAAGTCGAGGCCGTCACCGTTCGTGTGCGGCACAACTCCGTTACCGTCGAAATCACCATCAGCCTGCTGATTTTGGAGACCCTCCTGCGCGCGTTGTATGATCTCGGGATGACGAAGGGTTTGAATCCGAAGGAGAAGGCTGCACAGGCCAGGCCATTCCGGAAGCTGATCGCTGATCTGCAGAAGCGCCTCAATGCCGAACCGCCACATCAGGCTTTCTTGAGGATTGTCTCGCACTGCTCTCAAGATGAGAACTAGGCCGTAGTCGCGTGGGATAGAGGGAAGCAACTTGAATTTGATGATGTTGCCGAAGAGAAGTGCAGTCTTCTCTAAAGCATCTTCTGGATATTCGCTGTAGCACACGTACTCATCGAACAAACCGTGTACGATGCAGCAGAATAAATCCTGGTCGTTGGGGTCTGAGGAAGTCTTGAGATTCTTCATCTCAGTGACCATGTCGCGAATGCTGAGCTCGGCGCGATACATGCGGCCGAAGAGTTCAGACATCTGGCGGTCGATCTCTTCGGGAAGCTTGTTGCCCCTCTCTTCAGAGCTCCGTTCCAAGATCTGGTCGTGTCCAGCGCCATAGTTCATCAATCGGGGATAGGTCTGCAGGCATGTTGTCTGTGCAGCCTCCACAAGATCACGATCATCGGTGAGCTCCTCAAGCTTCTCAAGAAGAGTGTGAACCGTTGCCAAACTCAAGGGAACTGATTGCGGCAGTGTCTGCTCACGCTGAACGCGATATTCGTCATCGGCCTTGATACGCACATATTTGCAAAGGATCATGCCCAGTTGAGCGTGACCTTTGCCTTCAGCCACATCCGATAAATATTTATCCAGATCAAAATCCGGAGCCAGCTTGTTGCGCATGCAAGCCATGTCCAGAGCGAGAGGATTCGACCAGTGCTTTAGGAACTCCTGCGTCCAGCCAAATTCCTCTGCTCGTTGATAGACAAATTCCGTCTCACGAGGATCTTGCTGGAACACAATTGCGCAAAGGTCGAAAGTGAATTGAGGGCTGAGGGTATAGAGTGACTCCAAGACGATTGCAGAGTCGGGTCTCTGTTTTTCGACAAATTGCCGAAAGCACTCATGAACGAACTTCTCTTGCATTGGTGTCCACGACTTGTTCTTGAGCTTGATCAAAGACAAGATAAACACTACTGGATGATGCTGATAAATATCATTCAGAACATCGGTCTTGTCCAGATCCTCGGCTGAGAGGTCTTGGGTGAGGAGAATGTCGAATACTGCGCTCAAGGCGTCCAGAGATGCGAATTGGGTATTCAGTAGATCCTCGAGATGCTGCTTGCTTGCATCGGGAAGTCCAGCCAGTTCTGAGCTCGAAATACAGGCACGAAAGTTGGGGATCTGTGAAGGCCCAACCTCTTCCGTTGGAGCTGCGAGAAAAGCCCGTACAAACTGGATCTGAGTGAGAGGGTTCTGCCATTGGCCACCCCAAAGCTTCTGTAAATCGAAGTCGGAGTCCTCGAGGGCGATTGATCTGAAAGCCTTGAAGAGCTGCACGAAGCTATCGGTTTGGATCTGAAGGCCAGGCATATCGAGACTGTTGATTATGTGAGGCCAATCGACAGCTACATTGTTCGACTTGCTCTTGACAGTGCTGATGAAGTTGATGATGTCGTATGTTTGAGACCGAGCCAAAACCATGAATAGGATGGCGTGTGCGACTTCGGCATCATTGATGTTGTTCAAGCCAATGCCGTGCAAGACACCCTCAACAGCCTGCTTTGATGAAGTGCCTTTGGTGCCTGTTCGAAGCAGGCTCTTGGCGATCTTCTGGTTATCAGACGGAGAACGCAAAAGCAGTAGCGCTGAAATGATATCTCCTGGGATATCCATACTTTGGCTGTCGTAGCGCGTTCCGATCGCCCAGAACAGGTCAGTTCTCTGATCCGGGGTTGATAAAGTGGCAACGAGTGCAATATACTCGATGATCGCAGCGATGCTCTTGGGATGGTATTTCTGAAGCTGTGTTCTGCTTTCGTACAGACTGTGTACACAACGGATGGTAGCTTCGGACAGGATCTTGTCGGCTTTGTTGCGCAGATCTGGGCGCGTGCATCGTGTGAAGGCGATTGCAAGGAGGACATGTGAGATCGGGTCTGATGCGAAGAAATGAGAGCTGAACTTTGCCAGGTCGAAGTCTTTGAAGATGTCATCCTTGAAGGAATCGATCGCCTCGGCAATCTTGGAGGCTTCTTCAAAGTCTTGGGCTACCTTATCCATCTCTTGCTGTAGAAGCTTGTAGCTGCCATGTTCAGGCTCACGGTCGTCGAAGATCGCGGGAGCATTTTGAGACACCGCTCGGCGAAAGAATTGGGTAAACACCTCCATGCCGTTGGAATCGAGGAGCTAACGCGAGAATGTCAGCATGAGCGAGAATTGAAGACGCATGTGACCTACCTTTCTGATTTTTTCAGCTTTAGCTTCCCACTCGGCAGGACCTTTTTTCTCGGTAATTGTATCAACCAGGAGTACTACCTGGGTCGCTGAAATTTTGGACAAGGACGACTGTCCGCTAACAGCAGAGCTGGGGTTGGATGAGATACTCGAAGAGCGTTCGAAGTGAAAAGCCGTAGGAGAGTTGACTCCAGGTCCGTGGAGGGAGGGCGAATATGCGCCGCTCCTGGGGCCCGAGCTGAATCCACCACCGCCACCTGCGGCCCCAGGGCCCTGATGAGAGTAGGAGGCACCGCCTGCTGAGTGTTGCGGGCTGATCGTTCTCGATCGAGGTGATGTGAAGGGACGGGGGATGGGAAAAGCTGATTGCTGGGTTGCGCCAGCTTGAAGACCGTAAACCGGTGACTGACTTCGAGATGGGGTCGGTGGAGTTGGCCGTCTCGAGGAATTCAAGCGATTACCCGATACAGCGGAGAGCGGAGGAAAGTTGGCGATGGAGTCGGCGTCGCTTTGGTGAGGATATCTTCGCGTGTCTGTTGTCCCCACAGATGGAGATAGGTTTGAAGTTGCAAGGGGCTTAAGACTGCTGTGACTACCTGATAAGCGGGGAGGCTGTCCCCAGACGTTATGCGCAGTAGAGGCTGGGTCGGCCTTATCTTGTTTATTTGACGATCGAGCCAAAGAGGAATGCCAATGAGCGGAGGAGGGTTTGTCGTAGCTCATATGGAAGCAATCATGTCTCGAGGCTGAATCGAGAATATTTCAAAAGGCAAGATAGGAGGAGAACCCATCGACTGTCGGGGGAAGAGGTCGAGAGGGACAGTGGGAGGGGAATGGCTGAGTTCGAAAAAGAATTACATGGACGAAGTGAAGGGCAAGAGGATGTATGGGGGCAGGTTGTGCAGATTGCCAGAAGCCGCGATGCGCATGCCCAAATTCCCGGCAGACATTCCTCTCCGGGACAGAGGTTGCATGGCAGGCGCTGATTGGTCGATCATCAGCCTTACGACCAGATGTGCCTGAACATCATGCCACGAAACATTGGGGGTTGATTGGAGCAAATACAATGTTTACGAGGAGTCTAGATCCTCCATGGGGGGTTTATCTCATTAATGCAGTGGACTGCTTGCTATCGAAGAATCGTCTAAGAAGGACTGTGCACAGCTTCCCAACTCTGACCAACAAGCTACTGGAGCAATACTCGTAATGCAAACGCATCCAAGTGAGCGTCGTTTTGTGCTCGAAACATGAAACCCATCAATCGTGATTCTGAAGAGCCTTTAAACACAAGCCTTGCGTTTCGAAGATGCTCTGGGCCCTGCTTCTGGGGAGCCTCTGTCAAATGCATCGCCCGCAGTGCGCTTAGACGATCTGGAGGCAGAGCCATTGACCGGCTTCTTGGCTCGTCCCCACTGGTCGAACGGGCTGGTCTTCCCCTTTGCGGGATTACCAGCAGATTTAGAAGGCTTGACCACAGTAGCAGGGTTGACGGCAGATGAAGACTCTGCAGACGAATGCTCCTCAACATCAGTCGCGGCTTCTTCCTCCTTCTCACGTTGGCGTGCGGCCTTCTGATCTTCGGTTTGAAACAGGCGAGTAGGCTTGATGGATTTGCGAGTCAGGCTTCTCAGAGGTCGAACGCGCTCAGCGCCATCCGAAGCGTGGCCCAGTAGACCGAGATCATCTTCGTCGATCTCCTCTTCTTCCTCGTTTTGGTCATCAAAACGGCGGAAGACTTTCTTGCCTCGGCTGTTCGAAGATTAGTGCATGCTTCAAAATCGAGTATTTGCGCGACTTACAAGACGTAGACCATGCCTTCATCATTCTTGATAGCTTCCTCAACTTGGGGATCTTTTGGCTTCACAGATCTAACCTTGCGGCGCTTGGAGGTACCGGTCACAGGCTTGACTCGCGTATCCTGAGGTGGCTCAATAAAGGGATTAGACTCTCTAGGGTCGACCTCGGGAACCTTGTCGCGATTGTCGGTGAAAATCTGAATATTTTCACCGTCGCCATCTTCGGCACGGAAACTCTCAAGAGAGAACCCATTGTAGCGCTTGGTTTTGCGGCTCTTGCGTGGGCTGGGGAAAGCCATCTCGTCTTGGACCGTGGAGTCTTGGAAAAGCGCTCTCGATGCAGGCTTAATGTTGGAGACCTTTTTCTTTTTGGGAGTCTTGATGGGAGTGGGAAGCATGCCTTCAGAAAGTGTGGTCGTGGATGACAAGAAAGGTTGAAGGTGCGAGCTGGAGGTGGAGCTGGAGGGTTTCGAGGATTTTGGAGGGGAAGTTGTGGTGTTGGGCGAGTCGGGTGAAACGACTTGGACGCGACGAGCAGTCCTCTTAGGTGTTAGGTGAGGCGCAAAGGAGGATTGTGACGGCAGGTCAGGCGAGTCGGGCGTTGTGATTCTTCGTTTGCTTCGAGGAGTCGACACAGCGCCAGTGTTGAATGAGGTCGATCCTGCCTGGAACTCTGCCCGATTTCTTATGCGCGAGGACTGCCTGACAGGAGGGCGGTCGTAGGCAGCGCCATGAAGCGGAGTAGGAGGAGTGGTGGGTGTTTGTGCAATTTGAAGGGGTGGTGTAGTCGCCATGATTACTGTGGTGCGCAAGCAGAGCGAAGAGTGAATGCGACGGGACTATCTTTCGAGTGGGCAAGTGAATGGTCAGAGAATTTTACTCTGTTCCTGCCTCGTGGATGGAAGGCTGTCGATTATCCTATTCACTGCATGCGCGACCCAAGCGCGAAGAGCGGAAGAGCGGTCTGCGTGGGCGCTCGAATGTGATTATTGATCGAATGATGCGACAAGATGCTGCAAACAGATAAAACGCTGAAGCGCAGAGGCAAGCGGGTGCGACAGGGTACGGAGTAGGAACAATAGTGACATCGAATATTTGAGAGGCTGGAAGGGGAGGCAGCGCTAGATTGATGTTCAAGTTCCGAGATGGCTGGGCAGCCACTTCCGCGACCCACGACCCACTTCAAGCTTCCGCCGGCTTCGCGTCTCCAACGACTGCCCTGGCGCGGTCTAAGGTGGTTTCGTGTTTATTTTGCTGCCATGCCATTCTGCCCCTCTTGACTGTTTCACGATTTTCGCGATTTTCAGCTTCCTATGTGGTGCTTTTGCCCAGAATGGCCGACCGCAAAGCGAGGGACGTACCACTGGATGATGGACTAGACGACAGTTTGTGGGATTCGCCGGTGAAGCCGGGTCAGTCGTCAAAAGAGGCTCCGGAAGCCGGCACGAGAGTATCATACGAAGACGACGAGACTAGAGATGCTGCATTGCGGCAGGAGCTTGCCGGCGTACGCAAAGTCAACGAGGCTATCGAAAGCGTGTTGCAGAACCTGGAGCGCGCCAAAGCGAATGTCAAGGTATGGTATTTTGGCTGCAGCGCGTGCCATGTAATAACAGAACGCAGGCTGTCAATCATACCGTGGGTGCCGCATCTACATTGCTCAATACTTGGACCCGTATCTTATCGCAAACCGAACACAATCAGCGACTGATCTTGGACCCCTCATGGCGAGGCGCAAATCAAGAACAGGCCGACGTAGAAGCGGAAGCTCAAGCTAGACAACAGGCTGCTCTGCGGCGCGAAGCTGAAGAACAAGAGCGCAAAGCAGAGGCTGCGAGAAAGGCAGAAGAGGAGGAAAGAAGGCGTGTCGCCGAAGCCACCAAGCAGCAAAAGACCGGTCTCCGAGTTCGCGGACGCGTCAACTCCAGAGGAGTGAGCTCAACAGCGAAGCCACCATCGTCTGCATATGGTACGACCGACAGCAGTATCAGCAGCGTTGGGCGGGGTTCTTACGCAACTAGACGAGCAGCTTCGGGCATTGGGCGGGGGACACGGGGCACACGGGGCCGAGGATGAAGATTAAGCGGAAGTCTTCTGATATCAACGAGAGACACCACTCTTCTCACTTGCGATCGCAGTTCAATTCGCCAGGGTGGTGGTGTCAGCCCATCACAATGGGAACGAATGTGTTTGCTAAGGCGGGTGTGGAGAGTCGCGTGCCAAGTCGACGCGTCGGCGATCAAGCGAGGAAGCTCCGACCGCAACCCAACAACCCTCAGCCAGTCCTTACCACCCCTCACCGCCGCTTATCGCCATAGGACCCCTACACCTACTTTAGGAAGGCTTCTTCTGGACTCTTCGTACGTCTGCCCTACAACCCAAGTAGACTGCGATCAACATAGGCTCGTGCTGAGGCAGCGCCAGCCTCCTGCAACAAGTTGGCCGCCTACTTCTGGGCCCTGACAGAATGAACTTCGCACCTTATCAAGATGTAGGTTCGATGCGTTGAACAGAAAGGTCTCTTCAGAAACTAACAAGCTCTCCCAGACTGATCCGACCACCGAGCGCGCTCTGAGCCCACCACCGGCAGGTAAACGCACATCCATCGACAGCCCACGAGTTCGAAGCCCGCCCCCAAATAGACCGAATGGCATCTCGCGCGGCATCTCAAACATCCAGCCTCTCCCTCCTCCCGATGCTTTTGCAGACTACGAGCCATCCAACAGGCCGATGATGAGTGGCGAAGAAAGAGGCACGCATTTGGAAGCCTTTCAAACAAGTCTACCAATGCGGCTCGACCATGAAGCGATGCTGGCATATATTCTGCTTCCGCCCGCTGGAGGAGTTCTTCTCTTGCTGCTTGAGCACAAGAGCGATTACGTTAGATTCCACGCCTGGCAGTCTTCGATGCTGTTCTCTGCCCTTTTTGTTCTACACCTGATCCTCGTCTGGTCGAGCATACTGTCATGGCTGTTGTTCGGCATCGATTTGTGTCTGATCGCTTTTCTTGCGATGCATGCTTACAGGGATGTCGAGACTCTGGACCATTTCGAAGTTCCTATCATTGGCCGGATAGCCAATTCGTGGGTCGATGCCGAATAGCGAGGGAAGATTGAACAGCCCAGTCGATTCTGTGCGCGGGTTTCGGCCATATTATTGCGTCAGGGACTGGCCAAGGGCGAGACCTGGCCTGCATCTTCACAAGTACGCCATGCTCGGAGGGAGTCACTTCGTGCCGCTTCGCAAAGTCGTAGCACTTTTCTCGGGCCGAGGAGACAACCTTGAAGGGATTAGAAGGGCTTTTGTGACAATCCAGGAACAGTACAGTATTGGAAACCTGGAATGCAAGTGCATACCTGACATAGTCACTGCCTTGCCACTCTGCTGCTGCAACGTAGTCATTCAATGCTGCCCCCAAATCCACGAATATAGTTGTCGTTTCCGCCCCCGCCAGCGTGACGATTTCATCCCTGCATACATCAATTCCTCCACATCGGTGCACCTTCTACACAGCTAGCTGCCGGTGAGAAACTCACCCAGCTTATGGCCCCCAAGCAGATCCGGGGCAGTCAAGCACCCGCAACTGCCGCTAAGTGCCATGCTCACGAGCCCCACATTCACGAGGCTCACTGAACACCTGCCTCCTGTCTTCGTGGTACTGTAACGACGTTCTGCTGGCCTATACCAATCTCGCCAGCCTAAAACACAATCTGGGGAACTGAGACAATGCCTTGTTCGAATTTAGCCGGCCACCGATCTTTCGCGTCATGGCTCCCAGGCGCTATTCTGCCACCCTGTTCCCGTGCTCGCCTGGTGCCGGTCATGGGGCCCACGACGCTGCCAATCCCTGTCGCGCATCAGGGCCACGATGTGACAAGAACCTCATTCCCGATCCGTGGATAACTGTGCTTACTCGAAGCTGTAGCATGGCGTGTTCAGATCCAGAATTGGCCAGCTCAGTCATGAGGCTGCAGGGACCCGTCCTCGGATGCACCGCCTGTGTAATTGACCCGGCACAGGCTCTGAACCAAGGAGAGTACCATATGAGCCAAAAATCTAGATGGGCATGAAGCGAAGTATACCCGCGTGCCATCTAAGAGGGAGTCGGAGAATTGCCTCAGATCAACCGATGTGGCGCACGCACCAGCCAACTACCCTGGTCTGCCGGTCGACAGCCCTCAAGACTACCACCGGCGGCCGCTACTTCTTGCCCAATACGGCTCCATATCGACTCGTGAGCCAGCGTCAACGTCAATCCAAGACCGATCAAGCGAACATGTCAGCCACCGAAAAACCCGGCAGACCTCCCCAGACCCCATCTCTTGCGATGCGGCCTGGTCTTCGAAGCCAGACTCCTTCTTGTGACAGCCAACGGAATCGTTTGGCGTCTTCTGACCTCCCTCCACCGGAACATGCCTACAGAGACCGGGGTCTGCATTAGCGCCGTAAGGCAAGGCAAATCATCGGTTCTACTCCGGATTTTGTTCGAAATTGTTCTTTCTGGCCTTCAGGCAGGAAAGCGAAACTGGTTGATGGAGCTTTGTTGTTATCTCCCCATGGCTAGGTTGACTGTCAACCTGGAGCATAACACATACAGACACGAAGAACTTCTCGACGAACAGAGGGGGTTGCGTGCGCGACGATCAGTGAGCTCGCGTGGCTCTTCCGGTAGAGATTGTGCTTTGCGTGCATGCAAGTACTGTATTGCCTGACTGAGCAGCACGTGTCATTTTCGTCGCGAGTCGTGAGCTTGCACTCACCGCATCACGTATGCTTCTCTCCTTCGGATCCGAAACACCAGCGACACTGCTGTGAAAGTGAAAGGGCAAGGAACTTGCTTGCCATTGATTGTCCTGTCCTGTCCTGTCCTGTGCTCTGCTCTGCCCTGCTCTGCTCTTACACAGAAAACCCGAAAACCCTCACCAGCACAGACATGCACGACAACCATGTATATATATATCCCCTCCTTTTTCGTTCGTTCCTTTCCAAGCCGCTGGCTGTTCCCTCGCTACCTGCCCTGTCTATATGTAACCCCGATCCAATCCAATCCAAAATCATGTCATGTCGTAAACGCTAGCAGTAGTATTTGTCGCTCGTGAAATCACATCACACAGACGTCGACAACCGGTAGAGATAGACCCTTGTAGCAGCGAAAGTGCAGAAAATAATGGTAATACAAAGAAGCGATCCTCTCCTCAAACATCTCCTTCCTCCTCGTTTCCGTACCATCCTCTCGATCGAACTGTTGAACAGCTCAGACAACGAGACACGGGCCTAATGGTAAAAGCCATGCTGTGCCTGACGAAACTCGTCGTTGTCGCCCACGCTCGCTGACCCGGTGCTGACGCTTCCTCTCTGCCCAGGACCGAAATTTCCGGCCAGATCTTGCTGCTGAAGGCCTCCCTGGCCAAAAGATCCAACTTCCATTTGCCCATGGGCGTGGCTGTGACCGTGCACACGCCGCTGGCCGTCAGCGTCATCGAGAAGCCCTCCACCCCCCACACCGCCGACCCAGCCGTTCATGGCCGCGTAGTCCCAACCTCCGCCTAGCCGCGGCGTCTCAAAGGGGTATTCATTGTTAGACCAACCCTGGCTCCAGTTTAGGCTGTCAAGCATCGTATCCATGAACATGTCGGCAGAGCCGGAGCTGGGGGTGGTTAGGAACGGAGCCGGGGCGGGCCCCTGGTGACCCTGAGGTTGGCCTTTGTGAGGTTGAGAACGAGGTTGAGGAATATGCGATTGTGTGAGAAGAGGATGGGTGGTGTGTGAATGGTGCCTTGGTTGGGAGGAATGTGGATGGTCGAGAGTCGTGGAGACCGTCGGTAGGTCGATGAACGTCGGTCTCTGGTGGTGCCCACGGCTGCTGGTCGACACGGTAGATGGCAATGTCGCGGGCGTACCGAGATCTCCAGAGCCCATGCCCCCGGATACACTTGCACTGGCGCTCGAGCCCGCGTATGGATCTGATCCAAGCATATCGTGCTCATATTCCTGCAACTCCTGTCTCTCGTCGTGACTGCTCAAGGCCTGTGCGGGGCTATGCCGCCTGCTCGCCTCATATAATCTGGACACCACCTCTAAACTCCGTTTCGCAGTGCGACACCACACACTCATCTCTCTCAAAGCCGCGACGCTCGATTCTACAAGAGACTGACTCTCCTGCAGCACAGCTGCATCGCCCACATCGCTAAAGAGCGACAGGAGTGGCACCATGACTGCTTGATACAGTATTGCAGAAGCGTGCCAGGCGGACATGGTGCAAGCCGGCAGGTGGGGTCCTTGCCATGTAGAGATAATATCAGCAGTGAGCTCTGCTGTGACTGCCCGGCATAGGTCAATAGCGGCACGCTTCTGCGATGACAGAGCAGAGGTGGAGAACTTGCGGCTCCGCATTGCCCACCAGAGGAGGGCGGGCCGATGTAGGATAGTTCGTTTGAGTTGATAGCGCCAGCGCATGACGTTTTGGGTCATAGCGATGCCGGGGGACGACGGGGTGTTGTGTTGCTGCGTCGTATCGTGGTGGGGGCTGTAATTGATACCATCAGGAAGCCTCTGTAATCCAGAGGATGATCTCTGTACTAAGGATGACTGATACCAATCCACTAGAGCATTGTCCAGCGACTGTCGCTCGATCTCATCCATAAGCGGGGAGACGGCAAGGCTGTCTTCCATTCTCGTGCTGATGAGAGCCAGTCGAACGTTCTCGCGCAGTAGCTGCAGATGTAACTCACTGCTGCCGATGGCTTCCTGAGGGTGCTTTGCAGTTACGGCGTGGCTCATGCGACCCATGCTCGGTCGTCCAAGGGTACTGCTCGCCCAGGCGTCGAGCATGAAAGTCGACCACCAAATACGACGCCGCATTTCGATCCTGGAACTCGCTTTTGAGATATTCTGGACAGCCGTCTTTGCCGGACCGAGGCCCTCGCTGAAGTCTCTATGCAGACCTAGCATGGTGGCCATTCGTAAGGTGGCACCCATGAGGGCATGCGCTAGATCAGGTTCACTGACGTAGTGCAGGTATATGCCGCTCAGTAGAGCAAGGGCTTGTAGGGTCTCAATATGCGCCGAGTTGAGTGTATCAATGGTTAAATGAGTTCGAGCAAGGGCAAAGTAGTAGGCGTGAGTGGTGGAACTGGCCGAAGTTGAAGAGGCGACGGCGCCAATGGCAAGGACGGTGTTGACGAGAAGGCGCCAGCGCGAGTCAGAGCGGATGCAAGTGGCATACATGTCGCGGAAGGTGGCTTCGTCAATCAGGGGCGTGGAGGGGTGGATATAGGTGAAGTAGGCACTGATCAATAATGGTTCGTCCTGAGGGGATGGTTTGGGAGAATCGGTAGGGGTTGTGGAAGATGGATGTTCTGGTATCGAGTGTGGAGAGGAAGGTGGATCGTGGAAGGTATTGTTCTCGGCGGTGCCATTGATGAAGCTTTGGGTGTCAGGATCCAGCCAGAGAATGACACGAAGAGCAGCCATGACAGAGGAGATGCCGAGGTACGAGGACGACTCTTTGCTGGTGAGGGAGAGGGCGTTGACATGGTCGGAGATGCCAGTGAAGGTCCGCTGACTGCAAGGTCGGCTGAAGCCATCTTGGGGCTCTTCAGGCAAGGGCTGGAACTGCTCTAAGCTTCCTGCATCGGGATGTATGCTCAACTTATCGTCTTGGCCCGGCGACAAGGGTGATGGTGTTTGGTAGGGGTTGGATTTGGACATGATATCGATGAGCTTGTCGCGTGACAGTGCTGCCAAAGACTCTGGATGGACGTTGGGAAAGAGCTTCTGCAGAATGGCGCGATATTCCTGCAGCGTTTGAGAGATCTTTTCAACGGACCTAGCAAAAGAAGGGAACTAGGTTTAGCCGGAAGTGACGAAGGAGGCGATGGAAGCGATGGAAGCGATGGAAAGCTCACCTGCGCGATGGTACCTGCCGCTGCCGAGGCTCGGTATAGTGACACGATGAGGCCTTCCGGTACCACTGACAGGTCTCACACGGATGCTCGCCGTTGCATCGAATCTTCCGTTTCCGGCAAGGTTCGCATGCCCGCACCGTCGACGTTCGTCGTTTTGCGGCCGACGAGGTATTGGCCTCTTGTTGGCTGGGACTGTTGAACTGAGCAGTCTCGAAGGTGTGAAACATGGTGGGCATGGGCTCAGGAGTCAGACACACGGGGAGAGGCAAGACGGAGGTGGGGCCGTCAGGACTTCATGTAGAGATCCAGAGGAGGATGAAGCTGGGTATAGCAAGCCATATGGCATAGAGGGGGGGTTTTTTTTTTCGAGACTTGTCAACGGGCTCATGCTAGTTGGTATATCACCAGAGAAATGTCCCACAACACGAAATGTCCCGCAACACGACTCCGGCCCCCAGCCACGAGGGAGATGATTTTCACATCAGGACCCGGGGTAGGATGATTGAGGCCAACGGGCAAACAAACGGAACAGGGGTGGCATCAGGTGTGGGGTCAACCTATTCGACAAAGTTGAAGCACCTTGCACGAGCGAGTCGGAGCGACCAGCATTGATAGCGAGCGAGATGATACCCATGATGGCACTAAGGAATAAGGCATGCATGGGTCCTAGTCCGGTTTCTGAACCAACATGGCGCCGCATCAGCATCTGGCTGGGCACATGCACACGACTTGAAAAAAGGCGCCGATGGACGACAAGACACGCGAAACGAGACGAGAGACGGTAGGCCAATGATGCTAGCTAACCCGAGATGGGACAGTTCGCGAGGTCGCGAGAGTCCAACGGCTGGCGTAAGGAATACGGGTACTCGGTACACTCAGTACTCCAGTCGCTGGCAGTTGAGCAGGTGGTATCTTTGGATTGCAACTAAGCCGCATACATGCATAGTGCAGTTGGACCAGGGGGTAGCGGGGATGGGAAACTGGCGGTTACCATTGGATATGGCACGACACCGGAGAAATCGACTCACAGAACAATGATGGGCTGACACGAGGGACGAGGGACAAGAGTCTGACTTGTTGATTGATGTGATGAGTGGTTTGTGTCTCGGCCAATCCATCATTCGCTATTACCTGGCAGCAGCAGCAGCAGCAGACACGCCCGGAACCTTGGGGGCGCGCTCAAACACGACGCCGATTAGACGAGGGCCCCGCGCCGCCACTGGATACTGCCACCGTCCGCTTCCACTACCACTTCCCACTTCCCACTTCCCACCGGCCACCGGCCACCTAAATGTGTACCTCGTCCCGATGATTTCACCGCAACGCACCCTTCATTGAGCCATGCCACGAACCCTCTGGTCCCGCTAGCGCAGCACAGACGCGCGGGAATACCGGCTCATCTTCGTCTCTTTCCCCCCCTTGAGTACCATCTACCGTACCTGAATCTGTACCTGGACCTGGTGTATTTAGCCGCCAACCCAAGTTACACGAAAACATGACACCCCAAGTCCCAAGTTCTATCTCCCGCGCCAATCACACAGTCACACTCCCGCCTCCACCTCCGGAACCGAAGACAACAGACACTACGGCACGGCAAGCCACACAAGCAACCCCAGTGGGTAAGCAATTCCAATTGCTGCACAAAGATCCCACTAGCCGGGAGGCCCTCTCTCTCTCTCTCTCAAGGTCATGGAAAACTTACACAATCTGTACGCATTACTGTCAGTGCTAGGAACCCTGGCGCTAGACCGCCTCTATGTATTTCGGAATCCTTCTCGAATCCTCGATCACGGAATGCCGCAGTTCTCCCAGAGTTCTTCCCTTACCCGTCCCCCGCCCCCCGATCACCCATCACCCGTCGTGAGATTCCTAGGTATAGTAGATTACAGTACTCTGTAGATGAGTAAGCCCCCCTGCTCTGTCTGAATGCTCTTCTGCCTGACTGCCTAGCGCGCGCAAGGCCCAACATCCAACCAACGCCGCGCCATGCGACTAGGTTTCATCGAGGGTTGCCTGCATCAGTACACAGGTACACCGTACACCGTAACACACCCACATACATACGCTCTCGCTCTAACTACGCATCTTGCAGACAAACCACCATCAAATGGTATCCCAACGATCATTATCTTTTCTCTTGCTGTATGCTCGCTCATCCTACCCTGCGGGCCCGGCCATGTACTGTAACAAACAGGTCGAAATGGTCTGACGACATCTCATCTTAACCCGTCTTAGAAAGCTATGCTATGCTATGCTATGCTATGCACTACTGCTCTCCGGCCCCCAGATAGGTCCACCCCAGGGCCTTGTCTCCCTCTCGCACGCCCCGCGCTGTAATGACCTGATCATCGCCAGGCACCACATCAATAGCGCTGTCGCTGAGGTGGCAGCCTTCTCGCTCCTCAAACACGAGGCATTTAACCGGCCGGTCCACACTGACGTGCATCTCGCTGCCTTGGCCCTGGCTCTGAACCGTGACCCGGACGTTTCGCTCAGGAAAAGCGAGATATTTCAGCGGCTGAGGCCAGTCCGTATCTCGCGCCACCAGCTTGCCGCCGATCCACAAGCGAGCCGCCAGCACGTGTGGCTCCTCGCTGACATTATCCACTTGGCCCCGCGCCACGTCTGTGCTCCCGTTGGCTGTGAGCTTGACGCCTTTCTGGACAATCTTTTCCTTGATCTCTTTGCCCGTCTTGACCGAGATGAATCTGACCTCGAGATCGGCACTCACTTGGTCCAGCTTGGAGCTGACCGCCCACAGCTCCCACTCTTGGGTCTTTGGCTCACGGGCGTGAGTCACGCTCCAATCATGATGCTGACGTCGAATCCCCACCGCGACCGGCGCCAATACCCTCGCCATGGCGTAATAGGCAGGTTTGCGTCTCAGGTAATAGTCGACGATCGCCCAACTCGTCACTGGCCAGCAATCGTCCAACTGCCACACCAATGCACCACCACACCGTCGATCGTCGCCCCACTGTCGCCGCCAGCCTCGGTACCCAAACATCAGTGCTTCACATTGGATGAGCTGGGTGAGGTGGATATAAGCTTTGAGTTCGGGGTTGCTCCGCACGTTCTCGACCAGGTAAGTCGCGATGCGTCGCTCGTGCCCGTCGGCTTTGTTGTGGAAGTCCAAAACATGTGATTGCGGGAACAGGTCCTCTTCCTTCTCCACAAACGTCTTGATCGTGTCGATGTGGGGAAACGCTTCCATACCAAACTCGGAGTTGAACCGTCCGCCCAGTGAATCAAAGATTTGGTACTTCTCCTGCGTCCCGTGCCATACATTCCACTGGTGAATGTCGCCGACCGTGGGGTCCGACGATCTCTTGCCGTCGCCCCACGGCGATCCAGGATGATAGGGGATGGCTGGTGCCTCGCTTGACATAACCTTTGGCAGCAATGACTCGTAGATGTAGCGGGCGGGAAAGTTGGACTTTAGCCAGTTGTCGTGATTTTTGTCTTCGTAGTCGTAATCGAGATTGCACGCTTCTTGCACCTGATAGTCCTCATTGTTGCCGGCAAATATCGCCATACATGGGTGATGTCGCAGTCTTTTGACATTCGCAATCGCTTCGGCCTTGACCGAGTCCAACATGGCGGGGTAGCAGGGATAGTTGCCACAGCCAAACATAAAGTCTTGCCATACCAGGATACCCAGCTCGTCACATGCATCATAGAAGGCGTCGTCTTCATAGATGCCGCCACCCCAGACTCTGTCCACAATGTTAGCTTCATGGTAGTCATCCGGGACTCGATCCGAACCTGATCATTTTCTGATTCGCCGGTACCATCAACTCAATCCAAGATCGGTATCTCTCCGGCTTGATATTGGTGAGAAAGCTATCTGCTGGTATCCAGCATGAACCTCCACAGAAGATGTCGACGCCGTTGATCCGGAAGAAGAAGGATTTGCCATGCTTATCGGCTTGCTGAACCAATTCAACCTTTCGGATACCAAGTCTCCTGGTGTCTTTGTGGAGAGTAGCAGCACCGGATTTTAGCGAGATGTCGACATGATAGAACGTCTGGTTTCCATAGCCATTTGGCATCCATAATTCTGGATTCGCGATCCGCAACTCGGCTGTTGTAGAACGGCTGGTTGCGACCTCCACCTCAGACCTTGCTACCACCTGCGAGGCCGATCGAACAATAAACTCCGCAGTCAACCCATCCTTGGAGTGAGACTCGATGCTTGCGGAGACATGCACAGTAGCAGACTTGTAATCATCTGCGATGACCACATCAGTACGCAGATCCGAGATTCGTGACTGGTAGACCTCGATACGAGCCGGTCTCCATATCCCAGCACAGTTGAGGATTGGGCCCCAATCCCAGCCCCAGTGATACTGTGCTTTACGAACAGCAAGTCGACCCATGTCGCCATTGAAGCCCACCCACTTATGCTCGGGGTGCTGCTTCTTGATTTCTTGGCCCTTCAAGATTGCTGACTCGAATTCAATCTCCAGAGTATGCTTGTCGGCGCGAGCTAGTGCCTTTGTAATGTCGACTCTGTATGGGAAGAACATGTTATCGGCCTTGAGAATAGTCAGGCCGTTTAACTTGACATGAGCAAAGGTGTCGAGGCCATCAAAAGCGAGTACTGCCACCGAACCTGAGGGTACTTGAGGACTGGTGAATTCAGTTTGATACGTCCATGCTGTGGTGCCGACCCATTCTGCCTTGATCTCATTGAAGCCGACGAAAGGATCGTCAAGTCTATGCTCGGTTAGCCGCTTGAATGGAGGGGAGAACTCGATACTCTACTTCTTATTGTCAATGAGATCCTGATGGACGGTGGAAGGGACCTGCTTCACAGGCAGCCAAGCATTTTTGGAGTCGTCGTTAGTCTGCTTGAATTGCCAGCCGTGCTTTAGGTCAACCGTGAAGAGCTGCAGTGATTGTCCAGATGAAGACATCTCTGCTGGAAGACTTCTGTCAATGGCACCGAATTAGATCCAACAGGCCACTGCAGGTTTCAGGCAGTGTTGCAGAAATACAAGACGGTAGACTGAGGACGCTGAATGTACGTCTTAAGTCAAGAGGTCGGCACAACTCCAAAAGGCCATCTCCGATTCCGATGCCCGTTTTGTGTTAGCTGCAGTGACGACCGAGCATGTTAATCGCAACTTCCGCACTATGCATCAGTGTTGGCACTTTCTGTAAGCTGAGGCTCGAGCACAATGAATGGAAGAGTAGACGATGAAGGCTGACAACATGTGGCGTAAGAGCGCACGCCCTGTTGATGAATCCCAGGCTCGGTCGAGTTACGGAATGCAGCCGCGTCAAGCACGTCCTGAAGTGAGGGGATGATCGATACCCCAACGAGCGCGGAACCGATCTGTTGGTGTAGGGCACGGAGAACATCCACGGGAAACAATCGAACGACTGGGACATGGACACGAGGCAGGACTCCCTCGTCTGGACATGCCATCCGATGGTCTCTATAACTGGTGCAAAAGCCGCTCCGTAGAGCCTGTGCGAATCAAACAATCCGTGGCTATTGTGGCATGCAGCTGTCGAGGATCAGAGAACAGAGAGCATAAAAGGTGCAAGAGTGTACTCATTGGTGCACTTGTATAGATAGCAAAAGATAAATCATCTTCCATCCACCTGAGAGGAGACGAGTGCAATGAGCGCACTGCTCCGCCGTAAAGACATCAGGTCTTGGCTCATTCGACCTATATCTACACATACAATCTGCTGAAGTAATTTCTTCACAGCTCCGCGATGCAGGAATCACCGCTCGACACCCACTCGACACCTCATCGAGTGCCATGTCAAATCTATCGTACAACCCTCACTGACCCCGTCCGCGTCCATGAGTATACATGGGACCCCCTTCTTCTTTTCTTGAATACCCTCAAATCTTCTTGACAGCCCACCCAGCGCGCATAACCCTCACGCTCGCCATAATCGCCGCACTCGCGAGAGTGCACACTCCGCCATAAATCCAAGTGCCCGTCCAATCCAGATCCGCCCCATCTCCCCTCCGCTGCAGGATCCCACCTCCACCGGGCCCACCTGCCAACACGCCGGCTCCCAGCAGCGCAAAACCCATGCCTATTCTCGTCCCGATCTTTGAGACATCAGGTGTGAGTCGCACAAAGATGACAGGAGGCAAGGCGATGTAGATACCAGAAAAGAAGCCGAGGAGCACGGCTTCGACGATCAGGGCGGCGGCGCTGTTGACGGCCATGAGGCAGAGAATAAGGACGCCGGTGATTAGGGCGCCTGTGAAGTGTGGCATTAGACCTGGTTCTTAACATAAAAAAGGGGAGGGATAGCAATGCTTGTCTTACCTGGCACAATAGTGTTCAACGGCCCCGTGTAGTCAGACAACCAGTTCGGCAACGTCCGGCCAAAGACGCTGCCGGCATTGAGGATGGGCACGAGATAAAAGCTCATGTCCGTGTCGGTGATGCGCTGCTGCTGGCCGTAGAAGGAGATGTAGAAGAAGCAGACGTACAGGCCGATGTAGCCGATCATGGCGCCGAAGACGAACGTCATGTAGTGGACATCAGTGAAAGCCGACCAGTCCACCAGGGCGCGTGCCTTGGGCGGTTTGAAGCGCATCTTCATGACCGCGAGCGGGATAATGAGCGTCGCGAGAGCCATGAATCCGAGGACACGCACACTCCAAGCGTAGCCGATCTGGTCGATCAGTCGGTAGAACACGATCGGGTAGATGATGCCGCCCATGCTCGAGCCCGAGGCAGCGAGGCCAATAGCCAGCCCGATCTTGCTGGAGAAGTACGTAGGCATGATGGCAATGGCGGGCACGAAGAGGCAACCAGCGCCAATGCCAATAGTGAAGCCCTGCGCCAGAATACACTGCCAGAACTCATGGCACAGGCTGAGCATCATGTGGCCAAACACCACCAGGAACGAGCCTACCAGCAAAAGCACACGAAAGTAGCCTCGATCGTAGATGGGCCCACTGATGGATCCGACCATGAGCACCAGAAAAGCCTGGATGGATCCGATCCACGAGATGTTGGAGGACGTTTCGCGGAAGAGCTCGCCGGACTCGTAATAGGTTTGATCTGCAAATATCAGCAAACATACTGAAGAACAGGCAGATCGATCAGGGTGCAGAGAGAGCGGTGGAGTCGTCTAGCAGTCCAAGACCACCGGCATGCAACTCGGGCAACTGGCATGGCTGCCGCAAATCTTCTGTGCTTGGAGGTAACTCACAGACGCCAAAAGTATTCAAGATACCCCACGTATTAAAGAACAACATCCACGACCCCACCACCTGCAGCCACGCCGTCGTGCCACCGTTCGGCGGCGGCGACATCCCCGGGGGTCCGCCCGGAGGGCCAGCGGGAGGCGCTGCCGCCACTGCAGGCTTCTCGGAATGAGGCTCTGCATTCTGAGAGACCGGAACTTCTTTGCCGAGGTCGGAATTGGATAGAGTATGTGATGATGTGTTTCCTGAGGGCAGATGATGGTGTTGTTGTTGCTTCTCGGCGTCGGGCGCCATAGGCGGCGCGTGGGCCGTGGTTGATGACATAATGACTCTTGCTGCCCTTTGTCCCCTTAAAATAATCTCGACACAGGCGTCCCGGCGCCTATAAGCGTGTAACCGCCAAGCACCACGCTCAAGGTCGGTCAAGTCTGCGATGAGCGCCCGTGGTGCGCTAATGAATTAGGTGAAAAGTTGAATGACTTTGCTGTGAATCGTTGAGGACAACAAGCTGCGAAAGAAGACGCCATAATAAATCGAGTGACCTCGAAACGCGCGGTCATAACTTCGGTCGACCGAGCAGAAACTAAGCATCAAGGACCGAGCGCGCGGGTGCTCCTTTCCAGGGAGGAGACCTTCCCTTAGAAGGCCTAGCCTCGGGCTCTCGAGGCCGCGAAGCTCGTACAAAATTCATGTACGACAAGGCACGCTCTGCGGGAGTGTTGGACTTGCCTCTCATCGTATTCTCTAACCTGATTTTGGGACCATCGAACATCGTCTTGCTGCTCGCTCCAACCGACTGGCTAGAGCCGAGCACGTCGAAATCCCCTGACGCTTACACATGCCTCCGCCTCTGCCATTTGGCCAGGAACTCTCGTCCTGCGAGCCTGTACGTGTCCGGCTCGACAATATTTCCTCCCTGACTCTCCGTCTGCAGCACTAGGTTGTAGCCATTTCCCCCCTGGTCGTAAGAGGGCCAACTGGGGAGACCTTCGCCATTCGGCGTCCCGTCGTGCGCGAATGTGATCCACTGTGCCGACATTTGGTCGCTGAGGGCCTGATACTCGGCCGGTCCACCCACTGCGAGGCTGTTGAACACGAATGCAACTTCAGAGAAGTGCGCTACGCCTTTGGCCGCAGGCGCCAGCTGGCCCGATGCTATGGCTGTTGTTGCGGTAGTGTTGATCACGTATGCCCGCGTATTGAAACGGTAGATGAAGGTGTCTCCACCATATTTGGCGTACTGGCGTGCGTCGAACAGTCGCGTTGAGTGGTAGAAGATGTCGCCAACGATTGCGGCCACTCGCTTGTACTGCCAGCCGAGATCCGCAAATCGTTCGTCGCCAGTATTCAGCGGGATTCCTAAAACAATCAGCACGTATGTTGGCTTACTGTTCCATCCGTACTTACCCTGGGCAGGATCGTCGGGGTACAACTGCATGATCTCCCGCACCGCCGATGGTGTATAGCCGAATCCTACACCATTCAACAAGAACTCGTACAAGTCGTCATCTGTGTTGATTGCACCCACGGGCGCATTGTCGGTCCCCTCGTCTGAGTTCGAGCCGTACAAGTGCGGCACTTTGGCAAATCGACCACTCTGCAGTAGCTCAGTTGGATACCCTGGTACAATGTCTCCGTCCACGGTGGGATACCAGCCCGGTCCGACGACCGCTGACGAGTTAACGTAAGGCAGCAAGTCCTCAAAAGGCACGGTTCGGAGGCACTCGAGCGTGTCGATGGCTTCTGTGCAGTTGACCTTGTCGACAATGTTGTCATAGATCGGTTGATACCACTCGGTCCCATTGTACCACGCCGTCGCTGCACTGCCGCTCTCCTGAATGGATCGATGAAACAGGCCGTCACTTCGGCCGCCATAAGATAGCAGCAGTTGTCCCTAGCCAGCATCAGCGAAGCACTTCTTTCAGCCAATCGCTCAACTCACCACTGCGAAGCTTCCAGAGCTCTCCCCCCAGATGGTTACGCAATCCGGATCGCCGCCAAACGCCTTGACGTTCTCCTGCAACCATGCCAGGGCTTGTCTCATATCTCTCAGCGCAATATTAGTGTTCCCACTCCCAGCAATCTCAATGCTGTACATCATCCCCCAACCACCTTTCCGATAATTGATACTGACGCCCACCACCGGCTTCCCAATTTCAACACTGCGGTCGACCAAAAACGTCAGATTGTAGTTGGGCAAACCAGTGGTACCCCTCTGATAGCTCCCACCATGGATCCACACCATCACCGGCAACAGCGTGCCATTCCCACCCCCAGCAGGCCTCACGACATTCAAACTCAAGCAATTCTCGCTCATGCCATACGGCGCACCAGAAGTCGGCGGGCGGTCATCCGGGCACTGGTCGCTGTACTGCGCCGCGGGTCGCACACCGTCCCAGGATTCATTTAAGGCTTGCGGTATCCGAAAGCGGTTGGGCCCGCCAGCATCCTGGGCGTACGGGATTCCCAGGAAGATGTCTTGACTATACGAGGGCAGATGGACACCCGAGTAGCTCCCGTTCAGCACCGTGACGGTAGGGTGGGCGGAGGCAGGACGTGAAATGGCAATCACGAAGGTGGCAACGAGGGAGAGGAACAGCCTCGGTCCAAGATGGGACGACGACGCCGCCGCCATACCTGTTGTGCTACGGCCGAAATTGAAGCTGTAGCTCAACAAGAACGACTCGTAGCCCTGGCTGCTCGAGAGAAGATATTTTCGTAGGATATGGCGCGTCACTTTACCTTATTTTATCATCTGCCCGCCCACCCCCAAGGCAGAGCTACACAATATGCAGCTTAGCAAGCTTGGGGGGGCCCGGGTATCCGTATCGGTGAAGTACCTAGCCCATTACTGTACACAGTACACAGTAGATCTCGCAAGCTCCGGCCCCGAACCCCCCCAGCTTAGTAGCTACAGTAGCTAGCTTTGCAAGGTTGCTTGCCAAAGCAAGCAAATGGTGTCACGCCCATCAAGCTCCCAACTCCACCCAGAGATACGGAGTACTTGTACTTGTGCCCCGTTGTAGTGAAGATTTGCGCCGGCTATGGAGATGGGCGCACTCTCACTCTGTGAGGGGATTTGGGGGGGAAGGCGGTCAGCATATGTATAAGCGGGCTGAGCGGGCATGCTGCCACCACAAGCCTTGGCATCACGACCTGTCAGATCAGGTACTTGAGAGCCATGGAAGCCAGAGGATGGAGGATTGATTGTGGCCTTGAATAAGTAGTTCATGTGCAGAGTAGCTCACCACTAGAGATCCATTCCAGTCCTCGTTCAATGGCTCTTCGGGTTTCTGGCACGCAAGCATGTTTAATCAGGCGGCGGCGTCATCTTGTTGATGGCTGTTATGTCACCATCCTCCCATATCACAATACGTGTACCGGTTTACTTGGAAAGTGTATGCTTCATTGTCGGTCGTGTCATCAAGTCATGATCGTCTATCCTATCTAGAACGACTATAGGTCATCAAAATCTTCGTCCCACCCCAGCTGAGCATAGAGGCTCTGCTCCATACGAGTTCCACGGCCTCCACTGCTGCCGATGCCACTGTCACTGAACAATTGATCGCCAACACCCTTGCCACCCATCACCCTGTCCATGGCCATGCCAGCCTTCTCAGGGATTTCTGGCGCATCCTTGAACACGTCTTCCATGGTAACGTCGCTGCGCTTCAAAGGCGTGAACAGAACTGCTTTGCCCGATTTGGTCATTTTGCTAGTCTGGAGAGGCGTCTCAACAGGAAGGTCTGAGCGTGTGCGCCTAATGGACGGCGTGGCAGCGACGAGTGCGCTGTGTGATGCAGGAGGAAGACCAAGGTTCAATGGATCAGATCTTCGGCTATCACCACGGGACGGCGTGTCGTGAATTGCATCTAACACGGCTCGTTTTGTGGCTGATGACCGCGGAAGAGTCAGGGACGCTGGCTTGATGGTCGACGAAGGAATGACGGGAGCGACCGGTGCTTGGACGACCTTCGGTTCTACCGCGTAGGACATCGCTGTTGCGAAGCTATGCGATCTCGGCTTGCTGGGGGTGGCTGTGATCTGGACGGCATCTCTAGCAGCCTTTCGCTTTTCGGCCTCGTCCACTATTTCCTTTGCAGCACTGGTTCGGTTTGGCTTCTTGAGAGCTTCGATAGCTGCGGCGAGCTCTTTCTTCTGCAGACCGACTCTCTCGAGCTTGCGTCGTTTTGCCTCTTGGATACGAGCATCTGCTGCCAGATCGACCTCGCGGTTGTTGAAGCTTACCGACTTCTGCAACCCAGCTCGACTTGAGGGGCGCGACATGATTTCCGATGGCTCGCGTTTAATGCTTGATTTTCGCTTGTCGGAAGAGGAGCGTGAAAGGATAGGAGGGGTTGCGTGCCGTAGTTCCTGATCTTCGCTGAGAACTCGTTGCAACGACATCTTCACCACAGGCTGGCTCTTGCCCTTTCCAGAGCTGCTCGATGGGCGAGTACTGGTGTTGCTTCGCGGCTGCTTCGGCCGTTGCGGCGAAATGCTAGGCCCTCCAAGCTTCTTACATACAACCTTGACAAAGGTTGGAACTTTTGGAGCGTAGAATGGAACAACCACATCCGTACAGAACTCTTTAAGACGGTCTCTTCCTTTGTCGACACCATCATGGGCCTTATCGGGCGACTCGAGAACATCGTCTAACGTCACAGCGTGCCAGATACACAGTCGATCGAGGAGTGTTTCTAGTTCAGCAAGATAATTTGGCGCTTTTGCCTTTTTGGTGACCGGCGTGTTTCTGGGAATGACGGCCTCGTCTGAGGCTTCGCTTTTGATCTTGGGACCCGAATGGACGGCGGTCTCGAGTGCCTGATTCGGTGTGATGGAGTCCAGAGTCAAAGCTTCGAGAATCAGCAGCACTTGCATTTCGGTTTCTCGCACGCGTAAATCTGTCAAGCGCTGCTTGCTCCTTTTCTCTCGGTCCTCTTCGTTGCCCGACACCTCTCGTTGGTCCCACCATCTTCGGACAAGCTCATCTTCGCCACTGTAGAGGCAATTCTTGCCCAACTTCATGGCTTGGGGTTTACTTTTTTTCTTCCTCTTCTGCTTTTCTTCAGCTGCAGGTGATTCCAAGTCTTTCAACATATTGGGGATAGTTTCTTTGTACTTCTTCTCCATGCGTCGTGTTGTAAGCATACCGGAATTGTAGACCTCTTTCAAATCATTAAGCGTAATTGATAGGTCCGGGTCTTTAAGCAGACCCCGCGCACGAACAAGAGAGCTTTTGGCGTAGAAAGCCAGGGATGTTCTGGATAGATAGAGCGTCTCGAGATATTGCATGCGGAGGTGCTCGACCGTGCCTGACTCAAACCTTTGGGTGATTGGTGGTATGTCGAAAGTGTTACCAGGCTCGGGGGTGTCCTGGACGGCATTTGGCTGGTTCACAGCAGTTGTAGAGGGTTGCTCAAGCGATAGAGCTGGTAGATATTCTGGATTAGACGATTCCTGAAATGCGGCAGTGGCACCTGCCATTCTGCCCTCTAGCTCTTGCGGGGATTGCACAATATCAACAGGAGTGTCATCGAGTGGCGAAGCTTCCTCTGCGCGATCTTTTGACTTTAGAATAGACATCCTGGCAAGTGCACCCTTCCGATTCGCAGGCTTCTTTGGACTGCGCGGTACAGGTAATGGTACCGATCTCACGCTAGACGAAGAGCCAGCACGAGAGTGGCTACGGAAGTTTTCGTTCCGGTCCGGGCCCATGGTCTGCTGCTTTGAAGCTTCATCATTCCCGCTCACAGCATTCCTGCAGGACTCCTCGCAGACCCAATTGTGTAGCAGTACCGCAACGAAGGCTCGGTCTTGGATCCGTTCTATAGCGTAAAGTCGGCCATTGGGGTTCAAGCGGGCTATTGTGACATGTTTCGGCGCGAGATTCTTAAATGCCGGACCGGAACTCTCAAAAGTATACCCTGGTGGAAGATCGGAGGAAGTGGTGCTCTGGTCGATCCAGGCAAGCGAAAGGTCTGCACGCGCGAGGGTGGCGACGACGGTGAAGGTGGCTGACTGAGGTCGTGCATTTGAACTCAATGCCTTCGCAGCTATCGAAGCAGCCTTGCTCGCCTGAGCATCACTAAATGCACGTTTTCGTTTTCGGGAGGGAGAATCGGGCATGCACTTTGGATTGAGTTGATTTTCGGAGGCAGGCACGAGCGGGTCGCGCTTCGGAGGCGCCTGCATTTTTCGTGAATGATCGAGACTTCCATAATCAGTCTCTGCGGCTACGGTTCTTGCTCGTCTTCTGTGCAAGGCATCGCAGGCATGCTGTTCTGCTGGGTGGTAGAGAACGCGCTTCGATAAGTCGCCCTGCGTCACGCGTCGAGTAAGTGCTCCACCTGTCGCTTGGCGCCGGCCACCTGCTCTTACCCTCACCCATGGCAGTACGGCATCCCCCACACTTCGGTCTCCCATGGCATCTCTCAACTATTCAGCAATCCATGATGATGATGATCACTCGGAAGACTGATCACATATTGGCTCTTGAATCCTTTATTGAAATCCCGTTACCGGGCGTTGCGGCAACTCCGCGGCTTGCATGACCTCGCATCAAGTTGACGACCCCGATAATTTCATGAGGCTGCCCGCAGAAAGTCAGCTAGCGCAGGTACAGGTATCTCAACCTAAGTCTGTGCTCAATACAGAGCATCAGCTAAATGAGGATCGTGGCAATGGTGTCCTGGTGACTACTGCGCCGCCAAGACTTTCACTGCCTTTATGGATTAATCGTGACTTGGAGTAGTATACCTTAGTATACCCACCGCGTGAGTGTCCTATGCCACAAGCTTCCATGAACTCACGTCCTCATGCACGGCATCAGCTCCACACTCATGCTCTGGCACGGCGGCAACATCGTCTACCAGGTAGTCATGGCAATTGCGTTCCCGAGCTTCGCTTAGTAGCAGCCTGGTCAAGCAGGTCCCTCGGTCCTTGGCAAAGGCCAGGGCCATCAAGGCCTCCAGACACTTGATTACTTTCTTGCAGTTGCGTCCTGCCCGACCGAGGCTGCGGTGCAAAGTCACCTTCAAGCCATGTCGAGGTGGCTTCTGGGCTTAACCTCCACAGTCTCGCCCTCTGAGTATATAACCCAACCGTCGAGCACGCAGTCCAGCCACATCTCCTCGTCCCAACCACTCAAACCACTAAACTCTACCCCACGGACCATCCCAGCCCCAACAACGTCAACCCCCAAGGCTAGTTCAACAACATGGCCAAACCAATCACCATCCCCGCCACCCACGTCGCCCTCGCTGACAAGGCATGCCGCAACCTGGTCGCCGCCTTCCTCAAAGACTTCGGCCCGACCACCACAGCCAGCACGCTCTCACGCGGCGACTTCACCGCCGTCTTTCACCCGGACGTGCACTGGTACGACCACGCCTTCCTGATCTGCCGGCAAGGCCACGATGCCGTGGCGGGCTTGCAGGTCGCGTTCCGGCATGCGAATCAGCCCTTTGATGTTGAGATTAAGGTATGTTTATGTGTATTTCTTTGGGGTGCATGGGTGTAGTTAGCGGGCAAGTGAGAGGACGTTATACGATGGGTTGTGGGAACCATCCTCTAACGGAGACGGTATCAGGCAATTACGCCGACGGCCAAGGGTGCGATTCTCGAGCAAGTGTGGGTAGGGAGGCTAAGCAACGATATTGTAAGGCCAGATGGTCAGGTCGTTGTCAAGGCCACGGGGAAGGACTTCAGGTGCCATGTGTGCATGGTGGTAGAGGTCGACCAGGATGGCCTAATACGGAGGATTGATGAGTATTATAACAAGGCGTGGGATGATGGAGTCCGAGAGGCCGAGTATGTGGTTATGAAGGGAGGAAGCCTGAAGCAACGAGTTGTTCAGACTCCGCTCTGACAGAATCGCTAGGTAGTCGCTCGGATATGCACAAGGTGAATGCCAGGGTCACCGATATTCCCCCTGCCTGAGTACTCACCCCATTGACGATAAGAAACACGACATCACTTCGCAGACCAAAGAAGCAAACTTATGGGCGCTATACTGCGATGGGCTCCGGCAGAGCACGTGGTAGAAGCTGCGGGGCGGTGTGCCGTGGACCAAACCGTCCATGTTAAGCACCCATCGAGGCAGCTTTCGTAGTGAAAGGTCCAGGTTGCTGCAACGCGCTAACCCGTGCTTAGACTGTTCCCCAGCCATCCATAGTGAGAAATTCGTCGACATGGGGAAGACCTTGGAAGCGCCTCTGGAGAGAGTGATCGCTCGTCTTTATGAAGAGATAAAGAAAAAGATCATCATCCTGAAAATCGAGCCGCGATGTTGACTCATGTTAGAACCTTTGCCAGGCAGATCCAACAATCATGCCAGGTTGAGCAGAGGTATGCGTGTGAATGTGGAGTATGACGCGATGAACGCTACGCACATAACATCTACCAGCATCTCTAGACGCTGGGCAGGCACCAAGTAGATAATTGAGAATCGTTGAGCCCAGAGCTGGAGCAGAGGGAGGGTCTGCCAAAAGTGAACTTGAAAGTGAACTTGAAAGTGAACTTGAGGGGGTCAGTGCCAAGCTTTTGTTGCATCACAACAACCTTGACGCGACCGTCGCGTTCACGCAGCCTTCCACCATCTTAACAACCCCGCCATCCTGCGCGACAAGCGCATCACCTATTAAGAGCTTCGCATTGCCTCCGGGCATGCCCATACATAATGGCCCGCCCTCGCGCAAGAGTGCGACAACTACCACAAGCTGCATCGCCCCGCAGGAGCCCTGGCAAGACACAAAAGAGTCCTCGAGCATCACAGAACGAGAAACTTGCGCACAAGCCGGTTGGTAAGAGACTCGCAGACAGCGATGACAGCGATGAACTCGTCATCAAAGGTCAAGGACGCAGGAGGGGACGAGACACCCAGACATACGATGTGTACGCTTCTGGAGCTCTTGGGACAGGCGACGAACCCAATGCTCACCCGACTCGCGCGCAGCGCCGCAAGCAGCTCGAAGAAGCCAAAAAGAATGGCGCTCTACCTTTGAAGTCTCCACTGGCTTCTGCCTCAGTATCGCGGGACAAAACTCCGGCGCATCAGCCATCTTTACAACATTCCCAGACACGCTCTCCCTCTCAAGGCCCCGCTGTTCAGCCACCGCAACATGCTTCCGGCGCACAGCCCACGCCGCTGCACGAAGAGTCCATCTTGAATGGCATCAAGCCCCGTAAGCGACAGAATAGCATTCTGCTCGATCCCGGGTTGGACGAGTCAACGCTCGGAAGCTTTGCACTACCCGAAGATGAGAATTCGCCCTTGCATTTACCAAAGCAGAAACATGTTGAGCGTACACCTCCTTCAAATCCACCAAGCTCCGGTTCGAAGAAGCGCAAACTTGGTCCTGACGATGTACCCACCACACCCGCCGAGTCCTCGAGGATATCAGAACTCTTACCCCAACAGTCCCATCCCGAGCCACAATTACCTCCACAACCACTGTCTACGCTCCGGATGTCAGGCCAAAAACACCGGCGGAAGACAATCAACCAAGATGACGACGAGATCATGGCTCCGCCGATGAGCAGCAGCAGCTATGCCTCTTCGCCCGCCAAAGCCCCGCCACTACCAAGCAAGCGCGGTAAATCAAAATCCAAAGCACCCCCTGCAACGCTCACCACTCAAGAGCTCCAAGCGCAACTCATGCCGAGCAAACGTCAAAAATCGACGCGCAACCGCCACGCTGCAGCCTCTGTCTTTGACATTGCCTCAGATACCAACCCAGACGACGCCATTGCACCGTCCGAGGACGAAGACGACTCCACGTTCCTCGCACCAAGCAAACGCAAGTCTACCAAGACCGCTCCCCGCCGGCAGACCTCCGCTACTGCCACCAAGGCCACCACGCAGGCCTCTTCGCGGCGGAAAGCCGCAGACAATGCGCGGAACAAGAAGAAACAATGTACGGCGCCCGCACCTCTCCTAGCTTCCTCCCACCTCCGCTCGCGGTCCACCGCAACCACAGCTACAGACACAGACACAAACGCACATGATCAGCCGGCTAAATTCCCCTCGCAGCAACAGCAGCTCTCCGTCATCAGCGCCGCATCCCCACCCCAGCGTCCTCGTACGCGCGCCGCCGGAGCCAAAGGCAAGGCGCGGTCTACAGGGAAAGAGGCGCGAAGTGGTGGCTCCCCCCTCAAGCAGTCGTTCAGCGGGCGAGACAGAGAGGTCGGCGACAAGGAGAATCCGGGTGGTGGAGCAGGAAGTGGTGACGATGAGCTGATCGAAGTTGGCGTGGAGGCCGAGGCGAGAGCTCAGGAGGAAGAAGAGCTACGGTTGCCGAGTCCCAAGAAGGCCGCATTCGGCGGCAAGTGGGCGGAGATTGATGATTTCGAGATGGACTTTGAGGATGTCGTGGTTGGAAATGTTAGCAGTGATCCGTTGGCGAGGTAGTTTTGTTGCTATAGGTGTAGCTATCATGCCGGTGGTTGTGTAGGAATGGATCAGATCAAGCCCCCATGATGGAAATCGACTTTGAGAACATGAGAGACTCTTGGAACTATGCTCGCTGATCTGTACATGGGTTACCAGGTCTTGGGTGTTTCAAGTGCAGGATGAAGATGGAGTGAATCATCTTTCATTCACTTCTATGCTCTACGCTACGCTCATGCTTTGCTTCTTGGGCGGTCACTCATGTGCTTCATGATTGGCATCGTGGTAGTCTCTCACTTAAAGACCTTCACTTCCCCCTCCTTCACCTTGCCCTTGCCCACCAGATCAACGACCGTCTCGGTAAAGACTCCCTTCACCTTACCCGCGTCCTTACCCGCCACATTCAACTTGGCGACCAGATCCGCGAGCTCATCGGCATCGGTCCCAGCCAGGACCTTGTCGACATCGTTGAGGACGGCGTCGACTTGCGCGGCCGACGCGTCTCCCTCAGCGAAGTAGTTGACGTCCTTGACGGAGCCGCGAGCCACACGCTTGTTCTTCTTGACCGCGTTCTTCGCGGCTTCCTTGCTCTTCTTCGCCGCGTCCTTGTCGGCCTTGGCCTTTTCTTCGTCCTCCAGCCGCTTCTTCTCGGCGGCTTCCGCGGCAGCCTTCTTCTCTTCCGCTTCTTTCTTCTCGCGCGCCTCCTTCTCGATGCGCTTCTTGTTCTTGGACTGGCTAGCTTCCTTGCGAAATTGCTTGATGCGCTCGTCATTCTGGAGGCAGAGATCCACGGTGTTGCGCAGGCGGGCAGTGTCATCGGTCTTGCGCTTAGCGCGGGCGTTGCGGTTCTTTTTCTCGATGTGACGCTTGTGGTCGCGATCGGCATTGTCATCTGGAACGTCTTCATCGAGGTACTCGAAGCTGCGCCAGGAGTCAAAGTTGTAGAAGAAGTCGTAGAATTCTTCGACATCCTCGCGGCTGGACTTTTCGTTGCCGAGCTTGGGCACAGGCGTCTTGTTGGAGAAGCGGGCTTCGGATTCAAAGAATGCGCCCCATTTCTTGTAGAAATTCTTCTGCATCTCCTTCTTGGTGGGCGGCTCAACATCAGCTGCTTCGTCAACAGAGTCGAATTGGCGACGCTTGACAGGGTCGGAGAGAGTTTCGTCAGCACGCTGGATGCATTTGAAGAAAGAGTCGCTCTCGGCTTGACCCGCGGCAGCCTTCTTGTCGGGGTGATGCTTCAGGACCTTCTTGCGGTGGGCTTTCTTGATTTGCTCGGGAGTAGCGCGGTAGCGGTACTTAGAGAGACCGAGAACAGCATAGTGATCTTGTCCCTATTGAATATGTTAATACTGGTCCTATTAAGGGTTCGGGCTCGATATACCTTCCAGTCCTTGGCATCACGTTGGAGCATCATTGGGTCTTCAGGCTCGCTGATCTCGCCATCTTCATCATCTTCTGTCTTCTTGACCTTGGCTAGAGCCTGAATACGATCATCTTCGGAGAATGTGCGGCCGTGACGCTGACGGCGGGCGTGAGCAAGGAAGGCTGCACCAAAAGGCTCGACTTTGCGATTGACTGCGGGAGACAGAGTACCGATAGCGCGAAAGTTGGGAGTGCCTTCGTCGCCCTTAAATGAGTCCGGCTGCGGCATAACGCTCGAACTGGGCTTCTTGTCGGTGGCGACGGCTTCCGTCATATTCATTGAAGTTGTCGGGATTGGTCACCTCCTTAAGATACTCGCCTATGTACTCGTTGTAGAGAATTAGATTTAGGTTGCGATCTGCAGCGGTGTCTCTGTAGGTCCTCTTGCCGTCGATGTACGGACGCAAATCTTGCTGACAGCGACCACGAATGTGAAAGACGTGATATCTTTTGCTGCGGTCGTTGATCAACTGGCGGAGACTCGATAGCTCGTCTGGTGAAGAACGCTGAGATGCAACAGCAGCAAGGAGGATGAGGTAGGGCTGGGGGATGCCCAAGACGTGGATGTCGTTGAGGTCGAGACCAAGGCGACGGACGATGGGATAGTAGACGTCGTATTCGTCAGTGTAGTCGATCGGGTGTTTGTTCTCGCGGTCTTCCTCCGATTCACAAACACCAGTCCACATGAAAAAAGGCTGGGATACAAGAGACATGGTCCAAAAAAATTGTGGTTCGGTGATATCGCGTTATCTCCTAGGGTCAGGTGATATGGTGTTAACTCCTAGCGCTGTGCAAAACAGGCCCTGATTTTCTGCTCACGGCGCCAAGCCAGTGCAGGCTATCCCTGTTATGGTTAGTATGCTGGCCCAGAGCTATCGTTCCAGCCTTGCACAGCCTTGCCATGAAGATATCTCAAGCAGCTACAGATCAAAGCACTTTCACAGCATAGCATCAATGCATTGTAACATCAATCTATCTGTATCCCAGCATAAGGAATTCTAAAGGAACAGTAAATACTTCTCGGAAGACACGTGCGTCGTCAAAGGCTACCATCCCTGCAAAAGAGTTCTTCGACCACTCCTGAACTCTGGCCAAGGTCAGAACATCAACCAGCTTCAGTATCTGCTATTTCTGTCAGTCAAGCCTCTTTTGAATTCTCAGGTCCAACGCGCCGCCATCTATTACAGGCCACCGCATTTGAAACGCCTTCAAAGTACTTTGTGAGAGTCGTGTATCAGCTATCTTCAATCCATACTGCCAGCATGGCTCTTGCAGCATACCGTCATCTACTACGGGCCGCCCGAGTTGCCTTTCAGGGAGACGTCCAACTTCTGCAGGCTTCCCAATCACAAGCGCGGCAGGGTTTCCAAGATAAGCGGTCTTTAGACCCATCATCTGAGGAAGCGAACGAGGCAATTAAGCACGCCGAGGGCGTGGCGGAAATCTTGAGGACGAATGTGGTGCAGGGGAGGAGAGCCGACGGCGAGCATTCATACAGTGAGTATACGTAGAAAGGCGAAGGAGGCTGTGTTTTGACTGACGCTCGCAGAATTGAATATACACAAGGACACTGAGCGAGGTGAAAATGATACAATCAAGAACCCGCTCGGAAAGGATGGAAAGGTCAAAATAGGGGGCGCTTAAAGGAATGTTTTCGTTTCTATCAACGCTGAAAGAAGTTCATGATACCCCATCGTCATGTTGGCCACCGAGAAGGGCCTACTGTACCAAAACCAAACGCCTTGCTCAAATATCACCTTCAGGCCGGTAAATATTCAATCACCCGCCAAGCTGGCATATTGCACTTCTTTCGATCCTGGTGGGGGTGCGACAACATATGTACTGCTTTGGACGCCTTCTTGTTCATCTGGTTCTAGTCCTTCCCCGCCAGCACGGGCACTCTGTCCACTCTGTGCGGCCTTAGCACCCGCCGCCGTTTGTCGACCCTCCTTTGCCCATTCCATTCTCTGCTCGCGGTCGGTGTTATCGAGCGGCTTTGGCTTGCCCCAACGAACGCGTAACGGGCAGCCCTGGATGACAGCTTTGCCTTGACATTCTGCTGCTGCTGCCTCAGCTCCCTCTCGGGTGGCGTAGTTGATGAAAGCGCAATGTGAGCGGTGTGAACAGACAATCGATCTTATCTGGCCAAAAGGTGTGAAGAACGTTCGAATGGCGTGCTCGGGTAGATCATCTTCAACACCGGTGACGAAGAGTGAGGTAATATTCGGGTCATTCGGTGGCAGCCAGTCCGATGGTTGTGGTGCTCTGGCGCCCGCGACAGCTCTTGCGGAACCACGGCCGGGTTTGGCTGCGGCCTTCTTGACATCAGAGGTTCGCACTGGGCCGGGTCCTGGACCATAGCCAATCTTCTTCTGCTCAGAGGATGATGCTGTGGATGCACCTTCATCTTCCGCAGCCTCTAACCTTCTCTGTTTCTTGTAGTAAGGCTCGCTGTTGGCAAGGCGTCGCAATAGATCTCGAGCCTTCTCGTCGGTCTGATCATACTCTTCCAAGGCGCCGCGACCCTCCTCGAGTTCTCTTTCGTGGTTTTGAGCGTAGTATTCCCGGTTGATTTCCGACTGAGGGCCTGGGGCCACCATCTTGAGAGCGGCATCTCTGACGGTAATGGGCAAGCCAAACGAGAGATCGAGCATGCACGACTGGCAGCAGTTCTTCAAGCGCGCGCATGTGAGGCAGATATTTGTTCGCTTCGTCCGTGCCGTTCTGTCGGCCTTCCATCTGAAGACTGTGTAAGGTCTGCTACAGACTTTGCACTCTGCTCCGTAATCGTCCTTCAGCATCTGCACATATGGGTTATCGGGAAGGCAACTTTCGCAGACGGAGGGAAAGTCGGTAGTCTCCCACCCCGACCGATTGAGGTCCTGCTTAATCTGAGCTTGCGCCATGGTGAGTGTATGCGAGGGTAAGTGAGGCTCTGCGGCGGGGTTGGAGACGATTTTCGCCTTGCTGACTTATTGCAGTCTGCCAACCAGATGCGAGTCGTCACGTGCAAAAATCTGGCATGAGCCGGGCTAGAAAGACGAGGGGTGGGCTGAGATTTCCCACCGCTTCCCGAGATTGCGCTAATGTCGAGCTTGGCAGGGACCAACGAATCAGGTCGTGCGATTTGAGTGGCCGCATCAAAAAGTCGAAAGGAGCACTCCCGGCGTTGGGCGAGCACCATTAAGTTCGCCGCAGCAGCCAGATTCGTGCCTCTTGACCGCCTGCTGGTACCGTCTCCTCCACTCTCTATTATATAAGTAGTCAATCGCAGACTGTCATTACCTTTCAACAAAGTTGTCTGATATTTCAACATTCAACATGCCTGCCTCCGTTACGTCTACCACCGCGAGCAACTGGGACCTGGAAAGGGAGGACAAGCAGCGAGATGCTGCCTTTAACAAAGTCCTGCATGGCAAGTCTGCGCAGGCTCGTGGAGGTCTAGCTGCCATGCGTAATAAGGACGCGGCTGCTAAGAAAGAAGCGGTCGAGGAATACTTCAAGCATTGGGACAACAAGGTCGCTGCCACCGAGACTGAGGATATCCGGAGGCAACGCAGAGACGAATATGCCACTCTTACCCGACAGTAAGTGCATTTGCTACCATTACTCCGGCTTTCCTGACTTTCACAGCTACTACAATTTGGCTACCGATCTATATGAGTACGGCTGGGGCACCTCCTTCCACTTCTGCCGCTTTGCCCACCGGGAGCCCTTCTACCAAGCCATTGCTCGGCACGAACACTACCTTGCTCTGAAGATGAATATCCAAGAAGACATGAAGGTTCTTGACGTCGGGTGCGGCGTTGGTGGCCCTGCTCGTGAGATCATCAAGTTCACCGGCGCCAACGTCATGGGCATCAACAATAACGACTACCAAATTGAGCGATCTCTGTACTATGCTCAGAAAGAGGGCCTTGCCCACAAATGGGGTGCCACGAAGGCGGACTTCATGCAGATGGACCTGCCCGAGAACTCATTCGACGCGGTCTACGCTATCGAGGCTACCGTCCACGCTCCCAACTTGCAGGGTGTCTACGAGCAAATCTTCAGGGTTTTGAAGCCTGGCGGCACGTTTGGAGTCTACGAATGGCTCATGACCGACAACTACGACAACGACAACCCTGAACACCGTGAGATCAGACTAGGTATTGAGCAGGGCGACGGTATCTCCAATATGGTCAAGGTTTCTGAAGGTCTCGAGGCCATCAAAGCTGCTGGCTTCGAACTCGAGTACCATGAGGATCTCGCTGATCGTCCTGACGAAGTTCCGTGGTACTATCCTCTTGCTGGTAATTGGAAGTATCTTTCCGGCATTGGTGATATCTTCACCATTGCTCGCATGACCTGGTGGGGTCGTGGCCTGGTCCACAGGTTTATTGGCGTTGGTGAGACTCTGAGGCTGATGCCCCGTGGCACGCAAAAGACAGCCGATAGTCTGGCCCTGGCAGCTGACTGCTTGGTTAAGGGCGGCCAGAAGAAGCTGTTCACGCCCATGTACATGATGATTGCAAAGAAGCCCAAAGCTTAGGAGGCAACGCATCGACCAGGGGTTTCATCTAGCACTCGAACTTTCGTACAGGCGTTTTTGGCAAGGGTCAAAGAGGCAACCCAGTAGACATGTTTTCGAAGATGATGCTCGAATAAGCAGACATGTAAATACAACCGAGCAGGAAGCGCAAAGCTGTAATGATAAAGGAGTTGTCACAATCAAATACAGATCTTTGATAAATTCACGTATTGACAAATCAGTTGGTAGATGATACCATTCGTAGAAGGTCGAAAATTCGCTCAGTGGTGTTATCCAGAAGTCTGGTGTTTACCTAGGTAGGTATAGTAGCAGGGCATTTATATTTCACTGCCTGAGAAACTGCCAAGCTCGACCAGCTGCCCTCAAGTGGGAACATTCTTGTCCTCACATCCTGTCCGACTGGCCTATAGAGTTATAGGTTAAGTATCCCTTCCGGTCCGACTGAGTTACAACGTTCTCTATGAATAATAGCCAGCCGTTGTCATTAAAGATCGCCAGCCGCCCGAACCACAGCTCGCACAATCTCCTGCTCTAATCCCTCGTCTCGTCCACAGAACGGGCTTCTAACCACACCAATGTCCGCCGACTTCTGGGCCTCGTACCTCTCCGGTGCCCTCGGCATCCTCATCGGGAACCGCCTCGACGTCCTCAAAGTTCAAGCCCAAGCTGGCCTTGCCTCCGGTCCCTCCTCCACTCCATACTCACCCTCTGCCACCTCACCACTCCTCCCGCCCTCCCCGGCCTCTCGTACCACCGGACGGCCAGCCAACCTCCAACACCTAACCCAGCATTTCCGCGGCGCCGCCGCCCCCATCCTGGGCTATGGCGCCCTCAACTCGATCCTCTTCATGACATTCAACCGCACGCTCCAGCTCATGAACCCGGGCCTCTTCGACTACACCAAGCTGGCGGGCTGCTCACTGTCGTCGATCTGGGCTGCAGGCGCGCTGGGCGGGCTCGCGACCTGGCTAGTCTCCGCGCCGAGCGAGCTGATCAAGTGTCGCGCGCAGTTGCAGGTGGGTGGGCAAGGGAGCAGTTACGGCGTGTTTCGGGAGGTGGTGCGGGAGGGGGGTGTACGTGCGTTGTTTCGGGGCGGGGTGGTGACGAGTGTGAGGGATGCGGTGGGGTATGGGTGGTATTTCTGGAGTTATGAGTTGTGTAAGAGGTTTTTGGTTGGGCGGCGGAGTCCGGATTGGTGGGAGGACTTGAGGGGGTGGGAGGTGTTGTTGGCGGGTGGGATTGCAGGCGTAGTTACGTGGGGGAGTGTGTATCCCGCGGATGCGGTCAAGACAAGGGTGCAGACTCAGCTGGGGCCGGAGCGCAAGGGAGTGTGGCGCGTGGTGAGGGAAGTATACGCCGAGGGCGGGGTGAGGGCATTCTACAGGGGGTTGGGGGTGTGTAGTTTGAGGGCTTTCGTGGTTAATGCTGTCCAGGTGAGTCTCGTTGCTGGTTTTTGTGATCTGTGTATGACTGACGGTCTACAGTGGTACGCATACGAAAACATGATGGCCGTACTGAAGGCGCCCGAATGAGCTAAAATTCGGTACAAGGCAACGTTTCTACGTGATCAAGTGGTCCCGGTATTGGGGCTGGAACAGATTGCAGCAGCGAGGTAGGCTCCGATGCGTGGTTGCCCAACGGAAGGTGATCAACTCATATCATTTGAGCTAGCCCATTGAAGGCTGCGACAAAGCCCCGCCCGCCATTGGGCTCAGATCTGAATAGCACTATACACGGGATATGAGGCGTAAACCAGGTAGCGAGTCCCGGCTTGGGGGCTTGGAGCTAGGCTCGGACGTTCGCCGCTCGGCCGAGGAAGCGACGCTATTGTGAAGTTGTACTCGCCGATGTGCTGTGCCTTTTGGGTACCCATTCGAGTATGCTTTTGGCATAGCTTCAGCGATTTGAGGCATTTGAGAGAGGTGTCGCAGTAACTTGAATGTCTCGCTGGCTCGAGGAACATCGATCATTGCGGTGGAAGAGGTAGTGTTGTGAAGCTTAAATATTCACCCATCAAAAGCTTCAACTTGTCTGACTCAAGACCTTGAGAGGCGGGAGCCGATCAAGGAGTTGCTGTGAGGTTCCGACCTGAAGTGACAAGGTGGCGATTGAGCTTCAACGCCTGGTCACGGCAAGCATTGTCGATTGAGGTGGAGGGAATCATATCGCACGCTTGTCAAACTGGATCGGCTGTGATCCCTTTCCGACGAGACTCGTCGTTAAGACTGGTTTCACCATGCACGAAGGCTGTGATGCGTTCACTGGCAAGTAATAGTGTCGGTCTTGCCTCACATTCCCTATTCACCCGCGTTGGCCGTTATCGGTGGTTAATCCGACAGCCGCTTCAGCAAGTTTCTGGGTGTGAGCCTCTGCTTTGAGATCCTTGACGCTTGCTGCCATTTAGCATACTTGATACGAAGCCTTGGGATTCATCTTACCGTCTCTTGTGGACTTTGCCGCGACGGTGCTCATTCAGGTTGTGGGAATCTGAGAAATATTTGGCACATTCTACACAGTAGAACTCGCCCAGGCCAGGAAGATCCTCCGCAGCCTTTGAATCCTTGTGCTGAGCAAGGTGTTTGGGCGATTTCAGATCAGCCTTGACCTGGTCAAGATCGCTTTTGGTCGGTCAGTAAGGTGCTGGTGGTTGTATTGTCTTCAACAACTTACCGCGTATGGCGTCTGGTCTTGACCATGCGACGAACTGCGTGGCTACCCATGTCTGTAAATTAGTCGTCGCCGTTGTTACCGGAGAAAGTCGGGGTAGACTTATATCAACGCCGAGGCGCGGATCGTGAAGAAAATCATGCTGGTTTTTTCGAATCAGTGGTGGGTCCGCTCTGGCGAGTCTGGGGCGACGTCAGATGAAACTTGTGTTCCAGCGAATCAGCCGCGACCTAAACTCAGCATGCGGCGCACTTTCCGGCAGTTAACCAGGAATTATGAAAGTGTAGGAAGGTATTGCTTCGCATTGTGTGCAAGGGCACTACGCTCGGGCAGAACTGCGTCTTCGATCTGGTACTTCTATTAGTTGCTGAAGCTGAGCGTGAAGGTGTGAGCACATGCATGGCGACGATGGCAACTGAGGAGCACCAAGTCGCCTAGCCTCATTTAGGGTGGTCTGCAGGCCATGAAAGATTCTCCAGGTCCAGCAGCTTAACAGGGCAATTCCCCTAGGACCGAGGCCGATATATAGCTCATACATGCCCTGCTAGAGACGTGACGACTCCTGAAATCCAATCCAGGGCTTAACCAAAAAATTCAGCACCGGTTTTTGAGCTTTCCTGGTCATTGGGAGCAGCCGGTGCGTATCCTCGGCTTGGACCAATCGTGCTTGCGGGATAGCTCAGACTCCGCATATTGCCCGTCCAAAGCTTCGCGACCTACTCTTCACCTTTTCACCACACCTCGCTCTCCACTCTTCACACGTTTTTGAGGGCCTGCGAGCTCGTTTTGCGGCATCTGAATAGAGCTCTCGCATCGCCGTCAATATGATGTCTATCAGGCCCTTCAGTCGCCTGGCTACTCGCCTGGTACGTACAGTTACATCATCCCTCCGCACCTCAAAACATGCGCTGCATTCAACCTTCCCACGCCGCGATAACGATACCTATATGGCTGGCAATGCTAACACTGATTCTTATAGGGCTCCAATGTCACGACCGTTAGTTTTGACTGCCGCATGTAGATTTCCGCAGCTTGCAAGCTAACACATGAGCAGCCCCTCCGAGCCAGCCGAGCTGGCTACGCTACCGTCTCCGACCCTCCTCTCGACAAGAAGGTACGCCAAATCGACTCGCGATGCTTTGCACGCAATAAATCTGACATGTTGGACAGGTTGAGATGACCAACTGGGAGAAAGGCCACTACATCAACTACAAGTAAGATCTCCGGACGACCAAGGCCGTTAAGACCATTGATGGGCTCTCAGCTGACGGGATCGTGCAGGAAAATGTCCGAGAATCTCTCCATTGTGAGAAGCAGACTCAATCGCCCTCTCACCTACTCCGAGAAGATTCTGTACTCCCACCTTGACGACCCTCACGGACAAGACATTGAGCGTGGCGTTTCATATCTCAAGCTGCGACCAGACCGCGTCGCCTGCCAGGATGCTACCGCTCAGATGGCTATCCTGCAGTTTATGTCCGCCGGCATGCCTTCAGTGGCGACTCCGACCACTGTCCACTGTGACCATTTGATTGAGGCTCAAATTGGCGGTGATAAAGATCTGGCTAGGGCTCAGGACATCAACAAGGAGGTCTACGACTTCTTGGCCTCTTCTTGCGCGAAGTACAACATCGGTTTCTGGAAGCCTGGTTCTGGAAGGTAAGATCTCGCGTTACTCCGCTTGACCTAACTATCTCATGCTAATGTTGCTATAGTGAGTCTTTGACAGCCGACGACACGATTTCGCGTCATCCCAAGCTGGGCAGCTTTGGCTGGCTACCCTCAACACCCTCACCTCCTTCACGGAATTTCAATGCTAACTGTTGAAAGTCATCCATCAGATCGTCCTGGAGAACTACGCCTTCCCCGGTGGCTTGATGATTGGCACCGACTCGCACACGCCTAATGCTGGTGGTCTTGGTATGGTTGCCGTCGGCGTTGGTGGTGCTGATGCTGTCGATGTCATGGCCAGCCTGCCGTGGGAACTGAAGGCCCCGAAGATGATTGGTGTCAAGCTCACAGGCGAGATGTCTGGCTGGACTGCACCTAAGGGTAAGATACCTCGGCCAATTTCGTCTAGCTCTATTGACTCGACGCAGATATTATTCTCAAGGTTGCTGGTGAACTCACCGTGAAAGGTGGCACAGTATGAAACCCCCCAATATTATTTATTTGCCAATGTACTGACATATCTCAGGGCGCAATCGTCGAATACTTTGGTGAGTAACATCTACTCTGTAACGTGTCCTTGGGCTTCTCTATCTGAGATCCTGGTGGGAGACTTTGCTCCCAGGAGGACAGAACTTCCTCTGAGGGCCGGAGACAATATGGGCTATTCTCGAGCAGCTGACTAACATCAATGCTACCAGGTCCCGGCGTCAACAGCATTAGCTGCACCGGCATGGGCACCATCTGCGTAAGTCATTCCCCTAGTAGATCCCTGATCCTTTCAGATGGTCTTCACAGGTCGAATGGATTCACTGAGTGGATTCATGCACGTGAACGCGACCCGGCGGTCACAAGCGAGGAGCACCGTCACATCTACCTTCTGAATCAGGTTTTACCAAAAGATGCTGACCACTGTATAGAATATGGGAGCTGAAATTGGCGCTACCACCTCGATCTTCCCCTACAACGACCGCATGTATGACTATCTGGCTGCCACGAAGCGCAAGGCTATTGGCGACTTTGCCCAATCTTGGGCCCACGAACTCAAGGAGGACCAGGGTGTTGAATACGACCAGTTGCTCGAGATCAACCTTTCCGAGCTTGAGCCACACATCAACGGCCCGTTTACTCCCGATTTGGCCACTCCCATCTCTAAGTTCAAGGAGGCAGTGGCCGAGAACAAGTGGCCCGAGGAATTGAAGGTCGGGTTGATCGGTTCTTGCACCAACTCCTCATATGAGGACATGTCTCGCGCTGCATCCATTGCCCAAGATGCGATGGACCACGGTATCAAGGCCAAGTCTCTCTTCACCGTCACCCCTGGCTCCGAGCAGATCCGTGCCACGATCGAACGCGATGGCCAGCTGAAGACCCTCGAGGAGTTTGGCGGCATCATCCTTGCTAATGCTTGCGGCCCAGTAAGTCTCCGAGCAATATCCAATCAAGGCTACAAGATGAATTCTTCGTGCTAACCAGGCCATCAGTGTATTGGACAGTGGGATCGTCAGGACGTCAAGAAGGGCGAGGCCAACTCTATCATCTCCTCCTACAACCGAAACTTCACCGGACGCAACGATGCTAACCCGGCTACTCACTCTTTTGTCACTTCACCGGATCTCGTTGTGGCTATGACCATTGCCGGTGATCTCAACTTCAACCCGTTGACCGACACTCTCAAGGACAAGGATGGCAAGGAATTCAAGCTCAAGGCACCTACTGGTGACGGTCTACCTCGCAATGGCTATGACCCAGGTCGCGATACATACCAAGCCCCCCCGGAGGACCGCGCATCGGTTCAAGTCCAGGTATCACCCTCGTCTGACCGTCTTCAGATTCTGGAGGGCTTCCAGGCATGGGATGGCAAGGACCAGCTTGACCTGCCAATTCTGATCAAGGCCCAAGGCAAGACCACTACTGATCACATCTCGATGGCCGGTCCCTGGCTCAAGTATCGCGGTCACTTGGACAACATCTCGAACAATATGCTGATCGGTGCCGTCAATGCCGAGAACGGCGAGGCCAACAAGGTCAAGCACTTCAAGACCGGCAAGTACGACGCTGTCCCTGCAACTGCCCGCGAGTACAAGAAGGACGGCATCAAATGGGTTGTCGTTGGTGACTGGAACTACGGGGAGGGTTCATCGCGCGAGCACGCCGCTCTTGAGCCCCGTCATTTGGGTGGTCTCGCCATCATCGTCCGATCTTTCGCTCGTATTCACGAGACCAACTTGAAGAAGCAGGGCATGCTTCCTTTGACCTTCTCGAATCCTGAAGATTACGACAAGATCAATCCCGATGACAAGGTGGACATCATGGCCACTGAGCTCGAGGTTGGCAAGCCTATCACCATGAAAGTGCACCCCAAGGATGGCAAGGAATGGGATTGCCAGCTTTCTCACACCTTCAACGAGGGCCAAATCAAGTGGTTTAAGGATGGCAGTGCGCTGAACACCATGGCCAAGTCCGCGGGCCACTAAGCAGAATGTGATTGGTAGGGGATCTACATGAGGACAAGCATGAGCCAGCGCTAGCCACAGTCGGGGCTGCAAAGGCTGCACGAGATGGCTGGGCGGAGCGAAGCACGCACGAGACAATGAGACTAGAATGGAATGAAGCCGTGGCAGGTGTGGGGGAGGAAGAATCGGGATACCTTGTACGTACGTGTTTCATCAGCGCTATCGAATACCAGTCTAAATCCACCGTCTATTCTATATCAAATGCGTACTAGAGATGCTTTCGAATTCCTTTGCGATCATACTGTATTTCCAATGATTATCAACAATGCAAGTACTTGTATCATTCCTGGCTAAACCCTGGTATCTGCTATTACTGTTCTGCATGTTCTCGCTAGTGGGTTCGCTGTGGATCAAAGGACGAAGGACTAAAAGTACAGTAATAGTCGGTATCATAGCTGTCCATTCGACCGTGAACCGCACCTTATTGGTAGTATCACGAAGTATCACAGTAGAAGCTTGTCGTGAAAAACGACGTGCCTCTGAGTATATTTGCATGCCTCAGTCGCGCGTCACTCGTAATTCATTAGTACCTCACATGTGCCTCACTTGTACCTCACTTGACGATATACGCCTCGGATCTTATCTGGACGTCATTCGAATTGCAACATATGCAGACCTAGGTCCTCGTCGCACCAACTCAATATTTCTCGACGATATGAAACGCCGCTGCCGTCCAGCACTAATTGAACCCCTGGGCGGAGCCAGTACCTCGATATCAGCACCGCCGAGAAGTGCCAATCATCCGGATCGGGTGCTGAAGCTGCGACGCTCACCGCTCTCCGCTGCTACCAGCACCAGGGCACCGGGGTCAACACAATTGACGGGGAGGTTCCCGAGAGTCACAGCAGACTACCACCCAAAAACCTCTGTTGTGAATACGAGGAGGGCGCCAGTCACTTTTATCGATTCGGAAAGGTGATCTGCTGTGATTCCGGGGAGGCCGTTCGTCGATATCGTCGATAATTCACTGTGACCTTCTAGGAAACCCAGAAGCCTTCAAGTCCCCGTCAGTCTTGTCGACCCCTGGTGGAGTCCTCCCAGCCTTGTCCGCCACGGAGGCTCGGCATAGGTTGGTGGGTATCGGGTTGTCTGAATGCCACCCGCTGATCGCAAAAGAAAAGAGAAATCTTCTAGAGTTTTCTATGCCTCTCCACCGGTATGCTGCGTATCATCGAACGGTCCCTGGCACGAGGTCGAACAAGGTTTCCTGCTTTCCGCTCGTCGCTGGAGTTGTTGAGAGCGCAGTTATGTCGTACTGCGATACGGAAAGCGGCCTGGGCGCCTGGGCATGCTCGGCATTCACGGTAGGACGCTAGAGGTGATTTGGCAGCGGAACGCTGCGGCTTGCTAGTGGTCAATCAAGCGGCCATCATCGGACTTTTTGCCCCCGTCTGTGCCCGGCTGGATGTGAGAAATCAGCCGCTGAGATGCGCCACGGAGCAGCCTCGAATTTTGAAGGATTGCCACGCCGCCGAGAGCCAGCCAAGCTCTGGGCAGCCGCAGGCTTTGAAGCTGACTGGCTCGCGTCGGCAACTCGGAGACCAGGTCTGTTGAACTCCAGCTGCTGCGGCGCGTCACATTCGCAATCGCTTGCGATCAGCATTCACGAGCTTCCCGAGGTGTCCGATCGAAATCGCTGTGCGGGACAGCTCAAGCGACCCCTCGAGCGTTTGACAACGGTCGGGGTTTGGTCGCTGGGGTGTCGAGTTTAGAGTTGAGCATGCTCGCCGCTCCGGGAACCGATCAGGCTTTTGAACAGGCGCGGAATCAACCCAATTTTTGCCTCTACATGTTCATCATGGGCCAGAGTCTATCAGTAGCTGGCTTCTAGCTTTGATATCATGCGTCACATAGCACTTGGCGTAGGTGGAACGCCACCCAAGACTTGCCCAGGTTCTGCATTCATCCCACATGGGTCCATGGAGGGGTGCCTCAGACTGTCGAGATGCTTGGTATGGTCGAATCTCCACCAAAGATGCCTCTACATCCAAGCACGGAATCCTTAACGTTGTAGTTCGCGCTTGGCGCGCCGTTCGTTGAGACAGTCAAACCGCCTACGCAGCTCGGCTCGCGTATGATGGAACCTTTTCTGGAGCGTGCCTAGACATCTTCGCCATGAGCATGAGGTCAATGTTTATCTAGGCCGCCCGGTGCTCAGAGCATGGGATATTTATCTATCCAAGGCGGGGCACCAAGAAACTCTGCTTTTTCCCTTTCTTCAGCTGCCAAAGTGGTTGTCGCCTTCGTCCTCTACTTGATTGATGATAGGTGCTCTACTCTCCTATTGATGTCTGCATTGATCGCATCAGTCATCACCCGATTACCTCCTTAACCTGAGCCAGCATTGCCGCAGGAACTGAAAACCGACAGCCTGACCAGACGACAAATCGATTGTGAGCTCGAGAGAGCTACCCACCAGCAAGATGGGTAAAGACCAAAAAGCCATGCAGGCGAAGCTCGACAGCCACAAGTCGGGTCAGTCTAACGAACCTATCTCGGCTCCAGCGCATTGTCTGTCATTCGAGGAGGTGGTCAAGGAGTTGGAAAGCTCCGCCATCGACGGCCTCACGCCCGACGCTGCAAAGAAACGCCTCGAGCAGTATGGCAAGAACGAGCTTGACCAGGGCAGTGGTGTCAACCCCGTCAAAATTCTGATACGACAGATCGCCAATGCCATGATGTTGGTGAGTTTCTCCCCGCACCAGCCGTATATGCATAGAAAATCTGACCAATGTTAGGTGCTCTTCTTGGCCATGGGTGTGTCCTTTGGCATCCAGTCATACATTGAGGGCGGTGTCGTGGCCGGCATCATTATCCTGAACATCATCATTGGATTCATGCAAGAATACTCGGCCGAAAAGACCATGGATTCGCTACGGTCCCTGTCTTCACCAACCTCGAGCGTTATCAGAAACGGTAACGGTATGGTTGTACCTACGATTGAAGTGGTCCCAGGCGACATGGTGGAGCTGAAAACTGGAGGTAAGCCGCGCCCCCAAAAGACGTTGCTTTAGGTGGGAAGTTTCCGTGCTAACCGCCCCTGTACAGACACTGTCCCGGCTGACATTCGGTATGCACTCATACGTCACTTTGTTTTCCCCCAACGCGTTTCCGCTAACCGAAGTCTAGGTTGCTCGAAGTCTCGAATTTTGAGACTGACGAGGCTTTGCTCACCGGAGAATCCCTTCCCGTCACCAAAGAAGCTGAGGCTACTTTCCCCGAGGACACAGGCCCTGGAGACCGACTCAATGTGGCGTATTCGTCGTCCACCGTCACCAAGGGCCGTGCCCGCGGTGTTGTCTTTGCTACGGGTATGATGCATCACCCCCGGATGCGGGCCCCCAAAATGCTAATTGCTGTCTAGGCATGTTCACTGAGATCGGCACCATCGCTGCAGCACTCCGCGGCCAGAATCAACGTATCCGACAGCCCAAGGTTTCTAAGGACGGCAAGGTCAAGATTCACCGCAAGGCTCAGGCGTACGGGTTGACTCTTGGTGATTTCATTGGTGCCTTCCTCGGCGTCAATGTCGGCACTCCTTTGCAGCGCAAGCTGTCCCAGCTGGCCATCGCCCTCTTCGGAATTGCTGTTGTCTTTGCCATTATCTGCTTGGCCGCCAATGACTTCCAGAACAACCGCGAGGTTATCATCTACGCTGTGGCTACCGGCCTGTCCATGATTCCCGCCTCCCTGATCGTCGTCCTGACTATCACCATGGCGGCTGGTACCAAGCGCATGGTGGAGCGAAACGTTATTGTCCGCAAACTCAACGCTCTCGAGGCACTGGGTGCTGTCACCGATATCTGCTCCGATAAGACTGGTACTCTGACCCAAGGCCGCATGGTTGTCCGCAAGGCTTGGATTCCTTCCAAGGGCACTTACTCTGTCGGTGAAAGCAGTGAGCCATTCAACCCCAACTCCGGTGATCTCTTTCACACCAAGACGAACCCGTACGATGATGATGATGACAACAGCGAGTACAATGTTCCCCCCGAGGAGGATGATCGGAGAACCTACCAACAATTGCTCGAAAACAACGTGCCGCTGGAAGAATTCCTCAAGGTAGCATCTCTTGCTAATCTTGCCACCGTCTACAAGTCGACCGACCACGAAGGCTGGACTGCTCGCGGCGATCCTACAGAAATTGCCATTCAGGTCTTTGCATCACGATTCGACTGGAACCGCAAGGGCAAGGTCGAGGGCGAGAACCCTCCCTGGAAACTGGTCACCGAATACCCTTTCTCGTCTGATGTCAAGAAGATGTCCGTCATTTTCGAAGACACTCAGTCCAAGAAGAGGTTCGGCTTCACCAAGGGCGCCGTTGAGCGTGTACTGGATTCCTGCATCAAGGTTGATCTTGCCGGCGACGGCGAGGTCGTCGATCTGACTGCCGACTTCAAGGAGCAAGTTCTCTCTAACATGGAAGCCCTTGCTAGTCAAGGTCTCCGTGTGCTTGCGCTCGCTTCTAAGCCCTGGGATGGCGAGTCGGACACTTCTGACGAGACTCGCGCCAAGATTGAGTGTGATCTGACTCTTCGTGGGTTGGTTGGTCTGTACGATCCTCCTCGGCCTGAATCCAAGGACGCTGTCAAGCGCTGCCACCGTGCAGGTGTCGGCGTGCACATGCTGACTGGTGATCATCCCGGTACCGCCCTTGCCATTGCCAAGCAGATCGGCATTGTCCCCGAGAAGCTCGGCAATGTTTCTGAGGATGTTAATGCTGCTATGGTTACTACTGCTGCCCAGTTCGACAAGCTCTCTGATGACCAGATCGATGCTATGCCGGTACTCCCGTTGGTTATTGCCCGGTGCGCGCCCCAGACCAAGGTGCGCATGATTGAAGCCCTTCATCGTCGCGACCTTTTCTGCGGCATGACTGGTGACGGTGTCAACGATTCACCTTCGCTGAAACGCGCCGATGTCGGTATTGCCATGGGACAAGGTGGCTCTGATGTCGCTAAAGATGCTTCGGATATCATTCTCACTGACGACAACTTCGCCTCGATCCTTAATGCGGTTGAAGAAGGTCGCCGTATCTTCGACAACATCCAGAAGTTCGTGCTTCATTTGCTCGCTCAGAACATCGCGCAGGCTGCAACCCTCCTTATTGGTCTTGCCTTCAAGGATGCGACTAACATCTCCGTCTTCCCCCTCGCGCCTGTCCAGATTATGTGGGTTATCATGGTTACCTCCGGTCTCCCAGATATGGGTCTCGGTCTCGAACGCGCAGCTCCGGATATCCTGAATCGTCCCCCGCAGAACCTGAAGCGCGGTATCTTCACCAACGAACTACTGATTGATATTCTCGTCTACGGCGCATGGATGGCGTGCCTTTGCCTCGCCTCCTTCACGCTTGTCATGTGGGGCTTTGGTGACGGAAACCTGGGCGCCGGGTCCTGCAACGAGACTTACAGCCAAGAATGCGACACAGTATTCCGCGCCCGCGCCACCACTTTCGTGTCCATGACCTGGTTCTCGCTGTTCTTGGCATGGGAGCTGATCAACTTCCGCCGATCGTTCTTCCGCATGCAGCCCAAGAGCAAGCTCATTTTTACCCAGTGGATGCTCGATGTATGGCGCAACAAGTTTCTGTTCTGGTCGGTCATGTTTGGTTTCGTCTCCATCTTTGCGCTGCTGTACATCCCTGTTATCAACCACGATGTCTTCAAGCACACGGGTATCAGTTGGGAGTGGGGCATCATTATTTGTGAAGCGGTCTTGTTCTTCGGTGGTATCGAAGCGTGGAAGTGGGCCAAGCGTGTCTATATCCGACGCCGGGCCAAGAAGGCTGGCGGTGGCCAGGCCCGACGTCTGTCGAGCGTGGTCTTTGATGCGTACTCGGGCATTCGTCCCGGCGAAGGACCGAACGACGATGAGGATGACGAGAGTGAGAAGACGGCAACGGACGGCAATAATGCCAACGGCGAGAGGCATGCCATGTCTGGAAGGGATGTGGAGAAGGCTTGATTCGCAGCGTCCTGGTACATTCCATGTGATCAGAAGTGCTTTGGTATCAAGCAAGCGTTTTTGAGCAAGTCGATGGCTGACGATAGCGTTGTGTGGGAAGGCTTCGTCAGATAATGGGAGAATAGAAGAACATGATGTGAGTGCCGCACATGTAACTGAGAGAGGTCATATTCCTGCCCGCAACGGGAGTTTTTGGCCAGCTTGAGGGAAGAAAAAGCAAGCGAGCTGGCTTCTCTGGCGCAATACGGCGCTGGAACATGAACATACTTTCACGTTGAGCTGTTCATCGTGAAGGAAGGTAGAGATGCAAGAAGAGACTATCAAATCATCAACAGCTTTGAGCGACCCGAGTTCCAGTCTCTTGATGAATCGTGTGAAAATAGCTGTGGCTAGGAACCTGGGAGAAAACACGCCAAGACTGTCCCAACCGAAAGTGTCACCCTCCCATTGTTGGCAAGAGTCAAACTTGACAACATCGACGACGACGGTAACGTCTACCAACCCGGGATATCTCGACTTTCAGTTATGGTGCATCGAACGCGCCTGCCATGCGTAAACAACGCGTGATATCACGTCTCGGCCACGGTTGTACGTTGTCTTGGTCTTCTCACCCATACCACTCGTAACGGAGATCAAATCCTCATCACTCGCATACACGCTATGGCTGAGAACTATTTTCGATGTCTTCTTCCCGCAGCAAACACGCGCTGGGTCAGGCCTGTGCTGGCTATCTGCCACGAGCAATGCAGAAAACAACCCAGGATCTCCCTGTCAATGTCGAGATAGAATGGCGTGCCAGCACGGCCTCGAATATCGTGCCAATGATGCCCTCGTCGACGACGGCCAGTGCGGTGTGGTCAGATCCTCTTCTGCGAATGCTACATTCTGCGCACGAGACACCCTCATTGAGCGGACAGCTCAGTAACGACCCTGCCATCCAGCACCCAAAACTCTCATAAGCGCGGGCCGGTGAGTTCTTTTCGTCCCCATCTACCTCGTTTCGCTACACTCGTTTTGGTTTCAAGGTTCTGCAGCGTCCCTTCGTTTAAATCTGCATTTTGTACGTACAACATTCATTCTCTTGCGTGCCCACCATGTGGCCCAAGAACACACTCCTTTTGCCTCTGCTTGCTCTTTGCTTGGGTCTTGGGGATGCCCAGGGTCCCCAAACTGTCACCGTCGACAGCGCCGGCCAAACGTGCCCGCCTGCCCTAATCACTTCCACCATCATCTATGATATCACCTATAGCCAGTTCTTTCAGTCCGCCGGTCAGATCATCACTATCAACGGTGGCACAGTTACCATCAATAATGCACCCACGACTATCATCACGAACTTCCAATCGACGACTACGGTCGTGAGTACTATTGGAGTGACTGTTACGGTGACAACTGATAGCAATGGAAATACTGCTGATCCTGGCCAAGGGAGCGGGAGCAATACTGTTCCGACTGGCACAGGCCCATCTGGGTCTGGCAGTCAGCCGCCCGCAACAGACACAGGCTCGGGCGGTAGTCAGCCACCTCCAACCGGCACAGATACAGGCTCAGCCAGTGGTCAGCCAACCTTGACAGGAACAGGCTCGGGCGGTGGTCAGCAGCCATCCCCGACGGGCACAGGTTCAGGCAGTGGCCAACCTCCCGTGACTGGCACTGGAGGCGCCCCCGACTCGGGTGCTAGCCAGCCGCCTGTTACAGGATCCGGAGACCAGCCCGGTTCAACGCCCAATATCATCTACCCTGTTCAGCCACCACCAACTACCAGTCCGGCGCCGCCCCCACCCATTGTCTACGTGACCACCAATGAGGCCGGCGAGACCATCACCGTCACCACCGAACAGCCATTGATCACTCTGGGCGCAGGTTTCCCAAGTGGCGTCGTCTCCGATCTTCCACCAGATGACCCAATCCTGCTGGCTTTTCAGTTTCCTGAGGTGCCTGACGCGAAGGCCAAACGGCAAGCTCCTGAACCTGGCGATGACTTGGCTGGTCCTCCGGCTGCGGGATTTGCTCAGGATGCTGGGGGTCAAGCCGGGAACAATTGTGCTGTGGCAAAGCGGTTCTATCTCGAAAATGGTAAATTGCTAGTGCAGAACAGCTCGTTCCCGGTCGGTCGTAATGCTAGCCAGGACTGGTCTTTCCTTGGCGCTGCTGAGTCTCCCACCGAAGTCCAGAATGATATCGTGTTCGACGACGGCAGGTTCAGGTGGAATACCCCGGACCGTGGGCTCGCCACGTTCTACCAATGCGGAGACAAGAGGATGTATGCTGGCTGGCCAGGTCCTAATCGACCTGATTGCTCTGTGGTCGAGATCGGCGGTGTCAAAGCTCGCTTTTGTCCCGTTGACCTTACCCTGAGAGCTGCGGCGGACCCTCCGGATGACTCTGCCTCTTCTACGACGGCGAGTAACACGGACAGCCAACCTTCCCCGAATGGAGTTTCAGCAACTCCCTCCACTCCAGGCTCCTCCCAAGGACCACCACCTCAAACCACGAACCCGGCTCAGCCTTCTACTGGTGTATCGGCCCCCCAGAGCCAGAGCCAGAGCCAGAGCCAGTCGGCCAACACCCCCTCCGCCAGTGCGACCGTCAGCCAGCCGCCTCCACAAGGTTCGAGCAGCTCGCCTCGAGCTTCCAGTAATTCCGTAAGCGTGGTGCCCACACAGGGTCCCACGGGTGGCACTTCCGGTGCCGTTCAGCCTACACTGGGACCTTCGAGTACCCCTGGGCAGCCTTCATCAGCCCCCCCTACGCTACCGCCGTCAGCACCGGCTCCATCAAGCAGCTCTACCCGAGTTGGCTCTGCGAGCAGTGTTGTCACGTCGGGTGCCGCTGTTACTTCGGCCAGCGCGCCAGCCAGCGCGTCTACAGGCGTTGTGACACAGACAACGACGCCAGGGGCACAGCCTTCTGCCTCGTCCTCATCATCAGGGTCGAACGCAGCCACTGTTCCCGGAAGCAGTCTTACAGCGTCCAGCGCTGCGTCTAGCGCCAGCAGCGTCAACATCAGCGCGGGACGATCGAGTTCCGTTACCGCGTCGTCTGCGACTTTCTCCGCTGCGCAGACTATCGTGACTTCTGCCGCCACAGGTGTCACGACAAGCTCTGTGTCGTTTGCAAATGCGTCAGTATCTGTCAGCACCGCATCCACGAGTCCGAACCCAGCCGCTGTTATGTCGAGCTCGTCTTCCGCTTCGGTCCCGGCGCCCTCTGAATCGTCTACCAGCCGCGGCACCTTCACCGGCACCAGGTCACGATCCAGCTCTTCTACTGGTGAGAATGCATTTCTAGACTTAGCGTTTGATGTTCTGACGTGTCGATAGATACAGGTAGTTCCACTTTTGTTTCTGCCCCAGCCCTTTCCCCCTCGTCGTCTCTTGTCCCGCCCGGCCTCTCGACCTCGACCTCCGCAGGCAGCATTGTCGTTAATCCTGGCCTGGGAACTGTGTCTACCTCATCGGTGAACGTACCTTCGACGTCGGCGACAGTGTCGTCTCGGACTTCGGCATCGTCCCGGGGACCGTCAGGTGGCTCTTCTTCTTCTTCCCCCAACGCCCTGTCTTCGATAGTAACCAGCAGCGGAAGCACCGGTTCCTTGGTATCAACATCGAACGTTGCAAGCTCTGCTGCTGCTGCCACGGCCACCTCGGACTCCACGTCAAACCGCGGGTCTTTCACAGGCACAAGAACACAATCTAGTTCCTCATCAAGTTCTAGTAATGAACTTAGCACGAGCGGATCATCTGCGAACAACCAAGTTCCATCATCTAGTCAAAGTACTGGTACGTCACCTTCCACAATTCCTTCCATATCTTTCGCACCGAGCACGGAATCTTCAGCCTCTACATTGGGGGGACCGGGTTTCACACCTTCCACGACGGATATCACATCTGTTGAGGTAACTGCATCTACTGGTAGCCCCTCGTTCACCAGCACAACCGCCGTGTCAATCGATTCGTCCAGCGATGCATCGAACGAATCGTCAAGTGCATCGTCAAGCGACGCGTTTTCAACCCCAACCGAGACAACAACTGTGTTGATCTTCAGCTCGTTATCTTCAGGGACGGTGTCGCCTCTGGACACCACCCAGATATCCGGCGCATTAACAAGTACTTCCGTTGAAGCTGGTATATCGATGGAAACAAGCTCTTCTTCCGACTACTCGGTAGCTTCTTCCAGCGAGAGCACAACGACATATATTCCCACCACGGAGGAAGGAACGTCTACTTCTCCATCTGTCGACACTACGTCTTCACTTGGAGGAAGTGTTTCTCCACCTGTCGACACTACATCTTCACTTGGAGGAAGTGCTTCTTCGTCGGAAGACACTACCCAAGAATCCAGCGAGACAGGTTCAACGTCTGCTGAGTCCACTGTTACTACAGCTACTGGCTCGTCTGCTGGTCTCGAATCCTCCTCGTCCAGCGAGACAATCTCCCCGTCTGCTGTATCCACCGCATCTTCAGATCCAGGTCCCTCATCTGATTTCACAACCTTTTCAAGTGAAACAGCTTCTGTATCTGTGGTAACATCTATATCTACAGGATCGGTTCCTTCATCTGTTGATGCAAGCTCTGCGTCTAGCGGTACGAGCGCCGCCTCCAGCGGAACAACACCAACATCTAGCGACACTACAAGTTCTGCAATCAACGAGATATCGTTTTCGTCCGACGGTGTAACGCTGGTGTCTAGCGCAACATCCTCCTCTGTCGATGCAGTCTTCTCATCTAGCCAGTCGAGCTCTGCGTCTTCAGAAGCCACCTCTGCGTCCGCTGCCACCAGCTATGCAGAAAGCCGGGCATCTTCGTCTGCAGGAGTATCCTCTAGTGGAACTATCACTTCCAGCGACACCACTGGCATCATGTCGTCCACAACAGGATTCACGAGCGACAGCACCGTCACATCTTCGACGCTTGACGTAAGCTCTAATGCTTCTCTGCCAACCGTGGCAAGCTCTAGCCTATCTTCTACTGCGGATGCGAGCTCGAGTACTTTGGCAACAAGTGACGCAGGCTCCAGCACCGTCACATCTTCGACGCTTGACGTAAGCTCTAATGCTTCTCTGCCAACCGTGGCAAGCTCTAGCCTATCTTCGACGGTCGATGCGAGCTCGAGTAATTTCGCAACAAGTGACTCGAGCTCCAACACACCTGCAATAGGCGCGACCTCTTCTTCCACTTCTACTGGAGGCGCGAGTTCTAGCATATCCTTGACAAATACAGAACCGTCATCCAGTTCAAGTACCGGTACGTTATCCATCATCTCCCTCACATCTTCTGAATCAAGCCCCGGGCCTTCAACCCCCACGCCTGATGAGACGACTTCAACCATCTCCGCCGAAGACGCGTCTACCTCATCATCTATTTCGTCGGATTTTACAAGCGATAGCTCTATCAGCGATTCAGGCTCCACCCAAACTAGCACGAGCTCTGTATCTGTTGTGCTTGAGCCCAGAAGTGCTAGTTCCACGGATGACACAAGCTCAGCCGAATCTTCGATGACAACCTCGTCCGCTATTTCAGCTGAATCTACGAGTGAGAGTTCTGCAAGCGACACAAGTTCCATTGAGATTACCTCGACTTCTTTCTCTACTGCTGCTACGAGTGACAGCACGAGCGAGAACACAAGCTCGGCCACTTTATCAGATGCCACGAGTGAAAGCTCTGCAACCGATACAAGCTCCAGTGAGATTATCTCGACTTCTTTCTTTACTGTCGCCACCTCTACCAGCGACAGCAGGAGTGAGGACACAAGCTCAGCCACTGCATCAGATCCCGTGGGTGAAAGTTCCACCGTTGATCCTAGCTCGAGTGAGCTTGTCTCCAGCACGTTATTTACGGTCTCTACCTCTACAAGCGATGTTACTTCTGAGGAGACGAGCTCAGCCACTACATCAGACGCCACAAGTGAGATTTCTCCAGCTGATTCCAGCTCGACCGAATCCACGGCGAGCTCTTTGGATACTTCCTCCAACGCTACTGGCGATTTCTCGACTGTTGAGACGAGCTCTACTGAGATCAGCACGACCACCAGCACATTTGACACTTCAACCGAGTTGCCGGTGACTTCGTCCGAGTCATCGTTCGAATCACCATCCACCTCCTCGGAGCTCTCATCTGTCTCACTCCCCACCTCAAGTGACGGATTTGCAGTAGACCCGAACTTGATGGAAACCTCTACGACGTCGACGCCGTTGAGCTCACCGTCGCTCATCTCATCTGAGGTGCCATTGACTTCGACCGAGTCATCTTCCGAAGTAGAGTCTGCATCTTCAGAGTCATCGCTTGCATTAAGTGAGACTGCCACAACGAGTGGTGCTACGAGCGATACAAGCTCGACGGAGGTGACGAGTGTGAGTTCTACGGATCAGGAAAGCTCAGCTGAAAGCACGTCGACACTACCGTCTGAAACCGGTGACTCGAGTTCTACGGATATAAGTAGCGAGGCAGTCAGTTCCTCAGAGAGCTTGAGCTCAACTGACACGACGACTACCCTTTTCACGCTCTCCACGATTGCTTCAGGTACGTTTGCCCCGGAAAAGTTCAAGCTATGACCGTGCTAAACGTCGCAGATTCTACCGATGGTACGTCACCGTCCACTACCGTGTTTGCTTCGTCGAGTTCTGCTTCCCTAGACTCGATACTCTCCTCTCCAGCATCAGACTCCATCTCCTCAATGGATGTCAGTGCTTCTGGTCTGGCCTCTGCTGCGACATCCGACGATTTTGAATCAACAACAAGGTCCGAGTTCGCTAGTAGTAGTATGGACGAACCCTCGAGTTCTGTGGAAGAGTCAACACTCTCAAGCAGCACAAGATCTTCGGAACCAGATACTAGTTCATCCGAGAGCACTTACTTCTCCTCCGAAACGATCGATGGGGAGAAGAGCTCGAGCATCATAGAGACGACTGTCACAGAGCCTTTAAGTAGTAGCTCTTTGTCCAGCACTACCCAAGACGAATCCGATTCGACGATCACCTCGATTAGCTTATCACCGTTGAGCACGACCGATGAATCAAGCATCACAGTGACGACGTTTGTAGAGTCTCTCGGCACTATCCCTTCACCAAGCACCACCGAGGACGGACCTAGCCAAAGCTCTACCACAGAGAGCTTGTTGTTGACAAGCACAAGTTTAGATCTGGGCTTTAGCAGCACCACGACGTTGTTGGACTCATCGACTATCACTGCAGGCGATCCATCACCATCACAAAGTGCAACGATGACAGCAAGTTCACTATCGACCTCTGATTCGTCGCCATCAGGTACAGATCCAGCTGCTATAATCGACACCAGCGCAAGCTCGTCGATCGTGACCACCACAGCCTCAATGATAGTCGATCCTGCACTACTGTCAACCACAAGGAGCGAAACAGATTCTGATGGCTCTAGCAACCTTATGGAGACCACTTCGAGCGACACGAGGTTGACGGCTGGCACATCGAGCACGGTTTCCACAGAGGTTGGCTCTTTGACAACAGACGTATCATCGAGCTCGGTTTCACCGGCGTCCGCAACGTTGTCCCCGGATCCAACTAGCACGCCGAGTCTGTCAGAATCAAGCGCAGAGGCCTCAAGTAGCTCTTCGGCTGTGACTTTATCGTCATCCGAATCAAGCTTTTCCGGCGTTGCTACTTCCAGCTCTGCAAGTACTGACACTATGCTCGCGCAAGGATTCATTACTAGCAGCATGACTGCTTCAAGTACTCCGCAACTAGGCTCGATAAGCTCCAGTCCATCTCCACCCGTGGAAACAAGCACAGTGCCGTCGCCTAGTGCAAGCAACACAGAGGCTGTCCCCACGAGCACATCCATATCTTCTAGCTCGTCTACAGCTGCCACATCTTTTGCTGTAGACCCAGCGCTTCTCTCCACAAGGACCAGCAGTGCAACATTGAGCAGCAGTTCAAGCCTAGCATCGCCGGATGAGGCGACTAGCTCGTTGGCTAGCTCTAGTATCTCACCCTCTATGAGCGCTTCGGTGACTTCAAGCTCGATCAGTCCCTCGCTCAGCTCTTCATTGATTCCAAGCTCACCGGTTGCTTCCAGCTCAGATTCACCATCAGTTACGAGCTCATCCACTTCCAGCTCAGCAGCGCAGGCGCTAGCAGCAACGACAACATCATCAGCTTCGTTGAGCACATTTACCACTCTGTTGACCAGCCCTAGCACATCTTCCTCCAGGCTTGCAGCGCCATCTTCTCCGACTTCATCCATCGGTATGTTCCTCCAGCAATGTTGCAGCGTCCTCAGCATGCGGGGGAGTCGCGTCACTCTTCCTCTCGCAACGAGACTCCGCGTTCTGCAGGACGAACGACCGTGCGATGAGACCGACCCAGATTGGGCCGTGCAGACGAAGACTTGCACCTGGTGGGAAGATGCTGCCTGCGCTTACGACACGTTCATCGGACCTTCAACGACCTGCAGATGTGCCATACGAACCCAGGAATATACCTACGCTGGACCAATGCCATCTCCTGACCGCAGGACCCTGACCCAGGCCAATCGACGGCGAGGATGGCCCAATCTGTTGCGTCTTATTGCACATCGCTCGTTCTTTGCATCTTCGCGTAACATTGGCTGACTTGAGAACTCTAGTGTCTTCATCCTCAACTTCCTCTCCAACTCCTGCACAAGTTGCAGATTCGTCATCCGCAACTGAGTCATCCTCATCGTTCTCGTCATCCTCGTCGTCCCCATTCCCAGTCCCACCCGAGCCGCCTTTCACTACTCGACCTACACCTGATCCCTTGGCAAGGACAAGTGCAACTACATTGGCCGCTACAGCGACCACATCTGCCAATACGGTGCTGTGCAATGGTAACAATATTCGTATCACCAATACAAACACCTTCGCAACATCCACCAATGGTGCTGGCACAACACTCGGTATTGCTTCTCAGCCCTCGCCTGTAAATGCTGGAGCCTACCACGGCAGGAAGGTCGCATTCGACAACGCTTTAGGCAGGCCTTATGCAATTCTCTGCAACGAACGTGCGGTGAACCCTGATGTGTAAGACTTTGCTCCTCCAGTAGTAATTTCATCTCGCTGACCGTCCAATAGTGGCAAGATCGACTTCGGCAATGCACTCACCTTTGAAGCTTGCATTGCACGCTGCAACATCCACGTTTTGACTGCAGGGAATACTTGTGAGGGTGTGTGGTGGCAGCAACAAAACTCTGTCTTCCAGACTGGCAACTGTCTTGGAGTTACTGCACTCAACATCGACGCCAAGTAAGTGCTTCTGAGTACTCACTGCCCGCAAGAAAACTGATCAGATCTTCCAGTCCTCCAAATATCGAAGGTGCAGCTCCAGCGATTGGCTACCCGGTCGGCCAGGTCCGCGTAGCCCGGCTGTTGACTTCGTCCAAGCCTCGGGTGACGGAAACCATCTTCTTCATGGCAAGCGACAGGAACCAAGCACTTAATCTCTGCACAGCTGGCAACTACGATGGCAGCTTTGTGAACACTCAACAGAGAAATGGTCCATTCAGAAGTGGTTCCGTCGGGACCTACCTCATCGGCTGCAGGGGCGTTACGTACGCGCCACAGAGCGGCCAGAATGCCGTGCCGATCCTAGGCAGCAATCAGATAGCCTACGACTGGACACGCAGGGTTGGTGATGGAACACAAGCCCCGCAGAATGCCGACGACTGTGCACGCCTGTGTGGGTGGATGTATCTCGAGAATCAGCTGGGGAGCCCGCAGAACACCAGCTATGCATGCCAGTCGTGGGAGTGGACTACCAGCAACACTTGCAATTTGTACAGGGACCGTAACTACGATGGCACCGCGAAACAACTTATTCAAACCACGGGCAAGACTGCTGTTGTTGCAGCAGGCGGCTGGGCCAGCGGTGCGCAACAGGTCAACTACGTCACGTCCTGGAAGCGAAGCATCAACCCTGGCCAGGCAGTCGGTCGGTATGTGCGCGATGTACAGGTCGAGGACGAATGGGAAGATTGGATGAAGGCGGACCTAGTCCTTGGTATGGAGGCAGTGTGGTAAAGAGGAGCAGAAAGGGGATCTTCTCTGGCGGGAACGTTGGCTCAACGACAGAGACGTTTTCTTTCTGAGCTCGCCATCACGCCGTCCACCGGCACGCAGTTTTTATGGTTCTTTCTACACATACATGTGTCTCGTCTTCCCTTTATTGTGGAGGACGTGAGGCTTTTTTGAGGAGGGGGGGGGGGGGTCGCTCCATTGGGTGGTGGGACTTTTGCGAGCATGGCCGGGATTGTGCTACAGTAGACTCATCTAGCTTTTGTCCTTTCTAGGTCGTCGTGGAGCACGTGGGGAGAGGAAGAGAGTAATACGTATTCTTTTTGCTGCAGAACCTATGCAAAATATCTGCGATTCGCTAGGTTTTCTCATCACGTTGAGGGTAGAGCGGAACTCAGAAAAGACAGGTGTAAGATGCCCTTGCCTCCTTTTGGCCCTGCGGGAGGTGGGGGGAAGGGAGAAGAGACGAGAGGCGCACATGAGCACAGAGGGGAGAAACGCGGTTGGTCAAAAAGCGGAAGCTTGGACATTTGGACGTTTGGATGTTGGATGCTGGATGCTGGATGCTGGATGTTAATTTCGCCTCGTAGAACTCTTCGTTATCTCATTAGGTCATTTACCTTGGTGAAAAAGGTACTTACATAGTGTGCAAGCTGCAAAATTCGCAAAGCAAAAGGATGGGCCCACGATAAGCCTCGCTGTCCCGTCCCATCCCATCCCATCCCACTCCATAATCATAATCATAATCATGGTCATATATGTGTCCCTCATGGTTTGCCAGGTGTGCCAGGCTCGTTGGCAACGCGCGAAATGCCACCTGCCAGGTAGATTTTTCCTTGGGGAAGGTGAGCAAGCAGGAGTCTGAGCGGCGTGCCCCCTTCCCTTCTGCCTCATCCTCTTCCTCTTCCTCACCCTCTCACTTTGAGAGATCCGGCCATAGCAACAAACTCTCACCAATCTCGACCTATGGACCCATTGGAAGATCCCGGTATGTATCATCGAAAACCCATATCAAAGCCACACCATGCCCCCCACAACAGCGAACATCCCTAATCCCACCGACGCCATGACTCGGGTCGGCAGTCTCGCCACCGCGCGTGGCCCGTTGTTCTGCACGGCCTGCGCTTGCTGTTGGTTATTATTATCGTTGTTGTTATAGACTGTTTGCGTAACTCTGTTTATTGTTTTGAGAGAGAAAAAGTCAGCACTTGAGTCTTCTTGCATCGGGGGGCGAACAGGGATCGAGTCATGACGAAGGACAAAAGGAGAATGGGTAAAAGGCACCGTGGGAAAAGGCCAAGGGTTTTTTTTATTCAGAGAGAGGCAAAATGGAAAAGTGGAAAGCAGCAGAAAGGGGGGAAAGCAGAAGTAATGAAAAGGAGCCAATGCCAACGGGAGATCTCAGCGCACACAAAGATCTATCGACAGGGAAAGTACATACACTCCCTGACCAGAAGGATACCAACACGTGCCCCCAAACTGGTTGCGGCAGCAGTTCTGGTCGTAGCAGCAGTTGTAGCAGTCGGTCGTGTCGTAGACGACCGTCGTCGAGGGGGCGCACGGGATGGTGGAGGTGATTGTCACGATGTAGCCCGCTTGCGTTTGGTAGTAGGTCGTGTAGCTGGTCGGTTGGTACCAGCCCCAGGTCTGGGCGGGTTGGGGAGCGGGCGCCCAGGTGGTTTGGGGTTGGGGAGCGGGGGTCCAGGTTGTTTGTGGTTGTGGGACGTAGGTGGTGGGGGTGTTGTCGTGCCATTGTCCGTCGTTGCTGGGAGGGGAGAGGGGGTGTTAGTTTGGGGTTGATGCGGTTGGTTGGGTGCACGTGGGGAGTGAAGATCTCCCGGAGGATGGGATGGAGGATGGGGAAAGGGGAGGCTAGAAGGTGGAGGACTGAGGTCGTTGGCGTACTAGGTATTATCCTGGGCATGAACGCCCATGGGTCGGAAGAGGACGGGGGAGGAGAGTGTAAGTAGAGTGGAAAGCTGTGGTAAATGCATGTTGGTGGGCGTATTGTGCTGGGAATGAGCTCGAGCGATATTGCGGTGTTGGATGGCAAGGCCAGTAGTAGATGCTAAGAGTAGCGGCAGCGGCGGCGGTTATGGATGGTGAGTGATACTGGTGTCGGTTCATTCACTGCCTGATTGCCGGGCCTGCGATTGGGCAATATCTAGCTGCGATTGGCGAGGAGCGGCAAATGGATCGACAGCAATGTACCAGCAGAGACTGTGCACGAGGTATACCTAGCCACCGCCCTGAGAATAAACAATGTAATTGTGCAAGACACCGAGAGCTCAACGACCGACGGTTACAGAAAGGTTTCTGACAATGCAAGAGCCCAGCTCGCAGGGTAGCTGACCTACTAAGTTGGAAGCTTCCCAGCATCGAGCTCCAAGGAAGCCGGCAGCTTCCAGGAAGTCCCGGCAAGGTAGGCTTCAACGGCAACGCTCACGAAAGAAGCTCGCGGCACGATGCCTTTCTTCACGTGTCATCGTCCACTGACGTGCATGACTGCGTTTAGGCGGGCCTTGCTCGAGGAAGAAAGTTGGTGGCTGGGAGACACATGAGGGCGATGGCCCGGAGCTCCGATTTGGGGAGGGGGTTGGCGGCGCGCTGGGTGTCCAATGAGAGGTGCAGCAATTGCAGCAGCTGCAGCAGCAGCGGGTCGGACATTGAATTGAACTGTTCTGCGGCCGCGGGCACGCTTTGTTCGATCGGAAGTCGTTGCATCGTGACCGTGTGCGATCTTTGGAGGCGATTGTGAATGATGATGGCAGGTCTGGTGAGACAGAGAGGGTGAGGTGCTCGAGGCTTGGCACTTGCTGTGGTGTGAACGGTAGGGCTACCATAACTGGTTTTCTAGACAGCGTCTCGACCGGTCATTGAGATAATCTACTTGCTACTACACGGTGCCTCTACGCTATCCAGTACCAGACCTTTTGCCACGCATTCTTCGGCACCGGCGCCTCATCCAGAGCGCAAATCTCATCAATCTCCCTCTTCCCACTGACCACATCGATCTCATGCGTCTTTTGCCCCAGCGGAGTGCGAAACCAGATCTTATGTCCAGCATACAACGCAAACATGATCGGTAGCGTAATGTAGGCGGCCAAGAAGTTTGCCGCGCTCCAGTTCTCCGGGAAGAAGACCTGAAAACCGTTTGTGATGGTAAGCAGGCTCATGAAGACGAGCACGAACCACGTGGCATATGGCTGGAAGCGAGTGATGTACGGACGGGTCTCGAGGAGACCTTGGAACTTGAGCGCCGAGCGGAAACGAAGGTAGGTGACCATCACGATGATCCAGGCCAGGAAGCCCGAGATGGTGCTGATGTTCATGAACCAGGTGAAGACGTTCGCACCAGAATTACTGACGTTCAGGAACGCCAGGAGGCCGATCGACCACGTACAGAGCACGGCGACGTATGGCACACCCTTGCGATTGGTGACGCCAAAAATGCGTGGCGCATCTTTCGAGAGCGCCATGCCGTACAGGACACGACTGCCAGAGTATAGGAAGGCGTTGCCAGCGCTCCAAGCCGAGGTAAGGATGGCGGCGTTGATGACATGATTGAGCCCGCTGATGCCCGCGCGCTGGATTCCAATCACAAAAGGAGAGGAACTGGCATTGGAGTCGGGCGAGAGCAAGCGGTCGTCGTCACTCGGGACAATGACACCAATAATGAAGCTGCCGAAGCCATAGAAGAACAATAGGCGCCACACGAAGCGACTGGCGGCTTTGGGGATGTTTCGGCGGGGCGCAACGGTTTCGCCCGCGGCCAGAGCAATCAACTCGGGCGAGGTGATAAACGCAAATCCAGCCCGTACCGTCGCAGTCCAGTAGCCCAGGAACCTTCCAGTATCTCCGTCAACCAAGTAGGGAGTGAATGCTCCTGGATTCTCCCAGTATCGAAAGCCAAGTCGGCCTTGATCGTTGGGGCTGCCTCCGAAGAAAATGACAAAGCCCAAAATGATCAGACCCATAATGGTGATGAACTTCAATGACGCAAACCAGAATTCCGACTCGCCGAAAAAGTGAACCGAGAAAATATTCAGGAGCAGAATGAGGACGAGATAGATGGCGATCCAGACCGCGCTTGGGACTGAAGTGTTCCAATAGTCCAAAAGGATGGCGCCGGCGGATGCTTCAGCTCCCACCAGCATGGAGTAAGCATACCAATAATTCCAACCACAAGCGAACGCAAGACTCGGCTCAACATAGCGTCGCACAAAGTATGGTATGGTAATGCCCTTCAGGGGGAGGTAGGTCACCATCTCCGCCAAGTCGTTCATGACCACATAAACAACCAGCATAAGAGTAAGGTACCCCATGAACAGAGGCGCAGGTCCAACGAGGGATAGAATAGCTCCAGAGCCAACAAAGAGGCCGGTGCCAATGGCGCCACCAAGCGCACTGCAGTAGTTAGCCTCAAGAACTGGCGATCCAGCGGAAGCACAACATACAGGAATTGAATGTGTCGGCTCTTCAGCGCACGTCGAGTCTCTCCACCACGTCCCTCTGCAAGGTTGACGGCTGCATTGAAGTCGGGCTTCTCGGCCTCGGCTTGGACGTTGTCGTATCCGCGGTATTCGGGTTCAACAGTGTTGGCCTCCACGCCGGAGGCCTCTGCCTCAGTCTTCATCTTTGCAGTATTCGACCACAGGAGCGGGAATAGTGTTCAATCGCAGAGTAACGATGAAAGCTCACGGTAAGTATCTATATGAACCGCGAGGTAATCGACTACTCCTCTGCCACTGAAGAGCACCCACAAATGACAGCCCGCCTGCTTATCTTGGGCCCGACTCACTTTTATACAGTGTGTACGGGGATGCAACATCGCGTCGTTTGGGAGGGTCCACAGCCAGGGCATGGCGTAGCAAGCTCTGCTTGTGCTCCATGCGACTTGGGTGCAGATCTTTTCCGCTCACCTTGCCCGAAAGGAGATCATCTCAGGGCGTGCTGCAGGCGTATTCGCGAGTTTCTGGCAAACCTTTTTTGCGGGGAGCCGAATGCCCGCTTGACCCTTGGACTGGGGGGCCCCCAATCTGTGGTGTCAGGAAATCTCCCTTGAGGATAGAAGAGTCATTGAAACTTCGACCACGGTTGGCTGTGGAGCAGTCAGCAGCAGCGGAAAATCGATCTTCACCGGTAGTTCCAAAGCCGGAGCACCCAAGCGGTCGGCCCATGCATAGCCACTTTTCATCGCGTAAGAGACCGTTAAGAATGCCTTGTGATTCTGGCCAAGGGCCGCAAAGGGCACTTTGCAGTCGCTTCTCCGTCTCAAGGTGGGCTTGTCATGCTTGGGTGGTGGCGGGAATGGAACGTCAAGAAATCACAAATGCCTGAAAGCTGCAGCTCGACGGCTGGGCAGATCTTGGCACAAGAAGTGCAGAAGTGCAGAAGTGTGCTTTCCGCTGGGCGGAGAGGGTCCCGATAGTTCTCTCCGTGGTCTCCGTGGATAAGCGTACGGTGAGCACATCGGTATCTGAGGTACCTTGAGTCAGGTTGTATACCATCAGTCCTCACGAAAAGTCCCCGAGACAGCAAGGCTAGAAGATCGTGACAGCAATATGCCAGACGCATGCATGCATTCATGGCGGAAGGCTGCTGGCATATGCTCTTGATTATGTGTATGGCATCAATAGTCCAGTCCGGGACATGATTCGAAACGCCATCTAGCTGAATCGTACTTGTGAATCAACGCTCAGTTTCAATGCTGGCCGCCGCCTTGTCCGCCCGCACCTCCTGCACCACCGGCGCCACCAGCGCCTCCGCCCATTCCGCCCATGAATTGTTGTGCGCTGATCATTTTTTAGCATACTATAGAATGTTGGGGACGGGCGACAACTCACAGGTTCTGCATGGCGGGATCTTGCATCATCTGCTGGATCTGGCTCATGTCTGGCATCCCACCTCCACCGCCACCTTCCCTTCTTTGGTTCAGCATGTTTTGAACCATGGGATTCTGCATGATGCTGCCGAGCGCGTCGGGATTCTGCATAATGTTGCGGGCCATTCCCGCGAACATCGGGTTGTTCATGAGACCTCCCAAGTCTGGCATACCTCCACCACCGCCACCGCCGCCCAGCATGCTGGCTAGCCCCGAGAGATCGGGCATGCCTCCCGGCGCGCCTCCACGGGTATTGCCTGGTGCATCATCCACGCCCTCAGCAGGCATGTTGTCTTCCTCTGCCTCCATGCGGCTAAGTTCTTTCTTCGCGGTCTCCAGTCCCCTTTTCATGGCCTCACTGCCACCATTGCCCTCATGCTCAATGCCCTTTTCGTAAGCGTCCACCGAACCCCGCGCATCACCCATCGCGAAACGGGCAAGACCCAGACGTGACCATGCCTTGGTGTACTTCGGGTCCGCAACCACGGCGATCTCGGCATCCTTGACAGCGGCAGCATGGTCGCCCGAGGCCGAGTAAGCAGCCGCACGGTTGGACAGGTAGATGGGATTGGTCGGCGACAACGCAATGGCTTGGGTGTACTTGTCAATCGCAGTCTTGTAGTCTTTCTGTTGCATAGCGGCATTGCCAGCGGATTTGAGCTTCTCCGCCTCCGGTGTCGAGGGGCTGGCACCGGTGGTCGGTCCTGTTGACGAAGCAGCTGCCGTTCCCGCTGGATCCTTCAGTTTTTCGTAGACGGAAAAGATATTGAACAGAGACTGGGCCCCGACGGCTTCTGAAACCGCGGCCTTGTCGGTGGGATCGACCTTGAAGGCATCCGCGATACAGTTGGTGGCAAACTCGACATTCTCGGCATCGTCCGCGGTCAGTGTACCGTCTTTGAGGGATGTAGAGAGGAAGTCGATGATGGAGAGGGCTAGCCTCTTTTTCGAGTCTGGGAGTGACTGCACCAAGTATTAGTGTCGAGAAACCTTCGTAGATAAGTGTCAGGGCTTACCATCGTGTCTGCGTGTGTTTGTGCAAAGGTCGGTGGGTGGGGAGCAAAAAGATCAGTGTTGATGCGACCTCGTTGTTGCGTCGATCGCAGCCTCGTCACTGCCCCGCCACTTTGCAGGCAGATCTTCGAGATTCGAGAACTTGGCATTTCGCTCACCTCCATTCTACTCTATCTTGGTTTATGTCTCTCCCGTCATTTATAGACATATCGGATGCCGACTGAGCCTACAGATATTACATAGTCGAAAACAACAGGTTTGTGGAGGCTGGAGCACTATGGGTGTATCTGGACTTCCCATCAGCAGTGGTGCTGTTGCACACGGACAAACTCCTCCAACTCGAACTCTCTCGTGGCTTAGACAGCGATCGTATGCTATGTAGATAGATGTCGTAACGCTATCGATATGATGGATTTCACTGTCTAGGTCGAATTGATGAATAAACCGAGCACCAATTCCCAGGGCTGCCGGGGAGCGGATGAGGGCCGAGTGAGCCTTAAAGCGGCCTCATCTTGGCACCCAACACGACGTTGGATCAGACCAGTACGGGCAGTGGTTGCCTTGTTCATCCTCTCTTGTTTCTCTAGCTAGGCAGGCGCCACATCAAAGCACTCTCAGGGTGTGACGAAGTGTGGTGTGCCATTCTCACGAACACACGCAGACTGGAGACCATGACCCTACCCTATACCATTCATTCTCGATAATGCCGGCATCCGAAAATGTCCCCACCGTGTGAGCTTTCAAGTCATGTATTGGCCATGCGGAGTTCCTCAGCTCTACACTCACCATGTTGCGAACCGAGAACTTGCCAACGGTGCACATGCCGCCCCGCAAAATGGGAACGACAAAGGCGGCCCGGCAGTTGACGAGCCTACGGATGGCATCCTTGATATCTGCACCACACGATCTGATCATCTTTTCGCCTCAATAACAGCTTCCAGTTTGAACGTATGGTCCACAAGGCCAACAGTCGTCTTGGCTACTCATGAAAGGTCCCAAAATTCGATTGAGTCCTTCGGTCACAATGTCAGTGTCCTGTTCAAGCCAGATAGTAGCACCATTGCAATCAGAACAAGCGGGAGCTACATCCTGACCTTTGCCGTCGACACTGATCCCCAGCATCGCGTTCTACAGCAGCATCACGGTCATAGCCAGTCTAGGCGACAGAGTGTTCTAAGACATTTCGGCGTAGATGAGTCTTATGGCCTCGCAGAGTTACTGCTGCATTTCCGACGTGTCATCAAAGTCGATGCTGGCATCCACCACATTATTGCTGCTGAGCACGAACTGGTGGTGGCCACGGTCAAGCCCGCAGCTGTCCAATGCATTCGATGGGAGCCTGGAGAAGGCCCCCAAGCCGTGGCTCAGGTCGTGAGCAAGTTGGAGTGGATGGCTAAAGCCGCCGTCTCGTACATGACTTTTGACCGAGCCATGAATCTGACCGTATGGATTGACACCGACGGTTCGGCTTATGCGGTACAACGTGCAAGGCCCAAGCCACCACGCAGTCGGTCCTCTGAGGAAGCCTTAGAGCAGACCAAATCGCCTGGTATGAAAAGTCCCCGACTTTTCCAGGGCTACCGCTTCCATAAACCGGAAGGTGGTGTTGCATCACGCGCAGCAATAAATGCAAGGTTCTCGCTATTGGCCATCGCACTTACTGATGGCAGTGTCTTGTGTTATGCTGCAAAGGACTACGTCGGAAACATTCCTCACTCGCACACCTTTAAAGCATTGGCGTCGCCTGCTACAACCGGCTCGATTGTATCGCTGAGCTGGTCGCCAGACGGCTACTGTCTCTTCGTTGGCTATGAAAAAGGTTGGTCGACGTGGAGCGTTTTCGGCCGTGAAGGTGCCTCGACCTTCCACTGCAACCCAGAACACGCCGAAACGAATGGAGATACCTGGTTGCTCAAGACGCGGACCGCGAACTGGACTGGTCATGGGGCCGAGCTTCTGCTTTCGGCCGGCGATCTCACCATATACAAGCTCGAAGTCTCGCGCAGTGCCGCTATCGGCTGCTTTTCTTGCGCGAACCTCGTGAGAGCCTTGTTGCAAGTGCCTGGTGAAATCCAGATCTATAAGGGTCACGAGTTGCCCGACCTGACCTCCATTTCGAATCAAGCGTCGTTATGGCACCATGCTCAATTTCCTGCGGCATACCTACACAATCACTGGCCAATCAAAGCGACGGTGGTGTCCCAAGATGGTAGATATGTCGCTATCGCAGGGCGAAGGGGTCTAGCCCACTATTCTGTTAACAGCGGAAGGTGGAAGACTTTCTCAGACCTGGCCGTGGAAGCATCTTTCGCCGTCCGTGGTGGCATGTGCTGGTTTGGCCATATGCTAGCCGTTGCTACCGAAAACGCCGCTGGATACGACCTGCGACTATACTCAAGAGACTCCGATCTGGGCAGAAACCCTCTTCATACCGAGTCTTTCTCAATGCCAATTGTTTTCGTTGGCCCTTCAGGAGAAGACTCGATCTTGGTATACACATATGAGAATATTCTATATCACTATGTCATCCACTATACCGATAGGGGAGCACAGCTGATCCAAGTCGGACAGATCGCCTTCCACGGTGTTGTCCGCGCACCGAGTCGCGTGAGATCCGTGAGCTGGGTGGTCCCGGATTCTCAGCTTCGCAATGGTGACCCTTCGAGAGATGTAGAATTCGCCTCTGTTCTGTTCTTGGTTGACGATAAGCTTGTGTTGTTGCAGCCCTCCAGGACACCGGAAGACGACCTGAAATACGATCTCCGCGTCGTTGCTCAACACGTCGAGTACTACATACTCATGCGAGATCAGCTCTATTTCAATTTTAGTGGCACAGAAGAGTCCGCACCCGCGACACCTTCTCCAGGCGCGATGCTCAGCAGCACTCAGCGCCACACACCGTTCTCGTTGAGAGACTCGCTATGGATTTTTTCCGGTCCATCGCTCCGCCTTTGGCCAGACATCCGAGACGTACTGCATCACGCTGCAGAAGGTACTCTAGAGGAGGCGCCACTGCTCACTGTCCCTGTCGACTTTTATCCACTTTCGATTTTGCTTACGAAGGGCGTCGTCCTCGGCATAGAAGCAGAATTGATGCAGCGACGCGACGTTGACTATTCCCAATACCGCACCAATATCCGCACTCAACTCTTCTTACCCTATGTACTTCGTCACCAACTACTGGATGCCAAAGATACAGCCGCGGCTTTTGCTTCTGCCCACCAGTACCAGCATCTCAGTTACTTTCCACACGCTCTGGAGATCCTGCTGCATCACGTTCTGGACGACGAGTATGAGCGCAGGCAGAAGCAGCTTCCAGCGCCAGACCCGGAGCCGTTGCCAGCCATCCTGTCATTCCTCCAACTGGTGCTTCCCTCCAGCACGTACCTCTCGACCATCGTTTCATGCGTACGCAAGACAGAGGTGACGTTCTGGCCAACTCTCTTCGAGCACCTTCCAACCCCGCTCCAGCTGTTTGAAGAGGCTCTTCATCTGGAAGATCTCAAAACGGCAAGCGGATTCCTCATCATTCTACAAGGCCTAGAAGACGAACAAGACGACGAAGTTGACACGTTCGATGCTCGACAGTTCGAAACGCATGTCGTCCGCTTGATGACCCTGGCGAAGCAAAAGGAGAACTACGAGCTCTGTGCCGAGCTCGCCCGCTTCATGATGGGCATCGACCCCCGGGGCGATGCGCTGAGGAGGGTGGTCACAAAGGTCGGTTTCAGGCAGAGTAACACGCATTTGGAGCCGTCGTCAGCGTCGTCGGCTACTGCTGCTGCTGGGCTGGTAAGAGGTATCGGGCTTGGGTTGAGTCTGCCGGACAGGGCTAGACGTGGCGGGGGTGGCAGTGGGGCCACGAGTCCGACGGACACAAGCACCGAGAGGAGCGAGAGGAGTGAGAGAAGTCTCGCGGCCGGTGGGGATTATTTCTCGTCGAGTCCTGGAGGGTATTGATGTGGACCGGTGGGATTGTAGACAGTTTTGGCCCAAGGTATTGGAGAGGGGAAGGTGGATATCTGAGGCGCAGTGTAGAGATAGGCATATAGTTAGGAAACACATTTGTTGGCCACATGGCGTGCCTGCAGATACCGCTTCTTGTCTTGGTCCAGGCAGTGTGGCTTCGTCTCTAACGATGCTTGATTGTACAGTAATGTCTGTCAGTGCTGCCCGCTTCGCCAACCTCACGCAACAGGCGTCGAGCTGACACTCGTGCTTTCTGCTCTCGTACATAGATACACGCAACCCATCCGAGCAACAACCTTTCTCCGCGAACGCAATCAACCCAACCGCCTGACTTGCGGACTCCTCGTGCCACCAAACTTCAACCTCGTCGCATCCGTCACCCTCTCGACCCTCTTCCTGACATTGGCCCCCTCAGTCCCCAACAACGCCTTCTGAAACGCTTCTCTTCCCGGCCCAAACCCCCTCATCACAACCTCAATCCCCGGCTGCCCGCTCCTCCCATCCCTCAACATCGCCAAGCTCCTCATCGGATTCCCCACCAATTTCTTCCCGCCCTGCCGCCAGCTCACCAGCGCCATGCGCTTCATCGTGTAAGTCGCCAACTGGTACGCGGCATCGAAGCTGGAGCGCTGGGCCTTGCGCAGCCCGATGCTGCCGCAGCTGAAGGAGAGGATGACGTTCCGCGACGGCTCCGTGAAGGTGATGTGCGTGTTGTGCTTGTGCGCGAAGACGTGCAGGTGGTAGGGCTCGTTGCTGGGGACGCCGGCTCCCGGCCGGGTGCCGGCTTCGGCGTTGGCGTTGCTGAGCAGCCGCGTCACTTCCGAGTGCGTCGTGGCCGAGGGGGCGGCTTCGGGGGTTTGGAGTTGAGCGGCTCGGCGGGCGGCTTCGCGACGCTTTTGCGCGTCGGCGGCGATGCGGGCCGTCCAGGATTCGGTGTTGGAGGTGGTGGTGCTGGATGGGGTGGGTTTGGCTGGATTGCGTTGCAGGTCTTGGTGCAGGCTGTGGAGGGGGTTGTTGCTCTTTGGGGGGACGTCGTCGGCGCGGAGGGAGGAGGTGGTCGTGAGGGTGCGGCGAGAAGTGATGGTGCGTTGCCGGCAGGCGTTGCACATTGAAGACAAGCTGGATGGACGGGCCATCGTGGCGGATGGGGGCAAGTGGGCGAGGGAGAGATGCTGGATGAGGTGTGTTCGATAAATTGTGGTCAATGGAGCTCGCAGGACATGGGAGACCACTTGGGGAAGGTTTGCCGAGAAGAAGTTCTCCGGCAGAGACGAGAACGGCGCCGAAGAGATTCTACGAAGCTCTTCACGCCTGCAACTTGGCCCTTTTGTCCCTTCTCATCATTTTTCATTCTCCTTGCTGTCGCGGTGCGTTGCTGTCTGGCAGCTGTGTTCTACTCCATCGTCAATAGCATGCTTGCAACCCGTCGTGCGCCTGCGCACAATGTTGCTCGCTATGTGACCAACAACGTTGCCTCCGCATCGACGCAGTACGGCCGGACTGCAGCCTACCGACGGTTAAACACCCTTTCTACTCTAGCTCAACGAACAACTCGGTCTCCGGCATCAATACGATCGAGGACCGATTTTAATCAGCATGTTCCGCCACACTTCTCCCTCCTAGCCCGATCTTTTCACAGCTCTCTCCTCCGAGCACAAGAAGCCAAGCCCAAAGAAGATATCAAGGATCCTCCACGGCCGGATACTACAGAGCAGAAGGCCGACGAGGCCAAATCCGAAGAACCAAACGGCGAGAAGTCTGAAGAGGGCAAGCAAGAGGGCAAGGAGGGTAAAAAAGATCAAGCTCCGCCACCACCTCACGGCGACAAGTCCCCATGGCAGGTCTTCACTCAGACGCTACGTAGCGAGTTCAAGGCCTCTCAGGAATGGCAGGATTCCACAAAACAGTTAGCCGGTGAAGTCAAAGCCTTTAATGAGTCCGAGAGCGTGCGAAGAGCGCGAGAGGCGTCTGAGGCTGTCACCGGCGGGGCCTCGAAGGTTATCAAAGGCACTGGACGAGCTCTTGGGCAAGGCGCATCCTGGACGTGGAACACTTCGGCCGTGCAGGGCGTGCGTGCTGGAGTCAACGCCGCGGGTCGAGGCATCGAAAAAGCGAGTAGACCCATTCGCGATACACAGGCTTTCAAGGACTTGTCGGACGCCATTGATGATGGCAGTAGTGCGCGCTACGGCGGTTGGACTGAAAAAGAAGAAAGGAGGCGGCTGCGCGAGCAGCGAGAAAAGGCCGGTCCAGCCGGGCAAAAGCCTGTCGAGCCCATGGTCGAGGATCCAAAGTGAGTCCGGCCATCCCCCTGTTCTAGTGGAACTACAAATACTGACTGCAGCAGTGCCGGCACCAACGTCACAGTCCACAAAGACTCGGCCTGGAAAGAGTCGTGGAACGAGTTCAAGAACAACTCAAAGGTCGTGCAAGGACTCTTCAATATGAAGAACACCTACGAAGAATCCGAGAACCCTCTCATCTCCACCGCTCGATCAATCGGCGACCGCGTGGCTGGCTTCTTCGCAGAAAACGAGACTGCCCGAGTCATCAAGAAATTCCGTGAGATCGACCCCAACTTTCAGCTCGAGCCCTTCCTGCGAGATATGCGCGAATACATGCTCCCCGAGGTACTCGATGCATACGTCAAGGGTGATGTCGAGACACTGAAGCTGTGGCTGTCGGCGGCGCAGTTCCAGGTGTACACCGCGCTGATGGAGCAGTACACCAAGGCCGGTCTCAAGTCGGACGGCAAGATCTTGGATATCAGGCACGTCGACATTCTGAATGCGCGTATTTTGGAGCCTGGTGATATTCCGGTGTTCATCATTACGTGCAGAACGCAGGAAGTGCATGTCTATCGAAACAAAAAGACGCAAGAGCTTGCCGCCGGTATGGAGGATAAAGTGCAGCTTGTCACCTACGCCATTGGTGTGACGAGGCTACCCGAGGAAGTCAACAACCCAGAAACCAGAGGCTGGAGAATGATCGAGCTGCAGAAGGCGGCGAGGGACTATATCTGAGTGGTCACGATTCTCTACCGTATCCAACACCTTCTTTCGGCAACCGTGCGAGCATCAGCAACCGCATGGCCGAGCTTCAGTCGGGGATTTCTGATGATTACGGGGTGGCACAACTCTTCTCACAACCCGAAGAGTCAGCATCACTGACGCCTCCCGACTCGTTTCCTCGACCCTTCCATCATCAAAACCATACTTCAGCATTGTATTTATACCATCACAACTACAAAAGCGAGCATGAACGGCAGGCACAGGGAAGCACGCGATGTATAGTACGGTCGAACATGACACGACCTGGGATACCACGAGGAGGGGGACTACTACTTGATGGATGACCAATACCATCCACATCTGGCTGCTAACATGACCAGCCTTTTTCTATACCTAGCCATCGATCTCCCTTGCGGATCTGGTAGCTCAAGCTAAGCTAAGCTAATGCAGAAAGCCATCTTTCTCCTCTTTTCACGGCTCTCATGCTCTCTTTTACTGCAAGTGAGTGAAATGCGTAGTGCCACAGATTTCTACCACAAGGATAACCACGGATATCATCATATGATTACCCCAAACTGCGATCTCACATGTTCAGAACTTGGAGGCGAAAACCGCGCTTTGACGTCACGCATTCCGCATTTCACTGCCTTGACTTATGATCAGTCTACTCTACTGGCTTTGCCTCATGCCAGGCACCAACGTTTCTGTTTACCACTTGTTATCACCTACAGGTTCCCCAATTTGACTTACACAGTCCATTCTCGACCTCAATTTCAACGTTAGCCACCACAAGATACCAATATCTCAAACCTCTCCAACCCAAATCACACTCACCCCACCTACCTCACCACCACCACCACCGCCATGCCTCTCATCGTACGTCCCCCATGCCCAACCCATCCCCTTACCTTCCCCTCCTCCTCTCCTTCACCCTCCACCCCACCTCTCCCTCCACAATCCCACTAATCCCCCCCTTCCCCCGCTCAGGATCCCGTCACAATGTCCAACTCCCCCGACTGGAAGACCAAGCTCCTGGGCAAGACCCTGGGCGACTCGCACAGCGACACGACCTTTGCCAAGACCGATCTCCCCAAAGAATGCCGCGTGCTCCCCGAGGGCAGCATGAAGACCATGGACCACAAGCCCAACAGGATGAACGTGCACCTTGATGGGCAGGGGGTCGTGAGGGATGTCAACCATGGTTGAAAAGTTTGAACGTTTGAGAGGGCGCGGGGGATTTGTGGGAAGAGGGGAGGCGAGAGAGAGAGGTGGTTCCCACACAAATCTTGTGAGCCTTGGTTTGGATGAGGGCTGTACAAGCATTCGACGGGCGAGGTGTATTTGAATTATACTACTTTATATTCTGTTCCGGTTTCCCACGCGGTGTGTTGTATCCCTATATCCAACCCCAAGCCCACTCTGCAACGTCAACACCGGTGGGTCCAAGCAATTAGAGTAAAAGTCGCTCTTGACGAGTCTGCAATGACCTGATCACCCTGACTGGCCACTCCCATCTATATGGCAACTTCCCGTAATGCACCGCGCTGAAAAAGTGAAATGCCAACAACGAACAGATTCTGGCTGCGGAGGCAAAAGGGCCATGAGCCAAACGACAACGACCACCAACGACAAAACGGCCACCTTCACTTCTCAAGCTTGCCGCCCCCGCCCTCTCTCAAACTCCTCAACACCCTCTCCATGCCCCTGAGACGCTCGCGCTCCCTCACCACCTGACCCCTCACCAACCGCTTGACCTCCTCCCTCCCATAGCTGCCCCTCCAGCCCGTCCAGCCGGCGACCTCACCCATGACGACCTCCTGGCTGTACCTCAACAGCTTCCCCTTGGCCTCGATCTCCACCTCACACTCAGCAATCTTCCTCTCCGACTCACGCATGCCCCGCATCCGACTCTCCTCCAAGCCTGGCAGACTCAGGTTGAAGGGCCCCTTCTTGGGCGCGCTCGCGTCCACGAGCGCGCGCCGGTTCTTCTCAAGCGCCCGCTGTGCACCCGCAATCTGGCCGATGAGCGACGTGGGCCGCAGCAGGGAGCTCTGAATCGCGAGGATCGTCGACTGTAGTGCCTGTAGGCCCGACGTGTAGGTGATGAGCGGGTTAGACGCCGGTTCCAGGTGCAGCAGTGCCGCGAATTTGGCCAGCGCATCCGCGTGCATCTGCGGAAGGCACGGCGATGGGGGCGCCAGGGAGCCGACACCCGTCGCGAGCAGGGACACGGCGGTCGCGACGTCGGCCTGTGCGTGCGCGAGTGCGAAGCCCTTGCGGATCACGTTGCGCGTGTGGATCGACAGGCGTCGGACGATGTCTCGGCTGTGGGTCACGACGGACTCGACGTCGCGTAGGTCGGCGTGCTCTGTCATGGGCTCGTATTCTTCGTTGATCTTCTCTTGGGTGAGCTGCGCTTTGAGTGCTGCACGCTCGGCGATCTGGTCCGCAGACATGTCAGGCACGAGGAAGAATTCCCACAGCATTTCGTGTGTCGAGAAAGTAGGGTGTGAGATCATGATCTTGAGGAAGCGGTCGACAGTTGTTTGAGATTCGTAGAGGGCGGCGCGGGACGGTTTGGCATGTAGTTGGAACGGGGAGCGAAATGCATCGGCTTTGATATTGGGGATGTATGAGGCTGGATGATCCATAGAGAGCCATTTGGCTAGGTTTTCGAAATCGAGGAGAGAGCGACGCGAGGTCGTGATGGTGTACGTTGTGGCGGAGACGGCAGCGTTTGGTGCGCCGGATTTGAGGACGAATCGTGTTGACCCGTCTTCAACGAAGAAGGAGCGGACGATTGCGGTGATGCGGCCGGTAGAGTCAGGTGTATTGGCGGTCGCGGTACTGGAGAATAGCGAAAGATCGTCGATACGATTGCGGACTTCGTCATCTTTGGCTAGCTCGACCGCCGTCAAGCCTCTTGCTTCTTTGAGGTGGAGGTCTACTCGAGGATCACCGAAGAAGATCCGTACCATGTCGACGCGACCGTACTTGCTGGCCAGCATCAGTGGCGTGAACTTTTTGTCGTTCATGATGTTGGGATCGACATCACACTGACTCAGCATCCGTAGCATGATGTTTGCGTCTTTGACGATGTGCAGGAGGCTGTTGCTCTTGTTATCCATATGTTCGGCGACACGCAATGGACGATCGTCGCCCTGAGCTTTCTGTGCCGCTGTAAGGGCTTCAGACACCATGTTACTGTAGTCTGCGTGATCGTACGTCCTGCAGATGGCAAAGAGGGGCGTGTGGCCAATCTTGTCTCTCTGTCTCCAAGGTAGGATTTCAGCCAACTTTGCGATCATGCTGGGCGTATTGAAAATGTAGTGTGCTGCACTTCGACCCCGTGAATCTTGCTTAGCCACATAGTCCGTGAACGTTGACTCCTCTACATTTCGTTCGAGATAGTCCAGCAGGATGTCGACGAGCTCGACATTAGCAAGCTGAATAGCAGCGCTCAGGAGCGTGGTTCCTTCCATGGTTTCATCTTCCAGGATGACTGGCGTTGGATAGTGCTCCTCAAGTCCAAGCAGGTACTGCAAAGCTGATGTCTGCTGGGTTTCGACCGCCATCATCAGCACAGAATTGCCAGCTGGATCCTGTGTTTGAGCCAGGGACGAGACAGATGTGTCTCCTTCTATACCGCTGAGCGTCGTCTCGATTGTTGCTGTTCTTGACAACAGAGACAGACTCGAAGACATGGACATGCTCCTGGAATCCATGTGGACTCGTTTCTTTTTCTTCTTCATTGGTGCTTGGAAAGGAAATACGTGTGACAACCCACCGTCGTATGATGATTGCCGTGATAACGAGCCATTGGCGTTTGAATAGGATGACGTTCTCGACAGCACCGGCATTTCTTCAGGCTCAGTCACAACCTCATCACAGATAGCCGTGCTAGAGCCTTGGAAAACAGCGCGTGTTTCGTCCAAATTGCCAGACCTGACCGCATCCCAGAGGATTTTGTTCTGTTTAGACGCTTTTCGCAAACCACCCGAATCTCTCGCGAGGTAGGTCAGTACCGCCTCTAGCGTACTGAGCGCGTATCCGATCTCGCCGCTTTCGACATCTTCTATGTAGATGAAGCGCTGCATGTAGGATAAGCGAGCCTGGAGATGCCTAACCTGTGACCGGATAACCACGAGAAGAAGCAGAGAGACCAGAATATCAGCGTTGATGGTTATGGCGGTTGCCCGTTTCTCCTCGTCTGCGATGTTGGCGGCTCGTCCGGACTCCGAAACTGCTTTCTGAGCGGCCAACAGTACATCAAGCATTTGCTGCGGACTTCCAGCAACGCCCATTTGTCGGAAGGCGGTCACGCCGCTGTCTATCCTGGTAAGGAGGTCTCTCTTGCTGTCCCGACCTTCTTCCAGAGCAATGCCAACTTGAGATACGTCTAAGCCATCCATCTGTCGTATTCGCCGGTCGAGCTCTTGGTCGTGCGGTTTATGGAAGGCGCAAAGTCTTGGAAACAGTAGTTGATCGTGAACAGACTCGGAAACGTAACGCTCGATCAGGCGCTCGACAGCCGGTCCGGTCAAATCGGTGGTTGCACCAAGCAGAGACAGCTGTTGCTTGTCGACGCCCTGAAACAGATCAATCGCAGCAGTCACTGCCGTTTCGAGGGCTTTGCACATCAGGTCTTCTTCGTCTTCGAAATAACCATCAGGATTGAATGGCAGCTTTACGGAACCATTGGATTTGATCGAACCGTTCTCTGAGACTTGGGTTGTGCCACTCAAGGATGGCTCGGCATGGTCTTCTAACGACGGTGGCGGCGGTAAGGGTCTGCCCAGCTCTTTCCCAAACTCATTAAATAGTCTTTCGAGTCCTGGTTGCATCTGCCTGGCGATCATTGGGAAGTTATTGAGCAGCTCATTAAACGTCTTGATGTCTTTCTTCCGGGGTTGGGAGGAATCTGCAGGTTGTGGTGATTTCTGCGACTGGCTGAGCGAGGCTGGGCTTATAGGCACAGGTTCGTATGAGCCGGTGAGGGGCTTGGAGATGTAGTATATCATCCATTGCTGCATGTCGGAGCCAGTGGAATAGTAGATGACATCTTGTAGGATTTGAGCCGTGGTCAACTGCTTGAAGCCCTTATTGGTGTAGACAACATTCTCTTTGACTATGACTGTGCGCGCGTTGACCGTGGAATATGTTTTGGCTTTTCCCCGGACATCTCTGACATTGGTCTCCTTGGCCTGCGAAGGGGGGATGCGCAGGATATGGGCACCCAGGAAATCCTCATCGTCGCTTTGGTCGGCGTAGCGTTTCCCGGTCTCGCGATCCAGGCCGTAAATGAGGGCTTCGGTGGTGGGAACCAAGAGGACGTAGTTTTGGGCGGGAAGGGCATGACCCAGCACACTACTCTGGAAGAGCGCCCGGAGAAAGGGATTCAATACGGGCATCAAGGCACGATGCGCCTACGGTGTGATAGGCAGAGCATTAATCGTGGGGGCATCGAAATCCGATAAGCGGTAGCCTGACCATCAGTCCACAGCAGGTCGCAGCTAGGGTGCAGAGTCGCGCAGGCGCCAGGGGTGGTAAAAGGTAGCTGATGAGCCGTGACTAGCACGTTGGTAGATATGCGACGTCGATAGCATAGGGGTGAAGACTGTATAGGGGAACGAAGTCGAGGAGCTGCAGGGTGGAAAGCGGGCGCGAGGACAAGTACCCCAGATTTGATGTCCATGTCAACTCCTTGGCGGGCACATGTCAGAGCCGCCCTGTTTAAAGCGGCGTCCAGCCTTCAGCGGAGGGCGGGGGCCAACTCGGTATTGCTGCCTCTCTCGCTTGTTTGGATGAGTCTCACGGACAGCTAAATGGTCACTTGAATGATGGACCTGGCCGTAGATGTATAGGCATTCTTCGACTACCAGTGCGACAGTGCGCTGAGCCTGAGGTACCTGGTTACAGATCTGTCTCCACTGATCAGCGGTGATAAAGCAGCGACGCAAATTTTCTGAAACGACGACAGAAAAGTTGCCGTCATTCACTGCCTGTCTCAACGACGACAGTACGAGCGAATATGGCACCACCTGGCCGCCGTGGAAGGCAGACACTCAGTCAAGGCCTCGACAGAGAAGTATGTATTTATAGCTTACGACACGTACCAAAGTTGACGATTTCAGGTCCATCAGGTGGTGCGGAAGATCGTGGACGAGCGGACACAGTTCGAGGACAACTTCCGGCCAACTTGTGTCGCGGTCTACGATGAGATCCGGCGGTCAAACTCCAGTCTGAATCGAAAACCCAGAAAGCTGCTTGAGGATTCGATCGAGCGCGTGATTGAGACTATCCGACAAGACGCCGCTGATACCGACTCTGAGGCGTACCTGGAACCCGACCTGAGGCCTCAACCTGCCGCCAGGCCAACGTCTAACGGCATGAACCGGTCAATTGTCGCCGCCTGGTCCAGTGCCAACGGCACGGGGGCGTCTACGCCCACACAACAACCGGCGGAAGAGACGACCGCCAAGCCTGCCACAGCTAATACCACCGAACCTCCACGCAAGAAGCGAAAGCGAGCGCCCGAGGTCAATACGAGTCCCCCGACTCATGTCAGCGTGGCCGATCTTGGAGGAGTGGACCCCGTCTTGGAGCAGTTTGCCGACCTCCTCACCATCCCACTCATGTGTCCCTCGGTCTCTAGTGTTCAGTCCGTTCGAGGTATCCTCATACATGGTCCACCCGGTTGTGGTAAGACTACCATAGCCAATGCCATCGCTGCCGAGTATGGAGTCAACTTCATTGAAGTCTCCGCGCCCTCCATCGTCTCGGGCATGTCTGGTGAATCCGAAAAGGCGCTGCGAGAGTGCTTCGAGCAGGCCAAGGCTGCTGCCCCCTGCCTACTGTTCCTGGATGAGATCGATGCCATCACGCCAAAGAGAGAATCGGCCTCGCGCGAGATGGAGAAGCGGATAGTCGCCCAGTTGGCCACTCTCATGGATGGCCTAGACCCCAAGAAGAACGATGGCAAAGCAGTCATTGTCCTTGCAGCCACAAACCGTCCCGATTCCCTGGATCCCGCATTGCGACGAGGTGGCCGCTTCGACAAAGAGATCAACATGAATGTACCCAACGAAAGTATGCGCGAACAGATACTGAAAGCGCTGACCAGAGATGTCGAGCTCGGGCAAGACGTTGACCTGAACGCCATAGCAGTTCGCACGCCCGGTTACGTGGGCGCCGATCTACGTGACCTTGTCTCGACTGCTTCTCATACTGCCATCAAGCGCTTTCAAGACTCGCTCGCCGTCGATGCCGCCGCCAGCGCCGCAACGGAGACCAAAGTAATTGCAGATCACCCCAACGCTATGGACGTGGATCCGTCCAATACCCAAACCACCCAAGCGTCCACCTCAATCGAGGAAATCTCTCCCGGCACATCGAAGCTCAGGACCATGATAGCCTACCTCCGTACGCACCCCCAGGATAACGCCCCCATCTCCGTCACACACGCCGACTTCCTCACCTCGCTCCCCAAGGTCTCCCCTTCGGCCCTTCGCGAAGGCTTCGCCACCGTGCCCTCCACAACCTTTGCCTCCATAGGCGGCCTCTCGCCTACCATCGCCTCCCTCACCGAATCCCTCATCACGCCCATCCTGCGGCCCGAACTCTACGCCGCGATGGGCATCACCCCCTCCTCGGGCACCCTCCTCTTCGGCCCCCCCGGCTGCGGCAAAACACTCCTCGCCCGCGCCATCGCCAACGCCAGCCACGCCAACTTCATCTCGGTCAAAGGCCCGGAACTCCTCAACAAATACGTCGGCGAATCCGAGCGCGCCGTGCGCTCCGTCTTCCAGCGCGCCCGCTCCTCGGTGCCCGTCATCATCTTCCTCGACGAGCTGGACGCCCTGCTCCCCCACCGCAGCAGCACGACCTCAGACCCCTCCTCCCGCGTCGTCAACACCATGCTCGCCGAACTCGACGGCCTCGCCGCCTCCCGCGCCGGAATCTACCTCATCGCTGCCACGAACCGGCCCGACATCATCGACAGCGCCATGCTCCGGCCCGGCAGACTCGACTCCCTCATCTACATCCCCTTGCCGGACGCCACGGGCCGCGTCGAGATCCTGCGCGCCCTCACGCGCGGCATGCCCGGCCTGCATTGGGACGACGACAACAGCAGCCCGACCGCCGAGCGTCTGGCGAGTGTCGCGAGGGAAGCGCATGGCTTCAGCGGCGCGGATCTGGGCGCCCTGAAGGTCAGGGCTGGGTATGCGGCGATCCGTCGGCTGACGAGTGCGGCGGCTTCGTCGTCGCCATCGTCGACACCCGCGGTGATCGATGCGGGGATGGCGGCCGCGGCGGGCGTCACGCCGGAGGATTTCGAGGTGGCGCGGCAGGAGGTGCGTCGCAGTGTGAGCGAGTCGGACATGCGGGAGTATGAGAAGTTGCGGAAGCGGTGGGAAGGTGGTGTGCCTCAGGGGTCGTGAGGTCCTGCTAGACAGACCCTCTCGTGGGGCGTTGTTTATAGGTTTAGCGAAGTTGGCTTAACTATCGATCTCAGCTTAAGACTCATTTGGATCGAAGCTAACAGCGCCGTATACTAGCCTGCCGTTAGGTTGCTGAAGGAAAGCTATAGGAGCCAGCGGTCTACACAAAGTACTGACAACAGGACGCAAGACATTTCTGCGTTCATGTTCAATGACTAATCATCCGCTGATTATACAAAAAACGAAGGACTTTTAATGATACATCCAGTGAACCCCTGCTCTCAAGCTTGGAGCAGTACGCTGCTAATCCATGATTCGTCTTGCACAATCCATGCTTTCCTCATTCCATTATTCCCATAGCCAACTGAATGACCAGCTGTCCGGGACTGACCATGATTGGTACTAACTAAATTTTCATGTTGCTGATGTAAAATCAAACACGGCTAGAACGCTCACTGAATTTCCAACTCCCCCACACGCGTTTTCGCTGTGGCTCAATGAGGGCGGTGCATTAGAGCAAATCTGCTAGATCGCGTGCTCTCGGACGAGGTCCTAGACGCGTAAGATCCTGCCGAGCTCGACCGACGGTGCTTCTTCTGGAGTTTCCGTGGTCTCCTCTTCTGGTTGGTGTCGTCTTGTCCAGCATCTGGCCAGATACCCACGACTCTGATCTCGGCTTCTTTCTGCAGAGAGCCGGCGGGCAGGATCTCAAACCCGTCATTGACCTTCCGCGTGACCTTGTTCTCAATAGACACAGCCTCATCACCTGCAACGGCGGTGGATAGAGTGGTATCGGAACACAGAGATGGCGTGACAACGCTCTCATCAACGCTGATATGTCGATATATATGCTCATGCATTAACTCTTGTGTTTTCTCGCTCCATGCCGAAGGGCAGAGCTTTGCGGGCGGACGAGCTTCGACTTTGGCTGTCTGGGCCACGGCGGGTGATGCTGTGATGGTCTTCAGCTTTTGTGCCTTCGAGTTGCTCTGGCGAAGCTGCTCATCTGATGGCCAAGATACAGCGCGAGAGGGCGAACCATCAACCTCGTCACATTGACAATAATCAGTCTCGACTCTAGCGTTATCTTCAGAATGCGGTCGTATTCGTGGGATCAGCTGGCCCTGCTCAGCTGAGTGCAGTCTTCGATGTGCGTTCATTCGGTCAATGACATCGTGATCGTTCGCTGGAGGCTTACTGGGCGTCTTTGTGGGGCTGGTCCGACCTCCGATAACAAATCTGCGGCGACGATTCTCGGTCTTGCAGGAAGAGGGGTGTAGACGCAGTTTCGGTGGTGAGTCTGATCGGAAGGTAGTGTCCGCTGGGCTGACCGGCCCGTCTATAGCAGACATCGTCAGCAGAGACTTTGGTGGTATTCAAGCGAACGTACTGAGCAAGCCCTCGGCTTCTAGACCAGCATAACTCGAAGCATGTTCAGATCTTGCAGATGGTCGGGAGTAGCTGATTGTAATCGATTTCGCTTTTCCTCGCTTGGGCAGAGTGGCAGGTGATTGTTCGGTTGGTCCATCGAAAGGCATTAGCGGCGCGACGACTGGGAACAAGTTAGAAAGAAATCGGTGATGAGTTGAAGACTGACCCGCAGCATCATCCGTCGACGTGGGCTCAGTTATATCAAGTGGCGGTATTGACGATACTGAAACGTCTCTCTTTGAACGGCGAAGCATTTTGGCGGGCTGGATCAAAGGACTCCTATTCCTCGATCGTGGCCCTTGCAAAGGCGTTGCTGTGTGAGCATTCCAGACGCCTTCGATCGAAGGTCCCCCATCGAGTGCTTTGACGCCAAAGGGAACTTCTGTATTCTCGTTGACGCGTATGGGGATATCACCTCTTTCAACCTGAGGTTCCACAATTCGTTCGAACCTGAGCAACCGTCTGCAGTTCATGATCTTGACGGTAGCGGCGACGAAGGCGACAATGACGAGGAAACCACCTAGGACCTAGAACTGTCAGCTGTCAATCAACATCAGGTTTGGTAGATTGTAACACACGAAGCTCAGCTTCGCCCAGCTCGGCCATGGTAGAAACAGCACATCAGCAATAGCCATGACCAAACGATGAGACGAAGGACAAGGGTTATTGAAATAATGGGAAAGATATCAAGACTGGCCAACCCATAACTGGAGCACGGTATGGACGTAGAGCAGGTGGGAAGTGATAGTGGCAAGCTTGGCTGTGGACGGCCAATGGTGTACGATGCGAATAGTGTGCTGGTGATGCAGGAGTGATGGCGCTGCCGGGTAAGGCAAGTGGTGATGGCGTGGCGCAATAGTAGAGGATGAATGTGGCATGAGCATGGAAGGATGAGTAGGTGACACCAGCGAGGCAGCCATCGAGGCAACGGGAAGGCACAACACGTACTTACCTGCAGTGGCTGCCACCTCCTTCACACTGAACCCACAATCTCTGACGGATCAGCAGTCAACTCGATCGATTGGTATAGCGAAGCTGGCCAAAGGAAAACAACAAACCAACATGATGGGTTGCTACAACTCATTTGAAGGCCAACTGCAGCGCAGGCTCTGCAGCATTGGGATTGTGACTGGCAAAGAAGGCGTTGCCCTGTTGCCTTACGACTTGGCTCCCTTCTCACCTATATGTAAACACCAGCTTCCCGCAAGTCTGAGTAATAGCATTGGACGAGGAGAGACGTGTCTCTCGCTTGCATGCGCCGAGCCAGGGGTCTGCATCGAGACTCGGCCATGGCCCTCAGGATGCGAGTCAATTTTGGGATTCCGATTCAACTTTACCATGGCTAACATCGGCAAGCTGCATGTCGTGCGACAATGATAGAGAAATTACTGAACACAACTGTTGTTGAAGTGGGCTGCCCGTGAGCCAAGATGCTGGCAACCAAGATGCCGAAGTCTACGCGTCATGGCTGGGCAGATCGTGGGGGGGATCAGTATAGATCGATCGACGCGGCTCTTGGGCAACGGGCGCGAATACGGACTACCCCAGATTCTGCTCGATTGGCTCAGTGGCAATCGCGGTGGTCATGTTGATGCTGTGTGCTTTGTTCCGGGTCACCGGGCTGCAACATGGCGACGAGTGATGCCCTTGCAACGCGACAACATCGAGCGACTGTCCACACCTTTAAGAGAAAGCCCCGACCACTGGCATAGAGTAAGCAGGCTAAGGGGGCCGCATAAGCGAGACGCTGGGACCCGGTTGGTGGGATGCATCATGCCTCCATGCTCAGTGTATCCAGGCCTTCCGGTGGTGGTTCAGCTGTGCCGACCCACGAGTCTTGGGCGGTTATGCGTCGATTTGTCTGGGCTCTCAGGTGTTATGCAAAGATGACATCGGCCGCGCTCCTTCCGTTAAGTCCTTGCAGATCGCAGCAGCGTAGCTGCAAGATTTGATGGAAATGCGCTGCCCAACACCAACCCTGCTTCGCTCACTCCACCACCGCCCACCTCTGTATCCCCACTACACACGACATACGTCCCTTTGCACTAATAGACCGCTTGCATCTCTTCCTCTTAAACATTGATCCTCACATCCCAAGGGCATATCATACCCAAACATAGTACAGCATGCCTCCGTTTCGCCTACCCTTCACATCCCGGAAAGGGCCCATAGTCAACGGTGCCGAGGTCAACGACGAGAATGCACGTCCGGCGTCTCACGATGCGCAAAGCACAAACAGCCCATACTCGAGCAAGCCATCACTGGCATTAGGTGTGAAGGAAAAGAAGGCAGAGCCCAATGAGTTCAAACTAAGCTGTCTGCGCCGAGCATCTCAGCCTGGTGTCCCGCGCTGACTTGACCTAGCTGTCGACGTTAACGGCCAATACCTACCTCCGTCGCCAACAGAGAAGCCCTCATTCTGGAGCAAATCCCCTTCGACTACCTCCAATCACCGGAGTCTGATTGGCGACAACGAGCCTTTCTCCATATCGCGCGAGTCTTTTGATTCTTACAGACGGTCCTTCGTATGTGCCCCACCATTGATTCTCTTTGCCTCCAGACTGAAACGGACAGGACATTTCCGGGCGGTCTCCAATCATGCATGCCGACAGCTACACCTCGCGAACGTCTCTCGACTCCCGAACCTTCCACTTGTCGCGACCTGCATTGAATGGCCAGACCTTCGATAAGCCGGAACCCGTACGGGATGAAGATTTCGATGATGTCAAGCTTAATGACGAGGCCGCAAAGGCTCAGCCAAAGAAGAAGAGCTTTCTGTCCCGATTCAGTGAGACCAGCAATGATGCCGTTGCAGAAAGCAAGGACGGTAAACATCATTTCCACTTCCCCGGTCGAAGACGAGGTCAGAGTGGCTCTGGCAGTGAGCTGGGAGAAGTAAAGAGACCAGGCAGTCAGGGCCAACCCAAGCCGGAGGTCGCTGTGAGCTAAAGGCGGTCTATACTACAGTTTCTTGATGTCTGTTACAATCCGACTATGACGAAGTGGGAGTTCCGGTACGGGCGGACTGCGCAATGGAAAAGGGTACGAAACATGGACCAGGATATTGATGATGTGCGCATCCGGCCGGCGATGATTCGCAGAGCAGAGCCTACAAGTGCCGGTCACTGTACTAATTATAATGAGCATACGGTCACGAGATCGAGTCGACTCGCCGATGTGGAGTGTCTATTATGAGATACCTCTCAACCCAAGTCAGGTTCACCAGCCCCAAGTGTGCGCAGCTTCTCGGGCCATACGGACAATAGTGCGATACCTCATCTGCGAGAAGGTTCAAGCGATGCACCAGCAGACTGCGAGGCTGCATAATCTCGAGCGGCTTCGGGAAGTACGAAGCGATGGGCAATGAAGCCTAGGTTATGTCAAAGCGTGGTTTTCGAGTTCATCAGATGCTGCAAGCCTTCATGATGGCGTCTCAATGGCATATCTTTGTCTGTGGCTCCTAGCTCAACAGTCAGAGAACATTGGGGGTTTGCTTTGAAGAGTCTTGGGCCTCATGGCACTGCAACACGCCCATCAATTTATTCAGCAGCACGATTCGATTGCCTTCCAGCATCTGTTCCAATTTGGCCCTCGTACATTAGATCTGAAGAACATCCATAACTGCTGGACAATTATGTACTTGCCAAAAGGCGCAACGACGCACATTTCCGTGACAAACGGAGATGTACCCAGATCCAACTTACATGGTTTTATATTCCTGGCAAGGCAACCATCCCTCTTCTTCGTATCCACTCTATCGACCTACACCCAGCCCGCGCTAGCAGACCACGTCGACACCCCATTTAAGCCCCTCACATATACGTCAGTGGCATGTGCGGGCAGTACTTTCATGAGAATGACCATCTCTGCCACTAGCGCACCGAACGGCACCACTGCCATGCCAAAACACGAAGACGACCCGGCGGCAGCACCCAATAATGCCATCAAACCTCCAGCTGAATCCCATCTTCTCCACCGCTCCTTCCACGACCACCCCACTTCCGTAACATCCACATCCAACCTGGTCCTCACGCTCTCCAACGGCACCAAGATCCTCGATGGCTGCGGCGGCGCGGCCGTGTCCTGTCTCGGCTACGACCCGGCGTACATCCAAGAGATCTCCGCCGCCGTGACCCAGCAGCTGGCCTCGGTGCCCTACGTCCACACGCTGAGCTACACAACCCCCGTCGCCGAGGAGCTCGCCACGCACCTCCTCTCGCACCCGGACGGCAGCGGGCGGCCCAACGCTCATGGTCTGGAGAAGGCGTACTTCATCGGCAGCGGCAGCGAGGCGATGGACGCGGCGCTCAAGTTCGCGCGCCAGTACTGGTTCGAGCTGGGGCGGCGCGAGAAGGTGCACTATGTGAGTCGGCGGCAGAGCTACCACGGCAACACGGTGGGCGCCATGAGTGTCAGTTTCAACGTGCCCCGGAAGGCGCCGTATATGGATGAGGGGTGCTTGCAGGTCAAGAACGTGAGTTGGGTCGCGCCCGCGTATCAGTATCAGTATGCGATGGAGGGGGAGGGTGAGGAGGAGTACAGCGCGAGGTTGGTGCGGGAGGTGGAGGAGGAGTTTCTGCGGGTTGGGCCCGAGAGAGTTGTTGCGTTCATCGCGGAGCCGATCGTGGGGGCGACGAGCGGCGCGATGGTGGCTCCTCGAGGCTACTTCAAAGGGGTGAGAGAGGTGTGTGATCGGTATGATGTGCTGTTGATTCTTGATGAGGTTATGTGCGGTATGGGCCGGACGGGGACGCTGTTTGCATTTGAGCAGGAGGGGATCACGCCAGATTTGTTGACCATGGGTAAGTGCTTGGGGGCAGGGTTTGCGCCTATTGCGGCGGTGTTGGTGGGCTCAAAGGTGGTGAAGGGCCTGAGGGGTGGCAGTGGGAATGTTGCTCATGGCCACACCTACCAGTCTCATCCTGTATCATGTGCTGCGGCATTAGCCGTGCAGAAGATTCTGCGCAGAGACAATCTGATTGCTCGAAGCAAAGAGATGGGAGTCGTTCTCGAGAAGCTCCTCAAGAAGGAACTGGGAAATATGAAGTATGTGGGCAATATCCGCGGCCGTGGATTGTTTTGGGCCGTCGAGTTTGTGCAGGACAAGCAGACCCGAGAGCCGTTTGCGCCTGAGAAAACGTTTGGACCACGCTTCCAAGCAAGGGTGTTTGCCAAAGGCGTGGCAGTATACCCTGGAGCTGGAACGGTTAATGGTGCTAAAGGTGACCACGCCATCGTATGCCCGGCCTATACTGTCAAAGAGGAGGAATTGAAGGCTATCATTAAAGTCATGAAGGAGGTCTACCTAGAGATGGAGCAGGAAGTCGATACTAGACAATAGACAATAGGCCAGTACCAAGGTAGACAGATCTTCGACCTCACGGCACGTTACTCCCACTGTCGAGCCCGTACCTTGTCGTTTCCGCCAAATGCGAAGCTCGTAATTGGCTCGAGCAGCCTCGGCCATCCCAAACTTGGCCCACCAACAGGGACGATGATGCATCAACAGCCTTGCCACCAGGTCAAACTTCCAGCTACGTCGTTGGTGTCGTCGAATCGTTGGTACCGACAACTTTGAGCTAGCCTGTTGATGATGTCTGATTGATGATCTCAGTTGCACATCTGATGACTTCCACGGAGCAGATGTTGCTGATGCCACAACCACTCTTACGCCGTGGCCTAGCATCCCCTACCCAAGCATCGAGACCCCGCAATCATGAACTCGAGTGTGCCTGATTAGCAGCACCTGGAATATCGGAGGATAAAATGAGAACTGCTCACACCGGAATGGCCAAGTTCCAGACCCGCAGCTCACAAGCTCGATGCGGGAGATCGACCTCCGCACCACCCTCGATGTCTTTTACCACAACGGCGAGAACAGAGACACTTCCATGACGATTTCGCCATGGAGCTTTTCAGTTTTTGTCATGTTCCGCCCGATGGGGCAATGAGCTCTCCCAAATTGACTTCGAGCCTCACTTCTTGAGCCATCTGCTTGCACATCCGGACTTGCGGGTAAATTCCAACACGAGCTACCCAATGCTACCCTACTTCGAGCATTGTGTCCATTCCATTTTGTCTTCGCATGATCAACCTACCCGACGAGTTCGAACCGTCTTAGCTCTATGCAAATGATGTGATTGCCGCTGTGGCGAAGGGCAGAAGAGCATCTTTACCGCTTTCTTGCCGTCCCACTTCCGAAAGTTGCAAGGATGATAGGTGATACAGCCTGAGCTATCTCTGGTTCCTGCGTCATCCACTCCTCATCTCGAAAGTCCGAGGATGGAGACAGATTCTGGCGTGCCTGTGCTGTGCCGGCTTTGCGTGGATCGACTGATGGAAGGCAGGTCATCTCGTCACCTCGGCGACCTGCCAATATTTATAGCTACCCAGCTGCGCACACTTCCGGTGTATCTTTCTGGCTTGAACAAACTGAGCTCAGGTACACCATCAGTATGAAGATTTCCTCGTACGCAGCTCTCGCCCTTGCGGTGGTGTCAGTCTATGCACGCAAGTGCCAGAACATTACCGTCTCGGTGTCCATCACTGCCCGCAACGGCGTTTTTAACGTGCAGCCCACTCAGTCCAACATTGAAGTCACAGACTTTGTCCTCGACGGCACACAACAGGGCCATAACGCCACCGCACAAGTCCTCGAAGGCTACGCAGACGTCTCGGGTACTTACAACCTGGCCACTACCTACTGCACTCCAGATAGCGGACCAGGCAGAGCAGTCCAGCTCCTAACCCACGGTATCGGTTTCGACAGGAGCTACTGGGATCTGTCGTACAACAACTACAACTACTCCTACGTAGAGCAAGCCCTCGCAGCCGGCTACAGCACACTTTCACACGACCGCCTTGGCATCGGCCAGTCCGCGCGCGCCGACCCCATCCAAGACATCCAAGCCTCCCTGGAAGTCTCCGCCCTCATCGCCCTCACGAAGCTCCTCCAAAACGGCGGCATCTCCGGCGTCAGCGAGACCTACTCCAAAGTCATTCACGTCGGGCACTCCTTCGGCGCTGTGCAATCCTACGCCCTGACGCGCGACTACCCTCAACTCTCCTCCGGCCTCGTCCTCCAAGGCTTCTCCCAAAACTCCACCTTCCTCCCCTACTTCCAGCTCGGCGCCAATTTCGTCGCCGTCCAAAACACGCCCCTCGCCTCCCAATACCCCGCCGGCTACTTCGCCGCCGGCGACCCTTCAGGCGTACACACCAACTTCTTCGCCCCCAGCGACTTCGACCCCGCCATCCTCGACCTTGCCTACTCCACAGGGCAGCCCGTCAGCCAAGGCGAGCTCCTCACCATCGGCGGCGCCGCCACGGGCGTCAACACCTTCGCGGGCCCTGTCCTCATCATCACGGGCCAGCGCGACGTCCCCTTCTGCGGCGGTGACTGCCTCCTCACGGGCGACCCCAGCTTGTCCAGCATTCCTGAGTCGAGCAAACAATACTTCCCGAACGCCAAGAACTTCGAGGTTGTGATTGTCCCCGGCGCGGGCCATGGCTTGAATCTGCAGTATACCCACACGCAGACGTACAGTGCGATGCTGGAGTTCTTGAGCGCCAACGAACAGGCGGGTCCCGTGAAGCGGACGTTCCGCGCTTGAGGAGAAGGAACGGGAATGAATTGCACATACCAACCTTCCTCTTGGGTTGAAAGAGCTGGGGCAACGAATGTGATGTTGTTTAGACGCAGACTTGGATTCGTTCAGGGTGCTGTGATGCCCAGGATAAGCATAATGAATCATAATGATGATGCACTCCACCGTTCTGTGCGACAGACACGGACCTTATATTCTTTTCCCACGAACAGATGTGGCTTATTCAGAGCGATGCAAGAATGGAACGGAGAAGGCTGGTTAGTATTCGTAGCAGCAGTTAGTCTGCACGCTCCTTCTGTGTCTGCACTTTCCTATTCCCCCGCAAGAACACCCAGCTCATGACTCTCAGCAAGAAGAGATAAACCCAAAGCTTCCAGCCCGTCGCATGGGCAAAGTCGATGACCCACCGACTCATCTTGCGCGTCTGCTGTGCCCTCGGCATCGCGTCCTTATCGTAACTCTTCACTGCCCCCTCAAACCCGGTACTCGTAGTCAGCAGCGCTTCTGCGAAATCCCACCCATCATTCAATGCCAGATTGGCGCCATTTCCCGCGAAGGGGGATACCGCGTGATTAGCGTCGCCCAGCCAGACGACGTTTCCATCTCGCTGGACATGGTGGGCGAATGCTGGCCGATCCATCGCGCTCAGCTGCATCAGGGTCGCGAGATTGGTCTTGTCGACCAACTCGTTCACCGTGCCATCAAACGACGACGCGAGTTCTTTCGCCTTCGCCATCAGCTTCTCCAGAACGTCGTTGCTCATCGGCCATCGTCGATCCTCCACTCGCTCCTCGGTATAGTAGCTCAAGCTCCATAGAGCGCTCGTGTTGTCAACTGGGCTCACGAACAAGCCTGTGCCCGTACCAGAGATGACAAGCCCCCAGCAAGCTCTGATTCGTTGCGGTACATCCTCAGGCGAGGGAAACTGTGACACGCCGCTAACAATCGCCACACCTGCATAGTCAAGACCGCCGGCGCTCGCGGACGCATTGTAATGCCGGCGGATTGTTGAGCGAGCACCGTCTGCTGCTATCACGATGTCGGCCCGCAGAGTCTCGCCCGATGCAAGCTGCACCTGCATAGTAGCACCTGCGGTATCGGTCTGTCCGGTGCCCAGGCTCGTCTCCCTTCTCGTCGAAGGTTGTGGCCGCACGCCAATGACTTTCGTTTCCCACCTCATGTCTATCAAAAGTCCACAATTCTACACGCTCTCCACCAAGACGCTCTGCAGGGCATTCCTCCGGATCCGACAACCCATCACACGACCTTTACCCTCCTTGCTTTCCTCATCTTGGGAGCGCAGTTTCAAAATCTCCTCCCACCCATCCTCCCAGCCATTCCCGTGCCGCAGGCTCGGTACACTGCGCCAAATACAGAATCCTGCGTCGCTGGAATCCTTGACGCTCTGAACGCTCTGCTCATGGATTGCATCGTACAAGCCGAGACGGTCTAGGACCTGTACACCCCGCGAGCCTGGGTCAGTACGGATCGAGAGCGTGTAGCCTTGTCGAGAACCCGCTCGGTCGGCCTTGGAGTCGCGCTCCAGGACCGTGAGGCTTGGGGGAGGGAGATGTTGCGGCCAGAGCTTGCTCATTGCGCAGATCTGTATGGTTGGGTAAGCATGAAAGTCGGGAGAACCTGGTTGCCCCAAAAGCAGTAGCTGGATTGCGGAAAGGGCTGGGGTGCAGGGAAATGATTGGTATTTTTCAAAAAAAAGTTGCCTTACGAAAGACAAAGATGCTGGACCTGCGCCGATGCAGACGATGTGCTTGTTCGATAGCCAGTGCTCTTGGGGTTGCGCCATGTTCGCTGTGCAACAGTAGTGTTCACGAGCCGGTGTCAGTCAGGACCGGTGATGGTAGACGCGTTGTCGGCCGAGGGCCCTAGTAGACTTTTTGCTTCAGAGCTGATCTGTGTTTGTCGTCTGCACCGCTTGGCTGTATGGATACTCTTCAGAGGCCAGGCTTGCGTACGCTCCTGCTCGTTAGCATATCGCTGGACAGCGTTGTGAACTTATTTGTAGAGCTTGAATGGATGATATAGCAATCATGATAGTAACCCAGCCGTTGACCTTTGCGGAGGGCGAGAGATCACAGCGAAGGTTTGATCAAGGGCACGCGCCAGGCAGCCACCCTCGACGCCTTGGAAAGCGAATACGATAGCTGTGTGACGCACCATTGGCCGTGGTTGTGAAAGTAACGAGAACTTGCTGGGATACAGAGTATATTGTTCCTGCCCATGCTCGACTTTCGAGATCATGCGAGGCAACGGACTGCGAGAGAGCTTTTCGGCGCCGACCTTGAGCACCGTCTGTCGCCGCCGCCCAAATTGGCACGATTGAGATGGTTGGTCTCGCGTTGTGAAGAATCGTGGCAAGAGGAGACACTCGTGTATGTAGTGGCAATGCTCTTGCCACGAGGGTTGCGTAGAGAGCATGGATGCGTTGGGAGATGAAAAGAACAATGTGAGCCTTGGGACGGAGTAGGAGTTTTATCATGTGGTGTAATAGACGTATTACTGCCCCTTATTAGTCCCGTACATGGAGCCCGGACAGCGCCAACGGCCTGCCCCGGGTATCTCAGATCTGCCGTTGAAGCTCATGTTCCCTGCTTGTGGCAAGTGTTGACTTTCAAGAGTTGACGATGTGATACACCTTGTACTCATAGTAGTGCTAGTATAGAAGTCTAGCGTGCGGCTCTTCCGCACAGCCCTTAACGCCTTCAGCCTCTATCTCCGACGTTGCACAATCCACCAACAACCAATAACATACCCATACCCACCACTCCACCAGACGCTTCGGCCGACTTGGAGACAGTCGAGGCCTTCCACCAGCACTCTGCAATGGCTGACTCATGCACAATGGACTAAACCCCGGGCTTCGCTTAGCACCGTACTGGCCGACCGGGTTGCCTGAGGCTGCGAGCCCCCTAATTCGACGATGTGTGGTCAGGCCCGGATCACCTGAAGTGTACATGTCTTGAGCGCGTCTCGCTTGTGGTGTGACACGGAGCCACGGAGCTAAGTCGACTGGCAACAGCCTTGAAAAGCCCTGTCGAGATGTGAGGCATCGCATATATAAAAGGTGGACAAGTCCTTCCATGGACGACTATTCCACGTAGTACCCCATCCTTCCTCACAGCCATATCCGAGGCATCTCCAGCTCCAGCACAGCACCACCACACAGCTCTGTCCAACCCACAACACAACAGAATCAAACCATGGCCCCCCAAAACATCCTCATCACCGGCTCCAGCGCCGGCTTCGGCGCCGCCCTCGTCCACCAATTCCTCTCCGCCGGCCATAACGTGATCGCCACCTCCCGCAACCCAGCCCGCACGCCAGACCTCGTCTCCTCCATCACCTCCCACCCCTCGGGCCGCGGCCGCTGGCTGACCCTCGACGTCACCTCGCCGCAGGAGACCATCTCCGCCACGATCCGCGAAGCCGAGTCCCACTTTGGGCCGTTGGACGTTGTGATCAACAACGCGGGCTACAGCGTGTTGGGCGCGGTGGAAGCCATGGACGAGGAGAAAGCCCGCGTCCAATTCGACACGAATTTCTGGGGGCCTCTCAGGGTCATCAAGGCGGTGGTGCCGGGGATGCGGGAGAGGAGGAGGGGCACCGTGGTTAACGTGAGCAGTATTGCCGGCCTGCAGGGCATTCCGAGTACGGGGATCTATGCGGCGAGTAAGCACGCTTTGGAGGGTGAGTTCTTCAGTTTCCTCCTTTTTGTTTCCAGCTGTTCCACAGAGTGGGGCGGGGCAAATGGATAGAGCAAGACTTCCATTTCCGGCCCCCGAACCTCGAGTGTGCGGGCTCTGAAGCCGAACCCAAGTCATGCTACGAAGAGCCCACTTCCTTGAATCCCTCCACTAACGCCATCTCAACCATAGCCCTATCCGAGTCCCTCTCCCTCGAGCTCGCGCCCTTCAAGTGAGTCCCCCGCCCGGCCCTTGCACCCATCATCCCAAGTCAAACTCCAGACCTGCACCGTCTCACCCCCGTCTAACATCCCCCGCCCTAGCGTCCGCGTCCTCCTAATCCAACCCGGCGGTTTCCGCACCAACTTCCTCAACCCCACCACCTCCCTCCAAACCCTTCCTTTTCCTCCAGCCTACACCTCCACCCCGCTCCACACCGCGCTCGACCGCTTCGCCGCCTACGAAGGCCACCAGCTCGGCGACCCGGAGGAAGGCGCAAAGAGGATCTATGAGGCCGTCATGCAGGAGGGGATGTGGAAGGAAGTCGGAGCTGACGGAAAGGGGTGGTTGAGGTTGATGATTGGGAGTGATGCGTGGGAGAGGGGGACCAAGGCGTTGGAGGGGAAGTTGGAGAATATTAGGGGGTTGAGGCGCGTGGCGGCGAGTACGGATATTAAGAAGTAGAAAGGGGGAGGAGGAGGAGGAGGAAGAAGAGGAGGAGAGGGAAGGAGGATGATGGGACGCGGGCGGAGGCGGAAGAGGAGAGGTGGGAGCAGAGAGATTCGTGAGCTCTTCGAGGGTCGTGTGTCCTGAATTGATGCCCCCTGGTGTCCTCCCGACTGTGTCGACTCTGATGTATGCCAGTGTGGTCTTTCTCGGTCTGTCTTTAGAGATCTCAACGCCGTGCGTGCCTGTTGCTCGTCCGAGCAGGCCAGGGTCTGTAGCACCCTATAACATGCCATTTGCTTGATTCCCATGCCCTTACTCTATACGCCTTCTCTGGTTCTCATCTCGACCAAACAATCTCAATCCGCACTCTGTTTCCCAAATACCAACCCCCCAAAGCCACCCCACTCGGCCGCCCAATGGTCCTTCAGGTAATTATGCCGCGGTACCCAGGGTCCGCGATCGCCACCTCTAGGAAAGCAGCCCTTCTCCCTCGCCGCCTTGAGATACGTGCTATTGATAGCGATGTACGGCACATCCTTGACCGTCCTCTTCTCCTCCTCGCTCAAACACGGCGTGACACTGGTGGCGCCCCGCTTCTCCACCGCGGCGATGATGCGCGTGAACAGACGGGACGTGGCGTCCGCGCCGAGCGTCCACGGATGGTCGACGTAGCCGATGACGATGGCCAGGTTCGGCACGTCTTGCACCATGGTGCCCTTCCAGACGAACTTGTCGTGCACGTTGACCTCCTCGCCGTCGACGAGGACCCGCGCGTGCCCGCCCACGTTGATCTTCAGGCCCGTGGCTGTGACGAGGATGTCGGCTTCCACCAAGCGGCCGTCCTGCATGCGCACGCCGTGCGGCTCGACGGACGCGATAGGGCCTGTTACGATGTCGGCCTTACCGCGGCGGAGCGCCTCGAAGAAGTCGCCGCCGGGGCAGATGCAGAGGCGCTGCTGCATGGGTGTGTAGGTGGGGGAGAAGTCCTTTTCCATGGTGAGCGTGGTTTCTTTGGGGAGGAGTTGTGCCGTGGCTGATTTGAGGATGTTGCTGGCTCGTTGCGGGAACCACCAGCAGAGCTGGATCAGGAAGAGGTTGAGGGCGATCATGCGCCAGCGCATGATGCGTTGGGAGATCCAGGAGGGCAGCCAACGGCGGGCTTGCGCGTTGAACCAGTCCTGCAGCGGTGGGGTGAAGAAATAACCTGGAGAGCGTTGGATCATGGTGACTTTTTCGGCGGTTTCGCTCAGGGTTGGGAGGAGGGTGACTGCTGTGGCACCGGAGCCTATGATGGCCACTTTCTTGTCGTCAGTGGAGAGAGAGGTGTCCCAGAACTGCGGATGGATAATGGTGCCTTTGAAATGTTCCAGGCCAGGAACGGTGGTTTGCAAGGGCGTATGGTAGTCATAATAGCCCGTACCGAGCACGAGATAGCGCGCATAGTAGGTCAATTCCTCCTTGCCATCGCCTTCAGAGTCAGGCTGATCTGCACCTCCGCCCTTGACGACGGTCGCCTGCCACCTCTGTAGATCGGACTTCCAGTGCAGCTCTCGAACAAAATGCTGGTAGCGGATATGGCGATCTATGCCGAATTTCTCGCATGACTGATGGAGGTAGGACAGGATGGCAGGGGCGGTGGCGATTTCCCGATCCTCATCCCAAGGATTCCATGGGAAGCCAAAGGTATAGAGGTCACTGTCGGATCGGAGGCCGGGGTATTTGAAAAATGACCATGTCCCACCCAGCTCGGAGCGCGCATCGAGGATGGTGTACGTGCTGTCCGGGAAACGGGACTGAAAGCGGTAGGCAGCATTGATGCCGGACTATGGGAGTATGTCAGTCACTATGAGGGTAGTCAATTAAGCAGAGGCAGAGAACACGGGGGCGGAGAGAAGCGAAGATGGAGTCCCCAAAGTAAATCCATGGGTCTTGGCCGGGAGCGGGAATGGGAACAACACTCACAATGCCAGCGCCGATGATCAGGCAATCGACCGCATTGTCGGAGGCCATTGTGGTGATAAATTTCAATGACCAGAGATGTGGAAGACTCAAGGAAGTGGCATGAGGCTCGGGCGGTCAAGGCAAAAGGCGAGGCGTAAAATTAGGGGGTCGTTGGGAGCATGTGGAACCGAAGACATCAATACGATGGCGGACATTCAACTCTCCTGACAAAGTACGAGCTACGGCATGAATCAGTACGAAGAATACGAGCATCTTGTGCCCTTCTGTATCGCAGCCTCGGCTTCTGCATCTTCCAATTGAGTTAATGGGTCGAGGCATAGATCCTCGGCTTCATTCGTTCTTCTGCCCGCTCGCCTCCATGACGGCATGCGGCATGTCCATCGAGGACTATTGTTCAGTTGAGCGACGGAGGTCGCACTCAGATACGGACAATATGCCCAATCAGCACCGGGCCTGCGAATGGCTTTCCCTGCTATTTGCCATTGCACTGTTCTCGAGCCACTCTGTTCAGAATTATGTGTTGAGGTCGAACTCGATATATACTGGTCTCGCAAACCTTGTGTCAACAGTTGCGACGTTGAAGAATCCGTACTCGCTTCGATCTTGGCCACGATGCTACTGGACGCCTGACTCTCTATATACTATACCTCGACCGCCTTGCCGCTTTCATCGACCAAGTGTGTATCGACCTTTTCCGGACCACCCCCGACCGCTGTGCAAATGACCCGACTCACGCCGTTCTTCAGCGTCATGACCGTCTTGCTCTCGAGGCCGCCTGTCTCATTGGGCTTGATGGCGGCACCAAACTCACTATCCCAGCCCGCGACATTGGGTAGATGATTCTTGAAAACACCAGCCACTTTGTGCGAGTCTTCTTCCACATAATAGATCACAGCATTTGGACCAGCGTCGAAAGTGTAAGCACAGACTAATTTGCCGGCTTTGCGGTTGACTGTCTCAACGGCATTAATTGCGGCTCGTGAGACGTCCGTAAGATATTGGATCGGAGGCCAGGAGTCCAAACAGATGGCGTGGAAAGAGTTCGAGTCTTGCATCGTGACACGTGCAAACGTCTCAAAGTCCTTGTCATGGATGGCCTTTTCGATCTCCGCCATGCGTGCTGGCACAATGTCCTTGAATCGCGCCGGAGCAAGACTTGACGTGGCCACCGTAGTCTGCATACCCGCGGTCGAAGGCACTCCTTTCTTGTCCGCACTGACCACGAGAATCAATGCGCGCATCTCAGGCCAATGCGAGACCGGTGCCACCTCTTCTGCCAGACTATCTGAACCATCTTCCATGGTGCCTGATCTCCACGCCACATAGCCGCCCATGACGCTTCTGCATGCCGAACCAGAGCCTTGTCTCGCGATCAGAGAAAGCTGTTGAGGAGTCTGTGGTAGCTCGTAGAGGTCCGCGATCGAACGCACCAAGGCGGCAAAGCCAGCTGCCGACGAAGCCAATCCGGCAGCGGTAGGGAAGTTGTTGGCCGACACAAGCCGGAGGCTCATTTTAGATAGCTTGGGCATCGATGCATCTTTGGCTTCTATCTCCTCACGCAGCTGTCGCAGATTCTTCAGGCATGCTTGTGTCCGTTTTGACGACTGAATGTCTTCTTCCTCGCCGTTCAGGATCAGAGAGTCGGGTCCGGAGTAGGAATCTGCACAGGAGGCTGTGGTGAGGGTGCGTAGAGACTGTTGCGACAATGTCACAGACAGAGACGAGTTTGTCGGTAGGTTGAGAGTCGTGTCTCGCTTCCCCCAGTACCTGTTCTGGTCAGTGGTTGTTCATGAAGTCCTCCGTTGAACGTTGCGGCGTACCTACTTGATCACAGCAATGTTGACAGGCGCGGTCGTGGTGGACCGGTATACTTTAGAGTCTGACATGGTGCTTCAGTCGAGCTCCGAGTCGTAGCACAATGTTGGCACCGTGCTCGAACTCTGGTGGCCGCAGAGAAAACCATTCATTTCACCGCTGCGGGGAGGGTGCGCGTCGGTTAAATTTCGGTGATGCGGAAATATACAGACGGACATGATGCACTCCAGATTTATGAGCATCATCAACTTTGACGCTCTTCCGCTACACTACGAGCACCGCCATCATGGGTTGGTGGAAAGCTGACCCAGTACCTGCGACTGAATCCCCGACACAACAACCCTCGTTTTCGCCTCCCGCTCAACCCGCCGCTCGTCCTGTGGCGCCCACCTCCACCTCCGACGAGTCGGCCTGCCCAGTAGACCCGAAGACCCGAGCGTTGTGGCTACAACAAGCGCAAGCAAAAGCGCAATCACAGGCTCAAGAGAAGACCACCCTGCCACCCAATCATCCCCCGCTCCCTCCAACCGCCAATGCCTCCCTCGCCTCCAAAGAATGCTCCTCAACTCGTATAACCGGCCAGACTGCGGCACCTCCAGCACCGACCTCCAACTTCAAGACACCCCGCCCACTATCTCAGGAGCGAGAGGTCTCCTCAATACCCCGGTCCTCAGCCACGGGAACAACTGCTCTGCCCGCCAACAACGAATCCGAAACCGGCCGCCACTCCTCCGGCAACTGGATCTACCCGTCGGAATCCCAATTCTTCAACGCCGTCATGCAGAAGCAAACCGCCTCCGACCCCTCCGCACTGCTTTCGTCCATCGGCCACATCATCCCCATTCACAATGCAGTCAACGAGCGCGCTTGGACGCTCATCAGGTCTTGGGAAGGCGGCGCCTCGGACTCTTGCGGCGGGCCGAAGCTGGCCAGCTTTGCGGGCAAGGGGGCTGGTGCGAGCACCCCTCGAGCCAAGTGGAATACGTGGGTGATGGGCAAATTGGAACCTTTTGACCGCCATGATTGGGTGGTGGAGCGATGTGATGGGCAAATGGTGGAATATGTCATTGACTTCTACCAAGGCAAAGGCAGCACCGGCAATCCCAATGATCAGAATGTCAACTTCTTCCTGGACGTGCGCCCTAAGCTGAATAGCTTTGAGGGCGTACGCATGCGTGCCGAGAGGATGTTGGGGCAGCGGTAGTGACGTCGGCAAGACATGATCTAGACTGTTCGCTGAACGGTCCAGCTGCATTCTTTGCCGGCCAAAGCATCGTGGCGGTCCGCCATCGTCCTGAACAGAGCCAACACGCTCACATCGGAAGGACACACCCACGGTGCGGGCTTCAGGGTCAAGGCCAGTGAACCGTATACGCCAATCCAAGACATATCACGCCCTGTCGGCCTGCAGCACGAAGTCAGGTCATCGCCAACAACCCGCCCTCAACCGCCTCTCACCACCCTCTCGCAGACCTCTCGCGCACAACTCATCACAATCCCACAACGAGAACCAACCGAGCTCCAGGTCAAAAATGCCGTCTCAGAGCAAAAAAGCGAACCGAGGCGAGATTCGAACCGCGCCCTTGGATACCCTTCTCGCCGTGATGATCCAAGTTCGCCATGCCTGGTCACAGCGGTTCAGGTACCATGATCCACCGCCACTTCAAGGGACGATTTTTCCTTTCGATGCAGCACCTTTCCCTCGCTCTAATTCAGCAGTCTTGTCTATCTAGCTTATGCAGTCCGGCAGACTGGCAGACTGGCAGGCGCAAGCAAGCAGCAATTGTACCATATCATGACATGTATAGTGAATACAGATGTACTATCTATTCCCCACTATTGGATCAGGGGCTATTAGAAAACGAAGAGACAGCGTAGTAAGTTCAAGTGATTTGCAATAAAGGTAGTCATCATAGTTTCATTCTCCTTTCCTTCCTGGTAGTAGAAGAAAGCAGGCCGCATCGCTACATGTTGTTGGCTACAAAGTGTCCTGCAGTGGGCTTCCTATGCCTGACATCCGCCGCCGCCGCCGCTACAGCGATGCGCCTGCTTTGTAATTCGATCGAAATGCTTCTCGATGTGTGTTGGGGTGTGGTATCATTAATGCGAGCCCGTGTCGAACCGTGAAACCTTCCATATCCCACCCCTCCCAAACCCCCCATACCCTGCCCCCGCCCCGCCCAAGCTAGAAAAATGAGTGCTGGAAGAAATGCAAAGTGTGCTTGTTCCGGCTGTGAAATCCGGGTACAATATGATAGAGCAATATTGACATCTGCGAATGCTGAAAGTTCCGTGTCGTGCGAGGTCGTGTCATGAAAAAGTTCCGCCATGATTCCTGAAACGCCAGTCTCTGATGTAAAGGTAATGAAGGTTCATATTGTTCGTAAAGGGAGACATTGGTCTTGGAGATCCAATGCAGGAGCATGTTTTTACCACATGCCGGTCCGCATACTCGGTTGGTCGAGTCCATATGTTCCGGAGAATAGCTGCTGTCGAAGACTGTTCTGCTGCTCCGTACCGCCCGAGTGGCCTGTGCGGAGCCAGCCCAACGCACCAGCCAGTTCGCCGTATGCATCCTTGAGCAACCCACCGCTCTTCTCGTTGTGCAGCCGCAGCTTCTCTTCCCAGCCATTGTATTGTAGATGCATGCCACCGCCCCGTTTGCCGGATTCTTTGAGGACGGTGACCCATGCACGGGAGATTTCTTCATAAGCATTCTGCTTAGAGATGTTGTATTGCGGAGTGTCCCAGTCGGGCAGGTTATGGATAATCTGTGTGACGCCGTGAAGATATTCGAGCGAAGTGGAGGATTGTAGTTCGTTGGGTGGGAGGAAATGTGGTGTAAAATCGGCTAGGGCTTCGAGAAGGGCATGTAAATGGATGCGAATTCGGTCGTATGAGTAGTCGGATTGTGGATTGGGGTCTAGAGGAAAGGAGTCCATCAATTTGTTGTAGTATTGCCGTAACACTTGCAGTGTACTTTGTATGCTAGGCCGTGGACTAAGCAGGACGACCTCTTCTTTTAAGTTCGGGTTGCGGTTGACCAACGAACTGAGGACAGAGCGTAATGAGTCCTTATCGAGGGTCTCGAGTAAGCGATCGACGGTGAGTGGCCTGCCAATGACATCGGCTCGAACTCTTTTTCTTGAGGTGGGTGTTAAAGCATTAGGAAGACGGGCATTTGAGAGACCAGGAGACGTAGTCATCTCATCGTCGCGGTCGGGTGAGGGTGAGGCTTTCCTCTTGCGGGGGTTCTGCGTAGGCACTGCGGGATGGTAAGCTGGTAAGCTCCGGATGCATACTAGAGCGGACATACTGGATCGAGTGGGAGAAAGGCGGTGCTGGTGGAAATGAGGAGGGAGAGGCGTTGGAGCCAAACTGTTCATCGTGGGTTGAAGTGCCGGAGCACGGTAGTTGGGTTGGTTTCAGGACAATGGCGAGCCGGGTGTGGATTTCTCGGGCGATATTTCTGACAGATGGACAAAAGAGGGGGTGATGAGCGACCTGAAGAGAACGGTGCAGTTTGGACAGAGGATCTCGAGCTTAATAGGACGCAGCAACTGGTGTAAGGTGGGTGATGGCAAAGAGTGCGAGGTGCCAGTGATCACAAGTGCAGTTAGCCTTCGACCAGGTGGAGTTTCGGTCTTGGAAGCGGCGCTAAGCGAGACCATTGGTCAGCCTCCAACGACATCACTTCTTTGTTTCTCTTGTTGCTCCTCTCCTTTATTGTGACTATCGCTGGTGACAGCCGACACATGTCTGAGTGACTGCCTTTGAAGTCACCCCAATCATCTGGTGACAGCGACGAAACGACAGAAATATTGGGGTGAACTAAGAGGATCCAAATGTCCTAATTGATTGAGAGCTGTAAGACCAAAGGTGGAGCTGAGACTTGCGCCAGCAGGCAGACCGCACCAGAGAGCGTGTAATACGTCAGTTCATCGTATTACTGCCTCAAGAACTGCAGTAGGGTTGGCGCCATCAGACAGGTGACCAAGATATATCAGGATTACTACCTCCTGTTCAAGGAGTTCCGTCCTTTAACATCTCATCATACCGGTCCAACTCGCCCCAGACAAACCCTCCGGGCTCTCATTCCCAGAGAATCGCGAACAGGTGACATTAGAAAAGTACTCAATGTGTGGTAGATTGTGGATCAAAAATGGGCCTCAAGGTATATAACGAGCACAGCAAGTCTGCCTAGCAACCGCCCGGCAGGACCATCAAGGCAACCAGACACGCCACCAAGCAGCATTGCAAGGCTGGGAAGCTCGACCGGCAACTCATCAGCCACCTTGGGCGCTCATCCTAGCTTCAGAATGCGTCGCCAACCCCGGACATGGACGTGTGGTGGCCGAATTCTCTCACCTCGGAGAGCACTAATGTTGGTGGTGGGTGAGTCATGCTGATAGAGCTACACAGCCATCTCGTCAAAGAATGACTCTATCGCTCATTCACATGTTCCAAGCCCGAAGTCTGAGTTCAACCTCAGCTTCTGCGAAGAGTGACTGACCGCGAAGCTTCACAATCCATTCCCAGGTATCAGGGTATGTGCTCAAGAACAATGTCTCCAGGTCGCCTTACCACTTTCGCTACAGCCGCCATCTCTTCACTCATCTGGTGCTCAGTGACCCAATCTTTCAGCGCCCAGAAGTTCTTACATCTATGCCTTGTATTGAAGTCGACGAAGGCATTGTCAGTGTCGCCAATCCAATACTGTCCAAAGACCTGTGTATCTGGCTGACACATCAACGCCTGTCGCAACATATCCATACAATGCCCAACATGTCGTTCAATGACGTATGGAGTTCCGGCAAATGGTCCTTCACCTTGGGCAACATAATGATCATAGTTCCAGTACAATGCCTGCCGCATGAGATTCAGACAATGTAGGTCATGTTCAAACTGGAACAATACAGGAAAGCCTCCACCCAGCTTTGGATCGATCTTGGCATGGCCCTGCTTGAGGCCATAACGCTCTCCGAGGTGTTCCGGTACAATATAGTGTCGGTCTGTTTGCACATTAGCAGAATGTCCAACACACAGTGGCTTGCATACTTCGGGTGCCCAGGTCAAACCAAAGCTTATCTGTCTCTGATCCGGGCGGTCCGCGATAACGAGATTGCGTCAAGAATGAGTCGTTGTACTCAGTTGTCTGCCAAGTGATTTGTGTATCATCCATGATGGGCGATGCTAAGATGATCGTCAGCTGTATCCCTGGGACGTTCTGCAGCACACATGAAAGGGATTCGAGCGTCGTGACTCACGGTATTCTGAGGTCCAAGAGGAGCAAACGTCGTTGACATCGTGCGGTGAATGCTTTCCTGCCTCCAGGGCTACCATAACGTATTGCATAACATTCACAAACACTGACACTCCAAGTAGGAAGATCAACGCGTAGCCACACCACCACCGATGACGCGGCCCCGACGCCTTTTCATGGCCTGGCATTAGTGTCTGAGCCTCGGAGTCGGAGTCGGTCCCTTCAACCTGGTCGAAGCGGACTTTCTTGAGAGGGCTATACTTGTGATCTTTGTTGCCGACTCTGGGCAAGACCGCTTTCAGTGCTCCGAACATTGTTGGAAACAGCAATTCGAAAGGAAGAGCGGCTGGGAAGAAAGGTGATAGGGGTCAAGAGGGAGGGTAGGGGTGGTCGAGAAATTGGTTCAAAGACGAGGAAAGAGGACATGTGCTCCTATACCCATGACCATGCACGAATACTTGCAGCAGCAAGTGTCTATTTCATCTGACTCTCTACCTCGTCGCAATTTCCACAAGTCGGGACCAACAGTCCGACATCCAGAGGATCATTCTGTTGCATCCCGACCCAGGACGGGTAAAACACCGCTGAAGTCGTGCAGTCGCCTGATCATGTCATTGCGGAGCACAGTCTGTGGAAAGGCACACAGTCACCCATGGCATAAGCCTGCAGTGTCAAGTCGAGACCGAGACCTGTAATTGCATACCTTGTCACATCCAGGTACCCGCTCTGTGGAGAGACAAGTCTAAGAAGCCACTTGCCAATGGCCTATGAGCTGCCGCGTTCGCCGACATCTGGACCAAAACTGCGTTGATATTACACAAGCATGCGGAAGATCTGCCACCGGGAGCTTACTTCGACCGCACGGGAGGTTGACATTGAGCCTCATCCGTGATCCATAAGGTAAGGAACGGCGAAGCTACAACAGCTTGCCGGACATGCGGGGTGCATTGTCGATTTGTGGTAAGAAGCCCCACCCTCATCCTGAGGTGGGGAGAGTGAGCGAACGTGGCACGCCGTAAGATGGCCAGATATTCTTGGCATGGGCTGAGCTATTCCATGATCACTCAGATGACGGTCAAAATCGCAAGCGAGTACTGGGCGGATCTCGAACGAAAGTAATCCCGCCAAGGTCGTGCGGCAGAGTTATGTCAGAGAGGCAACATCAACTCCAATCGTCAAGCGTCACCCTGGCTTGGTGCAGCTCCGCAACAACGATTTAAGATTTGTGGTATGGAACCATATGTGACTCTCCCCCAACGGTGATGCTGCAGACGAAGTTGTTCAGACGGCGTGGACAGCAGTTTTGAACGAAACCTGGACTATTCTGCCGCCTTCTACTGCGGGCAATCTCGAGGTCAGAGGTTCACGCGGCCCACAGTGTCTTTCACCCCGCGCTAGCACAACCACGACCAGCTCTGCAATTCTTCATTGCACCAATTGCAGTCCCCTTCCGCCCCAGGGTAGGGTTTCATCACAGCCGGGCTAATCAAAACGTTGTTGGCCTTGAGAATGAATCTGCATGACTGTGATCCTCACGCAGCATTAGCTTAAGCGTACATCGCTCCTGTGTGGACTTCGTCTTGCATAGATGGGCGGATGTCTACCTAGCTAGTCCTGACGAAGCTTCAAGATTCCCGTGCTAGGTTAGGAAGGTCTATCGGTACATCAAGTCACGACTTGCGGCTGATTGTCAGCATATAAGCCCGCCCAAGAATACAACATATCAGTCGAGCAGTTGCTACCAGTTCAAGCAAGGCCTTCCAACCAATCTCTCAAGCAAATCCACTTGCTACCGAAATGAAGATCCTCAATCTCCTGCCCACCCTTGCGTTGGTCTCTGCAGCCGCAGCCTCACCGGTGTGTACTTGTAACCACTAAAACGACAGATCTACTCGTCAAACAGTACCTTTACAGCAGCAAATGCTGAGACCTTTCGAACAGACACCTTTCTCCACCGTGGAGCACAATAGCCACGATGCCGATGCTGCGCTCGCCAAGCGCGAGGCAGAAGCCCACGCAGCGCCGGTCGCAGAGACAGCTGTTGTAAGTGTCTCTCAAGCCCAGCACACGCTCTGATGAGCTAAATGATCGTCCATAAGTCTTAAAAGCTTACATATCTCAGTACTGGTCAGCACCCCCAATCAACTCCAAAACAGAGCACAAATCGCATCGAAGCCCTCGTCTCGAGGAAGATCTCCCAGACCATTTCCCCTCCCATGCAATTCCTGGAACCCCTTACACGCAAACCCGCTGAAATCCCCATTCTATGCAGGGCCTACATCGGTGGCGATACCGACAAGATCAAACGCGAAGCCGCACGCCTGAGCCGCCGCACCGCCGAAGCCCACGCCGCTCCCGTGGCCGAGACGGCCGTCTACTGGGCCTACTTGGGTGGTGCGGCCGAAGCTGAGGCGGCGCACCTTCCCAAGCGTGCCGCTGAGGCGAATGCGAACGCGAACGCGAATGCGGCTCCAGTGGCGGAGACGGCGGTGTATTGGGCTTATCTGGAGGAGGCGGAGAAGTTGGAAGACTAAAGTAGATGGAGAGTGGGCGCTGTAGGGTAGTCGTGGGAGAGGTTGTGTGTGCGACAGATGGCCACTACGTCGAGACGAGAATGCGTGGCATTGCACTCAGGCTGTCGCTGAGCGAGTATGGCCATCAGGGCACCGGTGAAGTTGAAGCTCAAGCTCAAAGGCTCAGGCAGTAAAAGTCTTGGCGAACGGCTGTACGCGAGGCTTCAAGCCCCTGGTTTTGCTGCGTCCACCTCACTCAAACCACAGCTGTATCCGTATATCGACCGCATCGCAGGGCTTGAAATAGAAAGTCACTACGCTCATTTACCTGCAAATCAATCGCCATCTACACCCTCCATCTACATCAGAGGTTTTGTGGCGACCACCACAGCATTTATTACCAGTTATGTGTCGGGTGCGTGCGCCATCGCATCCCCACGATTGGCTCGATCCCACCCTCATGCTTGCCAGCGCCACGCTTCGCCATCTTAGCCTCCCATTCGTTGGGACCCGGTTTACTACTATTACGGGTTATTGACATCGTGCCTTCGTTCGCCCTCGAGCCTCAGTACCCACGACGACGACGACGACGACGACATCATCCCCATCTTGGACCCGCCTCTGAAGCCCCGGGGTTGGAATCTGCTGTACTGTAATAACCCCGAGCAAAGATTCGGGGCAGCTAGAATTCACTCGCCGGTTGTTTTGCTGGTGCCTCTTGTGGCATCACATTCCTCCGGGCAGCACAGGCGAAGCTCTCAACTACGCAACTGAATAGACCACGAGCATACAACGCAAGCCTACGGCAGGGAAACAAGCAGGCGGGTAAGCAAGCAAGCAAGCAAGCACATCCACCCAGCCAAGAATTTCACATCTTCTCCTTCGACTCATGCACCACAGTCAACATCGCATGCCCGCGGCTGGATGCCACTGAAGCTGCGCACCATCCTGACCCTCTCCTGTGCGTGTTGCGGTCTACAGATCTTTCTGGCGTGTACGCAGTGCGCCGCTCCTGCTGCTGAGGACAGACGTACACGACGTACACGACAAGGAAGGCAAGGGCGGTGAGCTAGCCAGCCAGTCAGCCCTACTACCAGCACCAGTGGTTCATCAGCCTCGAGCCAAAGCTTTTGTTCACTTTCGTCGTCGCCGACAGTGTTGCAGCAAGACCTCAACTGGATCATCATTTGTCAACGTGAACCCAGTCAGTGTCGGCAAAACCACGAATTTGTACTCCCCCTCGCGTGCCAGCAAGATAAGCGAGACACGCAAACCTCCAAACCCCCAGAAACAGCAAAGCCAGCATCCCGTCAAAATCCATGTCTACTCTGTCCAAAGACCCAACCTTCGGCCCGCCCCGCCGCTCCGAAACCCTCGCGCAGCAGCAGTACGAGCAACAGATCCTGAACCAGCACTACACGGCGCAACAGCTGCGGCTGGACGAGCAGGAGCTCCAGCGTGCGGACCACCAGGACTCCACCACCACCACCTCCTCCTCCTCCTTCTCCTCCACAAGCGGCGCCAATGGAACCGATGGCGACCACAAAGCGAAGCCTTCCACTTCCAAGAACAAGGCCAAGGAGAAGAAGAATAAGAAGCACTTCCCGCACCTCCCCGGCCAATTCCCCGCCTCGTCTCTGCATTCCAGCAACGGCGCGAAACGCAAGCTCAAGTCCTTCTGGAACCGCACCGTCGTGCCCGCCTTCCCGGAGGCGGTGGGCGACATCAGCCTGATCAAAAAAGCGTGGCGCGTTGAGGCCGGCGTGGCGCGGGACATGCAGGACGCGAGGCGGTATCCCGAGCTGGGACGCGTGGCGCAGGTGAGGCGGGGGTTAGAGCTATGTGGCGAAGAGAAGGAGTGGTTCGTCGCGAGGAGGGATAGGGTGAAAGGCGCGTTTTGTCGTTTTGTGGGCTTGGATGAGAGGGAGGTCGAGGTGCAGGATGTGCCGATCGTAGGGTTTGGGGGCAGTGGTGGCGGGTATAGGGCCATGATCGGAGTGCTGGGGTACGCGAAGCGGATGAAGGAGAGTGGGCTGTGGGATTTGCTGAGTTATGTGGCGGGCGTCAGTGGGAGCTGTTGGTCGCTGGCGGCATATTACACTTGGGCCAAAGGCGACATGGAGAGGGTGGTGCAGCACTGCAAGAAGCGCTTGAACCCGTATCACCCCTTGAGTCCGGAGGCGATCCGGGAGGTGTTACACTCGCCGGGCGGGCCAGCGCTGACGCTGGGTCCCCTCGTACAGAAACACCGCAGCGGGCTGGAAACGGTGGCGATGGATCTATACTCGGTCTTCACGACCGGTTACCTCTTCCTGGGCGGCGACCCGGCGATAGACCCGACCAAGGTAGGGCACGAGCCCGAGAAAGAGATCGCCGGCAGCCACCCAACGTGGCTGACCTGGTCGAGCGCGATCCAGCATCTCGAGCAAGGCCAGGAGCCTCTCCCATTACTGACGGCCATCCGCCACGAACGGCCCTGGAAAGACTGGGCGGACGACACGCACCCGTTCAAGAACGCCGACCCGAGCGACCAAGAGCATTCCGAGGCCGTCGACGCCTGGTTCCAGTGGTTCGAGATGTCGCCGTTCGAGATCGGCTGCGACGAGCTCGGCGCGTGGTGCCCTACCTGGGCGTTCGGACGGCCCTTTGACAAAGGCAAATCGACCATGCAGCTGCCGGAGCAGTCGTTGGCCCTGCTTCTCGGTCTGTGCACGTCGGCACCGGCGGGGCCGCTGACGTCGTACCTGGCGACTATCAAGCGGAACCTTCCTCCAGGGTTTCTGGGTAGCTCGATCCTCGACTTGTCGCGTGGAGTCGCGCGCTTCTGGGGCAAGCAGGGGACGGAGGAGTTCCAGCAGCGCCACCCGCTTCACGCGTGCAACGAGCACAATTTCATGCTGAACTTGTCTAAAGACTCGGCGGGGGAGGAAGAGGCAGCTCCGATCGAGAAAACGTCTCACATTCACCTGATTGATTCGGGTATGGACAACAACTGTCCCACGTACGTCCTGCTCCATCCTTCCCGCGATGTGGATGTCATCTTGAACATGGACGCCTCCAGCGACGTGCAGAAAGACACGTTTCAAGAGCGAGTCGACCAGATCGGCTCGCGAAGGAGTCTCAAGTTCACCAAGCGCAACCCTGATCTCAAACCCCTAGAGGATGAAGGGAACCTGGATCGCTTCCAAGGACTCTACGGCCAGATATACGACGGCTCTGTTCTCGACACACGCCCTGAGACGGTCATGGATAGCTACGGACATGAAGTCAGCAATCCGCCTGCACCTGCCGCGAACAGGGAATGCAGCATGGTCTATCTTCCGCTCCTACCAAACGAGGCCGCAGTGCCAGAGTTTGACCCGTCGACAGCCAAGTTTTCCGGCTCGTACAATCTTGTATGGACTTCGGACCAGGTGGACATGCTCATGAAAGTGTCGGAGGCTAATTGTGCGGCCGCGGAGGCCTCGATCAAAACTGTCTTGTTGGAAGCTTATGAGCGAAACAAGGCCCGGCGTCTTAGGAGGTAGGTAGGTCTTGGCTGTGCACTTCATAGTCGACACTGGAGCTGTCGATCGTGTCGGATGAGTCGAGCAAGGCTCTGACTGGCTCTCGCCCACTTCTGGAGGGTGACTTCGATTCCCTGTCCCTTGCACTGCTCCACGTGTTCGAAAAGTTGAGCCAGCAACGAGAGTTGCTCGAGATGTTCGCTCTTGGCCTCGGCGTGGAATTTATCAACCACCTGTCGCAGAAGACAAAGCGCCAGTTCGCGCCGACGACTGCTGGCATTCAAAACTTTCTGGATGTTGAAGCGCGGGTCATTCTTCTCCATGCTGCCCTTGGAAGTCTCGAAGGCAAACGCCACCGCCCGCTCAGCAACACAAGAGTTTGCAGGGCCGCATATGGCTCCCTGGCCGTCATAGCAAATGACGAAGCAGACCCAAGTCAGAAAGTGAGGATGATGTTCGTTGATCGAAGCACGGACTTGGTCGAAAGCTTGGTCCAGAAATGCATTCCCAAGCATAGCCTGTTCGCCTGTGGAGAGAAGTAGCCCTAGCCAATAACGGCCATAGAAGTCTCTAGCTTGTGTGCTTTCTAGCTCTGAGCACTGGAATGGCGGAAGTATGGAGTGCTTGACCTCGGTCTGCATCCATTGGTAGTAGACATCGGTCTGTTTAACAACCTGATGAAGATCGCGCAGCTCCTGTGGATCGCGCAATCGATGCATAACGAGCAGGTAGCCTTTTATTTTGTGCTCGAGTGGACATGGGTCTCCTGCGTACGCATTTGGTCTCCCAGCGCTTGCGGTCGTATCCGTAAGGTGATAGTCCGTCTGAAGTGTTGCAACGCAGACTGCACTGAGCTCCTCTAAGTTGGACTGTTCCTTGCCAGTGTGTGATCTACCGGCAGCCTCGGTCTTCTCCGGATGTTCCGGACACTCATCGGCAAGAAACGATGTATTATAAATTTCGACGGTGGAGCTTTCGCCTGTGAGAGTTGAATCAGATGTGCACGGGGAGGTCTCTGGGGTTAGCAGACTAGGCACCATGTGCGAAGAAGCGTAGACACTGGTGGTTGAGACCGACGTTGACTTTCGTGCCCGATGTCGACGCCATGATCTCCTGACTGAATTGAACCCGTGAGACCGGCCATTGACTTCAATCGTCGATGGCCTTGCGTGCTCGTCACTTTGGTCATTCATGTGCTTGCTCACTTCGGAAAGGTCTTGCTCGCGAATGTACTTGGACACGTTCCATTTCGTAAAACGCTTCTTGAACATGGGCTTCCTGCGTCTGATGTTATTCTAGTCGATATACTCAGTCTTGGGAGTATCTCACGTGGCGTTAAAATTGTATGCGTGGCTCAGGTGGGCCTGAACTTGTTCCAGGCATTGGCCTCTGTCGCGGTAAAGATGAACAATGAGACCGCGATATGCCTGCCAGTCTCTGGCTGTAGGGTGGCCCAGCCCATCTAATGGAGCAAGGTCGACTGGGTGTTCAGGTGGTCCGTCGGGATGAATCTCGCCGAGGCAAGACATATTTGAGAGCAGAGACGAGGCGTACCGAAGTGGCGGGAGTACAAATCTAATGTCCAAACAAGACGCTGTGACCCATACTTATCGAAATCTGAGAAGCACTTGTGTAGCGGTGACTTGTGGTCAGGCTGATTCGATGACCCCTGGCGATCGTCATATGTCGATCGCATCGCTCGGCGTGAGCGACGGTCGCGTGCTCCTAGCCTGTGGTCTTGATGTTGGGGAAAGGATCGGTGCGCCAAAAGCAAAGTAAAGCGAGGTCCAATCGTAACCACAGCAGGGAAGGTGCTAATGCAAGGGACTTGTGGTTCGCGGTTGCCTTGTCCTGATGCGGGGTCAACGCCAGGGTCACCATCGAAGGCAGCGGTTGACCGGGCACCCCCTTTTGCGCGGTGCCTTGTAAGAGACATCGTGGGAGGTACGGAAGCGGTGGAAAAGAAATGATTGGCATGCATCGACAGTTGAAGACCACTGTCGAGCTCGAACGAATAGTATTAGGAAGTCTATCACCAAGGGGGGAGTTGTGGTGGCTGAGCTCTTACGGCTTTGTCGAGCATGCTTGTTGTATAGTCAAACATCCCAATGAGCCCGAAAAACTGCAGTCAATTCCGTCGCCTGTCTCTTTTTGAGAGAATAAAACCCAGTATGCTTCGCTAAGGGGTATCAAATACAAGTCATGATGGAGGAACAACAAAGCGCTGGAATCCTGCGAGCGGTCAAGTCGAGGGGGGCTTGATCAGAGATAAAGTGACTGCGCAGCCACGATGTCTCTTCTTACCTTGCCGAGTGCTTCGGTGAACTTCTTTTCCAGCTCTTCGCTTCCCATCGCCTTTGACGCTTCCGCCATCTGACGAAGCAGCTCCTCGAGGCGGCGGAAGGTGCGAATGAGGCTGCCCTCGTACACATCGGTCATTTTGCTGCATCATGTCAGTCGAAACATTTCAGACGGCGAGTGGACATACCAGATCTCGCCAAACGATTTACCCTGGGCCCAGGCATAGATGATTGGCATGAGCTGCCATTTAAACCCTTGTACGTACTCCTCCTCGTTGACAGGCAATTTGGACTCGACAGACACTTTGGCAATTTTCCTGGCCTGTTTCTGTATTTCGCGTAGGGGTCGAGCAAGCTCATCCGGCAGGACCGGCGCCTCGTTGACCTTCTCTTCAAAGACGAAGCAACTGATGACAGCTGCACACTCTTCAGGAGACATGTCATTGAAGAAACGGTCGAAGAGTAGTTCACTCAACATAAGCTCATCACCAGTGCTGATCTCGCAGGCGACCCGTGCCTTGAGCTGGACGACTTCGTCTTCATTGATGAACTGCAGCCGCCGAAGCACACGTTTGCGGCACTTCAGTTCCTCGAGCTGAAGAATCGCGTGCGCGTCCTGTATCTTCTTCTTGTGCTCACGAATCTTGTCATTGACGCCAACCTTCTCGGCGTATTCATTCCACAGCCGCTCCAATCGAGGCGAGTTGTGCAACGGGCTCGCGACCAGCCTGGACTCCATCACCTCAATCTTGCGAATAAGCTCTTTGAACGATGCATCGGCGATGTTCATTTGTTCAACGGGGTCAAGCTTCGGGATCCCATCGGGAAAGCGCTTTTGGACCTCTGCGAGCGCTCGCTGTATCTTGGTGCGATCCGATGACGAGGTAACATCTTTCGGAGGAAAGATCCTGAAGGTGGAGATGCCGTAGACACACTTGAGAAGCACGGGAACGACTTCGACCTTGGACTTGTTGCCAGGCTCTGCGGGTCGAATGCCTGGTGGTAGAGAATTGAACGCATTCGTGCCAGAGGCGAATCCTTGATCAGCACATTCGAGAGCCACATCAAGGGTCCAGGATTCTTGAGGCGCTAATGGCTCTCGACTGTTCCGATCAGGCTCACGTCGGAGGAAGTTGATGACAGCTCCCCAACCAAAATCGTGATCTCCATCTTTGACGTGTACCAGACGCCCGGGTTGCATGAACGGAAGGCAGAAGTTTGGATGGATGATGATGTTTCTCATATCTTCCCCGTAGGCATCGAGCTGTTTGCGCAAGTCGTAATATGATTTAATGGTGGATTCATCCTCAATCACCATGGCTTGTTTCTGGTTCTCGAGTTTTCGCAGCTCCTTTTCCAGATCCGACACGCTTGCTAGATTCTGGAATTGGTGGAAGCATCGCTCTAGCATAAACTCCGGAGAGATGCCTTCTACTCGCAGAAGGTTCAGGACCATGTTGTAGCCGAGATAAAAGGCCGAGTTAAGCTTGTCTTGCTCTCCTCGAACGATGCTCTTGGCAACATCGGGTTCCAGCTGCTGATCAACCATCATGATGACAATGCCGCGATCATCCAGACCTCTTCTGCCGGCCCGACCTGACATCTGGATAAACTCGGAAGCCGTAAGCCATCGTTGTGAATAGCCATCAAATTTGCGAACATTCGTGAAGACGACGGTTTTGGCAGGCATGTTGAGACCGATAGAAAACGTCTCGGTTGCAAAGAGGACCTTGATCAGACCTTCTTGGAAGAGAATCTCGATGGTCTCCTTTAGGATGGGGAGCAGGCCGGAGTGGTGGATGCCGATGCCTCGTTGTAGCAGAGGCAGCAAGTGCTGAATCTGTGGTAGATCCTTGTCCTCGGGAGACAGGGTTTCCAGGGCACTGTCAAAGACCTTCCGGACCATGGCTTTCTCGCTGTCATCATTGAAGACCATGGCCGCCATCTGAAGGGCGTAGGCTTCACAGTCCCGCTTGCTAAAGCTAAAGACAATGACAGGGTTGTAGTTCTTGGTGATGATCATACGAACGATCTTGTAAATGTCCGATGGTCCCTTATTGGCACCACCTTTGTTGAACCTCTTATCTTTGCCTCTGCCCTTTCGCTTCGCCATGGCGTTCGCAGGATCGTCGCCTTCTTTCTCAGCAATGGCACTCATACACTTTTGAAAATTCTCTTCCCTGAAGACGCCCTTCTCGTCGACGATGAGGTTGATACCATCTGAGCCAGTCGGGAAAAAGTAGTGCTGAAGAGGAGTGGGCCTGAAGTCGGTGTAGACAACGTGACAGGGCTGGTTGTGGATCTTGGTGATCCATTCTGCGAACTGCATAGCGTTGGGAATGGTGGCGGAGAGGAAAACATATCTGACTTTGTCTGGAAGAAGGATGATGGTCTCCTCCCACACGACGCCTCGCATCTTGTCGCGTAGGTAGTGAATCTCATCGAATATAACCCAGCCGACTTCACGCATAATCTCGGAGCCACGGTAGAGCATGGATCGCAGAATCTCGGTAGTCATCACTAAACAGGTGGCGGTAGGGTTGATGGTGACATCGCCCGTCATTAAGCCGACATCTCCAAACTCGGCCGCAAATTCTCGGTACTTCTGGTTGCTCAGAGCCTTAATGGGGCTGGTATAGATGACGCGCTGGTTGTTCTTGACGCACTGGGCAATGGCATACTCAGCAACAACAGTTTTGCCGGCAGACGTATGCGCAGACACGAGAACACTCTCGTTTCGTTGGATGGAGTAGATCGAGACTTGCTGAAAGGGATCTAGCTGAAAGTCGTAGGTCTTTGCGGGGTTCTCTGGCGGCTTGTGCTGTGAGATGGGAGTGTACGGGTAGTCGGGCGGCAGGGAGACTTGATGGCGGACTTGATGCGATAAGACAACACGGTCCGATTCTTGGTCACCGGATAGGCCGCCTGCGGCAACTTCTCTTGACTGCTCGGTCTCGAACGTATCGGTAACGACGGGCTCCGGCTCGTCGTTGAGGCGCGGACGTTTGTGGTTGCTGCCATCATCATCGGATCCTACGACAGATGCCGAAGAGGCAGGCGAGGAGGGTGCTTCGCTGTCTGAATCTTTATCGTCGTCGCCTGTAGGCTTCAGGTGGCCATCTGCTTTCCGCTTCAGGTTCTTCTTTCCATTCTGAGTGGCACCGGCGCCATTGACTACAGGAATTGCGGACGGGCCCTTGTCCTCAAATACGTCAAACAACTCATCCATGTTGCCTGAGTGCACGCGGAGAGTGTGTAACGAGGGGAGAGTTGGTGGCGTGCTTGCGTGCGAAAGTCGAGGGGATCGACAACATGGACAACTTTTGTGGTGAGCGCAACTTTTGAAGTGCAGTGACGCTCGAGAGTGGAGATCGGCCACTGGCGGGACAGGAAGGCTAGCCGAGGCGCCAAGCCTGCAGCTCGGGAGCTTCAATCGTCGTTCGACTGATGACCCTCTCTCTTCTGTTGCTGGTTAGCTACTCAACGACCTTCCTTCCCAACCTTGACGAGCATACCGATCACCGTAATACTCTCACGAATATTCTCCTCCAGGTCCATTCTAACAACTAGCAGATGCTCGGACAAACCGCCGCCCGCGCCAGACTGGCTGCTGGCCCTGTCGCCCGTCGTGGCTTCACCTCTACTCGAGTCCGACCCGATCAGTACAACTTCACTCCCTACCACTACCCCGAGGGTCCGCGGTCGAACCTGCCCTTCAACACCCAGACAAGATTCTTTGCTGTTCGCTACTGGTTATTTATGGGTACGAGCATTGCAGTGGCGTGACCAAAAGGAGAGATGCTGATTAGAAGTAGCAACTGGATTCGGCCTACCATTCGGGATTGCCGGTAAGACAGGTCACTTCTGTGACAGTTTCGAAGACATGCTCATATATTTGCAGTGTACCAAACCAACAAGACTGGGTAGAATGTCCAACATGGTCTTGCGCCGGTTGAGGAGCAAGGAATCCTACGGGTCCTACGGGTCTAGCACCTTCCGAAGCTATGTACAAAGCTAAGAGAATAAAATGATTGAAAGCAGATCACTGTTGGAGGCCAAACCTATACCGTTTTCCATTATGGCTGTAGAATGTAGATGTTGCCGCGAATCTATCTCGCAGCGATTGAACTATTGGCTCGCCAGAACTCCACTTTTTCTCAATATCAAAAAATATTCTGGCGACCATGCAGTGTAGTGACTCTAATCGCCCCAAGTTATATTCGGTCGTAAGACCAAATAACCCGCCTTTGCCTGCTCTCTGGTCTCGGTCAAGATGCGCAACCTTAGGAACACCGCTTTTCGTCAGGTTGCTCTACCTGAAGGACTGCCACTCTCTGCAAAGGCTTGGGATACTAATAGCGATGCCATTGTATGCGCCTTTGGGCCTACGAAAGATCAGCCTTTTATCGAACTCAGACGCAAGCAGCTGGATGCAGCCGACTTCCAGACCATCGTGTCATGGGATGCACCCTGTCCACTTCCGGAGCTAGAGAGCGACAACGTCTTACTCTTGCAGTACTTCGCCGACATCGCCACTGCATGTCTTGTTTTGGCAGGTGGAGACATTGTTGTCGTCCGCGAGGAGCCTTTACCTGGACAAGAGCGGATCGAGATTGTCGGGAGCGTCGATGTTGGCATTGCAGCGGCTGCGTGGGCGCCTGACGAAGAACTGCTGGCCCTGGTCACCCGAGCCGACGCTCTAGTCCTCATGAGCAGAGATTTCGAACCAGTAACGGAATCTACGCTCTCAGCAGATGACTTGAAAGCGTCCAAGCACGTATCCGTCGGATGGGGGAAGAAGGAGACGCAATTCCAGGGCAAGCGAGCCAAGGCTATGCGCGACCCTACCATGCCGGAGTCGATCGATGAAGGTAAGCCTAGCCCATCTGATGACGGCCGAACAACCGTAAGCTGGCGCGGCGATGGTCAATACTTCGCCGTCAACAGCATCGTTCCTTCTCACCGCCGGGTGATCAGAGTCTTCACACGCGAGGCTGTACTTGATAGTGCCAGCGAACCTGTTGACGGCCTTGAAAGTTGCCTGTCTTGGAGACCCTACGGCAACCTGCTCGCTGGAATTAAGCGATCGAGCGATAAAGTGGAAGTCATCTTCTTTGAACGCAATGGCCTACGACATGGCGAGTTCAATCTCCGACTTTCAGTTACGGACATGGAAACCTGGGCCAGCAATATCTCGCTCTCGTGGAATATAGACTCGACCGTTCTTGCCGTCGGTTATTGCGACCGCGTCCAGCTATGGACGATGGGCAATTATCACTACTATCTGAAACAGGAGATTACTCTTTCTCACAATCTACCTGGCTCTGTGTTATCAGCTCTCACGCCCTTGTGGCATCCGGAAACTCCTTTGAGGCTACAGGTCTCTAATGAGGATAGCCACCTTGACCTCGCCTACAATTTTAGAGTCAATCGTGGGTCAGCCATCCCTGGCTCCGACTACGGCATCGTTGCAGTCATAGATGGAAAGTCGTTGAAACTTACACCCCTGAGGCAGGCGGGAGTGCCACCACCCATGTCGTACTGTAATGTCAGCTTCGAATCTCCTGTCATTGATTGCTCTGTGAGCGCAGACGGCCAATGGACTGCCGTGCTCACCAAGGAGACGCTTGAGTTGTGCGACTGGGCCCCCTTGTCAGTCAATGACAGCACAAAGACAACCCCTGGAAGACGATTCGGAACGACCTTGTCGAGGCACTCGCTCCAACTGCCACGCAGCAATACTGCCGATCACCCATTGACCCTCACTCAGATCGAATTTTCTGGTGATGGAGTATTCGTCCTCGCTCCGGTGGGCAGCGATAGTTCGCCTGGCCTATATCGAACGGACTGGGCAGTGGGTAACTCTAGCTCCGGCTTCGAGAAAGTGGAGTTGCGTATGTCTCCCGATAATTTGGTCGTTGATACGCATAAAAACGTGCTGCTGGCTGTTGAGCGCAGTAAGGGCGATCTTGTGGGATCTTCAGAGGGCCGAAAGACCGGCGTAATGGCGCCGGTAACCATCGACAACTTACAGCCAGAAGCCACACTATTTACAGTCAACACTACAACTGAGTCAGAAGTCGAACAGGACCTCGGCGACGCCCACGAATCCTACCATGCGGTGTCCTTGTCCGGAAAAGGTACTCTAAAGGTTGATGCCACTATCCTTGCGCGGGACTGCTCGTCATTTGTTGTTACAGATGCACACATCATTTTCACCACAACTCAGCACCTGCTCAAGTTCGTGCATCTGACCGAGCCTGAAAAGATGGAAGTACCAGGCAACACTCCAGAAGTTGACGAAAGGTGCCGAAGTATTGAACGAGGAGCAAAAATTGTCACTGTAATGCCTTCGACGTATGCCGTTGTCCTTCAGATGCCCCGCGGCAACATCGAGACCATCCATCCTCGTGTCTTGGTCTTGTCAGGCATTCGAAATCATATCAACAATCTGGACTACAGGTCCGCCTTTCTGGCTTGTCAGAACCAGCAAGTAGATATGAACATTCTTCACGACTATCAGCCCGATAGCTTCAGGGCCAGTATCCCAAAGTTCATCGGGCAGCTGAAGAAACCAAGTCGCATTGATGAGTTTCTGTCGAAGCTCAAGGAGGAGGATGTCACCGAATCACTGTACCGAGATACTCTTTCACCCGGTCAATCACAGCGGCAAGTTAACGGCGATCAACGTACCACTAGCAAAACCAGCAACAAGGTCAATGCGATCTGCGATGCCTTCATCGCTGCACTCAGCGCTCTCACCAGCAACTCTGGCTACATACAGAACATCATAACAGCCCACGTTTGCAAGCGCCCACCAGATCTTGCCTCTGCCCTGACTCTCATCTCCTCCATTCATGCTACTTCGCCCTCGGAAGCCGACCTCGCGATTTCACATCTCTGCTTCCTGACAGACACCACACGGCTCTACAATGCCGCACTCTCCCTCTACTCGCTCGAGCTTGCTCTACTGGTTGCACAAAATGCACAACGCGACCCCCGCGAGTACATGCCGTTCCTTCAATCTCTCCATGCCATGGAGCCCCTTCGGCGACAGTACACCATCGACAACCACCTTCGCAACTACTCCAAAGCTCTGACATCCCTTCACGCCCTCGATGATCACCCAGCCGTCGAAGCCTACACTCTCAAGCACTCCCTCTACGCCCAAGCCCTAGACCTGTACAAATACTCCCCAGACTACAATTCGGCCATAACTCGACACTACGCAGCCCACCTCGCGTCCACCAACCAACCCTACCGCGCCGCCACCCTCTACGACTCCCTCTCCGACCACACCGCCGCCTACCCGCTCTACGCCCTCGCCCACGCCTGGCGCGAAGCACTCACCTCCGGCACCCTGGTCCCCCTCCCCTCTTCCCAACTACAAACCCTGGCCCACTCCCTCGCCACGACCCTCACAGACGAAACCCGCGACTACCGCGCCGCCGCCCACATCCACGAACACTACCTCTCCTCCCCACTCGAAGCCGCCCGCCTGCTCTGCCGCGGCAGCTACATCGCCGACGCCATCCTCCTCCTCTCGCGCACCTCCCCCAGCAGCATCCCCGAAACCATCGACCCGGCTCTGTCCGAGCAAACCGGCGCCATCCTCTCCCTCCTCGCCGACTTCCGCTCCCAGCTGTCCGCCCAGGTGCCGCGCATCACCGAGCTCCGCGCCATCAAAGCCGCCGACCCCCTAGCCTTCTACGGCGGCGACGCCAGCGCCGCTGCCGCAGCGGCCGACGGCGTCGACCTCATCCCCGACAACGTCAGCCTCGCCCCCACCGAGACGACCGTGCAGAACAGCCTGTTCACGCGCGCCGGCGCCGGCGCCTCCCGCTTCGGCGGCACGGCCCTCAGTGGCGCGTCGCGCAAGACGTCCAAGACGAAGCGGAAAGAAGAGCGGAAACGCGCGCGGGGCAAGAAGGGAAGTGTCTATGAGGAAGAGTACCTGGTGGCGAGCGTGGGGAGGCTGGTGGAGCGGTGGAACGGGACGCACGATGAGGTGAAGAGGCTGTTGGCGGGGTTGGCGAGGAGGGGGAAGAGGGAGGAGGGGGTGGAGGTGCAGAGGGTTATGGGGGAGGTGGGGGACGCTTTCGTGAAGGCGAAAACGGAGGTTTGGGGCTTTGAGGAGGAGAAAGGTGGAGCTGAGACCGCGGAAGGGAATGCAGGGGAATTGGGGCGAAGTAGGCCGAATGGTGCCGATGGGGTGCTCTGGGATTCTCAGCAGGAGGGTGGGGAGCCGAAGATGAAGAAAGCACCAGAGGTGAAGGCTTGGACGGGAGGAGAAGTCTTTGCGTAAAAGTTTGGTGGAATACTGCATATGAGAAGGTCGCTTGCATTCACATCGTGGCCTGGAGAAGTTTCTGTTCAAAACACAGCCGGTGCAGAATCGGCTACCGGACTTGCTCCATCTCTCTGCTTCTTAGTGTGCCATTAGCATGCCCGTTCACAGCTCTACCCCCAGATATCTGCCGTCTCGTTCGTGGTTGGGGATCGTAATTAGGAAACAGCTTCGTGGTCGACTTCGGCTTGTTCCATTCTCTCCAGCTCTCGACGGGCTGGGCCTCACGTTCTGGAGCGTCATCAAACTCGATAGGCTCTCTTCGTGGCGCCTCCGTTCGTAATCTTTTCTGCTCCTCCTTCTCTGCCTCCAATTGACCACTGGCTTTTCTGGCTGCGTTTAGGTCGGCTATGCCAAGCCCAGTGTCGGCCAGGAACATCTGGAATGCAGACAACAGCTCGGACAGCCCGCTCTTCAGTCTTCTCAAGATGAGCTCGACATCACTGATGTTGCCATCAGGAGGCGTTTGCTGCAGAAAGCCTTCAATGAGAACAATGGTCTTGGTGAACTGCTTGACTGTCTCAGGAACGCCCGCCATGGCTTTGCCGTATGCATCATCTTGCAAACTAGCAGAAAGCATTCTCGTAATGCCTTCAATAGCGTCCACGATGGTAGCAGAGTCGCTATTTGGAGTTCCAAGGACGGTTGCGTTAATTCTCGACGTGTTGGACGAGCCAAAAAACCACCCGAAGTAGCCTTTGGCATTTCCCACAAAGTTGGCGGTATCTGGGACATTGGGTAGTCGAAGTGGCTCGGAATGAGATCCGAGCTGTTTGATTTTGTCATCGGCGATCTCAAGAAGTCTCTGACGAGCTCGAGCGTCCTTTTTCTCCTTTTGTGACAGAATATTCCTCTCCTCTTGAATCCTAGTTGTTTCTCTGGGCGCTTTCAATATCTTTGGTAGAGTAGCCAGATTTTGTTCTGTATTTGCGGGATTCGCTGCTGGTGGCGGCTGTATTCTTTCGTCAATCTGCTTGATTACCTTGAGGCCCTCAGCCAGCATTTGTGACCAGACGGGGCCGGTCGGTCTGTCGATATCAGAAAAGATGGCCTTTCGTCTCTCTGGATGGTTCTGTGCAATGACCACCAATTCCCAGAAAGCGAAAGTCTTCAGAATGCCACGCTTCAGTTTCATTCCGTTGAGCAGCGACCCATTAGGATCTTTGCCAGATGAGGTCCAAGGAATGTCATTCTTGACTGGTGGTTTCTTGAAGTAGGCTACCAGGGACAATGCAGACAACTCCCAAGCCATACTGAGCCAAAACCCAGCATAGATAGTGGTGTGCATTGTACCGAAGATGGGAGGGATGCCAGTGGCTCGGCTGCCACTTCTCGAAATATTGAAGAAGAGCTTAGCAATGGCTAAGTGTGCCTGCCACAATGGTTGGCGTAAAAGTAGCGTATAGACGAAAGGCCCTCCACAAGCAACTGCAACAGATGAGATCATACAACGAAGGGCTACACCATACGATTGCGAGCGAAGGAAAACCCAAGTATCGGAGATCGGATGAGTGCGCTGATCTTTTGCCTGAGGCGTTGGTGCTTCGGATATGGGGAGCTGGAGGGTGGACTGCGCAAAGTAGACATGCTTAATCGCTTGCACGATACCCAGCATAGTGAAGTATGCACGGAACCAGATGGGTCGCTCATTCAACCTGTCAAGCATAGTCATGTCGCCCCTTGTGACCCAAGTCATGTTTGAGCTAGACCATATGTACACTTCGGTAAACCACCACGCCGAAGCAATGTACCAAAAGCATGTCTTGAAAGTCGAGGCACTGAACAGGCTTTGGCGGACTTGCTGGAATGGAGATGTCGGAGTCGGCTTGCCTACCGTCACCGTCGCGACCTGGAGGATAAAGATGAAGATGATGGCGAAGAAGTAGAGTAGGGCCCGCAACCCAGCAGGCCCAAGTGGAAACCAGGACCAGAAAATGTCTGGCAGCGTCAGTCGAGACTAAAAGCTTTGATCAATGTTTAGCAAACTCACCATAGTTTGGTGCTAGTAGGACCGCCTGGTCCCAACATATGAACAAGGACAGCAGTGCGGCATGGACGAATCTGGTATGGAAAGCTGAAGTGAGGAATCTTTTATAGGCCCGGGGTTTTATGTGCGCCGGAGTCGCTGCGGAGGGAGCGTTCATTGTGTGACTCGGTCAAATGGCTAACGAAGACTCGTCATGGAGTCTTACGGCCAGCGAAGACTTCGTGGAATGAGTGTCGACCTGGAGAATAGGAAATGGTGGGAGACGAACGATTGACAGCGACGGTCGCGCATGCGAAGTTTATGCGTCCCAAAACGGCTAGCGCAAAGCGACGTCAGCCGCGCCCGCGAAGCCGCCGAGGACGCCCGGAGCAACTGCCACCGGCGCCACTACTGCAGGAGCAACTGCCTCGATGCCTGCTACCTGCCCACCTGACCATAGGCCTCCGTCAATCACTCCTCATTTCCACGACAACGATTGCGACAACACTCTTCACACTCCGTCAGCTGTGTCGCGCAAGCATCTCCTTTTGACACAATCTTTGTAGAACATTTCAGGATGTCGTTCGATCGCTTATCGTCGCTCGAGTCGCAACCTACGACCACCCGTCGGCAGGACGATCCCCAGTATAGAGATGACCCGGAGTTCCAGCGCTTTACCGAGTCTCTGTCAACCAAGCTCTTCGAGCTGATCTCAAATGTGTCTCGACTTTCGAATCAGATTGCGCTGCTAGGAACAAAGCGGGATACCGAGAGAGTACGAGAACGAGTTCATGATCTACTAGAAGAGAGCAGAGACGGCTTCAAGGAGGTTGGCGAAGGTATCAAGAAAGCACAAGCTTGGGATGATCTCAATGTGAGTACATCCAGACCCCAAGGATTCGTGCCTGGACTAACATGTGGTAGCCTTCACAGAAGTACACCAACCAGAAACTATCGCGCGAGTTTGCTTCTGCCTTGTCAGAGTTCCAAGTTGTGCAAAGAAGGGCTATCGAGAAGGAGCGAGCGTCAAAAGCGGCTCTCGAAGAGTCGACGTCTGCGCAGTCCCCGTCTGGCGAGAGACAGCAACAGCAACAACTGCTTGAGGAACCTCAAGTGGCCAACCAGAGCGAAGTCGATTTCCAGGAGAATCTCATTATCGAGCGCGAGGGCGAGATCCGGCAGATTGAGCAGTCTGTCGGCGAACTGAACGAGCTGTTCCGAGATGTTGCTCATATCGTGCGGGAGCAAGGCGAGGTCATCGACACCATCGATGTCAATGTGGAGAACACTCTGACCGATACCCGAGGAGCGGATATTGAGCTACGGAGCGCGAGTCGCTACCAGAAGGCTGCCCGCAACAAAGCCTGCTGCTTACTGTTCATCCTAGCTATAGTCCTTGTCATCATTGTGCTGGCCGTAGTCTTGAGCTGAGTTGCGGGTACCTTATTACCCAGCCGCTCCAGGACTAGACCATGGTGAAGAGCATGTATATAGATGTGATCTCTTGGTGTTTTGGAGCGAAACCTGGCGTTGAAACAAAGTCGAGACTTACTCGACCGGCCTTGTTACTCGAAGCGGAGGAAGCATGCCACAATCAGTCTCGAAGCTGTGTGGCTACGAGGCGGCTGGTAACGCCTCTGGCCCAAATATATATCAATGGAGAACGATGACAAGTCCCATAATAATATTGACAAGCTCACAACACCTTGCATGCCTTCCTTCACCTATGAATGCCTTCCAGCGCAAAGCACATGGTCTCGCCCTTATGCAATCACAGAATATCCAGAACATTCAACGCCAGCACTAAAGCACCCGCCCAGATCCAGCCACCTAACTGTCCCACGCCCATACCCGGCGCCCCATTCCCAAACCCAAACGGCAACCCCTGGTAACCAAACGTCAGATTCTGCGGGATACTCGCATTGCGACACTGTCCACCCGCCACATCCAACCCCGTCAGATCATCCGGCACGAGGAAGAACATATACGTGCTGTTATCCAAATCCTTGAAGCCATCGGTATTGTAAGGAAACCTGTCGCCTGAGTCCGTGGCGCTGGTGTTGCGCAGCCAGATGCACTGCACCTGGCCCGGGTAGTCGGTGGCCATCTGCGGATAGTCCCTCATGACGTCCGAGTTGGAGGTGTCGGCGACGAGGATGAATTTGCGCTGCGGGAAGGTTTGGAAGACCTTGTCGAGCAGGAATTTGCGGATCGAGAGCGTGGCGCTTAGATCGCTGAAGTTGAGGGGCCGGGTGTCGAAGCTGCCGCCGGGGTAGGTGTCGTAGATGAATTTCATGTAGTTGCGTGTGACCTGTTCTGGGGTCGTGGTGAGGTAGTGGAAGTGCATGTTGGGGAGGCTCTCAGAAAGGTTGCGGTAGATGTTAGGCATGTTCATCCAGGGGGTGAAGGGACGGGCGAAGGAGTTGAGGAGGCCTTCCTTTGGCTCGTAGATTTTGGTGATGCGCAGGATATCGTCGATGTCGCTGATGATGGTGAGGCCTTCTTCGGACACGAGGTAGGATGTAGCATTGCCTGTGTCGGTGCCTTGGGCGTAGACGTTCAGGCGCTGCGGTGGGCGGTCACCGTCACCGGGCTGGAGGCCGCCAGAGCCATTCTGAAGTGGTACAAAGACGTCGAAGTCTCCTTCTGGAGTTGTCTCGTACGGTAGCCGTACCGACTGCGAGCCACCGGCAGGAGTCTCTCCACCACCGCCGCCAGACTCACCATCTCCGCCAGCCAGTGGGGCGGGCTCGAGATCCATTGTAACATTCTCATTTGCCTGTTGAACCACGTAGATAGACCTCGTTAGGTTTCGAGCCTGATCCGCTTGTGAAGGTGGCAGCTGCTCGACGCTGGTGTCGATCAAGAAGAAGTTGGCCAAGTTATCGATGGTGTCGTTTGAGATATTTGGCTGCTTATAGACATTGCCGTGGAACCTCAAGTTCCATTGGTCATTTGTCCAGTTCGCATAACCCGGGATGTTCAGTACCTGAGTAGGAGACGCTTGTAGGTCCGAACTCGATACATTGGCTGAGCTCAGTACTTGACTTCCCGTAGGTAAGTCTTGAAAGTGAGGGAAGAGTCCGTCAGACACATAGGAGGGAATTGCCGAGCCAAGTTCTGAGAATACCGAGTTCACATATCCATCGAGCTTCGACGTGATATCGTCAACAACGTTCCGCTTCTGCAGATGAGGGTCCCCTCCCAGAACAACTGGCGTGGGAGCAGGTGTAATGAGAGGAATGGCCACAGCTGGCTCAAGTGTTTTCTCGGCTGGGAAGGCGGCCGTCAGCTGCAGCGCCGCAATAATGAGCAGGAAACTCCTCCTGGTGTGGTTGCGTGCCATGTCTATCCAAGTTCTATCAATGCTGGCAGAGAAAGTTAGTATGTAACGATCGTAATGGGACTAGCGTGTTCCGAGCCTCTTCTCCGCGCTGACTCCCTGAATAATTCAGTCGAAATGCAGTTGCCTGCTAGATCCAAGCACAGCAGGGGACATTGTGATCCTCTTGTAAGTCCTGTGTACAGTACGAAGGGCCAGACCGGGGAAGCCGCGTCAGTAACGTCATTGCCTTGGCGACCGAAAGCTTGACCAACTCTTAAATGCCTTGGTTCGCAAGATCTGTAGCACGTGACCTGGCAAGGCAACGAGGCTGCCTAGTCGCAACAAGGCTGAACCAAGAAAGCGACGTCAGTAATGAACCCAGCGCATCGCAAATCAACTACTAATCTCATTTCAACGATTATTTGTATTGCGCATCGCAATACAGCATCTAACATGCGCCCCCTGGCCTGAACGAGCCTTTGTACCTCGATGACTTGTGCAGGTTAGGGAAAGTCCGCCTCGCTATCTACACCATGCCTTCGGTGCACGAAGCCTCCAACGGCGCTGCTCCTGGCTCCTCCACGAACCCTGTCATTGAGCGAGACCAGTCGCAATGGCTCTTCACAACCTCAGAACTTCTTCGAACTCCCTCAGTTCTCGATGGGATGCCAGCGGCCCAGGAACTCGCCAACCGACAGAAAGGCGTCAACTTCATTACACAAGTCGGCATCATGCTCAAGCTCCCGCAACTCACACTCGCGACGGCGTCAGTCTACCTACACCGCCTTTTCATGCGGCAGAAGATGCAAACAGAGAAGTCCCCCGGCTTGCACCATTATTCCGCCGCTGCGACAGCCCTGTTCCTCGCTACAAAGGTCGAAGAGAATTGCCGCAAGATGCGAGAATTGGTCGTTGCCTGCTGCCGAGTGGCGCAGAAACAGCCCAATTTGGTAGTCGATGAGCAAAACAAAGAGTACTGGAAATGGCGTGATACGATTCTACACAACGAGGACGTCCTGCTTGAAGCGCTCTGTTTCGACCTCCAGCTGGATCAGCCATATCGAATTCTGTTCGAATTCCTCCAATACTACGCCATACAAGACAATAAGAACTTACGAAATACGTCATGGGCCTTTCTGAACGATTCCCATGTGACGACTATGTGCCTGCTGCACTCACCCCGCACTATCGCCGGCGCAGCCCTCTACACCGGCGTTCGCCTCGCCAACATCACACTCCCTGACGATGACCGCGGTCGCCCTTGGTGGGAGCATCTAGAACTCGATGTTTTCGAAATTCAACGTGCGTGCAACCAGATGTTCGAGATCTACGAAACTGCCGACTCGACTGTGCCACGCGTCGGCACCAAAAATACCTATACAAGGGAAGATGACATGACATTTCTTGATAACACTCGATCTCCCGCACCTGGCATGTCGCCTGCTCGCAGCATGCGTAGCGTGAGCCAGTTGTCCGGTACGAAGCGTGACCGAGACGATGTTGAAGGCAGTCAGTCTGAAGAGTGGGGCGCACCGTCACGTAGTCAGCTGGTAGACCAAGCTGCTCCCTCACCAAAGCGTGCGCGTCGTGACACCCCAGAAGTCGAGCAGCCAGCACCATCGCGTGTTCCTCCCACGGCCAGTTCGCGAATTCCGCCAGGCGCGAGCGCGAACGGGGGTGGGAGTCGTGTTCCAGCCCGTGTACCCCCTGCCACCAACCCATCCTCAGCACCGCCGAGCAACGGTCCTGTAGATGACGTCCAGCAGCGTATCGACGATATCGTCAAGGCTTCTTCGCGTCACAACAGCAACACTAGCGTACCCACACTGACACGACGTCCCTCGGGTCAACAAGCCTGGCAAGGGGATGCACGGGCTCCGGAGCCAGCAAGGCCAAGGGTAGACTCGGGTGCAAACGGGGGTGGCCACGGAAATGAAGATCGCGAGCTAAGGCCTGGGGCCCATCAGGAAGGGGGGTTCGAGCGGCGGCCACCGTCTGTCGATGACGGGGCTAAGGATCGCGGCTATGATCGACAGAGGCCGAACGTCACAGAACCGCGTCCGCCACCTCCACCGCCGCCGGCAGATGAGATTGACTACGGGAGTGAGGAAGGAGAGGTCTAGGAACCCGCCGATACATGATGAATAATGATATTCCTCAAGTATGTTCTGCTAGCCTCTTTAAAAGTCATCAGTGGCGGTGCCGGTCTCTGATCGGTCCCATTGACAGGTGGGCCTCTATAGCTCTAGTAAGCTGTTGTAGCATAAAAGTGTCCGGGACTCCCGGGTGAATCCACCAGAACGGGGAGCCCAGACATTGCTCTCACCGTCTTCTCCATTCCACTCACTTCACAAGCGAAAGCGGTTTTATTCTTGCCGACGTACACGGTTCTCAGAAGCAATAGATGTAGGTACAATAGTGATGGATCGCCATTTAAGCACGGTATGGAGGAGCGTGCAGAGGCCCTCGTCCCATCGTCTTGTGCCAAGCTGTAGTGTCTGGGGTTGTAATTTGTAAGAAGACGACGAGGCGGCCAGCAGGCGTCGACAAACATGACGGGCGGCTTCCCCGAGTGTACAGCAGACCATACACTCAGAAGCCCCTGCTTGGGTCTGGAGAGCTCGCTCATCAATTCATCGAGCCTGAAGGGCCTGTTTTCAGACGTCTTCTCTAACCTGGCTTTTACCATGGGCGTGCTTCAATCGCTCCTAGTTGCCTTCTCATTGCCTCTCTCCATGCATCTCGCCCTGCCAGTTCCTCTTTCGTTCTTACAAGTGCCTCCTTCGCTACTGCAGTGCGTGGTCCTTTCGTGACCGCAACATCATGGCATCGCTTCAATAGCATGTTCGACTCCTTACTTCCGCTACCTTATTCGCTAGCGCAGCATCGATCAAGTCCTTGATAACCTCTACATCAACTGGAGAGTCCTCGAAATAGACCTGCAACCATTCTCCGATCTGCTCATTCTTCGCTGCGGCCATGATCGTGTCCTGGCTTATTTTGGTCTCATCTCGGCGTGCACGCAGAAGCAGCTTCATCATTTTCGGCCCTTCCCAGAAATTGTCTGGAACAGCTTTGATCAGTTTCTCGGTGATTATAACTTCATCTCCACGTTCCTCGAGAGAGACGCGCACCCACTTGCTCCCGGTCTCCTCATTCTTAGCAGCAGCCATGACCATGTCCTGGCTAATCCTGATATCACAACTCGCACGGAGAAGTACCCTTACCCTTATTGTTCCGGGCCCGCATGTCGAGTTCTCGATGATAGTTTGAAGAAGCTCTCCATTGACATCAACATCACCTCTGCGTTCGTCAACGAAGACCTGCATCCACTTATCCCCAAATCCTGTATTCTTAGTTGCAGATATAATCGTCTTCCTCGTAATCTCAATTTCAGCTCCACGCCTGTGGAGCAACAGCCTCATTATGTCATGCTCATACCAGTAATTCCTTTCCAGTGCTGTGACTACTCGAGTAGTGATCCTAATCTCGTCTCCACACTTGTCAAGGAGTACTTGAAAGAATTTTGATCCCGAGATGCTCGCCGCTGCAATAAGGAAACCCTTGGTGATTTCAACATCGCTTCTTCTCACGTCGAAGAGCAGTTTCCATGTCTCAGCGGCAGCCCAACCGGTCCTGGCTGCGGCCAACAGCCTGAACATCTGTGAAGGCGTTAGCGAGGCTTTCAAACTGCAGCTGCAGCTCGAGCTCTTCTTGTTCCCACAGAACACCGTGTCGCGATTGCATTACTGTCATTCGGCTTTGGCAACCACAAAAGTCTGTGTCGATCCCATGGAAGCGGTGAGCCTTCAGAAGGGTTTTGAAGGCCCAGCATCCGCCACAACGCATCAGCGAAAGCTTCCACTGACAGCACGCATGCCATTAGCTCTTGTTCTCGCATCGACAACGCTGCAGCTTCACTCTACCAATTGGCTTCCGCATCCTTGGAGTAATGTCAGGATCTGTTTCATGCTGCCGTCGAAACCAGGCGGCTTGATTTCTACAGATCGGCTCGATCTCTCTAAACCTGTACTTTGCGAGAGTTTTCCAGACTCGTCAAATCGGACCAGTCCCGGCGGATCGCAGCGAGGAGCCCGAATCGTTTTGCTAGAGCTGGGTATCACCCTCTTGGAACTCTGGGAACTTTGCATCATTGAAGAGTACGCACAAAACGTCAACACTGCTGCCTGGAGTGATTGTTACAGCAGACTGTCGCTAGCGCATCGATGGCTGGACGATGCCGAGGATCGAGTACTACCTCTGTACCACGACGTTGCTGCACGCTGTATTCACTGCCACTTTGAGAACGCATCAGTGAACCCCAAGTGGGCCGACTTGCAAGATGGGCTGGTAAAGGCGGTGATCGAGCCATTGTAGAGCATACAAAAATGACAGGCATGCTCTTCCGGATCTGTGTGCATTTGTTAGGCAAGCCATAGATAGCAAACGCGTTGCAAGCGAGTTCAGTACCTGGTACCTTTAGGTAGCTAAGACGCGTCGCGCCAGGTAAAGGAGAGCGCCATCCGAGGTACGTTTCTGACGTCAGAACCTGGGGTCCAAAGTCCGAACTGCCCAACATCAACATCTCTACGCAGCCACTATCCCACATGAGAGCTTGAATTAAATACAGGTTCTGCTACTGATCTGATAGATTGCCCAAGTGATGTCTTCGAAACGGCTAATCCAGACGCTCTCGCGCGCCGCGGCCGCGCAAACAGCACCCTTCCTTCGGTCCCCAGCTTCTTCATTGGCAAGCAGATGCAAAACCTCACCCATCGCCATACGGAGCACATTGCCGCGGACTATTCGATACCTGAGCAGCAGCTCCTACCTCCGAAAAGAAGCCCCGGCTGTTGAGTCCGAACTCAAGCCCAGCACGCTCTACAATTTCGCCGACATGCAAGAATTCTCCTCCGCCCCGGAGCCGAAGCGCATCATCATCGATGTGCGCGAGCCCGGAGAACTACTCGAGACCGGCACCATACCCACCTCGAAAAACATCCCCGTCACAACCTCTCCAGACGCCTTTTTCCTCTCCCCCGAGGAGTTCGAGGATAAGTTTGGTTTTGAGCGCCCAGGGAAGGATGATGAAGTCGTCTTCTTCTGCAAAGCCGGTGTGCGGAGCAAGGCGGCGGCGAGGCTGGCTCAACAGGCTGCGTTTGGTGGTCAGACGGGCGAGTACCCTGGTAGCTGGAAAGACTGGGTAGAGAGTGGAGGCCAGGTTGAGAAATGGAAGGGTTGAAATGCATTCAAAGCTCGCTGGAACGCTATCAGAGTGTGTTATACAGGGTATATCATGGTCATGCAACATCCTCTTGCAATGCCTCCTCATTGAGGTCGACATTCAAGACGGGACTCTCGCCGAAGACTTGCTCTCGCTTCTGCTCCCTCCGCCATCCGTCAATGATGGTCTCGACTTTGTTGACGGCTCTCAGCAGGCCTCTAATGTCCAGACATGCGGTGTCCGCGGCCTCTTGATGGAATGTCTTCGCCACACCCTGCAGATCGCCCACCGCCAGGAAGACCTGGTATGCCATCCCTGGCCGGAGTATCTTGCGCTGGGTCTCATCCTGCCCTGCCTGCAGCTCTTGCTCCTGCTCGTCCGTGACGACCTTCCGCCTCTTCAAGTCCCCCAGCATCATCTTCACCCTTTCTTCTCTGAGACCCTTCACCCGGGCCTCCCTCCTCCTAGTCTGCTCCACTTTATCGTCAGTGTGCAGCTGCGTCGTCGGGAACATTGCCAGAATCTCACTCTGCACACCTACCGCATCTGCTTCCACCTTCTCGCTCATCCACATCCCCTGATACCAGTCCATGTACGCATCCAACTCCTCCCCGCCCATCCCCATCACATCCACATCCTTGATCTCCATCTCCTTTCCAGGCACCAACGCCTGCTCCCTACCCTGCTCAACAGTGACATCAAACCACTCCTTCGCCTCAAGCCACTTGCGCCAGTCCAACACCACCAGACTCTGCTCCGTCGCCGACCGCGCATATCGCTTCACGCTGGCAGCATCGAACGGAAACAGCAGCTTCACCGCCACGACTAGCAGCGCCATGAGCTGCGCCTCAGGGTAGCTGGTAGCGCTTCGTCTCCCGCCCCTACTGCTCTGGTACGCGAAGCTGAAGCCACAGATGTCGTTCAACCGCTTCACCATGCCGTACACCTGCATGGGGAGTGCCAGCGCTTCGATCCACTCGAGCAGCAGTGGTGGCCAGTTGAGTGGCGGAAGCGCCAGCCCAAAGCGTGTAATGTAATGTCTGGCGTTGCGGTGCATGGCAAGCTGTAGCTCGTCTGGCCGCAAAATAGTGTAAGTGTCGAGCGAGAGGTGGTATTCTGGCGGCAGACGATCTCTAAGCACCGGTGCGACATGTCGGATGGCGCGAACATACGGCACCGTCTCCGTTTGCAGCCAGCCGAGGAGCGTATTGAGACTCAAGGGCCGCCGCAAGAGCAGCAGGGCCAGGTAATTGACAGCGACCGTATCAATGAGCTTTGGTGCCGAGCGCAGGTACCGAGGCTTCTGCTGGTTCTCTGTCGGATCCTGCTGCTCCGTATCTGTGTCCACAGACACCTCCGCCTCCGTAGCGTCCGTATCCTCAAGTTCCATGCCGGCCTTTGCATCCCACTGTTCCGCCAACTCACCCAGCCTCATCGCCCAAAGCCCTCGCACGATACTCCAGAACTCATCCCCAGCTGACTTCGTCTTTCCGCCCTCTACATCCACAGACGCTCCGTCCTCGCCTTCCTCCAGAAACCCCAAACCCCTCCCCACCCCCCACCCAACCCCCCAACAAACACCCCCCATCCCCTTCGCCCACTCCTCCGCCGCCTTCCTCCCCCTCAAAACCCTCCCAGCACCAGCAGCAGCCTTCCCCTTCTTCGCGTCTTTGACCGTGTCCCGATGCAGCTTGCCCCCTCTCTTATTCCAGTCGTTTTCATCCTCCCCCTCCGCCAACCCGCGGCGCTGCTCGTGACCATTGGTGCAGAACGTTAGCCCGGCGTCGATCTGAAAGTCGGTAGAGCCGCATTGCTCGCAGGGGAGGATATGGCGGCCCGGGGTGGGGGCGTTGTTGAGGTATGAGGAGGGAGGAGGGGAGGGGGTTCTCATTATTGTGAGTGGGAAGCAGGATTTGTGTTGCTCTTAGGAGTGCTTGTTTTTTCAGTTGCTCGGCAAAGTGAGGTTCGGATTGCATGGATTCTGATTTGGAATCCGGAAACTAGAAGCGATACTTGTGTTTGTTGCGTGAAAGGCTCAGTCTGGAGTTGAGGGGAGAGTCTTTGCGGGGCGCAGAGAGGACTTGGTTTGAATTCAGTGTTGGCATGTTGCGCTGGCAAGATGTAACCATGAAAGGGTGTGCTGAGGGTAATGCTCGAAAATGGGAATACGGCAGGTCGAGATTCACCGAGCAAGGCGAGTGAAGCGTTAGGTAGAAATCATTGATTGCGAGGCAAAACGAGGCAACCAGACTAGCATATGCCAAGACTCTATGGGTCTGGACTGAGTCGTATGTCCAGCGCTGTGCAGAGGTGCTTAGCAGACCGTTGACCAATCTACGGGTTGTGGCTATCTATGAAAAGGCTGCGGCAAATGTGTGGTATTGGTATGGCGGATATCCGGCCCCATTGTAGAGGGCAGGGCTATCTACCAAAATGCAAAAGGTCAAGAAATTCCCACAATGCCGTTTGATCTTGCATGAAGCGCCCTGAACGGGCGACATTGCGTTGTCGCATTCGTTTACTCCATTCCGTACCATGGAGCATCTAGAAAACCGGTCTGCAAAAGCCCGCTAGAACGCGCTGGGGCCACTTTTGGGGTTAGATTCGAGGAAAAAGCACCGAAAAATCGTTGCAGCTTGCTGTGTGTATCGTAAACCTCGTATCGTGATTGATTCGTGAGCAGCCGGACGAGTGGCGGGCGAGTGACTTAGGAGCCCTTGGGAGCCTCCTTGGCGTCCATGGCGAGCTCTTCACCCATGGCGGCCATGACAATGACATCTTCGAGATTGTGAGTGTGGGAACCATACGCAACGACTGCGATTGTACTTACTGACGTCCTTGCCATCATCGACCATCTTCTTAATTCTATCACCAAGATCGCCATCGGGGAGCTTGACATCGTCCTTGGTGTTGCCGGAGTCATCCATGAGGGAAAGGAAATCATCATCGGTGATATCGAGCTAGACGCAGTTGAGTACACATGCAGTATTGTTCAGAGAGCGCACTCACGAGCTGGAATTCGCGACGGCTGACGTTGGGGACATCCATGTTGTGGGTGGAGGGAGAAAGATCTTCCAACTTCTTGCCGGTGAAGATGTCGATGGCGACCAAGTGGACTTTGGCGTGGCCGTGCTTGCCAGTCTTGGAGGTGGACATTTCGACGATCTTGCAGGGACGACCCTTGATGACGACGTGGCCGTTCTTCCTCAAGGCAGAGCACTGCATGGGAAAGGTGGCCGAGGCACCGGCATCAGCCGACTCGAAGGTATGCTCATGCTATGGCACAGCAGTCAGCGCATGCTCTGTAGCAGTAGGCGTCTGCGATAGGCGCCCACGGTTGGAGATTCCTGACTTACCTGCGCATCATTGTTCTCCGCCATGGTGATGAGTTTGAGCGGGGTAAAAGATAAGTGTGAAAGATAGATGAGATGAAGAGCTGTTGTAGGCGAGTACCAGGAATGTCGAGACTGCGACACTAAACCTGGGAAACAATGGAAGGGGGAGTTGGGACTGAAAATCTAGAAGCCAAAGAGGAGAAGGCGAACAGGTTCATTCAGAATCTTGTGCAGCCCACCACTGTGCGGGGCATCGGCGGCCAGTGACCTGTGCTGTGTTAAGCAGAGACTAAACCCGGAACGGTCATGGGACTTGGCATGCCAAGCATCAGCATGCCGCGCCTGCGAGTGGACAGCATGTGAGCACCGTGTCGACAGTTTGTCGGCTACCTAGTGCTGTCCATGACTTGAAACTGGTAGAGAATGTGGCTGGACCGATTCTCTGGCCAGTCCACACCTGCTGGCGGAACCACCCCCAATCGTTATCCTTCACCTGCACCCAGGCGGACATCCCATCTTGCGCCTGCTACACGGCCCCGTCCCGGGCTTAGTCCAAGTCGGTCCAATGTCTCTCTAGACTTGAGCACAAACACCTCATCTGTGTCCCTGAGCTCTCCAACCAAAGCTGTCAATGGATCTGCTCTGAGATATGAACAGAAGCCGCCTCCGAACGTGCGAGATCCCACTCTGGTTCTTCGGGATATCCTTAAGCTCGGTAGCGAGGACGATTTGAACAGGACGCAGAGAGGGCTCGATAGAGCGGACATCGATGAAGAGAAGGAGAACATTGACTTTGGCGGCTTGAGCCTGCAGGCATTTGTGGATCAGGAGCTTCCCCAGAAGCCTCCTTCTTCCACACCATCGACACGCGCAAAAGACAAGCGGCAAGTGTTCGAGGATTTCCATAAATCGATCTCAGAATCCGACGACGTGCTAAATAATGTCGAATCCAACCTTGTCACCTTTCAAGCCGAGCTTGGTCAGGTCTCAGCAGAGATTGAGAATCTACAGGAGCGGTCGGTTCAGCTCAATGCACGTCTCGAGAACCGGAGGCAGGTCGAAAAGCTACTCGGTCCTGCTGTCGAGGACGTTAGCATCTCACCCACCACCGTCCGAGCCGTAGCAGAAGGGCCGATCGATGACACCTTTATGAAAGCCTTGGCTGAGGTTGAGGCCCGTTCTAAAATTCTCGAGCGGAAGAAAAGCGAGCAGGGCCCGGTGAAGGCTCTTGAGGACGTGAAACCTCTTCTCGAAGATCTCAAGGCCAAGGCTGTAGAACGTATACGGGACTATGTTGTCGCGCAAATCAAGGCAATCCGTTCTCCAAACGTCAATGCTCAGTTGATCCAGCATCAGAGCTTTATTCGACATAAAGAGCTCTTCCCTTTCCTCGCTCGCAATCATCCTATTCTTTTTGAAGAGATCGGCCAAGCTTACATCAACACGGTGAAGTGGTACTATAGCAGTAATTTTGGTCGATATCAGCAAGCGCTCCAGAAACTGCCCTTGCACACGATTGACCAGAATGATCTGATCGGCGTCGAGCCCTCTGCGCCAAAGCGGTCGATGCTGGGTGCCGGCAAAACCTCACAGCAACAGCATGACAACTTTAGCATAGGCAAACGAGCAGAGGTAATTAAATCTAAGAACGACTCTGTCATCCCATCATATCTTGCGGAAGATAGCAAGACCGCGCACTACTTGGAGGTACCGTTTCGACACTTCAATCAAGCCTTGGTCGACAACGTCACGGCAGAGTATGCTGTAGCATCGGAGATGTTCTCTACAGCATCATATCAACAAGTAACGAGAAAGGTTGAGGAGACCTTCCAGCCTACGTTCGCTCTCGGCCACAGCCTCACCAAAAGTCTGATCGAGACCACTACTGACTGTCTGGGTATTCTCATCTGTGTTCGTCTCAACCAACATTTTGCGTTCGAGCTGCAGAAGAGAAAAGTGCCGGGAGCCGACTCGTACATCAATTATACTAATATCTTGCTATGGCCTCGTTTCCAGCAGGCAATGGATCAACACTGCGAATCGCTAAAGAAAGTGCCCACGTCTGGCAACCGTGGCGCGGCCGCTGCCTTCAGTCTAGTCGGGGGCGATGCTAGTAAAGCGTCGGTCGCACCTCATGCCATCACGCAGCGATTTGGCCAGTTTTTGCACGGCATTCTATCTCTCAGTAGAGATGCAGGGGACGACGAGCCATTGTCGAACAGCCTCGGCCGTTTACGCACGGAATATCAGTCGTTGATGGCGAAGCTCTCTAAAGGTGCCGGTGACACAAGCAAGCGCCCTCGCTTCCTTTTCAACAACTACAGTCTGGTCATGACGATCATCAGTGATGCACAGGGCAGGCTCGCTGAAGAGCAAAAGGAGTATTTTGGCAATCTACTGGCAGAAACTAAGGCGAAGTGAAAGGTTATCCTGGGTTTCAGACCATGGGCCGGCTTACTACACTAAGATCAATAGAAGGCAGCGTGCAGACGACCATCAGTCCTCCAGATTGTCTTGCATAGCTTCAATGGCAGCTGTTTCGGCCATTTTGTCGATAAAAGTCACCTCACAATCCAGGGTCAGCCAGCGCACATCGTCTGTATATGTATATCTCAGCACAAACCTCTGAATACCTTCTTTAGGTGCACTGCCAGATTCAGAGGCTCTGGACTCCTCGTTGACAGCTTGCAGCGAGACCAGAATGCTGCAATCAATCTGGTGACCACGAAAGAGCCGCAAATCGCCTCACGAGGAGGCAACAGCCTCCAACCCAACGGTCTCCTTGCCAACCAATCGCCACACCTCGGATGTCGCGAATCTCACAGAGCAATGCTCTACTCTCAGCCGATACCACCCACGCTACACGGTGTCAAGTATACCACGAACCGTACGAGCATGAAGACGGCGCAGACAATCGAAGCCGTTGAGCACCACGGTCTTACGGAGAAGGAATATGTTCAGGCGAATCTTTCTAGCAGTACGTAACGAACATTGTATGAACCCGGAGGGAAAATGTCTTGAAGATGTGAATATTTTGGACAGAAGTTATGAGCCATCCGCATAGTATACGTGTAAACAGTCTCAGCTGTTTTCGTGACTTTGCCTCCTCCACCTGGACGCCTTGGGCCTGATCTGCAGCCTGACTATCGTTCCTACCCAAGCGACCAATCTAGCATGTTCGGTCCCGTCGGGTGCATAATCCAAAACCCCATCCCGCAATGACAGTGGTACCCCCCTAGGATCGTCCCACAGATTCCACAGACTCCGAGCACCCACCACCTCGCCCTCCCCGCCGCATGCCTGCCTATCTACAGTACCCCTCACAGCCCAGCATCCACATTCATCAAATCATCGCTCATGATATGCAGCACCTGCGTGAACGTGCGCAGCTTCCTGCCACTAATGCCATCCATCAGATTCGCAAAGTCCAACAAGACCCTGCGCGCGCTCTCATAGCCGCCCTGGTGCGGCACGCCATTCAACGCCACGGTGCCACCATAGCGCACGAAATGCGCCACGGGGCTCGGATCCGCTCCGCCCGTGGTGCCGCCGTCGTGATTGCCTTGCGCCGCGCCGCCCCCGGCCGTCGAGTGCTGCCACCCTTCTCCCCCACCACCACTGCCCAAAGAGTCATCGGTGAAGCCCAACTCGCCCAGCTCGGCCCAGTCGATGTCGACGTCGGCGAGCTCAACGGTGGTGCGATTCGCGTGGTTGCTGGCCTGGGGTACCATGAAGAGGTAGAGGCCCAGGACGAGGGCGCCGCCGAAGACGGCGACGACGCTGCCGACGCTGACGTGGTCGCTGACGCGGCGGCGCTCCATGAGGCGATGCGTCTGCGCGGCGTGCACGACGGCACGGCGGGCGCTGGGCGTCTGCGTCCACGCGCTGATGCTCTCGAGGGCGCCGGTTGCGGGGCCTGCGCCGTGGCGGCCGGCCGCGAGTTCGAACATGCGGAAGTCGGCGAGGAGGGAGTTGCACAGAGCGTGCCAGAGGACGAGGGTGTTGGTGTCGTGATGAGGTGGGGGCGCGGTGGGACCGCAGAGCGCGCTGGCGCCGAGCACAGCGGGGATGAGGGAGCGGGCTTTGAGGTCCGAGGCGTAGAGTTGCCAGGGAATCAAGCTGCCGAGGGAGAGGGGGTCGGCGGGCATGAGGCGGTGGTAGGTTTCTTGGCTTTGGATTTGGAGGAGGGCGAGGAGCGTGGAGGAGCCGAGGAAACCGAGGGGCGAGGATGGCGGAGTGGGGTTGGCGTGCAGGTCGGAGATTTGGAAGGTCGGTGCTGTGGTGAGCTTGCCACCGCGGATGAGGGACTGGAATTGCGTGGCGGACTTGGCTTGGAAGAGGGGTTCGGCACAAGGCGCGTAGAGCTTGACCGCCTCGGAGCGCACAATGGGGGCCCGGAAGAGGAGCGCACCGTACCAGGAGTCGAGGGCGAGGGTGCTGAGGATCAGGCGTTTCGTGGATTCAATGCGTGACCACGCTTTCCAGTGGTGTTCGGAGTCGTGGAGGTCGGAGATGAGGGCATTTAGGTCGCCACCGTCACAGGCGGAGAAGAGGCCATTTTGCTGCATCAAGGCCAGCGTGCTGACGTAGAGCATTTGCGATTGTGCGATGGTGTCTTTGTCGCCGGTCATGGCCGCGAGGTGTAATGTTAGGAGCGCGGTTGCCAGGTACGTGAGCTGCTGCGGCGATGTGGCGGTGCCGGAGGTGCAGGCGGCAAGGTCGGCGCTGACTCGTTGCAGGAATGAAGGAAACATGCGGGAAACGAAGCGGGTGGCGCCTGTGGTTCCGAGGATGCTTAGGCCGATAAGGCAAATGACGAACAGGAGGGGTGAGGGTGTGTTGTTGACGGAGAAGGTGGGAACGTGGATGAATGGCACAGTCGGATGGAAGTGGCGGAAGAAGAGACCCATGGCGATGTCGAGGATTTCGGCGGGTGGGAAAATGCTGGAGTCGTTGTTCATCATGGGTTCGAAGGGTGTGATGGACTGAATCCGCGGAGAGTGGAGGGCTGATGGCGCTGGTGTACGAAAGGCATCGCGCAGGCGATACCTACAGTCAGCATCGAGACCCCAATTCGAGCCGGCTTTAGGATGTGGCGGGCTCTCCGAGCTGTCTGAGAAGAGGTTGTCGACTTGATGCCCAATGATGTCGCGCCACAGATTTGGCATCATGCGGTGTAATCGATGAGGTCGTGACGCCCAGCATTTCTGGACTCGTGAGAAACGTTCCCGCGGCACCTTATTGATGTTCTTTGTTCGTTCCTGGCTGATTTGCTGCCCGTCCGGTCCGACTTTTGGCTCCGGGAGCGAGAAGTTTGGCGTCGCGCCGGTGCCGTAGGTTTGCAGAAAATCTGGTGATTGATCGAGATCTCCCAACGAAGGGAACAACCACATTTGGAAAGGATCGTGAAAGTCTCCCTGGCCCATGTTGCCTTGCGGCAGCCAGTCCAGGGCATTCGTGCCATAGCTGTTAGGAGGTAGATCAGATTGGGGCGTCTGCGCAGGTTGATGTGATCCGGACATGCTGGTGTCGAACGTTGACGCGTCAGCACTTCTCTGAGACGGCGACTGTCGATGAGGATTCGCCGGATTGTTCATCTGACTGACCGGCGAGTGTGAGACCCAGTCGGCGGGGATAGAAATGTGATCCTGTCGGTGCTGGTTCTGGCGAGGATCGATGTAGGAGCTAGGCATGTCCATCGAGCCATGCCGGGCGCGAGCGGCAGGGAGGCCGTTCTCTTGCGGGCCAAGATAGTTGCTTGGTGATAGTATCTGCATCAGGGGTATTCCCGAGTTTGGCTGGTGGTTGTTGTCGTTTGTGGGTTGGTCGAGAGATTTTGATTGAGGTTGCTGGTTTGGCTGGGCGGGAACGGGCGCGACACCTTCAGAAATAGTGCTCCTTCTCTCCGCAGGTTTCTGTTGATCGTCGCCCTCAGTCTTCTGAGTGTGGCATTTCATATGTCGGAACAGAACATCACTACTATGTCAGCTTCACGGCTTTTCTTGGCTGTAGGTGTCATACCTGCGAGAGAAGGCCTTGTCGCACACCGAACAGCGGTATGGACGTTCACGAGTGTCTATCATATCCGTAAGCCGTATCCAACCAGAAGCGGTGGGTAAGAGCCACTTACGTGATCGTTCATGGCGCTTGAAGTGCTCCGTCTTGGTGAAACGACGCCCACAGACGGTGCACTGTCTGAGGACCATGTTGATGGTGGGGCTGACGTCGAGAGGATAGCGATGGTCGTTAGATGAAGATACCACAGAACAGGTGCATTGCGGAAAACAAAACGCTGGTCCAGACAAGATACAGGGAGCTAGCGTGAATCTGTCGAGCCGGGGTCTCAGAGCTGCGGATGAACCCTGCAGACGTGCTCGTGACTAGGTAGAGTAGGTATGCGTACTGTGTGCCTCGGAAAAAAGCCAATGTGGAGCAGCAGTGTTTGCCGATCTCCGGTCCAGATGATGAATGTTGGGCGTCAGGGAAGACAATGACCATTGGGGATGGCAGCGAGTACGACAAATTAGGTCGAATCGGACACGACTTGGATGGAATTACCTGTTCGCTGCATGAGGACGGCAAGAGACGAAGAGGGGGGACGAGGCACAAGGCTGGGCCAGGCTCTGGTAGCTCGGGCAGAGCCTTGGCGCCGGCAACATTGGGCGTGCAGTGGTTGGAGAAACCCCATCTCCCCGCCTTCACCCCCCCAACAGCCCCAGCTCTCGCCAGCCTGGACCACCCAGCGAAGCGACTTTGTGGCTTACTATCCCTGTTCACGGCCGAAGAAGTATCACCATCTCGGTCATTTCCTGCTTGGAGGTGCCCTTCCATTGGGATTCAGTCTACTCCATACACATTTGAGCTACTTGATTGTGTATATTTTTTTCGCGCCCCGGATGTCGGGGTAGCACTTATATCCAGAACGAGCACGATGGCAGCGAACTGTGGGGCTGTTAGGTGTGCTTTTTCTTGTCTTCAGTGGGACTCTCCCGCAACTGCTGTCTGCCTGTGCATCCTAGCCAACCATGTCCTCGACGTAGCAATCCGAATCTTCTTGCCCCAGATCATGAATAGGATCGTGGCCAGATTGTTGATGACGAGGACGCCACAGAAGATACCTCCGATCATCTTGACATATCCAATCTCAAGAATCCATTCTAGCAGGTAGATACCCATCGCGAACGAGATCGCCTGCTTGCCGAGATTCATCGCGATCAACATCTCCGAAATATTGGCTGTGTACGAATCGACGGCATATGCGAGGGTGAAGGTGAAGAAGAAGTATGAGTGCCACCCGCCCATCGCGGTTGCGACGAAGTAGCCAATCCAATGCAGCTTGTCTTGTGCAGTATAGCCGTAGAGGATCAGGCTGGCCGGACCGATCAGTAGGGGTATGAGGAGGACGCCCAGTCGCATCTCGGCCTCGCGTATCATGTTGTTCTTTTTCGTCAGCCGAGCGGCCAGACGGTCTGAGGATGTGGTGAACGGAATGGCCAAAAAGTAGCCAATCGCCGTGCCAACAGCAATTAACCCAGAGTTGTTTGGCGACCAATTATACGGCGGTGCCGTGATGAGTATAGGGAACGTGTAGTTGAAGGCAAGAGCTCCGAGGCCGATGTTGATGCCTATGCAACGGTCATATTAGCAAGCGTAATAAAGTGAGCGTGGAATTTCGTACCATAAGTCGCAATGACCCAGAACACAGACGGCACCAGGAAGTAGGTGAAAGATCGCAGCATGACCATGATGAACGGCCCCTCGTAGACCCGGCTCCACGGTTTCAACGTCGACACAAAAGATTTGCGGCCAGGTGCGTTGGTGGGAATCTCCTCAAGCCCGGCACCGGCACCTTTCTCATTTCCTGCGATTGTCGCTGACCCAAGCATGCTCTTCATCTTCTCTCGATCATATGCCGTCTCCTCAACGAAGAAGAAAGCCATGATGAAAAGTGCCATGGCGAACGCGAATTCGACATAGAAGAAGAGTCTCCACGAATACCCACCAGCCAGCATGTAACCGGCATAGATGGGGCCAGTCGCTCCTAGGCACAAAGCCACGGTATAATACCCCAATCGCTTGCCTCGTTCGTGGATGAAGTAGATGTCGTTGACGAGCTGGACCGGTAACGCCTCGCAAACGCCCGCTCCAAAAGACTGGATGACGCGGCAAGCCATGAGTGAGGGGAATGTGTGACATTGAGAACACCCAATCAGTCCTCCAGCGAACTTAGGAATGTTAGCAAGGGCCAGAAGCGGCTGAGCGGGAACGTACCGCGAGTATGGACACTAGCATCACGGGGCGCCGGCCGATCTTGAGGTAAAGGGGGACCAGCAGCAGAGATCCGAATCCGTAGGCAAGGTTTGAATATGACACCAGCCCAGACGCCTTCGTAGGAGTGATCTGGAACTCCTCGGCGTATATGCTGATGTAGACGGCTGGGCCGAGCAACGCCGAGTTGCCCAGGAATGAGTACAGGGCACATATAATCAGAATCATATTCTTCTTGAACGGTGACCACTGTATTGTTTGGTCAGTATCGAGGTACGAAGGCGTAATCTGACCACTCGCGTACCTGTAAAGGATCGTTGGGATCCTCGGCGGGGACTGGGAACAAGGCCTGCCCATATCCAGTATCATCGCCCTCTGGGAAGCGTTAGTAAGGCAGAGTGTGCTGCTAGGAATGAGACTGACCAGCTGCCTGTAGATTGACTGTTCCTGGAATATCCTCTTCGTGTGCGTGACTGTCATGGTCTGCTAGTATCCCGTGCAGCAAAAGATGGTGTGTTCGAAGGACTTACCTATGCACCAGATGTCTTCCGTGGTCCGCCATCGCTGACGATAGTCGTGCGATTCGACTGAATCTGCAACGTCGTTGGGAGCTTTTGCAGTCAAGATGCCACCACAGCTAGACCTAAGAAGAAGATTTGGCACAAGCAGCTCATGGGGCAAACGTGGAGCTATGTACTTCCGACTTGCTGGCGGCGACAGGGACAGGTGGTGGGACCACGGGTTCAAATGTTCATGGCGTCGATCATGCAGCTGCCGATCAGCCCAGGCCACGAGGCGTGAATCATCATTCGAAGAGAAGATCCCAAGTCCCCCTAGATTCCCCCAATTCTCTCGCCTGCGAGGTACCTAGTAGGCATAGAGGTGGGGCCTCCCCGCAGGAAACTCTCAGCTGCTCCGAAGCCCCCGGTGTTTGGCATGGAGCTAAGCGTTGGGGCGCCAGCCAGTTTGATTGTTCGTTCTGTCGGTACGAGCAAGGGCCATGCGATTCGAGCCTCTGCCCCTCATCTCCATTGGAAACAGCGGAAGCCTAGCTACCGAAGTGTGGATGGTTGCATCGTACCTATCGGCAGTTGCATGACCACGTCTCCTGTACCAAATTTCAGACAGCAGACCACGATGCACGGCTAAGCTTTCCAGCCCTTGCAATAAGCATGCGCCGCGCGAGGCTGATCTTAATCAAGTCCCGACGGTGTTGCTTTGGCTTTGCCCCTAATAAGGCAGGCCCTGTTTGGGGGCAGTCGACAAAATACTTTCTGGAATATTCCCAAACGCTGTCCAAACGGGTTTTCGATGGTGACTCTATACCCCCCGTCTAAATTATCAACTGAAGTGATATAGAGATGGGAACAAGTGAGAAGAGCACCTTGAATAGGGCTCAGTCGCGTGATCGGGGGGTCGAGAACAGTCGCTAAACTCCACTATAAGGCAATGTGAAGGAGCAAGCTGTTGTTCCAAAAGTCCCTGAAGGTCCGAAGAGGTTCAATATCAACACGGATCGGGATGCTGCTTCGCATGGCAGCGTCTAGCGCATCATGGTCACGGTAGACGTCACAGAAGACAGACAATATACGCACGCACTATGCTGTTCCAGCGGCACGAAGAATTTGGTAAAGTGTAACATGGTCAATGGGGTATCGACATTGTGGATTGGAGCACAACTCGAAGTCCGCATGAGTCTTAGCTGTGCCAGCTCGTCCCGGACCGTCCTTCTCGAGCATTGGGATTGTCTGCCTCCACAAATGTCAAGCCAGCGTGCATCCTCCCGCGATTGCACCTGGTACAGCTTTGCAGCAGTTGCTTTTCATGAGGTCGTAGAAGAATGGCGAGCGAATCGTGGTGAAGGCGCTTAGTCGAACAGACCGAAGCCCATGTCGTCGTCAGACTCCTCCTTCTCTGTAAAGGTGTTAGTGAGGCTTCTGCACAGTGCATTCGATGTAGCAACGTACCCTCTTCCTTCTTCTCCTCCGCAGCCGGGGCGTCAGCGGCGTCACCACCGGCAGCAGCACCGCCAGCACCGCCAGCAGCAGGTGCAGCAGCGGCACCACCACCTGAGCCGACGTTCAGGAGGAGGTCCTTCACATCCTTGCCCTCGAGAGCCTACGCTTTGTCAATCTTGCGCCTAATATCCTTACGTCGCTGCACGAACCTTGGCGAAGAGACTGGACCAGATGGGCTCAACATCAGCGACACCAGCGGCCTTGATGATGGTAGTGAGCTTATCAGCCTGTCCTCTTGTTAGTCCATCGTGAAGGATGTAGGCGAATTCTGCATACGGTAATGTCAACGCCGTCATCGGCGAGGATGAGGGCGGCGTAGGCGTTTGCGAGCTCAGCGGAGGCCATTGCGACGGTATTGAACGATGGTGTCGAGGGGGGTTAACGGTCGACAAGAAGTTGCAAATGGTGTCGATTCAACTTGGAGTCGAGCCTGCGCAGTGCGGCCACGGTCTGTGGGCGCCAGCAAATCCGAAATCTTGGCTCTTGGCAACACTTGACCGTATTGAGATAGCGCAAGAACGCCCTTTCTACCTCCGTCTCGACAATCACAGATGCCTCCACCATTATGCAATCACCCAAAGTCTGAGTTGAAACTATTGCACTGAACCAGAGCCTGATCTCAATCCAATCTATCAGACCGCTGCCTTTGATGATGTAGCGCATGAGTTCTGCGATATCATGAGCCGCGATCGGTGATGCTTCCACCGCTGTGCTAATCTACACTGTTGCCTTGCACATTGAGACCGCAATCCAGCCTGCAGATGTCTTGAGACTACCACCTACAGCTCATATATATGATGTGGAGTCTTTCGAATATGGCCGCAGCAGCCCTGCCTGTTTTGTCACTGCTCATTTGGCGATTTCAGCGTTCTACTTATCTACCCTTCAGCGCCACAGACGTCGAAGCGTATCATTACAGAATATATCTCGCTAATGACACACTTCGCTCATGGGAGCAGGGGGTGTATACCGAAGCTCTGTTAGAGGTGCACAATCCGGAATTGACAGTTTTTGCGACCGATCCGTTTCCTGGCGGTTACCTTCCACCGGCCCCGGAAGACCTGTGCAGTGAAGCTCCCGGACTCGCAAGTGCTGCTGCATATATTTCAACGAATGAGACACTGCTTTGCTATGGGGAAGGTAAGGTCTTATTGAAGCTGAGCCTAGCCTATCGAGACATAGAGAACACTGACTGATCAGGTTCTCCTGCTGATCCTGCATCTCTTGGTGTCCAAGCTCTACTATTGTCCAACGCACGGTCGAGAACTTGGAATTACTCTCAGCCGGGAGAATACGCCATGGCTGCCGAGAGACAAGCTCGCTACCTTGTACGCAACGCAACAAAGTTCGTCATTAATACGACGCATGCAGCGATTTCCCACCGCGATGACCCTGCAGAGGCGTGGGGAGACTTTGTGTATATGGTACCACCATTTCTCGCATACTACGGTGCGGCAGCTCGACTGGAAGAATATCTGTTGCAAGCGATTCGTGAGTGCGAGATGTACAATACGATTCTATCAACGAATATCACCTTGCCGGATGGGGAATCATGCTCAGGTTTGTGGCGGCATATCGTAACGCAACCTGGTCAGATACCGCCTGGTATTTGCTGCACCGATCCATATGTCTGGCTTACCAGGCAAGTAATGCACGCCACCGCAGAAGACCTTCTAACCTCATTCTAGTAACGCCTGGGCGATTGCGGGGATGACACGAGTGTTAGCTACGCTTCTGCCAGTCGCGTCTACCCATGATGTCCTCAGACAAGGCATGCAATCGCTGGTGGCCATTCTTGAGCGTATGCTACAGTGCATGATGGCCCAACAGAGGGACGAGGCTTCAGGGTTGCTGAAAAACTACCTGGATGGCACCAACGATCCACCACCGGCTTGGGCATTTGGTGATACCGCTGGGACATCCCTGGTCACCTCAGCGGTCTATCGGCTTGCTGTTTTGCTCCCTGATACTTTCCTGAAGCATCATTATCTATCTTGGGCGGATGAAAATCTCCGGGCAATAGCACGCCATGTTCACAGGGATGGCAGAGTGGGGCCAGTAGCACAAATCAACGGTGTCCCGAGTACCCGTTCTGTCGAGGCCACAAGTGAAGGTCAGAGCATGGCGCTGCTGCTTTATGCTGCAAGAAGGGACTATCTAAACGTCCAAGGCTGGCTTGGCAGAATCTGCCGACCCATACGGTAGAGAATGTACCTTACAAATCGATGTGCATGGTGGCGTGGTGTGAGTAATGGCTCAGCCTCGTTGGAACGGCTCAAGCTTCAGCTCTGGCCGCCGCCAAGATCTAGGTCCCAGCCGAGTTAAGCGATGCCTGCGCTCTGACGTTGGTGAGGGGCAAGACTGCATGCGTGCGGGTTGACTGTCGCATGCGTGCCACTTCGCCTTCAGCTGATCCCCGGCTATCACGCCTCTCCACGCTTCCACTTATGCACAATTTGCCTGCTGATTAAACACCTCACCAACGGGCCTGCAGCCAGACAAGCCTTTGTCTTGGATTTCCTAGTCACTGTGCCCCTAAACACCTTTAACACGCTTGGATTCATTTGATCGCATGCCATTTCTACACAATGGCTGACTCTCCGATCACCCATGCCCCAGTCGGACCGCAAGAGAAGCCGATACTTGAGAAGTTGCTGATTATTCGGGACAAACTCCTGCTTCTGAAGCAAGACAAGAGCACCTACGTCAAATCGCAAGATGTCATGCCCTTGTACGACGAGATCATCGAGCAAGTCCACGTTCTCAACGATGTCCGAGCCTCCGATCATCTGTTGCAGAATAGGGTCGACACCGTTCTTGATGATTGCTTGCAGCTGATGTCCCTGTTCTTCATGGCGGTCGGTCGCAACAACGAGGCGCCTGGAATCTATGCTGTCACCTCCACGATAACAAGGCTGTGTGAGCACTTGAAGGAGGCTGCATTTTACAGCAAGAAGGACCTCGACAGCTTGGAGCACACCATCAACAAAATGGAAGAGACTCTGTCCCACTCTCACGAGAAATACTCTCCATACCTGCTCACCCGAGTACAATATCGACTCGAGATATGCAGAACACTGTTGAAAGAGCTCCGCGACTTTCTGTCCACCCTCAGCCCTGAGATGATGCCCATTTGGGAGAGACTCGTCGCACTGTTGCGCTCGATCGCTGCACTTAATACTAGAAGCAAGGTAAGTCTGTCGCGGAGTCCCCGGATCACAGCGCTGAGCACATGTAGTATAACTCGAAAGACCTGCACGAACTACGAGACAAGCTGCTGGAGATCAAAGCCACCATGAAAGATGGAAAGCTACCAGGTGAGGGCGGATCAACGGGTCCCGGTCAGGGTCTAGTAGTGCCCCTCCTCGAGCGTTGTCTGAAGTTTTGCGAAATTGTGGAAGAGAAGTATGTACCCAAACAAAATGGAAGTTGGACAGCGACTGATTTTAGAGCAGGCAAGGCAAGATCGATGAGCGGTTCCAAGAAACATACGACAAGCTTATCGAAATCCGGAACAATCTCGACCGCCTTACTATGACCCAGGCTTGGTCCCTGCGGGAAACCGACTTGTTCATGTGGCAGAGAAAACTCGACCGTATTGACGATTCGCGGCGAGACGGCAATTTCTTCGACGCCGAAGGTCGGCCTGCCGATTTGCACGCTCAACGAGTGAGTACAGGACCCAATGTCGCAACTTTCAAACTGACAAGTGTAGACACTGCTTTACCTTATCCGCCGAGGCTATGCATACGTGTACCAGTTGCTGCTTGCATCCGAGCCGGTGTCTGAAGCCTTACTGCCGGTGTATAACCAGCTTTTGACTCTTCGGCGATGCCTAGTCGAAGTCAAGAAAGCAGGTGGCGTCTCGAACCCCCGGGAGCTGTACCCGTACAGCATGAAACTGAACTCGATCGACAACATGCGAGTGGACGGCAAGTTCCAAGTGGGCAAGGACATCCCGGAAGGCCAAGGCAGTGTTAACGACCTGCTGGCCGAATGCTATGATCTCGCGTATGAGCTACGAACTGCGGCCGAGAGTGAGCAGGAGGATGAAGACTGAAGGAAGTCATACCCGTTAACTACTTACGTCTTTTCTCGGCATTGCATGGCGCCTGGGCGCTCTCCCACAAGGCTGGCTGTTTTTGTAGCTTTCTGGACATTTGTATACGAGCCGCATCTGTCTCAGTCACTCCGGCTCTCGTCAGAGGGAAAATGGGTTTGGCTCCGATTGTCTCCTGCAATACAGATGGCTTCGATCAAACTTGACTAAACAAGTTTGCGGAATAATGCACATATTGGCAAGCGGTTATTGCTGCTGCCTCTGTCTATTCAGTGCCGATAGGGGTCAACTACGAAAAGTGTGTTTGAGCCACTGCTAACGGAGATTGGTGCTCACAGTCAGGGGTAAGCTGTCTAGACCAATCGACAACCAGTATGAAACCCCATCTGTTTTTGTGAGCTCGACTGATTGATTTTCACATTCGGTACTCAATGCGGTATCATGGCTGGCTGAGGGTGGCTTAAACGATGGAGTCCAGGCCTCTAAGCCAGCACGCGACGAAACGCGCTGGCACGAACGTGGCGAGCTCTAGGCTTGGCACCCCTTGCGTTACCCCCGAGAACACGCTTGACAGTTATTCCACGGCTCTCACGCTTCAGCATCCCTTCGTGCAAACAAGCAATATTCTTGTCTTCCCATCCGTATCCGCCTAACTGCGTCGCGCGGCCGGAGTCATGCGCGTCGGGAAGGGACTCACCCGTAACTTCCCCATCACTTAGCGTGCCCTTTAACCCCCAGGACAGCAAGATGGTCGCCGGCAAGTTTATGTCTGTCCCTACAGCCATGCCCAGATGGGCCATGCCTAACACGGCGCTGAGCCACCATCGCCACCGACGCATAGAGAGGTATCTGATCGCCGCAGTCATGGTGTACTGTTGTTTCAAAGTCATCGAATGGACTCTGTCCCCGCCATCTTCTCGGATCCAGTACGACTTTGAGCCCAAGTCCTATGTCCAGCTCGAACGCCAGCAAGCAGTCAAGAAAGAATTTCTTCACGCTTGGGATGGTTATCGTGACCACTCATGGATGGCTGACGGGCTACTGCCCCTGACCGGAGGCAGGAAAACGCAGTTCTGTTCCTGGTCGGCCACCATGGTCGATGCCCTCGACACACTCTGGATCATGGATTTAACGGAGGAGTTCAACTACGCTATCAATGGGACCATGACCATCGACTTCCGGAGCAGTGCTGAAATGTGTGAGGTGAGCTTGTTCGAGAGCACAATCCGGTACCTGGGCGGGTTGTTGGGTGCATACGACCTGAGCCATGAACCCCGGCTGCTAGCCAAAATGGTGGAAGTGGGAGATCTGCTGCACGGAGCTTTCAAGACCAGCAACGGTATGCCGTGTAGCTATTGTCACCTGGCCAACACCGACGAAGCTTTTTTCCCGTCAACAAACGTAGCAATGGCCGATGTGGGAAGTTTGTACTTGGAATTTTCCCGGCTGTCGCAATTGACTGGAGATCCAAAATACCAGCGGACGGTTGATCACGTTCTGGACGTCTTTCAGAGGTCCGTTAATGACTCTTCAATACCCGGTCTCTGGCCAGAAATGGTTGATTCGAGTTCAATTGACTCAGACGATGCCACCATGCAACGACATTTTGCTAAAGCGTCGTACGTATACAGTCTCGGTGCGCTCTCCGACTCGAGCTACGAATATCTCGTCAAGGGGCATCTGATGCTTGGGGCAGTGAACAGCACATACGAGGATCTGTGGACGACCGCATCGGATCAGATCAGGAATTTCATGCTCTTTCGCTCCTTCATCCCAGGTGCAGATGACGAGACGCGAAAGATTCTTTTCTCCGGGATCATATCCAGGACGCCAGGTATGACGGAGATTGAGCTGGAGCCGAGGACTCAGCATCTGGCTTGCTTTGCCGGCGGCATGTTCGCTATGGCATCGAGAATTTTCGGAAATGGCAACGACTTTGAAATCGGCAAGCAATTGACACAGGGCTGCGTTTGGGCATACGACAACTCTCCCACCGGTCTGATGCCGGAGACTGTCACTTTATTGCCATGCCCAGAACTGGATAGCGACCAATGTGAATGGAATGCCACCACCTGGGAGTCGTACTCCTTGAACTGCATGTCTGAGGGGAGTTGCATCGCGCCTGGCATGCCACCTGGGTGGATGAACGTCGCGGACCCCAAGTACATTTTGCGCCCGGAAGCGATCGAATCTGTTTTCATCATGTGGCGCATGACAGGCGACGAATACTGGCGCGACGTCGGGTGGCGCATGTTCAACACTATCATCCATCACACACGAACTCCGTACGGCCATTCCGCCATCTCATCGGTCTTGTATCAGTCGGAAGCGCAGGTCTACCACGAGGGAGTCATGGTCACGACGCAGCGGGCGATGCAGACGGATGACATGGAGAGTTTCTGGTTCGCTGAGACGCTGAAGTATTTCTACCTCTTGTTCAGTGATGTGGACTTGGTTAGTCTCGATGAGTTCGTGCTCAATACCGAGGCACACCCTTTCCGACTGGTGGATAGCCTCAGAGGATTTTGAGGGGCAGCACGAAGCACAGCGCGGGCGGGATAGATTAGGATGTTCCGGGCGGTAATGGGCAACTGATAGTATGTACCACGACAGTCTCGTGTAGCGAAAGAGGTGACCTGGTCCGTCTGCGCCAAGGTCGTTCCACCCACATCATCGTCTACAAGGCATCGCCCCTTCGTTCAGGCGAACCAATAGATTACACTTACTTATGTGGCTTCTTGTCTGGTATCCGTAGCTCCGTATACGCGAATTTGCCGATGACCAAGAGATTCTACATCTGCTTTACCCCTGACACTGTTTGAGAGATGATCCGCAGGCAGGCGTGAGTGGGGCAGTCAACGCGGGGCAAAGCTGTGATGGCACAGTTCATGGTCTGCACAATGTCTGTACGTGACCCACGTGTCATTGTTGCTTCGAATACTTGGTCGGGCTTGCCAAATGCTGTGACCGTCATCCTAGATCCGTCGTTGTGTTCTGGAAACTTGTTGTCTGCTTGCCCCTGGTTTCGAAACCACTGCATCTCTATACCCGTTGGCTGCGGCGCTCTCACCCATCTCTATCCCAAAGCCTCACAGCTACAACCTACGCATACTACCGTTTCTAAGTCGAACTGGGGCTCGACCTTTCTTCGAGAGCTTCATTTACAGCCGGCTGTCTCTTGACAGTGAGCCACCGTTGATCCAACATGGCCCGCCTCGATCCTCAATCCCAGTCCCTGAACCTCTCCACCTCCCTCCGCGATGCTGTCGTTGTCCTGAGTGGCGGCTCGCGTGGCATAGGCGCCGCCACTGTCTCTCTCCTCGGCTCCTATGGCGCCAAAGTCGTCTTCGGCGACCTCGACGAGCCCATGACACCTTCACCGCCAAACAGTACTTTCATCCGCACCGACGTCCGGAACTACGCCGACATCGTCAAACTCTTCAAGGCAGCCCTAGACCAACACGGCCGCGTCGACCATGCCATCTCCAACGCCGCCATCATGGAGAGATCTGGCTGGTTCAGCCCCTCGCTCGGCATCGATGGCGTCGCCAACATGCCGGACATGGCCACTGAGGAAATAAACCTTCGCGGGTCTATGTGGTTTGCTCACGTCGCAGTGCAATACCTCGCACATGGTGCCGCAGGCGACGAGAACAAATCACTTACCTTGATGAGTAGCGTAGCCGGCTTCAAAGAGACACCCGGACTCTTTGCCTACCAGGCGGCAAAGCATGGCGTCATCGGCATCATGAGGAGTCTGCGACTGTACTTGCCCAAGGCTTTCAAGGTCAACATCCGTGTGAACACAGTCTGTCCGTCGGCTACGAATACGCAGATGATTGCCGGCATCAAAGGCACATGGGATGACAGTGCCATCAAGATTAACAGCGTGGAGGATGTAGGAAACATCATTGTCGCTATCTGCGCCGCCGGGAAGGGAAGTCAGAGCGTCTGGTACGACGGGGTCAACAGTCAAGGCACACGAAGGCGGCGAAATCGGGGTGGTATGGACTGGGACGACGATGAGAGGGAGGCACGGGGCATGAGCGGTCGATCGTGGGTGGTGATTGCGGGCCAGGCGTGGGATCTGGAAGAGAATTTGGATCGTACAGAGGACCTTTGGCTAGGCCTGGAGAGCAGCGAAGTGCTGGAGAAGGGACAGCGCGCACTGGGAGTTGGGGGAGACTGGATTCCGTCTGGCGGAGCAAAAGGGCAGGAGCGACAGGTACCTGTGGTCCCAGACTCATAACATAGAAAGGCCCTTGGCCCGGCTGAAGACAACCCCGTCCAGCCAGCCCCGCATGCGCCTGGTGCATCCTTGAAGAAGAATCCACTACTAGGCCAGCAGCTATGAGATGCGTTGAAACGTCGCGGGCCTTCTGGCTATACTGCTGGCCGCAACTTCAGTGCCGAGTCGTGTGCAATGGAGGTCAAAGCTTAGACTACTTTGAGGAGTAAGACCCCATACGAGGATGCAGAATGTCTGATGACGCATGCTTGGTCTAAGGCTGGGTCGTGTGTGTCAAACATCCAACGCTACTTTAGAGGGCAGTTTGCGCGAGGATGGCATCACCGGTCCTGGCATCAATATTGAAGCCAAGACTGACTATCTTGGGGCACTGTAGTATCACGTGGACTGTAGCAATCTCGTCAGAGCGACGAAAACATCGACCGACTTGGCGAATGAGGGAAGTTGCAACGGTCCTCTGTTGACAGCTGAAGAGGACGTCAAATGACCAACCTGTTCAAACAAAAAGGTCCACTCGCAAGCGGGAGTTACCTCGTGACAGTCTGAGACCCTGAGCTCGGTCCAGTCGCTCTAAACTATACGTACCGGTCTTTCATAGCCTTAGGAGCCTTGCAACAACTAGGAGCCAGCATTAGTCTAGAATCCACTCAACTGAAGACTGCAGCAAGCTTCAAAGCGGCTGAAATAGCATTTGAAGACTTAGGGGTCATCTGGTAGCGCCCAAACATGTTACGGGTGTACCACAACGTATAGTGATTAGGACACATCACGAGGTAGCCATTACAGTCTCACAAAAACACAACATATCCACGTAACTTTGTTTGTTTCATCAACTGTATGTGTTATCGTTTTATTATGGACTCCATCTACAGAGGTCTTGAGGCTGGATGTGTTATTGTGTATAGCAGCTGATAAACATGGTCAAAGGCTCCACCTCTTTCCGAAAACCTATATAAGAAGGAACGAATACCTGCTTGAGAGCTGCTTCCTGGCTCAACGAACACTCACCAAGACTGAGCTACTTGATTTGTATTGACTTCCACCATCCAACAATATCCAACACCATCCTACAGCCTACACTAAAGACCGTATCTGTATACAGCACCGCAGGAGCTTAGTTATACTCACCATGGCTTTTGCTGGCATGTGGGGAGGATTTTTGGTAAGTCTTCACAATGCTGGTCGACATTGTGCATCGGATGGGCATACCCTAAGCTAACTTCTTGGGCAGTGAGTGCACTTCACGAAAAATACAAAATTCAACCAACTCCCCTTTCCCCAGATGATGTGTCGAGCTAACTCTACCCGTTTGACAGCATCCCCATTGTAGTGACTGCCGGCGGTTGGCTTACCGGCAAATTGACCGAGGGAATGAGTTTTTTCGACGCTAAAGATATCACACCGACCAAAACGACCGTCAGAATCTACGCTGGCATGGTATGATGCCCCAACTCGTGCTGCTCGTCCTTCCCCACCTTCAGGGCCTCTGCTGATACATAAACTGTTCGATGGCTGTAGGACCGAAACGAGGAAAACATTGAAAAATCCAGCTTTGGAGGTCAAATGCCAGCAGTGCGCTTGTATGACGAGCGGGGGAATCTGCTGGGACACGCGTCCCAATACAAAACCATTCCCGAAGGCAATTTCAGGGACTATGCCATTGAGCCCTCTGACGGCAATAATCGACGGCCGTCATACGTCCAACTCCTTGAGAGTGAGTTTGTCCCCTCAACTTCCCAAGATTCACTCTGCCAAGTGAATTTAGCTCTTCACCTCGCCCTGTGGCTTTTACCTTCGCTCCATCAGATGGATCTTTCCCTTCACTCCGTCATGTGAAGACTTCTCAACTTTTGCTTCCGCTGTTAAATTCCCATCTAACATAAGCTGCAGATGGCAACGACGCGATCTGCATTGCCGGCATCGGGTTGAAGTTCCCGGACGGCAGTGAGGCTCTCATCTACGGCGACATCCCCCACAAGCTCTGTGGCTGGCAGGGTTTCATATCAACCACGGAAGTAGATACCAAAGGGTCGGGTGCTAATGGGCATCGCCCGTATTGTTTTTGGCTTGACGGTGACGATACGGGGTACGTTAGCCAAGAAAAACAGCAACACCCACACAACCAAGTGGTCGGATTCCACATGCCGAGAAGCGTCAGCTTCCACATACCGGACTTCGACGGCCAGAACGGCACCATCGCGGCCTATAAGAACGATAAGGCGCTCATGTGCGGAAGCGCGCCTCGCCTCGACGCCGAGTTCAAAAAGACGAGCTCGATCCCCGTATTCAAGCCGCAGTTGGTCTACCCGGATGCTGGGATTCCGGAGGAAGAGCAAAAGCCAACCTACTTGGATCCTGCCTATGTGCGCAATCCGAACTCCACGAGGACGGCTAGAAGGGAACCATGGCCTCTGAGCCAACAAGCCAGCAGTTACGACTGTATAGCCGGTCTTTGGGGCGACAAGGACCAGTGCAAAGAGGGTCACAGCATCCGGTCAGCATCGCCCCTTGACGCGTCGGAGAAGCCGGGCGACGAGTCAGAAGGCCCCCGTGGTGATGGCGTTGCCGCCTCAGCGCCTCCAGCACGCCCTTGGTACGAAAGCCAGCTCGTGGTCTCCAAGAGCAAGGAGTCGGCCTACTTCGCCGAGACGCTCTGCAACGACCCCACGGTGACAGGGCCAGACTATGTCAACACGCACGAGGGCAAATATTGCGACATGACTGCTAGCGTCGTTTGGCCCCTATGTGGCAGCTCTGTCGTGGAGGACTGCTTCGACTTGGAGGCACGAGAGGCGGTCGGCAAGATCCCTGGCAATGCCACCGACCTCGACAAGGTGGATGCGATGAACGGCCTCATCGGTGCCGTCTATCTTGGCGCGCCGGTCGTCAAGAAGCTGACCCGAGTTGTGTTTATGAACGATGGCTAGGTAGATCTTGATGGGCTATGCAGCCTAGTCATGTGCCATGATGGTTATCAATCTTGGTCAGGTTCTTGGAGCAACTCAGTTTGGAGACTGAGCAGGAGTATGAGGACACAACCGGAGTTTGGAGATGTAAGATGAGTTCGGGAGCTTTTTTCCTTTCTGATGCACGGAACACAGTGGTGAAATTGACTTCACTGATATCCTTTTTTGACTGGTCGCAAAACTTCAATAATGATAAAATAATTGAAGTTACACCCGAGCTTAGACATAATATCACCACATATCGCTCTCAGACATTCACTTCTTGTTAGCCCGTCTTGAACTGTGACCAACAAGTACTCGTATCCCCAGACAAGCCACAGAATACCGCTCAGAGCGCAGCTCAAAGTTCCGTCGTGGTGGTTCGCGTGGTTGCCTTGCCAAGGCCAAAGCATAAGCATCAGGCAGTGAAATGCCACCCGCAAGATCGCTGATTGGCCGAACCCGAAAAAGGCAAACTTTCGTGCAGCCACACTTCTGCTGGTTTTCACCTGTGTTGGTCATGACTTCGAGATTTTATTTCTACTGCACAGAGCGTCTCGATGTGGTGGTGGATTGCGAGCACCTTTCATGAAGGTAAGCCAGGACGCCTGCATAGCATGGCAGGAGAAGCGAGGCTAGCATAGGTGCCACTATCGGCACTGCAGTTGAATGGAGCAGATGGGGCGCGTATAGTCCGCGATCGCCTTGTTCTCTGCTGGTTCGCATCATATCAGTTTTCCGCGCTAGACTTTTGTCGTGCTCCAAGTGTCATTGTCAAGCTCAGGAAGGTCGCACCTTCGGCTGTTCGTCACGTGCTGGTGAGCGTGCCCTCGGCCTGGCATCGGAGGGGAGATCATGGCCATATCACTGCCAGCTTTGCTTGTCAACATTGCGAATGTTTAGATGTCTTCAGTACCAGTTCATCAAAGTATGGCGTCAGGAGATCATTGATTTAACACAGTATGAAAAGCCGGTAGTATACTGCGATGATTCGATTCTTGAAGGCTGCATATCCCGACTTGATATGCTACTAAACACCCAATTCCCTACCCAATTTCACTCCAGAGAACTCAACACTTCCCCGCTTCACGCCAGCTAATGATCGTCATCCCGATCCAACGCGCTCACGATCTTCTTCAACACCTTTATTTCCCCTTCGCCTCTGCCTTGCAAGGCGCGACCGCCCGCAATGGATGGTTTCAGAGAGGGCTTCAGGTCCAGCAGTTCCATGGAAGCAAAATTGAAGCAAGTCTGGTTCCGCGGAATGGTGCTTGCATCGCAAAACGGACAGAGCGTCCTCGTGTCGAGGTCGCAGTACAGCTTTTCGGGCATGTTCAAAATGTCCGGGCCGACGATGTGGGGGAGTTTGCAGGCGTACTTCGCGCTGTTGATCGACTTGCTTTTGCTTTGAACTGCATCGTGCCACTTTCCGTTGTAGTGATAGTGTGTTGTGGTGAACACTAGTGCTTCATCTGCCGATGTTTTGTCTTCACGGGCCGCTTGTCGCGTGACTTGGCTGAGTGACGAGCTGCAGCTGTGACCATCGAGGTCGCGTTCTCCATATCTATCGCGCGACTTACCCCTCCATGGGCGGCCGACGTGGACCGTGCTCCAGTTCTCTGAATCTCGCAAGTAGGAGGTGTTGAGGTAATTGTGCGCTGGTAGCGAACCCACGAGTACGTCTGGCACAGCCTCCACGCCATAAGGGCATCGCAATGGCGGGTAAAAGATGGGGAATCCTTCCACCCAAGTGTCGCACTTTTGCATGCGGGGCGGTATCATGCAGATGGCATCACTTTCGGCATTGTATACATCTGTAGCGTTGTGATAGCCGACTTCGTCGGCTAATTTGAAGATAATGGACTTTTCCCCTCTTTGCCGATCATCCAGAAACACTGAGGTCTGACTTCTCCGTGGGCGTCTGACAAGACCTTTGTGTTGGAATGTGGATAGCCTTTGTAGCTGCACAGGCCGGCTGGAATATCCCCAGTGATCGTTACATGCGTTCCATATGGGCACTACAAGTAATCGCAGATATACATATATCGTCGCCCCGGTCTTGGTACTTTTTGTTAGCAGCGGACAGAAGTATAAAGCAAGTGGAAGTCACTCACTGGCATTCAACTGGAGGTACTTGACTCGACGCGTACTCTTATTGTGACTAATGTGCTGCGTGTGGTGCCCTCCTTCGGGCCAGTTGCCATTCTTTCCCACGGTGTGTGGTACACCAATGAAGCAGCCTACCTCATCATGCAGGACGAAGTCTGGCATCTGACCACCAAGCTGGTTTTTATTGTCGTTAGCAGGCCAGCTGACACTACAGATATCGCAAACATGAATCAGAAACCATAGAAGAATGGGGGATTTGATCAGGGACTGGCGCAAGCAACCCAGGGAACCATGGCTGTAACTATAGGTCAGGGGAAGCTCTCCCTCGAGGGTAATTTGGATTGTGTCCGTCGTTTGTTCTTGCCGCACAACATTATCCCTCAAAAGCATGGCCCCTGAACTGCCTAAGCCTATGCCCAAAACACTGAAGATCATGCTGATGACAACGTCCGCCGCCATGTTGAACTTTGCTAACACCGCCTCACACCCAAATAGAGTCTTAGAAGGTTGTATTAGTGTACTTGTAACGACTGTGGAGATAACACCGGAAAGGAGTGTATTTCGGGAAGGGACTGTGACAACGACTGACTGGAAGAGAAAATCACATCGTTAGATCTCGACGGACTTAGCTGCCCATCTTATAGACGCTCCAGCGACAGCTGGAATCTGTCTCTATTCACCGTACAGGAAAACAAGGCTACAACTTTACTGCCAAGAACTGGTAGTGAATTCTGGTACCGACTTCAATTGGCCAGCATGGTCTCTATCACTTGGGGATCGAACTTCTCGAAGCGTGAATCTACTCCAAACATATCCATTTATCGTTGTAGACACACCTGAAGTATTATATTCTGGCTCGCGGTCAAGCCATCGAAAGTTCGGAATTAAGATGATCGATGTAATTTACACACGAGTTTGATCTATTGAAACCTAGAATTGGGGAGTAGATAAAGAGGTGGCCAGCGCGAAGGGTCCTCTGCTTGCCCACTGACATACAGGGATCTGCCGCCGTTTGCAGACAGCTTCTCTCGCAGCTTTCGCCTGGGAAGCTTGCAGTTTTCATTATGCAGGGGCCGAAATAGACGCAGAAATGGTTCTGACGGTCACCAGTGATCGGCAGCAATTGGAGGAGTACGGTGGCCTCCAACTTGATGGATGTGACGAAAGAGTCTCTAAGGGTCTCCCCGGGTTCGTGGGAATAGCATTATGGGCTAAGCTGATGCCCTTCTGCAGAGCAGCATAACGCATCTCCTCGTAGTCGTTAATCGAAGCTATACTCACTCTACGGCATATCAACTATGCGATATACTTACTAACTCCTCTGTGTATGTGTCCAAGACAATCAGTAGAAAAAAAACTATGGTAGGTGTAGCCTGGGCAACTCTTGCAGGCATTCGATTCGCTTCACCGGAGTCCTCAATGGCCGGCCACTTCGGATCTCGATGCAGCCTTCGTGTGTCGATCAGTACATGGCCAGATCGGACAGTGTCGCTATTCCGCAATCGGCGGAGGTCTGAAATTCGTTGCGGGTCTCCCATCAACCTGAAGACGGGTCTGGTCACTCAGGATGCTTGTTGTAGGCCTAGTGGAAGATGATATGTAGAGGCACGACAGTGAAACGACAACTAGATGCAATCTTGGCCAGCAGTCGCCCGACAGTCCTGCAGCAATCTCTCCGGTGTTCACCACTGCTGCAGGCTCGCGACCTGTGACCGCCGAGGGGACTAATCACTGCAGCGGCTTTCAATCATGATGTATACCCGATGCCAGGCCAAGGATCGATGGATTACCATATCTATTGCAGACAATCTCAGCAGACATTTTTTCACTCGAGATCACTCCACGTTAGGAGCGGTATAGCCCAGCTGGTCAGAACGAGTTTTTTTGACGCGGCAATGCACAGGGTGTCTTGGGAGAGGAACTTGGGTTCGACAGCCGGTCAGCGCCTGTTTGGCAGTTCACCGAAAGTCCCCATCACCGATCGCTGATCTCTGTGAACATCGAGTCCACCTTCCCACTAACTGGATCAAAGAACCACGCCACTGGGCACCAAAGGTCTCACAAAGGGGCAACATTGACACTCTTCGGGCTGGAGCATGTGCAGCACCCACGCATCCCATCCCACCGATCATCGAGCTCAAGTCGTTACGGATCGTGATCTTAAGCGGTGATCAGGGCTAGAAACATGCAACGAATACGACTCGCACGCGACTTGCGGCATGCCGAATTAAACTGTGCTACCCAAACGGACAGGTATCGCGCGTTGTGATACACAAGAAGCTCACTGGCATCTGCCGCCACAGCGGACTCGGTAACCGCAGCTGACCGAGTCACTTCTGGCAGATTCACATATGTGTTGAGCATATAGACTCGTACAACTTTCTGACTTTGAAATCTACAAATAGAGAGTCAAGGAAGTCACATCTCATCGCACAAGCAAAATGAAACAGTTCTGTATACTAGACAACGTGGTCAACGAAATTAACTCCTTGAGCCAGTACGGACTATATGCCCTGGTAGCGGACGACAAATTACGCCGGGCGGCATTAGACGCAACACGACGACTCACTTTACTCGTGCAGACTCCCGAAGAGGGTATCCGTAGCCTGGCATTCGCGGTACGACCACCTCAGTCGATTTAACCTCATTCTCTGTTCAGATACTGACTTGGCCGGTTCAGCCAACGTACAATGCTTGTGTTCGGATTGCGATCGACCTTAATCTTTTCCGAGTCCTGGTGTCTTCTCCCGACACAACTGCCACAGGGCTAGCGAAGACAGTTGGCGCTCAACCAGGGCTTATAGGTCCGTTGATGTCCTTGCAAGCTTGGAGTTCCTAATCTTATTGCAGTACGTTTGATGCGCGTGCTCTGCGGCATTGGCTTCGCCCGAGAGACAGGGAAATTTCGCTATGGGCCGACATCGGTCACCAAACATATGTGCATACCATCTACAACGGCGTCTATCATACATTTGTCAGCTTATCGATCCAGCTTCCGATCACTTACTGAGTCTAGCAGTTTCGACCAAGGCTTCCCCAGCATTTCCAGTCTGCCTCAGTATTTCCAGATCAATGGCTACTCATCTCCTGATGACTACCTTGCTGGACCTTTCCAGTACGGCCACAGCACCGACATGGAAACTTATTCATACTGGCTCACTCAGCCCGATGTCATTGACAACTTCAATGTCTTCATGCAGGGCGGAAAGCTAAAGAAAACCCGCCGTTGGACTGGTAGGTTCTCCACATTGTCGGGAACAAGTCGTCTAATTGGTCTAGACTGGATGCCAACAAGTGAGGTCATCGTAGAAGGCTTCAGCCCAGGTGATGGCTCAGTAATGCTTGTTGACGTTGCTGGAGGCAGAGTAAGTGTGCTGTCCATTGACAAGGTGGATCTAATTCAAGCGAAGGGGCACGACATCGAGGCCTTCCGCTCAAAACATGCCGATTCCGAAGGCCGCCTCGTGCTGGAAGACTTGCCCGAGACCATCGATTGTGCGAATCAACTACACCCGAGGATTGAGAGACAAGCCTACAATTTCTTTCTGCCTCAGCCAGTCCTTGGTAAGTTTCATAGAATGCCTTGACACCAGGTCACTGACTATAATCTCTAGGCGGGCGTGCATACTTCATGCAAGACATCTTCCATAATTGGCCTACCAGTGTTGCTCGGTTGATACTGAAGAATACTACAACAGCGATGCTGCCGGGCTACTCCAAATTACTTATCAGCGAGACCGTGCTACCAGACCAAAACTGCCCATTAACAATGGCTGGGCTCGACTGGGGAATGATGTATCTACATTCAGGACTAGAGCGGTCAGAGCAGCAGTGGAGAGATTTACTGGCAGCTGAGGGGCTGAAGGTTGTATGTGTGCACAGAGAGGAGGATGGGGACTCATCTATAATCGAGGCTATGCTTGACGAGGCACGGCCTGGATGACGTCCCGCAGCATCAAGACCTACGAGCTTGTCACTGCGACGTGCACGCCTAGCCATGACCAGACATGGCTGACGGGGGTCAGCCAGTACGCAACCGTCAAACCGAGCTATCGGTGTTTGAGCAACCATCAAACCCGGCGGCGACCATTTGGGGCTCGTGCAACTATACAATGAAGGCTCTGAGCCAAAATCACCATAGATGCCCTCGACTCAGTTGAGTGGCGGCAGAACGACCAAAGACATCTTTGATATCACGGATTGAGTGTACCTAAATATCGGGGATAAGCTCTCTCGAGAGGATGTACTAAGTTTTCTGACCTCGTTCCAGCTGGCAGCTGGCCTCACGCGTGATCCAAGCGCGGCGCTCGAGTAAGCCGATTCCAGAGATTAGTTTTGTTACTTTGCGCGTCCCGATAAACTTGAAGGTCGCGCAATAGTGTCGAAAGGTAGCTGCAAATATGTTGACACCACAGGGTAATCAGTGGCAACATGGACGCATGCGGCATGACCTGTAGCCGGTGGCAATTCAACTGCTTCTATATACCCTTGCATAACATTTACCTATATATTGCCGTCCTGCTCACGCGTTATTCAGTGTGCACGTTGGTTGCCCCACGATCTTGGGCATGTGAGCTCGTATCTGTCGGGGCTTTACTTTCGCGAAATCAGTCCGACGTCTCAGCTGTTATTGTGAATGCTCGATGACATCTACAGCCATAAACCTGCCTGACAAATGATGCGACTAGTGCCGAGAGTCGAGACCACCAAACAGGTTTCTCGTAAGAGTTGGCAGCACGGTCATATTGCTACAGTTGTCTGGGATCTCAGAGACTATCAACTAATACCAGTTGCACATGTTTGGGTAAGCGGGCTGTTTCACAGGTTGGCGCTGTGCGTAGTGCCCTTGTCTAATACACCATACTGTCCAGAGTACGATCGTGAACATCCTCGGGCACACAAGATTGATATCGAATATTAGGTCACCGCACCACACGGTCGGAACTATGCACGATCATACCATGGTAGTGCCGCTGCAGTGGCCGTACGGAGACAGGAACCTCTGACTCGCAGCATCCAGCAGCATAGTGCTATTGGAACAACCATAACGAGACCTGTCTTGCGTCAGGGCGATAACAGAACAGTCTTTGAGGCGCACCAACCTCTAGCCATGCATGATGATCCGGTCTGATGTGCACGTTGGCCGCCCGAGGGAACGCCTGACTATGTTCCAACAGGACCATCTGAACGAGCGAGCACGCCCAACAAGCTGCCGGCCGATTGCAACGCTTGCATGAGTGAACTGGAACACAGGGGTTCAGCCTGGCACGATCAGTTGCTAAACCAAAATGGGCGGCGGTATGACGATACGACCTGTACGTTACCTTGTACGTACTGGTACAGCCCCTCGCTTGCAACATTTCCGCCGTGAGTGACTAATCCCCTCAAACTCATTTCCAACTTGTTCTGCGCACTTTCTTACACCATTCTGATCAAGCAAACGGTTCGTTCTTGCTGCTTAGCAAATGGTTCGCACAATGTCCCTGGAGATCTCGTAACAGAGCTGCATCTGAGCACTGTATCTGCTTCCCAGCGTCTTTCTCGTTCCAAATCGCCGGGCGTTTTGGGCCAGCTATGTCATCCCCCGATTCGTTGGCCTCGGTGCCAACTGGGGAAATCGAGGCTCAACAACGGACCTCCTGGCCCTCGCTTCTGCATGGCTACCGAATGGCGATTACCTAGCCCATCTAGATCCCATCCAGGCTCAGGGTTGGGCCACGAGCGAATCGGCGATCAGACTTCCCTATCCCAAAACAGTTAGGGCCCATTACCAAATACTTCTCGGGACCTTCCGCACTGGGATCGCTTGTCCAACATGCCTACGGAATCATCAGTCATGGAGTGGATCAGGCTGTATAGAACCATCTCGCCGCGTCTCCGTTGTTCATCAAAGTGCCTCTACTATCTATCAGCATTATACAACTCCGCTACCAGCCCTCCATGGCTATGCTTATAACACAACAGCCGGCGGGCTCGACCCCGGTGATGTTTGACCATGAATACTTCTCCAGCATGGCCGACAAAAGGAAAAAGGACAACGACCCCGCCTTCTTCAAGGGCGAGTTCTCCTTCGTCAACAAGGACGCCAACAACATCGAGTCCAAAGATCACAACGCGGCCGTTAGCTGGCATGTTATGAATCGTTACGAGCGATGGAAGAAGCAAGAGCAAGCAAGGAAGCTGCGGGCTTCTGCCAACGTACCTATAGGACCATTGTCGACGTCAGCCCGTAATAGCCCTTCTGAGAGCCACCGGTCTTCTCAATCACGTTCAAGAGGATCCCCGCCGACTTCCACTACACAACCAGCAGCTACGCCAAGCACCTTATTTGGTCTTGATCCATGGACCGTGGACCCAAGCATGCAACCCACTTTCTCTGCCTCTGATATGCCTTCCCTCCCAGCTACTGGCAGCTTCTTGCCGTCAGCAGTATCCTCGCCCTCGACACATTCCAGCTCGCATGATGATCCGTTCGCAATGCTAAGTTTCAGTCCTTCGGTGGATATGCCAACTACGACGGACAATTTCGATGTTCAACTACCCACAAATAACCCTCTCGCCAACAGGCTGGTGAGTTTCGCATACGAGACCTTGATCCCTCAATTATGGCCAACGGAAGCTGGGAATGTACCAGGGCACTATGAAATTTCTCGAAGCTGGGACGACGCGGCTGCCATTTCCCAGGACGTCTGCTATGCGAATGCATATCTGGCACTTCTGGCAGTTGCCTTGGCGCAGAGCTCGGATGATTCAACTTTATCGCAGCACGCGGGCACTTTCAAAAGTCAAGCAATGACTGAATTAAGGCAAAGAGTGGCAGCCAGGACTGGCACTCAAGACTTACTCACGCTCAAAGCTATACTGAAGCTCTTTTGCGCCGAGACCATCATTGACAACACGGCTGTTGCACGAGTACACCTCAAAATGCTCCGGAGCTTGGTCGTGGCCGGCGGCGGAGTCATCCTACTAGACTCTTGGTTTAGAGAAGACTTGCTATCTTGCGACTGTTATTTTGCGCTGAAATACGGTACTAGACCTGTCCTTCCCGCCGCAGAATGGACCCCCGGCCCGCTCAGTCAGCCTTGGAAGGCCCGACTAGTGTCTGCAGGCATCTTCGGAGATCATACAGCTGGGCTTGACAATCTAATTGAGCATCCGATATTAAAGGCAGTTGCTATGGACCTGCGCGAGCTGTTCAGGGCGCAGGAATACATTCTTACACATGAGGTACCAACAGAGGACCAGCTACTCCGGTGGAGACAGTTGCGAAAGTTCGACTGCATTTCAAGGCTGGCAGACCACTATACGAACTTGACCATCTATGCGCACCTGTACGATTTTCCGCGTACGCAGATGATGGTAACACTCACGATAGCTTTGCTAGGAAACATGGTGCTTGGATGTCCTGAGCCGATCCGATTTGGAAAGAAGCTGCTTCGGGAACTACGAAACAAGGTTGACGAAGCCACGGTGGAGGTTGAAGAGAGCGACAGCCAACGACTCCGATACTGGGCCCTGTACATTGGCTCATTGGCTGAGCGGGTGTACGGCAATGGGAACGAGCATGAAGACTGGTTCGCCAAACAGCTGAAGACAATGGCAGCAGGGTTGCGACTGGAAAGTTGGGAAGACACGAAGAAGATGTTACGACAGCTGCTATTCTCCGTGCGACTCCATCAGGAGGTCGAAGGTCGTCGTGCTCACAGGACCAACGACTTCACAACAGGCCTCTATTCGATCTGCGGCACCAGTTGGCGACAACCACTCCTCCCGCAATCGCCGACTGACCGCTCCTCAGGGAAAGGAAAAGGAAGAGGCAGCTGAGAGGCACAGTGATCGCATTGATCGTGATTGCACAGCATGCGGCGAGTAGCCGGTAAGGGGAGCTCACGATGTATCGTCTTGGCGAACTATACGCCGAGAATAGCGGCATTCGCATGGCGATCAGGGACAAATTCAATCTTAGGGTCATTACCAGCCTATCTACTGAGTTCAGATATCGTGACAATGTTCGCTGCCCATGTGCTTCATCCACAAAGCTTCAGCAAGCCTCGCCAGTCCGGACTACACACGTGGATGCGGTGGCGCCTCAGGCCAGGCTGATTGGGGCAGTTTTCTAAGTTGGGGTAAGGCCTTGCATGCGATAGTGCTGCAATGTATACGAGACCCCATTGCCAGAATTAGACAAAATCCAGAGAAAGATTGACCGTGCCATCCAGTCAGTTTGTGATAGCCGGCGGGAAACTCAGTGCCGTCGCATTTCAGAACAGATAGTTCCTACTCAATGGAGCCCCGAGAGAGGTAGTCAAAAGTCACTACTGCTAGCCTCGCCTCGACGTAGCGCCGTGGGCGGTGCCAGACCAGGGGGATCTACTGTACTTTGAGTTGATGCTTCAGAAGCTTGAGCTTCAGTGCCTCCGCCCTGTTCTAGACTCTTTTTGGTAGAAAATTTGTTCTCACGGAAGACATAGGCGAAGAACCCACGACTTGCTGAGGTCTTTCCGATCACAGTCCAGCCTTCGTGAGGGGCTGACCTAATCGTACTCTGTAGGTCAGGCACATGCCCCGCTAAGCTGTATCATACAGTCTGAATACGGTAAAGTACGGTAACGATACTCTACGTAAGAGCAGCCCGGAATGACATCATGAATTTGTTCCCCCGACAATGCCCCGGCGGTGTCGAACGCGCGATTTTTGTATAACACGCGTTAAGCAAGCTCAGTAGCCGTGCTTCGATGCAGACGACCGCAACGCTCGCTACAGCGTTGTCGTGTGTTCGTCTATCTACAAGATCGCAGCTACCAGCCGCTGCTAACTCCTTCCCGCCTGCAGTTCGGCCTTACTCAATCGCTGCCTCCCATCTTCATTGGATTCCATACGCGCGACTCCCACTCCATAGCCAACTATGCCTGACTGCACCACATCCAAGTTGGCCACCAACTTCCTCACGCCGATGCTTCGGCACAGCTTGGTACCGACGCGATGACTCGGCCCCACCGCGCGGTCAGTCGCCGCTCCAACACCTCAAGGCGCTGAGCACCTCAAGCCCGACCTTAGTCTTCACTTCGACCTCGACCGATCCTTTCCATAACCTCTCGCTTGAGCATCATCTTCTTCAAAATTCCCAGCATGACTCACATATACTGTTCCTCTATACGAACCGTCCCTGCGTCGTCATCGGCCGCAATCAGAACCCCTGGGCGGAATGCAACCTTGGTGCTGTGCTCCGGGGGCTGCCCACGCACCCGGAGGATACAAAAAGTCCACTGGCCCGTGATATGTGGATGAATGGTGCGGCAGCCGTTGGTAGAACCGAGGACAGAATTCGGGTCGACTTACTGCGACGAAGGTCTGGCGGCGGCGCCGTTTTTCACTCCCCGGGAAACCTCAACTATTGTGTAATTTCCCCCAACGACAAGTCTTTCAACAGGCGCAAACATGGTGAGATGGTGGTGCGCGCTCTTCGCTCTCTGCAGTCCAGCGACTCCTTCATGTCTAGATTTCCTGCTTTTGGTGGAACCGAAGTCAAAGTCAACGAAAGGCACGACATAGTGATGCGTCCAACTACCGAGGACAACTGGCTGAAGGTGTCGGGAAGTGCCTTCAAACTCACTCGAGGCAGAGCTTTGCACCACGGCACATTGCTCGTTGCATCGCCCTACCTTTCTCAGATCTCCCCTCTACTCAACAGCCTTTATAAGGATAATTTCACCCTGAAAGGTGTTAGCTCCGTCCGGTCTCCCGTCGGCAACCTTTTCTCCGGCGAGTGTTCGGAGCCTGGGCGTGACGAGCTCAGCCAAGCAGTCCAGCAGGCCATCATCTCGGAATTCAGCGAGCTATATGCTGCGGGTGGTGGGATCGAGGCCATGCAATTGTCCGATCAAGACTGCCACGAGTCTGAGAATGCATCTATCGCCCAAGGCGTCAAAGAACTGCAATCTGACGAATGGAGATTCTGCCAGACTCCACGATTCAGCTTCCGATGCCCGTCCGGCGACTCCAGATTCGCGGGATTCGAAGTCAACCGAGGATATATCGAGCGCATCTCCCTTGACTACGATGATGATAACGACCCGGTTAGCATCGACGTGAGTGACGTCTCAGGCTTGGGCAAGATCTACTTGCATGATTTATGGGGGCCAATAGACATGGTGCTACCAGATCTCGCGAAGGCATACAGCGATGCAAAGAACGAGCCAGACTATGAAAAGCTCAGCGACAAGGAGCTTGACCATCACGGACCGTACTGGAGATCCTTCCTCGAGGCATTGATGACATCTGAGGAAGATAGAGGTAAGCTAGACGACTGCTTCCCAGATTGGAGCAGCAGGAAATGGCGCATCGGCGTGATCTGAAATGAGGTCCCAATGCGTGCCACAGACAGAGGTGCCTACAGCAAGGGCGGTCTACGTCCAAAAAAGGTCGTTGAAGCCCTAGCGTTGGCGCTTCATGTTAGTGAGCAAGCACAATTATCGTCCTCCAACGAACTATCGTGGCACAAACAGTCATACATAAATAGGTAATATGCAAGCGTGCTATAGTTACTTCACCGCTATAGTACACAGACACTACATCGGAGACACCTTTCTGGTGCTGACCAAGCAAAGCCAAAGTCTCATAGCTATATCTTCCGTATCATTGTACTGTATACACCCTCCTACCGCTCTACCGCTCTCATAAAATCACTCCCCTTTTTGAAACATCTCGCATCGCTCATTGGACAGATAAGGATAATGATAATGATAAATGTAGCAAAGCAAGGCATGCATGCATGCATGCATATATGCGCGCAGACGCAGACGTTTGTTTAGTTCAATTCTTGCCACCGAACCACGATCTCCAGCCTCTCTTCTTACTACCACTACCACTAGCAGCAACATCATCATCATCACTCTCTGATGCGGGTTTCGCTTTCAAATCCGACTCTGGCGCGGGTGCTGCCGCATCGATGACTTTTGCTCCTGTGACACCGTCGACGCCCAGCTGCTCAAGCACGTTCTGCGCTTCTCGGCTCTGAGCCGTCGCACCACCACCACCGTCACCGTCTCCAACTTCCAGCGTGGGCCTGCCGGCCAGTCACTCGCCCTTCAGCTTATCCTGCTGCACGGTGAACGCCTCCTTGAGCAGCTCATTCTCCTCCCTGACGTGGCTGGACTTCAAGCCTGTTGCCACGGATGCACTCGGGTCACGGCCAGCGTACATGACGTGTCTTCGGTTGTGGTGCTCCGTCTGGTTCAGCAAAGTCTCAATGCGCGGCTGCACAAAGCTCCAGGCGCCCGCATTCAGGGGCTCTTCTTGACACCAAACGATCGTCTTGGCATTCTGGTAGGAATCCAGGTTATCCCGGAGTTGCTCCCATGGGAATGGGTTCAACTGCTCGATACGAGTAATGGCCGTGTCCTTGATGCCGTTGCTCTCAACGTACTTGCGGAGCGCAGTATAGACTTGACCCGAGCAAAGAATGACGCGCTCGATGCCTGAAGGCTCGTTGATAGATTTGCCAATCTCTGGGTCTGGGATGATCCATTTGAAATGCGAGTCACCTGTGAAGTCCTCTATGGGCGAGCGGGCGAGTGGGTGTCGAAGAAGTGATTTGGAGAAAAACACGATAAGAGCTAGAAGTCGGTCAGTATATATTCAGAATCTGGTGGGGATTAGAGGAGAACATACGTTTGCGGAACTGTCGGTTCATTTGTCGGCGGAGAATGTGGAAATAGTTGGAGGGTTCAGTCATGTAGGCAATCTGCATGTTGCAGTCTTGGTGCTGGCGTTCGAGCTTTTCTGGGGATGGGAAAACGCGTGGCTCCTCGTTGGAAAGTTGCAGATATCGTTCCATACGGCCAGAAGAATGTTCAGGACCCTGCCCGTCGTAACCGTGGGGCAGAGAGCAGACGAGGCCTGATCGCTGCAGCCACTTGACTTCACCAGACGCGATGAACTGGTCAATAATACATTGCGCGTTGTTGGCAAAGTCTCCGAACTGGGCTTCCCACATAACAAGCGCATTAGGCGAGGAAAGAGAATAGCCGTACTCAAAGCCGAGGGCACCGAACTCAGAGAGGGAAGAGTTCGAGATGTGGAAAGAGCCTTGGCCCTCCTTCAGATTATTGAGCGGAGTCCAGGTGTTTTCGTTCTCTTGGTCATGAAGTACGGCGTGGCGCTGTGAGAAAGTACCACGCTCGACATCCTGACCAGACACGCGGACGTGGTGGCCTTCGAGGCAAAGCGAACCAAAGGCAAGAGCCTCAGCCGTCGACCAATCGATGTTCTTGCCCTCGGAAACAGCCTTCTGACGACCGTTGAGAATACGCTTGAGATTGCGATGGACAGTGAAATCTTTGGGCCAGCTACCGATCGCGTCACCAATTTGGGCGAGCTGTTGCTGGTCGACACCTGTAGGTGGATGAGGCAGGACCTCAGTCGCGAGCTCTTTAGGAGACTTGAAGTTGTTCCAGGCAGAAGTCAGCCATTCACGGCCAGTCGGCTCGTAGTCCTTGCTGCGATCAAAGCTGTCATTGAGCATGCCCCAGACCCACTTCTTGTGCTCGTCGATGTCCTCATTCGTGAAAGTGCCTTCTTCGAGAAGTTTGTTGACATACTTGTCAAGCTGAGGCTTAATCTCATCAATGCGCTTATACATCAGGGGCTGGGTGAAAGAAGGCTGGTCGGTTTCATTGTGGCCTTGCTTTCGGTAACAGACCAGATCGATGACACAATCCTTCTTGAAATCGGCGCGCCAATCGGCAGCGAGCTGGCACACCCAATTGACGGCCTCAACATCGTCAGCGTTGACGTGGAAGACTGGAGCATCGATGGCCTTGGCAATATCCGTGCAATAAGGGGTAGAGCGAGCGAAGCGAGGGTCCGTGGTGAAGCCGATCTGGTTGTTGACGACGATATGGATGGTGCCGCCGGTAGAGTAAGCAGGCAAGTTGTGGAAACCCATGGTCTCATACACCACACCCTGAGCAGCGAAAGCAGCGTCTCCGTGAAGCAGTACACCCATAGCAGTGTTGTGTGCTCTCCCATCATCGTTGTAGTGTTGAATAGCACGGGTCTTTCCCAGAACGACAGGATCCTCGGCCTCCAAATGCGAAGGATTGGCGACCAATGACAGCTGGACGCGCTTCCCCGAAGGCGTAGGGCGCTCGAAATTCATACCAAGATGGTATTTGACATCTCCTGAGCCTTCGTCATCACCGACTGCTGTTCCAGAGAACTCGCTGAAGATGGACTCGTTGGGCTTGCGAACGACATTGGACAAGACATTGAGACGACCACGATGCGGCATACCAATGACAATATCCTTGACGCCGTAGTCGACACTACGATCAATAAGAGCCTTCATGCCAGGAACCAGGGTCTCGCAACCTTCTAGACCAAAGCGCTTGTCGTTGGGGTACTTGGTAGCTAGGAAGGTTTCGAAGCTGGAAGACCAGATGAGTCGGTCAAGAATGCGGCGCTTGTCATCGACCGAGTACTTGAACGGGTTCGGAATCTCGACGCGGTTGCGTATCCAGTCGCACTGCTCCCGATCAGGGATATGAATGTACTCGACACCAATGGAGCCGCAATATGTCTTCTCGCAAGCGTTGATAATTTCTCGTAGGGTCATGCTCTTTCTGTTATCGACAATGAAGCGAGGAAGAATACCAGGACCGAGGGTAAATTCTTGGTCGAGGTCAGCCTCAGTAAAGCCGTAGTGGTCTAGTTCCAATTCTTTCGGTTTGCGGTACCCAAAAGCTTCAGCTTCGCCGCGGATGCCCAATGGATCTGTCTTGGCCTTGTGGTGACCTCGTGACTGGTAGGCTCGAACGAGTAGCTGGACCTTCAAGTGGTTGGTGATGTCGCCACCTGAACCGGTTTCGACACTTGGTGCGCTGGAGAGGGTGGCGGATCCCCCAGCTTGGGAGATGAGGCCTGGAGGAGGCTGGAATGCGCGTGACATGGGCATGTTGCCGTCTTCCATGTTTTTGAAGTAGGCCTGCCATGAGATGTGGACAGAAGAGGGGTCCTGTTTCCAGGACATGTACATCTCGTCGATGTAGTTGGCTGTATTGCCTTGAAGGAAGGAATCGCTGGGGTCCTAAAGGCGCCTGTTAGCTGTCGAAACAAGTTCACGTTGGTGTGGAACATACGACACCCTTATCTGTATCTTCTGCGGCAATGGCATAGCTTCTGTGCTGCTGGCGCCCGCTGGCAACGAGTGCCATGGGGGATCTGCCCGCCCGCAGCGCATACTGACGGCTGGAGCTTAGACTCGCCGGTGTATTTGTATACAGCCTGCGCTGGCAGTGTGCGGATCTGCTCAGCAGCTTGCCGCTGGAGCTAGCAAGTGATTTGTACATGGTCTCGGATCGGGTGCGGAAGATCGCTAACAATGCAGTTCGGAGTACATCCGAGTGACCCAGGTCAAATGAATGCGCAGGTCTTGAGGCAAAGAATGGTAGGTCGCTGATGACAACGACGATGATATTGCGAGCGTGAGAACAACACCGCCGTACCAGTAGGACGGGTTGAAGGAGTGCAAAGGTTCAGATGTGCAGGGAGGTGTGAGTACAGAGCAAGTGTAGCTGGTCCAGAATGCTGCCCGTCGAGCTGGAGGCGAAAGGTGCAGCCATGACAGCGTCTTTTGAGTCATTTACGTCTTTTGACTACGCACTGCCTCCAATTGGCTCACGGCATGGCAGAAAATGCCGCGTCAAAGCAACAAGAAACCAAGGTGCGGAGACACCAAGCGCCAGGATCGACTATGAAGTAATATCTGAGACGGAAACGAGAGCCGTGTCGCCTTCAAGGAAGCCCCCAATGACCATTTGGCACATGGGAGGCACTACTACCAGTGTTATTATGTACTCGTCCTCCTGCTGGGTAGCGATGAGGTCTCATGTGGCTGCCACATGCCGTCTAAATACCTCGAGATCATATCCTAGAACCCACCGCCAAATATTCACGGTCGATCTCCATCCCGCCGTCTTCGCCCGTGTACCTCCTTTCCAATACCCATCTACCCCCTGGGTCACGCGCGTAGCTGACGCTTTCTGCACCACTGCTTGCCCGACTATGGTTGCTCTTCCTGCTGCCACCCGAGCCCAGAACCGGCGACATTGCTCGGTTGTCCTGAGGTGGCGTTGGCTCCACCGTCTTCTTCATGGGTGTATTTTGGGTCAGCGTAGGCTCATCCGCGGCCAGATAATCGTCTTCCTCTTCTGATTCGAGGATCCCCGCAGCTACGTTGACGTTGTGGATAGACGATCCCATCCTGCTGTGACTCGCCTCTTGTGGTGAAAAGGGGTGTGGATAATGCTGTGAAAGCGGTGAGCTTACGGCGTGATTAGCTCCCAAACTGCTGACGCTCGTAGAACTGCCACCAAATGCCCCTCTTCGGAGCTTCATCAATGCAGAGAGCGTCATATCATCCTCGTGACCCGGCGAGTCTCGCTCCAGCAACTGCGCAATTCCAGGACTTGGTAATGACTGAGCAGAACCCGGGATTCCTCCCGGTATCTGTAATGAAGCCACCGAGTTACGGGTGCTCCATTCGCTGCGTTCTGTGATGGGCGTCAAGCTGGGCTCTTGGAAATTTCCTCGCCCGCTGTGGCTTCGTTTGACGCCGTTGGAGCCTCGTGGAGCGAAGAACCCTCCACTGACCATGTCCGACTCGTCCTTGTTGCGCGCCCGAGCGTAGAAGCCGAATTCTTGCCCGTAGAAACCATCGTCATCGTTCTCGAGCGCTTCAGCATTCGCTGCTGCAATCATCATCTCGTCGTCCATGTCGTCGTCGTCGAACGGGAAGCCGTCGTCGTAGGCGATGCCAGATCCTCCAAAGTTATTGCTGAACCGGCTCTCATCAGCGATGACTCCGGGCTGTGATTCGTCTTCTGAATCCTGGCTGAAGCTGACGCGGTTGAACTTGCCGTTGGCTGCCGCTACATTTGCCGCATTGGCTAGTGCGTCATGGTACGCTGCAAGATTGCCTTCGGTTAGCCCAGCAACGATCGACCCCGAAGCGCTGCTACCGCGTAGGCATCTAACCCGCTCGTCGTCGTCCGAACTAAAGGCAGGTCCCTGCGAAGCCGCACTATCAGCCTTGGGAGCCACTTGCACTTCACCGTTGGGTCCTGCAGCTTGCTTCGCCACCTCGTACCTGCGCCGATTCTCTGCAGGAATATCGCGGATGGCGGTCTCGTCGTCCAGCAGTTCCTCATTGAAGCCTCCTGCAGTTGAGTCGTTGGCTGCAGCATTGCCAAACTCGCCGTCATCAAAGTATAGCTCGTTGTCATCGAATGTTACCGAATCTTTCTGTGCTGCTCGCGCTGAGTTTTCCAGTTTCGGGCTTGTTGTGGTGATCCCGAGACCACCGAGACCCATGGTCACTTCAACGACATCCATGGATCGCGCTCGCTCATGGCCATGAACCCTCTCTGGTGAGTCTTTCGAATCTGCAACGCCGATGGCCATACCATGGTCATCTCTGGGCGTAGGCTGTGAGACTTGGTTGCTGCTGGTTGGGCTGAACGTCAAGGAGTCGGGAGTGAAATGGAACTGCTGGACGGGTTGGCCTTGAAGCAAAGTAAGGTCCTTGACCTTAGACCGCTGATACCGTGGGTGGTCCTCGCTATCAAAGACATTGCCAGCCTGCATTGTTTGTGAATCAGGTTCCCTTCGAGGAGACGTCATCGTCTCGATCTTTGAGCGGTCAAACTCCATTAGATCACCATCGTTGAAGAATCCATCATCCTCCGTCTGACAACTTGGTTGCACAACTTGGTGCATAGGCTGTCGCTGTGCAGATGTTGAACACTCAATCTTTGATCGGTCGACTGGTGCGTAGTCATCGTCGTCATCGTTGAAGCCAGATTCGGGAATTTCCTCCTCCATGCCAGCATCTGCGTCAAAGTCATAGTCATCGAAGTCATCGTCCATACCATACCCCTGGCTGAGACTACTGACTCTTTTAGTGGCCTGGAACTGCTTATGCTTCTCCTCCAGCAACTTCTCCTGGGTTGAGGATGCCTGTCCTCCAATCTGAAAGCTGAAGCGCGATGATGTGCTGGTCATATGCCTCGGCAGGGTTGAAGCAGGTGGGACGTTGAGAGGAGGTGTTGGAGTACGCTCTGATTGTGGTGGTGAGGGTGGTCGACGTTCTGGCTCTGCTGGCAGGAGTGGGGGGGTATGCTTCGGCGGCGGGGGCGGCGGTGGTGGGGACAGCGGATGCTGTGGTAATGGTCGGTCGAGATCAGGTGGTGCGTGCTGCTCGTTTTGCGTGTCTTGTTTTTGTTGGTCTGGAAGGCGGATGGGCAATTTCTTAGCAAATACTGGCATGTTTGCTTCCAGATCTTGGGCGCTCGTCGAACTCTGGCTCGCAACGTTATGTAGATATGCGGTTTGGCCTGGGCGAAGAGCTTGTCGGTCGTCTTGAAAGTGTTCCTTGAACATTGGACTGTGGCCTGGCGTTTGGCCACTGGTAGGTGGCTGTAGACCTGGACTGGGGCTGAATGCATCTGGGTGCATGCTGGCGCTGTATGGCCCCATCTCGCTGCGAAACTTGTCCATCTGAGACGAATCGCCGTACGAAGGGGTGCGGCGGGACCGGGGGGCAGAGAAATCATGGGTAATGGTACCGCGGATTCTGGGGTCGAAATTCTCAGGCATGGCTGGTACATGCATAGTATTGACAGACAAGTCTGCGGTCTCATTCTGGTTCTGGGAAGTGCGGCGCCTAGCAAGGAGACTCATAGGATTCAGCAGGTTCAGCCTGCTCTTTTTCTGTACAGGACCTCTGGAAGGATCCTCACTGTAAGCTCGACCTGAAAGCTGTGGAGAGTAATTGTAGCCACGCAGGACTGGCGACGGTCCCTCGGCCATTCGAGGGGAAAAATCTGACGAGCTTCTGCCTGCATGCGCGATGAACCTGGGACTCGGGACAGGGCCCGGGCCTCTCAACACAGTATCTTGCTGTTGGTATCCCTCAGTGGTAGGGAAATGGCTGTGAGTATTGACCGCGTCGCTGGTGTACGGTCGGCCTACACCCACAAGCATAGGTGGTCTCCGAGCGTTGTTCTCTTCTGATGTTCTGCTAGAATCTGCTCGCGTTCTGTTCTGCGCCGGAGCAGTTTCACCGGGCGCTGGAAATATTCCCTGCACGTCGAAGATTGGGGACGGAACTTGCACATCGATGGAAGGGCTTGCACTGGAACCAGTGGTCGCAGAAGGAACCTCGACTGGAGAGAAGGGGTCACTATACCGCGGGCGATCATGATGACGGCCGAATCGGGGGAAAGAGGGGGACGTCGGCGAGGGTTGGCTGTTCTTTCGCAGATGGCGCTGTAGCCCAGGCTTGTTGGTGGTGCTGTTCATGGCGGCGAGCCGTCGCCGTCGGCGAGGAGAACACTAACTATCCTCAAAGAGCCTTTTGACTGCCATGGATAGAGGTGTACCGAATTCAACGAACGTCTGGAACAGGGAAGTGCCGCAACGAACGGATAGTGGCCGTCTGGACAAGGGGATGCTAGGTGGCCAGGACTTGGTGATAGATCTGTTATCGATGTGTTAAAACGCGCTATGTAGGCGAGATTTGGGGACGAGGGTCGTCGCGGACTCGAGCTTGTTGTTTGGCAATGTACGTCGCGAGGGTTTCAAAGCATGTGTTCCCACCTTCTGGGCCGGACTGCCCGCTGCAGGCTCGAGGTGGTTCTGACGCAGGAAGTTCCTCATTAGTGGATCCAGCAGGGTCCGGACCGGCTCCAATCAACTCGACTTCCGGGGGGTGAACTGCCGAGCCCACCGCTAAGGCCGCCTAGACGTTCGGTGGTTTGCTTGTTCCCACATCTCTGCTCGACGGGTAGTCATATAAGTAGCCTTGCAACCTCGCTGAGCTCTTGTGCGATTTAACATCATACGCTAGCAATAGACAATTGCCCTCGAAGCGGCGCGTGGCTTATACTAGACTCTAACAGTGAAAGATGCCCATCTCAAGCCCGATGTCTGACACTTGAATCTTGATCTTACAAGCGAAGAATGTCAACATGGCTGACGTTGCCTTCTGAGAATCACTCCGCAGGCCAGCAGCGTCTACCTTTCTGATAGACCACCCCACTCTCCCCAGCTAGGCTTTTCCCAAGCCGACGAGCACCAACAATGCCACGTTCATAACGACTAGAACGAGCCAGATAGCAATAGCGAAACCCGCCGCCACCCATCCATTCCGCATGTTGATCGTCTCATGTTCTTGCTCCCTAGTCATGACACTCATGATTTTGCTTCTGCAGGTGAACCAAACCAGGGGTGCGCTCACAAATGGAAGAATGACGCTTAGCACCACCTGGCTGGCGGTCAAGGCCCTGTTCAGACCTTCCTTACCCACTGCAGCGGCAACAACGATGCTCGGAATGATGCTGATGCTCCTCGTGACCAGTCGTCTTACCCATGGTTTGCACCGCCAATTGAGCATGCCTTCGCTAACCATCTGCCCGGCCATGGTGCAGACTATGCCAGCGCTCGTGCCACTCAGCAGTAGGGCCAGAGCAAAAAGCGTGCCAGCAACCTTCGACACAGAAGACGAAAGCAGAGCATGAATGCCAAACAGATCTGCTTCTGTGGCTTCCGTGCTCGGGTATAGAGCGGACCCCGCAACGATTAAGATCGCGCTGTTGACAAAAAGTGCAAATGTGAAAAGTGATGTGCTGAGCTCGATTATGGAGTATGTGAGGCAACTGCGGATTGCCTCTAGCGATGGCAGGTATTTCTCGGCATCAGAATTCGAGGCGTTGGTGGGCGCCATGGCTGGTGGAGGTGTGAAACGTTGGAGACCGTTGGTTTCATCAAAATGCCGTAGACGAGGCTGGACAATGCCGCTGCCCAGGAAAAGGGAATGAGGCATAACTGTTGCACCGAGGATACCGCAGGATAGATAGATGCCATCACCTTTGATGATGGCCGCGGACGGCAAATATCCGCGAAAGACCTCTCCAGCGGAAGTGTTGTGGATGTATGAGAGCTGTATGCAAAAGCACACCATCACGCCCAGCACAAGTCCCATGACACAGAACTCGAATAAGCGCAGCCGGCGCATCGAGCCATCCGGCGACCAGAAGATCATCAAGATGAGCACATCGACTATGGTGATGGCGCAGCCGGCCACGAGGGGAATATGGAAGAGGAGGTTGAGTGCGATAGCAGAGCCAATGACCTCGGCAATGTCAGTCGCAATGATGGCGGCTTCAGCAAGGACATAGAGAACTAGGTTCAGCCAACGCGGGAGATGTTTGCGGCAGTTTTCCGCCAGGTTGAGTCCCGTAACGCTGCCGAGCTTGATGCAGAGAGACTGGAGGAATATGGCGAAGAGGTTTGACATGAGTACAATGAAGAGATGCCGATATTTGGTGCTAGCGCCCGCCTCGACATCGGTAGCGTAGTTTCCTGGATCTATGTACGCGACGGCAATGAGAAAGCCAGGCCCAACGAACTGAGCGTACTTGATGAGGCCATCTTTGATTTTCGAACCGTAAGACTTTGGTGCAGAAGTGCTTTCGATTCCTGGACCAGCAGGAACAGAGATGTCGCCCTTCGACCGAGGTTGGCGCGTTCCAATCCCATCTTCGTCGCAATGCTGATCATTCGAATCTATCTGGTCCTGATCATCGTTGTGAGGATCTGACCTGTGCTCTCGAGCTTCTCGGAGATTGACTATGCCATTGAGGTCAGCCCTTGTGGTGGCGTCAGAGTTGAGATCCTGAGGATTTTGGTTCCAATCAGGATGCAACTCTGTATCATCCGACCTTGACGGGTAGTTCATGGTGACGGACAGAGTAACAAAAAGAAGAGGGAGGCAAACACAGGAGAAGTGGAAATCCTTTTATTCTTGTAGATGGTCGTCGAGAACGAGAGTGGCCCGGGCTTTCCCGAGTTTCACCTCACCGACTTCGATTTTGCGGGGAAGGCTTATCAGCCGTTCACTGGGATCTTCCTGCCAGCGCCAGACTCAAAAACCACGGCACGAGACGAATAGTCGGTGAGGCTACAGTAGTAGTTGAGTTCGGACATCTCCTTACATTTGAGTGCTTCTCGTGATTCTGGTCCAGTCGTGATGATACAGGATTGACACAGTCGGCGGGCGCACGTTGAGCGAATGGGCGTGCAGATATGGGTGCGAGGAAAGGACTCGAGGCCGGCTACTGGGCGAAATCTGGTTCGTGAATTGATTGACACCACACCACACCACCAGCAGTGGCGCTACTTTCAAGAGTCCTTCCTTTGCCTCTGCGCCCAGGGAATCTTCTGCTCATCTGGATTCACAGGCGGCGACGTTTTGAGGCCGGCGACAGGTGTGATCTCGAAGAATGTGTCCTTCATCGCAACCCACTTCTTGTCAAACTCTTCAGCTTTTTTCTTGGAGTTGTTCCTGACTCGCTCCGGAACCATGTCACTGTCACCCATCTGTCTCCAGACCCAAGCGCGAAATCCATCAAACACTGTTCCTTCCTCGGGCTCATATACAAAAACAGCGTAGAAAACCACAAACGCAATGACAGAGTTTTGAATCAGTGTCACCCAACGTGTGAAGACCGGCCGCTCCCACTTCAGAGCCGCACGCCGCCGATATGTCTTCTCGAAGTGCAGCTGTTGCTTATGATTTAACTCAAGGAGCTTAGGCGGCCAAGCCTTGTGTGCTCGGTATGGGTTGTTCCAAACATTGAACGGATCCGTCGGTGCGTCCTTCTTTGGTATCCGCAGACCTAATTTACGGCGCATATAATTCCAGAAAGACGTTGCAGAGTGCGCTGGTTCGATAGCAGTGGGTCGTGCTTTCGGTCGAGCCCATGCCGGAGACTGGGATGATTGCCTGTCCAGGAAGGAGGACAGATCAAGTCTCTCGGACTTTGAAGGCGCGCTGATCGCTGGTGAATTCGGGAGGTTCGATGGCGCCGACGCCACAGGTGAGGGTGTGGTGATGGGAGAGGAGTATTTCTTGTTAAAGGTCGCGGGACTGAACGGTGATGTGGAGGCGGCGCGCGCAGGTATATGCGAGAGGCAGTGGTGCTTTCGACAACGGCGCATGAAGAGCGCGGCGGCGCTAGAACTTTTGCCGGCCATGGTCGAGGTAAGCATTGATGTGATCGATCAAAAGCCAGCACCGAAAGCTCAAGTTCGGAATAACGCCGGGACTCGCGGCGAGCCAAGCACCGCGGCGCTCCTTCCGAATACAGACGGGGCATGTGCTCTCCCCGGGTCCCCCATGACGACGTGCTCCAGGCGAGACATGTGATGGCTTACAGCACTCGTGCTCCAGCTGCCTCGGCTGCAACACGCTCTATTGCACAAATGTAATCCAATGCCCTTCAATTCCTCTTCTTCTCATCCTTCACCGTTCCTTCACTCCTGTATTAAAAGCGTCTGTGATCAGTAGAACTCTTCCCCACCACAAAATTGTCATCAAGATGTCCGGTAAGAGCAACATCATAGCCCGTCCTCGACCGCTCTAACACGCTCTAGGTACCGCTCAAGCACGACTCTCGCAAGTCAACTCACACTTGTCTTCCGACCCTCGACCGAATCCCATCCCTAATAATGCCACCTCTTTGCTCCAAAAATCTCCGAACGATGTCGTCGTCACCTGTGCCCTCCGCACTCCCTTTACCAAGGGAGGCAAAGGCCCTCTAAAAGACACGATGGCGGCCGACCTCCTCGTTCACACTTTCAAGAACCTGATATCCCGCTCTAAAATCGACCCGAAGGTCGTCGAGGACATCGCTGTAGGCTGCGTGCTCGCTCCTGGAGGAGGTGCTACCGAATATCGTGCTGCTGCATTAGCTGCCGGTTTCCCTGAAACGGCCGCAGTCAAGTCCTTGAACCGGCAATGTTCCTCCGGCCTACAAGCTTGTGTCGACATCGCCAACGCTATCTCCAGTGGTATGATCGATGTCGGCATTGGTGCAGGCGTCGAAAGCATGTCTACTCAATACGGCCCGGGCGCCGTGACCGAATTCTCCGACTTGCTTGAGAACCATATGCAGTCCGCCAACTGCAAAGTGCCTATGGGCGTTCTATCGGAAGACATGGCCAAGGAATACAAGATCTCTCGCGCAGACCAAGATGCCTTTGCTGCTGCCTCGTACCAAAAAGCGCTCAAGGCTCAGCAATCTGGCCTCTTTGATGAAGAGATTGCACCCATAACAGTCAAATATACCGATCCCAAGACAGACGAGGAAAAGACTGTGACCGTCTCCAAAGACGACGGCACCCGTCCAGGAATCACTGCCGAGTCGCTCTCCAAGATCCGGCCTGCGTTTGCCAAAGATGGCTCCATCCATGCTGGCAACGCTTCCCAGGTCTCCGATGGTGCTGCTGCGGTGCTGCTCATGAAGCGCTCTACAGCCGAGAAACTTGGCCAGCCCATTCTCGGTAAGTACGTGACTGCTTCTGTGGTCGGCGTGCCACCCTTGTACATGGGTGTCGGTCCCTGGAAGGCCATCCCAGTGGCTCTGGAGAAAGCAGGCATCACCAAAGACGATGTCGACATCTTTGAGATCAACGAGGCCTTTGCCAGTCAGTGCTTGTGGTGCACGAAAGAGCTGGGAATCCCTCTGGAGAAAGTCAACCCCAAGGGCGGCGCCATTGCATTTGGCCATCCACTTGGCTGCACAGGAGCGAGACAGGTTAGCACATTGCTGACGGAGTTGAAACGGACGGGCAAGAAGGTGGGTGTCACCAGCATGTGTGTCGGAACAGGCATGGGCATGAGTGCCGTATGGGTAGCCGAATAGAGAATAGAAGTAGAATCAGAAAGCAGATCTACAATGGTCGAATCTCACCGTCCTCGCTTCTCCTACGACAGCTTTATGTGAATAGTACACACGTGTCTTCAGCGAATCAATTCCTAATTTCCCGAATGATATACACAGTGTATGAATCTACAGAGCTCCAGGCCCCTCCTCCTCCTCATCATCCAGCCCCAAAAAAAAAGCATCCTTTATTCATCAATCCTCAAAGTCGACCTTGTCGCTGCGAAAGAAATAGTCGTCCGGCGGCGGCGGGATCTTGAAGGCTGGAGGAGGGCGCCACGCGAAGCGCTCCCAGCTGAAGCCGCGCATCTTCTCGCCGCCCGTCGGCTTGCCGTCCTTGTCGGTGGCGGGCTTGAAGAGGCGGGGCTCCCAGCGTTGGACTTTGGCCCACTCGTAGATCATGCGGCGGATGTAGCAGGCTTCGGCGGCGGGGGTCATGTAGCGGTCGCGGAAGAAGGCTTGGGTGTTGGTGGCGATGCGGGCGGCGTCCGCTTGGCCGGCGGGCGAGAGGTAGTGGGTCATGATGTCGCGCAGGTCGGTCCAATTGGCGGCGGCGGGGATGTAGTTCTGCGCGGGGCCGGAAGGGTTGAGCAGCGGGTAGAAGTGGGCGACCCATTCGAGCGGGTTGTGGATGACGATGGCCGAGTTACAGTTGACCAGGTTGCGCAAGCGGCCGGACCAGCTGTTGCCTTCGGTGTGTGCGAGGAACTGCCAGTTGCAGTGGTCTTCCATGGCGACCACGCCCCCAGCCTTGCCCCAGTGGATCTCGCCCACGTCGGACCACGGCTGGTCCTGCGCGGCTTCGAGGAGCGCGACGCGCGGGGGGCTGATCTTCTGGCCGACGTTGATTTGGCCGCGCCAGAGGAGCTTGGGGGTCTTGGTGTTGAAGGGCTGGATGGTGGCTTTGGTCTTCTCTCGGAAGGCGCGGTACCCGCCCACCGTGTCCCAGCCGGATGATGCCCAGCCATTAAAGTCTGGCATGACCCAGGTGTTGTTGTCGCTGACATGTCTGGTCCATGCCCAGGCAGTGCGTCCGGGGCGTTGTGGTTCGGGGTTTGGGTGATCCATGCGATCGAGGGTGAACTCGACATTGGGGAGAACACGTGGATCTGGGATCGAGGTAATTGCGCGGTAAATCATCGCGGCGCCATTGAGGTAGCGAGTGCGATCGACAACACCCTGTTTCTCGCCGACGATGTACAGATCGCCATCATAGATCAGGATGCGGATTTGGCCGTGGGCTTTGTCAGGCTCTTCGGTCCAAAGTTTGATTTGAGATTCTTGGATGCCGCCTTGCGACTCGTGCCAGATGCGAGCGCGTGTAATCTCGGCGTATTGGTCGGGGAAGGCAAGCTGGGATATGAGTGAGTTACATGTCGGGCTGCTGTGTTACCACCAAGGGTCAACGAAATTGACGAGCGGGCTCCCCAACCATCTCACATCAGATTCCGCCCAAAAGCCGCTACTGTGAGTTGGGGAGTCGCGCCCGTCAATGTTGCCGAACCCTGGTATACAGGTTGGTCTTACCTGACACTGTTCCTCGCTGAGACCCAGGTTACGCTCATCGCGTTCGGTGACAAACTCCCAGGACGGGCTGGCAGGGTTCAGGCGAGGTACTGAGATTTTGTTTTGAGAGGCGACAGTGTAGAAGAGGACGAGCGTGAGGAAGCAAGCTAGACCAATGACCCACGGCTTGCCCTTCAATGCACCGAGCATATTTATCTGATTAGGAAGTTAACATCGGAGCGCCGCGATGATGATAGACGTAGATGCCCCGCCAAAGCCTGTTCAGCAATTCAAGGGGGAACAGAACTCGACGTAATGCTCGTGGTCATCGGTAGTAGCTGGCTAGGTATTTGCCTGGGCACTGCTTAGGAGGTGGAACCGCATAAATGATTAGATTGCGGCGAACGCGGAGCCCCTACGATCCTACTCCCTACCGCTGCGGGACTTTTTTCAGCAACCCTAAATTACGACTTACTGTACTGCTTGCGCAACTTGTCTAGTACCACCTAATGCCCGACGACACGCGGTCCTTCCGCGGCAGCCAGCCAGCCGAATTTGCAATGGAGATTCACATCCAATACTACTTCACTCCAGCAACTCCTTCAATCTGTTGATCAAAAGATAACCATCCGGGAGACACTAACAGGTAGCGAGCATCGTGGCTGTGCCTCTCAGGAGTCCTTGGTATCCACCACTTCGAGAACGCTAAGCTGTTGCGATTGAGTGGCCAAGCGCCACGGCTCCTGAAGTTGGGGCCTGCCAAATGCTAGGCGTTATGGCCCCTGTGTTCAAGCGTGATGACTCGGTGACGTCTGGAAACTTGGCTATAGATAAGGGGATAAGGGGCAAGGACGTTGAAGCAGACTTCAGCGTCGACATTCGAGATCCTGACGAGCCCAGAGCGTTGCTATGGGACAAGAGCGCCACGGGTTGCGCCCGCTGTGCCAATACTAGTGACCGCTAAGGCAACAACGACCATGCCTCATCAATTACCTTACTTGAACCCCAGTGCTCCGTTGCCCACACACGCCGTACCCCCTTCATGGCTCTCAATGTTCCACATGATATCCTTCATTCATCATCCCAGCTCCTAAGCTCCTCTCGTTCCATTCCTAATGACTTCGACCGTCTCAAGTAACGCTTGCCCTCAAGACCTAGCTCATGACAACCTTGCTCCTCTCATCAGCACACTAGGATGGATCGAAGCAGCATTGGCCATCAAGACCATCGTGGCTCGGTTTCTGGTCCAGAAATTCGTTGTCGGCAAGATTGAGTGGAACGATTGGATAATGCTCTTTGCTCTGGTCAGTGCCAACCCGAGTGATTCACGTTGCACTGACAGCAAAGCAGCTAGTTGCACTACTCAATACGACGTTCATCAACCTGTCGCTCTACTACGGTCTGGGAAAGCATTAGGTATGCCTCAACCCGGAAGACGGCATCATCGCCCTAAAGTGGGAATTTCTCGCTCAGCCTGCTGGTATCATGAGTCCGGCCTTCGCCAGAATTGCCTTCTGCATGTATATGCTCAAGTTTATCGGCACCAGCAAGCGTAAGCGAAACCTGTGCTACTTCATCATGGTGTCGCAGCTTGTTATCAACATTGGGACCATGATAGAAGTGCTCATTTCATGTGAGCATCTTGCTCAGCTCTGGGACTTCAGACTGCAAGGCCGCTGCTGGAGTCCAAAGGTTCAGGCCTATCTCGGCTTCTTTCAAGGAGGTCAGTGGCGCTCAAGATGCTGCCAAACCGTCCTGCTGATCCCCCATAGCTTGGAACTCGACCTCTGACTTGGTTCTTACCATCCTTCCGGTAATGATCATCAGAAATCTCAACATGGAATTGCGGACTCGAATCGCTTTATGCGTTGTCCTTGGCCTAAGTGTCCTGGCCATGATTGCATGCATTGTCAAGACGGTTGAGCTGAGATCTCTGGGTGACCGCGTTGATTTCACGTACAACACAGCCAATTTTGTCATCTGGTTCACTATTGAGGAATACATCGTCATCATCGCTGCTTCGATCCCAACGATACGACCACTTGCATTGAGATTGTCGCAGAAGTGGAAGAATCGTACGCCAAATGGCTCTGCGGACCATGGCCACCGGCGTGCCAGGCCTTCGAGCATTCCAGTTCAGGTGGATCAAGATCACTCGAATGACCTATCCTGGAGCAGCGCCTCTCCGGAAATCGTAAGGCTCAACACACCCTCACCAGATGACAGCGCAGGGAAATTGGAGGTTGAGAGCCCGTATGTGCACCCATCTCCAAAAAGTCCGCCGCCACCCAATACCATCCGCAAGACCATTTCCGTCGTCATCAATTCGGAAAGCATGGATGAGGACCTACAGAAAGTGCGCGGAGTGTCAACGATTGTCTCTGCAGGTCCGGTCACACCTGAGCCGCAATCAGCCGCGCCATACAACTCCTGGCCTTTTCCAGGCGAAGAAGAGGAAAGCAAGAGCAAATAATTCTCAGTCATAATGCCGTACATCCGCCTAGCCCTAATCATAATCAAGCTCATCTTTCACTCCAACGCTACAGTTCCTGCTTCTCTATTCCATTGACCACCCTCTGCACATCCTCCTTACGTGCGTCCGTGCCCATCCCCCGAACTGGCATCACACCCTTCTGCAGCGGCAACATGCTCCTCGCCCGTTCGCGTCCGTACTGGCCCAGCGCCGCATCCATGACCACCAACGCCGCCATCGCCTCCACGATAGGCACCGCACGCGGCACCACGCACGGGTCATGCCGCCCTTTAGCCTCCAGCACACCCTCCTCACCATCAAAGCGAGTCGTGTGCTGCGCCTGCCCAATCGTCGCAGGCGGCTTGAACGCCACGCGGAAATAGATATCCGCCCCATTCGAAATCCCGCCCTGCACACCGCCAGAGTTGTTGGTCGCCGTCACGAGCCGAGTCGGATCCGCCGGGTCGCGCACAAAGGGATCATTGTGCGTCGAGCCGGGGATCTGCGTGCCGTCGAAGCCGGAACCGATCTCGAAGCCTTTGGTGGCGGGGATGGAGAGCATGGCGTGCGCGAGCGTGGCTTCCAGCTTGTCGAAGCAGGGCTCCCCCAAGCCGACGGGCGCGTTGCGGATCACGCACGTGACGGTGCCACCGATGCTGTCGTGGGCGTCGCGGTACTGCTCGATGACGCGGGTCATGCGCTGCGAGGCGGAAGCCGAGGGGGCGCGCACGGGGATGAAGGCGTCGACGTCGGCGCGCGTGATGGTCGAGATGAGCTTGAGGAAGTCGGGCTGCGTGCTGGGCGAGGGGTGCGAGGCCGTGGGTGGGAAGAGGTGTTCGGGCCCGACCGAGGAGACGAAGGCGACGATGGACGTGTTGTGCGCGACGGAGAGGTATTTTTCCGCGATGGCGCCAGCGGCGACACGGCCTGTGGGGGCCGTAGAGTCAGTAGGTGTGTGTGACTGGGAAGGGAGGAGAGCAGGTCGTTTGTCTAGAGTGACAGGGGCCGAAGCCATGGGACTCACCGATTGTTTCTCTCGCTGACGACCGTCCACCACCACTGCTCGCCTTGACGCCGTACTTCTCCAGATACGTAAAGTCCGCATGACTAGGCCGTGGGTACAAATCCATCGTGCTCCCACCGTAGTCCTTCGGCCGCTGATCCTCATTACGCACGATCATGGCAATCGGCGTGCCCAGCGTGATTCCAAACTCTGTACCAGACTGGATCTCCACGCGGTCTTTCTCATCGCGCGGTGTCGTCAACGCAGATTGGCCGGGTCGCCGCCGCGTCATCTGCGGTTGGATGTCGGCTTCTGTGAGGGGGAGCCCAGGTGGCACGCCATCAACGATGCAGCCCACGGAGCGGCAGTGGGACTCGCCGTAAGTGGTGACGCGGAAGTTGGTGCCGAAGGTCGACATGATGGTGGTTGGTGGGAAGAAGGGGGAACGGTGGCTGAGAGCTGCGGTTACGAGCTCAGAGAGTTGATGGTCGTAGGTGATATGATGTGTATGGTATGAAATCTGGCGGTCTAATTTGGGTGGCTAAGGATTGTCCCGCCCGTTGGAATTGTGAGTCAATATCGAGGTGTACCGACTTCGCCTCGAGTTCGGATCGCTTGAGCAGGGCTCAAGAACATCAACAGATTACACGGAACCCTATTCGGGGCTTTAGTCTTACGAAGATGACCTTATGAACAGTTACGAGTTTGCAGCGAAGTCGGGATACTTTTTTTGAAGATCCCTGATGCGGTCTAGATCGAGCCAAGAGCCATGTCTTGGCATAAGAGGTCGAAGTCGTTTCTAAAACACTACAACGACCTCAGCCTAGACGATGATTTTCGGGGGGGAGGTGAAAATGCTAGGAGCAACATCATCAAGCTCTTAATGCGACTTCGTTGTCAAAACATGTCTTTCGTTGCGTCATAAGAACGTGCCCGTCGACAAATGCGTCGCCGCCTCCTCAATAGTCATCGCCACGGCTGATGACCTCCTTTACGGTGGGTCTCAGCAGAATGGTGTGCTCGAACTGAGCCGTGTAGCTGCCCTTGATATCAACCAACGGCGGATACGCCTCGACAATGCCGCTGCTGACCAAGTTGTTCAAGCCAAGCAAATACTTCTCCTGGCCCAGTCTGTCCAAATAACGTCTGCAGAAAGGGAGAGTGCCAAAGCTCTTCTTGATCACGCTCAGCAGATTTCTCGCCGAAGAAACACGCAGCGGAACGTTAGGGTGATCAGCACGTAGCGCATAGTGCGAGCACTCGAGATCATCTGTGACGTAGCCGCGGCCGGTAGATCCAAACGTCTCGATAGCAAAGACCTCACCCTCTTCCATTTTGGTTTGGTCATTGCTCTTCACTATGGGCACTGACTTGCCGCCATGGATGCTGTTTTGGACGATGTCATGGCCGTTGAGATTGCGGATGGCCTTAATAGGGTACGTCTTGCCATCGAGCTCGAGCTCGTAGGACTCCATGGTCTCTTGGATGGCGGCACCGATATCACCAACTCGAACGTCGATGCCAGCCTCTCGAATGCCAGTATTGGTGGCGTCCTTCACAGCGTTGAGTAGATTGTCGTATTTAGGGTCAAAAGCGATGGTGAATGCTGAGTCGACAATGTAGCCATTCAGATGAACGCCAAAGTCGACCTTCATGACATTATTTTCTTGCAGAATGGTCTTGTTGCCCGCATTGGGACTGTAATGTGCTGCAATGTGGTCCAAGTTCAGTCCAGTCGGGAAACCAACACCACCGACAATGTTGTCTCCCTCTTCAAGTCCCGGGTGGCCAGTCAGTGCACGTGTACCATCTTCAATGCCTTCGGCGATTTCTGTCAGGCTCATGCCAGGCTTGATGTTTGCCTTCGCCCACTGGCGCACTTGACGGTGGATCTCAGCGCTCTGACGGTAATCACTGAGCCACTCTGACTTGACACGATCTAGATGACGCTTCTCTTCGCTCGTGGTCCGGTAGGCATTGTCATTTTTGTATTCCACCTCTTCACCAGCAGGGTAGTTGCCGCTGGGAAACAATTGCGACAGCTTCACACGCGGTGGGTCTGACTGCTCCTTCGGGGCAGCCTTCTTCTTCTTGGGCTTTCTCTTCTTCTTTTTCTTCGCGGCAGTGGGTGCTCCGGCACCTTGAGCGGCGTCTTCGGCGTCTTCGCTGTCATCCTGATCGCTGAGGTTGCCATTTGTTTCTTTGGCTTTGCCACTTATCGAGGGGTTGTCGTCCTTGTCTTTGGCGCCATTCAAGGCGAGCTTGGACAGTTCGTCGGCCGTCTTCGCAGCCATGTTGACTTTGGCGGGGTGAACAGACAGAGGGAGAGCGACCTGCTCGTGAGATTGCAAAGCGCGCGGAGGAGACGGCGGCCTTGGCAGGAAAATGCTTCACCAACTGCACGTGACTTCATTCACTGCCTCACCTTTTGCTCAGGCTGACGTCTGAGAAAGGACTACACCAGCATGCACTAACGGGAGAATATTTGCATTCTCTTGCTTGGACACCAGTAAGAGAGGTGACAACAGTAATGGATAAGGAGGAGGTTTATCATTCTCTGAAAAATCTAGGTATAGGTATACCATCTTACATATACCAATCTCAATCTGGCAAACAAAGAACCTCAGTGCCCCTCCGGACACTTGCATGACCTCCACACCTTTTTGACGGAAGAGGATTTGCATTCTCTTGCTTAATAATGCACGTAAAGCATCACAACCGCTTCGCTTCTTCCCAGTCCGACAGCGCCTGTTCGGCTCCGCGCTTCCCGCTCCTTAACGCCCCCTCCATATATCCTCTCCAGTCATCCACAAACTCCGTTCCCACGAAGTACAAATCATTGCCCTTGCTCTTAACCGCCTCTCCATCTTCCCACATTCCTAGTATACCACTCGATGGTGGCACTGCGAAAGGACATCCCCAACCCGCCCACGGGTCTTCATGCCATTCTGATACCATTGCCCCCTGGAATTCTGCCTCAACTCTCTCTTTCTCAACTCCAAACAACCTACCCAGCTGTCCCAACAGCTCCTTCTTTCTCGCCTCTTCATTCAGCGCCAACCACCGCCGTCCTGGTCCGGCTGCGACGAAGCAGGTGAGCGCGTAGTTGTCATCCATGTCGACGCTGGTGTCTCGGCAGTGGTTGATGGGCCCACGGAAGCTCTGCACGAGGCCGCATGCCCCGACAGAGCGCCACCACGGCGATTCAAACAGACAGATGTACTTGACATATGTCCCGTAGCGAGCTGACTGGGTGAAAGACTGTTTCCAGGGGTGGAGAGGCGGCGTGAAGGTCATGGATTTGTAGGCCGGAGATGGAATGGTGAGGATTACTTTTTGCGCTGTGAAGGTATTCTTGGCTTCAGTGGTGACGGTGTACGCGCCTGAGCTATGTTGTGTGACTGATGTGACTGGGTGGTCGAGCTTCACAGTATCCAACGGCAAAAGTGCAGCCATGCCGGTGGCTATCGCGGATGTACCCTCACGGAGACGGAGATGTTGTGCACCTTCTTTCCCGTCGTAGCGGAGATTCACGATGCCGAGACCGCCTCGAGCGATCTCAAGGAAAGCGAGAGCCGAGATGTCACTGGGATCGTGACCCAAAGTACCGCGAGTCCAGAGTCGGGCGGTCTTGAGCGCGAGATCTCCGGCTCCCAGCGTCCGGCAGTACTGCTCGAATGTCAAGTCATCGAGCCGTTGGCGCTGTGGCTGCTTGAACGTGGCCGGGTCCAATGAGGCTGCCTCGACGCTATCGCGGAGCGCAACGGCGTTCTCAACGTCTTGTGCTTCGAACTGAATGCATTAGACATGTACCACTCAGGCGCTCCGATGTTTTCAGAACATACTCGAGGCATCTCCCCAAACGGAAACAGATGGCAATTCCCCTCCTCATCTTCGCATGCAACGGAGCCATTGATGTTCTGCACAACGGACGTTAAGCCAAACTGCTGACAATAACTCCATACAAGTGATTGGTTGGTGTCATTAACCCATGCAGCACCCAGCTCCTGGACACCTTTGCCATCTGGCCGTTGCACAGAGCGTGTCTTACCTCCGACGCGATCGCGAGCCTCGAGTACGAGAAACGACCGACCTGCTTTTTGTAGGTCCAGTGCAGCTTGCAGACCGCTCAGGCCCGCGCCGACGACAATGGCATCAACCTCTGGCATATTGTGGAAGGCTAGAGTGCTCGTTGTAATCAAGACTTACGGTTCATCACCAGCGCAGGATGACCAAAACAATATAACTGCGGATCCGTGCGAGGGCGTTACTTGACAACGGTACAATGATGCTCAATCCATAGCAGGCATGCAAGTCTGAAATACACGTCCTTCTCAAGACAAGAGGATGGAGATGTCCGTGAGAATATCATCGACGACCTTTGGGCATCGGACCGACCTGCCGCGGCTGGCGAAAGTCAACAGGCACGTGGAATTCGCCGCGCTGCAGCAATGTCTCCAACGGTGTTGCTAAATCTCCTGTCAGAGACAGCAAAGTCGCGGGAGTTGAGCCGGGGCTCTCCGTCTTTGTTCGTAAGCATTGAGAAGGGCTGCAAGGGTTCGTCAAGTACCAACAAGCATCTTTGGGGGCGGAAGGTGCAATTCCGCACTTCGATGGCGCTTTGGGTTTGCTGATTTATTGCTGTTGTATGACCGGATCAAGTCTTCCGCTGCCTGATTATTTGAACCTCGCGCCGGTAACGACTCAAGTGGCGTCCATCTCTTTCTCAGCCATCGTACATTGTAACAATCCATGGCCGACCCATCAGCATACACGTATCCCTCTCCACTCGCTGGCTACGAGTCGGCCGGTCCGCTCCCGTCAGATCTTAATGAAGACGGCAAGTCGTTCCGCAATCCAGCAGCGGAGCGGAGCAAAGCATATTCACAGTTCACTTCCGGCATCACCAACGGTACTAGTGGAGGGTTCGATGTGCACATCTATTACTTCCAGGCCAATGACGTGCAAACCAAGTTCGCTCAGGAGCTGTGGCAGAGAGTTCGCTATGAGTTCCCTGAGCTACGGATCTATAAATTCTGGGACAAGCCTGTTGGGCCGCATCCATATGCCATGTTTGAAGTCAACTTATTCACACCGGAGCAGTTTGGTGCCTTTATACCGTGGCTTGTGATCAACCGCGGCCCGCTCAGTGTGCTGCTACACCCGAACTCTGAGGATGGGGATGTAATCAGGGATCATACACAGGTGAGTGTTGGCAGGTGCAGGCCAGTGCCTCTCTCTTTCTATCTCAATGCCCATCATGCTGACCAGATGCTTGCAATAGAGGGCAACGTGGTTAGGTGACAAGGTCCCGCTAGATATTGGTCTGCTGAGGATGTTCGAGGAAAGGCAGAAAGTTAAGAGGCAGGAAGAGGCAGCAAAAGCTCCGTGATTGGGGAGGAATGAAACGGGCGAGTAACTGTTGGGGATAGCCTCGTTTGACGTGGTCCCTATATGCTCGATTGTCTGGAAAATAAAATGAGCAGAGCACTTGCTTCATCCTTACGACATAACGAGTGACGGTGGCCTGCTTGCTGCCTAATGGACGAGACTTGAAGGCAGTGGCAGGAGCAAACAAGGCCATGCGACTTACTTCTGCCTCACCTTTGGCTCACCTGCCCATAAATCATGACGTGTCTGCGTGCAATTTCTGGTTTCGATCAAACATCAACTTCGTACGATCGTTGCACAACATTTTGCTTCCTCAGATGAAGCTGTTCGGAAATGGTCTTTGGACATGGCCGAGGCTGATGTCGTCTAATGCTTGTGATAACCTCACACTTCCTAGGCTTCAGCGACGAAATTCTCTTGAAGCCTTGAGAAGCAGTGCCATTAGCGCGGAAGACCACGACGTGACTGACCTGATCCGCACTCCGCTCACACTTCACAGCGACCTTACCATGCCTAAGTTGAATCCCCCAGACCTCTTGAGCGATCAAGAGAACATCGATCCCGACGGTACCTTTCCACACACAGACTTCGATCGAGCCCAGCTCATCGCTGCCGACACCCATCGAGACTTTATTTTTGGCAGACGTGGTCAAGGAGAGGAAGATGATTCCGAAAACGCCTTTGACGATCCCAGTGCCACTCCTTTCGATATGTTGAGTCAGAACTCGAATACCATCTCTGCACCGACTCCGTCCCAGGCCATGACATATCCGATTTCACCACTGATAGAAGTCGAGATTCCAAAGTTCGCTCCTGTGCCTGCTTCTGATGAGGACGCGGAATCGATTAACGAACCTGAGGAAGAACCCAACAAGAAGGCACAAAACCGGAAATTTCAGACGTCTTCGACAACAAGGAACAAGAAGCGAAAGGCAAGTGGCGTCGGCACCAAAGTCGATGAGACCCCCGATGCAGGACGACGCAGCGGCCTACGTGTAAGGACATCAGCCCAGAAAAATCCCTTCACGGCTGATAAGCTCAAGTATGAGATGACGAAGAGCCGTGGTCGCAACATTTCTAAGGCCGAAGTTGAGAAGCACATGAAGCAAGCACAGGCACCTATGCTCATGCCTCCTGCCAAAAAGCCGAAAACAAATCATGCCGTTGCATATGAGACAGAGGATGAGTCTGAAGCAGTGTCCAGTCCGGTACCATCGGAAGCGATCGTGGTCAGCAACAAGTACATCTTACAGCAAACCACCCTTTGTATCGCTGTCGTTGACTGTGCCGGTACAATCGAGGCCCCTTTGGTCAATTTCGAAAGGCTGAATGACTTGATCAATTACATTGACGATCGCTGGGGGAGGCAAAAGGGCGGGCGTTACGCCTACATGAAATGCGAACGTCCATGGAAAGGAAAGGATCACGATCTTGTCATCCATAGAGGCTGGGATGAGCAATTCGACCAGTTGATCAAGTCGATACGTGAGGCACCAATCTGGAAGAAGAAGAGCTTGTCGCAGCGCAGACTGGACGTCGTGATCAAGGTCTCCCTCGTTGATGAGAGCATAAGCGACCCCTGAATATGTACGTCGACTCCACTCGGCTGGGCAAAACCATGCCCGTGGGTTTGATGCACCGAAGCACGTTGTGTCAACGGCGAATAGGGGAATTTTGCGTGGGATCGCTGTGGAAAGTCAAGGTATTCTGGAGGCCAAGGTACGCAAATAGGGAGACTCCGGAGCAGAGCTGGGCTCGAAAGAGAATAGCACGAGCGGCGGCAAAGTTTTAGCCTGGCCTCTACTCAGGCATGGCAGGGACTACTGCACGAAGTTCGAAACGATGAGATTCAGGGGCTGTCTTGCCAGCTTTTGTTCCAGTTGAGTCCGGAGCGCGTGAGCGCAACGGCTGATTTTCTCCTCGATAGCCTATGCACATATCTTTCTGTATCTTGTCGTCGGGCTTTTTGGAGCGATTGAGTTGTCAGCTGTGATCAGCCGCCGGACATTCTAAGTGATCTGCAATATTAATGCGGAGTGCGGCTTGACTGCCGTGGTTTGCGTGTCACTCAAGTCTCCCCCGGAACAGTCTACAAAGAGTAAACTACCGTCGGCGCAACCAAGCCATCATTCCATTTCCTGCACCCATCATCAAAGTCAACGCTTGAAGCGTTCTCACACCATCATTTCCATTGCTCGATATCCCGCTCTTTGTCGCCGCAGACGAGGATTCCTTTGTCGTTGTTGGCCGCGGATACGGATTACTGCAGACGCCTCGGTCTTGGTCGCGCAGCTTTGGTGACACCTCAAGGCTTTCACCATTGTCGCTTCCGCAACGAGCCTCTCATCACCCGCGTTTCTACCTTCCTTACCCGTGCGATCGTCTCCTTACTGGAAAGCGCGAACGAGCAGCCGCCGCAGAGATCCTCCCTCGAATCTTCTCCGATTGCACGATGGCTTCACCTCCAGCCCCCAACGTCCAACGCAACGAGTCTCGTAGCTCGAGTCTCAGCTCAAGACTCTTCCGCACCAAGAGCGGCGAAGCTTTGGGTAGCGGTCGTTTGCGCAAAGGTCGGCAAGAATCACAACCGCAGGTCCAGTCTCCAGTCACTCCTCCTAAGCTCCCAGAATATAGCATACAGCCTCAGCTTGGCATCAGTCCCAGGATGACATCGAAAGAGTACACGAATGGCAATTCCTCCACCCCGCCCGTACCGCCGATCCCAGCGCAGGTGCCTGACAAGAAGGAGTTCGTTGATCCATATGCGAGGACGGAGAGCATGACCCATAGTGAGTTGCTTCTCTCGGTTCGCTAGTACTTGCTGACATAGCATTCAGGAGGGCGATACAGCTATGCTCCTAGCACCGTCAGCACTCTGAACAGCCCACGGAGAGTATGTCTTTACCTGCACCCTCCATATCATAAGCCACGACTGACAGGTGCTATAGGTTCGCAGACGCAAGGATCCGACTCCGTTCAACGTCCTCGTAATCGGGGCGCGCAGCTCGGGGAAGACGTCCTTCATCAACTTCTTGAAGCAATCACTCGCCCTGCCGCCCAAGAAGCAGTCCCAGCCACGGAGCTCCGATTTAGATCCTCCACCTCCACCGTCGTCGCGCAATAACCGCGACTTCACCCATTCGTACCAAGAAATCGAAGTTGATCACGAGAGATTGGGATTGACTCTGTGGGATTCTCAAGGACTTGATAAGGGCGTGGTCGACTTGCAGATGCGAGAACTGACAAATTTTGTGGAGAGCAAGTTCGACGACACATTCCTCGAGGAAGTCAAAGTGGTCCGTTCGCATGGCGCCCTCGACACCCACATCCACTGCGTCTTCTTCATTCTTGACCCCGCAAGGCTTAACCAGAATCTCAAGGCTGCGCAGCAAAGCAACGCCAACGGCGCTGCGAGCCGTATTGGCAAGACGTCGAGAATTATTGGTGCGTTGGACGAAGATTTTGATCTTCAGGTCATCAGAACTCTGCAGGAGAAGACGGTAGTAGTGCCAGTCATCAGCAAGGCCGATACCGTCACCACGAAGCACATGGCCTTTTTGAAGAAGAAGGTCTGGGAGAGTCTGAAGCGAGCTGGTCTCGACCCTTTGGAAGCCCTGAACTTTGACAGTGATGACTCTGACCTCATTGAGGAGGAAGACGAGGAGACGGCCGAGAAAAGCAGCGACGATGGCAGTGATCCGGCCTCTCCGGGATCTGCACACACTGAGGATTCCGATACTGTCCCTTCAAAATCAGCGCCCAACAAGCGTCCCGGAATGCACAAGCGAGAGCCATCGAATCTGTCCATATCGAACTCCATGATGGACAGCGGCTACGTCCCTCTCTCGATTTTGAGCCCTGACGAGTACTCACTCGAGTCTGGAGAAGGGCCCCTGGGTCGACAATTCCCGTGGGGTTTCGCTGATCCATTCAATGCTGATCACTGTGATTTTGTCAAACTCAAGGATGCTGTCTTCAGCGAGTGGCGCTCGGAGCTTCGTGAGGCGAGTAGAGAACGATTCTACGAAGCCTGGAGAACGAACCGGTTGAATCTCCGTGGGCAAGGTGGCAAGACGAGTGCGGCTCCACGAAGATCAGCCGGTGGGATCCCGATTCCACTATCTGGGAATCGGGTATGACTGGTCGCTGGCTTCGTGACCAGTTCCACCATCGACTGTGTGTATCGAGCGAATTGTATACCTCAGTCGGCGGTTGCAACAACACCAATGATGCGAACGTACCTCTTGTCCGAGCACTGCACTTGGGCCGCTGAAATGGCAGGGCACACTGCACACCGACACATCTGGTCAGTTCTGACCAACCTTTTACATGAGTCACGAACGATGTCGACGCCCATTGTCTTCTTCGCCCTGGTTTGGCTTCTTTCTCATAGTTTTCTCGTTCAGCTTTAGCAAGCCTTGATGAGCGAGTTTGTCTTTCCTTGAGTACGTTCAGCATGGAGTAGAGAAAGTTATCTGAGGACATTTGTTGGTTTGAGCAACAAGCAGCAAATGTCCATAAAAGGGACAAGTTGTCGGGAAATTGCATATGGTTGCTTCAAGAGCAATAGATGATCACCATGGGTGAGCAGAGTAGCAGACATTGTATGATGGCAACAGAGTGTTTTAGCAAATTTTCGACAGTGCATGATTACAATATCCTCGCACCGATACAATAAGTGCGTGTTGTACTGCAAGGGGTTCCGGATATGTGCTTTTCAAATCTGCGCTCCGGCAGCCACACTGAACTAAGGACCGCGAACTTCGGGACGCAAGGGCACGATATCGGCGAAAACGAGCTGTCAGTTCCATTCTGACTACACGTCCTCCTCCATCCTCACTATGATCCGTCCCTTCGATTGACACCGGACCTCGTGCGGTTGTCCGGCCGGCCAATGCCACATGTTGTGCGGTCGGTCCTTTGGCCGGAGGTGAGACATGGTGGTTCTTTGCTCCTTGCGCTGGATGCGAACGGTGGATGGGACGGCATGACGCCCCATGCTCTGCAACACGACTATAACAATGGCCGGGGCTATAACATCTGGAGCGCTGCGAGTCGACCGTGACCAGACGCTCCCTATCTCGATCTGTCCGCACCACTGGTTCCGGTTTTGTGTCGTTCGTTTTCTCGTTCCGAGTTCCGAGTTCTTTGCAATCATGGGTATTATCAAAGGTCTGCTTGGCACGACTCTTATGTCAACTCTCTCGTTCCTGGACCAGACGGTCACTAATGGTGCAAGCTTGCTCGGCACACTTGGAGCTCCAAAGCTGCCTAAATACTTATCATCTGAAAGCAATGGAGATGTTCCTTGGGGACAGTGCACGACCAGGAACACCAACCCGTACGGCAACAGTCCCAATACTGGTGTGGTCAGGAAATATCAATTCACGGTTGCGAGAGAGACACTGGCCCCAGATGGCTTTGAGAGGCCGATGATCGTGGTCAACGGACAGTACCCAGGCCCAACGATCGAGGCGAATTGGGGGGACATTATCGAAGTGACAGTCAACAATGAGATCCACGGACCGGAAGAGGGTACGGCAATTCACCTCCATGGGTTTCTACAGCACGAGACGCCGTGGATGGATGGGGCGCCAGGCTTCTCGCAGTGTCCCATCGCTCCGGGCAAGAGCTTCACTTATCGTACCAAGGCAGAGCTTTTCGGGACTTCGTGGTGGCACGCGCATTTCAGTGCCCAGTACGCGGACGGTGTGTTCGGTGCAATAGTCGTATATGGGCCTTGGGAGAAGGAGCACGATATTGATCTAGGACCGGTCATCATCAACGAGTTTCATCATACCAACTACGTCAGTATCGTCCAGAATATCACTGCGCCTCATCCGAGGCCGCCGCCTCCCTCGCCTATCAGCGACAGCAATCTCATCAACGGGAAGATGCAGTTTGATTGCGCGAGAGCGAGCAGGCATCGGAAGTGCTCGACGAACGCCGGTGTGTCCCAATTCCGCTTCCAGTCCGGCAAGAAGCACCGGCTGCGACTCATCAACGCTGGAGCAGATTCCAGCCAGCAGTTCTCGATTGATGGCCACACCATGACGGTAATTCAGAACGACTACGTCGCTGTGCAGCCTTACGACACCAAGATTGTCACCCTTGGAGTCGGTCAACGCACCGATGTCATCGTTACGGCAAATGGCAAACCCACAAGCAGTTATTGGATGAGAAGTAACATTACCTGTTTCGAAGCGCATCAGCCTCAGGCTCTGGGCATGATATACTATGAGTCCGTAGACACCGACCTGGCCCCGACTTCCAGCCCTTGGCCTAACTCAGGTCCCGGCTGTGCCAATGATGCTCTTGAGAAGACGGTGCCGGCCTATCCCATGGCGGTCCCTCAGCCGGAAAAGACGATTGCTCTCGACATGACAACGACGCCGGATGCCCGGGGCATTTGGAGGTGGTACGTGAACAACTCGACTTTCTACGGTAATCACTCCTCGCCTGTCCTGAATTTGGCCGCCTCTGGCGCTGCAGCTTCAGCCTACCAGCCAACCTGGAACGTCTACGATATGGAGACCGCTCGGAGTTACCGATTCATCAGCTACAATCGCACTCCAGGGCCTCACCCACTGCATCTACACGGACACAACATGTATGTTCTGGCCATCGGTGTAGGGAGTGCGTGGGACGGCAAGATCGTGAGGCCAGAGAACCCCGTCAGAAGGGATGTGGTCATGGTACCAGCGAATGGCTACGTTGTCTGGCAGGCAGATGCAGACAACCCGGGCGCGTGGGCGTTTCACTGCCATGTGCTGTGGCATGCTGCCACAGGGTTTGGCATTGATATCGTCGAAGGCAAGGACGCATTGCGGGAGATGAAGATGCCGCCGGAGATGGACGGACTGTGTCGGGATTGGAAGGCGTACGTGGGCAGGGCAGGGGAAGAGCAGATCGATAGTGGCTTGTGAGTGAATGGGACGGGGGAAAGGATGGCGAGGACTTGAGCAGCTTTGACGGCATGTCGGAATAAGGAGCTTGTAATGACCAATGCTGGTAGCAAGCTTGCCCCGCTCTCTATCGCTGCGCTGATTGTAAAGACCGTCCGTAACGTCCAGGTTGTTGAGCTCAATAATCGAAGCACTCATCGACTTTGTCAGCAACGGAAAGAGAGTCCGCTCTGATGAAGCAAAACAATGGAGCTCGGCGGATGATAATTCTCCGCCGATGCCTAAGCCAGTCTGGCTGCACCGCGGACGCTTCCGTTGTTGACCCTCGGCCTTCGCTCTTGCGTTTCAACGGTCGTCCCAAAAAAAAACCTCGATGTCGATCGTGATGGAGCCGACCAAGTCTAGGCGAAATTGTCCCGAGGGGCTGCGTGATGCCATCAAACCATTGCATTGCCAGCCATCCGGTGCGTATGCCAGCGGCAGCGCACGGCGGCTCGCCACTCGGCCTCGATTTCTTCTCGCACGTGGCATCCACAAATGACAAACTCAGCCAACAGTGGCCCGTCTAGACTAGGGTCACGCCTCATGAGAACTTCACCTGCGAATACTCGACTCGCTTGCTCTTAACCCGTAGTCACGTCCATCAACACGGGAAGATCCTCACACAACACTTTGCCAGCCATGGCCCCCTCAGACGTCGACGACAGCCCTGTGAGCTCCACGCCACCTGATTTCCTCGACGAGAAGGAGGTAACGCTTGACGACAGTGGTGACGAACCAGGCCACCTCGCCAGAGAACGGTCGGTAGCCGAGCAGCTGCCTCTGGGCCACGAAATCCTCTTCGTTGCTGTTGTCATTCTCGCCCAGTTCACCACACAGGCCGGCCTGGGGCAGGCGCTTGCCCTCCTCAACATTATCGGCGATGACTTTGGCATCACAGATCCCGCCGAGCTGGCGTGGCTCGTGGCCGGCTATTCACTCACGGTGGGAAGCTTCATTCTGATCTCTGGCCGGTTTGGCGACATGTTCGGTTGGAAGAGGATGTTCGTCATTGGCTTTGCATGGTTCAGTCTGTGGTCCATGATCGCGGGCCTGGCCGTGTACTCGAACCACGTCCTCTTCATCTTCGCCAGGGTGATGCAGGGAATCGGCCCAGCCATCACCTTACCCAACGGTTTGGCGCTGTTGGGTGCGACCTACGCCCCTGGCCCGCGCAAAGACATGGTGAGTACTTCCCCAATGTCCCCAAGATTTGGAACCATCTTGCATTTGGGGCCCGTGTCCGATCTTGATCTGACGTATCTAGGTCTTCGCTATCTTTGGTGCGACTGCGCCATCGGGAGCCATCGTTGGCAATGTCTTCGCTGGATTGTTTGCGCTCGCATGGTGGCCATGGACCTTCTGGTCGTTTTCCATCGCGCTGGCATTCATTGCCGCGGTCTCGGTCGTCGTCATTCCGGACCCACCCAAGAAGACCGAGGTTGCACGGATGTCGTTACACCAGAAGCTTGTCGCGCTTGATCTGGGTGGGGCCTTCACAGGTATCACTGCGTTGGTGCTCTTCAACTTCGCTTGGAACCAGGCACCCATTGTTGGGTGGTCGACACCTTACGTCTACATCTGCCTCATCATAGGGATCTTGTTTGCGGCGGTCTTCTTCTACCTGGAGCTGTGGGTGGTGTCGGAGCCACTCATCCCGTTTCATGCATTTTCTCCGGATGTCAGCTTCGTCCTGGGATGCATGGCCTGTGGCTGGGCAAGCTTCGGCATCTGGGTGTACTATCTCTGGGTCTTCCTGGAGCAGATGCGAGGATTGTCGCCTCTACAGGTCACGGCACAGATCTCACCTCTGGCCATCTCGGGATGCGTTGCCGCACTTCTGACGGGCTTCATGTTATCGAGGGTCCGGCCGGCAATCATTATGACGATTGCGCTGTTTTTCTTCTTGCTCGGCAATATCTTGGTCGGCACAGCTCCAGTCGATCAGATCTACTGGGCGCAAATCTTTGTCTGTACATTGGTCATACCTTTTGGTATGGACATGTCCTTCCCAGCTGCAACAGTCATGCTCAGCAACTCGGTCGAGAAGAAACATCAAGGCATCGCTGCGTCCTTGGTCAATACCGTGGTCAACTATTCTATTTCACTTGGACTAGGCTTTGCTGCAACTGTCGAGGTACACACCAATCACGGTGGTAAGACTCAGGCAGACGTTCTGCTAGGCTTGAGGCATGCTTATTACATGTCGTTCGGTTTGGCGGGCCTGGGCTTGGTTCTGAGTCTAGTCTACGTGGCAAAGGGTTTTCTGAGTGACTACAAATCGAAGAGGTGACGGCTACGGGGCTCTCAACGCAATCAAGAGCGTCCAAAGCTAGCTGGAAACTTGTCATAACACCAACGAGTGATGACCTATGGCATCAAACAAAGAAAGCGCCATTGTGAGCTGCTAAGGTCGAGTTGTCGTACACTTTGGGGACAAAGGTCGCCACAATGCTATTGACGAACAACAAAGCCTCGTCGACAAATTACCAAAGGCTTTGATCGAGTCCTTTGATGGACCTGGGCGTCTCGTTTGGTATATGACAGCAGGTGGCGTCGACTCACTTCCCACATCACCAAATCACTCCGAGTATTTTGCATCTCAACAGGGTAACAAGTTCGAGAAGTTCGCAGATTAAATACATCCAAAACCAACACCAGCATCAGTTATACACCTCCCATACCATGGGCAGTCCTGCGACTAGCTCCAGGAAGGCCAGGAAAAGGCCAGCCCCTCTACTGCTCCATCGGACGACTCTGAAGCAAGCACCCGAGAAGAAGAGTACGGGGTTCTCTCACCTGAGGTCAAACAAAATGCTCGGGTACCTCTCAGAGAAGTCCCGATGCTCTTCTACAACAGTATCAACAGCGCAAGTTCCATCACCACGACCATCTGTCGAGCCCCCATCACCTTCGAACCTGGTCAACCACGCGACTTTGCTCAGGCTTGCATCCTCATCCAACATCTCGAGCCCACGATGCCCGTTCCAGGACCCGTTCTGCACCTCGTGCAGGCCCAGCACCACCCAGCGACTCTCGCACGTGTCGACAAGCTTCATCCGCTCCAATGCTCCATCTCCCAAGTCGGCGACCTTCCGAGCTGCGTCACAGTTTGAGCCTTCTTCTGGCAAACGAGAGGCTCCCAATGCAGGTGCAGTGACTTCCCCACCGGCCTCGGATGTCACGTCTAGCGCGGCTTCCCCCGAACGTTCATCCGGACCCGGCCCCAACAGCGACCTGAGACGTCCAGGCTGGCCATACTGTCCATTCTGCGGCCTCGGTCACGATCCACGCGACGCGTGCTTCGCCTAGTCTCACGTGATCTACGTTGTATCAGATAGAGGAAGTTCAAGAAGCTTTAAGGGACTCACAGCCACGTCTTCATGCCATCAGGGACAGATAGATGACAGAAGCTTGCAAGTCTTTTAAAGCTGAACCAAACGAGAATGCATACACACGAGTCCCCAGAATCACAATCTTTTCCCTCCAATCGAATTGCGGTAGAAGTGTGATCTTGCCGCTTCACCTCGCTTCACCTCGTTGCAAGACCGCTCGCTGCCCACTTGACGCCCAGCCCCTATCTACCTGCCGCATTAGTATGGCACCATGTACGAATCGTAAAGCAACAGGCATGGCGTGCTTCAAATCATGTCTTCCAATTGATAGGGTATTTTATTTTAGAGCGTTACGTGAATTTTTTGGTCTTCTGTTGTCCTCTCCACTGTAACCGCATGGTGTGTATATATATATATATATATATATATCTTAGGTTTTCTTGGCTGGCTGGCTGGCAGGCATGAGGCTATGGTTTGCAACATCATCATCATCATCATCCGCTAGCTTCATGCCCTCCTGTTTTTTTCTTTCTTTGTTTGTTGGTTTCACACTCACACACGCAAACAACAACGGTCTCAAGATTCAGAGAATGGTGCATTTCATGCCACACAGCTTCCCATCCTCGTGCTTGTGATCGTCCTGATCGGCCTGTGCCGCCGGGGCAGTAGCACCGCCGGCACCACCACTCCGCGGTTGCTGCTGCTGCTGCTGCTGCCCCTTCTTCGTAGCGTTACCCCCGTCCGCCGTGGTCGCCGCCGCCGCCGGCGGCTGAGGCTTCTCTTTGTGCGCCTCCTTCGCGGCATCTCCGCCGGCCAGTCACGCAAAGTTGACTTTTGCGACGGTCTCGCAGAACTTGGCGCCCTGGATCTCGGCGAGCTCGAGCTCCTTGGCCGAGGGCTGACGCGAGCCGTCTCCCGCCGCGAAGGTGCCGGCGCCCCAGGCGCTGCCGCCGCGGGCCTCGTTGAGGTCGGTCAGGATGCCGAAGGCGTGGGCGTAGCCGAGGGGCACGTAGATCATGCCCTGGTGGGCCCAGGAGCTGAGGGCGGCGAGGGCGGTGGATTCCTGGCCGCCGCCCTGGCTGGCGGTGCTGACGAAGAGGCCAAAGTACTTGCCGGTCAGGGCGCCGGACATCCAGAGCTGGCCGAGCTGGTCGATGAAGGTCTTCCATTGCGCCGAGTAGTTGCCGTAGCGGGTGGGGACGCCGAAGAGGAAGGCGTCGTACTGCTTCATCACGTCGGGGGTGGCGAAGGGGATGGAGGTGTCTTGCGCGGGGGCGTGCATCTTGGCGGTCACTTCTGCGGGGAGGGTTTCCTTGATCCTGAGAGGTGGTTTGTTAGTGGCGGGCCTCTTTGAGGGAGGAAGTCGAGGTTCTGGGGATAGACATACTGGTAGATGTCGGCCTTGCCACCGGCAGACTCGATGCCCTTGGCCTCCTGCTTGGCCAGCGTGGCAACGTGGCCGTACATGGAGTAGTAGATGATAGCGACACGGGGAGCCATGGCTGCGGTGTGATTGATGAGCTGCTTTGTGTAGAAAGTCAAGGAGATGCGGGATATGCTGGCAATGGTAGGACGAAAGAGGTCAATTCGAGCTGGGGAACTCTACAAGTATTTATAGCGGGCCTGAGGGTCGATCCCGGTTGCAGAGCTTCTGGCAGCAAAGCTGACAGTAAACATCTTTGCATTTGCCCCTCCTCTCGTTCCTCGACCCCGTTGCCAAGGTGAGAAGGCGGGGCAGCAATGTGATTGGTCATGCAACATCATTGTCGCCGAACAAGAGGGCAATCGACAGGGGCAAAGCTGTCTTCTGTTCCGCGTTGCGTAAGGGTGACGATTGTGGTACGGTAGCTGTGGCAGGATGCATCCATCATTGGCGTCTCCAGGGTGAGACAGGGATCGCTTCTTCGCCTGGCTTATGAAATCTTCAGTCAGCCGCATTGGAGCCGTCAAAGCTCCGTGATGAGCCCCAGCATCTGATGCAGCCAATCAGCGACAGGCACCGCTTTTCCACGCAGACAGCGTTTTGTCAGCGTTGCTTGATGAGCACACTCGTCCAAAGAACACTGCCTCGGATGTTGTGGTTGCTCAGAATTGTCTAAGCATTGCTGTGCTAACTTCGCAGCCCACCAGCTAGGTGTAGGATTCGAACAAGTATCTGTGGATGATCATGTTCAACCGGTACCCACTGCGTTCTGTCCATGCATCAGACCGGACTTCTCTTCTCGACACGCTGCATACTGCACAGTCAGCTGAACGGTGGCTGCGTTTGTCTCCCGCTGCCTTACAGTGTACAGTGACCAAAGTTTTCGAGATGACTTCCTAATTCAGCATCCTCCCTTCATCACAGCGTCGAGAACTCTCGTAACGTGTAAGCAAGAGACAAACCCTCACTCCTCCAAATCTTCCAACATCATCAACTCCCACACCTTGCCTGCACTCTTGACCATGATCTCGGCCTTGACCCGGACCTTCTCTAGCACCTTGTCATCGTTGGTCACACCATCAACCTTCAACTTTTTCTTCTGCGCCAGCATGATTACCGGCATGATATCCTCGATGCGCGCTTCGGCAAGCATCCTGACCGACTTGAACCCATTCTCCCATAACAAGCGAGCCATCCGGCTCTTGACAAAGGCTACTTTGGCAAGATCCAAAAGATCAGCTCGTGCTCCCGCCCGAAGCCGGTCGCACATATGTTCTAGCACCGCTCCGAGCAGCGAGAAGCCAGATCCCATCCGCTCGCAGAACTTGATCATGCCTGCAGCAAATCCATGACACATTTGAGCTAGGTTTTGCACCTGACCTCGCGGTACATTGTATCGCAGCGAGATTTCGTGCACTGGAACCTCATTGCAGACATCTCGGAGCTGGAGAGATGCGTATGCTCGACGGTATATGCGAGCAATGTTGACTTCCTCGGGAGTGTTCTCTGGTAGTTGTGCACCCGAAACCGCCAAACGAATGACCTTGGATGGCGAAACGCCTACGAGTCCGAGCGCTCGTATATCCGATTCCGAGAGGCGGTCTAGATGTTTCTGAAAGGTTGGCCAGTCAATCTCGCTGGGTTGAGTAGGTGACGGGATCGGAGTAAACAGATACAGGGTGTGCATCTCGGACTCCATCACGAACGATGCCAATGCACGTTGCATTTCCGCGTGGACAAAGATGCCATCCTCGGGTGTAAGAGCCGATGACACGATTGCTGACCCAAGCGTGGTTGGCCGGAACGAATGCGAGGCCTCCTGGCATGGTTGGATCAGTTTGGTTGACACCAAATCGGACAGCGCTGTGTTAAGCATGCCCATCACCAGACCTTGGTCACACGTCTGCCATAGCAGTGAGGAGCGAAGGTAATCTTCAAGACTTTCCTTGCTGTTGGCCAAACGCGTGGCAATGACTTCGAGGACTGCTCGCTTGAGACCTCGTTTCTCTGGCGTCAAACAACTTGTTACTGGAGGCATCTCGGCTTCTAGCAACTCGGCTACAGCTTCGAGGTCGGTCTTAGCACAGCAGAGGTAGGTCTCACCAATCTCGTCTTTGCCTTTACGCCCAGCGCGGCCACGCATTTGCCTGAGCATGGCAGGCCCAACCAGATCTCGGCCCATTCTTGCTCCGTGAAGTATCACTCTCCGCGCTGGGAGATTGATGCCCGCAGCAAGACTGCATGTTGCCACCATGACCTTCAGGAGGCCTTTATCATATGCGTCTGCAACGGTGTCACGCTCCTCAACGGTCAGCCCAGCATGGTGGAAGCCCACCCCTGCAGGCACAGTCTGATTGAACGTGGCTTCGTAGCCATTCGGTAAGGTCTGCAGAGCGGCCATGATGTCTGATCGTTGCTCGCATGCATCAGTAGATAGCATGCTTAAGGGCATTGCTTGGGCAATGAGAGTTGCAACCCGCTCGACTCCCATTCTGCTACTACAAAACACAAGGGCACCATGTCCCTGGGAAGCTGTGTCGATGGCCAAAGCCACAACAGCATTAAGCAGAGGGTTTTCGAGCTCAGGATGCAGCGAATGGGAGATCTTGTGACAGGGTTCCGCAGGTTTCTGCGTGGATGCCGAATTACTGCCCGAAGATCGACCACTTAGCTGGCTCGCTGTCCGAAAGAAGTCTTTGGTGTTGGCGTTTCGGTAGATGGAATTCTCGTAGACTAAATGCTCCTCGATCGGGATGGGTCGGTATCGGGAGACGTAAAATTTCGCATGCAGCCACTCTGCTAATACCTCTGGATTTGACAAGGTAGCACTCATGCCGATGATTTGTATGCCGCTCTGCAGGGTGAGTAGTTTGGTTGCCATAAGCTCCATAATGTAGCCACGACCCTCGTCGTCCACCATGTGTAGCTCATCGAGGACAACGATGCCCAATTGATGAATACGCCCTTCCTCAATCGCCGAGTTGACAAGGGCGTTGGCCTTCTCTATTGTGCAAACGGCGATGTCAAAGTCAGGCCATGTGAGCTTGGCCCGACTGCCACCCAGAAAGCCCATCACTTGTATCGTTTTGCTCCTCTGTGCAAACCGGGAGCCGTCATCGTCATCCGCGTCGGAATGTCTCTCAACGTTGTCAACCAGAGCTCGAAGCCACTTCAGTTTCTCCTGGACCAAAGCTACGTACGGAAGCACGAGGATTGCCTTTTTGTCCGGTTCCGTGACCAATTTCTTTAGCATCAGAACATCCGCCACCAGCGACTTGCCCCCGCCAGTGGGAGCCGTATAGATCAGGTTTTGGGTGCCATCCAGGAGTCCTTTCCCCAGCAGACATGATGATTGCCATGGGTAGATTGCATTGACTCCAAGACGTTCAAAGTTGTCGACAAGAGCCGCAGGTAAGCCATAACGAGAATGGCGAAGACTTAGTAGTGGATTGGCCGCTGGGGACGGCGTTGACGTTGGTCGGAGCTGTAACGCAGGAGTGGGAACTATGGTTCCGTCATTGACGGTGGAATAGGAGATACGACTCGCGATAAGTTGGGCTGTTGGTTTGGTCCTGACATTCGCAGCTGGTCTGACCGCGGGGCTTGTGGCGAGAGGCGAGCGAGACTGCTGGTCGGGAACAAGATATTGTTGATAGCTACGTTTTGTGCCAGCTCCGCCGGTGGTTATCACAGGCTGCTCCCGTACAAGATCAACACTGGTCTGATGGCCATATTGTGCTACTGACTGCCAAGATGTGGCATGCATTGAGCATTAGACGCGTGCTGGATGCGTCACGACACGTGGACTGTTGTGGGAAGTATGCGGCATGTTGATCAACTCATATAATGACGCGTAGTAGACCGGTTGGCGAAAGTAGAGCAGCCGTGTATTTTGGCGAGGCAACCACGAGTGCAGCCTACAACATGTTGAGCGTGGTGGAAACATGCACCGAGGGTGGGCCGGGCAAAGCAGTAGCCCTAACCCTAATATGGGCATCAGCTTCATCCTTGATCAGGTTGCATGCTGCAAATAGTTCTCGGTTTCAGGTGCTTTCATCGAGGGGGAAACTCTACGGCGTAGCGATGGATCGAGAATCTTTGTACATGCGCCTGTGCGGGAAACGAACAACCTTGATCTTGGTCTTGAGGTCGGACCACCAGTGTTGTTCAACCAGGTCGCCCCTGCAAAGTCGAGCGATCCGGTAGCTGAGTTCATCCGCTGTAAAAATGCTGACAGTCGTAGTTAGAGTAATATAGCATGCTGTCTACCAGCTATCTGCCGGCCTTGTCGATGATGACAGAAACTGCGCCGATGACTCTGACCGTGGGGTGAAGAACTGTACATTGGTAGGGTTGTACGCACATGGTGATTGGCCGCCAGCCAAAAGGGGAGCCAGTCGGGGCTAAGACGAGATGCACAAAGTCTAACTGCAGGGTCACGTGGGCTCGCCACGTCAACCCTTAGCCGTGTACTAGTCGCTTCGTGCGCCGACTGCCAACGCAGAGAATATGATGAGAACAGAGAGGCCAAGTCTGGATTCAATCGAGTTCTGTACTGGCAGAGTAGACTGCTCTCGATAGGAACTACGTACCCGTGTATACGAAGTCGAGGACAATGAACAGTCGAGGAAGGGAAGGCTACTGATCAGAGTATTAGATGCCGTGTTCTGAGCGTTTGATCTGAGCTCGCAAGCTGACAATTCACCAATACGCTGTCCAGACATCAGAAGGCATATTTTCAAGCACCGTGCTGACTCTCCAGCGGGTATTTTCGTCGCACGAGCTTGCAGCAAGAGTGAAGCAAACGATCAATTATTATCATGAAAAGCCCACAAATTGTAGATGAGTCAACGTCTGTAATTGCTCTTGAATATTTCTTTCTGGTCCGAGTAGGCTGGTGTTGGTTGTCTGGACTCTGGAGGCGAGAGGTCAAAATTGGGGGCACGGAGCCGCGTCTCGCTCTGGCGCCAAGGCCGCATGGGGTAGGCTCGGGATTCCACTTCACCTGTGCATGCAGCATCTCAATTCATGGCGATCCGCTGATCGCCTTGAGAGGGGCCTGGTCTTACTGTGCAGCCTATGAAGATGATGACAATCCGTTGCTACACCCCAGGGTGAAGAGTGCTCTCGAGAACCTCAAGGCGAATCGCGGCTCTATCAATTAGCGATCGCATCGGTCCACTTCCCAGCGAACCGAGAAAAGGCGTGCGGGCAGCGGCCTCGGCCATGCTCGACAAGTCCTACCCAAGTTCAGTTGCTTGAGCATCATGATTCTACGCCGTTCCGAATTGGCCGCGCCCGCTCTCGCCAAGGTTTCGCTTGCTTCAGAAGCCTCGCTCTTCGCCCAAGACTCTGCTACCCGTACTCTACGCCGTGAATTGGGCCTTCCCTGCTGCTCGCTCTTCTTCCTGCTTGTCCTCGTCATCAACCCGACGTCCGATATCCCATCTACTTGTCATCTGCTATTGCATAGAATCAGGAGCTCTTTCTCTGCCTTCGTACGCGCACTATCCTTGCAAGCTGTGGAGAGGGCACATTACCCTTGGCCTTGTGGTGTGGTTTGGTGGTCCCCACTCATAGCCTCGCTCTGTGCTTCTTCCACCTACGGGCTCAACCTGATCCTCTCAGCCTGAGGCTTCTCAAGACAACTCAACTCGGCACTCTCCCGCTAGCGCCATTTGAGGTTACGGTAGCCTGGCCGCCCATCTGGTCTTGCCTTTGGCTTCTTTTCCCGGACCTCCAGTTCTCCTTCCTCTTTACCATCTGCTTCGCCGTCACCAGCTGCCGCTTCGTTTGCTTTTCGCCCCTACGGGCAATTTCGCGTCGCGCATCCATCCCTTCCAACGACGTGCGCCTTGTCAGACACATCTGCAGTGTCTTGCCCAGACATTCCTGACCAATTTACACGTCCCGCTCCCCCTCGGATCAGCGAATGTCTCGACGTTCGATCAGCCGCTGACTCGCGCCACCCTCACCCGTGCAATGCGGCACACTGCGTCGGCCATCTTTCTCAGCATACCGTCGCCATGTCTACGGCTGACGCAGATCCTATACACTCAGTAGATTCTGATGCTCCGCCGCCACTACCTCCAACGTCGCGGCCACTGGACTTGCTTCCGCCAAGGACAAACTCGCACCATGCCCAACCGGCGCCCACGCCCGACCCTGCAGGGCCCGAAGATCTGCCTCAGTCACAACCCATGACCACAACCCACTCAGCCTCTTCACAGAATCCCGACACTGACAATGTCGACATCAATGCTGCCGGCCCGTACGGCACCCGCTCCCGTAATCGTGGTCCGCGCATCAATTATGCCGATGACAAGGAGCTCGACATGGAAATCGAGGCCGCCGGCCGTATAGGCAAGGGCGCCTCAAGAAAGGCGGCCGCCGTCGCTGCAGCTTCAACACCCACCGGTAGTGGCACCAATGTCAGCAATGGGTTCTCGACAATCAATTCCGTCTCCATCCCTAATGGAGAACTTGCTGCCCAGAACAATACTGTAAACCCTAATCACGCGCCTGCGCCTGCTCCCTCTAAAAAGCGGAAACAGCCTGGAGGCTCTGCTACCGCAAGTGGTACCACCACGCCCTTCGCACCGGGTTCGCGCCATCAACCTGCACAGTCTGCGCATTATGTTGCGTCTAACATGATGAGCTTCACAAAAAGTGGCGGGCGACTCAATTCAAAGAAGCAGCTTGTCGCTGACGATGGAACTACACTTGAAGCTGATGGTGAGCTCCTCACAATCATACACCTTCACACAGTGCTAACCACTCACAGACCATACCTACCTTGTCTGTGAACCTCCGGGTGAAGCCTATTACCTTGCTCGAATCATGGAATTCCTCCATGTCAATAACGACCCGACTGCGCCGATCGATGCTGTACGAGTGAATTGGTACTATAGACCGAAAGACATTGGCCGAAGAGTACAAGAAACCAGACTGGTGTTTGCGTCTATGCATTCCGATACATGCCCGCTAGCCTCGCTGCGTGGCAAATGTCATATTGAGCACATCGCCAGTATCGACAGCCTGGAGACGTATCGCAAACAGAAAGACTGCTTCTGGTTTGACAAGCTCTACGATCGGTACATGCAACGATATTACGAAGTTGTTCCTACCAGCAGAGTTGTCAATGTTCCCCAGCGAGTCAAGGACGTCCTCGACGAACGATGGAAGTTTGTGTTGATCGAGGTTGGGCGCAGTCGGGATCTGACCAGCGCAAGCAAGAGATGTATTCGGTGTGAACAATTTGCTGCGAACCATGACTCAGTGGATTGCGCTGTATGCAAGAATACATACCATATGCGCTGCGTACGGCCCCCTCTACTCAAGAAACCCGCTCGTGGCTTTGCCTGGGCTTGTGCTGCTTGCAGTCGCAAGCAGGAGCTCAGACTGGAGGCGCGCAACACTCCTACGGCCTCCGAATCCGCCCAGACTCCGGACGATGAAGCTATGGATGAGGACGAGGACGATAACATCCGTCTTGCAGCGGATACGCGCGATAGTAGTGCCGCTCCTGAAGAACACCCTCCCCCCACAGCCGCGCAAATCGCTCAAGCCAACTTATGGCCATGGAGATACCTTGGCGTGCACTCGCGCGTCGAAGATGCCCTCGACTACGATGACCGGATCTACCCCCGAGCCAGCTCCCGATTGGGGCCCCGACACCAAGCAAACGTCAATGTCTGGCATGGCCGTCCTGTTCAACTAGTCAAGCCAGCCGAAATCAAGAAGAAATACCAGAAGCATACCACTTCCAAGAAGGACGGAAAACTTTCAAAGGACACTCTCGCGCAGATGGAAGCCGAGAAAGATTCGCGCCAGAAGCGTCCGAAATGGGTTCTCGACGAGCCTGTGGGCTATGTCGCCCGTGGTGAGGATGAAATGGTCGAAATTCGGGGCAAGAAAGAGTATACCGCCCAGCTTACCTTTAAAATGCCCGATCCGTCCAAGTTCACCGAGCGCGGTCTAGACGAGCCAGCGAAAGCTGTGGATGGTGAAAAGCTTGTGGACGATTACATTACGCAAGTGAAAAAACTCGCGGGTCAGTACGATATCGAGGAAACGTCTGTTGATCTTCTCACAAAAGCCGTCGAGAAGCTGCAAGCCAACGACTACGATGCAGAAAAAGCTCTTGCCGCGATGAGGTCACTCTCGAAACGTAGCGACCTCAAGCTGCCCGATCTGAATCGAGAAGAGGTCAAACGCTTCGAAGAAGGCGTGCAGAAATATGGCAGTGAGCTTCACCTGGTTGCTCGGCACGTCGGCACTGTCAAAGAATCGCGTGTCGTTCGCTTTTACTATATGTGGAAAAAGTCTGAGCGAGGGCGACAGATTTGGGGCAACTACGAGGGCCGTCGGTCCAAAAAGGAATCACGCAGGGCCGACAAGTCTGATGGCAAAATTGACGATGTTGCAGATGATGCAGACGACTCAGCGTACGACAACGACAAGGCTGCTGCTAAGAAACGAGGCTTCGAATGCAAGTTTTGCATGACTCGCCAGTCGAGGATTTGGCGTCGAGCCCCTGGAACCTCTCCGGGGACATTAGTGCCTGGCGATTCGGCTGCAAAAAATTCCAAAGATAAAAGTGGCTGGCTGGTTCTCGCTCTTTGCGGAAAATGTGCGTACCTCTGGCGAAGATACGCCATCCAGTACGAGAACATCGAGGAGATCTCCAGAAAAATAGCAGCTGCTGGTGGACGCGCTGCGAAGCGAAAGATCGACGAAGAGCTACTCCAGATCCACTACGAGGCGCATTTCGAAGCCGGAGATCCTATTTCATTGCACACGGCCAACGAAGTTCACAAGGCCGGCGTCGAGGTACCTCAGAATCTCGTACAACACGAGGAGCCTCCCAAGAAGAAGGCCAAGGCCGACAAAGATGTTTCAGCTGCTGCTACGCCAGAGATCATTCCAGAGAAGAAAAAGCCCGCCGAGAAGATTCCTGAAGCCCCTCTCGAGCCCGAGGCCCCCAGAGTGAAGATTCACCCGTGTGCTGTGTGTCATGTCATCGAGGTACCAGGACAACGACTGCTCAAGTGTCGTGATTGCCGATTGCACGTCCATGGCGCTTGCTATGGTGTAGCTCCGAACGTGAGCACTGTACCTTGGTTTTGTGATATGTGCCGGAACGACCACAATCTGCAGGTTTCTACGATCTATGAGTGTCTGCTATGCCCTGTCACCCACACCCCTCAAGAGCTCATGGAGCCACTGAAGGTGTCCCACAAGAAGAAGACCGATCGCGAGCGCGAGAAGGAGCGAATGGAGAAAGAGATGGTCCAAGAAGCCAGCAGAAGATGGCGACAGGAGCAAGAATCTGCAGGTCGTCCCGTGAATCCCAGAGAGGCGCTCAAACGCACTGCTTGGAACAATTGGGTTCACATAGTTTGCGCACTGTGGACGCCAGAGATGAAGTTTGCTGATGCCGATTTACTGGACGCTGCTGAGGGCGTAGGCTTTATCCCACCGGAAAGTTACGAAAATGTCTGCAAGGTCTGCAAGACTGCCGGCACGAAACCAACGCACCAGTGCCACCTGCCTGGCTGTACTGCTACCTTTCACATCGGCTGCGCTCACCAGTCCGGCTACATTTTCGGATTCGATGTCACCCCAGTCAAGAGCAGCCGCCGCGATGCCGTGAGTCTCATCAAATTCGCGAGCGAAACTGGTGTTGCTGTTCCAGGCATTTGGTGTCCGAATCATGCACCACCAACTTATGTTCACAGCATGGTTGAGCTGACCGAGGGTGATGTCACTGCTCTGCAGGTTTATGCGCGGGCTTACAAGCAGGCGGACAATTCAATCACTGGCACTGTCCGAAGAGCCAAACAATTCGCCGCCAATGCGCCAATACCAGCTTCGGCTGTCCAGCAACCGCAACGTCAGGCTACAATCACTAACGGTGTGGCTTCGGGCTCTGGCCAACCCGACAGATCGATTCCTCGTGCTCGGACATCCCGATCTCTCTCGCCGACGGCTGCAGAAGATGGAATGGAGTTGGAGGCCGGTGACGCTGCTGAGCAAAAAGGCTCGGTCAACAAACTTTCTACCCGCAAAGAGTGCTGTACTTGCCGCATCAAGGCCACTCCAAAGTGGTGGCCTGTTCGTTTGGATTCGGCACAGGACGAAAGATCTTCGTCACCCACCCGTGACGCCGAGGATCGTTACAGACTCAACGGTATCGATACCACCTCACACAGGGACGACACGTTCATGACCAACGGCATAGTGAAAAAGGAACCGCGCGATCAGTCTGGCATCAGCGGGGCGCTCCCAGCAGATCGGACCATGTGGCAATGCCACAGATGTCATGTCAGAAAGATTGCTCCGCCATCGTCCCCTTCTCAGGTTCGGCGATCCGAGCCTACCCCGTCGGAGCCCGTTCAAGAACCTCCCGCTCCCGAGCCGCAGCCGTACGTCCAGCCGCCGGGCTACAATTACACGCCACGGCCGCCCCCAGCCGACGCTGCTCCTCCTCCGCACTCGCATCCTCCAGGCCCTCCAGCTGTAGCCCAACATGCACCGTGGCCCCCGACTCCAACGCAGTGGGGTGATCCAATTCTGAGAAACAACCCACCTCCTCCCTCTGTTGTGTATGGACCAGCTCCGCCGCGAAGCGATGGACAGCAGCCATCGAGTCTTTGGGGAGGTCATCGGGATGGGCCGTACGGAGTGCCTCCGCCGCCGCCGCCGCCTTCATCGAGTGGTCCTCCGCAACATTCGCCGCCTCCGGCAGGCCCATACAGTTTTCCACACCAACACGGCTCACCCGCTCATGGTGGTCCACCCCCTCCGATGCCTGCCTTGGCTCGCCCGCGATCACCACCTAGAGCTAGCTACGATTACTCTCGAACGGGCCTTGGCATTGGTGGGCCTAGTCACTTAGGAAGACCATTCCCCGAGCATTCGCCATCTCACGTCAATGGGTACGGTTCATCTCAAGGATCATGGGGCCCAGCCCCGCCTCAACCAGGTCTTGCGCCTCCTCCGCGCCCTCCTTCGATACATGGCCAGCCCCTCACTCAGATGGCGCAGGCAGCCGAGCAGATCAATAGCTCGCAGCATATGCGCAGCATGAGTAACGAAGGGGCCACGCGGCTAGGACAACCTGTCAACCCAGTGGGTGGGTTTCCTAGCCCGCATATGATGGGTGGTGCGCAGCCGCGACCTATCACACCAGCTGATGCAAGAGCGGAGGAGATGCGAGCAGAACGGGATCGCCCAGGTGCAAGTGCGAGCCCCAGTGTAAGGAACCTACTCAGCTAGTGGCCGGAGGAGACCCTTTCCCGCTCATTCCAGGTGAGGTTACCTGCATCATGGTCGACTTCTGCTAGCATGGATGAGTCTAGAAGGGAGATTCCACCGCTGAGGCACTCTGTCCATGCGAGCTCTGCAATGCGAGCTCAGTACGGGTCTCGGCCTGAAACGTCGGAAGAGGAAGAGGACCAACAGCAAAATCAGCAGCAACCGAGACGCTCGCAAAGAAATCGCAACAAGAGCTAGGTTGTGGTCTATCGAGAAGGGTGGGACGGTTGGTGGCGGTGCTAATTGCAGCACTGGTGGAGATATGGATACAGGCCTTTTTACGACGACGAACATGATGATAGAGACAAGGGCGACAAGTAGCTTCGTCGCCATGCTAGAGCTGGGCGTGTGAGAGAGACTTCGGTCGGCTTCAAACTAACGTGTACTTTATTATTATTATTACCATCCAATTGCAGCCCGTTCTTCATGATTCGAGAGAGGGTTGGGTTTCCCCGTTGCTTTTCTTGCACGTCGTGCGCATTTATACATTTCCTGCTCATCGGGAAGAGGCAGGTTCAAAAACTCCAGCATCATGCTCATCCAGGTCTATTTAGGGTAAGACTGTCTGTACAGACAGTGATCAGGGAACTTGGGTCGCTCGACACTCACTCTGCTTCGTTGATACCGTGTTCGTGTTCGTGGCTTGTCTCGAAATGTGTCCCGTGCGTACTGATATCAGTATTATCGCAAAGAATGAGCTCGAGCAAGCGGGAAAGGAAAGACCGAGCTCCTCATTGCCATGTGACACACCATGCTTTGACTTGCTTGTTACCATCCTGTGCTGTGTGCTGTGTGCTTTGTCGCGTGAGGGTCGAGGGTCGAGGGTTGAGGGCAGAGGCCGGCTAGAGGGACGTATGTGTTCTGTACGTTCTACAGCAGAAAGAAAGTCGGAGAATGGTACTCCGTCGAAAAGAAAGATGGAAGAGCAGCGGGAGTCAAGCGGTTGATCTGGGGATGTTTCGTTTCTCCCAGGAGTTTTGGGCGGATGTTTTTGCCCACCAGGACTCGCTTCGTGCTGATACGCTTACTTGTGCTAGCCAGTCATGACTATGCTGGCCTTGTCTGATATTTTTGAAGCAGTGATGGTCGTCACCGTCGGTAATGCTGTACGACTCGACCTCCCAGTACAGCGTTTACTCATCCTCGTCATCAATGACCCTCCGCTTCTTCCTTATCTGACTGGGACTGCCCCGCCCGCCGTCGCCATCGGCGATCTCGCCCTCCTCATCATCGTCGTCCGCGGCGCGCTTCGGCGTCTGCTCTCGTTCCCTCCGCGACTGTGACGGTGCCGCAGCCACCTCCTCGTCCACCTCGCCTTCGGCATCCTCGTCCTCGTCTTCTTCGGGGAGCTCTTCATCGTCCTCATATGTCTCAGGTTCCTCCTCGGAATCCGCGAGAAAGCCATCCTCCATGTCGTACTCGTCTTCTCTGGTGCGACCGCGCGGCATACTCTCGTCCTCGTTGTCGGAGTAGATGATGCCGTGACGGTTAGTCTTCGGCCGCCGCTTGTCGCCCTTTCGTTTCGAGCCCCGTGCAGATGGCATACCCTCATCATCTTCCAACCCAGCAACAGAGAGTCCACCCCGGCCGCTGCCGCCCAGCCCAGAACGCCCTAGAACGCCGTCGCGGCGAGCAGCTGTCCTCTGGCGCGCGTTTTCGAGGCGACGATCGGCTTTGAGTTGGTCTTTCTCGGCCTTCTCCGCCATAGCACGCTGATAATCAGGGTCTTGCTTGAGTTTGGACATAGTGGCCAGAGGGTCTCCAAGGTCTGCGGCGCGGAAGAGCGCATCTTTGAGTTTAGACACCGATTCATCAGCCAGGTCGCCAGAAGGTTGAATGCGAAGGGCAGCGTCTATTGGCCGAGTGATTTGCGAATCCAAGCCTGAGGTGTTGTGAGGGGCCGCCAGGTAGTTATGAGTATCACGATTGGGATCGTAGGGCACCGGGGGTTTGCGAACGGTGTTCGTCTTGATATCATAGTTCTGACGAAGAGCATTGGTAGAGATACGGTATTGCTGAGTTGGCTTGGACGCAAGCTGTAGCGAGAGGCTGCCATCGGACCACCGAATGATGCGCGCGTTGGACTGCAGAATGTCGCTGTTCTGGGGATTTGGATCGCGACGCCAGTGTATTGTCGAAGCAGCGGTGGAGAAGGCAGAAAATTTATCAGTAGACTTCATTGACGAGGCATCATGAGGTTTGGTAGGAGCCTCATAGGTTGGGTAGTGGAAATTCCGCTGATTCAAGCCTAGGAAAGGGGGCATATTGAGAGCGTAGAGCTCATCACCCTCGGGCATTCGGATGCGCGCAATGTCGACATCGCACATGACAGTTTCGCGCTGCTCTTCCTCCACGCCATAGTCCTCAACGGTATCCGCAACGCGGTCTGCGCGGTCCGCGCGGCCCTCATCGTCGCCGGAATCCAGCTCTTTGTCGTCTAGTGTTCGAGGTTTATTGTCCGTGTCTGCTTGCGGCTCGTCGTCGTCATCTCCGAACAGATCTGCATCATCCGAGGCATCGCCATTGAGATCGATCTGAGGCTGCTCTGGGGTGGGTGCATCGTTGGTCCTGAAGCCATTCGGCGTGGTGGCTTCGACAGCGGCCATGGAGTGACGTGAATAAGAACTTAGGATGAACGGTGTAGAGGGTAGCGAATAGAAGCAGTTACCAAAAGTCCCACGGCTTCGCTCGACCAGATAATGCACAACCGGGGCGCGAGAAGAGACTTGGAGTCGGGAGCCGGGTTGAATTGAGTAGAATAATGAATTCTCGTCGCGGTTGCGGTCTCGCGGCATTCTACAGCTGTTTCCCCTTCGGGACTAGTGCCCTCTCCCCCACCGAGAGTTGGGAGTGTAGATCATTGTTCACCGCAGCCACTCTCCTCGACACCTATCTCGTGTCCAGCTCCCCCTCACGAACAAGACGACTTTCTTCAGGCACTGTGTGATCGGAAGGACTGAGACAAGATGGCGACTTTTTTTCAGAGTGTGTATGTGCAGCCTTCCCTTTCATCAGCCACAATTCACCATGGAACCCTATGACCCCTGGGACTTCTACCAAGAAACCTCGTTGACCCCCTTCTCAATCGTCGACTCTCTACTGGGATGCTCAGCCTGGTGAAAGGCCGGGCATGCCATGAGCGGCCTACACTTTCATTTCTCCTGCTGACTTTCCTTCGTCCAGCCGCCAGGGCTTTGGTAGAGGCAACACAAAGTCTAACCAGAATCTCAAAGCCAGTTATAACAATGGCGCTCAGTCTCCCTCCTCTCAACAGCCTCCGATGCCTCCTTTAGTCAACTCGCCCAGCATATCGTCCACTTACAGTCAAGACGTGGCCTACAACGAGCACGAGCCTAAGAAGTTCCTCAATGAGAAATATGCAAAGTGTTCAGTCAAAGGCAACTTCTTGACATTGGCCGCGCAACCCAAGAATGTCGATCTTGGGGAGTGGCTCGCCCACCAACGTGAGTCTATCATACTGAGAACAACGCAATATTAATCGTTTGCAAGTGGTGGAGATGAATAGACTGCTGGCTGGCATGATCCAAGTTATACAGGAGGTCGATACCAACACCGGCATGGCCCTGTGCAATGAAGTCACCTGTCCGACTATGTCCGCTGGACGGTCAGTATCGCCACATGTCCTAAAACCATCTCTGACAGTTCCAGGCTCACATATACCTGGCTGGAGAACGGCCGCCCGGCCAAGATCCCCGCCCCATCTTATATCGTCAGGGTTCAGCGATGGATAGTCGGGAAGATTCACGATCCCCATGTCTTTCCCACAGACCCACCCAAAGATGTTCAGTCGACAGCCTTTGCCTCTGGTGACACTCAAGTACCGCCTACACCGACTTCGGCTCAGATACCCATAGCAGCTCCCCCAACCAACCTCAACCAATCGATGAATACGCTCGCTGGCGGCTCTCAGGATTGGATTGGCAAGCCTTCCAACTTCCCTCAGAACTTCCATCAGGACGTGAAAAGCATCATCAAGCAGATGTTCCGTTGCTATGCCCACTTGTACCACTGTCATTGGGACAATCCATTCTGGCACATCAACCGCCACCTCGAGCTGAACAGCTGCTTTGTTCACTTCATGACTGTCGCCATGTACTACGACCTGCTCCCCAAAAAGGACATGGAGCCGCTGCAGGGTCTGGTTGACATTTTCATTCAGCAAGGCGTCATCCCACGGGAGGCCGCATCGACACACCAGACTTGAACCATTCTGGAGGCAGGCGGGCCACAATGTGATGCATTTAGCGACCTGGCGTTGCAGGCTTACGAGAAGCATGAACGGAAATGAAAACGATCACGTTTAAGATGAACCAGTTGATGAACAAGAGCGTGGCTTGCTCCACTGAAGCGCTGTATTCACACGCGCAGGATCCATATCATGACATAGCAAGATAGAGTATGAGTAGATGTGCGTAAACGTTCCTCATAAGCCATAAAAATACCACATCCATTGTGCATCTCTTCCCACTGCACGCTACCGTTGTCCACACTCCCCTAATACTGGCGGCCCACGATCTAAACTCCGTATACAGTTTTTCGCGTGCGTCACGAGTTGCAGACACAAGAAATGTTCGCCCGGCCCATTCTTTTTACTGCGCACATCATCCTCCATTTTCCGGATGTCGTCAAGCGTCAGTCCGGCCGCATGGCCTAAGGCCAGATCATGCGTCATACGCTTCGGAAATTCACCTGTCTCGTTCTCATGCCCGTGCCACTGCTTCTGGCGGCGCTCCATTGATTCCGCCAGGCCCATCAGCGTGGTGATCTCGGCTGACGAGGGCGGCATCGCGCCAGGCGCCGGGCTTGATGTAGGCGGAGGCGTGGCGGTACGGTCGCCGAAGACGAACGCGCGCATCAGGTCGTAGGCGAACGTCTTCCACTCTAGCTCCGTGATGGCTGACATGTGGGCGGAGGGCGGGGAGGAGGAGAACCCCTTTTCGAGCGCCGAGGCGGGGCATTTCAATACTCGCTGCCATTGGTCGACGAGGACGGTGATCAAGGTGTTTGAGAGCATGACGTTTTGGCTGCCAGACTGGAACTTTTGTGGGCAGATCGCGCAGTATATTACGGAATGGGCGGTACGGTGTGCAGACGACAGGGTGGTGATTGTATGGCTGGTGACTGGGAAGGCGCTGAGAGTCGAGAGCGTCGAGAGCGTTAGGTACAGGTTTGGTAGACAGGGACAGTCGGGGATGGATGGGAGGGTGGAAAGTGTGGCAGGATCCGTGTCTGGGTCGAAGGTTGGGTCGCCGCCGTTCGATGTAGGTTTGGGATTATATGCTGCAGAGGTATCTTGCAGTGGCATAGGAAGTGTGGTGTCGCTGAAATCAGGCCAGAGGGAGTAGTCGGTGGGATAGGAAAGATTGAAGATGTCGCTGTCCGACGGCGTGCGTGGGTTGTCGGACGGTGGTGTATTGTCGAGTGACTGCATTGGGTGGGAAGCCTTGCGGCTGGTGTTGCGCAGGCCGCCAGAAAGTGCGCCATTGCAGATGTTCTCGAAGTTAGTGCGGTCAATGTCGGCGGTTGTCAGATTTGGGTCGACGAAGGGTTGCGACGTAGATGAGCTCGCGGGCTCTGCAGTGTTTGTATCCTCTTGTCGCTGGCGTTTTTTGGGCCTACCCATCTGTTTCTGGGGGGAGTATATGCATGGAATGCTGTATTTGACGCATCGTGTACAGCCGGCTGGTTCGCCAGAGCACTTTAGCTTGCGTTTGCCTAAAGAAAGTTAGCATCTCTCAAGATACCCCGAAATGACCTGTACTTACGACATTCGTCGCAGGCAGCGTGTTTCTTTGCAGACATCAAAGCATCTGGGTCACTGCTTGCTGCCCGAGGCGTGCTATTGGTCCGAGCCGGCGGCGCGGGATCGTCGGTCTCCATACTGTCCGCTGAAAACGGATTGGCGGCGCCATATGTGTCGTGCATGTTGTAAATTACTGCCGCCATCTTGAATGCCAGAATATGAGTGTCGGAGACATTTGCAAAGCTGGAGAACCCAAGGTCACTCAAGAGGGTCTTGCTGACTCAAGAGGGTGCCGGATGTTGCGCGCATTCTCGGCGTTAGGCCACCCACCCTCACTCAAGGATCCCTCCCGTTTAGGCACTAGCTGTCGATCATTTCGGCGCTGGTTTGCCCGATCCCGAAGTGCTCTAACAAAATTTCCAACTGCGGATTGGAGAATATCGAGTACCTTACACTGAATGCCTGGGACCATGGCAGAGTCGCGGAAGAGGAAGGCTGTGACCAGAGATGTCGATGCCGCCGCTGCCTTGGTGTCTGGTGAGACACTTGACTTCGGACAGCTGAATGGAACACTTTCGGACGAGTACTCTGAAGCAGAAAACGATCCAGATGATCAGGAAGACCTCTCCGAGGATGAGAGCCTGGTGGGGGCTTCCCTATCGGCCGGAAGTGCCAGCGATATCTCTGAGCAACCAGATGACGAATTCCTGAAGCCGAAAACAACACCCAATGGTGTTGGTAAGACGTCGGTCTCGGCAGGACACCAAAATGGCGGGGTCGACTTCGATGAAGAGGAAGACAAACCGAACTACAGAGTCGAGACTGATGCATACGGTAACGAACGCTACATCTACGACGAGATCGATCCTGGCGATGATTCGGAGTATTCGGTGCCAGATGCTGAGGCGAACACCATCGGCGATATCCCGCTGAAATATTACGACTCCTACCCGCATATTGGATACACGATCAACGGCAAGAAGATTATGCGACCGGCAACCGGTGAGGCGCTTGACGCTCTCCTCGATAGTATTGATGTCCCCAAGGGTTGGACGGGCCTGACGGATCCAAATACTGGCAAACCACTCGCATTGAGCCAAGAAGAGCTGCAGCTACTAAAGAAGGTACAGATGAATGAGCTGGCGACCGACGGCATTGATCCATACGAGCCAACGGTGGAATGGTTCACCAGCAAAGTCGAGCAGATGCCTCTGAGTGCTGCTCCTGAGCCAAAGCGGCGATTCGTCCCATCCAAGCATGAGCAGAAGCGGGTGATGAAGATCGTTCGTGCAATCCGAGAAGGACGCATCCTGCCGTACAAACCGCCTGAGGAGCGTGAAGAGGAGGATGATGTGCAGAACTATGATATCTGGGCAAACGAAGAGCCTCGAAAGGAGCACGCTATGCACATGCCTGCGCCGAAACTGCCGCCTCCGGCCTTCGACGAGAGTTACCACCCACCTCCGGAGTACCTCCCTGATACAAAGGAAAAGAAAGAGTGGGAGAACACTGATCCAGAGGATCGAGACAAGGATTATCTGCCAACTGATCATGTCTCTTTACGGAAAGTTCCAGGCTGGGGTCAATTTGTCCAGGAAAAGTTCGAGCGGTGTCTTGACCTATACCTGGCTCCCAGAGTGCGCCGAACAAAGCTCAACATTGATCCTGAATCATTGCTGCCGAAGCTTCCTGACCCAGAGGAGCTCAGACCTTTCCCAATGCGGGAAAGTGAAAGGTATGTCGGCCATGAAGGACGCATACGCTCTTTGGCTATATCTCCTTCTGGCGATTATCTTGCGACTGGCGGCGACGATGGCACGGTCCGAGTTTGGACACTTATGCCTGCAAGGGAGATATGGTCCGCCAAGCTGGATTCCGAGGAACCAGTTCACGTTGTGAGATGGAGACCTGGAAAAGATGCTTCAGTGCTCGCTGTGGCGGCGGGAGACGAGATCTACCTCTGTGCACCTGCTCTTGAAGACGCTGAGGACAACAGAACCATCGCCGGTCAAGCGATACTGGACGCCGGATGGGGCTTCGCATCAACAACCTCTTCCTTAAAGTCTACATCTGCGGTTTCATGGAGCAGACCATCATCGAGACTTCAGCAGAAAGGAGTCGCAATCATCATCAGACTTGGCCACATAGCCAAGTCATTGTCTTTCCATTCGGGCGGCAATTACTTCGTGAGCGTGTGCCCTGGCAACAACGTGCCTGCATCGCAAGCAATTGCAGTTCACACCCTGAGCAAACACCAAACACAATTGCCTTTCCGCAAGAGGATCAGAGGCGGAGGTACACCACAGGTTGCACACTTCCACCCCACCAAGCCAGTTCTTTACGTTGCCAATCAGCGTCTCATTCGTGCATACGATTTGTCGAAGCAGTCACTGCTCAAGATCATACAACCAGGTGCCAGATGGATCAGCAGCTTCGACGTTCATCCAACAAGTGCTGCTACAGCTGGCTCAGACAACTTGATTGTCGGGTCGTATGATCGGCGCCTGCTGTGGATGGACCTGGAGCTGTCCCCACGCCCTTACAAGACTCTTCGTTTCCACGACAAGGCCATCCGATCAGTTCGCTTTCACCCCGCTACACATCGATATCCACTCTTCGCAGATGGCAGCGATGATGGTAGTATCCAGATCTTCCACGGGTCTGTAACAAGTGATATGATGAGCAATGCACAGATAGTGCCCTTGAAGGTGCTTCGAGGACATAGGGTTACTGGAGGGTTGGGGGTTATGGAACTAGACTGGCATCCGAGCCACCCATGGTTAGTGAGTGCCGGTGGCGATGGCACTTGTAGATTGTGGGTATCATGAGAATAGAAAATACGCAGACATCTCCTACTGGCAATGCATCTGGTAGAATCAGTTGAGGCGTGCCATAAGCTCGCCGGAGGACTCCAGGCCTGGTCACGTGACCGCGCGTACCTCCCTGATCTCCGAATCTTGACGCGTCGTGTTGATCCCCAATCAAGATCACTTGAGCCTTACCCAGACTGCACCATATTACCGCTCGTTCGCAGGCGCATCTGCGAGTAGATTTGTGATAAAATGCCTGCGTTAGTCATTACCATCGTTCTGTCATTCCGAAACTAACATGGAGTGCAGGCCGGGCGACCAGCACAAGTCAAACAGCGCTGCCGCCGCGAACCCATTTATAGAGACCGAACAGCTGGACAACAAGCAACAAGTCACCACCTTCACAGCCAGACAGATCGCTACTCTTCAAGGTCGCTTAGACAAGAATCTTGGTCCGGAGTACATCTCATCACGGCCTGGCGCAGGTGGACAGAAAGTACACTATCTACAAGCAGAGAAGGTCATCAATCTTGCCAACGAGGTCTTCGGCTTCAATGGCTGGAGCAGCTCCATACAGAACATCCAGATCGATTTTGTTGACGAAAACCCGCAAACTGGCAAAGTCACTCTAGGCTTGTCCGTCATCATCAGGGTCACCTTGAAAGACGGAACATATCACGAAGATATAGGCTATGGACATGTCGAGAATGCGAAAGGCAAGGCGGCAGCATTCGAGAAGGCGAAAAAGCAGGGGACATCCGATGGCCTCAAGAGAAGCCTCCGAAATTTCGGCCGGGTCCTCGGGAATTGTGTCTACGATAAGGACTATCTGTCGCGAGTTACCAAGATGAAAGTTGGAGCTGGAAAGTGGGATCCAAACGATCTCCATCGTCATTCTGACTTCGCCGCTAAGAAGGGTGCGGCCGTCAAGCCCGAGTCGAATGAGGTGGTGCAGCAGCCAAATGGCAACCATGCCAGTGGTCATGAAACAGGCGACAGTTTCGAGGAATTCGATGATGGGGTATTTGATGACGATGAGCTCGACAACCCGGATGAGTTTGTGCTGCCTGCTGAGCCCCGGGAGAGTGCTAAGAGACTGCCGCCTCCTGCTGGCCTGGGACTAGCACCCTCCCGAGCAATGACTACACCTTCGAAGCCGCCGAATGCTGGAACGAACGGTAACCCTAAAGGTGCCGTGAGCAACGGACTGGGTAGGACGGCGCAAGCGCCAAATCCTTCTCGATCCAATGCACCAGCTCCTCCTCAGCAGAGCCATAGTGCAAACCAACTGCCAAATGGAGGAAACGAGCAGTCTTCGTCACCAGGCATCCCGTTACAGCATTTCAATACCAGGCCTTCCAACCAGACTAGAGACAATTTTGCAGTCAGGGGAACAGGATTCTTTTCGGCCCGCGCTGCTGAGAGCATCGACGAGAACAATAATGTCACTGCAGGTGCCGCGCCAGTGTTCGATCCGAAACACCAAAGCAAGTCCATTCGTAGGGACCCGAATGTCGATCATACGAAATCGATGCGATTATTGCGGAACCTCAATCCTGACAGCGAAGCTGCAAGACAAGAACTGGAGCAGCAACAAGAGCCTGACCAACTTCGCAAAACACCCGCTCCGCCAAAGGGCCCCCAAAGCCCGATAGGAATGGGAAGAGGCTTCAACGCAGGACAGTACCGACCCCCGACTAGACGTGGACCAGATGGTCATGTGATGACACCTCGACCCACGAACGGCGTCAGCAACGGTGTCGACCGGGTTCTGCAAACAGCACAGAGACCACCTCTTACGGACGTCAGCAACATGGCGAACCAACATCAAGCTACCGCAACAACGCTTGATGGAACTGATGCAAAGAGGCAGAGGCTTTCGGGCCAGAGTCCTCGTCCGTCAGCCGAGCATGAGCTCTCGGGTGAGGCTGGATGATGATCCATGAAATATCACGGCAAGGTTTAACGATCCACCGTGCTCAGTATGAGACATGTTTCCAGCGTTCAACCTGCGTGCGGGATTCTGTCTGCTTCAAGTCCCTTGGTACGACATACACAACCGGACTGTAATCATACACGACAATACTACATACCATCATCGTTATTTGCTCTTCAGCATACGGGGAAAAACTCTGATTGGGAGTGAGAGGGAGAGCAGAAAAGCAGCCCGGGGTTGTCAAACCTCAAAGCATGAATAGATGAGTATCACGATCATGAGAATGCGTATGTTGTACATGTGCCACAGCCAGATCATCAGCCAACGAATATGAAATGGCTTTCAACTACACTCTGACCTAGTTTTCTCGCTGTCGTTGTAAGACAGGTAGGTGTGATGTTACAGCGAAAGCTTAGGTGTAACTGCGATCGCGTCACTCCTCAAAGGTCCTTCCGTAAACCGCTACCACCATCTGTCTGGAATTCACTTAGCTCTCGCCGGGCCCAGACGGCTCACCCCAACCAGCAAGCAGGGTAATGGTTGTGGTACACGCTCTCTGGTCATCGTTTCCAAGAAGTGCACGAACGTCCGAAACGCGTGCTCAGACATCGACTACTGTCCACCTGGTCAACGACCTTCACGAGTCATAACCTTTGCTCACCATCTGCGGCTGTCACAGATGCCTCAATCACAGATTTCTCCTGCAAGAAGTCGATCAAAAATAGAGAAAGACCAAGCCGCGTGGCAAGCTCAACTCCGCGCTGCCGCCAATCGCCGAGAGGTCCTTCGACATGACGTGCGATTCAGAGAAGACGACAGGGTATCTAACTACGGTCTTACGAAAGATGGCTTCTGTTTATATTCGCCCATGGACGGCATGCAGAGCTCATACCAGTGTCCAAGTATGCCAGAGGAGAACAGTCACAATGTCCACTTCGCTTCTTCCACAGTTGATCGGCAGAAAGACAAGTCCAAGTCGAGTAAGACCAGAACTCAGAAGCGATCTCAGACAACAGGGAACGCAAAACTTCCCGACAAGTCTAATTCCAGTGAGTCCAGCTTCGGATGGCTGTCCAAGCTCAAAGCAGTCAGCACAAGCTCACGGACGACCAGGGACACAAAGCCAACCATATCCACGACCACTTTAACCTGGAGCAAAGGTAAATCATCGAGACCACAACAACCGCTGGTCAGGAGCTTATCGAAAGATCGCCATCGCTGGCCACACATCACGAAAAGCAAACAGAGAATGGGGAAGCCGCACCCAGAACCCCCCGCCCTGCCTGAGCCCAACATACGCAGTTGGCCTAGGGAAAGGCGCCGTGTTATGCTTCTTCAGTCTACCAATGCACACCAACCGCCAGTAGACTCGCACCGCATCGGAAAACATGTGGGGCCCGGGCCGTCCAGCTGGCGCCCAGTCGCCCTCAACCAAGGACTACCCAATTCAGATCTAAGGCTCCAGCCGGGGACGCAACACATACCATCCTGTGCACCACTCCAGCTCCAACCTCAACTCGCACGATCCCACATTCATGCCTTCGGATCTGGCACAGCTTCCGCTCCGGCTCACCAGCGTCATGTCGCGGTTACTTTCGAAGCATTTAGGCACCACGCGATGTCGGACAGCCAACCTCTACACGGCCACGAGTCGAGCAGTTCGCGGCAGGCCAGGTTCAAGAGGCGTCAGCCCGTTTGGGACGAGCAGTTGGGCGGCGTGAGATGGGAGTATCGGTAGGTGGATGGACGGCTGCGCTGAGCGAGACCGGGTGAGTTCTAGTCACTCACCTATGGATGATGAGGAACCATACAGACTGATGAGGATTGGAATGGCGATGATATTTGCTTGTTACTGGGTGCCAGCAGGCAATGCCCGCTTGCTGGGGAACTCGATGGGTGATCGGAATCTATCAGGCATTTACCTCAGACCTTTTCATGAACACGGACGATTGGGTGGGTGGCTCATGAATGCGAGAGAGGGTTTGCAGATTCGATTCAAATCGGTATCGAGATAGCTGTGCTCTTCACAATGCCTAATATTTTGCACTAAGCAGATTCGTCACCAGTAAAGCCATAGAGGCTTGCTCGCCTGCCCTTTAGACACGACATCAGGGCATCGGCATGTTATGGTCAGATCGTGACATCGCTCAACTTCTCGAGCGCCGCCTCGACATGCCGCTGACATCCTCCAAGATCACTCCTCCTTCAGCACCCTCCTTCCCCCTTTCCATCTTGCCTTCGACCCGTCCACTCACAAGCGGAATGTGATCGTTTCCCTCTTTGATGGTGAAGATAGTCTTGGCCTTGATCATCTGCACGATCATGAAATTCAGTGCCGCCTGCACGCCCACCTCGCTGCCACGCTTCACGATGTAGCCGTTGATGTACTCGATTTCGTTCGAGGGCCGCGCCCGGCGCACGTCCTCTCGCATTGAGCTCGAGTTCTTCGCCGTCTTGGTGGCGAGGCCGATTAGCAGGTTCTTGAGGCGCTCGGCGGAGAAGCGTTGCGAGAGGCCTGGGATAGGGGCCAGTTCGGGGAGCGAGCGGATCACTAGCGAGATCTCGGCGGCGAGCATGTTTTGGATCGTTGAGATTGAAGCGTTGTGGAGCGTGGCGCCATTTGGCACATCGAAGAGGGCGGTGATGGGGTTCAGAAGCGCGTTGGACGAGAGTTTCTCGAGCTGGAGCTGCAGTAAGTCCAGATAGGGGTAGGCAGCGCATGCCAAAGTGGGGCAGCGTGTGAGTGTGCGCAGCAGATAGCGCGCCGAGAGTGAGGTTGCGTAGAGCTCGGAATCGGTGGGGTAGTGCAGCGATCGTTGTTCGGGCGTTAGGTCCGCAAGATTCGTCGATAGAGACTTTGGTGGCAGAGGGTATTTGCTGGTGTCGCGGTATATGCCGAGAGAAGTGACCCCAAAGCCAGTGTGAATTACGGTTGTGGGACCTTGCATGTAGCATCCGTGAGAGATGACTCCGATGAGGAAGGTCGGGCGTGTCGAGGGGTCGGTGAAGACTTGCTCGTTGAGTTCGTCGATTTGACCGAGCCCATTCTGCATTAAGCAGATGGTGGAGCGCGAGTCGATGCGATGGCGAATAGCGAGCATAGCAGACACAGACTGCTGTGCTTTGACAGTGCAAATCAGAGTGTAAATGAAGGTTTCGTCGGCATCTGGCAGACGCTCGTCTATGGAACGCGGGTTCAGCGGTTGCTTGTGGTCCTCGGTATGTTCCCACTCAGGCTCATAGCGCCAAAACGGCTTCCCGTCCTCATTATGTTCCCGCACATCACAGTCAAAGCCCGTCTGAGGGTCATTGACATCCGACTTAGCATCAACGAGGCGAATGACGCTGCCGCCGCGCTTGAATTGCTCAAACATGTCCTCACGATGCATCATGAGGGTGATCGGCGGCGGGCTAGGAGTGGTGCGCAGGGAATGTGCTACCAAAGTCCCTATGCTGCCCATTCCGAGGATATGTATCCGTCTTGTAAGGAGTTCCTCTTCGCTGCCTTCAAGGGCCGGCGGTTCTATTTTCGTAGGCTCGAAATCCTGAGGGCCCTCCTTCGCCTGCTCCCCTCCTTCTGCACCGCTCCACCATGACTTTGATTCAGCCATGGTAGAGAAACGTATTATCCGCGGTTGTATGCTAGGTCGGGCCTTGAAGCAGGGTGCGACGGATCGCGATATAGGAGAAGCCCATTGGTGCAAAGACCGGCGTGGGAGCCGGAAGGTAAGCCGACGAGACACCTTGACAGCTGGTGCTCAACGTGCCTAGAGCTGTATGGGCTTCGTCTCGGCTGGGCTTGCGAAAAGATGCGCCTCAGCTGGCCCGAGGGATACAAATGACCTCTCTGTGCTATTTCTCCATCGGCGCGTCATGACGCGGGGAGTTAACGCCAAGCCGGCGCGCCGTGCCCCGAAAACCCCGTTGATCAAACATCGCGGTTTCCGCAATCGATCTCATAACGCCGGGCCACTCTGCATAATTTCTTGTGGATCTGCTACATCGGTAGACACACACTAACATACTCTAGCAGTCCGCCATGAACACTGCTGGGGTTCATAGCGCTCTCGAACAGTTGAGCGAGAATCTCGGTGATCTTCAGAAGAATCTGCAGCCGCTACTAACAGGTGCTCTTTCTGAGACTACCAAGAAGTTACCTCTTTTAGACAGGGCGAAGCTCTACATTACAATCGTCTATGCTATCGAATCCCTCATATTCTGTACGACCCTGCCCCTCGCCGAACCTCCGACTGACGCCTCATAGCATACCTCCGTCTCCATGGTGTCGAAGCCAAAGATCATGATGTTTTCAAAGAACTCAAGCGAGTACAGCAGTATTTTACGAAGATCAAAGAAGCAGAAGAACAAGGATCCAAGCCTGGCATGAGCCTCAACAAGCAGGCTGCCAATCGCATGATCAAGCATGCGCTGTCGGGCAATCAGAAGATCGATCTAGAACTCGCCGAGCGGAAAGCCAAAGAGTTGCTAGTCGCAAAGAGAAAGCTCCAGGAGCTAGAGGCGCGCAAGCGTCAGCGAGACCTCCAGCAAGGTCAGAGCGAGGGCCCAGCCACTCCGAAAGCAACAGAGTCGAGTGCCCAGTCGCCTGAGGTTGACGCTTCATTGGTGGCGAGCGCAATCGCTCAGGCTAAGGAAGAGGCTGAGTCGATCGCCAACACTCCCGAATCCCCTGCCCCGTCAGAAACATCGTCTAAGGGTACGCAGAAGAGCAAGAGGCGGCGGCATCAAGAACGGCCTACGGACACTCCTTCCGGCAAGACGAAGAAGCGCAAGCATGATACCGACACCGACAAAGATCAATAGACCGGGCTTCCTTCCCTCGACTTCTGACAATTAGCGACATCAGCATGGCTACGCCAATACCATTCACATTCTCACCTTGGAACATACTTTCTGCTGCTACAGCTATGTCTTCTTTATATTCTGTTCCGAGTCCCGCCCACCCCCGGGTACCACAGCCAGCCTCCTGTAATGGGGACTCCAGGCACCTTTGAGCTTCATCCCATTCCCTCATTACGCCGGTCGTTTCCATTGAATTCGCCCAACCGCTGTGTCGCCCTCAGCACACAAACGGTAACGGGTATACATTTCAAATGCACGTCTCTTTCCCACACCCAACGACAGAGCACAACTCCACAACGCATGGTCACCCGCATCGTAGAGTCTCCATGGTAGGCAGACTTTGTAGACAGACTTGAATCCGCGTTTTTGCTATCCATACGGACGGCCGCTCGTCACCATCAGAGAGTGGTCGCCTGCAACGGCTTGCGCTCACTCGAGCACGCATGCGTCGCACCGGGGAGTACCAAGGTCAAACAGGCTCGTACGTGGCTCTACGCACGTCCAACTCTGGAGCGGGTTGAAAGGTGTCGTGGCAGGCAGACTTCACCGGTGGTAATAGAGGCTAAGCTTATAACGTTCAAAGGGCCAAGGCAGGCGTCCTTGGAAGGCGAGAGAGAGATACTTCAGCTCCGCGCTCCGGCTCTCACTTCTTCTTCCCAATCATAATTGATCGGACCGGAGTTCAGACATTCGTACACACTAGTAGGATGGTGGCCTTATTAAGGCAACGAACGCCAAGCCCCACCCCTTTCCGCCTCGTAGCCTTGCATCCATCTATCATCAACATGGGGGTGTCCCTGATTCACCGTTCAACCAGCGCCGCTATTTCCATTGAAGACACCGATTCATTCACAGCTTATTTCAGCTCTCTGTTGTCGTAAGTAACAGTGTACATTCCCGCCTTCCAATGATCCGTGCATCTTGATGCAGATGTGACAATCATGCGTTTGTTTGCACATAGTCTAGACATAAATATTGCGCCAGTACCATGTCTGCCACTTCTACGAGTTGGCTACCAAAATCGTAGTGTCTTCTTGCTTCCCCTGCCGTCTGTCTGAACAGCACAGTATCCCGTGGTAGCGCTTATGCTGTTGGTGATCTGGTGTGTAACAACGACCAAAGATACTTCATCTCTGCTATTACACATCAGGTCTCGAATATTTCTTCGCCCAACCTCTCCCTCACGATGCGAACCCACCGTCTGACTTCCTTCTCAACCTCTTCGTCGTCGTCCTCAAGCATTTCACTAACATAAATCATCGTCTCTCCAGATCCGCCCACACCAGCCTTTTCGCCCTCAACCAACCCCTCCCCGCTGACCGTTCCGCTGACGACGTTATTGACCCATTCGTCGCCCACCTCCCCATCCTCTGTCATCGCCATGTGCGTCCTGATGCTCGCAAGCCGCACATGACTCGAATCAGCATGCCGCAATCGGGCGAGGTAGTGATTGAGCGCCAGGTGATGGCTCGGCGATTCTTGCACCGCACTTGCGAAAGAGACAAGCGTGGGTATGACCTGCTCGAAGATCAGCGGTCGCAAACTCTTATGAGACGCGAGGTGCAGCTGCGAAACAAGGTTCTTGGCTAGGGGCTCGAAATGCGATGGCGTGGCGAAGAAAGAGTCGGCGTCATGGGTGAATGCGGCCCGAAGCGCAGCGAGCAGGTTCGCATAAAGTGCCACGCTAGAAGAGTCGGATGGCTGAGATTTGCTGATTTCGGCGAGAGCTTCGTTCGCAGGACCGATCAAATAGGAGGCATAGGAGGTGACAATGGATTTGAGGGTGGTGAAGAAATGAGTGAGGAAGGACGTGAGCGTCGTCTGTCGGTGGAGCTTGGCGACAGGTAGGGTTCCGGGTGACAGGGACAAATCGGATACTTTGGTGGCCCAGTCGACCCAGGAGGTAAATAGAGGACGGAAAGTGACGTCGCTAAGCTTGTATATAAACGCGAGCGTGAGGTTGTTGAGGCTGGCCTCCACCTGACAGATGTCGGAGCTGGAGTAGCTGGAGGACTCAGTCAGGAGCTGGGTCCGACGTAGGTCGAAGGCTTGCAGGATGATGTTGGAGACATTGTCGGCAGATCTGACAACGTCGCCCTTGGCATGATGCTGAACGGCGGTGCCGTACATTGTGAGGATAGGGAGAACGGCTTCGAGGCCGTGCTGAACGACCTCAACCCATGTGCGGAGCATACCGCTAGTCAACGTGTCAATGTCAATTTGCCTCGCAACTTCGTCTAGCATATCATTCATGGTAGTAACGGTGGCGCCTGCAAAAGACGAGGTTGCGGCTAAAGCTGACACCGTCAAAATTCGGTCCAAGTTATCTTCTGATACCATGAACGGAATATTGTGGACAATTGATCCGACCAGTATGAACGCTGCATTGAGAACAGACTCGTCCTCGCCATTCTCGGCGGCACTACGCTCGATGAGCTTGAAAGCATAGTCAAACGCGGAGGGCACGATGGGGACAGCCGCATCGCGCAGGATCTCGAGCATCGAGGCCAAGGTATGTGCGGCAGTAGTGCATATGATGTTGTCATCGGATCCCAAGCCGGCTTCACCAGCGAGAGACGCGGCGGGCGATACTACAGCATCAATATCTCGGCGACCATACTTGGTGCATATGCGGTCGATGCACTCAATGGCCGTAAATTTCAGAGTTTGGTCGTCAGTGGTAGTGACCACGCTCTCAAGCTTGCTGAGATATCCTAATGCAGCTTCGGCCGTTGCCGAGTCTGTACCAGATTTTGATTCCAGCCGACTGGCCAACAATCGCATAGCTTTTGGCTTCAGGTTGGCATCGGTCTGTGGAATCTCGTCAAGTAGAGCTGATAGCGACTCGATCAACTGCTTGATTGACACAAGTTCTAGCAACGCCACTAGACACTGACCGGATGGCATCTGAAGATTGTTGGCATGCTTGCGAACATCCTGTACGCTTTGCAATGTTTGTCTCAAGCATCCTCTGAACTGTTCCGCGAGGGCGCTAGCATCAGGAGTGTCTGTTTTTGAGAGTTTCGACACGCGTGACCTCATGCTTTTGCTGCTGATGAGTTCTTTTGCTGTTGACAGCAGGTTCATTGCCCTCGCCTCTTTATCGACTGCAGGAGTACCTGAGGTTACACCCAGAATAGACTCGGCGATGCGAGGCTGATGGGCATACATATCCTCCGCCAGCGACAATAGCTTACTATACGCTTCCAGATAGACTCGCGGCTCAAAAGCAGCAAATAGAAGGCTTAGGAACTTTTGGAAGGCCCTATCACCTGCTGTCTGGTCCGCAAGCATGGCAACAATGGCGAAGCCGAAATCCTCTGGACCAAGCTGCGTCAGCAAGCGCTGGTAAAGTGATACCTTTCGCTGGTCTGGGATGTGATTGAACGCTACCACGAAGCTCGAAAGCAAGCTTTTCGTGGACTGGAATATGTTTTGGGCATCTTGCCGCCTTAAGGAGGCCACTAAGGGAGGTATGATATCGTCAATTGCCTGATAGACAACGTTGATGGAGAGTTGATCCTCCTGAGCCAGCATCTTGCCGCCCATGAACGTAAAGACGGGCATAATGTGATGTATAACCTTGTCCGGAGCAATTGATGCCAAGGATGCCGACAGCATCAGAGCAGTCGTCTGGACTTGAGGACTTTCCGTCTTTCTGACGCATTCCGCGACAAGATCGGCACGGATATTAGCCCAATCAATGTTCGGTCTGCGAGCGGTCTTTAATTTGTCAACAATGGCTAGCATTGCACCAAGACACAGTGTCAATAAGTATGGAGACTCGGTATGAATGCGGTCTCTGGCTCGTCGAAGGTACAAAAGCGTTTCGACCAGAGAAGGCAGGAGCGCCGGGCGATTTTCAGGCTTGGAGCTATCAATCAACTCCAACGCTAACGAAAGGCGGGAGAGACTTTCTCTGAACGAGGTGGCGATGACAGTTGGTCGTGACACGCCGTGGCTGCTGCTTCTTCTTCGTCTCTTCGGATGAGGTTGGTCTTGCATTTCTTGCGAGTCGGCGATGGCAGAGCTGAGCAACGCCTGCAGGGCCTCTGTAGACAATCGTACCTGCTGCAGCGCAGCCCGGGCAGGCCCGGCGAGCGGTGTCTTATTCGTAAGCGCAAGATCGTAGATTTTGAGGGCGAGGGGCTGTTGTACGTCCTCAGCTAATGTGGTCCAGATCTCAACAATGCGATCGAATATTGAGGTCAAGAATTCGTCGCGAGTCTGGCCCTTCCTCGTTTCGAGGAAATCCAGAACGCGGCTTATGGAATCACGCTCTTTGGATGATATCAGACTGGCCATGCTCTTGTCGATGGTAGCAAGCTGCAGACCTTCTCTAGTAGCCCAAGCTCGGGCTTCGGCTGATCCCAATCTGGCCCACTCGCTCAATATCGGAAGTAGGGCTTCAGACTTTCGGATTGAACCCGCCTTGGAGACACCTGTCAGTATCTTGATCATTCCGGTCTTTACACGCAGAAACGGTGCATGGTTTGCATGACTCGTCAAACAATCGAAAAAAGCTTGTCGTAGACCCTTCTTCAGCTCCATTACACCACCTTTGGACGACTTCAGAGCCTGGTCAACAGTGCCACCTAAGGCGTGCTGCAGAACAAGAGCAATCTGCTCTTCATCTGTGGCAAACTCCTCAATGTTTGGCAAGTACACCTGCTGGAGAACTTCCAAAAGCTGCTTTGAAGTCAACGATGCAAGTTTTGTGGACTGCTGTGGGGTATAAAGCTCCAGAGCTGTTGATGAAGGGGCTCCTTGTGTCTCAGTTGTGGCAGCGTTGTGTATTGCGATAACAATTGCGGCAGCTAGTCTTCTCACTGCAGGAGAAGGATCCGCAAGAAGGACAGACGCATACGGAAGTAGAGCTTGAGCGTTAAGACCTGCTTGAGTGGCAATATCTCGTGCAAGTAATGTGGTAGAATCTGTCCTGGCGTTGGCGGATGATTCGCTAAGGGCGACACGAATGAGAAAGCCTGTGTATTGCGAAGTTTCGGTTTCTGATGAGGGCCGATGCCATAATTCCAACTTGGAGAAGTGCAAGAGAGAGTCTTCGTTTTTGTTGCACAGGCGCAAGACATCAAGCAGCTGGCTGTAAATAGGAGGCGCATCCACAGAGAGAAAGTTAACTTCGTTTGGCAGGGTCGGAGGTAGAGCGGCACTGGCCAGGTCTAGTCCTGATTTGACATGCAAGTCTTGGTCGATGTCCATAACGTTGTTCAGCGCTGGCGCCGGATTAGGCGGAGCAATAGCGGTCTGCAGCAGATCTTCAATTTCGAGACCGTTGTCTCTGCTGACGGAAGCTAGTTGCACAAAAGCAGGGGACATTCGCTCAGACTCCTGAGCTTCCTGAAGCAGTGAGATAAGACGGTAACGGACTGTGCTCTGCGGGGCCTCCCGTGGATCGAGGCGCTGGATTTCGGCCACGATCGCGAGCAGCCACTGAACCATCCCAGCCGTGGACTCGAAAGCAGGGCCTGCATGTAGCAATGTGCGCAGAAATGCAGCCTTTTCGTCAACGTTCTTTTTCTTCATGGTCCTCAACGTGGTTCTGATAACACCTAGGAATAAAGCCTGGGTTGGGTACTGCTGGCTGATGTCGGAAAACAGAGCTTCAAGATCACTAAGCCCCGACAAGAGGGTCAAGACCTTCCGTGGGACGAAGGGATCGGACTTTTGCGATACTAGAACAGCAATCGCAGGCAATGCTTGGGCCGAACCGATAGCAGACTGTGCACACAACTTGCTGATGCCATCCACAAGAGAGTCGATGACACCGTCGTCCAACATGCCAGTATTCGCAAGCACCAGCGCTAACGCGAAGCATGTCAGCGTGAGATCTGGGGAAAAGTGCGTCGTCAAGCCCTCGTCCAAGACGGGTAGAACTTTGTGCAAGACGTCTTCCGTGCGTTGCCTTTGAACTTCCTGGCGTCCGCTCTTTGCCTGGTTCAACCGGCCCGCCACAGCTTCCACGATGAGCCCGCTCCAGAATCGCATGAGCAGGGGATGTGATGTTCCTCTCCGACAAGATGATAACGTATAATTGTTCAAGGCGGAAAAGAATCCTTCGTTGTTTGTGGCAGCATACACAACAGCATGTCTTGGTAGGGTGACTGCATTCTTGTGGTATGGTCTGAGGAATTTCCATTCGTCAACCAGTCGGTCGGGTGATATGAGGCTCAGAACGTTCTGGAATAGAGGATGTTCGTGGTGTGGTAAGGCCGTCAGGAGTAGGCTTCTGATATTATAGACATGGATGCGAAACCGCCTGATCAGCCATTCCAATGCTCGTACTCCGGGGCGGAGCGTAAGCCGTGACCCGAGAGTCTGCAGACAGACTTCAATGACATTGTCTAGATCTTCGTTCTGAGCCTTGTTCAGCTGTTCTCGGTCCTGGTCCTTCGACTGCCGAGAGAAGAGGCTGCGTTCGAAGTCTCGGAATCGAGCGTCGAGCGTGCAAAGTTCTTGGAATGCCTCCAGGCATAACTGGTACAGAGTGTCCCAATCTTGCTTGACCGCAACACTGCGCTCAAAAATCAGAGACTCGGCGTGGGCATTGCGGCGGGCGCGGAGGTCAAGTTCGTTCGTAGATTGGGCGGCGATACTCCGCAGCTGTTGCGCGAAAGTGGTCGCCATAGCCGGCGTTTTTGCTCACGATGAGCGATGGAACAGCCTCTATACTAGGCGAGCCATTAAATGCGCATTCACATGCAGTCCAAACGCCAGACACGAAATGCGAGGGTAAACGAGTGCTGTAGAACGACTGCGGGCAAATACTGCCTGACTTTCTCGAAATTCTAGAGAAAAAGTTTTGCCGCGATTTCTCCGGAGCCGATGAGCTAACCGGTTTTAGATGCCTCGAATTCCGAGTTTCTGAGTTGCACAAAATCCATTCCTTTTAGGACCCCCACGGTTTGCTCGTGATTTCATGGGGTCCAAGGTGTGTCATGTTGAACAGACTGCAGAGGAGTTGCAGGAGCTGAATGCTTGGATACGAGTTCACCTCCTCAGTTCCATCTTCATGAGGAGGAAACCATGCAGTATCCGCGAGCCATGCAGTTATACGATCTATCAGTGAGCGCCATCGCGAAAAACCCAGTCCTCGTGTGTGCCTCATTTCAGCCAAACCTGCTCAAATACTCCAGTGAGGGGCTTTTGTCCCCGTAACTCTTCCATGTATTTCTCGCTTACCGGGCTCACCATGAAGTTCCAGCGTCGGAACCTCGTCAGACCCCAATCAATGCCAAAAAAGTGCGTACGCTGGAACTCCGCAGGCTGCCGCCTACTACTGCCTGTCTTCCATCGGCCTTCGTACACCGTCGGCCCAATGGCTAACGTTTCAAGTGCGGGCTTGCTGCCGCCAACTAACGTGGGAAACACCCAGTCGACAAATTTAGTAGCGTACTCTTTGATGGTGTAGTCGCCGACTTGCGAGAGAGCGTGGTTCTCTGGAAAGTTCCGAATGTGGATCGTCTTCAGGAATGGAAGTGTTGGCAGGCGCGTTTTGCGCAGCCTTACCACCTCATCATCCCAAGGAAAGCCCATGCCGAGCTCGACCAGATTTGGGCAGAGCTGACATATATCGTTTATGGCTTGTTCCCAGAGTTCTTGCGAGTAGCCACCAGAGCCAAAGGGTCGTGACGTGTCCAGGCCTAGATTATCACGAGGCTGGATACGAGACTCGAGGACTAGTGTCTCCAGGGTAGGGCCTTGCTGGCACAAGATGGTTGAAACGCGCTCGAGGACGGATGCATTTTCAAGAAGCAGGGACAAGGTCCGTAGCCCTGTAAAAGAGTCTAGAAAGAGGAGAAGCGCCTCTTTGACTTGGGTAGTAGGCGATTCGCTCCGGAATAGGAAGTCCTTTAATTGCACAATTGGTTGCGGATTCGAAGCCAGTGGAGAGTCCCGAGCGAAGTTGAATGTGTTGGCGAGGCAGTGTAACAGCTGCACACTGCCGGGACACGACTCGAGGGAGATTCGTGTTAGTTCGCAGAAGAAAAGCGCGTCTTCCACCTCGAGTGGAACGAGTGGTGACACATCAACACCGCACAAGTCCAATTGCCTCAAACTGGGCAAAGTGCCCAGAGACATGGATCTGAACAAAGTCGCCGATTGTGGTGCCTGGGCCAGGAAGCCGACCCTAGTCTGAGAATACTGCTGTACCAGCTCTTTCTCTTGGCCTATGCGCAGTCGCTCTAGTGAACTTCTGTTGATGCTGACAAGATTCTCAAGAATGCGCCCATCTTGCATGGAGTGGCATTCCAGTGCCGTCAGTTTGTTCGGGAGGTTGAGGCTCTGACTTGCTAGACAACCAAGGTCATACGCGGCGAGTTCGCGAAGGCTTTGGCAGTGATTAGTAGCCAAGACCCCGAGCACTCGAGAGCTCATGGGAGCGGTGTGGAGGAACCTATCTTTGTAAGCCATCCTGTCAAACATTCATGCAGACACACTTACGAGAGTGCTCGCAGCTGGTTTACTGGAACCCATTCCAAGATGTCTGTGGCGTAGGCCTCGACCGTGCCTGCATCGGATGCGTGCCTGCGATTGTAGATGGGTTTGCTTTGGTCCAGCGATCCATTTCGGATCACCAACTCTTTCATGACATGAACCACGTGTGGCCGTACTGCCAGAAGGGAACCTGTGGTCCATGAGGACGCTTTGTCTTTGGAGATCTCGACGTCGACCCGTGCGTAGAGTCTTCGGAGGCAGACGTCTTCAAGGGCACGACACGTCCGCGACAGGTTGTACAGGTCTCGTTTGCGGTCGATCTGCGGCAGTCAGTACCTGCTCAGCAGAATCATCGAGTTCGCGCACATAGTCGATCATGCCAAAGAGAAGTTCTTGGGGAAGCGCGACCAGCCAACAAGGCTGGCATGGCACATTGTCCATGGTGTTCATCTCGAATAGCCGTTTCATCCACCTCAAGGGTTACGTAGCCTGTTGATACCGAGCGTCTGCCGACTGCGAATTGTTTACACATATAACGTGTATGCGCCTAGTCAGTGCGTCTGCGGTCTATATGTACGTGAGGGTTTCAGAGGAGGTTCTATGCGAGTCCGTGCGAACAAGAAGCCGGAGTGGTTGACATAAGATATATCGCGGTTTGCGGTGCTCAAAATGTGTCAAGGCGCATGAATCACCTCTCCTTTTGCATTCAATCGAGCGTATCCGATAACCCTGGCGTGCTTGGCTTGGGCTTATATACGGTCGGTTTCATGATTGGCAAGACCAGTGCGCTGGGTACGGACGGAGAACCCGAAACTGGAGCGAAGGCTGATAAAGCGGGACGATGAGGGTCGGTCAGCTTATTGGATTAGTCTTGGTCGCATCATCAACGTGGCATGTGGTGAACAAGGGCGGAAAAATGTTGGGACCCTTCACGCCAAAAGGCTTCGTGCCGCCGTTCAAAATAACGGTGTGCTGAGTGGGGGGCGTCATGCTTGCGCTACCGGTGCTTGTGCACCGCTGCCCACGTCGACAACCCAAGATAAGTCCGCGATGTTGAGTTTGTAGTATAGATTTGAGAAATTTTTAAGGCAACTCCCGTCACTTCGGCACATGAAGGTCCTCCGGAACTGAGTTTGTCCCACTTTTAGTCGATCAGTGCATTTAGGCGGCCGAACTTTTAACGGAATAGACCGGCATCTCGCGTACCTGATCTTACACACACACCCGACTGCCAGATCCTTTAAGAAGAGTGGCGACGAGTCTCTTTTCGCCAGTCAGCTGGATTGTCATCTATTGTCGAATCAGTAATCAAATATGATCTGTTGGCCGCACGTCACTCGTAACGAACCTCGCAGACGAACCGGTACGCAGGTTTCTCCGAAGGCCGTATGCCAAGAATGCCAAGTACAGCCTCGCCTTCAGCCTCGCTGAGGTTCATCTCATCTTGCACCACCACAACTCTTGGAAAGGACTGCTCGATGACTTGATCCTGTCATCAACCGCTGGCTCCGCTTCAACGCAGGTGAGCTGCTGATGTACTACCCGCCGCAAGCGTCTCGCACATCGATACTAATACAGGGAACGAGCGACCGCGCGATTCATCCATGCTTCCTCCTCCTGCGTCAACTACATCGCCATTCCTAAACACGTAATCTTCTGTGGCGACGAGCAACTGCCATTGTAACCTGCGAGCGATTTCACTAGCTGAGATGGAGAACTTGACGCAGATGTGGTATCCTTGATAAGGTAGGCACTATTCCTCTCCGTACTTGGCCCCGGTGTACCCGTTTTCGATCGCAATGCCCGAAGCTCAGGCTCAAGATGGCGCAACGGCTTCATGCGCTGGCTCATCAGATAAGGCTGTGCTCAGCCTCGCGAGTGAATGGTTGTAAAGTTGTCACAGCCAGCGTGTGAATAGGCGGGCGTTTTTCGATGTTGATTTTTGTGTCTCACCCCTGTCCCCTCTGAACATATCATGCCAACCATGAGTTCTTCCGACGAAGAGCTGTCCCGGCGCCTGGCAGAAGCCAGCTTGAACAAGTTCAGGAATCAGGACCTGCTGCACCACCAAGTTGGAGAGCGACGTATGAAACCCAGTTATGTTTATTGCGCAGTCATTGCATCATTTCACAAAAACGCCGAGCAAATTGTCAAGCTGAAAACTAACAACTCTTCTGCAGAGACCTCTAAACCTTTCTCGCAGGAGACCTTTAGTCTGTCCACCAAACTTACACCACCTTCCGAAGACTCCGAGGAGGCCCCAACTGCTGGCAGCCTACGCGTGTCTGACCACAAAGACGAGATCTCCAAGCCAGAAGTTCCTGCTCAAACTTGGCGCGCAATCATGCAAGGCAATATGAAGCCTCGCTTACTCTTGATGGGCCAGCGCCGGTAAGTTTTGGTCTCGTCCATCGTGGTACTATTGCTAATCTGATTTTTCAGGAGCGGCAAATCATCCATCACCAACGTCGTCTTCCACAAGCACCCTCCGCAAGAGACGATCTTCATCGAGTCAACCACTCGTATTCTCAAAGAGGTCTTTGAGTAAGTCATTGTCCCCAACGTACGGGGATACCAATCTAAAATCCCTAGATCATTCATGGACTTTCAGATTTGGGACTTCCCTGGCCAACTCGATTACTTCGACCCTGCTTTCGATTCAGGTGAGATCTTCAAGAACATCGGCGCACTTATCTGGGTCATCGATGCGCAAGATGATTACAACGACTCTCTCAACCGATTGGTTGTGACAATCATGAATCTTCAGCAGACCGACTATCGCGAGATCCTCGTCGAAGTCTTCATCCACAAGACAGACGGCCTGCCTGATGAGATGAAAGGCGACGTCTACACCGACATCACCTCCAGAGTCAGCGACGAGCTCGCCGATGCCGGCTACATCAATCCTCGCGTAACCTACCACGTCACCTCGATCTTCGACTCCAGTATCTTTGAAGCTCTCAGCCGTGTGATCCAGAAGCTGATTCCCGAGCTCAACACTCTCCAGAACTTGCTGAACACTCTTGCCGACGCAACTGGAATCGAGAAGGCATATCTCTTCGACATCAACAGCAAGATCTACGTTGCCAGCGATACGCGCCCTGTAGACATGGGCTCATACGATATCTGCTCGGCCATGATCGATTTCGTGCTCGATACCATCGACCTCTTCAACTATCCCAGAAAGAATCCAAAGAAGTTGGGCGCTCAGATGAATGAGGTGGAAGCTTCGACGACATTCTCCCACGATCCCTCCCTTATGGTGATCCTCAAAGAGGTCAACCGGTACGTTGAGTGTTCGCTTGCTTGTGAAGCCACTAATGTTCTGCAGCTATCTCACCCTAGTTGCCCTTATCAAGGAGAAAGATGCCAAGGATAAGAAAGGACTCATCGACTACAATGTTCATATCATGAGCGAGGCGATCAACAAGGTGTTCGGCGTCAAGGAGAAGATCGCGAAGGAAGATGCCCGCACCTCTGCGCAGGAAGAGGCTGAGGCATCGGAGGTGCAGTGAGCGCGTTCCGCAATGAAGACCGCCATACAAAGGGGCTTCGGTTGACGACGAGAGATAACACAGGCAACAAACGACTTTGTTGCAAGGACGTTAAATACTACTCCGCCCGCGTCTGCGTGGCATCATCGAAAAGTGAAAGTCCAGCGGTAGTCTTCAATGCTTTTGGTGACTCTCGCGACTGAAGATGCCTTTGCTCTTCGAGCGCGGCTAAGGTTCAGGCTACAGTGAGCTGCCCCCCACGATTGTCATCGGCCTATCTCGACCTGGCGTTGTTTAACGTAGTGACAAAGCCACAACCTCATGCTCATTGTTGCTTCGTTGTCCCTTTATCACAACCTCTCTCACGAATCGCAGCATCGTTGAAATTACCTCGGTGATCCTGCCGCTGCTGTCCAAAACAGCAAATCGTGATGTGCCAAGAAATCGCGTGCCACGCCTTGCACCAAGACCTTCGCCCGGAATGGCCACCAGAACTACATCTTCCATGACAGAGCGCTTCGAAGTTGAAGCAGAATCCCAAATTCCACTCGTCGACGATATAGTCGACCTCAACACTACAAGTCACGGCCTCCCGGAAAGTGCACCTGGCCAATCCTCTGATCGAAAGAGCGAAAATTCTCCAAGGCTTGCTCATCAGCGGGTCCAGTTCATCAAGCTCTCATCAATCGCCAGAACAGTTAGAGGATATCCTGGAGCGACTCCTCCTTTTCTTCCCGCAGCACCGTCGCTGCTGAGGGTCGCAGCGAGCGAAACCGAGGGCAACGAGCTTCTTGCTCCGCCACGCGAGCCCTCGCCTTTGCGACAGGTAGCCTTGTCAAACTACGCGAGCGCGCCCAGGTATGAGTCATCCATAACTTCATATCATCATAATTGACAACAGATTTCAGATCTAAAATGCCACACGCTGTCAGCATGCCACAGTCGGGCTTTCAGGCCCTAGTCTTGTGTGGCCCGGGCATCGGCCTGAACACATTCACGAGCGTGCCTAAGGAATTCCCCAAGGCCTTGGTTGAAGTTGCAAACCGGCCGATGGTCTGGTATGTCCTTGACTGGTGCTATCGCATGGGGGTTACGGACATCACTCTCGTCACACCACCGGAATCAAAGGAGACGCTTGCGGCTGCACTGGCACAGAATCCACACCTAACCTCGCTACCGTCACCAAGCCCAGATTTGATTGCACCCGCGGATCTTGAGTACGAAACTGCAACAGCAGAACTGCTCCGTTTGCCAGAAGTTCAGAAAGCCATTAACTCCGACTTCGTTCTTCTTCCTTGTGACCTCATCTGCGAGGTTTCAGGAGAAACATTTCTCGACACCTACATTTCTTCCCTGGGCGGCCTTGGAGGCGTTGGTATATCCTCTTCAGAATATGGATCCCAACGGCCGCCCATCGCCGGCATGGGTGGCGAATCCAGTGGTCGGCGTGGGGGCTTGTCTGTTTGGTACAACACCGCCAACCGCGAGGAAAGCGTGAAGAAAGAGGAATGCGACTTCATGTGCACCGCCAAGCTACCTTCGGTCAACACTTCACCTATGGCCACTCTCAAATCCAACAATACGGGCACGCTTCGAAAATTAGTATGGACGACTCCGATGTCCGAGATCAAAGAACAGACTGCCGATGACAAGGCACTTCGAATCCGCTCCTCACTCCTCCGCAAGCACGGCAATGTTAAATGCCTGACCCAGTATCGCGACGCTCACATCTATTTCTTGCCTTATTGGGTGAAGGAGTTCGCCGCTCGTAATGAAGAGTTCGAATCCGTCTCAGAAGATCTCATTGGTACTTGGGCAAAAGCCGAGTGGCGCAAACCCGACTTTCGTGCACGATTCAGCACTGCTCAGATTTTCATCAAGCCTCCACAAGATACCGAGACTGTTGAGCCCTCTATCGAGGACGAGATCGATCTTCTCTCATTCTCCTCCACACAGAGTCCTGTGCAGCGGCCTACCACGCCACCACATCAGAGACACGAGGTCAGACTCGCCACCCGCGTACATGCCAATCCAGAGGACTCCATCCTCAGTGACCCCTCTAACGCTCCTTCGGACGCCTCCACTACGTCGAACCCCCCGATGCCTCCTATTGGAGCCTACATCCTGCCCTCTGCCCCTACCGTACCGCTTGTCCGTCGCATCGATACCACGCCGCTCCTGCTATCTGTCAATCTCCTCCTCGCCAAAACCCCATCCACTGATGACGGTGCAAGATCTGGCGTTACAACGTCTTCGCCTTTCGCGCACTTCGCCAAGGTGGCGGCAACGGCAACGATCGCTGCACAGGTGACGATCAGCAAATCTGATAGCCTTGTGGGTGACAACACGAGCATCGCAACCCGATGTGTAGTGAAGAACAGTGTCATTGGCGCAAACGTCAGTGTGGGCAGCAAGACGCGGATCATTGGTAGCGTGGTCATGGATGGCGCAGTGATTGGTGAAGGCGTGGAGCTGAATGGAACGGTGGTCGGGAAGCGTGCGAAGGTGGGCGATAAGAGTAAGTTAACTGGGTGCGAGGTGCAGGATGGAAATGCGCTAGGGGAGGGAGTCGAGGGCAAGAACGAGACGTTCTTAGTGGGTGGGCTGGAGGATGATGATGATGTTGATGATGATGACTACGTGAACGAGATCGAGGATGGTGAGCAAGGAGGAGAGGGAATCAGTCTGATTTGATTCAACTTGAACAATCGAGCCAGGTATTATCTAACTTTGACAACAGTATAGATCAAGGAGAGCCTTCGGTTTCGTCGCAGACGGTGGTTTTGGGTAGATGGCGACAAAGACCTGGACAACCATACTAGAATCGTCGTTCGCTCGACACACATTACGACCACGTTCTCCGGCATTTAGATACTGTCGCCCTTCCATTTTGCTTCTTGATTCTTCTTCCTTCGTCATTGGAACTCCTGTTATCGGAAAAGAGCATTCTACTCAGGGCCCAGTACGCGCTGCTTCTGACGGCGCACACACACACACACACTCTCTCTCTCGCCCCTACATTCGCACATGACCCATATCTCCTCCCTCTCGGAACCTTCTTCCCATGGCCCCCCCCGTCAAAGATCCACCAGAACCCTCCCCATCTCACCTTCTTCACTTTAGCACCCAACCTCACGACTCCTTCACGACCTCCTGCGCCTCCTCATCCCACCTCCACCCTCCACTCTTCCCACCCCGTTTCGCAACCACGCGCCCCTCCCCCAAGCACATGCCCTTATCCACCCCCTTGAGCATATCATACAGCGCCAGCCCCGCCACCTGCGCCGCCGTCAGCGCCTCCATCTCCACGCCCGTCTTGCCCTCGCAGTCGACCCGAGCCGTGATGCGCGCGCCGCCAGACTCCCTTGGCGTCGTGTTCGTCGACTTCACATCCGCTGCTGCTGAGCTTGATGACTCGGCGGGCGCCAGAACTTCAATGCCCACATTCACGTAGGTGATCTGCAGCGAAGGGTGCGCGAGGGGGATGAGCGTCGAGGTGAGCTTGGCGGCTTGGATGCCGGCGATGCGCGCGACGGCCAGGGCGTCGCCTTTGTGCAGGGTGGCGCTCGTGAGGGCTGCGTGCGTGGTGGGCGAGGAGAAGCTGAGGGTGCAGGTTGCGGTGGCGGAGCGGGCGGTGGGGGCTTTGTGGGTTATGGAGACCATGTGTGCTTCGCCTTGGGAGTTGAGGTGGGTAAGTGATGGTGGAGATGGGGTGGAGGAAGGAAAGGGGCTGGTTGAGGCTGTTGAAGACATGGTTGCGGGTGGTTTGGTTGGGGTTTCTGAATAGATTTCGTTGGAGTGTCTGGAGGTCGTTGAGAATGATGCAGTTTGTAAATGGTTCGGTAGGCGCGCTCTGAGTAGGTGCAAAGGTATGTCTGATATGGCAGATGCTCGCAACAGGGGAGACGGGGAGGCTAGACGTAATGGGGTGGGCCGCGACGAGCGTGCGGAAGTGTGCTCTACGACACCATGAACAATCAGTAGAGGCCAACGAAATCGGGCGAAGAAGGATATGCGAGGTGTCCGGTAAGCCTGTCATGTCCATATCCCGCATTATATCTATATTTTTGTCTTCGTGTCGCCGTAATGCTCCGCCAAATGTAGTGGTATGGGCGACTGGGTATAGAGGAATATGTTCACCCACCAATCAAAATCATAGGCCTGTTTTCCATATGTTCGAGCTCACCCATGCCAGCGTGTTTCTCTTTCTTCCTCTTGACCGCCATGCCGATGACGTCGAGTAGTTTCGCTTCACGCCGCGAGACGCCAAGAGCGCCTGTGCTGCTGGACAGACCTTGCCGTCGGTCCATTTCAACCTGCTTGATCGCCTCCATGGCTTCTTGATCAATCGGTTCGCCGTTGTTAGATTCGCGGAGGATATCACGCAATGAGACTTCAGCATTGCCAAAGAGGCAGACTTTGAGGTTGCCGTCGCTAGTTATGCGCAGACGGTTGCAGGTGCCACAGAAATTATCCGTCATACTCGTGATGAAGCCGATGCGACCAACAAAACCAGGAACTTTGTACGTCTTGCTTGTGTCGTTTGGGTGGCCCGTGGCTTTACCCACGGATGGATACTTCTCCCGGATAATGGCAAGCATTTCCTGATAGGGGAGCATCTTTCTCTCCGACCACTTATTTCCGTCAAAGGGCATATACTCGATGAAGCGCACTTCAAGGTCTTGCTCTTTGCCCATTTCAACAAAGGGGATGATCTCGCGCTCGTTGATCCCACGCATAACGACGCAATTGATCTTGAGCTTGATCCCAGCGCCCATCTTGTTCATCTCAAGAATGCGGTTCATGGATTTCATCACAGCGCTATGGCCATTTCGCCGGGTCATGATTGCAAATAGTCCTTCAGACAAAGTATCCAAGCTGAGGTTCACAGCCGTCAGGCCGGAATCCACCATCGCATCCAGCTTACGGTATAAGGAGATGCCGTTGGTGGTCAGACATAGCTCTTTGAGTCCGTTGTTTCTCAACTGACCAATCTGCTGCATCAGATTCACGATGTCTTTTCTCACCGTAGGCTCTCCGCCAGTCAGGCGAATCTTATCCACGCCTTGGTCAACGAAGACGGAGGACAGGTATACGATTTCAGGAGTGGTCAAAAGATGGGCCGGTGGCGAGAGCTGAACGCCCTCCTCGGGCATGCAGTAGGTGCATCGTAGATTGCAGCGCTCCGTCACAGATATGCGCAGGTAATTATGCTCGCGAGCATAGTTATCTGTGAGAAAGGAAGAGAACTGCCGAGGCTCAGGTTCGTTGCGCAGCCTCTGGAGGCGGGTGGGCGGCGCTCGAGGTTGATCGCCTGGGACAGTGTGAGGCTGCCACCGTGGAGGAGGTTCCGTAACTTCGGTCTGGCGTACTTCAGCAGCGGTGGAGAGGAGTCGCCGATGACATCGGAAGGCTTTGCCACCGCGGAAGCATGGTCGAGTCTGCCGTATGAAGGACGATATCATCTGCTGGACGGTAGCCTCAGACATGTCGAGGAGTAATTCGTAGGGACTTGTGGGGCAGCATGCAGCAGAGAAAGCATTATCCAGAGTCCAGCATCTTAAAAATTGTCCCTCTCTACGCGCGAGGGTCGCGCGAGTAGGTGATTATTCACATCGCAGAACCCCGCCGCGGAGACCTCCTCTGACGGTATTCCCCCAAAGACTGTCCTACCTAACTAACACAATAAGGCAGCCAATGAAAATTCACGTGACTTCATCGGCGATTCCTTTCACCGTTCCAGGATGCCGAGCATGCTGGAAGTGCATCGCTGCGCTGCGCCACACGGAGGCTCGGAGCCTCGCTCGAGTTCGCTCTCGCTACTCAGTTTCTCGCTTCGCTTACGGCCGACCAATGTATGGATATGTAGAAACACAGCCGCGGGGCATACCGCGGGTGGAGGACCACTGGCTGTGCAGCGGATGCTGGCAGAAAGTGCGAGTGTTACTTGTACAGACACCGCCAATGGACAGCGGCTTTTTGGTCGGAGCCTGCCTGCGACTGCCCATTATTTTCAGAGACAGTGACTGTTTCGGAAGGCGCGGCAGTTCCTGGCCCCTGCCCATCTCACTCGTTATCGTTGCGCCAAATCATTCTAACAAACTTTGTAGCATGCTTTACAGCATACTCATGCTCCATCAAGGGGTATTGCTCAGAAGGCAAAAGATTGTGTCGCTTCACGAGCCCTGACGGGCAAACAGTGAGTTCTTGCGGTCAACACCCTCAGTACCAAGATAGGATGACGAAGTGCAAGAGTCGACCAAGGCATCCAAGATCCTTGGAAGTCCTTGAAAAGGTGGGGCGTTCACGACCAATCAGCTGTGTGACTTCCATTTGAGAAGCCTGAAGTGATTCCTGAATCAAGCTGCGCCTCAACCCCCCCGACTGCCCCGGGCCACTTCTCCTACCTGCGCGCCGTCTGGTTTCACCCTTCTCTTCCAACATCTGCCGTTTCGTGCTCTCGATTCCCTTTCAATCACTAACTAACGTTCGCTTTTCCATCTTCCTCGACACGCGTCCTTTGACATAGCTCTACTACCAATTCTTGTGTGCCTCTGTTGAGTTGAATTCACGATCAGAGAGCTGACGACGCCTATCCGACACCCGGCCTAAAAATAGGCAGCACTCAATACGCCCTCCTACCAAGTACCCTCGATCATGTCCCATCTCAATACCAACTTCGAGTCGGACATGGACTCATTCCTCAATATTCCTCAAGAGGACTTCACACCCGCCTCTACATCGCCCAACAACCAGGTATCCCAGTTGGCCTCGCAGTCGTCCCACTTCGCGAGCAGCAACCAAACCTTCTCCGGGCCCAGCTTCCAGTACGATGCGTACCGCCAACAGACTGGTCTGCCTGCGGGAGGTCTAGCCAATACCTTTGCCGTCAACCAGACCGCTGGACTGCAACATTGGGATGGCCAGGGCAGCTTTGTCATGCCCTCCGAGTCCATCAACTTGCCCCTGAGTAAGATCGAGGACTTTGACTTCGCCCGTATGGAGGACATCGATTTTGATGCCGATTCTCCTACCCTTTTCAATGGTGCTCAAGGACAATTTGTCAGTCCTACAACTCTTGTCTCCAGCGGCTCGAGTTCCTCGTCTATGCAACGCATCTATCCTGGCATGCATAGCCAGGCCGCCCAAGCCAAGGCCCAACAGGCCAAGCAACAGCAAGAGATGATCCGCCAACAGCAGCAGCAGCAAGCCGCTCGTCCTCTGCCTGCTGGCCAGAAGCCTCTGCCGAAGGGTCAGCCCACTAAGGACCCCCGTGTGGAGGAAAGCATCTCTCGCATCCTGAATCAAATGAGGCAGAAGAGCACTGACACCAAGGAGGAGGATTCCCCTAGTCCCAACGTCTCCAACATGCCCCGCTCTAAGAAGGATGAGGAGGACATGGACGAAGATGAGCGTCTCCTGGCCAGTGAAGAGGGCAAGAAGCTGTCCAGCAAGGAGCGCCGTCAACTCCGCAACAAGGTTTCTGCTCGTGCCTTCCGATCTCGCAGAAAGGGTACGTATTCCACATTCTTACTTTGGCCGCCACTGATCATTTCATAGAATACATTGGCCAGCTTGAAGGTGAACTTGCTGCGAAAGTTGAAGAAGGCGCTGTACTCCGTACCGAGAACCAGCAGCTACGCGAGGAGAACAACAGGCTCACGGATCTCACTCGCATGCTTCTGTCCTCCCAGGCTTTCTCCGGTTTCTTGCAAGAGCTAAGCCAATCTGGCATCCCACCCCCTGTACAGCAACGACCTACTCAGCAGCCCACCCCTCAGGAGCGTCCACAATCGCAGGCCCAGCGCAAGGATGTCAATCCCCACCAAGCTGCTCGTCAAGTCCAATCTCAGCAACCTCAGATTGGCATGGCTTTGATGCCCGAAACCAACATTGACCTCTCTTTGTTCGACACTCCCTCTTGGAACTCCGGTATCAACGCCAATGACTTCCAAGTTTTCGCGGTCACTGAGCTTCCCGAAGGCCCAACTCTAGATCTGAGCGTGGCCACCGAGAAATCCAACTCCCCAAGCGGCGGCTTCGATGATACGAAGCTTCAGCCCTGCCTTCCTGAGTTGCCGCCTTTTGCCGAATCGCTTCCTACCTTCCAGCAAGAAGCTAAGGTCGATGCTCCAACGGTCCCGGTCTGCGCTGTACCTGCCGCCGATTCGTTTGCGACTACCGCTTCGATGACCACGGCTGGGTGCTCTCTCCGAAAGTCTACACTAGGTCCCGCCACACCATCACGATCCCTTGAAGCGCTGTGTTCGGACCTAGAAGAGTCGTGCAAGCGCCTCGCTTCGCTATTGCCGCGAGATTGATGACCTTATGAAATCTGGCGTTGATGGTTTGCAAATGATCCAATGTTGTGGCAGGCAGGCCATTTTGTGTATAGATAGCTCGAGCTAGCTTCGCAATGACAAGCTCAAAAACTTGAACTGTATTCCCTGTTTCGTTGAATCATTCAGCTCCTTCGTAGAGGTTGATTTTAAGTGCTTGTGTGATCAGCCTACGAGACCCGTAGGTCGCAAAGTGACGTAGCGCGCAACGAAGACCGCGGCCTTTTTTTTGGCGGTGTCCGATGTGAATCGTCGTTCACAAGACATCAGCCCTTCATCAGTCTGACCGTCCTACCACGTCGTTCTTTACTTCAAGTGATAGTCACAGCGTACCTGCGTGTACGATCTCTTGGGACCTCGGCGCGCTGGCTTTCTCGTTACCATTTAAATTGTATAAGTCCCCTGCACTTCCTACAATCCTGCGCGGGCGCGGCCGAATTCGCCTTCGAAGAGGGGCCACATGTCCGAGATCAGTGGATTGCTCAAATCTCATTAGCTCTACCCGCTCACTACCTGTCGCTTTCTCCCGGACATTCACAGTACGCTCTTCAGCTCACGAAACCCATCGCCATGAGCAAGACGTTAGACCGCAGAAAGTTAAGAGTCATCAACAGATTCGCAATTCGGACATAGAGTCTAAGAGACGATTTGGGAGTAGATCAGTGGAAAAGTCGTTGGCTACGAGACTCTACGAAGTCATCTTTACCGGGCGGTCTTTGCTCTGGCGATACGGACGGACTATGGAACAGCCAAAGATGACGGGTACCGAGCGACAGAGCTACGGCATCCAAATCTTGACGGCTCCGACAGCTGATACACCAGGCACATCTGTTGCGTTAACGTTCGGCCGGAAGAGGTATCTGTTTGGCCATCTAAGTGAGGGCACTCAAAGATCTTTAATTCAACGGAGCTACGGGATGCGCAAGTTGAGAAATATCTTCTTGACCGGTATCACAAACTGGCAAACCAATGGCGGCCTGTTGGGTTTCATTCTGACCATCGCTGATGTTCAAGCTGGTGAGCGCGAGACAGATGATTCGGATCGACGACCTCCCATCCACATCCACAGCGGACCCAAGCTACTCCATACACTAGCTGCCGCAAGAAGATTCATTTTTCGAACGGGCATGCCTCTCACAATTACAGAGAGTACATGTGAGGCATCTGCATGGCCTTCCGAGCCATCATACACGGACGAAAATATCCGTGTATGGAGCATACCAGTCAAGAATGCCAGTTCCGACTCTGCGAATGTCTCAACTCCAGTCACCAACCCGGAAGTGCAACGGGAACAGGACATGCGGGCTAAGATTGTCCGAGACATGTTCGACTCCGAATGGCGACGGGACAGGCTTATTGAGACTCCATTCAAAGATGTAAAAATGCCAGCGATGGTCTTCATTCGCGACCCCGAGACCAAGGAGTTAAAAGGAACGCACTGCCCAACCCACGAAAGCGCGTCACATATTCAGCCCAGCCAAATCGTGCTTGTACGAAACCCCTGGCCAGCGTCCTTGGTGGGGAGCCTTCCTCCTGCTTCAGGTCTTGCCACTGATGTATCTATGTCATATGTCGTCCGCGGTCATCAGCAGCGAGGCACTTTTGACCCGAAGAAGGCAATCGCACTAGGTGCCAAACCCGGCCCTATATTCAGCGAGCTGACTGCCGGACGGTCTATAACACTTGAGAATGGCAACATAGTGACTCCTGAGATGGTGCTTGGTCCACAGCGGATAAGCAAAGGCATTGCCGTCTTTGATCTCCCATCTCCTGAGCATTTTTCATATTTCAAGAATCTCTTGTCGGAGGCTCCGCCATCAAGTCTAGACGACATTGCCACTGTTGTTTGGATACTTGGTCCGGGCGTGGCTGCAACCGAAGAATTCAAGAATCTGTTGAAGTCGCTCGACAAACTGCAACACATTGTTAGTGACGCCGACACCGCCCCAAACAAGCTATCGTTCGAATCTGCGGCCCTAGCGACTACCAGGTTAGCGAAGATCAATCCCATCAATTTCTCCGTGCCGGTACATAGCAAGGACCAGTACTTGGACCAGTCAAGACGCTTTGTATCGTCTGGTGTTAACGTTCTGCCCGTCCAGCCTGGACTGAAGATCAATTTGGAACCCAAGTACGCAATTGTCAGTGACGAAGTCCCGGAGCTGGACCTTGACAAACTGGAGACGTTGGAACTTCCTGAGAGTATTGTGAAAATGCAACAACCTCCGCGATCCTCTGACCTGCCGCCTGGAGATGCCCTAACAGAGCCGGAGCTCATCACTCTAGGGACAGGGTCAGCCATGCCGTCGAAATACCGCAACGTCTCCGCAACTTTGGTGCGCTTGCCACATAAGCAAGGCAATTTCTTGCTAGACTGTGGCGAGAATACGCTCGGACAACTTCGACGGACATTCCCAGCAGATGAACTGCAAGAGGTTCTACGAAATCTGCAAGGGATATGGATCTCCCACCTTCACGCAGATCATCACCTGGGGACAATCAGTGTTCTCCAGGCACGAGCCAAAGCTTTTGATGCTCTTGGTCCGGAAGGCCGGACGGCGGACCGGACAATCTATCTAATGTCCGAGCAAAACATGATCGACTTTGTGCGCGAGTATTCTTCCGTTGAGCCCTCGCTGCTCTCATCTTCCGGCTATGTTCCTCTAGTCTGCACCCCTCAAGAGGGCCCTACCCTTGATTCACAACCTTTCGACCTCGCGGCGTCTTCGTCCTCGTTGCAGCGCATCGAAACCGTTAAAGTCTCCCATTGTGCAGGCGCCCAAGCTGTGAGCCTCACTTTCAAGTCAGGCTTCAAGGTCTCCTACTCGGGCGACTGTCGGCCGTCTTACAACTTCTGTCGCGTCGGACTCGATTCCGACGTGCTGATTCACGAGGCCACATTTGACGACGAAATGCAAGGCGACGCCATCGCGAAAAAACACTCTACGACCGCAGAAGCGCTGGGCATAGCCGTGAAGATGCGAGCCAAGAACGTCCTGCTGACGCACTTCAGCCAGCGGTATAGCAAAATCCCGAATCTCAGCAACGTCAAAGCTGCAGACGAGATTCAGTACGAGGAGGGCAACGCCAGCCAGGACGCCGAGCCCATTGAGGGTGTTGACGGTGCTCCTTCAGTCGACGAGGCCTCACGGCCAGCTGCAAGGGCCAAGAAGCCCGCCCCATTGCTCCGCTCACTGGCTTCCAACCTCCCCATCGCCATAGCGTTCGACTTCATGCGCATCAAAGTGAGCGAGATCGCGGCCGCGAAGCAATACTACCCGGCCATCCAAGTCATGTTCGAGCTGCACGAAGCGCTCAATGAGGAGCGCCGGGAAGAGGCGCGAAAGGCACAAGAGAGCGTGGCCAAGACCAAGACGGCCAAGAAACAGGGCTGGCAGCTGGAGAAGGAGAAGGGAACGGGCAAGAAAGCCAAGAAGGGCGAGAAGAAGGAAGAAGGTGGGATGCCGACCAAGGCGAACGGTGAGCGGCCCTCTTCTTTCCGTCCTGGTCGCAATGGGCCAATTGTTGAGACAACGCAGAAGAATCCTCAGACGCCCTCTCACAAGCGAACGGTAGCATCGTCGCAGGGCAGTAGAGATGCCTCGCCCTCGTCCTCACCGCCGGCTGCTGTTACGACCATGAGCAAGCGTGCGCTGAAGAAGGCGGCCAAGAGGGCCGCGACAGAGCAGATTCTGGGGGATTTTGCGAAGAAGCGCAAAGCCACTGCTACTACTGCTGCTGCCGCCGCCGCCGCCGCCGCCGCCGCTGGTGATGCTGGTGCCGCTGGTGATGCGAATGGAGAGCCGAGCTCGGGTTCGGGAACGGCTGCGTCGCTGGACGCGCCCGGCAACAAGGGGCGTGGCGAGTCAGGTCCCCAAAGGACTCTATAGAGCATTTGACTCCGACTCCAGTTCCCGAGAATTACCAGGTGCCGAGTTGCTGCTGCTATGGTAGCATATAGAGAGGAGGAGAGGAAAGGGAGAATTCGCTAGAAAAATAGATCGTCACCTCTTCCCCATTCAGCCATCTCTATCTACCCTGCGTATTTGTGCTTCTCTGTTCCGTGTAATCTCTTTTTCTAGAAATCTTGGTTCACAAAAGGGCGGGAGGTACGAGTAGTCCATTAAGCGATGAACCGACCGCCCTTTGGCTTCCAACCACTTCAAAAGCGTGGGTGTGGTAGTAGTGGATTGTTTGTTATGTCTTCCATCAGGTATCGATGCTGTTTCTTTTTAGTCCTACCGAGCCATACATGCATGCATGCATGCATGCTCTCTGCCTTTCTGCCTCTTCACAGACGAGGACGCGGGGCTAAGGAACAGCGATGGCCAGCAGCCAGTATCTTCAATCAGTATCTTCGGTCAGATTGCATCATGGAGCGATACATATCAGGAGAAGAGACCTAACTACGGTAGCAAGTTGGATCACATGCTTTCTTATCAAACTGTTTTATTCGATGTTATGCAATCAAACAGAGCTACCGTTCTATGGACCACCGAATCGCTTCTATCTCTTCGTCCTGGTTGGCGTCCGTAAAGATGAACGATATCTGATGGAGGCCCCCAGCCAGGAATGATGCCTGCTCAGTTGAAGGAGCTTCTGGCTAGGGCCTTTGGAAGTTGTAGTTTTCTCTTCGTGTCAAAAATCTTAGGTAGTGCTCCGGTGAATGTTGGGGTTGGGTGTGTTGAGATCTGGTAGGGCAACAATGGTGTAGATCTTGGTGTATCGGTGTGAACGTGCTAAGGGGTATCAGATGTGAAGTCAAACAAGTGCAGGGTACTTCGTGCTGTAAGGGTCGTGGGCGTGGCGTGGCGTGGGGGGTGGAATGGAGCGAGGCGAGGTGAGACGACAGCTTTCAAGAGGGTGGCAACCCGTTATCGTGGACGCCTCCTGGCAACCATAGGTTCCGAAGGTCGAGAAAGTCGCTGCAGAAGATTTCTGAACAGCCCAGGCCTCCAATATGGACAGCCAAGAGTTTGCTGTCATCGACCACACCAGAAGGTGGGATTTCGGCAGGGCGGACCAGACTATACTTCTTCATCTTCATCACTTTCGACGGAGTTTTCTAAAGTGTACACCGAAGAAGAGTGTGGAATAGCGCCGAGGCTGAGCATACCACGGGAGATGGTAGTCGTCAAAGGGTTCTGCTGTCTTCTCGCCTCTTCTTGACCAGGAAGCGGGGGCGGGGGCCATCGTCGCTGAACAGGCTTTCTGGGCTCTGGACTACCGTGGTCGCGTCAGACAGCAGCAGTGTTTCGTCTTTCCAGAGGTCAGCCATCAAAGAAAGGGTGCAGCGTCGATGGTGAGGTGCTAGACTGTGCTAGGGCGGCAGGGACGTCGGTCGTGGGGCCGGGGGCGGGGTTGGAGCGGGTTCTTTGATGGTGACTTTTCGGGCATCAGGTTTATTTCATGGCTTCACCTTGATGACCACTTGTCTGTACTTTGACGACTTGGCGCGCCCACTTCGCCGTCTGTCTGGTGCGGTCCGAGAACTCGCGAGTGCTTCTAGTTTCTTTGATGAGTCTAAGGACGGGCTCGGATCCAAAGTAGCTGGCGAGCTGGCCGTCTGGGAAGGTCTCGCCAAGATCACTAGAGACATTAGTTCTTTTTCATAACAGTACCGGAGGTCAAAGACTTACCCAATCAGGCCCATGCACGCCCTCAGGAGGCCCTCATTGTGGTTGCCGTCCTGTGAAACGCTCTCAAGGAAATTGAAAATTTGCTGCACAAAGCCCTCGATCAAGTTGACCTTAGGAGTCCCCTTGAAGGCCATGACCATACCTCCCCAGGCATCAGCAATGCCAGAGCGAAGGGAGACAATGTAATCCAACATGTCAAAGGTGACATCTGGAGCGGCCGAGACTGTGCGAGCCTGCTCCAAGACATTGGCAACAGTTTGAGCATATGGCTCGAATGCCTGGCCAATAGAGGTGGCGATGTCGCCGAAAGTCTCCAAGATAGGAGGCTTTAGCTGATTCGCGATCTTGTTGGACGCAAGAGCGTTCAGCAAATAGTTCATAAAGGTATCGCAGAAGCGCTGCGACTGAGCCTCCAGGGCACGGACAACGTCGCTGACCAACCCAATAGCCAGAGAGCACATGTCGGGGGCCTCGTGGTTGCCGAGAGCGTTGTACAGGTATGGGGTGAAATCGTCCATGTACCGCTCAAATTGGGCACCGAGAGCATTGGCCAAACCAGAAACAATCTGGAAGATGACCTCGGGAACACTCGTGTGAGAGGCGTTTTTCAGAACTTCTAGATTCACAGACATGATGGCGTTAGCCATCTCCACGTTAATACTGCCCTCAAGTCTCTGGACGATGGCGAGTAGGACAGAAGCCAGGCTGACCTGCAGCTCTTCGAGCTGTAGTTTGTCGTCAACACTGACAAGCTGATTCTGGTACTGGATCGTGGCGTGCAACCGCTGGATGATCTCCGCGGTCAGGCTCTCAACCAACGGCTTGCTGTCGCTGGCAGTATTTGTGACGAAACCGCCCAGCACCTCATAGGCAGCCGTGCGGACAGCGGCATCAGGCTGGTCCTGCTTAGCAGTAACAGCGAGCAGAATCTTAACGCTCTCTTCGAAATATGGTGTAAGAGAGTTGGTCGGCGAGTCCTCAGGACCCACGAAGCGCTCGGTCAAGTTGAGTAGGGCCAGGCAGCAAGAGGCGGCAATCTTGGGATTGCTCTGCAGCCCATGGAAGAGGGCTTTCATCAAATCCGGCAGGTGCTCGGTTGGGTCAATACAGTCGGCGCAGTAGTCGCAGATTCTGCTCAATGCGTATGCGGCAGAGTCTTGCACCTGGACTTGAGAGTCCTCGAGCATGGTCTTGAGAAGGATTGGGAGCGCTTGTTTAACAAGAGGGTCCAGAATCTTGATGTCGGGACCATCCATGATGGCACCAAAGGACGAGACAGCAGCATCTCGTTCACGCCAGTTCTGGCTTCGGATGTACTGCTCGACGAACTGAAGCACAATAGGCACGACATCGCCGCCGATGGTCTGAGCGAAAAGCTGCAAGCACTGGTACGCAGCACGGGCAACATTGTACTCTTCATCCGCATCATCCTCCTCCACCTTGGTCATCAGCATCAGAAGCACGGGAATGACTTCTTTAGATGCGACACGGGCAAACTGGAAAAACGGCCGCAGCTCGGTTGAGCCTTCGTTTTGCGCCTGCTGGTTGTCGTCATCAATCGAGATTTCTTCCTCACACACAGTACACCAGAACTCGATCGCCAGCTTGGCAACGTCCTCTTCATCGCTCTTCATGCCACCAACAGTGAGACCGAACAGGGCACGCTGCATGTAGAAGCTCATTTCGTGGTAATAGATTCCCATGATGCGGTTCAGACAGCCAAAGGCGGCGGCCTGGACTCGGGTGTCTTCGGCTTGTGTGGCCTCGCAGACAACCTGCATGATGTAATTTCGCTCGTTCTCCTTCTCAAAGTTGGTGCGAATGAATTCGGTAGCGTCGCTGAGCGCCGTGAGGGCAGCCAGTCGGACTTCTTGATCAGGCTCTTCCTTCTTAGCGCCCGTTACAACGGCGGTGAGAATGGCGTTGCTCTGAGTGATCAGAACCTCACGCAACTCCATATCTTCGGACTCGCAGATGAAACCAATGGTGGTCAAACTTGACTGCTTGACATTTGATGAATTGGGATCCGTGCTCTGGACGTTCTTAACCAGGATGTCCATCAAATCGCGCCATTCACCCCTCGGCAGCTCGATGGCGGCAATGGCAGCGATGAGTTGGGCAGCGGACGCGGCGGCCAGGCCAGCCGAGTGAAGGGTCTGGAGCGCATCTGATCGGACTTTATCCTTGACGTCGGGAGCAACTTGTTGCAGCCATCTGCCCTGGACCTCCCGTAGACGGGTCAGGTCGCGATATGTGAAAGCATTTTTGAGGGCAAGGCCAGCGGCCTGGCGGACAGGGGGGCTGCTAGCCTCGTTGGCAAGTTCGGAGGAGAGAATAGAGAGGTACGCTGACTAACGCAAGAGTCAGTGATAGCTTCTGATGGAGTAGCCCTGGTGGAAGACTCACAAAGTCGGTCTGCTCGGCGGTCCTCAGTTGCTGCTCGGCATCACCACGAACTTTGGCATCTGCGCAGACGATCACATTAGCGGGGCAATGTTGACATGGACCGAAAAGAGAACAACATACCAGGCGAGAAAGTGCTCTCCAGCACAGCCCTGACATCCATGCTGGGCGAAGTAATGTGCGTTCAAATAAGATGCACGAGGCAGCCTTGTTGGAGGAAAGGAGGAAGTGGGATGCAGATTGTGGTCGAGACTGATTGGAAGGATCGGCCCGTTTGGGGTGGGTGCAGCAACAGGTGGCTCGGGAAAGGAAGGAAAGGCTCAATACTCTCCCAAGTGCGGAAATAAATGGGAGTCAAGAGTCAAGGAGCGTGCAAGTAAAGTCGTGACGATAGGTAGGAGGGTAGAGGGCAGAGCAGGCGGCTGTCTGGTAGAGTCAAGGCGCAGGCCTTCTTGTGTGGGATGATTTATTTTCGCTGCATTGGGCCGGTTTAGCCTTGTTTGGCGGCTTACAATAGAGACTTTTAGTCCTCCCTGGCCTCTTTCGTCATGGGTGCCGTTGCCTGGCCAATCATGAGCTAGTATCTAGTTCCAACACCATGAAGCCCATGTCTGCCTCGTCGGTCACTACGACACTGCTTGTGCCCTTTCTACCATTCACTGCCAGCCTGTGAGCATTCATGCCACTTCCCATAGCCCCTTCCGCGAACGAGTGGATGGCTCGCCCTTCTCCATTGTCTCCGAACAAAGGCTGCCAGACAATCCTCCTGTCATCTCTGCTTTCATCCGTCTCGAGCACAAGAAAACCGTCATCATCCGCCATCTTGACGTCCAACATCTGGCCTTGTCGCTGGATACTGCTTGTGCTAGCCAGTACTGCGGGCTTTCTCGAGTCAGTGTCGAGATTGTAGACTATATGGGCAACGTGACCAGGCTTCTTCAAGAGTCGCCCAACGATATGAAGCGTAGACTGGCCACTGCCTCCAGGAGCCACGATCCTAGAATCCATATCTGTGACTGAAGGTAACTCTGAAACGTAGCTGACGATCACATTCTTCCTTAATGTCTCCGCAATCGAGCTGAACACGCCGTTGCTCCTCAGCTGCAGGACCTGGAGCAAATCACTGAGCTTCGGTAGCTCTGCCACCTTGCCGGTGCCACGGAGCCTCTTGTAATTTGCGACGAGCTCCGTATCGTTGGCGACACTTTCTGTTGGCGGCGTTTTCGGGTCTGCGCGAATGTAGTCAACCAACCGGCTCTTCTTCATGGCACTCTCAATGTAGTCCAGGATCAGTCGGATCTCAGACTCGCCCGCATACGTCTCTCTCATCTCCTCTGCACGTTCGCTGTCTTCACCCAGGGTCTGAACTTCGGTCTCCCACTTCAGCCAGCGCATGAAGGCGGCGAACTCTCGGATCTCCGTGCAGACATCACGAAGCATGTCTTCGCAGCAAAGATTGAGCGCCTCCAAGACTTCACGTACAGATCGCACGCCTTTTTCATCGAGACCGAGTCTTGACGCAGTGTCACCGAATCTGGCCAGGCCGTCCAGCCGCGACACGACGATTTGTGCCCGCTCAATCGCAGGCAATAGACATTCGCTTGCCATGCGGCGAATCATATCCAAACAGTCGCCAACCGCTTTTTCCCACCTCTTGAGTCCTCGATCCGCGACTTGGTCTACTAGCCACTCTCTGAACTTATCGTTACAGGTACCAGTCACAATCAGGTGGTACGCTTCTGTCATGAAGTTGGCGCTCTGGTTGTCTTCGGCCAGTGTTTCGTTGACGTTCTCCACGAACCGGCTGGGTAGGTCGAAGGCTGTTCTTACTTCTGCTGACAGTTGATTGGACACCTGTGTGAGATACCGGAGTAGATTCTGTAGCTGAGTGGCTTTTGTGGCGAGGATTGGAAGATTATAGGATGTCTGCGTAATGAATCGCAAACCAAGGCTGATGAGATGCAAGCTTTCCCCACCGGTTTGGGCATTGGATGGACCGTCAGGAATGGCCATCATGACTAAGAAGTGCGTTGAAAAGAAGGGGTGATTGGCATCATGCACAATCTTGACGCCTTTCAATCCTTTCGGCAGAGCTTGGGCCACGTCCACCGAGCCAACACCGAAAGAGTCGAACATGCTTATGTGCAGCATGCAGTCTCGGGAACTAGTAAGGAGGACGTCAACCATGTCGTTATCATCCTTGGCCTGAGGCGAGTGGGGGTTGTGTGCGTGAAAGATGCTGTCGATGGAACTCCGGGTGCTGAAAAGGTCGTCATCCGCACCTGACGCGGGAAGCGTGGACAGTTTCGGAAGAGCAATGTCGACTTCGACCCTGGCCAAATTGCGTGGCAGGTTGGCTCTCGCCTTGAGCAGCTTGCTCACATCCGCGTTCAACCCCTGTAGATCATCCAAGCTCACGTCAACGTCTTCTCCATCGAGTTGCTGTCGAATGCGACTGGCATTGGCAAAGTGACTGCACCAGCTGACTTTCCATACTGGCCGATCCGTCAGATTGGCTGCAGCATCACTCTCTGCTGACGACCAATTCGGCATATTGGTCGTTGACCCATACCCGGTTTTTAGGTGATGTGCAGCCTTGCCGCTGAAGCTATCAATAAGCACAACAGTGCCACTGGACAGTGCCACAGCCAGCATTTTTCCTAGTAGCGTACGTTAGCAAGCGACATAGCCTCTACAGTTCCGTGCCATCCATCCCCAAACTTACCATCGGCCCTCCACGCAAGACCTTCCACTGTTCGACTATCGTCCTCTTCGACAGGCAAACCGAAAACACGTTGTCCGTTGAACCGCCAGACGTCGACAGCATGCTTTTTGGACACCGTCGCCACTAGGTTCATCGTCGGACAGGCGGCGGTGAGCGACGAGTGACATGGCTCAAGGAGCCGCTTGACTGTCTTGTCACGCATCCTGCTCGGCTCTTAACGTTCAAGAGCTGGGCTACAGACTTGTCGGAATTAGGTCGCGTAAGGTTGGGGGTGCCCTTGATTACCGCATCGTCTGCACGGCGACGCAAAAGGTCGCTCGACTGAGAGACCTATTCGCACCGGTGGTCAGAGAGGCACCGAACACGTAGACTGTTGTGTACCAGGGTTGAGTTGTCAAGATGGTGGAAGTGATGATGTTCGAAAGGTTACTCGAGTTTGCGTGTGGTCAACAAGGCGACTACGCGCCAAGACATTTGCTTGACGCCTTGCGGAAGCGGTTGAATTGAAGCGATGGAAGAACAGATGAACAATTTTTAAATCTTCTAGTAGATGGTATCATATTCGCAGCCGGCGCAATTCTATCTTCACAACAGTTTTACCATTATTCTACATGCCAGGGTATCTTGCTAAGGGTCACTCGAAAATACTGCTAAGAAATTCGTTCGATGAGTGAACACTGCCACTGATAGCTCAATAGCGAAGATCGACAATGCTGCGCCGCCGGCTCACGCCCATCACGCATGACCTCTGGTCTGCCATGACCGTTTTGCAGCCTCACCTCTGGTGAATGGCCTCGCCCAGATAGCTCAGCTCGTCCATCAATTCCTGCATAGTAATTGAGTGAGCAATAGGGGCAGCACTGCTGTTCGATGTCGGTACCTGAGAGCTGAAAGGCAACGCACGCGGCACCTCCATTACAGCTTCACGCTTAGCCAGCGGAGATTTGAGGGTGATCTCAGAACTGGAATCATCGACTGGAAGACGGTAATGCTGGTATTGGAATCGTGCGGGGGATTCATCGAGCTGGCCCGTGAGAGCAGAAGTTTCCAGCAATTCCTCCTGGTCCGATCCGGTAGGCGATGCAGGCATGGAAGGTGTTGATGAGGTGCTCATAGTGGAACTGCTGACAGCTGTAGCTAGTTTGATCACTCCTCTTGGTGGAGGAGGCTGCTGTGGGGTGTCTTCGAAATCCGTCTCAGTCTCTGCACAAGTCTGCATCTGCTCTTTCGTCGGCGTCACGATACGCAGACCCATCAGTGTGCTCATTGGTCTGTCTTCAATGAAGCTCTCCGTCCGGTACGAGCTATGTCCAGCAGAGACGGCTGCATCGGACCAACCAGAGAAGCGCGCGGATTCGGGCGTGCCTATGTCATCCTCACTCACACTAGTATCTATGGTCGTACTTGAAAAATGACTTTGCAGTGCATTAATGTCGATTGACTCGCTAAAGATGGTGCTCGGCGGATATGCGGAAGAAGGGGTGTTCGGGAGGGTGGGCAGGCGCTTTCCAAGGTCCACGGGCTCAGCCATGCCGCTATCCTCAGCCTTCATAGCCGTTATGGGGCCTGCAGGAGTGTTCTGCGTCGATGCGACCTCTTTTAACGGGCCTAGCTGCTGGCCACGCGCGAGAGCGGTAGGAGCGCTGCCCTCCAGGACTAGCGAGTTCCGCAGCGAGGAAGGTTCGCGAGACCTCGAGCGCTGTCTCCGATGCTGCTCGAAAGACGGCATCTCGATTGGATCTGTGGTCTGTTCAGCACCCACCATTGGCCGCCTGAGTATGAGATCATGGTCAACGGGAGGCAGAGGCCTATGCATAGGTCTCGACGCAACGGGAGAGATATCCCTCGAAGAGCCTGCAGAGCTTGCCAAGTTTTGCTGATCCCTTCCTCCAGCGGAGGGCGATCGGATGCCTGAGCGAGGGCTCCTACCATCAGGGCTGCGTGATGTTGTAGGTCTGAGGGTCCTGAAGGCCTGGCGGATGCTACCTGACAAGGCAAGCCCGGGTGACTTGGACCGGAATCTTGCAGTCGAAGCACTGCCGGGTCCAGAAGTTGCAGATCGCCCACTTCTAGAAGAGGTCGAGGATGAGGGTGTAAAAAGTGGCCAGTTATCTTGAGTTTGAAATGAAGGTGAAGTTTGCAGTCTTGGAAGCTGTGGGGTCGGGACTGGCCTTGGGTTGACAAACTTATCCTGCGGGTTCATAGTACGGCGTTCTGAGCTGGTAGAGCTGATGCTTGCGTTGCGCGAGCGGTTGCCACTGAGGGCCACTGGCACGTTCAAGACGTTGACAAGCTGACCAGGCAGCATTGGACAATAAGTGGTAGATGGCTCAGCGGAATTATGGAACTCGAGGTCGTCGTCGAGCTTGTAATAGTACCAGTATGTGCCGCCCATCTTCAAGCCGCCCTCTCGTGGCTGTCGTTCGCCTGTAAGGTTGCCATCACATATGATATTAGAGAAGTTGTGGCATCCGGACCAATGCTCAGGTCCAATGCGTGAATCCCTCAGCATGGCATAAGGCATCGAGAAGTTGTCCCAAGAGCCCCACAGGGTAACTGAACGGGTGGTCGGCGGAGTGCGGACCATAAAGGTCATTAGAGTTGTAGTGGTTGACATGGCGCTGAAAAAAAGCCGCAAGGAAAGAGCCAGTGAAGGGCAATTAGCGGCAGGAACGAGCTTCTTCTCAGACTAGCATTTCGCTGGCCAGCAGACTTGATGTGATTAACGAGTGGTATAGAGAGGACACCAGGCCCTCATCTGCGTGCATAGGAAGACGGTTCATGCACCGAGACTATGTTTGGCGAATATATCGTGGCAGGCACAAGTTTTTGCAGAACGGAGGCTCAAGATGGCGAGATTAGACGGTCCCCTGCCAGATGAGCCGGTAGGTTGACTGAGTATCCGTGGCCAATGATGACGGATGAGCACGTGTCCCACGAGGATTGGTGAAATGAAACACGCGCGATGGAACTTGGAACAGGTTGGATGGGCGTTTGAGAGCAACGAATGTGGCAGTGAATACAATCGAGAAGGGCCAGGAGCCAATAGAAGGAGCAAAGAGCTGAGGAAGCGCTGAGCAAGGTGATTGCCTCTTGGTTGGTCAAGGGCTGGCGCTAACTGACGTAGTAGTTGAAGGGTCCAAAGAGAGGGTCTTAGAGACGAGACCACAAGATGACCTCGACGTGGTTCACCAGGCAATGGCAGGAGCAGGGCTGGTGTTACAGGAACGTGCGACGTGGACTTGAAGCTCGCGCGGAGGAGGAAGGAGGCGGGAGAGCCATGAAATACGGATATTGATCAGAGGTTCGTACGGCAAGGCCTGACGTTCGTGCTTTCCATGGTTCGGGAGTACATACCCTTGCCAACTTTTGGCCAGCAGAGCTTGCTGAGGACATCCCAGTTCCGTATCTTTGGCTCGCGTGGCTGGCACGCCATATCGATGGAACCGAAGGGCAAGACTCAATCAAGATTAGGTCACGCCGCAATGGGAGACACGACGGATGACCCAGCGTGATGATTGGTGGCTGGGGGGGACAATCCAATTAATTGCCAGAGTCTAAAGGGCGACGACAGGGGTGTTGCTAGCTGCGATTCATGTCAAAACCCACTCTTGGATCGAGTCCGTAAGGGTCCAGCCATGGACTGGGACGTGTCATGGCCAGCCTTCCGAGTACCTTACCCAGAATCTGACTTACGGTCGCTCAGCCGTGCCGTTGTCCTCGGTCAAGTTGAGCGGCTGCAATGTATGACAAGCCCGGAGTACGGAGTGCCGGCTCACACAAGCACAAAGCTGCAGCGCCCAGGGCATTGTCCGGCTCTCCCGAGGTCCCGCTGCACGCGATGGCTCGCAGCGCCAGATCGACGGCCATGCCTGGAAAAGGCGGCGGTTCGCCCAAGGATGATTTAGGGCTATTTAGGGCTATTTAGGCGCGCCCGTCTCCTAGTACCAGTAAGATACATTTACTCCGTACTCCGTTACTCCCTCCATCCATCAACGGAATGTGTCAGCCATGTAACGGGTCGACGTGTGCAAGAGTCGGCCATCATTGACGGCAATGGCACTTGCCGATACGTCCTGATAATTCATGAATCACTCTGATGGGGACGTGAGACCTCGAGACGCTCGCCTCACAATTGCTGCTGGCCGTGGCTCCTGGACCAGTCGTGCACTCTGCAAGCGCCGGGCTTGAAACGCGACCCAGAGAAGTCCACGCTTTGGTCTTGGCTTCAACACTTGAGGCTCAGCAGCGGAGTAAAGCAGATGTTGCGGCAGAATTGCAGCTCTCTACCGAGCCAATAAGAGCAGCTTCAGCGAAAAGATCGGCCCTCGTTTCTGATATTGTGAATGAGTTGGGTATTACAATTACCCCAACTGTGCTTATGGTAACACATATGAAGAATCCGCCGCGATCCCTTTCCGCAGGCCCGTGGGTATTTGTCTATCCCGTTGTTCGTAACGCACTACCGGTGCACCTTCTTCCGATCCCAGCGACGAACCACACTACCCAGGCATACTTTCAGAAGCCCGTCGGCTGTCAGTTGCTGGCCTTCGTCTCCTGTCCACGGCACAGTGTCGACCATGTCACGAACACCGTGAGTGCTTGACAGCGAATCATCCAGGTCTCGAAGATCCTCGGCAGCTTCTGGCTCTCGCCCCACCTGGAAGAACTGGATGCCCATCTGCCAGGGCTCTGCTCCGTATGCATCAAGCTTCTTGGCCGCACTGACAACGACAGCCTCGACATCGTCGCTCGGCACGCCGTCCGTGATGACAATGATGTTGAGCGGCTTCACTGTCGCCTCACGACCGTGTGCCTGCTTCTCCATCGAGCCTGCAAGTTCCTTCAGGTATGGCTTGATGATGGCGTTGAGTCTGGTGCCAGTCGGTGTGCCTCCCAGTGGACGCACCTTCTTGAAGATGTTTTCGACCGCTGCAGTCGTGGTGAGGTTGGTGTATCCGCCGAGACTGTCGCTGGCCTCATGATTCTTGTGGTTGAGGAAGTAGATATCAATGCCATTAGCGTCGTGCGTGGTACAGATTGGCGTGATGGCACTCAAAGCTGCGGCCGTCTCGCGCCAGCTGCGACCTGCCATACTCCCAGAATCATCGATCAGAAAGATGGTGTCGAACTCGGTCAGAAATGCGTAAGGTGAGTCAGAGGTTGTCTCCATCGAGCCCGGGATTACGGTCCCTGAGGCAGGAGGTGTGTAAGCTGGAGGCGCATCGGCATTGGATTGCGGCCGGCGAGTCGGCGTGGTTCTGGCAAAATGCGTTGGGGTTGAAGGCACCGCTGAGGGCGCTGGACTCTCGCTCGGCATGTTCTTGCCAATCTTGGGTGATTTGCGCGAAGCAAAGCGCTCCAGACGCTTGAAAGGGTTCATCGCAGAATTCGATGGTACGGATGTAGGGTTGTGGAGTGAGGGCGGGCGTGCCACTTGGAAGAATACGTCGCCCATTTTGGTGCAGTGTTTCGGGTGCAAGTGCCTTTGGCTGTACGTACGATTGTGTTTGCAGACAGTGGCAAACAAAGAAGTCGCGGGCGGGCGGTGATGTGAAGTCTAGGCAGTTGTCTCTTTGTTCAAGCTCGGTTCTGCATTTATACCTAGTGCATCTGGTGCACGCAGCTTCGTAGAAGACTTGGGAGTCAGCCTCAGGAGGGCGCAATGGGCTGGATTTTGGTCTGCAAGGCAATGAATGCTTCAAAGCACTACGCCATGTGGAAATCGAACACCGTTCAGGCGATAGAAAGTGGTTGCTTGTGAGTTGTGTTCGTGAGGTGGCGCAGCATTTCGTAGCTCAGTGCTGATTGGCTGCTCCGCCTCCTTGCACCCAGGTCGCTGTGCGGCTCTGCCACCATCGTAAAACGCCACGCCGCCCACTGGCATCCCACCACCTGTCATATGGGGTTAGAGTGAGGCGTTGGAAGCTGCCTTGCAGTTTGAGCAGCGTCTGAGCTGCGTTGTCACTCGAAGATACCCGAATCACCACTCATCACCGGCAGCTTCGCAGAGCCTCTGTCTGGAGACACCAGTATAGCCATTGGTCGATCATGCGGAATCACAGTATGCCCTGGCACTTAAGCAGGCTACGGTAGAAAGAGCATAGCCTGTCAAAAAGTTGCGGGTAGCCACGGGTAGCCGTCTGACCTGGAGTGATTCATGGGAGCCGTAGAACGGGGCTGCACCGCCTACCGGATCTCCAAGACTTTAGCAGCTTCTACGTGCTCGATAGCAGACGACGTGATTAGCCGTGTGGGCGCCCAAGCCGTCGCTGAACGAGCGACTGCAGGTCCCATCAGAGTCGTTCACGTACTTGGTGCTCCACCCAGACTTGTCTACCAGGGATTGATGCTGGGGAGAGCCATCGAAGTCGATAAGATGAAGGTGTAATGACAGGGCGTGATTTTCCTCATCGCTCTTGCTGGTCATTTCCACATGGGATATCGGGCCTCGCAGGAGCCGGAGGCATTGACAGTCATATGCTAATAACGGCTGGGCGCGCAACTGTCGCCACGCTGTCCGCACGCCACTTTGGCAATATTCCACAAAGTCAGCCCGGACTTGGGACGACTCCCCGAGCTCGGCCGGGTATTGTCTCGCAACGACTGAGCTGAAGAATGGGATACGAGAGGCAGAAGATGTAGTGTACCAAGGAAATGAACGGTTCGGGTAAATCCTATCCCCGCAGAAAGGGGCACAGGTCTTGGCTTTCCACAACGTCAAGACTTGAATCACCTTCTTGCTGTATAGCGTCTTTCCCATGCTACACACCATGCCGTCTCGATCTTTCCTGTGCCTACAAAGGCTGGCAAGCACGTTGCCTGACGAGATGCGGTGGTGGCTGCTCCCGCCATGATTGCTCCTGCTTTCCCTGCGGATGCTGCAGGTGTATCCCCCCGTGTCGTTTGGAGCTGAGCTCGTCTTCACCATGATGATGCTTCTTCCACCTGATTGAATCGTTTCACCGCTCGATTTGCTGTAGGGACTCTGCGTAGGCCTCAAGCATTCATTACCGCGATCCAAGAGTTCGAACCTCGACTAGACGTGACGAGCGAAACCTATCCAAAGCCACAAGAGCAGGGACGTGTGAGCTGGTCCATGGTGCTTTCAGCTCCTGACCGTCCGAGAACTCTTGCTGGTTTACAGTGGTACCGCACCGGCTGAAATGTCGTGGAAGCTTGCTGAACTCAAGTGGCGTCAGGAGCTGGGCCTCTATGAGAGCCGGTGGGAGCGGCAAAGTGGTGCATTGCCAGTAGAGAGGAGGCAAGCAATCGAGGCTTTCGAGATGCTACGACAGGTTAGTCCGTGCCGCACCAGAGCACTGTCAGTTCCGCAACAGCGAACATTGTCGCCCGAACAACACCTGGCTGGTCTTGGCATGCAGTCCCCTTCGCTCGCGTCACCCTCCTCCGCCATCAATCCCGGCTTCCAACCGGTGCCAACTTCTCAGAAGGTCCCTGTCGATATTGCATGTCTCTCGTCACCACGGACACCCTTGGAGCGACCCCTGAACAGGGACGAGCGTCTGGTTCGTGAGGCTGCGGCGGTGTCTTCCAAGTCGCAAAGTTCCTCATCTTCGGGATACAAGCTTCCACCTCCTTTTCGTCAAGCCTCCTTCGCATACGGAACGTCCTCTCAACAAGTCAACCAGTCTCAAGATCGTTTGTGTTGCCTCACCGCGAGCAAGCAGTCGTTTCTAACTCTCTTGCAGCATCCTCCTCTTCTGCCTCGATCGGCTTTCAGACCCCGCAACAAGTGGTAGCGCACGAAGAGCTCACCAGACTTCTGGACCACTTAGACACTTGTGAGTACTGCTTGCGCATGGTACTCATCCTTCTCACTAAACCTTTCCAGCCCCAGCACTGTCAGCGGCAGTGACAGACCTTCGGAGTCGTTCACCATTGCACGGGTTTTCGTGGGCCGCAAGTAGGCACGAAACAGACGCAAGCCACCACTCCTCCTGTTGTCACCCAACAGAGAATCTTGATCCGAAGGACACCTTTGGATTTGAAGCTGCATCCCTTCTGTCGCCACAACACACACCACCAGCCGACCTGCTTGTTTTGCAAGGCGCAACTTTTGAACTCCTTGACAACCCTCTGCCTGTAGACACAGCCGATATCTCAACAGCACCAGACTCATCTCAGACACACTGCCTCACAACAATCTCCAGGCACAACTCCACGTCAATTCTCCTGCCAAAGCCCAGCATGTCTGATAAGACTGTTGTGGAGAACGCTGATCGTGAGCGAAGCCAGCGAGGCGATGATGAGGGAGACCGAGATGTCGCTTCACCGTCCGGTATAGAAGGGCAGAGCTCTGGTAGACGACACTTCACGCCAATTTATGAGAACTTCGACCAAGCATACACATCCATCACTGGAGGCGACCCAAGCTCTCAATTTGGCACGCCCACGCCCGGTACCGAAAGCCTGAACAATGTGTATGCTTCAGGAGCAGCGTCAGTTCTGCCCTCGGCGGCTGATCAGACTGCACATGTGGCCAGCGGCTCTGTGAGCCTGCCCTTCCAGAGATCCATCTCACCAGATGATGATGAGCACATGATGGTCGGACGGCACGCACAGCTCGAGGGTGATAGAGGAGACAACCCAGCAGGAATGCAACTTGCATCCACTGATGTGGCGCTGCAGCCGATTATGCGCAATGTTCGTCGCGGAATTGCCACTCCGATTTCACCACTCCAGCGAGAGGCTTCTTCAGTAATGTTCGACTGCGACGATAGGGGCATTCGAGACCGATCGAGCTCCATGCCTGTGCGCGCGCCGACTCCATATCCCGACTTGGAATCAGGACCCCACAGTGGTAATGAGTCGACTATCGGCAATATTGTAGAACGATACGGCGGCTCTGACGATAGCTTGCTCCCAACTGTTGGCTCCGAGAGATCTCGACCAGGATACAGCTCAAGCAGCGGGGACACAGCACCCGCTGATGCTACTGGTGTGGGTCGTGTCTATACTCAACCCCGAGTCCGACACAATACTGCTCTCGTTGGTGCTCCACCTTCATGGCCTCTTCCGTCGGAAGTCTCGGGATCTTCTGAGACCATGGGAAGAAACGTGACGCAGCTCTCGTCATCGCCTCCAACCTATGGCACAACTGCAGGACTGCTCAACATCAGCCGTCAGCGCACTTCAGCCCATGGCGAAAGTCCACTTGACCCTATCAATCCATTTGGGCCACCACCGAGGTCAAGCAGTGTGTACTCTTCTGATTTAGACGAGATGCTTGCGCGACGGGGAAGGTCGACGACTCCTTTTGATCAGATAGGCGAGCCAGGTCCAGCTATCGCGTCTTCTCCTCGACCGACATCACCGGCGATCCAGCTTCTGCCACAGCCTCTGGCAAACGACTTTGATATTCCCTCTCGTTCGAATCAGACCGAAGCCCGAGCGAGCATTGATGAGCCGTCTTCCAGCTCAGGTATCGGCATAGCCTTGACGGGTTCTGAGGATCCGATCGTGCGGTTTGAGCAGGGCGATCGAACTTCGACTGCTTTCGAGGAAGCCATCGACACAAATGACGCAGACGATGATGCGGCTTGGTCCACCACTCAGGAGGGTACCAACACCCAGAGAAACTCAGCCGTTCCATATGTCGACCTAGCGAATGCCACCAGCAGTTCAAGCCTCGGTAGACAGGTGGTCTCTGCTTGGGATCCTTTGGCGCTCAGAAACGAAGACGAAGGAACTTACAGAGAGAATGCAGAACTTGTGCACTTACGCAGACACAACACTCTTGGTGAAGTCCAAACTATCATTCCGGAAAGTTCTGCAGAAATTGCATCGCCGCGGCAGCGTCGCCAAACGGGTCCTAGAACTTCAACCTCTCTTGCATTGTCAGGGTCTGAACAGACTATCACACCAACACTTCACAATATTGGCCAAAACAGTGGCACTCTTTACCAGCCTACGATCCCAGGCAATACCCTACTCCTACGAACACCTCGCATCATCAGTCACCCGTCGGAAACCATTGTCGACATGTCTGCCACCAGTTCTCGCGAGGACCATGCCGCCAACAACCGCGCTCTCCGCATGGCTGAGCTGGAAGACCTCATCCGTCGCTACGGTAAGTTTTTGACATAATAATTCTCTTGTTGATTCAAATGTAAGACTAACAACATATAGAGCCAAGAGCCGACGATGCTCCTCCTCGTCAACAGTGGCCCGAGGCTCGCCTCACCACCGACCGCCGCATTCTCGAAGCCGAGAATAACGAGGAGTTTGTCCGCCGCCAGCGCGGCTTGACCCGGACCCTGCTCTTCTTGAGCATTCCTTTCTACATCTTCACGTTCCCCTTCGTCAATTCGTTGGCGACCAACGGGCCCGTCGCCCGCAACGTGCTGCTGTGGTTCTCGCTGCGAGGCGGTGGCCCCATCAACAATGTCCACCGAGAGGACATGGCGTTGGCCGAGCGGGTCGAGTTGTTGTTGTTGGGTGCCGTTGGTGTCGCCATGGCGGCAATCTTCGGTGGCTTGGTTGCCTTGCTGTGTGGAGCCTGGTGAAGGCGAAGGCGAAGAAGGAGGTGAAGAAGCAGACGAGGAGAGAGGAGAGGAGACTTTTGTTGTTTTGACTATTGCCCAAGGGCGCGTGAATAGCACGCAGAAGCGGCCGAAAGGCCATAAAAAATAGTCAAGAAGAAAATTGAATATGAGTTTAGACGGTGTGACGCCTCATTGCCTTCTCGACGCCTTCCTGGAGAAGCTTCTGACTTCACACTAAACTGTTGCCTCGTGTGATTAACTTTCCCATTTTACAACACTTTGTCTGAATTCACTTTATTTCTTTCATATACAGGAGGTGAAGGTGACTTTAACACTTGTTACTCTACTCTAGTCTCTCTCTCCCACCTTGGATCCTTGCTCGTCACTCAGCCTATTCTTTTGGCTGCTGTTGTGTTTCTTCCTCTACAACGCCCAAAGCCTGGCCCACCTTCACCTTCTGGCCCCTCTCGACCGCCCACTTCCAAGACCCGTCCGACGGCGCCTCGAAGACCAGGACGATGGAGCTGCCCAACTGAAAGCCACCCATCTCCTCGCCACGCCTCAGCGCGTGCCCGCCCAACACCGCGCTGGCGCCCTCGTACGTGGCCTCGCTGAAGCCCGAGTACGGCTCACCGCGGGCGCCGGCCTCGGCGGCCTGTCGGTCGGCCTCGGTGTCGGTCGTGAGGCTGTTGGTGCGCAGCTCCTTGTCGAAGTTGATGACGATGGACCCCACGTTGGTGGCGCCCACGGGCGTGTAGCTGAAGAACCCGTACTTCCAGCGGCCCAGGAGGGCGACGCGCTCGTTGAGCGTGAAGAGCCCCGGCAGCGTGCGCTGCACGTAGGGGGATACGCTGTACAGCTCGCCGGCGAAGTGGCGGCGCGAGGTGCAGACCCAGCTGACGGGGCTGTGGAAGCGGTGGTAATCGCCTGGGGCGAGGTAGACGACGATGTAGTAGAGGCGATGTGGAGTTGTGGTGTCGGCGGACCCGAAGGGGAGCCACCATGGAGCTGAGGTCGTGGCGAGATCGGCGGTGACTTCGGCTTCGGACTTGGACGAGGGTCGCGTGGAGGCGTCAGTGGGACGGTGGGGTTGTTGTTGTTGGGAAGAGGCACCTGTGAAGAGGTTTGGTAGCGTGTAAGAGATGCCGTTCACGTTGGCAAATTCTTCATCGTCGCGAATAGCGCGGGAATCGGGGTGGTCCGGTGGGGACGATTGCGGGTGGATGTAGATATGGTCACCGTTTGCTTTTACTTGCTGCATAGGGTCGCCGTTGGTTGGGTGGGGAGTGGGAGGTCTAGAGGGCGCTGTCTGTCCTAGTAATGCGTCGAGGCTGTAGGTCATTCCTTTTACTTGCTCAACTTCACCGTTGTCGATAGCACCAAATTGGAGCACACGAGCATCGGCCGGGGAGAGTACTGCGTTGGGGTTCGGGTCCAGGGGCCTCACTCCGGGTTTGAGCGTGCGATAGAAGAACGCGGCCAGGTTCGGATAGGCGTGCAGATCCGGCTCCGAGACTTCATCGAAATTAACGCCAAAGATCCAGCCGTACAATTTGAAGCCAGGTACGCGGAGATAGTAAGGGATGTCGATCTCGTTGAAACGCCCCCAGAGTCGTGATATGGCCTTCAAAGGCAAGGTGGACATAACCTGAACCTGCCATCCTCCTCCGGAAGGGTAAATACGTTGTCGCTTTGGGGGACGGTCAGACGATCCAGGTCCCGACGACGGGGGCTGCGTGTGGGCTTCCCGTCTTTGTATGCGCCAGAGCTGGTACACTCCAAGAAATGCAATTCCCATTGCGACAGGAATGGGCTTCCATTGTACTCTGGTATTTCTCCAGGCTTTGCCTAAGCGAGAGCTGAAGCTCCCTTCGTCATCCCTCTGCTTCTGCTGTCTTACCCACCTTGAACTGCTGAAAGAGCGCTTCTGCAAGGTCCGGACCTGAGAGGATCGGGTTCGGTAGAGCAAGGAAGCATGAGGAATGACTTCGGGAGGGACCAAGGTTGGCCTAAATGCGATTCGGAGATGGTGGTGGAGGCATGGCCGCCCCGCTGTGGTGAAGGGGCCCGCCATGGCGTTTGTCGAAAGTATTAGGAAGAGGTTCTGCAAGAGCAGAGTTTTCAGACTGGTACTTGCATGTATGCAAGCATGGCGTGGGGGAGGTTTCGTTGGCAGGGTATGCTGCAGTACGGATACACGGTCGCTGTGGGGTCGAATATGGGGCTGTCTAGCTCAACAAGTACTTATAACTCCGCCGGCAGTTCTGTGAGCACTGGTATAGGATGCTGGAGCCCTTAGCTTGGTGTCTGAGTAGTCCTATGACGATTTTCCTGGACTAAACCGCGGCGACCGTATTGTCGTCGTCTCCGCATCGCCAATGCGGAGCTACGGTGGCAAGGCTAAGGTGTAGCCTCGTCGCAGCTGCTGTCCAAGCCAGCAGTTGTTCCTGAAGATGTGGCCTCTGCAACACATCTCACTCCAGTCACTCTCTAGCTCGTTGCTTTCGACACTGAGTCAAACACGATGTCAACATCTGAGACACCACGGTAGGTATATACCGCCACTCATTCCAGCATGCCTGTTGGGGACAATGCCCCTCCAAACCCTGCGACAGAGGGTTCCGCCCCCAGTGGCAACGACAGCAATCATGTGAACCTTCGTGTGACTTACTTGCATGCCGGCAACCCTCGACCACCCCATAATCTTGGCTCTGTCCCCACCGATACCACAATTGGAGCACTGAAGATCCGTTTACAAGCCGAGCTGTTGGAGAACCCTCGTCCGGAGGAACAGCGATTGATCTACCAGGGTCGGCCCCTGCTGCAAGATGCTATGTCATTGCGAGAAGCACTTAGACTGGAGGGACCTATTGGACCGCTGCCATACACCATTCATATCATCATTCAGCCGCGACAGGCTGCACCCCACTTCCGCCCAGAATCCATAGCAAACGTGCCACCTGCCCCAGCTGTGAATGGCGGGAATCTCGCTTTCAACGATAATGGATACGTTGCTCAGCCTCAGCAGCAATTCGCCGGGCAAGGGGACGAGCATGCGACACGAATGCATGCTATAGCTCAGGCCCACGCGAACATGCTTCAGCAGCAAATACAAGCACTCCAGCAACAGCAAGGTCCGAACGCACCTCAACGTTTCAGTGCTATGTTCCAAATCAACGGCCAACAGATGCAGCCAACGTACGTGCAGCCGAACGCTCAGCACCAACCGGCCAATCCTCCGGAAAGCGGCAACTCCACCGAGCCACAGCCACAACAATCGCAATCGCAACCGCAAGCTCAGTCCGCACAAGCAATACCGCAGCCCCTGCCCCTGCCCCCGCCGCTGCCGCTGCCGCAAGGAATGCCAAATCCTCTACTCAATATTATGTATAACACACAGCAGCCTGCGGGTAATGCTCCTTTCCCGCGGCCGTTGTCAGTCCCGCCTCCTGCGAGGGCTGGGGAAACCACTGCCCATATGGCCACAAACAATACTCCCGTACCATCCATGGGAGGCTTTGGTCTTCCACTTCCTCCGCTCCGTGCAAGGCTTCCGTACCCACAGCCACACCAGCCTACAGAGCCGACGGTCTGGCTTGCCTCTTCACGCAATGGGCCCGAAGCTCTGCTCTTCGCTCCCGGCCATGGCTACTTCTCCACCACTAGTACTGGCGGAGGAACTGTCGTTGGCAGATCCAATATTGGCTCTCAGCTTAGGCAACTACAGAATGCAAACAACATAAGATCTGCGATACTTCCGACCAGAACGACCGACCAAACCCCTGCGTCAGGTGCTAACGCCCCGCCCGCAGCAAACGCGGCTCAAGCAGCACAGCAACCTGGGCGCGGTGCCGTGGGCCCGCTCGCTCTGCAGCAGCAGCTACAGCCTGGACAAGGTCCTGCAGTCCAAGTCCGTGAGCGAGCCGCCAACGATGACTTCATAGGCCTTGTCATCCAACGTGGCTGGCTATTTCTCCGGCTATACATGTTCATGTTCGTGCTCTCAGATCCAGGCACTTGGCGACGGTACCTTCTCCTTGCCCTGGCCTTATTAGTCTGCCTCCTCCCACGGCAGAATCCATTGAATCAACTCATGGGTGCAGCACGACGGCACATCGACAACTTGATCGGCCCACCTGCTCCGCAGCCTCGACCGGCCGCTCAGGCTGTCCCACAGGCTGGCAACCCAACGGCACCAGCCGTCGCCAATTCTAACGACGCCGCATCCGCCAGTGCCCACGCACCAGCAGTACCCGGTGCTGTGAACATTACACCTGAGGAAGCTGCGAGGCGAATCCTCGACCAGCGCGCAGAGCACGAGCGACGTGAGCGTGAGGCAAATCCCAATGTGCTGAGAGATGTCTTCTACAGAGTGGAGCAAGCTGTTGCGCTATTCTTGGCAAGCCTGATTCCGGGCGTGGGCGAGAGGCACGTGGCGGCGAGGGAGGAGCAACGGAGAGAGCGGCTCAGGGCAGAGATGGAGAGAGCTAATGCTGAGAGGGAGGCAGAGGAGCGCAGGAGGAGAGAAGCCGAGGGAGTGCAGGATACACCACTAGGTGGACAAGATGGCAGCAGTGGTGGGGAAGCTAAGGCAACGGATGCACCAATTTCCGCTGAGTCAGAAACGGCGGGAAGCTCGACTGGCTTAGATGCGAGAGGCACTTCTGGAGTGATTGCTGAAGAGCAGTTGCGAGAACGCCATGGCGCAACTGAGGCAAGTCAGTGATGGGATCGAGGCTCTGAGCATCAGGAGTTCTGCTTTGGATTGAGCAATTGGTGTGGTGCCCTTTACCAGCGCCCGAACATTTCCGAGGATTGAAGGATGGCTTGGGAACGGATGGACGGCACCGACTTACAATGTATCACCACTGAGCATCGTCCACTGCCTGTAGAACAGCTGTGGGGGACTCTGGCGTCAATAAAAGTCAATGCATATTGCAGCGTTACTTGGCCTATGAATACAATTGTACATCTATGTCCACATGTCAACGTAATCATCATGCCTTCATACCTTCGTGCACACCTTGCCATCCGTCTCCATCAGAACAGCTGCCTCGTCAAACTGCCGCCGCCGACACCACTACTTTTCCTTCGTCTACTCACATCCTTGCCCTTCCCCAGAATAGGATTCTTCCGCTCCCACTCTTCGTCCGCCCGAAACGCGTCCACCGCGACGTCCAACACGCCGTCTGCGCCTTTCAGATACAGCTCCGCAACCTGGTAGTCGGCGCACTTGGTCGCGACCATCCACCGGCGGATGTTGGTCTTGCGCTCCTCCTCTGCCGGGTCTGGCGGCGTCGACAGGCTGGGGCCCGAGTAGTGCGACGCTGGTACCAGCAGGAACTTGCGGCCGGAGAGGAGGTGGTCGGAGAAGAGGGCGTTGTGCTGCTTCAGCACTTGCGGGGCCACCGCGTAGGCGAGGGACAGAGACGCCAGGGTGTCGTCGGGTGAGAGGTGATGGACCGTGTCGGGCGTGTCTGCCGGAGGTGAGCTTTGCCTGCCCGCGTGCTGCGGCGTTGTCGGCGGTAACGAGTCATATGGCGGCGGCGGCGGCGCCTCCTCTGCGTCGCTCAACTGCGTTCGGAGACTCTTCTCGTGGCCGCCATCCGTCTTGGTGTACGCGGGTGGCAGGCGGAGGCCGTTGCGTGGGAGGGCCGATGTCGAGTCCTCGGAGGCGATCTGGCAGAAGGGGCAGTAAGACTGGAAGCGGGGGTTCTTGTACTGGCAGGCGGCACAGATAATACGGCCGCAGCAGGGAAGATGTCTGTCGAAGGCGAGTGGCTTCTCCGAATTGATGTCTCGGGGCAGCTTTGTGTCACGGAGGAGGGAGGCGCATGTACAGCAGGTTGTGGTCATCATCGATAGTTGCTTAGACAATGAAGGATATATGAACAGGGGGGAGATTGTTGTTCGAGCCGTCCAAGTGCAGGGTGAGGCGGTACGTGGAGCGCGTGCAAGTCGATGACCTCAACTGCCCGCAATCGAAGGAGGTTAAGTCCGCTATGGCCGGGGACAGGCAGCATTCTGCCTAATTCAGGCGTCGCTGCTACCGCTTAACAGAATTGCACCATGACACGGTGCCTTACGATTCCTCGGATGTTCAGCGTAGAAGCAATCATTTTTGCATTTATTATGCTGTTGAAATATTTTCGCAGAATCAGATACGCTCACACCTATTCAGCCATCGGTGGTAGCCAGTTGTGCCAGGGCGAGCAAAACGCCGTTCCCTGCCTAGAGGCCTAGACATCCATAGCCTCCCAAAGCATTATCGTCAAAATCGTACATGTTGTACATGCTCGTCCCAAGTTTCGGCTGTTGCTATCAGCCAGGCCGAATGCACCGTGAAACCCCTGCTCGAATGCTCTGCCCAATCGACCGTCGGCCCCAACAACATCCTGTACTATATGCATAGTCCACCACGTAGTTCCTTCCCAATAGATGTCGGTGCTTCTGCGTACTCCATTCTGCACTGAGAAACCCTAGTCGTCATCTTCGGCAGATCGGTCAAAGCATGATCCCAACAGTGACCAAATGAGCCCATCAAAATCATTCACAAGGCGCAGGCACTACCCAGGTCGTTGCTGCTGCTGTTGCATCTGCATCTGGTACATGTTGGGCTGTTGCGACAACATCTGTTGAGCATGAGCCAACTGCATACCCTGCATGTGCTGAGCCTGCTGTTGCTGTTGCATAGCCGCCATGTTGGGATTCATCATATTCATTCCGTTTGACATCCCTTGCTGCTGCGCCTGCTGTTGCCTCAGCGCCTGTTGTTGCTGCTGCACCTGCTGTTGGCGCTTGCGAACCTCTTGCTGAGCGTATTGCTGGGCCATTTGGTTGATCTTCTGAACCTCGTTTGGCGGGATGCTGGCAGGATTACCACCGTAGCGGGATGCAGTCTGAGCTGTGAGTCGGGTCTGATAATTTGTAAGAGTCTGCTGGAAGAACTGCGCAACAGCAGGATTCATGCGTTGCTGGGGCTGTTGCATATTTCCTTGCATGTTGCCCATCATCTGACCCTGCTGCATCATTCTCTGTTGTTGCTGTTGGGCCATAGCTGCTTGCTGTTGGGGATTCATTTGATTTTGCACCGGTGAGCCATGATTTGCATTTTGCAGCTGCTGCATCTGAGCTTTCATCTGATCAGACAGGCCTTGCTGGTATTTCTGCTGTGTTTGATGATTTGGACTCTGCCCCATTTGCTGAGCTTGTTGTTGCAAATTCTGTTGATGCATGGCGGCCTGCCTCTGAGCCATCTGTTGAGCCATATTATGAGGATTGTTGCCACCCATCATTTGCTGCTGCTGTTGCATCTGTTGCATACGCATGTGGGCTTGGCGGCGTTGCATCTCTTGTTGAGGTGTCATGCCGTTCGGAACTTGCCCTCCTGCCATAGCAGCAGCATGTTGCATCTGGGGTGTTGGAGCCATCATACTGCCATGCGGGCTAGCTTGAGTCATGTGTTGAGCCGGAGTTCCTTGTCTCAGTACAGGGGTTGCGTTGCGCATTCCAGGAGTAGCATTTGGCATCTGCGGGGTACCATGGCGGCTTTGTCCGGAATTGCTTTGATTACGAGCCATTGGATGGCCATGTTGCAGGGCAGATCCAGGCCGTGGGGGTGATCCAGCTCCTGTTTGCCCACCCTGACCAGCGCTATTGATTACAGGCGATGAAGCGGCATGAGGGGTGCCTTGCCGGATGACCGGGCTGGACCGTTGCTGGTTGGCCATCATCTGGGACTGCACCTGAGGAGGAAGACTGCTGACTTGTTGCTGTTGCTGCCTGGCGGCTTGGGCCTGCTGCTGTGCCTGTTGCCGGCTTTGCTGGGCTGCTTGTTGTTGAAGAGCAAGCTGATGGGCTTCGTGCTGTTCCTGCCGAATCCTGAGCGCTTGTTGCTCCTTGGCTCGTTGCGCGGCTCTGCGTCGGTCTTCTTCAACTTGTCTCTGTTGAAGGTCGCGGCGGTTCTCGTCCTCTTGAAGCTGTCGGTCTTTCTCCCGCTGTTTCTTCTCTGCCATGTCGCGCTTGAGTTGTTCCAAAGTATTGAATCTTTCGAAGCGAGGTTGGAATAAGGCTGACCCGGCTTGGCCATCAACAGCGGCAGCGTTGGCGGCGCCGGCATTACGTTCATCGAGAATAAGCATGAACCGTTCTTGCTCCTTGGCGTGCGCGTCATCGGCGGCAAGCTCGGCAAATGTTCGTTTCCTGCTCTTTGGTGAAGGTGGAGGTTGGTCGTGGAATGGATCTTTCAACATTTCAAGCAATGCATCTGCTTCTTCCGCATTTGCGACAGGCTCAAGGTACAACGGCGGAGCCGTTGCATTGATAACGCGCGCTTCGTATTCTAACAAGTCCTTGTTGTCAATCTTCATCTTCTGCTTCTTTAACGGTGGGCCCTTCTCAGTCATTGGTGTCGGCGGAACGCCGGAGATAGGAGTAGGAGGGGCGGCAGAGCCTGCGGCCTTTCCATTGACGTTGGCCTGGGATTGTTTGCGATTCAGTGATTTCGGGTCCGGCGCAAGCGCATCCAACACCATGTCCATGTGCCTGGACATTTGTGTAGGGCGCAAAAGTTTGTGATAGACTTGGGGTTGGGGCTTCGTGGACTGTGTTTCTGGGGCTCCGTTCAGCTTTTCATTGATCTGTCCGTCCTTGCTGGCATCCTGCTTCGTAGGTGGCGACTTCTGACCAGTCTGTTCTTTCGGTGGGTACGGTACGTGTGGTGAGGGAGTGATGTACGGGTTGTAATTGTGGATAGAGAAAGGCTTCTCGTCCTCAGCTCCACCGGAAACTGCAGCTGAGTTGCTGGATGCGTTGGTGTGGTCCACGACCTTGACTATCAGCCAGCCGTCGTAGAACGAAACACCAGCATCTCTAAATTCCTCTACCATATCATGCGGAACTGTGCCATTCCAGAGATGTTCAATGAAGATGCGCATCTCGGAGTGATAGCTGAAGCTGCCATCTTGCTGCTCAAATCTGAAGTTTGTGGGGTAAAGGTGGACTATAAGGGAGGGTGGACGGCCATCAAACTTCTTGAGGATGTGACTCTCTTTGGCAACTGAAAGGAATTATTAGCGCATCTCACGGACAGGAAGACATCCGGCTCACCCCATGGTTCAGGGAATTTCTTTGCTGCTTTCCTATCGGCTCCTGCGCTGTCGGATGCTCCGGTTCTGGTGGTTATGCGCTGAAGGCGACGATTTTGTCTCGAAGTATTATTGGCGGAGGTGGGGGTCGCTGATGTGGGAGAGCTGTTCTGTGTCTGACCCGGAAGTCGCTTCGCAGCGCTCGACGGCGAGGAGGAGGGCTGTTGGCTTGGTTTGGCGGAGTTGCCGTGTGTCTGCCCAAGGGGCGGTACAGACGGTTTCTTCATCTTAGTCGGCACGCCTGGCGGTTTAGACGGCATGACGGCAGCCATCTTGTTGACAGTCCAGTCGAGCAAGCTCAAGCGTTCTCAGACAGTTCTGAGACTATCCGTCAGTAGCTAAAAAGCACCTTTGATCATACTCTATCTATGAGCGATCGGTCGAGGGATGCGCGCATGTTGAGGGGTAGAGGGTGGTGGCAGGTCCGGTGGCGCGTCGGGAGCTGGAAAGACACTTTGTCGAAGGCGCGCTGCCTGCGCTTGGCGACCGAGCCGGGGTATGCGCGGTTCAGGCGAGCGTTGACGAGCTGGATGCGACAACAAGGTGTGGGTGGTTCGAGAGTTCGGCGCAGTCTGGTTGTGACGACCGACGTCTTTGGATTCGGCCTTGGCGCGTAACCGACAGCCTCGTTCTTAGCTAAGCCAAGCCAACGGCCTTGCAGATCGCTTAACCTCCTTTCGTATATCTCGACATCATTATGCGAGCACGAGACTAGCTTGCGTGGAAAAAGGTGTCACGGCTTCTCATGTTCGTTCCCGGGCTGGAAGATACCGCCAACCTTGCTATGCATTTTTCTTAAACGCGCAAGGTTCCGGCGACCACTTTCAGCGGTATATCGTCGCATGGCATCTGCAAGTCGGTCCCATAACAGCCCGGATCCGTCGATATGAGCATCCTGGTTCCATAGCAGCTCCGTGTCGCCGAAATCAACAGTTGCTGTGGTTGACCCAGATCACTAATGCCGGACTTAAAGCCGTAGATACTGCATCTCTGCTTTCATCGAAGTCGAAGACTACGGACACTGTAGCATGACGAGGGTATAAGTAGAGCCCAGTCTCCTGAGATCTAGCACAGCTCCTCAGTCAAGGGAGTAATTTCTCTAAGATCAGAATATTCTCTCTTTCTGCGTCAACAAGCAACATGCCATCCAACCGCATTGACAAAGTCGCTATAGTTGGTGTACGTGTACGTTCCCTTTGCGTCTGAACGCCGTTGACCGAAATCTCACAGGCTGGTGGAAACAGCGGTCGCTTCAGGTAAGACAGACTTCGACATTGCAATCGATTTTTACCTCTGATGGCCGTTCCCATAGGAGTTCTATACTGACTTTCCTGGCAGTGAGTACATTACCAGGCCAACATGTCACCCAGGCCGAGAGCACTTTCGCCACTTGACCCAACCCCAATTGAGCCCCGACTAAACAAACCTCCCTAAACAGTTACCGAAGCCCTAGTGGCTGGTGGCAAGCATACTGTGACCGCTATCACCAGAGAGGGCAGCCAAAGCGAGCTGCCTTCTGGCGTCGAGGTTGCCAGGGTCGATTACGACAAGCAGGAGAGCCTCGTAGCTGCTCTGCAAGGCCAAGATGCTCTGATCGTGACTCTCAACAGCCAGGCCGACCTCGAAGGTATCCAAAAGAAGCTCATTCAAGCCGCCGGCGACGCTGGCGTGGCTTGGATTCTTCCCAACGAGTTTGGGTTCGATACAGCCAACGAGCAACTCATTAAAGATGTTGTCTTTACGAAAATGATGGGTGAGAACCACACTTACTCTTTTTTGCCGGGGGTCTCATATTGACATTATAATCTCGCACAGTCAACACTCGTGCCAACATTCTTGCCCACGGCAAATCCTCCTTCATCTCCGTGGTCACCGGCTTCTGGTATGAATGGTCGCTAGCCATCCCCCCTGCGTACGGGATCGATCTCAACAACCACAGCGCCACGTTGTTCGACGAAGGCACCACCAAGATTTCCACCTCCACCTGGCCACAAGTGGGGCGTGCCGTCGCTGCCCTCCTCTCACTGCCCATCAAGTCTGAGGGCGAGGGTGCATCATGCCTCGAGGACTTCAAGAACCAGTTGGTCTATGTCTCGTCGTTCTCCGTCTCACAGCAAGACATGTTGGAGAGCGCCTACCGTGTAACGGGCACCACAGAGGCCGACTGGAAGATCAAGAAAGAGGGTGCGCGGAAGCGATATGACGAGGGCATCGATCAGATGAAAAAGGGTGATCGCATCGGCTTTGTCAAGATGATGTACACGAGAGTCTTCTGGGACGACAATGTGGGCGATCATGAGGGTCGCGTGATCAACAAGGAGCTGGGACTGCCGAAGGAGGATCTGGATGAGGCAACGAAGCGAGCGGTGCAGAGGGCGAAGGAACAAAAGAACTTGTGGGTTGATGGTTCTGATTAAGACACTGCAAAGTCAGCCTTGAAAGCGTTGTCCCGCGCGATTCAGGTCAACAGATTATTGAGCGGAACCAATAAGGCTCGTCTGAACGTGAGGGTCAAACTCCACTTCGTGCCTACATGAAGCTATATAAAATCGCAAATCGTGCTGTCCTCATTAACCGTCCGGCCTCCACACTCCCACCGTGGGGCACGCGAGTCCATTGTACCAACCGGCTGGACAACAGTCTGCTCCCGTCACCCTGCTGATAATCAATCAACCTCGTTAATCCTCCTCTTCCAATCGTCGCCCACCTTGACGCCCTCCACCACGCTAACTCTCTTGCCCAATCCCGTCCTCTCCTCGCGCATCCACCACTCCGTCCCGCCCTCCTTGTCCCTCCGCCTCGCCGTCTCGTCGTCTGTGTCGATCAAACCTCCTGCGCCGCCCTCGTCACCAATCACCACCACGATCTGCCTAACCCACCCACTTAGGTCCCCAACGAGCTCACCTTCTCGCCCGCACAGGCTCTCCTGGATGTAGACCACCTCCGGGCCCAGGCTCTTCAGAATGTTCCGGTGGCCCTGGGGGCTCGTGAACGGCAGAATCATAGTTTCGTGCTCGACGATTGCTTGTCCCTGATTATAGAGGGTCTTGAAGAGGGGGCTGACATCCTCGAGAGGCTTGGGCTCGACACTGCTGAGGATCCCGCCGTTATCTTGGTCGTGCTCACCAGGGAAGTCGCCAGGCGTTTGTGCCGGGGTGTGCGCGTCGGTGGTAGAGATGTTGGAGAAGGAGGAAGCCATGGACTGTGAGGAGCGTGCTGGCTTGTTGGTCTGGGAGATAGTACTGAGTGGATGGACCCTGAGGTTGGGGGCGTAGATGAGGACAAATACTCGCGTAGTCTCTGCGTCAATGTACTCGGGGAGATGGGCTAGTATGGACTGTGCCTTTGTTAGCTTTCGGTGTCCACGACAACTGGGCAGTGCTTGCTTACCGCGTGATATCCCAGGTCCGCGTCGACCCCACGATCATCAACGGCACTGACAACGATCGCGACCGTTTTTCTCTTCCTGGTATACTCTCTCGCTTGCTTTGGGATATCCACCTGCCCACTGAAGTACTCGTCTGCCGTACCTCTCCGCCGGATCCCCTGCTTCACTTCCTCTTCCTGCTGCTCTGCTTCCTCGCTCCACCTTTCATGATCGCGATACTCGCCTTGATCACCGTCTCTCATTCCACTCAGAGCACCGCCCACCATTGCACCCGCCGCAGCAAAGCCAGCCGCGACCTGCTGGCCTGCCCAACCAAAGGACTGCGCGGCAGGTGAGGCGGACCGATTGATGCCTAGTGCGGAAGACATACGTGCCACCAGGCCGGTATCTTGCTCTTGTGTGTGGATGTTGGTCGAGCGCGAAGCACCATACATGTCTGTCGACTCCCATTCGCCCCGTGCGCCTGGGGGCGGTGGGCCTTGCCAGCCACCAGGTGGAGGTGGTCCAGGTGGGTAGCCACCGTCCTGAAATCCACCGGCTTGCGGTGGGCCAGGCATGCCAGGGCCCTGCGGCGCGTTCTGCATACCCATCGGTCCTGGCCCCGGTGGCATGCCGCCGCTCATGGAAGCATAGCCTGGCGGAGGTACGCCACCAGCGTAGTGTTCCGCGTCACTGTCGTCATCTTCACTGCGCTCGCTCCAGACCCAGGCCGCAATGCCCACAACGGCGGCGCCAACTGTGAGTACGAGAGGGACCCAGTAGCCGAGTGTGGTGCGATTCGAGGTGGCGCCGTAGCTATTCGTTGCGGTGCGGCGCCGTCGCTCTGTCACAGTGTACTGATAGGACATGTTGCGCCAGGCTTAGTGGGACATGACAGAGCGGCGACCGAGGTGTTCGCAGGTCTTGAGGGCTCGCGTAGCCTCAGAACCCAGTGTCAAGCACTTTGTGTTGCAGGGCAGCGCAGCGAATGCTGTTCTCAAGCCTCGGTCTGTCTGCTGGTGGGTAGGGCAGGGTTGGGTCGGGGAATGCGCCGCAACACCTATCGGGCGTGTGGTAGGGTTTCGTCTCGAAATCTGTAATGTATTGCTGGTGAGATACTTGAGAGAAGAAACATCGGCCAGGACTCGAGGCCTTCTGCTTCAGGTGGAAAACAGAAATGCGTGGCTGGTGAACCGGCACATGGAGGCTGGATAGCTCATCACAGGTGCTGCGGGATTCGGGTAAACTTCCCCACAAGCAACACCGTTGCTCAGGCCGACGAGCCTAAGGCACATGCAAGGCCACCAGGGCATGCCCCGAACCGATACTGGTAACATACCCTTTTTCCCCTATGCTGTCTACATTCTTCGTTCGTATATAGAGCACATGGTTGTCCGAATCTGCTAGCCTTTTTGAAATGTCGGACGAGGGTCTCCGCCAGCGGTCGAACAAGACCACTATCGGCGCAACTGCCACGAAAGACGCCACAGCCCGTGCCCGTGAAGATGACGAGGGACCAGGCATTTCCCTCCTCGATATCGCGCGAATTCTCGTGACGATCATAGGCCTATCATGTGCCCTCTCGTACTACCTGACATCCGGCGAGTCCCTGATATGGGGCTACAAAGCCTGGTTCACGAATCCGAACGCTGTTGTCCAGTATTTGAAGGGACCGGTCAATCTCACTCCGGACGAGCTGGCACAGTACGACGGGTCTGACGAGCAGAAGCCGATATACCTGGCCATCAATGGTACCATCTTCGACGTATCCGCCGGCCGCCACACATACGGACCTGGTGGCAGCTACAGCGTCTTCGCGGGTCGGGATGCTACCAGAGCCTTTGTGACGGGGTGTTTTCTTGAGGACCGCACTTCGGACTTGAGAGGGGCCGAAGAGATATACCTGCCCGTTGAGGATCTGGAGGAGGACCTAGGTAGTGGAGAGCGGAAGAAGAGAGCAGAGAGGGAGAGGAGGGACGCAAGGAAGAAGGTGGCTGCGGAGGTAGAGAATTGGGAGAACTTCTACAAGAAATCAAAGAAATACTTTGAAGTTGGGCAGGTGGTGGGCGTCGCAGAGCCCTCAGGCCCTGCTCCGACACTATGCAATGCAGCGGAAAAGGGACGTCCGAAGCGCAGTAAAATGAACAAGAAAGAGGCATCTCCTGGAAAGCCTGTGCAATAGCAGGCGAGCAGCGTGGGAGCACTGGTGCAGAATGATGAGAAAGCCGTTTTCAACTGCGTCTCGAGATATCCATTGCAGTCCACTGGGGATGTGACTCGGCTGTATCTGTCTCGCTACGCAAAGCCTTCAACCTTCGTCGGCACAGTTCCCGGAACCATTGTCATCGGACGCTCCCCTAATTGCTGAGTTCTCCGTCGTGGTCATGACAATTGAAAATGGTATCATCACTTCGCATGATCTCCGTGGAATGTTTAATCACCACCAGCAGCCGCTCTTGTGTAGATGCTGCCCCGGCTGTGACCAACGACCTTCCGGATAACACCCTTCTCCTCCAGATCCTTCAACGCAGCGCGGGCTAATGAGCCGTTGATCTTCAATCTGTCGACGAGGACGGCGACTGTGACGAGACGGTACGACTGGACATCCTTGTTGAGCTTGTCGGAGGTGGCCTTGTCTAGAACGACGGCGTGGTTGGCCTTGTCCTTAACTATAGGAAAGTGTTAGAGTCTCCGGTGTATTAAGGCAGTCGGTACTGGAAACGTACCCTTTCCCTTCGACCACTTCTTCTTCTGCTTCTTGCCGCCAGTTGCTGCGGGCGCCTATCAAAGATGTCAGCACACAAGGCCTTGCGATGCGGGAACTAATTCCAAAACACTAGCTTACCATCTTGAGATATCTGAGGGTAGACTTGTGGTGTACGAGAAGACGAAATCGATGATGAGGAGAGGTCAGCCATAGCCGCCCGCAGTCTGTGCGAAAGCCGCGGCTTGGCACAAAAACTCCTGGTAACCTCACGTGACCTATCCAGGTTTACCGGCAAGCACCCTGGGATGCGAAACCATGGCAGAATGCTACAAGAGAAGAACAGAATTGTTATGAAAACCGTCTCATTGTTGGTTCTAGTTTGCTTTTAGGCTTCGCAACGCAGCCGTTGCGGCCACGCAGCCATAACTCAAGGGTATCTCATTGCAGTCGTGCCTTTCATGCCGGCCAATGCCCCAGAAATGCCCATCTAATAGAAGAAACCAATGATCTTGCCGGAGACGTGCTTTCTTCTCGCCTCCTCGTGATCCATGATGCCGGAGGAAGTGGTCAGGATGATGTATCCGAATTGACGCGAGGGAAGCAGCTTGACGACCCATTTCTCGAGGTCACGTAGAGCGACGTTGTAGCGGGGAGAGATGACACCAGTCTTGTTCAGGCGGCCGTTGAGTTGGACAACGATCTTGCCGTTGCGGTGGTCATCGACCTCCTCGAATTCGCCAATGTAGCCTTTGCGATCAGTCAGTCAAAGTTCAGTTAGGGATTGTGTGATATTGCGATCGAATAAACATGAACGTCCACAAGGAAGAAAGCTATGTGTAAGATCGACCGCAGTGAGTTCCTTCTTTCGGGCCATTAAAGGGTCAAGGTTGTCAGACAAGTATCAAACCAAGGCCTAGTTAAACCCGATGTGCGTACGATATTTAGAGGAAAAGTCCAGACGTACCGTGCTTCTGCATGACCTGGAGGAACTTGACGATGACTTTGGAGGAAGGCCGAATCATGACCTGGCGCTTGCCGGCCTTCTCAGCGTTGTTGATGTTCTTGAGAGCATCGTTGAGGACGGAGGTTCGGACCATTTTGGCGGTGGCTCGAAGGTTTCGATGTGATGATCGATGAGATTCTCAAGTCGGGGATGCAAGGACCTGAGGTATCTGCGAAAGGTTCATGTTAGTCTTCAGAAGCCTCGAGCAGGAAGAGTGCCCAGTGAAGGGTTCCTCAGCTCGTGTTGCAAAAGAACGTATCTGCGCCAGAAGCGTCGACAATGCTACAAGTCGCGATCCAGCGCAGATTGCTCAGTTCAGGCTAGCTGAAGAGGACCCGGGGTTGCACATACCTCTGGGGCGTGTAGTTGTTGCAGAGAGAGTTGTCGAGTTGTCACAAGCATCGACAAGTTGGATCGACTGAGATTTTGGATTCGGTCCTGTGTGCCAAGATTGCACTCACTTGATAGGCTTAGCTCAGCCTGGACGCGGCCCCGCCGAGCCCGCAAGCGGCGGGGCGCGAGGGACCCGAGAACGCTCTGAGACGGAGGTATCCCCCTAGCCACTATTCAGTGCAGGACAATAGTTGAATTCAGCCGTTGTCGTATATATATATGAGGCGACCAACTTGACACAGCAGGACTGTCTTGCTCATTCTCGCTCATACGCGTAGACCAGGTCATCAAATTGCTTGACATGCTTTCCGTCCGAGTCAATCTGCAGCGGCTGCGCACCACTTTGATAGATACGTCCCAACACAGCTTTTCTACTTCGACAAGATGGGCGAACAACCAAAGCAAAGGAATCAACAAGCCTACTAGCGAACAGCCAAAGCATTCCAACCCAGGAGAGCTACCACGTTTCTCCATGGGTGGTCTCGGGGCATCACCCGCCGTGAAGGCTGTCGTATATATCATGCTTGGTGTCATTGGAACCGCGGAAACGATCACGTATGGACAGTGGGCATACCGCCGGTGGTTGCAACCATCAGGGAAGGATGAGGAGCTTTCGGATGCGTGAGATATCGCTTCCTGTCTGGCGGCTGCCATGCGAAGAATCATATTATACCCAGATTATTGCTGGCAGCTAGCAAGGCAACAAGGAAGTGTACCCTCCGCTTCCAGAGAGTTACGAGAAGAAGCGCAGCACAGAGACGCCGGCTTTACTCAGTAAAGGCCCAGCCGGACTCTAAGCCTTACAGGCCCTCCCGCGGCCCCAGGCTCGGTTCTGGGTACAGCATTTTGCGGGGCAGCGTGTGCCGAGGTTGCTTTCGGTCAACTGCACTTTACGCAAGCGAGTCACCATCATCACAACGGCGGGTGCTCAAATTGTATATTAGCTGGAACCCTGTGCAGTATGTCTTTGTAGCTCAACACGGCGTTCTCATCTACCGCGCTAATATCAAACGTCTGCTTCTACCATTTGCTCAGCTTCTATCAAGTCCATCCCGCTCTCTAACTACTGCCAGCCCGCTCCCAAGTCTCGTCCACCCTCGCTCACCCCTACGCTCTCCCATCACGCACAATATGGCTGCGCAAGTCCCCTTCTCTGAGCCACCTTGGCTCTCCGGCCTGCCCTCCCCCTACTACAAAGAGACGCACCGGCGATTCCAGAAAGCGGCTCGCGCCTTCATCGCCGAGCACCTCGCCCCCTATGCCATAGAATGGGAGACGGCAGAGACCGCCCCGGACTCCCTGTTCCACACTTTCGCAAAGCACAACATGTTGATCCCCAATCTCCCCGCGCCGCTGCCAGTGGAGTGGCTGCACCGCGTCGGCATCAAGGACATTCTCGGCGTGCCCGTGGAAGAATGGGACTACTTCCATACCGGCATCTACCTGGACGAGATGTCACGTGTGGGCGTTACGGGCCCGGGAGGCAGCATGACCGCGGGCCATGCCTTCGGCATCCCGCCTATCATCAAGTTTGGGAGTAAAGCGTTGCACGAGAAGTTCCTGCCGGATCTGCTACCGGGCAAGAAGAGGGCGTGTATCGCTATCACGGAGCCTGGAGCCGGCAGTGACGTGGCTAATATCGCGACGACAGCGCGTAAATCAGATGATGGGAAATTCTATATCGTCAACGGGGAGAAGAAGTGGATCACTAATGGGTTCTGGAGCGATTATGCGGCGATGGCCGTGCGAACTGGAGGCAAGGGAGCAAAGGGACTGAGTATGTTGGTGGTGCCGTTGAAAGGACATCCCGGAGTCAACATGAGGCGACTGAAGGTGCAGGGCCAGATTTCTGCAGGGACAACATACATCGAGTTGGATGACGTGAAAGTGCCGGTGGAGAACCTGATCGGTGAGGAGGGACAAGGAATGCGATATGTCATGGTAAGTGAAGACGATACTTGGCGTGGCAGAGATATGTGCGTGAGCTGACAAGAGACAGACGAACTTCAACCACGAACGGCTAACGATTGCTTGCGGCGTTACCCGCTCCTCACGCGTTGCGCTGAGCTCAGCTATGGCTTACGTGCTCAAGCGCGAGGCGTTTGGGAAGACGCTCGTCGAACAACCCGTTGTGCGTCACCGTCTGGCTAAGGCTGGCGCGGAACTTGAGATGCTGCAGAGCTGGGTTGAGTCGTTCCTGTACAACATGACGAAGCTCACAAAGGAGGAGGCAGATGCGAAGCTGGGGGGCCTAACCGCGCTGGCGAAGGCGAAAGCAGGCATGGTGTTCAATGAATGTGCGCAGACGGCAGTCCTGCTGTTCGGCGGCAATGGCTACACCAGAACAGGACAGGGAGAGATGGCTGAGAAGCTGTACCGTGAAGTAATGGGAGCAAGGATTCCAGGTGGAAGCGAAGATGTGATGCTCGACTTGGCCATTAGACAGCTGGTGAAGAATTTCCAGCGAGAGACGGAGAAGTTAGATAGGCCCAAAGGCAGCTCGAAGCTGTGATGCGCTGCAAATGCAAATGCAAATGCAAATGCAAATGGCAAATGGACATGGCTCGAAAATCGTCTTCATTTCACTGCCTACATCCGACGTTCAGTGCCTCGGGCAGTTAGATGTTATCGGGGTAGTGAGCGCCGAGCAGAGCCCTGACGACACCCCGCTTCGCTCTGCTCGGTGGATAGCCGGTCGAGATCATACTCGTTCGTCTCCATCCAGCGGCTCGAGATGCCCCGCGCCCTTCTCCAAATACCTCCTTGAACTCGCTGCAGATTCGAAGCAAGCGCTTCTGCATGACGAGCTGATGCTTTTCATGTTGCCGCAGGTTGCCTCAAGAGTACACCGATTTGACAGACTCTAGTGAATCCCTTGTCCTTCAAGAGAAACGACCGAAAGCCAACGGCATTATGGCAAGCATTATGAAGAACTCCAACTCGCTGCGCAAGGCGCTGCACACGGGTAATGGCCTGTCATTTGGCGCATGGCAGATGCTGCCAGGAACGCATCTGTCCAGGACCATCGCCCGGTGTGGCTTTGACTGGGTGTGCATTGACACTGAGCATGGCAATATCGCAGGTACATCGAGCCTCCTCCCCGTGCCGGCTGAAGTCTGACAAAGGAAACACAGACGATGCAATGCACGAATCAGTCCATGCCGTAGCCTCAACCGGGGTCTCCCCCATCGTGCGCATCCCAGCAAACGAAGGATGGATGGTGAAGAGAGCCCTTGACGCCGGAGCTCACGGTATCATCGTGCCACTTTTGTACACGGTCGAAGATGCGAAAAAACTCGTCGAAGCGTCGAAATTCCCGCCCAGGGGGCGGAGAGGATTCGGGAGCCCATTCTCTATGGGCGCATTCGACAACTCTGGGAATCTGAGCGGATTCGAGTACATGAACGCTGCAAATGACAATCTTTTGACGATTGTTCAGATTGAAACCAAAGAAGCATTCGAGAATGTTAGGAAACCCTAGATATGTTGCCAGAAGTGATGCTAATGCGCCGAGCAGGTCGAGGAGATTGCAAAGGTTGACGGCATAGACGGTAACTCTGGGCTCTGTGAGACAGTCCCTGATTCAGCTGACGGTTGACAGTGCTCTTCATCGGCCCCTGGGATCTTGGTAACAATTTAGGCTACCCTGTCCAGGGAGACTTTGCACCGGAGCTCAAAGAGGCGATCGCACGTATCCTGAAAGCCGCCCAAGACGCCGGTAAGAAGTCGGGGATTTATTGTCCCTCGGGTGAATTTGCTCGTCGTTACGCAGATCAGGGCTTCCAGATGGTATGTCGCACCTATTGCCGGACATGGTGATACTGACCGACTTCAGATCAGCGTTGTGAACGACATGGGCGCGATTCCGACCGCGTTCACGGAAGGTCTGTCCAAAGCGAAAGGGACTTGGGGTCACACGGCCGCGCAAGCTGTGAAAGGGGCAGCGTAGTAAGTACCTGCATAAACTCCAGCCGTGAACATTGGAGTAACTCTTGTGATATCTGGGACTTGTGCGCCTCCAGACCCGCATACACAAAGCTCCTTCCAATCGTTCTGGCCTCCCCGCTCCAATCCTTCATTTGTCCCGAGACAGGTCTGACCAGAGAACAGTGGCGCTGCGAATCTGGTGACAAGCGAAGAAAAGAAGTAGAACGGTAGTTTAGGCGCTGCCCTGTTCTGTCTCATCGATGAGCTTCTCTACTTCTTCCACTGTGAAACGATGCATGAGCTTTTGCGCTTCGGTAACTATATTGGGTTTCGAGTAGGTATGCATCACTCGCTCGACGTGGAGGACAGGAACATCAAACTCATACATGTTCCGCCATTTCTGGTTGCCCTCCGCTATGATGTCGACCTCGTTGTAATCGACTGTTCGCTTCTTTAGGACTTCGTCAATTCGGGCTTTGGCCACGTCGCAGAGGCCGCAATTAGCTCGTGTGAAAAGCGTTAGCTGGGCGGTGTACATTCGCAAGGCTAGAGACGGCCGCATGGTGATCGAGGACTCGTCGTCTTGAACGATTTTGAAGCTGTGGATGATGAACGAGTCAACATACTGCAAGAGTGGGATTGCAACAACAGCAAATCTTCTCCAACTGCACCTGCGCCTGCGCCTGCGGAGAGACGGGACACCCCTGCCGATCGTCCTTGACCCACACGAGCCACGGCGGGGCTCACGTCTTCCCGCTCCTGACGGGTTCCAGGCACCGCTCGTACTTTGGATGGGCGTCTCTGTCACCCATGCTCGTCGTTCAAGGTGTCACGAGGGTCGTATTGTCAATACGGAAGGGGCGGCGAGAAAACTGATTGCTTTCAGCAGCCTCTGCACCATGCTCGTGGTTCTGGTGGCTGCTCTAGCAGCGCGTTTGTCCGACTAGCGAAAACCCGCAATGTTCGAGCCGTCGCATAAAGCCAAGGCTTTGGGACGACGTGTGCAAGTGGAACGTCATAGGTGGGAGTCTTTCTACAACACACTGTATTGGACCTCGAACGCTGTGCGGAGTCTCGAAACTCCTCACCGGCCACGCTGTTTTCGCTCACAATCGGCAGAGGCATGTGCGCTTGCTCTTTGAAATACCGATCTCCAACCAGTTCTCTTTGTTCCTTTCTTTTACCACGAATATGCGGCCTTGAATGCTCCCCATCGCAATCGCCATCTCACCGCCCGCACCCCTAGATACCGCGCATGACCGAGCATGGGTTCCGTTTCTGAGAATGGTGTCCTCCATGGTCTACCCTACCTAGACCTGGCCTACGAGCTCAACAACTCGGAGGCCACAGCAAAAGAGCTCGCATACAGCATCCAGCCCAGTTGGCGGGACACCCCTGAACAGATTCAAATTGTCCAGTTCAAGGAGGGTATTACCAACACGGTGCGTTGGTCTCGAGCAAGTGCGCACGTGCTCTCTACTGACGGCCGCCCAGTTGCTCAAGTTGGCTCGCCATGCTCCTGGTTGGACCCAGGATGAAGTTGACCGCGACTCGGTGCTCATGAGGGCTTACGGCAACAACACAGACATTCTTATTGATCGCGATCGCGAAGCTACGTCCCATTTAGTTTGTGCCAAACACGGCCTCGCTCCGCCGTTGCTCGCCCGCTTCAAGAACGGTCTGCTGTACAGGTACATCCCGGGGGATGTCTGCACACCCCAAGACTTGATTAATGAGCAAATCTGGCGTCCGGTGGCTCGTCGCCTGGGTCAATGGCATGCCACTCTGCCAATAGACGCCTTGTCCAGTCTTAAGGGAAATGAGGGTTCGGAACCCAATGGGCAAGTGCATGGTATCACAGCACGCAAACCTTCCCCCAATATCTGGACGGTAATGCGAAGGTGGGTCCATGCACTGCCACAGGATAACCCCAAACAGCAAGCGCGGAGGAAGTTTTTGGAAGAGGAGCTCGATCGGTCTTTCATGGAGCTTGACAATGCCGACGGACCCGGTCGACATGGCTTCGTATTCGGCCATTGTGTGAGTTTGTTACTTCTCTTTCTATTCTGCGGCTGTTTCCCAGTCCTTCACACTTGCGCGATTCGTGTTCTGTCAGGCCCAGGAGCCTCACGGAATGCCCTAGTCCGTCCATTTCGGTGTGCTACAAGTTGCTGACGGCTTTGCCAAGGATCTGTTGAGCGCCAATGTTATCAAGACTGGTGTCGAGCGCGGGCTCCAGCAAATAGCCTTTATCGACTACGAATATGCTGTCACCTGCCCGGCTGCATTTGACATTTCCAATCACTTTGCAGAATGGGGAGGGTACGATTGTGACTATAATATGCTTCCCACCAAGTCCATCCGGCATGAATTCTTGAAAGAGTACTTAGAGTCATACAATGTCCACAGCGACAAAGCATTGCCCGATGCGACAGCACTGGAGTTTCTTGAAGCCGAAATCGATCGATATCGAGGCATGCCCGGTCTATACTGGGGTATCTGGGCACTCATCCAAGCACAAATATCTCTGATAGATTTTGATTACGCCTCGTATGCCGAGGTCCGGCTAGGCGAGTATACTGCCTGGCGCAATGCAAGCAACGCTCAACAAGCCGAAGCCAACACCGAGAAGCCCTTGCGTGAGCGGAGGTGGGCAGAGACGTAGGCTAGATTCGGGGGACAGGATAATCACTCACGAAGACGCAAACGAGCCATGACCCAGATCGAAGGGGCCATCGTTTCATGTGCAGCCACTTTTGAAGGCGACGCAAGAAGACAAAGTCAATGGCAATCAGTGGCTGCTAATCGACACAAGGGACTCAACTTACTTGACTTTTCCACATAGCTGGTTCAACACCGTACAAGAGCAGAGGCAATTCTATCTATACCCCGGGTTTTGTCTCTGAGCGGACGACATGCCGCTCGACCGGCAATACTTATTCGCGAAAGAAGCACTCCCGGCACTAGCCACGGCACTGCCGACTGCTTCGTCGTCGCATCTTACTAACATCTGACGCCGACACCTGCTGTCGGGCAGTGGGACAGGGGCCCGGTCTCACCCTCTAAATTTAATTCGCTGCGTTGGAATACTTCCGCTCTAGTCAAGTAAGCCTGTCCAGCCAAGTGAACGTGCGTCTGAAGATGTCAATTTGTGCTTTTGTTCGAGCGGCCGCTGGCGTGGGGCAAAGCTGATGCTCATATGGCCAATGCTAGTTCTAAGCATCCACCGTGACGTTCAGCCCTGTAGGGCATGAACCGACGCTGGCATTCAGACCGAATGCTCGTTCTCTCGTTGGAAGCAACTGGCGTCCAATGTTCACGCCCTTGTTCCGGTGGCAGGCTCATGGCTACTCCCATCATGTGTCGCTTGGCAGATTGGCCATATTTCCGTCGCGACACAAGCGTAGAATGTTGGGGAGACGCCCGTCCACATGGATCGGTAGATACTCAGCCCCAGAAGTTGAGGTAAGCCATTCTCAGTGGGCCGTATTGCGCCTTGTATCATGCCAGAGGGTAGGTTCAGGTTCGTCTCTAACTTAATAGTCGCTTCAGTCAATAGCAGGAGCATCTAAAACTGTGATGCTCCTCGTGATTGACATCATGCTTGACGCCGCTCTCCAAACTCACTTGGCTGGTTCACCAATATAAGCGCAACCGATATATTCAGACAGCAAGATTTCCGGGTTATAACGTACAAGCACCCTAGCGACCAGAAGCGGAAGGCCAACCGACGAGCTGTCTCGTCATTTGTCTCCAAGAGTTATAGACCGACATCAAAGAGATGAATCCCGGACATGATGACTTGATGGAACTCCGGACCATACTACACAGCTACTATCTGTACGGAACGCGTTGGCGGCCGCAGCCTGAAGAGCAGGTCGTCCTGTAAGCTGGTTGAGGTGTAGCGATGGAAGTGTCCGGATCATGGAAGTGGAGCGGAGCACACTCGGCAACTCTGAGCATGGTAAACATATGCAGCGTTATCATGTCCTGGGGCTGTCTTGGCACCTCAGTTTCGGAACAGGGGGCTGTCCAACGAATTCGGATATGCTGAGAGGAAGTCTAACCGGAAGACCCTTACTTCAAGCCAGCCACCCTGGTCGGCACGAATGTGGGAAAGTATGTGATTAGGACAATAACTAGTGATAGATGGTCCGATGCCGCTAAGCACCAGCATCCATGCGATGACAGGCCGCATTGTATGGCGATTGTAGACAATTCAGCGCATAATCGTTAGGATGCAGGTGAGAGCTAAAATGGACTCCATGAGTCACTATGCAGCACGCCATATCATTGGTAGACGACAGCATTGTTCTCGCTACAATGGTGTGGCGTCGCTGAGGCCTTGATTCGTGGCTTTACCTTGCTTTTCCTGCTCCTGGAGAAATGACCGTACTTTGAATGGAGACATGTGGCCAGCATGGAGGGGTGCATGTGCCTTAGGCAGTGGTACCTGCAACACCGCTCAGAGAGCAGGCAGCAAGCAGGTACCTTTCTTCACATTGGCCGCCTGCGCCTCCCTGCTTCTGTCGCTTCTTTCGTTTTCCAGACTTCCATGGCAGAGGGTGGATCTCGCGTGATCTGACTGGCAGCTAGTTCGCCTTGGCTCACATGCAGCAACGCGTAACGCCACCCGAGTGGTCACAAGACCTCCACCAGATCTCCACTACGACCCACCTTTCCGCTTCCCCCCTGTCGTGGTCTTTGATCGGGGATCGCTCATTCCTTCTCAGACTGGCATTGGTTGCCCAGGGTGGCCCCGTCGCAGTTGCTGAGACCTGTCTTTCGCGCACCTTCCGCTTGCTGTCGTGGCGTCTGTTCCACGCCCCCCCTGCGGCTACGCCGCTCTCGCATCCTTCTCTCCCTTCCTTCATCTTCTTCCTCTCTCAAAACCACTCATCCACCCCCCCTACCTGATCCTGTCTTACTGTATTGTAATTCATTCCTCCTTTTCTTCCTTTCCATTCCTTCTTGTCGCATCTCTTTGCAGCCCTGCGGCTTGAAACACCATACCCAGGCTACTGATTCAGTTCTGTCGGCCTGCGAGTCTATCTCCGGATCCGCTTATCCGCCTTAACGTCACTCACTCACGACATTTTGCCTCCTTGTTGACGCCTTTACTCCAGGCATCTTTCTTCTTGCGAGGCTGCCATCATATCGAAAGGCGCTGCGCGCTGTGTACAATACCTGCCTCTAGGCTCCATTAATAAGACAAATCAGGCGTGCGACCGCCTCGACCTCGTCGTCGCAAACTTGAGTCCGTCTACCGTCCTCGTACCTTTTCGGCGCATCGTCCAGGTATCGCACCTGTGCCTTGCACCTGCTAGATCTTTCTGTTGTTGTCGCCACCGTCGACACAGAAGTCCTTTGTGTGTTGCTGCAAGCAAATCCAGCATCACCTCGCTGTCACCTCACCTGACTGTACCTGAGCACCTGTGCACCAGGCAGTAGTTGATGTGCAGCAGATCTATTTGCTTCACTTCTCAATAATTGGCCCCTGCAAATGAAAAGCTGCTGTCCCACGCTCACAAGCCAAATTCTACGCCACCGTCAGGGCGATCACCGCAGCAACATAATATGTTGCAAGTGCTATCATGGAACGTCTACAACCACAATACCCCACCGCCCATGAGCAAAATGCCAACATATTTGCCCACTCCAGACACTCCCCGAGTCTCTTCACCCGCCAACTCACGGCTCACCAAGAGAAAGCGCACTGCCGACAGCGGCAGTGAACCTCAAAGCCAAGCCTCGCCCTCGGAGTGTGGCAACCTGCAAAACCTCTCAGACAACGAGAAATCCGAAATCTCAACTTTTGCCGCGCCACCACAGCTCGATATAATACAGCGCCCGTCGGATGGTCTACCAACGCCACTCCTCTCGCCCACATCAGTCAACATGGACGAGCAAGCTGCTCTCGGACTTGTCGCGAACCGGAAACAAGTCGACACTGCTGAACAGCGGCGGACGAAGACACGCGAAATCGTCAAGCAGCAAGTCAACCTCGAGATCTTACTTAAGCACGACGAGCTGAGGTTGATTGATCAAGAGATCGCCAAATGCCAAGTGGCTCTTGAACAGCTTCGCCGTTGCACTGAAATTCCTTATCCCGCGATTAATCTGTCTCAAGATGTCACGGCTGGTACAGGCCCTGCCCTTCGCCAGAAGTATACTGGTGCGCGTATGCCAGTCTCTCCTGCTCCCTGGGGAGTGACCGATGGTCCATACTCTCGTCACTACGCTACTTGGCTGCTCCCAGACTCACGCTTTGACGGTGGCGAGCCAGATCCGATTGCGCAAACGCCGATCAATGGCAAGAGGCCCGCAAAAGGACGCCACGGCCGTCCTTCAATTGTCGAAGATATGCAACATGCTGGCATGAGCTCACGCTCTCAACGCAACAGCGGTCTCCAGAGCCTGTCCACTGGCTATGTTCAACCCAAGGAAAAGTCAAATGGTCCGCTCGTTCTCAAGCGCAATTCTGACGGCAAGATGGTCAAGCTCAAGTGCCTTGATTGTGGCAGACTTAACTTCGGCTCTGCTCAAGGATTTATTAACCATTGTCGCATTGGCCACGGTCGAACTTTCCCCAGCCACGACGCGGCTGCCGAGAGCTGCGGTGAGCCTGTTGAGTATGACTCCGCTGGCGGTATGGTCGGTGTCGAGCCTGTGACTACGACCACACCTGTGGCTACTAGTGTACACCCTCTGATCCGGTCGGCTCATCTCTTGCCATCTGCACCTGCTCCTACTCCAAAGTTGATACTCAAGGGTATGGATGGCGCGGCAGACACCACCACATCAGACTCGTCACCGGAGTTCAAGGGATCGAATTCCATTCCCTTCCTCTCCGCACTTGTCCAGAAGAAGGGTCTCGGTCTGGACTTGCAAGATGCTGTCACCGATGCCAAGACAAAGCTTGAGTCGTATGAGTCGGATGTTGACATGTCAGATGTTGAGGACGAGGTTAAACTACCTGAAGGGGTTTCGCGTGGTCATCCTCAAGTCGCTGGTACTCGGCAAGTCGGTGTAACTTCCAAGGCGCCGTCCAGTTCTCCACTTCTCAGCTCCAGGCTTCCAAACAGTCAAAGCAGTATCGAGCAGTTCGGCCATTCAATTGAGCCTTCTCCGACGACGGACTCCAATCAGGCTCCTAGTCTTATCGATGACGACGAAGAATATGAAGCTCACTCGCCCGCGAGCACGCCTCCTTCGGAGCTTGCGGACGAGGATGTGCATATTCGCGTCCAAGACGAGGATGATGTGCACCAAGTGGAGCTCTCCCGGCCCGAGTTTCAGGCTAGCTGTGCTCAGTCTCAGGATCCGGTGTCTTCCCCAGCTCGCCGTCCATCTGCTTTCCGCAGAGAGACTGAAAACCGAGAAGAGAAGCATGTGAGCTTTGATGGCGCCAGCCCTGCTCCCGAGCAAATTAGTCCAGATCGCAGCAAGAGGCGCAAGATTACGAAGTGAGATTGGTCGAGCGTCAGACCTATCAGCAAAAGGTCTAAGACATGTTTGCGCCTAATACATGAAGGTGGTATGATTCTGCGATTGGGTGTTCGAATGGTGTTGGCGGTTCTCTTGTGCCCAACAACAATCGTGTGGTAGAATTAGAGAGACGAATTCTGTTCATTCGGAAAACCTCTCAGTCGGGTAGCTCATTGTGGAGGATTACATGAGCAGGATTAGGTGTGTTCGTGAAGACATATGATTTCTGTGGGCAGTGGCCGAGCTTCAAGAGCATAGGTCTGCTGGTCTCCGGATAACAAGATACAATTTTACTCTGCTCAAACAATTCAAAAGTCTCAAAAATGGATATTCCCTCGTCACATTTCTCCCACTGCTGCATGTATTTTGGCGTTTCATGTGTGGGAGACGTGGCAGCACTACCGCCAGCTGCAACGAGGGCCGGTGGAAGTAGGGCGAGCTAAGGTCAGGAAAGTCCTTGGCGAGTGCGGACGGAGGTACATACGAGTGTGATATGTCCGTACGGGAGGCAGGCCTTGAGTGGGAGTATGGTAGCTAGAAACAGGAGAGGCTACCCACCCTACATGTGGCGAGCTTCTTTTTACATTCCTCTACTCTTGACATTTCGTACGAGCAAAGCCGCTGGGGGGTGGGGGGGGAATGGTTACTACGAAATTGCCAACCACGGCCAGCAGCATTGTTTGCTCACTTTTTTGGGTTCGATCTGTTAATTATTCACGACAGAGGAACCAAGGAGGAAATGAAGAATGGGGTGCTGCTAGATAGGCCAGTGCGCGGGTCACGGGCAGCGGAAAGCGGACTTCTCGATGTGATAAAACAAGACAAAGACACAAATGAAACGTGGCTCAAGAGCAGAGAGCATCTCTGGACTTACTGATCACTGCGCGTCGAGCTCAGTCTGTCTACACTTACCGTATGCACTCGTGTGTAGTCGGGCTCTTTCGTGGCACTCTAGTCTATTGTCGCATGTGGTGGTTGTGCCATGTGATGGTCGCAAGGGAGGGGTTGCTGCGTAGGCCAAGCTGTTGTCGCCTTTGTTGACTGGAAAGTTGCATGGGAGGTTGATGCATAGGTCCAGAGTTTATGCCGCAATGGAATAATCGTCTAGGCGCTCATGGGGGTCCAGGATCGGTGTGTCTCGCAAGCGGTCGCGGTCGCGGTCTTGAAGCAATCGCACTTTGAAGCAGGGTCGTTGATCGCGTTATTGAACGTTGTATTAAAAATCGATATGAGGGCCGGTAGGTAGCCTCGTGGTGTTGTGGCGAGAAACAACAGATTTTAGAAGCTGAAGAGCCCGCTTCGCCGCTTGCCGAGAGGGTAGATGACGAGCGCACTCAGGTACAAGCCAACGGAAATGCCGATGGAAACTTGGACCATACCATAGCCGATGTTGAATATGGTCCCTCCGTATACGCTATTGGGGTCTTGCTGGGCCGCGACGAAGCCCTGCGTTCCGTTGTTGATGATGCTGACAGAGGAGCTGTTCCCAAAAATCTGATTGGCAGAGTCGATGCCTGCTACCAGCGAGCCTGAAGCAGCGAGGCCTCCTGGCACCTGACAGTAGATCGCTGGCAGCATGGCAGCAGCGGCTAGGCCGTGGAAAAGGCGCGAATAGAGGTTGGCTAAACAGCCAATGACGAACGCACCAATTGCGTTAGCAACCTGTAGATTGCTGGACAACTGGGTCGAGATCCAGAAGTTGGCTTGGTGCCCGGCAACTGCAATCAGTGCCATTACTGGCAATTGCTTCCATTTGGCGTTGTAGACCTTGGCAAGGCAACATGCGAAGAGTGGTGCCCAGATGAAACGGGTATACAGCAGCTTGTAGTTAGCAGCGGGTGCGAACCAGTCGGGCACCGAACAGCTGACTTCGTCGACGGCATCTCGCTTGATCAGACCAAAGATGGTGGTGCCAACGAGGAGTCCGAAACCGAGGAACAAAACATAGATGATCGAATAGACCATTCTCACGGACCCGGAGACCATGTTCTTGCTCTGCAACTCTAGTGCTGAGTTCAGCACCATGAAGCCAGGAAGGATCATGGCTATGCTGCTTTGAGCCATGCCAGAGAAGCAGAAGATGTAGGTCCCGTCGCTGCCCTTGATGGAACCCAATGCCCTCGAGGCAAATGCGATCAACACGCAAGCAAAAACCTCGAAGACGTTCGAGAATTGCTCTGATCTTGGTACAACTTTGATCTGAAGGAATCCAAGGATGCCGCTCATTAGGAATATAGGCCCGAAGTCGATAGGGCGAACGTTAAAGGAAAATGGCCCGACCACCACCGATGCCAGGCCGAACATGAGGATCCGGAAATACTGGTTGTGGCGATCTGGCCGGGTCTGAATGTTGTCAATTTCAAGAATCGCTTCCTGAGCAGTGAACTTCTTGTGAATGACGCATTTGTACACGTTGAACACGTCCTTGAGCCGGCCGAAGTCTAGACCGGCATTTCTTCGCACGATCTCAACATTGTTTGCATAGATTGTGTGGTCGATGAACGTACAGATCATTGCGCCGGGGACGTAAACAAAGTCGGCGTCGATGGCTAGTGAGCGAGCTGATGCTGCAAGGTACTCTTCCAGTCTGTGGGTTGGAGCGCCATATTTCATCAGAGCAGCACATAGCTTCGTCAGGTACTTGCGCCGGGCAATGATGTCGGAAACCTCAGCGACGATCTCGTCATTAGTATCGATGCTAGCCGTCGACTTCGGTCTCGGTATCTGAGGTCGGGGTAGTGCACGAAGTGTTGCAGGGACACCGGTGCTAGTTGAAGACAGGGCTGATTGAGCGAGCAGATTCGTCACAGAGTTACTTTGTGACTTATCGTACCAATGAATCTTGCGAGTCGGAGTTGCTGTGCCGGAGGAGAGTCTGTCGTGAGACCTTGCGCGCGTGTGCTTCGGCTCGTATGAAGAGTAATAGTCCCGTGAGGGTGGCGCTTCATCGAGCGAGTTGAGCTTCGAGGTCAAGAGTGCTCCAAAAATGCTCGGTTTGTATTGCTCTGGCGCGGGAACGTAATCGAGATCATGAACGTACTTGTCCAAGGCAGGTGTTTCAGTGCCAGACCTGTATACATTAGATACCAACAAATCAGACCGACTTCATAACTTACCTAGCTTGGGCTTGCTCCGAGCCGAAGTTTCTCTGCGTGAACGACCGGACCAATTTCCTGGCCTCTTCGGTATACTCTGGAAGTTTCTGGGTGGTGTCCGTCTTCTCCGCGGCGTCCTGTCCGTGAATTGTAGGTTGCCGCTTCCACCTCAATGACTGCAGTGCTCTGTTCAATCCGGAGGTGTTTTGACTGCCGTTCTCTTTCTGCTTCAGCAGACCAGCTTCAATATCACTTCCATGCTTGTGCACAGTCGGTGAGCTTGGTTGTTCATATGCTACCTCCGGGCCAGGGCCATCTGAATCAGATTTTAGTTCTTCGTAATGATGAGACAGGTGTTCTCTCGACATCAGGGCGGCAAGACTGGATGGTGAGCTGGTAGCCGAAAGTGCATGAGAACGGGGCATTGCTGGTGCCGATGGGCTCTGTTAAAACCCATTTGCCCATAAGGATGCAGTCGCCCAGACTGCCCACATTCCGGAACGCCGCGAGAGCTGTATACCGAAAATGGATTCTTATGACAAAGGTGAACTTTGCTTGTGCTGATTTTAGCAGCCCTGCAATACGGGTGAAACATAGAGACGACCCGGCTGGCAAAAATTCTTCGCAAGAAACTCAAAGATGACGAGTCATAGCATTCCTGGGATATGTTGCCCCAATTCGGGGGGATGTGGGGCTCCATCAACGCGTGCAGTGGCTTCGGCTTCAGCCGCGTGTTCCTGCCGAAGCGATGCCACGCTCATTTCTCTGCTATAGTTCTTGTATACTCGCACAGCATAGATCCAGGTCCAAGGCGCACAAGGATCAAGCCAATCTCTTTGCCGTGACGACTTGCCAGCATGACACAGACTCACTAGCAGTGGAATCCATACGCCGATCGAGTACCCATTCTTCCCCTGGACGATCAGACCACGAATCCACTGCGCGGACGCTTTTGGAACATTATCCACCGTAATCATCGCGCTGTAATGTCAATGATCCACGGAGCCGCGATGCCTGCGGGCGTCTGTCGTCCGTCAGGCGCGAGGCCAGTAAACAATCATCGGCCATCAATTGTATACACGAAGACAGTGTTGCCCTGATTTCCTGTCGATGTGCTAATGTAGCATACAGCACTGCAGACGTGAAGCAGTTCCTCGAGTGTCGTAACACGGGTCTCGTACATGGACACGAAGACGGCTGAACGCGTCCAAAACTACTCTCGACTGCTCCGCCATGCCTTGCCATTATGCAGGTACACAGCATATGGAACTTGGAGTACCGCAAGAAGGCGTGTACGACCGTATCGTAGATGGTGCTATTTTACGGCGTCTTGCAGATTACAGGTGACTGTCGCCCGGAGTTGTGATGAACGCTGTTAGGACACCCATCAGGATTGAGTAGCACCACAAAGTATTGGGTACAGTGGTGGGAGAGCACGGAGGGGTCACTGGCCGCACGAGGCTCCGCTCCAGCCTCGTCAGCCACCCTACGTCAACGGTGGTGGAAGTTTCGCGAAATGATTTGCACCCCACTACCCACTCGCTGCAAACATTGCTTCGATTCTCACGAGCTGTCTCGCTGCAGTTGACTGCGATAGTTCTGCCTCAGAAGTCACAGACACTATTGCACCACATTGTCCGATACCGAGAACGAGCCCAATTCCTCCGTCCTCGCCCTCGCCCTCAGTCTCGCCGAACTTGGCTTGTCCACTAGCTGTTCACAAAGGCCTCTTGCCAGGCCTAGACACTCACTACACGTCTTACTGGTCTTAACTTCGTCAATATGGCAACAGCAGCCCAGCCCCAGAAATGCGTCCACAAGGGCTGCGGCAAAAAGTTCACTGACCCCTCCGACCCACCCTGCATCTACCACCCCGGCCCTCCCGAGTTCCACGAAGGCCAGAAGGGCTGGAAGTGCTGCAAACCGCGCGTCCTGACCTTCGATGAATTCCTCGAAATCCCACCCTGCACAACCGGCCAACACTCGGCCGTTGACGACGGACCCAAGGTTGAGTTCTCGGACACCAGCAAGATCGGGCAACCAGACGAGGTGCTACCGAAGGAGGAGGAAGTCCGTAAAGTCAAGCCGCTGAGTGAAAGAGCCAAGGAGAGTCTGGCAGCCAGTGTCGCGCAGGCGCAAGCCCAGCCGATCGGGACGCCGCGGAGTAGCACGCCGCAGCCAGCTCTGGAGGAGGATAGCGATGAGGAGACGGACGAGATCCCACAAAATGCGTCATGTAAGCGAAAGGCGTGTGGTGAGCGATTCGCCGGCGGGAAGAGGGTGAGGAGCGAGGAGAAATGCGTGTTTCATCCTGGTGTACCGGTCTTTCATGAGGGCAGCAAGGGGTACACGTGTTGCAAACGGAGGGTGCTGGAATTCGACGAATTCATGCGGATCAAGGGCTGTAAAGAAAGAGAGGGGCATTGCTTTGTCGGCAAGAGGGAGAAGGCGAGAGAGGCGGAGAAGAAGGCGCAGCAAGGTTCCGATGGGGCAGCGGGAGAGGAGAAGGTGGAAGAGGTCAGGACGGACTACTACCAGACCGCAACGTCCGTCATAGTGTCGTTTTTCCTGAAGAAGATCAGGAAGGAAGACGCCAAGGTCGTGTTTGGGGCCGGGGGCGAGAACGGGTATGTGGACCTGGATCTGCCAACGGCCGACAACAAGCGCTTCAAGCAACGAGTGGTCTTCTGGGCCGAGATCGACCCGGAGAAGAGCTCGAGTAAAGTGATGGGCACCAAGCTGGAGCTAAATGTGGCAAAGAAAGGGGACGGGATGACCGGCTGGCCAGTGCTAAAGCAGGGCGATCGAGAGACCGGTGAGCGAATACAGATCGGACGCGCGGGTCGAGCGTAAGCGGCCGGAAATATCAATCGAGGCCATTAGATGTTGACAATGAATGATGGGAACGAGGGGCCGTGCTGTGCAAGAGAAGAATGCGCTCCAATTCGCAACGAGGTCATCGAAGATACCGGCCAAGATCGTATCTCATGCAGGAAGAGATCGCCTCAGCATTGAAGAGCAGAGATAGTAACAGCAAGCCATGTGCCTGACTGATGGGTTGCGATGAGTGGCGAAGCAGTAAAAGAGAGAGAGAGCATGACATGAAGCCATGATAGCGAGCATTGATAGAGCTTCTTTTAATGCTAAGCCCAAAGATTAGAAGACAATAAATCCTATTCGACGTTTCCGCTATTCATGTAGTTCTGTCTATCTATGTGTCGATCTGCTCATGGGTGGTATCCTTGGCATCGCAGGTCTACAATATCACCCCAGTCCAATCAACGCCCTACTCCCAACAAGGCCTGAGAACCGGTAGCTGGTGACTTCAGCAGAGATCTTCTAGCACAACGAAGTCAGTGGCACCGCAACCTGCCGGACCGCCCAACAACGCCACAAGGTAGCGTGTGCACACAGGCTGCCACGGGGCGGGAAGCACTAGACGCCACGGACAGCATGCACGATTTTCGACATCGTCAAATTCTGAGCAGCTTCCCCCATCCTCGTCTGCCTTCCCGCGCCCAAGCGGCGCCTCTCTTCTACTCGCTCGCACCGTCTCGGTCCCCTCCTCTCCCACCATTCCCTTCCCCCTCCCGCCGCTGCACCACAACAGCCACATCCGGCGCGAAAATCGCATACCACATCCTCTCCATATAATGCCCCTCCTCCGGGTTCGTCTCCGCCAACTCTTCAAAATACCTCAGCAGCCTGCCCCACCACTCCCTGGGGCGCCGATGCACCGCCTCCTTGGTCACCGCATAGCACGCCCCTTGCACAAAGCGCACCTCGGTCATCGGCACCTTTTCGTCCGCGGTGCCGGCGAACATCCAGGACCAGAAGTCGCGGGGCGTGAGCTTGGCGCGTGTGAGGGCGTGGCCGCGTCGCCGGATCCAGTCGTGCTTGTACTGGATGCCGTCGAAGTCGGAGAAGGTGGCGGAGACGCCGACGGGGAGGACGGCGCCGGGGGAGAGTCGGAGGGCGGCGGAGACCAGTTCGGCGAGGGTGAGGTCGGTCTGTGGGGGGAGAGGTGCGTTAGGTGGGATTGTGGGGATACGATGGGAGGAGTTGAGTCTGAGCAGGAAAGATAAGGGGGGACGGCACTTACGTGGGCGGGTGTGCCTTGATTGATGTCGTGGATGTTGCCTTGTAGGAACAGAGTTACGTGCGCCAACGAGTCGTAGTTCTGGGTTATGTGCGTAAGATAGGTATGTGTCTCGCGACCGATGTTTGGCAGGTGTTTGAACCTTGCGTATATGGATGTCTCTGCTGGTTGTTTGCCTTTCGAGTATATCGAGCAGTTGGCGGAAAATGGTGACAACCAAGACAGATCCTCATTGTAATGAGCAATGCAGAGTTCTACCGTTGAGATGGGAGTGGTGGAGGGTTCTGGTGGAGGGGTGATGATTCCATTCGTTGCGGCTGGAGCCATGGAGCTATCAGGCGTGAGGTTGGGGGAAGCTTTCGAGGTGCTAGGAGGGGATGGAGGAGAGGAACGCAGGGCAGGTGGTACAAAGGCAGCCATGTTGAGTAGGACGGATCGGGAGCATGAGTGACTCGACCGATCGGAGCACCAGGACAGCTGGGGGTTTTGTGCAGAGAAAGACTTCACAAAAACACGTTGCCTTACGGTTATATGGCAGTCCAGGTTCATACTTGCTAGGAGGCAGCTTGCATCATACCTTGGGAGCCCGCTCGCCAACTGAAAGCGATATGCGCCTCTAGAAGCTTTCAGCCACCGACAAGACAGGGAGCCTAAGGCGGACGCTGGACCATCAGCCAATGGTGGAAGGTCAGCCATCCAATGTTCACGGCAGGAATGGATGCTATTTTGCTGCTGTCGATCCTGATGCACATGGCAGCGAGTGCGAAGTGGTCCGTGGTTGCTATGACCCATGCCGTAGTTGTAATTAGTGCACGTCAGCTCCACTGGCTGAACGAGCTGCCGACACAGTACTGTACAGAGTGAACCTTATTCCACGCAAAAGGACTCGGCCTGCGACTATCACCGGTCGAGAGCTAGTCAAGAACAAGGTTGTGGGCGTTGCATAGCGAGGTACCGTATGGCTTACCTCAGCTGTTTTGTGCATGTGGACATGCCTGAGCCAGAGAGCGTAGTTCCTCCGATTGCTGATGGCGAAGATGATGGCAGACGCCGATTCCGCTTAGCGATCCGACAGAGGTGAGATGTTGAGACACGGTCCGAGTCGAGAAAACCGTAACTTCCTGCGCCTAGGCAAGATCCAAGACTGTCACCCGAGCGCAGGTGATCTTTGTGTAACCATTGGCCCTGTTAATGGGTGATCTGTCAGGCCGCCCGCGCAGCCTCGCTCTCGGTAGCTAAGCCACGCGGCCGGGACGCTGCTCAACGATGGGGAAGGCGGCACAGGATTTGTCTGCGAAGATCGTCTAGAAGCGTCCCGCAATGAAAAGGTCGCGAATTGACCACGCTTGTGCGACAAATAGAGATGCTCGCGCTGCTATCCCTTTTCGGCTTCGTCTCGCGCTTGGGAAAAGGCCCAGGAGACAACCGAAACGGACTTAATGGACCCCGAGAGGACATGCATAGCGAGACTTGGGAATTGACGAAGAACGATGGTATCCATCGGACAACTAATAGCACGAGACAAGTCAAGTCAACTCAGAAAAGAAGTCGTCAAACTCGACAAAGAGACCATGCGATGCCGCCAACGATAACGATGGTCGGGTCGCGCAAACTTGTCCCCGAGAATCTCAGCCTCGTTCAAGCCCAGCCCTGCCAAGCTGCGAATGCTCCACTTTGCGCGCCAGCCGTATTGTACAAAAATCTTTCCTGCGCCCGCCAACTCTTCTTCTCTTCTTCATCATCAGTAGAGGTGTTAATTTCTAACACTTAAAGGAGCTTCGCCACCGTGCGACTTGCTATGGGTTGTTCTTCTTACGGTTCAGGATTTGACCTGAATTGCCATGAATTGTCCATCGTTCCCGGCTCCTGAGACGAAACTTTCCATCGACTTTTTCCCAATTCACATATGGCTGCTGCTTGACCCCGTGGTGGTTGCCGTGGAGGAGGTGGTACAATCCTTCTTGTTGAAGATAAAATTGCTTTTGTCGTGAGATATTGATATGCGCGTCTACGATGATGTCGCTCTATGGTGTGTCGACAATGTTATGCCTGAGCATGATCAGCCGAGTTGAATACCACTGTACTTGAGAGAGCGTGGTTCCCGAGGCGTGCTATGCGGCACCTCCACTGGCTCGGGTTTGTGCAACGATGCTACCAGCGAACATGATTGACTGTGAACGTCTCCGAATTTGCAGGTAGCTTCGCCCCTACCTGTATCTACCGGTACGTTACCCGGAGGATTGTGCCTCAGCGATTTGTCTAGCTTGAATGATACCTTTTCGTATCCTGAGTAATGCTCAAGCCATCTTTTCGTGCACCCCGAACATGATAGTTCAATCTCATGTGTACTTCCAGACCAAAACCTCATGCAGCCGTTGTTCGCCTTGGTCTCTGACTGTATCGCTTCCGTGCGTTTCGCTTAGAGTCGACTTGGGAACCTCAAGCAGTCTTCTCACCCTTGCCGGCTTCAGCCTCGCCATTATCCTCAGCAGCATCGTCGTTCTTGACACCCTCAGACTCGTCAGACTCCTCGGATTTGACGGACTTATCCTCGCCATTGCCTTCCTCCGATGCATCGACCTTGGCGGCCGACTTCTTGGGTCTACCGCGGCCTTTGCCCTTCTTGTTCGGGGTAGCAGTGGCAGCCTTGTCGTCAGTCTCTTCCTCCTTGACGGGAACTTTGGTGTCCTTCTTGGGAGGAGGCTTACGCTTCTTGGAAGCAGAGCCATTGGTAGCAGCGGCATCGTCATTGGCCTCGGCATCGTCGTCGGCGGTAGCAGACTTGCGCTTATTGGGAGTCTTCGGAGTCTTGGGGGTCTTCGGAGGCTTGGGCTGACTGGCGGCAGCTTGAGTAGCTTGAACGGCACTGTCGTCTGGCCATGTATCCTTAGCATCCTGCTTCAATTTGGCGAAGCGATGGGTCAGAGCCTTGACCGTGCATGCTGAAGCAAGGTGGTTAGAAAACAGTATCCAGTGAGAAGGTGCCAGGGCAAGTATTACCTTCACCATCAAAGGACAAGAGAGCGGCGATGGCGTTCATATCGAACTTGGTTTCGCTGGTCTTGACAACGGCAAGCAGGAGCTGTGGTGAAGCATAGTGTTAGTAGAGTGTTCCCTAAGATCATGTTGGAATGAGGGCATGATGGGAGGACAACGAACCTTGGCGTCGACTTCGGGAGTCCATTTGGGCATTGTGACGGAGGATTGAGAATGACTATAGCAAGGCAAGTGTGTTACGAGGAATGCAGGACGTTGGGTTGCGAAAGACGGTGGCTGAGGTTGAGGGTGAGGTGGAAGAGAGGGGGTTGTGCGAAGATGGCAGCTGTTTAAATGTTTCGAAGGGTTGTCAGCGAGGGCGGTGTATTGCAAACAAGTGAAGACAGATGACACTTGTCGTTTCTGCCAGCGCTAGAAGGGTTGGAGCCTGCGTAATTCTTCACTGATTTGAAATTGAGCTGCCATTGATGGTAGTCATTTAGAACACACCACTGTTGCTCGGCAGCCAGACAGCCGCAGCACCTTGATCACAGGGGTATACCCAACCTCAACTCCGGACTTGCCAACTTGATTCCATCACCACTGGTGCGAAATGCTCCCAAATGTGGCCGATGTGAACACTTTGATTCCGTACTTCCTTCTGGACTTCTGTCAAGGCGTTGATTGTCGAGCCCCTTTCATTCTGTGCCACAGTCGTCAGTCTCTCTCTCTCTCTCCCAGCCTTGATCCAACAGCGCAGACTCAAACATAGTCTGATTTGCCGAGGTATTTTCTCAACCATCGCTGAAAGCCTGTAGATAAGTAGATAAGTACATACAATAGAAACCTCACACTTATCCCAGATTGGACACGTCCAAGGGAACGCTAGTTCCTCTCCCTGCACGGTACCTTTTCGGCACACCTGTGTACTGTCGAGGCGGTGGAAGTTGGTTATCTGCTTGAAACTTCCATCTAGTGTCTTGAACTGGCTGGATACCCGAGCCGGGTCGTGAAAGGCCTGACGAATTGCCATTTGTTAGTGTGTAGGAGCTGGCATTTACCGAACCTCTGTTCAAGGCAAAGGATGATGCTGATGGTGATTGTGGCGAAGGAGGGGCATCCAAGTGGGAGCCTGCACTCAGGGAAGCTGATGATGGTCGACCCATGGCGCTCGCGGCCGCTCTCATAGCCATAGACGCCCCTGGCGCGGGGGGAGCGGCCGGTGGTGGCGGTGGAGGAGTAGAACGTGCGGAAGGCTCTCGAACCGGCAGACTTGTCGGCGGTGGCGGTGGCGGTGGAGGAGCTGCCGAAGGAGCTGATGCTGGTGGCGGAGGAGGCGGTGGTGGTGCTGCCGCGGGCACTGGTGCTGCGCTTGGAGGGGGAGGTGGCGGTGGAGGTGCTGGGGGTACTGGACTAGCAGAGCTTGGTGGAGGAGGGGGCGCTGATGGAGGTGCTGGACTCGCTGAAGTTGGCAGAGGCGGCGGAGGAGCCGGCGGTGCGGGACTTGTTGAAGTTGGCGGCAGCGGCGGCGCTGGGGCAAACGGTAATCCGCTGACTTTCCTCGATGCTGGCGGAGGTGGAGGTGTTTTTCCCGCTGCAAGATTTGCGATAGATGATGGTTTTGAGCTAGGTCTAGGAGGAGGTTTCTTGAAGCTGGTGAGAGGACTTGGGCTAGACGCATTAGCCCCCGGTATTGGAGGAGCAGCAGATGGTCTGGGCGGAGCCTGGCTTCCTGGAAGTGGTGGGGGTCCGCCTGGTACAGGCGGTGCTCTATTCGTAGGTAATCGTGGGGCAGAAGGCCTCGATGCCTCAGAATCGGAATGTGCGTCTGCACCGGTGTCGATACCACCGCTTGTTCGCTTCAATTTGGGCATGCCTCCGGCGAACAACCCTCCAAGTTGCGGCGCACCGCCAATCATAGCGCCGCCGTCGCCACCTCCTGTACCTTGGTCGCTGTTACTCCTTGCTCGGTTTCCGCCACCTGGCACAGGAGGTGCAAGACTCGTGGGGGCTTTCATGCCAGGTACTGGGGGCGCACCGCCAACGGGTGGGCCGCCTCCACCCGCTTTCTTGTCGACTATAGGCGCGGATCGGTCGTTCGTGACCGTCGCTTTCAGCTTTCTGCCCTTCGAAATATCGCTTAGTAGGGCACCCTAGTTGATTAAGGCGATCAGTATGTGCGTCATGAGTTAGGTGGAGACTGAACAGATGCGCTGTTCAGGTCGCGGCTGCTTGCATCCAAGGTGTGACATACTCTATCTTTTGCGACGGCTTTCGGCGGCGCGGCAGGAAGGCTTGACCCTCCGGGCATTGGAGGAGGCGGAGGAGGCCCTCCCATCCCTCCTGGAGGGGGAGGTGGTGGCGGCGGTGGAGGAGGAACCGGCATGGTCAGTGAGGAGGATCGTGAATCGAAGTTCGCTGTAGTGTTGCTGTACGGGCTGTTCGCCTTGACGAAGCACTTCGAGGGATCTAAGAGAATGGGAAGTCGCTACCAACGAGTGACAGATACAGCGTAGGCCCCCTGGACAGTTATTATGGACTACGTCGAATGGCTGGCAAAGAGGTGAGTCGCATGTCGTTTAGCCGCACTCGTCATGCGGCTGAGCTGGCCATGGCATCTCCACATCAGGCTTCAGGCAAACACCCGCGTATCAAACGGCTTCAGCACGTAGAAAACGTCGGATCTTGCGTTACTACATGACTTTTCGAGCATCAAGATTCTATCGTTGTTACTGCAGGCAACCTCTCATTTGTCTGCAAGACGCCGCCCGGAGCCGAAGCCGAAGCCAGGTGCCAGCACTGTTGCATACTATGAAATAACTCCCCAACTTTGTGACCATTTGACAACCCAGAAAACGTTGACAGTCTCTCCCTATGCAGGACTAGTTCACATTGATTGGAGCTGGCTGCAGCGGCGCGTGCGCAGGCCATCCGCTGCATACTCGCGATTGTCTAGACGAAATATAATGGGTCGTTGAGAACTGGGACTATTTCGCTGCATGCATTGCTTCGAAATCTGCTCCTTCTGGTACTCGTGGAGCTCAGTTGTGACCAGCCTTGCGCAGCGAGTTGCTGAGCCACTCGAGACCTTCATAGAGACCATCACCAGAGGTAGCGCAGGTAGATTGAATGTACTAAGCTGATTAGCCTGTGGTTACAGCACATAGCAGGGACCGAGGTGACTAACCCAAGCACGCTGGCGGAGGCTGTGAAGACCAAGCTTGTCAGTAATTTCGGCGGCATTCATGGCGTTCTGGCAATCGTTAGCTGGAGCTTTGTGGAAAAGAGTATTTCCGTACGGGTAGATCCTGTTTGTTGGCAAAGACCAGGAGGAGGGCGTCACGGAGCTCATCCTCGTTCAGCATGCGCTGCAGTTCCTCACGAGCCTCGACAATACGATCTCTGTCGTTGGAGTCGACCACGAAGATGATACCCTGGGTGTTCTGGAAGTAGTGTCGCCACAAGGGACGAATCTTGTCCTGTCCACCAACATCCCACACGGTGAACTGAATGTTCTTGTACTCGACAGTCTCGACGTTGAAACCTGGCTCACGGTCAGTATCCCCGCCAGCAAGAGTCATATCAGATCTTTCGTACCGATAGTAGGAATAGTAGTGCTGGATAGCATTAGCGCGGAGTCAATCGGCTAGATAGGCTGGTTCCCAACATACACAATTTCACCCAGCTTGAGCTTGTAGAGAATGGTGGTCTTTCCGGCAGCATCAAGACCGACCATCAAGATTCTCATCTCCTTCTTTCCCCATAGTCTATCGAAAAGTTTCGAGAATGTGAGACCCATGATTGCGATCTGACGGATGTAGTCTTAGAGAGGAAGGCGGTCTGGAGTTATTCGCGATTAGTCAAGCGGATCGAGGATGCAGTGAGATAAGCGGATAGAGCAGGCTGTAGATGAACATCGGAAGCGGTTGTGTGATGCGCAGTCCATTTATAGGGTCTCCCACACCGTCGAAGGCTGCATGCACATGTGTGGCCACTTTGTCCTCGAACTTCGGCGACTGGGGGGCTTGACCAGGCAGAGAGATTGTTGAGCTTACCGGAGGTATTCAAGGGGCGCCAGGCACAGAGATGGCGCGAGCGAATGGGTTCAGGTAGTAATATGGGGAAGAGAGAGTCTCACGATGCGATGAAGTGGTAAGGCCACAATAACCCTCAGGTGCAGGCCCAAACTTGAGCGACAATCCAGGGCTCTGTCTCTCAGAGACCCCGCTAATCCTAAATCAGCCACATGCCAAGTCATGGCCCAACACCCTTTGTCGGTCTGGCATGCCAGAATGAATTCAATAAACAGTGGGACCTCGCGGTACAATTGATGCAGGCCATAAGTTATTGCTAATGTATGCCTTGTCAACGACTGATCTTTACATGGAGATTCAGCTGAAGAATACGGAGAGGTCACCAAGTTTCGTGTACAGTTACCCTATCCTGCGCATGGCCTGTGGCACACTACTTTTAGAGAGGCAACTTGAGCTCAGTGCTCCTATACACCCGACCTTCTTTCTCCATGGTCGCATCGGCGTTGACCACCTGAAAGCCGATATTCTTGTACAACTCAAGGGCGTTGTTGTTGCCGTGCACTACATCGGTAGTACAGTGCCCTGGTGGAGAACCATCGTTGGCATTCAGGTTCTTCACCAAATCGACACCAAACCGTACAAGCCTTTGCCCTGCTCCTTGTCCCCGTAGCTTTGGGCTCAGCCAAACAGCAGCCATGTACCAATTCCCACGGTAGATGCTCGTGTTGACCTTTTCTCGCTCAAGCATGCTCTGCATGAATCAGAAATGTCGATCATCGACCAAAGACTGGCTATTTTCTGGTACCTCTGAGGCGTCTCGGCCATCTATCATGACGCAGAAACCTACCCATTCAACATCTTCGCGCAAAAGCACTCCTTCGTCTGGTGGCAACTCCTGTCCGCTTTGAACCATGATGACCGTCCAAGCTTTCGGATTTTTCAAGCGGTTGACCCAGAAGCTCATCGGTTCATTTGCCTCTGATTCGTAGCGAGATGTAAAGGACGCTGAATCATGTTGAAGGCTTCGCAGCCTTATTTGTTTCTGTTGTAGCGAATACTGTTCCCATTCTGAATCGTCCTTGATATCTCTGGGAACCACGTGCACAGATAGATGTGGCATCCTGGTAAAGTGTAGAACATGTCAGTTTCGTTTCGTAGCGGGGATTTTCCGAATATATTTGTACCACCACTAAAGATGACTCATGGAGTCTTATTCAATAGCAGCAGCCATGACAATGGCGGCACCCAGATAGAGACAAAGTCAACTTGTGGATCCCAAGTGACTCAACACCATCCAGGGCTTTATCACGACATTAGATGAAATGGGGCAAAAGCCATAGTATGTCAGTGAATCCTCAAAGATTCGGGAGGTGAGTAGGCCCGAAATTGCCAAGCAATTGCCAAGCCGCAGTGTGCCGCCGAAATTTATCTCCATTTCTCGCCGCCGTCGCAACGATCCCTCTCCAAACCACATTCACGCGCAGTGCCTCACCATAAGAATCTAATTAATTCTTCTGGAAGACTGTCATCGCCATGTCGAAAATCACAGTCGCCGGCGTCCGCGGCAATGTCAAGGAATTGCTCGACTACTCGCAGAACACCAAGAAGCGCAACTTCCTCGAGACCGTCGAACTCCAGATCGGCCTGAAGAACTATGACCCTCAGCGTGACAAGCGTTTCTCCGGCACCATCAAGCTGCCCTCCGTCCCTCGCCCAGGCATGGCCATCTGGTAAGCAACGACCACTCATCACCCCGCATTCAAACGCCAACTAACATACTCCAGCGTTCTCGGTGACCAGCACGACATCGACCGCGCCAAGCACCACGGCATCGACGCCATGTCCGCGGACGATCTGAAGAAGCTGAACAAGAACAAGAAGCTCATCAAGAAGCTCGCCAACAAGTACGACGCCTTCATCGCCTCCGAGACCCTGATCAAGCAGATCCCCCGTCTCTTGGGTCCCGGTCTGTCCAAGGCCGGCAAGTTCCCCACCCCGATCTCGCACGCCGAAGACCTGGCGGCCAAGGCCACCGAAGTCAAGAGCACCATCAAGTTCCAGCTCAAGAAGGTGCTGTGCCTGGGTGTCGCGGTCGGCAACGTCGAAATGGGCGAGGACGAGCTCATCTCCAACATCATGTTGGCCATCAACTACCTGGTCTCGCTGCTCAAGAAGGGCTGGCAGAACGTGGGCTCGCTGGTCATCAAGGCCACCATGAGCCCGCCCAAGCGTCTGTACTAAGCCTGGGGCACAGTTTGGGGTGCCGTGGAACGGCTCGCCGCCGGCTCATTCGCTTGAGTCGATGGCTCATGCTCGTTCGTGCGGTGCTCGAGAAAGTTATGGGTACGCCATCTGTCATGATGCGATCCTCGCTTCGTGAAGGTACGAAACATGATGAACCACAGCGGATTCAGATAGCACGCCAATGACATATTCATGAATCTGGAAACCATCTTTGTAGTGTCGTAGTACTGCCATTCAGGGCCACTAGTTGCACATGCGTAGCACGCGTTCCCAGTCCGTCAAAGGGAGAACTACGACATGCCCTGTAGGAACTCGGTCTTATCAAGCACCATGCCTCTCAACCCCACCGTATCCCTCAACGCCTCCCATTCCTCTCCTTGCTCCTCCCCTCTCCGTATCTTCTCCTCAAAACCCCAAGCCTGGGCCACCTTGTCCAAGAACGCCCTCTCATCCTCCATCAGCCAGCGCTTGTACAGCGACTTGCCCACCTCCCAGTGCACGCGATCATGGTGATCGCTCCACGTCGTGACCGCCACGAACGCAATGCTGCCAAACGTGCCAATGTACGCCGTCGCGCCCGCGATGGCCATCATCTGCGCCATTTCCGGCTCGAAGGTGTTCTGGTAGGTAGACACCCACGAGGAGGCCGTGTATGCCGTGAAGGGAATCATGGTCATCAGGCCCAGTTTGGGGGCCGCATGCTGGAGAAAGCGCTGGGTCTGGTACGCCGTCGTCGCGACGGTGGTGTCGGTGATGGCGATGGCCAGACCCATGTCGCGCTTGCGGATTGCGGCCGCGAGCGCTGCGGCCGCGAGGTCCAGGGGTATGGCCGCTGCGAGGCGCCAGGGTCGCGCAGCCTTGTAGGTGATGGTAGATCCTGACGCGGAGGGGATGGGTTTGTGTGCGTAGAGATCGAAGATCTCGGGGAGGTACTCAGGCTTGCCGAGCAGGCATTGTGTGTGCGTGTAGACGCGGAGGATCGAAGAGCTGATCTTGACTTTGGGGTCACGCACGAGATAGTAGAGGAGCTCGCAGAGCGTCGAGGCGGATTCGGCACGAAAGGCCACAGACATGGTAGAGTGGCGGGAGGCCTTTATTGCTTTCTGTGGTGTGCTGCTGCTGCTGCTCTCCTCAGATAGATCGTCGAGCACGGCGGAGGAGGTATCAGGCTCGGGCGAGGATGTCGACCGGGCGATGGTTTCGATGTCAGAATCTTCTACACTGCTGCCACGATGGTCTTGATCGCCGAACACTAGCATGTTGGCGAAGCTGTGGATGCGTCCGAGCAGTTCGCGTATCTCTGTGTCAGATGGTAGGGACTTTCTATTGATGATATGGGCCACATCATGGCGGATTGCAGCCAACGTCTGTACTGGATCGGAGGACTGAAATGCTTGTTGGCGTGATCGGTCTCGATGTGACGTGGCAGACTCATCCAACACAACAGTCGATGCTCTTCGTAGCTGCGTATACAGTAGCCCTCCCCTTTTCTGCCGCAGCGTCCTTCTACTGGGTTGCTGGGCACGGGTTCGAGTGTTCGCCAGGACCGACAATGATCGTGACGAGGGCTTTGCAAGCTGCGCGAATTGGCAGGACCTGCAGATGAAGGCTGCTCGGCTCGGTAGTAGACCAGCCATGCTGATCAGCGTGTACAATGGTGCTACATTCAGTCGACTAGGAGGAATTAATGGCGTCTTCATTCCAAAGTTTCGTCCGCGGAGCAGCTCGAACCGCAAGGCTGCGATACAGCCTCGCCACGCAGCGATCTAGACACCGGTAGCTATATGAACGTCCTACTTTGCTTAGAGCTCATTACTGCAAGTCGTTTGCGTTCGTGGCGAAGCCCTAGGTCTCATTTGATTCTCTGGATCTTGAGCAGCACGTATCGTGGTGTCAGCCGCTATGACTTCTGCACCGGACGAGATAGATGAGCAGCTGCTGAAGCACTGCATTCAAATCTACACAGAAGTCATTACGAAAGCCTACGAGCAGAGGATTAAGGATGTTAAGAAGCGAGCTGGTGCCATGGAGCGCGACACGTGGCGTTATGAGCAGCTGCCCAAGGACTTGGCTGGTAAAAGGCCCTTGAGTATCACAGAGCTAGAGAGGCTCGTCCAGTGGAAGATGTAAGTCACAAGATTTTATTGTTCCTTAACGAATTTTTCGATGCGTCGACCAAGGTACCAAAATCATGCTGCTGTTGTCGCCGTTGCTGTGTCCTTGATCTGAGGTGGAAATGCGCAAGGTCACGCGATACTACAGTGCTTGAAAGAGGCACTGACCCCCCTTATACAGCACGCACGGCCCCTCTCGCCCTTTTCTCCCTGCTATGATCCGCAAAAACGACGGCAAAGCTGTTCTGGAGGCGACAGAGGCGACGGCCAAATCTCTAGCCTCCATGCCCTCCAACCCAACAATGTCCCAGGCCCTGGACGTTACACTCTCCGCAATGAACACCATTTCCAAGCTCTCGGGTGTTGGTCCAGCTACAGCGTCTCTCGTTCTCGCTGTCTACAGTCCTAGGATACCTTTCTTCCAGGATGAATTGTGGGCCTGGTTATTTCCGGAGAAGGCGGGCGGCAAACTCAAGTACGATCGAAAGGAGTACGAGATGCTGTTTCGTAAGTGCTGGGAGGTCCGGGAAAGGGCTGGGAAAGGCGTCGATATGGTGGCCCTTGAGAAAGCCAGTTTTGTTTTGCAACACATCGATCTCGTACCTGAAAACCACTTGGGACCTCTGACAAGGGAAGGGAAAACTGAGAAGGACACCGGCCTGAAAAACGCGTCAAAACAGCTTGATGAAAAGATTCAGCCTGATAAGAGTCATGTGACAGGATCGTCAAAAGCACACAACAAACGTACTGCACCAAAGGTGGGTGCTGCACAAGAATCGACACCAGACGAGGGCACACGACGCTCGAAGCGGAGCAAGAAGTGATACCTCAAGAGTATTATTACTATACATTCATGGTCGAAATATGTGCTCGACAATGGCCTGGAAGTACTCCTCGCTTTTTCCTCGACCGGACCTATCCATTATGCGCCAAAACCATGTTCCACCTCTCACAAGAAGAGGTATGCAGCAGTACCAGCAGCGAAGAGCAGATTGGCACCAATCTGGAGAGCGGCGGCTCCGCTGTCGGAGTTGGTGGACTGGGCGCCATCGGACTCGGTTGCGGAGGCAAAGCCGCTGTGGGCTGCGGTCTCGGAATCGGAGCCAGTAGCAGAAGCGGAAGATGCAGTCGACGAGGCAGTGCCGTAACTCGTGGTGGTGCCATAGACGGACGCGGCATTGCAGTTCTGGTCGCGCTGTTGCTGGACGGTCCCCACGCCGATGTCGTTGGGGCAGTTGTTGTAGCACGTTAGGAGGTTGCCATAGTTCTCGCACAAGCAGCTGTAGTCGTTGGCCTTGCAGGTGTTGATCTGGCCCTGGATAGTGGCCTTGCAGGCATCCAAAATGCTGAATCGAAGGTTAGCTGACTGCGTGTGGGAAGATGCGAAGACATACTTTTGAGCATCACACGAGCTGCTGGAGCCAGTGGGTGTGCTGGAGCTTCCGGTGGAGGTGACAGATTGGGCAGCAGCCACGGCAGCGAAAGCTGCAATCACGCCGGTATACTTCATTATGTAGTCAGATGTATCAAGGTCTTGAACGAGAGACTAAGAACGAAATGCGGATTGAACGAGAACAGGGACAGCACCAAGGTCGACAGCACGCTCTGGCGAGAAGGGACGGATGAGCATTGCGACGGGAACTTTATGAAATAGAGGCGCCGACGCGCCTACGGACCCCGGCTTTCGAAACGGACTCTCTCGTGGTCTCTTTTTAGAGGACCTGCGGGTCTTGAAGGGGTATAGCTCGATCACTTTGTTGTGAAGCGAGTGCTTGATGTTACTCCTGACCAATAGCGGAATATGGCGAAGATGGGGATTGATCAAAGGTGGCTAGTTTGTCAGCCGCCTCTGGGGAAGGAAATTAGTTTGACTGGTCCGCGAGACGGTGTTTTCTTTGGAACTGGGCTGGTTGCGCCAGCATACAGGTGAGACATGCTTGCATCTGTGCACGCACGAGACGATAACATCATTGCTCCGACCTGACATATGCGAGGTTGACATATCACCGTGATGCTGTCTTTTCAGTCGAAGGACCACCGAGTGAAGGGCTGGGGAGAGAAAGTTCAAGTTCGGATTGTTGTTCGGCAGGGGTCATTAGCTTCGGCAAAGCCCGAGTGGGGTCCGAACGCCGCCAGCCTTGCGCCTCGTATTCCCCCTTTTCCTCCGATCACTCTCTCACAGGGCGGCACCCAAGTGGATGTACTAGGCAATGCCTTGGTGTATGTAAGCTGGACCGGAACTGCTCGAGACACGATCACCATGATTCAAACCCCTGTCCGGGTTCAGGCGTCACGCCCCTTCCGTAGTCTTGACCTCAGCTCTTGCTCATTCCCACCTCTGCTCAGTGTCATTCGATCCTGACCAACGAGTGTCAGCATAACTTTCTACTTCTACAGCAGGAAGTCGCAGTCGTATCCACGGAGGCGATGCTGCTGGAAGCTATGATCACAGCACGCGGTTGAAAAAGGCAACAGCAGAAGCGAAAAGCAAGGATAATGAGTACAGAGCGGTCTGATCATGTTGCGCCGACCAGTGGCTCCACTCTAGCCCAGAGTCATACAATCTATGCCCGCGGTCGAACAATGAGAGGCAAGCCCTTCCTTACCCATCCCAATGCCCATCCCAAGAGTTGTTAGCGCGACCAACCATGGCAGCAACATATGCATGACAGTGAGTACTCTCTACCCACTCCAGAAACCCGCTCATCAACCCACATATCAGATGAGAACGATGGTCGACAGACATCGGCGTCGTTGTTAGCTTCCTAGAACTTCGTCCTTCCCTGAAGCCTCAATGTTGTCTTGTTGGGATTCTTCCTCACCTTTGGGGCGGTCGGCGCGTCCTTTGCTGGATGTTCCGGGTCGACAAACGCGAATTTGATGTTCTCATACAGTTGGTCGTCGCCTCGGAGACCGTGTTTCTTGCAACCATACTTGGACGAGACCAACTTCCGGCAGACTGGGCACACTCCCATGTGCTTTCGGTCGACACAGCGAGGCTCGAGCACGTGGGTGGTTGCAGCGTCTTTGAAAGGACTAAAATGGTAAGCCAAGAAGATACCGGGGAGCTACGATCACATACCAATGGTGATGACCACGCTCAAGAGTCACTGGTATGAGGTTGTTACCATCCATCTCCTCCTTGTTTCTCTGTTCCATTTGCTCCTGCTCCTCGCGAGCCTCTTCTTGCTTCTTCTCACGCTCACGCTCACTGTCGAGCTCCTTCAAAAGGCTTCTCGACATGTATGGGCCACGTCTCTCATCTTGCGGCATCTTGAGAGATGAAGTGCGCTGTTCGATTTGTATGGTGCTTCTTCCTACGCTTGGGCACGTGGTAGAGTAGTAGGTATTCGAAATGACGGAACGAAAATCTCAACAGGCGCCAGAATGGTGGATGGAGGAAGAGCGATGGAAACTTGGGGCACAAGAGGCAGCTCATGGTGAATATCTTGAACGCATCCACTGCCGCTGCGGTTTTCCACAGCAACCGCCTTGGTAATATAAATAGGCTATATAGTGCGCAGTCACGGCCCGAGGGCAGGGGGCTTTCACCTACCAGGCGCAAGCGATTTATATCACATCACCAGCCCTTGTGGTGACACGTCCAGCAAACGGCCAAACAACTACAAAAGTCTCGCAAACTATTTATTCTTTGGCCTCCAAACACACCGTTTGTCTCAGCAATCTACGCTTCTACATGAAGCCACGACTTTCATAAAAGCCTCACGACACATATGTCAACTGCACCCTCCCTAATCCGAGTCTTCTCGCACGAAATTTGGTTAGGAACCACGACAGAGTCCTATCGCTAAGCAATGTGGGGTCTCAAACTGCTCCATCGCCATGGCGGATGAGTTCTGGCTGGTGCTGCTGTCATTGGCGTTCTCATGTATAATCATTACCGATCTGCGGTCGACATCGGGTCGAATCAGATCAATGAGTCGAATGATACCTCGGCACCTGATGATACGAATGAGCTACAAGGGAACAGCAGCGAAGCCCACGCTGACGAGGAACATATGACCCCCGTCCACGGAAGTTCTGAGGGTGGACAAAGTACAGCAAATTTTGACGTCCGAGACGACAAGGCCGCGTTCAAGGATGTTATGCAGCAGATGAACACCTCCAGGCTCAACCAAGTGGCCGTGAAGCTTCGCATTGATCGATCACAGAAGGCCAGCTCGCGGCCCTTGAGCCTCGAAGAGATGCTGGATGTCTCCTACACCCACTTTACATATGTGTACGGCTCATACAACCTTGCCTATCGGATTCAGTGGAAGGACGGGACCAGCTGGTTCGTTCGTATCCCTGGCCATGGCACTCGTTTCGGGCAGCTGGACATCCAGAAGATGAACTCTGAATATCAGACTATGCGGTATGTCCGATCTCATACCACAATCCCGTTGCCAGAGGTTATCTTCTGGACGACTTCCCCAGATCTAGCTGGGGTGCCTTTTGCCATCATCTCAGGTGCAGAAGGTGGGTCCTTGTGTCTCGCATGGGATGAGATGCCAGAGGATCGACGCCTTTCGACCCTGTCCGAAATAGCTGGCTACATGGCACAGCTTCACAAGCTCTCTTTCGACATGAGAGGCATGCTTACATTCGATTCAGCTGGTGACGTGTCCGGCGTTGGCCCATACATTGCGCTCAAGGGGAACGACCTACAAGATGTCGTCCGTGGTGGACTAGAGATGACTCATTGGCGAGAAACAACGACTTACGGCCCGTATGATTCGGTAATGGCTGCATTCGACGAGGACATCGCAGCTCAGGCGAGACCTGGTAGCGAGCGGGACGCATGCCTTTCCATTCTCAAGACTGCGCTCGAAACCATGCCACCACGCTTGATAGAAGACAAATGCTTCTATCTGACCAAGCCAGATTCGAACTGGCAGAACATCTATGTCAACGAGGCAGGAAAGGTAACTAGCTTCATCGATTGGGACATGGTCGGCACCGAAACGAGTGTCATTGGTTACGCCAGGACGCCCATCTTTCTGTGCGCAGATTGGAATCCAGTGAATTACGAATACGATCCCGGGACGGACGATAACGAGGAGATGTCTCCGGAGCAGCTCGTGGGCTACCGAACACATTACAGTGGTGCTTTCACCGACGCCATGCGCCACTGTGAGAGCTACGATCCTCGAATGACGAACCTGGCACATGTTGTATGGGCAATCGACCAAGCTATCGGAGATCGTTATGGCCAGCAGTGCGTTGTTGCGAAGCTGATGGAGATAGCGAAGGTTCCATTCGAGCTCGATCATCATTGCCGGGACTTCGAAAAGGGAGAAGAAGGGGCGAAGAATGCCATCATACGAAATGCATTTGCCGAAGCTTGGAAAAAGGGCTGGGATGTTCCAGAGGGGTTGGGATGCGATGGCACGTTCGAGGAGACTGCAGAGGAGGATGGAGGCTCGAGTGAATCTGTGTGCCTTTCAGGTAGTTACGACCAGCTATCAGATGTCGATGGTCTCCAAGGAAGCTGATAATTCGGGGTTAACTAAGGTCTGTCAAGACCAGTAGCTCAGATCAGCCTGGGACTGGTACAGTACAATGTCCATATAGAAGGTCAAGGGCTGAGAGGACGTACCACCAATGGAAGGCAATCATTGCAGCCCCACTCAAGTTTTCCTCAACTACAACGTTCGCTTGCTGTGTTGTTGAGTCTTTCCCGTTGGCTAAAGAATCTTCTTCTGCCAATACTACTGCAGCATTCGCCTACGTTGGAATTGACCTGACTCGCAAGTGAGCATCTTATCTCTCGCAAGCAGGCGAGAGGCGTGCTCTTGAGCATGGCAAAGTTCGGCCCCCACACCATACGAGGCGTCCACTGTTTCGCACAGGCCCCAGTATGGTTGGTTGCCTGCCGCAATTGCACGACATCTCGCAAGTCATTGGTTTGCTGTATAGGTAGGAGTCTCCGGAACTGACTGCAGAATATCTCTCGATCCAGCGGGATCCCGTAAAAGCATGGACGCCTTAGCCAAGGAACAGACTCACTATCAGCGCGCAATTGATGAAGGCGTCGCGCGCGCCGACCGATCAATCAATGAAGAGCGACAGCTAGCGGCACGCCGGCGCCACGAAGAGGCCGCCGAGGACGACGAGCTCCGAGTCCAGCTCAAGCCACACAAGTGCTCCTATTGTCAAGCTTTCGTCATCGATGTGTCTGGCCCTCGAACAGAGAACGCTGGCATGATCTCGCCGAAGATCGTGTACTTCAAGCATGTCAACTATGCACACGTCAGGAAGGGTGCGGAGGAGAAGTGCCCGCTTTGTGAGACAATTGTTGCCCAGCTAGACCGAAACGACAGCTCATTTGAGGACGACACTGATGAGGATCTGACTTGTTTTGCATACTCATATGGCGGGCAAGGCGGGGAGTTTGATGTTGACAGTTTGAGCGCAATCTATGTCGTCTCCTCAACACGCCTTTGGACGAAATGGGCAAACAAGCAGTACCGAGAAAATCTGAGCTATGCTTGTTTCACTACTGAGCAGGATCCGGCAGGGATATTCAATACCACCAGGCCCATTGTCATAAACCCAGCTTCCGACGAGAGCTTTAAGCTCATACGAAGCTGGTTGGCTGAATGCCGGCACGGACACGACCTCTGTCAACACTTCAAGACCGAGTTCCGGCCTCTGAGACTCGTCCAGATTTCAGAGACGAGCGATGGCCTGCGCATCCGGCTTTGCGAGGATGCTGTTGGTCCGCCAGTTGAATATACCACGCTTTCCTACTGTTGGGGCGGGCCACAAGCCGCGCAAACTGAGACCTCAAACGTATTGGCGCGCACGTCAGCGATGGATATCAAAGCACTTCCACGCACTCTTAAAGACGCCATTGAGGTGACGCATCGCCTTCACATCTCGTACATATGGATCGACTCCCTATGCATCGTACAGGATAGCCCGGAAGACAAAGCTCGCCAGATAGCGCTCATGCCACAGATTTATTCGAACGCAGCGCTGACTATCAGCTCGACGCGCGCGCTTTATGCCGATGAGGGCTTCCTCAGACCCCGGAAACCTACTGACGAACCCGATCACACAGTTTCGCTTCCCTACATTCTACCCTCGACGGGCGAAATGGGAGAACTCACCTTATTCCGTGAGTCTGCGGTATTGTCTGACAGTGCCTTGATGGACCGTGGCTGGACATTTCAAGAGCATGCCTTATCTCCGCGTATCCTCGATTTCGCTGGTGGGCAGACGAGATGGCTTTGCAAGGAGTGGTACGTGGACGGATGGCGCAAGCATGAGACTCTGAACAAGATTTGGCGTACTCGACATCGGCTCTTATTGATGATGTTGGGAAAATTGACTAGCACGCAGCGCATCTCCTTCACTTTCCCCGAGGCCTGTCACTTTTGGGAGAACGTGGTCGAGATGTATACACAACGAGCTTTGAGTGTGGCGACTGACCGGCCACTAGCCATCGCTGGGCTTGCAGAAGTGTGCTGTGATAATATCGGATTCAGACACCAGTACGTCGCAGGTCTGTGGCGAAGTATGTTTCCATGGGCACTGTTCTGGTCGATGCCAAACAGACAACGACGTCTGCCGCGGCCGACCAAGTATCAAGGACCGAGCTGGAGCTGGACAGCTATCAGTGGGGCTGTGCATCATGGACAATGTGCGAAGCTAAATGGCGGCAGGATACAGGTCAAAGTAGTCGACTGCAGCACTGAGATAGAGGTCGAAGAGGCTCCTTTCGGCGCTGTCAAAAGTGGTGCCTTGGTAGTGGAAGCGAGGACGCTGCCTGCGAAATGGTTAAGGTCAGATAATGGCGCAGAATCGAGGAGCCCGGGCGACTTTGATGAGATGGAACTGCTCGATAGCCTATCAGGAGACGGTGCGGTGGAAATACGAATGTGTCCTGACGCACACGAGGCGGATTGGGACGATCCTACGACGGCGAGTATCGATGTTGTCTTGGTCGAGGGCGGCTACGAGCCACCGGAGTTCTTAGACAGCCATGGCGCGATGGGATTTGTCTTGAGGGATCTGCGAGATGGCTTCTACTCCCGGCTTGGGATCTTTGAGACCATGCCTGGCGCAAGAGCTCGCGACACGCGTAAAGACGGAGATGCAAAAGCTGCCACCAATTTGTGGCACAAGTATCGAGCCATCTTTGACGAGAGGGATCATGAGGTCTTGGTCATTGTGTGAACAGCTTGAGCCGTTCGCGACTATGAGTGGAACGATGCAGGACTATTGAGCAATGGGAGGAGGGTACCCAAGGATAGCGACCACCGTCCCGTGGAGCTTAAGTTTAAGACAGCATGCCCATGATGTTTATGATCAAGGAATGGAGCGACATCCGTGAGAAGTTGCCTTTTCAGCCTGTCAGACCTTCTATATGGGGTGGAAGTTTCACGTGCGGTACTCATGTCTTAGAAGCATCCCATGTAGATTCGTGGGAAGGCGCTGCGGCCAATAGCCAGCTTTGTTCAGGACTCCACTCGGCTTTGTCCCAACCTCACTTCATACCACGTCTATCTTCCCTCCGTTTTACACAGAGTCAATGGCGTCGCTGGATACCGACAACACTGCTGCATCTCAGAAGCTCCGCAGCACATACTGTGTGCACCAGATGCGCGGTGAAGGTACTCAGCACAACCTACAAACATCTACCATCAGAACCTTGGGACAAGAGCGCAATGTCAATGGAGCCAACAAGAGGTAAGATGCACTTGAGTGTTGGAAAAAAGGTAGGACGAATGCTGTATTGTGCATATGCTGCAATGCCACCCACACTACCAAACCCAACAACGCCATTCCCCAAACATCATCCCACCAAACACCTTCCGAAAAGAGACGAAGTGAACGAAGCTTTGTCTTGCCCCCAATCTCTTCAACAAGCCATTATCGACCAGAAAGCCACGACCAGCTTCCATATCCAAAGCGAATTCCTGGCCGCCGGCTGGGATGACAGACCCGACAACATGAGTGCGCGCCACTGGCCTTAGCCACGTGGGAGGGCACGCTCAACGAACCGCGCCTCGAGATTCTCGGAATCCCATTCTGGTCCTATGAGGATCTCTTGAGGCGTTGCATTCAGCTCGTAACCCTTCCAGCCGTGGTTGCCGCAGCCGTATTTCCAGCTGACGACGAAGTTGCAAGATGGGCAGTGGCCACCGTGCTGTTTCTTGTAGCATCGGTGGCAGAAGGGGTGAGTGGTCGCGGAATCCTTTGAAGGGCAGTTGTGCCCGGAGCCGTGCCCTTTCTTCAGGAAGGTGTCGTTAATAGGCATGGCAGCGGTATGGTTGTTTTGGTCCACGGCTTTTTTGGAAGCATCAGGGAGGTTGGAAAGTTCTGTGCTGTCGGTCGAGCTGCGAGTCGAGTCTTTGCCGCAAATCTTTGACTGGCCGTCTTCATCGCTGTCGGGGCGAGGTTTGAAGTTGCTGTTGCGTGGCATAGCCGGACGGCGCTTCGCATACACCATGTTGACAGTAATTTCTTGTCGACGTTGGCAGCAAGATATCTGAGTGTCTGGAGCAAGATTCGAGCAAGAGGAAGAGTACTTTGCAGCGGAAGAGCAGTTTGTTGTGTATACGGGAGACTGGTACTGAATGCACTACTGGCCACGTTGGTGAGTTTATCAATATACTCATATTTATACCACAGCTAAGTGAGGCTATTGAGCGCTCAGTCACCACCACAGACAGGGCTCACATGTGACGTCTGAGTTGCGGACAAAGAGCCTCCCATTGTCGATAATGATTTCTTGCTCGAAGGGGTTGACCACTCTCCTGTGGGCTTTATTCGCCGAGTCTCAGCATGAGGGCTCTCATGCTGTGCTCTTAGTCTGCCAGAATTTACGGCCTGGATTGGGTGCTTGCGGTCGCCCCATGAAGCCACTGGTATGGTATCTTCAGGTAGGTCTCCAACAAAGCCGCCCTTGTGTGAGAGTCTCACTTACCAGGGACGACCAAGAGACATCACAATGCCATTGCTGGGACACACGGCAGTACCTTGCGGATACCGTCGTTGACGGCTCAGGACGGCCTCAGTTATAGCTATCCCCTGACATGACAAACACTTGATCGAAAGAATCACTCACTGCTCTTTGCTAGTTTGGTCTCAACATCTGCAAGCTTTCACCGTTTGCTCACCGATATCAGCAATACTATCTCTTCTGGCCTCCTCACAAGAATCTGACCAGATCCTCCCTGCTCAAGATGTCCACGGCTCTCAGGCATATTTGTGATCCGTCCTCGAGACGCTGCTCACTCTAGCTCCACCTTGGTTTCGGGTCATCTGGCCACGCAAGGCCTTTCCGCCTGCCTCCCCACTTAACACAGGGCTTCTCGTGCCAGAACAGCACTGCTTCCTCGTGGACAACAACTGCATGTTTGAGGCGATTCATCTCTGGGGCGAGGAACCTGTAGGTGCCCGTTGGGTGCTCAAGCTGAGTTGTGAGTGCAAGAATGAGCGAGGTGTTGGGCCGACAGTGGGTGGAGGGGAAAACTTGGCCTCGGCCGTTGCAGCAGTGATAGATTGGGGACACATTAGATGGGGAGAGCATGATGGGGCTCAATATGAATGTCTGTCTTATAAATCTAGAAATTGGGCAATTCTACTTGATGATCTTCCGCGCTGCTGGGCACACTTATAGCTTCGGTTGCGCGGGAACCTTCTTCTTCCCCAGCGGCCCGCCAATTTGCTCTTTCCACAAGTCATCAACCATCTGCCTCTCCCGCCGCGGCTTTGAGCGCCACGTCCTCTGAAGTTCGTCCTGCTCTTCCCTCCACCTCTGTACTTCCCTGCCAATCCACTCGGCCGAGTCTTCTGCAAGCCTCTGCACCGCTTCCATCGCAATGAGATGCCCGATGCCTTCGTAAGTGATTCCCTTGACGCGGCCCTCTTTCTCACCCCCGCTCCCGCCAGGCGCGATGCCCGTCATGCCGACCTTCTTCTCCGCTCCTTCCGGCCTACCGATCTCCGACTCGGAGCCAAACACATATAGAGCGCTCGGTCGCAGCTGGCCTATCCGCATGAGAGTAGCGCCGCCTTCGGAGCGGTAGAAATTCCCGAACGAAGGCATGCTTGGGTCCAGATCCGGGCGTTCCTTGCGGTTGACTGGCTTTCCACCTGCGCCCTCGTGATCGTAGTTTGGGCGGAGGAACGTGAACACTTCTTGATGCTTGGGCGTTGTGAGCGTCACCTGCTTCGATCCATCCGCGACTAGGTCAACGGGATGAAGAGCGGTGGGCATGTCTCGTAGACCGAACGTTACCCAGCGATCGAGGACCCTGGGGTCCCACCTTTGGTAGAACTTACTGCTCGCGAATGACTTCGCGGCCACCTCGCGCGAGGGCCAGACATCGCGACGGAAAGTTGAGAGGCGGGCTGGCGAAGGCCCAACGCTTTCCGGAACAGAGGCTTGTTGTTGTATGACTGGGTCGATGAGGACCAGTGTGCGAAAGAGACGGGGATGCATGAAAGACAGGTTGACGAGTTGGGCACCTCCCATACTGTGACCCATGCCGACAATTGGTTGCGGCATGAGGTCTCTTTTCAGGTTGATAAGGTGTAACAGGTCTCTGGAATGGTCAAACCATGATGGGTCGTTCCCTAAAAGCTCTTCATTGGCAACACTGCTCCAACCCTGGTGCGCGACATCTGCAATCCATATGCTTCGTATCCGAAAGTTATGCAGTTTCGAGCGTATATGAAGGTCTTCCCACAACGGTTCGTATAGCTCTTTTGGGAAGCCGTTGGCATGCGCTCCTATTATTGTAACATCGCCTGGTCGAGGGTCGGGGTTGTCTGTGGGTATATACTGCTTGACATGCAGGTTTAAGACGGTCTCTTCGGCATCAAGGACTGCTCGTGGAAACTCTCGAATATGCTGTGCTGGCACGATATGCTCAACAATGTGGTAGGGATACATGGCTGGCAACTCTGAGAAACTGGAGCTAGAGCAAGATGTGCGTTCAAGAAAAAAGCGCAGTGTCATGGTCTTTCGTGACCTCGGTGGGCTCAGAGTCGAGCTGTGGTTTCCCAGCCCGAATTGCCGAGGTTCGTGGGGCCATGACCGTCGCTATTCTGTTGTCGGATGCGTTCCTCCGTCCCAGGGACACAGATGAACTCCTGCAACACCCGTTGCGGACAGCGTATCCATTGAGCGATCTAGCATTGGCCAGCTGGAGGACTTTATAAGAATAGGATGCTGCCATGTGCTGCGAAATGATAGCTGAGCTGTGGAGAGAACCACCAGACCAGTCTTAGTCACGTGGTTTCGCAGACGCGTCAGGACCCACTCCAGTCTGAGTCGACCGCGACGCGACTAAAGTGGAACTTGCTTCTTCGTCGTGGGTACACTGAATCAACATCCGCCACTTGCGCCAATGGCTCTGCTCCTGCCTTGACTGATCACTTGACGTTCAAGTCGCGCCTGTATCATGCTATGAATAACTCATTTCTAGGTTCTTGCTCTCGCCTCATTCGGTCCTTCGTCGAGCCCAAAATGCCGCCACATCCAGACGCCATGGATGTCGATGAACTTGCCCCCAAGGGATTGTTCGCACAGAACAACTTTTTTGTTGTACGAAGCGATGGCATACCAGAAGATGAGGCCCAGCGGGTGCGTGAAATGCCGATGTTGTGTTTTCATGCTGATTTATGTAGATTCTTAAATCCTTGACGCTGCACGACGGCGAGGCAAACATTGATACCTATGACACAAACGATGCGCTCGCACTCAAGGGGATCACGCACATTGTTTCCACAACGACCGACTATCCCGATTATGACCGGGCCTGCGATGCTATGATCCCTACTATCAAGCCTAGCTGGATCGAACATTCACTTGCCAAAGACAAGCTGCAAAATCCACGCCAGTATTCCCCCGACCCTCGTTACTTCTTGTCAGACGTGGTCGCATGCTGTGCAGACCTTCCTGAAGGCGATGCTGATGCCATTGCCGGAGGCGTCCTAGCCATGGGTGGCCTTTTCACGTACAAGCTGACGAGTCAAGTCACGCACATCGTGGCTCTGAGCATTGACTCGCACATGTGTGAGACGGCTGTTAACCGACGACTAAAGATCAGGATTGTTCTGCCGCACTGGTTTGACGACTGTCTGAGGCTCGGTCGCAAAATCGATGAAACTCCCTACAAGCTGCCCAATCCCGAGATCCTCAATTCCTCGGTCGACAAGCTGCCATACAATTATCGACAAACCCTTGTCAACGGCGCCGTCGATCCTGATCCAGCCTCTACCCCTCCTCCGAGCCCTTCAACCACACGTAGAGCGCAGTCCGTGTTCAAGAACAAGAAGATTGTGCTTGCAAAAGACCTTGGCCTCGGGTCACATCTGAAGGGCATTCTGGAAGAAATCATTCGGAATGGAGGCGGCAAGGTTGTCTCGTCCGTACCCCAGTGCGGTATGTACGTCTGCAAATACCGGCAGGGTCAGGAGTACCAATTCGCATCTCGCACCGGCAAGCATGTTGGCAACCTAGCTTGGCTCTACTATCTCATCACCACTGACGTATGGACCTCTCCCTTGAAGCGACTCATGCACTATCCCATCGATCCAAAAGGCATCCCGGGTTTCGACAAGCTCAAGATTAGTTTGTCCAACTACACCGGCGAAGCAAGAACGTACCTTGAGAACCTTATCACCGCAAGTGGCGCCGAATGTACAAAGACTCTAAAACAAGATAACACGCATCTAATCACTGCTCACGTCCAAAGCGAGAAATGTGCTGCAGCGAAGGAATGGGGGATCCACCTCGTCAACCACCTATGGCTGGAAGAGAGCTACGCCAAATGGACGGTGGCCAGCGTCAGCAACAGCAGATTCACCCACTTCCCGAAACGAACCAACCTGGGTGAAGTCGTCGGCCAGACTCAGATCGATCGGGAGGTCCTAGAAAAGAAGTTCTTTCCGGGTGATGTTGAAATTGATGACAACGCGAGTGATGGCGCCGCGAAGCTACCACTGAGGCGTACGAATCCCAAACCAGCAAAAGCCGCCGAACTTCGCACTCCTGCTGCCTCCAGGTTCATTGCGCTAGAAAAGGAGAATATCACGCCCTCCACCACCAACAGCCGGCGTTCCAAAGACGCTGCTACCACGAAGCTACATGAGTTGACTACAGACATCGCTCTGTATGAGAAGGAGAAGAAGCGGGTAGGCGGAGTGGTATACGGCGGCCGACGTAAGACTGACGATGAGCGCGTCGAAATGCCACGCAAGCGGTCAGTTGACGAGATGGCTGACCAGGAGCATATTCCAGAGGTCGAGCAAAAGAAGAAGCCAAAGACCGGCCTTCCACCCATAGCTATGCATCTGCTTGTCACGGGATATGCTCGATGGAAAGATGCTCCGAAAGTCGAAGATTCGGATAGAGTGAGTGAGACGAAATATCCATCGAAATATCTGCTAACAGCCCTAGGCTAAGCTTCGCCAGCTAGGCATCAGCCTCGTGCTCGACCCAGCTCGAGCCACACACCTCGCGGCTCCACGGATTGTGCGAACAGTCAAATTCATATCGGCCATGTCCTACGCTCCAACGATTGTTTCGACCAATTTCATTGACGCATGTCTGGAGAGCGAAGAGCTCGAGGACCCTGAAGCTTTCAAGCTTGTCGACAAGGAACAGGAAAAGCGCCTGGGGCTCTCCTTGACGTTGTCCAAGGAACGAGCAAGGGAAAACCGGAACAGGCTTCTCGAGGGTCGTTCCGTATACTGCCTGCCAAACGTCAATGGCGGTTTCGAGACCTACAATCAGATCGTCCAGGCCAATGGCGGTCAATGCATGCTATATCAGGGCCGGAAGGGTACTCGCGTAAAGTCCTATCGAGCCGGGAGTGAGGGTGCTGACGATGAGAACACCGATGTATATCTCATCAGCCCCGAGGAAGGTGACAACAAGAAATTGTGGCACCAATTTCAGTCCATGGCGCAGAGCTCTCGCATGATCCCTCGGATAGTGACGACCGACTGGCTGATTGAGACGGCAATGCGTCAGGAGATTCTGCCCGTGACCAAATACGAGCTCAGCTCGTGAGAAGGTATCGGGAAAAGCTTACTTTCGCGTACCTGGAAGCGTCGAGATATTGGTCCCTTCGGACACGAGATAACGACATCGACGTCATACCTGTTATGATCAGAAGAACTTCACGCCTTGCTGATCCTCTGTCCCAAACACCTGCGCTTTTCCCTTCTTGACCAACGTGTCCAACGCCCTCCTCAGTATTCGTGTGTCCATGCCGTAAAATTCTTGGTTCATGGTGGCTTCCCCTTCCACCAATTCATAGAGCGTTAGTACCACCCCTTTCTGGCCCGTCTCCTCCACCCAACCAGCAATCAAATCCGCCCACTCCTCGGGCTTGCGCCACCAGATCCACGCCGCTGATTTCTCCGACGACACCCACTCAGCACGGTTGTCGCCGGCGGCCGAGGCCATGTGCTCGATGATCGCCTTGGCATCTGCGAGCGATAAGCGTTTCTTGAGCGTAGCATTGTGGAACAGTGGCGTATCCAGAGCATCGACCAGCGTGAGGTTGTATAAGCGGTAATGTCGGCAGTAGCGTTGGATGAGGGTCGACCAGCGACTTAGTTGTGCTTGGCGGCTCTGCAGCGTGGGCTGTGCAGAGAAGAAGGGTGGCCAGGAGTGGCGAGCGGGGAATTCGAAGGGCTCGGCCGGGGTGTACGGTGCGCTACTTGACATGTTGGAGGGTTAGAGAAAGTCACCGGGAAAATATTGATGCAGGGAAGACGCAAAAGGCAGCCATGGGGCATGGGAAGTGGATGGGAGAGCAGAGTTACGTAAGCATGCCAAGAGATGCTGGCGAACGCTGTTGGTCACGACACTCAGGGATCAACTACCGCAAAGGATGTATGAAGAGTACAGCCTGTCAATATCATTTTGTTGCTAGAGAGGTATCTCAGCCTTGTTCGGTGCATAGTGCTTATCAACAAGTATGAGCGGCAAAGGGGTTCCGACTAAAGTAGCACAATCACTGTGAGCCTTGCTGCTGGGACGCGTTGGCATGTATTCCGGGTGAAATGTCGTCAGAGGTGTTCTTGTGACTGAATGCACAGATCGACTCTCGAGTCAGCCTCCCCTGAAGGCCAGGTGGGCCAAACAGAGTGTCACTGCAATACAACATTGTCCCAAACGCCCGCGGAATGCTTGTCACTACATTTGGCTGTCTACTGAAGTTTTCGCAGAGCCCGCATGTGCTTGCATGGGTGCTATTAGCTTGCATACCGGACTTGCACACACTGTTCTGTAATCTCTCCCGCAAATGCATCATCAATTCACTGCCTGAGATGCGCCAATCAAGGCAAAGGTGTGTGCTTGGGCACGTGATCAGAGGAGCTGAGCCAAGCCTCGGAGAATAGTACGCCGGCGCCGAAGTTGAATCATGCCGTGACCTGCGGTTCAAGCGCAAAAAAGTACAAGGCCCATCTCTTAACAGACCACTTTCTTGGACTTCATGCAGGTGAAGCCTTTGGAGACTGCTCAGATGCTTGGGAACCCTTCCAGACGTATCAATCGACCATCAACTTGACCTAGACACGTTAAGAAACGCGTCAACCGCCCAGCGCGGCCCCCTTCGCGCCTCGTTCTCGCATCATGCCGCGGAAGCGGACAAGAGACGAGATGGAGGCCTCTGAGCCTCCGGCTCATGCACCCCAGGATACCTCACAAATCCACAAGATAAGAAATATGTGGGAGTTCGCAAGCGTCATGCAGTACATCCACATATTTGGGAAGGCTGTCAAGATTGACAGCGATTTCGACATCGAGGTACGCGACTCTGTCATTGCCTGCTTGCTGCCACACCAGCAACAAGTCGCAGGCCCGTACCATCGAATCAAATGACTGACATGGTGCCTATAGGATTTCGAAGAAGAGTGCCTGAAACCAACATACTCAGAAAAACTTGAGGAGATCGGCCTCACCTTGCTGAAATGGATCTCGTCGTTCCGTGCCCTTGAGTGAGTTGAGCATGCTCCTTGCAGGACCAGAGATACTGACCCTGTCCCAGCTACTCCAATTGGGATGAGTACACCCGCCGACAATACTTAGCTAAAATGCCTCACCTCAATCCTTATGGTGATGACGAGCAGCCCAAGCGCTTCCGTGACTTCGATATCTTCCTCAAGATTCGCATCCTGCATCAGCTCACAGTCTGGACGTTTTTCAATCCCGATCGCATTCGCGAGAGAATGCCTGAGCAACCTACCGAGTCTCGGCAAGTCGAATGGGTATGTCCTTTGCCCCCTGCCTACTATTTATACTGATGTCATTGTTAGCGTGTCGAAGAGTTTGGTTGGGATCGTGATGACCGTACATACTACCTGCTGGACGATGATCGCTTGTATCGCCGGACCGAACCACCCATCCCGCCACCGCCCAAGGCAAAACCCAAAGCTACTTCCAAGAAGGCTCAGGCTGCTCGCCGTCGCGCAAGCAAGCGGCAGCGGATAGAGGACTCCGAGACTCCTGATGTTGATGAAACCAGCGTTGACAAAGGTGAAGACGAAACCAAGCAAGGGATACAAGGGACCCCATCAGGCGCCGATGTCGATACCCTTGGAGGATACAAATGGGAGTGCGTCGCCATCACCTTGTCAGACTACCAGGAACTCGTCGACTCATTCAAGCGGACCAAGGATCCCAACGAGCAGGCTCTGCGAGACCGGCTTGTATCCGATGTCGTCCCCATAATCGAAGCCGCCGAAGAGAAACAACGACGAAAGATCGAACGCCGTGAACGTGAACTGCTAGCCATGGAGAAAATGGCGACCGCCAAACGCTCCAGCCGCATTGCTGGTAAGTTCGAGCGTGAGAAAGCCGAGCGCGAGGCTGCCGAAGCGGAACGGAGACGTGCTGCTGATCTCGCTGCTGCCCACCGCGAGCAAGAAAGACAGGAACAGATGGACAACGACCGTCAATCTCGGATGATGACGCGCGAACAACGAATCAAAGATCGCGAATTCAAACGGATAATTGCTGAAGAAGAGCTTGCACGAGCCGCTGCGGAACAAGAGGCTATCGAGAGAGGTGAAGCACGAGGCTCCGAACGCCAGGTTCGCGAACGCATCGCCAAGAACAAGAAGAAGCTTGATGAAATCGCTAGCGAAGATGACTGGACCTTTGACTGCTCTGGTTGTGGCGTCCACGGCAAGAATGTGGATGATGGATCTCACAGCATTTCATGCGACAGATGCAACGTGTGGCAGCACAGCAAGTGTCTGAACATTTCTGAGCAAGCTGCAGAACGGGAAGATTTCAACTTTGTCTGTGCCGACTGCCGCAGAAAGGAAGAAGAGGCCAGCCGTCCCAAGATCATGCTACAGCTCAAGGTCGGCCAGTCTTCATCACCTCCTCAGCCCAGTGCTGCTCTCACCTCCCCATCTCCCCAGAAGCAGAGCTTTGCTGGTGTGGAGGGTCCTCGCCAGCCTGAGCACCAAGTACCAGCGAATGGCTACCAGCCACAAGCGAATGGTCCTGCCTATGGTCCTCGACCTCCCCTTCCGGTCCAAAATGGGCTTTCACCTTCTCAGTATCCTCCGAACCCAGCAGCGCAGCGAAACTATCCGTTCGTCATGTCGCCATATCAGCAGCATGCAACCAGTCCCCCACCCATGCAGTCCAGCCCCCAGCGCTATCCTCCCCTGCAGCCAGGTCAGCAATGGGGCTATCCTCCTCCAGCTGCGCAGCATCCTCTCCAGAGACCAAATTCTTCTGGCCATCAGTATGCGCCTCCGCAATTCAATGGTGCCGCCAACGGCTATGCGCATCATATGCAACCACATCACTATCCTCCCCCACTTCAGGCAACTGCTGTCCATCCTGGTCGACCTCTATCGTCAGAAGATACCCCTCGGCCTCGATCTTCCGGCCAGCCTAATGGCCAACAGACTCCTGCTGCTCGCCTGCCCTCACCGATTATCAATCGACCTGTCATCACTCCGTCTCAGGGAAACTACGACGTCGGACCTGTTGCCGGCATCCAAAACCATCCAGCCCCACAAGCCCTCCCCAACGGAACCCCTACACCAAATCTCGTCCCCCGAAACGGCCACGTTTCTTCATCACCTCCTCTATCCGGCGTGTCACCCGTCAAGCACTCCCCGTCTGCGCCGCCGTCAGTAAGCGGTACTCCTGTCTTCCCACCAGCTGCCAAGTTGGCCCCAAGCCCAGAGCGTGGCCCGCAACCGACCCCGAGTAAGCAGGGTGTGCAGCAGGATCAGGGCGGTTCCTGATGGATCAGGCAGGCTTTTGGACGAATCATGATGTGATTGAGTATTGAGCATTGAGCGAACGTGGCGAATGGGCATAGCGAATGAGGCGCACTGATGGACAAGGCCGAGCTTGAAGGTCGAGAGCTTGGTGCCCTCGCAGGCTAATGTATCAATACCGGCGGACCCTCTAGATAGAGAGATGTTACCCCAAGTTGGCTCAAAACCTTTGGGCCTGAATAGAAAAGGCATCGTCTTGAAGATCTCCATTGCCCTGCCCTCCGATAGTCTATATATCATTGGGTCAAAACTCTCTACGCACCCAGATGCACACCAAACTATCATGCGTGGCGGTCGGCCCACCAGCTTCTCCAGAGTCCAGTCCTTATCTATCTATTTACTAACAATAGCCTCGCTAGTGCCACCCATTCGTTTGCCAGCTACGCGACCGTCTCACCTTTGCTAAAGTCTGCATCTCCCAGTCACCTAATCACCTGCAGACATCTCCTAGATCCCGAACCGCCGCGGGGCACCGCCATCCTGGATCTGACCCTACCCTTCCATTGCCGGACCATTCTTTCCCTCCCTTTACAATAACGAAAGATAGAGAGGGGGGGGGTTATTTTCTCACTCTTGAAATGGCCGAATGAGGGTGGGGCTTGGGGATAGCGGCTGTCGCGTTGAAGACACGTTTGTGGCGATAGAGGGGGGAAGGGAGGGAAAGCTGGAGAGGCAGAGGGGCAGAGAGGCAGAGTGGCGTTTTGAGGAGTAGCGTTGTTGTGGGGACACGAGGTGAGGTAGACTAGACTGGTGGGTAACATGAAGTGGACAAGAAGGGAACGGGAAGCGAAATGCGAGGGCGAACGGGAAGCGGATTTTCGGGCTCGACTGGCTGCGTTCTTGCTTGCAAGAGGGGGAAGCATGGAAGCATGGATGCATGGATGCATGGCGAAGGCTCGGGGTGGCCGATGAGGCTGAGATGGGCACAGGTGTTTCTTGCGGGTTGCATCTGTCATGAACGCCTCCGGAGCGGCGGCCATCCTGGCACGGCTGGCATGCTGGGAGCGAAGGAACGCAATTGCATCTGTCCCGGTGGTCTGGTAAAGGTGGAAAATGCAGGTAGGACAGGCGCGCGTCCTTATAGCTGATGGGTGGCATGTGTGGGCTTGTTGACGTGTGCAGTCGCAGCTAACTTTCGGAGAACGTACCGCTCTGGGTTTGCGGGCTGGTGATGAGGGAAGATACGTGGGGCCGTACCGAAATCCAGCAAAGTCTCTCCTCGTACCTAGGTCTTGGGCTTAGAGGACCAGGCAGCACTTGGGACTTTTGTTGTGGGGTTTGAGCAGCATGCTTGGGCATTATACTTCGCGATCTCGAGCGTTCGTTGCGGCAATGGGTAAGGCATGTCTCAACTCGTGCGGGTGGCGGTCCGCGAAGGTCCCGCTCTTGGTGGTATTGCGCCTGGACTTACCTGAATGTTGCACTTTGCTTGACGGCCTCTCCGAGAGAAGACCCAGAGTCTAGTATTCTAGTATTTGGAATGGCCAGGATCACTCTTGCATCTCTTGATAGGTCGAGAGGCAGACAGGCCAGGGCGGAACCATCCCATGGGGTGTTTCATGACTAAGATTGCGACGTAGTAGGTGCGCCATCTTTTGCAACCAGGACGTTCTGGGGGTCATCTGCTGCAGGTGATCATCAGCACATATTGCGGACATTGGTCAGGGTTGCCAGCGTTTTCAGGGAATTCAAGGCGTTGAGTTGCGTGCAGCGGCGGACCAGGATCCTTCCAGGCCCGGCCAATCGGCTTGCCGGCCGAAAACGGACAAGGCTGAACCAATGCGCCAAGCCACATGCGGATAGAGAGTGCACGAGCACTACCAGGTACCCAGTACCGCGCTGTTTGCGCCTCTGCCACTGCCTCTGTCGGCGTGGCTGGACGTCCCAGCCAAGAAACTCAAGTCCAAGCAGACCAGGACCATGACTCTGTCCGAGATAGGTTGCAAGCGCTGTGCCACGGCCCAATAGTCTCGTTTCCTATGAGAGGAGGATTTTGGCACCAGGGAAGTGTGTATAGATTGGCAACTGCGACGCCACCGAGAGTGTCGGGGATTTCTGAACCATGTCTAGAGTTTGACAGCCGTTCATGCCCCATTGACTGAGCCAGAGCAGTTCGGGTTCAAACACGTTCCCCGCCTAAGTCGCAACTACCCGATCGAGTGGCCCAGATTGCGATATCACTCGTATTGTAGAACGACTCTTCATGCTCGCTGCAGACACAATGCGCTCAACATCCTTCTCCCGTGTTTGGCGGAATAGAAGCAGACTCTGCTGGAATTTCAGGCTTGTTGTCAGATGCAATCGGGCTCCAGGAATGCAGAAGGTCTGCGCAAGCAGCAGGTGGAGGCCCGTGCTCGAGAGGAGCCACTTTCCCATCCAGGTGATTCTATCAAGCAGCCGTCCCATAATGATCTGGTCGTGTTTCGGAGGCTCTTCCCCAAGCTGATAGGTGGTGGGGATATCGAGGCCGGAGGTGCTCGATAGTCTGCTCAAGCGCAAGGCTGTAGTCCATGCATTGCAGCTGATCATCGCGCAGGCGAGGAAGTTGCCGATGGAACCATAGATTGCGTCCGAGCGCATACTGCTGACCGATCCACGGCTAGCCAGTAATGAGCAGGCTGCCGATGGAGCGATTGCCCCTTGGCGGGTAAAGATATCTTCGGCCTTCTGATCTCTGATCGCAACGGTGTATGCAGGTCGATGAACGGGTTCAACCTGGATGGCTTGCAACGTCGATCCAGATCACTGTTTTACAGGCCAGAAAACCCGGTTGCAGCCATGCTACCGCTTTCGGATACCATCACTCGAAACGTCCAAGGACCATGTATTAACAAAGGGTCGAGCAGCCCATACGCAAACCAATATGTTCCCGTGGTCTTCTACCTTCTCTTCGTCGCTTCTTACTTCAACAAAGATCCTTCATTCTCCTTGATCGGATAGTCTTGGTCACTGAGGCCGCCTTTTGGGCCACCGTGCAAAAGACCGAGACAAAGCTAACCGTTGCTGCGACATCGCAAGGTTAGCAGGAGGCAAACTTACCAAATCGATAGCAGCCGGTGCCCTGGGTGCTAGACACTGACCGCTCTGGTGTCTTACTCCCACCGCAGAGGCAGGCTCGCCATCCGGACCTCTGATCTGCACCCTGCCTAAGATCTGCTGCTTCCCGACCCATCTTCTTTCAGCAACAAACCTCTTTCATACCACCCGTCCGCTTCACTATCCATCTCAAAGGAGCAATCAGCAGCATTGTGGAGGGTGCCCTTGCTTCCCAACAAAGCTTTCCCGTATACAAGAACCAATCCTTCCCATTAGCGACAGAACAGAGGAGGCACCTGGTCACCGCGCCGACTTTCGCGCCCCTCAGTGAAGGTTCAAACCGACATTGTGCGAACGGTCCTGACCTTCACGGAGCCAGACGCCCTTTGCCGAGCCTAGCCCTCGCGCGCCCACAGCTGCCGATACCGCGGCCAGTACCATCATGAGCCGGCCCAGTGACGCCAGGCCTCCTTCGCCACCGCACTCTGCCGATGGTGATCATACAAATCGCATGCCACCACACGCCGCACAAACGCCGTACACGCCTCCTCTGAACAACATTCCAATGGCAGCAATGGACTCGTCTTATGTAAATGAGAATCTTTGATCCACCTCGAACAAAGGCTAACTGAACGGCAGGACCATTATGGAGACCCAGCAATGTACCACACGGCCCCTCAGCCGTACTATGAGCAGCCACATCAAGTGAGTACCAATTTCACTGTCTTGACTTACTGTTGGTCAAGGCACAAAAGAAGCCAAGTCAAGGTCTGACCACCAATTTAGAACTACTATCCCTACCCCTCGCGGCATTATAGCCCCTCACCTATGCCTTTTGAAGGAATCCAGACACGCAGCGGTCGTTCTTTGCGCTCGCCAGAATCCCTGGACGGACATCGTCGCGGCCCCTCGCCCAGGAAAAGACCACCGAGGCGACGGGCTGGAAAGGCGCCCAAGGGTGGCCCTGCCATCGATCAGCCCTTGAGCGTGCTCACCGAAGGCTACGACGTGCCAGTCAGAGACATGGAGCTGTGGGCTAACAGACCGGTCGAGGTCCGGATGCAGGAGGCAGCGAAGAAGAATGGATACATCTCCCGGCCCATGAACTCGTTCATGTTGTACCGATCGGCCTATGCCGAGAGAGTCAAGAAGTTCTGCAAAGAGAACAACCATCAAGTTGTTTCGCAGGTCACGGGTGCCAGTTGGCCACTTGAGCCAGACGAGATTCGGAAAAAGTACGAGAAACTGGCCCTGCTCGAAAGAGACAACCATCAAGCGGCCCATCCGGAGTACAAGTTTGCGCCGAACAAAGCCGGAAAGAAGCGAGCCCGAGACGAAGACGATAGTGACAGTGATTGCGAATGGGGAGGCGGCAAACGCAGTCGTACTGGAGGCAGTGTCAGGCGTGACGATACCCGAAGCAATACGGCAACGCCCTTTGAGGGCGATCATTGGCCGTACGGCTCACCAGGACCATACGCGCAATATGGGTACGCCAACCCCTCGTCCTACGCCTACCAGTATCCCGACCGACAGATGCCTGTGTATCCGGATCAACGTCCGACGGGCAACCAGTATTGGCAGGCCCAAGTCCGGCCATACGCCGCCCCTGGACAGGTCGAGGACGTCCACTTCAGTAAGACGGAGGATCCATTCCCACTGCAGGACAATATGTTGTCAATGGTTGGTCTGCCTAATGCTGATGGGCAGCATCTGCTGGGAGACGGGGATGCGGCAGCTTTCGATAGCGGTGACGCTATGCTAGACCCTCGTTTGGGAGGCTTGGATCCGAATTATGCTGTGCAAAGCATTGAAGGAGCACCGAGAGTATCTTATGCTCAGCAGGAGCCCTTCCATCCCGGCAACGCGACTTTGACGGATATGAGAGCATGGGATGAAAGGGTAGGCTCGGACTTCGATCGCGAGTTCCAGCAGTTTAGTACGTAGCATGACGTCAATCGATGTTGCGGGCCATTGATTGAATGTTGTTGCGGCTGTTGTGAACCCATAGCGAGGTTATTCCATTACAGGAGCATGGGACTTTCAGACATATAGTGCCTTTATTGTGTACACTTGGAGTAGCTAGAAGCTTCTATACTGCGTAGCGCACAGTACCTGTGCCACAATGGTCGGATTCGGTCCATCGGTTCGAGTATCGACATTTTTGCTTCGGGGCGCGAGTTCTCACACTGCTAAGGAAATTGGAAGATTGTGGCTTAGTGGAGCTAAGTACTTGCCCAGTTTAGAAATGCGATGCGCTTATGAAGAGTTATCTGGCGCGATTTTTCCTATTGCGCAAAACATCGAGCAGATGTGAAGTGAAGTGAGTTTCATGAACGTCGATTCGTTGGTAGCGCTTGGCATCGCTTCCAAAGGAGCAGCCACGACGCGTCTACTCCTGGCCAATCAGAACGCGACGCCTCCAAACCCCGCGCCCTCGTCGCGGGCTCACGCTTTTTACAAGAGACTTTCTGGCTGGGAAACTTGGGCTGGACTGCTGAATGTAGCCCTAGATGCACGGAGAGCTTGGTAACAAGCTGGTAAGTTGCTGTTGATATCAGCGACGTCATGAGACTTACAATTCTACTCCAGGTGCAGCATGCAAAACGTGCACAGAGTCTCGCGCATTTGCCCCCATACCAGACGGAGCTGGTGCGCGCTGTGACTCGCGAAGTGCGAGATCTCGATAGAGATGTAAATCGCATTCTGGAGCCTTTTCAAGGAACATTCAGCCCTAATGAAGACCAAGCAACGGCTTGCGCCCTTCTAGTCGACCATCTCTCGATGAGACGCAATAAGAGGTGCCTGTTGGCCTATCACCGTGTAAGAGCAGAGAAACTAGAGGGCATGTGTTGGGAAGGTAAAGATGCGCTCGAACAGCAACACCATCAGCAAGTACAGCAAGGCCAGACCGAGACCAATGGTGGAAACCAGAGCAGCCTAAGCCCAGAAGAAGAGGAATACTCCCGTCAGTACAACGATCTCTTGTCGAGTTACAAGGGCCAGTGGACGGATATTGATCTGACTGGGAGCCTTGAACCACCGCGGGATCTTTTCATCGACGTGCGAGTGCTGAAGGACGCCGGTGAAATTCAGACAGAATATGGTGCCATCAACTTGACCAAAAACAGCCAGTTCTATGTGCGTCACGGGGACGTGGAAAGGCTGATTGCGCAAGGCTTCTTGCAGAGGCTCAATTGAATTGGAAGGAGGCATCTCTCGAGTCTACGCCGAGCAATACGGCCATCTCGACGTTTACAATCACTCGTCCTCCACCATTCCGGGATCGTGAACCGTTTTGTGCTATGGACATTTCCATCTCGCAAGCTCTCCGGGGTATCGCGCCATCTGTCGAAGATTTCGCTATCGCGTCCACGGCCAACTTGTCCAATTGGCCGCACCCAACACGGATTTGAGCTTTTGAACGATCACATCTGAGTTCATGCTGTTCGGCAGCTACTCTGAGTCGTCGAGACGCCTTTGTCAAGCTCTATACTGGCACAAATGCCTCGGAACCAACCCATCGAGGGCAACATGTTCATCGAATTGGGGAGCACGTGAACTAGCAGATCAAAAACAGATACGTACTTCAACCTATCAAAAAGCATGTGCCCAATAGGCAGTATCTTTTATCGTTGTTATTCATTGACCAATGTCATGATAGAGGGGCAGACTTAGAAGCTAGTCCATTACAAGGCTAGCCCCGCAAGCTCTTTTCGCTGCACATGCCAGGATAACGTTGGAGAAGCACGAAGAAAAACCAGTGCGATGATCAGTTTACGTCGACGTCGGCTCGAGAGATCAGTGGTACTCTGAGCTAGGCCTATGGCATACGCCGGTAAAACATGCTCCAACGAGTCGACCGGTACTAGCACGGGACGCGCCTTCCTGTGCCGCGAAGCCACTTATCTGCAAATGCTGTGAAGCTTTCGAAAGCTTCTCCTCAGCGCGCCGCAGCCATCAGCAACCAGCTCCCTTTCTTTGTGCATACCCATCCTCACAATTATCTACCCTTGTGCAAATTTTTTACCTCCTGCATTACATCTGTCCAATACTAATCCTCGACCATCCCTGGAAGCGTTTGGTGGTACCCACTTCTTCCAGTCTGCATCGCTGCTTCTACCTCGTGTCATGCCTCGATGACATTGCGCCATGTCGTCTCCGCCGCGCAAGCGAACTGCTCGCTCCGGCTCCGCCGTTTCCTCGCAGTCGAGACCTGCACCGCCCTCGTCTTCTGCCCCTCGAAGCATGAGAGAAAATGAAGAGCCTGGTGGGCTGGCGATAGGTGATCGACCACATATCACTCGTCGAGGGCGCAGCAGCTCAGTGACAAGCCAATCTCTTGCCAAAACCCCCGCCCGTTCTTTCTATCATAGATCCTTTCGCGGCCAACGTGATCAGGCTCAATACTCTACCGAGGGTCTCAAAGAGCAGACCGCGCAATTAGCATCCTATAATCTCCACGACGACAGTCCCTTCCTCGGCAGCTCCCCTCCAGGCTCCCCTCTAGCGCCTGAGGACTTGCATATCGACGCCATCCCCGAGGTCTCCGAGCCTGTGACGCCTGACGGAGCACATCATGAAGGCGATCCTTCCCTGTCAGCACTGACCAGCATGCTTCATTCGGACGACGAGGGGGCACGACAGTCGGCGTGGAACAGCACTGAAGAGAGGAACGATCACGCTCGAGCGTCACTTGAGTCAAACGGCCACGAAGTCAACGAACACACCTCGCTATTGGGCGATAGAAAAGCCTCTGGTGCCTACGGAGACCTTGCAGACGTGGAACGCCAGCACAATGAGAGAGTTCAGGTGTCGATGTGGCGTAAACCGGTCGACAAGCTCCGCACGTGTGGCTACAACCTCGTGCACCCCAAGACATGGAGTGGGAAAGCCATCGTGAGGCAGGTTGTCGTCCGACCTGTGAAGCTGTTGCCCGCTGTCATTCTAGGTCTCCTTCTCAACATTTTGGATGCCTTATCTTATGGCATGATCTTGTTCCCCCTCGGTAATGCCATGTTCGACGATCTTGGTCCGGATGGAATTGCGATGTTCTACGTTTCCACCATCGTGGCCCAAGTCACATATTCGGCGGGCGGGTCGATCTTCAAAGGAGGCATCGGCTCCGAGATGATTGAGGTCGTCCCTTTCATGCACAAGATGGCTTTCACTATCCTCAACAAGGTTGGTGAGGATAACCCAAAGTCAGTCCTAGCTACCACCATCCTCGCCTTTTCTGTGAGCTCGGTGTTGACGGGCATTGTCTTCTTTTTACTTGGAGCTTGCAGGTTGGGCTCTTTGATTGGCTTCTTCCCACGCCACATTCTCATAGGATGTATTGGTGGCGTGGGCTTCTTCCTGTTTGTCACTGGGATTGAAGTATCGGCTCGGCTGCCGGGCAACTTGAACTATAATCTGGATACGCTGCGACAGTTGTTCCAAGGTGACACCGTCGGTCTATGGATACTACCCTTCGGACTCGCATTAATACTTAAAACCACTCAGCATTTCGTCAAGTCCGAGATGTTGGTAGGCGGCTACTGTGAGTTTTCTTTCCAGCTTGTCCCGGGATCAGCATCAATTTGCCATCCCAGACCGGATACCAGAAATCCCCAATCGTCTTTGGTCACTTCAAGGCCATCTGCTGTACATCTTTTGCTGACCTCTTCGGGTTTAGTCATCGGAGTAGCTGTCTTGTTTTACGTCTTCAAGTTCGCCCTTCACCTTCCGATGGAGACATTGCATTCCCAGGGCTGGGTGTTCGATAGTCCTCCGGCAGGCAACCCCTGGTATCACTTCTGGACGTTGTATGACCTCAAAGCTGTCGATTGGGCGGCGTTCGGTGAAACGATACCGGCCATGTTTGCATTGACTTTCTTTGGCCTATTGCATGTGCCAATCAATGTCCCTGCTCTGGGTATCGCAACAAATGAGGATAATCTCAACGTCGACCGTGAGCTCATCGCGCACGGCATATCCAATTCTCTTTCTGGACTATTCGGCAGTGTCCAAAACTACCTCGTCTACACCAACAGTCTACTCTTCATGGACAGTGGAGGATCAGATCGACTTGCTGGCCTCTTACTTGCCGCCGCCACCGCCGGTGTGCTTGTTGCCGGCCCCGCTGTGATAGGCTATATTCCAGTCTGTGTGGTTGGAGCCCTTATTTTCCTGCTGGGCATTGAACTGCTAGAAGAAGCACTCTGGCAGACGTGGGGTAAAGTGCAGCGGCTAGAATACCTCACCATTCTCGTTATTGTCGTCACGATGGGCGTGTGGGATTTCGTCATCGGCATCTTCATTGGCATCATCTTGGCTGCGCTGAATTTCGTGGTGCAGACCTCCCGTAGGACCGCCATCCGAGCGACGTACTCAGGAGAGATTGCCAACTCGACAGTCAGAAGAGCCCCGCTACAGCATCGATTTCTCAAAGAAGCTGGGCGGCAGATGTTTCTCATCAAGCTCTCTGGCTTTCTGTTCTTTGGGACCATCGTCGGTGTCGAAAATCGCATTCGAGCTCTCCTGGAAGATGAAGCATTCGAAGAGCGACCTCTTCGCTTCCTGATTCTCGACATGGCCAGCATCAACGGCATCGACTATTCGGCGGCCGAAGCCTTTACGCGTATCAATCGGCTGTTGCAAAAACGAGGTGTCGTCTTCTGTGTCAGTGGCATTGACTTGAAAGGGCAAATCGGCCATGCTCTTGAAAGTGTCGGTCTTTTTGATGACGAGCTTGATGTGCGGCGTTTTCAGGGTCTCAATGAAGCTCTGGAAAGCTGCGAAAACGAATTGTTGAAGAGCCTCCTTAGACATCAGACTAAGAGAGGCTCCCATCAACGCATCGGGACGACTCACCTTGATGTGCCGCGGCCGCGCGGATCCGAGCTTTCGTCGTCAGTTCAGACGGAGTTCATGATTAGCTCACCACGAAGGAATCAGCTCCAAAGAGTAGCAGAGACCGCGGTCGAAGAAGTTCCCACATCCGCGTCTAAGTGGCAGGATTTTCAGCAGCCACTGCCTCTGTTGCTGGAAATCTTTGAGGGTATGACAACCAGAGCTGAAGACTTTTGGTATAAAGCTGGACCGTACTTTGAGCGTCGGACATTGCCTCGAGGCACTGTTCTCTTCGAGCCCGGCGACCTACCAAATGGATTTTACCTGCTGGAAGATGGCTTGATGCGGGGAGATTACGATCTACCGCAGGGCCAATTCTCGGAGTTGATCGTCCGCGGGCGACCATTTGGAGAGTTGCCGTTCTTCTCGCAAACACCACGCACCGCGAGGATGACTGCGGACAAGGACTCGATCGTGTGGCAACTGTCTGCAGATCGGTGGAAAGAGCTTCAAACCGAGCAGCCAGAGTTGGCCCAGGAGCTACTAAAGCTCAGCTTGAAATTGACAAAGGAGAGGATGGATGTCATTACCTCCTACGTCCTGACGACTGCTGCATGAGCTGAGTAGCAAAAGTGCCTCTGGTTATCTCGATGATCAAAAGTTGGAAATCTATCTATTGTTTAGTATCAACGAGCACGGCGCTGGCGGTAGCAGGCCCAGCAAGGGCTGCATGATGTGCAATCATTATCATGAAGACGATCATCTGTATTAATGCCGCGGAAGAAAGACAAGTATTGCGCGTCAATTGTTTGCACCCGTGGAGGATGTGCCGCTATGAGGTGGTAGTGGTCAAAGCGTCGAATCTCGTCTCTGTGGAAGCCGTGGCCCCTCCCGGTCCTCCAGAAGCGAGTCGACGCACCTTCCATTCTCGCTTCTCTGCCAACAAGAAATTCTTTTCCATCCACATTCATTCCTTGCTTCAAACACTTTCGTCGGCTGTCCTTCGGACGTGGTTTCTTCGTGCTGAGCTAGTCACTCCCGCCATCTGCATTGATTCCGCCATTGACCCATCGTGAAGTCTCCCGAGTGTGTTTCGACATCGCGAGCCTCAATCCTGAACAGAACAGTCTTCGTCAAGTAATTTTGATCTAGTGTCCAAGCCCGGGAGCCAATCATCCACCAGTCTGAACTAGAGGATCGCACATTTGAAACCAGCTGCTAGCGCGATGCTCCGGCTGAGATTGTGGGGCGCGTGGTGGGAGTGGAGCGTCCCTTTGAACGGGCCTTTCCAGCCAGGTCCAAGGCCAATATGTTAGGGTCAGGCGAACGGCGTACCCTTGCGGCGCTCTGTGGGCTTATGGCGATTGCGACAAGACGCGGGCGCTCGTATCTGGCGGACGTCCTTTGCGGCTTTTTAGTCAAGTTCTGGACGAGAGCAGAAAGAGAGTGCGAGCACGAACTATTGCTTGTCTCGTCCCTCCCAATCCACAGGATGGTCCGCTGATCATCGAGTGACCGAAACACGAGCATGCAGGCGTTGACTACTCGGATGATGGCAGAGCTGCGTTAACTACGCCATACCTGCAGGTGCAAGCCGCAGCTCAACCAACAAGATATCAGTAATTGCCTTGCTGCGGGCGATGTGCGGCCTTGCATCCTATCCTGCACGGGACTCCCGGCAGCCCACATGCATGCAGGTTGGACAGAGACACGGCGTCACGCGTACGGCTCAGGTTTTTCTTTCCCTTATCTCGATCTTCCAGGACCGACGCGGGTCGCATGACCAAGGATTGGCTATCAATTGCCTTGGAACGAACCAGAGTGTGCGAGGCGTAATGCGCTCCAGTCGATCGAATCGCACAGTGCGCCAGATTGGTAGGAGGATGGGAGCTTGCCGTAGGCGCGTCCAAAGCAGGTCAATGAGAGCGCTGAAACGCCTGCTTCAGGTGCAGCCCGGGACTCGGTCGTCGTAATGGCGCTGATGATTACCTGTGACCGGGGTTGCCATGGGCCAGGCCAGGACTGGGCGACCTCTGGTGAGGACGGAGCGTACTTGTACTTTGACCTGGCCTGGTTTGTGGCCTTTGGATCTCATCTCCCCCCAAACAGCACTACAACATGGTGTCTCACCGCAAAAACATATAGTCCTTCGGGCCCTCGACACGCGGAGAAATGATCACCTTGCATGTTAGAGATCGTCAGACAGGGTCCTGGGCAACTTAGCACGACATGTGATGGTGGACCAGGGTTAGTGGGCAATAGCTTAACCAAGACCAATGCTATGGGCGCCAGAGTCTGCGCGACCAACGCCCCACCCGCTAAAGTTGAGCTTAATCAGTTAGGGAGCCTCTGCTCATTTCCCGATGCCAGCCATCACCACACTACCAGGCAGATGAGCGCCATCGCCGCCAGGCCAGGGCGACGCACGGGCAACCGAGTTGTCTTCCAAACATTTCCCACTCATTTATCTCGCAATCCAATCTTTTCCTTCCTGCATCCTCCCTGCATCTACCTTTCTACGAGCTGAAGAGCTGTCTAGTAATCTCACTTGCTTCACCTCGTGCATCTCGCATTTTACTGCACAACGAGCCCTTTGTTTACCACTTCCGACACTCCTTCCTCCTTGTGTCACCAATACTCTTGCCACCAGCGACGAGCTCTTGCCCTTCCTCGTTGATCGCAGCCACTCAATCGAGTCTCGAATCTTTTTGGAACCACAGTCTCTACCCATCTTCTAATTCGTTCTCCCCCCGCCGCCTTACAAGCGCATCTCGTACCCAAATAATATAACACAATGTCTGTCGAGGCCCCCAAGACCGTCGAGGAGACCACTCCCGTCGAGACCAAGCCCGCTGAGCCATCAACTGAGCTCCCCACTGCCACCACCAGTGAAGGCGTTGCTGCCACCGATGCTCCCAAGACGGAGGCTGCCACCGAGGCTACCACCGCACCTGTGGCCGACGAGGCTAAGCCAGTGGAGGAGGACCTGAAGAAAGACGAGACGGTCGTTGAGGCTGTTCCCGCAACTGAGGGTGTTCTTGGATACAAGGCTCCTGGTTTCCTCAAGTAAGTTACATCTTCACCCAATCAGCCAGACATCGCTAACAGTTTCACCCAGACAATTTCATTTCTCCAAGCACTTCTTCTGGTTCAGCGAGGAGCCCCTCACCGCCGAGTCTCTGGCCAGCTATGCTCGCTCTGAGAAGACCGGCGCTGCCCAGAACGCCGCCTGGGCTCGCGAGACTGGCAAGGGCCTCTTGTTCCACACCAAGCGTGCCGAGGACAAGGCCCACCCTGCTGGCTTGATTCCTTTGGTTCGTAACAGGGATAGGCATCATCGTTTCAAAATCTAACCGTGTCGCAGGCTGAGGCTACCAATGTTACCAAGGAGGGTGTTCTCGGCTTCTCCTTCGATCTGCAGGGTAAGACCCACAAGTTTGAGGCTGCCACTGCCGGCGACCGCGATAGCTGGGTTGTCGCCGTCGAGAAGCAGGTCGAGGAATCCAAGACCCTCAAGGACGACATTACTGGCAAGGAAAGCTACAAGAAGAACCTCGATGACTATTGTAAGTTTCTCCAACTGCCAGACCCACCCCGCTGTAATGATCGACGACTAATTCTCCGAAGCTAAACCAGCTGCCGTTGCCGCCATTGCTGCGTCCCGCTCCAAATCCAAGGAGCCCAAGAAGTCTCTCGATGCCAACACCGCTACCGCGGCCGCCACCACCGAGTCGAAGCCCGAGGAAACCCCTGCGGAGCCCGCTGCCCTTCCTACTGAAGAGAAGAAGAAGGAGACCCCCAAGGAGTCGCGCTCTCAGTCTCGTAAGCGCACCTCCATCTTTGGCTCTTTGATGGGCAAGAAGGATGAGACCAAGGAAGAGAAGAAGGCAGAAGACAAGGTCGAGAAGGCCGAAAAGAAAGAGGAGAAGAAGGCCGAGGCTGAGGTCAAGAAAGACGAGGCTAAGGAGGAGCACGACCCTAGCAAGGCCGCTGAAGCTGCTGCTGCCACCGCTGGCGCTGCCGCCGTCGCTGCCGGTAAGTTATACCTGGATGTGAATACCATCCGACTGACTCTGTTAGCCCCTGCCGCCGTGGCGTCCGACAAGAAGGAGGACAAGAAGGAAGAGACTGCCACTGAGTCTACCCCCACCTCCCCTACCGACAAGAAGGGAAAGCGCGGTTCCGTTTTCGGCGCCTTCTTCAACAAGAAGGTCACCAGCCCCAGCGCCGAGAAGACTGAGAAAGAGGTCGGTCCTACTCCTCCTGCCAAGGATGACGTCCCTCCCGTCTCGGACACTGCTCCCAAGCTCGATGAGCCCATTGAGAACAAGCCCATCGACGCTGCTGCCGTCACCGCTCCGGCCAACACGGACGGTGCTGCGGAGGCTCCCAAGGAGACCTCTACCAAGCCTGCGACCGAGAAGAAGAGCAGCTTCCTCGGCTTCATTAAGAAGCCCGAGACCAAGAAGGAGGAACCCAAGGAGGAGACTCCCGCTACCAAGGCCGTCGAGCCCACCCCTGCTGACGAGGCCGCCCCTGCCACTGAGACTACCGATGCCGTCAAGTCTGAGGACACTCCCGCCAAGGAGGAGAAGCCTGCTGCCGAGAAGGACAAGCGCCGGACTTCTCTCTTCGGCGGTCTCGGTACCATCAAGAAGAAGCGTGACGAGTCTGAGGCCACCGAGAACGGCACTGAGAAGAAGCGCGAGAAGTCGCCTCTGCCCAGCAAGATCGGAGGTCTCTTCCGCAAGCCCAGCAAGGCCGTGAAGTCCGAGGAGCCCAAGACTGAAGAGGTCAAGGACGAGACCAAGGCCGAGACCACTACCGACGCTACTACCACTGAGCCTGCCGTTGCAACTGAGACCCCCGCTACCGAGGCCAAGACCGAGACCCCTGCCACGACAGACGCCACTGAGTCCAAGATTGTCGGCGACGTGGTTCCCGACAGCCTTACCGCGAAGGACAGCGTTGCCACGGCCCCTGAGGTCAAGGCCACTGCATGAAGGTCCTCCGAGGTCAGAGACAAGACTCCACGCACATCTCTGTCGGCACCATCTGGACTGTCTCGGGCTGCGAGTCCAGTTGAGTTTGAGAAGTGGTGGGACGAGAAGAACTACAGTACATCGTCGTTGTCTCCTCGAAGCCCTTCTCGTCTCTCTGGCCTCGCTCTTTGAGAGGAGGCACGGATCGGCTCGCCATCGCACGACCAACTCCCACGTCGCTCATTCATCTGCTGTTTTGTTGCTCAGGATACCCCACAGTACTAGATCGAGATTGTTTTTGGTTTGGATTGCTTTTTTGCGTGTGATTTTTTGTTGTTGTTTTTTGATTTTGCGAAAACCAGATACCCCCTCAAGCATGGCACAAGTCTACTTGTCCTTTCGAGAGATACCCCATAGTGGCAAAGGGCTTTTTGAGGTCTAGTCGGTGGGCTTATCAGCTACGCCTAGGTCTTGATGGCGCCTTTCGCCTCTCATAGCGAATTCGGTTGTTGTTCAGAGGAACGTTTTGATACCCCCTCTCCTCGAATCTGATCAATGATGGAACGAAAATGGACCCATGGAGATGATGGGAGAGATGCAGCAGCACAAAAGGGGAGACAGCACTCATTTTTTGTTGTTGCATGCGAGGCCATGCAGTCGAGATCTGTAGTTGCAGCTGGCGCCTATAGCCAGGTGTGCGGCTGTCGAACCGCTGGCCAGGATAGTAATAGCTAATAAATGCATGAATTGGAGTCGACTTTTCCGCTCGCTGGAGGTGTTTGTTGTGTTGTCCCTGAGGATTCTGGCGTCTTAGACCTCATTTGCTCTCGCTGATGGCGACGGCGAGCGTCAGTACCTCCTGTAGCCAAGAAACATCCACCACTGCAACTCCGAGTCGAGCCAACTATCATACGGCCTCGTCCTATGTACAACTACTTCACGTCACGCCACGTCACCCTTGTTGCGTACATCTTGGGCTCGTTTTTAAAACTGCTACCGAACCCTTCTCTGCTAATGCCTGAATGCCATGTAAGCACCAGTATCAGTCAGGATCAGCCACTTTGCTTTCCACGCTCCATCACCCTGCTCTACTTCTGCCTCTGCCCCAACGCCAACCCCAGCCCAACGACGACGATGATGATGATGATGATGACATTGCTGTCCGTTTGCTTTGCCGCTCCTTTAGTGTTGCCAAACGCATTGCCCTTTGCATGCCCGGTCCCCAGCTCCTAGCTCTCCGGCCCTCTCCGCGTTCTCTTCAGCTTCAGCTTCAGCTTCAGCTTCAGGTAACTCAGGTTCGCTATACTGCTATGCTTCTGCTGCTGCTCCTGCTGCTACTACTACTTTACCAGCGTATCACACCACCACAGCAGCAGAGTCATAACTCCCGCCGCTACCCCGGTTGGTAGGCGTGCCTCCCCACAGATCGCAAAATTGTCCCTCCAGGTAGACGATGGAGGTGCAGCCCGCTGTAGCCGCGCATCTAAAATCGGGGAATTAATTAGATATCAGTGAATGTTCTGGGTAAAAAGTTCTTCTTCTTCTTCTCTATTGCCCCCCGCTTTTTTTTGGGACACGAAACGTCTTGTGCGGAGAGGCCAGACATAGAGAGAGAGAGTGAGGGTTTGATGGATGGATGGATGGATTGGCTTACCGTTCCGCGCAGGCGCCGTAGTCGGCGCTCCGGGGACCCGCTGCTGCTTGCTGGGGTTGCACGAGTGTGGTGCCGTAGTAGAGCGTGCCGCAGTACTTGTTGAAGCGTTTGCCGGGACTCGTGAGGAAGGGGTCGGTTTGAGCGGCGCACGAGCCGCTTGCAGATGGGATGGCGGAAGCTGATCGGGTTGTTGTTGTTGTCGTCGTTGTCTGTGAGGTTAGCTTGGATTGGGCTTCGTTTTGACAGGATGGAAATACTCACGGTTGCGTCGGTGGTGGTGGTTGTGATTGTTGTTGTTGTGCTCTCGCTGGTGCTCTCGGTAGTGCTCTCGGTGGTCGTTGTTGTGCTCTCGCTGGTACTCTCAGTGGTGCTCTCGGTGGTGCTCTCGGTGGTGCTCTCGGTGGTGCTGTCAGCAGTCATTGTTGTGCTCTCGGTGGTGCTCTCGGATGTGCTGTCAGTAGTCATTGTTGTGCTCTCGGTGGTGCTGTCAGTGGTGCTCTCGGTGGTACTCTCAGTGGTGCTCTCTGTAGAAGTCTCTATAGTGGTCTCTGTGGTGCTAACTATGGTGCTGTCTATGATGCCGTCTGTGGTGCTCTCTGTGGTGCCTGCTGTGGTGGTGCTCACATCTTCTGTGGTGGACGTACGAGTTGCAGAACTGCTGTTATAAGGCGTAGTTGAGCTGTCTGTGGTTTTTGTGCTGTCCGCTGTAGTGGCTGTGTCTGATTCGACGCTACTGCTGAAGGTAGAGTTTCCGTATGTTGTAACACTGGAGTATTGTGTCAGGCTTGAGCTAAAGGATCCGGAAGTAACGCTGGTGGATGTCTCTGGAGTCCTGAAGGAACTCGTTGAGGAGCTACTAGGAGAAGTATAACTCGAGCTCATGATCGTTTCATTTGAGCTTAAAGGCAAAGCTGTAGTCGTCTGGGCTTCACGTGGACTTGAGGTGGAACTGAAGGAGCTTACGAGGCTGCTAGTTCCGGCAGGAAAACTTGCTGTCTTGGTAGTGCTGACGATCGAGCCAGAGGACTCAATGATCTCTGAAGAGGAACTCATTTGTGAGGGTCTCGATCCAGTAGGCGGACTAAATTCCGGATTGGCAGATCTGGTGAGAGAGACCCGGTCGAGGCAGGCCTGTCCGGCAATAGCTCCTAACGTGACGAGTATACAGCTCGAATCGTCCGGCATAAGGCCAAAGGCCGCAAAGAGGTTCGCGCCACAGCGGTAAAAAGATGCGATCCCAACGTCTGCGGTGTTCCACTGCAGCAAGCCGTTGTTTAGAGAGAATGTGCCATTGACTTCGTTGTGAGACTCTGCTATGAAGCCCAACACTGCCTGAACATCTCCAGGGTTCTTAGCAACTGCAACGCCGTTATGCAACAATGAACCAGCGGTCAGCAGCAGTGGGGTTGCGAAGTCGCATTGATCTTGGATGACACCATTGATACCTCTTGATGCGTTGTTAAGGTCGACAGCCACAACAGGTATGGTACTATTAGGAGGCTGAGAATTGCCAGGAGAATCTTGGCGACGAACCTCTTCACCCCTCTTAAGAACAGATCGGTCTTCGAAAGCCAGAAACAGGAATTCGCTGCTGGGCAAATCGGTGACAGAGCTTGGAGGAAGACCTTGACCTATGAACAGCTCGCCGGTTGCGACTGAGGCAGCTGATGAAGGAGCGGAGGTGATCATAGTAGGGGTATCGGCATCTGTGGTAGTAGTGGCACTGGTAAGGCTGGTGAGCACAGAGGGCGACACGCTTAGGCTTGGAGCGCCAGTCGGACTAGAGACTCGGAACGAGCTGCCTGAGCCCGGACTGGGGCCAACGCTAGATGTCCGCCACGTAACAGGCGCTGTCGATGCTGACCAGAGTACTGTTTTGTCTGAGGCAAGGCTGATAGTTGTTGCTATCGTGGACGTGAGACATACGGAAGTCGGTGCCTTATCTATAGTGAAGAGCTGCCCAATTCTGAAAGGGTCGATGACCGTTGTGTATGGGAAGAACTCGTTATAGGCGACGGGTTGAATCAACACTGTGGCAGTCGGGACGTCTGAGCAGAAGTCAGCAGGGCCTGCGCTATCGGTTTCGGACAGCTCAAGCTGATCACGCGGATGGGGACGTCGACAATTGACGCTGGCGACCAAAAGTGCCACCTGAAGGATTGTGAGCATTGTCTTCTGGACTCTCAGAAGCGTCCACAGCACATGGATAGCCATGAGGAGGTCCAAAAAAACTGGCTGCTACTGGTAAAGAGCAGCGGGGGACTGTATGTAGAGCGGGTATACATAGCTGCGGCCCAAGTCAGCACCAGAATCTATTGCAGGCGGCCAATTTCCACCCGGCACCTGCTCTTGCTGCTGAGATTTGTGATCTGGGCTTCAGATGTGGGTGACATGCTGTTCGATAATCTCAGCACCAGGCCTATCAATGCTTCGATCCCCCCCGTCACAAACATATCACCCAGCATCCGATATGCAAATCTAGATATACGAGGCATCATCTACGGGGTGACAGCTCGCAGATCCCGGTACTTATGCTAGCGATACGTCAGACTGGTACCAGGGAATGTTTTCCTAACAAGGTGGAATGTCACGCAAGGCAGCATGCAAGGCGTCGAAACCATGTACAGAGCAGACAGCAGACAGCCAGGGTACAAGAGACTACTTTCTGAACTTCCTCTTCATGGCTCCAAGGCCGAAAAAGGTCAGGGGAATGAGGTTTGTCTTCTATGGAGTGGTCTGAAATTCATAAATCCATCTCGAGGCTGCCTGCCCACAAGCGCTCTCAAAACGAACATTCTTCGGCAAATCTAGAGTTCCGTTCGGCTCTTCGTGTCTTGATCAGGCGCCGTATTCTCCAACATTAGTATTGGCTACTCATGGCTGTCACTCGTGTCAGGCTTCGCAGCTCTGGGGCTGATCGTGCTCCTGGTCAATACTGCTGAGCAGACTGTAGACTCATACCATGGCCTTGATGGTAGTGATTCTGGAATTGGGCCATGCGATGCACAGATCTAGTGGCCTCTAGCCAACTGTATTTCAGCAGCGGGCTCCAATGCAGGTTTTATCGCCTGTCGTCCGTCCATGCGGCCATTTTAACCTTCTCAGTCAAGCAATCGAGGGTGAAAGTGTCATTTGGCGGGAGCAAATCGCGTGTTTTGGTCCTCCACTCCCCCAGCTTCGCTAGCCCCCTTGATTCCTTTTAGTAATGATTAAGTACCGGACCACATGCAGCTCCTCACAGACGTTGACATCCGCACCTCTGTCCTTGTTGCCACTTTTGATGCCATTTTTTGGCCTCTAGCAAGGGCATCGTTGTGCAAGGGGGAAACCACAGAGACAAGGCTGCGCACCAGGCAGTAAAACTCTTGGCGGGGTCGTATATAGCAACTTTCGTCATTAGCCATGCAGCAGGAGCTCATTTCGGTGCCTTATACGTCTCCGATCAGGAGTGAATAGTCATTGCTGGTTCTACATCAGACCGAGCACGAAAATCGATCGGAAGCTAACCTCGTATCGGCTGGGAGAGGAAGCACTGGTTCCATATGCCCTGTGAATGTTCCCAAGGAGGCACTCTTCTCACATAAACAACCACGATGCCAGCAAGCCTGCAGGCCGCCACCATAGGGTCCTTCAGCATTGCAGCAAGCACTTCCCCATCAGAGATGGTCGTCCAAGTGCGCGACATGGCAAGCAGATCGATAAGTTCATAACCCCGTCCCGTCAGGTTATTTATGTAGTGAATGCATGCAGTAGCCAGTTTCTATATTTCCCTGCCAACGCTCTTAAAAAAAATCACTACCCTCTAAGCAACCCACCGCCTCGCATTACTACTTCCACCAGTACTACTACCCGTCCCATTCCCCTTAACATACAAGCTCAACCTCGCCGGTCCCCCACACGTCTCCCTTCCATTCCCGCTACATACCATATTACACCCGTCCTCCGCGACCTGCGTCCCCTGCCCGCCCACCGCAATCCCACAGTAGCACTCGGCCCCATACTCCAAACCCATCACCCCCATCCCCTCCTGCGCGTCACACACCGCCGCGCACTTCTCCACCGTCAGCGCCTCAGCATCATTGACGCGCCAGCCCGTGAGCGTGCGATCGCCGACGTCGTCGCTCCAGCAGCCTTGGTACGCCCAGCCGCCCACACCGGCGGGGTTCGCAGGCGCGACGTACGCATCGTTGCGGTACAAACTGAGCGCGTTGGGTCCGCCGCACGTGGCGGTGGCGTCGCCGCTGCAGGGCATGGCGCAGCCGGTGCTGGTGGAGGGGGCGGGGGCGCTGGACGAGGACAGGGTGTTGCCGCAGTAGCATTCCGCGCCGTATTCGAGGCCGAAGAGGGCGTAATTGCGGCAGAAGGTGGAGCAGAGGGCGGTGCTCATGTTGGTGGAGGAGTAGGTGAAGGGGCCGGAGAGGACGCGGGGCGTGCTGGGGAAGGGGTCCGTGACGCAGCCGAGGGAGGTGTAGGAGGAGGGCGTGGTCGTGTTGGTGGCGGGCGGTGTGCTGCTGCTGGGAGCGGCCGTGGCGGAGAGGGTGCGGCAGGTGCTGGGGAGCGTGGAGAGAAGGGTCAGGTCGACTGCGGGGGAGCCCGGGAGGGTGAGGTTAAAGTGGCCTTTGGCGGATTGCGTGGCGTTGAGGGAAAGGGTGAGGTTGAATATGGCGTACGGCCCTACGTTGAGGGCGGCGCTGCGTAGAGCACTGGATGTGGTGTTGATGGTGGGCACGATGACTGTACTGGTATAACGGCGGCCGAGGAAGTTAAGAGTAGGAGTGCCGGAGGTGGTGTTGCGGACGGCTGCCGTGATCGTAATGGCGGCCGGGTTGGAGGCGCACGATTGGGGATACTGCAGAAGCAGTGAGTCGGAGACTGGGAAGCCGACGCCATTGTTGTCAAAAGTTTCGGTAGTCCCATCGGTGCGACTGATTACGACGATGAAGCTCGAGATTGATGTCGAAGTGGGAACCGAGGTGTTGAAGCCGTAGAAGCTGAAGCTGTCATCGAAGCCGCCGGCTGCGCCAGAGACAACTGTGCTGACGGCGCTGCCAGACCCGCCGGAGCGGTTTTTGTAGACGAGCTGCACAGAGGCAATGCTGCTTGCGGCACGGTTTGTGGTCCTAACGCGAATATCGCCTGCGAAGGTGAAATTCAGACCGCCATCTTGGAGGTACAGCTGGAGACCGTACGGCTTCACCTCGTATGGCGTCAGGGGGTTCGCCGCAAGTGTTACAGTTCTGGGGACGACCTCGATGAGCTTCTGCAAAACAGCGCGGCAGGTGTTCCGAAAGACAGTCCGGTCTGTCAGCCTGCGGATGGTGGCGTTGTTGTCGACCATATTGACGACAAAATCAGAGTTGCGAGAGTATTGGACCGAGAGCCCTTTGACAAGAGGGTTGGTTGTGGTGCCATCAACGTACTCGGTGGCAATGCGTTCATCGAAGGCAGCCTCGCTCGTGTCCATAGCTTGGAAAGCATCTGGATCGGCCACAATGAGAGGGAAGTTTTTCCCGTGAACGCCGCCAATGCTGTGGCCGCATGCAGTGACGGCAACCATCTCGCTGTCATTCATGCCTAGGCTAGCGAAACGATTTTGAAAGGTCCCGATAGAATCCTGTGGCTGAGGTACACCAGAAAGGCCCGAGGTTCTGGCATCGATTCTTCCCGGCCGCACGGGAATGGCTGGACCACCACAGCCTCGGACAGAGGCGTAAGTGCCGATTGCGATGATTTCGGACATGGGCAGCCGCGGGCCGAAGAACGGTTCGTACGTGGTGATGGTGCTCGTGAAGGCGGTTCCGACGTTTTCGGCCGATCTGAGCTCATAAACGATAGAGGCATCCAATCCGCCTATGCCCTGCGCAACGTTACCAGTGGCAGCATCGTGAAAGGTCGTTCTCAGCCACTCAGCAGCGGCTATGCGACCGGGGCCGGAGCCGCCTGTTGACTGCTTCGAACAAGGCGTAATTGCATCAGCGAAGTTCTTCGCTCGGTAACCGGTAGTTAGAAACATCAAATCCTCGAGCTCGTCGGTCGAGGGTGAGGGCCACGTCGGCACAACCTGCGCGGTAACGAACGACTGCAGCAACGAAAGCAAAACGAGTGGCACGAGGCGAGCCATGCTTGACTACTGCCTCTAGGCAAAGAACGACTAGATGTGAACGCTGGTACTGAGGAACACGTTGGGAAAGGCAAACATCCTTTGAAGAAGAGAACTCTACCTATTTGAAAGTTTGGCGTATTGCCCGCACATGGTCGCGGGTGCATAAGAAAGGGTGTGGTCGCCAACATCGCCACATCGTGTTGTGGCTTACAGCATGCATGGGACACGAACTACTGGGGGTTCTTTTTCAGGCCCGGACCTGAGTAAGACATGCAACACCAGTGGCTGGAGCAACATACCCGGCCGCATCCCGTGCCGTGCAAGCGAGGACGGCACTTGGAGGTCCCACGCGAGATGCACCGCGACGACGGATGTTGCTCTCCAGCCGGGGAAGGCAGACTGGCGTCCTGAATCGGGAGGGTTCTCACACATTTAAGATGATAGTGGCGCGGGTTGGGGAAATTGATCTCGAGAAGAGTCAAGATAAGATTTGCCCCTATTGACACGCGGGATGGGAGCTAAACTTGTTTTGGTAAAGCTCACACCTTTGTGGCTTGGCGAGGAGTCTCTTGACTCTTCGAGGCGTGGCCGCCCGGCGACGACAAGCCTGTCACACGGGGTTCATATAGCGGCCAAGCTGGGTCGAGAAGTCGTTCATGACTTGCCCAATCTCAAAGTACGACTGCACGAGATAGGCGTTGGGATCATGCGTCCACAGCCTGATGCACGACGTTCAGCCGATAGCTCTCGCTCGATGCAATCAGCTCCTCATGGGTGCCCCTGCTCACACATCTGCCGTCCTCAATCAAGAATATCACATCCGCTTTGCTGATCGTGTGCAGTCGGTGAGCAATCGCAATGACGGTGGTGCCTTTGGCAACCTTCTCCAGCCCTTCTTGCAGCAGCCGCTCGGACTCCGCATCTAGCGCACTAGTCGACTCATCAAGCAGCAAGAGCCGTGGCTTTCTGACCAGGGCGCGGGCGATTGCTAGCCGCTGTTTCTGTCCGCCGGATAGTTGGCTGCCGCCGTGTCCAACATCAGTGTCGTACCCATCCGGCATGCCCACAATCGTCTCGTGGATATTGGCAAGCCGACAGGCATGCTCAATCTCAGCGTCAGTCACCTCTTGGCCCGGTCTTGCGCCAAGCGATACATTGAAGCGAATGGTGCCATCAAACAGTACGCTGTCTTGTGGTACGAGGGCAATGTCGTTCCGAAAGCCGACACCTTCGCGGTTCGATATGTCGAAGCCGTCAATTTGTATGCTTCCTGCACTGGGCCGGTACATCCTCTCCAGCAGCGCAATTGTTGTCGACTTGCCCGCACCACTCGGGCCCACTAATGCACAAAACTGACCGGGTCTGACATCAATAGTCAACCCGTGCAAAACTTCGACTTCAGGTCTTGCCGGATACGCGAATCTCACCTCCTTGAAGCTAATGCTAACCCCTCTGTTGACCGCGCCAACCTGTACATCCAAGTGTGGTGCTTTCTCAAGGTCGTGGCCTGACTCCTGTACGGTGAGTGGTTCGAGGTCCCCCGATAGCTTCTTCGCCGAGCCCAGGTCGAGAAGATTCAAGATCCTGCCGATGGCATCTCTGGCCCTCGAGATGTCGGGTGCAAGCGCGAACATCTGACCCCACAACTGTGAGCTCATCAAGAGCGCCAGCACCACGATGAAGAACTGCACTTGACTGTACTCACCCGCAATGATCTGCTTGGTGCCCCACCAGTAAGCGAGTGCGTAGATAAAGGTAGGAAAGCCGTATGCCAACGCCAGCCACATATTGGCATATGCACTTCTGCGCGTGGTCTCTCGAATGGGACCCTTGAGTGAGCGGCGATAAGTTCTGACCGAGTCATCCTCCAATCCATGTACAGCGACTGTTTTGATCTGCTGAACAGCCTCGACCGTGATGCTGACAGATTTCGCGAACGCCTCCTGATGCCGAGCCTCGAAGCGCGCAAGCACAACAAGCTGCATATAGCCAAAGCCAAGGATGATAGGCACGCCCGCCAGGCACACCAATGCAATCTTCCAGGCGATGACGTGCGTCAAGATGATGGCGACGACCAGATTGACCAGAATCGACAGGATCGTGCCGACTATCGAGCCCGTCAGCCCTCCCAACGAGGCGGCATCTTTCGTGATGTACGTGAGAAGCATGGACGGGCTCCGTCCCTCTGCCTGATGCCAGTGCAAGTCCTGCTCCAACAGCGCGCGGAACATGAGCATGCGGACCTTGTATAAGACGCGCTCCGCGACCCAGCCAAAGCCCGTCCAGCTCGCGATGTTGGCGAAGAACTCGACGATGGCGAGCACAAAGAACATCAGGCCGAAGAATCGGCCGGCAGATCGGATGCTGCTGGGCTCCTCACATGGACTGAGCGCACCCACTGTGTTGCCAAAGATGAGGGCGGAGGCGGAATATGTACTGCCGACAATGATGGCCGCTGCAAAAGCGGCGAGCAGCACAAGTAGGTGGCGGCGAAACAGAGGGCTGATATTTCTCACGATTGACCAGAGCGATCGCTTTCGTTGCAGGTTGCCCTTATCCTGTGCGGTGGCGAGGGATTCTTTGGCGGCATCAGGCTCTCCCGCGCCGATTTTCTTCTCCGTCATGGCGAGCTCGTCTTTTTCGAAATCCAGCTTCATGTTCTCCTCTGAGGGAGTGGAGCTGAGAGAACTGATGGGCGTATGTACGCCGGAACTCTGCTTGTTGAGGTTCTGCAGTCGGACCAAGTCCGCGTATGCACCGTCTTCAGCGATGAGCCCCTCATGGCGTCCCTGCTCGACGATCTGGCCATCTCTCATCACGACGATGTTGTCGGCATTCCTGATCGTTGCTAGTCGATGCGCGATCGTGATGACGGTTCTGCCCACCGCGGCCTTGTCCAGAGCCCGCTGTATCCTCTGCTCACTTGCTGAGTCCAGTGAAGCCGTAGCCTCATCAAGGATGAGGACTTCTGGGTCCTTGACCAGCGCACGGGCGATAGAGATCCGCTGCTTCTGCCCACCACTGATCAGAGTGCCTTTGGTGCCTGTGAGAGTGCCGTAGGTGTCCTTCAGGCTGGCGATAAAGCCGCTGGCATCAGCAAGCGATGCTGCACTCTTGACCAGCTCCACGATCTCCCTCGTATCGCTACCGTGCAATTGAGCCGCCGTTTCCAGCTCGGCCCCGTTTCGAACCGCGGCCGCAACTTCAGAAAGCGCCGAGCCGAGCAAGGTCTCCCGCAGATGAGTATACTTGCGCGAATTGACCAGCCCGTGCGCGATATTCTCGAGGATCGATCTGTCAAGCAACGAAGGATCTTGCTGGACGAGACTGAAATTGCTTCGGAGAGATCTGACGTTCATCTCTCGAATGTCTTGACCATCTAGCAGAATCTGACCTTCGACGGGGTCATACAGCCGGCTGACTAGCGCAGCAATGGTAGATTTGCCGCTGCCGGAAAGGCCAACGATGGCGGTTTGCTTGCCCGCTGGGCAATGGAGGGAGACGTTCTGCAACACCGGCTTTTCAGGTCGAGAGGGGTAGACAAAGGAGACGTCGCGTAGCTCAACGTCTCCAACGACGCTCGGAAGCGCCTTTCCGTCGCTCTCGACAGTGCCGTCGATCTTGGACTTGTGATTCATATGCACTTCGAGCTTCTGGAAGCCGGCCTGAGCAGCGCCGAAAATCTGGATGAATGGTGCTACGGAGCTCAGGATCAATGTTGCGTCGATGAGAATGAAGATGACTGTATAGGTCGTGCCGACGGTTGATCTGGCATCTCCAGCAGCGACAGCATTGGCAATCGTCCTAGAGCCCTGCCAGAATGCCAAGGCGTTCGCGGCGTAGGCAACGAAGTACAGGACGCCGGCCTGGATCGATGTAGCGACTGCTTTCTTCACACCGGACGCCTTCGCACGGACCAGTTTCTCCGAAAAGCGTGAGTCGAGCCGAGCGTTGGCATTGAAGGCATGCACGACGAGGATATTCGAGAGAGCCTCTGAGGCTATGGAAGACGCCGAGGAGACATAGTCGGCCATGGCAGCGGTGTACTTGCCAACATAATGGCTTCCAACCAGAGTCATGGCCAGAAACGCTGGAGCGAGCGAGACGAGCATACCACCGAGCTTTGCGTCTTTGATGAAGGCGATGGTGTAGGCGGTAATGAAGAAGGATATAGCGTTGAGGACAATACCGACCTTCTCGGAGGTGCCTGACTGGATGGTGGCAATGTCATTGTTGAGTCGCGACGAGACTTCCCCCGCTGGGAGGTCATCGAAGAAGGCTGGCTCCTGACGTAGAAGGCTCTTGAAGTATCGTTCTCGGAGCCGCTGAGCGAGTCGTTCACCGGACAGGTTCCAGCAGAGGATGTAGATGTAAATGAGGAAGAGCTGGCCGATGCCGATGTACGTCACAGTGAGCACCTTGTCATTGACTGAATGCTGATACGATGGATCTTCCGCTGCGTCGACGGCGCAGGATGCAGAGTTGATATCGTCAATGAGCTCGCCAAAGAGGATGCCAAGAACTGGGAAAGGCACGCCGGATGCGATTGCAGCGATGAAACCAATGACCAGGAGGCATAGGTCTGTCGGTTTGGGGTTCGCATACACGAGCAGACGTAGATAGCTCGTGAGCCTCCTGAAGAAGTTCTGGCCCCTCATTGTCGCTGCCCTCGCTGCTTACCTGTGTAGGGTAACGAGTGAAGCGCCAGCGAGTGCAAGTTTGAGTGCCGAGCTTCTGGCCAGTTGTGTTGGCCTCACACTGATGAACGGAGACTCAGGGACGGAGAAAGATCTGCACCGGTGTTTCGCACGGAACGTTCTACAGTCTCCTTGCTCACAGGCCTTGCAACGTAGGCGACCATTGTGTGCTACTGCGCAGGGGCAACGAAAGTGGACTGATGTCGGCCCGTCACCCTCATTACGAGCTTTCCACCGACAAGCTGTAGCCGAAGCTCCACGCCAGAAAATCCTGCTCGGCTTGAAGCATGTCTAGGACAAGCGGGAGACGCCATTATTGTCGTGGAGTGGCAGGAGGCTTACGAAAGCCACCAACGTCTTCATAGTCGAGCTAAGAAGTGGGCTTGCAGCGATCGGCAGTTAGTAGTCAAGAAATCTCAAGACTCTCTGCAAGCTTGGTATGCACATGCCGGCAATCACAAGCAAGGATGATGGTATTGAGGGGATTGTTCGGGGTGGGTCAGGAGTGAAAATTTTTGATTAGATTAGATGCAGCCAAGGAAACTTATCAGATCCGCAGCGGGGCCCACAGCATGTAATACCAATGATACCGTACTGAAATCTGTACTGGTGGTATTATGTGACAGCCAGTGAACGGACCCTGACCGTCGAACGGCGGATTAGCGAATTGCCAGCAACACGTCACCCATAGGCGGTATACCTCCATCGAAACAGGTACAGAGTCTGGCGAAAGGGCACGCACAACGACCACGTCCAACACTGCTGTTGCCGCCATGGGATTCGTTGTGCTGCCAGCGAGCATTCCCGACATTCGCAAAGTGTACGATGTCTACTTCGCCGCCTTCGAGAACAGTTTCATCACACGCCTGCTCTTTCCATGGGATGTGACTAGCGAAGAATTCAGGAAAGGTCACACGGCTCATACACTCGATTACTGGCACAAAGACACCGTTCAGTACACGTGCAAATGTGTCGATACCGACACGGACGAGATTGTTGGCATGGGACTGTGGGACGTTCACTGGAAAGAACGAAAAGGAGGTGCGACGAAACCTGCTGTTGACTGGTTGGAAGGTGACCAGAGGCGGCGGGCGGAAGACTTGATTGTTCCCTTATGGGAGAAGAAGGAAGAGCTTCTTGGACCGGCCAAGCATGTTTGTGAGTGGTGATGGCTGCTTCTTCTCTTCAAATACTGACATGGACAGACTGCCATGTCATCGCTGTCGACCCCAAGTATCAGCGCAGAGGCATAGGCGCTATGTTGACAAAATGGGGTGTGGATGTTGCGGAGCAGCTGCAAGTACCGGCATATCTGGAGGCTACTGACGAGTCTGTCAGTGTCTACCGCAAACAAGGTTTCGGGGTCTTGAGCAAGGGAGTACGCATCAAGGCAGAACTCATGGACGCAGAACACGACGCCGATGCCCCAATAATGGCCAGAATGCCGTCCTCTGCAGGGGACTTGAAATTTGAAGACTGGGTGCAGCAGGGCCGTCCACCTCTGACCACGAGAAACTGATTTGATGTTCCATAGTTCCGAATATCGGAATAGAAGGACAGTTCGAACTGCACCGGGTGAAAGACAGAATGGAGAACGTGGAGACCTACTCTTCATAAAGCGTGTTTCGTGATGTCACCATACAGCGAACGACCTCGTATCTGATAACCGTATTTGCCCACAGTCTGGTATCGTTCAAATGACCGAACATGGTGGAGACCCCAGTCCTCGCGCGGATTGTACCCCTGCACCCAGCTCGGAGAATGACGCATGGAGAAAGCGAAGCTTCGGACATGGCTGCAGGGTTCATGTGTCTCGAGTTGCTATGCCGATCGTTAGGACCGAATAGGTTGGAATCTCTGCCAGGGTGCTCGGAGCACAATGGTCTCCTGAAGGCAGGGCCGTGTCGCGCACAGAGCGCCACAGTACAGTAGAGACAGATCTTCTCGTTTGTCGACGACCTTTATCGCCAGCACATTGGAACAGCCCAGCCACAAACACAATGGCACTGACCGGCGTTGAGCATCACGTAGCCGAGGCTCCCTCACCAGTACAGCTTTCAATTGTTCACGGCCCAGCTGATGTGCCACTCCTTGACTTCAAGCTGGCAGATCTGCTGGACTTCCAGTGCATCAAATATGGGTCCAAGGAGTGCTTGGTCATACCATGGACCGGAGCGAGATGGACCTACGAATGGCTCAGGCAGGAAAGCGTTTGGCTTGCAAGAGCACTGGCGGAGAGAGGCGTACGACCCGGTGACAGGATAGGCATCATGGCGGGTAACTGTGAGCACTATGCTGTGGTATTCTTCGCTTGCACGAGAATCGGTGCGATACTGGTCATTCTCAATAACACATACACTGCTTCTGAAGCACATTATGCCCTAGAATTCACAGGTACGAGACTGAAGTAGCGGCGATGAATTCCCCGGCTGACACAACATAGAATGCAAGATGCTTTTCACAACACCTTGGATAGGACGCCACGACAATAGGAAGCTGTTGGCAGATATCGCCCTAGGGCGGCACTCAGGCCTCGAGGTTGTTATTCTTCGAGGCTTCCCGGGTACCTTCACCTCTTACAATAGCCTGCAAGAAGAAGGGTCCCTCCTACCAGACGACAAGGTTGAAGAATGCAATCAGGGTTTCACCAACCATGATGTGTGCAACCTCCAATTCACCAGTGGTACGACGGGCAGTCCCAAGGCTGCTTCTTTGACGCATCAGTGAGCCATTCTGATCCATTTAAAAACCCCATTGCCCTGACTCACCCCCCTAGTTCTATCGTCAATAATGCACGCTTCATCGGAGATCGGATGGCTCTCACTTCCGACGACGTGCTATGCTGTCCACCTCCGCTCTTCCACTGCTTCGGTCTCGTTCTAGGCCTGCTCGCCATCATCACTCACGGCGGTAAGATTGTCTACCCCACGGAAATATTCGAGCCGGCAGCCTGCCTTCGAGCCATCTCGGAGGAGCAATGCACCGCGATCCATGGTGTGCCAGCTATGTTCGACTCTCTGTTCTCCTTACCGCGACCCGAGTTCTTCGAGTCAACACGCCTCCGTACCGGCATCATCGCTGGTGCTCCTGTACCCAGACACCTCATGGAGGTCATGGTGCACGACCTCGGAATGACCGAGTTCACGAGCAGTTACGGATTAACAGAGGCCTCGCCGACGTGTTTCAACGCCTTTGTGACCGACAGTATCTCGAAAAGGCTCAGTACTGTAGGCACGGTGATGCCGCACGCTCACGCCAAAATAGTGGACCGGGATGGAAACATCGTGCCCATTGGAACGAGAGGTGAACTCTGTATGGCAGGCTACCAGCTACAGGCCGGGTACTGGAACAATAGAGAAAAGACAGAGGAGGTCATGGTCCGAGACGAGGACGGTGTGCTGTGGCTACACACGGGAGATGAGGCGTTCTTCCATCCCGACGGCAGCTGCACCATTACTGGGAGGTTCAAAGACATCATCATCCGAGGCAAGTGGATTTCCCGAACAGTGGCTATCCGACTAACCAAACCTCCAGGTGGTGAGAACATCTATCCGCTTGAGATTGAAGAACGTCTCTGCGCCCACGAAGCAATCGACCGCGCCATCGTCGTGGGAGTCAAACATGAAAGGCTAGGCGAAGTAGTGGCCGCCTTCCTCCAGTTGTGCAGCGGTCAGAAGAGACCGATAGACCGTGAGATCCAGGACTGGGTGAGACAGAAACTCGGACGACACAAGGCACCGGCCCACATTTTCTGGCTGGGCGAAGATCGGGTGCCCAGCGATGTGCCCCTGACGGGTTCTGGCAAGGTCAAGAAATTCGAGATGGCGAAACTCGCCGGGCAGCTCTTGCGGAGGGAAGGTCCAAGACTATAGATAGTCTGTTACAAAGGTAAGAGGTTGTGGGATTATATTGTGACCAAAGCCTATCTAGCTACTCAATGCCAAAGACACCTCTCGCCTAACCCAGATCTTCTAACATTTGCGAACAAGTACAGACAACGCTCGTAACACTACAGATGTGCTTGCACCGCTTCAACTTCCTCCTTCTCCAGACTCTCTAGGGCCTGTATCGCCAGCAGCGAATCGACCAACCGCCGACTCCGCTCTGCCATGATCGAAAACGCCGCGTCGCCGCCCTTGTGCACGATTAGCATTCACACATACCTTCAGCATCACCATAGTATAGGAACTCACATATTGCTCCGGCGCCAGAGAACCCACCAACCACAACCCGCGTCCGTTCGTCACTCCCCTTCGGCGAAGGTTGACGCGGTAATTGCTATCAACGGACACCGTCCCATTCTCCAGAAGCCGCCCAAGCGGCCGCAGAAGACGATCTTGCTCCCGCTGCGCGTACCCCGTCGCGGCGATGACGAGGTCAAAGTCCCGGGCGTGCGTCTTGGCCTCGCCGCTGACCTTGTCCAAGTATGTGACGGATGCACGGCCATCGGGCGCGGTCTCGACGTTCGTGACCTTACTCGAGGGCTTGACCTGGAGGCGGAGATTCTCTTCGTCGGCCTCTTTGACCCGCTGGTTGTATTGGATCTCGTAGATTCGCTCGATCAGCTGAGACTGTGCAGCGGGGGCGACGGCGCCGCCGCTCTGGCCGCTGGCGCGGCTCCTCAGCTCCGGCGGCAGGCTTTTGAGGGCGGCGAGTGAGGGCTTGATGGTTGTGTCGTTGGCGAAACTCGATGATGCTGCTGGTTGTAGAGAGGGTTGCTCGGTGAAGAGGGTGGTGGTGTGGGTGCCTCGGATGCTCTGGATGTATTCCAGCAGCTCCACCGCAGGCTGGCCCTCGCCGACGATGGCAATATTGGCACCATGGCTGACTGTGCGTAGCTTCTCCTGCAGCCTCTCCTGGAAGTTGGATGCGTGCACCACTGCTGTACCACCACCTCCGAGCGCTTTGGGTACTCTGGACTGGCTTCCGACTGCCACGATGACTCTCTTAGCGCTGATTATGGTCTTGCTGCCAGCCAAACGATCTTCAGCCGTGATGGTCCATTCATCGACCACACCGCTGCCATCTCTGCCACCTTCGATCGAGACCACTTGTGTGGCCCATTTCACCTGGGATTCGAACTTCTCGGCCACCCACCGCAAGTAATCCTCAAAAAGCTCGCCTGCAGGCTTAATCTTGCCAACGTTGGTGAAATTCACCAGCCGTCCAGTTTCATGCAAGTACTTGACGAACGTGAATTTCGACCTTGGGTTCTCAGTCGTGATCAAGTCGTGCATGAAGGTCGTGCCCATGTCCTGCCCGGGCAGTTTGCGGATCGGTCGCCAGGACGACTTTGGCTGCGCCTCGAGGAACACAATGTCGGCTCCGGGATCACGCTCTCGATATGCGACGGCGAGTGACAGAGCAGATGCTCCCAGGCCGACACAGAGGACATCGTGCTTTACTCTGCGCATTGTGATCTTCTGGCTGCTGAGCGCGGACATGCTATGCTGTTCGGGAGAGTGCAAGCACGGGCGACCGTCTGGTACTGTGATCAGAGCTCTCGGCTTCGATCGTCGCTTCGATGTCGGATCACTGGAGCTCGGTGGTCCACATGTCATCCAACTTGGTGCATCCATCATCACCACGCAACTTCGGCGAGCATTGCCACGATTGACACTAGCTCCTGAGCCAGCTTTTCCACCGCTGATCCTTGCCCGACGTCGTGGCACATGGTTGTTCGTTCGCTTGATCGGCGCGAGGTGACGATTTGGTAACACCAGAAAATTTTTCTCACTCGGTTGTGAAATCAGGAACGTATCATGCCGGAATCTGAGACGTGCGGAGGTCGGACGGGCATGAATACAGCCAAAATAGAGTTCGGATGCCAAGAGGCAGCGTATTGTCATTTGATACGATGATCAGCATACCTGGGTGACGATCGTTACGGCCCTAAGGCTCGTTGTACAGGATCAGATAGCTGCTAGTTGCATCTGATAACTCAATTCGAACCACTCCCATCCCTCCTCCTGACTTCTCTCCACCACCGTTGCTCCGCATAATCTTCTGGGCAGGAAAGCCTCTGCGGGCTTTGACCGGCTTTCCATCCTCTTATGACGCATTCCCGCCCAAAGCTGCTGTATTTCCGACACTACGCTGGCTTGAGCACCCGGGTTGATGCGGGCCTTCGACATGGGTGCCGACGATCCACATTCAGTACCCTTCCAGAAAAGAAGCAAGTGCCGGTGATCCTTCGTGAGCTCCAAGCCTCATGCTCGCCATTGACGTAGCGAGCAACGATCGCGTCTGACCCTGACTCGCAGTCTGAAACTCTCCTTGACCGCTGCGTTACTTACAGCCTGTATTTTCGGCGTGACGGCTCGATGGAGTACGCCTGCAGAAATGAATTCAACTCGGATTCAGGACAGCTTGACCGACCCACAGGCAGCTCATGGACCGAGGCAGGTGACTTCGGAGCAACACTGGATATTCGCGTCCTGGCTGCTCGTCTTGTTTGGTGTTGCATTTCTGAGCTTCCAACGCGTCCTCAGTCACAAACCTGATAGCGTGTTGGTCAGAGTGACTTCCTTTTTCCTGCTCTACGTGATACTGGCACGAGTTGGAAAGCAATCAGATATCTGGGAGGCACGAACATGAAACCTTCCACCAAGAGCCCACTGGCCGCATCAGCGGTGGCCAAACTCAGGCTCCCACATCCCTACTACACGACCTACTATGCTACGCCTGCTGAAGAACAGCCATCAGGGGTCTCGCAGAGTCTACAAGTCCAGAAAGACGAACACGAGCAACGGTCGAGCGGCGCCGAACCGTTGGAAGAGGAGCTGCACAATGGCAATCTTCGTTACACCTCCCTAGCAGCACCGGAAGGCAACCTTCCTCCAGACTCCAACAACTCGCCATGGGCACGCGCAAGGCGGTCACCGTCAACGAGATTCTCTTGGGGAGAAAATAGCACACCCACACTTGGACAAGCCTGGCTGATAATCTACGCCATCTTTACCCAGGCTCCCGAACATGAGTACTTCCGCCTCGAGCTCTCTGGCAGCAACACCAGGTCTCTCCGTGAGTCACTTCTGTCATCAACACTCGCCATCCCCCATCCATCTCCCGATCGCGGGCGCCCCGAACAACACTCTACGGAAGGCGCTTCGGAGCTACTTGTCCTCCGTGGCAACTTCTGGCAAGGTGCCGGCTCGCCCATCGGCTCACGCTCAGCCTGGATCCCGCTCAACGGCGGCTCATCCAACACGACCACCACCAACTACACCATGACGACCAAATTCCCGCAGACGCCCGTGCACCGCTTCCACCCGCGCCGGGCCGTGAAGCCAGCGCCGGGCTCAGTCATCTACAGTCGATATATCCCCTCGTTGGATGAACATTTCTCTATGATCGCCCTCGACTACGAAAACCCCGAGCACTTGGACATGTTCCACAACTGGCAAAACGACCCACGCGTGGCCAAGGGATGGAACGAGACGGGCGACCTCGAGCACCACCGAACCTACCTGCGGAATCTGCACGAAGACCCACACGTTCTCACCGTACTGGCGAGATTCGAGGACATCTGCTTCGCCTACTTCGAGATCTACTGGGCCAAGGTACGTACCCCAACCTAGCCAACCCCCTTCTTCTTCTTCTTCTTCTTCTTCTTCTTCTTCTTCTCTCTTTCACGCCCCGATATCTCTCTCTCTCCGTCCAACCACGGGTCCGTCTACTCACCTTCAGAACAGGAAGACCACCTCGGCGCGCACTACCCGGCCGGCGACTTCGACCGCGGGCGCCACGCCCTCGTCGGCGACGAGCGCTTCCGCGGCCGCTACCGCGTCACCGCCTGGTGGTCCGCCACCATGCACTACATCTTCCTGGACGACCCCCGCACGGGCACCATCGTCGGCGAACCGAAAGCCACCAACAGCTCCGTGCTGGCCTACGACTTCATGCACGGCTTCAGCATGGACAAGGTCGTGGATCTGGCCCACAAGCGCAGCGCCCTCATGAAGTGCTCGCGCGAAAGGTTTTTCCAGCTGTGTCCCCTCGATCATGCTGGCGGGTATATTGGTGGGACAGGGATTCAGTTGCCGGCGAAACTGTAGGCGCTGGCTGGGGGGGGAAAGGTTGCATGGGGTGCAGGCGGGGTGGAGAGTACTGGGGTCCTTGTTTGTGTGCAAGGTAGATAGGAAGCTGTATCTGATTGTAGTCCTTAGTCCAAAAAGCACAAGAAACACAGCGTTTCCTCCTCGTCCAGCAGCAGAAAACCCGACTTCCATACGGTCCGAAACGCCGCTTGGATACGTCTAACCGCCTTGTTAAGCGGCAGAAGCCACCACCACCGCCCTCCTCCCCTCAGCAGGCAGCTCCTCCAGCCTCTCGGGCTCATTGAATTCCAACTTCCTCAACCCCTCCCTCGCATCCACCACCTCCGTCTTCTCCGCCTCCTCCACCTCTGGCGCCGCCGCCGGCTTCCTCTCCCCTAACCTCAAGTAGCGCCAGCAGATGGTCCACCCCAGATCCCCACCGAACATGAGCCTCTCGACCTCCTCGCCGCTCTTGACCCCGTCCGCGGGGCCGTACGTCACGGCATTGCGCCCCACGGCCAGGCCGATCATGGGGGGATGCTCGGCCAAACTCAGGAACTTGGGCGTGTAATCCCTGTCGGAATGGAGCCGGGCCAGCAGCGTCTGGTGGATGTTGTACGCGGCGTAGTGGCCCATGTGCATGGCGGCGCCGCAGCGCTTGATGCCGGACCAGGCGGCGATGTCGCCGACGGCGAAGTGGGCGCGGGCGTGCGGGCCGGGGAGGTCCGAGGTGAAGTGCAGGGTGGGCGCGATTTTGACGTGGCCTTCGGTGTCGAGGGCCGAGGCGGGTAGGTAGTTGGTGGTCGGGGTGGATTTGGAGATGGCGGTTATCACGTGGCTGGCGGTGAGGATGGTGTTGTTGGAGAGGGTGAGGGTTCGGGTGTTTGGGTCGGTGGGGGAGGGAGTGACGGCGTTCACGCGCGCGTTGAGGATGAGCTCGACGCCGGCGCTGCGGACGAGGGGGGCGATGGCGTCTTTGAATTCGTCGGGCAGGGGCTCGGCGGACAGTAGCTTGTCGCGGGAGTGGATCAGAGTGACTTTGGTGTCGGGCTGCACCATCTTCAGCTCGGCGGCCATTTCGACGCCTACGGCGCCGCCTCCGATGATCACGACGCCGTCCTTGGCCGCTTTGGTCGCGTCAATGTTGGTTTGGGCCTCGTTGAGGTACTCGGCTCGAGTCAAGGACTGTGGCACGACGGGCCATGGCCGCCTCAGCCCGGATGCAGCGACCAGGAAGTCGTACTTCTGCTCATACTGCTCAGAAGAGCCATGTGCTTGGATAGTTGCGGTCAAGTTCTCGCAGTCTACGGCCTGTACGGAACCCTGCTTGAACTCGACGGCTGAGTCTTGGAAGGCAGCCAGATCTTCGAACTTGACCCATGCTTTCTCTGCGTAGTCCTCCGACGCCAGAGCTAGCGGCGAGCCGATCAAATGATCTGGAAACAGGTCAGTCGACGTTGGTATGCATGTGGTTGGTGATGCTCACAGTAGCCGTCTCGTTCATCAACGACGGTGATCTGTACTGGCACCTTGTATCTCAGATTTGCATCTCGCTCAAGAGTAGGGTTGAACCTTGGCGGTCGACCTTCGCTGAGATCCAGTAGATTCGCAGCAGCAGCCAGACCGGCGTACGAGCCGCCAATGATCAAGACTCTGTAGGGAGACATGGAAGTGCTCTCCTGATCAGACGGCATTTTGGAGGTTTCTCAGGGAGCGCAAGTCTTTTGTGACGTGTGATACTCTCGTAATCACGGTGATGTTGGCGACAGCGAGGGAAAGACTCGGCTAGGCTGCCTGTAGTGTTTGAAGTGCTGTGGTACAAAGATCTGATAAGATAGCGAGGGAGCTGGGGTATCGAATCAAGACAGGGTGGCTGCAGTGCTGAGCAGAAGCTTCAGGGTAGGGCAGTGTGTGGGATGCCATGGTGATCGATGACTTCGGTGGCAGAGCGACATCGGGCAGTGTGGGCTCGCTACGGCTTTCTCGCAGCTCCAGCCAAGGACGGTAGTGCACCGGTCAGGCAGGGGAGCCGTAACAGCATACTCCGCAGCCCGTTGTGATCATACTTTCTTGAGAGCCTGGAGGGAAATCCGGCGTTGGCCGAGCATGGATGCGTGAATGCACTCCACACTCCCCTGTGACGGGGTGAGGCAAATAGAGGGGCTCGGTTGGAGCACCCACGGGAGGGGCTGCAGCCTTGGTAAGAATCAGAATTTTATCAGATCAAAATTGGGCGAAACAACTTATCTGATCTCGCTGGCCAATGACCATCGACGACTTGTGGAAGAACGGAACGCGCCAGCAGGGATCGCCTCGAGCTACTTGGCCAAGATGAAAACCGACCAGGATGTCGTGGTGGGTCGTAACAGTACGGAGTACCTGTATTGAAATACCACCATGTCGCAAGACCGTCACATCATGTAACGGCCAGTCTACTACCCACGGCTACCCTCCGTAGTGGACGATCGGCAATATGCTTTCTGTAGGGAACAAGCCACCGAGTAAGTGCAACTGTTGCAAAGACAGCGCTCCCCAATTGACTGTAAGCCAACCTCGATGCGGGATTTTGGCCGAACCTGCTGGGCAAAGTAGCGCAGCGCGCATCCTACTGCAAAGTGATCGGTTAGGACGAACAACTCGAGAAATTGGGGTACTCTCCACGAGCTTGCGGCCCAGTGTACAGTGTCCAGGACAACAGCGCCTTCAGCGACTTGCAGCGGTACCTCGTCCTTGTATCGCGAATATACCGGCGAGCCAGGGTCTTTGTTGGTAGATGAGGCCAGCATGAGCACCATGATGGACTCCAGCTCCGACGAGGCCGTTGACTGCGGAGGCAAGGAACGACTCTATCACAACAGCGATGACAGCGCAACAACACTCACCGAGGTGCGAAACGATTCGCCTGAGCTGCTCAAGACCGTGGACGACACAGGACCGACGTCTCATACCTTTACGACCTCGGCCTTCTTGAATGTGGCAGCTGAGGACCGTCTCAGCCTCATATTGTTAGCTTGGGCACTACTACTGTACCGACGCGCTCTCATTGAGGAAGAATCCACCTTGTCGTGGAGATGGACAAACCTGTCCGAGAAAGGCTCCGAAACCTCACTGTCAACTATCACAACAGCGAGCGAGTGCCCAATATCGGACCTCTTGGAAGCTATTCGACAATCTCAGAACACGGTAACAGCAACCGAGAGAGGACTCGGAGATGGCGTGACCCTGTCGTGCAAAGCTGCCGCAAACACCCAGGACTGTGTGGGGCTGAGCTTGGACGTCTTGATAAACGACGATGCGGTCAACATCAGCGTCTCGGACAGAAGCGACAGCATCACCACAGAAATGGCCATGATCCAGGTCCACGCCTTTGCAGATATCCTCGAGTCAATTGCAACCAACTCCAATCAAACTGCTGCGGCAGCCATTAGTGTCAAGGAACGCGAACTCTCACAAGTCTGGCAATGGGGAAGCACGGTTCCACCCTTACTCGATCGTGGCATGCACGAGTACTTCGTCGAGAACGCTCAGCTGCATCCAGAGAAGTCGGCCATTGTGTCGTGGGATGGAGCGCTATCTTATGGCGAATTAGATGTCCTATCGACCAATCTCGCCGTGCACCTGTCTCTCAAAGGTGTAGGGCTCGGAGCAGCCATCCCTTTCTGCTTCGAGAAGTCAGCGTGGACGGTCGTTGCCGTGCTCGCAGTCATGAAAGCGGGTGCCACGTTTGTCTTGACTGATCCCACGCAACCGGAGGTTCGCCTGCAGACAATCGCTGAAGAGATTGGTGCTCGGTTGATATTGACTTCGATCAAGCACGCAGAGCTCGGAGCAAGGATAGCACCTTCAGCAGAGGTGGTCGCTGTCGGACCGGAGATGCTCAGGTCTCTCCCTACCAAATCCCTTTCAGCCCTTGCGCCAGTTCCAGGGAGTGCGACCATGTATATCATCTTCACGTCAGGGAGCACTGGAAAGCCCAAGGGCGTGATGCTCTCGCACGAAAATTACACAAGTGGAGCCATACCCCGGGCGGCTGCTGTGGGATACAGAAGCCACACCCGTGTACTGGATTTCGCCTCGTACGCTTTCGATGTAAGTATTGACTGCATGCTGTGCACGCTAGCCACCGGAGGTTGCATTTGTGTCCCTTCGAACGAGCAGCGTATGAACGACCTCAGTGGGACTATCAGGGAGATGGGCGTCAACATGGTACATACCACGCCGTCAGTGGCAAGAGTGCTTGACGCTGACATCATTCCGTCACTGGAGGTGCTCGGCCTTGGTGGCGAAGCACTATCAGCACGCGATGCTGACAGATGGAATCAACAAACGCACGTCATCAATGCGTATGGCCCATCTGAATGCACCGTAGGATGCGCCATTAACAACAATATCGCACCAGGTCGGTCATATGTCAGCTTAGGCCGAGGTGTTGGCGCCATCCTCTGGATTGTTGATCCTGAGAACCACAATGAGCTAGTTCCTATCGGCGCAGAAGGCGAACTCGTGGTTGAGGGCCCGATCGTGGGCCTCGGATATATCAACGAGCCGGAGAAGACAGCCTCTGTGTATATTGAGGCACCTTCCTGGCTAAGAAGAGGTACACAAGTGCATGCTGGACGTAGCTCACGACTGTACAAGACTGGCGACCTTGTGAAGTACGATCCCGACGGTAGCGGCTGCGTCGTCTTCGTCGGTAGGAAAGACCAGCAGGTGAAGGTACGAGGTCAGCGAGTGGAGCTCGGGGAAGTCGAACACCACCTAAGAAGTAAGCTTCCACCGAAGACGGCAGTTGCAGCAGAAGTCATTAAGCCTGGTGGAGGTGGAGGCGACCCAACGCTCGTGGCCTTCATCGCTGAGCATGATGCGTCCGAGCAGTCTACGCAAGAGCAGCCTGCACAGTTCTCGCCAGATATGAAGAATCTCTTGGGAGGCATGGACGCGACTCTTGCTGCCGATGCCCCTGTATACATGATTCCCTCGGCATACATTCCGCTGAATGAGATGCCAATAATGGTTTCGGGCAAAACCGACCGTAAGCAATTGCGAGCGTTGGGGTCCGCCATGTCCCGACAGCAGCTGACGAAATGGAGAGTTTCGTCACGCAACAGGCGCTACCCTGAGACAGAAACACAGAAGCGGCTGGCACAACTATGGCGTACACTGCTCCATGATGAGGAGGACCCCAGTCTGGACGACAACTTCTTCACTCTGGGAGGGGATTCCATCAAGGCGATGAAGCTCGTCACAGCAGCTCGAGCCGCAGGCCTGTCACTGACTGTGGCCAGCGTCTTCGCCAACCCAACACTTGCAGAGATGGCTTCGCAAATCGGACAGGCTGTTTCGGTGGTCGAAGAGATAGCGCCGTTCGCCTTGCTAGGATCCGCATGGACAGCTCAGGAAGCTTGCAAGGAATGCGCACAGCTCTGCAACATCTCTGAAGACGCTATCGAGGATATCCTACCTTGCACGCCGCTGCAAGAGATTCTCATGGCCGTTTCTGCAAAAGTCACCGAGGCCTATGTCGCACAGAGAGTGCTCAAACTGGACAGTCTGGCAGCGGCAGCCAAGTTCAGGGCTGCTATGGAGAAGACTGTGGCAGAGTGTCCCATTTTCCGCACTCGGATTGTTCACTTGCCAAATCATGGGCTCGTACAAGTTGTCTCGTCAGATCAGGTCCAAATTAACGACGATCAAAACCTGAAAGAGTACGTCCAGAGGGACCAGCTACAAGCTATGGAGCTAGGTTCTCCACTCGCCCGTTTTGCTTTTGTAAATGATATGGAGAGTGGGAGTACTTACTTTGTGCTGACCATGCACCACGCGCTTTACGATGGCTGGTCTATGCCACTCATCGTGGACCGCATGAACAGGGCGTATCGTGGGCTGGACACTCATCGGACCGCCGGCTTTCCGGCATATATCAAGTACCTCCAGAGCATGGACCGGGAAAGTTCGGAAAGATATTGGCGGGAACATTTACGAGGGGCAAGCAATCAGCAGTTCCCAACTAGAGCCAGCCCAGGGTATCAGCCAAAGCCAGATTCGTTGCGAGAGACGTACGTGCAACTTGGAGATGCGACCGGATGCACTAGCACGACCGTTGCAACTGCTATACGCGCAGCATGGGCATTGGTGTCGTCAGAGTATGCTGCAACGGACGATGTGGTCTTCGGAGAGACCTTGACAGGGCGCAACGCCCCAATACCCGGGGTTGAGGAGATCGAGGGCCCAATGATCACCACAGTCCCTGTCCGCGTCAAGATTGATCGAAGGCTCGGTGCGGCCGAATTTCTGCAAGATGTTCACAGACAAGCGGTTGAGCGCATTCCATACGAGCATTTCGGGCTGCAGAACATCAGAAAGACCAGTTCAGATGGCCGCAAAGTGTACTCAAACATGTTTACGGGTCTGGTGTTGCACCCGTACGTCGAGGCTGCGGAGGACGCTGTGAGTGCCGAGGAGCCTGCCAAGGGCTTGGTTCCAGTCGGCGATGCTGAGGCGGCTCGAGAGGCGCTCAAGTTCAACTCATACGCCGTCATGCTGGTCTGTACGCTTGATCCGAAGGGTTTCTTGATCATGGCAAGCTTTGATTCAAGCATTCTCCCAGGCACTGAGATGGACGACGCGCTGCTTCGGCTGAAAACCCTGGTACAGCAGTTTTGCCAGAAGACTGAAGCGGGATTGTCTGAATTAAGTACTCCAGTGATGAACGAGGTACTGTCTGCCAGCAGGCCCGCGCAGCAAGACCGGAGCAACGATATCGCTGCACCACCAAGCGGAAATACCGACAACCACAGGATACGGCAGCTCTCATCTGTCTGGAGTCGTCTTCTGGAGATTGATCAAGCGGACATTGAACCAAGTGATAGCTTCTTTGATCTGGGGGGCGATTCGATTGCCGCTATGAAACTTGTGTCGGAGATGAGGCAAGCTGGTTTCGCTCTGAGTGTGGCCGACATCTTCAATACTAGGCGCTTGACCCAAATGGCGTCAATTCTCAAGGATACAACGGCGCCAAAACAAACATCGACCAGTATCAGCCCGTTCGCGTTGCTCGAGACCGACGATCCAAACCAATTCGTTGAGGAGTCTATCCGCCCACACCTGTCGATGAAGGATAAGGAGATTGAGGACGTCTTGCCAACTCGACCGCTTCAAGAAGTCGCTGTGGAAGGCACAATCTGCCTTCCACGATTCTCGGCTCGTTACGAGCTCTTCTACTTCGATGGGGCTGTCGACAAGCGGCGACTCTTTGACTGTTGCCAGAGACTTGTCGATCAGACTGAAATCCTTCGCACGATTTTCGTAAAGGCAAACGAACGTTGTTGGGGGGTTGTGGTGAAGGACATCAACATAACTGTCACCGAATATGATGTGGGTGGCGATGTCGATGCTTTCGCGAAACAGCTGTGCAATCTTGATGTCGAAACAAAAATGCCTCTTGGCTCGCCATTCTGCAAATTCATGTTCGTGCAGGGAGAGGGAGACCGCAGCTGCCTCATCTTCCGCATCTCGCACGCGCAATACGATGAGATCTGTCTTCCAATCATGCTTCGACAGCTGTCTCAAATGTACGAGGGGAAGCCTGTTGAAGATGGTAAGCCGTTCTCAAGCTTCGTGAGACATGTCGTACGCGAAAACATCCCGCAGGGAATCCCGTACTGGAAGAAACTTCTCCGAGAAAGTGAATTGACGCGGCTCGCTCCTGCTCAACCATTGTTATCGAGGAGGCCAGTCGCATTTCACAAAGCAGTCGACATCTCCAAGCGGCCAAAAGACTTCACCCTGGCAACGTTCCCCACTGCAGCTTGGGCACTATGCCTGGCAAAACGCCTTGGACTCAAAGACGTCACATTCGGAGAGGTTGCCAGTGGACGAAATACGGGCCTTGATACTGCTGATCGAATCATTGGTCCGTGTTGGCAATACATCCCATTCCGAGTCAAGTTTGAGCCTGGATGGGTTGCGCCTGATCTCCTGCATGCTGTTCAACAGCAGCACATCGCCAGTGGGCAGTTTGAAGGCATAGGACTACCCGAGATCGTCAAGAAATGTACTGACTGGCCAAAAACCACGGATTGGTTCGATTCAGTGGTCCATCAGGATGTAGCCCACGTCGAGCAGCTCTCGTTCGCTTCGGGCAGCAGTCGGATGGAGACAGTGTATCCTCATCTCGAGCCTTTGCGGGAATGGAAGGTACAAGCTTTCAATCACGGGAATGAGATGGTTCTTGAGATAGTCACCCGTGAGTCTTGGGAGGAATACGGGAAGTCATTGCTGGACGGTCTTGTGACCGCCTTTGAGCAGCTGGTGGGGTGCTCTCCGGATCAACAGCTTCTGGACTGAAAGCACATCATCAAGATGTTGTCGTGTAGTGAACGGATCGTAAGAAATATGTGTAAATGCATCAGCGCTTCATGAGTCGCTTTACTGCAGTAGTGCTGCACTCAACAAGTTGACCTTTGAGAGACAGAGACTCATTGGGGCAGGGGTGCTCTAATTCCTAACTCCGGTTTTTGTCGCCAAGCGTCGCGGTGGACGGCGCCCAAATTTTTGACTGCGATCGCAACAGCGAGGATATTGTGACTCTGCTTCTTGCTACCTCGTCGTTTTAGTACTCTTTCAGTGCCATTTTCTCTCTCTATACAAGCCGTCCTTAGACTAAAACCGCTAACATGGGTTTCACCGACTTCGTCTCCGATGCAGGCCTCACCCGTATGCCTCTCCGCGAACCTCCCTTCTCCGAGTACCCCCCCGGCTAACAGCAGACAGTCCTCAACAACTGGGCCAAGACTCACTCCTACATCAACGGGTGCGTACAGCTCTTTGTGAACCCCTCCGTCCTGCACTGCGTCTAAAGATGAGATACAATTGGTCCGTGTTGATGAAGCGGCTTAAGACACCGCATAATGACTACTTCCAATCGCATTTATGCACCTCTGATTCTTGCATTATGCTCAGCGACTGCTATTCTCGTTGGTCTGGTCGGAAACTGACAGAGACTAGCTATGCGCCTTCCCAGGCCGACGTTGTGACCTTCAAGGCGGTTCCCAAGGAGCCCGCTGTGCAGAACTTCCCCCACGCCTACCGGTGGTACAACCACATCAAGTCCTACGAGTCCGAGTTCGCCAGCCTCCCCGGCGACCCGGCCAAGGCGTTCACCACCTACGGCCCCGAGGCGGTCGCGGTTACCCAGAACCCCAAGGATGCCCCTGAGGATGACGATGAGGTCGACCTGTTCGGCTCAGATGACGAGGAGGAGGACGCGGAGGCTGTCGCCGAGCGTGAGCGCAGACTTGCCGAGTACAAGAAGAAGAAGGTCAGTGCTCCTTGTCCACCGGTGGGGCCGAGCTCGACTTCTACGCGGGTATTAATAGCCTGTGCGGTATACTGACGAGCTTATAGGAGGGCAAGACCAAGCCCGCGGCCAAGTCTATCGTCACCATGGATGTCAAGCCTTGGGTATGTTCACCGCGTTTCTGGTCGGGGAGAAAGTGATTCTTGGGCATATTTCGAGATTCCTTCTCGATCTTCCAACTTGATCCAATCTCTCCCTGCTCTTTCAGCAAAGCGTTTGCTGACGTCTAATAGGACGATGAGACTGATATGGATGCCCTCGTTGCCAATGTCAAGGCGATTGAATGGGATGGTTTGACCTGGGGTGGCCACAAGGTAAGCCTTCCAGAATTCTATTCCAGGATTGCAACAGCAGCTCGAGTGCACTGAGACGGCGTCCGACGTTCTGCTCTTTGCGCAGTCCTCGTCGGCAGCGAAATATTCGTCAAGATCGCTGTCGCCATCGTCGTCACTCTGCCACCCTGTCCGCACACATCCGCTTCCGCCATCTCCCACCCTCACCCACCCTCAAGACCATCTACCACTTCTACAAGGCCTCTACTGACATCCCAAAAGCTTGTCGCCGTCGGCTATGGCATCAAGAAGCTACAGATCAATGTGGTAAGTTTCGACCTTGCCGTCGCCTGAGAAAATCTGCTAAAATCCTCCTCCAGGTCGTGGAAGACGAGAAGGTTTCCGTCGACGATCTCCAGGCTCGCATCGAAGAGGACGAGTAAGTCAACCAAACCCGCAAAACACCTTGTTCGCCGGTGTGAAGCACCTGCGTTCCGAACTTTTTCACTGACGCCGTTTCCACAGGGATCACGTTCAGTCCACCGATGTTGCTGCCATGCAGAAGCTGTAAAGGCCTTTCAAAGGGCCATGGCGAAGCGCACGCTCATTACGACGCTATGTTGAGATGAGGTAGAAGACGAAGAAATGGCGTGGGCGCCGTCCACTAGACTCCTACGTGCGAGCGAGCAGGTAGAAAAATGATAGAGCCATTCATTCATTTCACTTTTTCGGCTTCCCTCCTACTCCTGTCCTTCCACTCACGTCTTCCCGTGTATAGAGGATGGACTTTCTGGGTGAACAACGCGACTCCTGACTGAACACTTTCATCCCCATCCCTCGTACGCTGTCCATGGGCTCAGAGGGGAAGCGAGCAGTGACTACGAAGGAATATGTCTGTATGCTTCTGGACGTCGGGAGCATGGCACGCTCACAGGGGAGGTGGAATGGAAAAAAGACGTGCTTGGAGGGATCTTGATTTTCGGATTGTTTGCAGTTGCTAGGATACAGAGATAACAAATATTCAACGCGCAAAAGCCACTATAGGGTGGGGTTGGGAGCGTAGAGCGCAATCGCAGTTCTCAGATGGGGAGGTAGTAGGTAGACTTATCTGAATACCGACAGGCTTTAGACATTGGCAGCCTCGACTGGGGCGGCTGCACCCCCGGTGGAACACATGTAGGTCTTGTACTGAGTCCTTGTCTGCATGACCTGATGCTTCTCGAACAAGTCGTGGAAGCCCGGCGCAACGACATCGATCATGGGCTGGGTCTTGTTGCACCGCCCTGACTCGAAAATGGTACAAAAGTTGTTGATATCGGGAGTGAAAGAAATGTGCCTCTCGGCCTCCTCCGTCATGGTAAATCTGGGCAGGGTCTGGCAAGTAGTCTCATTGTTTGAGGTGGGTAGCCACACACATCCAACTCCGTCGCCGGCAGCCCAGTCAGCATTAGGGCAGATGTATACGCCGAGGAGTGGGTCATTTAAGTTTGCAGCTTGAGGAGCTGCAGCGACCAGGGCGGCAAAGCCGATGGTAGAGAGGATGGCGTTGGCAAACATTGTTATGGTCAGTTGGTTTCGATGTATGGTCTTTGGTTCGTAGAAATCGAGCGTTGTGTCATGGTACTCTTGAGGTCGTCATAAGCACCTTATGTACCGTCTTGCGACCGTGGCCATGCTCTCGCAAGGAAAGCCAAAGACAGTTGTGATCGACAAAGAGTAGACAAGCTGTTGACTGGGAATACAAACCGGTGTTGCAGACGGACGCCTTGACCCACGCTCATGTATCATTGTGGGATCTATAATAAGCTGGCAGCCCATTGTGCACAACTGGAGACCATTATTCGTCTTTGGAGTTGTACCAAGGGGCCGCTGCTTGACGTAGGTACTCTGGTGTTGGGTTCAGCATCGTCTTTGTCCTGACATCGAGGGACATGCCCATGACAATGAAAGCTCTTTGACGATGTCCAAGAAGGCTCGATGTTCCACCAACAAGCAAGCAATCGCTCGAGACCCGATGGAAAAGACAAAGCCACGTGAACGGAGCGTCCACAAAGGCAGATCTCAGCAAGGTAGAGTCGACGAGCAGGAAGATGAGCAGAGACTGTGTTAAGTAGGGACGTTGTGTCAGTCGAAAGCGGCACACTCCAAACCTGGACTGTATACAAAAGTGGTCTAATAGTGCTTGAGTTCTGGCTGTCGCCCACACCAACCTCCAAACAAGCAACAGATGCCCCTTTTCGCACTGGGGGCATTCCTGCCATTACCTTCGTTGTGGATTGAGGTAATATTGGCGAGGCTGCAGCGGTGAGACATGTAGGTCTTTTGTGTACGAGTTTGGCCTGCTGTGATTTGCTGGGAGCTTAGCTTCGGACGCCATGCATGCTCCAGCCAGCGGACTTTCAACATGCAGCGTCAGTGACCTTTTTCCCTGTCTTTCTTACTTCCTCGTCTCAGCACTGTTAGAGACCATACAGTGACTGCTGTGTCATTCGTATGTTGATTTGACGCTGCTCTCTTTGTGCACTATCTGTCCCCGCCGAGCATTTTCATCCTGAGTCCACCCTCGATATGGCGGGCGATATCCGGCGAGCGTACCGACTCAAAGTCGAACCCCCATTACTGTAAGTGGCTCACATGAAGGGGGTCGAACGCCGATCCTCCAATATGCCCATCTCCGAGGCTTCACTATGGAGAGAGTTCAGTGCAAGAGCCGAAGGATTATAGAGGAGAGGATCACGCTATCTCGCCGAGAGTACGGAGCCAAGTCTAGCAGTCGGCCAACCGAAAAGCACCCAATCACAGTCACTATCACCAAGTAACCAACTAACCGCGAAGCATAGCAATTCTGCTTCGCCATGGGCGACATCGATTGAACAGATCGCCGAGCTCTACAAATCCGAGTATACAGGCGCCGTAACGACACGAACCTCTCTCCTCGAAGGTAAGCAGTCATCCCAGAGCTCAAGACCACGCAGCACGACCCACTCGCCCATCTCCATCCGAAGGCCACCCGCTGATCACCACTCAGGCTTCGCCGAGGACCCTTCCGTTCACCAATACATCTACCACAACGGTGCCTCCGCCGCCACAAACACCGCCATCAACACCGATCCAAAAGACCCCTCCACCAGCGGAGCCTCAACCCTCAACACCCTAGGCTACTCCCCCTTCACCCTATCCGAATACCTCGGCCACATCAACGAAATCGTCGGCCAACGCCACCTAGGAACCTCCATCACCACGACCAAGAAACCCTTCATCCTCTCCGTGACCGGCACCGCCGACGAAATCGCCATGGCCGTAAGCCCCCCCCCCTTCCTCGCCTTCCCTTCCCTTCCCCTCCCCCCACCCCAAAAACCCCCCTCTCCACCCAACCACCCAACTAACCCCCCATACCCCTCCTCAGTACGCCCTAATAGCCAACGCCGCCGAAATGGACGAAGACCTACGCCTCTGCATGGAAGTGAACCTCTCATGCCCCAACATCCACGGCCTGCCCCCGCCGGCCTACGACCCGACCCAACTCGCCGAATACCTCGAAGCCATCTCCGACTCCAAGGCCACCTACCGCGGCCGCATGACCACCCCGGACTCGGTGCCCCGCGTCGGCATCAAACTGCCGCCCTATACCTACACGACACAGTTCGAGACGGTCGTCGCGAAATTGCTTGCCGCCAAATCGAGCGAGCCCGGCGAGGGCAGTACGATTGATTTCGTCACTTGTACCAATACGCGTTGAGTCATACCCCTCTCTCTCTCTGACTTTCCCTCCGCTGACTTGACGTTTCCCGAGAAATAAAGTTGGCAGCAGTTTGATTTTGAACGACGACCTGAAGCCGGCCGTCAACAGCGAGGCGGGAACTGGTATCGGTGGTTTGGCCGGCGCGGCGCTGCATCCACTCGCTCTGGGAAATGTGGCCACGATACGTAGGTTATTGGATCAACATGAAGACACAAAGAACATCTTGGTCATTGGCGTCGGAGGGGTAGAGGATCATGCAGGTGTACAGCGGATGCAGTCAGTAGGTGCTGGAGCTGTTGGATGTGCCAGCGCACTCGGAAGATTTGGTGTCAACGTCTTCAAGATAATGTCGGGCGCTTAACAAATAAGGAGACTAGTCCTTCAAACTTTTCATTCCGCTATCTCTGCGAAAAACCATTATTCCATGTGCTGATACTACTTCTGCTAGTGCCGAGAACCATTCTTCGGCTTCTACATCTGTGCTCCAACATATACGTGGTCAATCTGAGACAATAGCTATGCAAAGCTGTGACAAGGCTTGCGGGGTATGGATGGTGGGGTTGTGGTACTCGATACCCACTGATATGCGCTCACAGCGCGTAGGGGTTGACTGAGCGGATAGTTAAGCAAGGAGCTGAAAATGTTAGTAGAAGTCTGCGAGCAGGGAGAAACACAACTTACGACTCTTGTCCAGGCTGACCTTGAGGATGATGGGGATCCGAGTCATTTCGGTTAGGTCTTGGATAAGCTCGCCCCCTTCCTCACGGAGCTTGAAGTCCTTCAAGTATCGCTTAGTGAGTTCCGTTTCCGGAGCATTGCTATGCTTGGCGATCTTGGAGTCAGACTGAGTTCGAGCCTGGTCGGTAAGACCGTTGCGGGCGGGCGAACCGGGCATGCTCTGGGTTGGGCGGTCGTGCGAATTGAGAGAGACGCCGGCGGTTGCCTCAGCAAGTTCATCGTCCGACTCGAAGAGCGCGTCAACGTCATCGTTGGAGATGGTATTGGTATCGGTCTGCTTGCGTTGAGCTTCGTACCGTTCCTTGGCCCTCGCGCGGGCAGCCTCCGAGTCGACAGCAGCGCGAGTGCTAGCAGAACCACGGGGACGCTCATCCTCAGGGATGTAGGCGGACGAGGGAACGCCCTTTTCCCAGTAGAGCTCAAGAACACGCTCGTCCTTGCGGAACTCGGCCTTCTTCAAGGGTAGCTGGTCGCAATGAACACGCTTCTCGAAGCCATATTCGGGAATTAGGACATCAAAGGCCGACTCGTACACGCAAATGACAATGCCCTCACTGATCAGATCGCCGCCAAGTTGCTGAGCCTTCTTGTCCATCATGCGGCACGATTCTATGTGCACACTCTGCTCTTGAGCACTCTGCGCAGAGTCTTTCTTGTTGTTGCATTGCTCGGCGGTCTTGGCCAAGGACTCGAGGTCATCAGCAAACTCGATGGCACCATCTGACAGGGCAGCTTCAAGTTGACGGTGGACAAGAATGTCGGCATAGCGACGAGTGGGATTGTTGAAATGAGTGTAGAGAGGCAGATTGAGGGTGTAGTGTTGGCGCTGTTCCTCAGACACCTGCTCGCCGATGTAGTATTTGGCACGCTGGAAAGTCTTGAGGAGCAAGGTTTCCATGCCTTTGCGCAGATCGACATCTTCAACCTTGAAGACACTGTTCTGAAGAGTGCCACTGCTGGTAGGGTCGACCTCAAAGCCAGCTTTGTTCATGCGCTCGGCAAAAGTAATTAGACGTCTTGGGTTAGGGGGCGATTGGCGGCGAAGGAAAGCCTTGTCAGGCATAGCCGTGAAGAGCTTCTGAGCAACGAACGCATTGGCCTTGTGACCAATCTCCTCAAGGATCTCGTGAGCGGCAGAAGAGTTGAAGATATTCTGCTCAACAGGAACATTCTCATCATCAAGCTGATAGATCAGCCGCATAGGAGGGATGTTTGTCGATCTGTTGCCAAAGCGAGCCTCGCGGAACTTGGTAGCAACGCTGTGGAGGACTTTGATATCTTCAGGGGTAGCACCTTCCAGCTGAGCGTTGCCATTGCCCTTAACAATGGCATCGACATCATCGTAGCTAACCTTGCCAGAGCTTTGAATGATGGTACGGCCAATCCACGGCTCACCTTCAACGTTTCCAGTAGCAGTCTCCACTTGGAAAATAACGGATACCGTCAGGCGGCCTTGCCCGGGGGCCAGAGAGCAAACGTCGTAGGTCAGCTTGGGAGGAAGCATGTTGACCGCGCGCGTCATCAGGTATACGCCAGTACCACGCTTCTTAGCCTCGCGATCGACCAACGAGTTTGGCTTGATAAAATGAGCAACATCGGTGACGTGGATACCGAGCTCCACTTTACCGTTGCCCAAATCCTTGATGTGCATGGCGTCGTCGAGCTCCTTGCTACCAGTGGGGTCAATGGTGAAGACACGTTCCTCGCGGAGATCGCGACGAGCAGCAAGGCTGGCTTCGTCCTCTTTCTCAAGAGACCAGTCGTCCCAGCCAACACTCTTGGTCACGGCTTCCGAGAATTCATCTGACGCGAAGTTGTTGTCACGCAGCAACGCGTCCGTCTCCACACGCAGATCGCCCATTTCACCGAGCTGCTCAACAAGGGTACCGAAGGGATGCAGTGACGTGATAGGCCACCGTTTGATGCAGGCCACGAAGATGCGGTTGGCGTAGTCCTGATGCTTGTCGACGAAGTCGCGGGGAGCCTGCTCGGTTGGGATGGCGATAAGAGGTACGCGCTTGTCGGTAGGCTTGAACCACACGATCTTGGGTTTGTCCTGCTGTCGCTCAGATTGGCTGCGGCCGTGGTGACCACCATCTCTGCCACCGCGCTCAGCCTCTTGCTTCTCCTTGGTAGCCTGGCTGCTTGGGCGGAGAAGGCCAAGAGTGCCAGAGAACATCTGTCCGGCAACACGTTCGATGACTGCGACAACATGGCCGGCATAAAGCGGCTTGTGGTCATCGCTGATTTCTTCCTCCTCCATGAGAAGAAGGCTCTGGCCTTCAACCTCAACGTCGTCATTCTTCTTCTGCGTAGGTCGCTGTCGCAGGGAGCCACGGCGGCGAATGCTACCGTCAGGCGCTATGGATGGAGTCTCGACGGCCGAGTTGTCATTCTTGCCACCACGCTCGGAGCCACCGTGACGTGTCTCGGTGATGTCCTTGCGCTTCTTCTTCTCCTCCTTTTCGCGCTTCTGGCTCCAGACCTCATCAACATCGAGGAGCTCGATAGCAACCAGATCACCTTCGAGGGCACGATTCCGATCCTTGCTACCGCAAATAAAGATATCCGCATCGAGATCGTTGGTAGTAACATACGCATCCGATCGGTTCTTCTTATTGACACGCAGAATACCTGCGACGAGCTGGCCATCATTCAGCAGCGCAGGCAAAGTAGCCTGCGGCAGGTAAGGAGTGAACAGAGTCTTCCTTTGTTGCTGCTGTTGGAGGCCGAGCTGAGGGTTGGCACCACCAGGCATGCCTTGCAGACCGGCGTTTTGCATAGCTTGTAGCTGGGCCATTTGGAGAGCGTTGAGCTGCTGGCCCCCGAACATCTGAGGCATCATCATCTGGCCCTGAGGCATCTGCATCATGCCGGGTTGGCCAGGATACTGGAAGCCTCCAATGGATCCCATGGACTGGTTCATCGAGCCGCGCCCACGATGGCCTGGCTGGAATCCACCCTGCTGAGGCTGCTGGGCAAATTGGCCCATCGGCTGCTGTTGCTGTTGCTGATCTTGTTGTTGATTGTTCTGCTGGCGCCAATTGCCCTCGAAGTTGCGAGATCCTTGGCGAGCGTGGCCGCTCTGACTGCCACGACGTTGAATGCCTCCGTCGTTGGTACCGCTTCCACCGTCGCTGGTAGCCATGGGCGGTGGAAACTGGAAGTTGCTCTGGCCCCGACCAGCACCGCCACCGCCGCGACCAGCGGCCATGCTCTGGCTCCGGCCATGGCCCGTCACGCGAGCGTTACCTGCGCGTTGCAGGCCAAGACCACCTGAAGTGGGAGTGGACGAGGAAAGGTTGTTGTCCGAAGGAGTCATAGTCGCTGGACTGTCGACGGCACTATCACTTCCGGGTACAGGAAACTGAAATCCCGCCGTGGTTCTCTTCTTCTCGGCGAGCTCAGCAGCCTTCTTTGCCTCGGGTAGAGCAAGGGAGTGGCGGCGAGCGTGACCTCCGCCTGCGGGAGCGCCGCGACCTCTTCCAGCCCCAGAGTTCTCACGGTTTTGACCCATAGCCTGCTGATTCGCTTCGGCATATTGAGAGCCAGATGTGCCTGCCGAGGGTGCAGGTGGAGGTCCCATCGGCCCACCGGGGACGGCGGACTGGTTTCGGCGGTGCGAGGCAGGTTGGGTCGGAGCATTCATAGGCATGCCCATGCCCTGTTGTTGCATTTGGGGGAACTGAAAGTTCTGGTTGGGGGAGACGTTGGCCATGTTGTTTTGGCCTTGAACGGGTGAATATCCTGGCATGCCTTGGAGCGGCTGTTGGATCATCCCCATGTTCACATACTGCTGGTGTGTGGCAGCAATCTGTTGCTGTTGCTGCTGAAGCATTTCTATCTGCTGCTGAAGAGCAAGTTGCTCCACTATGATCCATTAGCTGCGAGGCATTGACGTCAGGGGTATATCTCGACATACTCATGAGAGGTGTGAGCTCAGATGGGCTTCTGCGATGAGCAATGTGGAGTCTGCGTCCCGCAGGCCCGGGTACGCCAGACTGCCCCTGCTGGGCCATGATGTAGTATTCTTGCTGGTTCCTTCGAGGTATCGAATCGAAAAGCTAGGTGGGGGAGAGCTATCAAACTCGGATCGAGTTGGCAGGCAGTCAAGAGAGGGCGAGAAAAGGTTGACTGTGGATGTCAGCGGTGTTTCGTGTCGATTCGCTCAAGGTGCGGAGGTGACGGATGGAATTGGGGGCCAGATAATGTAGTGTGCGGGCAGGATGTTCAACTTACGGATGACTGTTAGGCGATGGATACAGTAGAGTATGCAGACAATTGAAAGACGTGGGATATGCTGAAGGAAGGTAGATGGCAACCTTGCACCAGATAGCGACGTTTGTCTTGCCGCACAAGTAGGCGGAGACACAAGCAGCGGCTTGCGGCTGTGATGAAGATCCGACGATTAGATCAGGATGAGGAGCTCAGCTCGACGGCAGGAACGACTGCGACGATGATCGAGAACAGGCAGTCGCAGAGGCTGCTGACAGAGCGGAAGCAGCGATAGTATTGGAGTGAAAGTGGCCGACCCAGCCCTTTATGTGAGACTTGGGGTAGGGTTTGAGGGACTGGCGGAAGACGCAATGTGCAGGGAGCGTTGACAGGTGTGCGAGCACAAGAGAGAGACTCACAACGACTGCGGTTGTGTCAAGGAGTGCGAGAAGCGATGGCAAAGGGAGAGGAGGTGATGGGATGGGGTTCAAAGAGGGGAGGATGATAGATTGAGGTAAGGTGTTTGGATTTCTGGTTGTCGCTCGATCTGTTGGTTCACTGCGGTGCTGAGCAGCACAACCGCAACGCCTGTCTCTCCCTCCTACTGCTTGGCGCCCACCGCTTACCCAAATCCAGCTTGAGAGGGGTGGGGATAGGCAGTCCATCACCCACTAAAACAGAGCCCCGTGACGGGCGGGCCGAAAGGGTGCTTCGGGGGGCGATTCCTGCCTTCCCCACCATCACCACGCACCACGGGCGGCGTGCTTCAGAAGCGCCAAGCCCTGGTCGCCAGGAGGCCGCAAACTGTTCGAGATGTTCGAGACAGGTCGGATATCACAACGCCATTACTTCATACATGCTCCTACGTTCCGATCCATCCAACCTGTAGCGATATCGCTTGTGTTTGTACCACTCGTGCGGTACAGGAACCCGCTTCAGGCAACCTGATCGCCACTGTCAGTCTTTGTCTGCCGATAAGCCCGGCTTTTCTTTCTGTCAGCCTTGAGCGCGGCGTGCGCACGCGTCCATTAACACCAAGTCTCTCCAGCTTCTCCAAATTCGGCTATCTTATTCGATACTGGCTTCCACCAGATTGCTCAATCATCGATCCATCAGAAACCATTTGTACCGTCTTTTGCAGGACATCTGAGGCCACTTTCGTCTCGTATCTCCTGTCAAGTCGGCGGACCTGGTGAGCGGCTGACGGCGTCACGTGATATCAAAGCAAATGGCCAGGGGCGTGTCGCCAATCCTGAGCCGCAGTATTCACGAGTCCCCTGGATTTCGCAGCAGTCCCGGAAGAAATGACAGCCCCTCACGGCAGCTGCTGCCAGAACTTGATTTCTACAAGAAACTCGCCAAACTCAATTTGCACGATGCTGAGCAGCAGAAGGTTTATTATGCCCAGAAATGCGCGTTCCAGGACGAGTTAGATGCACGCGAGGAGGCTGCAGCGACAGCTCATGAGTCCGAGATTGCTAGTTCGAAGGCGCAACGAGAACAAGTTAGGCAACAGGCCGAAGCTGCTCTTCAAGCTCACATTCGTGAAGAGCAACGGCTGGCGGAAGCAAATCGTCGTCGTCAAGAGGAGGAAGACGCTCGACGAAAAGCTGAAGCAGAGCGCCGTGCCAGGGAAGAAGAAGAGCGCAAAGTCCGAGAGCGGACCGAGCAAGAGGAAGCCGCTAAGCGCGCTGAAGCTGAGAAGGCCAGACAGGAGCAAGAACGCCAGAAAAGGAGAGCCGAGGAGGCTCAACGACTAGAGAGCGAACGGCAGGAACAGGAACGACAGAAAGCTGAAGCCGAGGCTGAAAGCGAAGCACGAGCAGCAAAGCAGCGTTCAGAGGAAGCGAAGAAGGCGGCCACTCCAGCATTAGCAACCACTCCTACCCCAACTCAACCATCAACGGGCTCAACTTCAGCAGCACCAGCAGACATCGAACAAGAGCACAAAAACTATCTGGTCATCCACAAGCGTCTCAAGAAGTTCCGCGTCGACTTTGTGGAATCCTGTAAATCGAACAAGCCCTTCAGAGCCCAGGTGGGCGAAATGCGCCGTGGTGTTCGTGTTGCAGTTGGCCAACTACGACTCGATGGCGTAGAGTCCAACAAAGTCGCAGTAAGACGGTTCCCATCTCCATCTCTCTGCGGCCGTCTCTAACACATTACAGATGCAAAAAGTCTGGAACATCCTCGGTACGACCCTCAGAGACACCACCTCGCCAAGAGTCCCAGTCAACGACTACCTACCGGCACACCACGCCCTGCCCGACAACTCCACGACGCTACCCGCCCTAACAATCTACATCCTCTCCATCCTCGCCAAAGCCGTCATCAACGTCTCCATTACCTCCTGCATCGACAACCCCAAAGCCGGCGAAGCCCCCGGCGTCTTGACCGCGCAAATCTTCGCCCATCCAGATCTCTCCTTCGCCCGACCCACCGCCCCGACACGCGTGTCCCTCATCAGCATCCTTCTCTGCAAGTACCACGCCGCGGCCCCCCAGCTCTTCGGCATCAACGGCTCCGAGACGCACGAACGCGCGCGCATCGGCTGGCGCGCCGAGCCGCACGGCAGCGACGGCCGCAAGGCCTACGTGATGGAGCAGACGCAGTACGACCGCCTCGTGGGGCTCGCCGCCAGCTACGCCGCCGTGAGCCTCCGCAACTTCAGCCGCGCCAAGAACAACAACCCCTACCCGCCGCGCCACTTCTGGGCCTCGCTCGCGCACCTGGTCAACACGCCGCCCGAGCACGTGCAGGTTAGCCAGCTGATCCTGCTCAAGTCGCTGCTGGAGAACAGCGTGGAGCGCGTCGTGCAGTTCTTCGGCGCCACGGGCATCGCGGCGCTGAGGCAGGCGTTGGTGGTGCTGCCGAGCAATCTGCCCGAAGCGCTGCGCGGGCATTCAACCGTGAAAGCGCTGGAAATCATGCGGGAGCGGTGGGCTAAGGATTTGAAATTCCATTTGGTATGAGCCCCTAACCCCGGCGTTGATGACTACGATGTGGACAAAAGGAATGACTATGGCTATGTTATGGCTGGCTGGGTTTTAGGAGAGGATTCTGGAATTCTTTTTCGTTCCTTTGGCAGTGACTTTTTACATTGGAAGCTCTGCTTTACATATGGCGAAGAACTATAGAGATGGTCGTGCCGGCGCGGGGGGAGGCCGCCCTCATGCCGACCATGTCTAGAAAAGGGCCAGCTACACTCCCTAAGAGAGAAATACACTGAAATGTTCGTTACTGCTGCCTTCGTCTCGTTTCCACGTCTTGACATAAAACACATCAACAAGTAAAAGACGCGTCATCTCATCTCAAATCGTCATCTCAGAACTCCTGTCTCGATAAAACGTGCGAAGTCTTCAAAGTGAAAGACTGGTCATCGCAATGCCTGCAACGCGAGGCGATGCTGATCGGGAGCCATATGGAGGGTAGTGGTGCAACCATGCAAGCTCACGTCAGTTGTGGTCTGTGGCGGTGGTAATGGCCGAGGATCCGCCCGGCAGGGTAGTGGCGTCGGCGGAGGGGGTTATGCTGTGTCATGCCAGGGTCGCTTTCTGCAACAACAAGAACAGGAAGAAGGTCCTGTAACAGCGCAAATTGCTAGGGTTGCCCTTAATAGTGTGGTTGACTCGGCGATGATGAGGGTTGTGGGTTGGGTGCCTCCTCAAAGGCAAGATCATGTCGCCACTTGCTCAGGCTGAGTAGACGTTGGACGCCGAGACGGTAGAGGCGCCCGCCGTTTTGGCATAACGGTCGCCATATCGCGATTCGAAGTGATTCCAGGCCCTGTTCCTAGTTCTCACTTCCCTCATGTAATGTTCCTGATCCTGATTCGGCGGGGTGAAGGCAGGATCGGCCTTGTCACCTCCATAGACAAACTTCAGGACCACGGCGCCCATAATGACGACGAAGCCTGCAACCAGAATGGCGATGATGATGACAACGGAATCTGAAAGACCCATGGCGACAGTGATGAACTAAATTGGAGGGTCGAGGATCTGGGTGGGTCCGCCTCGGTTGCGCAACGCAGGCCGAGAACACGCGAATGTCGGTATGATATAAAGGCAGGAACGTCGCAGTGTGGAGAGGTCGCAGGCGATGAGAGATGTCGACTGAAGCGAACGTAGATGATAAAATCGATTTAGCGATAGCGAAGGGGTAAATTTTACATTGAAGGAGAAGCCAGACGGCAGCGCGCCCTGCGTTGGGGATGCCTGCGGGATATAGGAAAACACGAACAAAGGGCTGTGCAACGGCACCCACGGAACTCACCAGGCGGTGGATTTTCACAAAAAGTGTCAGCCAACCCACGGCGCGCACGGACGCGACGAAGGTTTGGGCAGCGAATGGGGTGGTCGTGAGCCAGCAGTAAGCATGCCAAAGTGTCTCGGATGGCTCGAGGAATTCATGCGCCCGAAAAGGGCGACGCACCCCTGCCCGCAGTTATTCTCAGGCATAAAAAGCTTGACCCCCGTCTGAACTAGCACCGAAAAGGCACCTAAGGCGAACAGGCGAATCGAAGAGCAGAGAAAGGAGGTTGGTATGACACAGCATGCTGCAGCCGGGACGGGCGCAATACGAGCGAGGGCTGGTCATGGCGGGAGGTTGGAGGCGCGACAGGCTGGTGACTGGGTGGCCTGGGGCGTTCCTGCCGGTGTCATTCGGATCAACGTAAAATACCGTGGTTATGCAAACACGACTTCTCCCGTCACGGGCCCCAGGCTCCAGTTTTTCAGGCTGCGGTGGCAGTCATGACTTCGTGGACGACACAGCCCCAACGCCCCGGCTCTCTCCTGGAATCCACTCAGCAGCTACAAACTCGGCTCGTCTTGGCCACCATGAACATGGACAACATCAAAGATGATCCTGAGCGCGTCTTGTCCTGGGTTCCTTCAAGCCCCGACATCGACAAGGGGAACCATCAATCTTGCAGTCTGTGTCCTCTGACAGAAATCTCATTGCGCAGCACCTGGATGTTGCTTACTTCTCGCTTGATCGACCGATGTCCGCAGGACCCGATGGAGCCAGACGCGTAAGAGCTCGATATAACATCAGTCGACGTGGATGCAAAACGTGCAAGTGAGTGAGCCCTCCTAGCTTCGCAGCATGTTGTCTGCCTTGTTTCCCCTGCCGAGACATCCTGCCAACGCTTGACTCCCATGCACAGCCCCCTCTTCAATCTCTGATACTATACGTGTGGAGTCTAGCCGTTGGCATTTGTGCTGCCACTCTGCAACTGCCCAGCTGCATAACTAACATTCACAGAACCCGTCGGATAAGATGCGACGAAGCGCAGCCGTTCTGTCGCAATTGCCAGTCCACCGGTCGAACGTGTGAAGGCGTAGCCGAAGCCAAGTTCTTCTTCGTTGCTACTCCTCCCAACACCCGCGCCCTTCCGGATCGCTCGCACACAGCATCCCCTACTTTCTCACTCGCTTCGCCAAAGCATCCCGAAGAGCTGCGCTCCTTCCATATCTTCTTTGTCAGGGCCGCTCCCCTCTTTTCTACTGGTGCCCTCGATGCCGGCTTCTGGAAGGACACTATCCCCCGCTTGTCTCAGTCTATGCTCTTTGCATGGGATGCTGCCATTTCGATAGGACTACTCTTCGAGAATCCCGTCTACCGTGTGGCCCTCCCAGGATGGCAGAACCACCAGCTCGAACCTCAGCAGCTTCGTGCGCTCCAGTGGTATACACGATCAGTGTCGCGACTCTCGCAGCACATGGACAGCAACCCATCAGATGAAATGCTTGCGCTCCTGTCATGTGCACTGTTCACTGCCTGCGAGTTCCAGCAGGGCGATAGCTCCGGTGGTTTCGCACTCCTAGACCGTGGTCTGAGACTTCTCATGGTCTACCTCTCTCCGGCGCGTTTGCGTAGCCCAGTCTCCGATACGACCTCTCTACTCGAAGCCTCCGTGGTTCCCTTCTTCACCCGTCATGCTATGTTCATGGCGCTAAGCGGTCTTCCGCTCCTGTACGACTTCACAAGTATTGCTGCACAGCCCAGGACGAGGCCCCTGACCGCACGATTTTCTGAAGAGTGGGCCACACTGGATGCCATTCCCCAGGCCCTTTTTGATCTGATATACCGCAGCAATGAGCTTTGCCGTGCGGCAAGACTTGTTGTCCATCAGCCGTATGAGCTTTCGCGGATCGGGACGCTGCAGCCCCCTCTCCTCAACGCGCTCAACGCCTGGCGTGAGCGCCTGGCCCAATTCTCAAGAACCGCAGCATCACCAGAAGATGCCTCGAAAGTTTCGTACTTGCGATTGTACCACCTTGTTGCCACGATACTGGCCTCTACATGTCTTTCTCCAACCCAGGTATCACTGGATGCCCACTTCACCGATTTTGGTGTCATCGTTGACCTCGCAGTCGAGATACTGGCCAGCAATGGCAGACCATTGCCGCCATTCGAAAATGGTGTCGGTCCTCCTTTGTTCTTTGTTGCGACCCATTGTCGAGACCCTGTCCTTCGCCGGAAAGCCCTCAAGCTACTCCATTCCGTGCCTCGGCCCACAGCTCCATCGACTTGGACGATACTGCCTGTCACGCAAATCGCCGAACAGGCCATCTCTTTCGAGGAAGGAGGTACGACACCGAGGCACGCCAGCGATGTCCCGGAGCTGAGACGGGTCCACCATGCCCAGTGCTTTCTCCGACCACGACCGCTGGCGCGAGGTGGTGGGAGGGAGCTCGCCTTGAAACTAATCACATACAGCGAGTCTAGGGACCTGGTGGAACACATCGTGGATTTACCAGACTACGACCAGAACGACTTCCAACACATGGGTTCTCACGAGATTCCCCTCGCAAGCCAATACGCGCTGCAACCGACCAAACCCTTCGCTGCAATCGCTGCCCCATAACTATAGCCCTTCCATCCACCCAAGACCCATGTCGTGCCGTTTGGGTCATTCCATAATGTCGCCTGCAGCCCCAGTGGCGAAGAGGGCATGGCTCCTTCACGCATCAGCTCCAGTGCCTTGTAACACAACATATTACACCACCAGCTCCTGTAGAGGGGGGGGGGGGGTGTGAATGATGCTCCCTCCTCACCACTTTTCGACTCAGCAAACCCCAAGTCCAAGCGCGCTGTTTGCCTCTCCTCGTGCCCAAGTATGATGGCTCAATCTATACTTTCCATCCACCACCGCAGCCGTTTTCAAACCGCAACATAGCTGATGGGATCACCTCATGTGGCGCTTCCTCGATCGTTCGCCGTCTTGCATTTATCGTGGTTCCTGGCGTGGTAGGGTGGGGGGGGGGGTTGATTCGATATATATATATATATGTGTATCACGCCAAGAGCGCAGATATCATATAGGATAGAAACCAGCACTTGCGTAAGCTTCTGTCGATTTGAACCCCAGTTCGATTCGATTCCGTGGCATCGTAGGCGACAGCATTATCTAGGCGCGTGCCCCTCTGCAGAAACTGCAATGATCACTCCCCTCCACCCCTCCCTACCTGCTTAGTTAGATTAGACCGTCATCCCATCCAACTCCCGGCGAAAGACCTCAAAGTTCTCCGTGCCCGCCCCCAGCACGGCGAAGACGACCTCCTCCCACCACCCACCAAACTCGCGCTCTCCCAGAACACCCCGCCACAGCGCCGCGACCTCCCAGCTGGGATTCCAGAAGGCGCCGCAGCCCAAGGCGCCCAGCACGATGCGGCGGTGCCCCCCTCGCGCGCCCACGCGCAGCACACCGCGCATCTTGTCCTTCATCAGCTCACGATCGCGGGTTCGTGCGTAGGTGTATTTCTGGGATTTGCCGCCGCCGGAGCTGGGCACGAGGGTGAGGTCGGGCCGACACACGGCGGCGACGCTGACGGCGCTGACGACAGGGAGACGAGAAGGGTCGCGCAGGTCGAGGAGGGCGTGGCCGACGGACATGCTCTCGCGGATCACCAGCACGGCGGGCGAGTAGATGGCGGCGCGGTCGGGGATGGGGTAGTGGCGGATCTTGAGGGTGAAGAAGAGGGAGGAGCGGTAGCACAGCGCCTCTTCCTGCGCGAGAGCGCCGTGCTTGAATCCGCCGCCGGCGTGCGAGGCGTTGGCCATGTTGAGGACGAGGACTGGGTTGGTGCTTGTCGTAGATTGGGGAGGGGCGAGTGCGAGGGCTGCATCGATGGTGTCGGCATCGATGACACGGACGGTGATGGGCGCGAGGTGGGGGTGGTCGTCTTGCTTGGGATCGAGGGGACCCAGGAGCGTCTGTGGTAAGAGGTGTCCTGCTGTCCCGACGTCAGGACGAGTGGCAAGGAGTCCGGGTAGGAGCGAGATGGTTTCGGCGGCGGTTTCCGCAAGAGTCAGACGGCGGGCATCGGAGCGCGGAGTAGGGTTGACAAGGGGCTGTTTGGTAGCGAGCTGTCCGCTAGAGGTAAAGGAGAGGAGCGTCTGTCGGTGCTTCTTGTCGGTGGTGGATTTAGAGGCGTCATCATCGTCGGCTGGCCTGGGCTTGTCGCTCGACCTTGAAGGCGCGAAGAAACGGGATGTCTCGGTCTCCTTTGGCGGGTTGGATCGAGGAGGGGTCGTCATGTTCGCTCGTCTCCCCGGGTAGAGGTTGGTGTTGCTTTTCGAAGGATCCATGGCGGTCATATGTGGCGGAGGTTCTCCATCCGGGTCCGAGGAACGCGATCGGAACAAGGACGAGTATGCTGAGGATGAGGGTGTCAGAAGCAGCCTCTTTGAATAATTTCCACATTTTGAACCCAACCGTGACAAGGGCAGGAACAGTCACTCACCTGAAATTCACTTCTGCCGCGATCCGTATTACTCTTTCGTAAATTGCCCTGAACTGCCCCTCAAGCATGAGTCTTGACGTAGACACCACAGGAGTTGCAGCCTGGTGAAGAGTGGGGCACCCATCAAGATCAGGTATGTGGCTTGAAATGCAGCTGGTACTGTAGAGATTCCCGCCAGTGTGGGCGAAAAGCGAATACATTAATTACACTGTCCTGTATTTTTGAGTGCTCGGTGGCACTGCTACTCATGGCCTTGGGCCAGTACTCAGTTTAGTCTCAATGTCACTCTTCCGTCACCTTGATGCTTCTATTTACCCATCACAGCCTTCATCACCTTGCTCGCATGTCCGTCTCCAGTCTTGTGCACATTGCTGGACGTAGTTGTGTCACCGACCGTGCCCTGCTCGCGCTCCAAGCTTTCGATCTTCCGCCTCTCTTTCTCGGCTGCGACAACTCCCATCTCGCCAAAGCCATACCACGCAACGACGCAGCAGCCGAGCACGCCAGCAATGCAACTGAAGACCAGCGCAACAATGCCACGAGCAGTAAAGCCTGAGGGTAGGGGAGCCCCTTGCTTGTTCTCACCCTCCAGATTGAGCCACTCGTCTTCCGACACATCTCTAAGTCCGAGCACTACTTGTTCGGTAGACACGGCGCCTCTTCCGGCAGCATTGCCCACGTATGGCATTGCCGGCGAATTGGCATTACAGGCGTCGAAGTGATCCTGCGGGATGGTGTTGGCTGCAGAGACGTTGGCACGGAATTGCTCAGGTGCCTCGACAAAGGTCATGATCAGTCCGCTGTCAACGTGCCACTCGATATGGCAGTGGAAGATCCAGACGCCGGGATTGTCGGCTCTGAATCGCAGTACCATGTGACCGTTTGGCCGGATCAGCACCGTGTCACGGCGCATGGGCGTGGTGGGGAAGTCCTGGTCGGTCACGTTATTCGGATCATAGTCACCAGCTTCCTCTTCGGAGCGAATGATGGTCTGGAAGACATGACCGTGCAGATGGAACGGATGCTTGCCGGGATCGTGGTTGTTGACAATGATGTCGACCGACGCCATATGCGGCAAGACGAAGGTATTCGTATTTGAGCCGTAGATGGTTGGGTTGGAGAGCAACGAAGGTGGGGCCGACAGGACCGTGTACAGAGTTGGCACCACAGGCGCAACCCAAGTGATGTTGTTGAAGAAGGCATAGTTGGCACCGTCTTTCAAGTTGTCCATCTTGACATCAAGCTGAACGGTGAGATCGGGCTCTTCAAAAAGGTCTAGCTGGTCGTAGGGCACCAGACCGAAGTCATCGAAGGGATCAAAGTCGTCGATGAGTGCGGGCTCTGGTAGGCTTGCAGCCGAATCATAGACCAGGTACGATGTAACATTGGGGTTGAGTCCGTCTGGAATAGCGTCAAAAAGGTCTGTGTCCATGGAGCCAACGATGGCAAAGTTCTCGTCCGTGCTGTTCTTGGTAGTGACCAGGATGCCATAGCGCTGAGCTGCCGTAACGTAGATCCGCTCTGCCTCGGCGGGTTCAGTGTAGATTCCATCGACCTCGATGATCTTGAAAGTGTGACCCTCGATCCAAAAGTACTGTGCGGCGAACGCAGCCACGTTGATGATGCGCAAGAAGTACGTCTTATTCGGCTCCACGGGAATGGTGAGGTTTTGGGTATCGTTCATCAGAGCTGACTGAGGGACTGGCTCTGCTCCTGTGGGATTCGTCACAGACAAGAAGGATGAGATCAGGCCGGGCATCAGGTCGTGATACCAGTCTGAAAGCGTAAGGACGAATTCGTCGTCGTACTGGTCTTTGAAGGGGCTGTCGGGATCATGCACGATCAACGGACCGCGTAAGCCATCTGGGTATTGGCCATCGACATGCGAGTGGTACCAGTATGTGCCCGGCTGATTGACCGTGAAATTATATGTGAAGCTTGATCCTGGGGGTATGGGGCACTGCGAGATCCGGGAGGCGCCATCCATGTGTGAAGTGCCGTTTTGGTAGAGGTCGTGGAAGTGCAGCGACTCGGACCGGTTGCCTAGACTGTTCTTCGCATTGACGATGACGGTATCGCCCACATTGGCCTCGATGCGCGGAATTGGCCATTGTCCGTTGATGCCGATGATTGGGCGAGTAAACTGGCCATCTGGATTGCCCTCAACCCATCCTATGTCAAAGTCATAGGTCCGAGTTTCGGCAGCAGCAAGAGAGACAAAGACAAGTAATGAGTAGAGGAAATTGGACAGGGAAAGAGCCATGTTGAGGTTGCTGGAGGGAGAGAGTAGATTCGGGACAAGGATAAGATAAGATCTTGAAATGGACGACAATAAGAGGATATCGAGCTGTGGCCGACTTGCCCGCTGGATGAGCGTGGTGGAGCTGTGGAGGGGTCCAGCTCTGGCCTAGACTGTCAGAGGAGCTCAGACAGTCTCCGATCCTGTGCCGAGTAGCGAGGAGGGAGCAATGATCTGGTGATTGATAAGATAGAAAATCCCGCAGGAATCGCTTCGCTTTACCGGATTAACCTGGGTGGCTGCATGGTGCGACCGTGGACTGTAGGGGTCAAGTGGCACGCGGACACGCATAGACTGTGGTGCGGGAAGAAGCCAGCCAGATAACTTACCGGTGCCCACACAGGGACTGATCAAGACCAGCATTCACGAGCTTGAAGGAGCTTGGCCAAAGCATAGCAGATATCCACATACCGCTCAGTAGCGACGAGAAGCGGGACGGCCATTCCGGCTAGTGGTGCCAACAAAGTCAATGTCAGGGCGGCGATGTTGCCGGAGTGTCAATGCCCTTGAAGCGCACATGGGTGCAGTGGTCTGACTGGGGAGGTAGGGAGACGGTCAGCCCTCGGCGCCTCGCCAGCTTCATCTGATAAAATTTTATCAAGCCCCTCCAAATCCCAGATCTAGGCCCAATCAGATCCGAGATCCCGCGCCCCTGGCCCCGCCAGCATTCGGAAAGCTGCGATGCCAGTGTCGGTGAGCTCGTGTCAGCGTGAGCCTCTACATGTGAGATTAACATATCGCAGCTGTCTGTTGCTTCAGACTCATAGTGAGATGCAAAGGAACCCGAAATGTATGCTCAGAGCAAGTTCTGAAGCTCGCCTGCCCAGGTCGACTCGCTCCAAGCTTCGCCAACACCCAGGCGAAAGACCAAGCTTCACCCGAAGGTGCTTGTGTCCGAGTCGATGGTGGAGACTTTTGGACCCTCCTCCGTACATCCACGCTGCCTCTGCGCGCAGGGTCGATCGCTAAAAGACAAATCTAGAGCTGGGCGGCTTCCAATCAGTGGTGCAGGCGGTCGCGACTAGACGGCATTCCACTCCGAATTTCCGCCTGTCCAGAAGCGAGGTCTCTGCCACAGACATCTTGATCATACCACGAAAAGCCCAACGACATCGGACCCGTTGACCAACTTTGAGACATTTTGTTCAAGCCACTCACCATTAGTCTCGTGTGCCGGCTGCATGGACCCCTGGCACCGTGATTGAGAAGAACAGTCCCACCCAAGGTTATCAGATCTTTTCTTCTTCATCTTATCATATCTCTCTCAGGTTGGTCTGCATTCACTGCCTCTCATCAGAGGTACAAGCAGCATATTCTTCTTGATTCAAACTCCCTAGTCCGTTGTTCAAGTGGCCTCTCCAGGTCCCCAGTCGCCCAACATGCCCAACGTCTTTGCGCCCCAGGTCTTCTTTATCGTGTTCCGCGAGACGCTTGAGACCAGCATCGTTGTCTCCGTGTTGCTCTCCTTTGTCAAGCAGCAACTGGGCAACGATCAGGACAAATCAGTGTATCGGAAGCTGAGAAACCAAGTATGTCGTCCCTCCCTTTGTGCAGTCGTGCCGATGTCCTGACAATGCTGCAGATATGGGCAGGCACTCTGACCGGCTTCGTCTTGTGTTTGGTCATCGGCTGCGCCCTCATCGGCGTCTTCTACGGCCTCGGCAAGGACAACTGGGGCTCCATCGAGAAGATATGGGAAGGCGTTTTCGCCATCGTGGCCGCGCTCATCATCACCGTCATGGGCGCCGCACTGCTCCGCATCTCCAAGATGCAGGCCAAGTGGCGCCTGAAGCTGGCCAAAGCCCTCGAGGCCAAATCCAGCAGCCTGCTCCACCAATCCGACCGAGGCCACGCCAGCCTAAAGAACAAGCTCAGGCTCTGGACCGAGAAATATGCCTTGTTCGTGCTCCCATTCATCACCATCCTCCGCGAAGGTCTGGAGGCCATCGTCTTCATCGGCGGCGTCAGTCTCGGCCTGCCAGCCTCGGCCATTCCGCTGGCCACCGTCTGCGGTCTGCTGGCCGGCTGTGTCGTCGGCCTCGTCATCTACAAGTTCGGCAACATGGCACCACTGCAACTCTTCCTCATCATCTCCACCTGCTTTCTGTACCTGGTCGCTGCCGGCCTGTTCTCACGGGGCGTCTGGTACCTCGAGGCCAACGCCTGGAATAAGGCCACGGGCGGCGATGCGTCGGAGAACGGCTCCGGCCCCGGAAGCTACGACATCAGGCAGAGCGTGTGGCATGTCAATTGCTGGTGAGTCCATCGTCCCCTCCCTCCAAACTTACGCTCCGCAGCCCAATGTGACTGACACAGCTGTCCCCCACAGCAACCCAGACTTCAACGGCGGTGGCGGCTGGGGCATCTTCAACGCCCTCCTAGGCTGGCAAAACAGCGCCACCTACGGCAGCGTCATCAGCTACAACCTGTACTGGATCTGCGTCATGGCCGGCTTCCTCCTGCTCAGATGGCAGGAGAGGCGAGGCCACAAGGCCTCCTCCGGTAGTGGTGAAGTCGAGAACGGCGCCCCGGTCCTGCACAGAAAGGGAAGCGGAAGTGATCAGGCCAGCAGCCAAGAGGCGGCGGTTGTCGACGAGAAGGTCACTGGACACAGCAAGGCGACGGCGCTGCCGGAGGTCAGTCCGGCTTGAGGTTCAGTCGCTGCCGGCATGGACGGTAAGTAGGTAGGAGATCACGGGCCATTTATCGCGGCGATCAGAGGAGTGCATACAGTAGAAGTGGTGGCATTTGAAATCAAATGACTGCTATTGGTGGGATCAACAGCCTCGCCTGATGCGCAGGACTGCTCCTTGCAATGTTTCCATTGGGCAGAGATGCACCGTAGAGTATGGTAGAGTATCTAGGCTACCCTATTGTCACCTGCATCTACTTCATCTCGGTAGAGGGCTGCCAAAGCCTGCCATATGGGCAACTGATGCATGGTCCAGCATATATCTCAGAACAAGCCTCTTTTGAGCCTGAACTGTGACATCCAACGTCTCTCATCGGCCTGCCTTTCCAGCGCTTTACGCATCGTCTTCGAATATTCCTCGGCCTTCTGCCGATCTTCCTCGTCGCCAAGATCGAAGTTGTCTACTGCTTTGACCAGCTCCGCGTGATCCATGTATTCAGGCTTCGTACTGACAATGCCGAGCTTGTCGCCTGTGTATATGAGCAAGTCGCCGTTACCTGACTTGCCACGGCCAGAGTCCGCGCCTCCTAGGGGGACGATTTTGCGCGCAACCAGTTCGCCGCTGGCACTGAAGCCACGCTCGTTGTACACAAACGAGTTGATATTCCACCGTCTTGCCAGACCTCGGCCATCTCGCTCAACCCATTTCAACCCACCTTCTGCATCAGAGAAGACGATTCTCGTACCTTGCGTAGCGACAGAGAGAAGTTTTGCGCTCGAAGCCTCCTGACGGTTCTTGTAGCTGAACGGGTAATTCTGTTCGTGTGAATCAAGCGCGAAGTCCCGGTCAGCAGCCCCTAGCTCGGGAGAAGAGTCTCCAAGCCCATAGTCGCCGGAGGTCTGTTTCTTCTCGCGGTTATCGTGTGGCAGAGAGTAAAGCTCCAATGAACCACGGCCTCCGTATTCGCCACAGGCAACTAGAGTGGCTTCAGCATTTGTGCTCCGTGCAGCCTTTGGTGCATATGGGATCGTGGTCATTGATGACAGCCGAGCACCCGAGTGCATGACATATTGCAACCGTGGGAAGTAGCGGCGGTCGTAAGAGAGTATACTAGGGAATCTGCCAGCTACAAGGATCTCGTTCGCTCCATGGTGCAATATGGAAAGCGGTCCTGGCTCGACATGGGCATAGTCTGATAGTTCAACTCTTCCACGCGTACTGTGAGCTGGTAATAAGGAAGGCGCTGTCGCCAATTGAGCCGCGGTAGGTGCTGGGCCGGTCGGGAGACGTCGGTAGGTCGGCGACTTGTCCTTAGTATAGTTTGGCAGAAACGCGATGCTATCTTCCGGCTCGCCCGGGGCCGACCGCATGAGATCCTCTGGTGACCGTGAACGATCCCTCGGAGCCACTCTAGGATCGTAGAGATGTAGGCTCCAGGTGGTACCAATCGACAGGGGTAGTTCACCGGCCCCTTGTTGGGACACAGCCGTTATATTCCAGGCGTACGATTCCTGAGAAATGACCTCAAGTGTCCCGAGGTCGACCTCGTTCAGTGTTCGATCGACCGCGATATAAGCTCGGTTGTGGAGGGAATCAAGGTTGACACATTCGACGACACCGGAGAAGGAAGGCCGCGGCGGGCTTGAGGATGAGGGGCCACTCCCCAAAGATTGGAAAAGGACGCCGGGAGCGCTTTGTGCAACCTGGCGGAATCTCCTGCCTGAGGGCAATTGCTCACGGATATCCCAAATGGCAACGCTACCATCTTCGCGACACCCGATCGCTTGGTTACCAGATTCGTCCACAGCCACGCCGCAAATTTCGCTGTCTGGGTGAATCGACGTCTCGCTCCAGACAGTATGCAATGGCGCATTTCTTGCAATGAAATCGGAATACCAATCCACTTCTTCCCCGACTCCAGACTGATCCCACCGTGCGACTCGCCTTGCACGTTTGCTGGCTCCCGCGAAAGCTTCGGTGTTCCGTGCATCTGGGGCACGGGCTGGCTCAGAAAGTGAGAGACCTCCAAGAGCACCGGTAAGGTCTGCCAGAGCTCCCGCACGGCTGGCGATGACGGCCGACGCGCTTGGGGCTTTTTCGAAGCACTTGTTGCGCCATAACGAGTTATCGCGTGCGAGTGTCAGAAGACGACGAGACACGAGTTGAAGAGACACTAGATCGACGGAGTCGAGGAAATCCAGGATATATGCCCAGACTTCGTCTGGTAGATTGGCTTTCGAGGTCATTGCGGTAGGTGTCAGACCGAGTTGGAGCAATTGACGGTTCGGGAGCGAGTCTTAAGAAGGGTGTCTACGTGGTGACATAGCACAAAGGTACAATGGTGTGATGGCTAGAGGCTCATAGTGATGGACTTGAAGTCGATACGTGGTCAGGAAGTGGACGAGTCGGAGGGGCGAGGTCAACCCCACCAGCCCTAAAGAGTGCCATGTGCTCTGAGGTGCCTGAACACAGTAGCGACCTCGGAAAGTGGCCCCCAGAGGCAGCCGGGGGGCCGCAATTGTATGCCAAGCTTCGATGACGAAACTTGACTGCATCTTCACGTCGGACCAGCTCGACAACTGGTTGCTTGTCCTTCCATCGACTGTACAATTCTGAAAAATTCTGCGACAGCGCTCCTTCGATTGAACCCTGTTGAGTTCTGCACTGGCAGGCGCACGTTTCTTGTTGTGGAAAGACCATGGCGCCTCCAGCGGCCACTGCCAAACGTGGCCCAAGCGTGCTGGTAAGTTTCATTCATCATAGCCCTATTCATAATGGAAGTAGGTATTGAAGCTCAACTATTACAGGTCAGAGATCCCAGCGAAGCGCGACCAGGCGCTCCTCGGCGACAAACATCACGCTTCGTAACTGTGGACAGCGTTCTTTATAATGCCTCCGACATACCTTCAGCGCAGCGACGCATGCCGGAAAGACCACGAGTATACCGCACCGGATCTGGTAGACCCGCGGACCCAAGACTGACTGGTCGATGGGCTCCACCTCATATCCCATCACGAACCACCAAGACATCGGAGAAGCTGGTCCTACTTCCTGAGACGCTCGAAGAGGAAGATGAGAAAGGCGAATTTGGGAAAGACACAGAAGCCGGGCCTCCAAAAGATGACGAGGAGTACCGTCGGCCAGGCAGGGACAACGTCAAAAGCTACGCGGAAAGGCTGCCCAAAGCTCGAAGAACAGAGAAGGAGCTGCCTCGAGTGACGGCATACTGCACAGCCCAGGCATATCGGCTACAAAGCACAGCAACTTTCGTCAGACAAAGGCATAGCGCTCGTTCCAAGCTCTACGACGACTGCCTCTACTGCGCGTACCATCTACCACTTCTGCCAGGCATAGAAGGATACCGCCTCCGAAGCAGCCCACCTTTCAAAAGTGCTAAAGGCGTCAATTTATTGGACGAGGCAATCGAGAGGAGTGAGCAAAGAGACTGGCGTGGCTCCTACTATGAAGAAGAAGAGCACTCGGTCCGCGGCAACGAGGGGCATGAGGCACTCGACGCTGAAGGGCGGCCTCTGACCAACGGTCACCGCCGAGGCAGCAACCAGTCAAACTCGTCCAATCGATCGGCGAGCCCGGGACCCAACGCTTCAGCCGACGCATACCGCTTTGCCGAAATGTTCGTCCTTGGTTACGGTGTCGTCGTTTTCTGGAACTTTACCGAACGGCAGGAAAAGGACGTATTGGCTGATCTAACCTTCTCAACCATCATCGACCCGAAGACCAATCTAGCAACTCCAGCCACTCTGGTCACCAATCCTCTCGATGAGGAGGACTTTGAGACTGAAGAGTTTCACTTTGAATACAACAACGAAATACTTCGGCCACGAGTATACAACGACATGATCACACTGCGTACCGGCGACCACATGATCAAGCTTGCCATCAGTCATGCAATTGCCCAAAGCACAAAGCTGAGTTTCTTTGAGGAGACAATGGCAACTCAAATGGAGGATGCCAAAGATGTGCCAGGGCGGCTTGCAAAGACCGGGGAGTTGGGGATGAAGCGAGAAGAGGTGATCAAGCTCTTAGGAGGATTGTTCCGAAGTCGAGTCGATGTGAATCTGTGTAAGTTGCTTGTTTCCTAAGCGTCGGCGGGGCTGACCATGCTGACCGTGCATTAGCGTCCAACGTGCTGGACATCCCTAATTTTTTGTGGGACAGCGAACCGACGCTCCAGCCATTGTACACTGCAGTCCGGGAATACTTGGAGATCAAGCCACGAATACAGGTCCTCAACGAGCGGTGTAAGGTCTTCCTGGACCTGGCTGAGGTCCTTTCGGACTTTGTATCCGACGATAAGATGTCACGGATCACATGGATCATCATTGTACTGATCGCCATTTCAATTCTGGTGACATGTTCGGAGGTGTTTTTGCGGTTTGGACTACTGAGTAGCACGCGAGGCAATGCTGCAGCGGGTAAGGCGCTGGAGGCAGCTCGGACACTGCCGATGATCACTGACCTCGGTTGACGAAATCAAGTGGGCCTCAGTGATGTTGCATTCACTATCAAGCGATCCAGCGATTCAGCACCGGCGCAAGGGGGACTCGGATAGGTACAGAATCTCGCGGATACTCCGTAGTCTTGTCGTCTCAACACTGCGATATCCTCCCAAGGCGGCTATTGCGGGACCTTATTTTACTGCATCCGGGCAGCGGATGTGGTGGCTGGCGGTGCTTCGATGCCCGCTCTAGAAGATGTGGGTAGAGCTGTATGATAACGGTGTGGACCAATTATAGAGGGGCACGGAGGCCTCCGATGCAGGGCTAAGCATGGCCACTAAGACCTGCTGCATTCGATTTGTTCGGGGGTTTTGATTTCTCGTAATTGCTGCCACTCCAGAACCTAGATCACGCACATCATCCGCCTAGAGCCGCACGTTGGATCTGGGGAAAGCCACACACGCCCACAGCGCCGTCTTGTGTGAATCCGCCGCAAGATGAGGAGAACAAGCACAAATCTGGGGAGAGAAGCGCCAAGCAGCCTCGGTTGTTCGTCCGCACCCACATATTATGAGAAACCTTTGGCTCCAGGCAGTGTAAAAAAACTTATCATTTGAATATTGCCACCACCTCATATCATTGTCTACGGTCGATGGCCCGGCACAGCAAGACTACCAGAGCTCGGCATGCGCGAGGACCGCGTGCCGCTTATCAGTTAAGCGAATCGCTGAGGAGGTTCGGCGATCGTTGCAATACCAATGTTTGCCGCCGCGAGATAAGGAAGCTCACTCCTTCGTACCCGGTGGGCGGGTTGCAGGCTCACAGCACGGGCATTCGGGGCGCCCAGAACCGTCAGCGTTGCAATAGATGAGGATCTCATTCTCGAGGTCACGATGCTATCAGGCCAATAGCAGCGCCTAAAGGTCTGCTGGGCCAAGGCGTGGAGACGCCTAAGCTGCCTAGCTCGCTTGCTTGAACCTTCCTGGGAGGCACAACCGCAGGTCCCCACCACATCGCGCCCGCCTCGATACCGAATAGTGGCCGCAGAAACAAACCCCAAGCTCCCAAGCTGCCTATCTGAACTGGTGGACCCTGGCCAGGGTCTTGTCTACTCTCGTCGCGACCGCCGAGCAGCTGATATAAGTTTCGACCGAGTGCGCTCCGCCAGAAAAATGTCGGCTCTGCTCGTGACTTGCCTGTGCTTCGCGCCCGTCTTCTTCATCGCTCTGGCCTTCTTGCGGAGCACCGTCCTCTCAAAGTACCTTGACGATCCTCACTCCAAGAGGCGCGAGTGACCATGAGCGACGTCAACAAGACCACCGCCACCCCGACCGAGCGGGTCCCAGAGACCACGCCTGCGCCGGCAACAGCGCCCGCCTACAACGGCGATGCCACTGCTCACGAAGGTGAACGACACCACAAGGGCCACGACCTGCCCGCCCATGGTCACAACCCTTCGACGCAGCCGGACGTAGACCAGAATCCCGACCTGACGCTGCATTACTCCCACGAACACCAGCATGACCACATGCACCATGGCCGCACTTCGCTTGCCGGTCGGCACGATGATATCCTGTATGCGAGAGGCACCACCGAGGACCAGCACATCGGTCATCAAGACCACAGCCACACTACCCACCAGCACCCGAAGGGCGCTCATGTCGGGGTTGACTCAAAAGACCACTCTTATAGCGAGACCGACGCAGAAAAAGGCGAAGTTGGCACCGATCCCACCAAGGTCGCGACGAACGAGACAGACGATGGCCGGAACCACCGTTTCTCGCGCTTCTACCGCAAATACAAGATTTTCTTCCATCTTTTCATCTGGCTGGTTTTCACTGGCTGGTGGATTGCTGGCTTGATCCTGCATCGCAACGACAACCTGGGCTGGCTCAAGCCCTTTCTCCTCTACCTTGCTATCACTCTTCGCATCCTCACCTTCTGGGTGCCCGTCACCTACGTAACTCGGCCCATGCACTGGACCTGGAACCAGACCGGCGTCCGCGTCTACAACATCATTCCCGAGAAGCTCCGCATCCCGTCGGCCGCGTTGGTCACTGTTGCAGTCTTCTTGGTCGGTTCTATGGTGTCTGAAGAATCTGCCAACAATACCAGGGGCAACCGTGCCATTTCCCTGGTTGGTCTGGGTCTCATGATCGCAATTCTCTGGGCCACCTCCAAAAACCGCAGCAAAATCAGGTGGCATACTGTCATTGGCGGCATGCTGACCCAGTTCATCATCTCCGTCTTCGTGCTGAGGACTGACGCCGGCTACGACATTTTCAACTTCATCTCCTACCTCGCCCGTGAATTGCTTGGATTCGCCCAAGAGGGAACCGCATTTTTGACCACACCAGAAGTGGCCCAGCTGTCATGGTTCTTGATCGGTGTCGTGCCGCCTATCATCTTCTTCGTATCCCTCGTGCAGCTGCTTTACTACTCCGGCCTCCTTCAATGGTTCGTGGGTAAATTCGCAGTCTTCTTCTTCTGGTCGCTACGCGTCTCTGGCGCCGAAGCCGTTGTGGCTGCTGCCACGCCCTTCATCGGCCAGGGCGAATCTGCCATGTTGATCCGCCCCTTCGTGCCGCATCTTACCATGGCCGAAATCCACCAGGTCATGACTTCAGGCTTCGCCACCATCGCGGGATCCGTCCTGGTCGCCTACATCGGTCTCGGCCTCAACCCGCAAGCCCTCGTCTCTTCCTGCATCATGTCCATCCCCGCCTCGCTGGCCGTGTCCAAGATGCGCTATCCGGAGACCGAGGAAACCATCACCTCGGGCCGCGTCGTGGTTCCAGATGACGACGAGCACCGCGCTACCAACGCGCTGCACGCCTTTGCCAACGGCGCCTGGCTCGGCATCAAGATCGCCGGCATGATCGTCGCCACACTCTTGTGCATTATCGCCTTCATCGGCCTCATCAACGGCCTGCTCGGCTGGTGGGGCCGCTACCTCAACATCACCCAGGACGGGCAGCCCTACCTGACCCTGCAGCTCCTGCTCGGCTACATCATGTACCCCGTGGCCTTCTTCCTGGGCGTGCCCCGTAACGAGCTGCTAGAGGTCGCCGAGCTGATCGGCGTCAAGATCATCGCCAACGAATTCGTCGCATACAACTCCCTCGTCAACGAGCCCCGCTACTCCGGCCTCAGCCCCCGCTCCCAGCTCATCGCCACCTATGCTCTCTGCGTGAGTTCTTCCCCGCTTCCATTCCCGCAAGCAATACACAGAGTACTAACAATACCCTAACAGGGCTTCGGCAATTTCGGCTCCCTAGGCACCCAGATCGGCGTGCTCTCGCAGATCGCGCCTTCGCGCGCCGGCGACGTCGCCACCGTGGCGCTGTCCGCCCTGTTCTCGGGCGTCATTTCCACCCTCACCTCCGCCAGTGTCGCGGGCATGTTGATCACGAATGAGCGCCTCGAGCAGACTGCTAGTGAGACCTAATGGGTTGGTGGATCTTATGATGGGCTTATGAAACGGACGTGTGTCTCTGTGTAAAAACAAGGGAGCGGCGCGCCAGGGGGAAGGGCGGTGTTTCCCCAAGGGGGGTGGGAGGGGTGGATAATGCTCCAAATTTTGACGGGGCTCAAGCAAAGCAAAGCAATATCGCTTTGGATAAGCTTGTTTTTTCAAGGGCGGGTAACACAAACAAACGTGTGGACGAAAGAACAAGACACGCCTCCCTTCAAACAGCTTTCTTATTCAACAGCTCTCATTCATCCCCTGCCCCTCTCTCTCTCTCTCTGTCTTGTTTTCCTATCGTCATAGCCCGCCCACCCGCCCGCTGTGCAATTGTGGGCCACGCCACGTCACATTCACGTTCATGTTCACGTTCTAGCTCCTAGCTCGCAACGACACAAGCAGCGGGTTCTTTTCCCAGAAGATGTGCGTATCTTGCTCGACAAAGTCAAAGTCGCCCATGGGACACGTGGGCGTCATGTCAAAGGCGTAGAGCAGCCGCGCCAGCACGAGACGCATCTCGACCCACGCGAACTTGGAGCCGATGCAGTGGTGGCGCCCTACGAGGAAGGGCTCGAAGATGGCTGCTCCTCCTTCTGCTGCTGTTGTTGCAGCAGTTGCTGCTCCAGCTTCTGCTGCTGCGGTTGTAGTGTCGCCAGTGGAAGCCTTGCTGCCAGGGGAGGAGGGCCGGAGCCATCGCTCCGGTATGAACTTGTGTGGGGCGTCGAAGTTGGCGGCGTCGTGATAGGCGGGGAGGTGGTGGATGGCGACTAAGGTCTGTTGTGCGTCGTGATTAGCTTTATGGGCGAAGCACTGAGAGGGGGGCAAAGTTTGAGGAGCACCTACGCCTTCTGGCACCATCTTCCCACACACCTCCGCCCCACCCTTCGGTACCACGCGCGGCACACTGTAGGGCACGGGCGGATGGACTCGCAAGCCCTCGGAGATCACGGCCGTTAGAAACTCTAGCTTCTGCACGCTTCTTGCCGTGATCTCGTCCTCTCGGTGGAATGCGCTCCGCAGCTCCTTCTGCAACCTCTCCAGTGCCGGGGGATTCTGCAGCAGTGCCGTCAGGATGCCCACCAGGGAGCTGGCCACCGTCTCGCTGCCGGCAAACACCATTATCATCATGTTGATCTCTATCTCCGCCAGGCTGAGCGCCTGTGCCGCACGCTTCCCACCCTCCGCAACAATGGCCTCGTTGTTGCGCAGGAGCGCATCCATGAAATCTGCCCGTGGAGCGTGCTTGCCCGCTGCGACTCGATCACGCACTTTCTCTGCCGCAAGTTCTCGGTGGTATGCCATCTTTTCTCGCACTGCCTTGGGCAAAAGCAACGGGAGCAGCTTGGCAACTAGCGGGTTGTCGGACAGACCTAGCATGTTGAGGCCGGCCATCATGGCCGCACCGCGGCCGAAGTTCAGATTGATGGCAACCCAGGGGTGCGCGGCGCCGGTGTCAACGCATTCGAACGTTTCGCCGAACGACATGAGGCCCGAGACGTCGAAGGTGAGGTAGTTTAGCCAGGCGACGAGGTCGACTGGTGTGTCGGCGACGTCGATGCGGTTATGCAGTTGTGCGATCAAGTTGGAGACATTGGCTTCCAGCAGAGGGAGCTGTGCGGCCAGCGCGCGATCAGTGAAGGCCGGCATAAAGGCGCGGCGGAAGCGGGCGTGCGCGGACTCGTCGTGGCCCATGATGCTGAAGGGATCGGTACTGCGGATCTTCTTGAAGAACTGGTCTGTACGCTGGAAGGCGGGGTTGCCGGGGCTTGGGTTGGGTAGGTAGATATCTCGCCATGCGGCTGGAGACGTGTAGCTGAGCTCGTTTGGGGCGATGCGTACAGTACGACCATGGCGGGCATGGAAGCGCAGGAGATCGAGATGCAGCGTACCACGTTGAAGGGCGATGGTCCATGGGAGACGGGAGGCCCGCCAGAGGAGCGGGCCGGGGTAGTTGGACAGCGGATGTAAAGGAGAGATATTGTAGATTATCCGGCTGAGAAGGACGACAGGGTACAATAGGAGAGCGAAGAGAACGAGGAAGGGAAGAGAAGGTAGCAATAGAGTACTCATGGTGACGATGGGGACGGGCACATGAGTGATAGATTTGCAGTGGCCATAGACTCTGTACGCTGTTTATAGAGCAGCTTCACTTACATACATGAGCATTCAGCTCTATACGGACCGATCTCTGAAAGGCATTCTCGTGTAGTCTAACGCGGTTGCACATCGCCGTGATGCAGGTTTCGATGTGGGAACAGGAATAGCTGCCGCGCTTGATTGGTGGAACGGGCTAATCAACGCCTAAACAGCGGACTGCGCTGGATGAAGATGGGAGATGCGGATATCCATTCAGCTGACTGCAGGTTTGCTTTGGTAGAATTGACCAGTGTTTGCGCATTGGCGAGGTCAGCCGTGGCCGTGGGTTAGGGAGGAGAAGGACGTTTGCTGCCTTGTGACGACTTTTCCCATAGCAGTAACAGAGCATGTACCTCAGCATATCTTCACTCTGCAGCTGGATGACTAGAGCATAGTAGTGAGAATTGACTGCTCTTTGAGTGGTGCCAACGCATTCGCACCTCGAGTTCGCGGGCGCGGGCGTGATTGCCTGCCTTACAACTACCGCAGCGACAGGTCAAGACTGCCCTGTGGGTATGGTCGACTAGGGCGGCGCAGAGACCTCAGTTGGCCTCGATCTGCAGCACCTCACCCTCAAAACTTTCCGAGTTGGCATCACAAAGGCGTCCGCATTTTATCGACTCCTGCCACTGCACCTTGTCCTTTTCAAGTGCAGAGTTGATCCGACGCCTAATCCTGTCATTCAGTTCTTGATTCGAGCAGCGTGCCGATGCGATCTCGCTGGTGTGCTTCCGCATCCACTTCTCTTCTCTCCTCCCGCCTCGCGACTCCTCAATCCGCGCAATGAGCAAGCGTGGTGCCTCTGAATACATTACGGTACGTTTTGCGCCTCCAAGTCCTCCCCTCTGGCGACCAAGCTAATGTTCGAATGCAGAAAGAGCACGGTGCAACCCAGAATCAGACTGGAACTGAGGAGAAACCTCATATGGCTTCAGCTGCGCAGATGGCGACCCGCAAGTAAGTCCCCAGTCTCTGTTACGCTCCTTTGCCTCGATATCCACCCTCCAAGGCAGCTGTCGCGCCCCGACACGCTCTCCGACACGTGCTAATATGTCTCCAGGACTGCTACCCCGAGAGGTCGACTGAACCGTGCCGGCACTCCTCAGCGGCGCTTTCCTCCCTCCGCCAATACCTCCAACCCCTTCAGCACTATTCCGCAGCAGACCTTTGGCGCTGTCGGTAATGGTGTGGTCTTTGGCGCTGGCTCACAAGATACCAGCAACAACGCGTCCCAACCAACAGGCGCTTTTACCTTTTCCGCAAACAACACCTCGGCTAGCAACCCTTTCGCGAGCAACCCATTCGCCAATGTCAATAATACCCCCAGTTTCGGTGGCCCGAATAATCAAAATAATCAGAACAATGAGGACGACTCGATGGATACTGGCTCACCCGAAAAGAAGAGGAGCAGAACCGAGAATCCTAATAACTTCGGTGGCTTTGGTCAGACTTCGTCAACTCCAGCTTCCAATGCGCCAACATTTTCTTTTGGCGCGACTCCATCGCAGCCACCGGGCATGAATCAGTCTCAGCCCGCAACTGGTAACCCTTTTGCGGGTATGTTTGGCACGCAAACATCAGCTCCTCAGTCACAATCCATGACTCCCGCTGGAGGTCTTTTCGGTTCACAGAGCAGTTCCTCGGTCCAACAGTCACCCGCGCCTGCATTCGCCTTTGGCCAGAGTCAGACCCAGACTGCATCAGAACAGCCGCCTGCCAAACCGGCCTTCTCTTTCGGCCAACAATCTACGCCGAGCTCGACCTCTGCGCAGCAGTCTTCGGCGGCGACGCCCGCGTTCTTTTTTGGCCAGCCGTCAAAGTCGACCTCGACATCTGCCCAAGAGACCCCAGCCAGCAAGCCCACCTTCTCTTTTGGCCAGCCCGCTCAGTCTGCCCCAGAGCCTCAACCTTCCAAGTCGCTATTCAACTTCGGTTCCAATGCTCAGTCTGCTATTGACCAGACTCCAAAATCTACATCTCTCTTCGGTGCAACGACTCAACCCCCTACCCAGCAGCAGTCCCCCAACCCTGCACCTTTATTCGGCTCCCAATTTTCGACGCAGTCCACTGCCACCCAGGATTCACCTCTGACGTTTGGTGCCAAACCGGCCTCAACCTCCGAGACTCCGAAGCAGGTCACGTCCTTCTTCGGTCAATCAGCACAGACTGCTTCTGAGCAGTCTCCCGCCAAGCCGGTTTTCACTTTCGGCAAGCCGACTGAGGCGACCTCTGAGGTGCAACAGCCTGCAGCTCCTGCTTCTCCAGCCTTCAGTTTCGGCAAGCCGTCTACCTCGTCTACAAGTGCGGAGCAGCCCAAGACTTCTTTCACCGGTTTCAGCTTCGGTCAGTCAACGAGTTCTGACGCATCCAAGACTCCTGCCCCATCGACTGGAGCCGATAAGCGGCTGTTCTCGGAGAGCTCGCTCTCTAAAACTCCTAGCAACTCCTTCGGAAACGAGTCCACGCCTATGGGAGCCGACAATGATACCGCAAGACCTGCTCAGTCCAATCTCTTTGGGGGGGTGGGAAATTCGACGTCAGAGCAACCGAAATTCAGCGCGCTTTTTGGCCAGACCTCTACATCTAAACCCACTTCTGGCACTTCAGGTAACGTTACGGCCAGCAAGCCATCCTTCAGTTTCGGTCAGCCCTCGTCGACGAATAGCAGTCCTCCCAAGCAAAATGCGTCCGTCGACTTGTTCGGGAAATCATCCTCACCGGCAGAAGCGTCACCTGATACAACTGCGACTGCACCACTCTTCGGGGCGGCCCAGGGGATCTCCAAGAGCACCGATGGGCCCGTCAAATCCTCGGAAGTTTTTGGTAGTACGACTCCTTCCTCCGGGGGCATACTTTCCCCAGCCAAATCCGCTACGGCTACCAACCAAAACGCCCATGTCAGCTCGATAGACTCGGCGCCCAGCACTGAGCCCAAGAAGACTCTGTTTGGAACATTGTCTAAGCCGGCGCCCGCTGGCCTTGGTGGACAATCTGCCTCTTCTGTCGGACGTGACAGCTCAGATGTGAGCACTGGCAATGCTACGAACGTCTTTGCCGCTGCGAAAGCAGCCCCCAAGAATGCCAGCAGCGATGTTGCGACTCAACGTCCAGTGTACACCAAGTCTCCCAGCCGAATGCCTAAGTTCTTGAATGCCGAAGGCTTCATGGAATATGACAAGAACTACCGCCTGCGTGCCTTGAACAAGGAGTTTCAGAAGCAAGTCGCGGCCATTGATCCGGATCGCAACGACTTTGAGAACCTCATCCGACACTACGCCGCGGCGCGTGCGGCTATCGGTGGTGATATGGGCCTTTATCAGCGCTCAACTGCTGGATCTAAGCGTAAGAGTGATGAGGTCGAAGAAGACCAAGCTGTTCCGCCTCAATATAAGAAAGCCAGGGTCGCCGAGCCCCAGGTCGCGCAAAGTCAGAGCATTGAACCTTCTTCCAACCAGAACACATTCAACATTGAGAAGCAAGCTGCAGGCTCCGCCTCTATTGCGCCTAAATCAACAACCTCTACCAAGGCCACCTCTCTGTTCAACAATATGATTCCGCCATCATCGCAGCAGACTACGTCTCAGGCAAGTCAGCCCAGCCCTGCCAAGGGGTCCAACCCATTTGCCGGCGTGTCCTTCTTGCCCACCAACGATTCCACTACCAAGCCTTCAGCTTCATTCGGCAACAACACTGTCAACGCCGGCTCAACCCCTGCTGCAAAGAAAACCACTTCCATCTTCCAGGCCACAGGTTCGACGACACCAATGAAATCTCCACCAAAGAACAACCTTTTCGGCAACTTCTCGACCGAGCCTGTTGGCAGTAAGAAGCGAAAGTCCAGCTCTGATGCAGAAGATGCAGAAGATGCAGAGCACAGCAGCGACGATGAAGCTCCAAAGAAGCGAAGCAAATCCTCTACTGGCAACGCCAACAATATCTTTGGAAACAGTAACTCAACAACACTCGCAAAGACCGGTACAACCACCCCCTCCAAAAAGACGAGAAACCCATTTGTGGGCTCATCAGACTCTGACAACGAGGAGGATGATGATGCCGATGTACAGACTGGCGACGACGCAGAAGACGGAGACTTCGCGCCAAATGCCGATGGCTCTGACGACGAAGATGATTCTGCTGATGAAGAATCACAGCAGCTGAGTGAAGAAGACATTGGACAGACCCCGCAAGATGACAGCGAGACTTCGGCCGCTCCTGATGAAGACCACACCGAAGAAATCAAAAGAAACCCGAATACTGGCAAATCTCTTTTCGATAGGATCGAGCCGGGGAAGAGATCCGACGCTTCTGGGACCTCTACCCCTACTCAAGTCAATGGCACCACCTCGGCCATTAAATGGCCGACTCCTTCTGTACCAACACCTGACGCACCCGATTTCTCACCTATTACTCCTGGCAGCAAGTCGCCCTTCAAACCAGCAACCACCTTTCACTTCACTCCGGCTCCTGCTACCAAACCTACACATGCTCCTGGTGCCTCCGTCTTGGCCGGTGGATTCTCCAACGGACTGAACCCGCGATTCGAAGGTATGTTCGGATCCAGACCCAGCACGCCAGAGCCAGAGAAATCGACAGATGCGAGTGCTGCTCCATCGTCCACCCCGGCTGGTGACCACACATGGAAGAAAGGTCAAGACATTAAATTCAACTTGACTGAGGCTTCTCCGGGAAAGCCTGCAGATCAAGGCACAAATGCTTTGGGCTTCAGCTTTGGTAGCGGAAGCACCAGTGCACCCGCGCCTGGCTTCCTTGGTGTCGCGCCTCATCTTACGGGTGGATCAGGTATCAGCTCTGTGACCTCATCGCGCGCCACTTCGCCTGGTGCCACTGATAACGAGTCCGTCGCTACCGACGACACCAATCATGAAGAAGCCCAGAGCGACCCACAGTCAAACCTCATGCAATCTAACAGCGGCGAGGAGAACGAAGACGTGCTATACGAAGGCAAAACCAAAGCGCTGGTTCTTGCCAAAGGCGAACGGGCCAAGCAGCTCCGAGTCACCGAGAACAAATGGGAAACGATTGGCACGGGTATGATGAAACTGCTCAAGAACCGCGACTCTGGCCGTGTTCGTGTCGTGTTGCGATCCGAGCCTGCCGCCAACATTGTGCTCAACTCGTACCTGGAGTCCGAGGTCAACTATGTGGTCAAGGAGCAGACCTCGACACAAAAAAGCGGCGCCGTCCAGGGTGCCTTTATGAGAGACGGCAATCTTGACCAAATCGTGATGAAGGTCAGAGACAACGCGCTGGCGACCAAGCTGGCGGGACTGATGACGGAGCATAAGAAGGATGGGTTGTGAGTGTCGCGGGAGAAAAGAAGTCGTCGTATGTGTCTTTGGCTTAAGTAATAAAACAAGTGAAACAAGGCGAGGCGCTTTGGGAAAACCCTTTGGGACTTTTGTGTATTGTGTGTATTTTGTGGATTCGGATCTACGTCAGCATCAGCGAGGAGTTTCACACCTGTTGTTTCCCGTTTCGACCGAGCAAGAAATTTCTACGTTTTGGCCGAAAGTGTACGTATGGATGAATGTTGTATTGTTGTGTTCGAGCACAAAAGAGAAAGAAGGGACACTAGACCGGACCAGCAGCCCTCTTTGCTCGTGTGGGGGGGGGGGGGTTTTCACGGAGGTTGCCGAGCATGCGTGACCTGTTGTTGTTCTAGGACGGTTGGGAAATCGGCAGTGCGGGTTTCTTCTCGCCGAGGCAGGATGGATGATCTCAGGGCGGCGGCGGCGGTGGTGGAGCGGATTCGGCGAAGGGCCTGTGCAGTGCAGTGCAGTGCAGCGGTTGTGGGCACGGGGTGGGGGGGGGGGGGGGTTAATTGAGGTTCGGTGGTGGTGGTGCTGCTGCTGCTGCTGTGATTGTTGAGGACGGAGCTGGTCCGAGAATGCGTTTCGTTGTTAGGGGTAATGCGATGTGGAGGGTGTGTCGCCTTGATGGATTCTATCTTGTTTGAGCGAGAGAGGGCTGCTACGGTGGAAGACTGTCGAGTGTGTGAATAGAATTGTGGCTAGCGCGCGTATGCTGGTGAATGAGTCAAGAAGTTGGATGTTATATTCGGCTGTTGCCGTTCCTCCGTCTTCTCTCTACCGAAAATAGAAGTTCTACGTGCTGTCCAGCTTGATGTGGAAATGGTGATTGCTACTTCACCCGGGTTTTCGTGATCGCCGCCGTCTCCGTCGTCAGATTGCAGTTCGATACTCAAGCTGGACGACGAGCGGCCAAGGCCGCCGGGGTCATACAGTCACGCTCGTCGCATTTATACGGCTTTGCGGTGTTCACGAGTGCGACTACGAGGGAAAAAGATCTTGCGGACTCGCAGCACGACACAATGCGTCGTTATGATCACACCGCTCGGAAGTCCTGGCAGTGGTGGCGTCGGGAGGCTGTGTGACCACAGCTTGAGGAGAGGCAAAGACATTAGAAGACGTTGTGAATTGGTATCGTGCAAGATGGTAAACCACTACTACCTACTCATGCTTGCTGCTTTTGCGACATCAAGCTTCTCTCCACCTTTGCTTGCAACTCATCAAAGCGAAAGGCAAGAAAAGTATTGTCGGCTCAAAAGCGAGGTGTTCATGAAAGCCTGCAAGCGCAACCCGTTGTTGGCGAAACCGTTGGGCTGGCTGCTGGTTCACATCTCACCCCATCTCATCTCATCTGAATCGTGGAACTCCGGCCCACTGCCTTGTCGAGTTCCGCCAGCCGTTCTCTCATCTTCAATACGTCCGTGCCCCATCCCAGGTCATTGTGCTTTTAAGAGGCGGAGAGACCGCGAGACGAAGACATGGGTTCCCTTCTTCACGAGTCCTCCACAACCACGGTCTGCAGGCCCTTGGACTCGCGGCCCTTGACATTGACGGCCTGAACGTAGCTGTAAAGCTTCTCCTTGGCGCCCTCCTCGTCGTTGCGCTTCCGCGAGATGCGCACGCGCAGTCTGTAGGGAACACCCTTGATGCCGGCTTCCCAGACACGCTTGTTCAGTTGGGGATCGAGGCGGACGTCGTTGGTGCCCTATACAGAGTTGTGGGGTTAGCAAGGATGAGTATTTCTCGTCGGAGGAAAGTGTATTGAAGAGGCTGATTACGGCAGGGACATACCATGGCAGTAGTGGCGAAAGCACGGATCTCCTTGATGGCGCGGGGGGCCCGCTTCTTGAAGGCGATGCCGAAGATCTGTAAAAGCTTTTGTTAGCACGGTGTACGCCTGACATCGATGCGCTGGTAGGCGTGGCGGGCGGTCGCGGGCGCGATCCGATTGACCGATCCCTCCTCTTCCAGTCCAGTATCAGAGTATGTTCAAACAGATCGCTCCAGTCTCTGTGGACGTTTGGTGACTTCGCTTCTTCTTTTGATCGTTAAGTGCCCTTTCAAACGCCAGACCTGACCACGCCCGCAGCAACCCGACCAATCGGTTAACAATGTGTTCAACGTACTCTCTTGTGCATGTGGATGGTGTATTCTCTGGCCACGACATCGGAGATGGCGGACCGGGACTTCTTGGTGTTCCGCTTGGGCTGCGTCTTCGGGTTGTCTTTCACCATCTTGACGGTCTGTGAAGATCCTCAATGTCAGCACAATTGTCTTCGGAAATGCAGAATTCTTGAGTAGGCTGGAAATTGAGATAGCGGGTAGGAGAGGTTCTCATACGTTTGGTGAAATCTGGAGGGTGCTGGGAGAGGAGGGTCGGCGCAGGTTGTGTAGAAATCAATGGTGAGGTCCAACGCAGACAAATCCAACTGTGGGCTAGCGCCAAGACAGGTTAGACCTCGCCAAGATTTGCACGAGGCTAGGATTCAGCCTCATGCTCGCCGGAGGGGCTTAGCAGCCAAGATATGAAGAAAATGTGCTCGATGCCCTCTTTCGCTCTGTTACATTGCATGAGCATCGCCCTGATATAATTATCTACTCATCAAACCGTATCTTGCCCTCACTGACATCTGGGTAGACATCGAATCTGCGCTGAGTGTACAACGGGATACCCTTCCGAGTCTCCTCTATTTTCGCTCCGTCAATGTCACCGTAGATGATGGTCTCTTTCTCCTCCGCCTCACTGACAATATCAGCGTTCGGGTTGACAATCATAGAGTGTCCGTAGGCATGGTAAGTTGCATCCATGTCGCGCGCTGGACTGCACATGGCAACATAGACCTGGTTATCCATCGCTCGCGCCCTGGCCTGAAGAGACCAGTGCATGGGTCCGGTCGTGGTATTGAAGGCTCCAGGGTATACGCTCATGAACGCGCCCTTCCTAGCAGCAATGGTAGCAAGCTCTGGAAACCGTACATCATAGCAGATGGCCAAGCCTATCTTGCCATACTCCGGGAGGTCAACCAGTGTGACCTTGTTGCCTGGAGACAGCACATCGCTTTCTTTGAACTTGATCTTCCCGGGAATATCAATATCGAACAAATGCGTCTTGCGATGGGTTGCGATAAGCTCCCCGGACGGCGAGAAAACCAGTGAAGTATTGTAGTATTTCTCGCCTTCTGGCACGAGTTCGGGAATGCTACCTCCGATGAGGTATGTCTTTGTTTCGGCAGCCACAGACGACAACATATGCCATGAAGGCGAGTCATCTTTGGATGGGGGCGATGGCAGTATCTTCTCTGCATATTTGGGGAAGAACTGGCAGCCATACGGAGAATTGAAGCATTCGGGCAGTACGATCACGGATGCGCCGCCCTTTGCAGCTTCTATCACCTTGGACCGAGCATGGGATAGATTCGCGGCTTTATCAGATCCTGCACGCTTGCCATTAGTAACTGTAGGACTCGATTGCGCGACGGGCACCCACCTTACCTGCTGCCAGTTGGACCAACGCCAGCTTGAATGGCTTCTTCAAAAGGCCTGCCATCACGTCTGCGTGTCACTAGAGCGGATGATAGACTGATATGGGGCCGGCCAGTGTGCTAGAGATGTCACGAGTTGGTATCAAGTAGAGAACTTCCGAAGAGAGCATGCCAGTTGCGGAGGTGAACCACCAAGGCGGGGATGAGCGACCGGGATTCGGAGAAACGAGCGAGCGTTGCTTCTCTGCACGCCCTGTTGATCCGAATGTCATCTACACTTGCCTAATGAACTTTCGAGTGTCTAAGATAACCTCCCATCGATGAGAACATGGATTGAAGATCTCATGCTCAAGTCTACGAGTGCCTTCTTCCATTTCATAGCCGCAGCTTTAAAGGCCCAGCCAGCCGCAAGGCTTATACCCCATCGTCAATCCAAGGTCAACTTCGATCAGCGCCAGGGCGTCGGTGAGTGCAGCAGGTCGCCGACGTACTGCCGTGGTGGTAACGATGTAGGACTTGGCGGACTCAATCCCCAATGTACCAATCAGGCTATTACATGCGTTCAGCACATGGAGTGTTTCTGGCTTGTCCTGCAACCAGCTCGATTGGACCGTGGTGCGCATGGTGACCTTGATATGGCTGGGATGTTGAGCAGGCAGATATTTGAGAAATGTTGTCAGGCACTTGGTGCCGCCCACTAACATGTAAGGCGTGCTCCCCTCTTTGGAAAGAGCCACGGCTTTGCTCTCCATATATGTCTGTCGATTAGCACGCAGAGCGTATGGTATATCAAGGATGAAGTGGCGCAGGTCGGGAACCGCTTCACAGTTACCAAGGAAAGGCCGATCCTTGATTGTATTGGCACACTGGCACGCCGGTATTCGCTCCAGTTGTGTTAGAGCGTATTCGTAGATTCGTAAACGAATCTCGAGGGGTAGATCTAGGAACCTGAAGTATGTGGGAGTCCCGAGCGACATTGCTGGCTACAGATATTGAACCATGACTTACTCGTCTTTGGGCTGCGAGCCAGTGGCCGGGCACGAGCCTTTTATGGAATAGGATAGGGTACGGAGGTATCTCACGACGAGACTGGTCGGCTGACTATGAGTGCCGCCATGTATGCCAGGCTAGGTTGCTCAGGAGCATGGATGTACGGCTGTATCTGGGTTAAGCAGCCAAGCAGTGCCGTACGACGCAGTGGCTGCATACTCGCGTCGTCCTCATGTCAGCCTAGTCAATCCATCTCCATGGGTCCGGCCGTGATTAGTCACAGTGGGTGCTTCACACAGGATGTGCAACGATATTGTAAGTCCAAAGCATGACACTAGGCGTGGCGAGGGGAATTCTCGGATGGAATATGTGAACAAGTGCTCACTGCTCACCAAGCCACAGTAAGCGAAGCGCATTGACTCGCTCGATACGTCGCATTCGCTTAAAAGAATGACCCAGGTCGCAACGGACGTTGAAGCATAATGATTAGTTTTTGAGCGCGAAGTTCATGTTGGATGTCGTTTCTAAAGACCGAGACACATGCTGCAGTGGCCGAGCTTGACCCAAATAGGCAATACCACGGGCGCGCCTGCCCAACACGCCTCGCATGCGTCTTCCCACCGACCAGGGACCGTTTATTCCCGTCTACCACTGCTAAGGCACCCAAGTATCTATCACCATCGCTGCTCGACCGCATGATGCGCGTGCGAGCCATATCAAGCTGCAGCAATTTTGATGAGCACGGTCTTGGTTTCGAGCTGTTTCCGTTAGCTCACTATACCTGACCACTAGCCGGGGAGATGACTTACGAAGTTGTCCAACGATACACGATGGCCTTCACGACCCGTGCCCGACTGCTTGTAACTGTTGAACGTCAGAAAGTGTGTCTTCACTGAATTCAGAGGACTTACCCTCCGAATGGCATATCCCTCGCTCCGGTCGGGGATGTGCAATTGATGCCCACGCTAAAAGACTCCTGTGTCAGCACAACTCCTTTGCGGCAGGCATTTGGCCGAAGGGCACAGCTAGCTCGCCACCTGGTCTGCTACTTACGTTCCACTGTCAAGTGCTTTGGCAAACCGCATTGCTCGGTCAATATTCTTGGTATACCTAGTCAGTTCAGCAAAGCTTCCTTCCGCCGGTTGCGAATACTGAAGCCACTTACACTGACGCGTACAGGCCGAACTCCTTTTGGTGCATTAGTTCACCGGTCTGCGATTGGGTCTTTTGTGTGACTCACGGTATCATTGGCCTTCTTGATCACTTCCTCTTCCGTCTCAAACGCTATGGGTGGGATTGTCAGCATTTGACGACTTCCCACGGGAATGGTCAACTTACTATTGATATGAACGACTGGACCAAAGATCTCCTCCTTCATCACACGCTCTCCTTCGGCCGTCTTTAGAAAGACGGTAGGAGGGACGAAAAATCCCTTCGCGTTCCCATTTACCTCCAAAGCCTGGTCGCCAAGCACGAGCTCGCCAGCCTGTCGTCCAAGCTCGATGTATTTCTGCACGTTCTCGAACTGGACCTTGTCGGCCTGAGGACCATGGTTTGTGTTAGGATCAGTCGGATCGCCTGGTTTGATTTTCGCGAAACGGGCCTTGAATGCCTCCACGAACTTGTCCGCGACCTTGGAGTGGACATACAGCCTAGAATTTGCCATGCAGACCTGGCCCGAGTTCCATTGAACGGAGTTCTGGGTTTCCTCTACAGCAGCATCCAAATCCGCATCGTCGAACACAATGGCCGGACTCTTCCCACCGAGCTCCAGGATGACGGACTTCAGGTTCGATTTGGCCGCGGCTGCTTGTATCAGTTTGCCCGTTCGGCATGATCCCGTGAATGACAAAGCCCTGACGTCCATGTGCGACGATAGGATTGCACCCGAGATGTTCCCATGGCCGGAAAGGACGTTGAACACCCCAGGAGGAAAGCCAGCTTTTTCGATGAGCCTTGATATGTACGCTGACTGTTCAGTCATTAGCAAGTGCTCGACTTTGATTCTAGTCCAGCTTACTGTAAGAGGCGCCTTTTCGCTGCTCTTGACTATGACTGTATTACCCGCGGCCAGAGCAGGCGCCGATTTCTTCGCAAAGAATAAGGCTGGGACGTTCCATGGAATGATAGCGGCAACCTGTCACGTCAGACACCCACCAATCCCCCGAGTTTCGTCGTGACTTACCACTCCGTATGGCTGTCTGAAGGTCATATTTACGAATCCGGGCGTGTTCAAACTGGAAGTGCCCTGCGCATCGTAGCCAACTTCGCTGTAATGCTCGTACTGCTCCGCAGCGGCGAAAGCATCGAAGTAGGTGCTGACTGGTCGCCCCATCGACATGGCTTCGAGCCACGCCATTTCCTTGTGACTTTCCTTCAACAGAGCCGCCAGCTTCTTCATGTACTTGCCTCTGTCGGTGGGAGACAACGCACTCCATGCAGGGAATGCAGCCTTCGCTGCTGCCACAGCATCGTCGGTGTCCTTTTCGCTGGCTTCGCAGACTGTGGCATCATGTCAGAGCAGTTCGGTATTTCGATATTGATGCCGAGCTACCTTCAGCAACGACCTCTTGACTGGTCGGTGAATACAGAGGGAATGTCTTTCCATCCGACGACTCAACGAACTGCGGCATAGGTGAGCTGAGCCCGGCAGTTTTGATCAGTACACACCTGACCGTTGATGAAAAGGCGAGTCTCGATATGCTCTGGCTTCGACATGTTGGTAGGATCTCACAAGGTCAGGTTGTCGACAATTGAGAAGTCACTTGCAGAAATACAGATTTATATCAGCATACCAATGCCGCTACTAATATCACCTACTAAGCCAGAAAGTATATTGAAGAATCACCTTCAGACACGAGGTTCACCCTAGCGCCATCCGGTCCTGATGAGCGGGAACAGTTTTAAGCCCACTATCCGCTTCCGACATCTCTGTTGGCATATACCGAGACTCGCAATAGCCGCAACCCCGCAGCCCGGGCCCAGGTCGTTCTGTAAGACCATCGGCAACACTCCGCCGAAGCGCTTCTCCAACGAAGGCAATTTGTGATTAGGAGCCTGTATTCACCAACATACTTACGCTGTGGCTGTGTTATCAGCGATGCGCCCAGACAGTTATCAGCCTCATGGAAGTTTATTGACACCTAAGCCGCCATTGACTTCAGAGGCAGGCATACGCTTGCCTACGCGCGTCCCACTACGGAAGTCAACGTGTCGCCATTCGTGTCATTCTCGCTCTTGCCGTTGACTTTACCATTGACATGCCCATTGGTCTGCACGGCTTTCTCTTGCCAGAGCAGAGGCTTCTCCGCCATCTTGACGGGCCCGAGGTCGCCGCCTGGACGCCTTCTTCCTGCGACTAGGCATATGTCAGCTGTGCACGACTTATGACGCACGGGAGAAGCGCCTACATTCTTCAATGTCCTTTTGGCCAACGAAGTTGCCGTGCAGGCCAAGCTTTAGCTTTAGTGGTAGGTGAATAGTTGCAACGGGCCCCTTCGCCAGATCCTGCGCGTCCAGAATGACAATGTCGTTCCGAAGGACATCGAGATGGTTGAGCAGCGCAATTATCCAGCCCTCGCCCTCAGCTCCGCCTTCGCGAGGGATGAAAGAAGGTTCCTGTATCGTCGCCGTGGGACCGGCGAACCATGACTCCTCCACCTTGTCATCCATCCGGAAGTGGGAAATGCAGTTGAATAAGCCACCAGCGGGAGGCCCACACTTTTGGAAATCATACGGCTTTCACCACGTGTCAGCCTTCCCGACCCGATAAATTTCATCGTTACTTACCTTCGTCGGATCGACCTTTGCTGCCCAGACATGGTTATATTTCTTCGTCACCCACCGATCGTCAATACGAGAGAACTCCCCGTTGGTGTCGAACGTTTCGAATGGCGTGACGCGTGTACCACTGGCAGCCTTGGGATCGAAGACCCACCGTGTCAAAGGTGATTTTAGAGCATTCCTCTTACCTGGCGGCTGTGGTGTCTCGTTCTCAGGTGGGAAGAAGAAGAAGACGTTCCCGTCCGCGACTGTGAGGTCGAAGACGACGTGACCGTCCTCATTTTCGTAGCAGCCGGCTACATGGCCGTGGAACGCGTTGTCGGCGCGGAACCTGCATGAGGCGTTGGCTTCATCGTTGTAAGTGATCCTCTGCTCAAGGAACTCACCACCTGATATCCTCGGGCTTCCCACCACGCCGTGGAACGACACCGTACCACTGATCCTCGAGGGGATCCCACTAATTTCTCGTCAGCATGGCTACTTCGGAGCCACACCCACACTCAACGGGGTCTGCTTACAGCAAAATGGTTCCCACCATTCTTCAGCCGCTCGTACGAAGCCTTGATCGGAGTAAGCGGCAGCACCACGTAGTTGGCGCTGATGCCGCAGTCGTGGATCATGCCGCAAAACGGCGCCTTGTACCAACACTCCTCGATCTTCTTCCCTTCGGCGTCAATCGTCCACACCACAACATCGTCTGACGCATCGTGACCGTCGCCACCCGCTTCGTACGCGAAGCAGATCATCTCTCCGGTCTTTGACGCAGTCAGTCACACTCTTTATTTCCGGATCGGCATACGGGTACATATAACAACAGAAACAGAAAAAAAGCTCACCTCGGGGTCAAACTTGGGATGCGCCGTAAAAGTCGGCGTCCTAATCTGGCCCTCAAAGTCATATCTCCCCCACGTCTCCAGCGTGATGGGGTCCATGGCATAGGGCGGCCCGTCCTCCTTGCTGGCCAGCAACATGCCTCGCCAGAACGTGATGTTGGTGTTGGACGCGGTGCGGATCACGCCTTTCACCGACTCGTGGTCCGTGTACGGGTTGCGGTAGCGGCCGAACAGGCTCCGGCGCGCGGACGTCTCGAGACTGTAGCGCTCCGTGTGCACGTACTTTTGCTTGAAGTCGGCGTGTCCGGCGGAGATGCGGATGGCCGTCACGCTGCCGTCGCCGTTGAAGTGGATGTCGTCTTCGAAGATGGGGGGAAAGCGGTGGTCTTTTGTTGTTGTAGTGGGGCCTTGTGAGTATGAAATGGCGAAGAGGGGGGCCAAGTGGAGGGGGCAAAGACTTACCAGGCTGGATTCTGTAGAAAGTGCCATTGATCTCCCTGGGGATTTGGCCTGTGAATTCGAGGTCGACGATGTCGCCCTCGATGCGAGAGGGGAGGTTGAAGCCTGAGAAGACGGGCGTCGTGGGGAATTTGACTTGTGTGCCTGTCTTGTGCCCGTCTGTATAGGGCGGCACGTCGATTTGCCCTGCTAGATCGAAGATGTGGGCCATGGTCGTGTGTTGGATGCACAATGCAGTGGCTGAAGATGGGGGGAGGTGACTGGTGATGGACTTAAGGATATGGTAAGCTTTTGATGTCTATCTAGGTCATCGGTAGTGAGTGTGCTTCAGAGCCTATCACTGTCGCGTTGCGAATGCGAGACCCGATATCTTGGCTTCAGAATAGTATACCGCTTGCATAGCAGCGGATGGGCTGGATCAATGAACGGTGGGAGCTTGCTTTCTTCCCCATGGGGTTGTGGCCGGATCCATGATACCGAAATCACAAACTGGAGGAACGTCTGCCGTGCCATTTCCAGATTTTAGTGCAATACGGACTCGTGCTGACTGCTAGTATACTGCGTGATTCAGAGCGAAGGAGGAGCTGGCTCCGTGCTACTTTTGAGTGCGGGTTTAGGAGTCGGAAGTCCGCTATAGCCATGACCTCTGTTCTTTTGCTGTGACACTACCTAGTATCTTCTTGAAGGCGAAGTGTTGCTTATGTACCATTGGATTGGATGGAGATGCCACTGATGTCGGGCTTTCCACTTTCCTTCAATGCATCCTGCTGATCCTGTGGCAAAGCCAGTGTCAGTGGCGGCGGGGCCGCGTTGACGTCCGTCCCATAATGCGGCGCCCTGAGATCATCGCTTTCCACCTGCTTGCCTGTCACGGGATGCGGGTAGTGGAAGGGAATGACCCTGGTGTCCGGCCACAGCATCTTCTGCTCTATGATTTCGTCCGGACCATATGGGTCCTCCGGGTAAGTCACTGACGGCCAAGGGATGAAGTTGGGCTTCGTGTGACTCCAGCCACTCTCAAAGTTGGCGTGCCAGAAAGGGAAGTAGCGGTAGCGGAACAACTTCCAGACGCCGTTCTCCTTGATGTATTCGTTCTCGTATAGACCGCCTTCCCACCACTGGGCGTGGCCGCGAGGGTGGCTCTCGCGGATGGTGTCGTGGGTGCCGGCTGACATGAGGGCTCGGAGACGGCCAAATGCATGGGTGCCGGACTCGTTGACGTCGATGATGTCCCTGCGGTACTATCAGCGATAGGTCAAGTGTCGGAATTGCCATCTTACTGAAGCATCGGGTGGTCAAGTAGGAATCCATGAACGGGGCCGTTGCGACCATTGACGAAGGTACGGGCAAAGCGGTCGACTGCTTGCATCAGCGCTGACGGTGGCCGTTGATGTCCCACTTACTGTATAGGCGGCGAATGCCTTCCTTGCGGCGGTAGCGGCTGCCCAGAAACTCGACGTAAGCATCCGGGTGGTCGGAGAACATGTCCACCACCTTATGCTGTGTCAGTACTTATAGCCCAAGGACGGCACTGGGCCCGCTGCTCGTACCTCCTTGTAGAGACATTTGTCTAGATAGTAGCCGTATTTGAAGTGAATCTTCCGGATCTCTGCTTCATCTGTAGCTGGTGAGTACCTCAGGCATAGGATGACATGTTCACTGCCTGACCTTGAACCTTGTTGACACGAGCTGTGAGTTGCTTGACTTGCTCCTTGAGCTCTGCGACTTCGGCCTCCATTGCTGCTACTTACAACTATGCCTGTGGTTTCGATCGCCTACAGCAGTACCTGGCAGCGCTTATATGCCGCGGCCAGGCAAGTACAGCAACAGCGCATAGTGCCTGTCCATCGCAAGGACACATGCGACAAGCAAAGCAGCAGGGATTCCCCACAGCTGGTTGACTTGAACGCGACCGTATACGGAGTACATCCATGATCGTCTTACTAAACTTGTGACAGCTGCAGGCACTAGACTCTACGCCATGCAGCATATGCGAATGGTTCGGAAGCATGGGAGCGAGTTTGCTGCTGCGGTTGTCCATCTTGCTACCACCGAGGCGCGTTTCGCTTCGCCAATGGGAGTCGGACGACTTGCAGGGCACCCGTAGGCACTCGTACACATGACCAGCCACCCGAATCTGCATTATAAGTCCTGGAGGCATATGGCATGGGGGAAGACAGAAGCAGGGACGTTGGCGAGCACTTGGCAGTAACCATCTCCATCTTGTCCTTGGCAGTGGAGCAGGCCTCAGGCCTTTCTCGCCTTTCTCGCCTCCTTCGCCTCACTGTGAGAACAAGGCAACCATCATCATTATACTCGTTGAACTCTCTTGTTATTGTCGAACTGCACTCCTATGCAGCAGCCAGACACGCTCCATCGACCAGCGAAAAGACATTATGACCTGCGTGTTGGTTTTGCTTTGCGTGTAAAGTTTTTACCAATTGCCGAAAGATCGGATACGTGCCCCCCTGGTTCAGCCCCGCATCCGTCGCCCCCAGACGGGACGACAGACTGACCTAGCCACAATCCCCAGCGCTCGCGAACCTCCCCACAACCCACTTCAGTGGACCCTGCTTGAGCTTGTGTCGACGAATGTGGCCATTGGGATGGCTATCCTCCACAAGACGGTGTGGAACCTCCCACGCCGCCCCAGAGAACATCTTGGGGACGATGTTGGAGATCCCCAGCATGCGGCAAGGGCAGTTTCTCGATGCTAGACCTGAGAGCGAAGCTCTGCTACCTCTGTTCATCTCAGATAACCCGAACTCTCCTCGCAAACTCCTTGGTAGGTGCTCACAATGGGCAAAATGACCAGCGAGAGCGGCAAGCCTGCCGCTAGAAGGAACCGGACGGCCATGTCCTGCGACAAATGCAAGTCAAGAAAAACCAAGTGCAATAATCCAGTGCCAGGCCCATGCGACTATTGCCGGAGCATAGGCGCCTCATGCCAGATCGATGTCGGGAAGCGGAAGCAACGGCCGTATTACTTCGTTTCCGAAGAACAGTACAAACACATGGCAAAACTGATTGCTCACCACTACGGCCCAGACATCGATCTTACCACTCTGAGAACTCTTGCTGCAGGAATCGACAACAGCAGCGACGGCAGCCCGAACCAGATGCCCACTCCCAGCATTGGCATGTCATCCACAAAATCCGAGTCCATCCACTCTGGCGCCCCAGACGATGTAGTGGAGAAGCAAGAGCCACAGGAAGGGGTCGCGCTTGATGATATTGATAGCCTCCATGAACAGCTCGGCTGCATGCTGAAGGATAGCACTGGCGAATATCGATACATGTCAGCCGTCAGTGGCATCTCCTTCAACGCCGCTGTGCGCTCCCTCAATCCAGGTTCTGTATCTGCCAAGCTCGACAAGGACATCATTCCGCCCATGAAGACCATGAGTCTCCCACCAGCGACCCCGGATAGTTCAGCTGCTTCAATATCTCAGGGCGATATACAGCTGCCGTCGAAGCCACTCGGCTACCAGTATGTCAACAGGTATTTCGACGAAGTACACTGCCTTTATTGGCTCTACTCGTCAGAGCAGTTCCACACACGGCTCGAGAACACATATGCTAGTCGGTGAGTGACCTGGCCTTGATGCCCTTCATCTACGCATCTGTCATAGAGGCTGACGGCAATGTATCGTACGACAGATCCGCAACAAGCGCGTCCTGGGTGTGCTCTCTCTACTCCATCTTTGCGCTATCTTCGCAGTATCCTTCAAATGCCGAGGCAGGAATCGATCTGCGATCTGCCTCCGAATATCTGACACTTGCAAAGTCGATGGTGCCGAGAGTGTGCGACGAGGCTGATCTCGACAGCATTCGGGCGCTGATTCTATTGGTAAGCCAACTCTTACACAAAGCATGGCACCGAGACACGAGCCTACATCCAGTAGAGATCTGACGAGTCACTCTCCTATCGACTGCAACGCACCTTGACTAATTCACAATAGGCACTTGCGTTACAGTCGCATTGTTATTCGACATCTGCGTATCTCCATGTAGGAATAGCGACACGTGTTGCGCAGTCTCTGGGTCTTCATATGGACAAGTACTCGTTATCTCATGGCTTTGTTGAGCGAGAGCACGCACGACGGATATGGTGGACTCTCTACATCTTTGACGTGGAGTTGAGCCTACGGTGTGGCAAGCCTCGCGCCACCACGATCGAAGGGTCGAAACGTCAGGCGCCACTGCCTTCAGAACAAGTCCTGAATCCCGGGCCGAATATGCCATCGGGATATCTGGAGGTATCCAAAAACCTCACCCAGCTGACCGAGCTCACGTCTCAAACCCTCTACCTCGAGCCTCTCTCCGGCGCGAGAAAGTTACTATCGCCCCGAGTCACCTCCATTCTCTCTTCGCTACAGGAGTGGGCCAATAAAGTGCCATCTCACCTCAGCCGCACAGCCTGCGTGGCACCTTCGCACAAGCGATCGATAGCGCTGCTGCACGTACGATACTGGAGCGTGGTGATTCTGGCGACACGACCCTTCTTGCTCTGCAGCGTCCTCCGGCAAGCGGATCTTGATGAAGCGGATAAGAAGCGGTGCTACGACGAGCTGGCTGGCATCTGCATCGACGCCGCACAAAACTCGTTGAACGTGCTAAAGATGATGGGGGATGAAGGGCTGATTTCGAGTCTTCTGCAGTCCGAATTTCTTTACATTTTGGAACTGGTCCAGTGTTTCCTCATCGCTTTCACCAAAACCAAGGAGGAAAACCATATCCGCAGCGTGCGGGCCTGTTTGACCGTTTTGAAATCCATGGACGACATAGGTTTGGTCCAGAAAGCTCGACCAGAGACGATTCTGCAACTCAAGGAGCTCGGTATTGTGGATGGCGATGACGAGCTGGGACCTGCAGATAACCTGCAGGATTTCAGCCAGTTTCTCATGGGCGAGAGCGGGGTTGACGTGTACGATATGTAAGGTGCATCATATGGCTGTTACTTTGAAGTTATTAACCTATACTCAGGATTTTCTCTGGGGAGCAAGCCGGCACAGGTGGCTATCATTTTGCCGACATGGAGCTTGCCGATACCGCGACCGCGGACGAAATGTTTGCGCAGATCTCCAACATCTCAATGCCTCAGTTTGTCACACCCTGAAGCGGATGTACGCGTTACAACGAGAGCGTCATCGGCGCAGACGGGTTCCGACAATGTGGCAGTCGTATGTGCCGTAGCTTGCAAGAGATCTGGGAGCGATACAAGTCGTCCCTGACGAGCTCGACGAGCGATATGAATGAAACGGACCCAGGACGGAAGCTGTCTGATGAGCCAGCATCCTCTATGGCATACCCCACCCGAAGAGCATCCTCTACATGATGTCGTGTCGCGGGATTGTGATGATGGAGGTGCAGCGTCTCCCTAGCCACAACGGCGCCGGACTTAGCTATTGGCTACTGTGGAGCGGGACCGCGGTCAACGGAGCCGGCGGAAGGGCCCTCCTACCGCAGCTGTAATGAGTGATGACCATACTGATAACCACGCCACTGAGACGAGCTCCAATCGAAGACGACCGACGGTCGTAGATACGGCCTGTCAAGATAAGATGCGTGGTTGGTAGCGAAGACAGAATAAGAGGTCGTAGTGTACTTGTGTAAAGCCGGGGTCTTCTCGGGGGTTTCTCCAATCACGGCGCGCTCCACAGCCTCTTTCCCCGGAACCGAGGTACGTCGCTGCCGAGAGAGAGACACCTCCTCTGATGAAGCGATGATTACTTGTTAATTTGAGATTGTTATACCATACTGCCATTGCTCTGTAAACAGTAATCGACCCTCTATTGCATTGAAACCCATCTAGACAAACGTCCGGCAACATGGCACACGCTCACGCTAGCTCCAAGGCCGACCTCACGCCGGTGCGGTTGTTCGACTGCTCCCATATTGTCGCACTCGTGACCGGTGGTGCAACGGGTATTGGCGAGATGGCTGCATCTGGTCTTATCCAGGGAGGTGCAAGAGTCTTCATCGCATCGCGGAAGGAGTCAGAGTTGAAAAGTGAGCCATCTTCCCGCTACTGCTTCTAATACTGTCCTCCACAACTGAATGATAACACGGCTACAGAAACCGCCGATAGGTTGAACAAGCTCGGCCCCGGCAAGTGCTCCTATGTAAGACTCTCTAGCTTTTGTCACAGTGGGAGACTGATGCATTCTATAGATCGTGGCAGATCTCAAGGATAAGAAAGGATGCGATGATCTTGTCGCCAAGGTGAAGAATGAGACTGATCGGTTGACCGTACTGGTCAATAACACCGGTGCCACTTGGTGAGTTTCTGACTCCTTCTCTCCTCGTATATGTAGCTAACCTATTCCCAAGGGGCGCGCCTTATGGTACGATGATCTTGATTTCGAGTATCCTTACGTGCGTTGACTGACTGCTGCAGATGACTTCCCAGGTTCGAAATGCTCAAAGCAATGCACTACCCATCGGCTGACTCCATGCAGAGAGTGCTTGGGATAAGCTGATGCGGCTCAATGTAAGGAGCTCAATCCACTGACAAAGGCTACACACGCTGACGCTACTTCAGGTCAGCTCGATTTACTACATGACCGTCGGACTGGAGCCTCTGCTACTGAAAGAGGCAACACCAACGAACCCTGGCCGAGTCGTATGTTCCACCCGCGACGAATGAGGAGACATCGCTGACTAATCCAATAGATTAACATTGCCTCCATGGCCGGCATCACCACCGTGGATGTCACAGCTGGTGATGACGGAGGACTTTCGGCGCCAGGCCACGGCACCTTTTCCTACGGACCATCCAAGGCAGCGTGTATCCACCTCTCCCGCATCCAGGCCTCAAAGCTCGCGCCCAAGAACATTAATGTCAAGTAAGTCGCCAACAAAACCAAGTCAAACCGATCAGAGCTGACCATCTCTAGCTGCATCTGCCCCGGTGTCTTCCCATCCAGAATGAGTAAGTCGATACCACGTGCTCTATCCACGGCACCGATCGCAATCTAACCAGGCACAGCGAATTACGGAATGGAGCAGTTTACTGGTGCGTACAACCTCTACACGAAACCACAGAGTGAACAGCGGCCCCCCGGACTGACCCCTACCTATAGACACCCTCCTGGAGCGCCAACCTACCGGCCGTGTCGGCAAGCCCGAGGATCTGGCCGGCCTCGTCATCTACCTGTCTACCCTGGCAGGCGCTCACAGCGTCGGTAAGTGTCCACTGGAATCCCATTACCTGCTCCCGGCAACAGACCTCAAAATCGCGAGTACCTGGAGAAGCTAACCGGAGGCACGCTAGGGAATGTCATCGAGCTCGACGGCGGCTCTACCCGCTCCGGCTGGAGGTCGTCGAAGAAGGGCAGCAAGCTGTGAGTCTGAGGCAATCGCTACTAGGTAGTGTGCCGGGCAGAAGCCGTCGGGGTTCTTTAGGTTGACTACACATCCATCGGTAAAGATCAGCGAGTGCCTTGGCATACTGCACGACATGGAATGGATGGTGGCGTACTATCTGCAATCGAGCCAGTGTCAGTATCAAGGTCCTAGCTGTCAAGCCTTCCGTAGCATTGCTCAGCCTTACCCAAGCTCATCCTTGTGTTGAAAGGACGATAAAACCAACTCTCAATAATGCTTCAGCACCTATGCCCGCAACCCCAATATCCAAATTCAACGTGCATGTACTCACTCGCGTATGGTTCCAGCAGCAAAGGAAGCTTTCATGGTAATTTCCCGAATACGCAAAAGTAACTGGGAATTTGGCGGCTCTGATGCGCTTGCTGGTAGGCATCAACCTCGCAGAGCACAAGACCATTTCCAGAGATTGCATCGTCTTTCGTCTCTCTGGCTACCGCACTGCCTCTCGCTCAGATGTCTTGGAGAGCAAATTGCAACCCCCCCTCTCTCCTCTCACTCTCCCTTTTCGTTCAATCGCTGTCAAGGACGATCGACTCGGCTTTCGACAGACCCTGAACTTGGCACCTCGCCTGCTTCTTTGCCCGACCAGCGGTGAGCACTGCCGTCGCCAACTCCATCTTGGGCTCAGCCTCCTCAGTCTTGATCTTGATCTTGATCTCGGTCGTTGCATCCCCACCCTCGTCAAATGTCGCCTCCGCGACCTCGCATGCGTTGGCGGGATCGATCTGCACGGGCGTTCCGTCGATGACGGCAAAGCAGAGCTTGTGGCCGGCCACGATTGTCTCCTGAATCTTGCTGGCATCGATGGAATGCCTCTCGCCCTTGTGCAGAACATGGATGAGGCGGTCGACATTGGCGTTGATGGACTGCTGACTCTGTCGGTCGTGAGGGCTATGGTTGGGATCCACCAGTTCAGACTGGAGTGTCACGTCTGGTTCCGAATTGGTTGCCTTGGCCTCGTTGCCTAGCTTACCAGCCTCGATGTGCTCGCCCGTGGTCTCAACCTCCTCAGCCTTGATGGTGGCCTCTTCAGTGTCGGCATCTAGGTTTTGGGCGGCTGCTGTTCCCACTTTGTCCTCGTGGTGGGCTTGTGGGCCTTGATGCTCAACGCTAGCCTCTGAATCTGTGTCTGGTGCTGCGTTAACACGAAGCTTGAGCTTCTGGACACGATTGTGACCATGAGGCGTTGCATCATTGGCGATGTTTGCAGAGTCTGTAGTCCGGTCGTCGACCTCAGTACGTTGAAGAGGTTTCTCCGCTGTGATGATCGACTCCGAGCCAGGCTCGTTAGGATTGGCTGGTTGTTTACCTATGGGTGAAGTGCTGCGTGTAGCGGGATTGGGCTCTCGATGATACTCTGTTCCAGGTGCAGCCATCTCGACGTATGTAGGATCCGAAGACGAACAACCTTCGCAGAGTGTGCCGGTAGCAATAAATGCTCCACAGTCGTTGCATTCAACTTTGACAACCGTGTTCATCTCACGTGGCGTATCTAGCTTTGACGTGGAAGCCTGTGCGTTGAGAGGAGAGACTTTGGTCGTAGTCGTGGTGACGGCTGGCGCTTCTGGGCGTAAGCCCACGAATGCCTTAGGTTGCTTGAAGGAGGTTCTGATCGAAACAGACATCCGTCTGTTGAGCGTTGTATCATTGACTTTGGAGCTGAAGTCCGCCCAGAACTCGTCTCGTTGGGTGACTTCTCTCCACCTAGAGGCTATGAGCTTCTCACTGACGTCCACTCAGGAATGTGCTTACCAGGCAGATGTGAAGAGTGTGTGCTTTTCAGAGTAGTAGCAGATCGGCAGTCGCGCTGCTGCTGACATGAAAGTCTTGCGGTTGGGACTAGGAGTCGACGTCGATGAGATGCGCACCCTTTCTTAGCTGGGCGGACAGCAGTCAAGGACATTGCCGTTTGAGATGACCTAACAGACACAGGGCCTCCCTCATAATCTGAATCCGAGTCACATTCGTCGGCGGCTGACCTCTTACGAGTTCCGATTGACATATCGAGAAGGTATGGTGTTCGTATGGGACAAATCTTGCGTAGTGCGTGGCTAGGGCGGTGGTTAGTCTTTCTCGAACCTGCGTGTTGGAAGCAGAAATGTGTACTAACGTCGAGAGACGGAAGAGGGAAAGGTAGCGAAGGAGAGTGGCAGCGTTGGGAAAGATGTAAAGGAATGAGAACACCTTAAGTAGTTGGAGGAAAGACAGGAAAGGAATGAGAACACCTTAAGTAGTTGGAGGAAAGAAAGGAAAGGAATATGAGCTGATTTTGGAAATTGAATTCAGTCCAGCTTCATGTTTAGTCGCTGTCCTCAGATTGGTCTTCAGTCATTTCCACCTCACTTTCCTCATCAACCAGAGGAAGAAGTCTGAATTCAATGAAGAGCGGATTGCTTCCTCCTTGCGGAGCTTGAATGCCGCTGCCAAAGCTTGTCTGAACAGAATCGACCAGGAATTGGAGGCTTAATACACCTCCCCCGTCCTGTCTTACCGAGACCTTGGTAGCCAATTGCATTGCACGACCGGCCTTCTTGATCAGATCAAACTTATACCTCGTCTTGATTCGGCCATGGGTGTCTGGTGTAGGGGTTACAACGAATGTCTCGGTAACAGAAGGCTGTTTTCGATTCCGCGATGAGCCTGGCTCCTTTGATTCTGATAGATACTCAACAACTGCATCTCCGAGACTCCCACCCAATCCTTCAAGTGACAAGTAAGGCGCCGAGCGTCCAGAAACATTTAGCAACAACACGTCAGGATTGGTACCAGAAAGCTCTGCAATGGCATCCGACAAGAACGAGCTGGGCATGATGGTTTTCAGACACAGGGAAGTGCGGTCGAGTGGAATGGCACTGTCATCCTCGTAAACTGCAGCTAATGCATATGTGCTGAGCTCTGCTGTTGTCGTGACAGGGCCTTCAGCAATGGTGATGCTCAGAGGAGCGCCAGTTTCTGCATACGTTAGGCGACATGAGCCCGCTAGAGCCAGGGCCGGGGTTGTGAATGCGTTGGTGGCCGAAGAGGAGAATCCACCGCCGGAGCTCTTGTAGCTGTTTTCAGACAGACCGAAGATCTGCAAGGTTTCTAGCAGCGCAGGCATGCTAATTTCGAAAGGTGGGAGGCTAGAAGCGTCCTCGTCATCAATGCGTAGGTCGTACGATGTGAACAGGGACTTCTCCAAGGACGTGATGCCCTGTATGACTCTTGCTTCGTCGACACAGAAACGGATACCTTCCCGTGAAATCCTGACTTCTGCCTTTGGCGCAAACGAAATGCATCGAAGGACAAGGAAGAGCTGGCGGACTGAGGTCGAGACAGCAGAGAAGACCTGAGGACGGTCCATTTTTGAGGTCTCAGATCAAGTGCATATCAGACGTATACTCCAGCACCACAGATGGTGTAAACCGCACCAAATCTAGCACAATATTAGCTTCTACATGACATTGACGCGTCGTATGCTCACCCGAAGCACAGAGAGGCAGGAATGGCGTAGAGCGGCACGGCTGTAAGTGACCGGTTGAGACCAAAAAGTCCAGCGAGCACCAAGCCAGTAAGCAGAAGAGGGAAGCCAATATAGATCTGGCTGTCTTTGGCGATCGAAGGTTCGAAGGGGCTGCTGGCAGCTGCTTCCCAGAGCTCGTGCAAAGACATTGATGCGAGAGCGGCAAGAGGCAGAATGGAAACTAGCGACAGCAGTGGAACGATCTGTGATGCGGAGGGACGATGGAGCAGGAATATGCCAGTGTACTTTTACCCCCGGCCAGGTGTTCGTTCGGGCTGCTCGCTTCAAGGAGTCAAGTCATGTGGCGCATGAATCTTGGCTTCTGTGGCGGTTGTGGCGCGGAAGGGACAACCTCGAGTATGCGCTCCGCGCTGGTCGGCCCCGCGCTTCTCTTACACACTCCTGTGCTCTGCATTATTCCACAGCATCTCAGAAGCCAACAATGACCCATCTAGAAGATACCTAAGCCTTACAAAGATCAGAGAGTAATAAGTACGCAATTACACAGACGTGTCAGTGACTGTCCGTTGCGATGGCACCTGCCTCCACAGCTGAAGGCAAGTGAATGAGAAGCAAACGCGCACAATACTGACTGGACCTCCAGCCCCTTCTAAAAGAAAGGCTTCTGAAGATGCTTCATCTTCCCGTTCCAAAAGGGCCAGGACAGAGTCTCCTGTGCTAAACGGTACCTCAAAGCACACTGAAGTACGCGATACCCTGACTTCGTTTCCCCATGCGATATCACCTTGGGGATCCCCAGGCTCCACAGCCTGGGACCTTCACCTTCAATCCCAGCACTGCCTATACTTCCTACCCCCGCGCTTTCAGTGTAGCATCTTCGGACGCAACAGAACCTCGCACACCCATCATGGCAGGCCAGATCCTGGAACCCTTCATCGGCATGGATCGCATGGAACTGGACCAGCCAGATGAACCTGCTGCTGACAATGTACAGTCTGCTTCGCCGACGGATCCTCCCATCACTCCTACCCCAGTCACCTTCGATTTCCCCGAGAAGCCGGCAGTCATCGAAGAAAAGCAAGGTCACATCGAGTTCCAAGTGGTCAACAATGACAACTCGCGCCGCAGCAACATCATCTTGACTGGCCTCAAATGCATCTTTCAGAAGCAACTCCCCAAGATGCCCAAGGACTACATTGCTCGACTCGTCTACGACAAGACCCACCTCTCAATTGCCATCATCAAGCATCCCCTTGAAGTTGTTGGCGGCATCACCTATCGACCTTTCAACACACGCACGTTCGCCGAGATTGTCTTCTGTGCCATCTCGTCCGATCAGCAGGTCAAAGGATATGGCGCTCACCTTATGGCCCACCTCAAGGACTATGTTAAGGCGACCTCCCCCATTATGCATTTCCTCACCTATGCCGACAACTATGCTATTGGCTACTTCAAGAAGCAAGGTTTCACCAAGGAAATCACATTGGACAAGGCGATCTGGATGGGCTACATCAAGGACTATGAAGGTGGTACCATCATGCAGTGTAGCATGCTTCCCAAAATTCGATATCTCGAGGTACCTCGCATGTTGCAGAAGCAGAAGGAAGCGGTTCAAGCCAAGATTCGGGCGGTCAGCAAATCTCACATCGTTCATCCCCCTCCTGCTGCTTGGAAGAACGGTGTAGTTCCGATCGACCCCATGACAATTCCCGCCATCAAGGAATCCGGCTGGTCTCCAGATATGGATGAGCTTTCGCGCCAGCCTCGTCATGGTCCCAACTACAATCAGCTGTTGCACCTACTCAATGACATGCAGAACCACACCTCTGCGTGGCCTTTTGCTCAGCCAGTCAACAAGGATGAGGTGCCTGACTACTACGAGGTCATCAAGGAGCCGATGGATCTGTCTACGATGGAAGAGCGACTTCAGAACGACCTGTACCCTAGACCCGAAGACTTCATCAAGGACTCCAAGCTCGTTTTCGACAATTGCCGCCGATACAACAACGAATCGACACCTTATGCTAAGAGTGCCAACAAACTCGAAAAGTTCATGTGGCAGCAGATCAAGAACATCCCGGAGTGGTCGGTAAGTTGAGCTCCCATATTTCACAAGAAGTTGTTGACTGACAACTCATAGCATCTTGCCGAGTGAGTGATGTGAGCACTCCGGTATTGGTCACTCGCTGCGTAGCCGACGGCAGTTGAAAGCACGGAATGGGCATCGGTTGGATGTGGTACGATGGAAAATGAAGTAACGCCCTTTCAAGATACCCCAGCATGGACAGGCGTTTAGCATAGAGCAAACAGTCTCTGCAAAGGCAATAAAATGAAGGTTATGCATATCTCATGGTTTCCAGGTAGGAAGCTCAGAGTGGGGCTTGTAGAGTTTAAGGTGTTGCCTTAAATTGCAATTCCACTAGCGTTGCGCCGTCAGCCACTCACCTTCCATTCCCACTGAGCGTAGGTGCAAGGTGCGCTTCTTCATCGAAGTTCGATCAAACACCTCGCCGTATTTTCTGACGCTGTTTCCTTGCCATATTCAACGTCAAGTTCTGCGAGTCGCATACAACGAGTCCGAGCCTCCTGCATCGATCCGCAACCGTGACGCAGACCGGATTGCCGACGCGACGAGAATCCGAGACAACCTCGATCCCGATCGCCCCAAACCTGCTTGGTGACGCGAGTGTCGCTCGACTTCCTGGCTATTTCTGGCGCACGGTTCTTCTCAACATACCGATCGGTCAGGGCTCAATAAGGGCGTTGTCACGTCTAATATTGAAACCAGCAAGACCTCCCCGTTTGCGAATTATTCCGTCTCGGGAAATCCGTCGCGATGGCGGAACAAGAGCTGGAAAATCGCAATCGGCTGCCCACGCTGATGGAGGTTTTGGGCAGAAGGACACTCGCACCAGTTGACCTCTTCTCCTTTTACATTTACATGCGTGACCAGCAACGCTCTGTCGATTACCTCGACTTTTGGTGAGACCCCCATGTAACCCGGTCGATGACCGCTAACAAGGGCAGGCTCGATGTTTCCCAACACATGTCCCTCTGCCGACACTATGTCCGAGAGCTTCGTAGGTCGATGCTACTCGAGACACCCGAAATGGAGAAGGCGACTAGTAAGCGCTCCTCTGCGCTACTCGAGAACTTTGGCGACATTGGTGAAGCCGAGTCACATCCCTCGAGCAACGAGAAACGGAGCCACGAACAAAGATTATCAGCGTTTCTCAGACATGAGCACAAGAATAGCAACGGCAGCGGACAGTCCCCGGCACACAGCATGACTTCACAGCACTCGCGAAACTTCAGCAGACCTTCAGCCGAACAAAAGCCATCAACATCTGAAGGACCGCCTCGACCTAGTTTCATGTCGACTCCCGAGGTGCGTACGGACTCGAACTCTCCCGGACATACAGTAGCCCGAGCCGATATCAAAGCCAGCGCCGAGAAGATTCTGTACACCTTTATTCTGCCCGGTTCGGAGCGAGAAATCGTCCTTCCTCAGTCAATTCTGAACCGCATCATCCAAAACATCGAGGAAGAGGGTCGAGATGACCCTGAAGTGTTTGACGATGCCAAAGACTACGTCTTCCAAGCCATGGAACGGGATGCCTTCCCCGGTTTCCTTCAAGCAAAGGCTCTTGGCAACCTGGTGCCTTTGTCGATCCTCCTCAGATTAATCATCGGTCTGTCCAGTTTGATGGCTGGTTTCTGGGGTGGTTTCTACATGATTCTGACCGATCAGCCACGACACATCAGATGCTGGGTATGGCCCACTCTTCCTACTCGTACAATTCTTGAACTAACACACCTTCTAGCTTATTCTTCCCTTCACGATAGGCTGCTACTTTGTGGTCTCATATCAATACAAGCTCGACATCGTCGCCGCATACCTCGGATTTAGTGAATACACGTGGATGAACTGGGCGCGCATACGAGAGCCATATGTGCGGAAGCTGCTCTTATCGAGAGCCATGATGGCGACCCTGATCTTTGGCATTGCTACAGTCGCACTCAGTGTGCTTTTCATTTTCGTGCCGGGCACGAACTTCTGATTTGTCTTGCCCTTTATGAGTGTGTGTTTTTGCACAGTCGACCGTGTACCAACAGCAACGGTGAGGGCGGTCTCATGATTAACGATTGCGGCGTTTGATAATGAAGCGCTTTTTACTCTCTGCTGGATGCATCGAGAGATCAAATAAGCAGGTTAGATACGGGAATTCAAGTCTTTGTCAAGCCGATCGAGACCTCAAATTCATCCGACGAACAAACTGTTGGAAGATTTCTGGAATTCTGCAATCCTTGCAATTCTTTGCTCACTGAATGAGCCTACTTCAATGCCTTGAAGTGTCACCTTGATCATCAACCGACAGACCTCGATGTCTTCCCTTCGTGCTGATTCGATCCCATACTAGGAGCCCCTAGCCATCGTAGGCTCAGTAGCCTGAGTAATCTCTATGCTTGCTTGTCTTGATCGACCCTAGCGCCCTGTAACCAGACCAGACCAGACCAAAGTCCGGCACGTCTTACGCTGTCCGTCATTTGACTTCATATCGTTCGTGCCCATGTCTTCGTGGCCCGATGCCGCAGTGCGGCTATTATGCGCAGCAAGGCGCTCCGCGTGAAGCTGGATCGAATAGAAGTCCATAGATGAAACTGCGGCGTGGAAGAACCGCAACGGAGGCATGTGCTCCGTACCATTCAGAACACTTGATGTAGCACATTTTCAGCCTCGACCCCGGTTCCGCTTGGTGCCACGAGAGCCACCAGCGCCACCGAATGATGCTCCCATCTCGCCAATACCTTCGTCAACGTCCATGCCCTCTCCGTCGCTCCCACCGTACTCGTCGTCTAGATCTCGCTTACTGCCGCGCTGACCTCGGCCGCTGCGTCCGCTTCTCTTATCAGCATCGTCGTTAGCATTGCTCAGCACGGCCGCATCTACCACGTCCTGTCTCTTCTGAGCCACAATGCTGCGATCTCGTGCGGTAGTCTTGATCGATGTGATGTGTGCATCCAGCTCGGAGGCAACGGTGTCGCAGCGAGCAGACCAGGTGGAAAGGATTTGGAGAATGGCGGGTAGGGACTGTGGGCGAATGTCGCGAAGTGGAGCGACAGAGTGGATGTGTACGGCGGGAGGGTTTGAGGTGGGAGAGAGGCGGGCGGAAAGGAGACCGGCGTAGATGCAAGAGGTGACTAAAGATTCGAGAGCAGCGGAGCTTGGGAGATGGAGCGAGTGGACGAGCGAGGAGTAGGCCAGAGTATTGGCATTGGCGGACGCGAGACTGGCGAAAGGTGAGGCCAAAGTCAGAAGGCTCAGCTGTTTCAACTTTTGGGTTTGAGCATCGCTGAGGGTGGGAATGTTGGGAGTGGCTATGGTGGCTGTCAGTATTGTTCTTAGACAGTCGTGGCAGACCTCGTACCCTGATATTCCTCGTAGGTCCCCCAACTAAAGATCTCGAGAAGTGTTAGATAGGTCTGGAACTCGCTTGGCGTCTCATCGGCGCGGAGAGACTGGATGGCAGGTTGCTGGAGAAGCTCTGTGAAGACATAGGTTCCGGGCGCTTCTGTGGCTCGCTTGATCAAGTCGGCCAGGAAGCGCGGGGAAGGCGACTTGGTGGTGGTAGCAAGCAGAATGAAGGGCTGCAACGCTCCAAGAGCCTTGACGTGTGCAGGCTCCATTGCCGATCGAGCAACTTGTGGTAACACTGAACGACACTCTTGACTACAACAAGAGTGTTTGCAGGATCCTGGATTGGGAGAAGATGGGGAGTGTGGAGAAAGGCAGTCATCACTGCAAGTCGCGGGCGCGGCTTGAACGTCACGCTCTAGCAAGGCTGATATCCAGCCTTGTCTCCTATTCTTAGCAAATCACGTGGACGAGGGCGCGTCAGATTTGAGTCTGACCTGGGCTTGAGCCCAGCCCGCCCGAACAATGTTCCTAAAAGTGGCTGCGGGAGTGTATGCGACGCTATGGAAACACCACTTATCTATCCCTGAACGCAAGCATAGGCGCGACAATTACTAATTGATGATTTCTACTCCAATTCTTTTGTATCCATCCTTGTATTTGCAAGCCTTCAACCAAGTTCCTACCGCATCCAGTTCTGTTCCCGAACCACCCTTCCCCTGATCCGCAACGCCCGGAGTCGAATTGTACCAATCTCGCCAAAACCAACATCATACGATATGATGCTGTTATGAACACATCACACCACATACTACTTATCCACACTCCTTTACGATGGCCATCAGCAGTGCTGCTGGTGGGTCCAAGCCCATGAATGCTACGTCCGCCCACATGGCAACCACCACGCTTGATGTTCAGGGCATGACCTGCGGAGCTTGTACCTCTGCGGTTGAATCTGCTTTTAAAGACGTCGACGGTGCTGGAGCTGTGACTGTCAGCCTTATAACAAACCGTGCCGTTGTTCACCACGATCCCTCCAAATTGGCTCCCGAAGCAGTCGCCGAGATCATTGAGGACCGCGGTTTTGACGCCGAAGTCCTGACCACCGATATGCCTAAGCCTAATCTCGCTGTTGCGACGCACGATCTTCTGGATCTGGAGAAAGATGACCCCGCGCAGATTGTAGAGACAACTATCCAAGTTGGAGGCATGACTTGTGGCGCCTGCACATCCGCCGTCGAGTCGGGTTTCAAAGATGTGCCAGGAGTTGTCTCGATGACTGTATCTTTGATGACAAACCGAGCGGTCGTTTTGCATGACCCCGCCACAGTATCTCCAGAGGCCGTCGCAGAAATTATTGAAGAACGAGGTTTCGATGCCACGATAAAGGAGACCAAACCTGTTGCGTCCACAGGCGGTGCCGCTCAAATTACAGCCAACAAAGTCAACTCGGTGACTACTACGGTTTCTATTCAGGGCATGACCTGTGGCGCCTGCACATCATCAGTTGAGGGTGCTTTTAAAGGTATCGAAGGCCTGATACGCTTCAACATATCCCTGCTAGCGGAACGAGCAGTTATTACACACGACCCGTCCAAGCTGAGTGCAGACAAGATCGTTGCGACAATAGAGGACGCCGGGTTTGACGCAACATTAGTGTCCAGCCAAGCCGAAGGTGTGGCGCTCGACAGCGGCTTTGCGTCCATTCAGCTCAAGATCTATGGCATTATCGACAGCAGCCACGCGACCGACTTGGAAGAGCAGATCCGCTCGAAAGACGGAGTAGAAAGCTTTGTCATCAGCCTGGCATCTTCAAGAGCCACGGTCACCTACGACCCTTCGATAACAGGACTACGCTCACTGGTCGAGGCCGTAGAGAACGCGGGGTTCAACGCGCTGCTCGCTGACACCGACGATACCAACGCACAACTGGAATCATTGGCCAAGACTCGCGAGATACGGGAGTGGAAGCAGGCATTCACCGTTTGCCTGGCCTCCGCTATTCCTGTGCTTTGCATCAGCATGATTATACCGATGTTTATACCCATTCTCGATTTCGGATCCGTGGAGCTCATCCCAGGTCTCTTCCTGGGCGACATTGTCTGCTGTGCATTAACTATACCCGTTCAATTTGGCGTCGGCAAGCGTTTCTATAGATCTGCCTGGAAGAGTTTAGTCCACAATTCGCCCACCATGGACGTTCTTGTGGTTTTGGGAACCTCAGCGGCGTTCTTCTTCAGCTGCTTTGCTGTTATCATTGCTGTGTTGATGAAGCCTCATAACAAGCCTGGAACGGTTTTCGACACGAGCACAATGCTCTTCACCTTCATCACCCTAGGTCGCTGGCTTGAAAATCGTGCAAAGGGCCAAACTTCAAAAGCTTTGTCCAACCTGATGTCTCTGGCCCCCAGCATGGCCACCATTTACGAAGATCCTCTCTACGCAGAGAAGCTGGCTGAGGACTGGATATCTCCCAACTCGCCTGTTCTGAACAGAGCTCCTCCGGCTTTCGACGAGAAACGAGATGGTGCTCCCACCGCTGCCGCGGTTGAGAAAAACATTCCCACCGAGCTGATTGAGGTCGGTGATATCGTCATTCTACGACCAGGCGATAGAATACCAGCCGACGGCGTTGTCATTCAAGGTGATAGTTATGTGGACGAAAGCATGGTGACTGGGGAAGCTATGCCCCTGCAGAAGAAGAAGGGAGGTCTTCTCATGGCCGGCACCGTCAATGGCGCTGGAAAAATGGACTTCCGAGTGACCAGAGCTGGCAAGGATACGCAACTGAGTCAGATCGTCAACCTGGTACAGGCGGCTCAGACAAGTCGGGCGCCTATCCAGCGCATGGCTGATTTGGTTGCCGGTTATTTCGTCCCAGTCATCATCATACTTGGTTTGGTCACATTCTCGGCGTGGTTCGTCCTCAGCCACCTCCTAGAGCACCCTCCCGATATCTTCGTCCAGGCTCAAAGCGGTGGCAAGTTCATGGTTTGCCTCAAGCTCTGCATTTCCGTCATTGTTTTTGCATGCCCATGCGCGTTGGGCCTAGCAACTCCGACCGCAGTCATGGTGGGAACCGGCACTGCTTCTCAACAGGGTATTCTTGTCAAAGGAGGTGCTGCTCTCGAGATGGCTACGTCTATTACGCACATTGTTTTCGACAAGACTGGCACCCTCACCTTTGGTAAGCTGAACGTCGCCAAGGTTCAAACAGTCTCCCAATGGAGTTCTGATAATGGCCGAAAGCTGTGGTGGGCTTTAGTTGGGCTCGCTGAATCTGGCTCTGAACATCCCATTGGGAGGTCTATCTTGGCTCGAGCCCGTGAAGAGTTGTCCATCGGCCCCGAGGACCCTCTGCCTGGTCAGCTGGGAGATTTTGAAGTCAAGGTCGGCCAAGGCCTCTCTGCCATTATTGCAACCGGTCAGAGCGGCGAGCGATATCAGGTACTAGTGGGCAACGAAAAGTACATGGGTCGAAACAGTGTTCCCTTGCCTGAGGCTGAGCCGAGTCGTCAAAAGCTCAAAGGTGCAGCTGGAACCACCAACATATACGTTGCTATTGATGGCAAGTATGCTGGCCAACTCGCACTTTCCGATACCCTCAAACCAACCTCCGCTGCGGCTGTTGCAGCTCTGCATAAGATGGGTATCAGCACATCACTAGTGACTGGAGACACCTACGATACCGCTGTAGGCATCGCTCAACTGGTTGGAATCCCTACAAATTCCATAAAGGCTTCGGTGTCTCCCGGTGAGAAGCAGCAAATCATCGCAGACCTTCAAGCTCAAGGCGAGGTCGTAGCAATGGTTGGTGACGGTATCAACGATTCACCTGCTCTCGCAACTGCCAACATTGGAGTCGGGCTTGTCAGTGGTAGCGATATTGCTGTCGAGGCCGCAGATGTTGTCATTATGCGTTCAGACGACATGTTGAACATCCCAGCCTCATTCTGGATATGCCGTACCATCTTCCGACGTATCAAGTACAACCTCTTGTGGGCATGTGCATACAACGTTATCGGTCTGCCGTTTGCCATGGGCATCTTCTTACCATTCGGCCTGCATATGCCTCCTTTACTCTCGGCAACTGCCATGATGTTCTCGTCGATCTCCGTGACGTTATCAAGCCTAGCACTTCGCTGGGCGAAGAGACCCAAGTGGATGACAGCCGAAGCATTGGAAATGGAAGCGAGCACGATCAATGTACCAGTCGTTGGGGCGGAGCGAAAAGTTGGGAGCCTCGAAGCGGTTCAGAACAGGATATCAAGATTCGTCACCGGGAGAAGAGGAGCTGACTCGCGCGACAGAGGTTCTTATGTGCCCTTACAAGCGTCCGATGCTGTTTAGCGAGGCGCTATATGTTCTTTTATACAGTTGCCCACGAGGCTGCACAGTTTATTCCTAAACATGCCCATGTACTTGACGAGCTAGCTCTCTTTCAATATTCTCCTGGCCCTACGTCTCATCGTGTAAAAGTGAAAGTGTGCTGCGGACCGCCATCGGGCAGTTCTCTCCTCACCCTGCTGGTAGCAATTGAGGCAGTGAGGTGAAGAAAGTAGGTACGGCGTTGGCACAGTCCGATCGCCGCTGGCTAAGGTACGAGTCATTTCGCATCACATACTGGTAACTTGAGAACTCTGGGTCGACCGGCTTCTGGCAGAAGCTCGAGTTGCCCAATTGAGTCTCTGAGAATAGACCTGGCTATACTACGCCTGCAAAGGAGCGCATATACGTACGACTTGCTGCTGAGACTGGTACGGAATGTCTGAATAGCATCAACCTTTGGCTAATTGGTCGACCAGCCTGCACTTTGCCTTCTCCAACCTTGTGCCATCAAAGCACAGCACCTCAGTCTGCTCTCACGGCGTACGCTGCCGCTCCAGCTGCTCGACATTGATGTCCAGCTTCTCGTCAGCAAGTGACGGCGACATCGCCCTTTCAGCAGGCAAAATCTGCCTACCCCGAAGCTGTGCCCACACAGCCTTGTGCATGGGTTTCATAAACAATGCGTCCATCTCCTCGAGCGTAATTCCTAGACCTCGTCAGCGACGGAAATAAGAGGTGACGGTAGGCGAAACTTACCTTTTGTCTCTGGGACGAAGATAAAGGCCCAAATGCCCATGCATACGAGGACCGCGGAGAAAAAGAAGTATGCTCCGTAGGCAAGGTCCGAGATCATGTAAGGCGTTGCACGAGCAATGATGAAGCTTCCAAGCCAGGTATCCGCGGTGGTTAGAGCCACGCACAACATCCTGATGTCCAGCGGAAAGATCTCACTGGCATATCTGCGTTTAATGTTAGCTAGTGGTTGGGGAGGTGGAGCATGACCCGACTTACGTCCAAGTGATGCCTTGCCAGGTGGCACATATGATGAAAGCGTTGACATATACGCAGCTGGTCGAAGCGATTAGCAAATTGACATGCATCGCAGGATTCAAAACACTTACACCATGGCCAGATATCCCCAGCCAGTCTGCTGGGTTTCACCGGCAGCGGCGGCGGCGGCTGGGTCAACAATCTTGCAATAGGCGCCGACTGTTCCACGTCAGTAAAAGTTCTGATCTGTTTATGGGCTTACTCACTGTACCAGATGGGGATGCACCCAAGAGCGGCACCCCAGATCAGACCTTTTCGGCGACCGACTCTCTCTACCACGATGAAAGTGAAGGCGCACATGCCTAATGTTTTGGCAATACCATAGAATCCCGTGGAGAAAAGCCTCAATGAGGTTCCAGATACGCCGAGAGTCTCGAAGATACGGGGCGAATAGTAGGTGATGATGTTGACGCCGGTAAAGCTCTGGTCGACGTTAGCTCGACCTCTCGGGAGCAGTGGTCGCCATAACTTACCTGTAGGAACATGAGTGCAAGGCCAATGCCCAACCTATTGCGAGTGCCCTTCTGGAACAACTTTTTGACTTGCTCCTTCTTGCTCATACGGAGGGTGCTGCGTTGCTCGACCTGTGCACGGATTTCGCCCAATTCCTGACGAATATAGGGATGGTCCGAGGGCAACATTCGCAGGTAGGTCAGAATCTTCTCTGCTCCGTCAAAATTATCTCCTCTGGCAAGCCATCGAGGAGATTCCGGACACCACCACATACCAGCGAAGAGGAGCACCCCGGGCGCCAGTTGAAGGGCCAGCGGGATGATCCACTGGGACTGGTTCTCCACGTTGATGGTCTGGTCGGTCGCATAGTTGATCCAAAAGCCCAGCATACCACCACCCTGTGATGCAATTTCGAAGATTCCCACCAGTCTTCCTCGAATTGAGGGCGGAGCTGTCTCCGAGATGTATACCGGAACTGTCAAACTAGAGGCACCGATGCCCAAGCCGGCGACGGCACGCCCACCAACAATCATGTTCATATTGCCTCGGGCCGCTGTCATGATGGTACCACCGAGCAGGAAGACAAGAGAGGCCAACATGACGGTCTTCTTGCGGCCCCATTTCTCGGCGATAGGGAAGGTCAGAAGAGCGCCGAAAAAGCACCCGGCCTGTCATGTTAGCCGTGATCTGATGTGACTGTGGGCTACCTACCTGAAAGGTCGAGACAATGTTGCCTTGCGTAGTGTCGCGAGTCGTCTGGGATACTTCATCCAAGCCGTAATCCCGGCGAAAAGAATCCAGAGCCATGGTTCCTCCGATCACGGCAGTGTCGTATCCCACTAGAGAACTGTTAATGGGGGAAAGAGCAGAATTGGAATCCTGGACGTACTGGCAAGAGCAGACATCGAAGCGACGAAGGCAATAAGGTGGATTCGCCAATTTCTGACCTCTGGGGGATCAAGCGTCCCCGACGCATGCGTACTGAAGAAACCCATCACGGTGTTCTTCGAGAGCTCGACGACAGAATGCCAAGAGTTTGCGATGGTGGTTCGATTGATGTTAGAGACACCGACGGTATTCCACGCCGTACCGGGAACTTATATGCCTGCCCTGCCATCACACCGGCCTTGCTCCGGGGTAGTATCGATATGTATCATGGTGTGGATCTATCCATTCCCCGCGGCGGAGGTAATCATGCACAAGCGGACGCACATCAGGCCGTTTGTGGGGGATGCGCAACGGCAACTGTCTTCACGGCCTTCACACAACATCACACTGCATAGACGATTGGCGGAAATCTTCCTTGGCATGCCGTCGAAAGGTGGAAGCAAGTCTTGGTAGTGCCACGCCGTTCCTTGGAACTGCTTGACCGGGCTTAGGGTAGAACCCTTTCGTCCTTGGCAATGGCGGAGGTTGAAAGATTTCCCCAGATCTCCGCCGAAGTTGCCCGACCTGCATGAGGACCCCCGTCTCGGCAAGAGGACGAGACGGAAGTCTGACTGAATCCAACTCCAGGCATAGTCGGGCATTATCGTCCACTTGTTCTGTGCAGGCGACTGCCCATTACTGCCGCTGAGCCCATTGCTAAGCTCAATCTTGGGATCATCAAGATACCTTATCCCGAGCGCCGAGCGTGGCAGTGCGAGTCATCAGGTGTTCTTTGTACCGATCTATACATCGTCGGGCCTACCGGTGAATTGTGCGCATATATATGCATGCAGAGAGAGTAGCTTAGAACACTGTTGAATCCTGCAAAGTCCAGAGATTTAAGTTCCGATAGCGGGGTGCGTGTAGCGTGTACCTGGGTGAACGCGGGATGCTTGGCTCCCGGCCGTTGCGTCAGTGCCTTCAAGTTCTAGAGACTGTGCACCCCATGGTACGATGTTTCTGCTATCACTGCAGTTTGAATATTCGCGAGTTGGTCGCCTACGGAAGTCCTCGGCCGTCACGTGACCGCAGTTCGACCGGAAGCTTTTCAGATCGTGCCGTCGGCTTGGCGGCAAGCATCATGATGTTTGTCCCGACGTCCTGGTCTTCTTAAGAGGGGGAAATGCATGGATCTTTGAATATGTGCGCCTCCAGGACGTCTACCAGCTCAAATGGGTCTTCCTCGCCGACGGATCAGGCTGTACGGACACTGTGCTCCAAGTACTTCCACCGCGCTCTATGGCTTCCCGAAACAGCAGAGCATCCAAAACTTAGAGTGACATATTCTACAACGACTAACTTTGATGATGCATCTTTGCCAGTCATTCTATTCATTGGACCAATGTTTGGCTCTCGATGGAACGCCGTGGACTCTGATAAGCTGGCGAGAGATTGTGGCGTGCGTCTGATATGCACTGACAGGTAAGAGTGCTGCGGGAGACGCTTGCTAGGTACAGTCATCAGCTGACTGCGAAACGCTAGACCAGCGATGGGAGGCTCCACGCCCGTAGACATCAACATTCGAATCAAGGTCTGGCTCGAGACTGTACCCGTACTGTTACAGAAACTCGAGATCAAGCACGTCAACATCATGACACATAGTGCCGGCGCGATATACACGCTCAACACCCTGCTCCATCACTCGAGCATCCTCAATCCAAAGACACCTTTTGTAGCATTTCTAGGTTCGTCTCATGCAGCGCGAGCCACTTGCTTATAGAGAGCTAACAGCCCTACTAGCTCCATATGTCCCCCTTACAATCTCTGGCGCGACCCTCCCAACTCTCCTCTCTAGACTCCCTGTCGGCATGCTAGACTCATGGGCTGATCTGAACACGTTTATCAACAACAAGATAATGCCTACTACCTCATGGTCCAGTGGCCTACTCTCGTTCGCAGCATCTGTCTTCCCGTCGTCTGCGAGTACAGATCTTCCAGGAACCGAAGTGTCACCTTCCATGACTCAAACAGAACGATATGGCGTCGACAAAGAAACGGCGAAAGCGATCGATAGCCTGCTCATGAAGTATAGATTTGCCGAAGACACACACGGCATCAACGATGAAGCAAAGCTCTGTCTTGGGAAATGCGACAATGCCGACTGGGGCGAGGCGCAGGACTATGCAGCATGCATAAGATCAATCGCCCAGAAAGAACGAACTTTACAGCAGCAGGATACCCGAAGAGCGAAGCTTAAAGTTGAGGCGGTCTTCAGCGGCTCCGACGTAATGATCGGGAAACGTGGGCAGGAGTACTTTGAGCAGTCCTGGCAACACGATGAGTTCAGAGAGTGTTTGGATTTTTCGACAAAGACGTATTCTAAGGCGAACCATGACTCGTTGGTAATCGATTACGAAAAAGGCGCGCTTCGGAACGTCTTCAAGAGCATTGCTGGCTTAGAAAGAGGGCGTAACTAAGAACGAGAGATTGTAGACTATATGTAGTTACTCTAGGTGCCAACGTGCCTGCATAGATTATGCCTCTTCACCCTAGCCGCATTCAAAGGTCCTACCTAATACGCTTCGGTGGTATCTATTTCATAGTTCAACGAGTCAGTGGACCAGCAAATACATGGCCGCCTGGTGTGGCCGAGAGACGGCTGAAAAGCAAAAGTTGCTCCGGTCGTGAGACCTGCCAATCAAATGTGGTTCAAAGATGTCGCGACACCCCTCGTACAAGATGTTGTTGACATATTGCGGTCTACGCTGGCAAGAGACCCACATGGCTTTGCGCTTCTAACCACCAGCGAGTCGTCCGTCCCTCCAGACTTTTAGGTCGGTAGCCTGCACGCCACTGCTTGTCCCTCACACCCAGTAAACGACTACTACCTATTTTAGTCCCTGCCCCTGACCCTTTTCTCGCACCTGGTCGGCGATCTCGTGCATACCTTATCAGCTTCACTGTCCACGAAACTCCGGATTACGACGTACTCGATCCCTTCCCCCCAAATTGCAAAGAACTGGGCTTCATCACGCGACTCAACCGCTGAAAGGCTCCGTGCCGTTGTATGAACTCCTCAGCTTGCATGTTTTGCAGTATTCACAAAACGAATTACTAGGTACTCCTCTGAATCATTGTGCAAAACGCGCAGAGCATACTAGTACCTATGTATATGTGGTCCAGTCACCACTTCAAGTCTAGGTCGCGAGATTCGGGGATGCTCTTGATGTAGAGCCTGCCCAAAAGCCGTACAGCAGGCGTCCTTTAAGCTTACGATCTGCATATGGTCAGTCATATCTGCCGCTCGCAGAGAGATTAAGGCGGACGATCTGGGTTCGTTCCCAACATGGCCGATAGACTGCCAGACCCTCAAACAACTCGTCCAGTCGATCGCCATCCGCCTCTCGACTATAGAACGTGAAGGAGTCTGTGATCTAAACAAAGAGGGTAAGCTCTTTCAGACGATGACAGTCCCGAGTCGTCTCGACATGAAGTCAGCCTCTTCATCAAATCCCAAAAGCGTTGGGCTGCCGCTTCTTGGCCAAAGCTGCACGCATGCATGATCAAGATGAAGTTGTTGGCATACAGGAGCTCGGTGCCGACTTCATTAGAATTGAACGCTTGCAAGCACGTAGCACCTGTGACTGTATACTTTGGTCTTTCGGCTGTCCCATGATTGTTGTGTATGATTTGTGTTTGCCGAAACCACCAATCTCGAATGATTCAAGGTTGCTGACACTGCTCGGCTGAGAGCTGGAGTACTCAGGTACTCAGGTACTAGGTAGAGGTCTGAAACTGCGAGCCAGAATCTCTACTGGCAAGCTCCCCCAATGAGAACAGTTTAGTTCTCATACTGCCTCGACAGCAAAGATTCGGGTCTGCAGATAGTATGACCAAGACAAACATGATGTACCTACTTTACTAAGGAGCGTAAGTACAACCGCCATGTGCCAATGCAGCTTGTGATTCGCTCCATGGTTCGTTTCTCACCATTCACGGATTGCTTACAGCTTCGACATAAATGACAGGATTCAAGACTGGGGCACCTAGTTCCTGGGCGTAAAGTACGTTGCAGACAAAAGCTCAGAAGCCACGCCACGGGAAGTCAAGAGCCCAGACAACTACGCATGCATACCTTACCTTGGTCGCAGGATTGATTAGAAGGCTGAAGAGCAGTCCGATCGCTGGCCTCATGCCTACATACTACTTATCGGTCAAATGCGTCTTAGATCAGTAGTGCCATTCAAGGAAAGACACGGACATACATTTCGTTCACTACAGAACAGGAAGATGTGAGCGCTACCCTTCGCTCGCTCTTGACGACGGAAAGCGCAAAGCCGGGTTGGACAAGTGCAGTAGGTTGACTTCCTTCAATTCGTACCAGATAAGGTGTTTTCTCCAAGCTGCATCATTCGGATGACTATCATTCCCTGTATATCTATGCTCACTGTAGCATGTTCTTTCTTTAGACAAGTACTGTTGGTTACTGCTTCAAAACAAACAATGACTAACGCCGAATCCTAGGTAACAAGCCCTTGGAATGGTCAAGCTGGAGTCTTCCGACGCGCTCTTCAAAATCAGCTAACTTTGCTGCACATCGTGGTATATGACGGGTCGACAGCCTCGTGTGGCATAAAAGAGAATAGTAGCATGGGTCCTACGTGGTGGGCGTACCAGACAGTAAGTTGCTATCACGGAACCTGCCGTACGGACCTTCGGTTCGGCACCCTCCTCATCACTTTTCTACGCCCATACCTACGGCAATCTGAGCGGCAGACAATCATTGGCAAGGCATCGAAGGGGATAAGCGTGGCAGCAGGGACGGCATGTTCTTCTATTCGACGCCTGATCGTTTCCCTGTTCATCGTTGCGCCCCGTTTGTACGCCGTGTCGTGGGTGTTCTCGAACCTGTTCAATCGACCTGTCACATTTGTTGCGAACACGAGCGACGCCTGAACGGCACGGCGCCGAAAATTGTACCTAGTATCAGAGGGGAGAGGTCTCGATGATAAAGACTCGCTCTGTCCAGCTGTAGATTGCCCCTACATCCTGTCCGGAGCCTAGTGGTATAAGTCATCCCTGTAGTGCCATTGAATACCTATACGATGAGTGATCAACCATCAAGACCACCACCAAAGTCCACCAACGGACACCACCCTCCGAGGTCTAAAGACATAAACTCTCGTTTCAAGGTCGATCACTGAGATCCCAAGAAGTCAAAACAGCTGCCGAACGATGGAAGTGGCACTGCCAACCACAAGCAACTGCGGAATCTAGAAGAAGATGCGCCGAAAGAACCACACAGACGCTGAGAGCGACGATCTGAGAGGGTTTGGTTCCCGTTGTGTGCACGTGGAGAAGGCACATGACACATGTGAACATTAGAACACAGACTTGACAGGGACAGGCAGTGGAGGAGATGTGCCCGATAGGTATCTTTTGCGTCGTGACCGGGAAGGTGATTGGCAAGAGGGATTCCGTGCCCACACTCTTTACCAATTTTCTCAGCTTATCACCTCGCCGAGTAGTAGTAGGATTTATGTTAGAATAATTGATTTGATAAGCATGATGCAGTATATGATCTCATGATCCGAAACCTCTTCTGTTGTATGGGTACATACTCTAAGTATAAAAACGTGACACCACCTGTATGATATGAGGCTTGGCGAAGAACATTTGTACTACGCAGGATCTGTCAAAGTCTCAACTATGCTACAGCACTTACACATGCTTTACGTACTGTTGCCAATGAAGCAATGTTACTACATAACCCTAGCTGCTCCCAGATCATAGGTACGTGTTGTCTATGTTAGAGGTACGAGATAAATAAACTATTTTGGCTCTTTTCACCCTGTTGTAATCTTGAAGCGCACACTTATGAGACGCACACACGGTTAATAGCTATACAAAGTCAGGAGTGGGAGAGAACTTCTGCACTGGCGCGCCATCTATTCCAACTCTTTCTTAGGGCTAGCTATGTATATACGATGGTCCCATAGGGAGAGGAGAAGGCAGAGAAGTAGCTGAAGGAGTGTTACTAACGCTTCTAGTGTAAATCCTGTCTCTTACTGACAGTGGCCAGTGAGGGCGTGTGCACCCGAGGCGGAAAATGGAACGCAGTATCACTTTAGTCCTCGCCCTTGATGTATTAGGTACTGGATGACACTACTTGCGCCGTATAGATACAGCGGGGAAAATCATTTCTCTCTAGTGATAACGCTAGCTGAGCAGAGGCCTTACCTCCCGATGGAATGCATTGGTCTAGCTTTCTTTGGCCCAATGAACGGGCATCTGTCCTGTTTTGGTCACTTGGCAGCAACTATGTCTCCCACAATCATTTACTTCCATTGATTATCTTTTCAGTAAAGCAATTATTGAGGTTGTTGGGGGCCTTCTTCCTGCTCGAGGATAATCTTCTGATGCAGTTTTTGTGGTCTTCCAAACGCTCATGGCGCTAAAATGACCTAGAGGCATATGCCTGAGTACGCCCTTCGGCTACGACTTTGGAGCACCGCCTCTCGTAGTGCATTTACCGGGGAGTGAACAGCATGCTACTAGGACGTTCTTTTGCGGCATCTTCTTAGGGTTGATCCCTCCTTCGAAAGACCTAGTACATCCTCCTGGCACATCACTGCGAATTGTGTATGCACTACCTAGTACTCTTGGTTCTTTTGGCTACCACTCAACTTGCCGGTTAAGGTGTTCTTCAATTGAATGCACGCTCAGGCGTGGTACAGATATAAGGAAGAACTTATCGCGAGCTCCCACTCCTAAGTATGTATTTGATCGCTGGCACCTCGGGCGATGAGAACTTACATGTGATCGCGCGATTGCTCGATCCAGGAAATCGGCAGCCGTAGTCAGCTCTTGTTGTTTTTGGTGTAATGCATGTCTGATGGCCCCAATGCGATGACTCGAGTCAAGGGTACTACTGTAGCCAGGAAACTCGGACTTGACAACTTACAACATTTTAGCACAGGATCAATTTAGCCTAAACCTAGTTATAACTTCACCCTGACTTGGGCTTTACCCTAACCTACCTTTGCGCCTATTTGGAGCTGACTCTCTTTTGTAGAGGCGGATAGGAGCTCTGAGACCACCTGATATTCAATATTAGTATCATTGTATATCTTGTAAAGATCGTTGTGTCTAAGGAGCACGCATTTTCCGCTCGCACACGCACACATCATCCGCACACAGTACTACTCTACCAAGGTTTGCACCAGAATTCAAGCACACCCTAGCCCTAGGTAACACCTCAGGCGGTCTGAATAAAACTGATGAAGGATATCATCATGCCTTTCTATGAAGGACCACACCGGGATTACGCCAGGTGCACACTAGGTGCACACCACTGCTCTGGATCACTGGTACTGCTTCGTAGCAGTTGAGCTAAACCGTCCTGTCCCGGAACCATGCTGGACCCAGCGACTACAATGTAATTTCAAACCATTAGGTAGGTATGAACTTGGAACTCTTTAGTATTCCATGGAATTTTATTGATATATCATTTGTATGGACTATTTCACAAGCATTATACTGATGACTTATTGTGGTATATTACTAGATTTAGTAGAGATCTTTAGCAAGTTGAAAAGTCAGGCTGTTTGGAGTAGGTAGGTCCAGAGCAGTCTAATGCAAATCCAGGGCAAGTTAAGGGTCATCTACACATAGTATTAGGCTATCTATCCATGATGAACCTGAGTAAGACTGCTGGGTACGTAACAGATTGGTTTTCAAGTGATCCCTTGTAACAGGCAAGATAGGTGGTGTTCAAGGGGAGGTGGGCTCCCAAATACAGCGGCTCGCTGGGAAGGTGATGTATCAGAGAGTGCTAGGAGATGGCGTCTTAAGTATGGGTAGAGTGGAAATGTGTAGCGCGCTAGTGTAGAAATTTCTACTAAGCCTGACATAAGGGTGACTAGTAAGTGCGTGTGCGTGCGAAAAGTGCGTGCTCTGAAACATCACGAGAAGTACTGAGCGTACGGTAGAAATCGACCGTTTACAGCCTGTCTAGAATGAACGCATAAGACAGTAGTAACTCAAGTCTGAAATCGTATAGACCTACTCGGAAATGTTGCAAAACATGTAACTCTAGTGATGATAGTAGAGCGTATTCAAGTAGACGTGTGAACTACCATCTACTCTTGAGTAGTATTTAGTACCTAGGTCTTGTGAGTGCAATATTAGCACCATGTATTAGCACCGCTCCCAAAAAAGGGTATCTGGATACTCTCTTGGCGAATCATACTACCTAGGTACAGGGTAGCAGGTTTCTACTTATAATACTCTTATGAGTATGCCCAGAGCACTCGTCACTCTTTGAATGCGGCCCAGATAAATTAAGTAGTAAGAGAGAACCTCTACATGCCCTTTTGAGGTATCTCAAGACCTTAATTGTTACTTTTGGTCACACTTTCGATACCTACTACTTCATCGTACCATTAGACGCAGCATATATGTGTAACACACACATATTCCCACAAGAATGTCCTAGATAGTAGTAATGATGGTGTGTGAAAACGTCGCAGAAGATCATTATACCACATCCTTGATTGCCCAACTTAGTTAGTACTAGCTAGCATTGAGCAGTATTAAGTAGGCACCTAGTGTTATATTGATTGCTGTGGCATCACGGGAGGCTACATAAGTGTTGTGTCTCTAGAGCACACTCACTAGCCACGATGACATCAAGCTTGGCATAATTCAATAGGTATAGATACACTATCATTTCTGACTTTATCTACACAGTAGTAGCTATGCCAAGTTGTCTCGATCCACGGTTTTGAAAGAGTGCTCTAGGACAATGCTAAAGTGAGTAGCTCAAGAGGATACTCGAAAACCCCCTCGAGTGTGCTAAAGAAGTCTATCCAAGAGGGTACACCCACTAGAGAGTAATGTAGTAGGAGGGAAGCAGCCCGAGAGTGTACATTAGGTATGAGGACCTGAAGGTTGCTCGGAATCATAAGGAGTACATATAGGGGGACTCTCACAAGGATGAGACTCAGTGCATCTTCGGTAATAAATATCTAGCGTAGCTGGACAGTTCGTATGTACTTGGAGTGCGTACTCTGGACCCGCAACGCTACGAGAGCTGCCAAGCTCTCTAGGCGATGCCGTTTCCTGCGACACATAGTGCAGTAGCTTTACGAGACCCCTAATTTGCGTTTACTCTAGCTACGCAAGGGCGATCGAGCATGGTATTGATACGACATCACTTTAGTGCTGGCGTGGGGCAAGGGTCCTGGAAACCTCACGATTGCTTTGCCCATCCCGCCACAAGGTCGCGCAGAGTCTCGTTGCTACCAACATTGCCGGGAAATACCACATACGCTGGGCAGATTAGTAGGAATAAAGCGCAAGGATATATGTGATACGTACGAATGCCAGCCCATTTCGAGCTGGACTCATGACATCTCCATAATGGCACTCCTGAGGCAGCTTGCCCAGCGATCTCGGCCCTGCGCATCCTCAGACTCTTGCTCGCCGCATCAGAAGACGTGATGCCACCCTATCGCATGATTAGCATCTGTTCCATCTTTAGTGCATGCTCCGCACCTTTGCAATAACGTATCTTGGCCTCTGCTCAAGCAGTTCCATAAAGTCCACCAGGGATTGAGCGACTGTGCTTCCTATCTTCAAGCTTGAGACTTCATCTTCGGCGGTTATGAGCTTCCTGCTTGTCATTATCAAAACGTCCTCGCCCTGTACAATCATCTTATCCGCTTCAGCCGCTGCTGATCTCACGGTCTGGCGCGTGTTGTCGGGATCAGCCAGTAGTTGCTCAACATCGATTGTGATTGTCCGCAAGCAATCACCTCGACCTTGCACTAGCGACTCAAGCTGCGCTGTAGTTTTCGGCACGTAAGAGCCAGCCACGATCAAACCACCCGGAGCAGAAGCTGTCGTATCCATCTGCAAATCTTTAGGCCCTAAAGGTGGGATTTGCTCAATGCCCAGTCGTGTCGAGACAAAGGCAGCACCGGTTCGGTAGATGTATCTTCGTCCCTCTTGTTGTGCTTGTAAAAGACCGAGGACGAACACCTCCATGTCCTCATCGACCACAGAATTGACGATGATGACCTTCTTCTGCAGGTCAAGTAGCTGTTTCTTGACCGCAGAAGGCCCACCAGTTCTGATATCATTCAAGCTGATCGAGCCCACATCGCCCTCAGTAATCCTTCCTGTCGACTTTTCTGCGACGTATTTTGCAAGATCGGAGTTCTTGTAACCGAAGGTGGCGTCCTTCGCAAACGGCGTCTGGGCTGCTGGTACTAACTTGTCTTCCTCCGCGACGTAGTGAACGTTGTCTATGGTGAGACGACCCCCTTGTCTGAAGAATGGAGCCAATATCCAGCCATTAGCCTTACCGACCACTTCTTCGGCGACCTCTGGCTCGTCAGGAAAGTGTCCTCGAAGGGTTGAGTCACCCCTCATGACGAATTCGAACTCCTTGCCTACAGTAGATGCAGCATCTTTGACGGCGAGGCATATTTCCTTGACGAGATTCCTTGCTTCGAGCGTTGGCAATGCGCGCGAGTTGGTCAGGATGAAGAAACCACTATTGGTGGATTTGAGTTCGTCGACAAGAGTTTGCTTATCCCAGACGGTCAGGACATTGATGCCATGACAAGTTTGAGTTCCGGTCGGATCATCATCAAGTACGACGAGTATCGGTAGCTTGCCCTGACTTTGTAGCTTGGCGACCTCATCTGATGAACCGGTATTTTTTGACGGGGGAGGGAGTCCAGCAAGGGTTTCCTCGCGCGGTAGAATACTGCAAGGCTCCATGAGTTAATTCACCCAAGAAGAGGCAATCATAGCTTCATGTATTTCTGTTGACACGGACGTCGCCGTGTTCTCCGGCAGCGTCATGTGGGGACAAACGGCAACTCGACCGGTATTGCGATGGTGCGAAGGGATACTCCAGAAATTATACTGTGCCCCGCATGACAACCTCGGTGTTCGGGGGTTGCCCGTCCCCGCCGTCGCGGGGTTTAGCCGAGCCGGGACTCCCACCGTTGATGCCGATACAGGTTGTCTTGCAAGATGAACGACTAACTAGAGGACCCCATGGTTTGCAGGCAGTACAAGCTACCTGTGACGTATCGTGACACTCAGATCCATCGGATATTAGGTAATCCAGTCGCGAAACAGGATACTGACTTGAGACGGCCACGCTTGCATCTTGCATGAGTACGCCGTGCTGACCAGCGACCGATGTCAGGTGCAGGACTTGATAAACTGATCAAAACTCTAAACATACCGCATTGTTACCTCTTCAAAAGCAAATTCGATAGCTGGCAGCGATATGAAGGTCCACTTACTGACAAGCCTTCACCAGGTCTAGCACCAAGGTAAGGCTGATCTCCAATACGAGGTATTCTTGGACGAGATATGGCTTTACTGGAAGACAGAGTCGCACCTGAATCAGTATCGATAAGTCACACCTCCACACCAGGCCAGAGGTAAGGCGTATTAATTACATTGCGGAAATGACGGCGGCGTTTCCTGACTCGCGGCATCGGTTTGGGGCCAATCTCTTACAGAATGTTCGCTTCGAAACAAGCTTCAGTACGAGCTTTTAATAGAAACAACCCAGACGAATCTGCTGCGAAGTCGAAGAATGAACACGTGTACCCCCAACCTGCCGTGGTACATGCCGCACAGCCGTCTGAGGTCTCTGGACCAGGTGTCCATGACGATACCTAGAAGCTGCTGACGTCGAGTGCGCGCACGAAGAGAAGACGAAGCGGCGAGGCAGAGTGGAGATGAAAACTTCGCCAAGACCTGCGGGCGCATCTCCCCGTGTTCAGGTTGTAGCAAGACTCTCAAGCTGTCTCGGTGATCTTCTCCCAGATTTTCTGACGTTGGGCAAGCCTTAATGCTCGGGACTGTTAGTGCCAGCAACCCCCGATTCTTTGTCTGCCATTGCATGGCGGGGGTGGTGGCTGGTCGGAAAGCGAGCTATCCCACGGTGAGGCGCACCGCCAAGGTCCTGCATCCATCAATGTCTAGGATTCAGATTTAGCATAGCCTTAGGGCAATCCAGATGCCCAAGAGCTCCTTTGCTATCCCTGCTGCTGCTCATTTAAGCGGTAAGTGCGACTATTACGGCCTGTGGGAGCTCTCCAGATTACGACAGTCCGCAGACATGATTCAACACAGTCTTCTTATCGTCGGTCTTTCGTGAAGACCACTCTCATGGTCTTACGTCGGTTCAGCCTTACTACAGTAACCACGCACAAGATCCGCACTCCCTTCTTATCTAAGTCCGAAGCGGTTGCCCCAGCCGTCCTATTTGACAATCCTTTGTCCTCACGCCTTTCAGCTAAGATCTGGAGGCGACTTCTGCAGATCGTCTCTAGCAGTCTACATCTGGATCGCAAGAACTGTCATGTTCCGTAGTCGCCTTGACGACAGTGCCAGACACCAAGCTGTGAGTACGTCGAACTATGGCGGCTTTGAATCATCTGGCGCCGTTCAACCGTATCTATGGACGAGGTGGTCGTGACTACCAAAATGTTCCGCTAGGTGATGTCAATGCCGACCAAGACAGTAGGCATCCATCAGCGGCCGGACTTGGATTTTTCAATATCGACTACGAACATTCCACCCGGAGACCTGTGTCGCCGCGATCACCAGAGAGCGCTCGCCACTTCAGTCAAAGTACAACACAACAGAACACCCCAGGTCTAAGTGCTGGCTTCCCGTCACCCGACTGGGTTTCATCACACAGAACTTCTTACAATGGTACGCAAGGGTCGCAATACAGTCTACTGAGTCCGGATCGCCACCAACATGTCGACTGTCCTACCTCTGGAGATATCCTCGTCAAGCCTTGGTCGGGCATCACCATATTCGTGCTCTTCCTCTCAGTCTATACCTTCTGCTTCAGCGGAGTTTTTCTGGGCATCGCGCTTGCCAAACCAAGATGGGGTCGACGCATCGGCGCTGACGGCCTGTCATATTCTACAGCTACCTTGCTGAGTGCACTGTTCTCCAAGACGGTGGAGCTGTCCTTCGTGGCAGTTCTGGTCGCAACAATTGGTCAAATTCTCAGCCGTCGAGCGATTGCCAAGAAACCAATAAATCGAACGGGCATCAGCATCGCAGAAATGACCATGCGCTCCTGGATTCTGCAGCCGGGTCTCATTTTTACTCACGGTAGTGCTCTCAAGTATGCTGGCCCCACATTGATAGGTGCTTTGGTCCTGGTAGCAACGTTTGCCGCCACATTTTATACCACCGCTGCCGAGGCATTGACCTCGCCGAAGCTGAAATTCGGCCCTTGGGAAAAGAGAGTCATGTATGGCATGGTCGACACGGTATTTGCCAATGCTACATTCTTGACTGAGGCCTGTGAGACCCCAATTCAGGGTGATGCGGATGCAGGGGGGACTTGCCTACAGATTGACTACGCAGGCCAGGCATATCACAACTTCCAGTCCTATCTGGCCAATTGGACCGCAGCGAGGGACGCAGGCGACAGCGACAGCAGAGTGGAAATTCATTCAAGACCCAAGCCCGTCTCTTTGGTCTGGGACAACACCACATGTGTTGGCCAATGGATAACTCCAAGTGGTGAGAACGTTACCAATGATTCGGCTAATGGACGTCTCGTGCAGAACGTCACCGTTGCCATGCCACACGCCAACCTCATTCGTGCAGCGCGACATCCCGACAACAAGATTGCACAGCCAGAGGAGCTGGCCGGTCAAGGGGAGTATTATGTCATTGGATCTATCCCAGCTCCTGCGATCAATGTTCTTTGCGTCGGCATGTCCACTGAAGAGGTCGAGCCCCTTATATACGATCCGTATGAGCCCCAAGCTTCAACGTTGTGCCCCCACTGACATTCGCAGAAACAACACCGTCCCTCATTCTGCTAGCTCAACAGTGGTGGACGACATCTTCGGCTTCGGTGACTTCTTCAACGATGGAGCAGCCCCGGCTCCACTTTTCCCGCATTTGCCTATTGTATACAATACCGTCAACAACAACTCTCTTGAATGGGGTCCTGCAGCAGTCTATCTACTGGGCACTCCGCCTGACGATCTCAACACTTCGGATCATATCTTGTGTTCTATAAAGGTGATGCAGTATCCGCACTGTACGACAAAGTATCACGCAGCCGAATCCGGCGGAGAGCTTACCGTTCATTGCGACGATGATCCGGAGAACACTCGACCGTATTCTGAAACGATTCGCGATGCACCTTCCGGCATCTGGGATTCCAACTGGGAGGACATCGGCTCCGAATGGCTGAAAGCCAACGCACTCAGCCACGGAATATCTGACGGCAATGCATCGATTGCGAGGATAATCACGCAGATGACCCCACGCCACAATGGAGATCAAACAGTGCTAAATCCAGATCTGCCTTCTATCGGGGAAGCCTTGGCTGTACTGGCTGGTTCCACCGCCATAATGTCATCTTTCCACGCACCTTTCAATCATACTGACCGCCCGGCAGGACCTCCCTCGCAAGAGACCTTTCCTGCATCTGTCAGATATAAGGATTACGCTTCTGGCGGCAGTGAAGATTGGCAGGGCATATTTTACGTTATTCTTTTCGTTGTTTTCTTGATCAACCTATTTGCCTTGGTCTACTTGTTCATACATCTGTGCACAGATGGTCAGGTGACAGACTACACGGAGCCGCAAAACCTCTTCGCGCTAGCTGTGATGAGCCCGCCATCTCAGAGCTTGTCCGGTAGCTGTGGAGCTGGACCGACAGGGACGGCATACGGAAAGCGATGGCGTGTGGACATGCAGAGTAGTGGGATGAGTCACACCGCCCAACATCCTCATTTCTACATGAGGTGCACCGAAGACGTGAGAGATGAGGGAGAAGGCACCGGAACCGACTACATGCAGACGAGCACGAACGTTCGGCGACACTGGAAACGAAAGAGTCGAGTGAAGAGCATGCATGATATGGATGGTAACTCAGGAGCGATGAGCCCTGCGATCGAGCAATATCGCAGGCTTGCTGGGTAATGAGCCAAACGATGGTATGCTTATATATATAGTATTTTCACGACCTCTGCGATTGAATGATACCCGGTATAATTACCCGCGGCGATGCTCTGAGCCCACCGCCAATGATCGACAGAAACACGTGATGTACGTTGACATCCGTTCTCGACCTCGTGTCGGCAGGCTTGTTCAAATGAGAGCATTATATGCAGCTTTAACCGAGTAATCGATGGTTGCAGCAAAAAAAATGTTGGACGGAACTCTGAAGTGCCGGACTTGAGAGGGTTTGATAATGTCGACGGGGAAAAGAAACGCTTTCAGGGCCTGCCTGTTTCTTGGAGTCGAGGCAGGAAAGTAACAGGACTTGCAGCATGTCACACTCTATGCTCCAAACGTGTCCGAGACTCCGGCTTCGAATGAAGGGGGTTTCTTGGCAATCGCCAGAGCTCCTCCTTAGCCCCTATGATCGTTGGATCCGGCTGGCGGAGGACAGATGAGAGGGCGGGGCGAGGCCCCTGCCAAGTGGGATATGGAGCCCTTGGCAGCTGGGCGACCTGGGCGGCCCAAAACAACACCCGTTGCTCTTGTGTGCTGCTTCACACTACAACCATGCAATCTGCTGGAAAATGACCAAGAAGAACTTCCAAAACTGCTGGCAATGTCACAGTGTAAGTTAATAGTATGGCTCGCCTCGCATGATACGCCTGGTTGATGGGATCGCAAGCCGGAACCGAGCTGCACAAGACTTGTCTTGGTATTCCTTGAAGTCTTGAGTGTCGAAATTGACCCCTCCAAGACTTGACGTGTGGTCGTGCTGCGCCCCGTTCCCTGATGAGGTTGGTTCTCTCCATAAGATCCGCCGCTGAGCATGTTGGCCCGGAGCGGTTGCAAGTCTTTCCCATAGCCTCTCGTTTCGCGTGCAGCAAGCGTCCACGATCCTTCCTACCTTCCTCACGTACGACCTAATACTACACACACTCGTTAATCTTGACGCTCTCTGATACATCATATTCACTTCTTCGCTCCATACTCTCAGAAGAGCCGATTTCGACCCAGAAAGCGCCGGACGCCAGAATCGATCTCCCACAGCTCTGTACTTCACCATGTGGAAGTCTGCACTACTTCTTGCGCCAGTGGCGCTCGCTATAGACATCTCTTTTGACTCCGCAGACTCAATACGGGAAGGCGCCGCTACCATCGCCCAAGATATGATGAGTTTCTACAAAGGTCACGATCCCGGTGAGACGGTCGGCATATTACCCGGAGGCTTGGAGTGCAATCCAGAAATCCCAGGCGTGTACTGCTGGTGGCAAGCAGGTGCTATGTGGGGCGGACTGATTAACTACTGGCAATATACTGGTGATGACACCTACAACCAATTCGTGATCGAGTCAATACAAGCACAGAGAGGCCCAGATATGAATTTCAACCCGCCGAATCAATCCAGGAGTATGGGTATTGACGACCAGGCTTTCTGGGCTTTCACTGCTCTGGATGCCGCCGAAGCCAACTTTCCAGAGTCAGAAGTTGAAGGCGATCCGTCATATCTATCCCTGGCGCAAGGGCTGTTCAACTTCCAGACCAACCACTGGGATTCAAGAACTTGTGGTGGAGGCTTCCGGTGGCAAGTAATTCCAGTGAACAGTGGCTACCATCTCAAAAAGTGAGTTCTTAGCCTTTCCGTCACCTGTTTTTGGCGCTCTCGACCAGATGTTGACTGTCTACAGTATGATTTCGAACGGTGGCAACTTTCAAGTTGCCGCACGGCTAGCGTATATCACGGGCAACGAGACCTACGCAGACTGGGCAACCATGGTTTGGGACTGGATGGCCGACAGTCTGATGTTTGACCGGACCGACGATGAACTTCTCTATATCTGGGACAACGTCAACGCCGAGAAGGATTGCGGTGATCCAGTTAGATTTATCTGGAGCTACAACTATGGTGTGCTGCTGGCTGGCGCTGCGTACATGTATAATCACACCGAAGACGCTGCATGGAAAGAAAGAGTCGACGAGCTTCTTGCGAGTACCATGATACTTTACTTCCCAGAAGACAAGGGAGGCAATACCATGGTGGAGTATCTATGTGAGGAGCAGCAGCTGTGCAACCAGGACCAAAAGAGCTTCAAAGCATATCTCACCCGATGGTTGGCAGTAACGGCGCTGCTGGTGCCCGACACCTGGGACACGATCTATCCCAAGCTGATGTCCAGTGCCGCTGGTGCCGCTGGACAGTGCACTGGTGGAACATCGGGCACTATGTGCAGTCAGATGTGGTACACCAACGTCCATACAGGACAATCTGGCGTTGGCGAACAGGTAAGCAGGTTTCAGACCGCATGAGATTCTGCTGACATGACCACAGATGAGTGCACTCGCAGCAGTTGGAGCCTCCATGTTACAACGTAGTATGGCGCCTCTCACCAAAGACTCGGGAGCTCAGTCGGAAAGCAACCCTACCACTGGCCTGACTGACAACAGTGTCAAGGAGTTCAGGGACATCACAGATGGAGACAGGGCTGGCGCCGCCATCCTCACCATCCTCGTGTGTGTCTTAATGGTGGGTGCTATGGGATGGATCGTGCTTGAATAGACACTTCTGATGAACAAATGCAATTTTGACAACAATTCCCATTCTGGAAGATCGGAACCACGATCACATAGGGTTTGCTGCTTGTACAGGCTGCGGCGTACCTTACGCACCGGCGAGACCAGTCGCCAATGCTTTAATGGTTACTGCCGCTTTGTTCCGGAGGAGGTACCGCTGTTTGGGGGCTTCTGAGTGTTTTCTGGCTGAGCCGCAGGCTTCAGCCGCGAACTTATGCGGGGTCATCCCCTACACTAGTGGCAGAGGCGCAACTTTCGAGTCTGGATTTGCATGTGGACCGCTGACGTAGGCCTGATCTGCAGGGCCCAGGCCACGGATTTCCAAATCCCGCGGACGGGTCCTGCGTATGATAAGGTACCACAGCCCGACTCTACGCTCCGTGTGTACATTGTCCCACTGCGCCATATCGGCCCTCTGGCACTGCAGATAGGAGTCTGATTGTGTCTATTCGACCAAGGCGACGACGCGTCACGCAATCAGGTGCGCAAGCCTAACATGACCTCGGAGCGAATAAGGGAAAGAGAAGTTCATCGGTGCACGCAAACCGCCCTGTCGGTTGCATCTATCTGCTAATCTCGTGGAACAGATACTACCATACATGGCTTGAGTCATCATCTGGTTTCAATTACGGTGAAGACACATCCTCCACACGCCATCTTGCTGATGGATCGCCCCTCCGACCCTCCCACGACAAGACTCTCATCGCCTTTGCACAATTAGGATGTATGCGATTAAATGCAAAGAGGGGGATAGTCACTCTGATCGATAATGCGCACCAATATATCCTAGCTGAGGCCACACAATCTCTGTCCCTCCGGTCCGAACTACCAGTAGATGACGAAGATGACAAGCTACGGTTCGGGAATGCCTCACTTCCACGTTCTCAGGGGATCTCTGCTGCGGCTCTGGAACCTCCTCAATACACGGCCGTCAACGAAACCCAACAGCATACTGGTCAAGCTCTTGTAATTAACGACCTCACAAGAGACGATCGCTACAAAGACCATGCCACTGCTGGTCAAGGCGTGACGTTCTATTCTGGTGTGCCTATCAGATGCAAAGCAGGATATCACATTGGCGTCTACACCATAACAGACGATAAACCGCGGGGCGGTCTGAAGCCGTCAGAACTCATCTTCATGCAAGACATGGCAGAGATTGTTATGTGTCACCTAGAGTTAGTATACGCCGATGCAGCCGGACACCGTGGTGAACAGCTGGTTACAGGCCTCGGTCGGTTTTTGGAAGGCAAGACTTCTATGCGCGATGTGGACGAACCGAAAAGCAAGACTAAGGTGCGGCATTCGACCCATGACGCAGACATATCTAGCACGGCTTCCACTGAGAAAGTCACTGGGCTGTTCAAAGGCATGTCGATAACAAATGCCGATCCGAATCTGTTGAGAGATGTGCAGGCCTCTGCGAACCAGGTAACGCCGCAGAAAAGCTCCGATGATATCGAGCGAGACGACGTTTCCGGAAGCGATCCGAGTCGAGCATATGATCAGCCTACTAGCCATCGCAAAAGTGATGCGCCATCTAAGCAGAACAGCACAAACTCGAAGTCGGATCTACAAAGTGTTGGCAACACGCCCAAACATATCAAACCTGCCAAACCTACCAAGTTGCAAAAAGTGTTTGGTCGTGCTGCCAGCATCCTCAGAGGATGCACTGCTGCTGATGGTGTCATATTCTACGATGCAAGCTCGACTAGCGTCAGCAACCCGCGTGGCAATTCTGAACGGAACAAGGGGAATCATCACTCCGATGAAAATGCTACCACAAGTGACGACTATGACACGTCCGTGGCTCCCGACTACAGCAGTGCATTGACGGATTCAGAAAGTGTTGATCGCGATCCTCAAATGTTGACCTCGAACGAAAATAGCTGTGAAATGCTGGGGTACGCTTTGGATATGTCGGCCGCATCGACAGCCAATGCGCCTACTATTGAATCCCTCGCGCTGTCAAAACGGGGTTTGGCACGTTTCATAAAACGATATCCGCGAGGCAAAGTTTTCTATTTCACGGAAACGGGCGATATCTCCGCCAGTGAGAGTCAGGCTGGAGGATGCACTATGAAAAGAGGCGATCTTTCCTCGGCTGTTGAGGAAATTGTTGGTCGTGCATCTGGTGTCACCGAAGAGGCTGTCGCATCCGAGCTCATTCGCACGATGCCCGGCGCCAGGAGCATCATCTGGCTTCCACTTTGGGATTTCAACAAACGCCGATGGTGTGCGGGCACATTTTTATGGTCGCGAAGAGCCGAGCGCCTGCTGGCCATTCAAGACGATCTTACTTACCTCAAAACATTCGGGAATAGTATCATGATGAATGTTTCCCGCCTTGATGCTCAGTCAGCAGATGAGGCCAAGTCAACCTTTATTGCTAGTATTTCACATGAGCTTCGCTCACCGTTACATGGTATATTAGGGAGCACGGAATTTCTGCAGGAGACGGCATTGGACGGCTTTCAATCGTCCATGACACATGCAGTGGAAACTTGTGCCAAGACTCTTCTCGATACCGTTGAGCATGTTCTGGACTATTCTAAAATCAATCAGATGTCAAACAGGCTACCGAGGAAGAGGAGGCAGCTAAGTTCGAAGGGAGCTGATCATGAGTCGAGCAAATCGAGCATTTTCAGGTCAAGCCTCGAACGTGATGTCAATCTAGCCGATCTTTTCGAAGAAGCTGTGGAGGCTGTCTATGCGGGACAGACCTTTCGAAGCCCAGCCGCACGGCACCTGGAAGAAATTGCTGATGCATTCACCCACAGCCCCGGCGCTTCCACCGGTGAGATACGATCAAATGTCGAAGAAGGATCCAATAAGTTTGCTGGTGCTGTACGTGTGATTCTGGAGTTGCGGAAATGCGACAACTGGTGGGTACGAACGCAGCCGGGCGCGATCAGAAGAATCGTGATGAATATCCTCGGTAATTCGCTCAAATATACAGACACCGGCATTATCTTAGTTTCCATGACCTCAGACATGACCCAACCATACAATGCGACTCATAACGCGGTTTGCATCAAGGTCAAAGATACTGGGCAGGGGATGTCTGCCGACTTTCTGCGACATCATGCCTTCACTCCTTTCAGTCAGGAGTCTTACCTTTCTGCTGGGACGGGGCTCGGGCTCAGCATCGTGCACCAAATTGTGGATTCCTTGAGCGGCCGGATTGAGGTAGCCAGCGAAAAGGGGGTTGGTACCGAGATCAAGATCTTCCTTAATATCCCGAGTGTCCCACCCCCTGCACCATCGGAAGACGTCAGCGACATCCTCACCACTGTAAGTCAACAGACGCCAGGCTTGTGTTTGTGCATATTGGATCCCAACCTCGACGAAGCTGAATCCTTGAACGTCGATGAAGCCGACAAGACGGTGGAGTCAGCACTGCGCAATGTGGCGGAAGACTGGCTTGGAATGCGTACTCGAAAATCGAAATCAATGGAAAACACGACCGCGGATTTCTTTGTCTACGCAGAGCCGCCCCCAATATCATATCTGCTGCGTCAGCACGGACACCCAGCAACGGCAAAGGAAGTGCCTTTAATCATCATGGCAACCAACGCATTTGAAAGTGCTTCACTGGCTGCCAATGGCATCAACCACCTGACCGACGTCGGACGTATCATGGAGATCATCTCACAACCATGTGGCCCACACAAGCTTGCAAGAGCTCTGTATCGATGTCTTCAAAGAGTCAGATCGTTTGAGAAGTCTCCTGTGGAGGGTTCGGATACTGAGCCTATTCACCCGAATGTGGTGGACAGCCCCAGCAATATCTTGCAACAAGAAGATTCTTCTTCAATTGAGATCAGCAGCCAAACAAATGGCCCCCACAAGCCAACTTACCGACCAAAATCGAGAGACACAGCCACCGCCAGCGGCACTCTGCCCAGCAAAGCGCTGAGCCATCCCAGCAACGACCAGCATCCAAGTACCTTGGGCTCTCAAGGTGTCGGATCACAGAAGAGCTTCTCTGCAGACGAGGACTTTCCAACCGTTCTCCTCGTTGAGGACAATGACGTCAACCTCAGCCTTCTAGTTGCCTTTATGAAGAAATCGAAGCTGTCTTATGTGACCGCGAAAGATGGCTTGCAAGCGACTCAGGCATTTGAAAAGTTCGTGGCTGGTGACGGCAAAGCTAATCACCTAAAGTATATTGTGATGGACATCAGCATGCCTATCATGGACGGGATTGAAGCGACTCGAATCATCCGCAGGCAGGAGAAGTTGTCAAATGTCTCAGAAGGCGTTGTGATAATTGCTCTGACGGGTCTAGGAGCTGAGAGCACTCGCCAGGCAATGTTCGATGCTGGGGCAGACTATTATCTTACAAAGCCAGTGAAGTTTAAAGAGCTTATGGAGTTCTTCCACTCTCGCTAGTTGGGCTCTACCTTCTTGGTTTTAGCGCAGACTATTATCTTAAAAAGCCAGTGAAGTTTAGAGAGCTTATGGAGTCCTTCCACTCTCTCTAGTTGGGCTCTACCTTGTTGGATTTAGCAAAGTGATCTGCTCTGCAGTCGTCCCCTGCTGACTGTTATCCATTCCTGCTGTGCCTCGACCGGCTGCGTTCATGGCTGATCACCTGAGACCGGCCCGAGCGCGACAGCCCGTCCGATACTGCAATCGTATGGTTTTGAAGCCTTCAGCGAGGCAAAGGGCTGCGAGAGGTAGCAGTCCGGCTGCTGCCCATCAACAGTCGAGCCCATCGCCCATTGTCGCTTGTAACTCCTCCGAGGCTGCCCAATGGGGCATCCTGCCGCCATTCGTACGTGGTGCTACCGTCTCCGTGCCACTACAGGCTGCCGTCGAACATGGAGTGCATGACCATGAAATTGCTCCATTTTCAGCACGAAGAGTCTGGAACCGCCATACGCCTCTTTTGGTACTGGGCATCGCGGACAATATAGAGTGCATACGCTGTAGATGGAGTCCAACAATTGGTCCCCGACACGACCACTGGATCCACGTTCTCGAGACCTCCGATGACTCTGCTAGCCTAACGGACACAGGAACTCACCTTGGCAATATTGGTCGATACCAACCGCTAACACACATAGACAATACCTTGAAATTGACACGATGAAACCCACGCCTGTCTGACCTTGCTGCAGTTGTCCGTTGCGCAGCAGGGCTCGAATTGACGGGCAGATTCCTTGAACTCATAGCCGAAGCTTTTTGGTATGATCTGCTATTGATTTTGGAGGACCCTGCACATCGATTATTGCCCTGGGTAGCCCTTTGCTGGCTTTCGATGCAAATGGCACGTTGGTCGACTTGAACATGTGATTGCCAAGCCAACCCCCGAACCCGCTAATGCCGTTATCGATAAGCGTCCGGCGGCCGATCTTGCGGGCGGCCGCAAAAGAAAAAAGTCGCGGCTTCGAGAGCAGATCAAGCAACTCCTTGTAGCCCTCGACATCGCGACATAATGGTCAAACGCAAATTGGCCGCTCTTGAAAAGGTTGAGGCAGACCTGCCCAATCTTCAGAACAAGATCAAGCGTGATCCTGCCTCGTACGAGAACGATTTCCTCCACCAGTACATGCAATATGAGAACCAACGCATCATTTTTGTTCAGTCACCTAGTGCAGCGACCGATAGCGGCCTCGTATCATTCCGAGAGCTCATTGAGTTTGTGGCGCATGTGTCTGATTGCTACAAAGAACATACTAAAGACTTCTCGTCACACTTGATTGAGCTCTTGTCACTCTATCACGCACAACTCGAGTCTCAATTGCGAGAGAAGATCGTTGGTAGTCTGATGCTGCTGCGTAAGAAAGAGATCATCACTTCCATAACGCTGCTTCAGTGTCTTTTCCCGATTCTTACTACAACGCCGAGCAAGACATTTCGGGCGTTATTGTTCCAGAAGATCTTGAGCGACTTGCGCTCAGCAAATACTCCAACGATTAACCACCGGCTGAACCGCACTCTCCAGACTGATCTGCACAACCTTGTCACTTCCGATAAATCTTCGCCGAAAGCCTTATGGGCGGTCAAGATCACAAGAGAGATGTGGAAACGGCAACTATGGACGGATGCCAAAGCAGTTGAGATCATGAAGGAATGCGCGCTTGCCGAAGAAGAGAAAGTCATTGTTGGCGGTGTGCGATTCTTTCTGGGAGGCGACAAAGAACGTGAAGAGCTCGAGGATGAGAGCTCGGATGAAGAGCGAATCGACATGGGCAAGCTCAAGCACCAGATCGGCGTTAACAAGAAGAGCAAGAAGGCGGGGCGGAAACTTGAGAAGGCAGCCGCGATCGTGAAGCGGAAAGAGAAGAAAAAGAATCAACCGCATATGCTCAACTTTTCGGCGCTACACCTGTTGCACGACCCTCAGTCCTTTGCAGAAGATCTTTTTTCCAGGCACCTGCAAAACACACGCTCGAAGCTCAACCTGGAACAGAAGCTGCAGGTCTTACAATTGGTTTCCAGGCTGATCGGTCTGCACAAGTTGACTGTCATCAGCTTCTACTCGTACTTTTTGAAATATCTCACGCCTCGACAGCCTTCTGTTACCTCCTTCCTGGCTTCCTTGGCCCAGGCAACGCACAACTTAGTACCTCCGGATGTCCTCGAGCCCCTGTTGCAAAAGATCGCCAACGAATTCATTTCCGAGGCGGCGGCCGGAGAAGTAGCTGCGGCTGGCCTGAACGCCATTCGAGAAATTTGTGTACGCCAGCCACTGGCGATGAATGAAACCCTGCTTCAAGACCTGGTTATGTACCGCAAGAGCAAAGACAAGGGCGTTATGATGGCCGCCAAAGGCCTGATGGGACTTTACAGGCAGGTCGGAGCTGAGATGCTGAAAAAACGGGACCGTGGCAAAGATGCATCGCTGAATCTCAAGTCCGGGGATCAGATCCAGCATCGCTATGGCGCAGAAGTAGCAGGCGAAATCGAGGGCTTGGACTTGCTTGAGAAGTGGAAAGAGGAAGAGAGGCGAAACAAGGGTCTTGAGGAGGGCGAGGAAGATGATGAGGAAGATTGGGCAGCATGGAACATCGAAGAAGACGACAGTGATGACTCGGGGGGCTGGATCAATGTCGAAAGCGATGACGAGATCAACATATCTGATAGTGAGGATGAGCGAACGCCCAAGAAGCCCAAGCTGGATGAGAACAAGGAGAATGAGCAAGAAAAGCGCGACAAGAACAAACCAAACCTCGCGATGACTCGTATCCTGACGCCGGCGGATCTGGCAAAGCTGCAAGAGCTTCGCACGACTGCATCAGTTTCCTCGCTTATGAAAGGACATAAGTCTCATCATCAGGCTCAGCAGACGAATGCACAGCGACATGTTGATGATCCGCTCACGGCCGCCGAGATTGAAGGTCTAGCATCGCTGTCACAGGGCAAGGCCACGAGGGCGCAGAAGATGGCTCTACTCCAGCAGCAAAAGGATGAGCGAGAGGAGCACAAATCGAAGGCAGCTCGGAAGAAGGAGCGCAAGGCGGAGCAGGGCAAGAGCACGACCAACAAGGAGAAGGCGAGGAAGAAGAACTTCATGATGACGCTTGGCAAGGCCAGGAAGAAAGGGAAGATGAGCTTGGTGGAGCAGAGGAAAGTGTTGAAAGCAGGTGAGAATCAGCAGAGGGGCAAAAAGGCACGTTGATGGCGTACAGATCGCATGGTTGTCCCTCGATCAAGTTTCATCGCAGGATGAATGAGGGATCCAGGATTGAGCCTTTGCATTTGATTCGCCCGAGTTTTCGACGCTCCCCCGAAACAGCCTCCGTGCGGAATAATTCGTGTGGTCAACGATCTGATGAAGCACGCAACATTTAAGGAGTATCCCAGTGGTGTCCTCTGTGGGATGACTATAGTTCGGAGTACTGGAAGCTGGCAAGATACATCAATACCAGCCTCAATGGCGTACGCCGAGCGCCTCAGCGCCTGGCTCCTCTAACGACGGCTTCGAACAAAATGTTTGCAGGACTTGACGTTAAACGCTATCGATTTTCTGGCATGAGGTACCCTTCATCTAATTTAATAAAAGAGCGCCCATACTCTGCAGTAGAGCTCGCTCGCTCTTGTTCATGCTTACTACTGACCAGCGATATGATTTTGCTTGGTCCACAGCCATTCAGGCTTCTCATTGGTCAGTCGTAAGACCGCCGCACCACCGTGGACAGCCTAGGTGATTCAAAAGGTATCTCGTATCTTTCTAGGATGACACTCGAGTTTGTCAGGCAGATGAGAAAGATATGAACCAAGGTGGTATATGTCTGCTGAGATGCAGGGAGGCAGATAGGAGTTCAAGAAGATGCAAGAGGACACGGGGAACAATGATGACGAATTTGCCAAAGGAGGAAGCTCGCAGGGAGTATGGTGGTGGTTTAAGGTCAGCAATAGTTGTGGTGAGGAGGATGGCGATGGGGAAGACGAGAAGTGGGTCAGTTGCGGCGCTTTGACTAGCGCCAGAATGCTTTTATTGATCGTTGTCTATGATACAGATCTACATCCGCCGTGTGATGTGATGATGTGATGCGGAAATTTTGATCGCGAAGCCGTCGCAGCTCATGATATATGCCGGAGTCCTTCCTCGGTCAAACCTGGACCGATTACATGATGCCTCAAACGCCGTAGAGATAACCCCGACAGTGCAGACTTGGTCATCCGCAGAGAAGGCGGGAAGCAGAAAACAATGGTCACCACCATGTGTGACTTTGACTGCGATATCAGATGGCCATGACCGAATCTGCATCCATTGTGCCAGCCCAAGCGCCGTTCTCGCTCTGTAAGCGATGGTACTCAGCCCAGTTCTGAGGAGTAACAGTGTGTTGCGGACACGTCTGCTTCACCTCCGTGTCAGGTCCCGGTGTCCTCTCAGCAGTCAATGTTTCACCACCTTCAAAGATTATTGGCTGTGATCGAAGGTTGGTGAGACAAGCTTCCCAGGTACGGCTTACTAGTCGACCTTCCAGAAGATTCTCGCTGAAGAGGTAGAAGCCCTCTTGGCAGCCAACGAGATAGGCATTAAGCCCATTGCTCTTGAGCAGAATCTCAGCACCGTGGACGTGTCGCGCATAATGGTTCTCTAGGTATCTCCCCCAGCCTCGAGCAGCTGTTTGTATGCTCTCGTCAGACGAAATCTTGGTCCAGCCAATGCCGAGAGCCATTGTAGCCTCGTCGATCTCTGGATGAGAGGAAGCAGTCTTGGGCGGACTGGCAGGAGCGTTGATAGGAGCGTTATTGGTGATGAAGCCCTCCAAGCCGGCGTTGATAGAACTTTGCGACAGGCGGACGGACTTTCGGCTGGTAGGCAGTTTTGGCCGAAAGTTGGCGGCCTCGATCTCACGCTTCAAAGTCTCGTGGTCGGCCTTCTCCTCGTACCACGTGCCGGTTTGTGAGTCTGCAGAAAGTGCTATGCCAGTGCTGGGGTTGATCAGGACCATGCCTTCACCGTAAATTGGCTCCTCCGGAATGGGCGCCGGAGGCTTGACTTCGGCAGCGTGGAAGTACGAGCCATCGTCCCCAAGGTCGAAAGCAGTCTCGTCACGTGACCGCTTGCGTGAAGGATTGGTGGAGATTGGGGTCATACTATCAACTGGAGTCCAGGTGGTGGAGTTATGTGCATAAGAGGATGGTGAAGGCTCGTCATAGTCCATGCGACTAGGAGTGTCGGTTGGGGTAGGGAGTTGTTGGTGAAGGGACGACATAGTGACCAGGCTGCGAGTCAGGACAGACGAGGCTGAGAGAGAGAGAGAGCGGTGAGGATAAGAGCTAAGATATAGAGGGCAATAGTGGCTAAGGTAGAAAACGGAGGAACGGTAGAATGAATATTAAATGGTGGTGATGGTGTAGTGAAAGATTAGCACAAGGCCCAAGATCGAAGAGAGGTAAAGGCCAAGTGAGGCGATGGGGGAGGGAAGGGAGAATGGATGGAAGTAAAGGAAAGAATGGAAAAGGTCAAGAGCGACAAGAAGAAGAACAGCCGTGATGGGCAAAGCCTGCCAGACTCCAGAGGATGAGGTGCATAGAAGAGCGGGTGGAGTTGACAGTTGAGGATGGTCAGGAACCAGGCCTTTGATCGGAAGGATGCTATTGGAAGGCGCAAAGGGCATTGCACGGTAAAGATGAGCATGGCGTGCATGCTGAGCCAAGGTGAGGGAGCGGATCCTCAGAGGCTGGGAGTACAGCCAACAACCTCCAACCAGAGGACAGACCAGAAAGCTTGGGCTGACTCTTTGACTCCAATGCGAACCGTCAACGCTGGAGCTGAGGCACACTCGGCTGAGCTGCGAACAGCGGAGCTTGTCTCTCTTTTCTCCGGGTCCAACTGGTCCCGTGCTCGCGAGTAGCGGTGGCAAAGCGGCCCGAAAGACGCAAGGACTGGGGAAAATTGCCCTGAACTCGACTTTCCCTCTTCTAGGCTCTACAGACCGGCCGCAAGTCCGAGCCAAAACCATGTAGATCTAGATGAAGCGTGAATTGCCTGCATTCCATGTTTCTAGCAAACAGTGCTCTATCCTGACGCCCTGGCGCCCTTGGAACTATCGTTCTGAGAATTATATTCATACAATGGCTGTTGTAACACTGCTCAGTCAAATGGTAGCCACTTCTCTCGTCTATTGTCATACCACATGCTTTTCGCACCGTTTGGCTCCCTCCGCACGTCTGAGCGGGTCTTATTATCTGCCAGGCAAACCGGCAGAGCTGAGATAGTCCTTGACACTCTGGGTCTGAGAGGGAGCATAGGTGGGTCCTAGTCCACCAAGCAATAGCAGGACGGTAAAAATGAACAGGCCAAAAACCAGGAGCTTCCGGGCAACTGGTCTTGTTGCTCCGAACTCGCCCCATGATCGGCCAGCTTGGCTAATATGCTGTTTGAGCTGCTCGGCACCGAGCTTGTAGTAGAGCAATCCACTGAGTGCGATGCTGTAGCCAAAGAACTGCGTGAGAGACACCTGCGTGCCCCAGATGAGCATTGAGCAGGCCACCAGGAGAATATCCTTGAGGATACCGCAGAGTGTGAGGACGAGGGAGGAAGTCTTGCCGATCTGCGGATTGTTAGCACCTGGTGCATCTGTCACGATGCGACCGGAACTCACCAGGAACACAACGGAGACGTTCAGCAGGAATGCCACCATGGCGTTAGCGACCAACATGAAGATGCCCACATCATATACGTTCTTCATGCTCATCGAGGGCACCTCAACGACGAGAGCCGCCACAGTGTTCATCACACCGCACACAGGCGCAAAGTAGTATAGTGACACGAGTGGGTCCATCTTGAATTCGGCAGAGCTGAGCAAGCGCTGCACCATGACCAATCTTGTCGCCTCAAAGGCGATGCCACCAGCTTGGTAGAGGAAGCCAGTCAGGTCGAACTTGATCTCGCCGATTGAAGCAATAACGACACCAACGACGATGAGCGAGACATTGCCGAGAGTCTTAAAGTTGACAGGAGCTACTCCCAAGATCCAGGATACGATCAAGACTGCGACGGGCATGGTAGCCTGATGAGATCAGCACTTCGCTCGTCAACACGCACGTGTATCTTTCTTACCTTGAGCATCTGGATGAATGCCACCGACAGATACAAGTAGGCTTTGTTGCCACAGATCAAACTCAAGCTGAAGAAAAAGCCGATGGGAAGGATCGCTCGTAGGTAGACACGGCCGGTCATCTTGACGGTCTTGCGCCCATCAAGCAGCGTTGTGGTTTTCGCAAGCACTTGGGTCATGAAAGTCGCGAAGACCATGTGCCATGCTGTCAAGGTGATGGGAAATTCTAGATTTGGTCAATCAATAAAACACCTTGGCTGTGCACCGATGGGGTCTTACTGAATCCAAGTGTGTCGAGTAGCCATTTGTTGAAAAGAATGACACCACCGCTGAAACTGATCCATGTTCTCCAGGCCTGTTAGTCGAGAAAATGAGGGTAGCAAAACTTGACGTACACAACGTAGACTGCGGGATGGAGAGCAGCTTTCGGAGGCTCCGACTTCTCTGCAGAGGGATTGACGGTTGGCAAGACGGGCTCAGATGGCCGTTGCTGCTCGCCGGAGACTCTGACTTTCTTTTCTACGTCGGCCATGGTGGCGTTCGATGGATGAGTCTGGGTGAGGAAATGGTGGAAGGAGAACGGCCGCGAGGGGCGGACGAAGGCGTGTGACTGAAGCAGGTTGAGGGGAGGTCTGTTTCACACGGACATCAAGAGAGAAGCAAGCGAGCGACGAACAGGATAGACGACGAGTGATCCGTGATGGCGCGCAGGAGAAAGGTATACTTTCTGGATGAAAAGGAGCAGATGAAAATCCGTGACGGTGGTCAGTTGCGCAAAAGCCAAAAGGATAGGGAGCGGGAGAGTGATGGGGCACTGCTGCAGCAGCTTGGGCGGCGCGGCTTGAACTCTGACGGCGCCCAGTTCCGTCTACTCTCGCCTGCAGAGGATCAAATTCGGCAGGCCACGCAAAGCTGGCCCACACCATGGTCCAGTCAGCGGCGTTGATTGGACCTGTCTTGTCTCTACCGCGCACGAAAACGGTCCTCAACCCTGTCTATGATAGATCTACTTATGGAGTACTGCAGTCTGATCTCTTGTCATCTCTTCTTTTCCAAGCTGAAAGTTGGCATCTTCAGCCTCGCTAGTTGGTAGAGGACCAGCCTGAGAGCCGCGTACGCGCGCTCACTGATAGCAGACCGTAATTGCAAGAACCAGCTTGCGCCCAACAAATTCTGTCGTACGGTGGCACCTTTGATCTTCGGCAAGTTTGCCCGGTGAGTCGAAGGATCGACGTGGTGGGTCGCCAGAGAACTGGGATACGAAAAAGGGGAGGCACAATCGTCGAATCGTGCAGTGGCCTGCTCTCGACGCCTGTCAATTGGCATCTCCAGCCAAGCTGTTCCCGGTTGTTGAAAGGGGCAACACTGAAGCCAGATGGCAGAGAGGGCACTACTTTGTAGAACTTATATCACCACAAATGTATCGATAAATCACCAACATGCTGTGAAGTCAGGACAAGGTGAAGCTGTGCACAATCTTTATGACTTACTGGAAAACTCCAAGTGAGCTTCTGCAATACATAAGAAAAGGCAGAAATTGGATTTACCTTGCTGCCACTATACACCTGTCACTTAAGACGATACCAAGTGGATCCCATGCAAACCAGTCGGAGTAGCAGCTTTTGCCGTTCACTGCTGCACGAAGCCCCGTTGAACTTTTTTATGGACATCTTCCGCCGCATCTCCTTACCCCGAGTTCTTGTGTAGCATACCAAATCTCTATCCTGCTTCCACTCCTCCCAGGTTGTTCTTCTCAAAGAATCACTACACTCATTAGCCAAACCCGCATCTGACTCAACGACAATGCCCGACGTGTAAGAAGTTACCCCTCATTCCTCGTCCTCTCTTGACCGACTCTTTAGGGAAGTGGATGTTCTCGTCATTGGTGCAGGTCCCACGGGTCTCGGTGCCGCAAAGAGACTGAACCAGATCGTAAGAAGCTCATAAGGCTCCAAATATCACTTTATTGACCCGGATCTCAGAACGGACCCTCATGGGCGATCATCGACTCTAACGAGATCCCGGGCGGTCTGGCCTCAACCGATGTCACAAAGGAGGGCTTCGTGAGTAGTGCCTAAGCTTCTGACTTGACTACGACTAATTGGTCGCAGCTCTACGACGTTGGTGGCCATGTCATCTTCTCTCACTACAAGTACTTCGACGACTGCATCGATGAAGCCCTCCCGAACGAGGATGACTGGTTCACTCACCAGCGAATCTCTTATGTCCGCTGCCAGAATCTCTGGGTACCATACCCTTTCCAAAACAACATCTCCATGTTGCCCAAGGAAGAGCAGGTCAAGTGCATGGATGGCATGATTGATGCTGCTCTAGAAGCAAGAGTTGCCAATACCAAACCCAAGGACTTTGATGAGTGGATCGTGCGCATGATGGGCACCGGCATTGCCGACCTCTTTATGCGCCCTTACAACTTCAAGGTCTGGGCTGTACCTACCACTAAGATGCAGTGCCAGTGGCTCGGAGAGCGTGTCGCTGCTCCTGACCTGAAGAACGTTACCAAGAACGTCATTCTCCAGAAGACGGCTGGCAATTGGGGTCCCAATGCCACCTTCCGTTTCCCTGCGCGTGACGGCACGGGTGGCATCTGGATCGCGGTCGCCAACACGCTGCCGAAGGAGAAGACGCGATTCGGCAAGAAGAACACGGTCAAGAAGGTGGACGCCGACGGCAAGCGCGTTCTTCTCGAGGACGGCACCACAATCGGCTACAAGCGCCTCATTTCTACGATGCAGGTCGACTACCTTGTGGATGCCATGGGCGATCAGAAGCTCCAAAACCTGGCCAGCGGACTGTTCTACAGCAGCACGCACGTCATTGGTGTAGGCATTCGTGGCAGCCGACCCGAGCGCATTGGCGACAAGTGCTGGCTCTATTTCCCCGAAGACGACTGCCCCTTCTACCGGGCAACCATCTTCTCCAACTACTCGCCGTACAACCAGCCACAGGACAATGTCAAACTGCCGACTCTGCAGCTCGCCAACGGCTCCCGGCGTCAGAGCATGCAAGCCAAACCTGGCCCGTACTGGTCCATCATGCTGGAGGTGTCGGAGTCAAGCATGAAGCCCGTCGACCACGACAAGTTGCTCAAGGAGTGCATTCAAGGTCTGGTCAACACCGAGATGCTGAAGCCCGAAGACGAGATTGTTTCGACCTACCACCGTCGCTTCGACCACGGCTACCCAACTCCCACTCTGGAGCGAGAGGGTGTGCTCAAGGAGCTTCTCCCTGCGCTGCAAGCCAAGGGTATCTACAGCCGTGGACGATTCGGCAGCTGGCGTTATGAGGTCGGCAACCAGGACCACAGCTTTATGCTGGGCGTGGAAGCGGCCGACAACATCGTCAATGGCGCCGCCGAGCTCACACTCAACTACCCTGACTTTGTCAACGGCCGCAAGAATGATGAGCGTCGCTTGATCGAAGGTGCACAGCTATTTGGCAAGGAAACCGACAACGTTACCAAAGGCCGACGGATGACGGGGGGTAAGGGCACCTTGGGCGGTACATTGGAGACACTCCAAGTCAATGGCGGGCCGCCGGCCAAGAAGGATGGCAATTCGCGAGTGCTGGACAAGCAATGGTGATGAATACGATACGAATTGATGGGTTAGCAGGCGTTGAGAGGAGACCTGATGGTAGAGCGGGTAGAGGTCCCGCTATACACGACATCAAAGCACGATGGCTGGTGGCTGTACAGTACATAGATCGGTGGTAGATGCGAGACCTAGACGAACGCAGCGTGCACCTGGCATGCAATAGACACAGTAGACCTCCGAATTTGCGGGGAACCTGTAAAGGTACCAAGCGTTGAAGGGGCCACTGGCACGGTCGACAATGATGGCTAGGCTAGGGTTAAATCGATAACTTGTTGCCAAAAGATGGGATGCCATCATCTAGGAGATTTTCTTTTGGTTTTTTGACGAGCACGTGAGGGAGCTGGAACAAGGTTTTACGCCCTGAGAGGACGATGGCATTCGATGGCTGCGCACCCACGCAGGCCAGGCACAAGGGCGGTCCGTGCAAGCGTGCTCCCCACATAACACAGCCCGTACTAAGCGACCCACTGCCTTCAAGGTTCACCAAAACCGCGCAACCATAGCATTGTTCGTGTTATGTCCTTTCGGTGACACTATCACAACAAATTGTCTGATAGAAGATGGGACTCTGCCACCAGCATCCGCACAAGATGAGAAAATGCGGTCAAGGCAAAGCGAGAAGAAGGAGCGCCCAGGCCGCATTGCACGCTGAGACGATCGAACGGGATCAGACCAATCAGCGGAGGTCGATTGGATGAAGTCGGTTAGCGGTGGCTGCCGCGGGCGTTGGCGCAGTCGAGGGAGTCGAGCAGCCAACCCATGATGTATAGCATCACTGCAGGTTCAACATCAGCGCCGCGCGCCGGTCCCCATCCCATTATTGCTCTTTCTCCCTGTTCTTCTACCACTTGAGTATTAACTGCTATTACATCTCTGTATTTTGCATCCGCTTTCTTTTGTTCTCGACTTGGTCTCTTAAGGTTCGTGGCTATCCTAATTTGTTGTCCGTGCTACTGGCCATACCTCTCGCTTTGAACATCCCACCGTCGATCCTTTGACCAGCTGTCCCCGTCCCTTCATTGCCATATCCTCGCTAACCACCTCCATTTCACAGTCTGTGACATCAAGCATTCGTTTGCCCATCATGTCGACCGCCGCACCCACTATCCCACCTCGTCCTGCGAGATCGCAGCAGACTGCGGCCGCCCGCGGTGCCAACAAGCTGCCCGAGATCCCACCCAGACCCATTCCCAAACGTCTGGATCGATCTGTTTCTCCGGGCAACTTCCCTCGATCGCCGCTGAACGAACCCTTCCTTTCCTTGTCCAAAACAAAATCCAATGACCCGTCTGATGAAGCAGCCCTGCCTAGACGTCCTTCGGTTCAACACTTGCCGTCCGTTGGCCAGGAGGGCATGGAATATGCCGATATTGACCATCAGTCGGGTCCACCCCCACAGGCTCCTGCTGAGCAGACCCGGAGTATCGCTCACGATTTGAAATTGCACGCTCCGAAGCCATCGTTGCCCAAGTCGAGCGCAGCTGCTCAGGTCCAAGCTGTGACAAGGACCGATTCCAGTCAGGCTGCTGCCCACGGGCTCGGAAAACCTGGCACCCCAGGACATGATGATCACCACGAGGGCGATGCCTTAGGGAGAGTTAGATCCAGAGCAAGCTTTTCCCGCCCTGGCTCGTCTGCTTCAGGTGGACGTCGCGCCTCGTTGAGCCATGCCGAAGAGCAAGGCCCTGCTGAGTTGGGCATTCGCGTGCCCATCAATCCCCTCCTCGGCGATGTTCAGGCTCCGTCGCCTGCACCATTCACTCCCTCTCACACCGGTGAGAAGCGTCGCAGTCACAGCCGCGTCAAGAGTCGCGATGGCTTGCCTCCTGGTAGCTATGGTCTTCACGGCCATGGCGTACCCCCCAAAGATCCTTTTGAGAGAGACTGGTACGCCAAGCATCCGGAAGAACTCCAGCACGAGGAAGCCCACGGCCATGGTGTTTATGAAGGTATCGGCAGCGGTCGTGGCGCGTTTGCCTTGAGCAGCGACGATCTCAACAAGATTGTTCGTGATACGGCTAGCCGCGGTGCTGGTTTTGGTAAGTTGACCCGACTACATTGCTACTTCCTTGCTGATGATCCTAGGTACCTCTGGCAACACTGTATCATATCCTGACGAGCAGATTGGTTACATGGCTTCAGCCCAGTACACGTCGCATACCGGCAATTCACTAACCAAATCGCTCACCAATGTCTCTCAGCCAGCTGTTGAATCTCCCTTACGCAAATCGAGCGTTCCTGCCGTAGACATGGACCCTATTGTCTCAGTCAACACCAATCGATCGGTTTCTGCCGCTTCAGATCACGCCATCGAAAGCCCCCAGCGTACCCCTGTTCATGTTGACATGCCTGAACGTCGCTATAATAAAATTACAGGCGGTGAGGAGACTATGCACGAGAATGAGCAGCAAGGCGCTGCCATCTCCCGCCCCACTACCGGCCAGGGTGAAGAGTCCGATTATAGTGCTCCTATTCTCGCTGCCGACGAAGTTGCCAAGGAGTCTAATGGAGAATTTATGCTGCCCGCAATCTCACCTCGCTTGGACAGACGCTCGGGTGAGTATGAATTCCGCAGTGGTGACGCCACACCAACATCGCGCCCGGGCAGCCGACCTGGCAGTATTCATGGTACGCATAGCGGCTCTTACGGTCTATCACGATTCATCTCTCATCACGATGAGCGCGAGAGTATGCATACTCCGCTCGAGGACGTGGATGAATATGAGCCTCTGTTTCCGGATGACGAGAACAAACAGAAGGAGCTCAGTCATGCTGAACGGTTCAAACAGAGGCCTGATGTCATGAAGCATCGCTTCCCAAGCAAAGATATCTGGGAGGATGCTCCTGAGTATGGTATGTATCAAGCTACGGTCTCCACTCCAGATCTCACGGAACCGCCACCCTCTAGAGCAACGGCGACGTTCGAGACACCTGAGCAAGAAGCGGCGGCCAAAGGTGAGCGTTCCGAAGGGGACAGACGGAAACTGGCGCAAAGGGCAGGCTTACCCTCTCATTTGCAATCTGAAATATCCACTCGCCCGGGCTTGCAACCCAGGTTTCCAAGTCAAGACATCTGGGAAGACAGTCCAGAAAGCCACCATCTCGTCACGACAGTCAGCTCGCCACCCATAGCAGATGATACATCACCAGTCGACACTGCCTCAAAACCGATGATACCGCCACGGCCGACCAACAAGTCTAAGCTTGCCGAGGGACCATCTGCGACCCAGCCTGCGCCGGTTGTTCCTACAAGACCTGCCAAGAAGACGTCTACTGAGTCAACACAACAGTCTACCGAGACATCTCCAACAGAGCTTAAGAAGGTTCCCAGTTTGCCAGACCGCCCGAAGCCTCATGTACCACCTCGGCCAGCTAAGAAGCCTTCGGGAGAGACTCTGACGAAAGCGCTCTCTGCTGAGTCGAACGAAACTGAAAAGGCAGCTCCCGTCACATCTCCCCCAATTGCCAAGGCCAAGCCGCAAGTGCCTGCCCGACCCGGCCAATCTGGTAAATTTGCCAGCCTCAAAGGCAACTTCATGAACGATCTCAATCAGAAGCTCGGCCTTGGCCCACCTAAGGAGAAGGAGCCGGAGCCACAGCCTGAGGTTGAAGCCAAACCCCTCGAGGATGCTCGCAAAGGCAGGGCTAGAGGCCCTCAGCGTCGCGCCCCCGCCAAGTCTCCGTCAGCTGCTCCTGCAGCTACTACTGGAGGGAAGCCCACATTTTCCATGTACAAGCCTCAGTCCCTGTGGCATATTAGTGATGATGGCTTGCTCAATGTTGGCTCTGTGGAAGCCTTGAGTCAGGTTGAAGGAACCAGAGGTTTTTCACCCAATGACGAGGCTTTACCCGTCGATACCGAAAAGGCTCAGCAGCTACAGAACGCCACTGTTGCTGATTCATCGCCGCCCCCCACAATCGATACAGCGTCAGAAACGAAGGCATCGTCGGAGGCAAGCAAGAGACCTGAGGACGCTCCTGCCGCTTTGGCGCCGAGTCTTGCCACCAATGCCCAGGGCGAGTATCCTGATCCGACCCTTGGCTCCCCTGCAGAAGAGAAAGCGAATCCACTCAGCCACCAGGCCACAAATGAGGAAGCCTTCCTTTCGCAACACACCACTGCTAGTAGCACTGCGGCATCGGGGTCCGAGCTGGAAAGAGAAGAACCCAATCCTCAAACCGATGCTATTCCAGCTAGCAAACAGACAACCAGCTCTACGTATACTGGGACTGAACTTGAGCGCGTTGAAACCAAGGCACCAGAAGAGCCAATCTCGTTGCGTGACGAACAAGTTCGCGCACCCGCCCCTGGTCCTTCTGAAGCCGTTGCCCAGGACAACAAGACCCAGGCTCTACCCACAGTGACGAAGGAGCAAGCTCAGATTTCCGACACAACTTCAAAATCCGAGCATGCGGCGGAGCCTATGCCCGAGCAGGACGTCAGCTACGCGCAGCTGGAGGAGATGCAGCGCCAGGCGGACGGCAAGGAGCCTAGTGATGGAGGAATTGCAAAGGTGGTCGAGTAGACAGACGGTCAGGTTGCCTCGCGGGCAAACATCCTGCCGTGTACGCGCATGCACTAAGATCTAGAAGGTCTACAGAAAATATTGGTATGGCCTATGTGGAGGGCGTTGGGTTTGATGATGAAGATGGCCTGTTCTCAGTCTTTCTCGAATAGGAAAATACACTCCTTGGACACACGTACACAGACGCACCGATGCGTAGCGATGCTCTATCTCTGTATTCAGCCAGCCATGGAAGTGAGCGACGAATCCGAATGGGCATATGCGTGGACTACCTGGCTAAGCCATCAGATAAGACCACGAGCGTACAGTTTGGATCGTCTTTTCTTCATTATATGTAGATTTGGCAAACTGAATGATACTGTACTACTGTCAGCACCGGCCAAGGGCTGCCTTTGCCTCACCCGCGCGCCACACTGGCGTGTTTCTTCCTATGACCACAACTCCTGCCATGCCGCGCTGCTAAAATCATCAAGTCTGGCTCTCGGAACATCAACAACCAAGCCTAGTCTGCATATTGCAAAGCGTGAGGGGCATATCATTTAAAACATTGCTGCCGTAGATTTCTGGTCTGAACACTTCTTTCACGGAGTACTCCCCGTCACGCACCCCGTCTAGCGTTGCCTGTGCTCATAAGTGTGATCTTTTTGGGCTTTTTGGACTTCTTCCCGGGTGCCGCTCCGGCTGCTCCATTGGCCTGCTTCGCCACCGATTCGCTGTCGATGCTTGCTTGAACCATAGCAACAGCATCACCTTCGTCGAGGATATCTTTTTCCCATCCTTGGAGCCAACCATCGTCGACTTGACGTGATGGCTCTGGTGAGGCCACCAGGGTTGGCGACGAGGGCGTAACGGCTGTGGTACCCCAGACTGTGCGAGGGGCATCAGGAGATGTACCGGGCGTAGCGAGGGTAGCGAAGGAAGAGTGTGTTCGGTGGTTGCCCCATGGGGGTGTCGCTGCTAAACCACCAGCACTTCCCCCTGGTGACGAGCTCGAAATATCGTGATTCACGAGAGGCTGAAAGTCAGTTTCAGAGAAACTCTTTTCAGGGACACTGGGGCGTCGACGCCGGATGGAGGAAAGGCGCGCGTCTTCTTCGCGCTCTGCACGAAGACGATCGCGTTCTTCCCGGGCTTCTTTGTCGTGATTCCGCTTCCTCCGACGTATGATGTCATCTTTAAATTGCTCGAGAACGACAGGAGTAATGAGGTCGGTCCAGTCACATTCAAGAAAGCTGACCTCGCAACCGTAAGGAAGGTGGCCAATGTATTTAGCCCTTTTACGGAGGTCATCGTCGATGACATGGCCAGTAGAGATGTGCTCGACACGAGGGAGAATTGTGGAGGGAAAAGCGGCAAAGTCTCCGTAGGCTGCCTTGAGAATGCGAATATCGAGAGGCGAGAGATAGAAGTTGGGTAAGGCGCTGTAAAAGTAGAATGGTGCCTGGCGGCCTGCCTTTGTAGGGTGTTTGGTTTGTTCTGGTATAGATTCAGGCGCAGGCTGGGACAGTGGCAGCTGAGCCATGGTAGAACTTAGGTCAGAAGAGCTGGCAACTCGCGGCTCAGACGCTTCGGCCTCATCTTGCCAGGACTCAGCGATGGGGTCATTAGCATCGGAATCATGCTTGAGTGAACCAGTGGTCGAAGTTGGCCCCCCTATTCCTGCGAGTTTGAGCTTAGCGTCTTCGATGGAAGCAATGGCCCTTCGTGTCCAGGTATTGTCGTCGCCAAACATGAGCTCATCCTCCTTCTCCTGTGCATCCAGCTCAGTAATTTCCTGGTCGTACTGTTCGATCATGTACTGCTCACCGCCCTTCATGAAACGGGCGTAGTCCATGATCTCAGCGACATGATACCAGGGAATATCAGTCTGCTGGCCGTACTTTTCAGCGGCATCCCGTGGCAAGGCAAGCGTTGACCCAGGCTCTCGTTTGAGCAATTTCAAGCAGACGTCGCCACCCTCCATGAGTTGACTAGCCTCTTTATCCACTGACCAACGAACAGGTCTGGTCTCGGAGATATAGACACTGTCTTCGCATATTGGACACTTCTTCCAACGAGCCCTCTTCTCTGGCACTGGGTTTGAGTCATCGGTTGAGTGCATGTATCGTATCAAACATGGGAGACAGAAAATATGGCCACATCGGGCCATACGGGGAGCGACCGGAGTCGAAAGGCATATCGGGCAGTTGGTAGACTGAGTTTCGGCTGAGCCAAGGACCTGCAGCACATTGTCCCAAGATAGATGGACGTCTGCATCTACTGTTTGTATATGGTATTCTCGATCAGGTCGAACAATGAAGCGATAATTGGCATGAACATAGCGAGCCTTGTCCATGATATGGTAACCCGAGCCCAGTCCCCAAGTCCGAGGCCTTTGATGATGTCGAGGATGGAAGCTATGCGACTGTTGGTGGGGTCGTGGTGGCAGGGAGAAGTTCATCAAATGAGTGATGGAAGTCTGGCCTTTACGGCTATTAAATGGCCTCATATTTGCAGACTCAACAAAAGCATCTTCGTCTGCGAGTTTTGCTCTCCTGGAAGCCTTGTGTTGTTTGCGCAAAGGCTGATTGTTGCGGGCGTGAGGGATGTGGCGCGCAGAAGAGATAGCACCGGAAGGGCCACCGGAGGAAGAACTTCGCTTGGAAACGTCGGGACTAGGAGAGAAAGATTGGCTGAAATTCTGTGCAGAGGGTCCGGGAGATGGCTTGCTGGACGCTGGCGTAGGCGTAGCCATGAGGTGAAGCAGTTGAGACGAGGGTTTTCGCTGCTACCGGGCTCGATTGAGATTTGTTGAGGACGATAAACATGCCCACAGAGCCCAAAGACGCGTACAAATAAGCAGATGACCGCAAAAGACTACAGCCACAATCGCTGTAGAAGCGAGAGGGTAAGGAAGAGCAGTAGCAGGTAGCAGGTAGGGAGGCAATGGCGCCGATGACTGTCGGAGGGGCAGCATGGGTTCGCTGCGGTGGCTGTGATTGGCTGGCAAGGGTTTTGGAGAAGGAAAGGCGGAACTACAGCTTTGCCCAGCGCGAAAGCGGGAAGAGGTAAGAGGGATTCGGCAAAGAAAGGCTGCGCTGCGCTGTGTTGCGCTACACTGCGCTCGCCTGTCGTCGTCGCTCATTCAGTCCATTTATTGCAACTTCTTCCTGCTCAGGTCGTTGCCAGCACCCGCCCTATTTTTACTCATATTTCTCTGCCACATTTCGCTGGCGGCCGTGCTTGTCTTTACTTACAGCTGCGAATCTAGCTGTGCCTGCCGCCTACAGGCGATAGCAATCGGCAACACGTTTGCTGTCTTTGCCATAAATCAAACTTAACCCCTAACCTCACCCATCCCGATTTTCAGCCACGACCTCATCTACCCTCGATTGCCTGGTCTTCTGAGCATGTGTCGCCCGCCAGATCCTCGTAGGCGATAACAAGAAAAATACACTACCTCCTCCACCTCCAACGTGCATCCACAAATCTATCATGTCTTCCATGACTGGGCAATAGCTCCCACAGAATCATCATCTAGACATGAATCCCAACCACATGCCGTACGGGCAGCCCATGCCCATGCAGCAGCCCCAGCGACGGCACGATGGCTCCTACGCCCCTTTGCCTCCACACACGCACATGAGGCCTCATCCTGGCTATCAGCCATATTATGCTCAGCACATGGGGCCTATGATGCCTCAGTACCCTCAGCAATATGCGCCCAACTGGTACCCGTATCAGCAGCAGCAACAGCACATGCATCCTATGCATCAACCAAGACCTCATTACTACCCTCAGCCACCTATGCCACCCCCTCACTACCCTCCCATGCCGGTTGCGTCGCAACCAATGCATCCCCAGGCGTCCCCTCGTCCAGCTCAGACTCCAATTGGCGCAGCCTCGTTTCCTCCACCGAGCTCAGCATCGACTACATCAGCGGCTCCTGTCCAAACACCCCCATCGCCTCCGCTAAGTACATCTACTGTCAGCACGCGCAAGGATATGCTCTCACAGTCAGCTTCCCCCGCACCCCAACGCGTGCAGAGCCCATCCACCGAATCGATCCCAGAATCAGAACGCTTCTTCCCACCTGTAAGTGTCAAAGCCCCGATGTATGCTTTCAGACTGACCGTGTAGACTCCGTGGTTGTCATGCGAGGGCGAAGCCTTTCCACCTAGAGCTCCTCGGCAGCGGCGGCGCATTGCACGGTCGCAGCTCGCCAGTGAGCCTGTTGTATATCCCTGGGTAGAGCCAGCACCCGAAATGCCTGCGGAGCCATCGGTCGAACAAACCACCCCCAAGGCAGAAAATGAACGAGAGAAACAAACAGGAGAACGAGTCTCCGAACGCATCCCACCTAGCACGCCAACCCCACTGCCTTCAGATGCACCATCAGAAGATTTGTCAACGCAGCCCACAACGCCGGCTTCTTCTGCCCCGGCTGCTTCGTCGAAGTCTCAACAGACCCCTACACAGCCCAAGACTCGACCTGCAGGACAAGTGGTGCCAGTGCTGCCCGCTCTGCCGCAGAGTCCAACTGCAGCAAAGAGAGCACACCGTGATTCTGTCATTTCGTCGCAATCGAAGACTTCGGAAGATGCCACGATTGCTCAGACTGAGGATCAATCTGGATCAGCCATCTCAGGGAACGTCCAGGACCCCGCTAAAGCTGACGAGAACGCGACTCCGGCACCTGCTCCGCCGAAGCCCAAGCCGTCTTCTTGGGCAAGCCTCCTTCGTCCTGCCCAATCACAAAATGCCGTCAACGCCAACGTTGATACTGCATCGGATGTGAACGGCGGCATCGCCTTGCGTGGCGAGGCTCTTTCAGACGTCCTCCATGATGTGAGCGCTACGCTGGACGCTCCCAGCAAAATTTCATTTCTTCAACCTCGTGGCCTGGTCAACACTGGCAACATGTGCTACATGAACTCAGTAAGTATACTCCAGAGGCGGACTTGAATGTGCTGACCGGCGCAGGTGTTGCAAGTGCTCGTCTTTTCAATACCATTTTACGATTTGATTTCCAAGATTGCGCGTCGATCTGCGCATACGTTCAAAAGCGATACCCCCTTAATTGATGCCATGTAAGTGCACTTGGTTTCAGTTGAATGTGACATATGGCTAAGAACAAATAGAATTATGTTTCTGCAAGAGTACAATGTACTCGACTCGGCGGCTTCGGCCGAGCAGCTTCGGCTACGACTCAAACCAGAGGATTACGAAAAGTATGGGGATTCTTTTGCGCCAGAGTATGTATATGCAGCGATCAAGCAGTTGCCTCGCTTCCGAGAGATGCGTCGGGGCCATCAGCAGGATGCTCAGGAGTTCCTTGGCTTTCTCCTTGAAGAACTCCACGAGGAGTGCTCCAGAAGCATGAGGTCAGGCTCGACGAGCAGCGGACGCAGCACACCGCTTGGCAGTGTTGGCGGAGGGCCAGACCATGTGACAGATATTGAAAGCGGGTGGATGGAGGTCGGCCACAAGCAGAAGCCATCCGTGACGCGGTCATCAGGCGCAGTGGCCAATGAGTCACCCATCAACAGCATTTTTGGAGGGAAGCTGCGATCCGAGCTCAAGGTGGCGGGGAACAAATTGTCTGTGACACTAGAGCCATATTCACCGCTGCAGTTGGATATTGGCAGTCCCGAGGTCAGCAATATCATCGACGCGCTCAAAGGATTGACGCGGCCGGAAAGCATGCAAGGAGATTTCCACACGGCGCGGGGACAGAAGACGACAGCTACCAAGCAGGTTTTCATCGAGACTCTGCCGCCGGTGTTGATTTTGCATCTGAAGCGGTTCCAGTATGACAGCACGACGAAGCGGGCAGAGAAGATCTGGAAAAAGGTGGGATACCCACTAGAGTTGGAGATCCCCAAGGAGGTGTTCCCAACGTCAGCACGCAACAAGCTTGCAGTTCACGGCGGGCTGCCACGATATCGACTAACAGGTGTCATCTACCACCATGGCAAGAATGCTAACGGGGGACACTATACGGTGGACATTCGTCGACAAGACGGCAAGGAATGGGTCAGGCTGGACGATACGCTGATTCGACGGGTCCGCAGCGAGGACGTTGCAGAGGGGGGCAGTGAGGAAGACCCCAAGGTGCTGGCAGCAGCTTTGGAACGGCACAAACAAGGTGCGGGGAGCAGCAACCGGTTCGAGCAGATTGAGCAGGAAGAAGAGGATGGAGAGCCTGACAACAAAGCATGGAGTCAAGTGAACGGGCACTCGCGAAACAAGTCCACCATGAGTGTGATGGTCAATGGATCCGCGACTCCAGCCAAGAGCTCGGGTCCCCAGACGCCACGCGAAAAGTACTCGGTCAAGGACAACAAGGTGGCATACCTCTTGTTCTACCAGCGCATTTCGGCAGCCGGCTAGACTTCAAGCAGGACAGCAGAGTAGCCGTCATTGTAACGTGTAGATAAGAAGCGGATGGGAGAAGGGGCCCAGAGCGGCTCTCGACGTGGCAGTGGGAATAGGAGCCAAAAAGCAAGCAGAGTGTACGATACAGTTATCATCGTATCCGGGCGTTCTCCTACTACTCTTTCATGCTCCCCTGTCTGTGGTGCAGCACGCGGCCTTCAGCACATGCCCGAGGTCCAGCTCAAAAGGAAAAATGTCGGGCACTATCAGGGTCTGACTTCGCCAAGCCGGCCGGTCTTCCGCGAGAGATGGCACCCATGTGATTGGTACCACGGCTAAGCGTCAACTTAGCCGGCGCAGAAAGTCCCTGGGAACAAGCATGTGACTCTTTCTGCCCACCCACAACGCCCCTTCTTCATCATCTTTGCGCCCATCCACCGCTCTTCTGCACCACACCTCTCGATATTCTAGCCTCTCGACGGTGGTGCCTCTGTTTGCATCGTTCTACACAAATCGTTACGCGCTATGTAGCCTGTCTATTTACCTCCCACCGCTACCCGCCTCACTATTGCCGACTACTCACCTACTCCGTCATCATTCCCACGCCGAGCTCGGACTTGTCTCTCCTCTGACACGTGAAATCTTTGATAATAACCATGGAGGCCCAACACCCTATCAACCCTCCGTACGCTGCGCCGCCGCCTTTCTCTCCCCCAGCGTCGCATCGCTCTTCGGCCGACCTGCCCAAAGCCAATGTGATGGACCTGGACTCCACGCTCTCGGAGCATGAGCGCTCAACTAGGGCCGCCAGCGTTTTGTCGGGTATGTCAGTGGAAGATATGGAAGCAGCAGAGACCTTGAACAGTCTACAACAGAGCATATTCAACACTACCGCCATACCACACCTTAAAGCCGACCGGTCAGAGTATTCCTCGCCGTCTCACCAAGGCCCTCCTCTTCATGTACATACCACCACATCCTTCCACCAATCCCAACCCGAACCGCTTTTGAGGCTATTCACCAGCCAATACCCTCTCGCTGCTAGTCTCCTCAACGGGAGCTTGACGGCCTACAAAACCACCCAATCCTTCATCCCTGGTGCCGAATGGACCGAGCGAAACGTTGGCCTTCCAATTGCTGGAACTGTCGCGAGAATCTCAGGTGTCGAAGGAGGCTTGCGATGGGTCCTCCAGCCCAGAAGAGATGGGAAATCCTCCAGCGATCCCCGCTCTCCAGACGTTGAGAAGGGCTTCGATTCTCATCAACAGGCTTCGGAGACTCTCCCAGCCTACAGTGCTGGTGACCGCTCACCACCCTACACCGAGAACGAAGTGGTTATGCTCCAGCAAACGCCTCAACATCAGCAGCCTCCGCCGGGTTGGCGCCAGCAGCTCCTGGTCTCTACCAGCGGGCTTGGTGTAGCCATGAGTGAGGAAAGTTTGCGAAGTCTACGCTTCTGTCTGAGCTGGCTGAGGTGGGCCAACGGTAGACTGGGCGAGGCCATTCAGAATATTAAAGCCCTGCTAGATCGCTACGGGGAAGGTGCGCCTACTGGTGTAGGCTCCCCCATGTCGGTTGCAAGCATTACTCAGGACCAACACGAGCAGAGGCAGGCCGCCATGTCGGCCCGCATCGCCGCCTTAAGGAAAGATGTTTTGGAGACGTTGAAGAAGGTCGTGGGTATCGTGTCGCAGTACGCGGGTGGCGCTTTGCCCCAGAACGCCCGAGATTTGGTACACAAGCATTTGACCTCGCTGCCTCAACGATTCAGCATTGCCAACGCCATGGTCCAGAACGGCGATGGCAGTACCAACGATGCCAATCGTGTCATGGTGCTGGCTCAAGAAGGACTGGACATGATGACTCAGGTGAGCAGGGTGGTGAATGACACCCTGGTGAGTGCCGAGGGATGGTGTGAAAGACTCGGCAAGAAGAACGGCCAGCAGCAAGAGCAGCAAGTCGTAGGAAACGAGAAGGCGTCCCTACAAGCGCTAGACAGGGAACGAAGCATGACTGAAGGCCGGGACACGGATGTCAAAATGGAGATGTGAGGTTGGAGCTTCTCCCAAGGAAAAGCACGAGGCGTTGAGGAGCACTTATTGGAGCCGGGTTTACCTGCCCTATAACATTGTCCTGTAGCTAATGTTCGGGGGCCTACATACAGTGTACAAAAATGGAGAACGAGCTCTCGAGATGCTCATGATGGTTACCTAGGCAGGCGTCACTTGTCCTTGCGCGCAACCTTCGAAAGTGCAATCGTAAATTCGCAATTGTTGTACACATTTCTCTACAACGTTGCTAAAAACATCCCGCGTCGCCAGCCTGCCCTGCGCTGCCTGGGCCAAGCCCCCATATATTTCCCGCGATGCCACCATTCGTCCATATACAGTGTGTTCTCGCCACTTTCCTTCCCGCGTCGTGCTAGGCCGTGCCGCAGGGCCAGCTATACTATACTAGGTAGCCAAAGCTTCCCAAGGAGGAAGAGAATCCGTACAAAGGTGGTGTGTGATTTGTATATAGATAGTAGGGATAGTATAGATCATCAACATCAGCCAGTGCCGACGTATTTGAACCAGTTGGGGCGGCAATCCTCCCTTTGCAGCCATGACTCTCCGGCGTAGAACTGGCCGGGCTTGCAGCGCCGGCATTTGGGCGAGTTGGGGCAGTTGAAGAAAGGGATGTGGTTGTAGCCAATGTCCTTGAACCTGTGAGGGAGACGTTCGGTCAGCGTGTGCGAAGTCTTCCGGAGTGAAAAAGGGAGGGGAGAGTTCAAGAACATACCAGTGTATTCGCGACGCGTCCTCAAACAGACCCAGAGCGATGCTGTGAACAGGCGCGTCGCCCCAACGCTCGTAGAAGAACCCTCCGGCCCTATCCAAATGGTTGAAGTAGTCTTGATAAGCTGGGCTGCGCCAGAACTCCATGTCGGCGATCTCAAAGTTGGACCAGAAATGGCAGGTGGAGTAGCCGTGAGCTTTGAGGTTGTGCTCGGGACGCCTTTCGCTGTCGACCAGCCAGGCCATGGCGTTGTTCTTGTGCAGGTACTCGGGATGCGCCGCGAGAAATTTGATGGTTTCGGGCCACAGGGTAGGTATGCTTTCGGGGGAGTCGTAGAGGTTGATGTTGAAGCCGTAGGTCTTGTTGTGGTCCTGCATGTAGTGGAAGACGTCATAGTCAACGTCGCAGAAGAACTGGACCTTGGGCTCGACGCGCCAGTAGTAGCGGAAGTCTTTGAGGGCGGGATGCTGGTAGAACAGCCCGCTGTTCCACCTGCACATCTTATGGTAGGATTCCTTGTCCCAGTACTGGACGTTGTGCTCCTTGAGGATTTGCGCCGACTCGAGGTAGAGGTCGTGGTTGATCCAGGATGGCGTGTCCCAATGCTCCTTGGGGATTTCATGATAGAACACTTGCGCCTTGGTCAACTCTTGGGTCTTCTTCTTGAATTCCTCGCTAAAGGGCTCGTCATTGAAGAAGGACCATGGGTAGTTGTATTTGTGATTCCAAGTCTCTTCCAGTTGGCGCATTGTGGGAAGCAGTTCACGCAGTTCGCTGTTGCGAACGAGGGAAAGAAGGGTGGCATTGATTCGAGGGGAGTTGGGATTATTGGGGGAGTAGTCGTGCTCAGTGTGTCGCCATAGGGGTTCTGGAGGTTCGCCGATTGCTGCCAACAGTCAGATCAGTTCAGTCGCTGAGCGGGATGAGTGCGCACGGTCTAGGAGGGGATCCCTCTCCATATTCTCAATGGTTTCGCCATTGCGGTTCGGGGGCGTGATGGGGGCAACAGGCCGCGTCAATTGATAGAGCAGAAAGAATACCAGTACAATCGACAATGCACCGAGAAATCTCACCGGTCTTGCCACTGCCATAATATGCGATCAACTACTGCCATCAGGGAACTGACAGCCGGATAGGAAGAGGAAGAGATAACTGTTGACGGAACTTTTTTGGAGTAGGGACATGTGTCCAGGCACCGCGGCTGAGAACCAGAACGAGACCAGAGGCACCCAAATTCACGTCACGTGCACATCTATTCTGACCTCTGCACTTGTTCCTGATGTTTCTCATTATCTATCTATGCAGCATAAGATTCACAAGGGCAATGTGCTAGGTCGATGACGACTCTGATAACTCGCTAACCATCGAATTCAAACTTGGGTGCACCCGTGAATTCCGGAGAGGGCTTATATCGGAACATATGGCCTCCTTCATCGTCGGCTTTCGCATGTGGGCTTCGATCCTTTCCAGTCGCCACGAATATTATATCGTGATTCTTGCCGCCCCATGTCGTACACGCCATGTTGTTGGCGGAAAATACGACATCCTTAAGATGCTCCCCTGATGGGCTGAAAACCATGACCTGCGCCGATCCTGTTAGCTCTCGACGATGGCAGCAGTAAGACAGCAACGCTCACCCTGTAGCTGGCGAAGACTGCGATCCAGAGGTTGCCCTTGGTACTGTCTCGAGTCAATAATGGACATTGTACGCTCAGCTGTTGACTTACTCGACAACCATGCCATCGGGCTCCCCGTAACTGCTCCGCCGATCAATGAACAGCCTCTTGTTTGAGATACTCCCAGACTCAAGATCAAAGTCATACGCAAACACCTTCATCGCGACGCTGTCATTGAAATACACTGCCGTTGTCAGCTTCCGGTCGTGGTCCTTATGGGGGGTAGCACCCTACTGGTCTTGTTGTCAGGCGCCCATGCCAGACCATTACCACAGATGATGCCGCTTTCCATTTCATGCAGGCTCCCATCAGGATCATACCTCCACAGCCGACCTTTGGGCTCGCCATAGTCCGCAGGCAGCTTGTTGGCCCCATATGTAAATGCTTTTCTGTCAATTTCCGCCAGCCAGAACCTGCCCTTGGCGTCTACGCCTCCATCGTTGAAACGGAAGAGGTCTCTGTCGGCCGTCGGGATGATTTCCTTCACCACCTCCAGCTTGCCAGTCTCTTCATCCATGAAGGCAACACCTTGATAATATGCACAGATGTAGCCGGGCCGATTGCGACGGAAAAAAGCCACCGTGACGCTGTCCTCCAGTTTCAATACACGCGCTCGACCCTGTGCGTCGCCAGTCACTGGGTCGACCTTGAGGATATGAAGCTCGGCCGGCTCAGCAAGACAGTCGACCCAGTGCAGTGTCGAGTCGCTGGCCCGGTAGATGGGCGCCTCACCTTTTCGATCGCTGTCAGCATCCGGCAAGCTTCAATGAGAGGGGTACTTGCCCAAGACCATTGGGGGGTCACATTTGTACCAGGCCTGCCCACCCTCGGTGCTTTCCTTTGGGCCTGTTGAATTAGACATCGTGACAGTCCTTGCTCTGGTCTCTGATGCTGCAGTCCGATTTCAAAGTGGGGTTGTTGCCACCGTATGATGAGCTGAGCCCGAAAGTGCTATATGTCGTTGTCCTAGGTCGTTCTTTCTATTCATTTAAGTTTCCTGCCAGGTACTACCGGTATCTCACTTCGAACCTTTTGAGCTTCCCTAAAGTTCCTATAGATCTAGCCACCTCCAGTCGACCTCCTACCCACATGCATGGCAAGGCTACTTCATCAAGCGGCAACGATGCAACCCCACGGTGGGATGTCGAGACTATCTCATGGGCACTGCCCACCGAGACTGACCCTGCTCTGCCATGCTCGCCGATCCTGGCCGGGCCAGGTTAGCTGTCTCTACCTGGAGTAAGCCCGCCGATCCCCGCAAGCCACGCCTCCCTAGCGTCATTGCTGGCGCTGATGGCGGCGCTAAAGACGGTTCCCGTGGGCCCGTGGGCTCCTCCCGGCCCTCATCCTCTATCAGCGGAGATTCACTTCGCATAGGCGACACGGCCCGTTCTTCACTACCGCTCAAGCGAAGAACGAAGGGCGCGGTATATGAGGGTGAAGATGCGCTGCCTCTTCCCTCCTGCAAGCCTCTCACTTTAGACCGATCTCACCATGTCTAGCCCCGACAACAACGTCCAGCTTTCGAGGCTGCAACGCGTCAGGCGTGCTTTCAGCTCAACTTCGGCTTTCCATCAAGCACTCATCTTGAAGAGCTCGACTTCGATTCTGATCAACGAAGATCTGGCACCTACACCACCCATCCGGCAGCGATGGACGGTCTGGAGTTTCTTCGCCTATTGGTGGTCCGAAAGCTGGAACGTTAGCACTTGGTCAGTTGGCGCTGCCATCATCACGCTAGGCGCGACTGTCCGTGATGCGCTTCTTGTGGTACTCTTCGCTAACCTGCTTTCCGCCGTTGTGATTGTCCTTAATGGCCGTGCCGCCGCCAGATATCACATTGGCTATCCGGTGCTCTCTCGATCCAGCTTCGGCATCTACGGCCAGTACTTTGTCGTTGTTCTGCGGAGCATACTAGGAATTATCTGGGGTGGTCAGTTACGCCCTGAGCGTTAGCTCTAAAGGGAGGATGGTCTCTGTGTTGCATTCAAGATGTCGTCTTGAACGCGATCCTACATCATCTACTCCAGTGTCTGACTGTCTCTGATCAGACCTTTACTGACGTTGTTCAGGTGTCCAACTGTATTTTGAAGGGCAGTTCATCTCGATTTGCCTCAGATGTATCTTCCCTGGCTGGGCGCGGATCCAGAACACGATTCCCGCGAGCCAGCATATCACAACACAGGAGTAAGCTTGACTCGTTCATAACGGAGTGAGACGCTGACAATGTCAGGATGATTGGGTTCTTCCTCGCCTTTTGCTTCACCATTCCGTTCCTTTTCATTCATACCTCAAAGATCACCCACCTTTTCTCAGTCAAGTCGGTCATCATGCCGGCTGCCGGCCTCGGAATCGTAATCTGGGCCACATCTGAGAACGGGGGCGTCTCTTCGGACAACCTGATTGACTCGTCGGCGAGGACATCGACCGCGGTGTTCGCCTGGGGGATCATTTCCCAGTTCAACTCCGTCATGGGTGCCAACTCGGCCCTTCTGGTCACTGTCCCTGACCTGGCAAGGTACTCGAAGACTCGAAATGCACAGCTTTGGGGTCAATTGATCTCGCTGCCCATAGGCCAGACGCTGTGTGCGGCCTTTGGGGTGATATCCACGGTAAGTCTTCGCACGATGCGGATAAAGTATAATTGCTAAGATGCCCAGTCGGCCGTGCTCAACATGTGGGGTGAGGCTTACTGGAACCCATACGCACTGCTCAACGGTATTCTCGACCACTCTTATTCGTCCAGCGCACGAGCTGGAGTCTTCTTTGCATCTGCCTCGTTTGCTTTCGCAACCCTGGGAACCTCGATCGCCTGCAACTTCATTCCGTTTGCAGCAGACGTCACTTGCCTCGTTCCGAAGTACATCAACATCATCCGTGGACAGTTCCTGATGCTCATCATTGCCTTCGCCATTGTCCCATGGTATGTACCTTGTGCGAATAAGCGTCGCTCGGGCTAACACTGTCGCAGGCGTATTGTGGCCACAGCTAACGGCTTTCTCAACTTCCTCGGCGGCTACAGTATCTTCCAGGGCCCAGTCGTTGCTATCATGATCATCGACTACTTTTGGGTCAGGCGGGGAAATATCGCCATGAACGATCTCTATACACGCTCGTCTTGGGGCCGCTACCATTACTTCCATGGCTTCAACCTGCGGGCGTTCGTATCTTTTGTTATTGGGTTTCTTCTCCCGTTGCCTGGTTTCGCCGCCAGCTTTGGCTACGACATTGGTACAGCGGCACCACGCATGTATGCTCTAGGTTGGGTTCTGAGCTTTTTGATGGGTGCTTTGTCCTATTTCGTCATTTGCCTCATCTTCAAGGTGCCGGGCGGTGATGGCAGCCATCCGTTCGAGAGCAGGGTGGCAGACGCCCAGCAAATCATCAACGAAGGCGTTCATCTGGATGGCGAAGCAGAGAAGGAACGCGATCTTGACCACGCGGGTTCTACAACCACCAAGGAGGCTCGGAGTACTATGGTGTAGGATATGGGTGGCATCGGCCGGCTCTATTCTACCTAGGTAGAATAAGTGGAGGCAGCAAAGATCATGGTAATCGTGGTACCTCGACCTGACCCACAGAGGCTGTGCATAACTTGTTCCTCTTCATGACTATACCAAGCCGGCAGTAGCTATAAAGTAAATCTACAACTGGGGCGAGCCTTTCACTGTCAGTGGCTCTGTCTCCCAGCGTTAGTTGAGCAGCGCATGAGAGGCGAATCTTGGCAAGGCATGACCGGGCGCGTGCGCGAAGCTTGAGCTTGACTAATCTCCAGGCACCAAGCACCATTCCTCGCTATCCTCCCAAGATAGCCGTTCGCCCCATAACAGTAGCCTTCGACGTCAACCGTCACACCTCACGGTTTCGGACTGAGAAGCCATGTTGTCCGACCCTGCCACTCTCTCTCAGTAGCCTGTCGGTGCAGCATGATGCACTCACCGCTCCGATGCCGACAGAAAAACGCTACGCCTGTGATGACTGCGAGAAGCAGTTTGTCCGGCCTGAGCATCTCTACCGCCATCGCTTGAATCACAGACCAAAGCGAATCTACAACTGCTCCTCGTGCTCCAAGACCTTTGTGCGCCGCGACTTGCTCAATCGTCATGAGAAGCGCCACGAGCAGGGTATGCCCGGCCAGATCGGTCGCAGCTCTTCTCTGGTCTCGTCAACAGTAGCGGACACGCCCTCAGAGCCACATTCGGCATCAAGCCATGGACCAACTCCAGGACCAAGTATCATGCCCCGGAGCACACCGCTGATGTCCAATCCCACTCCCGAAACTACTCAGTTGTTCTTCGATTCATCGACCGATGTGCAAGGCGTTCGTGAGGACATTGACTGGCTGTTCAGCAACGGTAACGTTCCCGAATCCGCCGCCGACGGCTATTACAATGCAGCACCATGGGCTCCCCCACCGCCACTGTCTCTTTCGCCCAGCAGTAGCAATTCTTTTCAGTCGGCGGGAGACGTACCCAACCCTCAGCCCAGCGAGTGGAACGAGGTGCGTGCCAATGTACTGTCAGCCTTGGACTTGATTCTACCTCCACCAGTCCTGCAAAGCTCTTTCTTCGAACCCGAGAGCCTGCAGACCTTCTACGGCATCTACTTTGCCAACTACAATGCCCACTTTCCCATTCTTCACGCGCCGACTTTCAACCCGCAAGAGGCCCCTCCTCTGCTGATGGTGGCTATCTTGACATTAGGCGCAACCCTTTCCCCGGATGAGACACATTTCTCAACTGCAGATAAGATCCACGACAGCCTGAGATGGCTCATTTTCAGCTCCGAGGCTTTTCGACCACCTGCACCGCTATGGTGCCTCCAGGCCTTACTATTGGCCCAAGCACAGGAAAAGATGTTCTCGTCTAGAAAGCACCACGAGATGGCGCACATCTTCCACGGCGCCATCATCACGCTCATGAGGCGTGGCAGCTCTTACACAAGCGACCGGGCGATGCCTCCAGAATCGTCTTCGCTAGAGAAAGGATGGCGCTCATGGATCGATCGTGAGCTTGGTCTGCGTGCAGCGTATTTTGCCTTCATCATGGACGCCCAGCATGCTTCCATATTTGGGCATACTCCTGCCCTTTCTGTCAGTGACATTCGGCTGCCTTTGCCATGCCCAGACCGGCTGTGGGAAGCCACAACGGCATCTCGCTGGAAACGCGAACAGGCACGTCCCGAAGAGATGCCCGAGTTCCTGCCAACACTGCGTGCAGTTCTCGCCCGAAGCCCACTGCCCTCGACGTTCTGCGCTTTCTCTCGCTTCATCATCCTTCATGGCCTTTTCTCACTGGCAAAACACATGGAAGCAAGAGAGCTTACGTCCATCGACGTGGGCAGCCATCCACTTTCACTTGAGGACAACCGCAGCAACCATAGCAGCAATTCCGAATCCGGTGACGGCTGGCGCGAGACGCTGGACCGTGCGATAGAGACTTGGTCGTACTCACTCATGTCCCAGGAAGCCTCGTTGTGCCTCGAGGCCGCTCGAACGTTGCAGCGCATCGCTCACATTGTGCTGCACGTCAATCTGATCGACTTCCACGTCTTGGCTGGCGCGCTGACTGGGGCTCCATCGTTAACGGGCAGTGAAAGAACAGCGGCCGAATACGCACGGTCCAAGCATCGCATCGAGCATTGGACCAAGAAACCGGTGGCGAAGCGGACGTTGTCGCACTGTTTCATGCTGGTCCAGGAGACGCTGTTCTCGAGGCGTCAGTATCAGGCTGCCGAAGACAACATTGCTCTGCGGCCGTGGTGTCTCTACAATGGTGTGTTCACTCCCCCATCCCTTCCTTTTGTCGTTTTCCTGATTAGGCATCGCACTGACACGAATGAACAGCTACTCTTATCATCTGGTCATGGGGCATGCTCACACAGGGCAAATCCTCCATGCCGATCCTCTCAGCCGAAGAATACATCACGCACATGATGAGCTCCCTGCGCAGCGCGGTCGGCAGCCAGAGCCTGCCGGGCGCCAACCGCACGGACGGCCTCGTCGTCTCCGTCCGTCGCTCATTGGCCAATTGTAGGTGGGAACTGCTGCAGGAGGCATTCGTCACACTCGGGAAGCTTCTCGAGATTGATACTGAGGTGGTGCATCGCAGCTGAATGAGTATCCAGGGGAGAGGAAGGGGAAAGCGGATAGGCCGGTACGAACGATCACGAAGGCGGTCAATGATGACGATGACGCTTCATAAATTTACATCTATGTTGTCCCGAGATTGAGGTGTAGATCTCGGAAGCCTTGCGAACACGAAACTTAAGATGCTGCAAGGAGTGGGCTCCATCGGGCAGCAAGGACACGATAGGCACCAAAACGAGGTAGTTCCATGAATCCGAAATGGGTTTCACAGTAAGAAGACTGATCTTGTTGGGGGTCCCTCGAGAAAAATTGGCAAGCTGAAGCGCACTTCTCGTATTTATCTTTTTCGTCTTTACCGAGAAAGTCTATGCTTCGGTCCGCATGCTCAATGCTCGGTCATATATGTGGCTCTGGACGGAATTGCGAGTCTGCCCTACAATTATTGTTAGAGACCTTGGTTTTTCCGCATCGAAGAGATTCCGTCTTGGGACCACGGAGCCCAAAATGGTCGCGACTCACGGAGTTGGTTGGTTCGCTGGGGACGGCGGAAGGACAAAATAATTTGCTCGCTTGGCTAGCTATTGTGGTAGGCCGGCAGAACTCACAAGACAGCGACGCACTTGATCTCGACGTCGGTGTTGAGGGGGAGCGTCTTGACCGCCACGCATCTAGGCAAGATATGTCAGTTTTAGTCAGGTGTGTCAAATCGTCAATGTCAAACATGGATGTAGATGTCTGTCAGATTTGCGGATCCGATCCGATCCGATCCGACGATTCGGGTGCTCCGATGAAGCCATCCCCATCGAAGTTCTGCAGAAAGGGTACAAGGAAGGGGGATCCTGATTGACGTACGTCCGCGCAGGCTTGATTTCGCCCCAGTACTGAGTGTAGATTTCGTTCATCTTGGCAAAGTCGGCCATGTCGGAAAGGAAGACGTTGACTTCGACGGCCTTGTCGATACTGGAGCCGGCGGCCGAGAGGACTGCGGCTAGATTTTTGATGCATTGATGCTGTGAGACCGGAAGTGTTTGTGTTAGTGTATCCGTAAAGGTCATGTGATGGCTATGTGTATGTGTATGTTGTGGCTGTACATGTACACGTACCGTATGGGCTTGGATATCACCATCAACCAGTTTCCCTGTCGAGGGGTCCATCGGAACCTGGCCAGAGCAGTAGACGAAGCCATTAGCAACTATAGCCTGGCTGTAAATACCCGGTAGGGGCTTAGGGGCGTTGTCAGTCGAGACCGGCTGCTTGGAAGACATGCTTCTGGAGTGTACTGTTGGATGGGGGGAGCGGTCTCGGTGCCTGTCAAATAATAATGGCGGCACTTTTTTGACGTCGGAGGGGCAATGAGAAACTTGGAGATGTTTTCTATGGGGGGGGGTAAGAACAGCCGAACAGAGGGATGGGGATTGGACCAAAGAAGGAAGCCCTGGGCTTCAAATACCCCTCCGTAACGCTCTCGGCGATTCGCGCCCTGCGCGCCTTTGGCGCGACAACGGTCGGACAAAGGGCCGTTGTTACAAATCTACCAAGACCTGTCGTGTACCATCCGTTAACGGGCGAATGCTACCTCAAGAATAGGTGTAGGGTGTGCGGTTGGCGATCCGTGGAGCACGACGGACGAGGTAGCAAAGACGCGAATGTGCCGGTACCTTGGTGGGGCAGTAGTAACCGTCGCCTACCCCCACCGCCATGCCTAGCCCCCAAAAAGAGGGTCTGGGAAAACTCCACGCAGTCAGCAAGGATATGCAGACGAGTAGACCATTTTGGTACTGGGTTACGCTCTACGAGTTCCGACAGCTCGGGAAGTCCAAAATGTGTCAGGGCTCTCTACCAATAGACATGTCCCGAGAGGCTTCTCAAGTGCCACAGGCGAGGTGAGCCAGGCCCTTGGATCCGGGCTCTGCTGCTCCTCCTCACCGCTGATGCTTGTGCACTGGCATGGCAGCAAAACCTCCAGACAGTCGTTCGGGCACCAATTCTAGACCTGTGACGGCAAGTGGATCGACAAGGCACCCCTGGCAGGCCTGCAGCCATGGGGTCGATGCCGCTCAATATGAGGCTCTGATCGTCTCTTCTCCCTAACATTCGTCTCCGGCCCAAAAGTATACAGCTCCCCCCCAAGCAACAGTGTCCAGGCTCGCGACATACCCAGACCTAGATGCAGGCCATCATGAGCCATCCCCAGCCACCGTATCCCATTCATCCTTCGGTGGCCAATCGACTGCACCCCCAATACGTCGCCTTCTATAACGAATATCTCCTTCATGCCCCGTTAGTCCACCATCAGCCAGTGGAGGTATCCCGCATTGGCGGCAGGATTATTCCTGGTGGCAGCGAAGCCCTCCCTGTCGGTAAGACACAGGACTTCTCTTTTAAGCGCCGAGAGACCAATGGACCCGAAGTAAGGGTCCGGTGCTTCACGCCTCCGGGTGAAGCTCCTGCGGATGGATGGCCCGTCATGCTATACAGCCATGGCGGCGGCTGGGTATTGGGGAATATCGACACCGAGAACCCAGCATGCACCAACATGTGCATCAGAGCCAACTGTGTTGCCATCACAGTGGACTACAGGTACGAGCTAGTTTCCCGGCAATGCGACGAGATGCGTTAAGACCGTCTGCTGATGAGTCTCAGACTCGCACCAGAAGATCCATACCCTGCTGCGGTTCACGACGTTTGGGAGGCTCTGCTCTGGACCGTCTCCGAAGGAGCGCAGGTTCTGAACTTGAACCTTCACCGTTTTGCTGTGGGTGGATCCAGTGCGGGTGCGAATCTCGCTGCTGTCTTGACCCAGAAGCTGCTGTCGAGACCAGAAATCCACTCACAGGTCACACTGAAGTTTCAATTGCTAGTCGTACCGGTCACCGATAACACAGCCACTGTCGAGAATAACAAGACCTGGAAGGAGTTTGAATTCACACCGGCGCTGCCAGCGCTGAAGATGATGTGGTACCGAAAACATTATCTGCCCGATATCAATTCCTGGGCAGACACAGATGCCTCGCCACTGCTCTTCAGCGCAGATCACTTCGCGAAGCTTCCGCCTGCCCAGATCTTGGTAGGAGAGGTCGATGTGCTCCGCAGCGAGGGCGAAGAGTATGCTCGCAAACTCCGTGAGGCCGGTGTGGCCGTAGATGTGGAAGTCATGCGCGGGATGCCCCATCGTGAGTTCAGACACCCTGTATTGATGCCGTGTTTCAGCTCACCAAACGTCTAGCGTTCATGGCCATGGACAGCATCCTCGACGAAGGGCGCAGAGCCATCAACATCATGTGTGACAGCCTTGCGAGGGCTCTCTGACGGCGCTCTAGGCGGTCGCCGTCGGATTGTAGCTCAGGAGGTCGTTAAATCAAAGTGCATCTGCGAGTGATCGTTTTGGCATACAGCAGGAGTACCAGACAGGGATGGGGTGGGCAGGTACAGTTGTCGACCGTTTGTAAAGCGTGTGTCAATATAGCCCCGAACAGCGAACAGCCACGGTGGCAGCCTGTCTTTTGAATACAGATGACCGATTTGAGGCGACTGCGTCAGATGCACGTCGCCCAAAGCAATATTTTGCTTGCATCCTGCATTTAGGGCTCGGCTCGACGCAGTAAAGTTCTAGACCTGCCAACTCATACCCGCTATCAGTTCTGGCCTTTCTTGTACAAACCACTCAGGTGCAGAATGGAGGTCATTCGCGAAGCGCCAAAGGCATCGACTTTTGTGCCCCTCGCTGAACACCAGTCCGCCACGCCTGCCTCATTCTACACCGGGCCGCCTGTCCTGCACTATCATAGCGACCGCAGCAAGGTCATCGTCCTAGAACGCGATGCCTCCGGCGCCGCCCTGCTAGAGCCACTCCTTCAACACGCCTCCAGCGCGCCCGGTGCGAACACCAATGGCGGGGCAGAAACCAACGGCCATGGCGAAACCAGCGACATCGAGCAAAAAGTCCTCGAAGACGTGGACGTTTGGGTCACATCAGAGTAGGTCGCCCCTCCCATACGAGTAGCATTGGAACTGACGCTCTGTAGCAAACTCTTCCTGTTCTCGAATGTTGCCTCCACGGGCCTATCGATACCCTATCCTAGCATCTCGTTACACGCTATTCAGACACTGCCCAGTGCTGCCTCGGGCGAGGCCCCAACTCCATCGCAAGGCGTCTATATGCAATTAATGGCTTCTAACAACGACACTCTCATGCAAGACCCGGACGACATCGAGCCGGAATCAATCTCCTTGACCATTGTTCCGACAGCATCTGCACCCCCACAAGGAATGGGCTCTGCAGCTGGCGCTACTACGGCAGCGTCAGGCGACGAGATCGAGAATGAGGAGGAGCCCGAGCAGACCCCAGCACAAGCACTGTTCAATGCTCTTTCGAATTGCTCCAATCTACATCCAGACCCGGTTGAAGACGAGGAGGAGGATGGAGCACAAGGAAGCCGCCTGATCCAATCAGGGCTGGCCATTCCTTTGGGTGGTGAAGGATCCGGCCTGCCTCCGCCCATGCCCGGAAGCGGAGGTTGGATCACGGCTGAGAACATGCACGAATTCGTTGACGAGGATGGAAACTGGATCGAGGATGCGGGCGAAGAAGCTGCAGGAGAAGCGCCTCTTGGTCCAGGTGCAGGCACCGTGCGGTCGAGAGACGACGGGGAAGATGGCGGCGGCGGAGACAATACCGCTGCTGACGGCGAGGATGCTAAATGGCAGAGAACTGGATGAAGGTGCTTCAGTCGCCTCATGAGTCGAGATATGCTAGGGCTGGATCCGTCTGGAGGCTCCGTCTGTAGCATCCTGGATCAGAAAGGCAGCATGATACCGCTGAAGTATTTAATAGAGCGATTCTAGCCATCCATCACGCTGTCATGCGGCTACGATGCGTCCTAGGAACTCCTCCAACTCGTCGACATCAATGACAACCCGTAGGTGCAGCGAAGCTCCCATACCAACGGCACACCAGGACCCTACTAAATCGACAGGCGGGCTCTCCGAACTTACAGCCGACGATGCCGAAAGACCCCTTGCTGTGGGTTCGGGGAGGCGCCCATCAATTGTATCGACGCTTGTTTGCATCACCACCTTGCGCGATCCGATCTCCGTGGCGGAGCAGCCAACCACAGTCGCAAGTACTGGAACGAATACTTTTGACTTGCCGCACACCTGGCGGAGATTGGACCGCTTGCTAGTGGGTGACATACTAACTAACGTCTGGGGGAGGCAGTTGACGTGGGGTGTGTCAGCGGCGGTGGTCGGCGATATCGACGGGAGGGCACCCCCATCTCACAGCTGAGAGACAAGAACGTCTCTCAGCTGTGAGATGGGGGTGCCCCCCCGTCGACATTCGTGACCCCTGGGTGTGTGTTTCTTTTTAGGTGCGTAGCAGGTCTGTGGGTGGGAGGCGAGAGACAGTAGACGCACAGCAGTCACATCTTGGCCGTGAATGGATGGTTGAGCAGAAGGTGCCAAGAAAATGCAGGCAGTGAATATAGAACGACAGAGCAGCGCTGTCGGGGCTCCAACCACAAAGCCATTCCGCGTTTCTTACCACCGCTATCACAGCAGCCATTAGAGATACGGTGGTTGTGGATCTGCTTCGTTTGCGCTGTACGAAATCCGTCCAGCAGGGAGGAAGAACAAAGCAACGAGAGCGCCCCCTCGGACCTGTATTGCCGTCAATAATGGCAGATGGGAAATGTAGGCATAGCTCACCTGAGGGTAGTGGTGCGTCCCGGGACCTGGAGAGGTCCAGCCAGCACCTTGCCATCCCTGCATGCCTTTGAGTTCGGCGGTCTCATCGAACTGGATGACACAGTTGATCTCGCCGTAAGGGTGTTGGTGATATTGGCCAGAGTATTCCTCTTGGCTGTCCATGTACACGGTGGTGATGCTCAAGTACTTGGTATCTTCGTTGGGCAATGCCACCTTGCTGCGTCGGTATTTGGGTCTGGCATCGTTGTGTGAGCATTATGGTCGTGGATCCGGAAGAGAAGAGCGTACCCGTCCATTTCAATAGTCGCAACCCAACCCTCGTCCTCACGCACAGCACGCCGAATGTAGCTGCAGAAGTCCTCGTAGAACTCGTTGCCTGGTCCGTAGTTCTTGTTCAGATAGGCCTCGAGCTCATGTCCTGGGGTGCTGCAAGGCGCTCGACATCAGGCACGGCTCAGACCAGGCAGGAAATGTACAAAGAGACTCACAGGTTCTGAACCTCGTTGATGAACTCTTTACAGCGTTCGACAAACCGCTTGGCGTTTGGGTGTTTCTCTAAGTCGACGCCGATCTTGTCGCCTTCGTAAGACATGGTCACAAACATATGAGCAGCGGATCTGGGGTGCTGGTTTGCTTCCTACTGATGACAATCGAGCGCTATAGAGAGGCTCTTGTATCCCTCGTAGAGGATGTCAATTATGTCACTTAAGTCAAAAGTTGCTGACGCATGGGGTTTATTCCACTGCCGAGTGCAGAGGCCGAGGAGGAGGTAAGCCCCGACCGAGAAACCGCGACCACTAAAGCCTCCGTCGTGGACTTCCACCGGGCTTCATCAGCCGGCTACAACGTGGTCTACCAAATGACTCGGAACAAGAGCAGTCAATGATCGTCAATTTGCACGCCTTTGCGCTCTCATCCAGAGAGCTGCGGATCCTCAAGGGCAGGAGCCTAGCGAGCCCAGTCCCGATGTGCTAAATATGGAATGGGGTCAGTACGCGTGTATGGCCAGCCAACGCAAGGCTACTGACTTCTCACCATCTCTCGAGCACGTTTACCCCTGATTGACTGCTTGTCGCCGTTCGCTCTTGGATCATTCGCAACGATCAATATTGTACTACCATCTAATGTGTATATAACAAGCGCCGGCCGCTTCGGACTCGTCTATTCAGTCACGACCAGCTACTTTCTTCACCCCGCAGTCATTCCACAGTACCGCGATGGACGCAGCCCAACGCAAGTCAATCCTGCGAGTTCTCTTCATCTCGCTGCTGCTGGACCTCGTAAGAGCCGTCCAACGTCCTTGAGCGAAGTCCACTGACAGCAGTAGATCTCATTCACTTTCATCCTGCCATTGTTCCCGTCACTTCTGTCCTTCTATCGAAATCTCGAGACTCATCCTTCATCGACTTTAAACCAGATCCTCCACGGCCTCAACGCATACAAGAAAGCATTTGGACTGCCGGTCAACGAAAAGTATGACATTGTATTACTAGGAGGAGCGCTCGGTTCCTTATTCTCCCTGCTACAAGCCATTGCCAGCCCAATTATAGGGATAGCCTCCGACAAATATGGACGCAGAACCGCTCTGCTCTGGAGCATGTGCGGAAATATTGCCAGCGTCGCGCTTTGGTGTGTAGCAGTCGACTTCCGCACCTTTCTGCTAAGCCGAGTGGTTGGTGGACTCAGCGAGGGCAATGTACAGCTGGCCACAGCCATCGCCACAGACATTAGCGACGAGAGCCAGCGTGGCTCTACCATGGCATTGGTCGGTGCGTGCTTCAGTGTCGCATTCACCTTTGGTCCGGCCCTTGGTGCAGCCCTAGCCAATGTCACAGTCGTGGCTGCAAACCCCTTCGCAACAGCAGCTGGCTTCTCCTTGTTCTTGATCGTGGTGGAGACGCTGTACCTGTATTTGCGATTGCCAGAGACCAGACCTGTCGCCCCAACAGCAAAGGCCGACACCCGCAACAAGACCGGCCAAGCAAGACCGTTTGCGCACGTCAACCAGCCCTGGTTGCTCAACCTCGTCCATTTTCTTTTCCTGCTTCCCTTCTCGGGCATGGAGTTCTCTCTGCCATTTCTCATTGCCTCAGAGATCTTTCCTGGTCACCCTTCGCCATCCAAAATCAACGGTCGTGTCCTAGGCCTCGTCGGACTGATCGCTAGCTTGCTGCAAGGCTCCGTTGTTCGGAGAATGCCGCCGTTGACCGTCGTTCGAATGGGTGTTGTCAGTTGCGCCATCGCATTCTTCATGCTGGCGCACATACAAACCATGTCCGGCCTGTACGGAGCAGCGGTGTTCCTTGCAGTGACGTCCGCTACAGTAGTGACCGGCCTCAACAGCTTAGGTAGCTTTGAGGCCGAGGAAGGCAATCGAGGTGAAGTTCTGGGAGCGCTGAGGAGCTGGGGCCAGCTTGGACGAGCAATGGGACCAGTGCTATTCTGCAGCCTGTTCTGGTGGACTGGACGCCAGACCGCCTACACAGTTGGTGGCTCGTGTGTGCTTGGAGTTGTGGCCCTGACGTTTGGGGCTCTCAGGTCTCCTAAGACGACGGAAGTCGTTTCTAAGCCGACGAATGGTCACGCGATCAAAGGCGGTTCTTAGCCTACCGTTATGTTGACGTCAACTGTTCGAGCAGGTACACCTGCTATATTGGAACGCCTCGCCGCGCGGCTCCATGCTTGCGTTGATTCGAGAGCCACGCAGCTTCTCGGTCGCCATATTCCAAGAGTTGGAGACATCGCGCTGCGATCCTCAGCGACGACAGCATGCAGCGTAAGGCTTAGCAGAATCTCAGCCTCGGTCCGGCATATCACGACAAGAGGATTATCTATGTAGCCAGATAATACTCACACCGCGTCGGCAATTGAAAAGTTGGGATGCCTTTCGGTCCTTAGATACTTATGTCGAAGGCAGTTGTGCAATGAACGGAATCGATATGAAGCAGCCCACGTGGGCGGCATTGAGGAGTCGACAGTGAATACGATGCGATCGACCGGCCACCGGCTCGATTGGCGCAGGCTGGAACACGATTCGCTTCTCCACAGCATCCGGTGGGCGGCAACTTGGCCCCGGCTAGAAACCGGATTTTGCTGACCTCTACCCTTGTACCCCTGCCTATTTGCCCCATCGTAGTGGTGTGCGCCACTCAAAGGAACACACATTCCTTTACCTGGACAGGGATTACATTCGCTGGAGAGGAAGCGTCCGCGAACTGTGGCTTGCCCTGACGTAGCCACGTTATTCCAGCCTCACATTAATCATGAGAAAGTTCCTTGTAACACGGATTTATTGTGCCAATATGAGCTGAGGTGCGTCCGCGTTGTGGGTGAGTGTCGTGTTGTCCTCCTGTGTACCATCAGCAGCTGTGAGAGTCCTTGGGTCGCGTTGCCAGTCCTCTATAGCGAGAGCCTTCTTCACCGGGAATACCCCTCACCTGACAGTCTTCTGACTGTGTGCCGCTCGTCATGGATAACGAGAACGATCAGCAGAAGCAAGAGAAGAGAGAGAAGAAGCTGAACGAGTGTGTAGCACTCCGAGTCTCATGTGGGGCACATCTGACTGGTTTAGGCTTCTCACTTCCTCCATAGTCGACATCTATGTCGGATCCGAGTCAGAACACTGGCCACTGCACGAACGTCTCCTGTGCCACCACTCACCGTTTTTCGCCAAGGTCTTCTACGCCGAGGACAAGGATCCGTCCAAGAAGTCGCGCGGCCAGAAAAGCTACGGCCTTCCCGACGAGGATGAGTACACTTTCGAGCTTCTCGTAGGCTGGCTCTACTCTAAAGCCATCAAGCCACCCAGGCAAGAGAAAGATTTGGGCCCGCTCCTCGACCTGTACCTCCTCTCACAGACGCTCGAGATGCAGAAGCTCGGTGAGGACGTTGTCGAGATCGTACGCGACTTTTACCACTCCACCTCCACCTACCCAGGCCTCAGGCGCGTACAGTACATCTACGCCGAAACCGACGAGGACAACGAGATGCGCGAGATGATGGTCGCATCGATCGCGCGACAGCTCACCACGTCGGACAAGATCCCGGCGCACTGGGCGTCGGCCCTGCAGCGCAACGGCCAGCTCGCCGTCGACATCATCCGCGCCATCCAGCAGTGGAACCTGGAGGAGCGCAGCATCCCCGACTTCCGCGACGGCAGCCGTGTCAGAGGCAGGGACCAGGCCGGCTTCAGCGCCGTGGAGCGCGAGGGCGAGTCGCAGGACACCGGCGCCACCGAGGACACGAACCTGGGAGTCGAGAGCCTCAACAGCGACCTGGACAAGTCGCAGATCAAGGATGATGACGAGTAAGTCCATCTCGTTCGTCGACACACATCTCCGCCCGGCTTCTTTTTCCACTCCCTTGTCTCAATATCAAAAAAGAAATTCTATATTGTATTGTTATCAGCCTCGGAGCTGAGCTGAATCGGTTTTCGTCTTTGTCTACAAAAGTCAGGATCCGCCGACTCCTCCGTCACCGCCTAGGACCCCGGAACGGCGGAGCGAACCACCGGATAAAACCACCGGTCGACCTCGTCAGGCTGTCTCGGTGGGTGCGAGGTTTTCAGCATTGGGGGCGACCGCGCAGGAGGAGTTCAGGGAGCGGCCGGAGACGGCCTTGATAGTGTTTGCTTGGGCTGTGTTTGTGCTGTATCATGCCCTAGCATACTTCGGATGGGAATCAGATCACAGCGACACACGGTAGCACTTAAGTCAATGAAATCGATCGAATTTCTTTACCACGACATAATTTCAACCCCTGTTCTGCAGCATGCATTGATCTAGATGTCGATTTGCCTCAGGCGCTGAGCGGCAGCCCTGGTCGGAGCTTTACTAACATAGGGCAAGTCGTTGAGCCTATGCGGGGATCCGCTCTTTATGAGTCGGAACTCGAGTCGAACACGAACACGAGACTAAAGCCTCGTCTATGGCTCGGTACTGTCACTACAGCTTGACTGATACGCATCAAAGCACGATGAGTCAGATCAACAACGACAGTGACGGAGGTATTCTATATCTACGATATCACCATAGCAGCACCATAACATCACCATAACATCACCACAACATCACCATAACATCATCTCAATCGTCCCAGACGGTTAAAACACGAACACACGCAATATACCAACTATGCCCTCCACAAGCGCCACGCTCGACGCCCTCACGCCGCTCCTCCAGCGCACCACCAACGACCCACGCCCCGTCGCCGTCATGATGTGCGGCCTCTGCGGCACCGGCAAGTCATCGCTCGCACACGCCATCGTAGCCGCACACCACGACTCACCGCGCATCTTCACGCGCCTCTCACTCGACGGCATCGTGCACGAGCGTCACGGCCTGTACGGCGTCGACTATGAGCCCGCGCTGCGGGAGGCCTACGAGGACGAGGCAGAGGAGATCTTTGGCCAGCGGCTGCGGGAGGTGTTGTCCCGGGGTGGGGATGTGGTGCTTGATCGTGCTTTCTATGCGAAGGAGGATCGGGTGGCGTGGAGGGGATTGGTGGAGGGGTTGGGGGCGAGGGTGGTGTTGGTGTTCTTCAAGGTTAGGGATCGGGAGGTGGTGTGGAGGAGGGTGAGGGCGAGATGGGATGTCAGAGGGGAATTGAAAGGGGAGAGAAAGGGGGATGTTTCGGTTGAGGTGACGAGGGAATTTTTCGATAAGTGGGTGGATGGCTTCGAGGAGCCGGTGGGGGAAGGGGAGTGGGTGGTCGAGGTCGAGGTCGAGTGATATCTGGTCCGTTGAGCTTCAAGATTAACATTCATGCCCTTGTCCCGGGTGTTTAGAACGTTGTCGCCGGTAAGCGGTGTATTCAGATAGTCGCTATTCGTAACGTTCACGCCTGCAGGAAGTTGGCCGTCCACCGCCAAGCTATCGCCGCTGCGACTAGATGGTCCCCGTCGGTACCTGGTGTAAGCGGCATTGAGAGAGCCTTGCTAGATGCAAACGTCGCAATGCTGGTGTGTTGGACTGAATACTAAGAAACATCGGTGGTCCGTATAGATAGCGATATGGGCGCCCCCCCCGTAGCCCGTAACGCGTGCCCCGTTGCTGTTGCTGAGTCATCGATTGCGGGCGCGCTTCTGTCCCGGATCAAGTCTTCGTTCCCACCACTTTCGATGTATACTTTGTCATGCCACCAATCCCGCCATCTCAAACAGCACTGCCAGGATGGCAGCCTCGCGTAGTATGCTATCAGCAGACATACCACCATGAAGACGAATACATCTCACTCCTCCCACTGATCACCAATGGTCCCCCGGCTGTTACACATGTCATCCTTGCTGCCATCCATATCAACTGGGATCCCAATAACTTGACGCTCAACGACAATCCACCGGATCATCCGAAGTACACGCAGCTATGGGATGAGGCCATGGTGCTGCAAGACAGCGGCATCAAGGTGTTGGGCATGCTAGGTGGCGCCGCCAAAGGCAGCTTTGCCCGGCTTGACTACTCGGAGTCACGGACGGACGTCCCTCTGGCGCGATTCGAGGCTTACTATGCGCCACTGCGGGAGATGATCAGGACGTACAGTCTTGATGGTCTGGATCTGGATGTGGAGGAGGAGATGTCGCTTCCAGGTGTTGTCAATTTGATTGACCGTCTGAAAGCGGACTTCGGTCAGGATTTCATCATCACACTGGCGCCTGTCGCAACGGCGCTCATGGCGGGACGACCCCATCTCTCAGGCTTCGATTATAGCCTGCTAGAAGCAGCGAGAGGATCCAGCATTGCCTGGTACAATACACAGTTCTACAATGGCTGGGGAGGGCTCGAGTCTCCACGGGCATATGATGAGATCATGAGGAATGGCTGGCGGCCAGAGAAGGTCGTCGCCGGAATGCTCACAAACCCAAGACATGGAGGGAGCGGCTATGTGCTGCTCCATCACACTGCCGCGGTGCTCAGCTATCTACAGGAGAAATACCCCGCCTTCGGAGGCGTGATGGGGTGGGAATACTGGGCGAGCCTACCAAATGAGCAGGAGGTCTGGCAGTGGCCATACTGCATGAGATTGATACTAGGATTGAAAGAGGTCAGGGACGCTGCCATCATCGTCACCATGGGCAGAGGGCTGTCGAGATCAAACATGAATCAAGGAAGGGTACCACGTACGAGATAGTTGACCGGTAGACTACTGGTCAAAAAGACCCCTGCAATGACTAGCTTGACTATTGTTGTGGCACAGGCTTCCAGCATTCCACCTCGCCTGTGGCGGTGCGGGGACTCAACGTCATCCCCAAACTTGTTGTCCATCCACTTGCACCTGATTTCGAAGCGACTTATGCTTCATCGTTGGTCATGTAAACCTTTCGCTGTGCCTCGCTGCTGAGCAGTGAGCATTACTTCCATAATGGCCCTCAAGCCGGTTGAATGGGTAGCAGGTACCGCTTCGACTCTCACCAGGCTCTTCGCCTTCTGCTTCTTGAGATGGGTCAATTGCACCACTCGAACACATTGCAATACGAAGTGCTAACCCACCATAGATCCCCGGGCATCACTTCCCGCCGATGATATTCACGAGTCTAATCGTATACCTCGCAACTGTCTTTACGCAGTCGGATGCCTTGGGGCATAGGCCCCTCACACTCAAAGAAGCCTTCCCGCAGTTGCTTGGTCACGACGAACGAGACGAAGCTGAACAGGAGGAAGATGATGGCCACGAACCAGTTCTCTACAAAGACGAGAAGAATGTTCTTAAGACGTTGCTCTTCGGTGTGCCCAACTGGCGCGAGCCAGAGCTCAGCTATCTCACCATTGCAGTCAATATTCTCATGGCATTCCTAACGGCAGACTTGATCTTCCGGGGACCGCTACTGCATCCTGCCAAAGATTTACGTTTCTCGCGCGTTGGCTTTGTCGGTGAGACTTCAGCGAAGGTCCTGTTTCGCGAGCCGAATGCAGATCAGCTTCCACTCTATGCATACCTTAAAGCAGCGCATGAGCCTCGCTGGACAAGCGTAGAGAAGGTGTACTTTCTCTCTGACGACACCGACTACACTCATCCGTTGACATTTGATGGTCTCGTACCTGACACGACCTACACCTACTCGCTGTCCAATGATCTCTCGGGTACCTTCACCACCGCTCCAGCGCCCTACTCACCTCACGCTGGCAGCATTACCTTCCTCACCAGTTCCTGCATCAAGGCCAACTTTCCCTATCGGCTCTTCTCGAACTCTTTAGCCCTCCATGGCTTCGATCATCTTCCCAAGGTTCTACGCTCGCTCCCCTCACCGGCATCTTTCATGCTTTTCCTGGGAGACTTCATTTATGTCGACGTACCCATGCGGCTGTCTTCGTCGCTCCGCCATTACCGGTCGGAGTATCGGCGAGTATACGCGTCACCTTCCTGGTCATTGCCCGGGATCTCGTCCCTCCCTTGGCTACACACCCTCGATGACCATGAGATCGCCAACGACTGGTCCGCCGGTAACGATACGGACCCATTTCCAGCAGCCTCTGACCCATTCATACACTACCATGTCTCAGTCAATCCTCCCATCCCAGCCTCACTGCCAGACCACTCCAACACGACATACTTCCAGTTCACCAACGGTCCCGCTTCATTCTTCATGCTTGACACCCGCCGCTACCGCACCGATCCGGAACCTGCCGACTCCGTCCTCTCCATCACCAAGCCTCTCTATGGCTCCTCCTCAAGCCCTGCAAACCCTCCCACTAACCCTACCAACCACACCATGCTCGGTGCTCAACAACTCTCCGCGCTTCTTTCCTTCCTCGCCGCTCCGCCGGCTCCCAACGTGCATTTCATGATCGTCGCATCATCCGTGCCCTTCACCAAAAACTGGCGCTTCGGTACCTCCGACACCTGGGGTGGCTACCCATCCGAGCGTGCCGTTGTGCTGAACGCCATGCACCGCGCGGAAGCCGAGCTAGGCGTACGCATTGTCGTACTGAGCGGCGACCGGCATGAGTTTGCCGCCATCCGCTTCCCGCCACCGATCCTGAACCTCAACACCACGGTCGCTCACGGCACGTCGTCGGCGAAGAAAAAGGACAGCGGTGTTGTGTACGACCGCACTCCGGCGTCGGGGCCTCACGAGTTCTCCGTGGGGCCGCTGAGCATGTTCTACCTCCCATTCCGCACCTTCAAACAGGTTGACGGCGAGGATGTGAATATCAAGTATTTGCCCGACGGCAACAGCAAGGTCGGGGCCGTGGAGATCAGGAATTTGGGCGGCGAGGGCCAAGGTGATCAGCGCAGCATGTTGCGGTACACGCTTTGGGTGGATGGAGAGGTTAAGTGGGAGTACGTGCTAACGAGTCCCGCGCCGGGCTTTAAGGGACGGTCTTTGAGGGGCAGGATCGGTGCTGGGCTCTGGAGCTGAGGCGGCGGTGCTCTCAGTCAGTACCTCATCTACCAGCATCTTGCAAAGTCGGTCAGACGAATTTCTGAGGAGCTTTTCCTCTCGCTCCTCACGTCTGAAGCAAAGCGTTCGGCGAGCACAGGAGACTCAGGAAAAGAATAGGAATGGCGATTTGGATTGTTATTCATATGACCCACGTTGAATCAGATATGGACACGGCCTTTCGTCAAGCTCTTGCATTACTCACACCTCGCCATGCTCTGTTTACCCCGTCCACCCAAATGCAGGGACATGTGTCTGATGCCTCCGTGTATGACCATGAGGCGTGTCTAGTGTCCCGACTCCATTCATGCCATTTCCCATGCCACCATGCCGACCCGTTGATCTCGTTCGAGCCAATAATCATAACACTGCCATCCTTCGTCAAGTCATTCGCACGCAGCACTCAGCCTCATCTACCCATTTCGGCCAAACCTACGATCGAAATCGCGCAGTACCGCCATCACGTTCGCGGCATCGATCTCCATCGCCGGCCGGGGTGGCTCGGCTGTCACAGCCGCGCTTCGACCCCGGCCCCCTTTACCCTCGCCCACCTCCATCGCCGCAGCCCGCCCGCTCATTGGCGCGGGACTGTCGGATGCGTGCAGCTTTGGCATCCAGCTCGTGATCTCGGCCGACGCGCGCTCGTACGCTGGGTGGCGCGAGAGCGTGGTGTACGCGTCGGCGCAAGTGAGGGTGACGGTGCGGTGTGGTGCTCCTGCCGCTGCCGCTGTGGTCGACGTGGACGATGCTCGCGCTGGAGATGCTGGAGCGGCTGCAGAGCGTGCTGATGAGCGCGTCTTGCGGCTCCGTGGCGGGAGGGGAACGGCGGCTGTGGCGGGATCGTCTGAGGGCTGCGATTGGGACTGGCAGCAGCCGCCTGCACGATCGCGGCCACCGCAGCAGCCACCGCCAGAGAGAGGCTGTGACTGAGACTGCGAGCGGGAGGCGGCGAGAGACTTGCAGAAGAGGGTGCTGTTGGGGTCTGCCTTGCACTGTGCGCAGGTGCCGGGGCCGTTTGCGCAAGGGTTTGTGGAAGACACTTCGCTGGCTGGGATAGAGGTTGAGGGCATGGATACGTCGCCTTCTGATGGGGGTGGAGTGAATTGTGAGAGACGGGGGAGGCGAGTGGCAGTTGGTTGGGGGGGGTGGGTAGCAGAACGTGCCGCTTCCTGCTCAGCAGCCATCTCGGCACAAATGCAAGGCGTACCATCGGAGCAGAAGCCGCAAGGGTCAGCGACGACGGTGGCGGACGAAGGTGAGATATCCTCGGCCCGGGAAGTGGAGGGTCTGGAAAACATGGCGGTAAAGTCGATCTCGAGGGACTCTCGCGGTTCGGTTTTGATCCGCTTTCCTGAGCCGGTCGGTGCAGGTGAACGTGGTCGCTTCTCGGCTGTAGATTGAGCCTGCGCCCCCAGCGTATCGAAAGCATCGTCGATACACTGGCACCTTGACTCGAGGGTGCATTTGCCGCAACCCACGCTCGTGTCACCCGCGTGACTCGTCGTTTTCTGCGGGCTTCGAGAGGATCTGAGATTGCTCAGCTCAGCTTCCAGCCTCCGACACCGCTCAGCCCATGTGTTTAGATCTGTTCTATACTGCTCCACCTCTTTCTCCAAATGTGCGACTTGAGAATGGAGCGCATCAGTCTCTCTGTCGTTCTCATCCTCGATCTGCTTGATCTGATCTTCCAGCTCATTGACACGTGCCGCCCGCCTCTCCCGGAACGCCCTCTGAGCTGCCCTGTTCTGTGCTTTCCGTTTACTTGGTGGCGTATCTGTTGCTGGTTTGCGTCCGGGCTTAGGACGGGGAGGAATGATCCATTCCTTTGAGGTCAAGCTCATTGTACCTGCACTGTTTGGTGGTGGGGAGCCTGCGGGAGGGGTCTGAGCAGGTTTCATGATAAGTGAGGGGCGACGTATGATAGTAGGCTTGATATCGGCTGTGGCCGGCGGCGACATGGCCGTAGGGGTTGATCCAGCGCTGCCAGCCATAGTTGAGGCGAGCGCAGGTCGTGGAATATAGCTACTGCTCGGTTGGAGATATCATACACGTAGGTAGGAGCGGGCGATGGGATGCGAGGTGAAGTACTTTGTACTTGGTCTCGTACAGCTGTCTCTCGTCAGGGATTACGTCTACTGCTATCCCGCCTCAGCAGGTGTGCAGTCTGTGTAGGAATGAGAATTGGAACGCGGTTGGAAGATCTAGCGGGATGGCAGGATCTTATCAGATTTTGATCTTTGCCAAGATATTATTATCAGATCAAATCTCTTCACCCGCGTCTGACCGCTGTATTTCGAGGCAAATCTGTCAGGCTCGGCTGTCTGACGGGATTATTTTTACAGAGCTGGTGTGGCCGAAGTCGGGCCATGGGAGGGGTCGGGTCGTGTCCTCAGTCCCCCGTGGTCACACCACTACCCGGTACCTCTAGCACAGGGCGTGCCTTCCAAGCCTTGTCCCTTGTCTCCGAGACGAACCTCTTTGTATACCTAAACTTGGCCATTGTAGCAGCTGAAACATACAATGTCTTCTCCAGTACGTAGAAATGGGATTGATATCTTGATCAAGCAGAGAATTGCTGAAGGGACGAGCTCCCCCGAGATCATGACTTCTGGAAGCTCTTGCGTTACTGAGATGAACGCCAGCTTGATAGCATGTGAGGCGAACTTGGTGGAGGATTCATCAAAGCTTGGAATGAGCTTCATTGTTGCCTCTTTTTAGCATCGACCAGTAAATAATACCGCGATTTCGAACGATCATCTGGAGAGTCTCCAGACCCAAGCCACCAACACCATGCACAGATTGACAAGATCCAAAACAAATGCATTTCGACGCCGAGGAACTCTCCAAAAAGCCACCACCTACAAAACTCCAAGGACGGTCCAGACTATCGTTGCCAGTGTCACTACCACTCCTCCTTCGGTGGTCATGTTAGCCTTCAGCCTCTGCACGCTCCACTCAATGGCGGAACCATTCCAAGACTACACCGGTGTTGAGAGCGTCGAAGTCGAGCTCTTCAAATATCCCCAGATCCTTCAAGAAGTCGAAGAACAGCTCGACCTGGGGCAGCAACCCTTTACCTCAGGTAGAGACAGAGCATAGGACAGAACCAAGACCTCGTATTATTTCGAAACAACGTCCGACGGCGGAATGCCATCGACCAGGGTATATATATCATTGAGAAGAGTTCGTGAGATATCCTTTCGTGTCCATTGACGCCTTGCAGTCATTATTCGCCTTGCCCGACGTCCACCCACAAGTTGTCTTTGAGCCGAATGTACCATAGCCCAAGGCGCATCCCGGAGACCTCAAAATTTGCCTGCATGTGCATTGACACCAGCTCCAGCTTCTACACTTCCTTGCAGACCTCCGACAAAACCGGTGCCCCATATGCCCACGAGGCCCCAGAGTCCGACTCGCCAGCCTCGATAAAGACCCTGGACACCTTGACCCTTCCTCTTTCTCCGTGGTGCTTTCCCCATCAAGGCAGCCGTCTTGTCCTTCTGGCTCTCAGAATAGCCCTCATCGCGCACAATGCCCCACATTGTTGGCAATACACCACGATATGACTGCGGGACAGGCACGACGGTATTGACAGCCTTGTGCTTCGATGCTGATCGAGGTGGAGAGACGGATGGAGCAGTCCATGTGACAATCTGAGCACGACGTAGGACTGTTTCGAGTGGGAATTTGATTGAGAGATCCAACGCCGAGGAGGCGAAGGTCGCAACGGACCATGATGCGGAGTTCATCGCAGGGTCTAAGCCCAGATACGAGCGCAGGAAGAAGGGTGTAACATTCGAGAGGAATGTTGGGATGCTCGAAGTCAGGACTGTGATGGGGATAAGATGGGCTGGGATCAAATAAGACGGAGATAGCGTTCGGAGCGTCCCAAGCAATGTTCGTGGCTCGTCTGTTGAGGGAGTGAGAATGAGTCGCGTCCTAGCAGCATCGACGGGTGCGAGGACAAGGGCAGAGAGGGAGGCAGCAGCTGTAGCAATGAGGACGGTGGCGGTAGGCGCAATTGATGAGAGCACCGAAGAATCCGGTATCGATGAAGACGAAGCGATCAGGACGTCTTGCTCGGCAACACCAAACAAAGCGGCAAGGAAGCTTCGGAAGAAGGTCTCGAGCGTCCTCGAGAGGATGGTATGTATGAAGGTGGTGTTGGTGGCCCTCCATATTGAAAGGGCGCCACTGTTTGACGACAGAGACGACAACGCGTCCAGAAGAGAATGTGAATTTCTCAGCTCCAAGCTGCCGGATGTTTTCGATGGGCCCGTAGATCTTTGACTCGTTGTCCGTGTGGGTGGAGGCCTGCCTCGCCGTCCACGAGGTGGCGATGGCGTTGACGGGCCAAATTGGGAATTATTGGTAAAGAAATTGGGCTCTTCATCGGAAGAGTCTTCAAGCTCTGCCTCATGAAAGTGGGCACCCGATGTCGACGATTGTCGTGATCTCGACGGCTCATCTAGATCGCTCTCCTGCGCAACCCGGACTTGTAGGATGACTTTGGCCACTTCGAATGGCTGTGCCATTAACACGCTTGTGTATTTCCATACTGCTTGGTCCAATAAGCTCTTCAGAGACCCTGTCACTGACGGCGAACCATCTGGTATGTACTCCGAGTAGTCGATATCTGGGAAGGTAAAGCTCGAAGAGGACGCGGGTGCCTTGGACGCGCTGGCGGTGGCATTGGCGGCTGGTGCGACGGTCTCGCCTATGGAAGGGGGAATATAATACGGTCTGAGCGGGTTCGGGCCCTGTCTAGGCGCTTCCATCGCTGTTGGTGTCGAGGATGATTGTAACAGTCAGGTGGAGAGAGGTGGTCGTCGACGCGGAGAGAGAATGACGCCGCCTTGCATGCAGCCTTGGCGAAATTTATCTTAGAGCCCGACTCGATCGGCCGAAGTCCTAAGCTGTCTCAACAGTCCCAGTTGCGAAAATACGATGTCTGGCTGGGCTGGCGCGCGCATTGTTGTTGCAGGGGCTATCAGGCAATCGACTAGGCCGGCTGTCAGCGTGCCGGCGCCGTTCCGATTTTCTTCGAGATCTTTCTCACTTCGCCGACAGCATGACGCCGGTATCCGAGCGCAGAAGGAGGCGATTCGGCAACGCATAAGAGCTTTGGAGCAATCGCGCCGAAGATTCGCGGTCAGCTCGGTCCAAAAGCATGGTCATATCGATCCGCCGAAGCCGGGCGAAGAGCTACATGTCACATTCATTGACAAGGATGGAGATCGGCATGAGTTCGAGGTTGCCGAGGGCGACAACTTGCTCGATATAGCGCAAGCGAACGATCTCGAGATGGAGGGTAAAGCCAGTGATACCTTCTTGAAAACGGCGGTCTGACAGCGATATAGGTGCATGTGGGGGTTCATGTGCGTGCTCGACCTGCCATGTTATCGTCCAAGATGAGGACGTCTATGACAAGATTCCGGAGGCAGATGATGATGAGGTATGGTTTCAGAACGATACGAAGTCCGGGAGCTGGCTGACCGTGCGACAGAACGACATGCTAGACCTTGCTTTTGGACTTACTGAAACATCGCGACTCGGATGTCAGATCAAGATGAACAAGGATATAGACGGCATCGTTGTGAAGCTCCCGTCCATGACCAGGAATATGCAGGCTGCGGTAAGGCTTGGTTCACAACGCTCCTAGGCGCAGCGGTATACTGACATAGTGATAGGATTTCCAGTCGAAATAGTATCAGGCGCCGAGAGCCAGATGTACATTACTGCATAGCCGTGGCCGGGGTCTAATCTGTACCAAGATCACTCCTCAACTTTTCCTCCGTCGCGGCAATTTTCCACACCCTGTAACCTCAACACCAATAGATGCAGCATGTCTCGTTATGTTCATTTGCCCTTCTTCTGGCCATTGATCAGTTCAAGGAAGCCTTGCTTGCTCATCTCTTTGACCTTCTCCTCACGACTAGATATACCGACTGTGCCCTTTTTCTGCTCCTCTTTTGCAGCTTGCTCGCCCCGGACCTGCGCTGCCCTGAATGCATTGAACAGAGCAACAACACCTCGCTGAGCGATCTTTCTAAGCCGCTTTTCTTCAACAGCAACTTCACCTGTGGTGCCCGATTCGATGCCCAGGGCATCCTTAATCCTACCTCGATCGAGCTCCTCCTTCTTTTCTGCACGTAGCTTGGCCTTCGCCTTTCTCTCAAGGCGTTCGTTTGCCACCGATTGGCTTGTGTCAACGGCTTGTTTGCTTCGTGACAGAACTGGATCTTGACGCGCGGACTGTGACAACTTTGTAGACAAGATTTTGGAGATCGAGGTCGAGAAAGCGTCCGGATCATTGCGCTTGTGCTTTGGTTTTGCCGAGACGGCTTCTTGGTCACCATCCCCATCCTCATCATCGTCTGATGAACCTTCAGCTGAAGACTCATCCTCGCCTTTTCGAGACCGTGGCTTCTTTGCGCTCTTCAGTGTCTTTGCAACCTTTCCACCTTTGAGCCGGGGAGCAGGTCTTTCGTCGTCTGAATCAGCAAGGGTCACCGGCGCAAATTGCGCATCGTCCACATCAGATTCGTCCGAAGATGAGTGGTAGTCTTGAACTCGCTGTCGCTTGAATTTCTTGGGCTTAGTAGTCTTGCCACGGATGGCGTCGTCGAGCTTGCGTTTCTTTTGAGAAGGAGGCGGCAATCGCGACATGATTGCTAGACTATGGTTGTGGCAAAGTCAGGCAGTGGTGGACTGCCTCTCGGTGTCAAGAAGTCGCAGCGGGTTGCCGTGAACTTTTTCTCCGCCTGGGTGATCTTCGGCCAACTTAAACTCGATTGTGACAACCCCACATCGCCATACCATTGCACCACATTACATCGCCTCTAGATGAGTTCTACTCTTCTCCACTGGTCTTCGACAGAGCTGTTCGCTCCTCGCACTTCTCATATCTAATTGCAGCGCCCGCCAACCGTCAACATGGTTCTTCAAGATTTCGGCGGGCGCATCAGCGCCGCCGTGGGCAATTTGATGCGTGAGCCCAATCTCGACGAGAAAGCCTTCGATTCGATGATCAAGGAGATCTGTTCTGCGCTACTGTCGGCCGATGTCAATGTCGCTCTGGTGAAAAGATTACGGAAAGATATCCAATCCGCAGTCAATTTCAAAGATATTCCCCCGAACACAAATGCGAACACGAAGAAACGAATGATACAACAGGCCGTTTTCGACCAACTCGTTCACTTAGTCGATCCACACGCGGAACCGTACAAGCCCAAGAAGGGAAAATCCAATGTTATAATGTTTGTTGGCCTCCAGGGTGCTGGTAAAACTACATCATGTACCAAGCTAGCCAGGCATTACGCCAATCGGGGTTTCAAGGCATGTTTGGTGTGTGCAGACACGTTCAGAGCAGGTGCATACGATCAACTTAAGCAGAATGCGACAAAGGCAAAAATCCCCTACTACGGTTCTCTAACTCAGACGGATCCTGCTGTGGTCGCTGCAGAAGGTGTTGCGCGGTTCAAAAAGGAGAAGTTCGAGATCATCATCGTGGATACGTCAGGCCGCCACAAACAAGAAGCCGATCTGTTCGCCGAAATGGTTCAGGTCCAAACAGCCATCAAACCAGATCAGACAATTATGGTCTTGGATGGCACGATAGGTCAGGCGGCTGAAGCTCAGTCGGCAGCGTTCAAAGCAACTGCTGATTTCGGTGCTATCATCATTACCAAGACGGACGGTGGTGCAGCCGGAGGTGGTGCAATTTCCGCTGTGGCCGCGACACGAACGCCAATCATCTTCCTGGGTACAGGCGAACATATGATGGATTTAGAGCGATTTGCACCGAAGCCCTTTATCTCGAAACTGCTTGGCTACGGTGACATGTCTGGTCTGATTGAGCACGTGCAATCAATAACCCGAGACTCGGCGGCCATGAAAGAAACACAGAAACATTTAGCAGAAGGGATCTTCACGATCCGAGACATGAAGGAGCAAATTACGAATATTATGAAGATGGGACCACTATCCAAGGTGGCAGGTATGATTCCCGGCCTGGGAAGCATGATGCAGGGCATGTCAGATCAAGATGGTCAAGACAAGCTCAAGCGCATGATCTACATCTTTGACAGCATGACCGCCAAGGAGCTCGATTCTGACGGCAAGATCCTGATCTCACAGCCTTCACGAATGGTTCGGATAGCTTGCGGGTCGGGAACCAGCGTACGAGAAATCGAAGAGCTTCTGACGCAGCACAAAGTGATGTCAGGCATCGCAAAGAACATGGGTCAGAACAAGAAGAACATGCAACGCGCACAGTCGATGATGCAGGGCGGCAACAAGCAACAACAGATGGCCGCGATGCAGAAAAGGATGCAGTCAATGGGTGGCGGCAGAGGAGGTATGCCAGGCGGCGGCGATATGGCTAAGATGATGCAGATGATGCAGGGCATGGGAGGAGGCGGTGGTGGTGGCATGGGAGGAATGGACATGAACGCCATGATGCAGCAGATGGGCGGCATGTTTGGAGGAGGTGGTGCCGGTGGTAGAGGAAGAGGGCGGTGATCGGGAGCGCTTGGGTGCGTAAGCGGAAGACACAAGCTAAAGAGGCTTTTCGGGGGTAGAAAGCCTTAGAACGCAAGTCGCGGCGGCGCATCGAGGGCGCAGTCTCGGGATGCCATTTGACAGTGAATACAGATGCCAGAATCAGCGCTAATGCCAGTGAACAGCCAAGGACCCTGAACAGGTCGGTACAGGCACCAACCCGGCTTGATGCAGGCTGTTTGAAAGTGGCACAAATGCCGGCCGGTAAAATGAAGTTATATAAATCCCAGACTAAAGCACAGCTACTTCTCTCGTGTGGCTATAACAGACACTTTACTTGAACAACTCTACAAGCAAGCTCAGTGCCCGGGTCACCGCAAACCCCCCCTAAAGATGCAGCCTTGTCGGGATGGCTCGGAGCCTCCCCTCGGCTAACTTGCCCAGAGGAAACGCGCATGCGACTTCTCGCATTCGAACATCGACTCTTCATTTAATTTCTCAGACTCCTTCTTCGCCCGATAAACATCGTCGTTGCAAAGTCAGTCTCCTCATCGTCATGTCTATGTTCCCAGGCATGCAGTCGCCCGTTGGGCAAGGCCAGAACGGTGGTCTCAGTGACCAGGAGCAGGGCATGGTTAAGATGGTATGCGCCGGTCCCCGTCCGAAAACCTGCGTAGCCTCCCGCTAATCTGACGCCCGCAGATTCAAGCCGGCATGGAATCATGTGTCGTAAAATCTATCATGGCTGGCGGCGCTGGCTTCGCCCTTGGTGGTGCTTTCGGTCTTTTCATGTCGTCGATGGCCTATGATACACCTTTATCACCACAGGGTCAGGAAATGGCAAAGCTATCGGTTAAGGATCAGCTAAGACGAGGCCTGAAAGATATGGGATCGAAGTCATACTCGTCAGCTAAGAACTTCATGATCATTGGTGCCGCTTTCAGTGGGACGGAATGCGCTGTGGAAAGTTTACGGGCGAAGAACGACCTCACAAACAGCGTAATCGCCGGATGCATAACAGGTGGTGCACTGGCGTACAAAGCTGGACCTCAAGCCGCTCTACTTGGCTGTGGCGGCTTCGCGGCCTTCTCGACAGCCATCGACGCCTACATGCGCATGCCATCGGACGAATGAGCAACGAACTACCACCAATTGAAACCTCGGCAGCACCTTGCAGTCAGACTCTGCAGGCTCTGCGATCGAAGGATACAGACATAAGATTCTCAACTCAGCAGGAAGATGCATGGAAGCTGGCCACCGCGCCACGAAAAGCTGACACATCTGCACCAACAGAGGGGAACTGTCCGGCCTGCTTCAATGACGCTCAAGAAACTATTGTTACCAAGAATGGGTCGCCAATAACTGAAGCCATGAGACGCCGCAAGTCTAGGTGCATCTAGGTCCAGTGTTCCTTCGAGTTCTGCCTTGCGCATTCTGAAGATGTTCGGCAGACGTGGAACAATGTAGCGAAAGTTAGATTGCGAATGTGCTGAGCTGGCGGCCGTCAGTCTGCCCCGATGAGGACTACGATTGTAACAACAAGGAGATATATTGCTTTGTCAAGCATGTGTACAACAGATGTCATGATCTCGACTCAGTTGAGAGCGCGGCACCTAGGAGGGATCGGACGACCGGCTTCCTCATTTGTATAGTGATCACTTATCACCGCTGGATCAACGGTACATTGTCGGATTCACTGCCTTGAAGGAAAGGTTGGTGCCAAGATGCTACTTGCCTTAATTTAATGACTGCATGCAGAAGTTCATTAGAAGAGCCATGCGGTGGATTTAAGCCCCATGAACAGGGCAAACGGGCAGCTACAGAGAGACATTCCCTGACAAAATATTGATCATTACTCTACCCGATGCGTTCACTAGACTCCGGTGAAGCGGATCTGGCCCATTGCAGAAACGGGGTTGCTTATATCACGCCGGCCGACATGGCTGGCTATCTACCTCGCCCTGGATACGGGGGCCATTTTAACATCAAAGTAGCAGATGAGGGATAGGAGAAGAGACAAAATAGTGCCTTTGTCAAGTTGATGATACACATACAACGAAGCAAGAATCGGAACCCTCGTGAGGGAAGCGCTGGTCCGTGGCTCAACCTCGACGTTGGATCTTTGCCAAAAGTCCACTGCTTCATTGTGATTGCACTACGCTGAGAGGGCTACCTAGCTCTCTGCGAGTCTGAAATCTCCAGGCTGCTCGACTGCTATGAGCTTCGACAGGCATCGAGACATGTCAATAATGATCTTTCCTGTGGGAGCACTTCAACATTTGAACTACACCCGGAATCAATAGGTGTGGCAGCTTAAGCAAGTATTGCATACAAACAGCACTTGCACTAACAAAACCACCGGAGCTAAAGCCAAGAACAGGATCGTCGACACCCGAGGGCTGATAACCTCGGGATATCGGTTTGAATTTCTCGAACTGGCCGGGTTGGAGTAAGTCCAAGGAATCTTTTCACCCCAGTGCTCTCCGCTGCGAGGACTCTGATCCGCGCTCCTAGGCAAGCGATGGAGATTGGGGGTATGCCGACTTTCTCCAGGCCCCCAAGTTTCCGAAAATTATGGGCACAACAGCAAACCACATCACACGCCGTCGGGACGCACGCTCTTCGGTCGAGGAACGTTTCACAGCGACTCATCCGGTATCCACTTCGTTGGTTGATTGTTCAATCAAAGTCACTGGTCGATGAACTGAATCCTACCAGTGCAACGGTGCCTGGGCGGGGAATGAAGCCCACTGACAACATCCATTTTGGCATCGTCTAGCGCTACCGCTAGACGAGGAATCTGCTTGACACATGGCTACAAGGCCGACTACCGAATCTTGCAGCCATCGGCCAAGCACAATTTGGCCTCCATGGTAAGGACCGCAGTGCTCCGATCGGCGGAAGTCGAGGACTTCATTTTATAAAGCTCATTCCCTTTCTAACAAGTGATTCTCTACTTCTCCTGACATCTTCATTTCCCGCCCCAACCCGTTGGGTCATACTCCAATCATGGCACGCGATGCTAACCTGTCCGAGAAGGAGACTCTCGACCATGCTGAAGTTGAGAAGTCAGGTATGGGCGATGGCCTCGACGATGAGAACCTACCGAGGTACGACGACAAGGAAACGAAGCGAGTTCTACGCAAGGTCGACTATAGATTAGTACCCATGCTGACCCTACTCTACGTACTTGCTTTCCTCGATAGAAGTGAGTCGAGCTCTTACAGCCATTGGATCTCTGAACAATGGAGACTGACCTATGCTCACAGGCAATATCGGCAACGCTAAGATTGCGGGTATGAACGAGGAGCTCGAATTGACCGGCACGCAGTACAATATTGCGCTGACGGTCTTCTTCTTTCCCTATGCAATCTTTGAGGTACCATCGAACATCGTGCTGAAGGTAATGCGACCCTCATGGTGGATCGCTATAATGATGTTGGCCTGGGGAGTCGTCATGACCCTGCAGGGGATCGTTCAGAACTACGAGGGTCTTGTAGCTACCAGAACCATGCTTGGCCTGGCAGAGAGCGGATTCTTTCCTGCTGCAACATACCTGTTAACGACTTGTAAGCTCACCATCGACTCAAGGGGTAGAGTCAATCGTTAACCAGAACAGGGTATGCTCGTTTCGAAGTGCAAACTCGCCTTGCCATCTTTTTCTCAGCGGCATCGTTGGCCTCCGCATTCAGTGGTCTCCTGGCTTTCGGTATCGAACACATGGATGGCGTCGGAGGGTATTCAGGATGGCGTTGGATTTTCTTGTTGGAGGGCATTGTCACCTGCGTCGTCGCAGCGGTCCTTCCTTGGACCCTACCAGATTCCCCTGCCACTGCCAGCTTCCTCACACCTGAAGAACGAGACTTCATTGCCCGACGTCTCGTACAAGACTCCGGCACATCCGCCGGCAAAGTAGGCACCACCGAAGGCTTCAATTGGGCCTACCTCAAGTCCGCGCTACTGGAATGGAAGATCTGGTTTGCGGTTTTCATCTACTGGGGTAACGCCATAACGATCTACGGCTTCACATACACGGCTCCCACGATCATTCTCCAGCTCGGCTACACGAGCGCCAATGCCCAGCTTCTGACCATCCCAATCTATCTGCTAGGAGCGATCGCTACCATCGTCGTCTCCCGCATTGCTGATAAGCGGCAGTCTCGCTGGCCCTTCATCATTGGACCTTACGCCGTCGCAGCCGTGGGTTTCATTGGACTGCTCTCCATCCCGCATCCCCGCTACCCGGGCCTCACCTATGCCTTCCTGTTCTGCATCCCCGCCGGAACTTACCCTCCGCTAATCGGCTGCCTCTCCTGGGTCGGCAACAACATCGCGCCATCCTGGAAGCGAGCAGTCGGTATGGCGCTGTTGATCAGCCTTGGCAACCTCGGCGGTGCCATTGGATCCAACGTTTTCCTGCAGCAGCAGGCACCGCACTACTGGCTGGGCTATGGGATGGGGCTTTTCAACGTAACGGCCGCCATTGTGGCTACGCTGGTGCTCAAGACGGTGTACCTGCGGCAAAACCGCAAGAGGGATGCGATCAGTGAGCAAGAGGTCCGTGCGAAGTACACTGATGAGGAGCTCATGGTGTTGGGAGACAAGAGCCCGCTGTACCGGTACGTAGTTTAAGTGGAGCGGATGAGGAACGAGAGCAACGAGGGAGACGGCGACCAGGTCAAAGTCTCATTTACTGCCTGAAGCCGGACTTGGAAGCCAATCAGAATAGAGGGCTTGGGGAAGTTAGAAATAGATCAGGAGCGGTTGGGGGAGGAAGGGAATTAGAGAAAAGACCTCAATTAGAGCTGGATACACAAAGCACAGTGTACGATGAAATGAATTATCCTCATATTTCGTGACTTTGCTAGACCGTTATTGAAGGAGCGTAACCTTATGGCCCGGGTCCCTAAGAAACGCACTAACCGAATACAACCCCAGTCATCAGTGTTTCGCTGCCAGGCAAGCACACTTAACTCCTCACCGCGTTACATATATCCCTCATACAGTGTAGTCCCAAATGAGATCTCAAATGGTATGGCCCTGGTCAGCACCGCCAGCGCTGGTGCGGTCCACCATACCTGGGGAAGGCAAAGGACTCAGCGTGGAACTCCAGCTAGAGTTGTGACGACGGTGGCCCGGCCGTTGCAGTGTTCCGTCCTCGCCGAGGATGGGAGATACAGCTCGGCCTGAGGTTGCCCTGGCCAGACCACTGTCATCTCTCTTCTCCTCGTTATTGTGGTCGAGCGAGAAGCGCGCTGCTTCGGGGATGGACGACATGGCGGCGGCAGTGCCGGGGGGTGGAGGCGACCGTGATGGGGTGGGCGATGCGGCTCCGTCGGAGGCGTTGCCGGCGTCGGTTGGCTGCGAAATAGATTCACTGCGCACGGATCGCGGGTGGCCACCGCTGACGACGCTGGGAGGGTACAGAGGATATTGCCTGATATCCGAGCCGGGGACAGGGGAGCGGGCACCGGCTTCGTGAATGAAGCTGCTGTCTGCGTGGACTTCGTGGGGTCCGGCACTTCCATCAGCGGGCTGGCGGACCGCGGTCGAAGACGACCACCGACTGTGGTCTGTTCTCGGTGATCCAGGGAAGTACCCCCTACCCTCGAGCTCTGACGGGTGCGCTTCTGACATTTGCGCGGGCGTGGCCATGTTGCCTTCTGGCTCGGTGTAGGTCTCAGACGCGAGGTCTTTACCGGGCGGGACGTCACTGGCAGTGCCGCCAATCCATTTGGTGATCCAGCCCTGCTTGGCCGTTTCAGATGTGACATTGCTATGACGCTTGTTGTCGCGGGCCTTCTGGATGCGGCGACGGCGCCAGCAGAAGAGAATGATCCCGATAATTGCGAGACCGCCGACGACTCCGAGAGTAGCGGCAACGGGAACCACCCAGCCTGGCTGCCCGTCATCGTCGCCGCCGTTACCAGGATCATTAGTAGGCACCGGACCGGCCGAATCGTCAATGAGAGTGTACGGGCCCCATTCCTTTATCTCCTTCGAGTACCGTGTACTGAAAATGTCGCGGAGTGCCTGAGGCATGCTAGATGCAAAAGGCTCCCGTGCAACTGCATCTCTGATAGCGTTGGTGGGGGAGTATGGTCTGTGCTCAGACTCTCGTGGGTCATACCGACCCGTCCAGGCGAGGTCGTTAAGATCGAATACATCGATGCCGCTTCTGGGTCCAAGAGGTCTAGCACTCATGCCCGTGCCTCCAATTACCATCATTTGATCAGGATAGGGCTTGAAGCATAAATGACCTTGTCTCGCAGGTGCCACATGTCCGGAGACATCCAGCGTGATCCATTCGAACGTCGGGACAGTGAGCACGTATACCTTCTCCGTGATGCTTTTCGGCTGATTACCGTCCCAGCCACCATAAACGTAGATGTCGAAGTGAGTATGGTCCGAATCTGATGTCCCATTGCTGAAAGGAGCCACAACTGTGCAAAATTGAGCTAGATTGATGTCCGGGTAGAAGCTGTTGGATTTGAGGGGTTGTGAAAACCATGTCCTGGATGCGATATCGTACACGGCAAACTCTTGGGTAAAGTTGTTACCGACCTCCATAGTGTCATTGGGCCAAGCGATATTGTTGTTCAGCACGTCGGTCGGAGCGAGTACACCACCAACAACGATCAGCAGTCCTTGCTCTCCGACAGGGATCCAAACCATACGGGCGTGAGCTCTAGTTAGAATGGTGTCGGAAGTGGGATCGATGTATTGCCAGTCCGCATTCTTTTGTTCGGCAGTGTCGACAGTGATGAGAGTTCTCGAGACTACCATGCGATCCGACGGTCGTCTGAAGTAGCCGATCTGGCTGCCATCTTGCATCTGCATGCCACCGAAGTAGAAAGAGAGATTCTCACTCGGAACACTAGCTCCTGCACCTATGGAGGTTGAAGATTAGCTTAGTCTGGTTCTCTAAGCGAAGAGACAGCCTCGAGTTGATGCCTAACCAGGAAAACCAACAGTATCGAGCGTGTTGATGTGGACTTTTAAAGGACTGACTTACCATACGCGATGGAACGGATGAAACTTCCGCCTTCAGGTGCGTAGAGGGGATTCGGCTGGACGGGGTCAACCTCTTCACCTTCTTGCTCATCGTAGACGACGCAGGCGACGGTCCGTGAGCTCAACAGCTCTCGGTTGATGTAAGCTCCTCCGTAGGCGTAGAACTCGTCGTCATCGTGAAACATATATCCATCCAGCCACTCTGTGCCAATTGTGTTACCTTCTAGTCCTTCAAATAAGGCGGGAGCTTTGTCGTCGTTGATGTCGAATGAACGATTGAGACTGAGCTTGAAAAGCGACATGTCGTCGACAGTTCTGGGGGCGGGGTCCCATGCATCGTCTGAGTCTGACCAAGTTGTTGCTTTCTGCAGAAAACCGCCCTCTAGAAATATATCATGTCGGATCAGCGCTCCTCGAGGCTTGTCCCATGCTGCGATCTCTGGTGAAGTCAGGTTGTAGATGGATAAGGAAGGCCCAATCAAAGTGATAAAAACAAGGAATGCGGTTGGCATCAACATGGTTGCGATATAGAGAAGCGCAGAGCAAGGAGGAAAAGCAGCCTGGAAAATTCAGATCTGAACCGCAGCCTTATGGCAGAGACACGAAAGCTTACAGACAGGACATGGTTATTGGGCAAATGCCACACCTGTGAGCCGCTCATAACTCGAATAATGGATATTCCCTTGGAGAGACCGTCTGGATCGTCGTAGGCCCACACCACCATGGATGGTAAGCAAGTGAGTGGCGAAACCAGTGGCCCCAACCATCAGAGGAAGTGCAAGCTGCAAGAGACAGACCCTGGTCTGTCATTAGCGCGCTTCGGGAAAGCACCCTCGAACTCAAGATATCGCCGGGTGTTGGTAAAGAATGGCCTGGATGTCCATCAGAGCCGGTTGGGCCTTCCTCAAAGCTCTACCCTCGGTTGTGGTATTTGCGTAGGGTGACATCGAGATGTATGTGACTCTGTTTTCGGGTCCGCGTGGGGTGGCATGAAGGGGATGGCGCAGGCCAGACCCTGGCTGCATGGCTATGCATTACCAGGTCCGGATCTAGGGGCAGCTTACGGAGTACACCAAACATCATCGCACGACTCGCAGCACGGGAGTTTTTGTTTTTTTGGGAGATCGACAGCTCCACGAGCAGTAGGCTCCACCGATGGCTGACATTATGTGATAGGGAACTGAGCAGCAATATGAGTTTGCCAAGCCCGACTTTGTGCATCGCGCCTTTCTCAACCTCGTGGCATATACAGAAGCAGAGCGTGTAATGGGATGACTATCGTTGGCACATACTTGTATGCTATGCCCTCACGACTTCGATAGCAAGCGTTGAGAATACGCGCAAGTATGAAGCTGTATCCCCAGTTCTGTTGATCAGGCTGAGAAGTCGTGGAACGGCAGTGCGTCAAACAGAGCGATTCCTCCGATCTCGAGTGCCGCTGGCGAGTCAGGCGCGCCATATTCAATGACTCTTCAGCTCTAGTCTAGGCACGATGCGTAGCAGTGTCTCCCCGACACGACTAACCTCACTCGTTGTGGCAGGAACACTTTGCGTCGACTACAGTAGTGAGCAGGCTCGGACATCTCGCACACCTATCACCGTGCTTGGCTTGGAGGAAATGTCCTCTCAAAATAGACGGGACACCCTATCATCAGCGGCTACTCTGGGGGAGTCCTGGCGAGCAAGAAGACACTGGCTGAGCCATGCAGTGACTATTCTCCAAGACGAAGTTGATGCAGAAAGAGCGTGTGTTGGGCATGTCTTCGTACGTGCAGTCCAATTGAGCTTCTGCTTAGTCCTATTGCAGGATAGTGAAACTTGGCAATGCGGGAGCGAGTGGCCCGCCCGCGAGTGGGGATGCTGGGGCCCGACAGCCAACCATTCCAAGAAATTAGGCGGTGCGCTTGGTCGAACGTCCGTCGTGCAACACTGTGCCATTCTGGCGAGAGCACTCGCTGGCTGAACGCACCGGAAAGCTCCTCATTGTCCCAAATTAATGCAGACGTCGCACCGAGACGAAATACGCGGTCTCGGAACACAACTGCTGCTCTGCTGCTGTGCTCTTTGCTCTAAGACCACGATCAGGCTGAGATTTTGGCTACACAACTTCGCTTAGGGCAAGTCTGCTAGGCGCAGCAGTCACTCCGCAGTCCGCACCGCACTAACGCAAGACGTACCAGTACGGGATCACCGAGCCACCACCAAGTGATCTGCTGCTGCAGGCACGGGAAGAATACGATCAAGACATGGTGGTTTGGGATATTGCTCGAACAAACCGGAGTAAGCGCCTTGACTGACCGCTGAGCTGGCAGGCTGACTTCGCCAGCCCCTCATTTGAGCCTCACTGAATGCCACAATCACACCACAGCCATTCTATGTTCGTGGCCAGCTCCGCTCTTGGCCCCATAGCGGTGGCCTTATTTGGCCATGGCTAAATCTGCCGAACATTCCTTTACTAGACTTACTGCACTAGTGCCATGTCGGGTGGTGTCCATGTGTCATTTCCCCTCGGACACAGGTTGCCGGTCCACGTCTCCTTGGCTGGGGAATAGACCGCTGTGCTTCCCACGCTGCGACGTGTGACTATCGTGCTTCCAAAGTACGCAGACTTCTAGTCAATGCAAGCCATGTTTGGAGCTCCGCCAGCTTCCCTCGCTACGGGCATAGCAAGCCGGGTCCGACGACTCGTTACCATATGCACTTCCTGATGACCGGTTTGTCGCTCTCCCACCGGCTTTAGGCCTATATACTTGCAGAAGATCTGCTAGTTGAGTTCTGAATTTATCCATCGCACTTCACTCGCTCTTCTGATCGTGCAGTCTTTCTTTCGCCTGTTTCAGTACCGCTTACGGAATTTTATTCAAGATGAAGGCCAGTGATTTCAACATTGTGCTAACAGCTCTTATCACAATTGCTCGCGCCGCTGACGGGGATAATTGGACCGAGGTGCCGGCATGTGCTCCGGTGACAGTCGTACAGACAGTCAAGGAGTGGCAAGATGTTGAAGCCAAGACCATATATTTGACATCGACTGATACGGTCTACAAGACCACTACTGAGACCGAGTACAAGACCGACACCGTCGCTGTCACGGTTACGGAAGTGGACACCATTACTGTTGTTGATACCGTCACTGCCGTCGATACCATCACTGCCGTCGATACAGTTGTCAACACCGTCACAGCCCTAGAAACTCAGCAGGAGTACTACACCGAGACTCAAGTCCAAACAGATGTCAGCACCATCACCGTGACCGAAGAAGGCCCGACTGTGACGGTCGAGCCTCCCTGTAGTACGACCACTCCCCCTACTGGCTTGGTGCTCTGTCCATCCAGGATCATCAATCCTACATATACACCTAAAGAGCCTCTACCGACGGACTATCTATGGGGATGCAAGTAAGTTATCCCTTCTTCTGGACCATCTAGCAACCTCGACTAACCTATCTTAGACCCGGCTATATTTGCACACCAAAACAGGTCGATTGTAATTTTGAGAGAAATCCTCCCGCTAGCAGCTATGTCTGCGCGCCGGAAGAATGCAAGCCTGTACCGGGACTCCCAGAGTCGGCTAACACAGGATGGCCGACACGGACTGATGCTAATTGCGCGTGGTATGACCCTGCCCCAGGGTATTTCAATCTCAACCCTGAATACTTCGGCCTCACCTACGACATCTTCGACATATATGGACAGCCTCAGTGTCCAGAGTCAAGCAAGACTGGACATGATTGGTCGGACGCAACACCACCACCAAGCGAGCCCACCAAAGGATGGTCAGACTCGGGCAAGCCTCATCCCAGACTCAGAATGCGCGGTACCAACAACCCTCTGGCGGCGCTCTTGATCCGACAGTCTCTCGCCTTAGCCCCAGCAGAGTGCTACGGTCAATTCAATTACGCTAGTCAAGTGGGCGAAGACATCGGTAAGGTGGCGGACAGGCTATGTGAGCCAAACACCGAGTTCCAGACTGCACTCTCAGCCTGCAGAGATTGCCAGGGAGAATATGGCAACGGCAGTGGCTCGCCAGACAGCTTCCCGGCGCTACAAGAATTCGTCGATTGGTGCTCAGCCAATTCTTAGCTATGTTTGACGTCTGTCATTGTGTTCGCGAGATACTCGCTGCTGTCAATGCCCTGGGGAGATAATGACTGTGGATCTGACGAAGCTGTAACTGTCGCTCATTTTGCATCACAATACCATCAAAGGTGGACGATGGAGCCATGCGCCTCTCGCAGAGGTTGGAGTAATATCGAGTACACAGTGGATGACTGGGTCTTTCTAGGCCTAAGAAGCTCTGGGCGGAGCCTAATGGTGAAAAATGGGACATAACTCACTTAGACCGTCAGTACCCTATCGAAGCACTCTCTTCTTTCCCATCACACCGCCGTTCACGCCCCAGCCTTCTTCAGTTGTGACAATGTTTCGCCAAGCCCAGTCTCGCTTGCACCGCACGCCACAACAGCACGACCCCTTTATTTCGCGACGGCCTTGCTGCTAACAATACCTCTCCAGGGTGTGAGCCGCTTCGAGGGGCAGTGTGGGCTTGTATGCGCATCAGGATTGGCCAAAGAATAGCCAAGCCACCTACTCCGTACAGAGTCATCGTGAGAGCATGCCCTCATGCCGACTTCAAGCCCCATGACGTCCTTTTGTCTCGACCAATTCTCGGTAGTGGACCTTTGTGCTTTCGAATAAGCCTTTCTTAGCTTCTACCTCGCGTGCCGCCCTGGTCTTTGACACTGCTGCTGTCTCATTTTTCCCGTCGTCATCCCTGTCTTGAATGTCGGAGCACATGGCGGACACAATGATGGCGATGGTGAGGGTGGGAGGGCCGAGGTGTTTGGCTGCTTTGTGGAGGGGCCATGGCCGGAGGGGAGGCGGAAGTCCTAGTGGAAATATGGATAGAGCGGACAGACTCTGGTTCCGGAATGGGGAGTACGGCGCGGGAATATTAGGCTGGTGTGTGTGTGTGTGTGGCCGAAGCTCTAGGCAGAGCCATGCGGCACTGTGTGGCGTCTGTCAAGGGCACAGACAGCTCACGCCGCTTGGGAACACCTGGCCTATCACTAAAGGAATGCCGCGATGTCAGCATCATCTAGAAGCCGATGGGGGTTTGAGACCATGATATCGTGTCATGTCACTGATGTCAGTGAAGTAGCATTTTGTACAGGACCTGTGGAGGAGGGTATCTCGGGAGGCGTTGCCTCTCAACGCCAGAAAATGCCGCCAGTGAATATCGTACACCGTCTCTATGCCGCCATGCAAAATCACCCAAGCCCAAAAAAGTCTCGCTGTGCTTCGTGGTCGTTTGTCCAAATGGTCGCTCAACGCTATGCGCAATCTGCCTCATACCCAGGAGTTCCGCTGACCTATGCTGTCGTACCCAAGAGGCGGAGAGTCAGCTCATACAGTGAGAACATGATGGCAGCGGACGGCGCAACTCGTAGAAGATGAGGGGTCATGCCGCCGTACAGTCCTGCAAGGCCTTCTTCCTTAGCAACCAGCTTGAAGCACTGTATCAAGCCGGTGTATTTGGCAGTAACTTTGCCGGATTCGGTGACCATTTTCGGAGCCTGTCGAAGCCGAGTTCGCACTACCTCGTGCGGATATGTGAGTGCCGAGGCGAACATTTTGGCAAAAGCTGCAGCCGAGAACTTCCCTCCATACTCTTCAACATCATCGACCCAGTTGCGCTGATAGCCCTTGTCGGCAAGGCGTATGGCTTCGCGGCGCTCCAGTGAGAGCTTCAAACGCTCATAAAGCACCCACTGCAAAGTTGACTCTGTGACACCTAAATAGCTTGCAGTCAGACCCTTGTAGAGTCCTCGAATGCCCTCGTGGCGTACGGTCTGCTTGACACAGTCCCAACTGTTACGGTACTGGCGACCCCTCAGCGGATCATCACTGGCTCGGTTTTTGTCGAGTTGAAGTCTAGTCTTAACCAGCCAGATCGGATTCGTAGCTGTGCCAGTGGCAATACCGGCAGTCGCAGCAGCGAGGAGGTGGACACTCCAGGCATTTTCCCTGCCCTCGGGGTTCATGTGCTCATTCAATATGCGCTTGCCATTGCCGTAGACGAAGAAGTTGATTGAGCGAGCTGGCACAACACCAACCAGATTTGCGCCAAGGCCCTTGTACAGAGCGCGGAAACCTTCGTGAGTGTAGATGCTGCTCATGATCTCTCCAGTCTCTCTCAAGTGCAGTAGCATGACTCGGGGAATGGTGAAGAGAGTTGTCTTGGGTGGAGGGGGGTGAGTGGCTTTGATGGCGCGAAGCTGTGCTTGGTAGACGTCTGACTGAAGACGGGTTCGGAGAACGTCGAGAGGTGATGTCAGGACAGTGGCAGTCATACCACCGAAACTGCAAGCGTTAGAACTGTATAGGCGCAAAGTGATATGTAGGCATACCCTCCAGCGACAAAATGCGCCCACGGCTTGACCGCCGGCTTCTCCTTGGTGACTGACATTCCATCCCTACCGCCGGATGACGGCTGGCCAGTCTGCTGTGATTGTGAAGCGGCAGTCTGATCTGATGAAAGCCCGGCGCCCTTAAAAGGCTGCCGCGCAGGCGCAAAACTCATTAACGGAGCAGAAGTTAAAGACGGTTCAATGAGCGACTGCGAAGGTTGTGATTTGAGGCACAGAGGTGATTCGCGGAGTCGTGCCTGTGCAGAAATGGTATCAACGGAATCAAGCGAATGAGAATTAATGTACAGTCTAGAAGAGTAGAGGAGTAGATGAAGAAAGGGAGGTGTGCGTGATGGCGAAGTTTGGTGAGCGCAGGCATCATGATCGGCCAAAAAAAGTGCCAAGCGTACACCCCGGATATCACATCCGGGCCGTGTTTGTTCCGCCCGACTGCAAGGGCAGAGTTCACTGAACATCTTGCCCCTCCTTAAGTATTTGCTCAGGACGAGCACAGTGGATCGGGAGCGGGTCCGATCGGAGCAGCCGGGCATGCCTGCTTCGTCCGTCAACATCGATGATGATGCCTCAATAGCACGACTCCTGGCGGAGGATGCGAGGGCATCTTCATCCCGCTATGCCAAACAAGGGCTCTCAGCATTGTTGCCAAAGCGGCCCGCCGGAAGCGCGCCAAAAGCGAATACCAGATTTCTCAAAGCCCTCGTGAGAGACGCAGACAGTCACAATGCGGCACTGAGACGGAAAGAGGATCGAGAGCGAGTCGAGCGCCTCCGCAATGGCGGGAAGAAGCCGACCTTGGACTCAAATATGGATGACAACAGACAACGGCAGGGGAAAGGTAGGGACCATGACCGTGACAGAAAGCGGAGACGTCTCAGCAGCGTTCGAAACGATAGTAAGGCAAAGCGCGATGGAGTCCGAGACTTTCGATCCAGGCGACGCGACAGACACGACAGTGACAGTCGCTCGAGGTCCCGGTCCCGCGAAAGCGGTGCGCACAAGCATAAATATGGACGTCGACGTCACGACGGCGATGGCACAAGGTCGAGGCACGGTCAAGATTCCGACTCTGGGGAGCGACCTGAGAGGTTGCACTATAAGTACAAGCGTCACCGCTCCAGATCCCGAAGCCCTCGAAATGGTGTGTCTGGAGACGGAGTGGTGGCGCGGTCCCCTAAGCCTGTGACTCAGCCGAGACGGGGATCCTCATCCTCTGATCCTTTGGAGGAGCTTGTTGGACCTTTACCAGCAAAGGAGCCTGACTTGCCGGCACGTGTCCGGGTCCGCGGCCGGGGAGCCCACAAAATTGCGTCAACGTCCAACATTGATGCACATTTTTCGCCGAAGTACGACCCAAGTTTGGACGTCCATCCAGAGGAGGAGCACTCCGATGAGCGTGAGGACTGGGAGATGGCACTGGAGGCTGTCCGCGATAGGCAGGCCTGGAAGAAGAAGCATGCCGACAGGCTGCGCGAGGCTGGTTTCAACGATGACGAGATCGACAAGTGGGAGGATCCGGGCCGGGAAAAGGATGCACGAGACGTCCGTTGGCGGAGCAGAGGTCAGGTAAGGGAGTGGGACATCGGAAAAGACGAACAGCCCAGCAACGAAGTCGAAGATGGCCGACTATCCCCTTAACATTCACAGCCGTTGGCGAGGCAAGCCAGTATAAAGATATCGATCGATATGCATGGTGCATATTGATTTGCCAGCAGTAGCTGTACCATTCTCTGGGAATGCAGAGCGACGAGGCTGTCCTCCCTTTCTCGTAGTCTTGGCAAACCCGGGCTACCTGAACATCGCACCCACGAGGGCGCTCAGACAATGCGGCAACTTGGTTCAGTACAACACTATGACAAAAGAGCATATCTTTTCCACTTGCACTGAAGGATCGTTTCTAGTTCACTAAGTGACTAGTTGGCCCGAGGCGCCCATTACTAGTATGATCGCTATCCGGGTAATCTGTCTTGGGTACCCTGACCAACGCAATGACAAGTGATGTCTTCTTCTTCGCAGCGTGGGTCGGTACGTGATAGACTTTGCACACTTATCCGCTGCACCCAGAGACCAAAGATTAAATAACATCGACAGCACTGACAATTGTCGTTTTGATGGAGCTATAGAGTATTCGCCAGCCACCTGGAACTAGAGAGACTCTCAATTTGATGGATGCTAAATTCCTCAACGTTTTTAGTTCGTTAATACGCATCCTCGGCTCCTGACTGCTTTCATATCCCGGTGGAAGAAAGTCTGTCTCATGCAAGACTTGTCACGTCCAAAGCGCTGCATAGAGGCTCTAGGCGTCGTTGGGAGAGCGAGAACTCATAACACAGTAGATCATGTGTACACGCTGCCCTCCAAGGCTCATTCGTAATCTCACACAGCTCGAGCTTGCAGATTCGACGTATTTTGTATTCAGTCCAAGAAAAGAGATATTCTCTATGCTTGATCACATTATAAAAGCTCACAGGGCACTTCCCACGTGGGCAAGAAAGGTCACGGCTGAGCATGTCTGAATAAACTCACATAATTTGTTGAGCACACATATGACAAATGCGACTTGCCTTTCCCAATTTTCTTGATGTCGCGATATGAGACACGTGCGGAAGCTATGCGAGTATTCGTTTAATCGGAGACGTAGAGCATTGGCTTGAGGAACCATCGGTGGTAAGAATATTGCGTGCTCTGATTCTGCCAGAACAGGGATAGTGGGTGGGCTCGACTTTGGTTTGTGAACTTCGAAGGAGTGTGCAGTAAGTAGTCCAGTGGATGAGTGATGGATGTACTCCGTGGTCAGCTATCGGTCGTATCCGTCTACCAGCGTTGTAGATTGACATGGTCCGCTTATGTTAACGAATGACCATTTCGAATACATGGTCTCCTGACTGGAAATCGTCGAAGCGATCAAGTCTTCGGATGCGTGGACTGCCCAACCCCTTACTCTAAAGGAGCAAGGATGTTTGCGATCAAGTATCGTTGCTGGCTCTTGTTGGAGACCCACCCGACGCGTCGGGTTGAGTAGCGTCGCGCGAGATGATCAGACTGTTCGGCAGACCACATGGTTGCACTGGGTTCTTAGGCGTCCCGGGGGACGTTAGTATCCGTTTATTCAACATGTAAGTGGACATCATTTTTTTATCCGAGGATAACCAGGTCTGAACATCCCCATGGAGATCCGCACGCACCACTCCGAGACAGCGCCGCGATGCTAAGGATTCCGCCCACCCGCCCTTACCTGGATTGGTATACTCCAACTGCCAGCTTGTCTACGCTTGACCATGCTTGACCACGCTTAGTGGAGCTTGCTTATACCCTAGCTCGCAGACGACCAATGAATAGAAGTATCGTTCCTCCGCCCCTTGTACCGGCAACAGTTATGCGGCTTGGCTTGAGCCTACCAGGGACACAGAGTGGCAAGCGACTTCGTCGATGTAACATGATAAGGATTGTTGTACGTCCCGACTCACCACGAGGAGAACATCGTTGCGAGTTTGGGTAAGGTCCGGAAGGCGTTATCTGCAATGAACCCCGCTGTATGAGACGAGGGTGGCATCGTTCAAAATAAGCCAAATCAGACCATCATGATGAAAAGGTTGCTTGATCATTAAGAGCTGGTCCGCTTCAAATTTATCTTCCCATGCTTTTGGGGCTGACCTCACGTTTGCACGAGTCACCATGTCAGGTGCAACATTTGAAGTCGAAGCTGCAGCAAGAGGCGATCTAGGGGGCGTTCTCAAAGGCGCGCCCGGTGCTGAGAAGACTGCCCTCGACGTGAAGACCGCCGGTCATGACCTGGACAACATTACCGACGAGAGCACTGAAGTTCTCGTTGGTCCCAATGGAGAACAATATCCTACAAAGGAAGAGTTGACTACGCTACGACGTATTCACGGCCACACTTCATGGGTCCTTTACACCATAGGGTGTGTACATGCCCAAATAACTTCGTTGTATATCTCTTCGAACACTCCAACTGACTTTGCCACCCAGTTTCGTCGAGCTTTGTGAACGTTTCGCCTATTATGGCACTACCGTCCTTTGTGGGTGAGAAAGCACGGCGACTAAGCCCAGCTACTAACGACACAGATACCAACTTCGTCTCATACAGCTTGCCAACCAACGACGATGCGCCCTACCCTGCGGCGGGTGCGGGTGGCACCAACGGCCAGTCTGGTGCGCTCGGTCTCGGTCAGCAGACCAGTACGGGATTGAGCCTCTTCAGTCAATTCTTCAGTTATATCATGCCACTGCTAGGTATGTCTAACCGATACTGACCTCGAGGAGTCTTTAGCTCCATATTGCACATCAGGTCCTTGCTGACATTGTCATGGCTAGGCGGCTACATTGCCGACCAATTTCTGGGCAAGTTCAAGACTATTCAGGTAGCCATAGTGTTTGCTGTCGTCGGCCACATCCTCATCATCGTTGCGGCGCTTCCTCCTGTCATTGCAACGGGCAAGACGGCTCTTGCGCCATACATCCTTGGACTCATTCTCTTCGGCGTGGGCGTGGGGTTCTTCAAGTGCAACATCTCGCCGCTCATCGCCGAGCAGTATGAGCACGAAAATCCCAGAGTGACGGTGAAAACTCTCAAGACAGGAGAGCGAGTGCTCGTTGATCCCTTCCTGACTATTGCCCGTATCTATGTGAGGTACTACTTCAGTGAGTCCACCCTGATCTCTGCTCCATTAGCAGCTGGTGCACTTGCTACTGTCGTTATGTCTTGTCTCGGAATTTCTCTTGCACTTTAATTTTAGATGCCGGCACTCCTCGATCAAGTCAATCTTACTAATGGCTGTAGTGATCAACGTCGGCGTCATGGCTGGCCAAATCAGCATGGTCTACGCGGAGAAATACGTCGGTTTTTGGCTGGCCTATACCTTGCCAACGATTCTGTTTCTTCTCTGCCCCATTGTCATGTTCGCATGTCGAAAGCGGTACGTCGGTCGGGCTCCCACAGGTTCGGTCCTTGGGAACGCATTCAGATTGATCGGTTATGCAATCAAGCATCGCAAAGATTCGCCCGATGGAAAATTCTCCTGGGACGTCGCAAAACCGAGCAAGATTGCCAACAAACCAAAGTGGATGACTTTCGACGATGCATGGGTCGACCAGGTCCGTCGAGGCCTGAAGGCTTGCTACGTATTTGCCTTCTTGCCCATATACTGGCTCCCTGTAAGTGCAAATAAGTCTTGCGGGTAGCTTTCGGGGACTAACATCCAAGTAGTACTCACAGATCACTAACAATCTGACCAACCAAGCCGGTAAGTCCCACTCTCCTCATTACATGTCATCATGGTCGAGACCAAGATCAAGCTAATGACTACCACAGCGACGATGAGACTCGATGGCACACCCAACGACATTGTACAAAACCTGGATCCTATCACGCTGATCATCTTCATCCCCATCGTGGATCAATTCATGTATCCCTACATCGCTAAGAAGGGCTGGAACTTCACTCCCATCAAGAAGATGACGCTGGGGTTTGCATTCGGAACCATGGCCATGATCTGTGCTGCCGTTACCCAGTACTACATCTACCAGAAATCTCCTTGTGGTTATCACGCCAGTGACCAGGACTGCATCGCCGAGCGAGGTCCACCGAACATCAGTGTCTGGACGCAAGCGCTGACCTATATCTTCGTGGCCTTCTCGGAGATCTTCACCAGCGTGGTTGGGCTCGAATATGCTTTCACCAAGGCGCCGAAGAACATGCGGTCATTTATCACGGGAATTTTCTGGTAAGCATGCATCGCAACTTCATTCATTACGATCTTTACTGACAATTTTGGGAAAGGTTCTCAAACGCTTTTTCCTCGGCCATCGGACAGGCTTTTGTGCCACTCGCTGCAGACCCGCACATCACCTGGCTGTACGGCTCCATTGGTATCATCGCTTTTGTGGGTGGAGTGGCCTTCTGGTTCACGTTCCAGAAGCTCGACGCCGAGGAAGCGAAATTGAACGTTTTGCCCGAATCGACTTACGAGGGTAGGAGGGCCAGTCTTATTGACGTGGAAGCTCGTCTCGCTGCGCAAGAGAAACAGGACAAGCTGCGCAAAGCTCAAGGCCTAGACTAGGTACTACAGGTCAGATTTGGCGGAGCGATGTTGGAGGCAAGCGTAGTGAAACTGAGAGTCGTACGAGTCCATGTCTCTCACAGCCTCCGGTCTGACCACGCCGCCAGAGTCGAAGTTCCTCAGCGATGACTTCGCTCTGGTAAGGATGCCCAAGAGTGACATAACATCACTGTTGGGATCTTATTTCATCAAGTATCTGAACCCACTTCAACATCTTGCAGCTCGTTCATCTTGCTCTCAGGCTGTGCTTATACACCAAGTACCTGGACTCAATTTTGGGTATCATATTGACTGATCGACGCCACCGCCCTGAGAAAGGCGAACGCGGGGCGGAGCGTCCATGTCTTGGCATTATTTACATGCCCAATCCGTCCGCGCCGACGTCCGCGCCTTGTAGAAGACTTGTACTTCTTTCGCACTCACTACGTCCGCCTTTGCAAACCTGTAATTTCTACCAAAAGCCCAGGGACTAAGTGAACATCACCAAACAAAAGATTTCGCTCGACTCACATTGTGTGGCACACCATGGCTGCCGCTGCCGACCCGACCGCGCTCCTCGCGCAACTACAAGACCCACAAACATCCAAACCCCTCTCGATCCTCCACCTCGCAGAACCAATCCTGGAATCTGAAGCCTCTGCCGCGAATCACCCCTCCTCGGACTCAGCTGCTGCCCAGCGCGATCTCGCAACCTCGACGACCTCCGCCCCAGACACCACCTCTGTCGTACTGACACCATCCACACTCGGGGCCGATCTCCAACACTACCGCGATCTCTTCTCGAAGCTACGCTTCAGCTACCTTGAGCAAGTCACCAAGGAGAAATACCTGCGCAGCATCGTTGGCGACCCGCCCCTCCTCGTGACGCCAAAAGACAATGCCGAGCTAGAGGCCAAACTGGTGGGCATGAAAGCGGAGCTGAAGGCCAAGAAGGCGGAGACCGACGCGCTAGTGACGGAGCTCGAGGGCGTGGCCGCCGCGCTGGCGGCGCAGTACGAGGGCGTGGAGAGCGGCAAGGTCGCGTTGCGGGCGCTGCCGGCCGAGGTGGAGGACCTGAAGGCGCAGGTGGCAGTGTTGAGAGAGGAGGTGCAGCGCAAGCAGACGGAACTGGGCAGGGAAGGGGACGAAGATCCGAGGTACGCGATGCGTATGGATGCGACGGCACAGGCGCTCGAGGAGCAGCGGAGGGCCAATGAGGCGATTGATCGCGAGATTGCGGAGCTGGAGAGGCGCTTGCCGGGCAAGATGCGGGAGTGTGAGCGTGCGGAGAGGGAGTTGGAGGAGATGGAGAGGCAGAGGGAGGAGATCACGAGGCAGGCGAGGGAGGTCAAGCGGATACGTGAGGAGGGCGGGAGGGATCTGGTGGGCGAGCGCGGCCGTTGGTATACGGCGCAGGAGGCGGTGTTGAAAGGGCTGCTTCGGACTTGAAGCGAAGGAGGTGATAGTGTATGATTACGAGGTTACGTTTACGAGCAGAAAGGTGCCGCGATGTCTCGATGGCTCAGTGATAATGGAATGACAATGATATGTCGAACTTCACCGGACTCAAGAGCACTTGAAGGAGCAGAGATTCTACGGGGAGCGTTGACGCTTCGTCGGATCGATGCTATACAGTCATCAAGAGTTGCAAGACGTGTCATAGCGGTCCCCAAGTCAGATGGCTGACCAGTCAAGGTGTGCTGCTCGTCATTTTCAACATACATCGGAAGCTTGCAAGGAATCAAAACGTGATGTGATGCGAAAGCTTGGAGAAGATCTTGGATATCACTTTTCATTGGAGGTTCATTGCACCAGCGCCTGAGACTGCCGCTTTGCAACGCAAAGTCGTGCTAGTCTTGAGCTGCACCTTATCTGCCGAGTCCCAACGCTGGTTGTTGAGCTCTCCGCAGATCATCGTGAAGATGATCTGTCGCTGATGGCTATCATTCACTGCGCTTCCTTCTGCGTGACATTTACTCCTCGTCCTCGCCGGCATCCTCATCGTCACCACCGTCAGCCTTGGACTCAGCAGCCTTGGCCTTCTTTCTCCGGACACGGCCGGGACGCCCGCCACCAAATGGTGAGGTGAGGGCAAAGTCAATGTGCTTCTGGGAGTCGAGACGGACGATGAACGAGGGAACGTTGACGATCTGCTTGCCGACACGAATGTGGCGCTGCTTGATGAGGACACGGGCGTGGTGGATGGACTTGGCGAGCCCGAGCTTGTAGACACAGGTCTGGAGGCGACGCTCCAAGAAATCCTCGACCTTGAGGGCCAGCACGTAATCGAGCTTCATACGGGACTCGTCGAGCACACCGACACGAACGAGACGGCGAATCAGAGCGTTGCCTTCGAAGAGACGCTTGGGGTCCTTCTCATCGAGGGTGAGAAGTTGACTAGATGGGATTGTTAGGCCATGGCACATATATTGGGGGCCTCCTCATTTTCGCATACCGGGCAGCACGTCGAATCTTGGACAGAGTCAACAAGACACGCCAGACCTCACGTTTGTTGCGCAGGCCATATTCGCCGACGAGCTTGAGTTCGGAGTCGCTGAGAAGGACGTTAGTATGGCACCGCAGACATAAGCAGAGACAAGCTGCTGCTCAGTGGCCTTGGGTTATAACGTACAGACGGGCTGACTCGAATGCTGTGTCGTTGTTAGTGCAAAGTATCTTGTGGAGGGCATCTTGTAAACTCACGTCGACGAGGGACCTTGTAGGTCTTAGAATAAGAGCGAGGAGCCATGATTGCAGTTGATGCGCGCAATCACAGAAGTCGCAATTGTCGATGGGAGCGAGATGATGGTGTTGGGTGCGGTCTGTCTCGAAAGGATTGTGCGAACTTGCCAAGATTTTAAGACGTTAGTCTACTTTGAGACTAGTGCCAAGCCAAGCCCAAGATTTCCGCCCACAGAGGCAACAGACGTGCCTGCGCAACTTTCGATCTCAACTTCCACCACGCCGATTCTCGACAACAGCACGCCAAAATGGGTCACGCCGCCGGTCTAAGAGCAGGCACTCGCTATGCCTTTGCCCGTAAACACCGCCAGAAGGGCATGGTGCGCCTCAGCACCTTCATGTAAGCCTCGACGAGCCCGCTCGGGCCAGTACCTCGCGAACAAATCACTAACCCGCACAAAGGAAGAATTACAAGGTCGGCGACATCGTAGACATCAAGAACAACGGTGCCCAGCAAAAGGGCATGGCCCACAAGGTCTACCACGGCAAGACGGGCGTTGTCTACAACGTGACCAAGTCCGCGGTCGGAGTCATCATCTACAAGCAGGTCGGCAACCGATACATCGAGAAGCGCATCAACGTCCGTCTCGAGCACATCAACCACAGCCGCTCCCGCGAGGAGTTCATCACCCGCGTTAAGAACAACGCCAAGAGACGGCGCGAGGCCAAGGAGAAGGGCGAGACGGTCCAGCTCAAGAGACTGCCGCAGGGCCCCCGTGAGGCGCACACCGTCGAGCTCACCGATGTGGAGAGTCTGGCCCCCCAGGCGTACGATACGCACATCTAGGTGGATTGTGGTGCGAGATGGAGGAGTCTCAGTTGTGGCTGCCGAGTGGTTGTGAATGCAGGTGGTCAAGGGGTGACAGTCGTCTCGAGGAGTGGAGGAACGAGCTACGACACCGATACCAATGACTTTATGCCATGGTTCGATGCAGCCAGGCATAGAAGGCGGAGCCAAGCGTTCGGCTTTCCAATGAGAAATCTTTCAAAATGTTCATGCTGGACTCTCAACGCATTCAGAACCGGGACTTAATGGTGCTCATACGAACTAATCAAAAGGCATCTGGCTCGAGTATGTGTGAGCATTGTAATCCGAGCTTCTCATCGATGGGAAAGTAATCACTTTTGCCTGCTCTACGCCGAGGAGAGCTAACTGCCTACGCCTGGGGTATCTTATGCCATGTCTCATCATTCCCTTAGTCGTGAATCAATCATGAACGCACATCGTTGTGGTAATGGCCGACTCCGTGCACGCAGATTCCAAAAACTCCTTGTGTGCCCCAGCATGCACTTTAACACCTCGATAAGCTGCCTCGCCTGAGCACTTTTGCCTTTCTCCAAGCACCGAGCACGACAGCTTCAGAGATCGTCCTCGTCCGCAAACAGCGCCGCCTTCTCCGCTTCAGTCATTAGCGCTGGATCCTTCATCACCTCTTTGCCCACATTCATAGTAAGGCGAGCCACACTGGCTTCTCCAAAGCGCATTTCCTCATCGATAGGACTAGGCTCCGCCGAAGATGGATCTTGAGAAACGTGGTCGTACGAGTCGTTATCACTGGAAACGACAACCTCATCCTTGCCCGCCTGGCGAATCTTTTTGTTAGCAGACAGTGTTCTCACCATTTTCGAAGCGTCGTTGTCTGCAAAACCGTGTGACAGGTCCTTGTGGTTCATAGATGAAGCGCGCGCATATGTTTGCGAATCGTTCCCCGGGATAACCTGGATGGCGAGTTTGCTAGGATCCGTGCCTTCTCCCACGTTGGAGGTAGTTGCGATCTTACCCAGCACATCTGCAAGGATCCAGGGAAAGCTGCAGAAAGGCACCTTGGGTGTCGACGGTCCGATAACTTCCTCCTCTTCGGCGTGGCCTTCCTTTTCGTCGATATCAGTCTCCTGGCCGTCACGTAGAGCGGCGCTAACTTGGGCAGCGGTGAATTGATAGGCGGCCAACGCGTATGGCATCAATCGATCGAAGTCGTTACCGCCGGCAACTCTGACAAGCTCTTGACGGAACTCATCCTTCAGGTTCTTCGAAATGCGCCCAATCTCCTCGTGAAACTTGAAATCTCGAGATTGCTTGCTGTGAGACATGACGAACGTAGACCACACCTCAAACTCTGTCTGTATCTTGTGTTGTGCCATGATGCGCTGCAAAGCCATATCATACTCGTGCTTGATGATCTCCACCTCGGCGAAGTAGTGGTCTTGCGGACGGTCCAAGTGAAGAATCCTCTTATCGAACTCGGTGTTGTATCGAGTCTTGAAGCCAAAGCGCTTAACAGACTTCTTGACATCGTCATACAATTGACCAAGAATCTTCTTGCTCACGTACGGGTGACCGCGTTTCTCCATGAAGTGAGGCCACTTGTTACGTTCCAGATCTCGGGGAAGCTCTGCGGGCACACCGGTCTTAGGATAGTCGACAGATGTCGAGTGCGCTTGGACCAGCCTCAAGCAGTCATCACTTTTGACCCCAAGGTCAAGGAAGTCTGCCGATCCCAAGTGCGCGTGAGCGATCCTACCTAGCTGATCGTTCATGAGATAGTGGAGGAAGAAATCGATGATATGTTTCGTGGTGATCTCGCCCTCAGCTTGGACGGGGTTGGGCGGTTCATAGTGGAAAGGCTCCTCTTGCCAATTGTCGGGAATAAGAGTCTGATCCCAGATCACAATGTAATCATCGCCGTCCAAATCGCCTCCAGAGCACATACTGGGAAGATCACGATCGCCGTTCTGAGGCATAACTACCACATCGCGGAGATGGTGCAGTGCCTTAGAATTGACAGCCTTGACGACGCGAATATCGCCGGGGTGGAGAGAAGGGTTCCGAGCCAGTATGCAGACGCTCTCGATGACCTTGAGCTTGCCAGTCTTGGGATCCGTGATCTGCAGGAATATCTCTGGTAGACCTTTCTCCTTCTCCTGTCGACTAGCTGTGTCTGGGGCTTGGAGCTTATCGAAATGCCCCCGAAGAGAGTTAGTTTCATCAACCGTACCCAGCACAAAGGCCCCATCACTGACGGGAATCTTGGCCTTCTCTTTCAGATACTTCAAGCTGTACGCACGCCAAAGCTCCAGCAGAGACATAACGAAAGGCTCTTTGACGCGACGAAAGCCGTTCGAGACCAAGTCACACATGCTTAGGGTCATGAGGTTTGGATCAACCTGGGTGCGTAGCGCCGTCAATGCGGCATTATCGTCCTTCATCGCCTTTTCGAGGGCTTTGATGGTTGATTTCTGCTTGTTCAGGAACACCTGGTCCTTTATACCGAGGAAACTCAAGACAAGGATGATCTGGCGGTTGAGGAACGGTTGCCAAAAGTGGGACCAACGAATGATTTCCAGTTCCTGAGACTTGCTCTCGAACTTGAATTGACTGCGTCGAATCTGAACAGTGATTCCAGCTAGCGATGGGTCGACTACTAAGACTCCTTTGCATCCACCGAGACGAAATTGGAAGCAAGAGGGAGGAGTTTGACCTGAAATACCAAGATTGCCCTGCACCAGGGTTGCAGCAAGAGGCGAGAGTTTGCCGACGCCATCGCTGAAAATATGGCTGCCAATGATGATATCTGGGATCAAATTGTCCTTTGTGATAGGAGGCAATGGGTAATGAAACGGAACAGTTGTCGAGAAGCACTGCCCCATGCGAGCAGCAAGCTTGGCGACGATTGTTTCGTTGTCAAAAACGCCCATCTCTGCCCGGATCATGCTGGCCGAGATTTCAGGCTTTGAGGCAAAAAAGTATGCGCCATGTTCGCGCAGTTGGGAGTTGCCATATGCTAGAAACTCATAATGGATTCCAGCAATCGTGATACCACTGGAGAGGGCACGGCCGACTCGGTCAATGATGAGCTGCATTTTCTTGTTGCTCGAGGCAAAAATCTTGCTTTGTCCACGATATTCGTCGTCCTCGAATTTTACGCGAAGGAAGCGGTCAGCGTGCTGCATGTACTTGCGAACGACGCGGTTGGAATAATCAACGGTTGGAGTATGAATCTTGAGCCCAGACGCTGTTACGGTCGCGTGGTACACAAGGACGCAATTTCTGGGAAGCTGTCTCGCACGAACTGGCTTCTGATATCTGATGTCGGTAAAGATAGTCATTGGGTCGTGAATTTCCTCGCCGAACGCATCGACGTGGACGAGCATTTGCTTGGCCTTGGCTTCTGGCAGCATTTTGAGCTTGCGTAGAAATGTCTGGTCGATGGCGTATTCACTTAACCATCCGTTTGAGATACAGACTTCCAGCTGATAGCGAAGGCCGAATGAAAGAGCAAAGCCATCATCAAGAGGATTTCTGGGATCGCCTGTGTTTTCGATGTCCGACCAGTAGGCTGCTTCGTCCGTCCTGATCTTGTTGACGACGACGAAGTCTTGGGTATTAGTGTCCACGCGAACGTTGAAATCTTGAAGAGCAGATTCGAATAACTTCAACCCCATTTCGCTGTGCTTGTGCATGTCAAGATCGAACTTGAAAGTAGTCCACCGAGCGAGATTGATTCGGTTGAGGTTCTTCCTCAAAGCGACTGGCGTCTCATTGATAGTCGTGAAGGTATCCTTGTGTGTAACGATGTCAGTCTGTCGCGTCCACAGGTCATCCTCTCGCCAGATTCTTGCATCTTTGACGTGGCTAGCAGACATGGCGGTCTCCAAGCGGCGCGAGTACCAAGGAGGATTACGAACGTGAACGATGTATGATGCACGGGTGTACGTGCCGGCGGCCAGTCTCCAGATACTGAAGTTGTCGTCAAGTGAGACTGGAAAGCGATATAGACGAGTTCGAGAGCCATTCTTGGACTGCAGAAGGATTGGAAAGTGAACCTCGATCTCGCGCTTCCTCAGATTGAGAAGAAGACTGAGGTTTGCAGCTTCAGCGTTCGGGAGGGCTTCGGAGTGAGAAGAGACAGTGTTCATGACGGTCATCTCCTTGTCCTTCCCTAAGATGCCAAAACCAAGTGTCGTTCCATGAAGAACGATCTCTTCTGGGTAGACGACATCACGTCCAGGACTTGGGACTGTGTAATTCTTCTTCTGCCATTCTGAAAGGCGCACACCAATTTTGCATTTCTTGCGATCATTCGTCTCGAACTTCCAAGCACCCTTGGCCCAGAAAGGTCTTGCTGGAGGGGGCTTGAATCTGATCTCGGCGGAGCTTAGCTGACCACCACGACGGCTCTGGTTGATGTCGATTGAGGAGATATTACCCTCGCGAATGAAATTCTTGTGAATGTCTGCGGTGGAGACATTTGAGGGTAGATGGGAGAGGCTAACTTTGACAACAGACCAAGTCCGCCAATTGTTCGAAGTTGGCAGTTGAATAGCGTTGGCTGCATTGGACTTAGAGCCTTGGCCAGGCAAGCTATCATCGGGGTCTCCAGAGGAGGTGAACATAGTGGGTGCAGAGGGTTTGATATGGCACTAATTTTGGCGTAAGATGAGGCTGATTGAAGTAGAGGTCGAGAGAGTTGATCTGCCCACCTGGGAGGTCCGTTACGAGCCTCCAGGATAGGCAGAATGGCAAGACACAGAAGTTTTTACGCCGAATCCATAAGTTTGCATATTTCAAAGATTGACGGAAGGCATGGAAGATGGTAAGGAAGTGGTCGTTGTCAAGAAGTCAAAGTGGAGGCGGGAGGTATCTGATGGCAACAGCCTAGCGCCTTGGCATCCTTCGACACCGTACTTGAGAAACTGATGCAGAGCTAAATTTGAAATGAAAAGGCAAGGTTGACGGGGTAGGAGAAATATCGGTAGATGTGAGAGTCAGCACAAGTGCAGTGCTTTCGCACTTCATGTGGTTCGAGATGTTTGTCCTCACCTGGCGAGACAATTGACTTGTCATATTTAGAGCAAACGAACGCAAGTGGTTGAGCTTGTTGTTTGCGCTTAAACATGGGCCCCGCAGCCACTCATCGTCTTCAGAAGCATTCGTTGCTTTAAGACCACAATCAGTCCACGCAGCTGGTGGCAATATGCGGAAATAGAGATTGCGAGACTCGAAGCTGGGGGATGATACAGAGTCGTACCGTGATCGCTAGTACTCAGGCCACAATAGGACTAGTGGAGAAACGCGAGGCGACGCGCACGCGACGCGCCTTAGGCTGAGTCTGGGCTGACCTTGGGCAAAAACCCCTTTCACTACCCCCAAGCCCTGTGAGCACAGTTAATTTGCCTCAGGTCTCAATATTGTTTACTGCCATTTGGATCATCTCGATCCCATTCAGCAGTCTGTGAGACATACATGGCACTCCAGATTCCAGGTGGAGCAGTACAGAGTAGGCAGGTGACGACATGGAGGGGCTTCTGTGTGCTCCGCGCGGCTATCGTTGTCAGGGTGATCAACTGTAAGAATCTGCATTGCGGGCGTAAACACTAAACACCCAGCACCCTTCAACATGAAGTAGTTGGGGTAAGTAGGTAGCCGTGGCTGCCTCTTAGCTTGTCGAAGTCTCCCCAACTTGTGCATTCGGTCTATCACTTACCTCTAAGCACCATCGCATATTCAGTAACTTATGTCTACCCACCAATGGAGCTCAACAGTCTTGCCTCACAAATTGAGCCCGTTCTGGCAGCGCCGTACCCCGCAAGCTTAGTGGTACCTCAGTTCTCACGATCTGCACTCTAGCATACTGATGCCCTCAGAACCTCAATGCAGTGATTCAGAAAGCGGCACCAGGCCTGCTACTCTCGTGGTCCCAAGCGAAGCCCTGCCAGGTCGCTCCATTGCTCGACATACTCGTCAGCCGCATTACTTCAGATGCACTGGCTTTCGACATTCTTGCAGCCGTCCTCCAGTCCCCCGTCGTCTTCGATCACTTTCTCCGGAACCACAGCTCGCAACTTGAAGATTATTGTTCGAGACGCTGCCGGCATTTGCGCGACTATAATGCCACACAGCCATCGTCCCTTCCAGGGGTCGGGCGGCCGCGATCGGCAGCAGGGAGCGTGCTACTAGGGCGTCTACATACTATACCCGCTGGCATGGCCACTCCCTCCTCGTACCATCAATTCATCGAGGTTCTTCTACACGGCGGTGACAAAGAGAGCCTGGGTCAGTGGCAAATGCGAGTCTATGAGTTCATCGCTGAAACGCCTCTTGAGACATTGTCGAGCCTGAACGAAACCACTATCCAGGTCTGCGCTCAACGATGGTCCACATTGATGCGGTCAGCAAACTGTGCCGAAAGTCTTTATGCGGCCTACATATCTTGCCGGATACAGCGACACGCTTCTATCTTGCTGGGCACCGGCAGTTCTCTAGGTTCCTGTCCGCCTGCCTGTCCCACCTTACGTGCGTGGATTGAAAAGTGTCACGCTATTTTCCGTGGTGCTCAATCTATCGAGACCGTCAAGAACACCCTGATCAGGATTCTTAAATTGAGCTACGATGAAAAATCCCGCGGTTTAGCCAATGCTGACGGAGCCATTGCTCTTTCTGGGGCTGTCTTGACAGTGTCGAAATTAACTTACGCTGGCGATTGGGTGAAGGATACTAGCCCATACGCCCGCAAAATCGCCCAGAAGTTTCACGGTATGCCATCTGACGTCCAGATAGCATCCATTCATGTTCTGGCTGCACTCGACCCGAAAGCCTGGTTGTCTGACGCCATGGCTATCTTAAGTGCGGTGTTCCAGCATCTCGTGGTGGATTCAGGGTCAGTGGATAGCCCTCGACATCCGGATTCAAAGGCAGCAGAAGTCCTGCTTCAAGGTGCAGACCAATGCATGACCCTCATCACGGTGGATCAGAGCACGCATACTTTCGCATCTCTGTTCAGAGACCTCTATGACTTCATTCTTGAGCAATGCCAGCCGAGCCGTACCGCTACGCCAACCAGAATCTCAAGTACGTATCAGGCGTTAAGATTCGTTGATGCGCTTCAGGAGATGGAGGACAAAGGTCCATCGGTGGTCACGACTGTTTTCCTTCGGGCTGTGGCAGGGGCTGGGGTGCCAAATTGGTGGCCACTCAACATGTCAACCCCAGGTACACCTGAGACTTGCTCCGGCTTGACGGCCTGCGTGCATCACGACGAACTTCTACGGCAAAAGCTCTGTGACCAGGTGTCAATCTTGGTGGTGACCAGTGCATGTTCTGATGGAAGGCACTTGCCTCATTTGTCCCTGGAGCTCCTACGGCAGCGTTTGGTCCAAGGAAAGCCGATAAGCTGCCAGTCCTCATGTGCATACAAGCCCTTTATTGCACGACCCTCGGTTCCCATCCAGTCCCAGAACCAGAACATCACGAGTCACAACTGGCGTGATCACCTCCGCCAGTGTCTCGGAACATCGAACAGACAGACTGGCGAAATTGTTGAGCACCTTATCGCCATGGTTTGTAGAGACCTAGAAGATCGATGCAACGATGTCGAAACGCCTCTCCGCGCAGCCCAAGCTGAGACGTCACGGCTTCACGAATGTATTCAGCAGCTAGAATCGAAAATCGCGACTGGTACAACTAAGAATTCGGAACTTCGAGAAGCGCTGCGCCACGAGGGAGAGGCAAGGATACAAAGCTCTTCTTTCTCGGATAGACTTGAAGAATCTCTAGAAGCTCTGCGCCAACAGCTGGCGGAAGCACACCGAGAGAACGAACATGCAACGTCGGAGATGGCACTTGCGATGGAGCGACATCAGCGCGAGCTTCAGGAGATCAATGAACAATCGACCGAAGAGCTCGAAACGGCCCGACGCCAGTGCTCGAACAAGATCTCAGAGCTGGAAGCGCACGTCAGCTCGCAAGCGCAGGCTAGATCGGCACTCCAAAGCGAGACAGCCTGGCTGAAAGAGCAAACGGAGCTTGCCCGGAAGGAACTCGTAGCAACACACGAGCGTGGTCTTGCAGATGTTCGACAACAGCATCAGCAACAAGTCGATGACCTGAACCAGCGGCTTCGGCAGCGCCAGGAATCAGCAGCTATAGCAACTGCGGAGATCGATCGTCTGATCAGCGAAAGCCATGAAAAGGACTGTGCAATCACGAGTCTCGGTCAACAGTGTGACCGGAGTAAAGAAGGGATTTCGGAACTGAGAACGGAGCTGGCAACCGCGAACGACAAAGCCTCTGCGTTGAGTACTGAGCTCGTCGAAACGAAGAATGCCAACGACACGCTGTCAAAGGATCTGGACTCCAACAACGAGCAGCTGCAGAAGAAGACAAACCGCATTGACGAGCTCGAAGCGTCTGAAGCTCGGTGGAAGCAGCGTTGTGCGGCAGTTGAGAAAGCATTGGTGGAAGCGAGGCAGCGCGAGGAAGGTATCCAAGCTCTCCTCGGTGGAGGAGCTCCAGGACTAGTACCACGCCGTTCGGCTCTTGCGGCAATTCGCACCTCCATCCCGGGTTTCGAGACCCAGGCTACGACTGCTCCGCGCTTGCCTGCTGGCTCTTTCATTTCTGACGATGACGAGGACTACTACGAGATCATGAAACTATGACAGCACGAAAGTGAATGATGTTGCTGAAGGAAAGCGGACGCGAACCCACGTGCAAGATGAATACTGCGACAAGTGCAGATCTGACAACCCAACTGATATGTTTTCTATCTTGAGTAAAGTCTGCGGCTGAACCACCGTCTACAGTCTCACGCAATGCCAATGTGGCACTACGCCCGCCACACGACGCCGTCCCATTTCCCACCTTCCATCTTCCCTTCTAGCATCGCCTCTTGCTCGTACTTCCGCCTCCGGCCCTCCTCCCAGCTGCCCACCAAACTTCTAATGGCGGCTGTCGCCACCCGCACTCCTCGCTCTACGTCCTCTGGCCCAAACGCACCAGGGACGTGCAAGAACGCTACCTTGCCTTCCTTATTCTCTCTGTTCTCCTGCTCCTCACCCTGCTTATCAAGCTTGCCCCTCGCTTCCAGCCACCGCCTCCCCAGACTCTCAAACAGCGTGAATTCGCACAAGAACCTCCCCGCATCGGTGCTCAAACGGCACACACTCCTCAGTCGACGTCTAACCTCCCTTCCCCACTCGCCATACCTCGGCGTCGCCGCCGCCGCCGCCGCCGACACGGCTTCGGCGCCACGACTACCCTGCGGCGCGGGCTCCGCATGAGGATCCAACAAACCAAGCTCCTCCTCGCGCTCGCGCACCTCGCGCTCCCAGCGCTCGCAGACATCCGCCTCGTCCCACCCTACGTGCAGGGCCGACGGCAGGCCGGCCTTCTTCCAGGCGTATTCGCCGTCCTTCCAGCCGTCGCGCTCGTCGACGTCTTTGATCTTGTAGTTGTCGCGGTGCGCGACGGTCTCGAGCGTGTAGTGGTCGCGGCCGCCGGCCATGCCGATGTGGAAGATGTAGTCTGGGGTGTGCTGGGCGGTGAGGGTCGGGAGGATGGTGACGACGGTGGCGTAGGCGACGCGGATGGCGGTGGGGTGGCTTATGAGGCGGATGCGGTAGGCGGAGGTGGGGGGCACGGGGATGTTGGTGTCGTTGTTGGTGGCGACGGGTTTGGAGGGTGGAGGTTGTGAGGCGAGGGTTGCGGGGAGGGCGGAGGCGATCAGGTAGGAGGGGTTGATGGCGAAGGATTTGAAGGGCTGTGTCGTTGCTGCGTGGTCAGCGTTGGGCTTGTGGAGCGGGGATTTATGGCGTCTGAGCCGAGCGCGAGGGCATTGTCCCAGCGGACCAGCTGCTGTTGCAGAGGCACACGAGCACGCCAGTAAGGGCGGGAATGCTAGAGGATGCAGAAATACGTACACCGAAACCCGTAACCAGCACTGTCACCTCCCGGACATCTGTCTCGTGCCCAGCTCCCGCCGCTCCGATCAGCGGCTCCTCCGCCGTCAGTGGAGGAGTCAGCGGGCCGGCATCGCCCATGGTGCCTCAAATCGCTACAGCTTCGTAATCAAAGTCCGCGTGTCAGCAATCCATAAGAAGATCGGAGACACTACGAGGGACCACGATGGGCACGATGGGAAGGACGGAAGACTTCGTGAATGGCAGGAGGGGGGCAAAAAAGAGCGTTGATAGCAGGCGATGAGCCGCACGCGGGCTTTCCGATGCGTTAGACCTGACGACGAGACTCGAGATTCGAGACCGCATTCCCTGATTGCATGACGCTGCGCGGGGAGTGATTTCGGAACAGCTCGGTCTCCCCACTGATAAAGTCCGCGACTATCGATAGGCGCTGAGAGCCGAGGCGGCGAGGCGCCGCGGGGGGTGGGGAATCTGATGGAGATGGCCGTGGACCGTTTGGATATCACTACTTGGCAAAAGTCTGCGAGTTCCGGCGTAGGTTCAAACAGTAGAACAATCGGGGACCGTGCACCTCAGACGATCATTGTGACGATGTAAGGGATTACTCTTGGAACCATTGTATATACGACGATTATCCTGTTTAGTGCAGCAGGTGTCAAAACCTCAAGGATGGAAGGGGTAGATTGAGACAGGGCTACAGTTGAGATGATGACACCCCTGCCAGCACTGCCATGCGAGACTGACATAGGAATCCTCACGCAGTATAACGGGCACGTCATCTCGGCCAAGATCCCCCAACAAGAGACTTCTCATCGGACTGTCTGGGACGCATGTAGAAACTATCTCGTATTTGGACACTGGCTACTGCTGCAGTGGAAATCAAGTTTCCGCGTAGGGCGCGGCACAACCACTGGGTAGGCCCGAAGACATTGGCGACTTCATGATGTACGCCTGTGCACCGCTTTGATCCGTAAGGAAACACCATGCCAGGCTGCCGACATTGTCCCGTCAAGTAATGGGGCCGAGGTCGTTCCGGCGAGCACAACGAATTGCTCCTTAGTCGCAGGTAACAGACCGGCATATGCTCCTTGCGAGTATTCCATCGTGTGCCATCGCAGACAACGGATCCACATAACCGAGATTCGCCACGAAAAGCCATTTTGGTTTGCAGCTCGCCGAGATCCGAGTGTAAGACTAGGGTAGTCAGCTCAATTGAGCGTTTCCGATCTTGTATATCTGTGTCCAAGTGTTCAATTCCCTTGCTTCGTACTGTCGCACCATTTCTCCCCCAACGCCTCGCCCCTTGATCCGCCGGACCGTACCTGCAAAGCTCGTGGAGTTGGCAACGGTTGCATCCCTTTCACGTTGTCACATCCTCTTTCTTCTTTCTCGCCGGGGGTGTAACCCACAATCGCTTTAGCTCTTTCCGGGCACAGGGCACGCAAGGCCAACAGACTCATCGTTGGGGAGTTCCACGTGCCTCGATCATAATTCCTGAGCATTGAGAGGGTCAGACTCGCTGTCAAGTCTTACCTCTTGCAGAAAATAACGCAACCGGAGCGCTCCGTCGTACAATGAGAGCCTTCCTCATGCCCAATCCCCACCAGAAGCCCACTAAAGAAAAGAGCAGAGTAGACTTGACTCTGGCAGTTACACGTGTCTCGAGTTCGAAGCTGGTTTGTGGAGTACTGACGGTGAGAGTCTTATCGTTAGGACCTTTGTGCTGTAGGTCGTGGGGCCCCAACGTTAATAGCAGATGATTGGCAAGCCTTGATGTCGCCGCTATTGCTCAGATGCAGAGCTGGGCCCAGATGCACGACCTTCTTCATATGTAAGCCCCGTGAATGACACTTTCATCTAACGGAGTGGACCCGAGGCAAGAACATCGCTGTCGAACTATGCTCTAGCTTTGCATCGATGGCGATTACTGTCATCAAAAACACGTCTACCCAGCTGCTTTGCATATGCTTAGCGACATAACGGTGGCGTCGCTGCACGGGAGGTTGTGATGGCTCCACCACGGTGCTCATAATTGGACACAGGCGTGGATCGATTGACGCGTCACTGCCGGCACTAGTGCTTAGCGTGTTTTTGTTCAACGCGTCGGTGCTTTTGCCGCTGCGTCAACATGTCCGATACGCAGACGGCACCGACGCGGCGATCTCCAAGACACATGGATTTGGTGGTCTCGGTGTCGGACGCGGCTCCTGGAACAAAGCAATTAGTCCACCAAGCTGACCTATCGACCGACCAGGTCACGCGAGCATGATGCCGTTCCTGGGCGTCTACGGAAGTAGTCGAATGGGGGCTCCATGTCACTGTGGGATGCCCTTGCTGTCGAGCGCTGAATCTTGATCGGCAAGACGTAAACAGACTGGGATCAGGCCAGAATGAAGCTCCAGAGCCAGAGACGCAGAGCCCTGTTGACAACGGGTTCTGGGCAGCGCACAGGCTGCGGGCTCGATGCATGGAGGTGTTTCGTCTCCACACAACCGCATGATGTTGTCTCACGGATGAGAGCCAGACCAGCTCAGCCGCCGTCTGCATGATCGCCTGAGCCACGACTTGAGAGCCACGCGCCGCGGCACGCCGAGTCACGGAAAACTGGAAACTGGGGGGAGACGTACAGGAAGCTTGAGCTGCACATCTAGCGCGTTTGGGCGACAGGTGAGCGCTGTTAGGGACCGCTGGAGTCCACCCAACGGCCCCATGGCAGGCAGCAGGTCACTTTAATTATCATCGCTCTTCGACTTCCATCTCTGCACGTTATTAGGTGCTCGGATTTTGTTATTGCCCTTGGGTTTCAGAATTATTATTGACTCCCAAAATTCTCAAACAAGTCTGCAAGGAAGCCGGGGATTATTGAGCTTTAGCGGGCGTTGATCGGGAGCGCCCAGCATCTAGGACTTCGGCTAACTCGTCCTTGAGGAGCAAAAAACCGCGCTGGTGGACTCCTGCTCAGGCTCTCCCCTTCGCCCACTTCAACATTCCAGCAGCCCACGGTGCCGCTCTCACAGACCAGTTTTTCCCGCACCCCCCGTCACGTCAATGAAAACAAACCGACTCTACGAGTAAACAACCTCTGTACTTCTTTCCTTTCACTGAGTTATCACTCGCTGGTCAGTGTGAGACTCGACGTCGCTTGGGGTTGTGCCATCTCGCCTAGGGCCCGCAGAGATTGCGCCCCAGCCCCCGAATTTTAAAGTCAAAGCCGATCGCCGGTTGACGGCGCTCCATCTCTATCCCACGTTTCTATCAATCGATAGCTACCGATAAGTCGACGACCAACGTCCACAGGACCTTAAGCAAACGCTTGAGCCCGCCGTCTGCAGCTGTCAAGTCACGACTTCGCATAACACCCCGGCGCGCCTGCCGCCAAAGTCGACCGCTGCTCCTCCCATTTGCGACGCGCTCAAAACCCTACTCTTCGACCTCACATCGTTGTCGCTCCTCCCCAAATCGCGTCGCAACTCAGCATGATCCTGTAGACAGGAATCTTGCTGCTGCCTAAGAAGCCTGGGAGCATTTACTGGACCCGCCTCTAGCACGTTAGCTATCTGCCGCTCTTCTTCACACGTCGCCTCACAACAATGGCCGATTTCAACTCCTCCCCGCTCCTTGGGCCTTTCACCGAGCGTAAGCCACAGATGTCGATCACCCTCCCTCGCAACTTTGCTCCTACAGACGTTATCGACCCCAAAACACCAGACCAGACTTTCGCAGAGGCCAGGCTGCCTCCTGCGCCTCATCACACTACAATGAAGGTGCGACGTCGCCCAGTCGACCTCAGCAGCTTCACCGCGCAGAACAGCGCGCTTCCTCCTACACTCTTTGCTTCTGACATTCCGATACCTTCCAGCGCCATGCCACTTCAGACTCCCTTTCAGATGTCGAGTGATCCCATCAATGCCGACACTCCTCTTCCTTCAATCGAAATGACTAGCTCCGCTGTCCGCCCAATCTACCAGCACAGCGTCACCGACCCGTCGCCTAGCGAACGACTTCGTCTGCCCGCATACCGTGAACAGCCGCCGCGCACGCCACCTGCGCAGACCAAGAATATTCCCGCTGAGCTCAACCGCTCAATTTGGGACATGAATCGTGCTGTTTCCGTGTGCTCAGTTCACTCCGACTCGTCCATATCTTCCGCTGGGACATTCACTACGAGACCTACTTCATTTAGCGGCAGTGCCACAAGCCCTGATACAGATGCCATGGACCCTTTCTCGCCAGGAAAGGTCTACATCATTCCAGACACTCCTACTCGTCGTGGAAAGAAGCTCAAGCTCAAGTCCGAATTCTCCAAAGAAAAGGTTCAGTGGAGTATTGAAATGGATAACCACCTCTTCAACGTTTATCAGATCTATCTGGCTGATCCTGCCGTGACGCCATTCAAGACTGTGCCTGGCAGCATCCCTCCTACTGGGGTATGTCACAGGGTTTCTCGCCGAGCCAAAGAGACTTGGCCAAAGGCTCGACGAGTATCGCGTCCGATTGTTCAACGGTACAAAGTCCGAAGTGTTTTCGATGGTCGTGGAAGCCCTCTGAGCAGGACTCCCGAACCGGAAGACTTTCTGAGAACCGATGCCGCCCTTGAGTCGAGGGAGTCTTGGCCGTCCGAGAGCGCGACACGTCGACGCCTCAAGCAGCTGTGTAAGGAAAAGTTCACCATTTCAGCCCACTACCAGCGCCTTCGTGAGTCGAGAAGCCCCTCGCCATTTACCAGTCAATTCGAGCGACGTCCCTCTTCGAGGCTCTCTCGTTCGGTTTCCAGACAGCCGGAAGAGGAAAGACCAGGTGCGGCCTATGCTACGAGAGAACTTGGCATATCTCTGGTGGCTAGTGGCGCGACTGCACCTCTCGCCCAGCTTGTTACCGGCGACTCGCCAGCGATGGATGAAAGCGAGGATTTCTTCAACACTCCTCTGATTCAGCTTCCTCCGCCATTACCTCAGCAGGGTCTTGGTATCAAGGAGGAGGAGGAGCCGGGCAAGTTGGGTGTCGGAAGCAGCATTCCTCGCCTTGCTTCTCCTTTTGCCTATTCCACTTGGAATGGCCACACCCGCACCAGCAATCCTCACAGACGCCGCATTTCACAAAATCAATTTGACACCATGCATGCCACGGGAACTCGACTCCTGTCGCCATTCAAGCCCGAGCCTGATGTCTCGCAAAATGTGAACAAGAGACGTGCTCTGCATAATCTTGAAGACGAGCTAAGCCCACATGGCTCAAATCTAGGCCCAGAGATTGCTCCAGCTGCTGAGGGCTCCCAACCTCCGCAGGAACTCATCTTTACAGGCGCTGGCGATATTAGCCAAAGACGCATTCGATTGAGAAGTCGAGGTGCTACCCTCGGCGCGGTTAACACTCGCGAGCGATTTCAAGGTCTTTTTGACCCCCCAGCCATCCAAACACCCACTCTCGCAGGTGCTACCGAACTCCCGCAGATGCCCGCGTTGCCTAGCTCACTGACCACTGCCACTGCGAACCGTGGCCAGCCGGCTTCGTCCTCGACCTTGGCCCTACCCGAGCAGGATGCCTCACAGAAGCGTCTCGGATCACCCTTCGAGCTTGACCCCAACAAGCGCAGCCTGCGTCAAATGATGCCGCGCCATGCGCCCAGCCTCTCGGATCCATTTCTCTCAAACAATGCATCTAGCATCAGCGAGCGCCTTGCTCAGTTCAGCAGTTGGCATCGCATGGACTTCCGCCAGAACCGGACCCATGACGATCCATTTGCATGACCACCCTCATATCCTTCGAAAATTTGTTCCCACCTTATGCGGCAGGTTTGTCGCCCACAACATACAGCGACGGAGTTCATTTGCAGCAGAACGATATTGAACAGCCTCTTCTGGAGCTAGAGACACGAGATGGAGTTGACCATTATGGTCATAAACGAAGCGGCACGGAAACCCCGCATTTGAAGAGGGATGACTGGACTGAAAAGTGATTGAATGAGCTTTGAGCATTGCAGCGAATTTGCATCGCATCTTGCGTTTACAGGACTGGCGAACAACGAGCCTGCCAGGCTACCCCAGAAGGCCAATTGGCAAGCAGATGCATTCGAGTTTTGAATTTTGACGTTTTGTCACTTTCGGCCATCTCCTTCAAAAGCACCGGATGAGATGATTGGACAACCCGGAGCTTACCTTGTTGCGGATGACGGCGGGATGAGAGACTGCATGAAATGGATAGAACGACATAAGTGCCACGGCACTTGCCAGCTTAAAAGAGAAATTGATCCAGAAATCGGGACGGACAGGTATGAGATGGGTTTTCGTTGGGCTTTGGGATCATTTGCGAGTTGGGCGACTTGTGAGATACGGTGATGGAAGGGAAACGATGGAAGAGGAGAGAGATGGAGGGGATGGACAGAGAGAGCGTGGTGCTTTCTTCTCGCAGTTGACTTGTATTACTCTACAAACCCTACTCGCGGGCTTGGCAATGACGGGCAGGGAGGAGGGGAAAAGCACAGAGAACTCACGAATGCTATGAACTACGACCTTTCTTCTTCAACTTTTAACGAGATTCCACCCCAGCCTGGGAACAAGGAAGCACTCATTCATCTATTTTTCAATTCTTTGATTTCATTCATTTATGGTCAGGCCGCTCATCAAGTAGCCCAGGAGGACACCCGGCCAGAGCAGCCGACCCGAGCCGCGAAGAAGCGCCGGACGCCTTGCTAATCTGGCTTCTAACAATCCTAATAAAAACAAAACATGCCCCCGAAGAAAAAGAATCGGTGGCCGCTGATCTATCCACCAGGAGGGCAACGGCAGACAAGCCACGAGCCGAAGTCAGAACACACAACACCCCCCACCCCTCCAAAATCTCACTCCTTGCGCGCAGCGACCAACGCCTCGGCAGCACGCAACTTGCCGCGCAAGTCGTGCTTCTCGGACTCTCCCTCCTTCTCGAGCCAGTCCTCCAGCAGAGCACGCACACGAGCCAGCTCGGCGACACGGACGTCGTCGTCGGGACAGTCGCCCTTGTTGAGCAGGACCTGGAAGACCTCGGCCCACAGGGGGCGGTCGAACCAGCGCTTGGGCTTCTCCTTGGGCATGTGCTCGACGGAGCCGTCGGCGAGGACGTTGGAGTAGTACTCGAGGTGGTTGCCGACCAGGAGGACGTTGAGCATGCCGGCGGTGCCGTACCAGTCAATGGCCCACTTGAAGGGCTTGTTGTGGCGGATCTGGGGGCAGTCCTGAGGGGAGCCCGTCCAGTCGGCCTTGAACTTGGTGTCGGGCGAGAAGCACTTGGTGTCGACGGAGCGGCCGAAGTCGATGAACTTCAGACCTTTGGAGGCCCAGCCGTTGGCGCCGTCCTTGTTGTAGGGCCCGACGACCTCGACTTTCGGATCGAAGCGAACCATGCAGTTGTCGGCCTTGATGTCGCCGTGCAAGACCCCGACGGCATGCAGAGCCTCCATAGTGCGCAGCGCCTCGATGGCAAAGAAGGCTACGACGGACTCCTCCAATCCCGTCAGGTTGCTGGTATTCTCGGTCGAGGCGCGGAAAGTGTTGACAAGCTCGATCATGTTGCCCTGTGGAGAGTAGCTGAGAACCAGGTACGCTTCATCGGGGAAGATGTGGCACTCGTGTGCACAGACAAGAGACTGCAAGACGCGAGGGTTGCCAGCTGCGGTGATGCGAGATGCGACCAATCGAATAACATGGAATTCCCAGGGCATGGTTCGGCTCTCAGGCTCAGATTCCATCTTGATGCACTCGTAGTCGGCGCGACCAGTGATTTCCTCGACTGGCGAGACAGAACGGGAGAGAGCTGCAATCGACTTGCGGGGAGACGTCGATGGCGTGCCAGCAGGGGTAGCCACTGCTGCATCTCGGTCCGTGGATTTGACGAGGAAGGCGCTGGCGAAGGCGCCTCTGCCGAGCAACCGCTTGACAGCGTAGACTCTGGAGGAATTCTCAAAGTCGAGCTCGACTTCAGACGATTTCTTCTTCTTGGGCGACCCGGTGGAGTTCTTGTTGGGAATCTTCCTCAATGCATCCCATTTGTCGCAGATCTTACCCTGGTCCTCGTGATAGCCTTCATATTCGGTCAAACGAACCTCGAGGCGTTCCATGATAGTAGTACGGATTCCCGACGTCATGGGGAGGCATTCCGACATCGTGATGATTGGAGAATCGGGGATCTTGGGCTCAGGGGCCGCAGCCTTGGAGACAGAAGACTTGGCGGACTCCAAAGTTCGGGTGCCTGATTCTGTATGGAGGGCGAGAGCTCTGCCGAGCGACGCCTTGTGGTCGACCTTGAGCTTGCGAGGGGAGCCGGTGAGCAGCTCTTCTTCTTCAATGGTGTCGATGAGACGACGCTTGGGAGGGGACTCTTTCTTCGGGCTCTGCTCAGGAGTGCCCTGCTGAGGGCTGCTCATCATGAGATTCTCAAGCTTCAGCTTGGAAGGAGAGTCGTAGACAATGCTCTTGCTGCCGATACGGCTAGGGCTCTCGGAGCGATCATCTTCGATCTTATTCTTGAAGATTGTGCTACCGATGGAGCTTTCCGTTGCTTCAGCAATCGGAGTCATGAAGGGGAGTCGGTTCTGGGCGACATCGTCGGCGCTGCGATATGTGTGGGCGGGAGTGGACTGATAGTCCTCGGGTGGCAATGGGATGAAGCGAGTAGGGTGATTGACTTCGACTTGCTGCGGTGAATCGGGCTCGGTGGACGCCTTTAAGCTGGCGGATTCGGATTCGACAACTTCATTCGTAATCTCTTCATTCTGGTGGTCGCTATCTTCACCGTCCGAGAATTCACCCGCAAGGCGAGCAATGTCTTGGGTCTTCATGTCGTTGAAGTCTTGGTTTGCAATTGCTGCGATCGCTTGGGTGTCAAACGAACTAATACCAGATGTTTGCGTCTGCTCTTGTGTGGAATCGAGATTCTCAGTAAGATCCTCGCTCAACGAGTGTTTGCGATGAATGGACTTCTTGAGGTCAAACTTTGGGACGTGCTTGCTGGCGGTAAAATCGGACCAAGGCGACACACTAGTGGGCTGGGAGCCTTGTGTGTAATCGACCACTGCGTCTCCCCCAGCAACGCGAGCCAAAGTGTCGTCGCCGAACTCACTAGTGGCGGCAGATATTCTTCCGGTTCCGGTGCTTTCAGCTTCACTGTAGGTGTCGTCTCCGTAATCAGTCTCGTCTCCACTCTGGGTGTCGTCCCGGTCGGGTTTCCGAAGAGGTTGGTTGAACATATCATAGATATCGTTGTGTGCAGCCTTGCTGTTGAAGGTCATGGTGGGCTCGGACGAACCCTTCCTCTTGATCTTCGCTCCGGTAGGCGACTCGAGTCTCAACTTGACTATGACCATCAGCTGACAATGTCGACTATCTCCATATCAGACTCACCTGTCTTGGTCTCTTCCTTGACTTCACGAACCTTCTTCCGTGGCTTGCCCGACTTTCCTTCCGGCATGCCAACCATCGACTGAGTCGAGGTATCAACTATCGAGGACTCCTTAAGACCCTGGGTTATGTTCTCGACCTCGGAGCTGTCAATCTTCCTTGTCTTGGCCGCACGTTGCTCGTTGCCAGTCACAGGACGCATGGGACTCTGGGGCTTCCGCCGCCAGTCTCGATCCGTCCAGCCTCGTCTGGCAGCTCTCAGCTCTTCGAAGCAAAACTCGATATTTTCGTTGGGAAACTTGGGATATATAGATTCGATATCAACAGCAACGCGCTCCACTCGCCCAGTCCGGGGATTGACAACATCAGGGATTTTGGACGGCGGAGGCTTTTTCGATTCGTTATTTCGTAATGACTATGGATGCAGAACGGGTCAGAATCAAGCCTGCACAAAGGTAAGGAGAAGCATTCATGGATGCGAGGAGGGGATCATACCGGATCACGGAAGATCTCCATCTTTGAGCCCGTCCCGACCTTTGCACCGGCTTTCAACTTCTCTCCAGTCCAAGGCTTGGCCTCAATGGTGTTTTCCTTCCTTCGCTCCTTCATTGAACCGATGCTATCCCAGCCCTGGGTAGCAGACTGTGCTGGCACCGGTGCATCGTCACCATCGGAGAAGATGGCCATCTTTGGCTTGCCCGACCTCGACGTCGTGGGTCGAGTAGCGGCTTGCCGAGCGGCAGCTTGCGGGTCCTCCGCTGGTGAGGGCGCAAAGGGGTCGATCTTGGTAGCCAGTGCCGCGCGAACCTTGGGCAGTGCGGGCGACGATGGCTCATCGGCATTTTGTGGTCGAGCATCAAACCTAGCCTGAAACTGCTGGTACTTCTTCATAAGCCGTTCGGCCGGTCTGGCTTCGCGCTCGATACCGAGCTGGTATACCTCGTCCGCCTGGTTCCAACGGCCAGCGCCCTCTAACCATGCGGCAAATTCCTCGTAGAAGAGGCCCAGAGTGTCGCCGATACTATGGCGCGCAAGGAAGGCGAATGTCTCCCTCGGTGTATCAGAGAAGAACCTGATGTAGTGCAGCCACAGCTTCAGATATCGAGGGTCGTTCTTATAATGAGATGAGGTGAGGAAGGCTTTGGTTGCACGCTCAAGCAGAGGCAGGAGCTGTGATTGAGGCGTCGCCTGTGCCGAGGGATATGCATTCAGAGTCCACTTGACATACCGGTCATATATGTCGAGTGGATCGTCTGCGTCGCTTATTGACTGAAGCTCAATCTCATACTCTTGTCGGATCGCATCGTTGAGGGTTTTCGTCTCTTCGAGCGTCGGCATGGCTGAGCCATCGTTCAACGGCTTAGGCGACAGCATCGCTGCCAGTTGCTTTGCGCTGCGGCCGCCGGGGAGCGATTGAATATTCTCCTTGGAGTTCTCCAAGATCGAGAAGTCGATCAACTCATCCTTACCTGCCGCCATTGCGCCGAGGAGTGCGCTCGTGGTCGACTTCAGAAGAGTTGAGATATCGCGATGATTTCCCAATGGTCTTCCCTCTTCCGCAGTGGTCTAAGGGCTCTGCTGCTGGTGATTAGTAGTGATTGTGTTACAGTTGGAGAGAGGTCAGAAGTGCGGCAAGTCGCTTGTTTGGGATGCAGAGTAAACAATGATGCCTAGCGCCTTGGCTGTCTCCCCCCATCTCGGGACGGATCAACCTATACTCCGTCTCACCATTCACCATGGCCTAACATACAAGCTGCCTGCTTCTGCCAGTGCTGGTTGATTGTCTTGGTTGACTGCACGAAGGTCGGTCCTGAGCTATAAGAAGCTTGTGCCCCTGCTACAAGACCCCTCACCCCAACTGTCTCGCAGCATCCCTCAAAGGCGGTGTGGCTGTGCTCTATACTCATTCACTCCCTGGTACCTCTACTGAACAATGGCACTCACATGCCTGCCTGCCTGGCCATTTCTGCTCTTCGGCATTATTGAGCCAGCCCTACTGTATGCTTCAAATGTATGGAAGCGTCGTAGTTGCTAACAGCTGCAGCATCTGGGCACTCGTAAGCATCTACAACGATCCCAACGACTTCTACGTCCGCCAGCATTACGAAGCAAGCCTTCAACAGGTGCTACTGACGCCGCAGGCGCTTGTGTTGGTGCTTCAGACTGGCAACATCTTCCTTCTGCTTGCTGGCCTCGCAGTGATCTGTTCCTGGACTACTCACGCGGAGGTTGCGAAGAGATATCTGTTTGTTGTCGCGATTGCCGATCTTGGTCATATATGGGGCAACTACAAGGGCCTCGGTGATCAGTACTTTTGGGAGTTTGCACAATGGAACGACCTGATCTGGGGCAGTGTTGGGGTCAGCGCCTTCCTCAACATCAATCGATGGGCGACATTGGTGGGTCTATTTGGGCGAGTTGGCCCTTCAAGCAGCACGGCGAAGAAGAGGAACTAAATGGGCTGTGATATCAGATTGAATGGATCTTCATTCGGGTGTAGCATAGCTACAGAGCTGGGATGTCTATATGGACATCAGCTGCATTGCTCATTCATCTCTGTCCAATCATGTGTCAGGGCTTGACCAGATCTGGATTGCATCGTCTGCACGCCGGTCGTGCGACTAGCGAGAACTTTACTCGATTCTCTGAGATTTTCCAGTCCCCAGGATTTCGATCTGGAGAGTCTGACACCCTCGTCTGGCTCTCAAACCACTCTCGCCCATCTAATGCCAAAACCTTACATGCGAGGCTGGGCCATCTGGACGGCCCGGCGGCGGTCTCTCTCCTCAGCGATAGAGAGCTGTAAACCGTTAGCCAAAAATAATACAGGAGACAGCTACTCAAACATACCTTGACACCCTTGCCCTTGGGCAGAGAGATCCAAGGCTTCTCCTTGCCGATGATGAAGACGTTGCTCTCCCGGGTAGCGAAAGAGTTGTCAATAGCGTCCTTGATGTGGACAATGTTGAAGCCACCGTCGTGTCTCTCACGGTGGGTGATGACGCCAACACGACCCATGTTACGACCACCAGTGACCATGGCGATCACACCAGTGTCGAAGCGGATGAACTCGGTGACCTTTCCGGTGGCGAGGTCGATCTTAACGGTGTCGTTGACCTTGATCGCGGGATCGGGGTATCGGATACTATATCACATCCTTTTAGTTTCTGTCTTTGTGTGGAGTATTTCCAACCAAACATTGGTTCAACGTCTGATTGACACTGCGCAGGACTTACGTGCGAGCATCGTGCGTAACCAAGAATGGGATGCCTCCGCGGCCAACCTGCACTCTCTTGACCTTGCCCAGCTTGTACTCGGCCTCGGCCTGTTCGATGCGGTGGATGGCGAAGCGGCCCTTAACATCGTAGACGAGACGGAAGTGCTCGCCGGTCTTGTCGATGGAGATGACATCCATGAAGCCGGTGGGGTAGGTGGTATCGGTGCGGACCTTGCCATCGACCTTGATGAGGCGCTGCATCATGATCATGGTGACCTCCTTGCCAGTGATAGCATACTTCAGTCGGTTTCGGAGGAAGACAATCAGAGGCAGGCAGTCGCGAGTCTTGTGAGGACCGGGGGAGGCTTTAGGAGCATAGGCACCCTGGAGTTTGTCGAGCATCCAATGCGATGGAGCCGACAATCTCATCTGATGCTTCTTTCTGTACTGCGGTCAGCTCATTGTCGTCCTCACGAAATAAGAAGTCGTCGCTTTGGGGATCTCAGGGCTGGGAAAGCTCTGAGTCTTCGGGCAAGGGGCGTACATACGGTCCGCGACCCATCTTGGCGGTATTTGCAGAGAGTACCGGTCAAGAAATGTGTAGGGGTGTCGTCGACGAGGTGTTGGTCGAGGTCAGAAGTGCTGTCGTGAATTCGGGAAAGTTGATTTTGCGCCCACAAAAGCGAAAACTTGGCGAAGATGGTGATTGGCCGATACTTACAAGGCTGAATTTCCTGACAAGGCTGGAGGGTCCAAAGTTCTTGTCCCATCAAATGGAAATGAGTCAAACGAAAAATAATGCCATATACACATTCTCGACCCTACCTGACTCTCATCTCTCAACATCTCGCACCATGGCCACCAATATCTCGCAACAAAAGCGCCGCTGCGGTGTCCTGGGCGCCACCGGCTCCGTAGGCCAACGCTTCATTCTCCTCCTAGCCAACCATCCCACCCTCTCATTGCAAGCTGTGGGCGCCTCCTCGCGCTCCGCCGGCAAAGCCTACAAAGATGCCGTGCGATGGAAGCAGCAGCGGCCGATGTCGAAAGACTTGGGTAACCTGGTGGTGCGTGAATGCAAGGCCAGCGACTTCTCCGATTGCGACCTCGTGTTCTCCGGCCTAGACAGCGATGTGGCGGGCGACGTCGAGATGGAGTTCATCAAAGCCGACATCCCAGTCTTCTCCAACGCGAAGAACTACCGACGGCACCCTCAAGTGCCGCTTGTAGTGCCGACAGTAAATCTGCACCACCTCGACCTAGTCCCCCATCAGCGGAAGGAGTTTGGTCTGAAGAAGGGCTTCCTGGTGTGCAATTCCAACTGCGCCGTCATCGGCATTGTGATTCCTTTTGCGGCGCTGCAGGCACGGTTTGGCCCGGTGGAGGACGTCGAGGTGTTCACGGAGCAGGCGGTGTCCGGCGCTGGCTATCCCGGCGTGCCAAGCATGGACATCTTCGACAACGTGGTGCCATACATCGCAGGCGAGGAGGACAAACTAGAGACCGAAGCCCAGAAAATCCTCGGCACGATGAACGCCGACGCCACAGCCTTCGAAGAGCAAAAGGGCCTGACTGTCGGCGCCACCTGCACGAGAGTAGGCGTTACAGATGGGCACATGGCCTTTGTGTCCCTACGGTTCCAGAACCGCCCGGGGCCCAGCGCGGAGGAGGTCAAGGCCGCGTTGCGCGAGTACGTGGCGGAAGCACAGAAGCTGGGCTGCCCCTCGGCGCCGGAACAGGCGATCGTGGTCTTCGACGAGCCCGACCGCCCACAGCCGCGCCTCGACCGCGACATCTCGGGCGGCTACGCCGTGTCGGTCGGCCGGGTGCGCGAAACAAACAAGGGCTCGCACTTTGACATACGCTTCGCGTGTCTCAGCCACAACACCGTCATCGGTGCCGCCGGCTCGTCGATATTGAACGCCGAGGCGGCTATCATCAAGGGCTTCCTATAGAAATAGAGCTTGTTGAAGCCCCCCCTCCCCCTCCCCCCAAATCAAATAAAAAGCTAAGATGAACCTGCCACCTCGCCTTCCGATCTCCTCCTCACCCCTGCTGTCCAACCCAGAGACACCATCTCCGCCACCTTCACGCAGGCCTCCCACAATTCGCCCTATCATATATGTGATGGTACAAGAAGCATACGGGAATTGCTGGACGATTTGCAGGGTTAAAAACCAACTGGGAGGATCAGGTACGATGCGTCAGCACTGTGAGTCCAAGAGGCATGCCAGACCGGAGACAATTTTGCTACTAGAGGTTGATTTGGGTGTCAGGTATGAAATTGCATCTGCTACCGGGGTATCTAGAAAACCTCAACTACCTACATAGTCTTGGAAACGGCCCAAGGGCGCTCGCTTGCTCGCATCTTCAATCCTGAAATAGCACAAAAAAATTGGGCAGTGAAGTGAAAGAAACTTCCAACGCTCTTGGTGGCAATGATCTCGGGAGCCTGTTCAAAATCGCTTGATCTACTTCGCTCGCAACGTGCCCTCTAGATTAACGCTGCTCGTTGGGAGGCAAACTACCTCCGTGCATGGTCAGGTTGTTGGTTGAGGACTCCTGGCGTTGCATGTAGCTCTGACTCGGCTGAGGCGGCTTCCTTGCGAACAGTGAATTCTGGTTCGGCTTAGGCTGCGTCTCGTCGGCCACATTGTCATCCGAGAACGGATTGTCAGCAACACCGTACTCTGCATTCCTAGAACCTGGCCGATTTTGCGTAGGTTGCAGTGCAGGTATGTGCGGAGCAGGCGCATAGGCGTCTTCATATTCGAATGTGCCCTGTTGTGGACCACGGCTCTGCGAGGGTGGTGGGCCGGGTGGTGGAGCGAAGGCAGAGGGGTCGGTCCTCTGCTGGGGAGGAGGCCCTAGGGGAGGTGAGAATGTCTCACTATTGTTGACGGGTGAAACAGGTGAGATATTGGCCTGCGGCGGGGCAGGCGGTTGGCTGTAGACATTTTGATATACGTTCTGGCCGGGAGTGTGCGCCTGCATATAGGAGTTTGCTTCCGGGCCTTGACCGCCGGGCGGAGTGGGACTTGCTATGCCGGCCGCCTTGCGGGCTTGCAAGACAGCTCTCTGGTGTTTCGACATCGAAACATTGAGTTGATCGTTGGTCTCAATGAGTGTGAGCATCGTATCCTCGTCTGGCGCAGGATTTTCGCAGTTCATATAGTTCTGGATGCTCTTGTGCGCCGATCGTGCTCGTTCTGCGAACTCTTTGACCAGCTCATTCCCGAGCAGCTCCTGCTGCGGTGTCGACTGAACGGTCTGAATCAGCAGTCTCGCAGTGGTCTTTGCCTCTTCGATGCGGGCAGCCAGCTCGTCGGGAGGCGGCAGCTGTCTCGGATGCCGGCTGGAACGGTTACCGCCGTGTTGCATTGCCATGCCGTTCGGATACTGCGTTTCATCAGCATCTGTGGGAACAAAGACATCACTAGTACGGACCACTGGAGCTGCAGGGAAGCGTGCGCTCTTGCTCTTTTCTTTCTTCCACATCTGCATCAGAGGGTTCAGAGAGTCGTTGTCGCGCAACTTCTCGGCCTCAAAATAGTCGAGAGTCTCTCGTGTGATCTGTTGGACATTCTGATCCCTACACTCTCGCAGCAAGTGCTTGACAGTGGAAATGAAGTTGGCATCGAAGTGCTGAGTGAAAGGCCGGCCCGGGTTGTCGGTGAGAATTCGAGTGATCATGATTGAATTGTACTGCGCATAGCCTTTGGCGTAGTTGTCTTTGGACAGGTAGCGGGCTATGGTGTTGGCGGCCTCACGGGCGGCGGTTGGACTTGACTCGGCGGCGTCAACGATGGCAGGAAGGTGGAGGTATTCGTCACCCGCGGTGTTGGAGCCAGGAGCGCCGGACTCGCAAAAGGCGACCTTGTTCGCAAGTCAGTCTCGGTGTATACTGTATTCATGGAGCAACTTACCACTTCGCGAACGACGACAGCGTCTGGCGCATCGCCTTCTGGCAACGACATGGGAGCAGGACCATTGCGGCTCCTGTCGCCGTTGGGTGTTGGACCTGTACAACTTGTCAGTGATGAATGGCAGGAGTGTTGCAAGTTGTGGACGCACTACCACCCTTCTTCTTCTTGATCTGGCTCATTAAGCGCTTCATGATGGGCGGTGGTACAAAGGCCGCGAAGTCCCGGGCGTGGGGAAGCTGACAGTGTCGATCGATCGGTGAGAGACACGCTCGAATGGTTGTGTTGAGGGCAGCGGAAAGCCAACAGCCACAATGTCGGGGGCGCGTAACAAACACAGCAGGGATAATGCGTTTGTCTTTGCGCAGGTAGATCTGGCAAGCCTGCAACAATGATGCAGCTGGATGACTGCAGGGATCGCGGCGGGCCGAAATGGGGATGGAGTTTAACTTATTACTCCGGTAGGTGCCTCGTAGTTAAGCTGAGGCTGGCCCCGCGCTTACTCTTGTTTGGGCGACTTTGCTTTTGGCGTCTGCCTTTCTGCGTGTCGCAGCTGCGCGGCAGGGAGATTTGACAAGAGGGTCTGGTCTGACAAGATGAAACGAATTTGCATTACTTCTAGAAGACGTCTAGATATCATTATGCCTGGCCACGGCGGGGCGGAGCTGGCGCGGCCTGCTGATGCAGCTGATGCAGCCCTCCTCTTCTTACTCCTTGGCGCTGCTCCGTGTCAGGTTACGACGCCGAGCTCGTCGACGTTGCTGGGTCTCTTCTTCTCTGCGGGCTCGCGAGGAACTGACGCGTCTCGGCATAGCCACGTGCCATGAGCGGTGTGAACCGGTCGAGCCAGGGGCGAATCTTGGGGGCTGTGCCCAGAGTTTGCCCCAATTGCTGCTGGTGCAGCGAATATCGCCTCGGGGTGTAAAAATGCCACAGAACTGGAGTGCAGCCGCCTCATCATTCGAGTCCAGGCCACCAGCTAAACTGATTTCCAAAAGCATGCGTACAAGAATCGACTAATTGTTCATAGCATTTGTGCTAGGCTACGTCTCTGCATTACTGAATCATGAAAACTAGCCTCCTCCTGCGGGTCATTCATCACCACGTAAATGACTCCTCGTCCATATCAATGGCCGCGTACGGAATGCGTTCCCTCACAGCCGCTCTCACCTCATCGGCAAAAGCACCCGGCCCACAGACAGTGACCATCGTAGCTCCGCATCTTGACGGCAGCTCTTCGTCAAGCACAGCCCCAGGAGAGCACCGGCCGGCATGCGACAGCAGTGTCCCGTTGGCGCTTTGAAAGTTTCCTTCCTTACCCCGGGTCACATATAGCATCACCTTGAGCATTTCTCTCCGCCCAGGCATCGCCATGATTTCGTTCATCCAGTCGCGGATCCAGGCAAAAGCCTCGGTGTCCTTGACCGTCCAGACAAGCACAATCTTGCGCGTGGCCACGGTATCGGCGTATGCACCGGCGAGCAGGTGGCGAATTTGTATCAAGTGGTGAGTGATGCCGGCACCGCCTGCGAACATGATGACCGTTCCGTAGGACGCAAGTGAGGCATGGCCTGCGTAGGGCCCTTCCACAAGTCCGGCCATTTGGATACATCCACTCGGTGAGGCACGCGCCATGTCATAGATCTTCCTAGTCATGCCGGTCCGGGCAGCCGCCACGAGGGAGAGAGTCGTTGGTGACTTTTGCTGTTTCCAGGCGGGTTTGAGGGACTGCTCAAGGAAGGTGGGCGACTTTGGTGATCTGCCAGGGAAGATCGAGTAACGAGCGCCGTTGACTCCCGTAGGTGGCTCGGAATCCGAGTTCGTCCAGGCAATGGAGAACGGGTGCGATTGCCACCACGAGATCCGTGGCAGGTAGGCATACACGTGGCTGCCGGGTCGGATCTCGACGTGCCGTGGCAATTGGAAGGTGAGTCTGCAGGCCTCTCCAGGTAGAGCCTCGATGATGACCAACGTATGCTTTCCGGTAATGGTGAAATTGAGGTATAGCAGACGCAGGACTCGCCAGACACGATCCAGCATCCATAGCCAAAGGACGGCTCGGGCGTAGGGCAACGCAGGTAGCTGCGCAATGTCCAGGTGCAAGTACACCCCGATGATGCCGAAGAAAGCGAGGAACTGGTGGAGGTGGAGGAAGACCTCGTAGAAGGCGTGTCTGATAGGCGACAGGCTCTGTACGAGTATGATACCCATGGCGACAGTGCCAACGAGCCCGTATTGCAGGAATGGCTTACCAGTAAAGGCCCGGCTCGCTTCTTCGGGCCCTTTGGCCAGGCAGATGGCGCCATACCATGCGAAGATGTGAATCAGGCTTTCAAGAATCACCAGTCGCCCAAGCCAGCGGTGGAAAAGATTGAAGGTGTCGAAACTGGTCTCCAGAAGCCAAATCAATGGATTGTTGCGAGCAGCAAACAAGATCAGCACCATCATATTCCACACAGCCAGCATACCGGACCGGCCCCGGAGCTCAGCCAAAACTTTGGGAGTTGGGTGTTTGTAGTCAAGGTAGAGACAGAACACCAGGTTGGTAACAAGATAGAAAGTCAGAACCGCAGTATGGACACGTCCGGGGATAGTGCCATAATTTTGAGCTTTGGACAGCTGAATCTCTCGGTTGTGTCGCTTCTTGCCGAGTGGTGCATAGATGACGTGCTTCTTTAGGAACGGGAGCCAGGTACTCTGATCGTATGACCAGTAGTTCTGCTGTGATCTCGTCGCTGTAAGACAGTAGATTCGCCTTAGGTGGGCAGTGAAGAGTTGCCACCCTCTAAGGCCAAGGACGAAGATGACACCACACAGGATCGCTATCGAAAGCGCACTGGTCATCTGACGGTCTCGCTCCAGGTTAACACCATTCAGACCTGAGTAAAAGGTGCCGTTTGGCGCTTTGGTGATGTTGCCATTTGCAATGGCGGAAGCCAATGCTGGCGGCGGCTTTGTTGAGTTGAGCAAGGAGCCATAGGTACCTGGTAGGATTTGCAGGTTTGGCACCGGACTCCGCTTGAGTTGAGGAGGAATGGCTTCTGGAAATAGGTCTTCCATTGTATCCAGCACAGGAAGAGATCGAGGTTTTGAGAAGGAGTTGGATGAGTTGTTGTCTGGTTCCTTTGACAAAGAAGTGGTCGTTGCGGCGCATTGACCCCGAGCAGCACTGACGAAGATATATTTGATGCTTGCTACTTTGTCGATGATGTTCTTTGTGTTCTTATCTTTGTTTTCCGCGCATCGTAAAGCCAGCACATAGGCAGACAACGGGTATCGAGCCTAGCAGACAAAGCTTACGGGCGAGAAGAGAGATGTGTTCTGTTGTGACAAAGAGTAGGGTATGAGCAAAGCCTCCCATGTTGCTGCATCTTTAGAGGGTTGTTGAATCCTGGTGGCACACAAGCCAGCTCAATAAGCGGTCCTATAGATACGGCTTTGCCAATTGACCTGAATAAGTTTCAGCATCCCAAACGGAAATGAAAAGCATGCAGCCTCAATAGACACTTTTTATTCAAAGTTTCAGAGACGACGGGCCTCCAGGTCCCACCAGATCTTCGAAAGATGAACCGAGGAGGGCAGGCTGGCAACGCGCTCATGGGTTGGCGACCGTGGCAACGAGGGTTGCAGCAAAGTTGCTGTTGAGGGAATGTCGACTTCGGCGCATGCTGAAATTTGTCATTGTTGGAATCGCTAAGGTCTCACTCGCAGGCTAGAATGGCCCAACTAATGTTTTAGTGAGTGCTCGGGCTACCTTCCCATCCATCCTCCATCCACCAGCAAGACATCGCCGCTCACGTAGGCGCTGGCCTCGCTGGCCAGGAAAACGGCCGGACCCTTGAAATCCTGAGGCTTGCCCCATCTTCCGGCCGGAATTCGCTCCAGGATGGATTTCTGTCTATTGGCATCCTTCATCAGGGCTTCATTCATGTCTGTGTCGATGTATCCTGGTGCAATGCAATTGACTTTGATGCCCTCGCCAATCCACTGGTTACTGAGCGCTTTTGTGAGCTGGCCAACGCCGCCTTTGGAAGCCGCGTATGCAGGGACATTGATACCTCCTTGGAATGTAAGCAGAGATGCAATGTTGATGATGCTGCCTCTGGATCCCTTGGCAGGCTTAGGCTTTGAGAGAAGGTATGCACCAAAATCCCTGCAGAGCGTCCAGACGGTGTTGAGATTGACCTGTAGCACGAAGTTCCAGTCCTCGTCTGGGAATTGGTGGGGTGCGTGTCTCTTCTGTACACCAGCACAGTTCAGCAAGATGTGCATATCATGGCCAGCTTTTGTCAGCTCCGAAATGATGGTCTTGACTGAGTTTTGGTCGGCCAGATCCGCAGCATGAATGGTTGCTTTACGGCCAAGCTTCTGTATCTGCTCATAGGTAGCCTTATTACTGTCATCGCGCTATAGAGACAGATGTCAGCGTGTGGACGATCTCGAGATGTTCGTTGTGGTGGTACCTGGATGAGAATTATGTCCGCACCAGCCTCAGCGAACGCGAGAGCCATAGCCTGGCCGATACCACGCGTGCCACCCGTGACGACAGCGGTCTTACCGGCGAGTGAGAACATATCTGCGAAAGAAGACATGGCGACGGAGCCGATATTGTCGTTGGTTCAGGGAAATGTAATCGTGCTCTCAGAAAAGGTGGACCAAATATCAGCGAAGATTCGAATCTACGAAGCCGATGAACCCTTTGACTTATTATGGAAACTGTCGCCGGCGTGCCTACCGATAAGTACCGAATTCAGGAAGAATTGAATCCACAGTCGGCTATTGAGTGACACGAGTGAATCTGGTCGCCGGCATTGGAGAGGGGCCGTTGGGGCTTCGGTCATGCCCCGCACCCTTCAGGAGGCCAGCCTTGTCACCAAGGGCGGCGAGAAAGGCGGTTCAGTCTGCCAGGCACTTATTATCGTCGCGCCTTCTGGCCCCGGGAGACGAGGAGTCGCTGCGCCTATACACTGTGTGAGAAGAGGACCAGATTGCTTCAGTCAAGGCCCCTAATGTTACCAGGTCTCAACTAGTAGGGGAAAATGGTAGAACGGGAGCTTTATAGAATATAAATTGGAAGGGCGGTAGAATCCCGCCCCAATAAGAGCGATGCGATAGTCCCGGCGCGGGTCCTGCCGAGTCGTACTGAGTGTTCGGGGAATGCAAGGCAATCGCGGGACCACGACAAATTTCGAGCAACAGGGCTAGCCGGAAGTGAAGTTGCATACGATGCCCTGAAGAAATCCAGTAGGCGCCACGTGCATATGGCAGTAACACGCTCATTCCAGGCCTCATAGACACGAGTAGTCGTCCGTATCGTGCCTGCCCACGGCATTCAGGTAAGGACCTCTGATCTCTACAGCTAACCAGTGGGTGGCAGTGCGTGCATCATTTCTTTCCCGAATTCGCACTCTTGACACCAGTTCCTCCAGCGCTTCCTCCAGATCGGTCCAAGACGAGCAACCTCGCCGACCCGCCACTGTCTCGCCGGGCTGTCCGATGCATTCGGCAAAGCGCCGGTGGGTGGTGGCCCGTCGACTTCCCAGGCGTCTCCACCGCGGGGATTCTCGCTCGCCTGCAACTTTTGCGCTCGGAAGTGGAGGGGCTCTTCACACAGAGAGGTTACACTCCGCCCGCGCGTCCAAACACGGTCGCAACATCACCTGGAGGTTATCCCGAACACTCTTTACGGTAGGTCAGTTCAGGAACGGCTAAAAGCGTGGGACTGTTTCGTCCGCAACGACTTGTACAAATATTCTCTTCTTCTCCCCGCCCAACCCTCTCACTACCCCCACCTCTTGTGTCGCGTAAGAGTCTGCCTTGCCCTCTCCCTGCCCAACATCTTACCTCAAAGTTTCCTTACAAGATGGCAGTAAACCAAGTCAACGGTATTGATACGGAGGTTACAGCACCCATCAACGGCGACACCAAAGACTACATTAGCAGCGCAGCAAAAGAGGTAGCACAGCCAGAAGCGCAGGTGGTATCCAGCGAACCGACCACTACAGCCACCCACACCAACGGCATGCCCTCAAAATCTAATATCGGTGTCTTCACCAATCCTGCTCACGATCTCTGGGTCGCCGAAGCCGCCCCTTCATTAGAAGATGTCAGCGCAGCCAAGGACTTGAAGGAGGGTGAGGTATACATCGCTGTCAAGAGCACTGGTATCTGCGGTTCTGATGTGCATTTCTGGCACGCCGGCTGCATTGGCCCCATGATTGTGGAAGGCGATCATATCCTGGGCCACGAATCGGCCGGCACAGTGCTCGCTGTGCATCCTTCGGTTAAGGACCTCCAGCCCGGCGACCGTGTTGCAATTGAGCCTAATATCCCCTGCCATGCATGTGAGCCCTGCCTCACTGGTCGCTACAATGGCTGCGAGAACGTCCTCTTTCTGAGCACGCCTCCCGTCGAGGGCCTGCTTAGGCGATACATCAAGCACCCTGCGGTTTGGTGCCACAAAATCGGGGATATGAACTTTGAGGATGGCAGTCTGCTCGAGCCACTGTCTGTGGCGCTGGCCGGTATGGACAGGGCAGGTGTGCGGCTTGGTGACCCCGTCCTAATCTGTGGCGCCGGCCCCATCGGCCTAGTGACGCTACTGTGCGCTGAGGCTGCCGGGGCATGCCCCATTGTCATCACAGATATCGCTGAAAGCCGTTTGAAGTTTGCCAAGGAACTCTGTCCCCGGGTCAGCACCTTCCAGATTCCCATGGGTAAGACACCTGAGGAGTGTGCGGATGGCATTATCGAGACCATGGGAGGTATCAGACCCCGTGTTGCGATGGAATGCACGGGCGTCGAGTCCTCTGTCGCATCTGCCATCTTCAGCATGCGCTTTGGAGGCAAGGTCTTCATCATTGGCGTAGGCAAAAACGAGATGAAGGTGCCATTCATGAGACTTTCTACGCAAGAGATTGATCTACAGTATCAATACCGGTACAGCAATACCTGGCCCAAGGCCATCAGATTGGTGCAGAGCGGTGTTATCAAGATGGACAAGCTGGTCACGCATCGTTATAACATGAGTGATGCGATAGAGGCGTTCAAGACCGCCGCCGACCCCAAGACTGGGGCGATCAAGGTGCAGATTAAGAACGATGACAGCCTATGATCGGTTTGGAGGAAGTTGGTTTGCTTCAACACTACATGGGTGGCATCTCCGCATACGAGCACGGCGTCCATATTCTAAGTAGATTACCCTAGATCGTCTTGGACATTCAGAATTGCGGCATCACTGACTTCACTTACTCTATCATCACCCAGCTCTTCAACTTCCTAGACCTCTCTAACACGCCGCACGCTAGGAGCTGACCTGCTTGACGAGCCCCCTTCAAGTCAAGTGTCATAACGTCCCAAGCTTTGCTTCTCTCCTCAAGCCAACCAGAGCCAAATTCTCTCCAGCCAATTCCTCGGCACCGGCACCGTCCAGGTCCCCTCCAACGCATCGATCTCGGCCTTTCCACTCCACAAATCCATCTCATGCACGCGCACAAACCTGGTGCGCTTCACTACCTTGTACCCGACAAACAGCGCCACAAAGATCGGAATATTGATGTACGGCGGCACGAAGGTCTTGGCGCTGAACCGCCCGGGGAAGAAACAGTCGTAGCCGTTGAAGAGGGCGACGGTCATGCAGAAGCAGATGCTGAACCAGGCGAGGTATGGCTGAAAAGGGGCCGCCCAGGGGAGGGTGGAGCGGGGGATGTTGTTGTGTTTGAGGCCCGCGTGGAAGCGCAGGTACGTGACGCAGATGGAGGTCCAGACCAGCAGGGTGGAGACGGAGGAGACGTTGGAGATCCAGAAGAAGACTTCCGAGGCCGAGGCGCTGAGGTTCAGGTAGCTGAGGAGGCCCATCAGGGAGGTGGCGAGGACGCAGAGGTAGGGCACGCCGAAGCGTTCGTATTTGAGGATGGAGAAGGCTTTGCCGTCCAGGGCCGCCGCGTACATGACGCGGGTGGAGGCGTAGAAGAAGGCGTTGCCGGCGGACCAGGCCGAGGTGAGGACGACGGCATTGATGATGCTGGGGAGGGCGCTGATGCCGCCGTTTTGGATGGCGATGACGAATGGCGAGGCGGCCACGCCAGCGGCACCGGAATCGATCGCGTTGAGGAGGCGGGGGTCCTCGCTGGAGACGCAGAGGCCAACAAGGAAGATGGCCAGGACGTAGAAGATCAGGATGCGCCAGAAGACGCGGCGGATGGCTTTGGGGATGTTGCGGCGCGGATTCTCAGCTTCGCCGGCTGCCACGACAACCATTTCGCTGCCACCGTAAGAGAAGGTGGCCTGGATGAAGACCTTCCAGAAGGCCAGGAACCGGCCGAGCGCACCGTCGACCAGATACTCATTCATTGCGCCCGGGTTGCGCCAGTAGCGGAAGCCGATTGCGTCGCCGTTGGGTGCGCCACCGCATGTGATGATGAGCATAAGGATGATCAGGCCGATGATGGTCGTGATTTTGATGGCGCCGAAAACGAACTCAGCCTCGCCGTAAAATCGTACGGGGAATAAATTTATGATGACTGTAAACACGGAAGAACACTAATCAGCACTCATCTTGACAATTTAATAGTATGCAACTGAAGTTGTTCGCCGCAAGCTTTTCTGGGATTGTGCGGTGCGACTTACCCATCGGGATCCAGAAGATTGTGATCCAGATTCCAACATGAACGGAATTCGGCCAGTAGCCTCTACGAACCGATTAGTGTTTGGTGTTTGCTGCTGCAGTAGTACTTTGCCAGTTGTCTGTCTAACTGCATCGTTGCTGTACGTTGAAGCGCAGGTAGGCTGTCAATAGTCGACAGACTCGACATGATCACTTACACGATCAACGCACTGACTGTCACTTCGATTGGCACTCCGATAGCCAACTGATACCAATAGTTCCAGCTGGAGTAGATCGGATACAGTTAGTGCTCTGCTACACATCCGAGCCGGTCGCAAGGAGCAAACACTCAGTCACTCACCTGAGTACGAATCCTAGAGCAGGATCCACGTAGCGGGTAGCGAAGGTGGGAACGGCTCCTGGGACGGGAAGATAAGTTCCCATCTCGCCCAAGGAGTGAACGACACAGAAAACATTGGCACCCGTGATAGCATAGGCTAGGAAGGCAGACAGAGGTCCGGCCAACGATATGACTTGCCCACTGCCCACAAACAGTCCAGTTCCTATAGCTCCCGACAAAGCGAGGAACTGTATATGGCGGGACTTGAGGTCACGATTCAGAGTTCCTAAATGCTGTTGCTCGTGCTCATGCTTGAGGTCGGAGACGTTATCGGGACGGGTAGCTGGTGCAGTGGCGTGAGCCTCGATGTCGTTGCTCTTCTCGGTACTCATATTGCTTGCGTAGCCGGCCAAAGAAAGCCCTGTGGCCTCGGTTCGGTGGCTCGGTAAGTAAATGGGAGGTCCAGGCGGAAGCACGAGCAGAATAGGAAGCACAACTGAGCAGAGCGGTCAATGCCCTTCATAGCTGCTGGGTATCAGCAGAACATTCCGAATTAGTTGTAGTGCCATTACATGGTGCTAGACACGCGAGAGCGGCAGCGTAGCATCCATGACGGTCTCGTACCCCAACAACGGAAGGTTTCCTGATAGCCAGGTAGATCTCCCGATCGGGGACTGGGGAGGAGGCTTGCAGATCATTGCTTCAAGCGGACGTAGAACCTCTTTGGCGGAGAACGACGGTGCTGACTGGAAGCGATACCTAGTCAGACATCAGTTCAATTTTGGTCAGGTAGTAGCACAAGATGTCTTGGGTTACAAGAGGGCAGCGAGCCAGGGCTAAACGAAAGGTCATGGGTGGTCTGTGCAGGCGGTCGCTGCAAGGCTGACTACTTGGACTCCAAGTAGCAGGTTAGCCGACCGCGGACCTCGAATGTTCAAGACACATGCTGAGTCCAGGCAGTCAACTCGACATATCCCCCCCAAAACAACACATGCCCATATGAGCGGCCGTGATAATGGCCCTCGGAAGAGGCGCAAGCTGTCGCCTCCAGAGCCTGGACCTTACGTGCTACGTGCGGTTACTGATGACATTCCGCTCAAGGCCGATGACCACCATGATGATGTCTCCATAACTTGTGTTGAATACTGGAGTAGGTCAAGCCCGGTCAGCGGGGGAGCTATCATGTGCTGATTCTCCGCAAGATAATAATCTATACATTGGGACCTCTGCATCCGAGATCCTGCACCTCGTTGCGCTGCCCCCCGATCCCACTTCTGAGAGTTCGAGTCCCACCTTCATCCTAGCTTCACGGTTGCAGCCAAGTGGCCACGACCTCGGGAAAGATGCACTAGGCCGGCGAGGTGTCCAGCAAATTGTCATACTGCCCAGCTCTTCAAAAGCCTGCGCTCTGTGTAACGGCACTGTCTCGTTCTATTCCCTGCCAGAGTTGAGCCCCGCCTTTCCCAACAAGGAGCCCACAAACGTGCAGTGGATAGGAGGCCTGGATGACAATGTCGGTCCTGACGGCCACCATGAGCCGGTGCTCATGATCGCCAACTCGAAACGAATCCTGCTGGTAAGAATTGGAGAGAAACTCAGATCCGCGGGAAGCAATATCGAGTATCCTGGATGCTTGCGCTCTGCTAGACGAGACACCATTGCTTGCGTTGCGGATTCCAAAAGCTATGCCTTGCTGGAGATCGAACATCAGCAGAAGATCCCTCTGTTTCCCATATCGTCCGCCAGCCCCGATCAAGACGACCAGCAGCCACCTACCCCGAACCGAGACAATTCCCGCTCACCACCAGAAGGCGCAGGCCATGGCCGCAGTACTAGCCTGGGCAACCTCATAAGCTCTGTTGCTGATCGGACCATCAGCCCACGTCCGCTATCCACTCCGGATGGCAGGCTATTGGCTCCAGGCGGCGGTGGTGCTGTACACGGTGGAAGGGAGATCAGTCAGTCACCCAGCCGATCCGACACGCAGAGCCCGGGCACCAGGCAGCGCTCGTCAACGGATAGTCTTCCTGCGAGGCCGAAGCCAGATGCGAGCCAGCGGCCTTCAGCTGGATATATTAAACCACACATCGTATCACCGTTTCCAACTGAATTCATGCTGACTACGGGCACGAGTCCGTCTGAACCTGGAGTCGGCATGTTTGTCAATGTCGATGGTGATCTCGTTCCACGAGGCACAGTCGAATTTCCCACCTATCCCGACGCCGTTCTAGTAGATGAGAAGGCCCCTCCCAATCCAGCTTTTCCGTCACCTGCTGATGATGAGCGCATCATCATTGCTTTATTGCGCAAGGAGAAAAACGAAACGAGCGTGTCCGGCTTGCATATCCAGCCTCTACCCGGGCCGAACACAACTAACCAGACCAAGGGATATTGGTTGGAGTTTCGGAGTCTTAGAGATGACACATCATCTGGGCTGCATAAAGCCCTGGATGCGCAGAACCACGATTTCGAGGACGTTGCAGAGCTTATGCAAGCAGTACCTGTCAGACTCAATCGAGAAAGTATCCTAACTCTTTACGACAAGTCTGAGGATGATCCACGCACGAGCTCTGCTGTGGAGCAGCTTGAACAACAGGAAGCCCTGTTCGACTCCGGCAATGGTGGCACATCTCCGCCAGAAGTCGTTGCCGAACTCATCGAGAAGCGTCTTGAGGAAGAAAAGAAGTTTGTCAGGCGCTTCGGTCAGAGCAGAAGTCGTCAGATTGTTTGGCAGGGCGACAAGCTTTGGCACCTCTTACCCAATCCCTTGATACTCCAATTGGAAGCACGCATTCGAGAAGCCGTAGGCAAAAACGACGGATGGACAGTAGATGCCAGAGCTCTGTTGAGGCTCATGACCGATTTACGGAAGCGCGAAGCTGAAAGTGAGGTGGAGTTCCTGACATTGAGCTTCATTCGGCAGAAGACTAGCTTGATGCTCTTTCTACACTTGACGAACCTCTTGACATCTCATGACGACCTGGCCGAACATCAGTCCGCTATTGAAAATGCCATGCACGAGAGTGGGTTGGATCCTCGCGTTGTTCTACTCCTCATTCCGCCCTTGTCATCCGAGGTAAGCCAAGGCTCACAAGGTATCTGGATGCAGCAAGGTATGGTGGATGTTTGTGCTGGATTCAAATCGCCCATCCAAGATTTCACTAAGGCACCCCTGGAGTTCTGGATGATGCTTAGGCACTATTTGACGCTATGGCAGGAGAAGCGAGGCTATGGTAGCATAACCGACGAGAAGTTGGTGTTCGACTCTGTCGATGCAGCTCTCCTGCACGTTCTGCTGTATTTGGATCAAGCTCTTCCAAAGGGAAGCGGCGTGCAGACGTCCTCGCGCGCCAAACTCAACAACGTTGTGGATCACTGGAAGGGCAACTTTGACCGAGCGGTGTCGCTTCTCGAGCGGTACCAGCGTCTTTATGTGCTCAGCCGGTTGTACCAGAGCAGGAAGCAAGCCAAAGAGGTCCTGAGAACTTGGCGACGGATTGCTGAAGGCGAGCCTGACGTCGACTACGGACCGGACTCGACGGATCTGGAGCTGCAGATCAAGCGCTACCTTGCGGTCATTCGCGACACAAGCCTTATCCAGGAGTACGGCATATGGCTTGCCCACCGGAACCCCAGCCTAGGTGTGCAGGTATTCTCCGAAGATTCTAGCAGAGTCAAATTCGATCCTCAGGAAGTCGTCCGACTACTGAAATTGCATGCGCCCGAAGCAGTGCAGCAATACCTCGAGCACCTTGTCTTCAGTAAAGGCCTCGAACGTTATGCCGATGATCTGATCGGCTACTACCTGGATTCTGTGCTTGACGTCCTTGAATCCTCAGAAGCTGCTCGTGAATCTTTGGCGCAGACGTACAGCGTGTATCGCTCATTGCCTTCGCCGAAGCCGACCTATCTGAATTTCATCACCGACAACGCACCACCAGAGGCCTGGTGGCAGTCCCGTCTCCGGCTGCTTCAACTTCTCGGAAGTGGCGGATACGCGAGAACGGACACATCCAAGGAGCTGACATATTCCGTGCCAATGGTGCTTCAGCGGCTAGCCCCCTTCTCCTCGTACCTGGTCTCCGAATCGATCATCCTCGATGCCCGCCAGGGCCGACACCGCGAAGCACTACGGCTGCTCACACACGGGCTAGGCGACTACGACTCAGCCGTACGCTACTGCTACTTTGGCGGCCCAACCTCCGCCTCGTCCGGCACCATCGATGCCAGCGCCTTGCCCTCCCGCGAATTGCAGCAGGAGCTCTTCGACTATCTCTTCCACGAGTTCCTGAAAATCGAAGACGAAGAAGAGCGCCTCGAGCACGCCAGCCAGTTGCTCGGCAAATTCGCCACCTGGTTCGACCCGCTACAGATCCTGGTCGAGATCCCCAACGAGTGGAATGTCGCGCTGCTGGCCGAGTTCCTGCTGCGCAGCTTCCGCGCCGCCACTTCGGCCAGGAACGAGGCGGTTATCGTGAAAGCCCTCAGTGCCGCGCAGAACCTGCAGATGCAGGCGCAGTTCGTGGAGGTGTGTGAGAAGGTGGGTGCTACGATTGAGGCGGAGAAGGGACGCGTGAGCGAAGGCGAAGGAGGTGGTGATGTTGATGATGCGCCACCACCACCGTCTGATATACAAGTCTCGTGATGATCGGAGTAAGATTCATTAAACATTAGCGAATTGTGCTGTACATCCCAACAGCCGTAGAAGGGAAAAAGGGTATTCTAAACATGCCTCTCCTAGTCTCTTTCTGGGGACAGACAAGAAATCCAGACTCGCTTGCTCGCTTCATGTACAAAAAAAAAGCTCTAGGAAAGTGTGTAGAAAGTGAACGCTCAACAACAGCCTCGACGTGCACCGCCCGGCTTGCGAAACACCTCGCCCCACTCGTCCATGCCGTTCAACAGCACTTTGGAGCGTTTCTTTCGTCGCCGCAGCGTCCCCTCGTCGGCCGTTGTGGTGGAGCGGATGCTGGCCCCGTCCCAGCCAATGTCGCCGTATTGGATGCCGCTGTTTGGATCGTCTGGGTCGACTTCGCCCAGTTCAATCTTGGTCAATATCATCCGCGCCAGTCGGTTGAACAGCTCGTCGACGTTCTCTCCGGTAAGCGCGGATACCTCCATCACAGCTGGCACGCCGGCCTTGCTGGCCCACCGACTCGCCACGTCTGGGCTGACTTCCCTGCCTTCTGCCGCAGGCGTGGCCGTCCACTTGGTACCCGTCATGCTTAGATTGATCGAGTCCCCTCTACTCCTGCCGGTGCCGCTGTCCAATGCGTAAGCGCTGCTCTTGCTGCTCAGACTGCTCGGTGTGGGCGGCGGGTCCTTCCAACTCCCATTCACACTTGGCGTACTCTGCTGCGCGTGCGCATGTGCAGCATTTGTCGGATCCGCCAGGTCAGCCTTGTTCCCCGCCAATACGACCGTCAAGCCAGGGCTCGCCAGACTGCGCGCGTCCATCAGGAACGTTGGTAGGGCGTTGAAGGCCGCCAAGCTCGCAACATCGTACACAAGTATGGCGCCCGCGGCACCGCGATAGTAGCTCCTACTCACACTTCGAAAACGCTCTGTGCCGGCGGTGTCCCACAGCTGCAACTTGATGCGCCGACGCTGGGCACCGGTGCCAATCTTGACGATCTTGGAGGAGAACTCGACGCCGATGGTTTGGCTGGAGAGCACGCGCCACTCGGACTTAACGAAGCGATGGAGGAGGCAGGATTTACCGGAGCCAGAGGGACCCAGGAGAATTATCTTGGCGAGGTAATCGTACATGCTACTGAGTTCTTGCGGGGCGGTAGAGGCGCTGGGGGCGGAGGAGACCTCGCTGGAGGTGGAAGTGGCGCGTGGGCGGGGCATGATGGCAGCATTGGGAGATTACGCTGCGAAAATGAGGATCGAGGTGAGAAGGCCTGGCGGTGAGCGTAGGCTTGTGAGGAAGCGTCGTCTTTGTCCTGCTGTGCGTTTCCCGGAGGTGAGACCATGGAACCAGTTGCTATCAGGTACCTGGCAATTGGTAAGGCTGCGGATAAGCCTTGTCATTTGAAACGCGGGCGGGCATGTGGGGCCGCAGCAGCGGCCCTAGCCATGTGCAGAGGCCGAAGTCAAACGAGGACGGGAATGAGGTTCTGGAGATGAACGTTAGTGTAACTTTGTCGTGATCATGAATTGATCGATGGTTTACCTTCCTCATGTTGATAGGGGCCTTTAGCTCGACCACTGAGGTATCACGGTAGTACAGTCTCATGCATGGTAGCTTAGGGGTGTCTGTCACGAGCCAAGTAAGCTCATGATGTTCCGCTAACAGCAGCGTTCGTTGCTTGTTTACAACGGTAGGTCATGGCTAGCTCTATCTCTGATCCCGAATACGACGGTCTGCCATCTGCCGAGAGCACTTCTTTTGGGCCAAATCAAGGTAAGTAATGTTGGAGGATCACGAAAGGGGCGTTGACCAGATGCAGCTGCCTTTCGAGCACGACTCGAGCAATTCACCCATACTTCCCCCACCAGAGCTCTTCCGGCTGCTGCTGACTACGATGTGGCCTCAAACATGACAAGAGCGAATGTCGCCAGCAAGTCCAGCACACCCATCAGCTCAGTCACAGCCTCGTCTAGAAAACGCGCCTCCAATGGTGGCGAGAGCACCCCGAAGAAAAAGAGGAGTACTGCCAAAGAGCGATCAGAGAATGATCCACACAATCCAGAGAACAACCTCGTCGATAGCCTGAGGCCCGGTCTGATCTTGGTATTCATTGGTTTGAATCCGGGATTGAAAACTGCAGAAACTGGTTTGTGCACTCTGTCCCAAGATCCTGCCACTCTGCTGACGAGCATCAGGTCACGCATACGCTCATCCGTCGAACCGCTTCTGGCATCTCCTTCACGAAAGCGGGGTGACTCCCCGTAAGCATCTCCCATCCGAAACCCACGATCTCCCAGACCTGTACTCCATAGGAAATACCAATATCTGCGCCAGGCCGACGAGAGATGGCAGTGGTCTACGTAAAGAAGAGCTGGCTGAGGGAGCAGGCATTCTAGAGGAGAAGATCAGGGAGTTCAAACCTCAGGCAGTTTGCATCGTCGGAAAGCAGATCTGGGAAGCTCTATGGCTTGCAAGGACTGGAAAGAAGCTGAAGAAAGATTTATTCAAATGGGGTTGGCAAGACGAGGACAATTGGCTAGGAAGAATCGTAGATGATGATGAGCACGTGCTGTGGCCTGGTGCAAGGACGTTCGTGTCAACATCAACGAGCGGACTAAGTGCTTCAATGAAGCCTCATGAGAAGCTCGAGGTCTGGCTTCCGTTGGGCGAGTGGTTCAAGGAGCGGACAGAGCGGGGAGAGCAGACGGGGGTGGAGCAGCCTTTCAAGAGCGGGGAGCATTCATCGTAGACAACAGCGGCTGAACCAGTCTACCTGCGCCATAGATTGTCGTTTGCGTGGGTGGCACATCTTTGTTGTAGCTTAGTTCTTCACATGCCATCGATCGACGGTCGTTTACGGGAACGCGATTGGCGGTGCGGGCGTGAATCTGAAACACAAGCAACAGGTTCCAACATTTCTCGGCCATCGTCACACCCCTCTATTATTCCATGCCCCTCCTGTCCCTGTTTGACGGTCAGCTCACCACAGTAAACCTGGGTTGATTACATCTCACACTTTCCGACCAACCTTCATCCTCATCGTCGTCTTGCTACCAGAACACAAATATCTTCCTAAAGACATTGTTGACCAAGAATACATTGCGAGGCAGTCATGGCTTGCTCTCACGGTCAAGTCTTTTTCATTTGCGCCATCGGCCTCATCCTGCTGGCTCGGCCAGCCGCTGCCTTCGGTGCTGGTAACATTGCCTCGCTTTCAAAGGTCGAGGGAATCAATTGGCGTCATGGCGATATTGAAGATACTCTGCTCACCATCGCGGCTGCAAAAGCCATGAGCGGGAAGAAGTTTGGCAAGTTGGACGTCAAGCGGGTAAGTTTGATGCATAGCCCCTGGACCTTCAGGCATTGATGGTTCTAGGTCTACTTCGGCAACTGGCTGCGTGACTACTCACAAGCCGTTGATGTCGGCACCGTCAAATATGTCAGCGCCGAGGCTATTCGTATTCTACTTTGGGTCTTGGGCTTCATGTCTTTTGGCTATGGGACCGCCGAGTTTGAAGTCACCACTGACCGTCTTGGCTGCTACCGTCCCGAAGAGCACATCGACAACCCCAAGGACTATGCTGAGAACCAGGACGCTCGCCAATACGATCGTCGTCTTCGTGGCCCTGTGGATGAGCGTCGCGAGCTCAGCATTAACCCAGATACTGGCCTCAAGAACTACATTGCTTCTGAGAACATGGGCATCGACACGTCGGCCGCTCTTGTACGCAACTTGTTCGGCCGTGCCATCGATCTGGGCCGCAAGTACAACCGTAGCAAGGACAAGAAGGATCTCCATGAGGCCCTTCGTCTGATGGGTACCGCTTCTCACTGTCTCGAGGACTATGCAGCTCACTCCAACTACGTCGAGCTTGCTCTGATCGAAATGGGCGAGCGGGACATCTTTCCTCATGTTGGCCGTGATACTGCTGTTCGTCTGCGTGGAGCTCGCAACGAGGTCTGGCCTATCGTGACCGGCACTTTCGGTGGCGTTGATTTCCTCCACTCTGTCTGCGGTGAGTTTGAGGACAAGACGACTCAGTCCGAAATCCAAGAGCTTGAGGGTGCACTCACCAACAGTGAACAATCTGACGGCAGCGTTCTCCGTGATCTCCTCAGCAAAGTTCCCAGCGGTCTCTTCGGCGGCAAAGACGAAGCTGGCAAAGTCAACGAACTGCAGCAGAATGCTCAAGCTCATCAAATGCAGAACACCAGAATCTCTCCCCGTCAGCCGGAGGAGTATACTCGGTATCTGAACGACGTCCAAAAGCAGATCTACCCAATCATCCAGTGGCACGATGAAGTCATGCAGGGTCTTACCGAGACTATTGAGAAGCTCCCAATCTTACCAGATCTGATCGAGAACATTCAAGAAGAGATCAACAAGTTCGTCTTCAGTCTTCTTGCGCCTTACGTTGTGCCCATCATTCGGCAGATCAAGAACGAGCTCGAGACCGGCTCCAGCGAGATCATTGGCTCTAGCAAGGCGCAGCAGCACATCGTTTTCAACGACGACCGCTCCTCAGATCCTACACATTCCATGCTGTCCAAGGACCACTTCTCAAATGTGCTCAACGAACCTGCTGGCCGCGTCGCCAGCGCCACCGTCAAATGGGTTGTGCCACAGATTATTGAAGCCTGGGATAATGAGCGAGCCGATATCCCTCGCACACTCGATCGCATCATCAACGGCGTACTTCACCACCCTGCGCTTCGCGACCAGGGCGGAGATGCCAGCGAAGGCCGGAGAATGATGTTCGGCGTCGTTGAAAAGTGGTGGAGCGAGAAGGATAACCGCGAGAAGGACGCTCTCCGCCAGCAGCTCAGCCGACGTGGCGTCCAATCCGGCGACAACCATAAAAAGGGCGTTCAAGATCATGGTCATGGAAGCTATCGACCTCAGGGTCAAGGTTTCAAGATTGCTGGCGTTACTGGTGGCCCTGGCGGGTCCGGCGGCGGCTCGGGCAGTTATCCCATCAGCGAAGCGATGGGTGCCATCGAAGGTCTCGTTGGTGGCCAAGGTGGTCAAGGTGGTCAGAGCGGCCGTCCCCAGGGTGGCTACGGTGGTGGTCGCCAGAGTGGCAACGATTCTGCCGACAAGTTTGGCAAGATGGCCGGCGAGGCTGCAGGAGGCGGAATTCTTGGTGGCATCGTGGGTGGCATTGCTTCTGCCGTTGGTGCCGATATGCTTGGTGGCGGGCTCGACGAGAACAAACAGACCTACAAGCGCGAGTCTTACGGTCGTGATGGCAGCCACTCGGAGACATACACCCAAGTTGGTCAGTCCGGCGACCGCTACGGCCAGGCTCAGTACTCTCGCACCGACAAGCCGTCTGGTGGCCGCGCTGAGGAATACACACGTTACGAGCAGCGGGGCGGCACCACCCAGGTCCATCGCGAGGAGCGTGATGAAATGGGCGGTTACCGTGAGAAGACGCAGACGTACTCATCTCAGCGTCGGGATGATGATGACGAAGATGACAACCGTCGCAGACATGGCGCCTCGGGAGGCTACGGCGGCCGACGTGATGACGATGATGATGACCGTCGTCAGTATGCTGGCTCTGCGGGTTACGGCAGCAGACGTGACGATGATGACGACGACAACCGCGGCGGCTCGTATGGCAGAAGCCAAGCGCATGTCTCCAGCGGTGGTTATGGCCGTCAGGAACATTCTAGCGGTGGGTATGGCAGCCAGCAGAGCTATGGCCGACGTGACGATGACGATGATACCCGTGGTGGCTCGTATGGCAGAAGCCAGGGCCATGTCTCGAGCAGTGGCTACGGTCGTCAAGAACAGTCCAGTGGTGCTTATGGCCGTCAGCAAGAGTCCAGTGGCGGGTACGGTCGTCAGGAAGAGACCAGCGGCGGATACGGTCATCAGCAGGAGTACGGCAGCAGTGGTCGCCGTGATGACAATGATACCTATGGGTCTGTTGGTGGCTACGGTCAGCAGCAGCAGTCCTATGGCGGTTCCGTCGGCGGTTATGGCCAGCAAGAGTCCTACGGTCGCTCCGAGGGCTACGGTCAGCAGCAATCATATGGACGACGTGATGATGACGAAGACAATGATCGCTATGGTCGCCGCAACGAAGACAGCTATGGCAGCGGCAACCAGGGCTACGGCGGAGGTAATCAGGGTTATGGTGGATCGAGCGGTGGTTATGGCGATGATTCGGGCTACGGTGGTCGCCGCTACTAAGCAGCACGCTCTCCGCATCCTTGTCATAACGACGTTAACGATGTGATGGGTGGATTACTAAAGAGTATGGCCTGAATCGTGATCGAAGGAGACATTCTTTGATACCACAATAGACAAGCAGGCTGCGGCGAAACTGCCAGGTGGTCGAAAAATCTGACACACGGGATCCCTGGACTCACAGTAGAGGCTTCCGGCTGTGATCTGCAGTGAGTCCAGAGAGCCGACCCTTCGATTTTGTCGACCTCTAATGAATTGACTTGACTCCAACAATAGCATCAAACGACATGACAGGCAGACCTCTGTGCCCATCTCCACTCACATCTCTCCTCCCGCAATGTGGACTCTGCTGAGGGTGTCATCACCAATCAGCAGCCCTGCCTGCTGGCCCTAGTTGGTAAGGCACCAGGGGGCCACAGCCTTGCATGACCGCGTACAGGGCTTACTAGTGAGATCTTCCAGGTGGGATGGGATATTGGTCACGGTGCATACGCTACGGTTCCTGGATCCCTTCCGCTGTTCGTTGAGAGCGCGCAGCCCTCAGAGCAAATGGTCTTTCTTGTTTTAAATGTAGTCTATCTAGCCCATAGTGCAACAAGACAAGCGAGGCATATCTTATCATCATCGTCATCGTGGTCGTCAATGCAAAAACTCCTCCGCACCAAACCCTATGCACGTAATGCTGTTATCCACACGCATGCATACCGCCCAAAACCTCCCCTCGCTCACCCCACGCCCAATCCTTCTCACTTCCTCCCCAACACCTCCTCCACAACCCTCGCAACCGCCACGCAATTCTCCTCCCCAAACCTCCCGCCTACGACCTGCACGCCCACCGGCATCCCTTCCACCAGATGGGGGTCATACTGCCGCCAGTTAAACTCATCACTCTGGTCCCTCGGCCTGTGACTCTGCCACTCCTCGCTGCCCACATCATCCAAGCGCGCGGTCGTGGCGGGGATGGCGAGCGCGGCGAAATCGACGAAATTCCAGTGCGCCGTGTACGAGACGTTCTGGCGCGACTGGACCCAGGTCTTGGGACGGAAGCCGACCCAGGGCTGGATTGGGGTGATGAGGGCGTCGATGCCCGAGGTGGCCCAGCGGCGGAGGTAGGCTTTTTGGTAGGTGAGGCGGGCGTTGGCGACCTGGGGTTGGGGATTGAGTGTTAGCGTCGGTCACCGGGGTTTTTGGAGTGCTAGCTGCTAGGTGATGTGCGTCCGCGCTGCCTGACACTTCATGGCTAGAGGGAGGAAGGGGAGGGATTGCTGAAGAAGAAAAAAAAACGTACCTCAATCGCCTGATCCACATCCAAGCGATCCTCCGCCGTGCCCACTAGCATGCCGGGCACCAAGGGCTCGTCGCCCTGCTCACACAGGCGCGCACACTTCTTGCCGCCGTCCGCCAGGATGGCCTTGGTCCACAGCCTCTGGCCCTCGATGTGCGAGTCGACCTCCCACTGGAAGACGTCGTGGCCCTTGTCGCGCAGCTTCTGCACCACTTCCAGCACGGCGCGCTCCACGGGCGGCTGCACCTTGACCATGCCGTCATCAACGTAGTACCCGATGCGCAACTTCTTCCCGGGTGGGAAGCTTGCCAGCTCCTTCCGCCAGGGGATGGGGTGGCTCGTGGGCTCGTAGCGCCAGGGCTCCGCGGCCAAAAGACCCTCCATGAAGACCTCGATGGTCTCCAGGCTGGAGCTCAAGGGGCCGGCCACGCCGTTGACGATGTTCTCGCGCACGACGCTGGGGTGCCAGGGGAAGCGGCCGACGGTCGGGTTCAAGCCGTACAGACCCTGTAGGTTGGCGGGGATGCGGATGCTGCCGCCGATGTCGGTGCCGACGCCCACGATGCTGCCTTGGCAGCCGATCAGGGCGCCTTCGCCGCCGGAGCTGCCGCCGCTGATAAGGGCACGGTTGAGGCTGTTGACCGATTGTTTGAAAACATGGTTATACGAGTCGGACATCTGTGGTATGCCGGTTAATTATTGGGCCGGGAGGTTTGGGGTGGCGTGACAGGGGGATCTAATGGCTTACCATGAGGGATTGCGGAATATTGGTTTTACAGTAGAGGATGGCGCCTTGTTTGCGGAGGCATTCGGCGAGTAAGCAGTCGGAGACGGCGGGCTTGTTGCAGAGTCCAACCCAACCTGTTAGAAAGCAACAAGTTAGGAAAATGCCCAGATAGGCTAGTCAGTGAATGAAGAGAGATGCCTCACCGAGAGTGGTGTCTTCCCCTTCCACATCTGCGCCGTCCTTCAGACTCACGGGGAGACCGTGTAACGGGCCCACTACCTCGCCTGTCTCTGCAAGATACCGATCAAGTTCTTCCGCACGCTTGATGGCTTTGTGGAAGAACATCTCTGTGCAGCAGCCGGTGAGTTGTTGGGCGATCGCGGCACGTTTGCAAAATGCGGTGGCGACCTCGACCGCAGTGATCTCGCGGGACTTGATCTGGGAGAGGAGTGTGCTGGCAGAGACAATGGTCGTGATACGGTGCTCGGTGGGAGTCAGTAGGGTAGAGTTGGTGATATACTCGAGCGCCGACTTGGGCAGTGGCGACGGCAGTGGCGAAAGGCGCCATTCCGACGGTATCTGCGCGGCTTGCTGCTCCCGTTTGAGGGCTGCTCGCTGCTTCCAGGGCATAGACGGTACTGATTTTGTTGCTTCGTTGGGCATGGTCGCGTCTGTGACGCTGATTGGATCTTGCGACGGCATGTTGTTGGTACTGTTGGATGTCGGGGGAGGTACGGAAGACATCGGTGGGACTGCCGGAGGTGTCGTCTGGTTATTATATGTAAAAGAATAACCCTGCAAGAGGGCGAGAGGTGGTCAACTTTCATCTTCATCTTGGCACCGTCTAGCCTTGTCGGAGAGCATGCCGCCTAGCTATGCAGAGAGCCAGTATAGTGGATTAGACTATCCGTACCGAACAGCCGAGTCGTCGCCGTTGAAACTTGAGGTCACGATTTCAGGTGGGAGGCAGCTTGCCAACCAGTCGGAGCTCGAGAGCTCCGCCGGGGGCCGTCAGGCGGAGGATGTTTCTTTGAAAACCTGCCAAATGTTGCCTAGAGCTTCGTTTGTGGATACGAGGGACCCCAAGTCTGTGGCGACACCAGCCACATGAGGTCGTTCTGTATATACATCTAAAAGGAGCAAGTCGCCTGTGCTTTTTATAATCAACATGGCGATGAAAATGTTCTGATATGGCTACTTGAACGGGTCAGTCCTTGACCAAGAGCCTGCTCATCACGTGGCGTCCAACGCCTCTACTGTAATTGCCATAACGACGTCCAAAACTTGGGTGAACACCTCTGGCTAAACCTCATTGTGCACGTCTTTGAAACTCCCATACATATATAGTTGTTCACCAGCGACCTCAAGAAGCATATAGCTTGACAAGACTTGAGCGCCTCCGCTGCCGCCTCGCATCACACATGGCTTGAGCATTCGGATACGATGGTATTGGGTTCGAATCAAAATAGCCCCAGAAACGACTCACAACTTCATGATGTCGCTCGGTCGCTGCATGTATACCAACAAAATACACCGCAACAGGCAGGTGGAGGTAGGCTGCTGATCGTGGCTGAATCAACTCCAGCAGGTCACATATTTTGTCTGCGATGACTGTCGAGGTGTTGCCGGCTTCGGTTTCGGCATCCGGGTATAGCTCCTCCAAAGCCACCAGGATAGACGCGTATCTCCATGCGTCTTGAAGGAGGAGTGTTTCATCATGCATGCTGTGGGATAGCTGCAGCAGCTGTGCCAGGCTGGTGTGATAGGTCTCATGAGAGAGCTCCGACATGTGGCCTTCGGCGATCCTGACATAGACGAAGAAGGTCTCACGAGGACAGCCGACCAGTTCGAAAAGGGTAGGGTCAATCTCGACACGGTGGAAGTCATCAAAGACCAATCGACGGTCCTTGTGTATAATAGCGCCCATGACGTCGTACCAGTTCAGGAGCGATATGGCTTGTTTCAGTCCGGGAGTGGACTGATAGAGGTTTGAGAGCTGGCCCCAATTCTGGCAGTGTACGTCTAGAAGTGCACGAGCACCGCGCAGATGTCGACTCCAGTATCCAAATGGACCCTCCCTCACATCGAGGAAGGCGAAGACGGTGATGCCGAACACGGCGAGGATATCACCACTTTCGACGGAACGCTTGAGACCCTGGAGAGCATTGGAGTAGAGAAGATCTTGATCGAGACCATCGGTGAAATTGCCACCGTTCATGCGCGAGCTGATGCGCTTCCACGCAAAAGCCCAGACGTCGAAGAAGCCGGTGTATTCGGCATCCGGGGCCTTCTCTGGATCGTGGTTGGCACGGGCTTGGGTGTATTGTGAGGTGAAGTAGCGTAGGTAGTTGGCGATCCCTGTGGTCCAACCGGGATTGTCATCATTCTGCGTGGTGAGCGAGTCCGGTGAAGTCAATGCTTGTTTGGCCTGGTCGACGGGCGAAGCAAGCTGATTGGAGGCGACCGAGGATGGGGAGGTGAGCAGCTGCAGCTCAGGCGATGTGTCCAGGGACAGGACTGTGCCTGTGCCTGTGCTCAATGCCGGCTGGTACTGTACCGGATCCTGTGCTACAGCATCGGGGGCCTTGGCTGATGAGGACGAGGTCGAGCCACCAACCCATTTGACTCGGTTTACGTAGCCCTGGCAAGCAACGCCATCCTGGAGACACGGACCGCAGGCAGGTCTGTTCAGATCGCACTTGACGCCGCGATATTTGCAGGTGATACAATCCCGGTCCCTGCGAAACCCACGTGGCTTGCCCTTACTCTTGCCCTCTTTACTTTTGGCCGACGCTGACACCATTTAAGGAGCCTCAGGATCCTTAGGTCATGCTGGCTGATGGTCCGGGGAAAGGCAGGAATGGAGAAGGGAAATTATGATTGCTTGCCAGAAGTGGCGGGAGCGGGGTTCAAGTGGTCCGAGGGGTGTTGGGGGCTGGACTCATCAGCCTCATTTCCCGGCGATAGGAGATGGGCGCTGGGCGGTTCACCAGCTCTACTTCTACCCTGCTAAGATCTCAGAGGTCATCGGTCCGTCAGGCCGATGTGGCCCCAGTCCAGCAACGCCCGCCTTCTGTTCTCTTTAGCGACGTTGTTCGCCTATGACAGACAGCAACGTTACGAATACTATATGTACCATGCCACTCAGCTGATTAAGGCAATGACCAAGGTCCGAGGGCTACAGGCAAACACGAGGGGCCCCCCGATTGCGGTGCCCGGGGTTTGACCGGGACGTCAGCCTCTCCAATTCCCCCATCTGCAGCAATGGCATATCCCAGCACTTGTTCTCCAAGAACAGGGTATCCAGGTAAGATGACATTCATCAAGAAGTATCAACAGCAGCAGTGATCCCACCGACACCGACATCTTGATTCCCGCACATTCAGTACCCTCTGCAAGCCCCCACTGCGACTTCATCATGGTCGCCTCAACCCAACAGCACACCCTCGCCATCCTCGATGACTATCACGATATCGCAAAACCGTACTTTGCAAAGATCCCCAATCTGAGCATCACCACCTTCCCAACCACGCTACATCCACAACACTCCCCCTCCGACCACGCAGCCCTCATCGCCCGTCTCTCGCCCTTCACCATCATCTCTACCATGCGCGAACGCACACCCCTACCCGCCAGCATCCTCACCCAGCTCCCCAACCTTCGCCTGCTCCTCACCACCGGCACCCGCAATCTTTCCATCCCCGAGGCCACCGTCGCATCCCTCTCCATCACCTACGCAGGCACTGTCCCACCCCCAAAACCAACCCACGCCCCCGTCGTCCCCACCACCAAAGCCGCCAGCGTCGGCTACAGCAACACCAACGAGCACACCTGGGCTCTCCTGCTCGCCCTCGCCAAGAACGTGCCGCAGGACGACTACAACGTCAAAGCCCGCGCCAGCGGCGGTTGGGAGACGGCGCTGGTCACCGGCCTGGCAGGCAAGACCATTGGATTGCTAGGACTGGGTCGTCTGGGCGCGCAGGCCGCCGTCACCGCCGCACTGGCCTTCGGCATGCGCGTCGTGGCCTGGAGCGAGAACCTGACACAGGCGAAGGCCGATGCGGTGGCGGAACGCGCCGGGCTCGACAAGGGCGCGTTCCGGGTCACGGCGACCAAGAGGGAGTTGTTTGAGGTGAGTGATATCGTGAGTGTGCATCTGGTCTTGTCGGAGAGGAGCGTGGGCGTCGTGGGGGAGGAGGAGTTGTGGGCGATGAAAGAGGATGCGTTGTTGGTCAATACGAGCCGGGGCCCGCTCGTCGATGAGAAGGCGCTGCTGGCGGTGCTGAAGAAGGGAGCGATTGCCGGCGCGGCCCTCGATGTGTTCGACGTCGAGCCCCTACCCGACGATAGCGAGTGGCGGAGTACCGAGTGGGGCAAGAATGGGACGAGTAGGGTGGTCTTGAGTCCGCATATGGGTTACGCCGAGACGCGAACGATGCATTCGTGGTATGAGCAGCAGGCGGTCAATGTGGAACGCTGGCTGAACGGGGACGAGGTATTGAACAAGATACTGCCGCAACAGTGATCCCCATTTCACAGGGGTCGTCGTGCGTGGGATCTCGACAACACCAAGAAGTCATATCGTGGCTATTCCCATCTCTACATCCTTTTCTCTTTCTTTCTTTCTCTCTCCTTCTCTCCTTCTTCCCCACGTCCTCACATCTCAAGCCCCAGCCCTGACGACCGTAAACCCATCCAACTTGGGCAACACACTCCTAATCTCCTCTCCATAATTATGCAACCCGCCCGCATAGTTGGTCTGCTCAAACGCCTTGTCCGGCTTACTACCGCCCATGTACCTATAAGTTGCCCAAAAAAACAACCACAGTCAGCTTCAAACCCATACAATGACCCACTCCGAAAAAGGGATGAGGGTACTTACGTGCTCTTCACAGTCGGGAACAAGCTGATATCACTTAGATAATTAATCTTCTTCTTCCACTCGGCCTGCGCCTCCTGCCGAGGGTTGATGTACTTGATGCCATTACGCTCGCAGGACTTGATCACGTCGGTGATCCAGCGGCCCTGGACCTCGATGGTGGTGGGCCCGTTGGAGAGCAGCGTCGGGCCTTGCGGGCCATACAGGTGGAACATGTTGGGGTAGTCGGCCACGGTGGTACCCAAGTAGGTGTACGCGGCTTTCTTCCACTGGTCTTCGAGCGTCGTGCCGTGGATGTCGCGGAGGCCCATGGCTGTCATGCCGCCTGTGTTGTGGTGTGAGTGTTGGGTAGCGGTTGTTGTATTGAAGTGGAGTGGGAAGGGGGGAGTGCAACAAGGAGGAGTTAACTTTCTTACCTGTGACGACGTCGAATCCGGTGGCGATGACGATGACGTCGAAATCGTAGTGCGTGCCATCCTCCAAGTTGATTCCCGTCTCGTCAAAGCTAACGATGGCGTTGTTCTTGATGTCCACGACATCCACGTTGGGACGATTGAACTGCTCCAGGTAAGCATACTCCAGACACGGCCGCTTGATGCCCCAGTAGTGCGGCATCTTCTCCGGCACCAGGATCTCCTTGTGCCTGTCGTTGTTGAGGCGTGCGCGCTGCTTCTTGACCCAGAAGTTATATGCCTCTTGATTGGCAGCTTTGTCAAACAGATAGTCCTTATAGTTGCCCAGCCAGTAGCGGAAGCCGCCGTCCTGCCACAGCTTCTCATAGAAGGCCTCGCGCTCCTCGGGCGTGTCATCAAACGTGTTCTTCTCGCTGAACGTGTAGAGGAAGCCGCCGAAGCAGTGCTCGCGAAGGTGCAGCAGCTCCGGGTACCATTTCTTGGCAACCTCTTGCTCCTCGACGGTGAGGTCGCGTTGGCGCATTGGCACGGTGAGGTTGGGGGTTCGTTGGAACACCTTGAGCTCGCCGGCTTCCGGGCCCCATGCTTGAGTGATCTGGACACCAGTTGCCCCGGTCCCGATGATGGCACATTTCTTGCCTTTTACGTCGATCTCATCGTCAGGCCAGAATGAGGAGTGGTGGAGGACGCCTTTGAACTTTTCGATGCCGGGCCAGTCAGGCACGTATCTTTTGGCGGCGAAGCCTGCACAGACGACGAGATATTTGGCTTTGGCCGTTCTGCCGTCAGCTGTCTTGACCGACCAGCGGCCTTCATCGGTGTTGAACTGGGCTTCGGTGACAACAGACTCGAATGCCGTCTGACTCTTGATGTCAAGGACCTTGTCACAAGTGTCGAAGTAGTCCCTCAAGTCTTTATAGTTAGGGTAGTTGTTGGGCCAATTGTGTCTGAGATCGTCAGCAGTGGAGTAGGATGTCTGTGGTGGGATTCCTACGCCTTGATGACCTCCGGGATGTTGAGCTGATACTCTGGCACTTCAGAGTCGACCATAGCACCAGCTATGGTGAATCAGTACTGTTCTTTACGCATCGCAGCTGTGCTTACGGTAGCAGTTCCACCTCCATGTGCCGCCCAAATCAGTACCCGCCTCGTATATGACAGTCTTCAGCCCTGCTTTCTTCAGGGAGTAAAACATGAAGACGCCAGCGAAGCCACCACCGACGATGAGTGCGTCAACTTCGAGATTGTCCACATATGGACCATCTGTACGCCTTCGGCGACCATACTCATGGAGATGCGTCCTCAACTTGGGGTTCGTCAACTCAACCTTCATCTCCTGGCTCCCCGGAACAGTGTCGTCCATTGCAGATGTCATGTTGTGATGCTTTGAAAGTTTCTCAGTAGATTCCAAGCTTTCCGATACAGCATTGACAGCACCCTGACGTCCTCACAGCCGTTAAATGCTCGTCAGATATCCGCAAGCCCGGATGGTATGTCGCTACAAGGAGCCCATGCTCGGCTTTCGGCTTGGGCCTTTGAGGGGTGGTCACTACTCCCCCTCACGACTCCTCGCACGACGCCTTTCTTTAGTAAAAAGCTGACAGGATCAGTGGACAGGATGTGCTGTTATCTCAGGAAGCAGTCGGCAGAAAGCGGGGTCCCCCGCAATAACAGGGGAAGTCCCCGCGTAGGAATGCATAGAATGCATATTATGCTCAACGAGACTTTCCGAGGACCGTTTGTGGTACCGAGTAGCGCCGGATATGACTACGTGGAGCAAGTGATCAGCAGTCTGACAGGAGTCAAAAAGTATATTGCGAGATGTCCTTGAAAGAGGTGCAACTGAAGACGAGCAAAAGGTAGCCAAAACTTGCGACACTACTACTATCTCCCCTATACAGTTCTCAGCAGATATGGGCCTTACTACCGAAGCAGTCAATAGCCTCAGAAGCACTTTTGACCAAGCATGTGCTAGTGCTGAGGGTCTACCGGGCGTGGTGGGTGTCGCGGTGAGCAAAGATGGGAAGGAGCTGTTCGCCCATGCGTCGGGCAAACGTGGAGTTGGGTCAGATGAGCCTATGGGCCTCGACCACGTATTCTGGATCGCTTCGTGCACGAAGATGATCACTGGAGTTGCTTGTATGCAGCTGGTAGAGCAAGGAAAGTTGAAGCTTGACGATGCCAGTCAGATTGAGGAACTATGCCCTGAGCTACGAAACGTACAGGTTCTTCAGCCCGATGGCAAGCTTGTTCCTAAGAAAAGTGGCATAACTCTTAGGATGCTGCTTTCGCATACAGGTTCCATGACCCATTTCCATTTCTTGAGGAATGACTGACAAAGTACAGCTGGCTTTGGCTACACATTCTTCCATAATGGTCTCCGCGACCATAGCAAGCCAGTTGGCTATGACGAGTTCTCCGGCCATCTGAGGGATATCATCCAGCCGCTTGTGCATCAGCCTGGTGAAGACTGGCAGTATGGTGTAAGGCAGCCATGGTTCTTCTCCCATGCATCTTGATACTGACCGAATTTCCAAAGGTGGGCATCGACTGGGCTGGATTCTGCGTCGAAAGAGTCACCGGCCAATCTCTTAACGACTATTTCCAACAGCACATATTCAAGCCCCTCAACCTGAACAACATATCAATGTTCCCAACTCAGTCCATGAGATCACACCTAGCATACATGAACTCCCGCGCCCCCGACGGCAAGCTCTCACCCCGTGACCATCTCCTCCACCGCCCGCTCGTCGTCGACTCCGCCGAAGACGTCAAGACCTGCGTCAACAGCGGCGGCGCCGGCTGCTTCGCCCAGCCGCGCGAGTACTGCCAGATCCTCGCTACACTGCTCAACGACGGCACCTCCCCTACCACAGGCGCGCAACTGCTGCAGAAAGCCACGGTGGACGCCATGTTCGAGAACCAGATCCCGCAGTTCCCGGATTTTGGGCACAAGGGCATCCCGCCAGCTAAGCCCGACCTCACGAACCCGATCCCGGATCTGTATCCGGGCAAGAAGCAGGGTTGGGGCCTGACGTTCATGCTGTCGGATGGCCCGACCGGGAGATCGGATGGTACGGCGCACTGGGCGGGGCTGCCGAACTTGTTTTGGTGGTGTGATCGTGAGAAGGGGGTCGCAGGGATTATTGCTACGCAGATTTTGCCGTTTTGTGATAGCCAGTTGTTGGGACTATGGGTTAATTTTGAGTCGGGGGTGTATAGTGGGCTGCAATAGTTGCGAGCTCGCCAGCCTGAGACGGACAGGAGTCACCACTAGTAGTCTGGAGTTGTTGTATTCAATAACGTCGACTTACTCAGGCTATGAATGTCGTCTCACGCAGAAGATTCCATTAACGATCTATTAATTTCTGTAAAGACGTAGTCCATCATAAATGATACGCCAACACTGCGAACGTACGTAGCAGCACAATGCTACCCAGTGTCAGTACGACAACTCATGATACAGGGGTATGCCGCCCACTTCTTCGACCTCAATCTCGCAAATTCTACATGTCTAATGGTAGCTTACTGTACCTTGATACAGAACAACCATATTCTGAGCCCTCAAAGCAACGGTCGTCACCAAAAAGACCATTGCACCACTCTCGCACTCTCTCGACCACCTATTCCTAACCCCAGCAAACCCCCCATCTCAAATTCTGCTCTGGACCAGTCCCTAGATATGCAGTCAGCATACCCTCGCCAAAATCCTATCCCATAATAAGCAATGCCCCTTCCCCCGGCCCTCACGCCGAGATGCTCCCCCTAAGTCACAATACACTTCGGGCATAAATACTAGTAGTAGTGCCATCATGCAGCCAAAGATCCCCAAAGCACACATAATCATATCTGAGTTTAAACGGCCATGGCTGCTTGCTGTTTGTGGTAAAGTAGTAACGTACACACGATATCACATCACATCTGGGAATCTGGTAAAGGCTCATGAACGGGAATACGAAGAAGAAACGACAGGGGCGAGGGAGTTTCGAGACAGATAGGAAACTTGAGGAAGGGAATAGAAGGGAAGGGAAATCAAGGCAAGTAAAAGTCGAAGAACACGGACGTTCCTCTCAAGTTTCTTGGGTCGGTCGACTCGGGGGCGTGATATATCTGGCACAAACAATCTCAATACAGCAATAGGGCCAAGGGAGGGTGGGGCGGCAAAGAAACGAGCAGTCTGTCGACAATGCTGCATCCTGCTATGTACGAAGACATGGATTTTCTCTTTCCATTTTATTCAAGTGATAAGGAATGTTCGATCTTTTTCTTTTCATTTCGGGTTTACTTAGCTCTCTACAGAAAGTGGTTTGTTACCCTACCCCCGTTCTGGTCGTTTACCCACTCCAAGCCTTGAGCCTCAAGCTGTTCCAAACGTCGAAGGGTTATGCACTTCGAGCATCGCTGGACGAGTTTCTCTCCGTCTCGAGACGTACGCGAAAAAAAAAGCACACATGAATAGAAAGGTTGGAGAATACAAGGGGTTGATATGTAGCCCTTGCGAAAACAACACCAGTGCGGTGGAAACAAATCGTGGAGGGGTGCCGTGCGCCATTAGTTTGTTGTGTTGTAGTGTGTTGGGTGTTATGGGTCTTCTCTTCGCCGCGTCAATCTACCCGACTGAGCAAGATGGTCAACCATCTTTCTTTCCTCATCACCCTCAGGGACCTTTGTAGTACCAGTAGTTGGCAGCGTACTGCACGCTGAACTCCGCACCGGCCTCGATGCCCTCACAAGTCTTGGGCGGCGAGCCTCCAGCAGTGTTGACGCGGTAGACGTGTTTCCACTCTTCCGTTCCGGCGGGCGCCTGGGGATTGACGCCGTCGAACCTGATGTCGGTGGTCTGGCTGTTGGGCGTAGCATCCAAGAACAGCCAGGGCACGGCACCGTCGCCTTTCCAGTCGACGCCGGGGCAGGAACCCGCCGGCGCGGTCGAGTTGGCGTTGGCCTTGCCTTGAATGATACCGAGACTGCGCGCGGCGCCATCCGGGCTGGAATTGAGCTCGAAGACGGGCGTCTTATTGCTGAAGAAGTGATGGCCGGAGAGTGCGATGTCAGAGGGCTGCAGGTTGGTGTAGCTGGATAGGAGGGTGGAGGCGTCAGCGTCGCCCTCGGGGTTGGCGATGCCTGGGTTGGAGAGTGGGTATTGGAGGGCGAGGTCTGGCATCAAGGCGAGCAGGTCCGGGAAGGAGGCGGCCATGCAGGAGGCGTTGTAGAGGTTGGCTAGAGCGCCAGCTGCCACAGGCTTGACGTCTGGCGAGCTCTCTGCGCATGTGTAGTTCTGCGGTTGCGTTAGTTGGGGTAGGTGGAGTGTGATGGAGAGAGTTCAGCGTACCTGGACGCCACGTCCAACGACAACGTGAGCAAGTATCAGACCGTCTGGTGTAGGCAGAGGTGTAGGCGCTGGTGGCGGAGCTGCCCCAGCCAAATCGCATGCTGAAGGTGCTCCAGCCTCTTTTGCTTCTTGAATATGAAGGGCAACCTTCTGGTAGTAGCCAGCTAGTGCTGGAGACCAGGCATAGTCACTACGGGGACCAGAGGGAGAGGCAGACACGAGGGCCGTCGTGAAGACCGACAGGGCGAATATTGATGTCTTCATGTTTTTGGACGAAGCTCTGAGCGATGATGGTTGACTATTGTGCCAGCACTGCTGGGGGTTTGCGACAACCAAGGGATGCTTCACGAATATTAAGTGCTTTGGTAAGAGGTCTGACCAGCAGAGGCCGAACTGGATAACAAGGCAGAAAAACCACAACAGAGATAGAAGATACGCAACGATTCAGACTGGAGGAGGCTGGACGGGAGGTCGAGGTATATTGGGAGGAGAGTAGTCCAGTCCAGATGACAATGGTGGATTCGGGTCAAGAGGGCAGTGGTAGGACAGACCAACCTGATATCGAGCCGCGCAGGCTCATTTAATGGGCGGCAGCGGCCATACACATGGTACCAGTGAGCATGCACAAGGCAGGACTCCGTTAAGGGACCGGGGTACGCAGTCGGTGGGTAAGACCCACCTTGCGATGCGAAAAGAGGCGATGTTTCTATTCTGCGAGCGAAGCGCTTACGATTGGAGTCGAGCGGCCCTTTTGGCGACCGCGTGTGGAGCTTGCAAACGAAGGGCTGGGGGAACGAGGAGGCTCTGCAGGGAGCGAGAAGAGATCGTCGCTGGCGCCAATGTGAAACCCCAGTCGTTGGCTGTGCCATACCTGGTTTGTCAGAAGGGACGGCCAAAAATATCCTGTCTTGGGGTGACTGGGGTGGTGGGATTGGTCAGTCATCAGTCCACCTCGATATAGCCGCTGGCCCATTGCCCAAGAGATCATATCTGGTTCCATGTTCGGAAGCTTAGATTCGTTCCGCAATCTGAGAGGCCGGCCGTCTTGCAGACCCTTACATGACGCGCATCAAGCATGTGTTTTCCGGCGGTATAGAGGCTTGGGACGTATATTCTTATTTGCTACAAGAGCATCGTCGGAATTGCGACCGAGGTGCCCGCAGATAGTCGAGAGTGCCATGCTTCGCATCGTAACCGCCTGCACCGGGTGCAAAGCCCAGGCAATTGTAATGCCACTGCCGAGCACCGAGGGAAGGACAATGGGCACTCCCTGCCCATATCTCAAGCCTCCCTGTGCGACCCAAGAAATGGATGATAAGCATCCTGCCTCTTACCTGCAGCCTTTTCCTGCCGTGGGCGACCTCTGCATGCTGCCGTGCCTAGAACTGGCGCCCAGCCGAGAGCCTAGCCGCCCACGTTCCAGCCGGGGCGGCTGCCTGTAGCCGTCATTGGCGGCGCTTACTCTCTAATCGCTGCATTTCGCTTACAGCGGTAGTACAGGCGCGTGGGGGCGTAGAGGCCCCTACGCCAACCGTACCACCGCAACATTTATTTTGATATACAAGTGTAGAGCTCGCGCAGCGAAACGGTTCAACTGCGGCAAAGGCAGCATGTGTGCCCTCTTTCTCTTGGAGCGCATCTTCTTCGGCAGTCCTCAAGCGAATACTGCGAAGTTACCGTGGCATGAATTGCCAATCGCTACTCCTCGCAACACCTAGGGCGAATTTCGGTCTGCGGCCGTGATTAGTGGCTACCCGTCAAGGCCACCAACCTGCCCCCGTGGCTTTGCTCTTGGCCCTACTAATTGCAGTCAAGCCAGTGGCTCATAAGCGGCTTTCACCTAGATGCTGACGGGCGCAGGAAAAGTAGCGTAGGAAGGAGATCTTGCAACTGCGCTGTCATTATGTGTCAGGCCCCATTTCTGACGCTATACTGGTACATTGCTCTGACCCCTTCCTGCATCCAGTATCCCAAGACTCCGAGACATCATCACCACCAGGGGTAAACAAAATAAATGGGCAGGCTCCTTTGGGCTCATAGCAGAGACTTTTGCTTATGATCTGCGATGAGCTCGTGGCGCCCAGCCGTCAACCTTGTCGACCCCTAGTGTATTATCCAAAGCCTTCCTGTTGCCACTCACTCCCAGCCTCACCCATAGCCGCGCCCCCTCTGGGAGCAGGGCCTGCCAGTGCCGCGCCGGCCGCCAGGTTCCCTATCTCACCCACCGCGTGCCTCTCCACGTCAGTCGAGCCAGTCCAGTACAGCATGACAAATACCAGAAGGTGCAGTGCCACGCAATACACCGCAAAGATGTTGCGGCTTGTTCTGGTCGCCAGCACGATCCGCGTCAACGAGAAGATCATCCGCTCTGGCAGGCTCATGCGCCGATACGCTCGAGTGGCCTCCTTTCCGCGGAATGCCGCAAACGGTGAAATGTTGGCCTCGTACTGCGACTTCCACCTGCTGTCGGTGTCGGGATCTTCCTCCGCGTGGACACGAGTGTGCGACATGCCGCCAGAATAGCCGGTCGATGATGTGTTGGCGCCCCGACTGTAAGCTGACACGTACCGTGACTTTTCATAGAGCTGGAGATTGTCCTTTTGCAAGGATGCAACCTCTTGCCGCAGCGATGTAACGGTAGTATACGTCTTCTGAAGCTCTTCCTCGAGCTGCTGATTCTTCTGCTTGAAGCGGTCGCGCTGCGCCTGGATCATGGGTAAGATTCCCGAGCCACCCCCAACAGGCTCACCCGATCGCAAAGATTCCAGAGTCGTAGAACCTAACCGAGGGCCAGTATCGTAACCCGAGATGATAGACGATGTTGGCGACGCTCGCCCTCGTCTCATGGACCCCGGGTGGCGCGATGTGTATGTGCCGGCGACCGACATGCCTGAAGAAGGCAGTGCGTTGGATGCCTCTTCCTGCACCCGCAACAGGTCATTTTCCAGCGTAGAGGCCAGTTTCTGAGACTGCTCAAGTTCCGCATTCGTGCGGGAGAACTCTTCCTGCAGGTCCTCGAGCTGCTGTCGTGTATCTTGGTGCGCAACTCGCATAAGAGTGATCTCGCTGCTCAGTTTCTTGTTCTTTGCCAAGAGTAGCTGCTCGAGCGACTGCTCCTTGCCCTTCTCAGCACTTCCGTTGGCGACTGGCTCTGCAGAGATATCGTCATCGTCTACAGACAGCTCAATCGACTGCAGCACTTCAAGCTCTCGCTTGATTTCATCGTAGTCAGCACACTTATGAAGCTTTGTGCGCATGTCCTGGACTTCGCTAGCGAGCTGCGAGCGTTGCCGCTCCGCATGTCGTAGCTTGTTGTCCCATTCGCGTTTCTCCGCGTCTTTCTCGAATCTCGCACTCTCGGCTTTTCGCAGTAGGGACGAGTTCTCCGAACGGAGCCGGAGTAGTTCAGCCTCGTCCTCGTGCGACTGCTGTGCCGCATTCTGTGAGGTAGCGCGCGCCAACTCCAAGCGGAGCTGTTCGTTCCTGGCCTCCATCTCCGCGAGCCGAGCGCTTGTCTTTTCGAATTCCGAGTTGAGCATGTCCAGTTCCGCCGCGGCGGCTTTGCCGTACACGCCTTCCGCCGGCTGTTCCCCGTCGTGGCCAAGCCGCTGGGCAACTTCATAGCTCGCTTTCAGTTCCTTCAACAGACGGTCTTGGTGCTCGACCTTCTCCTCTAACGCCTTCTCTTTGGCTTCCCAGTTGCTCTCTTTCTCTTCGACGACCTTGGTCCAATTCGCAACGATCTCTTTGATTTGGTCACCTGATCCGGCATCTGCTTCACGTCGAGCTGTGCTCTCTTCTTGTAGCTTGCGCTCTGTGTCTTCCAGCTGCGAAGTCAACTTGTTCACTCGCTTCTTCAGCTCCTCATTCTCCGCCGTGACTTTGGGCAGGGTGTCTTCCGACGCGACTAGGGCCTCGACGGAGGCCTCTAGCAGCGGAAAGGGATCTGGAACATCGGAAAGCGGTGTATAGACCTGGAGGAATGCTGAGGATGAGGTCTTGCCGTGTGTCGTCAGCAGATCAATGAATGTCTGGTAGGCTGCGTCTCCAGTCAGTAGGGATCCGTTGTGTTCGTTAAGGTAACGTGCATTTCAGTAGAGTCTTGATCTCTGACAGTTTCGCCGCATCATCCAGCTTTCGGAAGTCCTTCGTCTTCTGAGCGACCTCTTTCCGCTCAACCACCGCCTCTTTCTGGTTGTTCACGATCTCAGACGCAGTTGCGTCTAACTGCGGGATCAAATTGGATAGATCGAGCCCTGCTCTCACTCAGTCACGGTTCCCGGCCGGACGCTCTGGATTAGACATACCACGCCATGCCGATATAGCCTTCTGGAATTTGTTCTCTGCATCGGGACTCTCGTCGGAGCCATTCTCATCGGGCACAGCTGGCTCGTCCTCTCGATGCGGACTCGCTTCTGCGACCACGAGTGCATCCATTCCTGCTCACGAAAGATTCTGGCACCATTACTATGCGACAGTGGTCCCTAGGCGTTTCATCACTTCTGACGAGTGCGCCAGGTTGTCAAAAGTCATTTACCCCAACTCCCTTACAACGAAGTGGACACTTGAAGTCACCGAGCTGCGCGTCGCCCTACGGCTGAGAAAAAGGACCAAGTACGCTGCCAAGGAATATGGCGACGTCGCTCTATTACGCCTCGTGTGTTTCAAGGGTCTGGCTCTCACCGTTCACGTTAGGATCCAGTTCATCGAGGTCTAAATCGCGCTGCTAAATTGAGGCCGATGAGGACAGAGAAGATCGAGTCACGGACAGGCATCAACCATGAGAGGAGCAACTTGACTGGGGTAATCATGTTTGTCGTTAATTGACTATGTGCATTGAAGTTCAAAGATCATGATATTTCGTCAGGAAAGAGAAGCTGAGAATCCAGTTCCCTGGCCCCTCCAGGGAGCTGTTACTATTTTGGACACTCCCCGCTAAAGATTGGTCGCAAGGATGCCCTCAGACGATAGGCCCGTTAACCGAGTTTCACCCCATTCGTAAGGAACACGATCAGCAGTTGTTGTCAATGGCATCAGCGAAGAGAGCATAGTTGTCGGCATTGTTGACGGCCTGAGTCGAGCTGAGCCTGGTGGCCGCGGCATAGCCGTAGGCGAAGTCCTCTGTGCCGGGAGGGAAGATGCCGGGAGCGTGAGTAAACTCGTGAAGCACTGTTGCGGCCTGGGACTGGTCACCACAGCCGCGACTCGTGGCCGGTAGGGAGTAGAACAGCTCGCAGTTGGCGATGATGTTGCTCGCTGGTTGGGTGTAGGCGATCACTCCTTGTTGGCAGGCGCCGAGAACGTCACCACAAAAGTATTGGGTGTTCCCACTGGTTAGCGAACTAGCCTCCTGCGCAATGGCGCGAAATCGAGAGGCGACGTTGCTGCGAGTGCTGGATGAGGTGGTGCGAAAGTACTCCTGGAACTTGGATGAGGAACCGGAGGATGCTGCAGTCGCGGCGTTGGTGGCAAGACCAACAGTATATTCAATGGCAGCTTCCAGCGCGGCGCCTTCGGAGCCAGAGCATTGGCTGACTTCTGTTCGCTTGTCCAGACTGGCAACAGCGCGACTGTGCTGGGCAATCTCTTCGGCGGTGATCTCGACCTCGAGTTCGTTACTCTCGTACGGGATAACGCCCGCAATCTCGGTCGAGTTTAATTCGGCGTATTCAACGACGTCAGAGGCAGAGATGGTGTACACACCACCTTCAAGGGCGTACAGAGACGCCACATCCACTACGGTCTCCGTCGACTCGCCAGGCGCTAGAGCCCAGAATTTCTCGTCTGGGATGCTGGCTAGGTCATAGTTGAAGACGACGCCGGTGAAAGGCATAACCTCGCCTGTTGGACAAGTCAGCAAGGTCGAATCTCAACCCCTGCCGAGTCATGCTTACCGTCCTTAGTGACCCTCAGCTTGTTGACTGGGCCTTCATCGAGAAGAGTGGCGTATGTGAGGAGGTTCAAGGCCTCGCCGCCAGTGTTGGTGACCTTCATGCCCACGCCTGCGGCGCCAGCATCCGTCAGTTCGACAGCCAGGCCATTTTCTCTCTTGAAGTTGATGGCGTGGGGGTGAGCCGAAACGATCTGAGCAATGGCTGCTACCAGAGCAGCTTTGAGGGTGAAAGAAGGCATGATGAAAAATGTGAACCGAAGCTGATGAAAGAATGAATGACTGTCCGGTTCTGTGCAGCCGGTAAAAGAATGTTTTATTGAATTGGTAAGCTGTTAATTGAGGGCTCTATATGGTGAGGCGGGGATGAAGTCTTTATAGACCTCGAAGTGCGGGCGAGGCAAATAGTGATCTCGACATGCTGCAGACATAATGCACAAAATTGGAGCCTTGGGACCCTATGGGGACGATCACGCACGGCTATGCCCTCGAAACAGAAGGTGACAGTACATTGCAAAGGCGAGGCCGCTACGGATGTCTCCATTGACTTCGGCAGATATGCAATCTGTGGCCAGGAAACGACCGGGAGCGTACGTAGGAGGGGTCTGGAAAAGGAGCCACCGGTCTTGGTAAGATTGCCTGGACCCCGGGGAATCTTGCCCTTTGGTTTCATGGAGTTTCAGATCTCTTGGGTCGCATGTTTAGTTGACAGAGGCTCCAGCCTGACTTGGCATGCCGTTGATTCTGTATATAGTTGGGCCACGGGGGTGATTGCTTGTCGAACTGGGTCGGTGTGACCGACATTGTGATGAAGCACGGCGACTTGGAGCTGCCAACTTCAATCACCGGCACTTGGGCACAGGAGCCAGGGATAATCTCAGACGGCGAGCTTGCAGCATTGCTGAGCCCCTGTAACACCTCCCATTGGACAGGAGGCCATGGTCACGAAACACGCGCCAAGCATACGCGGCTGCCAAGGCCAGCTCCCGCCGAGACGACAACGAGGTGGATCGGCTCAGGCAGCGGTTTTGGGTTCGTCTACCGGTGCGGACATAAAGCTTCTAGTTGGATGCTGGTATTGTCGCTTCTTGCATCCCGCACTATCCTTTCTCAATGTTGAAAGCAAAGTCGTTCGGTATTCTTGCGCTGGCTACAGTTGTTTGCTACGGTCTCTACATCCCTATCCAAAGAACACTCAGCATGTCTGGTCAGGAGACCAAGAACACTCCAGGCACTTCAGACGCCTCCGCCAAACTTGAGCTGCGCGTTCGGCTCGAGTTGCTCACTATCGATAGCGCCGCCGACGCGGGCGTTCCTAAAGTGCAGCTGCTTGCTCATGTGGAGAATCCGTCGGACGATGCTATCAAAATTCTGCGCTGGAACAGTGTCCTCGACCCTCAAGCCGGCTTGCTCGGTGCCATATCCCTTCGCAACCAGCAGACCGCTGAGAATGTTCAAATTCCCACCATCAAAATCAGCCGACAAACACCTGCTCCAGAGGAAGCATATGTCCGCATCGAGCCTCGATCCGAAATCAACAACCATGTCACACTCGCTTTGACAACGACCAAGCTCGAGGATGGCGTCAAGTACGAGGCTCTCGCGCAAGGCAGGTTCATGGAGATTTACAGGGACGATCAGCGGAGTGATGATCCGGCGAGCATGCCGTATTCGAGCGAGAGCATTAGCTTTGCAGCCTAAAAGCCTAGGGTTTCTTCGAGAAGATAGCTATCAACGGACCAAGAAATCGATTCGGGCAGGTCGCTTAACTTATGACCAAAGTCATCGCCATATCACCACATGAATATACATTGGTATGCTTCAGAACTTAGGCGAAACCAGGCTAACCTGGCCTTGGCCGGGGTATTCCTTGGACGTCTGGTTTTGAATCATGATATGGGATATCCACGGGGAAGTTCTAGGCTCTCATGGAGAGCATAATCGAATGGTCCAGGGGCATGGACAGGGCACAAGACTTTCAGGAGGCGCCCGGGTGGCTAACCTTGTCATCTGTAAGCCAATCATTGGTTCAACTACTGTTCCTTTCGCAGGCTTGATTTCTTGGCAGGCCCCTTCTCATCATACTATACCCCATACTCCTCTACGCCCCCGATGGCTCTCAACACTTCGTGCACGATTCCCGCTCAGACCACAAGCCCGCGCTAATGCACTACCTCCGAGCGAGCATGCTCGGCGATATGTTTTGCTACTCCGATAGGACTGTCAGCAACTCAGACATGATCCCGCAATCATATCGGCCGTCGATCGTGGATCGATGGCTTCGGCTGATCGACAGCAGCCGGCGCGCGCTCCAGCCCCAAATTACCTCCAATACGCCGACACAGCACATATCATGAGCACTTCGCAAGCAACAGTGGTCTTGGCTCTGCCACTTATCTACGTAGCACAATTTCCCGGAACTGGCCGATGTGACCACGCCTGGAGCTCACCTCAATTGCTCTCTATCTTGTGAGCCATGGTTTGGCCCCGTGATGAGGAAACTCGTACTGTCCTCCTCCAATAGCCCTCGAAGTGAGATACTGGCTGCTACCCAAGCCGACTGGTGTTATCTGCGACTGTCGATCGTGAAAAAACCATCACCTGCGTGTTCACGCAGCAAGGATAGGACTCCGAGAGCAACCCCAGCACTGCTGACCGCATCTCTTCTCGTTCGACAGAAGCACGGCGCGTATACAGACTAGGCTGAGACAGCCTAGCTGACAATGGCTCTGAAGAGCGACCTCGATCGATCAAGTCCGAAGAAATTCGCCGCAAGCGACTCTGCTGTGTCTTTTGTCTACGCCAGATCGTCCTTACTGCTCTTTCGATCTTGTCATCTCAGCTCTCCACGTACTTCTGTCTTCTGCTTCATTCTACATTGTTAACATCTAGACGCTGGTGTCAGTCCGTTGCCCATCAGGATGCCGATATCGTTTCGAACCAGACGTGCCGGCCTCCTCAACGAACAGGCTGTAAGCAGCAACTGTGGCGTTGACTGTTTTGCTTACAGGCTTGTTTATTTCTGTCTCCAAGTGAGAGGCATATTGCGCCAATTGAAAATGATGTCTGACCTGCAAGCGTCACCATCTCTCGGACCTATACGACCACGACAGGACCAACAGGTGCTCGAAACGACTCCGAACTTGACAACAAGAGCAACGGAGGAGAAATCCAGACTTCTGTTAGGCATCCATCTGAACCACGTGCCATGAGTCTCAAGGGGTGAGAGGGCTGAATACCAGTTCAAGGCCACACGTCAACGGCTACACTGACAATGTGCTCCACTCATTCACTGCCTGTATTTCTTGGCATTCGATGGCCGCCATTATTTGCCCTGACCTCTGCCCTCCATGTGCCTAGCATCATGGCCCCCGTGCTGTCTCAGGAAGACAAGGCAGCGCCCAGCGGTGTTGATGTACGCCACTTTTCCACAGTTGACGAAACCCCGATTTGTGTGTGCTAACCCACAAAGACCACCTTCTGAGTCTGAAACACGTCTGACTCTAGAACGTCGGCTGCCTTTGTTCGCTTCCACCACAGGCGACCGTCTCAGAACTCATTACTATATCATCCATTGATGCATGCAGCCGTCTCCCACAGCCAATTTGAGCACTGGGTTACACAAGGTCGCACTCGTCTCTCATTATGATGTTCCCGAGCAAGTACTAGTATATATCCAGTCAAAAGCGCAGTTACCAAGCAAGCATATCAGTCACGGCTACCTTCACCAACAACAAGATCGAAACTCAGCGTCACCGCTACAGTCCCTCCGCCTCGAAAGAGAAGTGAAAACGTGAACCGATCTCGAACCTCAACAATCCAATATCAACAATGTACTACTACATCCGTTTCGTACCTCGACTCCCCCTTCGACCCTGCTCATCCCCAACATGCACTTTCCCGGCCAGAGTCCACAACCTCACCCACCGCTTGCACCGCCTCTATACTCTCGCACCATCTCAAAGCGTGGTTGAAGCGCAAAGGGAGGCCTGGCTGGAACTCATCGTCCTCTACTATCGACACCAAACGGGATGCGACCGGGACCCATCGCGGTATCTACTTCCAGACATGCACCACGACAGAGACGACCACGGAGGAGGACCTGGTGGGCTGGCAGGTTCCCTAGTCACAATCTACTAGGCGTATTTGACCCGCCGGCCCTGGGGTGTGATTCGAAAATAGACGAGGCAGCTTGCCACGGAACGCTGCCGCAGAAGAGAAGGGTATGAAACTTGACTTAATGGACGATTAGTAGCGTCTGCCATGCATCTTTTACCCCAGGATGCATAAATCCTATGATGTTTGCCTATCAACAAAACACCTCCTCTTCGTGCTGTGCCGTGACGGGGTCGGGTTTACTCTCGCAGACTGGCGAGCGTCTACGAATACGCTTCAGGCCAATCACTCCGTTCCGCAGCTTCGAATGCCCTCTCGGGCAAGACATACGTGCGGCTAGATGCACATTACTCGGATTGATCAGCAAAGGCTCGGCCTTCGCAAGCTCGATATCTCTCTCTCTCGCCCTTTCGCTTTTGCACTCGCCTGGTCGGTCTTACCCTATCATCGTAGCTCATAAAAAGGCCCCATACAGTTGCGAGGCGACAAAGGCAAAGGCGTGCGGCAAGGCTGTGTCAAGAGGGGGGGGGGTTTCACGCTTCGTTTAGGCCCTAGGCCTGACCTGAGCAGGTGTACACTGTTGCTTTGCCTCACGATGCGCGAGATGTCCCCATGACTGCGTGGACTCGGTTGGTCGGTCAACTATAGCTAAGATGGTACTTATAGCAGCACGGGGACGTTGTAATTCGCCATTGACAGGCAGTGACGGAGTGCTAGTCAGAGACTAGAATTGTCCCTGAGCCGAAGAGGGAAGAGTTACGACAGAGTACGGAAGAAGTAATCCGCACTTGTCTTCAGGAGGCCGGACTCGCAATGTCGTTTCATTGTGTCTATCTAGGTAGTCTGGTGATGATTCGTAGCTTCTGTAATCCCCGTAATCACAGTTTCGCATCTCCATCACCAGCTGTTTCTCATTTCTTGCATCAAGTGGCTCGAGCTTCTACCATTCAGAGGCTCAACTTGATGGTTTCTGCCCTTCTTGCGGAATCCATCGTGCTAGCAAGCACTCCGCATGTGACGTGAGGCTTCCTGTCCCCCACACTCATCTTCTCCGTCCTGAACATTATCCCTACCACTGGTCTCAACGGTATCCCTCCACGCATCACGTGTCCGGTCATCATATTTCAACGAGTCTTTGTCGACTTTCGATGGTCATCAATCATCTCCCACACCTGACCCCTCAGGGTCTTGATCTCGTTGTCCTTAGCCCTTGCGATTCTCAACAGCTCTCGTTGCATGGCAGCGCTGGGTCCACCGTTGTCCGTCACGCGTTCTCCTGCGAGTCGAAGCATCATGACTTTCGCATTATGTAGCAGAGCCATCAAGCGCATGGTAGGTGCAACAGTCTCATCACCCTTGTACAAGTAATCGTCCGGCAAGATCTCCTCAAGAGCTTTGGCCTGCTTGAGCAGTTCCTCAGTGTAGCGCATCGACGGCTTGACCGTTTTGTCTTTAGCTGAGTTGCTAGGTTCGGTAACAGCAGGTTGGGGGTCTGCTGCCGCGGCTGATGCTGCAATCTCCGCGAGAGCTTTGTCGAGCCGCTGCTTGGATTCGGCAATCACGTCACGGACAGAAGGGAATTCCCAGAGGCTCGGCACGGGGTTGCGGCTCGTGACAGAGGAAGGAGGTATGCCGGTAGAATCCTGGCGCTTGCGCTTGAGGGGATTGGGTGCGGGCTTTGGCTGTTCTGGTTCCTCCTCATCGTCAGAGTCGTTACCACTGTCGTCGTTGACGTCCGAAGCAGCGCTGCTCTCGGTATCGGCATCGTTCTCGTGGTCCGAAGAAGCTTCACTTCCATTCTCAGAAGGAGGCGTTGGTTCGTCAACCTCAGCTGGCGAGCTAGCTCGCGAGCTGCTCAACGACGAGGAGCTGGATTTGGCCACTTCTGAAGCGTCAGACTCATTCCCACTCTCTGTCTCCTGTGGATCTTTTCGCAGTTGCACTGCTTGCTTCTTGCGCTTATCCTTATCCTCCGCAGACCCAGCCCCGCTACTCTTATTCAGCTCGGTAGAGTCGGCTTCTGACATCTCGCCCTCTGCATCGGCATCGGACTGAGAGGTTGCACTACCGCTCTCGTCGTCGCTAGAGCTAACTCTTTCCATCGATTTGAAATCAGCGGAGGTCTTGCCAGATCGCTGTTTCAGTAGCCCCTTGAATGTCTTCGGGGTGGGTTCTTCTTCGTCGGAACTAGAAGCATTGTTCTCGGCTTCAGCTGGTATTTCGGTAGCCGCAGGCACAACTGCAGCTTTCTCATCGCTCTCGGAATTAGGATGAAAGGTCCATCCGGCTCGCGCATCTTGCTTCTTACCCGTGATAATCTTCTCCGCTGCCTCACCTGGTCCATGGGAAGCTTCGCTAATTGCGTTGTGGTGGTGCTTGTTGCCCTTTTCTTCCAATCGAGAATTCTTCTTGGCGGCACCGACCTCATGGGAGCGTTTCTTGTCCTTCTTGCTCTTCTTCGAGCTCTCACGAGCTTCGAGTCCAACATTCTCTTCCACATCTGCATGGACAACCTTGGCTTTCTGCCGATCTGGGTTCTTGGTAGGGGTGGCTGGGACCTCGATCGCAGTAGCGTTGACCATTTCCGCGTCGCCGTCATCGTCTTGCGGAACCTGTTTGGACTTCTTCTTTTTCTTGCCATAGCGTTCAAGGGATTTTGGAGGATATCTAGTGACAGAGTTGCTAGATGACGCTTTTTGCGACTTTGTTGTCGATGATTCGCCCTTTGCAATTCCGGACTTCAGATCAGAGCCAAGAAAACCCCGACTGTTTCTGTCTTGGGATGACTGCGACCCTGCGCTGGGAGTGACGGCATGTTCTTTCGCTTCTGTCGACATTGATACTGATTGCGTACTGCCCTCGGATTTCGTCTTCATCTCAAGCTCTTTCTCCTTCGAAACGTCCTTGAGCTTTGAATTGAGTTTCTTGTAGACAGTGTCCAAGTCGGGAACTACGGTCGCTGTGAAACGCTGACGAGAAGATGTTTCGGAGGCTTTGCGCTGCTTTGCTCGCTGCTGAGCAAGAAAGCTGGGAGAATCTCGGAAATCGCGAGGCTCCTCGATGCGGAACGGAGATTTCAACGCGGTTTGGTTCGAGATCTTACGAGACGGGGTTGATAAGGCGGCACTTGCATTGCTCTGAGTCTTGGCTGGTGAGCTTGACGGAGGAAGAGAGTGAGCCTTGGAGGCGACAGCCGCATCAAGCTTGTGTCTGCGCTTATTCTTACCCATCTCTGTTGCCAACGTGGTGAAGAGAATTGTCGACGGCAAGGCAGGAGAGCGACTTAGTCAAAGGGTGCAAGAGTTGAGGAAGGGGAAGTCGAAATGTCAACAAGATGAAGCCAAACGGAACTTGCGGGGGATAATGTTCACTTGCCTGGCAACGAACACTCGAAACTCGATGACACAACATGAAGTGAATTTCAATTTTTTTTGGAATTGATGCCTGTTCATATGGTTGACGTCGCTGAATGGTGCCATGTGATGCTGATATGGCCTTGCCCATCTCATTATTCCACATAAAGCTCATCCGGGCGCCACCTTTTCGATCCTATCCCAGTTGTTCCATATTTCGGTTTTCATGTCCTTTAGCCGTCTGTGCATTTCCCAGAGATTGTCCATATCCTTGTCGTCCCGATCTTTATCAGGTATACGTGCGACTTTGTCATGTAGATTTTTGTATTTCTTGTAATAGAGCTGGAATCGCTTAGCCTTGTCAAGTACCTCGTCTCGGGCATGAGCAGGTTTCTCCGGTGATGAAGAGCGTTCGGACTCTGAGATCTTCCTGGAGAGAGCAGGTCGTTCGAGTGGCTTTGTCGTACCGTTGATGGATTTGCTGTGAGCTCCGTTGAGTTGTGGGCGTTTAGCTGGAGGGATATCATCACTTTCCTCTTGCTTCCGCTTGATTGAGCTTCTATTCTGTGAATGGTCCCTCGCCGTATCTCTCACAATGGGAGAGTACTTCTGTTTTTGTTTGGGCACGGGCATTTCGTTTCCGGACGGAGGTGATGAAGGCGCAGAAGATTGGCTGGTACCTTTTGTAGTTGTTGAGCTCGAGTCGAAGTCGTTCGAGTTAGCTGGAGGAGATGATCCAAGTGGGGAAGGTTTCTGTGGAGAACTTCCGTGACGAGCCCGTGGTGACTTCTTGGAGCTGTTGGCTGGATTGTCCTCACGAGATGGGGGCTTCAATGATGGCTTCGATCGTGAGAAATCGCTGTTGTCGCTGGCTGAGGATGAGCTGGATATGCTGGGTTTGTGCAAAGGTTGCTTCTGGTCCGGAGGCTGGACTCGGTCCCGAGGCTTGGTGATAAGTGGTGGTTGATCCTTCTCTTTCCTCTTGAGTGGTCGCTTGGTGGCTACCTCAATAGTTGAGAGTTCTTCATCCGAGTCCTCAATACGTTCCGCAGACTTGAATTTACCATCATTGATAGACTGACCCTTGATTGGCACCTCTTTTCTCTTTGCTGGTCCAGGGCTAGGTCCTCGGGATTTCGCGGCAGGCTCTCTGATGCTCTTCTTGTCACCTAGTTTCTGTTGGGACGCGGGTTTCTTGAGCGGCGACCTGTTTGCCTCAGTATCGGAAGCGTTGCCCTTGCTATTGACGGATGCTGGCTTTGGCGCCGGTGCTGGCTTGTCGAAATTGAGACGTGACAATGTCTTGCCTTTGCCTCTATCCTCTGGCTTCAGCAAAATCTGCCATAGGTTGTCGGTCTTCTCGATGCGCATCCTGTCAAAGGCTTGAATAGCACGCTCGATCGCAGCCTGGCGGTCCTCCTGATTGGGGTAGCGAAACTTCCACACATCTAAATCACGATAACTCCTATCCTTGAGCTCCTTCTTTCCCGGTGCAGATGGGGCGTCACGTGTGATTTTGTCCAATGCTCGCTCACACTCGTCCCTCGGAGCATGTATCTTCTCCACGATGGACTGCACGTTCATAGGCCGAACGGCAAGGAGATGGATGACGGCTACCTTCATTGCCTCGAAGCGTATCTTGTCCTTCAGATTGCTGCCGCCACCCAGTAGCGGATTTGAAGTTGGACCAGCTGCTGGGGAAAAGGCGGATCCTAGAAAAGGGCTTGAGGGTCGCGAAGAGCCAGCACTCAGTAAGTCTCGTCGCGACTGCATTGGTTTGAGTACGCCGCTCTTACCAGCCTTGGTCGTTCCAACCATGGTCGTGCCGTTGTTCATCTGCTCTTCCTTCATTGAAGTCAACGTGCTCTGCAGGTTTGCCAATGCAGCGTCCGCTCTCGCGGCAACTTCTCGAGCCTTCTGCATTTCGAGATGCAGGCTCAGTCTGCCTGAGAACTGCAGACCGCCATCGTTATTTGTCGACCGTGTGTATATCTCTGCAGGGAATACTTCCGAGGTTGCATCGAGTGGCAGCTTCTCTCCTCCATAATGAATAGCAGCCTGCTTCCCAGTCTGCAGCACGACTTTCTGTCCCTTTTCAAGCTGTTGTATTATGTCTCTGGTTTTGGATTGCAGCAGGTCAAGGCGTATGATCTGTGGGGATGTGTCGCCATCCTTCTTGTGTTGGTCTGCATGTGACAGAGTGAGCCCCAAGGGAGGCATGTTTCGTAGAGGCATTTTGCCGTTCCAGCAGCCCAGAAGCTAGCTGAGGAGACAGTCAGAATTGCTGTCGAGGCTGTGCATTTCCGAACCGATGGAGAGGTGGACGGGGAAAGAGGTCGGAACGGCAGTGGGAGGGCGGGAGTGCTAGAGGCGGAGTAGGATGAAGCAGTCGCCCAGCTGCACAAACAAAGAGAGACTACAAACACCACTTCCCCATATAGCCAGTGAATAAAGAACGAAGTGACGCACAAGAAGGAGCCTCAAGAGGAGAAAGCGGCAGCAGGGCGAACAATCGATGTGAAGGCAATGCTGACGATTGGAAAGGCAGCTTGGGAGGCAACGGATGGGAAGCGATCTTCACAGCACGCGGTTGGTGGCACAGGAACTGGGGGCGAGCGTTCAAACTGGAAGTGGTGCCCATCGCTAGCCTGGAGTGGAGGAGCTGTGGGTGACGACAAGCCCTCGTTGGTCACTTTTGGGCGAAGGGTGCTGCCGGACGTTTCTTTGTGGGCATGGTGGACTCGGAACCATCGCCCAAGCCTTATTTTGAGGGCGAGGACCCCAACTAGCATCCTCACTCGCGGGTATTTGGAGCCAAAGCAGGGATGTGGGAAGGACTCGCGGAATGCTATTCACTTATCCATGCCTCTCACGGCCTAGCCTGCCGCTTTCCGGCGTTGGAGTGCTTGTGTCAGCACTCATGCTGGCCAGGAATGATGGCAATATCGAGTGCTCTGAGGTTGAATGAGACGTCTCAACGGCAACCGGCAAGGGATCGCGATTTCTTTCAGGGGTTCTATATAGCTCTGCCATCAAACCCATCGACCAATGCTGCATTCTGAGTACGAGGAAGCGGAGCGTAACGTCCGTGGAATTACTTGCAAGTAAGGATCAGGGCCTAGAATCGGAACGTAGCCGAAATGTTAGGTGCATGCCCAGAGTCATGAGGGTAACACAGCCCGCCGCAAGTTCGACACTGCGTGTGCGCACGTATAGCCTGTACTTGCGCAGAAAGAGGCTGATGGCCAACATTTGGCACTGGGCTAAACCTGTTCTGCACTGCTTGTCCAGACCGGACACGCCGGCTGGACTCATTATTGACATTGTTTCTGCTGAGGGCGGGGGCCGAGTCTAGAGCTGAGAGAAGGATCTGACTCTGCACGTCGACCCGAGGGATCGTTCTGCCGAACGAAGCCCCTCGAGCAACGGGCACTCCCCTCGTGCCGTTTCTCGCCGTGCTGTGCCTGGATTAGTCAAATCCAGGCGTTGTGATTCTCGTGAGACCCGTCGTAAGCACTGCGGTACTTTTCAGCCCTAACGCTGCAAGGCAGAGCCATCTTGGGTGCGGGACTGCAGAATCGGGAAAAAGCGAATGGCCTGCAATAACTCAGGTTTCAAAGACGGTCCTGCCCACTTGGCCCTGGATTTTGCTATGAAACAGATCGATCAGCAGGATCAAACGCGAAGGTCGACTGACAGATTTGGCATAATGGATGGGTCATGCTGCCCGCCACCCCGCTCGGCGAGGGGAGCCCGGACATAAGAACCTCTATATCCTAGATATTATCCCACGTCACTGCACATGTCGCAAGGCTGCGCCAGGCATGGTGATACCGCCAAAAGTCGACAACGCGCAGCAGAGAAACTGTAGATCAGAAGACGCTGTAGGTTGAGCTCCAGGGACAATGGCATTAGGTGAGTTTGCCAACAGCTGATTTGCACACCTATATTTTGATGAGCACGTGCTGACATTGAATTCGCCAGACGAAAACACTCTTGAAGAAGTCGCTCGTGATGGCGAGATGGATTAGTACGGAACTTGCGCGATAGCTGCCAGCATCACTAAACTGTGAACAGTTCAAAATGGCCGACCATAATAGAACCTCTGCTCGAAAAGCTGAACCATGTACGTTGGCCGCGCCCGCGCTCCTGCCCCAATTGTGCTGACTATGAAGAAGATTGTCTATAATGAATTCCCTATACCACGGCCCTACACAAACGTCAACAGGACTTCTTCACCGACCCAACCAAGAACAGATGCAGGCGACCTGGGTCAGAACGCTACACCTCAAGCGCCGTCGACGCCCGCGCGCACCCTCCCTCCAGTTCCCCTCTTCCCCAATTCTTCCGCAACCAGCGCGTCACACATTCCGGACTCCCTACCCGCCTCTCAAGATCCTAACGCACCTTCGAACGGTCTTGAAGACCTCCCATTGTCCCTTATACAATTACTCAACGGCATACTCGCGACGCTGCGCGCCTCCTTCTCCGAACGCCCACCACACACAATTCAGCGCCTTGCCGAACTGATACTAAGTCCAACCAAATACTACAAGACGCTGCCCGCATGGCTCCGCGCTGTGGACCGTGTCGTCAACGTCTCCTCTTCAGCAGACATTTTCCCACTATCTGAGCAGACCCCGTTGGTTAATGGTGTCAACGGCGAAACACTAGCTCCCAGCGGTGGCATACTCTTTCCCACGGATGCCAGCACTGCTACTCGCAACGGCTACGACAGTGCTAGCCTCGGTAGCGATGAATCGCTTGGTGGCGCGCTGTTGACCCCCATCCCTTGGCTGCGTAACGGGCTGAGCGGCGGGCACGATCAAGCCGAGCACGGCGGTGAGAGCGAAGAGTCCTCTGGTGGCACCACAGCCAGCGCGACTGGCAGCAGCGGTGATGCACAATCTGACAGCCCTGCAGCCCCGGAAGATGAGGATGATAACCTCGGCGAGCCTATTGCCCACAATACTGAACTCGTATCCTCAACCACTGCGGACAACAGTACGCTAGCAGCGATTACACCAATCCACGATCCACTCGTGCCCGAGAGACCCGAAGGCGCAGTCACTCAAGGCGAATTGATGCGTATGGAGCAGGAGGCCGGTGTGGTGCCCATCTCGGCCGGTAATGGAGCGCCGCCACCAATGCCAGTAAGCAATGGAGGGGAGGACATGGATGCGGAGGATGCAGTTGATGGCCCACCACACGCAAGAGGGCCGGATGTCGTTGGTGCTGTGGACATGGGGAAGGTGGAGGGAAAGAATGTGGAGGTCAGAATTGGGAGTCCGCCCCCGCAGCACACCCAACAGGAAGCAGAAAAAGGCAAGGTGGGGGAAAGGGTGAGCGAGGACGGCGATGGGGATGGAGATTATGAGATGGTGGACAAGGAGACCGGAGATGCAATGGAGGTGGACGACAAGACGGGCGAAGTCAAGGCCACGATTGTCACCGACAAAGATGAGGATATGGTGCTCATCGACACGGAAGGCAGGATGGATGATGAGGCAGCAGCTGCTGGGGGAAAAGAGACGGAGCGGTAGACGCAAATCACAGACGCACACGCCGACGAAATCCCGATAGACATTGACATCGCTACCTCGTTGCCTAGGTAATGTACGACACCTTCAGCTTTCTCACATTCATGTACAAAAGAACGAAAGATACGTGTTCGAGCCGGTTGGTTTGATTGCTCGCTCCTCTCTGGATGTGTAGAATACCAGATAGCGCGTGTCGCGACAAGAACTATCTAACAAATGTTTCGTGATCGTTATCCATCGTGGCCATGTCGTATACGTGGTCATGATCGTGCAATACTCCGTATATGCCGGCCTCTGCCCGAGCGAGAGCGCCTGATGCGCCGTCTTCCCAGCTCCATCCAAATGCTCGCCCACAGGGTATCTCGTGCTTGCGACGTGTGCCTGCTCATGTCGATGAGGCCCGGTCCTGCTTTTCTCGTCGAGGGAAATTGTGCCTTTTCATCCCTTGCTGGACTATTTGTTTGCCCTCGGTTCCGGTCCGGCGCGACGAGTCGAAACTGGGCTGCGCAGATCGTTAATTTTGCTGTCCTTCGGAGAGTCAAAATTGGCTGCGGCACTCTCGACGTCGTGCGCTGCATGTCGCTGCTGGCATCTCGGCTTCTGCTTCTGCTTCGGATCCACGTCTCGAAGTGATAGACTGAATGGCTTCCAGCCCTGCAGATGTCTCACACACTATCCGTATTCCCTTGCTGGTGCGGGCCTGATCCACTAGCCTCCGCTCCTGCGTTCACAGTCGTCCCAGCGGTAGTGGTATCGGCACTGTTCCCACCACCAGAATGAGCAGTTCCGCCCCCACCGCTGCCACTGCCCTGCGTCTCACCGCCACTTGGGCCGCCGCGCTTCTTCTCCTTCTTCGCCCATCTAAGCCCACAAGCGTTGCAGAGCGTTTTAGGCCCGCTAGGCCCTCGTCGCCATTCCGGGCTATCCAGCGTGCCGCAATCCGTACACACATACTCATCTGCTGACTTCACTTTTTTGGGCTTCTTGTCGGGATAAATACTACCACCGTAGCGTGGATCTGTCTTGTCGGCTGGGATGTCGATGCCAGCATCGCCCCGGATTAGCGCCGGCGAGGTTCCACCAGTGGAAATACCGTGTGCGCGCTCTCCTTCACGGTAGCGCAAGCCGGTGAACATTTCGATGGAATCGACATGTGAGGAGCCTTCGTAGCGGGCCATCTTGTCGGTGATGCTATCGGGTCGGGCGAAGGAGTTTGCTTCATCGAGAGCCTCGCGCGTGAGTGCGATATTCGAGACGGTAGGTTTCGCAGGGGGTGGCATGGATTGCGCATCGGCGGGAACGCCGGCCGAGGTCTGGGAAGGGGAATTGGCAGTGATCTCAGTAGAGTCAGTTGTGTTGGCTTTCTTGTGATAGTGCTTTACTTGGTTGTCGGCTTCTTCGTCTTCTTCGCTTTTGAGGGCGGCAATGCGTGCTTGGAGGCGGACGTTTTCGATTTTATGCTCAATGAAAGAGTCAAGAAGTTGAGAGTTGCCAGTTGGATAGGGGCGGGCCATCATAAAGAAACCGCGGCAGAAACCTGGAGCATTGACAGGGCCGCCAGTCATCTCGAGATGGGACACATCACTGGTGAGGTGTGGGTGACCATGGCACTCGAAGATAGTATACTTATTTTCGGCGGTACGAAACCTGTAGTAAAAGCGCAGTGGGTTACCGGTCGCGATGCTTTCGTTGAACTCCCGGATGAACAAGGCCGCATCGTCGGGGTGAATGTAATCCGATATGAATTTCCCGTCGAGGTCGGCAGCTTCATAACCAGTAAGGGCTTTCGTTGAGGGCGACACGTATAAAAGACGCCCATCTGAGGTCAAAATATACAACATATCCTTGAGTTCCTCGAGGACTCGCTGGGACCAATTTCGCCGTTTCGTGAACTCTGTCAGCGTGCTACTTCCAGAGTGAGGCACCTGAACACCGAAGCCAGCGGGCAAGGGGCCTCCTCCCACCGCGTTCGGGTCCAATTCCGAAGTGTTGGGGCGGACGCCATTCTCAGCGACAGACATGGTAGCGTCCATGGGGTCGAATGCGGAAGCAGAATAAGAGCCCATGTTCATCTGTACATCTTCGGAAAAGGCGTGAAAATTATTCATGTCGATATTGCTGAGCATGATAGGGTCTAGCATAGTCGAATCATATCCTGGATCCATCAGCGATGGATCGGGCTCGTATGTGCCCATAAACTGAAAGGGCCTAGTGGGCCAGAAACGAGGCTTGAAGGCTGGGCCGGTGTAGGCTCAGGTTCTCAGTGGTACAGGGATCCACGTTTTGAGCAGTAGCGTCAAAATGGCAAAGGCTGGGAAGCAAGGCCTGCAAGGTGAGGGCACGGCGGCCTTTCGCTTCGAGGAATGGAGTCGGGTTTGGTGGCTTGAGATGAGTGGGAAAGGACACGACAAAGCTCACTCTGTGCCCGCTCTGAGACGAGGGATCGAGATCCCAAAACGCCAAGACTTGGTAGCTCGGACTTACATCACGTGATGGCGGTTAATGGGGGGCAGCGACACGACACGCGACCGTTCTTTCCGCGGACGCGTCGTTGCCTGATTGACCCCACTTTTGCCTGAACGTTTGCTGATCTTCTTGCCTGATCAGTATCACTTGGGCCATCACGAGGCCCGTGAAAAATACCGTCTGACACAGAACTTCGCTGCTTGCGAGCCAGAGCTCCCTTCTTTGCAGCTCTCTGCCGGCTCTAGCATGGACGACGCCGCAGCTTGATCACCCCCAACAAACACCACCATGTCTCATCTAGACCGACTCGGAATCCAGGGCATTCGCTCCTTTGATTCACGCGGCGCCAGAGAGACCATAGTCTTCTATTCGCCCCTGACTCTCGTTGTTGGCGTCAACGGCTCCGGCAAAACAACCATCATCGAGTCATTAAAATATGCCTTTACAGGAATCTTGCCACCAGGTGCCAAGGTCGGCGGAGCCTTCATCCACGATCCAAAGTTGAACGGCGATAACGATTCCAATGCTCAAATCAAAGTAGGCTTTACCGATACAAAGGGAATCCCTCTGGTCGCTACTCGAAACCTCCAACTCACCATAAAGAAAACCGCACGATCGATGAAAACCCTCGAGTGTTCGCTCTCCATCAAACGACATGGCGAACGCTCTGCTATCTCGGCGCGTGTGGCTGAGCTTGATCAAATCATGCCTCAATACCTGGGTGCCTCGACTGCTGTGCTGGAGAACGTTATCTTCTGTCATCAGGAGGATAGCTTGTGGCCACTGAGCGACTCTGCTAGCCTCAAGCGAAAGTTCGATGAGATATTCGAGGCCGAAAAATACACCAAGGCTATCAAGAACATCGCCGACATCCGCAAGTCGCAGAAGATCGAGCTGGATAAGATGAAGATTATCGAGGCCCAAGCCAAGCAAGACAAAGATCGAGCTTCCCAGGCTAAGAAGAAGTCACTTCAGCTCCAAGATGAAATTGAAAAGATGCGATCCGAGGTTGAGGATCTAGGGGAACGCATGATCAAAGCTCAGGAACGTGCTCATAATGCGCATCAAGAATCGGAAGGCTTTGCTCGCATCCTCGGTCAGCTAGAAGGCAAACGTATCGAAGCTGCTAGCAGACGAGAGAACGTCGAGAGCCTTCGTTCCACTCTCAAGGAGATGTCGGAATCTGACGAATGGATTGAGTCTACGCTCGAGCAATTTGATGAGAATCAGCAGGAGTTGGAGGGTCTCATTGTCAGCAAGAAGGAGCAGTACATGTCTTACGTTGATGAAATCGAAAAGCGCCGCAGTCTGCTGGATGTCAAACTAGCCGAGCGGGGCAAGTTCCAGCAGGACAAGGAAGAGTACAACCGCCAACTAGCTCGCCGAAAGGCCACGATTCGCGATGTGGCGTCTAAGCATAACATTCGTGGCTACGATGATTTGTCAGACGACCAAGATGTTGAGGACTTCCTGTACAAGATTCGCAAGCAGCACAAGGAACGACAGTCTGCCCTTGACCGGGCAAAACGGGACCATAACGCAGAAAAGGAGCAAGCTCGTAGTCAGATCAACAAGTTGACGACTCAGCGAGAGGCTCTGCAGCACAACAAGATCTCCGCGAACCGTCAGATTGCGCTCAACAATCGCGAAGCTGGCGAATACCAAAAGAAAGCTGACAACGTTCGGGTTGATGAGGGTACGAAGGCTACCATCGAAACGCGCATCGATGAGCTGAAGGAGAAAATCGACAATGCTCAGAAGGTAGCCAGAACATCCGCATGGCCCGAGAAACTCAAGGAATCCAACTCCTCTTTGAGTTCTCTGGAAGCCGATGGCAGTCGTCTCAGCAATGAGTTAGTGCGGGGCACGAAAAGAGCCGGCGAGACTGCGAGACTCGCCCTTGTCAAGCAGGAGATGAAAGAACGCCAACGCAGCTTGCAGACGCTCGTCGATGCGCACAGCGAACGTTTAAAATCGATTCTTGGGCACGACTTTCAGCCTAGCACGCTCGAGCGATCCTTCCAGGATGCCATGGACAATGTTAGTCGCGACTTGAACCTTGCTCAGCGGGAGAGAGATGCAACGAAACAAGAGCTGGAACAAGTCGCGTTTAGGGCGAGAGCTGCTCGTACAGATCTCGCGCAACAGAATGCCTTAGTGAAAAGTTGCGAGCAAAAGATCGCCGAAGCTACGGGTGATGAAGCTGCTGAATACGAGCAAACCCTGATGAATGCAGAAACTGCCGCCGAGGATGCGCGAGGTAGTGGTGGAGGCGCCAAACAACTCCAGGAGTACTTTGAAAAGGTCCTGGCGTCTATGGATCATCCCACCAAGCCCGCTTGTCGTACGTGTAACCGAACCTTCAAAGGGCCTGATGACCCGAACCTCAAGAAAACCAAGGAACGCGTAGAAAGCTGGGTCAGACAAGCTATCGAGCAAGAGAAAGGGTCACATCTTGAGGAAGCCGAGGAGTTCCTCAAAGCTGTACAAGGTGTCCGTGCGGCTTATGACAATTGGAAGCAAGCTGGGGATATCACCATACCGGCTTTGAAGAAGCAACTCGAAAATCTGGAATCTGAGAAGGAAACCGTCAACACGACTCTTGAGAAGCGAGATGCGGTCTTCCAAGAGCGCGAAGAGGCAAAGAAGGCTCTGGAAAGCATTGCAAAGACGGTGGCATCCATTGCAAAGTACGACTTTGAGGTCAAGGATTTCAGCAAACAAGCTGACGAGCTGTCCGTCAAGCAGTCTCAACAATCGGGAGGTCGCACCCTTGATGATATCGAGGAAGAGATCTCATCTGTTGGCGAGCAGATCCGAAAGACTAAAATTGAGATTACTCGGCTTACCGGTGAACAAGAGCAGTCGCGGTCGAACTTGACGGAGATGAGTAACGACTTACACCACCTACAGAGTGAGCTGAAGTCCACGGGCTTCGAACTCGAGAAGAAGGCTTCCTTGCTTGCTCGCGTTGATGAATACAAGTCACAAAATCAGAAGCAGCGAGAAACGGTCGAGAAAGCTGACAGCGATATCCAGGGGCTCGACCCTGAGATTGAAACGGCCAAAACGAAACTAGACGACATCTCGGAGCGAGCTGATGCCAATGAGCGAGAGCTTAGTCGAGAAGCATCCGAGTTGACGTCAAGTGTGCAATCTCTTGACCTGCTCAACGATCAGATCTCGGCATACCTCAAGCGTGGAGGTGACAACCAGCTCGCCAATGTTGATCGCGAGATCCAGATGTTCGAGGGCGAGATCAAGAGCCTGACGACGGCGCAGGGCAAATTGTCGGCTGAAGTGAACAAGCTCAACGATCAGAAGAAAGATGGTGAAAGCACTCGGCGACAATATGCCGACAACCTCCGGTATCGACATGACAACCGAGCGCTGGAACAGCTGAGGAAAGAGATTGAGGAGCTTGAGTCGCACAATGCCGACATCGATCGAGCACGACTTATGGCGGAAGCAGAGAAATTCACACGCGAGCACAATGTGTTGAGTGCCAAACAATCCAACTTGATGGGATCCATGCATGCTCAGGATCAACAACTGGGCGATATCCTTCAGCAATTCAAGGTTGACTTCAAAGATGCGCCCCGACGGTACACGGATGCACATATCAAGGTGGAGACGACCAAAGCTGCAGTGGAGGACCTTGCCCGCTATGGCGGTGCACTAGACAAGGCCATCATGAAGTTCCACAGCTTGAAGATGAGTGAAATCAACAACATAATCAGTGACCTCTGGCAAGCGGTGTACCAGGGGACGGACATCGACACGATTGAGATTCGAGCGGACGGGGATGCATCAACGGGAAAGAAGTCGCACAATTACCGAGTGATGATGGTCAAGAATGGGACCGAGATGGACATGCGTGGACGATGCAGTGCTGGGCAGAAAGTACTAGCCAGCATCATCATTCGACTTGCACTAGCCGAGTGTTTCAGCACCAACTGCGGTGTCTTCGCGTTGGACGAGCCGACGACCAACCTCGACCAGCCTAACATCGAGGCTCTTGCCAAAGCGTTGCACGGTATCATCAAGGCACGAGAGGGACAGTCGAATTTCCAACTGATCGTCATCACCCACGACGAGGAGTTCTTGAGACACATGCAGTGTGGAGATTTCGCGGATTATTATTACCGCGTGTCTCGCAATGACGAGCAGAAATCTATTATTGAGCGACAAAGCATTGCTGCAGTCATGTAATCAGGACTGAATTAGAGTCGCTGGCGGGCTCAAGTATTTGTAGATCATCAAAAGGGGCAGATTGTTACGGTCAGGCAAGCGTGAACGGATTATGGTTGATTTACCGGAGACCTTGCTGATAGACCGGTAACGAGACCACATGGCATATGTAAAACCAGTAGAAGCCGAAGCATGTAGCCATAGAATGTACAACAAGCAAAGCACGTTTCTTGTACTGCAGACCGCTTATTGGTTGCGCGAGCATACAGTATGCATGTACTTTCCTTGCGTGGTGGCCTGGCAGTGGAACTCAAGCAACCTGCTCACGGGCTGGCCGGGGCGGAGAGCTGATCGGTGCCTGGCAGATTACATGTGGAGGATGCCAGTCATCCTGTTGGCTGATGTCTGCACAAAACCAAGATCTCTGCCAGGTACCTAGACACGGACCTTGTCAATTACCCAAGGTGTCCACCGGACGAAATATGGCGTGGAGCAAGGCGAAGTGAATCTGGCACCTGAATGTATCAGCTTGATCCAAGCGACGGCAAGGTCCAGCAAGGTCCAGCAAGCTGTTGTCCCCCTCCTTTCAGCCTAAAGGTCGCCCGAGTTGCTCTGCACTACTCCGCATTTCGCCTCCGCACTGTAACATCGGAAAGATGGTTCTCGTCGCTTGCGTCGATGACGATCAACGACACGCCGGGTGGAAGGGGATGCATATTCACAAGCTGCGGTGCATGTTTTTCGTGACCTGGTGACCTCCGGGGGTACCAAAGTGACATGGGTGGCGGAGGGGTTAGGGTACGTCGCGCGGGCGATCAACCAGGGTTCCGCACCTTAGGGTACCCCGTTTGAGGCTCCTACGCCATTCCGCAGGAGGGCCCGGCGTGCCGTCGAATAGCGAGCCACAGGGTCACCCAAGCTAGCCATCTCAATGCCTGAAATGATTCGGGGCGCCGCCGCGGTAGCACCCTAAGCACCCCTTCTTCTAAAAGCTTAGCTGCAAATCCACTTGCGAAATTCATGTACCGAATCCACTGCTCGGACCATTCCCCGTAATTGTACCAGGCATCAACAGGTTTCAGAGCCAACTCACACCCGATGAATTGATGTCTGCCACGACAAGACCTGGCCAAACGGTCAATGAAGCAAGGTTGTGCGCTGTCCCTGGAGGAGGGCAGTCCAATCGTTTGTGTGGTGCCAAGATAACCAGGTCAGCCGAGGCTCTGGAATAGGCACCCAGGCCGAGCCCTGAAGTTGTTGCCCCGAGAGCTCAATTAGGCAGCTCAGGCGTCGACTTCCACCAACCATCTCGACGACATGGCTCGGCTGGTCGATCACGGTCCTATGTCTTTCTTTCTGATTGTTCCTGCACATGCTCTACTCCACAATATCTCACACCGCGGCTCCATGGTTACGTTATTGCACGCCCCGGTCATGTCCATTCTGTGCAAGCTCCAGAGCTCTGAAGCTCTCCGAGCTGTCTCCATGCTGTCCCTCATTGGAAGACTGTCAATATGCCCTGATCGACACAGCTTGTGACCCTCTCCACGGTCCAAGAGCGGTCACGTTGCCTAAGCACAAGCGCTGTGACCTCGTTGGCTTCCACCCGTTTGCCCAACTTCAAGGTACCTCATGGTCAACCTAGCTGCCGATCTCACAGAACGATCATAGCTTCGCGTCATTCCTACCCCAAGTTTTGGTCCCTTAAGAAGCTTCCTCGCGAGTCCCGTTTGCCCATTCCTGCCCTCTTTTGTTCTCTACCAGGTTCATCGCTCTTGCCGTTTGCATCAGACAGCTCCTCAGGACCGAAACCCTCCTCTGAATTGACTAAGAGGCCAACATGTTGTTTGACAAGGCGTTGGTCGCGTCTTTGCTGGCGGCGACCGTTGCAGCGTACGTATGCTCGTGGTAGAATCGAAGAACACAGCACTGACACATCCCAGCAAGCCGATTCTAAAACGGCAGACAGGTGGTCCCATCAGAGGCGTCAACATTGGTGGCTGGCTGCTATTAGAGCCTTGGATCACACCGTCAATCTTCCAAGCACAGTCCGGTGTTGTCGACGAGTACACACTGACCCAGAACGTCGGAAACGCCGAGTCGATTCTGCAGAGTCACTGGGCATCATGGGCGACGGAAGCCGACTTCCAGAAAATTGCTGGTGCCGGTCTGAACCTGGTTCGGATCCCTGTAGGCTACTGGGCCTTCCAGAAGTATGATGGCGACCCATACATTCAGGGCGCTGCAGAGTATCTAGACCAAGCTATTGGCTGGGCCGCAAATGCTGGCCTCAACGTCTGGGTTGATCTCCACGGTAGGTCTGCCAGAGCTGCTTGATCCAGAGCTAATAGCGCAGGCGCACCACTCTCGCAGAATGGCTTCGATAACTCCGGCCAAAGGACAAACTCTCCTGGCTGGACTGGTGGCGACACCATTTCTTTTACCGCCGACGTGATTGGGCAGGTCGCCGAGCGATACGGCAATTATTCCAACGTCGCTGGCATTGAGCTCCTCAATGAGCCGCTCATGGATGTACTCCCTGGTGGCCGCGATGGTACTGAGCAGTACACCCAGCAGGGCTACGATGCAGTCCGTGGTGCTGGTTACGGCGGCAGTGTTGTCTTCTCGGATGGCTTCGCCGAGTCTAGCTCCTGGAACGGTTTCTTGACTGGCCAGAACACCATCGTTGACCACCACGAATACCAGGTCTTTACCGATGAACTCCTGCAGCTTGACTGGCAAGGACATGTTGACTATGCGTACTCAAATGCTGGGAACTGGGCTGGCGGCGCAGACAAGCCGGTCGTCAATGGCGAGTGGACAGCGGCTATGACCGACTGCGCGCCCGCTCTAGTAAGTGACTTCTCTTACTTTCTGACAGCCTACTAACCTCGGTCAGAACGGCTACGGCATCGGCGCCCGCTACGATGGAACTTTCTCGCGCCCAACATACAACGGCGGTTACGAGAGCTCCGAGTACATCGGCTCCTGTGCCTCTGTTAACTTCATTGACCAGTGGACTCAAGATCTCAAGACGGCAACCACCAACTACATTCGAGCCCAGATTGATGTATCCGAAACCCAGGCCTCGGGCTGGATCTTCTGGAACTTCAAGACCGAGGCTGCGGCCGAGTGGGATTTCTTCAGGCTCCTTGACAACGGTGTCTGGCCCTCATCATGATCTGTTTATTGTCATTTTTCCGATCAGCTCGCAAGCGTGCGATGGCTAATGTGTTGCATAACGACAACAACGTAGGGATGGATACAGCGGTTCGATTCGTCACCTTCGCTTCAACGCTCATCACATGTCTTGGGTACAGCAGATGAGGTTGTGGATATGTGTAAGGTATTCTTTAGTGCGGACGATTATGACCTTCGCCGCCTACGATCGCTGACGACCCGAAAAAGAGAAGAGGTTGATCATACATACCCAACCAGGAGGTGGCTTGCCGCGTACGAGCGCTGAGTTCGCCGGCGTTGCATTGTCATCACAGCATGAAGCACATATGGATGGGAATGAAAGGTGTAGCACGCTGCCACGAGTCAGGCGCGTGATACTTTCGTGCCGATTATAGTGTCACACCGAAGGAGAGGAAGCTGTACAGGCATGCACATACGCAAGAAGATGGCCAATAATGATCGACTCTGTACACAATCGCCGCCGCCGCTCCTGTTCCTCTCCCCTACAATGTGCAAGCCGAGGTGAGACTAGCGTGCCAAGGTCTTTTCTCAGGCAGTGAATTATGCTCCCTCGTGGCACAGGTGCATAAACCTTCATTCTCCCAGATGCTCTCAGGCTTGCCGCGACGGTTCACTTTACCCCCGCAGCCCCCTTCTGCATGGCTACAGTCCTCTTCAAAACCATATATGCCCCTGCGAAGCCTGGGCGCTGCCGAAACTCCGTTAGATCTCCTTGCGTCTCGACCCTCGGCCAGCGCTTCCGGCTATGAAGCTGGAGCATATGCGTCGCTACGAGGGGGGGAATTGGACTTTGGTGATGACTGCGGTCATTTGGGCGTACTGCCAGTGTTCTCGGACAGTTCGTGAATAGATGACAAATACAATACTAGTTCCAGGGGAGGTCAGAGTGGCTTGCTTCGAGGGGTAGCAAGCAGCCTTGTATATTGTCTTGGCGAGGCAACGACTTGTCGTCCAGTAACTAGCACCATGTTGCGATTGATGATGGCATCAATGATCGCTCAGGCAAGTGTCCACTTTGCCACTGTATAAAGTACTAAGGAGAGGTAAGTCACCCGTGCAGAGCGCCCAAAAGGCATTGGACCCGTAGGTGTCGCTCAGCGCCAAAGCTGAGTCTATTCTGATCAGAGTATCATCCGGCGCGTTAACAACTCAGAGCCACGCTGCTGTTGGTGATATCTTAGCCTTCGAGAAAACGTCAGAGAAAGTCTCGCGGAGCGAGCCCTAAAAATGAAGCCCGTCCTGCCGCTGGCGCAACATGCCTCTTCGGCTGGATGTTCCTCCAGATCCTGAGCATTTGTCAGAGGCATATGAAACACAGCACATGGTTCTAGCACATCCTCGAAACATCCAGCAGCCAGCAGCCACCAGTGCGAGCAGTATCCATCCTCCGCTTCGTGGTGGAAAGTCTTGGCGTTTTCCCAGAACTTTGACGGCATATTCGGAGATCCGGCTTTCCCCCCTTCATGCTCATTGATCCCTCAACCTCTTCTTTCTGAAGCAAAAACAAAAACATCGAATAACAACAACAGTGCTATTGGCCAAAAAAGAATCAAAGTCGACCACGATGCGATTCGAACGCACAATCTTTGGTGGGTATGCGTATGCTGATGCTGATGCTATACAGCATAACCGAAAACCAACGCCTTAGCCATTAGGCCACGCGGCCGAAGACCTGAACGTGCGCTTTTTGGGCGCAATTCCGAGGGCAAATTTGGGGGTATTGAAAACATGAAGCCACCAAGGTCTTGACCCGATCTGCCGCCGAGAGACACGAGCTACGGAGCCTCCAAATGGGGCGGCATGGTGGGGTTCCAGTAGCCTACGGCGCGGGCATTTCTTGGGCCCGGTAGGGGGGAGTGGGTACAAGGGCCGCCCGTGGCTCAAAGACAACCGCGACAAACAACCGTTCACATTATGCTCGGGAGTGCTATTATTCATGGTATTGTCAGCCTAGGAGCGTTTTCTCAGACGTAGAGATGCCAAAGCCGTCCGTCAGTCAGCATAGCCTATCCTGAGTTTGTGGGTGGTCAAAAGAGGCTACTAAAGATTTGATGAGTGGCTGATGATCTCAAGCATTTCTACACGGGCTATGTATGTCATTATCGTTGTCGTTACTTCTATCTACTTGGTATCCTGCATGTACATCCCAATCTGCCTGCTTTGTTCATACTCAACCAACGCCGAGCTTGTGACCCTTCTTCGCCAGAGTTAACTAGCATCATTCCGTTCCATCCTTCGCTTTCTTCCCATACACGACCCGGAACTGGACGTAGTGCCTGAAGCTCTTATCCAGCAACTCCTTCTTACACTCGGCGATCAGTCGGTTCACGTCTTCGATTGACCTTCCGAGGCCCGCGGTGAGGGCGCCGGCCGCATAGCTTCCGATGCCTTCCACCATCTGCACCATGTTGTAGCGACCGATCTCCTTCAGACGCTCTTCCTTGGCCCAGGTTCCCAGCGGGACGTGGAACAGGACCTCCTCTACGTTTTCGTAGCCTGCTGCCTGAATCCATTCGCGGTGTTTGTGGCCGATGTCGACGTTGCTGCCGAGTTTCGTGCTCGCTTCGATCATGGATGTGATAAACTCTCCTACGGCGGGTGGTTGCTCTCCGCCCTGATTGTAGATCTGGAATTCGTACTCGTGAGCTTCGATCACGCCTCCTGGTTTGGTGTTCTGGAAGCTATTGTCTCACGTCAGCGACAAGATATGATCCAGGTATGGTACAACGCACCATCTCTGATAGTACAATGGCCAATCCGGGAACGATCCTGACATCATTCTTGTGTGAATCAAGGAGAAGGGACTTTCGAATGTCCACTCTTGCGCCGCATCTTCGACATAGAAATGGCCTGCACTTGTCAGCAGCCATGGACAGCCTGCTCGACTTACTCACAATTTGGAGGGACCTGTCAGATGTCAGCACTTAGTGGCCAACAACCTGAAGACTACTCACCCATGACGGCTGTATTGGAGACAGATCTGTTCCAATTACTGTGGCCTCTGGATGCTCATCCGCCATCTCGATTGCCCAGATTCCTGGTTTGCTTCAGCGTGTCATCTAGCTAAAGATCATCTTTTGACGGCTTACCGGTGCCAGTACCGACATCGAGCACACGAGACCAGTCGTCGACGCGATCCTTGTATTTGACCAGTTCTCCACCTAGCAGAAGCTTCCATAGATGATGAACGACGTCCATTCGATCCTGTTCGTCTTCGTCGTTTGGTACATACCACTTCGAATCTCGGGTGTGGTATCGACGACCATTCTCGAAACGATGTTGCATGACAGAAGACCTCAATGACTCGGAATAGTGGGAAAACCCATCGTCTCCTAGGCTGGAATCAACAGCGTCGGTATTTCCTTCAGGCTAAGCATAGAGTTAGCAAGGCGTGGCGCTTCTCGCGGTGCTGGCGGGTCTCACGTCGACTTGAACCGGGTCGACCTGCGGTCGCGCATCGCCGTCCGCCATGGTGTTCGCGTTGTGTTCGATGGATACACAGACCTTGTGACACTGTTCAGATTCTGCTCCAGTCGAAAGAATCCTGAAACACGGCGAACAGGCCCTCAGGTCTAGATTCTCCTTTGGGGCAGCTTCAAGTAATGCAGCGACAACTTGCAAAAGCACAAAAATCGCTACCGACGCGGAAGCGCGGGATCTGGTGAATGATATAGGGAATTCTCAAGCGGTGTGGTATTTAGCCATGCGTGCTGTCGTAGACGAAGGAGCCCGTCTTCTAGGCACGAACGCACGTCGAAAGACCCACCTTCGAGGGTGGCGCGCATGCATTGTGTTGGATGACAGCGGCCTGACGGCACTCCCTCGAGGAGCTCGCGTCCATGCCCACTCGCTTGCGTGAGGTGAGCTTCGCCCCACGGAGCTCAGCCCATCAGCGTCGCACCACGATCGACCGGGTGGGATGCTTGCTTCTGCGTAGTGGAAAGAATAGCTGGCCACCTGCATGGAAAGGTGCATTTGTGGCTGCGGGCGGATCGGTAGGCGCCTGTCCATTGAGACCCCGGTGCTTGTGTTCGTATGTAGGTGCGAGCTCGATGTCGGGTTAGTCTTTCCGGAAGGGCCCTCGAGAGAAGCCAAGCTGCCAGCGCAACCGGTCCCCACCAGTCTGCAGCAAGCCCCGCGTAACGCCCTGAGGTGAGCGCCGTGGTCAAGATCTGTTATTCGCCATCGACATTTTACCCTGTAGCTTTAAGTCCAGCCACTCAAGCACGAACAGCGTATGGGTAGTAGCAGGGAAGTAGCAGTCCCAGAGGGTCCTCCCTCGGAAGTCAGTTAGCCGCTGATACTCGAGTCCGCCCCGCTTTCGCATACTGCCCGCTCGCAATGCCGCATCGGAAGCCGTTGACCACTGCAAGACTGAAGTGATAAGCATGTACATCGGCTAGTGTTTCTACAGTGAAAGACCCCGCCTCTCTTGCTGCCTACTCTTCGAGTCAGAACTCCGATGGGTGTCATGCACGATATCCCGAGCTGGCGCGAGAAGAATGAAGCGGGGCCACAAGCACATTCGTTTGGAGAAAGTTCGAAGTCCCCATCGCCTACAATAGCATCAGTGATCATCTCTTGTTCGCGGATTCAGTGCAGAGGAGTTTCCAAGTGTCGACGCTGCTTATGCTGCTGTGCCGCCATCGCGTCTCGAAAGGCTGAGATGACGGACGGATGTGATGCTGCTCGATCAGATGTCCCCCGACACCGCTGATAGACAGAGAATAGGCTAACGACGGCTGTCGGTGATTTGATGGGAGCAGGTCGCTCTCGAATAAGAACGCGGACGAGGTTGTCGTAGAGCAGCAATGGCCGACACCAACACCACGCTTAGAGAAGCTCCATTGCGAGTCGCTATCATTGGCGGTGGCATCAGTGGTCTTTCAACGCTGCTGGGGATTCTTCACCACTGTCCGCGAACTCGAGTCATTCCACATCTCTACGAGGCGGCCTCCAAATTTTCCGAGATCGGTGCTGGCGTCGGCTTTGGCCCGAATGCAGTTCGCTCGATGCACGTCGTAGACCCTGCCCTACACGCTAGCTATCAACGTATTGCGGCAAAGGCACCAGTGGTCGAAAGGGATGGGAAGAAGATGGTCGCGTGGCACTATTTCATCATGGGCATGGACGGCAGAGGTGTCTCCGGCATCAATGACCTAAAGGGCCTGGAGGAGGTGCCGGGAGCAACGCCATACAACCACAACACCACGCACAATGTGCATCGAGCGGCATTTCTCGAAGAGATGCTCAAGCTTCTGCGGAGCAAGGATCAGCATGATTACGTGACGTTCAACAAAAGGCTTGACGACATTGTCAAATGTGGAGACGGTCTGCGCTTGAGCTTCGCCGACGGAAGCACTGATGAGGTGGACGCGGTCATTGGTGCTGACGGTGTGAAGAGCAGAGTCCGGAAGATCGTGATGGGCCTGCAGTATGAGCCACGGTTCACTGGCAAGTATACTTATCGAGGTCTAGTTCCAACCCAGAAGGTCGAGGAGTGCATAGGTCACTGGGCGAACGAGAACATCATCATCACAGGCTACGGAGGCCACATCGTTGGCTTCCCCATAGATCAGGGCAAGACATTCAATATTGTCGCCTTCAATACGCCAAAGACGAAAGGTCGGACTTGGGAACATGGTGAAGAATGGGTAGTGCAAAGCAGCAGTGAAGCAGTGCTCGAAGACTTTGCCGGATGGGACCACCGAGTCCGAAGGATGCTGTCAATGCTTGACCGACCGGAGAAGTGGGGCTTGTTCGATGTGCCCCAGCTCCCAAGCTAAGTGGGTATGGCAGGGAAAGTGATATTGATGGGCGATTCCGCCCACGCCTCAACTCCCCATCAAGGCGCTGGCGCAGGAATGGCCATCGAAGACGCTGCGATACTCGCAGCTCTCTTTGGTGGAGTGGCCAGCTGGAAAAGAGGCGCGGTGGAGCGTGTGTTTGAGGTCTTTGACAGAAGGAGAAAAGAACGAACCCAGAAGCTGGTAACAACGAGCCGTGAAGCTGGACTGCTCTATGATTTCGAACTCGATGGTGTGGGAGACGATGTGGAGAGAATTCGAGCTTTCATGGCGCACAGAATGCAATGGATATGGGACTTTGAGGCCAACGAAAGCGCCAAAATGGGCCTTGAGATGCTCCAAAAAGTCCTATGAACAGTGTCGAGGCGGTGTTATGAACATGGTGCTGCCGGGTTCACTTCTGATCCCCAAGGTTCTTCTGCACGCTGCCACCGATGGCACCTTCGGAGTCAGAGGATTGCGCGAAAACGCGGACTCGACTTACCATCTGCAGTGAATTGCTTACCAATCGCTGTTGCTTGTTAGTTGTTGATACAAGTCGTCTAAGGAGGAGCATCTGCAGACCTCCGTCCTGGCTCAACGGCCCTCCAATGGACTCGCCTACGGATCCGATGGCGCCATCAGCTGCAGCATGTGTCAGATATACGACCCAGCTTCTGCGGGGGGGTTGGACTTGCGTTGAAAGTGCTTTCCGACGGCCCCTTCTTTATCAAATAAGCTCTTGTCGTTCTTACCCTGGCGATATATGTAAGACCTGGGAGCAGCACAATTCTGAATCTGCATACCTGGAGCGTCGATGCCGCCTTTTGACCAGCTTCGCTGACGGAGTCAGTGGCCTTGTCTGCCATTCTTTTGAGCTATCTGATCGTGTCAGCCGTATACAGGTGACTGTAACAATGGAACAGAGGCTGATTGAATGGTTTGCCGAACGTGCTGCACCTACTCTTCGTAATATTGGGCTCGATGTGTCTGGAAATGCTTAGATAAGGTCTCAGTGGTTGCCACGGTCGATTCCTTTACGGGTATATATATCTGTGGTACCCATTGAGTTCTGCTGGACCTGGTCTAGCTGACACACCTGATGTCATAGGCGTTAAAGATGCCGCTCAATGCGGGGGAGATGGCTTGGGTGGCTCGCATGCTCGGTTGCTATTGCCTATAGAAGAGATGTCTACCATCGCAAACTGAGGTATGCAATCGAAGTTCATGGCTGACTCGTTTTAAGACGCCTGACAGCCAGGAACTCGAAGTCCGAATCAATGAGTGCGGTCTACAAGTTAGATGGGCCAGAGAAGTGAGGTCAGTGCCAAGGAGATCGGCCATTGGGCAGAAGCCCATCGTCTTCGCAACTGCACGTCGAACTAGACGAGTCTTCTTCCCTTCAGTCTCGATGATTCTGTTCGGACAACGCCTGAGGCAAAGGAGCTCGAGTAAAAGGGTAGGTGGGTAGCTGCTGTTGTCCGCGGCATCGCTACAAGGTACTTCGATATGTTTGTGCAAGCCCCCTGAACCGCGGTATGTCACCTGCAAGCACCCGGTTGTATCGCCATCAGAACTGATTGACCTGTACCATGCATTATTTCAAGTCAAAAGCCAGCTGCTGTGGAAGGAACTGCTTTGTATGTTCGCGCAACTTCCCGAATCAATCTCCGGACCGCGTACGCAATTCCTTCCTCTACCTCTTCCAGTTCCTCTCCGCACATAGGACTATGGTTGTCTGCTTGCGTTCCTTTGTGCTCACCTAGACATAAGTCGTTTTGGACTTCTTGGATGAACTTGAAACTATCTATCATAATTATCACGCGACTCAACAGCTCTTACTCGGCGATCATTCATGGCATACATACCAAACTCAAGCCCTGTGCGTCTGACCGTTCTGCCGTAACCTCGAGGCATACTGCCACACGTTCATCAGTCGCGAGATGAACGACGAGACACCTCCTTCATCAGCTAGCAGAGTTCGAGCTGGGCAGCTGGAAAATGCCTTTCCCACTCCTCCACGAGAGAAAACCCCTGACCCCTCGACACGCCTCAATGGCCGCCTCTCGCCTGCGCCTGGGAGAATGCTAAACTTGCAGCGAGCTCAATCGACTCCTCCAGAGCTCTCCAATGAGACTCAACTCCACCGCATTTCGCGCGCACCGATGGGCGACCTGCCAGATGCATTAAGCCTAGAGGAATCGTGGTCACGCCTTCACTTGTCGAAGAAAAGGAGCCAGTACTATAGCGACGCTTTTGCCTACAGAGAGCCGTCAAACACCGCAAAAGAGCGAGTCGTGCGCGATTCGACGATTCTTGCCGAGGTCAAGTTGAACTGTTGTGTAAGTGGATTGCGCCTTGGAAGATGCAAGCTGATCGTACTACAGCTTGACTCGGAACAAGAATTCCTCATTGACTTATCCTTTCGATTGTCGGAGATTTACCAGCGCCCAGAATCTTGTATCATTGCCATGGTGGCAACAGACATTCCCATGATCATGGGTGGCAGCTTCGAGCCGGCTTACAGCATCATCATCGCCGCACTAACTCCGGAGATAGCTGCCACCAAGAACAAGAGAAGCGCACATCTCATCCAACAGTTCATGCACGAGACTTTGAGCATCAATCCCAAAAGAGGCCTCGTGAGGTACGAAGCGGTTGCGGAGGCGAACCTGGCGACAAATGGCATGACGGTGTTGCAGGAGATTGAGCAGCTAGAAAGGCAGTCTCACGAAGAAGACACAGCCTTCCGAGCGCTCAGTCGTCAAAAGAGCAGAAGAAGCAAGAGAATGAGCAATTTCAACGCCGCTGAGAGTATCAAGACCCCTACACCAACTCATCGAGCCGTCACACCCTTGCCGAGCGAGACACAGGCTACCAAGGTATGTAGATCGACTGCAGCCAGTGGTACAGGAAGGTGGAAGATGAAGCACAGGAAGAGCATCTTTGGTATCTTCAGGCGCCGGAGCGTCGAGGGGCTGAAGGAATGAAGCTGTAGCGCTCACGATCCCCTTGCGAGTCGGTGGAGGAAAGCATATCAGGCCGTTGGCATACTACAGATTTCAGGAATAACGACAACGACCAGTCTGCATACGCAGTATATTACGTCGGTTGTCCCTAGGCCGCAGATACAGGTGCAGCAATTCGTCGCAAGTGTCATCCCAAGGATGGATTGTCCCGTTTGTTGAGTGGTTGGCTTGCAGCGATTGTTCAGCGCGTTCCCACCTCCGGAGCCAACTTCACTGATATCCCCGATACCGATCCTCTTCCTATTGAAACGCCTTCTATTGTCCCCAGCCACCCCACATATGGCATTTGGGTCGATTGCGCTCCTCAGACTTGCCGGTCCATCGTGTTTGTTCTCTATTCAACACTCGCGCCGTGGTCCTCTATTCGCATATTTGGAATATCAATTACATCCGAAACAATACTCATCACCTCTTCGCACTCAGCCAACGGCGCTGGCGTCGTGTTGAATGCACCGCTCTGCTATTAGGCTGCCCATCACTCCCCCTGTTGTCCGCAATGTCGTTGCCCGGCCAAGCCAAGCCCCTATCTCAATCACCCGACTCCATACACAGGATCAAGAAGCGTAACAGAAAGAGCAAGCCAAAGCCAATAGAATTGAGAAAATGGGTTCTGCTGCGCAACGGAAGGCGTGCCGAGAGACAATGGCTGTTGCTTCAAGACTCTGCCCAAGAACAGAGGCTCATTTTCTTGCCTTCGACACCACTGACGCCCGTCACTCCCAACGCCGCGACTAAGCGTCGTCACTCAGCGGTGAGGTTTGGACACAGCCTACCAGCGTCACTCTTCCGTACGTCTTCACAATTCCTCTGGAAGGATCAACCTGCTTCTCCACTTCCTCCAACGGCCAGCAAGAGGTACATCTCGCAATCATCGACGCCAAGGCAACCTCTCTTCCCATTCCAACTCCCCGCGATGGGTATCGAGTTGACGCATGAAGAGGGCGACGTCGTGCAGAAGGTGTCGGAACAAGGTGTCATTGTCCGTAAGTGTTGATTACCCCACAACCCTGCATAAGACTAATTCGGTACAGACGCCTGCAATTGTCTCGGCGCCTGGGGTTCTGGAATCGCGCTCCAACTGAAACAGCAATTCCCTGCCGCCTACAAAGTCTACGAGCAGCACTGCAAGCGAGACAACTCGATCGAGGATATCTTCGGTACTTGCCTATTAATTCCACCACAGCCGGCCGACTACGAAGCCACGACCCGCAGCAGCACCGCGAATAAAGCCGTCTGGATAGCCTGTCTGTTCACCAGCGTCGGCTATGGCAAACCCAACAAGCAGAGAGGCAACCCTGGTGTATCTTCCAAGCAGGACATCATCGCTGCGACTGGCACCTCACTCATGAGCTCCCTGTTGCAATGGCAAGATGCGAGATCGGATGAGGTTGAGGTTGAGAACGAGGCTGAGGTTTCCGGAGCAGCTCAGCCTGGTGACATCTTCTGCCCAAAGTTCAATGCGGGATCCTTCAATGTGCCGTGGGAGAAGACTGAGGAGCTGATTGAGCAGAAGTGGGGTGATGTTGATGTCAAATGGACCGTGGTCAGTAAGTGATGCGGCGGTGAAAAAGTCACAAAATGGTAGGACAGTCCTGGCTTCTTGGTTGAGCCTCATGTGTCGTGAGCTGGAGGGATCAGTTCGACTGCTGATTGTGTTCGTGGTTGGGGTACGTTGAAAGGCTTGGGGATGCAGCTAGACTCTTGACAGTTGTCATACGAGTCTAAAGGGGTGATACCGAAGGACGATGGAACTTGTGCGTGCTGGGCGGCAATGAAAGCCTCATTTGGCGCTTTACAAGCTCTCCTGTCACAGACTGCAATTATCACTCGGCGCTTCAGCGACTGCACGTCCTCTCACGAACCAGCTCTTGCTTAGTTTCAGCGCAAACAACAGTTCTTTTGCACCCTCTAGTACATCATCACGCGGATGCCCGTTTGCTCCTAGACACACCAAAGCTATCTAAATATCTTGCCGCAAACGGAGTCTGACTGACCTGCAAGCCGAGATGACTATGCCACAGAACTCTACTTGTCATGCCTAACTCACCAAGAAACATGTCCTCGTTGATGATTCAACGTGGGGCGATACTGAGAAGGGGTGGAAAGGGTGAGATGAGCAAGGCTTGCAACAGGCGCAGAAATGGTCTTCGTCGCGGAATTTTTAACAAGCTATGAGGACGTAGCCCTCTCGTTACGATCACGTCCAGCGACTCGCTGACATCCTTTCCGGCGGTCGAGCATTCGTGGCTGCTGGGATGCTTATCGACGAGCAGTGGAAGGTCCACAACTGTCCCGGCAGCGATGTTGTATCCGAGGCTGGTCGCAGGACCGGGCATCATGGACTCTCTTGCCATTCACCCATGGGTGTCACCAGGACCCTATTGAAGAGGACGTCGTGAATAAGAAGGTGTTCGGTAAGACTGTGGTTCCAGCCACCCGATGTCGACACGGTCTCCAGCCTCTAGAGGTCTTGGCCAAGCCAATGAGACCAGCCACCTCGACTGACTCAGCGGGCGGTCAACCGCTCAAAGTTCCTCCAGAAGTCCAGAACAAGGATAACATCTTGTACAACATCGGACGCAGCCGAAATCTACTCCGAAGAGCATACCGAGAATTTGCAACTGCTTGGAATATGGCACTGGAGCACATTGAGTCAAAATCGCGCGGCTTCGTTGGTCGGTAGCAGCCACGGCTTGCGGCCGATCGAGGTGGTACGAAAATCGCATTTGCTGCGATCTTCGCTCCACAGCTCTGGCTTCAGTTCCTCCCAGGTTGGCACTTGTCACGTGCAGAATGGGCCGTCCCTCGAATCCACTCGTGGGCGAGTACTTTCGTCGCGGCAACAAGTTGAAGGACAAGTCGAATCGCTACGAGCACACTTGCAGGAAATGTGGTATCCTTGACAAAACCGGCCGACCCGAGAAGCTCATCGACCATCTCGTCAAATGCCCGTACCTTGGCCAAGAGGAGAGAGAAGATGTCCTCGCTCGACACTTCAACCATCGATCTGGAATGAGGGGCGAGCGGGATGGATCCAGCTCCAGAAGTGCAACGCCTCCAACATACGGCGGCTTGGAAGGTCTTGCTGAAGCTGCTCGTCGTGTGAGCGCTCATGAGCCTCCAGCAAACCCCAACACGCTCCCAACGTCTTCTGTGCCCATCGATCCCAACATCGGCTATGCAAATACGCACTTTTATGAAAACTCTGTACCAGCTCAAGCACTGCCACCACACAGCAACAACGACACGAATCAAGAGTCCCAGAATATTCCCAACATCCACGAGACTTCTAGCCCAGAAGTTCATAATCTCTACACGATTGTCGATGACCTTGATGATAACGAACAAGATGTCAACAGTGTTGCAGAAACATCAACCAACCCAGCCTTGGCTTTGCCTCAGGCATTGTCCACATCACTTTCCAGTCCGGTCCCACCTACCCTGACACAGCAGCCAGCCATGCCTGGTCATACTGAATCGCCCGTCGTATTTCCAAGCAATAACGGGTTTGTACCTGCACTTCATCGAACTCTAGCAGAACCAGTCCACTCGAGTGTTCCACAAACACAGTCCTCCACATCCTCGGCTACCCCGAATCAAGACTCTTCACATGACTCATTCTCCAGTCCGCCAGCCACTAGAGCTATCAGTCCACCGAAAAACATAGCCAGTGTACCTGACTCCTACACCATCGAAACGAACGTTGCATCTGATACAGGCGACTCACCAAAAGCTGCCCGACCGAAAAGAACAAGTAAGCTGAAACCGCAGCAGCGGGAGAAGACAGCCAAGGTCAGACAGCAGGGCGCTTGCATACGATGTCGACTCCTCAAGAAACCATGTTCAGGAGAGGATCCATGCCAGCAGTGTCAAAACGTGCACAATCCGCGCATGTGGAGACACCCTTGCCAACGCGTCAAGCTACACGAAGAGATTACACTCTACTCGGCTGGCTTACAACTTGAGCTTGCGAATAACAACGTCCGGAATCTAGAGGAGAAGCATGCCAGAATTATTGATCAGCCTGAGAGCTACATCCGCGTATCATTTGGCTCAAGCGATGCAAGTGTGTCGTTCAGAGCGTGCCGGCTTCGGTCGACTCCATCGACTGAGGCACAATGTCAAGAGCCCGAGGTCTTCCTCATTGAACACTCCCCCTCGACTATCTCTCAAACCGATCTGCTCAAGCTCAACCGCTACCTCAAAGAAGAGTATGCCCAGCTGTTCGATCGCGAGCAAAATTCGATCATGCGCGGCACGCTCAAGCTCGCCAAACGCCTAGCTGCCGACCAGAATGACGAGATCCTGTATGGTGCGCTCGAGCTGTACGCAGCCACACTCCTCTTGGTCGACGAGGAGATAGTAATCAAACTTGTACTGGAGGAAGCCGGTCAGCCACGCCAGCTGCAAAAGCCCATCACCAAAGATACCGCGAGTCTTTCGTACAGTCTGGTCCGAGACCAGCTCTGTGCGGCGATCGAGTCGCTGGCAGCTACGCATGTGCACAAACTCCTGATCAAGCTGGAAACCCGGCTGCAAAGACCCAAGGCTTCTCTATTCGAGACGTACTTGGCCTGCTTCCTGCTGCTCAACTGCGCCGAGCGCATGTGCTGGCTGTATCGAAAGTGGCAGTCACCAGAGACGCAGCCACGACCCTGGCCGCTTCAGAACCAGCAGGCTTCGCAACTGGTGCAGCAGGGTGAGACGATGGCCTCGGTGCTGCACATGATCATGGACATGCGCAACGTGCTCCCCAAGCCGATCGTGCGCGATAACGGTACATTGAGTGGTGCGCCCAAAGCGTGTGAGGATGCAAGGAGTTGGTTCAATGAGATCGACGTGAGCGTCGAGGCCTTAAGGAATCTCGAGGAGAGGCCATACCTGGCGAATGACTGCAGGTCGATGGACGGCCGTTTTTGGGCGCGAACCCTGGCTGTGGATGACAAGCTGGACGGGTTGGCCTTGGGTCGGGTTACTACTGGTGCTTTTCGGGCGGTTTGAGATACCCACCTACGCACGAGCGTAGCGGCGATTGGACACGAAATGGAGTGGTAGAGTAGAGCTGGGATTACTGTCTACTGTCTCCCCGCCAGGATAGAGTGGTCGGGGGGAATGAATGCCCACCAGAAGCGAAGAGTCTCCGTCTGCGTCTCCCCGTCTTCCCTCATGCCGTTCCCCAAGATTCCAACCTGATGATGGGTTTAATCCGCTGCTATTATCGTGTCACCCCTTGATCTCAAAAATCCGGGGTTCCACTGTTTGCGGTGTGGAGGCTTGCGGTGAGAGTCTGGCCTGCTCGTAGATGGATCCCGTGCCAGTATAGTGGGTGAAAGCCCCGCGCACCCAACACTGCATGTGGGGCAGCAAGCGGGATATACCCTTCCCACCTCCAGATGGATGGGCGCCTTTTGAGTGTCTTAACAGGTAGCGTGCCCGCTTCCGAAGCGAAGAACTATACAGGTAAAAAACCACATACACACACACACACACTCTCTCTCTCTCTCTCTCTCTCTCTTAGAGCGGCAGTAAGCAAGATAAATCCTCAAAGCCAGACTTGCGAAGAGAAGATTCCCCGCCAAGATGATCGCGAACGGCATCGAGCGACGCAGAGTCGTCGTTGTAACAGGTACGCAGCAAGCAACACTCTCCCCCAGGCCAGTGACAGCCTCGAATCCTAACCAAAGACTCGGCTACTACAGGAGGAGCATCCGGCATCGGCCTAGGCATCACGAACCACTTCGGCTCTCGCGGCGACCACGTCGCCATCTTGGACATCCACGCCTCGGCTCCCGCGGACCTCCTCCCCGCCCTCAGCAAAGCCCACGCGAACGCCAGCTTCTCGTACCACCAATGCGACATCGCGACCTGGGCCTCGGTGGCCGCGGCTTTCCGGGCCGTGTACACGGCGCACGGCCGCATCAACGTCGTCATGGCCAACGCGGGCATCTCGCGCGAGGAATCCCTCATCCCGGCTACGGTTCCCACGCCCGACGTCGAGCCCACGGAACCGGGCCTGCGCACCATGGACGTCAACCTGACGGGCACGCTCTTCACCGTCAAGCTGGCGATCCACTACCTGCTCCTCAACAGCCCCGCCCCGGACTCCAACTCGCGCGGCTCCATCGTCCTCACAGCCTCCAACGCCGGCATCTACGCCTTCCCCGTGGCGCCGCTGTACGCGGCCTGCAAAGCCGGGCTGGTGAACCTGACGCGCTCGCTGGGCCCGGCGCTGCTGCCGCACCAGATCCAGATCAACGCGCTGGCGCCGGCGGTGCTGGAGACGAATATCGCGCCCAGCAAGGATCTGTTCAAGGGCATGGTGCTGACGCCCATGAGTACGCTGCAGAAGGCGGTGAGGTTGTTTGTGGATGAGGAACCGAACAGGACGGGCGAGGTGGCGGAGGTGCATGGCCAGAGCGTGACGGTGCGGGAGGTGCCGCCGTATGTGGATGAGGATAGTGAGCGGAATTTGAGGAGGTTTTGGAATTTGGGGTATGCTTGAAGATGGGAGGGTGAAAAGACAGGAGGGATGTGAGGGAGCATTGAAGGATTGAGCGGGGACCTTGGTGATGTGTGAGTGCGGCCTTTTGCGAGGGAGATAGATTGGCATGCTGTGCTTCATCTGGGGCGAGTGGTAGAAGCACGTTTGGCCAACGCGCGTACCTTGCTCGATATAGACCTGAAGCAGCGAACTCTTCGTGGTCTACCAAAAGCATTCCTGTGTGTGTGTGTGTGTGTGTGCTGGGATCCATTCCACGTTTTGTGACTACAGCAAGGCACTTTGAGTGCGGCTGAAAGCTGCATGGGGACTGTGCTAAGAACGCATTCTCCAGACAGGGTTTGACGAGATACAGCTCGAGGGTGCTTGCTTTGATACAGGTAGACCAGGCAGGCACGGTCGAGCGGTGGCGACCGATAGGGTATACGACAATACTTGGTGCCATGCCCCAAGCTTTAGTTTGGAGGGCGCTGCACAGTATCTCACGGGTGTGCTTGGGTCTTTGAACATGCTTGTTTATTTCGTCGATGTTGACCTGCATGACTTGCATCTAGTCTGGGGGCTCATGAGGAGGAGAGCTCAGCGGCAGCAAGCGTCAGGGTAGTGCTCGAGGGCAGAAGTTCTTTACTTCGGACTGCTCTCAACTGCGTCCGACTTGCTCGACGTGGGTCCTTGATGCTGTCTGTCGTCTTTATCCGACAATCATAGGGTCAGTACAGTATGGCAACCATAGGCTGGCGGTGGAAAGAAGATACAGCCGGCCGTTGCAAGCATGCAGCTTCACAGTTTGCTGGGGACCCCGTTGTACAATGGCCGATCAGCCGTTTCGATCACCGACGTGGTGATTAGCAAACGTTTACTAAGGCGCCCGGAAATCGGCACAACCTGTCAAGAACATGAGAAAGTTACCCCTCCACAAAGCGAGGCATACCAACTTCTGAGGGGAGACGTGTTGGCTGATCTTCAAAGAACCATCAACTCCTCGGCCCGTGCTGTTGATCAAAGCACAGTGGCAGACCGAGCCCCTCCGAGAGTCGGAACCATCACGTCAAACAACTGGAGGTGGTGATCTACAGGGACAGACTTCTATCCTCGCTCGAACGGTGCTCGGCTTCTGGCTTGGCAGTAATCGCACAATTTCATATGCGATTTGTAAAGTTATGCATTCTCGAGGTGTGCCCCGATCGGCGCTGCAGATCCCGCGGGAAACGCTGTTTGGCTATCCCAGACTACGGGGTACTTTTCTCTGGACCGTCGGATCCGATTCGCTGCTTCAGGCTCGATCGTGTGATGGTTCCAGTAGACCGTGCCACCTGAAGAAGACATACTGTAGCTGAGCAGTGCAGCAGCGGTGCGGCCATACTTGTACCACTCAAATCAATGAGATGCAGTGCCGCCGAGGTGTTGCTTGGATGACCTGCGATGTGGTGGGCAGTATGCCCGCCAGTGTGGGTGCTGGCGTGGGTGAAAGACCCAGGGGAAAGGCCCTCACAGCTGAAAGCAGGGGCCATCATACCCAATCAATTGATATTGCCGTTAACAGCAGGAGGAGGCGCAGCTTTTCCGGACGCGTCAAGAGGGTGGTAGGCAGGCAAATCGTAGGCACTGTGGCTTACATTCGTAGGGGTACAGTACGTACTGTAGATCCCAGAGTTTTCACGTCAGCGGCACGCCCGAGCCCAGTGCAAAGGTGCAGGTCATATGCCCGCAGTTCTCCATTCCACCCATCTCGGAACAAGAGATATGACAAATTGCTGTTTTTGGACCCATGTTGGCCACCTGCCACACAAGATATGGCCGGCGCTGTAATGGCCCTGGCCTTTAGTCGCGTGCGAAGCGCGAGGCATGCCGATCGGTGTCTTGCCAGGTGTCTATCCTCGCAATCCGAACCCGATGCGAGCGATGGCATGTTTCGAGTGATCTGTCCCCCACCAGTGAGGATGATGTTTCCGCTGAGCATGTACACAGAGGCGAGGATGGTCTCGAGAGAGGGCGTCACGCATCTCCACAGGCAGTAATGGCAGTGCTGCAGGGACTCGAGTTCCGCCCTTCCTCGGCTGTTCTCCTCTCGGGGCTCCACCGGACAGTTTCCCGTAGGCTTTGGCTCCAATCAATAGGGGCTGATAGGCCTATCGTGCAGGGCCTGGACCGGTCGGCCAGTGGCGATCTGGGGAACAATCTAATTGGCATCGCCGCGAGACACGCCAAACACAAGCCCCGAAAGGTGGACACTCGATAGCCTGCAGTTCCGAACTGCTGGGGCACCCTAGTTCCCACGGCACTGCACCCGTGCCACCCCTATGGCGCTTTGGACCCAGATGGCGCAACGTCAACCGGCAACTGCATGTGCATGGGCGTACTCCGTACTTGTAAGCTTTCTCTAATGTTGGTCCCATCGCCCGTATGCACGCACATGATGGTGCGTTTCCCTCCCATCACCTTCTCATCAAGGAAAAGCAGCGACCACCACCGTCCTGTCCGGATCCCAAACACAACTTTCTTACAAGAGGCGCAACGGCCGACTGTGCAACATAGCATGTCAACCATGCTCCATGCCCTCCCTTCCCGTGTCCGATTACAAGCCAACTAAGTCAAACAATGCCCGAATTCAAGCCCAAGGTCGAAGGCTCGCCGCCCGCTGAAGGCAATACCAATGCTGAGGTCTCTGCACGACGCCTGAAGAAAAGAGAGATCGATCGGAAATGCCAGCGTCAGGCTAGGGAGCGGACTAGGTCAAGGATCGCCTACCTCGAGAGTCTCGTAGATAATCTGCAGCAGCCTGATGTCGACGAGAGGAGCGCCGCTTTGATGAAGAGACTGGGAGAGGTCGAGAAGGAGCGGGATGCACTCTCACACACCCTCAAAGGAGTCCAGAAGGCCGTCCTGGGCCTTGAGAGCCTGGCCGAAAAGCAGATCAAGAACCATGTCAATGAGGATGACGCCAATATACCCAAGCCGGTCGACTTCGCTGCCCAGAGAACTGCCCGCAACAATAGTATGACTGAGATGTCGTCGCCGGATTCCCCCATCCTTGCCGACATGAATGCTCCTCCTCCTCCTCCCAACAGTCAACAATCACGAAATCTATCTATATCGGCCCAGTCAGAGCCTTCCAGGAACGACGTGCCCACCCAAATCCACAATGATGCCTGTGAATGCTGCAGGAATGGCGCTCTGTCGGGGCCAGGCACGCCGAAAAGTTCCTGGAGATTCGCCAACGACACCTTAATGACCAACTTCAAGAGGCTGAGTCCGATCCTGCCAGAGGAAGACTTGTTATCGGAGGACATCCCAGTGCGAGCTGTTCTCGAGGGCTGGGATTCCGTCGTCGCGCAGATGGAGCTGCCTGCGTCGTGGAAAATCATGCGTCGCATAGACGAGCAGATGTTTTCCAAGGCCGGCGCAAAGGAGAGGCTCGCATGTCTAAAGATGCTGCATCTGATGCTGCAGTACCATCGTGATCCTACAGCTGAGCGCCGCTCCAAGCTTCCTCCCTGGTACCTCGCGCGGCCATCGCAAGCCAGTAAACCACACGCCTACGCCATCAACTATTTCGTCTGGCCTGGCGTGCGCGAACGATTTATCTTCGAGCAACACAAATACTGCGGCAATCTTTTCGCTACCCTTTTCCAGACCTCCCTCCAGATTCTGTGGCCGTACGACTTCCGAGATTGCTTCGCCCAGCGCTGGGACACCGGTCATTACGAGTTGTCGTCCGCCTTTCGAGACGCCATCACCGATATCTCAAAGTGGACCATGCGTCCCGAGCTGTTCCAGCAGTTCCCCGACCTTCGATGCGACATCCCTGCATTTTACAACAGTCCAATACCCATATCGAATGCCTTGCAGATGCAGCTCACCACTCATCGCACGCCGTCAGCAATCCAATCGATGCACAGTTCCAATAAGCAGACACCGGTCAGCAACGATGGTGTTTCCGTCCCACCCATGTCTCTGGCTGAGAGTTGGATGGCTCAGAGTACCATGGTGGGCTGGGTTGACGGATCGGCGTACACTCAAGGGTTCATGGATCACAATCCACTGCAAGCAAATTGGTCAGCTGGATGATTCCGTATTCGCGCAAGGCTTGTCGCCATCAGCGCGAGCACTCCCATTTACTGCTGCTCACCTGCCTATGGACTACTGTGCGGGGTGGCGAAGATGTCCCTGTACTGGTCTAGTTCGACTGATAAAGTCCCTCTTCCTGACAAAGACTTACGTCGGGACTGTCGCCGCGCAGCACGCAGGGTCAGCCATTGGAGTGATCGAGGTTCCAGCAGGGCTTCGAAAATCAGAAACACGGGATGCCGTCGAGGATCACGCCGCGCCACCACGCCGAGCTGGCTGAACTATTGTCAGCCATCGTCAGCGCACGCCAATCTTAGGCTTGCTCTGCTATCGAGCACGGCCCCCAGTCGAGAGAACTCGAGGTGCTTGTACGAGCTGCAGAAAGCGGCGGCCATCATTAGCGCTCGTCGAGGCATCCTGCTGCTTCATTACCTGGCTATCTGGGTACGTGACAGTCGTGATTGGCCGGACCATCAATCGACATAAGATGCCACAGGCGCACTCTCGAGCTGACGCGAATTCACGTTCGATGAGCGAAAGCGCTATTGGCATCAACGACAGGACACAGGAGGTGGAATGCAGGATCAAACAAGCAATCAATCCTGCCGTTAGAATTAGACTCAGACTACAACAATTTTAATCCCATGCACATAACGTGACCGGACTGCTTGCCATTTAGCTTACTATGTAGCTTACTAAAGCCTGAAACTATCACTCGTCCTCGTCTCGTCCTCGTAACCGCGCTTCCGGCCCGTCACCTGCAACTGCAGCTGCGACTGCGATCCCGAGCCATGTGCCCGCCAGCTCGTCCATGATGATGCTGCCGCCGTATACGTCACGTTCTCGCCCGGCGCGACCGCGAAAGCTGCGCCGCCGCTGGGCGTCCCATTGACCAGCCACTGCGCCTGCAGCGCGACGCCGGGATCCCAGCGTCCCACGCTCGCCTGGATGACACCGTCGACGAGGGCCACAGCGGGCGGCGCCTGGCGTGCCAGCGCGGCCTCACGACCACCCCTGGCGAGCACGTCTGCCCACAGGTTCCCTCGCGACGACGGCGACGTGGCGTCGTCAGCCAGGGGCGTCTGGCCGTCCGGCGCGTGGTCCGTGACCCACTGCTCCACGAGCTGGAGGTAATCCCAGACGTCTCGGAGCTGGTAGACGCCGCCGTGCTCCTCGCCCTCAAGGATCGTGACGTTGGCCCAGCCCGCGCCGCCTTTGGCGTCCACGATGGCTTGGAATTCTGCGACGCCTTCGTTGAGGAAGTAGTTGTCCCAGCTGCCGACGTAGACGAAGATGCGGCCTTTCAGGGCCTCGCCTAGATTCAGCGCGTTGTCCCAGTTGGAGGTGATGTGCTCGGCCAGGTCCATGCTGCGCCAGTACTCGACGGCTTCGGGGTAGATGTCGCCGGTGACTTTGTCCCACGGCTCCAGGGGGTAGTGGTTGTAGCCTTGGACGCCAAAGACGGCGTTCCACACGTCCCACTGCAGCGCGGAGCGCGACGAGGTGCCGAAGCTGAGCTCCCAGTGGTTCTCCTGCTCGACGGTGGTGACGTCGGTTAACGTGTCGTTGACGACTTCGCGGATTGAGTAGATCTTGCTGCCGTCGGGGTTGGTGTAGGCATTGGTGGCGTTGTACAGTGGGATATCCTGGTGGCGGCGGAAGGAGAGGGAGTCCGGGTAGGAGGAAAAGCAGGCGCCGAAGAGATCTGGCCGGAAGATCAGGTTGGCAGCCGATTCCCAGCCACCGGTGGAGCCGCCGTCTTGAATGCGGGCGTATGGGTGGGGGTTCATGTGGAAGAGAGACTCAAGGTGCGGGATGAGTTCGTCGTTGATGGCGTCGCCGTATGGACCTAGATTGGCGGTGTTGACAGCGTATGAGTCGTCATAGAAGGCGGTCTCGTGGCGGAAAGTGACGAGGATGATCTGTGGGGCGGGCGTGGTGGTATTTGGCAGAGTGCCATTGTCCCAAGCTGCAACGAAATCTGGGTCGTCGGGATATCCGTAGGCGCCGCTTTCCCCGGGCCAGTGACCTTGATGATAAATCACCGGGTATAGAGTGCTGGAATCATTGGCATCATAGCCGGCGGGCAGAAGAACATTGGCACCAATGTACATGTCTCTATTCCAGAAGTCGCTCAAGAGCTCGCTGCGGATCTTGACGTACTTTAGCAGTTCCAGATCTTCGTAATTGCCTTGTGAGCAACCGCCAATCTCGGTACCAGTGAAGTCTTCGGTGGCAGTAACATTATCGAAGGTGAGCTGGATGGTTTGGGAGTCTCTCTCGGCAAGACTGATGTTAATGGCTTCAGTCGTGAGGCTTCCGGGTCCGTCGACTGGTTCAGCTCCGTCGCCACATGGAAAATGGACACTCACGACCGAGCCATCGGCGCGAGTGACTATCTCATAAGGGTTGAAGAATGCCTGTACGGTATATTCGCCAGGTGCGACGTCATCTAGGCTGATGTTGGGGAAGCCCCAGACATCGATCCGCGGCTGATCACCACTGCCGCCCTCCAGAGAAGCTGTTTCCGTCTCGGTAAGTTGGTAGAGGTTCTTGCCAAAGAACAGATTGGGCGAGGTGACGACGTCGGTGTCGTCGAGAGGATCTGTTCCAACAGGGGCAAACATGAGCATGACACGGCCATCTGTGGCGCTGGGCAGTAGGTCATCCGCAACCGAGATCTCGACCGTGAGCCCGCTGACTGCTGGGGAAAGAGCTCCAAGGCAAAGCCAGCCAAGGCCGGGGAACCCTCTGCTCCTTGGAGACCACATGGTGCCTGGAGAAGTGGACTGTGGGATGTGTCCGGATTGAGTGCAGATGCAAGAGCTAGGACCTTGCACCTAATCAACTCCGTGTCCAAGATTCCTAGGATTACGGGATTGGGAGGTGTGTTCGAGGAAAGGAAGAAGCGATCGCGGAAGCAGCTACATAGCTCGGGGCCGCTGCTAGGCAGGGCCGAACCCGCCGACGCACCATGAGTTGGTGCTCACACCCTGCTATCGTCAATTCCGGTTTACATGAGCTTGGCAGGTGGGGAGGAGGTCGTTTAGCGTAGTCTTGGGTTGCTTGAAGTGACCGAGCGAGAGGCGTATCCGAGATAAGAGGTGGGAGGCCAAGTAAAAGGCGTGACTTTAGGCTGCATTAGGCAGGTGCAGTCCTTCCACGGCGGGTCGTCGGCGGGGTGAGCGGGCATCATATCACCTTTTTTTTGGACGACTGTCTCCCACTGGAAAGCCGATCGAGAGAAAAATGACCAGGTTCCTCGGTTGAGATGGTATCTCGATGGAAGGTCGCGGAATGAATCCGGGCTGGGCACTTGCGTCGCGTAGAGCACCGATCGTGAGCGGCAAAGATCCAAGCGGGCATATGGCTTTGGTAATGTCTTCTCTCCTAGACAGCCCGCAACTCAGGAAGATCGTTGTCGAAAGTACGAGCGCATAGCACCGATATAGGGGTCTAGTCCGAATCTTCCCCTCGTCGTCAGCGCCATAGTTACAGGCTCGACCTGTCAGCCATCTGATCGCCATGACCATCCGATTCAGAGTAAATGCCAACCCTTGCAACTTGATAGCAGCCATACTTGTGTCTAATTCACCGCCAACAAAATGGATGGTAGCAGAAAGGCGCGGAGGGTCGATTGATCCATCCATCTAACCACCACCCAGTACTTACGGACGCGCTGGTCCTAACCGACGTCGAATGATTGGCTCAAAGCATCATTCCTGACCAATCATCTGCAGCCAAATGACGGGCCGAGACTTTTCACTGCCTGAGGCCTTGGGAATCCTTGCACAATGCTTGCACTTCCACTATTACCGCCACGTTTCTCGTGATGCATGATTAGACATCCCGACATACTGGCATGCTATATCTACAACGTTCGTTGACTCGGCGGACCCTTGCTGCGGCCATCCGCTCAGCCTTAACCGTCTGATGGACGATCTCCTCATCCCCTAGCCCCCGGGGGTCTGGATATTTGTATGCAGGGGGTTGATGACCATAGCTTCCCAGACCGTCAAACCCCCATCTAATATCCTTTTGCGGCCGTACAAGTTTTAGTGCTTTCGCGTCGGTGGCATGAGTTTGGGGAAAGATGCATATTTGCCAGCGATGGTGTTTACCCCCGATTTAGTCGACGGGTCCTGGATCCTTGGAGGCGATCTCGGTTATAGTGCCTCGTCGGGCGATGGGTTGAGGAGGAAGCCGCAGCAGCAGCGGTATACCGCTGAATGGTAACACACGTTGACTAGGTGACAAGTTTGAATAGCTTTGCTTCATCTCGCCGTGTAGTCATCATTCCCACACTGGCACTGAATCGGGGGCGTCACGAGCATGATCCCGCCGTACCCCGATGCGTGCAGGTTCTTCCGAGATATTGCAACGCATTCAAAATCATCATCTATGTTATCCCGTGGCTTCCACGACAGCAGTGCCTGGCCGATCTCACTCGTCGTTGGGTTGGTGTATGTAACGTATATCCTCTCTGCATCTCGGTCAAAGACGACCGAGTCGAGCCGGATTCTGTAGAGTTCTGAGAGGGGGCCGGTTTGGCCTGGCTGGCGGTTCTTCTCTTCTGTGTGTACGACGAAGCGTGCCAGCATGGTGGCGATGCAGCTGTTCCATTGTCTCTCGCGCCTCCTTGATGAGTGGAGGGCTTTGATAGCTCGGTGTCGAAGTCTCGCTATTCGGCACCTTGTGGCGACGATGAACAGGGGCGCCAGAATCCCGAGTGTTGCATGCCAGGGTTTTCCTTTGTACTCCTTCATAGAGGATCCTTCTTGACAGATAGCTTCGCATTCATAGAGGATGTGCTCGAAGTCCGGAGTGAATAGGTCGTAGATGCTCTCGTTGTCCACTTGGTTGACGTCGAACATGACCTGCAACGTCCGATGGTGCATGAGCAGTGCTCTGCACTCCATATTCAGGCCGTGACCTGCGTCACGTAGTTGCTCCGTTGTTTCCATGATGGATCTCTGAAGCTCCGATGCATACTTGAGCAGGCTCGGTCGTGCTTCGAAATTGAAAGTCGGGTCATTCGGTGAGAAGGCTGCAACAAAGTTGAGCAACGTATCCATTAAGCTCCATACCTCTTTCAATGACGTATAAGCTGTCGGTATTTGTGGAGGCCCAATATTGATCCAGACGAAAGACCTCATCTCGGAGGCTAGATGCTCGGGGATGTCGTCGGAAAATGCCAGGGCTTTACGGCCCATATGGACCAAGAATGGAAACATGGCTTGTTTAACTTCTTCAGGCAACAGGGATGTTCCCCTCAGCACTAGCTTGAACGCAGTCAAGATGTGCACTGTAGGTGCCATGTCTCGATGTGGCCAGTGCTCTGTCGCTGCAAAAAGTAGACCGCAAACGAGGAAAACTTCTGGAGGTACCACTTTAGCGGCGGCGGCGGTCAGACAGTGGATCGAGTTGTTATAGTGTACCAAGGCGTTAGACTTCTGGGCCATCGCTTCTGCCCTCGATCGATGACCATTCCATCTAAAGGCGGCGGCTTGTGTTCTTGCTGCAATGGAAAACAGGGCATACTTGACGGCGGGATACTCGTGTCCCATCTGTGGCGCGAGGCATTGGCAGAATTCTCTCAGTGACAAACTGAATCCAGAAAGTTGGTCTGCTGCTTCTCGTATAAAGTGGTGTAGGATCTCATGGTCTTGGTCTGTGATAGACTGATGTTCGGTTTCACGTGCTGGTGTCCGAACGGGGGCACTGGCCCGGAGCTGACTGTAGCCGGCACACTCTCGGCTAGACTTGATGCAGCGCAGGCAGTATGGCTTGTTCTCGTCGCACTTGAGACGCCGCTGCTTGCAGGTGGAACATCCTGAGCGGACTTTGGGATGCTTCGCCTTCTTGACCAGGCCATTGAGCCAGCGGCTCTTCTCCTGCACAACGACACTTTGAGCCACGTCGTGTGACGGACGGATGGGTGCGGACACATGTACCGTCATAACTGTCTCGACTCCTGTGATGACTTGACAGCCCAGCAGAAAAGGGCGACATTAGCAACAGCCCTATATGTGAGGGGTGTTCTGGTTAACAGGCAGCACAGGTACAGTACTCAGATGAGTGAAAGTGAACTCGGGTCGGGTGGAGACGATGAGTCAGGGCGCCTCTGTGTACTGGCACGACGCCCAAGCAAGCACCAAGCTGATGTAATTTCAGCATCCTTCGGGTATCTCCAGAGCCCGTGGGGGCGAGGTTCGGGCTCAAAGTTCACGGCTGACCTCAAACCCGAAGTCCCAACGCCTCGGCGGCTGAGCCACACAGAAGCCAGCGAGATCTAAGCGATCTGCGTCTTAGTGACTCTCCCGTAAAGACCTCAAGTCTCGAGAGTGTGGCTAAAGCTTTGCCCTACGGTTACGCACGAACGATTTCGCCGTCCACTATGGTGCTACACTAACAGTGGCTGAGAGGTGACGCATACCCGCACCCTGCGAGTGAGATGAGCGTGCCAACTACAGCATGAGACACGGCCCGAACAGGCATCTTGTGCCCTATGGGCCAAATCAGGCTTTGATGCTCCCCAATGCTCGTGCAAACGCCTCCAAAGCCTCAATGACCACCTGGTGATCCTCATTCTGCTTCAGGCCAGACACGACGATGACAGCAACAATCCCCTCAACGCCTGTGACCCTTACCGGCACGCCGCCGCCATGGACTCGGAAAGTCAGTCAGATCCCATAAGGCGGAATCGGTGGAGCGAGAGATACATGTTTGCGAACAGGACGGGAAGGGAGGCTGCAACGTACTGGCATATTCACCTGCACTGTCTCCGAGCATGAACTTGGCAGCAAATGCCGCCTCGTCGCCACCCATTTTCCGGCCCATGGCCCAAGAAGAGATACCAAACCTTAGGACAGTCTTTCGTTTGCGTGCAACCCACACGTCATTGTCGGGAAGAATGCCTGGGCGCGAGGTAGCATGGAACAGTAGATTGTTGCTGTTGGCCAATGCAATGTTGACCACGGCAGGCTTCTCTGACAGGTTGCGAAGCCGTTCCCGAAGACCCACGCCAATCTCGAAAGCGTCGTCGGCCGTGAACCGTGGTAGGGTCAGGGCTTGCTCTTGTTGGAGGATTGATGGGAGCTGCGGAATCATGAGTCCTTGTGTCATTCTGCGTGCATCGGAGGTCGTACGTCTTCCAGGGGCTCCCTCAACCCTGCGTTTGACATGGTTGCGAAGGAAGCGGCTGCGAGAGCTTTCTTTATGCCGCTTCTGGCTGTTGGTTTTCGGCCTCGTCTAGAATCTTGTCGTGTTTAACAGCGGTGCACTCACAAGCTGAACGTTAAGGATATATGGCAGGAGAGGTTATAGCCAAGACAATAGACAAGATGGCTCGTTCAGATGAGAGCATAGCGTTGAATGAGACCAAACGTGTGTCCATCGACGTCCCCCGCCAAGGGTTGGAAGTTGTCCATCCAATGGCACGAAGTCTCGCCAGGCATGGAACTGAGGGGCTGATTGGGCACCCACTTCACACGAGTCGACCAGGTTTCGGCTTTGATAGGTCCACAGTCGGTGGCTTGAAGGTCTTGACGAGCGCGCGAAAGGTCATCGAAAAGCCTCCTTCCGTATGTATACTGTAAGAGTACAGTGCGTCTCAGAACATTTGGCGGTGTGTCCAGAGACCATGCCCAAAGCCAGGGTGGGACCATCTTCGCTTCTACGGGTCCGGCGACCTCAACGGTTTCTCGGCTTGCCGAACCAGTGCCACTTTACGGAGCACATCATCACTGCTCGAAGCTCTCCTGATTCCACCGAAATACTAGACATTAAACATATTGGCGTTGCGAATAGTATCGTTGTCGTGTTTGGGTCCTGCGTACGGGGTAAGCTCGCAAGAGCCGCGGGACGCCTAAGTGTACCGCATTCTGCTATCCACTGACCCCATCTCTGCGTCTCCCTCAAACGTTTCTCTTCTCGAGAAGCACCTGGGATGCCACATCATTCCGCCCGCGGTTCGGGTGTCAAGCTACAGATGGCCACGCCAACGTCGTCAGGGCTACGATGGTCCCTTACCATTGTTTACTGTGGCCTGTCCGCAGTTGCGCTGTATTACATACGCCTGGGCCCGACCTCCACAGCCGTCGGCAAGCACTTTGAGAAAATCTACGAAGGTGCCGAAAAACCGTTTCCCGGGCGCGATACAGTTCTGCGTAGGCATTACACCGGTATCAAAGCCTGCGATGAATTTGCCTCTATGCTCGTGGCGGCTTTCTTAAACGGGCCAGCAGGATGGGTCGAGGGTATCCGCCTTCAGCAGGCCTACTTTCTGCTTTCCTTCACGGCCGTGTTAGCGGCAATGTCGGTCGAATCGGCCAGGAAACGCAATACGTGGGCCTCAATCACCTTGTAAGCTAAACACCTGGCTATGCAAGCTCAACACTGACACAACATCTCAGCACGAGTCTTTGGGCATTCTTCTACCAAACGGTAGGCGGCGCCGTTATCATCCCGCTTTACTATCTCTGCTATACTTGGATCGCTGCCCGTCCAGATTACTGGACAGCTTCACGAGACGTTCCAGTTGCGAAAGCAAAGACACTTCTCCCGGCTCTCGTCTTCGGGTTTCTCATGCCAACATTGGTCACGTGGTATCCCCACAATGCATTCGACATTGACACTTTGCAGAAGCTGGTAGCTTTCTGGCAGATCACTCCCTTCGTCGTCAATATATTGTGGCTGATTTTCTCCACGATCTACCGCGCCTTTCACGGAAAACAGATTGAGCAAAAGCACGGCGACGTTCGGCCACTCACTGTCGTATACCTCCTCAGCTTCGTCGTGTCTGCAGCCGCCCATCTGGCAACACTCTATCTCTGCTATACCTCAGCAGACCCGACCATTTCATTCGACTTTGTATTCACACCACGTCAGGTCCAGAACCCCTCAATGGCGGAGGGTCTCCACTTCACCTTCATCGTCGACTACTGGATCATTTTCATTTCGACCATGATTTGGTGCCTTCAAGCGCAGCTCGAGATTACGGCACTCGGCCGCACGAATCTCAGGGCGTTTCAAACCGTGGTGTACATCGTTATTGGGTCCATCGTCTTAGGCCCGGGAGCTGTGTTGAGCGCTGTCTGGTGGTGGCGAGAGTCTCGGATTGATCCGGTGCCTGATCCGAAGAAATCTAACTAAGATTTGAACATCAGATTCTCTTTGACCGAGCCACTAGCTAGCTGCCGTTCTCTACCTTGACGTCGGTCTTTGGTATGAAGGCCTCGAACTTGGGTCAGGGTGATGTCACCCTGGGTGTGATCCTGGACCTGGCCAGACAGATCAAAGAGAATATGAGGTCAGATTCAATGGCTTGTGCGGGAGGTCCTCGATAAATACGACAGACCGAGCTCCTTGAACAAGCTACGAAGGGCATACCCAAGTAGATAGTGCTCTTCCAGAATACTAGTACCCGATCTAGGTTGGGGCGCCAAGACTTTTACTGCCTCTGACTGGCGGAGCAGACAATGGGCGGTACACAGTGCCAAAGCTCGTCAACAGCTTCCAGCATACCACCAAAATACAGAAGTAGGAGCTAGCTATATTTGTGAGCCTATGGTCGGCCTATTTGACCGTGCGTCGCAGATGTGGTCTACATTGTCCCGAGGCTCGAACTGATCCTTTACTCCAAAAAGGGAAGGCACACTAGCACCTCCACTACGGCCATCTCTCCAAGCTTGTACCTTTGACCATCGTCCTTATCAGCTGGTCTCGAATCTGGACCATGAGGACGTTGCTTATAACATCTGTCAGCCAGGGAAGAAGTCCGCCTCAATTTGCAGTCGTCTACAAATATAAGAGCACGGGCTAGGGCCGATCCCCTTGACCTTCAGACAACATATCTGTGCTTGTAGCGATAGTCAGACCCTCACTACGCCATCACACAGACAACACCATGCCTCGACCTACGGTAAGAGTCGCAACTGCCCACCTCGCGCCCACGCTTCTCGACCCCGCCGCCACGACCGCTACTATCCTCGACACCATCGCCCAAGCATCCTCCCAGCAAGCCTCCCTCATCGCCTTCCCCGAATCCTTCCTCCCTGGCTTCCCAATCTGGTCAGCGCTCCTGCCACCAACCCATCACAGCACACACACCTTCTTCACCCGCTTTGCCGAAGCGTCCGTCTACGCTGACGGACCGGAGCTGCAGGCCATCCGGGCCGCCGCCAAGAAACACCGCATCAGCGTCAGCCTGGGCTTCAGCGAGAAGGCACGCTACTCGAGCGGCACGCTTTGGAACTCCAACATCATCATCGACAGCGCCGGCGAGGTGCGCGTGCACCATCGCAAGCTGGTGCCGACGTTCTACGAGCGCTTGAGCTGGGGTGCGGGCGATGGCAAGGGCCTGGAAACCGTGGCCATCGATGTCGTTGACGCTGCGAAGGATGCACAAATTGGCACCGCCACGAGCCACGAGCCATCAGCAGCCTCGGCACCGACCGACCGAGTCAACATCGGCGCCCTCATCTGCGGCGAAAACACCAACCCCCTCGCCCGCTACGCCATGATGGCCCAAGGCCAAGACATCCACATCTCAAGCTGGCCCGCCGTGTGGCCGACACGCATGCCCGTCGCCACCGCCAATGACGACACCGGCAACGCCACCGGCAAGAACTACGACAACGTGCTCGCCAACCGCCTCCGCGCGGCCGCGCACTGCTTCGAAGCCAAATGCTTCGGCATCATGAGCGCCGCCCACCTCTCCGAAGCCAACATCGCGACCCTCACGGCTCTCCTCCCGCCCGACGACGAAGCGACGAAAAAAACATTCGACCACGCGCTCCGCCACACGAGCCGCGCCGCCAGCATGGTCCTGGACCCCACGGGCAGTCCCGTTCCAGCCTGGGTCGTGGACGCGCAGGGCCGGCGTGAGGAGCGTGAGATGCTGCGCGAGGAGGAGGCAGTGCTGTTTGCGGATCTGAACCTCGATGCCGGGGTGGAGGGGAAGCAGTTCCATGACCTGGTGGGCGGCTATCAGCGCTTTGATGTGTTTGAGTTGAAGGTGGATCGGACGAGGAGGGAGCCGGTTGTTTTTGGGGGGTTGGGAGGAGGGCCGGTAGGATAGGACAGGAGGAGAGCGAGAGGAAAAGGTTCGAGGGAGGTATGTATGGAATGGGATGCAGAGATGGCAGGGGGTGGGGGGGGGGGGGGGGGGCAGAGTGTGGAAGAAGAAGACTGAGGGATGAAAAAGAAAGTTATAATGTCTACAGTAGTATCATTAGACTCCCGCTCGCTCTTTGACTGCGAAATGCGGAAGGCGAGGCAAGATCCTTTTTAGTACATATATGAACATGTGACGTGTAACATGATCTCGCTGCGTAGAAATACAATGTGGTACATCTGACGGACATTTCTCAGCAGAAGCCTACTTCACGGCTTCCATTCGACTCCTGAACTGGCGCGCCATATCGCCAAAGCGCTCCGCCACATCGATCGTGACGGTGCGCAGATTCTCCAGTGAGACGTTGTGCGCCGGCGGCGCCGCGAGCAGCGGCACCTGCGAGATGCGCAGTTCCTGGCGATCGGAACCCCATTTACCGCCGCCGAAGACGAGATGCTCCATTGTCATGCGTGTGCTGCCGTAGCCCAGGTCGGGCGTGAGGCGAGAGTCGGTGTTCACAGTCTCGACCGATGAGAGCACGTATTCGATCTCGCCGGTCTCGGAGGCTAGGATGAAGTTGTCGGGAATGATGAAGTCAGCGAAATAGAAGAAATTGGGCTCTTCGGCATTCGTTTTGCGGGCTTTGCTGAGGTATTGCCCGATGCTTTGCAGGAGCGTGGGGTGTTGAGAGGTGGATGGAGAGCGCTGGACGAATAGGTCTTGTTTGAGTTGGCGGGTGAAGCTGATGTCGACGGGAAGCGTGGGTAGAGAGATGTTGCGGACTTGCTCATTGATAAGAGCGGAGATTCGTGCAACGTTCAGAGTCTGACGCAGACCCATGGTTGGGTCCTGGCCATAGACGTAGATCTCAAGGGAAGGCGCCTTTGAGGATAGCTGGACTGGCCTCAAGAGAAGTCTAAGGACGAGAGGAGAATTGGTGGGAATATCGCTAGCTGCAGGAGGCGAGGGGCGTTCCTGAAAGTTGCTGTTGACGAACAATTGTGCGAGTAGAGGTACTTCGTCGACGAACAGCGACTCTTGTTTGGGTATGGAGAGGCCAGTGTATTTGGGCATTGGTTCCATGGCATAAAGGTTCATGCCGAACCGGGCGTGGAACTCGCAGCGCAAACTGTTTGGCTCGGTGAGAGGCGTATCGCTGATGGGAGAGTCGAGCTGCTTTTTGAGACTCTCCCAGTGATCTTCGATCTGAGCGCTGGTCTCAGCACGTTTTGTCATCCCTGTTGACCCGACCGCGACCGTATCGAATCCTCGACCCCAATGAGCTGCTTCAGTCGGCCAAGGCGCAGGGTCGACGGTAAAGTAGGGCGCGAACTTGACGCGCTCTGGCCGCGCAGAAGCCATGAACGAAGGTCTGCAGTTGTCTTCGGTCAAGAGGCGAAGGTCCCGTCGGATTGATACCAGTGCGTTGCGGTTCGCTTGCATATATCGTACGTTCATACCAGCTCCCTTCGGATGTCTGCTCGCCACTACTCCATACTCGGCACTGAGATCCTGCAAAAGAGATGATAAATTTTTCTTTCTGTCGTCCGCAAACATACTTTCACCGAAGCCTTCAACGTTGATGTTCTTTAACCGAGGCTTTCGAGACAATAGCCACTTCTCTGCCCTCTTAACCGAAGCACGGTCGCCCTGCACAGTCACTTTGCTACCTGCGACCGACACCTTGACACCCAGTTGACTCGTTAAGGATCGAAAGCCGTAGCTCGGGTCATGCTGCATAAGCAGGACGTCGGAATGATTCGTGAAGTCTTGCGTGTAACTGGCCTGGGGCTTGGGTGGCTTCTCCTTCGCAGGCGAATCAACGTCTGATAGCGACTGCTTCACTTCCTGTGGGAGTTGATAACCCCATACATTCGTTGCAATCAAAGCCGCAAGTTGTGGTCGGGTTGCAGAGTCTGGTGGTATGGTCGGACTTGGGCCTTGAGTCTGCTCTTTCAAGAATCTTCTCAGCTGCATTTTGCTAAAGCCGCGCTTCAACGCCCCCGCTAATTTTGTCCACTCGCTGGTGTCAAGTTGGCCACGCTGCTCCCTCATCTTGCTGCGCGTGGACTCGATGTGTTCTTTGACCTGTTCCCAGGACACGGGTACCTTCTCGGATTCGAGGGCCTCTGAAAGGTTCTGTCTCGGCCCGTCTTCAGCCTGCACAGACTCCGGAATAACGCGATCGTGGGATGGTAGTAAAATGATCTCGGAAGGCTTGCCCAGGGTCTCTATATTCAGACCGGCCGTGGGTGTCCGTCTCAGCCTTCGATAGCGAGTGCTCTTGGTTCGAGGAGGTACAGGTATCGATGCCTCCGTGATGGATTCATGAGGTGCAATCTGCGTGTGGATAGGCTCTGGCTCGTGGTAGTCGTCGTCATCGTTGATAGATCTTGCAACTGCGGCGCTCTGATGGCGAATGAATCCGCGGCCAGGAGCGATTGAGGGTTGAGGCGTGGGCCAACCAGGGCTCTTGCGCGCAAGATTTCGCTGACATCTCAGGCAGATGTGAGCGACCCTCGGTGCGCGATTGAACATAAAGAGATGTCTGTACTGACGCAGCCTGTGTGCGCAGTGGTCAGAGAAGTTGAAACCTCAAAGATATGAGTTCTCCAAAAAGTCCATCCAGAGTAACTCGGGGCTTGGCACGGAAGTAGCTCACGTGGGCGCTTGCCTGCCCGGGGGGGGGGGCCAATTCTATCACAAATGAAAGCAGCAGCATCTATCAAGAATCTCGTTGCTGCCAGACGCGGAGCATTTGCCTTGTGCCACAGTCACAGGTGTCTGAAACGTTTGCTATCCCCGAGAGTGGTGGTTTGTATAAGGTGCGATGCGCAATAGATCATCCGACACGAGTGAGGGAAGGGCACGCACTGCCGTTCACATATCACCCGTCATTTCTCTTCCTATACTCAATCCCATCTCCCAGCCAAATCACACAGGCGACTGTACCTCTGGTATCTCACCGTGGCTCTCTGAGCCTCATGTTCGTCCCTAAACGAGACGGGGTGTCTTTACGAGCGCCGATCTGGGCCCCATCGCTTATTTCACTCCCATGTTTCAGGGGCGGTATGGGTCTTCTGCCAAGCTTGAGTCAATCTCGACGGTTCTGTTTGAATGGCCCAAGCAGCGGTAAGTACGTGCTTGTACTGCGCCGACGCTGGCTAGTCGGCGCGGAAGCGGTTTGACAATGACCAGGTACTGGACCGGGTGCAGATCTACGACTGCTTCTATTTTGGCACATCGAGTTTTAATGCCCATCGTCGCCTGCTAGCCCGCGAAGACTTATTCGTTGTTTATCTTGCTCTGCTGTCTGCTGAACAGGCCTAAATGCGTACTGTTAGATCGGGATTAAACGCAATCGGGGCCTGGTAATGGCCTACGACAATGGCAAAGAATCTACTCGCACGGCTGTGGGTCGCCTTTACGGTCATCACGATAGGCACAGCACAGCAGAGCCGAACTCAAGACCTTTGTACGGACCTAACAGAACAAGGTAATGCAACAGGAGCCACTGATACGACAGTCAGCTCCGACTCCAACCTAGGAGCCTGGAGAATCAGCGTCCGCTCCAACTACTCCGCCGCGACGCTCTCCGCCATCCCAGGTGTCAACACAAGCTCATCCCCCGGTGCTGAGGCGGATGTCTGGTTTGACCCATTCACCAGCACGGACCTCACCTCCGGCACCAACTGGTATAGCGCGTGCTCATTTATCTTCCGCAACCTTCCCAACAACTTGATCCGCCGGGGCCAGACGGACCGCGGCATCTGCTCGCAGATGCTGTCATCCGAGTGCGTCCACGCGCTGGAAGAGCGCACCGCCAATGTTGCGCGCGGCTTGACCGGCAACCCTATCCCGCAGGGGAATCTCACGGCGGCGGTGCTGGACCCCATCTGTTCTGAGATCCGCCGCTCCATCGGCGAGCCCTCGCTAGCGTCGCGCGATGAGCCACCGGAGGTGCCTCTCCCGAAGGAATGCGACCCCTACTTCCAGCCCGACGAACTCGACCCTGCAGGGCTCCCGGAGATGTTCATCGTCGACGCCTACACGCTTACCTCGAATGAAACTACCACCAGCGATGACGGCCTCAATTGCTCCGCCGCCCTCCCAAACTCCGCGAAATACGGCCAACAATCCTACTCGTTCCCCCGCGACACCGGACTTGTGGGTAGCACCTACGGAGTCTTTGACCTGCCCTTTCCCGACGCGTATGACGAGCTCGTCCACCAGGTCTGGCCCATCTTGACAGTCGTGTTCCCGCAGGCGAACAACTCGAGGGAGAGGCTGGTGGATCTGGCCTACGGGACGATGACATGCTTGAGGGCACGCGACGTGAGGGAAGGCAGCCGTGTGCCCGTGCAATTGGAGGACGGCGACGAAGTGAGCTTCCCCGGTGCAGGCATGGGAAGCGGCCAGATTGCGGGCGTCGCCGTGGGTGTGAGCGTTGCGGTACTGTTGGTGCTGGGAGGGGCTGCGTGGTGGTACTTCAGGAGACGGAGAAGAAACGCCAGGGAGGCTGGATCAGGGCGGCGAAAGGCACTTCAGGATGAGGATGCACGGCCGGTCATGTTGAGCGAAGTAGACGCTTCTCCTGGTGGAGCTGGTCGCCTCGAATTGGCTGGGAAACAGAAGCCGTCCGAACTGGATGGCCAGACGACGGAGTGCTTTGAGATGCCGGCGAGAGAAGAGGTTGGGAAAGAACTTCCTGCCAGGTGAAATGTTTATTCATTCATTCATGTTCAAGCTTTTGATCATCTTTGTTTCTCGAGCTTGCTTTCAGAGCTTGAGAAGATCCCCCTAAACCCATTTGCTCCCTGACTCTCACCGAGGTGGTCATGAGGGCGAGGCTGCATAGTCAGTGCTCGTTCGTGTGAGAACAGGTTGTAGGTGGGTTCAACGCCGCTTTCACCCTATCTGGCACGTTCTACCAGACTGACATCGACGCAAGGCGCGCAGTTTGAGCCCATGACTGTGAGCTACCGTACACGTACTTGCCAGCTTCTAAGGTCTTCCCTCAAGTCGAACTCGGTCAACTCTTTGCCATCGTCATGCTTTCGCTGTTTGCGCTCCTTCTGGCTGTGTTGCATTTGTTGGTCTAGGCTGGACCTTCCACTGACGGCACTAGATTGTGGAATATTGCCTTGCATGTTTTCTGAGCTTACAGCACGTTTGTGTCCGTAATGGCCATGACGGGCCATGTCAGGTGTGAGATGTCGCGGAGTTACGGTCCTTCTAGAATCGGCGTCACTGGAGCTGCTACCCAGGCTCTCATCCCTGCTTCCTAGGTGCACAGCATGGCCCAGCCTCCTTGTCGGCTGGGTCTCTTGGACGAGTCCGCCATCACCTCCTGCAAACAGGTCTTCGATGAGCTTATCCGGCGCCAACTCACCGTTCTGACAAGCCCACGTGGCCGCAAGTGTTCTCCGGTATAAGTCTTGCACCTCAGAAAGCTCTCTAGTCTTGCTGGTGATGCTCGGCATGTCCTCGCCATCGCCAGCCTCAGTACTAAGCACACCTGCAATACCGCCAGCAATCATGGCAGACTTCAACGGCGGCGCGATGAAGTTGGTGTCTCCTTCGGTCTGCTTCATCCTGATGCCTATCTTGAGTGTAGAGTTGATCTTGCTATCTTGTAGCAGGTAGCGACGTGTGATTGAGCCATCTTCGCTGTCGTCCTGCGGATCCCGCTCGGCTGCACTCATTTCGGGGAACTGTGTGTATTCGGCCAGGTTGAGCTTGATGTTTCCAAGAACTACTCGTCCGCCTCTAGCACTGCTGTGGTACTCTTGGATAATCTCGAAGTGTATATCACATTCTTGCAACATCTGGTTCTTCTCGATCGTAAGCCGAACGGCGAGCTCTTTTGTGTACTCCCATGTTGCCTTGTGGTCGCGAATCTCGGCCTTGTCGGTTCTGCCGCGGTGCTCAGCAGCACTCGACGAGGACAGGTGCCATTTGATGTATGCGGTGCCGGCGATGAGCGGAATATTGGTCAGGTCAATGAGGCGGAGTGTCAAGTCAAACTTGGGCTAGACGAGCTGGTTAGTGGTGCGAGTAGGCGCCGTGGGCAGGGCCGGCAGTACCTTTCTATTTTTCGGTACTGTGAAAGCGAGGGAGTTCAGCGCTTGCTTGCGCAGCATGATAGTGGATGGGAGTGTGGAAGCATGATTCGATGTGGTGGTCGAGGTGACTTACCAAAAGCCTGCATTGTTTTCACGGAACAGCAGCAGAGCGCTCGTGCGTGGCACCCTGCGCTGAGTGGATTGGCGAACGCAGAACGATTCTTCGCGACTCACTTCACATGCTCGCGCATCGAAGATCTGGAGTCAAGCAGTTACATGCGTCAGAGGGGCCGGCAGACGTGGGGGACGTCCGAGCGGCAACAGGCCGGCGACGCCGGGTAGCGACAGTCTCCGCCTTTCCGTGCTAGTTGACGACGTTTGGATCTTTGCTTCTTCGAGCCACCACGACATTCAGTGAACGTAGTGTTCAAGGAATCAAAGGAATTAAAGGAATTGGTGTCTTCTGGCTGCCTAGTACCTCCTTTACATCTACCGATCTATTCATCGCTAAGTACAAATAGCACCAGCAACGTTGCCGTGCCGCAGCGTTGCTGTTTGTGGCTGCTTCGGCCTCGACATGCCTAAAATTTGTGAACATCCTCACTGCTGTAACCGAGCTCTTTGAGGATGCCACCAACACTGCCTTGCGTCCAGCCGCCCATACCTTTGCTTCCCGCGATGCTCTCGATCATGGCTGGAGGCCCGGAGACCAGGACCTTAACATTAGACTCGGACAACCTATGGGGCATGACCTTGGCCAGCATCTCCTTGGTGACATGTCCGGTCTCGTAGAGACCTTCGCCCTCGCTGCTCGTCTTCTTGACCGTGTACAAGCGCTGGAAACGATCGGGGTGCTTCTGAGCAAGTGCATCAAACTCTTTCTTCAACAGAATGTCCTCCTCGCTGTTGTTCGCGTACACGAGCGAGATGCGAGTCTTGTCCTCGGGGTTCCGCAGAATGGCCCGAGTTAGCTGGTAGAGTGGCGTGATACCGGAGCCGCCAGCAATCATGGTGACATGAGAGTACTGGTTGGGTTTCCACTCGAGTTCCTGCAGAGGTTTGAACTTCATAGTGTCACCGGGAACTAGCGAATGCATCTTGGTCGAACCTTTGCCACTGGGATAGTGCTTGACCATGAATGTTACACTGCCGGGTTCGTCTTACACACGTCAGTACCTGCATCAAGCCGAGACGAAGAGTCGGCGCTTACCATTGGGACTGACCGGTGTGTAGGGTCTAAAGACCGGGATCCATGCACCCTCAGGTGTGTGCTGAGTTAGGAGTGAAGCTGGTCAGGGATTAGCCCGAGTTCCTCACACGCCCACGGTCCTGTGGCATAACGCTTCACTCACTGATGGGCGATAGACCAGTAATGGACTCGTCGTCAGGGAGAGAAAAGGTCAGTTTCTTGACGTTGTGATTGACCATTTCACTGCTCTCCAGCTTCAGTTCGGTGAAGCCTTTCCACGGCATCTTCTTCAAGGCGGCCTTGGCGTCTGAGGGAATCGATTCCGCATGAGCTTGCGTCAATGTGAAGAAAGTCGTGTCGTAGTATCTGCTACCCACGTAGCCTACAGCAGTGCCGGCAGTCGCAAAGCCAGCAACCCTGGCAGCTGGTCGAACGAATGATGCCATCTTATGGAGCTAGCTAGAGGACCCCTGAGCTGCGATTTACCGAATAAGTAGTATGTTGTCGAGAATGGGATAAAGGGATCTCCGTGAATAAGTTGATGATAACACAGCTGACGAAGATACTCAATGAACGTTCTATAAGACAACAAGATGTGAACCAGATGAAGCTGGCGTTCTCTTTGAGGACAAATTCGAGATGTTGAGCTGTCCTCGGAGCCGGAGCCCGTATGTCCAGGGCCCCCGATGCTAGGATTCTTAACTGGACTTGGCTCAAAGCCATCACGAACAGGGTTTAGCTGCCGTGGCCTGATGTAAAAAAAGCGTCAATGTCGGAAGCTGTTCTTCCTTTTCGCCGACCTCTACCTCCGTATACACATTTACTGCGACAGCGTGGTGGGCGTGCGAACGCGCAATCAACCCCGGTATTCTCATTGCAACAATGTGTGAAAATTGGCATAATGAGCTCGATCACCATCTGAATATGATGGAAACCGGAGCGATGGGCTCTCGGCCCTGTGATGCCTCTGGTCATTGATTGCGTTCAACACATTGGCCAAAGAGTGGTTGGCATCCTGCCTGAGTTCTCTCCGGTTCTCGAAGGAGCATCACGCGTTGGAAGCGGCGATAAGTTTAGTCAGTAGCCCCCATTGCTGTTAGAAGGACAGCAGTGCTGACCAGGCTGGGTTTGCTGCTGGAGACATTGACTGTTCGATTAACTCTGCCTCTCTGATTTGAATGCATTGGGACGCGAGGTCCAACATCCGCAAACGGTTGAACCGTAGACTGTCCGTGGTATATATACTTGCGCTGAGACCAGGTTCGATACATGGGGTCCGAGAAGCAGTGCTCGAATTAAATTGCCAGCTCCCTGGCTCATTTGCCGGGTTGCTTTCCGCCTACAGAGCCGCTTACTTACTAACGTACATGTAACGACAACTCTCGGATGCAGCACCTGATAATGGGCTGGGGTCAGTGAGCCTGCAGGTGATGGCTTTCCTGACGGACAAATGTTGAGCACCGAGTAGTCGACATCATAGTGGGCTCTATAGGATTCGTGACCACGATTGCGGAGGGCAATTAATTCGCCTCCTCCGGAATCCAGGTTGAAGGTGTGCCGCGTGACTTGAAAGACCTGGACCCGACCGTCAGTGGGATGGGCTGGATGATGCTGCGTCAACAGTCTGGGGCCATCCTTGCAAGACGTTGTCGTCACGGTGTCTGATCTGCCGGATGATTTTGTTCTCACGACCTAGCTGCAAGCTGCGACGTTCCCTAGCTCCACGAGCGGCCGCATAATGGTCCTGAGGCTATGAAGCGTTTAAGGCGATACAAGAAGCCCCATTGTTGGTCAGTATCACATCAACTGTCTTTTGACGGATTTTCGCCATAGGCCATCAAGGAATGTAGCAGGACATCAACGTGACCAGACTCGTGACCAAGCCAAACAACATTTGCGCCCCGTGGATATCATTTCGCCTATCTCCTCTATCGATAGTGTCTCGGATCTATCCATAGCCGCACCATGTGACTTCGCTCCGACCAATCGACCGGGAACGGTCAAGGCAGACTCAGCTGGCGTGAACCGGCTAGCACCGGCGCTGAGCGGCATGTGCATGCGTGCAGCGTGCAGCTGTCAAAGCAGCAAAAAAAGGAACAGTCCTTGCCAGAAGCGACAAGGTACCTGCATCAAGACCTGCAGCGGAGACGCAAGGAACTTGAAAGTTGGCAGGCGAGAGCTTGGAGCCTCGGGCAGCGGGCGGGTGCGGAGTCGATCTGCACCGCTTCGGCACTCCGAGCTGCACCGCCACTTCAACCTGGGAAGGTGCACCCAGCAGCCTAAAAATTCACCGCCTCACCATCTGCCCAGTGCAAACAGCCGCGCACAGGTCGCCTTCGCGCGCTCCGAGAATCGGTCGCGCAGCTACTGCACCTTGCCCGTCATGTTGGAGATCTCTGACTCGGATGAGCACTTGTTACGTCGGTAAGCAAGACCTCACCAAAAATGGCAGTGTGCCGATGCAGTGCTAGATCCTGCCCCGTGCTGCCGGGCTACCGCTATATGCGTACATGCATGCGTCGTCATCGTGATCATCATCTGAGGTGGAAACGAAACATTGCTCAACTCTGCATAAAGTCACATGTGGGAGAGAAACGAAACTATGCCGGGCGCGTGCTGCAACAACGAACATCCACGTTCATCCTGGAAGTCTGTGCAACTTGTCACATGATTTCTCGTCATTTGACTCGACGGGCTTTTGTACGTGGTGGCCAATAGGCGCTCACAGCAGGCATCTTTCCTTAGTGGGTTTTGTTAGTGTACTACCTTACCGCCAATCAGGCAGCAAAAGTGCTTCAATGCGAGGATAACATCAGCTGCCTCCCGTGCACTAAGCTGGTCAAGTTTCCAAGATATGCCATCGACTGGTCATGCACCGTTCAGTCTCCAGGATCCTCGTCTGACCTTTCTCTGGCATCTTTTGGCCTCGACTGGCCGACGACATCAACGGCCGTCAAAGACACCCGAAACTCTCGTTCCGTACGCCCTGAACATCACGTTCTGTTGAAACCCCTATGCCCCAGGCGGGGGTAGCCGCACTCTTGGGTCTGCAAATGGCCTTTGCGATATGGGTCTTTGATCCTGAACGATGAGACAGCCGCGTTTAGTACGGGGCGAGCCTCGGGAGGAAGCGCCAGGTGGTGTAAACTTCCGTAGAGCTTATTACATCTGAGCAGTAGTCAGCATTCAAAAGGGCCAGCCACCTGTTGGCGCCAGGGGTCATGTCCCCGGAGCGTCTTTGTTAAGCACGGACTGCAGCGCACGCGTAAGGCGTTTCATTTTCTTGTGATAGACTTCGAACGCCGTTAATGTGCCCTTGCTGCGCGGCAACTTGAGTCGAAATTACGTCTTGGGCGCAACCAAATTCAGGTGGTTTTCCGCAAGATCAGCCATCATCTCGGAGACGAAGGCGGGAGATTCGCGTGGCTTGAGCTTCTGGAACATGGTCAAAACGATTTCTCGGGTCATTGATCGTATACGGGCGTCATGTCATCCCTGGATTTCGGGCGCCGCGACACTCAATCGCAAGAGGGAGATTATGGGCTGCGAACCAAGACCCAACAGAAGGACTGGACAGCCTTGCGGATATCGCGGCGATTCGGCGAAGGCTTCAGACAATCTGCTGGATGATTACCATGGTTTTCCGGGGAATGAAGCTGATTTCGATTGCAATGGTTTCACGTAGTTGAGCTGGCCCGAGATGGCCAGTGAGAGCTGATTCGGGCAGGATGGCTTCGTATGTGCATATGCAGCTAAGAGATGGACACCATTTTGGGGTCCTCGCCGAGCGCATGCCTATCGTATGCGGCCGTGCTGGGAGACTGGAGTTCAAGAGCGAGTTCCACACGCTGGAGCTCAAGCTGACCCTTCAAAAGACGGCCAAGTCAAAAGACAATCAAAAGACCGCCGGCGTCGCCAGGGACCTGCTGGACTGCTGGACTTGGCCGCTGGAAAGGTCTGCGTAGACCTGCAGTAGTTTGTGTGCCCTCGTGAGGCGCAGCTCGAGTCTTTTTCGCCTCCTCCGCCTAACCCACCCGTCGGTCTCGCCATAATCCACTTGGATGCATTGCTAAGTCTGAGCTATGCCCCATCCTGTGCGGCTGCAGCCAGCCAGTCACCTGCCATACATGGCCTTTAGGCAGGCGGCATAAAAAGGTATGAACCAGGGCTCTGACCCATATCTCTTCTCTCTGTCGGTTGTCCCCGCCATCCATCACCACCTCATCCCTAAACCCCTCCCCTACAACCTCATACTTCTCTCCTCGGCGCGCACACTATTCCGAAGATACGGACCGCCGCAGTATAATCTCAACGACTTCTATATATCCGCCCCGCCCCACCACTCATTACGACGACACCGGACCCCAAACGACATTCACTCGAACACACCGAAATCAGTTTCCTAGTCTTATACTTTGTTTTGTCGATCAAAACTGCACACAGACCTCCATATAATGCCGCCAGTATTACTACCCGCCTCCGCGGCTGCGTACGCGCCCCGATCAACATGTAACGTCGTCCTCGGCGCCAAGTCAGAGCCATGGTTGACCGCCCGGATAAAGGCTGTCAACAAGGTTAAGCGACCTCTCAACAGTGTTATGCAAGTAACAAGATGTCTGACTGAGCTTTTGTCCTCGCCTAATGCCATCTGGTCGCTGTGCTCATTGATGGTGCCCAAGTCGCCCGAGACCGAACTTCGGAAAGATTCGAATCCTTTAGTTGAGGCTCTCTTCAACTTCCAGCTGGTCCATATCGAAGCCTACGTGGTTCATGTCGACATGGTCTCGCAGAACGAAGTCGCATTCAAGCTGACCCAAGACACCATTGACTCGCTTGTCGAGCACCATAAGGAGGTCTTCTCCATCGACACGGCGGCCAATACCTGGAGCTGGAACGAAAAGGACCAACAGTTGAAGAAGCTACAAGAGGAGTTTGTGCAGGCAGCCAACAAGTTCGTCTATCGGACCAGTGTCCTGGCCTTGGAGGGTATGGAGGAGGAAGGCGCGGGTGAGCTCCTGTGTGGCAGAAGTGAGGAAGTCAAGTCTGCCATCTCGGGTCTCTTCGTGCCTCTACTCCCTCCTCCCCCAAGGATAGTCGATATTGTCCGACCGACGCCATTGCTCCCCAGCTCTACCACGGCCGAGCAATGGTGGCCTTCGCAGCATATCCAGGCCATCAACCCTGCCCCTGTTGAGGCGTGGAAGGTGGTCCCCTCGAGCCCCAGCCCTGTATCGTCATGCGATTCGCATCACAGTATGTGGCCGTCGGTTCAGGACATGCAGCTTCCTTCGCCAGCTCCATCTTACAGCCAGCCATTTTCCACGGCCTCATATAGCACAGCCAACTACTATAGTGCCCCAGCATACAGCACACCAGTGTCCACTGCGTCGTTCTCAGCACTTCCTCTACCCAGTACCCTGACACAGCAACCATGCAGTACATCTGCTGCCATCAGCAACTTTGGGTGGGACCGCTATAACGAGTACACGATGCCGTATGCTACTGCCATGTGACTTGGATCCGGCACCAGCACCAACACCGGCACCGGGCCTCATTCGATTCTACCAACGTCGACTGCCTCTAATCTCTGGCATCAGGGCAGATTTACATGAGACATGCGGAACCGACACAGACGACGCATGCGAGTATTACTATCATCGGCATACATGGATGGAGTTTTTTTGACCAATTTAGCGACTACAAGGATACCACTTTGCGACTGATTTCTGGGAACATCAAGCGGGAACCCACATTTGATTTTCAGCAAGCGATTTGATTTTGACCTTTCCTATCTTATATGCGGCACCGCACCGACAGCAGCGGCAGGACGGTCCTCTGCTCTTTACAGTATTGTTTGAAAAAGATATCCCAGGCTGGATATAATTCACAAGACGGATGCCTCACGGCTAAAGAGATGGAATACATACGCGGATTTTTTTTCGTCGTGGTGGCTCATGGTGGCTCTCATCATCAGGCTAGCCTTGTTGATATTGTGTTATCATCCACCTGTCTGCGATCGCAACATTGAACACTGGTTGGCAATGAAGATCGAGCAGAGAGCGGCAAGGGTGGGAGTGCATCTATCTGGTATAGACTGCCTACCGCCTTGCTGCACATCTAAAGCCCGACAGCCGGGACGGAAAGGCTTGTCCACGAGTCGATGCTTTGCCTGTGGCAGACTAGACATCATTCGGATCTGTGATCGGAGTGGCGTGACCTGCAACGACTCTCGACTGTTGGGAGGATGGTGTGCAGCTTAGAGGCTCATCCCCTCTATCTCGACTGGATTCGAGAATGCTTCTATCTACTGGATTGGATAGATGAACCAGATGCAGGATACACTGACTCAACTACATACCAAAAAAAAGAACCCATTCCAATCTCCAATCGGTCTTCTGGTTGCCAAAGTCTCGAGTAGTATTCCCGCATATCCGGCCTTTTAGGACAAGTTTGCGAGGCTAAGAATAGGCGCGCAACACGGCCGTTAAGGAAGCTCTCGTCAGCAGGAGTGGCATTCTTGTCTGGCCTTGCGGCCTTGACTACGCAGATTCCGCGCCCCTAGCCCTCAGTAGCCACTGACCAAGTCAGCATCACCTGAACGAGATGTCTTTAACGGCCATTGAGGTTGCCGACCGCCGACTACCGACTATAAGGCGCCGACGACACGGGCGACGCCGAATGGACCTAACTGGGTCTAGAGTGGTCTCCTGCACAATGTGACGTAGATAGCACCACTGCTCCCCCGTCTATGCCAGCCGCTCGTGCTCAACTCATCAACCCGCTTTCCCTCTCTCTAAGCATAGTACCTCAACTAAGTAACAGTAAATGAACCGGAGCAATTCTCGGCTTTGTACGGCGTCTGCACTATCCCAGTCTTTGACAAACCACGGCCGTGACTGCGGTGAACCTCGAATTGAGCTTGCGATCCTGCTCAGCATGATATCAATCCGGATACACTTCTCGAGATAGCAGAGGCGGCCAGGCTTGCAGCCCACGCTACTCAGATATCTACGACATGGCAGAATTACACAAGGCGTTACAGGCCCTTGCACCGGCCGATTTCGCCGAAGTGCCGTCGAATCCGGAGGATCTCGACGCCTACCTGAGTGATATATTCGAGCAAACACAGCTGATCCTAGATTCAATACCCATCGCCAGTCCCGATGAAGCCTCTCTACAACGCGCAAAGCCTGGCACGTCCCCCTCTGCCGCTTCAAGCGCCTCCGAAATGCTCACGTCCGGGGCCCGCAGCGAACCACCTGCGGCCGATCGTTTGGCTCTTCAGAAGGAGTGGGGCAAGCCGATAAAGCTGGGTCAGAAAGAGAATACTCTTGGGATGTCTGTGTATAAAGCCAGCGGCAAGGACAGTCGTGGTGCATGGTTTGCGAGACGCAGTGTTCATGAAGGCTTAGGCTTCAACAGGTTCAAGAAGGCTTTTGAGGCGGAATTTCCCACTTCACTGGCAGTACAAGGTAACCCTGGCGAGGGCAACATTCGTGGCATTGGCGCAGAAACGCGGGTGGAAGATATCACAGCCCCAAGCCAGGGCAAGGTGGAGGTTTACAGACTCAGCGCCCAGTTTCCAGGCCCGACTACCCCGCGAGATTTCGTAACGCTTCTTCTGACCTCTCCGAAGGCGTTGAAGCCACAGAAAGAAGGCCAGCTAGTACCACGGCACTATATGATTGTATCTAAGCCATGCAATCACCCGGAAACGCAGCCCAGAGATGGTTTCATCCGGGGCCAGTACGAGTCAGTCGAATTCATTCGCGAGATACCTCGAAGACTGAAGACTTCTACCTCGTCGACGGACTTGAGCCACATAGCGCACAGACATGGCCATAACCTCGAGCAGGATGTTCTCATCCACAATGCGGAGAAGTACGGCCACCTGAACCCTGGCGATGAGGACAAAGCCAGCCGTGGAAACTCTCGAGACCCCTCACCTGCTGCACGAAAAAGAAGTCACACTGTGGCAGATCCGGTACCATCATCGTCCCAGCGAGCGAGCGGTGACGGGTACGACCCCGAGGACAATCCCGTGGAGTGGATCATGGTAACGAGAAGTGATCCTGGTGGCTCGGTTCCTCGATTCATGGTTGAACGAGGGACACCCTCGAGTATATGTGCGGACGCGGTCAAATTCTTAGACTGGGCCTGCAAACTAGACGAGTCTGCTGTCGATAGCCCAGACACACCTACAAAGCCTCCGACAGCCTTCCGGAGAGAGAGTTTCACGAGCTTTGCGAGTAGAGAAAAGTTTCCAGATGTTGACGAAGACAACGACAGCAAAGGGCAGCTCAGCGCCCAAGGTATACCACAGGCTACACTAACAGATGCGACTCCCACGACGCCAAACATGCCTCAACAACAGTCAGGTGTATTCGCATCTGTCGCAGGCGCCTTCTCAACTTACGCTCCCCAGTCAGTGCTCAATCATTTCCCAGCAAGCACTGAGCAACAGCCAAGCTCCGATCCAACAACCCAGGCAACGTTCAAGCAACCGTTGGGTGTTGATGTGGACGATAACGATGCCGCATCTACGATTTCCAGCACCTCGTTTGCTTCAGCCGACTCACATCTTTCTCGCGAACTATCTCCTGACTCGCCCACCGCATCGTTTGTGTCTCAAACTTCAGGCAACAAGCCGCAGACGGCGCACGAGAAAGAACTCGCCAAGCTCGCTCAGCGTCGCAGTACCCTGGAAGCCAAGCACGCCGCCACAAAAGCCAAACTCCAAAGCCAGACGACCACCACCTCAGCCAAGGAAGCCGCCGCGCTGAAGAAAGCCGAGGAAAAGCACGAAAAGGAACTCAGGAAGCACGAGGAGCGGTACAAGCGCGAGCTCGAGAAGCTCGAGCAGCGCAAGGTCAAGGAGGACAAGAAAGCCGAAGCGCGCAAGAAGCGACAGGGGGAAAAGGACGAGAAGGACAAGCTGCGCAACGAGCGCGACGAGCTCAAGGAGAAGCTCGAGGTCCTGGAGCGCGAGGCCGAGCTGTGGCGCGCACAGGTCGGCGATCTGCAGAAGCAGAACACCAATCTGATGGCCCGCATCGGGCGGCTGGAGGCTGGCAGCGGCGGCGGCGGCGACGCACGCAGCGAGGGCTCCGGCCGCAGCCACACGGAGCCGATCGAGGGCGAGCAGAGCCGGTCCTCGACGCCCACCCCCGCGGGCCTGGCGCCGCGGGCAGCAATGGGCGAAACGGAGAAGCGAAGTCACAGCGACGAAAACCTCAAGCGCTTCTCGTCGCGCGTGCGCACCATGACGCTCAACAGTCTGGGCATGGGCGACAAGGCGGATGCTGGTGAGGCCGCCGGTGGGAGTGGTGGAGGTAGTCAGAACCGCAGCAGGAGCAGCAGTCTATTCCGAAAGAAAAATCACCTGGCGACAGAGGGGGCTCCGCCGGAGAAAGGCATGGCGATGGCGGCGAGCGGTTCGGAGAAGGCGAGCTTGAGGAGTGAGGGCAGTGAGAAGAGTCGTGCGTCTTAGGAGGGCGGCGTTGGTGGACGGGCGAGGGGAAGGTCGAGGGTGTCGTGGTAGCTAGCTCGCTAGCTAGCTTACTCAGCAATGGCGTCTCTACCTAGGAACGATGACTAGTGGCTCAATTGCTCGGGATGGCGGTGAGTGTTGGCGGTGGGGCGATGGGCTTGGTGAGGGCAAGAAGGGGGACAGGGGAGGGGCCAGGAGAGCCTCTGTACATGCATTGAATGCACACATGATGATTGCAAGTAACGAATTCTGATTGAAGCTCAAAAACAACGTGAGCAGCCGCCACACGGCCGTTTTCGAACCACCGTAGCGATGAGGAAGGACTCTTTTCTTTTCTTATTCTATCAAAACGATCTTACCCACCCCTCGCTCTCCTCAGTCAGCTCAGCCGATCAACTCCCGCAGATGCAGCAGCAACTTCTTGCCCTCGTCCCCCTTCTTGAGCTTCTTCTCCCCGACGATGAGATCGGCCAGCGTGCGTTTCCGCTCTTGCACCCTCACGATGTTCTCTTCCCACGAGCCCTTGACCACGAATCTCACCAGGAACACGGGCTTGAGTTGGCCGATGCGGTGCACCCTGCTCAAGGCCTGCTCCTCGAGCATGGGGTTCCACTGGGGCTCGAAGAGGATGGCGTGGTTCGCGGCGGTGATGTCGAGGCCCTGGCCGCCGCAGGTGATAGAGACGAGGATGACTTTGATGCGCGGGGTGGGGGTTGCGAACTTTGCCAGGACGTTGTCACGTTTCGGGCGCGTCAGGCGGCCGTCGTAGCGGCAGGAGGAGATGGAGGCTTGATCGAGAGCGTATTGGATCAGATCCAGGGTACTTGTCCAGTAGGAGAAGACCGCGCATTGGTCGGCTGGGGCGGTTTGCTGGACGTATTGGACGAGGGTCTGGACTTTGGAGGAAATGAATGGCGCTGGCGCCTCCAGTGTCGAACTGTCGGGATCTGAGGATGCGGGCGTGCTAGCTGAGGCGGGCGATGCATTCGCCGATGAATCCATAACACAAGTCGCGCATAACTGCTGCCGTGCATTACGAAGTCGGTCGACGCGGCCGACTGTGAGATTGTCCACGTCTGTAGCATCCTCCAGATCAGAGCCGCATACGACACATACGAGGACCGATGCACACAGCAGCTGGTCCAATTGCTGCTGAAAGTTGAGCCCGTTCTTGGAAACGTCCTCCTCGTACTTATCATTGCGTCTATGCTTTTCTCGGACAGGTGCAACTCCATGGTTGCAAATGTATCTGAGGTCGTTGATCCGTTGAAAAGCACTGAGGTAGGCCGAGCCACGTTTTTCTGTGTCAGCTATCGCATGCTCAATGAAGTCAAGTGTGCCAAGTTTCGTTGCTTCGTAGATCTCGCTTTCCGCAGCGTTCAAGGTGACATGGCGGGATACTGCATGGCTGTCAGTTAAAGTGGCCACTTCCTTTGGTCGTCGCAGGCACAACGCCGATGCTAGCTTCTGCAGCCTTTGTAAGGAGACATCGCTCATTTGGGTCTTCCATGGTTGAGATATCTCAGTTTCGAAAAACTTTGGATCATTGAAAGGATATGCTCTTAAGAAGCACAGAAGGCTCGCAAGGTCTCCAAGTCGATTCTGAATAGGTGTCCCTGTTACAACCCACCTGTGATCAGCCTCGAGGGCTCGTATTGCCCGAGCATTGGCAGTATTCTTCGATCGTATCACATGTGCCTCATCGAGGACGAGACGGTGCCAGTGGGCGTGGAAAAGCGTAGGTGAGGAGTCTACACGCGAGCCACACTTGTGAGCTTTGTGGTCCGCCGCAACACAGTTGTACGTTGTGATGACAATATCTGTGTCAAGATACCGTTAGTCATTGGGGATGAGCACTTGGAGTGAAATGCTAGGGTAGTTGAGGTCACCAAGGGCGCTGGTCCGCCTTTCGGACCGCATCGTATTGATAAGAACTTACTGCGATATCAGTTAGCAGAGGTGTTCAAGGTGAGAATCACTACCAGCAACAAGACAAGGCGTCAGAAGATCTCCAAGGCGGCTGCCCAACACTGTGTAACTGAAGAGGTCCCCAGATAGTCGTAGGTCGCTCTTCTTATGCCACAATTGCGAAACACTCTGGCCACCAACTTACCCGAAGTCGACGAGACGGCTCAAGAACCGTCGGCGTTGGCTGCCGTGATATATGAGGACCGAGACAGCTGAAGGATAAAAATGCCGCTTGATCTGGATATCCCAGACTTGTACCAGTGATGCTGGGACGATGATCAAAGTCGCCTTGACCCGATTTACAGGTATGCCCCGAGACACGCTGTTGCCCGCAGAGGCGACAGCGGGCTTTGCGGCTATAAGGGAAAGCATTGAAAGAGTTTTCCCTAGACCCATTGAGTCGGCCAGGCAGCCGCCCCGGAATTCAGGTGGTGGATCGAGTTGAGAACTGCCACAAATCGTGTTGCGGTAACGAGTACGTCCATTGTGGTCAGTAAAAGACTTCCAGACATCTGTGCGGCCCGACTCGAGATCCCACCCGTCTTCGCGTTGTGTCAGGAATGTCAGTGCTTGTTTCTGGTGACGGCGGAGAGGCGTCTTGATCAAGGCCGGCTGCCCTGCTTCTTCGAGTGTATCGTAGCTGTCCAGCTCTGTCATGGGGTTGAACAGGTCCTCGTCCATATCCGGCTCAGCCCAAGAATCATCGACTAGATCGGAGGTAAGTGTGATTTTGGCATCATCGAAAGATAGACATTGAGGGTTCTTGTATGGCACATCGCGGGCACAGTCCCGGGGACATTGAAGGAAGAGGTCGCACTGACCCAGCCAGTCGCCGACACCTAGTGCCTCGTTCATGGGGCCATACAGAATTACACTCACGTCTTTCGCGGCGTTTGCTGGCCCCGATGAGCTCGCTGCCTCTGTTTGCTCTGACACAGAACATTTATCAGATAATGTTGATGATATACGCTGCACAAAGACCTCGAATTGCATGTCCGCTGAGCTGGAAAGCGTCCGCATAACCTGGTAGATGCGATCGGGCAATCTTCCGATGCACTGACCGTCTTCGACAGAGAGCAAGTTTTGGATGCCGTTCCAACACCAGTGAGATGCTAATGACCTTTCTGACACCGTGACTGCGTCGGTCTTGGTCAGTCCAATGTCAATGAGCTGTACAACGGTTAGCGTCCATCAATATAGTTGGTTAATATTGCCCTACCATGCCATAACAGATTACGTCCGAGCCTCCTATAGCGGGCTCACCAGATTCCTCTTCACCGCCACTCACTGAGTGTGAGGAGGAGGTCGGCTCATCCTGACTGAGGCTTGTACCACTGTCGTCATGAGGGTCGGGACCTTCTCTTACATAACCGTGGTCCTCTTGAGTGTATGCTGCCTCAATAGCGATACTACTTGCCGAATCAGGCTGCAGCGTGTCCGGCCTCGGCTCGATTTGCCAGCATTGCCCTAAACCGTCGACGTTCCAAGGTGTGTGAGCGGTGTACTCGATAATGCCACTTGATTGTAAGGTTTCTTCTGGCGCACAAGAATCATCGAGCCTCCGGCGTTTGGAGGAAGTAGAGTTGACATAACACGATGTCGTTGGAGTCTCGGTGGTGCGGCTTTGGGTCGCGAAGGCTGTGTGGAGTTAGACGGCTGCTACCGTGCAACCGCGTTGCTTCCCGAGAGTCAGAGCTTAGAGCGCACTCACCCATCTGTGTAAGAGCCTACGACAGCTAGTCACCGCCGGCGCGGAGCTGCTGATGGAGTAGACGACAAAGGAAGAGGAAGCAAACCGCGGAGGCACATCGGCTGTCTCTATGACAGGGTGTGATGAAGCCGGCGGTCGGCCATGTTGGCTGAGTGCAGCTGCGCCTCATGCGAACCACCTTCCCTCCCAGCCTTACTACCTGCAGCACTGCTGCGCCGACTTGCAATGGTAAAAGAGCGTCTATGGACTAGCATCGAGTCATGTTGGCCATCACTACCTCTGTGACAGTCTAGATGTCGACGACGGCGGCCTCTGCACCCAATAGCGGGTCCTCCATCGATCAAATCCGAGATGCCTTCACACGGCTCGAGTCTGAAATACATGGTAGCGACGCTCGCATGTTCAAGTCCACCTCATTAGACGCCGTAAGAGAAGCTGCCAGGATCATCGAGAGAGACCAGGGGCAGAGACGGACTCTTCGAAATCTTCGCAAGATCGAACCGCTATGTCAGGCTCTAGGCAGGTTTGGTGGGGCCATTGAAACGCTATGCCAGGGCACGCCATACCTATGCTTCATATGGGCTCCTATCAAGCTCATGCTGCAAATTGCCGACGACTACACTCAAGGCTTCAAGATCTTGGTGGATGCGTACGGCCAGATCGCTCAGCATCTTCCCCGCCTTGATCGCTTCGCTTCTGTATTTGCAGACCAGCCTGACTTCCAGGCGGTGCTTGCTGATGTCTACACTGACTTAGTTGACTTTCACTTGCATGCCTACAAGCTCCTTCGGCGTCCAGGATGGAAGCTGCTGTTCGATGCAAGCTGGCGAGGGTTTCAGGCCCGCTTCAATGCCATTCTGCGAGGCCTGAGCGAAAACAAGCGTTTGATAGACGACGAAGCCAACAGCTTCAACATTCTGGAAGCCAAAGCATTCCGAACGCGTCTCTACGCATCTCTCGAACGTGAAGAGTCCGACCGACGAATTTGGCAGCTACGCGATACGGTCGCGTGGCTCGACTTGAAGGGTCTGGATCGTGAGCAAGAAGATCTTTTCGAAAGACGATCACAGGCTCGCAATCCAGACACCTGCCATTGGATACTGAACAACTCTGCAATAGCAACGTGGCTCGATGAAGAAGACCAACGTCCGTTCGTTTGGCTTCACGGCAAGCCTGGTTCTGGTAAGCAAGACAAACTCGACAGGAACTGCCGGTCAGCTAACAAGTGCAGGGAAAACGACTTTGGCCACTTATCTGGCAGAACACTGCGCTCTGTCTCCAAGCTCCGATCTTCTCTACTGCCTCTGTTCTTATGGCTTCGGCAAGGCTGAACAGAACCCTTGTGGCCTTCTGTTGCGCTCTCTCATTGCTCAGCTACTTAGACGCCATACCGATCTCCTCCCATACGTGTACGACAACTACGTCAAACTTGGCGCAGTTCCTTCGCTCAAGAACATCAAGGAGCTCCTGTTTCTATTACTTGATTCATTGGGCACCATATTTTTGATCCTTGATGGCCTGGACGAATGCGAAGCTATTCATCAGAAGCAAATGTTGGCGGAGCTGACTGCTTTGAGACAGATACCAGGCAACCGTCCCTCAGGTGCTGCGCGACTGAAGGTTTTGATCTGCTCTCGCGAAACTAAGGACATACAGCGAAAACTCATCAAAGTCCCCACAGTATCACTCAGTAAGCAGCAGTTCGTGGATCGTGACATCGCAATATTCGTCAGGAACAGCCTGCAAGAGCTGGTGGAGAGGTTCGAAGAAGCTATTGTCCACGAGCTGGAACGAGATCTTGTCTCCAAGGCAGACGGTGAGCTCTACCCGAATCAAGTGTTCGAACGTACTCACGTTCAGCAGGGATGTTTTTGTGGGCACAGCTCGTTGTGGAGACTGTATTAGCCCAAGAAAGTATTCGAGATCTTCGAGCAGCGATACAGAGTCTTCCGTCGGGACTTCCTGGAGTGTAAGGATGTGTGCAGAACCGTAGACTCTGGCTGACTCCCGCTCTAGATACAGATATATCCTTGACCGAATACGCTTGTGCGAAGATGACCGACAGAGCGCCCGAGCACGACATATACTTGGGTGGCTTGCCTTTTCTTACCGACCCCTCAGATCCTGGGAGCTCTGCGACGGCCTAGTTTTCGGTGAGCCTCTTGGTTTGCTCAACGAAGAGTCCAAGCTTGGACCAGGCATTCTGGATATATGCAAGCCTCTTATTGAGGAACGAGACGCGAATACATATGCGCTAGTTCATTTCTCAGCTCGCGAGTTTGTATGCACTCTTGGTACTGGGAAGTGACTAACTTCAGTAGATTTCTCCTTCACAACGCCAGTACAGATGCTGGGCCTTACTTGACCCCTTCCATCGTGCACAGCGATCTGTCGATCATGTGTCTGAGATATCTTAGCTCATGCGAAATATTCCTCGATAGTCAGCCTGCGCGTGACATAAACGCCGATGTCATACGAGGTTTCCACCAACTTTTTCCCTACGTAAGCCCTCGACTTCTTTGTGCGTCATCTGACGGCGAGTGTCTTCAAAATGCGCCATGTTCCATAGTCTTTGGGGATTGCTCGGCCATTTACCTTCTGACGTGCAGCGAGATCAGAGGCTAATCGTGTACAGGTCTATCAATTCTGGACATCGCATATCTCGGAGTGCCAAAAGTTCATCACAACATGTAAACCGACTGCCCAAGGCGAAATTTCCAATCTCCTCGATCGTATCTTCCTGACTTACAATCACGTGAAAACGACCGACGCGTGCTATCTGCCAGATGCTGTTAGTACACAGGACACAGCGCGATGCTGCCTTACCGGCGACACTTGGCAGCGCTTTCAGCAGTATCATGGACGGGAATCTACTTGGATTGTTCCGCAATCCCGCCAAGACCCTGAGACCGATGTGGCAGTGTCTGAGCGAGACCCAACTCGTCTCTCCGAAGCGTATCAGAACTTCCAGACCATATTCGAGCGCTGTCTTGACGATACTTTGCCCTTATCGCCGAAAGATGCCGGGGTCACCTCCGAAGAGCTGCGTCGCTTCAGGCTGCGTCACAGCACTGCTGCATACTTATGCCGATTTAAAGGTTGCATATGGGCCTCTTTTGGTTTCGCTAATGCTGAAGATCGGAGGAAGCATGAATGCATGCATACACAGGATTATGTTTGCCCAGAACCTGATTGCGGCCTAAAATTGGGATCTCGGAGAGCCTTGAAACTCCACAACCGCAGATATCACACCCAAGTGGCGGATCTCACTTTGCCAACGTTCACCCCACGCGCGAGACGCGAACGTGGACCTCTCGACAAGCCAAACAATACGCAGGCCACCCAAATGGGCCAAATGGGGATCCCCTCCGCGCATCCGCAGCCACGCCTGCTGAACGCTACCATCTCTGGAGCTGAAGAGAAATATACAATCAAGTGTATCTGTGGATACGCAGATGACCGTCCTAACACCGTATATTGCGAGAGATGTGACACCTGGCAGCACATTGAATGCTACTATCCTTCTCAACAGGTTCCGGATGAGCATTTCTGCGCAGACTGCCTCCCGCAAGATATTGACGCCAGGGGAGCGGCTGACCGACAGCGACTCAGACTCAAGCGCCTCAAGCGAGCCGCGCTCGGTGGCGATCACTTAGGCTTTGCCGACACTCACACACCCTTCCTCGAACTCGAAACCTCTAAATTGCTTGTGGCGCATCGCCCAAAATATACCGAGATACTAGAACAGCTCGATACGAAACCTTCCAGCCTCGAATTTCAAGATATCATTGAGCGGGTCAAAGTGCTGCATGAATCTGCCGACACTCGCGTAGAATCCTGTGAGCGCGCACTTCGCCTGATACACGAGCAGATGCGCGATCATGCAACCGAGCAGGAGGAGCGCGACCGTCGGGTGGAGGAAAGGCGGAGGAACCGGGGTGGTCAGAGGAAGAAAGTAGAATCCTTGAAGAGCGTGAAAGCCAGGGAGCGCAGGCCACAGTTCACAAACGCCATGCCACCCGAACTCAGTCCCACAGTTCCAGCCTGGGGCCCGTTCTCCTGATCCGACAAGCTTGACTTCGAATCAATGTTTTCGTGATGGATCGACGACTGAGGGCTTGATACTTCTCGTTCGTAATCCAGGAGTCGGGGTAGGGCGGGGGCCCCTGGCGTCCAATATACATAGCTTCACCATCCATGCCCTGTCAAATCTACGATGGACTTCAACGACCAGTTTGAGCCCTCATGTCCAGAGCAAACAAACGTTTCCACGTGCCCACCCGAAATACGGTCCACCGTTACCTTCTCAAGAAGGGTCAATAAAGGGGGGGCCAAGCAAGGCTCCCGCCCCCTGAGGGCCCAGGGCTGCCCTGCCCGTCTCCCACCGTCTGTGGCCAGCGGGTTGTTTCTGGCTTCAGAATGAGGAATAGAACACACGCTTTGGCCGCCTGTGTGAGTGGCTATGATACCTAATCGTGGGACCGATCTACCGTTTCTACGTACTTTGAGAGGGGTTTGAGCTCTTGAGCTCAACCTTACCCTGTCAATGGCTGTGTGTGTGTGTGTGTGTGTGTGTGTGTGTGTGTGTGTGTGTGTGTGTGTGTGTGTGCAGTAGAAGTCGAAGAAGAAGACGAAATACTAACAGACCGCGCCGCGCCGCGCCTAATCTGTGCGAGTATGTCGCATGAGGGATCATTATACATTACTTATTAGTCTCGTGTGACCACCTCCGCCGCCGCCGCCGTCGCCTTCCTTCCTGATTCAGTACCTATAGAGACTCACTCCTTGAAAAAGTCCACGATAGCCCTGATACCCTTCTGGCCCATGCCGCCGCGGGGATAGCAGAAATACAACGGATCGCCCTGCGTGTTGAACTTTGTTCGGAACGCGGCTTTGCGGTCGACGTGGAATTTCGCCGCGTATGCCTGGTACACGCTGTTCAGCATGGTCGCTCGCGCGACACCCAGATGCTGTCCGCCGGCCAGATCACTCGCGGCGCCGGACCCAAAGGTACAGGACTTGATGCCGGCATCTGCCAGCGATTTCAGGGCCGTTTGCACGGTATGTTCGATGGCGCCGTTGGTGGCCTCGGGGAAGTCAAAGGCCCATTTGAGCTGCGCGCCGTAGCGGGGCGCGAGTTGGGCGGTGACGACCATGGCGTGGACTTTGCCGTCGCGGTCTTGTGCGATAAAGTACTGTCGATGCGTCGAGTCTGTCCAAGGCGAGAGTTCCGAGAGATGCACTTGCGCGCCCTCCCTGCTGTCTTGCCACTTCTTGATTGCCTCGTCGCATTTCTTGCGCACGTCTTCGGGAACGTCGTTGCCGTAACTGGTCACTTTGACGGTGTCTTTCTGCGCGTGTCGGATTTTTCTCTGGACTTCGGTGTCCAGATTGAGGTGCTCGTTGCTTGCGAGATTGACACGCTGCTCGGCGACGTTGGTGAAACTCTTCCAACCGAACTTCTCGCCAACGACTTTTTCGACGTCTTTGGAGACGAGGACGAAGATCGGCTTCATGCTCGTTTCCACCTTGAGCCAGCGTAGGAAGGCGCTGATGACATCTTCGAGTTGGTGTGGAGCGCAGAGGGGGTTGCCGGGGAGAATGGCGCGGTGATGGGAGGGAACATACGCGACTGCCGCACCGGTGGTTGAGTCACGCCAGATCTGGAAGCGCTTATCGAACCAAGATGTGTTGGTTGAGTCCCCGTAGTTGGCGACGAGATTTTCAAGAGGTTGAAGATGGCCTTTGGGTCGCTGAAGTGTTGCGTCTTCGGGATGTCGGAGGTCAGAGGCATTGGGGTCCGAGGGGAAGGACTTCGGATCGCGCGGAAACAGAGTGCCATACCGAAGGTTGCCGAGCTCAAAGATGAGGGAAACGAGTCGTTCCAAGCCGATGCCTGCTCCAGCATGTGGAGGGGCTGCCCACTGGAATCCTTCAATGTACTCTTTTAGTGTGGCAGGGTCCGTGCCAGACTCTTGGATTTGCTGGATCAAAAGCTCTGCATCGTGTATACGCTGTCCGCCCGAGAGAATCTCCTGTCCTCTAACCATGAAGTCGAATGAGTTCGTGACCTTGGGGTCTTGAGGATCAAGCATGGTGTAAAATGGTCTGGCTGATGCGGGAAACTTGTCGAGAATGTAGTAGTCTGTGTGGTATTTCTCCTTGACCAATTCGCCGAGCCGCTTTTCGGCCTTGGTGGACAGGTCTTCGTACTCGGACTGCTGACTTCCATCCTCATTCTGCCAACCTGACTCATTGAGCATTTTGGCACCCTCGGCGAATGTGATTCTTGTGGTTTCTTCGTGCCAAACAAGGTCTTCTTGTGGGAAGTGGTGTTTTATCGCCTGGACCTCTTTCCGATATTTGCTGTAGAGTGCCTTGAAGATGTGCTTCAACGTGGAATCAATAAGCCACATGGCTTCATGGTAGTGCCAGTCAATTGCCATCTCCAGATCTAGACCAGTGTACTCGGTCATATGTCTCGGTGTGTTTGAGTTTTCGGCTCGGAAGACAGGACCAATTTCATAGACCCTGCCAAAGTCGGCTGAGATACACATCTGCTTTGCCAACTGGGGACTTTGAGCAAGGAAGGCAGGTCGGCCAAAATAGTCGAGCTTGAAGACTTCGGAACCACCTTCGGTTGCTCCTCCTTGCAGCTTGGGTGTGTGAATCTCAAGGAAGGCTTTATCGTCGAGAAATTCTCGGAATGCTCTGCAGACTGCAGACTGTAGACGGAAGATGGCTTGAGAAGTTGGGGTCCGTAAATCCAGAATTCGGTTAGCAAAGCGCACTCTATCGGCGATGGTGTGACCCTCAGGCGCGGATTCAGCCTCGTACACGCTGAAGGGAACGGCACCCGCGCGTGCTGCGACCACATGTAGCTCATGAATGTGAACTTCGACGTCTTGAATCGACGTTGACTTGACCTCCTGCTCTGAAGTCTGCACCTTGCCCTTGACGATGACAATGGAGCCTGAACGGAGGTGCTCTGCCCATCTCACCATGGATTCTGAGATCTCCCCTTCCTTGATGCTGAGCACTCCTTGTATGGTTGTCAGGTGATCACGAAAGATGATAAAAACAAGGCCTGAACTGATGCGCCGGAGTGCGTGAACACGAGCACGGAAGACGACAACTTGGCCCTCGGATCTTGCACCGATTGACGGCATGTTCACCCATCCTTCATGTTCCCCTTGGCCCTCTCGAGACTGGACGAGGTCAAGTTTGCCGTAGCGACTCCGAATTCTGGGCGGGTCATCAGGGTTCAAGAAGTCTTCGAGCGGCTTAGCTTGACCACTCCGCATCGAATCGTCCTTGTCGCTTCCGGCAACATCGTCGTCCTGCCAGTCTTCTGACTCCTCGATCTTGGCCTCCACTTTGTCCTGCGGGCCACCTCTGGGCTGGTCGTCATGGCCACTGTGGTGGACCGGGAGGGTTTCTCGAAATCCATTTCGAAGGCTTGCAAGACCTTCTTTGATTTTACTCATTTTGTGAAGGTAGACTCCAAGAACGCGAAGAGGACAGGTGAGCTCATTCGAGGCGAAGTCGTGCCAATTTTCTTTTTCATGCAAGCATACATGTACACATGATGAGGAGTGATGTCAAGTGTGACGATCTAGCGCTTCCTGGGAACGAATGCAAGCCATGTGCTGCGGCGGCAGGCGGCGACCGGAGATGACATACGCCATTGTCGATCGCGGGAGAGTATTCCGGGAACGCGCAAGGGACTGTCTCAACGGCCGGTCCAACGATAGAGCCCAGAGTAAAGCGTGGGGAGTTGGCAGTCAATGATATCCTGATGATATTCCCACTCAGCCGGTCAAAAGCCACCCAGGTACAAGCTAAGAGGATGATAGGTAGAAGTCATGTGCCGGCCCGCAGATCTGCGCCGGGGGCTTTGCCCGAGGATTGGAATCGCAGCTGCATCCTCCACACGCAATTGGTGGTTTCAAGTGCGCCGAAGCCGGAAAATCGATCCCACAGAACTCATCAATCATGATTTGACCTGGCAGGATCCCAGGCAACTCGCTAATGGCAAAAGTCGTCGCCCACTACTCCGTACAGCGTATCTCCTCAGGTCGACGATGTTCTTGCCCGGCCCAGACTCATGCTCAATTCCACATCCATCATGATCAACTGCCTGCTCACGCTTGCAAGGTCCTCATCAAACTCGATTCGCCCTTGTTCAAAGGCAACGACGATACTCGAACCACCATACTGAAATAATCCGATCTCCTCGCCCTTCTCCACGTGAGTGCCCGCCGTGCGGAATTTCTCATTGATCTCCACCGTGCCGACGTCGGTTGCGCCGATTGCCACAAACAAGACTTTTCCAAACTCCTTGCTGTTGATGCACACTGCGCACCGAGCATTGGATGTCAGGATATCGATATCACTTCTGAGGCACAGTGGATCGACCTGGTAGTATTCGCCAGGCATTCGCTTGAACCACTGCACCGTGCCGTTGACGGGGGAGTGGTATCGATGATAGTCCTGCGGACTCAGTCGGAAGCTCGCTATCGCCCCCTCATGCCAGCTCTTGGCCAACTCGTCGTCCTCGATGAGGTTACCAATAGTGAAGTCTTTGCCCTTGATCCACAGCTTTTTGCTCTCGGCCACGCTGTCGTACACCACCAGTCGACAGTCCGCGACCACGACGGCCTTGGTCGGATCCCCTTCGTCATGTATCGGCCTCGACTCCTTCTTGTGTCTTCGCACAAAGAAGTCCTCGAATGAACCATACTCCTCGATATTCGACGGAATGAAATCGTCCATGTTGATGCCGTAGAACTCGACGAAGCTCTTAATCTGCTCATGCGAGCTCTTCGTGGCCTCCTCCCGACCCGCCTCGATGCTTTTGTCGTGAATCCATTTCCGCATCAGCTGGGTTCGGTCGATCCATTCGAGTGGTCGACTGAAGAGTAACCACAACTTCACTTTCTTGTAAATCGGTTGCTGCTCGCGCTTGAATATGCCCGTTTTGCGATCGAGAGTTTGCCAGCCGACTTCTCGGTTCTGGACGAGTTTGACAGTGGTCAGTAACCAGTCAGCGGCCTGATGGATGACATCTATAACATAGTAGAGGAGATTCATTTTCGGGTATGTCGTTCCAGGGCGGATGCTAGAGAGTGTGTGTTCAATACCGAGTGGGCATTGAAGTCGCCTGATTCTGATTCTGATTCTGATTCTGACGTCAAGCTCCTCAGTCACCAACAATTTCTATCTGCACCGCAAGTGAGAAGACAATGACGGGCTTTGCTTCCTATCAAGCGATCCGAGGACGGACCTGATTGGCCGGAAACACATTTCCGACAGGCACAGCTCCTCGGATGTAGGTGCTTTGCACGATTTACATCATAGCTCGTACAAGAGCAGCGGGTTGAGACAAGTGACGAACGACAGCTTCGTCTCAGGCGTCTAACCCTGTGGAACACAACCCAAGAATCTGCGATTGTGCTCCTGCAACTAAGAAGAACACTCACAGAGGAGCAAATGACCCAAACACGTGCTCAGGCCAAGGCGTGTGCCACAGAGAGGCAGCAAACCCCGTCCAAGAAGCGACGCGACGCCCGTAAAGAAGACAAAAAGACTGACACCGAACCACCTGCCAAGAAACAAAAGCAGACACAGAAGCAGACATCCAAGCAAGAACCCCCTCCAGAGTCTCCGCCAACGTCTCCTGCTCCAGCAGCACGCGACAAACTCAACCGCCTCATCGCTCAGCACGGCGCTCTCCCCCTCAACGACACCAACATCCCCCAACCCCTTTCCCCCAGCCCCTCCACCTTCCTCGCCCTCCTCCTCAACGCCTTCCTCTCCTCCGCCCGCATCTCCCACGACCTCGCTGCCAAAACCGTGTCCCGCGTGATTCAGGCCGGCTACCACAATCTCCCCACCCTAAAAGCAAGCAGCTGGCAGGAACGCACCGAGGTCCTCACGGAAGGCGGCTACACGCGCTACCGCGAGAAGACGGCCACCGCGCTCGGCGAGCTAGCGGAGTTGCTGGAGGAGAAGTATGGTTCGTTGCTTTGCTTCTCCCTATTTCCCCATGCCTCTCTCTATCATACCCCTTTTCCCCTTTTTCCCTTTCACACAGAGCCTGCTGGCCCACCGGCCACCTCACATAGACTTTCTAACATATCCATCTTCCCAGACGGCGACCTAACCAACCTCCTCATGATCGGCTCCCCCACGCCCCAAAAAGTCCGCGCCCGCCTCAAAGAAATCAAGGGCCTCGGCGACGTCGGCGCCGACATCTTCTTCGACACCGCCCAGGGCATCTGTCCCCAGCTCGCGCCGTTTCTGGACCCCCGCAGCGTCAATACCGCGCAACGTATTGGCATCGGTGGTGATGTCGGCGTTCTTTGGCGCGAGATAGGTAAGGATCCGGAGAGAATGTGTCGGTTGGCGGGCGCATTGACGGTTGTGAGGCTTGAGGGGCGGGAGGGCGAGTTCAAGCAAGAAAGTTGAGTAACAGTTGGGAGCCTGGAAAGGGTGGCCATTTGCGGACTCGTGAAGAGGAGAGGAATTGGTTGGCCGTTTCTCATGGCGAGGGAGGATGCTTGTCGAAAGCCCGCGTTTTGGAGCGATAGTACCCGTCACTCACTAGATCGCTGGCTAGTCTGCTGAGTTTCGCGTAGTCTGGCTTGATGCGTGACTCCCCTGGTTCGTCTTCGCACGTGTACAGCATGAGACAAATGAATCTAAGGTCTAGGTTTCGATACTATGTAGTACGGCCTTAACTCAGGTAGTGGCAAGGCTCTGGACCCCTGACAAGGCTGCTGCTTCCTTTTGCCCACCAGCTAGCTCCCTATCATCCTACAGCCGTACAGCACAGCAAACCGCAGCCCATATGTGATCTCAACTTGCACGGACTGAATCTTAAAACACTGAAGAATACGTTCTCGCGGCGCTATATATAGCCACAGCAATCACAAGCATGAGCAGTCTCAGCACGCTTTGTTGACGCCATCTCTTTTCCGTCTCTCGATTCCATCATCTAATCTCAAACAATCGTCACACAAATGTCAATACTTGCCCTTCTCCCAGGCACTGCCGCCGGAAGCCTGTCCGTATCCATTGTCGTAAGCATTACCGTCATTCGACGCTCGGCCATGATATTGACCGTCCCCACCACCACCACCACCACCACCACCACCATCACCGCCGCCGCCGCCGCCGATGGCGTTCCCAAAACTTGAAGAAGAACCACCGCCGCCATGTTGTCCCTCCCCAGGATCCTGCACATACAGATTCGCCATCTTGCCAGTAAGTGCATCCGGAACCTGACCACCGACACCTGCATGATCGTATTCGGGCGGCGGCGGCGGCGGCGAATCAAGCTGACCCGCCAGCGGTCCCCTCTGAAATTGCATAGGCGGCAAAGCCTGAACCTGAGGTCCACGACCCCCACCATCGACATCCGAAGGCGTGCCATCGCCCCTCAAGGCCCTCAAGCCGAAGCCACCACCAAACTCGGCCGGACTCTCCCACCTGAACTCCTCGCCCGCGCACTCCAGCCGGAGTTCCCAATCGATGCCAAACGAGCGGTGCAGGTTCGGGACCACGAACTCGCTCTGCAGGCCGCCGAAGTACTTGGCCGCGGCGGCGCGGTGCAGCGCCGCCCAGGTGATGCCTAGTTCGCGGCCGAGCTCGAAGGGGGCGGTGGCCGTATCGATGCCGTTGGCGTGCAGCTCGATCATAGGGTTGGCTTTGTCGGCGCGCCACTCCCAGATTGGGGAGGCACCGACGGCTTCGTAGGTCTGGCCGCCGTAGGAGGTAGGCTTGGGGTCGGAGCCGCGGAGGAGGGTGGTGGTGATTAGATTGAGGGTAAGGCGTTTGAGGTAGATGGGCGGGGTGGGGAATTCGAGGGCGGGGGAGGGGGAGGGGGACTGGTGAGAAGGGTATGGCGATAGACTATTCTTGTTGTCGGGTGGAGAGGCACCTGCTTTTGCAGGGAGTGGAGAAGGAGGACCTGCATCGCTGGTGCTCGAGGCCCTATGCGAGGAGGCCGAGCCTTCGCCAGAGCCGATTCGCTCAATACTGAGGCTGATGGGGAGCGGCTGGTCCGATGGACGGTCTAGCCAGAGTATGTCCGGTGCGGCCATCGTCATGCGGAAGCTGCACCAAGGGAGACGATCCTTCTTGAAGACAGAGCGCACATTTTCACGGAAGCTGAGCCGGTTCGTTTGGTGGAATGGGAGAAGTCGGAGGGTGCGGATCGCATCTTCGTGGGCAAGACGTTTCCACTGTATGAGTTGGGCAGGGAGCGAGACCGGGTTGATGATGTTGATGTCGGCCTTCTCATCGACCTCGCCCATCCACAAGCGTGAGGCTCCAGCCTTGAGCTGTGGGCATATAGCGTGAATAGTGTAGCGAACCGAGGCCTCGGCTTGGAATCTGGAGTCTATTCGAGTGTAGAAGTTATCGCAAGAATCTGGGAGCGGAAGTGGTGGCTGTTCATAGCCTGGTGGGTCGTACCCAAGGGTACCAGGGAACGGGCCACTTGGGTTCAGGACCTGGGCGCCACGCGATTCTGTGCTGTACGGGTCCTGAGGCTCGGCATGTGTGGGGATGCGGAACGAATACGGAAAGATGAGAATGCCGCCATCCTCGCCACGACGGGAAAGTGGTGGAGAGAATGTCGGGTTGTCGAGTGGATAGTGATGATTGAAAAGTAGGCATTTGGAATCATAGTGGTGGTAGACTGTCCTAGTCCCGTTGCTGCCGTTAGACCTACGTTCTTCCCGGGTGATGCGGGCTTTGGAGCGGCCGTAGAAGTTGACAAGAACTTGTTTGATCGTATCTTTATGCTCGGCCTTCTTGAAGTGGACCTCGATGTGCCCTTCACAAAGGGAGCCTGTCGGCAGCGCTGTACCGTCATACCCCTTGACATAGATCTTTATCGACATGTTGACCCGGGTAAAGATCGTGTTGTGGTTGAAATGTGGTCAATAAAGGTTTGTCAGCCTCTTCGCAAGCTTATGAAGGAGTGAAGGACCCCGCTGCTGCAAGGCAGCTGAGGCGCACAAGTAGTCTAGGCATGCACTGCTACGCCTGAAATAGAAAGTACTGTGGCTTTGTGACAGGCTGGAAAAGATCTTGGTGGGGGCCAATCTGCGAGTCTAGGAAGTGGAGGCTATTGAACTGCTTGCATGATTGACCGACGCGCAGTCTCGCAGGTGTGTCACGTGCGTCTGGCTGACAGCTCGTACTTGATTGACCGAGCCAACAGTCAGCCCTTGTGGATGGTAAACCGGGAAAAACCAATGAGGCCACCGCAAGGCGTCCTTGCACCCACTCGAGTCATGCGCAAGGCGTCTTCTAGTGGAGTCCGAGTCAGTCAGTCACAGGTGGCTCGAGGACCATTGAACCAAGACGAGAGGAACGTCTACCTCAGGCAATGAATTGTATTCATAGGACTAGTGATGCCTCATCGACCCCTCAACTTGCAGTGCAACCATGTGCAAGTCTCCGGTATTAGATCCATATACACCCAACCACCACATCTCCTTGACAGTCAGTAATGTACAGCGCCAGAACCAATGGCAGCCCCGCAACAGATGAATGAACTGCCCTGCCTTACGCAACCACGGAATGAGATTCCTATGCACGCCGTGCCCTGGCCAGGAGAGAAACGAAAAATGCGAATAAGACCAGTCTCCTTTAAAATCCATGCAGAAAATTCCAAGTACCCTTAGATGCAATCCTCATCTTGAATCCATCATGCAACAGCCAATAGTGCTTCCTGCCTTTGTGCTTTCCTGCTATGCCGCTCATCGAATCACCCACAGGCTTTGCCGGTGCCTGTTGGTAGACGGATAACGTACTGTGCTCCGATTGACGCGCCCACCCATATGCAAAATGTGTACTTCTCTTCATCGTTAACGTCACTTCTGTGCTACTGGCATCACATCTTGATACTGCTCCGCGCAATCAATTTGTGTGTAAAATGGTGTTCAGGACTCGTCCGTGCTGACGCTGCCATCCGTGTCCATGTCCGCAATTATGGGCATCATTTCATCCCTGTCGATGCTCTCGTCGCTGCTGACGCTGCTATCCGTGTCCATGTGCGCAATCCTGTCCGCAATAATGTCCGCGATGATGGCCCTCTTTTCATCTTTGGTCATGCTCTTCATGCTCTCATCGCTGCTGGACCACTCACCGGTGTCAGCGTCCTCGGGTGTGCTGACGCTGCTGACGCCTCCGTCCGCATCGAATGGTCGTACAGTGAGCTCGGCGGCCATTTGTTTGAAAAGCACGCCGTTCGGGCCGACATGCGTGTCCCAGGACCATGGCATACGGCCGTCGTCCTTCTGGGTCTGTTCAGGGATTGATCCGCCCCTTTCCATTGGATGGTGCATGTCCGAAGCTTCGCTCCACACCCCTGGAAAGGCGCCGTGGGAACGGTCTGCTATGTGCCCAGCACGTTCGAGGAGCGGATTGACCGGCAAGAATGGCTGATATGACCTGCCTTGTGTCGCTCGTAAGGCCGCATTGGTATCGTTCCAGCTCTATTGGAACTGGCCACTCCATTGGTTGCTTTGACTTGGTTGTCCCCAGGCTTGACCCGGCTGCTGTGCTCCTTGCTGCATGAACTGGTTTTGATTCATGCCGTAAATTGCACGGCCGCCCATGTTCATCCCAGGAAAGCCACCAGCACTCATTGCCTGCAATCCGGCTCCAGGGCCGAACAATTGCTGTCCGCCCATGGCGCCACTGCCCTGATGGTGCATCATGGGCATTTGAGGCGGTTGCATCTGGTGGGGATGCGGTGATTGACTTGGATGGCCAGGCATCGGAGATTGCATGCCGCCCTGGCTCATACCAGCAGGATACTGGGCAGAATTCATCCGGTGCATCGAAGGAGACTGGTGCGGCTGTGGTGGAGGACCTCCCCACCCTTGTGATTGTTGCGGCATAGCATGAGGTGAAAACCCTCCTGCGTTGAATGGCATACCTGGCTGCTGAGAAGCGCTTTGCGAAATGGAGAGATTCGAGGACGAGCGCTGGAACTGCTGGTGCTGCGGGGTGAATTGAGCAGAGCCATCTCGTGCATAACCCGGACCCATAGGAGATTGCCGCGAGGGTGACTGCAATGGATTCTGTTGGTGAGGGAATGACGGCGGATTCATAGCCTGAGTCGTGCTTTGACTTGCGCCAGCTTGTGACGCTGTCACGTCGTTGCTGGCGAACCGAGGCGATGGGTACTCTCGCGAAGTGGCCGTCACATCGGACTCTTGAGCTGGTGGAGTGGTCACAGGCGGGTCGTGCGGGCGCGCCCAGTAGTCTTGCACAATCTTTCGGCGGTATTGTCCCTGCTGATTGATGTTGCGGCTGTAATCGGCAGCATGTCCAGCCTGGCCGGCCATATCAGTTTCCGTACTAGGGCGCGTCATGTCGAGATATGGGGCTCCGGCCAACTCCTGCCGAGGACGTTGAATATCCCTATACTTGGGATCGTAGCTCATGTCGAAGCCAGGCAGCATTCCGGCGTTAGGTGGCATTGTCACCATGGAGCCGAAACCAGGTCCATTACTATAGACCACATCACCATATGCAGACAACTGGCGCGCGTGTAGCGCATCTTGTTGAGCAGCCTGCTCACGGGCGCGCGCGGCGCCTGGTCTTTTTTCGCCAGCTGGATCAGCCTCGGTGAAGCCTTGCTTGATGGCCTTGGCTTCCCAGTAGTCGTCGCGGACGCGTCGGCCGTCTTTGATGACTCGACTCCCAAATTGCCGAAACATCGAACGAGCGGTCACTATTGCGATTTGACGAGACCGATAGCTGTAGGGTAGAATATCTTGATTCACGAGATGCTCCTTTTCTTTGACACTGGCGATGATCTTGAATAAAGAGCGATTCTTGTTGAACAGCAGGTACGAATCGCGATACTGAAGTGTGCGCGCGCACTCGGTAGCGAGCATAAACAGCTTCTCGCCTCGACCAGGGAGGTTGAAGGTGCGTATCTTGTACTCGCGAGGACCCAGCAGATTGCCAAGGCTATCGACTTTCTTCTCGCCAGCATCATCGAAATCGCGCGCGACATATTCATCGCCTTCAGGACCGAGTTGATCGGTGGTGTGATCCCTGACTGTGGGGAGAGCCTTGAGGGTGGCGCCTTTCTGAGGCGTGGTGCGGGACGGTGATGTCTGCGAACCTGTCGTCGGCTGCACGGGAAGGACTTGGCTATGTATCTGAGGCGCTTGGCCTAGATCGGGAGATACCTGGCTGGATGGGGTTGGTAAGGAGTGGACTTGGCCAGTGTATTCACCCGAGGTGCGCGGCGTCTTGGGAGGGCGACCACGCTTGCGGGGCTTGGAATCATCTATAGTATCAATCAGTATTGCACGTTCGAAAGCGCCAGATGAGGTGCGCATCGTCGAGTGGAGATGGGCATGAGCGACCAGACGCGCAGGAGATGGGAGCTTCGTACCGTCATCGTCGCCGTGAGAGTAGTCGGCGTAGCCCTGGTGATCCGGCGAGCGACTGCGCTTTATTCCCCGGGAGGAGGAGGGATCAATAGCGTTGGCAGCTAGAACTGTTGTTACACATTAAAAGTTAGCGAAGTGCAAGGTTGAATGCGCATGTTGTGAAGAAGGTTTGGATGGTGGGGGAGGAGGCACGCCAGGAGCCCGGGCAGCGCAGATGCGCGCGCAATCAACAGTGAAGGTGTAGAAATCAAAGGAGGCCGTACTACCACTATTCAGAGCGGCGGGATTGATAGTACCTGATCCATCGCTCATGTCGCCGATACCATTCAATGCATTCGGGGCTTGATGGGAGGGCGAGTAGAGGGACATTTCAAGACGCGGTCGAGAAGAGCGCGCCGGGTCGTTGGGAACGATGGCGCATCCAGCGACCCAGTCAGCTGCAAGGCAGCACAAGCTGGTGGTGACTCAGAAGGCGCGAAAGGGTGCCTGCGTGGGATAGATATGGCGACGGCGATGGTGCGACGACGGGTGCGACGGGCACCAGGACGTTTAGCGGGTGCTGGACTGGATGTTCGGGAGGTAATGCAGACCCCGGATGATTGGGATGGCGCGCAACCTAACCAAGACAAACGGATAGGTTTAGAGATGATAGAATTGACCAGTCGCGAGGTAGAGGGCGGAGGGTGATGCAGGATGCAGGATGCAGGAAGATGCGTGGTGCGGCGATGGAGAGGGTCGCTGTGTGGTGGTGCAGGTGCAGGTTGCAGGTGCAAATGAACAAGGTCGGCTTTTTAGCGGCTTTGCAGCCTGCGACTGTTTCGTCGCCTAAAGGAAGAGTCGCCTGAGTCGCCCACGGTGGCCAAGTGGATAGAGCCTGAGTCTGGTGGATAGTGGGCAGCGGCCAAGAGAACGGGGGGCGACTTGGAAGCTTTTTGGCTGGGTTGACAGCTTTCTTGCTGCCACTGCGCGGCCCGAAAATAGGTGCGTTGCGTTCCTTTGCCTTGTCGACAAATGTCCGTGTGAGGATAATGTTCGGCACGGTGCGGTTTCAAGCTTGCGACCTGTTCCTGCGCTGGGGTAAAGAATCCTGATGTGTGATGGTGTTCTGTCGACGCGTGGTTGTGTGCCTGCAAGACGCGTGCAAGGAAGCTCGAGCTGCCAAATGCGCCTCTGTTTAGATCTACCTCAGAGCCTCGCAGTAGCCGGGACTTGATGGGGTATGAGTGTGGATGGTGAGTGGGCAGAGTGAGGCTGGAGGGGTGGAAAGGGTGCAAGCAGGAGGGGGGAAGCAAAAGTTAAGATCTCAAGATTCAGTGGTCGGTCATGATGCATATAGCGACCGAGGCAGACGCACAACCAGCACGGAATACTGAGCGACTTGCTGCTCCTATGATTCAACCTCCCCATTTACAGATATGCTTCTACAGCCTCAGTTCCACGTTGCGGCTCCGGAAGCCTGTGCTAGCCCTCAATGACCGGGCACTCAGTCACTGTTGTCCGTGAGCCTTTGAGATTTCCGTCCGTAGGTAGTAGGGCTCGGGCAAGAAACACCTGGGATGAAGCCGCCCAGCCCATAACGCAGCGGGGTCATTTCAGCATAGAGCTTCAGCAGCAAGATAGGCTTTTGACCTCGCAAACGGTGAAAACGGGGCACATCAGCAGCGCATCCTCCGTCCACGTCCTCGTCCGGCCAGGAGCAGAAGCGATTCGTGGGCTGTCTGGGTGGTGTGGGGCAGCCGCTCACTCCCTAATTGGATCAAGAGCGGCCTGCACGAACGGATATGCGGACCATGCTCAGCACGCCAGTTCGAGAACAGTTCGTCGTCAACTAGCGAGCCCTTGGGCAAGTCCAGCTGGAGCCCATCGACAGGAAAGGATCAACCCGGCTGAAAGCGTAGAAAACAGCAATGACAGACGAAGAGAGGCGCCATTTGCTGCACATGCTCCAGCGCCAGAGTCCCACGATGATAGGGCGGCTGGAACTTGCGCCCCGTCACTTGTCAGCTGGCCGAATTGGCCACAGTCCGAGTCAGAATGCTTCGCCTATTCCTGTCTCCGGCTGTCGCCTTAGCACCGATAGAATCCACTTTTGCGCAATAATACAGGAGCCGTGATTTCATTGAAGTCATCAAATTACCTTGTCTGCTCCCTATACGGGCAACGCCGTTCGCACCGCGCACCGTTGCAGTGTAGCATCGACGATGGCCGTATATCTGAGACCTGTCTGTCCTTGTCGCCATCCCGAGGAGCCAAAAACGTCGTCCGCCAACAAGCGCCTCCGCCCCCGGTTAAGGTTTTTAGTCGCAACCGCACTGACAGCGGGGGGGCCTGTGCACACATGCTTCGAAGAGGCGGGAGAGGCAAGAGCAGGCAAGCCAGGTATCAAAAGTTCATCACCCGTCAATCGATGACTCCACCATCATCATCATCATCACTAGAATCAGCCCAGAGCTGATGCCAGGTCCGCAGTGGCTTGCGGGCACCTTTAGCCCTAGCCCAACTCAGCTGGAAAGCGTCTGGTCGGCGGACTCTGCATGTGCGTGTTCCGCACCGAAGCGACCAGCGCGAGCACCGAACTCGCTTCCCCATGCATTCGCGTGCAGAACCAGAGACAGTTCCAATCTCCCATCGGTTTACGCGAGCGTGTATTTCGGGCTACAGCAGCTCTCTCTGGCTTTCAGAATAATGCGCACAAATTCGCCCGCATTATTCGACGACGCCTCTGCTTGTGCATGACGTCCAGGCATCAAACGAGTGTGGAGAAGGAGCAGAATCTACCCCAAACCGAACAGGGGTCCCTACCAAGTAGTCTGATCTGACCATCACGACCTTCTCCCTCCTGACGAGAAATCCTGTTTCGCTCGTCCGTCGAGAACGCATTCAACGAGGTCATCTGCCTCGCCGTTGTGCCCCGATCCCAGCAGCAGGCAAAGCAGGCATTAGTCACGCTGATGGCATGGGACCGCCTCAGACATCGAAACGCGTCCAGTCCTGGATCAGGCATAGACTAAAGGTAGGGATTTGGTCTCAATGCGACCAGGAGAGGTCACCATCGATCAGCCACTATTATCGCCCGCAGACGGGAGAGCGGCCCATCTTCTGCTCTGCGCTTCCCAATCAGATGCGGCAGCAGGGCAGGTCAGATACGAAAGTGTCCCGCTGTCTGATACCGGCTCAGGCCGGGTTCTCCGACCAGGTTCCCCCAGGCTCGATCCCTCGGGTCGCACAAGGCTAAATATGTAGTTGTGGCACACCCAAGTCTACCTATGCCCACGACTCGAGGATCGTTCATCTGATCTTGACCGCAGACGCGTTCTTGGCCTGTGCCGTTTGGGAATGAGCATCACTTATGTCTATGCTGATGAGTCCTTCCCAACGTATAGTGCACCGACATCGCGTGGTTGGCGTGGTTCTTGTGCTCTTCATGAGAAACATCGACTTTGGCGCCGATCACATTCAATGACGCGAGCCCGTTTTAGGCGCATGCTTTAATCGTGCCCAGGACGTGCCGGCCCGTAGCCTACTGCCTGCGTTATGCAATGCAAGTCATGAACTTGTCTACGTGGCGCATCACCCGTTACTACTCGTCCGCGCTCCGTCAGTACTTCGTAGTTGTAATAGTAAATGCCTTTTGCAGCCCATAATTCCTTTTCTTGAGTCGCGAGAAATGTCAAGACCTGGAAACCGCACCGAAGATGATCGTGGCAATCGCGGGCCTAGATCAGTCCCAACTTCCAGGGCTGTCAATGCCTGTCGCTTAAGGCTACCTACCTATCGAACCCCCGATTTTTCCCTGCTCGGCTAAGGATACCTACAACTCGAATTTCAGCCGCAACAGTCTCCTGCTACAAAAAGAGGTGTGCGGGCAAAGCTTGCCGCAACAGCCGCAAGGTCCATGATAGCATTGCCTTTTGAGTGCGCACGTGCGAATTCTAGCCCTTCACAACGCCCTGCCGTTTTCTCTGCGTACTCTCCGACCACCGCCGTCAGAGTAGTAGCAACTCTTGACCGAACAAACAGACAAACAGGAGAGAAGAAGATAGACAGCGAGCTAGGGAATGTATCCTTCTCTCGGCGCGCCCGACCGGGGGGCCAAATGTAGTGCAACACACACAACTGCACGGCAATCGAGGGATCTTGTGTAAAGGCACCAGAATTCTGGCACTGACCGACATCTTGGGATACGTGGGATACCCTTTTTCCTTTCGTACCACCATTCATTTCCCGTGCCACTCTCAGACACACACACACCTCTCTGTGCCATCCTCGTCTATCTGTTTCATGTGTGTCTGTCCCGGGCGGGCGGGCACTGCAGCATTTTGGTTACCAGTCCTATGGAGAATTTGCAATCCCTGTTTGTGCGCCCTTGCATCGCACACTGCACGTCTATGTGTGTGTGTGTGTGTTTGTGTCTGCGTCGAACCAAAATGCCGGTGCTGGCTGGCTCATGGCCGGGATCGCTGGCTGGCTGGCTGGCTTGGTCAACAAAACTTCCGAACCCTTCAAAGGTCCGGTGCGACAAGGAGTAGGTAGGTTCAGCTGGGCTGAAATTTGGATTCCGCTGGACCACTTTGTACCGCGTGACGTGCGCAGCGGAGCTGATGCTGTCAATCATACAATGGAAACCCAGTTGCATTGGTAATGTGAGGCGCCGCGATCGTGGCGCACTCGCCCCTTCACGTTCGAGGCCACAGGCAGTATATCCCATCTGGATTGGATGAGTACAAAAGACGCGCAACTGTCGGCGTACATTCCTCAGTGAGTCGCTGATTGTTTCGAGTCGTGCATGACAGCGGGAAAGGGAAAGTACCCAGCCAGTGCTCTCGGTCACTCAGAAGGACGGCCATGTCACCGTGTATGCCAGGACAGGTCAGCACAGTTCGGACCAATGTCGGGGTTCGCTGTGAGAGCTAGGAGCGCTTGTTGCAAGCTTCGTCCTTCCAGCTGTCACCACTGCTCAAGGTCCAGCTTGGCCAGCCAGTTGACGACGCCCATGGCCTTGACCAAATTGCCTTTCAGGTCGAGGTGGACCCCGTCGTATTTCTCCGTCTGAATGCTCATATTCCAGGTCCCCAGATGCTCAACCCCTCTCTTTGCGGCCTCGTCACGCACACTATGTTCGAAGATCTGCAAAGCTTTATCGCCCTGAGTAAGAATCCACTGGTCAGGCTTTCTCGTACCTGCCGCGTTCGGCGTGACGATGAGCCGGGGCCAAAGTGATCTCTCCAGGTACGGCGCTTGCTCTATCGCGTGATGATTGATGCCGTCGAGCCAGTTCAAGGTCGCCTGTAGATCGAGATCGTTCCACAGCCCGTGGCCGAAGACGAATGCATACGGCCGCGATGGCTTCTTGTTCGCGATGAGCGCTTTGAAGCGGCTGACCTCAAGAGGATCGAGTGGAAAGCGCAGCATCAACTCGATGACAAGATCGAAGGGCTGTGAGCAGGCGAGCGAGTTCGGATCGTGCTCGATAACAGATGTAGTCGAGTAAATGCCCTGGATGCTGCAGGCCTTGACATCCATCTGGTGATTACAGAAGCAGTTTTCGCTGGGAAAGATGTGAGCTTTGATTGTCGCAGGTAACGAGAGGAAGCATCTTGACTTACAGCTCCTCCTCATTGAAGTTCCAAGCTGTCACGCCCCCATAGCCAAGATCTTTCCGGAGGAGCACATTCAGGGCCGCCACGACGTGCCTCATCATGCTATCCCCGACCACAATGACCTTCTCGAAACGACCCAACACCTCGCATACTTCTTCAGTTGTGTACCAGCGCATGTCGCACCCTCGCGGGATGAAGGGTGTATCGAAACCGATCCGCCCGCCTCCGGAGAAAGCAGCGAGTAGATCGGCGCGTGTCGAGCATAGGGGGCCAAACGGCATGTGAAGGTCTAGGGACGAGATATTGCAAGTAGAGCGACTGCGATGCTTGTACCTCGCGAATGTGTCGAGCGTGTCTGGAACGCGGTAGACGTCGTTCTCAGGTGGCGGAAAATGCGCCCAGGCTGCATTCTGAGTCGGTTGGCCAAACTCGGTGGTAGTGCATAATCGGTCTCTGGAGGTTGACAAGGGGAAGGACTGGTATTCAAGATGAGTTGGATCACGGTAAGCAAGTGATGGTGGTGACTTACCCAGACGCGCAGCAACCAGCCGTCGAACTCGATGCCCAGCGCAAATGCACCAGCCAGGAATAACACTTGAGCAGCAGCCTTGATGATAGTCCTGCGCCGAAGTCGTCTGGCAGACCGGATGGAAGCTGTTACCCTCCCGTAGAGGTGCATGATGATAATGTAAGTGAGTAGCTCAGTATCCGCCCGGAAAACGAAGGTGTTGTTGTTGGAAAAAGGGTGGGAAAAAATTGTCAATCAAGTCGATGAAAGTGGTCCGACCAGAGAGGATATTGTGAACAGACAACGAAAACCGGTATTCACATCTGCAAAATCGTGGCATTCGTCGCATTGCACCGCTCGCATCGGACCATTCCACTGGTACTGATCTTACAAAATGTTGATGTGCTCACGTACTGCTCGGCAGCTTTCAAATGCCCATCCACCCGTTTGGCGTCTGCCGCGGTGCGGTCAGTGAGACGGTCTTCTGCTTCCGAAGCTCGATCTGCGACTGTTCCTCTCGCCATCGCTCAACCTCCTTGCGAGCTTTTTCCACGGCAGACGCTTTCCCTAGCCCTGTACCTAGAAATCCAGCAGAGTTCTCAGCTTCTTGCTTCCGTTGCGCCGCTAGCCTGCTCATCTGAGCAGTCATGTCTTTCCAGTTGCTGAGCCCAGTCTGCAGACACTCTCTACATCTTTCGCGGCCTGTATTCTGCTCTTGTTCATCCATAACCCACATCACTGCCTCGGCCGCTTCCACACTGTCTCTTGTCCAGCTCAGGCCCTTCTCACGCTCGCTAGCACTGGTTGCGAAGAGGATCTCTCCAATATATATCATTAGCCCGACCTCTTCACAAGCTTCCTTCAACGTATGAGAAGGTCGAGTATCGCCCGATGGCGGTGGTGGCGGGTATGGTGTGTCAAAGAAGACGTTCTTGATCCCTTCAATGTATGCACCAACATCAGAGCTTCCGTGCGTTGATTTGCCCAGTGTGCTAGATGGCATGGTTGCGGGAGGGAGACTCTTTCTCGCTCGAAGTACGCTCAGAAAGATGGGCAGAGCGTCCATCACGTTGCCAGACCGAGCATGGTGAACCGCCAGAGCAGTGGTTGCTCTAAAAAGATTCTGCGTAACGAATTCGTCTTTGCCATTGTTAATGACCCCAGTCTTGATGTCAATCACATTGCCGGCGGTCGAGGGTAAGCCTGAGACAGCGATGTCCAAAGCCCAATCGTACATATTCCCAGCCGTACCCGAGAGACCCTTGAAGTCGCACCAGTCGGCATATGCGAGGGCGGCGTCCAACCTCTGACCATTATCGAAGCCTTTGGTGGTCAAGATCTTCATATAATAGACCTCCGGCTCCGGGAATGCATCTTCGCATTCATCTTCGTTGGGAACTGTCTGGTTTTTTCGTTTCCTGTCCCAGGGCGGCGGCCTGGGTCTTGGATTACTCGGCCCTGGAATGGTCTCCCACGAGTACAGCGGGCCTCTCTCATCACCTTTCTTTCGGGCCATGCCTTCTAGATGTTCTGCGACCCGTCCAGCGCCCATCAAAGCCTGAAAATAACCGCGTCGCCAGGGTTCGCTCTTCATACTGATGTCCAGTCCCGTCCGACCGATGCCTTCAACCAGGGTTTCTCCCTGCAACAGATTCTTGCCATCCAGTTTTTCATCCTCCAATCTCTCGAGTAACTTCCGAAAATACCAACCGACCGCATTCCAATCTGTAATGACTCTTGCGGCTTTGGCCTCTTCCTCGTCGGCATACCAGTGGGCAGACCGCAGGTGCCATCTTGACCAGAAACTCCATTCACGCGGAGTAGGGTTGTCATTCTCGATCTTGGTCTGGCGCAAGCCTGCAGCTACAACGCTCAGCAAGGCTACCACCGACCAAAACACAGTGGCTATACGCAAGGCGCCTTTGGTCTGGGTCCACCATCGCACTTTGGTCTCGGTGGAAATGAAGCGGCCAATATTCGAAGCTCCGGCTACTGACTGGGCGTGCGCAAGAGGGTGGAGGAAGGGCAGTTGGGGTCTCACAGAAGGTCTCGAGACAAGGAGGAGTGACGGCTTCTGAGTAAAGGCCCGGCTTCGGGATGAAGAAGGGGAGAAGAAGGCATTGGGTCGCCTGCGTACTTGAGGAGTCGTGCGAACTGAATGCAGCCGACGACGTGCCGCGGAGCCGAGGGCGTTACATTGCGTTGGCGGGGGCATATTGGCAAGCAATTAGCTATGCTGAACTATTGGAGTCATCGCACAGGTCGTTATCCATACGATGCACCTCTACACAGTGGTGCGACGGCGAGGTCCTTGTCAATCCGCGATGAACTGCGTCGTCGATCTTTCTGATGCTTGGCGTCCGTCGCAGTCGCTGGATCCACCGAAGCGATGCCACCGCACCTTTGGTTGAGCTCACTGCCATCTTCCTTTTCCTTCATCACGGCCACCGGAATGTGGCAACGCGGTAGCTATGTCATCGGCCACTTGTGGTACGTCAATCAGGCAACCATTTTAAATCTTCAGCACCCAGCAAAGTCTGATGTGTAGCACCCTTCGCGCTCTTTTAGGGGGTCAGTCTCGCTTTCCACCTAAGTCTTGGCCACCTCGATTACCAGGACGGGTATAGATCACAGCCGAGCGAGCGTTATGGCCAAAAGTATGCTGCCTACGATCTTGTGCTGCATAACTACCTCGTCAGATTTTGCAAGTTGAAACCCTCCTCAGGCAGAATACGAAGACTCATAGGCATCCGCCAATCTCTTTGCTTGGCTGTCCATTCATAAACACTGAGTTCCCGCATTGGGCATCGTACTCGCCTGCTGAACACGGGCGCCGCGGCCTCCTGGCATTTCTCGGCCACTATTTCACCAAAACGACAACTCCCGTCTCTGTTGCTTCTCTTGACTATTTACACTACCTAATGGCAGCTCTTCTGTTACTTTGTCCTCATTCCTTTAGTATCTTGATTTGATTCCTTCGACCTTTCCGCCAGCATGAATGAAAAGACACCGCCCACAGCAGACCAAGCGTCCAGCCAGAAGGTAGACAAGACAGCACAGGTCAACGATGACACCAAGGCCGAGGAGAAGACCAAAGCTCCCATCGGCAATTACTGGCGCATCCTCTCATATGGGTCAGGCGGCGAGCATGCACTCATCTTGGGAGCTTTCTTCGCCTCCGCCGCTTCAGGCGTTGCGATGCCTTTGATGAACATTGTCTTTGGCAACCTGACCGGCACCTTCAACTCCTATGCTACAGGCGATATACAGGATACTGGCGATTTCAACAGTACACTCAACCGTTATTCGTGAGCTTGTCTTTGTCTTCGCTACAGCCTTCATGCTAATAGTTTATGCCAGTCTCTACATCTTTCTGCTCTTCATTGGCAAGTTTGTCTTGTGCTACATCTCCATGGTAAGGCACCGTCCGAAACCCAGGTCATCTGGCTGACGCTGCAGTTCTGTTTTCGAGTTGTCAGTCTCCGTGTTTCGGCGGCACTCCGTTTATCGTACATGGAATCCCTATTCAGGCAAACTGTTGCGAAGCTCGACGTTGTGTCTGCTGGCACAGTTTCTAACACTATCACCTCTTCCGCCAACACCATACAAGTCAGCATCTCGGACAGATTGGCCTACTTCTTCCAATCTGTTTCTCTCATCATTGCAGCCTACATCATTGCTTTTGTCTATTCTTGGAAATTGACCTTGATATCGAGCGCGCAACTACTTTTCGTTTTAGTCGTGTACAGCATTACGACCCCAGCAATCCTCAAATCTTTGCAGCGTGTGGAAAAGACCGACGCAAAGCACGCTTCGGTCGCCTCGGAGATCTTTTCGTCAATCCGCACCGTGTTTGCTTTAGGCGCAGAGCTCTCTCTTTCGAAAAAGTACTACAGCCTCGTCGACGAATCAGGACGCTATGGCGAACGCCTGTCCCCCTTTATTGGATTTCAACTGATGCCAATGTTTTTCGCCATGTTCTCTACCTTCGCTTTAGCCTTCTGGGCTGGTCTCAAGTTCTATTATGAGGGGTCGATCGCCAATGTCAACACGGTTATCATTGCCTTCTTCTCGGTTTTGATTGTCGTTTCTATACTTGGTAAGTCTCCCATGTCTCGACTGGGATCACCCTATTGACATTCTCACCAGGTCAGGTCGTTCAGCCAGTGATGAACATCATGAAGGCCGTGACCGCTTCTGTTCCCTTCTTTGACATTATAGATTCCGAGCGCACGTCCGTCGATGGGAAGAGGGCGCCCGAAGTTTCCGCTCACGAAGATCTCGAGCTAAAGGGCGTGACATTCGCATATCCGACGCGACCAGGTGTCCAGGTCCTTGACAACTTCAACGTTCGTTTCCAAAAGGGTAAAACGACAGCCCTTGTTGGCCCTTCGGGTTCCGGAAAGTCAACCATTGTTGGACTCTTGGAGAGGTGGTATTCGCTGGACGATCCACAGACTCGTCCAAATACTTCAACCGCCAATTCAGAGAAAGATCCGGCGGCAAAAGCTGTCGACGACAACGAGCAAGAAACAGTGCAAAATCAAGGCACCATCTCATGTGGTCAACACAACATCGACTCTCTAGCATTGAAGTGGTGGAGATCTCAGATTGGCCTCGTCCAGCAGGAGCCATTCCTCTTCAACGACACAATCTTGAACAACGTCGCATTTGGCCTTCTTGGGACAGAATGGGAGGATTATTCCGAAGACAAGAAGCTCGAACTCGTGAAAGAAGCTTGTAAGGAATCATACGCCGATGAATTCGTCGAAAAACTGCCACAGGGCTACTCAACCAAAGTCGGAGAATCCGGCATCAAACTATCGGGCGGTCAACGTCAACGCCTGGCCATCGCGCGAAGCATCGTTCGCCGACCCGCCATTCTCATCCTGGACGAAGCTACCAGCTCCATTGATATTCGCAGCGAAGCTGTTGTGCAAAAGGCATTGGATAGAGTCAGCAGAGAACGGACCACCATCGTCATTGCCCACAGGTTGGCAACCATTCGCAAAGCAGATCACATCGTCGTCCTTCGGAGTGGCACCAAAGTCGAAGAGGGCACGCATGAAGAGCTCCTGTTGAACGAAGACGGCCTGTACAGCGGCTTGGTGCGCGCACAACAGATCCAAGAAGAAGCGACCGACGAGCCAGCCGCTTCCTCGACCAGCAGTGCGCCAGCCGACCTGATGCGAACGCACTCCACCGCCGCACGCTCCGTCGCAGAAACCCGCCACGAAGGCGAAAGTAACTCTCCCACGTACAAGAAGCGAGGCTTCCTCCGCTCCGTCGGCTTCCTGCTCGTCGAGCAGCGCAAGAAATGGATCTACATGCTCCTCATCCTCATTGGCGCCATGGGCGCCGGCGGATCCTTCGCACTCCAGAGCTGGTTCTTCGCCAAATTGATCGAAGTCTTCACCTTCGTGGGGCAGCGCCTCCTGAACGCGCGCGACCACTGGAGCCTGATGTTCTTCATCCTCGCGCTCGCCAATGCCGCCTTCTACGGCGCCATCGGCTATGCGGGCGGCATGCTCTCGGCCTCCACGAGCGCCATGGCCCGCAGAGACTACTTCGCTAACACGATTCGCCAACCCGTCCCGTACTTCGACGGCGAGGACAACTCTTCGGGCGATATCATGTCGCGCCTCAGCAGCGACCCCAAGCAGATCGGCGAACTCATGGGCTTGAACGGCGCGTTTCCCCTCATCTCAATTTTCAACTTGTTGTCCTGCATGATCATCTCCTTCTACTTCGGCTGGAAGCTGACGATCGTCATCGTCTTCGCCGCCGTGCCGCTCCTACTGGTCTGCCAGTTCATCAAGTTCAACAACGAGTTCAAGTTCGAGGAGATGAACGCCAACGTCTTCTCCAGCAGCTCCGCATTCGCCACCGAGTCCATTGCCGCTTTCCGCACCGTCTCCTCGCTGACTATGGAAGATACCATTATCGCCAAGTATTCCAAGCTGCTCTCGGATCAGGTCGCTGCATCCACAAAGCGAGCATCGTACGCCATGCTGGTCAACGCTTTCTGTGACAGTGTTGAACTCGCCGCCATGGCGCTTACTTTCTGGTATGGCGGACGCCTGCTGGGGTCTCGCGAATACGAGCCCACGCAATTCTTCGTTATCTATGGTCAGTCTATCCTCATTCCGCACAGCTTGACAACGCCTCGATAGTGCATCAACTACCACACCCAGTTGTCGAACGCTGTCTCGATCCGCACGTTGCAAAGCCCTGTACTAACTCGTGCTGCAGTTGCCATCATCCAAGGCTCGATCGCCGCAGGACAATTCTTCTCCGCCGCACCCAGCATCGTGACCGCGACAGCCAGCGCGAACCGCATCCTACGTCTCCGCACTCTGGGCCTCAACAACTCCTCCACACAACAAGACCTCCCACCTTCAACCTCGAACCTAGGCTCCTCGATCGAGCTCGACCGTGTCTCCTTCCAGTACCCGACCCGCGACGTACCCACCTTCCAGAACCTCTCCCTCTCCATCCCCGCCGGCTCCTTCGCCGCCTTCGTCGGCCCTTCCGGCTGCGGCAAGACCAGCGTCATCTCCCTCCTTGAACGCTTCTACGAACCCCTGAGCGGAACCGTCAAGCTCGACGGCGCCGATGTCCGCGATAGCTCATTACCCACGTACCGCCGCTCCTTGTCCCTCGTAGCCCAGGAGCCCAAGCTCTTCAGCGGCACGATCCGCGAGAACCTCGTGCTCGGCATCGAAGACCAGGATATTCCCGATGACCGCGTCCACCAAGCCTGCCGCGACGCCGAGATCCACGACTTCATCATCTCGCTGCCGGACGGCTACGGCACCGAGCTAGGCATCAACACCGCCACCGCGCTGTCGGGTGGCCAGAAGCAGCGCCTCTGTCTGGCGCGCGCCCTGCTGCGCCGCCCGAAGCTGCTGCTGCTCGACGAGGCAACGTCGAGTCTAGATTCGCAAAGCGAGAGGCTGGTGCAGCAGGCCATCGAGCGCCTGGCGGGCCAGCGCAGCATGACGGTCGTGGCGGTCGCGCACCGTCTGGCCACCATCCAGAAGGCGGATGTCATCTTCGTCTTTGGCGAGAGCGAGGTCGGCGTCGGTGCCAAAATCCTCGAGAGAGGCAGTCACAGTGAATTGCTGCGGAAGCGGGGCGCATACTGGCAGATGTGCCAGGCTCAGGCTCTTGACCGATAAAAAGACGGGCCCAGTTCGGTGGCGAGTGTTGACATTCATCCTCTCTCTCTCTCTCTGTGTACTTTGTAATTCTCGAGCGTACGAGGACTCGATATGGTTCGGGTTATAGCAAATGAAATCGGGGTAGCGGGCGCATGACATATCTTAGAGCTAAACCCATCTCCGCGGTCGCGAATAGAACGAGACGAGCTGTGTTCATCACTCAGGCTCGATTGTGGTCCCAAACCAGACACTGTTCGCCTGCATGGTACACACCTCTGGCATGCACTTACATGATCCTTTCCCCCATGTTAGACCAGAACCAGGACCATGTCACGGGTGAACGGTTCCGTCGCTCTCCAGGCACGGGGTTCCGAGCAGGTAATCTGATTCTTCGGGCCGTTGTCGTGATATATACGTAGTTGCTGGACGGAGCGAGGTTCGTTCGGGTTGGGTCTAGACAGCCAAATCACAACGAACGCGAGACATCCCATCCCATTTCCATTCCCAATTCCGCCCACAGGCATTTCACTGCTTCCGAGCATTGATATTCGAAGAGGTGTGTGCATATACAGTCAATCGTCCTGAGGAGCTTGCACCAAAATTAGCAACGAAACTACAGATGAGAATGGGAAGAGAAGGTCTAAAAGTGATTTGGTTTCAATTGAGTGGTCTGTCTATTGCTTCGCCGGACTGCTTGTTCTGGCTCATAGTCAACAGTACAGATGAGATTCTGACAAAGTCGCTGGACGTAAGCAGAGCGTTCTATGGCATCTCTCGTGCCAATGATATCGCCCTCTGCGCCGTGCCGATGGTAATGAACTAAACGGGCTCGTCCACTGGGTATCATACTCTGTGAGCTGCCGCAAAACTCCCATATCACCATTCATGTATTGATGTTCCAGCACCGCACCCGAACTCCACGCTGGATTAAGTTCCAAGCACCGCTCCCATTGTATGCATATCATAAAGTGTTGCTTAAGCGTCCGTGAACAATGGATATCGATGAGTGCGTATCGTAAGTCGTTCTTGTTCGGCCGTGAACCTCAGTTGTATGCTTCCTCAACCCGATAATTTCGCTCAAAACCCAAAATGTCAAGGCTCCGTATTATGTGCTGAATCTCATGATCAGGGTACATTGCTCATGGGAACGTCCTCGATATCGTCCGTAGACTCGCGTTCCCGGCTTGGACCGCGAGAACCGGATGACTCGCCCTGCGTAGGAGGCACGCGCTCTATCTGCTCAGGGCTAAGCAAGGGCAGCTCGATAGTCCTGCTCGAATCACCGCGAGAAAGGTCTGGGCGCAGCTGCTGGGCAGAGTCCGCCTCAGCCAGCGCCTGAAGCATTCTCTGGCGGTCCTCTTCTTCCTCACGTCTCGATCTTGACACATTCCGACTACCACCGGCCATACCGAACGGGTTCCGACTTTCAGGCGACGAAAAGGGGTTGGTCCTCATGCTTGATAAAATGTGGCTCAGTCGTGAACGACTGCTGACGCGAGAGGTGTGCGGACTGTTTGATCGGGATGCGTGGCGGCTTGCTGAGCGGCTGCCTGGAATGGTTGACATGATAGCCTCGTGGTTGGCATCGAACGTACTGAACTCAAGGTCGGGTCGCAAATATGTCTGTCGAATATCTGCGGCACTACGCATTCCCAAATCATACAGATGGTTGCTCTGAGGGCGAGGCGCAGCAAGGGCAGGACCGAAGCCTGATTGAACGCGGCGTTGAGCTCGCAGTGGCATGTCGTCGAACTGGTCCATCGAAGGTAGAGGTTGCTGACCAAAGACCGGAGCGGGCGCAGAGGATGGCGGCGGTGGCTGCGGGCCAAAGTAGCTGTGGCTTGATTCAACCAAGGTATGACGTCGAGATGGAGTTCGTCCTGGGCTGGGGACATCCAGATCGTAATTAGGCGTGACGTCCGAGCTCATAACTTGAGCTGGACTACGAGAGCGGTGCTCGTACATGGTACTGGGCCCAGGTACACCCATCATGCCTGGTTGAAGCGAAGCCCGCATGCTCATGTCAGGCGTCCAAGCACCATACCGCTCGATCTGGTCGTTGTTCAAGAGAGGCATTTCGACGTGATAACTTGGTAGCTCATGCAGACTACGGGGCCGCTGACGAGCTCGAGGATTGGTCATGAATGGTGAAATGCGTCTGGGTGGTAATGACATGTCCATACTCTGGTCATTGCCGTCAATGGTGCCATCGTCTGACATCGTGTCAGCGCCAGGACTCTCGACCCCGTCGAGGAGGCTGTCATCGATAGGATCGCGGTTATCGCGCTCCGCTTGCTCCATGGCCAAACGTAGAAGGTAGTCTCGGAGGCGTTGAACACCATCTCCGGAGAACACACAGAAGACATCGCGCTGGGGATGAGTGAATTCGGGGGGGGCATCTCGACAGAAACGAGTAAGATCTTCTCGTAGAAAGGCTTGCACACCTGTCAGGGAGAGGTGGGTGAGTCGAGGACAATTGTGAAGTAAAGCAGTGATGCCCTAGTCATGTTAGCTTGTTTCAGGCAATGCGAGGGGAAAAGTACCTTTAGTGTGAGGTTGATGCAATAACTGAGATGAACACGCTCTAGAGACACGAACTGAGAAGGTACATCAACTCTTCCAGACGAGCTGAACATGACGGGTCCACGAGCCAGTGCCATGATGCTCACATCTGTCAAGTTTTGACATTTGACAAGGCCAATGCGTCGCAATTTGGGAAGTTGTGCCAGTTGCCGCACACTCGAGTCGGTCAGTCGCGAGCAGCAAGCCAGGTCGATGTACCTAATTCGATTACAGGCCTTGACCAGTTGAATCACAGCAGCATCCGTCAGATTGATGCAATGGCCCAGATGAATGTAGTGTAGGTTCTTGGTGAGCTTGCAAATAGAGGCTACAGCTCGGTCTGTAATGTGGCGGCACTTGGCGAGAACCAGGTTTCGCAATCGAGGAGCTGCAGGAATGATGCGGGCAATGGCGTCGTCGCGGACTTGCTCGCAAGCAGTCAAGTCCAAAATCCTCAGAGCTTCAAACGTTAGAGCTGGATTGAGATTGGTGAAAGCACTGTCATTAATGTCGACACAGTGGGCCAGGCGCAGCTCTCGTAGATGAACCAAGTTGGACAGGAGCGCCGTCACAGATTCGGAACTGATGGAGGAGCACTGGGCTAGATCGATCTCGAGGATGGAGCGGCAGTTCTTTGCGACTTCGATGACCGACGCGTCCGTAATCTTGGAGACACCGTTGAGCTTCAAGCGCTTGAGTTGTCGGCAATGGTAAGCGATCTCGGCGAGAGAATCGTCGGTAATGTTGGAGCAATTCGTTACGTTGAGACCTTGTAGCTTGGAGCAGTTCTGGGCCACAACCTGCAAGGTCTTGTCGGTCAAGGCCTCCAGATCTGTCACATCCAGAGCCTGGAGCTTCTTGCAGCCGTCTACCAGACCAGCCACGCCGAAATCAGTCAACTTGGAGCAGTTTGTCAGAGTCAAACGCTCGATGCCCTTGCAGTGCATGAAGGATGTAACTGAGCCATCGCTCAGCTTATCGGAGATTGCGGACAGGTTCAGCCTCTTGACCATCTCATGGTAGGGAAAATATGCCTTATCTTCTGCTTGAAGTGATCTTGTAACCGTCTGCAGGTTGGCCCATTTGTTGCACAGTGGACGGTGCCAGAGGATGCCAACTGCATATAACGCCCAGTGATATGATACTAGCATGCAGTTTCTTAGATCGGCGGTAGTAGTCAGCTTTGAGAAGACAGACATGAGGATCTCGGGAGGGAGTTTCGAGATAGGAGTCAGGCGGTGTTTCTGATCCAGATCGACTTCGCTATCGCAATCACGGACAACGGTGATGGCGCCGAGCGATGACTGTGAATCGTTGCCATGGCCCATGAAGAAATCGGTATCGTCATCGTCGATTGGGTTGGCGGAGGTATCTGAACTATCGGACTCGACGGTGACTGTGCTAAGATTACGGACGTGTAACGGCGGCAGCCGGCGGCGCGGGCTCGCCATGTTTGCAGCGCGGGTCCTGATTGTGCTCAGTGTGGACGGAGGAAGAAATGTTTGTCTCGACAGCTTTGTGTGCGGCAGGCGCGGTGTGCTGGAGGTGAAGGTCGGCGTGACAAACACCGAGGCGGGGAATGTGTTGTGTCAATGTTGTTGCGCTGTCGATGATGTGACAGTGTCAGGGCTTCCAGCCTTCATACATGACCTTCGAAATGCCCACGCTAGATGCGCAGTCGTCGACGGCCGTGATAGAGATTTGGGTCGGTGAGCTTAGGTCGCGAGCGTGAAGAGTGCCTTGGTACACGGTTGGTTTATTAAGGGGCCCGGATTAAGACCAGGAGTGGTCACGAGGGTGACGCGGCGGTGCAGCGGGGCGGGGCGACAAGTGGTGTTTATTAAGCAATAGACGCCCTGCAGTGTCGGTGGCAGGAGCGAGATCAGGGTGGTGGCAATAAGAGTAGGTCAATGTTCTGGTGCATGAGTACGAGAGATTGTACCTCTGCAAGTTGCTAGACTCGGGACGATGAAGCGCAGGCAAGGAGCGTAGCGGATATTATTGGGCCGGGGCTGAGAGACCCCCAAACATGTTCCAACTTAGGCGTTACCGAGAAATCACCCGCTAAAACGCTGTAGCCGCTCTAGGCGCCTATCGCTCGCCCGGAATTTGTTCTTTCTAGGTGTGTCAATTTGCTTCACACCCTCCTTGTCAGCCAGTATTCCAGTCGTCCTTCGGTGCAAATCCTACAACGGTCGGATTCCGTTGCATCCAAGCTGGCCTGAGGTGCTGCGAGTCCGAGCTCCCAGAGCCCTACCCAGCTCCCAACTTTGATGTCCACCCTCGAGAAGCCGAGCCCATGTGTATGGTCTATTGATCTCCAGCCAACGCCCCATCAGCGGAACCGGGAATCCCAGCCGTCGATCGTTCGTTTGCTTGATACAGCCTCAAATTGCCAGGACAGTGATGGCTTTCCCGAGATTTCCATCTAGTCGACGACCGGGACAACTAGGTATTCCCATTTCGAGGCCCTTTGTTTCCACCGTTCGGGCCATACTTGCTCCCTGTGCTGCTATGTCACTGAGAGACTTCTCTCTCTTGGGACATATTTCCAGAGCTCCAGCTGCAGAACATGGAACATCCCATCCAGGCTCCTACGGCACCCCAGTCCTGGTTGGCTTTGCGCACACTGACGTAACTATGGGCACGGCAAGAACAAGCCCCGTTCCACCGTGGCTTTGTGGCACGGAAGCCGTAGAGCCAAGGCAGGATAGACTTTGCTGGCTGGACGTACATTCTCAGCGCTTCCAACCACCGTGACGTCTAGTTACATCACTTGGCAATATACAGTGCCCTCCTCAATGTGAAGACGCTGGGTGTTCTCATAAGTTGAGAATAGTAACCGCAGTCCTGTCGCGAACGCTGAAGGAGAAACCCCGTGTAAACCATGCTACTCAGGGTCCAGACCGGTTTTAATCATCCAACCTGAAATGCGGAGCTGAAGTACAGATTGCGAGCCCCCAGCGCGCATTGCTGATAACGACAAGGTATAACCAACACAGTCCTCTCCTTTTCGTTTCCGCCGTCACGCATAGCCTTTCCCATCATCATCACGCCCGAGTATCGTTTCATCAGAGCTCTCTCTTGCCTCCCTTGGCCCAATCCCTGAGCACATTCTTTCTGATCTTCCCTGTGCTCGTCTTTGGCAGTTCCTCCAGAACCTCGACTTCGCGCGGGACCATGAATCTGCTGATGCCCCGGTGATCCTTGCACCACTGGATCATCTGCTCGCTCGTCAGACTGGAGCCCTGCTTGATCGTGATAAACGCCTTGGGCCTCTCGCCCCACTGCTCATCCTGCACGGCGGCAATGCCACACTCTAGGATCTCCGGGTGCGTCACCAGCACCGACTCCAATGCCACCGACGAGATATTCTCGCCGCCGGAGATGATGATGTCCTTTGCGCGACTGTCACGTGTTAGCAATTATTCTCCATCAGCCTGGATGATGTGTAACTCACTCCAGAATCTGGATAGCCCCATCAGGGTGCCACACCGCCAGATCCCCTGAATGGCAGACGCCCCCAAGGAACAGCTTCCGGGTCGCTTTCTCGTCCTTGTAATAGCCTCTCGCACAGATATTTCCATCAAACACAATCTCACCAATCTCCTTCCCATCCCGTTGAACGTCAATGATCTCCCCCCTCTCCCCTTCCTCCTGCTTAATCACCCTAGCAGGCAAACTCGTGATGAATCCGTGACCCTGCCGCGCCATCTTCGCATACATCTGCTTTTTATCCTCTAGCTCCGCCCATTCCGGCAGAATATACCCCTTGGTGATGGGTCCATACGTCTCGGTCAGCCCATATACATGCACCGGATGCAGATTCAAGCCCATCATGGTCTCAAACAGATGCGCCGTCGGTGGGCTGGCCGCTACCGCCACGCGCACCCGCCGATCCAGCACCGCAGCGTTCTTGTCATTGCACAGCAGGGTGTTTACCGTCGGAGCCGCGCAGTAGTGCGTGATGCCCTCCTCCTTCAACAACCGCCAGATCTCCGGGTAGTCGATCTTCCGTAGACAGTAGTGCGTGCCGCGCGCTGCCGTGACGGCCCACGGGAACGTCCAGCCCATGGCGTGGAACATTGGCAGCGTCCACAGGTACTTGGCGCGCTCGCCATCATGATAATTGAGGCCCGCTTCGATCACGTTGCCTAGCGCGCCCAAGTAAGAGCTGCGGTGCGTGTATTCGACGCCCTTGGGCCGCGAGGTCGTGCCGGAGGTATATGCCAATGCGTTCACAGCCAGTTCATCTGGCGCTTGTGCTTGTAGACCCGCCCAGCCACGGTTTCCATGTTCGGCATCGTACGCGTAGCCCTCGGCTACGGCCTTATCAAAAGGCCCATCGGCGCGGTCCGTATCGGTGTCGACAATGATGGGAATGTGTGGATGTTTCTTGCGGTATTCGTCCAAAAGAGATTCGTACTCTGCGTCCACGACAATGCTGTCGGCGTCGGAGTGCTCGAAAATGTAGGTAATGTCGTCGGCTTTGAGGCGGTAGTTGATCGCGATATTGATGGACCCCGCAGCACCAATGCCGAAGATGCTGTCGAGGAACGCGGGTGTGTTGGTGCAGAGGATGCCCACACGCTTGTAGCGCTTCTTCAAAAGGTAGTACGCGAAGCCCCGAGCGCGGTCTGCAAATTCGGCGTAGGTGCGGGTCAAGATGGCTCCGTTAGCTGTACGGTGATAGATTGCGGGGGCATTGGGCTCGATCTGTGCGGCACGAGGCAGGAAAAAGGTAGGTGACAAGGTATGAAAATTGAACCAGGTTGGAGTGCTGATTTGGCGGCCATCCACGTTCAAATTGTCAATGGATCCAGGCGGGGACGGGGAGGCTGTGGGGAGGATGTGGGAGAGAAGTGAGGAGAGACGCGAGGTCGCCTTCGCGTTGGCCATGGTGGCAGATACAGGCTTCGCAACGCCAGGTTGTGGGCTCACTGCATGATTGAGCTTTGACTGCCTGCGATGCTGGGCCAGTATTTGTACAGCAAGCTCGAAGCTTGGGATCGGACTACTTCGCGCAGCTCGACCCCAGGCACCTCGGCCCTGCAGTCTCCGCCCCCACCCCCGCCCTCCGATGCGCCAAGCCCGTCTTCTGGACCCGCCTTCCTCTGAACCGAAAGGTAATCTAGCCCTTCCAACAGACAACACTTCAACGGTCTTCTATATCAGCAAAGTACGTGCAGTTGCCGAGCAGATTGTTGTGGCTAGCTACTACTTCTGGGCTGAGGTCTGCAACAACGGGGGCTCATTCCAGGGGAATGCGTCGATCGAACGTTAATAGCCGAGACCGCAAGGAAATCCGAGATCCCACAGCGATGGCGATCCGTGATTGTGCCATGTCTTCAGCTCATCAGACTCGCGTTATCATTATCATGACCTGTATCTCTATGGTTCACATACTCGTCCCGTCCGTGATGTTGTTCCCGATCCCGTCCCCTTTCCTGTGCCGTGCGCCATACCCCAGTACACTTATATACAGTCTAAGCCTTTGGGTCGTCCGTGAGACCGTCCTCACCTCATTTTCGGATCGTTGTTACATCGTCAAATCAATATCACCACATGTTCACCGCTGTGTGCCAGTCGTAACCAGCATCTCACCACTGCCCGGTCGCGACAGCCTGTCTATCCCCAAGTGCTCCTTTCCATCACGGCCCGTATACACTCCGAACGCATATCGCGCTCTAGGTCGCTTCTCACGCCACTCTCCAGTCAGGCTGGCGGGTGTGCCAACAAGTCGGCCCACCAAGTCAGCCTTGGTACGAATATTCCAGAACTCGCTTAGTAAACCCGAAGAGTACAGAAAGCTCAGTCGGTCCGCGATTGTGATGATGCTATGTGGCAGGTATCGTTGCCTTCTAGGCCAAATGACCAGGAATGACAGCGCGTAGATGGCCACGAACACGCATAGAGCAATGTATCCAGGCATGCTAGCGACCATGCGCACGTCGCCACTTTCACGGAACAGCTGCGCCGTGAAGACGCCACCGGCCAGGATCGGAATTAAACTGCTGAGCACGCTGACGAAGGACACATAGGCAACCTTGTAGTCGCGATTGAAAATTGCTTCCACAGTCACCCACAGTGGTGGACTGGCTTCGTAAGAAAGCAATAGACTGCGCTCTGCTGAAGCTCCCGTAGGATCAGCAAGGTTGGCAAAGGGTTGGGCCGCTCTGAAGTAGACGTCGATTGGCTGCCACGACAGGAACAAGATCATTCCGAGTAGCGTTGGTAGGAAGCTGTAGAGGAAATTCGAGGACGAGAATCCACTGTTTCCGGTAATGGAGGGTAGCAAAGGGTCGAAACCATCCTGTACCGCGCGGTTGACGAAGCTGATGACCAGAAAGGCGATCAGTAACAGCATCGCAAGCACAGCCCAGATGATGATCGAAATATCCCGTAGAAACCATGGGACCCATCGATATCGGACGAACGGCGAGTGGATGTTGCGCGTAAAGGAAGAATCATAGGAGTAGCGCTGTCTCTCCACATCGAAGCTCGATTCCTGAGAGTTGGGCTCCTTCTCGTTGGGAGGAGCTGCTGGCTCAATCGAGATTCTCTTTACCAGTGCGTTGTCACCACCAACACCGTAGAAGATGTCCGGTCGCTGAGATGTGGTCCAGTACCCGAGCATCAGGGACATGGATGGAATATGAGGCCCGACCTCTTCCATCACTTCGGTTCGCTCAAAGTATTGTGCCACGTTGCTTCGGGAGAAGAGCACAACCAGATCTGCTATTGATGTAGGATCCCACATCAAAGCCGAATCTGCTCTCGCGAAGCGGATGATGCAGTAGACAATAGCCAGGATGAGCAGGACGAGTAGCGCAACCAGTACCCAGCCAACATCTTGAGCAGTGGTCCAGCGCCAACGGGCATCTCCGTCATCGGTCACCCATTGCGACTGGTAAAGACAGCTGAGAAGGGGCACCGTGAAGTTGAAAAGCCAGAATATCAGAAATGCGATCCCTAGCAGAGGCTCGCGGATCTTGAACCAGCGAAGGTCGGGAAGCAAGAAATTAGCAGCCGTAGTCCGAAAATCCTGGAGAATGCGGTCTTGACTGCGGGCGTTGGACATGCTGAAGTATGGAGCGCTCCGGTACACTGCGGCTTCGATGTAGAATAGCCACAAAATTAGTATCATGCCTAACAGTTGAGGCAAGTATTGGCAAACAAAATATCGGGGGTTCGTATATCCGTCGTAATCGTACAGTCCGTGATGTCGTAAAGCGTACACATTTGAGAAGATGAGGCCCGCCAGAAACAGTAGGCAGACAGAGAGATATAGTCCTAAGAACCATGGTCGAAGAGGGAGTGGTTTGTATCCTAGATCTGCCCAGCTCTGGCCCTCCGGAGGACTGACGGCTAGCATGGTTTCGTCGGGGGCAGACCGGCGAAGAGCAGACAACATGGGCGGCGTTATTATTCTTCGAAACGGCTCCCGAACACCAGCTGGAGTGGCAGCAGTTGGAGCAGGAGCTTGAATAGGTGGCGATGGCACAGGCCTCGTGGGCTGCCCTTTGAGCTCGTCCGCAGTGCTCTCGCGGCCGCCCAAAACATCCTCATCTCGTGTCAGCTGGTCGAGTGCGAATCTGATGAATTGCAAGTCATCGATCCCAGGGGTGGGAGGACTCATATCATCCAGATTTGGTAGTGCTCTAGGATTTCCTGCTTGTGCGGTGGTGCGAATTTGGAGACGGGCGGGTCTCGCCGCATCGGGTCGCTGAGGTAGTGTCATTTCGGAGTCGCTGGGCGGTAATTGCACAACTGGGGTAGAGATTCGTGATGGGGGCGTTTCATAACTGGCTTCACTTTGGTCTGATCGCTGGCTTGAGACTTCTGAAGCATAATCGGAGAAATATTCGCCAGTGATAGCAGACGACTGATGTGACTGTGTTCGGGATATTTGAGGCCTAGTAGCTGCGGTGTGTGTCAGTGTCGAAGACTTCCTCCATAATTGTACAGGCTTACATCTCACGCTGAGCAACTGGGGCTGCTCCGAGGTCATTACTTTCGTCAGGGGTCATCAATGCGTTAGTTCAATGCAAGAAGTAGAGTATATGCACGTTGACGGATAGTAAAGAGGAATGACAGGCCATAAGGCACTGTTGGCATAAAAAGAACGGGATCTATGTGGTTGGTGAGGAGGCTGGGTAGCGAGTTGTCTAGCGAAACCCCAGCCACGCGCTCTAGGGGCCGCGGATGCGGCGATGTCTTTCCAAGGTCACATCTGAAGCCGCCGGCGTGGTTTAGAGGCCTGAAAAAACGATCTGGGCGATTCATCGAGTGATATATCATAAGAGAATGGAGTCTGAGAGTCGGATGGCGCGAAGAATGTTGCAGGCATGTGGCTTCCCGATCGGGAACGATCGACAATTCTCCGACGTCGGTGGCTCCACCTCAGCCTCGTCAGGCCGCCTCGTCACTTCGCCGGCGTCGCCTCCTTTTCCACCTCACTTCATCAAGTTCTCTGCTCTTCACCCACACGAAGCTACGAAGCCGACTCGTGGCCGTGTAAGATGACCGTGTCTCTCCCAACGTCAGCCAGATACGACTCGCATCGATCAATTCTTCGCTTCGCTTGGCTGGTACATAAGGTGCACACCCGATAGACAGTCGGGGCAGGCGGACCCTCTCTCCTATGTAATCGCTGAATTGTCTCCCAATAGCGCTGTCGAATCACGATGGGTTCAAAGATCTATTCGAGCGCCTGAAAACATGAAAGACCGTGTACACGGTAGGTTCTTGGCTGGATGTCAATTACTGGGAAGTCCATCCACTTTACGTGTGCACGTGTGAATGCATCTCACCCATGTTTTGTGCCTTCCTCGCTTAACTTACCCTCCTCATGCCTCTCCCGCCTATGCCTTCCTGGTTGCCTTGCAACGCAACTTCCAGCAGGGACAATGCCAGGTCATTCGTTGCAAGTTCCAACCCCCGCCTCTTCATCAACTCCTCCTCAACCACTATCATCAATCCTCTCATTTCCAGTCCTTGGTATCCTATGAGACCTTATTCGTTGTGAAACCTCATCCTCTCGTCAAGGGCACATTCACGCCACGTTCTTTTGTCATTACTCGATTGTTCATCTGTTTGCCATGAAGTTTCTCCTCGCCTTTCTTCTGGCCATGTCTGCGGTCATGGCTGCCCCCACTAAGCCAGCCTCTGCTGTCAAGATCTTCCAGACGGAAGTTCTTGATGCCGTCCTGGAAGATCTGTGCTTGGACATGAGCGAAGCATTGTGCACCAGCAAGGAAGGCCACACGATCCAGTACGGTGTTTATGATCCTACAGGGGTCGATGGCTTGTGTGCTTGCTCCGACCGTCCTTCCAGAAACATCGTAAGGCAACTAATACCCTGCGAGAGCAATTTTCCTAACGAAGTCGCAGCTCAAAGCTCGCTGCCCGAAGTTGACATGCCCTTCCACCAAGCCGGAATTGCACTTCGACATTTCTCAAGATGAGTGCTTCTGCGCTGCTGCAGATGGCTGTATCGAGCCTTCGAAGCTCGCACTACCTATCATGGCAGACTCCGACCTCGCCTTTTTGCACAGCTCCATGTCTCGCAGCATTCATCGCATCGGAGACAGAATCTATAACCTTGTCACTGCTATTGACGTTTGGAAGATGCTTGACCCGAATCAGCATGATCTACTGGAGCTTACAACCACCGTCAATGCTGTCCTGGGACAATTGCCAATCTTGACGAGCAAGATTCGCGCCTCCAACTCTGAGATCCGCGAGCAAGTGGAAACTTTGGCGGCTGGCCAGATGCACAAGCGGCAAGAGCCCACCTCGACTTTCTCCACGTCAATTGACCCAGCCGCACCTACCTTTATTCCTCCTCCAAAGACCGATATTACTGACGAACTTATCAATCAGTCTTTGACCGTTGAGCCAGAGAATACTGGGACTATCACCGGAGTCATGCCGGACCTAATGAACGGTGTCTTGGTGATGCCACTTCAGTTGCGAGGAATCGCGCCCATTGTGTCTCTCAATTGCAGTACCTCATTTCCTTGCGGCGCCATCGGCAAGGGTCCCGACCCGAATATTCTCATCGTACCCGAGACTGTCGTTGATGGTGTACGTCAGACTGTTGTCGCTGACTGTATGGTTCTCGCCGTGAACATGTACAACCCCAAAATCATGAATTGGGCCATTCAGAACACCGACGGCGAGATCTTCTCCCTAGTTGGGAGCAACAAAGTCATCGACATTGACAAGATCAACACCACTGCCCCTGTGGCGCTCAGCTTGCGATCGGCGCTTGACATCACCAAGCGTGGTGCTGCTAATGTTGTGGACTATGTCATTCCAAAGCGTAACCAGGTATTCAAGGCCCCCTGCAACGCTCACTGCACCAGCAAAGGGTACTTCGTCCAGGGTCTTGAAGACTTCTGCGGTTGCATTAAGCGAGATGAGGAGATTCCTTCCTTCGAGCCTCGTGGCATCTCAGCGCCCGACCTGACCGAAGCTACCATGTCTGCTGAGGCTTGCACGGCGATGACGTGTATCAACAATGGAGGCAAGCCAGCTGTGTTCAACCCTTACAGCATGACTTGCTGGTGTGTGGACGAAGTTTTTGTCGAGGACATCTCCAGTGGTTGGGCTGTTCGCTTGCGGTCCTTCGTCTCGAGAGCGCTTAGCCTAGCGGAATGAGCTGTAAGATAATCAGCCAAATTGGGTTCAGGCAGAAGGAATTGTGTGTATTCAAGAGCAGAGGACTGACCAAGATGCATCGGTGGGCAACGATTCAGGTGTACTCTAGCGGCGCGAAAGTAGGAAAGCAAGGCATCTTCAGGATAGCTTAGACAACCAAATGAAAGAGCAGATTGAATATGAACATGACCACTGATATGGCTGAAGACTTCAACCGTTGTATTAATCTACCACAGCCAGACCACGGTGGCCTTTTTGCAACCTGGCTTTCCGTAACCCCAAAACACCCTGCTGCAAATCTGTGAAGACGGCAACCGACGCCAAATGCCCTCGCCTCAACCAAACCTACTTTTCTCTGCCAGATCTTGCTTCCCTTCTTCAGCAGTCTTCGGCAGTCGAAATTTTTGTTGTCTCCGTACTTTGTACACACACGCACGCAACTAGTATGTCTCCCTGTAAACTTTTTCAGTCCCTTGCTTTTTCCGCCCATCTTAGCTCCGAGTCCCCCCCGGTTGGCCGGCTAGCTAGCTAGGGGCTCTTGCGACCCTCAAGCTCCACCATAACTTTGTGCATTGTTGAAAGAAGAAGGAGAGAAAAAAGATAGGTTCTCTCACCAATGGACAAACCCGGAGAGTTTGGTGAAAAAGTCACCTCCCAACTACCATGACAAAGTACATGCAAGAACAAGAGCGTTCGATATGCGGGATGCCATAGCCTGTCTGCCTTTCCACAGTTTCTTGTGGCGTCGAATGTCTGCCCACGTCGTTGGTAAATCATGTCTTATCTCGCGCCGCGGCTCAAACCATGCGCTCACCGCGGCGGCGGACCGCCACCACCGCTAACGAAGCTGCCTCTACTCGGGCTGGTGCGGCTGGTCTGCTCCTCGAGAATGTCGCTCAGACGCGTGGGATGCATGTGGCGGGGTGTGACGCCCTCCCAGCTGGGTCCGTACGCACTGCCCTCGTAGTCGGCGGGCGTTTGGCCGGACTGCGGTTGCGCCTGACTCGTCGGCACCGCAGTCCTTCCCTGCGGAATGGTCGGTAGAGGGGGCAGTGCGCCCGTCGTCGTTCGCGGGATGTTTCCAGAGGACGTGCCCAGAGTCTCGCGCGGCGGCTGGTTCTGTGGGATCGGCGGACGCGCAGGTGACGAGGTTTGGTACTGCTGTGCATACATACGCTCGCGAGCGATATCGGAGGCGTAGTCATCGTCTTCATCGTCTTCCTCATCGGAAGCAAGACCAGTTACTGCAGGGCCTGGGATCTCGCCAACGTCTGGGGAACCAATTGGCTGATTGTAAGGTATTCTGCGGCCACGAGAGTCTAGAGTGTAGGACCCATCTGGGTTGATGTGGTATTCTTCCTCTCCAACGGAGGAACCTGTTGTCGAGGGTATGTAACTGCGGGCTGAGGACTGCGCGGTCATGCTGCGGGGTGGGAGTGGCGCGGACTGCGTGGCAGACGACAGAGGTTGGTGGATTGTGGTTTGTGGCGATGGCTGCTGATAGAAGTGCTGTCCGTTGGTGGTAGAAAGTTGATGGGCGGTAGCCATGGCAGCGGAAGAGGTCGGCGGTTGAGAGCTCGAAGTGTAGAACTGAGTGTCGGGCTCGTGGCGGAGTCTTTGGCCAGATTCACTAGTGCCAGGACGAGCTGCTTCACGGAACGGGTCGGTGGAGGTAGGAGATGTATCTTGCGGTTCGTAGCTGAACTGGCGATGCTCTTCACCGGGAGAATCGAGCGATGTTGTCGTAGTCTGGCTCCTCGACGGTGGCCGTTGTGGAGGCGGCATGCCGCCCAAGGCTGTCGCAGTTGGACCACCCGGGTAGGTGCCATCCCGGGTCTGTGGCCGCTGCGCCGAGCTGACTTGTCTACTGCGGATGCCTTGCATCGGCACAACCTGTATACCGCCAATGAAAATGGGCTCGCCGGAGCGAAGAGCTATAGTGCGCTCTCGCTCCTCTTGCTCACGACGACCCAGTTCTTCCCACGCGCGGCGAGCTTCTTCTTTGCTGATCTGGAGCTCTCTTCGCATTTCGCGAACTGCTTCTTCCGTTTTCGCCTTCTCCGCGCGGACTGCTTCGGCGGAACCAGTAGAAGCAGTGGACTCGAGCTTAGTGCGAGCTTCTCTCTCGGTTCGCAACTGTCTCTCTAGCTCCGCCTGTCTCTCAGCCGCCTGCTCCTGCTCGTTTCTGGTCTCGAAAAACCAGCGCTGGAACTTCCGTTCCGAAGAGGCGCGCAGCCTCTGCAACTCCACGACTGCATGGAAGAGGTTGGCTCCTGCAGCGGAAAGATCAGTAATCTGACGAGACAGTTGTTGATCCAGTGGTTTGCCATTTAGCTCGTTAGTGTTTTCTTGCAATCTTCGAATCCAATACGATGTCAAGCCTTCCCAGTGCGAGGAAAGAGTTTCCCATCGTTCGAAGGCATGTGGAAATGCGGCACGGGATAGACTACCAGGAAGGGCAGCCGGCTGTGGCTGAGGAGCATTAGTGGTTGAAGCAGGCTGGGCTTGCTGAGTAGGCTTGGCGGTAGCCGGGATGTTCAGCGTGTCGTATGCTTCGGTACGATTTCGCTGTGTATTGGATGACAAGCGTGTGTGCCCCGGTGTAAAGCCGGATTGCTGTTGTATGTTTGCTGGATAGGGGGGGACTGGAGGTACAGCTTCTTGTCGTCTTGCGGAAGAAGCTGTCGCTGTGGGAGCAGCGGTGCCTCCTATGGTGTAGCCTTGAGTGGCTTGGGTTTCTGGCCGGACTGCGACCGGTCGTCTTGTCGTAGTACCCTCAACGCCAGCAGATTGCTCCTGTTGTCTTCGTCTAATATCTTCCTCCTGCAGTTGTCGTTGTCTCTCGGCTTCCTGCTGCTCAGCTTTCCTCGCTTCTCTCAGACGACGCTCACGCATGACGTCTGTCGGCGTACGATATCGAGGCGGTTCAGCGGCTGTAGGACCGCCTCCCTGTGCAGGTCGTGTACCTCCATTCTGCGGTCGCCCGGTACTGCCAGAGGGCTGGGGGCCGGATAGCAAGTCTGACATCCGAGCACGCTCTTCCAGAGTATCTGAGGTCAGAGGCTTAGCGTCCACACCACGACCTCTCCTGATTGCTTCAAGAGCAAAGAGGATTGCGTCGTGAGTGCGGCGGGAGATATGAGTGCTCCTCTGTGGCCAATATGTATCTTCCTCGACAAGCCTCCGGAAGTCGTACGGTGTGGTGGAACCGGATTGATCAAAGGAGACGCCTCTGTCAGTCGCCGCTGCAGGAGGAGGTGAGCCTTGAAAAGGGACAGGAGGCCGCTGAGTTGGCGAACGATCTTGCAGGCGAGGTGTCCGTCTTAAAGAGCGGGCGCCGCTCGATGTAGTGGAAGCGGGTCTCGCAGGAGGCAACGATGAAGGATCTTGTTGCTGGCGTTGAGGTAGGGTTGGTCGTTGGGCGGGTTGGACTTCGTAAGCGTCGTCAAATCGTGGTACCTGTCTATGATACAAGTTTGTGGGCGTAGGTGTAGAAATGGGCTGGGAGTGAGATGCTATGGCTCCCGCTGAAGCAAGCAGGCGCAAGGCCAGACAGGGTTACCACAGTCTATCAACCAGCAAAAGCGATGCACCGCTGCGCTCTTCAGATGACTATGCTAGACTCGAGCTTTGGAGAATGCGCAGCATGCGAAGTTGGTTGGGCTTTGGGTGGTTGGCTGGTCCAATGTACCTCCAGAGATGGCTGGGCGACCCGAAAGATGGGTGGCTGGAAGGAGTCGCCAAAGCGCTGCGCCACACGTGCGACGGTCTCGCGACGGTCTCAGAACTGGGTCCAGCGATGACCGAGGCGATGAAGAAGCTTCTCCTAGATTTGTGAGCCGTCGTAAACAGTCGCAGTGGAAATGTCGAGGGTCGCGCGGGGCTCACGGAAGCGGGTGCTGTCGACTGTCGCAGAACCGTGCCACGCGCCAAAAGTGCGATTCGGACGCTATCCTAGTCAAGCACCGACAGCAAACTTGTGATTCTGAGCCCAGCTCTTGAAAGTATTCTCGCAGAAAGTTCTTGTGTAGCTATGGCGGGTTCGACGGGCGAGGGGCATGCGATGTCGGGTACGGCGCAGATCGAGCAACGAATGGAAGAGATAACATGCTATGCTAATTCACCGCAAAAAGAAGGGGACATGAACTTGAAAACATATTACCGTGCAGTCGGCGCCGTAAAGCACCTCATGAGCGACCGCGAGACTGCAGGCGTGAGGCAATGCTCGACTGTGCGAATAATTAATAGAGTGGCTGGGGAGCAACTGGCACTGGCACTGCATTGGGCTACTCGGCTCCAGTTTGCTCACCGATGCGTTGGCACTGGTCTCTCAGCTGTCCCGATGCAGTCTGGCCTTGGTCACAATCCCTGTTCCGCGGTTGATGGCGAAATTGTGCCCTGTTGTCGACACGGAAAGGTCTCGTAGGTCAAGTGAGAAGCGGCGACGTTATAAAGGATCGCCAAACACTGACGCAGCAAGCGATGCTGAGCCTCAACGCCAGGCCTTCTCCGTGTGAGCTTCTTTCCTTGCTCAACACCTGTGCCTGAATCTGGGAACCAGAGCTCTTTCGGCTGACTATTGGCTACCGCCTGCATGAGCCTGCCGCGGCAAGGGTCTTGAGTCAGCCTGGCGATGTTGTTGGTCAACGGTCCCTAGCCGCTCTTGCTGACTCGGCGCCGTTGGATCAGGCTCTCTGCTGTTTGCCTCAGTCACGGGACGGCTCTTGCGGCTAAGGTCCATCGCATCGTAGGGAATCCACCGTGGGTCTCCGGCGTTGGCCAGCGGTGCCTGGCAGAGAGGACCGGCGAGGGTAAAGATCGTCCTTTGTTGCAACTTTCGCAGGGTTGTATGTCAAGCCTTGTGTGTCTGAGACTACCGGCCCTTGACTCCGAAGAAACAGATCTCGGACCTGTCACATGGAAACATGCATCAGCAGCCGGCCCTGGTCTGGTTGCAAGGGTCTACTCCGGAAGCAAGATCTGAATCCCCGCCAGCCGGAACCGAGTCTCGCTAAGCCTTGTCAACACCTTGCTGCAGACTGCAGTCAAGCTCAGAGATCCAACGTCTCCTTTCTACTCGGATCTCTGTGCATGCACCCTGAGTCACGCTAACCACGGCCGGTGAAAAATCAGAAAGAACGCTGCATCTCCATCACGACATACATACCTGCACAGCACAGGAGCAACGCGCTGCAAAAGGCACAGACATGTGCATACCGAATCGTGGTGCAATGTTTGCAAGGGGTAAGAGCAGAAGTCGATCTACGTGCACAGTAGCTGAGCCCCTCGGCTCTTGACTGTCAAAACAACCCACTAAGGAATGCCGCCACCGAGCTTGCAATCTAAGCATCAAGTTTACTTTAGGGACGGAACCGCTTCCATAAAACCATGAGACCCCTTCAGTTCCTACAGTACGCTCCCCGGCTGGCCCATTTACCGGCAGCCGCTGAGAGTCCACCACTCGGAAGCGGAAGAGATTTGCAAGGGTATACGAGGGTTGATCGTACAGTATAGCCCGTATAGCCCAGTGCTGCCATTAGGACTTTTCTGTGAGCTCAAGACAAGCCCGACTTTGAGAACGTGTTCGTTCTCTATCGCTGTCTCGTCCTCGCTGGAGCTAGGGAATTGCATGACTCCCCTCGGTCTGGATCTTCCTACTGTAGATATACAGTACGGTCCAGAATGTATTGGAACTGCCGATGCCAGGCGGCTCCCTTGGGCCAGAGTCCGTGCTGTGAATGTACCCTTGACCAGAAGTGTCAAGCCTTTTGACGACTGTCAACATCCCTGGGTTGTTTTGACCTACGTGAAAGTCCCCACAGGTTCGCTCCTCCCCGGCTGTCAAGAAAGCCCCTCCCCCTTGCACCCTGTCCAATCGATGCCAATGGAAAAGGCGTCAAGCCACGAACGTCAGATGTCCAGACCACGATCCTCTCCTAAGCCCAATCCCTGGTTGCAACCATATAATCTTAGCAGGGTCTCCATTCGAGATTGCCATTTCCATCGAAGTTATTTGCATCTACCTGGTAAACAATAACATTGACCAGCGTTAGTTGCCCAATTCAGACTCGCAAACACTAATCGTTCGTCATGGGAGACTATCATCTGTTTCCCCCCGCGAAACCAAGTGAAGTCACTAGATATACGCGATTACCGCTACCTCCGCTGCCGAACCAACATCCATCGAAAGCATATTTCACACAGCAGAGTGCTTCTTCTTACGAGTCCATTCTACTGATCAGAGTGCCGTCGCCCGGGCTCTGTGATCAGGACGAGATCCACAAGATTTGGTCTCGCGCGTCGCAGCACTCTGTTGCGTACGACCGGAGAAATTCGCGTGGGCAACCCCAAGTTCTTCTGCCACCGGCTCTGGAGTATCGGTATTCTGATATCTCTACCGAGGGGGTTCCATGCCGCCTGTCATCAACATCAACAGATTCCTTCAGTGACACCTCGCCTATACTCTCGAAGCGGAGCGTGACTCCGGACCTCTTGCAACAGCTCACTGGTGATCTCACCTCCCACTGCTTGACAACACCTACAAGTTCAGCCAACATCTCTGCTCCCTCAACACCTCCTTCAACCCCCGAGGTCACCATCAAGATGCTTGACCGTACCACATCAGTGCGCCGCAAGCAACCTGCTGCACTGTCGAGTACCAGCACTACCCGCCGGCGTAACATTTCTTCACCTATGCCTTCGCCAGTCTCGTCCTCCGGCTCGGCCCTGACTCACAGCCTATCCAACGATCCCGCGGTACACGAAGCCAAGTATCAGCCGGGCCGCCCTGCTCCCTCCGTCCCCGGGCATGCCGGGGCCAGTCCTAACACGCCAAAGCCGGAAGTGTCCTGCATCGACTGGGACGACGACGATCTTCACGGGCGACTAGCTCGTATGAAGAAGTCGATTGGCGACCTCCGTTCTGCTGCGCTGCGACCAAAGGTCAGCCCCAAGTTCGATCCGGCATCGGACACGGGCAATGGTGCGGTAATTCCCACGCGTCCGCACGCCGGGCGGTCCGTCACTGCCCCTATGCAGACACTCCGTGGCGCCGCACCTACACCACCTCCACAAGGACCATTGCCTTCTCGTCCCATGACGCGGCCTGCAGATTCTGCTCAGCGGTTGAGGCAGTCGCTGCCCTCTCTACCTTCGCGAGATCCAAGCGTCGCTACCAGCCAAGCCCCAGAGCAAACTCGGCCCTCTCTGGCACCGGCGGTCCAGCTTGTTGAGAAGCTCCCCACTGCGAGCCCGAAAACCCTAGGTCGTCGGCGTGCCAAAACCGATCCCCCGCAACGCGTCCCCTCCGCCCGGTCGGGTGTCAGCTTCCAAAGCAAAGGTGCGAGAACCGCTTCGACGCGTAGCTCCAACGCCAGCGAACGCAGCTCGACTGAATCGGAGCTTGAGAAATCCGCTCTGACGAAGAAGTCGTCCGTCAAGCGGAAGCAAAGGCTCAGCGTGTACAGCACAAGCAGCCGGGCTGGGACCAAAGGCCGGGGAAGGCACACCAACACCGGTATGGGCAGGTTGCGAAGGTATTTCCGCTGGGCGTGGAAGTGTCCGCCTGAGGCGGCGTTGACGGCTCCGTTGAGAGACTGAATATGTATGAGACTGTTCTGCTGGGCTCGGAATCTCTTTTGGTGCCATCACATTTGGCTGTCGTTCTTTGGAGACCAGCAGATTCCCCTTGGCGCAACGACACGCACGAAAAAGCTCTATACCCCCTCCTGGATCAGGTGTTCTCTCGGCTTATCGATCCCTTTAACAAACACGACAACAAGTCCGCGACGACAGGCGCGTCAGCGGCATCGGCGACGGCGACGGGCATATTTTCGGGTATTTCCTTGAGTTCATCTTTATGGCCAATCTATCACGCGTACGATTATCACGACCTACACAGACAGAAAGGAGGTGACGATGCATTTTTACGACGAATCTTTGTGAGATGACGAGATGGCGTTTTTATCTGGAATTTTCACGAACGAGTTATGTATGCAGCACGAATGTTCTCATGACGCACGGCGGATTACGGTGAAGATGGGAATAGGAGTATCAGATGGAGCAGATATGAGACGTCTCGGGCTACACTCCTACCCTAACACTGCCAAATATCTATGGCAGGCATCGAAATGACTACCTCAGAAGTTTTGCAGTATCCTCCCAATCTTCATACAGTATGACTTTCCTCATCTGCTCACGTGTGTTCATCTTCTTATTCCCTGTCTTCCAACCAAACATGCCACTTACGTGCGCGGTCCAAAAACGCTCATTAACCATTTCCTCATCGAATCAAGGGCTTGAGGCCCGGACTCTGGTATCATACGTCAAACAGGCGAGTAGCGGCGGTGCCAGCTAGATAGACGCCACACCATCAACAGCCATCGAAAAAAACCTTCCTCATCCACGATCGCGACCTCGTCTCAACTCCCACTTCCACTTCCGCTTTCATCACCATGCGCTGCACTGCAAACGCGCTGCAACGTCACGCCCCCTCCCCACCACCACCATAAGCAAAATCCGCATATCGCGCATGTCCTCTCCATCGGAATCCCAATCTCCCCAGCCTGCCCGCCCCCATGGCGTTCCCGGGAACGCCATGGATAATTGCATATTGCCAGCTGCAAGAGCAGGGATTCCCCTCCCTCCTTAGTCAGGAACCTGCAGTAATACCCCGTAGTAGGCTAACGGAACGTACGGATCTGTTTCTATTCTACAGGGTTCATGGGTTCATGGGTTTTTGTTTTTTTTTCTGGTGGGCGCCCGGAACGGGTTTTCCTGACGTGTATGCCCGTTCGGCGCGTGCTGGGTGGAAGGCTCTTGGCTGCATGGTGCGGGCGGCTGGCGGGGGGTTTTGACAACGGGGGTGTGTTTGAGAGAGGGGGGGGCGGGACGGGTTGGGCCGTTTTCTTGGGGCTGGGAACGGTGCCTGGGCTCGTGTTGAGCTAACGGTTCTGGTGTTGTGCTGGCGGCAGGCACTGTAAATGGAGTCGGTTGGGCAAGTAAGTATCTATGTTTTCAATGGTGCTGGGTTTGAGACGAGCCAATCACGTCGACTGCGACGGGTGGCTTGACGGCCTGTGATTGGTGCAGCATTCAGATTGGGACGAAAGAGGAAATACAAGTTCCGTGTGGCTCCTGGACCGGGAGGCGTCTGTATCTACGGAGCTGCCTGTATGTTAGCCATGGATTGACATCCTGGAGCAACATCATCAGACAAGCCAGGTACGCGTTGTGTAGGAGGATGCCCGCGAAGAGTAGGCTACGGCACTGATGCATCTGCGCGACTAAACCCTGCCGATGCCTGTGGTCACGCATGCTACAGAACACGGTGAGAGCATGATGCGAATTTTCTCATCTCCACATCCTAGACTCATGGGAATCGATATTTCCTACCTACCAGCGAAAAGTCGCGGCACGTCAAGAATCTCCTGCAGCAGTTTGTCATGCACGGAAAAGCAGGAACCCAGCGCGCAACATGCAGCGCCGTTGCTTGCATCATGCACGCACGTGTATGTAGGTTCGTTGAGAATACATATATGCAGGCACGAACTACGCAACACCTTTGTAGCCCGTGCTACCCGCTCGCCTGAGACCGTCCACGCGCCTTGTTCCTCAACGATGCACGGTGTGCCTTCCCGCTGCTGGGAGCAGATTCCGGCAGCACCTGCCAGGAAGCTGTCATCGAGAGGTGTCAGACCTGTCCGGCAGACGGGCTCAAGCCCGAGAAAAACGGTCTAGACATGCATTTTTCGGCTGCGCCAATCTTGAAGGGTCGTCATATCGGTTGCCTTCCATGTCATGGTAGCTCGAGAAGCGGGTGCGGCAGTAGTAGTAGGACGATGGAAATCCGATTTCCAGGCACATACATTACCACAGTACTACTGTAGTACCGCACACCAGGGTCTACAGGTAATAGTAGATAGGAGTCTCTACCGAAACCTCAGGGGCGCAGGGCCCCGACAATTTACTGGTAGTCACAACGGGCTTCGCACAGCCGTTTACAGTTATGCACATACCCGAAGAGTTGCAGCGTCACCTAACCGGCCCTCCGGCCCGGTGCCAACAGTGGCCCGTTTTATTGCTTTTGGCCACCACCCGCCGCATCGCAGAATCGAACAAAGCAAAGACGCGCCCGACTCATTTCGGATGCTATCTACACTCGAGTAGACTAGTTAACATCCTACACGATCCGATGAAACTCATCCCTCATCCGATTCCACCGCAAGCTCTTGGACGATGGAATAATGACCGTGATATTGTGTGAGTCGCCGACCTCCGAACCAGCCCTCCCCGGGGCGGCCGGCACAATCCCATTCCCAGACAAAGTTTCCATCCGTCACACACACACATTCCCCGGGGATCCCGCCAAAGGAAAAACCCCAGCTGGGTGGGCAGGGCAAGGGAAAGTCTATAATCGCGCCGGTCGAGCATGCGTGGGGCAAAAAGGGCAAAAAAAATGTGGCCAGAAGAGGTAAACCGCTGAACAATGCTTTTTTGCCCACGCGGGCTGGTCTCGCACCCCTCGCGAGAGCATTTTGGAGACGACCCTTGCGGTGTTGCCGTGCGCGGAAGAATGCGTTGCGTCCTTTGCGTAAGGGTATAGTAGGTTCAAAATACCAGACCCCTTCTGTTCGGGTCCAGGGGGGTTTCGGCTCGTGGAGATGGAGCTCTGGCTCTACCAGGGGTGTGTGCCTTGGGGAGGCAGGTGCATCGGCTGGGTCCAGAGCGTCGGGACGCGGTCAGAACGCCTGGCACTCGTTAGTCGGGAGGAGCTGGTCAGGGAGGGTACAGGAGGGAGTGGAAGACAAGGCATTGTGGGCGGGGGGCTACAGATTTCTCGCGAGTCTGAGCTTCAGTGCCGTCAACAAGGCGCTGCTCTGACAGAGCCTGTCTGGCACCGTAGGCTGGTCTTGTGATGCATTGAGTAGATCATTATCATTCACATGCGCGATGCTGGTTGTGATGTGATGCAACGAATTGAGATGAACTGAGGCTCGGTGGGCGCTGAACAGCATCGAGGCCGCTGATGTGGTACGCAGTACCGCTGGTTCACCTGGGCTTGCGATTAGAGCAATGAACTACTTTGCGCCGAGAGTACAGAGTACATTCGAAGTAATCACGGGAGGAAGTGCAGAGAAATGGAAAGAGAAGCTGTCATTCTGGCCGTACTTGTGGCTTGATATTAACCGCCTCCTCTGGTCAGTCGCCGCTACACCCCCGCCGCCAGAAATACCACCTGCCAGCAGCGTCATGGTACAAGTCAAACTAGGAGGTTCTCTTTGCGATGTTGTGTCGGGCTACCCAGCTACGGGCACGCTTGCCAAAGATGTACCTGGACTTGATCAGCAAAGGCCGGCTGCATTCAGTTGCGCGCTCGACTTACATTGGAATAGTGACAAGAGTGCAGGCGACCGTGATGCCTCCAATGGTGAAGAAGCAGTCGCGCACGCCTTGAACGGCGATCCAGTTGCTAGTTGGCTGTTAGTGAAATGCTCTAATAGAATCAATTCGTTCAAAAAACTCACTTGATGTAGAACGTCATGCCGAAAGCGAACATGTTCTTGACAAAATTCATGGCTGCGAAAGCCTCGCCGGCCTGCTCACGATGGCAATCCACAACGTAAGCAACCACACCGGTGGTGCCTAGCTGGACGCCGAGATTGATGAGACCCATGCACACCACCACTGAGACCGGCCATGGCTCCTGGGCGTACGCGCTTTGGCCCCAGCCAAAGAAACCGGTGGCGGTGAAGACAAGGTAGGTGCACATGATGGGCAGACGGAACTCGGGCTCGAAGATACCCTTGTTGCGCTTAGACATGCGCTTGACGATGCCGTCGATCGTAGGACCAGCGATAAGAGTGCCGATCACAGACGCAACGAACGATGACAAATTGGTTGCGCCGACCTGGCTGACCGTGAAATTGTAAGGCGGCGCTGAGAAGATTTGAGAGAGCGTGATGGAAATGCCGACCAACCACGAGATACAAGTGGTGAACAAAAGCGTCGCCCATGCCACAGCAGGGGACGCGAGGAGGAAGAATGGTCGGAACGTGGTATCAACAATCGAGATGTGGTTAATGTAGCCGGACCACGGCCGCATTTCTTGTGCCCAGGTCATCTTGGGCTCGCTAGAGACGCGTTCGGTGGTAGCGCTGGTAGTAGAAGTAGCGCCCTTCTCGGAGTACTCCAACTGATCGTCAACAGATTTCTCGACATTGTGATTTCCAGTATCGATGTTGATCGTGTGATGACGGACAAATGCTGATTCGGGCATCCAGAAGAAGGTCAGAATAAGCTGCAGGACAAAGGCACCTCCCATTGCGTGCATGACCACACGCCAGTTGCTGGCTTGCATGATGGCTCCAGCAATTGGTGTTGCAAGATTGATGCCACCCAGCACACCCAGATTGAACACGGCTGTGCGGTAACCGCGCTCGTGGACGAACCAGATGTCAGCGATGGACGCTGGGATCAATGCCTCCATAGGGGCCATGCAAAGACCCTGAATGACACGGGCAGCTACGAAGTTGCCGAAGCTCTTCGCTGATGCTGCCCAAAAGCAGGTCACGGCAAGGCCGACAGACGTAATCAGATAAACTGGCCGCTTGCCAAACTTGACAGCGAGTGTGTTAAACAAGAGCGAGCCGATGGCAATGGCAGCGATAACACCGCCCTGTGCACCAGCGACGAAGTCGGTCAGGGAAACTCCCCATTCTTCCGCCAGAGGCACGAAGGCGGCGCCTAGAAGAGGACCAACAGCACCAACGCAGCCGCACCCATAGCTAAAACATAACAGTCAGTGACCTGCAAGACGGTCGGACGGGAGAAGGAAATGTGGCCAATGCAATTGTTGCCAAACACGGGAGATTTTTCCACGGCGGTGGGAACTCGGAAAAGGTCAAACTTACGCAAAGGCTCTGGATTGTGTTAGCAGATGCATCCGGGCGTACTTCTGTCGACTTACACAGTGAACAATTCTTTCTTCCACCGCGGCCAATTATAAGGATCATTGGGAGAGTCGCTGGGCTGAGGAACGAGGACGATCTTCCCAGAAGCATCATGCTTCAATAGGTGAGGGTCGACACCAGAGATATTCTGATCCTCGCGCCCAAGCTCATTGAGAGGTGCCGTACCGGGCACATGCTCGAGCTTGTTGTCTTGAAGAACTCCGAGAGGCATGTTTTGATAACCTTAGATGATGGCGAGATACAGGTAGCAGGCAAAAAGGAGGAGTTGATAAGTGAAGCGGTGCAGTGGTTCCGACACGGTTGATCCCTACCTTTATAGATTGGCGCGCAAAGTTCTCCGCCCGCCCCGTACCAAAAGCTGGAGGTAGGTGGGTCCTTGGTGCTGGGGGTTCAAGTATTGGAGATTCTCACCGCTTGGCCTGCCCTCTTAGAGGGTCTAGATTTCGGCAGCGCTCTTCCGCACTAGGCATCGTGCCTGTGCATGACCTTTCTGACTTGCTGAAGCCTGACCTAGGTTTCCATGAACTTCACAGCCAGCTGTTTGGGCCCGGATTTTCCCCACAGAGGCTCTCGTGGAGATCGTGTTGAAGGGCGACGATTAAAGCTCCTTCGTGGGGTTATGGGGCTACTCCGCTCTCAAAAGAATTGCCGGCTTTCGCTAGCTTGCTTCTGGTGAATGCCTCCATCAACGACATCATTGGCTGGAGCCGTGATATCGACGGGAAGCTCCTTTCGTGGTTAGAACTCTGGAAAACGCCCATTAATGTGGGTGTACAGCACGATTGGCGGTTTCATGGAAGTTGCAAGTATTTACGTCCGGCTTGTGTGGACACGTGGACACCAATGCCATGCAGCTCGCTAAGCACTTGAGATGAGCAAGCCGGAAAACAAGAAGCTGGCCGGCGCTCCGGGAATGGGAATTTTCCAACGGGCTGCGAGCCTGCGACAGCGTCCAAGGTTCGTGAAGTGCGCCTGGTCTGGGGACTGGGGATAGCCCCACGATATTGGATAGCTAGGTCTGCGGGGCCTAATCGGATCGCGTCCAGCGCAGTCGCGTACAGGTTATCGGGTGCGTACTGGTCTGGAATGGTTCGAATGTCGTTGAACGGAGCGGAAATGGAATCCGCGACAACGACAATGAAGATCAAGGCGACAGGACGGGTACGGGAGAGACTGGTTCGACTAGCTCGACTAAAGCAAATGTCTTGGCACTCTGACAACTAAAAGCCTAACTCCTATCGATAGAGCTTCGGTGGACTCCACTGTAAATATGACAGTGAGGGATTCAGACGGCGGTGTATTGACTCACATTGCGTTCTTTGAGAAGCGCTGGCGCCGGCGAGCAGCTACAGCAGCTTCGAAAATATGAAGAAGCCCATCGCGACCCTGGCGCGGCCGCTACAGAAGCGCGCCCTGTCCACAGCTACCAAAACACCTCGACATCTTCTCTCCATCTCCAATCTCTCAGCCACCGAGCTCCGTACGCTCGTCGACAATGCGACAGTCCACCGTGCCGCCGGCATCGACAACTTCCCATTCTCTCCTCTTGCCAACTCCCTCTCCCGCAAGAACATAGCCCTCATGTTCTCCAAGCGCTCCTCCCGCACCCGTGTCTCGACCGAGTCCGCCGTGGTAGCCCTCGGCGGCCACCCCATGTTCCTCGGCAAGGAGGACATCCAGCTCGGCGTGAACGAGTCTCTCTATGATACATCAAAAGTAGTCTCAAGCATGGTGTCCGGCATCGTTGCCCGCGTCGGCCCGCACTCAGACGTCGTCGGTCTGGCAAAGGACAGCTCCGTGCCCGTCATAAACGCGCTCTGTGACACGTACCACCCGATGCAGATTGTCGCAGATTTCGCTACGCTGACACAAACATATGGCGTGACGGCGGATAAGCTGTCAGGTCTGAAGATCGCGTGGGTAGGGGATGCCAACAACGTGCTTTTCGACATGTGCATCGGTGCGCGGAAGCTGGGCGTCGATATGGCCGTGGCGACGCCCAAGGGTTACGAGATTCCGCAGAAGATCAAGGACGAGTTGCGCGCCGCAGGCAGCGGCGCTTTGACCGAAACCAATGTTCCGGAGGAAGCTGTGAAAAATGCAGACGTGATCGTCACCGACACCTGGGTATCAATGGGCCAGGAACAGGAGATGCAGAAACGACTGAAAGCATTTGCGGGATATCAGGTAACGGAAGAGCTGGCGATGAGGGGCGGTGCAAAAGAGGACTGGCGGTTCATGCACTGCATGCCGCGGCATCCAGAGGAGGTCAGCGATGAGGTATTCTATGGGAAGAGGAGTTTGGTGTTCCCGGAGGCGGAAAATAGACTATGGTCAGCGATCGCCGTATTAGAAGGCTTTGTTGTCAATGGCGGGGAGATCAAGAAGACTGCATAAGAAAAGACAAGTTCATGAGCCTGAAGCAACGACTTTCCTCTCGGAACGATGCAGAGTCTCTTCGAAAGGAGGCTTTCCACTACCCAGCTTTGCTTCAAGGAATACGTCGAAGCAACGGACATATTTTCTGGGACAACCTCTCTTCGACATCACCACGCCCAGCGCGCCACAAACTCCACTGACACTATCAGCATCCGTTTCCTGTGCGAATCACGCCCCACCCACACCATCAACCTCTTTATCTTCGTCTGCGCCACCATCCCCACCTCGATCATCAAGCTTCATGCCCACACCGCCTCCCTCCCCCTCCGCCCCTCCGTAAACCGAATCCATCACCATCCGCCAAACCCCCAACTCCTTTTTCCCCGTCCCCTCCACGCTCATCATGGCCCACTCAAGAGCGTTGCCCACCTCCACGACGCCAGCAACACCCCGTTGCCCCCTCACGAACTTGTACTCCACCCATCCTTGCACGTCAGAGTCGTCGATACTCTGCACGTGCCGATCGCCGCTCGCGACTTTGACGAGGCGGATGCCCGTCCAAGTGAGGGCGCGGTTGAGGGCTTGGACTTTTGAGGCGTGGTTGGGGCGGTGCGATCGGTGGAATGGGAGTGTTGGGGAGAGTGGCGATGACAGCGACGAGGACGAGGAGGGGGAGGAGGAGATGTTGCGGTGATGAGGGTGCGTGGCGGGTAGAGAAAGAGGTGCGGAGTCAGGCAGAGACACAGGCTCGGGCGAGATGGGGGTGGGTTTGATTCGCTTGCGGCGTTTTTGCTCGTGACGCGAGGCGGCAGAGATGAGGGTTTCTTGTTCGCTTGAGGATGTCGGTGCGGATGCGGATGAGGCTCGCAGGGTGTGGTCCGGGTCAGGGTGTCTGGCGGTGCGTTTCACTGCCATCGTGTTCGTAGAGAGTGGTGCTCAGCCAGGGTGCGCAGAGAATTGGAGAGGGGAGGAGCAAATGCAAAGCCAAGTAAGTAATGATGCTGGTGACCTGGCGGGTCGTCGCGCAGTTGCGGAGAGGTGAGTCTAGAGTAAAATCAAGGTGAAGTCAGCAAGGCAGGAAGTGATTGAACGGTCATTCCAGTTCAACCAATATATTGGCTGCTGGATTCATTCAAATATCTGTATTCGTGGCAGCTCTGCCTTTCGTACAATTGGGCTTACGACCGTCGAGATGATGAGCTCTCGTCCAATCCGCCATTGATGTAACAATCTCTCCACAATGATCTGGTATGCACCGGCGGGCCTCTCTGTATATCGCTTCCGATCTCTCTGGCGTTCCCACAATAGCCACCGTGAAAATTCCTCCTCTCTCCGCGTTGACGACTCGGCGAGGCCCGGCGACTCTGTCATCCCCTTGGCCGGCATCACAACAGTAGTTTATCGGTGGTAGCCGAATGGCTGTGAAGAGTTCTTAGGCTGAGATCCAGATTCCGGCTTGTCTGTCACCCCAAAGGATGAAAAGAACAGTGCCATGCTGGTTTCATGGTATAGGTGCTTGCCTCAGCCTGCCATTGACAGGCCGAAGCTCTGCCTCCGATGGCGAGCTGCCTAATGATGTGGTCAGAGATGGTGTAGGTGATGCATATGGTTGTGCAGGAGAATTCCATGCCGCAGAATATATCATTTGACCATTCGTGGACCAGGCAAAGCCAGGCTGAGAGTCAAACGAGAGCCTGGAGCTCTGAACTTCGACGACCGGCTTCTTCAGATTGACAGCCGTCACCTAGCAGCAGCGTGAGAGACAGCTTGTTGCTACCTTGAGTGTTTAATAGTTCTATCCTGGAGTCGGAGCTTCCTCAGGTCGGCTCGCTTGCAGATTTCGAGTCGTTGCTATCCATTGTGGTGGATGACGAGCTCCGAGAGTCAGGAATGCGAGGAGCTGCGGCGGCAAGCTTCTTCTGCCTCTTAGGACTCCATTTCTCTTTCTCGCCAACGAAATAGAGCTTGTTGGCGACGTAGCTTGCGTTTGATGACCCAGACTTCTTTAGAGTTGAGATGGAATAGACGGGCTCTCCGCACATCTGGTCCTCGATCATTTCGAGGCCGTTTCGACGTAGCTGATTCTTGAGATTCGACATGTTTGTGTGTGGTGGTGATGCTAGGGTAGCATCGGAAGAGGTTCGGGACAAGCGACATATGTAGGTGAGAGGTATATGTACTTGCAGGACTTATCACGTGACTCAGCAGGGGCTTCTCGCCGGCGAAAACTTGGAATCCAAGGAAATAATTCCTTGCCACTAAGCCTTTCATGAGACTGCAGATCAGAGCTTTCGCATTCGTTCCACAGCTAATACTTTGATGCGGTCACCACATACTCCGTCATGCAGCTGAGGCGAGTGTCTGTTCCTCTTCGCTTCGACCGGATACCCCGGAAGGAAAGGCACTGACGAAGGCGAAGCGTACAGTCAGGTAGGTGAAAGTCATGTTCCTTGCTACCCTATGGATTGTCGTATTCCGCTTAGCACGTCTTCACGCCAAAGTGCAGGTCACTATCAGATACCAAAACGCCATCAACTCCATGCTCTAAGCAAATTCTCATCGAATGATATGGCATCAAGTCCAACCAATCACAAGTGGGCAATACTCCCGACGTGTCTCGAATCATATCACCCGTCGAGCCATAGGTCCTCGTCTATCGCCTTTGAATCATTGACCTCGTCCCACCATGGCTCGATCGACCCTAGCAGCATCTTTAACACATTACCATCTGCCGGCTCGAAATCTACAATATCTTTTGACACGGCATAGCTGTGCTTGAGCCCTTCGTCCAGGAACCGCAGCCGCTTCGTTCCGACTTCATCGTTGCCGAATTGGATGAATGAAATGCCCACTCGATGTTCGTCTTCGTCCTTCAGGTCGTGGAGCAGCTGAATGATAGGTTTTGAGACTTTGCTGTGGGGAGGTGGCTGCCATACGCCATCGGTGAAGACGAAATAGCTGCATTGCTTTGGCAGCTTCGGACTCTGACTATTCAATTTCAGGGACAGCCGCTTGCTCAGCGAGCCATCATAGCCCCTTGCCACTTTCAACCGAGTTGCGTATTGCTGAAACAAGTCGCCGAGTCGCTTCTGAGGGTTAGTCCTTGTGGTAGCTGCAGAGCGGCGAAGCTGGACCCCTTCTACTAGCTTTGTGGTATGCTTTGCTTGGAAAGATTTGCCATCAGACATCAAGACGACTTCCATGCCATCCTCATCATAGTCTTTGATGGCGTAGGCGAGGGTTCTCAGAAGGCTGACTACCTTATCCCAATGCGCGTGCATGCTGACTGAATCATCGATGATAAAGACCTGTCGTGTCAGCAAACGCGTGTGGGAAGGAGGAGTTACACTCTATTTGGAAGCTTACAAGATCGCGGTCAATGAGAGGTGCGAGAAGTGTGTCCAGGTTGTTTACATCCTGTTCGTGCCTGATCTTTTTGTTATAACGCCATTTCTCCAGTTCCTCTACGGAAATCGAGGGCGGCTCATCTTTTCGCGTCGATTGTATGGGTGTGGATTTGGGACGCTGCACCTGGGAATCAGCCCCCTTAACCCCAGAATCAATGACTGGTGGACTTTGCGGAGACCGGGGCGATAAAGGTGTCAATGCAAGAGGGCTTGTCGGGACGTTTTCAGTGGGACCTCCCACAGCGAACACTGTGCCGGGTACAGTGCCATGGATGTCCTGTGGGTTCAATGGTGGAGGTGGTTCTGGGAGCTCATCTTGTGGTCGTGGGTTGTGGGTTTCGAGAATTCTCAGCGCTCTGTGAAGTACCATGGTACATGAAGCCCTTTCTCCTGAGGGGACCAACATATCACGGTCGAGGAGTTGAACAATCTCATTGATCAAGATATTGCCTTGTCTGATGGACTGTAAGCATTCCTGATGTTGGTTGGTTACTACTGCGAGGACCCTTTGGCCGTCGTGGAAACGCGGTCCGTCATTCTGATCTTGCTGCGCTCGTTGGCGTTGGTACGCATCGAGGTAGACCAGCCCAAGGACGGACCACGTGAGGGCCTCACTGAAGATGCAACCAATCGACCATATATCAACCAATCGGGTAACATCCAGATGCCATCTATGGGCCCAGGGTTTACGAGCAGTTTCAGGCGCTCCATAAATACTTGTGCCATGTGGATCTGACGTGGTAGCGTGTTGGCCGCGGTCATTCAATTTGGTAACACTGGCAAGCCCAAAATCAGCCAGCAGGAAGCGGAAGGGGAAGGAAGATTCGGGCTGACTCCGGTCGCTGACGACGAGTATGTTGGATGGCTTGATGTCGTGGTGAACCCCTTGATATGCGGCGAAGCGGAGGGGCTCATCTTCGTGACCCAGCCTGTGGATGCGATCAACTGCCTTGAGGAGATCGAACAGCTTCTGCCAGAAATCCCATAACTCTACGAAGTTTTTGGGATGTAGGCGCTTAGTATCGTGGAGGAAGTCATTGAGGTTTCCGCAGTCCGCATACTCCAAGAGAATGTTGTAGGATTGTGGGTGGCCGTCAGCGGTAATGACGAAAGCGCCTAGATACCCGATGATAAGGTTTGGGTCCGGGCCGTCGTCCTTCCGGAGCTTGTCAAGCGCTGTCACCTCGCGCTCGTACAGTCTCTTTGCATCTTGGTTCTTGTCGACTGTGAACCTTTTCACGACAAAGACGTTGTTAGCTCGATGGTTCTCGACGCTGGCGGCGTCAGGCCCGGAGTGCCAGCGCGGCTTGATGTCGTTGTACCCATCGTGTACCACAACTCTGAATACGTACGCACTCACTCCTTCTCCAATGAATTCTTCGGTCATTGGCAGCACCAAATTCTGATCGACAAAATTCGGGATATCGTCGTCGATCCGCAGTGGACAGAAGCTTTGTTGCTGATAACGAAATCTTTTGTAGTCTTCCCCGGTCCCTGGGAAAGCTTTCGGTGGCTGCTCGTGGAAAGAAGAAAGGGTTTCATCGCCTAACTCACCATGGTGTCGATAAAATTCCATGATGTGATGTCCCAGATCGATCGAGATGAGTATCGCAAAGACAACGCAACACTTGTGATGAATGGCCCTGGCCCTTTTCTTGTCCTGAGACGACTGGTAGTCGTGGTGGTCTCCCAGAACAGCCTCGAGCAAATCCTGAACTCTCTCCTGCGATAGATATTCTCTCAAAGGCGCACGGGGTACAAAATACCGAACATGTTGCGTCTGCGATGGATTTCCACACCAGCCAGGGAGCCGATAATCGCGCAGCCATTTTTGAAAGTCGACGATAGGTTGCTCCATGCGCTGGGGATACAAGAGGTCAGCCATTTCGAAAGCGTGCGGGAGCAAGATAATTGCCGAGCCCCGGGGCTGCCAATCCGTCTTCTCGACCGTCAGTCGTCTCTGTCGTGGTCAAATCGGCTTCGAAAGAGTCTCCGATTCCGAAACGACCAGCCACGTTGACTGTGGTGCAGCAAGCAGAGCGTCAGGGAGAGCCAGTGAGATTGGAAGATGCCTGTACACAATCAAGCACTGTGTTGGGCGGCAAGGCCTCTTTTGAGGCTGTGATTATCGGAGCTATGACGGCATCCCACGCCTGAACCGCGCAGCTTTCTGGGCGAAGTCCCCAAAGAGAGGGTGGCGTTGCGGCTGCACCAAAGCTGTGTACTCATGGATGTCTCTCTGATAAGGCTAGCCTGTGCTGCAAGCCGCCCTGCGGTTACCCTGCCATGACTCACAGGCGCACATCCCAATTGGCCATTACTGCTGTGCACCCATCTTCGGGGCCGTCTGCAGCTCCCCTGATGCTCCAAAAGTCCAGCCTGCCAGAGCACGCGCAGGTCGACCTCCACGACCAAAGTCTCTCCGATTTTCACCCTTCTGGATCTTCGGTGTTGCTCAGCCTAAAGTTCTCCAGCCGTCGCCTCTAAGCTACAGTCTATACGGGACTTGTATCTTTCTGGTCTCTATTGACATACAGGTAGAAAAGGTACCAGGCAATGAGAGTGAAGGCCATCAGTGGTAGCGTCAATGCAAGGTACAGTGCAACCGCACCACTGGAGACCAGCCGTTTGCCATGCCAGGGCGCCCATCTGGGAATCTCACAATATCAGTGCTCATCAAGGTCTGCATACCATCAGTCAAGCAGATGCGACGCAGTAGGCACGGCTCACCGAGATGAAGGTTCCTGGAAGAAAGACGACGGTGACAAGGCTGATGACTCGCATCATGACCGTCTCCGACTTCGTGCGCTGTGTGAGATCGTTCATTTCCTTGGTCAACTTTTCAGTGTTCTTGGTTGACTTAATGGACTCCTGTGTGGCAAGCTTATTCGTTATCATGTTGCGGTATTGAAGAACTTCGGTCATCTGCTGGCATATTAGCCCCTGCCATACCCGGATCAATGCACTCACAAGGGTCTTGCGATCGTTAACCAAGGCAAGCAGCGCCTCACATCTTGCGCGATACATGTTGAGAGTTTTCTCGGTGCCTGTCGAGCGCTCCATGAAGCCGAGCATGTCTTGCGTCAATCGTGCAGAATCTGTTATCTCCTTCGGAATGTATTGCAAAGATGGAATCGTCTCGTAATAGCTTCGGACGCTGGAGATGATCTCGATGTTCCCGTTGATTACGTGGAGGCTCTTACTGATCTCTTCCTGAAGTATCTGGACCTTTTGCAGATCCCCAAAGTCGAAGCGCGGTCCTGAGGTCTGAACTGGTGATTTGAAGGCAGATATCTCTGGCGGTGGTGGTTCTGGAAGCTCATCAGAGTCATCCAGCTTCGACTCGGTCTCTTCATCCGTATGTTCATCCTGTCGGGCGTTCTGGTGCAAGCTCAACGCATGCCGTAACCAAGAGGCCCAGCTGGGCGCAGATCGGCCCCCACGATCAGTCTCCAGTGGCTTGGTCAAGTTGTGCCCACTTGCCGATGCCGACGGTCGAGTCTCTAGCTCCAAACTGACGGCTGACCGGCTCAGAGCTTGTAAGTCATCCTCAAGACCGTCGAGATACTCGCACCAGCCTTCGGCAGACCACTCGCTCATCAATGTGTGGATTTTCAATGACAGCGAAATACCCCGAGAAGCCGAGTGCGGTACAGTGCGTTCCTTGAAACCAAGGCAACCGTTGACGCGGTTTTTGATCAACTCGTTCGCCTTTACTATTATCCATGTGCAAGTACCGTTGGTCAAGTCAATCTTGTGATACACGGCAGTCGGTCGAATGGACCACGGTCGCCTACCAGTGGGATTGCCACGTTCCACGCCACGGAGATCGTATGACATCTCTAAAAACGGTTTTCTCGTCTTGCTGGAGACAGCCGTTTTATGCTGGAAATTGCTGTGCTGCGAATCTCGATGATACAAATTGCGACCAAAAAGCATCAGAAAATCCAGGAAGAATGGCTTCACCTGGTAATAAGTCAATATGTGGTATGCCATCTCCTTTGTCAAGCGAAGCGACGCCAATGAGTTGTCTGCATGCCAAAACCTACGCCAATGTCAGTTGTGCACATCGTCATCCCCGACCTGGAGCATCATACAAGAACGTTGCCCTCGTTTCTTGTCTGGTTTCGTTTTGCGAGCATGTAAAGCGCTTCTTGACGTGATCAAGATGTCTGAGAATCAACGGCACATAGTCTATGCGCAGATTAGCGGCTTTGTCGAAGTCTCACGATAATCGGTTATCCTCACTTTCAAGGCTGCTGTTCCATTCGAGCAGAGCAACTGCTATGTTTGGTCCAGGATTGCTGAAAAGTCTGACTGGAGCGTCTTCCCTGGTCCTCAAACGCTTGCGATATGCCTGCAGCTCATATCTCTCCACCAGTGGTTCAACTAAGTTCTCGGGATACTGGTAAGCATTCTGCAAAGATTCTGACATTGAACTGAGCGCCATTGCGGTAGCTTTGATGGCTCTCTCGGTGGTGTGGGATTTTGAGGTTATCTTATATGCCAGTCCGGCTTATCCGAGACTGAGGGCATCCAGCATTGAGCAGTGCGCCGATACTGCTGGAGGCGCCCCATCAACGCAACCGAGCTCCTCCATCGACAACCAGTTAACGAGGACGGAGAGCACCGCCGAACGCCGCATTTCCAAGCTCCGATGCAGAATGTGGACCATATGCGACCGCGATTGCATTGACCAGCTGTTTGCACGACTAAGCCACCCTGCATGGCCTCCCCACATCAAATTCCCCTGCATGGTCGACCCGGACGGCGCTTTACTGCCCCCCGAAAGCGGGGATCTCAAGCAAACATCACCGACGCTACGGGGGCTATACCAAAGTCCTACTTCTTCTTTGCTGACTCCCTAATGTCCAATTGTTCTAGCTGCGAGAGGCTTAGTACGAGCGGTAACATTAGCTGATGCGACCTACTTTTGTCAATTCCCGTGGGGCATAGTACTCCCAGTGGTCGTCGAGCACTTTCTTGAAAACGTGTCAGTGGTTGCGGTTGACAGAGATCGGTGTCTCACTTTAATGTATTTGCCCCAGTTGGCGCGTCCGAAAATAGCCGTCAAGCCTTTCGCAAGATCTTTGTCGGTGAGTTCATAACAGGGGAGGACATAGGTCGGTCCGGGCGGCTGAGGCTGTGCCATGATCACGAAGAGCACGCAAGAACGGCTCGCAACCGCAGGTCAACCTTACGAGGCAGAATCCAACACTCACTCCGCATGCTCAGCCTTATAACTTCCCGTTCTGCGTCTTGTCCCGACCAAGTTGCGGCTCCTAATTCACCATCTAGTTGGTTGGCTGTCCAGCATTTCCTCACCCGCTGCACAATATGCAAGAGCTGGCGATTCTGTCACACCGGTTAGAGCGAAGGTGCGCCACCTCCGCAAGACAACCAGGACTCGATGCTTACGATTCGCGCCCGCAGCATCACATGCACGGATTGTGACGATCGGGGCCGTGCTTTTGACAGCGATCACTATCACCGCCAATGGTGAGCCACCCCGCGGTCCGATTATCCGTGGTAGAAAGTCGGGGCTTTTTGGTGGCTAAGACACGCTCTCACAAGGTTAGGCACGGCTCATTCTGCGCAGACGATGCCCACTCTTTCTTCACTTGCATATGCAAGCGAAGCACAAAGACCGTGATGTAGGGGATGTTGGGGTTGACTTTCAAGCAGGGTTCAAAAGACGCAAATGCCAAGCTCTTATAGGCGGCGGGAGTACTGCTCGGGCGGTACGGCAAGCTAATCACGCAATTTAGTGGGGGCTTGCACCCCGTAGTGTCGATTCCCACGTGCTGTCGCAGCACTCAAGCTTGATACTTTTCATTCCGCTTTCTTTTCCGAAGTGGGAATCCTCAAAGCGTACCATATATACATGGGCATCGCGCACGGAGCTCAAGGGACCGGACTCGAGTTTCTCCTCGGGTCTCACGATGTCGTGTCCTGGATGTTACCAAGCACTACGATCAGGGGCGTCCCGATCACTCCCGCCGGCTTAGTCACAGCGTCTTTGCTTATATCGGAAGGCACACAGTATACATTCTGCTCTGAAGACTTGCATCTGCATCTGATCACCGAAAGGTAGAAGCCGAGAGATCGCCAGTGAGAGCGATAGCCCCCATACTAATCAGCCTCATTTGCATCAGACCTGACCGCCAAGACGATTGCGGCTTTCACAGGGCCGGACGAGGCAACATCACGAGCGCGTTGCAGGCTCTGGCTCTACGAGGTGACCTGGCCACTCTTGCAACCGCTACCGAATCATACAAGGATAAGTGAGAGGCTCTCGATTGGCTTCGACCACCGATCGCGTACTCGTGGACTTTTCGTACCCTTACGATTGTCCTGATCTGGGCCAGCTCGAGGAAAATTCAGCCCGCGTAGATGTCTTGTTCTTGGCGGTCTGCAGCTACAAGCAGGCAAGCACAGCACGACCCACCAACAGATTGAGTGCCTTGCTTGGTCCTCATTGATTATTCATCATTCATGGAGCAGCTGACTGCCGCTGCCGGTCGCTAGTTCGGTTGCTCTTGCCTATGACGGAGCGCCGACTTCCTACCACCCTAGTTTCAAGGCCCCCCACAAGGCGGCAGGGGCTGTTCTTTTGGCGATCGACACCATTCGGCCCCATGTACTAAAGAGTCTTGAACGCTTGTTTCGTGCGCAAAGGGCCATACTAGCGCTCCTCAAGGCCTCGTATCGCGGCTGTACAACATTGGCCCCCAGTCCTTCTCCATGATGGTTACATCAGCATTGAATTTGGCTGGCCAAATACAGACAATGCCATGTGTCTTCACCGATTTCCCTGAGCACTACACTCCCTCCTCCCGCCCCAGTTCACCTACCCCGACAGCCAGGCAATGATGGCAACTTCGAAGCTTCTATCGTGGGCGCTCTGCTTGGCCCTCTTCGGTGCCGCCTTCTCCTCACGCATCCTCAGCATTGCCGCGTCGTCGCTCACAGCTACTGGTATCGCGTCAGGAACACGGAGTCTGTCAAGCTGGGTTGCTGTTGCCCTTATGGTCGGCATGATTGTGGGTCCCTTGCTGGTATGGCTTCTGTCACGATTCGTGGGACGAAAGCCTGTTGTGCTCTGTGCCATAGTCAGTGGCATACTGGCCGCCATACTCACCACGTCAGCGTCATTGATGCAGCAGCTGTTCGTGGGTGCCGGCTTCACAGGACTGTCTCTGGGGATGGTTGTCACCACGGCGTCTTTGTGGCTGGTAGAGACTGCTGAAACTCCCGACCGGTGCAAGAAGATCGTTCTGCTCAACATCGCCGCTGCGGCAGGCTCTGCAGTGGCAACATGGATCGAGTTCATCTTCACAATGACGGCGACAAACGGTCAAGTTTTCAGGGCTTGTATGGCCCTACAGCTTGTCTTCCAGGTGCCTGCTTTCTTCCTCGTCTTCCGCTCCCCCGAGTCCTTCAGGTATATCTCCTGAGTCATATCTGATATACCTTAGCTAATCGTGCCAGATGGCTTCTCTCCCACGATAAACCCGATGAGGCGCGCTCTGCTCTCGCTCGCATACGCAACCAACCTCAAAACTCTCCCCCAATCACCGCCCGATTCAACGCTCTAGTCCACCACCGCCAGCAAACCGCTTCCACCCCTTACCTCTATGGGCGTTGCATTACCTCGCGGAAATCCCCCACCCCCCACCCAGGCATGCTCCACCTGCACGTCCCCCGCCGCCTAGCTCTCGTCACCGGTCTCCAGACGATGGCAACCCTCATGGGCATTCAAACCGCAAATCTCTACCTCTCCTACCTCCTCCGCAACCTATTCGCGCAAGCCTCGGGCTCATCCTCATACCACGGCCCCCTCATCCTCGCCACCTTCCTCCCCACCATCGACTTCCTCTTCACCATCCCGCCCCTCTTCCTGCTCCCCCGCCTCGGCATTCGCAAACTCATGATAACCGGCTCCCTCGGCCTCGCAACCTGCCTCCTCGTCGCCGTCATCGTCTCCTCCACCAACGCCTCCCTCTCCTCCTCCTCCTCCTCCTCCTCCTCCTCCTCCTCCACCACTCTCTTCTTCACCTCCTCCTTCGCTACCACCACGACGCACACGCCCAACCTCGCCCCCACCGCCGCAGTCTTCACCGTCCTCCTCACCGCCTATTTCTTCTACGACCTCGGCTGGAACGCCACCACCTTCCTCTTCCAATCCGAACTCGGCCCCTCCCTGAACTCCCACGACGAAAACACCGCCCTCGCCTCCATCGCGACCGCCACGCGCTTCGCCATCGAGGTTGCCATGGTCTTCAGCTCCAGCTACGGCGTCTTCGAATTGGGACGTTTCTACCTGCTGATCTGGCTGTTTACGAATCTGGCTTTTGCGGCGGTGGTCTTTGTGTTTTATCCCGAGACCGTGGGCAGGAGTTTGGAGGAGATTGATTTGTATTTCGCCAGGGCGCCGAGGAAGGTCGTGGTGAGGGATCGGGATGCGCGTGGCGTGCGGAAGAGGAAGTCTGGGGGTTATTATGGTGGTGGTGGTGAGCGCGGTGGCGACGGAGAGAGCGTTGAGGTCCGGCAGTGGCATGGGCGGGCGGAGGAGATGGTTCCGGGACGCGAGGCGCGGATGGGTTGGAGGGGCGTGGCTGAGCCGTGCAAATAGGTCGGGAGGAGTAGGTAGTGAGTGGGTGGTGATTTATGTGCTTGAGCTAGCGAGGGGTGGACCAATATACCTGCATATACCATGATACGCTGTCAGCCGATCTAGCAAGGACCCTGGCACTCCATGTCCTGTAGAGATAAGCGGCAGCTAAAGCGCAGGGAGCATATCACCCGCGCGACGATGAGCGATCGTCCTCCCCTATACAACACGCACATACCGCGCAGGTACTCCAGTTGTCGGCTAGCCAGTTTCCTGCCGCGACCATCAAACCTAAGCCTCCCCACGGGGGGGCATGGCGGGTGTCCCAGACGGTGCAGGCTGGCTGCTGCGTAAACAGGAAAAGTATGTGGCTGTCTAGACCTGGCAAAATCACTACACGCGTGACGGTGGCACGAGTCAGCAAGGAAGCAAAATCTACGTGAATGACACCACAAGAACCATGTAATGGTATTTCGCTATCGACCAGCATCAACGTGGCTCTAAACCGGCATGTCTGTCATAAAGAGCCCAAGCACGATGCGCTCTCCGATACTATAATACTACAACCCATCCGAATCAGGCGGGTGTGGGTGCGGCCGGTACTCATGATATCCCTGGGCATTCAGGGCCATGGTCAAGCCTCTTAATGCCGGTTCCGCAGACGGTGCCGCCTGTCTTTCTTGGACACCAGCGAAGGGTCCAGTTCGTCATCGAAGTTATCTCTGAACCCCCATGCGAGGTGACAGCGGTGGTGGTGGGGTGTTTTCCCGCAACGCTCTCTCCTCAGGAGCATCTAGCGGCCTCCGAGGGGCTAGTTGTGGCAATGCTGGCGGTGGCGGAAGTGGGAGATCGACTGTGGACGAAGATGAGGAAAGAAAAAGGCCAGAAGCCAAATTCTACTTGGCAGTTTCCTCGGGTGCAGGCTTTTCCTTTTCTGCTTCAGCACTCTCATTCGCCTTAGTGCTTTGGTTGCTGAGGGAGACCTTGATCCTTGGGCTCCTCTTCAGGGAAGCGTCAGGTTCATCTTGGTTCTCACCAGCAGTGCCCTTGGTTGGTACTTGATTAGGCTCGCCAGTGTTCAGTGTCGCTTGCTTGCTTCTGAGAAAGCTTTTCTTGCGCTTCATTCCTGTTCCCTGAGAGAGCAAACTGCTGGCAGAGCTAGCACTTGAAGAATTGCGTCTCTTAACGCCCGTCGATAGCTTGCCAAGTTCATCTTCTTCCTCGTCTTCTTGCCGCCTTCTCTTTTCTGCTATTCTCTCAGGCGGGTGCTGGAGCTCACTGGCTGGATCTGTGGACGAACGGATATCTGGCGAGGGTTGAAGCTGTCTCTGCTTGTCTGGTGTCAGGCCCTTGGCGTCAGGGGAGTCACCTGACTCGCTCTCGGGTGTTAGCGGCGTTTGAGGTGTCACCACTGGCTTCGGGTCCATGAGGAGGTCATCGACATCATCGTCATCGTCGGGATAGTCGACGAGCGGCTTGTTCACAGGTGAAGTGGTACCGTTGACCACATCCTTGCTCTTGTTCCACTGCAGACGGTCGTCTTCTTCGACAGGGGCGTCTTCATCGTCATCGCTGGTATTAAAGTAATCCTCTTCGCTAGCATCCATGTCCGGGATGCCTTGCCACCTGCCACTGAGATTCTGTCTGCTCATAGATGGACTATCTTCGTCCTGGCTAAAGAGGGTATGCTCCATTTCAGGTTTGTCGGCCGTGAGCTGATCGTACCGCATGAGCAAATCCTCAAAAGTGTCGACATAGATTATTGACTGCAGCTTCGGGCGGTAGTGTTCGCCCAAATGAATGATGATTGGCTTGATGGTTTCCTTTCGGATGAAGTCAAACATCTCCAGACAGGCAGAGTTGAGGAGGTTGTCCCGCGGCATCGTTTCAATAACTATGTTGATGATTGGCTCAAACGACGATGTTTTGAGTATTTGTTGCGAGTAGAACTGGTCTTGCAGCGCGATTGCGGTCCGAAAGAACTTAAGCGCTGTGAGCTTGAGCGGCTTCTGCCGAACTTGGAGCAATTGGGCGACCCGGGACGTCAAGTTTTCAGAAGACACAAAGTGTCTACTTCGCATCGAGTGTTGGCGCAAGAAAAAGGTCAGAATCTCGACTAGGTAAGAGTACAGAGACACTTCCTGAAAGCCGCAATTCAATGTGACGCGCTGCTCCAGATCCTTAAGCGGCTTGAATAGTTTCCTGCAAGATCGATCGAAGTTGTCTTGAGCGAACTGCTCGTTGGCAGCTTGAGTAGGAGTCAACTGTGGAGGCCTGGACAGCTTCGTAACAAACTCCGAACTATTCCTATTATTCATCGGCTCATTCGTGGGCGGTTGGGGGTCAAGGAGAATCTTGATGGCATCCGAAAGTTGGTTCTTAACTCCAAGATCTGTCTCTGCATGTAAGAGATCGATCAGAATGTCGGTCAGCGGTGTCTTCTTCTCGGAAACGGCCTTAAGCATGTAGTTCCGCATCATGTTAGGATTGTGGTCCAGAAGCGCAACAAGGATGTCGATCCCAGTCGTCCGCATCGAAGGCTGCGCATGTCGAATTGCGAAAGTGATGACAGCAAAGAGTCCGTGCTGAATGAAGTTGTTGAGAAGGTTCTCTCTCGACTGCAGCTGCAACGTCTTTGTTATAGCGGCGCATTGCTGTAGGAATTGGACTGCCTCCTCTTTCTGTTTGGTGCCATCAACCTCGATGTTAAATATGGCGAACAGCTCTTTCAGGAAGGCGGTGTTTTGCTGCAGATGCTGGACTATCTCCACCTGGTTGAAATATATGAGGCTGTTCAGCACTCCGAACGTGGGATCGTCTAATATTCGTGCGAGTACAACATCTTTCAGATACTGTAGTCGCCATGTTTGTCGAATCTTCTTCTTGATTTGCTGATCCTTGATTTCCACGACTTCCTTGTACCTTGTCTGGTCACCGAGGTATTGGCGGTGGTTGGCCTTGTGCGTCGGGAAATCGGGGTCGTATTCGAGGGCGCCGACGACTCCGAGAATGATGTCGTCGTCAACCATATGCTCAATTACGCTGCTATCGTTCATGAGGATGAAGGCTTTCATAATATTACACAATCGGTGCAGGTCCGAGAGAGATTCTAGGTCTTCGGCATCGGAAAGAAGGGGTATCAGTTTTGAGAGGTACTCCTCGCGTAAGACGAATTTGGCAAGGGCTTCGCGACCGCCTTGGGATATACTGGCAGCGCGGATGGTCTGCTCGATCTCGTCAAGGTTGTTGAGGGCGGGCGCACTGAGAGCAAAGGAGGTCGTAATGCCGTCAAGCGCGTCATCGGAGAGGCCATCGTCTGAGCATGTCAGTATTATCCAAGGCAAACGCACTGGTGATGTTACCCGGGAGTTGTTTGAGCTGTTGCTGAACGTTATGAACAAAATCCCTGCTACGTGTTAAGAGGATGTGGCACATGCGAGATTTCGGCGAACGAACCAGATAACGGCACAACCCTCCGCTTCTTGGAAACTGAGGGCCATATCTGTGCCATTGGATTCGGTCCATACTATGAGCGTGTCTTGTTGCTTCTGGTAGCCGTCATCCTTCCGGATCTTGGTTTCGAGAAGCATGCGCTCGGGTTGATCTTCAGATTCGACGAAGACTCGAGGCTCATCCTAAGACGCGTCTGTCAGCGCATGCGCGTAAAAAGAGATTCGCGATGGTTCGGGCATACATTGATGACCTGACCGGTGCAAAATCCGGTACCTCTATCGAACCAGTCATTGTCTCTCAGCTCGTAGACCTTGACTCGCTTCTTATCGTTGGCCAGCGGCGGTTGGATTGCCATGCTGCAGCGAGCCAGATACACACCGCGTCACCATCAGCGACAGGCGACAGCGGGTATGAGGGACAAGGAAGAGGGATGAGGTGCGATGGTGAGCGCGTGAGGTGTTTGTGTTGCGCTCTGCGGTGGGTTCGTGGAACAGAGTGGCGTTGCCGGCCCGCAGCTGACGGGATCGGTTTGGCGTAGGCGACTAGGGCGCCGCTTGCGCTCGCGACAAGACCAGCAGCAAAACGAATGTGATGTGACCTGCGGAGATATCAACTGGTTCTATGCAATTCGATATGTGAAGTTGATAGGAAGTTGAGAAAGGGCTTTCAACAAGAATGACGTTGCGTTTGCCGCCCGAAGATGTGGGATTTGGGGTGGAGGGCGCAGGCGCAGGCGCGGAAAGGGAAATCTTGCAGCGTGGCCTTGTCCTTGCGTTCGCCTTACCTTGTCTCTTGCCCATGCAGATCCTGCCTTAAGCGCCCCCAATTCCTGCCGACGGCCCCCGGAAATTTTTGAGTTGGGGGGGGACTGCTTTGTCGGTTTTGGCTTGTGGCGCAATATTCCTTATCCGTTGCGATTTCGACCGGACTTGCCCACTTGGATCGCACAGCCATCTGTCAAACGTCTGTCTTCCGAGTCTAGCTTCAAAAGTCTAGGATTGTTCGTCCATACCATCGTCATCAATTTGTCCCTTCTGTGCGCCTACCAAATGGCAGCACCGACCGGTCTGTGGCGCTCCCAGGCAAGGTTCTTCGGGCTTTCGGCTGGTGACGCTGTCCAAGCGAGCGAAACCGAGGGCACGGACTCGGTGACGCCTCCAATGTCGCAGCCTCGTCATGAACACGAGATATGGCCGCCAAGCATGGTCAAGACATCGTTGACATCGCAGGATCCGCAGGCAAGACGTCCGCCCACCTTTGTTCCTATCCTCCTTCCTTTTCCAGTGACCGTATTGACACCGCTTGAGCTTTAGATCTCCAACAGAAACAAACCCGTGACTCCCATGATATCTGCCGGTCCCCGTGTCCCTCGTGCGGAGAGTGTCAACCCCACACTCCACGTTGATCAGCGGTAGATATACGAGCCGCATCAGACAAACCGCAGGAGAAGCAATGTAAGTGTTACTTCCGTCTTATTGCTTGACTGTGCGACCATACTCTTGGCTGTGATATGGACGACTCGTCACCATTTCGAGTCGCTGTCGTTGGCGGTGGCATCGGCGGACTCTTCTGTGCCCTTTCTCTGAACTATCACGTGAAGCAGCCTATCCACATAGATGTCTACGAACAAGCGTCTCAATACCGCGAGATTGGTGCCGGCGTCGGCATTGGTCCCAATGCCGCCAAACTCTTTGGAGAGATCGGACTCGGCGATCGTCTCGGTTCCATAGCCGGTGAGCGTAATGGGGTATGGATTTCCTTCCGCCGCCACGATGACGGCGGCGAGGTTATCACCATTCCCCTCGTTGAGACCTCCACAGCGCGCAATATGTCCATGGCGCGGTCCGAGTTCCTTGACACCCTCATCGAAGCTATCCGGGAACGCAACGCAGCCACACTCCACACCAGCAAGCGCTGTGTCAGTCTCTCTAAAGACGACCCCAACTCAGTCACCCTGCACTTCGCGGACAGCACCACCGCCAATGCCAACCTCGTCATTGCAGCTGACGGAATCCACTCGGCCATCCGTGCTCAATTCGCAACCGACAAACCCGTATACGGTGGAATGATCGCCTACCGAGGCGTGATTCCCATCTCCTCCCTACCGACCTGGAATTTCCCCACCTATTCCGTTCTCTGGATGGCTCGGGGTCGGCACTTCCTTGTCTTTCCCATCAGTAAGAACGAATCTCTCAACATCGTCGCCTTCGTCACCAAGTCCGAGGCCGAGGTCCAAGACACCGAAGAGTCTTGGACGCAAGAATGCGACCGCGCAGAAGTCGAGCGGGACTTTGCCGGCTTTGAGAACACGGTGCAGCATTTGATCCGTCAGATGCCCCAGCCCGCAAGTAAATGGCGCTTGAATTACCGAGAGCCGCTGGATCAGTGGGTGCACATGGGTGGACGTGTCGTGCTTGTAGGCGATGCGAGTCATAGCATGATGCCGCATCAAGGCGCGGGCGCAGGCCAGGCCGCGGAGGACGACTACATATTGGCGCATTGCTTGAATGGCTATCTATCCCAGGGCAGATGGGATGGGAAGAGTCTGGAGGACTGGATGCACCTGTATCAGCAGGTCCGGCTGCCCCGAGCGCAGAAAGTCGCAAAGACGAGTAAAGAGGCTGGGGAGACCTATGAGATGGTGACCGAGGATCTGAAAGACGTGCCCCTCGACGACGCGTTGAGTATCGTGCGCGAAAGAATCGAGCAGCGCATGAAGTGGATCTGGACCGAAGACCTGAGCGAGGTCTTTGCGCGAGCCAAGAGGGAGAATGGGTTCGAGGCTCCACAAAGTAATGGCAACTTGTAGTTCTATAGTCTGACAACATCAGCTGCATTCAGCCTGGCCACCGCTGAGCACTCACTAATACAGCGCAATTCCCCTCCTATACCACGGTCCATCCCACACCAGCCCCGCCCACCGCCCACCCCAGCACCACCACCCCTCGCCCGCCAGGCCCCTAAACAAGCTGATCGGCAGGGGCTCAAACATCCACACCCCCGTCCGCGCGAAATCATCCGACAGTATTGGCCCAGTGTACCACAACCACACCACCACAAACGCCGCGTTCCCCGCCTTTCGCGCCCCCACGGGCCACCGCTTCTTGCTGCCCACGGCCTCTGCAAACGCCGTCTGCGCCAGCATGCCCAGAGCCTGCAGGACGAAGAAGAGGCCGGAGCCAGTGATGGGCCGCGGCGGGTTCAGTGGGTTGGGTGGGAACGACGTCGCGGCGGCCATGGCGTGGATGCTCGCTGTGAGGCCGAAGGCGATCAGGAGCTGGAGTGCGCGGCCACTCTGGGAGCGTGGATTGAGGTGGTAGCGACGGATGAGGTAGGCGGAGGGCTGGCTGATGCCGAAGCGGAACATTTGGTGCCAGATCTTGCCCCAGAAGGCGGGGAGGCCGCCCCGGAGGAGGTCGGTGATGGGCGTGGGGGACCAGAGGGGCGGGTACATGGATGGGTGGGATATGGGGTGGCCGGTTTGGGTGGAGAAATCAGGGAGGAGGGGAAAGAGCAGGGGGGAGAGGTTGAACTGTGGGGATCGAGAAGTTAGCGGGGTGGATGGGGAAGCATTTGGGATGGGGGAGGAGACTCACGATGCAAGAGAGCGCCACGATGATGGAGTACAGGCTTAGCAAGAGACGACAGAGGCGGGTGAGGAATGGGTGAGATTGCAGGAGCCATAAGGGGTGAGGTGAGTCGATGGGCGCTAGTCCGAAGTAATATGGATCGTGGATGACAAGCGTTTTGGCTAGGTCGAGGCCGAGGTAGAGCAGAATAGCGGAACGGCGGGCTTTGCGCTGAATGTCGTTGATAGACGGTGGGGCTGTCTTTTCTGCTGTCCTCGACTTGTGGTCCGGGCGCTCGGCCTCGAAAGGATTCTGGGGCGCGGAGTGGAAAGGATGGAAATTGACCAGTCTATAGTTCCAATTGACGCCGCGGAAGGAGATGAGGAGATCCGTGATCCACAACACGCAGTGCTTGATGTCACTTGGATAGCTTTGCCAGTCCACAGTGTACGGGTGTGCTCTGGACTCATCCACTTGGCCTAATGTGCTCGAGGGTTTCTGTTCCATTCGAGAATCCGTTCGTTCGGTCAAAGAGCCATTCGCTTCGGTGGCGGTCGATTGCGCAGAGCCAGTATGATCTTCGACGGGTGCACTGCCGCCAATGGGACGAGCTTCCAGGCGCTGAAAATCCTGCTTGAGATCGGAAAAGCACAGCAATGCTGCAGTCATAATGAAACCCCAGTCATCAGTGAGTCCAATGCCGTAGCCTCCAGCCATCTGAATGCTCCTAGCCCTCATACATGTCCATGCGCCTTGGCCGAAGATCAAGGCAAGTAATGGAATTCGGACGATTCGAGCAGTTTTACCAGGCAGTCGTGGGAGTATAAGCAAGCCCAAGAAGAGCCATAACGCTGGCAATGTATCCCATGGCCAAATATATGGCCTGTAAACGCCGGTGGTGATGGCATCCTCGTACCGCTGCAACCTATCGGCCTGTACCTGCCGATACAGCGCATCCGCGGACATGATTCAGAAGATTGGGAAGAAGAAATAGGACTTTCGACCAATCCTCGAAATATTCAGGCATCGAGGTTGAATATCATGACGTTGCGTTTGCTGTGGAGCCTCAGGCTCGCACCTACAGCCGGCTTCAAGGAATCTCGTAGGCAGCGGAAGCTGGGCGTATCCTTGCTTGTTCAAAAGTCATGTCGACCTCGTAGCCGGCTATTGCCAACCTCGGCGAGTTGACAGCCAGGTTCGAGATGGATGCGAGATCTAGGCGCCGGATCTCAGGTGGCGGATATCAAGTCCGGAGATGTCGTTGATTGGCTATCCGAAATCCACTCTGAGTTGCCTTAGCCGACTGCGGCTCGCTTCGTGTACGCCCCAGTCGTGCTGCTCCTTGTCATGACCCTTGGTACACTTTGCTTCTTTTCGAACCGCCACAAGCCATGGAGAGGCATCGGCTACAGGGACTTCCAGAAGCGGGCTTCTACATACCCAATTTTGTCAGCATGGAGGAGGAGCAGTACATCCTGGCTGAGATTCACCGAATGCCGCAAGCAAAATGGACCACCCTCACGCATCGGAGGCTCATGTCTCTGCCCTCAACACTGGCCGGGCCGGCAAAGGACACTCTTTTGGCTGCGCCGCTACCAAAGTTCTTGGAACAGCCAATCGTAAGCCGCTACAAGGCATTGGGCATATTTGACCAGTCTCCCCACCAGTGCCCTAACCACGTGCTGGTCAACGAGTATCGGCCTGGCGAAGGTATCATGCCTCACACTGACGGTCCAGCATATCACACCATCACGGCTACTGTGAGTTTGGGAAGCCACACTGTTCTTGACATCTACAAGAAGACCGACGATGGCGAACGGGAAAAGAGTCCAACTTGGCGGGTGCTGCAGGAGCCAAGAAGCCTGCTAATCACCACAGCCGGCATGTACAAGGATACATTACACGGTATCTCAGAAGTCACCATCGACAACTCCCTTGATTCGAATCGCATTGCCAACTGGTCCTTACTGGGCGATGTCACGCCATTCAGCTCAGGCGCCGCCGAACGGAAAACCCGCGTCAGTCTCACCTATCGCGATGTGCTCAAAACTGCAAAAATTGGCGGAGCTCTCAAGTTCATGAACAGAAGATGACGCTTGGACTACTGCTTTGACCCAATCGCCTCACCTGGAGGCTTTGGCAGCATCGCACCCTCAGCAGGCTTGTTCTTGCTTTTGAAGTCGTCGCACATCTGCTCCATTGTAACCCATTCGACACCCTTGCGGATGTTAGCAAAAGATGGTCATTGGGGCGCTGCAGAAATGGAAGCCCTATGGTCAGATCGCTCAGAACACTCACCTCGTGTTTGTTGATATGCTCAATGAGCCGCTCATGCATCAGCAGTACATGGGGCCGTCCCGAAACATCCGGATGAATCGTCATCGGGAAGATGAATTCATCATACTCGCGGTAGAAGTAGTCGAAATGGTCCTAATCAACGTCAGACCAACACTCGCCGTCTCAGATCCGATGGGAGGGAGCAACTTGCCCGCCACAGATCCTCAATATCCCGCGCATTGACGAAGCCATGACTGTTCGGCACCTTCTTCATATACATCATTGGCGGTAAATCATCGAGATACCTGTTCCCCATCACCATCAGCGCCCGGAATGCCTATCTGCAAGGACTGTACTCACCAGTTCGCCGGAATCTCTACCATCCCCGTCTCCTTTCCTTTCACTAACGGCTTCATCCACGTCTCGGCCTTCTGCTCGTAGTCGATCTTGGTCCAGTCATCCCCCGTCCGCAAATAATACGCCTGGCAGTCATGATGGTTCATACTATGATCATACTCGACGCCGTACTCCAGAAACAGCTCCGTCGCCTCCTTGGACACCTCCCACCAAGGCGCCACGCTTCCCCTGGGCGACTTCCCGCCACAGAAATCGGTCAGCATGCGGTACGTGTAGTCCAGGATGTCGCGCTGCTGCTCCAGACTCATATCAACGGGATTCTCGTGGCTATAACCGTGCAAGCCGATCTCGTGGCCAGCGTCCCGGACCATCGCGCATCTAAGGGGTTAATTCGGTCGTGTAAGCCAATGTGTCCTCACACCATATCCTACCGCAATGACCACTCAAAGATTCTTGCACCCCCTAACCAAAATGCAACACCACGGCACGAAACATCACCACTCGCTCCACCTAGGGTGGGATAAAGACTCACTCTTCCGGAAAAGTCCTAAACGGAAACACAGAGGACATCAGCCAAAAACCATTCTCACAAGATCATCTCCCTCCCTTGCCATCCCCCCTGCCCCACACACACCACTTCCTCTCTGCGGAGGGAACAAACTTACTCCAGACTATGCCCCGGAATAAACCACGTAGCCGTGATGCCATATTTTTCAAACAACTTCAAAATCCGCCGCGTGCCGATGCTCCCCGCCAGCAGGCCGCGGCTGATGTCGCTGGTCGAGTCCTCGCCCTTGTAGGAGCCCAGCCAGCCGGCGACGGCGTCGATGTCGACGCCGTAGCCGACGAGGACGCGTTTCTTGGGCATCGTTGTGGGGCTGAGGCTTGGGGTCTGGATTGGGTGGCTGTGCGGTTCGCGTGCTGCTGCTGCTGCTGCTGCTGCTGCTGCTGCTGCAGGGGTCGTGAAAGTATAGAATGGGCAGGATGGGTTGGAGGTTTGAAGGAGTGAAGAAGCAGGGAGCTGGGGAGCGGGGAAAGGGTCTATTCGCTATCTTAGAGGAGGATGCGTTTGGTCTTATACATCTAATAAGTCCAATGCGGTGCGGTAGATAAGGCCAGTCCCCAGTCAGTGAGCTGTGACTTCATCCTTTCCTTTTCCCCCCCAGAGCGATCTGGGGTAAATGCTACGGCATGACGTCTCCTCAGCTACTCCGCACGAGCAATCAGTCTTTTCGATGACCAAGTATCGATAACCCATGCAGACACCGTGACCAGGAGATTGCGGAGGCGTGTTGTAATGGGGATACGGTTTCTGGAGCAAAGTGTGGAGAGAAGAGTAGTAAACTCGCTCATGATATCATGCACATACTTCAACAAGCTATCAACGTTCGTTCCGTCGCTCTATCGTCTCATCGCTCTTGCCATGTCGACGGTATAAGTCATCATTCGTAGAACAGGCAACGGTACCTCCTGGGTACCCCAAAATGAGGCATCATACTGGCCGTCTCGTTAGTTCCGTTCCAGTCCGGTGCAAACAGCAAGCAGAAGTTCCATATAGCAGCAGTAGGCAGCCTTTTGACCATAATTTTTAAGCAAACGCCGTGTGATGCATGAGTAACGGAATCTTTAACATCCGAAGTGGCCAAGTCTCATTGACAGTGAGGAAGTCTATCAATGACCCTCCATACGTGCCAGAATGGGCGCCACGTGGAGAGACGACATTTTTAACCATGTCGAGCAACATCCAGCTGCTTGAGCATCTTATTGGCTTCGTTGATGAGAGCCTTTCTCTCATTTCTGGCATCCATGTTGCCCTCGGTTTCGATATTGTCTGCGGCCAGGACGACCTTGGCCATGATTGATTCACTAAGTTTCAAAAACTCCTTTTCCCGAGTGGCAGAGTCAGCTGGCGGTGAAGCGAGAAATTTGGCTGCAGGTGGCAGAAACTGGGTGTAGAAGGTGCTTGCGAGAGCTTGTACTTTGCCGAGCGGGCTGTTTGGATCGGCAGGCGGCGAAGCAGGCTTCGGTGGTGGAGCAGGTGAAACGGCGCGGCGAGGTGGCTCACGAGAAGGCTCACGTCGGCGCGGTGCCGGCTCCCTTGAGGGCTCGCGTTCGCGTCCACGATAGCGATCGTCTCGGTCTCGTGGCGGGTAGTCTTGGGTTGGTCGGAGAGAGTCGCGATGGTGACGGTCGACGGGAGTAGAGGGGACGTGACCATTGGGACTGAGGTACGCCCCACCACCGTTGGGCTCCAGGACTGGAATCTTCTCGTCACTTCGGAAGCGTACAGTGGAATGGGCGCGAGGTCTCTGCTGACGGCGAGGGTTGGCACTGAGGAAGTTGTTGGAATCTCTATCGGAGCCGCTCTCTGAGTTGGAGTCTCCGGCATAGTAGTCGATGGCTCTTTCTGTTATAACGACGGAAACCTCGCTGTTCTGCTTCATTTTGTGACGCTTGAGCGAGTGTTGATTGCGCTTCAGATCACGGCCCTTGTAAATCAGACGCACTTTTCGAGGGTCAACACCGAGCCGATCGGCGACCTTCCTCCGTAAATCTTCAACAAGTGTCTTTTCTTCGTTGATGGAGTAGGCAGGGAAGTCGACGGGGAAGCTGGAGGCCATATATCGGCAGTGGACGCGGTCGGGGGCGTTTGGGTCATTGTCGTCTAGTTCGGGGTAGTCATTGCTGGTGGAGAAGGATGGGCGGGCAGGCGATCGAGTGTATAGGTCGTGGTCGTCGCCTATGTACTCGAAATGACCGGAAAGATTGCGGGGTCCATTGTCAGCAAGGCTGCTCGAGAAGGGGGAGCCGCGACCCGGATAGTAGCTCCAGCTGCTCCGGTCGCCCATAAGATATTTGTATCCGAAATATATAACAGACAGAAGGAGAAGGGTGACGGTAGTGTAGGAAGTGGTGCTGTAGGTGGTGAGGAGGTCGAGGACTTGGTCGTTGAGCGAGGCTGGCTTGGATCGGTTCGTGAGCTGAAGCGCAGCGGAGATTCGGTCACAGAATTGTGAAGCCCAGTCTGAGAGGGCTTGAGAAGCCACGGTGAAGGCAGCGCAAGAATGAGCTGGAATAGTAGAAAAGGCTTGAAGAAAAAAGATCTGAGATTGTGTAGATCAAACCGCAAGCACCGACAAGCGAGAGACAGGTGAAGTCGGAAAACAAGAATGACGTCGGATGGGTCAGAATCTTTCGCCTCTGGTGTCTTAATGTTTGTCTCTCTGCCTTACAAACGGGTGGATGGCAAGCCGAGAGCGGATTTATTCCAGTGCGATAATTCGGTGACGAGTTGCCGGACAAGAGGCGAGGGCGAGGAAAAGAACGGAGTGGGTGTCAGGCCGCACCCGCCGCAGGAGATTCTTAGGGCAGGGTGTCCACCGCCGGCCGCCCCCACTACCAGCTTGTGGCTGTGGATCAAGGTTTTCCCGGCGCCGCGACACGACCAAAGGTCCATTACTGCTCAAGAGTCCCTCCTCGCCCTCTTCTTCAGCGGCATTATTACTTCATTGAATTCGCTCATAGCTATCATTTCATTACCTCTACCATCTACCCTATTCCTAGCCGAGAAGAACTTCTTCTGCGCAACAGGGCCGCGACATACCGACTATGGTCCAAGTTTTCGCCCTCGATCTATGTCTTGGAATCCACTTCGGTCAACATTCGTCCGGGTGGCTAGGATGATGCCTGCTAGTTCCGACGGTGAGGCAACAGTAACAAGGAGAATATACTTTTGCACAAATCGACCTCGCCTCTGCTCTCGTGAAACCCCGCTTGGTCTTCGAGAACGCGTCCCAGATTAAGACTGCAGCCAGGCGTATTGCGGGAGTTCCGCGTGGAGGCCTTGCTAACATATTGCTTGATATACTCCCTTTCTTGGGACTGATATCGAACTTGAGGTACTCGCTGGAAGCACGACAGGAATAGTCCGACTGAATGCTGACAGAGAGCCACCAACCCATCTCCTCTGCTGATGATGGGGCGTCTAATACTGAGCTGCATACGCGCTGTAACTGAGCTGATGGTACCCCAGTGCTAGAACTACTATGCCCAAGAAATCAGCTGGTAGTGCCGAAGCACTGGCTGAGTCGTGGTAGGGCACGTGAAGTTGGACGGAGCGCGGGATGCTGAAGTTCTCTCGCCGAAGGAATCAAGTCGGCGTGGCCTCCCAGGCGTCCTTGAATGTTGTCTCGTTCATGGAGGCCTTCATAGTCGGCAGCCAGAGGTCGGTAAGTCCCATCTATCATTGTCCATACAGCAAGCAGGGACGGTGTTGTATCAGCGTTGTTGAGAGTACTACACATCCAGTATGTATATGCATTCAGAAGTATCATTTGCGGATAATTACACCCGGAGGCCTCCCTTCCACCTCTCCATCTCCCCGTCTCACTCCAAGACAGGCAGCGTCCCATCAACACCAAATCCCAACGCTTCCTCCAGCTTTCCCACCGCCGCAATCAACTCATTATCGCCGTACTTCCTCGCCACAATCTGCAACGCGACAGGCGCCCCAACAAAATCCCCCTCATCCCACATCTTCCTCACCTCGCCATCGTCCTCACTCAACGGCTTCCACCCCTCCACATAGCCCTCCTCCCCTTTTCCCTTCGCCTTTACCGGCGTCGGCATCACCACCGCCGGATAGTCGACGAAATTCCACAAGGTCGTGTAATTCCAGTATTTCGCCGTGTCGTGCTCGCACGCCGGCCCCACGAAGACCGGGCAGATCACGAAATCCACGTCCTGCGCGTTCCAGTCCTCCACGAAAACGCGGCGGAATTCGTTGCGCGTCCAGCGCTGCGCGTTGATCTCGGTGCCGTCCAGGGCCTTGGTCACGTTTCGCAGACCCCATGTCGTGAGGGGCAGTTCGGGCTCGCCGTGGATCGACATTGGGTCGCGCGCGTGCCCAGGTCCATCGGGCCAGTACATCTGGTGGATGAGTCTGTGGGCGTCGCCTGATTTGTAGGGCATGAAAGGCTTGAGGTCGAAGTTTTGGGCGAGGGGACAGGCCGCGAGGCGAGCTCTAGCCCATTCGAGAGCGCGCAAGACGGGCGGCTGAGGGGTGATGTGGCCGTCGGTTGTCATGATGCCGAGCTTTATGGGCCTTGAGGGCAGGGCGGTGGTGAGGCCCGACCACGGTAGTGGAACGATGCTGGGATCGCGAAGGTGTTGTTCTGATCCACGCAGAATCTGCATGAAGAGCTCGATGTCGCGCAGAGAGCGGCACATGGGGCCACCGGTAGCAAGGATGTTCAGTTCTGCGGCAAAGCCACCGGGAAGAAAGCCATGGTTCGAGAGGAGGTAGCTGGTAGGCTTGAAACCGTGGATGTTGCAGAAACCGGCGGGGCAACGAATGGAGCCTCCTATATCCGATCCCAGACCCAGGACAGAGCCTCGAAGAGCATTCAGGGCACCCTCCCCGCCAGAAGAACCACCCGGCGTCAAATTGAGGTTGTACGGATTAAGAGATCTGCCTACATGCGAACAGCTCTCAAGGTGCATGATGAGCTGTGGCTGATTCGTCTTACAATAGAAGACAGCTCCCGCGTTTCGGAGCACCTCGACCATCAGGGCGTCTGTGTCCGTGTGGGCCTGGGTGAACATGAAACCCCAGCTGGATTTCCGGCCAGCGATCGGCATATGCTCTTTGACGCTGATAGGAAGCCCATGAAGGGGTCCTATCGTCTTGCCGTTCGTCGCAAGATAGTCGTCGAGCTTGCGGGCACTCTCGATGGCTTCCTCCATAAAGAAGTCGGTCAGACAGCATGTGAGTTGATGGGCGATGGCCGCCCGCTTGCAGAACGCGGTCGCGACAGCGACAGCGGTATACTTGCGCTCTGCTATAGCATGAGCCAGGCCGTTGGCATCGTAACCTTCAGTGATAGTAATCTCTTCGGGCGTCAGGATGCCGCACGTTCGGGGGATCTCAGTGACATCGAGTGGAGGCTTTTCAACAATCTTCTGGTCGAGATACAGTGATGGTGGAATCGAGTCTTGGAGCTGCTGTACAATCTCGGAGCGTTTTCTTTCATATTCATCAGAACCCTTGGGCAATGGCTTCCTCTCGACCTGTGGAAAGGGTCTTTGAACCATGATCAACGTTGGTCGAGAGAGAGAGAATCAGTGCAGTTCTGTTGTATTAGATGCTGGTAGAAAGGCGGATGAGTTGATGGGTTCAATATAGAGATCAGCAGGAGGGAAGCGCTCGAGATGTTTTCGATATACTTGTTATCCCGAGAGGGGTCATGCTGCACGTGGCCCCCATTTTGTTGCAGCTAATGAAGCTGGATTGCAAACGGTCTTCTCCAGGTGGTTATCGGGCGGGTCACTGCATGCGACTTGCGCTATTGTCTATGATTGGTCTAACAATACGCAGAGCGGATATCTACACATTACGAGAATCGTGGCGTATTTCTCGCAAAAGTTGAAGCCCTTGGAGCTTCATTTATCAGCAGAGACTACAGTATATTCCTGTACTGAATCTCCCATGAAAATACTTTGTACCTGGTTGAGGAATTGCAAGGGTCCTGAGCCGTAAGCGCCAAGACTTTTACTGCCTGGCTGCGGAGTCCGCCACTGATCGAGAGTCGCTGAGTGGCTTCTGAGGACATTGCATCAGGAGAGGCAACTACGAAGGACCAGCAGAAGGCAGAAACAGAGGCAGACACTCAGGATTGCATGATCAATAGCTGTGGAAAGGCGTCGGCAACATGTCCATGGATAAATACTGTCAACTCGGGTGAGCTTCGCCCCTCTGTGTTCAGGATGCCTCCACAGATCGATTGCAATTCCACCACTGTGGCTGTGTTTGAACCGTTCATTGGCATGGTCGACGTGTCCAGAAAGAATTTAGATATTAGTGGCAGCGTCAGGCTCGGGTTCAAGTCGCTTGGATACGGAGGGCTTTGAGGCTGAAGCAGAAAGAAGCACATACTGGTATTCCTGAGCAGCGCATCATCAACTCCCCTGCCTTCCCCCTTTCCCAGCTCAGCCATCTGCCATTACCAGAAAGGCAAGATGCGAGATGCTATCCCATGGACAGTCATGAAGTTAAACCCAACAGCCTCCGAGCCCACATTCCATCATATCAGCTCTAGCCACGGTTTCCTTCCGGTTAGGCATTTTCCCCCATTGGTTAGCGCGGCCCGCCCACCCGCCATGCCCGTAGAAGCAAAAACTGCAGCTGGCCGGCCTTGTTCCGCAGCAATCCCACGGCCCCGTGCGGATGCGTACAAAGCAGAAGTCAGCATCGTGATCAGCAGTTGGGCATTTTGGCGTGATTTTGGGAAGGTTGGTACTGGTGGTGCGTGGGGGCGTCTTGGTGGATTGGGTGGCTGTTGGGGCACGCAGCAGGCGGCTTTTCGTTTGGACGAGTCCCGTGGCATGGTGCGGATGGCTGGCGTCTTGGTTGTACATGTTGCTAGACGACGGTGGCCTAGTTGGGAGAGAGGCATATTCTGACACCAACAAGTCGGGACGTGATGCGCTGGGTCCATGGTGGGGAGGTTTCTTTGCCCTACATGATATATTTGCATGTCAAAGACATACAGCCCTGCGAGAAAAAGCCACACCTGACGCCTCGCTAACGTACAATGAGTACCTGTCTTTTCCCTGATCTTGGCCATCGAGCCGCTTGTTACCGGCCTTCTATCCGATCAATCTCGTTCACTTCGGGTTAGATATTCTTCTTCCAACAGAGCTCAAGCTTCAGTCTGTGCTTGCTGTTCTGTCATACCCTCTGGCTTGATCGCTGCCTCTTGCCGCCACCTCCCACCATGAGACAGAGGTCCATAGGCACCAACATGCTTGTAGAAAGCAAACATGATGACAGTACTGCGCACATTAGCTACTGCACAGATGCGAGGAACATGAGGTGACTTACCTCGCAATGGTCGCGACCAATCCCAACCACAACAGCACCACACTGGCAATCGCCTTTCCGTTATCGCGATACCTCAAGGGTGGGTCCAGATGCTGCTGTGCAATAGCTTCCGCATCCGCCGAGTTCGCACTGACCCAGGCATGGCCCGTTGCGGTGATGACGGTAAACGCAATAGCGTCGGCGAAAGCCATAACAGATACCACTACGGCAGAGATTCGCCATGCCCAGCGGATATTCATGGGCTCGTAACGAGTCGGAAAGAAGAGGTCGAAGAAGAATGCTGCACCAAAGATCGTCGCAACGGCGATGCCTACAAATATGTTGTAGGAAGCGATGCCCACGAAATCGTCGTTGTGAACGGCAGCTGAGGAGTGGAGGCGTTCGATATCTGATTGTTGATCTACATAGTCTTGGAAAGTCGTTAGGTGGTGTAATGAAAAAATAAGCACAACGCAGGAGAGCTTACTTGATAGTGCCGCTGTTCCGACAGACTCGGACACCACGCAAAGTATCATCGCAAGCTGATAGACGACGAATTTTCTACGTCGTAGGTGGTAGTCTGTATTGCCGAACATGTAGGATGACTTAAACTTGTACCATTGTATATCGCGGAGGTCGAGGCCCCAGATAACAACCATCCTGGTGGCTTAAGGAAAGCTCTGAGATGTTCGGCAGGCGGCCCAATGGGACAGTAAGCAAGATACCGGTGCTGGTATAAGAGAAAGTCTGGTCTGGCTAGGAGTTGAAATAAGAGTTGGAGAATTCGACACGACAGATCTGGAATGATATGAGCAACTACAGCTCGTGACATATAAGGTCGAACGGAAAGCTGGTTGAGATTAACAATCATCACTTCCGGCTGCCTCAAGGCGAAGGTCTTCGTCCTCGTGCTCAGTCACAGCGAGGGCCCATCGCGCCACTCATTGGAAGCCGAGCGATCCGTGGGCGCCCTCTGCGCAGTGGAAGGAGCGTATCACAAGGCGCGCTCTGGGGCAAACTTCGCGAGGGATTGGCCCGCCAGACGCTCAGTCAGACGTTCGGCACAGGGACGTCCCCTAACATCATCCGCCACTGAAGGTTGAAATGCCTCGCGGCTATCCTTATGACGTACCACGAGGCTTGTTGTGGCATCAATGGCTGTCGGCCTGATTGGGTTGTGGTGTCGATTCAGGTTAGCTTGCAAGCCCTACGACAGGAGCTTCAATCAGGTAAGCATTCCCTGAATGAGCTTCTTCCCAAGCATTGCTGCTTCTTTAAGTCAGTGCTTCTGCACTTCTAAACAAAAGTCCCCGCGTTGAAAAATTTCATGTGCGCTCAAATACACCAGCAGTATTCGGTGCGGCTCATCAACACAGCCACCGACACATAGCGTGCTCGCTGCCTCGGTCCAATTAGGCTCGTTCGCTAGGCATGCCATAAGCTATGCTCAGAAAGCTTAGACCACTGCGGGCTTTTACGCCAACCTGAGGATATGCCGAGCATCCCTCTAAACACTTACTCGAGGCTAGAAACCTCCCCGGGATGGCTCAGTAATATGTAGTATAGGACTGCTCCTCAATCACGTAGATTTTCATGCTGTCTTTGGTCTTAGACAGTAGTTCAAGGCTGCGTTGTTACTCTGTAGTAGACTGGAAGGAGGAAGTGTACCTGGTCGTCTCTGGAAGAGCGGCTGCGGTGGTGAGCCTGAATACCTATTGGCGAGTGCAGAACTGGCCTCTGGCCATAAGTCGAAAACACTGGTGCCGTTCTTGACGTAAGTAGAGATCGACCCGAGTATCGACAGGAGCAGCCCCACTCACAAACACCAAAGCAGCAGCCAGTCTAGGCCGCCTAGTGGTGGTTAGTGTATTCACAAGCATACTAGCACATATGCGATGTGAGCTTTCACTTGTTCTGTAGGTAGTCACCATTGCCCACCACTGCGCCTACTAACCACCGTGCCCCTAGATGCTCTACAATTCTGCCAAGGCGCTAACGGTTAAACCCCGGGCGGCTCCAAAAAATTATTGAACTTGATCCCGCAGTGATCATTGCAACTTGACACACCTAACACGTTCTTAACTCAACCATTCTAACAGCGGTCAACATGAGTAAAACCGGCAGCAAGCGTAAAGGTAAGAGTAAAAAGGTCCATTTGACTCTCTTGGTAGACTAACGAGTCGCAAGGCGGCCCCGCCTCGGACGTCCCAACTAAGAAAATCAAGACTGCGACTGCACCCGCGACCGCACCCACCACAACCGACATTCCCACCTCGCAGTCTACCGGAAAACTCCAAAAGAGACAACTTGAGAAGGATAAGAAAGCCGGGACGATGGACGCGCAGGCCAGCAATGCTGAATTGGAGGTGCAAGGTGTAGCAGATGCTATCAAGTCTCGCGGTGATGCGCCTGATGTTGGATCTGGTCCAACCACCGAGCAGAAGTCTGCGAAGAAAGAGAAGAAGTCGAAGCTCGCCGGTGGCAAGGCCGATAAGGATACAAAGACTGACAAGAGCGACTCCGAGTCCAGAGTTGTCATGACTGCCGAGGAGGAGGAGAGATTCAAGAGGCTCAACAAGCCAATCGAACTGGCGGATTTTGTCGGATTTGGCGAGTCTGGTGACGAGAAGCAGGATCAATCGGAAGTTGACGATGCGGCCCTACTCAAAGGCTTCGAGAGCGATACCTCCAGGGAGGGAGAGGCCCTAGACATTCAAGAGACTCCACCTATCGTCGATGTGGATGGCAAGGTTGAGGCCAAGCTTCTCGAGGCTCGTAAGAAGTCGACTGGTGATGAGCAGCCGGGCACCATTTACGTCGGTCGCATCCCGCACGGCTTCTACGAGATCCAGATGCGCGCATTCTTCTCTCAATTCGGCGACATCACTCGTCTGCGTCTGTCTCGCAACCGCTCGACCGGTGCTTCCAAGCACTATGCCTTCATCGAGTTCGCCTCTGCTGAGGTCGCCAAGATCGCCGCTGAGACCATGAACGGCTATCTCATGTTCGGTCACATCCTCAAGAGCAAGTTCGCGCCTGACGAGACTCTGCACGCCGATGTCTGGAAAGGCGCCAACAAGAAGTTCCGCAAGCTCCCCTACACCAAGTTGGAGGGTCAGAAGCTCGCCGCCCCAAAGACCGTTGAGCAGTGGCAGTCGAAGAATATCAAGGAGGAATCACGTCGCAAGAACAAGGCCAAGGCTCTGCAGTCTATGGGCTATGAGATGCCGGTTAAGCCTCTGGCTGATCCTGCCTCGCTAAACCCGTCCAAGAAGCGCAAGCACCTCGATGATGCTGCTGCTTCACGTCAGCTTCGACTCGAGAATGGTGATTCCTCAAAGCTCGAGGATACTGACGACGATGTTGCCTCCCGCGAACCCTCTGCTCTTGAGCTACCCGCCGTCGATGCCGAGCAGGCTAAGAACGCCGACTCCTCCAACAAGCGTAAATCCAAGAAGAAGCCTGCTGCCACCAACGCCGATGTTGCTGCCAAAGTCTCTCAGAAGTCAGGCAACGAGCCCGAAGCCCAAGAGGCGCAGACGAAGAAAGACAAGAAGGCCAAGAAGTCGAAGAAGACCAAGACGGAGGGTGCACAGGCTTGATCGTCGGTCATTGTATCGAAACGGTGACAAGACTCTGGTAACGAATATTGTGACAGGACGACCGGAGGTCTAATCCAGTATTGTAAAGGAACGAGACCTGAGGTTCTTACGAACAGTCTCGTCATCCAATGACTCGAATTGTTCATGTCCAGGAAGACCAGACGACGTGTGAGCATTGATCCGCGCAAAATGCGGGTGGCGTGGCTACCGCAATGTGCAGAGTGTAGCTACCCAAACGTGGCTCCCGTCGAAGCCTTGAGCATGGGACGAGACCACGGCATAAATAACGAAAGGAGATCAAAAAGACATAACTTGCATTGTTCATTCATGCCGCGTCCACTATCCCTCATCGTCGATAGCTGCCTCCTCTAAGACCGGGGTCATCTCTGCTATATCGCTCCTTGAAATCGTCCTTGCATCGTAGGGTTGCGTGCCAACGCAGCGGCCATCAGCCTGAAACAAGTTATGGTTGCCCATCATTTGCTCGCAAACCCATCGAACGGTCTTTGTGTGTAAAGATCCCTCATCATGATCTGCGCCATGTCTACCAGCATCCACCCTACTGGCACCACTTGCAAGCGCCTGCCAAATGACAAGCTGGTCCTGCAAGTACTCATCAACACAGCCTCCCTTACTGAGCTCCATAGTCAGCTGTCCGACCACATTCTCGGACGCCTTCTCTGCCATCACTCTCGCCTCCCTGTCGGTTCTGATCCGTCTGTTGTATAAACAGTCCCTGCCAAGAACCCACCCATTTGCCGTGTGGGCGACCAGGAGCAGATAGAGCCTAGAGTCGCTGCCAGACTCTTCATCGATAACAACATCCACAGATATCTCAGCTGGAAACTGAGAACCAAGGGCTTTGATGACCTCTACTCTCAGGCTGTTCCTCATGGCTTCGGTATGCGCTAATATCGTAACGGCAACTCTCTTTATGGCTCCTCTTTCTGCGACATCGAAAGCGGGAAGCACAAACGGGTGTCGTTTTGCTGCTTTTATCATCACCTTGACTTCGCCGATTTGACTCACAGGAGACGTCCAGCCCCGCTTCACGATGTCCACCTCAATATCAGGAAGTCCAATTCTGTGCAACGTTGGGATCAGCACCTGCTGTACGTATTCGCCGCTCATGCTCTTGCTGACATTTGTTCCACCCTTCAATGTCAGTTCCAATACCGGCACATCTATCGCAAACAGGATGAATGGCAGCAGGGCCTGAAGCACAAGCCAGACGCTGCCGGGATTCCTGAGTTCAATGGTTGAATCTGAGGGTCCTCTGATCAAGCCTCTCTTCGACGATGGGCGAAAGACGAACTCCTCGCTCCCAACCTCATCACCTTGTGTCTTGGCATTACACATGTCGGCGAGCCAATGCAAGGCTGCAAGGTGCGACTCTTTGAGGCCGCCGCTAGCTCCAGCACCTCGCTTCGAAAACTTCGAACCCCTGTTGGCACGGACGCGGGAGACACGGATCGGGAGGCGGTAGATAGCAGAAAGGCTGAGCGCAACACGAGTTAACTGGCCGCCGCCTTCGAGGGTCGAACCGTCAAGATCGATCATTTGGGTGGTGTTGGAGGGTTATTCGATTGCTCGAGCTTGAGTCGACGTGGGAGAAGTATTCGAGGTGAGTGCTGTGAGAGCTCGACTGGGATGGGAGGCCGAGAATCGAAGGAGAGCACTATACCAACCACGCAATACTCTCATAAGCTCAGCAGAGTTACTCACAACTGGAGTCTCGCAAACCGCCTTGAGTCATCGACGCCAAGCGCTTTCCTACGGCACCTGGCATTGCGCAGTTCCACTCCAGTCATTTCAGACACTGGACTGTATACATCTAGGGGTGATGCAGAGATAGGACTGTCCGTGGCACGAAACTAGGACTTATATGTTTGTCGAGGTACGCTCGTGCTGGGTGACGAGCAACTTGCGCTGTATCCATACGGAACAAACTTATCAAAGCCCCAGGCCGATGCAATTAGGGCGCTGAAATATCGTCGAGCCGTCCTTCGGTATGCAACTCAATGGTCCCTACAACTTAGAAGTATATGTGCAAGAACTTCGAGGATGTCAAGTAGAAGCCGGCCCATATAATTACTCGTTGACGTTGCCGTCCATGGACCAGTTATAGCTAAGCTAATGCCTATCCACCTCCCCCGCACCGTACCATGGGCCACAACCGCTAGACTCCGGATTCCCACCTCCCCAGTTCTCAGATCCTTTCTCTTTAGTTCCGTGCTCTATCACACCACTCACAGCGGAATCATTCCTCCCCATACCCACTCGGAGTCGTTGCTTGAGCTCAAGCATGGCTGGCAACGCTTCCAATGAAGACTCGCCTCAATCTAGTGCCGGTGCAGAAAAGCGCAAGGCCGACGACGGGCCCAATGGCTCTGGCGGACCGGCACACACGCGGTCGAAACGAAATCGCTACATTTCCATTGCGTGCAATGAGTGCAAGAGGCGGAAGATCAGATGCAACGGGCAGCAGCCCTGCGTTCGCTGCGGCAACCTCAACCTCGAGTGTGTCTATGCGCCCAATTGCTGCACAAACACCTTGAAGGACTCGGCCGAATTTCAGCAGATGCGCAACCATATCGAGGCGCTGCAGAATCAGGTGCACGAGCTATACTCGCAGGTGAATGAGCTGCGCACGAGGCAAGACGTCGTATCTTCTTTCCCGGCGCCAGACCCGATCTTCAATCAAGATGGCCATGCTCGATCCATGTCTGCGTCGCGCACGCTTCCTCCACTGGTATCACCTAAATCGCGGCCGCCCCAAAGAGTGCTCCCGCAGTTTCATGGTCCGACCAGCTCCATGTACGGCTTCGATGTTGCCAAGTCGTCGCTCCAGACGATGGGAATAACGAATATCGGCGACGAGGGTGCTGTTTCACAAGAGCGTAGTCGCGCAGCCTCTCCACTGCCGCACCCGCAAGGGCCACATCCTACCAAAGACCCTCTCTGGCTGATCGACGTCAACGAGGTGACGCGATTGTGCCATGTCTACGAAGAAGAGATCGGTATCATGTATCCCGTTATTGACAACAACAAGATGATCAAGCATGCCAACAGTCTGTACAAATTCATTAACGCATCGCTGCGGACTGGGTTCGGACAGGTCGGTTTCCCGGGTGCTGATGCGTTTGATGACGAAGAAACTACAATTCTCAAAATGATTCTAGCCACTACTCTTGTGGTGGAGGGTAATGGACGCAGTGAACTTGGACAACGCTTCTTCGACTCTGCTAAGCCCGCGGTGGATCTGAAGCTGGTAACAAACACTGGGATTTCATCGGTTGTTTTGCTGGTCTTGACCGCCACGTTCTACTTCCAAAAGGACGACGAAACCCAAGCATGGCGTTTCATCGGCATCGCCTCACGCATCTGCATTGAAATGGGCCTGCATCGCCGGGACTCCTTGTTGAAGCATTTCACTAATGAAGCCGAGTACCAGCAAGCCGTGCGGATATTCTGGGTCGTGTATGCTCTCGATAGAAGGTGGAGTTTCGGAACCGGCATGCCGTTCGCGCTCCAGGATGCTGACATTGATCCGGGTCTTCCAGAACCAGTAAGTCGACTAGACATTCGTCCCGGTGTGAATAGCTAACAGTACCTTCAGGACGATGAATATCCGTATCTCAAACATATCACCAAGTACAATCAAATTGCGACCAAGGTCTGGTACCATAACATCGCATACGAGAGCGGACAAAACACCAAGAAGGATGAGATTGGCTTCCTCGACTACCAGATCGTGCAATGGTATCAAGACCTGCCAGAGTCGCTGCAATTCAATAGTCGCGATTTGCAACGTGAGAATGAAATACCCAGCCGTGGTCGCCGCCGCCTGCGGATGTTGATGCATCTGCGCAAGAACCAAGCACGTATCTCAATCTATCGACCCATCCTGCATTCGGCGACCAGCATCATGGAGAACCGGCACCATGCTCAGCAGGTAGTCGATGTGGCCAAAGACACCATTAACACCCTTAACGGCGTCAACCAAATATCTGATATCTACAAGACCCAGCAAGTTCTATACAACTACTTTCTCGTTCAAGCACTGGCGGTGCTGTTCCTGTCAGTTGCACATGCGCCCGCTGTGTTCTGCAATCAAACCCGACAGGAATTCTACACCGCCATCGAGCTGGTCAAGGGCTTTAGCACCAGGTCTCACGTCTCTAAGAGGCTTTGGCGGACCATAAGAGGGTTGAAGGAGATGGGAGACAAGATCGGCATGCTGGCCCGCGGTACTGGTAGCGACAACAACCATGAGACAGACGCTCACTCCGATGCGGCGGCAGCCATGGTCGGAATGGCTGGGCACAACGTTGACTACGCCACAGCGCCCAAGACGAACGGCTATGATGAGCTTGGCGTGAGTCCAGAGAATGCTCTCCAGATGACCAACGAACTCTCCCACCTCTTCGAGCTGGCAGGCAACTTTGGCAACATGAACGGAGGGACTCCGGCACCAGAACATAGCTATGGAACACCCTATCAAACGAATGGAGGGGGTAGCTTTGACTTGAACACGCCCTTCCAGAATGAGCCTGAGTTCTCGAAGATTATGAACGAGCTCTTCTGAGTTGGCTTTACAACAGTCTGGCAGCGTTGGCTTATGATGATCGGGTATGCAGCATGGTGTTGGGCGCTATTAGTACTGGGTATCTGATTACAATGGAGCGAGGCTTGGGTCCACCTTTGGTATCACGTGGGACCGCCAAGCCGTCACGTCTGCAGAGGCGGGCTGCTGCTGCTCTTGCGGTGCGCTATCGCTCCAACGTGGGAACCTGGCAAATATTATTGTCTTGACCGTCTATTGCACCTCTTCACCTTTGATTGAATAAATCTACGACGCGTACCACAATACTGTTGCAGCGCATTCTGGCCTCTTCCTAGCTACTCGCTTTCCTCCCGCTGTCCCGCCGAAAGTGTTCTTCCAGCCTCGGTCTCCTACCCACCTCAGCCTGACATTGGTCTCGCGTACCCGCCAGCCAACCCTTTTCACACATGTTCATGATCTTATTTCATGCGCCCCTGTGATGGAGCTAGCAAGCGTTGTCTGATATACTGTTCTGAATCGCCCGTCTTGCCGAAACCCAAGTCCACCACGACACCCCTCGATTCCAGCCCCTCCTACTTCCACTTGTGACAATCTCATCTTTGCCACAAGCGTCCGTAACAACCGGCAGTGTGTCTGTACAAGACCCCTACGCGTTGGCCACGGGCCTGAACGGGCTTGAACTCAGTTCAGAGTACTCCGAATCCCTCTACCACGAACGATTCACCACCTCTTCGGCGACCATATCAGACATGTCCCAATCCTCATCGCAATCCCCCGACAGTTGGATTGCCCAGTTCTGCAGCCTGGTGGGCCATGAATACTTCGCAGAAGTGAGCGAAGATTTTATCGAAGATGACTTCAACCTCACGGGCCTGCAGTCGCAGGTGCCCATGTACAAGGAGGCTTTGGAGATGATACTGGATGTCGAGCCTTCAGAAGCAGGCTCTTCAGCCATGTCCGGCGAGGGCTTGGAGGAGGAAGAAGAGGAAGAGGAGGAGGAAGATGATGGGTTGCTCGGTGAAGAACTCGACGAACCCGTCAACCAGAATGGTGGGAGGCGCCAATCAGCGGGCGCTTCGGCGTCCTCTCGCCGCCACGGCAGGACCTCCTCTGATACATCGGTGATTGAGTCCTCGGCTGAGCTACTGTATGGCCTAATACACGCCCGTTACATCACCTCAAGGCCTGGCATACAACAAATGATGGAGAAGTATGACCTTTCGCATTTTGGATACTGCCCGCGAGTCTATTGCGGCGGAGCTCGCGTTCTGCCCGTTGGCTTGACTGACACGCCGGGCCAGCAAACGGTGAAACTATTCTGTCCCAGCTGTCTGGATGTGTACACTCCGCCCAACTCGCGGTTTCAAGCTGTTGACGGCGCCTTTTTTGGCACCACCTTCGGCTGCTTATTCTTCATGACCTTCCCAGATCTCGATATCTCTCCTCCTAAACGAAAACAGCTGAAGGAAGGCAGCCAGATCGAAGACGTGGAGAATGTGCTTGGTCACGAACAAGGCCCTGGTATGACAGCGAGCAGATCTAGCAGTCTGACCCTCCCCAACCCACCAGCCATACCCGGAGCTACGGCGCCACCTAAGGACGATAAAACCACAGCCGCAGCCGCTGCTCAACTTGCTGCACTTCCACACCAACCCGCCGCCATCAACGGTGTAGCGACGCCGAATCTTGCACCGGGCTTGGGAAAGGGCAGGATATATGAAGCTCGGATCTACGGCTTCAGGGTTTCAGAAAGAGCCAAGAGTGGACCTCGAATGAAATGGCTACGGAGCAAGCCGGCTGATATCAACGAGCTGGATGAAGCAAGAATCTACCATGAAAGGTTTGGTGGTGATGTTGATGGAGATCTTGACATGAATGAAGACAACACGCCATCCAACCAAGCAACTGGAAAAGATGACGACGGCGATGCGATCATGGCAAGTCAGAACCAGACGGCACCTGCAAAGAGCGCAAAGCGAAAGTCGGGATCCCAGGGGCAACGAACAAAAGGAGCTGAAGCTGCAATCGGACCGGGTTAGGAATCTGTCGATGTTGATGATGACGGTTATCGAAATGACTACGACGTGAGAAGCAAACGAAAGAGACCAATGAGGGCAATGAATTCCAAGAGAAGAAAGACGCGGATGAAGTGGCATACCTGACCGACCACAAACAGCCCGCCGCGCATACTTCCGACTGGACTTCCAAGCCAATCCCGGGGCCTCGAAGGGCAAAAGGCATTCTGAGGAAGTCTCTCATGACCCGCACCTTGGAGAAAAGAAGCAGTAGCTAAGATCATTTTCTGACAGACGCTAATAGAAACCTCGAACCGGAGGGCGGAACAAATGCGTAGACATCCCGCCACAGGGATGGAGAACGGGACTGGGACTGGGACTGCACAAGGCCTGCCACCGTCCAGTATCTGCATTTAGCGAGGCGTTTTGATCTAAGTTGCCTTTCAGAACGAGCCTAGGAATTCATCCAATGCACATCACATCGCAACCTTTTCACCACCAAGACCTCCGTTTCGGTCTTTGCCATATCATCTTCTTCATCATCATCAAAAAGAGATATACCTGTTGTAAGCGTGGGTGATTTACGCTCAGGCATAACTTCCCCTTCCCTAATGCCTGCCCTGCCCTGCCCCAGGCGCGCGCGCACCCCAGCTACAGTACGGACTATATGTACGTACTGTAGCTGGGGGTTCCTCAACCCAGTCCGACCAACCGGCAAGTGTTGATATAGAAATATCCTCGCCAACGCGATATAGCGGGATGATATTGCCCCCCCCCCCCCCCCTCCCACCTCACAACCCCCGGCCAAGATATTGCTTCACCGTGAAGGCACGACTGGGCGGACAGTTGACAGAATGGCCTCGCCTCACCCACGACCTTTTTAAGTGGAAGAGAGAGAGAAAGAGAGAAAGAAGCGTATGTATTGAAGCCGTTGATGGACGGCGTCGCTTGCTGTACAAGTAGGACAGCTATCATTTATGATGGTTCGCAGAACCGGGAGTACAAGTCTAGGGAGTCCCACCCTGCGTGCTTTGTACAGGTCATCTGCGGTGTATTCGTATCTTCGGTCCGTTCATTATTTCACGGCCTCCCCGTCTTCTAGGATCTGTTTTCTGGAACTGGTGCTTAATCACCAGCAGAACAAAGAGGGGTACCACAGCAGCACCAGCACACCGCCACCAGGTCTTTTCCGCCGCCATAAATCCCGGCAAAAGACTTCATAGACACCGACCACCTCGTCTCTGGGCACCACCATCCCCTTATTTCCTCGAGCCTCGCTCATCTTCAACGTCGGCAACATCTGATATAGTACCCAGCGCGGATCCCGCTCATCAAGCCTCACACCCGCCATTTCTCGCGCATAGTCGGCCACGCGTGTGCCAATGTCTGCAAAGCCGTGGCGGTAGCAGGCCGCGACGGTTTTGAGCACCACGGACAGGCCGTTGGGGTGGTTGGAGGTCACGATGTCATCGAAGAGGCTGAACGCAGAGTCGAGAAGGGGTCCTGCACGGGTGTACTGCTGCACGCTGAGGGCACGCAGGGCATCGAGCATGATGTTGTGGGCGGCATCCAGCATGCTATAGTCGCGACGCACCATAGAGGTGAAGTCGCGATCGAAGAAAGAGTGGAAGAGGACCGAGGTATAATGGAAGAGTTTGCGGAGGGTTTCGAGGTCGGTGGGGGCGGTGATGGCGTTGGGCGAGGAGGGCAGCGGTATGCAGCGGACGTCTGGCGGGAGTTCGACTTCTGCTTGATTCTCGTGCCTCGTATTGGTGATCCGAGACGAAATCCGGGCTCGTCTGGAGAAGCGCTCGAGGGAAGTGGTATCGACGAGCCAGCCACGTGAGACGAAGATACAGGATTGACCAAGGGATTCGCGACGGCGCTTCTCACGCAGCATGGCTTCGACTTCGGAACGCTTGTTGTTTTTGTCCAGCCCCCAAGCTGTGATCTTGTTCTTGTACTGTTTCTTGCTTCGTTGAGGTCAGTCGGTAGTTATGTGCATGGGGAGGCTGGAAAGCATACGAAGCGTAGAAGCCTCTGTGAGTCATCTCTTCCATGACCCTGGACAGTGTCCAGCCTCTGTAGCGATACAAATCTGTAATCTCATAGCGTCGGGCGGCCCATTCGGCAGGAGGGACATGGCTTCTTGGTGAGGTCACTGAGATAGTTGATGTACAGGATAGCTTTCGTTGCCGACGTACGATGTCTTTTGGTGTAACGAAAGATGGGGCCCGGGAGATGCTCGGTGCACTGACCATGGAGCACTCAGCACTTGGGGGTTCAGCCTGATGCTCGGTATCAGGCACGTATGGCATGCCACAACTCACGACTGGCTCACCAAACAGCGAATACAATTCACCTTGGGCAGCACCTTCACCTATCGACCAATGTGGCTTTAGTAATAACTGCTGGCTCTCGCCAGGCTGCCATCCCCAGGAATGAGAGACTGCTGTCTGCCTAGAATCCATAATTACACTCAAGTATCACCGGCTCTTTCTCGCACTCAACGAACAAGACATGGCGCAGATCAAACAAAGCGTACCTCGAAAGACATCGTGCCAAAAAATTGGAGCGCCGATCGAACGGTACCGATTGATATATCTGACGACGGTCGAATTCCGGCCGGGTAGAAGGTCGAGGGTACGTTGCGGTCGCCGAAGCGCGTTTGGCGTTCTCGAGGGACGATCCAATCGGCAGGTTGCCCTGCTATGTATCGCGATTGGTCGGGACGCATCTAGGGGCCATGCACAAAGGTTCCTGGAGACTGCGGACGGGGATTGTACAAAAGTTCCAGCGCTGTCGAGCCAATCAGAATGAGACGTGGCCGTCGAGATCGAAATCGGGGCGGACGAACCCGTGTGGGGTTTCGAGGTCAATAAGGAGATGAACATCCTCGCGCGGGCTAAAGCGAGGTACTGAGACATGAATGCTGGTGGTGTGAGGAGAAGAGTATGACCCGCGCGGGATATGACGACGGGAGTTGGAGGGGTTTATGGCAGCATCTAGGACAGAGAGAAACGCATGTCAACGGAAGCAGGAAACAGGCACCCGTTGTTGAAACTGGTCCCCTCCCTGGAACGATGTCAAGTGTCCTGGAAATAGGTGCAGCACCAGGTTCGGACTCTCCTTCCCTCCACCTCGTCACGAGCTAACTGTCCTTAGACTCTTGGTAGGTGGTGTTTCCCTTGACCAGCCCTCCTTGTATCCCACATCGTCGCACCACGGTGCCGCTGCATCGGCCTTTTGCGACCAGGACACAATCGACAGATAGCGTCACCTTCATCGGTAGGGTCGTTACTGTCGTCTTTTCATCATTCAAACCTGATAACACTTCAGGCTTCGACTTTCCCTCGTCTTTCGCCTTTTAGATCATTCTTGATCTAGTCTGGCGTATATTCCTCCTTTGCCACCTGCACGTGCTGCGTCCTGAGACATGGTCGCTGAAATCCTTCTCCGCTCGAAGTGCAACTCTTTCAAGTTCGAATTAGGGCCTCACGCAGATCGTTGACTCGCTCACCCACAAGTCATTACATCATGCATCAAGCCATACCCCAACATTATCAGCAAGAGCACGAAGAGGTCTTTCCGTTTTTGTGTTGCTGGTGCTCGAACTGTCCTGTTTACTAGTGCCATGCAAGAGGTGGTCCTGAGAATCCAGAGTAGGAGGAAGTCACTGGTATTCCGAAGGTGGAGGTAGGGGTGAATCTTGAGTCTGACTTGGTCTGTGCCGGCGATGTCGGTTTGCCTTGTGACGAAGGGGTATTGCCATGGGAGGGGATTGACCGTACTACAGGCGGGACGAGGGCGGCGAAGCTAGGCATTGTTTTGGAGGATGATGATTGAATATGGAATGGATATTGGATTGAGCAGATGAGAAGATCACGACTACGAGGTATAGAAGCGTAACTTACACTCCCGCTATACAGATGTTCGCAGCGGCGGCAAAGTCACACCCACCTATGGCTGCTGATTTCCACAGGAATATACCACAATAAATTCCATCACCTGTATACAGACCACCAGCGGCTCATCTGCCCCGTCTCGAACCACCGTTGTATCAAGAATTCGCTTCGCTCCGACCGTAGCCTAGGTACAGGCGTAGCGGGTGCAGATCCACAGCACCTGCCGTTTCCAGACCGATACACAATTTCTTGGCAATTGAACAGCATCGCGCGTGCCGCGTTGAACGCGGCGCCGTTGAGCCTCGATTCGCTGCTAGCGCGTGGTGTTTCGAACCACAAAGCCTCCTCCCAGCCACTGTCGAGACAGTGACTGGCCCACTGAGCCCAATATAGGTCCGATTGGCGTGGGCGCTCTATATCGTCGTTTTCAGTCGTGCACATTGCGCCCAGCCATGGGAAATTCCCACTAGCTTCATGCTTTGCATAGCCGCATGGCTACCGCGATAGCACGATGAGAAAGGATAAGAATCGGTCCAAATGACTCGATCATTAGGTGGGACAAATCGACTCGAGGAAGCTATCATGCGATGCTTGTATACCCATGCTTGTCAGTCACATGACCTGCCCGATGCCCCTTCCGTGCTAATGGCTGAATTCTTGGAAGAAGGCACAAGTTGGAGGATACATGTAGATACGTTAGTAAGGGCGTCTGGAATCCAGCCATCGGTAGTTAGGTAGAAGTAGAGACATTGTCAGGTAATGACGGTAACAACAATAACATTGTATGCGTGGGACATGAAAACCACGCTGTTCAGCGCACTGACCTCTCAGAACTCAATTTCAGCTGGCGGGGCGGTAGCACCTAACAGGAGGAAGCTTTCGGCCAGTCCGACCGAGCGAAGAGGATGCCCTAACTAGGCAACAACCACGGTAGACGACATGCTCCGCGCTGAGCATCGACTGCCACGGCGCCACGCAGTGGACGCTCACTGGTATGGGCATGAGCCTGGGGAATGCATGACTTATTCGATCGTGCACAAAGCCCCTCTCGAAGGAAATGATCATGTCCGGACACAGACTGGAAGTTTGCATTCCCGCACGAACTCATGCAACGGCAGCGCTTAAAGAAGTGGCTGCACGAATCCCTGTCTCGAAATCGTGCGCGCGTTGCGGGAGGCTTGCAGGCTCTCAGGCTCTTGCCCCACAACGAGACGTATTCATTTCGTATTACTCGAATTCTAGAAGAATCGTCCAGGGCTCGTCCTGTTGATGTCCTGGTCTGCAAGAATCAGTATGACATCTGAGACGGGCAGGGTTGCAGTGCCGACAGAATGGAGAGTCTTTGTGATTTGACAGTGTGTTTCTCAAGAGAGTAGGGCTGTTGCGATGTTAGTTCCTTCAAATGCTAGGGTGCGCTGGCATCGTCGCAGCTAGCACTCCCATGGGAATACGATGCGACGTTAGCCTGAGGGTCCGGCATGATTGGATGCCAAGCGACTGCGCCATGCCCTATTGCTCTCGGCATCGCATCGCTTCATGTGGCCTTTTGGGAGCGTGCCGAATCGTGGTGGGCGCGGATCTAGTCGAAAGCAGCCACAACGCACGAGCTGCGTATGGGCTTGCGAGGCAAGCTGAATTTTCAATGCAAGCCATACGATGGAGATGGCGCCCTACAGACCGTTGACCATATTTTCCGAAACGGCAGCCTCGCATATCAGCTGCCTTCAGAAGCAGCCACGCAGTGGTGCCCAGCAGTCTTGGGGCCTATCGTCCTTCGGTGTTGTAGCAGCCAGCCTTAAACCCGCAAAACCGGGAATGGGCGGCCTGAATATGTCCCGATCTAGTGTGGTAACATGCGGTACCTCGTATAGCAAGAGTATTAAAGCGGCGAGGAAGCGGGAAACGCAATAAAGTATGGGTCAGTATTTCAGTCGCTTTTCGCAAGGGTAACCAAACCTGAAACACCATAAATTATTGGTTTTGCGACCATGTATTCTGTGTGAAGCAACCCTTGCGGCCGACAATTTCGTTGTGTATTCACGGAAGGTGGGATTTATCAGTGTGGCTTTGTGTTCAGGGAGTTGTGTAACCTGTAATCGGCGTCTCGGAGCGACGATAGTTATTATGCAGGTGATGAATAACAATGCCCAATGCAGGGCGCGACCACGTTCAATGTCGCCGAGCCGGCTTGGACGATGCTGTGCAACAGAAAGTGAGGCGAGCTGGTTAACTGACGGGGTCGAACCCTGATGCTTTCTCGGCACCGTCAAAATGCGAAGCTGCGAACTTCGCACCGTCCAGTGACGCGTATGGCCACGATTAGCTTCGAAATCGGTCTCTGTGTGCCCCGGTGATGAAACTAGGCAGAGACGGCCGAAAATGGCGTTCTAGTGGGTGACCCAAATTCGGGGCCGACTGGAGCCTTGGCTACCGTTTGTGCTGCCGGCCTCGAGGTGGGCTACAACTTTTTCAGGTCGGACAACGATAAATGCAGGAGGAAAACCTGTGCGTTAGTTGGCCTTCAATCACTACAGATATCAACCGCGAAATGGCTAATGACAAAGCAAGTGCTGGAGGTTCATTCACGGTGCTGACCGTCAGACGCTTGAGTGGGGAGCTTAATTGCTAACAAGCTAGTTGATCAACTTGAGCCGCTCATATGGCGGTTGCTTAGTAGGCTCCTCGAAACAACATGGAGCGCGTCATCGAGCACTCGGAACACAAACGTTGTCTGTACTGCGCAACACCGGCCGCCGCGGCCTATGACGGAGGCTTGTTTCCGGAGGCTCTCCTCTGCCAGGTTTGCTGAGCGCGATAGTGTCGCGCCTGAGACGCCTTAAATCGCTCGGGGAATTGCACGAACAACGCACGATTATTGTGTAAAGCGGGGGTGAAAGCCTGGCGCCTCTCGCAACAACAAGTACTCTATGAAGAAAAGTTTGCGAGTTTCGGAGATGTCGTCCAGTCGCGGGTCAACATTGGAGAATGCGACCTCCCTAACAAACGATGCTTGGGCTGTGGACGGAGACAAATGAAGTACTAGTACCAGGGAACCCGCGGGCGCCAAGCGGCAGAGACGACGATCAATGATAGCAGAAGCTGGCTCGTTGAACAGAATGAGCAACTTTCAGGCGTGCCCGATGTTGGCTTTTCAGGCAGTCGCGCCAGCCCTCCCTAAACGTCCCCACCTGCCCAAATTTGCTCATCGACGGCCGCTCTGAATCAGCATCAAGGAGAACGAGGTGGTGAGGTCCAATTTTCTTGTGTGTCTGCCCTCGCTTGCAACACCGCTTCGTGCTATTAATGTCGGGTTGATGAGCAATTTGAAATATCGAACTCGTCGTAATTTGGTGCACTGCTTGGCAAGACTACCGAGATAGGAAAGTGGTCCAAGTCAGAGAACAGAGTACTTCGGTATGGAGGCTGAGAAGGGCTGATCGTTCTCCGGCTATTCTCTGGACCGTCTGCATTGCTGCTGTTACCTTGTTCGCTTCAGTAGCATTGTTGGAGCTATTCAACTGTCGATGTACGCACGTTCTTCTCTGCCACCGGAAACGGAGTTTGGTCAATACAAGCTCGCAGCCCCGAAAGCCTAGTTTGAAGCTCAACTCCAAGCCGTGGCAAAGCGTGAAACGGCGGTTAAATATCGATAGATCTGATGGGCTGGGGCTCAATGGCTTCAGCCCTAGCTGGGCCGTCCACTACGACGGTACCCCTGAGGGGCCAATACGCCAGTTCGCACATCTCGCTGCTACCCAATCGAGTCATAACCGGCGGCCAAGTGCCGTAGGGCTGGCAGGGGTGCTTAGTACTGTCGGCGGTCATGCCGCATGATGTCCACCGCTTCTGCGCGTACCCGCATAGCCCCGTTAGCGTATCGTGGCCGTAATACGCTATTGTAATTACAGCGGCTCGCTTCCCGCTCTCCTTTGTGTGGTGGCTGACATAATCCAGCCTCGAACTGCAGCCCAACTCCTTCCTTGTGCCGACGGGTATGTAATCAAGAGAGCTCAGTACGGACCAATTCGTTCAACACTGTTCACAAATCAGTATCCTGTTGCTGTCGCTCAAGCACGTTAGAAATGCCGAACAAGTCGTCGTCTCGGACTTCAGTGGTTTCCGCTTCCGCCTCCGCCTGCGGCATTTATCCAAGCCAACAGCACGCCACGGCGTAATTTCTGCTCCGCAAACTGCGGGAGGCTCGGAATTAAGCTGCCCCATTTGAGGGGTTGCGAGATCAGGCAACGACATTCAGACGCCTTTGTTAGAGGTCATGAGTCCCATGGAGGGGTCCTTTATCGTTCCGCCGGCTCCGTATTGCAGAGCGAAGCCACTAAGAACGGTGCAGTGACGAACCCTGGGTGGCGAAGCCATCATGTCTGGTCCCTTTTTGAACCGAGAAAATATTGACCATCTTGCTTCTCGGCCTTGACGTGTTCTTGTCCGAGATACGGGGAGGGCCCAAATTGCTGCTAGTAACGCGCTGTGACAGTCCTTGACCCTTATGTCTTGGCATTCTCTCGCAGCACGGGAACGGGCAGGTTCGTAGCCATGGAGAGCATTTTCGTTCTTCTTCAGAGATTCAGAACTGGTAGGGAAGGTATTGAGTCGTTGAACCGGAACAGTCAGCACGTGGACAGCTCTCAGATGCGGGCCGTACTCGTGGGATCCACACATAGGCCACTTACACACACGGCTGTGGGGGATGTATGACACGAGCTCCTAATCGCAAACGCCTTCAGTGCCCATTGGGCATTCAAAGTCTTCCACATCTGCCCATCAGCCAATGCCACAAAGCTGGCTTCTTAACTGCCGACTGCTCCAAGCTTGTCTTCTCCATAGATACGAGCGCCTCTGATGAGGCATCCTCAACTCTTGTATCCATAGTTGGGGGCGGAACTCTTTTGATAGCATTGATCGCCAATAGCGTTAACCTGAAATGCCCTTCTTGGGCGCCGAAGAAACTGTTCATTCAAGGTCAGTCGTGGTGCTCACCAAGTGGACACGTGGACAACCTTCGCATCATGATGCTGAGCCTCTCGATCTTCGACAGGTCAGGGCCCTTGGCATCCTTTTTCGGTTTCCCCCTGTACGTGGCAGTAAAGCGCTGCCAAGGAACAAATAACGTTACGGCGTGCTCCTGACTTCCGCAGGTGGAGGCCTTAGGCACTTCAAAGTCGAACTCCCAGGAGAGGGTTGACTGCTCGCGGCCATTTAGCGGATTGCGGGGCAGGATTTCGTCTTTGAAAATGAACGTGTACTTTCTGTTGTCAGACACCGTGGGATCCAGCACAAGTTCAAGCCCGTCGTAGTCGGAAAGATCGAGGTGCAGCGGTTCAACGGTCCGGTGGGATGCAAAGCCTGCGCCACCCAGCGTTTGCGTGTCTAGGTTGCCATGAAAGGTAGCACGGTCTTGTTCGCAAATTAGATAGGACTTTCCAGTCTCGCACGTTAGCCGCTAGAGCCGAAGCGCGGAGTACGTTTGTGAGGTTCCCCGTAAGTCGCAATGGCAAGGACTGAACCCACCTGGGAGGCGCCACCGCGCACCCGATCATCGCTTGCTGTCCAGTCTTCACCATTCCAGCGCCTATTTCAAATCAATGGTCAAAGGACGATCATACATTGAAGTGAAGGATCGCCCAAACATACCCATCACCACCGAAAAGTGTGCGGGAGTCGGGGCTATGTTCTCGCATATTCGGATACTAATTGTAAATCGTGCCGATGTTGATCCCGCATGCGAATGGCCGGTATCGGTCGGCGCTCAATAATGAGCTCAAGGGAAGGTGATGTGAGTTGTAGATTACTCACGAAGCTGCGAGCTCGACAGAAAAGTTGAGAGTCTTTCGAACTCGCTTACGTCATGGGGTGTGAAGCTGCTTGAAAGGAGACTGACTCATCGTCTCATTTGCCATTTGGCAGATACGTCCAGGTATCTGCAGGTATCTGTGGTCATTAAAATCTCATCATCAAAATAGCCGTCTTTATGCAAAAGGTACACTGCGCCTGTCTCGGACCAGTCCCAGTTCTAGCTCGTCCCTTCCCAATGCCTTCAAGAATTCATATCACGCTCATCAAGTGCAACCCATGACTCCCTTCCCGCGAACGTGAGTTCGATGATCCTTTTATCTCAGCCCTGTGATGAACCGCAAGCCGAGTGGCCAAGACGATGGCATACTAATTACAAGCAATGTCGAAGAGGTGAATGTTTGGACTAGTCGACCGCGATACAGGCGTGAGCGGCATGTCAAAATAGTTGGGCGACTGATACGGCGACTGATCCAGAGAGAACGGCTCTATCAAGGGTGGTGTCTATTGGATTGAAGTCAGCATTGGTGCTGTCAGGTCGTGCCAACCACCATTCTGAGGAGGACTCGGTTTGAGGTCGACCCCGACCGCTCAGAAGTGTGGAGGACTGCGAGAACGGGGAAAGGGAGTGGTGAGGCCTACTTGAGAATGGGCACTGGGGCTTGTGTAGGCTTGAGTCGATGAGACATCCAGACCGGCCAAAGACGCGTAGTTCATGGAGAAAGGATTCATGATATCGTCTTCTCCGAAAGCCGGCTCCTGCTTTGTAGCATAGTTGGCAGGCAGCATGGTCGGCAGCGTTGGGGGCAGACTTTGGCTGTAATCTGTGGGATACTGGTACTCATAAAAGTAGTTCTGCTGAGAGGTGTGGTAGGAGGGCGAGTGTTGGTACTCGTGCTGGAGATAGGACGTGGTTGGCGGATATGTCGAGTACGCCGGCGGCGAGATGGGGAGGTGCCTTGATGAGTCGAACAGAGATGATTGTTCATCGAGAGGCAGGAGTTCAGGAGACGTGTGCTGAACGTCGTGAGAAATGCTGTGCTTGGACGAGTCTCGAGTCATTGGGTGTGACTGTCTAGAACTCGAATCCTTGGAAGACGAAGAAGTTGACGCCAATTCTGAGTGTTGTTGCTCTGGAGATGCTGATGAAGAACCGGCTCTGCGCTCGAGGTCTTCCAATCTCCGCTTGAGCTTCTTGCGGTAATTACGCTGGCCATGAGATCAGTCTCAAGGCACTAGACGGAATGTCGGAAAGAAACTCACCTGAGCAATCCGGTTCTGTATCCTTCGTCGCTCGGCCAGATCTGAGATCTTGGTCCAGTCCTCGTTGGGGTTGGCAGAGGCACTGAAGGCCGAGCTGGTGGCATGGGTAGAAGCATATCTCGAGTGACCCGCCATTGGTTGAGAGTATGTGTAGCTAGCACTACGTTGCATGATAGTAGCAGGTGTGTGAGGGAGGTCTAGTGAAGTATTCGAAGGTGAGCAGTGAGAGAGATCAAAGGTGAAGGGTCCAAATGGTGGGAAGGGCGTGCTGTTATGTTGTTAAATGAAGCCCATGGGACGCCCGACTCTGGCAGCGATATATACATATTTCAGGTGGCAGACGGAGCAACTCAAATACCTTACCACTATCACGAAACGAGCATAGAGCGAATTGAGTTCCAGCAACACGCCAAAAGTTCAACCGGGGGGGGGATGCACGAGTTTGGGAATGGAGCTTGCGTACGATGCGAGGGGATCAGAGGCGCCTTGCAAGTCACAGATGGTGCGTTGTGTTAGGGCTGCCCGGGATGTAGCGGCGACCCACAGGAGATGTGCAGGGGGGCTTGAACTTCTTTACCGCTTCTCGTGGATTTAGGACAGGGGCCCGCTGTGGTACGGGAGCCCAAAATACAGTGCTCCGGGGGCGGTTTGGCGGACGCACGTTTGACGCTTAGCCTGTTGGGGCCAGCCCGTCGCTGTTTTGCAGCATTTCACCACCTGGTCGTGACAATACCCGGGAAGCTCCTGGTGTTGAACGAGCGGTATGCGCAGTTGCGGTGGGACCTATGCCGTATTTGCCGTAGCCCGCCTTGCACCCGCTGGCACCGCCTCTTTGTCTCCCTCTTGCTTTCCTGGCCACGCCGAATTCCCAAATTGGGTTGCTGCACAAGCTCAGTAATCGCTCGTTTACACTCAAAATGGATGCTAATGAGCGAGCCTATCGCCGTCGCCAGTCATTGGTATTTTGTGTATTCCATAATCGAGCGTACCTGTAATCTCCGCCCCCAACAATTAACTCCAGGGGACCTTTGGTATGATGGAGCTATGGATGACTACGCAGATACACGATAGACGCTGGCCAGAAGGTTTTTGGATTACACGCTGCGCCCTTACCACGCATCAAGCGGTGTTCTAGCTTCCTGACGCAGCCCTTGGAGGAGTGGAACGCATTGCAATCACGCTCTGGCTCTGCCCCTCTTGCGAGCATCAAAAGAAGCTGCCTGGCCAATAGGCTTCCACCCCAGTCTATACCGACTCAAACGTCAAGCTTAGGATGCTACTGTTGCAGCTTGTTCAGGCCAAGTTCCGAGATGGATCTGAAGGCTGACCCTAACACCTTCCGTATTGATGAGTTCTGAAGAACTCAAGCAGCAATTCCCAATCCATCGAAACAGAATCGCTCGCCTCAGAAGCTCCCTGCATCAGGCCTTCTGGACCAGTGGGTCACGTTCTGTGGGCACCAGCTCTACATGTGTTGTTGCGCAACGAAACAAAGCGACAGTTTCGAGAGATCACATTACGCCTCATCAGGAGCATGCGTCTGCTGGGGACGAATTAGCCCTCGTGGTCTTCCTGGGGCTCAGGAAGTCACAGATCTAATTATGGGCGCTGGCTTTGTCACCCAAATTGGCCAGCGCTACGGTCTCTATTGCGGAGACCGCGACCCGCCCCAAGCGCGATAGGGCTGGAAAGGGCCGAGTCTGGGACAACAGAGGCACTTTCGCTCGCACAACGCTCTTGCATGACCCCGTGCAATCTACCGAAGCCGTGGTCGTGGGTTCAGTGGTAAATCAATGCAACGGCACATCCAAGACTGGTGAATCGCCGGCCATAACCCTGGCACTGGTCCAGAATGACACGAGCGAGCGAGTCTAGACACTGGATTGAGCCATGCGGCTCCTGTTCAGTGGTGCAACGCGCAGCAAGATCATCAATCCATGCGAATGGGTCCGCGACACCGTTGAGTGAACACGAGCCAGTGTCCAACAGAGAGTTTCGCTTCCACGTCGCCAACAGACAACCATTGAAACACGATGATTGCTGCAAGACCACTGGCATAATTTCCCCTTTCCATCCAGGGAACGGGTAGGGCTATCTCAGCCTCAACTCAGCTCCCACAAGAGTCCCAGGGCACAGTTGAGCATGCTTGAAATATTTGCCTAGTATTAAAAACCCCTGTCAACCACGATCGCCCGTTACCTCTCTGGGAGGCCCCGTACGGCCGTTACGGATATCATCCAATCACAATGGTGGCTGCCCGACGTGCGCAGCTAATCCGAGCTTCTGCTACCACTCCAATATGCGAACTTCTGTTGGTGATAGGTGGGCTCAACATGGTGGCTTGGGGTATCCCTGGCCGCGTATGAGCGATCTGCGCCGTGGAGCAGGTGTAATCGGCGGCCACAAGCCACAACTTCGATGACAAAGGCAACACCAAATAAAGTATGCCATGTTGAATGGCACACTTCTAGGATCCAAGTTCGAGGCTAGCACACAGCTCTGCTCGAGAATCTCGCTATGGTTTTGCGCAGGGAAGATACCTCGACATACGGTGGGCGCGATGGATGAAACAAAAGGACCTGCTGCGAATCACCAGTTCGAGAATTATACTGAAAGAGGTATGGGGGAATGCCGGGACCCAGAGCCGTGGCCATATATCAGGGTTGGTCTCCACTACACCTTCCCAGCTCGTAAATTAGGGTTGTCGTAAAATACAGAACGCCTGATACCAGGCCAATCTTTTGGGCAGCAGCCTCCCGAGCCTTGATTGGTGCGGTACCTGACGCACTGGTGATCTCCAATGTCGGCAGCTACCTGTCCTCATTAACGGTTCATCCTTCATCTACCAGATGGCCATCAATTGCCAGCCCAAGCTTCATTCAAAGATGATGCATGAATGAACGGGAATGGACAACCGCTTCCAGTGCCTTCTGGGGCTGCCGTGTTACGTTTCAAAGACGCCCCGACTCGAGCGACAGTAGGCATCCTCGATAAACGCAGCTCTTCAATTGTAACAAGCAGGGGCCTATCATCAGATCCACCGATACCGCTGAGTTGTACCGCCTATGAAGCAATACCTATGAACAGCCTCTTGTAGGACCCTGGACGCCGTTCTGTTAACCTCAGAGAAGCAATCGACTCAATGCCAGAACCTGCTATGCCTGGGACCCCACCTGGATTGTTCAGTGGTCGAAAAGCAGAATTCATTCCATAAATCACGACGATCATCGGCCCCCATTGAGAGGCGCTGGATGTCTGGGACGCGCGGCGACTTTTCGAATCTTCGGCGCTTCCTGCATCTAGGGGTTTCACTTATCAAGAGTACCCGAATGTACCAGATGCGTTGGCGTAGGGGGACCTGTTGAGGTATCAACGGTTGCAAAAAGACAATTCCGATTCCGATTTACGAGGTCTCCATCGAACCATGCGGAATCGACCAAGTGGTCGGTACACGAGGTGAGGCCTGAGGCCCCCTAGAATCGGTCAGCCAGACCTCTGAGTGGACTAAGACTCCACCACCCCTCGTTTGGCCGAGTCCTCGGCAAGCTTCAGCACCCACTGCTCCTGCCTTGAGATCCTCAGGTCGTGGTTAGGACATCATTGGGCTCATCCAATCCGTCCGCTCCATTCCAAACTAGGGGGTAGTCCCATCGCTGCCCCATCAGCCTCTCCGTCATCCACGTGGCAGTTGCAACAGACCGGGTCAATCATCTGCCAGCCAGTATTATCCGCGGGTGAACTCCGGGGGCGAGCAATCTAAATCGATGAAGGCCCATGGGTCCATATGTGATTGCATGCTCTTATCAAACATTTCCGAAGTACTCCGTATGTTGGTGGTGTTTCCCACAAACTACAAAGCATGATAGGCGGAGATCGACACTCCGTGACAGATCCATCACTGTTGAAGTGCACAATTGGGTATTGCCTCCCTGTCCTCTACAGGCACGCCAAACCCCGCGGAGTCGCGAGGGTCAAGGGTCTGTCATGCTGCCATGATTCAGGGGTCAACGGGCTTCTCCTGAAGCACACGTGCGGATTGCGACGTCTCTAGGCTCCACTGATCCAGCGAGTATCCTTGCCCACCCCCAAGAAGACTGATATACAGCCACTCGTTCAACAGCACCGACTGGACTGGACATGATCCCGCTCAGTGGATACAGGGTATTGATAATTGGCGGCCTTTCCCTCAAAACAACTCCTCCAACCACACCAAATGAACAGCATGGATGTCTGCACTGAGTCTTCTACTTCGAGCTCAACATGCTGGCCGGAGAGTTGCCTCTAAGCTCGTGAATGCCCGACTGCAGGGCCTGCTTAAGTTTCACGCTGCACCATACACACAGCTCTTACTGAGTACTACTTTTGACTGTGATCGACCGGGGGGTTGATGCTCGGAGATGTGAGCTCCAGTCTGATTGGACTCCCTGATTTCGGGTGTGAACGTGGAATGTGTCAGCATGCGTCCAATCTAGAACACCTCAAAACGACAAACGCCGCGGGATTTGCTCCATCTACAATAAGAGCGAAGTCAATCTCTTGCTCTGTGTTCAGCGGCTTCGGCACCATGCTTGCGAAGCCGTTGACTCAACCGAACGGAGGACCTATATCGAGCATCATCGGCCATACTCCCAGTCCGTAGGTCAAGGCTTGGCCGTCTTCAACGTTCACCATTAGCCATGATGAGCTCTCAAGTCGCTCTTCCATGGTCCCAAACCCAGAAGCAGCAGATTGGGCTTCCTCATGTGTCCGTTGCCACTCCTGTCTAGGCCCGAACTCGAGCCAGTCCGAAGAGGTTTGGCCCCACGAGACTTCCATGGGCCTCCATCCGGACCAGGTTACCATAGTGGCTGCGGCAATGCGGACTACCAATCAAGCATTCGGCTCGCGGATTGTCCTGCGGCACAATGTTTACCAGAACACTATGCTATCATCCTTGACGTGCACACTTCTCTGGTACATCTGGGCCGCCGGATAGAGTGAAAGAGGTCATACAACATTTCACCAGGATACGATGCTCAGGGAAGCGAAATCGATTGCCATTTCCTAGGTAGTTGCAGGGACTAAGAATTCCGGGGCCCCTAGCTCTGGCGATCCAGTGGCCGACATGGATGAAACATGCTCTACGCAGCTGCGCCTGGCCAGAAGAATCCCACCATATCGTGAACCAGTGGGAGACAATCTCATTTCCAGAACCCTTTTCATATTACACAGGGCTGAAAGTAATACCCACTAGTCTACAGCCAGCGCCTGCGCTAGTCAGGACTACCCGCGGTCCTTTTGCGTTCCAGACTCATGGTACCGCCCGGCGATGATCGGGGTCGTGATCCCAAGGTTATTGAGTATCTGAGAGCATGGCCCCATCGTGCCAGTATCGAAGACGAGGCGATAACGAACTTGCTCCTTGAAATCAACAGCGCCTCAGTCCAGACCTCTGCGGCATCGTCACCATGCTGTAATCAGGTAATGTGCTAGAGCTCTGTCTACCTACTTATCGGTAAATCACGGCTCTGGAGCATGTTGCCCTCCCTTCATCGGGTGGCCAGCATTCCACCACCGGCCCCCACGCTGCCCTCGCTAGTGCTCGATACAGCCATCTATTCCTATCCAACGCCCTGACTGACACTCCAGAGCCCCTGTATACTCCCTACCCACAAGGCTGTACCTTTACGGTATCTTACTGTGCGGCAGACGCGCCTGGGACAACCCCATAGCCACAATCTATCTTCCTCCGATATTGTAGGAGATCCGATTGCCCACCTCGGCCTAGTTGCCACGTATGCCTTGTACACATCCTCTCTTACGCGGCCCGTCGTGGCATTCGGCGTGTCCCAATCTCGACACGTTTTCCCCTTTCTCCATCGTGTTGTGGTATCTTGACCCTGGCAGAACTTGGTGTTGCTCCTTACTTGGTCATGCATATCTGCCTAGTGGCCTGAACAAACCTTACGACTCGACGGAAACAGGATCAATGGCGTGAGTGACCTACCCAGAACACACACCATAGGTACTGTAACGCTCCGTACCGGGGTTCTCCAACGACCTTGATGAATGGAACAATTCCTTCATGGCTGATTGGTTCGCTGCTTCCCACGGCTCGGCCGTTAGGGTTAGAGGCCTACTGCGCTACGCTGACAAAAGGGACCCTGTCGCCACAGGCGGCAAAGCCACGCACTCGAAATACTGTACGGTAAACGGAGGGGAACTGTCACGGGAGTGATCGGTATCCCACGTTTAGACCGTCAAATTTTCGGGTGCGGGAATAGTGGCTTGCATTTGCATTTGCATTTGCATTTGCATTCCCGTTGCATACGCACTATAGGTGAGAGATTTTGCGCTGTCAATTACCAGGTGGCTTGCATGCATGGCGCTTCATGCATGGAAGCCATGGACTTTCCATGCAGAGCCGTCTGTCGAGCCGCCTCCCTTGAAGGGAAACAGGGGAGGCAGCTAAGAGGGTTAGGCGTCGTGGCTTGCCCGTTCTCAGCCTACGGGGCGGCCGCTGGCTCGCTACTGGGGGTTTAGGCTTGGACTTTGTCTATTGCGGGAGGGGCGGGGGGCTACTTTTGGTTCTCAGCCTCGTACGTGAACACGTTTTACTCGATCAGGTAGCGACCATCTATCTTCTTTATAGCTGAAATAGGCGAGTCTTGTGTTGCATGAAGGAAGAAGAAAATGACGGTACCGAGGTTTCTTTGCATCCGTGCACACAGAGCGGCGCGCCTCCACGTGGCTGAAAAAGGTACCATCAGGCCTTCATCCAGCTGGGGAGAGTTTTTTGCGAATATTGCCTTTTTGGGCATCATTAGGTGGTACCATTCCATGATTGTTCCCGCCTACTTCGAGGGCTGAGACGGGCCCGCCGCCGCCAAACTGCCAGCGTGCGGTACCACAGGTACGACCAACGACTAATCTATCGAGGAGAGAGCGAGGCTATTCCGGGTTGCGCTCCAACTGTACCGTGTTGACCGTTGATTAGGTAAGGGCGAGACGAATGAGATTTTCCTCCGCAAACGTCTCCTTTCGTATGCACTTACAACCCCCCCCGAAACGGAACCCGTGTTTGCATAATGCATTGTCCTCTGCTTATCACATTGCTGACTACTACGGTACTACTACTGCTGCTGCTGCTGCTGCTGCTGCTGCTGCTACGAAGAGTTGAGACCGCGATACTTTCTCCGCTGCCCCCAGCCATACGCGCTACATACGCACGCGTTATGGATGGCCCCCCAGCTGGTATCGCTACCGGCGGGTAGCAAGGTACTTTTTGATGACAAAGTGAGTTGAGTTCCCGGGAGGCTGAGCCTCCAGCACCACCACCACTAGTGAAAGGCATTGCTGGGAGATTCTGTCAAAAGCAGCGACAAGTGCAGCCCCAAAACAGGGGCTCGTCGGCGACGCCAGGTATATCGAAATGCCCAAAACGAAAGCGGTATAGGAAAACGGTCGGTGAGTCATCCCCGTATCTACATACGACGCCCCTATATCCGTCCGAGTATGGGTCGAAATGACTAGGCAGCTGGAAGAGCAGGGAGGGGGGAACAGGGGATGCAACTCCGCCGTGGCAAAGGGGAGGGGGAGATTGATGCGTTCGAATCATAGTACCGCCGTCCCTCTATTGCGATCTGTGTAGCTCTACAAAGCGGGTACAATGTCCATTCCGAGTCCCAGGAGGCGTGCCGAGAAGAGATGTTCGTAGTTTCAGCCGCAGTGGCCAAATGGTGAGAGCAGTGTTGGGAGGCACGAGCGAGCGAGTCGTCCGCCGCGGTCCGCGCGCAGCGGAGTTTAGGATAGATAGACACAGGAATTCTCGGAGTTTTACAGAACGGCCTTGGCCCAGCTTACGCGTGCCATCTGGGCAGACCACGTTGACTCAATGCTAGCCGCGACGATCGCACGTAGCCGTGGTTGACGTTGGCGACAGCAGTTGTTGCTTTCCGGCTCGAGCGATCTGCAACTTGTGACTTCGCCTCAAGTCATTGCGCGGGTGTCTGTCTACCCTCACCACTGCCAGTACAAGCGAAGCACCAGAGCGTGGGTCTGTTCCTTGGGCGACGACGACGTTGATGCTCGGCGCTCTTGATGCTAACGCAATCCCAGGTTCGCTTCAACCCACTCACCGCCCCAAAGGACTTCACAAACGACTTGTCACGGTCGTCACAGCGCCCTTGGCCAGCTCCAAGCCCTGCTGCGCCAGTTCAACAACTTTGCTTGTCAATGCACCCTTGCCCTTCCTCAGCCTGTACGCCATGGCAGCCAATGCACCCAGCACCGTAACCAACTTCAACAGTCGGCCGAGCTGCAGCTTGACCTTTCCCTTGGTGGTGTACTTCCCATCCCAATGACTCCACACCGGAAACATGTGCCTCAAGCTAGCATCAATCTGGCTCTTCGGGTACGCGGAGGAGTTCCAGCCCTGGTCGTTGACATACCAGTTCCTGCAACCCCCGGTGTTGTAAAGACTGTTCTGCAGCTCCTTTTGCACCCACTCGGTGTATGCACGCTCGGCACTCTCCTTGACCTCCCAGGTCTTCACATCGCCCTGAAGCACGCCCTTGACGAATTTCAGAATGTAGTTTACGGCATTCTCCGACGCCAGGATTACAGATGAATGACCCGTCGCTGTGTTGGGACCGAAGACCATGAAGAAATTGGGGAAGCCGTCCATGGCGAGGCCCATGTACGCCTGGGCGCCACCACGCTGCTCCCACACCTTTTCCATTGACGCACCGTCTTTGCCAATGACCTCCAGTGGATGCAGCCACGCATTGGTCTCGTAACCGTTTGCCATGATTATCACATCTGCGTCAACCTCGCACTGCTCCGTCGAGTGTGCACTGGCGGTGTTACTCGCGGGCGGATAGTGTCGACCAGGACCGAGCGTGATGGTCTTGTCGTTCACATGTGTGAGCGGCTGGGTCGTGAGCTCGACGCGGTCATCGTTAAGGCTCGCGTACCACCCGTCATCAACCACACGGCGCTTGCAAAAGACCTCATAGTTGGGTGTGAGGATGTCGTGGTACTTCTCAGGGGCGGTTTTGCGCATGTAATTGAGGAGGTCCTGCGCCTTGGCCTTGCGGTTTTGACGTGACTTTTCGGTTGGCGAGAAGAGGGCGTACCACTCTGCCTCAATCATGGAGAAGAGCAATTTCCGGAAGGTGTTCTGGAAGCCTGGGACGTATGTGTTCAGGAACGGGACCCACTTCTTCCAGGTCTGACGAGCGGCCGGTGTGAAGAATGGCACCATCCATGGCGGAGAGCGCATCAACTGAGTAACATGCTTAGCACCGATGTGCGGCTTGATCAATTGCGGAACGACCTGGATGGCGGAGCAACCTGTGCCGACAACGACCACGTTCTTGTCCCGCAGATCCACCGAGCTATCCCACCGGGCCGTGTGCATGATCTCGCCCTGGAACGAGTCAATACCAGGCAGGTTCTTCCACTGTTTGGGCTCGACGAGCCCACCACAGGCAGAAATCACGAGCTTGGCACGAATGATCTCCGTGCGAAGGACCGCAGAGGTGACTCCATGAGTCTTCTCATACGCAGCCCGCTCGATGCTGCCCATCTCACCGACACCTGGTGCCAGGTGGTCCAAAGTGACCTCCCATTCCTCAGAGTCAGCCAACCATCGGCAGTTACGTACGCTGGTGTCAAGTTGAATCTTGTCGAGGATTTGAAACTTTTCGCAGACGTCATAGAGGTAGCGGGCGATCTCTGGTCCAGGTGGAAGCAGGTCTGACCACTTTGGATTCTGTGCCCAGGAGAACGAGTACAGAAGCGCAAGGACTGCTTTGACGTCAGCTTATGGACCTCTGATAAGTAGATAGGGCTTTCATACCGTCACACGCGATTCCCGGGTACACATTACTGGTCCATGTGCCAGCGAGTTCAGGCCGTCGGTCGAAGATACGAAATTGATCGAATCCGAGGACCTGGCGAAGCCTGCAGCCCATAGCGATACCGCTCTCGCCGGCGCCAATAATGACCACAGGGTAGTAGGTATAGCCACCTTGGGGCCCGGCAGCGCCAACATGCCGGATTCTATCGATTGAGCTTCGGGACTCCATGCTGGGTGACTGTTTGCAACGACGATGAGTCTAAGGTAAAGACAGGAGGAAGAGACGCCAGCGCTTCGAGGCGTGAAACTCGTCGACAGACTTTATATCCGACCTGGCCCTGGACTTGCGAACACTGGGGCGTCGAGTCTCGGTAGGACAGCTAGGCTGTAGGCCGTCGAAATAAGGCGGCGATTAATGTTGGCGCCTGAAATTGTGTCGTAAAGACTACAAAGAACAAGAAGTCTATCATCAGCCAGCAAATGTATGTGTTGCGAGACGACGCCGAGTGAGGAAGCAAATCGCCGGTCTGGGGAAATTGGATGCCTGAAGTTGAACATGGCGAAAGCTGGGGAGATATCGCTTAGCCCGGGCATGGGGGCGATACCGAGGTTCGTGCAGACTGAATCAGTCGAGCGCCCGTCATGTTCCACTGCCGGCATACGTGTGGCTTTGATTGGACTCCTGACGCCAAGTATGGAGGTAAATGTCCCGCAGCTCGGCGGAAACGGCGCGACTGATACCGCCGACTTTCTTCTGCCTCGTCCAATATCCTACTTTGATCACGCAATATAGTTTCGTTCAGGGTAGCCTGCATAGCGTGTTATCCATATGCAATGGCATCGAACCCTTCCGACCGTGTGCAGTGTCGGTCGGGCCTCGAGCCGCCGAGAGACGCCCCTTAGTCAACGTCACCATCATACCACCAAGCCACCTCGGACACCGACTCTAGTGTCATGGGAGCTAGATACCTTTCGTCGCCAGGCATTCTTGGCCAATGCCCCTTGTTGTCTTCGACGTGACAGCAAGCAACTGCCACGGGCTTGCAGCCAGTGGTTCGTACATGACTCCAATTCAAAGTTCGATCTTTCTGGTACCGACAGTATTCCCGAGACATCCGAGCTGCGCGCCGACTTCTGGTCTCAATACGAGGATGTACTGGTTCCACTAGAACTGAGCGCTGTAGCCTTGGACGGAACATCCTCAGCATCTTTCCATCGTGCTCAGGCTCCTCTGAAGCTGCTGCTCGCATATCTTTCCACACCTCCGTCCTCTCACTCGACGCCGCAACCTCGCGGACAGTCCATATATCTGGCGCAATGTCCGCTCCCGTCTCTGCCAAGCTCTCTTCTGGCTGCTGTACCAACGCCTGAAATAGTCCTTCAAGCTGGTAAGGGCGACGTTTATGATTCTTCGCTCTGGCTTGGTCGACCTCCAACGAATACGCCGCTCCACCGCGATCCAAACCCGAATTTCTTCATTCAGCTAGCCGGCCAGAAGAAAGTCCGGTTGTTGCCTCCTGAAGTCGGCGATGCGATATTCGAGCGAATACAGGAAGCTGTGCAAGCCCATAGTGGTGGCAGGGCTATTCGGGGCGAGGAAATGATGGTCGGCCCCGAGCGACAGCTACTCGATGCTGGTGTATGGGCGGAAGCTGTCCCTGCGGACGGAGACATCGCTGGTGATATCTCGAAGGCGGTTGAGATGTATGGCCAGGAGGCTGAACTCAGCCTCGGCGATGCACTCTTCATACCTAAAGGGTGGTGGCACAGTGTGAGAGGCGTAGGTCAAGGCATTACGGCAAGTGTAAATTGGTGGTTTCGGTGAAGGAGCAACAGGGCTCTTGGCAGGGTCGATATTGGGTGCTGCCGCCTTGTTGCGGTACCTAAGTACTTTGTCCGTTGCCCAACTGCAAAGGCAAGCGGGCGAGTGTCACCCTTGGAGTCGTGAACGGGCCTTCAGCTGCGAAAGCTGTCTTGATGTCCGCGGTGGCATGGCAAGTGGCAATTCTGCCACCATCCATGGACTTTATCTTGTTCCGCTCCTTGTTCCAAGATATGCTCACAGCACCGCTTTGTCGCAGATACCATTATGTCTCCAAAAGTGGCAAAATATGCGCAGCTGTCCGGACCTTCTATTGACATCAATGATCCTGGAGCGCTACTTGCGTAAGTGTTCCTCCCGCGTGACCATACGTTGAATACAGACATTAATTAGCTGACAAAAACACTCCGTGCAGACACCACGGACCTATCATCATGAACAGCCGCAGACGCAATCTCAGAAACAACACCTATGTCCACCTTCGTGGTCTGTTCTTTGGTCTTGAACCTAACAATGACCCGATCTGGGCCATTGCCAACCCCGATTCTATCTACGGCGCCCGCATCCGATCTTGGAGCGGCTTCCAGAACAACTTCGTCGAGAATCAGGAAATTTCCGACCAGATACGATGCTCACGGTATATTGAGATGGCCCTCGATGGTTTGGAGCTGCACTGGGAAAACGTGTTGGATCAGTCTGATGAGAATTGGTTGGATATGCAGAAGCGGGTTATTGTCGACTGTGTTGTGTGGGGATTGAGGAGAGTCGATTCAAGCTTGATGGGTCTAAGACACCCTGGTACGTGGGTTCCAGAGGTTTTGACACGCGAGGAGATGGTCGTGGTGACCCTTGTCTGATAGCCGAGCATCAGCGTGGAGCAGCGAGGGTCATTACCACGAGACTCACAACTTAGCTCTGACTATGCAAAGCCACTTGAGGTTGGATATGGTGAATATCACCGACTTCATAGTCGCATAGTCGCAAGAAGCCTCTTGGTCGTTCCAGCAGGACCTAGTCATGTTATACCAGTCCCACCCATACGAACGACTTGTGAACCCATCACGGGGAGTGCGTTTGATAGCCAGGGTTAGGGTTTCCCAAGACAAGGCGAATGTTTGCCTACTTCTGATCTCAACTTCTCGACGCCTCTCAGAGCACATAATCATTCAGACTATCTGGCATTAAGGGTCAAAGAATTCACCCGAGCCTCGAACATGACCCAGCCGGCCCGACCACGAAAGCCAATTGCGCCAACGGGATGACGGCCACCTCCAATAATCTAAACCTCAAATTAGCCACTACTCTGCTGGAGCATGAACGGCAACAGGATGCGTCCAGCCAAGCGTGGACAACAGGCATCCGGTCGATCGATGCCCAGCTCAAGGGATTCTTCACGGGAGGCAAAGTCATCGGTCTGGCGAGCTGCCCCGATGCCGACCTGACAACTGTATGCAACAGCCCAGCCATCCAGCACGTCGCTAACAGTCCCCTGCCCAGTCCCTCGCTACTCATATCATCTCAACGCAACTAACAATTCAAAACCCACAACCCACAGCCGATCCAACGCCCCAAGTCTTCATCATCAGCCCGCCCTCAACCCAAACAGCCGTAGCCATCGCCACCTGCCTGTCCCAACGCCTACAACACCAGCCAGCCGACTCCCGGCCCGACTCAACCGCCCTCCTCTCCCACATCCAGATCCTACAGTACCTCTCGCTCAGCGGCCTAACCGAAAGCCTCGCCGACGTGTCCGCCGCCCTCTACGACAACGACAGTGCCAGTGCCTCCGCCAGCACCAGCGGCGGCACCACCATCCTCCTCCTACAAGGCCTCTCCGCCGCCCTCTCCGAAACCGCCCGCCGCAGCGGCGCAACGCACACCGCTGCCGTCGCCGCCAACATCCTACGCTCGCTCGCGCACCTCAGCCGGACCTACGCCGCGAGGCTCCTCGTGCTGATTGAGTTGGACCTCGAGGGTAACGGCAACACCAATGCCAGCACCACGACCCGTGATTCGCAGGCCACGAGGCACCCGGCGGGTCTGCCCTCGGCGTTTTCTTCGCTGAAAGGCGATGCGCTGGTGTTGGGGCCGGCGGTGGCGCCTCTCGGCGACATACTGGATGGCGGCATGGATGAGATTGTCGTGGTACATGGCGCTTTTGGCAGGGCGAGGGAGCATGATGGGCAGCAGGCCAGGAATGGCCCAAACACAGGGAAGACGGCTGTTGTGGAGGTAGTGAAGGATCGTACTGGCGGGAGGGTGGGGGAGTGGTGCCTATGGGTTCACGCATGATTGATGCTACTCGTACTTACGGCGTCGATACACCTTATCACTTTCAGGACGAAGCTTGACATTGGAGGGCTTTCAGGCGCAGCTGCAGATCGCCTTCGATCGGCGTACACTCGGACGCCCATCGCAGTTCAGTGATCATCCCTCTTCCGCCACTCCGCACTGGCATCCCACAGCTGCTGAAACTCTTCACCTCCAGTCTTCACCAAATCCCCAAGTACACCAAGTCGATCAAACATAAGCAACAAGCCCAGCACCACAAAATCCGCATAGCTGACCTCACTCCCTCTCAAAAACGGCCCTCCTCCATCCTCCCGATACAGCGCCGCCATCTTCTGCAGCCATGGCCGCGCTTTGTCCCAGGCACGCTCGCCCCCCTGCTCCGGATCGTCGCGCAGCGCCTCCAGCGTGCAATTGAAGGCCTTCTCGCGTGTGCGGCGGAAGTACTCGGCGGAAGGCGGATTTAGCAGCGTCAAGCCTACACGGGGTACGTAGACGGGTCGCAGGGCTTTCATAATTGGGGGCCATAGGTCGTTGGTGATGGTGGACAGGCGCGGGTCCGAGAGGTGTAGTGGCGGGCTGGGATACTCGGCTTCGAGGTGCTCGACGATCGTGAACGAGTCCATCAGCGAGGTACCGGAAGGAAGCGTAATCTGTTGAGGTTACTTGGATGAAATCCTTTATCAGTGGGGTTGGTGCGTACGGCTGGGATGGTGTAGTCAGCTATTTGGCCCGGCTTGTTGGGCGGAACAAGCTTCTCGAGGGTTGGTTTCACGTCGGGATACTCGGTCCATTGCGTGCGGTAGGGGATGGACTTGTAGTTGAGGACGAAGCGGGCTGGTGTAGTGTTAGCAGCAGGTTATGTTTTGTGTAGGTGAGGGCGACTCTTCCAGGGGTTCAGCGACCACGCCCGCCCATTTTTGGACGGGAGATCAAAGAAGATGATTTCACTGGGCATGCTGGTTGGGTAGTATACTGCACAGATGCACAGGGGAGTACGAAATTGTTGTCTTGTTGGGGGTTTATGGCTGAAGCAGGGGCGGTTCTGGTGTGGAGGAAGTCAAAAGCCGACGCGGAGTCTTGATAATAGGGGACACGAGCGCTCCTGCATTGGCTATGCTCCAAAACTGCACGATGATGGCAGGGCGTGTGTTTATAGACCTACCGAAGAAGATCACAGCTGTCTACTACCCAGTACGTACCGAGGGGAAGTACCCCACCTGCAGCTGAATAGCCGTGGTTTCCCATTGGGCTTACCATCGTTGTTGTCCCGCCTTCCAGAAATCCGAGTACTCGATTTAGTCAGCGGCATCGGGCAGGTATCCGTTTGCGGATCCGGAGCAGTGAGTCGACCCTCTACGCACAGCGCCGGTGCAATGCCGGGTATAACATTCTGTGGTCATTGCGAAGCATAGGGAGGGTGAGCCGACTTACTAGCCACAGGACCGAGCCAGCATTGGGCTTGAAAACAACAGACCTTGTGTACATCTAACATGGAAGGCTAACGGCGTAGATTGGGTATTGAGTGATATATTGTGAGCAGCCTAGACTTATGCGCCAACCTCAATGACGACCTTGCCTAGGTGCTTCTGATCCCATTGGTAATTGTATGCATCCACGGCTTTCTCGAACGAGAATACGTTCTTGTCGACCACCGGATGAATACCTGCGGTCTCAATTGCGCGAACCATATCCTCGAACTGTTGTCTCGACCCCACTAGGATACCTCGAACAGTGCAAAGGTGGGTCAGAGTATCCAGGGTCGTTGGTGTGTTCTCTGCCTGCACACCGCCCAAGAAGCCGATGACTGTAATGACACCCTCAGGCTTGACGGCGAGCATCGATTGTTTCATGGTGCCAGGTCCGCCGACCTCAACGACGTGGTCGACACCAAGCTTTCCCGTGGTCAGGTTCTTGGCAGTTTCGCCCCAATTCGTATCCTTCTTGTAGTTGATGACGTGTGTGGCCCCAGCCTTCTTCAAGAACTCGAGTTTCTCGTCAGACGAGCTGGTGGCGATGACGCTGGCGCCTGCCGCACGCGCAAACTGAATGGCAGAGAGCGACACACCACCAGTACCCTGGGTCAGGACCCAATCTCCAGCCTTGACATGCTTGGACTCGAGGCCGAACAAGGCGTTGTAAGCAGTCAAAGGGGCGCACGATAGGGTCGCAGCTTCATTGACGGAAATGTTGGACGGAGCGCGGACGAGCCCAGACTCAGGAAAGGCAGCATACTCGCGAAGAGTGCCGTGAAGTGCACCACCGAGGCCTGAGGCCATTGCAGCAGGTTTGATTGGGCCTGCCTGATGCTTCTGACTGAACAGGGTTGCAACACTGTCGCCTTCAGAGAATTCTGAGACTTTGGCCCCAATCTTGACGACCTTGCCTACACCATCCGAGCATGGCACAACGGGAACGGCTGCTGGAAAAGGATACATTCCCTGTGACAAGTTAACGACAGCTTGATCACGTGGACGGAGAGCTTTACCTTGGGAATTATCAGGTCCCTGTAGTTTAACGACACCGCCTGGATCTTCACCAGAACATCATATTCGCCGACTTGGGGTACCTCTACGCCGTTCTGTAGCTCCAGCTCATCGAAGCCGTTCTTTGTGTCTTTGACAATCCATTGCTTCATGGTCTTTGGGACAGACATCTTGAAAGCGCGGGAAAGTAGTGTAGAATTGGTAGCAGAACGTATGTATGCGTACTTACCTCGGCGCAAACCTGAGCTGGTGTGATGGTACTTATGTGGAAAAAACGCTTCCTGACATCATAATGAGACGCGTGCCCCGATTCTGGAGCCCGCAGCACGGCAGTGAAGATTCGGCAACTCTCATCGAGTCAGTAGTCCCTATCGAGCTCCGATGCTCGGCAAACAACTACTGTCGCCAGAGACAATGGCTACCAGGTGGCAACACGCTTTGAAGGAATCATGATTATCTCGTATTTCTAAGCTGCATATAGTGCAAGAGATCCCAAAAGGTAGTGACAACCCTCCATTCGGCCTAGAGAAACTCAGAAACTTAGAGGAAGTCACTTTGCTGGCAACAGCTACGGCGTCGGCATCGGCGTCGGCAATATATAATTCCGTGATAGCCTGCTTGGCGTGTCCGCACACAACCTTTTGTGCCAAGAATTCACCATCGGATTATCGCAGCAGCGTTTCGACAAGTCCATCATCCTCCACGAATTGCAGTTCCCTTCTTCCTCAACGAGAGACAACCGCAATTGGCCTTTTGTCGACAGTCAGTTGCAGCCATGTCTCAACCCGCCCTCAACAAGATCGCGGCGAACAGCCCTTCGCGGGCTCACCCCTCTGAGCTGGAGCAGAACATCGCCGGCGCCCTCTACGAACTCGAACAGAACATCCCAGATCTCAAGTCCGCCCTGCGACCGCTGCAGTTCGCTTCTGCTCGTGAGGTACGGTGAACCACCATCCGCAAAGATAAAACATAGCATACTAAAACTTTCTCTTCTACAGCTCGAGGTCGGCCACAACAAGCGCGCCATCGTCATCTTCGTCCCCGTCCCCCTCCTGCCTGGCTTCCACAAGGTCCAGCAGCGCCTGACCCGCGAGCTGGAGAAGAAGTTCTCCGACCGCCACGTGCTGATCCTGGCCTCGCGCCGCATTCTACCCCGTCCCAAGCGCTCCAACCGCAGCCGAACCTCCCAGAAGCAGAAGCGCCCCCGTTCCCGCACCCTGACCGCCGTTCACGACGCCATCCTCGCCGATGTTGTCTACCCCGTCGAGATCGTTGGCAAGCGTACCCGCACCAAGGAGGATGGCAGCAAGGTGTTGAAGGTCGTGCTGGACGAGAAGGAGCGTGGTGGTGTTGACTACAGACTCGATACCTACGCCGAGGTGTACCGGAAGTTGACCGGCCGGGTGACGGGTTTCGAGTTCCCTGTTTCCGGTGGTGCTGATTATTAGATGGAAGCTGCTGGATGACGGACAGGTGGTGATACCAGGAGACGTGACGCCCGGTGGAAGGGCAAAATGATTTGTATGCATGGATCAGCGCGAAATGGTGCCGGTGATACTCATTCAGAGCTATCCAGAATCAAGACGGCCTGCAGCGGTTCACGATAACGGAGCTGCTACTGTGGGTGGTAGACGAGGAATCAAAATTCGAAATCTTCAATGACACTCCTAGCGCCCCGGCGTTCTTGTGTGCTGTTGTACAGAACCTAGGCCTATTTGGAACCTACTGGAAATCTCCACCACCCAACACATCTTTGATGTTTACCTGGCCGCTACCTCTGGGAAGCGGCTGCTGTTGACCGGCACCCTCCTTCCAACCGATCATGTATATCACCCGGAAAGTAGCGGGTATGCGATCCTTCTCACCCTCAGAACAGTGCAGCTCGCGATAGATGGCCTCGTTGGCAAGTAGGACTTCCCGGCTGATGGGTCCGCCGATAGATTTGAGTATGGCATTGCCTTCGCCCATAGCTTGAATGTCCGTCATCAGTGCAAAAGTATCAGGATATTCCACCACGATGTCGTCCACGTCCACGGTCAGGAGTTTGAAGCCCGCTCGATTGAGCAGACCTCCGATGTCTCGCACATCTGCAAGAGGAGAAATATGTGGCGCAACTCCACCACGTCTTTCGAGATCCGCCAGTTGTAAAGATGACCTCAGCTCATAAAGAGTATCGCCGCCAAACATGGCTGCAATGAAAGGACAGTCGGGTTTGAGAATGTTGTTGATGCTGGCTAGTGTGGATGGTAAATCGTTGACCCAATGCATAGACAGCGACGAGAGGACGGCGTCAAAGGAGCCGGACTCATAGGGCAGATGTTCGAGAGAGGGAAGAATGGTCTGTGTCATTGGTACCTGGGGTGGTGGGAGGTCGTCATCACGATGCAGCATGGCGAGAGATGTGTCGGCGCAAGTCAGGTGTTTGACGCGCTCAGACAATGGAATCTTCGGCTTCGGAGAGCCCTCAGGGACCTCAGGTACAGGCAAAGGTGGTTTCGACAATGCTCGGGCTATGTTACAGCTGTTGGCTCCCAAATCCAGCACCTTCGGAAAGGAGCGATCTATGTCCAGCAAACGGTCAACGAGGCGCTGAGCAACCTCATCTTTCAGATAGTCGGCGCTTCTGCTGTCGTCAACATTCCTGCCAGCTCTTTCTTTCTGAAGCCATTTCGTTCTCTCGTTGAAAACCTGCAGGGTCGGTGCGCCAGGAGCTTGCACTGCATACGAGCGCTGAAGAGGTATTCTGCCCAGTGCTGATATATGCAGCCACGGACGTAGTACTGATGGTCGCATGACGAGTGGCGGCAAGATCTCTCTGTAGGTCAGAGCAACTCAATGCCTGGCCTAGGGAAGTTGCAGTTGAGCGAACAGAGGCAGCGAAATCGTAGCAGATGTGATGATGTCGACACAAGCAGGCTCGGAGATGATCTCCGAGAAGGCAATTTTGCCGAAAGCCTCGACCGCGTCGCGTGAATGATCTGCTGCTTCCTGCATACTAGAATCCTTCGTCTTATATTTGTCGTTTGAGATTCGCCTGTGATTTCACACGGAAAGACTGATGGCGTTTCTGGCGTTATGAGAGGGTACCGAGAGCCGAGCGGTCATTTTCTGAAGCGGCATAAAGCCTTTCCAGCGCACAATGGCGCTTTCATTTCCCTATGCCTACATATCATGTCCCTGTTCGGACACGTCTCGACGGATTTTGAGTTCAAAACGCCAATCGCGTGAGCTAGAGCCAGATGAGGGCCTGGAGGATGAGGAGAAGACATTCGATCCGAAGCATCCTCGGGCAGCATTCTCACTGTTCCCCCCTGAGCACCTCCTGTACTGCGAGGAATGCCACGACATCAAATGCCCCCGATGTGTTACGGAGGAGATCATCTGCTACTATTGTCCGAGTTGTCTGTTTGAGACGCCAAGCTCGATGGTCAAGTCTGAAGGCAATCGATGTGCAAGAAACTGCTTCAATTGTCCTATTTGTACCTCTCAACTGATCACAGCTTCCCTGGGAGACTCGAAGGAGGGACCCTTCATATTGAATTGCAACTACTGCATGTGGACCACCCTAGATGTTGGGATAACTTTCGACAAACCGACCAATTTGCGTCAGCAACTGGACAAGATAGCCAATGGCGGAAAACCGAAACAGCCATCTAAAGCGCAGGATTCGTCTGAGTCGACAAGAAAGTCTTCACTAGCTCATGAGCCATTTTCTCCGAGCGAAGCTACCGACACAGGGCCGGGGGAACAAAAGGAGCAGCCCGCACAAGATTTGGACGCCACTGCTCGCTTCAAGGCTCTCCGATCGTTCTACAAAGATCAGCTGACAGCCATCTCAAGCAGCGACAGTGGGCTTCCAGCATCGGCAATGGATCTCGCATACTCATCGCCATCCTCGCTAGCACGAATCATGAATCTATATTCCAATCTTGGGAACTCTTCACTAAAGAAGTCTCGGCCAAAACCTACAGTCATGAGAGAAGCTCTGACTAAGCTTGAAGGCCTTCAGGTCTCCGAGAGCGCAGTACTACCACGACAGGACTACTCCAATACAAGCTCACAGATACAACGCACTTTCCAGAACCCTTCATATCTCGGCAACCCTGAAGCAGTCTCGCTTTCCGCTCTTCGGCCCATGCCTACTCTGCTCCGCACCAAGCGCTCCAAGCGCTGTGCTGCGTGCAAGCACATCCTCGTCAAGCCCGAGTTCAAACCGACCTCTACTCGGTTTCGCATCAAGCTTATTGCCCTGAACTACATCCCATTCGCGATTTTGAAGCCGCTTCCAGTGTCGGGCGGACTGCGGCCCACCGGGCCCGATGGAGGAGATGTAGTGCTGCCACCAGGGAAGGCGACGCAGTTCATCCTCACGTTGAAGAACCCACAGTTCGAAAACGTCAGCGTCAATCTGGGAAGTCCGAGCGAAACTCCGGGGAAGCACGCGCATAAGGTCACGATCCTGTGTCCCCAGTTCGAGATCGGAAAGAGTGGAGATGTCTGGGATGACGCTTTGAACAACACCCTGAATCAGAGCATCATCGGGTCGAGAGGCGGTGAGCAGATAGCAGGAAGGCTGTATGATCAGGGAAGGAATTGGGCGACCGTGGTCGTGGAGATCACACCCGCCACGAGCATGTTGGCAATGGACCGGGAGCTCGAGGAAGACGAGGACGTGATTGAGGTGCCAATCCGCGTGAGACTGGAGTGGAAGGTCAGCGATGACGGCAACGAGCCGAAGAAGAAGAGTGAGAAGGCGTTGGAGGAGGCTGGAGACGTCGATGACGGAAAAAGGGAGCTCAGCTACTGGATGGTACTTGGAGTTGGAAGAGTGGCTACCGTGGCAGAGCAGTAGCGGAGCAGGAAGCTGCTTGTGCAGCACTTTTTGATACCCACATCTATGTCATATCTTCGTCCTCGTCTTGTGATCGCCGACGGTGTCTATGCCCACCACGAACTTTGTCTTTTCGACCACCCAGTGATGATCTCGCATTTCAAACCGTTCTCCGATCCGACATGACTCTCACAATGCCGCCCAGACCCACGACCTCAGTCAATTTCTCATGCCAGCTCAGCAGCACACTCATAGTCTGCCCACCCCCACCCTCACCAAAATTCCTCGCCTGTATCTGACTGAAGCCACCGCTCCCCGTCGCCTGCGGGCTCATCCCCTTCCCACTCCCGCCGCCCACACCGCCCGCCATGCCCTTGTACAGGTACTTCATCAACGTGTCGCCCAACGCGGCGCCGCCCGGCTGCTTCAGCATCTCGCCCAGTAGCCGGCTGACGTCGCTCTGGCGGATGCCCTGCAGCACCTCCAGAACCGTCGTGGTGTGGACCTGCTTGGCCTGCTCGTCGCCGGCGAGCGGCGCCGTCTCGAGCGCCGACTGCAGCGCGCCCAGGGAGTCGCCGGCGCGCAGCAGTTGGCGGACCTGCTGGGCGATTTGTGCGGATTCGGCGGAGTTGGAGGGCGCGGGGAGCGTGGCGGGGAGGACGGAGGCGAGGTCGAAGTTGGTGGCGGACTCGGGGTCGTAGGCGTCGATGTTTATGGTGCGCCAGTTTATGTTCGCCATGGTGGCTGCGTTGGTGAGGCTTGGGAGAGGGGAGGAGGGTTGCGGAAGCGGGTGGGATTGTGGTCGAGGCGTTGCTGGAGCGCTCGGCCCCGGGTACTAGGCTTCCTTTTTCGCTAGTAACGTCTAGGACAAAATCCCGGCAGCAGGTGAGGGTTAGGGTGTGGCTTTGTATGCTCGAGCAGTAGCGTTGGTCAGCGTGGTTAGAGTGGTTTGAGTGATGAGTGCGGGCGGCTGCCTTCCGGAGCCGCAGCCAATGCCAAGCGCGGATGTCTCCACTGTGACCTTCCTCCGCCCACTTCACAAACACTTACACTCGCTTTCTATTGAGCCAACTCTGACTCGACAGATTGAGACTATGGCGACAGAAATCAAGGTGGCGGCACTATAAACTCGGGGATTAACAAGCCAGAAAAGCATATGAAGACGGTGGGGTCCGATGAGCATTGTCCGCTGGGAAGAACCTGATCCCGCTTCGGCAGACTGTGTCATTGTGCACCGGGTTCCTTGAGCTACGTAAGTCCCTCAGCAGCAGAGTCGAGGCTAGAGCCTGATCTCTTCCCCATCTCCGGATGCGACTCGGGCTCGACCATATCAACGGCCAAGTCTAATGCCAAGCCAAGAGCATTATGACTTGACTGCTGGCCCCTGCCGACCCCGTATACTCAACCCCCTACACAACAACTCTGCTCCGCTGTCTCCTTCTCACCCAAGTACTCAGACTGTCTCCCCGCATTCAAACCACTCTGCCTCGTCGTCCAAGAACATGCACCGTACCGCCTAGCGTAAATTACATATCTCCCCCAGAGCTCGATCTCAGTGCGGGCTGTCCCTTGCCCTCCACCACAACCATCAAAACCATGTACGCCTCCCTCCTCCTCCCCTGGTCCCGCACTGCCCCCTCAGCAGCCGAGACGCAGTACCGCGCCGCCGCCGCCTACCACGTGCGCACAAAGGGCACCATCTTCTTACTGCCGCCGCCGGAATCCGCACTGCGAGCGGCATTCCACGCGCCGCCACGGCCGCGCACCCGCATGAGCGCCGGCGCCGTCGCGCTCACGAAGCACTTTGAGCGGAATCCGGCGCCGGAGGCGCATCCACGGGGGGTGCGAGGAGGAGGGGAGGGAATGGAGGGTGGTGAAGAGGGGGCTGGGGATGAGGTTGAGGCTGATGAGGGTGGAGCAGGCAAGAAGGATGCGTACAGGAAGAGGAAGAGGCGGGAAGGAGAGGTACATCCGTACTGGGCGGTGCCGAGGGGGAGCAATGAGGAGAAGACGCGGGTAGCGGGGGAGATGCTGGAGAGGGTGTTGAGGGAGGCGCGATGGAGGAATGTGATGCTGTTGCATGAGGGGGTGGCGGTGTATGAGGTAAGGGTGGGGAGGGGGTGGGGGATGAGGTGGACGTTGAGTTTGGGAAGGGGGTCGGAGTCGGAGTGTGGAAGGGGGATTGGGGGTGGGGCTGTGCTGGATCGTGAGGGGGAGATGGCGAAGGAGGCTGAGGTAGACGGCACGAGGGATGGTGATGACGCGGACATGGAAGGGTGGAAGATCGAGAAGGTCACGTTCAGAGGCTTCCTGGAACCGATCGCAGGTTTAGATCACGAGCTTGATCTCGCTAAAGAGGAAATGAACGACGTCGAAGTCAGAGAAGGAAAAGAAAAGGAGGAGCCAACTTCACTGGCCGAGCTTCCCAAAGCCCGCACCTGAAGACGACTTTTTGGGAACTTTTACGTCCTAAGGACGGCAGAAGTGTGAACATTATCGACATCTGCCTCCTCTCTCACGTCGCTCCGTTCGCTGCCTCAGCTGAGCTGCAAGTCATACTGGTAGCAGAACGGGCCGGCCGTGATGTTGAGCAAGTCTCTCACGGTAATGTTCCTGCTCTCCAGGTATCCCCAATCGGGCAGCACACTGTCAAGCGTCACCTCTGCACTTTGTGGCACATTGCCCGCGGTCATGGTTCCGCTCAGATCGTCGGCTACGGCCGCGTTGTTGCGCTGCCAGCTGTCGTACACCAAATCCACAAAGGTATGCATCGGGAACCAGATGGGATCCTGCGCCGAGACATGGATGGAGGACATCTGACCGGCGGCACCGCCAACCTGGAAGTGTGCCCCGGAGTGGATGCCGAGGCTAGCACCGCCGATTACGCCGTTGAGCAGGTTTTCGAAGGAGGCGGCATCAGAGGCGTGGGTTGCGGCAGTGACGAGGTCCGGGGTGGTGTAGCGCGCGGCGATCGCGGCGTTGAGGTCGCGGGTGAGGCAGTTGGGGTTGTAGGCGTACGCATCGGTCGGAAGGGTGCCATTGAGGAGATAGGCAGAAGAGATGTACTTGAGCGGCACCGAGAGGTTGGCGAAGGGTCCTGAGGTGACACACCCCCCACCGGTGCCGTGGGGCAGGGTCAAGTTGGGACCCAGCACGATATCTCCCGGGTTCGCGTAGAGGCTGTCGCCGGACATGGAGGAAGCAGAACCGTCGAAGACGACCGAGTCAGTCAGGTTGGTGAGTGTGGAGGTGGAGGCGAAATTCCAGTACGGATAGCGGCCAGTGTAGCCGCAGACAGAGCGGAGGTCTTGCTCGAAAAGCCAGACGAAGTAGCGGTGCCAGGTAAGGAAGTAGCCAGAGTTATGGACGTACTGCGACCGGGACACGTGGATAACGGCGTAGTCGAAGTACCGGGATATTGCCGCGGGATATTGAACAGGGGACAGCTGAGACGGCAAGTTCATCATACACTGGATGGCGGCGGTATAGGATTGGCGCTCATCTGGGGGCATAGACGCAAAGTCAACGCGTGTGCTCGTTTCGTTGGCACAGCAACTTGCCCATTGCCGCTTGATGTGGCGGAGCGGGCTCGCCAGAGCCAACGGTAGCAGGACCAGGACTGGTAGGAAGCGCATGTCAAAAGGAGGTGAGCTTGCTGATGGGCTTACCGGGGAATTGATGTAGGCGGTCGGGCTTCGAGTTGAAATAGTACGCAAGATTGGCCGGCTCTTGAACGTCTGATGCGTCCATCAGCGTGTTCATCACATATCGCACTCAAGTTGGAATCGAGGGGTGGCTGCAGCTGGCACAGCTTCACAGCATCCGACGCAACATGCATCTTTCCCCGCCTCGTGCTCAAGTGGTGAGCATGTGGGCTCTCGACTAGTCAAACGCATACTGCATCAATGTCGGTCACGACGGAGGAACGGCACGTTCCAATCTCGAAAGCATGAGAAGTCCAGGTACCGGAGCCAGGCTCTGCTGACGCGCAAGAGGTCATTGTCATGCCTGGTGGACTTGGCAGCCACAGGTGCCTATTGGTGCGGTCATCAATAGCTCGAGGCTCTTTGCTCCGGGGGCCAACAGGCTTGCCCGGAACAGCACTAGTCAGGTAGCTTCCTGGCACGACAACTTGCCGTGTACGTTGAATTCCATCAACGGTATCTTCTGGGTCTGATATGTCTCATACGTTGTCATCGGCGGATGCAATCGTCTTTGAAACTTGTGTGTGGTGTGGCAAGTCAAATTTGTTTTTTCGACAGTCTCTTCTGAGCGCTCGGATCTGAACCGACCTGCCTCGTGCCAGCCACGAGGTTGCACGGCTTTCCAACGGTCAGTATGCCCGTAATTTCGAGCCTGGCTTGCTGAGCGGCCCGTCTCATTTGCAATCGACCGCTGCAATCCCCGCACACCTTCCTGTACAACTCTCTTAGATGAGCAAATCTCCTTGACGACGCCTACATGGTTCCGCCGTCAGAATTCAGAATACTGCTGACTCGATTCATCACCCCAGGTGACGCACATCTCCCCAGGTTATCAAACGTTGCTTCCCGCGGCGACCTCTTGTTGACCAGGGTTTGCTTGAATCCGTTAGTCTTCTAGGCCCAAGACTCACGCGTTGCAAGGGACCTACCAGCCGTCTTCTCCTCAAGCGTCTTAACCATCTCAATGGCCCGCAGAGCAGTCTTCCAGGTCCAAGGCACGTTTGCCTCGATAATGGCTAGAGCACCCTGTCCTTCAGCCGTTGAGTCTAGCACTGGCTTCAGTACAAGACACAAGCTGACGACTCGTCCGCGAAGGCCGTCGTCGTCGGGGTGAGTGTGCGACATGATCTCCGAGATTGCCGCATTGCCCAGCTCATGGTCATTGAGTAACGCTTGCTGAGTGTATCGGTAGCTACAAAAGTCAGCGGACCGCTTTACGTTGGCAAAAGCAGAAGGTGGGACTTACGCAGCTTCAGCTAGCAGAGGCTTGAGACCAGGGATGATGTAGCGTACCGCAAGATCGTATGCCTGTACCTGCGTCTTGAACTCGAAGAAATCAGGCCTCGATGTCTTGGGCAGGGTTCGCTGATCGATGGTTGCATCAGGGAGAAGATCGGGCCAAGAATACCGTAAGTCGTTGAGGGTTGGGGTCTTGCTGCTGTACATGTACGCGATCATCATGGCCACGGCCGGCGGAGTGGTGCTACTGACGGCGAAGGCGGTCATCTTAGCACGCCGGCCGATCCAGGCAGCCATCATAGGCGAATGGGGCCGGATCATGTCCTTGTGGACGGCGAAGGAGCAGGTCCTTGGATCGTCGATTATCTGGATGGCATAGTTGTGCGCACCACGCACCGGGACAACAGCGGCTTGCTCATTCTCTATTGCGTTGTCATCTGTGGTGTCATTGTTTGTCTGGTCTGCCATAGTGATCGCGGTGCGGCGGTCTCAACAAGCGTAGGGAGGGGAGAGGTTGGCGTTGAAAATGAGTAAACTGTACAAATGAACAAAACGGACGCGTGGTAGCCTAAGTCGTGAACCTGAATGTGGATATGAATAAGACTGAACAGTCCGGCAGTGAAGCAAGTTCTGCCATGGAGCTGTTCCCTCACTGCCGCCTCCCATCAGTGAAGTAGCTGAAACGGACTCCATCGGCACGCAATCGATCTCTGAATGTAGAGCGAATAAGGAAGCTGCACAGTGCCAACTGATACGAGTCTCACATCACCTCACTGGAATCTGCGCAGGAAAACAGACAATACAGAAGACATTCTCGTGTCATAATCCAGAGCAGCAACCACCATGGGAAGAAGCTGGAAGCAGTCAGCCCCGCAGTCAAAGCGAAGCAAAGCAACGAGAGAGGATGAAAGCGGCCTGCAGTCGCAGGAGCTGCCATGGGAGATCTCGGGGGTTGGCAAGCCAGAATCCGGGAAGTTGAGGAGAGCTGGGACCTGGCTAGCAAACACCCTGTCGGAGGTAGCTTTGTAGGACTTCTCTGGCGTGGTTTGTAGCTCCTAGCAGAAAGCTAGGACGATGGTCGACTCACAAATCTTGGGATTGAGCGACCACGGGTGCGGGCTCGAGGATAGGTATTGTGGGTCAACAGAGGGTCATGTATTGAGAGCCTTCGGCCATTCCATCCATGAACCAGCTGGAAAGAAGCAGTCGGTGGAAGGCTGCAGTTGATTGCCAAGCTGGTTCATGGTTATTACTTCAGCCCTCCCGATATCACGATACTCTGGCCCGTCAGGTAGCCCGTCCTGCACAGCATCGTCACCACATTACCCACCTCGCTCGGCTGTCCCAGTCGACCAACCGGAATATTCTTGACATCGCCGGGGGTGCCTACCACGGCGTCCGCATTCGGGATCATGCCAGTCTCTCCGATCATGGCCGGCGCCACATCATTCACGCTGATGCCATCTGGCGCCAGCTTCAAAGCCAGGTTCTTCGCCATACCCATCAAGCCTGCCTTGCTTGCTGCGTAGTGGCACCCGTTGATCCCACCACCATAGCCGGCAATCGAGCCCATCAGGACGATGCGGCCCCAATGCTGTGCCTTCATGTGTGGCACGCTTAACTTGCAAAGCAAGAACGACGCTCTTAGATTTATGCGGATCGTATAGTCCCACTCCTCAATCGGAATGTCGACGATCTGCGGGATACGTTTGCCATGACCAGCGTTTGACACCAAAATGTCCGGCCCGTCTTGCCCGTGCTCCTTCTTGATCTCTTCGAATAGCCGGTGAAAGTCTTCGTCAACGCCCATATCGACCTTGTGCGAGGAGATGCGCCTGGACGAGTCCGCGGGCAGGGAGGCAATCAGATCGTCGACCTTGGCCTTGGAAGCGGAGTATGTGAGTGCCAAATGTGCGCCGGCGGCGTGAAGGTCGCGAGCACATGCTGCGCCCAAACTGGTGGGAGGTCAGCAGTGTTCGTGGTAGCATGGGAGAGGGGAGCGCACCCTCCTGAGGCACCCGTGATCAGAGCCAGTCGGCCCTTGATCTCGTTGTCGACTGCGGGCGTTGACATGCTGGGCAGTTTCGCCGGCGAGTGGTGTCTGGCACTTGCGGGACGCCTATTTGTCAAAGAAGTTGACACGCTCGGTCTCGGCTACTGCCCCATGTCAAGTAGGTACGCAAGACCTCCGCCGATGGAGGGGTTGCTGTTTGTGCGGAGCAGACCCCAACCCAGGTACGAGGAGGTCGCACCCCCGCACTGGCAGCGGCGTTTGACGCCCTTGGCGACCCATTGGCTGACTTGGGTCCCCAGATCGCGGAGGGAACAGCGACCGCCGACCACCTGTTGCACTGATCGCAGGCAGTAAATGCTTGTTTGTCGTAGGCCGGACTATCCAGGCGGAATGAGATCAGAACAGCAAGTTGCCGTTCAGATCAAATTGCCATCCTCCCGCAGCACCACCAGGCCCTACCCCGGCCCCAACGCCAGCACCCTGTGCCCAGCCCATCGCACCCTGGTCCATCCCATAACCACCGCTGGTATATTCACCAAGGTTCGGCGGCATTCCGCCCATCTGGTCACCGCTGACGAAGTCCCCGACGGCCTCCAGATCCAACCAGCTGAAGTCGTTGGCTGGGCTAAATTGCATGAATCCGTGCGCATCCATCCTCAAGCTCCCCGTGCTCGAGAGCCCCGTATCGCTGGCCTCAGCAGGGGAACTCATGCTTGGCTGTGCCTGGCCTGGCATTGGCCCCTGCGATTGCACCTGATGATGCCGCTCTGCCGTTCTAGGCACCGACGGCGCCGACTTCAGCCACAGCAGCTCCAGCAGTCTGGCATACCTACTGCCCGGATCCTGAGCGCTGACACTGGCTCGTTTCAGTACCTCGGTAGTCTGGTATACCAGCTGTCGCACCTGACGCTCCTCTAAGGCGTCCATAACGCCAAAGCTGCGCGCCTTGTACAGGAACACCGCACTGTAGATGCCATACAGGTAGTAGCGTAGCGGCAGGTAACGGAGGTGCCGCGCAGGGTCGATCTGCGTAGAGAGCAATGTCAGGTACGCTTTTGCAGCCGCGAGTGACGAGAAGATAAAGCGCGCGTCGGGCATGCTCGCGACGCACGAGAATGTTGACTTGAGATGATCGCGTAGTGTGACGCTAGGGTCGGAGTTGGTATGGCTGGCCGAGGGAGTGGCTGTCGTCGTGGCGCCTGGAGGCGGATGCTTGGTATGCCTCGCAATAGCCTGGCTGATGGCAGCCTGGAAAACGAAAGCATTGGTATACAGGACCAAGTATTCATACGAGAGCTGAAGTGTGCATTTGATATGATGCGAACATGCCAATGGGCCCCAGGAAGTGTTCCAACGGGCGATAGCGGCACGGAAGTCGTCCACATACTTCACATAATCGCCCATCAGCATCATTTGTCCTGATGTACGCATACCGCTGTAGAGCACATCATGAACGTTTGTATAGAGTTGCGTAAGGTCAAGCGTGGCCTGGAAGATCTTCGCGTGGTCCTCGTCGCTGGGTGCTTGCGGAGCTAGCGATGGGAAATCTCGGGACGACAGCCCGGTCATGGGTCCTGGACCTCGAGACCAGAAGGCGCGACCTACACGCACGCTAATGAGGCGGTCCGAGACGTAGCATGAGGCCCATGCAAAGCGTTTGCGGTCATGATCCGAGGTGTCGGTGTCCGGATCTTCGGTGCGAAAGGAGGTGCGATCAATGCCCAGGAAGTAGGCCGAGCGCAGCGCTATCCCAACGTGCATCCAGGCCGCCCGATCCTCTTCACCACGGCCAACGGCTTCGATGCGGTTACGCAGGCCCTGCGGCTCCCATTCAGCTAGCAGCAGGAGGGCTTCCACCGCCTCGACCTCGCAGTCAGCGCCTGCTGCGATGCCGGAGATCAGATCGTGCATGTAGCGTGAGCAGCAGGTGTGGATATTGGGCTGCTCGATGAGGTCTTTGGACGAAATGGTGAGCACGGCGGTCAGAAGATGCTTGTTACTGATGGCAAAAGCGTCTAGTTGGCTGGGTTGGAAGTATTTCCGTGGAACCAGAGGCAGATAGGGGTGGTAATGCTCAGAGTACCGACGCACGAGCATCTGAATCACATCAACGGGCAAGTAGCCTTCGCGGACCAGGCGATAGGATGCAATGCCGGCATGTATCCCATTCACGGAGCCGCGGGCCTCGCGACGGTCGTCAGAGGACGAGCCATTGCCTGCGGATAGCTGAGCATTGTTGCTGGCTTCTCTTCTTAAGGCATCAGCTTCTCGTGTAGCGACGTCCTTCAGCAGCTGCCACGCGTCGGAAGGGTTGCGCGGAATGGCAGTGGCTAAGGCACTGTCCGCTGTCGAGGCATCATCATCTTCATTGTCGCCATCGTCTGGCTCGGGGTTGGTGGAGGATGGGAGTGGGCGCGGACGGCCCGAGACGTGCGTGGCTATGGCAGGAGGCAGTGGACGTTGGAAGGAAGGCGATGTCTGCAGTGTTGCAGAATGCGATGTGCTGGGGTCACCATCCTCTTGTATGACGCCTAGGTGCAAATGGCTACCCGAGACGTTTCCATCCGTGGCCTTTTTCTTGCGCACGCGCGAGCCACCGCGATTAGAGGTCGCTAATACGCACTCTCTGTTCTCTTTCACGCATCGCCCGCAAGGTGGTTGGCCGCCGGAAGCGTCACTGTAGATCGGTCAGCCAGAACAGTAAAGAGCGGCTATTCAACTGAAGCAAAGGCCGCTGGCTACTACCATGGCGGAAGCTCCACCGAAGTCGCCGAGTGGCCTGCGCGCAATACCCGACCAGAGGGACGTGGACTCACAGATCGCAGCGGCTCTTTCGGGCACGACAGTAGGTACATGCTCTCGAGACGCGTTTCTGAGGCAGGCCTTTATCCGCCATGGTTATTGCACCAGCGACATGACGCTGAAGGAAGACATCGCAACAGTATCCAAGCCATGTACAACGGTTGTCAATTGCTGCCAGTGGCACAAAGCTAGGCAAGGCCCCTCTTCCCCAGACGCCGCGCCCGGAAAGGCTATCAGCTCTTCTCCACCCGGTCGATCATTCGACCCTGGCTGGTCCCCTCTTAATGGAGAGAGGGGAGGGGTGCTTGATCAAGCTTAAACCACATCACAGCTACATTTTGCCCTCTCACGCCACTATTCATAACGCCAACTAGTGTCACTATGTCAAAATTAGTGTCTGCAGGCCCGAGGGCCCTTCCCTCGGCTCGATCACGACATATATATTACAATTGGGCACCACAGTTCAACGGCAGACACGCTAAACACCGCGGCGTGTACCGCTGGATTGTGGCCCTCACGGTTCCATTTCTGCTGGACTACTTGTCACGACCAAGAGGACCGGGAGGAGGACAGGGACAGGAAACAGGAAAGAATGGTGCGATTCATGGAATGAGCATGAGGAAACTACCAATACCTTCTGGTATCTACGCGAGCAATAGGGGTACTGGGTACTCACCTACTTCTCAAAGAGCCATCACTTCGAGCCCGTGCCAAGGTAGCTATTGAGCCATAGCCGGGGCATGCGCCCCTTGACATGGAACAAAACGCTCCGGGATGATCGAGCTTGGAGTGTGGAGGAGCTGCTGCTGGAGTTAGTGGAGGTGGGTGACATGTCCAAGCCCGTGCCAGACGAAGTCGAAGAGTCAATCGAACATCTTTTCCTTCTGAGGACGGCGTTCTTCCGCTTCCACCAGGGCTTTTGCTTGACGGGGATATCCCATGGAAGGATTCGTGACTCTGGATAAGGGTCATGTCTGTCCTCCACGAGCTGGACCATACCCTGAGCCTGCCTCGAACGCAGCTGCTTGGTAGAAGAGCGCTTTGGCGCCTCGAACCGGATGGCAAGCTCCGTCTCGACCAGATCTTCGAGACAGACGCAAGGAGTCAGAAGCTCATCATAGAGGTCCAAGTCAGCCAGCTGACTGTTAAGCACCTCCATCTCGGCTTGCAGTTGCTCACGCTCAGGGCTAACGACCGGTTCGGGCGCCCGAACGCCCTTAAGGATTTCGAAATCTCTTCTGCCTAGCTCCTTTAGCTTGTGGTACAGAATGGCTTGTGGATCGGAACGGCGGCGCGGCTTCCTTCTTGAATGGCGGTGCTGAGACTTTCTGGCTCGTAGAGTCAGTACTGGAGCTCGACCCGAGAGCACGATGCTTCCTTTATGGGGCGAGGGCTGTTGATAGTTCGGTCCTGGAGCGACTTTTTTGGAATGGGGGTTCAGTCTGCAGGCAATATTCGTATGCTGCTCTGTTAGCGCTTGTACTCTTCGCATATCAGTGAGCTCGGGGTCCTCAGCAGCAGCCCACAAGCAGTCTAGCAACGACTGACGGGCCGCGACAAGCTGGCGCCCAGAAGCAGTCCTGCGTAAGCCAGCCTGACGGTTGAGAAGAGCTTTTCCCCCGTTAGTAGCTGGTCGAGTAAATGGTTGAGACGTTGGAGGGCTTCCCATCTTGAAGCCATGGGAAGGGGTATGTGCTATGAACAGGAGCAGAGGAGCCATTCTGGAAAATCGTGTGAGTGATCGGAATATGCCAATGGTCAATGCTTCGTCTGGGATCTGTCTCAATTTCAGGAGAGAGATCGCGCAGTATCAAATCCAAGTTTAGTATTGGTCGGAGTAAATAGCTGCTGTCAGCATCAGACAGACAAAGCCGTTAGGTGTCAACCCCTCCTGCCCGGGATAAAGGCAGCTTGTTGCACCACTGCAGATTTCTTTGTGTTTCAGTACAACAAAGGAAGAGATGCAAAGCCTGTAGATGCCAAAGACTCTGCTCATGAGAGTGGTGATTCAGCCATAGGCAGGACACATTGGATAGGCGAAGCCTGGTGGAGATTTGATCGATGTGACTCGATTGCGTTCTATCAATGTGCAATAGTGTATAAATCAATGATATTTCCAAGGGGCCCATGGACTCGTGAACTGTAACGAGCGACTTTTAGCTGATTATCAAAGCATCGGACGCATCCTAATCTCCTGTGGCCGTGGCTGGTTGCGGCCACTCCTATGCATATTGGTCTCTCATAGCTCCTTCTTCAGGAAATGCTCAGGCTTGTGCGTCGTCTCGAAGTCAACGTGTACATATGCTCGCTCGACATCCGGTAGGCTTTCGAGTTTCATTTGCAGCTCCTCCGCCACATCGTGGCTGACGCGAAGACTTTCTTCAGGGTCCATTACAACATCGACTTCAACGACGAGTCTGGGACCCGAATGCCAAGCTCGCACTGTATCGATCTGCTTGATCATCTCACTGTGCGTCATGCTCACGTATGTAATGAGCTGAAGCGTTTCCGTGTCGGCGGTGACTCCAATAAGCAGCTGGAACTCTCCGTATGCAGTATGCAGCCACAGGCACGAAATCAGGACTGAGAGGATAATAGCACCCATGGGATCGATCCACCATCTAAGCTTGGAACCACCCACGGAGGTTAAGATACCGAAGCCGTTGATGAATAGGTCATTTCGGTGATCCTCCCAAAGAATGCGCACCTGAGAATAATCCCCCTTTATTCCCCAGCAATAGAGGAAGAGGCAGAGCTTCGTGGTGAAAGCCACCGACACTGCGATGACCGATGGAAGGTAAAAATCCTTGGTGTCGTTTTGTCCAGCGTGGCGAGCAAGATCTTGAATGGAAAATGCGATCAGGATGAAGGAGACTGTGGTCATCAAAAAGGCGAAGACAATGTTGCCAGCGTTCTCTATTCGAGCCCGTCCGGCAGGAAACTTGCGAGGATCGACTTTGCTGACGGCTTTGTTGCAAACGATCAAAGTGACGTTTGATAACGGGTCGAAGACAGAGTCGGCGCAGGTCGTGAAGAGCGAAAGAGAGCCGGAAGAGATGGCGGCATAAAGTTGGAGGATGGATAGAACAATATTGGCGCCGAAGCTACCATAGACCGCTATCAAGTACTTGAGTTTTGTAGATTCCTGAGAGTCTCGTGCTTCCCGGACATGCTCATGGACTGGCTTGAGGAGGCGCTCAATCTGCGAATTCTGCGACTCGTAAAACCCGGCTACTTTGGACATGGGCTTGCTGCCCAAACTAATAGGATTACAGTAATTGACAGTGTCGCGTTTTCTCGCAGTATTAGCGCTGATGCTGTCGAGTTCCACTTGGGTCTTGATTCGTTGGGAGAGCTGGAATGGATCGGCTGGGGAGGCATAGGACGGCGATTGAGACTCGGTATCGTAGGTGGAAGCATTGCGGTGCCGGGAGCCAGCTTCGGCTTTTGACTCCTCTACCGCGGAAGTTTTGGCTTCGCCATAGTGCAAATTGGACGCTGACTGCATCGATTGATGAACGAGCGACAACGTGGCGTGGGTAGGATGCGTGTTGAGATGAATGGGCTCAGACATTAGAGCTATTGGGGGGAAAAGACACTCCAGCGACTGTCGCACTGATAAGCCGGAAGTCCTCACTGGCAAGGAGGCAGAAGGCACTGATCGAGAGCTTCCGCGACCTCCGAGGATATTATGAAGAGTAAGGAGGGTAAAGGACAAAGAGATGGGTGGGATGGAAATCGGTGACTGGGCCGATGCGGCGAACGGTGAGAATGCACATAAGAGACTGCGGGCAGCACTACCCACCTAGACCACCCCCACGACTCCACAACTGACCGCAGCTTCAAGTCTCGCGTATCTCGCTAAAGTGCCTGTGCACTTCGTTTTCTGAGACGCGATGCTCTTTGGTCGCGGTGATCCTATTGCAGACCGTCAAACACGAGCGCACAGTTGATGACTGGGACATATCACTGCACCAGGTAAGGAAAATACGAGGTGGACCAGATTCGGAAGGTAAGGAGGGGTAGCGTGAACGAGAACGACCTTCGCTGTTGTCTGGCAGCTTTCATCCCACACCAGATTCGATCACGCCGCTGAAACAATAAGTGGACCACAATGACAACATTCTTGTCCTCGAGCAACCTGTCATTATACACCGTGCCGGTGGCATGGTGGCTGTGCATGGCGCCCCACTTGTACGCAATCGAACGATACCGATATATCATGAACTCAGCGTCCACGGACTCCATCAAACCCGGGACTAAGAAGCAGTTGGAATTCGACAGAACTCAACCAAGAACGTTTCTCTCGCGTCTCGAGGCCAATCCGCATCCGGCTTTAACTCCTGAGCTCAAAACACGCCTTGCTCGAGCCGAAGCGGCGTCTCTGAACGGCTACGAAAATCTGGGGTTCTTCGCGGCTTCTGTCGTCGCAGCCAACATCAGTTTGATCGTCGTTCACGCTAACGAAGGCCAGTCGTTCAGCAAGGAGTTGTACTATGTCAATTGCCATTGTCTTGGGTACCTTGCGAGCCGGATTCTGTTCAGTTGGTCATATGTTGAAGGCGCCAGAGGTCCCCATCGGGGAGTCTACTTTTATACCGGCCTCGCTTGCGCATCCGCGCTGTTCATCCACGCCGGCAATGCTCTGAGAAAGCTTGTGAAATGAAGGATGAAGATAGCACTTCTGATCACCATTGAAGTAGAGGAGTTCCGATCTATAGCCTCAAAGCACAAATAGTCTAACCTAAAGTAACCTGACCCGATGAGTCTGACCACCTGGATAGCTTAGTCAATGCCGAGAGACGTGCCAAAGGCAAGGCTGGAACACATGATCTCTAGGACTATGCTTTGATAATAGGTCGACGCATGAAGACGATGTGAACAAGATGCTCTAACACGTGACAACACACGCATTCTCGACCTTATCTTACCCCAGCTTCCGCTATCAGGACGGTGTCTTGGTTCGACCACTCCAGACTCGCATACTCGGCGCTTATCATGGCAAATCGCAAGATCTGCGAGATCCCCGGAGATGCTAGGCTCATTTGTCTGGACGGTGCTGGCCCTGCCTCGCATGGCGCCGGCCCTGCTATGACCATGGCGTGCCCCAAGTCGTTCTGTCGGGTACTGACAGAATTTCGAATTGCAGGCACAAGTTCGAGCAAGGTAGGTTACTATGGCGGGTGATGAAGAGCAACCTGACGAGAGGACACAATTGCTCTCCGTCGGACGCAAGCTTTCGACCGAGTCCTTGATCTCCTCTCACGTCAGTAAAGAGGAGCAACTTCTTAGCGAGACGTCTCTGGGCGAACGCCTGCCCTACAATGATTACACTACCATCGATTGGATCCACGAACTTGTCAGTGTTCCCGACGCCCCTGCTGGCATGCAGCTCACCTAGAATAGGTCAAGGACTCTTTTCACTACCGCACCGTCCATGGTGGCGCTGGGCTTAGGAACCGAGCTGCGGCCGTCTACGACTCATGCCAAGGATGGATCATAGCAGCACTCAGCGGCATAGGCACCGCATTCGTTGCCGCTTTCGTCGACCTAGCAGTGAGCACAGTCAGCGATTGGAAGACCGGGTACTGCAAAGCCAGTCTCCTGTCTAGCAGAGACTTCTGCTGCACGTCAAAGTCGCCATGGGTGACTCTTGCCGACGCGGGACCAACGTGTGGGAGCTGGCACTACTGGACTACGGGCTACTGGACCCAGTTTGCTACCTATGTCGGCTTTGCACTGCTCTTTGGCATTATGGCTGGTGGCGTCACTCTGCTTACCAAGGCACAATTGCCATCTACGGCTCCAGGTCACGGCGACAAGGGCCCTATACGTCAATCTTCGGTCGTTGCGCATGGTAGCGTGCCCCAGCCTGGTGCCACTGGGAAGTCCATGTTCATGGCCGCTGGCAGTGGCATTCCCGAGATCAAAACCATTCTCTCGGGCTTCGTCATACCACACTTCCTGTCCGCCAAGGTCCTACTCGTCAAAGCCGTGGGCTCCATCTTTGCCGTCTCGACAGGCATGTGCCTGGGCAAAGAAGGACCTTTTGTCCATATCTCTGTCTGTGTGGCTCATCTCATCGGCATGCGCTTTCCAAAGTATGCAGATAACGGACGCAAGATACGCGAGGTGTACGCTGCGGGCTGCGCCGCCGGACTGTCGGTCGCTTTCGGTGCTCCTATCGGCGGAGTGCTGTTTGCTTATGAAGAGATCTCGACGTATTTCCCTCGCAAGGTGCTATGGCGTGCCTTCATCTGCTCCCTGAGTGCGGCCATCACTCTACGCCAGCTGGATCCAACGGGATCCGGTCGACTCGTCCTCTTCGAAACCGACTACGGCACTTCTTACAAGGTGTATCACTACCCCGTGTTCATCATGCTGGGAGTTTTCGGCGGCCTCTTTGGAGGCTTGTTCTGCAAGTTCAACTTCGCGTGGTCACGTCGCTTCCGGTCCTACGCCATCATTAAGAACAACAGCGTTCTCGAAGTATTCCTCGTCGTCCTCGCCACGGCACTCCTGCAATACCCCAACCCGCTGACCCGCGAGCCCGGCGATGTCATCATCAAGAACCTTCTCGTCGACTGTGCCGATGCCTCCTCGGAAGCCACCTACGTCTGCGTCAACGAGCACAACGGCAACCCATCCCCACGATACCTAGGCTGGCTGATCTACGGATCCCTGGTCAAGCTCATCCTCACCATCATCACCTTCGGCATCAAGGTGCCCTCAGGTATCATCATCCCCGCCCTCGACGCCGGCGCCTTCTGCGGCCGCCTCATCGGGCAGCTCCCCTTGCTCTCCGCCACCATCAGCCCCGGCATCTTCGCCATGGTTGGCGCCGGCGCATTCCTCGCCGGCGTCTCCCGCATGACCATCTCCCTCGCCGTGATCATGTTCGAACTCACCGGCTCCCTCGAGTACACCGTGCCGTCCATGCTCGCCATAATGGTCGCCAAATGGACCGCCGACGCCCTCTCGCCCGAATCCGTCTACGACCTCGCGCAAACCGTGCTGGGACACCCGTTCCTGGACCTCGATGCCTCGATGCCGCTCGTGCAGCGCGCCCCGCGCCTCGTCGCCGACCTGACACCGCCGCAGGAAACCATGAACGAAATCACCGTCCACGTCCCCGCAACCGGCCTCGTCAACCGGCGCGTCCTCGCCGAGAAGCTCCGCCTCCTCAAACGTCGCGGCCTCCTGGACGCCGGGCTCGTCCTCGTCGCGAAAGACACAGGCATGCTCCTGGGGTACCTCGCCGAGGGAGAGCTGGAATTCGGACTCGGCGAGCTGGCGGATAGCGGGAACCATGCACCGGACTGTGCGGTCCGTGTCGTCAACCCCGGCCACCGCCTCTATGCATCTGCCTCTGCCGCCGCCGCCACCGCCGCCGTCGCGGGTCACGCACCCATCGCCGAGGAGCCCGAGCCCGTCTCGAGCCCATCCTCACCCTCACACTCAACCTCAGCGCAAGCGAATGGGCCCACCGTCGTGGCTCCGATGACCAGCACCGCCGCCGAGGACGCGGATGTGCTGGACCTCGCCGTCTTCGTTGACCGCACGCCGCTGACGCTGGCGGCATCGGCGCCGATGGAGTATGCCGTAGAGATGTTTGGGAAGCTGGGCATCCGGTACCTGATGGTGACGGAGGATGTGAGTGGGCGGTTGGTTGGGGTCGTGATTAAGAAGAGACTCGTGGATCTGTTGGATCGTTTGAAGGGTGAGCATTGAGGAGTGCGGAGGATGATGTGTGTTAGCGGTGGGGCTGAAATGGAGCTGATATACGTAGCCGTAAACGAAGAGAACCCGACAACGTCGAGCTGGGCTGCGTTCAAAAAAGGGGTCAGCCGAGATGGTTGTCTTTCGTTCGAACTACGCATGGTCACACCTCGGACGAGAGGCGGCAATGTTCACATCAAATCTTGCAAGCAGCAGTCCATCATCGTTGACATTTTGTCCCCTCAAGGCTATGCTACTGCTCATTATGTCGCCTTAAATCCACTCGTGGCTCAATTTGAGGACATACCTGCCTCCATCCTTCTTGTGCAGGTGTCACTGCATTTTGCCGTGCTATGCTTCATTATGGAAAATATTACAGTCATCTGCATTGCGTCCATCTGTCTATGTCATTGGCCGGAGGCATCAGGGCGCGAGGTAGTTCCATGTCTTGAATCCTCCTTGCTCTTAAGATGCAGCAAACAGAGCGGCGAGCCCTAGCACACCAGCCCAGAAGAAGGGTACAGCGAGGGTCCCGACGCCGCTGCCTGGGAGTTGTGATGGCGATGATTGAGCGCTTCCGGAGGCTGAAGGCGAGCCTGAGGTGGCTTGAGGAGCATAGCCGCCGCCACTCGAGCCACTTGGTGGAGTATAGGTGCCGTTGCTGCCAGGATAAGTTCCGTTGCTGGCTGCGGCATCTGGCTGAAGGTCAAAGTTGCCGCAATTCAGTCTCGTACCATTTGCAGCATGGATGACAATGCTGCGGTTGCCGAAGAATGCATCATTCCCTTCGATGGCCGAGACGTACACATCGGTATAGGCTGCATTGAATTTCCCGTTGTTGGAGTTCTCCGCTGTGATTTTTCCGTGCTTGCCAGACATATCACCAACTTGACAATACTGCGGATCGGTGATGTTGCAGGGTACCGTATCTGGAGGACCGTCGAATGGCATGAGGTGGCCACCAGCGGCGGTGCAGTTTCCATCATCCGGGATACGGTTCACGTGGATGTGGTACGCTGCAGGGTCAGCGAGAGCAATTTCAGAGAAAGCAGCACCTACCAAATGGGCCAGCCGCCGCGACGTCTGGGAGACTGACAAACTATATATTTCTTTTAGCTTGTGTCGAGACAGCTGAGAGGGCAAGGGAGCTAGCCAAACGCCATGAATTCGAAGCCGACGTAGATGGCTACGCGTCATCTGAATGGTCTCGAAGCGATGAGACGTAGATCAACCAGGATAACTTACTGCCAAGCAGTCAGTACGGCTTCAGCAGACAGGAGGGTTAAGAAAAAGCGTGCTCTGTCTGTGAGGCCCATAAACCGCCAGAGATGTCGCTGCAAGTGTTGCCTGGACACGAAACTTACCATTGATATTGAAGCTCACGCCAGTGCCATCATCACTCGAGACACCTGCGATATACCCTCCGCCTGGTTTACCATCCTGCAAGTTGGCTTGATAAGTCACACGCTTAGGTTGACCGGTAGCAAGGGGCACGGCGGGGTGGTCTTGAGCCAAGATCTGAGTCGCGAGAGCGAGAAGGAGAGTGCTGAAGCGCATTGTGTCGGTAATATCGAAATGAAATGAACGAATGTATGCAGGGCAGATTGTTGGGGTACAAGGAGGCTGAAGGAGTGGTGTTGAAGGAGAGTCAAAGTTGGTGAAGTAACTTGGATGAAATTATTTGCAGATGATGAAGGTGCAAATGGTAGTGAGGAAGGCGCACAGGGCAGCCCCTGACGGGAAGGCGAAGGCATCGAGGAATGCGGGCAAACGTCCTTGCCCCTTGGCCAATAAATTGCCGGCCCGACGTGTCTGGTTGTACAACGGGAGGTCACCGTTTGGTCACTCTGGTCTCGGACTATCAATGACTGCTGCGTTTGCGATGGAGACGGATAGGAGGGAAAAGGAGGAGGGTGTTGAGGTCGGAGCCATTTCATTGCTTCCATCCGTCTAGGTGTGACTCACTACATACTCACCCTGTAATTACCGTTGCCTCGCTCGGGGCTTAATAAATCCGCATTTAGCACAATGTCCAAACGATATCGTTATGTGACTATGCCTGCAGGAAATAATCGCGCTGGACGTTAGCTGGCGACATCTCGCCTTCATGGTGTTCAGTAGCTTGACCAGTCCAAGTACGAAAAGCCAAAGTCGCTACGATGGGTCAGCACGAGGACCAAGTCACACATGGAGGAGAGTCCTACAATCTCAACGAGATCATTCTGTTTGGCTCCATCAAGGCAACGTCCTTTCCGAGACGAGTAGATCGACCCGCGGCAAAGGTCAGCTCTCGTACCCTTTCGTAGGATTTCCGTGTCTTGCGATCAGCAGAACATCATTCCGGTCTCAATATATTGGCGTCTGGGCCAAACAGATCCGGTGTCCACATCATCTTGTGTTGACTGGCTGCAATGTGAGAGGCTGCTTGTATAGCATCATCAATTTCTTCCCGTAGCTTGGCATAGCGTGGGAGGTTTGTCAACAGGTATGCAAACGTCATGAGAGCGTTTGTATCAGTGGAGACAGAACCATTCAGGATCCACAAAGGTGGATTCCTCCGAGCGTGGTCAAGCCGCGAGCAATGGAAAGTGTCCAGCATGTCGTGGTGTCGTCTGCCATCTGAGCCATCTCCCGCAAAGTGTTTGGCACCGATGGGCTGCAGTCCGCCAATTATGGCGCCCTTGCCTGAGTCCGGTCAGAGCTTGGACTAGACTGCTGGAGAGGTTTGAGTAGATGAAAGGGATGTTCGGGCCAAACTCCACGATGAAGGAGCTTGTGGCTATGATATAGGGACGAGCTGTCGCGAGTCTACGACACCTGCGTCCAGCAAAGCGACGATCCGGTTGGGCCTTTGAGCCATCGTAACCGATATCAGATACAGAACCTCAAAAAATGGCAGGCGACAATACTGGGACCACCCTGCGAGGTACAAGCATGCTCGTTGGAGCACGGATGCATAGTGCATACTGAATTTGTCGCTGGTAGCATTGAGGGACACCCAGCGGGCGTCTGACCGAAAGTTGAAGCGGGGGCCCCGGGCGGGTTTTCTAACCCTCCAGGCGGGTTACGCACGTGCCAGTCGAAGGCTCTTAGCTTGACTCTGGGGCCTGTACATGGAACCCTGAAGACGACCACCTGCCGACATCGCCCCTCTGGTGTGAAAACCATAGCTCGATGGTGATCTAGACTTGCGAGATCATCGTCAGCCAGTAGACAAGTAAGAAACACAGAGTCACCGAGGCAGTGTGTGTCATTGACTATCTAATTTGCTGCCGGAGCCTTCACTGTGACCAGGAACCGCATCTCCCTCCCTCCGTTGCATCCTCCTCTCACTCCTCCTCGCTCACCTCGCCCTCTTCGTCCTGCTCGTACTCCTCGAGCAGCTCACTCTCGTCGCCCTGCTCATATTCCTGGGCCTGCTGGTCCCCCTCATATCCGATGCCGAACAACTCCTGATCGCGTTGCACCATCTCCTCGTCGTCCACTGCCAACAACTCCTCTACTTCGTCCCTTGCCTGACGATCCAGCTCCTCCGCTGTCATCTGCTCCTCTTCCTCTCTTTCCTGCGCCGCCTTCTCTGCCCTCTCCAGCTCCAACTCCGCTTCCCTTGCTGCCTTCGCCAAGCGATCTTGCTTCTGTTGCTCTCGTCTCTCCTTGGCTATTCTGCTCTTCTCCGCCTTCCTCTCGGCATCATGTTTCGCCTTCGCCTCCTGCTTCGCCTGCTTCTCCCGATCTTCCGTCTCCATTCTGTTAATTTGCACCTCGCGTTCCTGTTCCTCTACCCGCTGGCGTGCCTGCTTTGGGCTGACAAAACTCAGGGCACTGAGCAACGCAGGCGGGGCCAATTTCGAAAATGCCCAGGTGGGCTTCTTGCTAAGCTTGCGATGCCGCTTGGGCGCGGGTGGAGAGACGGAGGGATCGCCATCGCCGGTGGTTGGACCTAGTAGGACAGGGGCAACGATGATGGGCGCATTTGCGGCATTGTCGTTGGCAGGAGTCGCCGGGCCGCCTTCAGATGCAGGCGTAGGGCCATTGCTGAGTTCAGCGCCATCGTTGGCATCGGATACTTTGCGTTTCTGGCCCGCAAGCTGTGGTGGAGATGCTGAGGATAGCTGCTGAGATGGCTGCTGGGGAGATTGCTCGGGTTGCTGCTGCAGATGATGGACTGCTGTAATTTGGACATCGTCGTTCTGCTGTACACGTGTGATGACGACCTCGTCATCGTCGTCGTGTAGCTGCTGCTCCAAAACCGCAATCCTGTCCCGAAAGCGCTGGTTCTCGGCAAGCAGCTGCTGGGTACGCTGGTCAGTGCCTCTAATGATCTGCTCACGCTGCGATCTCCAATAATGAGCCTGCTGTACGGCCTGATTCCGCTGTTGAACATGATTTCTGCTCTCTGCTACAGCTTGCTGAAGAGTGAGCGACAGTTGCGTGTTCCGCTGAAGAAGCTGTTGATACGGTCGACTGTTGGTGACAACGTCTTCGTAAGACTCGGTGGCGTTCGGAATGCTGTTAAGCGGAATCTTGGAGTGTCTCATGACGCCTGTGGAGGCTACATTGGGACCGTCATCCTCTGTGGAGTTATACTCCGCGTCTTGCTGGATGCCGAAATGATGAGTCTGTTCACTAGTCGGCAGAAAAGCTGCACTGGTGTTAATTCTGTTGAGGTTGTATCCATGCTGCTGAGCAGGTGTGAATGCTTGCTGAAATTGCTGGTAGCTGGCATCCTGATGGTACATGTGCCGCTGCTGACGAGTTTGTGCAGAGCCTTGGAAGCTGTTCGAGACCGTAAAGTCTGGAGAAAGTGCTGGTGGGTTCTGAAGGTGCTGCACGGGGTATTGATGCTGGTTGTTATTGTTGTCGTTGTTACGGAGAAGATGAGGCTGAATCATCAAGCCTTGATCGTCAGGATTAGCTGGTAGTCTAGGCATCTGAGTCCGCGACGAGGGAGTCTGAAGACGGCCTAGGAGCTGTAGATTGATAGTTCCACTCTGTATCTCTGAAATTCCATTAGATGCGAGCATATTTCGCTGCATGAACGAGGTTTGTGGATGCATGGCTTGTTGAGGAATCGTAGCTCGGGACTGGTTTGTAGAAGTGTTGCTGGAAGGAGACATTGGTCCTCGCACTGAACGACAACGAGCGGCCCTTTGCCAGGCGACCTGTGTTGAAGGCAGCAGTTGGCAAGGTGGTAAGATAGGCCTGATAATCTGTAGGTGTAATTGAGAGGATCAAGTGACAAGAATCTCCCACAGAAGAGAAAGGAGCTTGAAGTTGACGTTGTCAAGTACACTATATCTGAAGTGCGAAAAGTGCCGATGACGAAGAAGAAGTACCAGACCAAGTGTCCAAAGAGAAGAATTTATGGTCTCGGACGCTCAAGTGCAGGCATCAAGAAAAAGGTCGAAGGTACTCAGGTCGAATGTGGTGTGGGCGACAAGGCTGTTGCTCAATTGACGCAGTCACTCCGCCGAGGACTTGGGTCAACCAATTCATAGCATTTTTCAACAGGCGACAGTCATACAAGCATGGCGCAATGGCGGAACGCGTGCTACACTCGCGTTGTTTTCGTTCCATAATGTGCGTCGCGTCCCTTCTTGCGAAAGTCTTTCGAACCTGGGTTTGTTCGGACACAGAGGCTGAAGCTGGCAATTGGCACGTCCCAGTGCCTAGCCGTCGTCACAAATGCGGCAACTCCACGAATGGTGTGTGGGTGAAGCATCGATGCCTTGAAAATTATCAAAGGTCCGCTCACATCGACAGCAGCCAGCTCTGCTCTCCGGCCACGCACTGGCTTGGGTACGGGCTATGATCGCCACTCGACAGCGTGGCTGATCGAGATTGCGAGCCTACACCAAGCCTTGCTCGGGTGAGTAGGAGCAGACCCAGTGCCACCCTACACAGAGGGGACGAGCACAGACTCTGACGAACGTCCGAATTTCCTACCTACCACTAGAGTGCATTCGGATATGCCCGGTCTTCGAGGGGGGAGTGTAAGCCTTCGAGGACATGGTCCATGTTGTTCCTGAAACCCACTTGATGCAATGCCTGTCAACTATCGGCATCAGGACTCAATGAAAGTGCGTGTCCCGGAGGCTCGACATCGAAAAGGGCCGCATGTCGGCCACACCACATCTCGATCCATCGGCGTACGGTCGTGGTCATACTGGGCCGTGAGAGCCCATTGACGCTGGCTGTTGCCGCGTCGTTGAGCCTCAGGGGGAAAGAGAAGAGACTTTGTCGAATTCAGGACGCTCACCAGGCCCCCGAACCCACAAAAAGAGATATGATGGCATTATACTGGCAGGAAAGAGCCAAAGATGAAGTTCAGCTGTGCCCAATCGGCAGGCACCAGGCCTACACAGAGGTCCGTGCGCCCTGAGCTTTCAGCTCACGTCTAACCATGGATGGTAAGCTTGCCGACCATGTACACTTAGGCGCGTCCCGCACAGCTTGAGCCTTCTCCACCACAACCAAACTTCCCCATCTTTGCCTGTACAGTGGTTTCACCTCAGCAACACATGCTCCCACCCATGTCTTTCAAGTTCCAAGGTGAAAAGGGTTGAGCGATAACACACCCTCCTCTTACATCTTGGGCTGACTGGGCAGTCGCCTGGCTCAGCACAAGCAAGAACCAGGCACCATGAGCGTCATTCTCTGCACTGGTAGGCACAAAATCCCTCCTCCCGCCTGAGGCACGGCTAACACATGCTAGCTGGCTATGATCACACGATAAGGTACTGGCTCAAAACGACCATTCCCGCGCATTCTGACCTGTCGCAGATTCTGGGAAGCGCTGTCAGGCATCTGTTCCCGCACGATCCAACACCCCGAATCCCAAGTCAATCGTCTCTGCATAACTCCGGACAAGAAATATCTGGCAGCCGCCGGTCGTCATGTCGTGCGACTCTATGACATCAAGTCCTCCAATCCAAACCCCATCATGACCTTCGAAGGGCACACGAACAACATCACCGGCGTCGCTTTCCACTGCGAAGGCAAATGGATGGTCACCTCATCTGAAGACAATACCGTGCGCGTATGGGATACTCGCTCAGGCCTCATTCAGCGTAGCTACAATCACGACCATCCCGTAAACGATGTGGTCATTCACCCCAACCAAGGCGAGCTTGTTTCTGCCGACCGTGGCGGCGTCATCATGATATGGGATCTCGGCGACAACAAATGCACCCACCAGCTCATACCTGAAGACGACGTACCCGTCTCCTCGGTCAGCATTGCCTCCGATGGCTCCCTTCTCGCCGCAGGTAATAACAAAGGCGATGTCTATATCTGGCGCATGTATCAGAACCACGACAGCACCACATTGCAGCCCTGCCGCGTCTTCAACGCCCACAAGACCTATCTTACCCGCCTGCTACTGTCTCCAGACATCAAACTGCTCGCGACTTGCTCTGCCGATCACACCGTCCGCATCTGGCGTATTGATATGAACGAAGAATCTCTCGAGCCAATTCCCGAGCCAGCGACTCCTCTTGCCTCATCCTCTAACTCTAAGGCGCAAGACCCCTCCAATAGTACGTTCGACGAATTTGGCACCGAAGACGATGCAGACCACGAAGCACGCTCTCGTAGCTCCAGCAACATCACCACCTCTTCGGCATCCGCTTCGGCAGGCGGGTCACGGCCCGGCACAGCCGCGTCTTCCTCCTCACAACCTCCCTCAACTCCACTCGACACCTTCCGCCCTGTCAATGCCGTAATCGCCAAACGCACGCCTCTGCAGCTCGAGACGGTATTGGAGTCGCATCAACGCTGGGTATGGGACTGCGCCTTTTCGGCTGACTCGGCGTACCTTGTCACCGTCTGTTCCGACCATTACGCCCGCTTGTGGGAAGTCGCGAGCGCGACCATCATACGACAATACAACGGACACCATCGAGGCGCGGTCTGCGTGGCGCTGAACGACTATTCGAGTCCACCTTAGGCAGCGCGAACAAGGGAAAACTACGGCACAGTGGTGGGAAAGTAGAAGAGTGCCTACGGCGCGAACCTCCACAGCGGCGTAAATGGGTAGCGAGCGACGAGTTAGCGGCCGCTTCACAGCGCCACACGATCGGACACCAGGCCAAAAGAGGAGCTGGTCGACCTTTGATGATATGATTTTTATTCCTTCGGCGTCTTGCATTTGGTTGGCATTGACGACGTTTCGATGATACCCAAGACGTACAGTAAATCAATGACTTGAGACAACTCGAGCATTACACATCCTGTCTCCCAATTGTCAAGCAGCTCCTTGAGACAATCGGTGTGATGTCGATCATCGGTTCGACCTCTATAACATACGGCAGCTAACCATCATTGCTGCGGGCTCAAGTCTCGCGTCGTCGGCTTCAAAAACCGCATTGATTCTCCCCCCTTGATTCTCCCCAATTGAAATGCTTTTTGACTGCCAGGGGTCCATGCGAATGGCGTCGCTGGTTATTTAGGCTTCAACAACTCTGAGGACGAAGTTGACCACAACCGCACCCAGGAGCGCAAGAGCCAGGACGCTGGGACCGATGCGGTCATCGAAGCCACCTTGGCCGCGCTGCCGGATGCTCTTCGCTCGCCAGTGGAATGTGAACAGTGCGTAGAGCATAGCAGCCATGGCCACAAGCGTGAACAAGCCAGCAGAGATGCGGCCTACAGAGTCACCAAAATTGAGGAGGCCAACTGCGAGGCCGCCCAGGATGACAGTAAAGTTGAGCCATGAGAGGAAGGTACGCTCGTTGGCGAAGAAGACCTTCGGTTCGACGCGGGTGGGGAGGGCTATCCGCTTGCCTGCAGCGAGAGTCAGTTCAGTGCCTTCGGCGTAGTTGTTGATGGATAATATATACCGTTTGAGGTCTGGAGGAGAGGCTGAGAAGACATGATGCTTTCTTACTGGTGTCCGAAGCTGTTAAGGCGCACTTGATGTTGTTGAGGCTCTGCAAGAGACTTTCTGTGGAAGTGCGACCCGACCCTGGAATGGGAGCGTGAGCGGGCGAGATGTTGGGTCTCGGAGTGGTAGGTCTGGCTCCGGTAGTTCGGAGGATGACCTTGCCAGAGGGCGAAGTAACAGTCTCGATACCACTGCTTACGCGAGTTGGGCGTCTCGGGAAGCGAGCGGGATTGGTATCTGCTCTAGCTGGAGGACTGATCGGATGCTGGCTCGAGACCAGATGGTTTCTCGGGGTATCCAGTCGCGAGTGTGCTCGGAAAGTGGGCGAGCTGCAATATGCGGGAGCCCGAGGAGAGCAATTGGTTCAGGTCGAGCTATCAGACGGGTAGCAAGAAGAGATTGGGACGGATAGCTGCCGCACGTGAGGGGGACGGAGCTGGAGCTGGATGTATAGCTATTGGTATGCGATAAATAAACATATACCGTCAAGGTTCTGGACCAGAAGTGCTGATGCTAGAAATTGTCAAGGCAAGACCGCGGATTGAGAGAGAGGCAGTCAAGGTTTCCGTCTCTCGAGGCACGCGCAGAAGCAAGTTGAAAATCGTCGAAAGGAAGCTGCGCTCTCAGCTTAAAAACTGCTCGGGCTCTGAAGTTGCTGGTAGCGGGGCAGGCGCGCATGCTCAGCTCGAGTCTTCTCATTCGCTGCAGCAACCAACACAGGCGAAGGCTTGGGTTTTGGAGCTCGTTAGGGCGCGGCCTGCGCGTGGGACTGGCATGTCGCTGCTGCTACGGGGGCTCAAAGCGCCCATCGTGGCGGTTTCTGATCGAGCGGCGTCATTAACAGACTCGCACACGCAAACCTCTTTGTTTACGGCATCGTCGTCCCTCTCACTGACACCAACTCCCACCCAACCTGCCTCCTCCTTTGGTCCCACGGTAGATTGCTCAAAGTCCAGCTTCCGAAACGAACCACGACCGAGCAATTTGTCTTCACCTGTTGCAGCGTTCAAGCGACGTCTTGCACATAGAGCGTCCATTCTCTCATTTACAAGCAGACGCAGGGAAAAGGCGACAGAAGTACTTTCTGCAACCGAAGGACTTTCGACCCCCATCCCGGCATTGCCACCCTCTTCAGACCAGCTTCCTTTGTCCGGTACTTTGGTGGTGCCTGAGGACAACGATCCTGCTCTGTCACCGCTAAAGGCAGCAATCCGTACATCTACTCTGTCTTCATCAGAATTTCAGCCTCTTCATCAGAGTATACGCGAGAAACAGCTTCAGCGTCAACACCTAAGGGGATACTTGCACAAGTCCAATTCTCTTCAGCACACTTTCATCAAAATGGCTAGCGAGAACGCACAGCCTCCTGTGTCATACTCTCGTCTACAAGAGCTCACGACTGCGGTAAGTAGAAGTGCAACACCGAGAGGGCTCTCACTGACGGCAACAGGCATGCGAACGAGCTCTTGGCTCCGTCACATCGTACAACCACGCCTCGACCGAAGAGTGGAATACGACCATCATCAACACCATTCTCGGCACGCTAGTTGAAGAAACGACACCATCCGCCGGCGATGGAACACACGCTCAGCCTCCTTTCAAGTATGTCGTCAACTCCACTATCATCCAACACGCTCCTATCAGCTCGGGAGGGTCCACAGATCCTTCGGTGACAGGCAGACGGGGCATGCACGCCGCCAGTGGTGCATTCTGGAGCAACGAGAAAGATGGTATGTGGAGCTATAAATATTCGGCTGCCGAGAACAAGGGCCTCGACGTCGTTGTCGGCATCATTTGGATATACGTAGGTGATCAAAGATGAGCTGGTCACAGAGCCATTCATCCGCCAAGGCTTGACTGCGAACAGTTGTGCAGGCAGGTAATCACAGTCGTGACGGTACAACACTTGTACAGGGTGGGCTCTGAACGTGGCTACAATAAACGTTTGACAGTTTTCCGAATCTCGGATGAGAGATCGGCAGCACTCACGAGTCACGTCAAGACGAATTGGGTGTCGAATTTTAGATACACCAAAATGTGAAAGTTATTGGATACTCATTGGGGATGGCCCGCGAAGACCTACACGTCTGCGTAAGAGGCCCTCCTCGGCTATGCGGCTGTGCAACTTCAGGTGACCTGGCTCAAAGCTACTCTACAGGATCTGTCGTCTGGCAGGCCTTATTGGACGAGCCCACGTTGAGAGACATTGGACTAAGCCCTGATTAGGACCGGCTAATAGATCTGCTCGCGACACACTGGACATGCAGGTACCATGTATGCTAGCTGCTGTTTCTGAAACCCCATGCTGGAGGCAGCCGAGTCATACCAGTAAATGCTCTCAGCTACTTCGATGGACAAACGACGCAGCGACTGCTCCGTAACATCCTATTCGCGAATCGCGATCGTATCGAGGGCATCCGCGAGCGCTCAGCTAACTCTTTCATGGCCAGAATGACATGGCTGCTGAAGACTCGCCTAAGCGCTCGACTAGTTGCATAAGCGAAAGACTATCGTGCAAAGTAGCGAAGGCCAGTCGTGAACCAGGACAGAAAGAGCGTCGTGCATATTCGGCTGATGCAAGAAACGAGCAGCCGGTCGGTGACCAGGTTGAAAGAAGGCCGGATTGGACAACACCCTGCCCCAGAACGTTCTAGTTCAGCAGCAAGAGCCGCGCAAGGCTGCAAGGGCGTCCCATAACGGCTGCCTAAAGATGCCTGTTTCGACGTCGACCATAGGTACAATCGCTGCAGATCCCGCCTATGCTTACCCTTCAGCGATGGGTACCCAACACTCGAGCCGCTCGAAGTGCTTGGGCCCGACTAGAAGGAAACGGGTGCAAGTGCTGTTAAATCCATTGACCTGGCGATTGTCTGAAGCAATTGAGGATGTCTGACGCATGATTGGCAGGAGTCATTGTCCCACAAAGCTGAGGACTGAATCAGGAACATGGATTATTTGCAGCTCGGGGAATTTTCGATCGCGCATCGTGTTTCAGGGCATGCTAGTGCTCCGTGATAGACAGCGAAGCCGTTAAAACGAGAAAAAGAGCCCACAGCTGGGATAGCGACTTCGCCTTGAACTCAATTGGTAACAAGCACGATGACGAGGCCGCAGTCGAACGCTATTGATATGAAGAGAGAAAAACGGGGCAAGCGGCTCTCAACATGACAGCTCTAGCGCTTCGACTGACTCGAAGTTCTCCTTGGAGCCGGAAGCTATGGTCTGGAACCGGTACATTAATTCCACTTCCAAGTTGGAGAGTCAAAGCCTTATTCCGTGCTGTAGCACCGGCTAATCGTCCTCGCGCCCCAGATGAGCCGGTCGACAGGCAGTTCCGTTACTTCTCCGTGTGAGTCCGAGCGCCGAGCAGTCATCTGTACGCCATAGCTCGATCCGGAGGAACATCAGATATGGCGGAAGTGATTAACTCCGGCACATGGCTGAAGTGGACTCAACTAGGTACAAACCCCTCGAGCTAGAAACGTCATCCCAGCGCACCCGGGCGCCTGCCCGGGCGGGTGCCGAAGAAGCTTGCGCTTTTCACCACTGGGAGAAATCTCTTCTAGTTTCAGCTCTCATGCCCTTCGAATCTTGACATCAAACCTCGACCCGAGCAACACTATCCCGGCCCCGCACGAATTTTGAAGGCGGAAATCATCCCACAACACACATCCCTCATCCCCAGTCCAGCTGAGCCTATTGCTACTTGACGTGGCGCGTACTTTGTATTAAGGTATAGGTGCGAGATCATACTGTAACCCGTATAGCGTTACTCGGTTCGTTCACTGATTCACAGCAGGCACCATCCCCCCCTGGCATGTTCCGATACACGACCCACCCCTGTCAGCATGCACAGTAGTTCGATTCGCTTACAGCCAACAACCCAGGGGCACCCCTGTTCACCTAGCTGGTGGGGCTTCAGGGCACCTCTTTTCGTGCGAGTCAAGCCCAAGAGGCGCTTTGAGCCCTCTCATTTGGCCCAGTCAAAAGCTCTTCTATACCAGATTCGACCGCCTGGTCGTGCCGATCTTGATCTTTCAGGCGAGCTCGAGTCGCCCTCGCAAGCTGGTACCTCTCTCCACTGTGGACAAGTAAGCGAATACCGGCGTTCTTGATGTGCTTCTGGCGCACGACAATCATAGGCTCTGCCTTTGATGCTCACGCTACTCTGCTGCTGAGTTCAGACCAGCGCTCATCAAGATGCAGTCCACCTAAACTCTACGCGCTGTTCCCGCACATTCTGCGTGCTTCGTCGCTCCATTCGAGGGTTCTTGCCTCCATGGACCGCCATACGCAATCCTTCACAGCCAAGTGATGCTCTCCCAAGCCTGCTATGCGGTCCACCTGTAATTCTTCCGACAGGCTTCGTCCCTTTGGACGGGAAGCACCTCGCCGCTCCGTCGTATGTGGTTCGCCATTACTCTTTTTAGCACATGCAAGTGCCAGCCAAGTCATCAACAGCCTTCCGAAAGCTCTAAATTGACGCAAGCAATAGCACTCAACGGCGAGCGCTTCATCTTAGATCTGGCCCACGGCTCGAGCCTTGAGACCTTCACTTCGGGCCCTGACCCCAACCTTGGTACCTCGGGCTCCTCAGCCCGGGCTCCTCGCTTGCATTCTCCTCTGCCCTAGTACATGCTTAACTATCCCCTTCAGCCCACGAAATCTACCTCGAGATCGACGTGTGCTGAAGACACTTCCTGTGCACTGCAGCTAGCAGTAGAGGTCCACTAGGGGTTCATGATTTTTCGTTACCTGAAGGCTCCTCATCCACTTGTGCTCGCATTCGCGTGCTTGGTCTCAACAAGGCAGTCCCCAAAGGCCAATTGACTTTGCTTCTCTGGGAACTGCACCGTTGCGTTGCGTTCAATACAATTCCACCTGTCAACCAATCAGCATCCGGACCCGACTTCTATTTCGGCTCTTTATCAACGCCAACATCGCCATCCCAGGAGCCCTGCCCCTTTCTAGAACCACTGGCCTTTGTCTGTACTTCCCCAGCACGTTTTCAGCTCGTGTCCCTCGCAAAGTCACTGGCTCTTACGGGCAGGCCCGACTCCCGTCGCTCTGTCGATCATTGCTTCTGTGGTTTTATTTGTTGTCTGGTCTGGCCGCTTGCTGAGTACGCATCACGTCAAGCCATATGCCTCCGGGAGTATTTGAATCATGTCAGTTGCCACTCAGACGACTCTCCAGTCCAGTGCGATAGTCTCATACACCATGTCCGAGTCCGGTTCGGAGCAAAGCAAGGTAGAGAAAAAGAGGTGTGTTAGCTCTTGTTGCCCGCAATTTCGTCGTTGCTGATGAAGTAGGGAATACAACCGCAACGCTCAGCGGGTCTTCCGTAAGTCGTCTCCAGGCACCGCAGAGTACGAGGGAACCAATGAGAGTCTATGCTAACATGACAAGGTCAACGGCGCAAGGAACACTTGACCAAGCTCGAACAAGCGCAACGCGAGGCCAATTCATTACAAAGCGAAGAGGTTGAACGTCTTCGAAGGGAAAATCAAGCCCTCCTCGCGGAGAACGAGACGCTCAGAGCATCGTATGGCTCGCAGACTAGTTCACCAGGTCCATCAATCAGTCCACGAGATGTCAGAGCATCGCCATCCAATTATCTACCGTATGGCCCACCAGCAGCGTTTCTTGCTGCCGCGGCGACAACGACACCGGTGTCGACAGTGCCAGTGCCGGGATCTGCTTCCACCATGATGCAAGATACGGGTAATCTGGTGGTTGTTATGCCCAACAACATTCAAGAGATTCGGCGCTCGCTGCACCGACTATTCGCGCCTCTTTTGGATATTCCAGTCATCTCGAACCCTCGAAGCCACTTAGCAACGCTGCAAGCAATGCAGCCGACTCTGCCTACCTCGCTGAAACCGACGGCGTTGCAGCTCTCGACGCCACACCACGCTTATATTGATATGATTCCATCGGCAACCCTTCGAGATCGGCTTGTTGCTGTGGGTGCCACCCACGCAAACGCCTTTTTGATGGAAGTCTGCACGCTCGCTTGCGAGATCGACGACACCGGACAGATGACGATATGGGGCGAAGACTGGCTGAATGAGTTCTCGTGGGAATTCTCTGCTTTGGCACTCGAGCGATACGGTGGCTGGCTTTTGACAGCAGAATGGGGTCAGCGAGCAAACTTTTGGCGACGGCAGAGAGGCGCTCCGATCCTCCCAGGCTACGATTGACCGCTGCAAGCCGACTCCACAATTGCCCGCACGTCTAGGATGCAAACGTCAGCTTCAAGGGCAAGCTATATGGGTGCGTTGACCTCCCTCATGTCGTTACCCGCAGCCTCCTACGGCTGCGTGATTTCGACTGGAGTCCTCCGCAAGCAGACCGTCTTCTGCAAAGGAGCAGGAACGTGCTACCCCTTCCGTGACCGCACAGGCTGTGGCACAAGCTGTCGAGACAGTTAGATTTCTGTATCATCAAAGACGGCCAATAATGTAATGTATGTTTGAGCGTTCGTCCTACGTGAGCAGGATTTTCCAATTGCGCGTTCGCATACCCCGGGAGCTGTCACCGGGAGCGTGCTCGTCTTCCAAGGGACAAGTACACCTGGTCAATTTCGGTGCAGCAGAGCACAAGCGGGCAGTTGGCAGCCCGCCAGATGGGCTTGACAGGCGGACGTGACATGCACGAAAGTCGGATGCAATCTCGCGTTGTCGCGATCTCACGATCTGTATCAAGTCCCACCATCAAACCAGGCCAACGGCAAGTTCCCACCGCCCAGAGAATCCTTGTAAATCCCCGTTGGCGCCTCAGCCATAGCCAAATCCAACGTCGTGCATGACGCCTCCACAAGGGGGATATCACCCAGCCCCACGATCTTTCACCCAAGAACACCAAATCTTTACATCCTTGCAGAGTCCACATTGCCGAACCATGCGAAGGGCTCCCACGACTGCAGGACAGCTCGTTCGCGGCGGACTTGGGCGGCTGGGTTAAGATTGGGGATGCGCAGGGTGGCAGGGCATTTTACGTACATCGAAGTCGTGGCCCACACTCGGCGATCTCAACGGTTGGGGGCATCGAATGACACAGCCTCAACGGAGTGCGACTGCGTACTTGAGAGTATCCTTCCAAGGATGTTGCCCGGCAGTGTATGGGGGCCACAAGAGCTGCAACCATGTCGAGGAAATTGATATGGCTGTCGGCCACTGCGACTTGACATCCTTCAGTGTGGCCGATGCTAGGCGCGCGGGGGCTGGTCATTCAGCCTGGACTTCAGAGGTGAAGGGGAGACGGGTTTCCCGAGGGGAGAGTACTGACTCGCCCCCAAGTTCACTCCATACAGCCATCGACACGGAAGCACTATGATGGACTCTGCCAGAGACAAGGAGAATGCGAACCTCCGTGGAATCTTTGATGCAGCACAACGAGTCCAGCGCAGGAAGCATGCTACCAGCATGTTTGCCAAGCCAACACACATGCCTCGTCTGCCGCCGTCATCGTCGCCGGACTGTTGAAGCCGCCGCAAAAGGTCAGACACCTCTAATGCCACTTGAAGCTGTGCATAGTGCTGTATTGCTACCGACTAGAGGGTGAAGTGAAGGGCGTTTCGGCGACCTACGTTCAAGCTCTGACGCCAATAATGCCAAAACCTCGCTTCCACGCAGACTTGCGGAGAACGCATTGCGATCAAGATGGCCTTGTTTGTATGCCACAACAAATCGATACGGCCAAGTTACCTCCCACAAACCTCCTGGTGGAGCGCAGCTGCGGAAACATAGTCCCTGCAACTGGCGTACGAGAGCAATGGCACCGGGACTTCGCGTATACGAGCTTCAATGCCGCAATTGCCGACCTAGCCGAGCGAGAGTCTGTGCTGCGCGCATTACGAGAGTCACGAGCGCATGTCCACGAAGCTGGGGGCGCGTGGTTGAAAAAGCATGACCCTTAATCTATGAACAGCGGGCTTTATCAAACACGCGGTGGCCAAACCTGAAGCATGCGGGGCGGCGCGCTAGCTAGGATGTGCGAATGCCTGTCTGTCTAGTGGTTCTGCCGTAGATAATCGATAGGATTTATCATCCGTGCAAATTTCCCGAGCGAGCGAGTCCCTCATGGGTCAAAGGTGCGGTCGCTTCTATTCTAGTCCTCGCTGTCGGAGGTTTTCGAATGAGACCAGACTTCGGCGCCGCCATGAGACTTCTCAGTCTTGGTTTCGGCGCGAGAGACGAGAAACATGTTTCCTTGGATGCGCGTTAGACTGAAGGGATCGACACACGTGGACGGCGAGGCTGTTTAAGAGGTCGGTCTCGAGAGGCGCATCGATCTGCTCCGAGAATTGGATGGCATTACTCTGTTACAGTCGAACACGCGGCAAAGCGCCAGCTGCAACCAGTAGCCTCGTCCCTCATTGCCTTGTACTCGTAGCCTTGCCGTTGGATCTGGCAGCCGCGATGCACAGTTGATTGGCTCTGACCACGCCTAACGCCGGGCGCTTGGCCCCTGAAACAACGTACCTTAATTTCACTTCTCCCCCCCTTATGCCACCCTTGGCGACTTCTGCCTATCATTTTCCTCAACACCAACGAGTCGTGAGACGTCCCGAGTGTATCAGCATCCACTCCCTGTGCTCAGTTCGGCGCCAGTTGTGTTACTCTATCCAGATGCCGCTGACAAGGACCAGCCCGAACCTTGAGCATGATCACCTGTCCATTGTCGCCCTTTTGCATCTCGTGAGCATGCATGCGTGCCGCGTGGCCATCTCTCTCAGGGTCAAGGTCGCTTGTATGGCCGCCGTGCGTTCTCGTCCTTCGAGAAACAGCCGCATGCGAAAGCCAGCCCTCGCTCTGACGGTCTGCGCCAGGTCCAGGCGATCGTTGCTATCTTTGTCACCATCAATAGTCCTGAGCGCAAAGTGGCTCGTAACATCGTTCTCGTCTCCGCGATCGGCACTGTCACCCAAGGCGTCACCCCGGTCCCGCTCGAGACTCGTGTGCTAGCCCCATCGAGACTTTGTCGACCGCGATAGCTACCCTGGCCCGGCTTACCGGCGAGCTGATCCTGGCCAAGCGCTAACAAAACGGGTCCTATGAAACATCAAACCCTGAACATCACCCGAGACCCATTCCCATGGTCGCGCCGCGGCCTTGCAGGTATTGGCTACTCTTACTCGAACAGCATCTTGACTCTGGTGGGTTGCCACGCGTGAACCAGCATGTCACTCTGTTCTCTGGTGTCTCTGTCTGTGAAATGCCAGGGCCGTATCCTAGGATTGTTTCATGATACCCATTTCCCCCAGGGTCGCGTGCGCTCTCACCCAAGTTCTGGACTTACAACCTCTCTACCTGAGAAGTACAACTATCTCTCACAACACTTCCTAGCCACACGTGGGCCATGTCACTCATTTTCGTTTGATTCTGCCAGGCTGTGGGGGCTGGTTAACATTCACTATTCACGACGCGCAGCATCCATCGCGAGGCTGTGTATTCTGTTCTTCTTCTTCTCCTCCAGACAATGCATTCTTGCTTCGCATTGTTCTCACCCTCATTGTGCTGAGCACACCCCTTTGTCCCTCTTTGACTTTCTTTGAATCACTCCTTTGTTCGTCGGCTGCGCCAGAACCCTCGAGACACTTATACCTAGGCCTTCCGACTTCGCCGGCGCCGACTTTCTTTGACCACTGTCCCACATAACTTTGTTTGTACAGAACCATCAGAACGCTGGACGATCACATTACCAACAGACGTCGTTTCGCTGGTCGAAACCAAGGCTTTCCCGCCTGCTCATATTCGATTCTTAACCAGGACCCCCAGAAAACCACAAACATCATGATGCAACGAATTTCACCTGTCTTCAGAGTCCTTCTGGGACTGCTGATGATCAGCCAAGTCTTTGCCCATTCGTGGGTCGAGCAACTCAACGTCATTGCGCCCAATGGCACCATGGTTGGAGCCCCAGGCTTCCCTAGAGGTAATTCGCCTCGAGGGGCTGGTTTCAACGAGGCCCAGATGGTCCACCTTCTTCCTCCTGGCCGTACTGAAGTTCTTCCACAAGACCCGATGTGCGCCCCAACCCAGCAACAGTTCGAGACCAACCCACGAAGTCCTCGACTTCAAGCGTCGGCCGGTCAAGCCGTTGCGCTGCGCTACCAAGAAAACGGCCACGTGACCCTGCCCCAGAACACCCCCGGCAAGCCTCAGAACGGTGGCACCATCTTCGTCTACGGCACCCAAAACCCTCAGCCCAACGACTCACTCATGTCTATCCACAGACAGTGGACCGCGGATGGTAAGGGTGGCGACGGACGTGGTCGTTTGATTGCCACCTCCAACTTCGACGACGGCCAGTGCTACCAGATCAACGGCCAGCAGATCTCGCAGCAGCGCGTGAAGGAGTTTCCCCACCAGAACTCTCTGCCGCAAGGTGCCGACCTGTGGTGCCAGTCCGACATTCTCCTCCCTGCTGACTTGCAAGCCGGCAAGCCCTTGACCCTCTATTGGGTCTGGGACTGGCCAACCATGCCTGGCACCCCTGGTCTTACGCAAGGCAAGCAGGAGATCTACACCACGTGCATGGATATCGACATCCAGGCCGGCGCCAACAACCAACAAGGCGTCCAGAACGCGCAATCCTTCAACTTTGTGCAGCAGGACATCGGCAATGCTGCTGTGCCTGCGCAGATGAAGCAGCTTGGCAACGCCAACGCGGTGCAGAACCCTCAGATGATCCCTTTCCAGGGCCAGTCTGTCAGCGGTGGCTCCAGCGCAGGTGCTTCTGGTTCCAGTAAGCCTTCTCCTTCCGCCTCCGACCCTTCCAAGACCTCTGCAGAGCAGACTCCTGCTGCCCCGGTCACTACTTCGGCTGCTGACAAGTCTGGTGCAGATTCTAACCCTGCGCCCCCTCAACAGGGTGGCCAACAGGGTGGCCAACAGGGTGGTCAGCGAGGTGGACAGCAGGGCGGAGCTCCTCCCCCAGTCACTCCCATTCCCGGTCAAGGCCAGGGTCAAGGTCAAAGTAATGGCAATGGCAATCACCGCCCAGGACAAGGCCAGAACGGTGGCTTTAGCGGAAACAATGGCAACGGCCAACGAGGAGGTGATAACGGATCTCGCCCTCCCGGCGCAGCCGCTCCCAGTATGTCATCCACCCTCATGACCGTCACGGCACCAGATGCAGCCATCGTCGCTTCCACTCTGGACTCCTTACTAAACCCATCTTCAGGCGTCTTCGCTGGCCAGCCCGAGTTCGGCACTGGGACTGGCACTTCTATCAACGGTGCGGGTAACCGACAGCCCAACAACAATGCCGGTTCCAACGCCGGTGCCAACGCGCAGGGCCAGCAGAAATCTGACCCCCGTCCGTCTGCGCCTGCCACACAGACCGTCGCGAACGTTCCGGCCTCAATTACGGCTGCCAACGCCCCAATGGTCACTGTCACTCAGGCTTCTGAAGTCACCGTGACGGAGTTCGTCACGCTCGGTCAAAAAAGGAATGAGAGTGAGTCAGCCCTATCTCCTTCTGCTTCCACCCCAACCCAGGAGGAGAGTTCCACAAGCGCCAGCAGCAGCAGCGTCGCATCGATGACATCGAGTCCCCCTACGACCACGACTTCAACAAGCGAGACGTCCACATCAACCTTGTCAGAGACCTCCTCTCCGGCCGTCACGCCCTCCCCATCCGCTAATCCAGATGATGATCCTATCATCGTTAAGCCCATCAAGACCCACAAGCGACAATACGAAGGCGCCCGCACTCCTCGCAACTTCAACGATACTGGGAACGCTGCTGCTTCTGCTGTTGCTACTGGCCACTGGCCCACCTCCCACCCCCTTCGCAATGCCACCCAACCCAACCTTCATCGCACAGGCACGCGCGCTAACACCTTCCGTCCAGTCCCCACCGGCACTGCCGTCGCGCCACCATGCTCCAAGACTCACCCGGCCTACCAGCTGCGCGCCCGCGCCCCGCTGTACATCCTGCCCAACAGTGAGGATTCGCCGGCGGGTGCGTGCTGAAAAGCCAAAGCCAATGCCAATGCCAACGGCCAGGGTTTGACAGAGAGAGAAAATAACGCGAAGCACAGCAGTTTCCAGACGGTTTTTGAAACGTACGACATGACGGCCTTTTCATTTTCCCTCGATTTTGAGGATTTCGATTCTTCCGACGATTTGATACCCCCCTTCCCCCAACTTTTCACGGAACACATACATACATGCATGAATGAACGCACGGGTGGATTGCAAAGAACCTCATGTCCTATCTAGCCCTGGTGGCAAAGGTCTGAGCTCGTTGCATCATCCCCTGCCTGTCCATACTATGCATACATGCATGCATGCCAAAACCTCCCTCACGTTTTCAATGATCTTTTTATGCATAGCGAACGGCGTTGGGCAAGGGCAAGCGGAGGGATTTTGGACAGAGAGAGAGAGGCGTTTGGCGGAAAAGGATTAGGAGTTTACATCACGCACGCATACGCATACGCATGACGGGATCGGGGCGTCGGAATTCGGAATTGCATTCGATCTGCAGACATGCTCTCTCTATCTTCCAGGCAAGGCGTTTCGGGCATTTCACATTTGCATTTCGCATTTGCATTTTGCAGGTCAGAAGGGCCAGAAAGACCAACAGGCTTGTTTTGGTTACCCCCCCGGGGGGGGGGGGGATCGGATCTTTGCAGCGAGTTTTGTGGACGCCGGACGTTTTTTTCTTCTTTTGGACTTTTTGCGATTAGCGGGTGTGGGTGCGGATGCGGATGAGGATGTCTGCCGTGGGATCACCGCATGGGCAGCTGGAAGACAGAGAAACAGTGCAGAACGAGACAAGGCAGAAGGAGGCCCAAAGGATAGACCTAGACCCCAGCGAGACACCTTGTGGGTTGACTGCGCTGCAGAGCATCATCCTCAGGTCTACCTCAAAGAAGCGAACAAGCGCTGCTAGCTAGCACTCTTGTTCCCGACATCTGTCGGTCCAAAAAGTCAGACGAACGGGCGCGCCGGGAGAAAGACGAAGACGAAGTCCTTCATTCATTCAACCCAATTCGTTCATTGCAGTTGCTTCATTCTGAAAGTGTCGTCGTAGTACCTGAACGACTTTCTCTCTCATGATTTCGCCATTTTTTCTCGCCAGGCCATCGTTATCTGGCACACCTACGTTTGCTCTTGAACGGAATTTGACAAGACAATGTCATGCTTGGCCTCCAGGCCGCCTCTCGCATTCGACTTTCTCGCGGCTCAGCGCATCTAGTGCTCTTTTCGTACCCAACCAACCCTGCCTTTCTCAGAAAGACGCAAAAGTAGCGAGCCGTCGGCGCTATCCACGAACCCCTGACCTGGCCATGTGGTAACCTCAATAATAGTAGCCATCGTCAGAACGCGCTACGCACCTCGAACCTATCCTCCAACCACGCACTTAATTCGCGCTTCAGAGCTGCCGGCTCCTGACTGGCAAGGCGCTCAATCCACCGCAGCGCCAGCACGTTCAGATCCTCGCGCGGCCCGCGTGGCAGTTCTTCAGGCGAGATGTTAGCTGTCAGTCTCGATGCGGGTACGCTGCAACGCCACGCTTCAAGGTTTAGTGCGTCCTGATCCGTCAGTCCGGTGGGCGAGGCGGCCGAGAGCTTGTAGGTGATGAAGGGCGCAAGATCGGCGAAGGTGGTCTGGTTTGCGTCGAGGAAGGGAGAGGAAGGTGCGTGGCGGCGGTGGTTGATGACGGGGTGCAGCCTTGGGTCGGTGAGGGGGCCATCGAGGTTGAGCGGCGAGGTGGACGGCTCGTGGTGGATGCGGGATAGGTTGATGGGCGTAAAGCCGGAGTGTTGGCGAGGGTACGAGGGGGGAGTCTGTGGAATCTCGCCTTCTTCGGGGCTGTCGTCGGCGGAGCTGTTGTACGCTGCGGCTTCAGCTGAGTCAGAGATAGAGTCGCCATTGGCGTTCTCGCCGTCGACAACGTGATCAGACTCATGGTCGTCGCCAGCGCGATCGATGCAGAAGTCGCAATAGAAGTTTCGATCCGAGAGTAGGGATGAATGGTCGGTGCAACAGTTGGCATGAAACCAGCCAACCAAGCACAGATCATTGCTGCATCGGACAATATCGGTGCCGTCTGCGGGCTCTCGGCAATAGCAAATGAAGATGATCCTATTGTCCCAAGGGACAACGTTTTCCTCCGTCTGGTTGTCGTTGGACTGAGCGGTTGCTTGCTTGGACAATGCCCATTGCTGTTTCTGATCTGATCTTGTGAGGCGCTGTTTCTTGTAACGCTCTTGCATCTCCTCAAGATCTTTAGGTCGGTGGATGCGCAAGTTCGACTCATCCATGCTGGGGGATTCTGGCGCTGCAGCAGCTACACATAGAAGGTTAGAACTGGTGATCCGTTATGCTGGTAGTGACTGACCTTGCTGACGCTTTTCGACCTGGCGAAGAATGTCGACCGTCTCCTGGTTTCTCTCCTGGCGCAGGCGACGGCTTTCGATCGAGTTGGAGGGTAGGTCGGAGGGCACCAGTGGACGGTCATCAGGAACACCATCCACAGCCCCATACTTGTACGGCAACCCTTTGCGCGCTTTCTCTTTGAAAATGTTCTCCAGACATTCCAGGCCGTAGTGAACTTCAAGCCCGTTGCGACACAGGAGAGTGACAAAATAGCCACCGTGGCCCACGGCCTCCAGGCAACCAGGACCTGAGCAGATCAAGCTGTGTCCAGGCTTCCGAACACGACGGAGACGCAGCAAATGACCACCTGTTCCTGTCAGTAGAGCTCTCGGATATTCTGGAAGCACGTACTGAGCACGAGGGAATGTACATGACGCTTGTGTTGAAGCTCGGAAGTACGGTGTTGGAACAATTTCGCATGGCGGCGTTGGGACAATGTCGCAGCTGGTGGCTTGCAGAGACCATTCTCTGTAAGGACAAGGCCGCCGAGGAGGATGTTACACTGATTCATCAAGATGTGTTCGACGCTGTTGAGGTACTGGAGCCCAAGTTCGACAGGCTGCGGAAGGGTCGATGCGGTGATGGGAAGCCCTTGAAGCCTCTTGTAGAGATCGCGTCGCGCTCCCCGGATGAAGTCTTTGATTTGTTGGTCATCCCAGGTCGCTCCGTTCTCAGCAGCATCAGGCAAAGTGCCATGCGTGCTGATGCCGGCAGCCTCGTGGTTCAAGAAAAGCGCACCCGGGGTCTCCTCATACTTCAATCGACTCGTTCTCGTGGTTGTGCTGCCTGAGTACATGGCAAATGTTGATTTAATGTTTGGTAGAAAGATGGAACGCTGCGGCTGGCGTAGGAAGGTGAGGTACTCTGTCGGACCGTCCGCATGGCAACGAGGGATGGAATAGACACGCACCCAAATTTGACGGATTTTCAGAATCACGCGCGTACCACATCGTCGTCTCCCCTATTCCTCTATTGACTCGGTGTGCAAATAGACCAAACTTTGCATCAGGAGAAGATCAAGCCTGCAAACTCCTTCCGTTTACTCTCCTGCGTCACTCACAGCAATTGAGGGGCCGTACTCCCTTCCCCGAAGCGCATTCAGGGTATTCGGGGCGCCAAGTATACTGATGACTTACTCCTATATCACGCTGCTGCCGCCAATTCGACATTTTCACAGGAGCGTCAGTCTCACAAATGCCCTCGCAACATCTCCGGTACCCTCGAGTCACCTGCATGTCTGGAACACGATGTAGACGCGGATCGACTGATCATGAGGCTGGACCAACGCACAAGTCCACGAAGGCACCCCTCAGGATTGCTTTGGGCCATCGAGTCTGCGTTGTCGACTGTACAAATACTATAGGTAATGATGAAGATGAAGATGAAGTCAAGTTGCTCGTATCGCCACTCGTATTGCGATACGACTACGGCTACATTGTACGGCACGGCGGGAGACCGCGGAACGTTGACCTGGCCAGGATCCACTTTGCATCAGATCACGCTGACTCAACCATCTCCTGATCGACTACCTCTAGAATGGCATGGGAAAATTGCAGTGGCACCACTGAATTAACGCTTTTGCGCAATTTATTCTTTTCCTAGGGATTGCAAACAAGTCGTTGACTACCTTTGCGTCCTGCTACCATCCTCTCCTTGCCGCGCAAATCCAACCGCAGTCTCTCCTTCAGTGCCGTCCCTCCCTACATGTCCGCCACCACCACCATGCCAGCCCGCACACTCCCTACCATTCCAGCCGAAGAAGTCCGGTCGCATAACACTGAGAAGTCCTGCTATGTTACTATCGACGAGCGTGTCTTTGATGTCACCTCCTTCATCGAGGACCATCCGGGTGGCGGCGACCTGATCCTCGAATACGCTGGCAAGGATGTAAAGCACATAATGAAGGACGAGGTTTCCCACTTACACACCGAAGCCGCCTACGAGATTCTGGAAGACTCACTGGTCGGCTTCGTCGCCACTGAGCCCGTCCTCAATGCCGCCACCAAAGCCTCACCCGCCAGCGACGTCGTCCCTTTGCCACCCACCACCAACGGCGTCAGGAAACTACAAAATGAAGGCGTGTCTACCTCACCCCTCTCTACTCGTCCCGTCTTCGCTACTACCGGCATGTCCTCCGCCGAAGACCTCTCTAAAGAGACTGATCTGGGAGCCGACTATCGCACGCATAAATTCCTGGATCTGAACCGTCCGCTCTTCCCTCAGATGCTCTTCTCTTCCTTCAGCAAAGAGTTCTATCTAGAACAAGTACACCGTCCCCGCCACTACAAGGGCGGTGCCTCGGCTCCTCTCTTCGGAAACTTCCTCGAGCCTCTATCCAAAACGGCCTGGTACGTCGTGCCGTCGATGTGGTTACCACCCGTCTTCTACGGTACCTATCTGGGTATGACACACCTGCCCTCCACCGCCGCCCCAGCCTACTGGCTCCTCGGCCTCTTCCTCTGGACGCTCGTCGAATACCTGCTACACCGCTTCCTTTTCCACGTCGACCAGTACATGCCCGACCATCCGTACGCCCTGACAGTGCATTTCCTCCTGCACGGCATCCACCACTACCTCCCCATGGACCGCTACCGGCTCGTCATGCCGCCGACCCTCTTCTTCGTCCTCGCTCTTCCCTTCTACAAGCTGGCACACACCGTCTTCTGGTACGACTGGTACGCTGCCGTTACCGTCTTCAGCGGCGGTATTTTCGGCTACGTCTGCTACGACTGCACGCACTATTTCCTGCACCACAAGAAGCTGCCCGCCTGGGTGCAGGAGTTGAAGAAGTACCATCTGGCGCACCACTACCAGAACTTTGAGCTCGGGTAAGTCCCCATCTGTCCCTTTCTCGAACATGGCAGAAATACTAATCCGCCCACCAGATTTGGCGTCACCAGCAAATTTTGGGACTACGTCTGGGGCACGCAGCTGGAGCTTGCGAAGCCGCTGAAGACACAGTGAAGCCGCGCTCCTGTTTATATATTCTTTTCACAGCCCTTCTCGCTTCGCATATCTGGAGCGGGATTTGTATAGTAATAATCAAACTACCACGACATTCGCTACCCTGGGACCCTACACTATTCTTCTGGCAGCGGGGAAACCTATACAGCACTGACAGCGATTACGAGAAACGGGCGTTTTCTACAGAGACAGGGAGGACGAGAGCACTGTACGACGGCATTGGAAACGTGGATGGTACGGCGTCGATAACGGCCGTTCTGGACAGTGACTCGGTTCACATGGAATAGAGCGAGAGCGAGAGCGAGAGAGAGAGAGGACTTTTATGAGTCGCTCACGAACCCTTAATGCTAATAATACAAGATCAAGCTCCCAGTGTCGCAGAAACAGTAATCATACTGACTGCATCGCGAGATGCTTCTTCTGCTGACTCCTTGTGTGTCTAGCTCCAGCTATTACTGTATGTGCTCTCTAGTAGTAGTCTCTGTATGCACACATCTTAGGTCGTCAAATATGTAGCTCGACGACCTGCTCTCGAGACCTCAGCTCGAAATCCAGCACTTGGTACAGTGCCTCTTGACTCTTGAGGCCTTTACCGCATAAACAAATGAAGAGGGTATCATACTGCCAAAAAAACAAAACCCATTCGCCCAGACTTCCGAGTCTGCCTCATCAGTATCGTATCCCGTACAGCCATCGTGGTCTCATGACTGCCCTTGCCATTTCGGCATCGGCGCCCTTATTGGAGATTGTTAACGCCAAACAGATAGCCCAGCTCCATTACACCCAACCGTCCCACCTGTTGGCCAGCACGTTCATCCAGAGCCTGCTCAACTAACGCCTTCTTCTTCTCTTGCAGCTTGAGAATACGATCTTCGACTGTAAAGTCCTCCTCACCACTTCTTTCCTCGTCATTCTCACCGATCAGGACGCGGTGAACGGTGACCTCCTTCGTCTGCCCAATACGGTAGCAGCGATCAGCAGCCTGGTACTCAACAAAGGGATTCCAGAACGGGTCCAGGATGATACAGTGGTTGGCAGCCGTCAAATTCAGGCCCGCATTGCCAGCCTTCAAGCTCACAAGGATGATCTTGTTGTTTGGCTTATCGGTGAAGTCGAGAACCGCATCGTTGCGCGCTGCCGCAGTCATGGAACCGTCGTAGCGAGAGTAGACCTGGAAGTCCGGGTGACGAGAGAGTGGTACCTCAAGCAGGTCAAGGAATGACGTAAAGCTGCTGAAGATGATCGTCTTCTCATTCTCGCCGCGATTGTGTATGTCCTCCAGCAGCTTGATGGTCTTCTCGATCTTCGTGCTAGTGACGAAATCCTTGGCCAGCTTCTTTAGATATTTTCGATGCGCAGCCTTGGACCGCAGACCCTGTTTGCGCAGCTCTGCAAGGGAGATGGTTGCGTCTTTCTTTTTGTCCTTGCGCTTGCCCTTGCGCTTCGACTTGGGCTTGCGCTTGGCAATCGACTTGTCTTTCTTCACCTTGCCATCACTAGCCGCGCTATCATACGCAATTTCTCCGTCATCCGGAACGATGAAGTCGTCAAGGTCTTTGCCATCGTCATCACCATCGCCCTCGTCGAAACTGTCTGAATCTGAGTCTGAGTCCGACGCGTCGCCTCTGATGTCATCAACAGGCTGTACACCTTCGCGATCTGGGCAGTACACCCGAAGAAAGCTCTCCCAATTGGTAATCTTGTTCGCATCGATCTTCGCTCGACAGTGTGGGCAAGTAGCCTGAGCGCTCTCCTCACTATTGAGGGCGTTGTCGCAAAGTTTGGCAAAGCACTCGGTGCAGACGTTGTGCCCGCAAGGGAAGATTGTAGGGTTCTCGCTGGCGTCCATACAGACTGGGCATTCAAGACCCGCATCCTGCTCCTCGCTCTTCAGGCGATCGACAACTTTGTCGGTCAGCAGCTTGGCATTCTCCAACATATCGGTGACGCCCAGCTCGCCAGCGAGTTGCTGGAAGTCTTTGCTGTTGGTAACCAGGGCTGGGTGGCAACATGCTTGACGAAGTCGGAGCAGAAGCACCAAGGCATGGCTGTAGTTGCTACCAATAGATCCGTTGCGCAGGTATTTATTGAACTGAATCTTAGCACTCTCCTCGACACCTTTGTAGAATCTCAATTGATCGTCGTCAAACACAGCACGATCCTCAACGGTGTACCTCTCTGGTAGCTGAATGATGGGTTGTCCGTTGAGTTTCGATTGCTTGGTACGCCGCAACAAAACCGCCTTGAGCAACACTTGCAACTGCCGCATGGCTCGATCCTTGAGGTTCTCCGACTTACCCTTGAGGGGCCTAGCGAAATCCCTGGAAAACTTGTCCCATTCGCTATAGGGTCTGATTCGGCAGAACTTGATGAGACTGTACATTTCCTCGACGCTGTTCTGCATCGGAGTACCAGTAAGACACCAGCGATGCGTAGCAGTGACACGGCAGGCTGCAATCGCGGTCTTGGTATTGCGGTTTTTTATGTTCTGAGCCTCGTCAAGGATCACGCGGTGAAACTTGGACCGAGTGCTGAGAATTGCGCAGTTGTCTCTGACCGCAGCAGGGTCGGCGGCATTCTTGACCTTCTCCTCATATACAAGACGGCGCTTCAGCTCTGATGCAAGGGTGCCGTAAGTAGTGAGAACAACGTCATATCCTCTGATAGCATTGTAGTTCTCCGCGCGACTGGGCCCATGCAGGATGGTAACGTTGAAGCGATGACGACCTCGGACGAACTTCTCAAGCTCACGCTTCCACTGATGCATAAGAGCGACAGGAGCAACGATGAGGTTGGGGCGGCGCTCATTATCAGGCGCCGGTCGTGCCAGCATCAACGAGATAGCCTGTAATGTCTTGCCCAAACCCATGTCGTCAGCAAGGATGCCACCTTTGTTAGTGCCTTCCTCCATGGTCTTCATCCAAGCTAGACCAGAGATCTGATGGGGCATCAGGGGCATAGTGAGCCCCTGTGGAACTTGAGCCAACTGCTCATCACTCAGCTCCTCGTCAGGTCGTATGTGTTTCAAGAGATCCTTGATTTCTTCCTGGGTTTTGGCAGGGTCAGCGTCTTGATCGAGATATGGATTCAGTCGACGCATCAATTCAGCGTTATTTTGTCGAAGACCAGCGTAGGGATCCATAGCTGGATTGACTAAGCCGGAGCCTGGCAATGCGTAGCCTCCAGCTCCATAAGCCAGGGCGGGATTGCCCAGGGCGGAGGTACTGCTGTTGTATGGAACGTTGTTGTACACTGAAGAGCCAGCCGAGCTAAGGAACTCGGGCTGACCAGGGAAAGCGCCTGGCATGGAGCGATTGTGCTGCGAATTGTGCATGGGGCCCCAGCCAGTCACAGATATGCGAGGTTCCCGAGGTATGAACTGGTCGGGCGGGATCTCCATGAGGCTATCTTGGCTGCTGGTGGGAGTTGCTGCACCAGATCCGGTCTCAAAATTGGGCGAGTCCCATCCCGAGGAGTCAACTTTAATGCGTGGCTCTGGTCTTGAGTAGCTGGGACCAGGCACACTCTCGGCTCCGATACGACTAGTCGGCCAAGGTGGTTCCGGCTTGGTTGGATTGAACGAACCGTCGGCTTTGAAGAACGACTGCGACGTGGAAGCGGGGCGTGTTTTCTGCGAAGATGACGGAGGGACAGCCGATGCAATCTCAGCCTCCATCTCCTCCTGTAGGCGCAGTGCATAGGCAGCGTCTTCTTCCTCCTGCTTTTTCCGAGCAGCAAGCTCCTGCAAGTATTGCTTATGCTCTCGCTCCTCTTCTCGCGAGTGACCCAATAGCGCAAAGATGGGATTATCGGCGAGGTCAGAGCCTTCAAGACTGTCGGCACTTAGGGCGGGCGATGCATCGCCAGACTGGCTTGGGGTCTGCTTTCTAGATTTCGAGTCGCGACTCTCGGTGTCCTCATCAAAACCACCACGCTGGCGCTTACGGCTGACAAGATCGGAGGTGGGAGGAGGCATAAGGTGGCTGTTGCGATCGTCTCGAGACATACCTGACGGAATCTGGTGCTGCATGTGGCCGTCAGCGGAACCGTCAACTTGGTCGATGTCTGCAGGTGGCTGAGTCAAAGTCTTCATTCGCTTTCGTAACCTCTTCAGTGTACGTTTGATGACAGCTTTGGATTCTTCAGACTCTGTGTCGCTTTCATTCTCAAGACTAGCCAGCAGACCAGCGTTGAGCTCAATGTCTTCTCTAAGGTCGGCGATTTCGTCTTCGAGAGACTGATGGGGCGCAGAGTCTGCGGATTCAGACATGATGACAGGATTTTATGCTGCGGCAGGAATTGACTGGCTCATCACAGGCGGGCAATGTGGCAGGCGCGGTAAGGCTGCAGGTGGTAGGCAGCCAGGCCAGGTGAAGGTGCAGGCAGCTGTTGACGGGAGCACAAGTCAAACGAGTGACAGAGAAGAAGGAAATAAGGCTGTTCACATGAATCGAGGCAAGAAAGCAGCATGCAGCTCGTGCTGAAGCACTCGGAGGTACTCGAGACCAATTGGTGGCAAGTGGCGAGCCTCTCTGAAGTTTCGCGGGGCCCTAGCCGATGACGTTGCTGAATTTGTTCGAGGGAACCAGGCGTCCGCATTCTGGCATTATTTCTGCCACGTTGGCCTTCGCAGGCACGCATGAACCGGTGCTCAGGACGCGTCAAAGTGGTCGAAAGTCTGTCTGGGATATTTTCAAGGTCGGTTCCACGGCAGACGCCGACTACAAGACGCGTCGACCCTGACGAGCTGCATGGCCGCCTAGGATAAAGAGCACAATCTAGGACTTTGAGTCCAGCTTAACTTATCATTGGACGATCTGCTTCTGGTATCCTGACACGCCAAATGCTGCTGTTTTATACTTTCGCATTGTATGGTTGTGAATCAGTTGGTGTCTGCTCAAGACGTGATCAACACTTTCACCGGTACCCTACCCTCGTCCTCGCCATCTTTGGCAGCATTTGCAGCTAATCTGAAGGCTCTCTCACCGTCCTCTAGAGGGACTCGATGCGTCACCAGTGCCTCTGCGACTCCGTCCAACTGACCGCTAGCGAACAATGCAATGGCTGCCGGGTAGCAATTCGCGTACCGGAACACTCCCACAATGTCGACTTCTCTAAGAGCAGCGGCTCCCAATGGTAGTGTCTGTACGGGGTTGCCCATGCCGACAAGTACCAGTACGCCGCCAGGAGATGCGGCGTAAATACCGAGTTGAACGCATGGTGGCACACCGGTGCATTCGTACACGCGGTCGAAACCAGTGGCTAACCCTGCCGAGGCAGCAGCTTCCGTCGCTAGGCTCTCAGCGTTTGCAAATGCCTCGTCGGTATCTTTAGGTGGTGCTTTCTTAGGGATCAGGAACGTCTTCAGCTTGAAGCGACCGCCCGCCATCTGAGAAGCAATTTTCAATCTGGGTTCATCGATATCGGCGATGACAATGTTAGATACGCCAGCAATCGACAGGCTCGCAGCCGTTAGCATTCCCACCGCTCCCGCACCCAGGACCAAGGCGGTCGAGCCGATCAATGGTACATTAGCACCGGAACCGGCATTCTGACTTCGATTCAAGGCATGCAGGACCACTGCTAGAGGCTCCATGAGTGCACCCTGCTCAAAGGTAACATTTTCGGGAAGCTTGTGGCACATGTTGGCTGGCTGAGTGAGCAGGGTCTGCAGAGTGCCGTCTAGGTGAGGAAACGTCTTGGCCGAAGATCTGAAGGTCAGGTTTGGGCACAGGTTGTACCTCCCGGTCAAGCACACTTGGCAATTGCGGCACGGCAGGCCAACTTCCAGCGCTACTCGGTCGCCAACTTTCAGGTCTGATCCACCGTCTGGCACTGCTGTGACAACACCGGAAGCCTCGTGGCCCAGTGCCACTGGCGCCCTCAGCACATAATTTCCATTGCGGCCGTATTGGTAGTAATGAAGATCGGAGCCGCACAGTCCGGTAGCCTTGACGGATATTTGCACCTCACCCTGCTTCGGCAAGGGTGTCGCTCTGGTTTCCTATGGCTGTTAACGCTTCTGTTACCAATATTGGGCGAATCTCCTCACCAGTCTCAGATCCTTGGCACCGTGGAGCACCAGCGCTTTAATACCGTCAATCGATCCCATTTTGTTGTACTCGGAGGTGTACTTGTGTTTTCCCTGGCTTACCGTCGCCGTTGTTGATAGAGGAACTAACAGCAGGGTAGATTGAGGATATGATGTTGGCCTAGCTTTGTTTGAAAAGGCGTGGGCCGGGCGGGGGCAGAGTTGGTCTCCAAATGCTTTTAGTTGCCTAGCAGGAGATCGGCCAGAGTGCCGTACAGGAATCCTCTTTGCGTAATATTCGGCGGGGGTGCGAAGGATGGCGTGGGGCGCGACAGTGGTGGCAGCAAATAATGTGGGGGCAGTCAACCCCCGCAGGCAATTGCGGCCCGGTCTGCTTGCCTTCAAATGCCGACGTGTGAACACAGCTTGAGGGTGAAGAGAAGAGTGACTCTGTGCCTCGTTTGGGTTGAAGCAGCGATAGTGGTCCTTCTCGGAGTCCGAGCCACGTGAAATCCACTCTCCTGCATGCCATCTACATATACATTCAGTCTACAACTCAACGCCAAGAATCTGCCATACCTCTGGACTGCCGGTATCGCCCTTGAACACTCTTCCTCGTACATCGTCGGGACATCCCATACATTCAACCACCCGCATCTACCACGGCCGACATGGGCAAGCCAACAGTCTTACTGATCGGCCCTTTGGCTCACACAGACAAGGAATGGGATGCACTTGGCGACAAGTATAATCTGAAGGAATTCAGATCCGGTACTCGAGATCAATTTCTGATCAAGCTCAAGGATGAGTTCAGCGATGTCGTTGGCATTTATCGCTCCAATCTGTCTGTTGCTCAGACTGGTCCCTTCGACAGCGAGATCTGCTCTGCCATGCCTGATTGTCTAAAGTTTATCGCTCACAATGGCGCCGGCTACGACAACATTGATGTTGACGCATTCACCAACAAAGGAATTCACATCTCCAGTACTCCGATCGCTGTCGATAATGCTACCGCAGACGTTGGCATCTTCCTCCTACTTGGGGCTCTTCGGTATGCTACCATTCCGCTCAACGCGATCCGGGCTGGGAATTGGCGAGGCAAGACTCCAATTGGTCACGATCCTAACGGAAAGACTCTCGGCATACTTGGAATGGGTGGCATCGGTAGAGTAAGCGCAATTCGCTTATACAAGCATTGTCACTAACAGATGGCAGGCCATGGCTCATCGCGCTTGCGCTTTCGGCATGAAAATTATCTACCACAACCGCAATCGTCTTCCCTCTGAACTGGAAGACGGTGCGATATATGTCAGCTTCGATGAGCTTCTCGCCAAGAGCGACGTTCTGAGTCTGAACCTAGCCCTCAATGCAAAGACGCGGCATATCATTTCGGCTCCCGAGTTCACCAAGATGAAAGATGGAGTGGTCATCGTCAATACTGCGCGTGGTGCTCTCATCAAGGAATCAGACCTGGTAGAAGCTCTTGAATCTGGCAAGGTGGCCTCGGCGGGCTTGGATGTATTTGAAGACGAGCCCACTGTTCACGAGGGCCTATTGCGCAATGAGAAGGCTTTCATTGTTCCTCATATCGGCACAAACACGTATGTATCCCGCTGCCAAAGTCTGACGGTGCACTGACGAGGGAACAGCTACGAGACCCAGCGCGAGATGGAGCTGCTTGTACTCCGCAACTTGGAAAGTGCAGTGGATGGCAAGGGCTTACTCACTCCTATTCCCGAGCAAAAGACCAAGGTGAACGGTAATCTCTAGCCCACATCTGCCAATTAAAGATGCTTGATAGACACGGGGTGAAGGCAGCGGCGTCACTAAGCAAGCTGCATTGGCAAAATAGCAAGCTTAGAGTGAGTGATGGACATGCGTATGACATAGAACATAGAGGATGTGGCTTAGGTAGCGTCTGATTCAAGTATAGACTCCGTCAGGCTGAGAGCTTTAGGGGCCCGGGGGGTCACTGGGACCGCCAAGATTATATGCCCAACCTCGGCCCAAAATGCACATGCTTCTGGCCCGCATCCCTTCTTTCGCTCTCCGCCAACTTGATGCTGCCAATGCATGTGACACGCCTCATCCTCGCCTCTACCGCTTCGCGAAGCTCCTTTCGATCATTGTAGACTACCTCAGAAAGAGCCCTCGAGCCATGCCACGACATTCATGATACGTTGTGTTGCCCTCCAACAATGGCTGTGCATTCCAAGGAAGACCCGTTGACGGCTATACTGCTCCATTACCGCGAGCTCCTGCGCTCGAAGCTCCGCCGCACACCGAGATCCGTACGATTAGCGGCAACCGCAGCACTTCTTCTCTCCATCGTCACTTCATCATATGGTGGCTATAATTGGTGGAAATCGCGGTCAAGGGAGCGCGCAGTGGGCAGAACCCTGCTGCGCAAGAACTCGGGCCTGCGAAGAAAGGATGGCGCCCGCATCATATACGTTCCCAAAGGAGAGACAACTTCCAAAGTCGTGATACATCCGACCCGGCCCACCACGTTCGATGCTCATCGGCGACTCTTCCTGACTCCGCCGCGTGTTACGCGACTCAACAGTGGCACATCCACACCCGCCTACGGCCATGGGCCGCCCTTGCAGACGAAACCCGGCTTGAATCTGGCCTTCCTCCACCAGTTCCTGAGTCTGCTCAATATCATGATACCCCGATTCAGATGCAAAGAGACGGCCCTGCTGTTCAGCCATGGCGTGTTCCTGCTGCTGCGAACGTATTTGAGTTTGGTCGTCGCGCGCTTGGACGGCGTACTCGTGCGCGACCTGGTCAATGGCCAAGGCAAAGCCTTCATGCTTGGTATCCTTCGCTGGCTATCCATCGGCGCTCTGGCATCCTACACAAACGCCATGATCAAGTTCCTACAATCCAAGATCTCGATCGCCTTCCGCACCCGATTGACAAGGTATATTCATGATCTTTACCTGAACGGCGATCTGAATTACTACAAGCTCCACAACCTCGACGGAGGTATCGAAGGCGCGGACCAGTATATTACACAAGATCTGACGCTCTTCTGCCAGGCCGCGGCAAGTTTGTACTCCAGCCTTGGAAAGCCCATGGTGGATATCTTTGTCTTCAACTATCAGCTGTACCGCTCACTAGGGCCGCTTGCCCTGAGCGGGCTACTTGCCAACTACTTCGCCACCGCTACCCTCCTTCGCCGCCTGTCTCCTCCATTCGGCAAGTTAAAAGCAGTAGAGGGGAAGAAAGAGGGCGATTTCCGAGGCCTTCATGCTCGTCTCATCGCCAATGCCGAGGAGGTAGCCTTCTATGGCGGTGCAGATGTTGAAAAAGTCTACCTGAACAGAGCATTCAGGGAGCTTCAATCGTGGATGGAGGGCATCTATAATGTCAAGGTGCGGTACAACATGCTTGAAGACTTCATTCTCAAGTACTCGTGGTCAGCCTTCGGCTACATCATCACCTCAATCCCGGTCTACCTACCAGCATGGGCTGGCATTGGTGAAGCACCTAGCACAGAGGCACAAGTCAAGGACCGAAGCCAAAGCCACATGAAAGATTTCATCACAAACAAGCGTCTCATGCTGTCACTAGCAGATGCTGGCGGACGTATGATGTACAGTATCAAAGATCTGTCTGAACTAGCCGGCTACACATCCCGGGTCTACCAACTCATCTCCACCTTACATCGCGTCCATTCGAACTCGTACGGTACCCATCTCCGCCGCAGTCCTGGCCGTATCGAACTCTACAGCCTCGCTGACGTGCAGGGTACCGTTTACCTCGGCTACGACGGTGTGCGCCTCGAAGATGTTCCCGTCGTTGCTCCGGCACTTTACCCTTATGGTGGTGACGAGCTCATCGAATCTCTCTCTTTTGTTGTCAACTCTGGCAACCATCTTCTGATCTCAGGCAGCAATGGCGTCGGCAAATCGGCCATCTCTCGCATCGTCGGCGGTCTGTGGCCCGTCTACCGAGGCCTCGTCAGTCGGCCTCGCAGCAACGGTCAGGATGGCATCATGTTGCTGCCGCAGAGGCCGTACCTCAGCATCGGCACTCTGCGCGATCAAGTGATCTACCCGCATACCGAAATGGACATGCGTGAGGCAGGCAAGCGCGACGTAGATCTCGAGCACATCCTCCAGGACGCCAAACTAGGGCACCTACTCTCACGGGAAGGCGGCTGGGACACGCGCAAAGAGTGGAAAGACGTGCTGAGCGGTGGCGAGAAGCAACGTATGGGCATCGCTCGCCTGCTCTACCACGAGCCCCGATACGCGTTCCTCGACGAGGGCACCAGCGCCGTGTCCTCGGACGTCGAAGGCATCTTATACGAGACGGCCAAGGACAGAGGCATCACGCTCATCACCATCAGCACCCGCGCCAGCCTGCGCAAATACCACGTCTACAATCTGACGCTGGGCCTGGGCGACGAGGGCTACGATTGGGAAATGGTCAAGATCGGAAGCGACCAGGAGAAATTGAACGCCGAGAAGGAACTGAACCAGCTGAGGGACAATCTGGCGCAGGTGGAGGCGTGGCGGCAGCGGAAAGCCGAAATCGATAGGGAGCTCTCGCTGGGAGAGGTCACGCTCAGGGGCGGCGAGGAGCTCGAGGCGCCTGGCTATATCGACGCGGAAGCAGAGGTGGAGGAGACATCGGTAGTTGATGATAGGTGATTCTGATATTGCTATTGGGGAGAGCTATCCCAGATCTTGCGAGACAGGAGCATGAATATATATACCCACACCAGCTACGTGCGTGGGTGAGTCTGGCTGAACCCCCTGTACCATTTATGCCTTTTCCCGCAGCAGACACAGCATATCTTTTATACGCGTTCTGACACGACATTCCAACGAAAGCGACGAGTTCTTTCGCCACGGCTGAAACGATGACAAGACAAAAGAATACAGGACTTTTTGAAAGTTCATCAATGGCGTTTCCTACATTCCTACTTCGTAATATTACATACTTCATACTTGTGCCAACAATTGCGGGCGGCGCTGAAGAAACGCTCATCTCGCAGGCTGGCTGACGACTTTTTGTCGTCTCGAAAACGAAAGGGAGACTTTGTCGCTGAAGTTTTGGCGTGACCCTGTCCTGTCGACTAGGGCCGAGCGAGCGAGTCGATGCGCCTGGCATGCTGGCTACCTGCTACCAGGACTTCGCGCGTGTCTCTCTGTCTCGGTCTCTGCCTTTGTCCACTCACTGTCCTTGTGTAGGCCTCCGGTGCTGCGATGCAATTTCTGTGCTCCAATTGAGAGCACAATACCGATTTATGCAGCCGAGCCGGCCCTGCATGTAGCACCGGATGCCTCCGATGAGAAAAGAAAATTCAAGCCATGCCGAACACCACATCTTGCTGCTGCTGTTGCTGCTGCGCATTAACATTCACATTGACAGAATCAAGCAGATCCCAGCCACCTACAAATTCTGCGGGCGGGCCTGTGCCATCACTAACGCTGAAGTCCTCCCAGTTCAAGCTCGCCAGATCGAATGACGGCAAGTCCCCATTACTGTAGCTCCGGCTGCCGAAGCGCAATTTGTCGAGCTGGGCGGGACCAGGGTACAGCAGGCGCGTCAGCTCCGAGTCCTGTGCGGGACCAAAGGATGAAAGTGACGGCGGGCGGCCGGAGAAGACGGATTCGAGCAGCGGACCCAGCAGGCGTTCGTAGACGCCGGCGTAATTGGAGACCTCGTTCCAGCCCTGGGCGGCGAGGGCGAGGAAGTTGGCGGTGAAGACTTTGGTCATCTCGAAGATTTGCTGGGCGCTGAAGCGCGCCGAGATGCTGTCGAAGCCGTGGCGCAGACAGAAGAGCACGACCATCGAGTTCTCGAGCACGTGGTGCGCGATCAGCCACGAGCGTCGGTAGAAGCCGGTCAGGATGTGCTCGCGGAGGCTCTTTGCCGAGGAGCATGCCGCTTCGAAGGCTACCATTAGACTTCGGGGGGCTGGCATGGGTACTCGTGGGGATGGTCTGTGTAGGTTGGTCAACCCGTGTGCGAGGGTGAACTCTGTTAGCTCATGACCATCGTTGTAGTCCTCGTACCAGGCTTGCAGACGCCGTTCCATGAGGGCAAGCCAGTCGTCCCAGGTCTGGCCCGGGTCAAGGGGCATGGCCTGGAAATGGACCTCGGTCATGATGGACTGCAGACGGCGGAAATGAGTCCAGCGTAGCATATGCATCTTCGTCTCTACCCCACTCAAATCGATGCCCGAAGGGCGGATATGGCGGTCGTCCAGTATTGATGGAAAATGCGCATCGATTGTCTGGTCGGGGATAGATAGCGGCCTTTGTAGCGCGGAGCAGATGGATCTATCGAAGCAGTAAGCGGTCCAAAAGATACGGCGTCGCAAATCTAGCGTTACTTTATCGAATGCTAGTGCGTCGGGCGCTTCTCTGTGTAGGCCAAGTTCCAGGCAAGCTCGCATAGCGGCGCCGCTCAACATCCATACGTTGGCCAATCGAGGATTGATTGACGCATACTGCAAGATCATGAGCGTAACTTGGATACCTGCCAGATCGGATGGAATCTTCGCACTTGACGACAGATGCTGTATTCCTTCCTCGAACAGAGATCCGGAGAAGACCATATGCTTGGCCTCATGACCAGTCTTGGAACTGCCGAGCGTAGCTGAGACCGACAGCATGAGATAGATGATGAGGAAATCGTAGGATGGAGCAACGGTACGGTGCCGATCTGGAAGCGCTTGGAGCGTAGCCAGGACCGAGTCCAATTGCTGCCATAGCTCAGGAGCATACAGAACGGGAAAGATGGGATAGACCTTGGTCATGTACTTTTTGATGAGACTCCTCACAATGTTGGTAGGAATGCTCTTTAGCATTGCGCAGCTGACTTCGTTGGTGAGTCTAGACACCGAAGACTTTCTGCGAGCCCCCTGAGGACTTTCTGAAGCCATCGCTTTGGAAGGCGTGAGGCTCATCTTGACTCGTGCGACCAAGTCAGTAATTCCTGGTCCGGAGGGTAAGATAGCGAAGATCATGGCTTGCAGTTCGTCGCACTTCATAGCCTCGTCGCGACCAATGTCAGGCTCCTTGGGCATGACAGGAGTTACCGGCGAAGGATTGCTCAGGGCCGAAATGCTGTGCCGATGGCCTTCGGGCTTGGCTATGGCGGGTAGCGGAGGAGCCTGAGATAGGGACGTATCAATGTGTAAGCCGTTGTGAGTGGGCATGCCCGCGAGTATATCAGAGGCATTGAGGTCGTCGAGGTTGCCATTGCGGGCGAGCTCGGCTTCGACTTTGGCAATTTCGGCCTCGAGATGCTGGACGATGCTGCGTGGAATGTTGGGATCTTGGTCTTTGGAGCTGTACCCGGTGCAGGAGGTTTTGGCTGTGACGCATTGGCCGCAAGGAATGGCGCGGTCGCATTTGATCTTCCGCCGCCTGCAGCGCGCACACGAGAGCACCGAGCGCCGACACTCAGCCATAGTGAAGGCGACAAACGAACTGAAGACGAACAAGCACTGCCTGGTCGGTTGATGCACGACACGGACTGATCACAGGGCGGGCTGAGAGAGCGATAGAGACTGTCGAGATACATTACCTACCTGAATAGGCGGGTAGATAGGCCATAACCGAAAGGTCTTGGCGTCCCCCGCCCCTCGGACCCTGCTGGCTGCCCCCCATCTTTGAGCTTTGCGACACCGGGCCGTGCGCCGTTCCCGACTTTCCAAATCTCTCTCACTCTTGTTTTCTGTGACTGCTGTGACTTGAAGTGAGGTAGAAGTTGTAGGAAAAAAAGGAGGCGCTGTTTTCCTTTTTATTGTGGCTTGCACAAGGCTGTCAAGCGCTGAAGTCCTCAGGAGTAAAAGCACTGACCAAGTCCGAAATGGACGACGAGGCGACGACCATCTCCGAAGCCGACCTCACGCGCCTGCTACCCACCTGTCAGAGATGTCGACGTCTGCGTCGGAAGTGTGACACGCAACTTCCAGCGTGCCGGTTGTGTCAGAAGGGTAAAGCAGAGTGTACCTTTTTCGACCATGCCCTGCAGCAAACACTGCCACGAAGTTATGTCCACTCGCTGCTCACTCGATTGAGTCGGCTAAGGGCAGCTCAGGTGGCTGCGAATGGCAACAACGAACCGCCAAGTGCCTTCCGATACCCTCACCATGCGCGGAATCTGTCGACAGCGACCGTGTCCACCATCCCGGAGCCGTCCACCAACGGCTGGGGCACCCACACCAGCGAGCTGTCCTTTGACAAGCATTTCATTCTGCGCAACGCCAATCCGACATGCTGGCAATTCTTCGGTAGCAGTTCAGCCTACTCGCTCGCAATCGAGGTCATTGTCCATGCCCAAGCCAGGCTGGGCCAGATCACCTTCCCAGATACGTATCAGCAGGGAGAATTCTGGCTCGTTTCCCACCGGAATGCTGGCGAAGAGTCGCCGCACCCCCGGTTGACACCTTCGAGAGAGGAGATTGAGATGCTGTTCACTCTCTACTCGAGTACGACCAACCTGATGATGAGCGTAGTGGACTTGAACGAAGTACACGCCGAAATCTCGGTATACTTGCAATATCAGGGATCTAACAACCATATGCTCTCGGGTCCCGAAGCTCATCAATTCTTCCGAGTCAGCATGGTGTGCGCCATAGCTGCTGCCAACAAAGCCCGCCATCGACCAGAATACGTGAATGAGTCGATGGCATATTACGCAGAGGCGCTGCAGTGCGTGGAGGAGGTTACATCCGACGTCTCGGTCGAGTCCTTGCAGGCATTGCTACTGCTCACCCTCTTTGCCCTCTTCTACCCTAGAAGAGGCGATATCTGGAAGCTGCTGGACTTTGCCTGTCGGCTCGGTGTCGAGCTCAACTACCATTCCGAGACCAACGATGAGTTTGAGAGTGAAAAAGATCGTCGCTCCCGCCGAGCAATCTTCTGGGGGCTGTACACCATTGAGCGGACCATAGGCCAACACTTCGGTCGACCTGCAGACCTTACAGAGGAAATCATTACGGCTGAATATCCCGCCTCCATTCACGATGCGGCGGGGAACGATCCAGCATCGCTGCAATTCATTCTTTCATCGCACTACTATCGCCTAACTTACATGAGGTCAGAGATTTTCCGGGACTTGTACATGCCAGCAGCTGCCCCTAACCTGCCGCGAGGCTGGTACGAACAGCGTCTAGATCATATTCTCGCCTGGAGACGCGAGCTACATTATCTGGACAATGTGTTGGGTGTCGGTTCCATGACGTGCGAGATGGGATTCGATAGCTCAGTTTGTTTTCTCTTCCAGCCGCTCTTGCTGAGGGCACTCGCGTCAACAAAAGAGCCAATGCTCGCCCATGACTGCGCAGACATAATCCCACGCGAAAGCTACCACTCCGCATGTAAGGTGATCGACTTCTACAACAAGCTACTTCATGGCGCCGAGGACTCCCCATATGGTCAATATCCCATCACTGTCATCTCAGCACATTACATATACCAAGCCGCCCTGACAATCATGTCCCATTGCCTGTTGGCGATTGATGGCCGGCTCCCAGTGGTCAATTTCTCAAATGAGATGAGTGGCAACGCTGAAGGGCCCATTGATTTCCGGGGAATCGCGGAGATCTCAGAGACTACCCTCGCCCTGCTCGACTCTTTGGGCAAGAAATTCGCAGGCATGGTCGGAATGTATGATATCTGCAAGAATTTGCATGACAAGGTCTTGCCAGTCATGATGCGCAGCGGTCTTGCTTGAGGGAACTCCGGGCGGTTCATCTGGGAGCCACGATGGAGCTCTCGGCTTAGCCTCATGCTCACCCTTCGCGCTTTCCTACCTCGATACGAGAGTGTTCTTACTGCAACGTGGGTGCAGGAACAATTATTGCTTCGACTCGATGGTAAAATTGGCAAGCATGGATCTCCACAACATCATCAGGAACAGTCTTATTGTCTACATCTCTTCACTGGGCACGCAACATCACATCTCATATCACCATCATTCGTTCTCAAATCTTACCAGACTCCACTCGTGATGTCTCCATGTTTTGGTCGACGCGAAGAGTCCTCAGCGACGAGAGAATGTCACCTACCGCCAGACGAACAAAAAGCGACCGTTATGCTCATGATGAAGTCCTCAAAGCGGCAACAGAAAATTCTTCGGCAGAAGTCGTGCTCTCACGGTCTGATATCGAAGATATTGGACTTTGAGCTCAAGATGGCTTCGTCTAAGATCGATCAGAAATGGCATTTGGAGAAGTGGCTCGAGGCCGACGTTGATCGCGTGGTGCTTGCCTTAGGTCCCTAGTCGGCACTGGTCGAAGAATCATTCATGCAGATCAATGGTTCGTCTAGATTTGTATGGCTGTGAAGTTCCGCTAATTGTTCAAGCAGGTCGTCGAGAACAACTTGTTCGGTGTCTTCAATCATGGCGTATTCCCTCTGATTACCTGGAGCAAGTCCTGGACAATCTCAGGGGCGAAGTCAACGCACCAGATGTGCCACCGACAGAGTGTCTCTCTCCAACGTCTCCATCATGCGAAAAGGCGGCTGATGGCAGCAACACGCAGGCCCCGGCAGCTTATTCATTCTCAGTACCCATGGCAGGCCCATACTCCCAACCTTACCTCTGCACACAAAATCCACCCTCACAGACAGAACCTTCAGCCTGTGAAGAGGATGTCACAAAGGCTGCATCTTCGAGGACGAACTGATGTTCCTGCCATACGCCCAAATGGGATGTGGCCGGCAATTGGTGATCGAGACCCCATCTATGTATAGGCAGCCCGGAGAGGCCGGCCACGAGCTTCGTCTTTAGCTCAGCTCGAGGGTCATACGAGAAGGGTCACCAAGGCGAGAGCTACTAGGAATCGGAGGGAAAAGCTACTTCACAATCGCTCACAATCGCTGCAGTGAAATGTAAAGAGGTCCGGTTTTAGAGCTTCATAGACTACTTCTCAAAACGCCATCCGCTTCAAGGGCCATGCTCGTTCTAACAGCTTCGCTGGATGCTCTTTTGTTAGTATTCTACACCATTTGACCGCTGTGTAGTACCTTTACTACTGCAATAATGCAAGGCACTGCACCAGCTCACTGCTGCTCCACCAGCTGATCTGCAGCCAATCTGAATCGGGCATTACTCACCTCCAACTCCACCACAGCTCAACTCCACCCCATTCGAGATCTCGCCCACATCTCGTCGACCAGAGAAAAGCTGCATGCAAAGCACGCTGGCAGACCCAGCTCCCTACCCTCCAATCGTCTATATTTGGTCTCGTTAGCTTCAGCACAGCTCACGTGCCCCCTTCCCCTGTTCGAGCTCACACGAGCCACACATAATGCTCGCTCCCCTCTTGACCGCGCTCTCAAAATCCCACTCACATGAGTACCCGCTTCACGCCAACGAAGCCCTGAGCGGCATTCTGGGCTCCATCTCGCTCGCGTGCTGGATTTTCCTCTTGCTGCCTCAGCTCCTCGAGAACTATCGAAATTCCTCGGCCGAAGCGGTCTCGCTCGCCTTCATTTTTGTGTGGTTCCTCGGCGATATCTGCAACCTGATCGGGGCGGCATGGGCAGGCCTTGTCCCCATGATCATTGCCATTGCAGTATATTTCTGTATCAGTGATGGGGTTCTCATTGGGCAGTGCTTGTATTACGGGATACGAAACAAGAGGAGGCAGGCCAAGGCCTTGTTGGCCAGGGAGCGTGGGGACAGTGTGATCGGCGGGCAGAGTGCGGCTCTGAGGGATGAAGCGGCCAATGGAGATGGGGAGAGGGCGCCGCTGATCAAGAAGAACAGGACTGGCAGCTACACTGGCACCATCCCGGGCAGTGGTGAGCGCCGGAGAAGCAGCGGAGGCAGTGCCGAAAGACGACGGAGTAGTGCTGCCGCTCAGCAGGCCAGGAACGAACACCTCGCGAAGATTCTGGAGGAGACGGATGAGAGTGGTGTCAGGCTATGGGGCAAAAATGCTCTAAGCGTGCTGGGCATCGTCGTTGTTGGCACAGCTGGCTGGGCAGCGGCTTACGGAACAGGCGCGTGGAAGCCGAGTCCGCCACCCGCCGAGGTCCATGGGACGGAGATGGCGCCTGGTGCGCAGGTCTTGGGCTATGCCAGCGCTGTGTTGTATCTCGGCGCGCGGCTGCCGCAGATCTATAAGAACTGGCAGGAGAAGAGCTGCGAAGGTAAGTGCTCGCTGATGATGATGTTGGTGTTGTTATACTAACTGTTGCCAGGCTTATCGCTACTATTCTTTATACTGTCTCTGCTCGGAAACCTGACTTATGGAGCGGGAATTCTCTGTCACTCACTCGATAAGGATTATGTCCTGACCAATGTCCCTTGGCTCATCGGCAGTTTAGGAACCATGGCAGAGGACGTGATCATTTTCGCTCAGTTCCACGTCTACCGGCAAGCAAGGAGGGTTAGTGACACCGCTGTCGAGTGAGATGCATATTAGACCAGCAGAGACGCGATTCTCGATTTCAACCAAAATGTCAACATGGGCTTCCTAGGAGTACAGAACCGGACTCGAACCGCCTGCGACCATGACCAGGCAGTGCTGCGGTGGCGCAAACGGCCATGCGTCGCCACCAGCCTCCCTGTCACCAGGCAACGCTCGCCTTTCCGACCCCTTATATACGGGGTCGGCAGAATTTCAGTCAACTTCCAGACACGAAATCAGCGAGCTCGCAGAAATGTAACTTGTTCGACTTTGCAGGAGACTAACCATCTCGGTCTATCGAAGCCACTAAACTGGTCATCGAAGCGAATATGTCTGTCCAGAAGCGCTGGTCCAACCTGCAATTGCGTAGAGAAAGCGACCATATCCTTCTACAGTGGCATTCAAAACCATCAGATCTGGTTCGGGAGGTTGTAGCAAAAGCTACAGCCTTGCTTTTTTGCTTTTTCCAGCATTGTTTGCTTTGGCCATTGCAGAAATTGGTGCGCGAGTTACTGTATACCTCGCAGTCTTGTGCTTGTGTGGTTTCATAAAGCCGGAGGTCTGGCAAGGATATCACTCCGCTGCCATGGCTCTACAGGTACGGACTCCTCAATGTTCGACATATGGGTGACAGACAGCCCAGTATATAGAACATGCCTACCAACCTGAAATGCCTCTCAACGGTCTCTCGAAGTTCAGTGGCCACTTAGCTCAGATCATACAACCGAATTATGACTACGCGAAACTCAATACTTATTGCGCCGTTTCTCGAAGTCCTATCACCCACTACGTCGGCATGGTATAGAGGCAAGTGGAAGGCCGTGAAGCCGTGAAGCCATGCAAGGCTCCCCTGCAGCCTAGCCTTGGCGAACTGCGGTTCGAGCGTGACTTCGAGTCGATCAATAAGGGCAAATTAATTATCTACTTCGAACGCACTCCGGCTTAGAGACCTTCACTATTCATTTACTTGAAGGTCTGAGTTCAAAATCTCTCTCGCTTGCCTTTCTGTAATATCCGCCCTCTTTCGGCGATTTCTACATCCGCTACGCGTACTTGAACGGACCTTTCCGAGGCATATTTCCTTCATACAATCCCGAGACCACGTCGCTTTACGGTCAAGCTTAAACAGATACATCCGTCAATATGGCGGATGACACGGAGCCTCAGTACAAAGAAGAAGAGGAGGTGAAGGGTGAAGGCGCTGGTGATGAAGAAGTAAGTCAAGACATTCATGCTAGACCTCAGAAGACCAGTAGTAATAACCTCTCCCCTGCAGGACGAGATAGCCGCTATGAAGCGCAAAGTCGCCGAGATGGAGTCCGAGGCGGCCAAGCTGCGCGAGATGCAGAAAAACCTCGAACCTGCTGCGGAAGGCGGCCTACGCGAAGACCGAGAAGATGTGGATGCGCGCAGTATCTTCGTCGGCAACGTTGACTACGGCGCCACTCCTGAAGAGATTCAAGCACACTTTGCGACCGGTGCAGGCACCATCAATCGGGTCACCATCCTGCTCGACAAGTTCACCGGTCATCCCAAGGGGTGGGTTTAGCACCTTTGCTTTCTGAAGAGCTGGCTTTCACTTTGAATTTTCAAGACCCATGCATCAACCACTTTGCAAAAGACACATTTCATGCTGCCTGGCAAGAGATGGATTACTGATTGGAATTCGCGCAGGTATGCATATGTGGAATTCACCGACCCAAGTCTGGTTGCACAGGCTCTCGTGCTCAATGAGAGTACCTTCCGAGGCCGCGCCCTCAAGGTATGTCAACACTCGAGTGCATATGGGCAGCTACTGATGCCCAATATAGGTCGTGCCCAAGCGAACCAACTTGCCTGGCATGGCACGAGGTGGCCGAGGAGGTCGCGGCGCTCCCCGCGGCGGCGGCGGCGGTGGTGGCCGTGGTGGAGGTTATGGTCGCGGGGGGTATGGTGGCGGCGGCAGTGGATACGGAGGTGGGTTTGGGGGTGGCTCCCATGCACCAAGAGCTGGCTACCGCGGTGGCTTTAGGGGTGGAAGAGGCGGGCGAGGTTATGCGCCATATTGAGTAGCGATGAACAGCTTGAGGCAGAGTTGAAGTAATTGGGAAATTGGCACATTGCGCGTTGGACTGGCTCGGGTCGTGAAGGAAAAAACTGGCTTCCCAAAATGCTTCTTTACCACGACTCCAACGACTTCAAGAAGACCACTCCACTCAACAGAGTCGCTTATGGCGAAGTCTGGTCCCGCATGAAGGAGTGGTGCAATACTCATCGGGCACGTTGAGCCATGAGATTAGTACTGCCAACAAAACCCTAGAACCTCCACAGGTTGGAATCACAAATGCAGAAACATCACTACACGGTATCGTCGCAGCGAACGCAGTAACTTGGGCCGCCGTTTTCAGGTTAGGAAGAATGATGTAAGCTGGGGGATGCAGGCGAAATGAGGGTCGCACGGAATCTACGGCGCCCTCACGAGACCATCAAGCGGGCGCCGGCAGCAGCGTACCATTCTCTCAATTTTTGGAATCTCATAGAGGGCGGTTTGTTTGCATTTGCGATCTCTTATGCAATGATGACATGAAGGTGGCATTGCTGCTTAAGAGGCGATGATTGAAACCGTGCCGGCATTCGGATCAGGTTCCTTCTTAGCGCCCTAAGCTGCGCCTCAAGAAACGACTACTTGCCTGACTACACCACTCCCTCCCGCTGCCGAATACGCCTTAGACGGCCTCGATACTGGCCTACGCATTTTGTATTCATTTACATTGTCTTCGCTTTATCTGGCTCTGCTTGTCGAGTCCCTTCCGCAATCGAGTCCGCGTCGTTGCGGCCCCCTACTGTCTCCGTGGTGGCCTACCCCACCATCGGTCAAAGAGCACGGAAACACCCTAAAGAGCCGCGCCGCGTAGACGGCCATATATTTGAAGGATGCCTGAAGCCAACCTGCCCTCGTATGTGTTCCACAGCGTTGAGATAAGCATAGCGGAAGCTAACAAATCTGCACAGAGAGCCGAACCTTCGGGTAACGAGTATGTCGCTCACTTGTTAGCTCTCAATCGTCGTGCCTAATCTCGCCCGCAGTCATTGCCGCAGATGGCCTGTATAAAAGAGATGTCTTCCGTGAGTCCTTACAGCCCGCCATCGACGACAGGGATTGACATGTTCAGGCTTTCCCGACCCTTTCGCTGTCGCCACGATTGGTGGCGAACAGACCCGGACCACTTCTGTTATCAAGAAGACGCTCAACCCGTACTGGAACGAGGTCTTTGATATGTGCGTAGCTCCTATCACAACCGGGCGCAGCTCGTGGTAACACAAGACTAGGAGAGCCGGAGAGGACAGCATTCTCGCCATTCAGATCTTTGACCAAAAGAAGTTCAAGAAGAAGGACCAAGGCTTCCTTGGAGTCATCAATATCCGCGTTGGCGATGTTATCGATTTTGACGCAGGTGGTGATGGTAGGCAGCTGCCCCGAATCGTCATCAGCGCAAGGTGACTGACGCTGAACACAGAAATGCTCACTCGCGACTTGAAGAAGTCCACCGATAACCTTGTCGTTCATGGAAAGCTCATCATTAATCTATCTACTAATCTATCTGCACCCCCGACAAATCAGCCTGGCCGTCCGCCGGCGAGCTCACAAGGCAACATGAACGGTCAAACCTCCTTGGCCGGAGCCTCTACAAGCCAGCTCGCGCCCTCCTCTGGCACTAGTCCTGCCCCCTCTCGCACTACTACAGCGACCTCTGGCCCACCGCCTGACGCACGCGCCTCTGGTACCGCTCTCAATGCACCTCCTGGTGGCCCGCAAACCAATGGCGCAGGTCGCTCTGGTGGGTTCAGCTCTTTCGAGGACGCTCAAGGCCGTCTGCCTGCTGGTTGGGAACGACGAGAGGACAACCTTGGTCGGACGTACTATGTTGATCACAACACTCGCTCTACCACATGGACCCGCCCATCAGCTCACTTGAGCGAGGGTGAGCAGCGAAGCAGGATGGAAGCCACCATGCAGCAGGAAAGGCAGCGCCATCAGAATCGTATGCTTCCAGAAGACCGCACCGGCGCTAATTCGCCGAATTTGCCAGATGGTGGTGCCAGTGGTGGCAGTAGCTCACCCCCTCAAGCCAACGCGCTTCAGATGATGGCGACTGGGGCCACCACCGCAGGAACTGGCGAACTTCCAGCCGGGTGGGAACAACGGCACACTCCTGAGGGAAGAGCGTACTTCGTTGACCACAACACTCGGACGACTACATGGGTTGATCCTCGTCGCCAGCAGTACATCAGAATGTACGGCGGAAACCAGGCTAATTCGACCTCGATTCAGCAGCAACCTGTGTCTCAGCTTGGTCCATTACCCAGCGGATGGGAGATGCGACTCACCAATACCGCTCGAGTCTACTTTGTTGATCACAATACCAAAACAACCACCTGGGACGATCCTCGACTACCATCATCTCTGGATCAGGGCGTACCCCAGTATAAGCGTGACTTCCGACGAAAGCTGATCTATTTCCGATCTCAACCCGCGCTCAGGATCCTGTCTGGGCAATGCCACGTTAAAGTCCGTCGCGGCAACATCTTCGAGGATTCCTACGCCGAAATCATGCGGCAAAGTGCCACGGATCTCAAGAAGCGACTCATGATCAAGTTCGATGGAGAAGATGGTCTGGATTACGGTGGTCTCTCCCGCGAATTCTTCTTCCTCCTCTCTCACGAAATGTTCAACCCCTTCTACTGCCTCTTCGAATACTCCGCCCATGACAACTACACCCTGCAAATCAATCCTCACTCTGGCATCAATCCAGAGCATCTCAACTACTTCAAGTTCATTGGTCGTGTTGTTGGCCTGGCGATTTTCCATCGTCGCTTCCTCGACTCGTTCTTCATTGGCGCTTTCTACAAGATGATGCTGCGCAAGAAGGTTCAAATCAATGACATGGAAGGCGTAGACGAGGAGTACCACAAGAACTTGACGTGGACACTCGACAACGACATCACAGATATTTTGGACCAGACATTCAGCGTCGAGGACGAACAGTTTGGCGAGACGAAAACCATTGACCTCAAACCCGGCGGGCGCGACATTCCCGTCACTAACGAGAACAAGCGCGAATATGTAGAGTACGTTTACCCTGCCCTAGCCGTTCCTTGACTTACCACTAACACTTCTGCTTCAGACTCGTTACCGAGTGGAAGATCGTCAAACGCGTTGAAGAGCAGTTTAATGCTTTCATCACTGGCTTCAACGAGCTAATCCCTGCGGATCTCGTTAATGTCTTTGACGAGCGCGAGCTGGAATTGCTGATAGGTGGTATTGCTGATATCGATGTGGACGACTGGAAGAAGCACACCGACTACCGCGGCTACCAGGAGTCCGACGAAGTCGTGCAGAACTTCTGGAAGGTTATTCGCACGTGGGATGCAGAGCAGAAGTCCAGATTGCTACAATTTGCGACCGGCACCAGTCGCATTCCTGTCAATGGATTCAAGGATTTGCAGGGAAGTGATGGCCCCAGACGGTTCACGATCGAGAAGGCGGGTGAGATCAATGCATTGCCCAAGAGTCATACTTGGTGAGTACTTTCCTCCCCCTTCCCGGGGTTCCTCTCTTTCCCCCTCTGTTTGCCCGAGGCCATTCAGTTCGTCAGGAGTGCTCGCGAGAGACAAAGCGTGATGACTAACGAGACGACAGCTTCAATCGACTGGATCTGCCACCATACAAGAGCTACGAGGTATTGAACAGCAAGCTCAGCACGGCCGTCGAAGAGACGTTGGGCTTTGGCCAGGAATAAATGTAGCGAAAGAAAGTCCAAAGTCTTTTTTTCCAAAGCACAGCACAGCGCCCGCAAGCAAGCAAGCAAGCAAAATTATATTTGGTATATTTGGTCAATCAAATGCACTCACTCACCCACCTACAACCTATGTCTGGTGCACCCACCCACCCACCCATGATACAGATACAGCGGAAAGGGGACCTTACAAGCCAAGCTAATTCCGAGAGTGTGTGCCGTGTGGGAGGGAGAGCAGGCTTGATGCTCCCCAGCGGCGGCGGCGGCGGCGGCGGCGAGAGAAGGAGAAAAGGGAAGGTAGTGGTGTGGCAGGCCGACACTGCCGTTGTCGACAGAGCGCTGGCGTAGAGCAGCTGGCTTCGTGGCGGAACTCAGGGGTTGCGGGTGAGGCATTGTGGCGCGAGACTGATCTGGGGACGGCGGTTGGTGGTGGTTGGTGGAGGGGACGACACGAACTACAACAACAAACTACAGCCGCTGGGCTATACAGACAGGCACGCACAACCCCGAGCAGGATATAAACACTTTTTGCGGCCCCGTGTAGTCGGATGTACACACGAACGACTTCGGGGGTACAATCACGAGATGATCGGGGGAACAGATTGGCAGGGCGCCGTGGCGTACAGTAAATTATTGGCAAAGATTGATCCATTGGCGGTGCGATGCGACGCGACGCGAGGCTGGCTATGCTTGTGTTGGCTTTGCGGGAATAATAATCTGTTTGTACATGATCTTGCTGCCGCTGCGAAGCGCTTGCCTGCGCGACAATTTACTAAAAGCGAAAAGGTATACTGTTGGCCGTGAAGTCATGGATCGTAACGCTTGCCGCATTTGATCGCGAGAGACGCTTGAGAGGGTGCTGATCGGGGCCGTGGATTCAGGATGGTGGCCGAGCATGCTGCAGCCACAGGCGAGATCACTGTCAGCCCAGAGTACTCCGCAGTCGAACAGAGATGAATGGGCGACAGGGGGGAGCCTGCTCAGCGTCTGTCCCCTTCACAGGTCTGGCCTGGGGGTGGAACTGCCTCCCACAGATCATCGTCGTTCTGAATTTCATCGGCAGCAATACAAGATATGTCAGCGTACGACGTAGCGTCACCATCGCTATCGAGGCCGTCGAGGCTCCGACCGGCGTCGGAGTCGGTGATCGGAGAAATGGGCTCTGTTTCAGCAATTTGATCTTGCTGCATTGACGGTATCACGCCAATGTTATTGCTGACATTGACCCAGTAGTCGGGTGGGGGGGCAGCATCATCATCATCCATGACTTGGACATCCAGATCAGCCTGGTCAAGGCTCGCTCGGTCTTGATCTGTGGTCGACCTTCCATGTCTGTTGTCAAGCGGAATAGGTGCCCTTACAATTGAGTCTTGTTGGGGTATGTCGTTGGCGAGCCTTCGAGGTTCGGTGAGGAACGCTGAGCAATTGGGCAAGGCAATTACTTTCTCTTTCTGTTGACCAGAGTCCTCAGATCCAGGGTCAGACCTAGCGTTAGCCGCAGGGGAATCAATGGTGGGGGGAGATGCAGCCTCATAACAGCCCTTTCTTTCATCTGGACCTGCAATCGTCGTCCGTAGCGGAAGGACTTCCCCGTCCAGTACCAGACGCTCAATAACCCGAGCAGCATACGCTTCCATTTTGGCTTCTTTTCTGGAGGACTTTCCGATGCGCCCCATTGTTGGAGTCGTCCCCGTCTCGTCATCATCTGTGCTATCTTTGGTGAGGCTGACGGAGGAGCTCTTTTCACTGCCTTCCCACAAAGGAGTAAGGTTCCAGACATTGAGCATTGAGCGAAATTCTTCCCATAACATGTCAAAGTCGTATTGGGACTGCAGGATAGCCTGGATTTGACAAAATTCTAAACGCTCGATGAAAGCCATGCTGAGGATTCGTGTCTTGAGAGTAGCCCATTGAGCTAAACGTGCTTCTGATCCAGGCAATTCGAAGCGCTTGCCACGGCCATGAAGTCTTCTTCCATGGAAGTGGATGTTACCACTCCCACCCATATAGCTGAGTTCGTTATCACGCTGTTTGATGCTCCGGGAGAACAAGCACGAGCCTTCCCTTGTGACGGTGGCCACTTCCCGGAATCGGCGCTGGAGCTGCTTGCTCTGCAAACAACTCTCACCGATGCGTAAGAGGAAGCCTCTGGTATACCTCCAGTAGCCGTTCTTGGATTGGTAGACTGCTTCACCACTCGGGACGTGCTTCTCTTCGACAAAGTTCCGATAGTTGCAGCAGCTATCGAGATGCCGCACGAATTGTGGTACGTCCGCGTCTGGATCACCAAGAACAGCCTGGTCGCCTCTCATCTCGCGACGAGACATTCGCATCATCCTCAGCCGCTTTCTGTTGTACTCCTCCATATCGGCCTGACGGCTAAGTGCATTTCTTGTCCGTGCGTCGAAGATTTTCTGGTTCCAGGCCTGACGGGAGGTCGCCCCAAGATGAGGCAGGGTCTTGCTGCACCACAGACAAACCCTTCGTCTCTCGTAGTCGGCACCGGCACTATCAGAGCATCCGAGGCCGTGACACATGAGTCGTTCTTTACTCACAGCTTCGTAATTCTGCTTGTCCTTACACTCCAAGCACAGCCATCCATTACTTCTGAGTGTACATGTGCACAAGTCGTCGTTCTGGGAATCTTCATGATGCTCACCAGAATCGAAAGAAGATGGCCCGGAGATCGACAGGGGGTAACGCCTGGATTGACTGATGTTTCCATGGTCCCAACAACTCTGACATAAATAACGACAGCGGTTCTTGAAGGTATCCTCTTTGCCCCTCGCAAAGGAAGATCTCACGATGCACGCTTCGCATATCAGTTTCGAACAGAGGCGGCACGAGTGCACTCTATCACCTCTGGTATGAGTCGAAGACGAGCAGACAAACAACGAGGCTGCCTTCAGTCTCTGCCAATACGGGGTACAATGAAGTCCGACGTATAAGGAATCCCGTACCAGATCTGTGCTGTTTAATTCTGCGAGAGGTTGGGGTAGGGCGAAACCATGAAGGTTCGCTCGCATGGCCGAGTTTGTTCGTGCCAAAGAGATGAGATCGTCCGCTGCCAGGTGGCTGCTCAGCGACAAGGCGATGGGCCAGAGGCGAACAACTAGCTCAAGTGTCGCGGTGTCATAATGATCGTCTCCTGGTGGCATCTTCGGCCGCTGCCGGTACCTGAAATGACTTCTCTGGTCGCCGGTCTTGGCTCAGAAATGGTATAACGGGATGGAAGGCGGGGTATCTGAGACTTGGGGTCCAGTGCCACCGTTTGTTCTGGATTCATCCGATTGGTGTCAGTCAGGTAGGTAGGTAGGTAGACCTAATCATGATCGCTGCATCAATAATGTGCTCGTGGAAGATGAGGTGGGTGCGCTAGCGTGGTGGAGGCGTTGTTGCCTGATGGTTGCAAGGCTGATCGATGAAGGGGACAAGGCTACGGGTGGGGTAAGGCAACAGTCGATGTTTGGAAATTTGTGGGCTGTAGTAGTTTCCGAGATATTGTAACGATGAGGTGGTGGTCAGTCATAACATGAATTCGAGAAGATAGAAGGCTCTGATATCGCAACTGTCAAGCTTGTGGTGGGGCTGCGACTGCCCTTACAGAGGTGTCCGGCAACATGTCGCTCTCCACCTACATCAATCGTGAGTTCAGACCAGCCCTGCAGCCACCCACTGCCTCGGTCTCATGCTAACGGGGTTGCAGAAAAAGTGCTGGTGATCACCGTCGATGGCCGGACGCTTGTCGGCAAGCTGATCTCTTGCGATCAAGTCACCAACGTCGTCCTTGCTGAGACTGTGGAACGAGTAATCCGACCCGCTGATGACCCGGAAGGCAGTACCGAGCTCGAGCATGGCCTCTTTATTCTGCGCGGCGACAATATCACCATCTGTGGGTTGGTTGATGAAGAGTTAGACAAGAGCATAGACTGGACAAAGGTGCATGGGGAGGAGATTGGATCGACCAAGCATGTGTGAGGATAGCAGCGGGAGCAGCTTGCAATCCACACTTCGGCAGAACCAGCAGTAGCTCGCTGCCATCAACAATGACGGCAACTGAACGCCGCGGAATTAGCACCACGCTCCGCAATGTCATAGGTCGTGAGCGTCGGACGAAAGAAAGCGCTGCAATTCTCCTACGAGGCATGGAGATTCTGGCAATTACCACACAAGTTCTGGAAGAGGCATACCAGGGTATTGGACATTCTCTCTGATGTGGCACGAGACAGTGCCACTCGAGCTACCTTTTCCTCGACAGGTGACCCGTGAAGCCATATTCTCGGTGCCAGAACCGACATCTAGAATACAAGCTGGAAAGAGCTCCATGAAGAATCATCGTGCAACATGCACGAGAGAAAAATGATATTATCGAGACCCAGCACCACCGCCAACCTGCAGGGATATTGTATACAGCTCACACACGACAGAATGGGCGTCAAGCAACCGTTCAGTCTGCCCAATTTCTCTCAAATACAATTGGAGCTCCTATACCAGACTGAGTTTTCTCAGCAGACTGGGGAAAGGATGGTCGCCTTCTTCTTGTTTCATGATGTTAGCCGTGACCTGGCTGCACAAATTCTCGCTGTCGATGCTGCCGAGGATGCTGTCGTCGTAGTATTTGTACAATGTGCCACCAGCTGTCCATATCCGCCGTAACGTGGCAACTGTGGCGAGGGGTGAGTAGATCTGATACTCCTCCTTTTCTATCTCTTTCAGCCGCTCCAGAGTCGTATATTGTTTCTCCCATGTACAGCCTGTCTGCTCCTCATACTCGGCCACGATATCATGGGGAGTCGCGGTGAACGAATGAACTATCAAAGTGGTGTTGCGCGACGCATTACCATTTAGTAGTGCGGCCACGAGGAACCTGCCCACGCTATGCAAGAGTCAGTCAGAGAAACATCCACTCACACACGGGACTTACTCAATCATGGCGGTAAAGCTGACCGGGCCATCTCCATCTCCGAGTAAGACGGCCCGTTTGAGAGAAACATCAAAACTGCCTAATTCGGGCCTGCCCTTCATTGGACCAAAGTATAGATCGCTGTACGGGCCCGTCACTAGGTATGTGTGCTCTAGCCTCTTCATCGTCTTCATGTGTGCTCTGACCTTCAACTTGGCCATGTGAGGAGGCTCGTGTACAGACTCGGGCCAATATTCGATGTCTGTGCCATATTCCGAGGGGAAGAAGCGCCGTACGCCAGCTTCTTCAGCCCATGTAATCAGGGGTATTTGTTTCTCAACACCTCCTCTACCGACGCAGGATACGACCGTGTCAATGCCTGCACGTGGGTGGTCAGCAAGGCGGGCCTCTTGCGTTTGGCAGACTCGTACTTGCCTTTGTAAGCCTCCTTGACTTTGTCCTCGTCATCGAGCCGTGCCACAAAGACCTCTACTCCCCAGGACTCCAGAGCACAGATGTCCTGCACCTTCTCTACCACCGTCTTCTCACTGGTCAAGACGCATATCCGGTCGAACAGATGTTGCGAGTCTACGATCGCTCTTGTGATGTAGGTCCCTATGATGCCCGTGGCGCCAATTATGAGGATATTGCGGGCGGGCTCTCCCCAGGGCATGGCTGAGTGCCCCGGATTCGATCATGCACGTAAGAGGCCTGGGCGGCGGCGGCGGCGTCTAGGGTGCTGGGGTGCTCGGGAGCGGTACGAGTACAGGCTGACGCGGCGCTAACAAGATCCTGGACAGATTCGGTATGCGACCACAGGTGCTGCGGGTGCTGCGGATACTACAGCAATGAATCGGCTCTTCCAGAAAATCGATGCAAGGTGAAGTTGACGTGTATGTTGACGAAAGAAAGCGGCCCGTTTTGCAATCGATAGTGGTACCATGTACGCCAGACCGTCTAATCTTTGAACAGTTGGGGGCGGGTCACGCACATATTGCGAGTCCGCCGATCTACCTGCCGGATTGCAGGGAGCTAGCTACGTAAGTCGACCACATCTCAGAACCCGTAGCTGCCGTTCGGGTGCCTAGGCGTCATCTGGTATGGGCTTGCGGACCTGACTGCGGGCACCAGAATTAGCCTGCTCCAAGGCTGCGTCGTCACCTATCGCATTCGTTCGGTCCACCCCAGTTTCTCTGTTCACATATGACCCTGCGGCTTTAGCTCTAGGATACATTATTGTTCTCACAGTCACACGATACGACTCACTCTGATACGCTCCTCGACCCAGGATTGGGAGCATCACTGATCCTTTACCTATGTACTTCAACACACGCCAGCAAGCTCGAAGATTGCCTCAGCCGTAGCTCGGAAGGTGAACGAATATAGCCCCTGAGTATGCGCCGCAAACGCCCCGAATACGAGGATTTGGTTCTGCGAGAAACGTTTTGACAGAAGTAGTTAACCGATAGATGGCGGCAAGCCACTTCAGGCACGGCGTCCCTGGCACACGATCAACATCACGACCCTCAAAGCCCTGTACACCGGAGCTAACCTACGATGCTCGAATAGAAGTATCCTCTGGTTCACCACGAACCGCATAGGCTTACTACCGCGAGCACAGATTCCGCAAGTGACACCGTTGGCGCTCAATCACTACTCTATCTGTGTACAACCCAACAAACTATTCCTAGATGGTTGGCACCAGCGCTGTGGGTCGCAAGGCGCACAGCGCTGCATAGAGCAGCTTTTGGCCCCAGACCGATCAATCATCTTGTGAGATGGACACACCTTTCATACTCCGTAAGTGCTTCATTTGGACAAATTTTCGGTCGGCGGGCGCGATGAATGCTGCCTTTTCTTCCACGTGTGCTCATACTCGTATAAGACGTGGCCAGCCTGGTCTGCAGCCAAGTTACAGCTAGCAGATTCGCTTCTAGGCGAGCGCGCCAGGCGTTGTCGCAGGCTAGCGGCCGGAAATTAAGGCGTTGGCGATCTGCCAATGGCGTGTGGAGAAATCTGCATGATGAGGCAACAAGGAACCCTCCCCAAAGTCGGGCAATGCTGGCCTCCCTTCTACACAGTACAGCACTCAGATGCCTATTCGTTGAAAAGCGTCAGGTTTCGTTTGGCGTACAGAGGCAATTAATCCCCCAGGCATAGCCGCAGTTCGTCCGAGAGTCCCAGTTCTTATCTACCGATGCTAATAAGGCGACTTGGTGCTGTCTCTTCGACGGCAGCAGGCTAGCACTCACGATGCGGCCACCCGCTCAAACGGCCGTCGCCATCTCCTTTGGTCTATCAATCTCTGGTGAATGTTTGGACTGGGCAGACTGGAGGAGGCACAGCGGAATAAGGGGACTGCCGTTTCCACAGAAAAGTACTGCTGTAATCGTACATCTATGTACGTGGGATATATATGCATTCTCATTCAAGGCTATTTTTTTCTTCCCAACTCTCAACTCTCCTCGACATGGCGCCGCGTCTAGAAGCGCGAACACGCTCCATCACACTTTTTACCCCTGAAGCATATGGGGAACACACCATAAAAATGCAGAGCTCAGCTGCAGCCTACCCCCGTCATCTCGCCCAATCTACTGCCCCTTGGCCTGCTGCACCTCCTTCAAACTCTGGCCCAACGCCTCGATCGCCTTGTCGATCTCGCCCCGGCCCTCATCCATGGCACTGACACCCATATGCCCGAAGCGGATATACTTTGTAGCGATCTCCTTGTGCAAGCCGCCCGCGAATACGACGCCCTTCTGCATCAGACCCGGCAGGATCTCCGGCGGCGTGAGGCCCTCCGGCAGGTAGATGGCTGTCATGGTGTTGGCCGCGTTGTCCTCATCGGTGGCCAGCTGCTTGAGGCCCAGGTCCGCGACGGCCTTCTTGACCTTGCGGCTGACTTTCTGGTGCTGCGCGATGCGGTCGGCGACGGGTTTCGCCAGCAGCTGCGTCAAAGCCGTGTGCAGCGCCTGCACGAGCTGCGTGGGCGGCGTGGCGAAGTAGCTCGGTTTCTTGGCTTCGTAGTTCTGCATGATGGGCACCCAGTTCTTGAAGGACGCGTAGTAGCTGCCAGGAGGGGATTTGCGGGATTTGAAGACGTCCATGGCGCGTTCGGATGCCATGCTGATGCTCAGTCCGGGTGGGCAGCCGATGGCTTTTTGCGTCGCCGTCAGGGCGAAGTCGATGCGCATGTCGTCGAAGTGCAGGGACTCGCCGCCAACGGAGCAGACGCCGTCGACGATCAGGAGGGTTTCGGGGGAGACGCGCTGCAGGAGATCGGACAGGGGCTGGATTTGCGAGAGCACGCCGGTTGAGGTGTCGACGTGTGTGACCGTCACGGCTTTATATTTCTTCTCCTTGAGCGCCTTTTCGATCTCGGGCAGCTGAGGGCGGTCGCCAATGGGCGCTTTTAGCTGTGTAGCCTTTGCGCCGTAGGTCGTCAGGCAGTCGGCGAAGGAGTCGGCAAAGTAGCCCGAATGCAGAACGAGCACGTCCTCGCCGGGCTCGACTAGATTGGCGGCGACCAGGTCCCAGCCTAGAGTGCCGGAGCCGGCGATGGCAAAAGGCTGTGACTTGGGGTTCGTGGTTTGGAAGAGCTGTCGTAGCATGCTAAGGGTTTCGCCAAAGGTGTTCACGAAGGGCTGGCCGACGTGGGACTGGGCAAAGTGTGACATGGAGGCGGCGACTTCGTCCGAGACCTCAATGGGCCCCGGAATGAGAAGTGTTGGGTGGGCGGCTTGCTTGGACATTCTGGCGGAGGTGTGTAGATGTCTTCTGCTACTTGGCGCTTGGGTAAGGTGGGGTGTGTAGTGGTCACTGTCGGAGGACGGGGAGGAGTCGCGCTCAATGGAGTAGGGAGTGTTGATAGGAGGATACGAGGTGGTAGTACTGTCGAGGTGTCGAGAGATGAGACTCAGGCGGGAGGCAGGGGATGGGTCGGCCAGGGAGCGGGAAGTTCGTGAGGGCGGCATATTATGTTTCTGCGAGGCTGAGGGGTAAATGTTTCGATGATGTCGGGATGCGGGGCCAGAAACCGGTGGGAGGTGCGCGCGCAGTGCTGGCCGGAGCGGACACCGTGACACGCGCGATGGCAGTGTGCGTGTAGAGCCCAGAAGGGGGGTTGATGTGAGTAGTCTGTTGACGGAGGAAGCCATCCTGACGACTTTTGTTTTTGTTCCACACCGCGCTTTTTGTTGTCTCCTTTTCTCGGAACAAATATTCCAATTTCGAGCTTAGTAGCCCAATTTAGGCGGTAATCGCTGCTAATGGTCGTGTGGGGCTGGCTACTATATAGTAGGGGCAGCTCAGCTGCCGGAGAGCTGCTGTAGAGATGCAATCGTCAAGTATGGGCCTGAAAAGAGCTGTATTAAGGGATCCTGGTCACTGCGGTGCTCTCATATATCTTTTCCATGATCTCGCAGGCCGACGGCGTGCACTCTCCCCTGGCGTGATAGTGATCAGCTTCTACGGCGGAGGACGCCGCGGGCTTCGCTCCGGCTTTGCCCCGGGTAGGCAATACCCCCCAAAGAAGATAGACGAGAAGCTTGAGTCAGCCTCTTCCCCTTGGATGCCCGGACCTCCGAGCTGGAGATGTAAACGGTGAAAGTTGTACCTCACTGCCTCGTTCACAGATAGCAGAGCATCGACAAACGCAGCACAGGTTCCCCAGACTCGATGTTTAGAGTCTGGCATTGGAGACCTTGGCTGCTAAGCATATCACGGCCCCACTGAGGCTGTCAGTAAGCATATCAACTTATCGCCCGAGGTCGGCTCAGTAGTGTCAAGGTAAGGGCGCGCCTACCATGCACGCTCGTTAAAGGCCCGTAATCACTTCTGCTCCAGAACGGTATTATGAGTACACCCTTCAGCATGCAATAAATGCTCAGGCTTTACTCGAGAATATCAATCCCTTGTCGTTTGTGGTCTTCACGATCCCGCACAGTTCACCTTCCTACAGTTAGCAACCGCACGCTCACGACGACGATAAGGGCGAGGATGGGACCACCACCCTTGCCACCAGGCAAAGACCGTCATCATATTGTAGTGCTGGAGGCAATTCACGTTAAGATGCCAGAATTCGACTTTCCACATACTATCGACTTCCATCCTCGGACATACAAGGGTGATGTAGCAGAGCGCATAAAGGATGCCACCATAGCTATCGCCTGTGTGACGCCTGTAACGCCCGAGGACCTTGATGTTGCAAAAGATCTCAGGTGCTTGGCCATTATGGCAGTCGGTATCGGTTGGCTGGACAGGGAAGAGTTTGCCCGACGAGGAGTTACCGTGACGAATTGTGCCGGAGGAAACGTCGAGGCGGTTTGCGAGCATTTTGTGGGATTGTACTTTGCTATCCGGAAAAAGATTGTTGAGATTGACAATGCTATGAAAGGCACCAAGGAATGGTTGGAGAAAGGTACCCTGATTGGTCGCTGGCCTGACAAGAAGCCATCACCAGGATGTCGACAGGAAGTCCTGGGTATCTTCGGCTACGGAACGATAGGAAAGAGGATTGCCACACTAGCCAAAGCGTTGGGATTCTCGGAGGTGCTGGTAGCGGACAGGAAAGGGAATACCAAGAATCTGAGGGAGGGAAGGAAAGCGTTCGACGAGGTGGTGAGGCGGGCCAGCACAATGGTCGTCTGCGTGCCAAAGTCGGACGATACCGTCAATTTGATTGATGAAAAGGAGTTCGAGTCGATGAGAAGCGATGCGGTTGTCATCAACGTCGCAAGGGGCGGCATTGTCAACGAGGCCGCACTCGCAAGCGCGCTCAAGAACGGTAGCATAGCTGGTGCTGCTGTCGACGTGCTGGAGACCGAACCTGGAGGCATTGGCACGACACCGTTGCTTCCCGATCCTGCAGTCGCAGAGCAGCCAATTCCGAACTTGATCATATGTAAGTCCGCGATTGAATATCAGTGCCACTTACTAAAACCCCACAAGCTCCACACATCGCCTGGTTCACACAGGATACAATCGCCAACTACCAGCAGCTACTCAAGGAGGGCGTGGAGAATTGGGCAAATGGGACTCTGGAGAAAGACGGCGACATCAATCGAACGGTGTGCGTCCACGATGGTAAGATATATCGTTGATATGCGAGACCGTGCTTGGATGTACCAGCGCTCAACGGCTTGTAGGGTGGTTCCAAAGAGACAAGCGGCTATATAAGACCTTGCTAGACCCCGGATATATGGCTCAGACTTGCCTTTGCACTTCATGGGCGGACATCGCGGCTGCAGCATGAGCTACTGCCAGCAAATGTCACGCATGTGCCTCAGAAGTATCTGAGAGCTCCCACGGCAGATGCCGTCGAAAACCCGTCATCATAGCCATAGTTGTCACGTCCATTCTTCTCACTGAACCTGGAGCGCGTCTGTGCCCTTTTTCCTCCCACCGCCGGCTTCCATCTTAGCGGTTCGTGCGCCAAACTGAATTGCACGCTTCTTCTCAGCTGCCACCTTTCTCATTCCTAGCTGCCAAGCTGCCAGTCTCAAAAGTAGCTTCGCTGGCTCTAAGTCAGTAGGAGCTACTGCGGCTGGAACGTCTTCGTAGTGCTTGGGTATCGACTTGTCTGATCGGAAGCCACACTTCTCCCATACCGGTAGATATAGCGTAAACTCCACAAAGTCTTCGTCTAAGAAAGGATAGCGCGTCTCTTTACCCCAGTGACTTATCACTCTGTCATCTCGTCCAAGGTTGCGCTGGCCAATGCGCTGGTAGTCTAGATCCAGCTCTGCAATGAGACCTGCAAAGCCAGCGCGACTAAAGGCTGCAGCGTGTCGCGAGTACCCTCCAAACAGCTCATCTGCCCCAAGACCGGAAAGCAAGACACGCGCAGGAGTCGTGTATGAGGGGACTGGCCGGTCCATATCCGTCGAGCAGTACGCAGTACCAGATCCTCGGGCGGCGAAATATAGGGCCATAGCGATAGAGAGATCCATTTCTGTGTTGTGTGGCTTCATCAGCTCGACAATGCTTGCTCTGTGCTCAAGAGTCGAGCTGTAAGGAACGTCAACAGCGACGAACCGCCACCTTCGATTTGGACATGTTTGGGTGAGTTCAGCAAACGATGCGCGTCCCGTTCGACGATCTGGGCAGATCTCGAATGGCGAGATTTCTGCAGTGTGTGCTTTCATTGTCCGCGGATTCTCGAATGCCACGTTAAGCAGATCAATTGAATCTTCAAATGGTAGAAGATCGTGGAGAAGTCGCGTCAGGAGTGTGCAATCGAGGCCGCCAGAGAAAAGCACCGCAATGCGTGCAGATTCGGGTGTTGAGTGAAGCTTGCCGTGATTCGGGACGTTTTGTACTCGCAGCTTCAGCGATGCAGAGAGTTGGTGCAATAATTTGTCGACTGTGGCGCTTTGTATAGAGACATCGGGTCGAGTACTGGGCAAAACTGCATTAGTCGAAAGTGGATGTGAGGACCAGCTCAATTTCGTTGTTCGGATTTCATTATCCACAACATTCAGCGCGTAGGTGAAGCCGGTGTCAACCTCAGTCGCAGACAGTGTCGATGCGGAGACACTGCAAAGTGTCAGGCCGGCCTGGACATCCCCGTGAAGCGTAAGCGACCGCCGTCCGAGACGGTCTCTCCCATAGTACACAGTGGCGGACTTGGCATCGTAAAAGAGGAACGCAAAGGGCCCTGTGATGCTCGTCAGCGCTTCGACAATTGCATTAGCAGGTGACTGGCTCGAGCATGCATCGAGTAGAGCCCGAAAGACACGAATAGAGTCGTTGCCCCGTATGATGTGGCCCTTCATCTTCCACGCTTCGCCATTCCAGCAGAAAATCGAGCCCGTTGCATCGTCCACAAGTGGCTGCTGTTGCACATAGTCGCCCCTGAGTGCCAACACACTCGAACAACAGGTAAGCGTGAAGGTGCTAGTAGGGCGACTGGGAATGGCATCGGTCTGGGCAGCTTTGACGGCAACTGAAACGGTGCGAAAGCTGTCCGGTCCCCGCGCCTTCAACAGCGCGACAGCACGTTCATCCGGCGGTCTCGCCTGCCCAGCAGTCAGCGAGGCAAATATCCCGCACATTAACCAGCTGGTTCGCAAGACCGCACTGATGCAGCGAGAACAAAATCATCCAAGGGTGATGGTAGAGGAGGTTAAAAGCCTAGATGTGCTGCGGAGTTGATCAAAGTCTAGGCGTCCGCACTACGCCCAATCCGCTCTGGCCGCGCCGGATTGCAGCCTTCTTTGTCGCCTTCATACTCTGCGCCTCGACACTGTCTGTGGCCCCCCTCCCAGCGAGATGGAGAAGCCGTTGTAGGACATGACTGTAGGCATACTACGATGTACGTATCATCGGACTTGAGCGTCCTGAGATCCCATACTACTACTCGGCACGGCATGCGGGGAATTTATCTCCATGCGAAGCGATCGTTTGGAACTGATCTTCCTCCTTCTATATCACACCTCTGCCTCATCGTGAACCGCTACCATGGGAAGTCTTGGGACAACTACATCGCCGCCGAGGAAGATTGACCTGGTTGGCACGCCACGAGAAATTGGTGTCGAGCATGGTCGGCAGCTTCGGCAGGAAATCCGAGGTCAAATCGGAGTATACGAAGCCATGTTCCAGCAGACATCGAAGCTGGATTGGCAAGCGGTCAAAGAGGTCTCCAAGGCGTATGCCTTGACCATACAGCAACTGGCTCCAGACGTCTACACTGAAATAGAAGGTATTGCTGAAGGAGCAGAGCTCGACATTCTGGACATCGTTGCGCTCAACGCAAGAAGCGAGATCGCGCTAGGCTTGTTCTCTGATGGATGCTCAAGCCTCGGCTGGAAGCGACAAAATGATGTGCTCCTCGCTCAAAACTGGGACTGGACTACCAGAGTCAAGCAGAACTGCTGTCTGATGTCCATCAAGCAGGAAAATAAGCCGGCCATCTGGATGGTAACCGAAGCTGGGATCGTCGGTAAGATCGGCTTCAACTCGGCAGGCGTTGGTACTTGCCTCAATGCAATTCGAGCGAAACCCATCGAGCCTACCAAGCTACCAATCCATATTGCATTAAGGGTCTGCCTTGATAGCAAAACGAAGGCAGAGGCGATCGCCCGAATGAAGGACCTCGGTGGGGTCGCGTCCGCACAGCACATTTTGATAGCCGATGCCGATGGGCCACTGAGTCTGGAGGTGTCACCCAAAGGCGACGTTCAGATTGAGCCGGACGCCAATGGCCTTGTCTGCCACACTAATCATATGATCGAGAACAAACTCATGTACGAACCACCATGGCTGGCAGGCTCGCCTGTCAGACTGGACAGGATCCGACAGCTGTCATCCAAGCTGGCTGCTAGCGGGACGGCTATAGATGGCGAAGTGCTGCGCGGTCAGGTCTTCTCAGACACGTTCAACGCGCCGCAAGCAATCTGCTGTCAAGAAGACCCAAAGAGGCCAATCGAAACCCGAAGCAGTACCCTATTCAACATAGTCATGAAGCTGGGAGCCGGGAATCCTTCTGCAGAGGTTGTCTGGGGCCAGCCCGGCAGCGGCAAAGAAGGTGAGGTACTACACATGCCCTGGTAGAAGCTCTTAAGCGAGGCGTCCCGCCAAGGACTACGAGGCTGATTGGAGATTCGCATGTAAGGCTGCAAGATGCCATGATATCCGTCTCAGCATGTTGATCTACTCTTCGTTGACGCGCAAACCGTTTCGAAAGCTGGGCATTGCCCCTCCCTGTGCTGACCGCAATCCGTTTGTGCCTGCAGTAGCCGCCCACAGCGTGCGAAATTCTCCCAAGCGTCGTCAGCTAGACTCAACATTGTCCCACCCAGTTCGATGACCTACCTTCCCCACTTGCGGCTTCAACCAGTGCAGGGCTTCTAGATGTCAGGCCAGCCCAACCATGAATTGTCTTCGGATCTTGAAAAAGCCTCACAGGCGGAAGCAGTGGCACAGGAGGAAGTAACGTCAGTGAAAGCTCCTGAGCAGGATGCCACAGACAAGGACGAGCCAATGACCGCAGCAGCCGAAAAGATGGGCAATCTCACGGTAGATATTGGCGCAAGCAAAGCAGCAGAGAGTGTGCCCTCGAAAGAGCTCCCCTCCACTCCACCGCCACCCGAGCCGCCGGCTGGCAATGAAAAGCCGTATCGTGACCCAACTCCCAAAACACCTGTGCCATCTCGCATGCCATCTGCAAGGGTTCAGATACCGCAAGACGAGGGTAGTATACCGGCGGCGTCTGGAGAGTCGCAACAGACCGAAAATGGAGGGGAATCTGCGTCTGAGATCCAGAGCATTATGGATCAGTTCGCAGACGAAGCTGCGGCTCCGACGAGGGAAGAAATAATGTCGCCTCGACACGAGCTTTCCAGTCCGCCTCTTGGATCGCCTGCCCATTTTCCTCCACGCAAGTCCAGTCTCGAGCCTCTGCGGTCCAGAGACATGGACGCGATAGCTTCGTCGCCAGTCGCGTCGAGCCAGTCGATATCGGACCAACTACCACTTTCTCCCCCTCCTCCTGCTGTGCCTCCTAAACATGATTCCGATCAGCTGGAGGGACCATTACTGCCCAGCAGGCCATCCCAGGCCAGCCTCCCGCATCAACCACCGCCGCCGGAGCCTGAACCAGATCTACCATTTGACTTCCACCGGTTCTTAGAACAGCTCAGACACAAGTCAGCCGACCCAGTAGCTAAATTTCTACGCTCCTTCTTGACAGAATTTGGCAAAAAGCAGTGGATGGTCCATGAGCAAGTCAAGATTATTAGCGACTTTTTGTTCTTTATCACCAACAAGATGGCTCTATGCGAGATTTGGCGTGACGTCTCGGAGAACGAGTTCGACAATGCCAAAGAGGGCATGGAGAAGCTTGTCATGAACCGTTTGTACGCGCAGACATTCTCACCGGCTATTCCGCCTCCGGCAACAATACCGCGCTCGCGTTCACGGGGCCGTCGCAAAGATGTGGAGAAGATTCTGGGGCCGGGTCGAAAGGGGCAGCATCAAGAGGATGTGGAGCGGGATGATGTTCTGGCTCAGAAGATCAGAATCTATAGCTGGGTGAAGGAACAGCACCTCGACATTCCACCAGTTGGTCCCAATGGCGAGCGTTTCTTACGTCTTGCCCAGCAAGAGCTGCTCAAGATCAAAAGCTACCGAGCTCCGCGCGATAAGGTCATTTGTGTTCTCAACTGCTGCAAAGTCATATTTGGATTGCTGAAGAACGCGAAAAGCTCGGATACCTCCGCAGACTCGTTCGTGCCCTTGCTGATATACGTGGTGCTGCAAGCAAATCCAGAAAACCTGGTCTCGAACATCCAATATATTCTGAGATTCCGGAACCAAGACAAGCTTGGCGGCGAAGCAGGATACTACTTGTCGTCGCTGTCAGGGGCGATCCAATTTATTGAGAGTCTGGACCGGACTTCTCTGACCGTCAGCGACGAAGAATTTGAGAAGAACGTTGAGCTCGCAGTCTCCGAGATTGCGGCGCAGAACCGCGAAACAGAAGCCCTCAGCCCCCGAGCGACGTTCATCGAGAAGTCGTCCGTAGCAGAACCTGAATTAACACCCCGCAACTCTATGGAGGTCACTGCCTCGCCCAGGCGCAGTATGCAGCAAGATAGAAACATTCCTGGTCCCAGCACAAGTTCTGAAGACAGCGACGCCGTTGCCGGCCTTCTGCGAACGATTCAGCGCCCACTGTCTACTATTGGAAGGATGTTTTCCGATACAGAGACTACATCACCGGATCAGTCTGGACCCGGCGGGACTTATGGTACGCCGCCTGCTAGAAGCAGCCCACTAGCTGTACCCGGTGAGGGTGGGCCCGAGAGGCGTGGATCGCAGCCCAATGTGCCGCAAAGGGGCCGGCAACCAGGTGAGGTTGACGATGCGCAAGAGGCAGCGGCAAGACAGGCAAGCGCAGAAGCAGCAGAAGCGAGGAAGATACAAAGGGCTGAGCATAGAACCGTTGTTGAAACCCTGTGTGGCATGTTCCCCAACCTGGACAAGGAAGTTATCGACGATGTGGTGCGGCAGAAGCAGGGCCGGGTTGGACTTGCGGTTGACGCTTGTCTTGCACTCACGGCAGGAAGCTGAACGGGAGACGAACGGACGCTTTGACAAGACGATAAAAAATTCGTTACTGGCCTCGCGGATGCTGCTCACGCGTTGTAGAGGTGGCTGATGAGTAGGGAACGCACCGTCAACAGCGGCTAAGAATGAGCCCAAGAGGCCGGAGCTCAACTGCTTCGTTGGGGCCGAACTGCACCGCCGTTGTGCGTGCTTGTGTTCCGTCGCCCTCTCGCTTCGGGCCAGCCGATTGCGTCTGCCTCGTTTGGCGTCACAAGTCACGGGCTTTCATGCTCGATGACCGAGCTCATTTGGGTGGCACGGAGATTAGTCCAGGGACGAAGACGTCAATATCCACTTGCCGATTTTACTCGGCCAAAGTGCACGAACGTGGGCCAGATAAGCACCGGCAGGACATTGAAGAGGGAGCGAGAGTACCGGTATGGGGCACTCGAAGGCAGGTTGGACAGAGTAGCAGCAGTAGCAGTAATGACAGACGCCCATGAGGCCAGTCGGGCTGTTTGATGCTTGAGCGTGCGCAACGCTGTTGACCAGGTTGGTTCGGGACAATCAGGCATCACACCGAATCTGAGCAAACGAAGATGAGAAGACCTGGATAGCCGAAGCGTAAACCTGGTGGCCACGACGCACCACAACGTAGAGTTGTTCAGAGTACTTAACCAACAACTAACAAGCATCAAACAGAGAGGCTTACACCCTGACAGGACGTGAATTCCTTTGCGTCATTGTCTTGCTGATCCAATAGTCAGGGTTAACAAAACCGGTCAGGATTTTCTGCCTACATGAAAGCTACTGTATACGCGCTCTCAAAGGCTTTGCAACAGAGAAAGGTTCGTTCACCACATGGATTGTGCAAAGACTGAAGTCAAAAGGACCAGAGTACTTGAAAAAGCCGAAAGAGGCAAGACGTAGGGCAGAGTTCAGCAACCCACGAAACGTCCACAAGCCCATCCATCTCAATCAGTCTCAGTCCCGCAAAGAGCCCCCCCCCCCCCCCGGCGGTTCCAGACCCAGACAAGAAGGCACTCCGTACCCCCCCCATTGTCCATCGGCTCGCAAGAGTGCTTACAGTATCATAGATCCGGACGAGTAGCAGAACGGATCCGCGCCCCTCGGTCCCGACAACCCCTCTCGGTTCCGACGCCATGCCCGCTGCCCGCTTTCGCGTTCGCTTTTCGCGGGCCCCCGTGAAAGTTGGCGTCCCACACGCCGGATATGTCGGCGGCCGGCAGCTTCGGCTCCTCTCCCACGCCGGAGAGCGCATGTTGCGCGAAGCAAAGCGGGGCCCTAGAGCGGGACTTTGCGGGGCTGGCTGCTGGCTGGCTGGCTGGCTGTTGAGAAAATTGGCGTTGGAAACGTAGAGTAGAGCGCTGATAAGTCGGCGAAGGAACAGGTTGTTGGGGGATTGAGGGTTTGGGGGTTTATTGGAAGCTTGAGGATCTGGGCGGATGCCATGAAACTGCGTTGTGTGTATGGGCACGTGTAGGTTGTATGGTATGGGACTGGATTCAGCGCGAACGGAGCACGCGCATGAGACAGACTCTTAGGTATGTTTGATGATACGATTTGGTAGATGATATTGTTCAGAAGCCGCTGGTTTGGCTTCGTGCTCACTGTATGCTTTTCCAATACTGTAAGCCCATAGCTGGTGCATACATCCTATGCTCAAAAGACCTTCCTGAACTTTTGCAAGGGAGACGCCTCGCATTGCCTGCTCGCCGCCCTACCAGCCAGAACACTCATAAATCGTACTCGTCGTAGATAAACCCTGCTTTGACTTCAAGAGAAATTCATGTCTCGCATATCTCGACACTCGCCCGGTGGTGCTCGCCCTCCTGCTCACAAGCCGCGTCGACATCGAAGAAATCGTCAAACGCCTCTACGCTCTTCAACGGCGCATCGGACGCCTCTCCAGCACCGCCCTTCAAACCTTTGCCCTCACCCTCAACCTCACCACCCTCGAACTCCTCCTCATCCTCACCGTCGTGACAGCCAATGGCAAATCCCGCGTAGCTCGAACGCCTCGCCTGTTCCTGCTGATCCGCGGCCTCATCAGCGCTGGGACGCCTCCGCAAGAGACCCTCACGCCTCCTGCGCTCCTGCTCTCGCAGTCTGCGCTGGGCCTCCAGCATGCTCATGCGCTTCGCGGCCCATGCCTCCATCTGCCAGGACGGCAGGGCTTTAGGCTCCGGGACCAGCGTCGTCAGCAAATTCCTCTCGTGGCTCGTCACCGCGAGGCCTAGGCTGATGAAGGTGCCGAGGTTGCAGCCCGAGGTGGTGTCGCTGGAGGCGATGCTGGGCTCGACGGAAACAGGGGAAGGGTACTGGAATTCATCGTGCGATGTGGAGGAGGGAGATGGAAGGGAATAGTCGGCGTTGGTATTGAAGCCGGGAGAGTCTTGTGAGGTTGAGACCGGTGGGCTGGGTATGGACAGGGAGGCATTGCTGTAGAGACGGGCGCGGGCACGGGCGATGACGTCGGTATAGTCCTCTTCTGAGTGTGTCGAAGGTGAGGCGGGCATGGTAACGGATGATTTGCGGTTAGATGACGAGAACGAAAACGAAGACATCTCTGGTGCTACTGGAGGGTTGGTATGCTTCGAGGTCATATCCGTCGTTGTGTTTGTGGAAGCTTCGATGTCGGATACATTATCGGAGTTGTAGCCAGAATCGGTACTCCGATAGGAGCGAACAGATTGCTGGCGCTGGATCTTGCGGCGTTTAGCTGCTGGCTCGTTGTCGCCGGTAGCAGAAAGGACGGCGTGCTTCATGGCAGCAAGCTCGGCGGCTGGGAAGAGACGCTCGACGAGAGACATATTGCAAGCAGAGCTGGCGAGTGAGGGGCACGAGTATGCCAGCTAACAGTACGCTTATGTTGCGTGGTGTATTCCAAGGCTCTGTAATCGAGCTGACGGTCCTACAGTCTAGATTGATGGTTAAATTGGCGTTAGTGATAGAAAAATATCTTCAAAGCGACAACACGAAAGCCATGAGACGGGGCCATCTATTTTTTATGAGCATGCGGGATCGCCAAAGCATATGGGGAGTTGGAGGGGAGAGCTTGGGGATTGGCTTCGGTCCCGATCACATACCCCTGTAGCGATGAAGCAAACCTTTGCCCCGTGATGATTTGAGGACCCCAGATGGGGACCCCACTTGGGAGCGCAATCGAAGGCAAAAAAGGGTTGGCAGACTGCTGAAAGCGAATAGCGCACATGCACGCAACGCCGGGCCCAGGCGAGCTAACGGCCGCAACGATCAGAAGGAAAAGCTGGATGCCTTGGCCGTTCGGAGTGCGACGGGTGGAGCATTGACTGTTAACTGCACATGGTCAAGAGTAGCCTGCTGACCCTCTGACCGGAAGCGAGGCTGCCCAATCAAGCCTCTGTGTCACTCTCGCTCTTCCGTGCGTGGCTTGAGGGCTGAGTGGTGGTGAGAACTCCATGGTGCTTCCTTGTGTCCTTGGTGTTACTGTTGGGACATGATAGAAGCTGTCCGAGTCTTCGCCGTGTCGTCTATCTCGGATCAGAGGAGAGTTGGTAATCATTACACCGTGCTGACCGCCTTTGATAGCACGACACCGAACAGGGTAACCTCCGAACGGGGTACGCTTTGATCGGCCCGGAGAAAACGTGCTGGAAGAGGGGGGCGGGCTGAGATTCCGAGCGTGCCTCCCGTGCCTCGGCTCGTGCACCTGACACTGGCATGAGAAGGTTCTCTCCAAGGCCACTCATGGACGCCCAATTTCTGACATTGGATGGCGTCCGTTCGGCGGCGGACCAGCAATGTTTACGAGCTCTCGTGCCCAACATAGTCCGGGTCCCGCTCTCTCTGCTGCCGCCACATACGAAGTACGGACTCGCGCTGCACCGCGTCCTCGACTTCTTGGCCTTGCTTTTCCTTCTTGACTTTGAGTCGCCATCTTCCCTGGCTACCTCGGCCAGCGTTAGAGTTGAAGTCGAGCGTCCACTCTAAAGGCAGTTTACCTTGTCGCTGTCCGTCTGCCGTGTCTTCCGCCTCGGAGCTCATCCATCGGTAGCCGGCTTTCAGTATTACATTGGCATAAATTGTGAAGAAACCCCAGCCCAAACGATGGATCTCGTAGGGCGGGAGTTGCAGTATGACCCGTGGGTTCCTAAAGGTTGGGTGCTATGCTGATCAACGGTCGTCCTACGATGTAAGCACTTTGGACTCACTAGGAAGACTTGCACCTCCTCGATCAGATCAGTTCTTGACGGACGCACAAAGAACTTCCAATTATGCGTGTTCTTGGAGCCGGACTGATCAGCTTTGACGAGATGGTGAGTATTCCCAATGTATAGGGTTAGTGTCTCGATGGTGTCTGCATTATGCTCATCCGACACTATTTGTGCTTCGAGCTCTCTTGCCGCGTAAGAGTGTTTGTACTTTCGCCGCAGCGCAGCTTCACGAGTACGGTCTGGCGAGGCAGTCGTCAGGGTTCTGCACATGGGGCAGCGGCTCTCCATCTCGCTAGGAAGACATGTCGTGGGGACATCTTCCAGGCCGACGATTTGCCTTTGATCCGTGATTGAAATGTCGCTCCACACTTTCATACATTCTGCACAGAGCGTGTGGTTGCACGTTGTCGTCACTGGTCTGAGCATCAGACAATGACAGATGGCACATAAATCGTCGTGCTCTATGGTTTCGGTCTCTGCCATGCGGGAGGACGGTCTTGACCGGGGCTGACGGGTAGTCTTCCTCTTCATTATGCAAGTAGCATGAACATCAACCACGAGACATGCGCGGGCAGAAGCTGAGAATGAACACAAGAACGTTGTAACCGTTGACGACAAGTAACGTCGAGATGGAAGGAACCGGCAGCAAACGCCATTAGAGACGTTCAGAGCATTAGACCATTTTTGTGCACTCTGTATAGGGAACTCATCCTCCCACCCCCGCTTCGAGCCTTCGACAGGCCTCAAGTTCCTTTGCACTTGTCGTCCAGACCCATGTCACTGTCATCTGTGCCAACGCCGCAGGTTGACAATGCCTGGCATGTGTACTCCGAGGCTCTGCATCAACTACACGACAACAATAGGCCAACCAAGTCCGATTCGTCCGACCAACTATATCATCATCAATGTCGATGATGACTCGTATGATGCATGGGATTCTATTTCCGATCCACTAACAGACTTCCAATCTCCATCTCGTCTTTATCCGACCTTCATATGCACGCCTCATCAATGAGGTTGCAGATTCGAGGAGTGCTTTTGGACGGCTAGACATCCAATGATGCACCTGGTAAAATCAGCCATGGCCCCGAGTATGCTGCCTCCCGCGGACCTGACGCAAGTAGATAATGGTTTCAAGTATTGCTTTACGTCGCTTCTCTGCTTGCTTTGCATCATTTCCCAGACAGTCATACACAGCTATCACTACCAGGACCTGGCAGAAGACGAGCTCGCTTCATTACAGCAACAATCTAAACCCCCGTGAACACCTGAACGACGCCATGGAGGCCGTCAAACAAACACTCGCCCAGAACTTTGGTGGCCCTGCCCATGACGCCGCCAATACAGGCCAGAAGTTCAGCATCGAAACCGATGTTCCTGATTTGAGCGGCAAGGTCGCTTTGATCACTGGAGGCAGCGAGGGAGTTGGCTACGCCACAGCCTACACTCTTCTCAAGCGCAATCTTGCCAAGCTATTCATCATTTCTCAGCGTGAAGAAGTTCAAAACCAAGCCGAGGGAGATGTTCGCAAACAGCTTGGCTCCGAGCACGCCGAGAAGATCACCTTCTTTCAATGCGACTTGTCCGATCTGCTCGCCGTCACCGATATCGTCAAACAAATCAGGTCACAGACGGATCGCCTCGACATTCTCTGCCTCAATGCTGCCCGTGGAATTATGACATACCAGACGACCGACTATGGCATCGACCGGTATAGTCCCTCAACTCTCTCGACCTGACTGATAGCTGATAGCTGATTTCCTAGACACATGGCAGTCAACCACTTAGGTCACGTCACCCTTACCTCCCACCTGCTTCCCCTGTTGAAGAAGACGGCCGAGTCCTCCACCGTCCGGATCCAGATTCAAGCTTCGAACGCCCATCAAGGTGCTCCCAAAGACACCAAGTTCGCCACAATCGACGAACTGCAAAACGATCTCGGCCCTAATCCTCAGTACGGCCGCTCAAAGCTTGCCGGTATCCTCTATGCGCGTTACTTGGCTGCCCACCTCACAAAAGAGCATCCCAACATCCTTGCCAACGCAACACATCCAGGAGTCGTCGAGACCAAGATGTCTACCGAGGACATTCACGAGCCGTACCCCAAAGCTGGCTATCTGATGAGTGCGGGCCTCAGCCCTTTCAAAAAAGATATCTGGGAAGGTTGTGTGAGTACGGTGTATGCTGCGACTGTTGTGGTAGAAAGCGGTCTCTACATTTGCCCACCTGCGAAAATCGGTAAGTCGTTTCCTCATCCGTCAAGCATGGCAACACTGCCAGATATGCTTCCTCTAGCTCTCCACGCGATGCAAATGTGCTAATACCTTTTCAGAGGAGGGCAGCCCGTTGAGTCAGGATGCTCAACTATGTGAGAACCTGATGAGGATCACGGGCGAGATCATTCAGGAGAAGTTCGGCGCACAGAGCGTAGACAAGGGCTGTCCTCTCAAGGACTATTAGGCGATTGCTGCTCGCAACTGAGAGCCTTGATTGGTGGATCTCCACACTAGACCTCTTTAGGACACTTTCACTGCCTGATGTCGAGGCATGCTTGGCGGGCTGTTTGCCATCTTCCTACGTGCCTTGGTACGATTACAACAGGCTCGAGGGCTTGGAGGCCGTAATGTTGAGAACTTCGTTCATAATATGCATACGTATATGTAATCCATTCAGCTCGTTCATGTACATTGACACACGACACGATGATGAATCAACAACCAAGAATATAATTCCCTTCTCTAACCTTCAGCATTTCCGTCTGTACATGGTTCTGTTGCTCAACAACGCTTTATCGCTCCTCTACCACACGTATCCTCTGCATGCACTGTGCTCATTCCGTATAGTTCAACGCCACGTCATGGGAGTGCGAGATGCCAATCACGTCACGGTGAGGAGGTTGTGGAGGTTGTGGTCAGCCACAGGGCACCGGAGTGTGGGGGAGGCACTAAGTCGACAAATCTCGTTGGGTCAAGAGCTACTAAGACCCGCGATCGAGGGAATAGAGAGGAGATTAGTTAGTGGCTAAGGGGAGATTCAGTACTCAAATAGCCGAACGGTCTTTGAGGAGCGTGGAGATGGGAAAGAAGGGATGGGGTTTCTCACGCGGACGTACTACAATTGCGCAGGTTTTGTGGCTAGGGAACGCTGCGAGTACGAGTCTGTGGGATGCTCATGTCGAGGTGCAGTGACGTACATGCCTGCTGACGGGATTTGAGGCCCAGCATGATTGACGACAGGTATCGTCAACAAACGCATAGCGAAAGACACTGGAGAGAGGAGTTTATGGGTAGTATCATTCGTATGCGGCTGCTTCCATGCAGCTCCTGCCGCTAACATCTCATCGTGTTGTCTCGTTGTCCCGTAGGACTAGTCGCTCCGCTCCTCGGTTCCCCTAGTTGGACTTGGCGCCATCATCCTTGTTCTTCGCCTCCTGCTCCTCCCTCTCCCTATGCTCACCATTGTCGTCCTCCTCGTCTTCCTCCTCCTCATCCTCCTCCTCTTCACTCTCGAGGCTGACGAAAGGATCATGCATCCTGCCTGCCCTCACGATGGTTGGCGAAAGCTGGCTTCGGATGCCGGCATCGGTGTGATTGGCAGTGCGAGGAGCGTCCGGAGGAGAGCCTTTGCTAGGGTCGGCCAGGATCTGGCTGGGTGGTGTGGTCGGAGCCGAACCCATTGGTTTTGGGAGGGTTTTGGACGTTGGAAAGGGTAGGCGGTTTGTTCTAAATTTGGGGCGACTGTGCGGTATGTCAGAGTCGATTTGTGGCGGCGACGGGAATGGGACCCATCAAAGGGCCATACCTTGTGATCGAACAGTGCCCGCGATGGCTATGTTATTGTGCCGAGACTGTAGGATAGTTTCTGGCTCGTGGTAGGAAAAGTCCGGAAAGGTTGTGGGTTGTGTTTGGATTTGAGGTATTCAGAGACGACAGCCTTGTTGTAACGCATCGCGAATGCCGAAAAGGGCAAAGCGTCTGTTCCGAAGGCGGACATTCATTTTGATTCTGTTTGCACGCAATAGACGGCAGCGGGCTCGCGGCGACTGCCAAGACTTGGTAGACCTCACCACATTGACGTATCAACAAAGTCCCTGGACTTCTTACCAGGCTTGCTCGGTGTCGACAGCTCGGTCATATCGTCGTCCTCGTCGAGACCAAAGTTCACTTCCGGTAACAGGGGTTGGAATCTAATGTCACCCTCTTGCTCGCTCAAGAGACCAACATTGATTGCCTTGGTGGTGGTCAACACAATTGGATTCCTTCCCTGCAAAGCTCCTCCGACCCAAGAAAATTCGAATTTTGAAGAGACGACACTGGAGACTGGAATCTGACAAGTCGCCGGCGGCCTGGTCTCCGAATACCATACGATGAGCTTCGGGGCTTTGCTTGTGGTTGCGATTGCAAGAACGTTCGGCTGTCGCGGATGCCATAGCAGCTGGCGGACAGGGTCTCTAAGGACGATGATCGAATGCGCGTCCGGATGCTCTGATTGCCATAGCCACACTGCTTTAGGGTTGTCAGCGACCGTTGTAGCCAAAAAGGTCTGGTCGGCATTGACTTCGAGAGCTGTGAGATCTCCTCCTGCTGCAGGGTCCAGGACAGCGTCGAAGGCGCCCTTTTGCAATGAGAACTCATCGACATTGTTCTGCTGCCAGAGGATTGACTTGCTTCCATCGATAACAGTCGGATGTTTCAAAATAACGAGATCCTGCACACTCATTGTTCTATTCTGCTGGCGCCTGACCAGGACTTGCTTGCTGCCGTCCGAGGCGATCAAAACCGTATCGTCATCACCAGTTGTCCACTGGAGCTTCGATAAGCCAAGACCGTCAAGACCAGAGGAGATTCCGAAAGGCCCAAGATCGAGCTGCTTCAAAGGGTGGCCCATCGAAGAGAAGAAGTTGACAACCATTCCGTGCGCGGCCGAGTCCCAGACGGCGAGGACCGGCTCTCTGTTCGGGGAGAATAACAGTCCTTGTGCATCAAAGGTCGTGATGTTGAAGCTTGACTGGACCGAGATGTGATCGTTGTCAATGCCCAAAAGGGTTACCTGGTCTTGTCCCTTGTTTCGTTGCAAGATGGCCAAGCTGCGTCCGTTGGGGGCTTTGGCAATGCTCCGAGCGCTGGAGAACTTCACATGGGCGATATCGTCTCTCTGCGGCTGTCTGATGGACAAGATGAATGCAGTACCACTAGCTTCCAATAGCACGAGCACATGATCCATATCAAGGACAAAGTCTGCATAAGACAGCTTGCCAAATTGGTCTCCGATCTGATAGTCGCATACGATGGGATCATGGCCTCGATGGTCTCCATTGGACGGCAATGTGTCGGGATTGATGACAACCAAACGAATGCTGTCGGAGAGCAGAAGCCAGGGTGTAGTCACATCAGCCTCAAGGCCCGTTGCAGCCCATTTCAAAACTGTCAACTGGCTAAGGAAAGTGGGTGACACTTTTGCAACGGGTCCCTGGTGCAAAGTCCAAAATCTGCCTCTGTCGTCGGTCTGAAGGAGGTGTAGTGTCTGCGAAGGCTCGACTAGGGCGATGTGTCGGCCGTCCTGAGAAACGGCAGGCCTGTTGAGGGCTCGATGGAGTCAGCGCGCACTCGCATGCATAGAGTTCGCAACCTACCGGCTCCGAAGGATGATGGTTCCAAACTCATGATGGTTCCTACTGCCATTCGACTCTATCTGAGCACGCACTGACGGGCTTTTGATGATATATATAATACATGGTGGTGTTTGCGAACGTCGCAAAGAAGGTTAGCCTGCAGTTGTGGACGCGCAAGGCAACAACACACTGGATTCCGCCAAGAGTGCACACTTGACGCCCTGCGTGCCCGTATTATCCTGACCACCTCCTGACGTTCAGCCTTGTTCTGCACAACTCAACACACCTCACTTTCACACATGGAGAAAGCGATGATCCAGAGTACAGTGAGTACAGGGCTCTTGATACATCTGGTGTCACAGCTATGGTGGTCTTGGGTATCACTCAAGATTTTGGCCCGTCGAAGCATCGAAACCTCGAAAGAACATGCACCTCGTTGGGAAGGTCGAAGCTCTGAGCTGGTCATGCTATACAGACCTTGGTATATCGCTGGGTACTCGCTGCCATAGCGAGCGCAAGATGCTCGGCTGATGGAGTTTCAAATCCGTCAGCTGGCCATACTGGCTACTCCGGATACCCTCGCATCGACGCGAGACATGTGACACCCACTCGGTCTCGAGGATCCCATGCATATTCTATGGGGCATAAGCACGTCGTCTGAGTACAAGAGAGTGCAGCTTTCTGTCCCACGAAATTGACGCACTGCATTTGGGAGGGAGTGCCGTTGTCCATTGCTTAGCATGCTGAGGAGTGCAAGTTGGTCGCTGCTCAGCATGCTCAAGGCTAGAGTTCATTCACTACTCACCATGCCAAAGAGTGCATACTGCTTACCATCCAAGATGCTAGAGAGCAGAGTTGCTCACTGCTCACCAAGTCAAGGAGGGTAATCTGCTCATTGCTAGGCAAGTCAACGAGGGTGGTTTGTTCACTCCTCGGCATGTCAAGGAACGCAGTTCATTCACTGCTCAGCCTGCGACGGCCCCACTACTTTTCTAACACACGCAGCCGCCACTATTATTGTCTCGAGTGACAGTGTTAGTGACTGGAATCACCTTCTCGACGCTTCCACCGAAACTATTTCTGCCCTCCAACCACATACATTTTCTTTATCACCTACCACCACCTTTGCACCAACTCCTTGGAAGCCTATCAAGGACAACTTCTTTATTTAGCTCACAGCATCTTCCAGAACATCATCGCTCAAGCTGTTTGTTGGCGTTGTCCACCTCTCATCACATCCAGGCAGGCCGCCGACATAAGAAGCCGCACCATCTCCCATCAAATAGACCTGGTAAGCATATCCATTACTTATATACTTAGAACTACAGCTGATGTTGCCCTATATCTCAACCAAAAGAGCAAAAACATGTCTGGCAGACCCTCAGATAGGCCCAGAGGTAGCCGAGGAGGCAGCGGTGGACGTGGTGGACGAGGCGGAGGGACAGGTGGTCGGAGTATGTCGCTCTTCCCAGCCTTTACAAGATACTAACAGCTGTCCAGACCAAGCTTTGACTGCTGGCCAGCGTAATACTCGCATCAATGTCCTTCGCAGCAGACTGCAACCCCATACCACGGACGAGAACCTCCTCACAGCCTATCTGGCAGCGAATCAGTGGCGCATCGATGCAGCGTCCACACAGATCCTCCAGGACCACAACCAGGTCGAGGGCGAACGCCTGGCTATCCCTAACAACCCGCCACTAGGCTCGAATGCCCAAGCAGATACCAGCACCTTTCAGCAGACTGTTGCCCCCGTTGCTCAGCCTACACAGGCTCCTCCATCTACCCAGCCTGCTGCTGCCACAACCTGGAACGCTGTCATCACTCAGGCCGCCAAAACACTGATCGACATCCTTCGGCAAGCCAACATACCATCAACTAGCCACCTTGAGTCGGAGAGACGTGATACGGCACGCCTCTTCCGCGACAGACTTGCCCAGAGGTACCTGATCAATGCTGGCGATCTGGTTGCAATGGAAGAAATCCTCCTCCTACACCTTGCTGGTTGGGACATTGGCACCGCCATCGCCAAATTCCAAACCCTCCGACACTCTCTGTGCACACTGCACGCGCACTTCGACCATTTGCGATCCAAGTTGACCGAGGAAGTCTACAGCCAAGACAGAGCCTCTCAGGAGCAGAAGGACGAGCGACTGACACTACTCCTAACCATTACCGGCCGCAGCGATTGGTTCTCTATCCGAGAATACCTCAAGCTCCGAGAATGGGACCTGCCACTTGCACTCGGCAACTGGTAGCGTCGAGGTATTGCGCCTGTAGCTCATAAGAAACACAAGAAAGGCGAGGGCCGTCGCTTCGACTACAACCTATCCCGTCGACCTATGCCTACAAGCGTGTCAGCACACCCCGGTGCTCACTCGATCGAAGGTGGCTGGGATCCTCTCTGGCACCCCGAGCGCCTCACCTACGGAACCGACGCCCTTTGCAACGGCTACGTCCGCCCACAGCCTGTCCGTCCGGCCCGCGACCGCGCCTTCGGCTTCCCCATCGACGCGGACCCAACCTTGTGCAGAAAGGCCCAGCCGACCCCAAGAAATTCCTCGTGGAATATATCAGCAAGGGCGAATACCGCCGCAGGCACTTCGTCAACACCTTTGCCTGGCCAGACCTGAACCCAGACAAGCCTGCTGACGACAGCTCCGACAACAACGAGGGCGATGATGCCACGATGTCAATTCCTGCCCCTGCCGCCGCCGCTACCACCAAGAGCGGACCGAGGCCTCAGACCAAGCCCAAGCCCGTCTCCTTCGACTTCACCAACCAAAGCCACCTGGAAAGGCTCAACGGCTTCCGCCGCCAGGCCTACTCGCGCAGCACAGGCATCCAGCGCCGCGAACGCGCGGAGAAATGGTCCGACGCCGAAAAACAAATGCTCTTCGACCTGCACCTCGAAGAGACCGAGACCCTGCGCAAGCAGCCTGGCAACGAGGCCAAAACCAACTGCGAGCTCGACCCCTTGATTAGAGTCATGCGAGACATCAAAACCAAGTGGGCGGCGGCGCTGAACGCCGCGTTCGAGGGCACGCAGCAGCCCGGGTCAAAGCCGGGACGACGGTGACGGGAGGCACGAGGAATGCGGACAGCGTGGCGACGCATCGTCTGCGGACCAAGGAGCTTTGTGACGAGTTTGGGCTCAAGTATTCGCCGATCAACAGCGAGTTGAATCGGGAGAAGAGGGAGAAGGCGAGAGCGGAGGAGGAGAAGGAGAAGGAAGGGAAGGAAGACGAGGAGGGAGAGGAGGAAGAGGAGGAAGAGAAGAAGGATGATGAGGCGGAAGAGAAGGGCGAGTGAGCCGAGGCAGATGAGGAAGTGGAGGGGAGACGCGTTGAGGCTGGAGGTGGAGGTGAGGGAGTGGTCAGCCAGAGATGTGCTTCGTTGAGTCGACGAGCGAGGCTCAGCCCTCTCTGCTCAACCTTCTGTAAATTTAGGATATGCTGCATATGGGCATTGGAGAGGCCTCCGGCGATTATCAGGTCTGTTCTGAGAACTGCTGGTGCCCTCTCAGTGTCCACACGATCCCAAGAAATGGTTTTGATATGCGGAAGCACATCTGTAATCCAAACTACGGGAGCAAAAGTCGATGACAGAGAGACAAACAGGCCAGCCACTTCTCTGGAACAAAGTAAACATTTGTCTTGTAGCCTATGGGGTCATCAAATAGCTGATAACTCGAAAGTCCGATTTGTTCTTCGCCACATTCCTAGGCACCAACAGTGCTCCTTCTGAGACAGTTGAAGCGGGACTTTTGTGTGCAAATATGAAAACCCACATTCTGCGCCAGTACAAAGATCTTCCCCCAAGCCTTGATCCATTCGTGTTGATGTTGGGTAGAAGTACATTGCTTGCTCTAAGACTCCAACAGCGCTGGGTCCATGCGATTGTAGCGTTTGTGTGGTGAGCAGTAGCCACACCGCAAAAAGAAAATGGTTGCTGCACTAGTGCAGAGAGCGATAGTCATAAAGTCGTGAGCTGGAGGTAACATGTCCAAGCCAACTCGAACACATACTACAGAACGCGGATGGATAAAACCCAATGAGCATGTCGAAGGAGCGTGTGTTCATCAGAAGTTCATCTTCAGACATGTCAGCAGGATACCTTCAAAATCCGTTGTATGGACTTACCCGTCGACCCCTTCCAGCAGTGTGAACAGGCTGCATGGACGGAGAGTAGAAATACTGCTGCTGTTGCTGCTGTTGCTGAGGGTAGCCGTACATGCTTGCTGGCATGTTCTGTGAATAGCCCGGAGGCACGACCCCGGCGCTCATGACAGGGCTGGTCGAAAAGGGCACTGGCGAAGCAGCCTGATTCTGCATTCTGAATGTATCGATCGTTGACGGTGGGGTAGCGTAGCCGTTAAACCCAGGTGGCGCGAAGCCGGCGCTGGCAGAGCGTGGCGCACCTCCTACGAAACCTTGGTACTGACTTTGAGGCGTCATCTGCTGGTAAGGCATGCCACCATAGTTCTGCTGCGCTCCGAATGCGTTGATATTGTAACCAGGATAGCCGAAAGGGTCGGCAGATCCCGAACGGACTGGACTGGCTCCATTTTCGAGACTAGGCATGTATGTTCCACTGTATTGGCGCTGGAAGGTGGGCGGCTGCGCCATTGGTGCTGGTTGCGTGGACGGGCGGCGGTCGTTGACGGGATGCGCATGTCCAAAAGATTGTTGGTGAGGCTGTCCGGGTCGAGCTGACATCCCAACTTCATCCATGAGACGTTTGTATCCTTGGTTTGGCTGAGCCTTGATCTTCGTAAGGACCTTGGTGATGTTGCGAACAACATCTGGTCTCATAGCATCATCCAAGAATGGAGTGGTCAAGATCTTAAAGATCAGAGTGACGCCAGATGTCTGGTCGCGAAGGATCTGCTCAAGTACAGCGTCGTTGGAGCTGAAGAAGAGTGCTTTGAGTATCAAATCCCTAGCTTCAGGCTCGTTGCGTTGGTTGATGATCTTGAGAACTGTCAAATAAGCCACCTTGTGCGTGCAAAGTTGCACCAGATGGGGTGCCAGCCTAGGGGCCAGAACCGACCGACGACGTGGGAACGAGCACGTATCGAGTAGCCAAGTAAGCAATAACGCCCCGTTAGCGTTCGTCGCTAGCTGCACGCTGGACATCGCAATAACAGCAGCCATCACTCTCTGCTGAGGTTTGGTAGAGTAGTGAGATTCCAGGCATGCCCTCATGGCACGCGCGCCGAAACGACCTTGTGAGACCTCAGTCATGTGGCTGAGCATGGTCTCAAAGATAAAGTCGTTGTACGGGGAACCAAAACGAAGGCAGCATTGCAAGACATAATTGCCGTACTGGTCGAGGAAGAGAGGAATGGTGTACGGGCGGAGGTTGTCCACAATGATGCGGATCTGGCTGTCGGTCTTGCAGACATCAATGATTTTCTGGGCTGCCCAGGTACCATTCTTGTGCACGCCAATCTCAGCCAGGTGCGGCGCAATCTGAACCAGCATCTGCTCCTTGATTTGCTCCGAGCAGAACTCGAACAGCTTTTGGACAACAGTGTTACCCAAGTAGTCGGACGAAAGCTCGGCGATTTCAGGGAGCATGTCCATCGCAATTTGCTCAATCTCTTGTAGGCCACAGGTGCCGTTGTCAATGCGCTTTCGAATGTCACGGAGTCGTGGTGCATCGTACATCCGAGTCGCACTTGGTTCAGGAATGGGAGGAACTTCTCTCTTCAGCGACTTGTACGCAGCAGCGCTCTGAATGTTGGCGGAGATGACAGGGATGTCTTGAGGGGGCGCACCAAATTCGGTGACGATTTGTAGTATTTCGGGCTGCAGCTCGCCAAGTCGGTCTACCATTGAAGCAGACGTAGAGGGAGCAGCAGACGATGGCTCAGGCATAACATCGCCCTTAGCACCAGCACCGGAGGGTTTTTCATTCTCCGCGGATGTTGGCGTCAGCATGGGTTCACTTGGAGTCATGGCGTTGGACGTGGGAGCCTTTGCAAAACCGATCCTGACTGGACCGGCACCTGGGAAGATCTCCTTCCCGTTAAGAATCTGACGAGCACGAACGGCATTGTCAGCATTTTCGAAATTAACAAAGCCACAATTCTTGTGAGTAAGAACCCTTGTCGATTCGATAGGGCCAAAGCGGCTGAAAATGGCGTCCAGTGAAGACATAGTGGTCGAGTTGGGAATAGAACCGATCCAAAGGGAGCGGGACGGCTGCAAATCGGTCTCATCAAAGCCTTCTCCTAGTCCTGCAGAGCCATCATTCAGGTTCAAGCCATTGAGCGCGTCAGTGAGCTCGTTGCCATGAAGCTGCATATCCATGGAAGGCTGGATATCCTCATGACTGGATCCCTGGACCAAGTTTCTCAACGATGTTCGCTGGGGAGTCTCGACCAGCCCGGCAGTTCTGGCCCGCGGCCTCGCTACACTGGCGTTCACAGCAAAAGCCTGAACGGCCTGGTTGTGCAGCCGAACCTTCTCTTGCACCGCTTGATATTCAGCTTCCAGCGCGGCAGCCCCAGACGGGGTCAAAGTGCCATCTTGGAAGTAGCCAGCATTCTCAAGCGTCTCGAGGTTATACTGCTGGGGCTGAGTGTTGACCGAGAAAGATCGGAAGCGATTGGAGGAGTTGCGTAGATGAAAGTTTGCCAGGGGATCGGCTCGAGACTGCTCGGAGCCGTCGTCGGATCGCCGCAAAGGCTCAACCCGAGTTTGCTGAGGAGTCTCGGCCAGCCCAAGGTAATCTAGAGTCCTCGCACCGGCTTCGCTCATGGCGTCCTTGGAGAAGCTAGGTTGGGAAGGAGATGATGCATCTTCGGCAGAAGAGATGCTGTTGAGAGTTGCTGCTCGAGCACGGGTGTTACCCCAGCTGGAGCCGAACGAGCTCCCGAAAACGCTTGACTGACCAAGAATGCTCGTTCGCTGCGGCATGCTACCAGCACGCAGTCTCGACAGAAGAGCAGCAGTCCCCGGGTTGGTGGAAGACTGGGCACTGTTGAAGGCATTTTCAGCAGCAGAAGTTGAACCAGGCCTGAAAGGGCTGGTCGAAGGAGTAGGTCTGGAAGTTTTGGAGGTTGTGGTTGTATTGACATTGGTGATACCGCTTGGGGCAGATATTCTTGACGGAAGAGTGCCAGCACGTCCCCGTCGGGCGGGACTGTTGATGCCGGTTTCTGTCAAGGGAACCAGGTCAGGAAAGCCGTCCTGGTTAGGGGACTCGGGTATCTCGAACAAGGGAGTGGAAGTGCCGCTGGTTGGCGGTCCCCAGATGTTAGGAGAAAGACCGGCTACAGACTGCAGCTCGCGAGTACGTTTTGGGAACAAGCGTGAGGTCTGGTCGTGCAGGGGAGAACCGGCTCCCATTCTAGCACTGGATAGACCTGCGAGGCCAGAAGGCGTGCCTTTGGCGCCCGAAAAAGGGGACTTGCTCGAAGGAATAGAGCTTGGGTCAGGCATAGGAGGCAGGGAGGAGAGATTGAGATTCAACTGCTGTTCGGGACGAGTGGTGGGGGCCATTGTCGTCGGGCGACTGTGCAGCCAGGTATATTATTTTGATTCGTTGCGACGATGAGCAAGACCCGTGATATAACGGAGAGCCTTGTTTGTCCGACTTCGAGTAGATTCACGGGCAACGAGAGCCAAGGAGGGGTGTGTGTGTGAAGATCCGCAAAAGATCAGTTGGATGGGTCGCACACTTTCGAAGATGTGGCAGGCGACTCGATCGACGGTAAAGCTGTAGAAGCTAGGACGGCGCTCGTATATCAATATCAGAGCAGAAGGCAAGATACGTTCGTGATTCGGTGATGTGTCCACTTAGATGTTGGGTGGACGACGAATGCGGGCGGTATTAGTGTTAGGGGGTAATCTGTTGCTCAGCACAAGAATACGGGATGCATTAGAGCAAGTATAGTAACACAGAAGTGAATGGAGTGCGTCTTGCGCGCCAGGCCAATGATGGAGGAAAGAGAGGAGGGACAGAGTATCGAGGTTGAAGGGAGGGAAGATGAGGGAGGAATAATAGGGGATCGACGAGAGAGGGATGTGAGGTTGCTCGACCTGCGACTGGGGCGGCGCACGGCAAGGCAAAGGCAAGGCCAAAAAGCTGCGAGACAGGCGAGTTGGAGACAGGCCAGGATGAAGGCCCGGAGGAGTCAGACTTTAGGCGACGATGGTACCTGCCAAGTCCCTGCTAGAATGTTTCTCTGCTTCTTCTGTGCCCTCTGGAGTCTGGCGCTTCAATGTTCCTGTCCTCTACAGCTATCTAACACTGCGGTATGCTTTTGTGAGCTCCCCGGGCAAGGACCCCCTGGACAGCCAACTTCTGCCTCTCCTTCTGAGACCGGCTCATGAACTGCCAAAGAGCCTACCATGACCACGACCACACTACAGCTTCTGTCCCGGACCACTGCTGGCGGGCCACGCAAGCCTCCGGTGCCTCTTCTGCACCCCCCCATTCTTCAACGCCTCTCTACCCTGTTGAGCGCGGGTGAGGAACACTCAAATACCGGGTCCCTCGGAGCGCACTACAGCAGAAAAGCCCCCCCTAGAAGCACCTGAAACCGTAGCGCTGGCCCTCCAGCAGCTCCACCCGCAGGTGACAGCTCCAGCCTCTTGGATCGATAGGCTTCTGTCATTCGAAACTTCGCGCTTGAAAGCCATGCTCTAAAGCATGTTGCGCAAATCTACTGGTTCGTGCGCCGCCGTGAGCTGCACGATGCGGAGGCAATAGTTGCTGCTCACCCGTAAGCTCCCCTCGGCAGACATGCTATGAACGACCAAGCTTTGCGGACTACATCACGGCTGCTATATTTGATTCCGGGCCGTCCAAGGCAATCCGAACCGTCTCCCCCAGATTCAGCTATCGCCATTCCATCTTGAGCTCTCTTTTGAAACAATCTTTTCGACGAATTGAGTCGGACCACCATCGCCGCTATCACCCTTGTTCCGCCTTGTTTCAGGGGCTTGGACCAGGCCCGGGGTGCGGGTCACGTGCATCTCCCTTCTGCCGACACATCACGCCAGCAAGGTGGGAAAAGTCCACTCCCCAAGACCGCGCAGTGTAGTAAGACCAGTGGCGTTTGCTCCCGGTATGAACGTGCTACAGAATGGACCACTTCGACACACTCCCAAGACCTCATTCGATGACCCTTTGATCTTTCTTGACTCACAAGATCGCCGCTAACCCCAGATTCCTGACTTGGCTTCCAAAGGCACAAATCCTCCGACACTCCTAAGCGACGAGCAGCTCGGACTCGCTTGGTGATGGCACAAGACTCTCGCCAGACTAGTCTGACGATCGATTGACAAATGCCTCTGTACAAGGATGACCCGGTCAAAGGGCAAACACATGGCCGAAGCCAGCTCGTGTCCCACGACGACGCTGGCCACATGCCATCACCGCCAACACAACTTGCTGTACCGTCATGGAACATATGAAGCCAACGCACGCGCTTCAGCAAGCCATCTCATGTAGCGATCTCGACGCCATAGAGCATCCTTGCCGGTGGAGCTGTTCAATGGCGATTGAGGGCTTCCCGCGGCGACGTGCCAACGATTCCTTGTTGTGCTAAATACACCCGGCAACGTCGAGCCGGTGTGGTGTACGGAGTACTAACTTCAGGTGGTCTTCAGGCATTGGACTCTGCACCGTGTGGTCCCCTTTGCATGGACATACGCGAGTAACACCACCGCCAGGGGATCAACTTCCGCTCCTCACCAAAGTCTTGGCGCTCTCCTGCCAGTTTCGATACTCCGTAGAAACCCACTGAGCGCATCTGTCATCGTCTCGCTAGGCTCCTGTTGCCCTCGGAGGAATTACGAGCATGTTCTGGCCTTTAGGCTCGACTTGCCTGAACTTTTAGTCGGAAACGTCCGCGCGGCTCAAAGTCCAGACAAGAATTGCCTCACCATCGGAGCTCTTGGCGCCAGCCATGGCCAGCCACAGGCTCATCCTGCCACGCTATCGGAGACACCTATCACTCGCGACAGAAAGAAAAACCGAGTCTGATACTGTCGTCACCCTTCGGTTCGACAGCTCGTCATCGGACGCGAGTGATTTCTGGGCAAGGCGACGCGGCCACCCTTGCTCGATCACAAAGACAGTGTGTCACAGAAATCATGCTGACCAGGCAACTCAACACAAGGCTGGTCCGAGAGCGACCCGAGGCATGCCGACGCGTCGAACCGCCCTCAGGAAGGCATTTCGTGGACTGGCGATCGGGTCGAGGTTCCAGAAAGCTCAGTCCGCTCAGTCCGCTCGCTACCTATCGGAGCCTCCACAATGGGCTGCTGGGTCGCCATGCCGTGCGAGCTTCGTAGTGGTGGCGCTTGCAGCATCATATCGTTGGTCGGCCCGGACTTGTCCTGATGATCTTGCATGAGATGCCCACTATCCATCCGTTCATTCCTCGCTCTTCGTCGCTTTCGGAGTAGCCAAAATGCAACACCAAGAATTGCTAACAATGCCACGACGGAAACCCCCACTCCTATTCCCACTTTTCCGCCTGTCGACAAACCTCCTCCACCATCATCTATATCCGGCTGAATAGTGACTGTGGCTGCTGGGGCGCTTGCCAGACTGGTGCTCACGTCCGAGGCTATTGCCGTGGCAGTAGCCATGAAACTCGAGCTACTAACACTATACGCGCTTTGCAGGGCCTGTGGATCGGGTGCGGAGAAGTGCTGCTTGCTAGGAGATTTGCATTTGATATACCCGTCAGCGTTCAGACCGCAGCAGTACCATTGCTCGTCCTCCGAGCTCCACACTATATCCTGGACTCTGAACGCGGAGCACTCGTTGTTGCAGACGGCGCGGTCAGTAAAGTCGCGGTCGGTGCAGGATCCGATGTCTGTCAACCAAGCATGAATTAGCACAGAGCTCTCCGGTGGGTGAAAGGAGGTTCAGGTGTGGATACGGAAGGGGGCTGAGGGCCGGGAGACGAACAGAATCCAGTCGCATTCTCGGTTTTCTGTATTGCCTGGCAGATGCCATTGCCTAGGCAGATACCGCCGCCCCCACAGCAGCGTGAGTTTCCATCAGGGGATTGGGTACCCGGGCAGATGAAGGGCGAGGAAACGCGGTAAATGTTCTGCCCGTTGTCGCCGGTGCGATTAGTGTAGCAACGATTGTCGGTGTCTGCCATTCTTGGCAGATTTGTAGGCTCGAGAGTAAATAAGGTGAAGCGCGGTAGACAAGTATTCTCCTAGACGGGGGTTGGCACCAACGTTGGTGTTCCTGCGTTCTGCTATATTCGGCCGTTGCACATTAGCGGCTTTGAATAACCGTTAGCCCGTTCCTGCGGGTTTGGGGCGATCCCAATTGCAGTGTGGTCTATTCGACTGATTCGGCCATATGGTCGATGCTCGGCCGATTCAGCTTCTCAATCCAGAATATCCACCGTTTGTACCTTAGAGACACGGCCGTAGTCGAAAGAGCACCTCAAACGAATGGCGATAGTGAGGATGCGCGACAGCAGTTGTTACAAAGCACAGAACTGAAATTCAAAGGTTGCAACTGTAGAAAAAGGGAACAGTAGTGTTGCGGTATGGCATTCGGGGATCGGGGACTGGAGACTGGCCAAGCTGCCTGGTGTGGGCGACAGCACGGGCTGGTTAATTGGCAGCAGGGCCATGGGTTCAGGATAAATTGGGCACAAGGCGCGGGCCAGAAGGCGACGGCACGGTACCAGGCCTGCCGCAGCTCGCAGATCAACGTGCGGGCCGGACAGAGCTGAACGTGCCTTGAGCAGTCTCTCCCGACTTTCGTGATGCTGGCATGGACCACTGAGTGGACATAGAGAGCCAGAGTCTCTGGTAGAGCTGAGGGCTCGATGTGACACTAGGTGAGGCTTTGTACTTCAGGAATTCTTGCTGGCGGTACGCCTGGCCGTCAAGTTCAGCCTGTGGGAAGTGGTGGACTGTCGATCGGTCCAGCTTGCAAGGATGTATGTTGAAGGAATCTAGGTTAGGGGAGTTAGGGGACACAGACTGGAGTGACTGTGGCTGTGCTAGGGCGCGACGGTGATTGGCGGGCTGGAAAGCACGGAAGATGGCGATTATCGGCGGCGTGCGGTCCGGAATCCTGTAGGAAGTACTTGTGCTAGTACGAGTAAGGCCACAGGGGCCGTCGACTGGGGTTGCTCGTAGGAATTCTTCCGGGAACGGTATCGGGTGGTGGCAGATGATGATCCTGTAGGCGTTGCACTACTCTGGCTTGGCCGGGCATTTCGACGCCTTTTGCCTGCCAAGGCCCAGGCCATCGTGGCGCTTACGAGCTCCAGAGGCGCCAGCGAAGGTTATGAGTTGCGTGCGGATAGCGCTCTGAGCCTCTAAGCCAAATTGCGGTTCGGCGAGGATGGCCGCACCCACGGGGCTCGCAACTGTAACCGCGGCCTTGTACATTTTGGGCAGCGTCTGTGATGCAGGGGCCGCTGTGTGACGGCGGAGGAACCGAGAGCTTTTCGTACCACCAGGTCTTCAATTCGACGGCAAGGTATGTTGAGACGGTCGAGGCATGCTCAGACAAATGTCCTGCGGCAATTATAGACGGGACTGGATACAGCTCTTCTAGGATGAACCACCAGTCGCAAGAGCCCGGAGAAGTTATCTAGGTCCATCATGGGGCCGCCAGTGTTTAAGGTGAGTGCCGCGAGACTTCAAGTCCAACAACCCTAAACGTAAAGACGCCATCGACCCGTAACGACTTGCCCTCTGAATGGAATTATGGAACTATGCAACTAGAAGTGGGATAGAGCCGGCCACGTACCCTCATTCCAGTGCGGCAAGCAGACTTCAGACCATCATGGCTGTGCGGTTTGGGGCACGGCCTCTGAAACCCATGCTGACGACAGCGCAACGCGTCCCACTATGCAAGGTGTGGTAGTGAGCTCTGTTCTGGGTGCGGGACATTTTTTCAGGTGGGCAACATCGGAGAGTATAATATCATGACCACTCGCCACATTGCCTGATGATGGTTCACTGCACTGGATAGATATCCAGCAGTCGACTGTCAGCGTCCGTGTGAAAAGCGGATACTGACAAGGCCACACTACTGGGCACCGGGCACTATTCTTTTGCTTCTTTTCGCGCGTCTTGTCTCCCCTACGGGGGCGGTACCGTCGAGGGTTAGGGCAACCCACCTATTCGGTCCTCCTGGGCGCCCCACTCCGTGCTACCCTGCCCCCCAAAAGTTGAAGGCCCCCTCGGATGTCCAGCACGACTTGCTCTGTCCTACCATGCTTGTGTGAAGACACAATCAACTCCCGAGAATGGTTGGCGACGTCGGGCAACATGTCAAATGGTACCAACGAGCCGCTCCCCGGCCTCCTTGACGACCCTCAGTTCCAGATCGATCTGCCCTGGAATGATCTGCCTATAGCACCACTACGGAACCCTGCTCCTCAACGCAATGCAAATGCCCCCTCGCCGCTTGAGCCTGAGGCAGGCGCTTCTGCCAACCCTGCTCCTACGCGCTCCGGCGGTGGCTCCGAGAGACGAGGGGTAGGGTCAAGGCAGAACATCACCCCTAACGATGTGCTGCAAGCACGTGAAAGCCGGAAGCCACACCTGGCCATCAGTGAACTGGTCGATGACAATGAGGAACCCGGAAGTCATTCGACACAGTTGCCTTCGTTCGTCAGTCTATCTGTGGTCGAAAAGTCCCCAACGCAGGCGCCACAGCCTTTGAGCCGACCTATGCAGAAGCGTCCTCGACTTGAGGATGAACACCCGCACGATCTAGGTCGTCAGCTCCCCCGTCCCGCGCAACGGGAGCAGATTGTGCACCGCCCAGCACCTCTTCTCCCAGCTATGGTCACTGGTTTACATGAACCGCCTCCGTCAGCTAACCTACTCCCTTCAATGGACGCGGATCAACGCTCTGGCGCAACCCGCTCCGCCGCCACCTCCAAGATACAGGTCAAGGACATCCTCATGCCGACCGACACGTCCCGCTCCCCATCTCCTGCCCGGCAACTGCCTAGCCTTCACTCTAAGCCGCCTCATCTCCCCCACCTCGATTTCCCACCACCCCGCCGGGCCTCCACGGAGCCGACACCCCCCACGACCAGCACCTCAACCCCAGTCAGCGCCACCATCCCCTCCACCAGGGACGGCAGCAAGCCACGCCGCATCCGCCGCAAATGGACCGATGACGAAACACGCGACCTCCTTGCCGGTGTTCGCAAGCACGGCGTCGGCAAGTGGAAACAAATCCTCACCGATCCCAGCTACACGTTTGACGAGCGTAGCGCAGTGGATCTGAAGGACCGCTACCGAGTATGTTCCAAGGACGAGCTCAACGGTCCTGCTGCCGCTGCCGCTGCCGCCGCCGCCGCCGTCACCTCCAAGAGCCCCGCCAACACCGACCCATCGCCCAACAGTCCCGGCAGCGACCATCCTGCATCCCGCGGCGCCTCCCCTGCTCCCGGCAGCGGCCCGCAGAAGCAGCGCCGTAAACGCCGCGCCTGGACGACCGAAGAGGATGACGCGCTTCTAAGAGGTGTCAGCAAGCATGGCTTCCAATGGACGGTGATCCACGACGACGAGGCTCTGAGTCTGAGCCACCGACGGGCCACGGATCTGCGCGATCGCATCAGGAATAAATTTCCCGAAGGGTACAGGTTGGCGGAGAGCAAGCCGCTGCGGAGCGAGATCAAGCGAGTGGAAAGAGAGAGGGAGAGGGAGCGAGAGGAGCGGGACAGGGCGTTCGCGTCGGATGACGTGCAGCAGGCGAAAGGGAAAGAACCTGCCTCGCAGCCTTCTGCCGCTGCTGCTGCTGCGGGTGGGGGATCCGGGGTGACGCTGCCGAGTCTGAGTCTCGATGATATGGATGATATGGACATGGATGCGGATGAGGGGATTAGACTCCCGCCGTTGCTGCCGTGGGATGACATGACGAACTGATGTTGACGATGTCGATGTTGATGTTGATGGCTTTCCTTATCTGGTCAAGTTTATCCGAGATCGCGTGCTCGGGGTGGCGAGGGCGTTGGTTGTGTGGCAAAAGCAGGAAAAAGAGCATGAGTGTATGCGCATGTATCTGTTGGCAGAGCATAAGAGAAACGTGGAGCCTGGCGACCCGCAGCACGATATACACAAAATAGACCACAGCCTGAGTGAGATGTAGAGCAAATTTGGTGGACGTCATCCAGAGGGTGGTAACGAATACATTGGAATTCACAGGGACGGAGTAAACCACCGCGAACACCTTATGTTGGCCCCGATCTGCTTTTCAGAGTCTCTGTGTCTGGCGTCTTCGCTTGATCACTGCCCTTCACTCGCCGCTCTCGGTTCAAGAGGCCAAAGTCGTCCATCCGGGCGCCGTAGTGCAATTGTCGCTGAATCGATCAAATTGTCGTGCAATGGTAGAATAGTAATAAGGCTTCGTGCGAGGTACATCGCTCCAGTTGAGCCTGAAATGGGGGTAACTCAGGTCAACTACCACGCATTCCGGTCCCAGTTTGGATCTGTCTCGCTGTCAGCATCCAGTATTACTGCGGCCTCTCTGCTTGCCGTCCTCTAGATGGTGAGTCACCTTGCACAAAAGGTCCCAATACCTTGCTCCCCGTCTGCAACAGCGGGTGTCCGACCACGATCTGCAAAAACCGTTGCAGACCTTCACGTCTGTGCTCGATGACATCGTCCGAGAATCGGTTCGTAAATACCTTCCCTGGTAGCGGGGGAATCGTCACGCGGGCAGATTCTCGCTCTAAGATGTCGCGAAAGTACTCGAAATCACTATAGCGTCGGCGCACCACGCTGTGCCGCAGCTTGAAGGCGGGGATGTTGGTGCGCGTGTGAATTTCGTATGAGGTGTACATATTTCGTGGGGATGAGCCATGGGTCTGTGGGTTCTTGACCTACAGCTTTGTTAGGGCTGTGCAAGATGCGATGGCGGGGCCGCGTTGCGATAACGGCCGCGACGGTGGGACACCTACCTCGATCTCTAGGAAATTCTCTGGAGGCCCATAGATCTCCTCAAAGGTCTGCTGGCGTGATTCTGGCATAGACTGCATCTTGAGTGCGTGAGGTTTTCGTGGGTTGATTGAACTGTAGATATGGAATGCGAAGCAGGCTGCCGCGAGAGCGGGGTTCGCGAAGAGTCGCCGGCAACGGTATGCTCGATATGAAGAGATTGCGCGGTGATTAGGGTGTGGATGGAAGGTTTAGGTGTTTGGTCAGTCGTTTGCTGATGTTAGCGAGAGTGTCAAGTGACTGACTTCCTTTTCTCACCTGCTGTGCAGCTTCCAGGCCTTTGTGCATGGCGGCGAAAGCGGGCAAGCTGCAGGCGCCGGAACGGCGGAATATTGCTCCTTCTGTGGAGCCTATGCTCTCCCCGAGTCCTCCTCGTTGGGGAAATTTTTGGTCGCGATTGCTTTCTGGTCCCATATCTGTACAATTGCAAGCCATCGTCAACAGTCATGTCGAAGAAGCGCAAGAGGGACGTCGCCGACGTCGATGTTGAGGTCGTCAATATCTACGACAAGCTAGCAAGCGAGGATGAGACCACCAGACTGAACGCTGCACGCCAGCTCCTCACCAAAACCTTTCAAGATGGGACTACGACCGAAGATCAGATCAATACAATCCTAAAACGGCTTTTTCGAGGACTATGTAGCAGTCGAAAAGCCGCCCGTCTTGGTTTCGTCGTGGCCCTGACGGAGTTCCTGTCCCAGCTCCAGGCATCACCACAGAGCGCCCTCATCTCACCTGCCAAGGCCATTGACATCCTCGAATCTACGACAACGCCAGAGGGAGGTTCGCGGGGTCAGGATGAACGAGATCACTACTTCGGTCGTGTCTTTGGTGCGGACGCTGTCATCAAATCGAAGATCCTCTTTGCCGACCAAGACCAAACTCAGTGGAAACGTCTGCTTGAGCTAGTCTGCCAGGTGGCCATGAAGAAACCCTGGCTACGGCAAGAATGCGGCTATGTATTATGCCAACTGACAGATGACGATTCAGAGCATTTGATACCATTCGTCGAGGAGATCATCAACACTCTCAATGCCCATAAGCTCATCCGGACACCGGAAGGCGTAGCCGTCTGGCTGATGGCCAAGAGGTCGTATCCAAAGGCGAAGCTCTCTAAGCATGTATGGAAGCACTCGCACCCCTTAGCTAAGAGAGATGTACAAGGCCTGGCCGAGGTCATGAAGAACGCCCGCTCGCAGCAGCCCGATGCCGAGTTTGGCGCTCAGGGATCCACTTCTTGGAATTCCAGCTTGCATTTTGCCTGGAAGGTTGTTCTCAATCACTTCTATGAGCAATTCGAAGAACAGAGAAAGTATTCGCTAGAGCACAAGGATGACGAAGAGACTGAGTTGCCAGGCAGCCGAGATCTGATTGGCCTCAAGGAATTCTGGGAAACCGTGGTTGAGGGGGGTTTGTTCGGTGCCAATAGCAGTACGGAGCGCAAGCTATGGGGCGTCCTGGCGGTTTCTCATATTGCTTCCACGGCGCCGGTGGAATTGATTCCTGCCATTCTTACCGAAAGGACTCTCCACTACCTACTGTCATCCTTGAATGGCGAAGATCGATACTTGCGCAAAAGCTCTCAGTCTGCGCTACAGGCTCTTGAGAAATGTTTCAAGTCTACTGTGTGGATGGCATACCCTTACACGAGCCAGGCCTGTCTTCGAAATATCATCAATGCTACCAAGTATATCGACTTTGATGCTATTACAAAAACAAAGACTGTCACTGCGCTGCTTGATGATGGCAACGCCAGAGATGTTTGGATCGCCTTGACAAGCTTTGAGCATGCCGCTGCTGCTGTTGCAGAGGACGACGAGCGGTCGAAAAGACTGAAGTACATCTTTAGTCTAGAATCGAAGTTTCTTGGGCTGTGTCTGCGGAGAGCAACGACCGATCCGGAATCATTCCAGGCGAGGTCGCTCGAAGTATCTATCGAGATCTTCGAACGGTGGTTGGCTATGGCCAAACCCCAGGTTGGGGTATCTCTCCCGTTTCCTTCGATTCGGGTACCGGAGGCCCTGAAGCAGTATCTCAGAGATCGAATCGCGGCTGGCCTTGAGCACTCACTTAAGGAAGGACCGCTTGGACGGCAAGTGTTCAAATCCGCCCTTACTCTCTACAATCTCAAGATCTGGGAAGTCGATCACGCCATTAGCCAAGTGCTGAATCAAGCCGAAAAAAGACTACAAAAACTGGAGAAAGCATATAAAAAGCAGCATCTTCATGAAGATGACGATTCCTTAGCGAAGAAGGGAAAGCCCACCTCGCTTGTGGAGGGTTTCCAGCTACTGTATTCTCTTGTCGCCTTCGACATCTACAGCGGAGAGCACGAGTCAGTGGAGATCATGCAAGAGCTACTAGACATGGAGATTCCTGGCTCACGCGACACCAGGCAGGCTACCGATCCATTGGTAGAGATCCTGCTCAGTTTTTCATCACGGCCATCTAAGTTTCTCCGCACATTGACGCCTATCATCTTCGAGTCACTTGCGTCAGGACTTACTGCTGACGGTTTGCGGTCGTTGACCCGTGTGCTTGCAGCAAAGGAAAATGCTCAAGGTCAATTGGAAATGTTTGAAGCTGCCGGTGAAGACGCGGTGGAAGAGGACGAGGATAGCAGCGAAGGAGAAAACTCTGACGTGGAAGTGGTGGATGCTTCCGAAGGGACTTCTGACAGCGATGATAGTGCTGAGTCGGGAGAAGAAGCTTCGTCAGCGGAAGACGAAGAGCTTGCTGTCTTCGACGCTGTACTGGCATCGGCACTTGGTAAGGCTCGTGCCAACGAAGAGTCAGGCACAGATTCGGATGAAGATATGGACGATGACCAGATGATGGAACTGGACGAAAAGTTGACGGAAGTCTTCAAGGCGCAGAAAGAGGCCTCGAGCAAGAAGAAGGATAAGAAAGACGCCAAAGAGACCGTGATCAATTTCAAGAACCGCGTGCTGGATCTGATTGACGTGTATGTCAAGCACGAGCACCAGAATCCACACGTCACCGAGATCATCCTTCCTCTATTACAGACGATTCGGACGACTCAAACAAAACAGATTGCTGAGCGTGCAAACAAGATCCTACGGGATCTCTGCACACGATGCAAGGGCCAACAGAACAGCCCGCTTCTCGAGACTTCAATGGTGAAGCCGACGACTCAACTACTGGCGGACATTCACACAGAAGCTTGCGTGGACGCTTCCAACAACCATGCAGCAGCGGCAAGCCAGGCAAGCATTCTCGTGGTCAAGACGTTGATCAAAAGTGGCGTCGACATCGAGAAAATCATCCACCAGTATGGAGAGACGATGACGAAGATGATGACAGAGCCGAAATGCAAAGTGCAGCCTGCCTTCTTCACGGATTGGAATAATTGGTGTGCCTCAGCAAGGAGTTGGATGGTGAAGCAGGGAGGAGCCAAGGCGTAGATGAAAGTCATCTTGGTCGAATACATAGCATTTATTATCATGGAGGTATGCAGTCTGCCAGCCTGAGCGTTGATCTGCCTGCATACGTACATATGCTGTACTCCTGTGGAGGTTGGAACGCCCTAATCCCTGCCTCGTGTGATATTCCTAGGCGTCTGACGGGCGCGGAGTTGTGGGCTCTTCAGGTACCGTGTAACCACGGTCCCCGGTCGTTGCGGGCCGGCTGCCCGTTTGGCTCGATCAGCGCATGGCCTTAGATTTCCCCACGTGAAGCCCCGATCCTCCGCACCTTGAGACACACTGGCAAACAGCCAGTCCACCTGATACCTGGGGAAGATCTATCCCTTAGCGCCGACTTCGATCCTCATGCCATCGATCCCCCCAACAACATGACGACCTTGCAGCCCCGCCCGCCGTACTCCGAGGAGGAGCTTAAGAAACTATATCCAGAGAACCTCGAGCTCCGGCTTGTTCAAGTTCTGTTGAGACACGGCGAGCGCGCACCTGTTTCTGTCCGTTTCCAGAATGTAAGAAGAACTGGCATTTCATGTCACATCACAGTTGTCTGACGTACAGTAGGCAGGTCTCGCGCCGTACTGGCCCTACTGCAATGCCGCCCAACGACTGCGCTCCGTTGCCATGATCCCCAACGGCGAGCAAGCCTGGGACTCACTACAGTGGCGGAGAAGATTGGAACGCTTCGGAGAGGATGATGGGCCTATAATAGCAGCTGGAGCAGGAGGAGAGGTGGACGGCATCTGGTACGCCCTCTCAATGGCCGCCTATTGCTCGCTAGCTGACCTTCGCAGCCAACTAGGTGAACTCACTGACCCAGGCCGGCAATCCACCTACGCGCTTGGGACTCGTCTCCGACACCTCTATGTCGACCAGCTGAGTTTTATGCCTAAACTCATTGCCAATGCCGACCTCATCTATCTCAGAGCAACTCCCATGCCTCGCGCTCTCGAATCGGTTCAGCAATCGTTCTGGGGCATGTACCCTTCTACGGCGAGAACGGCAGCATTCCCTTCTCCAACAATCGTGACACGGACTCCCGCAGATGAAACTCTCTTTCCTAATGACAGCAATTGTCGTCGCTTTGCCCAGCTCTCACGAGCATTTGCCCAACGCACAGCCGATCGGTGGAACGACACATCCGATATGGAGTACCTAACCAAGTTAATCAGCAGATGGATGCCCGAAAGTAGCCCTCGTGTAGCCGTCGACTCGCACCCACGGCTGTCTGGCATCATGGACACAATCAACAGCACCCTTGCCCACGGCCCGGAAACCCGCCTACCTAAAGAATTCTACGACAAGAGAGCCGCTGGCATCATCGACAAAGTCGCTGTCGAAGAGTGGTTCTCGGGGTATAACGAGTCGCGCGAGTATCGCAAGCTGGGAATAGGAGCTTTGGCGGGCGACATCGTTGAGCGCATGGTCAGTAAAGTCGAAGGCGCCGGCCTCTCAATCTATGAGATTGGCGGAGAGAATGGCTTCCTCGGCCAAGGCCGGGGTGGGGAGAAGGGCATACTGTTCGCCATGTCAGGCTGTCATGACACCACACTAGCTTCTCTCCTCACCGCTGTTGGCGCCTTCAACGGCGAAAAGTGGCCTCCCTACACATCCCACATCGCCGTCGAGCTCTTCCGCAAGAAGGCCGACAGCCTCCCACCGGCATCCGAATCATCAAGTCCTACCGCCCCAAAGTCCGCAACAGCCATCCAAGCAGCATCCCTCAATTCCTCAAAGCCAGGCTGGATCTCCTCTATGCTCGGCCTTTCCTCCTCTGCCTCATCCGCCCTCACTCCCACATCAGTCCAGCAGCCCGGCGCACGCGCCGAAGGCATCGCCCGGCGACCCTTCACCGACCTCTCCGCCGCCGAGAAACAGAAGCTCGACGGGTACTACGTCCGCCTCCGCTACAACGACAAAGTCATGACCGTCCCCGCCTGCAAGAAGCCCGGCAACCACCTGGACGGCGACGACAGCTTCTGCACCCTCGAGACCTTCAAGCGCGTCGTCGACGGCTTCACGCCCGCGAACTGGAAGGGCGAGTGCGGCTTGCGCCTCGGCGAGCCGGCGCAGGGCCTGGATGGTGCACAGCAGTGGGCGGGCCAGATCGAGGATGACGCTTAGCGTGGCAGTGCGTTGTGTTGCGTTGACGCGCGATCAGTCCCACAGCTGGAGGGGGCTTGCCCTACGGTTGCAGCATGGGATACAGGGCAAGGCTGGCGTGGCGTTGCGTTGTGTGCATCAACCAACAACGGCCGGCCAGCCGTTTGGACATAGATTCTCATCGAGCAAAAGCAAGCAAGGCAAAAAAGCACGCCTGTACATTGAACCCTCAACATTCTTGCTAGGGGGCGAACGCCACATGTGTCTATATGTCTGTCTGTGTCCTTGCTTTCTGTCCGCGGTCTCCATCCATTTCTTATACGTTTCTATCACGTCCGCACCGTGTTCGACACCCCGGCACCTGCACCAGTCCTATACATGAAGTCATGTTAAGGGCGCTGAGTTTTGACCAACTATCACATCGTGGTGGTGGCCGGAATTGGGTGTCGATATCGTGGGAATGGGCAGCTAGGTACAAGTCCTGAGAGAGAGTAAGGGGGATAGGGGGGAAACCGAGCGGCTCGACTTGGTCAAGTGCAGAGGGGTGCGGGCGTCTTGGGTGTCTCCTTGCGAAGTGGGGGGAGTTGGGTAGGCGAGGAGAGAGAGCCATGGGACACGGAGGCAGGTGCACTGAGGGACGAATGGAGTTATCAGTTTTGATGAGGGGGGGGGGATCATGGACTCGTGACGCTGAGACCATAGAGACAAATAGACCTGGTTAGAGGGCACCGTTATCGAGACCAAAGCGTAGGCATGACTCGAGTACGGCAGATCAGTTGCATCGCCTCGTCTCATGCTGTGCTTCTTGCAGCATCCTTGTTCTGATCGCTCTGGATAGATTTCGTCGGTCCGAAATGCAAGCGTAGACATCCTGGGGACCGCTACATCCCAGGTGGTAAACTCACGTGCTCGATGATCATCAATCTTCGTGACGCGATCGCCAGGCTGGCGGTCTGCTTGAGTATCAGCCGACAGGCCTCCTTTCGAGTACGTTGATCGCCATGCCCAGGCCTGCAAGCGTTGGACCATTTCCCCGGCTCATTGAGGGAATTACGCCCGAGAAACCCTTCCCTGCTTCGTGCATGCAAAGCTGCAAGGAGGTAATCAGTACATCGCGCAAGTACCTTGATCAACCGAGAGGCGGAACACAGATTTTTCCTCACCATTGGCGTCTGCGCCTAGAAGGCCCATGTACCGTCTTCAAGCGCTGTCAAACACATCGGAACAGCGCGAAGCCAAGCAGCAGAGCTCCACTTTCACGGAACAAAGGATGTTGCTTGTTGCTTGTGTTTACTTCGCGGACATGTCCCAAACACTTGTCGGTATTGACAGCTGGCAAAGGGAGACTGTCGCGCTCCGCATGCGGGAGGTGGACCAATCTCGTCATGAACTCGGGCCTCTGGTTGAGAGTGGCTGAGTCGTGTTCATGATGGCGTTGTATCGGACTGATTCATGGGAGCCAGTGAGAGCCGAGATCGATCGAGCGTGAAGATCCAACAGGAATCTTGCTGTCGAACAGCCATCAAGGCTTATACGAGATTCCGAGCGGGGAATAGCAAATCTCGGCCCTTGTGGATTGGCGGACTGGCGGACTGGAGCACCTGTGCATGTGGCGCGGTTAAGACACATCTTGCTGGCGGCACCTGTTCGGCAACTGGCGCTGCGGTTCAGAAAGAAAAAAACGAGCTGCGCGGCTGTCTGAATCCCGGTCTAAGGTATGCACAGACCCGCATGCACTCCATGCCAATAAAAGTCCATGCGCAGCGGGTCAATTTGATTCCAGCGATAGTGCCAAAAAGTCGATTTGGTTTCCAAATGACCCTGCTGAAGGAAGGTCGTCTCGCCACAGGTATCCCAGGACTTTGACAAGAGAGCATGTGCAATCACAGGTAACAGCAAACGAAGGGGCTGACCTGATCGCGGTCCGTATGCAGGTGCCTGGCCTACTCCGGTGGTCATGTTACAGAGCTCGGCGTCCGTCCCGCCTCCCCGACCACAACCAATCCGAAGGAGCGCCACCAAGTGCCCCCTGCGTAGTCACTCTCATCCCTCAGCCATGCCACTCGATCCAAGCTCACCTGCTATACGCCCTCGACCTTCGATCTACTCGTCACTGGACATGGCCACTACCGAAGCAATCTGACCAGATGACAAGTTCTTGACAGATCCGTTCGGGATCAACAGGACGAGGTCGGACGATAGCCAACCAAATGTCGAGGACCAGCCTGGGTCGTCGATTTTGAGTTCGAACAAAGTCCCGCTGTTATCGGACGAGATAGCTTGTGAGCAAGCGATCGCTTAGCTACCGCGCTGAGGTCCGACTCTGGGCTTGGAAATCGATCGTAAATCCGACTGAGTTCTGCACGGAACCTGGTTCTTCAGCTACTTTAGTCTAGCCATCCTGCTCGAAGCGATGACTAGGGAGGCCCGGGACGGACGCACTCCTTGCCGCACATGCCTCAGGCGTCATGTGATGTGCTGATCGCTGGCATACAAGCAGATGCGCTAAAGTCTGGGGCGACGGCAACTTCAAATGAGAAACGCAGCTGGTAATATCCACAGGTGTCCTCCTGCGTGCCTCCTCTCAGACTCGCAGCTGTCATAACAAGGGATCCATACTGCAGCGAGGCACGAGGGTGCACCCCCTCAACGCCACCTCGGATGCAGTCCCGCCTACCGTGGTCGACTATCCAGCCGCCACTCCTTTTCCGGCTTTGAATCTGGAGCAGTGGCCCTGGTATAATAGACGCTGACAGCAGCGATGTTCCACAACATCAGCTTCATCTTCATCTGTGAAGCTTTTTTAATCCCGACGAAAATTGCCGAGGCCTTCTTGTGTTACTCCGCGTTGATACCCTGTCTCGACGATATGTCTTCAGACACGATCAAAGACAAAATGGCAGTTTCTGCCGTCCTCAACTACGTAGCCTTGCCGTTTCGAACCCGTAAGACCAGCAAGGCCTCAGTCAATAAGACAAAAAAGGGGCTCCGCCAAACACCAGCATACACACCCGAAGAGATGTTATTCACCTGGTACCACCGGACCGATTTGAAGTTAGATTGGGATGTGGTGGAGTATCTGTACAACAAGTGCTTCAACCGATGGCCGCGGCAGAAGGGGGGACTGCAGTGTAAATTTTATCGGTAAGTCACCAGCTCACGGACTTGAAAACAATGGGATCACCCACATTTAAGAAGTGCCAGATTTGCTGATGTCTGAAACAGTTACATTGCCGATTGGGGTGTGGCCCGTGTTCGGGTGCAGAAAAGAACCTCGCAAATTCGGAAAACGGTGTCCGATACAGACCATGATTTGTGGACTGCAGAATTTGGTGTTACCGTGGGTGACTGCAACCCTGTTTATCACTGCTTGATCCAAGGCAATTGCTGACGAGGCACAGAAATGTACCGACCACATCTTCGGTTGGATGCTGCCGGAGCATCGACTTCGCCAGGTGAGATCGGGGAAAGACGCCAGGCTGGCACCACCATGGAGATCTCACAACGCAAAGATGAGAGGCGTCAAGCAGGCGCAGGGCAAGAAAGAATCTCGTCTTTGAACCGGTACATCTTGTAAGAAGGGGCCGGACCATGATATGAGGATTGTACCTGTTGCAGTGCTGAGCACTTGCTTGCAACTTGAATGCATGAGATGGGCCTGCTAGTTGTAGGTGGGATGGTCACTGTCGTCGTCGTCATAGCCGAGATCACCCTGATGGTACCGGTAGGGATTGCGGCTGAACTCGTCGTCTGAAGACAGTTCTTCATCTGGATAGTCATTGGCAGGGTTGTCTTCGGCTGTGTAGAAGTCAGTTTCGGGATACCAGTCTTGGATCGTATTGAATGCTCACCATTTGAATCTTCGTCGTCCCAGTCTGATTCGTCATCGCTCTGCATGTAACCTTCCCACAAGTCCTCATCCTCTTCATCAATGACGAGGACACCGACATTCGACACGGAAACATTGGGGTCCATAGTGTTTGATGAATGGTTCTCCTCTGATATTCTGATGTAGGTCTCGTAGATGTATTCCTCCTCAATGGGGTTTGGGCGAGCGGGCTGGATGTCGGGACCGGCTACGGACGAAGAGGGAGCCTCGCGCACAGGAGAGTCTGGCTGAGCATCCGGATCCATTTCCATAGCCAAAGCGGCGAGCTCGTCAGCAAGCTGATCTGATTCGCGATTCCAAGTGCGTGAAGGATCCTGCAAGGAAGTACCAGATTTTGTAGGCGGCGTCTTCGGCTTGACGAACGTGGGAATCGACACACTCTCCTTCGATTGTGCGTCTATGGTGTCACTTGGAGAGTCCACAGATGTCTTCGATCCTTCCATTACCATCTTGTCTACTGGGGGCTTGGCATATAGACCATCGTACACCTGTCTTTCGACGAACGTGGGAAGTGGCGGGCGCAGCGATGAGCTGCGAGAGGACTTCTTGCGGATTCCAGAAGGCCTGCTGGCATTATGCGACGAGGACAGGTCGCGGGTTAGATGAAAGCGTCGGATATCTTTGGGCAAATCGAGTCGCCGGGAAGGCTTTGGCGGGGATGTTGCTTGAGGCCTCTCGCTGTCGGTCGAGAGTAGCGCCTCTTCGGCGCCTTCCTTCGAGGCCGGTTGCGCCTGCTGTCGAATAAACTTGGTGAAGTCGTTGATTTCGTCTCCAGGAGCGGTACTCCGGATGGTGGGGATCCCGTTCTGGTCATGCTTGGACTGAGGACCCGCCGGTGCAGTGACGGCACGGTCGACAGGCGGTGGCTGCTGCGAGACAGGGACTATGGGACGCTTAAGTAACTGGTAGCTCTGGGCAGTGAACTGTCTTTTGGCACGGGTGCTCTGCTCAAGATCTGACGTTGTTAGCGATGGATATCATGTGGGGGTTCAGTATTCACAAAAGGTTTCAATAGGAGCCTCATCACGACGGCGCTTGACGCTGATACGCTCTGGAGGTAGTGACATCTCGTCAAGGGTTTCTTGATGATTCAAGAGCGCTTTTACGCAATTAAGGAGATGTGCAAACCAAGTTGCCCTTGACGTTGGAGCAAACTTTTGAGTTTCGGCAGGGACAGACGCGAAGTCGCGGCGGAAGAAAGCGCCGGCTGATCTTCGGCAGGCGCGTTTCGATGATGATCTTCAACTTTTTTGAAGCGCTGCAGGAAGTAATGAAACCACTTTGCAGGCCTGGGATCAGATCTATCTATTTTGATAGGTGCAAACATGCTATCCTCGAGGACAAGGCTGTGCAGCACTTGTCGTCATGACCTGGTATCCCTCTTCGAACGAGGCTTCTGCGGCCCTGCCATACCACGTGTCGCCTTCGGAAACCGTCGTAGACCACCGAGACTGCAAAGGCAAACGAGGTGGCTAAGCAATTCGACCAGATTCTACGAAAACGAGAGGGATTCTGAATCACCGTCGCAAGATGTGCACACTCAGCATGAGGACCAGTCGGTTTTGACGGAGGAAGAATTGAGCGCTCGGTTCGAAGCCCTGCAGCGATTGGAAGAGTTTGATGATGAAGACTCTGTCCTCCATGAAAGCGATGAAGACCAGACGAACCATAAAGAAGTTCCGGTTGTTCCAGAATCGAGTCCCGTCAACGTACACCCTGGCGCTGAATTCGATGCGCTCCGTGAACAAGTCAACGATTACAGAGCAGCCGGCTTCGATGCCACCTTCATCGCCCGCGAAGCCCGACAAATCTTCGGAGACTACCTTCCAGAGGATGTATTACATGAACAGGAGCTACAAATTTACACAAGACTATATGGAGAGCCGCTACCTCCTGCTCCTAAGAGAGAAGAAGACGCCAACCCAGTTCTTTTAGATGAAGAAGGTGGCCAGGTCTCTTACACTCTTGATCGTCCCACGCGTGAGTCGGATCTTGAAACGCAAGAGTTGGGTCTCGTGGACGGCGGTCAAGTTGATGTAGAAGCAATCGATGAACTGGACGAGGACGAAGGTTTTATAGCCGATCCGGAATTTGAAGACCCTTTCGCTGAGGAACCTGCGCACGAACGGCAGCATCCGATGACTGCCTTGGGAAAATTCGAGACTTCTCCACGAACTCTTTCCATGCCATACGAGCAATACACGCGACCTTTGACCAACGTCATGGCTTCGTTCAACAACAAGCAGCTAAAAGACGTTTGTGAGAGAACATTCGGTGGTCCTGGCTTGCCTGATTCACCATTGACTCCACGAAGCGGCAGAGGACGTCAGCAGGTGGCTGTGCAGCTTGAGGCTGCCCAACATTTCATGGGCGAGATGGAAGCCACGGCTTTCATGACCACTGTTATGCCGCCGGCGTTTGCCGCCATCTCCTCTACGTTGGTTGACGCTCGGAAGCGTCTTGGAGCTACTTGGCTGACTGGCTTGTTAGCCAAGGAGGGAGGACCGAAGGTTCTGGACGCTGGCGCTGGCGGTGCTGGTATACTGGCTTGGAACGAGATTGTTCGAGCACATTGGAACTCGCTACACAGCTCTGCCCAAGACGCTAATCCACCACCTCCTACCAAAGCCGTGGTTTTGACAGGCTCAAATCCTCTTCGTCATCGTGCTGCCCAGCTTCTTGACAACACCACCTTCGTACCTCGCCTTCCAGACTACGTTCACACCCGTGAAAAACAAACAATCGACGACGATCGTCCAGCACAACAACGAAAGCAGTTCGATGTTATCATCTCCAGCTACTCTTTGCTTCCTCTCAAAGAAGATTGGGAGAAAAAGCAATACGTCCAAAATCTGTGGGCTCTCCTCTCCTCCGAGGGCGGTGTGCTCATCATGGTTGAGAAGGGTATACCGCGTGGCTTTGAAGCCATCGCTGGCGCCCGGGATCTCCTTCTGGAGCGCTACATCGCCACACCGCCAGGTCAAGACACGCATTATACCGCCCTACACAAGGAGGCCGCCTCAGAAGGCAATCTCTGGCAACCCGAAACGGGTATGATCATTGGGCCGTGCAGTAACCATGAGCGGTGCCCAATGTATAAAATTCCCGGCGTCTCCATCGGCCGCAAAGACATCTGCTCCTTCCAGCAACGTTATATACGCCCAGGATACTTACAACGTATCCTTGGCGCTACGACTCGCAATCACGACGATGTTAATTTCTCGTATGTCTCCGTCGTCAAAGGCCGTGACCTTCGCCAATCATCGTTCGAGCAATGGTCGCACATTGCAAACCCGCTATCAGCACCGGCCTCAGAAGACACCTTCCCCTCCACGTCCACCACACATCGGGATTCAAATTCCGAATCATGGCTCAAAGCTTGTCAATCTGGTTGGGCCGAGAAGAGCCCGAAGGACGAAGAGGCTTCGCCCCATCCACCCACACACACGCTTCCTCGCCTTGTTTTCCCGCCAATCAAACGGCGTGGGCATGCAATCCTGGACGTTTGCACTCCCATGGGAACCATCGAACGTTGGACTGTTCCTCGATCCTTTGGCAAGCAAGCCTACCGCGACGCACGCAAAGCCAAATGGGGTGATCTATGGGCACTAGGCGCCAAAACGCGCATATCGCGTAGTATCCGTCAAGGCAGTGGGAAGGACAAGATGGCAGGCATCTTGAGCGGTAAACTAAAGGGACGTGGCAAAGAGGAGCGGATTCAGAACGCTGCGATACGCATGCGCGAGCGTGCAGAACAAGAGCAGGACGAGGATCACGAAGAGGAGATGCGCATCACCGAAGAGATCGAAGCAAGAGCCGCCGAAGAAGACTTCGAAGACGATTTCACCGGCGGCCGCCGCAAACCTCAAGCCGGCAGCAAACGCTTTGAGGCGCGGCAAGACGCCGAAGAAGAAGCCGAAATGGACGAGCTCGACTGGGAGATCGAGCAGAAGCTGCAGGAGTGGGAGGCCGAGCTGTCGGACACGCGACCAACGGATCGTCACGGGCGCGTCATCAAGGGCGGCAGGAAGGCCAGGGGCATGCGGCCTCAGGGCATGGCTGAGCGTGTAATGTGGCAGCCTGCGGGGAGCGCATCCAGGGTCGAGGAGGAGGCTAAGCGGGGGTGAGAAGGCGAGGAAAGGATAATGTGGATGTACATTACATGGCCCCCCTAATGAGTGCAGGAATATGTCGCAGTGTAAACTACGAAAGGCGGGACAAGAGGCGATGAGTGTATGAACAAGAGCTGATATCGACTGACATTGAGCAAGATCTGCCTTTTGGGTCATCTCAGATCTGTGTATGTACAACAGTATCGCAACAGAGGGTATGTATGTATGGTAATGCTCCTCGGCTCCAATAATTCTATCCTCATCTACATTCTAGATTCATGCTCAAATGGTGTCGAAGCTAGTCAGTCAGATTGTATGTATTCATGCATGCGTCGCATCGCACATCACGCATCAGGATATCTAACCCGAAGTCTGATAGAAAGCCTCTGCAGCTAGAGCTGCCATTACAGTCAAGCCATGAATCGCTTCTGTGTCCGATCGAACCCAAGCTGGAGCCGGCGAAGAATACATTTCAGAGCGGTCGACCGTCCGCCCATTTTCCCCTGAACGCGTCTTGGTCGCCTCCGACACTGTCATAGACGCAGGTGTTGCACAGGGGTCGCATGTTGCCGGCAGGGGTGGCGAACTTCTTGATGCTGCTGCTCTTCTCGTCACACTGAGAGCAGGCTGGGGCGGCAGGTGGCGGAGCTTCGATGTCCGGTGCTGGTGGTGGAGAACCTCCTCCGCCTTCACCGTGCATAATAAAAGCCGAAGGGAGGCCGGCGCTGTCGAACACGCGCTGTTGCTCGTTACTCATAGCGAAGTAGGCCTGGTGCGGAGCTTCGTGACCACGCATGCCGGACATTGTCAGCTGCCACTGACTCTGCGCATAGCGATGACCTTCTGGGCGGGGCGAGGTGATCGAGGTGCGGCCGGTCCAGGTAAACGAGTTCTCGCCAGGATATTGCACAGGTCCAGCATAGCTAGTGGGGTCGTAGCCTTTGTCCTTGGAGTCGACTGCTGAGAAAGTCAGCTACAAATAGAGCAAAGCAAGCTGTGTTGAGCTTTCGCTTGAGTGAATCTTCGTCTACAGGATGATCCCACCTCGAGGTTTGCGTCTGCCCATAGACATGTCCAAGCCTTTCTTCAGAAGACTCTGCTTGTGGGAAGACTTACCCTTGTCGTCCTTCAAGGCTGCTAGTTGAGTGTGGTTGTCGGCAGGCGCCTCATGGGCATTCTCGTGGGCGTTCATGATCAGAGGGCCGAGGCGGTGAAGATCCGTAGTGGACACTTCTCAAGTTGGACTAGACGTTGTCCGATATGGGTGAACTGGGGCCGGAGCGTGGCGCGGGTCGATATAAGTGAGAAGACCACTCTCTGGCGTTTGCATGTCGTGTCAACAGTCGAGGCTCGTTTGAATTGGGTACTGGATGGAGGGGTGAAGGCCATGACGAGCCCCAGTGGCTGCTTGACGAACAAAATCACATGGGCAGTGACACGACTCCGCCACAACTGGTCATACAGGGCTCAGTTTGACTTCTTGGCGTCACCAGCCTCCTTGCCTTCGACATACGGGTGTTTGATGGTCAGGCACCAGATATCGAGATAGTCACAGATGGTAGTAATGACGTCGTGGACAAAACTTCCGTAGACACCAAATGCGAGACCCGTCATCATGAAGACGAACGCAACCTGGTAGGTGTCTCCACCCAGCGCACTTGGCCAGAGCCCAAGCACTGGGCCCATGCTGTCAAACACAGCCCAAGCTAGCGGCGGGATGAGAACGTTCTTGTACGGGAACCTGTCCTTCACAAGGTGCCTGACGATCATCTGGCCAACGGAGTAGGCGTTAAGCAGACCGGCGAAAATGGCAAAGGGCACAAGGTGGTGGTGGAGGATGATGGGGTTGAGCCAGAGATAGAGCGGGATAAGGGTCCAGCTGATGGCGACAGGGAGGAGACCGAGCAGAGGCTTGAGCGGGTCCTGGCCACGAGCACGGCGCGCTCTAATCACGTAGCGTATGCTGCTGAGGGTATTGAAGACGAGGACAGCTCCACCCAAGGACATGTACCACTCGGCCCATGACTTCTGGTAGAAATAGTCCGGCAGGCCGAACTTGGAGAAACCCAGAGTTGGCAACATCGGCTGCTGCCAGTAGCTTCCGCCGCCCTTCAGGAATGTTACGAAGTAGACGACGACCAAGATCAGAACGCCTTCGACCGGTCCAGAGACGACACCGAGAGTCAGCTGATGAGTGTGGTACTCGTCCCAAGTCTGGATATAGAAGGTCAAGATGGCGCCAAAGAGGGTGAGCACGGTATTCCAGGTCTGGCCGAGATTCATCGCCGAGGCGAACAGAAGGACTTCAAGGCTGGTATTGCAGGCATCGACACCTGTCTTTCGTTCAGCTGCACACTCAATGCCTCGGGGTGTGTGCGTACTCACCATGATCGAACAACTCGCCGAGCGGGCCGCTCTGATGAGTTCTGCGCGCCTGCGAACCGTCCACCGCGTCAAACGTCTGGTAAAGGAAGAGACCGATCGAGAACGAGAGGTAGACCCAGGGGGGCATGTCCTGGTCGAGACTCGGATTGTACCACAGCATGGTCAGGAAGTTGATAATGACAAAGCTAAAGCCAGTCAAAGTGATCTGTGCGGTGTCAGCGAGTCACAAGCTGGTAGCGCGCGTGGAATGCCCGCGTACGAGGTTCGGCCTACGCCTCGAGTTAGATCAGTTGCAGCGTGAGGTGGGACGGAGATACACACGCCATGGACATTGGAAAACACCTGATAACGACATTGCTGTAGAAGGGCTTCAGGATGTATTTGGAGGTCAAGGACTTGTCGACGCCGGCATATTTGTACTCGTGCAGCTTGGGCAGCATGCGCTGCCGGATGTAGACCATGGTGAAACGCGGTCGGCGAAGTGCAGCGTCGGGTCGACTTCAGAAGACGATGAGGGAACAGTATACAGTCTGTGAGAGTTGCGAGGAGGAATGAACGCGACAACGAGTCTGAGGCGCGAGCGACGACACGGTGGGAGGGGAAATAAGAGGGAAAGTGGGAAGGAGATGGCAGCGATACACGTGTTTGTTACCAAAAGAAAATGGTCGCTTCCGCACGCACCCGACGTCATCGCTGCCAAGATTGGATGGTGCTGGTTCGAGGTCTGTCATTGGCTGAATGGTCCACTTTCATGCACGTTCACTGCCTGCTCGTATTTGATCAAAGTCCTTTGTGCTTTTGGGCCTCGAGGAATGAAGGATCCGCGATCGAGTCGAGGCCTGTAGATACTGTCGTGATCCAGAGCCTCATCACGCCACGGACTACCCAGTCCGGACTCCATCAATCAATCACCAACCCTATCCCCCTTCACCCCAAGTACTGTAGGCCCCCTCGCACCTACCCATCTCACAGCCACCCTCGTTCCTCATCTCCCTGCTCCACTGTACGTGCAACGCTCCGCCCGGTCTCAAGTGACCTGCACACCGGTGGACGGATCGTGATGCCAGAGCTGGTGGACTATCCATCTTGTCAGCTGCCTGTGCGAATCGGGACCGGGAGGGTACGTACAGGTACCAAGCTGATCAGTGCGGAAAGGAGGGGGCTGTGGCAGTGGGAGCGCCATGAGTGGATGCTGGTGGGTTGAGGTTGCCTGGCGTGTTATGTCACTTCTCAAGGAATGGAGGTTGGTGCAGTCGAGTCTTATGGGTTCCAAGGACGAGGATGTAGTTTGAGGGTTACGGAGCTCTGAAGGTCGAAATCCCTTTTGTATCCATTCTGTAGGGGAACTAGCCTAGCCACAAGGATGCCTGCGCCAGGATACAAGCCTAGATCTAGACATTGTGATAGGTGTAACGTTTGTAGATTCAGACACGGGGCGGCAAAGCCGGTAACCGCCATCACCGGAAAGACCTTGACATGGCCTCAGAGACGCAGGATAGGAACAAGGAGAGTTCTTCATTGCCATAGCTCGAACCTCAAACCAACAATGCCGCCATGCTCAACAACACCCAATGCGAAGCCAATACACGCTCATGCTAGACATTAAACCGTTTGTAGCCCTCAAGCAGCCCATCGCCCGCCTTGGTGATGGCCACCCATTCGGGGGCGTAATGCTGCGCCTCATCGTACGCCGGTATCACTCCCCTCTGATTGACATCACTCCAGAGACACACGACTTTGCCGTTCATGCCATCCGCCAGCTTCTCGTTGTTCCACCTGACGTCGACCTTCCAGGTGTTTTCCCATGTTCGAGACCACAGCCGGATCTCTTTGCTGCCACCCTGCGGCACCGGCTGAAATCGCTCGTCTGTGGGTCCCATGCCTACAACCTTGAATTTCTGAACAGGAGCGTCGAAGACTAGCTTGCACGCTCGCGTGTTCTTGCCCTGAATGGTGAAGCGTGCTTTGGTCGAGTCAGTGTTATTGCTCGTCTTGGTCACGCTGAAGTCTAGCCAGTCTCGGTATCGTTTACTTGCTGGCAGTTTTGGATCGTATTCGGCAACTTCGGGAGCGATCCCTGAAAAGAAGTACTTTCGGCGAGTGCTGAAATTATCTGCGTTGATGTAGTCCAAATTTTGCTCGGAAACACTAGGGAGGGACCGTAGTGCGTCCATAACATATGGCGCCGGCCCAATGACAGACACATTGTTGTGGCCGGTCTCAAGGTCGATCTCCTGCTGGAAGAATACCTTCAGCCTGTTGTTAGCGGAGAAGGGGAAGGCGACCAAGTTGTAGATGAGAGTGCCAATAAGCACCAGAAGCAGAAAATTGGGTATCTGCCAGGAGAACCGATGAATGAACGGAACCAGTGGTGAAAAGAGCACAATCGTGAAGAATGCCATGCTGATGTAGACCAAGAACACCGAACTCCCATCTGCGCCAGTCTGATGCAGCGCCGTTACGAGGTTCAGCGCAATTTGACCAACAATGACCACGTTGATGGGCACAATGACCAGGAATTGCAAATTCCAGAGCCAACTCCACTGGCCTCTCGCCCACTCTTGCTCGGTTTGGGTATCGGCATCATGTTTATCGTCTTTGCGCCCTTCTTCATCGTCCGAGTCGTGTGTCTTATACTTGCGGAATGCTTTGCCGCCACGACCAGAGAGGAGGCCGGATCGCTCGGTTGGCTCTTCCTGATCGTCTTCGTCATTGCCCTGGCTGGCCCTGGCTTGTCGCTCGCGAGAACGAGAAGTCTCAGGTGCACTTGATGCGATGTCCTCGCTAGCCTTTGAATCACAATAGACATCCTTCTTCTCAAGCGAGAACAGCTCTAGATATGACAGGAATGTAGAAAGCCATGCACTCGCTGCAAAGAACAAAATGAAGTAGACACCGCCGATGTGGAATTGCTGCTCAAAGACCGTGGCCGCGGCCAGGAGCACCCACCATGCGGTCCAAATCCAGCCTAGGCCGTAGGCTCGAGTCAATGCTGACGGCCGGCCATAGTCTGCCATGCGGCAGAAAAACCAAGCGAGGAACAGGAATGAAGAAACCATCATACTCCAGACCGCCCACTCGCTGCTGTGCACGATGAATTCATTCTCTTTAAAGAGCAAGAACGCAAGAGCAATCGGGGCCGCACACGAGACGGTTAGGACTAGAGGGAAGCGAGTGAAGCCTCGCCAGCCGTACAGGGGTACTTTGTCGTCTCCATCAATGCTGTGGTATCTCCTGGCTCCGGAGAACAGGTACAGCTTATCGGCAGAATAGAGCAAGATCATGAGAAGCCCAAGCATAACTGGTCCAGCCACCAGCAGGGTCACAGACAGTGCAAACAGGGTGTGTAGCTGGAATGCTGCAAAACGCTGTCCGAAGATGTCGAACCACACACCTGGGCTGCCAGGGTTGTCCTCGGGGTCCAGATTCGTGCGCAACGGATGGGAACTCAGCTTCTTGGTCGTCGACAGAGCCCCTGACAGCATATGCCAAAGCGAGTCTTTACTGGTGTGGCGACTGTCGTCTTGATCAGTGTGATACCTAGCTCGCGGCTCGATAAAAGCCACGTCTAGACCTCGAAGTCCCATGACGCCATTGAAGATGACATAGTCGGTCTGGCTCCTGACCAGGCCGCGATTGAAGCCATCTCCGGTAATGACAGATCCAAATGGGTACGGAGACTCGCCGTACGCTCTGGTGACCTCAGTATCGGTGCTTCTGAAGAGGGCTGCTCGGCCGCCAGCTCCGGCACCTTCGAGGTTGAGAAAGGAGCTGACCAGCTTAGCCATGGGATGCTGACTGAAGACACGTGCTCCGTTGAGGAAGTCCTCCTCCCCATCGTTCCACAGAAGGACTATACCGTGTTTTGGTTGGTTCCCTGGCGTGGTGTAGTACTTGAGGAGCTGAAGAACCGTGATGCATCCAACACCATCATCAGTGGCACCATAGCCAGAGGAGACCGAGTCGTAGTGTGCATTGACCAGTAAGCCGTTCCTCTCGCGGGGACTGCCATCCGGCTTAGCCCACCACTCTGAACTGTCATCTTCCCGACCCGGCACATAGGCTATGATATTCTTGCTCTCAAAATACACGCTGATGCCCGTGCCTGGCGTCGACAGCGTGCCGGGCGAGGAGAAGGTGAGGTTCGAGACATCATCGTCGAAGATATAAGCCGGGTGCGAAGATGCTGCTGCGGAGGAGTTTGTGTTCTCTTTTACTATTTGGTGAACGCGTTGGACAAGCCAGTTGTGGACTTGATCATTCTCCACACTGTTGAAGGGGTGGTAGCCGCGGGTAAGACGCTGCAGGTCTGCCCAAGCTTCGTCGAGGTCGATGCCTTTGACGGGTCTGGGGCTCTTGGGTGCTTTGGGGACTCCTGTCTGCACGACAATTAGGGGTATTATGACGGCAAGGTAGATAAGTGTAGCAATGACGGTGACGGGGCCACGTGCAAAGGCGAGCGGGTTGGAGAGTCTGGCCATGCTGCAGATGCAGATATCGAGACAGCTATGGGTTCGTTAGCGATGCATGCTATTCGATAGCCTCATGTGAGGTGTCAGAGTCGAGGAGAGGCGCCTAGAGGAGTAAAGCCAGTGATGAGAGTATCGTAGGGAGATAATGCGGGCAACTAGGTATCTACACGTGAAGCGGGGTGGTAGCAAGTCACCAGGTCGAAAATTAGGCATATCGAAGTTGGAGCTGCATTCAATCGCGGGCGCCCCCCTGCACGTCATGCTTTCTAGCTGCATGCCTTTAAGCCAAGCCTTCTTTAACTGGACTCGGGTGGCTAATAGTGCAGCAGGCCGTGAAACGCGATTGATGGATTCCTTTGCCAGCTATCTGACAGATCCAAAGATCACCATCCTTTCTTCCCTGCGGTCTAGGGTGGGATTCGCAGATCGTGTCGCTCCAGGTTGCGTGGCTACAGAAGCCGTTCTGCCATCCACCTCGACACTCGGCTGCTGCTGTTAGCATTCTACCTCTCCACCACATAGTTCTTGAAGTCCTTCGTGCGAACGCCGCGCTCAAACATCGTGTCCAGCTCTTCGTAAGTTCGGCCTGCGGGCATGGTCAATGAAAGTCCTTCAAAACCACGACTCAAACATACCTTTAAACTCGGGCACTCTGAAATAAGCCCAGACCCATGAGATGGTCGCCAGCGCCCCGAAGAAGAATCCCAGCTTTCCCCGCATGTTCGCCTGATCAGGATTGATCATGTACGGAATCGCCACCGTCATGACAATCCCCATGGTTGCCTGCGCGGCTGTTGCGATACCAATCGTCTTGCTCCTCACCCTCGTCGCAGAGGCTTCGCAGATGATGACGAAGCAGATAGGCCCTACCGACCAGCCGTAGATGAAGTTCCAGATCAGCATCAGTACCGCCTGAGCCCACGAGAAGGACTTATTGTTGTTGTAGTTTGGTGCACAGTCGAGAATGCCGATGATGAATTGGAGCAGAGCCAGCATGGCAAGGCCACAGATGTAGATGCGACGGCGGCCCACGTGGATGAGTAGTATCCACGAGAGGCAGGTCCCGACAAAGCCACATGCCAGAAAGCCCACGCCCATGTTGAACGAGTCTTCGGTAGGAAGACCAGCCACTAGAACTTGTCAGCATTTTGAAAACATTTCAAGGCGCCAGACCTACGGGTAAAGAAATATGTGGCGTATCCGACAAGGTAGATACCGCACAGCACCTGAATCACATAGACACCCACCGAGATCTCCGTCCGACGAAGGTTGATCTTTTTGAAGCAGTCCATGTAGGTCGACCCTGCTTCCATGTCCCGCTCGAGCTTGTCGGTTTCGATAATCATAGCCAGTGCCGGCTTGATGTCGACTTTCGACGATGCCAGGCGTTTGAGGGATTTCTCGGCTTCTTGGAAGCGTCCCTTACGCTGGAGCCACCACGGACTGTCGGTGCGTCAGTCGGTGTCAGTAAGCATCATCATCATCATCATTGACATACCTCTCTGGCGCGAACGGCAGCCCAATAAGGATAACCAGTGGCCAGATCCATTGGGCCGCAAAAGGTCCCGAGTAAGCCCAATGCGAGTCCAGCTTCGACGTTCCCGCAATGACACCGTTGGCCAGTAGCTGTCCGGTGACGAAAGCAATATTGATGCAGCTGGTCAGTACACCTCTCAGGGTGGTCGGGCACACCTCAGAAGCATATGCCGGAGCAATGACCACGTACGTTCCCAGAATAAGTCCGCCCAGCAGCTCACCTGCCAACAAAACAGGTAGCGAACGGGCAAAGAACTGGATGAAGACGAAGCCAGCGGAGATGATAACACAGGCGCCGAACGTCTTCTTGCGCCCGAACCACTCCATCGGGTAAGAGGCGCAGAAAGCGCCCACCACCTGTCCGATGGGCGAGCCCATGCTCAGGCCGGTCTGCCAAGGGGCCGAAATGATCCATTCGCCCTCGTAGAGATAGCCAAAGTCGCGCTGGAACGCCGGCGTGGCGTACAAGTTGCCCAGCAGTTGAGGGTCGAAGGCCGCCCTAAATAGCATGGTCAGCCAAACACATGAATCTGTATCCGTTGCAGAGAGACACTCACATAATAACACCCAGCGAGAAGAACAAAGCCCATCCTACAGCCGTCGGATACAACTTGACGGCGTCGAGGAACTTGAGCGCATGCTCAGCCTCGAACGCCTTGCGTGCCTCATTGTTGATTTCCTCCAGCGGAGCAGCCGCAATCATGGCGGCATCATCCTTGTTGACTTCGATATCTTTGCTATGCCCTAGAGACGCCATCGTAGTGAGCTTCAACGCCTCCAAAAGCCAAAGGGATCGGCAAACGTGGTCGATGGCCTCAAGCTGTGTAGAGGGTACAAGGGATGATAAGGAGACATGAGGAGGACAATAAGAATGATTCCCGCTGCAGTGGCATTGATACGGGAGTATCATGCGCGATAACAGCGTGCCACAACCCAAGCTTCATCTGAGGAGGCAGCGCTGCAGGCTGGGAAGCTCCCTAGCAGAACGCCGGACCCCCGCCCCCCACAAGCGAGAGCCGGCGGCATTGGGGCCATTGGCTAGCTCAGGAGGGGACCGGGGCCACAAAGCGCCCGCCACGCGAGCTTGCCCATGCTTCACGAAGCTAATTGGAGCTGACCCGACAATCATGTATTCATAACTGGATAGAAGAGACGAACCTTGCCTGATCATTATTCCCACCTCTGGGGGCATCTGGTCGTGAGAGGCTTCAAGAAGCGGGGTTGACTCATCCTCTCCGGGCATGAGAGTCGGTACACGAGGTCCAGACTCTAGTCAGGTTGCATGAGTCGTCCTGACTAGCTCCGAGGCACAGTCTGATACCGTGCGATATCACTGCAACGGTGTGATGGGGAAGGGTGGTACGGAGGTTGGACCTGGTTGGACTCGTGAAAGCGAACTGCAATTGATAATCGCCCAGGGGTGGATTGGGGTCAGCTCAGTATTATGCGCAGCCGAAACGGGTCTATCGCGGTGATGAGCGCCGGGTGTCGATTGGCCAGCCTCGAGGCTGCGTCCTGGCACCCTCGGTGCCATGTCAGCCTGCGCCGATGAGGAGGTCTAAATTGCAGTCCGCAAGTGATGCTTGTCAGGCAATTGCAAAAGCATCAAACGTTAATGCCTCCTCAAGCTGAAGAGCAGCCATTTCTGCAGGCTTACGGTTGTCCAGCAACGGGGACGTTGTGTTCAAGCGTGCGAGCATGGCTCCTTCGAAACCCCTAGACCTTTTATAGCCAGAATTGCCCGTTTGGGAATTAAATGCACACGCTTCTACAGCTATGTGGGCTGTACCGCAATGCGAATACCGAAAACAGCTCGGAATCTCCAAGTCTGGATATGTCGGGTACCCTAATGACGAGCACTCGTGGCCTGCTGACGCCGAGGTTAGTTTACTACAGCCTATATATTCGGCAATATAGCCTAGCGAACCCTGTATCCCTTCGCCGCAGGCGAACGGCAGCAATGACAACAGCGCAGACGGCCATAACTCAATATGTCACAGCTTCGTCAGGCATCAGATATGCCTTTCGAAGACTCGGCCCTGATGCGGGCGTGCCTCTCGTCATGCACATCCACTATCGTGCCAACATGGACCTGTGGGATCCGCTGCTGCTCAACACTCTCGCAGCGTGCCGACCCGTCATCATCTTTGACTCGAAAGGGGTCGGACGCACCGATGGACTGGTCCCAGAGAGCTATCAAGGGTGGGCTGACGCTGTCATTGACTTGGTCGCCGCTCTCGGCCACAAAGAGATTGATCTGCTAGGCTTCTCGATGGGCGGCAGAGCAGTACAGCTGGTTCCCCTGACTGGGCCGGGCCTGGTTCGGAGACTCATCTGTGCAGGGACGGACGCCGTGTATCCGCCCCGCGAGCAAGTCCCGGGCACTCTCTGGCCGCGCGAGCCAGGTCCACCTACCCATGTCAAAGCTCTGTCTGAAGCTGTATCCGTTGACGAGGGCAAAAGAGCACTTTGCTACTCGTTCTTCTACAACAATGACCATGGCCAAGCAGAGTTCGATGCGTACTGGAAACGTGTCTCTGAGCGAACAGCAGAACCTGTGAACCTCAAGCTGCTGGACAAGGAAGGCGGAGGCAAGCGGCAGTGGCAGGCTGCGAGAGACGCTCTAGCGCCCAACCCGGCGTACCAGTTCGACAAACTGAGCCACATCAAGATTCCGGTACTGGTCGCAAACGGTGACGATGACCTCTTGATACCATCATATCGAAGCTGGGAGCTGTACAAGACCTTCGAGAACGCCCAGTTGATCATGTACCCTAAGGCTGGACATGGGTTCTTGTGGCAATATGCCGAGCTCTTCGGCCATCATGTTAACCGCTTTCTCGATGGAGCAGAATTTGATCGCTGCAAGTCTCGGTTGTGAGCGTAAGTAGTCTAGGATCGGTCCCACGACTGAAGTCGGGTGTCGTGAGTAATTCAGACCTTGACGATTCACTATGGGACACTGTCCAGTAGCTGCCATAGATCGAAGCCATTCTGATCAAACGCTGGAGATACCCACGCAACTCTCTGAAGGAGAAATCGGGCATTTTCCCAATCCACCACACCAAGTGATATCGAACATGACCTCAGATGATGCAAAGACGCTTCTCGCTTATTTGTATCTTGCGCAGCCAGCGCTCCCATGAAACAGCACCAAAATTTGAGGTCCGAGTTTTCCCAATCGATTTCGATCGTGTCAAGGACTGCCAACATCGCTATTGGAAGAGTCTGTGCGCCGAGGATTTCGAATGGCTGCTCATGTGTGAGCATTCTGGTGAAGATCAATGCGGCCATTTTGCAGGCAGTATCAAGCCTACTCAACACAGTGTCATCGAGGCTAAGCAGGTCGTACTGAACAGTCATGATATCTTGGTCGAGAGAAAATGGGTCGATGGGCGCTGAGATTTCGATGGCCCGATTGATCGCGTCAGCCAGCTGTTGTAGCCTGACCAGAGAATCGAAGAGGTCTGGATCAAGAGACATTTGCAAATGCAGGAGTGTAGCCGGAGCCTCGGTGAGGCTCATGTCAACATTGTGCTCCGTGAGGATCGGAAGCGAGGACACATTGCCTTCCGCCAGAAAGACTGTACTGTATAACGAGGGTGTAGTTCGTTGAGGGCGTGGCCAGCGAGGCTTCGACAAGTAATCGATCGCTGGGCTCATCAGAGCGCGATAGATCTTCTGATGGAAGCCAGGATCGACACTTTTCATCCCTCCGCGAATTTCAAGCATTTTGATTAGGCCGTTGGTATGCGTCTGCCACTTGTCGATCCGCCCCGCGGCATGTTCGCGAAGCAAGAAGCATGTGACTGCCATCAAGACTGCGTCAGTGATGTTGCCAGAGCTAACGCGCCCTCTCAATTCCTGGATAGCTCCTTGCAAGAAGTCCGTGCCTTCAGGTACTTGCCAACCAAGTAGCTTTTCGCAACGAACAGCTGCCGAAGTGACTATTGAACTGAGCATACAGGCGTCTCGCAAGGCGGCAGGTAGGTACAGTGTAGTGACTGGATCAAATTTGAGCGGCAAGTAGCCTTGGAGGGGGTAGAAGAAGTAAGTCATATCACTGTCTGAGCACCAGTTAGCGAGTGTCAATGGTTTGAATGTACGAGAGCCTGTCGGTCTAGATCGTAAACTCCTCCAGCCTACCTTCTCCGCCCTGATGTCCATGCGGTACTGCGGTCGAGACGATTGAGCTGTCCTTCCCGAAGGCCGAAGACCACCAGGTCGGAGATGACAGACCATAAGTAATTACGATTATCACACCGACAAGTCCTTCTTTTGCTTAAAGAGTGTGGCAATGACTTACAGTACGGCAAAATCTCCAGTAGCGGTGAATTGGCGTTGTCATGGAGTCCGTAAAAGGGTGAAGCCGAGCCCGGGGGTGCGGAGATCAATGGAAGGTCGCCTGTAGAGACACTGGATGCTTGAGCAGGTGACTGAGTGAGCACGCCCCGAGGTGACGAGGAGGCTTCAGTCAACTGTTGCGCTTGCCCGGCAGCATCTCCCAGTATCGTCCTCGGTGGTCGCCCTGGTCGCTTCCGTGATCGCTTGGGCTCGTCGTCACTGGTAACGAAGCGGAAATTGCGGACTTGGGCAGGCTTTCGCTCCTTACCACTTGCTTTCAGGTGTCCAAGGCCATCAGTCGCAGACTCGGCGCCCAACACTGAGACCTTGACATCGCTGGATGATACCGCGAACGGTTGTGATTCATAGGGACTGTCGTGCGCCTTCTTGCGCATTCCCTTATCAACGATCAAGAGCGGACCCTCGGGATACAGAACAGATTCTTGCGCCATCCGTGTTTGAGTATGATTCGAGCCTTGAGATCTGGTTATGGGACATAGCCAGTTTAGAGATCCTAATATACGAGAAGCTCTGCTGTGAGCCAGACTAGCTCGAGGCAAGTGCTAGTAGCGCTTGGAGGTCGCAGGCGTATTGACCCTGGCGGAGCAGCTGATGCACACAATTGCGTGCATGCACCCGATGATCTTCCGGAACTGCATCGCTTCGATACAGTGAGGTGAACGGCAGGTTGTCGGGAGAGCTAAGCGATCAAAGAGACAGCGACGAAGAGGCCAGCTTAAGTAAGCTAGGCGCTTTTTGGGTGCGCCGTGGACGCCCACCAACAGGGCTACCGTCGTTTTACTCGGTGCAGACTATTTATCGGCGTCGCTGGGCGAGGTTACCAGCAAAACTCACAGGACCACCTGCTGACATCAAGAAGCTAGATTGAGAATGCTGATATTGTTCGTACAAGGTACTACCGCCATCGGCAGTGACCCATGCCAAGCAATCACTGCCTGATACGATTGAGAAGTGTCCGTCGTACAAGTACTAGTATATCGAGGCAGCAGCGTGAATAGATCCGCTGCAGAGATGTACCGCTCCCGGCATTCCGTATGCTTTGCGATGCCCTTGTCCGTGCTTGTTATCCTCTCTTCAATACCACCGTGGTGTATAGTCCGGCCACCTGCTCAACTCATCCCTAAAACGATTCAACGCCTCGCTCTTGGTATCAAAATCGACACCCTCACTGCGCAGCGTCTTGTGGTCCACCTCTCCCTGCACATACTCAGCATCAAACTGCAACTCCCCACCCCACCCCTCCACCATCTCCCTTACATTCTCCGGTAACAGTATCTTGCTCTTTGCCTGAAACCAGGCAGGCTGCGCCACAAACGCCAGCATCACGCGCGGCTCGTCCGTCAGGTTCGGCATACCCGCGTGCCACAGCCGTAGATCGCGAATCACCAGGCTGCCCTTCTTGGTGCAGGCTCGTACAGGCGGGGAATGCCGGCGCCGCAGCTCCAGCAGCTCCGGCTTGATGGGCAGCTGCTCTTCGTTGTCTTTGCCCGAGACGTGCGCGTCGTGCACGCTGACGTGATGCGAGCCCGGCCAGACCTCCGTTGCGCCGTTGCGCGCCGACGTGTCGACGAGGGCGATGTTGATTACTTGGGCAAAGGAGAAGTAGGCCGGGTGGGTGAATTCGCAGTCTGAGTGGACGGGCTGTCGACCGTCCGGGCCAGCCTTGAGGGCGGTGTTTCCGTTGGCGTAGTGTACCACGGGCCGTGGACCGAGGACGGCGGCGAGTATGGCGGCGGCGAAAGGGTTGCACCAGATGTCCTTGAACATCAGGTCCTTGGTCGGTGGGGGTGCTTGGTCCATGTTCGAGGTGTGCTTGCCAAAGTTGAAGTGATGGTCCGGGTTTTTGGCTATTTCCAAAGCCTCCGGCGTGAGTTTGGCGTTCAGGGCGTCGACATGTGCCACATCAATGGCATTGTCGAGCACGATGATACCGTCCTTGTGCAAGAATGCAGCGCCTTCTGCTATAATTTCAGGAGTTGCAACCCCCGATTTGCGGACATCTTCCGGTATATAAATCGTGTGGACCGTCTGGTCGTATAGCTGTGGACTTAGCGATCCCATCGTCTATGACTGACTGTCGGGGACGTTGAGCACCACAAGGGCAGATCTCGTGGTCGTGAGAAGTCGTTACATATCTTCGTCCCCGTGCAAAACTCACTTCCCGTCTCCTATGGCGGGGAAATTCGTCCGTCGCCATATGAGGCTGCCGCCAACCGATTGCCAACTCTATGCGGATTGCCGGAGCAAGATCTTCAGGCAGTGATTTGCTTGGCGGATAGCGGCCGTCATCCATCACCTGATGATCGTGCACTACTCCTGCGTTCTCTGTTGACACGTGGCCGGCTCATGGTTTTGCAAGCCCATCAGATAGATGCCCTCACTGGCTTCTTGAGGTTGGGGAGAGAACCTAATGACCACAGAATTGCTCTTTGAGGTACTGAAGCACAGGCATGCCCCACATCTGCGAGCATACCGGGTGCGGTCGACTGATTACAGTGCCCTTCGACCTCTGAACCGCGAGACGTATCGTGTACGGAGTAGATACAGCAATACACAGGTGTGGCCCCTGCCTCTTGAAATCCGATCATACACGTCGGATCTCCACCATGCGACTCGTGAAAGTGAGACAGCTGTGGTCCGGGTACTTCCGTGGAGTCAAGACACAAACTTGGCGTGATATCACACTGATCTTGCTTCCCCTTCCCTCATTCTTTCATGTGTAGACCCCTCACAACCAAAAACTCATCTATAGTTGATCAGAATAGCAAAAAGTAATTCTCTTGCCGGGAATTGAACCCGGAGCTTCCGGGTAACTCAGTACCGAGATCAACGTGGTTTTCAATGAAAACCGGAGATGTTAACCATTACACCACAAGAGAGAAGCTCTGCGCGAATTGTGAAAGAAAAATGTGAGGTATGAGTCTATGAATCATACACAAGACGTGAACGAAGTTCGTGGCCTAGGGGCCCTAACAAAGCAGGGTTTCGGCAACTAAGATCAGTGAAAATTTAGGGGTCTTGGCCTAGAAAACTCGTGCCATGCTCTTCCACCATTCACAGCAAAAGCCCACGAATGTGATCTATTGTTAATTCGGGAGACCGTCCTGTCGACTCCATCCACCCGTCAACTTGGTCGGCCTGACGGCCATTCCGCAGCCTCTCCATCTCCAGCTGCTACCTACGCTCGCTCATTTCGAGCTTACTAGGAACCTTCCCTTGCGCTTTCACGAACGAATACATGCACAGAAATCAGCACATGAAACTCTATCTCAAAATGGGATTCGTTACCAGATTTGCATTTCGTGTCTATCAGGTTCCAGGCCAGGTAGGTCAGGCAGGTATCGAAAAAACGCCCTCGCCATGCTTTCTTCCAGCGCATATCGCTTTTCCGCTCACGACCCGTCTACATCGATAGTTCAAGCATGACCGTTTGCAGTGACAGCAGCCTTCAGTTGCCCTCGCACACCGCCCTTGGCGCCCTTCTCCCGTGCCGTGACACTCACACTGAGGTCCGCATCAACGTGTACCGTAACCTCGATCTGGCCCTTCTTCTTCAGGCCCTGAATCTGTAGCTCGGCAAGCGTCTTCTTGGCCTTCCAGAGCTTCTCACGGATCTCTTCATCTTCGTCTTCCTCGTCTGAGACATCCTCGTCTTCGTCCTCCTCGTCCTTTTCTCCATTCTCTTTGGGTTTGGGCTCTGGCTTGGTGACCTTGATTTCACGCTCGCCTTCGCAGACCCGGACGAGGACATCGCCCGCTGGAGCATCGACTGTGACAGTGCGTCTTGCGGGAACGGCGGTCGCGGGCGGAATGACCGTAGTGAAGGAGTCCTCAGGTTGCCCGCTGACTTGCAAACCAATGGCACTACTCAGATGAGGGGTGACGGTGAGCATCTCATGTGTGCTCTGTTCAATATCCTCCTTCTCGAACTCCTGGATCAGGTTGGCTTGAAGAGCTGCACCGCGTGCGGAGAGCTCGGAAGGATTCAACGATGATGTCGACGTGGCAGGCGCAAGAACCGTAGTAGACTCTGGGAAGAGGCCCTGCACATTGTTCGCAATGCGTGGGGTGTGCGACGTACCACCGGCCATGACAACCTCGTCAATGTCAAGCACGTCCAGGTCGGCCTTTTTCAGCACCTCTTCGATAAGCCTTGTAAAGCGTGCAAACACTTTGCCAGCGAGCAGCTCGTACCGCGTCCTGTTGACAGGGCAGCGGAAATCAACACCGTCCGTTAAACTTTCGACCGAGAACGTTGCAGTCGCGGATTGCGAAAGTGCCTTCTTGACAGCCTCGGATTCCAGCTTTAGCTTGGCAAGGCCACGCTCGTTTTTGCGGGGATCGGATTTGTGCTTTTTCTCAAACTCCTTTGCAAAGTAGTCCATAAGCACTTGGTCGAGCTGCGCGCCTCCGAGCTCGTAATCGTGGGCAGTGGCCAAAATGCTGTACATGCCGCCTCTTGAAGCGACCACGGCAACATCGGATCGGTTCCCGCCGAAGTCGCAGACGAGGACCAGTTTGTCTGAAAGGGTTTCCGTCGCGCGAGAGTCGTAGGCGAGGAGAGCGGCGATGGGTTCGGGAATGAATTGTAGAATCTCGACGTCAGTACCCGCCGCAGCCTTGGTGAGCGCAGCCTTCTGCTCATCGCTGGTATCTGTCGTGATGGCAACGACAGCAGAGGTGACAGTCTTGCCAGAGAAGTCGGAAGCCGAGTTTTTCAGTCTCCTCAAGTGTCTGGTAGTAACTTCTGACACTGAGACGTTGTTAGGCGTCTCGCTTTCGGAGTCTCGGACAGAAAATGCGACGGTGTTGTCGGCCTCAATCGGGTGAGCAGAGTTGTGGGCTGGCGTAGGGTCTATCGACTTGTAGTCCTTGCCCAAAAAATCTCGGAAGTAGGCAATGGTATTTTTGCTGTTGCGAACGAGTTGGGGCTTGGCCTGCGTTCCATGATACTCTTCGCCCTCAATGTAAGAGAGGATGGAAGGGATCTGTCGGTCACCTTCTTCGTTGGCAATGACCTCGACTTTGCCCTCGCCGGAAATGTGGGCGATCGAACTATAGGAATTTCCAAACGAGATACCGATGGCGTAGAGGTTAGGCGAGCCCGAGGCGGGGGCTTCGTTTTCGTCACTCATGGTGAAGACGTAGGAGAATGGTTGACACGGCAATATGGACGAGAGAATCTCAAACCGCAGAGGTGAACCGAGCAAACAAGCACCCAAGTTGCAAGTCTAGAAAGGAAAAGTCCTTGGAGCAAAATGAATCCCTGCGGTTCCAACATGTGGCTCGCGGGCATTCGAGAAAAAAATATCCCAGCCGGCCGGAGCACGGAAAAACTAGCCGCCGAAGCACCAGCCTTGCTCTGTTTGCCTTCTTTCTATATCCTGTCTAAAGAGAGAAGTAACACGGAGGAGTCACATATCTGCAGCAGGCGAAGATGGAGTCGCCGCAGATATTCCTCCCAGGCGATTTAGTGCCGTCAAAGCTGCTGCCAAACGCCCAAAAGCGCAAAATTGGCCATGGTCTTTACCAAGAACCCGGATCTGAGGATCACAAATGCTCGGTAGCCGGACCCTTGGAAGTTGACTACCGCAAAAAAGCAGCATACATCAAGACCCCCCGGGCGCGATACGTCCCGAAAGTTGGAGACCTGGTAATTGCGCAAGTGCGAGGTCAGTCTCAAGAGTACTTTCATCTCTACCTCAGCTCCAACGGACACCAGGCAATCCTGCATCAGTTGAACTTCGAGGGCGCCACGAAGAAGACCAGGCCGAAGCTGGAGAACAATGACCTCGTCTACGCCAAGATCATCTTTGTGCAGAAGAACATGGACATCGAAATCTCGTGCGTGAATCCCCAGACAGGAAAGGCAGAGCCCGATGGGTTGGGGCCAATAACGGGTGGCATGGTCTTTGATGTCAGCGTGGGCCTGGCCGACAGATTGTTGAGACGGCAAGATGTGAGCTTCACCGAGGAGCTAGGCTCGAAACTTCAGGGCGGTTTCGAGATGTGTATCGGCAGGAACGGCAAAGTCTGGGTCGATTGTGGTGAGAATATGAGGGCCGTGTGCGGCGTGGGAAAGTGTTTGGAGGAGATGGATGCGAGGGACATGGATGAAAAGGCGCAGAAGAAAATGGTCAATAAGATCATCAAGGAGTTCGGGGTCAGCTGAAGCAAGAGCATGATAAGACAAGAGCTCAACATCCCCGAGTCTTGACCCGCTATGATTGATCGGAAAAGCGAGTCAGGACGTACAACACAAGCGACAGCTAAGCAACAGCGCCATATAGCCGCCAGAAAACTGATCTCCGGTTTAGCTGAGGGCAAGACAATGGCTACGATGAAGATGGGAAGATCATGCGTAGGTGGACAGTTGTGGCGAATGATATCACGACAGAAGTAGCTACTACGAAAGAGCGTCGTTGAGGTTTTCAGAGGTTTGATTTGCTCGAAAGGTACTAAGAGTACACATATCTGGGCTATGCTCCATCATCCAGCCTCAAAATGCAAAGGTCAACGGCCTCCTCGAAACAGAACCTGCCTTCATCACAACACCACCATAGCGGGGTAATGTTCATATGCAGTCCCAGATCTCTGCCTCCATCATCCCATTGCAGAGTAAGACTTTTCGTTCTCCATTGTTCGTGGTTCTTTTGATCAAAAAAGGTATCGTGCTTGAATCCGATCTCAAAGGCCTTTTGCCAAGGCCCCTGCGCAAATGCATCATATCATCTTTTGCAAGATATCCGGAACTCCATGGTGTATCGAAAATGTCGGAATCCATCTTCTATCTGCAGTTGTCGTCACCCTAGTATTTCCAGCGACACATCTACTTCCTCCGGAAGGAGCAGCCCTCGGTCAGGCGGGCCTTGCCACCGGTGGGCTGGCACAGGACGGTTGAGCAACCGGCGCAGACAACGACGGTCTGGGCGTGAGAGTAGACAGTGGTGATGGTGAAACATCCAGGGCACTTGACGTCCATGAAGAATGATCGGGGAGCAGGCACGAGGGTCTGTGAAAATAAGGTTAGGACCGAAAAGTGCGGTGACGATCGGAATTTCGTACCTTGAGCTTGTGCTTGCGGGCCTCAGCTTGAGGAGTAGGGTTGAGAAGGTCAACTGCGAGAACCTAGCGACATCATGTTAGCATCTGTTGGCCGAGTATCAATGGACGTATGTGCGGCTCGATGGATGCAGGTCGGTCGTGTGCATGAGGGGTGAAATTCGAAGCATCATCATCTGCAAAATGGGGTGCATACCATTTTGGCGGTGTTGAATTGTTGTTTGGCTTGACTGGGCTGAAGTTATGGAGTCGTAGGTGAGCTTTCGGTCGTCGAAATGGTAGATGGCGATGGGATAGATCGACTGCGCTGCAGGTGTCGAAGGCGTGGAAGGCGAAATATGTCGAGCAAAATGGGGAGTGTGCAATCTTGGCGGCAACAGTGGCGCTAGGCAAGTCTGGGCATAGCCAAATTCTTCTGGTGGCAAGTGGTGGATCTCCAGACACGTTACTCACCAGTCATGACTCCAAATTGACGAAAGAGTCATATCGACATGGATTTACTGTTCTGGTACACCCTAGAAATGTCTAGGCTCTAGTTGCGTAGTCTAGTGGGTATCATCAAGTCAAGCAGCCTTGCGCGGACTGCCAGCATCAGAATGGCACATCCATGTCTTCCACGCTCTCCTCCTTCTCGCCATTCTGTAAACTCTTCGGTACCATTTGGTGTTGAATGAACGCTGCAGCAACGTCGAGATACTGTTTGCTAGACGGAACAAAGTGGCCGCCGGGATGAACGACAACCTGAGTCATGTCGGTCCCGCCACATGCATCGACAAGTGCCTGCGTCCGCTTCTCTTCAACCACGCTGTCTAGACTGCCGATGAAATGGCACATGGGTGTTGTAATCGGGGGCTGATAGATGGCAGCATACCTATCGCCAGGAGGCACGAAACCAGAATAGACAATACCAAACTTCAGTGGCGGGTGGTCGAGATCCTCAAATGACTTCGGATAGGCGATGGCATGCGTAGATTTTGACTGTGCATCTTTGAACGCTTGCCGTCTGCTCTGGCCCTCCAGTAAAGAAGCAACAACAGCCGCCATACATGCACCTTGAGAGAACCCGATGACGCCGTCGAAGGGCCCTTCCGTCTTCAGAACCTTGGCCACCTCGTCAAAAGCGTCTTCGATGCCGACATACTCGGGAGGGTCCGAGTCATCTCGCCGCTTCCACCAGCCGTAAGCCTCGGTCGACCCTACCCCGTTCCCATCATATCCCGGCACATCTGACGCTCTCAGCTGAATTTGTGCCGTAGGATAGCTCAAGGTAACGGATGGAAAGGCTTTCTGTAGGCGTTTCTCCAGTACTCGGGTCTTTGCGCGAAAGAGCTGGCCATTTTGTGTGTAGCCGTGGAGCATTAGCACCTTCAGCGGTGGTGGAGCAGCCATCACGCGAAGCCCACGCCTCCACATGCAAAACGAGATAATGAGAGTAGCCTTGCGGGCCAGAGATCGCAGCCCGTTTGGGGGAAGCTGCAGGTACTCAGTGCAGCCTGCTGAAGCTTATCCGAGGACTTCCAAGGTATGCCCAACGCACTGAATCCCAGTAGTCTCAAGTACGATTGTCGTTGAAGGACAACCACGTCAAATTGTTCAGAAAGCGCACGATAGTGATATCAAGTCACTTCTGCGCGGTCAGTCAGGAAGAGAAGAAGCGAATCGTCGCCGGCTTCGGTCTTGAGATACTCTATGCAGTTTAGTGCCGCCAAGTATCCTCTCTATCCTGATTGGACCAACATTTACTGCCTGACCTGTTTACTTCTCCCTGGTACCAGATAACTGGGAGAACGGAGCCCGAGGATGGCTCTACCTGAGCCGAACAGTTTTAACATGCTTTAGGCAGTACTTTCAAATATCTGGTACAGCCCTCAAAACACGCATTAGCTATGCAAAATTTTTCCTGTACCAGAAGTTCACTGAATGCCCATAACACTATAAAAACGCTTTCCATACACGGTCTCTTCTTCTCGAGCATTCACTCGAGTATACTGACTAGACTTGCTCTTTACTGATCTCCGTGGATGAACCCTTTGCTTCACTCATCAAGTCACTTATCCTCTTCTTCATCATGGCCTGTGTTCTCTCCTCCGTTTCCTCCTCCTTCGGCAAGGCCGTCAAGGCTATCAAGTCCCTTGACGTCCAGCATGGCAGGCCAGTCAGTGAGATCACCGACCCCCGTAAGACCATCGTGCCGATAGCGATTGCGTCGCTGCTGTTCTTCGCTTGGGGCCTGACTTACGGCCTCCTTGACGTGATGAATGTCAGTGTACCTGCACAACATATTAGAAGGAAAATGTCGCTGACAGCCACAGTACCACGTCCGTATTGCGATGGCGGCTCGCCGCGACGAGGGCGCACTGCTAGCCCTCGGGTACTGTGAGTATTCTCTCTGCGATCCACCCACTGATGCTAACACAAGTGTGCAGACATGGCCTACCTCGTTGGGCCCACGATCTTCGCTGGGCCCCTCATCAAGCACGCCGGCTACCGCCTCTGCATGTTCCTCGGTCTTTTCACAGTTGGCCTGGGCTGCATGTTCATGTCTCTCGGTGCCGACGGCTGCACCCTGGGCGGCATGACGGGCGGCCACTTCGTCATCGGCATCGGCGTTTCGATGCTGGAGCGCAGTGCCAACGCCTACGCCGTCAACTGCGGTCCTCGCCAGCATGCCACTCTGCGCATCCTCGTTGCACAGGCCATGGCTGGCGTGGGCACCGTCGTTGCGCCTTTCCTTGCGGCCGCCTTTGTCTTCTCGCCCGACAGCAGCAACGTTGTGCCGGCGCCCGACCCCTTCACGCCGGGCAAATGCCTACCTCCCGTGGACAAGACCGGCAGCTGCGCCGAGCTCGGTAGTGTCATCACCTTCTACCGTGGAATAGGCGCCATCGTTCTCGGAGTCTCTTTGGTGTTGGCTACCCTCTTCTTCCGCACGCGTCTCGTCCCCGAAGTCGCGGTTCTCAAGTCGCCCAGGACAACGTGCGGCTGGAAGCTCTGGCGGCATCCCCTGGTCAGCGTCAAGCACAGCCGCGTGTGGTGGGGTGTGGTCGCCAACTTCGTCAATCTCGGCCTGCAGGTTGCGTTCGCACAATTCTTTATGGAGCATATGAAGATCAACGCCTGTGCCTCCGACCGCTGGGCCGCCAACTGGATGAGCGTGGCACAGGCGGCCTTTGTCGCGGGACGCTTCTCTGCTGCGGCCGCCGTGGTCTTCCCCAAGATCTTTCGGCCACGGTACGTCCTGCTCGCCTTCCTGGCTGGCGCTGTGGCGTTCACCGGCGCTAGTGTGGTGGTTACAGGCAGCACTGCCATCGCCATGGCTGTCATGGTCATGTTTGCTGAGGCGCCGTCGTTCCCCATGATCTTCGAGAGCGCCACCGCTGGTTTTGAGGAGTGGACGCCCACATGCGAGACGCTCATGATCGTCAGCATTTCCGGAGGAGGCATCCTGCCCGTCATCATGGGCAAGCTGACGGACATGGTGGGCATCAGCATGGCGTGGACCTTGGTGTCGGCGTGCTTCGCGTTTGTGCTGACCTACCCCGTCGCACTATGTGTCCTGCCTTCGTATCGCAAGGCACTGGATCAGGCTGATGGTTGTGGAGGGCGGGGCAGCGATGAGGAGATCACCTCAGCGGAGCCTGGGAAGGCCACGGCGATGCATCGCTTGTGAGCAATTGTTGTTTGGGCTGTGTTGTTTCTGGTCTTGGTTTTGATTCAAAGTCGCGTTTTTGCAGTGTTCATCGAGGTGGTGGATAATAAGATAGAAATTGAGTGCATCTTCACCACCACCCCTGTACTCCCTGATGATGGCCTCGTTCGATTTGTAGTACACCGATAGACTTTCAGTGTTTTTCTGCAGCAAAATAAGTGGTACACACAACCTGCAAAGCGCAGGGGCAAAATCCGAGTACAACAAGGCATCCAGGATGTCTCAGTGTCCCAGTTCTCGTAACGGAGGCTTTTTGCATCACTATTTTCAGCCAGTCCTTTTGATACAGATCCGTAGTAGCACACGCTCACAGTCCTTTTAGGCCTTGCTACGTCGACTTGATCGTCGTCTCCCATCGTTGACTTCAGCCTTTGCCTTAACATCCGCCTTGGCCTTCTTCATAGCTTTTGCTGGCTTCGCCGGCTTCTTCTCCTCGACCTGATCTTCCTCCTCCTTGACCTTCCTCTTCTTGCCATTGACCGCTGGTGCTGCAGTGCCATTCATCTCGGGTTGGTTCTTCAGCTTTCCCTTGCCTTTGGTCTTTTTCGGCTTCTCATCCTCCTGCTCAGCGTCCGGGTCCTCTGCCTCGTCCATGTCTTTCGCCACAGGGCCAGTCTTCTTTTGGAGGCTTGGCACTACTGCGCTGGTCCGACCGCCAACGGTAAGGAACAGTATCTTCTCTCCACTTGGCAAGGTCTTTGTTGCGTCTTTCTTGCCCTTACCCCATCGATGCTTGAACAGCCAGTCGTCTGGAAATTTTTCCGAGTCGGCCAATAACTCGCATGCTGTACCGCAGACGTAGTGAATACTCTTGTGCAGCTGCTCAATCTGCTCATCGGTCAAGGTGTTTGCATATTGCTCTGGGTGCATTCTTGCATTGAACATAATTTCATCTCCGACCCAGTTGCCAATTCCACTGATGTTGGCTTGATCCAGCAACATTGCCTTGATAGGCACCTTCTTGCTGTGACACTTTTGCTTCAACCACTCGACAGTGACCTTGTCTTTGTCGATGACCGGGTCAGGCCCATTCTCACTGAGTGGCTTATGCTGTCGGATCTGGTCGCCTGGGCAGTCAACCAGCTTGATGCGGGCGAAGCGTCTAGAATCAACGAATGCGGCCTCGACCTTCTCCTCACCCTTGGCGGGTTTAGTCTCGAGATGAAACTTCCAGTACTTTGCTGGCCACTCTTCGGGTTCCGTTTCGCCTTCTTTCGGCTGATAATAGTAGGTGTGTTCGTTCTTATATTTCAACCAACCACTCATGCCGAAGTGAAGAACCGGATGAGGTGGCTTCGACATGATGAGATAGAAATACTTGCCCTGCTGGCCGACGTCCTTAATGGTGTTGTTGATCATGTGCTTCTCGAATTGCGGGCCTGTAGTTTGATACTTGGCGTCAAAGACCTTGTCATCGTTCAAGGCGGTGCAAGAAGCAATAGTTTTGCCGACGAGGTGTTTGCGCACATAATGCACAGTACGGGCGATTTCAGCGATTTCAGGCATGATGGAAGATGTTCAGAACTTGATGAGCTTGGTTGGTGATAGCTTCGAGGCAGCGCCCAAGCTTCGGGGGATAAAGAATAGGAGACAGCCAGGAGGTGCTTTTATCATGGGCGTACACCTTCGGATGCTCGGTCGCACTATCCTGCCAGAGCTCTTAGGCCCTACGCGTAATCTGTAATTAAGACGAAGACTATCTGGAAGTTGAGAGAGTGCTACAAATGTTAAACTGTTCGACTCATCCGACGCGTCTCGTAATGCACTTTACGCGTTGGCCAATCAATGACGTATACTACGACGCTACGAAGTGTGCAGGCTGCACCTCACCTCAGTTCATTTCTGCCACCATTGCTCTTGAATTCGACCCGACCGCGGAGCCATTGCAGGCGTTGTCGGACCTTGTGATCAGCATCAGAGGTCCTCGAAGAACAGCACAACCACTTGTCATACGTGCACCCCGGAGAGCTGATCAGCGCAGTCTCGCCACCAATCTTTAATCTACATCTCTCCACCACCACCACTATCCTACGACCGACAATCTGGCGTGGTTTTGGACAACCTCTCCCACCTCATCCCCGTCACTACACTCACCACCTCTTCGCTCCCAACCCTCTCTCGAGCCCCGAACCTCCCTCCCACCACTCCACCAACCAAGCATGTCGCAACCCACACAACCCCCACCACTAACGCCCTCCCTATGCTTCTCCACCACCCACCTCCGAGCCTTCCTCCGCACCTCTCGCTCCCTAATCGACGACCCCATCAACACCTCGCTCAACAGCCTGCTCACACCCTCCACGCCAGCCTTCGACCCCTCCTCCACACACACGCGCACCGGCCCCTCATCTCACAACCTCCCCGCCACCACCTGCTCACCCTTCCTCACCTCCGTAATCTTCCCCAGCTGGAAAGCGCGCGCCGACGTGCTGCGCTACTGCGCCAGCGTCGCCACGAGCCCCGACCCGGACGACCCCGAAGCCGTCTCGCGAGAAGTCTACAACCGACGGGGCCAGGAGCGCGTGGTGGACGAGCGCCTCGATCCGTACAGCGGGCGCTTCTTCCCGCGTGAGCCGCGCACGGAGCAGCTGGCCCGGGTGCTGAGGGAGGAGGAGGGCGTGGAGCGCATCGTCAGAGAGCGGACGTGGGGCGTGGTTGCGGCGAGGTGTGAAGGCGTGGGCGAGATGGGAGAGGGATACGAGGGGGTGTTTGCACGTTGGCGGTCGGAGCAGGAGGGGCGGAGGCCGTGATGTTGGGGAGAGAGGTTCTATTCGTTCATTTGAAGCGTACCAGCGAAAAGCATTGCATTGCATACACAACGCATTTCTGGAGAATATGAAACAGTGTAATGTGTTTGTATAACAAATGTGTGGTGGGGATACCGTGACGAAGGATACGAAAAAGATAGAATTCCCGCTCTCTAGTATATAAATCTCCCAAACCGAATGACTGCTGTACAAAGTGTCAGTTTCCAGGATCCCAAGCACGCCTGTCCCTCTATCAGATATATCCAATATCCCATTCCCGAAATGCTACGCTCGTACGCCATCCCTGCAATGCTGTTTGAACACGACCTCCGACCCCTTGTGCAGCAACTCGCCCCGAATTGCGTTTCTCTTCCTCCTTCCTCCTCCCTCACCAGCCCCCACCACTCAGCCCGGCAATAGAAGCGATACGTTCCGTATCACTGATATCTTTCGCCTTCTTCTTGCCCACATCGCTCTCGACCTTGCGGAACGTCGTGTATGCCAGCCGATCCATCGACACGCCGACAACGCTGGCCCAGTGAGCCAGCAGATCTTTCACGTCCGTGACATCGACGCCGTTGACCATCACGTGCTCTGGGGCGGGGCCATTGTTGGTCATCTCGACATCGTTGTCTCCTTCAGCTTCAGCTTCGCTCTCGTCCATAGAGTAATAAGCCTCGTCCACGCGGCCCAGCCACTCCTTCTGCGCCTGTGGCGTCACCTTGCCCACCGAGACCTCCGCGGTTGAATCCGGGAGCACGCCTTGCACGTCCTCCACCTTGATCTGCCCACCGCCATTCGTGCACCCGCCTGGGCAAGCCATGACTTCGACGTACGCGTACTCGGAGCCGGCGTCCTTGGTGGGGGCTCGTTTCGCGGCGCCCGGAAGCTTGGACTGTCGCGCGGGCTTCAGCTTGCGCACCAGGTTCTGGATGTTGCGGAAGCCGTAGTAGCGCGCGCACTTCATTAACACATTCCCATCTGCGGAGGTGAGCGCGTATTCAACGACGTCGGCGTTGCGGCCCCGCAGTGTGGTGATGGTGCTTCCGGGGGACTGGGCCTGCGCGGTCTTGAGGACGTGGTAGAGATAGCCGCCAGAAGAGCCGGCTTCGGGGATTGTTTGGGGCTCAGTGCGCCGACGGGGTCGGGGGAATAGGAAGCGGGATATCCTTGAGTCGGGGAATGCTGGCTGTGATGAAGACGGTATGGGGGTGAGAGGTAGATCGGCGAGGCGGATGCCGCGGCTCTCGGCGAGAGACAGGAGTTCTCGGGATGTGATTACACAGTCAACGTCGCGAATGGCTGTCGATGAAGGGTCGGAGTCTAGCCACCATTTGTCGGTGAGCTCTTCGCGGGAGGCTTCGAGTTTCTTGTCGAAGCAGGGCATGACTGCCAGGTGCCAGATTTGCGAGGGCTGAACGCCCAGGGTCCTGCTGAGAACAGATTTGAGAAGGGTGCCGGACATGGCCTGCGGCGACTTCAGGGCAGATAAGTGCGGCAGGACGTGGGGATGTGTCTTCTCGGCATAGCAGATCCAGCCCGGACACGCCGACGTCAGAATGGGCTTTGGTGTAGTCTTTTCCGCCATGGCGGCTTCCACCTCTTCAGCGCCGAGCACCAGGCATGCTTCTCGCAGACGATTGGTGTCGACCACATATTGAAAGCCGCTGTTATGCTGGCCGCCTATCCGTAGTCCCTGTGACCCACTGAGGAACTGTTCGATCATAAATCCCGCCTTCTTCTCGGATATGCCGTAAGTCGCCGCTATGCTAGCCCTGACCTGCGGGCTCACGCTCGCGACAAAAATACGCGCATCTGGCGGTGGCGCATGATGGCCATTTGCAGCGCCATTCCGTGTCTCGAGCAAATGCCGTACATCGAGCTCCCAATGAGCATCGAGAGTGTTTAGAACTTCGGTATGCGACTGCAACGAGACCAACACGGCTTCGGCAGAAGTGACGCAGCCGGAGCAAGCCAGGCAGTCCGTCAGTGAAATGGAGGCGGGCGCAGGGTTCTGTGTCTGGACTTGGTCTTCGGTGGTAACTTCGTAGGGATTGTAGTCTTCTTGCTTTGGGAGAGTCTCGACGGGTTTAATGCAGGCGACGCCGGGCGAGATGAAGTCGTTCAGGTCGTCGGCGGAGAGGATGGCACTCATCTTGCCGCGTAGTCAGAAGGAACGAAATGCTACGCTGTGGCGCACAGAAAAACAATGCGATTGCGAGTCTGCCGTCTGTTCATCGGATTTGCGGTCTGTTATCCAACTGCGACGTGCAATTATTAATGCGAGACGAGTCCGAAGTTCGGCACGCGGGAGGCGACATACAAAAAGTTCTGGACCGCCTGCACCAATGACGTCGAAGTGGGGGTTGTACTTCCTGATATCTACTTGAGTATTTCTATGATATCTAGATACATTCCACGAAGCGTCGCTCTATTGTCGTTTGATGACCAGAGTCAGATACCCCAGTAGTCTGTACGCGACGATGATGCCGATGATAATCCCGATCCATTGTCCCACCTTCTCGCCCTCGTGAGAGTAGTGGTACGCGTCGAGGACAGCAGTACCCCGAATCTTACCTTCAGCTTCAAGGTCGCTGGGGTACATGCACTGGACATCATCTCCACTGCCAGCACAGCGGTATGTGGTGTGTTTGAATTGATTGACCATCATCCCCTGAAAGACGTAGGCCTGGTAGTCGATGTAGTGAAAGACGTCTGCCGTCTGTTAGAAACCCAGCCGAGCTGCGACCGAGAAAGGAAGGATACTCACATTTCCAAAACACATTCAAGGTTCCCATGGGCACCAAAAACCCTCCGACACACATCCACAACCCATTCGCAAAAGCCGTGACGGCCAACGACACCACAAAGATGGGTGCAATCGACGTGACCAGCACGACAAGCCCCTCTGCCGCCAGCAGATCGAGGAACAGCCACATCACATACATCCAGAATCCCTCAGCAGTGCTCCAGAAGTTGGCGAGCCAGTATGACACGACGGAGAAGAGGAGCGCGATCAGGAACAGATACGGAGTGCCGACCAGGAAGTTGGCGACGGTGAAGGAGAGAGGTCCGTACAGGCCGTTGGCGCGCTCTTTCTTGAACGTGTGCAAATCTTCGATGATGGAAGGCACATAAGCCACAGCCATGAATGATTTGAAGGCTCCACCGAAGAAAATGGCGTTGATGAACGGCTGTATGGAGGATTGGCTGTACGGCAGTCTTAGCCAAACGGTTCCCATCATGATTGCCAGTCCCAAGTACATGGCGACACGAGTCCCATAGACGAGTAGGTCTCGGTACGACTTGATGAAGTTGCGATGCATGAGGATCAGTGCCACGGACGGGCTCTGCTTGGTGGGGAGTGAGTCGAGCATCGCCGTGGCTTTCTCGGTGTCGGTGGCCGACACGTTGATATGCCTCATCAACTGCGAATGCTCGGGCGACGATGCCCAGGCGTTGTGGATGGTGGCGAGTTGTTCCTTGGCCACAGCGAGGTCCTTGGCGAAGTCGGTGTTGACCTGATCTAGGAGATACTCTGCCGGGTTCGCGTGGATTGGGATAGGGCGCTCAATGCTCTGGAAATACGCTGATAGGTGCTCTGTCGGGCCAAAGAAGCAGGTTTTGCCTGCCGAGAGAAGCAAGACTCGATCGAAGAGGGCGAATGTACTGGTCGAGGGCTGGTGTATTGAAGCAATGACCAGGATGCCGTGTTGTTTGGCAACATCGGCGATGTAGCTCATGACCTCCCGACTTGCTGCCGAGTCGAGGCCACTGGTAGGCTCATCAAGGAAGAGGATTTTGGGCGAGGCGACCAGCTGGCTGGCAACACCAAGACGACGCTTCTGACCGCCACTGATACCTTTTTGGAGCGGAGTGCCGACAATGGTGTCGGCCTGCTTCTGCAGTCCGAATGACTCTATCAGTGTATCAACACGTTGGTGTCGCTCGGCGGATGTTGTACTTGAATTGAGCGCGAACTTTGCGGCGAAGCTCACCGTCTCCTTGCAAGTCAGGCTGCCGATCAGAGCATCCTCCTGCTCGACATAGCTTGAGAGCTGCCGCAGTTGGGTCCGATGTATCACATGTCCATCGACGAGAACCTTGCCTCGGATCTCTGCCTGACTTGCGGCCGTTCGGTGAGCCAGGACGTTGAGCAGTGTGGTCTTGCCTGAACCGCTGGGACCCATGAGGGCGAGCACCTGTCCAGCCTCGACATGCCCGTAGCTCGACGAGAGGATCGATAACTGCTGCTTGGTCTTGCGGTCTTTGACCACAACGTTGACATCCTGCCAGCTGAAAGACCGGACTGATGTGTTGGTAAGGTACGGCTCCAGAGCACTGTTGGCTTCGATGTCGGCCTGGAAGGCCTTGGGGGCATTGGAAGGGAGGCTTTCGAAATTCATCTGCGGTGGATCTGCCATAAACTCGCCAGTCAAGTCCTGTCCGTGAGACGTGGTCGGCCGTCCATTGAGACTAGGGAAAGTGATCGATCGCAACTTATACCAAGTAACCAAGAAGTCGGGATCTGCGCCGGAGTAGGTTGGCGCCAGCATCCATAGAGTTCCCGATACGAAACCCGTTGGCCAGGTTCAAGGGAACGGACACGCCTCATAGATAGTAAAAAACGCGGCAGCGTGTTGAAACAGTCCAGAGTCCCGCTGCAGAGCGGCCCTTCCATCATTCACTACGGGCTCCAAAGCCACTGCAGGGGTAAGCCGTTCGGGGACCAGTTGGACAAGGCAACCGTCTCAAGGTCACACTGTATGTCGACAGGGTGTTCGGCGCCAAGTGGACGCTCGGGGAGCACTGATGTCGCTGATCAGCCGCTTCACACACGACAGGGCTGGCGGCATCCAGGGGTATCCCATATGTTATATTCACCGGTCGCGGACTCCGCTCCCCGAATCGAGACATTGCCCATCTGGCTACGGTAAATCTGCTCGGTGGCTGAGCGAGCGAGGAGCACCTGAGATCTAGCTCAAGGATACCTTCGCCGACTACCGGTGACTCAGCATGGGGGCTATCGGCGACCAGAATGTCGAAGCAGGGTTCTTCGGGCAGTCTGAAGATTGACAGAAAGGGGGACTGCTGGCTTTACTTTTGTGGAGAAGCAGCAGGAATGAAGGAAATGGCCTTACAATTGGTGCTAGCCTGGGGCGAAACAGTCCTACTGGACATAGCGAGAACTTGACCAACTAGCTTATTGGACGTGTGCTGCTGCAAGCCCATCTAGCATTCGCCGTCTCGGGGGATTGTGCCTGGGGCCGATTTCTGACATCAGGAAGACGGCCTAGTGACCAGCTAGACGTACAACTGATGAGACATATCTGGAGGTATCGTAAATCGTAGTCTTCGTCATCATAGATTAACAGATACATCACGTTGCAGTGTCATGACAATTCCCAGATCGATCCTATCCTCACGGTATTACCGCCGCTGAAACTTCCTACGGCCCATGTGAACCCAAAATCCCTATGGCAGCTCATACCTCTGCCTACCGTCCAACTCTAATGCTCCCATCATCGCAACCGGCGGTGCCGTGCCCGCCCTCTCCCTCGGCCCAGCACCACTACCAACCCTCTCCTCCCTCCTCCTCGCGTACCAATCATCCTCCGCCCTCAACTCCACCGGCCCAACCTGCTGCTGTTGTTGCTGCACGGGTCTCTGCCGCTCATAGCTCGCCACCTTTGCCATCTGGCCCTCCCTCTCCTCCGCCCTCGCACTCCACCTCCTTTCCCCCCTCTTCCTCCGGCCCGGCAACCGCCCGTACGCCAGGTCCGCATCGTCGCTCTCACTCTCGCTCTCGCTCTCGTCGCTTCCAGGACTCCAGCTCCCGCTCGAATAGGCCCGCCGCCCCTCTCGCAGCCGACTGGGCGGCAGCACGTTGTTGTTCGACCCGCTCTGCGTCCGGGTCCGGCCTTCGCTTTGTGGGGGCGGCGCGGAGGGGCTGCGCTGCATGTCCGGAGGGAGCATGTTGCTCTGCCATTTGCCCGTCTTGGTGTCATAGTGCATCGTCGGCCGGCTTTGAAGCTGACCAGGCCTGGGTGGCGGTGTATGCTGTTGCTGTTGCTGGTACGGTGGTGGCGGGCCGTGTTGCGGTGGGTGTAACTGCACCTGAGGGCCTAGCGCATGCGGGTTTGGAGGAAAGTCGGCGGGCTTGTACATGGGAGAGTTGGGTCCAAGCTGGGGAGGTGGCTGCGTGTTAGGTCTCGGCTGTGGAGGTTGGCCTTGATTCGGCCAGGTCTGCGGGTGCGGCGGGCCCGGCTGCTGATATTGAGAATGCTGTTGCTGCTGCAGTTGCGGCGGCCGAGGCGGGCCTGGCACCCACCCTGGGGGCGGAGGCCCATGTTGCTGGAAGGCCGGCTGCTGTGGTGGAGCACTGTTCGGTCTTGGTGGCGGCATCATCGGTGGCGCAAGGCTGTGCTGTGATGGTCTGGGAGGGCGTGGTCGTGAGTCAGAGTCTCGCCGATGATGTGAGTGGCTGTCATGCCGGCGACGGCGGCGGCGTGCTTCTTCAGTGGCGCGGCCCTTCTCCTCATCTTTGCCCAATTCGTGGAGCACGTAGCCCGCAGCGACGATCTCCAGGCCGCCGAAGATGACCATGTTGGGCGTCAGATCTTCCTCGGTGCAACGCGCTGGATTGCTGATGCCCTTGATAGAGGTAACAATGAATGAAGAGAGCAGCTGTGCTGGCTATGAACGTGAACTTTGAGTGCTCTCTCCCCGTATTCATCCAGGTCTGGATCCACGTGAAGTGACGTACGCAATGTCTGACTAAAGGACTCAGCTCGCTTCCCATTAATTCTGAGGGCTTGTCTCGGGCGTGCCTAGGGTACGTTCGCCCTTCGGCACGCTCGGAAGCAGCTCCTCAATTGGTAAACTCAACGCCCGGAGCGAGCAAGCTGAGTGCGTAAATAGCTCGCCTGCCGCGCCTGTCAGGCGCCTCATGCGGGGCACTTTTGCTTCCTAGTTCGCATTTTTTAGGCTGACCTTGTGGCTCAGGTTTAGAGGACTGGCACTGCACTGTTTTGCAAGTTGGGGAAGCATCAGCCTTGAGGACGCCTTCCCACGTCTCCGCCAATAGCTTGCATACGATGCAGACGTTCGTCAATAGGGCTTTCCATTGATCTGCTACATATAGGTTCCCCTTGAGCACTTCCTCTTGCGGCGTTGGTAGGCGTGCAGTTCCAGGTGCCCAGATTTCACTGCCTGACATCCTTGGCGCGACCTGCTTTCAAGCCGAAGCCACCGCCTCCTTCGGGGCATCTGCAAGCTTGTAGTCCTTCATGGTGTGCGCTATTCTCCATTCCCCCGCATTGACCGGCTCGTAGTGTTTGACCTCATCTGCCGATAGCGTGACGGGGTCAATCATCGTCTCAGGATCAGGATGAATAAAGAACGGGATGGAAAACCGAGCCGGCAACATGTCGCCCTCCGTCTTTGGCGACACAACCCTGTGTCGCGTTGACTTGCATCGGTCGTTGGTCAGGCGCTGCAGTAAATCGGCAATGTTGATAAGTACCGTCCCGGGGCGCGGCGTCGCAGGCTTGAAGTCCCCTGTATGAAACGGGTCAACCTCCAGACCGCCGATGCTGTCTTGGAACAGCAGGGTGCACAGCCCAAAGTCCGTGTGAGGGAAGATACGAGCGTGTCCCTCCTGCTCGATGATCTTGCGTTCGATGGCTGGGTAGTGGAGCAAGCGCATCTGCGGGTCAGTTCGGAGGGTGATGCGGTCAAAGAAGCCATCTCCCAACTTCATCGCAATGGCCAGACATCGCAGCACGTTCATGCCAAGGGTCAGGCACTGCGCGTAGAATTCGTCGAGCGTTGTCCTGAAGCCGGGAAGTACGTCTTCGGCCGGGCAGAGGTCGTTCCGGTAGCGGCGGTGCTCGTAGCACTCTTTGTGGTCGATGCCGCCGTTCCCTTCGGCGCCATCCGCCGTGTACCCTTGGTTGACGGAGGCGTCAGTAAGCTTCCATTTCAACTTGTCCTCGAGCGGCAGGTCGAAGAAAGTCTTGGCCTGCGGTGGGTTATCAGAAAGCCGCTCATATAGCGGGGCCCAGGAGCGCAATATACTCACCAGCCGGAAGATTTCATCTACACGGGCCTGGGAAATCCCGTGGTCCTTGACATAGACCCAGCCGACAGATGAGAAAGCGTCATAGATCTCTTGGGCGACGGCCTTCCTGTCATTATCGTCGCCATTGAGAAAGCGCTCGAAAGAGACAACGGCTATGTCTGCCGCCATGAATGGTGGGAGGGCTCCGAGAAGCTTTTATACTAGCCGCTACGAGGATACTTATGTATGATACTCAATCGCGATATGGGAGATGCTGAAACGCAAGTCCCAGGGTACTGACACGAGAGAGAGGCGGGACAAATTGGCTGATGATGGGTTCTGTAAAGTGAAGATGATATATGGAGGGGAGTCGATAGAAGGAGTGGGGAAAGATGGGGGATAGCCGCCGACTATATTGATGAGACATCTCTCCATCAGATTCGGCACGCATAGAGCACCGGTCGTGCCCTGGCCGCGGCGGAATCATAACGGCAACATATTACTATTGCGAGAATAAATGAGAAAATCTAATGATATTGATCAAGTTGGAGACCTTGCCTATCTCAAACAACAGGTTCAGGCTTGGGATGCATCATCGCCGGCGCCTGAGAAAGGCCTTTGATTCTCTTCCACCCATCCTTTTCGTCTGACGGCTCGATGCCCATTAAATTCTCGACTTGTCCAACCTCAGCATCGACGAGCGCATCAAGAAGGTGTTCAGTATGCGCCCAGTTGTATCTGCGGTTGTCGTCACCTCCAGCCTCGTCGCCAGCACCGCGCTTGATCAGATTGCCGTGAATATCCTCGGCCGTTGACCTATATTCAGCCAACTCATGGTTCAGTTCTTGGCCCTCTTCGTCCGCCCATACCAGCTGGCGTTGCAGAAGCCGGTAATACTGTGAAGGTGGTAGGCTGCGCTCGTAGTCGTCCATATCGATCCAGACCTCGGGTGGATAGTAGTCCGGCGCAACTGGCAACGCGAAAGGTATCGAGTCCATGTCGACAGCATCTGCAAGCTCAGGAGACTCATTAGCTCCAGTCGTATCCATCCTCTCCGGCGGGATGCCGAGCTGTGCAGCCGTGTAGCGCGTAGGCAGAGGAGGAAGATCGCCGATCTCACTGGAGCGCCGCGTGCCATTGGCGCCGCCGCCCATGATGAGCTTGAGTCTCTTTGGCCCGTTTGAGGTGCCATTGGAGATACCTCCTGTGTGACCACGTGGTACTGGATCGCTAGGCCTAAGTGCTTCGGTCTCGTGAACGGTTCGCATATGCTTGGCCAAGGCGTCGGACCTTGTGAAGCTCCTGTCACACTCGGGCAAAACACAGAAGAAGGGCTTCTCTTTGGTGTGGCTTCGAAGGTGGGCTTTGAGTGCGTACGCGCTGTTCTGGTCCTTACCCTTGCGATTGCAGCCCTGCCACTGGCAATAGTATTTCTTCTGCCGAGCCACAATGTGAACATCGTTGAGATGTTGCACCAGATTGTCCATGTTTCCTTGCTCAGGATTTGGGCAATCGTCCCATAGGCACTTTGTTACTTGGACGTAGTCCGCCATGTCTGGATTGTCTGGGTTGGCTTGGGCAGCGGAATAAGCGGTCGTCAGAGGGTGCGTTGGTGGAAGGTGCGCGAATGAGGGCGATGTAGGTACTGAGCCTGAGCTGTCACTGGAAATGCTGCCCGTAGGTGAACGAGGAGGGATAGCCGTGGACGCAGATTGAGGTGTGGCATGGTCGTAGGTAGAGGCCCCAGTCTTCCGTCTCTTTGCAGGAGGCGCGCCTCTTCGAGGCGGAGAGTCCGATACATTGGACATAGCAACGTCAGAGAGCACTGATAGTGTTGACTCCCTCGAGTTGGAACGCGATCGTTGATAGAATTTGGAGGACTCGACCTCGTCCGAGTTGATGTCGGAGAGGGGCGAACCCGTGCCTGCGGACTCGAGGTCGTCCATTGTGACTATTCAAACAGAGAGGTGGAACAGTTATTCACTACAATTAGAAGGTTAGAAATCAGCTCAGCTCCCTGTGATGTTCAAAGGGGTTGCGAAGTCGCTGCAATCAGATCTGTCGGCTAACTTACCTACTTCGGAGTGCGCGTTCTGGTGCTTCGGGTTTGGTTGTGCCACTTTTTCCATAGGGACAGCAAGCTGGTCAGACATGGAAAGGATGGAAGAAGAGCTTTCAATCAAACGAGACATTTGGCCAGGCAGTGGGTCTAGCAGCGCTGTTATAAGCAGCCTAAGTCTTTTGATGCTATGTCTTCTTTCACCGACGCCAAGTCATTTACACTTGGATGATCTTAGGTTCTAGAGCTACTGTACAACGCCATGTTCTCAACCACGGGCTCTATCAAAGGTCCAATTCACGGATACTATCTTCAGCTGCCTTTATCGCGTCGTACCCATATAGCCACATGAGGAATGCCGGGCTCGGAAACGGCTTCTCCATATCGGCCTCTGGCACCACCAACTTCTGATCCCCTCTGACTTGAGCCAGCACCCTCTCTGTGGCCGCTGCAAACTGTGCATCCCTGACCCGCTGCGCCTCCCCATCCGGCATACTGAAAGTGTTTGCATTCTGTCGACTAACCTCCACGACCCGTTCACACCTTTTCTTCCTCTGACTTTCGTACACCTCCATCACCTTCGGTAGATCTCCCACTTTCGCACAAGCAGCAACACAGCATCCCAGAACTTCCGCGTCTTCCAATGCCAGCGCCGCGCCACTCGCAGCGTGGGGGGTCGTCGCATGCGCCGCATCGCCCAGCAGTACGATGCGCCCACTGTCGCTGTGCCAGGTGGGGAGGGGAGGGAGGTCCGCAAGCGTCCACTTGGCGCAGCTGTCCGCCTGCCTCAGCATCGTGCGAACAGCTGGATGCCATTCTTGAATCTCGTCGAGCATCTCCTCCACCGACCCAGGCTGGTTGTACTGGTTCAACGGAGCAGATTGATGTACATCGGGAATGATGATGACTAAATTGTACAGCTCACCGTGTGCGATGGGGTAGCCGATGATGTGTTTCTTGTGGCCAGCCCACGCCATGCGGTTGGGGTTCAGCATGACCTCAGCCACGAGTGGATGCGAGAGCATCTGCTGACGGGTGAGGAGGACGCGGTAGCAGTAGTTCTCGGCGCGCAGAGGCGTGATCTCGGCGAGGCGGGGGATCGAGGAGCGGACACGAGAGCGGATGCCATCTGCGCCCACAATCAGTTCGGCGGCGAGGATGCTGTCGTCCGCGAGCTGCACCGTGCAAGCCTCGGAATCAACACTGACAACTTTCGCGCCGAATGACATCTGCACCCCAAGAGAAGCAGCCCGCGCAGCGAGGATCTGCTGGTAGTCCGCCCGGTGGATCGTCCAGTGCGGCGAGCCCCAGACCCTCGTCGCATAGCCCTCGGCATCGGAAGGAACGAGTCCAATAGCTTCGTTGGTGGCGTAGCGCCGAACCTCCATGTAGTCCGACAACGTCGCCACCGCCTCGAAGTCGTCTTTGAGCGCCCACGAAGTGAGGATGCGGGACGCGTTGGGCGTGATCTGGATGCCAGCGCCCGTCTCCTTGAGCGTCGGGCTGCTCTCGAGCACGCGGATCGAGTGCTCCGTCTTCTGCGCTAGACTTACTGCTGCGGCGAGCCCGCCGATGCCGGCTCCCACGACGATGATGCTGCCGCCTTTCCAGCGTGGCCGAGAGGATGTTGAGTTCATCTTGATGTTTGGCTCTTTAGTGTACTGGGAGACAAAAAGATGCGGTGCTCTTGACGAGCATCAGAGCGTGTCATCAATGGGGAGCCATTTCTTGAGTACTAACGAACAGATAGCTCGCACAGCCAACGCATGCGGAGTCGCAAACAAGCCATGGGCTAAACACACTAAAGCGTCGCCTGGCGTCCAGACTGCAACATGCTGGCCCCCCTGCTAACTACGCGAAGGTTGACAGCAAAATCGACCGGAGTACATTTTCAACAGTTGCAGCGGCTCGTCGGCTGGGAACCAGTAGTGAAATAGTCTTCCACGATACCAAAGTTCCAAGCAGGATCATTCATGAGTAAGTCTACTGGGATACTGGTGCGAGATGGTGCGAGGAAAAGCAGGCGAGCTCGGTGTAGACTCAAGATGTATGAAATGAACATACAAGATGATTAGGGAGAACGAGACGAGATGTGGTACGAACATTGTCATTGAGCGAGGCCTAATCCTCGTCATTGTGTTTTGAGCGATGAGCTGAAGCTAGCAATAAATCAAGGCCACGAGTCAATCCCGAAGGAGACAATCAGAACCGGCCGGCGAGTGAAAGTGAGAGAGAAAAACTTCAAAATCGAAAAGACCTGTCATCCATCCTTTCGGCGACGACGCGGTCGCGGCAATCCAATCAAGGAGGCCGCCAGCGATGAGGGTGAAGCCTGGTGCGATTAGGCGACCATCGACACCCATGTTGGGAAGAAGCCTGGTACAAACAGCCGAAGTATGGCGTCGACCACCAACCTCAATGATCGCTGAGGAGATAAACAGTTAAAGAAATGGATGTGGCGGGTTGGGCAGCCCTTTCTGGCATCAGCCCCGAGATAATGATAATCTCCAACCCCCATCATCATGCTGCTTAGGACTGAGCTGTCGCAGGCCTTTCGGCGGAAAGCGTCCAGCATCGACCTTCATGAGCTCTGCCGTGGTGCAGAGCAAGCGTTGAAACCATCGTAATAGTTGTCAAATCAAAACATTTGTTCCGGGTTGCAATGAGAATCGGTAAAAGCAGACCGTAGTCTGAAAGGTGGGCGATAAAGTCATTCCGCATCTGGGTCGCCGCCCATCCGGAAGATGATGCCCCGTAGACGGTTGATTTCGGCCTCCATTGCTTCGCTCATATCAGCCTTGCGCTGTCGGCTCTTGCGGGCCGCGGCAGTGTTCTTCTTTCGCTTGGCCGTCTCCCTATCGTCTTCGGAGTTGATATCAATTTCAGGCAGGACCTTGCGAGGAACCTTCTTCGAGATACCAGCAGACTCCGAATGCTTGCGAGCGTGAGGAACGTTCGCAGGGTAAGGGGCCGGAGGCCGCCCAGGAGAAGATTTCTGGCGGACCATTGGTGACGCATTGCTAGAAGCCGAACGAGTGGAGTTGACCGAGGTGAAACTGGTGTTGCGGATGGGCTTCTCGTCAGACATGTGCTGGCCGAACTGATCGAGCCCCGGGGGGAACAGGGGAGCCATGGAATCGAGTTCGTTGAAGTTGAGAGTGCTGTCCAGAAGGCCATTATCCATAGGAGAGGTATTCAAACCGCTAGAAGCCAACGCGGGCGACTCGAGGTAGCTGGAGTCCGGGGTGTTGAGGCTGGGGAAGGCGGTCGAAGCGGGGTTGGACATGACGTACGAATCACCAGTATTGTTCATGAGGTCGGAAGGAGAGACGGTGCCAGGAGCAGTCACATCGAAGTCGGCGGCGGTGAAGTCAAACGCATCCCCGGAAGCGAAACTCCCGGGGAGGTACATGGTGTCGAATTCAGCCATTGTGTCTACAGATGAAGTCAGTACAGATGCGGGCGAACACTGGACTGATAAGTTCTCACCGGTTGCAGGGACCGGGCTTGCTTGGATGTTGTGATTCTGATTGAAAGCAGGAACTGGAGGAAGTTGTGATAGACGAGCTTGTTGACGGTAGCGTTGCAAAGCTGGGCTAGAGCTGGACCGGTGTTGGTTGAGTAGATTGTTGGATTGAGAATACCCTAGGTGAGAACTTGGACGAAGTCGCTGCGTATTGAGCGAAAGGTGACGAGTTCTATTAGGGGCTGTACTCAATATCGCCGGCGCACGCGCGGACTGATGAGCTTGCGGGTGGAGGGTCTCCGATTCCGCGAACAATTGAAAGTCCTGGAAGGAAGGTTGATGTTGATTTTCCGCCGAAGCAGTAGACGAGGGGGGTTGAGGAAGCCATGTCTGCTGGTTATCCGTTTTGAACGACGTGAAGTACGTCGGAGGAATGGTTGCTGGTGAGAGCGAAAGGCTTGAAACGCGAGGTCTCAAGGGGTCCTTATTCTCAGCGGGGAGCCGAGAAAGTGGTGATGGAGTGGAGGGTTTTGGTAGTAGGGGCTTAGCCTGGTGATGTATCTTGCCGGTGAGCAAGGAAGAGAGTGACGAAGACTCTTAGAATGACTCCATAGCCTGATGGGGAGTCGTTGATCGTTCGTGTGTCTGGTAGATGGTGGGTTAAAAGAAGGAAGACAAATTCAGGCAGACGCGGGCGAGCCGAACAATTATGAAAGTGGGCGGCAAAGTATGCTTAGCTCGTTTGGGTCAAGGTTTCTGTAATTCTGTTTGTCTGACAGTGAGTTGCGGCCGGCGGGCAAGTTGGCGCGGAGGTCCCGCTTGCCCCGGGGGCGTGTCAACTCCGCTAAGCCCACCAATCCAAGTCACTTCGCAGACCCCGCCGAGGCCACCATCCTTGACGTACCAGGTCTTTTCATTGAATTATTTGATTTGGCCGTGATTTGTGACTCACAGTGGGACGTTGTCTGCCTTGCAGTTCGAAGCGGAATGGTGCTCCAGGTCGCCCGAAATTGCCTGGAACCAAGGATTGCCTGCCCTTTCACAAGCCCTTCATTGCTATGTCGACAGCACACGAAATGAAACTCACACCGACAGCGATCGTAGACAGGAGATGCATGCACGCACAAGAAGCCCTCGGGTCTACCGACCTACTGCCATCACGACCTGCTTACCAAGCATGAGAACCAGCGACCGCGCTCTACCGGACATATACCAAAGGTCCCTCGACCTGTTCGGTCGATGCGGATACGAGGACCCGCTTCCAAACAAGGCTGCAGCACCCTAGACTGCTCAGGGGATAGCCGAGCGCCTGTGTGCGACGTGCGTTCCCGCTTACTCCAACCCCAAGAACATGCAGAAATATGAAGCGCATGCTGCGCCTCGATCCTGCATGCGATGGTGTACATACACCTGGAAGCCGCTCATACGAGATGCGCTGCGACGCGGCCGTGAGGTGGCAAACACTATCTAGAAGGCATTCAACAGTGCATGGACTTCAGTGGCCGTTATAATCATGTTTCGCACACTCTTTCCATGGTAGCGTCGCATGTGCTCTGGGCAAAGGTTTCCGAAGCGATCCACAGGAACTTTGGTTCAAATATCTTTCCGGGCCGATGATCGCCCAAACTGAAGGTGCCCATAGGGGAGGTCCCCATACGCCCTTCCACGACATCCCCTAGCGCCGATTGTGCCATTGCAGCTCCCATCTATGCCCGCGAGTGCAGATGGCTGCACCAATCTCTGTGCTGCTCAATCTTTAGGTACGACAAGAGTAAGTCGAGAGCCTGTATGCTCCATCTCTGGGCTCACCGGTTACATATGCAGATACCAAGATCCCCCATGACTCACCCGCAGCCTGTAGTCCGTGGTGTCTACTACTGTAGGCTAGCTTACGCTGTGGGGTAGAATAATCCTCCCCGCGACTGCAACCCAGGGACTACTCGAACTTCCTGCGCCTTTTTGCTACCTATCAGAACACTTTTATGGGTTTGCTGGAACGTCACCATGCAGGCGTCATGCATTTTAAGTCCCCAGCGATCCGTGAGCCTTGCAGTTGTTCCTATAGCCTGGGAAGCGGCCTTTTGGTACGACCAAAAGTACCATGGACTTTTGCTGGGGCACTTTCGGCAACTGCCATCCTAGTTGCACCAAGCCTTCTGGTCAATCCGCTCCGCTGGGGAGCATATGTCGTCCCGGGGCGTTGCTGGGTTGAGTCTCGCTAAAGCCATCAAGCGATCGCATGCGCATCGACACCGAGCCCGTTGGCTGCACTGGCCGACGTTGACACGCTTTGGGAACTCGATCGGGGCGAGTGAGATGTCGCTGCAAGCAGCGGAGAGATGCCAGAGGTCCCCGTCGATCCAGTCATGATGGATGCAGCATCAGAAGCCTGACGCTCGCTGCGCCGCTCATCTTCCATCTCTTGACGCAGTCGCTCACGACGCTCTAGTTCATCAGTATCTTGCGGAGTAGTTGGCTTCTTGATCCTGAACAGTCTGAAGCCGCGATACGTGAAGACCTCGTTCTCGTCGATGAAGTCCTTGCCGAGAAGTATCTGGAATGGCTCTGCTGTTTGCCCGGTTGGAAGTCGAGGAGCAACGTAAAAGTAGCCGGAAAACTCCTCGCTCCGCTTGCCTTTCCGGCCCTTGTGGAGGTTCCTCCCAACCCAAGTGAGCTTTATCCGCCCTCGGGGTTTGAATTGAGTGGTTCCAGCAATATCAACGATCTGCCTTGAATCAGCCTCGGGGTCCTCTTCAATGGCATGGCCCATGTTCAGGTGGTCCTCGATGAACGAAGATGAAACGAAGTTTCCCGCATCGCAGCCGGTGTCATAATTTGCAATACTCTCCACCCAACCATTCGTCGTAGCTGAAAACACCCTGACACTGACTGAGAAACGGTCTTCTGGCGCTTCGGGCGCCCACGTAGTCACCGATGATCCGGGGTAGATGGAGCTTCGCATTGAATCTCGAGAGACTGAGCGAAAACCGTGGGTCAATTCCCTTCCCCGATGTACATCCCATGAAGGCGAGTGCGGCCGTGCTGGACTCTCATCAGAGAAACGGGCAACCTTACCCATGTCCTTGGATTCTGGGACTGGTCCATTTCCATACTGGTAATCCACGTGATGGGTGCCGTGCAGATCATGCTCGTCTGCGTCGACGCCAAACAACGCCCGGGGAGCTTCCTTTACTTCAAGCGCCTCTTTGATCCTGCTCAATGCATCGTCAAGCATTGCTTCTCTTGCCATGATCTTTCTCCGCGCCCCCATGAACCCTACTTTGCCAGGTCGAGCATACCTAAGCGCCTCGGCCGCCTCCCCCTCCGGCGCAGTCAATTCTTCACGAATCAGCTTTCGCTCCTCCAGCTTGCCGACCGTGAGAAGGTTACGAGCACACTCTCTGAACAGGTATTCGAGCTGCCCATTCCTGCTCCTGTGTAGGGCCCACCGCATCTGAAGCAGCAGCATCCGCTCCACGCCTTCCATGTTGGCATCGTTGAAGAAAGCGAAGGCGTCGGCATGGGTGTCAGGCGGTAGGCCCATCTTCAGCCAATCGCGCTCCAAGTCGAAGTGGACCAGGATGGTGTGGAAATCCACCAGGGCATCGTCGATGACGGTGTAGATGTCGTAGAGGCTGTCGAGAAGGAAGGCGATCCGGGGGAAAGCAGGGGCGAAGCGCATCCATATGGGCTGGACTTTGTACAGCTCCGCCGCGTTGGCCGACTCGCCGTAGTAGTCGTGGAACTCTTTGAGGTAGAAGCCGCGGAGGGTTTCCTCATCGTGTGGGAGACCGGTGTAGGGCATGGTTCAGGCTGAGCGCCCGACTTGCACGGTGACGGTGCGCGTTCCTTCAACAAAGGAAGTCGGAATGCCTTGCGTACCACCTGGCGTCTCACAGCTAGTTGTCTGTACCGAAGCTCTTATTGCTTCGATGGAAGGTCAGCCAGTCTCTGCACTCAAGCAGGATGTCGCCGGTTTTGGACTTCAATGCGAACGATCGAGGCGAAATGCACACATACACGTCCTGGGGAGTTCCAAAGGACCCTGCAGCTAGACAGTGGCTGAGGCGAGTCCCAGTGCTGAACAGCCCACCGCCATCTCGCGGCTAATCGGACGCCTTGCGGCAGGCCGACAGTAGCGTCGCCTGTCCGTCCCGCCCCTAAGTGGCGAAGCTATGAACACGAACACGGCAAAGGTTCTCTGCTGTGCAGCAGAGTCGATACATCTACCTCAACGTCGAGTCCGGCTTCAGAGAGAGTCGATCCATTGATTCCATGGAAGGCTACGCCCGAATAGCAGAACAGACATCGTATCACCCGTCTCTTGGCATCTATCGGCGCTTCGCCGCGCTCAACGCACAGAACATCCTCTACTTGCAGGCCGAAATCCACGAGCTCGAAGCTGATCTACGTAGCTACGCTGCCGCCGACGCCGCACAACCAAAGCACACCGCGCGTGCCCACTACAGCAGAAATTGGCACAAGCTCGCACGTGCTCAGGGGGAAGACCGCCAGCAATGGCACACCATCGAGACCCTCCGCGCGAAACTAAAAGAGTACAACGAACTCCTCACTCAGCAAGCCCTGATTGCCCGCTACTACCGTAAACCACGGCACTATGACCTCGACGTCTTACGCAGCTGCTTCAAGGATGCCGCAATGCCGGACTGGTACCTTTTGGGGCTGGACAGCACCATTTGGGATGATCCATCACTGGCCCACGACCTCATCTCTCTGGACCCCAACGACCCGGACGCAGATGACAAGTTGACGCAATGGATTTCGTCACACCTCGTGGAGCCCTTTCACCAATTGATAGGGCGGCACTTCAAGAAGGCACCGCCGGCGTTTGGCAACGAGGCCTTCGTCGAATACTCCGACAAAGGAATTGTGAAGTTCTCCAGTCTGTTGGCGACGGTCATATCCTCGGTATTTCCAGTCCTAGGCGTCATTATCCTGTTCTTCGTACACGATTTGTTGGCGCGAATTGGCATCATTGCGGGACTCACTGCTGTATTCTCTTTTTGTTTGGCAATTGTGACGAAGGCGAGGAAGGTGGAGATCTTTGCGGCAACGGCTGCGTGAGTAGTATCCCATTGAAGCTTCCGTTTGTTGTTGATTCAAACGACCACTGACAATGGCATTGACAGATTCTCGGCCGTGCTGGTGGTCTTCCTGGGTGCCGATTGAAGCGACGGGATTCATCTGCGTCCAAGCACTATTTGATATGTTGCTGGACTTCCAACAACCTGAACGTAACCGCAAGGTATTCCAACCTGGCAGATTAGGGCACTACAAAAAGCAAACGGTGTCCAGTCATGCCAGTCCATTGGGCTCGTAAAGTCCGGCAATCCATGATCCTGTGATGGTGTGGCCGTTTTGTACTGAGTGTGCGCAGCATTGAATCCGCACTGGCATTCGCTTGGTCATCATCTATCTATTCGAAACCCGTTGGGCTTTTTTGAGGGAGAAAAAGAATGTTAGGAGATGTGACTGTCGTTGCTGGACACAAGCACGATATAGCCTCTCTAGTAAGAGCTCAATATGGTACAGCGCATCTTGCCGGCAGCGTCAATCACTGTACCACCAGAGGAGCCTCAAGAAGTGGGTGATCTCGATAGGACACCGAGAATATAAAAGTGGCCGGCGTGATCTTGGAGCATCTGTCAGTGCAGGCTTTCGATGGGGGAAGACAGTGGGGAGCATGAGGAGGTCTGATGAGCCAATCGGATATTATGGCTTGGCGAAATATGCGGGATGCTCCCGCAGCTTCGAGAATCCTCGAGATGGAAACATCTTTCGACTCTTTTGCCATCTATACAATCATGCCGTTCATCACTCAAGATCATCAATAACCCAAGTAGCAGCGCATTACGCGTCTCAAACAGGCAGAATGGCTAGCTCCAATGTCGCCCGAGCCGCACTGGCTCGTAGAACGCTGCCATCTTCGAGAATCCCGTCTACCATTAGTCTCTCCCGGCCTAGGCGAATACCTCTTGCGCTCTCCGTCTCCGGGAAGAGCATTGCTCCGATAGCCGCCACTTCATCGTTAGGCTCGATACGTGGATATGCCAGTGGCCGACCGCACCCGCCCGGCGGTACCCACCGCATGGATATGGGAGGAGGCGAGCCACAAAAGCCCGCGCTGGAAGAGTATGGTGTCGACCTGACGCAGCGCGCAAGAGACGGCAAGCTGGATCCAGTCATTGGCAGGGACTCTGAGATACATCGCACCATCCAGATTCTCTCAAGACGAACCAAAAACAATCCCGTCCTTATTGGCCAGGCCGGCACCGGAAAGACCGCCATACTGGAAGGTCTGGCGCAACGAATAGTGAGAGGCGATGTGCCGGAGAGCATCAAGAATAAGTCCGTCATCTCGCTAGACCTGGGTCAGCTCATCGCAGGCGCCAAGTTCCGAGGCGACTTCGAGGAGCGCCTGAAGCGAGTCTTGAAAGAGGTGGAAGATGCGCAAGGCGGAGTTATACTCTTCATCGACGAGCTGCACACTCTGCTAGGCTTGGGCAAAGCTGAAGGCTCCATTGATGCCAGCAATCTCCTCAAGCCGGCTCTCTCGCGCGGCGACCTCCAGTGCTGTGGTGCTACTACGCTCAACGAATACCGCCAGATTGAGAAAGATGTAGCATTGGCTCGGCGGTTCCAGCCAATTCTCGTCGGTGAGCCGACAGTTCAAGACACTGTCTCCATTCTCCGTGGCATCAAAGATCGTTATGAGGTGCACCATGGAGTTCGTATCACAGATGGCGCACTCGTCGCTGCCGCAGCCTACAGCAACCGATACATCACCGATCGCTTCCTCCCGGACAAAGCTATTGATCTTGTCGACGAGGCTGCCTCAGCTCTCCGACTGCAACAAGAATCTAAGCCCGATAGTATCCAGACCCTTGACCGAGAGATCATGACAATACAAATCGAGCTTGAGTCGCTTCGCAAAGAGACCGATATCGCCTCAAAAGAGCGCCGCGAGAAACTGGAGGAGACGCTTACGACTAAACGCGCAGAAGTTGCCCGCTTGACCGAGATCTGGGATCGCGAGAAAGCCGAAATCGAGACCCTCAAGAAGACCAAGGAAGATCTGGAACGAGCGCGTCAAGATCTTGATCTTGCTCGCCGCGAGAACAACTTCGCACGAGCCTCCGAGCTCCAGTATGCCGTGATCCCGAAACTACAAGCCCAGCTACCTTCCGAAAGCGGTGCCGAACCACCCAAGAACGCCAATGGCGAGACTCTAATCCACGATTCGGTGACGGCCGATGATATCGCCTCGGTCGTGTCTCGCACCACAGGCATTCCCGTCACAAAGCTCATGTCAGGGGAAGCCTCCAAGCTCATCACCCTTGAATCCACCCTGCGGCAACACGTTCGAGGACAAGATGAAGCCCTCGCTGCGGTCGCCAATGCGGTGCGTATGCAGCGCGCTGGCCTGCAATCCGAGCACCGTCCTCTGGGCTCTTTCTTCTTCCTTGGACCCACCGGTGTCGGCAAGACCGAGCTATGCAAGCGCCTCGCCGAGTTTCTTTTCAGTACCGAACAGGCCGTTGTACGTTTCGACATGAGCGAGTTCCAGGAGAAACACACCGTCAGCCGTCTAATCGGCGCAACAGCAGGCTATGTCGGTTATGAGGACGCCGGACAACTCACCGAGGCGGTTCGTCGTAAACCGTACGCCGTGCTGCTCTTCGACGAGTTCGAGAAGGCACATCGCGATGTCTCCAGCCTGCTGCTACAGGTGCTGGACGAAGGCTTCCTTACCGACAGCCAAGGTCACAAGGTCGACTTCAGGAACACCATCATCGTCTTCACTAGCAACCTGGGCGCGGACATCCTGGTAGCCGACTCGGCAGCCGAGAACGTCACGCCAGAGCAAAAGGCCGCGGTCATGGATGTGGTGCAGGCGTCGTACGCGCCCGAGTTCCTCAACCGCATCGATGAGTTCATCGTGTTCAACAAGCTGAGCAAGTCCGCGCTGCGCGACATCGTCGACATCCGTCTCAAGGAACTGCAGAGCCGGCTAGACGACAGGCGCATGCGCGTCGAGGTCGGCGACGATGTCAAGGACTGGCTGTGCGAGAAGGGCTATGAGCCGCGCTACGGCGCAAGGCCGCTGAATCGTCTGATACAAACGGAGATTGGGCGGAAGCTGGCAGAGAAGATCATCAGGGGAGATTTGATGGGTGGTGGCACTGCGAAGGTGGTCATCGCCGGTGATGAGGAGGGCCTCGAGGTCGAGCTGTGAGCCTTGTGTGTCTTGTTTGTTGTGTGTCCATGGGAGGACTTGATGATTGCTACGAAACCACGGCTTTTTGCATACACGCATCTGCATATGGATTTGGGCATGCAGTTTTCTTGTAACATTAATGATTGCTTTGCTTAGAATTAGAGACTTATATACCCCGCTCACGCAAAAGCTACTTGTACAGTACATACACACCTTCAGAAAGAACCGGCTCAGTCTGTATGAATGTGGGAAAGACCAAGAAAAAAATGGCAGACTCTGCTGCCGTATGCTCCGTTCCGGCTACACCTCGTCCACGCAGATCATCGCACAAACGCGCTTTCTTGCCGTAGATACGCCTCGAAATCCAGCGTTCCAGGGTGGTGCCTTCGGACGACGCCCTGGATGTCCGCGCCATACCCCTCGTCCCTGAACCACTGGAACATGACGCCCACCTCTTTGACGAGGGTCTGCAGCAGCTTCCCGCTGAGCCACCAGGCCTGCGGCATCGGGCGCCCGTAGACCTTCCAGAACACTTCGTTCGCCTCTGCCTGAGTGAGCTCGTCGCCTGCGAGGCCGATGGCCTTGTTGCGGAAGTGAGGGCTGTCATCGTCGTCTGCGTCGATGTGCTGGAGGCTAAGGCGGGCGAACTCGCCAATGTCCCTGGTAGAAACGAGCTGGAGTTTCTTGGCGCCCATGTCGGCCCACATGGCAGCGAAGAGGGTGCCGAAGGTGTTGGGATTGAGGTTCTCCATGAAGGCGGTGGGGCGGAGGATGGTGTAGGTCATGTCGTGCTGGGCGTCGCGGACGGTGCGCAGCAGGTTGTGCTCGATCTCGTGCTTGGTGATGAAATGGGAGATCTTGGTGGGGTTGTCGAAGGAGCGGTCGTCGCCGCCTCGGTCGACGGAGCTGAAGACGATGTGCGAGACTCGGTTGGCGTCGGCGGCTTTGATCATGCCGGCGCCGTGATGAACTTCTAGGTCGGTGCCGTCGGGAGCTTTTTTGCCGAATTGGGCGTCGGTGACGAGGAAGACTGCCCATACGGGCTGGCCGATGTTGGCGAAGATGGCGTCGCCATCGTCCAAATTGCCTTTGATCAACTGGATGTTCCCAGACGGATGTTGGGCGAGCTTCTTCGCGCTCTTAGAGTCGGGGTTTCTGGTGAGAGCTAGAATGTTTGCCTCGAAGGGCAGAGGCTTCTCGGTCAGTGCTCTGATGACAGCGCCTCCTTGCTTGCCCGTCGCGCCAGTGACGAGGATGTTTCGAGCTGCCATGGCAAAGGGTTGGGGTGGATGAAGGGCTGGTGATGACTCGGGCTTGTGGGTATTGGGGCCGCCCCGTAGCTCGTATCTTTATCTAGATAGGGCACCCGGTGGTGGTTGGCGAGATCAACGATACCTGTAATGGTCCTGATGGACTATTTTCTGAGCGGACGGTGATGGCGATGATGGGAAGATGGACCCAATTGGTCATGGACCACGTTCTCAACATAAAAGCATCAACGTCACTAGCAGAAATGAAGCCGATCCGCCACCTTTGAGCCGTATCAGTTTCGCCAAGCCGGAATTGCCAAGTTACTCGCCTCGTCGCGCGACATGCTGCTACATCTGGTCACGTATTATGCAAGTCCTTATAGTAGTCGCTGTGTGCTGTCGGCGCCTCTCGCGCAAGTTTCGACGTTCGGTGTGGTTTCACTTGTCTCAACTTTTCATCGGCGCCATTTCCAGTGTCCCAAACGTTGTCACGTAGCACCCACCATAAAGAAGGTCAGTCCATATTGCCGACCACTGCCTTCAAAGAAGAAAATTCTCGGTCAAGCCGTAAGAGCTTGATGTCAAGATAGCTTTTCTATTATCCTGATGATCTGTTGCGGGCGCCGTCGAGGTCCAAACAGACGCGCGTCACCTTTGCACGACTGCGCAACGCGGCTGGACGGCCAATGATCAACCTACCACCATCTCAAGGATCTCCATGACTTGTTCTCTCTCGGTGATCGGTTTGGCATTCGTCTTGATCCAGTGATCGGTCAGACTGTTCTCTGCCAGACCTTCCAGCTTGTCCCTGCCAACGTTGACGTCCTTCAACGTTCGAGGCATACCGAGTTCCCGGACCACCAGATCCAGGATGTCTCCCAGATCAGCCTTATCGCTTTCATCGCCATATTTGGTCCGCACCAGCTCTTTCACCACATCGTCTTCCATCAGCGCCTTCCTAGTATGTTCCTGCCTCTCATTGTTGGCGTTTTCCTTTGCGTTCCATTTACACACAGCAGGCAGCATGATGCAGCTTGTTTCGCCATGCCCAACTCCTAGCGGACCAAGCTGATGCCCAATTGCGTGGGATGCGCCAAGCGGGACACCTGAGCCGACAGCGCTCATGGCTTCGATGACGCCCATCATACACTGAAACCGGGCGACGAGGTCTTTGGGATCCCTTTTGCACTTGATAAGCCCAGGCAACAGCTTCTTCAGTGCCTTTTCTGACTCTCTATCACCCTTTTCATTGCTGAGGAGACTGCAGAGAGTCTCCACGCAATGATCCACCGCTCTGATACCTGTGCTCAACCAGATGCTGTCCGGTGTTGTAGTTGTCAAGTCTACATCCAAGACTACTAGACTCGGGTTCATCTCTGGAGGCTCAAACAAGTACTTTCGATTGCTGCCATCACTCTTGGTCATGCCACTGATACTCTGATACTCACCTCCACTTAGACTGGTCGGGATCGCCACCTGTCGTACTTTTGGTGGCTTGAGATCTTTCCTGTATGTCGGGCTGACGTGCAGCATACTCTCGAGCCCCTCTTGAGAATCGACATTTTCGTTGGCGAGCATCCAACAGATTGATTTTGCAGCGTCGGTCAGACTACCGGCGCCGAGCGTAATTATACAGTCGGGCGATTTGGAGCGAGCATCCTTGGCGCATTCGATGACCTGATCCCATCGTGTATGTGGAGAGAAGCCTGTGCGGGTGCCCACGACCTCGAGATTTGCAGCAGTCAAGGCTCCAGTAAGTCGTGTCAAGGCATCGGTATTCCTGGCCAGCGACGTAGAGCAGATGATGTAGACGCGGGAGCAGGACAGCGTCTGTGGGATGTGCTTGGCGCAGAGTCGGTCGAAAGACGAGCCATAGGCAATGAGCGGGACGCTGCGGTCGTCGAAGGCTGGACGGAGAGTGTCCGTATTCTCTTGAAAGACCATGTTGACTGGGTCTGGGACCGGTGAGCTGTAGTGTGATTTCCTCTTCGGACAGATACAGCAGGCAAGATATTTGGAAGTTCCCCACGATGGTCGACCGAGGTCTGCACGATGAATCTCGGAGGAGGACTGCCGATGTCAGATGCAGTCGGCCCAGCTATCTCACCAATCAGCGACTTTGATTAATACTCGGCGCCAAGCCAGTCCCAGACGTCGACCAAGGACCCCCGTCTAGAGATTCACAAGCTAGCACTGCTGATTATCACTCACTGGAGCGTTCCTTGGTAGCTGTTATATCCCGGTGGTCCAGGGCTCCCAATTCCTGCGGGACGATGGGCATGCCATGATGTCCGTTTCAGACTACATCGAACCACCTTACGTGACCAACCAGATTACGCTGACTCTCTCACGACCGAGAAAAGAATGAAGACGACAACGTCGACGTTTGGGTCTTTCGATGACAGTCTCGAAGCACTCAACCAGCCATCTCTACAGAGAAGATATCTCAACATCCCTCTCACGGACTCAGTTGTGAACCACCAGCTTCACAAGGACCTCCCTTGCTTTCTTCGGTCGCTCTGTCGACCAAAGTCGCACACACTCAATCCAAACCTTCATTTCTATCTGTATACAGACACTTGCAATCACACTCGTTCCACAGCGACTTTGAGCCAGGATATACACGACACTCCTTATCGGTGCAATACTCTCGCTCCTGATCAGTGCCCGCCCCAGCCACGAAGCGCCATTCCACGTTCAGTGATGACGTCCTGAAATCGAGCCCGATGGCCTTCCGCAATGCTCAGCATCCACCAAGGAGAGAGTACTGTATCGGGATCTGAACACATGCTTGTAGTCAGTGACCAGGGGATGGGACTCCCTCTGGCCCAGCTGATTCTATCCGCTGCCGAGTCGGAATTCAGACGATGGTGCGCAAGTACGCCAACCTGGACGGGCTGCGGGCCGCGCAGGATCACGAGGCCCAGAAGCTGCGTCTCCAGCCCGGTGCCCCGGTCACGACGGTCGGTGGTGGCATGGGACCCACCGAATGCCTCTGAGCTGCGGTGGAGAGCCTAGTTCCCGGCGGACGCATGATGGTGTGGTACGACAGCCCTGCACACGACCCTCCTCATGCAGGGCGACACCGTGCATGGCGTCGACGTCCGCGTCCAGGCTGGCGGCAGCTACTCAACTAGCCTGCATGTGATTAACGCAGTGGACGGTTTCGTTCTCTTTTCAATGGTGCGACGGGTTCACTGCTCAACTTGTCCGCCAGTACTGTCGTTCGTAGCCAGACTCCGCCTTGAGGTTCGACGCCAAGCCCGTGATGGAAGCATTCCAAACGCGGCTAGCCCGAAGCCTGGAGCGGCCTAGTGCATTAGCAGTCCTGTCGACGGTGAAGTCTGCTCGCTATCGTTAAATAGCAGTGACAGGCTTTGACAGTGCAGGACGCCACCTCTGCTCACCGTCCTTCACATCCGACCTCCGTCCCCGCGTTCCAATCCATCAAGCCCAGCCATGCCGATCATGATGCTTCTTCCACCTCCGATGCCAGCGCGCATTGTCCTCCCGGTATTTCGGGATGATACCCATGCGCCCGTGCCGCAACCTCTTCTGATGCTTCGTCAGTCCATCGAGCGTCTCGAAGTTTCGCGCGCACGTGGGACATCGTCGGGTGCCCAAGCCGTGGAACGCGTAACGGTCGAGCTGGTTGAAGGTCTTGGTGCGGAATGGGCGGCGGTGCTCGGGCTTCTGGTCGAGGTGCGACGCCAGGCCGGCCCAACTGGCGAAGAGCGCGTAGCACAAGCGGCACTCGGGCACCAACTCGTAGCGCCGCTTGGGGGTGTAGGTGAGGGGGCCGCAGTCTTCCTTGTGATCCGCTGGGGCGGGCTCTCCTAGACTGGGTGGGCCGTATCCAGTCAAAAGTTGGTCCTCAATGAGGTCCAAACTGTTGAAGTTGCTGGCCAGGTCGTCGTCGGTGGTGTCAGCAAATGGGACAGCATGGTCCCAATCACTACCAGGCATTCCACCGGATGGGGTGGGTAGATCTGGAAGCGGTTTAGGTGTGAACTTAGCTTCGACACCTGCATCTTGTGCAGTGCGCAGGAGGTCCGAGGCTAGTTGCTCAGCTGGTATGTCAGAGTCTGGCAAAATCTCATCAGCCTTGACCTCGAGAAAGGAGCCAATCTTGGCGGCAGCGTCAATAATGCCCTTCAACGCCGCAAGCGTGTCCGGGTGCTCGGCCTGTGGCGAAACGTCGTGCTGAGTGTCGGTCGCATCTGCCCCGATGTGAGTCTCATCTTCCGTGCCGCCCCACATCATGTCCACAGGCAGTCGACGTATTGTGATGCGCACGAACCTCAGACTGTCGCTCTTTGCTAGAGCCTGCGAAACTTCTTTGAGGTTTTTCATGACCGGGGCTAGGGACAACCGGTGTCCCATTGAGTCGGGGGGTTGGCCAGCCCGAATTGCAGGAAGGACGATGTCAAGCTGAATTCTGCGCATGCGGATGATCTCCAGAGCATCGTAGGTCCTAGGAAGGTACCACTTTGTAGTCGCCTTCATGGATTGAAAGTAACCGGGCTTCCCAAACTCCAGGGGATCGCGAAGCAAGCGATTGTATCTGCCGTCAAGCTCGATCGTTGCTAGTTTCCAGTGGAGCAGTTCGATACCTTCATGATAGACCCTGGAGCACGTCTGAAGCAGATTGGTGCATCCCAAGAAGCTTGGTTGGGACTCGTGCTGCTTGTGCTGGCAGACCTCGTCAGTATCCATATCGCACCAGTGTCTGACATAGCCCGGCCGTAAGATGTATAGCCAGATGTGCATTCTGATATCGTATGGCAGGTTGAGGAGACTTGAATGGCCGGCAGCCGGCATTTCTCGGGGCATATCGAGCTCAAATGTGGTGTCTGTAGCGTGCGCCCGGTCAGCCAGCGGCAGATCGCAGCCCTTTTGAATTTGCTGCATCATTAAGGGTGGAAATGCGTGGTTCTGCGGTAAGATTGGAATAAGAGATGGATGATTTAGTGGCGAGATCAGGGTCAGAGCCAGATGATTCTGCGATGAAGCCAGCGCCAGAGATCGATGAGAGTAGGGCGTCGTTTGTCAACTTCACTAATCAGACTATGAATATTGATGTGACCCGTGATGATCAAGACAGATCGACTCGGCGCATTCGGAAAGTAGACGTATAGTGAGGAGCAAGAGGATAAATAGTCCACTGGGAGCGTGTTGTGCCAAGTTCGATGCTGTGGATCTTACCGTTGTTGTGTGAAGTTACGAAGACAGCAGCTGATGGTAGAGGGCAAAAACAATCCAAAAGGAGGCAGCGGCTTAAGACATCGGCCTGAGGCATCAGCAGGAAAATACAGATTTCTTGAGGCTAGCACTGGCTAGGTTGCCCTTTGCCTTTACCAGACTTAGCAGGTGGGACGCTCAGGTGAGTGCGACTTACTTTGTATCATTTTCCCAACCGCCATGAAAAGCGAAATGACAAGCACAGCAGACCCAAACACAATACAGGCGACTGCGGGTATGAACCTCCAGCTCCGGGTACTCAGTTTGATGTAGCAGAGTGGAGGCAGGATGTACGCCAGAGCGCAAGCACTCGTCGCACCTATCAGCTCGAAGACTGCCCCTAAATCGCAGGTGACCAAGCTGATGCCCATGGCGCTAACAACGAGCGCACTGCTGAAGATCAAGTGTCGGTTTGGGTGGTAAGGCTCTTCTGGGAACCAGTAGTTGTTCATGACCTCTCGACAAACGAAGCATTCAAGTGGTAGGGTCGTCAGCATATTGAGGCCGAAGCAAAGCCGCGCGATCTGGACGACGAGATGCCCTTGAGATGGAAAGTTGTTGAGAACATTGCCCTTGGTGAGGTCGCCAAAGGTGAGGAAGCCGGACAGTGCCATGAGCAGGCACGCCAGTAGCGACGCAAAAGTGCTGTAATGCGTGACGGTAGAGAAGCGGTCCATAGTCGGCGTTTTCAGTGATCCATAGATCAAGAGCGAGTTATGGTGACACACGAAAGCTGGGTCCATCAGCAAAATCCGGCCCGTGAACAAGGAGTACTCCATACCAAATGAGATAACGCCAACAGCCTGGAAAAAGCCGTCATTAATGAGCAACAGGCCTTTGAGATTCCCGCGAAGATTGCTGTCCACGAGAGGACCTTGTGAGAGCACCGTAATGACAATCACCAGCATCGAGATTAACGCCAACATGGAGGCTTTCGCGAGCTATTTCATCAGTGATGACTTGCGAACAGGCCGAGGTGTTTACCTTCGCGATATCTCTGTATAAGCTCAAAGGCCAGCTGAGCCCAAGTACAAACAACACAATGATGGCACGTCTATCGGTGAGCAGCCAGAGAAACTTCGTAGTCTTCAACGCCGGAAACAGAGCTTCTATCACATGTGGTATAGTATCACCAACAATGATGCAAAACGCGATCATGCCCCCAAATGCAAATGCCCATTGGGCCACCGATATGGCTATCAGGCCGGTCTTCCCGAAGCAATGTTGCATAGTGCCTTGGAATGAATCTGCTCCGGACAGCTTGCTGTTGATGACAATCAAGCGAATCGTCCAGTCCACTGTAATGGTGAGCCCCACCAGGAGGACAATGCCCATAGTCAAGCCTGCCTGGCGGAAAGCGTATGGTTGTCCTATAATTCCTATTCCATCTATTACAAAAGTGGTTCTGGTCACACGTGTTCTTGCTCACCTGCTCCAATAATGGAATTGGCCATGTTCATGATGGCGCTCCGCATGCTGCTTTTGGGCCGCGCGTTGGGCAAGTGCTCTTCCGGCTGGAAAGCATCTGAAAGGAATGGTGAGTCCAAGGGAGGCGTGATGTCCGTCAGCAAAGGCGCATCTGGTCTGGGCGAATGCAGATAGTCCTCATCGTCCATCCAGTCTTCCGACTGTTGGAGGACAACGTTGGCATGCTCCTCGACATCGAAGCGGACGCGATTGGTAGTCCGCGGCGTGCCGGACGGGCGCGGTTGGGACAGTGATGACTGCCGCTGTACTTGAGGGCGAATCGTGGGCGCAGGCATGGATCGCAGCTCGGCTAGGTCATCGGCATCGTCGAGGGAGTTCCGCAGGAAGAACCGCCCCTCCTCTTCAGAGGGGTGTCGCGTTTCTTCAACATGGCCATTGGGCGCAACATCATCACTGGGCATATCGCACGTAACGCATCGGGGGCAGAGAGCGAATGGGCGACCGCACCAACACAAAGATCAAGCCAGCTATGAGGGTTGAGACGCAGCAAGGCAGGAACGGCACCCGGTGCACTGCGCCTATACAGCAGGCTTGGCGTCCAGGTCCGGGCGCTGTCAGGTTCGCAACAAGGAGCATAATCAACCCCCCTTTACATGTCTTTGAATCTAAATTTACTAATTTTTGGCTCTCTATATCTAGAGCATATGAACACCATAAGTTTACCCTCTCACCAGCATCTACGACGTTGCTAGACCCACAGCCACCGTGCTTATCAGCATCCAACCGATTCTGTTCAAGGTGAGCCGACCACCTGCGGAGTTGGAAGACGATTCCCCGTCATTTCCGAAAGGCGATGAGTCGGTGCTGCCTGATGTCTCCTGAGCCTCGTCGCCGGTGGTAGAACTGGCGCCGCCAGACGAAGTGGTCGTAGCCATCGATGTCTGCGAGCTGCTTGCATCAGAGGTGCTCGATCCGCTGTTGGAACTCGAGGAGCTCGAGGACGTGCTGGAAGTGCCGGACATGGTGCCGAATCCTGCATCCTGTTAGCTTATAGTTCTCAGGTCTGAGCAGTGAAACTTACCTATCCGGTCTTTATCAAAGTCGAAGACAGTATAGACGTTTTTCAGAAAGATGTCGCCGAGGATCCACTGGTCTGCACCGAAGGGTTGATGGCCGATGATGTTGCTCGCACATGTGTTGCCGCTTCCGCGCCTGCCGATGTAGTCCTTCGGCGAGATACTGTACTTGACTTTGGAGAACGAGACCTCGACGGTAGTGCTTGCATCACAAGGCACAGTGTAGGCCTCGCCACTACTGGAACTGCCCGGAATAAGGCCGTGCAAAGTTTTGGCGTCGTTTGGGGGCATCAACGTGTATGAGGTCCCCGTGTCGATAATGGCACTCTTGCCGGTGAACTTGCAAGCCTGACCGCCGACGAAGACATCGTCGACTGGTATCTCCCAGCTACTGCCGCTCTTAGTCTGGGTGTAGCTCAAATCGCCCTTGAATTTGGAGCTGTCAACGCCACCAATAGTCAACTGGCCATCCTTCGTGTCATCAGTGGCACGCTGTAGGTGAATACCGAGGATGTTGTCCTTGAGGCCGGTCTGCACGTCAAGTGCCTGCATGACGGTCTGAGAGCCAAGGTCATTGGACGATGCTGGACCGAGGCCGAGAATACCATCCATAGGATAGTTGTTGAAGTCATTTGATGCGGTCTTTGCAAGACCGAACTGAAGTTGCAGCGTATAGTTGGCAAAGGCGACTTTGTCTTCCGCCATCACTCCCTCGACTTCACCTGTACCATACGCGAGGCTGAAGGTCTTGGTGGAGGTGTTGAGAGTAGTCGAATCATCGGAACCGAAAGTGTTGTGTATTGAACAAGCACTGGACCTGCAATCCGACCCAAACACCCAAGTATTTGTTGAGCCTGTATCAACTAGCATGTGCATCTCCTGACCTTTGGACCCGAACAGAAGCGAGGAGAAGTACGAATAGTCGGATCCATCTTGGTGGATGGCCAGCGCATGAGGCTCGCTCGGATCGCTGGACTCGTCGATCATGAATGCATTCTGACGCTTCCTTGGGGTTTTTTTGAGATCGAGAGTGTATACGCCTGAATCCTCCTCGTTTGCTTGCTGCGGCAATGTAGGGTAGAATCTTTTGCTCTTGCTACTCTCGTCCTGGTAGGGGTAGAATGCCGAGACGGTGCTCGTTAGCAGCGGTAAAGACAGCCATCTTTGGTGCATTTTCCTCTGATATCGTCTAACGAGAATTTAAGTCTTGCGGAGGAGCCAGTCCCAGGTCGATTAAGTCTATAAAAACGATCGATTTTGGAATCCAGCCAACATTGATAGCTTGTGACCGTCAAAACGCAACTGGTCGAAATACAAACGATAAATAGCAGACAGTAAGCGGGATTCTCAATCAAGAGATCCCACAACACGAGGCAGGGCAGTAAAAAACGAGTGCAAGTAGTGAAAGTCGGTGTCGATGCCAACGCCGATGACAAGATGCAGGCAAGGCAGTTATAACGCAGGACTCGAGATAGTTGGGGATGGAGGGGAGTTCGAAAACAGAGTTCGCCATGTGCATGTCGATGGCGGGCTGGCGTCTCAAGCGCCCGCTTCAGGCCTAGGAAGCGAACTAGTTCCAGGGGACCATCACGGATCTTCAGGCACGAGTCGCTCGCTTGAGCTCCCTATTGGCGAGCGACCCTCGGTGCCAGAGCGTGGAGGCTCTGGTGCCCACTGTGGCTGCGTGCAAGGGCGAAAACAATTCATACCACATACCTTACAGCTGCCGGGCAGGCCGATGGCAACAATGACAACGGCCACGTCCGAGCGTTGAAGGCTGGTCAGAGTATAAGTCACCTGCGACCTGTCACCGGCAGCACCAGACACCCAATGCCCGCCCCGTGATGAACCACCTCTCTGGCCATTTGAAAGGACTTCTGAATCTTGGGTGATAGCCGACAGATGAACAGGGGCGCCAACGCTATCTCCACAGAATTCGCGGCGCCGAGACCCAGCTGACAGGGATTATCCACGATTTTTGTGCCGGACACCGGGCTGAATGAAGATCGAGGCCTTGTAACCACTAAGGCAGCAGTGGAGGCGAATGTCACTGTGACATGGAGGAAGCTACCGGACAAGGTAGTTAACTGCACAAAGAAAAATGATGCGCGAGAAATGAAATTATACTATAATAGGTGGTCTGCTGCAACTAGCCGGTCGGTGACTTCTGTTCTGTTGACAGCGACTGACAGAAACTCGAATCTTGCTAAAAACCAGGTCGTTCAAGACATGATCTCAGCTGCGCCTCAATAATTTCAGACTCGCTTGGTACTACCCTTGGGACCCAGAAGATCGTCAAGGAAGCCACTCCACAGCTCGCGCACTGTAGTCTCGTCATTGTCCTTGCCCATGAACTGCCTGGCACTTTTGCCGACGGTTTCGGTCAAGCTCGTTAACGCGTCGACCGACATCTCCTCAACGTAGTGGCTGTCGTGGACGTCGGACATGGCACTCGCACTGTCACCGTTGATGGCCGAGATCTCAGGCTTCATGACCGTGTTACCGGCATTGGTATCCTGGTAGCCTCCGGCAGCAGCGTCCAGCTCGGGGTATCTTTCCAGCACCGCCTCGGCCGTGTCGCTGTCGACGTGCGGCATGATAGGCACTCTGATTGCCGCCGGCTCGGGATTGAACTCGGGGCTGAACAGCTTGGGGAAGTAGGCAAAATCCACCGTCGATGTGTCTCCAACTGTCTTGTTTGCGCGGGAGGTGTTGAACTCACGTCGAGCCGGTGATTCAGAGGGACTATGGATGTCAGTTACTGCATGAACGATTCCTGACTTTACTCACCCGCTGATAGGCTTCCTTGTCTCCTCACGAGCAATTCTCCTCATGGCAATGGAGAAAGCACGGGCCTGCAGGCTGTCATGGCCTGCGAGGCGGTCAATGAGCTCATGTTTGGTGCCAGATGCAGACAGAGATCTCTTGTTGCATTCACCACGCAGATCTTGCAGGTTCCACGGGGTGTAGGTAGTCTTGTGGCTGAGATCGAGAGGTGAGGGAGAGGCCTGAGAGCCCGTAAGATGGAGGGAGCGTTTGGCCGGAACACCGGTGCGTGTGGCCTTCTGCAGGTTACGCAGAGCCTTGAAGGATGAGGCACGAGGAGCAGCCATTGGATCGAGTTGGTTGACTTAGTGGATGGTGTGGTAGATAGTATAATCGATGTAGTCTTGAGGAGGGTTCATACGAAGAATCGACGAGGAAAGGCAGTAGAGGAAAGCTATTTGAAGAGCCGAGTGCGTGAGGAAGGGAAAGCGGTGACAGTGACAACCTGGAACGTGTCGGTGAGTTTCCGTTTGAAGGAAATATGCTGATATATTGTTGACTAGAGACGCAGTGGTAAAACGAAAGTCCGCGTGCCCCCGGAGCCCGATGCTCACCTCAACAGGCGCAGCTTCCCCGCTTCCTGCCCGGATCATTCCTCCCTACATCCAAGCTTAACCTTAACTGGCCTAGTAGGTCGACTCAACAAGCACAAGCCTCGCTCAACCTCATTTCTGATTTGCTTGCCTTATCCCTTTCACTGCATAGCTCGTGTTGTGTCCCTGCTGGCTTGCTGGCGGTGAAAAGGGATCGGAATCCGACAACGATACCATGGCCCAGAAAGATGGCCTACGGACCAGTTGACAGCTTTCCATCAAGCCACCATTCACCTTTCTGGCTTTCCAGTCCCTTGTTGCCGTATTTCGTGTTTATTCATCGGTCTTCCTCTGAAAGCTTGGCTCGTTACTAATAAAAGCGCGAACCCCTGAAATATTCCACACGGATCTCAGCCTCGTTGCACGTCCGGTCTTTGCTAGGGAGTATTTAGGGTCGGACTCCGCATTCGCCAGATAACGGCAGCTGCTGGCAATCGAGCTACATCTCGTTCGTCCATAAATCCGAGTATCAGCGGGATCGTCGTAACTGCTGTAGTTAACAGGCACGAGATTGGGCTGCTTCCTTTCCACTGAATGGAGCGGAACTAAGGACTACTGGAGCAAACTCCTCTGATGCTAGGTCCTATTTAACGAAAGTTGACAGTGACAGACATATCAACCAGCTATTCCAGGTATGCTGCCTACATAGACAAAAGGTATGAGGTACAGCGTCGCCAGGCTGTCGATGTCGGTATCGAGCCATGAAGAGCAGGGGCTTATCGGGACAGTTGGCTCCAGAAATCGACCAACTGGATATCGAGCAGAACAGTCTGATGCTAATGAGCTGCACGATGAAGCCGAAAATATGGATCCGAGAAGGACAGGATAACTCGTCCCATTGCGACCACGAAATATGGAGTATTCCACATCCAACATGGTAAGGTTAGGATATTGGACAGTCTTAAGCGCTGGTAAGACTGTCATGTATGTCTACATGCTCCGAGTCGAACCAACTTGCACTGATGAAGTCAGTCGACGTCTGCTTGAGGCCAGATTGATATCAGGGCGAGTCAAGGCGAGGTGAGGTAGGTAACTTCTTGGCACAAAAGATTCATTGTCGCCTTCTACACTTCCTATCCCACGTCTTTCTTCTACGCGTTGCTGTGGCATACCTATGTTTCTGTGATCACTACTTTGGCTAAGCATAGCTCTCCTAACTATGTATGCAGCTTCAGCCTTCACATCTACATCTTGGTGCGTTAGCCTCTGACCCTGTCACTCAGATCTTCTGTTTTCCTTTCCCAGTGGTTTCGTCCCACCACTGTTCCTAGATTGCCGCTCTGATTTTACCGCAAGCTAGTTCTCACTGCGCAATCCTATGTGCCAGGGGCCTATTTTGCCAAGCCCTCATTGTCAAGTCAACTACAACCATTGCGCCGGAAGTCGACTTTCGATACTCCCGCTTCTTCCTATCTCAACCTTACTCCTATTTCCTCCTGCGCTCTTGGGTATGTTAGTGACCTTCGTTGTTGACACCAGATCATTCTGACGCTAGCCATCAGCCAATTCATCATAATGCCGCCGCCAGGCCACCGCCGCCGGGCGGCCGAGCCAGATCCCGACTCCGACTCCGATGACGATCATCAACAGGCGTACAACTCAACAACTACGCAGGCTGATATGACCAAAGCTGCAATCATGATGGCAAGATATAATCGTTCTCGCGGGCACACAATGCTAACGCTGGACAGGGAGACTTGTCATCTCTTACTCGAGACCAGGCGACTTCCATCGATCCAGGTCGAAGACCGGCGCAAGTCAACATGGCTGCCCTCATGCGTGATAGAGACTGTAACCAAGAAGGCTCTGACGCTTCCACACTCGCCCTGAAGAACAAGACCGCCCTTGGTGGCTGGAACAGTGAGTAAATGTCAACTGCCTTTCATACCTAGTCTGACAGGAGCAGGTTTCAGCAATACCGATGAGGCCAAAGCTGCCGCTGGTGAAAAGCTTTCCGACTTGGGTGGCGGTAACACACACCGTCCTGCAATGCAGGCAAAGCTCAGAGAAGAGGGCATCACCAGTCTCGAGGACACTGCAATCGATTACCGCACGAATAGCATCCCACCTCGCTCTAGAGGCCGAGGCGGTGCTGCTGGCGCTGCTGCTAACGATCGTGGCTACTTCCGCGGAGCACGCGGCGGAGGCTTTGCTGGCCGAGGCGTGGGCCGAACTGAGTTTTCTGCTACCAGGCATGTCCCAAGTCCTCTTTCCGGGGTTGCTTTACTGACCACCGCAGATCCCAGGGAGCACGCCTTGACCCTGCCCTCGAGTCCAACCACACCTATACCAAGGTTGGCAAGATCAAGTCGAAGCTCTCCGAAATCGCCATGGTCGACGGCAAAGTCACCATGAAGCCAGCTGAGCAAGGCCATGGCTCAAAGAAGAATAAGAAGAAGTCGGGCAGGTACTCTTCACCTCGTTTGGATCGTCCACCACTCCCGGACTTTATCTCGCATTCTCCTGGAGTACAACTTGCTGGAGACCTAGTCTTTGAAGCTGCCATGCAAGCCATGTTGAAGAAGAACATTGAGGAAGGCAAGCACGTACTACCAATTGACCAGCTTGAGAAAGAGACCAGCACTTTCTCCAGAGCTGGCGCACCCACCCAAGAAGCAGTAACCACTCCACCCGTATCCCCACTTTTGGAGTCCAGCCCCAAGGTGCAGCCACCTCAACCTCGACCTCGCGTCCACCACATCAAGCGTGCCGAGCTTGGTAGTGGAGCAGGATCTCCAGATGCATTTACCGATGGAAACGCGACCACTTCTTCTCTGTCAGGTTTCTCGCCGTCGCTCAACAATGGAGAGGGTCAGGCCACGGCTGCCACCTCTCTGGTCGGTCTTGGTATTCGCGATCTCCACATCAGCAATAGCGAGGACGCTGTCACCAGGTCAGATGATTCATTCGAGGAGTACAAAGCCGCCGAGTCTTTTTTCAGAAGCGCCCGCCCAGGCCAGGACTTCGCACTGTGGCTTAAGCAGAATGTGAAGGATGGTCTGAAGCCGAGATCGGAAGACATGGTCAAGCAAGATGCCACTGCCGTCAACATTACCCGAGGCTACACCATTGGTGTTTCCCAGCTGCGAAGCATCATTGGGGATAAAAAGAACCTCATTGCCGACACGAAGTCGACACAAACTACTCCTGGCCTCCGGCAGTCTAGATGGGCCTCTCATGAAGGCAACAACTCCGATGTTGCACAAACAAACTCTCGGCCTTTTAAGACTTCGGGCTCGCGCGAGAAGCTCTCTTCAGCGCTGCTCACATCCGAGAAGACGAAGCTGGAAACTATCGAGGAAGTCTCGAGCCCTGAGCGTGCAAGCACGGCCGATGTATCTATCCTCCTTGTCCCTGCTAAGCCGAGCGAGAACAACATGGCTACTCCTGCCCCTGTCAGTGATATGGTGGTGTCTGCCCAGGCGCCATCAAAGGATCAGGTTGTGAAGCAGCAGCTCGAGCCTAACAAAGCTTTCGAAAAGGCTGCTTGCGAGCCCATGCAGACGCTGCTTCCCGAGACCAAGGCTATCAAGCCAGAATCCAAGCTCAAGCACAACAGCCCTGTCGCTATCAGAGAGCAAATCGTCAAGCCTTACAACAAGATATCTCGTGATCATCTGCTGGTACTCGCTGCCCAATCCAATGATCCTTCTCGCTGGAAAGGTTCCATGCCCGCTGTCACGAGCGAGACTCAATCTGCCAAGCTGACGCAGTCCGCTAAGCCCGACCTGAAGCCGACCGTGCCTTCCAGCAAGCGCAGCCTCTCTGCTTCCAAGTGGTCAAACGACGTTTCGATCGACACTCATGGTGCCGGTGCACCTCTACAGACTCTACCATCTAATAAGGCTTCGCCTGATAAGCGTGCTTCGCTACTGGGTGACTCCAAAAACCTGCAACGCTCAGCCAAGGCTGGCCTCAGCTCTACTCCGAGAGGACTTGCGGGTTCAATCTATCGGTCTGACAACACGCAGAGTCTTCCCAAGCCAGCTCCAATCAAAACTACTGCGTCCAAAGAAGCGGCTCTCGACACTAGACCAAAGGACCCCATCATCTCTTCTCCCACAATGTCTTCCACCACCTCCATCATCGGCGATTCCAAGAACATCCAGAAGTCTCCCCTGTTGAAGTCTACCAGCAGTCGCCACGCTCGCGATCCGGCGAACAAAGCCGCCACGGCTCTGGAGCAGAACCAGACTCGCATCAAGCGCACCAGCGCCGGCCCCGGCTACGAGCGACTGATGAAGGGGAAGGCGCAGAACCGCTCGCAAACCGTCGACGAAGGTGACGAAGTCCTGCGCAAGGCTCACGAGCATGTTGCGAGGTACAACAAGAGCGGAAACTTCGGCTTGTAAGTCTCGGAAACTGGGTTGATGATTTGTGGTTTGTGGTAGTTCAAGAAGGAACATGACTACCAAAAATGATGGCGTGCCGAGTCCACCGGCGAATGTGGTCCAAACGAACGGATTTTCACGGTCCAGGCGAATTGAATGCAAAAGGATCGTGGTAACGATTCGACACGAAGGACTGACTTGAATTCAGCGAAGGCGTTGGGGGGCAAGTCACTGCAACTGCAGTATGTAGAAAGGCCGTCGGTTCGATCTGCTGAGACGGTAGTGCTGCTGTTAGCCAGACAGACAGTGGCACCTGTCCAGCGGGCGGCAATCGAGCTGAGACCTGCTCTACTAGATCCTCCTCACCAATGAAAAGATACTAGTGCAGCAATGCATCCCCTGCTCTTCCGTCTTCGTGATCACCGAACTCCCTGGCGGACTTTTATTGTGAGTAGGTCACGCGAGCGGAGAATATATTTGGTAAAGTTACTGTGCTCACAGGGGTTCCGAACATCTTTTTCGTTTTTTCTTCTCTATCATCACAACGCCGCCGTTGCGGCAAGCACGTCGAGATCTATTCCGGACTCTAATTGCCTGACGTGTTGTTCATGACTCATGCTCTCGTGGCTCATGCTAAAGTTGTGCCAGCTTCGCAACTTGTGCACGATATGCTTCTGAACACCTCGCCGCTTCGAGCCCCTTTCACAGCATAGCCCGCACGCGCTCCACGCACGCCTTCCACTCCGCACCCCGCTGGCCCACCACATTAAGCACCCAATCCCTCTGCTGGGCCCTCAGCAACTTCAGGCTCTTCACGTACAACTGCATTTCCGGGCTACCTGACTCCTTATCCTGCAGCCCATCTAGACCACTGGTCAGCAGCCACCGCTGCAGCCGCTGAGGGTCGCCCTCAACGTCCACGGGCGCGGGTGAGAAACCACTATCGGCGAGTTCAGCTAGTGTGGGCTGCTGTCCGGCTTGAGGAGCCTGGCCTGCGGCCGAAGAGGCGCGACGCTGTGAAGGCGGTACCACGCGTTGTGGTGGCGCATTTGTAGAGAGCAGTGTGTGCGTAGGCGCTCGTGGATGGGGGCGGATACCATCACTGTCAACTCCGTCATCCTCCTCATCTGAGTCAATGTGGCGGAGTATGCCTCGTCCTATCGGGGTAGAGTCGTGACCAGCGTTATCGTCATCGTCTAGGATCTCTTCAACCATTGCAGCACGAGGGTTCCGCGCAGTCTCAGGAGGAGGTGTAGGAGTAGCTCCTGGCCGTGTCTCTGCCGTAGGGATGTCTTCAAGCTCGGGCAAGTCAGACTCGTCTTCTTCGTAGTCGTCAGAGGGCTCCTCAGCGCGCTCGGCGTAGTAGTCCCACCCACCCGGTGTCGCGCCGGGCGCCACACGCTGACCCAGCCCAAGTCCTTCAGGATCGATGATGACTTGTCCATCGTGGTCTTCTTCGTCTCCACCTTGACCTAAATGTGCTTGCAGTAGCTCCTGAATGATAACATCAGGGACGTCAGGCCCTAGCTCTTGGCGCAATGCGCGCATGGCCTCCTGGCCTTCCTGATCATTGTTACCGTTGCCATCGGCTGCTGGACCAGCTGGTGAGGTGAACCAGTTCAGTATCCGGTTGAGCATACCGATACCGCCAGTACCAGCACCACCGATAATGTTCTGAAGCGCTGAAGGCCCAGAGGCGTCCGCCGGAGCGCGAGCCGTGAAATCAGAGTTCTCTTCCGAGGAGGGAGGAGGCAAGGGGTCATAACCGGTGGTGGCCATGCGAGTGAAATTGCGGGGTAAGAGACCTAGGAGTTGTGGAGACTCCAGGAGGAGGATATGTCGGGCTTCTTCAAGGGAAATCTCCAGCTTGGGTGGCGTGGGTGCGGAAGAAGTGACTGGCTGATAATGGGTGAGGGTCTCGGCAACTTCAACAAGGAGAGCGGTCGTTTCGGGCGTATTCCACAGGTCTTTCGCTCGTGAAACATAGAGCTCTGTGTAGAGCTTTTCGGCATCGGTGGAGGGAAGTTTAGCCCACAGGACCTTTGGAAGTGGCGAGATATCGAGGGCGGAAGCGAGTGCGGACAAGATGTAAGGGTATTGCACCATGGCGATGGCAAGGTGTTGACGGGCTTCTTTGGATCGCTTCGCGCGCGTGAGGGCAAGGGCAAGAGAGATTTTAATGTTAGGGAGATGTTGCCATGTCGTGCCGTACGCGCCCGGAGAGGCGAGGGCGATTAGTTGGTCATGGCAGCGGCCCCGAAGGGCGAGTTGATCGATCATCAGCGTGACTCCATATGGATCGGAAAGTGTATTGAATTGTAGCAGAAGCTTGGCCCATTCGAAGGCGGTCTTGAAGGTACCACGCATCTCCAGGTTACGGATGTACCGCCAGATGGCCAAGTAAAATTCCCGGTTGGAGGCTTTATCAAACGATATTCGTGCAGTGCCCTCTCTCATTGCCGCCGGGAAAGAGCTGTGGACCGACTTGCCAAGGGTGTAGAGGGCACGCTCAAGTAGATCTCCGGATACCGAATGATCGCCTTGGTGTCTCGCAATCTCCGCGACTTGTAGAAGGGAAGCAATGTGATATGGAGACATCAGCAACAGACTCATCATCCGTTGAGGGTCCATGGACTCGACCGCCATCTGGAAATTCCACTGTGCCTCCCTGTACGTGTGGCCGTGGACGAGGTTGTACCGCTTCTCAAACGATGGTGGCTCCGAGACGTTCTCCATACTGAGACCACCGCTCGACGCCAAAGGCCACTCCTCCTTACCTCGCATAAGGCAATTCCTCCGGTTTGCCAAAGCACCAAGCTCTTTCCTCCTACTCGCAACATTGTTACGGCCGAGGAGAGCAGTGCCTAGGTCCATGCCGCCTTGTTCGTTGACTTCTCGCTGCCTTGTTGCCCGGTTCGACCGGGACTCGTGCTCTTCCACAGCGACATTCCCGAAAAGGCTTTTCATCTCATTGATGGGGTTGAGGTTCTTAGTCTCAACGCCCAGCAGCTTCGTTGCCTCGGCCTCCCACTGCTGACTTGAAATATCCTCACTCTGCTCGGCATTGTGTGCGCCAGACTTCAATGCGAGGGCTTTGAGCGCTCGATCAATCTCATCACCAGAGTCTGACTCGGGTTTGGAAGCCTTGTCGGGCGTGTCTTTTGGCTTTTTCTTCGGCCTTTTTTTCTTCTTCTTTGACTTAGACGAAGGAGTTGGTCTGGATATCGATGCAAGTCGCTCTGGCTGTGCGGAGTCTGTGGCCGGTGTGGCGACCCCAGTTGTGTCATCTTCCGACTCGTCATCTTCGGCTTCTTCTAGCATGTCAAAAGCATTCTTTGGCTGTGGTGCCCTCGAGGACTGTGGTGCTTCGTCTGACTCTTCCTCCACCTGATTCTCGGTAGCATGCGCAGCGGCCAGACGTCGCTGTTCCTCCTGCTCGCGCTGGAGTTTTCTCAACGCGCGAGAAGACATGGCGGCGAGGGCGAAGAGCTGCGCGTGGGCCTATGAGAGGAGTGAAGGCAGGTAAAGTAATTTGTAGAGAGGCAAGAACCAAAGCCCGTTGGCGCGCGACGATGACGTTTGTCAGCCTTGCATCCCACATGCAAGGCTCGAGAAAATCATGAGTCATTGTGCAGGACTCCAATTGGCTAAAGCATTCCAGAGTTCTAGCAAGGTGTGTTTGCATCGACACCAGTAATCAAAATCACAGCCTGAACCAGCAGCGAACATGTCTGATTGCGATTTCATTTTCTGTCTCGTCCACTCCGGCATTGAAACTGTTTCCAGTGGTCGTTGCATCGTTGCATCCCATTTTATGGCATTGCTTTGAAGTGCTCGTCAAGACATATCATACCGAGTCCTTATTCTCTCCCTGAATTCACAGCCTTGTCGGTTTCGTTGCACCATTACCTCTGTACACCTGTACACTTATGATGGCAGGGGTTCAATTACTGATCATGAAGGCCGTCCGGCTGCTTTTCCCAAAGGCCAATGCTTATGCTATGAATGTATCAAGTGATCCTCTTTCCTCTCTCGCTATGTTGCTGTTCATGGCCGGAAGCCGTAGAGCGAAGACATTCCGCTCGCGCCCGGGCCAACGTCGTCATTCTTTGATCTTGAGATCTCACCGTTGGGCTTCTCACGCAACGGGGCCAGCCGAGGAGAAGCACTCGACCAGATAGAGCTTGAGCGTTTGTCGTCGTCCATAGGGAAGAAAACGCCCTCGCCTTCTTCGTCAATTTTTCGTGGGGGCAAGCTAGGACTCGAGATGGTGCGGTCGATTCGGGCGAGGGGATTTGACGAATGTCGCAGGCCAGTCGATTGTGGCTTTGTAGGATTTGATTCGTTTGATTCGGCTCTACTGAGGTGCATGCGCTGCATCGCCTGGGAGATACCTGAGATCTGTGAGCCTCTTGGACCCGAGGGCTCAGCAGGCATCCAGGACTCTCGAAGCGGAGAGCCAACGTGGCCAAGTCCAGGTGGTGCACCAGGCGGCGCACCAGGCGGCGCACCAGAGTCCGTACGTTTTTCGCGCTGTTCCGCCCATATGTGGCTAAATCGGGAAGGGCTGCCAGCGGTGGGTGGCGAGCCAACCTTGCTCGAATGGCCACTTGGGATGGCCACGCCCATACTTTCCTGATCTGCTCGCGAAGCTCTGCGCATCTGCTCCGCTGGGGTCAGAACTTCATCGTGCAGACTGCCGGGGAGCAGGTCAGTCTCCACGCCGAGATCATCGCCTAGGCCGGGATGTAAACCTGGACGTGGGACGCTAGCCGAGATGCCTCTTGGTTTGGATGCCTTCAAGGTCGAGTTCATAATCCGATCAATCGACTGGTCTTGGTTCTGGGGACTCGCGCCGAGAGGTGACGATGTTTTGATATTCGAGCTTGGCGTGATATTGCGGTACGAGGCATTGTCGGGTGGACTCGCAAGACGCCTCCCCATAGAAGATGTAGCGCTCGGAGAAGAGAACGGAGGTAGATAGTTGATAGGTGCGGATGAGCTCCAAGGCCCAGAGTTTGCAGCATGAGAAGGTTCATTTGGGTCGAAAGACTTGGGCATTGGCACGTTCAGTGCAGTCCGTACATGGTCCATCGGCGACTTGGGGAACTGTAGCTCGTTGGGCGGCGAACCAAATTGGGACGTTGGAGGCGAGTTCAGGGCCGAGTCCCCTGGCTGGTACGGTCGGTTGTACCGCTCGACAGGGTAAGGCTCTTGCTCGTCTGTGTCAAAGAATGGACCACCGAAGTAGTCGTTCGAGTATTGTTGGGGAGCTCGAGAATCCATAGGCATTTCTGGATTTCGATACTGCATCGCTTCTTGTCGAGCATAATTGTAGCCCCTGCCAGGTATCATGGCATTGTCGATATCAGTCCGATTGACCCGGCGACCATCTGGCAGATAGTGAGCCAGAGCGCACTTGGCACCGAATTTGCAATTGCCCTTTTTCCATTAGCACCCGAGATAACAAGAGCCGCAAAGCAAACCCACCTTGGAGAAGTATTTGCACGGGGCTTGGTGCGTTGAAGGATCGAGAGAATGCGAGAAAGGGCAAGCAGTGCCAGCCTGGCATGTGCCTTGTCTGAAGAATTTGCATGGTACGTGCTTCGTATCTGTTCGGATAATTATAAGTACTCAACCACCCACGTTGATGCTGGATATACGCACTCTTGTTTGGCCCTCCAGGAGGACTCCTCGCCAGGTCGAACATGGGTGGGCCAGACATCATGCCGTTTCTATTGAAGCCACCCGCACCAGGCACAGGCACTCCATTCTCTTTCTGATTGTATCCGTCACGAGGCTCGTTCTGGTTGTGAGGACCGTTTGCAGGTCTGTTGTGGTGGTTGTGTGAGTTGTTAGGCATTGATCTCATCTTGTCGGTTGGGTTCTCGTCACGCCATGTACGCACGGTATGGCGATGAAACTGCGATCGAGCCTGAGACCGCAGGCTCACAAAGAGCAGACGGTTGCCTTGTCGGGCGATCACGCGATCGGGCAAGGTCGATATGCAGGATAAGATGGGAACCGAGGAGAAGTACAGCTTGCGCAAGGACGCAGGTGTGTCACCAGGACTCGGTGCTTGCGTCGGTTTGCCCCACGCGTGCTATCGCTGTTCGGAGCAGGCAACGTGGGGTTGCTGGACGTGATATGGGTTGGCGAGGCGCTGAACACGGTTCCGCGTTCCAAGCGTTCCAAAATTGACGTCAGTTGCCGCCTTTAGGTTGCTTGGTTGCAGGCAGAGGTCAGGCGGTGAGCTATCTGGAATAGCAGGCTTGGAACTCGTCAACCGTCGATATCCATACGAGATCATGCGCGTGGCGTTGGCACACGTCCGGCACCGGATAAATGCAGCCCCGTTAGCCGATGGGTTTCAGCCTTTCCGGTGGAGTTTCGGAAGCCGGCCAGGCTGTTGTAGAAAGACGAAATCGTCAAGAACCTGAATCCAGCGTTGCCTTGTTTTCATCTGCTTTCAAGGAGCACGTATCTCGCATCGATCTCGGCAATGGAACTTCCGTTCCTATACCAGACCCGGACCATCCTCCGTCTGAAACCGCGGCATTCCATGGGACTGCCGTCTGCCAGGCGACGACATCAATCTACCAACCAAGCTGCAACCCAACCACGCGCCGAATTGGACGAAACGTCCTTCTTCCGCAAAAAGGCCGCCGAAGTCGCTGCAAAAAGCGAGAGGCGCGACCCCAGCTCTATCACGCTGTTTGAACAAAAGGCGTTCGAAAATCTACGCCGACTCGCAGGCCAGAAGGAACTGAATGCTCGGCTTGGCATCTCCCCTGAACCCGACCGCCTCGATGTGAATCCGGACAACATCCTCGCTCTTTTCACGCCACAGCGCCATCCCAGGGCCCCATCCGCCGACACCGACGCCGACGCATCCGAGACGTCTTCAGATGCCCCTGAGCAGGCCGCCCGCACAGCCGAAGCCGAGCGCATTATCCGCGAGATCTGCCACACCGAGCTCCGCACCCTCGCAAGCACCTTCCGTGAAGCGCTCCGCTCCGACACACAACCCGGCGACGCTGCACTCTGGGCCGTGCTAGAGACCAGCGTCTTCCCCCTCCTGGGACTACTCAAGCAGTATGCGCCCCTACGCCAGGCCCGCCCCACCAACGCACCCAGGACCCACGCCGCGGTTAAAGCGGCCAACGCTGCTCTGGAGGCCGAGCGTGCGGCAGCAGCCAAGGTCCTCCCACTCTCCAATTATGTCGAGAGGCTCGCGAGTGACAAGGCCAATCCGCCGTCGGTGCCGCCGCTGCAGGTCCTGTCGCGGTACTATCCGGCCGCGCTGCTGCTCGCGCTGAGGCTGTTGACGAAGCACCACCCCCTAAGTCTGCAGACGCATCGGCTGCTCCCACATCTCCGCTCGCTGGGACCGAGCTCCTACATCCTGGGCGCCACGACGCCGTTCTACAACACGTACCTCTTCCTCCGCTGGTCGGCCTACTCATCTCTCTCGGAAGTGTGCTCGGTGTTGGGAGAAATGGAGCGTGGTGCAGTCGAGTTCGATCGCGGGACGTACCGCTTCCTGACCGACCTCGTGGACGAGAGAGGAGCGGATCTGACCGTCATGCAAATGCAAGACGATGGGGGTGCCGTGTCGGACGCAGCCCGTGTCAGAGAACCCGCATGGTGGCTGCTGCCGGAGCAGATGAGGTGGTGGCCAAAAGTGGAGGAATGGCGCGCTACCATCGCCCGCGGCTTGGAGGAGAGGGGCATGGGCGAGGTGCTGAGAGAAGGGCCAGGTGGGGTTGCGGAAGAGGACGAGGTCGCCCCCAAGGTGTGGCTGTAGATTATACATGTACATTTAATGTGGGGTGCCCCGTGTAATACCATAGCCTACGAAGCTCAACCAAGTCGATGTTACAGGCAATACGCCTCAGGCACTGTCATGTGGAGATTCACTTCGTTTGCGATGTCTTGAATGCTCATTCGATTCGATTTTGTCCCACAGTAGTGAAACCGTCTTTGGCAGATCCAGAGCAGGCCAACTAGGACCAACTTCCCTGGGGGGTCGACAAAATTGGTGGGAGGCCTCCCCGACCTCACAGCAGACACTTTTGAGTGTGATCTGGTATGAGCTCGGGGAGGCCTCCCACCAATTTTGTCGACCTTTCTATGGCGGTGTCTGCTCTCTGACTATTCAACTCTTGAGCATTTTGCGGGGCGCTCCTCGACGAAGGCTACGCTCTCCGATCTCTCGCGCTTCCTCAGCTCCTGCTCGTTACCTGGACCCTCGGTAGGACTTTCCTGGGGGTTTGAATCATCGTTGCCATGCTTGTTGTTACCGTCGTCCTTGCCCTCTACATCACCACCGTCCTTCTTCTCTAACAAGCCGCTAGCCCACGCGGCGTCCGCGATACTCCGGCCCCAGACTTCTCCGACTTGCCAGACAACACCGTTGCCGATTTGTTCAATAACTTCCCGGATCGTCCCGACCAGCAGAAAGTCGTCTGGCAGCCCCTGCCCGCGGCGCAATTCCTCGACGGTGAGTACTCGATGCTGAAAAGGATGGAGACAAGCCATGCCGCGCGAGTTTATCGGCACTATCACGGATGTAATGGTCGGGAAGAGGCCGTCCGCGGGCAATCTCTTCAAAGCTTTGCTTCCACTCTTCTGTTTCTCCTCTGTTTGAGCTTCGAACCAGCGATTTTGGAGACGCGAGAGGTGACCACCCGTGTATGCTGCGTACAGATCGCGACGGTCACCGTCAATGGGCACGCGGCGCACGATATCACGCAGGGCCACCCTGAAATCGAAGTCGACAGGCAGGCGCTCAAAAGGAATGTGGTCGGGGCGCTCCACGTTCAGTACTGTATCGTTCGTCACGTCTGCTTTGCCGAGGTCAAGGTCTTGAATTACCTCGTACACGTTCGTTTGCTCGTTGGTGGAGTATTCAACGGGATTTCGAGGCAGTTTGAGTCCTGGAGCTGCAGCAACAATGAAGAGGCGTTTGCGCTTGGAGATGGCATCAATCTCGCTTCCACACACCAGTGTCTTATACACCTGATATCCCATTGCCACCAGAGAACAGATCGCTTGGGAACAAGCATTGGCTTTACGCGCCTGCAGGTTGGCAGAGTCCATGTCAGGCACATTTTCAATGAGGACGTATTTTGGCCGTAGGATAGAGACCAAAGAGAGGGTGTTGGCTAGCAGAGAGCAATTGCGGTGAGCGCTGACGTTAGACTTGTGAGCATTGAGCTTGGAGTACCCTTTGCATGCAAAGCCAGCAACAAGAAGATCAGGGTTCATGAGTGTCTCACAGCCCGTAAGAACATCCCGAAGATAGCCGTTAGTCGAGCCGTGAATGTGACGGCAGTTTGACTCTGTGTTTGCCTTGTATGAAAGATGTGCAGCCTTATCCAGATCAATAGCGAACGTGGGCGTGAAATACCCGGTCGAGGCTATTGAGTGATCCAACAGACCAGCGCCAGAGAATAAGCTCAGCACCTTAAGCTTTGACACTTGCTCGGGCGCTGGCAGTACGGCTGGAGGTGCCTGCTCGGCCTGATGCTGGATGCAACCGCTCAGTATCTCAGCTGCGTCTGCAGTCGCATGCTCCTGTGAGTCGGAACGGTAGAGCCCGTGGATAAAGAAGCCGTCCGGAGATAATGACCGCTCTGCGAAGGTATCGACCTCGTAACAAGCCACGATCTTATGGACCGAGACAGGGCGGCAGCTGCACTCACTAGAGAAGAACAGCTCGTTGCCAACCGGGTAAAAGGCATCCTCCTGAGTACCACAAGACGCTTCGGAAGGCAGCAGCAGCCACACTATCTCGACCTTGTCAACACCAGTTATACCCCGAGCATAAGCAAATCGGTAGCTATCGCCCTGCCGAACAACAACCGCTCTGCCAAGGACCTCATGAGAGCTAAACTGTGGGTAGAGCGGATTGAGCGCAGCGCTCTCCAGGGCTAAGGCGACACGTGAGATACGCTTGCCATCAATAGTTCTAAAGTTCTGGTCTTGAGCCTCGAACTTGTTGGGGAGACTCAGAAATGTCTGACGGCGTCGATCAGCCTCAACCACAGCCGGATTCATGTCAACAGTCTCAAGGATATCATGACCGTCTGGACCCCATAGTGGAAAGCTCTGGAGGAAGGCTGAAGCGACCTCAGGCGTGACCACGGTTTTCTCGGTTCTGCTAAGTTTTCGGTTCCTTGAGAGGGGCCAACCAATATCATCCCAGACGTCGTGCAGAAACAAGTCATCAAGTCTTCTGTTGTTCATGAGGTCGATCGCTTTTGCACGCAAGAATTCGCCATACCGAAGGATATGCTTTCGGAAGTCGGTAGTGAGTCCACAAGCACAATGCCAGTGGACCACATGGTCAGATTCAGGCTCCGAGTAGTAGTTTCTGACAAATATCCAAAACTCGTTCCGAAAATCGTGTAATGTGGCGCGTCGACCTTGCTCAGATGCTGCACACAAGAAGTGAACGACGTATTTGGTTAGATCCAAGATCCAGGTGAAGTTTTCCCAGTGCTCATGATAGACCAGTGCAGGGACTGTTAGGCGGTAGCGCACTTTTTGGCTCGCCCCTTCTTGAGTCTGCAAGAAGATGTGCTCTTTAGTGGTGGCGACACTCGGGTCGTCCAGCTTCTCAACGATCAGCTGCAAACAAGTCATGCTTTCCACTTTGCGGTATGCATACTTGTTTTGAAGTGTTCCGTCAATGACACAGTCAACTGACTTTAAGATAGCAGTGTAAGGAGAGACAAGCTGACCTCCAAACCCCTTACCACCTTGCTGGACTTCTTGATACAAAGAGAAGTCTCGAAGCTCAAGGTCAAAGTTAAGAGTAGTCTTGCCCAGAAGGCTTGGTAGAGGGATAAGCTGGACCAAGGCGGGAGCTTCACCAATAGGTCCGGCAAGCTGGGAGCTGTTCGAGTCTAGAACGCGTTGCAAACTGACGGGATACAGCTTATGAAGATCTTGTTGATTTTCGATCTCGGCCAGACGGTGCTGGAATTGTTGACGATGCTCCGTACCCGCTCTGGGCACCATAGAACCAGTTGAACGGACGCGGGACCCATCGATCTGGGGCTCACTGCGGCGTTCTTCAAGTCTATTGTCAGATTCAAGATCGTCTTCGTCATCCGTTTCCTTATCAATCTCCTGAGCTCCAGTACGGCGGTGAGACGTCTCGCGGTGTGCATGAGCAGGCTCCTCTACATCTGACAAGTCGTGATCAGAGTCATAGTCATCGTCATCCACGACGAAGTCGTCTGAGCTAGATAAACTGTTTTCCTCGATATGATAGGCATGGTTCTCCTTTTGGGCATGAGGATCATCATTATAGCTCTGAACAGAACGACTGCGGGATAGTCTTTCTAAGCGAATGCGTCGGATTTGAGACTTGGTTCTAGGACTCGGGCTTGGGGTGATGGGTTTGTTGGGGTATAGAGAATCAGAAACAGCGACGCGAAATCGTCTGCGCGCATGCGAAAGTACTATGTCAGTGTCCTCATCATCATCATCATCATCACCACCACTCTCGGGCACAGTGTGATTTGAGGCAGGGTGGAGGAATGAGTGAGTCAAGGGAATGACAGAGCTGTTGGGAATATGATTAGGGCTTGTGCTTCGGAATCGTGGGTTGGGAAGGGATCAACTTACTCTCGAGGAAATGCACTGTTTACGAGAGCTTCATCCTCACTGTCAGAGATGTGGATAACTTCACGAGGAGCCCGGTGCAAGCTCGGTGCCGGGGCATCCATTACTGCTGATGAATCGATACAAGAGCACAGAACGGGCCTGGTAGGAAGGCAATGAACAGGAACTTGCAAGTTGACCAGGTGGTTGCCAAGAGAACAAGAGCGGGGAGGTTGCAGCGAGCTGCTTTGTAGCAGTCCTTGAATCGGAAGTGAGGGTAGCATGACTTGTGGACGAGTATTCAGAGGAGACTCAGCCGTGTCGGTAAAAGGCAAGACAGAACCAATTCGCCTGCCATGATCACCACGACGGCCAGAAACCTCCACTTCAGATCTCGAGGCGGTCATTCCCATGAGCGTGAGGCCAAATCCATATAGGAGGTAGTATAGAGCTGCGCATCTTCAACAAATGAGCACGAACTGTGGGTCCTTTCAGTATCATGTCATGCAAGTGTAAGGAAGCTCAGCGTTGCGGATGCTTCAGAGCACGGCCCGACGATAACCAGGCCTGGAGTACAACAGTGCCAAAACCCAGCGATCAAGGCAATAGAGCTCTGGAGCGAGCGCACAGATCAATCGACGGGCCATGACTGAATGATGCACTTGATTGCACCAACAGCGCATCATTCCCTACCTTCATCTCGTCAGGGCCAACGGCATCTTCATATTTCGTCAACTCAAGCGGGCGAGAACCAAATGGCGAGCCAAGGCCACATCGTGCTGCCTTGCAGTGCGATGCCTGAATGTCGTACAAATTCAAGTACATTACGGAGGGTCTGGGATATCTTGGCCGCACCCTGGGAATACTTCTTGTTCAGATTCATGGCAGCGGCATTGAGGGTACAGCAGATAGTCTCATGAGACGGGGTAAGGCGGTGCTGCACTTTGAGGACAGAGTATGGCATGATCATGTTGCAAGTGTCCGTTGCACAACTCAAGTTGAGGAATGAACGATATAAACAGAAAGGCTGTGGTCGCGTTTGCCTTCTGTACTTACACAACGCTAACCAAGTATGGAATAGCGTTGCTTTCAACTACACCCACCTTTTCGCCCTTTACAGATGCTGAAGGATGGGTTTGAACAGAACACAGGGCAGGAAACAGCACAGCACAGCAAATCTCAAGAAGGAAGAACAAAGCAGCTCCATATTACTTTTCATATCTGCCGGACCGGGGGTATCCCGCCATGGACAGATGCTGCAAAAGGCAGAAGTATGTATCAACACGCGAAAGATCAGAAGTCGCTCCTCCTATATCTTGCAGTCATTCATGCGAATCATTAGAATTCGTTTCCGTCGTCATGCGTATGGGATCGATCCCCCCTGCCTTTCCGTCTGCCAGAAGAGCTTACAAAGTCAAAGAGTCGGCTCTTGGAAGCTCCATCTCGGCTACCGCCCATTCGCGCCCGACCTTCGTCCACCATCTCGAACGAGGCTGTAGAGGAGTTGGTCGAGTCGGTAAACGTGCGCGCATTGGCACTATGCATCGGTAGTCGGCGCTCCCAGGGACCTGAGGCTGCGCTTGATGGCGTAGTATCTCCTTCACCCACACCTTCAGCTGCTTCCCCTCTCGGCTGTGGGAGGGCGGTCAATTCAGGGTCATTATTCGCTGGTGATGCCATATATCGCTCGTCATAAACTGTTCGTAACTTCTGCTGCTGGTCTTTCAGGACTTGCTGCCACTTTGGCTCCAATTTACCGTCTGGCTTTTCGGCTTGCTCAGCGCTAGATAAGCATTCCTTTGTTTTGCTTTGCAAATCTGTGCAAAGGTTGTGGAACTCCTTCACAACGTTCTCCATGCCAGCCTCATCAGCCAAGTTAGCCGGGGCATGCGTAGTCCAAAGCTCGGTCAACTCAGACAGAAGCTTGCTAGAGTCGAGGAGAAAGGGTAAACTCGGTAATCCTTCGCGTGATGCCGGAGGAAGGCGGCCTCTAATCTGAGTGGGTGTCGCATATTGCGGCTCCATGTGGGGTGTCGCTTGTGAAGCGCTGATGCTGCAAATATCGTCGATGAAGATCTTGAACTCAGGGGTGGCAGCAGTGAGGAATCTGTTCATGGGCTCCATCCAAACTTCTTTTGTGCCGAATTTGGCCATATTCGCGAGAGCATTCAAGGACTTGGCAATGAGGGTGAAAGTTCGCTTTGTTCGCTCGGGTGGGTGGTCTGGAATCAGTCAATACAGAATAGTACTTCATTCTGGCTCGACTTACCGGCAGCCAGTCCGAACAACTTGGGGTTGAGAATGGCGGGACAGAAGAATCTTAGGAATAAAAAGCCCGAAATGCTCGTGTACTTTACCGTGCGGATGAAGGACCCATAGCGATCTTCAGCACATGATCGGATATGCCTGAACAATATGCGCAAGCCAGGGGGGCACAGGTCAGTGGAGTCTGCTATTGCTCTCCAGATGGCCTGCGTAAGATTTAGAAGAGTCGACCAGTTCCGTTCCTGTTGCTCGGCTGAGTTGACCCGCATCGGGTCAACCTCACAGTCAGGATCCTTTTCGGCAATTTTGCGAAGCCTAGGTCCCAACACGGTCTCCAAATACTCACCGCCTAGCCGCCGCATATGAGAGTCAAGAGCTTTCGTGACGAGTGAATTGCCTCTGAAAAGTAGGTTGGCTTCTTGATTAGCCGACCTGTTCAAATCGCGAACAAGGACCTCTCTCTGCTCCGAGTTTTCGTAAGAATCGCTTGACTGGAGACGTCCACTGAACCTCATACGAAAGGGAGGTGTGTCACGGTGTATGCCATCAATTTCTTCTTCGATGAGATTCGTGAGCCAATCATGGACGGTGTTTGTTGACTGAAATAGATCAAGAAAGACATCGGATACCTGCTTCAACTCTGGACCAAGAAGCTGCGCGATTTGAGAGGTGAGGCTGTTCTCGAAGCTGTGGAGAAGGTTCGACAGCTGTCTGTACTCCTCGCTCATCAAGACGACCGTCTCATTCAGGCTCAGTCTCATCAAAACCTGGCCAACAACACGATTCATGTTGTCGGTAACCGGCCACCACTTTTCCACTGGGCCGCGCTGCTCGAGATCATCCAAAGGGATGTCAACTTTGCCAAGGACGGAGTCGTGGCTGGAGACCTCGATACCTCCGACACCGGTGAGATAAGCTGCGTCACCAGACATATCATATGGTCCATGTGCAATCATGGTCCACTCTTGTTCGCCAGGGTTTCCTATCCGCGCAATGATGGCGATTCGACTGAGTAGAGATGGCAGGTCCCGGAAGGTAAACTCTTCGACCCACAGCACACTGTTTGAACAGGGTTTGATCGACGTTCTGCCCTTAAGATCCTGTCCACAAACAACATCAATGTAGACGTCTGCATTTACACGTTGCGGTCTAGCAGATTTGCGTTTTGCCTTGGTCGATGTCTGCACCTCTCGCTCGGTCAAGCTGTGAACGAACTTGGCTTCCGTGATTTTGACCAGAAGTTGTTGCTCGATGCGGAACATGCCTCTTGTATCCTGTCCTGCTGGAACCCCAACCCCATTCTGCTCCGGCCCATATAGTTCAGGCACCATCAAAGCTCGCAAAAGTACATACCAGGCCTCAAAGGCAACTCGAGTCTCGAGAGAAAGTATCATTGGTCGCTTTTGACGAGCCGTCGATGTCTGAACAGTATAATGGGGATAGATGGCCAAACAATAAGGGGTGTCTAGGATGGATCGATCTAAGCGCTGCACGGCACATCTAGAAAGCTGAGATAGGGATGTAGTCGAGATTGGTTCTGACTCTCCCTCGTTAAACAGGCGGAAGTCACCATTCTCGTGAAGAGTGCAGCTGATACGGCGCCACAGCGAGCGATCGTCGATGGCCTCTGGAAGCATATTTGTGCGATGCAAAGCCGACTTTTGCGAGCCAGAGGGTAAAGGACCATCCCAAGCCCGCATTTGGCCAACTTTGATGATGGCCATGCTTTTTCCCGAGGTTGCCTCGGAAATCCGGCGTTGACCTGTCGGTCGAGCATCTTGAATGGAAACATTCTGAGGTTTTGGCATTTTGTTGTGAACTCCACGAGGTCTGAGAGGCTGCCAGCAGAGTAATGCAGCTAGCCAGGAGTCAAACGTTTCAGGGACGGAGGGGCGCAGCTGGAAACCTGATCCCGTTGAAGCGGTCAACACGCTTAGATACGTACTTTGGGTCTCTGGGTCGTAGTGGGTACGGACGCTGCAGCCACGCAGATCGGGAATTAGGGTTTGTGTTTGTGTAACGTCTCCTTTGACCTGGCACACGAGGCTTCCGGATGCCACTTGTATAGAGCAGTAGCCGGATGCCCAGGCGCTGGTGTACAGAGGACGAAAGAAGAGTATGCCGTGCATTCGGCCACAGGTGGTCTTCATGAGCTGTAGAATTTTTCCTGAATCTGATTCGAGCCAACTAGGCGACCGAACGCCACCCGAAGCGAATGTGCTTACGCTGTCGGGCGAAAAGGTCCTTCTAGGGGTTTTTGGTCCATAGCGATCATCGGGGTCGGAGGAGGATGCTGCTTGGTGCACCGAAGGAAACCCAATGGATACTACCTGATCCTCCATTTTGGTGTTGAGGGCTGCGCTTGTGGTAATTGAGCCAATGCGCTTGCGTGCTTTCGATACGAAAGAGCCAGGTGATGTGTCTGGCCCAGTATCATCTCTCGCTCCTGAAGTTGTGCGCGCCCGCCTTCTTCGGCTGTCAATGGTATTGTCGTCGTCATTCGAGATCGAGCCTGAATAATCTCTTGACATTGACTGTCCAGTATAGGTACTCCGTACGTTGCCCTGCATTGGAGAAATAGTGTTGCTTGAGCTTGCGTCAAAGTACTCGTTCTGAGGCGACCCACTCAATTCAGGAGTAACAACCCGCACGGTACTACCGTTGGATCCTTCGAAGACAACGCCATGTCTATCTTTGGAGGAGCTTTGCTTGCTTGAGGCCCTTCTAACGGCTGGGGGCTTTCGTCTCAGTGGAGGCTCGTCCTGACGCATGTCACGAGTGGAGGCTTTCATCGTAGATGCGTTGTGGCTTCCTTTCGCACGGCTCGCATTCCTAATTGTTCAAGGCCCCTCGCATGCTCACGGACGCCACCAGGGCACGCCTCGCAATCGAAGGCTGGTTCTGCGCAGGATGAGGATCTAGATGCTCATTGGAGTGTGGCTTGTGCCAAAAGGCGGAAATGTTGAGTTGATATCAACTGCGCAGAGGGGATAGCAGAGGCTCAATGCGCATTGTGCGATATGTGAAGGCAGGAGAACCAGGGTGACAGCCGATCTGCGAGCTTCGACCTCGACAAGGTTCGATTTAGAACAGCCTTGGGACGGGGTGACACAAGGTCGAGAAGAAGCAAGAAGAGACCTAGCGCAGGAACAACGTCGTCAGGTTGGAGAGAAAGGTGTGGTCGGCTCGCGGCTCGCGGGGTTGTCTGGTTGCTGGCGGCTTCCTAAGCGGCTTGCCCAGAGGCACTAGACGGCAAGTGGCCTAGGAGCAACCTAGCGCCTATCAATCGTTGCAGGGGCCGCGCTCGGCCGCAGTCTGACGTTGGGGTCATGCACTCCAGACCATCAGATTCGTGGTACAATTGTCTGCAGTCGAACACGCACCTTTGCTAACTTCATGAGAGTGTCGCATTTGTCTATATGCAGCCACTTGGTCTCGCGCCATCAAGTCGTGTCCTTTGATGGATGGACGACTCTCTATTCTTCTCTCAGTTATGCTCTTGGGGCAACGGCACCCAGAGACCCAGGCAGCACTCGCACCCACACCCACACCTGACCCGCCCTGACCGTTCCCACATGACCACGTATCACTCCCTCTTTCGATGACTCTTATCATCCTTGTCTGATTTGACCGCTTACACGTTGCGACGTATTGTTCGACCATGGCAGCCAACATACTCTCAAGGTGGAGGTCCTCTGACAATCCGGCGGCGTCCATATACGAGACAATTCGAGAGCACGATCAGCACGAAGACTCAGACGAGTCGGACGTGGAGAGACAGGCTGGCCTGTATCGCTACGGCCAGCAGGGAGATGGCAACGCGGATCTAAATGCGGAATCCACCGAGCGACGCGTCAACAGCAACCATAGAACCTCCAAACACCGCCAGCAGGGCAAGCCCGCATCTCATGGTGCCCTGCGTCCAAAGTGGATGACAAAAGGCCAAAAGGCACACGATCCAGAGGATTTGGAGGATGATGTGCCCGCATCTCTGCTCATTGAGGGCGAGCAGCTAGGTCTTGGTCCAGGCTCAGTTGCGCTTCCTCCTCCCCCTAGCTCAGTTCCGGACACTCAGCCGTTGCCCACCGGCATCGGTGATATACAAACTGGGGACCACCGAGCGGCTGCTGCACAGAGCCAACGACCGCGCGCCTCTGCGTCGAATTTCATGGCCACAGCCGATCCACGAGCAATAGCAATGTATCGTTGGTCTAACGTTGTGAATCTGGACAATTTTCTGCTCGACCTCTACGACTACTACGACTCAAATGGCATCTATTCCATCCTACTCCGGAGACTTTATACTCTTCTCACCGGCGTATTCATCGTGGGTTTCTCGACTTTTCTCACGCAGTGCATCGACTATCATTCCGACCTCAAGCACGTCACACACCTGAAGCAAGTACTGGTCCCAAAATGTATGGCCCGAATGAGCTTCTTCCCCAAACTGCTTCTCTGGGTTTTGACGGTGATCTGGATCTGGAAGCTAGCCCAGTATCTGCTGGACATCCGAAGACTGCTACATCTTCGGGACTTCTATCTTCATCTACTCGACGTCAATGACTCAGAGATCCAATCCATCTCTTGGCAGGAGATTGTCAGTCGACTCATGGCGTTGCGAGATGCCAACCCTGCCGTTGCTCCAAACAGCTCTGCTAAATCACGACGTTACGCAACTACCCAGAATAAGCAGCGCATGGATGCTCACGACATTGCCAACAGATTGCTGCGGAAAGAAAACTACATCATCGCCATGATCAACAAAGACATACTCGACATGACGTTACCGGTACCATTTCTGCGCAACCGGCAGCTCTTCACTCGGACCCTTGAATGGAATCTCAATTGGTGTATCATGGATTTCATCTTCAACGACCGAGGCCAGCTGCGGCCGATTTTCCTCAAGGACACCCATCGCAAGGAATTATCAGAAGCACTACGCAGGCGATTCATTTTCGCTGGCACAACGAATCTTATAGCAGCCCCTTTCCTGATTATCTATTTCCTCCTTCAGAACTTCTTCACCAACTTCAATGAGTATCAGAGAAACCCCGGGGCTATTGGGTCTCGCGAGTACAATCCCTTGGCCGAGTGGAAGTTTCGCGAGTTCAATGAATTGCGACATCTCTTCAGGCGTCGAATGAACATGTCTCACCCCTTTGCATCCAGATACATCGACCAGTTCCCGAAAGATCGCACTGTGCAGACTGCTCGCTTCGTGGCTTTCATTACGGGAGCTCTGACGTCGGTTCTCGTGCTGGCAACTCTTTTGGATCAAGAAAATTTGCTCGCTATGGCCATCAGTGATGGCCGAACAACGCTTTTCTACCTGGGCCTGTTTGGAGGCATCTGGGCAGTAGCTCGAGGCATGATACCAGAGGATAATCTGGTATATGAGCCAACCTTTGCAATGCAGGAGGTCATTGACTTTACTCACTATCATCCTAGCCACTGGAAGGACCGACTGCATACGGTGGAGGTCAAACGCGAGTTCGAGCAACTGTACCAGATGAAAATCTTGATACTAGCGGAAGAGGTGCTGAGTATGGTCTTCACGCCGTTCGTTCTATGGTTCAGCCTACCGAAGTGCAGCGACCGCATTGTCGACTTTTTCCGGGAATTTACTGTTCATGTAGATGGCATCGGCTATGTCTGCTCCTTCGCCGAGTTCAAGTTCACGCGACCACTTGAGTTGGGCGCACCGCCAGCGAATCCGCCTGCAACACGGCCAGACAAGCAAGGTGAAGATGCTCGTGACGATTACTTTGCCTCGAAGGATCACAAGCTCGAGCAGAGCTATTGGGGGTTTATGAATGACTACTCGCGGAATCCGAAGGCGGACGTCAGATTTCACTACCATAGTGCTCGAAAACGAGTCCCAGTGCCTCCTCCGGTGCCAGGCTTGCCCTCCCCAATATTGCAGGGTGGTTTCGGAGGACATAGCACCAGTGCTCGAGCAAATTCGGTGTTCTCACCCCCCCGAGGTAATTCTAGCGCCTCGCAGTTTATGGGCCAGACAATGGGCACACCCCTACAGTCAATGCTCTTGGACCCTCATCATCAGCCCGCCGCAGGCTTCGCGGCGGCGGGCAATCAAAAACAAAAGGCACCGTTTATGTCGCAGCTCAAGGCTCAAAGACGGGCTGTCTCTCACCCTGCTGAAGTACGAGAAGAGGATGAAGATGTGGCTGACGTCAGCCAACCGAATGACCCAGCGTCCACAGGTCAGCTGGGTTCTTGGAAGTATGATGACGAGCAAAGCGAGACAAGTGATGAGGAGGATGAAGCTGTCCTTCAGCCAGAGGGAGTCGTCGGCCTCATTAGACGACTACAGAAAACTCAAAGTGAGGGAGATCGGGGTGCGGGTATTCGAACATGACAGCAGCTGGGATCAAACAATGAATCCTTACGGTCCCTCATAGCGAGCCGCCCGCCACCCTGCGAAAATGGCGAAGTGGTTTCAAGCTACTACTTGAAGGATTTGAGTGCTAAGTCGGTCGCAGCAGGGACAGGGACAGTCACAAGACCCTTCGCTTCTCATCAACCTCAGCTACGTCTTCTATCACATTCTGGAGCGAAGGATGATGACTATCCTATGCTCAAGTTGCTCAGAGACACCTTGCAACTCCAGTCTATCTACGTGAGACCACTTGCGGCTGCTTTATTCGTCAGTCAAGTTTCAGCACGAGCAAGGGTATCAGCAGTGCCTCGTTGCTACAAGTCATGGTCTGAACGATGTGTACACAGTAGTCGCCGCCTTTCAAGAGGTCCGTGCTTCGCAAGGGCCTCGGACTTGATATGGAACCCCGTAGCATGAGACATTCATAACACTCAATGGCAGCGAGATGAACATGGGGGCCTGTCGATCAACGGCAGGCTATTCCCGCCTGGGTCAAAGGCTGAGACGCGACTTATGGGTGGTTTAGCCCCTTCGACAGCAATAATAGCAACATTGGTCAGAAAGAGGCAAGCATCTGGTGGCGGACGTGGTCTACGCAATACAGATCTACTGTGTACGGTCCGTATTCCGTACGCGGGTCCACATCTCGGATATTGGCACAGTGGGACGTGGCAGAATGCTTCAACGGCTTCACGCGACGCGGGACTCGTAAAGAGTGGCGTTGGCCAAGCGCAGCGTTTCGGTCACACAGAGCAAGAGCATCCGCCCGGCGACTTGCATGCTTCGCATCACACCGCAGCACGTGTGTATCACACACGGCTACCCCACGTCGATGGGCCTTTTGCCTGTTCCCACGTTCGGAACGAGGGTTGCCAGTGCATTTGTTGCAGCCTCGTTAGGACGGTCAGGCAACCAAGAGTCAATCCCCCATCAGGATGCGTCCTTTCCACTCAAGCGATATCTTTTCTAACGGCCAATACGGAATAACTTGTGGAGCTCGACGAACGATTAGAACTATGAATAATGCAGGCCTTTCCTCCCGCAACAGTAATGTGCCAGCGCCGCTCCAAGATCGGCTCAGAGTGTGAGGGGCAGGTTTAAGCGCTCGCTGCAAAGTCGCTGCTGGGCAGATCTTTGGTCGATAACTCAAACCCCCTTCGCATCCTCAAACACGAGTGAGGACGAGGCTCGGCGGCCCACAGGTCAATCTCAGCCTCGCGTGTACCGCCACGCTACTAGCCTACCGATGAGCGCTAAGATTGGCATGAGCATCCTTTAAAAGCCTCCTCGAAACCATATCATCCAGTCTGGTATTTCGTATCTTGAGGCGTTCGCACGTCCAAAAGCAGTAGCAACGACGGAAGTAAAGAAACGGCGTCGCATGTGCCACAGTGACATTGAACTTCAGCACTTGCTGCACAGCTGCTTCGCAATACGGGAAACAAGAGGCTCAAAGCTCGGGTCTTGCGAACTTTCAGGCGTTCAGCTATTCTTGGACCCAGCCTGATTAGCAAGGCAGACCGCAAGGGCAGCGAAGCCACACCCAGCCGCCACGCCCATCTGGGCCAAATTAGGTATGACCAGGGCCACGGTAAGCCAGCTAAGGTTAGACCCCCAACAGGGTTCTCCTTACCCTCAGGCTGGGGTGGATCCAGATTGCATGGTTTATTGACGGCAATCTGCATGACCCATACCCCCTGAAGGAACCACAAAAGGTATGCAATCGTTAATTATTCTTTCGGTCTGCAGGTCACCATCAACACTGCAGAAACGACACACGACTCATTTAATACACAACTGCCCGCCTCCCGTCCGACGCGGGTGCCATCCTAACATTCCTCCGCCAGAGACCTTGTACCACCCCCAGCGCTTGCATTCGTGCTGCTGCCCCTCTATTGTCTCCAACCACTCTCAGTTGGGCTAATAACGATTGACACTGGTCTTACCGGTTCATTCCTGATCCTTCAAGTCTTTCACATCATGGCTAGGGAGACCACGTAAGTCTTGCACTCCAGTTTCGAGGGGAGTCGTTGTTGACATCGGCAAGAAGAGAGTCGACTCCGGCGGCTGCGATGCCCGCTTCGATGCCCGCCTTGGGAAGTGACGGTAAACCGATCAAGTTACGGGCGGCCTGCAACAGCTGCTTTTCCGCAAAGGTAGGCCGGTCTTGGTCCGTCGCTGAAGCCTTGCTGATCGTTTTCTTTAGGTCCGATGCGACGGCAACAAAGACTCATGCAAGCGCTGCATAGACAAGCATCTCAAATGTGTCTACAGCGAGTCTCGCGTGGGCAAGGTCGTTGGCAAGCGACGGAAACGGCCAATTGACGACTCGATCGGCACCGTGGACTCGGAGGCATGGGTCGTTCATCAGCAACAATCCCTCTCCAACTCGATCCCATCACCAGCAGCCACGACGTCGTCGGCAGAGTCAAGTTCTAAGCGCCATTGTAATGATAACAGTTGGACCTATTTCCTCGCGGACGAAGCACAGAGCCTTCTCGACTGCAACGAGGCGGGTGAGGCTCTCCAAAGCATCGACATGGCAGACCAGCGAAGTTACTCTGCATCAAGTGAAAGCATCTTCTGCAACAATGGCGGGCTCCAGACTCCTAGCTTAAGCCCACCAAACTTCCGCTACCTATCTCCCGCGGCGCTAGATGTACGCCCTGTATCGAGACAACACCTCGTGCCCTCAATTACCTCCAGGAGCAGGATAAGTAATCAGTCGCTTGTACCACCAGGTTCACGACAGTCATCGCCGCCGTCGGCGCCCGAAGATGAAGAGACGGTCTGCATCAAGCTCTTGGCCCACCTCAAGAAGTACTCGTCGTCATCGAGACAGACTCGCCAATTCCAGTTGGACCTACTTTCGAAGTCGAACGCATCGGTTCGACGCATTCTCCGCTCCCAGAGCGTCCGAAGGGACTACACCTGCCAGCTGCTCCTCTCCAGCATCATGACGCACTTGACAACTCTATGCGAGTATCTGTGTAGCACAGGGCTCGAAGAAGGCATGGGAGATGGCCAATCATCGCCCCGGCCAGATAGCACACGAGAATCCTTCGACATGCGGACCGGACTTGTACAGCAGCAAACTTCAAGCGAGACATCACGGCCGCTGGTGCTTGAGGCCGCGTCACTTGCAACCGAATTAGGGAATCTCCTGAAGCGGAAACCCCTCGATGGCTTTCAGGTGCAAGGGAGGCAAGAGGCGTGGATTGTTGAGCTGGAACTGAGGCTACGGACAGCTCTCACGACACTGTGATTGCCCCGTTTTAGCGATACCAATAATGAGAACAACGATAGTGAACCTCGTGTTGAAGCCCAAGCATTCCTGCGAGAACCCAGACTCTGTACTCCGTAGTGCTGACGTGAAAGAGCAAGGCCGGTGGCCGCCAAGACTTTCACTGCTGGAAGTGCTGGCTTGCTTGCGGAGGATCAGCTGAAGCCTCCGGGGCGCTTCCCCAAAGTCCCCCCATGCCGATGCTGACCCCCGCTGATCATTGCTCGCACTCTCATCTGCTTTTGGTCCTTGGGCCTGCTGTCATCATCCCTGATAAATTCAGTTGTACATTATTGTTGTTGTTGTTGTTGTTGTTGTTATTATTATTATTATTATCATCATCGCCTGACGGATTTGTGATTGCGTTGCTGCATTCATTCGTTCGCTCCATTCCCCTCCGACCTTGACGGCCTCGCAGAGCGCCATACGACGAACCAGAAGCACGTGCCCGTATCGAAGAGATTGACATTCCGTGCGTGAACTTTGGTCGCACGAAGTCGTTCTTTGATTACGCCCGGCATTTGCCATGTTCCGTATGCGACGTTTCCGCCTGTTTGTCCTAATTACAGTCATTCTGGTAGGCTCTGTATACGAGCTCTACCACCTCAACAACTGGGATGTTCCGGACTTGGAGAGTCTAGCCGGCTTGCACGGCTTCAAGAACGATGGCCCTCAAGCCCCCGTGAACCCGGACCAGGGCGTGCCTGTGCCCGTACCTCCGCCAGCACCTCCTGCCTCAGGTCCTCCACCTGCTGAACCTGCTGCGCCCGAGCAACCTCCCCCAGCAGACCCCAAAGTCGATGCCGCGCCACCAGCCGCGAAACCAGAAGAGCCAGAAACGCCGAAAATAGAATCAGCAAAGCCGGCCAAGCCCAGCAGCAGTGCGACGTCAACCTCCATCGCCTTTGCGGCACAGAAGACCATCACCGGCGAGGAGTTCCTAAAGAAGCAGCCCCAGGATTTCGAACTATCTCAGCAAGACCAGGGGCGCCTGGACGTCAAACCTTGGCCGCAAGACAAGCCCAAAGCAAGATGGCACCCGCAGAGCGAACACTTCCCTGTGCAGAAGGTGATTGGGATGCCCCCAGGCGAGGCGCGAGCCCTGCCAAAGATTCAGCACAGCTTTGGTTCGGAATCTTCAACCACCAAGAAGGATCGTCTCATGAAGCAAACTGCCGTTCGTGAAGCGTTCAAGCATGCTTGGAACGGCTACAAGACATATGCCTTACCTCATGATGAACTGAAGCCCCTCAGCAATGACACTGCAGATCCGTTCAATGGGTGGGGTGCAACCTTGGTTGACTCGCTAGACACAATGTGGATGATGGGTTTGCAGGACGAATTTGAAGAGGCTGTCGGAAACGTCACGAATATCGACTTCAAGACGTCAACGCGAAAGGACCTTCCACTCTTCGAGACGACCATTCGCTATTTGGGAGGTCTGCTTGGTGCTTACGACATTAGCCAGGCCAAGTATCCAATCTTGCTTGAGAAGGCTGTGGAACTCGCAGACGTTATAATGGGTGCCTTCGACACGCCCAACCGAATGCCCATTCCGTTCTACCAATGGGCCCCTTCCTATGCTTCGCAACCACATCGATCAAGTTCGCATATTGTCATGGCCGAGCTGGGCTCTTTAGCTGTCGAACTCACGAGACTGTCGCAGATCACGAAAGAGGAGAAGTACTACGATGCCATTGCTCGAGTGACCGATGCCCTCGAGGAGTGGCAAGACAGCACGTCTTTTCCTGGAGTTTGGCCCGTGAAGCTGGATTCATCAGGATGCAAGAAGCCCAATTTTGACTCGGATCATTCGCTCGATGGTTCAACAGCAAAGGGCAACGCTGGAGGTCTTGCTAAGCGCCAGATGGACGACGCCCCGAAACAAGAACCTAAGACCGAGAAGCAGGATAAGCCTGCAGCAGGTGAGGTGGGGATCGAGGTGGGGATCGGGGAGGAGCCGGCTGAATCCGTTTCGCATGGCGAAGACGATGAGGATACCTTCAGCATCGATTGCGTCAAGCAGGGTCTCGCACATGAGCCCAACGCCAAGACGCACGTCTACAGTATCGCCGCCATGGCCGACTCAACCTATGAGTACTTCCCCAAAATGCACGCGCTGCTCGGCGGCCGTACTCCGCAGTATCGCAACATGTACCTCAACTCCATGGACACGATCCGCAAGCACTTCCTCTTTCGTCCAATGATCAAGGATGAGAAGCGCGACGTTCGCTTTCTCGCCAAGCAGAAGATCCGGCCAAACCCCAGAGGCAATGAGAAGAAGAGGGAGACTGACTACGAGGGAACGCACCTTGGGTGCTTCGTTGGCGGAATGTTTGCACTGGGGAGCAAAGTCTTTGACACTCCGTCCGATATGGAAATGGCTGAGAAGCTCACTGACGGATGCGTGTGGGCCTATGAGTCCACGCCGCTAGGCATTATGGCGGAAGAATTTCTACTTACACCCTGCGCGGACGATAAAGATTGCCCTTGGGACGAGAAGCGCTGGCACGAGCACCTGGATCCTAACAAGCAAGAGCGTTTTGAAGCGGTGGAGCGGTACAACGCACAACAGAAGGCTTTGACAGAGGGTACAACGCCTTCCAGCGAAGAGAGACTCGACCCTGCGAGCAAGTCGAAGAGACAAGACATGGGTGGCTCGATCTCAAACCCCGCCCCCAGCAGGACATTGAACGTGGAGGATGAGCATCATGAAGATGCAGGCTATGGACACGCACATGCTGCGGACTCGGGGGCGTATTTCATTCCTAAGGTCGCGCTTTCGCATGAGAAATACGTTGCCGCTCGAATCAGCGAGGAGAGACTTCCCCCATCGTACACGAAGATCAAGAGCCGTGCATACAAGCTACGGCCCGAAGCGATCGAGTCAGTCTTCATCATGTACAGATTGACAGGCGACCAGAAATGGCGTGACAAGGGATGGGCGATGTTCCAGGCCGTCGAACCTGCGGCGAGAACTGGTGCCGGGCACGCCACGGTCAGGGATGTCACTAGTCAGTTGGGCGAGGTGGAGGATACTATGGAAAGCTTCTGGCTGGCAGAAACGCTCAAGTATTTTTGGCTGCTGTTTGCGGAAGAAGACGTGCTGAGTCTGGATGAGTGGGTTTTGAATACAGAGGCGCATGGCATGCGGATACCCAAGGCTGGTCAGATGGGTTGAGCGGCCCATGTGAACGGATTCGGACACTGGATCTGCCATCGGGAAACGCCCTACAGAAGAGAGGCGTTTTGGCAGCAAAAGTATTGCATGGGTGGTGTACAACTGTGTATACCTATCTACATCAGGAAGTCCAGGTCAGGCATGAAAGCCCACGACTGGCTACGGATTCATGATTACACATGAACCAAAATACTACAGAGCAATCAAAGACGTTCCATTCTCTGAAGCAGTGGTCGTGGCCAACCTCCATACAGATCGGTATTTAACTGATGACCGATACGATACCCAATGCGGCATGAATAGCCAGCCCCACCGCTTCTATTCTCTCGTGGTACGTGCAACTCCGCCTTGCATTCGATACAACCACTCTCCCCAGCCGCAAAAAGCCTCAACATTGCCGCACCGTCAGATTAGAGGAATCGCAGTACCAACCACCCTCCGCGGAAGTGCTGCAAGGCTTACCGATTGAGACCTGGACGTTGGACCACAGGTACGATTTCGCTCCCAGCCCGTTGGTTCAGTACACCGTCCTTCCAGGGCATTCTCTACGTAGCAGTGGACACCCACGCGTCAGCCACAAGCGAGGACTCCTCACCTCGTAACCTGATCGTGAACACGAGAGGTGTAACTACGAGTGCGTTGTCATCATCCTTACAGCACGAAAAGCTTCTCCTCGGATCTTCTCTCTCGTGCTTCCCACCCGCCTGCCTTCGCGAATTGGTGAGTCACGCAGCCCCACAATCACCACCAACGGCCGCTTCGCCGCCGCCACCGCCACCCAGCACTCCTGGCCCATCCCTCAGCAATGCCATCCCATCCGGCCCCCACGTCTCGTCCTCAGCCCCAGCAACAGCAACCACAGCAGCAACCATACCGCTACATCCGCGTCCCCAAATCCGACCCGCCCGCGCTGCAGCGCGCCGCCAGGAGCTACCGCGCCCTCCGTCTCTCGGCGCTACAGCGCTCGCCCGCCTCCTTCTCGTCCACGTACGCCGACGAAGCCTCGTGGCCGGAGAGTCACTGGCTCGCGCGGCTGGGCCGAGAGGGGTTTGAGACTTTTGCTGCTGTTGTCGCGAGCAGCTCTGCTGCTGCTGCTGCTGCTGCTGCTGAGAGTGGGGACCCTGGGCAGGAAGGAGGGAGGGGCGAGGAGGAGTGGCTCGCGCAAGTCACGCTGAGGGGGCCGATACCGTATAAGAACGCGGGGTGGGAATTGCCGGAGGAGAGTGGGCAGGTGGCGCAGAGGAGCGAGGAGTGGGAGGGGGAGGAGCGGTGGGTCATGACGGGGTTGTTTGTGGATGAGGGTGCGAGGGGAAGGGGGGTTGCGGCGGGGTTGGTCGGGGAGGCGGTTCGTTGGGTTGAGGAGGAGAGGGTGGAGGAGGTGGGAGGGGAGGCGGAGGAGAGGGAGAGGGTCTTCAGGTTCAGGGTGATGATTGCGCCGGATAATGATGCGAGTCTGGCGTTGTTTAGAAAATTGGGCTTTGAGGTTTGGGGGAATTGTACTATGAAGGAGGGGGCGGAAGGGAACGGGGAGCCGTTGCCTGCGGGGTGGGAGGCGATGGGCGCGATGTGGACTACGAGGCGGGGCTGGATTTTGGGGAGGGTCGACGTTGTGAAGGCTTGATGTTAGAAGTGACGCGCCTTCAACAGCCGCACGGGTGGAGAGTAGAGAGCTGAGCCGCGTGGGTGACTCGATATATTTGATTCCGATGTTGGCTGCGACATGGCCTGCCGGTTGATATCTAGGAAGGTGCTCGGTCTGGGTAAATGACATTCCAGCACGATCCGGGACCTTTGTTTCGAGCAGCTGGATGTCCAGTCTATGGAGCATCAGGTCCCTTGAACACGGCAAGGCCTTGCGTCGGGGTCAGGAGCTCGATTTGGCCTGTATAGCGGATCAGCATGCCGTCTTGCCTGGTGGAATCGATGCCTCCAGCTACTCACGCTCTTTGAGGAACATCGGTTCGGTGGCCTCAAGGTAGGGCTTGTAGTACGGCTTGGTAAGCTGATTCTGTTGGGTTTATCAGAGGTCGATTAACTGCTAACATGAGGGAAGGCCGTTATACCTGCATCAACCATTGCACGTCTTCGGTCCAGCCCTCGGTCCAGGATAAAGTTCCTGGATTCTGTGGGTCCTCGCTGACGACAAAGTAGCGGCATTGAGGTTCGGCCATTACTGCTTCGAAAGCGGGTCGGAAATGCCTGTAGAACTCCTCGACCCTTTCTGGGGCGATGAATATCTTCACATTGAGAATAGTTTTGACTCCTTCAATGGGAATTGAGGATGCCATATTTGGTATATCTGGATCGGAAAATTGCTGAATACGTGGGTCGGGAAGACACGTAGCTAGAGCAAGTCAGTGCCGACTTTATATGTGTACTGTTACTTAAGATCAGGGTAAGCAGAGGGCAAAATGATGCAAAGACCACTAAGCGCAGGGTTGCTAGGTGGTCGCTGTAGATAGTAGGCGTCCTTCATTCCTAGCCCCAGCGGATAGTCGAGGTCGTAGGTCGAGGAAAGCCCTCCAGGAGCACACCTCCTATTGCCGTGCTTACAAATGGCCTCACCTGTTTCTGAACAGCTTCAGCTCATTCTTCTTACGGAGTCGAAGTGTGGCGGATACTCTCGGCGCTTGAAAGTCCGCGTAACATCACAACTTATCGTTCGTGCGTGCAGAGGTCGCCGTCGGCCACTACGTCCAATTAGGGTAGCTCGTATAGGTAGTGGAGAGCAACCAAGAGGCTTGTGCGGAAGCCTCAACACGCTCGTCAGCTGTTCGAGGCTAGCGTTGCCATACGAGATGCACATTTCTCTGCTCTTGGTGCTCAGAAGGCTCGGGTGAGTATTGCGTGGGATCGAATATGACAAATGGGCTGCTCGGTCTTAAGCATTGATCTGTGCCAGCCCGATCAGCAGCCACATTGAAACCCATTACCCTGGAGCTTCGGTTGCTGGGGACGTAGTCCAAAATGCGATCGCAGGCCTCTGTCTGCAGCAATGTTGTATGTTAAGCTAGCTGGGCAATATTGATGAGCTGCCAACGAGTCCGACTATAGCGGAGGTTGGTGGTAGGATCCCAACCATCAGTGATGGATGAAGATGCCTGATAGTTGCCGAACGACGTCACTCCTTGGCAATGATTCGGGTGACGCCTAATTCGTTTGGGCGGCAGCGCAGTCGCTCAAAGCCCTCTGTCGGCAAGAGACGCCCATGATGAGGAGAATTGCCAAAAGTGCAGGCTCGATAGCCTCCAAAGCCAGACCGAGTCCAGTGCGAGTGTTTGATCGGATTGCAAGAGTTGGAACGGCTCGTCGCTACTGCCAACGGTAGCACCGCCCGCAATTCGTGTTCTAACGGCGTGCCAACCACCACTGCTCACTGCTCACTACTGCTGCCGTTACCGTTGTCGCCCTGAGCATCAAAGTATCTGCCGACGCTGCATGACTTTTCATTCTCGGCACTATGGCGGGCGTACGGGTAGGTTTCGGTCAGCCGCAGGCACCGAAGAGTGTTGAGCAGATCACCAAAGCGGCCCAGACTTATGAATATGACGCCGCCATACCCATGCGATACTGGTTGCGTACGGCGGCCGCACTTGTTAAAGAGGTAGGTGCTCGTACTCTGTCGCCAACCAGGCTCCCGGCTCTTACTGACCTTGTAGGCGGAAATCTACCAAAGCGAAGGGGACGACGAAACAACATATTTTCTACTTTTCAGACATGCCCACCTAGTCCTCGCGAACCTTGCCCAGCATCCAGGCGTTCGCGATGAACGTTTTCGAGCGGCGTGGAAAGAGGCGAACGATACAGTGCAGAAAGAACTGAAGTTGCTCGATCATATGCGCCCGAGGATCAATGAACGATACGAAAGATTTAGCAAGATCATGCGCGAGAGAGAGGCTCGGCTCAAGACACAGCAACAATCCTCAAGCGACGCCGCCGTCAGCTATGAGGAGAACCATTTTGACCGGCAAAAAGCACGTCAAGTCAATGCACACGAGCACAAAGACTTTGCTGCTCGACTTGCGCATCGCGAACACTCACGACGCGCAGCCGCTGCGAGTCAAGCACCCACATCATCGGCACCTCCAGAAGGCGACGACCTGCAACGACGACTCCAAGCAATTAGAGCGCGAGTTGAGGATCGAGAGGCCGTCACTGCTGTCGCGCGTCCGCCGCATGTTAACCGTGCAGATTCTGGGTACCATTACCCATCAATCCCCTCGAATCGTGTCAAACCTCCTTCTGGCGCGTTCGACGAGTCGTCCTTGACGGCAAACCATGCTCAGACATCCATCTCTCCGCCAGCGCTTCCTCCCAAACCTGATTACACGAGGGTGCAAACATCGGCACCACCAGTGCGGCCAGATAAGATACCACAGGCAGGACTGGCGCCCCCTCCCAGACCCGACACACCTGCAGATGACCGAATGTTTGCAGCCACGGCTCAGCTTGAGAACGGTACGGCATTGCGGACGATATTCCTACCTTCGACGCTGCGAACCACTTTCCTCCGTCTCGCGTACAAGAATACACAAGCGAACCTGGAGACATGCGGTTTTCTAGCTGGGACGTTGATGAAAAATGCATTTTTCGTCAGCAAACTGGTGGTTCCGTCACAAACTGCGACCTCGGACACATGCGAGATGACCAACGAGTCAGAGCTGTTTGACTATGTGGATGCATCAGATCTCATGATACTGGGATGGATTCACACACATCCGAGCCAAACGTGCTTCATGAGTAGTAGGGATCTTCACACGCACGCGGGATATCAGATGATGCTTGCCGAGAGCGTGGCGGTGGTTTGTGCACCCAGCAAAGGCGACACGTTGCACGGGGGCGATTACGGGGTTTTCAGATTGACGGATCCGCCCGGGAAGAAGGTGATTCTCAATTGTCAGAAGCCGGGGGTATTTCACCCGCACGAAGTAGACAATGTCTATACCGATGCGCTGAGGCCTGGCCATGTTGTTGAAGTACAAGACATGCCGTTCGATGTGGTGGACTTGCGATGACGCCGATTGGCCAAAGAAAGGCTGTGCACCACGGCGAGATTGTTGGGGAATGGTGGCTTCAAATATAGAAATCGTGGCGTTGGAGCACGCTGTGGTGGCTTGACCGCTATGAAGTATGAACCAGGCCGGATGCTTAAGCATGCCCAGTGGAATCGCATATTCCGGACGGAGGCGAGAGTCGCCAGAGATTCATACGGCAGGCCAGGCATCCGTGCCAATTATCACTGTTGCGGATGCCGCGGGAATTAAAAACTCATGTCTCGCCGAGCTTGCCTCGCCGCCAAATTGGAAGTAGAGTGACCCGAAAACTCGCACGTATCGATAGGTACTCGGTAGTAGTGCTCACGAAGCTCTAGGCAAGGATCCGAGCGAAAGGCAGTCACGGCAGACGCGTCCGCGCATGGAGTTGGTGGCGGCGGAAAGGTGCGGGCGAGACGCGCGTGTGGCTTCAACCGGGCGTCGCAGAACGCGAACGCAGCCAAGCAACGGGAAAACAGGCTGACAGCAACTGCTCTCGTTGTCACACCTGTTCGGTAGCCAAGAGCCATCAGCGGTTTCACTGAACGCGCCGCCGGTCTTGAGCACACAAGATCCCCTGCGGGCCACCGTGCAGCAACACGAATCAGGACGACTAATGCAGGTACACGATGAAGCTCCATTGTAGATCCCACCTCGAGAAAAGATGCAAAGTTGACGACGCCGTCTGGACCACGGGTTCGACGTCTGCTTCTTCCATCGAGATCTCAGATGTCATACTCTATCATGGGTTCACCCTGCACATGGCTTGCCCCGGCACAGAGTTGAAAGGACGAGATTGCTGCCGCCAAAGGCTTTGATATGCTGGATTGGATTGTCTCGGGGGGTTCAGTGGGCGGCCGATACTCCTTGCTGAAAGCGGCCTAGCCAGGTACCGGGTGGAGTAGGCAGGAGATTACATCGACACACATGGGGTCTAGCATTGCGTCCTAGCGCTGTTTCCTCCCTGCGCGCCGCGCACTCTGCACCTCTGCACCTCTGCACCTTGCTTGCTGGCTACTGCACAGCCCGCTGCGAGCCTGTCCAGTTGTCAATGGGCCCTCGATCCACTCTCTGATTGCCCTGGAGTTGCCTTTCTCCTCCTTCTCCTCTGCTCCTTCCTTCTTGCAGGTCGTTGCATTCCTTCCTTTCATCGACGTTATTGTCCACACTCCCTTTGTCCTTCGACCTCGCCACCATCGCCTTTAACCTGACCGACTTCTCGATCTCATTGCGGTCGATTTGGTGGTCAATTGGTCTCTGTTTGCTTTTCATACACTCACTTGTCGCGCGTCTAACCCTCTTCGCCTAAGGGGGTCCTCTTGAAACACCAACATTCCCCAGCTTCACACACCCTCGATACTCGACGGCGACAGTTTCGTCCTTGCCAGTCTGCTCGACAACCTTTTCCAGACCGACCGTTCGATTTTCGGGCAGTGCAGGCGCTGCTCTATCGCGCCTGTCTTTCGAGAATCAATACACCGTCCTCGTGTTGCACCAATTTACAATACCTGGCACACATCTCGATCAACCCCCGTCTGCTTGTAACCATCACAAACAACACAGTCACAACGACATGACACGGATCTTGTCAGCAGCCTTCGCGGCTTCACTCCTTCTCTTTACCTCCAGAGTCGCCGCCCAGGCCAGTCCAACAACCGCCCAGGTAGCAGGTGCTGTTCAGACCCTCGACTGCTACGATACTCTGGGCTCCATCCCCGACGATTCGACCGACGACACTTTCCAGAGCGATGGTAAATGTCAAGTAACATGTTCCGCCAAAGGCGCCAAAGTTATGGTCACATCCGCCGGCACCAGTTGCTATTGCGGTGATACCCTCCCTCCAAACAGCAAGAAGGTCGACAGTGACAAGTGCAATACCCCCTGTGGAGGCTTTGGCGAAAAAACATGTGGTGGAATCGGCTACTACCAGTTCTATCTGACTGGCTTGGGTGCTCCCAAGGTCGACCCCGATTCCGCTAGCACTACTTCTGCAGGACCATCATCGACCTCATCTTCAGCCACCAGCGCTGCGAATACAGTTGTTGTCACCGAGGATCCTACCCCATCATCTGAGAGCTCAGGTGGTGGTGGGAGCTCCAAGGTGGGCATCGCTGTTGGCGTGGTGGTCGGGATCGTGGCTTTGGCATCGATTGCTGGTGTCGGCGTTTTTATCTTCAAGCGCAGAAGGAGGCAACAACTTGAGGAGGGACACCGCCGTAGCGCTGCCATCAACGGCTTCGTTAACGGTTCCAAGTCCGAGACCAGCTCAGCCAACGACTCGAGACTGGATCCTTCCATCTATTCGCACCGCCGTGAGAGCATCGGCAGCATTGCAGACGAGCGAGATTTCTCAAGGCGGATATTACAGGTATGTCGTCCGCTCTATCTTGGTGAATACGTGACTGATCAGCGAACAGGTCCGGAATCCCGACCGAGAGAGCAGGGCATCACACGTATAGCTCAACTGACCAAACAACGACTCGACATCACACGAGCCGTGAGTGATGACATTGACGCCGACATGCCCTCTCACCAGTCGATCGCAACGACACTTACCCTCCACCTTACATCAGTGTTCCCAGATACTCTTGTCATGGAGGACCCGTGCCGTCGCTCGGGCACCATTTGCCTTCCGCAACATCTGCTCCTTGCTTAAGTAGACCGCACCATCCCACGACGATCCACGAAGCTCTCTGCCTTCTTATCACCGTTATTTTATCAACATTCCTTACAATTTATTGTCACTCCTTTGACGCTTTTCGGAAAGCATAGCAGCGGCGTTGGGAGGCTGCCCGTTGGCGAGTATCAGACTTGGCTGTAGCTCACCTTGGGTTTTGGTCGGAGAGGAAGAGAGAGAACGCCCGAGGACGAGAGTAGAGCGAGTATGATCCACTCATTCGAGTGGTTGGATATCTCGCTGAGTTTGGGGTTCGGCACGGCTACTAGACTCTTGCGTCTGGTAAAAGCTGTTGCAGACGTGGTCGAAGGAATGATGGACCAGGTAAATACGAAGATGTACCACTATCGAGCACAAAAGAACTCCTTTGATGAAGCCGTCGTCCCTACTTTTGTCGAGACCCGCTCTAGTCCTCACGTGCGTAGAACACTCTCCTGGTACCACATCCAAACCAGTATCTCCTCGTCATCACTCTCGTCATCATCCACCCTCACGCGACAATTGTAGACACACCAAAATATGGAGGGAAGAAGTGGGCAGGGGGGAGCTTTCGTAGTCCCGAAAACGACAGTACTGTAGATCCCGCCACAAGCCACGAGCCCATAGGATTGAGGCACAAACAGCCTGCACGACCGATGCATGTCCTCGGCATCCAGCTTGGCTCCCAAGGCCCCCCGTGCGTCTAACAGAATACACATGTCTGGCCCCTCCACTGCGTGCAAGCTGGCTCCTCACCGGCCACTCTGGGGTTGGATGCCAACAGCCTTCAATATATCTTCTGTCCGCCATCCTGGTCCACCTGGCACGACCTCCCGCCACGTCTCTTCCGGCACCCGTTCTCCGACGGGCAGGACGCTCCAGTTCGGACTTGGCTCCGACTTGAGCCATTTGAAGTCGTCGATCTGGTCCCACAGGTTGGCGGAATCCGCTAGACCCGACTGTCCTGCTGCCGTGAGGTCGAAGTAGGTTTGCGGCAACTGCGCGAATCTCATGCCCTTGCAGTCCTCGATGATCGGCCGTGACGTGCAGTGGAGGTACACGTTCACACCCGCGCACTCGTGCATCCGGAGTTGTCGGCACACAATGACGAGCGTGCAGTTGCGCAGGCCGGTGACGTGTGCGGGGCCGTTGACCGTGCCGCAGCAGAGGAGTGAGGACGTGGCATTGTTGATTGTTAGGGAGGCGAAGGAAGCGGAACGAGATGTGCTAAGATCGAGGATGCAGGAGGTGAGGCGAGAGATGGTGCATGGAGTGGGTGCGGCGATGGACGAGGACGGGAGCAAGATATGCGCATGGGACTGCGAGGAGATGGTTGTAGAAGTTGCGGTGGTCGACAATGCAGGTCTCGAGGGTTGTTCTTCGGGGGTTGCGGGGACGGAGGTGGCTTGCTGGAGGGAGGATGGGTGTGGTGCGTCTGGCACGGGGCGATTGGAGGATGTCGACTTCTCGTCCGGCGGCGTTTGCAGATACGCTGGAGTGCCGGACTGGGAAGTCCCGGGGGTGTTGCCATTGGGTGAGAGATAGCCAGGAACGCCGCGTCGTTTCTGGGCGGCTAGCTCGGCGGCATCGGATAGAGAAATGGCGGACGGGGACTTGCGTGCAGATTTGAAGGAGAACTTCTGCTTGGGCGCAAAGGCTGCCCTTGTTTCCTGCAATTTATCCTGCAAGGCCTTAACGGCCTCGGCGTATGTACGCTGGTCGTAAGAGGGAAGATAGGTGCTGGCGTCCTTTACTTCGGACGACAGGCGCGAGATACCTGCGAGGCAGTGATCCGCGGCATCTGCTCGCTCACCGGCAATGAGAGGACGATCGCCTATACGGTCCATCTGGTCCTGAAGAGCCGTCACCTCTTGTTGGAAGTAGCGGAAGAACTTCTGCTGGAGCGTGGGTTCGCCGGACGATGGCTGAGGCTGGGAGTCCTCGGGAGTCGTCATTTTGTCGTGCTCAAGCTGTTGGTTTATGAAGAAAGGCCAGGAAGAGATGACGGAAACGTGTTTATCTACAACTATACATAGTGGGATTTGTTTTGCAAGAAGGAATCAATCAATAGCTGTGTTTGGATCTGGATCGCGTGCCCATGACGAACGAGGAAGCAATACGAGGCGGGGGAGGAGCGGAGTTGGGGTTGAACCCTGATGAGGCTCCGAGTCAGCCTTGCCATCGACAACTTTTGTATGTGAGCCAACGCCGCAGTTCTTCGTTTTCACACCTGCACGAATGCACTCAGCATTGCCGCATGAGACCTCGCATCAGTCTGGGCGAGGCGGCTAGCGTCGCCACCGAGCTGAGGAGTTGGTACCTCACCTCCGCTCGAAATAATCCACGCACGCAGATTGTGAATCCACGCCTCTGCCAGGACATCCTACAACGACTGGCTCCTTCACTCGAACGCCACAAAGGGTGCACTCTACTTGACATCAACCCAGGTGTATGCCAATGGTCGGAACATCTTCATGACATTGTTCAGCCGCGCCGCCACATTCTTGCAGAGCCGAAACGAGAGACATTCGCGCCCTTCATCAATCCCCTGCTCGAGAAAGTCGGGAGTCGGTACGAATGGACGGACAAGGGCTTAGGCTCTATTATCCACGACACAAAGTTTTTCGAGGAAGAGAACCTTGACCAGAAAGATCAGTTGACCACATCAAACCCCAATATCCTGGTAACGATCAATCTCTCAGACAATGTCCTCAATCCTAAAGGAGGCCTCACTGTCCGGGCGCACACGTACTTCATCAACAACCTTTACGCGTCGTTGTTCACCTTGCGCAACGATCTCTTCAGACATGGTCTTTTCAGAGTTCTAGCATGGCTGCCAGATGAGGACAAACACTTGTTCGTGCCGCGCACAGTAGAACAGCGGAGCAAGCAATCGCTACAGCTGGATACCACGTGCTCCGTCACAGAGGTCGCTAGTCTTTCCTCGACTGCCGAAGATGAGAATCCCAGACATCAGAGGATATATGACCTCTCAATAGAGGATTTGCGAACTGTGCGAAAGAAAGACAGAGCAGCGGGTATTTTTGTGCCTTCACATCACCCTGATACTGATCCTTTACCACCAGCGGTACATCTGCATCCCTCTGTTGAGTCTTACAAAAGTATAGACCATCTCGAACGACATGCGTATCAGGATGAGCTGATGTCGCTGGATGATCAGGTGAAGAGGGAATTCCCAGAGGTCTACGAAGCCTATGCTCCTGGCTGGCTATCCGTCGACAAGAGGATCCCTCGCTCACACAGCAATGAGCCCTTGATCAAACAATGGAAGTTGTTGTACGTCCGCGCTCGGACTCTTCACAAGACGTACTTGCTGAAAACGAGCATTGCCAAGGAACAACGTGACATCGAGGCGCAGTGGCGAGCTGCACAAGAGGGAGGGGACGAGGAGGCGCTAAAAGGCCTCAAGCATCGCGCTGAGAAGAACCTAGCGGCTGTGAAGAAGCAGAAGGCCACTAATCAGCAGTGGGTTCGCAAAGCAATTGACGATTACCGCGCATACGATATGCAGGCCTTCTCATGGTACCGCCGTCCATACAACCCACTTGTGACGAGTACGTCGCATTTTGCCAGATCCAAAGGCGATTTCGCAAAGCAGAAAGCGCTTGCTCTTGTGGACATAGAACCAGACCCCAACTTCCGGAAGACGTTTGACACGGATACTAGATGGCGCATCTTTGACTACGTGATCACGCGTCTGTCGGTCGCTTGGACAAGAGACGTATACACCGCTCTGCAGCATATCATTCCGGCTGGAGTCGACGAGTTCATCGAGATGGTGCCGAGCCTCAAGGACCCGAGACGAGGGGGCTGGCATGATCTCCGGGAGCTTAGAATGCGATCGCTCCCGGCTGAGATCTGGGTCGATATCGCATTGGCATACCATGAGTGGCCTTTCCGACTTACTGAGAAGGAACTTTGGAATGAGCATGATAAGGTCAGGTCTCTGTCAGACCCTGTCTTGCTAAAATGAGGGCCATGCCATGATTGAAGCTGGTCCCGTGTATGACCATTGCGCTTGGTTGCTGCTGTAACAACGTCCCCGAAGCGCCTCTTAGAGTGTTCCTATACGATCTCACTTCTTTGTACACTTAATGACATTTACACTATCATTTCTTAGCTCCGGCAGACATCTACACGTTCGCCATATCCATGGGATTCGACCTCCACCCACTACCGCAAATGTGACCTTCCCCAACGCCCTTCCTTCTACATCTTCGATTCTCCCCACACACTGCCCACGCAATCATCGTACTCGCATCGAGATTGTCAAAGGGCCCCTCCGCGTGGGCACTTGCACGTATAAATAGCCTACACGAAACAACAAGGCACCAGAGCCTTCGCCACACATTCCACTTAAGATATACACTCCCTCTAAGCAAACGTCCGGAATAGGCAGAGTGTCAGCACGACGGGCCATCCTCGCCAGCAACCCTTGAAATCACATGCCCGCATCCGCAGGACCTCGCAGCCAATCCAAGCCCACCGCCCGACAACACACTCATGACAACCTCATCCCCCAACACCCGACCCCTCCCCGCCTCCACCACGCCCACCGTCCTCCTCATAGTCGACGTCCAAATCGGCCTCAACGTCCACGACACCACCTACTACGGCCTTACGCGCTCCAACCCGGCCTTCGAAGCCAACATGACCACCCTCCTCGCCGCGTGCCGGAACTACAACGCCAACCTTCCCTCTTCCTCCCCCCCACGGCACCCCATCACCATCCTGCACATAAACCACCACAGCACCGACCCCCTCTCCCCCCTGCACCCCAGCAAGCCCACCTCCTCCCCACAACCCTGCGCGCTCCCCCTCCCCACCGAACCCCTGCTGCACAAGTCCGCCAACTCGGCTTTCGTGGGCACCGACCTCGCCTCGTTGTTAGCGTCGCACTCCTGCCGACAGCTCCTCGTGGCGGGCATCGCGACCGACCACTGCGTCTCCACGACGGTGCGCATGGCGGCGGATCTGGAGGTCTGCGGCGGCCGCCGGGAGGGGGTGTGGTTGGTGGAGGACGCGACGGCGTGTTTTGATAACGGGGGCTCGTTTGGGGTTGAGGTCGTGCAGGGGGTGAGTGTGGAGAGTTTGAGGGGGGAGTTTTGCGAGGTTACGGGCGTGAAGGGGGTTGTGGAGGGGTGTTTGCGGTAGAGTTAGTGGAAGGGAGGCGGGTATGGGAATGGTAATGAAGGGAGGGGAGAGGGGATGGCGAGTTGAGCAATGACCGTGAGGCGGATGTGATGGGGCTGGTGTGTCCAAGCAGGGATGAATGCTTGCGAGGAAAGCCCACGCCGGAATGGATGACACTGGCCTTCTAGAAAGCCCGAGCCATTGATCTCACGATGAGGGGCGAAGAGGGGCGAAGCCTGTCCTATCCATATTTCTGTGGCTGGTGGCTGGCCACCTTTAGAAGCTGGATGGCAAGCGACACCGAGACTTGTTCGAAGAGAACATTGAGAGTTAAGCGATTATTGCCTGAGGAGACATGAAGGAATAGAGAAGCTGCAGCAGCAGCGTGGGAATAATGATAAACAAACTCAAACAATGTTGAACAAGGTACATGTATACGAGTACCATCATCGTCATCACCGACCAAGGTATTGCAATCCTTGCGGCAAAAGTCTCTTCTATAATCAATCCACCAAGCAAGCGCCGTCGACACCACTTCATCAGCCTCATGTGTGTGGGTGTATGTGTGTGTCTGTTGTACACGTTGGTCGGGTGCTGGTACATCCTGAATTGAAAGACATGAAACTTCAACTCATCTCAACTCAAACTCAAACTCAATGGTCCGCCCTGTGTCTGTGAACGAAACGAAGGGTAAGTTTGCGCGCACACAATGTCTATCTGGTATCATCGTCATCGTCATCATCATCATCGTCAACAACAACATCGTCAAGCATCTCATGAAACCCTCGTTCGTCGTCCCGAAATACTATTCCTCAGAGCAACTGCTTGCTTGCTTGTTGCCCTCAGATGAGGTTTCGCACCGCGCACCACCTCGCTTTGCTGACGATGACGTTGCCCTGTAGCTGCAGCGACTGCGCGGTCAGCAGGATCTCGGGATATTGCTCGACGACGTAGTGCAGACTGTCCGGAGGCGTCTCGTTGTACGCCAGTTGGAGGCACTCGGTGGCATAGTCTGCCTGTGGTCCCCAGCGCTTGATGGCCGCGACGAGTTCCCGCGAGAACCAATAGCGGCACTTGGTGCGGTCGCCCATGTCGCTTGCCATGCGGGCCAGGTGTTGGTAGGTGTAGACGCTGATCTCATCGGGGACCCAGTTCTCGGCGTATTCCTGTTTGCCAGGCGCGGAGTCGAGGATGCGCATAAAGACGGCCTCGGCCTCGTCCCAGCGCTGCTGTTGCATATATAGGTGACCAAGGCGGCGGAGGCAGCGGCGGGTCTCTTTGTGATCCTCGCCGTTCTCAGTCTCGCTGTCGTGGATGGCGGAGAGGAGAAGTTCCTCGCCAACTTGGAATTGCTGTTCGCGACGAAGGATGACTGAGAGGGAGCGCTTGACGAGGAGGACGTCTGGGTGGGCTGCTCGGGTAGTCTTCTCGAAAGTGCGGATCATGGTCCGCAAGGCGAACTCGGAGGCTGCAACGAGAGTGTCCCCGTAGGCCACGTTTTGGAGGATGATGGTAATCGGGTGGTTGTCACCGAGCACGACCTGGGCCATCAGGGCGAGGTATTCCAGCAGCTTGTGGCGGAACGACTCAAATTTCTCCCATCGGGAGCTTCCGAACGCCATGACCAAGTTTCGGATGAATAGTTTGGAAGGCTGCGAGAGTAGGAGGTGGGCCAGTCGGCATCCAAGTTCGAAGCTAGTGACGGCGAGGTCAGCATGACCGTCCTCTAGCATTGCTAAGCCAAAATCGAACTCAGCCCAAGTGCATCGTTCGCATTGCTTGGGGCTTGACTTGTGAGAACAGTGGTTAGAGATACCTGAAGTGATCCGTTTTGCCTGGTCAGCAGCATCTGGAATGCAAGGCAAGTGAGTATTGGCATCGGGTGACATCCACGAGTCGGAGAATTGCTCGACATAATACAAGACTTTCTCAACCGATCCTCGTCGTGGTACTGCCGGTTGCCCATATGGTGAAGATAATTGTGGCGGTTGGCTGGTCTGGGGGACCTGGTTGTATTGTTCGAGGTTGGCGAGGAAGGTCTGGATGCAGTGCCTGTGCGCGCAGACGGCAGCTTGTGAGCAAGTGCCTCCTTGGATGCAGCCCCAGTTGCCAGTGTACTGCTCAGCCTCGTCTGGAAAAGGGTTCGAGAATGAGGAAGAAGCATATGACGTGGCGGAGGAAACTCGACTCATGGCGGTACTGGCCACGTCGGTGGTGGGAGAAGCTGAAAGTTGTACGGGTGCGGATGTGAAGCTGGTGGAAGAGTTATGCTGCCGCCTCCGTGCAGCTGCGGCGTATTTAAAGACGTTCCACTCAGTGAAGCGTTGCTTGAACATGCGCGGCCTAGCGACTGTTAGCTGTGCAATTGAGGCGAGGAAAGAGGCGGACGTACGTGGCCTTGAACTGGTACCACATCTCCATATGGTGAACGAGCTCCTTGACGGTGAGGTTCAAACCAACGTACTGCTCCAGTATGACGGGTTTGAACCGCTCCCAGTCCTCCCGAGACGGAGGATCAAGTGGTGGGTAAAGGTTGAGCGATTGAATGTCCATATCCTTGACGGCAGAGGTGTCGAAGGGGCTGGGTGCGGCAGAGAAAGGCGAGGACACGAAGTCAAGGTCCATGTTGCCTGTTTGATAGTTCATGTCCATGATGAAAATGGCCGACGATAACAAGGCTGAATCGTCGAGGAGAGGAAAAAGGCTGAGTGAGTGCGCTGTGTCTCTGGGATGGCTGTGCAGCTGCAGCAGGAGAATCCTCAGGGCATTGTGATGATAAAAGGGCAACAGATGATTGTTGAAGGTAGAGAGGAAAGTGTGTGGTGAAGGAGACTTGTTTAAAAGGCTGGTTGGTAGGACTGGAAACAGGCTGGACACTGGCGCGGTTGCCCTATTTCAGAGGGAGTTGATAGTGGACACGGTCCAGTCAGAAAGCACTAGGACAAGAACAGACCAGCAGGCATCATCAGACGACCATCTGCCAGAAAGGGTCAGGGTCTAGGAGGGATAAAGATATGATGTCGGCATGCGGTGTGCGACATCGGGCTTGACAAGACAGACAACAGACATGGGTTTGAGGTAGGCGGGTAGGAGGATTCGGGTGGGTATGGTTTGAGGAAGTCCCTCTAGGTGCGTGGGGTGTGCGGATGGAAGCAGCACAACAAGGCCAGTCAGGCAGCGGAACGAGGACATGATGCCGGAGGCGAAGCATCGGGGGAGCAGGATGCGAGATGGTTGGCGCCGATGGTGGGTTGACTGGGTTGACTGGGTTGACTTGGTTGAGTTAGGACCATGCAGCGTGCCAGCGGAGCGTAATTCGAGTCATGCCGTGTTAGGCAGCCTTCTGGAAGCGCTAGAAGGCGCAGGAGCTTCTAGCGTTCGGCGCTAGAAGGTCGCAAGAATGCGCGAATCCCTGTCAGCTGGTCAGGTGGACAAGGGGGCCCTGGAAGAATGGTCGACCTGACGAGTGGTGGACACGGCGTAGTGGCTTATTGGCGGCCGGCTACCAACACCAACCGGACACATTCTGGCTCGTTGAAAATGAGGCTGATGAGTGGTTTATGTCATTCGCCAGAACACTATGAATGGGGGCTAATTTCGGTGTCAAAGAGCTTGGGCGACGTAGGCGACGAAGCGTTCGGCACACTGAAACCGACCGGCGAATCAGCCGTGCTCGAAACAAACACTGTCAGTGGTCGGACAACAAACAGTTCAGGTCAGCCACACCGTTTCCGCAGGTGAGTCAAACTGAATGGCGCAAACGGCGAGGCAGATTCGCGACTGCGGACCTGTGGTGCAGCTTGAAGCCATGGCCAAGTCGGGGGGCCATTGCTAGAATATGCAGGTGGGAAGCTGAACAACAGTCCATTCTGGGGGCAAGAATGGCCTAATTACAGTACTGTCCGTCATCGCAGCGTCTCATCTGGCCTGCAGACAAATGTCGTGTGCGTTTGTTCTGCGCGCACATTGATGCAAGGGCATCCAGGAGAAGGAGAGGGGATCCTCGAACGACGCCATCGCTGGTGGGGTTCGCTTGCGGACCACGGTGGCAGTGCCAGGCGGAAAAAGCAACCACCCTTGCCTGTTTAGACGCCCCTGCAGCGTTGCCTCCCGGCTTCCCGGCTCCTCGTCCTCCTCGTCGTCCTCCTCTCCCTCCCAAGCTTTCATACCGACGTATTCTGCCCGTAGCGATCGTCCATGAGTCGCTGACAGACCATATCTCCCGCGTCTTGTTGCCCCGTTGAATAGTAGTGAACGGACACTCCCAGTCGTTTAGGCTCCACGGGGACCACTGCTCTGCTTCCCCGTCCCCGGCCAGCACTGACTGCGGTAAGTGATCAACCCTCCTCTCTTGTCAGTTTGTCACATGCTAGGCATCCGCTCACTGTTCCCTCCAGGGTTGTCCCATCCCATCACTGATCTGTGTTTACTTCTACCCTGAACGATCCTGGCATTGCCGTTTCCAGGGTCCAAGTCATCTGAGTCGAGTGAACGTCAATGTCGTTCTCTCCCGTGGGTCAGGTGATGGATGATGCGCATGCAGATCCAGATCGATCTCAACGTTACGCTCAAAGACAAGACATGCAATTCTTCCTAGACTCCGATGCCGAGATGGGCGGATCGTTGACGTAATTGTTGCTGTACATTTTGGTTCCCATAACGCACCACTGTGTATATGCCCAGATTGCTTGCTAGATTCATTGCTAGATTCGTGTGCCCCCTTGGTGCGGTCGACCACCATGTTACTCCTGGACCCCCCCTTTCTAAATACCGGTAGTTTCACGCAGTGGACCTCTCACCGGTCACAGGTGACGATCGCGGCTCCGTAAAACAGACCCGTTCTAATTTCCTCGTCAAATCGTTGCATCGCCCCTCCACCTCCCGATGCCAGACATCAGCCGCCCACAGCGACAGAAGCAGTGTGATGGCCCATCCAAAGCCCACCGCCAAGCCCCACGGTACATCGCTCAACGCCTGCAGTTCGGTGCCGAACGTCCACGCCGTCTTGTGCGGCAGCATGTAGCCAATCGAATGCATCACCGGCCCGTGCACCAAGAACAGTGCGAAGCTGATTTTGCCCAGGTACAGCGGAAAGCTACTTGTCAAAAGGCGCCGCCACCTCGAGCTCTGAGGATCCGCGCGCGCCAGCATCAGCAGGAGGATCGCCGTGCCAATGTTCGGATAGAACTTGTCCTTTCGCACCATGAAGCGTGGGATGAGCTTGTTGAGCCACAAATACCCAGGCGCGTAGTCCCGGGCCCCGTCCACAGGATACGACAGCAGGTACAAGGCAACTAGAAATGCCGCATACCGCATCACTCTCTGGAAGCGCCGATCTTTGGCGGTCGATACGCCGTACCGCGTCCACTCCTGAACGGGCCGACCTACGTGCGCAGGAGGAGCAGGCTCGAAGTCGTGGTCCTGGTGATGATGATGATGTTGCACCGGCGGACTCGGTGTGGAATCCAGAATCAGGTCCAGTTGCGCCACCATGGCTCCCAGGATGAACACCCACACCTCCCAATGATTCCAATAAAAATACAGGATGCTCATGACGAGCATCGCAACGAGGCGAATGTGGGCTCGGCACGGCGACACCGCCACCAGAACGCCGTACAGATGCAAAGTACCACGCAGCTCCGCCAGAATGGCCCACATATGCTGGTCATGGAAAGGATAGACCGTGTTCTCGGTCACCACATTGGTCAAGTCAAAGAGCTCATGCATCCAGACCCCTAGCTGTTTCGCCAGCGGCTGCTGCTTGGGCTTGGGCTCATACCAATCGCCGGGGAAGAGCTTCTCATGGTCGAGTAGCAGAGGTCGGTACGTCTCATAGAAGCCTAAGTAGATATACATGGCCGTGCAGAATGTGATGGCAATGACGGGCAGGTAAAGCCTGAAAGCCTTACGGAAGAGGTTACCAGACACCGTAGTGAAGGTGTCGGGATGCGCATTCCCCTGTCGTTGGGGAAGTGCATGGAACAGTCGTATAGCAATTAGATAGCCTGAGATGCCAAAGAACAAGTGCGCCGAGAAGCCAGCATAAAGGAGGCGGATGATGGGCAGCTCGAAGAAATGCGTATGGCGATGATCCACCCCCCATGGTTGGAAGCCGAAGTCGCTGTAGACCATCAAGTAGTGAAAGGTCAGCACTTTGACCGCAGCGATGCCTCGAAGACCCGTCAGGTAGCTGGTAGTGTACAATTTGGACGGTGGTGGTCGTTCGTCCCACAGAAGCGTCCGGCCCAGTTGGGGTGTCGCGGCATAGCCAAGCCTCCTGAGCTGTCGTATGATTTGCGCCGGCCTCAACGCGTGTCGGATCAGGAGAAACAGCCTCGTGCGCGCATCTGCCGTCCGCTCGTCAACATAGCGGACATACTGGCGATGATCCAGGTCGCGTAGACGCGTGGAGAGATCTGAAAGCTCCATGATCGATGTGATGGGCGATTTGGGCTTCGGATGGGTTCCGTTGCTGCTCATCACCAGGCCCGGGGGGCGGATATTCGTTTAGAGGAGTGCCGGAGATCCAGCGTGCGCTTCATCACCGCTCCATCACGCCGTGTTCTCATTAATCGTCAAGTTGTGGGAGTCGGCTTACAGCTCGAGATTTTTGCAGTATCTAATATCGATGAAAAAGAATGCGCAAAAGAACGCCGCTTGCAGATCTCGTTGCGGAAAGCTAGTGGCCAGGTTTAATCTTAGGGAGGCCCCTCGGGGCGCCCCTGACGCTCCATGCTTAGCCCTCCTCCCCAGGTACCGTACTATACCACAGGGATGGAAGATGTTTGCCGGCTGGCTTAGCTTGATGACAACAGCCGTTTGCCTTGCCCATCGCGTGTGGCAGAGGACGTCTACGTCTATCGTCCTGACTTTGTATCACATGGCATACATCGCGTCTTTGCACCAGGGTCGAATTTGCACGGGCCTGGATGGGTTCGCGGTCTCGAACATGGCCGCCCCAGACTTGGTCTTGGAGCTGACGACTTAGCGGAAGCCAAGATATTTTCGAGATGCCGTCCAGCAACTCTGATCCGATCTCTACTTAACGCAAACCCAGGTCAGACAGCCTAGTAGCCAACATTTTTTTGATGAGAAAGCGAAACCCACAAGCAAGAAGCGCGATTCGAGGGGATATGGTACGAGCAGTAGCGTTCGCCGGGCAGACGTGTGCACGAAGCAGGAGCCCCTAGAGCCCAAGAAGCTGCCGAATCAGCGCGACAATTGGCCATCTTGGGTGATCATTCTGCTGTCAGCGAAGTAAACACATTCGCGTGCCTAATTTTGGACAGCACTGCGCAAGATCCCACTCCAGCCATGCCATGGACTCCATGCTGCTACCTTCATATTGTTGTGTATCATTCTCGGGGTCTCGAAGCTTCATCATTATGTGCAATGAGCAATATGCTGGCTCTGGAAACGGCCAGCCTTTCCTGTTCCCTCATCCGGGCATCGCCTTGCTCAAAAGGGGTATATGTTACGGGAATAGAGTGGTGCAAGTCAATACTGAAAAGGCTTATAGCCTCGTCACGCGATCGACGCGTGATGGTGTCGTTGGTGCTCATGTGCTCGAATCTGTCGCCGAAGAGACCTCGCATCCGCCATGTCGGGGAGACCGCTAACATCACTCAACTGTCACTGGTGGTAAAGGTGGAAATTTCAGCCCCGTGCTCTTTTCTTTCCTCTCTTGTTCGTACGTTGCGTATCGGTACCAGTGCAACTCCAGCGCGAGGCGCTTGCTTTGGAAAATTTCGTTGAGTGCCTTCTCCTTGTGGCCAAAAACCTGGTCAATAGCAGCCAGTTCCCGGTCATGCTCCTCCTCGACAGCTTCCAACTCCCGCTGCTTTCGCTCCAACAAGGCGTCTAGCCTCTTCTGCTGGTGACCGCGGAGCACGTTGATCTTAGCCACATTTACGTGGACCAAATTTTTCTGCTCGCGGTACTGCTCCGCAAGATGATTGTAGTCAGCGGGGCCTGTTGTGCGTGTAGGCAAGTCTGGTGTCGTCTTCCTGGATGCGTCCTCGGGGGCGCCTGTTGGAGATGTCGATGCTGTGTAGGCTTGTGCGGGAGGCGGCGTAGGGTTGTGCACGAATCTTTCGATCCGGCGAAGTCGGCTGTTCATCATCTGTTCTCTGAACTTGTGCTCCTCCGCCATACGGAGCTCTTCCGCCAAGTGCTTATTCTCCAGCTCATCAATATCTTGCTGATCCTTCACAATGATTAGCCAGACGACCGCATGAAAAAGGCTCACAAATCATACCTTGGCCTCTTTAACCTCGAGAGCAGCATCCTGGACCGCCTTTCTTTCACTTTTGGCCTTTTCGCGCTCATGAGTGAGCTGGTCCAGTAGCGCTCTCCGGTAGCCAACGAATCGGTCGCGCTCCTCGAGTTGCTCCTTTCGACGATCGACCATCTCCTGACAGACTGGGCTTTGTTTGAGGGCCGCAGCATCAACCTCGGCGTCAAAGCTGGGCTTCGGAAGTGCAGCGCCTGACCATTCGGATTTCTGGGATCGAATCGAGGGAGCGTCTTCCACGGGTTCTTTCTGCAGCTGTACCTCACTGTCTACGGGGCTCGCCACATCACTGGCCTCGGGCGATGTGCTCGCTGGCGATCCGCTAGCCTGCTCTTTCTTCTTCAGTCTGACGATCTTGCGCATGCGGGCGCGAAAAACCGAGTTTCTTTTTGACGAAGTTGGGGACAATACTGAAGGCTGGACGGCGGGGGCAGAAGTCTCGGACACCATGGAGCCTTGCGTCATAGGGCGACGTTCGCTCGAGGAACATGAGGTTGGGGCGGTCGATTGGGACATTATCGATGACTGCATATTAGTGTTGTCGGATGTAATGGTAACACCAGACATTGATGAGTCAATGGCCTCGACTTCGGTATCCTCAAGCTTGCTCGGAAGTCGGATGCCCTCATTCAAGGCCAGTCGCTGAAGATCGTTCTCCCAATCGATCTCAGTGAATGGGTGTGGTATCCTCCGAACTTCCAACGTGTAGTACGCCTGGTCAAAGAGGTCATTACTTGGAGAGCGAGATTCTACACTGCCAGCAGACTGTCCCATCTCCGAGTGGCTTCTCTTTCTCGATGGTGACGCCATCAAGGAAAGGGGCAAGGGATGAGTCCTTCCGCAGGTTAAGTCTCCTCAGGTCACACAAAGATAAATTGTGTTACGTCGTCATTCCTCCGAAGGCTGTGAGCACAGGTTGTCAGTGCGACAAGACTGCGTATACAAGGCGCGTCGCCGAATGAGGACTTTTCGCGGACAGTGAACGTTCGAGTGACCAACAGAGCGTTTGAAGAGTTGGAAGAGAGGCAACAACTCGGTGCGAATTGAGGTGAGAGCCAAAAGTCCAGGAAAATGTGAGTAGTCGATGATCGGGATGATCGCGCAGGATCGCCCCACGACTCGACCGTTGCACGAAACTATGAGTTTCTCACTTCGACTGAAGCTGCGTTCGAGCGTTGTAAGGAAGCTCCTATGTGCGAATTAAGTGGAAAGATGGGATTCGCAGACGTTGCAGAATCCACAGCCCCTTTGCGAGAGAGTTGCAAGCGCCCGGTTTGTCGATCGCCAGATCTGTAGGCAGTGATATCAATAATGCGCCCAAAAGCCATCGATTCCGACAAGCGGGGGAGACGGAAGCTTGATTGCCTGCTATTGCAAGGATAGGCCAGTTCTGGGTGCACCCATCTAGCTGTCGATCCCAAGTTCACAGTTGACCTTCGGGGGTTTTCAGGCGAGGGCCATTCCAACTGGACAAAGTAGGGATTCTAGGGCGCGTCATGAGCCTTTCAACCTCTCAGAATTTGACTTGACCGTCTCCCCTGATCAGGCGCCTAACTGTCAAGATGGATGTCCATCTGAACCTTACTCTCGAGCGACGCAGCAACTGGCAGAGGAGTGATCCCATTCTCGTCGCGGCGGGGATCGCTCCTGCGCTGCGACACCTGCAATAGTCGGGATGCCCGTGTGGACACCCTGGAACGGACACGATCTGCATTACCTGCTCAAACTTCCGGGTCTCAGCTAGGCTGGTTTGGGGCTTGTCCAGATCGATTGGGACCGATCCGGACGAATCTGTCAGAACTGGTGGCTTCGGATCCCGCGTCTTGGGAATTGCTTCGGACCGCTGGCCGCCAGTAACCGTGCAGTTGTGGATGGGCCTTACGCAAAAGAGTCTCTTGTTATAGTCCGTGGAACTGCAGTCTGCGACTGGCCACTGACGAGTCCGAGTCTCCCCAATGCATGCTGTGGAAAGCTGATCCAGCGGCGCCCCTCAATCAGCCTAAGCATTAAGCAACCTGTCGCCCGGCCTCTGGGCAAGTACAGGTGCCCTCCGGGGGTGACATGGCCGGGCGCAGGTGTCCGTGGCCGGGCCTCACGTGATTATGGGGTCGTACTTACGAAAGATGCAAAAAAGTGTTAGGTAGAGAAAGAGCCCGCTATTGGATTTTTCTGGTTACTCGTGAGCACCTCTCTGGAATGCTGGAGCTGTTGTTCCGTAGCATCACGATACTCAATGGCGTTCTTGCCTGGCAATGACATCGTCGTGCATACGCTTCAACTCCGGTATGATCAGAGTCTCTATTTCCATGCCTTCTGTCACCGTCCCACCCTCCAAATCTATCTGCTCGGGCTCCTTCTTGTGATCTGCGAGGCCAACCATGTTTTCTACTCCAGAGAAGCTCTTGGATCTTCGTGCTTTGGGAACACGAATCCACTTTTCTCCTCGGTCTCGGGTGATGAACACAACCTCCCACTTGCGGGTAGTCAGCAGGTTGCCGATAACGCAGTCGTGTTGATATCTGCTAAGGGACTCTTCTGCTTTGCTGACTAGGAGTTCTGGATCAGTCTCGAGTTTGAAGCTGACCACCATGCTGCCTTTGGGAGCCCACTGCTGCACAAGCGTCTTCAGGAACTTGGGTACCGGGTCGAGATCGATGATCAACTTCTTGCCCGAGCCCTTTCCATCGGCCGTTTCTCTCGACTGAATCTTGTGCTCTTCGAGTCTATCTGCGGGTATGAAGAAATCCGAAACCGCTGCGGCAAGATAGAAGAGCGTCCTTGGTCCCAGTGGTTTCGTGAGGGTTGCCAGGCTCCGAAGTGCGTATAGATATTCAGTGACCGTGGTGAAAGGCAAGAGCAGAAGCAGACGATTCTTCTTGGCATGCTGGTATTGCTGCAAAACTCGGCGCATTTTGGCTTGAAACTCATCGGCCACAATTACGCCACCGTCGTCGGCCTCGTCCATAAAATCAAGGAAGCAGTTCGTGCTGTGGCTGTAGTGTCGCGAGTAGGGTAGCAGGCTGAATTGCCGATGCAAGAAAATGACGGCATAGTCTGCCTGGAGGAAATACTCAGCAGAAGTCGCGCCACGCGTGCCTGCGGAAAAGTTGTCGATGAACCTCACAGTCTGTTTCTCGAGCGGGACAGTTGTACCTCCCGAGGTGACAATGGCAATGCGGCGATCGGGATTGGTTTCCACGTGGTACTGTATGAACTCCTTTGCCAATGCTTCATGCTTGGACAGTTGCTTTGGTCTCTGAGTATTACGAAAGTATTCACTGGCTCCGTCAACAGTCTGGCCGTTGGCGTCGGGCTGAGTCTCGGCCATGCTGTGGGTGTTGTTGTTGTTGTTGTACTGGCAAGCAATTGTATTTTCGGATCTAGCAACGCGCTGAATGGCACCCGAACATGCGAGATGTTTGTCTAGCCTGCCCAGAGACAATGTGTGCCCTTTCACTTGACGTCTGGATGGGGTTGGAAGTCACCGTGATACAAAAGATGGTCAAAATTTGAGCTTCCACGAAACCGAAGCCATCCGTGGCATCGAGGATGAGAGCTGCAGCGCAAGCACCATCATAAGGACAACTCCGCCATCACAGCGTCATTTTCAATCTTCAGGCCATCTGGACTGGGGGCAATGCGCGACCACGCAAAGAGGAATCCGGTGGCTACGGTGAGCTCAAGGACGGTGACCTTCCATTCTGACAGCAAACCGACCCGTGACGGCCCGGTTGAGGGGGTTGCACCTCAGGCTCGAAACACCTCAATGAGTCAGGTCCTGCTTTGTCACGTGAGCATATGAGTCGCGGACCATGATCCTCATCTTTTCCACCACAGGAAAGCGAATACGCGAGATTACGTCCGCGTGTCGTCGGGCAAACACCAGGCTGATTCCAGTCGACTTCCCATCGCGTACACTAGGCTCCTTCAAGAAGCATCACACGAAAATGCTTGCCTGTTGCTTGCTTGCTTGCGCAAGATGTCCCGGGCAGATGCCACGCACCGTCGCCCGCCATACCTATTCTCGACCCTTTTGGCGATTTCAGGAGTCTGTGTTGTGCTGGCCATCCAACCACGACTGCTGCCGCCATTCAGCCAATCTGCCATGTGAAAGCACATTCCGGATACGTGATGCTTTCTGTGCGGTAAGGCTGTCTGGAGGTTGACTTGTGTAGTGCCAGAAGAGCACTGCATCAATCTCTTGAGCCGACCTATTCAGCAAGGAGTTGCAATAGGAACAGACAAGATATATAAACTCTTGCTCTCCGTTCAGACGCAGAACTCACTCTAGCAGCAATCCGAGCTCGGGCTATATTGAATCGGTGACCCTCGCATTACCACCAGTATGGTTTACGCTGTCCCAGACTCTTACTACGTCTATAGCCCTACGAAGGGCGTCTCCATTGTCTTCGCTGTCTTGTTCACTATCTCCGGCGTCCTGCATATCTGGCAAAACAACGTCAAGTACCGCTCCTGGCGCATCGGCTTCCTCTTGCCCTGGGCGGCCCTCCTCGTAAGTCCTCAATAACCTGCGATTGGTTTGAAGGGAGCAACCGTTGGTGGCAGTCAGAGACTTTGCTTTGGTCTCAACCACGAACTTGTCATCTACCTCGGCCTGCAAGCACTGTTTGTAATGGTGCCGCTGCCACATCATTTCCATCCGATATATGCCCTCCGATACCCTTCCAAAGATGGCGGCGCAGCTTTACATCTTTTCCCCATGCCTGGAGTATACTCTGACCAGAACGATAGTTTACCGCAGGATTCTCTCTTCGAGAGTACGGCGCCTATCATCCCAACCAGATCGGCGAGTACATCGCCAGCCAAGTCCTCCTCTTCGTTGCTCCACCTGTCTATCAGGGCGCCAACTACTTTATCTTCGGACGCGCGCTTTACTATCTCCCATACCTCTCCCCTATCCATCCAGGTCGTGTGGTAAGTGAACCACCTCGAGGAAGATTGGACGAGGGAGACTCGAGACGAAGTCTGACGAACCACTGGACGTTTGCAAGACGTCCACGTGATTCTATCCAAATCTTTCTACCCTGCTCCCCATCTTTCCCTGCCTATTATAAGAACTTAGGCTAACTGTGCTCCTAGTAAGTGTGTCTGAGCCCTGATCCACATGACTGTCTTCCCACTCTGCAGAAGACTTGTGGAAAGCTTTTTACTTTCTGCCTGAGTCTTGTTTACCTGGTCTGGGACCATACTGTGAATTGAGCAAGCCTATGTCCTGGAGTCTCGTACTTGCTTGTGTCAATGCAGTCACGTTCCTCGAGCTAATGCGGTGCCATCTACAGCTGGACCACCTTTGTCGCGCTCGACACGATTGACGGAATCCTGGCCGGGAATGGAGCCGCCCTAGCTGCCAACCAGGAGAATCCAGCTTCCAAGATACACATTGGCATCATCCTGGTCAAAGTCTCTCTTTTCCTCCTTTTGGTCATGTTCCTCGGCTTTGTCACGCTGATCGTCAACTTCCACCGACGCGCCGTCGACCACGGCGTCTTCAACCGCAAGATCCGCATCGTCATCTACACCATGTACGCGTCCTCGCTCCTGATCCTGCTGCGCAACTGCTTCCGAACCGCTACATTCTTCTACTCCTACAATAGCGTCGCCAACGGCGAGGAATGGCCTTTTTGGGTCTTTGAAGCCCTTCCCATGCTGTGCAACTCTATCATGCTGAATGTCTGGCCTCCAGCCAAGTATCTGCCAGCCAATCACAAGGTCTACCTGGCCATAGATGGGAAGACGGAGCTAGTTGGGCCTGGCATGGTAGACAAACGGCCGTTCCTGGCCTCGTTGTTCGACCCCTTCGACCTCATCGGACTGTTCAGAGGAAAGGATAACAAGAATCGCTTTTGGGAGACAGACGGTATCGGTGGACCTAAGGCGAATGGCGACGCTATGGACACTGGTGCACCTGAGGTGGAGGAAGCAAGGGTCAAAGGTAATGGCATCTAGAAACTTCGTAGCTCATGTTGTGTTGTTTACCTTTGCACAATTTGACATCCTGTTTTGTAGCGATGCAATCACCGTTTTCAGGTTCTCAGACCCCTAATTCAGATAACTCATTTCGCCTTTTCACGTCCCACCGCGTCGCCATGTAGCCATGCGGCCGTGAGCTCAGCCTTAGCTTCTCCAGGAGTCGAGTCCTCACGCAGTCGCTTCACACAAGGCTGACGTCATCCTGGTGTCGGGCACTCGTGGCAGTCATCAACTTCCTGCCTTGAATTCCGGACGATCCGAAGAGAAGTGCTGCGAGTTGCTGCGTCATGCTCACTGGTAACCATTTCCTAAACGATGCTGTATTGGTAGCTTTGATGCTCGTATCGGGCGGGGATCACCACGGCACTACATCATTCTTACTTACTCCGTGACAAGCGACCGTTCATAGCACATTTATGCTCTGACAGGGCGGCCACCTCTTTTCGCGAAAGCTAAGTTCGGCGTATTCTTCCCAGTGTCCAAATATCCCGTTGAACCTCTCTCATCAGTAACCTCCCAAAACGCCAAACATCCAAGCAACCTCACAAAGCGACGCAACCACCGGCTTGACCAGCCTGTAGCCGTGCGCAACATCCCACCAACACCGGCCCCCCTCCCTTTACTACCACAACCACCAGTTTCACCAACCCACAGAAGGAAACAATGGCCGAACGCCTCAACAAGCTCTCCCACGACCTGACCTCTCACGTCTCGTCCGCGGTGCACGGCGTCCACGGCGCCGGCGAAACCCTCCGCGGCACAGTCAACAGCTCCATCGACGGTATCGTCCCCAACCACGAGTCTCGCGAGGGCGGTGGACGCGCACGCAACGATGCCGTTGCGCAAAAGGGTCTGGACGAGCTGCACGGCGCCGAGCGGCATTTCGGACAGCGCGAAGCCGGAGGAGGGGCAGGGTTCACGCACGGCGCGGAGCATGGTGGAGAGCATAATCATCGGAATCATGCGGCGGCGCAGGGCGGGCAGGGGAAGTGGTTGAGTCAGGGGGGCGTGAGGGCGGATGAGCGGACGGGGTATGGTGGGGCCGTGGCGCATGAGGAGGGTCGGGGTGGTGCGGGAACGGCGCACGATGGGTCTGCGAATGTTGGGCTTGGGGCCGCGAGGCAGGCGTGGGGCGGTGGTGGTGAGCAGCAGCACCAGCAGCACCAGCAGGGACAGGTCCAGCCGGCGGTGAGTGACGAGACGAGGACCCAGAGTAGGCCTCTACAGGCGGGTGCGCATGCTGGGGCGCCGGGCAGCACGCAGCCCAATGCGCTTCGGGCCCAGGCTCTGGATGCTAGTGAGCAGGAGAATCCGAGAAGGGAGGGCTTTTATTGAGGGCTGTGAAGAAACAAGGAACATGCTCATGAGCTCCTTGATACGAGACCTTTGGGGGCGAAACAAATACAACGACCGGGAGCAAAAGCCCGAGTCCAGATCGACGTGAGCAGTCTCCGCTGCACGCAGATGCTTTGGATCCCCTGGTAAGTTGATTTCGAGCCGTACATTGTAAGCAATGTGAAGTAGTAATGTATCGACTTCGCCAATCTGCAATCAAGTGTGGGAAGCCACAGTAGGGGACGATCTGCGAAGTATAGACTCATCAGTGGATGCCGATATGGTCGTAGCCAGCTTCGTAAGTCACGGCGACCTTGCGACGCGTGACGGCCTCAATGTCTTCGCTCGTTCGGTTCCAGACAAGACTCCTGGACAGCCAGTCGAACCCCTTGAGATATCGGGTGGGAAAGCCCATGAAGACACCTCACTTCCTGCATCGCGTTCCATGGTCTTTTCGCTCTTGCTTTGCCATACGGATGGGGGTTGAAACAATAGAGCACTGCGCTGTGTATGGTGCTACAGCCTCAGCAGAAAGCGGCGCTAATGTGCCGATTTCGCAACCGTAATGATATCGACGACGTCAGTGAGCGCAGCACACGAGCGCAAAGCTCTTCTTGCGATCCAACGCTAATGTTACCAAAGACTTTCCTTCTCTTCATCGCCTGACCGCTCAAAAGCAAGCATGAGGCATGCTCTGTCGCCCTCGCCCCCTTCATCATCTTCCCACGCATATCTCCCTCTATCCGCCTCATCTTCGCCACACGCGAACATGGCATTCCCCATCCGCACCCTCCCTTCACCGCTCACCTCCCCAAAACCACTACCGCCGCCGTCATGACCCGAGCCACAGCCAGCGCTGCCGCGTCTTCTTCAGCACCACCCCCCTCCACCGCCAACATCAGGAGCAGCCACAAAACCACTACGAAGTCCTCGGCGTCGACCCCAGCATCACGCCTCCCGAGCTCAAAAAGCGTTTCTACGCCCTCTCCCGCTCCCACCACCCGGACCTCCACCCCTCAGACCCCACCGCCGTGCAGCGCTTCCAGCAGATCTCCGAGTCCTACTCCACGCTCGCCGACCCGAGTAAGCGCGCGCGCTACGATCGGGATGTGATGCGCACGTCCCGCCACGCCGGTGCCCATCAGCAGCAGCAGCAGCAGCAGCAGCGCGGAGGCACCTACGCAGGTAGCCGCGCGCCGACGGGGCTCAGCAAGAGGCAGAGCGCCTTCCGCGGCCCGCCGCCCAGCTACTTCCGGCAGGGCGGCGGCGGGAGCTACGACCCGCACGTGAACCCGCACGCGCGCGGCGCCACGGCGGGGGAGGCCACGGGTGCGAACGCGGGTGCGGGCGCCAGAGGTGGCGGCGTGTGGGGGGATCCGAACGAGTTCGACAGCCGGGGCGTGCATCGCACGCAGTCGCATGAAGACCGCAAGAGGAATGCGCGGAGGGCGCGGGCCATGGCCCAGGCCCAGGCTTTGGCGGAGGAGGATGGGGACTTTTGGGCCCGGTTCGTCATCGTGAGCTGTGTGCTGTTGGCGGGCATCACGATTGCGTCTCTGGTGGTGAACGCTTCTAGCTCGGGGAAGAACGCGGGAGGTATGGTCAGGGCGGATGGAAGTAGACGAGAGAAGAAAGCACCATGATTCCAGCTGGACTAAATCAGGTTGTAGACTACGACTAGACGCGCACTCGCGCACTTAAGAGCACAAGAACATGATATGAGGTTCTGCTTTTCATTGCATCTCTGACTCCGACGGACGTCGCAAATGCACCAAGTAAGCTCTATCTGGCTGTACAAAAGCTGATGGCAGAAATTACATGGCTTTAACCCTCAAAGGTGAAAGAAGCGCCGACCTTGTGAGAGGCCTGGTTCATGTTCTGGGTATCAAAAGAGGCACCGAGACCGAGAGTGCTGCCGGTACCTAGCTTGACGTTGTAGGCAAGGGCGGCAATACCACGGTCGTTGATCTTGGCCTGTACCGGATTAGCTTCGGCCAGAGGGAGAAGCATCGGGGACAAACCTTGGCAAAGGAGCTGGGATCGAGCTTGTACTTGCTGGCGACCTCAAGACCGACGTTGGAGTTCTGGGCAGAGTCCCACGTAGCCTTAGCACCGACCTCGACCTCAGTGTTCACCTTGTGGTAGTAGCTAGCGGAGAAAAGGCTCAGGTTGTTGGTAGCGGTGATGGCGGCGGCATAGGTGGACTGGCTGTAGCCAGCAGCAAGAGCGTACTTGGTGATGGCGGCTTTGGAGACATCGTAGCCAGCCTCACCACCGACAAGGAAGCCCTCGTGGCCAATCGTGGCATCGAAGGTAGCGGTGGGACCCTTGAGGACGTCGGTGAACAGACGGGTGTGGACGGAAGGCTGCTTGTAGAACAGGTTGACCTTGCCGCCATAGGCCTGCTTCGCGGGGAGGTAGTTGGTGAGAACCTCAGCCTTGAGACCCTGAGTGATGGAGTTGTCGAGCTCGAGCTTGGTGTCCAGGCTGTTGGCCGTAGTCCAGGTCTGGGTCAAGGTCAAGCCTGTGGAAATCAGTCTCGGCTTCTTCTCGGCTTGCGCACATCGAGGCCGTGCGGGACTTACCAGAGGCCTTATCGGCGTACTTGCCCTCGAGCTTTATTCGCTTGTTGTCAACATATGCTCTGAAATATTTCTGTGTAATCGTGAAGCTCACCGAGCCTGAGATAGGACCATCATGGGCAGACTTGCCCTTGACGTTGAACCTATGGTATTCTTAGACGGAGCTCTTCATCCTGCAGCAGAGCCGCTTACGCAACGCCGTTGGGAGCCTTCGACTTGATCTCGAGGTTGGTAGCCTGGGTGTGGTAGAAATCCTTGTTGAGGAGCTAAAAGTTGTTAATCGCAAGCATTCGGGATTGGAGAAAGGGCGCCATACATCGTTCGCTGGCTTAGCGATATCGCTGAAAGGGACGGGAGCAGCCATGATGACCAAAGAGATGGATGGAGGATTGAAGTATTATGTGTGCAAAGTGAAGGCAATGCGATGGGATGCAGAAGGGATAGAGGTCGGCCACGGAGCTTCAAAAGATTGTCCCCAAGTGACCTGCGACTCCCGATTGTTTTCGTTTACTGCGCCTTGCCTATCTTGACTTAGTGGTGTGGGTGAATGCAGCGGTCGCCGCTTTTGCCAGGCTCCTCTGAGAGCCCCTCGCTCCCACTGCCTACCTCAGGTACGGCGAAGGCACGGCTGAGAAGATACTGTCATCCAGTGATCAGTCGGCTCACAGCGTGCGTACGCTTCTGATAAGCACTGTCGTGGCTGTAGCGAATATTGCCCAAAAGTATTGGTGCGCCCGTGATGGGCACATCCTTGGGTCGACCTATAAGTGATAAAACTGGCAACATTTCTGATACCCGGTGTTAGCCTACTCACGACGCACGTTCAGGCGTGATTCGCCCCTGCATCTCGACGTTGCAGCTCCAAGGAGAGGGGAATATTAAGATGAGACGCTCCTTCTTCTAGACTATTTTCATTCCTCATTATGTGCTACCGTACAGCACCAAGCAGCTTCAGCTGCTTTTGTCTATATACGAACGGAAGCGAAATCGATTCCTAGACACCGGCGCCCTCCTTGCCACATTGTACCTAGCTGGAAGCTTCCCATCCTTTAGTCAACACTTCTTGAACATTTTGTCATGGAGATTGTGCTTGCTAGCAAAGAGCATATGGGGCAATGATGCTTTTAGAACGCAAAGTCCATGTTAGAATCATTTCTAGCCGACAGCGCCGTGCTGAGCTGCAAATGAATGCGAAACGCAAGAAAAATCATGATCCTGGGTTGTCGTATCGAGCAACGTGAATGCCGATGGCGCGTCCACTAGGATCGGTTTGGTTGGACCACGTCGGCGTCCATCGAGATACCGTGCTGGCACAATATTGGGGGAAGTGCTGGTCGAACATCAACCGATACCAGTAAGCCTCTTTGCTGTCAGGGATTTCATCGCCCCACTCGGCTTTGGGGTTGGCCATCATCTCGTCGGTGACTTGCTGCTCGGCAGTATCCTTCAAGCAGTCGATCCAGCCATAGCCAACTCCATCAGAGAACTGTTCCTTCTGGCGCCAAAGGATGTGCTTGGGGAGATATGGTTCGACATCAGGCTCATCCGTGGTATCAAATGCCTTGCGCAGGATGTATTTCTCGAGACGCTCCGGAGTGATCATCTTCTCTTTCGGATCGATGTTCATGGAGACCTCCAAGAACTCCTTGTCGAGGAACGGCACTCTCGCCTCAACGCCCCACGCCGATGTTGATTTGTTGGCACGCAAGCAGTCGGAAAGGTGTAGGTTCTTGACACGACGAACGTTCTCCTTGTGGAACGCGGCCTTGTCTGGGGCAGCGTGGAAGTACAGGTACCCGCCAAAAATCTCGTCCGAACCTTCACCTGACAACACCATCTTGACGCCCATTGCCTTGATTTTTCTGCTCAATAGGTACATCGGAGTGGAGGCTCGGATCGTGGTGACATCGTAGGATTCGAGATGGTATATGACATCCGAGAGTGCATCGAGACCTTCTTGGAGGGTAAAGGTGAAGCTGTGGTGCTTGGTTCCGAGGAACGCGGCCACCTCCTGCGCGGCTTTGGTATCCGGCGCATCGGGAAGACCTATGGAAAAGGAATTGAGTTGTGGTAGCAAGGTAACCGTGGTGAGTTCGTTCTCGTTGTCAATACCCACAAGATCAGCTTTATGATCGTCCGCATGCCCGTTAACACCGTTGGTGACGCCATTGGTTACTCCGTTTGCTTGGCCGTCAGCCTGCGCCTTCACCAGTCGTTGCTGACGAAGGGATTCACGCTGCGCAATCGAGGCCACCAAGCTCGAATCTAAGCCACCCGAGAGCAGGACACCATACGGGACCTCAGCCATCAATCGCTTGAGCACAGACTTCTCGAAAGTACGTCTGAGCAGCTTATAGTCGAGTGGTGTCTCCGGCACCCGGTCTCCGTCCCACCACGTTGGCTCGAAATACCGCGTGAGCTTGTCTGTGTCTGAATCATACACGTGTCCGGGAGGGAACGCAATGATGTTGTCGCAGACTGGGGCCAGAGCCTTGAGCTCAGAAGCAAAGAAGACCGCACCAGGCGTCTTGCTAGACCTGCCGAGGTAAAAAGAGGTGATGCCAATCGGATCGCGAGCGGCGATGGTCCTGTCCCGCACCTTGTCATACAGGACAAACGAGAACATGCCATCCAGATGCTTGGGCGCGTCGATGTCATATTGCTTGTAAAGAGGGATGATGACTTCGCAATCGGAACGAGTTTTGAAATCGTAGGCCTGCTTCAAGGACTTGCGAATGATTCTGTGGTTGTAGATTTCGCCATTGACGGCCAGAGCAAGGGTTTCCTCATTGTTGGTTATGGGCTGCGCACCCGAGTCCACGCCCACAATGCTGAGACGCTCGTGACATAGGATAGTGTTGTTGCCAGTCCAGTTGCCGGACCAATCAGGGCCACGATGCCGCAGGCACTTGACGCACTGCAGGGCAGTGGTTTTGAAGCTGGCGATATCAGGGTGCTATGTAGCCATTAGCATCCGATCACAATTTCATGTAAGGTACGGCGCATGACTGACTCCGTGTGCCGCGAATATGCCACACATCTTGGGCGGCTAATGCAAGTAAGGAATGGCAAGACTCGTCGGAAAGGTGAGAGTCACAGAAGAAAGAAAGACAGAGCGGGAGATAGAAGGGCGTGGGAGAAGTGGCAGGACTGGTGTCTTGAAGGCAATGAGCCCGTGGGAGGCGGAATGAAATTTCGTCGTGTTTGAGTAGGAACGTGGGATGAATTAGAACTCGGTCCACCTCGCGATAAATGATAAGTTTTGGCCACCCAAGAGTAAGAGCTTGAGCGTTTGGGGGATCATATGATGAGACGCCTCTCCGTTTGAATTCTACGAATGAGAATGCGCATAATGATCAATCGGAGCAGTGATTCAGTAAAACTTGAAGTGACGGGTGCCACGCTTGACCCATCCCCGAGGTCGGGGCTGAGCGCGCTGGCGGGTACCAGGGTACTGACCCGCGATCTTGAGCTGTTCGACGACGAGCTTGCAGACAACCAAGATGCTGATACATGGCTATGTGTCATGGTTACTGACATCCTGACAAGTTGGCTAGTCCACGGCACGCGACAGTGGCATTCTACGATGTCACACGGCGCACCACCCAATTCACAGAGCGGCCATTCAGACGAACCTCGACTGCATTGATCTGGGGTCGGCCAGGATGGCCCTTACTCAGACCGGGTAAGACAAACGGCCACAGGGCAAGTGTGGCCCTGGTCGAGCTTGTGCGGACATCGCTCCTCCATGTGAGTCGCTAATTCCCCGCAAAATGGCTGCATGGTGAGGTGGTGGTGAGGTCCTAAGATGCCCAAGGTGATGCGGGTTGCGATACCTGATGATGCCCATCGTGCTCCATCGTTGAACCCTGCGAACCCCCACGCTAGCACCGGGTGGGCGTGCTTCTGCCCGGTGGCGGCGCCCAGGGCCCAGCTACCAGCCAGACTCTAGTCGCGTACATCCGAGCCTGAGGGGATCGTTCCGAAATGAAAAATGACTCGCTTGCACAGCATAAGACTGCAAGGGCGAACATGAAGAATTCCAAAGGTCAGCAGGTGCATGCAAGCCTGAATGTGTATTCTCGTATGCGTTGGCTTTGTCTATTTGGCCGTGTTAAGCAATTCCCAAACCCCCAGCGCCACGCTGCAAGAAAAGACGGCAAATACATTCCCGGAGTCATGCTCCGAGCCTCGTCACTCGTCGTGCTCCACTCCCATAAGGCTATGCCTGCGCTGTCTGCGCGGTCTGCGGTGGTTCGCTGCGCATCACGGCACGGGGTTCTCCTTGACGATGCTCTTGATCTTACGCTCGTACGCAGCCCGATCCTTCTTGAACAGATTGTAGGCGTCGGCCTGAGCCGGCGACTCGGGGTTAGGCTCGTTTAGCAGCTCCTGAATGCCTAACAGAATCTGCTTGATGGTGATGGCGGGCTTCCAGCCTTCCTCTTCGTTGAGAATCGAGAGACAGACAGTGCCAGACGGGTAGACGTTGGGGTGGAAGAGAGGAGGAACGAATTTGCCTAGTAATGTCAGTAATTCTCATGGCTGCTTGCGAGGCGTCTCACATTTTGGCGGCTTGGTGGGGTACTCGTCTGGAAAGGTGAGGGTGAGTTTGAAAAGTCCGCCTTCCCAGATGGTCTTTTCGCGTCCAGGAATACCGACATCCCAGGTCTTGAGATCGACAACGCCGGTGGTGGTTCTCACGGGCTTCGCGAAGAAACCGAAGGGGTGCTCGCGGCGCCATTGCTTGCGCTCCTCCGTAAGGCGAGATTGGCAGAGAGACATGATGGACGGAACGCTTGCGCGAGTGGTGTGATATGGTATTTTCGGGCCTCAAGGCGAATGTCCAAGACACCAAGCAGCAAGTGGAATATGTAGAAAGTAACGACGTGGCGATGAGGCTGCCGGCGGGTGATGCCTGTGGTGAATCGGTAGTCCGCGACAAATTATTCACTGCAGCAATCGGCAGGCACAGGCACAGAAAGAAGCCCCAGATCGGCCAAGGCCCCGACTCGCCCGAATCCGAGGTGAGGTGAGCCACCGCTAATCGCTGATCCCGCCGGGATTGCGCCCCAGCCTTGTCTCACGACCCTAATCCTTCCGCGCCCTTGGCCTGCCTCAGGTGCTTTGCGCCTAGACCCCCTGGGCCAATCACCTAGATGCATAATCCCGTTAATCAGTCTTTGCCAATGCTTCCATGACATCGGCCGCTCTTCCAAGAGCTCGGCGGAAACAATAAACTTGTCTGAGGATGTCCTTGACACGTGGAACGCAGCCATGGCTCTCCTGCTGTCACTATTTCTTCACGCCCTCCGCCTGTTGGGCGCGCGAAGTATCACGCGTTCCAATCGCCCGCCGTGATGTCAGAGGATACACAGTTTCTAAACGACAAGGAGGTCGATGAGTTTGTCTCTGGACTTGACAAGGACAACGACGGTTGCATTTCCTACAGTGAACTTGAACATGGCCTCGACAAAGCCCATAAGGAGTTGGTGCCTGAAGCCAAATCACACAATTTCCATCATCCAGATCGAAAGGATGAGCGGCATGAATTCCTACGACGCATGTTGAATTCCGAGAAGGACAAAATCCCAGCAGAAGAATTCAAAAACACAGTCCGATCATGGCAGATTGCGTCTATGGAACCGGACAAGAAAGCCGCCAAAGACGAGCATGACTTTATGAAGAATCTACCACTTGGCAGAAAACTCCGAGCATACTGGGAAGTCCACGGTCCGACCTACCTTTTCCTTGCCTTTGTCGTGTCGGCGCAGATCAGCATAGGAGTGTGGCAGTGCGTCAAATATGCGACTGGGCCTGAGTACCAGGCGGCCTTCGGCTGGGGCGTCGGCTTCGCAAAGGCTTGTGCTGGTGCTCTTTATGCTACCATGTTCTTCCTGGTACTCAGCATGAGCAGATGGACCGCCACTTATATGCGTAGAGTGCCGTACATCACTCGGTTCATCAACTGGGACCTGAGCCAGGAGTTCCATGTCATGATGTCTATTGTTGCCCTTGTCCTTTCTACTGGGCACATGATTGGGCACCTTTCTGGAACATTCAACTTCGGTAGCAGGTCGGGACGACAAGACGCTGTTGCTGCGCTGCTTGGGCCTGATGCAGTTCCTCGGCCCTACAGCGCCTACGTCTCGAGCCGACCCGGTTGGACAGGCCTTACCGCAATCAGCTGCTTCTATCTTTTGGCTCTGATGAGCATGCCGCAAGTCCGGAAATGGTCGTACCAGGTCTTCCAGTTGGGCCATTTGTTGATGTTCCCGATGATAGCCATGCTCATGATGCACGGCACTCTCGGGCTGCTGCAGTATCCGATTCTGGGCTTTGTACTAGCCTTCCCTACACTGATGGTGGTTCTGGAGCGTCTTACCAGGTTCCTTCTCGGTTTCAACAGAGTTTCTGCATCGCTGGAAATACTGGATGCCGATACTGTTTGCATCACCGCTACAATTCCCCGGTTTAGGCTCTGGAAATACAAGGCTGGTCAATACGTCTTCCTCCAAGTTCCCCAGATCAGCTTCTTCCAATGGCATCCATTTACCGTGTCCGAGTGCATCGGAAAGGTCTTCAAGCTCCATATCAAGACCGATGGCGACTGGACATCTAAGCTTCGGGAGCTGAAGGACGCGAAAGATTTGAAAATCGGGGTGGACGGGCCCTATGGTGCTCCTGCCCAAAGATTCTACGACTTCGACCAGGCCATCATTATTGGGTCTGGTATCGGCGTGACGCCATTCTCGGGTATCCTCAACGATCTACAATCCCGTGAGGATCACGCATGGACACGCCGCCGCGATTCCACGTCTTCGCACGAATCCAAAGAAGAAGCGCCGCGTCCACTGGAGCGTAGGCCCACCGTGGTAGGTGACGGAAAAGAAATTGATCTCAATATTTATCGTCGAGTCGACTTTCATTGGATCATAAGGGACCGGGCCTACCTTGAATGGTTCAGTTCCCTTCTGAACAAAGTATCGATGGGCGAGCACAATCCCAACCTAGAGATACGACTCCACAATCACCTCACGAAAAAGCGCAAAGACATCCAAACGCACGTGTACCGTTGTCTGTTGGAGAAGCATCGCACACCTGAGCGTCCTTTCTCGCCGCTTACTGGCCTTGTTGCACCAACACACTTCGGACGCCCAGACTTTCCCAAAATCTTTAATGACCACTACGAGGATATGTTGAAGCTATTCTCGAAAGACAAACAACGAAAGAGGAGAGTTGGTGTGTTCTTCTGCGGAGCCCCCATCATTGGTAAGTCATTGCTTTCCCAATCCACTACAGTAAGGGCGACAACAGCCGTGAACAGGGTTTGGAAGCCTGCAGTTGTCCGCTATATGGGTGCCTTTGAAAGCTCAGTCTTTGAGGATTTCCTTTCGGTCGAGGACCTCCCTTCTACTTACCCTTCACCTCCTGCGTCCCATTACCTGAATGAAGCCATTGAAACTGACATTCACCTCTCTAGGCCACCAGCTCGCTGATCTGTGCCATGAGATGACGCTTCGAGGGCGCCATGATGGATCCGAGATAGAATACTTCTTCCAGATCGAGGTCTTTGGGTAGTCGTGCTCGATCTGCAATTCTCACGGCTGTAGAACAGCATCTAGCATGATATTGGGAGCGTTCGAAATTGTGTCATTAGCCTAGACGGATATACTAGCTCACTTTTGGTTTTAATTGGGTATCATCGAGCCGACGAGACTGGCCTTTTCCCTCTCTTTCCTCCGCAACTGCCATCTATCGCTCAGCACCTACATAGTCCTTCACGCGCGCATCAAGCCCTTGGTCCACCGCTTCCTCATCTCCACCAGCCGGCTCATCTGCCCACACCACCCCTCCCGGAAGACTTCCTCGCCAAACCGCCTCGTACTCTCCCTGCCCCTCTTCCTCATCTCATAGCTCTCCCCCTCATCCAACGCCGCCACCTTCGCAAACCCCTCCGCAAACTCCTCCTCCGTCTCCGCGTGAAAGCCAATGTCCTTCCCCTCCCACGGCACCACGATATCCAACCACGGTCCCCCGGACCTATGTACCACGGGTATCAACCCGGCCGCCAGGCCCTCCACGTTCCCGATTCCAAAGTGCTCTGCGTACATGGCGTTGACGCCGACGCTCGCTTTACCCAGATACTCCTCGATGACGCTGAAGGGGGCATCGCAGATAAAGGTGGTCTGGTCGTTGACGTGCAGCTCGCGCGCCTCGATGCGCAAGGCGTAGATGTGGCGCTCGTCGGGCGTGTTGGCGCGCACGGAGCCGATCATGACGAGCTTCGCGGCCGCGGCGCCCGGTGAGCCGCTGTGCGCGTAGCGCGCGAAGGCGCGGAGGACGAGCGAGTGGTTCTTCTCCGGGCGGAATTGCGCGATGTAGAGGATTATGTTGGCCTGGGAGCGGGTGCTGGAGGTGGTGGGGGTGAGGGGGATGCGGTCGATGAGGGATTCGACTGGGCAGGGGGGGTAGATTGTCGTTGCAACGGTGTCTGGGTGCTTGTCTGTGGAAGGGGTTGTGGCGGACGGCAGGATGGTTTGCGGGGCCCAGAGACGGTTGATGTGGTTGGCAGTCCAGGTCGAGTTACACATGACGACGTCGATTTGACGGCCAACCCAGCCGTACAGTGCAGCAAAGAGGTGCCAGTAGCGTCGCTTGAGCTGACCCTTCAGGCCCGCACCGCCACCAGAGTGAATCCCTTTGGTGCCCGTCGTGTCGTCGAGGGAGGAAAGCATATCCGTGGAGATGGTTGGGTAGTGGACATACGCGGCAGTGGGCACTGTGGGAAATAGATACTTGCAAAAGGCGACAGCAAAGGCGTAACCCATGGTGTCGATGAAGATGTCAGGGACCAAGAGATGGAAAGCGTCCCAAGCTAACACCAGAGAGCCCAGGGACTGGCCGAGGAGCGTGAAGTACGGATAGTTGTTGGCGAGGACGAAATGGCGGGTAGTGAGATAAATGAATGTGAGAGTTTCTTCGCGCAGCATGATTCCGAAGCGATCCTTGACTTTGGCGACGATGGCAGATTTGTCGATTTCATGATCGCCAGTGTAGACCGCGCAGATGGCGTTGGGCCACTGTCGCTGCGTTGCGGCTATTGCGGCCCAGAGAACGCGTTCGCCGCCACCGCCAGCATTACAGAAGGGGTGGAAGAAGCCAATGATGCCCTCCCAATCATTACCGGACACATCGCCGTTGGGAGCTGTGCCTGATGTGCTCTCGACTTTCTCCCAGTCATCTTCGGCATCTTGGAACTGCTTGCGCTTTTCTTCGGTCGCTTTGAGCTCCCTTTTCATCTGCTGGTAGATAGCATGTCGTCGGTCTCTGGTACCCGACTGAAGGAACCATCCCCACAAACGCAAGACGCCTATGAGCGCAAAGGGTATCACAAAGAAGAGCAATGGGACGATTGCCAACACTCCAACCAGAAATGATATAGCCATGAGTAGTCTGAAACCTCTAGAGGCATCTTGCTGGGATGAATAGGGACTCAGACCGCTTTTCAAGCTCCTTGTGGACAAAGTTGCCTGATGCGGGGCACTTGCGCCTTTCGCTCCAGGCAAACGCGCTCGTGTTATAGGCGGCGCTCGTGATGGACATCATCTGCTATTTGCCTGATCGGCTGACGAGATATTCGTGGGTTGATACATGTTCTATTGGAAACACACGTGTAAATGCTGGCGATAATGCTACACTCACAATTTGGCTTTCAGATCAGCACCGCCATTGTTCGTGGCCTCAGTGTTAACCTGGAAGCTACCAGACTCGTCGCCCTCGCCGAAAAAAATAACCTCGACCGTCAGGTCGTCTCTATATCTCCTGCTATAGGGACTCGGCAGCGTGAGCAGAGCACAAACCATATCCTGGTTGCTGCCGCCCAATGCATTGCGCACCAGATGCGTGGCGGCATTCTTGTCTGTCACGACAAACCGATCCTTGTCCTCTGAAGGCAAGGCCCACTGCTGTTGGCGAATTGGCTTTTCCATAGCATCCTTTGGGTCACTGCCCGTATTGATGCGGCCCGTCTTGTCCATGTTCCCCCCCTTTTCGACCGGTAGTGATGTAGGTGTAGACTTAAACCAGCTAGTCAGCCAGGCCGTGCTCGAAGTCCTTTTCGCATCCTTGTTCTGTTGTTCTACCCACTGACCAACCAAGCCGACCACTTCCTCGTTGGTCAGCATTTCCCAGAGACCGTCTGTAGCCAAGACCACGAAATCGCCTTTGGACGGTTCAATATTTGTCGTAGTGACCACTGGCTCTGCGGTGACATATGGAGGCGTCTTCAGCAAAGGATGCGGTGTCCGCCCGAAGAAATGTTGCTTGATCTTGTCTTGCGTTTCACGAGACCACTTGTAGAACGCGTCTCCGAATGCACGGGTCGGTTCAAGGTTCCCAAGCACGCGACCAGCATGGATGACTCTGGCTTCTCCGGGATGCTCAGCTCGCATACGAGCCTCCTCGTTCGGGTTGGAGCCAGTCTGGTCCTCAGAGAGCGGTGTGGCGTACCACTTGCCCGTGACCTGATTTCGTCTACCGAGCACTGCTCTACTATCCCCGGTGCAAGCAACTCGAAGACTCTTGCTGTGGGAGTCGTAGAATGTCAAGAGAGCGCATGAGCCGGAAAGTGCGGGAGCGAGCACCTCCGCAGCGAAGCGTTTGGTGGGATTCTTGCCCAACTTTTTGACGCTTTCGTGACAAATCTCGTGATCAAGCTTTGTAAAAGCCAGCTTTAATGCTGCATCAATAGCTTCAGGCGAGGGCCGCGGTGACATTTTGTTGGCCTGCGCGGCCGTGTAAGTCGTGTTCAGTTCCCGAGCCGCATACTGAATCAAGACTTGTTTCAGCTTCGCTGAGGTCGTCCAACCCGAGTGACCGTCAAAGACACCCCAGAACATCCAGTCTGACGACTGAGCACCACCAGCGTCGGCGGTCTTCTGAGATACCTCCACAATTTTCTCGGCATGGTCGTCTTCGATCGGATCGTTGCTGGGAAGTTGTACATAGTCATATCTGACAACACCGCGACCTCTTCCTACAAGGTACGACTGCTCCATCCGTCGCAATCTCTCGGTGGCCTGTTCTGGGGTCATCATCTCAAGCACTTTTCTCCCGTGGTCGTCTGTATCTTTTGCTAATGGCCCCTCGCCAACGATATCGCCCGTGAAGAACTGGTCGTTGTCCACCACGAGGGCTCTGCGGCTAGATTCTTGTCCAGCCGCCACAGGCGCCGGCGATGCGGGTTCTGCGGTGGGCTGAGCAATGTCAGGGGTACTTGACAGACTTCTTGTTTGTGGTGACGAGACAGGAGGTTGCGCATTTAGTTGAACGGGCTGGTTACTGCCATAAGCGTACCATGCCCCGAGTGCTCCGACAGAAGCTGCGATGGCGAGAGGAGTCTTTGGTAACCACATCGACGACTGTATTATATGACGTTTTGTGCTGTAGCGGCGGGCGGCCAGCGAGAAAGGGGCGGTCACAACATAATGGCTCGAAGCAGATGATAAAGGCGCCTTGTTGATGAGCTTGCGGAAGGCTGCCCGGCGCGCTGAGCGGAGTGCTACCACTGCCGCACGACGCATGAGAGGCGGTCGAGAGGAGAAAGAGGGAGAGTTTGGGCGATAGTCATAGGTTGTGAATAGGAGACACGCCGATGAAGCGCGCCGGATAGAATGGAGACGTAGTGATCATGCAAGGCTGCTGCGACCGGCTCTGTCCGGCGGAGCTTCGGCTGATCTATCCGCTGCGATCTGCAACTTTTTGGTTAACGACCTCGAACTTCCTTTGTCCTATCTGCAGTCCTCATCTTCCATCCTGCGAGGCATGTTGAGCACAAGCCGCTGGCAATGCTCAAGATGTCTTGGTCAACAGTTGCGCACGGCAGCTAGACCGCGGATTGCTGCGCGCCTCCAGAGCACAGGTGGGTTCCTGTGCTCCCTGAAAGTATTCACTGCCTGACGTTCATACAGCTGCGACCTCTACCCTGCCAGTCGATGGGCCTTCTCCCATCTTACTGCGGCGCGCCCGTATCATTGCGGCTGAGCATGCTACCCTTTCCGCCGAAAATGCAAAAGACTATTCTGTTACTACGGCTAAGCGAATCGGCGAGATCTCCCCAATCGCATCTGCTCTGAAGGCATACGAAGAGGCTCGTGCCTCCATCGTGGAACTTGAGTCTCTGCTCGTAGATCCATCCACCGATACTGAGCTCCGTGATCTCACCCACTCCGAGATTGCTACTCTGGCCTCGTCAGTGCCCACGCTCACGACCCAACTCAGCACCTCCCTCATCCCACGACATCCTTTCGCAAGCATGCCATGTCTGATCGAGATCCATCCCGGTGCTGGGGGCAGCGAAGCGTCCCTCTTTGCGCACACCATCCTCAGCATGTACCAGTCCCTCTGCACACGCCTGAATTGGCCACAGACCCTCACTTCCTACACACCCGACAGCAACCTTTCCGAATCCACGCCAGGCATCACATCCGCTATTCTAGAAGTCTCTGCCCCAAATTCCTACAACGTCCTCCGCACGGAAGCCGGTGTCCATCGCGTACAACGGGTCCCCACGACCGAGAAAAAGGGCCGCACGCACACTTCTGCCGTCTCCGTCCTCGTCATGCCCTCCTTCCCAGAGAAGCCTGAGGAGAGCGAGCACAACTACGCCGATCCGTCATCGGATTACTATATTCCGCCACAAGACGTGCGCTCGGAAACGATGCGAGCGAGCGGCGCGGGCGGCCAACACGTCAACAAGACGGACAGTGCCATCCGGCTGACGCATGTTCCGACGGGAATCGTGGTGGGAATGCAGGAGTCGCGGTCGCAGCATGCCAACAGGACAAAGGCGTGGCAGGTGCTCCGGGCCAAGATCGCACAGAAGAGACGCGAAGAACGAGAGGAAGAGATGCTGGCGCTGAGAAGGAAGGCGATGGGTGGCGTGGCGAGGACGGGCAGAGAGGACAAGGTGAGGACGTACAATTACAGTCAGAGCCGGGTCACAGATCACCGCAGCGGGTGGCAAGGTATGGACCTGGAAGGCTTACTCGAGGGTGGAGAGTCGTTAGAGAAGTGTATGCAAAGTGTCAGAGAGTGGATGGATGAAAATGAGGTAAAGGGGCTTGTGGCGGAGGAGGAGGCGAAGGCGAGTGAGGTAGCAGAGGCCAAGAGAGCCTGACTGAGCTTGCCTGCCGTCTTTCCTGTATATTACCAGATAGGTCTTGAAGAACAATGATTCCATGTCTGAAACCATACCGTTGAGGAATATGATATGTCATACTCCAATCATACCTTCGATGCAAGTAGGAAGCAAGCATCAAGCCATCATCCCATTAGCTCCGAGACCATGTATCCTCCAGGAAGCAACACTCTTGATCGTGCATAGAGATGTACCAATTCGCACGCACACACACTCCTTCGCACTGCGTGCTCGCTCTCCTCTCCATCAAGGACAGATCTCTGCGAGGAGCCAAGAGCTGCGACGAAAGAGTGCAGCATGTGGTGTACAGGCTTGGTCTCGGACAATTGGTTGACACTGTGCCAACCACTGCCTCAGCCGCATCTTAGTGACCACTTTCTTGACTAGTGATATTCTAACGCGTCTCCGGAGATTCAAACGGTGTGTGTGGTCGACGCCGTTTGATTTTGACGGGGTCTGCAATGAGTCATACTATCGGGTCGCCTGCGAGTGGGAATGGAGAAAGATGGCCGCCCGGCTCGTCACTGCGTTCGCAATCGGACATGGTGTGAAGAAGATACTTGCTCCCTCGAGCCTGGGGGGGCTCTTGAGACTTTGTCGGTGTATCTTCTTGCATTGACGTAGAAGGTGGTATTCGAAGGGACTGCGCGGCGTGAGGCCTAGAAGTGGTGAGGCTTGAGTATTCCTAGCTGTGAGCACGGCTGTGGGCGCTGTTCACGCAACATATGGAGTCGATCACGATGTCGGGCTGTGAGCGGTGTGGAGAGCTCATCTCGGTAGAGAGCGCGTCTTCCGGACTTGCAGCCCCTGGATTTGAAAGGCACATCGGGGTCTGGCAGCTGGGAGAGGATGAACCGTTCGGTGCTGCATTGGGGGGGTAGCAGCCTTTGGTATAGGGGGAGAAGGGAATGGCCATGAGACACGGTTAGTGACCATGTGCATGATTATGGAGTACGATCAAAACTTCAAGCAAGCCTTTGGTACCTGTTTGTTTGAGCGCGAAGCTGAGACCGGCGTGTTGAGGGGGAGAAAGGTCCGGCAGGCCTGGGAAGGGACCTACAACCTTACTCTAGCTAACTGCAAGCAATGATAGCGGGTGGCAGTACTGGAGACATATCGTTGTGGGCTCGATAGCATTATGATGGTGCCCTCCATGCTAGCCGGTTCAGCCTAAAGACCGCTCGATAACAAGCAGGGGAAACGCGCGGTGTGCTGGGGCAAGGTCGCCACCTATTGGCTGGGACCAGGAACGTAGGGGACTCCATCGTCTAGGAGAGGAGGTGCATCGGTTGGCACCCATTACTGGTGCGAAGTGCTTCGCCTCGCATGCCACCACCTGACGAAGCCAGGGTCGGACAGCGCGGCCGTCCTGTGCACGCTCAGCAGGTAAAATCCTGATAGAGGCTCGTAATCCAGGGAGCAAATCATACGCCCTTTCTGGTCCAGGGTAGAGGTCCGGTCGATTTGCCCGGGTGCCTCGCCTTACCTGCTTCAGGCACTGAATCAAGAAGCTCCTCCCAAGATCTCACTCGATCATGGACATTGACACCCGGGATAGATGATCCTGGATTGGTGATCTGGTTGTTAGCCAGCGAGATTTACCACCAATTCTCTGTCTTTGTATAGGTAAGAACCACGATGACAGACTCCCACTATGCTGGCGAGTTCAGAGCCTCGTTGCATATCGGCTCAAAGCCCTGGCTAGTCGGCGCCATTCCTAGGACGCGGTCGGGGTGTGGTGCAGGACAGATCCTTGAGTACTCCATAGCCACCAACTGACTTGCCAGGGAAAACGTTCCAAGGTTTCGGCAGCTCTCATTTCTCGTTCAGGCATGCGTCTATGCATCCATGAACGAGCTGGGAAGGAGATGAAGTGCAGTAGCGTGCAGAAGAAACTCAGCTCAGCCACAGAAACCTTGACCACTTACGCACAGTCACTATCCACCTCTCATCAGTCACAACCTTTTCGGTACGACAACTCTGCCGGGTGCCTACTTCAAGCGAGCAAGCTCATGCTCAGGATGTCGTGACGGAAAGCCGTGAGATCCACGAAGGGAGGTCGAGGTCGGCAATGGAGGCGGTGAGGCGCGGAGTGGGGCCGGCGAGCTACTCGGCGAACATGTGCATGAACTACAGTGGAGAGCATCAATTTTCAATGGAGACAGATCCGGGCCTTTGTGCGCATGCTGTGCGTGGTAAGACGCGAGTCAGAGCTGTCGGAAAGAGCAGCAAGCAAGACAGACTGGTGAGATCTCTCCGCATGCAACTCAGGCACTGCATTGTGCCAGGAGTCGATGGACCCCTGCGGCAGATGGCAGCAACACCTGCGCGATGTGCGTCCCTAATGTACACGTCTCTCCAAACGTCGTTGTGGCCGCAGTGAGGTTGCTGTTAACCCTCATTCCTATCGGGCCGCCAACATAGCCATCATCACGAATCAATCCATCTAGACGGCCTAGCTAGAACCGAGTACCATGTGCGCACCCAAGATTTCAATGTGATAGCCAAAGCCCCGATCATCTATCACCTCATGGCGTTACTCCCAAACCCTGTCAACTTTCTGCATTCATTGCCTAATTTCTTTTGCCTTGCTTCCATGTTTGCAACGCTAAAATCCAGCGTGGGCATTGAAGCTCAACTATGAATCTGCGGTGCCCGACTCCCTTTTCCCGTTATCCTCGCATCCGGGTTCCAGTCTGATATGTCGTAGAAGGAAATTTTTGGGTCCAGTCGCCTTGTGTGCGGCTGCAAGAAACGAGTATCGCATACCACCCATATTAGCCGTACAGTGTCAGATCGATGATCATCTGATGAAAGCCGTTTTGCGGTGGAGTCGCAAACCTGCACAAGTGAGGACAAGCCTGTGGAGGAGAGCATCACATCATCTGATCCTGACTCATGCCGCCAGTAGCCTCCTGGTCTTCCATGGCCTCCCCTCCATTGGCATTGGTGTAGCGAACGTAGGACAATCCAAGGGGACGGCCGCCGTACTGGTAGTTGCTGAACTTGGAGATGGCGGTTTCAGCATTCTCGGGGCTGTCGAACTCGACCACACCAGCGCCCTTGGAGCGTCCGTTGGGCTCGTACTGGATCTCGGCTCGTTCAACTTTGCCGATCGTGGTGAAGAGCTCGACCAAATCCTCGTTGCTGGTGGACCAGGGCAGGTTGCGCACGTAGATCGACTGAGAGCGCTCTCCGTTGCCAGTGGCGAAGTCAGTGAATGGGTTAGGAGCAACAGGTTCCGCAGGAGGAGCGCCGCCGCCGTAACCACCGCCACCGCCGCCGCCGCCGTATCCGCCACCGAATCCGCCACGTCCTCCGCCAAATCCGCCGCCAAATCCTCCACCGCGACCACCGAATCCACCTCGGAATCCTCCCCCATATCCTCCACGACCTCCAAATCCTCCACCTCCGAATCCGCCGCGGCCGCCGTAGCCCATGCCTCCACCAGCGTAGCGGTCTTCGCGAACCTCGAGGGCTCTGCCTTGCCAGTCGTATCCGTTGAACTGCTGGATAGCATTGCGCGCATCGTTAGGAGACTCGAAGGCAACTATGCCGGTTCCCTTGGGACGACCAGTCTGGTCCATGTGAACATCGGCGCGGATCACTCCTCCTTCCTGAGCTACACATATTCAGCCAGCCGATAGATACATGAGATCTGTATATCACTCACCTGCTTGACGGAAGAGATCTTTGAGGTCCTGCCAACCGATATTGAAAGGAAGCTGTCAATATGTCAATAACTTGCGCTGCGAAATATGAGAAGAGATGAAGGGGTCCACAAACGTTGGAGATGTAGAGCTGACGCTGCCCACCTCCCATCGGGCCACCGCCATAGCCACCGCCCATGGCACCTCCCATCGGGCCACCTCCCATTGGGCCACCGTAACCGCCGCGGCCGCCATAACCGCCACCAAAGTCGCCGCGGGAGGGAGGACCGGTGAATCGAGGTTCAGTTTCGCGGTCCTAAGCAAGCCGGTGATTAGTGATTGACAGACCATATAGTTGCTGGTGGACCTACTTCGCGGACGTAGACGAGACGACCCATCAGGCTCTGGTTGCTGAGGGTTTGAATCGCATTTTGAGCTTGCTCTCGAGTAGCGTATTCCACAATACTGCAGAGCGTTAGTTTCGGTGGCCGAAGCTGGAAGGGTTGAGACTTACCCGCATCCCTACAATACCCGTGGACCAGGTCCATACCGTCAATCAACCGTCCATCAAGGAAAAAACCAAAAAGAAAGACCAGAAACACCAGCCACATCACACGATTTCGCCCACCTTCGACATTCCGTTAGGAAGTAGCAAGACATCAGCAAAGAGAACTTCTCCAGCTGCGCAACGGATTAGCAAGGTTCCAGAGCACCAAAGCGCAGTCTACATACCTTGTCTCATGAAATCTTTGAGGTGATGCCACTTGACATCGTAGGCCAGGTTGCCGACATAGACACGACGGTCCTGTTGGGAGGACTCGCGCACTGATTGCATCATTTGCTCTTTCGCAACAGCTCGATCCTCGAATGATCTTGGTGGTGGCGGAGCACCTCTTCCGGCGTAGCCTGACCCTGAATATCCTCCAGATGCGTTGGCTGCACCGCTCATAGGACTTCGAGATCTGCGTTCACTGCGTCGGTAGTCTTCGCCGCGGCTGCGGGATCGGCTATGAGGAGAGTAGGATCGTCTGCTTCTGCGCGGGCTGCGGGAGCGGCGACGAGGGGATCGAGATCTTTCGCGCTGGAACGAGTCAGAAGAAGGGTAGGTAGTAGAAGCGAGCATGGTGAAATTAGAGAGAGGGTCGTGGATTTATGACCCCGCACGCGATGGATGTGGATGTGACTGTATTGCAGTGACGAGTTCAAGAATGGCAATAATCGGGTGCGGGTGATATTGATGTGAAGGTGAAGTGAAAAGCGGTAGGGCAGAAGTGGACCCAGGCTGACTTGCGACAGTGCGCAGTCAATTCTCTGCGGTTCACAACCGAACAACCACAAGACCACATTCAAAGAATTGACCACTTACTAAAGTAAATGTTAGCACGCAACGGTCGTCAGTGATGTGTGTGACAGGCAAAGGTAAGCAGAAACAGGGCTGAGGGGATCAGGCAGAGGAAGAGTGAGGGCGGGAGCTGGGGATGATGAGAGAGGAGCCAAGGCAGATTGATGTTGGGCAGGCATCGGAATGAGAGGGGAACCAGACTGACCCATGATGAAAGAGCTTGACTCCGTTGCCGAGCAGTCGTGCAGATGGATACAGGAGTTGTTTCTACGAAATGAGTGTCGGTATGCAGGACGATGCACGGAATAGAGGCCAGCTAACAAGGTTTTGCGAGTGGTACGAGGAGCGGCGCAGCTGTGGAGAAAGTCGCAAGGATGCGATAGCGGCAGATGGCTGCTTCGAGCGTTAGAGTCGCAATGGTGCTGAGGCTCAGCAAGCTCCTTCTGGAATACACGGTTAGCGAAGGGCCATGAAAAAAGTGCGAGGGCATGGACGGGCGGGGTTCAAGGCCCGAGCACACAGGCATGAGGGGACAGGATTGGGCATCTGCTACGTCTCAGAACGACGAAGGTGCTTACATGCAACAGGTGATTGCTTAGGCGTGGACGGTGATGCAGGCTATGATAGGGTCGGGACGTCAGCCTGATCACGCATGGCCCTGGGGAATGCCGCGTAGGGCGGGTTTGGGCAGACTGCGCAAGCTTTTTCTCGCACGCGATTATCGAGGGTGTACGAACCTCTTGTTGCGCTAGCACAATTGACCAGATGCGCTGCCAGGCGGATCTCGAGCGGAAAGGGATCCGGTGCAAAAGACTGGCGCAGGGAACTGCCTAGTAGGAGCTTCGGAATGGGCAGGGTGTCCGTGTTGGAGTGTGTGGACTCGCAACGTGCAGCCGATTGCGGTGGCGAAGAGCGCGCACACTCTCGGGGGGCGATCGAGATGGGATGGAGGATGATGAACTGCAGCGACTAGTGAAAATGCAGCAGGCGAGATGCAGCGGCACGAAAGGAAAGGGAACAGACGCAGTGAAGGCAAGAGGTTGACTCGAGTTGGCAGTTGTGATTCGCTCCGTTGAGTGCGTTAGCGCCTCGGCTTGGCCCCTCTCGAGCTGGGGGAGCAGAAGTTCCGAAGGCTGTTGTTCAAGAGCGCCTCTAAGCGTCTGCATAGGTAAAGAAGCTGCAAGGGGCTATCACCGAAGAACAACGGTCCGTCTCGCTTGACTGCTGAACCGTCGGCGGCGGCCGGTGCTTGCGTGCAGCATGCAGCACTGGCGAGCAGATCAAGCTACGCACTTCTACCGTTCTGCTACCATACCTTCTGGCCATTGCGACGTCGGTCCACCATGGTGTGCTTCAACGAGCGAAGCTACTGCTGTCAGTCTGTCAAAATCATGTCTGCACTAACAAGCACTACTGCGTACCAAACGGACCTCGTTCCTGAAGGTCCTCAACTCCTCGGTCGTCATGCCGTGCTGGTACGGAGTATCCTGCGGCCCTTTTCTGAGCTCCTTGGCTTTATTAAAATAGCCTGGGTCTGTCGCAATCGGCTGTCACGGAAGCCTGCACCCGCCGGGCGATCGCCAGCCCCGTCAAGCCAGGTTAAACGTACCTCTTGTTTTCAAGATGCTCACAATTCCTTTGTTTCGGCAGCTCAGAGACAGCTTCCAGTGCTAAGCTATTGGCATTGTCGCACTGGATATGCCGTGGCATTCGCCCAGCAAAGACAGGTGGCCCCATTCGCCTTCCGAGCTAATCCTCCCTGTTAGATTGGGACGTACTTTATGCATGACCCGAACTAGACTTCCTGCATTCCCCTTCAGCTGGACACCTCTGAATGTGGGTACACAGGACCAACCGCTTCGCTAGACGGCTTTCGACAGAAGATGCTACAGTACGAAGGACAGACTTCGTCAAGGATAGTGCCTGTTGCTACTGTAAAGCATGTGCCTCGCTTGCCCAGAATCTCGCCTCAATGATTCAGCCTTGTGAGCCTGCGCCGATCGCCCGCAAGGCTTGGAAAAGTTCCGAGTCGATGATGTACAATGCATGCTCGTACACCTTAAATTGCACGCCTTACATGCAATAGTTTCCACTTCCACTACATCTCAACCTACGTTGTGACGATGTCTGTTCGCAGTGTTATCGTGAGTCGCTTGCCGCCACGGCAACCAGCTCTCCTCCGCACCTCACTTAGATCCTATTACTCACAGCATCATCCCGATCTTCCGCCATTCCCCCAAGCGCAAGAGGCTATTCTCTCCGCCGCCTTGAAGCGAGTTCCCGAATATGGCTTCTCTGAAAAAGCTCTCACCCTTGGAGCTCGAGATGCCGGTTACCTCGATGTGTCCGTTCAACTGTTCCCTCGCGGCGTCTTCGATGTCGTAAATTACCACCTGGTCACGCAGCGGCGGGCCTTGAAAGATGCTGTACAGTTTCCGGACGATGCAAAGCTCGGTGTTGGTCGTAAGATTAAGACTCTCGCCATGACTCGACTGCGTGCGAACAGAGACGTAATTCAACATTGGCAAGGAGTCAGTCCACTCCGAGAGCTATAAAATCACTCGTAATGCTGACCCCAGTTCCAGGCTCTTGGTCATATGTCGTTGCTTGAAAACCTGCCCGCATCTTTGAAAGAGCTCAATCTGTTAGCAGACGAGATGTGGTATCTCGCAGGCGATACTGCCGTCGACTTCTCGTGGTACACCAAGCGAGCAACCCTGGCTGCGGTCTATGCGAGCTCGGAGCTTTTCATGACCACAGACACTTCTCAAGATTTTGCCTCGACGGAAGAGTTTCTCGACCGCCGGCTGGAAAGCGTTCAAAAGGTGGGAGGCGCCGTTGGCGGATTCACCCAGTATGTTGGCTTCTGGGCGGGCAACAGCCTCAATTTAGCCCGATCTTGGGGCATGCGATTCTGAGCCAGGAGAGCTATCGCCATTCTCTGATACACACAGGCCTGGTCAGCCCATGAGAGAATCACCCGCGCCTACTGCAGGAGCAGACTTTGGCCGTGACTCAGCAAGATGGCTCTTCTGCTTTCTGGGTGCATCCGGCTCCCGTTTCAAGCCCGAGCATACGTCCTTAGTACGATCGCTCTCATTTCTTCTTATGATGGCGAATGGACACGGACGACTACTGGTATTCTCCAACCTGTAAGATTTCGGCGCGGACGAGGCACAAATCTACTCTTAAGGCTTCGCTGGACACCTCCCCACTTCCAACCTTCAGCAGTACCAGATGTGAGAACGTCCAAAGATGTGCCTGGCCGTGCCCCTCGACCCCACAAAGCCTCCCATAAATCGCTGTCTTGCGATTGCCATCATCAGACCTAGCAATCGCGAACTTCTTGTTCTGAACAAACACCTTCTAACCTGACATCGGCGTTGTCAGGCAGCCAAACCGTCCTACGAGCGTATTTAATTACAACACTTGGCGACAACACCACATCTAGCGCATTCAGCACCCATCTTTCTGAAATCATCATGGCTTCGCGCCAGACTAGACAACCCAAAAATCATCAAGTCAAGCGGCCCACCATCAAGATCTACCTTAAACGAAACGAGGATGGCAAATGGAAGTTCGTGAAGCCGCCACCAGGCGCTCGAGCCCAGACTCAAGCTCTGGCTCACCGAGTACCTAAAGCCACTCAAAATGACATCGTCAAATCGATCCCCAGCAAGAGTGATGGCACGACGACGACCTCTGAAAAGGCCTGAGCGACACACTCAAAAATGTATGCTACTTTCCACATACTGGCTCGTGTACGATGCTGACAGGAATCTCAGTAGCTTGACCAAATACGGTCTTCGATCATCAGCGACAAAGACCTTGGAAGAAGGGCACCATGTGGGGCTGACCAGCATGAGCCTGAGCAGCTTCCACGATCATGAGCTCTGCAGATGCAGAGATGAGGCAACTACCTAATCTTTCGACGTTTGGTAGCGGACAACGGATCGGCCCTACTGGGCAAGCCTCAAAGGACGAGGAACTTTAAGTGGAGCAGGCATTGCTTCGCAGTTGTCATCTCTCCGCATGAGTTCTTACATTAGATAGATTCGAAGACAGCAGGTCTGGCGGCGGTGCCGGCCAATAATTGCACGAACATTCCTTCCACACGCCCTCCTCACTTTTTGAGCATCCCTCCACCCGCCGCAATTCTAGAACACGATGGCATCGACCTTCGCCTGCTGCTGTTGCTGCTGCTGCTGCTCATGTGCCACCTCTACTCTCTCCTCTAACCGTCGGTTCCAAAGGGAACACCTCCCTCTCCGCACCCACTCCCTCATACAAAGCCCTCCACTTCCCCTCCAACTCCCGCGGCGTGTCCCAAGCATATTCCGGATCTCTCAGCCACAGCCGCACCAGATGCCTCCTCCTGCCCTCCTCATCCGTGAACCCGTCCCGCGCATGAAACACAGCTAGGTTGTTCACGTACTGCACATCCCCCTTCTTGAACTCCAGCCCGACGTTGAACCGCTCGCCCAGGAAGTGCAGCGCGTCCAGCGCCTCGGCCTGCGCCTCGCTGATGGGGGGGATCGCCGTGCTGCGCGGCAGCGCGCCGAAGCCCGTGAAGTAGCGCCGCGCGTATTGCAGCAGGACCCGCGCCGGCGCGTCTGCTGTCGCCGGCTGGTGGTACAGCAGCGGCCGCGAAGTGTACGGTTCGTGTGTGTTGCCAAAGTTCTCGAGCGGCCACGGCGCGGACAGCGTGTGGATCAGGTCCGGCCGCGTGGCGGCTAATTCGTTGTAGACGCGCCAGGTGCTGGCCAGACGGGAGGTGCCGCCCTCGGCGGCTTCGCTGAGGCAGAAGAGGGAGACGACGTCGCCGGAGTCGGTGTGGAAGACTTGCTTGTCGGCGGTGTACGCGGGCGAGCCGACGGAGGAGGACTGTGACGTGTAAGTCAGGTCTTTGACGTGGTTGAGCATCATGTCCGCAGGCTTGCCGAGGTATTGACTATCCTGCCGACCGCGTTGAGGGGCTACGTGCGAGGAGATGCCGGCGTATATGGCAATGTTGTCGGCGCGAGTGTGTTTGTCGACGGGCAGGCCACGGAGGATGAAGAAGCCGTGACCCTGGTGAAGTTCACGGGAGAGAGCTCGCAGGCGTTCATGAAGAGTGGGCAGGGGGAATGTCGTTGCGTTGACGTGACCGATGGGTTTATCGAGGGCGAATCGAGGTCAGATAGATATGAATGCTTCCGTAAAAGACAACTTACATTTGAAGTGGGCGAGGCCGCCTTCGATTTCTTCGATCTCGGCGTCGCTCAGCTCGTATGTCCAATTGTATCTATCCTTCAAGTCTTTGCCATCCCAGACCATGTCGCCAGAGAGTTTCTCGGGAAACCCATCCGGGACCGTCTTGGGTAGGGTCTCACTCTGAAGTCGAAGTTTGCCTCTGGCCTGATACTTCTCGAAATCAGGCGCATACTGGATGTCCGGTTGCTTCGCAGTGATCTCTATTGCTGTCGATGACATGACTGCTGTTCGAGAGATAAGAACTTGCAAAATCTAACGTAACTCCGGGGGTAGCTCAGGGTCAGAGCCCGCAGCGCGTAACTGGGGTATTGTAGCAATCCTCGTTGCCTTCTCCAAGCATTACATTTATATTGCGCAATCGATGCGGAGAATGGCGCGCTGCAGCTGGCGACTGCTTGGGAAGTCCAATGGCAATCGTAGTTCATCAGGAGGTCCTTAACGACACACCTTTCTGCAATCCGTGATCGTTCAGGTGTCACACCTCGAACATCACGCGGTAAGCGTCTCCAGACAAGGTCGTTCGACGACTGCTCTTCGTAGTGATAGTTTGTAAGGCCGCGGAGGTAGAGGTCTTGTCCTCCAACGTGGTTGGGAGGGACTACGAGCCGAACCAACAGTCTCTAATGAACATGATGCACAGTCATACAAAGGTGATTCGATGCATACGACACGAGGCAACGACACAGCATCAAGCATGGCCTGGTTGCCTTCTTGGCGGTCACCACTCCTTCTTGGCTTCGGCTTTCTACACATCCGTTCCTTTCTTCATCTCATCATCAGAATATCACGATACGTCTACAGAATCAACGCTGCACAAAGCCGGTGGGCCTGGGCACAGCCCTTCCGTTGAAAACCCTTCTGGACCTCCTGCAATAAAGTTATCGGTCGTGTAGCCCACCATGACCTCCACCCCAAGGCAGCACAGCCGGAACCCTTCCATCCCCGCGCACGTAGTTCTCTCAGACCCCACCGAGCTCGACCTTTCACCCTCCAAAGCCCGAGCATACCACGCCACCACCCACGCCTGGACCCAGGTGTCGAATTGGCTTACCCAGGTCCTCCCTTCCGGCCGCCTCCCGCCTTTCGAACAAAATGTCGAAACTCTCGCGTACCTGCAGAGCCTGATGCATGCCAACCGAGCGGCAGACAAGGAGCGGCAGCTTCTGTTCGAGGCGCAGGAGGCGCAGGTGAAGATTTACCAAGAGCACGCGGAGGCGGCGAAGGGAAGTCAGGGTGCAGCCCTAATGGGGGATTTGGCTGGTGCGTTGGGGTCGGAAGGGGAGGACGTGCTTAGCTCACTTGCTGAAGCGACAATCCGGTTGAACCACCTCCCACCCGAGCCGGACTCGGCATCGCCAGGCGGCTCTCCGGAGACCGAGTTGGGACAGAGGATGCTGGGCCTCACTCTTTCAATCTTTGAGCTGGAGCAGGAGCTCGCCTCTTTGTCTGAGCTGCGATCATCGCTTGAGGCTCAGACCTCGACAGCTGTCCCCACGGCTGCTGAAGATGAGGATGCGCAAAACTCAATTGTAAACTTAAGGCAGCAGACCTCTCAGCTTACGGCCCAGACTAAGCATCTGTCGCTGAAGATTGCCGAATATCAGGACCGGATAGCAGCTCTCTCGAGAGCGGATGGATACCAAGGCATTGACATGAATGAAGTCAAGCAGACCGAGAAAGAAGTGGCTGCCCAAAGAGTTGTTGTTCGAAAACTGGAAGAGCGCCTAAAGGAGTACCACGGGCTCCCACCTGATCTGGAGGCAAGCCGTGCGGAGGTGAGGCGGGCACAGGGTGAGCTAGAGAGGTGGAAGAGAAAGAGGGAGGAGGTATTTGAGGGGATTGGGGGACTTTGATAGATTACTGATACATTCTCTTTTCAATGACCTCTGGCCGCGGTATGGATATCAATTGAAGGCTACACCGACTTCCACCTCCAAGCTCTTGCTTCAGGACGACTCGGGCCACCTCAAGCACCGTATTCCTCTGCAACATTCCCCGACGTCGGACTCCAAATAGGGTTTCAAGCATCATACAAGGACAACCTCATTGATCTTCAGATCTTCTTCCGGCCGAAGAGGTTTCTGGACTTCTTTCTGGTTAAATCAGCCCGTCTCCTTCACTATCGCCTCATGGCATGACTTTGAAGCTTACTTTGGTCCACTGGTACCATGAACAACCCGGTCCTGAGCTCGGCCCACTTTATCGGCTCCAGCCTGCAAGGCGCCTCTGGTCGAGTCAGGCTGACTCTCACTGCAGCAGCCCAGGTCAGTAAATTGCTGAAGCCGGCAGAGACGATTCATACCGTGCAGCAGTGTCGGCATTGTCGGTGGTGTGCTCCTTTACTTTCTCGGATCTGCTTTTGAAGATTCCAGGCGTGATGCTCTCCTTCACCTTGGTGCTGAAGTTCTTGCGGCCGGGATCCGACATGGTGGTGAGCTGATTGCAGGTGTTGTGCCTGGAAGAGGGAGAGGAGACTCTGTTGGTGGAAAGGCAGAGCGATATAGCAGCTACACGAGCTATCAGTGTGAGAGCAATGAATTGTCACGAGTGTTGATGGCTTGCTAGAAGAAATGCTTGCGGTACAAGTAGCTTCGGGAGGTGAAGAGTGACCGAGGGCAGAAACGACAGTAGATCTGCACCGAATTCGAGGGCAGGAGCATGAGGTAGCAACAACCGTAAGTAAGTGAGATTGCTCTCATACCTTTAGCAATCGCGACTGTATCTCTGCGAACTTGGCTCTTGCCGCCAATTAGCTTAAGAGTGCTCTAACCTCTGCGCCCGTCCTTGGATAGAGATCGGCGAGAGATCGTATTTCATCTCCTTCCGCGTCGACTTCACCGTTAGGGCCTTCCATGTCTGCTTGGTGGATCATTCCCTCCAGTTCGTCAAACTCAGCACAGAATCTGTCGACGGCTTCGCCAATAATGTCCTTTGCCGCCGACTTGTCACTCATTCTGGAAAGACCTTCTTGTGCGTCCATCAGTCCTGAAGCAAGGAAGTCGTCAAGGACCAGAGCCGCATTGGTCAGGTTCTCTATGAACCACTTTCGCCTCATTTCCTTGTCGGGCCGAGTATCTGCTTCCTGCAACAGCGCTCCAATGCCCGATGCATCGAGCAAGGATGTCGTTACTGATTCTGACAGGCTGTCTCTAATTGTTTGAAGCTCGCTGTTGACCTTGTCGAGCGGCAAACTGATCGGAGGTACCTGGGACAGAATAGACCGGAGCGACATCTGCAAAGCCGTCAGATAGTTAGCCTTGTAGATGTTGCTTTCTCGAACTTCAAGCAGCTGAGAGGCACCGTCCGCGCAGGCATCAACTATGCCAGACAGTACTGCTGAGAACAGCCGTTCAAGCTCCGAGCCTGTCATTTGCGGACCACGAGAGCGTGCGATGTCTGTGAACTGCTTCAAGGCGACGTGAAGGAAAGTGGGGGGACTGAGGTCTGGCGAAGGTGTTGTGTCCGCCGTGGCTGCCCCAACTTCTTCGTCCATCGTGTCTTTGAAAAGGCCAAGCACAGCCGTCTCAAGCTGCACCAGGGTATTGTCGATCGTGGTGCCTGATCCGATGAGCTTTGAGAAGATTTCCTGATAGAATGTGAGAAGGTTGAAGACCTTGTACATCAGCACAGGATCTCCGCTGTTCTTGACCGCAACTTCAATCCGTTGATGCAACGTCTGGCAGACGCCGACCATGTTGCGGCTGACGAGGTCGCTAAGAGCCTTTTGCCCATCGAAGACATGCTCCGATGTATCATCTTCTTCGGCTCGCTCATCAACCCCACCGGGCCTTCTTACACGAGCCCAGGGCTCGCTCGTATGGCCTACTGCAAGGCCTTTAGAGATCTCATTGGCGTCGGAAATGAAGAGGCCTTCAAGTGCCTCCTTCTCCGAGACAGCCGCAGAATGTATCCAGGCCAACATGTCGCCAACATAGCGGAGCGGATCGTGGGTGGAAAATTCAATGGCTTGGCCACTGCCGGTGCCGGTCAGAGCACCCTGGAAAGCTTCAGATAGAGTAGTTTCCCTTGCCTGTGCGAAGAAGTCGAGACAATTCTGAAAAAGCGTTGGGCGGTCAGAAAGCACTCTCAGCGCCCGTCGAATCGAGCCACTGATGTGCGGGTCCTCCAGATCAAGACCTTTGAACTCGCGTTGGATCCAGGTATAGAGCTTTTTGAAGCCAGCGTCAAGATTCCTCGTGGTTTGCTCCATGAGCTCGAGACCCAACCTTTGGGTTTCGGTACCAAGGAGGATCTCGCAGTCCTTGTGAATCTGCTGGACTCTTTGCAACACGACAAAGAAGCGCTCATCGAGAGGCTCAGCAGAGCTCGTCAGAGTCTTGAGGTCGGCATCGGAGAGAGTGAAGTGTTTGCAAAAGACTTCTAGAAGTTGCTGCTTTGCTTCGCCCTCCTGCTTTCGAGCCAAGAGAATGGAGGCTTCTTCCAATACGGGCGCAGACTCTTGCTTTGCTGCCAGGATGTGACCTCTCATCTGGTCGCAGGTGTCGTTCAACCTAGCCAACAGAACCCCGACTCGCTTTAATTGCTGAGCTGAAGTGTGAGTGCTTGTCACACGGTGTGCCAACGACATGCTTACCTCTGCCACGTGTCCAAAGTCACCAACAATCCGGGCATTTGCATCGATAATCTCCTTCTCCGCGATAGATTTGAGAGTCTGCGACTTCTGATACTCAGACTGGACATCGCGAATATCAAACAAACGAAGAGCTTCACGTATCTCAGAGTCGGCATAGGATGCTGAAAGGACAGTTGCTAATTTTGTCGAGAGTGCATTGGCGCTCCTGGAGGTAATGCCATCCTCACCGGGTGAGAGTGGGCTGCCGAGGCCATCGCCATCAGGACCATCGATCCCAGATAGGTAGGCATCCATTTTGTTGAGTACCGAACAGAAGAAGCAAGGCGAGATTGTGTCTGGTGCGTTGTAAACGTGGTGGGTCTCAAAGCTCAATTCTCATTGGACGATGACTATGAGAAGGCGACAAGGCGCCCTGCTCAGTCAGATCTACTTGTGCTCGCTTCAGAGATGTTCTAATAGAACAAGTATAGACCATTACGGTCGCTGGATCACGTGCGAACTACCACTATGGTGATACCTTACTTATGATTACCTCTATCTACATTTGGGAGATCAACCATTTGACCCCAGTCACAAGGTTGGCAACGAATTGCTGCCCCTCAGGTAGACCGGGAAAGATCCAGAAATAATGCGGCAGAGCTTTGTAGAAATCAAGCTTCGTCGGCACACCGGCTTTTTTCAACGCCGCTTCCATAACAAACGCATCGTCTCGCAGTGGATCTCGTTCGCAAGCAGCAAGATACGTTGGCGGAAAGTTCTTGTGGTTCTCCTTGTCAAGTGCAACGAAGATGCTAGGATCGTCGTGTCTGGCCCCGGACGATTCGAAGAACAGCCTCATTGATTCCTGGTCGATAATGGGAGTTCCTTCTTTGTTGTCGTCATACGCCTTGTACATCGACTTGTATTCTTCTGGAACGTGCGACCAGTGTAGAGCCACCGGAACAACAGCGGCAATCCCTCTGATGCCGTTCCGATTCGCAGGGTCCTTGACGATGTGATTTGCTAGTGCGAGAGCTAAAGCACCACCAGCCGAGCCTCCTATTGAGAAAAATTTGGCAGGGTCGCCTCCGATGGAAACTGCATTCTGTCGCGCCCACTTATAGACCGTGAGTGTGTCCTGCAGCTGTGTGGGCAACTTGAACTCCGGCGTGAGTCGGTAATCGACGTTCACAATGACCGAAGATGCGTGCTCGCTCACAATGCGACAAAGAGCGTCGTCACTATTGAGGTCGCCGGTCATCCAGCCGCCTCCGTGAGTCCAGATTCCAACGGGAAGGGGCTGAGTGACGCCTTTCGGTCGATAGACGCGGTACTTGATGCCGTCGACCTCGCCATCCTCGGCGCTTACTGCCTCACTTGGTGGCGGAGCTTGTTTCCCTAGCATTTCAGCTAAACCATTCGACATAGCCTTAATCTCCTCGGGAGTGCCGCGGAGCGTCATTCGGCCTCCCAGGCCTTTCTCTAGCTTCGGATGTGTTAGCGTGTACAGTGTCGTATAGAAGTGGAGCTACCTCTAGCCAACTTTGAGTGTATGACATCGCGAACAGAGGCTACGAGAACGTGAGTGGGAAAAACAACAGCTGTCGAAGAGGGCAGCCGAGAGTGAAGAGTAGCATTTTCTGACACAGGGCAGGCTTTGGTGTATTTCGAGAGAGTACCAGGTACGTGACCTAGTATCCTCCAACACACGAGGCGGGGTGATTGGCTGTTCCCCGCAAGGGCCAGACCATCCGAAACCATGCCTCGGTAGACTTTTGCGAGCGCCTGGCAAGACAACGTCGGAAAGGATGAGTCAGAAAAGAGTGACTGAAGGGAGCTCTCTCTCCGGGATCCGAAGTGTATGGAACGGCCCAATCAGGAATGTCAGCCATCGCCTTAACATCAGTAGTACGTCAAAGAGTTTCGCATAACACAACACGCAGTAATCGCGAATCTTTCAGGGAGCCTCATCCTGCCTCACATTCGCAGCTTTTCGTGGCAGTCGGGCAAATCGAGCAGGTCAGCTGAAAGCGATGAGATATTTACCAGCCAAGGACGTCGCTGCCTCGTGATGTAGATACTCCTGTTTCATTGGCCAGAAACGGCTTGATGGGACGAAAGACTCTACGCTTGTCGCTTCGTTTCGTTGCATGGTGACGAAGACAGTGGGATCGCACCAGCCGGTATCGCTCGCAGGAAATGTCACACCGCAAGAAAGCTGGTACGTGCTGTATGCGACGCCCCGCTGTGAACGATGCATTCTGTAAAATCGTGTCTTGATATGCAGTGCTATGTACAGAGCACCTTTGGACGCAAGAGTCGCTGATTGTATCGGTTGCTGTAGCTCACAACACCTGGGTTTCGGCCTGGACGCTGTCAGTCTGGGGTTAGTCGGCGGTAGATAGGAGCCACATACTTTCCACCTGCTGTTCACTGAGCCACAGTTAGCGATTGCATCATCAAGGACAGTAAGAGCCTACCTTCAAATCCAGCAGGAGCTTCCACAGCCTCGGACTGCCCTCTGAAAACGCCAGTGATTCTCTGGTCACGTTCCATCACTGCCCCCCTCGTCAGTCAAATCTGCTTATTTGTAGTCAGACTTGCGTACTTTGCCTCTCCCACATATCGAGGTTCCATCTCGGCCTCTTCTGGTTGTTGTTGTAGTATCTTATCGTGGACAAGCCGACTCCCTGGTATTCATCGTCAACCGCTGAAGGACAGTGTGAGGTAGTGAACGTACTGTAACGCCAAAAAGACCGATCATAATCCCGTAAGGGAGCAGGGCTTCGAACGGCACACCCATTGTGACGCTCGTTGTAGGATCGTAAAGTCAGTCGTCGCTTTCTCGCTGTCGGGTCTGAACCTGAGTGCGAGGGTCGCCGGAGCTTCGAACTGCGGAGGGATGATCACGCTATACCCAATTTGGACGCGAACTCGCCAGTCGACCTTTCCAGCGGTGATGGCGCAGAGGAATTGCGCCGGACAAGCCAGCCGCCTCTACATCTATCGCAGCCTATCCTACGACGCGTATCCTATGCCTACGATTGATACCTAGGTGCCCGTCTCGGTCCGACCGGAACGAAAGAGACGCATCGTACGCGTCGCATTCTTGCACCCCTCCTGGCTTCGCCAGACATGCACTGAACACGCGGCAACCCACAGCCAATCTACAAGGACTCACGTTCAATAGACAGTCACCAATCTGTCATGGCCACGGCAGCACGTATCAACTCAGACAAACATTGACGCGTGGCTACCGGCTAAAGTCGAGTCGCTAGGGTAGAGCCGGCGACACAGCAAACAAAAGATATGCCACCGCCTGTCTCGGAATATTCTGAAGACTACACCGAAGAGAGCTGGAAGGCCTCTACGGACGAGAACATGGAGCAAGACGACTCTTTGCCTGCACCCGAACCCACCGAGCTACTTAATGAAGAGCAGGCTGTGGACAATGCTGCAGGTCAAGATGGTGTTGATGCCACAGAAGATACGGTTGATGACAGCGAGTTGATTGCTCAACTACAGCGGTCAGCACAGGAGTATGATGGTGATGAAGGAACGGCTGACATGTCCAAGCAAGACTCGGAGCAAGAGGACGACGAGGATGAGGAGGATGCGGCATCATCAAGCGAGGCAGTGGACGAAGCAGAGGCAGCTGCTGGAAAAGATAACCAAACCGAGTCCGAAGCCGAGACCGAATCATCTTCCACCGACGAAGCTGACGCAGAGAGCAGTAGCTCAGACACTGGCGAAGACGATGTCGAAGAGCTGGAATCCGATTCTTCAGACGCTGAGGCAGAATCCCCGGGTGTAAATTGCATCTTCTGCGGCAAGCCTAATACCGACAATTTGGATCGAGAATCAGAGACATACCTAGCATGTGCCATCTGCGCAAACCCTGCCCACCAGGCTTGTGCCCGGGGAAATGAGGCGCTAGGAGAAGATCAGGACATAACTGCCTGGCGATGCCCAACCTGCGCCAACAACGAAGCACAGTCTGAGTCGCCCAAGTCAGTGCTGGCCCGAGCTAGGAACTCCAACTCCGCTCCACGACTCGTCCGTGACCTGCTCCCCGTCTCTCGAGGGCTTCAGAAGCCAAATTCCCATTCGATATTTGCGCAGCCCTTGTTAGATGCTGAGGATGGTGGGCGTTCTCTTAGAAAGAGGAAATCGCCAACTCAAGAACCACTCCCTTCAGAAAAGCGACGACGGAAAACCACACCTGGAGCCACAGAACCTCCAGATGCCGAAGCGACGCCAAGAGAACGTGCCGTGGCGCATTCGACCAGAAGTGCGTTACAGCCGCAAAGAAGTGTGCCATTTGCCCGTATTCTCCAACACCGACCTTTTCACAAACCACCGCCTCACAAATTCATCCTGGCTTTCAGATTGGGTCAGGAGAGAATTGAAAATGTCCTCAGCAAGCCTCCCCGACCTGGTAGACCGCGCAATCGGAAACAGAGGCCGCCCAAAATTCCAGCTCCGCCTATATACCAGCCTCCAGTGCCCAAATTCCCAGCCTTACCTTCGAGCAATCTGGTCTTTCCTTCGTTGTTCGGAGATAAAGATCAGGATGCCAAGCCATACGGAGGTATTTTGTCAGAGCAGGAAGCAGATACTTCGAGGTCGCTGCCTCAGTATCGAGACCGAGACATATTCGAAATCGCAAGAAAAGAAGCAGAAGAAGAACGCAGAAAAGCTTCTGAGGCTGCTGAGGCGGAGATCAACGGGGAGAACTCGGCTGCAGGCAAGCCGAATCGGACAGTCTCAGGACCGCCAAGCAAGATCAAATGCATTCAATTTGGGAAGCATGTCATAGACACATTCTATGCCGCGCCTTACCCCGAGGAATACTCACACGAATCTCGACTTTTCATATGCGAGTTTTGTCTGAAGTATTTGCCGTCAGAATTCGTCGCGTACCGACACAAGTTGAAGTGTCCGGCAAAGCATCCACCTGGCGACGAGATCTATCGCGATGGCAGCATTTCGATATGGGAAGTCGACGGCAGGAAGAAGACTGAATACTGTCAGTGTCTGTGTCTCATGGCCAAGATGTTCCTTGGGTCGAAAACTTTGTACTACGATGTTGAGCCGTTCTTGTTCTATATCTTGACAGAGTATGACGAGACCGGCTACCACTTTGTTGGTTACTTCAGCAAAGAGAAGCGACCAGCAAGCCAGAACAATGTCAGCTGTATCCTGGTCATGCCCATCCACCAGCGGAAAGGTTATGCAACCTTCCTCATCGACTTCTCCTACCTACTCACTCGCATCGAAGGTAAAGATGGCTCGCCGGAGAAGCCATTGTCCGATATGGGCTTGACGGCATACAGAGCTTACTGGGACTTGACAATATCCAAACATCTGCTTCAGCTCGGAATGAAGCCATTCAGCACCAGAACGCTTATGGCGCGGACTGGCATGACCGCTGATGATGTTATTCACTCTCTGGAACGACTTTACGCTTTCACCCGCGACCCTGCCACCAAGACATATGCCATTCGCTATGATAAAAAGCTTTATGAGTCTGTTGTTGCCGAGTATGAGTCAAAAAAGCATCGTGAGCTGAAAGAAGAGAACCTCGTTTGGACGCCATATATCATGGGGCGTAGCGACCAAGCCCATCTCGATAATCAGCCATTGCAGACTATTGCGCCTCGTGAAGAAGATCTCGAGGACGAGGACGAGGAAGCAAGCGTGCAAGCCAAAACCAGCAAGACTGACAACGATGCCGTTTCACCAAAGTCTACACCCCACGCCGCCTCACGCGCCCAGTCTGAATCGAAGCAAGATCCTGCGCTTGTAGATGATAAAGGAGTCATCGCCCCTGGCCCGCCTTCCACCGGTCTAATCAACGCGACCGTCTCCACGGAAATCACCTCGGAGCCAAGGATCAACGGGCACGTTAGCGGCGACGAAGGCGCCAAAGACTCCGAAGTCCCCGCCGAAGGCTCGCTTACCGGCTACGCCCTCGCCTACCGCACAAACAACATCCCACCCATGCGCTTCCAAATCACACCACCCATTCCCGCTGCCATGCTGCGCAACCGCAGCATGAAGAAACGCACGGCTGCGGCAGCATTCGGGAGAGTGAGTGCAAATGGTGCCGCCGGGAAAGTCAGCCCCACGCCCATGTTGCCAACGCGTAGTTCGCCGAGGAACGCAGGCAGCGTAAATGGAGGGAGGTCAAGTCGCGGGGTCTCGGAAGAAAAAGTCATGACCCCGATGAGGCGGAGCGGGAGGAAGAGTGCACTGGCAAATGTAGAACTGGCCAGTCTGGATGGCACCAACGAGGCCGAAAAGGATGACATGGAAAGCGAACCAGAGGATGAAATGGAAGTTGAGGTTCAGGCGGCCGAGGGCAGCGAGGAAGATGAAGAGAGTAGCGAAGAGGATGATGAGGAGGACGAGGCAGAAGACGATAATGATGACGAGGACAAAGATCCGGACGCTGAGATTGAGGAGGAAGAGAGTAGCAGTGAGGACGACGAGGATGCGAGCGAGATAGGTGTGGCGGAGGTGGAACCTCTCGCAGCTGATGAGGACGAAGACGAGGACGCAGAAGGGGAGACTGATGACGACGATGCGCCGGGCGAGGATGACGAGTAGTAGAACTCGCGGTACCGCTTAAAGGCTGGGCTGTGGATTGAAACTTACAATGGGTTACAGCACCACGGGATTGGACTGCCCTGCAGCATCGAGACAAAAGCCGAAAGGTATAGGTTCGGCCTCGGTGTTCTGGTGTCTTGATAGAGTCCGGTTGGCGGTCTATTCAAGCCGCGCAGCTCGAATCGTAGAGAACTTTACGATGCTGCATATAAATGATCAGCATTGCTAGTACCAAGGTAGGCGTACACACTGTTCAGGAATTGAGCTTTGGCTTGCTCCAGCCTGGCCTCGTGCTCTTCATAGAAAAAGCGAGGTGGTGAAAGAAAGCACAGGAACTGATTTTGCTCCAAAAAAACTTGTCAAGAAGTCCTTCACAATCCGGAACATATGTATAGTGGAAGGTGCGTATAGACTATACTCTGCCAAGAAGGCGTCAGCGGCCCCACTTCTCTATCCGCACATATTACCTAATCCGGAATAGAAAAAGAAAAATCTTGAAGGTGAGGGGCCCCCCACCTCAGACTCTCGCTTGAGAGGCCAAAAAAGACCGTGTGCGTAGGGAGAACACTCTCCCACATCGTGGGCTTCCTCAGGAGCGCAAAAAAGGTAATGTTGGTTGAAGAGAGTGGGATTCGAACCCTTCTTATTGTTAGCGGGCTTGTTACACTGTGTTTTTCACAGAGCTCGTGACTTACCACGAGGGTTGCCCCACCAGGATGCAATGTTAAGACTGAGGCCTTAACCTGGCGCCATAACCAACTCGGCCATCTCTCCGAGTTACTTGTTGTGACAAGTTCTGTTGTGTTGTTGGACGGAATTTCCACAATGTGAATATATATACTATTTTCACAGCCACTAAGTTTTAGGCGGAGTTCGCCTGCACTAGCGCTGGACTCGCTTAGCATTCCGCTTACAGAATGGTCTTGCAATGACCAAGATTGAAGTTGGCCTTGGAATTTGAATTTCAAGTGAGCTCAACTCGAGGAATGAGGAGATCAAGAAAGCAGACCTTCATCCATGAGCCGTGGCTTTGATTCCAATGTCCTGAGTCGGACCACCTTGCGCCCGACTCCGCCGGACAGAGCCGAACTTTCGCCTCCTCACTGGTACCTCTCGCTTCTATGTATAGATATCACCGTTCTCGGGCGTAACGCGCCAGTCATATACTCATTCGGAGGCTTCCACCAGTTCCCAGGATCTGGTTAGAACGTCGGTAATGCTCATCAGGAGGCCTTCACCAACTTTTAGGATCTAGTTAGGATGGCAATGATATGCACCTCGAGAGTCTAGCCGCACTTTGCAGTGCTTGCCTCAAGGTCGGTCGTCTGTTCATTGGGAACCCTCTCCCCACTTCCAGTACCTTGATCTACGACATCTCGCACCATCATTCCGAGTTGTGCTCGAACCTTGTTTTGGCTCCAGGTCGTCGTCACCCAGGTCTAGGCATTAATCGACACTCTCTGGTTGTTGATCTCCATGGACGCTCCCTTTGCTGCCCTTCCGGGTGCTTTGAAACGGCAAGGACCCGGTAATATCTCTCCTTGCCACAGGAATTCCGTGCTCGGCGGATAGTCTGTTGCGCAAATGGTGCACAGAGGTCATTGCAGCATACCAAAGATTAGAGAACAACAATAGCGTCATTTGAGGCAAAACAATCCGGCTCGCGGCCATTTCTTCAGTATCTGAACGTAACGATATCTGCTTTGCTACTGGAAATTGATCGTAAGGACACCGAGTTGACTGTCAGCCTTCGCTTCGCTTCCCTCACTCCGCCAGCATGCCGACTGACATCGATAGAACGGGGTCGCTTGAAGCCCAGGACTCAGACTTGCGCCTTCTTGCCATTCACTCCTGATCAACATCGGAGTATTTCCTCTCAGTCACAGTATATTTGTGAAGGAATACGCCAGAGACTTGCTGACCAGGTGGAGCTGGCCCTATCCCTCGAAGATTCTCCCGCGGGCAATGTGAGGATTGTTCTTTGCAATGGCGCTTGGGCAGCGGGAGACCCGTAAAGTCTCTGTCGTTGAGTTGCTCAACACGGACCAGCACAGAGGGCCATATCAGGTAAGATGGTAAGGACAACGTGCCTGCTACGCCCCTTAGTGTCGGCACAGCCCAAGCAACGTCCAACTGGCAGCGATATACAGTCAGTTACCTTGATAGACAGTCACCTCGATAGACAATCACTCAAAAGGACGGTCAGCATAATGCGAGACCTAGACTTGCGGTCGCCGCATGTCTCGCCTCTGTCGTGGAACCCACCAGCAAAAGGTCATGCAGGGGATGCAAAGGTCTGGAGTGCAGTCTGCACCGAGCCATGTCATGAGAACAAATCTTAATGATACGAGGGAAAAACGTGAGCGGCAGGGATCTGTGGCAAGGAAGCTCGCAGACGCCACAATTTGGCTTGGGTTGATGGTAGACGCCCATGAAGATACGAAAGTAGAGCCCTGTGAACTGCCGGTCAACGTGTGTGGGTCACTCATCTGGACATAACGTGCCCCTCGTGTTTCTCCTAGATTCGCTTCGAGATGTGGCGTCCGACCCTTTGACCCACGAGATCGAATCAAGCGCCAGAGTCCATTGGGAAGATTTCCGATACTCGGTTATCGTGGGCATTTTCGAGCGCAAGAGGGCGCGATCTCTGTTGCAACTTCTGCCAGCCACGAAAGCCACCGTGATCGCCCCGATACAAGGGCCGAGCCAGAATGGATGAGTATACGCCATGTGGTGACCTGCGGGAGGAATGTTAGCCTGTTTAGCCAGTCATGAGCGTGGCCAGCAGGGTTGCATCCAAGCGTGATGAGGTTTCCCTAGCTTGCCACGCGCTAAGACGGTCACCAAGAGCTGTCAAGCCTAAGCGATCTCCCTGCTAGCGGGGTCTGGGGGCCTCTTTCCGTCATGTTCGTTCCCCTTCGGCAGCTTTTCGTAACCGACCTCTCTATCAACGTCGTCCAGTATGTCGCTCAGGCCGAGCTGCATCTCATAGCCGCCCACGTGGCTGCAGGATCAATCCAGGATCCCTTGTGCGATTCCGTCGGGCTACAGCTTTGCCGACCTTGCCCAATAACAGATCTTGCTTACCCTTGTTAACGAAATTCACCCTGTTGAAGATCCATGCTCGGTGTTGACCTGACTTGTCACATTGTCCTGTTTTCGGCTGCAGGATGGCGAAAGACTGGCCGGATAAGGATGGACACTCACATCCGAGTTGACATTTTCGCAAGCCTCCTGTTGCTGCAGCAAGGGTTCTGATCGACATGGCAACGTTACTCAACGCCTCGAGGTTGCCATTCTCTGCCCTTACTTTCCACGTGGCTGTCGCGTGGCTGTCATTTTCAACATCCCTGTGACAGACACTGACCCTTCCGATACAAATCGTGGAGTACATCCCGTGTCACAGACTGTGCTGCTTACGCATGACGTACCTAGGATCACCTACAATACGTGACATATCAATCCTTGGACAGTCTGTGTGCGGCACTCTCAGACATATCCTCAGATCCACCATAGTGGCGTTGGGCGGGCACCATCACTTGCGTCCAGCTGCCCCCCACGGAGCAGGCATTGCGTCGGTCGGTCTGCTATGCTCGGCTAAGCCCCGTGCAGCATGCTTCGCGGCACCAACTTATCATGACTACAAGTCCATCGACGTCGGTGGCTTCCTCATTTTTGGCGAACAAGATCCGACCCGTCCCAAGACTATTCGGGTTTGCACCATTCTCATTTGAGCTGATGTTGAGTGCATATTACAGGTTTGTACTCAGATAGAGGCATATGTCTGTCCCTATATTGCCCTTGAGGTTGACCCAAGTGTTTTCTACGCCTCGCGCATGGTTATTTTGACGGCACGTGACATTGTTATATTCATTGTTCTCAAAGTCCCCCCCCCGCCATAACCCTCGAGTTCCCCCCCTCCACCTTTTCTCTCCCCAGTCACGAGCCCGCACCCTCCTCAGATCATTTCTTCTTGGGCTAAGACCGTGCCTGCAGCCTCGGGCGAAGACAGACGTACAGGTCCATCTCAAGACAGAGGTCCCGTCCCGTGGATTGTGCCATATGCTCATTCGGACCCGGGAGCATCCATACAACCATTGCACGGATTCAAATCGGCAGTGTTGATCTATGTGGCAATCGAAGGCGACAATTGCTCACATGTTTGTCAGATTCTGCACCGTGTTGACGCAGAAAAGTAGCCTGGATGGTCGAGACTGGAGTCGTTGGAAAGTCAACCCATTCCAGCGGTAGCACATCTTTATGGCTGTTACTTCTCATTGCTCCAAGAGCTCTCCCACCCACAACAAGCTACGTCTGCAGCTTATTGACTCCTGCTGCCTGATGGTTCGCGCTCACAACATTGCGATCTTTACATTTTACGACTCAACCTGGTTGCTCCTGCCTAATCTGCGCCTTCGCTCCAGCAGTACCAATATTTACCCTCAGTCTTCACCAGTCTTCACTCACAACCACTCAGTCCTCATCTCTTTACTTTCAGCTAAATTTCTGGATCTACTGCACAGTATTACAGTTCATCGACAAGTCCTGGAACCTAGCACCTACGCAACGAATCGTCTACTTCAGCCCCTACACTACCACTGCCATAGTCATAGCCAGCATCCGCTAAGCTACCTCTATGACAACCGCTCTGCTTCAGCCAGAGTCATGGGACTCAAAATTGGCATGGGGTACCACTGGAGGCGAGAGGCTACCAACAATGTCGTACTACGACCCAAATGAGGACAATATCTGGCCCGCAAGCCAGCCATGCATGAGTACTAGAATGGCAGGGTACGTATGCAGCTCGGAGATCTGGTTCCCAGACCTCTGGTATTCTATGCCGTGTTTGAGACAATGACGCTGATCCAGCCGGCTACATGCAGCTCATCATCCTATCAGCTTCATATTGAAGAGCAACCGAAGCAGGCCAAAGCACTACCACAGTCACACATTGGTAAGTACAGTGTTCCGAGAATTTTCCAGTGTTGTACTGAGTGATGACAGGCACTTCATCGACTGTCTCCGATAGCAGAGCAGCCAAAAGGCGGCGAACGAGCGAGCTGCCACCTGACAGTAAGCAGCAGTCCAAGCAGCAAAGACGTAAGTACACTCTCGTATGCTCGGTGCGCCTTGCTGAAAACGCGCAGCCCAGCACAGAGGATGCTTCCAACTCGAACCTAGTCCAGTAATCAAGTTCACGATCGACGAGAGCGATTTCTCCGATGCCTTTCCTGCAAGCCCTTACTGGTTCTGCACAGCAAGATTGCTAGATGCAGATAGCAGTGAGCCAATGCATCCAAGCGTTCTGAGGGGTACGACGACGCAGAGTCTCCAGATGACAACCAAGAAAGAGGTGCAGAGACTTGGAGGTGAGCTTGCTGCAATCATCACGAGTCTCGCTGACTCTCGCAGATCAATCAAAGCGGACCGTTGGTGCGAATAACGGCTACTTCATCTTCCACGACCTCGAGATCGCAAAGGAGGGTCATTATCACTTGCAGTTCACGCTACAAGAGCAACAGCGAAGGTCAGTTAACCCCACCATCCATGTTATCAACGATCACTAAATCTGGCAGTAGTCATGCGTGCTACGTCAAGTCAATTACGTCGGTGCGATCTGCGCCTGTAGAGGGTGAGCTGAGGCACTTACGGTTCGAGAATAGTTGCTAACGGCATCAGTACTACGGTCGACAGCTGGCATTTCGAGGCACCCCTCCAGCGAACTCGTGAAGTCGCTCAAGGATTCGGGAATCAAAGTGCAATTTCGTCAGGCGAAAGAGTGCGATGTCCGACATAGCCAAGTGGGTTAAAGCTGACAACTAACAGGCCACGAAAGTCTAAACGCGAGACATGGGAGGTCAGCGGTCCGACCCATTTAATCCTGCATCAAAACATGTGCGGAAACCCTGAGAGCGTTCAGATTGTGGGTAGTCACAGCATGATCATACCAAGCGCTCCACCCGGCGGAATGCCGATGTTCACTGGAGGTGTCCATAACGTGCCACATGGTATGCCAGACACATCATATGCGTCCGAGGTTCCCAGTCAATACAGTGGTACAATTGCACGTTTCGACCTGCGGCATGATATGGAGCATCCTACGCAAGCAGTTTACGGGACCGCAAGCAGTGCTGAGGAGCCTTTCATGGATCGAAGCTACATTACAGCCAACAACCTGCGGCACGACACCTGCGGAGGAAATGCTCACGTGTACTCAGACTACTGCCAACCGAACAGCACGATGCAATTGTCGGGCTACTCAGGCAGCATTGAACACGATGGCCTCTACAGCAACGGTGTGGTGCCATATGCCGAAGAGACGAATGGCCCCGGCACCGGCCCAGCACAGGGGATGCAGAATCTGTTGACATCATGCAATGTGTGGCAGTCCCACGACTAGCAGACTCAAAGAAGCTGCCGCCTTCCGTGGGGTAGAGTGCCCTGAACTTTCGAGCGAGGCTGTGACAGGAAGATTGATGGTCTGCTGAGTTGAAGGTGGAAGAGAAGTACTCGGTGGATTCGAATGGATGTCGACTGGAAGCCAAAAGCGAGAAGCATTCGGGAGTTCTTAGATATAGATAATCCCATACACCTCAACGGCCACTCGCTTGCACCGTTTACCGAATATCTTATACGGTCCATTGGCCCGTGCGAACATCACCCTCGTAAAGTGAATTGATACGAGCCCTAAGGAGGTCCACAGAAACCAGGAGCGAGACCCGGCGGAGATGATACTGGCCTTGGCAATCCTGCGCGCTGCATGCAACATGTGTCAACTTCCAACATACCTTCCGCTGGCATGCAGTGAGCAATGACTACACCGGCCGCCAAAATGGCAACAAATACGTCTTCAGGTACTGTGGCGCGTCTGAAATGTTCCTACAACCTCTGACTTTTGCAGAAACCAAAAGCAAGAAAAAGAAGAAGTCGAAGAAGAAAACCCCCGCGTCAGAGACCACGGGTGAACCTCAAGTCGCTGCGACCTCGACCGAGACAAACAACGATGATGCAGCAAATGCAGACCGGTCGGACGATTCCGAGGCAGAAGATCACGAGGCGACAGCCAAACCAACATCGACAGACACGCCGGTCGACGAGGGAGTCGTGGCCGAGTCGGCGAACGGCGTGCAGGCAACTGACCTCTCTGACGACGCGACGGCCCGCTTCGATGCCCTTGTCAAAGATCGCGAGAGTCTCCGGGTTGAGGTCACGCAGTTACGGCAGTCTTTAGAAGAACTACAGGCGAAGCATCAGACCGAGTTGTCGACGGTCCAGACACAACTTGAAGAGACGCAGGGTGAGAAAGACTCAGCCGAAGAGCAGTATCAAAATCTTCTCGGCAAGGTTAACACCATACGCTCTCAACTCGCTGAGCGTATGAAGAATGATGCGGTAGGGCGCTCGTGTCATTGCAGTGGTGTGCTTTACTGATTTCTTGTAGGAAGACTTAGCGCAAGCTCGGACATACATCGAGGAACTCGAAGAGCAGCGGAATACGCTACAGGAACAATACACATCAAGGTCGGCCGAGATTGAGGAGCTCAAGTCGCAACTACAGGAGCAATCCAAAGATCTCTCGAGTCTACGGAATAGATCAAATCTCTCGCAACAGAACTGGACCAAGGAGAAGGAGGAGCTGATCGAATCGGAGGCATACATGCGGGAGGAGTACGACAATGCTAAGCAGGCTATGCATGATTGGGAGGTGTTGGCGATGGAGGAGCGAACCATTCGAAAAGACTTGGCAGAACGGGTTGCTGATTTGGAAGAACAGCTGAGTGGCGTCAAGGAGGGATACGAAAAAGCCAAAGAAGAACGGGATACCCAATCGAGTAGTGTCGAGGGCCTGCAAAAGGCGCTGCAAGAGATCCAAACGCTTCGCAAATCCGAGCTGAAGGAAGTGGTGGAGAATTCGCAAGCGGAGTTGGCGGCTCTGCGGAGTCAGGTTGAAGAAATGCAAACGGCCATGCAATCTGCCAAGAGCGAACTTGAGACCACCAAGCGGGAGCTGGACAGAGCACTGCCTTTCGAGAAAGAGGTCAAGGAGAAGAACCTCTTGATCGGCAAGCTCCGGCACGAAGGGGTGATACTGAATGACCATCTTACGAAGGCCTTGCGGTTCTTGAAGAAAGGCAAGCCAGAAGACAACGTTGACAGGTATGTCTCCGTCTATGGGCCACCGGCCGCGGAGCATTGCTAATTGGTGCAGACAAATCGTCACGAATCATTTTCTTCAATTCCTTGCCCTGGACCGGTCAGACCCCAAGAAGTTCCAGGTACTGCAGCTGATTGCAGCTTTGCTAGGATGGACCGACGATCAAAAGGAACAGGCTGGGCTTGCGCGACCGGGCAGTAATTTCGCGGCGATAGGCAGTATGCGTGGCCTATCCGTGGCAAGTCCCATCCACCGTACGCCAAGCACACCAGCGCTCTCGCACGAGTATTTCCCAGATACCGGAAGTGCGATTAGTCCAGGGAGCAAGGAAACGCTGGGAGACTTGTGGCAGAATTTCTTGGAGCAAGAAGCGGGCCTGGCTGCAAAGGGCAGTAAATCGCGAACTGCTAGTCAAAGCACAGCGACGGGTCCGCCCAAAGAGTGAATGCCGCTTTGGCGAACCATTCAACGATGAACGATGTCACGTCCGAGCACAGCGTCCCACCGAGCACCAGAAGCGATAGAGATGATTGAATGAGTGCCCTGCTGAGCAGCAGAGACTAAGTAATACGGTCTGCGATGAGAGTGAAGCCGATCAATTGCTTCCGTCGTTGCAAGAGAATATCTGGCTAAGCCGCAAAGGGCTAGCAAAACGGGGGTCGTGCCTGCACGATGCAGCGAAGTAAGCCCCAGATTCGCTGTCTCGGTGTGGCGTGCCAGGGCCGCCCCCTTAGCGAGCTAGGCGGTCCCCTCAGCCCTATCTAGACCCTCGTTCGACTCAAGTCTTTTACCGCATTTTAGAGATCGTCGCCAGGACTCCAAGGCCGTGCCCTCTTAGCTAATATGCCGCAAGGCAAACCCATCCCGCCCCAATCGGCCGCAAAAGTACTTTTCACCGTCCGAGCTCGCTAAGCGAGGCGTCCTGCTCGGCCACCCCCGGCTCCTGTACGCAGTTTTGATCGACTTCAGCTTGCTCTCGGAGTAGCATCACTGCACCCCATCTCGATGAGAGCTTATACCGCATCTAGTGCGCAACATCTGACTTTTGGCGTGTACGGCGGGATGCAGCGAAATCCTGTTAGGTCTGTCAGCACGTCGCTGGCAAGGCGGGTTATCGTTAACATGTCAACATTTGTTCATCATCAGACGATGGCGCCACAGCCTCGTAAGGCCTCACGCGGTCTATGCGGCCTCGGACTCTCGTGCTCTCTTATTTCCTCTGCCACGTGGGAGACTACCGGCTCCAGGAACCTAGATCTCCTTTACGCAGAAGATGACTATACCACCCCTGTCTACAGCCGAGCCTGCCGTCGGCCGCTTACCCATTCTCTGGGCTCTTGGACCTCTCGTCAGTCTTCTGGAACCATGAAGCCCTCCTCAGGCCATCCAGCTGAATCAGAGATCGACGGTTCGAGTGTCACCGTTGCTCACAGCCTCGACGCTTTCCGCAGCCTGCTCGCCACCTCGATGAGCTGTGGGCCGCTGCTACCCATGTCACTTCGTTGAATGACCGGCATTGACTAATTCCTGCAGTATAGAGCCTCAAGCTAAGTCCTGTGGTCATCATGACCCCGGACTTGTCTGGCTCTGACCGTCTCGGTATATATCCACTAGGCCCACAAGGCAGAGCGGCCCCATTCTTGATGCATGTGCCTGCCCAGACATACACTGCCGGTGAGCACAAACCCTCGGTCCTTTATCCGCACCCCAAGACGTTTGAACTGGCCGTAGCCGGGTGGTTTCTGCCCAACAGACCCGCCCGCCCCCAATCCCTCCCTCGAGCCGTTCGTCTGGCCCATAGCCTGGACTTCCTCTTCTGCTGTTACTTGAGCCACTGTGCTTGCTCTATGCCATATTCAAGTCCATCGTCGGTAGCGCTTTCGACTTTCATATAGCGCTATACGATGTCAAGCGACGGAAAACGGATCAAGCGCTGGGCTCCTAAGGTGTTTTCCGGGTGCTTGACCTGCAAGTATGCCCAACGTCTATGCCCCTGGACTTCAGTCATGGCTTACCAGATCGCAGGCGCCGGCGTATCAAGTGCGATGAAACGAAGCCTTCTTGCTTAAGGTGAGGTTACTCCATGAACGTAGTGCCAGAGACTGACAAGCGATAGGTGTGGTCGCAGTAATCTTCAGTGCGAGGGCTATGCCACACCTCAACCACGTATTTTCGAGCCTACCAAGAAGGGTGAACAATCACAGCAACCACGAGCTTCGCAGTCGACCAAGAAGCCTCGCAAGCTGTCGTCTCCGCCACCTTCGCCTTCCACTCTTGCTACTCTGCTCATCCTCGATTCAGAAGACCAGCAATCCTTCGACTATTACATGCGAGAGACAGCGGTCTTGTGTTCCATCTACTCTAGGCGCCATTTCTGGACAGTCGTTGTCCCACAGGCAAGCACAGCGCATCCGGCGGTAAAGCACTCCTTGCTCGCCTTGTCGATAGTCCACCAATCCATTGTGTCCGAGATTGGTCTGAGCATGGTGCATGATGGGCGGCTGCTCCATCACTACAACGCTGCAATCAGAGCTATTACTCAGGGACAGCCTACCACTGACGTTGTCTTGATATCCTCAATGATGTTCTTCTTTATTGATTTCTTTAGAAGAGATGGTACCCAGGCAGCAAGTCACCATATGGAAGCGGCGCTAAAGATCCTGGATGAATTCAAAGCTGGCAAAAGTCACACTCAATCCACATCTTATGATACAATCAGCAAACACATCGAGCCCATCATCCAGATGATCCAGATGTTTGGACTGTGTCTAGACACTGGCCGTGATATACCTGAAACACACCCGAGCCATGTTGCAGCCACAGATTTCGCCCTCCTTGTAGGTGCTGCGAACTCTGAGAGCACCGTCGCACATTTCAAAGCCGTCATACAATCACTCCTCCGTCTGGCGGTGCAATCTACCCACATGGCTGATCCAACAGCAGAGCTTGATCGGCTTCAGTTGCAATTGTTCCGGGTGTTTGCCATGATAGGCAGGCTAGGGGGGTGTGGCACCGATAGGCATTTGTGTGGTCGGCTGTTCTCAATACACCACGCTATGGCATTTACTCTCCTTCGAGAGCTGAAAGAGTTGTTGAAGATTCCAGAAACACTGCACGAAGACGGTATAATAGCGCTCTACACATTTGTTGTGGATAAGCTAGAAGAATACCTGTCACCACCCCGACTCACTACGGATCCACAAGTCGGCGCATGGAAGGAACTTGGATTCATCGCTCCTTTGTTTACAACGATAGTAAGAGCACCAGACGAAGATCTTGCCGAGAGAGCATTGAAGCTCCTTCGGACGCTTGACTGCACCGAGGGTCAATGGACATCGGGTTTGGCTGCGGATATCGCTGAGGCGCTTGCGCAGGCGGATGTTCAAGATATTGTTGGCTTCGACCTGAGCTGTCTGAGCTTCGAACGCAAGCCGCACACGCTTAGAATCTACAGAGAAGGACAAGAGGCGCTTTTCGATCACTACCTGCCTCTCCCGGCAGACGAACTAGATCGCCTCGACCTCGTAAGTATGGCACCAACCTTGGAGAGTGTCAAGCTGACAGTAGCCTTAGGATGCCACATTGATTATCGTCCACAACTACGGCTACCAGTTCCACACCGTTGCATGAATCGGAAACAGCTTCGCGTAAGCGTCCCGATCTATCGGTACTCCACCAGGCCTATTTTGGGACATACAGACTCCGGGCGGGTTGCCTGGCCTTGGCCTCTACAAGGCGCCCACGCCATGACTGCATGCCCCCCAAGCTCGGGATTCGCCCCCAAACTTACACCAGCCCATACGAGACGCGATTGGCGCTTCAAGGGATGCCCCTATTCGAAGAGACAACGTGTGGCGCACTACAATCTTGTCGTTGCCCACCAAACGTATGTTGTCAAACAAAAGTTGAGGATCGCAGCCACGCTCCCGAACGAAAGGCCAACATTGTTCGACGATGAGGCCCTCCAATTTGATATGGACAACCAGAATTAATCTCGCTTCGGAGCTCTTCGACGTTATCTGACAGCCTTGTCACCGTTCGAAAGGTAAACGGCCTGATGCAACACGTTTCAACAGCACAGGGTACGCGAACACTATATTCTCCAGTTTCGGAATTATTACAAGCGACGGCGCAATGGTATTTTGGGGAGCAGCATGACTCCGTTGCTGGCATAACGATTGATTTACTACACTATCAAAGCGATTACTAGACGATTTCAACAAGTGACTATTGTCGGGAGACGCAGCATAGATAGCAAAGGAGCGGCGCCTTCCTCCAAGGCTTCGAGCTTCGAATCGCGGGAATGACTTCGAAGCATTTTGCCTTGCCTTGACATTCTTCCTATGGTGATACTCAAAAAGCCATGCTATGAACTGACAGCAGGAAAGTCGATCAGAAGCTCGCTTGTACTGTTTTTGAGTTAGCAGGAAGTGTGCCGGCTGCTCGCTAGCATTTGCGATGGTCACTCTTGTCGCACCCTCACCAAACATGGCTGCCACACATTCGCCAAGCATGCACCATGGCCTATAGAACAAGGCAACAAGAGTCTTACTATGCAGCATTGTCTCCTGATAAAGCAGCGCCGAGGCAACAATCGCCCCTTTGTTTCCCTCGCGTACGCCTCGCCCCATTGTGCTGCAGCCTCGCCTAGTATTTGAACAAGATTCTGGCCCAAATAGAAGTTCTTGATCATTACTCAGCCTTTTCTAGTTGGGTTGAACACTAACCCATCCACGAATAAGGTAAGTAAGTACCTGCACATCTTCTATCCGAGTCAGATATCCATACCCTCCCCAAACATCCCGCACGCTAGCTAGACCGCCCAGAGCGTCTTCCACTTGCACTCCCCACTGTGAGAAGAAGAAGCAGGATGTGCTACATCCACACCGACCACTTCATCTGCGGCCACACGCATTCCCGCCCCCACCAACCCGACCACTGCTCCGCCGCCCAGGCCAACCGCCCCTGCACCAAGATCTGCAAGACCATCTACCAGACCAGGCCCTGTCTGCCCTGCACGCCAGCCCTTGGAGCGTACCTGAAGCAACGTGGCTTCAACGCTGCCGGCGGTGTCCGTGTCGGTTCTCCGTTCGCGGCCTTGCAGCCCCCGGAGCGGAGGCGGGACTGGAGTGCGTACAACCCTGAGCGGCACCTGGGGGCGCGGGAGCAGCAGCGACGGCAGAACACCTTACGTGATGATGCGTTTGTGGCTCAGAAGGTGAGTGCAAAACCGATAGCCGCTCCTCGCTTCTCCTCCCCTCCTAGGCAAGCACACTGTGGGCTCATGGCGCAGCAGCAGCAGCAGCAGCAGCAGCAGCAGCAGCAGCAGCAGCAGCAGCAATCTCAAGGTATGATAGCCCCGACCCCGCCTCCCAATGTTGTCAATGTCTGGAACGGTCAGCAATTCAGCAGAAACAACAATAACAACAACAACGTCCCCTCGTCATTGGTGGCGGGCCCGTCAGCGTTCGCGATGGGTATGATGACGCAGCGGCCGGAGCAGCAGGAGCAGCGCCAGAGCCAGGTAGCGTATCGGCCTCGGGAGTACCAGCAGTATCAGGGTTACCAGCCACAGCCGCAGCAGCGGGAGCAGCAACAATGGGACAAGTCGAGGCGTGCAGACGTGAACGAGTATCTTCGCCCGTTCTGAAACCGGATTTCTAAGGGGTGGTACTGTAGAAACGTCGTTCCAGAAAGTTGCTGTGGACGGTCGGTAGCGATTTTGTTGAAGAGGTAAGTTCACGAAGGCGAATGAGATGACATGTGAGACCAAGTGTGTTTTCCTGTCCTGTAGTACCTCGCTTTCTTCTTGTGTCGATGGCTGTGGATTTTAAGGCAGTGGTGATCTTACGTGTGGACTGTATGCTGCTTGCTTGGATGTTTCGGAGCGCCAGAGTCCGGGCGGCGTGGAATCACCCCCACGCATGGCCCTTTTTGCGGGAAGTTTTGCGGTGGGGAGACGTCTCAGAGTGGGAGTCAAGTGCGTGTGAGCGTCTTCGTTGATCTTCGTAGCTTGGATTGGGGTGTGGCAAACACAGCTGATATGCACCCAGTGCCCGCCGAGTCCACATCAGCAGTAGTCCGACTGATGGCCGCAAAAACAAATGCGTTATCATTTCATCTCCTCGGCGAACAGACCTCTCATTCCCTTCAATAGCACTCCGATCTCCCTCGTCTCGTTCAGCTTGTCCACGACCTTCTCGACTTTCTCCCTCTCCAGCCGCGGCTTCATGTACACGACCTCGTACCCGGCCGTGCCCGTCTCCGGCACCTTCAACTCAAACACCGCTTCCCTCTCGCCGCCCTCTCCTTCCCCTTTCGTGCCCTTCCCGGCAGGAAACGAGTAGATGACTTTCACGCGGCTCTCGTCGCCCGCCCCTTCGAACCGCATCCCCAGATACGTCTCCCAGAACTGTAGCTCCGGCGCGTTGAGCGCCGATTGTCCGTCCTGCTTTTCCGCATACGCGCGCTGCGCGGCCAGCTTGGCGTCGATCTGGCGCTGCGTAGCTGCGAGGGCGGCTCTAAGGCGGTCGCGTTGTTGCTGCTGCGAGGAATGGCGGGTTTCGAGTTTCGTGATCTGCGCGTTCATTTCCTCCTTCTCGGCCAGTTCGCGAGAGTGGACGTGCGACTGCGTCGCGAGTGTAGACTGCAGGGTCGCGATGGAGGTGGCGGTGGATTTATTGTCCTCTATGAGAAATCGTGTTAGCAAAAAAAGGTACGCGTGAGGATTTTTTGCGTGGAAACGTACCGTGTAGTTCGGACAGCTTCGCTTTGAATTCATTGTGCTCTTCGAGAACGCGCCTGCGGCCTTTTTCGAGAAACGCGTCGAATCGCACCGTGAACTCGTTCATGCGCTTTCGCAGGTCCTCGAATGGGATGTCCACGCTGGGGAGCTGCGTCAAGTGACTGCCGGAGTAGGAGTAGGTGGGCTGTTGTTGCGACTGGGAGGCGCGGAGGAATGAGGTGGATGTTGAAAACGCCGTTGCAGCGGCCATGATTGCAAATTTGGCTCGGAGTGCTTTTACTGTAGTCTGCGATGTAAGGGTTTCGCAACGTCGTTGATTGACACTTTGTGGCAGTCGTGTTAGTGAGATAGAGTGTGCATAGGGAGTCATGGGCGGAGTCAGTTCAAAACAAGACGGCGAGGCTCTGGTCACGTGCAGTCGTCAAGAGCAACCACTTGAGGCTTGGCGCTGAGGGGCTTTAGAATGAAACTCTGATGTCGAGCTATTGCATTGTCTATGACACCTTGGTTCTCCATGGACTCGACTGTAAGGAGGCATGATTACCCCCCGCAGGTCAATGTCTGTCCTCTGCTACTTCTGGAAAGCTGCACTCTAAATGCGGGAGCAGACCAGTCAAGCATGTGATGCTTGCCGGACGCGAAAGGTCCGGTGCCAAATCGATGATACCCGATCATCACTAACACTTGAGGGCGTCGTGCGAACCGAAAACTCGGGAAACCAGTCCTCTGCCACACAGCAGGATGCGGTGCCGCAACAGAGATGTCGTCGCTGCCATCATTTAGGGATCACATGTTCCTACCTTCTGCCCGTGAAACGACGTGGACCAAAGGGCCCACGTAAGAAGCGCCTTGCTGTTGACACACAGACCTCCTTAGCACAATCAACTGCAAGTCCTGACAGCAAGAGTGCTCCGTCCGCCGGATTTGATGTCCGGTTTGTGCCCGGCTTTGATCCTTCTTCGAGAGTCCAGGACAGATCCCCGAGTACGTCGCGCCATGATGCTGTACATGTCACGTCGCCAGACGACGAGGCATCGCTGGAGTCCAGCATCGATGGGCGCTCCGCACAATCCATATCAAAGCTACTCCGCGATCACACCTCACCTTCGTGGCCCTTGTCTAGCGGGCGCTATGTGACAGATCATTTCCTCGACCGGACCATGATGCATCGCATTGTCGAGGACTACATCCTCCACGTTTACCCCGCCATTCCCGTCTTCCATGTCCCGACGTTTCGTAGGCAGTTTGAGCTTCAAAGGGACCGCCATGATCAACAATTTTTCGGCCTGGTGATGGGCATAGTTGCCGTCGCCGTAGGGCTTCTGCCACGCAAGTTCAACGACTATCGACTACAGCCATCGTTCGCGCGCTTCGCCACTCGCCAAGATGTAATCGAGTGCTGCTATTCTCGTGCAACTCAAGCGCGAGACCTCCGATACTTCGACGAAATTAGCCACACCAAATGGGCCACCGCTTACGTTTTCTCACTGGCATTTTTCCATATTGGCAAGTTCAACATGTCCCGGATTGTGGAGTGCGAGGCAAACCTATATGCAAGGCTCCTGGAAATACCCCGGATCTCGGCATATTCAGGCCTGAACTGCATCGAGACACAGCTGCGGAAGAAAGCCTTCTGGCTAATGTTCTATGGTTACGTCCATTTGCAACACGCCGACTTTCGGAGAGAGAGACCAGGCTTTATTGACTGTGCCACTCTTCACGAGATTGATCTGGAAAGCCTCATGCCTGTTCCGCATGATGATGAGCATATCACAGAATCTTCCTACGGCTCACCAGACCCGAATGAGCCCTCCCTCGCCGCAAGTTTCAATCTACGTTCCCAGGTGTTCTGGTGCGCCGTGAAAGAATTGCCCATACACGGTCGAGAGGCCCAAAAGGCAGTTCACTGTCATTGTACTCGAATGAATAATCCTGTGGAGTATGAGAACTATCTGCAGGCCAGGCTGAAAGAGCTGAAGTATGTCCTGGACAAAGCGCCATGGTATCTACGTCAGTGGATGGCGCAGAAGTCTCCCGATTCTTCAGCTAGCAAGGCAATTCACACACAATATTCTCAGATTGAAATCATTCGCGTCGATATCCATGTTACGCATATCTGGCTCCAATCTGTCATCATGGACCATCTCGAAATGTACCGCGCGCATCGATCTGAAGCGTCTCCGGCAAGGCCCTTGACCTCACCGAGTGTGGCAATGTCTGCGGATGATGCCGCAAACGCCGAGTGGGCTCAAAGAGAAGACCTCTGTCGACAGCTACTCCAAGTGCTGTACTCCGCTTCGGACCTGAGTCTCGAAACGCTGGGTGTGATACTGGTGCAAAAGACCCGCGATGTAGCTGTTTCGCTGCTCAATTGCCCATACGGCGATTCAGTGGACAGTGTCGGCCCAGGCGCCCGGGCCAAAGCATATCTCGCAGACTTTTCGCGCAAGCTGGAGGATTTGGACAAAGCAGAAGGGGGCAGTAGCCTCAGTGTACAGTCCTGGATCGACACGGATCGCGCCCGCGCCGGCGGCGGTAATTATTCATAACACAGCGCTCACCCCATGCGCATGTCGCTGACACGGGAGGATGGCGTTTTCGGCGCGTCAGCCCGAGGAGCGGTCGGCGAATCTTAATCATCGGGAAATTCCTGGATATGACACAGGCATTGTGCACGCGATCCGTTGGCACTGAGTAGCAATCCCGCGCTGCATACCTTGCTGCGGCTACAGACGTAGCTCGCAGGATATCCCAACAAAGGTCGAGACTAAACTACTCGCTGAGACCTTCAATTCGGCAGAGAAGGCCAACACTAGGGGTTGGGGGGCAGAACCTTCCATCCTGGTGGCTAGGACTCACCATTAAGTAGTGCCGTATCCAATTTGGGATGATGGCTGAAGTTTGACATTGAGGCTCGTGCAGCAATGCTTGAGTAAGCCACGCCGTCGACCAACGGACACTAGAGGGTCGCAGAGAAACAACTGCCGCACCCCTTGATCGTCGCTGGGTCCCAGCTGGTGCCGTTGACGGAACTAGCTCGACCATGGTTTTTGACGAGGAGGCTAGGGGTTTCGCGGGCTTGACCGGCACAAAACACAATGCACGGTCTCACACAGGCTAGCTCGCCCGCACTGGGATGATGGTGAGCCGGCGCCGAGAATCAACAAACGTTGCAAAGGATGTTTTGTCATGGCAACAGAAAGGAGGATTGGATGCTGGAGACGGTGCCGGTTGCAACCAATGAAGGTGGCGTTGCTTGAGCAAATGCTTGTCAGACAGGAACTGTGCGTGGCTTAGGGTTCGTCTGCAGTATGAGACGAGGCAAAGGCTCGCTTGATGAAGCGCAAGAGCCGGGCCCGACATCTGCAACACGATCATTATATGAGAGGGGGATTGATCATTTGGAAAGCGACTCGGCAAACGGGGCACAAGGCTACGAGGCTGAGCATGACGTCAAAAATAGGTTCTTGGAAGGGCCCCAATCGGGTATAGTTGGTGCCATCGCGTCGCTTAGCGCGGAGGCTGGTTGGCGCCGGTTTCATCGTCTGGTTCACTGCGCGTTTCGTTTGTCTCCTGCTCTTTGCTCAGCGAAACACTACGGCCACTCCTCGAAACTGATGCGGCCTCACCTGCGTCTCTGGCGTCGCTGCAGACGCTGCTTCGCGAACCCTCTCCCCCCGGACTAGGAGCTGCAGTCCAAACATTGGCAAGGCTTGGTTGCTCTGCCCGCGGCCTTCCGAGGCTCCCCTTCTCCACTCCTTCCCAATTTCCCTGAGTGCTACACCTGTGTCCCATCATGGCCATCGCAGAAACAGTTCCAGTGTCGGAGCGGATCATGGGAATGGTTCAGGCGAGCTCTGGCAAGGCACGTTTCTTCCGTGGTGCCGGGGGTGGCTTGACGCCAAGTTGGTACCCTCATGCGACCGTTTTAATATTGGCTTACCTCGCTCGTGTTCCTCCTGGTCTGATTCTTTCTCTCAATCCATCGGCAGTGCCTCGCATTCATTTTCCCCCTCTGGCAGGTTTTTGACTGTTGTCTATACATTCTTCACGCTCCTTTTAGTGTTTTTCAGTTCTGTCCTAGGTGAACGTTGATCGTCACCTGGAGTTTTCGTTCGTTGAGAGCAGTACTTATTATACCAACTATCTACCTACTCTCCACCCCCAAAACAGTCAACATGAGGCTCTCGCAGGCTCTTCTAATTGCCCTTACCACCTACTCCGTCGGAGTCTCTGCCCAGTTCGGCGGCTTTGGTGGCGGTAACGGTGGTGGCTTCGGCGGTGGCAACAACGGCGGCCAAGGCGGTAACAACGACCAAGGTGGCAACAACAATGGTCAAGGCCAAGACCAGAACGGCCAGAACGGCCAGAACAACGGCGGCAACAATAACGGTCAAGACCAGAACAACAACAACAACAATGGTGGTGACAACGGTGGCAACAATAATGGCGGCGGCGCCACTCTGCAAGGAAATGCTCGCCAGGACGCCAGTGCCGACACCGGTGGTGCAGATGCTGAGGCTGGCCAGGCCGATTCCGCTACGTGTGTTCTATCCCTGCGTCCTTGAGAGTCATTACTAACACTATCCAGGGATGACAACAACTTCATTAACTTCTGTGCCGGCAAGCAACTCACGAATGGTCAACAAGTTCAAGGCGGCTCCTGCAACGGCATTGGTAAACTCGCCCCCAAAATCTTGCAATTTACAAACTAACAGACCCCAGTCATGGGTGAAATCCCCAGCACCGGCAACATGATCTCTTCGTTCTTCCAGAACCCCACGAACGGCGACGATATCCAGGCCGACCAGACGTTCACCATTGACGTCCAAGTCGACAACCTGGAAGCTGGTACCTTCACCAATCCCGACACAACTTACTACTCTGCCCCACAAGCACTGCAGAACGGCAGAATCGTTGGCCACACCCACGTTACCTGCCAGGTCACCCAGGGTAACAACCCTCCCAACCCGCAAGAATTCGCTTTCTTCAAGGGTATCAACGATGCCGGCAACGGCAATGGCCTGCTCTCCGCTGAGGTTGAGGGTGGTCTTGCTGCCGGTAGCTACCGCTGCTGCACCATGACTTCCGCTGCCAACCATCAGCCAGTCATCATGCCTGTAAGTCTCGAGCTTCGCAATCATTTTGACATCTGTCTGACATACCGCAGGTTGCCCAACGTGGTGCTCAAGATGACTGCATCCAATTCACCGTTGGTCAGGGCAACGGTGGGAACAACAACAACAACAACAACAACAACGGCGGCGGCGGTAACAACAACAATGGCCAGGACCAGAACAATAACAACAATGGCGGCCAGGACCAGAACAACAATAACGGCGGCCAGGATCAAGGCCAGAACGGTCAAGGTCAAGATCAAGGACAGAACGGTCAAGGCCAAGGCGGCAACGGTGGCTTCGGCGGCCAGGGCGGCGGTTTCGGCGGTGGCCAGGGTGGGGGCTTCGGTGGGGGCTTCGGCGGCCGTAAGAAGGGCAGATTCATGGCCCGTGGCTACGTCGCCTAAGGGAATGGAGAAGTCTACGAGCACCTAGCTGATTTGTTCCTGTTGGATGCGTGTCTGGTTTGGGGTCATTGGCATCGAAGCCTCATATTTGGGAAAGAGATTCGGGTATAGACGCGTTGTGTAAAGTAGGTGCTCTGTTGGAGAATGTAAAGACGACAGTCATGATTAAACTAATGATCAATTCGGCGACTGAACGATGCATTGGGTTTTGCAGTTCTGTCGGATGGTCACTGGGAGCATAACAGATCCAACTGGCTGCGCACAAGCGAGTTTCAAGATGGTGTTTCAAGCTTCTACTGTATGGCTCCCACGCTGATCGTGTCGCACATTCGAAGTCCACGCCCAGAGCGTGTTCTATTTTTGGCAGATTGAGCCACTTCTCGCTGGTATTGCAGCCCGCGTTGTCCTCTACTCACCATTGACTTCTTACCAGGAACGATTTCATGGTCTTGAAAGCATCCCGCGCCTAGGAGACTGTACCAGATCGAGGGTTGTGGCGACCTCCATGATGACTATGTCTTTTAGGCAACCAATTCATTTGAATGGAGTTGACAGCTCATGGGAAGCTAGCTAATTCAATCAGGCCTCTGTCTGCCACAGTCCTCCCGAGCCCCCAAATTCCATGCAGCCGTATCTCGGACCAAGTCTCGCTTCTTTCAGCCTGACCGGCTCTAAATTAGCGGCAGCCAGAAGACCGAAATGGCAGGCTTTCGGCGCGTACAGGTGGGCGCGTATACGCACCGCCATGACCGCCCGCCGACGGGCTGATACTTCGTCTGCACTTACATAAAGGCGTGGGAGTAAGTGAGTCGATACTTCTGCTCGTATAGATCTTGAGTTATCTGCTATTCACGCTATGCGGCTTTTGAAACCCGAGGATGCATTCGCCCATCATGGCATTCGCAAGTCACAGTCAGTTGAGGTTCACAGCGTCAGTGGAGTCAGCGAAACCAGCGCGACGACAGACATCTTGCGAAGCAAGTCAAATACTGGGAAGATCGTACTTCAACGCCACGGGATTCGCATATGGACCAGATACTGGATTCATTTCCTTGCCATTGCTGCGACCGGAGGAGTAGCTGCTCTGAATCTACTCAATGTCTACTTGATGGATTCCGACGATCCTAACATAGTTGCCAAAATCGGAGCCTTCCAGTTCGTGGCCAAGCTCCATGAAGCTGCAATGTTGGGATCATTGACGCTTATCATGATTGATGCCGTGCGAAGCGGTCTCATGAGTAGCTCCGGGGTGCCGCTCGGTTATCTCATGTCCCCAGTCATGTACAACAACATCGACTGGCTTTTAAGTGCCTCTCTCTGGACCAATCGACCGACTACTGGGCATTTATGGAGTCATACTCTCAGACAGCGCTCAGCGCTGTCCTTCTTCCTGCTCCTCTTGCTGGCCATCGTGTTTGCAAACATTGCTGGGCCAATGTCTGCAATCCTAATTGTACCGCGACTAGGCTGGTCTAGCTCGGACGCCGCCGCTTTGTTCCCTACGTTCTGGAATGTATCGGCTACAGATTTCTGGCCAGAAGAGTTTGCTGCGGCCTCGCTACCTCCAAAGTGCTCTCAAGGTGGTGCCATGGGGACAATGGGTTGCCCTGCCAAGGGTTCAAAGAGTGCGAGGATCCGGCTCAGCCCCGTATTCGGACCAGGTGTGGGTTGTACGACCGAAGGCTTTCAATCTACGTGCAACGTATCGCTGTCAGAGACCGTCTCGGCAAACGCAATAGGCCGTGTGCTCTCGGTAGACTTCGACCTTGATGCATCCAACGCCTATGCCACAACGCCGACTGCGGCGATCTTTGAGGCACTTGCCCTCCGCTTCGAATCCGGGGTGGCATTCCCGCTCAACATTACCGATACAAGGGTCGTCGAAGCCGGTAAAGCACAGTTGCTTGACATACAATTCGACAGCGCAGCTGGCATGTTCAAGCCGGCAGTTGCAACTGCTTGTCGGGAGCTACAGTACGATGAAATCGTTGAGCTCTACCAGGATAGAAATATCTCAACGAACTGGAGCACGCCCGCTGTCACCTGGCTGGCAGATGCCCAGGGGCTCGACAAAGACAGCTTCCTGTTCTCCTACAGGATAGACTCTCCTGATTTCGACAACCCGTCCAAATGTGACGGCGAGGACTGTTATGCAGCTGTCGCCTGTGCCATTGCTCCACGTTGGTGTCCGTCACAGCTATGGTACAATACAGCTCAGCAATCCCTCCTTTTCCAAAGTCTCCCTCAACCCCGCGACATCTTCAAGAAAAATGAGAGCATCACAAAGCCGATCCTGTTACGCAAAGACTGGCTGGAGCTGACAACTGTCGACCAGGATACAAAATTGGCCGCGAATATCGTCGACTTGTTCAACGAATGGCGCACACCTCGAGTCAGAGCTCCTCAGGCTGTGCAGGGAAGAATACAGGAGAACATCGGACCGACTAACCACTCCGACGCTATTGCTATAATTTTGGCAAGCACAGTTACCGAAGCCATAGCTGCTGGCCCAGCGGCCGTGGGTGAGAGCATCTACTCCGGAGACTGCAATGACACAAAGCCAGGTTTCACCTTCTCGCCAGCAATTTGCGCACAAGATCCCTCTTTCTGGATCCATTCGGAGAATCGAGGGGACAGCGTGCAAACCGCGTACTCGATGGTGGCATTCACCGTACGTCGAAGCGGATGGGGATGGTTTCTCCAGGATTCTCTCACCATCTACATCGCACTTGGAACTCTTTTGTTCCACGGAGCCCTCACACTGATGTATTTGACCTGGGTTCTGGTCTCGAAGAAAAATATCACCACCCGCTGGTCCTTGGCCTCGGAGTTACTCGTTCTGGCCATCGACTCCTTCCGCGCGCCAAAACTCGCCGACAGCTCAATCCGCGTACGGAACCGCAAGATATGGCTTGAGCCGGTCAGTATCAGAGAAGTCGACGGCGGTGATCGGCTCTCTCTTATAGTTGGGGATCCAACAGCTTACCCAGAACGCGTTGGACCTCCACCATTGTGTGGGAAAAAGTACTTGTGAGGAGAGGCCAGCTGTCAGTATAGAATTTCCATGATTTGTTGCTCAGTCTTCTTCGGATGCTTTCTTCTGTGCAGTCTCACCCCTCCTGCTGTATGCGGCTGTTTAGAATTGCTTGGCGCCAAGACTTTTATTGCCTGGTCCGTCTCTACTTCGTCGGGTGCTTACGACGGCGAACATTGCCTCCCAGTCAAACAAAAATTATACGACATGTGAGTTGCGTGCGTCTTCTTGTTGGACTCGCGCTTAGGCCCTTCAGATTAACATGCAGGTCTAGCACGAAATGGAGTTTCCCTTCATGGAAAAGTCGCGAGCATGACGTGCAGCAGCCAATTTGCGACATGAGAGCATTAGGAAACCCATTCTCAGGACCTTGCTCGAGTATCACAAGCAGGTGCAAGACCACCGCCACCTTCATAGGCGTGCAATCCAGCTTCGTTCAAGGTATATTGGATCATGCCGGCGAAACCCCGGCTATTGCCGTTCACTGCCTGAAGCCCAGTGCGCTCATTGGCTCAGATATGGCGGCCCAATAACTGTTGCACTTCGCGACGAGGCTCATCTTGTGCGCTCATCATAAAGCTGTCATGGCTCCAGCAACTATGAACATGAAATCGAGCTGGTTGAGATATGGAAAAGGTATCAATGAGTCAATTTCGGCAGGACGAGGCGCACAAAGAAGCAGCCAGCCAGCGGCGAGAAACTGCGCTCCGCGCTCCGCGCTCCGCTCTCCGCAGTGGAGCTAGGTGAGCAACTGCTTTACCAATATCCGGTGCTGTGAATGTTAGTAAGAGCCAGGCAATGGTCGATTGCAATCATAAGCCGCCAAAAGATTGGCATCATATGCTTATTCATATGACCAGGAGAGGCTGGAGGGGCACTCGATGCTGGTAGGTATAAGAGGCGTTGAAGCGCAATCCCACTTGTCGAACCACAGCACTGGTAGAAGCAATAAACCCATCGCTTGAGCCAACGTATCATAGTATTCCATCGAAAAGAGTCCGCCAAACTACTCCTGTCGCTTGCAGTCATGTCCAACAACACCGCCATCAAGAATGTCATCCTCGTCGGGGTAGGGCAATCATCTTTTCGTCTGAAGTTTAGACTACTGACAATAATAGGCTGCCGGTAACGTCGGCGCTGGCCTCGTTGCGCCGCTCGCCTCCGTCTACAACATAACCATCCTCACCCGCGAATCCAGCACCTCCACTTTCCCCGAAGGCATCAAAGTCATCCGCGCAGCGTACACCGTCGACGGCCTCACGGAAGCCTTCAGGGGCCAAGACGCCGTCGTTTCTGCCGTTGGTGGTGGTGGTCTAGTGCAGCAGACGGTCCTGATCGACGCGGCCGTCCAGGCCGGCGTCAAGCGCTTCCTGCCCAGCGAGCTCAGCATGAGCAGCACGACGGCCGCGTTCAGGGAGTTGGTGCCGGTGTTTCAGTGGAAGTGGGAGGTGCTCGAGTACCTGAAGGCGAAGGAGAAGGAGGGCCTGAGCTGGACGGGGATAGCGACGGGGCCGTTCATTGACTGGGTGAGTGGCGTTGATTCGCGCTGCAAGCAAACTCAAAGCTGACTGTTTGGTGGCTAGGGTCTCAATGCAGGCTTCCTTGGTTTCGACATCCCGAATCAGAAAGCGAAGATCTGGGACGGCGGAAAGGGTGTCTTCTCGGCCATCACCGTCGCTGACATGGGTAAAGCGGTCGTTGGGGCCTTGAAGAACCCGGAGGCGACGAAGAATAAGTACATCTTTGCCTACTCCGTCACGACCTCGCAGACGGAGATTCTGGCCGAGCTCGAGAAGGCCACGGCGCAAAAGTGGCAAGTTGAAAGTGTCACGTCGGCCGACGATATCGAAGAAGGGCGCAAGCTGGTTGCGGCGGGTGATTTTGTTGGCATGTATAAGCTCGTTCAGGCTGCTACCTTCGGTGGCTTGCCCGGGCTGGGGCAGAACTTTGAGCGCGACGAGAAGGATGGGGTAGCGAACGATGTTTTGGGTATCAAGCCGACGAGTATTGAGGATATCGTCGCGGAAGTGATTGGTTCTACAGAAAGGCGTGAATAACGGATCGGATCCCAGAATGGTTCTTGATACTGGAGTCTCGTCTCTTAGGGGACGGGTGGCTAGATGTTAGACTGTACCATAAAGATAGCATAGCACGGATCTTCGATTCGCTCTCCCTCAACGCACCTCACTCTGATGCAGACAATAATTTCACTCGATACTCAGCTGTTCAGGCTCCCGGCCAGCTTCAGGCGCATACAGTATGGGGGCACCCGGTACCCTTGTGCTGCGGCTTACATAAGTGCATGCCGCCTGGAAAGCTTAGTTAAAGGCCCAAGCCCCCCCGTTTTCTCCTCTTCGAACCTCAGCACCACCTCTATTCCGCCGGCGAATGATGATGAGAGGCCGAAGAGGCCATGCAAGCTCGGCAACTGCTCCCGTATTGAGATCGGTTGCTCCGGGTCGCTCCTGCGTGGCGTGTCGACGGCGCAAGATTCGGTGCGACCGAAAGCAGCCATGCAGTTACTGTACCCGGCTGAAGACTGGCTGTTCTTATCCTGGGGAGAGCGAGGAAGATTCGATTAGCCCTCGCCGGCCGCAGTACGACCAAGACGATCTTGTTGCTCGGCTGGAACAGGTCGAGAAGTCGTTGCGTCTTCTCAGAGAGCAACAACGTGATGACGACGACCGCGGTGGTCGAAGCCTGGGCTCTGAAAGCCTTCAACAGCTCGGGACGACATTGGGAGAAATGCCGGCAGGACCAGATCTGGCAATGCAGCCCGTGTCTTGTGGTAGGCTTGTAGGAACTCGAGACAGCTCGCGGTATGTTGATGGCAGCCTCTGGACGACACTTGAGGCGGCGCTGGCCTCACATGAGTCATTCGACGATACTCCAATGGAATCAGAAGCTGCTGCATCTCCGCGAAGACCGCACCGACAGTCATCATGGCCACTTCTCGAGGAAAACCAACCAATGTACGATCTGTCCCTCATTCGCCCGCGAACCGACAGGGTTTTCCCTCTTTGGCAAGTCTATCTCGAGAACGTCGATCCGGTACTCAAACTCCTGCACGTACCAACAACCCAGCGTCGGTTAATGCAGGCTAGCCAGACGTCTCAAGGGTTTCCAGCTTCGTTCGAAGCGCTGACCTTTGCAATCTATCACGCAGTCGTCACCAGCATGCAAACCTCCGTATTGGGGAGTATAGTGGCAGCTGATGAGCGCCACGACTTGCTGCGGAAGTACGATATCGGTATTGAGCGGGCTCTGGCAAATGCTGACTTCATGAAAACGCCAGATATGTTCTGCTTACAAGCCCTCACTCTGTATCTCTCATGTGCACGCCTGCGCCGAGACCGGGACTGGATCTGGACGATGACGGGTGTACTTGTGCGGCTGGCTATGAAACTCGGACTCCATCGTGACCCGGAGGTGCTGAAACTATCACCGTTTGACTGCGAGATGAGAAGACGTCTGTGGTGGCAGATCGTTGTTCTGGACGTTTTGACGGCACAAGACAATGACACGGACCCTTCGATGCTTGAGCACAGCTTTGATACCCAATTTCCTACGAATGTCGATGATCAAGCACTCGACATAAGCATGAGTACTCCAGCCACCAATAGTTCAAAACGCACAGATATGGCTTTCACTCTACGCAGAATACAACTCGTCCAAGTGGCGCGCAAAGTCTTGTTCTCGAACCATTTCTCGAAGAGTAACGGATATCCCATCTTGTCTCGGGATGAGAAGCTGCAGCACATCAACGATCTCAACGCAAGTCTGAAGCAGGCAGACGACGCCTCCCTTGACATCAATGTACCCATTTGCTTCATGGTCAAAGACTATACGGCGACAGAGCTATCAAGAATGTACGTCGTGATTAGCCTCATACACGGCGAAGCCCCGTCGACGACAACCGTGCAGCGTGGTCTGGTCGCCAGGAGCCAGGAAGTTCTCGAACGAGTGATGGCCTTGAGAAACAGCGATCAGTATCGAAGATGGGTATGGCTGACCCTGAAAGATCTTGGGTGGGGTATGGCTGCTTCACTACTGCACGTGCTGCGTAGTTTGCCCAAGAATCATCAGAATGAGAGTTCGTGGCAGACTGCTGAGCAGTTTTTCGCCCTGTGCAATGGCTACCAAGATGGAAAAGAACCAGACAGCAGGTGGACACTTCTCGAGCGGCTACGTCGTTCAGCCGAAGCGAACAGAGCCGGCATGGAGGGTTCGGACCCAGAAGCTGCTACCTAATCGCGACCACCTTTGCCTGTGGCTAGTACCCTGATGCTAGCACTATGTCCCCAACTCAGCCAACCTTGGACTGCACCAATCTCACTACGCTTCAGCCGTCGAGACAGCCCGTCACGATGAGGTTCAGGAACTTGCCCAGGCGGTAGCCTGCCCTTGCGATGAGCTCCTTCGTCACCTCTCCGTGCGCGTCAAAATAGGCGCCCGACAGATCCACACCCTCAGCCTCCACGGCCTCGCGTCCTTCAGGGAGCACGTCGGTGCAGACGTAGTCGTTGGCATCATTCGCCCAGGTCATGGCCGTACCCTTGAGATCTTTCAAGCTCATGCCTTTGGTCCAAGATTTGACATTGTACGTCTTGTCTTCGATGAGACCGATTAGCTCTTCAGCCCACTCGCTGGCGCTGACGCCTCCGGACGCCTTGATCGGGATCTGTCGGTCCCAAATTGCGTGCAGATTCGCTGTCTCGCCTTCCCAGGTGATGTTGATGCCATTGCCACCTTCCTCGAGAGCCTCGGTGTGCAGAGGCTGGTGGATATCACCGCTGAAGTGGATCAGGAAGCGAATGGCGTCTAGAAGCTGGGCTTCGGTCGATCCACTGTCAAGCAGGATCTGAGTGTTGTTGACGATGGCGGAGACGATGCATCCCTCTGGAGGACAGTCGCGCTTGAACTCGACCTCGCACGACTCCGGTGGCGCGTCGAACGCATCGATCCAGTGCAGTTGGGTGCTCCAATCGCCCTCAGGTGTGCGGCGATACTCATCGGGCCATGAAGAGACGTTGGCCATGTAGTCTGGAGCGGTGCCGAGAATACCTTGGACGAAGCCTGCTGTCCCGGTAGAGACATAGTGCTGGGCGACATAAGCCACCGTTGAGTGGCCGAGCGGTCCCCACGCGAGACATGCAGGCACCGCTGTAAGCAGTAGAGCTGCGCTGAGATGCTTGCAAGGAGCCATCGTTACGAAAGTGCACAATGTGAAGTCAAAGGAGAGGGCTGAGGAAACAGATATACCGACCAATACTTCCTTATCGTTAGGACATGCAGCCCGCGTCTTGGTTTGCCGGATCCTGGCCGCCACGAACAGATTCGACCTTCCTGAAAGGCCTGGTACCCCGACGTAACCGTGCTTCGATCTGGTCTCTCTGGTGTATAGAGTGGGTCCGGGCCCCGCCGATCACGTTGGGCACGCGACCACTTACCGCCCTCAGAAAGGCCACACGGGGCAGATAGGCTCTTGCGGCTCATTTCGTGCTTGGCCAACCAAGCTCTTGAGTTGGCGAGCTCCTTGACCCCCCTGGCCTGGAGTCACCGAAGCGGAAGCGTGCAATTGATTCACTAAAATCACACTTGGACCAAGGTCACGGGTTGGAATTCAGCGCCACAAGGCCACAGGAGTTGTGAGCGAGGCCATTCTCGACACATCTTCAGATATAAGCATACCCGGCAAAAAGCCTAGATTAGCGCGAGAACAGACTGCAACGTTGTGATAATGTGGGCAGTCAATCACGATCAAGAGCTCTTTGAAGTGAGCGGAGAGGACCGAAGCTGTCCGAGACCCATGGCCGCGCCAAGACTACCTGCCGGATCTTGACCGGGGAAGGCCTTGGCAACTCTCTAACCTATTCGACCATCGCTACAGATGACCTCTTCTATGGCATGTTCACCTTGACCCGAGCGAGGTTCGGCTTCCGTCCTCGAATGCCAATCGGACATCTGAAGATGGCACCTTGATATCGGGCGGAGTCCGGATACTTGTGCAGCTCTGGATCAGCCTCACTTCCGACATACAGGTCCTCTCCTGCTACTGCGACACCCTATAAAAAACACCGGATTGATCAGTTAAGGCTTCAAGAGATATACAGGCCAGAAGCACTCACCGTCGGACAGCGGATCGGTAGCTTGATCTCTGCAAACACTTCTCCCGTCGGGGAGATCCCAACCACCTTCCAGCCGCCCCAGAGCGCCACCCACAGATTGCCCAGAATATCCTGAGCATGTCCGTCAGGGACACCCTCACCCTCTGGGACCTGGAAGAAGACGCGTCTATTGGAGACTGTCCCGCTCTCAGCCGCGAAGTCGAATGCATAAATACACCTCGTCGGCGAATCTGTAAAGTACATTGTGCGATCATCCAAGCTCCAGCTCAGCCCGTTCGGAATCGTGACGGAATCGAGGACCCGGTGCAGCGAGCCGTCGAGGTCGTATCGAAAGAGCGCGCCTTTTGGCGTTGTACACGGTACGTCAGCAATCTCCGCCAATACACTTGCGACCAGATCAGAGAGCCTTTCGTACCCACGGGAGCAAACTCAGTCACTAACGGATCGTTCACCACGCCGACCCAGAACCTGCCCTGGCTGTCAACGGCACCGTCGTTCGCTCGCATGCTGTGATACTTGGCGTCCGCATCGTCGTCTCCCTCCCAGAACCCCTTCACATAACGATGATACTTCTCAGATTCAAGCTTGCTGGCGATGCCGATGCCGCGCTTCCCACCGAAGATGAAGGCGTCCTTGGAATCCGCGATATCTGCCGTCACACTAACACTTTGTCAGCCCACAAGCGTAAAGAAGCTCGTTTGTTTTTTTCCACAATCGCAACGAACCTGATGGACGTGTCCAGTGACCGCTTAGTCAACGCTTCGGGTCCCCGGGCTAGATCTACGCGGTAGACGTCCTGCTTCACGATGTCGACGAAGCGGAGATGGTTCTCGCCCTCGCTCGCCTCCCAATACAGGCCTTCTGCGAGCTCGCACCGCACGTCCAGGAAGGGCTGTCTGTCAGGTTAACGAGGGCCAATGCCAACAGTCATTTACAACGTGGTTTGGGTACGGGTACCTCTGAGACGGTGTAGGTCTTCATATTCGGACTTTTGTCAGAGCCGAACAGCCTTGGTTCGCAATATTCGAAGTTGGGGAGGCGAGGAGGGGCAACGAGTCTAAACGGGCCTCCTGGACAGTTTATCGTACAGCGTGGAGTAGAGTAGAGTAGAGTAGAGTAGAATGTCTTAGGAATCCAACCGCGCGTATACGGCATACGGCGTACCTACCGCCCAGCATTTCGGCGTATAGTGCCCGGGACCTACTATACTGCTAGGCTTTATCTAGTGGGTCACATCACTTCCTTTTTTTTTCTTCTGTTACCAAACGGGTCCCCCTCCTTCTTTCCAATACCCAAAACGTCTTAGCTGACAAAACCACGCCTTGTCTCACTAATGCCGAACATCGCAATACATCGTTTGGGCCAGAGAGCCATAGAGCCATAGGCCAACTAAATCTTGTCTGCCACGCAGGAACGTACTGTACGTCAGAGCAGAACGCGTCCGGCTAGAAGAACAGATAATGATATGTTTGTCTATCCGGAACCCTGCTGACAGGTGTCTCTCTCTATGCTGGCTGGTACACAGCCCATCCATCCACGCAAAGTACGAATACAGCGATCAATGTACACACACGAGTCAGTAGTCAGGAGGTCCGCAAAATCGGACTCTGAGACCCCCGACCCATCTCCATTTCGTTTATCAGCCTTGGCGAGAAGCAGCCAGCTGACTTACTTCCGCCTCTTCATGACCTTGACACACATCTCCTCGAGGCCCTTCTTGGCCTCGCCTTCGGGGAAGTCCTTGATGCTGTCGATGGCCTTGTCTGCGTACTCCTGCGCGAGCGCTCTCGTCTGCTCGATGCCATTGCTCTGTATCACAAGGTCGCGCGCCTGCGCGTTACGTTAGCATCTTCGTCACCGAAAACCCCTCGCTCGACACTTACCCTCTGCACGTCGCCCTCTTCTTTGAACCTTCTGCCAACAAGTTCTCCTAGCTCAGGCCGTGCCCGCCACGCGAACAGCAACGGAGCTGTCGCCAGTCCCAGCTCCAAATCCGCACCTGCGGGCTTCCCCAATTCCGTCCCGCTGACCGTGTAGTCCAGCATGTCGTCGACCAGCTGGAAAGCCAAGCCCAGGTTCCTCCCGTAGGCGTAGGCTGCCTCAACCACATTCGGCGCGCACTCTCCTAGTAGCGCCGCCGCACGGCAGGACTTGCTGATCAAGCTTGCGCTCTTCAAATAGGTCTTCTGCAAGTAGTATGTGATGGTGTCCTCGCTCCAGCGCGGGTGTTTCTCATCGCTTGCAGTATTCTTCAGTTGCATGAACTCGCCCTCGACCAGGTTCGCAATGACGGTCGCGAGGAGCTCGACGACCTCGGGGTCGCGCAGGCGAGCAAGCGCGACGGATGCGCGTCCGAGCAGGAAATCGCCAGCTAGCACCGCCATCTTATTGCCGAACTCTATGTTGGCGGACGGTGCAGAGCGCCGGGTCGTAGAGGTGTCTATCACATCGTCGTGAAGGAGAGAGGCAGTGTGAATGAGCTCCACGATCTCGGCGAGGCGACGTTGCGAGGGAAGAATGGTTGGGTCGGTATCTGTGCTGGAGGTCTGGTTGAGGTTTGCGAGGAGGGCAGAGGCAGGATGATCGGGATTGCTATCGTACAGGACTGAAGGAGAGGAAATCGGAGTGTCTATCGAGGTCGCAGTTGGCGTTGGGTTGGGCGTATCTCGCTGAGATTTGGAGGCAAATGCGGTCGCCTGGGACATGAGCAGCACCAGTAAAGGGCGCACATGCTTTCCTTCGGATTGTGTATAGTATTTTGCGACAGTATCGAGAAGAGGGTGCCCGGATCCCAGTAGCTGGCGGATATTCTTGTTGAGAAATTTGAGCTCGCGACCAACAAGCTTTAACGGGTCGATGGTCACATTGCTGCCGCCCGGCAATGGAGGCCGATTAGGCAGAATGTCTGAGACTGTGTTCTGGAGTTTGGAGACCGCGGCCGCCCATGCTGAAGATACCGCAGCTGTCGAAGAGAATGTCCGTCTCGAGGATCGGACACCTCTGGCTTCAATGCGGATCAAGCACCGCGGACATATCGAAGTCGGTGCCAACGGCGATTGCAATGCTAACGAGGGTACATCTCGCAGATTGCGAGCTCTCAGGCTTAAAGGCGGCATTGGGCGGGATTCCAAGCAGTTTAATGCAAGCAGCTCGAGGTCGCGACTTTTCTGAGAGATGCAAGAGCAGTGGTCCGATTGGCTGGAATCCGGTGAAGTGGATCAAAAGCAGGTCTATGCTGCTTGGAGCACCATGACTATGACTGGATGCGATGCTGTTCTGCAGACCACAGATACTTCGTTCGTTTTGTCTAAGACGTTCTATTCAATGCGTACCTGTCTCTGCCTCAGAGTGTGCTTTCGAGCCTGGCGTATTCGCGATGTTATGGCAGTCAGGCGCTCATCCACTCTGATAGTTCCTGCCCGTTCCATCCCGATAATCCCATGGGTACCTTGCACACCGGCCTGCCAGGTCCCGGTAATTCTGTGCTTCCTTGATCCATCGTAATCGTCGTCACATCATGCTGATCATAGCATCCAGCCGCATCAATCTACTTGATGGTCTCGCCCTGTTCCTCCACCCATGATCTGAACTCCTGCCACTCCGCGTACGATGCACTGGCTTTCAAACCAGTATACCTCACCGTCTTGAAATCACTAACCTCCTCCCACGGCTTCGAATGCGGTGATTCGTCTTCTCGGGACGCTCCTCGTAGCAGGCGTCGAGCGACTCCTCGACTATAGCCTCCATCCCACCCAGCCTTCTTCATCAGACTCTCGATCGTCTCTTCCTTCGTCCAACCCTGTTCCACAGCCACGTCAGGCAAGTAGGTGGCACCGTGCCGTCTATTTCGGTGGGTGAAACTTATGCGAATGCCATGTGTACCAAGGTCCCAGTCTGTTGCGTCGAGGCAGGTTTCAAAATCGGCCAAGAGCGTAAGTGAGCACGAGAGTGATGGTACCAATGACGCTGGGATAGGTGAGAAGCGAGTGTCGTCGAAAGCTGAGGTAAGAGAGTAGGACTGCAAGCCAGACGCGAGTGGTAGTGGCTCAAATGTGCCAATACAGCCCCGTAAAGATTTGTGTCCTGATCGAGACAGCGTGTTCCATGTAACGAACAGTGGGAAGGAGTCCTCCACGGAGAGTCGTGAGGCGTAGGAAGGCTGAGCACTTGGGGTTGTGATTCCGGTCGAGTTAGTCAGCTGTGACGCAGAAGAGCTGACAGACAGCGTTGAGGGAGAGGAGGCGGAAGAACTGCGGGAGGAGGAGGCTGAAGCCTGTAATCGAGAAATGCTTGGATTTTGCGGCCGCGCTCTCGCTCGGTCAGACGATGTATCTGCAAGTGGCCGTCTCGAGCCATCCGTACTCTCGTCGTCTTGAATAGTTTCGCTCTGCTCCTCTACATCGTCCGCGCCATCCAAGGCACTTTCGGTCTGCTCCACAGAAGCATCCTTGGCCAAGTATCGTTCGTGGAGGTCCAGGTACGGCTCAAGCTTGGGAGGGTCTCGTCTCCGAAGACTGGCGTCGAGGCATTCGAAGCAATAGAAGCAGTGGGCCGCGCTTGCCATCGGAGCAATTGCAGGTGGATCTGAGGCTCGCGATAGTTGTCCGGAGGCGGAGGCGCTACGGTCTCACCCGAAGAGCTGATTAATACCTGGGGCGAATTGCTGGCAGACAACGAAGGACAGAGGTTCAGACCGGTGGCGCTGTTGAGGAAGCAAAGAACAGGCTGCTTCGTTGGAACGACGGGAAGATAAGGCTAGAGAATGAGAGACGTACTCCGTAGTTAAGAGATGGCTGGAGCCCGCTTGCAGCGGGCTGCCAGGTCGGTCGGGGTGTCTGGGGTGGATCATTCTGGAGCCTGAAGCGTGAGGTGTGGACATCAGGTTAAGAACGCTAAGTTTAAATCTGGCCATCGTCATCATGCATGTGGCACGCTCGTCTCGTTGGACATAGTTGCCACGGCGCGTCGCGCTGGCATATATTCCTTATTGACCGGTGGCACGAGTCGGAAATGGTACACGTTGCCGCTCTTGCACTTGCTGTGCTCACGCGCAATGTCCTACGCCCATTCATAGATCACCTCATAGATGGCAGCACAGAGACATCACTTCCACGTATCGACCTTTCCAACTGTGATGCCCAAACCCATGTCACTGCCGCTCCTCGTCGTAGCTTGGCTTCTCTCGCTATCTGCCCGGCTTCTGGACTGCTCCGAGTTAAGGTCGTCGCTGTCATCAGAGACCAGTCGCACGCTACGGGCTCCCTGCGCCCGCCGCTCCGTTTCCCGGAGAGTCTCATCTTCCAGCCGCTTTTCCCACTCGGTCACTAGAGCTTTGTAGTACACCTCGGCTTGCACAGTGAGGCTATAGCTGTCGGCCGTCCAACCCGCCCAATTCTTACTGACGGGTATTGCTCCTGCCTGGATGAGTGCTCTCACTGCTTTCAAGTTACCCCAAGCTGTTGCATAGTGGAGACAGGTATCGCCTTGTCGGTCTTGTGCGTTGACGTTTGCGCCATGCGCTACCAGGTGCTCTATGACAGAAACATCTTCCGTGGATGCGGCGCGCGCTCGAGCTCGGGCCAAGTGGGTGCGGGGCATTGCGTGGGCACCTGCTGCTAGGTGCAGCGGTGTGGTACCTTTATTATCAGGTCGGTTCACAGTGTGAGGGAATTGTTGGCACAGCAGCCGTACTATGTCGGGGCGCGAGTACATTGCTGCCAGATGAAGTGGACAGTGGCCATCGGTGTTGACCGAGACTCCCAGATTGTCTTTATGCGGACTGTAGATGTAGTCTTCGGTCTTGGACTCGGTTTCACGATCGTGACCTAACGAGATGAGGTATTCCTGTGTTGTTCAGCATGGATAGCTTTGGCTCCGTGGTACTGCTTACCGCAATCTCAGTATGCCCGTACAACGCCGCCAGATGCAGCGAGGTGTTGCTCTTGTCCTCGAAATTGGGATTTTGCAATAGATCGGGTCTGTGTGTCAGCAATCGACGCACAAGTGAGGTATCGTCGAGCTGAATCGCCTCCCGGAGGCGCATTGAAGCTTCACCCTTTTCCATAGCTTCGGAGTCTACGAGACTCACGAGGGCGGCACAGTTGAACGAGTGTGACTGGCATCACTCGAACCGACCAGCGGTTGTCGTGTCGATGTCTGCTTTGAGTGAATCAGGATGACATGCTGGGAACGTCCGAGGTCAAGTTGGCCAGAAATCGTGTCTGCCCCACCTTCAGATAATCGAACGCGTTCTGGCGCTAAGGTCGGCGGAGGCGCGTAAGCTCGCGAGGAGTTTTTGTACTTCACGCCCTGTCCCCTCTTCTAATCTCCATTTTTCTCTTCATAATGTCGACAGCACTCTTATGATCATTTGAAGCGAAGACCAATACTGTGCAAAAGACTCATGTGATTGCGCCGCTAACATGCAAAATGCTCCTACCAGCGCCGCGCAAAGACGGGACGATACAATTTATGTAACCTGCCACTAAGCGTCGTCAGTACCGTAAGCCTCCGCCGCTGGCCTCTCCCTATCATGCTGTGTGGCATCCCATCCCAACCTCCCCGAACTCTTCGCCAATTTCCCCCTTCGAGCATCGACCAGAGGATGGATGAATTCATGCTGCACCACCCCACCCAGGACCTTGTCACCCCGCTTCAAGAACGTCGTTGCCCCCAGCCCGGTGGGCTGGAAGTTGACATAGACGTTCTCCCACGCCCTAGCCTCAGCCTCATAGATCTCGTGATTGATCCCCACATAGTCCCTCTGCTTGAGATCCTTCTCCCACCACAGCCACGTCTCCCTGTGCAGACCCGTGTGCGCAAACGCGTGCAGGTCCTGGATGCTGTTCCAGTAGCTGATGAAGACAAACTCGCGGGCGCCGCGCTCGTCTCGGCGGTCAAAGGACGTCTGGCCCAGGAGGCCCTCTGGCGCGTCAGGTGAGTCAAACAGCTTGTTCATCCTGGACAGGAAGCCGCCCATTTTCTTGAATTCGGGCGCAAAGATGCCGAGCGGGTGGTTGGATTTGGCGCCGAGCAGGAGGATGACGACCTTGCGCTTGCCGGGGCCGGTGATCTGGCCGTCGGCGTCGGGGAGGAGCGCCGTGCGGCGTCCGATGAATGCGTCTTGGAGGTATGGGTTGGGCTTGAATCGGAAGGTGATGAGGAGGGCGTCGGTGATGCGGAACAAGAGGATGAGGAACGAGGGCAGGAAGGCGTATTTGCTGCGGAGAGCGAGGACGAGAAGCGACTGCAGAGATGCTCCCACGAGCAGCAGCGTAGAGAGGTCGAAATTACTGCTGAGGTGGTGGGCTAAACTGGTGAGTCCAGGGACCCAGGCATGTTGCATACGAGGGCGGGTTGCAAAGGGCGGGATGTTGGGTTGGTACACCATTGCGAGGGTATTGAAGCAGTGAGCGCAAGTCGGTTTCTCGTGTGGTCAGTCGTGGTACCTGTGTAGTATGCGGTTTGCTGGAATCAGAGGTGCCATCGACCACGGCCGCGCTGTTGTATTTATTCCGGACCCTATGCTAGCCACCCAGTAGTCATCATGCCACATCTGGGGCCCCGACGGCGACACCCATATCCTCCTGTCGTGCGCAAGCTGCCGCTGTAGGCGCTACGTCCGTACGCCACCAATGGCGGATCCATCGACACCGACTACTCAGCAGCCATGATTGGTGGACGAACTTTACCCCGGATCGCCGCAGAGAAATCGGCCAATGAGCACAGTACGACTGCAGACCCAAAGGAGAAGTACACTGCGATCGAAGCTCGTTAAAACGTACACGGCTCCTCTGTACGGAGTACTATCTGGATCACTACATGCGTGGGCGGCTTGATAATCGAGCCGTTGTTGCGTGAAAAGAGGGGCTTTGCTGTTGTATTAGCACGCCATGTTCTACTAAGCGTCAGCCTTCCCTAAAAACCACACGATTCCTACAACAACGTCACGAGACTGCCCCAAAAGGGGTTGGCTGCCTTTCTTATTCAACGTACATCGCCATGGACGCCACCCTGAGGGAAGTAAGAAGTGCAGTTGACGAGAGAAATGATTAATTGGTACCACTCTAATTGAATAGGACATGTGCGGAAATCGAATGGGATTTGGTATGCACCGCGGATTCCCTGGCCGCTCGTATTTCGGAGCTCAGATCGATCCCGTAACGCCCGGCTCAATCTCCTCAAGGATGGCTTTCAGCTCCGTCCAAACCCGTATTTGCGTCTTCTCGCCCTCTTCGCTCCTCACGAACGCGCTAGGTTCTTCCACCTTACAATCATTCAGGTACTGGCCTTTACTCTCGTCGCCCGCGGCGGCAGCGTGGACGAAGTTGCGACTACCGACCTCGGCGGACCTTGCCAGGAAGAACTTGACCACACTGGGCATCCAGCCGAGCTCGTCGGTCAGATGCGTGTGGCAGGCTCCCGGATTGACCGTGTTGATGACGACCGGGTAAGCTTCCTTGTCTTTGATAGGACCACCGTCTTGACGAAACAGTTCTCGAACGACCAGGATCTCGATAAGCTTGGTGACTGAATAGCGAGTAGACATGTTGGCAGAAGCTTTGTCTCTGAGTGCTTCGAATATTGAGGCGTTCTGCCTCTCGGGCAGATTGGTGAGGTGATGCAGATCACTAGTGACAATGCTCACGTGTGGCTTCGATCCGAAGTCAGCTGCTGTCTGCTTCAATTTGGGGAGCGCCGCGAAAGCCACGAGGAACGTTGCGATGACATTGGTCGCAGTTTGACTCTCATGGCCTTCCACGACCCTGAATTCATAGGTCGTTATGGCAGCGTTGCATAAGAGGACGTCTAGTCGCTTCAGGCCCTTGAGTCGTTTGCCGAAAGCTTTAACCGAGTCGAAAGATGCAAGATCCAGCGGCCATACTTCGATGATGTCGGGATTGCACTTCTCAGTGTTGGTGATGTCCTGCTTGGCCGTCTCGCCGCTTGAAGTGTTCCGCACCGCCATGATTACTTTTTGGGCGCCTAGGCGCACGAACCACCGACATGATTCGAGACCGAGTCCTCTGTTCGCGCCCGTCACGACGATACATTGGTTTTCGAACGATGCTGTCGGTACGGGTGGGGTCACGAACAGCGCGGACTTGAGTATAGCGTAAGCAGCGGCCATGTTGACGGCGATGGTTGTGACTGGTGATGTCGGCTAATCGTAAAAGCAGAGGATGGTAGTTATAGGATGTGCACTTCTGTCTTGCAACAGGGTACGGACGGAGGTAGGGGGGGTCGGCCCCGAGAACTCGAAGTTTACTTAGCTCCACCAATTCAGAAGTGGGCGTCATTGATGCAGGGACCGGGGCAAATCTATCATAGTAGAAGCCTGGTACCCAACTCTTCGCATCTTTCGCACAGACGCCCACTGTCGTCGCGGAGTAAGTTGTTTGATAGATCTAACACGGCTAAGCCTGCGACCGCAGCCTCGTCGAGCTGTTCAAACAGGCCATCCCTTGCGATCAATGTCTGCAGCTTTGGGAAGAAGCGCTGCAAATGCGGTACGCTGCCTTCGAGTCGGTGATTCGAAATATCGAGCTCTTTCAGGTTCGGAGCCCTGAGGTGTCGTATAAGAGGCTCGATGCTGGACACGCCACATGATTGCAGACGCAGAGACTCTAAGTTGGGTAGGTGTATGGTTTCACACAGGTAGTCCTCGACCGAACCGTCGAGTGGGTTCTGTGACATGTCGAGTGATGATACCTGCAACAGACAATCTGATTCCGCGAAGAGAGGCACAGGTACCGAGGTAAAGCCACTATCGGACAGGTCGAGGGCTGCAGGCTCGTCGTCTACTCCCCACGCCTCGGAGAAGTAGCCGTCATCTGACAATTCGCTGATGGACGGCGATGCTCCTGCTCTGTCCTCATCAAAAACGCTCGTGGCAAATGATGTTCTGGATGTTGCAGTTGATGCTCGAGACAGATCCGTGGCTGGACGAGACCCATACGCGGCCTGCTGGTCTCGGTGTACTGGCGCGGCATGCGAAGCCGAGGGAGCGCGAAGCAATAAATGCACTGGCCGCCTAGCGTGTGTCGTGCAGATGCTCTCGGACGATGAGCGGACAAGAGTGCAAGGCCGCGACATTTTCAGAGGGTTTGTTGCTGTCGAGGACAGATTCAGATGCATTAATCCAAGTACCAGACTGGAAACACGACCAGCGACATGGAGCACCTTTTCACCAGCATTCCGCCGGCAATATGCGCCCAATTGGGTCTTGGGGACGTCATATTCGAATTATTGGATCGTATTCCGGACTTGGTGATACTTCATAACGCTTGTCCCAAGTTCGACTAGCAAAGTCCGGAGTCTAGCCCAAGTGTTGCCTTCTGAGTCCGTGCGGAGGTCAATGGACCAATCAGCCGTTCAGGAATTTGAGCAGCCAGGCGTCGACTGAGACAAGGATCGACAATGTCATTTCCTCGCTGTCCGGGGCTGGCTGAGATCTCGACAGTGAATCTGGAATGGCATTTCTGATTTCGTAGTGATCGTCATCCCGCGCACTTTCCGCGTTGGCGGGGAGCGCCACACTCTGGTTGCCATTGTTTTGGGGATGGGCACATTTGATAAGGAACCGTTGTCATGGTGAGCAGATCGCCGGATCGCCAGATCCTCATCGAAACGAAGGCACGTTTTAAGCAAAGATGCAAGTCGTTGGTCGTGTAAGTGTGCAATATGGAAGCGAAAATTGGTGGTCTTACCTGAAGTTGGTGTAAGCAAATATCAGAGTTGACCGAGGCGTTCAATTCTGGTGCGTGGTCCCTGCAGCAGGCACACGACCAATCGTGGATGTGGCGGCGCAATGGACGTCATCCCCTTGCGTAGAGCATTAACAAGAGACTTTTGCACCCACACTTGGTGGGAGAGATCGAATGTACTTCTACACTAGTGGTAGAGACCCGCGGCGCCCTAGATGTTGGCACATCATAGGGTTAGGGTCCCCTCCTACATGTTCCTGCTCTTGCCTTCACGGCCATTTTTGAAGGCAGTCTGACTTCGGCTACAAATAGATTCTTGGGATTGCCGCTCTGCCCACTGAATCATCTCTTAAGATGTGTCGAATGCGGATGGTTCATCTCGATAATTCCATCGGCCTCAAGATCAAGCCAACCCCTTATCCCAGGTCTTCCCTCGCCTTTCAATAACGAATTCGGCCGAGCACTCAGTGCAAGGAAGTAGTTTCGGCACCTACCAGTGAGGCCTCTGCTGAAGTTTTCGTTTCAATGGTTGATCCTCCTTCACTGCATGCTGGCATGTTCCTCTTACACCCCGGAAGGGCCAGAGGCTGGCCCGTTTCTTTTATGGCTTTGACGCAACTGAAGCGCGGCCTTCGAGATCCGCGACGCATGCACACCTCAATACAGCCATCATATCCCCGTGCGAACATGGACAGGTAGGTTTGAAGACATCGTTTTTGAAACCAGCAGAAATTCCTGTACGGTGCATTCTACCTCTATCTGCATCAGTTCCAGGTCCAAGCACGCCCCTTCTGATCGCCATGGTCAGTGCCTCAATGCGCCAACCAAGATACGGTTCCCAACTCCATATCCACTGGGATGTTCGATATCAATACAGCTCGTTAAATCGTTGATTATACAAAGTTGCCTTTGATGTGTCCGTCGCCCTGCTCACACGCGGGCTGCACTCAAGGCCAGCATCATGCCCTTCATTTTCAGGGATGACTTGCCCTCTTCAGACTTGTTGCCCTCTTTAAACTTGTTGCCCTTCGAGGAATAGAGCAGATGCCTGTTAATGGAGGCATTATGAGCAGTATCTGCCTGGTTATCCACAGCCTTGAAGTCGGAGGGTCGATGATATGCACGCGGTATCATAGCTGGATCCACGGCGAGTGAGGAAGTGGAGGTCGTCGACGTGGATGAATGGCGGGAGCGGTTTGTGTTGACAGAGTTGAAGGAAGCGGCAGAGACACTGCTGGCCGTGGTGGAGGTCGAGTCAAGTCTCTTGATCATCTTGCCCCGGTAGATTGAGTGTGCGCGGGTTGTGGTTTTTGGTGATCTCCAGAAATTGAGTCTTTGCTTCAGACAGTATAGTTGCTCGTTGAATGCTTCGTTGGTCGTCAAGCCGAACCTGAGGAGTTTTCCGATACGATATATGTACTCCTTCATTCAAGGCGCAGCAAAGAACAGCGAAAGACTAAATGCGACCCCTCGGTCGCAGTATACTGACACTTCGGGTTCATGCAGCTGCAACAAGGGTGCGGAGTTAGAGAGTCTAACCCACCTTTGTGCATATCTGCCACAAGGCAGCAAGGTTTCTTTTGGGAGGCCCAGCGTAAAACAATCTTCAATCTGCGAGCGCAAGACGGGCGATCGTAAGCGAATTCGGCTGATAATGCGACAGCCCCACATAAATGGCGTACACGCCAATCAAGACTGTGATATCGGGGCTCTTTTGTCTGGTGAACGGCCGCAAGAGCGCAAGTCCCGACCGTGTATGGAAACATACATGACACGCCATCCGCGGCCAGCTGCCTCTCCCGTCACTCCACCTATACGAGCTTCCTCACAACGACAGGCGGGGATATTGCCTGTGTCGCAGAGCTGAATGTCTTGGCCCTTCGGTCTTATTAAGCCCGCTTCTTCTCGGTGCGTTCTCAGTGCATTCCATACACGCAATATAAGGAGGCTTAGCCCGCACCCAAGCATCTGACAACTGCAGGAGAGCCAAGCAAGCAACCTACTCCTCGATCTTGTCCGGTGCACGAGCTTTCTTGCAGCAGCTCTAACGGCCGAGACTCGGTTGGTCTGCCACTACGACCGAGTCTGGCACCGACTCTGCCGCAACTTCACCGGACACTTCCTGAACTCCTTGGCAAGTGAAGATAGTGACTTACGCAGCCGGGTAGAAGATATACCCAGGGGAACCTCCTACGCAGTTCCATCTACCTTATCAAGCCGTCTAGGAAGTGCACATCGCTTCTCAAATGTGCGACGATGATGCGATACCACTCCAAAATCCTACTGTCCTGGAGGACTTTCAAATGCTAGGATTTCACCGTTTCCACAAGATTGAAACAAACCTGAGTCAGTAGTGTGATGCGCTTGGGCGGTACGCCTGGTCGCACCGGAGTGTGATGAAATCCATGATGTTAGCAGCCAACACCGTCACCAACGACATATCGAAAGCAGTTCCTCTGATCATCAAATGCGCGTGTCGTCATAACCATTTCTTGGATGTTGGCCAGGACCACCGAACGCGCTGAGCGCAGCGTAGCTTCAGCAAGGAGGTCTGTCCACCCCAGTCACCCCAGGCGAGCCTTGGACTCGACGGTCCTCTTTGATACTACCAAAGATCCTGTAGGATATGATATGGCCCCAACGTGAAGGGCTGCAGTGCGGCTCTGACAGCAGCCAGCATCATCTGCCTCTTCCTGATCACATCGGGGCAGCCGCATGCGGAAATTTCTAATCGCCGCGTGCTGATGCAGCATGCATATCCCTTTTGCTGACCACAGCACAAAAAATGCAGCACGTGTCTTGGCCCGTGGCGATCGCAAGGTCTGGATCAGAAACACCTGACGGAGCCGACGGTGGAATGGGCGCCCGAGCGAATGGGAGGCCTCGGGAAGACTACACAGCCCCCTATACCAAGCCTTGCCAAGTGTCGGTCTATGACACCGTGCCGCCCACCGCTGCCTGTAAACAGGGACGTTGTGTGCTGGGCATTGCGTGGTCCAAGACTTTTTTGAGGAGGCTTCGAACCCTTTCTGGAATCTGCAGTGGCCTGCTTAAATGCCGCTTTGCTGTCGTCTTGTGATGATGCTTTTGAAGTGTTGTGACTTAAGCTGTGTTGTGCACCCATACATGGCTCCTCATCCCACGTCCACGACATGAATTCTGGAGCACCGCATCAGGGCTTGACGCCGCCCTCTCAGCCGCGCAGCGACGACGAGGCGACGCTTGCCGGGAGCAAGGGAGGTTCTCAACCCGAGAAGATGGAGGCCGCTCAAAAGCAGGCGCCGGCGCCAGCGGAATCATCGGAGCAGTCTACACCTGAGCCAACCGTGGTTGAGAAGCCTCCAGTAGATGGGCCGCCACCGCTGCCATACAACCTGCGAGAGCACAAGTTGACCATTTCCATCTTTTGGTTTCTCATCCTCACCGAATGCACGCTCATTCCGCTTATCTTCTACTATACGATCGCCAACTTGACCGATATGCGAAGAGGGGCCATGTTTGCAATCATTACTGCTATGTTCGGTTTCATTTCCGGAGGTGAATACGGGTTGCGTGGCTTGCGATTGTGTCTGAAACGAGACGAATACCGACCGCTAAATAGTCCCGGTCGATGGGGCTTCGACAGTACTCACCTTGTTCTGGGGCCGCCGTACTTCGTTATGACAGCGCTTATGATCGGCTTCAGTATTCCAGAACCGCCCATCACGCGAGGCCTATCCATGATCATGGCGGTTGGCATCATTATGGTAGGCGTGTTCATGGTCTGGACAGGTATCGCTTACCATTTCCAATGGCGCCTGAGATGGTTCAGGTTAAGCTCCCACGTCAAGGGTGCCATCGTCCCACCGCTCACTTTCTGTATCATGGAAGACATTTGCGGCTGCGACGGCGGAGGAGGGAAGGTTTATCGGACCGCAGCCATGGCCAGATACAATGCGTCTCCACGCTTCCGGAGAATGCTTGTTCAGATGCTCTGGTGGTGGGCTATCACAGCCATCCTCCTTGGAGCAGCTCAGATTGCGATCATTTGGATTCCTCAGATCAGCCAGGAGGTGGTGTATGGCATCGGTTGGTCTGTGACGTCGGTTTGGGGAGGCATTGGCGCTTGGCTCACCATCTGGTGGGGAAAGAAATGCATCAGAATAGAGAAAGAAAAATGGGCCGAAGACCAGGCAGCACAACTCCAGCGTGGATAGACTGTACCTCAATTATAATCGGGTTCATCTTCATTCAGTCGTCGCAGAGCCTGTGTCGACTTGCCGTATCCATTCAAGAGCACGTTTCATGAACTTGTCTTCCTGTGTCTCTGTCCGTTGGATATCTCGGGCAGCGTCGTCTAGTGGATTGGCGGCGAGCTCCATGATCTCGATCGTAAGAGCACGAGCCTCGCCTGCCTTCTTCAAGCAGAGTTCAGGGTCGCCCATATACATACCTTCTGCCGACTCATCAATGATGTCGGATATCTGCCTTGTCCCCTCGAGTACGCGCTCAAGTCTCCGCTTGGTTGATGCAGGTAATATGCTGGAGGGTGGTGGATGGAACTTCTCGAGGCGCTGCTTCAGCAGAACGTGAACGCTTTGTGGTATCCTGTTCAACACTTTAAGTGCCTGGTCTTTGACTCCAGCCGAAATGGTAGCTCTATCATCTCCTGAAGGGTTATGTTGGTCGTTGGCGACATGCTCGTCCTCGTCACTCAGAGCATCGCCAAATAAGTCATTATCATCGACTTCTTCTTCCGGATCCCAATCTTCCAGTTCTTTGACAGCATCCTTCATTAGATCGAGCCACTGTTTCGCCCTGACAGCGACAAAGCCCGGCAGGCCTTGTTGACACAGCTTGACCATGTCATCACAAGTCGCCCACACTCTGCCAGTGGCTTCAGTGACCTCGCTTTTCTTCTCAGTCGAAAGGGCTGTCTTTGGCCGTCCATCTTCACTTCTGGTATTGACAAGACCTATTAAGGACAGGAGTTCGCGCAGGAGGGCTCGGGTTAAATCTTTGACGGTCTTCGAGAATGTTGAGGTGTACAGATCGGGAGTGCACAGAAGCGTTGCTGTCATGAGCGAGGGCAGGACCGATTCGTTCACAGCTTGTAACGAAGACGCGACAGCGCTAGGCGTGAAAGGAGTGTTGATAGTCAGAAGAGAGACTTTGGTGACTTGGGCCTTGAGTGACTTGGCCGCTGCATCGAGCAAGAGCAATGGAGAAGGCGCTTCGGTGCCGGTCTCTGGCACCTGATGACTGCCATCTGAGGTGAGACTTGTGAGGAATTGCTCGGCTAGTGCTATGGTGGTCGCGATCGCTGTTGACCCTTGCGGAGTCACATTGGTCGGCATTCTACGCGGCGCGCCTCGTGAGAGGATCAGGATCAAATTGTAGTGCGGAGGGACCCAGGAATCTTAGCGAAAGTCGTTGCATGTGACCTTGACTCCGCAAGTCCTGAGAAGGCTACGCTAACCCATTTCAGGACGAAGTGAAGCCCGATCTTGGGGTTTCTCTTAACCGAGCACCAAGTATTCTTAAGGAGTAGTTTCTTGAGGCTTGCGGCTTGCGGCTTGGTGGAGAAACCTATTGGATGTCATTCGGTTCCAGACCCAGGCGCATTAGGTTTAAGAAAAGAGGCTGCTGCCCCAGACTCTTTTTGATTGCGGTAGCGACCTTGATACGAGGTGGACTGGATAAAGGAGCAGAAGTACTGGCACTTGCTGCATGCCCAGGGCGACGCAGGGGTGTCTTACGTACTGTGGACTGAGTACTTATACAGCCTGATCTACAAACACGCTCTGCTCCATGATTGAGTCGCAATTCCTTCCGCGCCCAACGCCTGGCTTCAGTCTGATGTTGCACCGGGCACATTATGCCCTCTCTCTTGACTATAAGATAGCATCTAGCCTATATTCGTCCAGGCCACGAACATGGCGTCCTCTTCGTGTAAGTAGTTTGCAATTGCAAGATCATTATTCGCTAACAATGCGGAAGCATGTTTCGGCGATATCACTATTACTACTTCTGCCGATGCCGAACCGATAGCAAACTGCGAGACCTATTCAGGAGATATACTCATTAGCAGCGACGCTTCCGGTAGCATTGAAATCAACGGCGTCAGAGCCATCGACGGGAATCTCTCAGCAGAGAGTGTACCTTCGCTCACATCTGTCAGTGCAGACGCGCTCGTTATAGTACGGCAGACTCTAAGCTTCTCGTCCTGCACGATCCTGGCAAACTTGCAGTTTGATCAGCTCAATAGCGTCAGCGACCTTGATCTCGTTGCACTCCCTGCTTTGCAAAGCCTGAATTTCGGTACTGGAGTGTCTCAGTCATACAATGTTCAAATCAGGGACACTGCTCTTGAAAGCTTGAGCGGCATCGAGCTAGATTTCGTTAGAAGTCTCAACGTGACCAACAACCGCTACCTAACATCTATCGATATGAACGCACTTCAAAACGTCACAGAGTTCTTGGAGATAGCTGCAAATGGTAGGGATCTAGCAGTCTCGTTTCCGAACCTAGCCAGAGTTGCCAATCTGACCGCTAGCAATATCTCCAGTCTCAGTATCCCCTCCCTCATCGACGTATCCGGAAACCTGGGTATCTACTTCTCTTCTATGGAGTCTATCTCCGCACCGAATCTTACCAATGTCGATGTCGACCTTGCCTTGGTGTCAAACGGCCGGCTCGCAAGTCTGGACTTTCCTGAGCTTCAGGAGATTGGAGGTGGCTTTCTGATCGCCAACAACACGGATTTGCTGAGTGTTGATGGTTTTGATAGTCTTGACACGATCTATGGCGCACTCGACTTCCGAGGCACGTTCGACAACGTCACCCTTCCCCAACTAAGTGGTGTTTATGAAGGCGCGAAAGTAGAATCATCAACCACCGACCAATCGCTGTGTGATGTGTTTGACAGAGCCGCTAGCAGAGGCATCATAAGAGGCGGGATGACCTGCCGAAGCAACGCAGATACAGAATCCACTGAAGGTGGTGGCACCAGTGGTACAACCAGTGGTACTTCTGGTGGTAGCGGGCCGGGAGCAGGAGCCATAGCTGGAATTGTCATCGGTTTGCTCCTTGTCATCGCTGCTGCCATCTTATTCTGGTGGTTCTATCAGAGGAAGAGGAAGCCACGGGGCCATACGAAACCAGAAATTCCCGGGCCAAGACCAGGGCATCACCAACTACCTCTGGGCGGCCACCACGAGAAGCCAGAGCTCTACGGTGGGGTCAATCAGGTCAGTGAGCTGTCCGGAAGAGATGCTGAGGGAGCAGGTGCTCGGGGCCGGCGTGAGGTCAGGCCAGGGGTTGCTGAGATTGATTCCAGCCCGTTGGAGATCAGAGAAGCCGAGCTCTCATCAACATCTGCCACCACCACTGAGAATCAATCAACAACCAATGCGGCATCCGCGAAGCATTCCAACCCCACGACAGAGGCCGACTTCTCAGGGCATGGGCCTCAGGAGCATGTGCCAGCGTCAGCGAATGTCGCGGCTCATAGTGGCCGCAAGGATCTCGATCAACCAGGAATGGAGGTTGTTGTCGAGCCGGAACACTCACACTCAAGGCAAACAGGCATCGGTCACACCATAACGGCCACAATGCGGCCACAAACCGAGACTCGGCCGCCTGGAGTGCATCCAGAATTCGTCTGTGAGCTGCGCGACTTGGACAGAGAGCTAGACGAGGGCCTCATCACGCGGAAAGGTTACGATGTAAGACGAGACAGGTTGTTTATGCGATATTTTCCTTCTTCGGATGGCGCACCGCACGAGCTTGAAGCGGGTCAGAGTTGAGGAGGCACGCTACTGTGCCGTAGATACATCTCCTTCGCCTCCTTCGTCGTGTTTGGTAAGCTTAGAGAGTCCCCAGGTTGTCGACTGAGCCACGAGATTAATGTAGTTTATAGGCGAGGGTGAGTTGAGAGGTGCGGCGACCTTAGAAGCGGCGCGGTGGTGGTGAGCGCCCACATGAGCTCGACATAGGACTTACCGCTTTTACCCCTGCTTCTGTGTCAAAGTAACTGACCTATCGATTGCTGGTTTGTCTAACAATTTTCCTTGAAGCCCCCGAACTCCTTACAAGGTGTCAGCCGAGGCCTTGATGGTAGAAGCTACCATGACTAAGCACCTTGGGATATGCCGATAATGGTCCGCTTCTCATTCTCCAAGTCATCCTAATTAGCCTTCGCCTCCATCATCAGCCCCCCAGGCGTATCATTCGAGCACTCCGTCTCCTGAGTCACAACCATCCCCTCGCGGGCGACTGCGAAAGGAAGAAAAATCTGACAGGATACCCACGGGCTTTACGGTAATAGACGGTGATAGAGTGCTGTGGTGCGAGACGCGGCTCAGACTGGTGACTATAAAGACATACCTCTCCGACAGGTAGGTCCAAGAACCGTGCAGACGCTAGCCAATACCTCGAGCAGAGAGACGCTATCATGACTAAAGTATTCCTCACGGGAGGCTCTGGCTTCATTGCCGCACACATTCTGGAGGAGCTGTTGCGTCGAGGCCACTCGGTAGTAGCGACAGTACGCTCCGCCGAGAAAGGAGAGAAGATTCTGGCATCTCATAGCTCTGTTGGTAAGGACGTTTTGGACTACAAGGTCGTCGAGGACATCTCACAACCAGGCGGTACGCTTCCCTTTGCTCACCTGGCTGATGCAAAATGCTTACTTGCGGCACAGCCTATGACGACGCCATTCTAGCCAGTCCTCCATTCGAGGCTGTAATTCACGCCGCCTCGCCGTACCACTTCAATGCCACCACACCGGAAGCCATAGACCTGCTCATCAAAACTGCCATCGATGGCACAGTCGGCATTCTGACGGCTGTCAAGGCAAAGGCACCCACTGTGAAGCGGATCGTCGTCACGTCATCCTTCGCCGCCATAGTCGATCCTGAGAAACCCCCCACCTATAAGTACTCCGAGAAGGACTGGGACCCGGTCACCAAGGATGAGGCCTACGAAAGTCCTCTTACAGCGTACCGTGCAAGCAAAACTCTTGCCGAAAAGGCCGCCTGGGACTTCGTGGAGAAAGAGAAACCCAACTTCACCCTCGCAACAGTAAGTCGTATTTCAGAGTGATCCCACTACATCGCCTAACTTGAGCAGTGCAATCCGCCTCTAGTCCTCGGACCTATCATCCACGACCTGAAGTCGCTAGACAATATTAATACTTCGAATGCGCGTATAAGGGATTTGATGACGGGCGCCTCCAAGGCCAAACTCGGTGGGACCGGTAATCATCTGTACGTGGATGTGAGAGATATTGCCACGGCTCACGTCCTGGCAATGGAGAAGGACAACGCGGCGGGCAAGCGCTTCTTTGTTACGAATGGCAATTTCAGCAACGCCGAGATTGTTGACATCGTCGACCAGAACTTTCCGGAATATAGGGATGGCCTGCCGAGGGGCGAAGCTCTGAAGCTTGGACAGTACCCTCCACAGGGCGTAAATGGGTGGGACAACACTCAATCGGTCGAAGTGCTGGGCTTGACCTATCGTCCACTGAAGGAATGCATCATTGATACAGTCAAGAGTCTTCAGCCATTTCTGACGTCCTAGAGCGGCTGTAGCGTTGCAGGCTTCTGAGATCTCCTGCAAACCACATGATCTGTATGGAAGGCTGATTCAGCTTCAAGATCTTGCGCGCCCGGCCGGTGTAGATGGCACGAAGCCAATCAGCTGAATGCCCTGGAGGAACTCTATTATGCAGGTAGAGCTTAGTAAGGACGAGGTCTCGACCTCAATCAGCACGGATGCTTCGCTTGTCTCGTCCTCTGCTACACTTGCCTGCTCTATCTGGAAACCTACCTGCTAGTAACGATACAGTTTCTGAAGCAGTTGGCGTCACCTTCACATGATACTATGGCGTCGCCTCAAGCAGCATTCATCTTTGACGCCCCTCATGATCTCAACAGTAGGTATCTTCCTGTCGGTGACCGAGCCGTACAACCTCGCCCAAGATAAGCAATCGCTCGACTGGAGGGCAATGCTCGATTGGTGCCAGAAAGCTTCGCGAGGTGAGGTCGTTGGCTTTGAACAAGAATTGACAAACCCCCAGCGATGATACTCTCACAATTCTGCGGCGCACGAACCGAATCTTATACAGGCCATGTTAGCGGCGTGATCTGCAGACAATTCAGAATCTCGCTCAAGGGATCTCGCAACGTCAGCAGCGCGCTCAACAACCTGCCCATTTACCGGACTCCAGACGAGAACCTTACGTTCGGTTGGGCCACGAAGAACTTGATCCGGGCAAGGGCGGTGCACGAAAGCGCTTACGAGAATCTCGCGACCATGATTGCCCTGAGCGAGTCCTTCCACGAACCATACGCTGCGAGAGTCATGTTTGAGCTGGCCAAGATTCACGCCGGACCCGACGATATCACGCCTCACTTGGATCAGTGGAAGTACGTAAATCGCCCAGCTCGTGACTGAACTCGCTCATGTCTGCACAGGGCTGTCATACATAGCATGAACGGCGCATTTGCGACTTCAGATTTCGGCATCCTCGTCGAAGACTACATTCGACTGAACCCTTACAGCCTCCGCGTCGACCTCGACGAAGCAGTGCTGCGCTTTCCGATCTCAGCAAAGCTGGTAGCACACGCCTTGATCGCCTTAGCTAAGGTCACCACAGGTGAAACGCGGCAGCTGACGTTAGTTGGCAGTGCTGTCATCTCCTGGCTCGCAGCCATCGCCGACTGGATCTACGACCTACGCATTGCCATCTATGCCACCGATTCCAGTGAGCCACTCCACAGTACACATTCCCCGGATGCCGGCCCAACTCAAATGCTCTTCATCCTCCGCGAGAGCCCGGGCATCGATCTGTATCCTGGCACCTGGGCCCATTCAGACCAACAGCAAGTGCAATCCTTGGCTGCTTCGGAAGCCACTGCCAAAGTTCGAAAGCTCTCCCTCAACGCCCACAGCTACCCCAAATCTATGCACGTCACGCCGTTTTCCGGCCGAGTAGCCTGGCAGTCACTACTCCCACTCGTCTTCGGCCGCGCCTACCATGTTCTCGACCACTCCTGTGCTTCACTAGTTGGCGAATGGATCGGTGGCATCGCACGCCTCTTCCAGGCTCTCGCAACCGGCGAGGAAACGGAGAACCCCGAGCTCCTAGCGCCGAGTCAGAAGGCCAACACGGCCACGTACGGCCCAGGCCTCATCCGCACACTGACGGACTGGTTGCCCGAACTGCGTCGTATGCAGGGCCGCATGGAGCGCCAGCTCAAGCTCAGCGGCGACGAGGCGCAGAAGAGTATCGTGGCCAAGTTCAAACAGCTACGTGAGCACTGTGGATGTGGGATCTGCTCCTCTGAGCGGCCGCCGGCGGGGCCTTCGGACGGGAAGAATGGCAACTTGTTGGTTGGTGGGGAAGTGGACGATCCGCCACGTCCCTCTGACTGGGCGGCGCTCAAGCTGCCTGAGCACGGGTACTGCCTCATGGCGCTCGCGGAGACCATTGTGGCGCTAGGGCTCACGTTGTCGGGCCTGACGGTCAGCCCGCAGCTGTATCCGTCGCGAGCAGGGATCCAGAGTCTGTACTATTCGCAGGTGCTGAGGCGGCTGGCTGCCAGGGGTTGTCCATGGCAGCAGCATTTCCAGCTGGTGTATGGCGATGAGTGGGCAGCCGGTGACGCGAGACGGTTGAGTACCGCCGTCATGCTCTTCAGCGGGAGCAGGCCACGGAAGTCGATGGTGGAAAAGCTGGTGGCTGTCAGTCACGAGGGCATATGTTGCTATTTTGTGGATCTGGAGAAGGTGAATACAAAGGGCAAGACGGAGAGTGCTGGCACAAGGTTGATCAAGGTGGTGAGCGGGGGGATCAATTTGAAGTGGAAGGTCTTTGATCGGGCGTGCATGGACGATCCGATGGAGGGGAATGTAGAAGGGCTGCTGGCTGGGGGGACTGTTTGGGAAAGCGTGGCAGTTGAGCATTTGGAGGAAAAGTTGTATCTGCAATGATGATTTAGTCGTATGGCAGACACCCTCAGGAGCGAGCTCGTGTTGGAATAAAAGAGTCACTTCGTATGTGATCTTGCTGATCAATTGCTGGCGTACAGCGTTCATCCTGGAGGGGTGTGGTCACGAAGCTGGCGCGGGGGATGCCGGCCGAGTTTCAGGAGCGGTTGTTGGGGGATCTGTTGAAGCTGCAGTTGAAGGGCTAGGGTGTGGCGGGGAGTCGCTGGAGGATTATTATATTTATACCGTCGTGTATAGCGCATTGTTTTTGCTTCTTCTATAGTCGCCATCTCCAGACGCCCCATTCGTGGAGCCGCTCGTCGTCCCAGACCTCATCGGTGATCTCTTCTTTGCCTTCAGATACCGACTCGAGACCGCCCGCCTCCAGCAGCTCCCATAGCTCTCGGATGATGTCCAGATAGGCAATTCTCAAAGGGTAGCAGACGATGACTCGAGAATCCGGACCGGGCCGCAGCCAGGCGAGAATGGCGTTCGTCAGCATGCGGGGGTGGTCCTCTGAATACAGGCAGTCCGCCGCAATGATGACCCTGGCTTTATCGGTCTCGCTGGAGTACGTCTGCTGGATCTGCTCGGGATCATGGTGGAAGACGGGCAGCGTTGCGGGCTGATTCCAGTCCAGGGCTCCGCTACACGCCGACGCTCTCCTGTCAGAGAGTACGTCCTTGTTGACATCAATGTTGCGCGCCAGCCCGGGCACGAACGGCGCTAGATCTGTCAGCGTCACGCTCGTCTGCCAGATTGCCGCGGCCGCCAGACCGGCGAGGCCCGTCCCGGCGCCCATTTCTAGAATGTTGACTCCATTTTCTCTGAACTGTGCCTTTTCTATCGGTATAGTGTGTAGTTGGCCTGCAAGTATTCGTGCCGACCCCCAAGTCTGAAAATGAAGATTTTCCGCGCGGAGTTTAGGCACGTTGATGTCGATGTCCACGTTTTCTCCGCCAGTGTCCAGCACAGCTTTGTATTTATTGATTGGCCTTTTCCAGTCCTCCATGTCCAAAATATCGAAATATGCTCGGTGGCTCAGTCGGGCGGGTGCTGGAGGAGTATATATAGAATTTGAGAGGAATTGTGGGCCCTTTGCCAAGAGGCAGTGAATGCCGCTAGTCCGAAGAGAGCATCGGTGGTGCCCGTCAGTGCGATGCCTGTGCGATGCCTGATGGGTGCATTGCAAGCTTGAGATGTATGTGGAAGAGCTAGATTAGTCTTGCGCATTGAGCTCTGCAAGAATCTTCTCGTTGTGTTGTCCAATGGATGGGATGGGGTCGAGACGGGGCTCAACTTCAGCGGACATGCCGGGAGGAATCATTGTCTTGATCGTGCCGGCCTCGGACTCGATCTTGCGGAAACGGCGCCGGGCATGCAACTGCGGGTGGTTCCAGACAGCCTCCATGTCGTTGAGGTTGGCGTTGGCGATGCCAGCCTCTTCGAGCTTTGCTACTGCCTCACCGGCGGTGTATTTTGAGAGCGCCCCGCAGATGATAGGATATAGTTCCTTGCGGTTATTCGATCGGGAGTCCGTGTCTTTGAATCTCTCCTCTTTGGCTAGCTCGGGGAGGCCAAGTACCTTTTCGCAGAGAATGACCCACTCGCGCTCGTTCTGGATGCCTAGCATGACGGTGCCGTCACGAGCCTCGAATGGCCCGTAGGGATAGATCGAGGCGTGGCTGGCTCCCGCTCGCTGAGGTGGCGGCTGCTTTCCGTAGGCGTAGTACATCGGGAATCCCATCCATTCGACCATACTCTCAAGCATGCTGACGTCAAGCTTGCAGCCTTTGCCAGTCTTTGCGCGTTGCAGCAACGCGGCCATGATGCTACTGTACGCGTACATGCCAGCAGCGATATCTGCAATTGATGCGCCAACCTTCGAAACGTCGTTGGGCGTTCCAGTGATCGAGAGCAACCCAGCCTCGCTCTGGACTAGCAGATCGTACGCCTTCTTCTTCTTGTATGGTCCATCGCTACCATAGCCGGAGATCTCACAGAAGATGAGCCTCTCGTTGACCTCCTTGAGAGTCTCGTACCCCAGCCCTAGTCGCTCTGTGGCCCCAGGTACAAGGTTGGCAACGAAAACGTCGGCAGTCTTAAGAAGCTTCTTCAGGATGGCAATATCGTCCGGCTTTTTCACGTCGAGCGCCAGGCTTTCCTTGTTACGATTTGTCCAAATGAAATGTGAGCACTGCCCATTGACGCGTTTGTCATGGTATCGGACGAAATCACCAGTCCCAGGCCGTTCAATCTTGATTACTCTCGCGCCGAGATCTGCGAGTTGACGCGTGCAGTAGGGACCCGAGATCACTTGCTCGAGTGCTACGACTGTAACACCTTCCAGTGGTCGGGATTCTGGAGCGTTAAAGTCGTATGGTCCTCGAAAACTGCGTGAGCTACTCAGTTGACGGAGTAGAACCGAGGGGGTGAAAGGCTGGGCTGGGCGCGAAGCACTCCTGAGATGTTGGGTCTGCAGCGACACCCGCGACGCGATTGTCGAAGATCTGAAAGGAAGCATCGCGACAAGATGCCAACTTTCTATTGGTATGCCGAAGATGCCAAAAAGCAGTACTCATCCGCATTAACTATAGGATCTCCTCCAAGCGTGTTTACACCATCCCCTCATGCGGAGAGCTGGACCTCGGCGGCTGCCTCACCGAACGACTCCGTCCGCTACCGGCAACCTAAGGAATCCATTGCATGTGGTCTGCATCAGTTTCTTGTGAAGGACGGTACAGTTCAAATGGGCGCCGAAATGAGGCTCGGTGGTTTTCCACATTGAGTTGTCCGTTTCCGTTATGGTCCTATCATCGTTTGCAGAAAGCCAAACAGTCGGCAACAGTAGGAACAAATATCCGCGATATCGGCCAAACTACCGGTCGCAAGAATAACGAATCATAAGTAAGACCTGGGGGAGATTCGAAGAGCCTCGAATCTGGACATATGTCCATGAGGGCTGCCGTTTTCGCTGACTAACTAAGCTGAAAAAAGTACATTGCGATGAACCTGACGAGGCTGTAGATTCGCCGACTGGAGCCAATCAGAGCAGACTGAGCCATTTCTCTCATTGGTGGTGAGGCTGAGTAGAGAAATCGTGCAAGAGGGGCTCTGTGGTTAGAAAATCAATTCGCCGTCACTCAGCAGAGGTTGACGTTGATAGTGTCGAAAAGCACGCAGTCCGTCAATGCGGCAGGGTCTATACGTGGCTGGACCTATCGAGGGCGACATGGACGTCTCACCAATTTTTCCCAGTGCCTGTTGCAACAACGAGAGATCGAAACTTCTAGCTGCCCTCTAATAGACGCTTCACATCGGTTCAGATCTCACCATCAGCCTAGCCTCACTACCAGGCACATTAACCAGCACCATGGCTAGCGCGGAGCAGCACAGTCAGGGCTGTGAGAAGCATAAGCCTTCAGTCCGTGGCCTACAAGCCAGAGCATACGCCGCCTGGATCTCACAGGGTACCGAGAGCCGTCGCAAGAGTAGCGTGAGCAGCTTTGACGCTCAGCGCGCAGCACGACGAGCCGTCGTCGACGACGATAGGGCAGAAGCTTTGATCATGCGGTATTGAGAACCTGCCGGGGACCAACGTTTCGCCAGCACAACAACGTCTCAATCATGTTATGATATTGTACATCTTTCAGCGGGGCTAGAACCCAGGAGCATATCGGATGGAGGTGTGTGTCAACAATGAACACAGTATTTGACTTCGAATCTATTCTTCGCACTGTAATAGTAATGGTAATGGAATGGAGTCGCAAATCTGCAGCAAGGGTTTGGAAACATTGCATCTTGCCGCCTGTAGTCAAGCAGAGTGCTGGGAAAACTAGCTCCAGCTAGACAGTTTCCTATCCGTGTGGGACTCAATTCTGGAGAATTTCACTCGACCCAGTCCGGGACTTCATCGTATCTTGAAAAGACCTAGGTGATCAATGTTATTCTGTAGCAGGACAAATTCGAGCGAACACGATGTGCATTCCAAGAGAGGACCGGGGACACAGGAAGCAGCTTTGCTCAGGGGCCCATTTGGGTCAACGTTTTTGGAAGGAATGAATGGAGATACCAGACGGATTTCTGTCGAGATCGAGTGGCAGGATACGTAGGCCACAGCCACGCCTCAACGAAGATAAGCAAACGGCGAAAGAGGAAACGAAAGAAAGAGCAGGAATGTCAGACAAACTGCTTGCTGGGATGAGAGGCGTGAGAGGCGTGAGTAGTAGGGCGGGCAGGAAAACTCGGACCCGCCTGATTACGATTCGCCAGGCCAGGATCAACCTTTCGAGCCGCCTGCGCATGCTGCAACGTGTGGGCGATCATAGCGTCAGTTTGAGCCGTTGAAGGGCACTGTGAAACCTCGCGTTCACCCGGTGGCGTGGCGTTGATGAAAGTAGCAGCGGTGTAGTTCATCATGCAGTCGGTCTGCGGGCAGTCCGAGCCATCGTGTTGTAGAAGAAGGAGGGGTGCTTGAAGGAACAGGAGGGCCACAAACAGGCAGAAAGAGGGGAAGCGACTGCTTCAAGTACGCAAATTTAGTGACCAACCAGCCAGGCCTCCGGCAGGACTGGCGTAGCCCAGCAGCCGACAACTTCAAGCAGCCCAAGCAAAGCCAGAAACAAAGCAGTCTAGCGGCCTCCTCTGGCGTGGATAGCTGGAAATGACCCAAACCATGAACCCTTGCGATGAACCAATTAACACGCCCCAGGCCCGGTGGGCGACCAGCGCCTGGATGTTGATTTGCGGGCGTCAGACGATGGAGCCCGTTGGGTGTGAAGGACGCTTCGGACTCGCAGAGCGTCGAGAGCAGTCCCAAGCCCACTGACAAAGGTGTCCGACTAGCCCCGGCGTGGTTAGGCTCTCGCCTTCCTCTCTCAAGCCCTGTCTCGTCCCAGAGGAGGGAGATGCAAACCTGCGCTCACCTTTGCCTGCCGCTACTACGCCTGCCTACTCGGTCCGCTCTCTCGCCCTGCTCTTCTCTCTCTTCTTGCTCATCGTCTTTCGCCCATCGCAATTCGTTGCTTCTATTCTCTCGATTCTCAGCCAACTCACATCTTCTCCAATTCCGCCATCGTCACTTCCGGCTTCGATTCCGGAGTGTCTCCTCGAGCAACGTCCTCGAGCCTACCTCTTCACACCCAGCAGACGCCTTCAACAGACAACCCAGTCAAAGCGCTTCCACTCATTTCGACCTATATTGTAATATCAGAACTCTACGAGGCTAATTTTCTGTTTCACGACTCTTTTGCGCCGCTCCCTGCACCCATTTTGCCACGGATTTACAGTTGCGCGCCCTCGACTTGTCGATTTCACAACGGTTAAAACACCACCACACCTGTTGCCATTAACTCAAGACGCTTCAAAGGTCCTCTGCGAACCTATGCGAAACGTCTAGTGAGATTTGGGACCTCAACGACGCCGATTTCCCGTAGTTGCTCTACTACGAGTGACGACCTCCACCACGATCCATGACCCTATTCACTTCCAATCATAAAACATACCCTTCATGAGGAGGTTATCTGTCAGATTATGACCGATTCCTCCTCTCTTATCACCACGAATTCCCCAATAAATCCGTTCCCGGTCACCGCCGTACCCGCGCAGCAGCAGCAGCCACCCCTGCTGAATGGCATTGTCTCGGATGCAAATCTTGCAGAGGAGGAGGAGTATACCATCAAATGCATCTGTGGATACGCAGATGATGATGGCAATACCGTGTACTGCGAAAAGTGTGACACCTGGCAGCATATTGAATGCTACTATCCTTCCAAGAAGGTTCCAGAAGAGCACTTTTGTGCAGATTGCCTCCCTCGAGATGTTGATGCAAAACGAGCGGCTGAACGCCAGCGGCGCCATCGAGAAGCCCTCGACGGCGGTGACCGGAAGATCAAGCGACCAGCGTCGAAAAGTTCGAAAAAGAAGCACAAAGATCCTTCCGTGTCAGAACAGGTGAACGGCTGGCATCTGGACAGGAATGAATCTATATCAAATGGCAGAGACCAGCCACCCCCAACGAAAAAACCAAAGACAAACCACCGGACTTCGGGCTCCGTGGCTTCCATCAATGGCGATTCCAGGAAACGTGCCCTCTCCCACATCCACTCCTACCCCAGTCCTTCGAAATCCCCTCAGGATGCCGCACGCTACCCGCCCATACCTATTTATACCTCAGAGTTCCTCGATCTGTACGACCGCGACCATGGTACAACCGACGCACAGGGCAATGAGCACACCATACAGGCCCTGAACGAGCTTGCCGCATTCCGATCCGATGCCTCCCTCGTCGCTAGCCCAGGCGAGCAGCCGAGTAACCTGAGACCCTTCGTGCGCGCTTCGGGCACGCTAGATCCCTCTACCTACCCACCGATTTCTGTTGAGACAGCGGACCGGAAAGAGGTGGAAATTGACGGTAAGACTCCTCACTGGAAGTTCATCAAGACCCAGGCGCCGATCAGAAAAGATCAGGTTGTCGGAGAAGTACGCGGCGAAGTTGGTATGCTGGACGAATACTGCCAGCAACACTCCAACAGCAATCGCTGGCAAGAACTAGGTCATCCGGATCCCTTTGTCTTCTTCCATCCGCACATGAATGTCTACATCGACAGCCGGAAAGCAGGTACCCAGTTCCGATATCTACGGCGGTCGTGCGTGCCCAATGTTACACTCAAGACATTTGTCACAGAAGATAACGACTGGCGTCATTGCTTCGTTGCGAAGGATGACATTCCTGCTGGCAAGGAGCTTACTGCCGCTTGGTTCCTGGACCCCAATATCATGCTTAGTGGAGATCCCAATACGGATCAGGATGAGCCACCCTTCAGTCGACAGTGCGATTGGGTCAGCAGAGTGCTGGCTAATTTCGGTGACTGCGCCTGCAATAAAGGTAGCAACTGCCTTTTTGCTCGCTTCGATCGACGATGTCTCCCGAAATCCACGGACGGCCCAGAGAAGACCAAAGCTGGTCGCAAGAAGAGACCGAAGACCAAAACCGCCATTTCCCCTAAGAGCACCGGCCAGGCAACGAACAGTCGCGCTGGAAGCGAGGCTCTCAAGCAAGAGGATGACGAGCAGGATCAACGCTCTTCCTCAGGATCTGCGAGCGATCCTAAGAGTCGGGATATGACGCCTGTGAATATTGCAGCTCTTGACGCTGACCCCGTTCTTGGAACTCAGCTTACCGACCGCGAGATTAGAAAGCTAAGAGCCCTGGAACAACGTGAGCAAGAACGGAATAAGACCAAGGAGAAAAAGACCAAGAAACGTACGAGTGGGGGTTCGAATCTGAACACACCAAATCCCAACGGCTCAAAACACTTTCTGAATCCTGGTACTATCGGCGCCGAGTCATATTCCGGCTCTCCACCGCCGAGGCAGATCGGTGCCCAGTCACGGGGCAAGTCGAGAATGATTCGACAGACTCCGCCACGTCCCGTTTATGCTGAAGCCAGCACTCAGACTTCTCCGGATGACATCGATCTTGAGCTACCGCCAGCCAAGCGAATGAAATATGTTACGCCTCAGCAGCGACTATTGCGCAAGGTTTTAGCGAATCGTTCACGGTACGAACAGCGGTGCAAAGTCGCTGGCGTTTCGCCTAGGTCGTTCTCAGCCTCGCCAATGACTAGTCCCAGTCAGGATTCGGAGATGAAGGACGTCAATCCTAACGTCATCTCGCCGGTGAGTGCACGTTCAGCGCCCTTACCGTCTCCGTCTTCCTCGGAACACTCCGCAAGTCCGACAGTGTCGCCAACATATCCTCTACCATCGCAAGCTGCACATTCCTACAAGCAATTCAAGGTTCCGGCGCCCAAGCTCCAAATTTCTTCCATGCCGCCCGTACCAGCCTTTCCCGCCGCGGGAACGTCTGGTGCCCCGAACTCGACCTCGTCAGCGCATGGCACCCCGTCGGCAGTGTTGTCTCCAGTCGCAATGATCTCAACACAACCTGGAATGTCACCTGCTGTCGTGACACCTAGTCCCGCCAAGAAGAAGCTCAGCCTCGGGGACTATATGAAGGCACGGCGTAATACCAGCTCGTCCTCAATCCTAGCTACAGAGAAATCTCTCATGGCCGATGGTGATCGCAAGGTTTCAAGCGAATCGCCGGGACCCCCGTCGAATGTTCCTCCAGCCCCATCTCCGAGCGATCATATTAAGATTGAAGCTGCTATCCAGGGCGTGCAAGAGAACGCCGTAGAGGACACGCCGATGAAAGATGCGGACGACGAGTCAGAATATGTGCCACCTGAACCTATCTTGGACGCAGATCTACCACCACCTGGCATGGTGGTGTCTGATGTCGGTAAGCCCGATGTCATGCTGTCAATATCTCCGCCAGCGAGCGCGAATACTGCTTCCGAAGTTACCACTGTCATGGCTCAGCTGGCCAAACTGCAGGAGAAGGCGAAGAGCGGCGCTTCATCATGATGAACACAAAGTTATGGACCGTTACGAAGATTTCATTTTCGGTCAATTGGTTGGGTCGGCGAATACATAAAAAAGAGGCGCGGCGCATTTCTACTCCATTACAACACGATTGCTGATTGATGCGGTGTGGTTTCTTGTACGATACGGTAACGGGCTACAGGAGGGCAGAAGGACAAGGCTTGACGGACTGGCATTGTGATGCTGTTGCTTCGTGATTGAGCTTTCTTTGATTTGTCGCAATGACGAGTTTTCCTTTCGTGTTAATGTGAGTGCAAGGTTCGAAAGCCGGAGTGGGAGTATATGCGAGTCCGGCCAGCGCTCGGGTCTCAACAGCTGTGCGAATGCCACTGAGAAAGGGAAGAGGTAGAGTCTGTATGCCTGATATTTGTCAAGCCGTGTGTTAGGCAATGGCACAGCAGTCCAAGATGAAATGAAATCGAAATGATCACTCAATCCACTCTTAAACAACAACGTACCCTAATGAAGCTCGTGCTGTGAGACTGACCTTTTGCCGCCACCTTTTTTGGCAACAATGCCCACATCACCTCGGTGATCTTTCGCTGGCGTGCAGCATCCGACCTGTGTTGCGCTCTGTCTGTCATAGAGCTGTCGGGCATGTCTGGGATGGCAACGACGGTGGGGCGGAAAGCTTACGCAATCTACGACTGTCTTCATGCTCGTGTACGCTCCAGATCGGACAAGCCAATCTCGCCGCTCTCGCCATCTCAGCAGCTAGGGTTCTGCTCCAAGCATGTCTGGCAACAGATCTTCGGTCTCGAAGACGAAATGGCATCACACATTACCCCGGAGAGGTACCCGCCACGCCGAAAACTATGGGCGCCCAAATGTCGCACAGGCTGCGACATGTGCAAGAAGAGACGCATCAAATGCGATGAAACCAAGCCAGTCTGTATGTCTTCAGGAGTCCGTGGCTAGCTAACATTCCGCTCACGACTGCGTACCAGGCGCAAGATGCCTGAAGATCGACGTCGGCTGCCACTACACCGACCCCATTGTGAAGATCGTTTATCCATCGCGCTCGACCACACGCGAGGCATGCCAGTCAGCCTCGAACCAAGGGCCCGGTCCGAATGCTGCACTTTCGAGGTGAGTTTCTATGGAAAACGGATAGACGGGGTACTCGTTCCTATCCGCTTTGTCAGTAGACATTGCCGCTTGTATCTTTCACAAGTACCTCGTGTCAAACAATTACCTCCCGATGCATGCCTAGGATCGATGACTATGACACGTACTGATGGATTGTAAGTGTGTCACGTACGCAAGAAGAGAAGCTCGCGCTCAAGTTCTTCCTGGAGAAAACAGGGCCATGGATGGCATCTAACGGGCCCTCGCACACACTCGACTTCTGGACCACTACCATCCCTCGGGCATTCCACTCAGTACCCGGCACGAGGCATCTTGTGACGGCGCTCGGCCTACTGGAGACGTCTATTGGCACCACAGACCTCTGCGTTCTGGAAACACGATGTCGCAAGATCCATCACCATTACTCAGTGGCCCTGCACGAACTCACGCAACCGGACCCTGACAAGGTTGATGTCGCCCTTGGGCCGTTACTCGCATGGCTGTTGGAAACCATGATGTTCAACGACTCACGGGCGGACATACATGCTGAAGCACTGGAGCGCCTATCCTCATCTCCCGCTTTCAGCGCCAGAAGCCTCGCGAAGACGGAGCTGTCGCAGCACGATCTTGATGCCCTGGTGTCCTGCGTTCGGCGCGCACGAAAGCTGCATGGACGCTACGATGTGCAGTTGCCATTGTTGCAGGTTCTGCAGATGCGCAGCCAGCTGTCGGACAGGGTAACTCCGGCGGACACGCTGCTGGCATTCGAGCAGTTCTATACTACGTTCTCCCCTCAGGATATGAACCCGGACCAGATGCAGGCGGCTGGCTTCTTTCTCCAGAAACAGATGGCAGCCGTGCACGGCAATGTATATCGCTCGGAGGTGCCCATGTCTGTCTACAGCGCCCTGCACTACACGTGCATCATCTCATCAATCCTGCTGCCGACGCCGGAGGTTTCGAGCCAGGAAGGGTCCGAGATTCGTGGAGTCGGGCTGGACTTCATCCTGGAAGCGTGCGAGGACATGCTCGAAAGAAAAATGGCAACAAAGAGCGATCAACGACTGTTGGATCGGGCCCTGTGCCTGTTGCTGCGAGTGATGGCGAGCCTCGCGCCAGCGGGCTGGCGGAGGGAACAGGCGGAGCGTCTAAAGCGGGCGACGTTTTTGATAGAGCTGCGGACTATGGTGGCACCGAGGGAGCCTGAGACCGGGGGCGACTCATCTATCTGCGTGACGGGCACCAGCATGGCAGTTGGCACTTAAACAGCATGAAGTAAAGACGGGCTTGTCGTTGGGTCCTTGTACATTGATGGTTTCTTCGCTCCGCAAAGCCTCTTGGTAGTAGAGGAGTCGCAAAGCTCCGACGCTAGCCGTCGTATACAAAGTCACGACCGGCGGTGTTCCCAGCATGTTATCCGGCCCAAGTGTGTAGTAAGGTACAAAGAAGGTGTGAGCCATAACGACTATCAAACATTCTGTCGACACACACACACACTCTCTCTCCCTCTCCCTCCATCCCATCCTGGCCTACAACCTAGCATCCCATGCTTGAACACGGAGTCGATCGGCCCAAAGCCCCACCTCCCCTCCAGCCGTGTGCCCGGTCCCGACGATTGGCGCCGATCCAGGCAGTGTGAATCTGCAACGCATCCCATTTCAGCCAAGGAGGGGTAAAGATAGTCGGAAATGTCTGGCTGTCTGCGAGCACGCCATCGCCCTCCTCGAGCACCCCAGGTCTCAAGCATGGGCATTCTATTGGGACAAACCGCGACGTGCGAGCGTCAGATTTCCCGGATCTGGGTTGCTTGCTGTGAGGCGTTGCAGCTGAGATTGGCGCGAGCGGCGGGAGAGGTGGTGCTCATTCATACACATATATGAGGGCCTAGGCTCTCGCTCGTTCCAGCTTCGGCCGCCTTTCCTTGTGCTTGAGCGGCATTGAGTCTCCTAGTAGGGAGAAAGTAGGTTATATCAAACGGAGCTATCGATCGCAAACAGAAAAAAAAAGCCAATCTGGGTATCTAACTAGCTAAGCGGCAATAAAACGTCGTGGTCGTTCGTCGGTTACTGTCGTCTCTGTCGTTGCACGATACGCTGGAAGGCAAGAAAACAGCCAATCAGAACCAAAAAAAAAAGAGCAAGCAAACACAAAATGTCCGCTATCCAACAACAGGTCGAGCAGGCTTCGGCCCGCTACTCGTCCTCGTTTACGCAGGGACATCTGGCGCTGCCGCCCGCGAAGAAATACCTCGTCCTCACTTGCATGGATGCCAGGATTGATCCCGTTCGGGCGTTTGGCATCGGACTTGGTGACGCCCATGTCATCCGCAATGTATGTAGAGAATCCAGTTGCCCCAGTTGCCCCCAGAGGTCAGAAAGTGGGACAAAGGCTGACGTTTGCTGACCACGTGGAATCCTTAGGCCGGTGCATCCGCGCGCGATGCTTTGCGAAGCATCATCATCTCGGAGCAGCTGCTGGGCACGCAGGAGATCGTGCTCGTCAAGCACACGGGCTGCGGGATGTTGACGTTCAAGAACGACGATGCTTTTGGGCTCGTGGAGAAGAATCTGGGGTAAGAAGAGCGCCCAAGCAGCAGTATGTCCCGGTTTGCTGTGAAAGGTTACTGACATGGACCTTTGCAGTGACGATGCGGCTGCCGAGTTGAAGTCGAAGAATTTTGATTTCCTTCCTTTCCCGGAACTGGATCGTGCGGTGGAGGATGATGTGAGGTATATCAAGGGGAGCAAGCTGATCCCGGATAGTGTGACTGTGAGCGGGTGGGTGTATGAGGTTGAAACCGGGAAGACGAGGCGTGTTGTGTGAAGTCCACGGTAGAAAATGTCGGTCGTTGTGACAGACGGCAATGGATGAGCAGGGCTTTGTACTGACCAGGCCAGTATAGTGCGATAGTGTACCACTCTAAACAGTTTCTCGTTTCGTGGCCGTGCTGTTCGTCAGGACTCTCTCAGCTGGTGTCTTTGGCATACTGAAGCCACCCTCTGACTTGTCTTCTCCTTTCTCCGGCCATAAAATCTGCTTGTCGACAATGGCCTTGATCATTCTGAACACAACCAGGAGCCACACCAAGATCAACAGGACAGTCATGACGCAGCCAACGATTTTGATGGCGAAGACGTTGAATGACTCGGCCACGCGGAAGGTCGCAGTAGTGAGCGCCGTCTGAGGGAAGATGAAGCTGAACCATGTCATGGCGAACGGCATGTGTGCTCCCTTACGGAAGCAGACCATGTTGGCCATCAGGCTCACGAAGAAGAACCACAGCGCCAGTCCCCACAGCCACAGAGATACCCAGTTGGCAATCAGTTTTAGGATTGAAGCCGCGAGCATCGACTCCACATCCATGTACAGACCGCTTGGAAGCCTCATAAAGACCTGGTCCAGATTGCTGGCCATGCCCATAATGCCAGAAGCGGTGAAGGCGCTGGGTCCGACCGAGACGAACATTCCTGGGCGGAGGGACTCTGCCGGCAGCTTCTGCGTCATAAGTCGATACACGAAAGCGGCGTAGACGGTGAGAGACACGAGAAATCCAATTCCTTGAACGGTAAAGCCTCCGACGATGACTTGGATCGCTTCTCGTGGATCAACAAGTCTAGCAGACAAATTGGCAGCGTGGGGTCCAATGATAAGTAGTGGGTAGGCGGGGAAGATCCAAATCGGCGTCATCCTGGCAATGGTGAAATGCTGGGTCGACCAGAGGATAAGGTAGATGGAGATGCTGAGTACGATTGCCAGCCCACAGTCAAACCAATAAAGCACCAGGACTGCTCTGTTGAGCCAGACCCCGACTTCTCCGAAACCGTATTCAACGATATTGATCAAGATCGTTCCGAAAGATACCGCTACTGCTGGTGCGAACAACGACTCCGTTGGGTGTAGAAACGACGCCCTGAAGGTGTAGGGGTAGTTCCAGAACCGGCAGATGATCATGGCCCAGATGATAACATAGAACGCAATGTTGGCCACGAAGAAAATAACACCAATCGTCCACAGGCCAGTGAAGCGGAAGGGTACTGCTTGTCGTCAGGTCCGAGCGCCGCAAAGGTGCAAGAACACTTACCAGCGTGGAGAGTACTTGCCACGCCTCCGGTGGCCATGACGAGGGTGAACCAAGCCCACGTTACATGCTTCAGACGCTGCCTTATCGAGAGGTGCATGTTCTCTTCTGAAGGCACAATTGACGCTCCGTCCTCACCAGGCTCGACGTGGTCGACAGCAGAAGCGTGCGTCGAAGCCGTGGCTCTACTGTCAGCCCGGCGCTGGTGCACGCCATTGAAGTAGTCAGTCTGCTGTGACTTCTCAGTCAAACCGGACGTGTGGGTGCGCCGCAGCTCCAGATTTCGTGGATGGTGTGCATCCTCGATTGTCGGTGTCCGCCACCCGTCCCCGCCAGGATTTGGGTCAGCAAACGGGTTCGATCGCTGCGAGGATCTGGAGGGCGGCATCGTAAGCTGATTGCCTCGGGGTGGGGGGACGCGTCGCGGCATTGTACCATCCCAGCATGCGATGTTCAAATACCAACGACGGCGTCATTATCTCGCCCGAGGACGTGCGCAGCGGCAGTGCGACAAAGACCGCCGTATCCGTCTCGGCCTTGTAATGCCAGTTTCGAAGCGTCGTAGAAAATGCATGTCGAGGGCCGCTGGTGACGACGCAACGTTGACCAAGCATGATAGCTTTCTTAGTAGGCTTTCTCTCCGCTCTATCCGTGAGTTATCTTGTGGTGAGGCGAGTCGAAGTGGGACATCTTCTCGGCATGAAAATGCCGATTCGGTGAAAGTTGGGCGCGTGCTCGGTGGGGTGAAGTGGTGCTCTGAGTGGCCACAGGCCACTCTCAGGCATGAATCTCGGCTTTCGGCCCCTTTGTTGTTTTGCTGGATAGATATGTCCTTGTCCAGATTTTGGTCCACATTCTGGCCACAGAATCACTACGGGCGCTTGGTCTAGGGGTATGATTTTCGCTTCGCACAATCTGTATGAGGTTGAGAGCTTGTGAAAGGTCGTGGGTTCAATTCCCACAGTGTCCAGTAACCTTTTTTTTGTCGCTCCAAGTGACTCTGGGAGGTGTAGAAGTTGTGAGAGTGGTAAGAAATGGTGGAAGGGCATTTTTGAGAATGCCAAGACCAGAGCTGGGCGACGAGGGAAACAGCCCTCTCTTTTTCAGGCGCACAACCGTCGTACGCTTCTCCACGATTCAGGACCTTGTACCGGCAGCTCTCAACACATATATGGGTCGTCCACAAGTCCACCGACTTTCCATAGGCGTGGCAAGACATTGCAGGTGGACAGCTGATTCCGCCGCATGCACGATGGCAGCTCGCTTCAAGTAACATGACGGACACCCTGCCATCAGACAAGAGTTCGTCTGTCACCCTGGAAGCTGTTGTGGCCGAGTGTGAAATACCTTCTCTGAGGTACACTGGAAATAGAGCCCGATGCCAAGATTTCTCAGGCAGCGAATGCTGTATGATTATTCGTCACTCACCCATGATTCACCTGCTGGTGACGAATTGTGACATAAATGTGAGTTCCGTATGAACCAGAAAATTTTCGTTCGATGGTGAAAGGGCGTGGTCCGTTCCTCCATTGAGCGGACGCAACCATGGTCGGATCGCACGACGATATCCCTTTCTGGGAACAACATGTTATTGGTCAGTGTCAAGCTGAGGTTTCTCAAGACGATCTTGAGCTAGCCATGGGGACTTCGGACCTGGTTGGAATTAAGGTGTATCATTGTGGGAGTCAATGAAGTCCAGAACTCGGGCACCTTTTCATGCTAAAATGGTTGATCAAAGATCGTCAAGAATACATGTTGTGGAACTGTGGCCTATTCCGTTATCGGCAAGTCGTGATCAGCGAAATGAAGCCGGTCGTCCCAGAAATGGCGGGGGCTACAGAGGCTCGAAAATGCTAGAGCACGCGAAGTACTGCAGGGAGTACTCTCTTACCTCCCAATGATTCAGAAGTTCTGGTCCTCGTGAACGTCTCGAACCTCGTATGAAACGCGTGGACAAGTGGTTGTGTCATCAATAATGAAGAAAGTCCGGTCGTCGCTGTCAAGACTTCCCAGCAGCTCGTTGTCTAGAGGTGCCTTTCTGTCCAGAAGTCACAGCAATCGTGTCGGAGGGGGGGGTGGATGAGACAGCGTCTTGGCATCAGGCAGTGAATGCTTGGCAGGGACGTCGTCTCCCGCCGGCTTCGGCTCCTATCTGCTGCTTGAATTAAGTCAACAGGATCTACTTTGGACCACACAGCCTAAAATGACACGACGTTCGAGCTTCCAGTCGTTTAGGCCGGTCCAACAATCCTACGGTGTTTAGACCTGCTCTATCTGAAGTCTACCACGTACGACCACATACCGGGACTTCGGGTACCTGTTGCAAGTTTGACAAACCCGCGCTTGGGCGATCCGCACCTATGACTGCCACTGGTCGTAGAGCGGGGCTTTCCGTTCGTCTATCACTTGACCTACCGGTCAGAGTCCTCCCTTCTTATCCTAACACACAATACGAGCGGCCAACTCTTGGCAGCAGGCAGTAAATCCTTTGGATTCCAGTTCCTACGCGAGGCGCCCCATCTGCATGTCAAGGCCCCCAATATGGCACCAAACTAAAAGTCAAGCACAGACACAAGTTCCGAGCTAAGTATGTAGAGTAATCCTTCGCTCAGTCTAATGAATGTGCCAGCGCTCAGCCGCACATCCTCCAGGCCTAGGATGCGAAAAGCAAACGCTACCAAACGAATTTCGCCAAACGCCATCACGCTTCCAAAATCGATGTACAAAAGGACAATAATCTTCGTTTCTCCGTCGGCCAGCTCACAAGCTAGCGTTTCTGGATATTACACTTCTTCAAACACGCCTCCACGCCGTTTGCCACGTTCTTGGGGATCACGCCCTTGAACTGCTCCAGATCCCGGCCGTCAAAGGTAAAGTCACTCGCGAACGCGGCCGTCAGCACATCTTCGTCGAGGTCGAACAGTCGCTGGGCGGACTGCTGCACGCCGGGGTCTTCTGAAGCGAAGCCTGCCACAAAGGTCGCGTTGGTGCAGTCCGGGTTGAATTCGGTGTGGATGGCGCCCTGTGGGAAGACGGTCATCTGGAATTTAGATAGCTCGTTGCGGATCACGCCCAGGCCGTTCTCTAGGATGTATTCGGTGCCTAGGCGGCCTTCGACGATTATGTTGATCTCGGCGGAGCGAGGGTGGGTGTGAGGCGTGTTGAAGCCGCAGGGACCGATGAATCCTACCGTCATCGACACACCGTTGCCAATGAGCGCGGGAAAATCTTTGCGATCTGCCTTGACCGTGTGGCCGCCGTCGCCGGTGGTAATGGCATCTTTGGGAGGATTGTTGAAGTCGTATATGTGATCGCGGTCGTTCGGTAACAGCTTCAATCGGTCGACCGAGGTGGCTGCTTCCGCAAGAGACGTGATGAGTTGTTGATTGCCCGCGTTTGCAACATCTTGTGGTAATGTGTTCATTCCTGTGGAAGAGGAAACGTCCGTCACCGGTGCAGCGATGCTGCTACCAGCCATGAACGGCATCATAATGTAGGAAGCGAGGTGCAGCATTTTGGTCGGCTATTATGATTAGGTGTGTACGTGTGGTAACGAGTGACTTCTGACACTCCCTGTCTGGGGTCAGCGCGAGATGGCACGCTTTAAAGCAAATCTGTGTTGCATACTATCCATATCGCCCCCGTCCGGGAGCCGGCACCATCATCAGCGCTTGCCACAAGTAATTTGTGAATGAAGCTTGTCTGTGCTTGTCAGCACTGCTATTCTGGGCGCAGATGCTATAATTCCGTCGACCTCGGGTTGGACAGCCTGCGCTAGCGAACTGCTATATGCGGGCATAGCGCAAGCTTTAGCTAACATGCTGTGTTGGACAATTATGAGATTGTGTCGACGCCGGGGGGCCTAGCCTCCATCCCCATTGGTGCGGAGCACACACTTTCCCTGGTGGGAAACCAAATGTCCCAAGTAGCGTCTTCTACAGCACTCCCTGATAGGATAAAGGTGTGGGCTAGTACGGACAAGTTATTTCCACCTCGCCTTTCCGCTTACGAACCTTAGGTACTCCGCCTTAGTAAGGTCCTGATCCGGACCGTTTGGTCTAGCAATCGAGCTAAAAGCGTGAAGCTCTTTGGACAGCAACTGATCTCGTAGACCAAATGCTAATCAGGGAGGGGGCTTATTGGGGGCGAAGTGGTAGCTGAGTGCAGGCTATGGTGATCCTTGCTCAACGTGTCGCACGGCTGAGGATTGGGTAGCATGGTTAAACGTTTCGTGTGTTGGTATATTCCCGAAAGCGACTACTATAGCGAACAACTCCTGTCTTCCTTCCTCCTCACTTTCCAGCAAGCAACAACAACAACACAACACGCCGCCAAACATGATCTCCTCCAAGCCTCGCAATGCGCCGTCAGCGTACCCTTTTCCATTGACATATCTCGTCCTGAGCGTCTCCTTCGTCTTCTCGGCAATCGCAACAGGCCTGCTGGGTTATTTCATCTACTATCTCAACATGGATTCAATGCCTGTTCCCTTCGAGTTCATTCTAGTGAGTAGACAAACCACTGACCAAACCTCCCCACCACCTCATTGACCCTTCCAGCTCATCACCACATCCACGCTCTCCCTCTGCGCCTATCTCTGGGCCAGCTTCACGCACCTCTTCCGCACCATGACCCCCAAGATCTCCCTCGCGACCAACACGCTCCTCCTCCTCCTCTGGATAATCAGCACGGCCCTCATCTCCCGCAAGATCAGCCACATGGTGCTGACCAACTCCTGCTCCCTCTCCATGTGGCGCACCGACATGGGCGTCATGGTGTGCCGCATCTACAAGGCTCTTTTCGCCTTCATCATCCTGGCTGCGGCCTCCGTCGCCGCCACGGTAGCGTTGGACGTCCACGTCTTGCGCGAGATGACGAGTCGCGGCGCCTACCGAGAGATGAAGGACCAGCAGGAAGCCACGACGAAGGCGGCGTGGGGTGGCGTGCAACGCGCTGCGGAGCCATCGCCCGCGTTGGACGGGTATAGAAGGGGTTTCAGCATTGAGATGAAGGACAGTCCGGAGTTGGGGTCGGACATGGGAGACGGGGCGCGCTTGGTTGCGCGGTCGCCGGACCCAGGATATACGCCGCAACAGACGCCAAAGCTGTAGGGACGTTGGGTTTGGTCAGTTTTGCTCTGATCGGCTGCTTCGCTGATAGAGCGACTTCGAAGCCAAGGTTGGCGGATAGAACGTGCAGCACGAGTGTCTCCTAATGTACTCAAATCCAATCAGACTCAGACCATTCTTCCACGCCGGATAATGTCTTCTGATATTCATTCGCTGACTTTCAGTGCGTTCTGTAGGAAGTATCCGCATGGGTCGCACGAGCAAGGGGAGATCAGTCAACTCGACAAAAGCGAACCGCCAGATATGTCACTCCTTGTTCAAGATCATCAGGTTTGGGAAAAACAAATCTGGGAGTGGTCGGACCACAATATTCATTGTACAAGCAGGAAAAGAGCTGCAGCTACTCGCTAAGCGGCTCAAAGGCCTCCTGTGGAACATCAACACGGACCAACATGCAAATTCAGCAGGGATCAGATACCGAGATTGAACTCGACTCCCACATCGATATCCCGAGCCAGCTTGACGATCTTTGAAAAGTCAACGGCCTTCTCAGCAGCTTCCTGCAGGTCGGTGATGGAGAAGATCTTGAGACCAGAGTTGTTGACCTGCATAATGTTAATAATGCCAGAAAACAGGGCGTTCTAGACGTACCAGCTCAGCAGCTTTCTCCATGTTAGTACCCTGCAATCTGCACACGATGGGCAGCTTTAGGTTCATCTGTTGCACCACGTTGATAAGACCTTGGGCAATGGCGTCGCATCGTACGATACCACCGAAGATGTTGACGAAGATAGCAGTAACCTTGGGATCGCTAGTGATAAGATCGAAGGCGGACTTGATTGCTTCGGGGGTCGCACCACCACCAACGTCCAAGAAGTTAGCAGGGGAGCCGCCGTTAAGCTTTATGATATCCATGGTAGCCATCGCAAGACCGGCGCCGTTGACAAGGCAGCCAATATCGCCGTCGAGCTTGATGAAGTTCAGGCCGTGCTCGGCAGCCTTCACTTCATCGGCATCTTCCTGAGTGGTGTCTCGCCAGCTGAAGACATCCTTCTGTCTGAAATCGGCATTGTCGTCGAAGCCGAGCTTGGCATCCATACACAACACTTGATGATCACTGGTCTCACTGAGGGGGTTGATCTCGATCTGAGTGCCGTCCTTTTCCATGAAAACCTGATACAGCTTCTGGATCGTGTTCTTCGCGTCTTCGATACACTGGTCACTGAAGCCAAGCTGGCTTGCGATGCTGCGGGCAATCTCGTCCGTCACCCCGGTGTGTATGTCGATCGGAGTGGTGATAATCGCATCAGGGGTCTCCTTGGCAACAGTTTCGATATCCATACCACCCTGTGACGAGGCAACGATGACGGGTGACTGAGTAGCGCGGTCCATAAGAATGGCCAGATAGAATTCACGACGGGCAAACTTGCGTTCGCAGATATATACTGAGTTGCAGATGCGGCCACGGGCGCCGGTCTGCTTCGTGATGAGCTTGTGGCCGATCATCTGGTTGGCGAACATTCTGGCTTCAGTAGGACTGTAACGACCGTCAGCATATAGAGTCATTGTGGGCGCTCAAGCGTACGAGTAAATGACTCGAACACCGCCCTTCAAGCCATTGTCAAAAGAGCCCTTGCCTCGACCACCAGCGAGGACTTGAGCCTTAATGACCATATCTTCACCACCTGTGGCAGTTAGTCAATGAATGTCTCGCGTCTGTTCCCATGTGTACGAACCCAGCTTCTTCGCAATGGCCTCTGCCTCATCCCCATTCTTCGCAACCTCGCCCTTGGGTACACCAATACCGTACTGCCGCGGTCAGCCTTCGGAGCACATCCAGTGTCGCGGGAATTGTTCATACGGATTGCAAAAGATTCATCGAAAGGTATTCATGGATACTGAGGTTCCGGCGCTGCTGGATCGAGCTCCGCATGGAGACATCCTGCCCATATTGTCAGTTTTCTCCGCGATAAAGCGCACCCGCGGTCCATACCTTTACCGCTGCCCTTGCGGCGACGCCGAAGGTGCTGCGCCCGAGCCTGAACATGATTGCCGGCGCTCAGTATTTGCGAATGGAGTGCTTTATTGAGCTGTAGATGGTCGTCGTAGCTGCGGTTGCTACCAGTCGGGCGCTTTAGGCGTAGCTTGCCGACCAGGAGAGCTTGGCGTACGTTGCAGAAAAGCGGAGCACATGTCAACTGCAGTTCACTGTCTTCTCCGATCTGCAAACGATTCGGGTCTCCATCAAGTCTGCTCACCACACCGTGAGCAGCACTCGATGCCCGCTGATGCGTCAGACAGCAAAGATGTTCTAGTCAATCAGTTGGCGCTCCAAGTCGCGCAGCGTGCCGCCATAGCCAAAAATCTACTGAATGATTTTGGCGCGTCCGACGGTGAGGACAGCGATGCCTCAAGGGACGAGAGCACGCAGGAAGCCAATCTGAACATCAGAAACTCGTGAGACCAGCCACAAAATATATGAGCTTGTTTCACTAACTGATTCCCAGAGATATAGTGGGTGTTGGCCACAAAGCGGCCGAGACGGACGAGTCAGATTTGGCGTCCCGTCAAGAGTCGGTCGCGACCGAGCGCCTCAGAAGACAGCTACTAGGCAAACATGCTCGACCTCCTTCCGGGCCCTTGAATGCTCAGGGTGGCCTTATTAGAGGGCCAAAGTTTGCAGCGTCGAAACCCCGACCGCACGGCGCTCAGAAGCGAGCTGCCAGCGACGACGAAGACGAGGGCAGGTCTTCCATGGGCCCGCGAAAAAGCAAAACACAGCCCACGGCGTCCGCTACAAAATCGACTTCCGCAGCGTCGACGGGAGATGGCACAGTCGTTCCAGGACCCACCTCACAGCCTAGAAAGCGAGGCACGAGTTACCTGGACCAGGTGCTCGCAGAGCGCGCCGCGAAGAAGAAGCGGAAGAAGAAGTCGCAGAATAATGAAAGCGAATCATGATATGAAAACACCATTCGTTTTGGTCTTCTCGCCCTTAAGGTATTGTCATGGTCATATGATAGTCCACATGATGCACATGCGCATGGCCTACTATTGCCCCAGTCGTCACGCATGCATGCTAGATCGCTCGGTCGTGATAACGTCCACCATCATCCTATATTCACACGACAAATGAGAATCGTTATGTTCATTGCATTCTTTTCCGCTTTCGATCCTCATGCAAAGGATCTTCCTCATCCCGCTCCACTGTATCTGCCGGGTTGAGCAGTGAATGTACATTGCTGGCCATACTGCTTCTCCGCGTCGCCGGTGCTGAGTGAAGTTCAAAGTTTGGCCGAGGGAATTTCGATGCTCCAGCATTCCAGCCAACGTTTTCCACACCCAGTCCGGCTGGGGGTCCTCCTTCCGGGACAGTGGGCGAAGTGTTCTGGATGCTTACTGTTTGCCGGCGAGGACCATTGATCTGGTAGTTTGCAAGCTGATCACGGATCTGTTGGTCGCCGGGAGCAGAGTGTTGCGGAGGTGAAGGTGGCTGCCATTGCGGTGGCTGACTGGGCGGGGCGACTGTTTCGTGGTTGGGCGGGAGTGGCCAGCCGTGCTCTCGAATATCCGCCGACGTATGCCGACGGGCCAAATTGGGGGGCGGGGGAGGTGTAGCAACTGATGATAAGGGATGTGGCTGCTGAGGTGGTAGAGGCGGGCGACTGAAACCTGGGGAAGCTTGCGTGGGACCGCTGGCAGATCCAAATCGTCGTGGAGACGTGGCAAAATGGGCTGGTATCGGGGGGACCGGTGGTCGCGAGCCGATACCAACGTGCTGTGGCTCCACCTGTATTGAGGACCGCCGGCTATCTGGATAGTTATATGCTCTGGGCGATACAGGAGGTTCCAGTGGCGCACCAGGATAGAACGACTGGCGGCCGTTCAACAGCGACTCGGGAGGTTGCTCAAGCGCTCGGACGTACTCCAGTTGCCTGGAGATTTCCTTCTGCATATTGATCAGATCATTGTGCATCGCAGGGTCAGCGGAGCTGACTGATTGGAGTGCGCCGGAGAAAGTTTGCATCCATGAATGACACCGGGTCAAGCTCTCGGTCAGGGCCTGGCACCGCGAGCTGACGAGCGCATGACTCTCCTCGGTACGAGACAGTCGATTGTGCATGTCGTTGAACATGTACTCCAAATGTGCCAGCCTTTGGTCAGTATCAGGCACGACTTCTGCAGGCGTGCCAGGCTGTGAGGCTCCGGGCTTTGAATTCGAGAACGAGTCTCGATGGATTAGCGTATGCCTTGAAGCGCGTCTCTTGATCTCTCGCAAGCCCATGAGATCGCCCTTCTTGAAGTTTCCATTGCCGTGTTTGAATTCCCAAAGAGCAGACTCGGGGGATCCGGTGTGGAAAACATCGCTGACTTTATGAAACCCATACATATTGAGCTGCCTGACAAAGGAGGAGATATTGGTGTGTTTGAAATAGGATGCAAGTACTTTTGAAAATTCGTTTGACGGGGACATAACGAAGCTATCGTTATTGTTGGACCAGGATATCAGATGTTGGATGTTTCTGTCTTCCAGCATGCTGTAGAGCTTATGAATGAAGGCAGTTTGCACAACCTTTGGCCCGTGCGACGCACCTACTGCTGCCGCGTTGGGATTCGGAGTGGGAGTATGGGTTTGGTCTCGGTGTCCGTTCATTGCGGACTTCTGCAAGTCGTTCTCAGGCGATGGTTGCAGAGGTGGCCCCATGTTAGATGGAGGGGGCGAGGTCATGCGCATGTCAACGTCGTGAGGCCCGCTAGATTTCGGCGACGCCGGTTCTTGCGATATGACCGCCATGCTGCGTCGTCTAGACTGTGGATCTAGTGACGGACCAAATGGACTTCTTGGAGCCGGATGGAGGAGTGTACTCATAGCTCTTAGCCGTTGCCGCTCGGCTAATCGCTGGTGCGTATCAAAGTCGATATGTCGATATCACAGCAAGCAGTGGGACATGGGCAATCCCGCACCGGAGCCTGGCGCCTGTACTTGCTGAAAGAGGCCGACCGTCTTGGAATAGTGATAGCCCGAGTGTTGGCGGCCAAAGTTATGAATAACTGTGCTTTGCGCGAGGAGCCGGGAGCTCCTTCTTGTCCTTCTCGAGTCTCGATAGATGAGGAGAGGGAAATCGCGCATGCGAATGGACCCGGAGCCACAGGCAGTGAGTACTCAGTGAAGAGCACAGAGCGTAGAGGAGGTGGGCTTCCGATGTCGCTAGGTAGAGACGGGGTCGCACTCTTGGAAACCGTTCCTATACTCGACGGGGGGGCAGTCTGTCCGTCGTGCCGCAACGGACAACCAATGCAGCCCTCGAAAAGCCGCCTTGTATGGTGTCGTCTGTGGGCGGAGTGCCCGACTAGGGACAGCTCGAGGCAAATGACGATGAGCAAGAAGATATGCCGTCGGTGAAAGAGGTCAACTGGGTAGAGGAGCACAGGTTGCAATGTACAGTTGGATAAGGTTGTAATGGGGGAGCCGCGGTCGAGACCCGCCGGGAGAAAGCATGAGCAAGCCGACATCTGGCAGAGCTGAGCACAGGCCTGCAGCCCGAGCGGCGGGCCCCGTGCACCCCTAGCCACATGCATGACCTTAACCCTGCTCGGCTCCCTTAAATCGTTGATTAGCCGATGCAACCAAGCGCATATTTGGGCGTCTACGAAGTACGGAGCGTGGCCCACGCATTACCCGCGACGCTTGGACGTGAGTCTTTGCGCTCGCTTCGCTTGCCGCCAGAAAGCCCAGAAGGTCCCAAGCGGCCAACCATCTCCGGTCCCCTCCCTTTCTCCCTGCCGATCTCCTTAATGCACGTCACAAACTGTCTCTTTGTTCAGGACTGTCTGTCAGCACATGGTATTGTCTTTTGGTTTCGCATGCCCGCTGAATCAACAATGAGCTGCTCGTCCGGAACCTGACTGTTATCCTGGAGCTGCACCCGCAAATCCTCATTTCCCCGACTCCTATCTGATTGCGAACTTGCCCGTTATTCGCGAGGTGTTTTATTGCTTTCCCCAGAAGTGGACCAGGGGACCCTGTCAATTTGTTTCCTCTCCCCCTTTTCCCTACTATAGCTATAGCATTCAAGGGATTAAACGTCTCAACTAACACCGCGACCGAACCTGCAAATTTCAAAGATGTTTCCAATACATCCGGCAGTCAAGATGCTGCAGGCTAGCTGGTTGGCAAAACACGATGTTACCGGAAGGTTGGAATGCCATTCTGAAGTGTGACAACGGCAGCCATCGACACACAGGACGTGTTCTGAAAGTTTTAACCCTTGCTTACGGCAATCTGAGAAAAAGTGCGCATCCCGGTACTCCGTACATGTGCTTGGACAAGTGTCTGCTGATCTCGCGTGGCTGTCGCATTCCACGGTAGTCTGCGGGTTCTGCAATGTCCAAAGATGAAGCTCCAAACCGCTCTGCTGCCGGTACACTAGACAATGCCACCAGCCTTCAGATGTAGGACCCTGATCAATTAGTGTGGCGGTCATTCATTATCAAGAATTGAGCACACATCGGCAGTCTTTATAGCGTTGTCCCTATGCCTCCACCGCGAATTGTGAGCATAGCATTGACCATCCTCGAAAGTCTGCTAAGAGTGTGGGCTCGCAGCCGGGCAGGACACCCACCTGCTTGCTGGAAAGTCACGTCCAGCGCAGCGTCTATGGTTTCATTCCTAAGCCGAATGTCATGGATTTCTTGTCTCGCTTCGGCTTGCGTTGTCTCGAAGGCTTGCGCAGACGTCTACCTGCCCTATGAGATGCGTTGCATCCTTAATTGCTTGTGGCCTTTGCTGTCGATCTCGGCGATCCAGGTACTTCGTTCGTCAGAGATATCATGCTCCTCTCACTTACCGGCGTCGGGCGGACGACTGTTTCTTGCACAACCCGTCGCGGCCTATGTTGAGGTGAAGGAATATGTGATGTAGTTCCCATCTGTAGATTGGGCAGCGGGCAGGCAGAGGCGGATGACTCAGCGGCTCCACCTGCCAGATTTCGGTCCCCTCCAAAATTTATTCTGCCCGCACTTGCTGGAGAACTGCCAGGATTTCGCAGAGACTCGGACTCTCGATTACTCGATATCGCGTTGTTACCGGAATCTCGACCCCAGACCAAAGAGCGGCCTAGTCAACATGTCAGTCGCAAATGCTCAACGGCAGCACGGGCCGTTGGAAGACGACATTACTGCCGCAAGTGGCCGACTGCGGACGAAGTCCATTACTGGCAAGCGAAAGTCACGATCAGATGAAGATGGACGCGGCAAGAATGACGATGGATACATTGATGCAAGATCGTCTCGAAAGATTCTCGCCATCGCGCAGGATTTGGCAGATGAAGACGCAGCAGATCAGAGGGACAAAGCCAAGTCGATACCTGCTTCGTCTGCGGCATTTGACTTTGATTCACGATTTCTAGACGAGGATGATGAGACAATCCGCCAGCAAACAGACGAGGATGACGACTGGGTACCAGAAGAAGAGGACGAAGTAGTAGCGACCGACGACGTTGCTCCGGAAGATCTTGCGATCTACAACAAGTTCCTGCAGGAGGGCGAAGCGTTGGCCGATTTTACACCTTCGCTGTCCAACCTGATGGCGGGAGAGAAATCTATCAGCCACGATGCGCAGCCACAAGGGACCGAAGATGGAGAGCCAACCAATCTCGCCGATCTTATTCTGCAGAAGATCGCCGAGAAGGAAGCTCGTGATGCTGCTCGAGGCGATGGAATTGAACCACATCCCTTCGAACCGCCTGAAGGAGCAGTGGAAATACCGATGAAAGTTGCTGATGCGTTTACGAAAGTGGGACAGCTCCTTTCACGTTACAAGTCTGGACCAATGCCGAAGCCGTTCAAGGTGTTGCCAACTCTCCCCCAGTGGCCAGAGCTTCTCGACATAACCCGACCGGACAAGTGGTCACCTCATGCAGTTTTTCGAGCAACCAAAATATTCATCTCAGCACCGCAAGCCACCGGCCAATACTTCTGCAACACAGTCTTACTCGACCGTGTCCGCGAGGACATCCAAGAGAATCGCAAGCTCAACCATCATTTATACCAGGCGCTTATGGCTGCTTTTTACCGGCCAGCTGCTTTATTCAAGGGCTTCTTGTTCCCGCTCGTGCAGAATGGATGCACACTCCGCGAGGCACAGATTGTTTCCTCTGTGTTTGCCAAACATAAGATTCCCGTGCTACATTCAGCCGCGGCGCTGCTTCGCTTGTGCGAGATATGCGCCGAGCAGACCAGCAATATAAACAGCGAGGCGGCCGGCTCAGCGAATATCTTCATTCGCGTACTTCTCGGCAAGAAATACGCTTTACCGTACAAGGTCGTGGATGCTCTTGTCTTCCACTTCCTACGCTTCCGTGGTACCAAGGAAGAGGAAGCTCTTGGAGCAAAGGAATCAAAGTTGCCCGTGCTTTGGCACCAGAGCTTCCTGATCTTCGCGCAGACCTACCGTAACGAAATCACCGAAGATCAGAGGGAGGCTTTGTTGGACCTGTTGCTTGCTCGAGGGCACAAAGACATAGGCCCAGAAGTGCGCCGAGAATTACTTGCCGGCAGGAGTCGTGGCGGCGAGGAGCTCCTCGCAGAACAGCGTGACGACGGTGACGACACCATGATGACAACCTAGATTAGTTCAACAGCGTACGAGATATGTAGGAAACAAGTCATCTGCTTCGGACTACAAGAGCCGGAGTATAGCCCGGTACTACTTTTACTGCCTGTGGCGCTGCGGCCGTCCCAATGGGGCAAGGCTTGCAACCGGTCCACTGAAATCTGAACCTCAGGCAAACCTCCACGCTCTCAGTCTCAGATGTTCTCGGCATCTTGCATCTCTTCTTGATGTTCTAAGTTGCTAGCACCATTCCCAGATCGCAAATGACGAAGTTTAAACTCATGCTGTCAAATACATCCTCGCGACTTCGAAAAGCAGCACGTTGACTATGAGAGAAACCCAACATGGCGATTGCGAAGGACAACACGAACAACGGCTCTTGAGCGATTCCAGTCGCTATCAATGGTCCAGTCCTTGACCACACCCTAGTCATATTCTCATAGGCCTCGACATGACTGCCATCCGGCCACAGAGGCTTCCGTCCTTCCAACATGAAAAGCTACGACTCAACGCCAATTCTATCCGGCTGGTCCAGGTCCATGGCTCGATGCACAGGACTGCGCCACTCGCACTTCGAATAACTCAATATTCGAAGCACAAGTTGCCTGCCTACGTTGCAATTTCGGTAGGTCCTCTCCTGGAGCATCATGATGCTTCGCAGTCTGGCCATACCCCCATTATCTCAATAAATTGGGTACTCGGTACCATCATATCAATGCCGTATGGTTTAGCATCCAGTTGCTCGTTTCCTTCCTGTCACTTATAACTGACTGCATAGTACACATGGGGTAGCTCCAACGACCTTCTTCCCATCAAAATCAATGGCAAACCATTCCACGTTCATACGAATCTATATAACCTGCTACTGCATCTCCGACAACGTGGCGAGTCTCGCTTCTTATGGGTTGACGCACTTTGTATCGATCAGGCAAATCTTGCCGAAAGAAACTTTCATGTCCAACTCATGGCCCGCATCTATGACGAAGCCTCTTGTGCCCTTGTGTGGCTCGGCTTGCCGAGTGATGACCGGAGGGAGGCTCGGGCCATAGATTTTCTTACTGAGATGGCTTCATTAATCACTCGGCCGAAGAGAGGAGGACCGACCTTCTCAGACCTGTATATGACTGAGAAGACGTCTTCGCGATGGCTCAACTTGCTAGGATTCTGTACAGGGTGCGAATATTGGACCAGGACCTGGATCATTCAGGAGTTCCTACAGGCACGACATATAGAGATCATTTGCGGGACTGCTCAGCTAGACTGGACCTTCTTCGCCACCGTGTACACGCAACTGCAGGTTTTCGGTAGGGAAGGACGGATACCTCCCGGGTCGTTGCAAGACTCTATACTGCCGATACTTAGCTCTGTGCCCGGCCGGCTAACTGCCATGCGCCTGTCTGGCCAAGCAACACCTCTGCAGGGACTACTGCATGAGTTTTACGATGCTCAGTGCTCGGAACCACGAGACAAGGTGTATGGCATGCTTGGAATTGCGGAAGATTGCGGCACACACCCAGAGACTGGACTGTTTCGGGGACCTCAGCCTGACTATGCCACCCACATCTTGGACGTTTATCAGGCTGTTGTCAACTATCTGCGGGACACTTCAAGCACAATGTCAGTCTCACCACTTACGATATTACTCTTACAAAAGTCTCTCCACATCAGTAAGCTGGACGTGCTCGAATATGTTGCTCAATTTGAGCCGGCTGATTGGCAAACGAAACTTGCCCAGTCAACATTTGCCCTTCGTCCATCTTACATAGGTGTGATCGAGGACACTCTGCCTGGCTGGACCGGGATCCGTGATCTGAGGCAGAGCCTTGAGCAGTTCGACTGGTCCAAGTACGTGGGCTACACCATCGAAAAGCGTCCCTCAAGACCCAACAAGCTAACCTCGCCACCTGTCGCACCTCCCATGTCACGCAGCTCGTCTTCGACTCAGCAACGAGTGGAAAATCTCCCAAACAACATGATATCAAGCGTCCTTGCCGTGGCAGAAGTCCACCCGGGCCTGGCGACACTCTATCAATACCTCCCACAAGCACAAGGTTTCCACCTCCCCGCCGAGCTCCTGACCTTGCACCACGAAGACAAGGCGGCCCTTGCAAACCCTCCCAACCAGAAACCCACCGTCATCATCGAGCAAAGCGAGGCGGCGTCGCCCCTGCGCATCGGCTTCGCCTGCGCAGGTGCGCGCCGGGGCGATGTCATCTGCCAGTGGCCTGAAACCGACCTGACGCTCATCGCGCGCAGACCAGTGTACGGAAGCCAGAGTCTGCAGCTCGTGGGGAGGGCGGTCATGGTGACGCACTCGGGGCTGGCCGGACGAGAGATGGAGACCCATCCGGTGTGCGGCAAGAACATTTGGACCTCCGCGTGTCTAAGCGGTGATGTCGGCTTGGGAGAGTATGGCGGCGAGCTGCTGGAGACGGATGCGGTTAGCATGTTCGAGATTTTAAGAGGAGGGGAGATGTGAACGATCGCCCGCAAAGCGCGAAGGAACCGAGAGATCAATGGATCGTTGGTTTTTTTTTTCCATTGGTCCACGCCCATTTTATTTTGATGGTCTGTAGACCTTTTAACCACGTCAAGTCTGGAGGAGATCTCTGCTGGACGCAAGGTTGACGGTCGTCGCGAGCCGCACCCCGTCGTGGGTATCGTAGTCATGTCTGTGTCATCATCACCAGGGCAACACCACCGGTCTCAGCAATCCACCAGCCGTTCTCCCCTGGACATCTGCTCTCATTGTCATGGATCGAATTCAGCAGGGATATCTTCGTCGAGACACCTGGAGGGTTGAAAGTTAGCTTACATCTCTCTCACAGCGGGGGCACCAAAAAAATCCCCTTCCAACTCACCATTCCGCAAACCCAGGGCTCACCACCTTACTTCGCCTCCATCCTCTTCATCTCCACACCATCCGCCGCCGCCGCCACCATCCCCCTGCCAAACTCCCGTTCCTCCCTCTCCCTCCATCTCCTCTCATCCCGAATCTCCGCGTCAGTCCGGGTATCAAATTCCTCGGCGCGGGGGATCGAACTTCCATTCCCACCAATGGGGGCGTCGAAGGCGGCGAAGTCGCGCTCGCGCGGGCGCAGGCCGCAGCGCCGCTTGCCGACGACGCAGAAGATGGTGACGCCGATGAAGATGACGGTGCCGACGATGGCGAGCGTCCAGCCTAGGGTCAGCATGGAGAGGCGGTGCGCTTTGGCGGCGGGAGACATGGTGGCGTCGGAGCGGGGTGGGCCGTCGCTGGCGCCTTCAGGGTTGGTGAAGGTGGCGGTGGTGCGGGTTAGGAAGTGGAGGTGATTGGCGGTTGTGGTGATGAGGCTCGTTGTGGTGGCGGTGATGAGTTTCATCGTGGCTGTTGGAGTGGTGATGGGAGCCATTGGCGGTGGCTGTTCGATGGTTTGGCGGAGATTGAGGTCGATGGTGTTCGTTGTGAGGCGGTTTCGACTCCGGCTTGAAGTTTGTGCTTTGGAGGGCTCGACTGATGAGGAAGAAGGCGTCTGGTCAACGAGTCGCCTCGATGTGGCGATCAAAGATGGCTACACAAGAAGAGTTCAAAGATGGTGCAAGGAAGAAGGCTTCAAGACTGAACGTGGTCTACGGATGAGTACAAGAATGACTTTTCTGTGCGTGGCTGGGACGTTTCGCTTTTTCTTATTGTCTTCACTATTGTTCACACAATTGCGCTGCTGAGAAAAACTCCGGAGGTATAGGGCCACGTGGTCTGGCTGGCATGGCTGGGAACAGTGAATAGAAGGCGGTGAGCGGCAGAAAACTGGGGTGAGGTCTGTGGGAGGGGGCGTAAGTGGTAGGTGAGGTGAGGGTGAGGTAGGTGAGGTGAGGCAGACAAGGCGACGAGGCGTCAAAAAAAGACATGGCCATTCGACAAGCGGTGGACGACGTAGACCGGAGGGAAACCTGCTAAGCGGAAATCCAGGGAGACAAGAATCGTCCGAGGGATCTGTAGCGACCGACAGTAGGTCTTTAAGCACTGTAGCTTTCGTGACAGCAGAGATATTCAATGTTCGTCGACAACAGTCGTATTTTCCTCATGCTCAAACCTGGGCTGGAATCAAATGCGCCCTTCTCGCCTCTGCTGAAACGCTGCTATGGGTGTGGCTCTGTATGCTGAAGGGATTAAGTGCTGCAATTTTGGGAGAGCCTCTGGATTCCCACACGTCGACCAAACCATCTTCTCACTCAAGATGCGGACAAGCCAACCGCTTATGCGCTTTTCCTCTTTTCCTTCCGGCCTCGGCGGTGAATGATCCCTGATCCCAACACCCGCACGCCTTCTTCTCCCAATCGCCGCGCCGCCATATCCTCGCGCTTTCTGACTGCAGCCCTGGCCCTCGCCGTCGCACGAACGTCTTGATCTGACTCACGACTCATGTCACCCAACCAAACCCATGCACTACGTCCACTGTGCGCACTACTCCGCCGGCGGTTCTGTGACGTACTTCCCTGCCGCCGCTTCCACAGCAGGATGAGACACCGCAGCAGGATGACGGACAGCAGTATGCCAAAGAATGATGCGATGATGATGCTCACGGTCTTGACTTTTGTAAGATCCGAGGCAGTATCGGAGTGATTTAATGAATCTGATGAGAGTTTTGGAGGTGAAATTCGAGGTGTAGAGGCACAGCAAGAAACTCGTGTGTTGGCAGTGCCGACGGGCGAGATGCGAGAAATATTGGCAGCGAACGAGGATGAGGTGGAATGTCGATGACGAGAGCTGTAAGCAGTAGCAGGAGTGGTCTTCAGGTGAGAGTTCGAGGCTGTGTGCAATGACGGGCCAGGACTTGAGATTGCAAAACAGCCGCATAGGAGGGAGCGCAAGGAAGGCCGCATCGTTGGCTGTTATGCAGCGTCCAGATGGGTTGCGCTTGAAAAGGAGGGCGACAGGGTCTCAAGGGTGCGTAGAGACATGGATTCGCAAAGTCACTGGGCGACCTGCATCGATCGTACGGCATGCGAAATCGTGCGATAGTGGCTGTGCAAAGACGAAATGATCGCCGTGATCCAGCAAGTGCATTCGTGAACGCTGAAAGACAGAGACTAGACGTTGTCGCACCGATGAGGGTGGTCCGATTTTAATTTCTCTCCGTGCTGATGAATGCTAAGTCGACTGCTGGACCATCTGCATCCATCTGCATCAATCGTCACGTGGCCGCTGGGGCAGATCTTGGTGGCAGCTGCTGTAGCTGCATATTCGTTGGGGGTAGCAGCTGCTTTAGCTACTTCGACGTCTTCCGAGCCGCTCTCTTGCCTGCCTTCAGTTCAGCTGCCATAACTATCGCCTGCACCTTTGGTGTTTCGAGTCTGCTCGTACTTCGGGTCGCCTATGCCTTCTTTCTGTTCTTCTTCGGTCTTGGGATGTGGCTCTGGCCATTACCTTTGCCTGTCTCCGTGCCAGATTCAGGTTCCTTGTCTTCATCTCTGACGGGCTGGCTCTCGTCGATGATCTTCTCCTCTTCCTTCTTCGCCTCTTCCTTCTGTTCGCTCTCTTCTGTCTGACTCCCAGACGCCGCGTCGGCGCCTGTGCCATCTCCGTTTGGGGACTCCTTCTGGGCAGACTTGGACTCGGGTTCTTCCTTGACGGCCTCGGCAAAGCTCTTATCATCCGTGACTGGGGACGATGAGGACTGTGCTTCAAATGAATCAGCCTTGGCTGAGTCCACAGCGCCCTTGGTGGCTTCCTTGGCATCGGACTCCTTCTCGTCAGCCTGTTGAGAGACGTCCTTAGCCTTCTCTTTGGCAGCTTGCTGAGTGTTGGCGACCTTGTCTTCAACCTTTTTCGGGGCTGCCTCAACCTCAGCCTTGACTTGGTCGGCAGACGGGACGTTCTCGTTGGCATTTTTCACGGCTTGCTGGGCTTTCGCTTTTCCTGCTTTGGCTTCGGGAACTTGCTCTTGAATCTTCTGCCCGACCTCTTTGACCTTCTCCACAGTAGCTTCGACCGCGGGTGCAGCCTTGTCCTGAGCGGTTTTCTGGATGTTTGAACCCGCCTTACCGACCGCATTTGCTGTATCCTTGACATTCTGAGTAGCTTGAGTAGCCATTCCACGAAGATTGCCAGAAGTGTTCTCCGCAGCTTGAGCAGCCTTCTTTTTCAATGAACCGACGCTCTCTGAAGACTCCACAATCGGGCTCTCGTTCTCGCTGGAATCGGCGGTCGGGTGCATCTCATCTAAGGCTTGAGTGACTCGACGAGCGACCCCTTTCGACGCGTCGCTGAAGCTCATGCCTGCGATACGGGCTCGGTCAGATGCACTACTGCGTCGTCTCTTTTCCAATTGCGAAAGATACGCCTTGATGAAGAAGTCGACGAACAGCCATGTCAACGGCGCAAGGTAAACAACGTTGAGCAGAATGGCAAAGACTTGGCCGCTGGTGTCGAGGCAGTTGACCCATTGCAACTCGTCTTTGTAGCGTTCTTCGGCCTGTGCAAAGTACTCGCGGGGAACTGCAGCCTGGGCGCCTGCAGAAGCAGCTGGTGCGGTAAGACCCACGTTCTCAGCCATGCCCTCGAATCCGGCCGCGCGTAGGGCGAGCTTCTTGAGGAATGCGCCCGTATCTCCGGTAACAGACGCAACGGCGCTTGAGGCGATAGACGAAGCGTCGGAAGCTGCCATTGAGGCCACTTTAGGACTCACGTGGTAGAGATATGGCACACTGATTGGGATCTGATAGACGACAAACAGGTGCAGAAACGCATATGTTGCACCAACCACGAACTGTGTGATTTGGATCGTTGTCAGAAGTTTCTTCAGTCGCTTAGGAATGTGAACTTTGAGCGTAGAGCAGAGGTAAAACGTGTACTGCTAGCAATTAGCGACGTGGGCGCGCAGGTCAAGGGGAAGCTTACCATCAGAGCATGGATGCCTGAATTGACAAAGACGAACATCCATATGGGCGGCGACATGTAGCGAATACCAGCCCACATGCAGAGCATGGCACCGGCGTGGTGATATGTCTGCAAGAGACTGCTTTTGCGTCCCTTGGCGAGAATGATTGCCGTGTCGATGACTTCGTAGAATTTGGAGAGGTAGAACAGCCAGCCGTAGAAAGCCAGGCCCTCGTTCCAGAGCCGTCCAACGTCGGATCTCTCAGGTCCCAAGCCATCCGCGGCTAGATGAAAGAAGCGATTTGTCATGGTCCAAGCCCTGCTCTCTTCGGTGAAGGTAGCAGCACTTCCCAAGCCTCGAGGACCCTGGATCTTGCAGAGGGAGTCAACGATGCCGGCCGCGCCTTGTTCATTTCTCCAGTTCGGAATGGACAAGCTGAGCGCATTAAGCATACCGAGGAAAGTCCATGCCGAATAGACGGCCAAGATGAGGTTGTGAAGTATGACAAACGCCTTGAAGAAGCGGGTTTTGCTGATAGCCCATGGCTTGTGATTTCTGCGGGCGTTGACAGAATTGATATATGTGGCGGTGGTGGCGTAAACCAGAGCGATGGTTATGGGAACGTATGGGTGGAGAAGCGCATTGTACCAGTCTGTCGGGATGGTCACAGGATGGGCGAGGTTGGGGTGGTCTGGCGGAGGTGGTAGTGCAGTTGGCTGGGGCGACGGAGGGAACTTGAACAACGACAAGGGAGGTCTGGTGAGCTTGACAGCTGGTAGGAGCTTCGACGCCTCGTGCGACACGTCCGAAAGAGTGCCTGGCATGGCCGCGGTTCGAGATACCTGGTACCTGAAAGGATGATCGGCGGCGAGAGTACTGGCAGATGTGGAGTAGCGAAGCGCACTATCTGTCTGAACAGCTTTCACCTGTATTCGAGTTGGAGTGCTTTTGCTTGCTCAGTAGTACCGCATTGTCGAGATCATATCCGCCAAATCACGGACAAAGAGAAATGTTGGGAAAAAGAAAGGGTTGGTTGTGCAGGGTGCAATGGAAATGCAGATGCGGGATGCGCTTGAAACTTTTCTGTTGCCCAGCTTGAGCTGCGGCTGGGGCTGCAGCTACGAACGCCGCGGCTCGCAATGCTCAATGACGATCAACGGCTCTGTGACGTAAGTAAACGTAATTAAACAAGCCTCAGGCACCACGCCGCAAGCCGAGGCACGTGCTCAAGTACCTGCCTGGTAGGTGCTAGTAGAAGTCACTTTCAACTTGCAGTACAGTAGCAGTATTCATTCAGATGTATTGTAAATGTCTTTTTCACACAGCAGCGCCATGCTAACCAGCACTCGAGCACCAAGGCACTGGCGCTTATCAGGCCGTCCACTCCTACCCAACGATGCCTAAGTGCTGTACAAGGATATGACTTCATCAGACCGCCAGCTGGCTGACAGCGGCGTGCTGCAAGAATGCGCCAAACCCACCAATGAGCAATCGCCCTTCCGACACTTGTCCTTGACTTGCTTCCTTTATGCCTGCTGACCTCTGAACGGCTCATACCGCGCCGCTTGCTGAGCTTGTTGAACTGAAAGTCTCGCATATTCTGAGTTGCCTTGCTCGGTTGGTAGACGAGCGTACTCGGTCGAGTTTAGCTCCAGCTGAGAGCTGTTCTCGCTGGGAGGGAACAACTTCGTGCTCACCGGTGCTTTCTTGCTGCGGAGGTGGAAGGTAGCCGTGTGCCAGTACTCTCCAAGCGTCCAGCCAGGATGAGCCGCTGTGAGCATAAGGGCGGTGATGATCATGAGTGTGCCGTCCAGCAGCATGAACAGTACCTCGTTGTTGGCAAGCGAGCTGTCGAAGCCACCGAAAAGCTCGGCGCAGCGGAAAATGCATCGAACTAGGATGGAGAATACCGAGATTCCGATGGCCCACAGGAACAGCTTGAACTTTAGTGTCCTGCGGAACTGGGCGTACTGGTAATCGAGTTTCTCGGGGTGTCGACGAATAGCAATCGCAAGCATCACGCATACGACGACGAAGGCGGAAGTTGCAGCAACCTGGGCGACAAGACCGCCAATCATGACATTGACACCCAGATCGGTTGCCTCCTTGTCGCCCTCTTCGGCCATTGAAGCCATGGCGCCGCCTGCTGATTGCAGAATTAGGGAGATGATGTCGAAGCCAATGAAGGCCAGCGTAACGGTACGAGGCTTCAGGTAGCTCAAGCCTGTGCCGAAAATGGTGATGATCCTCGAGATGCTGAGGTAGATGGCCGCGGAATAGAATGCAGGCCCAATAGTCAGCCCGACGAGGTAGATGATGAAGTTGTTCCCTGGTAAGGCGAGTCAGCGCGCTGCTGCTAATTTTTGCTGCCTTTAGGAAGTCACATACCTTCAAATGGGTCAATGTTCATCTGAATCCGCCCATAATAGCCAACAATTTCCAAAGCAGTACCGCCAATCATGGCTCCCATATAACCCCAGGTCTTCCATTTGATACCTTGCCCTACCTGGGCGATGAGGACGGCTCCGAATATCGCGATAAACAGAATGTTTCCAAACTTGCTGGGGATGTAATGTACCGAGCCGAAAGCGTCGAGGCACTCAGGGTTCACACGACACTCGTCGGCCGGCATTGGGAGTTCTCGGTCCGACATGGCGGGCTATTGGAGCTCACTGTGGCAATATAACAACGAAATGTGATGGCGGAGGGAACGATGTGTGTTACAGAGTGAAGGGAGGTTTGATGGCAGATGAGACCCATGCGTGCAACTGGTTCGATATATGTATACAGGTCTGGACGCACATGTAGTCTATTTCTGGACAGAGACCATTTCTCAAACAAACACCGAGCAGGTCGACCTCCTGCAAGGCGGCCCACTCTAACCATCTAGTACACCCAAGTTCCAACCAGAAACCAAAAACCCCACGCATGTGGCTTGCACGGTCCCGCTTGAGCGTGCGGGTCTCGCAGAAATGCCCCCGGGAAAATGCAGAATAATACAGATGCCTGATGCACTGCCCCAGGGACATTCTCATTGGCGGTAAAAGCACATGCTGGCCCAGAAGCGGAAAGAAGATCGCGGCCGTTGCTTAATGGGGGCTGCGAGACCGCCGATTCGCGGCAGGGCGGAGCTTAGTTGCAGTGGATCGACATGCGTGTACAGACTCGTACACTGTACGACCCGCTTGCTCGAGGGGTGACAGGCAACGACGGTGGACAGCGGCTGAGTCTACTGGTAGGGAGTACAGTATGCTGCGCATGCCAAGAAAAGACCGAGATGCCGGGTGCCTAACAATAGACAGCACAGCGATCGACGTCTTTACAATGGCGTGCCTAAAGCAATCACTCAGTAATTGCCCATTCAGATCACGTCTGACGAGTTTTATTTTTGCATCGAACAAGCGCATCTCGCAAGCCCCCTGCCTCTTTCGTTCGGCAACATCCTCATCTCGCGTTACGGGGCATCTTGCGGCCGCAACTCTCCACCGCCGTCCACGCTGCCACGCACCGAACAGCGTGCGGCCCCTGGCAACGTCCTCGCTAACCCATACTTAGTCATGATACCAACCCCCACTTTGTACGAGGGTCATTTTGCGAAGGCTACAAGCTGAGAGCTTCATCTCCAGTGCATGTCAACGTGTTGCTGCTGGTTCTCACGCCTTCGGGTTCGGCTTATTTGCCAAAGGACCCAGACTAAGGAACGACACAAGACATCAACAGGCATCCAGCTCGTGTGTAGCAGCAGATCGCAATGATAGCAAGTATATATCTGCAAGGATGGGAGACCATAGGGCTGATACCAACTCGGTCTTTTCCTTTTCAACCTTTGTTTGAGTCACGCTATCTTCGCATGAACATTAACCATCAGACAGCGCTAAGAGAACCCCGACGGGAATCATCAAGATGCCTGGTGCCATGCAAGCTCCTGCGACTTCTGCCGACAGGCCTGCTAAGCGGACCCGGATCCTGAATGTCCGTCAGTCAAGTCGTGGCTGCCTCACGTGCAAGTATGCCGGTCATCAAGCAGTACATGGCTTTGAAGATCCTTTAAGTCTCCGCTAACCCTTTCAACCCCCAGATCAAGAAAGATCAAATGCGACGAGTCCAAGCCACGGTGCATCAGGTGCCAGCGTGCACAGAGATACTGTTCAGGCCATGCCTATGAGGGTTTCATGCCTTCTCAGGCTGAATGTTACAACAGTATCGGCAGCAACACTGGCTCGCCAGAGACATCTGCAGCTGCTGCCAGCCCGGCCCCCTTATCAATGGAAACACCGCAGGGCCGTGGACTCAGCCAGCTGGCATGCAACGTCATCGGCTCCGACCCTCATTGTCTCTTTGGACCAGCAGAAGAGCATTTTTTCACGAGGCTGCTGCCCCAGCTCAGTGAGACAATCCCTTTCGTGGCAGCTGCTTCGGCTGCATTCGGCGCTGCCTACAGCATCACAGTCTTGCAGAAAGACAATGCTGTGGCCCGTGGTGAGGAGCAATATTTGCAGGCCCTCAAATTACTCCAGCACGAGCTCAGGTCGCCACACAAACGACTCCTGCCGTTCTTCATCAGCTCCGTCCTCCTGGCTGCCGCCGATGTTATTAGTGGCCGTATGGCCAATGCACACGTCCATCTGCGTTCCATGTTCTCCATCTTCTTTTCTGGCGTGGATGGTGAAGAGCATCCCAAAGAGGTATCTCGACGTCTGTCTGTCCTCAGCGGAGTTGACTGTGCCGGAGAAACAGAGAACTACTTGTGAGTCCAGTACCGCCCTGACTCCCCGCGTGGCTTTCTCTTCTCACTCAAATCTCTGGGTGTCGATCCTGGTTGCCCTGCAACAGTGCTTATAGCGTTACTCGATCGTACTGACTGCTACTTTCAGTGTTTACATCCTTATATTACTCGATACACAGACCGCCCTGTACGCTTGGACGAGACCTCCATCAATACCGAGTCGTTTCCGCACTGATTACTTCATACTAGACACCATCAACGACCTTGCTCAGCACCAACCCGTGCTGGTACACGCATGCCTACACTTCCTGGGCAATATACTCGCAGGAAGAGCAGCCCGAGGAATTCTTGACCCTCCCGAAGAACAACTACGCGAACAGTCCAAGCTCATCGCAGCTCTGCGTCACTGGCTTCTGAGACGAGACCAATTATTGGCAGACAACACAATCCATTCATATCTACCACCCGAGCGAATCAGATACCTCACCGTCCTCACAGCACATTGCTACGGCATGCTCGTCTCGATATCGACCATTCTCGCTCAAAACCAAATGATCTACGATGCCTTCATGCCCGAGTTCTCACGAATCGTCCAATGCGCCGAACAGGTCCTCGGCCCCGTCGACCTCTCCAACCCCCACCCTCAAACCCCCAACCTGGAACCCTTCTCCCCCAACCCGGGCCTCATCCAACCCCTCAGCATCACCGCCCGCAAATGCCGCTCCCCACACATCCGCAGGAAAGCCGTCTGGCTCCTCCTCCTCACCGGCAGCGAAGGCCCCCTGACAGGGCCATATGACGCCTCGCTCGGCAAACGCATCTGCGAGATCGAAGAAGCCCGCGCCTTCTCCTTCGACCTCTCTCCAGAAGACTATCACTCGTTACAGGCAGGAGATGTTGACGAGTACGCCCGCGTCCGCACCTGCTGGCGGCCCAGCATGCGGCGGCTGCCCACAAAGCCCTTCGCGCCCCACGTGAGGTTTGCGAGGCGCCTGCCGCCACCGCCGCCGCCGCCGCCGTCGTCGTCGGCGCTGCATCAGACGTGGGACGAGGAAGGCCGTCTGGAAGTCTGGACGGAGAAGATCGTGCCGATTGGGAATCCGCGATCGCAGGTGCCGGAGCCGGTCCTGGAGTGGTCGGACCCGTTGACTTGGCGGTTATTGCCGTTTGAAATCGCTTGAAAGACTAGCTAGCTAGCTCGCTAGGTAGGTAGGTAGGTAGATGTCTTGGAAATCTACGGTGGAACAATGACTTTGGTTGTGGCAGGCGAGGAATCTCCCCGAGAGGGTAAATAGATTATTCAAATGGTGGAAATATTGGGACAGTTGGTGGAGGAAGCGTTCGCCAAAATGATTGATTTTTGTCGACATTCATGGACAGGGCTAAATTCGAGCAATTATTCCTCTTCCCCCCCCCGGGTCTCGTGTTTGTTCGCCCTCTTTGGAGATATCAAGAACGTGTCTGGTCTTCTGTGCGAGAGATTTTCCTTCATTCAAAATAGCAAATAGTGCTGGCCGAGAAACGCCAGACTAGCTTGCCCGCCAGCCCCTAGCCTAAGAACATGATCGGTTTGTTTCGCTCCACACAGACTGGGCCTGCATGCAGACAGGCAGGAGTAGACATGCCCAGGCCGCCGCGACCACGAGAATGGAAATGGGGGCGAACTGGATGGGTCGTACGGTCCGTTGCGCAGACGCCGTGCCAAGGGGGCGCCTCCCATACGATCGACATTTGTGTTGCATGGGCGTGCCACGAGCGCTTTGCCGCCTCCCGATCAGGACATCGTTTTGAGCCCGCCCGCACGAGGCAACGTCGCTGGAGAAAGCCGTGCCTGACGTGGCGGCAGCAGCAGCAGCAGCAGAAACGGGGGTGCTTTTGAAACAGTCGATCCAGAGTTGAGCGCCACCCCTGCCATAACTTTCAGAAGCCTTTTCGCCCGCCCACCCCTCATCCCAACACATACAGTAAAACGCGCGTGTCAAAGTTTCGATCAGTAGTACGTCCTATCCTGCCAATCGAGAAAAAACGCTGAAATTAGCACATATCTGTATGAAATATGGAGAAAAAAGACGAAGAAAACGCCAGAAGAAGGGATCAACAACAAGTGAATCAAGGATTCATTACCCTCAACTCTCCCTCCTTGGCCGCGACCGGCTTTCGCTTGAAGAGCTTGCTGATGGACTTGCTTTTCTCCTTCTCGCGTTCGCGTTCGCGCTCGCCGTGTCGTCCGTCCGTGAGACCGCCCGTGGCCGAGGTGGTGGGAGCGGGCCCGTCGTCGTATTCCGGGCTCCACGAGCCCGGTATTGTCTGCTCGCTGGTGGCCGTTCGCTTCGGGGACGGCGGCTTGACTGGTGGTGCACCAGCGGGCATGGGTGGCGGCGGGTGTGCACCAGCGTGCTGCTGCTGCTGCGGCAGGTGAGTATAGCCGGCGGGTTGGTTTTCACGGTGATGCGGGATGCCGGCGACTTCGTTCCGTCCACGGGCAAGGACTGCGTCGTTCTTGGCGTTCGCTTTGGCAGCTTTCTTGTCGTTCTTGCGCGGGAAGTTCTGGTCGATGGTGCTGTTTAGTGTACCGCGCAGCGTTTCTCCGACGCCCTGCGAGGGTCAGTACCGAAGATGATTGTGGAGTGACGTGCAAGCTTACATGAATCCCCTTGGCTGCTGCACGAAGGTCAGAAATGGTTGACTTGTTGTTGGTCGTGGGATGGTCTGTGGTAACGAGGGAAACGCCATCCGGGTCCATGGAGTCACGATTACGAGAAGGGTAGCTAAAGTTGGAGGCCCGAGCTGGGCTGAGAGGAGGCGTATTGCCTGTCGGGCCAGGACGAGCGAAATAGCCAGTCTCTGGCTGTGCATCTGAAGGCGGAGCCCCGAAGGTACTACGATCACCCGACCTTCTGTTGCTTCGTGGCGGAATTCCTGGTGATTGCTTTCGAAGACGGTTTGATGATGATCGATCTGTCACAGCAGGAGCTAGACCAGAAGCAGGAGGCGCTTGATGGTGTGCCTGTGCAGATGCCGGCTGTGTTTCGGCAGGAGTTGCGGGCATCTCTACGACGCCAGACCTGTCGGCTGTAGTACTGGTTGCGCCGTCTGTGATAGCAGGCTGGGTCTGCGTAGACTCTTGCACGTCTTTCTGGACATCTTTCTGGACGCCAGGTTTCTGACCCGGCTTGCGAGTCGTTGTGGTAGTGGTGGTGGTCGTTGTAGTCACGACAGTAACAACCTCGCCGGTGTCTCTGTCGAGTACTTCGCCAGTAGCCGGCCTGACACCCAGGTTCCTGTCTTTGTCGATGTTTGCAATTTCGCTGTTCTTCTCCGCCGGGACAATTTCAGACGTTGACTTGTTGTTGTCAGTCGCTGGAGTGATTGGAGTATCACTGCTTGCGTATGCCGAGTCTGGCGGGAACGTGGGCGGGGATTCGGGAGACTTTTCTCGCTTCGTGCCGAGCAAGCGGCTGAAGCGCTTCTTCTTTTCTTTCTGGGGTTCGACGGCAGCCATATTGGTGGTGTATAAGGGACAGTAAACTGTTGCTTCGCAGTTCTGGAGAGAAGAGGAAAGGAGAAGCTCCGAATCTCGACCATATTATCCAGGGTCATCGGTCGGTCGACGCCATGCATGACGTAGGAGTACGCCAACACGGGCCAGGATCCAGGATCACGGCAACTTCTTCTCCCCGCTGATTTGTTCAAGCCACAACTCATCGCTCCTCGGCTGGACGAACAATATTCCAGCGCCACCCTGCACAGCCACAGTAGAGGGTCTAGAGCACTCGCTTGACTCGCTACCGGATGTTGCGACCGGGCCAGACTCATCACGGGCTTGGGATCGCCGTGTGACTCTCATCTGGATGTCATTTGTTGAAACTGTATAACTAAGCTCGCTCACTGAACCACGACTCGGACACCTTTAGCATCCGCGGCTGGGAGTGGTGCGAACATCTCATGCGCCATCTCAATGTCCTTCAGCGTGGTTTCAAACAGCTCCAAGTCGAAACGCACAAGGATCTGCGTCAACGCGAGATACATCGTAGTGATAGCAAACTCTTTGCCCAGACACATTCTCGAGCCTTTGCCAAACGGCACCAAGTATGCTTCCGAGTGCGCTTTCTCTGCTGGCCGTAAAAAGCGTTCTGGGTCGAAGCGCGCCGGGTCAGGGTAGATGTCGGGGTTGTAATGCATCGCCGCAATACTCATGCTGATGGAAGTGCCGTGGGGAATTTGGATCCCCTTACAAACATAAGTGATGTTGCTGTCGATCCGAGGCAAACGACCTGATACTGCAATCGCCAAACGTTGACCCTCGCTCACCACAGCATTTAAATACGGCAGTCTACGCAGCGCTGTTGTCGACTGCAAGTTCCCTCCCTGGGCGGTGAAAGCGTCAATTTCATTCTTCAACGTTTGCAAAAGATCGCGATTGTTCAAGAGGTAGAAGACCATCTTCTCGAGTGTTACGGCCGTCGTTTCCGTCCCTGCCAGCACTAAAGCCCAAGCATCCTGCACAACCCGAGGGGGCATTTTTTCTTCGTGTGGGAGATCGGAGTTCATGAGGCCGTGAATGACTGTTCTATCACTTCGCTCCGAAGATGTCGCAATACTCCTGGCTTGCTTAGCGATGCCCATCTGCACATCGAACGTTTCGAGAGCCCCCGGCGGCGCAAAGTGCTTGACGATCCATCTCGGCGTCATCATAGACAGTGGCAGCAGGAACGGAAACGTCCTATTCCACAGTGAAACGATCCCCAGATCTCGAAGCTGTTGATTGTAGCTGGCCGCAAACTCCTCGCGACCTAGCAGATTGTAGCCGTGTGGCAGCACATACTCCGAGATGGCATCCGTCGTAAAGCAGCGGAAGGCATCGGAGAGGCTGACGGGCTGCCCAGACTGCCTGTAGTGTTCGAGCCTAGCACACAACTTCTCCAGGTTGCTGTTCACGATACCTTCGATGGTGGGCACTGCCGAGGAGGCGAAGAACTTGCTGATGGGCTTGCGACGAACACGATGCAGTGCATGCGTCGTCGTCTGGAAGGTCGACTGGGGCAAGCCGAGCATGCGATAGAACTTGGGGTCTTTGTCGAGGCGACCGACGACATTGTACAGCTCGTCGAAAAACTCCGGATCATTCACGTGCACAGCGTTGGGCGAGATGCGCACGACTGGGCCTATAGCTCTTCAGCTTGCAGGCTAGGCCACTCGCTGAACCACTTACCGTGCTCTTGGTGCATTTCTTGGATGCGCCAGTAATATTTCCCTCCACGACAGGCATCATGGTAGAATTCATAAAGGGGAGTGATGGCCGCAAGCTTGGGGCCGGGAACATGACTGAGAGGGTGGAGGTACAAGCGATAGATCACTGCCACCGGAAAGAACAGAGCAGCTGAGACGATGATAGCTCCAAGATAGGGTGGAAGCTGCCACCAGAGGGACAATCGCCAGTCTTCCGGTCCAGCCATGGCGGATCTGCTTCAACACAAACTACAGCTGTGAAGATGCTACAACATCCAGCCACTTGTAAGCACCTACCGACGATACCTCCCAAGCTTGAGCTGCAAACGTGAAGTGCTCAAGCATGGGCTGCGAATCGCCTACATTCGGCGGCAATCTACGAAATCACCGCGGCCGTGATGCCGCGCCCCCAAGCCACTTCCGCGCCCCGTAGGGGCGACTGTACAAACAATGGTCCGAGAAAGCCTTCCACCTTTTTTGACGCAACATCGAAGGTCCTGGCTTATGTAGATATGACTAACCCGGTTTGCGAGAACTGTTCCAAAGTGCAGCAAACATGCTATATTAGCCCAACTCTTCAGGGGCTGAGCAACCCAAGGACCGACTCAGTCCCGAATCGCCGTCAGGCCCGCCGCGCCTTCGATCCAAAAACACATTACAGTATTTCCCAATCCGTCCCGCACGGCAAATGATGACGAGGACGATGACCCGCCGGAACAGCTCCCGGCAAGCATCAGGAAAACCCCCAAAGGCCGTGCAAGGAGTGCATAAGTAAAATGAGATGCACTACCGCCAAACAAACCAAGGCTCAAAAAGGCAATCTTTTGTTTTTGGAGGGGGGGACGTTGGCGCGGAACGTTTTCGTTTCGTTCTCAGGGGTAAGAAGCCCGCCCACGGTATCAGGTCGGGGTGGAGGTGGGCGTTCTCGGAGACAGGGCAGGGCAAAAAGGAACGAGGACGCGAGGCGTTCCATCTTTCGTTTCGCTCTACAGCCAGCCAGCCAGCCAGCCACTTACTTGCACGGCCGAAAGTTGTTGCATGGCATGCAAGGAGTTCGAGAAACTCCTCTGATCTCGGCATCGTGATGATGAGACGCAAGGTGGCGCGCCACCACGTGCGCTCACAAGGACGCGACGGAGCTGTTTCGGGCCTGCTGCCGTTGACCGACCAGAAGTGATCAGGGGGCATAGATTGGATGGTACATGAAGAGAAAAGAGGTAGGTACGCGGGTTTCATCTTGCTTGATTATCTTCGTTACAGACACTATCGTCTCTCAGCCGTTCCGTGATGCTGTATTAGCCCTTCAACACTCCTAATGCTGTAGGAAAATGGATGGTTTGATTCGTGAAACAAGCCGTGGTCCTTGCTTCCCAATGTCCCGTTGATCCGTCGCCTTTAACTGCTTCAATAGACATTCGCATGCGCAGCCCAAGTCGCTCCCAAAAAAACAAATCGATCGTTGCCAAAGGCTGGTATCATGATCAGACACGTAAGGAAATATTGGATTAGTTGTACACAGTTTTAGTCGATCGTCGTTCCGAAATTTCAATTCATCGCTTTGCTCTCATTGTATGCCGTGCAGGTACATTCAAGATTGGTCGTAGTCGCCCGGGGCCGTGTTCGCAAACACGTAGTTTTTGGGCTTGTTCGCTGGTAGCTTCTGCGCAATGTGCGCGTGCTCCTCTCTCTGGTTCGGGAACTCTTGGATGTAGAATTCGGTCGGCTTGGTCTCGGGAACATGGTCACCGCCCTCATAACCTGTCTTCCCCTCCGATGGCAAGACAAAGTTTGGATAGCTGTGCATAGTACCATCGCCATTCAAGTTCATGGTCGGAAGAGGTGGTAGATAGTTGGCAGGGAAGTTCGGAGCATCAGGACTCGTCAATGGAGCATCGGGCCAGCTGCTGTTGGTCATGGGACCAGCTGAGTACGGTGGCGTATTATCCGCAAAGTGAGCGTACTGTGGTGGTGCCGACACAGGTGGCACAGAGAAATGCCCATGGGCATTATAGTCCGGTGCAAAGGGGGTGGATGGTGGCGATGAAGTGGATAGAGTCAGGTGCTGTGACGCAGCCAGCTGGTAACCACGTGCCAGCTCTGCTTTCCAGGCCGCGACATTGTCAGTAACCTGTGTATTGATTGTCAAGCCCGGGGTCGAGGCTACTGGAGTCGAGCTACCGACGGTTGTCGTTGAGGTGAGAGGTGTGGTTTCACCTGCGTGTTGTGCCAAAAGATTCTTGAAAGATTCTGCATCTGCGAACGTGCTCACATTCAACGGTGATCTTTGAGCCGAGCTTGGTTTGCGGATGCCAGCGTAATGAGCATTGAGGCTGTGTCCTGTCGACTTCACGTGGCGTACAGCGTGGGCTGGAGGAGTGAAGCCCGAGCGCACAGTTGGTGAGGTCGCTGTCAATGCACCGTACGAGCGGCTCCTGAGTGAGGCCGATGTAAGAGCAGCAGGTCTGGGCCGCTTACGACGAGCCGCTAGGTCAAGTTGCGCCTCTGGCTGTCTTGACTGTGAGAACTCGATCGCTCCAGGCACTTCTTGTACCGGTGTGCCAAGAGCGAAGGAGCCGAAGTTGGCCGCTAAAGATTCAGTACCGGACCCGCGACGCGAGTCAGGATACGCTGGTAGAGATAGGACGGGCGAGTGTAAGCCGTCATGAGCCGTTGTGTGGTCTTGGAGAGCCGGTGGAGGCATAGCCATTAACGGAGGCCAAGAATCCGGTGGTAGCATTGCGCTGTTGAAAGTACCATCCTGCATCAACGTGCCCGCATTGGCATGGTGTTGAGGAGCAGCCGACGAATCATGAGCAGAGAAGCCAAAGTCGAAACTGGTGTCTTGGAAATGCTGAGGGTGTTCCGACCAGGCTTCCATCAGCTCGGGTTTGCGTGACCACTGTGCCACCTGTGGGCGTGAGGCGGTCGACATAGACCGTCGATGAGCATCCACATTGACTGGTGTTTCGGTCACGGCTTCGATACCCTGTACGGCAGGAGTGGGTCCAGCTTGTGGTTGATGCTGTGCGGTTTGCTTGGCTAGGAGGCGGTCAAGCGATGCGTAGCTGGCCAGTCGGCTCTGGCGCAGGAGATCAGCATCTTGCGAGGCAGCTGAGCCGGGAGATGTCGAAGGTCGAGCATCGCTACTGGGAGGCGAGTCATGAGAGCTGTTTTCGGTCCCAGTCTCGGTCTTCAGAGGTTCTTGTGAATCCTCCTCGTCATCAGAATTGGCGGTTTGAGGAGCCTCTTGAGCCTGGCTATTCTCGTATTCTTCGAGCTTCTTCTGCTGCTTTGCCTTGGCTCTTCGGTTCTGAAACCAATTCTGAAGGTGTTAGCACTCATTTGAGAACAAACCGGGCAGACATACCGCAACTCTGGGCAGAGACAGCATGGTCTGTCTGGCCAGCTGCCGTTTCTGCATGCTGCTCGGCTTGTGGTTGGCCTGGAACTCGGCTTCGAGGACCTCGACTTGCTCTTTGGTCAACCGCGGGCGCGTTGACACTTCTCCGACATCCTCAAGCTCTTCATAATAGGCTCCATGCGGATATCTGAAGTCTGCGTACTCGGGGCCGGGATAGCTCAGGTAATGCTCCTCAACGGGATGTGCATGGTGGAGGTACGGATTGTACACTGGGGGCTGTGGTTGCTGCTGCGGGAGTGGCTGCTGGTAGAAGGCGTGCGCCTGGAGTGGATGAGGGTATGGCAGCATCTCGCACATGCAGTCCATGTCAACGTGTTAGGCCACTGCTATCGGGCAGCTACTTTGTCGAGGAATAGCTGTTATTAACGGAGGCCTGGTCAAGATGTCATGTTCGGCTTGGAACAATGTCCCCGAAGCGTAGCGAGAATGTGACTCGGGCTGTTGATGTGGCCGTCACGTCTTGGTGTGGGCAAATGCTGCGTCGTATGTGCCGGTGTGCAGAAGGAGCGACTGTAGGTGTATCAGATGTGTGTGGGACTCCGCGCTAAATGAATGTGACTGTGTAGGGACTCGAAGCTGGCAAGCAAAGCTGTAGATGGAAGGAGCGAGGGGTAGAATGATGGGTTTTCAAAGAAAGAACGGGTCGCGCGAACCGCGGAGGCGGAGAATTAAAGAAACAAGGGATCAAGCGCAGGAAGAGAAATCTACGAGGGACGAGTCGCGGAGGAGAGAGGGAGCAGGAGTCGGAAAAAAGTAGCTGATGGGGTGGTGGAGGCCAGATCCCATACGAGCCAGTGCCAGGTTCAGGCAGGGGCGGGACGAGGGCCGTCCTACGAGTAGTCCGTATGCTGTGCCCTCTTTCTGCTCTTGCGCAACACGCCGGGAGCGCGGGAACTTAGAGGCGAAGAGACAGGGGTCCTGAAAGTCAGCCTCCAGGACGAGCTTGTGAGCTTGGTTTCTCACGCTTCCGATATCACGAGGCCACGGCGATTGGTGTAGCCGGCAGGCTCCTAGATGGAGGAGGGCGCCTCTCGCTCCAACAACTAGTCGTTCTGGTGGACGACTGCTGGGCGTGCGAGTCTGTGCACCCGTGGATTTGCAGAAAAGTTGACGTCTGCTCCCTATGCAACCTTTCAAAACCGAGACCAAGGACAGACGTTCCTGAGGTGCTAACGACGCCAGGCTAGCTGGATAGGGGCTAAGAAACTCCACCACGTCCCAATCCGGCAGCGCAAGTCAAGGCGCTGGCGTCTCAGTTTGGACTCCGCTGTGCGAGTCCGGGATCAGGGAGATTGCGTGAATAGAGCTTGTTTTCGGATGCCTCTCATGAGGCTCGATTGCGCCTGAGCACGAGCTTGGAGAGAGTTCGCTGTCAATAGTGGCCCAGATACTCCAACCGCTGAGCCTTATTCACGTACATATGGACGTAGTGCTGTATGTACACAGCAAAATACGGGGGAATCCAAGTAGGCGCGTACGGGGGGATCAGCAGCTTCGGATTGGGCGAGCTGACGGTTTGTTGATGCTGCTGCTGCTGCTGCTGCTTGTCTCTGCTGATGGAGTTCCGGATTGCGAAACAGTCTTTGCGTTCTGCTGCGGTACCTGCATACTGGCGCCGGGCAGCTGCATGCTGGGCGCAGCGCCAAGCCTAAAGTGCTCACTCTACTCAGTAATCCAGCAGGGGTTCGGGCTTTGGGTCCTCGTCGCTCGCCGTCACCCAGTCACATGCAGCCTGTACTCGCCGGCTCTGCTTCCAAGCCATCATCAGGTCTCCCGCCGCAAACCACACCAGCAAGCAACGTTGTGGCTTTCTTTTTCCTGGAGAGGCTCGATGTGAAGGCATAGAGGGGCCTATCGTCTCTGCCCAAAAAGGCAACAACGCAGGCGCGCGATAAGAGCTTCCAGCAGCCTTTGGAGGCGTTACCAGGCTGCTGACCGCGTTGGTCCAGATCGATGATCGGGTCTTCTCCGACACTTTCAAGTGCTGCAGTCAAACTGAGGCTCCCAGGCAGTGGTGAGTCAGTCACAGCCCGACTGGCTGCAGCTGCTTACGACGCCGCACTGCCCCGAGCTCCTTGAGGCGTTCATGTTTCTGGCGTGGTAATTTCCTGAAGCCGGCGGAACTTGATCCCTGAACGCTGAACGCTGAACGCTGAACGCTGAACGCTGCCCTTGCTGGTAGTGGATCTTTTCAGCTCGCATCTCTCCCGCCCGCATCGAGCCTCTCGTCACGGTTCTTTGCGCGACGGATCATTTCCCCGCGCGGTGAATGTCTCTGCTCGCTTGCCCAATCGCTGCGCTCAGAACCCTGCCCCAGGCCAAGTCGCTGCCGACGACGCTATTCATCGGCATCCTCATAGCGTCAACATTTACGTCTATCACAACCTTCTTTCGGTCAAAATACAGCAGCTTTTTGCCTCATATTCCTCACGTTCAGCTACTTTGATCGCCCAAGCTGATCTACGCCATCAAAGAGCCCAGTTGCGCTGTCGGCTGGCTAATCGACGCCATCACAACCTCCTGTGGATGTAATTTAACGCCCTGTCAAGTCATGAACAGCATAGACCCTGCCGCATCCCGGCACCGGCCCATCCCCAAGGCGCTAAGCACCACAATGCCTTCGTATCCTGCCCGGTTCCGTTCCCCTGGGACGATCCAGGCGATGCAAGACGCCATCACACAACACAACACTGCAGGGGATATCTGCCACGGGCAGGCTTAAACGACACTCAGCTCACGATGGTGAATTGTAGTACAGTTCTCGACCGACCTGCATCTTCTGTACCATGGCAGAAATTAGCTTACCCTCGCACGATCTACAGCATCCACGTACTCGGGCCAACACTCTGCAGCTGACGTCCGAGACACCTGAGTGTCCTCGTACTCCGTCCATCGCACAGGTACTTTGACATCGTCCACAGTTACACAGGTCTTTCGCTTATGTATGGGACATGGGAACTTCCGGCCCTCGGGCACCGTGGACAGCTCAGAGGCCCACAGCTAGCGAGACCCGATGGAGGCAAAGGTTGGGCGCGTTCGATTCCAATCTATTCTACTCGTACGTCTATTCTATCATGCATCGCTAATCTTGATATTGCTCCTTCTAAGCCGTGTGCGAGTTGCTTTCCATCTGAGGCAACCTCCAAGTGTCTGACCCAGATCGGGCCTTAATCAATCACCGCGTTGTGGACCGCAAGCTTGATGATACCGCCATCGAAATCTTTGACTTTGATACTCCGCAGATCTTGCACGATCCAGTCGGCACCAGCCTCGCGGATCTGGTCCAGGGTGTGCGTTGTCGCCAAGCCTATCACTTTGAAGCCGGCTGCTTTGCCTGCGCGGATCCCTGATGGCGCGTCCTCGAAGACGATCATGTTGGCCTTGTCGCTCATGCCCAGGCGCCTTTGGCCTAGCAGATAGCACGCTGGGTCGGGCTTCCCATTTTCAACATCCTCGGCGACCACAAGGGTTCGGGGTGGACTGAGCTTCAATACATCAATCCAGCCTGTTACCAGCGCTCGGGTCCCTGATGTAACAACAGCCCATGGCACACTCAACGAATCTAGCTGATCCAACAAATCACGAGCGCCGGGGATTTCAACCGCGTCTTTGCCATACTCTCGTGGGATCAACCCCTCCATTCTGTTGATGTCTGTAGAGTGTCAGCGGCATGCCGGAGCAGAACGAGTCTCCCATCTTACAGTCCCAATTCGCTTTAGTCTCATCGTACAGTCTCAATACGTCTATACTTCTCCGACCGTGGGATGTCTGCAGAATAACCTCCGGGTCTACACCCATCTCCTTGCCTAGACTATGCCAGTGCTTGACGATAGCCTCAGTACTGTCGATGATGGTACCTTGGGCTTCAATTAGCCATAGTAGGGATGCACATGTACTGCAATGTCTGTCTTACCATCAAAATCAAACAGCAAGCCATCTGCGCTCACGACTTCGGTTGGAGCCGAGAACGAAGCCTCACCCAACGACCCCATCGCTGAGGCTCTACTGTACTTTAACGAATTGAGAGGAGGCAGAGGCTCAAGGCACGGCGGGGCCTGCAAGCCGAGAGGATTCAGTGACCAGGGAATGTGTAGCTGTTGGACAACTACCTCACCGCGAGCAGTCAGCGCAAATATATCTTTCTTCTGCGGCGGCGGCGTCGAAGTCCCTTTGCGGCATCGTAGCCGGGCTCCGGCGGTCTGGCAGGGTCTGGGTCGGCTATTGACCTGACCTGCAGGCGGAGAAACTATGCTCCGGCGCCGCCACAATTTTTCCAGAGTCGCAACTTTTGACATCGCCCGCAATGGGCATAGCAAAGCACTTTCCCCACGGTTGAAAACACGCTTGCAGTCGCTGGCAAGATGGTGAAGTCATGTGAGTACAAGCGCAAGATGCCGTAACATATGCTGACAGTAATAGTCTCAAAATCCAAGCGACAGCCGGTCCGTCTGCGGCACAAGATCGAGAAAGCGGGTGCCGCAAAACAGAGAAAGCTGAGGAAAGAATCCAAGAAGGTCAGCTCTACACCAAAACAACTCTGGGGTTCGAATCTAATCGAAAACAGAACCCTCAATGGAAGTCACGGTTAAAGAAGGACCCTGGAATCCCCAATCTCTTTCCTTACAAGGATAAGATCTTGGAGGAGATCGAAGAGAAGAAACGACGGAAAGCTGAAGATGCGCAAAGACTACGAGATGCGGCCAGAGACAAAAAGAAGCAGGCTGCTCAGGCTTTGGCAGGGGAGGTAGAGGACGACTTAATGGACGAAGACGAAGACTTGCTCGAGGAGGACGACGAAATGGACGACAGTGATGCTGTCGATAGTTCGAATCCCATGGCCGCGCTCTTAGCGTCGGCACAAGCCAGGGCCACCGAGTATGGCGATGATCCGCACGGCGACGTTGAGGACGAATCAGACCAGGACGACGGTGGCATACAAATCTCAGAAGTTGTGGCCACTGACCACCGCAACCCGGACTCGTCAAGAAAAGCTTTCGACAAAGTCTTCAAGCAGGTACTTGACGCAGCAGATGTGATTCTGTACGTACTAGATGCGCGAGACCCAGACGGCACTCGATCGAGAGAGGTTGAGCGGCAGATCATGGCGGCAGCGTCTGGTTCAAAGCGGCTTGTATTGGTGCTGAACAAGATTGATCTTGTGCCCCCAAAGGTCCTCAAGGGCTGGCTCACCCACCTCCGGCGATATTTCCCCACAGTCCCTCTCCGAGCTTCGACTCCCGCATCGAACGCGCACACCTTCGACCACAAGCAGCTTACCGTCAAAAACACCTCCGAAACCCTCCTCCGCTCCTTGAAAACCTACGCTGCATCAAAGAACCTCAAGCGCTCTATCTCCGTCGGTGTCATTGGATACCCCAACGTTGGCAAGTCTTCCGTCATCAACGCACTCACGTCACGACTCAGTCGAGGACAAAGTTCAGCATGCCCAACTGGCGCAGAAGCTGGAGTTACCACGAGTCTGAGGGAAGTCAAAGTGGACAGCAAACTCAAAGTGCTCGATTCACCTGGCATTGTGTTCCCATCGAGCACCGAGGGTGACGACAGACAGGCCAAGCAGAAGAAGAAAGCTGAGCACGAGGCCCGTCTAGTGCTGCTGAACGCGTTACCACCAAGCCAGATGTCAGACCCGCTACCTGCCGTTAGTCTGCTGCTTGAACGACTCTCTCAATCGGAGGCTCTATATGAAAAGCTGCTCCAACATTTTGGCATCACAGCGCTCGGGCCATTTGGAGGTGACACCCAGACAGACTTTCTGTTGCAAGTGGCACGCAAACGGGGCAGGCTAGGGAAAGGCGGTGTACCCAATCTCAACTCAGCGGCGATGGCAGTCATCACAGACTGGAGAGACGGTCGCATACAAGGCTGGGTGGAGCCACCTGTTCTACAGGTCGCGGCTGATGCGGAGATGGAAGGGGAGGCTGATATTGCCAACGCGAGCAGTGGAGATCGCAAGCAGATCGTGAAGGAGTGGGCGGCGGAGTTCAAATTGGACGGTCTATGGGGTGATGATAACGCCGCTGATACGAATGCTATGCAAGTCGAGCCTTGACATGGGTGGGAAAGAGGAAAATAGGCGTTTGCATGGGCATTCTATGGCGTCAGGCAGTGAATGCATCTGATCAGAAGACTTCAAGCCGTAGACTCGTCTTCATGGACTAGATTCGAATTTTTAGCGCTAGGTGTATGCAAAGCGACGAAGCATGCTCTTGTGCTTGCTCTATGTCTGCGTTGGCGGCGGAGGAGTTGTAAGAACGTACTGTACGCACAGGCGAAGACTACTAGAATCGCTCACAGCCCAAGTCGCGTCTGGAGACGCGTCCAATCACGTACGCGCGTTGTGCCCGCATCTTTTCCAGAGATTCCACTTTCACTTCGCCGACCTTCGAGACTCTGGCCCAACCTTTGTTGCATCCTCCACTCACATACCATTACACCAACCGTCAGTCGCACACCCTTGTCATTGCATTGACAGTCGAAACGTGTGCTCACGACAGAAGATAACAAGTGGGCCTTCCCCACGCGAGACCGACCCTGTCGAAAGCAGCACAGCTCAGCATACGTACCAGGGACGCACCATCACTGAAAGGTATCTCCGCAGGGAGACCGAGCACACCCTAAAAGATCTTCAGCAACCATCATGCCACCCCGTAAATCCAACGCCTCCGTCTCCGGCGCCGCAAATGCAGGCCCAGCATCCGCAGCACCCTCCCCACCCGTCACTTCCACCTCGGCGGCCGCCAACGCCGACGTCTCGATGCTCTCGACCGCCACCACAACAGAGCCCAAATCGCCGACAACAAAGAAGTCGTCGTCCAAAAACCAAGATGACCCTGCAGGCATCGACGACCTCCTGCTGCCTCGCTCCCTGACGAGCCGCATTGCGCGGGGCATGCTGCCACCCAACACGTCGCTGCAAAAGGACGCGGTGCTCGCGCTCACAAAGTCGGCCACGGTCTTCATCTCGTACCTGGCATCCACAGCCAACGAGCAGCGGCCGTCCGCCAAGACGGTCACACCACAAGACGTCCTGAAGGCGCTGCAGGAGATGGAGTTGGAGCGGGTGATGGGCCTCGGAGAGCGGAATGAGGAAGGCGTCGTCGTGGGAGGCAGACTGGAGAAAGAGCTGGCGGTGTTTGAGGAGGTGGTCAAGGGGAAGAGGAAGGGGTATCGGGATAAAGTGAAGGCTAGGGAGAGTGGGGTTGGGGATGAGACGATGGAGGGCGGGGACGGGGAGCCGCAGGCGAAGCGGGCCAGAAGGGGAAGTGAGGAGGGCCAGGATGGCGGAGATGATGAACAGGATGAAGAGGATGCGTTGTTGGATGCGCAGCTGAATGGGCCAAATGGAGGTGTGGACCAGGAGGAGGAGGATGAGCATGGCGACGAGGGCGACGAGGATGAAGAGGACGAGGCAGAGGATGAGCAGCAAGAGGAGGCCGAGCTTGAAGACTCGATTGATGTTGAGGACGAGTCGGCTGGAAGGACACGGAGGAAATCAGGATCTAAAGGGAGGAGCTCAATCCTAGCACCCAATGGTCGCACGGAGGTGGGAAGTGAGGATGACAGCGACTAGGGGTCTGAAAGACGAAAGCGATCGAGGGCAATAGGTTGACAAACGCTCCAGCGATGGGCTGCTTCCAACGACCGCTGCGACACTGCCAACGACAGGATCTACTAGTACGAGGGTGGCAAAGCAGCCACGTGCCCAATTCAACCCTGCCGAATGCAAAATGCACTGCGTGCTGGGGGCGGGTCTGATGAGCATCACACGAAGAGACGTACAGTACAGAGATGGGCCAGCGAATGCGACCTCCAGCCGTGATTCCGGTATTGCAGACGTCAAGGATACGGAGCTTATCAGTCAGTCACGCCATATGTCGCACTTGATCAACGCTTTCAGTATTGCAGAGGCAGCATTTGGATACAGACAGCATTACTGAGTATCCATACTATCGCCACCCTCTCCTCTCTCCTTCTTCACCTGGTCTTTGACACCTTCCAAGAAGGCTTCCACGGCCTCGCCACCGCCCAAAGGCACGGCGCCACCCCGCATGAAACCTCCATTCTGGACCTGCACGCCAAGTGCATCGGCGATGCTGGGGAGACCTCCGTCTCGTAGCGCAATCGTCAGGCTGGAGTTTGACTGCGTAAATTGAGGCGACCGGAGAACGCGGGCCAAAATGGACTTCTTCTGAGTGAGGTTCAGGTCGGAGTCCTCTGATACACCGTCGGCCGTTTTGGCGAGCGTCAGGAGCTGGGGTGGGAGGTATTGAAGTAACCGATCGACTTCAGGCTCGCTGATTTGTTCGAGATACGCAATAGTTGATGCAGGCGTGAGCAAATCTTGTAGCGTTGTGAAGAGTTTGCCCTGTGCGGCTTGCCGACCAGGCCCTGTCTGCTTGCCACCCATCGAGTTGATGAAGTTCTGAATGATGGCATTGGCGTCCATATCACCGGCCGCAGCTCTGGCATAAAAATCAGCGTGAGTCCAAGGCGGGGATCTGCAGCAGGAAAGGTAGAAAGGATGTGCTGCTTGTAGGGACAGCATTACCTACGCTCGTCCACCGTCAGCACCTCCCTCTCGTGACTCCTCGCCTTCTTCGCGAATATCGCCGCCAGTGGCGCCTGGCCCAGCGCCTCCACTGCCACTACGATGAAAGCCGTGATCGTGGTTAGTCCCTTCAACATCCTCCATAGCTTCATCGTCATCGTCACCACCATCCCGGCGGTCGCTGTCGTGCGGAACAGCTGCCATTTCCTCCTCCACATTCACATCCTCACCCAGCAACAGAGTGTTGACAATCTCACCGAGCTTCAAGTCACGAGCGGAGAACCATGCTGGGTCTTTGTTCGGATGTTGTGAGCCGGATTGGAGCCAGAAGAGGTAGCGTTGTGAGCTGGAAGAGAATCTGAGGACGTATATCCGGCCATTTGTGGGCTTCTTCTCTGGAGTGGGATTCTCTGCGGACATGGGCTCGTACGGGGTGAAAGAGCCATCGGTAGGAAGCATGAGCAAATCTAGCTCCGGAGTATCCATCGGCGCTCCACGTGGGCGCCAGCAGAAGTGAACAAGATCATCTTCGGAGTAGAGGTAGATGTAGCCGGGCGTCGGATCTGGCTTAACTGCCTTGCCCTAATGATAAGTCATTAATTGCTGTTGCTAGCAAACAAGCGGAGGACGCGCCGAGCCTGCGAAGGAGGCGGACTTACTTCGAGTTCACATTTGCCCGCCTTGAAAGTGATAATGGGAGCAATAGGCATTGTGGGCCCGTTTCGAGTCTATCTAATCTCCGAGGAATATAGTATGAGAGATCAAGTCCACGAGAAAGGGTTCGGCGAGCAGGTGTAGGTCTGAAGTTATGAAAGGCCGCCGCAGTTACGTAGCAAGCCCGAGCGAGTGTGGAACCCACGAATTTGACCGCAGGTTGACAAGGCTGATGTCCAGCCTTGCGGAGCTCGCCCATGGGCTTGGCAGAAAAGAGCCACTTTCGGCCTTGGCAAAGCGCACAACCTCAAATCGCTCCGATGGCGAAGCGTTGGCGCAAGTTCGACTTGACCGGGTTCACACACAACACACCACACTCTTAGTTGTTTCCTCACAACAAGATCTCCTCCCCATTCCCGGATTCCCTTCGTTAGAGTCTCTCCTCTTCTGGTCCGAACTCGTCTCGAGAAAGGCCCAGCCACCATGTCTGCGCAGGAGAACAAGCCCACTACGAAGAAGTTCGGCAAAGGCGAGCGGTCGGTGCCTCACCCCTCGCAGAAGGCATCCAAGTGGTACCCTGCGCACACAGAGTCTGCCGCGAAGAAGGTATGTCAAGTCCGGGCTGTCGAATCCCAATCCCGCCGCTGGCGGCGTTGAGATGCCGATGACTTTACAAGCACGCACCAAGCGAGTCACACAGTCAACTAACATAATGTTCCTCACTCAGTCTCGCAAATCCATCCGTCCCGCCAAGTACCGCTCCTCTCTGCAGCCGGGCACCGTCCTGATCCTGCTCGCCGGCCGCTTCCGTGGCAAGCGAGTCATCCTCCTCAAGCAGCTCTCGCAGGGCGCCCTCCTAGTGACGGGACCCTTCAAGATCAATGGCGTGCCCCTGCGCCGCGTGAACGCCCGCTATGTCATCGCCACCTCGACCAAGGTTGACCTGAAGGCCGTCGACTCCAAGGTCCTCGACAAGGTCGCCGGTGACTCATACTTTGTGCGCGAGAAGAAGAGCAAGAAGGAGAAGGGTGAGGAGGCGTTCATGAAGCAGGGCGAGAAGGCCGAGGTACGTGTTTTTCCCGCCTCCAACGGCGTGGTCCGGGAGAGGTGAAATCCAAACGGGAAAGACCGCAAATAAACTAACGAGTCTTTCCTTACAGAAGAAGCAGCCCACGTCCGAGCGTGCCTCCGACCAGAAGTCAATTGACAAGCCCATTCTCTCCGCCATCAAGAACGAGGAGTTCCTCGCCAGCTACCTCTCCTCCAGCTTCAGCCTGCGACACGGTCAGAGACCGCACGAGATGAAGTTCTAGGCAAACCCATTTCTTCTCCTCATACCGTTCATCCCCCACCAACGACCCTTTTACGACCGAATGGATTTTTTACAGCGGTACGACGTTGGGTGCGATAGAACAGTATGCGGTGCGGTGCGGTGCGGTGCGTGTGGTGAGCGAAGCGGGCAAGCACGTCTTCGGTGCTGGTGGCCCATGCTCACGGTACAGTGGTGATGATGGTATTGGTCTGTCAGCGGGCACGTGCTGTCGCCTTGGCTGACAGGCGACGAAAGCGGGAAGTAGCAGAACATTACCTGGCGTTGTTGCACGGCCGCGCTGCCGCGGGCCTATGTGCGTGGCGTGGAAATCATGACAAACCGAGATGCAAACAAAAAAACAATATGCAGAGTCGCCCTCTTCCCCCCTTTATGATCTTTCGAGACCTGCATTGGCACGAGAAACATCGGGTCAAACTCAACCAAAATGGGTGTAGATGGATTGACGATGACCGGCTTCTACCCTATGCAGAAAATGAAACGATGATATCAAACTTCAGTGCTGCTTCTGAACTATCTGCACTGACTCATGCTTTGCCTCGTTATCAAGTGGGGTATCATATCGCTTGCTAAAGCTATATCGACAATCATTACATTGGCAAATGCACGTCCCTTCTATCGCCTTATGCCATGCAGTAGCCAACCACTTCCACACCAGATGAGACGGGCCAGTATCCTCTCGCCAGTCGATCTGTCGACCACCTCTCCGATCCAAGTACTACAGCCACCCAGCGAAAGCAACTAGCTATCACTCCGCTGCCTCCTGCTAGACCGACTCTTGGCGCCTTCGAAAACGCCATTGGCTTTGGTTCTTGCGTCTGCCAGTCCCTTGCGGCCAGCTCTCTTTGCTCGGCCCTCCACATCATGCTTCTCGGCTTCGTCACCGACGTCTTCGATCAGGCTGCCACCGATTGTCGTGTTCATGACCCAATCGACTAGACCAAGCCGGCCGAAGTTGCCATCTCCGTGCAAGAGGTGGTCGTCAGTGCGTCTCGCAATGCCGCCAAGGATGAAGTTGGTGGGGACCGTGGAGTAGCCGGAGTAGGCGAAAGTTTCCTCGAGCGAAATGATGGTGAGGAACATCAGGTAGGTGAGCATGTGGAACCGGAAGAGGAATGCCGGCGCGTAGGTTGGGATGAAGTTGTGGAGCAGGTAGGCCAATGGGTGATCGTACGAGGCTGACAGGGGGAAGGGTGCCTCCAAACTATGATACCAAGAGTTGTGTGCTTTTGCTACGAATGATCTGGACTCGTGGAGGGTGTAGCGGTGGATGACGTAGGTGAGAATCTCGCGCATGATGTAGCCACGGGCAAGATCGATGATAATCGCGAAAGGTGTGGGTAGAGTAGTCGTGACCCTGAGAGCGGAGTGAACGAGCAGCACCTTGGTGAGCAGGAACTCGATGCTGAATTGCGCCAAAGTCGCGAGGAGGACGTTCCCGACAGACCAGCCCACAATGCGGAGGTACTGTAGCGACCGCGACCGCGATGCATTCTTCATAGGCAGCCCAGAGCTGCCTTGTGCTTTTGCCGAAACGGCAGCGGACGGGAACAGGAAGTCAAAGGCAAAGAATGCAGCAGATGGCAAGAGATAGAACACGACTCGGATCGCGAGGCTGCCGATAAGCTCGACTCGTAGAGGTGGATGCGACAGGATGAGCGTGTACCAGGTGAGGTAGAAGAAGAAGAAGTTGACTGTTGTTGACCAGCTACCGGTCGTCGGGATCAGGAGCAGCGACAGGAACGGCAGGCCGACGAGTGCTTGCAGCATGGCACGCACGGTGCTATAAGTCGAACCAAAAGGCGATGTAATGGTGTTGTAGGCGCTGGAGAAGTACGAGGGAGGAGGCGCGCATGCTACTGCGGAGGGGAGATAGTTGTTGACGGTGGTAGGGATGTAGCACGCCGGATTAAAGCCATATAGCGATACCATCTTGGCGACGTCAATGATTCCGCAAGGCGACGAGGCAGTTAAAGAGTCGATAGAATTGAAGGTGGGCGCATTGGCGGTGGTGAGATTGTGACAAGAGCAAAACTGCGCGCATAGTCATTGATCGGGGAGAGGTGGCTGGTAAAGCTGAAGCGAGCGCAAGTTCGCGTCGCCGACTCCCTGACGTCATTCGTCCAATCAAGTGGCAGACATAACACCCCGCTTCTCAGGCAGTGAAATCGCGTGGCAGCATGCTTGGTCGCCTTGGTTGGCTCCAACACGTTGTTTTAACAACGAACATACGCATGCGGTATCCAGACGTCTTCTCCAGCTACTCAATCACCACTTGAGGACCGGAGTGGGAATGATCAGAGCCATACGCGTGCAGACCGATACAAAGCCCGCTCAAGAACGCATGCCCATCGAGCAGGCATTTTAACCCCTTAGATCCATACCCGATCATCAATCCTGTTGTCCTCCAACCACCCATACACCTCATCCCAGCTTTTGCAGACATGATTCACATTCCAGCCATCACTACCTCCCACATCCGGCCCAAAGGTCGTTTGCAGGCCCTCTAACGCCGTGTCTCCGTGGCACATGATCGCCTGTCTGATATAGTCAAAGCAGTGACTCAGGTGGTCCGCCGGATCCTCGCCTTCCCTAGTCAGCCCTTCGTCGTGCTCCCCACCACTGTCCATGTTCATGACGAACTGTCCGTGGTTCGTTGCGAGCTCGTTAAAGCCCATCATGATCATGTACAGACAATGGAGTTGGTGAGTGACTGAGGTAGTGTAGACGGGCTTGTTATACTTGATGTACGGTGGAGGCAGTTCGGGGTGTGCTAGTGGATCCGGAACTTCAATGAACCCCAGGCCTTTGGGCACGAGATCGAGCCAGAGATCATGAGTCCCGGCTTTGAAGGTGGGCGAGGTGAGGTTGCCCACGTAGCGGTTGTCGGGTTGGAATGTTACGACTTCTTTGGACAGCGATGGCCAGATGTGATTAACGTCGCCCGCGATTTCGGTATCTCGCTTTGGCGGCCTTCCATCTGCAGAGCGTTCGTATAACAGGTAGACGAGAGCTATGCCCAGCAGAACATTAGAGAGCCACCATAGCGCCGAAAGAGCTTGGAGCCGCCGGCTGTGTCGAGCATCTGTGCGCACCAACGCGATCGACTTCTCGAGAAGGCCGTCTTGCTCGAGATGCTCGTCCTCGAGAGACGACCTGGGCTGGTTAGGCTCGGCCGCCATGGTAATTGCGTCAAGATGAGACATTGCAGAAGTACAACAGCTTTACTTCAGCGTTGCTCCAACGAAGAACAACCTGGACGCTACGACAGGGGCTGTTCCCGGACATTGCCCTCGATCCCGGGGTCCCGAAGTCTCTTCGCACAATCGTCAGCGGTGCAGGGCTGACGAGGTGGCGCTCGGCTCTTAAGCAAAGCTTGACAGAAGCTTGTATACTAGGTTAATCGGCACCGCATTGTGCAGAGAACTTCATACGTATGACTTTCGATTTGGTTTTGGCAGACTTCGGACGTGCATGCCGCAATGAACTCATCCTGCAGAAATGCAAACTGAACAGGATGTCTATCAGGAACTCACGTGGGGAAGCTTTGTTGGTTAGCTTACTATCCGAAGCATTGAGGAAAGATTGGCTTGCCGGCTACACCTGGGATTGCCCGCTGGATGTGTGAACGATGTTTTGACGGCGTACTATCACGCTTGATGAACTGGGGGACCTCCATACTCCTTATTGAGAACTCACGGAAGGACAGGCTCAGCTGGCCTGGTCACTTCCTGTCATCGACCTGCATTCAACCAAAGGTAAGGCTTCCAGGCCTAGGGATCGAGAGGACTCGAGAAGTGCTACACGCGCCTCTCGTAACCATATTCATGGTGGTCGAGTTTGTAAATCTATATATTCGACCTGCACAATGTTGCTATAACTACTGCTTACGTACAAGTGATATCGACTGTGAGAATGTCCAGGATGTGAATCCCACCCCCGGAGACGTCTCGCTTTATCACTCTCGGACTATTCACCACTGAGAATGAGGAATACAAGACTGTTGTCACAAATCATACTTTTGTAGATATTAATACTAGTGTACATTACCTCAAACCTGAATACTCCGACTTCCAACTATTCTCCAGCACCAGGCTAGATGCTCGTTGTTATAGAAATCTCTACTCAGCACCAAGCTAATTATACCTTTCCTCCAGCTCGAGAACTCAACAGCAAAGTTGACCGACAACCAAATCGCCAATCAAGCAGTCTCAAGCACAAACAACTCAAATTAGTCCCAAAGTTTCATCGTCAGCACTGCACCAAACCACCCTTCAACGTCTCCTGTGTGTACCATAACGCCCATTACGCATTAGTAGGAACATCACTGCCCGCTTGTTCGGCAGTAGTAACCTCATCGTCAGCGACCTGCTGACCGACAGTTGCTGCATCGCCCGTCAATTGGCCGTCCACGTTGTCACCCGTAGTAGTGACAGGCTCGGTCGTGCTACCAACACCTGCAGCATCGCCAACGGCCTGAACGCCGTTTGAGATCTTGTCGAGCTGACGACGTTGGCGAGGAACAGCGGAGCCAATCTGCTCGGCGGTAGAAACCTCAGTGTCAGCAACCTGGGCACCGGCACCGGCGGCATCCCCGGTGAGTGTTCCGTCGATGCTGTCACCGGCGCTGGTTGCAGGCTGAGTGGTGGACCCGACACCAGCTGCGTTGCCAACAGCCTGAACACCGTTGCTAATCTTGTCAAGCTGGCGGCGGCGTGCGGCAGGTACAGCACCCTTGGTGTTGCTGATGAGAGCCGCGGTGTTATCGAGTGCGTCTTCCGTACCATATCCGACGGCGTTATCAGTGCCAGACAGGATGCTATCGGCGGCAGCACCCTCACCCGCCAACTGACGGCGAGTATTAGGCTTAGTATTGCTAATGAGAGTGGCGGTGTTGTCCAGGGCATCCTCAGTGCCATAGCCAACGGCATTGTCGGTACCGGAGAGCAGGCTGTCGGCAGCCGCGCCCTCGCCAGCCAGCTGACGAGCGCCCAGTGGAGCGGAGAGGGCAGAGCTGCTGAGGAGCAGGATGGTCAGAAGAGCCTTGGTGTTGATGGGGGCCATTGCTGATTGAGGTGGGACTTAGATGAGGTATTGGATTGATCTTGTGAGCTGGCTAAGAACAGGGAAGACAGGCAATGAAGTCCTCGGCAAAAGGGTTTGTGTTCTTGAGGCTGCTTGATGGGTCGTTGGTCGTTGGTTGCTTTGCCGTTGTTCGATGGAGAGAAGACATGTTGTCGATGAGAGAGAAGCCATTTTATAGATACCGGTGTTGTTTCACAGTACACGTCTACGTACATGAAGTATGTCTACCGTAGAGGTAGAGCAGAAAGCGATCCTGGGTGATGTCGAGCGATGCCGGGTGATGTCAATCTTCAAAGCCTAAGCTTTCTCTTGATACTGCTTCGCCTAAGCTTGTAGAAAGCTTGATACCGTATATGCAAGCCACAAGATGTCAAAGACCTCGCGAAACCGCGATCCCGAAGCATTGGGGACACTGAGGCTATGGTTCACACCATAGGAATTGTGCGAATAACGCCACAGTTGTCGTTGGGAGCAATACCCACTCCGTCTATGTCCCCAAACGGGAGGCCCCGCAGCAAATGAAGCAGGCGAAAAGAAGCAAATATGTGGCGAAGGAGCCTTGGATCTCACTTCAGTATGCCAGAGACCCTGATCATGCTCGTATTTTTGGCTTCATGTTCCTTCAGGGCCGGTCGCTATCGGCGGCAAATGGGGTTGCGTGGCTTGCTGAACAGGAGAGACTGACACTGTAGCGTAGGTCTCTGCCGGAAACGTATTCACGAGTATTTGCAAAATGCGCAAAAGGTAGGAGGTACTTAGGCAAGCAGCCACAATAGGCACTGATCAACACTAGGGTATGACAGCATCTTAACCGCACTCGGATTCTGTTACCAATCGTTTGCGAGTTCCACCCCGAAGGAGTCGGTAGAGAGAGTTCTCAAGAACAACCTTGTTCACTATTAGACTTTCCTCAAGAGCCGCCAGAGGCCAACCCGTCAGGATCAGCACACCGCGGGCATGCCCAACAACATGCAGCGCCGAGTAGACCCCCAAAGCCGTTTTAGGAATTTAGCTCACGGTTGGTAGACCAACCTTCAGGTGTCCTCGGTTCTCTGAAGTGGGACCTAGGCGCACAGAGGTCTGTTCATCGCATGGTATGATGAGATGTCGTTAGAAGTTGCGCCATTACTGATCAGGCTTCACGAATCAAACAAAGGAAGACGTGTAATCAGCTTCTGTGGTCCCGCAACAAGTTTCCCCAGAGGAGTTGCCGCTGCCCATGAATCCAGTCGGAACCGGACACAAAATGTCGCCGGATTGGAACTGGTGGCTGCTCGGGCAGTGGAGTACCCTCAGTGTTGTCAATCTGCTGCCTCATGGCGAGTTCTCTACCGCCAGTCAACGAGCCAGGAAGGCCGATACTCGTCTCCCGTGCAAAGTCTTGCATAGAGAGCCCCATGCGGCGCATGTAGGGAGCGGCCCACACGATGATGTCCCTAGAATGCGATGAGTCTCGCTCCAACAGCGCTCTTCGAACAATAATCCGCATAGTAGATATACAGGGTATCACAACAGGATTCCGATCGGCAGGATTGTCACCCACGTGTTGCATGGTCTGGGGACTGGAAGGCTGTTGCAGATCGGCCCTAGGGCGCGTACCCGAATCCTCTACCTCCAGTACGGACGTTGGCGCAGCTGAGATGTTTGTCTCAAAGTCTGCAGAGAAGCTTATGTCCGAGTGGGGAGGATTTGGTCCACTGTTAAAAGCTTCAAAGACATCTGCCTCATCATCGCCAGGGTATGTTTCGATATGGTCTCCAGTGCCTTCGTCATCGCGCAAGGTGACGCCATAAACTCCTGTCTCTTCTTCTTCATCCTCAAGCGTACCGGCGACCTGCATCTCGTAATCATCCTGGAAGTCGTCATCAGAACGGGCTGCGACTTCATTCAGGAAGAGTTCGAGCTCTTGCTGGCCAATATCCACATTGGCCAGCACCCGAGGGTCTCTGCAGAAAATCTGCCATATGCGTCGACCCTCTTGTGCACCTCGTGCGTCAACGATGCCGGAAAGTAGCGTATTGAACACGCCCGGAACAAGATTTGGTGCATTGGTAAACGCATATTTGTCCTTGAAACGCCGAGCGATGCTGACAAGATTTGACCCGGGCAAGGCCTCGAAGACTCGCAGCAAATGGCGAACTTGGTGACGGAATATACGGACCTGGCTCTGGTAAAAATCCCCCTTTGTGCCGTTGTATGTGCCATTGAGCATTTGCTGCATGAGCGACAGTGCTTCGTTCAGGGCGGCATTCAATTGACCGTGCTTTGAACTTGCAAGTGCCTCCTCCAACCGAAGGATAGTAGCTGCAAGCGAAGCTAGATTGTTAGGGCTGTAACCACCAGCGATCGAATTTTGCAACTGCTCAAGTACAAGCATTGCGCGGCTGAAGTCGAGTCTAATGATGTGGGCATCCACAAGAGAACGAAGGAGCTTGACGGCCGGCTTGAAGCGCCACTTGCGGCCTTCTTCAGCGATGCTGTCCAAGATGAAGTCGTCCTTGGTCTCAGGGGCGAGGCGTACGAGAGCCGCAGCAGTTGAGAGCTGACCAAAAGTGTTTCGCGGAATAGAGGGGCCATCGACATCGTCAGAATACACCATCCACTCAGCAATATGTAATTGAGCATTGCTCGTCATATGTTGTAAGAGGGCAGCCATTTTATAGGAAGGCAGTTCCCCGTGAGAGTCTGCGTATTCTTGTCTTGCTGCCACAGAACGCACGTCAAAGAAGCCTGCATCTGCGTTGCGCGGACCGTGCACGAAAGCTATGATGCTCTGGAGCTTGACCTTATCGATCTGATACTGTAGTTTCGAAAATACATCGATCGACTGCAAATACAAGTCGTTGTGGATGTAAGCTGTGAGGACTTGATGCGTGAGTCCCGCATTCAGGCGACTTTGATTGACTATCGCTTCGTAGTCAAGGCTGATCTTAGCTTCTGCTCGTGGGGTGACCGATTCGAGGTTCCGCATTTCCTCCATCACCTGTGACCACATATCCAACATCTTCGGCGTCCCTTCGATATCAATCTTCTCGGTTTGAAGAAGTCGCACGGAGAGATAATCGAAATACTCAGCAGGCAAACTATGCGGCTCGAGAAATGAGATAAGACTCTGTATGTTCTTGGCACATCTTTCCAGAAGCATAGGCTTCAACAGGTGGCCTATGTCAGAGGCCGTCACGAGGCCCTCTGCCAGCGCCAATACAACCTCAGCACTGATGGTGCGTGACGGGATATTGGCTAACGGCTGCTCCTTACTATAGCCTTCGATACGACCAACAGTCCCCCCCGTGCGGGCATTGGCACGAGACCAATCCACGAGAGGCACTGAGCGTCCAACATCATTTGATGTCCAGTTCACTGCATACCACGGCTGATCAACGTCTTTGTTCAGCTGTGATATGATCTTGGCGCCTGTCGAAGCATATCTGCCTTCCACACAGCACCAGAGAACAAATTCGAGCCAGACTTCTGGGCCCAGGTCGAGGACTTTGAGCCTGAAGCGACCCCCAGGAGGATCTCTGGAGAGACTTTCGAGCGGTGTGCCTTTTTCGGCTGCACGAGTGATTACCTCCTCCTGCTGAGACCGCCATACTGCGTCAGATAAAGTGGTTAGAATGCGAGACGAGAGAAGATGAAGTATTGGAGGCCGATTGACGGTCGAAGAGTATGGGGTGGGCTGATATGTGTAGACAGTCTCCGGAACCAGGTTGTAATGGTGGATCTTCGCCAATGCGCGATAGACGGTCGACATGATGTGTTGGGATTTTGGTCCGCCAAGTTTTGCCGCAGTAATGATCATGCGGCCGAGCGAGAGCCATATTTGGCGCATCGTTGAGGAGGTGTACACGGAGTCCTCATTTGTGTGGTCGCGGTAGCGCTCCTCAAGATTGCTGTATCGACACACGGACTGCACTGGTGCATCAACCTCGAACTTCTGATGTAATTCGCCATTCAACAGAGATGCAGGCCAGTGGATGTTTGAGGGCAGCTCGTCGGTTGGACGAAGGCGAGTCGATACATCCTTCAGAAGTTCGTCGATCAGGTGCAAAATCGCGTGATCTCGTCCGTACCTGACCAGCATATACTCCAATACATCGAGATCGTTCTCGCCGAAACGGCGCGCTCTATCGATGATTTGTACGGCTTCTCCTATATGCTGATCTGCTGACGGTCTCTGCGTATCCGAGAAGCGGAGCGAGGGCGGTAAAAAGCGCTCGAGTTGTCCCATCCATGAATCCGGAAGACGGAGTTCTGCTTTCCCTGGCTGCTTTGCAGGACCATCCTTCAATCCGGACTTCTTTTTTGTCTGTCCCTTTTCCGGCCGTGATCTATTCTGGGAAGCAGTCGACCATGGCCCATGGCTCGAGAAATTACGAACGCGTAAATTGTTGCCATGCTGGATGAGAGACGCAGCTCTGGTGGCGCCGGGTACTCGAAACGCAAAAGAACGGACAGGAGGCTTAACGAGGAGCGCAGTTGACTGGGGCCATAGCAGGCGAAGGTTCATGTCATAAGGGAGGAGCGATATCGAGGCCGTAGTCGTACTCGAGCATCTCGAAGCTCAGAGCAGTGGCGACGGCGCGTACTTAGTGAAGAAAGTATGAGCGAGAAAGTACTGGCGCATGATGTCGTAGACTTCAAAAGGTTGAATACGACAGCCTTGCAGCAAATCTACGCCAAGCCAGTCAGCCTGGTGCTGCTCGGCCAATCTACAAGTACATGGAAATCCTTTCAGTTGTACAGGTACTCGATACACATCATTGCTTCGCGCATCTCAAAGTCGCGACCCCCCGACCGTAACATCAAGTCTGGTCATATCCTTATCCGAGCTCTGAGACTCTCGACCATGGCATCGTCCTAGCTGTCTTGAATTTCCTGAAAACGGACTCGGGACCTCTGAAGCATTTATCCCTCAACGCCTTGAGTTGGTGTGGAAATCATACGGTGAGTATGGCATCTGCCTAGTCTGTAGAAGCAGCCTTTCCAGACTGGTAGACATGGTCGGCCGCTGGAACACACAGACTTCCGAATCTGGCACTATGCTCTTCACTATGCTCTTTGTTACATCCGCAACCATGTCTTGTTCTTCCCAGCCACCGATCTAGCTGTCTCGTGAAAGCCCTAGGTGAAGTGTCTATTCTTACTTTCAGTCCTGCCCGCCCAGGGGGTCGCGCAGAAGGCAGATTGGGGCTTCACTCGGTTGTCTCACTTTTCAACATCACTTGTTGCTGGCCGATTGTGGTGTGGCCATAAGTCTGGAAAGTTCCAGTCACCTGATCGTTCTATATCAACCACCGCAATGTCCGACTCTTTCCGAGCGCTGTACAATCGCATGCAGCAACGCCGCCATTTCAGATTCAGGTCTGGTCCGCCATCCACTCGACTTACATCAGGAAATATGTCCAGCATACCACCCTCCGAGTGCCGAGCTTGTCAACTCGGCCTCTTCTGCTACGACCATGCGAAGAAGCCCAGTGACGATGAGTCCACGCAACAGAATCAGCCACATGCACAACCAAGCCGCTCCAATCAACCCAGCAACCGCCCCGAGAGCGATCAAGGGGCCCAAGAACGGTCTGCGCCGCCAAGGACGAGCATTTTCGAACGATCACAGCCCGACGACAATTCGAGTAAAGAACTACGACCGCAGCAAACGCAGCCACCCATGCACAATCCCAGGCTACCTCATATCCAGGTTAATGGTGTCGAGATCCCGTACTGGCGTACGATGGCTTAATGCGATTGCTGGCCACCCTCCGTGCCCTCGAACTGTTAAGGCTTCGAGATACCAAAACTCACCTTGACCTCATACTGCCAGGGTTGTCAAGGAACGATACGATAAGGCCCATGCTCAGAACTTCACCCAGGGTCAAGTAGAATTGACAGGCTTTCCAATACTTTTCATGTTTTTTATGTCACATCTGAGCCTCGCTGCTCCACAACTGACCGCTGACTCGGAATCTCGAGGTCAATATCACATTCCTCGGCCACCCGTGACCTCCAACGTCCTGCAAACTTGTTAGCGTGACCGGTCCCCTGTCGTCCAAGGAACCACTTACTGCCCACTGACATAGGAGAACAACGGGCTACACAGCGCCAGGATCGAGCTGGCAGCCTCCGTCGCGCTTCCCGGCCGACCCAGCGGAATATCCTTGTAAGGCTGCTCATCGCCTCCCTTGCGAGTCGCAATCTGCGCGGTCGGGATGCCGAGTGCAACCCTCTGGCCCTCGGGTGTGGTAATCTGCAATCGCGTCAGTCCCATCTGTGCCTTACCCACCACGCACGCCGTTCACAACTCACATAAGCGCCGGCCTCCTTCGCCCTCGTCAACCTGGTATCGATATGCCCAAACGCGACCGTGTTGCAGCGCACGCCAAACTGGGGACCCCACTCCTTCGCGACCGTCTTGCTCAGCCCCACCACACCCGCCTTCGCCAGACTGTAGTTCGCCTGCCCGGCATTGCCGTGCGTGCCGCTCGTGCTGCTGACGTTGACAATGGCGCGCGGCTCCCCATCCTTGACGCGGAACCACGGGGCAGCGGCACGAATCAGGCGGAAGGGCGCCGTGTTGTGCACGCCCAGGATGGTGTCCCACTGCTTGTCGGTGATCTTGTGGATCACGCCGTCCCACGTATACCCGGCGTTGTTGACAATGTAGTGGATCTTGTTGCCGCCGAACTCAGCCGCCTTCTTGACCAGCACGTTGATGTAATTGGGGTCGGTGACGTCGCCGGGCACGGAGATGGCGCGTCCGGGCGTGGCGGCGTTGATGGCCTCGGCGACGCCCTCGGCCTTCTTGGAGTCGACGTCGCAGACTACGACTTTGCAGCCTTCGTTGGCGAAGAGGCGCGCGGCTTCGGCGCCGATGCCTTGGCCGGATCCGGTGATGCTGCAGAGTGGTGTTAGTACGCGCAGGGAAAGGAGGGCGGAAAGCGTATTGGCTAGGGTCATCATACATAGCGGTCTGGCCAGCCAGCATACCCTTTGGCCAGTTGAGGTGGCCAGCAATCTGCTGGGCGCGTTGAGCCATTGTTCGTGAATGCGGGGTGGTGAGTAGTGGTAGAGGGTATGATGCGGAGCTCAAGGATCTTGGGGGTTTGAATCGCTTGAGGGCAACGTGCAGGCTCTTACGGATAGTACCACTAGCTATTCAGTGAGAAACAAAATCAGCGTAAGTGATAATGGACGATAAAAAGTGAAGGTCGAGGGAGCTGCGACCCGGTTGGAGAAAGATCGTCTGGCGTGAGATGCCGAGGTTCCCCGGAAGATGCCGAGAGTGATACGCCGAAACGCTCGGTGTTGACGATGCTACTCCCCGGGTCTCGCTGTTGATACTGTACAGACTGTGCCTTCACACGGCATTCGCGGAGCTTGTAGGCTCTGTCTTGGTTAATTCAAAACGGCATCAAATGCTACTGTAGTTCTACCTGGGCATCTAATGGCCTAGGCGTCATCTCAAACTACGCCAAGAAATCTCAGGCAGTGAATATAATACCTCCACTTTCACTGCCTGAGCAGACCTCATGCTTCTCAGATCCTCATCGACCTGTTGAGATCGAATTGGAACCCACAAGACAGCTGCGGAATTTGCGAATACCGGTCCTGCAGCAGCCTCCGAGTATTCTGCAGTATCTGCACGTACGTGACGTTCCACTGATAGTCGTACTTCATGGTTTCCAAGAAAGCCCAGGACATGGCACCTGGGCCTTTGTCAGCACGTAGATGTCTCTTGGTCAGGCGCATAACTCACCAACATGTTTCCCCATAATAAAGGCATCGGCACTCGTTTGTTCGTCCTTACACCCACTCAACATGAATACACTTCTCTGCTCGTCATCCAAGCTCTGCAGCTTGTACAGCCCCTGCTCGTCTTCACCGCCCTCCTCGTCGAACTCATGTCTCAATCCTCTGAAGAAGTCCGTCGCTCCTGCGAGCAAATGCTTCGCAGCGCCCACTTTTTCGATGGTGAAACCGCCTTCGATTAAGCCCTGGGCCTCACCCATCAGGTGCATCCCGGCTCTGAAATTGTCCATCAGACTGATCCGGCCGTCCCCTTCAGCTTTATACACCCAAGGCAATTCCAGCGCGCTACCACTGTGGCAGCAGTCGAACACCACAAACAATGTGCTGCCCGGTGCTAGTCGCCTAACCAGAACTCGGTGCAACGTTCCGGAATCGATCTGTCCGTACCGCTGATAGTCAACTGGCACGATAGTGTCATCATAGCCAGAGCTTCTCTCACCCGTAGGATCGGGGACCTGGCCGCCGTGGCCGCTGTAGTGCAGGAAAAGAAAGCAGTCTGGTTCCGAAACCAGCCAGTCCATAGCCGCAAGAATATTGTGGCCGGTGGGATAGTAAGGGCCAGGGCCGCGCGACTCGGTCATGACTACCATGTTCTGTGGGTGAGTACTGTACCCACGGGAGATGAGGAAGGAGGCCATGTTCTGCACGTCGGACTCGCACCCTTGCAAGGGCTGCGGCTGGCCGCGGTAGTTGATACCAATCAGGAGGGATTTTCGACGGCCCGCCATGCTGAAGAGTAGTAAATCGTGAAGCGGCGGCCAATGGTAAATTGATGTGTATGCAAATCGCTTAAGGCTGCAAATGATCAAACGATGCTGCAAGAGGTGAGGAGCCCGCCGGCAGCGAGCCACCTTTACCAGGGACAAAACGTCCTACCTAAGCTTCTCTTCAACATAGCAAAACCGCTCTTTCAATGTCGACCCAGGGGGGTGGACGCGCGGCTATTTTAGGCACAACGTTTGGCTCAGCTGAGACTATGGCATTGACTCGGAGATGAGGTCATCCTTGACGGCCACCATGATCTACAAACCGCGCAATGTCCCTCAATAACGCCGAGTGTGGAGTACGTTAATGACCATCTTTGCGATGTTTAAGTCTTTGATAGTGGTGTGTGGCGTTACACTCTGCCGTTGAGCCAGCATCGACCAGTCCGCACGATGTGGGCGAGCAGGGGCTTGGGAGTCGACGCCACAATCGTATAGGGCCGTGGTACGTGGAAAGTTTACCCAAGGTATTGTGCGGGTCTAGTTGTATGTCCTCAGGCTTCTGGGGTAAATTGAGTCGCATTCGGTAGTAAGGACCTTTGTCATATCGATTGGACAAGGGTATACAGAACTCGAAAAGGGAGCAGCTGATGTTAACGTCCATCACTAGCCAAGAGCCTGCGGCGAGGAACCGCGGACTCTCTCCGCTGATCACTTCTTGACTGCAAGCGACCATGCGTCACTTTGATAGCAACTACGGCAGGCCGGCCCATCTCATCGTCCTCAATTATTTTGGCAACGACGCTCTTGGTCAAGAAGTTGCTTCTTGAGCTGCACTGAGAACCCTCAGGACCTCTTCATTCCCATGCTCTCAGACCTCCCAATCACCGAGCATGGCGTCAACAACATTGACATACTCTAGCCAGCGCTATGAACTACAACACACTACTCGAGTCTCACCTCCGAACTCGATAGACCCAGGAACCCATGACACTATGCCGGTCACCAAAGCCCATCCTTCCCTGGTTCAAAATCGCTACGTCGTTCTCGGTGCCGCGTGTATGGTCCTGTTCATTGGCATTGGGACGGTCAATACTTTCGGCATTTTCGAAGAGCACTACACGAACCACACTCTGCGCAATGAACCACCTGAGCGGATTATTGTCATAGGCTCCACAGCCGCCTCGCTCTATATGATCCTCGGTGTCTTTGCTGGTCGTGCCGCCGACTTGATCGGGTATCGCCCGTGCGTCTTTATTGGGTCCGTGCTGATGGCTGGAGCCAACTTCGCCGCCTCTATATCCACTACCTATGCACAGCTTTTGGCCAGCCAAGGCGTCATGTTCGGTCTCGGCCTTGCCTTCGCGTATCTTCCCGCCGTCTCGATCAGCCGAGCGCTCTTCCCAGGCTCTCACGGCGTGGCAAATGGCGTCGTGGTTTCCGGGGGCGCTGTGGGAGGTACCGCCTTACCGTACGTCGTCCGGACACTGATTGCTTCACGCGGGCTGGGAGAGTCCTTCCGCATCCTCGGATACATCTCAGTAGCTGCGCTGGCGCCGGCCTGCCTTCTCCTGCGTCCTCCCACACCCACCGTTCCGATCTGGAAGCGCCAGGCCGTCAATGGCCGCCGTCCACCTATCTTCGATCTGTCGCTCTTCCGCGACGCTCGATTTACATCGCTCCTTACCGCTTGCGCAGTCGCTATGTTCGGTTTTCTCCCGCGCTACTTCCTCCTACCCTCGTCGGCGATCGCCCGCGGAATCTCGCCCACCTTCACCGCCTGGCTACTTGGTCTGATGAATGGCCTTTCAATCATCGGCCGTGTTGGGGTCGGATGGTATGCAGATCGCTATGGCAAGGTATCAGCATTAAATCTCAGTTTCATACTCTGCGGAGCAGGGCACTTGGCGTTCTGGTTGCCCGGCGTGATGGTGCCGCACGCGCAGGGACAGACAACGATCACGGCCTTGTTCACATCCTTCGTCGTCTATTCGGGCATTTTCGGCAGTGGCTTCATCGCATTGTTCCCAGTAGTGGTCGCGCATCTGTTCGGCGCGGAAAACCTGGCGAGTAAGCAGGGTTTGCTGAACACGGTGGTCGGCGTTGGTGTGTTAGCAGGTCCCAGCGCGGCTTATGCTGTTGTTGGGGTCGGAGAAGGGAGGCGATGGGAGCTTGGAATAGTCATGGCCGGCTCCTTCATGCTATGCGGTGGCTTGCTGTTGTGGGTACTTCTCTCCCGACCACTAAAGCTGGCGGAGAGGACGAGGAGAACGAGCGTTTGAGGAAGTTCAGCGGCCAAAGATTCGTCTATTTTATGGTTGTTGGCGGATCTATGGTGGTCCATACGTCCCGCTATAACTACAGGCGTGCAAACACGCCGGCTTTCCTGCTCTCGTTCAAGGGTCTCTGCGCAACCTACAAGTCATCAGCAATTTCCACCTACAGTCGCGAGCGTGCTTCTGCGAACTTACAAAGAAAGCCTTGCCTCCATGCTCAGTCTCAAAAGTAACTGATCAAACCCGTTAGCAGAGACCACAGAACCACACCTCAACGACCTTCCCCCCACCAACATCACTCCCATCAGCAGCAATAACTTACTCGTCGAGTTCTTCGGGATGTAAAACACATCTCCCGCCCTGCAGGTGGCCTTGTTGCCGTTGCTGTCCGACAGCACAAACGTCCCCGACACCACATACTTGTACTCGGAGAAGCCAAAGGTGGTGGTGGCCTTGCAGCCCTTCTCGAGCGTGAAGAAGCCGGAGGTCATGGGCGCCGAGGGGTCGTCTTTGATGCTGGAGGCCGTGTCGCCGATCTGGATGTCCCGGTGCTCGTTGTACTGGTGGAGCTTGGCGTCCGAGGCGGACGAGAAGGTCTTGAGTGCGGGTGCCATGGTTTTTGAGACTGGGTCAATTTGGAACAGAGGGCATTGAGAATTGATGCATATCGCTGTAGATGCAGTATGTATAAGTAGATCGTTGTGTTAGCTTACATGCTGATATGGTGGAGCCGTGCTGGCCGGGCACTTTATTACCCTGTTTGGGCAAGGCATGCGGTGGACAACTTGTGCTCGCAAACCTGCATATAGCCACGGATCGATGCGCTGCAGGACTCTCAAGCTATGAGCACTATGCAAGTAAAGAACGATCGTACTGTGCTTTTTGTATTAAAAATAGTATTGACGCCATACTCTGTCGTAATATAACATACTATATTCAGAACTGGCTGCGTAAGAAGGCAGAAATGAGGACGTCGTTACTACGCTGCCCGGACGTGATCCGAAACACCCATTTTTTGCCCTATCCACGTTTCTGAGTGTGAACCGTCTCTTTTCCGAAGCCGCTGGGCTTTATATGCAACACTCTGTTCCCGATTCTGCGGTGTGCCCTAGGATGTTCCTGCTTCCACCACCTTGCACGTCAACGTCAGTCCATCTACAACTCACGCGATCGTATGTCGTGAGCCGTACTCTCGTCTTGGGTATTCCCGGAAAACACATTGTCTCGCTTGAAAAACGGCCTGGTCTAGCCTTCGTGAGACGTCCAGTTTCCTTGCTTGGGCCACTTTATACTAGGCGGTAACAGCGTGGCAGCTGTGCTTAGAGACTGGGCCAACACCGTCTTCGGTTGCGTCCAGAAAGGGTCGCATGCCGTCAGCCGGCAGATTGGGGTATGACGTTTTGCCTGGGACCAAGTTTCATCCTCCTGCTCGCCATTCACAGATACAGAGACTCTCCAAATCGCCAATAATGGCGTTTTCGTCACGCTTTTTGAGCGAGAGACCTCTGCTACCTGGCGTCGATCGCTTTGCGCTGGGCGGGCTGTAGTCTTCAAATTCTGCTTCATCGATCTCGATCGTGTCAGCCCCAACATATGGTGTTACTGACCAGTCTTGTTGCACTTCCATCTGTTGACAATATGGTTCGATATTATCGTGAGGCTTTCGCTTCTCAACCATCTTGATCATCCTGGGGAAACTTGGATGGGTTCCTTGGGCAGGGAAAGGACTTGAGCTTTGGGCTCTCTTGCGGCGTGCTTTGGGGCCGAACCATTCCGATGATGTTGGTGAAGGGGCAGGTGTGGTATATGCTTCTAGCGGCGATCCTGACTTTGTGGGCGTGGTCATCGTTGAGGGTGTCGAAGGTGAAGCCGTCTTGGGGTATCCGCTCATGACGGCGGCGGCACTGACAGTACTTGATTCCACGTCCTGCTCAAGGAAAATCCAGAATTCTTCGACCGTCTGGTTCCAGAAGCAGTACCAAGGCTTGTCGCCTTTTTCAAGATATTCATCGGTATACGTAGGACTGCGCTGTTGAAGTTTATGCTTGCCTTCGGATCGCTTGTCGAAATTGTTGGGGTCGAGGTAACTTTCGGGTACTAGTAGATCTGTCAGCGGTGATGATGCTCAGCCAAGGATTGGACTCACATATAATAATCTTGTCAAACAGATGGCTGAAGAACATCGCCACACCGTAGGCACGATTGTCAATGTCTTCGACAGGCTGCATTGCAAACTTTGTGCCATTAAAATCGGGCGGCTGCGGGCCATAACGAAACCGTTGGGGAATGAGTGAGTAATCATCGAACTGGATGCTGAGATCGCTGCCCTGGTTGACGGCTGGGTCCTCTTCCAGAACAGTGATGCCAAGGGATGCAACGCCAGTGTTCATACAATCCCACACATTGCTAAGCGCTTGATTCGTGACGCACTTCTCGACCTGACCGATGTTACTAAGAGGAATGGTGTAGTGTCCCGTGGGGCAGGGTGGTGTCGAAGGACCCGTTGTTACAGGGTCAGCATCGAGCCAGACAGTGGTCGTGGCTGACGAACCCGCTTTAGCGTGATCAACACCTTTCCTGTTGCCGACCACACCACCAACGACACCCCCGACCGCAGCGGAAACGATGATGACGACGACCAACAAGATCAAGATGACGAGGGGGATGCCACAACATTTTCGCTTTTTGCTGCGTTCGTATAAACCCTCTTTCCTAGCTACCTCGCCTTGATCTTGTTCCTCGGCTGGTGGATTCAACTCTAATTCGGAAGTAGTCTGATTTGGCGACAAGGTCGAGGCATCTGTCGTCGCTGATGATGGGACTTCGTTGGCGGTGTTATTTTGGTTGATGTTGGCCATGTCACCCTTAGCGACGACGTTGTCAGCATATCTTGTATATGGTGGCAGTTGCTCGACGTGACCATCTGAGCCTACGATGTCACCAGTGTCGTTACCTGATGACGACGAGCCTGACTGGAAACTTGGTGTAACGTTTGCAAACCCTAGCGGCGGTACGACAATGGAGTTCTCGTCATCGTCTTCTTCTGGAACGGCGTTCTGGTACATGCCGTATGGGTGTTCTGGGCCACCTTGCGGCACGAATGGTCGTTCCACTGGCCGGACTGTGGATTCACTGGCAATGCTGGAAGCTCTTGTGACTTGAGGGTACAGTGCATATGGTTGACTGGGAGCAGTAGGACCATTGTAAGGGCTTTGAGGTCGGTTGACTCGTGATGATATGCTGAGTGAGCTCCGTGTGTCAGTGTCGGAGGTGGCATCGCGCTGAGAACCATCGGCCGGTAACGGTCGTTTCGACGTTGAAGGGAGCCGCTGTGCAGACATATGGGGAGGAAGGGCGGAGATAGGAACGGTGGATGCTTGGGGATCGTCTGAGGCGTCGCGAGGGCCAATCGTGAGGTCTACAGAGTCCTGGATGGAATCAACCGGAGTGATGCCACCAGAGTCCGAGTGTTCGAGGGCATATTCGTCACTGAAAACATTGGTTGTCTGAGTGTTGCCAGACGCGATGGAATTTGGACGCGACGATTGACTTCCAGATCTCCTGACTGCGTCGTCGCCAGGAGTAGAATTGGACGGTGCCATCGGGGCTGTGCACCCAGCCAATTCAAGCGAAGTGGAAAGCCCCGGTCTATCGCAACGCGGCGGCGATAAGGCTCGATATAGGTCGAGAAGGAATATCGTGCGATGGCATAGGATTTTTCGGGCAACGGCGTCGAGCGACTTTCGTGGTGAAATACAGGATATTGAATGAGAGCGGATGAGATTGACGTCGAAGAGGAGGACGGGCGAGGGAGAGGAGCAGGGCGGTGCAGGAGGAGAGCAGATCGCCCAATAGCACAGGCGCAGGTCGCGGGTGTCATTGGGAACCAGCGTGGGCCAGGATAAACTTTCCTTGGCTATTCCGGCGCTGGGAGTCTGCGAGATCAGCCAAAGGCCCTAGAGAAAGGTGCTCGGGCGTCCAAAACGGGGATCCGGCATGCGAAATTCTCTCCCGCTGACCCTCCACTTCTCTCTAGCCCGCCAGATCCGTTGTAAGAAACCCGGATGCACAAAAGTCGGGCCCGTCTGCTGCTAGCCTAGCATGTCTCTTGTGTTCCTCTATGCACATGGCAAGTAAAGGTCTCCCGCCTTCGTTCTGATTTGCCGTTACGGCTGTGCGCCGTCGAACTCGATCCCCGGTTGCTACAGCGTTCGCCACTTACCACTGCATTGCGCTGCGGCCGCTATTCCCCTCATAGATTTACTTCTTGGGTGCATACTTGGCATTGCCGTCATCGATTGCATTGGTGCAGATGTATTTCGATCGTCTGGTGTGTGTTGCTGATCACTCGTGAGCATCCGCAAGGGAAGTTCCTGGCTCTTGCGCACGCTAGATTTGGTATTCAGCCTGTGCAATCGGAAGCGAAACCCAGCGTTCAGTGGCTGTAACATTAGCCGGATTACGATACGCGACATTCGCGACGTTCGCATTTCGGACTTCGGACGAGACTTCTTTTCCCTGGTATCATACCCTTCACCATGTCTGCAGTTTCAAGTCACGCAGAGGTGCAGAGCCTGCTGCGCTTCTTGACGAAGGATGCGAGGCTCCCGCTGGGCGAAGCAATGTCGATGATCGGTCCTTTGAAAAAATTACAGCTGCTTTCGCCTGAAGCTGTAGCTCAAGCGCAACACGCCGACCTCAAGGTCGTATTTACTGATGACAAGATCTTGAAACAGGTCGTGAATGCTGCAAAGCGTGTATCGAACCCCACCAAGCGCGGGCCGGGCAAACGTCGTGCTGTTCCTCGACACAGCGATGCTTCCAACACCGCAGATGAGGAAGCTGCGTTAGCCCTTCCTACCGCCGAGGTGACTGAGGATGACCTGAGCACCATTCGCATTGAGACGAATCGAGCCCCGCTCTTCCTAGCTTTTGCTCTTACAGTATTGGCCTACACGCAGGCAGACCAGCCACTATCAAGCAGACTATCTCTAGCGCAGGCAGTCGTGAGTGCCGGTGCCCAGAGCAAAGCAAAATATATCGGCCTCACAACAGACAGAACAGCAGAGGAGGATGGATGGGCACAAGGGCAGCCTAAGATCCGTATCATGGGCCGTGACATTGCTGTGATGAGAAGACATGTTCCCGTTCCTGCTGCCACATCCGATGACAGCCAGGAGACTATCAGAGCCGTCGAGCCTTCTCATAACTCATTCTGGGGTATTGACCTCGATGCCCTGCGCAAGGCCAACGGGCCACTGATCGCTGATAAAAACACCAAGAGCCCGGCTGGTCCGCCGATACATACACCGCAGGCTGCGAGGCAATATCTACTTAAGTCTATGTTGGTCATTGAGAATGGTGAGAACGGAGGCGAACAACAGTCGCCAAATTCCAAGAAAGTCAAGAAGCCGACCGCAGCAGAGATAATGGCCAGGAAACAGGAAGCAGCCGCGATGGTACTCAAAGCTATTGACATTGTCTGCAACTCCTGGAAGGACACATTGACAACTGACGAGCTCGACCGACGAGCACAGAACTGGTATGCTCTGGTGAGACCCGATGTCGAGCAAGGCAAAGCTGGCTGGGGCCAGCGCGGGCAAGTTGAACTCGCCCAAATCTTGAGACTCAAACGAACGCCATAAAACCTAGCCGTAGGCTGCACCAATGAGTAACAGTACGAATCTTGAACATTCAATCTTTCAAGAATCATTGCTCTTCTTCGGATCGCCGACATCACCTTTCCAGTAGGTTGGCGGCACCTGATCTTGGTTAGGTGGTGTTGTGCTCTATGTGAAAACCACTCACCTTGTTATCATCTTCCGAAAGTTGATTCACGCTCTTGTCAGCCCTATCCCGCATTTCTTCATTGTGCTTCTTGACCTCTGGATTGTCTGATTCTGAGGACGACTTCGGTTGTTGTATAGCAGGACTACCTTTGCCGCTGCTAGCTCCATCATGAGAAAGCTCCGTAGACGAGGGCTGACCAGAGGATGAGGCAGATCCCGAAGACGAGCTCTCTTGACCCTTGCTGGCAGGAGCGTCCGGTCCAGGGTGTTCAAGGTCACGTCTCGGGTTTGAATTGCTTTCTTGGTAACCAGAATCACCGCCACCGTAAGACTGATGTGCAAAGCGGCGCGGGATTGAGGTGTGGGCGGGAGGCAGGCGGACTCGAGAGCAACGAGCGACTGTGCGGAAGACACTCATGATTGATGTTTGGAAATTTGGAAAACGTGGAAGATCTTGAACCTGCGGCCGTGTAGCTGCTACTAAATAGAAAGTATTTGACAGTCCCGACACTGATATCCGTTCCAGACCTGTGATGTCATTATTTTTACGGTCTGATCCGCATATTACAAGCTATAGCCTCCGAGTCGCGTCAATATCGTGAGTGTTACTTGTGAAGCAAGGGGTGTAGGTACGCATATGGTGCGCACTACTTGACAGACGTCGTTGCTGGCGCGTGTTTAGCATATACTGCAAAGTAGTCGACGCTGGCGAAGGTTCCCCAGACGGAGAAAGCTTCCGCGTTGCCGATGACGTCTTAAACGGTTGCTGTGAGGACACAGCGCCTCCACAGAATGGCCTGCGGATGGCTGCAACTCGATGCTTCATTGGCGGAAGTCGCGAACAGAACGTCACTGTTCGTCAAGCAAGCCTGGTTTGTCCCCTCTGCCTGTTGACCTTTTCATACAAAACCACTTGTCATCTCGCAAATTCTTTCTACCCACCACCTGAATTTCAAACTCTCTGGATCCCAGCCTTACCCACGATGAGATTCACACACTTCCTCGTCGCAGGCCTCGCCTCGACCGTTGCCGCCAGCACTTGGTTCAGCAAGGCCGGTGAGTTTCGTACGTTGGTACCAAAAATTAGCCACTAACATTAGTAGCCTACAACAAATGGCACGAAACTGAGCTCGAGCGTTGGCTCTCGGATCATGATATCCCGTACCCAACACCAGCAGACCGTAAAGACCTCGAAGACCTGGTGAAGAACAACTGGCAAAGCCGTGTTGTCGATCCTCTCAGCACCGCTGGCGACCAGACCACCAACTCCTACGATTCCGTCAAGGACTGGATCTTTGACAGGTAAAGCCTTGTACTGCCTCATATGTTATATTGCTAACACGTCGCAGCTGGACCGAGTCACAGCTCAAGTCCTTCCTAGACCATAACAAGATTACTCCTTCCCAGCCAAGAACCCGTGACGTCTACTTGACTAGTGCCCGTCAGAACTACGACTCCATCGCGAAGAAGCTCGGAGAATACTCTGCCTACCCTGGCGACTGGTTGTACTCAACCTGGTCTGACTCTGATCTCAAGGAATTCCTTGATTCTCATGGATACCCCGCTCCGCAACCCTCCTCTCGCGACAAGCTCATTGCCTCTGTCCGCCGCAACTCTCGTCTAGCTTCGCTCAATGTCCAGGCTGCTGCATCATCTGCTAGCGGCTCCGCTGCCTCAGCTCAAGCTAGCCTCAGTGACGCCCTCTTTGATGCTTGGTCTGATAGCAAGCTCAAGGAGTTCCTCGATGAGCACGGAGTTCCAGTGCCTCAGGGAAGCAAAAAGAACGAGCTCGTTGCTCTCGCCCGCAAACACCGTGCTAGCCTCGTTGGTAACCAGGCCTCCTCTGTTTCAGGTAGCGCTGCTTCTGCGTTTGGTGCTGCTACTACTCGCGCCGGCAACGAGTACGCCAAGGCCTCAGATGATGCTTCTCTGGCCGCAGAAGATGCCTTCAACAATGCTGTCGACACCTGGTCCGAATCGCGCTTGAAGGCCTTCCTCGACGCCCGTGGCGTACCTGTTCCTCAAGGCAGCAAGAAGGACGAGCTCGTAAAAGAGGTTCGTCTCAACAAGCACAAAGCCCAGAGCGGTTGGTCTGCATGGACGTTCGACACATGGACAGTCGAGAATCTACAGAAGTACCTCCAGGCCCGCGGCAAGGACAGCAAGAAGACTGCCAAAGCTTCCCGTGATGATCTCGTCAAGCAGGCCCAGGATGCGTATGCTTCGGCATCTAAAACTGGTGGCAGCGAGTATGCCTCCGTGACCAACTACCTGGCTTCGCAAACCGATGCCGCCAAGGACACCACCTTCGACACCTGGTCGGAGAGTGACATCAAGCACTACCTGGATAGCTATGGCGTCAGCAACTACCAGGGTTCCAACCTGAACGAACTTCGTGCCGAGGCCCGCAAGCAGTACAACTTCTTCAAATACGGAACCTCGACTCCGTCGGGCACCATCTTCGAGCGCATTAAGAGCGGTCTCCAGTGGATTCTCGGCCAAGCTTCAGCTGGCGCTCAGACTGGCAGTGTCCAGGCTTCCAAGTCTGCTAGCTCTGCTGCTTCAGTGGCTTCCAAGAGCGCGACTTCAGCTCGATCGGAGCTGTGAACTGGCTTCAAATACGCTCTACATTAGTGGAGTGATGATGCAAGGATCCATGGGTCATACCAAAATGGTTGGTTTGGCGTGCTAGGTAACTTTGGTCTGGCCTTTTCAGAGTGGCGCATAACGAAAAATCGTGCGCTAAGTAGCGTTAGATGGGACAGCTTTTACCCAAAGGTTTCCGTAGTACGATACCCTCAATGGAATGAATGATATGATAGTCATCAAAACTGTGACAACGATTCGGACTGCATTCGAACAAGCTCTGCAGGTGGGTCTTGCTTGGTCAAGACAGAACTAGGGTGTAGCGAACTGGAGGAAGAAGTATCGTATGAACTAGTCAGAATTGAGGAGAGTTGGAGGCCACAATTGAAACCCCATCCGACGGAAGCTCCTTTGATCCCCTTATGGCAGGAAGCCTGCCTTTTTCGACATATCCGCCTTGGCTTTCAACCGGGGTTTAGACTCGCCAGTGACCTGACCTGGTTGGAATTGCCCCACCGCGCAGGTGTTCCTGGGCTTGCGCGGAATATCAACCTGCCTCTGCGCCACGAACAAGACCTTTTCCTTTACCGCTGTCCCTGGACGTCCCATTCATCATGGCAACGAGCGGTGTCACCGACACCTCTACCACTGTCTCCGTAATCTCACAGACTGGCAGCCCCGACGGCATTCCACCTCGTACATCTTCCATGCTCACCTTCCGTCTTACCTCTCACTGACTTTCCATGCTCAGTCCTCCGCGAGCGCCAGCTCCTCGCACAAGACACCTTCTACTGGCTCTTCACACCCCTGAACGTCTCCCTAGTTCTCCTCGTCGTCACGCTCCTGTACCTCCGCTTCCGCCCCGCTGCCCCAGTCGAGCTACCCACCGGCCCACCAGCCACTGTTTTCCGCACCTTCACGCCACGGACACTACTGCCCAACAACGGCACGAAAGACCAGCCAGTGTATTTGGCAGTCAAAGGGAAGGTGTACGATGTGACATCTGGAAGGAACTTCTATGGACCTGGAGGGCCGTATGAGAACTTCGCCGGCAGGGATGCCACGAGAGGACTGGCGTGCCAGAGCTTTGATGAGGAGATGTTGACAAAGGATTTGGATGGGCCGTTGGATCCGTGTACGGATCTCACTAGTGAACAGCTCGAGAACCTGAACGGGTGGGTAGAAAGGTTTGACGAAAAGGTAGGTGTCCTCGATCCCGTCCGCCAGACCGGGACAGTGGCTGACGCTAGGTGCAGTATCTGGTTGTGGGAAAGCTGATAGCATTCAAGAGGGTAAGTCTATGCGGTTGCGCTGGGGGACCGTGTGCTGACTGTTGTAACAGACCGAGTTTCATTAAGGTGGTGCATGCAGCACATGTGCAAGTCGCGTGGGAGCTGCTCAGGAGGTAATGGCTGAGCGTGGTTGCCAGACCGGATAACGCAAAAGCTGAACGTTTGTATGCAGCACCAACATAATCGTTGAGAACGGCAATGGACCTCTTCGCACCGGCATGATCCTGTCTTCCGCACGTCCAGAAGCAATGCGTTTATCTCGCCTGGAAGTTGACAGCCCCGTAGAGCTGCGATGTCTACTCGCGCGTTGCTATCATTGAATTCTTGGCTCAAGAACATACTTCGTTCTGTATAGCTAAGCTACCTGCCCTTGCCGAAACCGTTACCAGACCCGTTTCTCATGGAAGCTCCGTCGAAGAGTACGCTTGCTCGACCGGAGGATTTTTTTGGTGAATTATCAGTTGGTCGTCGGTACCATCACGATCACCATTGCCGCCCCGTCGCCACATCCCTTTGCCTCGCACAAGCCTCATCTGCGGGGGCTCCGCAGCTTCCTACTTGCCGCCGGAAGAGGGCGTGTACTTGGAGTATCCACCGCCGTTGTTGTAGTAGGTGCTGCCGTTCGGGTTGCTGTAGTAGTAAGAGCCGTTGTTGTTGGAGTAGTGGTAGGAATTACTGTTGCTGGCGCTGGAGCCGTAGTCGCGCGAACAGTAATGGTTGCCTTGGCTATTGGTGCCGCTTGAGGTAGTGGTGTAGCCGCCATTGCTATTGGAGCCGGAGCCGGACCCAGAGCCTGAAGAGGAGTTGTTGTTGTTGTTGTTGTTGTTCGAAGACATGGTGTCAGTGGATATGGCCTTGAACGGGATCGGGTTGCGGGTGTGTCGTTCTCGGGGAGGACGGTTGAGCTTGTAGAGCGGGGAGATTGGGAGTGGGAGGGGCACCTAGGCTGAAGCTATCTGAGGAAGCCCTTCTCTGGTGGAGGCCGGCATATACTTCACTGATTTCCTCAGATGAGCTTAGTACGGCGGCAAGTGACACCTGGCCGTAAAGCGATATAAGTCGTCTAGTCACTACATCACTCTTCATTGACTGGCGATTTGTGGCGGGCTCGCGAAGCTAAACTGCTCGAACGATGGACACCAGTATCACGTCTTGCTGCCCTAGGCTGTACAGCGACGGTTGCTATCAAGGTTTTAGAGTCTCTCCTAGCCAACAGCCACGGCATCTGTACACCTACTGTTGCTTTTGCGCCTGTACGTGGCTTCCCTGCGCCTTTTCCTCGCAACTTGACGCACGGGTGTCTGGGTCTTGCCTGATCCTACTGAAAGATACTGAATGTGGTACGACTTGTGAATCAAGCCTGAGTGACACTGGCTTGGGTTCTCGCAAGATCGAATACATGAAGTGATGTAGGAAGAATACAACCACAGACAGCGATCAGTGCCTGCGGTCTGCTTCCGCAACTAGCAAGGACTCCCCAACCAGTCGAGACCTGCTACCGCTGCCGCAAATTGCCTGATTGGATCAGGTCTTGTAGAAGCTCCCGCCCTGCAACATCTGTCGCTGTCTGATCGCACGCAAAAGCGGCAGGCCCTTCAGTACGGTCATTCAGCTGTGTTGCTGGGGAATGGGAACCGGAATGGGTAAGTAGTATGTTCGTTGTGGGAAGGTGGAGGTCTGTCTGGTAGCGGCTCAGGCTTTGCGGGCAGCCGACCCCGTGCAGTACCGTCACGCCTATTGGCGCGGGAACAAGAAGTTCTCCTGATTGTATAAGCATTAGACCGCATACTTTGCGTTCTTGGGAGTCATACACAAACACTAGGTACTATTAGAAGGAAGGCGTTGTTACTGCTGGGGCGATGGATTCATTGCCCGCGAGAATTTGAAAAGCGATAGTCCGGCTTGCCAGTGGCTATACATTTTTCTGTCCGTTCGAGCTTCGCCACCGGACTCGAGATCTTGCGCATGTTGGACGCATCAATTTGACCTCATCTCTCACGGCACGGCTTTCTAGCACTGCATCCATCATGACTGTCGATAACAAGCCCGCCATCGATCTTTCTCTTGCCGGGCTCACTGGCACTTCTGCCATCGCAGGTCCACCTCCAGCTCAGGAGTCAGACATCCTCGAAACACAACCTACCAACACCAGCGATGGCGACTATGGAGCCAGGCCGCCCTACTTCCAGTCGACCTTCAAAGAATGCCTCTTCGTCCTCACGACCACAGTCGCTGTGGGGCAGTCGTCGATTGTAAGAACGATTCCATTATTCTCTTTGCAGATTCCAGTCTTGGACCAGACACTGCTCTCACAAGACGTGACCCGTCTGTACCATAATCTTTCCATCTCCAACTGGAAATGCCCTTCTTCAGCCTGCTGGATCCTGCTAACAATCTCCAGTTCGGCGGCGCGATCCTCACCATGACTGCCTCAATCTCCAAGTCCCTACACATGACCGACGCCGAACTGACCTGGCTGTGGGCGGCACAGAACCTCGCAGGCGGCGCCTTCCTGTTGCTCTTTGGCCGCGTCGCCGACCTCTTCGGGCGTCGCTGGATGCTTGTCGCCTCCCTGGGCAGCTACGCCGTGGTGCTGCTGGTAGCCGGCTTTGCCACTAGTGCTGTTTATGCCGATGTCATGAGTGGCTTGCTCGGCGTCTGCGCCGCCGCGGCGGTGCCACCGGCCATCGGGAAGCTGGGGGCTGTGTATGCGCAGCCCAGCTGGCGCAAGAATCGCGCGTTTGCATGCTTTAGCGCCGGCTACCCGGTGGGCTTCGTTCTGGGTGCGTTCATTGCTGGCGTGGCGACACAAGTGAGTAGTTGGCGGGCCGCACTGTGGACTATGAGTGTGGTATTCGGCGGCTTCACGATACTGGCGCTGTGGACGGTGCCGAAGGATGAGGAGCAGCAGTTGAGCATCGGATGGCGCACGTGGAGAGAGTTTGATGTGCTGGGGGCGCTATTGACGGTGGCCGGGATAGGGATGTTCACGGCGAGCTTTACATTGACTGGGGACGCGCCGAAAGGATGGGCGCAGGAATACGTGATCGTGTTGTTGGTCCTTGGAGCAGTATGCGTGGCAGCCTTTTTGTGGTGGCAGGCGGTTTGCAAGACGCCGTTGATGCCATTGAGGGTCTTCCGAGACAAGAACTTCTCGATCCTGCTGACGGTGTTGAGTTTGGGCAACATGTCGTTTGCAGGGAACTTGTTTTGGATCACGCTGTTGTGGCAACGAATTGAGCGCCAGAGTCCGCTTCAGGTGGCAGTGAGGCTCTTACCTAGTGGGATGGGAGGCATACTCGTCAACATCACTGCCGGGTTCATTATGCACAGAGTCAGCAATAAGTGTGAGTCAAGCTCTATTCACCCTCGGATGATACACGAAATCGATACTGACCTTAGAAGTGCTCATGGTCATTGCTTCGATAAGCATGGCCGTTGCCAGCAGTCTTTGGAGTGCCACGGGTCCTGATTTGTCCTATTGGGACTTGAGCTTCGTTGCGCAAATCTGCTCGGTCATCGGTGTCGACTTTATGTTTACTGTTACCAATATGTATGTTATGAGTTCTTTGCCAGCTCATCAGCAGTCGATTGCGGGAGGGATATTTAACACAGTTACGCGACTTGTTTCTACCGTGGGGCTCGCCGTCCAGACAGCCGTATACAATGGAGCAGGCGGCGCCTCAGAAGGACCAGATTCATTGAGGTATCGACCATATCAGGCCACGGTCTGGGTTTCACTGGCAGGGACATGCATCGGGCTCGCCCTGGTCCCATGGTTGACGTTAGGCACACAGGGCCACAGGAAGAAGGTCTCGTGACGTGGCAAGTTGGCAATTCACTTGTTCAGGTTGGTCATGGCCCGAATGTAAGATCCGAATTTTGACAGCAACCATGTCACGAACTGTATAGGCCATGCTTCACTGCTGACAGCTTCTTGGTCATACACCGAAGGAACTCAGAACGAACCAGCCACAGCCATCTGCAACAGAGACTTGGCTCCACGCCCGTCGGGCGAACTGGACGTTGTAGGAGGTACTTGTACCTTACCTATAGATTTAAAACATCTTCCACGTCGAGGCGGCCTGAAACAAGCCCGACCCACCTCCAAATAAGCTGCGGAGTTTGGGAGGAGCCCGGAGATCTTGAGAATATGGAGTGAGCGCCACAGCTCGGGCTTTGGTGGCCCCTGGAATAGCCACATATGTTTCAGACTATCCCCTGTCAACAGCTGCGCACCAATCACGCCCAGCTGCTGGAGGCTGCAACGACCCTTAACCTCGCCCCCGTGTGTAAGTAAAGCGAGGCTCTGAGCCCATCAATGCCTCGTAGCGCGACCAGTTGGGCGCAAATGATCATCCTGCGCCCGCGTGTCTTTTGTGATAAGCTAAACAACACAGGAGGTCAACTTAATACCCGAAGGCCGCGTACTGACCTAGTTCTTCCTGCTTACACGCCTTTACTGCGACCTTAGCCTAACCTCAGTCTGGTTGCTTACGACCCCTCCATGCGGCATGCGGCATGCCGGGTGACGATCTCTCGAATTTGTTTGCACTGACATTGTTGAGATAATTTTTGGTAAAAGCTGTTCGAGACAAAGACGAAAAGTACCGGCTCCGATCATGTGGAAGAGTTGGAGACAGCCACAGCAGGCTGCTCAGCCAAACATCATGTCCTACGACGAGTATTACGACGACGAGGATCGCTATCTCGAGACCATTCACGAAGTTGAATCGATCAAGAGTCGCAGGGAGAGCGTTGCCCATCCTCCGTCAGCTCTCCCAGAATTGCCTTTGTACGTTGTGCCCTGACACGTGCCCTGTGCGCACTGGCTAACATTCCACAGTCGTGCCGTTCCTCCAATGGGGCAAAGCGGCAGTCGGATCCCTTCGTCAGTGTATTCAAACGAGCACCATCAACGTGATAGCCGAATAGCCTCATCGTTGTATTCTCAACCATCGCCAACCTATCCACTTGATCACGTTCGAGGAACTGAGTCAGGCAGAGATGAGCCGGCACCGGATGAGGTCTCACCCATGAGCACGCCTCGCTCGACTCCGAATCACGTTGGCTCGGACTCGGACGCCATATCACCCTTGGAGGGCTCTTTCCCTACAGAATCACGGGCGCCTTTGCCTGAGCGTGGTTTCAAGAGTCACATACCGCGCCCTGTGTCGACCACGGAGCGGCAGACGCCTCCCAGCCAAAGAAAGAAGAAGGACGAAACCAAGTGGGACGAGTATTCCGGAGAACCGACAGTAGAGAATACTGGTAAACGTGGCTCGGTACACTTGGAATCATTGGAGATGCAATTCCCACAGCTCAAGGAGCGAACGAAACAAATTCTGGCAGGTCTTCGAGATCGAGACGCTACAAATAAGCAGCCGGTATGGGGCAAAGCACCCCCGCCGGTGGAGGATTCCTTAGATGGGCCTGTTCTGCAAAAAGTCCCTTGGAAAGGCGCCAGCGGCAGGGAGGCTACTGTCGACCCTGTTCGGAACACCCCAGCCGCTCGCAAAGGGCCGTTGCATATTCCACAACGCAACGTCAGCCAGTCCAATCCAGTCGCCGATCAAGCCAGAGCGCAGACACAGTCCTCCCAGCATACTACATGTCCAATTCCCAGGAAGCAAGAACCCGTCAGAGACCCGAGTCCTGTAGAAGTGTCGACTCCAAAAGCAGACCCTTCAATTCGCATGATACCATCACAGGAGAGTGTTAAACCCATTGCTCCGCTGAAATTAAAAACCCAGAGGATAAAATCGCAGACGGATCCCGGAAGTGACCCCTCCTTACAGAGTCCGTTTCAGAGTCCACCTCAACAACCGCACCAAACCTATGGGCGGAGCCAGACATATGAAACGAACCAAGTCTATGAAAGCCCTGTGCCTGATCGGGCGGCCCAAATGAAGCAGGGTGCATACACCGAGGCCCCCTCAACGCCGGTGCAGAACCCCTCAGCGCCACTCCCTAGTAACAGTATCAAATTCAATCAAGATCTCCGTCCACCTCATCAAGACGAGACGTCGAGATTCAGCTCGACGACCTACGCCACTACTGCCAACGAGAGTCCGACCTCCATGCACCCGGTCACAGAAAGCAGCCCAGTGCCTCCTATGCCTCCTATGCCACAACCCATCACCATACGCAAACGCCCTGTCTCTACTAGCCAAACTATGTCCTCGCCATACAGCAGCGGCGAAGCACGCTTCTCCAACGCCAGCCTCGTTTCCCGCAAACCCGTCGCGGACCGCAACCGGTCCTCTTCCATGGCCACGATCCAATCTAACAAGGCAAAAGACCTCCCGCCCACGCCCCAAGAAATGGAGGCTGGCGATAAGATCACATCACTCGAGGCGCGGCAGAGCCATCTGTACACGCGGAAGCGGAACAACAACAGGGTTCGCGCCGAGTTGGCGGACTCGTTGAAGCGCAACGCCATCACTTATGATTTCTACAAGAGGAAGGAGGTGGAGAACCGCATCAAGGAGTTGGAGTCGGAGATGCAGGAGATCCACCAGGAGGAGCACGACGTGGGCGTCCAGCTGCATCGGGCGCAGAAGAAGCGCGACAAGAACAACCCCGAACAGACGAGTTTGTGGATCAGTCGGGTGACGGCTTAGGGGCGCGAGCATATGTGCTGTTGAGAGGATGGTGCCAGTTTCTTTTTCTCTCTGGGCAACCCAAACATGCCAGCAATATTGAGCGGGCGAGCGAGCGAGCAAGGCCGTAATTTCGTTTGCCACGAGGGCAAAGCACATCTGGAGCCAGCGATTCATGGACGATACCCCTTCTGATAACGATACGAAGTATATGAGTTTCTTGCATTTGTCTATTGGTGTGGTCGTTTTGTTGTTTAGCTGAGGTCTTTGGGCCACACTGCCAGCATTAGTTGACAATAGCTTGCAGGGCCGCAGGCTGTGTTTCCCATGGAATCATACAAGGCCTCGCGGCTGGATGAACTCGTTCGAGACCTCAGTGCCCGAGAAGTTCGCCCCATTCTCTCACTCGTCGTTGGCAGTGCCTTAATGTTCATGGTAGCACTCGCAGCAACCAACCAGCACCATACCCAAGCGTCTATGCAGAATTCAGAACGCCGGCCGGCACCATATCGCTATTCGTTGAATCGTCTATGCGTAAATCGCAGACTCGGGGTGCAAATCGTACTTATTTCTTGCCACTCTGCATGTTTGTGTCAGGGGTGCATTCCACGCAGTTTTGACGAGCGGAGGAGACGAGTAGCTGCGCCTTACCTTCTTGATTCCCTGCTGCCCGGCGTTCATTGGGCCTTTGCCTTTGGCCTTGTCTGCCATCTCCTTGCGCGCCTTCGCGTCCGCGGCTTGCTTGGCCTTGTACGCTACTTCATCATCATCGAGCTCTTTCTTCTCCTTCTTGGGGGCTTTGAGAGGCTTGGCCTTGCCGCCTGTTGAGGCCGTTAGTGAATAGTGAGGTGAGAAACGAGCAGTGTTGGGATTGGCGGAGTATGCTGGAGCGGAACGAGGAGGGGTGGGGCAGAAGAGGGGGATCATTGTAGGAAAGAAAGGCTGCAGGAGACATACCGTCACGTCCTTGACCGCCCATATTGGAACAGTTGGGTAGGTTTGTATGAGAGATCGGAGAGAGGAATTTGAGCCAGAGGCTGTAGAATATGGAGATGGAGAGAAGATCAGTTACGGTGGCGGCTGACCCGCGCAGAGAAAAGGCGCCGGCCGACGAGTGGGGCAGATATCCATTCTTGGCATTTCCGTGTACCATCTGCGTAGATCCAACCAACTTTTCCCCGACGTCCCTCTGTAGCCCTTGTGGTCAAAGTCCGCAGCGATTACTCAAAGCCAACTCGAAATGGCCTGTTGAAAGGATTCAAGACTGAAAAGATCATTGTAGGAAGGCACCGGTCGGCATCAATAAACACTATACTAAGAAGGATCGCTAACGCTTTCTTCACCTCAAGCCATAGTCTCGGTGTCTGTCGTTGCTTCGTCTCTATCGCAGCAATCACAATGCCCTCAAGGTCGCCTAGCCGATCCGAAGGCGAGCTGCTAAGCTCAGACTCCGAAGCGAAGGCAAACACATCGCATTCTTCCCGAAATAACACTGGGGTTAACCGTCATACCAGACAATATTCAGCACCTCGATCACCGCGACCTAGGTCCCGATCGAGATCACGATCGCCATACCACGCTCCCAGAGGTGAGAAGCGTCGCAGGGACGACGACTACTCTGTGCGCGACCGACCCCGAAACGATCCTCGAACGTTCCATGTGCGCTATGAAGACCCTCGTCACCCCGCTCGACACCAGGCTTCATTCAATCGTCGTGACTCGAAACGCTCTCGAACCTATTCCCGGAGTCGAAGCCGAAGTCGGTCTCCCGCTCGTCGGCGTCAAGAAGAGTCTCGGCGGGCAGAAAGGTTGGACCGACAGCATCAGGGCAATGACTACAGAACAGACCGTGATCGTCGATCCGATATAGGTCGCCAAACTCGGCCAGATTCTGTCACAAAAGCGCCACAGACCGCTCCAGCAGTCAAAGTCAGCATTGCGGAGGAAGGGAACGAGACGTATGTTCAATCTAGCAATATCAGTACTCTGGCTTACGCAGTAACTAGTTCAGCCCTCCATCAAACCGAGTCGACCGCTGAACCTGCTGTTATGGATGAAGCCGCCATCATCGAAGAACGTCGCAAGCGCAGGGAAGCTATGAGAAATAAGTATCGTGGACAGGCAACACCACTTCTTGTGCAGGCACTACATCTCGGAGCAGAGTCCAGTCAGGCTACACCTGATCCAGAAAGCTCTGCCGCTGCCAGCCCCGTTTCTTCCACAGCAAATCTTCTTGACCAAGACGGCAGTCCCGCCGGAACTCGTGAGGCATCTCCTGCTTCACCACAAAGCCCCAGACTCGGTGAGAACCAGTCAGGCGTTGGTTCCTCACCTGCAGCACAGGATGATATGTTCGGTACCGGAGACGCAGATTCTCCTGCTGAGGATGAACCCTCTGCCGCCGACTATGACCCTACCATTGACATGCAAGAAGAGCGTGCCCGACACGACTCGAGACTGTTCAAAGAAGATGAGCAGTCAGTAATCGACGCCGACAAGCAGGTCCATGAACAAGCCACCGTTGAAAGTATCGAAGCCGCGCCCAAAAAGCCCGAATTCGATATGTTTGCTGACGAAGACGATGATGATATGTTTGCTGGGGAGGGACCTACGAGACCAAAGGTCGAATCCAAGACCGCCCAAGCCTTTGATGCGAAGATGATGGACAATTGGGATGACCCAGAGGGTTACTACATCACTATCTTGGGTGAGTTGATAGACAAACGTTACAGCGTCACCGAAAATCTAGGCCGTGGTATGTTCGCCTCCGTCGTTCGGGCTACCGACTCAAAGACAGGGCACGCCGTGGCCATCAAAATCGTCCGGAATAACGAATCGATGCGGAAGGCTGGAGTCAAGGAGCTTGATATTCTCAAAGACATCGCAGCTAATGACCCTGACGAAAAGAAGCATGTCATTCGTATGTTGCGCTCTTTCGACCACAAAGGCCACCTATGCATGGTTTTCGAGAACATGTCGATGAACTTGCGCGAAGTTCTCAAGAAATTTGGACGAGATATTGGCATCAACCTTAAAGCCGTCAGAGCTTATGCTCAACAGCTTTTCCTCGGCTTGGGACTGCTCAAAAAATGTCAGTACCTGCACGCTGACCTGAAGCCCGACAACATTTTGGTCAACGAAGCCAGAAATGTGATCAAGATAGCAGATCTCGGCTCCGCTTCGCCTATCACCGAGAACGCTACAGCTCCATATCTCGTCTCTCGCTTTTACCGTGCGCCAGAGGTGATCCTGGGCATCAGCTATGACTATGGCATTGATATGTGGTCTGTTGGGTGCACATTATTCGAACTTTACACCGGCAAGATCCTCTTCACTGGCCGTAACAATAACAACATGCTTCGTACGATCATGGACTGCCGTGGCAAATTTCCGCACAAGCTGCTCCGGCGCGGCGCACTAACCTATGACTACTTCGACGACCTCCTAAACTTCCGCTCTCAGGAGAGTGACAAAGTCACCGGACGCGTGCTCACCAAGTTGATCGATATCAAAGCGAAGCCTGTCAGGGATCTGCGTTCTAGACTCATACCAAAGGGGAAGAAGATGGATGATCAGGAGCGGAAAGAACTTGAGCTGTTTTTGGATCTGCTGGACAAGTGTTTAGATTTGAGGCCAGAGAAGCGTATCACACCGGCAGACGCGCTGAAGCACCCGTTCATATTGAGGACGAAATAGAAAGCACGTGGGCGGATTCAACGGAGAGCTTCGGCATATGAGCAACCACCAGTGGTTGACAAAATTAACGGGAAGGCTCCCCGGACTTACGGAGAGGTTTTTCGGTGCGGATTCGCTGTGAGCTTGGGTCAGCCCTCCTGTCAATATTTTTAATTCGAGGTGGACAGTACAGATACCGAAATTTGATGACACAGATGCAGGACAACGCTGACTGTCTACCAAATGCACCGTTCGAACAATGTTGACTACTGAGCCAATGCAACTAACGCTGCAGACACAGTAACCACCTCACAGCTATATCTTCCAGCAAGCACGAATTTCGCCATGAAACACACTGGCCACGTCCAAGCACGGGCACCTTCCTGCCTTGGACTGCAACATTGCATTCCCAAGGACCTGAAGCCCAGACCAGCAACATAGAACAACCACCCAGTCATAAACAATGACCAGGCGCGTCTGCCGTTGTCTGTCTCTTCCCATGCTACACCCCGAACCTTGCATCTGACTCAAGACAAGAGCTACTCGGCAGCGGACTCTCGTCACATTTGCTCCAGCCAGCAGAACCATGGCGCCACGCCTCCTCAACACCATCGAAGCCTCAAGCAGCACACCCGCAACGCATGCCGTCCCCTTCACGACCTCCGCCGCAGGCGCCGCCGCCCTCTCGCCCTCTCCCTTTGCGGACGAGGAAATCATCTCGGGCCTCGCCTCCTCCTTGACCAGCGCCACCAATCAGCCTTCATTTGACCCGGCCACCTACCTCGCCGCATACTCGCGCACTCTCGAGCACGGCAAGATCGTGCTGCAGGCGCGCAAGCAGCCGCGTACTGGCCGCGCGCCGCTACCGCCGGTGTGGACCCCGCACCGCGAGTGGTTGGCGGAGGGACTGGAGTATGTGAGTGCGGCGGTGGCGAGGAGGAAGATACGGATGGGGGACACAATTAGTGAGAATGGGTTGGTGGTCAGCTTGGTGCTGGATCGGGAGAGTGGGGAGAGGGGGTATCTTGATGGAGAGGTGTTAGTGGCGGAAGTGGGGGATTGGCAGGGCGCGGGAGCTGCTTGGGAGCGGACGCAGATTAGGAACGGGAGCGTTGTTGTTGTAGTGGGGAGGGGCTGGGTCGGGGATCGGGATGGGTTGGGTGAGGAGCTGGTACCGTGGCCTGATGGGGCTGGGGAGAAGGGGTTTGTGGTGTTGGAGAACTTCCGCGTGGTCGAGATCTGGGAGGAGAGGAGGAAGGGGCGGGGTGAGAGTGTGGGGATGGTGAAGCTGCAGAAGGCTGTGTTAGGAGAGGAGAGTTGGTGGATGGTGGGTAGGGAAGGGGGCGAGAGAGTGATGGACATGAGTGAGAGGCGCTTCTGGGGAGATGAGTGGGATGTCGAAAAGAGACTGAAGTGCACGGCGTGCGGACTGGGGATGCCGAGGATGTATAAGGAGTGTTGGATCTGTGTCAATAGTAGTTGCGGGAAATTCTGGAGGGAGGGTATCACGGAGGGGCGGGGTACCAAGGGCCTGACTGCAGCCGCCATTCCGGACCGGTTGAGGTGGCACAACGAGTTCCTGATGGCAAGAACCATGTTCGATCAGCACATGAAGCCGAGTTGGGAGCTAAAGCCAGACATCGTGCAAGCACTGTCGCCACCGTGGGAGCCGGTCGAGGACTACAATGTTAGCGCGCTGGGAACGATGAGGATGCGGTCACTATGGCGTGGAGGCGTATGTCCTGGTTGCAACAACATCGTGCCGACGATTGAGTGGTGTGTGTGGAGATGTCAGAACCAGCGTTGCAGCGAGCGGTGGCGTCTTCGTGTCGATATTGGCCCGATGCCGTTGCAAGCTGCTGTCCCGAGGATGTTCACGAGTTGGTTGGGACATCCTAACCTGGAGCCGGAGTGGCCCGAAGAGTTAGGCTGCAGAGGTGAGCTAGAGCCGGTATCAGGAAGGAAGGCCACTGCTGACTGTATCTAGTGAGGCGAATGTATCACCCGACGTTCATGGTAGATGTGTGGGAGATTGTCGACAACATTCCTTGGCCAGCCTCCCTCAGGGTCATTACGCCAACAGCACCTTTCAATCAGAAGCCTGGTGGCGCAGATGAGATTTGGAAGGTTCTGCTGTCAGATACACGGTCTGTCCACGAGTCAGGACGGAGCAGCCATCATGGGTCCCTCGCTCCAAAGCTGGTTCTCAATCGCTCCAATCAGTATCCGAAGCTGGACGGTCATTTCCATTGCACATTCGGAGCAGAGTATGGTTTCGACAATTCTGGCAGCAACAGCGACACTAAAGCAGTTCCCTTGGCCAGTGCAAGTACCTCTATATGGCAAGCAAAGAACGTCTTAGACCATATGTGTCAGGAAGTGATGGAAGGATATGATATCGACCCCTCGAACTCAGTCCAAGTCCACGGCTACATGGACGGCATGAACCTTGGCTGGCACACGGATGGCGAACAAGATATCGGCAACTCTGTCGCCACACTGAGTGTGGGAGGGGACGCCGAGCTGGTCGTCCGGACTAAAAGGGATGACGAGGATATGGACTACATTCTGGGACTCGCCGATAAGGAAGCTCGTGCAAACGCGAGGGTCCGGATTCCCTTGATCCACGGCTCAATTGTCGTCATGTATGGACCTTTCCATCACCACTTCGAGCACAAAGTTGAATGTAAAGGTCCTCTAAGGTTTGCCATCACGACGCGTCATATCAAGCAACTCGAAAGAGCAGTCCTACTGGAAGAGATGCCCCCTACCAAGCTCTCTAGGCGGTTCAATGGCCAATTGTTTGCAGAGAGCGACGATGAAGAGCCACCGCAGCCAACTCGAAGCGCTCGACCTTCACGACCGATCTGCAGACAGCCGACGCTCAAGCGTGCAAGAGTGATGGGCCGCAGCCCTTCGCCGCCAGCACGGCGGCTGCGGCGTACGAGTCCATCGCAAACGCAGGGCCCGGAGGAGTTCAAGTCTGCGGGCTGGACTCAGGCGCAGAAGGATCAGATCATGCGCTGGCATGACGGAGGCATGCCCTATAAACAGATGGCAAAGGAAATCGAGAGGCTTTGGGGTGAGGGCAAGGTCAAAGACTCACTGCTTCGCATGGTTGTCCATCGAGAGGTCAAGCGTCAGGAGTATAAGCGGAGGGTATTGGGTGGAGATGATAACGAGGACGATATTGACCGTGAATCGTCTCTTGCTCCGTCGGATTCAGCATCGGCTGCTGCTGGTGCTCACGGTAAGCTCGCCCCAGTGATCAAGACTCTGGAAGCTCGCTGACAGGAGCAGGTGACGCGTCAAAATGGACGCAGGGCGAAATTGATTACTTGCTGGCACGCAGGCATGAAGATCCACCAATGCCCTACAAGGAGATCTCGGCCAATATGAAGAAGGATATTGGCAAGATCCGATCAGACAAGGCTTGTCGCGAGCAAATGACGACGTTGAACCGCAAGAAGAAGGGAGTGGCCCGGAACCGAGCTAAAGGCCAGGATCCTACGGCAGAAGTGGGCACGCCTGTTCACGGGCCGACTTCTCCGCTGGCTCAACAAATGGCGACCGCCGATAACGATGAAGACGCTGAGATGAGCGAAGTGGAAGATGCGCCGGCGCCGTTGCTCGAGCAGGCGCAGCGCAGAGCCAGCCGAGCTGGTCGGGCCGTCGGCGGAGTGGGCACGCCGGTGGTGAGACCTGGTGGTGAAGCTCGTATGAGTCGGAGTGGTCGTGGAAACCGTGCTGGTGCTGCAGGGAGACAAGGCAGCGGAGAGACGATGGAGGGCATCACATTCGGTCCTATAGCGGTGGAGTCGCCATCAACGAGGATGAGGACGAGGAGTAAAGGATAGAAACTTCTAGACGGGTAGAATATAGGTCGAGGATGGTGTAATGGGGGATCGATGTCTAATGAGAGGCGTACGGGGTGTTTTGACTGTCATAATCGATAGCAAGATGTGCTTCACCAATGCAAACTACTAATATTGACCTATCCCAAATACATTAGTCGAAGTCGAAGCTGCTATCACAGCAGGGGTCGACAAATTAACGGGAGGGCTCCCCAAACCACGGTGAACAACACCCTTAAGCCTATGCTGTGGCTTCGGGGAGCCCTTCGATCACCCGGATCTGGTAATTACAACATCAGTCTTCTCTGCACCGCAGTGAACATCTCATAGAGCCTGGGCCGCGTCTTTCCCGGCAATGCGGCCGAAGGTGAGGGAACGAAGCACCGATGTAGCGGGCGGGTACTCATTGTAGACTACCAAAGTCAGTGAGCACTTTTCGGAGTGAGATAAATAGTAACTTACAAAGACCTGAAAGCTCTCCGGCGCAGTACAGGTTGGGGATTGGTGCGCCATTGGTTGCCAACACGCGGGAATTCAGATCACATTTGATGCCGCCGTATGTGAAGGTCAGCTGCGCCTTCATCGGGTAGCCGTAGTATGGTGGCTTCGAGATGGGGTTCGCCCAGTTGGTCTTGTTGGGCGAAAGGCCCTTGGTAGCCTTGCCGTCGAGCTTCATGAGATCGAACGGCTTGTCGTTGATAGCCGAGTTGTAGTCGTCGACAGTCTTCTTGAGCTCGTCTGGATCGATGCCGAGCTTGCTGGCGAGGCCTTCGATGGTGTCCGACTGCTCGGGCTCCTGGTCTGTCGTGTCGTAGACCCAGCCTGGACGGAAGTGGTCCATGATTACGCTGTCAGTCACGAAGTAGGACTTCTGGTTCTGGTCGCGCCACGTCTCGAGTGCGATCATTTCGAACGTCGCGAAAAGATGCCTCTTTCCTTCATCGTAGAAGCGCTTGCAGTGTTCGTTGACAACGATACCGTAGTTGTGACCCCAGATAACCGCATCTGGCTTCGCACGGGGGTGTCAGATTGAACGACTGTCACGTGATAGACATCACTTACCTTCGTTGCACGTGTGTCGACGAGTTCGCAATGCATGCCAGACATGCTACCGGCAGTTGCAGCACCCATTTCCAGAGCCATCTGCAGACCGCGACCTGTGTTGTACTTGAGACCGGGGGCAATGAGTTCGAGATGCTCTGTCCGGGGACCAACATAGCGACCTAGCCTGGTCGCGGTCAGTACTGGTATATCGGGGGCCTCCTGGGGTGGGGATCACCGACATTTCTCTGTTGCCCTCGAATCCACCACATGATAGCATAACCTTCTTTCCATGCACCTTCTTCAGCTTACCATCTGACTTCCGGACCTGGACACCACAAACTTCGCCATCTTCGGTTGTGAGCAGCTTTTCGGCCATCGTTTCCCACATGACGTCGACATTGTCAAACTTCGTGATGTTCTCGAACAGTTTGTTGATAATGGCGTGGCCACCGCCCTCGGGAAAGACAAAATGCTGATTCGTGTTGAACTCCAACAATACGTTCTTCTCGTCGTGATGGTTGAATTGAACACCGTGGTCGATGAGATACTGAACCGTTGTGGGCACCTCCTGTTCCATTTTCTTGCAGTAATCTTGGTCGGCAAGGCCCTCGCTGACCAGTTTCATCTCGTCCTTCCACGCGTCGTCGAACTTGTTATCCTTGTCCAGCCGCAGGTAGGCCATTGTCCACCGGGATGCACCACATCGCTCACCATCCTTTCCAGCTTCGATGAGGGCGACTCTACCGGTCTTACCAAGCTTCTTGCACTCCTGAAGGAAGTTCAAGGTCGTCATAGATCCAGCAAAGCCGCTACCGACAACGACCAGATCGTAGACTGTAGGGGCGGCGCCCGTGAGGCTGCTGATTAGAGATGCCATGATGGTATCTGCTATTGGTATTCGTAGCCAATGTCGTCAGGTGTCAGGCAGGATTTGTACTGTTGTGGAGGGCCCCCAGCATCGAGGTCAGGCCATGAGTATACATCTCACATAAGTATCTCAACTCCACCAACCCCTCAAGCTTACCTCCTCCTCACCCCGCAGTTGAGCATCAAATAGGAGGCAACGGGTGATGATGAGCAGAGCATAGCCGTTGACAGCGCGCAGCTTCCCCGCAATTCATGTCAGGGCTGCGAGTCAGATCCTGCGTCCCATTTCACCTTGAGTACATCAAGTACGATGGTCTCGAAAGGCCCATGGCGGAGGGGTAGACGAGGTCTGGGCAGCATATACCGAGAAAGTAAGCTTCGAGACTTGCTGAAGTTGCGAGAAGCCAATTAGGGGAAGGCAGTGCTCTCGGATACATGGACCTGCTTCGTGTCCGAGGTTATGTTCGCTTATCTGAATATTGCTACTGTCAGCGATCTCGGATGATGTGTTGGGATCGTTCGTTGGCGGAGGTCTTCGGTGAACATTTTCGACCCATTTCGGAGCAGCCTTGCCTACATCTACCCGTGATCGCAGTGCGCGTACTAACCTCCCACTTCCATATCACGAGGGTATCAGTGCACGAACAGAGCCGCAATGCCAACGCTAGCTCGTCAGGCGTTGGCTCTTGGAGCCCTCCGTGGCTCAAAGGTTGGCTTTAAGCTACTGATACTCGGCTTGCATGTCCTGCAGGATCTCATTACAACCTTAAGTAGCACAGTCTGGGCAGCTTCTGGTATCGTTCAGGCAGATAGCTGCTTACCAGGGGTCGACAAAATTGACGGGAGGGCTCCTGAAACTCACAGCAGACTACCACCCCAAAGCTCCTGATATGGGTTCGGGGAGGGGCCCAGTCGATTTTATCAACTACCAGAAGTGATCTGCTGTAAGTCCCAGGAGGCCGCTCGTGAATCTGGTCGACCCCTAATTGTGTGAGCTTCTAGTCTACCCAGGAGCCTGCCCGTCAATTTTGTTGACCCTTGGTAGCTGAATAAGTCAGCGAATGTTAGCCGCTGTCGATGTGGGACATGCCTTCCGCAATCTATGCCTCAAATATCAAAGCCGCTTGGAGATCTGCCTCTAGTTTCGCAAAAGCTGATAAGAGCCCTTACAGATCGTTCATACGGAACACTGCCCAGGGCGACAACTTTGAACGGTCTGAGCTCTGTCAGACAGTAAATATCGAACGGATAGGCGGTTCGTGACGTAGGGATTCAATGGATCGGGTAGCCCCGCATCATAGGGTGTGGCCATGGGGAGAATATAAATACTTATGAGCCGACGACAATGCATCGCATGTTTTTGCCGCACGACGATCCAATCATCAATCCCAACATCTATTCAGTGCAAAAGGAGCACGTTCTCGTAGCATTGATTGATATACCTGGCAACCATGGAGGGCGAATGTCTGTGCAAAGCGGTGCAAGTCAGAGTGAACGATGACAACCTCTTCGGATCACAAAGGCGAGGGCACATTTGCCATTGTGCCAACTGCAGGAAGATCGCTGGCGGTATATGTAAATACTATGCACGAGCATGGGTATCGGTCAAGCACTGATGTTTGAACAGTCGGCGTCAATCTCACTATCGAGGAGGACAAGGTTGAATTTCTCAGGGGCAAGGGCGGCATCAAGACATATGCGGACCCGGAGACCATGAGTGGAACACCTGTAAACCGAAACTTCTGCGGGACTTGCGGGTGGTATGTGACTCCCGGCCAACGTTTGGCAGAATGCTTACATGAATTCCAGCCCTATATTCAGTCAGACGCCGGTGTACAAGGGCAAGATCATATTGAAGCTTGGGCTGTACCCTAAGCTACCGTAAGGACGTCTCAGAATCATAATGGGCGTATACTGATCGATCGATAGAGTGCCTGAGTGGGAGAGCTTTGTCAAGGACAAACAGGCGTGGGAGACGCCGATGCCGGGCACCATGCAATTCACGTCCAAGTCCGGGGGAGATCGTGTGCGTGGTAGCCTTGAAGTGGCAGACAAGGTGTAAATAAGTAGTGTGACCCCAACTTGCGCTCCTCTCGCCAAACAAGGTCGTGCTCGAGGAAGCACGTAATTCTGAGCACGGGGCCGCGGTTTGATGGTGCCTGGGCCCAATCCGGGCATTTAACTCGGTGCCTTAGTGGACTTGCAGCCTGGGTTTCGGGCTTCTCGCCTCCGTCAACCGGGGCTGATTCAAAGTTGACATATACAACGGATTCAAACTTTTCGTCAACAAATGAGCACGACTTCAGTCCAACTGATCGTACAAGCTCCTCTGTGGCGCAATTGGCTAGCGCGTCTGACTGTTATCATTAAGACAATCAGGAGGTGTAAGTACCACGTTCAGGGCGCATCAGATCATAATCTAACATTGCACAGTGGAAGTTCGAGCCTTCCCGGAGGAGGAGCAATTTTTTGTCCCCAGACCGACTGCTTGATTGCTGAATTTTTGGCAGTGGAGTAGTAATTTTGTGCGGAGCCAAAGGGCGCCTCAGATATCTATACCAGGTCGTGACTAAGAGCTGAAGTCGTCAGACTGACACGGTTGAAGTGGTCACCACTCGGGGACTTCAGGTTCCCGTTTGTCGTCACTGACGGGTTCTCAGCAGTGAATACTGAACCTCGTAACCTCGGGCTCGCTTCACCAACGAGGCATGGTCCACCTGGAGGAAGCTTGATCTCGTGACTGTATATCTGTAACAGAGCCAATCTCGGGGGGAGAGGAGGCTTGATCCTTGGCATTTGCTGGTCGATAGGGGCCCTCCGTAAGACCACATCGCCGACCGCTTTGAAGAGCACGAGACGGTCTGCAGCTTGTTCTAGCTGCAGCGTTTGGGTTTGTGGAATTCTTCATATGGAGGGCAACGCCAGCTTGCGAACGAGCGCCAACGCAGGGGGTCCAGCCTGGATCGCTGTGATTGGCCGGATGACCCACTTTTATTAGTTGCCCGGCCGGCCCCTGGAGTGCTCGACCAAGACCCGCGTAAACACAGCGAATCTACCATGCACCTTTGATCAAGACCACCGTCACGCCTATTTCAGAGCTCATCTTGTATCACTCTGATGGCATTTTACCACGGCTTTCCCGTTGCTGTATATGATTCATAGCGAAATGTCTGCACCGCTCGCCGACCTCTCACCGTCAAGACATAATTCTAGACTGCTGAATCGCAACACGGACAACGATATCGATACAAAATCTCCGACGCTTCAAAAAGTGCCCGCAGCAATGCTCTCACCCTCAGCCACTTCAACGCCGGATGAAGGCGAAAACAGCCCTATGTCGAGCCCTAAGAGGGGCTTCTCGCCTGTCAAGTACCGCCTACAAGAAGATAATACCATCACGAGCTCACCGCCTGATTCCCCCGCAGAAGGCACTGTGCGCATCAATGATGGCCTGACGCGTGCCATTGGGCAGATGGAGCAGGAAGCGCAAAGCAGAAGTAGCACACATCAGACGCAAGACGAGCACATGAGCACTATATACCGTGCCTCCGCAGGAGACTCAACCATCCCTGAAGATGGCGAAGGCGATAACATTGACTTCACCTTAGACCTCACTCAGGGTACCCAGAACTTCGGGGGCGATGAGACAATCGGCGACTTGAGCAGTATATCGGCCATCCCTCCAGATATGACTCGATTTGCCAATTTGCGCAACTCGCCTACCAAATCATCCCGTGAGCAATGGTCGCCATCCAAACAACTGCGCGGCTCTGTACTCCTCAACACTCCTGGTACTGCTCAACGTCCACTGCAACTCCTTTCAAGAACAAACTCCATCAACGAGGAGAATGAAGAAACACCACGAAGGCCAAGAGATTCGAACGATTCTCCTACGGATCTGCTCAATTTCACCGGCCAAACAAACGTTCTCATTCCTCCGCCAGGCTCTGCTCCCCGAACCTCTCGCCGGAGTCCTTCGGGTCGTGGAGCGTTCCCAATCAAAGTCAACCCGACGCCCACACACCGAGCTCAGGCTTCGGTGGATAGAGAGCGCGCTGGTGGAAAGGCGTCGGACAAGTCGGTACCAGCAACACCTTCTCAAAACCGGCATGCGCACCGCCACAGCATGTTCGGCGCACCTAATGGCCTCGGCATGGATTTGCTTGATCTTGATATGGAGCCTATGGCGACACCCCGTTCTATTCCCACGGTCACACCTAGAGAGCTAGAATCTCTTCGTTCTGAATTACAATCCAAGATCTCTGGTCTCGAGGCCACCCTGTCGGGCAAGGAGGCTGAGGTGAAAGCTTTGACTCGGGCTATAACAGACGCCGAGGTTCGAGCTGGGAAGGTGAGCGAAGAGCTGCGAGGCGAGCGTGCAGCGAGAGAGGAGGTGGAAAACTCCAAAGAGGAGATGGAGCGCCGGAGCCGAGAGATGGAGGAAGTGCTGCGGGAGATCAAGCAGAATGCCTTTGTCGAAGAACGCGAACGCGAGAAACTCAAGAGGCAGATTGAGGAGGCGGATCGCAACGCCGAAGAAGCCGAAGTTCGCATTCTAGAGCTCAACTCTTCTCTGGATGCCCTTCGCTCTGATCGCTTAAACTCTACACCAAGCCCAGCAAAGCATCCTTCGACACCTGGCGCGACCATCGATGTCGATACTGCTGTCAAGAATGCTACTGAGAGTGTTGCACGAGAGCTGCATGCACTATACAAGACGAAGCACGAGCGCAAAGTTGCGGACCTCAAAGTCAGCTACGAGAAGCGGTGGATCAAGCAAGTCGAACAGCTACGAGCGGATCTCAAGGCATCTCAGGATGAAGTTGTTAAGCTGCAGACCGAGAAGGAAGCGACGATGAGTGGTGTCATTCCGGGTCAGGGCGATGCAATAATGAAAATGGAAGGCCAGATTGAAGAGCTCCGGAGATGGAACGAGGATTTGACCGCACAGAAGAAGGTGGTGGAAGCCGAATCTGCGGGTTGCAAGAGTCAGATCGAAACTCTGATGACGGAAACCGACTCACTTCGAAGTGAGCTCGAGCAAGAGCGGGTGGAGAAGGGCGAACTGGTGGTTCAGATTGATGAGTTCTTACTTCTCAAGGCGGAAGAGGAAGAGATTCAGGCTGAACGCGCTCGGACTCAGGCGCAACTGCAGCAACCTGTCAGTCCACCCCGGAGTGAGGATGGCAACAATACCAGGCCCCACTCTGTCACCTCGATACAAAGCCCCGGCAAGTCACGCAACAGCGCCACCAGTGATACTCCTGCGACTGGCCGCACACCGGGGAGGCCAAGACCAATGAGCATGCTACAAGCCCCGAAGGGCGGCAAGTTCTCTGGCATTCCAGCTCCTGGCTCCGGTCTCAAGGCACCTAGCAATGTAGCGCGAAACATGGGATACTCTGGCAGAAGCGGAGGCTTGATGGAGGGCATCGCGCGTATGGGTGCCGGCGGGCGATGAATCAAACTCCAAGGGCAATACACGATAGCTGCAAGCGATACCTCAATTGGGGAAGACGACTCATGAAAGAAATGAACGACGGCGATGAAAGTGGTATGCGTCGTTCCTGTGCTCTCTAGCCTTGCGTGTCTATAGTCATGCGAACGACCTTCGCCGCGTCCGATGTCCAGTCTTTTGGTGCAGCCATCGGACGTGGTATGTAATGATAGTACAATAACTACCGAACTTCATCACGAACGTACAATTCCAATAAGCCTTCTTTCTGGCTGTGTATCAGGAGGACTTCCGCATACAAATGACCTCCGCTTCGCCTGCCTGTTAGATTTCCAATGATAACCCGAGAACAGACTGTCACATCTTTCCCCACCCTTGATCCAGAGGATTTTCATCTACCGCTGAATCTGATGCGTCCCGATGCTTTCTGACTGGGGAAGCCAGCATAACGAACTCCCAGTGACGCTCGCGATAGAAAACTGGTATACCCCCCGAAATTGCGAAGGAAGTAGAGCCCGCGAAACTCCACACATTTAGGGGCCAAAAATCTAAGATGATATATACATAGAGGTGTAATTATTGCTCCAACAAGCACACACAAATGCACCAATCAGTCGCTCAGCGACCCAAAATCATCTTCATTGGTCTAGTGGTCATGATTTCCGCTTGTCATCTTCTCTTGCAGGAAAACAAGCGCGGGAGACCTGGGTTCGATTCCCAGATGGAGAGCTTTCCCCAATTTCTTCTTTTTGTTTTTTGGGCTCCTTGCGTGGACGAGGCAGTGTAGTGTTCGCTCGCTTGCTTTGTGGGTTTGTGCCGCGTGTGCCGACCGTGTGCCGAAGGCGAGGAGGGTGGGCCCAGGCGCCCGCGTGAAGCCATGGGGATTCGCAATCGCTGCTCAGATCTGCTATAGATCATTTGCTGCATTTTTGCTGCATTTCAATGCTTTGTGGTGCAACAGGCATCGACCTCTGATCCAGTACAGGCTACACAGGAAGCATATACTAAGTTCTGGGACTCATACTAGACAAATCGAGAGTCCATCGATGTTTGGTTGCTCTATCCCTCGTAAGGCAGTGACAGTCGCCGGGCACATTGTTTCCTGAAGCCGGTGTAGCAGTACCTCGCTGCGGCGGTACACCGGTGGCCTCCTCGTGCACGGTCGAGATGCCAGGACATGTCTGCCCGTCATTATGCCCTGGAATCTCCGACGACTGGAGTCTAAAAGAGCACAACAACTTAGGTCCGCACTCGGAAGTGTTCCCAGTAAGGTGTTGACGCCACTCGACAGAGACCGCCATGAATCAAGTCTCGAAGCGGGCGACATAGCAGCAAAATTCGCCAATCGCTTGTGCCATGCTCGAAGGGCCCATGTGGCTTAGTTGCCTGCTCCCGAGCGGCCAGCTTGCCGGCTTCACAGTCTCGTTGCGAGAAGATGGAGAGACGGATCCGAAAAGATGCACAATACGGAGGGAAAGGCCCGCTTCCGAACTTGAAGGGCTTGGCGAGTTGGGGCACCATGGCGATCCACTGTGTTTTGGTCTGCTCTCTATGAGGAACATCACCGTAATTGTCCACAAAGGGTCAACAAAATTGACAGGAAGGCATGCGGGTCTCCTAGAAGGTCACAATACAGGGTCGACAAAATCAATTGGCGTGCTCCTCCAACCTCACATCAGAGGCTTGTGGGTGGTAGTCTGCTGTGAATCCCGGGAGCCTTGCCGTCAGTTCTGTCGACCCCTTGTGCTCGTGATTCCGCCTTGCATCAAAGCATGTTGCTTCCGCAACATTAAAACATGCCTTCCGATCGTAAGTCCATCGCCTTGAAGTGCTGCTTGCCACGCCGGAACACGTCCAAGGTGGGCTTCCTGTGAAGTGGCTTCGCTTCCAGAGTCATTCTGGTTGCCAAAGCCGGTCAGGGCCAGCTGTACTCGGGGTACTTCTACCACCTCGCTTCCGTTGATATGCTCACCTGAGGAAGACGGCCGGATCCTGAACCGCATGTCCGCCACTTTCCGCCTTCTCAGGCTACTTCAAGAACGCTTTGACTCCCAGGGGCGGCCTTAGCGGTCGAGACCTACCCGTGGTTTCCTACCAAAATTACGCGAACCAATCTGAGGATTGCTCCCTATACGGTGTGCCTCTTCGATCGCAGACGTCCGCGACCCCATACCCCATATGGGACCCCACGGGCCTTCTGCTCACTCCGTCTCTGATCCGGCAACAACACAAGCTTCTCAAGAACTGCTGCGATTTGCTTGTGGTGTTTCCGGCATCTTCCACACGCGTTCGGCTGCAGCGCTGTATTTGCTCTGGCCAAGCACCTGATTGCTTGCTTGCTGCTCGGCACTTAGCAGATTCTCTCTACACCACTCGTCTGTCATGTGGACTCTGGCGAGCGTCGCCAGGGATAGTGGCGGCGGGATTGCATCCACCTTGCGATAGGCCACGCTCTTGTCCCATCGTCAATTTTGTCGACCCCTAGTGCATTCCCCAATTCCTGGGGTCAGGCTGAGAGTGCCCCGAACTACAAGAAGCTCGCCAGTCGCCCCAACGGCCATCTCTTCGCTTGAGCTGTGACTTCTCGAATATCTCCTGAGAAACTTGTTATTGACCAGCATGGCTGAGAAAGCTCAAACTACCCATGACGCAGAGGCTAGGCGCGATGGATCCGAATCGCCACACTTCGACGAGAAGGGAGACCTCCAGACCGTCGATGCTGGCCTTTCTGCTGACCAGGTCGTCGCTGAGTATGACGAGAAAGAAACTCAAAGGATCATGAGGAAGATCGACTACCGCTTGATCCCACTGCTCGCCGTCCTCTATCTGTAAGTGGCCTCGGATGCTTGTGCGAAGAAAGCCCTAACACGTACGCTAGTCTGGCCTATATCGATCGAAGCAATTTGGGCAATGCCAAAATTGCTGGCATGGAAGAAGATCTCAACCTCATTAACATGCGATACAACACTGCCCTTACGGTGTTCTTCGTGCCTTACGCGCTACTGGAGGTTCCAAGTAACGTGAGATGCTTGAGACCTAGGCTGCAGTTCTGTACGACTGACACACACAGATTGTCCTCAAGATGCTACGCCCATCAATCTGGATCTCGATTCTGTGCTTCTGTTGGGGTTTGGTCATGGTAAGTACATCTTCCTGCCTGTCCTAAACCCTGCGCGCTGCTAAGAACTTCCTTTAAAGACTCTTATGGGCCTTGTGACTACCTACGGCGGCCTAGTCGTCGCGCGATTCTTTCTCGGTGTTGCCGAAGCCGGATTTTTCCCAGCAGCCACTTTCCTTCTGACGATCTGGTATCAACGCTACGAGGTCCAACGTAGGATGGCCGTCTTCTACGCCGCTGCGTCCTTGTCCGGCGCCTTCTCTGGTCTTCTGGCTTTCGCCATAGAAAAAATGGACGGCATTCAAGGTCTCGCTGGATGGAAATGGATCTTCATTCTGGAAGGTCTCGCTCCTGTGGCGGTGTCCTTCTCGCTATACTTTCTGCTGCCCGACAAACCCGAGACGGCAAAGTTCCTCACCAAGCGGGAACGTGAGTTTGTCATCAACAGGATTGCTCTGTACACGGGCTCGGGTCACGGCCGCACTACCAACTCCGACAAGGTGGAATGGAAGTATATCAAAGCTGCCTTCTCGGACTGGAAGGTATGGGCTGCGATTGTTCCGTTCTGGGCGTGTTCCATTGGTACCTACGGGTTTACTGCCACCGTCCCTACAATCGTCAAGGCCATGGGATACAGTTCTGCAAACGCACAACTGATGACGGTGCCGATCTATGTGGCGGGCATGGTGGCCACGGTCATCGTTGCCTGGTGGTCCGATCACGCTCAGCAACGCACGCCATTCATCATGGGAGGCTTCTCCATTGCGGTCGTTGGATTCATTGGTGAACTGGCCATCCCGCATCCAAAGCTTCCCGGCGTTACCTACTTCTTCCTATTCCTCGTCGCCATCGGCCTCTACTGTCCCTTCGTCTGCGTCGTCACACTGGTCGGTAACAACCTGGCACCGTCCTCCAAGCGAGCCGTGGGCATGGCTCTATTGATCTCTGTGGGCAACCTTGGGGGCATCTGTGGCAGCAACATTTTCTTCACATCTGACGCTCCTAAATACCCTACCGGCTTCGGGTTCTGCCTGGCCATCTGTGCCGCTGGTATCATCGCGGCATTCGTTCTTCGCAAGGCATACCAGCGACAAAACAAACGGCGGGACGATATCTTGGCAGCAGAGGGTGAGGAAGGTCTCAAAGCCAAGTACACCGATGAGGAGTTGCTTTCGATGGGTGATAAGAGTCCCTTCTTTCGCTATACGCTGTGAAAGTAGAAAGCAGGTTCTCAACAGGGATTGGGACGTGGAGGTGTAATCTTTTGTGGTAGTGATTGAGTGCACCAGGGGGCTCCCCGAACACACAGGAGATCACTTTTGGGGGCCGGCAAAATTGACTGGTGCCCTCCTCGGACTCCCATCAGAGGCTCTCAGGTGGTAGTCTGCGGTGAGTTTCGGAGACCTTCCCAGCAATTTTGTCGACTCCTGGTCATGATGGTGGAACGATTCCTAATGGAATAGCTCCTTACAGATATGGTGCAGGTAATTTTCGAGGTTCTCGAAATGATATTCATGAATTTGCGTATACCAGAGATCCCCAATCCGCGGACCTCGCATAGCACGGCCATCCTCGCAACGAGCGGATCGCTCCTAGCGCCACCATCGGTGCGCCTAAAACCTACATCTGATTACACTCTCCCTCGCCGAAACCCTACTTCTCTGAAAGTGTTATTGCTTTCCTCCTTCACGGTCCAAAGTGTCGGTCCTGATCTCTAGAAGACTCTTCACAAACAGTACAATCTCGACCCTCATATTACCGACAACCTCACCTGACGTGCACAGCCTTTTCAAGCAATGGCGCCCTCAACTTCCACCAACAACCCCATCCATCCTCTCTACGCCATCATCTTCACCTACATCGAACCGTTCCTCGCCCTAGGCGGCGTCATCCAAACCCTCTCGTTCCCATTCAGCTACATCGCCATCTCCCATCCCACCATCCACACCGCGCTCTCTCCCCACCCGCATCTCCACCCCCAGCTCCAGACACTTTTCACCTGCATCGCCGGCGGCTGGTCGATCCTAACCTTCAATGACATCGTGACGCTACGCGTGTTTTCGCGCGACCCCAAGGTCTGGCGCTGCGTCTTGGCCGCACACCTGTGCTCCGACCTGCTGTACGTGCTGGCACTGGCGCAGGATGTCGGCTACGCGCACGCGCTGGATCCGCGGTTGTGGAGCCGTAAAGAGTGGTTCACGAATGTGCTGACGCTGCCGTTCATGTGGGCCAAGATGGCGTTTCTGGTGGGGGTGGGCGTGGATTCTGATGCTAGGGAGAGGGTGGTTGCCAAGGAACAGCTGAGGGGCAAGAAGGCTTGAATGCTGCTTATAGCTTCAGCAACGGAGATGATTTTGTGAGAATGAGCACGTTCATTATATGTACTGAGATGAGCGCAAGTGCAGCACCTCCGTCTGCTTACATCGTGCCCTACAGTCGTGTCCGGACGGGAGTCCACAGGGCCGGCTCCAGCACACGAGACGTTGTCGTCGTTACTAGAGTTTGTCCACCGGTGGTACGACGTCGGACTCAAGCTACAGAGCTTGACTGCCGGCGAGCGATAAGTCTCAGGCAGTGAAAGTCTGGGCACTTGGCCCTCTAATCAAGCATTTCCTGGCGTCCTCTTCAACTGCTTAGGCTCCTTAACGTACGGAGTGTTTATTACGGTATCAGAGTTATCGCGTCAGCAGGTCGGATCTTGGCCGGCAAACTGGACATGCTTGCTGCTAGGTTGATTACCTCAGACGGCTCAACTAATGGTAGAGGCTTTCGAGATCTTTCATTGGCACATAGAAGATGACGAGCAATCTTGCATTTTGCGAAAGCACCTGAGGAGGACTGAGGCCGTTTCAGACGCTCAGCAAACTTTTCGGGTAGGCCGCTTTTCGATGAATACAGGCGAGACGGACACCTACGGGCGAAATTAGGGGTGATACCAATGCCCACAGGTACGGGTAAAATCAGGTATTAAATACGTCACAGTACTAGTAGATAGACTTACATTTTAGTAAAGTTACTTACTCCAAGACCACTCAGAATGCCGCCCGTCAAATTGTTGACATCGCCAGAAACATTTTAGCATATTCAACGCAACATGGTGCTGTAGTTCTCTGACAACAAAACATTTTACGATGGAAGCCTGATCAAGCTCGCAAGGGAGCTTCCGCTCTTCAGAGCATATTTGGAGCAGCCGCAAAAAAACCAGCTACTCCGCTGCTGTTGATCAGGAGATGATTGTTCCATTCGCAGGAGAACAGAGCTCTCTCTCGATATGAGCACTCACTCCCCTACATCGCATGGCCCGGTCAAGGATCCAAATGGCGATCTTGAAGCCAATCCACGCCCATCAACCAGTTCCTCATTCCCAACATCTATGTATCCGGATAGCCTTCATGCTCGTCTATCACATTTTACTTGGGGCTGGTATACTCTGTCGATGGCGACTGGGGGCCTAGCACTCCTCCTGCATCCCAACACACAACCTCACGATTTCAGCGGCCTCCTCACGATCGGCAAGGTCGTCTTCATCATCGACCTTGTGCTATTCACGACTATAACAGCCGCTATAACCTGTCGCTTCCTGAGCAACCCTGGCACCTTCCAGGCTTCACTCACCCACCCGACCGAATCCCTGTTTGCTTCAACTTCCTTGATCTCCCTCGCCAGCATAATTGCCAGCATCGCTCACTACGGCATTCCGGAATGCGGTCCTTGGCTGATCACCGCCGTCCGTGTTGTTTTCTGGATATTCTACGCTGTGAGCTGGCTATCAGCCATTGTGCAATACGTACACCTCTTTACCAACCCCAGCTTGCGCATTCAGGACATGACTCCAGCATGGGATCTGCCCATCTTCCCGGTCATGCTTACAGGCACGGTGGCCTCCGCTGCAGCGCCGTTCCAGCCTGCGTATCAGGCCGTGCCCATGATCGTAGCAGGAACGCTAGCCCAGGGCCTTGGCTTCTTGGTCTCCATACTCATGTATGCCAGCTACCTCCGGCGTATGATCCAGTACGGCTTCCCGTCCCCAGGCTCAAGGCCTGCCATGTTCATCGCCGTTGGTCCGCCGAGCTTCACCGGTTTGGCACTCATCGGCATGGCGAACGCCTGGCCAGCCGACCACTACGACTTTTTTGGTGACGCAGAGATGACGCGCGTGGCACTACGTATCATCAGCTTTGTGACGGCCGTCTTCATCTGGAGTTTGGGCTTCTGGTTTTTCTGCATTGCCGTGGCGAGCACGCTGATGGTGGCGAGGGAGCTCAAGTTCAAGCTGAATTGGAATGCCTTTGTGTTTCCGAACGTGGGATTCACCATAGCTACAATTGAAATCGGACGCGTGCTAAGGAGTGAAGGAGTCTTGTGGTTGGGCAGTGTGATGACTGTTTTATTGGTAGGGCTATATCTATTTGTCCAGGTGATGTGTGTGCGGGCAGTGTTGAACAAGACGATACTGTTCGAGGGCTGTGATGAGGATGTATATCACACAGAAAGAAAAGTCAAGAGTGAGAAGCGAGCGGCCACCGGTGGGACCATCGGCGGCAACGAGAAGGAAGAGTAGTACCACATGAGACAGACGAAGAATCCTATACTATACAGTGATTTACTGCATCTTAGATGCAGATTTACTTCGCGCGACTTCTCGTCCTCGCACTGACACCGCCTTCCTCTCTAGCCTTGGCCGGCTTCGTCTCCTTGTCCTGCTTACCCTTCTTCGCGCCCTCACCACTGCCTCCACTCTTCTTGGGCGCAGCCTTCTTCGCATCCCCATTGACCTCCTTGTCATCTTTCGCGTCCTGCTTACCAGCAGCATCCGACTTCTGCTTCTTGTTCGCCGCCGCGCTCTTTCCACTCTCCGCCTTCCCACCAGGCTTCACCTCCTTCCCCTCATCATTGACCTCCAACCCACCATTCTCCGCCACCTCATCCTTATCCTCAGCCTCGTTCTTCTTCCTCTTTCCCCCACCTGAACTCTTGTTCCCGCCGCCACCACCACCAGCAGCCTTCTTCTCGACATTGAGCTCATTCGCCCTCTTCACCACGTCGTTCCCACTGCGCTTCACATGCACGGCCGGGTTATCGGGGCTCGCGTTCTTCTTGATGGTGTTGCCGCGGTGCGACTTGATGGCGATCTCGCCTTCCTTCTTCTTCTCCGCCACTTCGCCGCCGGGCGCGCCACCGCCCCATTGCCAGGAGACTATTGTACGCGACCAAGGTTAGCTGGTGGACTGGAGGCGGTGGGCCGAGGGGGAAAATAGGCTGATGCGCGCACGATGGCAAGCGCAACGCCGAGACTTGCGGGCGTGTTGCTGCGAGAGGGGATCCAAAATCAAGGGACAGGATACATACCTTTGTCGCCCTTCTCAGGCTCGTGGGAAGGCATGATGACGTAAGGCTCTGTATTCGTCTATATGCGCGTCTGGTCGCGGAGGAAACAACTTCAAAAGGGAGAGCCGTGAGAGCAGCGCAGCAGAGCAGGTGTATGCGCAATACTAAGGCGCGCAAATAGACTGTAGTTCAATAGCAAATAACAATGAAGGGGGGGAAAAGGGGCGGCAGGGGAAGCTCAGGCTGTCCACTATGTACATACGTACCTTTGGACACGACAGCAGCACGCCCTCGAAAACATGGTTGCCAGTAGTGACGAGTTCCGCAATCATCTACATCATCATCCACTTTTGCAACATTTCCGGACCCGCCATTCCTGTACGCGGGAAAAGGTGGATAATAGGTTCACAGGCTGCCAGTAGCGCGACAAGCCTCTTGCTCTAGGTCTATCAAGCGTCTGGGGCACCCGGGGAACATCGATCTTGCTTGCCGCGTGGAGCTGGCTAGATCAGATTGCCGACTTGAACCGTTGGAGACAATAGAAGACAGGGGGGAAAAGAGAGGAGATTGCCTCCGCACCAATCGCAATCCGCGCAGGAGGTGCGGACCAGTAATGATTCGAGGAGTTAATCGGAAAGTAAGCTCGACGCATGAAATCGAACATTGGGTGTAAACGGTATCCCGCACATGGAAATCTGATCATTTGCCTAGTATACATATATCTGACGCCAACTGAGGAACCTTCATTAACGAGCGGTCTCGATTAGTTGGGTCCACCGGCGACACGGCTGCGACCATCTTCTGGATCACCGAGGCCCTCATCATCACCAGGCTCTCTGTACGACTTTGTTGCGCCACGGGTACGCTCATCAACAATGTTGCTGGTATCAATGGCGTCGGCGTCGTCGCGCTCTGTTACTATCAGTACAGGATCATCATGGAAGGAGCATGTCGATAACTGACCGAGTTGCGCATCAGAGTCAGCAGTCTCGGCATCGATAGGATCCTCGACATTGGCTTCGTCGCTCTGCACCGGGATATGATCCTTCTGGCCCGTTCGAGACTGATAGTCATTCTGGGCTGGGGCACTGCCCTCTTCCTGGAAGTTGTCCTGGGGAGCAGACATTGTGATGGGTACTATTAGATGTTGAGTGTTGTGGTTTGAGAATAGTTCGACGTTTCTCGGTCAAAGTCTATGGTGAGAGGAGATGAAAATGTTTGCTATGGTCGTGACCTCCCCAACCTTTTGTAGACGACCTCTGCGGGTCTCTCATTTGACGTCAAGTCTGCTATGCACATGGACATGCCTGTGATAACCAGGACGTGTCGTCATGAAGGCCATACCCCCGGAGCTGTCAGCAGCAATGTCCCGCTTGTTGAGGTCATTGGGAGTGATTATTTTGCCTGTGCACGTTGTTCGTCACCACTGTAGTGGAGCAACTCCAGCAGATCCGAAGATGCGATCTCGCACGGACGCGATACGCGTGCTCAGCCTTTGCATAGATCACGTAGCCTCCGAAGTATTAACCTCCTGAATGAGCAGCACAAGGCTGGCCTGCCCTAGCCTTGGCAATGGATTGCTACGAGGAACGGGTTTAGTGTGAAAATCAAAGACGTCAACATTTCCTGTCAACCAAAGGATTCAGAACCTTGCATCGGTACCTCACCAGTGGGGGCCTCTCGATATGGTCCCAGGAGATCAATAGATGGATCTTGGATGCCTTCGGTTTCAAGTCAAGTGCACCGTCAGCGGGTCTGAAATCCGACCCACTTGTACATCGTACCTGCGTGTCCCACATGAGCGTGAATAAGCTGGTGGTCTGATGCCCAGGGTATCGGTACATTGCGCGGCCAAAATAATGTCAGAAGCAGCTGTAGGCCTATCCTCGCCCAGCAAAGAATCTCGTTCTGTCTGCGGGCCACTTTGTCGGAAGTGATTCTGTTGAATACCTAGCCAGAATTCTGCACTGTTGAAAGCTTGTGAGAGTTGATCAAGCCCGGAACCAGACACTGTAGCCATTGAAACCTCGAGGGGTTTTGCGGGCCCATCAGTTGCGTGAGGTGAGACAGCTCGCTTTCGGAGTGGTGAGCCAGCATGAAGTTTTGTGGTGGCGATACATGGATTCCAAGTGGTCTCAGCTGGAAGGTTTCAAGTAGGCCCTCCCAGGCACAACCAGCAGCTACTTGGTAGTGTTTAGTTAAGAAGAAAGAACCATCAAATCGTCTATGAGTGATCAAGACAGACAGGACTTGGGTACTTTCTCATGCAATAGAGTGCCAAGGTGTCACGTGCGGACGTGTTCATTCGCCTAGCTGGACGCGTTCAATGACGGCGCTCGCGTTGCGGAGTTGAAGCCGAAAATTGTACTTCTAAGTACGATTAGTTTTCGTTGCACGAGCCATACGCATTGCGGATCTACCTGTAGCTCAGCTGCATTAAATGCTCCAATTATGGATGATGAATGTGCCAATCCTCTGCTATTGCAATGGCTGAAGGAGTGGATGGACGAGGCGCAAGAGCGCAACAGTAAAGGCTACACTGTGTAGGTCAAATGCCTGGAGCTAATCAGAGCCCACTGACGAAATCAGCTACAAGAAAGCGTACTCTTCTATGAAGGCGTGCCCTACCACTTTCGAACACCCTTCTCAAGCACAGCAACTGAACGGCCTTGGACCCAAGCTCTGCGATCGGCTGACGGATAAGCTCAAGAAGTACAATGCCGAGCATGGCCTCCCAATGCCAGAGAAGGCACAAAAAACGCAGAAGGAGAAGCGACCGGCGTTGGGGCCCGGTGTCGATCCAGACAGAGCCCCAAAGAAGCGGAAGACGCAGCTCTACATTCCCAAGCAACGATCCGGAGCATATGCATTGATTCTAGCTTTGGCAACGCTGAACCCCGAGAGCAACCTTGCGCTGAGCAAGGCTGAGCTGATAGAGCTTGCTCAACCACATTGCGACTCTTCCTTCTCTGTCGGCAGCGACACTACTAAGCACTATACCGCTTGGAGCTCGATGAAGACACTGGAGAACAAGGAGCTTGTTTGTACCAAAGGTCATCCAACAAAGCGATACTACCTGTCGGACGAAGGATGGGAGGTGGCTCTGGCCTGTAGGAAGATCATCGAAGGCGACGACATCACTGACAAGCAACACAAGAAATACAGTGCCAAACCCGCCAAACCTCCAGAAGAACCCTTCCTTACTAAACAACAAACGATGGCTACCTCTAGAGTTGATGCTTTGGATATCATAGACCTTTCAAGTGAGCCAGAACATACGGAGTCGGTATCTAAAGGACGAATTCATCGCGTCTTCTCGTATTCAGGCGTCATCTCTCTACCTTCGGATGAAGATACTATCACCCTACCGAGTGGTAGCTTCGATATTAGGTTGGTCCTAGACACCCGAGAGGTCCGGTCAAAGACCGATCGTGACTACATTTCGGAAGAGCTCAAAAAGCAAGGTGTACAGTCGATCTCAAGAGCTCTTCCTTTGGGAGACATTCTCTGGGTTGCGAAAGTCAAAGACGAATTCGCTGGCCAGCTGCAAGCTGTCAACCGAGATGATGAAGATGAGCACAGTACTGAAATTGTGCTGGACTACATCGTCGAACGGAAGCGGCTTGACGACCTGATATCAAGTATCAAAGATGGCAGATTCCACGAACAGAAGTTTCGCCTGCGCAAGTCAGGTGTTCAAAATGTCACGTACCTGGTGGAGGCTTTCTCGATATCAGCTGAACGAGGCGAGACATACGGCCAGTCAGTCGAGACGGCTATAACTTCGACGCAAGTCATCAATGACATATTTGTCAAATCAACGAAAACGTTGGATGAGACTATCAGATATCTTGCCCGAATGACTCGGACGCTGCAAGACCTTTATAAGACGAAAGAAATCCGGATTGTCCGCTCCAACCGCATAGTCGCTGAGACCTATCTCGGGATGATGGACCAGTTGAGGCAGAAACACGTCCACTCCACGATAGGCGTCACGTTACCAGCTTTCGAAGCATTATGCGACAAGAGTCAAGCTATGACGCTCCGGGATGTCTACCTGAAGATGTTGCTTTGCATACGCGGCATCACGGCAGACCGAGCGATCGAGATCCAAAAGCTGTGGCCTACACCTATCGCCCTCATTGAAGCATATGAGGCATGCTGTACCAATAAAGCTCGTGACAGCATGATCAGCGATCGCCTAAGCACTTCCATTCCTCGAAAGAGGATTGCCAAAGGTCTGAGCGCAAAGGTGGCCGCTACTTGGTATGGGGAGGATGGTTGACGATTCTTTGCGGCAGCTACGATGACTTATGATGTATGAATAACGACAACAAGGACAGTCCGAGTGTTGTGGGATCGAAGTGTATAGGTAACACCGGAGTCTAGACTAGACCGGTACAGAGCATTGCGACCGGAATGGTCTTGGCGCGGAGTGAAGCTGGAGTCGACCGCATCACGGCCCGCATCCAGAATCGTACATTCACCTAAATTCCCTTCATCTCTGCCTGTTGCGCAACGTGTAGACATGCATTATATTGTTTCAGTGCTTTCCATCTTACCTGTCTTGATTGACATTACCACACCTTCACCCAGGTTCTGCTAGGATGCGCGACCGTCGCTTCCCCCAGAAACACGATGTCGCGCAATAAGGAAAACAATCCACTGCCTCCGTCGCGGGCAGTTGCATCCGTGTTCATCGGCAAGCAGCCTACACCTCCGAGTGCAGAGTTCTTCACGGACAGTCTACTCGAAGACACGTCGCGCATACCGTCGCCATCGCCATTGAAAAACAAGCATGCGGTCAGCAAACCACGACGCGCTTTGGGCTCTTCGAAGCCATTGCACGTCTCACGAGACCCAAACAACCTGGCGCGCAATCCTACCTCGTCGCATGAAGTGCGAGCGCGCGGAATCAGGCATCAGCCGCCTGCGCCCACCTTACAGCGGCCATTGAGCATACGGTCATCAAACTCGGACCTGATCACACCGCCTCAGTCGCGCGATGGTCCGGAATCGATCAAGAGCCCTATGTCAGTGGACTCGGTCCCGTCACACGATCTTACAGATACATATCAGCGGATATACGATGAGGAGGAGCTGGCAGCAACAGAGAGAGAACCTCTGAGCTCTGAAGATGATGAGGAAGAGATGGATTTTGATGGACAAATGGGCTCGCCAAGCAAGGCACCTAGGTCCGCCACTGCTCGGAACTCATGGGCGGAGCCTCTTGCAGCGAGGAACCCTACACAACACCCTGTGCCTGATGATGCCGACAAGGAGAACCTCGCCGAGGAGCGCACAGGCAGGCTGTCTGAAGATACTGGAATGAGTTTTCTGGCTCAATTGACTGATAAAGATCTTGCTGCGAAGATGACCCCACATATGACAGAACACGCAAAGGATATGCGAAGGCTGCAGAAAGGCATCAGCACGAGGCCTATTTCATTCCATGCTGGCACGAAGCCCTCAGAATTCATAGCGGACGATGCGCGCTCGAACGCAAGCTCCGGCGGAAGCTCACGTTCTTATAGAAGAAGGAATTTGAGGCTGAACAGCCCCGCAGTAGGCGGTGTCGCCAAAGCGCATTCAGACACCAGTCTGGACGCCCGTCCACGATCACAAGTCTCGCCCGCAGCACAAAGGTCGCAGCAGCAGTCCTCGCCTGTGTCGCGAGAGCCACTACGACCATTGAATATCCAATTTTCGAGCCAGGAAGCTCAAGATGAGCCTACAGCGCATGGACAAGTCTCGGATGACGAGGGCGATGAAACATCTGCGGAACTGAGAGCAAGAGAACGACAGTTCGGGCTCAACCGCGCAAAGAAACTTTTCGGCATCTCAGGGGCGGTAGAGGCGACGCATGAAGTGTCGAATGCTAATGCACCAGGCACGTTTTCGGGCTCAGAACGCCAAGGCAGACTCCAGGACGGTCCGGGCGACCACGGTGACCTGACAGAGGATGGCAACGACTTCACACAGAGCTCTATTAGAAGTCAGGCTTCCGATCGATCGGAATTTTCCGTTTTGAGGGCGTCTTCTAACAAAGTGCCAGTCACGAACAAGGGCATACTCAGAAAGTGGGCGCGTACAGCAGCCGAACAACAAGCGGAGCGGACTCAGAGTGTGAACTCCGACATTGAGTCCTCACAAGTCGACTGGGCAGGCGCAGCTGCTGACGTACCGCTGCCAAGTGTCGAGAACCGTGAAGTTGAGGCCGAGGCAGAAGAGTCTGCTTCGCCGGAGCACAGACGGTCTGCTGAGGGCTTCAGAAGAGTTGACAACGAGATGACCGGCATGACCGGCATGTCTTTCCAGGTTTCTGAAAGCCCACCTGTTAAGACCAAGAAGAGCTTTGACGATATTCTGCGTGAAAAAGAGATGAGTCTACTCTCAAAACAAGCTGTCACTAAGAGTCGGCTGGAGGCAATACGCGAAAGGGATCCTCGGGAGGCGCAGCGGCAGCTGTCACGTTCACCAAGTGGCTCATCATTGAGAAAGAGCCTTTCGAATGACGCCACAACGCCCCAGCAGGTTGAGAAAGCGCTAGAGCAGGTGGGCGAGCAGATCCCTGATACCCCGGTCGTCGTTTTCAGGTCTTCGAGCAACAATTCAAGAGACCTCCAAACTTCTGGCGAAAGGCCAGGTCATGACCGGCAGTCTTCTCATGATACTCTTCAGAGGTTCGCCCGCCTGAGTGCAACCCCAAAGTCAAGTCCATCGATTCTGCCAAAGCTCGCGCCCTCCAACAAGCAGTCCGAAGTCGAAGGCAAGAACGAGAGACGTTCATCAGAGGGCGCGCCTCAAGCCAAGAAGCCCTTCATAGCAGCGACTCCCAAAGTCACAGGTGCCTGGACAGACACTATTCTCCCGCCTGACACAATTAATACGGTCAAAGCGAAGCCCCAGCCCAAATACACGCAGACGCCGAATGTGACTGTCGGAGGGTGGGTCGCCACACCCCATCCCACGATTTCTCAAAGACCTTCGTCCGCCCCTGAGGCCATTGAGGAGGAAGTTCTTGAAGACCTCGCTACAGATATCATGCCGAATCGGAATCCGAGATCTGCCTCGTCCCATGCGCGGCCACTCGAACAGCAAGCAGCCACAACCGAAGTGAACCGGCCTCCTGTGGGCCAATCCGCCCTCTCCAACATACTCGCCGCTCAGCGCGCTCGTCACTCCTCAGGTGCAGCAGACGATACCCTCGACCTCGGCGACGCGACCATGGCTTCTCTGGAGGATCTCGTCGACCTCAACGAAGAGGACATCACCACACTGATCCGCCTGGGCGCAGAACAAGACGCATTGCAGCAGCTTGGCGAGAACGCCGCCGGCACTGCGATAGATGGGGACACCGGCGATCAGAAAGAAGGAGAGATTATGGTACTCGACCGACTGGCGCGCAAGCTACATACACTGCAATCCAACATACGCCACGCTCGGCGTGCAGTTGGGCGCTTCGAACGAGAAATGAGCGAGGGCGTCGATGAGGCCCTGGCGCATCAGCCTCACTCCGACCCCCTGACGCCGCAGATCCTGCAGCAAACGCCACTGGTGCCAACGCAGCTCAGCAGCGCTGGGCTCGTGAGGGGCACCGGCGTCTTTCCGATTCTTTACAGCACGCTGACGCTTCCACTACCACTACTCTTCCACACCCCAAAACATCGGCAGCACCAGTTGCCGCAGGGTAGGTGGCGTATGGGAAAGCCCACGCCGCTCCTCTACGTCCTGCTCTTCCTGCTCGCGTACTATGTGCTCGAAACCCTCCTCTCGGAGCTCTACGCACACCCGCTGTACGCCGAGACGTACGCGTGGCCGGCGGCGAACCAGGCTCCGGAACCGGATAGTGGGCTCGTGGTGCCGACGCTGCTGGCCAGAGTCTTTGGCGGGGATGTGCAGATGAGGCGGAGCGTCAAGGTGGCTCCAGCTGGTGCGGGTACTGACACCCTGGAGGGATGGGCCCAAGGCCTGTGGGTTCTGGGCAGGGCGGTGGTGAGGTTGTTTGCTGGTGGGGATGGGTTCGTCGATGGCCCCGCGCAGGGCCATGGCGGTGTCGGGGCGTCGCCGGCTGCGACGACCGCGGCGGCAGCGGGAGCACAACGAGGGGATGGCTGGAGCATGATGAATGATGAGATTTTATGAATTGGCATGTCTTTTACTAGCGAGGGTTGGGAGTCTTGGTTGTTGTTGCTATGAGTTACTGGGTCTGGGGCTTGGGGGCCGGGGAGTTTCTATACCTCGGGAGCGCGTTCTTGTATCCGAGAGTGTGCACAGTACACGACATTGAAAAGCCAGTGACGGCAGGAGATGGATTTCGGGCGAGCAATTCTGGCGAGAAGGCCTCCTATATCAACAGCTACAGATGCGACTGCTTGCTCTACTTTCTACCGTCTCTGGATAAGCTCAGTGATCGTCGCGAGGAATCGCATAAATAAAGCACGACGGTGTTCAGATGTACCAGCCTGCCTGCCAGCCAGCCAACCTGCCTGCCCGCGAGCGAGCAAGCGAGCGAGCGAATGAAACTTCTTACACATCAAGGTGAGTTTTGAGTTGAATGTTTCTTGTCTCGTCTGCTTCACAGACGCATCTTTCCAGCTTCATATCTGCATGCCCCCAACTTCCAGGATCCGAGCGGGACACACCCTCCTGGAAGGGAGAAAAAAGGAGTCGAGTAGAAATAGTGTGCTCACGGCTGCCAAAAAAAAAAAGCCGCACAAAGCCCCCCCTTTCCTTTCCCTTTCACCGTTTGAAGGATTCGCTCAATCGCAATCGCTTTCGCTCCAAAACAAAACTGTCGGTCGCTCGAACGCTTTCTGTTTCGCTTGATTCGGCACTGTTAGAAGGAAAAAAGAAGAGGAGCAGAGAATAGACGTAAGTCCGCTCCTCAATAATAAACGCTGCACAACGCTGCCGCCCAGAAACGTTTTATGGCTACGGGCAAAATTGTTAAAACTTTATGCACACATTGTGGCCGTGAAGTCGTCAATCATGGGGGGACAAAGTGCCGCCCACAGGGAGGTAGATGCTGAATCGGAATGACGGGTATCAAATGAGGTGGTCAGGTCTGGTATCGTATCGTAAGTTTAGAGTCGACAGTGGTGGATTAGTACTGTGCACATAATTCTCGTAATGTCGTATGGATCGTCGTCGTTGCTGTTCGCCAGCTCTTAGGAAGCAGCCTCTTTCCGATACTCCTTGCCGTAATCGCGGAGGAATTTCTCGAAACACTCGGCGTCTATATACACGTCAGTGGACTATGGTGCTGGTGGGTGGGCACACCGCACTCGAGACACGGCGACATACCTCTTGGCTCATCGAACTGCAGGACGTGGTCACCACTGGCCATCGGAGGCGTATACCGTGGCGAGAATATGTGACGCTTTAGATCAGATAAGTAGACTTTGGTTCGAGATGTTGATTTCTTGACCCAACGGGCAGACGTGATGTGATGGGTTACAAACGCGGTCCATATGGGTACGCTATAGTCATGAGCGTGAAAAGATCCAGAGCATTGGTGGCTTACTTTTTGTGCTCGCCATCGAAAATAGAGGCTTCGAGCCGCAGCACGCCAGTGATTTTCTCTCGGAGGAATCGCAGGCAATGGTGGTATCCGCTGTCGTCAATGGGCCTGGTCACCGTCAGTACGCGTCGGAGACAACTAGAGGCCAGGGACCTGACGCAGAAAAGATGAGCTCTTCATTTGCTAGGCTGTGGTCGAAATTAGCCGCCACACGTCGGCGACCGTCATAGGATCGCAATGCGATGAATGTACAGTGAAATATGATCAAGACTGTATCGTCAGTGAAGTCCCCCCTGAACACCAGGTCTTGACTTACATTCAATGCTGGGGAACTTGAAAGCCGCCCACGCCGTGTTTTGGCCCACGCCGGCGACTGCCCGACACAAAAACAGCATCGAGCCGTCTCGTCGTGAATGGAGTTCGCTTAGCGGTAGACAGGCCGACTGTAGTGAACCAGATCCACGGCTCTTCGGCCAGTGGCAAGATATCTTGGTACGAAAGTCGCGATGACGAATCCAGAAACAGCATCGGAAGTCGCGGATTTTCCTAGCAAAATCAACTTGCCATACAGCCTCACGCGCTTTCGAACTTACATCTTGACTACACATTCATACTCGTCAGGTTCAGGCATAGGGTCGCCATCACCACGGCCCATCGGGTAGCACTCCGAGACCTTGTCCTTGTTCTTTCTGTCTCGGATGTCGGTGGAAGGAAGGTCCTTGAAGATGTGACCAGCCCAATGCTTCGTTTCAGCGTCAGCACTCGAGGCAGTACCAGCAGTGGAGAATGTAGTTGTTGGTGAAACTGGAGACATGGGTGGGTTCGACAAAGATGGTCGTTGGATGGAATCCCACGACACATTGGTCTCTGGCGACAGAGGGCGATTGGACGGAGGTCGTACTCTTTCTTGAGACCGGGGCTGGCGCATTTCTGATCGTCTTCAGCATCGGGCTGGGCTTTCATAGACATACTTACGACCAATGTTGGCCCGTGGTGATAAGAGGGCAGGTGGGAGAATGGGAGTGCGAACGGTGAGGGCGGTCAGGTCGGCGATGGCGTCTGTAGCCGTAATCAATCTTCGATCATTGAGCTGTGCTCGTCGGAGCGTTAAGAGATCTACTCTGAGATCTTCGATGAGATCCACAGGGGGTTGGTGGCTAGTCATTCGGATTAGCCGTTGGATTCTTAGGCAAAGCCTCGGTCACATGTTCTCAGGCATATGCAGACACCCAAGTGAGTTGTTAAGAAACATGACTGTACCTGTTGAGTTGTCGCAGCAGTGCTGAAGCAAATAGGTTGTACATTTTCAGTCTTCCGACAAGACTCTGCTGCCTCGAGCTTTTGCAGTGTCTCTCAATCTCCCTCCATGCCGCTCGACAATCATGCCCTATAGGCTGATCGGGCATCTGGCCGAGAATCGCCCACACATCTTGCAACGTATAAGCGACACTATGCTGCAGCAATTCCAAGTCGTCGATCAGGTCGACATTGTCAATGACACCGTTGCGGGCAACAATGGACCTGTCGAGATCGCGCAGGAAATGGCGAAGATCGTTGAGATAGCCGATTGCATCGGTGATGCCATTGTCACGATCATAATTGCGAAAGCGCTCGAGGATAGCAGCAATGTCTTTGGCCCTGTCGGCCTCCGGAAGTAGGATCATAACGATTCATGATAAAAACGGGCGCAGGAATTACATCTGGAAACGAGCTCGTGGACGGTGAACGAAGGGTCTTCCAGGTGAATCCGCCGTGCGGTGCGGTTTTGCAACGACGTTCAGCTCATTGGGGCCGCCCACACGCGATTGGTATTTAGGACCTGGTAATACGCGGGAAGATGGTATCTAGACCAGACTGACGTGTCAAGCTCTGCGCACGTCAAGCACTGACCGGTCGGGCGGGATTGGCCGTTGATTCGTGGGACGCTCAATATGCACGCCATAATGTCGCAACTGGAGTTTATGGATCCCGGTCTCGCTTTGTAAAGGCGTTAAAAGGTCTCGGCCCCATGGTGAAGCTCTAATGAGAGCCAGCTAGGGGAGCAAATTGGAGGCGTTTGGACCGAGAAGAGCGTTCTCCTCCGGCGTGGAGATGGAGTGGCGCTGGAGCCCATGTGTCATCCTGCATGGCAGATGCATCCCTGAATCGCCTAGGCACGCGAGAACCCCAACCAGACCAACTCGCGGCTCTTTACCCATCGCACGTCTGTGATGGACGCTGCTCGCAGGAGCCACAAGGCCAGATGTGAGTCGACGAAGACTGAGCAGCAAAGTGACGTGGCTCGAAGTCTGGCGAACGGCGAACGAAGGCTGCAGTGCGTACGTGAACCGTAGTAAACGCCTATCGATGCAACGGTTGTCAGTGTAGCGTAGCTTACCTGGAATCGGAGATACAGAGGTCTGGAAATCGAAGTCCTGAAGTTGGAGAGTAATGGAAAAGCGCGAAAGCAGAGGCTGAGATGTTAAATGCTCTGAGAATCAGCAGTCTGGTCGGTTGCCTCGTTGTTGCCTAAGGTGTCGATTCAGCCCAGCCCCAGGGGGGCGAAAAAGGACCCCAGAACGATTCAGCCTTACTGACCGGGCGCAGCTGTGCAGGTGATGTCAGGTGCCTGTGAGGATTGTTGCTTCTCTGCATCAAGCTTCTGTTGGTCAATGCCCAGCTAATGCTCGAAATTGTGATGAATCTTGCATGACTACGATCGGGAACAAGTACAGGCAGTAGGAGGATCCTTGAAATCATGTGCAGCAGTCTTGTGTCATATGCTCTTGAATAGCATGCCTGATAAGGATACTATTCCCAAGTGATACGTTTGCTGCAACACCTTGGTGAATGTCCCCTCTTAGCATGATGCCATGGAAGCCATATTCATGAAAAGAGACCCTGCCCATCCCCGTGCCGTTTCAACTCCAGATCAGCACCGCCACAAGACCATCGTCGAGCTATTGTCACACGATTGAGATTGTTGAATCAATCAGCAATCAAGAAGCTTCGGCGAGGGTGGTCTACTCCTCGTCCTCCTCGCTGCCAGCAGCCTGCTAAATGTTAGCGATGAGTGCGGGGACGCGGAAGGATTCGACTCACATTGTACTTGGCCTTCTCATCTTCGTAACGCTTCTTGTCAGCAGCGGCCTTCTTCTCATACGGCTCGCGCTGCTTGTCGGTGAGAGCCTTCCACTTATCACCAAGAACTTTGCCGACCTGGCCTGGAATGAGGAGTCAATATAGACTCGAGAGGTAAAGGATGAACAAACACACCGAAGCTGATGCCGGGGTTCTCCTCACGGACAGTGTCGCGCTGGTCATTGGCGAAGAACATGTAGGCAGAAAGACCACGCTTGGGGGCGTTAGGGTCTGCATCGACTGTCAGTGATAGCTTTTTGGAGATGGAGGATGAAGCGCATACCCTTCTTCTTCTTGCCACCGTCACCGCGGGTACCCTTCTTAGTGGCAGTCTTGGTTGAGCGAGGCATGCTGTCTGGCGACTCGGACTTGGTCTTGCGGGAGGTAGTGGTTAACTTGGTGGTGGACTTTGTGTTAGTAGCGGCTCTAGCCATGGCGACAAAAGTGAGTCGAGTATGAATCAAGATGCGGTCGTGGGAAAGGGTTGGAGGGTAGAGGTGTGGTAGAATGCGCAATACCAAGTGCAGCGAGGGAACGTGAGAATTATAGTAATGAGGGTGAGAGTTGATCAAGAAGGCGAGATCAAGAAAAATCCGTGCCTGTGCACGGGTGAAGGGTGATGATGGTGAAGTAGCTGTGAGGCGGGTTCGATTGTTTTGATTCGGGCGCAGGCAAGTGACGCATGCGTTGCGACGTGTATTTTGCAGAATAAAGCAGCATAGAGCACGCAAGACTTACAGAATAACGCGTTGACGCGTCGGATTGGTAGAGAAGAGTGGTGGTCTGGTGAGGTGGTTAGCATGGCAATTCTACAGGCATTGAGGGCGGCGACGAGGTGCGCCAGTCGCGATCCAAGGCAGGAACATTGACAGTAGGGCCATTTCCAATCGCCTGCATGCGCGAAAAAAAGCGTCGCAGAGGAAATGTGGAAGCGACCATGAAAGGCGGTGGTGGTTGTGAGGGGAGGAATGGACTTACCAGAAATTTGAGGCAGTAGTAGCAAATGCGCGCAGCAGTAGCAGGTACACACAGCAGTGAGAGGGAGCAGTGGTGAGGCAGAGTGGGAGGAGAGAATTGTATGAGGACCTGGGGCGGGCGGGCTGCCCTCCCCTTCTCTGGCGCCCAAAAATTGGAGACTCTTTTCGTTACTCCCCCAGCAGGAGCTGCTGCCCCCCTCCCGGAGCCACAGCTGCAGTCGCCAGCCAAACACAGCACGGCTGATGCACTTGAGCTACGATCGCAGCTTGTACTGCTCTGGCCAAGGTCCAGTTGCAACGCAGGGAGCTGGTCCTCTGCGACACTCAAATCAACCCACCGCCATTTCTCCCGCCAGCCCTTCAGCCAGGTCCGTGGTGCAGCGTGCTGTGTTGTTGGATGGCTGGATGGCTTGATGGCTGGACCGCCTACCGCTGTCTCGGACCTGTTGCGGTGCTCAGACTCTAAGTTCATTCTGCTTCATCTCACGCCATCGCTCGGCCATTCCTCCTTGTCTTCTAGCCGTTGCTGACTGTTACGTTCCTTTCCCTCTCATTCCCTGCTTCGGCCTTCCTCGCCCGCCCGTCCATCAACCAAGTCACTGTCGTCACGCTTTCTTAGGCTTGCCGCGTCTCAGTCGACTCCACCTTCTTCTCCCTGATTGTTATTGCAACCACTGATTTGCGCGATAAACTTCCTGCTATGTCCGGCAACTCCTATCCTTGCATGCCCGTCACGAGTTTTCGGGGTTGTCTAGAATTCCCGCTTTTCCCGTTGCTCCCTGCTTGTTGACTTCCCCCCTCTCTCCCTCTCCGGCAAAACGCGCCTGCGAAATGCGTAGCCACGCTTTTCCGTCTATTTCCTCCCTTCGCTTCTAGTTCATGACAAACTTGGTTTGCAAGTCTTCGCCACCCTACAGGCCTTCCGTTCATCGCTTTTTTGACCAATTTCTGGCCTAGTCCCCTCACTATTTTTTCGTTGCGACTTTAGCTGTGCCTCCCTTCAAATCCGGACAGGACGTGATTACATAAGGCATCGGTGGATATGCCAAGCCTCAGCCTTCCAGGTCAATCTATTCTCCGGCGCTGGGTAGCTCCACACCAAACAGTTTCTGGTACTTTGGGGCCCCTGATCTCTGAAGCCTTGCTCCCACCACGGCAAAAGGTCTGTCTCAAGGTCATTTTCATTGTGCTGGTACCAATGCTGGCGGCAGGATTCTATCTATCACACACGCGTTGCTGTCGAGGTAGCACGCTTCTTGTTCGCTGCTCTACCCTGGCTCAAGCTCTACCTGTTACACTCTGTTGCAACTGACGCGCGTGGTGTAAATACCTCAGAACTTGAAGCCGCGGAGCGCCATCTTGAAGTCCTTGCCAAACTCCAGCTCTGCTTCCTTCTTCGCGTAAAGCTTCGCTCTTAAGATTCATCACTTTGTTGATCTCATCCACAGAGATCTGGCCCTTAACCTTGGCCCTAGGGATCAGAATGGAGGTATGCTCGTCAAGTTCCATACCCCTGGGTGTTACGAACGAGATCATACCGTCTAAGGAACGCGGTTAGAACTCTTCCCACTCTTGCATGTAAGCCCGGGTCGCCAATTACCGCAAGCAGTAGCCGTGGAAGGTCATGGCTTCAAGCTCCTGAAGCTCGATCGACATGATCCTGGCTTCGACTATAAATTGCTTGACGCTTGGAATCGTGAAGGGAGGCAAAGTTCTCGCCGTCATCGGGACAACCCGTATCCGACTGGAACTTCCAGGTCTCAGTGGTGGGCAGAATGCTGAGCTTGAAGACAATTCCGGGAGCATCCGAAACGTGCTTTGGCTTTACGGAGAAGCGCAAGGCAAGATTACGGGCTGGGTAGGTACTCGTGGCACTGAGTTGTCAGGTTGTCGAGCGCCTTGAAGTCGCGCAGGATGGTGTCCCAAGTGTCAGATGTCAGATGTGTGCCGTCGTGTCTTGCGCAAACTTTGTTGTTGTTGAGTCGCGCAAGTCGGTAGGGGTAACAGTGGATTGCCAGTGTGATGTTGGAGATGAGCCTTGTCATGGGCGTACGAATCTGCATGAGCATGAGAGTGTCTCGCTCCTCAAGAGGGTATCAACAATGTAGAATGTTTCTGCCTCGTAGAGAAAGTCCAGGCTCTCTTGATACGTAGCTCGACAGGCAAAGAGTAAGCTCACTTGACTGTCGGTGATAGGGCAGAGAACAGTCTCGCTCGACAGCGGCGCAGCGGGGTGTTGCTCGTGCAGGCCCGTCGCTTGCAATCTTCAGTTAGGAAGAGAAATACATGAGGCTTCGCTGATGTGAAGTACCGTTCGTAGACGCAATCACGAATCTCTCTGGGAAGGTCGGCGAAGGACTTGCTGTTTGGATCATCCTTAGGGAAGATAGTGGCTGTGGCTAGAACCATGTCGGACATGTCTACCCGTTTATCGTCAGTGGAGGGAAACCATACAAAGCCTTGACGATATGGAGAACTCACCTACTCGACGAGGGCGACTTGCTGGTAAGTAGGTCATTCTTCGCAAGAACTCAACAAGCCAATTAGAAGGTCGGAAGTAAATTCTGACGGCAAGTCTGAAACGAACCCGCGAAGAACATGTTGCGTGTGAAGTTGGTCTGGTAACCTGCAATCCACCCGCTGCTACTAGTCTTGGCAATGCTCAAGCAGCAGCACCATGAGACTTCGGCCTCCGTTGAAGGTTGCCCATTGTAAGCGTGGACATGATCAAACTTCTTTCACGGCCTGTTGCGTGGAGTGGCGCAGAATATTGACCCTCAATGCTAGACTTATGAGAAACCGTAGCGTCTTTGCTTGCTTATCCCCTGGAGGCAGGTTGCTCGGATTGCACTCGAGATCAGGCACCATCGTCTCGTTGATGGGGACTGTTCATCCCTTGTTGATTTCATCAAACTGCGCCATCGTGTGGTCGAAGACCCTTTTGGCCATGCCGTCCTCCCGCGCTTGCCTTAGCGCCTCATTCTGCGTCTTCGCGCTCGAATTGTCCTGCACCAGATATACCCCCCCGCCAATCCTGCCATCAACCCCCTTCTGCACCATTGTGCCTTCGCCACTGACTCCCTCTTTCAGTCTTCTGAATCGCCCGTTGGTTGCTGCAAAGACCACCCGCTCACCCGCCTCCTCACTCGTATAACCCACCCACCTCATCATCGGTGCAACCACCCACTCAAGGACGACGCGCAACCACGCCGAAAACCCATTTCCTACCCTCATACCGGTGTCACCAACCCAGCCCGGATACAAATGACAACACACCAGCCGATCATTGCCCTCCTGCTTCGAAAACTCCTCCAGGAACAGTGTCGTCATCGTCGTGGCCGCAGCCGCCGCGTTCATTGCGCTGAAATTCTTCTCGAGCAGTAAGTCGTCTGGGAACAGCTTGCCTTCCATCCCAGCCGCCAACACGCTTACCACCCGCGGACTCGGCGATTTGCGCAGCAGCGGTGCTAGTGACACCAGGAAACGCATACGGCTATAGTACCGGATGGCGATCAGGCGATCGATGCCTTCTGGCGACACTTGGTGGCTAAAGTCAATGTACCCGGGACTCATGATAAGCAGATCCACGCGGCTGGCGAGCCGGATGATCTCGGCGGCGGCTTTCTCGGCGTCTGCAACCAGCGTGAGATCTTTGGCGACGACGGCGTGGAAAGTGGCGCCTGAGTTGAGCATCTGCAGGGATGCCATGAGGCTATCTAGGCTTTTGCGAGAGCGACCGACTATATAGATGGTGGGTGCGGTTGTGTGGTGAGTGAGGGAGCGGAGAGCCCCAAGTCCAATACCAGCCGTTGCACCGACGAAAACGGCAGTCACGCCCGACCCGGCGTCGGCCAGGGAGGTGTTGTTGAGGAGAACATCGGAGTATGAGACGGCCATTGTGACTAGAGGTGGGCTGTGGATTTAGTCGACAGCACTGGATTGATAGCAAAGCTCGTCGCGCATCCGAGAAGGTTGCTGTGATTACGGATATATATCCCGCCACCAACGCTTACGTGTCACACGAAAGCACTCAACCAGGTTACCAGATACAGACAGTGATACCCTCAACAGTGAGCGACATCAACAACTTTCTAGTCCGCTGAAATTCAACACCGACAACCAAAGGCCAACCCGTCAAGTTCACCCGCCCGGTGTGATAGTCACCCCGCCTCCAAGCCGGAGCAACGCTGCCGCACACGTGACACCCAACCGGCACGCCAGTTGGACCGGGAATATGTACGTAAAGAACAAGCATGTGGCGCTTTGGCTGGCACTGTTGTCCGGGAGTGGCTTGTCCAGAAGGCTTGCGGTTGCCAGGGGTATATGTGTATGTGGAAGTGTGTCAAATACAGTCGTGGCATCAAGCGACGAGGCGTCAACCCCACGGTTGGCCCTAGCAGCCGTAGTGTAGCGAAATCCGTGGCTGCTCACCTGCAATGGCAGGCTGTCTGATCTACCTCATAGCTAGAAGAAACCGTCCTCATCTAGAATGCAAACACCCGAGAGGAAGTCCGACAAACGCGTGGACCCTAGATGCCTAGCACAACAAAGCACCGCACTGGACCATCTGAGTCGAATTCCCGCTGCCCTTTGTGTTCTGACTAACTTTTTCGGTGACCCTGGATTCGTAGATACCCGAAATGCGAACTCTTTCGCACAAAAGCGCGCCGCCGCTAACAAGTTGAACAGTCTCCCTCCCAGATTTGTCCCGCGCCTTAGATCCTATGCCTGTACACCCTCTCCTGCTCCGCAATGTGCCGGCCCATCGGCGACCTGGCGTACTGTTTCGCGGCCCTCAACTTATCCTCATAGTAATAAGCCTGCTCCTGATCTCGCCTCGCCCTCTCCTCGCGCGCAAGGCTGCTTCCGCGCGTAGGGTGCGTCCCCTGCCCCGCTTTGGAGAGATTCAACTCCTTAAGCATCGCGATCTCCGCCTGAGAAGGCTGGACCGATGACGGCTCCTTCTGAGATCGAGCTGGCGCGGCATGACTGTTTTTCACGGTGTGCATCTCGTGTCTGGTGGGGATGGCGGGGAGTTTCTTCTTGGGAGGTGGTTGAGATGGCGGTAGTGGGTAGTGGTAGATGTCAGCGTTGTCGTCATCCGAGGGGCTTGTGCTGTAGTTCATGTAGGTGAAAACGCCGCCGCGCTCGCTGCCTTCTGATGAAAGCGTCAAGCGGGGGTCCACGGCGCTGTCGTTAGAGTAGTTTAGCTCGTACTGATCGGGTTTCTGGAAAGATGCTTCAGGGATGCGCCACTTCTGAATGTTAGGTGGATAGCTGTCTATGCCGCGTTCGGAGGATGGGCTATAGATCGACTGATCGCGAGACGTTGCTGAGCGGGCGACCACCGTGTCGGAACGCAGGGATTTGGAATCGAGATCAAAATGGAGAGATGACATGGAGTTGAGTGAGACGGCTGGAGGCGATGCCGGTCTTACTGCTGTCCGTGATGTGGATGGTCGGCCCATAGTGATAAGGCTCCGTGGGGACATCGCAGTATCTACCGTTTCAGTCTCATCCATCTCGGGGATCGGGGTTCGTGTGCGGCGACTGCGACTTGGCTGCTTATCGACACGCTCAGTCATCAACATCGGCTCTTCTGTAGAGCGTTGGCGTTGTAGTTTCGAAAGTTGTGCAGGCTCTGGTCCTTCGTAGATACAATGCAGGGGATCTAGGGATGCAAACTTTCTGATGTGGTCGTTAAGTCGACGCTCGAGGATGTCACTCTTTAGGCGCGCTTCCGGGCTTCTTTCCAGGCACTGTACCACAACCTGTAGAATGGCACCGACTGCGGCTAGAACTCGGCTATCGTCCTTCTTGACTTTCTTCTCTGCGTCATTAGCTCTGTAATCGCCAAGAGTCAGCAATCTGATACGAGCCGTAGCTAGTCAGGGGGTTTTGATAGTGCAATTCGGGTATTCCTGGGCGGCACGCCTGGGGATGCGAGCTTCCCACACCAGAACTGAGGATGCGGGGTTCGGTTAGAAAGCACTCACAATATCTGTGCCCACGACATGACTTGGCTAAGGTTGGCGTGAAAGCTCGCGTCAGCCAATCCTCCCCCTCGGCCAGCGTTTCGGTTGTTCTTGGAGCGGTGTCGCGCGAACGAGCTGAATGTCCGTTTGCACAGGACTGTCAGGATGTCCATAATGACAGCACCTAACGAAAACACGTCGGCTGCGAAAGAGTCGTGCTGAACCGATTGCCATGTCTGAACAACAGCAGTTCTGCTCTCGGGAGCTGCGACGAAGAGCCCACGATGTTTGGAACCAGATCTGCCACGTCTCTTTCCCTCAGAGCTGATGGACGATAAGACGGATGGAGCGCGAATGGAGTCTCCAGAAATATCAGTCATACTGGCCATAGTCCTGCCTCGACCCAGACCGAATGAGTCCACTGAATTTATGTCAACCGGATTGCGCCTTGTATGCCTTTGAATAGGCACTGTGGCCTTGCCAGCGCCCGGAGCATTACTGAGTCGGAGACGACTGTACTCGCTCTTTGAGGCCGCTGTGAAGGCATAGGCCCCATCTTGCTTCTCGTGGCTTCCAAGTGTTGAAGCCGACCTGCGCGTGCTGGGATCTGCGGGGTCCAGGGTCTCGTTTTGCACCTTTCTTCCGGAGCGGCTACCAGAGGGGAGTGATATTTTCCCTGATCCAGTACTCTGGACGGTGACGGCCCTCTTCCACCTCTCGGGAGGAGCATACTGGTAAGCTTCGATGTCGTCGGACTTTGTGGTATTACATAGAAAGCCTTCACCGTCCATAGGCCCAAGACAGATCTGGAAAGTGTTGGTAATGTGGATGTTGGATGGTCGGACAGCACCGTGATGACCGCCATTGGCATGCAGCCAAGCAGTAGCATTCGCGAGACAGTGAGGCCAGTTAACCAATATTTGCCGGCGGTCGGACTTGGACAGGGCATCGAAGGGTTTGGGCTGATCCATGAGGAAAGACTTGAGGGTATATTCGCCGGCAGGAGTGGACAATATGTACATAGTGTCGCTCTGAAGATACGAAGCATAGACGGAAAGTGTATGTTCGTGAGAGAACTTCTTCATCTCTGCGATCTCATTCAACACATATTCTTCGGAGGACATGGACCGAATGTTGACCTTTCTTCTGATGAAGACTTCGGAAGGTTCAGACGGCAGTCGCACCGTGTCGACACCATCTTTGTTGATAGGAAGTGCGAGTTTGAGGCCGACGGTAGTAACAGGGACTGTCTCTTCGTCGGCATATCGAATATGCTCGCCATCCTCAAGCACTCGTGCCAAGTACTTGAATTGATTTTTATAAAAGCGCTTGTCTAAGGCTGGGTCGGCCTCTAGCGAAAGTCGCAAACCTGGGACTGCCACCTCGGCAATAGGAAGGTCATCGTCGTCGAAAGAGTCGTCAATGACCCCGAAGATCTGATCTGGAATGCCAGTAGCGACGAGAATTAGAAACAACCGCTTTGCTTTGGTGAGGATCCAGTCCAGGTAAGTGTCATCAGTCAGATCTCCTCCGAAATAGAGTGAACGCTTCAAGATTTCTTGTTCATTGGCCCGCAAGTGCGAATGAACATAAGCAGACGTTATGGTCTCGTCTACCTTCTCGTCCGTCCACCAATTCCCGCCCGAAGGCATGTTCGGAGTATGGAACGTCCCTGGTGTTCATGAGACTTGGCACCACAGAAGAAAGTTGGTTCGCAAGGGAGTGTTAAGGGAGACAAGGTCATCACCAGCAACGTAATAGGAGTAATTGAAGGGAATGGATGATGGAAAGGACAAGCAGGATGGACGCCTAGCCAAAACAAAACCAAATCAATTCTGAACGACCTTCATATTGGACCTGTTCTCTCGAAGTTGAGATAACGTGCACGGTGACATGGTAGGCGTGCCACCGAGTGGGGCTCGCAACCCAAGAGGCCGTAACGCGTCGTCTTATCGTCCCGGCGTCTCGGCGGCTCGCGTCCCAGGTGGACATTGGCTGGGGCAGAAGCATGCATGGCGGGTAACCGTGATGCCCAGGGGGCAAGACGCCGAAAGTGAATTAACAAATGGGTCCAGCTATCGCAGGTCCGAGCATCACCCTCGCCTCGGAGACGACAGGATCTCGAATGAGAAACGGCAGGGTGCAGTCAGCACACTTGCGGGGATATGCAGTTTTCTCGGTTGGAGTTGAGACAGGATTTTACGCCACCGTCTCATCTCGCAAAAGCGCCAATGCCCCTGGACCTTTGCAACGGCAAGGGATGGTAGACGCAAACCTTCAGATGTGCGACCCAGGAGGCAAATCCGTCAGGCCGGGCTGTCACAAACGGTGCGACAGGGAAGTGCATAGAGCAGGCTCACACAGGTACCGCCATCCCACCTTTTGGCTAGGGCGTTTAAATAAGGGACTAGCTATTTTAGATGGAATGCCGAGTGTTGATCAGGCACCATCAGATGTCGTCGAACAGAAAGAAAATGGGGGTTCCTAACGTTGCGTGGATACCAGGCGAGGATCGTTCCCGACATCCGCCATGATGCTTACGGGATGCGGCACGGCGGCAACAAGGACTATACTTCCCCGAGAACGGCTGACAGCGGCCCAGAGGTGTTGAGAAGCACAGAACCGGATATGCGTAAGGATCCATTAACGGTCGCAGAGACGCGAACGAGCCTGAGAAAATGAGCAGAAGATACGATGACAACTCGAGATATGTCAGCAGTACAGAGGAGAAGCAATTTATGATAGCAGGCCTTGGCCCGAGATAGCAGGTGAGAGTGATCCCACAGTTCCCGGCATGCGAGCGCTTTAGGCGACCTGGAATTTCGCCTGTTCAAGGGGCACCTGAACTGAAGATCCTGGGCTCGGCTCCGGGCGTCGGGCGTTCCCCGGTGGCCTCGTGGCCCGGCTCAACGGCCCAGCTCACGCTGCCCTACGAGTACTCCGTACTTAAGAAGTGGTGGGGTTTCCATCAAGCACCAACTAGGCACTGTAGGGTACTCGAGCCTCGGTGTGGCTATTGCGATATGACTCCCAATATCCCTATGTGTACACTGCACTTGGATGTTCCAGGCTGACTTGTATACAGGATAGAGCTGATGGAAGTCTATTTCCATAATATGGCTGGGGTCCGAAGATGTCTGGGATTAGTTGCCCTGTGCCGACGAGTACTCGACATCGGTCCCCCTTTTATTGAGATCTATGCTTGCACTGCATTTCATGAAATCCATACAAAACATCAAATAGCTCTCACCGTAACACCTGAGCTTCCTGCAGGCATGGAACGGCGATGTTGCACCAACGCATGCCAGTAAGAATTTCCCCGTGCGGCGTACGCGGGACAAAGAAATTGAAAGCAGTCGGCGCCCGGGACTTTGGGCTACACAAGCCTTTAAGCACATCTTGTGTCGCGCCCCACAATCGAGCATCGTGTTCCGTACACGGAGCTTGGATTAGAACCGTGGCGCAAGTTGAAGCACTTCAGCTAGAAGGAAGCTGATGTTCCTCTCGATGCGCCCGTGCCAGCTGACTGCGGGCGAAGACTTGCGGGCTAAGAACGCGCGCCAAGTCTGCCGCGTTAGCCCAACGGCTTCCAGAACGAAACGACCCCTTTGCCAGGGCGGTCCTACCACGAGCTATGGCTTTCCCACGGGTTTCTTCGACCTTCAAAAGTCTGGCCATGGAATTCACTGTCAGTTCGACCAGCATTTGTGTCGTGCCGTGGTGTTGTCCGCCGACCCGCGAGCTCGCGCTAAAACATGTTCATTTCCGAAGGCTTTGACTGCTACTGCCCGGCTGACTCGGCAGCTAAAGCTCAACCCGCTAACTGGGGGCTGTCATGCTCCACGGCTGGGTGAAAAAAGACCGCAATCCAGGCGGCATCCACAAAATTATCGCGTACTCGTAGTTGGCGATCATCCGTCCTCCCACAATTGACCTGAAAATACGACTCAGCAGTCGCTTGGGATTCCAAGACAAGCTCCAGATGCTCAGTGCGAGCTACAGGTATTTCATTCCGCAGAAAATTCTCGTGTTGTGAACGAACCCAAGCGGGAATAGAATCCCCCAACGATCATCAAACAATGTCGTGCATCGCAATTAAGCACTCGTCCGCCCTGCAGATCTTCCGCGTCTCATCGAGCGTTCTAGTGGTTGGAGGTTGCGAAGTGGATAGAATTGACCTCAAACTGGTCGCCTGCGGCTGCTCCTACAGGCCTTGGTGCGGTCTTCTGGGGTCTAGACCATTGGGCACCGGATTTCTGCTCAGTGCTTTTTCATGCCTGTCGCTAGATCTGTATGATTTCTGCCTGTCGGCAGACTTGAAATCATCTTTTGCTTAGTGGACAAACATTCGACCTGACTGATCACTCCAAATCACCTTGATTTGGCTGCGCTTCTTCAAGTCGAATGCTAGTATCGCGCGTACGACTCAACACACTTCTCCTCCCGGCACATTCCCAGAAACAGCTCAGTATCCTACACGCTCACCGCACCCCCCGACGACTCGACTTGATAGCTGCTCTGTGCAATCACCATATTACATTAGCTGTTCGGGCCGTTGTTTGACGCCGTTTGCTTGAAACGCAGTGTCCTGCCCTCGCCCTCGCCCTCGCCCTCACCTGGGTCAGCGGGGTATCGCCTCGCTCAAATGGATGATGTCCGAACTATGCTAGCATACGAACAGCATCCTGTCGAACAAACTGTCGAAGAGGTTATCCCTGGAACACTTGAGAAGGACGGTCCGCTGGATTTTCGAGTTGGATGCAGCATCAACAACTGCGGGGAGGACTTCGAACGTCCGAGTTCAGAGAAAGAAGACCGACCACTCCCCTTCCACCTGAGGCGTACAAATACACCGGATTTGTTTGCTCGGCCGTTGAAGAGCTTCAGTTTCCACGAGCGAGCTTCTTCATCAACCCGAGAGCCGCGACGACTTTCCTCGAGCACATCCCCTCGCACCCGGTCGTCGCCCATGTACCTGACATCGCTCCCAGCTGTTGGAATATCAATAGAGCCGCACTGGGCTCAGGGCTCTTTCGTAGCAGATGAAAGGGAGGAAAGATTGGAACAGCCTCGCCACTCACACTCGTGGCCATCTGGTGCTGCCGTGACAACAACTGCGCACAGTGCCGGATTTGGCGTCGCACCTCTCCTCACACCACCTGAGGATGCAGAAGAATTCACATGGACTATACCTTCAGAGGCCAGCAAATCACCAAGACAAGAGTCATTGTCATCAGATCTAGATAATCAGAGGGTCGCTATCGCCGGGCGCGAGTCGTCGGATCAATCAACAACGCGCCCGTCAACCATTACTCTGCCGCCGGGAAACATGATGGACGCAGGCGGGATACCCTCCACCTGGCTGGGCCGTGCAATTCAGGTCATCGGTAAGTGCTGCAGCTTTTGCTCGAACACTGTGCTGATGAAAACGTCCAGTCTCCGTTAATAGCGATTTGACTCCCAACGCCCAGATGCATATGGTGGTGCAGGCCATGCCTCCCCACGTTGAGCGCCCGAGAACAGGCACAAAGCTGATTTTTGAAGAGGTCGTACAATCCCTGCAGCGCTCATCAACGAATGTGCCATATGTGACCATCACACACACGTACACAGATCACAGACCCGTCAGCCTCGAAGAAATCCCAGACTCCCCCCCTGCCACGCCCAACATCCATGATGGGTCTGACTATTTCGACAACAATACCATATTCACACACGTTGCTCAGGTTCCCGATTACCACAAGCCAAGCACGGTTTCAACAAATGGTGTTCGCAATCCTAAAGTCGCTGCCCCTTCGAGTGTGAATGTTAGTACGATTGAGCGGTACATTCCTCCTACCACAGCGGATGAAGTTCGAGATTTATTCTCTATCAGCCGTCGCTCTCACCTGGTCGATCGCCTTGGCGAGCTTAGTGCTACTCAGAATGGCACTCTGTTGCTTGTCTATCCCACAAAAGCTGGAGGACAGACGTTCAGCAAGTGGTACAAAGATCCTATCCTCGATCCTCTCCTTCGACGTTTCATGATGCTGCGTGGTTTGACTACTCCTGCAGGTGCAGCTCTTGGACGCCTAGAATCCGTGGACAGCCTGATGGATTTCGACCAAATGCAGACTGCTCTCCGGAAAGTCTGCGGAGAGCTTGCCCCGCAACTACCGCCTGTTGGAGGACGCAGCCAGTTTATCATCGACCACGCAGAAAAAGCAGAAGTTATCCTGGACCGTCAGACCTGGATTGAGCTTTTCCTCACTCAGGAAAGCTCTCGAATGAGGCAGGACCTCATCGACTATCAGAAGTCCGGGCAGCGAATGCCAGCATCGGGATTTGAGGCGTCTCCAGCTGCTCTGGCAAGAGAAGTCGAAGATGGCATCAGAAGCAGCAAAGAACACGCAGGCGGCATTGGCATCGAGGTCGGTGTCTTTGTTATTCGAAGGTCTCTGATATGAGCGTACGTGTTTTCTTGCATTCAAACAGCGAAGGCGCTTGGGACGGGTTGGCATGAATTATGAAGTCGAAAACGATGTCGTCAATCTCTGTTTTCGATACCGCTGAGCGGTCGTGAGCGGTCGAGACAACTAATACCACTTAATGATACAATGGACTGTACAAGTTACCTTTTCATGCAAGTGTAGAAAGTCGGTGCAGGGCTCGTCACAGTACGAGAGGCACAAGGATAATCCCCTGGTCTCTAGCTATGCGCGCTAACCAAAAATAGGATAGGCGCGATAGTGACATAAACTCTCGTGAGCACTTCAACTTCATTCACCTTCTCATGTCCATGATTGATCGACCCAGTCGCCATGAAACCAATGCAAAGGCCCTATCTCTCCAGGTGCTCGATTGTAGCGCATCGTGAAGTCGGTTGGCTGACACGGCCAGATGCGGCGAGGGGTTCGGTCACGGCAACGCCGCTATCTACATTGCCAGGACCTATTTTGTATGTATCATGGAAGAGTATGTTGATCTAATTGATTTCGGGCAAGAACTAGCGGAGAGCGGCCAGGTGCCTCCGAGCAGGTTTGCTCTTGCTATTTCGAAGCGAACGCACCTTCTTCCCGGAAATCGTGACCGGCAGTTCGCTTACGATCTTTGACCCATGTTTGCTGATACCCCTCTCGTACGGCGGTGCCTATTACGGTCGTCTTCTGTATTATCAGTTCTCAAGAGTTGTTCGAGACGTGTTCTCGGAGCGAAACTGCGGCTGCCGTTGATTTGTGCGCCAGGCAGTCGGGTGTAACTTAAATTTCGTGCCTTCCTTTCCCTCTGCTTTTGAACTTGGCCTTGGCATTGACTGGCCAGCACTCTCTCACGCTCGTAAATCTGCAAACTTCAGACAGCCACCTTCAACTCTACTATTCCGACAATTGCTTTCAAACACCTACAATTGGCGCTTACTAAAATGGCTCGTCTCGCTGGAGTTTTCATGGTTCTCGCTCTCTTCTTCTCTGCTCTGGTTCAAGCGATTCCCACCATTCATGCTCTTGGCTCCAAATTCTTCACCAGCGAAGGCCAACAGTGGTTTATCAAAGGTCTGTAGTTCATCAAGATCAGAGACAGACATGCTAATATTGTTTCAAGGAATTGCGTATCAACTGATTGAGGCTGATCCTCTCGTCAACACCGAGCAGTGCGAGCGCGATGCCGCCTTGATGCATCAGCTTGGTGCGAATGCCATCCGCGTCTACCACGTTAACGAGTCTGCCGATCACTCCGGCTGCATGAACGCCTTAGCTGCTCATGGCATCTACGCCTTTATTGATCTAGACAGCTTTCACTCCTATATTCGATTCGTGAGAGCACACCTACAGACAAAACTTCGAGTCTTCGACTGATGGGGGATAGGATACTGTATCTTCATGGGACAGCAACAAGTCTGAGTCGTATCGGGCCGTCATGGACAACTTTCAGCAGTATGACAACACTGCAGGATTCTTTGTTGGTAATGAGGTCCTCAATTCCCGTAAGTCGACCCCTTCCACGTGATTTTGCGGCAGCTCACGGTCAACCAGAGCTTGACTCCCATGCTGCTCCGTACTTGCTGGCTGCTGCTGTCGACATGAGAAAGTACCGCGATGCCAAGGGTTACCGCAAGATTCCAATCGGTTATTCAGCCACCGATACAGGCGCTCTTCGCCCAATGCTGCAAGACTACGTCGTGTGCCGTCCGGATGAGAATGAGCGCATGGAATTTTATGCTGTCAATACATACTCCTGGTGCGGCGCTCAGACAACGTACGAGACTTCTGGGTATCCTATGCTTCAAAATTCCTCGCAAGACTATCCAGTACCGATCTGGATGTCGGAAGATGGCTGCAACACCAACCCTCCTCGTGACTTCAAGGACCAGAATGCTGTCTTTGGACCACACATGGTCGACACTTGGTCGGGAGCTATGATCTATGAATGGATTCAAGAGCTAAACAACTACGGTCTGGTGAATTACGGTCCAGTGCTTGACGCTTCGGTTCAAGAAGGCAACAGAGTGGTTCAAGGGTAAGCTAACGATTTGCAGTACTTAACCATAGCTAAGTTGACCAGATTTACGCGCGAGGGCCAGCCTACCCCCGTTCAGCCAGATTTTGCCAACCTACAGAAGGTCTGGGCCACCATAACTCCCTCAGGCGTTGACGCATCTGCTTACGCTGCCACCTTCAAGACCAAGGTTCCGGAGTGTCCTCTTTCCACGGCCGGCGGATGGGCTGTCAATCCTTCGGAAAAGCTGCCCACTCTTGGTGCGGCCCCAGTCAGCTCGGGCATGCCTACTGGCTTACCTAAAGGAAGCATTACGGTTACAGGCATTTCGAGTGCTAATGCATCTACGTCCGGCGGCAATGTATCGCCAACGGCATCAGACAAGCCTTCTGGTCCCACCGAGCCGTCGGATTCGGAGTCCGCCTCAACGAGTGCAGGCGATGCTTCGGCGACCTCCGCGGGCGCGGCTGCGAAGCTTGGATCTGGTATGTTTGGCCGAAGCTTGAGCAGCTTCGAGCCAGTCACCGTGGTCATTGTTCTCGTCGCTATTGGCGCGGCCTTCGTCCTCTTCCTTTGAGCGCGAAAAGATGCAGGAGAACGAGCGAAAGGATGCAGTAAGAGTGCATAATGTCCGCAAATGGTGTACATAAGCAACCTGCGTTGCCAGTACAAGTAGCATAGAAGCCAATTCGTTGTGGCCCAGCCAGGACCAGGCCAACCAATCGAAGCATAGATACTGAGAGTGTGTTGCGGAATCATCGACTTTCCGCTTCCGCGATACGCGATAGGCACGGTTACTGTATTCGTTCGACCAGAGAGACATGTGAAGACACCAATGCAAAAGCTGACCAATATCTTGAACACAGACAGTAGACTGGAGCATTGAGCTTTGCCTTGAGGTCAGGAGCGTTTGCTCATAACAAGGATGTCAGTTGCCCAGGAGCAACGGTCAAGGGGCCTACTTTCGCCGTGATGGAAGCAACTTTGCTGCTGCCCAGAAGCCCAATGACCAGATATCTAGATACCTATTCAAAAGCGATCCGGGTCCACTCGGCCGAGACTCTATGGGACGAACTATGGAACCACGGCGACTGTCGGCGCGAAAGCATTTTTGCTCAACACAAATTGAGCGGCTCGACTTCCATTCACAGATGCTGGCTTACCTCAGGCTTGGCTTCTCATGGACCAGATCTGTCAGATCTGTTGCATCGGACCCCACTGCTTCTCACCGGGCTGCAGAAAGAACCACAACGGTTCGCAATGACTTTGAGGAGCCATCCCGTCAATCTTGTCGACCTCTGACGTGTGGACTCCAGCGTGCCTGCCACTACTCAAGCTATAAATATATTACAGAGCGACGCCTGATATTGATGTCGGTATCAAAGCGTGGTAAATGATCAGTTGCGACAAGCTAGCAGCGAACTATCCTACGGAGGCACTAGGACCTGCACTTCATGTCGTCCGGTATCTCGGATCGTGGCCAGAGGCCTCGCATTAGCGAGAGGGAGCGGGAGCTCACTCCACACCGTCAGCACACCCTGGACTGGTCCTTCGAGCCTCATTCGTTGGGGCGGCCGCTACGGGTAAACTGCCCGTGCTGCTCGCGAAGTTTTATCCACAAATTCGTCTCAGGCTCCGTCATGAAGATGGAATCTTTCCCTCTTCTCGCAACTTTATTATGACTCGAGGTGAAATTTTAGCATGTTGGGATTGTGAGATATGACGCAGCGGAGCGGGCTGTCACTCTTACCTCCGGCTTAGAAATACAGCTGTAGATAGCCGAGCCCTGCTTCGCATATTGTTACCGACCATGGATACGCAAACAAAAACTCCTGTAGACCGCTAATATCCCGTCTTGCGAGTCCCATACGGTCTGAATTGACGACCAGGGATTCTAGCTAGACTTCACCCATTCACTTCTGTTTCGGTTCTTGCATTCTTTGTTCTCACCTTACTTGAGTGGTTGTAAATTAACTCCGATTTCAAAACACGGTCTTGGCATCGATGCGGTCACCATCGCGATCCTCATTAAGTCCGATCATTTCGCCACTGCCGCAATCGTTTTGAATCTTCTCCAGATCATCTCTGACAATCTGTCCCTGGTGTTCTGACAGGCCGCTTTCAAGTCAAGATGTTGGGCCATCAGGACAGTGGTTACTACCAACGCCGGGCTGGCGACGAAGGTAAGAAAGAACCTGTGGCGGGCACCTTGAAGTGATTTCCACTGACTTCCCACGAGCGCACCAGACGAATCTGCACAACACTGCCCCTGGCCAGTTCAGCCATGACACCACCGCGGTTCAATCGCCTCATAGCTCAAATGAAGAAATATCCGGCCCTCGGGATGCTGAAGGTACCTGGGGTGAGCGTGATGTGGGCGGGCCTGTCAGTCGCGAGGAAGCAATGTCCGAGTTTGAGGAGATGCGCCGCCAATTGACCCAGCTCAGCCTCCAAAGAACGCGGAGCAGGACTTCAACCACTACTGGGCGACCTAGGATGTCATTTAAGCGCTCACGGACTCAGCCAGAGCGACCTCGGACTCGGTCAACGAGGCGTCCAAGCGAGGCCACTGGCGCAACCGCTGATGACGATAAGGAGGCTGGGCCAGAGGATGACGACGAGGAGGACGAGTTCGCGCTTGGCGACTTCCTACGGGATGGGCATTTCGAGAAGCGCACTCCCGAAGGCCATTCAGCGAAGAAGGTCGGCGTGGTCTACAAGAACCTCACCGTGAAGGGCATCGGCGCAACCGTGGCGTTCACCAAGACCTTGCCTGAAGCGATTATCGGAACATTTGGTCCAGACCTTTACAATCTGGTCTGTCGCTTTATCCCTTCGTTAAGATTTGGCAAGAAACCCCCAACAAAGGATCTTATTAAGAACTTCTCGGGTGTTGTTCGGGATGGAGAAATGATGCTTGTACTCGGCCGACCTGGTTCCGGATGCTCGACCTTCCTCAAAGCGATAGCCAACGAACGAAGAACTTTCGCTGCAGTTGATGGTGAAGTGATATATGGCGGCATCTCTGCGACCGAGCAGAAGAAGTATTACAAAGGCGAGGTCAACTACAACCCCGAAGATGATCAACACTTCCCCGATCTGAATGTCTGGCAGACGTTGAAGTTCGCTCTCACGAACAAGACGAGAAAGCACGAAGGGGGATCCATTCCCGTGATCATTGATGCGCTGCTGACAATGTTTGGCATCACCCACACCAAGTACACCAAAGTTGGCAACGAGTACGTGCGAGGTGTCTCTGGCGGTGAGCGTAAGCGTGTCGGCATTGCTGAAACTCTGGCTACAAAATCCACTGTCGTCTGCTGGGACAATTCGACTCGTGGCCTCGATGCTTCTACCGCCCTCGACTATGCGAAGTCACTGCGCGTCATGACTGATATCTCCAACCGCACTACTTTCGTCACTTTGTATCAGGCTGGCGAGGGTATCTATGAGCTTATGGACAAAGTGCTCCTGATCGAAGATGGCCGGATGATTTATCAGGGACCAGCCAATGCTGCCCGGCAGTACTTCGTCGACCTTGGCTATCATGCGCCCAACCGTCAGACGACAGCGGACTTCCTGACATCGATCGGCGACCCTAACGAGCGTCAATTCCAGTCTAAGGTTGAGCTTGCCTCCATACCCAAGACTGCTGAAGAACTGGAGGGAGCATTCAAAAAGTCTCAAATCTGGAAAGACACCCTGTCAGACGTTGAGCAATACGAACAGAAGCTACATGCTGACGAATGTGCCGATACACGCCAATTTCAGCAGGCTGTCTCTGAACAGAAGTCTAAGTCTCTTCTCGATAAGTCTCTCAAGCGATCCAGCTACACAGTGTCGTTCTGGCGTCAGGTTTTGGCCTGCACACAGCGCGAATTCTGGCTTCTCTGGGGTGACAAATCCTCGCTCTACACTAAGGCCTTCATCATCGTCGCCAATGGCCTCATTGTAGGCTCACTTTTCTACGGGGAAAGTTTCGGTACCGGTGGTGCTTTCTCTCGTGGTGGCGCTCTATTCTTCTCGATCCTCTTCCTTGGCTGGTTGCAACTGTCAGAATTGATCAAAGCTGTGTCTGGCCGAGTTGTGATTGCTCGACACCAAGAATATGCCTTCTACCGCCCGTCAGCTGTGGTAATTGCACGGGTCCTTCTCGATATCCCGGTCATCGCAGTCCAGTCCATTGTTTTCACGATCATTCTGTACTGGATGTCGAATCTGGCTGTTGATGCAGGCAAGTTCTTCATTAACTTGCTCTTTGTCTACGTCACCACGATCTGTATAACGGCTCTTTACAGAATGTTTGCAGCCTTAAGCCCGAGTATCGACGATGCCGTGCGCTTCTCAGGAATCGCTCTCAATCTTCTCATTATCTACGTTGGCTACGTTATTCCGAAACAGACACTTACCAGCGACGTCATTTGGTTCGGCTGGATTTTCTATGTGAACCCAGTCTCATATGCGTATGAGGCGGTTCTGACCAACGAGTTTGCCGGCCGCACCATGGAGTGTGACCCAGCGCAGCTTGTTCCTCAAGGACCTGGCGTTCGGCCTGACTACCAGGGCTGTGCTTTAACTGGTGCAACGCCCAATTCGAACACTGTGAGCGGCACGGACTACTTCTCAACTTCTTTCAGCTACTCGCATTCCCATGTCTGGCGCAACTTCGGTGTCATCATCGCGTTTACGGTACTATATATCTTGATCACTGCATTCGCCTCCGAACTCTTCTCCTTCGCTCAAGGCGGAGGCGGTGCTCTGATCTTCAAGAAGACGAAGAAGTCGAAGAAGATCGCCGAAGCCGAGAACAAAACGGTGGACGAGGAGTCACCTATGCCAGCGGCCCCACAAGCGTCTGCCAGCCAGTCTTCTGGTACTCTCGAGGGCGAGAAGGACAAAGTCGCCCAAGACATTTCTGGCAGCAAGTCGGTATTTACTTTCGAGGATGTGACGTACGAGGTTCCATACCAAGGTGGTACTCGCAGGCTGCTCAACAATGTCAACGGCTATGCCCAACCGGGCAAGATGATCGCGTTGATGGGTGCATCCGGGGCCGGCAAGACTACACTTCTCAATACCCTGTCTCAGCGTCAGAAGATGGGTACTGTTGGTGGAGATATGCTTGTCGATGGCCGCCGGCTAGGCGTCGATTTCGCACGTGGAACTGGCTTTTGCGAACAGATGGATCTCCACGACATGACTGCGACGGTTCGCGAAGCCCTGGAATTCTCTGCTCTGCTACGCCAGGACCGCCATGTCCCTCGCCAGGAAAAGCTTGACTACGTGGAAAAGATCATTGAACTTCTTGAGCTTCATGAGATTGAGGACGCCATTATCATGTCCCTGGGTGTCGAGCAGCGCAAGCGCTTGACAATTGGCGTTGAACTGGCGGCGAAACCTGATCTGCTTCTGTGAGTATTCCTTCCGCTCGATCAAGGGTGACAGACTTGCCGGAAGGGCTTTCCGAACTCACAGATGACCACATCCAAAAGACTCAGCTGTGGGTTCAGTGGCCTGCCTGCCAACTTTACCGACCCCTGATGCTCTACCACGCAAATTACTAACGTGTCCTCCAGCTTCCTTGACGAACCGACATCAGGCCTCGATGCTCAGTCGGCCTTCTCTATCGTTCGATTTCTGAAGAAGCTCTCTCATGCCGGCCAAGCTATTATTTGCACCATTCACCAGCCCTCGTCGATGCTCATCCAACAATTCGACATGATTCTCGCGCTAAACCCCGGCGGCAATCCATTTTACTTTGGCCCCGTCGGCGACAATGGTTCTGCCGTCGTCAAATATTTTGCCGATCGTGGCACACAATGTCCTCCCAACAAAAACGTGGCCGAGTTCATTCTGGAGACGGCCGCGAAGGGTGGCACCCGTAGCAAGGATGGTAAGCGTGTTAACTGGAACAAGGCCTGGGTCGAGTCCGATGAGAATAAGGCGATGCTTGAGGAGATCCGACGACTCAAGGATACCCGCAGCAAGGAAGTTGACGATCACCCCAACGATCAGAAAGAAGTGGTCGCGTTCGCCGCCCCCATCTGGGAGCAGACGTACCTCCTTACTAAGCGTACCTTTACCCAGTACTGGCGCGACCCTTCATATCTCTACGGCAAGATCTTCGTGTCTGTCATTATCGGCATTTTCAATGGTAAGCTGTCCCTCCTCTGATCCAATCCCTCCGGCGCCAACCCCACAATAAATTGGGCTACTTCGTGGTCATTCACCACCAGTCCCCATTCCGCAACTCGTACGGTGTCGCAACAGGAGCTAACTCATTACTTCTTTAGGCTTCACATTCTACAATCTCGACAACAGCATCGCGTCGCTGCAGTCCCGTCTCTTCACGCCTTTTCTTATCCTACTGATTCCCCCAACCATAGTGAATGGTGTGGTGCCTAAATTCTTCATGTCTCGCGCTTTATGGGAGGCACGCGAGCACCCGTCACGCATCTACGGCTGGTTTGCGTTCTGCACCGCGCAGGTTGTCGCAGAGATTCCAATGGCCGTCATTTGCAGCGTCATCTATTTCCTCCTGTGGTACTTCCCCACCGGACTGCCGCGGAACAGTGCCACTAGTGGCTACGTATTCTTCATGACCATGCTTTGGTTCTTCTTCCAAGCAAGTTGGGGGCAGTGGATCTGCGCGTTCGCGCCCAGCTTCACCGTCATCAGCAACGTGCTCCCGTTCTTTTTCGTTATGGTTTCGATCTTCAACGGCGTGGTTCGGCCGTACGAAGCTCTGCCAGTCTTCTGGAAATACTGGATGTACTGGGTCAATCCGTCGACATGGTGGATCGGGGGCGTGCTTGCAGCAGTACTGGGCGACCAGGTTGTCGAGTGTGCGCAGGGCGAGACGACCATCTTCAACGCTCCTCCAGGCCAGACCTGTGGAGACTACGCTGGCGACTTCATCAGACAGGGCATGGGTTATATCACGAACCCAGACGCTACGAGTGACTGTGGATATTGTCCTTATGCCAACGGCGCAGAATACCTGAGCACAATCAACATCAGTCCCGGCGACAAGTGGCGCGACCTGGGAATTTTTGTGGTGTTCGTCTTTAGCAATTGGGCGTTGGTCTATGTCTTCATCTACTGCTGCCGTGTCAAGGGCTGGACTTTTGGTATGGGCCCACTATTCAGCTATGCCGGTCGTGCGGTCGATGGTGTGAAAGGGCTGTTTTCGAGGAAGGAGTCAGCAGGAGAGGCCAAGAAGGTTGAGGCTTGAGTGCGCTGAGAGTGCGAGATGTTCTGAAGATGCGATTTGTACTGTCACGAGGAGTCTGGAGTCCAAACAATTGGTTCACGGCACAGAGGAAAAATAGATTGATACCCTAGAATAGAATTTCTTGCTTTACCTTCATTCAGCTTTGCATGACGGACAGAATTGACCAAGGAGGGGGGGGGGGGGGGTCCTCAAAATCACGTCGTAACGCATCCGAAAGCCTCTGTGGTGAGATTGGGGAACCCTTCCGTCAATGTTCTCGACCTTGGAGATGCTGACCTTGCTGGCGTGGACGCACTCGTACACATGCCCACACAGCCTCTAGTTGAGCTGCAAAGGACTAGGACTGCAACCAACCAGTCAATCATCCAGCATGACCTGGCCTTACCTCAGCTACATTTCACCGCGTCGTAGGCGACTAATTCCTGACACAAGGCAGGGAAGCGAAAAGACACCAACAGTAGCGTGTCGAACAACCAAAGCAATGTTTTTGTCCAATTCTCCCGAGCAAAGATGCTGTCCAGCAACCACAAGTGGGAGTCGATGCTTCCTGATATGTGCCCGGCAAGTGATCGTGCCTGGTAGGGCAACTTCCGGATATGCTACTTGCAGCTTTCCTCGAGACCGGGGCACTTTGTCAATACCACTACCAAACCTCTACCAAAATTCCCTTTTACCGAGGTAAGCTGGAACCCACCTCAAAATGGTAGGCCATATACCCGATCTGGAATGCCACGAACTCCCGACTGGCAAGATCGAATGTCTCCAATGCATTTCCGGCGGCAGTTAGAAATCGTGTCTGTAATTTCCCAGCTCCGGCTGCCTGACCTAGTGGTTACGAATTCTTTGGGCAGTTCACGGTTCTGAGGGGTACTCACTCGCCTCATTCTGGCCACCGACTGCCCGATAAAGAGTCATACATACCAGGTCTAGTGATTGAGAGATTCAGTTGCCTCGGTTGCAAAAGTCATAAAACTCATCTGCCCTGCCCTCTCGTCCCTCCCAGCGGGATTCTATTCCGGTGTCCTCAGTCAAATCAAGCAAGTCCCATACTCGATGCGGACAGCGGCGAAGTTTTGACGGGGACAATCGGAAATCCAGGCTCCCATGTCGATTCTTTGGAAACCAACGCAAGCCCGTACGTGGGTTTGTCTTTCTTAGGGCGCATGCGGCCTTCCCGGGGGGGAGGGGGGGAGATGCGGAATCCTGGTAGACTCCGAAGAGATCCTCAAGCTGCTGCAATTTGGTAGACTCAGAGGTTTCACAGGGGCCATGGGACTTTTCGAGCAGCGACTCACCTCATTTCCAGCTCACGACACCTGCAGCGATCCCGCGGCGGAAGGCCAGGGCATTTTGGGTGGTTCCCGAAGCGGCAGGGTGCCTGCCAGTTATGGTAACTGCTGTGTTACAGCGGCGAAATTACAGATTTTCTGCGCCGACATGCGTGATGGGTTTTCTTTCTGGCTGGCTGAGAGTCCCTCATCACCATGATCCAGACAACATCCCAAGGCACATCTCAAGTCGAGCCACTCATTCGGTCAGGGTGAGGGCAATGGACATCAGGTAAGCCTTTTGGCAATGCAATAGATTCAACAATGGAGAAGTATCCATGTATTTCAACGTGCTCAACCGGGACGCTATTAGAATTGCGGTGGAACAGTGTTGTGCCGCAACCACCGAAGGCAATATGGCTAGGCTGAGAAAGGGCGTTTCTTACATATTTGCCTTAAATCACCGTTGCTCTATCTTCAGCTCAAATGCGGCACTCGCAGACTGGCCAGCACCAAGTTCACAATACTGACAACGCCCTCTCCTAATATGAGACCACTCGCCAGCACGATTACCTTGGTCTCGCCCCTGCCCTTCCAATTCACCCAATACCCCGCAATCAAGCCGCCGGCTGTTCGCGCCAGTGTGAAGCTCGGGGTGTTGTACATGCCCACTGCGACGGCAATACCACCGGGTATCCACGGGTGCAGTCTTCTCTGCCACTCCACTTTCGAGTTCAACAGGTAGATGCGGAGCGCGGTGGTAAGACAAAATAGTGCGCCAAAGCATAGCGCAAACTTCCACGCCATTGGTGGCAGGCCTTGACCAGTGACAAGACGGGCAGTGAATATCCAGACGTAGGCGGTGGGGGTCTGGAATAGGTCGCCTGGGATGGGATACACGCTCACGTAAAGCTTGTATACGGCAGCAGAGACGACTGCACCAACGACGGACCCGATGAGCTGGCCATAGAACTGTGCTTTTGGTGAGGCGCCGATCAGATGCCCGGCTTTGAGGTCCTGCAGAATGTCGCCAGCTTGCAGAGCGCCTGCCTCAGAGACGGCCCCCGCGATGAGGTTGACGACGATCGCGTTGCTAGAGGACGGTGTGATGGCCGCGAAAATGAGTTGAGTGAGCTTGCTGATACCGGAGACGGGGTTGAGATCAGTCTCGCCGAGGGCACGAACGCCCATGATTGCCAGGAGGAGCGATATAAGCAGCGAGAGAATGTTGAGGGGAATGGAGATGTAGGAGCCGAAAGTCACATGGACGCAGGCAACGCAGAGGATCATGCTGAGAGGCAACAGCCAGGCGATGGTGCGGTTTGACACAAGATGATGGGGTGGAGCGTCGTCAGCAGGCTCATCGTCGTCCTTGCGCTGGGCTGGCGTCTGAGGGACCGCCGCGTAGCCTTGAGAGGGAACGATAAGATCCTTCCAGGAAGATGAACGCTGATAGTGATGCTTCGCAATGCGAAACCAATCGGGACCATAATATATGGTGGGACGGAGAAGGAGCCAGCCGAGGTTGACGACGGCGTCAGCAAGCATGATGGCTAGGCTGACCCAAACGATCCAGCCCTTGCTGCCATTCTCCCAATCATTGACTTCACCCGGCGCCCAGCCATTATGTTTTGCGATGGGACTGAGAACGGCCCATCCCACAATAGCACCGAGAAGCATATGTATTGTTGTTGCAGGACCCATGATTATGCCTTGCCCGACATAAGCTGGGGATGGGTTGAGTGTCCAGACCCATTGGTTGGCAAGATAGGTGCCGAATATAGGCAGCTTGTGCAAAACAGGGATGAAGTACTGCAATAGTGTATAGGCGCCAGACCCAGTGAAAGCTTGTACCAACAGTCTGATTTGTCGCTTCCAGTCGGTCCTGGAGTCATCTCCCTGACGTTCATTGTCATCCGCATCGCGCTCACTGTCATTGAGGAGCTGCTCCCGCTCCTCAGTGCCCTGCGTCTGAATCTCTCGCTGCGATTTACCCTTCTCTTGGCTGTCTCCGTGAAGTACGCTGATCATCAGCGCGGTAGCCGTGCCGCTGGGGAACTTCAGCCTCTCCCGGATGATAACCTGCTTTCTCAGAGGAATACCGAAAGCGACCCCGAAAAGGCACAGGCCAATAGCCCATACCGTCATTCTCCATAGGCTAAGGTCCAGAGGCGCTCCCTCATCCGACTTGAGTAGGAATTGCAGACTTGGTATAACTCCAACAAACCCACAGCCGAGAGGCATAGTACCCACGGCTCCAGCTACTGTCTGAACCAGGACATTCTCGACTGGGGTGAAGGGCAGAGTCAGGAACCTGGACACGGATTTGAACACCGCGAAGCCGATCAAGGAGGCTGGCATGGCCATGCCCGAAACCCATCCCGTCTGAAGGCCAAAGTATGTATTTGAGAAGCAGATGATGATGCCGATAGCCATGCCTACTGCTAAGCCGCGGAAGGTGAAATTGGTGCCGTCCAAAGGTGAGTCCGCAGCAATGCTCGAGCCATAGCAAGCATGGTCCGACCTGGTCCGATTGATTGCTTCATTTGCATCGTCGCCAGTGGGCTTTCTTGTGGGAGGGGATCCAGCGTCGGATAGCTCGTGGTCGGACAGATCAGAGCTCTCGCGAGGACTCAACGGCTGGCCCATGTCGATGCCTCCTCTATCAGGCGCCATCTGCTGTCTTATGCTGCAGATGATAACACTGCAGAAGAAGGGAGGCGCAAAAGCGGGTTCTCGATCATGATGGATTCGATGGTCACGAGCACGTCAGCGAGACGCCGAGGTTGCTTGGGCTGTGCGAGAAGGCTTTAGTCGCACTCAAGCTACGGGCACCTACAACGGCCTAAAAATGAGGGGTTGATAGGCAGCGTCATCGGTGAGGAACCAGGCCTGTATCGGCCCTCCACGAGAATCTCTCCCGAGCTTCGTCCGTGGTATGCTCTTGTCGAACCCCCACGGATAAACTTCTCCGATCGCGTGAATCTCGATGGGCTTTAATTCTAGACTTTGGGCTGTCACAATAATAAATCCCAAACAAGATACTACACTGCGGGTCCGCGTTAGGACTCAATCTCTGACAACTGTACCACTCCATTAAACAACCGCCGTCCATTGTTCGCACGACGACGCTTTAAAGACTACCCCGCAAGCGCCAGAATCACACGTTCATGCAGAGCCCGTAATGGCAGTGCTGGTCTCGAAGACACCAGTCGATTGAGCTAATATGGTCTTCTGAGCAAATAGTGTTGGCTGCGGGATCCAGTGTCGCCTGTATGGCGAACGAAGGCGCCCGGGAGCGTGAGGTGCACCGGTAAGCGTGGCTTTGGTCAACCCTGTCGCTGAGGTGGTCGTACTCACATACAATCTAGATTCTATCTGCCATGGCTTGAGACGTTCCATGCTACCTCTACTCCGGCGACCATCGAGAAAAATCACAAAATACCGCGCGAAGATGATCATATCCCTCAATCTTCCCAAGATCGTGCCCTGACTGCCTTTGCACAACTGGGCGCGCTGAGACTGAATGCAAAACGATGCGTCGTTACCTTGATAGACAATGCTACGCAATATGTTCTTGCCGAGGCGACAAAGTCATTGTCCTTGATGGATGACCTCTGTCACGAGGTCGGGGACGAGCTTTGGCTAGGCAACTCCCGCATACCACGCGGACAAGGCGTCTCGGAAGATGCACTGTTCCCTAAAGAGTACACCGCAAAAGGACCTAATAATGAAGAGCTGCGTGCCCCGGCCCTCGTTATTGGAGATCTTGCCAAACACCCTCGCTATGCAGACAAGAAATATGCGGGTACTGGTGGCATCAACTTCTACGCTGGCGTCCCTATTACTACTAACCGCGGCCATACGATAGGCGTATACACCATTGTCGACGACAAGCCACGTGAAGGTCTCAACACCGAGCAGTTGCGATTTATGCTCGATATGGCCGTCATTGTGCTTCAACACTTAGAGAGTATTCGCAATGAGAGAGCCCGAGCGCGTGGGGAGCGACTGATTCAGGGTATCGGAACTTTCATTGAAGGTGATCCGATCGATGCCAATCTCTCAATCGAATCTCCTGGACCCAATATCATGCCTGATCCGCTCGCTGCCGCGGGAACGCGGCGGCAGCGGCCAAAGTCTAGGGCAGATAGAGATTCTAGTGGTACCTTCAAGGGTCTCACTATTGCGGATGCAAATACTGTTGGAAGAGAGCAATATGATTCGCAAGAGCTAGGGCAGAAGGAAGCGTCTTCACAACGAAGCATTCTACCACCAGCAGCCAAAGAGCCAGTCGAGTCACACCAGAACCCATACAAGGCCACTCAAAAACCGAAGTCACAGCATGCGATGGTCTTTGATCGCGCAGCCAAAATCATGCGCAAATGCCTAGGCGCTGACGGCGTGGTATTTCTTGATGCGAGCCCCGCCAATCTGAGCAAAGGAACAGCCAGACGGGAAAGCACCCAAACCCCAGATGCTACAGGCGCTTATCACTCTCAGGAGAAAAAGGGCAATACGAAACCTAAAACGCAGAGTGCGGTCACGCCTGAGCATGAGCTGGAGACGCCCTCCGCAACGTATACAGCAGATCCTATGGAGACATCGCAACAGAGATCGCAACCCTGTGAAGTCATTGCATTGTCCATACGCGAAATTGAAGCAGAGATTTCGTTCAATTTGAATGAACACGATCTTCGCAAGCTTGTCCGGCGACATCCACAGGGCAAGTGCTACTCCTTTGAGGCAGATGGAAAACCCGCTTTCAGTGACGATAGCGCGTCAGAAGGGCTTGTGCATGTCGATGGACCCTACGCCGATGGATTTGTCGACCGAGATGAGGATAAGAGCAAGCGAAAAGGCATCAAGAAGAATGCTTTGAGCGCTCTTTGGGGTGCACTGCCCAAGGCACGCACAGTCGTGTTTCTTCCATTATGGGACTTTTCCAATCAACGTTGGAATGCTGCCGCGGTCATGTGGTCCTCGAGCCCCGTGAAGTTGATGAATGTTGGCCAAGATTTCTCTTACCTACGAGCATTCGCCAACAGTGTAATGAACGAGATCGCACGCCTCAACTTGTCTGTATCCGATGCAGCAAAGGCGACGTTCCTGGCCAATATTTCCCACGAGCTACGGAGCCCACTGCACGGGATCCTAGGTAGCATAGAGTTTCTCCACGACACGGCATTGGACGACTTCCAGTCAAGCATGGTCATCAGTGTTGAAACATGTGGCAAGACTCTGCTAGACACAGTCGAGCACGTCCTGGACTTCGCCAAGCTCAACAATCTCTCCAAGCAAGGCGGTAAACGTAAGGGATCGTCGTCTGCATCCACACCAACGCCTGAACCCACCATCACTGGCACCTTCGATCTTGCCGTTGTGGTTGAAGAGGCTGTGGAAGCGGTTTATGCTGGCCAAGTATTCCGAACCGCCAAGCACGATGTCGCTGAAGGTAACGGCGTTGGGTCTTCATTATCAGACAAGGCTATGGCGGCAAGACGGCTGACGAAGGATCAAATTGCGACAGGCAAAGACGCCGTGTTCTCACCGGTGCACTTGACGCTGAACATTGATAACGGGGTCAACTGGCACGTCACTTCTCAATCTGGTGCAGTCCGAAGAATAGTGATGAACCTTCTGGGCAATTCTCTCAAATATACTGAGAAGGGCTCCATCAATGTCACCTTGGAGATGGACACTTCTCGCATGCACGATAAGGATGGAGGACTATTACACTCATGCATAACGGTCACAGATACTGGGAAAGGTATGTCGGACGATTTCGTCCGTAATCATGCTTTTACCGCGTTCAGCCAAGAGGATTCCCTCGCCGCGGGCACCGGCCTTGGGCTGTCCATAATTCGCTCTATTGTGGACAGCCTGGGCGGTAAGATCGATTTGCGCAGTCAAAAAGACCGGGGGACAGAAGTGAAGATCTGGCTCAGTCTCCCTGCTGCCGACGACCCCGATATAGGCCAGCCGGAGAAGAGCACACTTCGCCAGATGAGCGAGCGAACGGCCTCAATGTCGTTCTGCCTGCTCGATCCACGGCTGCCTGTGCAAGGCCAACAGAAGGCAGTGGCATCTTTGCGAGAAATGCCAACGGTCGAAGATTCCCTTAAACGTCTTCTGGCTCAGTGGTTTTCGCGCGATGTCTCCACCGCGACTAACATAGAGCAGGCCAGGAAAATGGATTTTATCATTTATGCTGAACCCCCGTCAATAGAGTACTTAACCGACCAGCATAAGGACGAGGATGAAGCGGGTGAAACCCCGATCATCATCTTTTGTCAGAATGCCTTCCATGCGAGTTCCTTGCGCATTAGCGGCGTTCAGCAGCTGACAGAGATTGGTATGTTCAAAGCTCGTGCCCTTACTTAAGCCCGACCCCAGAGATCAGTATCCAGTATTCAGTCGCTTCGCTTACCACTTTTGACATGTGGTTACTGACTTATGTTCTTAGGGAGAATTATCGAAGTCATCGCGCAACCAGTTGGTCCGCAGAAGCTTGCTAGGGTACTTCAGCGATGCATGCAGCGGATGAAGATTCTGGACAGCTCGAACGAGGCCCATTCCAGCGAACAGTCCACTGCTACACTAAGAAGGAATGATCCCATTAGCCAGTCGGGCGACCGCGTTCGACATGATCACCGCAAGCGAACATCGAGCATCTCCTACTATACCCCCCCTGTCGTCAGTCGACAACAGAGTGACAGTGGTGAAAAGCCCCGCCGCCCACAACCGGGCAGGGCCCATAGTGAAACTGCTTACTACACCCAAACCTCGAGATCGCGTCTACAACAGACTGACCATCCGGCCGCCACCCTACATCAGCCTCCACAGCATGCTGTCGACACGTCACTTCCTGGCGTGCTTGTCGTGGACGACAACCAAATCAACCTGCAACTAATGGTGACCTTCGTCCATAGGACCCGCCACCCGTATGAATCCGCCACTGATGGCACGCAGGCCCTAGAAGCATACAGGAAGGCCTGCGTTGACCCCTCCAGCGGCAAGGTCGACAAGGCCGCGCCGAAACGCCCAAAGTATATACTGATGGACATTAACATGCCAAACATGGATGGAAGCACCGCGACGAGAGAAATTCGCAAGTTTGAGAAAGAGAACCACATCGAGCCGCCCGTCAAGATCTTCGCACTGACAGGTTTGGGGGAGCTGGAGCATCCGTGGGCGAAGGAGGCCGGCTTTGATCGCTTGCTCAGCAAGCCCATCAAATTCAAAGACCTGAGGGAGCTACTGCTGTAACCCAGTCGGAGGCTGGGAGACGACGACTCTCCATTCCGAGACGTACTTCGCCTATGTGCTTGTTTGCCAAACAGAGCAGGTTTTGGCGAGCAGCGCAGCTGCAGAGGACTACTACTGAGATCTAATGTCGGAGATATGAGACCAACAGTATCACATTTGCCAAAGATGGATGGCAGACCTTGGGTATGGTGCCTAACTTGACCGAATCTGTATAGCAACAGCGAAGGTCAACGAGCCGGTATTAGCCAATCGAGAATGGGGCAGCATCTTTGGCTACCGCACGCTGCCGGGCACTGATATAGCTGTCAAGGCGAGCATATTGATGTTCGTACTCTGGAGCATATAAACGAAGATAAGGCAACCCATTAGATAGAACTTTGCCAAACGCATTTCTTCATATGAGGTTCCAAAGTCACGTACGGTGCAAGATGCATTGTTGTCAATTTTCCGTACATCGACTCGGGAAGGATAGCGTCTCAGGTCATCCCATGTTAGCCGTCAAATATCCCCATGGCGATGTAAGCTTCAGTTGCAAGGTTCAGCGTAGCCTTTGCAAAATTTCACGTCCAATTGTGTCCGATATGTCCACGTGACAGGCGTACCAAGGAAGAAACGCTCGAGCCATACACGCTGACGGGCACTTCCTGGTGAAGGTACCATGGACCGACGAACCTTCATGATAGTACGTCGTTGTCTTCCCACCATGGCTGGTTTAAACAGTCTCCCTTTCCTTCCTGACAGCCTTGTCCTCCTCGTCGCTACCGCTCCCGTTGATATGACCACCGGCAGCGGCATGATGCTGCCTGTTGTGCATGGCCTCTGCGGCGTCAGCGTCCGCATTGACCGATAAATCGCGCCCTCTCCGCTCAGGGCCAATGAATGTCAACAAGATCACATAGGCGTATACGGCGCCCATGAAAATGCAGATGACTTTGCCGTACTCATAACGCTTGGTTGTCTTGCCGTTCTTTACTAGCGGTGGAAGCGGGTAGTTCTCACCTAAGTCGGCTTCGATGGTACTGGATGCCGAGCTGGCCAGGTTGCCCAACTGATAGGATGTTCCGACCACGAATGTACGGAAAGCGCCGGGTGAAAGCTCCATCAGATGGATGGGAATGACACCCCAAGCGCCCTGAACGCAGAACTGTTCGAAGAAAGCAGCTGCGATGACAGCCTTGGAGGACGTGTAAGTGTAAGGATATAGCAGCGCTCCTCCGATGACACACATGACCAGAATGCAGAGCCGACGACCGAAAATCTGGCTCGAGTAGCCGACCAATGTACCACCAGTCATTGCGCCCAAGTTCGCAACAACTTGCGTAACTGTAACCGCATCGGGCGAGAACTTGTACTGATTTTTGAGCATTGTTGGATATAGGTCTGCGGACAATGTTGATCAGTAACCTTATTCAAACCTTAGGGATTGATGAGGGGCGAAGGAAGACCAGTCATGTGGCAATCCAAGGGTCAAGTCCCCCCGAAGTGAGACTTGGAACTTATTGCGGTAACACAACTCAGGCAACGAAGTTGACGGGCGCGAGTCCCCAGGGTTGGAGCAACCCACCTTGAGATCCATGAGACATGAAATTGAAGCCTGCCATAAGTGCCACCATGTAGCAGAGCAAAAGCCAATGCCTACGAAGAGCGACCTTGCCCTCGCTGATGAATGTGCCAGCGATGCCTGGACCTTGTGCTTGACGCAGAGCCTGGCGTTCGCGGTATGCATTGGTCTCGGGCAGACACAGCCGGAATAGAATGATAAGTATTGGTGGACACGCGCCGAACCAAAACAAAGGGCGCCAGCCATGGGGCGTGGTGTCGACTAGAGCCCGGGCGAACGCCGTTGCTAGAAGGTAACCGAAAGCATATCCCTGCTGCAGCATACCTGAGATCTGTACTTGTCAGCGCAAAGCTATGTTGAGACTTGGGAAATCCTCACCAGACCTCGAGCCTCATCGGGACAATCCTCAAGAGCTGTTGCTGCAGCATTGCCGTACAGACCTCCCATGGCGATGCCAAAGAGCGCTCTGACCGCCAGGAATGAAGAATAATTGGAGGTGAAGCCAGTGCCAAGCTCAAGAACAACGAACAGTAAATTGTTGACGATAAAAGGCCTGAGTAAAGAGTTAGCCAGGGCTATGCAGAGGATCGCTAGGGTACGTACCATTTGCGACCGTAACGATCAGCTGCAATGCCGAAGATGGTACTGCCGAGAGATCGAAACATCAAGACGAGAGTGATGCCCCAAGTGATGTCTGCATTGGTCTTTCCGAACGTCTCAGCTAACTGTTCGACGGTTAAGGAGACGGTAAAAAAGTCGAAGGCGTCCCAGGTCCAGGCAAGGAAGGCAACGAGGAAAAACATCCACTGCTGGAAGTTGAGCAAGCGCAGCAATCTGATGGGATTCGGTGCCTTTGCCATGGCCGGCTTGAGGGTGCTGATGCGGGTCGCGGCATATCGCGTGGCAGACATTCGCTCCTCGTAGGGAGGCTCAGGGGAAGTGGGCGACTCCGAGCGAATATCTTTTTCGTTGTAGTGGTCTGCCATGGTGGGCAATGTTGCACAAGAAGAGGAGAGCTGGAGATGAGAATCGCAACTCAGACGGCGGCGCGAGGCCGGCTTTAGTAGGACGCGACCGCCGTGAAGAGAAAGCAGTGGACGCTCGTACGGACTAACAACGATCAACAGTTAGACTACCTGACTTGGTTTGGTTAATAGACGGAAACAGTGGATGGGCAGAGGCGGCCGAGTATAATTCGTGGGAGGTAGTACTGCGGGGAACCTGTGCAGGGTATGCGGGTTTGAGTCGGGTGACTGATAAGAGGTAGCAAGTGGGCAAATGCGGGAAGAAGATGGGGATGATGGAGGCAGGATCCAATGACGACGACACAAGATGGGATCAGGCTTTCGGGATGCTCGCTAGGAATGATGGGTGTAAGACGGTAGGACAGGGAGCATGCATGGGCTGGTCACTCGCCGTCTTTTGCCGTGTGTCGCGCCTGCATGTCCCTTCCCGTTTCTTCCGTTCTTTCGAGTTTCTCGAAGCCTGCCCCATTCGACATCGGGTCCATCAGGAGGGCCATGCAGCCTGGAAGAGAGCCATGTCGACGCTATCGATGTCGCAGTCTCCTGTTTGTTTTCGTCGGGTCCGCCAGGCAATGCGCCGCCGTCTTACGTGCAGAAGATCTTCCCAGTCGCGAGAAGTGATGATGAAGAGGGTGGCATCGCTGAACAAGGAGCCTTCTTGGCTGACGATCGTGGCGGAGCTTGGTTCCCCACTGCCGGCAAGCAAGACTCCGGTAAGGCGCTCAAGCCTAACCAAGCAAATGCTTACTACGCCTTAGTCTTCTGGGCATCTGCGACACGGTCGCAGGCGAAACCTTCTTCCCACGGGTATCGTGCCATAGTGCAGCTTTCGTATCACTCGAGCATGCTCCTGCCTCTTTTTTTTTTTTTTTTTTAAACACCACTCTTCATTGTTGTGATTCCAGGACTGTGCGCCAGCTCTTTTGGACCCTCTAGTGGATGTCCAATTCTAGCTGAGATGAGGTTTCTCCACGGGTTTTCCTAGAACTCCACAGCAGCCCACCCTTTTCATAGGTAAAAGCTACCACTAATACCGGCGCCTACCTCCTCCCAAGGCAACATCCGGTGTGCATACTGATGCAGCTCCTGCACCATCCTCGCCCACTGCTCCTGCTTATCTCTTCTGAACCAGCCTCGCGAGAGCCTAAACCGTCCCTTTTCACAAACTCCTTCGAGGCCTACGAGCTCCTTCCCCAGACATGTCCTCATCTCTTCTAGTCCATCTCTCGCGCTCTCAATTTCACCCACCATCGCTGCCGCTCTTAGCGACAGTCCTGCGGGGACCTCCTGGTACCCTTTGTCCAAACCCGCCGTCAACTTCTTCATCAGCGTTCTTATCCTAGCGAACAAGGCCTCCATCTGGAGACCTTCAAGCGCGGTCCACAGGAGACCATCAGGGTCGACGCTTACGATCATGGCAAAGATCCCCCGTCGTGAAGGAAGATCATGCGAGAAATGGTGCTGCATGCGACGCCGTGCTTCAAGACTGTCGACCTTGATGGCGATCTTGAACGATCTGTCGGGGCTGCTGACCGTTTTGGGGAGGCTGCTCTTACGACGTTTGGGGATGGCCATTCTGAATCCTAGGATGATGTTCGTTGCCGTTGCCGTTGCGAGGGACGGGAGATGGTACAGTAGATGAGGCAGTGCTGTTAGGTGAAGGTAAGGCAGTGTTGTATGGTGAAGGTAGATACTTTCTTCTCTTCTGGATTGAGGATAGTGAATCGTGTCGGGAACAGGCTTACTTATATACCACTAATGGACGAGCGTCTCTTTCAACACCTTCGGGTTACAGCTACTCATCTCCAGGCCCCAGAGCACTATATTGCGGGTCTGTACCAAAGACGAGCTTTAGCTTATGCACAAATCCACCAACATCATGGTACATGGCTAGGCTCCAGCACTCTTGACCTCAGCTGCACCACAACAGAGGTTTACAACCATAATCACAAACACTGAAATGGTGACTGCCTCAGCAACAACTCTTGTGTCTAGTCCTCTTCGTTGACTTTCGCTTCATACCTGATTTTCTCTCACTTCACTCACTCCTCACTTGCTGTATAGCGCGAGCCTTGCTTTCTGCACCACAGCACTTCGGATGCTTCACATTCAACAACCCATCACTGACCGTGTCATCCTCATCACGTATTACCGTTCATCCCGAGTGATCCTCGCCGGCTGCACTTCATTATGCACTTCATTACCGCCGGATCCGAACACAGCCTTCGTCTACAAGCTCCACAACGCCCAACTCACATCTTTATCCTTTCTCTACTATCGTCTCCTCCGCGCCTTACAGCACCACTTCCACCATCCCTTACTGACACTCTCCCACGCCCGCCAGCCACTTTGCACACCGAACCTTTTCTCGCGCTCCCTAAGCAACGTCCCAAAGAGGTACCACAGATCAGCAGCGTGGCGGCCGCAGCACTCGTAGAAGAAGTCCAGAGCCTCGGAGGCGAGCTAGAGGAACGAGCTCTTGACCGTGGAGCTGGAGGATCTTAGATGGTCTGCCCGGCAGATAGCTCGGAGATCCTGAACGCCGGACGCTCATTTTTAAGGCCTTTACAGCCCAGGCGATGTGCGTGGAGGCGAGCAAGAGACGGAGCAAGAGAACAGTACCGGCGTGCGGCCAGCGGGTTAACTTCTTCACCCGCAGAGCTTTTCTGTCATTAAAATCTATACCTTGGACCGCTATGGATTGGGATCCGAACGTTGATCTCAATTCTGACTACTTTGGCCAGGGCTGTGACCTCCTTGACCGTCCCGTCGAGCTTGGCTCAAAGTACGGGCTCGTCGCCTCTGTCTTCTTACCATGACGACTTGGCGTCTGCGCCAGTACCTGCGGCTTGCTGGGCACAACAACTTCGACATTGGCTCGTTGTTTCCCAGTCACGGACGGCTTGTCCTGCACCGTGCCACCTGAGCGCGTCAATCGGCCCCTGGTGCGCAGAGCGGTTGTGGCTGGCGTACGGGGTCCGCGCCGCTTGGACATGGGGTTGTACTCCTCTTCGGAGCTGTCCTCGGGCGCTGAAGAGCTGCCGATGGGGTCTTCATCGTTGGACGAGGCGTCAGAGTGGTTACTGGCCTCAGCTTCTCCTTCGCTAGATAGCGCGCTCGATGGTTTGCTTTCCCCTCTATCAGAGTGCATTTGTGCATTGCTGTCGCTTCGATTCGTTTTCGCTAGCTGTCCTGCTGGTTGTGACGGCCGTGCTGAGGTGCTGAGCGGCATAGATGCTGGTGTGGGGTACTGTGCCGAAGCTGAGTCTTCCTTGCGCTTTCCCTTGCCTTTGCGCTTTCTTGAGAAATCCGCTTCATCATGTCCCTCGACAATCAAGGCCTCCCGCTCAGAAAGCTCCTCGTCCGAATGTGGGAGAAGAAATCCACCTCCTCCCTCGCCAGCCGCCTCGGACTCCGCAGATGCATCCGGCAAGAACCCGCCACCGCCACCTTCGTATTCTCCTTCCAGGTCGATAGATTCATCCCGTGTCTGCCCCATCTTCAGCTTTGCCGGCAGCTCCGAACCGCTGCCCACCTCGACGTCCTCGCCATACTGCTCTTGTACCCTCTTCCGGATCCTCAAGCCAACAACAAACTTCCGCCACATATCCAGCACCAGCTTTTCTAGCTTAGCCTCTTCCTTTTTCTTCTGTTCCTCGTTCCATTTCAACCACGCCTCTCGGACCGCTTTCTCGTTCTCCTTTGCAACGACAACGCCCTGTATGACGGGGACAGCGCGCTTATTGCCGAATTCAAACCCCACGACTGCCTCAGCAAAATCGATTCCAAGTTTCTTGCAGATGCGCACTGTGCCACGCATGGGGATGTGCGAGGCTCCCTTAGGGATCATCGTAGGCACAAAGGCATCGATGTTCCCGAAACTGTTTTTAGGTATTAGCCCGTCGCGGATAGGTGGTGGGATGATATATTCCGTCTGATCCCAAGAGTAGAGGCCTTGTAATTGCTTCTCGCCTGTGACCCGCTCGTGCTCCTCAGCTTCCCGTTTGCGAGTCAGTGTGACAGCCCGCACTGGGACACGCTTGAGAGGGACTTCCCCTAATTTAGGAATACGGCCTTCTTTGTGCCAGGATTCGGTGGTGAGGCAGCGCTCAACATCGGCACGACGGTAGACAGGTTCTTCCTTTAGGTTGTCGCCTTTCCCAGAAGTGAACATTCGGTCAGGCTCCGCACCAGGGCGCAATGCTTCTTCCCTCCGGAGGAAACGCTCAAGGACAAAGTCAGCAGATGCTTTGAGGGAGGAGAGTGTATCGATCGTGTTGTCCACCTGCTTCTTCTCGGGTTCCTGGGGAACGAGCTCGTTGGCATCTTCGACATCGTCAACGCCTGTGCGCATGTGATCAGAACGGACGTATGGGCTGAGGGTGAATTTGAACCAGTCGTAATCTTCGTAGCGCTGGATCTTTCCTCGTTTGTCGTAGATTGGGATCTGCTCGATTGGAAAACGGGAGGCTTTGGTTTTACCCGGCCAAATATGCTTGCGCAAGTAGCGAACAGTGACGTCCTTCGCTGTCCCATCCGACGAATATGCAACCACATACGCAATGACCAGTCTCACTTTGTCAGCTTTGGCTCCTCGAGGCTCGAAGTTCCCAAGCATCTCGTCGTTCGTTGCCACTGGTTTTTCGAGAACCAGAGGAGATGTTGGATATACCTTGCAAGTGATTGGGGAGATAGCTTCTGTCCAGTAGATCGGATATGGCACTTCACGGTCATATCGAGCTGGACGCTTCTTGGGTACTGTTGGTGTGACATCGACGACAGACTCATCTGCTGACTCTGAGACACTGTCGCTCTCAGTGTCAAGATTGATTGGACTCTCTGGCTTGCCTTTGGCTTGTCGAGAGGTTTGCTGCCTTTTTGTCTTCTGTCCCCGCTTCTTCTTCGTTGAATTAATGGTTTCAATATCGGCAGTATTGGGCTCACTTTCCTCTGACGAAGACGGTACATTTGCCGGAGGCTTCGGGGGATCTCTTTTTGGTGCCATCTCCTCGGCCTTCGTGGCACCGAAGCCCGCGGGCTGTAGACTTGCCACCAAGCGAGCCTCAATTCCGAGTCCTCGTAGCAACGCCGTGAATAGCTGTGCACCAACATCTCGTGAGCCCTCGCTCTTCTTCGCCACTTCGCGGAACTCCCGCAGGCTCTGTATCCGTTCACCATGCTTCTCTGGATCGTGCGGGTCGTTTTTGTACGAGTTGACCTCCTTTCTGCGTTCGAGGCGAGTGCTGTACCCTCTTTTCCTGAGGCCCGGGGCTGTGACCGCAAAGCGTTTGTTCCAATATGCGGAGAGTACCTTAAGAAGCGATATGAGCGGGTCACCAGAGCTCAAATCTGCCTTGCCTTCTTCTAAGCGCTGACTGGGCCTGCCCCAATCCCTCTCCTCCCTAATATTGATTGGCTTGCTTTTCTTGCTCTTGGACTTCTCAGCTTGCTTCTTTTTCGGCTTCTCTGGTGACCCAAGTCCACTCGCTCGGCTCCATTTCTCGACCTCTCTCTTGATTTGACCGGGCAGTTGTTCCATCAAGATTCTTTGCACCTCCTTGTCGGATATCCAGCAGTTCCTCACCGCGTTGTGCCACAGCAGAAACTGAACATGGAGCTGGTGAGAAGCAATGCGAGTTTCCCTCTCGGTCTTTGACAGCCCTTGCTTCTTCTTGTTTGAAGCCGCAGCAAAGCCGCCAAACTCATCATCATCTGCATCGATCGAGAATTTGACACCGCCCGTCACCTTGGCGGGCTCCTTAGGCACGTACTGCTCAGGTTGATGGTGGATGGCGTTCTCCCACTCGATCTCATCAGAGTCATCGCTATCATCATTGGCCGCTTGAGCTCTCTTAGCGGATGCTGCTGGCCCTTCAGTGACTTTCGATGGCACATCCTCGAAGGCATCGCTGTCAAGGGTACTCAAGGAGGAATCTGAGTCATCACTGTCCAAAGAGAACACCCTTCGAATCTTCTGTGCTGGAGTACGCGTCGAGCCTGCGTTTGGCGAATCTTCTGTAACCTTTTGTTTCTTTCGCGGTGTTGCTGGCTTGTCTGGTGGCGGCGTGGCGGCAAGACGCTTCTTGGGAATGAAAGGCGGCATATCGGAAATCGTGCGAAGCCAGGGTCTCCCTCACAACTATGACAGTACCTGTGCTCACTCTCATATCTACCTCGTAACGCTGGCCGTTGCGAGGCTCAAAGAGAGTCGGTATTGAAGTACCTTTCAAATGAGGATGAATGGCGATTATGATGACGTCGGCAATGGTCAGTGAACGCGATGCGCGTGCTTAAATGCGTGCCGATGGCGATGCGGGGCGATCTTCAGGCACCCTCATTCAAAGATCTCTGGTCACCAGGATTGATAAAATTGAAATGAGGCTTCCCCATGCTCACAGTGACTATTCACCCAGCAGCCTCTACTGCAAGTTCAGAGAGCCTGCTCGTCAATTTTGTCGACCACTGGTACATGTAGCTTAGTCGCTCAGCCCGAACTTGACAATCTGCTCTTGCGACACAAAAGATGGAAGACTCGGCGAACCATCCGGTGGAGGTGAACACTTATCATTGCATCTGCACAACACTCGTCCTAGCAATACCGTACAAGCTCGACTCGTTGCCTGCGCGCGCTGCACCGGCCCAAGATCAGTCTGCTATCCTCCCTCTAACCGCCAAAACGGATGCGAATACGGAATCGCGATTACAGAACATCACTGAGGATCGCAAACATTTGGTCGTCAGGCGGGAGGACGGATTCGAGAAGAGGACCATCTTGCGATGCAACCGTTGTCATTTGGTGATCGGATACAAGTTGGCAGAAGACAGCAGCGATGCGAATGTGGCATATATCTTGCCGGGGGGACTGGTAACCACGGATGATATGCAGAAAGGGAACACGCCGCCCACGCCAGCCTGGGCTACAGAGAAGGCTTGATATGTATTATTCACAATGGCTAAAGCAGCCGCTACATACCGGGAAAAGTTCGTCTCTATACGAACCTCACCCGCCCATCGATATCCCAGGTGCATAGACCGATTCCTGCATCATTGTATCATGCGTTCGTGCAAATCATACCCAACGCCCAAGTTATGCGTGCCAGTGTACAGATGATGTGATGCTCAGTTGGCCAAGATGGTACGGACAAGATCCATGTAGTTGATCTCACCACTCGAGGTGTCAACCGCCTTCAGTAGCTCGTCCACCTCGTCGTCGCTCATCTTCTCGCCCAGATTCGTGAGAATATAACGTAGCTGACCAACGCCAATGAAGCCAGTCATATCCTTGTCGAAGACCTGGAAGCCACGGCAGTACTCTTCAGGCTCGCCAGGGTCTCGGAAGCCACCGGGGCGGTTGAGGACTTTGCTGAAAGAATCGAAGTCAACTGCACGTTTGTTAGCATGTTGCCTGCCCATTTGCTAAGTCAGATCTTACAATCACCGCCGACGGTCTTCTCAAGGTCTCTGATCTCGGAGAGGGTAGGGTTCTGGCCGCAGGCGCGTAGCAGGTCGCCCAAGGCATCTAGAGAGACGCGGCCATTGCCTCGCTTGTCGAACAGGGAGAAAGCCTCCTTGTAGTTTGTCGCAGACTGTGAAGAAGGTTGTGAGTTGGCCATCTTAGTAATGGGCAGACGGTGTACAGGGGCAGGGAGCGGTTGAAGAGGTACGCCGTGTTTGTTTGCTCCTTTTTGACAGATGGTGCAATAGGCTTTCGGGAGCCCTAGAGGCGCGGTGGGAGGGGCTTGGGCGAATGAGCGTTGAGCTGCTTACCATAGTGACTGAATGAGATTGCAACAATTCAATACCTCAGGATCTGTGAGGCTGATGAGTATCGTGACAGTGTTTAAATGATCAAGAATGAAAGTCTTCAACGTCAAGGTCTCGTCCACATGTAAAGTCGCTACAAAGTGGGTCGAACAGTGCATTGGTGAGGAAAGCAAGCCCCTAAATTGCAAGCACAGACCGCCCCTTGATTGTTGACAGCACCCGTCGCCTAGCAACCACTTCTGGCTCCGCCGATAACCTCTGTCAAGGAGATGGATTTACTATACTGCAAATCTGTTCAGGCTGTCAAGGTCCCATGAACTATCCTATGGCTTGAAGGCGGTCGTTACGCGTGCGACATCATCGTCAGCTGTGCAGACTTACGACTTGTATGAAGCGCTCGATCCCACAAAGGCAGTCCATATTGCGACACTGCCTTGTCGGCAACTACACGAATAACAAATCTGCGACGATGGCGCCAGCAAAATACCGCAGTTGCAGGATAGTAAGGCTCTCTAGAGCCGAAAGCCCCTGTTTGCGGCAAGACTACCGCAATCATGATCGAAGGGACCTACTCGCGAAGCTATCTGTCAGCGAAGCGTCTGTTGAGTAGTGCCTCGGGAGGCTCACCGAACCCTCGCTCTCGGAATTGCCAAATGAGTGAGAGAGCCTCTGCCTGTCGCGAGCATCGACGCGCAGTTGGCAGCCCTATCGCCAGCGGGCAATAGCCCACTCTCTGCGATCAAATGCTTACAATTCCACTGCCTATTTCCTCTGCACCATTCGCTTTTTGTTACCAAAAGTGTCCAGCTCCGCAAGTCGCCTGTCCTGGGCGGGCTATTCTCTTTGGCCGCTAACCTAGGTGGTACTCAACCGACCCAATCCCACAGCCCCAGAAGCATGCGTTGCAATGTGCTGCGTGATCCCACCCCATGTCTTCCGCGTGTGCATTGCTCACACTACTAGCAACGGCGGCTATACTACTAGCCTCAGCCATGGAGGCCACGCTACTGCGAACGCAACATTCTAGCCTCGCCTATACATGATCCCAGACGAATTCCGCCGCTTACATATGCGGGTCCTTCCCCATCTATAACAACCGTCCAGGTGCCTTTCACTCAAATTCACCAGACTCAGGCGCAGACGTTCCATTCCCAGAACCTATAGGTCTATCTACAACGACAAAAATGTCCTCCTCCCCCGCCAGAGCAAGCCTATCCTCGACCGGTACATCCACCTCATCCTTGTCTTCATCCGTCGGCTCACGCAGCTCTTCCTTTCAACGCCCTTGCACGGGAATGCATCAGAAAATCACCAGCCAGATGACCAGCCAGATGCGCACTCAGCAAGAGCGCTGGGCTGATTGGCAGCAGCGTCAAATCGAATGCTTCCACGGTGCCGCCGCCCGCGCCCAGGAGAACCCCCAGGCGGAGGACGCTTACACCGTGAAGCGACAGCATCCGCATCTCGAACGCATCGCTGCTTGGGGACGGCGCATTCGTGGCTGAGACTTGACATTTTGTCATCTTCTACGATGCCATCAACCTTATTCTGCAGTACAACACCAGTATTCCTGTACTGGGTTGGCCAGAGCGCCAAATGACTGATACTTTATATGAATGTGGGGACTTTGCCTCCTGGAAGGCATGCACACTACAATTCAAGACAAACCCCACACCCCAACTTGTTCGTGGACCCAGAACCCATCAAGAGCAATGCGTCATGCTCGCATCAGCACGCGTGTCTCACACGAGCACGCGCACGCGCACTACTAGCCTCCAGCAGATGCTAGCATTAATGACCAACAGACGCGCCTCTCGACGAAATCGCGCCCGAAGTCCGCTTTCTACTATGGCCAATGCACGGATGTCGCCGGGTCAGGCGTCCGAAGTCAATATCAATGGCCGGGGCCCCAATCGGTGGAGGCGCACCAGGGCATGGAAGAGATCCATGAGACGAGTGATCTGCGAGGGGGGAATTTACGACGCCGCAGCCACGATAGGGATATGTGAGAGGGCGAGCGTAGCACCAGACGTAAAATGAGATGATATAAGAGTCAAGAAAGAGTCAAGTCGTTGAACCATTGCGCGAGGAGGTATTATGCAAATCCAACGCTGTACCCGTTCTTCATAAGTTGGGACTGTTTCTATCTGACACGCCAGTCAATATTCAACCCTATTTGGCTAGAATAAAGTGCCTTTGAACATCCCTAAGCATCAACGAATATGCCATTGCTGACGTAAAGAGAGAACATTCATCGTATAATATCCAGAAAAGCAGCTAGCCACCTTCGGCCGCAAGTTCATTGTCAGAAGTTCTACGAAAGATCCCACCCACCACCAGCCGTGAACTCCGCGAACGACAGATCAAGCGCCCCGTAGTTTATCTGACTATCCGGTACAGGTAAGTCGTTGAGCATGGCCGTTGCTTCATGCTCGGTCTGGGATACGTGCGGGGCTGTTAGAGGCGGAAGCCATCCAACCTTGGCTGCAACAGGCATCTCAGGCTGCGCCGGCACGAATCGTGATCCTTTCGAGTGCATGCTGCCATACCCAGAGTCGATAGATGCTTCCGATGGGAGCTTTGCCTTGAGTTGGGTCGGAACGGTGCCGCCCGTCTCTGGATCGTGCAGGCTCTGAAGCTTGACTGGTTGAAATTGCGAATCACTCAATGCTGACGCACTCTCTCGGTAGACCAGGTTGTCCGTCGCTGCAGTGGGGTCACTGAATGGAAATGAGAAACCATCGGTAGAGAGGGCAAGGCCAAGTTCATCCCCTTGCTCCCAGCTGTTCGACCCCGGACCCCAGCTATCATGCTCTGGATCTGGCGGGGTTGGCACGTTAAAGATGTGTTCGGATGGCGTGGTGTCAACTGCCGAAGTCAGGGCAGATTCGAGCACCAACCGCTCATCCGGTACATGAATGGAGCTGGGCGAATTTCGAGAAGGAAGTGGCCGGCTGAAGCTGCGAGTACGGCTGTGATTTGGGAAATGGTGCCACCTCGCACTAGAAGCCGAGTGCGCGCTCGTTGCAGACACCGCTGAAGCTGGCTGAGAAGAATGAGAGACAGACGAGATGGACTGCTCTGGAATCAGAAGGCGGGGTCTGGAAGGACCACCAGCTGAGCGCTGTGGAGTTGCAGGACCCGGCGCAGGGTTGTCGGACGACTGCATACTGCGAACAAGGTCGGCCATGGACTCCCTCAATTGCTCGCGAAGATATGTGCGCATCTCAGAAGTCATCCATTCTTGGTTTGTCTGAGCTAGACGCGCTTCAAACAACTGCTCAAGAGCTTGCCTGTTCGGCTCGGCCGTGAGTGCGGATGGACTTGGGGCTTGCTGTTCATTCGTTCGATCCGCGTAAGGCGTGGCAGGTCGCGGTGTTCCCGGGAAGAGGATATCGTACAGGATATACCAAACATCCTTTGCTGACTGTTGGGGACGTTTCTTCTTGATTTCCGCATGCACGTCCATATCGAATTTCTCCGGAAATGGACACTGCTTGGGCTCGCAACTTAACCATCGTCGATGCTCGTTGAGCTCCTCATCAGTCTTGAACACAGCATAGCATTGTCCGCAGTATCTGCCACGCCAATGTACACGATACAGATGCTGCTTAAGCCGTGAGATGTCGGGCCAATAACCACTTGAGCAGCTTCGATATCCCTTCTCCTGCATGTTCCGGTCTGAATATCTGGAAGGATCGTACTTGCAATAGTGACAGGCATAGAGTGTGCTGCTGTCAGCAGCAGCAGATTCTGCCTCATGTCTTGGCTTCTTTGGTGATCCGGAGGCCTCGTCACCTTCATCACCGTTGCCATCGTCCCAAGACTGTCCAGCGGGAGTTCTGGATGCCTGCCTGTTGCTGCCAGAACCGGAGCTTGAGCGACCAACTTCCCCGTTTACTCCAGCTTTGCGTTTGGTCGCGACATGAGAACGAAACCCGCCCTCGTTCGCGGCCAGAGCGGACGTTGATGATGACAACAATGAACCTGGAAAGTATGGCTCGGATGGCTGAACACTACGTGGTGCTACCGGCGACGAAGGCGTGGTGGACGCGTTCGAGGGCGATCTGCTCATGCTCGCAAATTGAGCTCCCAGGGAGACAGCCATCTCCATGCACGAGCGCATGAAGTCGGTGTTAGTCTTGCTATCGGTCTCCTTAGCCTTCGCGGCGATTTCAGCTTCTCGAAGTCGCAACAAACCCTCACGCTCACGAAGCCCGGCTTCTCGGACTCTGTGCTGGAGATCCTGTTCTCGGCGTTGCAGCTCTAGCTCTTTGGTCTCCAGGGTTCTCCTGTCTGCGTCGGATTTTCGGGCAGGCGGCGCATTGGGCTCAAGCTCTACCTTATGTGCATCGATAATGTTCGTAAGTCGAGGTCGGTCTAAGATCGATCTGCGACTCTCATATGGCCGACCACGTGATGGTGAACGTGAAGAGTGGCTGCGATATACGCCATCGACTTCCTGGAGAAAGTTCCTCCTCTTTCTAAGGAGTTGATGACGGCAGCTAAAACCAGAGGCATCGCAGGCATTACAGATGATTCTGTCCCCTTGGTTGCAGGTCAAGCACTGCAAATAAAGATCTTCATGCTTGATGCCAAACTCGCAATTATCGCATCGCATCATCTTCGGCGCAGGCTCAGAACATGGACCGGAGTGTACTGAAGTTGCTCGCTGTAAAGGCACAGCGGGGGCATTGTGTATATGAGTAGACTGGCCGCCGTTGTTGGCGTGGCTGATGGGCTCATCATAGAGAGTATATGGGGGTAAACTTCCGGGAAGTTCAGCGATCTCAACAGGTGGTTGCTCGACCAACACAGTCTCCGGCAAAGATTCGTTGAGATAGTTGTGCAATTTGGTCTTGGAGTCGAAGCCGTCAATATGAGGAACTTCCGCGGGCGAGGACTTGGGACGGTGCGTCAATCGAGCCGACTTGTTGAGGGTCAGCCTCTTAATCATGTTGGTTGCAAACTCTTTGGTGCGTCTATACGACGGATCGGACACGGCGCGGTGAGGGGATCTGGTCTCATCTGAGCCGCCTTTTGACGCAACATCGTTGATATCCAGAGAATCGGTCTTCTTCGAGTACGCCTTCTGCCTCTTCAGGAACCTCTTCTCGTCCTTGCGCTTCTGTTTGAGCGTGTAAACGCTAAGAGGAGGGCACGGGTCGTGGTTGTCAGTCTTGATGTCCAGTGGGACGCGGTCAGTCATACATGCTGATACGGGGGAGTCCCGGTACTGGCTCAGTCTCGCAGCTTCTTCAGCTCGTTGTAGGGTCGACAGCGAATTGAAGCTGAAGGTGCGGTCTAGGTTGGCATTTTCGAGGTCTCGATAATTATCAACCGAGTCTGTGCGTTCTGCACAGTCGGCCGGCAGTGATCTTCCCAGTAAAGCTGACAGGTTTAAGTCGGTATCTTCGTCCGAGTTCCGCATAGGTCTATGAGGCCAAGAGGTTCGTGGGCGGAGGTCATCTTGAGTCCGCTGCGCAGATTGTATCTCAGCTTTGATCTTGTAGTTGGATACCTCGTAGGTATTGAAGCGCGCTACCGGCGTGGAGCGATTGCCGGAAAGTGGTGTAGCCATTGTGAAGTGAATGCCTGAACCGATGCCTCAGGTATAGCGAGGGAGTGGCGACCTCAAGGCATGGGAAGACTAGAGAGCTAGATGGGGAGGAAAGGTGTGGTTGTCGCAGCCATTCGCTACGGTTAATGAGTATGGAAGTCATTTCGAACGTCAATGCCCACATGTGTTCAATGCTAGACTATCCAAGCCGGTGAGAACGAGAGCTGCGATTGGGCTGCGTCACCCAAGGCGTTCTTGCTGTTCCCGACCGCACGTCAGTGCAAAGCGCTGTCGAATGCTGTCAGCCTGAGCTTAGCCATGCCTGTTGAGGTTAGCACAGGTGGAATGGGGGTTCGCCTGTCTGTATCGTATCGTTATGGGTAGCGTCGTGAAGGCCAATTTCTGCTGTTGAAAGGTTATTGTAGCACAGACCAAAGTTCCGGAAGATGGTAACAGCCTTACGGTACCACCCGTCCGAGGTTCCCAAGGCCGCTGCGCCAGTTCCGTGGTTTCGTTCGCTTTTCCTCAAGGCAGCGGCCACAAAAGTCTCAGCCGCTCTCTCCATTATACAGGGATCCTTCGAACCAAATCCTCGACTGCACCACGAAGTTTGGGTTCGGGCCTCTGGAACAACGCCTGTCAAGGTCAAGAGCGACGCCATAGACCTTGCTGCTCTTCAGGTCTGTGGCTGGTGCCGCGTCAGCGTCCTCGATTTGACCGAGGCGTGACCACTCTACTTCGTCGCTGACTGATTGCGTGAGAGATTTGTGCTAGGATCGCTACACATGCGCCACAATATCTAGCGCTCACCACTTCCACTTAGAAAGCAACCATTGTACACCTCATCCTTGACCCGTTTTGAACAATCTGCCGACCTCTCAAATCATCCAAACACCAGAATGCAAGAAGCGGCTCGTCGATTCTTCGCTACCCCCAGCTTCGCCGTTGTGGGCGCCACTCAGGATGCTTCCAAATTCGGTTATCGGATTCTGGCTTGGTATCACGTGCACTCTTTGCCGGTCACCCCTATCAATCCCAGTCGTCAGTCCATCAGCTTGCAATCCACATCATATCCTACGATTCCCTCGGTAGGAGATCTGCCTAAGGCCTCTGAAACCGCGTTATCATTCCTGACACCACCACCAACAACGCGGAAAGTCCTTGAGGAAGCGAAGCAGGCTGGCGTCAAGGCTGTGTGGTTGCAGCCGGGAAGCTTCGATGACTCGTCTTTGAAGTGGGCCAGGGAGAATTTTGAGAGCGCTGTTGGCGGCTTCGAAGACGGCACAGTCGGCGGTGAGGGGTGGTGTGTCTTGGTTGACGGAGAGAACGCCCTGAATGCAGCCAGCAGAACATGGAGACGACAAAAGCTATAAGTGAACCGATACGCCTCGCTCATGGCGTTCACGCGCTGGAAATTATCAAGACAACGGCGCCATTGCTCGCGGTCACTGCGATCAGGTCAAAACCGGCTCGAACCAACCAAGCAGCATCGGCAATCAACTCCACTGAACTCACATCCTGGTATAAATGCAGTTCTGCTATATTCCCCAGACCGGCACGAATCATCGCGTTGATTGCTCCTTTGGAGTCGCTGAGCATAATGAAGGTTGCAAAGAGCTGACGCTTGATGGAGTCGTATCTTAGCGAACGCCCACTATGAGCTATATCAAGTCTAAGGCATTCCACGATCCTGAAACCACAATTTATAGCAACTGTAAAGCGTTGGACAGCTACGTCGCTACCAACTTGTAAGCAGGTGCTTTGATGCTATTCCGGAGAGCATAGATGTACACATGACAGAGATTTGTCTCTAAAGCGGACGAGAATTAAGTCTGAGATACCTAACGACAGGACTACTTGGGAGCGGGCAGCCGCATCCTCCACCAGCCTTGCCAAGGATTGACCCCTGTGGCTTGCGGGCGGTGAAGCTCTTCCGCGGTGTGCCTTTGGAGAAGACACCTGGCAGAATTTCTGGGGAACAGCGGGTCTGATATTTGTGAAGCAGCGAAGGTGTCCTCTAAATTGGCATTGATCCGAGATTTATATGCGATGCCCTGTGCGATGACTCGACTTTTCGACACTCCTTAGCTTGTCAAGACCGTCGTTGTGCTGTGCTCGTCATTTTGTTGGAGTCTCTAGGACAGATAAAGATGATTTTCCCCGGACGACGGAAAGGGTCTTCTGACGTCCTGCTCTCTCTATTTGCTTTCCTTCTCATCTGCTCGACGGCGTCAGCGGCTTCTGCTGTCCTGGGAGTCGACCTCGGCACCAGCTATCTAAAGGCTGCGATCGCCAAACCTGGCAGCCCAATTGACATTGTCTTAACGAAGGATTCTAAGCGAAAAGAAGCAGCGACACTTGCATTCAAACCCTCTCGTGCGCAGGCGAAAGATGGAGACGCATTCCCCGAGCGACTGTACGGTGGTGACGCCCTAGCTCTTGCCGCAAGATTCCCTGCAGATGTTTTCCCCAATCTCAAGCCACTGCTTGGAGTTGCCTACGAATCAGACTTCGTTACAACATATGCCTCTCGATATCCAAGTCTAGGTCTCGAACCTGTGCAACGCGCGGACTCCGGAAGCAAAGAGGCGACCGTAGGGATCAAAAGCAAGAATGTTGGCGATAAGAGGGATGTCTTCCTGGTTGAAGAACTACTTGCTATGGAGTTCAAGAACATCAAAGCCAACGCAGAAGCCGCAGTCGAGAAAGGGATACTCGTCAGCGATGCTGTCATTACGTATCCAGCATTCTATACTGCGCAAGAGAAGCGGGCAATCGAGCTTGCTGCAGAGCTGGCCGGTCTCAGAGTCCTAGGTCTCGTGAGCGATGGGACCGCGGTCGGCCTCAATTATGCCACCACTCGGACCTTCGATAGTGTCTCTGATGGAGGGAAGCCTGAATATCATCTGGTTTACGATATGGGTGCCGGTTCTACTACTGCGACAGTTCTCAAGTTCCAGGGTCGAACCATTAAGGGCCCAGCAAAGCGCAACCAGACCGTTCAGGAAGTCGTTACGCTAGGAACTGCCTTCGATGCGACACTCGGTGGAGATTCGCTCAACGATGTTATTGTCGAGGACATGATCAGCGAATTTGTCCAGCAGAAGCGGCTGAAGGCTCTAAATGTCCAACCTAATGATATCAAAGGCCACGGAAAGTCGATGGCTCGTATCTGGAAAGAGGCCGAGCGTTTACGTCAGGTTTTGAGCGCCAATTCTGCCACGCATGCCTCGCTTGAAGGTCTCTACGATGAAGACGCCAACGTCAAGTACAGCTTGACGAGGGATCGCTTCGAAGAACTTACTAACGCCTACGCCGCACGAGTCAAAGGTCCATTAGTCGCTGCACTCGAGGCTGCTGGTGTGACTCTTGAAGAGCTAGACTCTGTCATTCTTCATGGTGGTGCAGTGCGTACTCCATTTGTGCAAAAGCACCTTGAATTGGCTGCTGGCGGCTCCAAGAAGATCAAGACCAATGTCAATGCTGATGAGGCGGCTGTTCTGGGCGCTGCCTTTCGGGCCGCGTCTCTCAGCACAAGCTTCCGCGTCAAGGACATCCGGGCTCACGATATCTCGGGCTCCTCCGTTACTCTAAAGTGGGTCTCCGATGGAAAGGACCGTCAGCAGAAACTGTTTACTCCTCTATCTCAGATCGGCGCAGAGAAGCAAGTGCCCCTGAAGGTACTCGAAGATGTCAAATTCGAGTTTCTCGAGGGCAGAGATACCGATGTAATAGTTTCGGAAGTCGAAGCCAACAACGTCACCAAATCTGTTGCACAACTGAAAGAGAAATATGGATGCATACCGGCAAATATCAGCACCGTCTTCAATGTGCGCTTAAGCCCGCTGGATGGCATTGCAGAGATTGTATCTGGGACTGTCAGCTGCAAGTCCGAGCACGGAAAGGAGGGAGGCGTGCTGGATAACGTCAAGGGTCTATTCGGATTCGGGAGTAAGAAAGATGAGGATCAGAAGCCTTTGATCGACAATGATGCCGAGGGCGCCGACCCTGCCGAAATGACTCCAGAGCCTGTATCCGATCCTACTAGCTCGGGATCAACCATGTCCGCTGCTTCGCCATCCGAAGCAGGTGAGTCTGCTTCAGATTCGTCTTCGCGGTCGGCGACTTCAGCGAATGCTGCCAAGACCACCCCAACCGAAGTTGTGATTCCACTCATGCTGAAGTCTCGCCCAATTGGCCTCAACAGACCACCAGAGGGAATGTTGCAACGAATCCGTGAACGACTGATGGACTTTGACGCTTCCGATCGCACCGTGGTTCTCAGGTCTGAAGCACTTAACACGCTAGAAGCCTTCACCTACCGCGCCAGAGATTATCTGGAAGACAAGTATTTTATTGCCGTATCGAGCGACGAAGCGCGGCAGGAGCTTTCCGAACAGCTTTCCGCTGTTTCTGAGTGGCTGTATGGTGATGGCAGTGATGCTAAATTGCAAGATCTCAAGGACAAACTGAAGGGGCTCCGCAAGCTAGTGGACCCGGTGCTCAAGCGCAAGGAAGAGAACAGCAAGCGCGATGAGGCGGTAAGGGCGCTCGAGGAAGGCTTGCAGAGCATAAAAGGCACGATCGAGATGGTCGAGAACAGCATAAAGAAGGCAGCAGAAGATGCCGCCTCGAGTGCTAGCTCGGTTGCGGCGGCTGTCACTGAAAGCACCGCCGCGACCAGCACCAGCACTGATCAAGCATCCAGTGGCGACGGCCTTGACGATGATCCGTACAGCTCCACTGCATCTGCAGAGGAGCCATCTGAGACCGAGGCGGACATGCCTATCTTCCAGCCATACCAGTACACTGAGGAAGACCTTTCGTCGCTGACGTCCACGCGAGACATCGTTCAAAAGTGGCTCGATGACAAGTTGGCTGCGCAGAACAAACTTGGACCTTATGACGACCCTGCAGTACTTGTGGCGGAGCTTGAATCCCGGGCGAAGCAGCTGCAGAACGAAGCGACGAGCGCCATCATGAAGACCATTCGCATGCAGGACATGCCAAAGAAGAACAAGGGTGGCAAGAAGACCAAATCGAAAAATAAAAAGCCGGTGAAGGCGACCAAGAGCAGCACAGCGTCCGAGTCGTCGTCGACTAGCAAGAGCGTCAAAGACGAACTGTAGAAGGTTCGATCGATATCTGGTTGACCGCAGAACGGTTGCGGTGGCTGTAGAGTTTGCCCCTTGTCAACAGCGGATTTGAAAGAGGTCGGTCCACGCCGCCAAGATGCGAGACATGGGGGCGTCAATGGCGGCGATCGGCAACCTAGCAGCAGCAGGCAGCAACGCACGCTTCCAAGATGCAGCGCTGCAGCTCTATTTGCTGTACAGGTTGAACATCTCCGCAAGCAGTAGTCTGGGCAGGAAAGGGTGCTTTAGTATACGAGACCATCACGGAGGACAAAGCACAAGGGAGAGTTGCACGTCGGTGGGTGGCTGAAGATGACGGGCGATGGCTGGGGAAATGCATGGCTGTTGCAAGTCGGGCCAGTGCCCGGGCTCAACCCTGTAGGGCAAGGCCTGGGCAGGCGGTCATTTGGCCCCCACTGCTCAGCTTTTGAACATTTGTGCCATCATGCACGAGGGATGAACAGAAGTGAGATAGACTAATGCTCTCGCCCCAGCTGCGGGTAAGCATGATGGCGACCCAACTTACGGGAGCCGCAGATTCTGCGTACGCCGAAATCACAAAGTGACATGAGACTATTGAAACTACACCTTAAAACTCGCATATCGAAGGCGTGTCGCATGAATTATCTCTTTTGAGGCGTGCCAGCGTCGAATAATTAATCTTGACGGCACGATCTGTTTGACTAGTTCCCCGAGATTTGCGATCCTTCACATTTTAGGACGCTCAGTCTCCGACAGACGGGCGCTAGCTGGCAATTTTTAACAACATTTCCTTGAGCCCGCCGCCTGGAGGGGCACCCAGAAATCCCAGAGACCGGTGACTTGCTCGCTTGTCCCAGCCCACCTGGCGCTCTGACTACCAACTTACACACCCGCGCTTGAGCATTCTCACCTCCCACTCCTGCGTCTTACGATATTCTTCAGCTTCTCCAGGCACTGCCCCCCATTAATTTTGGATTTCCCTTAATGCCACACTCTTTCCTTTCTTTGGTTTCGCAGTCGATGTCATGAGCTCTCGCTTCAAGAGCCTAGGCTTCGGTTCCAAACGCAAGAGCGCTGCCAACATCCAGACCAGCACCGTCAATCCCTCCAACGCCTCCACCTCGACTACCGCAAGCACCCCTCCTCCTCCGAGTTCTTCCCAGACTAGCCTCCCTATGAATCCCCAGCAACTGGGTCGCCCTCCCAGTTACTCATATAACAGTGCCGCCGGTCGTCCCCAGAGTCCGATGCCCCCTGGTCAACAGCAGCTCGCTCATCACCCCGCGCCCATCAACACCACTCAAGGCTACATGAATCAACACCCGCCGCCGCCGCAGCAGCAAATGGGGCCCCCACAGCCTCCGGGCTATGGTGGTGCCTACAATCAAATGCAGCAGCAGCAGCCGCCGCCGCCGCAACAGGGTGGTATGCAGTACATGAACTCTCAGCATGTCGCTGGCCGCCCCGCCGAAGTTGCGGGTGACTCAAACCGCAGCAAGGCTCAGCTTATCGTCGGCATCGACTTCGTAAGTCCACTTCCACTAATTCCACACCTCATTGCTAAACTCTCAGGGCACGACATTTTCCGGTGTTGCTTTCGCCTTTGCGACAAACACGGAAGCCAAAGAAGACATTATAACGGAGTGGCCAGGTGCAGGCAACCAAACCAAGCAAAAGGTGGTTTTATATGTACCCAATGCCGCAGCTCTTTGGTTATTGACAATCGCAGATTCCCACCGTTCTCTATTATGACCAGTATCAGAAAGTAGTTGGTTGGGGTCCCGATATTGCTGACGCCCTTGCGCCGACCGGTTATCCCAAACCAGGTGTACAGAAGGTCGAGTGGTTCAAGCTCCAGTTGATGCTGTCCGGAAATACCTATATTGACCCCATCAACCTGCCTCCTCTACCTCCTGGGAAGTCTGAGATTGATGTCGCTGCCGACTATTTATTCAAGCTGCGACAGGCCATGCGCGTTCAATTGCAGAAAACTCTAGGTGAAGTGTTCAACAGAGAAGAGCGTAACATCCGGTATTACCTCACCGTGCCTGCCATTTGGAACGATGCTGGCAAGGCAGCTACAAGAGCAGCTGCAATCCAAGCTGGCTTTATTCGCGACGATAACGACAACCGTCTAACTCTCATTACCGAGCCCGAAGCTGCTGCTATGTTCTGCTCAAAAACCGGTCTGCTCAACCTCAAAGTCCATGATGCAGTGTTGATTGTGGACTGTGGTGGAGGTACTGTCGATTTGATCGCGTACGAGGTTGAGGAAGAGACGCCCTTCACAGTCGCTGAGTGTACTGCGGGTTCTGGTGATTCCTGTGGATCCACCGCCTTGAACCGCAATTTCTCCAATATTCTGCGGGCGAAGATCCGCAAGATGAAGCTCCCAGACGGCTCGAAGACTGCAGGACGTGTGTATGCCAAGTGCATCATGGACTTCGAGAACAGAATAAAGGCCGATTTCCGCAACAATGGTCAAAAGTGGGCCGTCGACGTTGGTATTGAAGCCGAATTTCCTGAAGCTGGTATTGAAGAAGGCTACATGACCTTCACCAACGAAGAAATCCTCCAGTGCTTCGAGCCAGTCGTCAACCGCATTCTTGAGCTTGTCCGCAATCAGATCATCGCCATTCAGGCTCAGAACCGGTCTTTGCAGCACGTTTTGGTTGTTGGTGGTTTCGGTGCTTCGGAATACCTCTTCCAGCAGATCAAGCTCCACGTACCTCCTCAATTCCAATCTAAAGTCGTACGACCCATGGACTCGGTCTCAGCGATCGTCAAGGGTGCCGTTACGGCCGGTATTACCGAGAAGGTGGTCACCTCTCGTGTTGCTCGCCGACACTATCTTATGGCAACCCTACAACCCTTCAAGGAGGGTCACCATCCCGAGCAGTATCGTGTGCCCAGTCTTGATGGCAAGGATCGGTGCAAATACACCCGCCAGATCTTCGTGCAGAAGGGTGAGAGAGTCAAGGTGGGCGAACCGGTCAAGGTTTCATTCTTTAGACAGGTTGCTCCGGGCGCTACTCTGATGTACGAGGATATCTTGTACGCTTGCGACGAGGATGTTTGGTAAGCTGTCCCACTACCACAAATGCTGAGTATTGCTAACGATCTCTAGCCCCGAGTACACGAAGGATCCCCGTATCAAGGAGGTCGTCACTTTAACCTCCGATCTATCCCGGAAGAATCTCGAGAAGGACTTTGAGCGCATGGACACCCCCCAGGGTACCTTCTACAGGGTGTACTTTGATATTTACCTGACATTGGACGGTTCTGAGTTCAACGCCGAGCTTGTCTGCCAAGGAGAGGTTATGGGCCGCTGCACTGCGAGGTTCCGATAAAAATCAATTGCCTTCAAAGCCTCTGGCAGTCCCGAGACACCGCGCCAGCGCCTGAGCGGCTATAAATCCCGGAGAAGGACACGCAGCTGTCATCAGATGAAGCACCGCCACGATCAATGGCGAAACTCGGTCGATGTCCAATTAGTGAAAATCGGTCAAAGTCAATCGAAGACGATACGATTCAGGTCGACCCGAGACGCGCACACGATGAAAGATGAGTATACGGAGATTGTCTGAGCAGCAAATTTGAGGTGACGCTTTTCAGGCACGGAAAAGGAACACTTGCTGGATTATTACCCCTTCATTGAGCGGAACGAGACGAATTGGGCTAAGCTTGTTTGACACCCACAGCGAAGCAGAATGGGGAAGCGATCGATTGTTGGCACACCAGATAGAGCAGGAGGGTAAGGTCAAATGAATAAAGAAACGGAATGAAATTATGTCTTCAAACACGCTTGTCTTCTCGGATGATGCGAATCTCATTGGTGGTCTTTCCTGGCGCTCTCGCTGCGTTTTCTAGCTACCCAATGCGCGTTCTGGTATCGGCTCTGCATCATGCTCTGACGATCCTGTATGTACGAGCCACCACTCCCTTCACCCACAAAGTCAGCGGGCAGGATCTCGTGACAGAGGATCTCGAAGCCATAGCTCTCGACCAGCAGCAATACTTCCTCGTTGCTGAGCTCGAAGGAACCTGGCTCGCCGATCCCCGCGTCCTCCCTCGCCATGTGTTGGGCTTTCCTCCTCTTCCTATCCATCTCCTTCTCCAGCTCCGCTGCTCCAGCACCGTCCTCCTCAGCTCCATCCTCGCCCGATCTCTGATGGCCGCGGCCATCGAAATGCCACAGCAGCGGGCCGACATTCACCCAGACGCCCCCGGGCCGAAGGCAGTGCCGGATGGTCTCGATGTAACGGATGAGATTCGGCGCCGTGTCGATAAAGTACGCGCTGACGACGCCGTCGTACGCACCTGCACTGTCCGCGTCGCGCGGCCCGAAACTCGTTACAAAGTCCCCCGCTGCCATGCCCATCTCGCCCACCGCGTCTCCGCGCTCGTGTGCTTCCTGGAACGCGGTGGCGGGGTGCACATCAGGAACGGTGTACGATCGTAGCTGGGAGGAGCGGGAGGCGAGATTCGTAAAGGTCGTGCAGAAGGGGAAGACCGTGTGGGCGTGCGCGACGCGGGTGTGGTTGAGGATGTAGTTGGAGGCGAGGAGGGCGTGATAGGAGATTTCGTTGCCCGTGCAGTGGTAGCCGGCAAGGGTGAGAGCGAGGAGGAGCCGGGATAGACCGGCACCGGGCAGCAGTAGTGAGGGTGGCGGGGAGGGGGAGCTGCTCTGGGGAAGGTGGAGGTGGTTGTGTAGATCATTTAGGATGAGGTCCAGGAGGGGTTTGACCTCGAGGGCGAAGCCTTCAGCCGACCAGTCCCGATAGAATTGGCGGAGGGTGGAATGCGCTTTTGCATGGTCGGAGGGTTTTGCGGTGTTGCGCCAGTTGAGGGGGTGGTCTTTGGCTGGTGATGCTGGGAGGCCTATGGTGGTTGTGGCAAAAGAGACGATCGCGTCAGCGAGGTTGGCGTTTTGGTCTATGGCGTCGTCGACCTGAGATAAGGTGCCAAGGAGGGAGAAAGGCGGAGCGGCGAGTATCTGCCACTGCGACGATGGCAAGGCGTAAAGGTTCTGCCGCCGGCGGTGGGTGACATTGTAATGGCTTGTAGCGCGGTACTGACTATGATTCATGTTAGTTTGGTGATGGAGGTGGTGGGCAGCGTCCTACTGGAAGGAGTCAATGGCTGCAAAGAGCACTCGACGCTCCTCGAGGTCTTCCGGGGCAGCATGAAACTCACGTTCACTGTCCCCGCCATGAGTCTCTTTGTGACCAGCATCGCAGTCATGGCTTGCCATTCTTCCTACGGAATAGGAGCACTGGTTGACAAGTAGCAGCGTTGGGGGATGATATGAATGTGCTCACTTGTTGGGCACAGCATGAAGTTAGTGTCAGTAGCGCTTGCCTGTGCGCACACCTTTGAGGTCAAAAGATCAAAGCGCTGTACCTGGAAAGGTCAAGGGGCCGAATGAGATTGTTCAAGGTTTCCGAAAAGGCAACAACCTAGGACTGGTTGATAAGGCGGAAAAATGCCAAGCAAGGCAAACACTTCTCCGCTGAATTCTTCCTGTATCTTTTATCATTTGACTTACTACTCCAAACACTTGATGAATCGCGTCAACTGGACGAACTGTGACCAAGGCCTCCCGCTGCATCCTTGCTGAGCCACTATCGCTATATCGACGACCCAGAGCGACAACATCTACCAGACAGCTTCAAGCAGAACACCACGGTGTACCAGGTCACCTTATGCTGATGCGTATCTCTCACCACCTCGCTTCTACATCAACAGTCGAGCGCTAGCCAAGCGACATGGCCATTTTGCCAACCTACAGGCCGGTGGAGCTATCATTCCCGGTACCACGGCATCTACACCTCACACTGCAAGCACACCTCACCTTCCTCGGAAACTGCTCTATGATCCACCTGACGACCAGCACCATCGGAGAAGGCTCGTCCACACACCCACCGTTAGGCAGCTTTGTCTACGCCATGCCCGATGTAAGTGCCTCCACCAACCGGCCCACCTATGATGTACAATTCATCGCGCTTGCTGAGCCAAGTCCCCACGCCTCAATGCCAGTTTGCTGTTGCGCATCGTACTGTTCTACTATCGACTCACAATACTACTCGTGCCCTCGATGCGATCATGCAAGTCTGGATGGTCGTGAATTTGTCCCAGGTTCAGAGTCAAAGCTTACGAACTTCAGAGACTTGACGCCCAAAATGCCATCAGCACCGCCCTCTCCACTGAAGGATCAAGTATAGACTACGCCACTCGTCTATCTAAGATTCTCGCCCGGCGTTTCAATCACCCTGTCTATGTGGGATGTAGCATGAGCTTCGCCGGCTTAACAGCCGAAGAGGAAATGGAAGGGATCGCTGCAGTTGTTGGCAAGATCCTAGAGGCTGCCGATAAGAACAAGGTAGAGACTAGCAAGGCGTCTTGAGCCTGCTGTGGCCAGGCTCATGTATGATGGTTCTGGCTGCTCTAGCATCATTCTTTATCACAGTAGAACGCTAGGGACTCCTCACGGGGCCGCGTGGGCGGCCCAGCTTCTACAGCACGTATCTGAAAGCCTTGTTGTCAAGCTCCGTCATGTCAAGCATGCCTCCCTCGATGCCCTCCCTCCGCACCTTCGCATCACGTTCTGTTTGCAGGTGCTCGCCACCATCTCCTGTAACTTCTTGCTCGCGGTCGCGCTTCTTGTTGGCCAAGTACATGTATACGTACAAGACCGTGATCGCGACAAGCTTGACCACATAACCGATAAGCATAGCGATATATGCAGAGTGATACCGTGGTGCCTCCGAGTCCTTGAATGTTTGTGGACCGATGATATTGCCAACGCAGTAGCCGGTGAACAGGATAGCGGCGGTGAGTTGCTTCTTTGTGTATCCTTTTCTCTTGTCAGTTTCACGGCGCAGAACCTTCGGCTGTACTTACCAGCAACATTCGAGCTCACGATCGTCAGACTCATGCTAAATCCTAGTCCCTGGAAGTAGCACAACCACAGCGCCACCAGTCTGCCCCACCTGTTGGAATCCGGCAATCCCACCAGGAGCCCGGCGCCTAGGATGCAAATGCTGTTCGCCACGATCATCGTTATAAATCTGACATTTTTGTAGTGTGTGCAGATGAATCCACCCGTCAACAAGGCCAAAAATTGCACAGCTCCGCCTGCGTCACAGTCAGCTCCCAGCCGTCAACTACAGACATCGGACAACCTACCTGGTATCTGAAGGTACTGAGAACCAAGAGTCCCAAAACCGAAGCTCTTGACGATGATGCTCGCGAAGCTGGTCAGAGCAGAGTTCGGGACCTGCGCACCCGTCGCCATGATGAAGAGAATCCATGTTTTGGGGTCGCGGAAAGTTTGCCACAACTGGTAGCGCTTGAAGTGGTGGTTCTTGATGCCCTGACGGTTCGCAGCGACGCGGTTAACGGCAATGGCGCGTTCCGGTGCAGTGAGGAACTTGGCGGTCGAGGGGAGGTCAGGCAGGAAGATAAGGGCGATTATACCAGCCGCGATCGACAGTGATCCTAGGATCAGGAAGATGTACATCCAGCGAGGTAGACCGGTGGTTATATGCCCAACAGCATAGCCAATAAGGCTGTGAATAGATTAGTACCGGCATTGATCTGAGAGGAATAGAGAGTGGTGGCAGATGTCCTAGAGGAGTTAGGAGCAGAGGAACATACCCGCCAAACATAGTTGCGATTCCATTGGTGCAATAATATGCTTCAAGTCTCAATGGCTGCTCGGCGCTTCGATACCCTAAAGCCACGAGTTAACTTGCATTAGAACAGTAGGTGGTACAAGGCGATAGAGCAGTACTCGAGTGCCGGTTCAGAAGGGGCTCAAACATACAAATCGACATTATTAGTACGAACGCAGGATTGACTACAGCCTCGAAGAAGCCGAGGAGGAATCTATTGGCTGCGATCCCGGCGAAATTGGTACATGCCGGAGTCGTTATGAGGATGATGCCCCATATTATCGTTGTGGTACCGACAACCTTGCCGAGCGGAAGGCGCTGGATGATATAGCCGGCGGGGAATTGAGATGCCAGGTACCCTGAAATGCGGTCAGACCAGATGGAGAGATGAGTGAATTATCTTACCAAAGTAGAAGATGCTGGATACATGGATTGATCAGATCAGCATATTTCTTGGCGACTCGACAGCAGTGTAGAAGTATAACACACAACTATGTGTGTGGCAGCATGTTCAAGGAACAACATGTGGCTGATGGATGACGAGGCTGAGGTGGAATAGCAACGAGATGCGCAAGGACACATACCTGCCCAACCAACTGAAATCCTGTCCCTGTAGGTTCGTACCCTCCCGAAGCCCATAGACTGAGGCATAGTTGATTCCGTTCTTGAGTGAGCTCGTTAGCAAGCGGTACCTTCGCCGTGATCGAGCGATTTACCTTGTCGATATACTGCAGAAAGTATATCAGAATTAAAATAGGAACAACGCGGAAGTCGATTTTCCGCAAGACGCGCTTTGCTTCGGCCGGAACGACCTCCTGGTCAGCATTCTGATGGTAGACGTCCCAACTGTCGTCGAGATCGGAAGAGCGTGCTGATGCAGCTTGAGGTGTCGTCGCAGGGGGACTCTGAGCACCTGCCTCGATCCTGTCATCCAGCCCTGCTAAGCCAAGGGTCTTTTCCGTCATTCTAGTAGGTGAAGAACACGAGTAACAAGCCTGTGCCAGGATTCTTGCCGACGACAAGCAGCGGCACGTCTTTTAAATGGATCATCCTGGGCTTCACTGGTGACTCAAGCTCATTCCGGCGCACGGCACCGGAGCTTATCCACACCTCTGCATGCGAGACACGTTTTCGAGGCGTGCCCAGGGTCTATGGAGTGTAACCGGCATATGAGGATAGCCGCTGTGCTGGATGGGGGAGCCGATCGCTGATGATGCCATTAAAGGTTCAATCACGACATCGTTCGCCCACCTGTTTCGCGGACGAGATTCTTCCGCCAAGCGGACTGCATATCACTGCAAGGTACTAGTATCGCTTTGAGCCATGTCTGCTCACGACGGTGGGCTGATGGGAGATACTTGTAGCCAGGACTGTTGCACGTGTATAGCAGTGTGATAATCATGAGAGCAACGCTCGTCGCCAGCCAACCAGCTGAGAACCAACGAACGCCTTGGCGCCAAGTCATAATGGGCAAACTTGAAACAAGCAGGTGCGAGCCAACTCACCATGATGCAAACCTTCGAGTACCTAGCGCAGCAATTGGAGCAGCAGCTTTTCATTGCTCGATACGCAGATTGCTGAGTAGCTCTTTCTCCTACGTTCTTGCAAAAGATCCTTCTTCTTTATCGGCCAAGATACGTTAGTGACCAAGCATGCTCAAGCTCCATCTGATCCCGGAGCTTGTTCCGCGGTTGTGGGCCCTCTTCTCCAATACTGGCAGTGTTTTGCCGACTGAACAACTCCGACGTGCCAAATGTAGCCCCCCGAAGGCCCGACCTAGGTTGAAGACGGCTTACCTTGAAGCACCCGGGTGTGGCCCATGAAGAGAATCTCAAGCTTGTGCAGATATGTGGACGTAGTGCTCCGTCTCGGGACAGACGGAGGACCCGCAGCATCCTTCGCTTCTGTCGATGCAAGCCGGCCCTCTACTCCCGCTTTCTTCGCGTACAGAACGCTCCTTCCGACGACCGAGCTGTCCATATGCCTATGCCATTCCGGGCACACGCTAATGCTTCGCACACAGTCTCTGAGGGCGCATGGGCCCCCAGCGACCTGAAAGCGGGACCATTCGGCGCTCCTCGCGTCATACGACGAAGCTAAGAAAACTTTGATCTGAGCTTTTATCTTATCAATCGAATCCAGGCTCTCCTTCGCTCCTCATGAGCTGGGTGTGGCGTCCCCTAGGCTCGGCAGGGAATGAACCTCAAACCACAGAGCTGCCTCTCAGAGTCTCAACGGCGGATTCTATCAGGTAAGTCGGAAAGATTGCAGCCGAAGCTGGACAGTGTCAAATATGACTTTCATCCCTCACTCTTGTGTGCAGCTCCTTCTTGAGCCATCCGAAGACCAGCAAAGCCCCCGAGCTATACTGCATCTTCAAAATGGATAACAGAGTCAGCGAGCTTCAGAATCACACTAATGCCCTTGAAGAATCTAAGGAGCCAACAAAACAAGCCTTGACCCCAACGGATGATGCTGGTGAAATTGATGCTGTGCGAAAGGTTGAAGAAGCTACCACGCCTTCCATGGCCGCTCAGCAGGGTGTGCAGAGCGTCGAGGCAGTTACCTTGACATGGACCAAGTCTTCACTGATCCTGGCCTTCGTTTGGTGAGTACCAGTCCAACAAGTGCATGCATTTCTGACGATCTCCAGCATGTGGTCGCTCTACCTCGTCAATGCTTTCCAAGGATCCATTACCGGGAACCTCACACCCTTCGTTACGAGCTCCTTTGAAGAGCACTCGCTTCTGACAGTCATTTACATTGTGAGCAATTCCATGACTGCTGCTGTCTACATTCCAATGGCCAAGATCCTCGATATTTGGGGCAGGGCCGAGGGCTTCTTGACAATGGCTGGAATCTCAACGCTGGGACTTGTACTCATGGCCGTCTGCACAAATTTGTCGACCTTCTGCGCGGCTCAAGTCTTCTATAGCATTGGCTTTTCAGGCATGATCTACTGTATCGATGTCATCACGGCCGACGCTTCAAGTCTGAAGCACCGAGGACTGGCTTTCGCTTTCACCTCCTCGCCATATATCATCAGCGCCTTTGCGGGTCCAAAGGCGGCAGAAAGCTTCTACGAGCAGATCAGCTGGAGATGGGCTTTTGGATGCTTCTCGATCATTCTACCCTTCGTCGCTCTACCACTTTTCATCCTGCTCAAGTTCAACCTCCGCAAAGCTAAGCAGCAGGGCATGTTGATCGAGGAAGACACCAAGAGGAATCTGGTACAGAGCATCTTGCACTATTTTCGGGAGTTCGATGCTATCGGTGTAGTCCTTCTTGCGGCGGGTATGGTCACTTTCCTGCTCCCATTCACCCTTGCGGACTCCGCGCCTTCAGGCTGGCGCTCAAGCTACATCATCGCTATGCTCCCAGTTGGCTTCGCGTTATTGTTGCTCTTTGGAGTCCACGAACGCTACCTCGCCGAGCGGCCCTTCATACCGTTTAACATGTTGACAAATCGCTCCGTAGCTGGTGGCTGCCTCCTCGCTGGAACGTACCAGGTTGCGTACTACTGCTGGAATTCCTATTTTACCTCATTTCTCCAGGTTGTCACGGACCTCACCATTGCTGAAGCGGGCTACGTCAGCAGCACTTTTGACGTGGTTTCGGGTTTGCTCCTCCTGTTCGTCGGCCTGGTGATCTCGAAGACAGGCTACTTCCGCTGGCTGCTCTTCATCGCCGTGCCGCTCTACATCTTCGGTCAGGGCCTCATGATCCACTTCCGCCACGCCGGTACCAGCGTCGGCTACCTGGTAATGTGCCAGATCTTTATCGCCATCGGCGGCAGTATCATCATCCTGTGCGAGCAGATCGCCGTCATGGCGGCAGTGGAGCACCAGCAGATCGCATCGGTGCTCGCCTTGCTCAGCCTGACTGGCTGGCTGGGTGGTGCCATTGGCAATACTATCTCCGGAGCTATCTGGACGAACTCGTTCCCGCAGGCGCTTGCGAGCCTACTGCCGGAGGACGCCCTGCCCGACTTGGACGATATCTACGGCTCGCTGGACGTGCAGCTCAGTTACGCCGTTGGCACGCCGACGAGAGAGGCCATTCAGCAGGCTTACGGCGTGGCTCAGAAGAGGATGCTGATTGCAGGCACATCGATCATGGGGCTGGCACTGCTTTGGATCTTGTTGATCAAGAACTTTGATGTGAGCAAGATACATCAGGTCAAGGGACGGGTGTTCTAGGTACTGGAAGCAGTAGAGAGGTCGTCTATGACTGAGCTGAGGATAGTAATAGTAGTGGGCAAATATTGGTCTACACATTCTGGTACTGAGGTGACAGTGCCATCCGCTACAGTGCCCTTTTTTCTGTGAACACACCAACATGAACAATCTCTCCTACTCTTCGCTTCCGCGTGTGCTTACGGCTCTCATGCATGGCGTAATTTAGATCTGCTGTATCCGCTTTGCTCATGCCAGATGCGGAAGAAGGAGGTGGACAACCCTAGCCCCGGACATCGTGACCGGCCAACCGTAATCGGGGCCTCCCAGCCGAAGAACAGTACCATCTGTGATAGCCGGCACCCTGGCGGTGGTATAACCGATGGCGACTCGATCGCAGAACAGAACATCGTTAGAATGTTGCGTCTTGCCTATACTGGCAATGACCGGTATGTCGACGTCACTTGGTGACCTGGATATCTGTACGGGGTGGAGGGAAGAGGAAGAGAAAGGTGGCAGCTTGTAGATCGCATAGTGCTTTGTACTCAGGGGTGCGTCAGAGGGCAATCGAGGGTGGGGTGCGACGCACTCCGGACTCGTCTATGCCCGACTTCGAAGCACTATGAATAACCTCACGAGGAGGCTACCGACCCATACTTGGGGGACGAGGTCGATGATCTTACAAGACCGGTCAAAGAAGGCGCCACCGGTCTGTTGGAACAGCGGCCTGCGAGTATGGGAGACCACTGAATCCCTAGTTTCCGTGGATTGGAAGCAGAATGTTCTATCATCACGACGCACCCAAGAACTAGGCGTTATCTTCTGGACTGTGCATATCTATCTTAATGCTCTGAATGCATCGGACGCGATAACACCTCACTGGTGTCTGCCTAGAAGGTAGGGACAACAGATTTTGACTGCGTCAGGATAGAGCCGATTGAAGGTAGCGCATGATGTTGAATTGCTGCGACAGTTCCTCCGCTCTGACTCGTATGATATCTGCCCTCAGTTGGGCTTATCTTTTAGAAATTGAAATCGGTTCTGATAAGACGTACTGATCCACTGAGCGTTAGGAATCTTGCTATGACGAGGTGGACAATCTTTGAGAACGGGCACTGAGTCGTCGTCAAATGAGAGAGAGCGTGTCGCCGAGTCAGGACGGACGTACAGCTGTGGTTAGAGTGAAACGGTGTTGTGTGACTGCAGATCACCTGAAACTCTCCTCTTGCTTCTTGGTTTGCAGGGCATGTGCTGCCAAGATGTGCGTTTCAGCAGCATCAAGGTGATACAGCTCGCAATTTGGAATTGCACACATGCGGCAAGCCGCATCGATGCGTGCCTGGTCGATGCACACTGAAGTGAAAGCAGGCAACGGCACCATGCTCATGCCGAGTGTGGTCGCCACAACAGCAGAAGCATTGTCGGGGTGGATGTCGTCAGTCGTGGATGTCGCCAGTTATTCTTGGCGACAGTAGTCCAGCCTCTACTATTGCCAGACCTAGACTTACGCTTCTTACGTGGTCAGCTGTGGCATCTTTAGCGACAGGCGCCGATGGGTGTTATCAAGGCAGTGGGGCACGATGTTCGCTGCCATCAAGGAAGATCTCGTCAATCTCGTCATCTGCGCTATGCATTATGTTTACGGAGTACCGCCGTAGTCGCTGGAGCGGTGACATGTGATATGGCGTATGTAGGGCACTTGTCGTGGGGGTGCTTCCGGTTGCTGGAATCTCCACTTGGAGCAGGCACCGTACGGGAGACCGCTGATGCTGTCAACGGCGTCAGTAACGGGCTTCGCAGCTTCAATTGATGCAGTGAGAGGGCAGGGCGCAGCTGCTGTGTCACAAGCAGTCCCCAGTTCTGACTGCGTATTGATCGAGTCGATCTCGGTCTTGATCTCCCAACGCTATCATATCCGTATGGAGTACTTGAACGGTTCACCCAGAGATAGGAGGCTCAGGTCGGACGAAGAAGTCTAGGCTGTGCTCTTTCCGGCGATGAGGCGGATCCAGCCAAGGGGGCGATCTACGCGACTGGCATGTCCAAGATCCGCGAGAAAACAAGGCTTTCGTGGGAGGGCGAGAAACTGTGCTCCGTTTTCCGCGCTCCGTACGGAGTACTCAGGTGCAGTACGCGTCGGCGTGGGGGCGTGGAGAAAGACTGTGGCAGGCTGCAGCTTTTTGTTCCATCGCTGGCCGCTTGTAGGAGGCTCAGCCACTTCTTGAAGTTAGTCGTAGGTATGTGCTTGTCACACAAACCGAACTGGTCGTCACCTTGCATGCTGTCACTGTGGGATGGCGGCGGATATTGCGTGGCGCTGGATAATGAGATGAAGTTGGAGAGCGCGAGTGGCAGCACCACGTACGTAGCCTTTGGCGCACAGCCTCGAAAACGGGGATTGGTCCCCACCCCCAAGCGCCTTGGAAATGGGCATAGTTTTCGGATCGCCAGCAGGGATTCCAACAGGGGTCAAGCAATGATCTGTCGGGAATGGAGCTTATCTCTGCGGCATCCTCGAGACGACGCTTAGCCAAGACGATAACGTTCTTCTTTGTCCAGCGACAGGCTCAGCAATAGTCATGCACCGAGATGAGATCTGGCGACGTTGACAGGGGTTTGATGCTTGGTATGGCTTTTGTCGTCAGGGACATTCGATCTGTCGCTCGCCCGCAGCATCCGTTTGAGAACATGCCTAACCTTCAAATTGGCCTCCTCTTCTCTGGACATATCAATGCACCAACCCGATTTCCCGTCGGCTTCACAAAGCACCTGCCTTGTCGACTGGTGCAGCAGCAAAGTCCAAGAGATCCAAGAGTGCTCGACAGCGACATCACAATTCCAAGATGGCATGCAGCCTATCTTGTGTCTGCGACGTCGGAGGATGACTATGCTCTCGACACAAGTTTACATTTTGACAGCACCGTGTGGATAGCACCAAGCCTGGGCAGTAACCTTGAGTCACCCCCTTCTCTTTCCTGTATAACCCATCAGACAAAGAAAGTGAAATGTGATAAGCTGCCAGTAGTATCTCCTCGCCTTGCTCCTCGGATGCATACCTCAAATCGAGGTCAGTCTTGTACAACGACAGTTCGCCGCTCGTGCCTTCCCTTTGTTGTGATATCCTCAACATTTCATCTCGCCTTCCGTATAACGTGGCTTCGAGCACACCACCACAGCCCCCTTCCACGATGTTGACCTTCGCCGACTTCAATCGCCCCGACAGGAGCGACCGCCGGAGAAGAGACTGTGGACCAGAACCCTTAGGCGAAGCCTTGTCACGCACCTCAACTCTCACTAACAACTCGCCCACCACCACTCGTCAGAACTCTCGCACCCGCCACCATCCCAATACCTCTTCCCGATCTTCCAGTATGGAGAAAATAACAAGGAAGCGCCTCAGCGTAGTGAGTGATCAGGCGAAGAACACTCATAAGTACCTCAGCCAAGAACTCGATATTCAATGGATGGGACTGCCAATCCTCATCTGCTTCTTCACTTCCGGTCTGATAGACAGTGTCGCTTTCAATTCCTGGAACTGTTTCGTTGGCATGCAAACAGGTATGTTGCTCCACCGACCTTTGAAGCTCGTTTGACGTTTCTCCAGGCAACACGATCTTCGCTGCTCTCGGATGTGAGTTTTTCCCTGTAATGACCCATGGCACGACTCTTGCCGTTCAAACGCTTGTTAGCAGTCTCTCACAGTCGAAGCCCGTTCTCCACCTCCTCTCTAGATGCATTCCCTCCGTCACATGCATTGACACAGACTAATCAGGAGTGTAGTGTCTGGCCAGCCGGACGCCAGCCACAAGCAACAATATTACAAGTCCCTTGTGTCCATCGGATCGTTCTGTCTCGGTACACTCTTCTTCAGTGCCCTGCACCGCTTTCCCACCTCGTTCCATCAACAGCCTTCTTCCCGCCGTCGATGGGTCTTCTCCGCCTCTTTCGCCCTCCAGGCCATGTTCATTACCATATCAGCCATCCTGGTCACCCTCAATCTCGTCTCCGACTTACCCTACATCTCTGGCGTCTTCTCGTCTGGGAGCGATAGGACAGAGTACACCGAGTCAAGCATGCTCGAAAACCGCAACTTCTTGGACCTCTGTCCGATTGCCCTCCTCGCCTTTGGAGCCGCAGGTCAAGTTACGCTGAGCAGAACGCTCGGCATCATTGAGCTGCCGACCATTGTGCTCAGCACACTCTACCACGACTTCACCGCTGATCTGTACAATCTGAGGAGATGCTGGTGTGAGAGCACTTCCATCACTGACTTTTTTTTCAACCAGCAGAGGCGCCAAGAGAAGCGACTGTTCTCGATCATCGCTCTCTTTGTTGGTGGCATCGTTGGGGGCGAGATGTACAAGTCGTCTGTCGGCATGGCCGGTGCCCTCTGGCTGGCCGCCGGCCTCAAACTCAGCGTCTCGTTGATGTGGCTCTTTTGGAAGAAAGATCCATCAGAGGAGGAAGATGATGAGTCAACGCTGCCCCAATGAGCAAGCCTCCAAGACCATTCAGCAACAACGACGTAACGATTGATGACATAGCCAGTCTGTCGAGCATCCAGGAGCTCCCCGTCACTAAGAGCGTTATCGAGCAAAGCACCCTGTTCAGCATGCCGGATGTATCCCTAGTGTGGTTGGAGAATAGACAAAGGTGGGACGTCCACCAGCAACGGAGACATGATGATGATGATGATGTGGCGGGCACACGATACTCCTATTTCTTACTTGTCAGGCCCTCATGGAGGGATAAATAGAAACAGAGCCCAAGAGCGGAGATAGCTTCGCCGGCGCCGTGCCGATATTCGACCTGTACGTTAACATAAATATTCAGATGAGGGAAGTAGCATTCGACTCACTATTCTTTCCCAACCCGATCTCCCCCGTGTTGTCGCTGCCGCACCACACACTATTACTCACACTCTTCAACTTTTGCTCTGTTCTGTGACCGGAGTCGTCCCTTGGCTCCGGTACCCGGGCATCACCCCAGCTCTACTCACAGCTCCGGCACACGTCCACCCGCATGCTCTTCATATACGGCTACTCGTCGAAGCACCAGTAGCAACCAGGCCAGCTGTGTACTTGAGTCTTTCCTGTCGCTTGCTCGGTGTTCAGATCAAACTCCAGACTGACCAACGCAACGCAGCGCTGTGACGAAGACATATCGAGGGTGGGTCATGGGCTGGGAAATAATGGCCGTTGTCTGGGAGCCCGAGAATTACCATTCACTTAGTTGGCAGTACTTTCTATGAACTTCGAAGTCTACACCGGGAGTATGCTGAATGCCCTCTTCCTCACAGTACATATTGCTGAATTCTCAGTTAGGAAAGTGCAATGTTGGCTTTAGTAACTTTTATCCTCTGCTTTTGATTCGTCTGCTTAACGTCGTGCGCCGGTGCCGTGGCTCCAGAAGAACGACCTTGCAGTTGTCGCCTCAGCAGCGCCATCATTCTGCTGGGAAAGCATATTCTAGGTCTTGACATCAGGCTCAGTACGGCCGATGAACTTTTGCAGCTGCAGAAGCTCTACGGCGAGGTTGACCGCTTCCTTGAGGTATTCCTGGGTATCGATGCCGAGCTTGCTCTTGTCCTCCTCGAGCTTGTCAACATATAGACGAATGGTAGCACCAGCACTGCCGGTACCAGAGAGTCTAACCACGACACGGGTGTTGTCGTCGAACTTGAAATAAATGCCCTGGTTCTTGGAAACAGAGCCGTCAAGGTCGGTGTAAGAAAAGTCGCCTGCCTCGATAACCTTCTTGCCGGCAATGGAGGAGCCCACAGTATCGGAGCTGGAGAGCTTCTCCTTCAGATATACGACCATCTCGTTGGCGCCATCACTGCTGACATTCTCGTAATCGTAGCGGGTGAAATAGACGCGGCCATACGTATCCCAGAATTGCTTCTGGATCTCGGCAATAGACGGAAGCTTGCCGGTGTCCTTGTTTACGCCGGCCATGATGTTGAGCCAGGCGCAGACAGCCCACAGACCGTCTTTCTCACGGATATGGTTCGAGCCGGTGCCGAATGATTCTTCTCCACAGATGGACATCTTGTCTGAATCGAAGAGTGCGCAGAAGAACTTCCACCCAGTCGGCACAACATACGTCTCGAGACCCTGCTTCTTGCCAACCAGGTCCAGAGCGCCAGAGGTAGGGAATGACCGCGCCAGGCCGTACACACCCTGCTTCTTGAAGTAAGGAATGTACTGCTTCGCGTAGTGGGCGATTATGGCTAGGGAGTCACCTGGTGATACGAAAGCGTTCTTGCCGTAGATCATGTTGCGGTCGCCGTCGCCGTCCGATGCAGCACCGAAGTGAATGCCGTCTCTGTCAACTCTCTCAACCAGAGAATGAGCGTAGGTCAGATTTGGATCGGGGTGGCCGCCATTGAAGTCTGGACTAGGTTCGCAGTTCTGGGTACTCGAGGAGGGGAGACCGAGTTCCTTTTCGAAGATAGCTTTGCCGTAAGGTCCAGTGACACCTGATAGAGCATCGAACAACACCTTGAAGTCGGGCTGCGCCTTGAAGAAGGAGCGAATGAGATCGAAATCAAATATCTCTTTCATATACTCGACATAGTCGGCCACCGAATCGATGATCTCGACCTCGAGAGCCCCATATTTCTTCGTCCCAATAGTTGTGAGATCGACGTCCGGAATGTCCTCGATCTTATATGAGGTGAGACCCTTGGATTTCTCGAAGATCTTGTTGGTGACTGACTCTGGAGCTGGAGCACCATTGGAGAGGTTGTATTTCATGCCGAAGTCCTCGGTAGGGCCTATATGCTGTCAGTCTGATGTGAAAAGAAAATTGTGTTGGTACCTACCACCCGGGTTGTGACTGGCAGTAAGGAGGATACCGCCAGTGGCCTGTCGTTTCCGGATAACATGACTGGCAGCGGGCGTGCTTAGGATCCCCCCCTGACCGATCAAAAGCTTCTTGACACCATATGCAGCTCCGATCTTTGCAATCTTCTGGACCACTTCAGGGTTGTAAAAACGGCCATCACCTCCGATCACTAGGAATGAACCTTCGACGCCTTCGGGGATCGAGAGGAGGATGGAGGTAATGAAAGATTCGCTGTAGTGATCTTGCTGAAAGACTTTGACCTTCTTGCGGAGACCAGAAGTACCAGGCCTGTAATTGCATGAGCATATGTAATATTTCACTGCGGTGATAGCCTACTTCTGGTCGGTGAACGAGGAGAACTGTACTTCCTTCACCATGGTTTCGGATCGTAACGTAAGACTGGGAAGTGGTTGGTCGGAACTATTACGAGAATATGTTACCACAACGATGGTACTGATGTGGAAGAATGTAAGCTATACGGGAGAGGACGTCGGTGTATGCAGCTGCAGAAATTTGTTGACCGACGCAACGCAAGAATGCCCCTCCTTTGCAACGAAATTCCTGGAGAATTCTGGCGGGGCTCAGATTTCGTCACAGGGGGGGTCTCGGTTGCCCCTCCCCTCGCTTGCGCATGCCCTGATGGACGCTTCAGCCCTGCTTGGTTGCCTTGTACAGATTTGCTTCAGTATCATTGTAGCCTGACTAAAGAGATTGTCATTCTCGTCATCTCTGATCACGAAATTGACCGAGCATCTACCACCCTTTCGATCCCCCGGCACATATAATTTACCCATCCTGCAGAATGACCACCGGAGGCACGCTCAATCCATAGGCACGCTCCGTTGACTTCGTTTAGAAGTTGTATGCGAGCGGGACGGGTTTAATGCAAGGTGAGTCCATATATATGTCAACTATGGACCGGGTTTGAGAAAAGGCTCCTCTGAAATTGAATGCACCTAGAACGGTTGCCTTGCGCGAAGGCGGACTCTGCTACTCGTGAGGCTATTGGCTTGCGATGTTCGCCTTGGTTCCCCAAGCTGTTGCGCCTTGTCAGGCCAGCAATGTATCCGAGGCTGGTCACTTCATTGGAACAGAGCGATAAACAATACCCAAGTTGAGCGGCGGTCATGACAGAGGATGTACCGCTCTCGTAGCCAATTACCATGAATGCAACCATGCTGGATCTTCATGGCATTCTATGTATCGGCAAGCTCAATGGAAACACTCTCCCAAGAGTGTGCGAAAGCTTGGCACTGCTTTCTCGTCCTCCGCAGATAGCTGCAACAGGCGGTATCATTGGTTGTGACGCAGAGTCCCGGCCGTTACTCCGATAGAGCGTTGTACCCAGTATGCACATCCAAGGCATGGTGAAGAGTACGAGACGTTTTTCGCGCATTACTGGGAAATAGGTGGAGAAGTCATCTCCGTCTAGATTCGCAAACAATAAGAGACGTTATCGTACTCGTAGCATATCTCAGCAATAAAATTGATCATCCAATATGCTTAAGACCGATAGGCCGATGAACGTGGAAGGTATCTTGCCATCAGAGGTAAGGGACTGGGAGCAAACGCGTGGAAGGTCGAAGAAGCCTAGAATTCGGCAAGTAGCAGCAAATGGTCATGATGAGATGATGCCCTTGTGCAGCGTCCCAGGAAAATCCAGTGAGAAAAGCAGCCGATTGATAAAGGTGGTATGCAGAATGCAGATCCCGCTTTTGCGATCACCGTCTCCTACTCCGGCGGATCCAAACGTGGAGCGCTAGGTCATCCCAGAAGCCTCGAAACTGCAGATCTTCGTGCCGTTGCAGTGTAGTCTAGAATGTGCTCCTGAGTGGCACCTTGGACGTCGTCTGTAGTATGGCCTATCACTTTGTTGGACATGCTCCGTGATTATGTTGGAATCGAAGAACAGATGCCCGCCAGCACGGTCGATGCAAGTACGAATATTATCTTAATTTCCGACAAGGGCGGTACAAATTGCACTCTCAAGCAATCCTGTGATTGTCAAAGGTCAATGCCGGATAAGGTCAATCATCATGTTAATCTCTGAGCATTAAACAATGCACCAATTGTGAGTAGGTTTGCCAAATGGCAGCCAAAGGGTGCCAATCAATCTGGGCGTCATGAGGTGAAGCAGCATTTGGACACATCTCTCTTTCACGACTTCCGAGCAACACAGCCAATCATGCCCATCCAGCTTGACCTTTGCGAGGCAAGCAGGCGAGACAAGAGTCTCACACCCAAAGGGCTCAGAAAAGCACAGACCAAGGGCCGTTGGGCACTCATCGGTTGGGCCTTGCTGCATGGGTTTTGCCACCTTGACAAGTCGTATCCACCAGCTTTTGCTTTTCATCAACACGATCTTGCGTTGCAGGGTTTCGTCAGCCCAAGGAACGCTGCTCCACGTCCTACCTAGAATGTCAAGGCGCTGCCCGGTCTAGCTGCTGTTCATTGGGCACGCTACAAGTCGACTGTACTGTACTGTAGGATCGTCCACAAATGAGAACTCACGCAGAAGGTCCTTTTGACCCCACCGTCATAAACCATACTGGCGTGTGACTCGTGCGACAAGCGAGGGGCGTAAGCTATATTTTCCGAGCCAGATAGACCTCCGTCCAATTTCAGTGGCACCCCACCACGTGGATGGTCATTGGCATCAGGAGAGGCTTCGATAGTCTTCTATCGTGTCTTGGATAGAGATTCAGGTTGCGTATCCGCCCAAAGATCACGGATAGTCTATGTGCCAGAGTGCAATAATTTCATAGCGGTGCTCGGCTGTCTACCATACTGGCGAAAGCACCATAACATGGTTGTGGCTGACAATGTGATTTCTTACAATAATATCGAGGCAATAATGTGGCAACTACATGACTCTGCAGTGGCTGTCAGTCACACAGACCCGTAGTTAGCCGACGATTCCGGGCGAAGTCCTACGAGCCCCCTGAAGGAACGTTCTCCTCGCGTGCGACACCGTCTCAAACAGTGAACGTGGCCTTCAGCCAACCACAAGGGTAACGCGTGGGTGGCGACCAGCGGGGCTGACCTCATGCGTTTTTGCGGACACGTCTCGAGGCTGAGCGAATCGATCAAGGAGGTCAAGCAGAGGCCGGTACGGACTTTGCAGGCTGGATGCAATGTAGCGCTGACCACTGCACGATTGCAGACCCCGTCAAACCGCAAAAGTCGGCAACGCCACGAGAGATGCACAAATCGGCCAAATTGGAACTAGTTCCGTCCTGAAGGTGCAGAAGACTTCGTCCATGAGTAACTGGGGAGTCATGCTATGTCGAGGTCGGGACCAAAATTACCTCTTCACTACCTGCCGATTGCTGAGCACGATTACTCGCTGTGTCACCAAGGCCAGCAAGCGCCAACGCTGAGTGGCTGTACATCGCAAGTTGGGCTCGGTGGCACGCTTCGATTGGGCTCCAACGGGTCTAGCCAGACATGCGCATCTTAGTTCCAGCCACGGTTGTGCGTAGATCTCAGCACTCTGCGGCTTCAGCTTTCATCCTGGCCACACCCTTCCCTGGGAGCTTGACACAGGGAAAGCCACCTGCAGCGGTCGGGTGCGAACCAAAGGAAGCGTAAAATCTCTGACCCACCAAAAACGGGCCCCCAGGCGCCATCTTTGCTAGCCGGGACGCTCTCACAGTTTGAGCACGAGGACTCTCAAACCACTGGACGAAGCCCAAACCGCTCACCGACAGGCCCCTCTGACAAGCCCATGAGTGGTTGATCACCCAATCCTGTTCGTCTCATGTCCCATCCCGAATGTGCTGGCGCCTCCGGAAACCAATAGTCGCTTGCGCCTGGCTGCTTGAGCACTCAAATCGCAATTTGCACTGGGCCGCGATTTGCAAGCTGCCGGGCGAACAAGAGTAAGTACGTCGATAGCCGGTGCTGTGCTTCGCCGAGTGCTTCGCCGATGGCCGCAGCAAAGTGGCAAATGTTCCAGCGCCTGCCAGAAGCTGTTGGGCTGGGTGGCCAGAGACAAGGGAGAATGCTGCCAGGCTCTTGCCATTAGGCTGGCGATCGAGCATCAATCTCGCCCTCCTCACCCCAGTACGCCCGTTCCCGGGTTGGCCAAAGTTGCAGGCAAAGTGCTGCAAAAGCGCCGCTGGGCTCGGTGGCACCCCCTGGCTAGCGTGCCTCAAAACCCACGAAGGAATGCTGATCGGCTGCAACTCTGTGACCAGAAATGCGCCCAGACGCGGCGTGCTCGCTGTTGGCCGTGTCTTCGCCTCGTTTGCAAAATCATGCTACCCACACCTGGGGCTAGCAGTGCCGCCTAGCCCTTGCCACCTAACCCGATCAGCTCATGGGCCGACTCGTCATCTGGCATCAGACGACTATCCAGGGTGTGAAGCTCTGATGCACATCAGTGGACCTGCTGTGCCCTCAATCTCTATTCGCAGCGTGCCCTAGACAGCCTTTTTGCCCCACTGCCCATGGGCGAACCGTGCTCGTCCTCTGAGGCGTCATACTTGCCCTGAATAGAAAAGACAATATGCCGCCTTCTATACTTCACCATCACCAACCCTCTACACCACCCAGCTCTCTCTAACACCACACCAGCCTCCAATCTCTCCACATACGCCGCTACACCATTCCCTCATACACTCCTCCTTTCATCCTGTTATATTCACCCTGAGTCCCTCCTTCCGACCACAGCCAAACCGACTCTCCAGAAGGCCATTACATCCCGTGGATATACCATTAGGATCCGGCTTTCTTTTTGTTCCATTATCAACCACAGAGCTACTGGCCACTCAGGACCCATGTTTTGAGCAGACTCATCTCGTTGGTTTTTGTCGACCCCCCTTTTCTAGACCAAGTACTTGGTACTTTTGGGCCCTCCCAATAATGCTATTAACGCCACCTCCATCGCCTCAACTGACATCTTGTCTCACTCCCGAGGATCGATTGGGTTGTGTCCTGGCTGGCCGTTTGGAACTTGTCTCTATCCTCGGAGTCGGAGCTTTTGGTGTCGTATACCGGGCCGTCGATGTCTTGACCAACACCCTCTACGCGGTAAAGGCGCTCCCCAAGGCCGGACTTGATGCGCGGCAAAGGCGGATCCAGCGACGAGAGATCGCGCTGCACCACCAAGCTGCTCAACACCCAAATGTGGTCTCATTGCATCGAATCCTCGATAGCCCGGACTGCACCTTTGTCGTGATCGAATTTTGTCCAGAAGGCGACCTCTTCACGAACATCACTGAACAAGGCCGCTTCATTGGAGATGATCGACTTGCCAAGCATGTTTTCCTCCAAATCTTGGATGCGGTCCGTTTCTGCCATTCTTTGGGCATCTATCACCGGGATCTGAAGCCGGAGAACGTTCTGGTCAAGGATAACGCCCATACCGTCAAGCTCGCCGATTTCGGACTGGCCACTACCGATCGCATCTCCTGCGACTATGGATGTGGATCTACCTTCTACATGTCTCCAGGTACGTGCCAGCAACAGTTCCGGCCACTGCCCTGATGCTAATAATCGTACAGAATGCGGGCAGAGTCGCCCCTATGCGCGTTACGCCACCGCGCCCAATGATGTCTGGAGCCTCGGTGTCATTCTCGTCAACCTCACATGTGGCCGCAATCCGTGGAAAAGGGCATCACCCGAGGACTCGACTTTCCGGGCGTTCTTGAAGGATTCGAGCTTTTTGAGCTCCATTCTTCCCATTTCCCAGGAACTCAGCACTATCTTGCAGCGCATTTTCGAATGCGATCCGCGTCATCGCATCACATTGGACGAGCTCCGGGATCTCATCATCGCCTGCCCACGGTTCACCACCACCAGTTACCACACTATGCCACCGACACCACAATCTTCTTTTGAATACGTTGAGACCATGGACTGCGCGAACATGGCCCTACCACCTTCGCCACCACAGTCCCCCCCACCAAGACCTGGATACTACGGTCAATCATCCCACTGGTCCCTGTTCGAGCCTACATCGAAACAAACTTCGTCGTACTCGGACACTTCTGCCGATTCTGGATATGAATCTGAGACTTATGCTCCGGAACCTGGCCCTAATCCTTTCAACTTTTATGGAAATGTCATCCCTCTTCAGGACCATTCAAAAGTTTCCTTCTACCAACAGCCGACCTTTGCGCCTACTGTTGCAGCATATTAACAGAACCCTTTTCTGTTTGTTATCTCAAAAATTTCTTGACGCGGATACGATGCCATGGATCAATGCTGAGGACCATTTTACCAAAAGCGGATACCCCTTGGTTGCTCTTTTGTCTCATACAATGTTTGGCTGGTTTGATGAGGAACGTTAGATCATTGCGAGGAGATGTCAGCGAAAAGCATTACTTGGAGTTACGAGGTCGACTCTGCATCTTGTTACGTCGAAGGGGAGCGGAGCTTTTTTGTGTGTTGACTCGGTGTACTTGTTGTCACTACCTCTGGACCAAGTGCTGGATAAAGAGGTTATACAACTTCAGGAGGAAGGTTTTCTCGATTTTTTTTTTTTGCGTCAAACGATACATTCACAACCAACAGCCAGTTCCATCCGAGCCCTGGAGTGACTCCCATCCTGGTCGTCGATAGCCCGGATATGGCTGGCTTGTAAATAGCCCAACACGAGAGCCATGTGTCTCCAATTTCCACAATCGTCGCTTGAAACAACGTTTCGTCGTCCCCCGTATTTGCAGGTGCCGGTTTTTTTTCCCTTGACACGCTTCGACACGTGTTGGGTTCTGCTCTCAAGGATCTCACGATCACGTGATCCACTAGATTCCCACTATAACTACCCTCTATCTGTGAAGATGTCCAACAATTACGTTCTCCTGGAGCGCTGAAGGTTGTCATTGGGCGCTTTGTTAGGCAGGTCGGCAGCTAACCTCTGATCTGACTTTGCCCCGCTAAGACTTAATCTGGGCCGACCGGTCTTTCGCCACCACGCTACTGCAGCTCTCCAGCTTTGACATGCAGATGGCCCCAATCCGGGCGAACTTGAGGATGGCCGAGCCTGCATTAAATGAGATACGAGACGGGCAGAAAAATGTCGCGGGCTCACTTGGCTGCAGCTCGGCTCGTGTTGGATATACTTTTCACACAACTCGCGGGATACCCTGCTACGCAGCCCTGCGCCAATCCCTCAGTGGTCGTGACCCCGGCGGGCTGCGAGAGCCTTGTGAGCGCCCTCCTGCGTTGTATCCTTCGAGGCTTCTATCCCCTTGCATACACATCCTGCACTAGTTCTGCTCGCTCGATCGAGCGCACGGCTCTCCATCGGCGTCACTGCCCCGTCTCCCTGGTGCGTGCTTTCTGCAGAACCCTCCACCAAGGGTTAGCCCAGTCCTTTCATGTCCACATGGCTGCATGCCGTTCCGGATAGCCCCCTTCGTCTATCCTCTCGAACCACGTCGCTCCCCGTGGTGACATCTCCAGACCACGGGTTCTGTGGAACTAAGTTTCCTCCTAAACTGGGATATGATACTTGCCAAGTTACCGGGTTTCTACTGGTTCGTGGTTTCCGCCGCTTCTCAAGAGCGATAAGCAAGCCGCTGTTATCAGAAAGGGCCCGGGCGTGGTGCGGTCATTGGTCCCTTTGGCAACCATCTTCCTCCCTCTTCTTTCTCGAGACGCACGCTAGCATGGCAGGCCGGTCTGCCACAAAGCCTGCTGGCTTTAACACCGGCATCATGGTGGGCAAAAGGCCAAACTTGCGGCTTGAGCGGCAATTTTCCGATGCACGGACCGCAGCACCAATTCCCTAATTCCGAGATGCTCATCGCGCGTCCTGAATAGACAACCAGATTGCGGGTGTGCTCTCCCCTGAGCATGGCCCAATCGTGTTGCATCGCGTGCAAGCGCTCCTGCCAATACTGGACGGAGTGTACCCTCATTGTTCACAAGGTGCGGACACAAGGCACAATGCCATTTTCAAGGCCTTCCACTGGAAGCCCACTTACTATGATGGAGCGAGGCTCCTCTGAGAGAATCTCCAGGCCTCTCTCTGGATTCGAGTCCCTCCTTGCTGCCATGGACTGACCGATCGGGGCGCGCACCAGATGCTAAAGTCGATAAGGTCATGGTGTTCAGCATCCAGCATCACATCCATGCTATTCCAGGCCACGGCATACTTCCCCCTTGCCTGGCACGGCTGTCATGTCCGAGCGGAGTGGACCGGGCAGTACCTCACGCTGGCTTGCGTCTAGACTCTCAACCGACGTGGTGGCTTTCGCACCCCTCCTCGGTCAAACCTCTCGTTTTCCGACAACGTGCCATAAAGTTTCGCTGCGTGGCTTGAGACGATGTGCGGGTCGCGTGGCTACGCAACGGCATGCAGCAACACGAATGACCCGCGGAGAATGTCGCACAATGGATCAACCAGAAGGCTCGGGCATAGTTTCGGTTGGAAGAGCGCAATACGAGAAAGGTGAGCACGCCAGGCACACACATTGCTGAGCATAACGCGCTCGGCCTTCCTCTCAGTGCTGTGGCTTCCAAAAGTTCCGCAAGCCATCTTAATTCGGGTTTGAACGCGACGTCGGATGCTTATACACGAAGAAGCAGCGGCGACTTTCGCAAAGTATGCCTGAATAGGCCTCTTTCAGCGTCAAAGCTCGTGGCTTACATCATTGATCGTGACAAATGTCTGTGATGTACCTCGTTGGAGAGCGGCGTTGCCTAACGCTGAGACGTACCCGGCCGTTATGCTAACGGAAGCATGGCTCGCCATACTGGCTCAGCCATGAGTCCTCAGATCCCAAAATCGTTCTCAAAACAACGCAGAGCGTTCAGTCGTGGTCTTTGCGAACGCCTGGTGTAGATATGCCGGCGGACAATAATGGTCACTCATGGCGAGACCCTTCTTAGAGACAAGGTCAAATGCTGGAGGTCTGCGTGACTGATTATTCTGTCTGGAGGCTGCGATTATCCCATGAAAGTCACCTCGAACACCTGTAGTATGCCTGAGTTAGTAGCCGTCGCCTCTCTCGGAGAATGCTACGCGTGTCACGCTTTGCGTCGTCTCATTGTATTCAAGCGATTCACGTAGTCGACGCGCGATAGCTGCGGCCCGCCCCCTTATTCGAAGGTTGTTGGACTTCGCCCATGGCGACCCGAGTGTCCGCACTATAGCCGTGGCTGTGCCACGAGGCTGTGCCACTGGAAAAGGACAGTGTGTTGCGAGGTAACGAGTAGAACGGTATTGTAAAGTCCTGGTTCCGGCGAGTCTTGGGCGTCCCGTTCCAGGCGTTCCGACCATTTGAAAGCGACATTTTCGCCACATGGGCTGGCACGAATGCCAAGCGTCTGAGCTCCGCCTGCGGCAAAGTGTTGTAATGCTACACTCGGCCCCACAGACATCTCCATCCACAGGGTGGGAATGGGACATTTGAGCCTTTGATGAGGCATTACCAGACTGCGTTGCTGTTGTGTCAGTGTCACATTCGTACTACCACAGATCTGCAGTTGCTTTAAGGACAGCTCTCTGACCAGTAATTAATTTGAATGCCCTTAGCTGGCACGACAAGCATTGGCGACACGCCCTTTGTCTGTTTCTAGCCGTGCCGAGTCGCCGAGCAAGATGGACACGCAATCCAATCTGCTTAAATTGAGAGAAAGAACACCCTGGGTGTTGACACCACCCACCCGCTCTTTCCCGCAACACTGACTGCCGTCGTTACCGTCTGCTGTTAATCATTGCATTGTCTGTTTGACCTTCATCGCCATCGTGACATTCACTGCCGTTTGAGGCTCAACCTAGGCGAACTTCGGCTCCTCCCTCACCCTTACTTTACACTTTCTGCACCCGCCGGTCCGCACTCTTGCCGAAACACAAACCCTACCCCACCTCCAGTCAACGCGAGAAAGAATTCCGCGAAGGATAACATCTCTTTCGAACAACATTACTGCTACCTTTCCAAAATCCCCTCGCCTCACAAGCATCACGTCACAATGTCTGCCCCTGGCTACCCCCCTCAGTCCTACCAACAAGGCCCACCTCAAGGTAGTTACGGCGACCCGAATCAGCAATACTATGGCCCTCCCCAGGGCGGTATGAACTACGGCCCTCCGCAACAAGGTTACTACCCGCCCCAACAACAGGAACAGAAGGACAGCAGCGGCCCGGGTTGCTGCGCCGGTATCTTCGCCGGTCTGGCTTGCTGCTGCTGTTTGGATATGTGCTGTTAAAAAGACGAAACATCGGAAGGCACACGCAGAGATCGAGTTCGGCTAGAGGAAAAAGCTCGTCTTGCAGTCAGTCAGTCAACTGCTCGAGGCTTAAATGGCACGTCAGGGCGGTGTCGTGCAAACAGCGCTGGGACTATCGAACAACACTGGTACACATCGGATGGGATTGCGCCACAATACCTTACCTATGCTCGACAAGAAACACGTTTTGCAGTTTTGGGCGAACACGAATTTGGAGTTTCGTTCAAGCGAAGCTCTTTCAGAGCAGCAAAGCAGGCACAGCCGGCGTTAGACACGAACCAGCAGTGCGAAAGGATATTGCTTAACAGATGATTCCCATACTGAATTCTCAACACACAAGGCCATGTTCTCTCGTGGCTTCATTCACCTTGTTACCATCATGCTGCCTTTCATATTGATGTTTCCTTCGTGTACGCGCCCTCGGTGTTCATGCGAACGACGTGGGCACAAGACAGGCAAAGAGGTTGTTCGAGTAATGAGTAGCTCCTATCCTCAGGGGCTCTCCTCTCAATGATTGGCCTTGAATATGTTGATCCGTCCAGAGGTCTAGACAGCTAACTAGCAGTACGCAGCTTATCCTAAAGAACGGGTAAGACCATAGACCAACAAGAGCCTAGATCGAAGTCAACACATCGACCATAGCTCCAACCTAGATATTCCTATCTTCCACGCTATCTCGACTTTTTTCACCTCGAATTCACCATCACTCAGCCTTTCACAGCATTCTCGGTCTCAGCTGCCGCATGGGGGCCTGTAGGCGCCGGGTTTCCGGTCGCACTCGTTGAATCTCGACCGCAGCCTCATTCAGAGTCTTTCCGGACTCGTTGGTGACCACATCGAAGTTCCGCTCGGCCACTCGGACGTAGTCCAGCTCCTCTGGAGTCGCCTCGAGCCTCTGCTTTTTCGCAATTCACGCATCATCAGCTTCAAGCGCTTTACGTCTCACCCTTCGGAGCTTTCTCCGCAAAGAGCGCCGTTCGAGAATCAGGTCTAAGATCTTTGGCTCCCCGTCAACTTCCGTTCGTTCGTGTTCACGCAGCACTTCGATCTCACTGGCATTGTTGCACTTAACGAATATTTCCGTGTAGTCGGCAAGTGTTGTGATGATACTGCGGAGTTCATCGTCCTTGGAAACATTGACCGTGGAGTCGAAGACCTATTCGAAGATGTTCGTGATGTGCCGAGAACGGAGACAGCTCTCACGCAAGTCGCAAGCTCTACCTTGGAACTGTCTCGCGCTGTGGCTCTTTCAGTCTTCGAGGTCGAGCTTGTCGGCGGCAATGTAGACAAGGGCGCACAGGGCACAATTGGGCACCCACTTTGTTCTGCCAACACTTGTTAAGGTGAGGGCTTTGTTTCCAAGGCAAACCACACTGATTATCACGAGAGGTATCTGACCACCCGGGTGATGCAAGGTCAACGCAGTGTTAAGGCATTTAAGAGTATCAAGGCCAAAGACAGTACCCACCGGCACCGGTACCGAATGCTACCGAACGGTCATACAAGCATTTTCAGGCAGTGGAATCGGCCACCGTACAAAACCATCCAAGTGCGCAATTCCACCACTGCACCTTCAAAGCTCTTTCCTTACAATCCAGGGGACCTCTTACATCCCAAAACACTTGCAAGGCCCGTGCACAGGCTCTGAAACCTTTCGGGGCATAATCGTGAAGAGTGGAACGGGCCTCACACGGCTTGCGAGACGTTTTCGCCGAAAGTGCCCCATCCGTGCTAGGCCGCAGCTTTGATGCTAGAGTTACCAGAACTCGTTCATCAGCAATTTTTGGTAATATAGAAGCTCAGGTGAGTGATATGGAGCTCTCGATCCATTGGGTGTCAGAGTAATGGCAGCGGGGAGTGAAAAGGATGAGGTCTTGGCGCATAGCGGAGCATTAGCTGGTCTCCCGCTCAAATGGCCTTTGAGGGTGCTCAAACAGGTGATCAGAGTCATCAGCTGCGTGTAAACGAGCTTGAATTCTTACGTGGAATACATCGTTGAGATGGCGTTCTTAGCGCATAGTCATACATTTGTGCCGAGCAAAGCTGGGTCCCACTGGCTAAACCGCTCGCTTCCGAGATGGTCTAGCTGATACTGACATTCATTCGAATACCATTGAATACGTTTGAATACCACTTGGCATATCGTAGAGTTCATTCATCATGCTCCATAAGTCAACATTCACCTCCCCGAGCTCTCCGGCAATTCGAACTTCGGCGCGGAATGCAGCTCATGTCCTCGGACTGGATACTGGGAATAGTGCTGCGGATCTGACATGGTCGAGCTCGGATAGCTGATCTGATCTTTGTAGTCAACATGACCTCTTGCTTGAGACCGACGTCGCCTCTTGACAGCCCAAAACGCCAGCGCCACGATCAGAGCCGCCGCTGCCACGCCTCCAACGGTAATCCCTGCAATTGCACTCACACCAATAGCTCCGTCTTGCACATCCGAGGACTCTCTTGAATCCTGGGACACTGTCGTCGCACCTGCCGCCGTCGGGGTAGTCATCGAAGGCATCAAGGTCGACGAAGCGGAGCTGGCAGCAGCAGCCACACTAGATGCGAGCGCCGCCTGCAGCATCTCAGGCGGGGGCGCATTGAAAGTCTTGTCCGTCGGGTCGTCGCAGCTGACGGTGTTGTTGACGACGCCGCAGCAACGCCACAGCTCCTCGCTGTACACGTACGTGATGTCTGGTAAACCCTCGCTGGCTGTTGATTGCCCTTCAAGTCAGCACGATCCTGGTCATCTGCTCAGACGAGGGAGCAGGGGAGAATGTTGGATTGCTTAGAGGTATACTTACTGCAAAGCGGCGTGCAAGCCGTCGTATCATTGTAACTACTATCGGTGCATCCGGCTGTATAGTACCCGGAACCACCTTTGGGCGGGCTGTCTCTTGACATGCAGATATAGCTGCCGAGACAGACATCGCCTTCGAAGCAGCAGCGCGAGAAGCCGTCCGAGTCTTCCGTGCCTGGGCATGCAGCATCGACGCCGAACTTGCTGAGAATGCTGTTGGTGGACTTGCGGTAGCATGCCGCCATTTGGGAAAGCGAAGGTGGCTGTGAATTGCTGCAGCGACGGTGCGAAACCAGAGGGCTGCAAATAGCAGAAGCTGAACGAGTGTATGCTGGGAGAGTGCTGCAGGGTTCGGTGGCGGAGTTGTGGGACCTGTATAAAGGGATTTTCTGTGCACGGGCTGGAGAGCGGTTGTAGCCGTAGCCGATGGCCGCGCGGGAGAGACAAGATGTTTCAGACGTCCATGTTGGCTGTCTACAGTAGCGGACCCTACTGGCCTGCTGCCGGCCGCTGGGTGGCGGTCACCATATATGTTTGCCTGGGCGGTTCATGAAACGGCGACAAGCGAAACCACGAGGGCGGGTTCACCAGAAAAGCCCATCTATCCAGCATGCTACTTGCAGTGGCCATGATCGTTCGACGAGTATGTCGAACGAAAAACGGTTCTTGCTCACGAGCTTCGTGCTCATCTATATGAAAGACGGGTTTCAAATCAATCAGCAGGCAACGTGCGACGTCGATCTTGCATGGCCATTGGTGGGCTTCCGCTCGTTGGGGGCCCACCGATTTCCTCTTCGGGCATCTACGACAGCAAGACAAGCCCCTACCGATCAAAGACCATAACGAGGCGCACAGCAACACTGGCAACCGCTGGGTTAGACGACCAGCATTTTGTCTTCAGACGATCAGTTATATGAGACCATGATCATTTCTGTCCCCGAACCCTCCAAAAAGCCACCTTGCACTCTCATCACACCACGGCTGTCGTTTCTCCAGACCCCCCCCCCCCATCCCCGTCAACTCCCCACTCTTCTCACACTGAATCTGGAAATATCAAAAATCTCCCCCATTCTCCTCCGACACATCCTCCACATACGCCTTCTTGCCTCCTTCTCCGCTCCCATCTAACCCGGCCTCACTTCTCGACCGCCTCCCCGCTTTCCTCCACGTGCTGATCGCCATCTCGAGGTCCGCCGTCGGTGCATTTGGTGGCAGTTGGTATCGCGTCAGCATCTTGTACCACGTGAAGCAGAGCACGCGATGACGATACAGGCCTTCCAGCGCCGTCATGCTTGCGGTTGCTTGGGGAGGTGGATTGGTGGGGTAATTGTCGGTTGCAGCGCAGCTAGTTTATTTGTTGGCATGTGCGTCGGGGGATGATGGCCGCTGCTCAGGAGTCGTGGGAAGCTGGGAGGTGTTGCTATCAGCGGCGGCGGCGTAGGCATTGGTAGCTGTGGTAGTTTGAGGCGGTATAGGGCCTGCTGTGTGAGTGGTGGACTGGTGCTGGACAGTCTCGTTGCTAACGGCTCCCAAATTTTCGCGAGAAGCAGTTACCTGGGCAGCTGTTGGCGCCCATTGTTGCCCGGCATATGAGCCAGAGATTTCGGCCCTCTTGAGGCAGGTTTCCCTGCATTAGAGCATTGTGATGACATGGGTAGCTACTGAGGCGCCGGTGAGTGTTGCTGAGAGTGGTTGAAAGAAGGCCTTGAATGAGAAAGGAGAGGTGTAGATATAAACGAAACAGACAAAGACGTTTGATGGAATGCAAACTTCTGGTGCGTGTTGCAAGACAAGCAGGGCAACCCCTGTCTTGTCGCCACTATTTGTATCGAGAGCAAAGGAAAGCTGTTGTATACGAATTGATGATTTCAAGGTATCTGGAGACCTTTGGTCAAGGTCAATTTGAGACCGGCCTTGACCATTCCGTGACATCCTTGGGCCTCCAAAGCCGATGTCCCTTCGTGCTCAAGACATAGCCTTACCTCCATTTGGGGGTCGGACTCGAGAGGCCTTCATAGGGTATACGGCACCAAAGGCTTTCCTTCCCGATCTGCTTCCTCCCGCAGCCGCCTGTTTGCCTTCATCAACACCATACGCATGACCAAGCTGCACGCAATGCTCAGCACGCTAAATGCTAGCATCAACAGCATGGCCATGAGGTATCTTGGCCCATCAGATTTCGGAAAGAAGTAGGGAGACCAAATGTTGCCGAACTGCGAAAGTAAGTTGATCATCGCCGTGGCGCAGGCACGTTTCTCCGGGGTCTGGTTCAACGTAACAGCGAACCAGGAAAAGACGATGCCGTTTGCTGAGAAGCAGCCAGATGTGAAAAGGAACGATGCGAAGTACCGAGCCGGGACATTGAGGGTAGCAACCGAGATGATGAAACCAACCATAGCGACTGCCATCAGGCCGGAAATGTGCAGACCGCGCTCCTTGAGTTTATCCGAGGAGTATGCAGCAAAGAATGAGACGATTGCAGCGACAAGGTATGGCGGGGCTGTGAGCAAGAGCGTGGTCTCCGTAGAACCAAGGTTGAAGCCCCGCATGATAGTTGGGAAGAAGTTGTTAAATCCATATGCAGTGTGATTTGCGCATAGAAGGAGCACGAAGATCCAAGTTCGATAGTCTTTAGCTGCTTCCTTGACGCCAACGATCACAGACCGCTTGCCCTCGGGCTCCGATACGCGATCCCGTAGAACCCGTTCGTGGGCAAACTTGCGGAGGTCCTCTGGCATGGCCCACCAACTCTGCTTCGACTCAGGGTAGTCCGGCAGGATGAGGAGTGCCACGAGTGCCGCAACGAAGCTTCCGACGCCCTCAAGAACGAAAAGCCATTGCCACCCGGCAAGGCCTCTTGCGCCGTCGAGACCGTGAAAGATGCCAGCAGCGATGAGGCCAGAGAACGCCGTCGCGAGGATCAATCCCGAGTAAAGGACAGCCGTCCGCAGGGCCAATTCTGAGCGAGTATACCAGGAGCTCATAATGTGAAAAGCTCCAGGGAAACTGCGCTATGGTTAGACTTGGACCGGGTCAAATGGAGGATTGGGTGGGAGATCCAGAACAACTAGAGTGGGTTTTGTGTACATTGGGGTCTGAGACATAAGTTCCAGATAGTACAAAGGCCTCCTCAAGTTATCCTGATATGAGTTTATCCAGAGACTTACAAAGGAGCCTCTACTATACCCAGGAAAAACCGAATGGCGATGAGACCCGAGAAGTTGCTGGTGCCAGCTGTTGCCGCTGAGACACAAGACCAGACAGCCGCGCAACATGGTAGGTATATCGAAGGACGGACTTTTGTGATCTAGGGATCAGAGTCAGCTTGTATGAAGGCGACACACGATTGAAGGAATGAGGCAGACGGGGCGATGCCAAGACATCGGAGATATACTCGTGCACGGCTTCAGGAGGATCTGAGACACCCTCGTGTCTCCAAAAAAGCCATATGGGACGAGAAAGAAGACTCACGATCATGTTGGACGGCAGCTGCGCAAGCATGTAACCGACATTGAGAATCGAGACGGCAACATTGAACTGGTTGCCAACGAGACCGAGATCTTCCTCAAAGCTGTTGAGGCGCGCTTGAGCAATATTGTTTCGATCCAAGTAATTAAACATGTAAAGGATCCAAACCTAGCAGATGGTCAACGAATTTCTTGTCTTCCGCCTTGCTTCTCACCATTGGCATCAGTGTCATGTCCAGGCGACGGACGAGTTTTCGCTCTTTGGCACGGTACACTGGGTCATCAACGAGGCTTTGCTCGAGGTCTCCAAGTTTCTGATTGTCATCATGGTGCTTCTTCGCAGCTGAAAGGCTTTCGGCGTGCTCATATATCTGCGGCTTCTCGATGTTGGCCATGTTGGGCTCGAGGATGTTGCAACAGAGTAAGGATTGTAGCGAAGCGGTGAACGTACGCCAACGAGGTGATGGATTGTCCGCCCTATTATATCTACACGAAGATCATGCGGGCCGGAGTGTCTTCATCTGGTGGTGCGATGCACATTGGAGGATCCGTTCTCTGCACAACCTGCCACCACGTCTTGGCCAGCGACAACGGCATAGCCAGAGAGGGTAAGCGGGGGCGTTCCCCAAGCATTTTGTGCAAGGTATGAAGCCCTGCGAAGCCGTGAGACAAGCTAATGAAGCACCGGCGTCCTAGGTTGGCTTCCACTGGGCGAAGTCGCCAAGCACGGATCCCCACGTAAATGGGGATTGCGGGGAGCATGACCTCTGAGGATCCTCAATGCACGACAGGGAATGTCTTGGCTGTTGGCAAGGAGCGGAGAAGGACAAGGTCCGAGTCGGAGGAAGTCCGAGTTCATCGTGCTTGGAAACGGTAGCTCGAAAATAGAGATATCGGCGCTTGCCCTATCAGGCAGTTCCGATCGGATGTGTCGAGCTGAGCCTTCGTCGCCACGGTGGATAGAGGTCTGTACAAGTGAAAGGCACCTGGCGTGCCTGACCGGTATCGGAACTCCGAGCAAGGCTCGTCGCGCGGTAAACTGCCAATTGTGCACGTATAAAATTAAGCAGGGACCCAGAAAATTGCAGAGGAAGGCTACAACTGCACGTCGTGAGAAGCACAACGGGTTCCAGGCTCACCATAACCAACATGAACGGAGAACACTTGATAACAAACGGCTATGCCACTGCTGGTCGGTCGATGACTCCTGGCAGACGCTTGCGGCAACTCTTGGAGAGGAATGAGATCCTTATTGCCCCTGGCGTGTACGATGGATTCAGCGCACGCATCGCGCTAGAGGTCGGCTTCGATGCTCTGTACATGGTATGTCGACGAAGACGGTTTTGCGTAAAGGGCCTGAGGCTAACATTCGAAGACTGGCGCTGGAACATGTGCGTCGAAGCTCGGCCAGCCAGATCTAGGTTTTGCATCGCTCAATGACATGAGAGAACATGCAGAAATGATTGCCAGCCTCAACCCCGAGGTGCCGCTCATTGCAGATGCGGACACCGGTTACGGTGGCCCAAATATGGTCGCGAGGACTGTCGCCGCGTATGATCGCGCAGGAGTTGCAGGCTTCCATATCGAAGACCAGATCCAGACCAAGCGCTGTGGGCACTTGGGTGGCAAGGAGGTGGTAAGCATTGACGCATTCGAACAGCGTGTTCGAGCTGCATCACAGGCGAGGGACAGGCTACACAGCGATATCGTTATCATCGCAAGAACGGATGCACTCCAAACCAACGACTTTGACGAGGCTATAAGCCGGCTGAAGACGGCCATAGCAGCCGGCGCTGACGTTGCTTTTCTTGAAGGTAGAAGAAGCCTGTTATGTTTGTGGTCAACTAGGCTGACTTTAGTAATAGGCGTGACCACTGCTGAAGAGGCACGGCGCACGTGTGAGTTGCTTTCCCCAACGCCCGTCCTTCTGAACATGGTTGAACATGGTGCTACGCCGTCTTTTACGCCACAAGAGGCGCATGACCTTGGCTTCCAGCTCATGATCTTCCCATTCTCCGCGATCGCTCCCGCCTACTACGCCATCCGAGAAGCCCTGCAAGGGTTGAAAGCAACCGGCAAGACCGGGATCGCGCAAGACTTCACTCCTAAGAAGCTCTTCGAGACAGTCGGTCTGAAGCAAGCGATGGGGATCGACGTTGCTGCCGGAGGTCAGATGTACTCGAAAGTATAGAAGCCTACTGCTTAATTCGGATGGCGCAGAGAGATCGTGATCGGAATCATATGTATCGTTGCAGGCATCACCGGAGGCGAATGTTGCTTTAGTCTTCGTCTCGCTGCGCTCTCAATCGTAGCCATTCGTTGATTTACCAAGCAGTTTTGCTGCCCCATCAGCGAAACCAGTCAAAATAAAGGTCGTCGGAGGGAAAGCCATTCATGTCATCGAATTGAAAGAGAGCTGGGAGTTCCTGCATGGCCGCTTGAAATTCTGCATCTGTAATCGTTAGTCTGCCGCCGTGAATTGCTCGGCCAAAACATACCGTTCACTTGCGCAGCAGTTCCGTTGACCTGTGACGCGTTCAAACTGAACTGATCTCGCCACCTCCATAATGAATCGTAAACGATGCTCATCGATAATCGGGACTGTATGCTTAGCTGAAGTGCCGATGCGCCCTCTCCACAGACGACTCTAGGGTTGGGGTGGTTGTAAAGGTAAGCTAGCACATCGCTGAGCCTTCCTGGTAGATCATTGTTGCTGACTGACATTTTTCTAAGGGCCATAACGCTCGAATTGAATAGCCTCTTCGTGGTTGTGATTGTTTGACTGGTCAGATCGGCGTAGTATTCGCTTCGAAGCACCTTCAGCAGTACAAAGGCAGCGGACGAAAAGCTTTGGTAGGCGTGGAACGAGCAATGGGATGTGAAGCCTGATTCTTCAAAGTCATAGTTGAGCGTATGCTCGATCAAGGCCGACGCAGTGGCAAAAAGTGCGAGGATCCTTTCCACGTAATCCTTCGAGGTCGCCTCATCGAACAGGTAGAATGCATGTAGATGCAGGCGAGCTGCTAGCAGATGGAAACGAATCAGTCCTGGTAAGGCGGTCAGCAAGCCAGTGTGTGATTCAAGGAATACATTGACCCACCATCTGTTTGGCCAAGCGCGGCCTCGAGCACCAACCAGTCTGAATTCAGGAGCTTGTAGAGTGGGAGGCGCTCATGGGTCGGCTTCGTCATCAGCTCGGTCTCCGGATTGCTAGCAAGAGCCATAGTGACCTTATGGCGGAAAAGCTCGACTTGCAGCATTTGGCGGATGGAATCGGACGGCGATTCAATCTGTCTCGCCAAGGGCTCAATACTAGACCAATCCTGCAAGTGTGCAGGGCTCTGCAAGCCGACACCTATGCTGACGCTATTCACATTTGATAAGCACGACATCTTCGCTGCTGGAACGACTTACCTTTGAGCGACAATGTTGCAGGCTATCCAGATCTTTATCCTAGCCGCTACTTCCTTCTCGGTCAACCTGATCCGGTATTTGGCGAAGTCTTGCTGGTGTTGAGGCCTGTGGAGGCCAATTTGCACGCTCGCCGACACAGCTGTGTGCATCAAGACATAGCTAGGATCTGTAGCACTACTGCTCGTTGGGAAAGGCCAGGTGCAAATGAGCAGAATGCTTTGCACCAAGGCAAGCGAGTGTGGTACAGATCGCACAGCTTTCCATAGCAGATCTGTGACCGGCTGAGACAACTTTGAGAGGAGAGTCGAATTGGTTAATGACCGGCGAGCAGCAACAGCCATGATACACCAAAAGAGCAGCGGCGAAGTCTCGCAGTACTGTTGCGCCGATATTTCTGGATCGAGAATAGGCAAAGTCGGATGGTAGAGACTGAAGAAGGCAGCGTATAGCTCTTCGATCTCATCTTCTGTGAGAGTCACATTCCCGTGGCCCAGACTTCGTGGCCGAGCAATCGCGGCAGGGGAAGTTTTCGGAGGCGCCTCTATCTCATGCTCATGAGGCCGCGTCGTAGTGCCTGTAAGGTCATTGCGCTCTGTGGCTGGCGACAGGCTATCTGAGTCTGCTGGCGGTAGCAGACCATTATTGACCAGGCTGGGAGTCCTCTGTGTGTTGCTGACAATGCCTCTGTTGGCAGCTGGGCTCGCGGAAAGTCGACCGGGCGCAGATCGATCAGGTGTCTCGTCTCCTAGAACGTGTTCAGCGGGCGTACCAGAGAAAGTCCGCTGACGCTGATATTGCTCAAGTTGTTGCTTCAGGGATGAAATTTCTTCTTGGAAATCTGCAGACCGTCTGCGCTTTCTCGTTCTTTGAAAGCTCTCGTCAACTTTGCAACTCAGGCCCAATTTGGCACAGCGTGAACAACTGCTGACAGCCCCCTCAGGACTATGCGCTAAATCACATCGAAGCTTCTGCTGCCTACATTCGTTACAAGCCCTTCTCTTTTGCGAGGCATGTCTGCCATTATACTCGCGTGCGGTCCAAGCGGAGCTCAGAAGCGCCGAGGTGTTGCGCGTGGGAGGAACATGGATCGAGGTTTCTGCTGGTGCGACTCCAGGCTGATTCATCGCCGAATCACATGGTCACGACTAGTGACTCAGTCGAGCGATTTCCAGACAGTCATCTAATGCTGTAGTGCTTCGAATGAGTAACTTCGCCAGCTGTGAAAGCAGTTGGAGCTGAGAAGCCATCGGCTCTAAAGAGCAGCTCGGAGTCCTCAAGCTAAGTCCGGCGCAGGGCCTGCGCCCTGCGCCACACTGGATGGAGAAACCCCCTGGAGACTCGCAGCCTTACAAAATAGGAACCTCAGGCCGTCGCAATGGACACCATCGATTTCGATTCTCACGATGATCATTACCGCTGCCTTTTGGCTACGAATGTGTCTGTATGAGCAATGTTCCTGCACTCTGCGAAGAATAGGCGTCGCCCAGGTGCCACTGATCGTCCTGATGCTCCCCAACCAAGCTCTGTCTCATAGGAAGTTGATATCGTCATTCCATACACCAACGCCGTGCATCCAACACCCCCGAAATTGACTCCCTCTGCCCTTCACGATACGCCAGTACCTGGGGTGTCTTGGACACAATGGGCTGCTTGGAAGATGCTCAGGGATTGTTATGTCCAACTTTTCCTCGTCCTTGCGTTTCCTGATCTCGGACAGGCTTGTTTGTGTGCCACTTCTGAATCTCTTGGAGTTGGTGTCGAGGTTCAGTCCCCGGCCGGACGACACCATGATTAGCCCATCCTCTTCCGATTCCTCTAGCTGAGCCAACTTGGCTTCGTACCAGTCGCTCGTTTTGGCCTTGCTCACGACATGGCCATCTGCGGTCACGAATGACTTTTTACCGCTTGAACTGACTCGGCTTGTATTCCGAGCTGGGATTCTGCTCGGGTCAAGAGTCTCATTCTGGCGAGTTTCTGGTCCTTTGGGCGCGTTGTAGTCGAAGAAGAAGCCTCTCTTCTTTCCATCGAGACCTTCTTGTGGAAGCGGTGGCGTATGAATGCGCCGGGCTTCGCTCGGGAGGTAACTCGTCCCACCACGAATACTAATATCGACTTTCAGAAACTCCTCGGTCTCTACGCTCGGGCTTTTCTTGATCTTGTAAGTGGCACGCTCATCGGGAGTGTTATTTGGTTGTGCCCCCATTCGCAAAGCCAATTGGCTTGAAGTGTACGAAATTCCCTCGACAACGTCCTGGAGAGATTCATCGCTTTCGTACCTTATTTCTGGAGACCGAACTCGAGCAGATATCCGATTCTTACCTTTCAGGGCGCTGGACCCCCTGGAAGAATTGGACTTATCTGACATGGTCCGGGCATGTAGACGATTGACCACTGATACAGGCGATGTCGCGTCCGACAGAAGGCTTGTCTCTTGCAGAATCGAGTTGACCCTTCGCAGTGCTTCCGAAGTCCGGTTCCGCTTCAGGAGAGTCATGTGGTCTGGCAAATGCTGGTTCCGTGGCAGGGACAGCGGGCTAATGCTCCTGACGGACCCCATTCTGCGCTTGTGCTTGTTGAAGCTAAAGCGTCGAACCATCTGGAGTGATGCAGAGAATATTCGCCGTGGGTTAATGGAGCTCTTCCTCGAGGTCGGTGGTGATGTATCTGACAGGGGCTCGTCCTCCTGCAGCTTCGTGAACGACTTTTCCACTCTGACCACGTGGCCATCTGATGGTGCACTCTGGTCCGGCGGCGATCTTGGTGGAAGCAGCGGAGTCAACCCTTTGAGCGACGGAATCTTACCCGCTGAGGCTAAAAGGTTATCTCGAGATTCCTCTGGCGATGTCCGCAATCTCTCGTACCAAACACTACCGGACTTTGTGCGTGACCAGTTGTGACCTGGAACTGGACGGGCCGGAGATCGAGACAGCGAAGTATACTCGCTGGGCTCGGATAAAGGCCCTCTCCGATGAGTATCGAATGCCAAACTACCGGAGGACTTGCTAGAAGCGGACGGCGGCGTTGTCGTGTTGCGGGGGTCTAAGGAACGGGTAGGCAAGGGTTTGTTTCGAATGGCTTCCATGGTGATGGTGCTTTTCCGAGCAACATCCTCGGCGATGGTGTCAACTTTGATCTTGCGATACATCAGGCCGTAGTCGGAATAAGGACGATGTTCGAAAGTTGGTCGGCGGCGAGCCGTGTCTTGGGGTCTGGCGGTCTCACTGATACCTGAACTTGCAGCAGGCGAGATGTTGTTGCTGCTCGTCGAACGATCGCTGCGGTGCCGGATGGTGTAAGTTGATAGAGGACCTGGCGGACCCGACGATGTGGCTGTTGCGGTTCCGGTGTCCTCCATATTGAATGCTGTGATAGAAAACAGGGACTTGAGATACTGTTAAGAAGTCTCGGGCGGGTATGAGAGCTCTGCTGTATATGACGTCTATGCTGTATAGTCCACCAGAAAACATTGCATTTCACTCGACTGTGGTGCAGATGGACAGTAGTCTTGGCTTCGGGGGCAGTCACGGCCCGTAAGCCGTTACCCGTCAAACGTAGACATGAACACTGCCAGCAATCCACGGCTACCATATGGAAGGCACGACGCAGACAGTGCGTTGAGAATATGCTCACAAGGGCGTCTTATCATTACAATTAGCTCTTGACCACAATCATTGGGGGTATCTCTGTAAATTAGAGTGACTGTCGTCACATATTCAAGTCCACTTGATGGTTTCAAGCGTGCTCCTTCATCTTCAATCTTGACCAATATTCATCTTCTTTACGTCTTCTTCCACCGAAAGAAGACCCATAGCCCAGTGAACTCTGCTCGGTCCAGACTTGCTTATCAGCGATCGGTCGTGACTCACAAATTGCGACTCGTGTTCACTCTCAAGCTCGCTGACACTGGAAGCAAGCTGTGGAGCAAGTCGTCTCAAGTTGCCGTTGATTCTGACGTCTTTGTTGTTGCGATCGAGTGACCGAGCATAGGGAGGTCCTTTACCAGCCTGGCCTAGTTTCTCCCAAGCGATTTCGCACGCCGCTGCGACCGCTCCTGACGTGGCCCAGCCGGTCATCTGGGCGATGTCATGTAGCTTGTTGATAGTCCAGCCACGTTGGGACATGTCTGTGTACTGGATACTGCTGAATAAGATCGGGAACGTAATTTCCATCAAAGCTCCGGCGTAACGAGGTGAAAGAGGCTCTCCAGGGTTACCGGCTGGAATTGATGCGAAGAGGCCAGCTACTATCTGGCCAACGATTTGCGAGTGGCTCTTCGTCAGCTGGGAGGTTATGCCGGCGGCGACCATGGCGGCGGGCGGCATGTCCGGATGCAGACGGTACAAAAGAATCCGACCGACGTGATAATGCGCCCATATGCATGCAATCTCTGGACTGCTGTAGCGCAACCTCGGGCCGAACGGAGAAGACGTCAGCGTGGGATCGTTGGGAACTGGTTGGAACTCAGCTCCCAAACATTTATGAAAATGGTCAAAAGCCTTTGCTATTGTTGCATGCTCAGCAAGGGCCGCCTTTGTCTGCTCTTCCAGGCTAGCGTGGGGAGGCGAATTTCGCTGCTCTCGGGGGGGAGAGGTTGTGCCATCAGCTCTGAGAGACCTATCCATCGCATGAAATGACGAATGCATCTTGGGAGGCACAGGTGGTGGCGGCATCATTCCAAACATTGGTGGATCTCCTTGTACAGCGCCGAATGGCACGCTCAGCTTGGTGTGTCTGACTCGTCCTTCATTCGCATTCGGAGTACGGTGGCGCTCATGATATTGGTCGGTGTCGTTTGCAGGTGCGCTTGCTTGTTCAGCAAAAGGCCGTTGTGCTGTTGTGTGGCTTTGGGCTGTGGTACTGGGATTTGCGTAGCCAGAGCGATGTGGATGTTTCGCGAAAAGCCAACCTGGCGGCCTCCACTGTTGGCCTGACGCCTGTATGGCCTGCTGCTTTCGATGTCTATCCTTGCCGCCGAAGTCAGATAACCGTGAGATCAACAGCACGAGATGGTCGAAAGTTCCATAAGCTGCATCGCCAACACCGATGCGACTACGAGGCGGACAGTGTCTTCTTTGCTCAAATGGCATGAGCAGTCTTTCGCCACTGACCAGCGATTGAAACATATCTTGTTTGCAAAACCACCACCACAGATCCAACTTTGTTTTGTATTTCGCCAATTCACGTTCGGTCACGGGTTGGGGGGCCCTAGCTTCGTATGCGACCCCTCGGGCAGGTGTATCGTAATTAATGCCGAGACCAGTCAACGCAGACACTAGCTTCTCATCAACATCCCAATCTACATCGTTGAGCAGAGATGGTGCAATGCCGGCTTGTTCCAAGTCGGCCTCAGTCAGCGCGGAGTTGGCGTATGCCGCCATTTGTCTGGCTTGAGCCCTGGCGCGCCTCATCGTGCAAGTAAGGCCAGAGAGGTCATGCTCGGTCACTAGCTTAGTTGCACCGACGAGATGGAGGTTCCAGCGTGAATGATCGGCGCCTAGAACTTCGTAAAATCCCAGCAGGAGCACTGTCGCTAAGGTTGTGATTTCGTGGCGTCTCTCCGGTAAACTAAGTTGTCTGCCTACCCTTCTGGCAGCATAGGTGAAGTGCTTCAGGGAAGGGCTTTCGGAAGACTGTTGTAGCTTAGCAATGTGCAGCCCGGATATGGCTAATATAGCGTGAGCGAGGGCGGTGTTAGACATGGCCGCGGAGGGTAAGGTGTAGGACCACAACGTCTGCAGGGGTGATGCCCAAGGATCGACTGGAGGTCTTTCGAATATCGACATGCATGGTCCCAGGATGTTGACAAAATGTGTGAACACCATCTCATTTCGCGAGTCTAGTAGAGGTGGTTGTGGTGCAGGTTGTTGAACTAGCCTCAAGGTCCCAGGATGTCGTGGACGTGATGTTCGTTCCGGAAGGCTTCGTGCGCTAACATGTCCGTCCAGGCTGTTGACATTTCCACGCTCTACCTCAACATAGTGTGTTGCATTTTGCGACATGTCGTCCATGTCGACATCAGATGCGTAGTCCTTGTCATCATCGTCGTCCAACACGGTATCTGGAGCACATAAAATAGGCATCTTTGGGTCTAGCGGTGCAGCTTGGACGAAGCCATAAACGCTGTGTCGTCTAGGAGAAGGGTCTGAAGCAACATCAGCTTCAAGACTAGGAGGTCTCAATGGCATCGAGTGGAGTGTACCAACCATGCAACGGTGCCGAGTCGAAAGACAAGTAGCTTGCCGGAACACCTGCATAGCTTTCGGAATAGGCACCGGGCGACGCCATCATGGTAGTTGGTTGTCCATAATCTTCTTGAGAGTAAGAGGCTTGTGTGGTCATCATGCCGGTTTGTGGCCGGCCAGCCCAACTGCCTTCCTGGGCATTTGTGAACGCCGGCAGCCCGGCACCATATCCAAACAAGTGCGCATTGTGATGTTGGAAGCTATGCCGCCTATAGCTGTCAAAAGACTGTGCTGCTGGTGGGTGCGCGTACGGCTGGCTTGGGTCGGGCGGATGATAGTGAAAGGCTTGTGATCGGCTAGCATGATTGTGATTTTTGATCGAGTGTGCAAAATGGTTCTGTAGCGAGAGGAAAGGATTGAATGGGCCGAAGTGTGCTTGGGAGCTGGAGCCAACAAGCCCGAAGCCCTCATTGAAGCGAAACTCTCCGTCGCTCAAGGAGGTTCTGCTGCCGGGATCCTGAGTGGACAGGCCTTGCTGCTGTTTGTAGACCAGTGGCTGGACATATCCAGCACATTCGCGCTTCGACTTGATGCAGTTTTTGCAAAACTTGATAATGGTTAGATCATTTCATCGTTCGGGGGAAGGCCCCTCACAGGTTTCTCTTCACCACACTTGATTCTCCTCTTTCTGCAGGCTGCCTCAAGGTTAGCGTGGCAGACACCAGCACCGTTTAGGTGGGGACTTACTGAGACAGCCGGTCTTGGTGCGTCGTTTGGCGGCCGACTTGCTGGACGTCTTCGTAGAATGGTCGGTGCTCTTCGGCGATTCTTTCCCTTCTGACTTGATCTCAATATCAGCCTCATCGATTTCGGATTTGGGCGTCATGACTGTCGAGGACCATGAGATGGTCGAACTGGCAACTCTGCTCTAGACATGCGAGCATAGGCGAATAGTGCGAGGCATCACTTGTAGGCTCCAACGATGCCAAAATGAGAAAAGGAGCGATGCGGCCAGAGATAATAAATTGTTGACGCGGGACCAAGATACGGTCCAGTTTCAGGTACGGGCGTACCCCTCGTGCAGCGCACAACCAGTAAGTAGTAAAGTCGTCAGCTCCAGCAGGTCTGGAAGCAACCACGTCTGGACAATCTAACGAAGCAAGCCCAGAACATAGACGTTAAGGATCAGCAGCTAGAGAAATTAGTATTACGCCCTCCAAAGTCTTTGTCCAGTATGTCGGAATCTGAAGACGGCTTGAGCACTGTGAGCCTTTCACGGGGGATCGTCTCCGATTGTATCAAAATGAAGCGCAAGGACCACGTCCGGCTTTGCTGGGATTGCCGACATGTCGGAGCGGAGCAACCATGTGGGTGGATCATAGATGAGAAGACGGCGGTGGGGCTTAATTGTGGCCCAAAAGTCAAGCCTTATGCACTACCCGAGGATTGGTGAGTGCACAGCGATGGCTGGTGTTCCGATGCCGATAGGTTGACCCGTGGAGAGGTGCTCCGCAGAGTTGAAATCCTTGGTCGCACTGGGTTCCAGAAATGTTACTGGCAGGATCTTGTACAAGTACAAGTACGAGGTACAGCTGAGCGGCATCTTCACCCAAAACAATACACACACATGCACACTGAGGGCGGTCAGTGTCTGAAGAATTGAGGCTGTAGTCAATCCCGAATCAGGACTGCAGGAGTGGCCACCGAGCACCAAAAAGAGCTGTGTCGAGCACTCCAGGCAGTCCGGCCAGGTCACACCCATGAAGTTAGGGAAGTACCTCAGCTGATTGGCTGGAATGTGACCAGAAAAGGGAACCGGTTCGTAAGGCATGTGTGGGTACTGATGGCCAAAAAGCGGCTAGTGGTCCTGCTAGAGGCGCCAAATACCTGGCCAAGAGGCCACGATTCAAGAGGCCTGAAGGGACTCTGACCGTTTTGACAGCGCTGCTTGTTGGCTGGGAAGAGACTATTGCAGGCAAGGTACCCTGTGATTGGAAAGTGTGTGAGACATCCAGAACGCGAATTATGGCGGCTTCTTCCGCGCGGTTGCGGGAAGTCTGCCAGAAGGCTGGCTCTCAACCGGCAGAAATTCTCACATGGTTGTACGTACGGAGTAGGGGTTGAATATTGGAGTTACATTTAAGACAGTAAACAAGTATTGATCTGTATCAGGTAGCATTGATATTCAGCCCAAAGGAAGGCAATGATAGACAGTTTGAGATCAAAAGGTCAGCGACGTTTCATAGTCCAGGGACTCGTGACGCAGGGGCAGCGTGAGTTTGCAGAACTCTCCCTATTCGTCATATCAGCAATTGAAGCAGCCATGATCAGCGCTGACAGCTCGGCAACGTGGTTTGATGCACATTATTGTGGATGCAGGAATTGATCAGTACCTGATCACTGTTCGGGGTAGCTGAGTGTGGGTTTCCACGTCGGGGGCTGCGAGTGAGTTTACCGCAGCGGAAGCATACCCGGATACTTTGTGGTATCTCACGCAGAGTGGGCCTTCCGAGCTCTGACCACGCATGTGTCTAGTCACAAGTGCTCTGCCGAATACGCACGCGCCATTTGGGGGCCGTTTGTTCTTGTCCCTCGGCGAAGTAGCCACGCCAGAGTCTTTGTCCGACATCAGGTCGGAAAGGCTGGTCAGTCTTTCGGTAAAAATGGACGGTCTCCGGCTGCTGCTGGCTACTGCTGGCTATTTTAAAAGTCACGTTACCTGTGTGGGAGATTTCTGAGTGTGCGGATCCGAATTTGAAGATGGCTTAGCACTAGGGGACGGCGGAAGAGTGCAGCTTTCGTGAATTAGGATTGAAATTATCGAATACTAGACGTTTCAAGGTATCGGCTTTGCTTTCGACTAGACTGCGTGGGTCGAGATTTGCGCAAAATCCCTGCTGAGCCTGTGCCTCGTGGCTTGACGAATGTCCACCGGCACACGCGATTCGAGCAGTAAAATACCCCCGGTCCTAATCAGTCCGGGGATTCGCGGTTGATGGCGCCTAGCGTGGGATGATGCACTGAGGAATGTAGGTTCAGGCCCATGGAGCTCGGTATGTGACCGATGGACTGTGGGGGACGGCACTGGAAACATTAGAAGCCGACCTGGTTGGAACTGCCAATTGTAGCAATATGACATTGTTGATGCAACAGTCGAGCTTGGAGAATCAGGCCATGAACCCTGATCCCTTCTGGCCATGTGAAGCATGAAGCTTTCGCTGGCTAAGCGGTAGGCAAAGATCGTCGCGCGTGGCAGAGCTGGGGTCTGGTCACGTGATCGTAAAAAGTCTATTGTCCGGTTCTCCGCACTGCCTTGACCTCACTTGCAGACAGAGTCGATGATCGCTGGTTGGGCATCGAATGCAAGCCTTACAGCCGCGTCATGTTCGCAGTGCAAGGATGGAACGTGTCTACTAGTGGCCTCGTGCAGCAACAGGCTAAAAGATCAGCGACCGGCGCACCTGCCCAAGCCGGCAATGAATCAAGGAAACGCAAAAGACCAGATCGAGACTCTGGGGTCTCCAGGAAGATTGAGGGGGGAGAGTTAGAGAAGCTATGGAATCAGAGGTTCGGTGACGAGAAGTCGACCAAGAAAGCTGGTAAGGAGGACAGGCACGATGACCGCAGGCGAGATAGCCATGAGACAACTCAGTCCCCAGCCCTTGCTACCAAACGCTCGACGCATCCTGAGAATAAGAAAAAGTTGTATCAGAGGGACCATTCAAGCCCAGGAAAAGCCAATGGATCCAAGTCCACAACGACGACAATAAAGCATGACAAGAATAAGAAGCAGGGCCGCGGCCAAAAGAGCAACGCTCACAATGCTTCAGAATCTACCGATACCAGCTCCATAGTCGACACGTTGCCGCCTCCTCCACCGCCAGCGACAAACCTCACACCGCTACAGGCTAAAATGCGCGCTAAACTCACATCCGCGCGCTTTCGCCATCTAAACGAAACCCTCTATACCACTCCCTCCTCCACCGCCCTATCGCTCTTCACCAACACTCCGTCCCTTTTCGCCGAATATCATGCTGGGTTTTCCCAGCAAGTCTCGTCAAGCTGGCCTCACAACCCTGTCCTCGACTTCATCGCTGCGATCAAGGCTCGCGGGCCACTCTCTCCCGCTCCACCCGATCCTTTGCCCCGTCGGAAGACAGGGTCTTGCACGATCGCCGACTTGGGGTGTGGAGATGCGCCCCTCGCTCGTGGTCTGATACCTGGGCCGGCCAAGAAGATGAAGTTGACAATCCACTCATACGATTTGCATGCGCCGAATCAACATGTTACAGTGGCTGATATTGCCAACCTTCCGTTGCGAGATGGCGAAGCAGACATTGCCGTGTTCTCCTTGAGCTTGATGGGCACCAACTGGATAGATTTTGTTGAAGAAGCTTGGCGCGTGCTGAGGGGCGACGGAAAGGGTGAGGTCTGGGTGGCGGAAGTGAAGTCGAGATTTGCACGAGGAGGCGATGGCAAATATAAGAAAGGAGAGGCCGTGGCACATAGCGTGGGGAAGCAGCGGAAGCCACTCAAGGGAAAGAAAGCCAAAAACACAAAGGGAGGCGGCGAAGAAGAAGAAGGCGATGAGGCGGATTTACCAGTCGACCTATTCACTTCTGAGGCGAGCATCCAACCGTTGGGAGATACACCAGACCTACGCCCGTTCATCAATATCTGGACGAGCCGGGGCTTTCAGTTGAAGCCAAACAGCATTGATGCGAAGAACAAAATGTTCGTGTCCATGACGTTCTTTAAGTCTGGCATTCCCACGGTGGGGAAGCACAGAGGTATGAAGTGGAATGGGAAGGAGTACGAACGGATTGGAAAAGCGAATGGCGAAGATGATACCGATACGGCAACGGAGGGCAAGGTTCTGAAGCCTTGCGTCTACAAGTTGCGATAGCTGTTGCAGTGCCCGTCAACGATAACTTCTGATCATCGCAGGAAATGCGAGACTCCAAGGTCCTCAAGCTCCTCATTGTTTATCTGGGTTTGCTAACTTCGTGGCTACAAGTGCGCCGCTTAGCCTTTTGAAAGCGATTGAGCCCGCAAGCACTCCGACTGCAGGCGACTGTTGCCATCACGAAGCCTTATCCTGCCCATGTCCTCCAATCTCTCGCTTGAGCATCTGTTTCTGCTTCCTCTTGTAACCTCTGCACTGCCTTCCCAGCACAGCTGACCAGCCTAGACGCTCATTGCTCAATATGCCCTGCGCCAGGTTCTCCCACACACACACACACACTGCAAGCCTGTCAAGTCTGCGGCATCCTCGCGTTTGCCATTCTCATCCGCCTCAAACGCCCGCAAAAGCTGGTCCACGATACCACCGATTCTCTCCACCCTGCCTGCCATCAAATACTCAGCCGCATGCCGGCCGGCTTCACTCCTCGCGCTCAGGGAGTCAGCATCGCGTGGGTCACGCCTCGGCCGAAAGGTTTCGAAACGCTGATTGGCGGACAAGCTGCGACTACAATGCTCGACATGCTCCACGGCATCGATAACGGCAACTATACGGCACAGCGCGCTATGCGTCGAACACGAGCAGCCAAGTAGATTCATCCTCCTGTGAACGGGTACAATGAGAGTCATTCGGTGATGCCGGCGGCCCGGATCCAGGCTGGTTGTACATGATGTTGCTATCGAGCATATCTCGAACGTTGTCGCTTATGGGGAGTAGGAAGCGGGTGCCAATGGACACGACCTTCTGTGCTGGTTCGCAGCGGAAAAGCACCGTGCGTTTGAATCTTGGCGCTTCTTGCTCTGGTTCCTGCTGCTGCTGCTGCGCGTACACGATTCGGATGTCTCTGCAGCTACGGAGGCGGTCGCTCCAGGTGGACGTGTCCTACACGAGGATGTCTTCCCTCGACCACGACTGGGCGGAGAAGATCAGATCACAGACGTGGCCGAAGCGCGTATTTTCCGTCAGAGGTGTGTGGAAGACGTATCCGCGTTCGAGCTTACGACATTCTTCGTTGAGCGCGAGGCACTCCATCTGGGCATGATCGAGATCATGTCCGTCAAAAGCATTGGCTGGAAAGATGCTGCCTTGTGGGCCAGTAAAGACTGGTGTAGGTGACTGGTCACCGTGAATGTCATCTAATGAGACCGGATCGTGTATGGTTGTATGCACCATGGGGGTCTCTCCAAGAGGGTTGGAGGAATCCATCTCTGCAAAACATTAGCCAGCAACTCGAGCACAGTTTCGTAATATTCGACGTAACTCGTGCGCGGCGATTCAGAGTTAGAGGCTCGTTTGTCCGTCGGTGATGTCGTTGTCGTATGAGTGCGATCCTCGCAGCTTCGAGGGTTTCCCAACTCCTAGTGGACGCCACCCTTGAAATGAAGAATGTTTTCGAAAGTCTGTAAGCAGCACCAGATATGTATTGTGAGCACACATTTTGGAGAATTCGTTGGTAATGAACAATACAATTATATTCAGTACAGACGTAGCGAACGGTCATAGGCGTGTGAAGGATGGTGATAAGAAATATAGCCTTCATGGTATATCCTCATTGTTATAGGCAACACAGGCTAATAGGCATAACACAACGGTTGGTGGCTGTTGGCTGGAACGCTACATTGAATTGAGCAAGGAAATTCAAGGCAGCGAAAGATGAGGGCAGTGAAAGAGCACCAGCCGTGAATCGCAGAATCCAAAGTGACAGAACAAAAAGGAGTATTGAGGAAGGCCAGTCAGAGTCCCGGGGGTATCATTGCTTAGTTATACAACTTTGGCTCGTCATCATAATTCATGTCAACAGTTTGACCCAACAAGCCAAGCTAGAGCATCAAGTCATCCCTCTTCTGTACCTCTGCATACTGCAATCGCGCGCAGAGGCCAAGCAACACGACCGTTTCGGTGGCTGCGTAGTAGTTGAGGCTGTCAATGTAGATCTTGAGGTGCCGGTTGAAATGATCTTCGTACCGCTTCAAAGTGTCCTCCAGCTTGGCTATTCTGTTCGGATCATGTTCCACGGACGGCTCTGACCCTACTGAGTTGTTCTTACCCTTGGCTGCATCTGAAGACAGATCGGCATCAGCCGCGTTGAGCGGTCTGGTCAAACTTGATGTGTATACCGCAAACATTGTGCAGCCGTTCATCAACTTGGCATGAATGCGCAAAAGCTTGCCTTGCGTCAAGCCGAGATCCTTCATGCAAGAGTCCAGCATATCCAGGTGATCGTGAATCAACTCATCAACCGTGCGCTTGGACCTTGGTTGGAGTTGGGACCGTGGGTGGTCGGTAGCATCTTCACCAAACTCAGCATCGTCGACCTTGGCCATCAACTTTTGCCAATTCGGTTCAATGACTTCAGCCGTTGCATAAAAAAGCATCTGCTGGACGAATACCAGCATCCGTGACCGTAATGTCCAAGCCCTTCGTTTCCAAAACTCAATTCTTTTGTCGGACGATTTGTGTATCCATGAGCGTAATTTGTTGTGATCCGCCCAGCAGTCGACTAGCAGTGCCTCGAGATGGCGAAGCGCAAGAGTGTAACGGAAGATCAGCTGATAGCGAAGCACGGTCTTGCGGCTGATAATGAGCGAAAGTGGGAAGGGCACGCGATAATCGAGTTCGAGTGCTTCGAAGCCGTTCATGTCCTTGTCCTCATCTTTGCTGGCTGTAGCAGCAGGTGTTTTGTACTGCTCGATCACCGAGTCCGGGTTCTCCTGATCCATGCCTTGGACATTAACAATCCTCATGAGCCATTGAGTGAGTCCAACTTCGTTCATCTTGACCCTCACATTCTCCTTGAACGGATCTGCCACTGCAATGCTCCCTGGCTGGTTGATCACCAGCTCAAATAGGGACTGCAGTTTTGCTTCGTTGACATTCTTCTGTGGCTTCCGCAGCTCAGAGGCACTCAACTCCAGGAAGTACAGAAAGAATTCCCCTCGATCGAGAAAGAAATAGTGCTTTAAAGAGCGAAGCCTGCTTCGAAGCGAGCTCTTGGTAAGGAGAAGCGCCAGCAACTCACTGTTGGCAAATGCATAAGCATGGTTGACGTTGTCGAGGAAACGAGAATCGTCAAAAGTCGCGGGAACATCCTGCTTCGTGCTGGCAAAATTGACGCCGCCACATTCTCGGACCACGTTGAGATACTTGCCAGCAAGCAACACTTTGTCCTTGACATGCTCAAGTTGTGGAGGCACCTCTTTCTCCCGAATATAGTATCGCTTCTCCCAGTAGTCGTCAATATAGTCCTCGTCGAGACCCTCTCGATTGATGCCAGCTCGCTCTCCAATAAGGAACTCTGCGTGCGGATCATTAATGCCTCCACGATGCAGCCATTCATTGAGCATAGAAACATATGGTTTGCTGGCATCACGGAGGAGCATCTCTAAGATCGACTTCGCCGCAGGGTCGCCAGAGTAAGTTGCTAAGCGTTGACTCAGCAGAGCGAGGACATTCCCACCGATGCATCGTTTCTTGGTCATACTTCCCGGCAAGAGGTCGCCGCCTTCCTTCAGACGCTCGATAATATCGTCCGCATCAAACTCGTCAAGAGAGTCATCTATATCCTCCTCAAGCAGCGAGTTTTTTTTAAGAAGCTCTTGAGCCATGGCATACAGCTGTGCAAGGCTCTGAGCTGTTGGAATGACTGAAAGATGCATCTGGTGCAGTGTGAACTTCTCGTCACTGAGCACCTTAGTCTCTAGTTGAGCGACTAAGATGAGGTAGTCCTTCAACAGCTTGCGAATAGATGCACAAAGGGCGTGGTTGACAGAACCATATTCCTCCCGGCTTTGCGCTTCTACAAAAGCCTCCATGGCACAATAGTGGGTAGCCATGGTAAGCATAGACGTTGCGAGGTCCCTCAAGCTTGGATCAAGACCTGGTTGGGGCCGGAAGGCGGGCCCCATCAAGCGGTGTTTCTCGTCGTAAGGATCGTAATCGTCGTCAAATCGGATGTACTGTCCTTCATAGCCCATGAACACGTAGAGCAGGTCATCCACAAGGATTTCCTCCTGTTCTTCCTTGGGCATCTGGCTGAAAGGGGCTGAATCGAGCCCTTCGGGAGCGTCCCTGGCTACCGGTGGGCGGGAGACACGAATTGCCAACGGCGCAGACGAATGCGGCATCAGTGACACAGATGGCTCCCACGGTTTCGGCTCTGATTCTTCGGATTGTTTGTAGGCTTTTGAGCCTTCCATGCTCTTCGGCCTCTTGTCATACGTGCCCCGGTTAGCTGTGTTGTATCCATCCTTTAAGGGACTCCGGCGAGTCAAATACTTCTCCGTGGTCGTGACTGTTGTTTTCTCTCGTCTTCGTTCGCTTGCGCTCACTTTCTTGTCCTGTCTTCGTTGGAACACGTCGTCATCCTGCTCATAGTCGTCCAAATCATCGCCAACATCAGCGCCATTCTCTTGGAAAGAGCGATGGTTATAGGTTCTGGCGCGGCTAGAATTGACACGCGATGGCCCCGCGCTTGCTGCCGCGCTTCTGCGCTCGGCAGCGGACGCGCTTCTGTAATGCTGAGAGTTCATTGCCGATATCTAGCATCTCAACGGCGCGTAGTGGCGTTCACACCAAAGATCTGACGCGTTGTGACGTGGTGCTGGCATCGCGCTGAGGTTGCGGAGCGAGAGGGACAACTCAACGCGGAGTGGGTAGGCTTGGCATTGATTGGCCGGTCGGGGACGCATCATGCAGCTTTGCCTGCGCGACTGTCTCAAGACGCCTTCCAAACAGTGGACTTTCAGACGCTTTTCATCCTTCGGCAAGCGCAGCACAAACTTCATCAAGCCTCGGGAATCGCATTTCAAGAGTCAGATACTCCGTTAAGATGTTCATCGCAAGATCTGAATATGGTAAGCCTGCTGCAGACCTGTCGGTAGGACATGCTAGACTAACGACAATGTTATAGATCGCGGCATCAAGTAAGGCACATAAGCAAGTGGTCCTACAGTAACTAATGACGCCCACAGCACCTTTTCCCCAGAAGGTCGTCTCTTCCAGGTTGAATATTCCTTAGAAGCCATCAAACTTGGATCAACAGCCATCGGTGTACGGCATATCGTCCTCCTAGATTGAAGTCATGCTGACCCGACACAGATCGCTACCAGTGAAGGTGTTCTCCTAGGCGTCGAGAAGAGGGTCACATCTCCGCTTCTAGTGTCATCAAGTATCGAGAAGATTGTCGAGATCGACCGACACATCGGCTGCGCCATGTCTGGTCTCCAAGCGGATGCCAGGAGCATGATCGAGCATGCTCGTGTCGAATCGCAGAACCATGCTTTCCACTACAACGAGAAGCTTGGTGTCGAGAGTTGCACACAGGCCATCTGCGATCTGGCGCTGAGGTTCGGTGAGGGTGCGCAGGGGGAAGAGTCCATCATGAGCAGACCGTTTGGTGTGGCTTTGCTCATTGCGGGCTGGGATTCAGATGATGACACAGCGAAGCTGTACGCCGTCTAGATCAACATGGACATCCATCGCTAACAAGAAGCAGGTACCACGCCGAGCCCTCAGGAACATTCTACCGCTACGATGCCAAAGCCATCGGGTCTGGCAGCGAGGGTGCTCAGGCCGAACTCGTAAACGAATATAACAAGAGCCTGACCCTTGAAGAGGCTGAGAATGTCGTCTTGAAAACATTGAAGCAGGTCATGGAGGAGAAGCTGGATGCGAAGAACGTACAGCTAGCTAGCGTGACCAAGGAGCACGGCTTCCGGATATACACGGACACGGAGATGACTCAGGTTGTTGGTAGGCTCGAGGAGAGCTAGACGCACTTCGGGATCACGCATGGCCTGGTGTTTGGGGTGTGGTGCGCGACATCACGAGAGGCACAGTCCAACGGCGTTTCACGATCTGATAGTGGTCAGTCACAACGATCAAGCGGGCGTTCGGAATAAGACCGTTGAGCTACAAAAGCTCTGAACCCATTGTCCCAACTAGAGCTGCCGTTATATTCCTCCAAGCGTTTCATCTGCAGATCGCTTTCCTTGGGCGCGGGACTTGCTAATTTGGTTATACAGAAGAGGCAGCATGATAGCGAGAGGCTAAGCATATCTAATGAATGACTCATTGGAAGTTGACTTGACTACGAGCATCTAACTGATCGCCATCTATACACTAACCTGAAGGTTTATGCGAAATCGTTCGATCTAACGATGTTCTTCCTATCGCTCCACCCATTTAAGCCTCGTATGGTCGCTCAGCTTGAGGGGTGATGCGGGCGATATCTGTCTTGCAGTCAGTCATCTAGATCACCACCACGCTTCAAGTCATGAACTTACGGCGGCGGGAGCCATTCTCCCAATCGATCAAAGCCGAATGAGCAGTGACTCTGTTGTCCCAAACGACGACGGTCCGGGGCTTCCACTTGACGCGGCAGTGCAGATCCTGACTGTAGGCCAGGTGGTCGTACAAGAACTTCAGCAGGTAGTCGCTCTCCTCCTGCTTGAAGCCGATGATGTAGCGGGTGAACTGCGGGTTGACGTACAATGCCTTCTCGCCCGTCGCAGGATGCGTACGGACCAGAGGATGGATCTGTCAGGAAAACACTGGTCAGTCGCTCCATTTTTTCTCCGCTAAGCATCAGGTAGCCAACATACCGAGGAAACAGGTGCTCTCCTCACAAATGTCCCTTTCGCCTCGGCGGCACCCGCCTGCTCATAGCCGCTGTGCAGCGCCTTCAAGCCCTCCAGCCTCTCCCGGAAAGCCGGGCTCAGACGCTCGTACGCCTTGGCCTGGTTCGCGAAGATGGTGTCGCCACCCGCATCCGGCACGTCGAGCGAGTACAAGAAAGTGGTGCCGGGAGGTTGGTTTTCGTATGTCACGTCGCTGTGCCACGCGATACTGTTAGTCCGGTTGTCAAAGAAGCTGCGAAAGCTCTGGTCCTCGGCGCCGCGGTGCACGAGGTGAACCTCTGGGTAGCCCTCGGGGGCGCCGGAGGTAGGGTGGATGTGCAAGCGGCCGAAGTAGCGGCCGTACTGGAGCGCCTTGTCGATGGGGATATCTGCAAAGTCCTGGTCACGGAAAGCGACGACCTTTTTCTGGGCGACGAGCAGGGCGAGTTCGTCTTTGCCCGCGTCGTTGAGCTGGGAAATTTGGACGCCCGAGACTTCGGCACCAATGGAAGATGTAATGTTCTCGATGGTGGCAGTCGAGGGGAGCAGGTTGGGGAAGGAGGGATCCGCGTCCTTGCCGTGCTCGTAATGCTCGAAGGGCTCGAGGGGAGCATATCTGGTGAACAGCGGTCAGTGCGGACGACGGTGGTTGGAGGGAGGAAATGCTGCGGGGAATTGGGGAGGGAGTTGTGGGGCGTGGTCATGGAGCTGGAGGCTTACTTGACTCCCTTCTCATTCTCCCATGTTGGGAGATAGTGAGGGAAGGAGGCGGGCGCGAACTTGTCGGTGCCCTTCAACTCAACTTCCTTGTTAAGCTTATGGATCTGGAAATCTTTGTATGCACCAACGGCACCCCGATTTTGTGGGACGCCAGCCCCTTGGGACACGGCGGTCGTCATATTTATTGACTGGTGTATTATCTGCGGAGCTGTTTATGAAGGTCTGAAGCAACGCCTGTACAAGAGACAATCACCTTTCCCGAACCTCCGACCACGGCACCCACGGCATATATACGTACTAGTCAAGGCTTTCTAGGACTTCTCCAAGGTCTGTAAGCGCTGTCCTTGGCTCGATGCTGATGATCAAATGTTCCCCTCACAGCGCGATTGCACGACCTTCCCAACAGCTCATTGGGTGATCTGAATGGTGAACTCAGCGACAGTGCCCCTATTGGAAGCCTCCGACGGACGTTTATTCGTTCGAATTTGGATCCCTACAGGAAGCTACGTTGTATATGTCTTGGGCTCTTCATTGCGTGATCGGCTCCACTTCTTGCCACATCTGAACTATCATTCTACCGCGACGAACTGCCACGAGTGCCATTATGTCGTGATGAGATCCATAGATCAGAGCCTGCGCGTCACGACAGTCACCGTAGCGGGATCAAGTACCCGTCTTGTATCTGTCATCGTTCCACGCTTGAAGTCTTAGTTCTGAAGTATTTCCACCACCCTTGAGGAGGAAGATATGGTTCGCCCGGACGTAGATATACTCTCTTGAATGCATGCATCTCAAAAGCAGCAGCTCGAGACCGTACTTCGATTCATTCATCCGTTTTCAGACATACAACGTGGCGCCCTTAAAGAACTTTGATTTCCGAAAGTGCTACGAAGTGTGTCTTGCTGGTCTCGGCTATAGCTTCCACCTGAACCACGCTCGCGCTCAAGCCGCGGCAAGCGGCAGGTCCAACCGACAAGGCAATTTCACCAGGCAGCCTGCGTGCCTAAATGTGTTGCCTTCTTCACCTAACAAGTACTACAAGAAAAAATCGAACTTCATTTCCTTACTTGCTGTACATAGTCTTTAGCTTCCTTTGTGCTGTTCGTTTCTGTCCCTTCTTCAAGGCAGGCAGACTAGCATCATTCTTTGGGGAGTCGTTTCCCCAGGCCCGACCTCGGCTTCCATTGGCACTGTCAGCATCGCAACATTCAACTTGAGGCGAAAGGGCCGCCCTTTGTCTGAGCGTTTTCGCAGACCGGTTTTCTTGAATTCCTTGTTTCCATCGCTTTGATAAACAGATTTGGCGCGACTGGGGGTCCTTAACACCTCACGCATCCGATAATATGTCTGGAGAAGATTATCACCGATCCATTATACACCCGGGGCTCACGACCTCTACATCAGGAACTTTCTACTTTGCGTATGGCTCCAATCTATCCATAACGCAGATGCGTATTCGTTGCGACCATAATCCAGACTCCAGTCGGCCCATCGCACTTGCCCGCCTAGATGTCCATTCCTGGATCATCTGCCAACGGGGCTATGCCAATGTCGTGCGCTTACCACCCTCGACGCCCACCAATGATGCCAGCACAGTCTGGGGACTGCTTTACAACATGTCTCCCGAAGACGAATCGCGGCTAGACCTTTACGAAGGACATGACCCGATGCGTAATTCAGATCCAGTGGTAAACCCGGACCCCGAAGGGCAAGTGGAGCGGCCATATCTACAAGGCAACTGGGACTACAACAAGCAGTATCTAGCCGTGACTGTAACCAAGTGGTTAGTTGACCCAACCGACTTTGGCGTCGAAGTTCCCAATTGGCAGCCAGAGTCACAGCATCAGACCACGGTGCGCGTGTTGGTCTATGTGGACGAGGTCCGTACCAAGCCGGGAGCCATCAACTGGGAATACATTGGGAGAATGAATCGGGGTATCCGAGAGTCCGTGGCACTGGGACTACCCGAGAGTTGGGTGAACGCAGTGATGAGGAAAGATATTCCAGCAGGTGTGGAGGTCGATGGTAAGTCCTGTCAAAAACGGAAGCGAAAGCCATTCATACCAAACACCGGGACATATTCGGCATGCCGCGGCGATTCTCTGGGACAATGTACTCTTTCATCTCCAAGCCAATAAGCCCTAGAAAGAGACCCGAGCTGATTCAGAATGACAGATGACGGCTACGTGGGGACAGCCGATGGCTAGTAAGTCTAGGAACACACCCAAACTCGGGCATGCGGAGGACCCCTGTGAGAAACGTGAGACTTGTGGCTCAGTCCTCCATACTCAAACCTCTCATCCTTCTACTACTCCTTACACAGACCTCCACTTATTCCGAAGTGCGTCTAACCAGAATTCAGTGTAGAGGTCGAAGCCACAGAGGCACAAGATCACGTTGCAGAGAAGGAGGTGAAAGAGTGGCATGAAACGAACGGCCATGAGTCCGTGCAAGAGGGTTGGAGGTGATCGTACAGCTCCTAGCAAGAGAAGACTTCTATATACGAGCTGTCAACCCGGCGATTTGGGATCAATTCCCAGGTTGATGAAACCAGTAGAGAAGCGCTTGCTGAAGTCATTATTTGGGATTGTGTACAGTGCAAGACATGAAATGGCGTAGAAGTCTGCTCATGCTTTACAAGCTAGAGGAAGAGAAGCCAACTCCGCCGTCGCTATGCTGCCCTGCTGTGCACAGAGTGCCTGTCCATTTATGTCCATAATTAATGTCGCCGGGACACCATCCGTCCTGTACAAACGCCATCATCAAGCATCAAGCATTGCCCATTGCTCTCTATCGACTCACCCCCACGCCTACACTCCATTACTCGAAGTCATCTCCTCCGCTCCTAGAACCTGCCTGGGGCGGTCTGCACACTGGCCACGCTTACGTCACGGTTTTCTCTCGTCATGCCATCTCGCAAGTTGATGCCTCTGCGCGCGCTGCCTGGTGTTTTCGACCCGGCGTCCATCTTCTTCATGTTCATGCTCCGGGCGCGGTCGCGGCGGGCACGGATCTGAGCGAGCGCAGCATCCCGAGAGACAGGCGTGCCAGTAATACCCTTGAGGAGTTGTGTGTCAGGAGCAGGCTCCGATTGAAGAGGGATGTGGATGGGTTGCGTGTGTGATTGAGAGTGTCCACGGAGCGATGCAGGCGTTCGATGGCCGAGGGAGTTGCTGTCGTCGTCCACGTCACGGAGTGGCACGGTTGTAGTCGTTGTGACGGTCTGCTGTGCAAGAGCCCGCTGATTTTTGAGCATAGGAGTCATGGGGAAGACGGTGCTTGCGGCTGGGGACGCGGAGGTAGACTTGTCAAAGTTCCGTACGGTCTCGGATTTTGTGAGAGGGGAGCGAGTTTGCGAATGGGAACGAATGTTGGGCCTCGATTGTGCACGACGGTGACCGCTCTCTGGGGAATCTTTCAGGGCAATGCGGGTCGTGTGTGAGGAGTACGCGGGGTGTTCGTCGAGAGCAGTCGCAGAGCGTGAAGGGAGGGTACTCGGTTGTGGTGAATCCGGAACCATGCGGATCGGAGATCGCTCTGGAGAAGTTATGGTGAGAATACCCATGGCGGTCGAAGGACGGGGAGGGTGGTGTCTGGGCTGCGTGACATCGAACAAGTCGACCTCGCTGCTCTCGATGGCACTCCGGGCGTGAACAGGAAGAGGGGTTTCCATTCGGCTGTCAACATGAGCCGATGTCGACGTTGAGAAAGTGAAACAAGTAGTAGCCTTGCCTGGTTCAACCATCACCTGAGTCATATCCTCCAGGACAGCCGTCGGTTCGGGAGAAGGGTTTCCAGAGGCGAACTCTTGGTCGGTTGGTGATGGTAGAGGAACCTGCACTGCCTCCTCAACTACTGACATTTCAGGCTCGCTTGCGACAGTCTGTTGTGCATCTGCCTGGGCTGGTGTGGGTTGAGTCGTTTTTGCGTAAAGTTGCTGAGCGGCAGGAGTCTCCTGAACCTTTCTCTTCTTCGCGGCACGCTGGTCGCGGATGCGCTCAAACTCGGTGTCGAAGATATAGCGCTCTCCTCTTTTCTCAGCACGTTTGCATGCGCAGCATCCAGCCTGGCACTCCATCTTCAAGAAGTCGATCTGTCCTTGCTGACGCTCTACGATTTCGCGTGTTCCTTCGACTTCCGAATAGAGGGAATTGATATGATCTTCGAAGGTATAGACTTCATCGCCGTACTCCTTGAGCATACGGTCACGTTCCACGAAATCGGTCCAGAAAGGCTCCAGGACGTCTGAGCGAGTCTTACAGCATTGGTGTAGCGATAGAGTCGGCGACGTTGCATCAGCGCGCTGGGAATGCCGCGTCTGAGCATGAGACCGCTTCAGAGGACGAGGTGTCGTCGGTGAGTTGTTGTTATCAGCGGCCGGATCTGTGACAGGAGAGAAAGAAATCGGAACGAGCTTCTCCTCCGCTGTACCAGGCGTGGGCTCTCGGACTGGCGCCGTCTTCAACTCAAGGACAGCAGCGTCGCGCTCTTTCTCTAGCGCGGTCAGAGTGGTCTTTAGGGTTTCGATTTCTTCCGTGAGTCCGGACACAGCATACGCACGCTCGAAGGCTTCTTGACGCGCTTCCTCTTTCTTAGTTCTCTCCGCCGCAACCTCTGCATGTGCACGCTTCAGTTCCTGTCTGGCCTCCTTGAGCTTCTCTTGCGTTTCCAGCTGGTTCAGTTCAGCCTGGTAAGTTTGCTTCCTGCACTTTTTGACTTCAGCGACATAGAATTTCTTGTCGTTGCTGCGCGACTCGCGCTCAGTCTGAAGTTGGTCCATCAACGACTCTATCCGTTCCGAGACCATTCTCTCGCGATGTTTTCCCGACTTGACCTGCTCTTTCAGTTTCTCGATTTCTGCTTCCGCACTAGCCAAACTGGCTTGTGACTCCTCGAAGCCGAGCAGAGCACGTTGCAAGGCGCCATTGGTTGGTGTGTGGCCGAATCCCCGGAAGTTTTTGGTTGGAGAGGATGGGGTGCTCAGGTTATTGAGAAAAGCGACTTTGGATTGTACATCGGAAGAGATCGACTCTCTAGAACGGTGGAAGCTTGCTCGTACATTCTCGTCGTTGAAGTTGGGCAAGGAAGGCGATTGCGGGATGCGCTGATTCATTTGCTCTGAGGATAGCTGACGAAGGGGACTGTTGGTGGGTGCGGGGCCTTGTGACTGATATGAGCCCGCTGTATCCATGATGGAGACTCAATCGTTCGAGGTCTAGGTGTCATAAACTTTGCATAATGGTAGACCAGCACATGGGTTGCAGCAAGTAGATCTCGAGAGTTGCTCAGAGCGCCGTTTGTTGATGTTTTTAATCGGGAATAGCGTGGCCAAGGCTATCTTTGAAACCAATCACTATCGTTATCGATCATTGCATCTCCACTCCGCTTACGTCCCGCTGTTTGCATCAAGTCGGTGAGGGGTGGAAGAAGTCTTTTGTTCAATCTTTGATCGTTTCCTTTCAACTTCATGTGTCTGGATGTTCGACACAGCCTATCTGAAAGATACTCGTACGCAGCTAGCGTCCCTGCACTGTCTTCGCGATTGTCTTCGCGATTTCCCGGCCAAAGCTCTGGCTCTATGTCCTGCCCACGATGCTAATATACACAGTTCTGAATCCTTCTGGAAGTACTTTTGACGCCGTAAAATCATATCCCCAGCACGCACCGTCGTGCGTAGGCCGGTGCCGGGAACCCGATCCCGGCCGGTGAAATCATAAAATCATAAACCAAACATTCACAATAACACAGACATTAATGCAAACCGCACAAGCTCCAGCTGCTCCACTTGGGACTTGACTCATCTAAGAGCAGTCCATATCGACATCTTCTCGTCGCTGCAAGAAGGATGGCTCCTCAAAATCAGTCATGCTGGCCTCCATGCCACAGCTCATCATACGACGATGACAATGGGTCTTTTCGGGAACGAAGCCATATGATTGCGGCTCAGGTTGCAACTGGATTTGTTCAAAGGGGTTGAAAGTGGACGGCGGCATTGGCATGTCGCTCATATCCATAAAGTTGGATCGCACTCGGCTCTTAGGCTTTGCGACTTTTCGACCACGGGCATTCTGCAGCCTGTTACCGGTCTGCAGCATGGCGACATTGTGCATTTCATTCATGCCAATGTTGAAATAATCCATAGGCTCCATGGAACCAGCGTCTGGATGCAAGGTAGGTGTGTCGGGCTGCCAGTCTTGACTCTCGTCACTGTCCGAATCGACTTCACACGTCCGCTTGTGACTGGTGGTATATGTCCATAGGCTTTGTTGAGCAATGTTATTGGTACAGTCGTCACTATAATAAGACAGAGCCGCGAGGTTGATGCCGCAGAAGGTGGCAGTGGCGATAGGCTGCATGGCCATGCCTCCAATCTTGTGCAAACCCCCGGCTGAGAACAGCTCGGGCTCTGGCTTGTCGTCGTTGCGAGCCAGCAGAGCTTTCTGCGTCTCTGGAGAAAGCCGAGCTAAGCGATTGCTGAAAGGATGCGGAGTGAAGGGCTTCTTCTGTGGCGAGTGATATCCTTCGCTAACCGACTTGCGAACGCGCATGCCGACCTGAAGCAGAGATGCTTCAATCTCAGCTTGCGTCGGCGCCTGGACAGACAGTTGAGCTAGGACCGGCGAACCGAAGACATGGTTCTCGATGTCGGCATTGGTCTCCGAGGGAATGAAGCACGGCTGAGGAGGAGTGAACTTTCGTCGCTTGGATAGAGGGGAGTTATCCGCAACAGCGGTCGCAGGCATGGTAATAGGAATCTGAGCCATCTTGAGGTGGGATGATGCGCCGAAAAGTGGAGGGTGGCCGAAAGACAGCGAGCGGGATTTGATGGTTGAATGGACGTAAAGATGCAATGACTGTGATATGGAGCGACACTCAAGACACAAGGCGCGACCGGAGTGGTGAAGCTACGGAAGGTTGAGAGATGAGCGGACAGGGAGAGCTTTTGACGTGTTGGACAACCCGAGTATTAGAAGGCAAGGTCTGGGTCGCGGGCACAATCAGCCAACCATCACGGGCTTATCAGAATGAGGAGGTTAGCGGCTTAGCGCGTGGAAAAGTTTGAGGCAGGGCAGAGCTGAGATGAGGTCGCTCTTTTTGCGGCGCACGGGCTTCATGATCCTTGATGGAAGGCGAGAGACCAGGCAAAGCCGTAAGGGGAGTGTGCCAGAGGAGATCAGGGGCCCGTGAGGCGTCCCCAGCCACTCAAAGCTCCGCTCCCTTGAAATTGGCCTGGGCAACTCCGCGCGCTAGTGAGCTAATTCTGGCGCGCCTTCACAGCCTCTCGGACCCTGGAGACAGCATAACGCGACGGACTCATTCTTTTGCACTGCTTGAGATACATGGTTACCGCAGCCAACACATCATAGTATCAGCACCGCTTCCAACGATAAGTTGAATCGTCATGACACCGCATTTTGCGGGAGTGAGTACAGATGTCGCTTAGCAGAGCGGACCAGTCACCTGCGAAGCTCACGTGGTTATCGTATGCTCATCAAGGGAACTCAAGTTGTCAAGATGCACGTAAGCCGGCAAAAGCTGCAGCTCATCTCGTCATCTCGTGTCCACCGTGGTCGCTGCGAAGGACGCGCCCATGCTGTCTTCCTCAGAGCGCATGTTTCAACATCCTCTACCAATTTGAGATTGGCGAGCATTGGCTCTTGCATTTCTCCAACTGCACTTCCGACGCCCTAGCCTCGTGCGGGGGATGGTGGTTGCGGCAGCCTCGGCAGCATTGACGATAGTGCTGCTACCATCTAGCCATGGAACCACTCCTGGTATTCTTTGACCATTCTTTGGTAGGTTGATGAAGTGTTTCAAGGTCTTCGAAGCCGCCACATCATGAAAGATCTTAATGTCATCGTTGTCGGGGCGGGCATTGGTGGCCTTCAGACCGCCTTGGCGCTGGCCGAGCGCGGCTTCAAAGTGACTGTTCTTGAAGCCGTCCAGGAGTTCACCGAGGTTGGCGCAGGAATTCGAGTACCTCCTAATTCGAATTTGCTGAGTAAGTCATGGGGCGTTGATTTTGGCCAAATCTCAAAGAACGTCTCTTGTGGCAATCGCTTCGTTGACTGGAAAGGAAAGCCGCTTCTCGACATACCCTTCGAACAGGACCTAGTTTCCAAGTACGGAGCACCATACTACTTTCTCCACAGGGCTGACCTGATGAACCTTTTGCTTGAAACCGCGCAGTCCAAGCCAAACATCGAGGTCCGCTTTGGTTGCAAAGTCGTCCGATACGACTTTGAAACCACCTCGGTGCAACTGGAGAACGGGCAGACTGTACAGAGCGACCTGATTGTTTGCGCCGATGGCATTAAATCGGCCATCAGAGATCTTATCAACGGCGAGCCTTGTCCGCCGCTTGATACTGGCGATGTAGCCTATCGGATACTGGTGCCAGCAGCACCACTCCTGGAAGATCCCAAGATGAGCCACCTGGTAACAGAAGCCTGGGCAACACATTGGATAGGACCTTCTGCGCATGCTGTAGGGTACCCTTTGCGTGGCGGAGAACTCTACAATATCATCATCGATATTACTCATGAAACGGATCCGTCTCCGCCTCTTTCATTCTCAGACTGGATGCAAAAGCACAGCAACACAGAACTGCTCCAACGGTTCTCCGATTGGTGTCCTGAAGTCAAGGCGATACTCTCTTTGACTGGTACCTACCTCAAATGGAAGCTGGCCGACTTTGATCAGCTCAAGACCTGGGTTCATCCCTCAAACCGGGCCGTCCTATTAGGCGACAGTTGCCATCCCATGATGCCATACCTCGCCCAAGGCGCTGCGCAAGCTACAGAAGACGCCGCCTGTCTCGCGGCCTGCCTCTCACATTTTTCCTCGCTTGGCGCAGCCCTGAAGCAGTATCAGCAGCAGCGAAAACCCCGCGCCGCTTATATAGCGAGAAATACGAGAGTTTTGCAGGAATGGTGGCATGTGCACGATGGCCCCCTTAAGGACAAGCGGGATCAACTAATGGGATCAACGGATGAAGACAACCCGATGTTCTGGGGTTGTTCGAAGCGGAGAGACTGGCTTTTTGGACACGATGCCAGTACCATTGGCGAGCCGAGATCCGTAGCAGACGGCATTCCAGACCTGCCTCCAGAGGTGAAACCTGAAGACAGTGTTTATCAACGTGCGAGACATGAATTGTCCACTAATCCTTAGCAAGCCCGCGTTGGCCTTCCGTGAGTGGTAGTAGGACTGCACGCGACAGCTCGATCGAACTAGCAGAGAGGCTCGAACGCATGAGCCAAACACCATTTCCGAACGGAAGATCCTTGTCCGAGCACTGACACAGCCGATCTTGTTTGATCTCTCAACTTGTTCGGGCCTTGGCGAACGTTGTGTTTCAGGATAGCTCAGGCCAAGCGAGTGGCAACGAACTACGAGTCAACGACTCTGCAGGAGGTGAATAATGCGAAACAGCGCTTTTCATAAACATCGCCGCAAACTTATTCGCCCTCCTTTCCAACCCATTAAGTGACCTTCAAATCGACAACAGCAGATGTGAAGCAAGGCGATATGAGTCCAACATCAGTTCGTTCGGCCTGCGACAGGTTACTCTCAGGCATCTTCGCTTCGATCAAAGTGCTGAGCTATGAATCAGTGCCAGTCACCGACTACTTGCGTCAGAAAGACATCGAGTCCTTCAAAGACGGACTGGCTGCATTGTCCCCAGTCCTGATCAGGCTCAGAGAAAAAGATCATTTTTTCCCGACCAAGCCAAAGCGTCTGTTAGTTGCCATTCTCGACGAATGCGATGTGATCTGCAAGCAATCGCAGAAGCTCCTCGACCGAGAGCATGGCACTTTTGCGCTCACGGCCGCCACCAACCCGAAGTCGACCTGGGCTTGCGCTACTCGCGACCAGGCGTTCCTGCTGCGTCACCAGCTTACTCAACACCGAGGAACTCTCGAGATCGCCCTTGCCGTGGCAAACACTGTGTCCGCGGCATCCACCGCCAGGCACCTTCCCGCCAAGATGTACGCAGAGGATCTTGAGCGAAACCTGTTCTCCATGAAGCCCTCACTGCAGACCGTACTTGGGGTCCGCGTGCCAGCTCCCGACCCTGAAAGCACCGTTCCTCGGGCTATCCTCAAATACCGGAACGAAGTCATCATGCCCAGAGATATAGGCATCACCAGTCCGAGTCGCGCTCTCTTAATCTTTTTGGATGACCTGTTGGCGTTCGCTGCTGGTGTGGTCGAGGCTACAGAACTGCCTGACTCTTCGCCAGCACACCACCGCGAGAACAACTCTTTGCACTCGCTATCCAGTAGAAGCTCCTAATACATGTAGTTTTAATCGAACTTGCCCGCCTCTCTTGATTGTACTTAATTTCGGCTTGAGATATCGGTTCTGCCATTCTGTCTCTGCATCAAAGTGAGAATGACAGGCAAAAGATTAGGCGCGACGAGCCTCGGTGGTCGGGGGCGGTGACGGGTACATACTCGGGTATGGAAGAAAGTAATTGGGACTGAAGGTAATGCTGGAGTTCGTCGACAGATGGCATGAATTCATCTAGCGCCTCCAAGCGAGATCGAACACGAATCTGTTATGGTGCTGGGAGCACACTGGGAGAAAGTTATCTGCATTCTTCATAAATCGTATAAAACGTATCAAAAGCCGTAGTAAGGACGCCTACGCCTCTACAGCCTCAAACCACAAGGAGGACCTTACCGGTACCAGCCTGACCGTGCATCCGACACAACACCCAACCCCCTACCTGTATGTCTCTGTCGCAAACCCTCGCTCTCTCTGGAAATACCCATTCTACGCACTCCTCAAAGCCCGCAACCGATCTCCCAGCCCCTCCTCCAACACCCGCCTATCCTCCTCCGGCTTCGCCACCTCAGCCTCTGGCGCACTCTTCATCTCTTGACTCAACTCCACGCCCGCCTCGTCCGCCACACGGCCCATCAAAGCCTCGACCTCCCCCTGCCCCTCCACGCCAACCTGCTGGCTCTCCACCCCGCCCGCCACGCCCTCATAATAACTCGACACGACATCCAAATCCTCAAACTGAGACTCAAACTTCTCCATGACGGCGCCTATCTTGTCAAGATCCATGTTCTTAAGCGCAACGTCCATGCCTTTCACGGTCTGCGCCATGCTAGCCGTGACGGTGCGCATGGTGATGGCGGTCTGCACGCGAGCGGCGACGGCATCGATACGCGCCGCCAGCGTCAAAAGCTGCACGCGCTGCTGCGAGTTGCGCACGCTGTTGGTAGCGTACAAGCGCGCGATCTGCGGCTGTGGTGGCGTGGTCGTCAGCGCTTTCTTGAGCTTGGCTTGCTCCGTGCGGCTGTCTTTGTCTGCTTTGGCTGCTTGGCGGTTGAGTTGCTTGGAGGTGAACTGTAGGGTGCAAAAAGATATGGGTCAGCGGACGATTCGGGTTTGGGTAAGATGAAACGAAAGGGGCTGTGGGGGAGTTGGCCACCCCGGGAGGATGGGAAAGGATGTTACCTTTAGGTTGAACAGTGCCTTCTCGAGGCCAGACATGGCTGGGGAGTTATGCTTGTGCTCTTCTCAGGTGTGAGGGAGGCTCTCGGATGGGGAGGATGCGGGGCGTTGGACACAGAAGCGCCGCGGGCCTCGATGCGAGTGTCTTTGTGGTACGATGTAGCGCAGATATGGATCGTGGAAATCTTCGGACGACGGAACAATCTCGTAATCAAATACTGTGCACCATCGGGTCGCAGTCGAATTGGAGATGCCTAGCTGAAGTCGCAGGACAAACAGGCGATGACGTTGAAAGGCGGCTGATGCGCCAAGGACCCGGCTGATCACCGGCTCGGAGGGTCGAGCCTTGTTGCCTCACCAAGTACTGTACTGTACCTAGGTGCCTACCTAGATACACTCGGTCTCTGCTACGGGCTTACAACACAAGGCAGATGGGATCTGTGTGACCAAGTTAGTACTATTCAAGAGAGACTCCAGCTACGAAGCTTATTCTGAAAGTTCCGGAGAACAAATGCATTGTTTTCAGCTCGACCAAAGACGTACGAGGCCGTTCGTCACCAGATTGTCGAAGACGAGTTCAACTAGCATTGGGTACCATAGTCTACGGGCCGCTGTTTTCTGCCAGAAGCATATCAGTAGAATCAATCTTCCGAGACATCTCCGTTTCCAAGGACGCTCATCTAACTCAGGTAGATGCCACAACAGGCGCCACAATGGACACCCTAGCCTCCTCAGTATTGGTATCTTTCCATTTTCCGTATCCTGCTTTGAACGCCTCGAGATGACCAACTGTAATACCCGATCTTCTTAGGACTCACATAGCATAATCGTGAATGCCAGCCGGGCCAAGGTCATTGTACTCTGTCCGACTCATGAAGCCCTTATTCTGGCCGGCGTCTACCATGAAGATCACCTTTCCAGCCACCTGTGCGCCAAGGAAAGCCGCCTCCTCCATGCCCGCTACCGACGCATGTTTCCATTCCGGGAAGTAGTCCGGCACCTTGACCGTCTTGATCGAGGTTGGTGACTGGCTGAAGCCGCGGTAGTGATGTATATGAGGGTCCATCATAGGTGTAGCATGCCCCGTCATCTGTCCAGGCACTTGGAGCTGATGTTGTGGTGTGTTGGGTTGCATGACATTTCGAGTCGCAGCCACGAGCAACGGGTTCACGCCGTGGCCCCCAGGGTGATGCATGGGATGTCCCGGCTGACCAGGAACAGGAGTATTTGTACCTGGCGTTGCGACTGGCGTGGTAAAGTTTGAAGGTAGCTCAGAAGTGAAGATCGTGGCAGTTGACGGTGATAGAGTATACCGTGTGGAGAGCAGACTGATTAATGCTGTGGTGAAGCCTATACAGCGTTAGCATGGTCGTAGTAAACTGACCGTGATAACGTACCTCGTGCCCTAGCACCATTGCCAAGGATGATCAGGTTGTCCCATAACGACGACCGTAGAGGGATATCCGGTACACCCAGAGCAGTGCTGTGTATGGCGGCCGTAATGGTGTCCAGAATGCCATCAGTCTGGCCTTCCGAGGGGTAAGCAGCCATGAACCGCTCGACACCAACCTCGACTTCTCGCTTGCGTTTCCGGCTACCGTCCTCGTCCGTTGTACCATGTGGCAACACCTCTTCATACGTGAAGGTAGCATTCACTTTCTCAGAGTTCCGTAATCTCACTGGCTTAGGACCTTCGGCTGGATTGGCCTTCTTCGCAGCTGCCTTTGCAGCCCTTTCTGCCTCGCGCTTTGCCACGATCTCAGCAGCATTGCTCTGTGCGACAATGCTTGCCACGTCCATCACACCCTCATTCTCATCGTCACCATTATCCTCGCCGACTTCGGTGTTGTTGCCTGGCCCCCTCGGCGCATCGCCAGGCCGTGCTCCGTCTGCTTCCTTCGCGTTGCTACCTGAGTCTACAGCACCAGTGCTGGCCGCGGCGGCAGGGTTCGGCACCTCCGCCGGGGCAACGGCCGAACCTATCGGTAGTGGGGTGCCAGGTAATAGGATCTCGCAGATGCTGCTCTTCTTCAGAGCCTCGGCCATTGACTCATCGCATTCGATTCCTTTTCTGTTCAACGCTTCCTGCAATCGCTTCGTTAATGCTCGCCCACCGCAGCCTTCGAGCGCAACAGCACGACCAGAGTCGTTGACCTGATAGTCGGTCACAGCAGACACATCACATTTGTCTAGGCCAATGTCCACCACCAGGGCGCTGGGCACACCGTAGGCGTAGCATGCCGCAAGTGCTGCGTCCATCATGCAGAATGCTGGTATCCTGTGATTTTCGAAGAAGTATTGTGTGATCATCTCCTTGTCACGTTCCGTCCAGCTCGGCTGTGATACGACCAGCAGCGGCGAAACGAAGTGAGGTCCCATGGTCTTCCAGATGTGTGATAGCAGCGCGAAAAGACATGGCCAGTTCTCAACGCGACCATTGACAATGGGGTATACTGCGCCCTCCTCCGAGTAAGGATCGTCCTCGTACACGATCTCCGGCTCGGTCTCTGCGGGCCCGGGTTGACCCTCCGCTGCACTAGCCTCTGTAGATGTTGCTACAGGCGCAGATTCGCCATTCTCAGCTGTAGGTTTGGGCGCCTCCGTCGGCGCCGCATCAGACATTTCGACATCGGTAGAGGGCCCAGTCCTATCTTGGGGTTTTAATTCGCCATTGACCAGGCTGCCCTCTGTCTTTGCGTCCCCGTTCGGCGACGCAGTAGTTTTTACGTCCTCGCTCTTGACCTTCGGCCGCGTTTCGATCTTGATAGGCTCCCACTCTCCAGGTTTCAAGCCAGGAAACATGCGCGTCGCAAACCGCCGCTGCGGAGGCGTGAAGCTTTCTGGTAGACCAAGCTGCACATTTGTGTATTTCGACCCCGGCGCAATGATCTGTGAACAGTAGCGAGGTCAGTCAGCGAGCACTACTCCAGCAAGGACTGGATTCTATTGGGCATGAGTTGCGTTGCAAGGGCGTAAAGAACTTACAAGAACCCACTCATCCTTGAAGGGCGGCATGGCGCAGGTGATTACCCGCGACCAGCAGGCAGTCGATAGAAATCACACCCTAAGTGATGGCTCGAGGCGTTGCGCGATCGACTAGCACAAGCGGTTGAGTTTCAAGCGCAGTCGCAGTCGCAATTGCAGTCAAAGCGCGCTCACGCGGCGTGCCAGCGGAGGCAAAATGCTTGGCACGAAATCTCCGATGCAAGGGATGGCAACTACAGCTGACTGGTACGGCCGACGAAAGGGATCTATCACATGGAAGAAAGCACAGCGAAGAATTCAGGTTGAGCTCAAGCTAATGTGATTTTGTTGCAGACTCAGTGCACCTCTTGCGCTGTAGCCTGTGGTTCGTTGTTCGTCATGGTACTGATACAATTTCCAGGCTGGTTCCAGAGACCTTTGCTCCTCGCCACCATCCTAACGTCAACTCCTTGAAAGGTGCACATGCTCTCGAGAGCTTTCTGCTCGGTCACATCCACCTGTCTGATCTTTCGATGTTCTCGTTCCAATCTCAATATTCCCCATTTGATTGTCATCAGGCTAGCCCACGTCCATCGACGATCGGGGTCCTCGGCGAAACCGTCTGAGCTAACCACTTGCTGCAGGGCCCTGTTAGTCGCTGCCAGTAATAGGCGCGCCATGCGAGGGCTGCAAGCGAGAAGCCGGCTCAGAAGTTTCAAGCGGAAGACCGCTTTTCTCGTCGACGTTGAAGGCATCGAAATCAAAGAATGAATCAGGGGAAAGCTGTTGCTGATTGAAGAGAAGGTGTTCTCCACCGAGTTCGCGTCCAATCTCTGTTCCAAGATCTGGAAAACTTGGAACATCGGCCAGAGCGTTGAAGTTGAGAACGTCTGAAAAATCGTGAGGTAGTGCATTGCCAGGAGCAGATAGCTCAGGCCATTGCGCGAAGTCGCTTGGGAGAGCAGCTTCTGCAGCTTGGTAGCTCCATTCTCCGTCTGACACTGCAGGTCACACATTACCGCGGCAGGATAATGTGTCAGGACGGAGGAGGAGGTGAAGCTAGGCAGAGCGCTATCGAGCAGGCCTTCTGACTTAGGAGCTTGATTGTCGGAGGCATCAACCAAGGAAGGTGTGAGAGTGGGAGAGTGTTGATTCACAATGGTCGTTGAGTCGGTCTGAGAAAAGGTGGGATGAGGCGAACCAGTCATGGCTGGTGTCATGTATGGTGAGTCGTCAAGGGGATTCGTGGCGTCGTTGTTGAGAGAAATTGGTGAAGGGGCGTCGACCTCCTCGTCTTCAGGTTCGGCGAACTGGAAGCCCTCTGGCACACCAAAGCGCTGTTGGTACTTGTCCAGCAAATCGCGCAACAGGGCATTCTCCTTGACGATACGACCAGTTTTCTGCTCGAGTTCGGCAACAGCGGCTTTCTGGCGCTGTCTCGACTTGTCGGCGGCTCGGCGGTTGCGAAGAATGCGCTCGTTCTTGCGCTGTTCTTTTTCTTCCGCAGTCTTGGCTCGCTTGCGAGGAGGCAGGATCTGTTTGATCTCAGGTACTGGCTGACCCCAAGCTTTCCGCTTCTTCTTAGGAGCCTCTGTTGGGGGTGGCGAGGACTCGGCCTGAGATGTGGTGGAAGGAGTAGGGTAGTCTTGATAGTATCCGGAAGCCTCCAGGCTGGCAGGATCGATCATGCCGATGCCCTCCATGTCGACTGAGAATGACGTGGCGAAGGCAGTGACGAGAGTAGGGGGGTGTTGTAGGGTAGGTCGATGAGACCAGTTGTCAAAGTGGCTGCATGATAGAATTTAGAGGTCGAAGCCGAAAGGACAGGTGGCAGATATATTCTAGAATAGGCAACAAAGCAATAATGGGAAGAAGTGATCGAGTGACGGCCTACTGAGGACCGGCAGGCAGCCGATTTAAAAAGAACACGTTGCAGCTTCAGCACAGCCAGGGATGAACCCAACTTGCGCAATCAGCTGCGTGGGCGCGCTGCGATTGGTTGACTCTTACCCCTGCGTTGGCCCACTTTACCAGAATGTCTCCAGATTCGGCCCCTTAACTCGCCTCGTGGGATTTTCCTCATCCCTTCAGCACCACCTTTTGCCAAAATACAGCCCCCTTGACAAGAATCAAGATTCCACTGTCCCCCCTGTTGCCCCTTCTTGAGCCTCCTGAGTATTGTAGATCCACTACTGAATTCTCGACGCTTCCATGGCTCTGCCATGCAACAGGCTTGTTGCACAAATGGCTGAGACCGACCCGTCTGTTCTAGCTGCGCAGCCAAGGGCCAGCATGTTTATTATGTCTTACCCGCATGAATAAAATCATGCCACCACTAAAAACGGAACTTGAGGGTGCCTGAACGAGGAGAGTCGCGAAATACAGTTCATGCTGTCATTAGCCTTTGCTTTCAACACGGTGTTGTGCCTGTGCAAGTAAGACCACTGAAAGTGCGCCTACCCACCGCCATGCCTTGATTCGGCATCACATGGCAATTGCATTTTGCTCCAACTATGAATGCAGCGATTTTTTTTTTTCGTGAAGGTCGTATGCTCAAGCAGCATGAGCCAGAGCGCTGTTCGAAGAACCTGAGAGAATCCTCTTCTTCATCCAGTGTGGGTCCCGCTCAAGCTGCTCTTGATAGACCTCGTCAACCATGTCACTGACAAAGTCCTCCACAATCTGTTCTTGGTACCGTTCGCCAATTGGCCGACATTGGGGCCTCGCCGGTCCGTCTTGGTACCCATACCACCAAGGCCCATCAAACTTGCATTCAACGGCACCACCTGTATAATGGCTGATGGCGGGATAGTAGCCTAGAAGCCCATCATCCACGTCACCGTAGACTATCGATCGAGAGCTCTTCTCAATCGAGGATGCTGGCGGCAGAAAGGCAAACAGGTGCTCCCACACCACGCCATGATACTGGCCGTTGACCCACAATTCTATCTTGCTGCCTGGAAGCGTGCGAAGATGTGGCAATTCGTGGTTGGGGTGTGGCTCCGTGTGCAGGTCGTATTTTTTGCCCGTTTCCGGATTTATCGACTTGTTTTTGGCGTTTAGTGTGGTACGACTGAGGTCTGGATGGGGTGTATACTCGGGACATTCGTAGTATGACATTCCTTTGAAGATGAATGGATTTCGATCGCGAATAACATCAATATCTGGTGGCAGCGACAATGTCGAGATCGGCTTCAATGATGCGCGGAGGAGGCTGCTGGACTGTAACCGTTTAGTTCCATCTTCTCGGGTCCGGCTTGTCTCAGTGTCCTTGTCCTTCGGCTTTCCTGGCACCTTCGACATCTTCCTGCCCGCGGTTCCCTTCTTCGACTTGACAACAGCCGGGCCGCACTTCAAATCTGGGTAGTCGGCAGGGTTGAATGTGCCTTCAACGACCTTCTTCTGTACTTCGAGGGGCGGTAGGGTGATCATCAGGCCGACCACATCGCCTGGTACAAGGTCTCCAGGGTCCCTGCCACCTTCGCCAGACATGTGGTGCATAGTAGAGTTGAAGCGTACATTGCCATACTCCTGGCCGGTGCCACATCGACACACTATTGCATAGCTGTATGCGTTGCCACCCATGTTCTCACTCCAATGGTGTTCACGTCTGCAAAAGCCAACTCGGATGCCACCTCGATTGATACTTGATCGATCCTGCTGTTGCGTCTCAGCCAGCGGCGTATCTGGCCGTTCTCGCCCAGGAGGGGCTTGCGACACTATCTTCGCCTCGAAAAAGAACTGACCCTCTCTTGCAAATGTATTTGCGCGAGTTGTATAGCTGCCCATTTCCCCAGTCTTGCCCAGCATGTCTTTCGTGAAGGTGTTCTTCAGCCCTTCAACGGCGCATTGTGGATGGTTTTCGTCGCTTAAGCGTGCGTTGTAGGGAGGCGTCTCGCATGTGTGAAAGTAGAATGTTTGCGGGTCTCGCTTCGTCCGAATGTAGCAGCGTTTGTCCTTGCTTTCTATGTGGGTCCCCAACTGGTAGAAGTCGGTCTTGTCGCCGTTTGCGCTCACTTTGCTGTGATCATAGAGCTTCGGCAATTCAGCGGCGTCAAGAAAGAATTTGGGGTCGTTCGGTGGAAGCCATGGTGGGATCACAACCTGCTTCTCGGCTTCGATCTTCTCGATTTTACCTCCGGCTCCTTGCTCTCTGACTCTGTCGGACGGAAATTTGACTCGCTGCCCGCGTCCACCAGCGACTTCGTCCATGATAAGCGCGTGGCGAAGTGAAGAGAGGGGAACGCAGACAAGTGCACAAGCAGAAAAGACAGCGCGTAGTCCCTCATTTGCGAAGACACGTGAAAATGCTCAGCCTTGCTCCCCGTTTCTCAGCCTTGCATACCCCAGGTACTAACCGGCATGGCGGCACCCAGAACAGGCGAGACAGGGGCACCGGTCAAAAAACGGAGAAGCTGGGACTGCACTCAGACGCGAGCCTCTCAACTTCTCATTCAAAGTACCCAGAGGTGTGCCTATGATACCCGACAGAGAGCTCAGGTTCCGATATCACAATTACGGTATCCTTAACGAGAAAGACCACCGCTTCTTTAGAGATTTTCTGAACTCTTCAGTGTATCATTCAAAGGTGTCCGTCATCATCTTATCCATTCCTGCTCGCACTACGGATGGAAATGCGCTATCTGTACGCAGCTTTTCAAAGAAAGCCTCGCGGGCTGTCGTTGTTTTCTGATCAAACCCATACAACCTGCTGATATTTGCCTGCGAAAGCATGTTGGTAGCCTCGATCCAGGTTTGCCTTCTTGAATTTGCGCATTCTGTCAGTAGTCTTTGCGATTCTCCATGCTTGATGACCCTGGTGAGAGCGTTGCCGAAGCAGAAGGCGTCAGCGATGCCGCTGGTCAAGCCGAGCCCGCCGATCGGGTTGTTGGAATGCAACGCATCCCCAGCCAACATGACTCTACCCTTGATAGCTTGGCTCGCTACCTTCTGAGAGTTGATGTAGGGTTCTGCTCGTAAGAGCTTGAAGTTCTTGCTTCCGTTCATCCATACAGGCAAACGTTTCTGAGCCCGTTCCAGATATTCTTCAGGAGCACTGGGAAGATCTGGTTTCTCCACATAAGCCACTCGATACTGCGGTATGCCTGTGCCGCTGGGTCCGCCGCCCTCATCCTGGCCTGTATATGCGATTACAGCCCAGTGCTAGGTTCGTGAGTGGAGAGCAGCAAAGGAGAAGGCGTGCCTACCTCTGGATGAACAATAAAGTTGAGGGGCGTGTACCCTTCTTCGCCAACAAAGTCATATACTGCCATAAGTCAGTGCAGGCTCCAAGTGTAGAAGCGCCTGGAAGATGGAGCAGGAAAGGCCCGGGCATCTACTCGTGACCAGCAGCATCTTTACTCACATATGTCAGTGCCAATCATCTTCCAATCAGAGTAGGTGAATCCTTCGGATTGTATGCAGAGCATCCGTCGTACTGCGCTATTGGCGCCATCGGTGCCGACAACGTACTCTGCGTGGATGATCTCGTCTGCATTATCCGATCGGCGAGAGCAAAGAAGCTTGACGGCTTCTGAACCGGTGACATCCTCGATGCCACAGCATCTGAGTCCGAAGTGGACCTCAACACAGGGATATTTCTCGAGCTCCTCCAGGATGATCATGGCTAGTTTATATTGTCCCAGCAGCAGGACACCACCGAACTCATCGTCGTGCTTGTCGCCGAGAGGAAGCTTTGCCAATGACTTTCCTTCGAGGTCTCGCCAGGTGATACCTTCTTTGTTCAGATATGCCTCGCGCTTGATGGATTCAAATATTCCAAGCTTAGTGAGTGCAGGAATGATAACCGGCATGTACACGACAGCTCTCGTAGTTGGTAAAATAGAATCATGAGCCTCGACCACCAGTGTGTCTATTCCGGCCTGCCCCAGTCTGAGGGCGGTGAGTAGACCTACCGGTCCTCCACCAACGATGCAGACTGTGGCTCGTGTCTTCGACATGTTGCGACTCTTGCAAAGTTTCAAGGCACAAAACATAGGACACGGCAGCTTCTTATGGCTGTTGCTTCATCTGGTCCCCACATATCCATGATACTTTCGGCATCTGGACACGGGATCTCTGCCAATGCGGCAGCTAGTAGATGCATCTCCGAGGGAAAAAGCCTACTTGTGATCAGAAACGAGTTCTGAGGATCTCATCCATGTCCTGGGTTGGCGAAGAGTGTAGAAGAGGCCTGGGGCGCAAGTCTTCACCAGCGTGTGTGAGCTGCCAAGGGCATGAGGACGATCAAGCTCTCGTGGGGGCACAGAGCACGCCCGCATCACAAGTATTTGGATTCGGAGCTTCGACGACGCGTCTGATGGATCTCTTATGTTGATCAGACCAGCCAGTGTCCGTCCAGTTGGCCCCTCTCCACATATTGAACGCTGTCTATCTCAATGCTGCCCCTCGCATCAATACTGCAGCGGCGGCTGCACTGTGTCGGGTGACTGTGGACACGGCAGAATTGCTACCTTGTTGGCCGGTGATTGGTTAAGCGGAGTTGGAGGTGTGCCGCGGACGGCTGGCCGATGGGCAAGTGCCCGTCCGTACGCCGCAGGGCGTCTTTTTTGATAATGACAAGCATATCGATGCAACTACGACACTACCTCTGAAAAGCTGTGCACATCAGCCTTCAACAAAACGGCTTCTCATCCCTGAACCTTTTCCCATGGTCTACCTCTCTGAATGCGTGTGTGTGATCGCATAAGCCGCCCCTCTTCCTCCCCGCCTTGTCCCAGCAATGACACCCCGAGCCGCTCTCGCGCGGGTCGCGCGCCGCTCGCTCCTCGGGCGCCTCCCAATTTCAACAGCGGCGTCTACCAGTGTTGTCCGCCTTCGTCAACGGTGCTTATCGACTACCAATGGTGCACGTGCCTCTCCAGTCGGCTCCTCCTTGGGCAAGAAGAAACCCGTCGGAGACTTTGCACCTAGACACATTGGCCCGAACGCTACTGAAGAAGAGGAGATGCTGGCCGCGCTCAACCCGCCTGTCTCTGATCTTGAGGACTTCATCTCGAAAACGATTCCTGCAGACATACGGTCGCAAGAGGCTCTGACTTTGCCACCTGGGAATTCCGAGCCAGTTGTAGCAGGCGACCTCACTCGTCTAGCCAACTCGAACAATAACCGGTACCCATATATAGGCAATGGGTACTACTCTACAAACGTGCCCAGTGTTATCAAGAGGAATGTGCTGGAGAATCCCGCGTGGTACACAAGCTACACACCATATCAAGCAGAGATCAGTCAGGGCAGGCTAGAGTCGTTATTAAATTTTCAGACTATGGTCACAGACCTGACCGGTATGACGATAGCAAATGCGTCTGTTTTAGACGAGGGTACAGCTGCCGCAGAAGCTATGACCTTGTCACTCAATGCTTTACCATCTTCGCGGCAGAAGCTGGACGGCAAATGCTTTGTCGTGTCAGAAAAGTGTCACCCACAGACAGTTGCCGTTCTGCAATCCAGAGCTCACGGATTCGGCATCAATATTGTTGTGGGGGACGTCCTTGCAAACGACTGCCAGCTAGTGCGCGATCAAGGAGACAAGCTGATCGGTGCACTGGCTCAGTATCCTGACACAGAGGGTGGCGTCTTTGACTTCCATGTCCTTGCTGATGCCGTACACGCTTCTGGCGCAACATTTTCTGTCGCAACAGACTTACTAGCTCTGACTGTTCTAAAATCCCCCGGAGAATTTGGCGCAGATATCGCCTTTGGCAACGCTCAGCGCCTAGGCGTCCCTCTTGGCTTCGGAGGCCCTCACGCCGCCTTCTTTGCCTGCAACGATAAACATAAGCGCAAGATACCTGGCCGCTTGGTTGGTGTCTCTAAGGATCGACTCGGAAATCGAGCTCTTCGCTTGGCACTACAGACTAGAGAGCAGCACATTCGTCGCGAAAAGGCCACCAGCAATATCTGTACGGCGCAGGCCCTGCTCGCCAATATGAGCGCTTTGTACGCAATCTACCACGGTCCGGCTGGGCTCCGCACCATAGCGCAGCAGATAGCTTCGAAAGCTCGCTACTTCCAACAAGCACTCATTGATGCAGGCTACAAGACTTCCTCGAAAGGCACCGGCGCCGAAGGTACCGTTCTTTTTGATACTGTTGTCGTCGAGCTTGAACAAGCGAAGGCAACTAAGATCCTCGAGAAGACCAGTCAGACACGCGTTCTTTTACGCAAATTGGACGACTCCCGACTTAGCGTGTCTTTCGGCGAGGCGGGGGGAAAACGTGCTATGAAGAATCTTTTGAGTACGTTTGGCATTTCGCTTGATGATATTCAGGAGAGGCACCCATATGAGTCCCTTGACCTCGACTTTGATTGGCCAGAGAATCTGAAAAGAACGACGCCGTTCCTGACGCACCCCGTGTTCAACTCGCACCATTCCGAGACTGAATTACTTCGCTACATTTATCATTTACAGTCCAAGGATCTGTCCTTGGTCCATTCTATGATTCCCCTTGGGTCCTGCACAATGAAGCTAAACGGAACCACCGAAATGGAAAGTCTTCAGCTAGCGGGGTTCACGGGCATACACCCCTTTGCTCCAGCTTCTACAACACGTGGTTACAACGAGCTAATTGTGAGGTTGATGAAGCAACTTGAGGTGATTACTGGGATGTCTTCTGTAAGCCTGCAGCCAAATTCGGGGGCACAAGGTGAGTTCGCAGGTTTGCGCGTCATCAAGAAATACTTCGAGTCCCAGCCCAGCGGCAAGGAACGCAACATCTGCCTCATACCTGTTTCTGCCCACGGAACCAACCCAGCGTCGGCTGCCATGTCTGGCATGAAGGTGGTTACACTTAAATGCGACTCAAAGACGGGGAACCTCGATATCCAGGACCTACAGGAGAAGTGTGAAAAGCACAAGGACGACCTCGCCGCCATCATGGTCACCTATCCGAGCACGTTCGGCGTCTTCGAGCCCGAAATCAAGAAAGTCTGCCAAATCGTGCACGATCATGGTGGACAAGTCTACATGGATGGCGCCAACCTCAATGCCCAAATAGGCCTTTGCAATCCTGGCGAGATCGGAGCTGATGTATGCCATCTCAATCTCCACAAAACCTTCTGCATCCCTCATGGCGGTGGCGGACCTGGCGTTGGACCCATTGGTGTGAAGGCCCATCTTGCCAAGCATCTACCAGGCCATCCTCACGCGGACCCTCAGACCGATGTCGAGGCGAAGGATGAGCGAAAACAGTCTGCGATCTCACCAGTAAGCTCAGCGCCATGGGGAAGCGCGTCCATCCTCCCCATCAGCTACGCCTACATAAGATTGATGGGCGGTGCGGCTCTCACCCACGGCACCAAGGTCGCCCTTTTGAATGCGAACTACATCATGTCGCGCCTTGGGCAACATTATCCTATTTTGTACACTAACGACAACGGCCGTTGTGCCCACGAGTTCATTCTTGATGCGCGCCCTTTCAAGGCCACAGCGGGCGTCGAAGCGGCCGATATCGCCAAGCGATTGCAGGATTATGGCTTCCACGCTCCAACCATGAGCTGGCCCGTCGCCAATACATTGATGATCGAGCCTACTGAGTCCGAGTCCAAGGAGGAGCTTGACCGCTTCTGCGATGCCATGATTCAGATTCGGAAAGAGATACAGGACATTGAAGATGGCAAGGTGGGCAAGGAAGTCAATGTTCTCAAGATGGCGCCCCACCCCCAGCTGGATCTTTTGAGGGACGACTGGGATCGACCGTACACTCGAGAGCAAGCGGCCTATCCTCTTACGTGGCTCAAGGAGAAGAAGTTCTGGCCCAGTGTAGCCCGTGTGGACGATGTGTACGGTGACTCGCATCTCTCCTGTACCTGTCCACCGATCGAGAGCTACGAGCAAGACGTGGATTGAGGAGGATGCACATGTTAAGCAGAGGCGGTGTCAGAGTTCAACCACCTGACACTTGCGGTCCTCGTTCTACGCAACAAAAGTTCAACAATGATACCCATGAGATGGCGCAATGAGCGGAAGTGATCATGATGCTCTGTCAGCATATGGCGATGGATTTTCAACAAGACTGCAATGATTGCAAGCTGGGCATGCAGTGCGAACTGCGGTAATGGCGTTGGTCAGCTTCTATGTACAGTCAAACCGTCATGGACTCTTTGCAGGTAGGATACACGCAAGCGAAGTGGCCCATGGTCCAACATACAAAGAAATACTTCCTCATCAGCATTACGATGTGAAGCTATTGACTATTAATACAATTTTGCCGCCTCCGTCCTCCATTCTTGACAAGAAAGGACATTCTCATCCTCATTCCACCCAACCCTGTCTTCCTTCTACTTTTGATCCTCTCTCTTCCTTTCCCCCTTTCCAAGTCTTCAATCTTACTCACCACTTCCGCCCACTCTGCCACGTCCCCGCATCCTCCACGCCCCTCGCCACCTTATTCGTCGCGTCCTCAATCCCGCTCGTCGCATTCGACAAGCCATCCCCAACAGGCTTGCCCGCCGAGCCCGTTGCGCCCGTCACCGTCTGTCCTATCCCTCGCCCCGCGGCGCCCACCACGCCGCCCACGGTGCGCGTCACACCGCCGACCGTGTTGCCGACCGTCGAGGTGACGAACTTGGCCGCGCCGGTCACGCCTTGGTTTTGCGAGGAGCCGTCAAGCGTCATGTTTGGTCTGAGGGCTGGTTGATGCGGTGGTGGTGGAGTTCAGTGGATTGTGTTTGTGGTGCCAGAATAAGCAGAGGCGGCGTAATTTTGATTATAGCTTGTGAGAATAATGGTTTGCGCGAACAGTTTCGTGTCTGTATGTCTCTTCTCGAGGATTTTTCCGAGCCGTTGTGAGACGCCGATATATATATATATATTTGTATTCACTCGTTGGTAGGCAGACCCTTAATGCTTGGGAAACCTTCAAGTTCCAGGACGTATGACATCATAGCCTTGACCGTCGTCAGCGCGACAGGGATATAGGGGAGTTTGGTCAGGGCACTGGGCGTTCGGCAGTGGCTACAATTCGTATCCCTGTCATGTTTGCAGTCACAGTGTGGCCAATAACTTGTGGCGATGTGTACTCATTTGCTTGGATGGGGTGTGAGCGGAACACGCGAGAGACAGTGTTTGAAACCAAGAAACGAGTCGTTATGGCAGTGCAAGCGAGACCTGGAGGCCTCGTCTGAACTGCTACTAGGCAACTGAACCGACGTCCTCAAAGGTATCTACTTAGCCTAAGGATAGCTTATGTGACGACTGTCCTGTTCCAGCTCTGACGAGCCTTCACAAATGGATTATTGCATCACTTCGCCAATCTTTGGGGCGCGTTCTTTGAGCCACTCATCAGCGGCAAGGACGTCTCCTTTGGTCTCCTCCACAGCTTTGGCTACCCATCCAGAAGCATACTCTGATCCGTGTCCGATCATATTAGCCGCAAGTGTCCTTCTCTGTTGAGACTCATCGACACAGAACGAGACTGACTTAGGCGCATCACCCTGCGCGAGGCAGTCCATGGCAGGTTTTATCACTGGAAGGGCATCCTTGGCCGAGTAGATGCGGTCCTGACCGGTAGCATTCTTATATCCGCTTCTGCACCAGTCACTGTTGTGACACCATGACTTGCCACAGCCACCCATCAGTTGCTGCAAGAGTCGCCGCTCGATCCGCCGTCTCAGAGCCTTTCCTTCAGGATCATACGCACTGTTGTATAGTGGACCGAAACAAGTATTGCAGAGGCCGAGCTGTTCCTTCTGGACCCGCGACTCATCACTGGCTGGAATCGTTCGAGAGCACATGTCATTCATGCACACTTGAGGCTCAGGCTTTGATATACGCTCGCGATCATGTAGGCCAAGGTGCGTCTTCATATCGCGTAGTCGCACTATCCTACTGCAGATATGGCACTCTGTTGTCCGGGCTCCATCTGCGAGCTCATGTGGAGTCAGTCCAGATAACAACACCTCAGCGTCGGTGAAAGATGGGTCATCCGGGCCCTGCTGTGGCACCTCCAAGTGACAGAATTGACAGAGGATAGTCTTGCCTGGACAGGTGGAGGTGCGGTGTTGTGCCAGTATGGGTTGGTCGTATGCCTGGAAGTCGCAAGCTGGACATTGCAACGGCTGACTCAAATGAAACAACGACCCATGTTTCATCCGGCCGATGTCACTATTCGCAAAGTCATCGTCAAGAGGACAATGCCAATGATTTTTCCATGCTTCTGAGCTCTTCATAAAGACATTGGAACATTTAGGGCACACAACATTATTGCGATAGCAAAAAGCTTCATGCAGTGGCAGCGTTCTCTTCGGTATTTTTTGACGGCAATTCTGGCAGACTGTCTCGTCTGGCCCAAGGGGCTCTTCGCCGTTTGAGAGAGACTTTTTTGATGACGGACCGGCATTCGCGATGGAAAAGGAGAAAGGAATAGGGCGGTCGGTATTTTCGTTGTCTGGATCTTTCCAGGCATGTATCGAAATAGCCAAGGATTCGGCGCTTTCCATATCAACGTTTCGGTGAGACAGTTTCATTACCTTTGTAAAGGAATTGCTGAGATCAGCAAAGACGAACTCGTCCTCTCGCGGTTTTGAACGCTGTCTAGCAGACATGGGGCTCACAAGAATATCGAGGCTCAATGGCTCATCGGAATCAACCCTCAAAGTGAGCTCAAGGTCGGCACTTCGATCCCACTGGTGCAGCTCATAGTCGACACCTTCTCCAGCAAGGACCTGGCCAGCGTTGTCCACATTGAGGTTGACATTGCCTCCGGCTGAGCTGCCTTCGCTGGTACCAGGAGCTCGACGAGCCTTAGCAAGCCGCCGCTCAAGCGTTTCTCGCGCCTGCTCCTCATTGAGAGCTTCGATGTCAACTTCCAGGTCCGTATCGACGATGCAGATGCCCTCATTTTCGGGCTCAAATTTGTCAACGAGGAATCTGAAATGCTCATGTCGGGCACCCCTGATGTCAAGAATCTCGTTCATTGTCAACGTCGTGAAATTGTCGCGCAAATATCGTTCTAGTAATGATTTCCAATCTTCGGGATCGTAGCCTGCTTCTAGGGGCCGTAGCCGTACGTATGTCCCTTTAGGCAGCTGATGGGCATGCACGGTGATGACCTCTCGTTTCTCGGGCAACCCATTAACCATAGCCACATCCCCGTTGGGAGTGCCTTCTCTTGTGGGTTGTTCTGAAGGCCCCTGCTCGAGGCCTAGGGCCTCGCGGAGGAAACTGCTCAGTTGGATTTGTTCCTCTTCTGCGGAGAACTCTCGGATGCCGGCATAGACTGCCCGTCCGTTGGCGGGATTCACGAGTCGAAAAGTGAGAGGATGTGGCAGTTGCTGTTGCCGGGCTATAAGGGCCTCCCTGGCCTGTCGTTCGGCAGCATACGAGTAGGGGTTGAACGGATCAAAGTTCGAGGTAACATTTCTTCGGCCACTCTGCTCAACTTCAACCATCGGCGCCGCAGCCAGCAGAGCCTCAAGTGCCGACTGCGGCAAGGTGATCTTGTCTCCAACCAGTCGTTTGTTCGGAGAGGCTACCGCCAGCTGGGCGGACCATTTCAGGGTATTCGTAGGCAACGCCATCTGCAGTGTTCTATCAGACAGCAAGAGAGGATTGTGAAGCCCATTGCGCGGACTAGATGCGGCGGTCGATTATTGAGCAACAAGAGGCCGTGAAAGAGTGGCGCGTCCGAGCGTGCCTGCGTTCGCTCGACTCGAAGGTTCTACGTCATTTGTCATTTGAAGTCGATCGTGCCAAGAATTCACTGCCTGATCCTCGGCGCCAGTACAACAGAATGCCAGCCTTGCTGCTTCCCAAGAAGTACCAATCTGCAATCGCTGCTGTATCTGTTATGGTGCAGTGGTTCTTGCGCGAGGCATTGCGAGATGTCTTGTGCTAAAAGGAGCAGCAGTCATTTTGGGGACTAGAAGCAGTCATAGCTTCAAACATATACATAAGTCTTGGCAACACTACAAACAGGCCCCGAATAGAGCTTCCAACAGTGGACTGAGCGAATTGACTCCATTGCGATTCCACAATAGAGATAGATTCTGATGTAACTACCCCACAAAACATCCTCCGCGCAGAATGTTTTCAGAAAGCAAATCTTCACTAGTGACGATGCTGTACAGATTTGGTTCAGAGCGTCCGTGGATTGTCGGTACGAACGAGTGAGGCCCTGTACAAACCGCCTAACGAGATGTGAGGCACCTAGATCATGTAACGATAGCCCTTCTGTAACATCCTCGCCGCCCCAATATCAATACCTTCCATCTGCGCAGTCTTCTCCAATCTAGCCAGATCCTTCTGTCCCAAGGGGGTGTCCTGATCCGCAAGTCTGTCAAGTCTCTTATTGGCCCTGCTCAATATAATGTACATCGTCATACCACATAGCGCAGCGATGGCTTGGAGGCCGATGTTCATACCAAGCGCCGGCCGGTAGTGGGGTGCGTCCTGCTTGCGATATACGAATGGTGTCCAGATACTCGCTGAGTTACCGATCGAGTTGATAAAGGCGAAGGCCGCAGCCCTCTGTTATGCCATTAGCTTGACGGATCAATAAGAGGGCAGTTAGAGGATTTTACCTTGGCTGGGGGCCGAGGGATGGCGGACGCAATCCATGCGTAGCTGGACAGTCAACTAGTGCACAAAGAAGAGCATGAGCCGAAGGAACTCACCAGGTACCGTTCATTGCGAAGATGAAGCACATTAGAAACAGCGAAAAATACTTTGCTCCGAAACTCTCGGTGAACATGAAGACGAGGAAGCCGACAATCGTAATAGGGATTGCTGCAGATTTGCGGTTAGTGCCTCTGCCAGTCGATGCAGGTCTACCAAGAGACTTACGGTACATGAAGAACCAGAAGCGCATGTGCACCTTGTCGCTGATCCAGCTATGCGCTAGAGCCCAGATAGTGATAAAGATGTAGGGTGGTGCACATAGTAGAAGGGAGATAGTATGGCTGTAGCCCAACGTTGCGGTCAAAGTTGGGAAGAAATTCTGGAAACCTGCCGCGCCAGTGATGCACATGTAAGCGATGGCTAGAACGTAGGTTTTGGACTAGACAAATGATTAGCACTGATGCGCTCAAAGTGAGTCTTCCGGTGGGATCACCAACATCTTTCATTGCCAGCTTGAAGCCTTTGATTTGAGACATGCCACCAGCTTCGTCGACATCGGCCTCCGCAGCTTCAATTGCTAGACGACGGTTGGCGACGTGTTGCATTTCAGGGCTAAGGCGCTTCCAGGTGTGGGGAAAGTCTGGGAGGATGACCATGATGCAGAGGCCGATAGCAACAGTGATTGTTCCTTCGATAATGTATAGCCACTGCCAAGCAGCGAGGCCTCGTTTGCCCGCCAGCCCGCTCAAGATGCCAGCGGCGATCAGGTTGCCAAAAGCGCCACTGATCAGGGAGCCGGAATAGAAGATGGACATGCGCAGATTGAGCTCTTCCTTGGTGTACCATTTGGATAGATAGAACAAGACTCCGGCGAAGAAAGGAGCCTCCACAATACCAAGTATAAATCGACATGCCACAATGCTGCCGTAGCTTTTGACCAAGCACGTCAGGGCAGAAACAAGGCCCCAGGCGGTGGTGAAGAAGCCAAGATACAGAGATGGCCGGCCGAGATGATTCAACATGAGATTTGAAGGGACTTGTCCGAGAATGTAGCCAACGAAGAGGATCGAGAGACCTTGTACTATGTTAGTGTCTGCTCGTCAAGCGCCCATTGCCTCTGTCTTACCAGTTTGATACCTGCAAGAGATGGATCAGTGATCGTGTTCGTCCCAGCCATGCCAGACACAACTTACTCTTCGCCAGTCAAACCCAGATCGTCCTCAAGGCCTTGCAAACGAGCCGCGGCATAGTTGTTGCTAGATGCAAATCAGTAGGGTAGATACGAGACGTAGGCTTTGGCATACCGGTCTATGTAATTCATCAAGTACCTGTGGGCTCGGGTTAACGAAGTTCAGGGATATTCGACGGAATCAATTACACAAGGACAACAAGTGGCATGATACGGCTGTCAATGCGTCGTCGTAACTTCTTCTCGATGAGCTTCTCATCGGGGGTAAGCACTGCATCGTGGAGGGCTTCATCATGGCTCATGTGCGCTTTGTCACCCAAGATGTCGGCGTCATGCACCTCCTGTTGGTACTTGATCTCAGACATCGTGGCGATTAATCGATGCGCAGGACCTTGGGATTAGATGTGAGGGCGAGAGACTGTCGATCAATTGGAGCTGCTGGGCTTTAAGTACATATCCTGACTGCCGCACCAGAGCTCTGCGTCAGTGACGCGCTCGATCCGCGGCTCGCATGAGGACTAAAGCCTGGGGTTGATGGCACGTGGGGCCTGGAGAGCATCTAGCCCCCAAACAAGGAAGGTCGGGGGCTGATCTAGGAGACTGAAATGGAGGCTCTCGTATCGCGGGTTGGGTCACCGGGCGACAGAGCACCCAACGGCTATGCCGGGGAGATGGCTTTCTGGGTGTGACCAAGGCTCCTGGCTTTGGCTCTCGGTTGAGTAAACCAGCCAGCCCCGGTCATCACGGCACAAGACTCCATAAGCATCTCCAAGGACCCCGCTTAGGGTGCTTGAACTCGAGGCTAAATCAATGCTGATTCGCGGCCCCGCTGCCCACCCCCATGGTCTGATTCCGCGTGGCAATTAAAGGTTGCAACATTGCCCACCCGGGAACGGCATCGGCACCGGTCGGTCATGAATTAAGGATGTGCCCATCTATAATTCGCTCTAATCGACGTGTATTGCGCCTGCAGAAAAGACTGAAGAACTTAGGCGACACATGCTACGCGTATCATCCAGGAGAGCATGGCGTTTGAAGCTTGTCGGAACATGGGCGCTCCTGGATAACCGGAGTGCTAGGTAGGGAGAACGATCAGGCGGGAAACAGTATTTATCCGTCGGCCCATACGAGGCTCTGGGCGACAGTACAACACCGAGCTGTGTCATGAACAGTAAAAGCAGTGTTACTTGCTCAATATGTCAGAGCTCGACAGGCAGATGCTTGAAAGAGCATATAGCCAATCGACCAAGACATTACCTCAACATGTCCTGGTGCCCTCCCCAGCCCGCAGTGCCCCAGATTCAGATCTGACTGCCATTGAATCATTAGGTCCCATCCGGAATATCGTCTTTCCAGGTGAATAGGCCCACCTAAATTGACCTATCACCCAACACTTGCACCGATATCCATCCAGCATAGCGATAGTAGCCTAGATCCATGAGCATATAAGTGTGTCCCGGGCCGAATATCTTGATTAAAAAGGTAGAGTGGAGCAGCCCGGGTCGCTCATACAAGAGTCGAAGTACCGAGACCCAAGCCCCTTTGCATGACATGTGGCTTTCGTCGATCCTTCATTCAGACATTCACTATCTTTCTCACATAACAGCAGATTTCTCATGTTTGAAGAGCATCTCCGTGAACTCTTGAGCTGAGGGTACTGAGGCGAGACCCACAACTTTTACTGCCTGTTGCCAAGCTGCCGCCGGAGTGGGGACATAACACTCCGCCCCCGCAAGACCTGTCACTGCATGATCAATGAGCCTCCTTCTACGCACTCATCTTGTACTCTCGCACGAATTGGACAAGCTGTCTGCAGAATCTATCTTTGCCGCTTAAATCTCAGACACGACATCACAGAAATTCCCGAAGGTTTTCCTGTGCCCCGAAACCCACAGCACGGAACCTGGTAGCACCACCAGCACTGTACCAAACCCCAGCAGAAAATCCCCAATCATCCCCTCCTGAAAGCCCAGGAGACCACCTGGACCCACATCCACAAGTGAACCACACCATCGAGCATGGCCAGCACCAGCACCAACACCAACATCTCCCCCTATCTCTTCCTCACCGCCTCCCTGCTCAACGCCCTCGCGGTACCAGGGCACATCATCTTCGGCCGACAGAACGTCGACCCCACGCTCCGCGCCCTCCAGGGCAGATCCGACTCTCCCACGCACGCCGTAGGCCTCGCCGCCGCCAGAGTCGGCTTTGAGCACATGACCGTCGGGATCTTCGCTGCGGGTACGTTCCATTTAGCCACTATCCCCAGTCCTCCCTTTTCTCCTGCGATGACGGACGTTTGGTACTAGCCAAGCACACTGACGCGAGGACTTTCAAACAGCCATATTGAATTACCGCTGGAGCGCGACGAACGGGCCGCAAGGCCGAGATGAGCACGCGCTGTTCTGGGCGCTGCTGGGCGGCGGCTGGTGGGTAGGGCGGCGGTACTGGCGCGTTGGCGAGTATGGGCCGCTGGTGCTATGTCTGTGGGGACCGCCCTTGTGCAGTCTTGCGGCATGGGCTCTGGCGCAGCATTGAGAATGGCAAAGACCTCAACAGTTATCTTGCCTGGCGGGTCACTGGTGAGCAACTTAAGGGGCCTCGTAAGACCGCGTTTATGGCGGCATCCTGACGCGGGATGCTGGGCAGTCGCAACCAACAGAGCGACCTTCCGGTAGCTGGCGCTTTGCTTCTTTGGTCGCTGCTGCGGGATACGGTCAGCGATTATTGCAGACCGCACCTGTTCTGATACAGAAGACTTCCAAATCAATCAATGTCTCTTCCATCCCCAGGCTAGGAAGCGCAAATGGAAGCGAAGGTTTAACCGGGGAGTGTGTCAGATGGCGAGAAACAAAGCGATCACGGGGAAAAAGGCCAGAGGATTTGCACAAAGGTGTGTCAAAACACTGAATTCATCATTTGACTTCAAAAACTGGTTTTGTCTCATGGCGAGAATCGAAAGAAACAGCTCAGCAAGAAACTATAAAACAAAAAGCAAGCAGCAGACATGGAACTTGCCTGCGTCCATCGAACGTCCATACTGGCGGACCATTTCACCTTCCTTTCCTTCCAGTAGTGACCACGAACACCTCACAAGCACTGGAAGTAGTACGGGTTGAGCTCCGTGCAGGTCAGGCCGGACTGGCAAGTGGTTGGGCCGGTGAACTCTTGGCCGCCGCACTGCTGGTATTGCGCGACGGTGCCAGAGCCACCGTTCGCAGGAGTGGTTGTGGTAGGAGTAGCAGCAGGGACAGTTGAGGTCTGGAGAGTCGTTGTCGGCGCCGGGGCGGGCAGATTGGTTGTGCCGCTGCCGCCGCTGCCACCGTTGCCGCCGGAGCCAGGGTTGCTGCCAGAACCACCGCCGGCCATCAAAGGGGGGCCGGGGATAGGGTAGCTTGTGGGGTTGTTGTACATGTTGAAGAGAACGCCAGGGTCGTTGGCGGTGTACAGCTGGGTGCCGACGGTGCCGGAGGACAGAGAGTCACTGCCGGAGCCGGTGACTTCGATGTTGACACACTGGGGGTAGAACTGGGCGCCTCCAGGATTGCCTCCCTCGTGCAAGGCGATGATTTCGTGGCGTAGGACGTAATTACCCGGAGCAATCGAGCTTGGGATGGTGACGGGCCAGGTGTTGCCATTCGCGATGAGTTCGTTAGCCGCCCAGGAACCTCCAGAGAGACCAGCCTCCGCGATCTTTACGAATTGGAGGGAAGACTTGCTGACGCCAGCAAAATCGGAGCCAGCGCTGGCCAGGTAGTCAATGACCGGACCGCTGTGTGACTCTGGCCAGGTGTCCCAGTTCATGGTGATGGTGTCGCCTGCAGCGACCGTGACACTAGAAGTGCCAGGCTCACCACCCTTGTGGCAGACGATGTCTGGGCTGGTCGGGTCGCTAACGAAGCCGTTATCCAGATTGTCGGCTACCCACGCCGCAGTGTCAGGGCGGGGGCTCCGGCCCAGACCGCCATTGACGCCTCCTTCCACTTCCTGACCGCCAATGGTGTAGCTCTTGACGTGGCCATGAGCATAGACCGTGCTGGCGAAGGCCAGAGCGCCGACAATCGAGTTGATTTTCATTGCAGCCATGGTGTCGAGCTGATGATGAGATGCTGACTTCCAAGGAAGAGTTGTACTGCTGTTGCTGTAAGAAAAAGAATGTAAGCGGCTTCAATCAATGAAGCGGCGATGCAAAGAACGTAGAAGTGAACGACTGTGAATGATAGACCTGCTGAGCTGAATGAAGAGAGGGCAAAATGGTCGAAGCCGCAGACGGGATAATATACCTGTAGACATGCCTATGAACTTTTTCCGAGACTCCTTGCTGAAGCGGTCCTGTCGTGGACGGTCGACCAGGTTCACGTGGTGGCGTGTTTGAAGACTGGGGTCGAAGTCATAGCCGAAGACAGGCTGCCCCTGACGCGGCGAGCCTAGGACGAGCTTAGGACTTTCGGCGCCAACTGGGTATCCACAATTCAAGAGAAAACCCACGGATGCTCAACCAAATACATTGCTAGATGTACCAAAATCTAGGGCCACGGCTGTGGATGACAACATGTTTAGTGGATAAAAGTGGCTTCTTACCAAAATTTCAGCATCGAAAGCGGTCGGTGGACGTTGTGGTGTCTGGGAAAGTGTTGGCGAAGTAGACCACGTGGTCGTTAGAGAGTCCATGGCTGTACTCCGTACTCGTAGCACGGGTGACATCTCCGAACGCTGCTGCCGCGAACTTCAAGGGGCGAGCGTGGTGGAGCGGATAGGTGTGCCAAGCTGTATGAGTCGGGGTCTTTGGGAGCCGCCACTAGGCGACGTGGACTGGATCAGGAGACTCAGCACCTCCGCGGTTCTACCGCTGTAGACCCGGCCATAGGGAGGCCGTTTCGAGGACTCCGCTCGGTGCTATGTACGTGTATTCTGTCCGCCAGGCCCTTCCGCCGGCTAATATCGCCAGGCTTGGCGCGAATGACCTGTAGCTGCCCGGTCGCACCATCCTCATCAGTCCCTGTACAACTGCTGTTTCGATTCGGAAATTCGTGAACTCAGTACTGCAGTCCAAGTCCGAGCCTCGCAGCATGGACTTTGCGGAGCAAGGGATGCATTCGCAATCGAAAAATGTGTTCAAATTTACAGGCGATGACCCTGAGAGGACCTGGCTCGCTTCGAGACGATTCAAGCCACGATCGTCACCCGTCTATCGCCCATGGAGCCGCCGGTACGGAGTATACACTGAAACGCCCATCAGGCTGTGGCTAGGCCACCAGGGCCAACAGTTGGGCAAGAGAAAATCGGTCGGCGAAGCGAGCGAGAGCTCGGCACTGTTTCAAGCTGATGCCGCCAAGAGAAGTGTCCACGACACCCATGACGAGGGCTTTTCTCCGGATGAGGTGTCGTGTATCACAGCACTCTTGTACGGGTAAATTAGTCGAACGTAGCTAACAGAACGCATGACTTCCAATTTCTTCCTGTACTTGGGGTCCTGGGCATATTGTGTTGTTGTTTGGCCCATCAGGGATCCTGTAACCTCGTTGCTGGGGGTATACCACTTTCCTTTGCCGGGGTCAACAGGCGATTTAGGTCTATACCTGGGCCGCTGCTTGCAGTTGCATCTTCATCCACGATTCCATGTCACTACTCCTGAGCATCAAGGTTTTCCCTAGCACATCTCATTGGCACAGGCCAGGAAACCGTCCAACAGATCGGTGTTCACCGCGGTTTTTTCGCCTCCCTTGTTGTTTCTTCACCGTCGAACCATTCAGTTGGCTGGCGGCTGCTGCCAACATGTTTGGGCAGAAATCTCGCTGCCACTGCATTGCCGTCGATGACGGCGCCTCGGCTTGTCAGCTTCTTCCCGAACAATTCATCTGCAACGATCCAGCGCGCTAAAATCTGCTTCGCTGACATCGTATAGGAAGGGTGCGATTGAGAGTACTGCTGACGCTGGCAACAAACAGCAACAGCGAGATCGTTTCCGATCCGTATGTGTAAAGCGGAAAGCGGTAGCGGTCCAAGCCAGCAAGACGCTCTCCGAGCACGAGCTCAGTCATTGGTCAATGGCTTTCTCTTATAATCTGGGCCGGTCTCAGTCAATAGCTCGTACAGGGCCTGGTGATCACTGCCAGCGTCCATCGGATTGGCGCCATGATCAGACTCCGGTCGTCCGCCTGCGACTTCGGGTTGATAGGGCCTGGCTGTGCCCAGTTTCATGTGCAGCCAGGCAAGCACCTGCTGCTTAACCATATTTGCTTGGACAATGGAGTATTGCGGCGCTGTCTGATAGCTAAGGACCATTGATGCGAAGGCTTTTGGCGAAAGATAGATGTTCTCTGCATGGATGAAAAGGGACAGCGGCTTGCTCTCAAAAGTGTCGTCAAGTGACTGCAAGAAGAGCTCAGTCACGTGCCATGATTTACCCAAAAGTTGTAGAGAAATTCTGACCATCCTCAAGCATGACCATTTGAGAGCCTAAATCATGATCAAGGTCCACTTCGAAGGCCATTGGACCAGTGAGTAGGGAACAAGACCACGTCTCTGAGTATGTCTCATATCCAGCCAAGATCTCCAGACGAGGCCGATGTGGGCACGAATATGACCTCGTCGAGGAGTCCCCCGTCTTCGACAAGATTCTGTTGAAGGTATCAATCCAGTGACTGAGCACGAGAAAAGTGCTGGGAGCCCGGCAAAGGTAACGATGGGCGGTCTCCAGTGCTGTACCGAGCTCTAACCAGGGCTCATGTTATCGTAAGGCGAATCAAGCTGTGAGAGGTATTGCTGGAAAGTAAACGTAGAGTAGACCGACATGGGCATGGAGAGGCCATGGAAGAAGGCAGTTACAATCATCACGCCTATAGCCACTGCACCAAGTACCCATAATAGCTGGCGTCTTCACGGTATAATACTTTTCGGATTACGAGAAAGCTTTTCGGCATACCGTAAGGGAATATTCAGTGAGGCATACAGTGGGTGACATGACAATGGAGAAGATGTAGCCGTTGAGCTCTAGCCACCTAGCACCCCACTCAACCACATCATCGCATCATATTCCTAGAGTGTTCATTGAGGAAATCATTGTGATTTAGAAGCAGTGGTGGTAGTACACGTATGCAAGGAGAAGATAAACACACATTGCACGCTGAGACGTCCAGGAGCGTCGAAGAGTAGGCATGGCAGTGGTGGATATGTTAACGCACCTTGTCACGGTCCAGCATCGCAGCAGATCTACCTCATACAGGACGTAGGTTGTGTTTTCTGCGAAAGCCGGCACCCATCTTGATCAACTGGCCCAACAGATTACAGGTCCATTGGGCACACATGCTCCAGCTTGGAACGGACACCGCAGCAGATAGAGACTAGCACAAGGCGTCCGTCTCAATTTGCCATCGTAGTGACCATCACGGAAATTGATGAAAGCGATGAGCAGAAGACGAAGAAGCTGCCAGTCGAGAAATCGCTCACAAGGTGTGGACGGTAGACACGGCTGAAGAGTGGATTTCCAGGCTACCGACGTCATAGCTTCATCGCCCGCCCGGTCGAGTCAACATTATCACTCGGTTCATTTCCGTACACTGCAACGACACTGCATAATTAGTATTCCTTGGTGCCGTTCTTCAATGCCCATGATGCGCATACGTCGTGAGAGATGAGAATCATCGTGTCGTTCGGCCGCAGCTGCGGCAGACGCGTCTTCTCCGGCGGCGCGTCGTTCCAGTCCGTTCGAGCCTACACCTTGTCTCGCGGGGCGTCCTCGTCGTCGACACCAGCCTCCAAGTACAGATTCAAGGATTCTCGTCAGAGGACGCATCCATATTTGCTCGCCGCCGCGGCGCTGACTCCTGCCGTCTTCGTAGAGCTGAGTCAAGATGACAATAAAGAGGGCGAAACGGGCGAGCAGCACATGCTTGCGGCGTCGCGAGAAGAAATTAGCAAAAAAGTCCCGGAGAATGCGCATGGCCTCTCAAGAGTATATCGAACCATTGTCTACGTTCTCGATCAGTATATACACGAACCTGTGGCCACTGGGTTGCGATTCCTGCATTTGGTTTTTATCTTTGTTCCCGTCATCGCCACGATTCCGATGGTATGGATTGGCGCGAGGAGAAAAGACAGGGACAACGAGAGAAGCGGAACTATTTGGTGGTATGGCTTCCTCGTCAACTCGATGGAGCGAGCAGGACCTGCCTTCATCAAGCTGGGCCAGTGGGCTGCCTCCCGGACCGACATCTTTCCATCACAGATGTGTACCGTTATGTCGGAGCTACACTCCAATGCCCCGGCACACTCTCTGGCCTACACCAAGAGAACCATCTCGACAGCTTTTGGCGGTCGTCGCTTTGAAGACATCTTCGACGAATTTCATGAGAAGCCACTCGGCGTTGGTGCAATAGCACAAGTCTACAAGGCAAGGTTAAAGCCGGATATCGCCAAACCAGATGATAGCGACCTGGACCACAGCTCCTCCAAGACCCTCATAAGTAGAGTGCGCCGCAATGTGGATGCGATCGCAAAGTCCTCGCCTCAGCGCGTGCCCTCGTCCTACGTCGCGATAAAGGTCCTTCATCCCAAGGTGGAGCGAATCGTGAGGCGGGATTTGAAGATCATGGGCCTTTTTGCCGCCATCATCAATGCTGTTCCCACTCTAGAATGGCTGGATCTGCCCAACGAAGTCGAGAATTTTGGTGAGATGATGCGTCTGCAGCTCGACCTACGCATAGAGTCAGCCAACCTCACCATTTTTCGGAAACACTTTCAGAAGCGGACCACGGCTTGGTTTCCACACCCGTACTCTGATTACACCACTCGACAGGTTCTAGTTGAAGAGTTTGCCCAGGGTATTCCCATGTCCGCCTTCCTCGAGTCAGGTGGTGGAGTCTTCCAGAAGGAAATTGCAGACGAAGGTCTGGACGCCTTTCTTCACATGCTTCTCATCGACAACTTCGTACATGCCGATCTTCACCCTGGGAATATCATGGTCCGCTTCTACAAGCCAAAACAGCCTGATGTCCATCTGCCCTATAGCTCCCGGCAGGACCCGACCCAACCGTCCTCTCCTGATGAGATCGATGAAACTGAGGCTGTTCTCGCCCGCCTCCGCCCTCATATGGGTAATAAACCTGAGTGGCATCGAGCCCTTGCTAAGATTGATTCGGAGGGCTATCGTCCACAGTTGATCTTCATCGACACCGGTCTCGTCACTGAGCTAAACAGCGAGAACCGCAGCAATTTTCTCGACTTGTTCCGTGCCGTGGCCGAGTTTGACGGCTACAAAGCAGGACATCTCATGATCGAAAGATGCCGCTCACCAGAAGCTGTCGTAAATGGAGAGGTCTTTGCGCTGCGCATGCAGCATCTCGTGCTGGGCGTCAAGGGTCGAACTTTCGCACTGGGCAACATCAAGATCGGCGATGTGCTCTCCGAAGTTCTCTCAATGGTTCGATCCCACCACGTCCGCATGGAAGGTGACTTCGTCAACGTGGTCATTTCAATCCTTCTCTTAGAAGGTATAGGTCGTAGTCTCGACCCGAATCTAGACCTTTTCAAGAGCGCCTTGCCCATCCTGCGACAGATTGGCAGCACGGATCCGAAGGCTGTGTTCAAGACGTTTAAGGAGGGTGACTTTTCGCTTCTGAAGATCTGGGTCGGGCTTGAAGCACGACGATTCCTGCAGGCTAGCGCCGAGAGCGTCGAGCTCTGTGTCAAGAGCGATTTGCTGAGTCCCAATGTGTAGACGAAAGACTACAGATCATATACGAATCTTCAGTTCTGCATTTTGCATTACACGGTGTCTAGGAGCACAGCACATGACAGAGTAACATAGTCAGAACATCGAACTGCCTTCCCCTCTTCACATCCTGTTTCTCGGTCATAAGCCGTTATCCACGCCTCGGACTCCACACGTCAGCGTCCGCTCACGCCATCGGTCTCGCTCGTTACCTGGATCTCGTTTTTGCGGCGGCGTTGACGTAATGTGCCGTCTCTTCGCTAGAGATGGCGGAGGTTTACAATACAAATCACATAGTCGCGATAGAGTGGAAGTCCAAGCTTCGACAAGCCTCTTTGGAAGAAGACCCGGAAATGCAACAGCCCTATTGGACTGTAAGGCAGCAGACCTACAAGGATCTGACTACCCGACTCCGAGCCTTGCAGGGCCTCCATTGACGCTGGAGCAAGACCTAGAAAAGTCTTGTCGGACTTTGAAGAGCCGACTTATTAGGGTAGGAGGAGACCAAGCTATTTGTTCATCCTGAAAGGATGGTTTAGAATGGCGTGAGGTACATTTCGAAAGACGGTGCGCCGGACGAATCGTGGTTGGTTTTGGCTGCCTCTGATCCAGTCTCCGCCCGGTCTCCTCAATGAGGCCCGCCATATTACTCCAGCGATGTCAGCAACAACGTAAGGCGGCAGTGGTATTGGCTTAATCTTGGCACAGCACGAAGCATATCCTGGTAACTCGGCCGCCAGTTGCCGGGAATGAAGTGACGCCGACCTCTTGGATCAATGCATACGAGCGGATGACAAGCAAATGGTACGATGACCCGGCTGAGAAATTGTCCTGGCAGTATCGCACGGGACCATCTCGTGTTCGCCGACTCTTCAGGTACCCAGCAGCTGCTTTGTGAACCAGATAGTTTCAAGCTCATGTGGGTCGAAGAACCTTTGCACCTATGCACCTGTTACGGGACGTATAAAGCATTGCCATTTTCCACCCTGACAGAAGATAATATTGGGAAGTAACAGTGCAGCCACGCCCAGTCCGACGCAGCAGTTGCGTGCCTCAACATTCGAAGACAACTCTGCTCGTCTGATAATATGGCAACCACAGCCTCCACGCTCACCAGCACCCATGCCGACAACCCTAACATGACGATGGACAGCCCACAAGGCATAGATGGCAGCTATACGCCCGCATACCATGACAAGGTCGCAGCCTACGTGCTGCCCAACGAGTGAGTCCCGCCCCGGCCTACCCGGCGGGACACCAGAACACTAAATGTTCGTCTTCGTCTAGTGCACCAGAGCACGTCCGCCTGGAGTACCAATGCCGCCTCCTGCGCGACGTCTACGCGTCGCATGGTCAGCAGTCAGAGTTCCATGCCCCGCTTCCTGCGAGCGTCAATAATTTGCTAGACGTAGGCTGCGGCACGGGCGTGTGTTCTGACGCTGCGGCTGCCCGCTTCCCGCAAGCCCATGTCTACGGGGTTGACCTGAGTCCCGTGCCCGGAGGTATCAGGGAGAAGCGGCCGAACATTCAGTATCTGGTCGCGGACATCCTCAAGGGGCCTGACGCTCTGAATGCGGGTGGAGCACCTGGAATCGGGGAGTACGACTTTGTCTTCTCCCGCTTGCTGGCGCTGGGCATGAGCGACTGGCGCTCTTATCTGAAGATTGGTCACGATCTGCTCCGCACGGGCGGCTGGATGGAGGTGCACGACTTCAACTTCATCGTTCTCGACGCATCGGGCAAGGTTATCTCTGACGAGTCCTCCGCGCCCGGCGAGGAGTTTGAGTGGCTCCGTCTTCTGCGTATCGAGGCGTCGAAGACGGGTTTGGATTTCGAGTCTGGCTTCAACGCACAGAGCTTGATGCGCAACGCAGGCTTCGTGGCCATTCAGACCTGGCGTTATGACTGGTGGTTCGGCCCCAAGCATGCCAGCAACCCTGCGGAGGAGAAACTCGGGCAGTACGTGTTGACCTGGATGCTGCCGTTCTTCCATCATGTGATCAATAGGGTTATGACTGGCAAGATGAGTGAAGGTGAGATTAGCGAGGTGCAGAGGAAATGCAAGGAGAGCCTGCGGCAGCGGGAGGCGAGGTTTGTCTATGCAGTCAGCGTTGGGAGAAAGGCTTAGTGGGCATAGAGCATGATAGAGTTGGTGAGTGAGTACACGACATCCAGGTAGAAACAATCCTACTCGCTCCTCCTGTCCTTCACCCCAGGGCCAACCTCGATACATCAGCACTCAAAGTCTCCCCCAGAACCATCTCACTGACCACCTTTCCGGTTCCCAGACTCAGACTTATCCCCCAAGGCCCATGCCCACTCGCCACGAACACACCGCCCATCCCTTTTCCCTTCTCTCCAGCAGTCTTAACCCCTCCCAACATCTCATTCCCTACCCTCCCCACCACCGGCACTCCCGTCTCACTCACCGGCCTAAAGCACAACCCCTCACTCACATCCCTCAAATCATCCTCATTCCTCCCCCCTAAATCACCCTGCTGTCCTCCGTCCCCCATCGCCCTTCCGCACAACTGCACCGCACATCCCCTCATCTCCCTCTTCGCCGCCTCATACCCTTTACCCTTCGCCAGCAAAGGCTTCACATCCTCCGCACGCGGCGGCAGCGCCAGGTCCGGCTCGTTCAGCCCGCCGACCCAGATCTCCGTCTGGCCATCGGGGGACAGGCGCGCGAACGCTTCGGGTGCGTAGGTCCAGGCGTGGCCTATAAAGGAGGCTGGCGTGGGTGAACAGTAGACGGCATAGCAGATGTGCTGCTGCTGCTGCTCGCCGGATTTGTTTTTGGAGGAAGGTGGGCCTTCGTTGCGAGAGAGGGGAAACGGGGCAACGTAGCGTGGTGACTTGGCAAGGACGCTGTGGCCTGCAAGGGGATAGATGGGGATTCGGGTGGAGGCGTGTGGGAAGAGAGTGGCGAAGAGGGAGGGGGTCCAAGGCCCGGCTGCCAAAACGAGATTGCTGCAATCGAGAGACGTGGTCCCTTCGGTGGTCGGAGACGTGTAGTGGAGGCCGGTGAGGGTGCTGCTGTCATTGTCGGTAACGATGGAAGTTGGGGTGGCGGAGAGGTGTAGCTGCACGCCGCGGGACTGGCACTGCGCGAGGAGGAAGGAGCAGAGGCTCCGGGGGTGGATTTGAGCACAGTCGGAGGGCATACCGATTGTGGACAGAGTGCCGCCGGGCTGGGCTGTGAAGCAGGCCGGGGAGCCATCTGGGTTAAAAGTCTCGACTTGAGAGCCAGTCGAGTTGGGCGGGTCCCCCGACGAGGAGGTGGAGGGGGGAAGATCTGGTGCAGCGTTCGCACGGCTGGTACCAGAGGAGATCCAATCCTGCGACTGGCCCCTCTTGCGGTTGACAACTCCAGTGCCGTCGATGCTGAGCGAGTAGACCTGGCTGCCAGCGTAGCCCCAGCGCCTCTGGCCCTCGTGCTGCAAAGCAAGCTCCCGGTGGAGCCGGAATGAAAGGGCGGCGAGGGATGCTGAAGCGGGACTCATCCAGTCTTCCGCGAGGAAGCCTCCAGCGAATCCGGAGGCGGAGAGGAGGAGGGAGTGCGAGGAGTCTAGGATGTGGATGTGTGGGTTGCCTGGTGCAGAGGGCGGACGTTCAAGAGAAAGACAGTGTGCGATCGAAAGGCCGATAATGCCGCCGCCGAGGATAACTGTCGCCATAGTTGCGGCTTATAGGCTCGAAGGGTAGAGGCGCAGAATGGACGAGGTGTACTCTGTGATGGCCTGGTGGCTATAGCCTTTGGGAATTGTCGAACTGGTGCGGACCGATACTTCGTTCCACGTAGGAGGTGACGGGCGACTCATGGATATCCTGACAATGCACTATCGCCCAACGACGCTGTAGCAGGGCCAGGAGGTCACTCGTCTCCAAAGGCATACGACCACGCCATGAATGGCGTATATCAAGGTGGGGCATCTGAGGGGTGGAGTCGCGAACACATCTGATCTGGCACACAAGCTCTGCTTAGAGACCCTCCCGCACAAGTCTTTCCCCGAAACCTCCAAAACGTAAGCCATAGACCTAGCCCCAAAGGTCGGTCCAACACCAGCCACAGCGCTTTAACCTGGCAGCATGTCAACGATTGTGGTCACCGGCGCCTCAGCTGGCATCGGTCTGAGCATTAGCAAGTATCTTCTGGCCGACGCACGCAAGCATCGCCTTGTGCTCTGCTGTAACAGCAACGACAAGGCACTTAGGGAGCTGGCAAATGATCCGGCCAACGCAGACCGTGTCTTTGTCATCAAAGGTGACACGGCGGATGCAAAGTTCGTTTCGACGGTCTTTGCGCAGAGCTTGGTGCATTTTGAGATCGATCGGATCGATGCCTTGGTGCTGAATCATGGAACGCTGGGCGACGGGACAAGGATTGCCGATTGTACGCAGAAGACGTGGGAATGGGTGTTTAGGGTCAACTTCTTCAGCATTGTTGACATTGTGAGGTTGAGTGCGAGCGCCTCGAACGACTACTGACTCGTACCCAGATCCAGCATACTATTCCTTACCTACGAGAAAGCCAAGGTCGGATAATCATCACATCTTCTGGAGCCGCTGAAGGTTCTACCACGACCTGGGGGCCTTATGGTATGCATCAGAAGTTTTTGAGTTGCGCTCCATCTGACGCTCACAGGCGCTTCGAAGGCCGCAATCAACCATCTCGCAAGAACTTTAGCCAAAGAAGAGCCAGTCATTACCACAGTTTCTATCAGGCCTGGCATGGTGGAAACTGGAATGCAGACACTGATCCGCGGAGATGCTTCCAAGCATATGGATACAACAGACCGGCAGAGATTTGTGGGAGCATATGAGCAGGGCAAGCTTTTGCCCGCAGACAAGCCTGGTCATGTCACGGCACGACTTGCAACTGAGGCAAAAAAAGAGCTCTCCGGGCTGTTCTTGACCTGGAACGATACGAAGCTGGCAGACTACCAGGACGCATGAGTATGAGGCCAGCTGTAGACACGATCACGGCTGCAGTATGCTCAGTCAGACTCAGTTCAGATATACGTCGCGGCACCATAACAGCATTTGCTTTCCTGTGACGGATGACACCAGGTGAACAGAAGGCCGGCAAGTACATCGAAAGGACATGGTCCATACTTCTATCATCCTGGAGCAAGGTTCTGAGACACGGTCAGCGACTCATTGATATCGCATATCACTGGAGGAGGAAAGATGTAGTGATAGAGGTCAGGCGAAAGATGAAAAATGAATACTCAATTATAAGCATTAGGCTGATGCCTTCATACTTAGCATGGAATATGAGTGAAAGGCTTCATCATAGGATGTAGAAGTAAGGACTGGGAGGCAGCTTACAAAGACACGGTTGTAGCACTTTGCGCATTTCGATCCCCAAATCGGCTTGGGGATAAAGACAGGTAAAACACGTAAGATCTCGATGACTCACTCAAACAGAATCTGCGAATTCTGTTAGTCGACATTCGAAACCAGTGCTGAGAAGCGATATGCAGACGGTTGTTCAGGTAATCGAACCGGTTAGTTCCTCATTGTCTAGACTTGGAATTTGATAGTACAAAGTGTTGCTCATCATCGAAGTGAAATTGCGATAGGGAGGGGTGTGCTTACCAAGACCAGTAGTTAGACTTGCATTGTTGCGGTGTTATGGTACCTATCTTCCAGAACGTTAGCGCATGTACTGGACGGAGCAGTTGTGGCAAGTGCTTGTAGTCGATGCTCGTTTCAGAAAGTCCGGTTTGGGTTTGGACAGGTAATCACCATACAAAATTGGGTTGTTGTAAGATAGGGGCGACACGAATAGTTCATCCTTTTGAGCAGCGGTGGAGGTTGGGAAAAGAATGAGCGTACCTTGTTTACGAGATGCGGTGGCACAATTCCGCGGTGCCACAAGGAAAACTTCATGTTCACAGCGAAGGGGATACCATGAGCAACACGCAGTCCCGGTCATCAGTCCGAGCCAATGATGATTGACAGTGGCTAGAAATATCGACTTGACCACTTGACGGCAATCGAGGCATGACACACCTGACTATCAGGAGTGATAGATGTTGAATGGTGATATAACAAGGACGCATGAAATGGCAGAATTCAGTGAACAGCTTCATAGAAATTTTGGGTGGAGCCACAACAGCGCCAGAGCCAATCACTATCTGGTTCGTGCAGCTTCCCTCAACCGCAGGCGGGCGGGGCGGCCTTGGAAAGTACCTCCGGACATACCTGCCTATGTTCAAGACGTGCCTTGCCCATCCCTCCTTCGCTGCTCAGCCTCAGCTTTCCGCGACTACACCTCTGCTTCCTCATCCCTCGACTCGAGTATTCATTACTCCATCGTCAACCTTGCGCACGTTTCTCCCACCATGTCCGACAAAGAATTCTCCTCCAACGAGGATCTCTCCCTCCCCAAGGCGACCGTCCAGAAGATCATCACCGAAGTCCTCTCACAGCTCTCCAGCGTCGGCGGCAAAGAAGACAAAGACGCGCACCAGACCATGACCAAGCCCGCGCGCGACATGCTCATCAACTGCGCGCTCGAGTTCCTCCGCATGCTGTCCTCGGAAGCCAATGACATCTCCGAGCGCGAGTCCAAGAAGACCATCTCCCTGGAACACATCGAGACTGCACTCACGGAGCTGGGTTTCGGGGAGTACATTCCCGGGTGCAGGGAGGTGGTGGAGGAGTGGAAGGAGACGCAGAAGAAGCGCATCGATCGCGGCGAGAGGATGAAAGGCTTCGGCGGTGCGAAGGACTTGGGTGAGGACGAGCTGCTAAGGATGCAGCAGGAGTTGCTGGGGCAGGCAGGGCATAGTGCGTCGTAGCGCGACACCGGAAAAGAAGTTGAAGGTAAAGACGGTGCTGAAGCTGAGGCTGAGGCTGAGGCTGAAGCTGGTCCTACGGATAACCCTGGCGATGGCGCTTTCCGCTTGAGGGTAAGGAAAGCCGGCTACCGGTGAAAAGGACGTGCGTTCTATCGTCGATACGTGCACAACGAGCAGCTGGCCTACAGACAAATGCGCCCATCGCTTTGTCTACTGCTATGAGATATTCAGATCTACACACCAGCTCATCGCGGACTCGCACGGCGAGGGATGCCTTCTACGGACAGCAACACAGCAGGCCTGCACAAAAGCCTCTAGCTGCAATCCGGCTGCAGCTATTGATATGCTGCTGCACTACGTGGAGAGCGAAGAAACAACACCGCAGACTCACTACCAAACTCGACACCATATAGGCATCGCAGAAGCTGCATCTGTGTAGAGCGGCGAGCTTGACTCCTTGAAGCATTTACAAACGAGGCTCCCGCCAGAGACGCAGGCCGGGCTCAAGAAGGAAGAGCGACCCTACGAGCTACGAGAGCGCGGGCGACAGACAGGCATGAATGACGATATGAGGCATAGCGTACGAACTACAGAGCATTATTTCACCCCCTAGGCTGCGATGCCTCATCCTCATGACCGCATAAATTATATACCTCCCCGTCTTCAGTGCTTCGGCCTCAGAGCCTCGCCTTCCCCTTCCGCCCCCGCTTCTCACCACTCGCGGCCCTCTCTAGCATCTGCCTCCCAAAGACACCCATCTCCCGCCTCACCGGCGCGTCCGCACCCCCGCCATCATCGGCAACAATGACCTCCCACTCCGCCACCGTCGCCCCATCGCCCGTCATATTCTCCGCCGTGACATTCGTGTCAAAGCGATGTCCCCAGATCGTCAGCGTCGCGTACCGCGGTGCCACCACCGGTCCCTCATCGCCACCGCCGCCTTGCGCCGTTCCCGTCAGATTCACGTACGTCGTATTGCTCTGCACCGCCACGATGCGCGCAATTTCCTGCTCGTCCCACGGGTCGCTGATGTCCGCTTCGCCCGCCGCCACGACCTGGCCGTCCTCGTCGCTGCTGTTGGCGAAGCTCACCGAGTAATTCCATGCCGGGCGCTGGCCCCAGTCGAAGCGAATGCCCGTGACTTCCTTGCCCTGGTCGACCTCGGGGATCTCGACGGTGATGGTCGCGTTCTCGCTCGATTCCGTGGGTTGCCATTTGGTAGACGCCGCTCCATCAACTGCTGCGATCGGGAATTGCCCAGGGACAAAATCCGCCTCCGATTCCGCGAACTGGCACTGTAGGGCGTTGCCTGGCGTGGTCTTGAGGAGCGAGTACTGCCGGTTTGGCACCACCAGTGTGCCGTTGGGCGGTAGATCGTAGGATGTGGTGTCTTCGGCGCCAGGCGCGCCAACTATCACGGGAATGGAGGCTGTCGCGTATGTGCTGTTGGGCGATGTCCCTGGTGCGCCTTCCAGTGCAGGATCACGGGTGAGGGTGGTGTGGGTCTGGTTGGAGAAGGCAGAGATGGGCCAGCCGTGCCAGTAGAAGGTGCGGTAGCGGACCTGCGGGACTTGTGGAGGCAAAGCTGGGTTGATGTGCAGGCTCCAGCTGGTGGGTAAGAGGCGCAGGCCGAGGTAGCCGAAGAGGACGACTTGGTTAGCGCCCCCGTGCCCTGTAAGGAATGGGAACGCAGGGTGATAGCCTGTGACGGAGAACTCGTCTACAAGCTGCTCTGAGAACTGGAACCAGGGTGCACGCACGTAGGGGTGGTGGGAGTAGACTGCGTAAGTGTAAGCAGAACAGCCCGAAGGGCTGACTTCATTGGCAACAATGGAGAATATGGCATAGGTCATGCCGGGCCCCTGCGAAATGTCAGAAGATGGCATGAGGGAGATGGAGTGACTTACATCCTGAGATTGCTTGGCCGCATAGTAGTCCAGGTCAGAAAGGGAGTCGTTGGCTGTATAGTTCTCCCCGGTGTACGACAGCGGATAGGTGACTAGTACAACGTCCGCTTGCTTCACCTCGATAGAGCCATTCATACCAGTGTACTCAAGCAAGATATTTGCGCTCTCATCTCGACCGATAACAACATTCTCGGCTTGTTCAGCCCAAGTGTCATTGGGCGTCTGGTTGAACAACGTTCGGAAGAAGTTGTTGTTTGTCAGAGTGTTGGCGATCAGTGGCATAGTGAAAGCACCGTTGTCGACATGATTCGCAAACTCGTCAGGATCGGTCATGTTGCGCAGCGCCCACTGGGAGCCGTTCTTTTCGAGGATTTCGGAAAGTAACACCGAGATGGAATCGTGGATAGGGAAATGGTTTTGTTCAAAGAAATCTGTATCACCGGAGACGAGCCATTCGTTGGAAAGAGCTTGCGCGATATCTCCATTGATATGGTATTCATAGTCCCAACAAGGGCCCGTTGCAGTGCAGTTGCCCCGTCTCGCGGAGGTCCAGGGAAAGATGGCTGCATCAGAGGAGAACTCGGTCTCATTCTTCGAGGACTGGTACGCGGTATCGATGTTCTCAAGAGCTTGTTGATAATGCTCGAGTCTGTAGTTTGAGAAACCCCGGGCAGCGTAGGGGAAGGTTGCGACAATGCCGGGCTGCATCCAAGTTTCTGCGTCCCAGAATATCTGCCCAGCATAAGCATCGGAACCCAGTCCGCCTACCGAGACCGAATGGCTGTTGATGGAAGCATTCGAAACAGCTGACATGGCGTTCTCGGACAGAGTATTTTGCAGAATGTAATAAGGATTAGCAACAGCCAGGATGGCAGATTCAACAGCATAGGGATCGTCGGGCAGAGAACCATTTAAAGGATCAGCGAAGTCGTCCACCGAGTGCTCAGGAAGCACAATAGCCCATTCTGAAGCGTGGCTTGCCAGTGACGGTAAGTAGCCAGTGCTATTGGCCGATTGGGCCGCATCCCGAGCGATGCTCTTGGGATCTTCAAAACCATCCGAGGACGCGATCCCAACAAACTTCGTAAATGTGACGGTTTGACTCGCAGACAGCGCAATGTCTAGCCCGGTAGCGATTGAAGATTCGTTGCCTCCCACATAGGGACGGTCAAGGTCCCCTTCTGACGTGTTAGACGGATCGGCTCCGTCAACGGCCATGGTAGCATATATGAATGCAGTGACGTTCTCAAGTCCATCGGGGTGAACAGAGCTGAATATCATCCCGCCATCGGTACCCTTTTCGCCGGGCTGAGTCCGAACAGCACAATCGCCGTTAAGAACGTTCGCTACGGTTGCATTCGCGTCGCTCGAGGCAGTGATGTTCATCTGGATGAACGCCTGATTAACGTGGAGCTTGTGAGCGAACATTTGGTAACTGATATTGAAAGAATCATGGTCAGGAGGGCTCCATACGAAGGACCAGCTGACCACGCCGTTCTTCATATCCAAAGTCGAGGTGAAGTCATCAATCTCGGAGCTGTTCGTTGAGGCATCTAGGAACGCCGACTGGCCAAGGTCAACGATGATACCGGCCCAGTGCGGAATGCCAGAGATAGCGCTCTCCCAACCATATTGCTCCTGTTGAACTCATATCAGCACGAACACAGCCTGCGGTGGAAATTTCTCTACTTACGAGCCAGTCAAAATTGGTTCCGTTCGTAGTCGGCTGGCTATCCCAAAACCCAGCAATGGTGGCAAAAGTCTGCCGGCGGTCGAACAACGGCCAACCTCCAATCACGTCCCCATCGACAGAGGTATCGAGCTCAAAGAAAGGTCCCAGCGAAGCTACATTGATGCCATGATAGCCATTGGCCACTGAGAGTCGTGCCTGATAATGTCCTTGGTCAAGTGTCTCGGTTGTCAGCTGCCAGTTGGCATTGTCCCATGACACGCCGTCAAATCGGGTCTCATAGACATCGGCATCGGCCGTGGCGCGTCGTGTCAACTTGTTGGGTAGTGAAAAGGAGCCAGAGCTATCCAGCGCCGTCACAGAAGTGATCAGCATCAGAAGCAGTAAAGCGCCGCATGGTGACTGCATCATGCACGTGGTTCGTGGGCACGAAGGTTGTACAGCATATGGTCAACGGATGAAACAGATGCTGAACCAGAGGAGCATTGGTTCAAACGTTGTAAGTTACCGCAGCTTTAAATAGTGAAAAAATTGTCAGCCCCAGTACGGTGACATGCTGGTTAGAGGTACCTGATGCTGCGATGTAGCAGTCAATCCATGGTGGTCAGGAAGATGATGTCATTTCCCCAGGCCAGACACATTAAGCCTTCCGGGCGGGTATGACTCGCCTAAAGATGTAGAAATAGGTAAAGCTTGGGCGAGCTTTTCTTGAACTCCGCAACTCCGCTTCCACGGTTTGTTGAACGATGCTGAGTGGGCTGTCTGCTGGAGGAGCTGAATGTGTACCGTTTCGTATCTGTGTCCCACTGTTCAAGCACCCCCGAATGGTCTTTCAGGTCATATCTTCATGGTCATCGCTTTCGTTGTTGTCGCCATTAGCTCTTGCTCCACGTCCCGTAGAGCGTCTCGATCGTCCTCCAATAGGCTGACGATCTGGACTGATCACGACTCTTTCACCGACATAGCTCTTTCCGTCCCATTCCGTCTTGCAAAGCGGACAGGTTCGTGACCGCTGCGATCGGAAGAAGTTCTGTGTACAGATGTCATGGAGCCTACAAGGACACTCGCTTTGCGGGCATCGTTGACCCTGCAATAGATTAATTTTCATTCGAAGCCCTAAAGATTCCAGACTTACCACCGTGATGATCTCCTTGCAAGCGTGGCAGAATTTAATCTTCTGCAACCTGATACCATCTTGGCCATCCTCATCCTCGTTGTAGGTCTCCACGAGCCACCCCTTGAGTTCCATTAATGCTCTTGCACTCAGTGTGTAGAAGCCCGACTCGCTCTTTTCCAGCCATCCCTCAGCCTCGAGCTTTCTGACCAATTCTTCCGCTTCGTGTCCTGTGAGTCGAGGTTGGTTGGGTTGCGTCGCATCGCCCTGGGTCTCGCGTCTTCCGGTGTTCTTAGCCAATTGCACGACCTGGATGCCGCTAAGGCACATGAGTTCATTCTTTCCCCGATTGGCAGCACCGTCGAACATAGCATCGAGCATCTTCTTGACAAACGCGATCTCATCAGCAGAATATGTTGTAGCCAGTTGCATGATGGGATCACTCGTGGTATTGACAAGGGCATAGATTCGTTCGCGAGTCAGTTGATGCAGAGTGCTTCGAATTTCCATGTCTAGTGGAGACAGTGCCATATTAGTTTTACTGATGTAGGCGTCAAGGTCATCTTGGGTTATGTCGTTTGACGACACGTTCTGCCCCTCGCGGATTGAGGCAAGTACGGCAAGGAGGGGCTTCGCAGTCTCCCAGGTCAGGGTATTTCGGGCGAGGAGCGCTTGTAGAAATGCTCGATTGGCATCATTGTAACCTGGCACCAGCAGGTCAGCCATAATTCAGTACTGAGCGGTCCCAGTGCGTGCTGAGCATGCCGATGATTTCGGTCGCTAGATTCAATGATCTTGACGCGTTCCAAAGATCGCGACGCGGCCGACTGCCAAGCACTGGAAAATCCGGCCCCGGTGCACCCCTGATGGGGTTCCAGGCGAGGCCGCTTTACGCTCATCTTGGCATATAGATGCCCGTTTTGGGAATACTGCCTTGTGGACTTCACCTCGCCCTTCCTCATAACAGTCGCATTGTTCTTGACTTGGCGGACTAGGGCTACGTCGTAGGACGGCTCTCATCGAGCGACCATATGAGCGGCGCGAGAGAGGATATATCTTGGCAAGGCGCAGTGAATGATGCGTTGACATCTCAGGATGAACGAGGCGATTTCGTTGGCTGGCCAGTACCATGAAGCAGTTATTGCCTCAGACGAGGCTGACATGCTCCTTCATTCTTAGCAATTTACTTACAGCTGCACCAGCGCCATCACACAGCCGTCACCCGTCCAATTCTCCTCTCGCTTCCAAGTCCCTGTCAACCTCCGCGAGCGCCTCCCTGTGCAACCCCTTTTCAGCCTCCTCCCACGCGCGCACGAACCCCTCTCGGTCCCAACCCCCGCCTTCCTCCGTCTTCAGAGGCCACCCGAACTGCCCCATCAACTCCACCGCAGTGGACTGCTTCCTCTCGCACAAACTCCGCCGAAAGCTCCCTGGCGGCCCTACCTCATCCAGATCCATGTCCCGATCCCCATCGTACTCCGGGTCCAGGAACGGCAGCCGCCGCAGGGAATGCCACCGCGCGTACTGCGCATCGAACCATTCCGCCGCCGGCGTAGGCGGGAGAAAGGCATACAAATGCAGTGGCTCCATGTCGAGCTCCTCTTGCTTCAAGGCATCGTTGTTCGTCGGAACGGGGCCGCGCTGTTGTTGGCGCGCAACGCGGTATTCGGCACTGTCCCGCCACGCAATTCCCTCGGCGATGGAGATGTGGTAGTGCCAGATGGCACCGATCTCGGTGTCTAGGAGCACCAGGGAACCGTCAGCGCGCGGCATGGCCAGGGTGAGAATGTGTGGTGGTAGGGAATCGCCAGAGTCAGAGTACGTAGGGTCGCGGGATTTCTCAAGGTCCTCCGGATCGGTCAGGTCGAGGAAGCGGTTGCGTGGAAAGAGTGCGGCCCGCCGGTCGTACACCACGCGGTCATTGGGAAAGGGCAGGTGTGTGTGGGCGCCAAGAGCCGAGGGGCTGAGCCGGAGGGACCCCGTTAGAGACGGCGAGAGTGGTGCTTGTGGGGGCACGTGGATGCTGAAGAGGGGCCAGTGGCCGGTCGTGGCGAGGAGGTTGTAGAAGCGTAGCATGGACGCGGCGAGAGGGTCCAAGGAGAATTGGGAGACGCATTCGGCAGGGTGAGAGGCGACGAGGGCAGTATCTTCAGGGGTGGCATCATGCGTCGCCATATTGAGGTTCACGGAGAAGCAGTGGCGTAGTTGGTGCTGAAGGTCGTGGGCCGGAGATAGCACGACGTCACGAGAAAAGAAAGAGATAGAAGGACAAAGGAGAAGATAGAATTGGCGGCGACAGCGAGAGGATATCTAGCAGGCATCGAATGAGGCTATATCGAACATGTACCAGAGCTTGTCGACCGACTAGGGTCGCCTACCAGTATTCAGGGACTGGGACTACATCCCTGCTGAGCCAAGCCCTCCTCCTCAAGCTGCTGCTACACAGTACGCATAGTCCGGCCAGATATTGGTACATCCACAGTCAATATGAGGATTCCACGCCCGCAGCTGAGCAAACGTAACGCCGTAGCGACTCGCGATGGCCTCGCAACTGTCTCCGCTCTGCACTACATGCCATTTGATACATGCGCTCGAAGCCCCGTCGTTGGTCGGATCAGCGGTGCCACCGTCGAGACTGGACTGACAGACGTCGTTGTGCTAGTGGGGAACTCGTCACCACTGCCGCCGTTGATGCAATAGTACGTGTCCGCCATAGGGTCGAGCAGGTGTCATCGTATGAGGCAAAGATGATACGTTGAAGCAAAGCCGAATCGCATCCAAGGTCCGCCTTCAAAGCAACCAGACATGCCTCTGTCAAGCCCGAAGCATCCACCAAGGCCTCTTCAGCGCCACCAAACAGCGACAGGCAGATACCAATAACGGCAGTAGTAAGTCGAGCTTCAGTATCGTGTTCGCTTGGGCTGTGAGTCTTCTGCAGAACAGGAGCGACCGGCGGCGGAGGCGGTAGGCGAGGCATATTCACGCTCACCGCCATATTGGTGATTCGTAGTCGGCAGATGGAACTATCTAGACATGGGTCAGAAGCGTGAATGTCGATGCCATGGACAGCAATTGATCAAGATCTCTTCTCCACGTGACGATGCCACCGTAATATCCCCGACCCGCGAAGTCAAGACCCAGGAGCCCTGCTTCGTGTACCCATGGCCCTGCTCTTAGGTCACTGGATCATCGGAAGGCCACGAGTCAGAGCGGTGTTGTCCTCACGCCATCGCATACAGAGACGACAGCCTTACTCCCCTGGAAATTTCGTCATTTGTCGAACGCCAGTATGATATACCCAGGCACGTCACGGCAGACCATGCAATTCCAAGTCAAAAAGCCGCGTATTCCAGCGAGATTGTGAGGGCCAACTTTCTTTGTATAGAACTTGATCTATCATTTGGGACGAACTTCAATCCCCGCAACCGCTTCACGTGCCGCGGCCTCTCCATGCAAGACCAGCGTATCAAACAAAGGTAGGTCTGGTCGGTGCTCCTGCTTGACCAGCAACGGAATCTCCGTACATCCCAATATCACACCCTCTGCGCCACGGTGTTGTAGATCGTCGATCACCTTGAGATAATACTGGCGGGACTCCTCCAGGAAGACCGGCTTCGACAGTTCATCAAAGATGACCCTGTCGATCTCCTGCTGCTCCTCGGGCGTGGGCGTCAGGATCTCCAGCCCGTGCTTGTGGGTGAAGATGTCGCGGAGATATGGGCCTGACATCGTGGCCTTGGTGCCCAGAAGAGCTACGCGCTTCAGACTTTTGGCCTTGATGGCCTGGGCTGTGGCATCTGCGATGTGTAGGAGGGGGATGTTGGCGCCCGACATGAAGGATTCGGCGCATCGGTGCCAGGTGTTTGACACGCAGATGATGAAATCTGCGCCCGCTCGCTCCAAGCTCGAGACGATGCTGCGGAGATGGAGGCCCCCCTGTTCCCACTCGTCGTGCCGGACAAAATATTCACTTGCGGCCAGGTCCATCGAGTTGATGATGATCTTCCCGGTGTGGTAGCCGCCCAGATGCTCGTTGATGTATTTGGTGATCACGTTGTAGTACTCCGCTGTTGCAACGTGTGTGCTGCCGCCTATGACGCCAATGGTCTTCATCTGCGCACTTGTCTGTAGTGCTGACGCCATTGTATTCATACGTCTGGATTTGTTGGATATCAGCATTGGTGGTGGCAGCCGCGGTGAGAGTCCCCAAGTCTCCCAAGATGCTGTAATTCAGTAAGTATGGATTGAGTCAGAAATAAGCTCTCTTAGGTTGGCTATTACCTTCTAGCGGCTTCGTTGACCACCAGGTATCTGAAGCTGGTCATCTACCGCGAACGACAGCCTCAATTGTGATACTACAGTGCGAGGGGGTGCATGGTATTGTAACAAGGCGCGCAGTCGCGGTCTTGTGCGTTTAGTAGTACGCTGACCTCTTCTGTGCCATTTATTTACTTCAGGAATGGTCAATCCTGAACACCAAAGGATCATCCGATCTTCAACGATATTCGAAGATGCGATTGTCATGTATGCCTCGTGCAACGCCGCTCAGTGTCCATTGACAACAACTCCAGTAGCATCGATCTTGCCCTCGGTCCATGATGCGAGCACTTCCTCGGTCGTTCCGACAATAAGGTCCCAAGCTTCCCGAATATACTTCTCCTCAGCATTCGGGTTGGCACTGACCACACGCAAGAACGTCTTCCCTCCCGCATTTGACCCAGTCAAAAATACCTCTCCCGACTCATTAATCAAGTCCGTGATGCGCTTGGTCAGCACATTTGCCGTTTGCTCCCACTCCGCCGTGGCACTAGCTGGAGGCTGAAAGGACGAGTCATGTGTCCCGTTCACAACCGTGCCATTCGCCTGCCGCATCTCTGCCAGCACTCCAGGACTCACACGGAAGCAAGTCAGGGCAAATGCTGGCTCGGCAACGATCTCGAAAAGATCCTTTCTTTCGCGCACCAAGTCCGCAAGAACCTCGCCCAGTTTCACCGTTTTGTAGATATGATTCTGCAAGCCTTCAATGCCGAAGATTCGCATGACGAACCAGACCTTTAGCGCCCTGAACCTTCTACCTAGTGGAATTTGCCAGTCTCGGTAATCCGTCACCAACCCCGAGTCGGAAGCTTTGTTTTCATAGTATGCTGCATCAATTGACAATGCGCGTGTCAAGTCGGTCCGATTCTGTACATACAGCATGCTGGCATCAAAATTGACGAGAAGCCACTTGTGCATGTTCATATTGAAAGAGTCGACAATCGACATATGGTGAGAATATTTTGCAGCATACTCAGGTGCAATGAGTGCTGCACCAGCATATGCTGCATCGACATGGACCCATATATCGGGATGTGCTTGCAGTATTGGAGCTAATGATGCAAAGTCATCAACGCTGCAAGTCGATGTAGTACCAAGCGTAAGGGTAATGTAGTAAGGCTCAAGGCCTTTCGCCGCGCAGTCGTCCAGGGCTTGTTGCAGGTTCGCACCAGTGAGGGAAAGGTTGTCGTTATAGGAGGTAGGAATGGAGCGGAAACGCGTGCCTGCTATGCGCGATCCCTTTGCCGTGGACGAGTGAGTCTGGTCTGACGACAGCGCAATAAGGCGGCCTCGAAGCATAGCGACTCGGTCGTCCCATTGCTCCGTGTCTGGGGTCAACCCTTCGGCTTCGCACCTCCGGTAGAGGTAACGTTCGCGAGCGGCGACCATGCAAGTTACAATGGCTTCAGATGCCGATCCTTGGATGGTTCCGCCGCCACCGTTAGGTGATGTTGAAAGAAACGTCTTCGGTAGGGACAAAGCTTTGGCAAGCCAGTCCGTTACCACAGTCTCGAGCTCAGTGCAAGCAGGGGAACAGAGCCAGTTGAACGCTGGAGCAGTGAAAGCCGCTGAGTACATCTCACCGAGGATAGACGGATAGGTGACGCAGGCTGGGAAGAAGGCCATGAAGCGAGGCGATTGCCAGTGCGTCAGACCAGGAACGATCTTGTTCGCTATGTCTGGTTGGACATCTGACCATGACTGAGGTGTTGATGGTGCTGTAGAAGGTAGTTGAGGAGCCAAGTAGCCAGGCTTAATTTGTGGCAGGACCGGGTATGATGCTATATTGTTGTTGTAGGAGATGACTGTTTGAACAAGTTAGCTCTGGGAAGGGCAATATATTTTTGGCGCATACTCTCTTCAATTGCAGCGTGAGCCGCCTTGCGAAACTGTTCAGCATCCATGCCGGCGTTCAGGATACGGCTCGATAATTGCCGATGCAGGACTAGACGCAGTGTTGACCGATAGCTTGGAGAGACTTTGCTGCTCTTAAAGAATGGAAGTGTTCTCAGCATATAGCAGTCCGCTCTGGTTCTCGAGTATTATCGACGTGAGCTGTTTAGGCGCCGCTCAGCAGCAACATCAGCTCAGCAAGTCCGAAACTGCCACCGGAGCACGAATGGGTCTCCGATTACACGCGCCCTTACAATGACTGGACCTGCCTCTTTGGAGCGCAATCACTCTCACTACAAGTGAGCCGCACATATGGTGATTGGCTCTGAGACGAGAAGCGGGCGAGGCGAGCGGAATTTCCTGCGTTTGCCGATGCCAAGTTCGGAATAAGGTCCGCTGTTACATATAGCTTCTACCACACTCTATTGGGCCACCTAGACGGGGAGCATCCAAGGGCGCGCGCGTGTCTGCCGCTTGTTTACACAGGGTATCATATGTACAGAAAGATGACGGTGCTGATATCAAACTTCCAAATCCTCAAACTTGAAGACGCCCTTGCCAGCTCGGAACCCACCGAGAGTACCCTGCACAGCTTTTTTCAGGACTTCATCGTCGGTCTTCCAGCCCCAGCTGCATTCTTCCACGGGAATGTCCTTGAACTTGCCAGCTCTTGTGAGTCTCAGGATGTCGTCTACTGTTTGCTTCTTGAGATCCGGATGCTTGTCGCTCCATCTGCTGACCCAGAAGCCTGCAAACGCAAGGTCCTTGAAGATCAGCATAGACGCTGGAAGAGTGAGTGGCTGCTTGCTCATGGCACCATATGTTACCATGGTTCCTCCTGGGCTGAGGTATTTGGCCATGGCTGTTGCAGGTTTGCCACCAACACAGTTCAGGGCGACCTTAATCTGTTCGCGGCCCCCGTTGGTCCAATCTTTGATTTGATCTCGGATTTCCTTGCCCTGAAGCTCTTCTTCAGTTATTATCTTGGTCGCTCCAATGTCATACAGCTCGTCTTTGAGCTTTTGCTCTGCGGCTTTGTCCCCACGATCTCGAATAACATTGATGCTCTTGAAGCCCCACTCTTTGCCTAGCTGAATCGCAGCACGCCCGACGCCACTGTTGGCGCCATTCTGAATAAACCATTCGTCTCCCCGGAAATCCCATTTGGCAAAGTCGAGAAGCATTCTGTAGGCCGTACAAGGATTGACCGAGACAGTGCCGACTTGAAGGGGTGTCAGACCACTCTTGTCGTCAATTTTGTGTAGCTGGCTCTCGTCCACCGAGAGGTGTGTCCGCCAGGTCCCCATGCATGTGTATTTCATGATCACCCAGTCGCCTTTCTGCATACCTTTTACGGACGAGCCAACGTTGATAACCTCGCCAACACCCTCGTTGCCACCGACTGCAGCTGCTTCCGTTGTGCCAAGCAAGGTATTCATGTCTGGTTTTGAAGGATATACGCCCTGGATCTGATTGACATCGGCTGGGTTGATGGGGGAGGCGAGCATGCGGACAACTACAGTCGACCCGGCAGGCGGTGAAATAGAATGTCCGTGAAGACTGAGAACATCTTGTGGCTCTCCGTATTTTGAATAGACCAAAGATTTTGCCTGTGTGTATCCAAAACTCGAAACAGCGCGCCTGCAATCAGCCAGAGATGGCACTGACCTGCAAGACCTCTGACGTAGTGATGGCCGTGAGGCTGTTGCAAGGGTTCGAGCGAGCACGGTACGTGCACCTGCTGTGGGCGCTGCCATAATGTTCCAAAAGCACCAACAGAACCCGCAGTAAGTAAGATGCAAAAACGAATACGTACAAATGAGAGCATCGACGAAGCCCGAGCAGTTGTTGAAGAGCTGGGAACCGCCGCCGGTACCAACCCCACCCAAAACTTCTCCAACATCGTTTGCTCGGGCGCATTGGCGTCCATTCACTTCATCTGTCCTCATACGCGCATTCGCGTTCCATCTATGTCGGGTTAATGCCTCGAGTCAACTATCGAGGGTTCAAAGATCCCAAGCAGGCCTATCTTCTGACCAAGGAAATCAATAGACAGTCGGATCACTTGGAATTTGAGCTCCACCCGCACAACGCCTGGACTGCCCGACCTCCGCGTCGTTCAACTGGCCGTTTACTACAATGGGGTGAACGTGCAAAAGCACGTCACATGCGCTCTCGACCCGCAAGTCAGTTGGCTAATCAATGTTGATGAACATAACTCATACGAGCGCAGAATCTCCTCCCAAACCCCTCTACGGCACGTTCGTTGGCGTCAAAGATAACATTGTTACCACTTCTCTGCCCACATCATGCGCTTCCAACATCCTTCGAGGATATGTCGCACCCGAGAAGGCCACCGTGGTCGAGTTGATGGAAACTGCGGGTCTGGTAGTCGTTGGAAAAACAAACATGGATGAGTTCGGCATGGGATCACATTCTCTCAACTCGGCCTTTGGCTCTATGTCACAACCATGGAATTATCAGTCCGTAGGAGGCAGTTCAGGTGGAAGCGCTCTCGCTGTGGCCTCCGATAGCTGCATGATGGCTATTGGTACCGACACAGGGGGCTCAGTGCGCCTCCCGGCCGCATATCTCAATCTCTGTGGCTTCAAGCCTTCCTATGGCATGATCTCACGACATGGCGTCGTCCCTTACGCGAACTCCCTCGATACCGTCGGCATACTTGCCAAACGGCCCCTCGACGTGTGGCTACTTTTTGAAGTCTTGAGCCAACCCGACCCGAAAGATCCAACATGTCTCACCTCGGCCAGCCGCAAACGCATTCAAGAAGCCCGCGCCGCCCGCCTCGTAAATCTCCGGCAGGATCCTGTCCGCGCTGTCGCACATGCCGAACCCTTTTCCAGCCGTCTCACGATTTCAGAGGTCTTTCATCAAAGAACGCGGTTCGGCGACTACATCGGGAGCAAGCCCAAAAGTGTTCAAGGCATCTACCGCGACTGGTCCAAAAAACGGCGCATTGGCATCCCGACCGACTACAACATCAAAGAGCTCCACCCCGTGGTACGTCGTGCCTGGAAGACCGCCATCGCTATGCTCCGCACCGAAGGCCACGACATCGTCCCCATATCGCTGCTCACAACAGAGCATGCCCTCTCAGCCTACTACGTCCTCGCTCCAGCCGAAGCATCGTCCAACCTCGCCAAGTATGACGGCATCCGCTACGGTCCCGTCCGTTCACCTTCGTCTGCTGAGGAAGACGATGGCACCCTCTACTCAGCGCACCGCGAAGCCCTCTTCGGCGACGAAGTCAAGCGGCGCATCCTCCTCGGCTCCTTCTCTCTCTCTGCGGGTGCCATGGACAACTACTTCCTTCAGGCCCAACGCGTGCGGCGCCTCGTCCAAAACGACTTCAACCAGGTCTTTCGCATGGCACATCCCCTCCTCGACGACGCGGATGGCGTCGAGAACGGCGTCGATTTCATCCTCTGCCCGACGGCGCCAACACTGCCACCCAAAGTCGAAAAGCTCGAGCGGGCGAGCCCGCTGGAGAGCTACATGAACGATGTCTTCACCGTGCCAGCCAGTCTGGCGGGCCTGCCGGCAATGAGCTTTCCGGCGCCTCCGCCCCCGGGCAAGCGCGTCGCCGACGTCAGTCGTGCAGTGGGCCTGCAAGTCATCGGGCAGTTCGGAGATGATCTGGGCCTCATACAATTTGTGAACCGCGCGTTCTGGTCCAGGAGTGAGTGGGGAATGGCCGGAGACATGCGACGAGTGTGGGAGGGCCCACAAATGACGCTTTCTTCATGATTATTGCCTGGGAAAGAGACCGCCGCCCGAGGGAAGGCTACAGGGAAGGCCCGGGCGTATCTGCGTGGGGGCCAAACTTGCTTGCGGTGAAGCACCATTTTAGGATCCACTATCATTGTTCTACGCAAGAAATGCTTTTGTCAGCGAGCGGGTCTGTGGAGTATATACAAGGTTGCATGATGGACACTAGTGAGTACATAGTGACCTCGCGGCTGTCGGATGTCTCCAGGACGCGACTACCTACCTAGGCATGGGGCCAACGCTTCTACAGTAGTAAAACACAGCAATGTACAATGCTTGATGCTTTTGTCAGCAAGCGGCTTGTGGGGGGGGGCTGCACACTTTACAACATATGGACCCTGCAACGTAATATGCTCTTGGCTCTTTAATGTCTGAAGGGCGTTGGTATTGCAACCAGGCTTCTGGTGCCGGCATAGCTCCTCGGGGCCGGTCTGCGCTTCTGATACCCCCCAAGACTCGGTCTAACGTTCCTGAGGCTTTCATGACTCGCTTCGCTAGCATCCAGGCCCTATCTATCCGCTTGCGCTGGTGGTCTCGTCTATGTTGTTTGGATCTGCAAGCTATATGTCCAGGATCCACCTGAGTCGCTGTCAGTGGTCTCATCGGTATCATTGTTACAGTCCTCGATTGAACTCCACTAGGCCGTTAAAGCCACCACGCTCGTGGAATTCTGTCTCCAATGTGCTCGCGCTCACTGCTTGCCGTTGGGGAAACGCCCCCAATGCTAGAGGCAGGGCAAAAATGCTGGTCGTTAAAATTAGACCAAGATTCGCCGGTAGCACCATCCTCGGTCGCTGCTTGAGCCAGTCGGTATTCTGTAGTCGCACTAGGATGAGTGGCGGAAGGACCATGATGGGGGTAGCATTCAGCACACGGCTGATGGCAGTTTCTCCAACTGCCAAGGTCGCTGCCTTCTTGCTCCTGCCTAGACTTGATACCTCCTTGCCAGACTTCTCGCGCTCGAGCTTTTCCGCCTCTGATTGTACGGGAAATATGTCAATTCCACGACGGATCTCGTCACCCCGCATGAGGAAGACATTCAGTGCGCCAGCAGAAGCAACGGCTGCAAACGGGACTAACCTTCCCAAAATCATCTTGGTGTTTGGTGAGACACGCTTGAGGCGTGGCACAACGGCGTTAAGACCCAAGGCCACGGAACACGAGGCGGAAACGGCGGCCAGATAGTTCTTTACCAGGTCCGAGGTGGACATAGCATCGGACTTGTTGGCGTTGGCATTGTTGATGGCAACATTGAGCGACTGATTGGTGATTTGCCAGAATAGAATACCACGCGTCCCCAGATTGGGAGTTAGCATGCCGGCTGTGACGATCAGGTTGGAGATGACAAAGCAAGACATGCGGAAGGGGAGAAAAACCGGATGTCCGGTATCTGCAAGCAGGGCTTGTCAGTAGCGGCAAAGGTACGATACGAGTGATCAAAACAGTTAGTGCTGTGCGAGGTGTGTGGCGGTGTACCTGGATGGAGGGTTGAATCAACCGTCTTCTTCGCTTGCCATAATTCGGGTGTCATGTGCTTGGCCGCACCAGTCTTGTAGGAGGTGACGAGTTGTTTCGCATGCTCGAGGCCGGCGGACGAAACGAATAGGGTGCTGTCCAGGTGTAGATGTTAGCCTCGGGATGTGGGCCATTGGACGAAGTTTCTAGCAGAGAGAGGCGTTGTACCTTCTCTTTCGCTGTCTCACCTTGGGTCTGCTATCTGCGCAGACTGCTTCACGCGGCCCCAGTATGTAGAGAGGTCGTATTGGGAGGCCGGGAGGTCACGCGAACCGGGAAGAGAGGCCGACATGGCCGCGGTGAGATGTCAGAGATCGGTGACGAGTGTCCAGCAGCGAGGACTGGGTGGTTTGGCTAGGCACAGCAGAACCTCGAATAATGCCAAATGGCTGGAAGCGCCATGCACACCTTGGTGTCACCCAAAGATTGCGCCTGATCCGATGGCGTGTGTGTAGCCGTTGTAGAGCGCAGGCAAAGCAGGCAGAGTTGTGGTCGGATGCAAAAATGCTCCGCAGGGAAGTCGCCGGTGAACGCTATCTCCTTAAGTCCGGTCATGAGCTACAAGATGGAGAAGATGCGAAGTCGCCTGTTATCAAGTCTACGATGCTCTCCTCTAGCTCGACAATATTATGTAAGTTATGAGCACCGGGGATGTTCTAGTGCTTCCGTGGAGGACAAATTCGCGTTTATGACCCGATTGAGGTCGACTCCCCTCGATCTTGGGACAAGACTTACCACCACACGACGCTCGGCCGTTGTCCCTGCCCTGTCCCTTCTTCGCTTACTTTTTCCAGCCCCGTGGTAAGGCTACTAGTTTAGAGAAACAAGCCTTTAGCAGCGGCCATGCCAACCAATATTTGGGACAGGGCCCGGAACAGATCGACCTCGTACGTTTCGTTTTAACCTTCAGCCGGTATGAATCGCCCCCACTCTTGCGTCCCTGACATGCCTAGTGTACATGCTCCTTCAAGTATGGGCGGTGGCCACTCTCGACCGGTAGTCTAGCGCGTTCTTCGGGGAGTCTTTGTCCGACTCAATGCACTCCTTATGTCGCTGTTGTCGAACAGGCAGCGAGACTCCAGCGACGGGGCCAGACACTCCATGTCATATATCGCTCTTGCCGGTGCCAGGATGGACTATTGCAGCGAGTCCTCGATATTCAAGCATGCCCGACACCTTCCCCCACAGAAGGGATGCAGTTCAGCTTTGTCAATGTCACAGGTCCAAAGAAGACTCGGAGAGAGGCGCATCTAGAGTTGGCGGAAATTCGATCTCACAACACACGACTAATACACCAACGCAGGAGGAAGCAGACACAAGAGACACGCAGTGTTTCGCGAGGAAAGGCACAGTCGACTTACTCGGCACAATCTCCGCGCACGACGACATCTCCAGAAGCGGAGCCTAGATCACCAGAACCTGCAGAGGGTCTAATTGCTCTGCAGCAGATACCTGCCTCCAAACATGACCCCCTACAGCACCTGTCAGGGTCGTCCGACCCTTTTGATGCATTCGGAAACATCCAAGTCACGCCTGAGATGAACAGCTTACTAGGGTTCATGCGCCATGAATACCTGCCTTGTATCTTCATTACACCCATGGCACTAAAGCTCTGTGGCCAGAAGTCGTACACGTCTCAGATGATCGAGCAAGAGCTGGTTCCCGGTGCTCCGTTGATCAAACGTGAATTCTATAGGGCGATGGTGAATCCCAAAAATGCTCCCGGATGGATTGCGAGCCGAATTCCTATTGTTTTCAGTATGCTACCACAGTCCAGCTGCGAGCAGTTCGAAAATGTCGCTGCTCAGGTTCGCCTGCAGAGCTTCAAGCAACTGAGAGAAGACCTCGCACTACAGGAGCAGACCGGTACCTCGGACATTTCACTCGTTATCCAGATTGTGCATATGTTCAAGTCTGGTTTGATGGAGAACCAACCAGACAGCGCACGCGTTCACGCGTGGGCACTAAGGCGTATAGGTGACATCGTTTCTGATGATCCGTACCTGGCCTTGGATCTATTCTGCACGCTGATGTACACCGATGCCGACTATGCCATCAGCAACATGCGCTATACGCTGCTCGACTACGACCACTGGCTTAACCAGCAACTGGAGCCATATTGGCAGAGGATCGAAGTAGCTCTGCCAGATATCGGCAACGCTTATGAAGAAGTGGATGAGTCGGTGGGTTTTCCTAAAGTCCGCGGAGCACTTGTACGACTGCGGCGAACCCTCGCCATTGCCAACATGGGGATCGATATGACCGTCCAAGAGAACCAGGCGCGTGTTGTATACATCTACCGATGGGCTGCAAATCGGACACATCATGATTCGGCACAGCTGAATGACCACTACCATAATATGATGGCGTCGATACCAACCGCCGACCCGGAAGAGGAGACCACACGACATGGAGAGGCCGCTCTGACGCTTGCAACGCTGTATTGCATCAGGAAGTACATGCATACGGCTATCTACAGAGGCGTTGACATTAGAGATGTCTCTCACGTCATCATTCCGCGGCTCAGGGACGCTATTGCTAAGACTCTCCTTACCGCCTCACTCCCGCAGCCATGGCAATACCAAAAGGCACTTTTCTGGGCACTTTACTGTGGCGCACACTACGAGGAAAGCCTTCGCCGCGGTCTGGCAAAGCCCTGCGATCCGCCTACGGACGGCTGGTTCGGTCAAATGCTGGTGACAGTGGCGACTCAGATGAATGTTCTGCGCTGGAACGATGCGCAGGAACACCTAGAGAAGATCGTCTATTCAGACCTTCTTGCCCCAACTGGAGCCGAATGGTTCGAACAGCTAATGACACCTGTCGTTCCGAGCGAACTTGTACAGGGGCGAAGGATCGACCTCAGTTGGCAGGAGCCGTATACTGTCAGACGAAAGGCTGGAGAATAGAAAGCGTGCTTAAAACCGGGTCGGAATTGTTCGACTTTGGCTGTGTAGAATATAGATACCCTTTATGATAGCGTGCTCTTTGCCATCATGACCTTGAAGTTCACTACTGCCAAAACGGCCCTTCATTCACCACCCACAACTATGTTCTACTCATAATCTCCTGTGCCAGCGTTTGCGCCGCAGTTGGCTGCACATGTCGCTTTCTTGTGTTCTGCTCTCACCCAATGACAGCCTGCATCTGCAGCCCACACGGAACTTTCGGCCAACTCCGCCTGATGCCTTACGGAACACGCGAACTTCGATATGATCCTTGCCCCTCTCATCCGCAACATCAAACACAGCACGTGAGCACCACTTGCCAGTATTCAAGTCAAAACAGACCTCGCTGCATGCTTAGGTTCTACTCACACCGTTCGTACCTGCAACATCCATCAATTCCACACTCTCCTGTACGTCATGGCGCCGCCAAACGGCAAAGGCCCCGCCGCCAATGCAGACCCAGAAGATTCTGACAACGAGTCAATCACTTCTATTCAAGAATACGAACTGGACAATGGCATTCCTCAGCCGGAGGACCCCTTCATAGCCAAGTACCTCGCTGGCCGACAGGCACTGATACAGCAGGAAAAGCGTCTCCGCCACGATGTCGCTTTCCGCCGCTCTATGACACCGCTCGCACGCCAGGCCAGTAAAATCCTCGCCGCCATCCGGAAACGCGAGTTACGTGATGTCTGGACGAACGAGTTTGAGGAGAGCCTGATGGACGCTAACGGCGGCAACCTGTACCCTGGCATGATGTTTGCGCTTGGGCGGGACAGGATGGAGGCGACGGATGTGTGGAAGTGTATTGAGGGGATGCCGAAAGGGGCGTTGTTGCATGCGCATTTGGACGCCATGATTGACATAGGGTGGTTGGTCGATCAGGGGTTGGCGGAGCGGGGCTTGTGTCTGGTTGCAGCGCAAGGGTTGAGCAGTAAAGAGCGGAGAGAGAGCGACTATGTTGAGGTGCGATACTATCCTGAGGACGAGGTCAAGCAGCTGGCCAGGAAGGGTGATGAGGGTAACATCTGGTCAGAACGATATGTGGCAGGTACGCCGCTACCGATCAGAGAGGCCCAGAGGATGTTCCCAGACAGCGAGACGACCTTCAAGAAGTGGGTGGTCAGCAGGTGCACCGTTACCGCGGAAGAAAGTCTTATGCATCACCACGGGTTGGATGCCGTGTGGCGGAAGTTTCAGCGCTGTTTTGTCACGATTGGGCAGTTTTTGTTCTACGAGCCGATCTTTCGGAGAGCCATGCAGAGATTACTCGGACAGCTGGCGGCAGACGGCATCATGTATGTGGATTTCAGGGTGGCGTTCAAGTTCCCATGGCGAGGGGAGAAGAGGCAGAAGGATGATGGCGGGAATTATGAAGGCTTTTTCACGGCGTTTGGAGAAGAGATTGAGAAGTTCAAAAAGTCGGAGCATGTGAGATCATTCAAGGGGGCCAGGATGATCTGGACGGTGGTTAGGAGGTCTGACACGAGGGAGATCGCCGAGTCGATGAAGGAGTGCGTGCGGATAAAAAAGAAGTTCCCACGGCTGCTTTGTGGCTTTGATTTTGTTGCGCAAGAGGACAAGGGCAGAACGCTGGCCGATCTGACACCATTGGTCTTCTGGTTCAGAAAGCAATGCATGGAGGCGGGCGTCGACATACCATTCTTCTTTCATGCGGGTGAGTGCCTTGGCGATGGCGACAGCACTGACAACAACCTCTTCGATGCTATCCTACTCGGCACACGGCGGATAGGACACGGCTACTCTCTCTACAAGCACCCACTATTGATCGACATGGTCAAGGAAAAGAAGATTCTGATCGAGAGTTGCCCTGTATCGAACGAGATTCTCCGGCTATCGAGCTCAATACTGGGCCATTCACTACCTGCCCTACTATCGAGAGGGGTATCGGTTTCGCTCAACAACGACGATCCGGCCATCCTCGGGCACGGCAAGAATGGCCTCAGCCACGATTTCTGGCAGTCATATATGGCGTTTGAGAACATGGGTTTGGAAGGCTTGGGCACTATGGCTGAAAACTCGCTCAAGTGGTGTGCGGTGGAGGATCAGAAGACGCCAGAATGGATCAAGGGCATCAACGACGGCTACATGGGCAAGACAGCTAAAGCTCAAATGCTCAAGGAGTGGCGGCGAGAGTTCGAGAAATGGTGCCAGTGGATCGTTATGGAGTACGCGCTGGAGGCCGAGGACAGCGATGAGGCCGAGGATGAAGATGACGACGATGACGATGACGACGAAGAATCTGATGATGAATAAAGAGGAGATGATGGACATACGCACAGACAAGCTGGGATGGCTGATATGATGCGAGCATTTCCAGCAATAGGCAGTGGTCTGTATTCACGGCTCAACTTCACTTGTCATACTCCACCGCGGCAGGCGCTCCATTCAACAGGAGATGTTTAGATAGAAACCCTACATTCTTTGTAAAAGAATACGAAGATGCGTTTGCCTTGCCAACGGACGCCTCGAATGCGGTACCCCGAAGCATGATCCCTGTCAGCTGTCACAAGCTTCTGGGCGGTGATGCCATCAATTCCCCGCTTGAGACTCGCCCGCGCCGAACGTTTACGAAGATCGCTGCTTGGTGCCTATTCGTACTTCATCCACGCGACGCCCGAGAACCCCCCTTGTGACTGATTTGCCCGTCTACTCGAGCCACTCGCAGTTGCTCCTGAACGTTTGATACACAGAGAACGCCATCCGTTTCCTCTTTATTCGGGATCGTGCCTGAGCTTCTCTCAGTTCGTCTTGCGTCTGCCCCTCTACCCAGGCGTTACCTGCGGTCAGTGATCTCGATAACCATCGAGCAACAACAGCAATGAATCCTCCTCGCTAAATATTACGCTTCTGCTACAGCCACCATGGCATCCTACTTCACCTCAATCCCTGTATCGATCCCTTACTCGTGGCAGAAGCGGCTACTCCTGTTCGCTCTCAACCGGCTCGATTTCATCGATACCCACGGCCTTGACCTTGATAATCTTGGTGGACTGACATGGGGACGACGCTCTGTGGTCGAGCTCAAAAATGTCCTCATCAAAATCGAGACGCTCGCTGAGCGTGCAAATCTCCCGCCCTCGATTGCGGTCGAAAATGCCTCCATCGCCGTCCTCCGCCTGACCGTTCCCGCCGATTTGAGTACTGATCCCATCAATGTAGAGGTTGAAGGAGTCCGGATTATGGCTAGACTGCGCAAAGATGATTCCCCGCAAGTATCCGGCAAGGGCGCTGATACATCTCCGAGTCACAAGGACAGAGCAAACCGTCCGCGGTTAGCCTCACATCCCACTCATGACCCAGGTGGAAGGTCCCATCGACCTCGCGAAGGCATGCACCTTGAAGTTTCTCACGTTATTCCAACTTCAGAAGATCTGGCAGCCTCGTTCCTCGAGTCAGAGACAAGAGCGGAAAGAGAAGAACTGGAAGCCATCGTTGGATCGCACTCTCAGTTTATGACCGAGTCGGTTTCGTCCGCTTCCTCTGGCAATGAAGACGACACCGGCCTGGGTCTGCCTGCCGGCTTCGCCCTGCCAACCTTTCTGACGAGTTATTTCCAGGGCATTGCTGATCACTTGACCTTGAAAATCACCAACGTGGAGGTGTCCGTACGGCTTGAACTCACCCCTCTAGACGGTGCTGAGAGCGACGAGTCGATCTTCATTATCAGAGTCGACAATTTCGACATAGGTTCTTTAAAGCGACAGGTGGAGGCAGGGGCAGTGTCGAAGCCACCTCGTCGACTTGCCCTTCGAGGCTTACACATCGATCTCGAAGTTGACCAAGACGTTTTCTCGCACCCGAGCTCACCGAGACTCGATCGACAGTCTCTCAAATCTTCGTCGTCTCATCTGCGAGGTTCTGTCGCAAGTGACGAGCAAGACGACCGCTCAGATGCTACTACGACTTCCTTTGCCCCCTTCGCTAGCGACATAGAGCCTCACCCCGCCGGATCTAGGCAACGCCGACCTGCTTTTACCAGTCTTGTGGCTTCTGCATCATCGTCTAGTGCTGATCCCGAACCTAGTGTCTCCTCGCTCGCCTCCTCGCCTGGAATTGCTTCACCTGATCGTCAGTCACAGCTCTTGCCAACAGCCAGCCGTCTGGGCGCTTCCTCTGAGATCGACAACTTGGTTCAGGCGCAGTACCAGGAGAGTAGTTCGATGGACACCAGTGATGGTCTGGGAATTGGTCTCCGCAGCAACGATCTGACGGAATCGACACTGTTTACTCATGAAGAAGCTGAAAGCATGTACATGAGTGCTGTCAGCCAAGCATCGTCTCAAGCTGGATCATTGCGGCAAATGCCTGGCGCATGGGATTGGTCGAACGATCTGCCAACTCATGTTGAGGAGTCTGTTGAACAAAGTCCACAAATGGCACAAGATGATCAACTCCCCAGGCATTCCACAGAGAAAGAACCCTCGCCGGATTTCCAGGCTGACTCCAGGTTGGAGCGCCCTTTCGCGAATCACGAGGACCGTTCGGATTCAATGCACGCTGCCGAGACCGATGCACCAGAAGTCCCAACCCCAACAGTATCCCATGCAGTGCTGTCTAGAGCCCCAGAAAGTCTCCCAGAGGCATTGTCTGTGTCAAAATCAAACACTGTTCGGCTTGCCTCCCTGGAGAGTCTTACGATTGTCATTCCCGAGCAGAAGCTTGCTGATGCGACTGAGACTTCTCGTCCACGTACCTATCCCCGCCATGAAGCACGCAAAGAGGTTCGGCAGTCTACCTATTCTTCCACCTTGTCGACATCAAGACTTCCGACTCAGCCTTTAGCCAGTAAACCCGCCTCTTCTGCTCCAAATAAGACCAGCACGTATCTAGAGACTGGTCAGTTGAGAATGGACGTGGACTTGGGGATTTGCAAGCTGCTGGTTCGAATTGCGGGCAACATCTTGAAAATGCTGCCGCCCCGAGATGGATCTGCCGAACAGCAAGCGCCACCGTCTAGCTCAATTGAGCAACACCTCCTTCCGAATATCAAGCTAGGGGAAATGTTGTTCAATTTTCATGAAGGGCGCAGCCTTAGAGCTTCTTTAGGGCAATCAGAATGCCCGAACAAGCTGGAAGATGCCCTTCTGTCGCTCTCATTGAAAGGACTCGAGCTTGTGAACGAAGACACAGTCCTCCGTCGACTGATGGTATCGAGCATCAAGATCCGTCACGCAGCGCAAGACGTGATGTGGTTTGTGGAGACGGTCAATGTTCGCGAGTCCATTGCTAGCAGTGCCATGCTGAAACCTCATGATTTAACCTTGACCATGGACGGTGAGCGAACGGAAGTATTCATAAAGCCCGTCCACGTGGTTGTCGATCTGCTGCTTGTCGACGATGTCTTGAGCCGCGGTGGTGGACTTGACTCGCTTCTGGATCTGGGCAATTCGATCATGTCGACTCACAACAGCATCACACCTCCGAAACAAACAAGTCCGAAACTCCAACAGCGGACCGTGCGATTCAACACGCCTGACCACTCGAGGCCGCGCTCGGGTAGTGAGCCCTCATCTGGCCTGGGTAAGCTTAACATACGCGTCGGCGGATCTATCATCGATCTCGTTGGCTCAGCGGCGTCGATACAGGTGAAGACCTCGGCCATCAAATTTGTTCTTCGGCCCGCTGCAGCACGAGTTGTAGTAGACGGCGCGATGATTGAAGGACCAATCCTGGATGGCGCAAAAGCTCCCACTCCAATCTTCATCAAGGTGAAGGCTCTTGAGCTAGTCTACTGCGATGTGCCTGAGGAAGGGGATCTCGACAGGTTGCTATCACTTATCACCCCATCGAACGACAAGTATGATAAAGATGACGATATCATGGTCGATACACTTCTCAATCAGCGTCGTAAAGCTGGTGTGCTCCACCTGGAGGTCGCCGATGTCCAGCTTGATGTTCAAGGCTTTGAATGGCAACAGCACATTGCCAAATTGTCGGACGAGCTAGCAAAGTTATCTTCCGTTACCAAGTACCTGCCGGAGGACGACAGACCAGGGCTCCTAACGTTTGCTCTTCTGCAGAAGTTTGGACTCCGTTTTGCAATTCATGAAAGCTTCGGTCCTCTTTTCTTCAAGGCTGAGCTTCTAGAAGGAGCGCATATTGCTATGCCGGCCCTCACAGCAGCCCAGGTCTCAAGCTGGTCTCTGGCTCGTAACAAGGATGATTTACTCATTGGTGAGGTACTGGCCCAGAATGATGTAATGAGCCCACCGATGCTGATGTGCCGCTTTATTGCTGGTGAGATGGAGCCTACCGTTCGAATAAAGCTCACGAATACTTCCGTGGAGTACAAAGTAACCACTCTGATGGCCATCACGGACCTTCTCGAGAAACTTGATCTCAGTTCCAGGCATACACCCAAAGACTCCTCTCAGCCACTCAGTCCAGCTTCATCTCGGAGCAGTGAAGTCCCAGACTTTGCAAGGAAGGTCAAGGTTTCACTCGTCCTTAGAGATTCAGCTGCTGCTTTGTACCCACTAGGCAGCTCGGCAAAAGGTCTTTTCATTCTGACCGACACGACAGTGAGCTATGAGTCTCAGAAAAGGGGCCCAAAGATCTCGTTGGATATGAAGAAAGCATCCCTTTTGATTATCAATTCCACAGTAACTCTTGGAGCTGGCGTTGGCAACGCAGATGAGAAGCTGTATTTTGACCAGAACGATCAGATTCAGAAATTGACGAAGCTTGGTTATGTGCCAGTGGCGTCATTGACCTCTGTTACGGCTGCGGTCAATGTTGTTGAGCAAGCGCACGAACCACGGCAGCGTATCGACGTCGAACTCAACAAGGCGCTCCTGTTCATGGAAACGTGTGCAGATTCGACCCAGACTTTGGGCCAGATACTGGGCGCTCTCTCGCCTCCTTCAGCCCCGTCAAAGGATGCTCAGTACCGGACTGAAGTCATTCCGATCGAGAACTTGCTTGCTTCTTTCACCGGCAATGCATTCGTTTCCGAAGCTGGCCGTGAGCTCGGTATGGATGCTTCTCAGATCTCTGCTGCGCTGAGTCATAGTTTGCAAAACGAAAGTACGGCAGAATCTGGTCTCCTCGGCGGGGTTTATGAGGAGGATACAGAGGCCGCTATGGAAGACAGCTACATTTCGGACATGGCTAGCTCAATAGCCTCCTCATCGATCCACATCGCACCCGTCGATGTGACTGCGCCTGATCCAGATGACCTTGCCCAGAGCGTGATGGTACATAGCATGCTTGACTTCAGAGAAGACCATTTTACGCAGAAACCAAGTGATGGAAGCACTGCACACCGTTGGAACTCAGCGAAGAACACGTATGAGCTCGCCAATGAAGCTGCTGATCAGAAGTCCCCCCTCACAGTCAAAGCTAGGAACTTCCATATCATCTGGAATCTGTTCGATGGATACGACTGGCAGGGGACGAGGGACACAATATCACAAGCCGTTCGGAACATTGAGGAGAAGGCCATGTCCAAACGGCCCGGCACCAAATCTCCAGGCATAGAAGAGGACGATGACGACGTAATAGGAGACGTGCTCTTCAACTCGATCTACATAAGCATTCCAGCGAACAAGGACCCACGGGATCTAACTAGTGCTATTAACCATGACATCGATGACATGGTGAGCGAGACAGGCAGCTATGCGACGTCAACCACTGTAACAGCAACGCCCTCACGTCAAGTTCGTCGGCAATCAGGTCTGCGCCCTCGACCGAAAAAGCTCAAGTTGAGCCGGAGCAAGAATCACAAGATCTCGTTCGAGTTGCAGGGCCTGGTGGTCGACTTCATCGCCTTCCCGTCAAGCAGTGGAGAAGTGCAGAGTTCGATTGATGTTAGAGTGCACAAACTCGAGGTTTTCGACAATGTTCCGACATCGACGTGGAAGAAGTTTGCTACATATCTGCACGAAGCCGGTGAGCGCGAAGTTGACAAAAGCATGGTCCACATCGAGATGCTCAACGTTAAACCCGTGCCAGACCTTGCCGCATCCGAGATTGTCATGAAGGTAACGGTGCTACCGCTAAGACTTCATGTCGACCAAGATGCGCTTGACTTCATGACGAGGTTCTTTGAGTTCAAAGACGAAAGCGATACAGCGCCATCAACACCCTCTACGCCGCCTTTCATCCAGCGCGTTGAAGTCAACCCAGTCAAACTCCAGCTTGACTACAAGCCGAAGAAGGTTGACTACGCAGGTTTACGCTCAGGCCGAACAACTGAGTTCATGAACTTTATGATACTAGAAAGAACCAATATCGTGCTGCGCCGGGTGATTCTGTACGGAGTCTCGGGCTTCGACAGAATGGGCATCACACTGAATAACATCTGGTCACCAGATGTGCGCCGTAACCAGCTGCCCACAGTCCTTGCTGGCCTGGCTCCTGTGCGCCCTCTTGTTGATGTTGCAAGCGGGGTACGTGAGCTTATAGCCGTGCCGATCCGCGAATACCAGAAGGATGGACGGCTGGTGCGAAGTATTCAGAAGGGTGCTGCTGCCTTTGCAAAAACGACCGCGACGGAGCTTGTCAATCTTGGTGCGAAACTAGCTGTAGGGACGCAGCAGGTGCTCCAGAACACGGAAGGCGTGCTGGTGGCTAATGAAAAAGAGATGGACACGGATGAAGAGGCCACAAAACAGATTTCGCTGTATGCAGATCAGCCAGTTGGCATTGTGCAAGGCCTCAGAGGCGCATACGCCAGCCTTGAGCGAGACTTACTTCTTGCTAGAGACGCCATTGTTGCTGTCCCCGGAGAAGTGATGGCTAGCGGCACGGCAGCTGGTGCAGCAAGAGCTGTGCTGAAGCAGAGCCCCACCATCATCCTACGCCCAGCTATCGGTGCCACAAAAGCTGTTGGTCAGACGTTGATGGGCGCGGGTAATGCTCTGGACAAGCGGAATCTGAGGAGGATTGAAGACGTGAGTGCTCGCCATCCCTTGTCCTGTCGAGTTGACATACTAAGTCCTGGCAGAAATACAAGCGTCACTGATCGACGAGTCTAGCGTCTAGCAGCCCTGGCCATGCCCAGCTTTAGACATGCACCACTGGGCGGAGAAAGAGATCACTGCATTTGGAGTTCTATGCCGATTCAAGTTTCCATAGGGAGGAGCATGAGCGTTGGCACGGGCCATGAGGCATCATCACGACAGGTTAACGAGCATCTTCGACATTGTGACCGGCGTTTAGTTAGCATTCCCCCACCATTCTCTTCTTCTTCCTGCAGATACGACGATACCCCGCCGCGCTACTCAGAGAATGAAATATCGGACTAAACCTGTTTCGAAGAGATTTTTGGTCTCGCTCTTCTTACCTGGGTGTAGTAGATACGTGCAGTGCCATGAAGGCCAACAACTGAGTCAGAACACCAAAAAGCGACACGAGTGGCTTTCAGTTCTCCACAGGCCAGAAATCCATTCCTGCCCTGGCCGTGCGGAGATGGTCGCGCCATCATATCTGTTGTGATCATGGAACATTGCCAAAGTGAACACTCGTTAGGTTCGTGGGCAGCAACTGAATCAAGATCGTTAAGCGAATAAATGGGGGGAAAGGCTTTCACGCTTAATCGAGGCCCTTTTTTCAGGTGAAAGGGAAAGTGTGTCGAGATGAGCCATTGATATCCGTGGATGTAATAAGTGCGGATAGCTCTTTGAGAAGGCTCGTCTGATTTAACTTGACATTTTGCTCTGCTCTTCACCGTATAGTGTGTGTGTATCGTCGACCCTATCATGTAAGTTTCGTATATAAACGTTTCAGCGCGAATTAGAAATTGCCGCCACCGTCCCGGGCAAAACCGAGGCGCGGAGGTGAGGGCGCCCAGACGCGAACATCACTAGTAGTATATGTCTGCCGTGCTGATGGGCAGACACACGGTGTGTACCGAGGCTGAGGGGCTTCCCTCACACGGCCTCCACGTGGCCCTTGTCGGCGCGTTTCTCGTCACCGCCGCGGTTCGTCAGCGTGTCGGGGCTGTCGTCCCTGCCGCCATCATCATGGGGGTGTGCGGCTTTAGTGTCCGCCACCGAATCGGGAAGGGCCTCGTCCTCGGGCTTGTAGAAGAGCTGTTGTTGGGGCGAAGGGCATTTTGTCAGCGCTTTGCTTCCAGACATCATTTGCGAGGCCTCGAAGGCATTGCAGATGTTGTGGATGGTGGGGAAAGGGGCAGGGCGAAGGGAAAGATTCAGGGAAGGACTTACGCCATCGATATCTTCCAGGCTATAGTTGCTGGTCTCCGGATAGAACTTCCAGACGATGAAGACGAAGCTGTAGGACAGGACCGCGAAGAAAAGGTAGGTGCCCCATTTCAGGCGGTTGATGAACACGGGGGCAATCATGACGACGAAGAAATTCCACATCCAGTGCGCGGCGACGGAGATGGAGATGCCGCGGGTGCGGGCTTCGAGGGGGAGGATTTCGGGGCCATAGACCTGAGGAGTGGTTAGTTGATTTCTGTGCCGGGCAGCCTGCCAAATGAGGTTGACGGCTTTGTCTGGTTGCCCCGACGCTTGATGAAACTGGACATGCCAGATAAAGGAAACAGTGATTGACTCACCCATGGAACAACATTGACTGGCATCCAGTTAGCACTCCGACAACCATGAAAGGGAAGTGTGAAGTTCAAGAACGTACTTGTGCCGCCAAAGATCAACATCCAGAGGAAAAAGAAGCCCACAGCGGCAGAAGAACTCGCTTCACGCTCTGGCGCTAGCAATCCTGCCGCACAGGTCATACAAATACCAAGGCCAAGGCAGCCCCATATCATGGTCTTTCTGCGCCCCATACGGTCAAGAGCCAGGGCCGGACCAATGCAACCGATGACGAACATGATCTGAACGCAGCCCCCGAGGATCTGAGCTGTACGAGCATCCTGGCCGACATTCTGCACAAGGAGAGTCGGGATGTAGTAGACGATGAGATTGGGGCCGACCATCTGGTTCATGAAAAGTCCAAAATAGGCGAGCATGACCCTGCGCCGAGTGTGCAGCTTGTCCTTTCTGAAGAGGGCACGGTGGCTCTGAACAGCAGATTCCTGCGCCAAAGCATGCTTGATGTTGCGGATTTCGTGTTGAATGTATTCATCGTCTTCTGGGAGGTCGAAGACCTCGCAAAGGACTTCGATGGCCTCCCGTTCGCGGCCCCTTTTGAAGAGCCATCTTGGAGATTCTGGCAATCCGAATATCAAAATCGTCACGATGATGGCGAAAACGAGTTGGAAGGCAATTGGGAACCGCCAGGAGACTGATCCCGTGGTGTAGGACATCCCAAAATCGAGCCAGTAGGAGAAGACAATCCCGACGCCTATAAACATCACTTCTTGGGAGACGAGACGACCACGCTTTTCGGCTCGGCAGAGTTCTGATTGATACGTCGGCACAGTCGAGCTGTCGATACCAGTTCCAAGCCCAGTGATGACACGTCCGACAACGAGATGTGCAACAGAATAAGCTGAGGCTTGGAGGGTAGCACCAATGAAAACGAAACCCTATATTGTTATAAGACTGGCGCTGAGAGGACTTCGGTGGGTATTCACTTACCATGGCGAGCCACATCGACCATCGACGTCCTAGTCGATCTCCAGTGAAGAAATTGAGTATACAGCCTCCCAAAGCGCCGAGGCAGTAGCAGGAAACCAGAGCACCGGTCTCGGTGTCATTCTTCACAAAGTCAGCGTAGATCAGAGCCGCCTGATGCCGAAGATACCCACTGGGTGGTTGAATTGGTCGAGCCAGTTCTCCATCTGAAGGATGCCGCCGAATACGCCTTGATCGTATCTGCAGGGGTGAATGAGCAAATACTCTACCAAATCCTACCGGCTCTCGGATTTCTCAAGGGATCTCAACGTACCCAAAGAAGAGGAATGCTGCTAAGCATACCGTGGCGATACCCTGGCGAAGGGGTCGTCCTGCCTTGAACCAGTACTTGCCCATGATGAATGTATGGCGACGCGGGGCTTTATAGGTAATGGAGACAAGGAGTTATCTATTCTCGATAAGTACACTTGCAGAACCGCACGCGCGTGGCGAAAATCGCAAACACTGAGAGTCTCCAAGAACCAGTCCTGGTGGGTGAACAGGATCAAGAAGTTATGTATTCCCAAAGTTGGAGCTAGAGATTGCCAAATTTGTGGCATGACCGAGGGTACAGACATCGGTGTGACTCCGTTGATCTGCGGAGTGCACGTTGTGTGGATCGACGGTTGCGGCAACGCAATGTCAGCCACTGGTGTCATTGGTGTTGGCTAACCAGGGGTACCCTCCGAAGATGGGGCTCTCAGGCGGAAATGGGGTTCGTTAGCTTCGATGCCCCGTATTTTGGAGATGCGGAGAGGTGGTTGTTCGTTCTTGGCTTTTCTTCGCCTCAAGACGGTCTGTTTCGTTTGATTGGGGACATGACGTTTTGGAGTGCTCTACTCGCCGGGCTGCCGCTAATGGTATTGAACGGATTACCGTGACGAGCAAGCCGGCCAAGGATGGCGAAGCACATCAAGGAGCCAGGATATGCTGTGGTGCCAATATTCTGCGCTGGCTTGGCGAGAGGTGCTGCCCTTATCGATACTGCGGCGAGGAAGCTGCGCAAGGCTGTACGGCGGGTCCAGGGCTGGCTGTCTCACCTGCTCCGTGACGCTGGCATAATACAGCTTCAGCGTGTTGCTAATGCTGAGTACCATATGCTGCACGACTTCGCGTCGAGGCCCGCTCCGGCTTACGGCACAGCGACAGAATTCCGCCTCGGTAGTTGTACGTCAAGCGGAATGCGCTCCCAACCCTAGTTCTCGGATGTTGGCTTAGGGTGATCCGTGGAGAATGGCCGAGTGAGACGCGATGAATACAACATATGTGAGGGATGCAGTCGAGCCCCGATCAATTCAGGTCGCGCCTCTTAGAGCCATTACGCCCAGTATCTGGGCCTCGAGCTGATTCCGATCGCTACGTGACGGTTGTACGCCGTTTGCTGGCTTGTTGGAGGCCGGGACAGGTAGTTTGTACACCCTCCGAATCCGTGCAAGATCACTGCACTCAGCTAGGGAATCATCGACGAGTTGAACCTCCTGCGCTTTGACTGCAGTGGATAGATGCGCCTGAATTGTCTCCAGGTTGACGTCTGGCGTGGTAGTGACCTTGACCACGATCAAGTCCTTGGTGTCAGCGCTGATGCCAAACCTGCGGAAGGCTTCGCCGATCTGCTCGGGTTAGACAGGAGAAGCAATTTGAGTAAGTCGTGGCTCACGTTATTATTTGGGCTTAAAGAGAAGACGATCTCAGAATGAACGTTGCGGGACTTGAGGCGGTCATGAAGGTAATCGTTCAAAGCACGAAAGGTAGCAGCAAGCACTTGATTTCGCGAGACGACCTACCATTCTCAGTGGAGCACTTTTGCTGCTGGGGGCCAGACATACCATGCTCGCATCGATGAATGCATATTCGAAATCCGTGTTCCCCGCTAATAGCTGGTCGCGAAGGAAGGCGGCGTTCTCGAGCTCCGTATAGAGGGCAACATACACCGCCAGCTCCGGCGGAATATGGGCCAGAGACACCTGTTCGACCATGATGACTTCGATGCGAATCTGTGAGAACGTTTCTGGAGACTTCGATTTGTGCCACACAGAACTGGTCAGCACGGAGCTAAGTCACAAAAGGACTAGCGCCTGCTCTACATCATCGAGCGGCGACGCAGCCACGCAGCTACACATTTGCCTGCTCGTCGACGGTCTCTTCTTCTTTCTTCCCCTACGTTGTCCATCACAGTCAAGCCATCGTCGCAGCCATGGCATCCGTCCTGAAGCGGCCGTTCGCGGTCTCTACAGCCTTTAAACAATTCAGCAAGCCCTCTTCCGTCCTCCGAGCCTTCCATTCTTCCCCGCTCAGGTCAAGCTCGCAGAACTTCTTCACCTCCAAGGCCACTGCTCCGGCCGCCAATTCCCTCAAGTCAAACTCAGCAATTCACAGTGTCTTCCGACGAGCGTATCAGACACAGGGTTACCAGTATAACCCAGCGCAATCTGGAAACCTGACCCAGAGATTGCTCTACGGTGGTCTCATGGTGGGTGGCACTATCCTTGCGGCCAATCTGATCTTCAACCGGGAGACGAGGGAAGATGGCGGCATGCCTCCTTTTGAGAGGGAGTACCTCAACCAGACATTTATGCACACTGGGCTCGGTATCGGCATTATCGGCCTTGCCGCACGTACTCTACACACGTCAGGCTGGTCCTATCGCCTGATGGCGACCAACCCTTGGGTCGTTGTGATCGGTGGCTTAGCTGCCTCTATTGGCACCATGTACGGTACTATGCACACTCACCCCGACAAGTAAGTCCACTAGCCATGCGCCTACTGTTTCATACTAACGTTGTGCAGCTACATTCAGAAGTACGCTCTCTGGACTGGTTTCAACGTCACTCAGGCTGCTATCCTCTCTCCTCTTATGTTCATGCATCCCGCAATCCTCGCTCGCGCCGGTCTCTATACGTTGGGTATGATGGGATCTATCGCTTTCGTCGGCGCTACAGCCAAGCAAGAGAAGTACCTGTACCTCGGTGGACCTCTCTTAGCTGGTGTGGCCGTCGTCGCCATTTCAGGGTTTGCGCCACTCGTTCTACCTGCGACCGCCGTCCGAACTCTTGCTTGGTCTGAGAACATCTGGCTGTATGGTGGTCTAGCAGTCTTCGGCGGCTTCACACTGTACGATGTACAGAAAATCCTGCACCATGCGAGAATGAGTGAGCGCGGCTTGGTACGCAAGGATGTTGTGAACGAGTCTGTTAGCCTCGAGCTGGACTTCCTCAACATCTTCATCCGCATGGTCCAAATCCTGGGCATGAGGTCGAACAACAGGAGATAGAAGAGATCATGCATGTACCAACAACAGCGTAATCCAAAAACAACTATGTCAGCCCTACACGGCTTTTCCGAGCATAGCGAGCTACGCTTCATAGCTTAGGGGCAGATAAATGAGATCTATAATTCTCCTCTTCAAAATCATCATGCTATTTTCTTGTCAACTGTAGCATCCCGCGAACACCGGGTGGGTATTCCCAGCACTATCGGACGACACTCCGGTTACCAATCACAACCTCGTAGTATCGTAAAATCATTAAGAACGGCCGGCAGCTCCTAGACACGAGATCATTTTCGTAGATCGTCTCTCAGCACAAAACCTCCTGTCAGTCACACCGAACAACCCCCCAGCGGCCGCCCAGCGGCCGCCCAGCACACCACGCCAATACGTCTGAGACCACCATACACCTCACGTCTCCTGTTCGGCCGGGCTCTCCCAGCCCTTCAGCCAGCTCAACAAATTCACCCCCAGCTTCTCAACCACATACCCACCCTCCAGCACCACCAAACTCTTACACTCGCCAACCCCATCTCTCGCCAGCGCCTCCCTCGCCCGCCTCGCAATCCCCTCATAATCCTCCGTCGCAATGCGAAACTTCCCAATCGGATCCGTCTCATACGTATCAAAGCCCAGACTCACCACCACAAACGCGGGCTTGTACTCCCTGATCCTCTGCACTGCCAGCGCCAATTTGTCGAGATACGCATCGACGCTCGCGTCCACGGGCAGGGGTAAATTGACGTTGAAGCCCTCGCCGGCGCCGATGCCGACTTCGGATTCCGCGCCGGTGTAGTAGGGGAATTCATCCTGGCCGTGGATGCTGACGTACAGGACCGAGGGATCGGCGTAGTAGAGCTCCTGCGTGCCGTTGCCGTGGTGGAAGTCGAGGTCGAGGACGGCGACGCGCGTGTCGGGGTGCTGCTGCGTCGTGCGGTACGTGCTAATGGCGACGGCGACGTTGTTGATGTAGCAGTAGCCGCCGGCGCGGGCGCCGTCGCAGTGGTGGCCCGGCGGGCGGCAGAGCGTTAGGAGTGTGTTTAGGGGAGGCGGCGCCGGGCCCGCTGTAGTCTCATCTTGGAGGACCGGAGTAGGATACTTTGGAGGGAACAAGGTCTGCACGCCTTGGTAGGCCAGGTTGGCGGAGGCGATGGTGCTGGCCCATGTGTCCTTCATGATTCCTGAAGACATGTCAAAGGCGTAGAAGCCAGCGCGCGCGTAGATGTCGCGCGGCGGCTGGGGATTGACGTTGTAGTTGGCGATCGAGGTCGGGAAGCGCCAGCATTCGGGCAGGATGGAGCCGTCGGCAGGCACGAGGTCATGGTCGCGCCAGTCGGAGAAGACAGTCTCGAGGTGCTGCAGGTAGCCGGTGTCATGGTTGGCTGTGATGGTTGTGAGGAGCGCCTTCTTGGCGGAAGAAGGGAGGTTGGTGTAGCTGAGGTGGTGAACGTCGTGCAGAGGCGAAGGCTCGAGCGTCGCTAGAATGGACTTGAGGCGCTCGGGGCTTTCGTGGGCCGGGATGGCTGCGGCACCGATGAACTCAACCGTGGAGTGGAGGAGGCAGTCGGGGTCGTGGAGGACGAGCATTTTTGGACTGATGGTGGAAAGTGCGCTGGAGTTGATGGGGGATGTTTAATTAATGGAAGAATGCAACAAATGGCCGCCCGGGTATATAAAGCTTATAGAACAATTAGCAGACCAACAAATCTATCACGGCCCATGGTGACTGCTGCTACCCGTTGAGACCCTGCTCTAGATGTAAACCGTGTCTGAATCGGTGGTAGAAGTGATATTATTCTGTTTGCATTGTGCGAACCCGACAATTTGGGGCTGAGGTCGCATTGCGGGGATCGACGGACTTCGCTTAGAGCCTCGGCCCGTATGCTAGGCTCGAGCAGCATTACATATTAGGGTTTGTAGAGGTGAAAGGTCGCGGAGAGGGCTGACGAAAGATGTAGTCGCCAGTGACTGGACCACCTAAGGAGAACCTGTGCGGGTGCGCAGCGGTATGGGTCATTTGAGGGACTAGCCTGTCAGGCACGAGGTCGCACTCGTTGGCGCCAAAACTTACCTATTCCTCGGAGGCTAGCATTCTGTTGTCGCAGAGCCAGGTTGCGCTGATGAGTGTCCATGACTAATCGCTGCGCAGAGCTCACGAGGTTATTGAGAGTTGTGTTCATCTGACCAAAGAAGGTGGCTTCTAGGGGGAGGATCAGCGCCAATCCAGGAAAACCTCGCGGGGACTTACGATGATAATTGAGTTGTTGGAAGACATTTTCAAGAGGCTGCCCTGACGACATGACAGATGAGATCGTCTCTCTGATGTTGATGTCGTAGTTGTGGACATGCTGGGAGAAGTCCGGATAAGGATCAGGAAGGCCGAGGTCATTGTTGAGCGAGACAGGGACGAAGCCTACCTTCTCCCCGACAGCGGGAGATCGAGGGTTGGGGCTGGATGATTCTGCTTCGGGTGGAACAATGAGAATTGCCGACGGTGGTATTGGACTGGCAGAACCACTCATAGCCGGCGGAAATTCGTTCGAGTGTATTCGCCCTGTCGAAGCTTGGTCGAAGCTCTGGATTGCCTGCATTGTGGAGCCGAATGATGGATCGATATCCTCCGGGCTGATCGTTTGTGAGGCAGCAGGCCAGCACCCCGAAGTATCTTGAGTATGAGTTGGTGATAGATCCATGGCATCATTGTGCTGAATCATGAACATATCATCCTGCGCCAGACCCGTATTGACGTGTAACGAGTTCATGCTTGCACCCATATCCTCATTTGAAGACAACATGTCACCAAACGCTGGGAATTGTTCGTAGGGAACCGTGTTCATCGATGAAGGAGCGGGCGTCGCGCTTCGCGAATGACCCGATTTAGGGAAAGCAACGAGGACTTCGGTATGTTGCTGGCCTGTGTGCGCATCCTGTATCCCCAGGACATGCGCCTGGGGATTGTCCGTGTCCTGATTTGTGAGTACCGCCGGGATAGATGTTTGGTCAGGATTGTGAACGAGGCTTGCGAAATCCATGTCATAGCTGCGATCTTCGAAAACGAGATCATCTGCATGGTGTTCTGTCCGAGGGCTCAAACCGGGACTGGCACTCTGCTGACCGGCAGAACTAGATCTGGACCGCGCCCTACTAGTGCTCGGCGACCGACTGAGCTCACGCCTAGCGAAGCGTCGAAAGTTCCTATCGTCGACGGCGAGGCTGGCTGTATTGCTATACTTGCGCGGCCTTCTTCCCTGCTGGGCGACTTCCACAAGGGTACGGCCTTGGTTCTCGATCTGCTGGATGCGCTCCGAGCGTGGCGTGTACTTGTTGATCTTCCAGAGACTGATCTTGCGCTCCCATTGTCGTGGTGTTGCATAAAAGCCGTGATTGTCAACCATGCATTGGGTGGCCTGCTTGAGAGTCCTGTTCTCGTCTTTGTAGTAGCGCAGAAAGTTCTCGCGCTGAGCTTCCCATTCATAATCCTCATGCTGTTTAGGGTCAATCTCACCCAATTCATCACCCGACGCCATGGCGAGCGTGGGTGAAGTCTGGCAAGGCTAGGTTCAGAATACGTGCAGCCGAGTAGATCTCAGCCTGATGAACGCGATGGGATAGATCCAGGGGAGGGCGGCACGAAAAGTAGGATATAGCACGACAATACCAGAGGGATGAACATGAGAAGAAGAGAAGAAACATGTTAGCCTTGCCGTTGAACGAGAAGTAGGCGATAATTGACGACCGGTGGGTTGCTGGTAGGACACGATCTAGGGCAGGCGGGCATCCGTAGGGCAACTCATGTCCCGTGCATTGCGGCTGAACGCCTAGGCCGAAGTCGTGATCGGACGATTGCTGCGTGACAGGGGTTTGGCGCCACGAAGCTGCAGGTCAACTCGTGGCGTCGAGGTCGATTCCAGGCCGAGAATCGTGTCGTCTTACGAATGTGGCAGAGCCTCCACCTCGAGTCGTGTTGTGCGCTCGCTTCAGACGTTTCTGTATGCCAGCCTATGTCCGCTGGCATGGTGACCAGTAATGGAGCGACGATAGACGGCAGCAGCCCAAATCAAAGCAAATATTTGATGGAGGTGTGTGTACACAGCCGATGGGCTTAGTGAAGAAAGCTTTGGTGGGGTCCAAGTTCGGCGGTATCGTTGTTTGCGGTTGGCTACTCAGACAGGAAGCGTTCGAGCTGTCAAAACGATCGCGCCCGTGGGGCCGACCGTGCCGTCCCAGCACCTTCGCGACCATCTTTCGCCGAGCGCCAGAGCTTTTGGAGATGGGTGCTTTCCTTACTCAAAGTTGCAACATGTCCGAGCCGTGAAACACTCGCATGCGAAGGGCGGCAGCCGCGCGCTGACAGATGATGATTAGATTCGTGTATAGCGGCTTTGCGTACCAATACAGCCCACTGCGGCTCCATCAGGCAAGTTGTATGTAATATTACGGCGTCGCCTGTAACAGCCCCAGCCCCCGCGCGGACCAGGCAGTGTTGGTGAATGCGGCTCAAAGTCAGCAACGGCCCAAATCTCCTCCGTTCAGCAACGTTGCCGTCTGCTAAATCAGCAGCAAACCTGACGCTAGAGGTACTGACTCGCACTAAGCATAAGGTGCAGTGTGGCGGTGTTGTCGGACTGGTGAGCCACCTGGTGTAGAGACTTGGTTCGCAATGGCTCTCACACGAGAATACAAATGGCAAGCCACTGCCCGCTTGTCAGCCACGGTCTGTGATCGAGTATCCTTGAGTGACAACGTCTGGCTATCTGTGCCAGGTTTGAAGCATCCATCTACATCCATCATATGCAGGATACCTTTCAGGCCTCTGCTCCGCCATCAACTGGGAATGATCGTCCAACAACCCAAACTCACTCGCGCTGGCTCAACTACAACGATCTAAGCAGTGCGTGCAGCGCTGTCTGGAGTAAGTTCTCCTTGATGAATAGGAACAGAACAAGTCACTAACGGTAACCCAGGTAACTTGCTGTGCTGTTCCTGCTTCGGCAAGCGAGACGTGGAAGATCCGCCGATCCAGCATTCTCCGCTCCGCGGCAGCGAGAGAAGCATACGGACAGATTCGTCCGGTCTCTCACCAAGAGTGCGGTCGCCTTCGCCTCCTCCATTGGATCCTGCGACTGCATCTACCCACACTGGTCTTCAATTCATTGGTGACTGGTCCAATCGGGCAGGAAGCGTGTAATTCGCGCCTCTGCCACACTCAAGCGCTTAAATATCTGTGAGGCGGAGGAATACTCAAATCTTGATCGATATACATACAGACTTCTAGAAGCATGAGTGTATTCTCCCATAGATCAAAGATTGCGCATCTTATGTCCACTCGCCAGCACCGGCTCGTATGCTCATGCTTGTAGAGCGAACCCCGAAGTGAAGCAGATAGCCATGCCTACAGGACTCGAGAACGAGTGAATTGGAAGTAAGCCACCGGACCCAGATTTGGAGAGCAAACAGTCTAACTCCAGAAGGACCAAGGCTCAACAATGGGTAGGTGTTAGCATACTAGCTAGTGGGGAAGGCAGGAGAGAGGTGAATAAAGCACTGGCACCCGAGAGAAGCTTAGAACGCTGAAGGCAGGAGTCACTATCGTTCACCGTAGCTGCCGGGTCACGTGGTTTCGTGGATATCGGCGTGTTGTTTTGCCGATGACTTCACTACTGGCCATACCATAGTGCAGGTAGGCCTGAACAGCGCTCAAGTACATTGTCTTCTTCCCATGTGAGACATCCTCCATAAAGAGAACCTAGGCAAGAGCGCATTGTTCGCGTTGGCTGCCTTGCAACCTTTCTCATGGATTCAGCGGGTCCAACAGACTATCATGTCGACCGCAATTCTCATATCTTCCTCTCCGCCACCGATGTGGGCGCGCGAGCCAACCCCGGTCGACTCGTCGCCAACTCGTCCGTCCTCCCCCAGTAGGCAGCACGGGCCAGCGAGCAGTCCTAGGCGCTTCAAGACAAGCAACGTGCCGAGAAATAGTTTCTCCCGCAGCTTGCATAACGCCCGGAGTCAGCTTGCCGTCAAGCCGGGCTCGGAGAACGTGCCAATTAGGACGCCTAGTAAAGAACGCTTCAAAAATGTTGTCCAGTCCTCAAAGAGACGAAGCCCGCCCTCTGCGTCTCAAGTGGTTCTGTCAGACAAGTCCGTGGGTCCTCAGGCACAACCTCCACTCGGTGTACCGCAAGCCATGTCGAATACGGATCAGCGTGCTGTTGAGCAGCATAACCACCCAGCAACCCCACATCTGCAAACCAAAGCTGTACCTCGCCGCAGTGACTGGACCCCAATCAAAGACGACGATGTGTCTGTTCTGGCTTTAGCATTCGGGCACGCTGCTCCGAAAGAGGATCTCATGAGCAATTTCGGTTTCAACATTGCGAAATCCGGTCGCGCCAGCAGCGACGTGTTTGTTGCTGGCGCTGATATTGCTAAGAGGAGACGCATTGACCTTGTTGAGGGCGTTGGCCCTGCTCCTGTTCGGAAAGGGGCTGCGGGTGCGCCTGCAAAGAAGAAGTCCAAAACAGCTCCAAAAAAGCCGAAAACAATTACCGATCTCGTGACCTCTCATCATCAAGTCCGAGGCAAGGGCAACTCACCCATGGCCGAATTCTTGGTGTCAACGCAAGTTCGAGCCCGGGAGACTGTACCCGAAGACAATATCGAGGTTGCGACAACGTCCACCAAAATAAAGGCGGCCGCCGGGAGGCCTCATGGTCGCAAGCCGACACTCTTGTCACCTCTATCAGCCATGAAGGCATTTGAACAGCAACAGGCGGTCTTTGGCACTGCCAGCCAGCTCGTGAGAGACGACGCGCTGGTAGAAATGGAACTCAGCTCAGACCCGATGTCTCCTCAGCGCACTCAACCGACGTCAATTGGGTCCGTCACTCCTCAAACCAATCGTGGCAGTACTCGGTTCATGAAAACCCGCAACTTGTGGAGTGCTGGTGATAGGGACGAAGATAATGCACTTCTTCATACGGATGTTGTTGATCTTCATAGTACGCCACATGTTCGAGCTGCTCTCGCTGGCAAGGACGCTCTCATTGAGACTGATTGGAGAAGTAAGGGCCCCCCTGCCGCTCAGTCGTCTAGCTCGCTGCCGAATGCCATTCGTGCTGGCATGCTTGGAGACGTGGATGTTCTGAGCAGCCCAAGAATTCATAGTCGATTGGAATCAGTACCAGGCTCGTATCGACCCTACAGTACGTCAAGGGCTGTGCAGGCGATCCATGCATCAGATGCTGCTGAGTCGAAAGAAGGAGTGGACGCACAGGAAACTGCTGCCGCTCAGCCCCAGGATAAGCCAAGTTATGCCGGGATGCACATAACGGATTTGCAGAAACTTGTCAAGAATTACGGATTCAAGGCAATCAAAAGTCGCCAGAAGATGATAGATCTTCTCGACAAGTGCTGGGAAGAAAAGGAGATGCGACGTCTTGCGAAGAATCGGCCCCCAGAAGCAACACAGTCGGTGGCTCCGAAACAGAGTGATTTTATCAGTAATGTTCATGATCTTTCGAACCGTCTGGTACCAAAGACCAAGACCGTCAAGAAGCCTCGCGCGGCCGCCAGAACGAAGACGCCGGCAAAGGAGCCAAGGGAGCCAAAGAAGCGAAAGAAAGCGTCGACGGAGGCAAGCGCATCGGTGGAGAGCCCGAAGCCGAAGCCTCAGAAGAGGAAGCCAAAAGCTGCCCTCTCAGAGGAGCGTATAGTCGATGTTGATGACATACAAGACGATGACTTCACGACCTTGAACGACTTACCTGAAGATAAGCGCAAGCTGCGGGGAGCAGCACGGCCACCAACTCCCCCAGCGACATTGCCTGCTGCACATGAGGACGGTCCTCAGACGCAGAATTCCAAAAGCCATAGCCTTGGCCATGATGTCGGCCATCCTCCCATCGTCGGTCCGGAGATCGGAGAGCAGATCCATTCTGCTATCCTTCATCAGTCAGAGGAGGCTGCTGCCGACGAGGAGAGGAATCATGCCCAGCATCCGACATGGCATGAAAAGATGTTGATGTATGATCCCATTGTTATTGAAGACTTGGCCAGGTGGCTCAACGCTGAAGGCCTTGACAAGGTCCATGAGGACCGAGAAGTCACAGTCATCGAAGTGCGTGACTGGTGTGAGAGCAAAGGCATATGTTGTATGTGGAAAGGTGGGTGGAGAGGTCAAGCGTCTAAGGGAGGTGCAGAGTGAAAACAATGATGCATGCGCTCTTAGACAGGCATGGGGTTGCGTTGGCCCATGCCCAACGGGATTCGATCTTCGATGGCTCATACAAAAGGTTTCGAAGGGAGACTTGCCCTCCAAGGCCTGACTGTTCAGATGGCTCTGGTTGTGGTGATTTTGGCTTCTGAAGGAAGGCACGTGTGATCGGAGCAAGGCAGTCGCGGCCCCGTAGCCATGCTCAAATTGTTTGCGCCTCTGCATGCGCTGACTCACCACACCATTCTCGTCGCATACCACCAGGAATACTCAATATTCAATGCCCTTGTATCATCCAAGATAGTATCTACCCTCGCCATGGCATCCGACCGAGAGCTCACCGAGTTCCGCCGCCGAATCAACAATCTCGCCGTCGTTGAGGACGCGGCCGTAGACGGTATGGTTGATAACAACACCCCGAATCCTCGTCAAGACATAACCACAATACGCACATTCCACGACTACGTCCCTGATTTCTTCAAGGCGGTCCCGGTGATCCTATCGTATACGATTCTCAGCCCTCTGATGATCTTCACACTGACCGCGATTGCTACCAAACTCACTCATGCCCCCAGCAGCGTCCAATTCTGTCTCAATCGCATCGCCATTATCCATTACGCCGCCGAGGTTGCCCACATCACCGGGGTATAGGCCGACAGAATCGGGTCGGTCTTGGGATCGTTTTTAAACATCACCAATGGTAATGCGCCGGAAGCCTTTGTGCTTATCATCGCGCTCGCACGAGGTGACGTAGAAGTTGTGGAAGATGCACTGGTGAGTGCGTCCATTCCATTCTTGAGCGCAAACTCTTATACTACAACAGGTGGGATCTGTGTTGGTCAACAACCTGTTGGTATACGGCCTCGCTAAACTCGTTGGTGGCATCAAGCATGGCGTCCAAAGCTTCAACAGAGCTGTTGCGTAGAACCTGGCAGTACTAGTGACGTTCGCCGGGGTCATCCTCGGTATTGTCGTATGCCCTCTCAATCCATTGATTTGGTCGTTATCTGTCGTGAGTAGAAATCGTGGAGGCCTTCAGCCGATCTGACGGGCGGATCAGCGTAGGGTTCCTGGACGATAAAATCGACGGGAGGGGTCCCTAGACTCGTGACAGATCTTTGGCCTCGATATGTGCTGTGAATTCGCGGAACACTCCCGTCAATATCATCCCACCCTAAAGTTTCTGTTGCTGTGAGTCCAGAAGACCTCCCGTTAACACCGTCGACCGCTAGCCTTTCCGCTGCTGTGAGTACAAGGAGACCTCCCAACATTATTTTCGGTCTACTCTGGTGATATCTCCTGGACCTGGCGTGACCTATACTATTCACTAACCAAGGAATACGACTGTGGCGTACTGATATGCTGACATCCCAGCATAGAGGCCTTATCTGTATCCAGCAATTCTAGCGCCCTATACGGCACCTGGGAGCGGTTCTACGCCGAATTCTGTACCTGCCCAGCGACCTGACTCGGAATGAACTGCTTGTCGAACCTGAGAATTCTGTCTATGGCACTTCCGGCTATCAGAACACCTGCTTACATGCTTACTCGGGAGCACATTGGTTTGTGTCGTTTGGTAGCTTGGCACCCTGTCCATGAGCTGCCACTGGATTGTTCGAGCGTACATCTCTGCAGCCTGACCAGAGCAGCTGACTAACAGGATGTACTTTCTCTGAGGATATCTTGGCCAAGGCTTTGGTCATCACTATCGATATCGAGTCCAAGACGAACGATCAGTTAGTGAGAACGGCTGTTTATCGTATATTGGCTACAGTGTAAGGTTAGATTTGGCTTCAAGGGCGATCCCCACACGCCTGGAATTTCGGCGCGGCGCCCCGCGCTCGGGCCGCCTAAAGCTCACGCGGGATGCCTAGATAGATGGCCATGGCACGTACACCTCCATTCCAAGTCATTGGCCGTTTTACTACCTTGGTTTCTTGTCAGCCGCGGATAGCAGGAAGGCGACTGCGCTCGTTGGCTCCTGAGTCATGTCTCTCCCGAGCTTATAGCCGATTATCCTACCTCTACGACGTAGTCCGGATTCCGCAACAATGCCAGGTCTGGAGGGTTCGAGGACTACCTGGTGTTGAGCCGTCGCCAGCGTACTTTTGGCAAGTTTGCAACAGTGTCAACAGTCACCGTGGTGCCAACAATGTCAACCTCTACCCTCATGTACATCGTCTTCCTATACCGAGCATATTGTAGCAACTTCTTGCGGGATATCTGCAGCAGCGCTTAGTACTACCTACAGGCTGTCCTGCTGCAACCTTTTCACTAAGTCTCATCACTGGTACAGAAGCTCAGTAGTCAGTATCTTCTTTAGTAAAAGTTGCCCCCTCTAGCTAGTAATCTGAAGTATCAAGTAGTCTTTAATAAATTGTTTCATAGTAGTTTCAGTCTGAAGTCACGTGACCTAACCCGTAGATAGGCTCAACTTTCAATTCACCGGGAAAAGAAACTTGTTAGATAAAAACTTGATTAATGTTTCCTTTTTTAAGATATTGATTTTGTTAATAAATTAATCAGCTGTCAGTTAGTTGGCACGTGACCTAGTTACGGTCTCGTGTGGAGGGAAAGTGGAATTTCAAATCGGTGAGCTGCCGCCGCCGTGTTTGCACCTTCTCCCCACACCAACGCCCGCGCTTCAACCCTCTCTAATTGCACCATTGCCACTACAACTTCTCAAAAGTCCTTTTGCGCTAATGTCTACTTCTACTAATGAGTAGAAAACACCAAATATTCATGTCTTAAGTCATTGACTTCATCATGAGCGGGGCGCAGGTCGGTCAAAAGCGGCCGCGACAGGAGAGCAGACCGCTGAGTGTAAGGCCTCGACTTCTCCCTAATCTATACTCGAAGCCTGCGAGTGGTTTTCAACTTCACAAGCCACCTCTTCGTTGCGAAGCGCGTCCTAGACGCCGTCTTTCAACGGGCCATCAAGTCATCTATCTAATGGCAGCCTCGACTGACAACGCCGCAATTACATCACAAAGACCCGTGTACCTTCTCGGTGGCATCATAGCTAACCAGTTTGATAGTCTTCAGCGTTGGTCGACGTTATTGAAATCTCCTCCGATGTAAGTCGACCCACCTGGATCGCGATATCATGCCACACTGCGCCTCAAGCTGACTTGGACCTTTATAGGACGAGTCTTCGGCTCCCGCCCTGAAGCGACAGAAGTCGACACCACCTGTGCCAAATGGCGTTGTGAGCAATGGCTTGTCACAGGTAAGTGTTCACAACTGTGCTAGTGTGCCTTCCTCGCTAACCTGATTCTTAGCGTACTGCCAAGTCGGCTACTTCCGGAGCTATCTCGGGTCAAAGTAAATCCACCTCCTCCTTCACATCACAGCCTGAGTCACGTGAGGCATCGTTGTCTAGGCACGATGGCCGCGACAATAAGCCTGCTCTGTTCAAGAGTCTACCAGGCTGGAGTCGTCGGGCGGCACAGCAGCAGAATGCAACTCTACCTGTACCTGGGACCAACGACAAAGAGAAAGAGAAAGCGCCTGCGTGGCAAGTGAAGGAGAACAAGTCTCGCCAGCACACTCCCTCCACTATCTTGGAGCGACCTGCGAGGTCCACCGTGTCAGTAGCTCCAAGTCATTTGCAGCGAAAAGCCTCCTCGGAGTCATCATCTGTATTGGCATCATCGGCATCGGCATTGACATCGTCCGCATCGGTATTATCAGCTGTGTTTAAGACCATGAAGGATCCGAAGGTCTCCAGTCATTCAGAAAATGCGCCAAACCCTCTCGAGGATCTCGAGGATGGCAACAGCGACAGCAACTCTGTGGAATCTATCTCCGATGATGACGGTCCACACATTCTGGAAAAATTTGTCAAACCCATTCCGAAGGCTTTAGCAACCCGGCCTCCCCAAGCCCAGGCCCCCCCGACTCCAGAGCAGACAACCAATTCCAATATTTCCGTGCCAATCCGACCTAGTCCTTCTTCCGCCAAGACTCATGCGCCAGCTGTGCCTCCTCCAAGTTCCTCGCAAAGCTTCTCGCTACTCGTACCCCTCTCGCAGACAAAATCAGCATCGGAGCACAAGGCTCGCAAGCGGGCCCTGTTGGAAGAGTTGAAGAAGAGCACCAATGTTGCCAAAACTCGCTTGCCCGAAGTCGAGAAATATTTCGGCCAGACAGGCTTCTCCAAAACCTTCGCGGTTGATGAACAAGAGCGCGAACGTCTGCTGCGGCTCGCACCCATCAAGAAGAAGAAGTTTGATCCTAGCAAGCTTGTGCTTGATCGAGGCAATTTCAGCAACCTGCGCATTTCCGACGAGGAAAAGAATGAGCGCCCTCAGCACCCCAAAGAAATGCTCAAAATCATCTACGAGAAGCGTTTCGCTGAACACACCGGTACGCCTCTCAGATTCCGCAACGACATTAATGATGTTCGCATCGATGGAAAATTCCAGTTCATGAGTGCCTATGTGATCCGTGACGGTGTACGTCAGGCTCCACTCACCACTAATCGTGGCTGCAGCTGCACTGACACCTGCAACCCGGATAAATGCGAATGTCTCATAAGGAGGATCCAGGTCCTCGATGAAAACCATAACATCATAGAGACCAAGACAATCAGCACTTACATTGCTCATCCCTCCGATCCCTCCATCACGGTCTTGCACCCTGACTACATAGCGAACGAGCTCAATCCCACTGTTCAACACTTCGAAATCACTGAATGCAACGAGGTGTGCAGCTGCGGCCCTCACTGCCCTAATCGTGTCGTTGGCCGTGAGCGAACTTTGCCTTTGGAGATATACATGACGGAGCGCTGCGGTTTTGGCGTACGTTGCCCAACTAAGAACATCCTGAAGGGGCAATTTATCGATGTGTATCTGGGTGAGGTCATCACCGAAGCTGAAGTCCGGAAGCGCGAGTTCATCAAGCACCCAGAGGCCCCAAGCTATGTGTACAGCCTGGATTGGTTCACCAACACCAACTGTTACCACGTTGACGGCGAGTATTTTGGCAGTGCGATGCGATTCGTCAACCACTCATGCTCGCCTAATGCCCGCAGCTTCCAGGTTCAGACTCATCGGGGGGACAAACACGTCTACCACCTCGCATTATTTGCCATCCGCGACATTCCGGCTGGAGAGCAGATCACCATTGATTATTGCCCCCAAGAGGCGTTGGCTGAGGATGTCACAATTAGTGGCTCTCAAGAGGATGGCGACGGCGAGGGTAAAGGGAAAGGCAAGGCTAAGAGCGTGGAGTTGCCCGGACCCGTTGTTGAGGAAGAGGAAGGCCGTTCGCGCTGTCACTGTGGTTCCAGCAACTGTCGAACCTGGCTCTGGCGAGGACCAGGAAGGAAGAGAAGAAAGAGAACGGTTAAGACCAGCTGATTGCCGATGGAGGAGCTTCGAGAAGTCAACTCTGGAAAAGCTGATCAGAGCTTTTACTGGAATTTTGTTTAAGGCTTGGAGACAGTGCCTTATTGCGAGTTTGCTCGAGCAGACCGGGACTTTCGGGTTAATGAGCTACGAGCAAGCGATGGAGTTTGGGCGCTGATAAGAAACTGCAACGAGCTACGATGGGGGTTGGCAGACCTCCGGAATGAAGTAGCAGCCACTTATGTACAACAAGACGATGCCCATGAGGATCGGGTCGCAATGAAGCGTAGCGGCCTCTAGATGAATGAATGGAACACATGACTACAGACAAGATGCATCTGTCATTGTGTTGCTCGAGCATCCTTGCTCGATGACAGTAATCGCTGTTGTGGCAATCAGAGACGAGACGTGGAAACCTCTGACGGCGAAAGTTCTTACCTCCTGAAATTCACAGCCTTGCGCGGACTTCGACAAGGCTCCCACCACCAACGACCACCAAGTCCTGACTGCAGACTCCTGATTTTATGAGTGGTTGCGGAGAGTGGATGGCCAAAGAGACAACTGCATATGTCTGCTGAAAGTTCTAGACTGTGTCCAAGCGAGAGTTCCAGACGTCGAGCTACTATTTTGATTGACTCCACCCCCACCAGACTCAAACGCGAACGAGACAAGGCATCCCAATTGGAAGACGGATATGTGGTCCGGACTTGATGGCCCGTTCTAGTTGCAAGTCGCCATGATCGCAACGATGGTAGCTCTCACTCACCGTCACCACTGCCGTCGTTGCATTTGTGGTCGAGCGGGTTTCAAGCACACCGTTGTGGGCAAGAACCACGCGCGGACAGGTCTTGGAAGGCGAGACCAGACAGCATTTACTTCTTCGAGCAGTGGAACGTAGTGTCTGCAATAAGCATGAAGCTCCTACCGATCTTCGGAATGTTCACCATAGCGAATCACTGCAGTGGTCTCGTTATCAAAATTCAAGGAAGACTGGTACGTTGACAGTTTGTCTCCATATGCTGCTCTTACACAAAGGTTTTGCTGCGCGCAATCTGACTCTTCAACAAAACTAATTCAGGATTCCGCTACCGAATTCGAACTTGAAAAGGTCCAAGATGGCAAAGAATTTGATAAAGAAGCTCATCTCCCGTCAGAACACTCGACTTCTCTTCAGACTTCCATCTTCTCGGATCGCGAAGAAACTACTAGCTCAAAGAACTCTACACCCAAGCAACGCCAACAATGCATCTCTCTCGTGCCCTTGCCTTCCTCCTGGCAGCCTCCTATGCCTCCAGTCACGGCTCAGACGAAACTCATCATCCTCTGTCAATCGCAAATGTCAACGGCGGCAAGCCTCACGGCAACGAGCCGCATGGTGATAGTCCGCATGGGCACTATAGCAGTACCAGCAGCAGTATCAGCAGCGTCAACACCTGGGGAACGGTCTCACAGACTACTAGCGGTGCGTCAAGCACTTGGACGTCCACCCAGTCAAGCTCTACCTCCTGGCCCACCTCTAGCTCTAGCTCCGCCTCTATGACCAGCACTTCGACTTCTGGCTCTAATACTGCCTCGACCACGCAGTCCACATCATCATCGACTACAGCGTCGACCACTCCATCCACAACTGCCTCAACCACCTCAACCACCACCTCCTGGACGACTTCTTCGACCACTTCTTCGACCACCGAATCAACGACCCCCTCGACCTCCTCAACCACCACCTCCTGGTCCACTTCTTCGACCACCGAATCAACGACCCCCTCCACCACAACCACCTCTTGGTCGACCACTTCTTCTACCACCGAATCAACCACGCCTTCAACCACAACCTCGACCACCGAATCAACGACACCCTCGACCACCACCTCTTCTTGGACCACCACCTCCTCCTGGACCACCACCTCCTCAACAACAACACTCAGCACCGCCATCTGCGCCACGTCCGCTTGCGACACCGTCACCTGCTGTCCCGGCCTCGACTGCGACTCCGAGTCGTCGATCTGCACTTCTACTGCGGCTTCTTAGAGAAGACATGGATGGAGACACATATAGATGGCTTTGGTGGTGGATTTATCAGGGGTGAGGGGGCGAGGGGGAGTAGGAGGAGAGGAGAGGAGGAGAGGAGAGGAGGAGAGGAGAGGAGGAGAGGAGGAGAGGAGA